TTTCGATAGATTTTTACTGATAACTTAAAGTGGTATTGTGAACTGACAATACAAAAATATATCACTACAAAAATTAACTAAAATAGAAGATTTTATGGTTGTGTTGTGTTTGTTTGTTTGTATTATTTTCAGATATTTAAAAATCTAACTCTTTAGTTTTTAAATAATTTGAAAAAAAGAAAATTACATATATTAATTATCAAAAAGTGCACTTGCGCGCGTTTATACAAAAAAAAAAAAAAAAAAAAAAACAAAAAAAACCAAAAACCTAATTGTTTGATTGATTTTTTTGAAACAAAATAATTATTATAATTAATTTGTTTTTAATTACTAGTAATAAGGTTTGAAATCAAAACTGTTTGTGTGAAATATATTAACAAATGATCAATCTATTTTAATTTTAGTTTGATATATATTTAAAAAACTGATTATTAATGATTAGATAATAACAAATAATTAACAACTTTTCAACACTAGTTAAAAAAATTCCCTCCAAAAATTAACTAATTTTTTAAAATTTTATCAACAATATCATATATTTTTAGTTCTATTTATATCAATCATATGAACTTTAAAGACCAATCGGAGATTGAAATTAATAAAAACTACCAAATTTGAATTTAAAAAAAATAAAAAATTAACGACAAAATTTTAAAATAACCAAAGAAATATTATTGTGAATAATTTCTTGCTTTGACCAACAATAATATTATATCACTCAAAATATTTAAAATATAAAATAGATAATTTATTAAATATCTCTAGAAGTTTCTTTTGAAATTTTAGTAAGAATAGATACAGTCAATGCTGATCACAATTTTATTTATTGATTCTAAAAAATTTATAAGTTTTTATAGATTATTTAAAGATATATTTAAATAAAGCTTGAACTTTGCAGTCTTTTTACTATAGTTTTATTTTTATGACGTGTTGTTAAACCAAATGGTATCCAAATAAAATTAAAAATAATGCTTAACAAATGGGTTGTGACTATTCAAATGGATAAGCACATAACAACCATTGACGTTTGGGAAAATTCCCAATAATTTTGAAAAATTAAAAAAATCTGTGAGTGGTATTGAAAAAAATTAACTGTTTTAATGATAAAAAGTACCACTGAAACAATAATATCAGCCATATGATTTTTTAATACAATCCTCTTTTTTTTTTTATTAATTTTATTTTTAATGAATCCATCAAATAGTCAGGATTATTAATTCAAAACTGTTTTATACTATTTATTTACTTACATACATATTTATACTACTACTTATATAATTTAGTTTTGTTACTTTATTATATACCTATTGTTGTATTGTTGTGTGTTGTACTATACTAAAATAAATATTTGTATTACACTAAAATAATAAAATGGATTTTGAAAATAGTGTAAATGGTCACCCAAAAGACATTGAGCGTCAAACTCTACTTGGTGACTATAAAGTAAAGAAACCATTGAGAGATACCAATCTTTTCAATGTCATAGTTCTAGGTTTTGCATTTTGTATTCTTTTTATTGCATTCTCTCCGACTCAAGTATGATATCAACAATTAATAATATCTGTAAATTAATTAGTATTAACATTTTTTTTGATCATTACTATTATTATTAGAATTTAGAAACAACGATTAATAAGAATGCTGGTTTCATTTCATTGACAATCATTTATGCATGTTTGTCACTCTCTAATTTCGTGTCACCATTGATTGTTTTAAAGGTCGGTGAGAAGTACTCACTGATTATCGGTACACTCACCTACATTGCATATATCGCTGCCAACATCTACACCAACACCATATTGCTCTATATTGCATCTGCAGTTCTCGGTTTCGGTGCTGCCATTCTCTGGACTGCCGAAGGTGCTTTTGTCATTCGTTGTTCCACCGAAAGTACTCTAGGTTTCCACACCGGTTTAGTAAGTCTATCCAAACATAACATTAATCACCGATCTCCTCAGTAATGCGCTAACCTATTTCATTTGTTACAGTTCTTTGCATTATTCCAAGCAAACCAAATCGTAGGAAATCTCGGTACTGCCGAACTCATTAAAGCCGGTTATTCTGATCGTACTCTTTTCATTATCTTGACGATTACATGTGCTGTTTCCATTTTTATTTTCTTGTTTTTAGGGTAAGCAAATTATTAATATTTAAAGATGTATAGTCGTGATTTACTGATTAATATGAAATTATTATTATTTATTATTATTATCATTAGTAATCCAGATAATTCAACAGATGATAAACCAAAGGAGATATTATCAACCAAAGAAAGATTGATGTTGACTCTCAACTTGCTAAAGGATAGACCAATCCAATTGTTGATTATTGCTTTGTTCTACAGTGGTATCAGTCAGTCGTTCTTCTTTGGTGACTTCCCACCATTAGTCGGAAAGAACAATCTCGGTTATGTTATGACTGTATTCGGTGTTTGTGATGCACTCGGATCAGTGATCATCGGTAAGGTCTCTGATATCATCGGAAGAAGTCCAATGATTATCTTTGCCACTCTCTGTTGTCTAGGTGGTACCATCTTTACCTACATCATCGACAGATACATCTCTGACCACCAATTGGTTCTCTATTTCGTGTGTGCCGGTATGATGGGATTTGCCGACGCCGGTTACAACACTCAACTCTACTCATTGTTAGGTTCACTCTACCCAACCAAAGGTGAATCAGCTGCTGCCGGTAACTATTCATTCAATATTACAATGATCATTTTCATCTATACATATACTAACAACACAACAATTAAAAATAACATTTATAGTATTCAAGTTTATTCAAGCTATTGCATCTGCTTTGGCATTCTTCTACGGTCCATACACCAATCTTTTCCAAAATGTAGTGATCACCGGTTCATTGGTGGTTCCATCTTGTATTTTATTCGTGATCGTCGATAAAGTATTCAACCAAAAGAAAACAGATACCATTCAAACAACACCAAATACTTATTAAATCAAATCGATTATTTTTGTAGTATCAAACACTTTCATTATTTATAAATAACTCCACAATCCATTCCAATCGTTTTATCATATTCCATCTTTACATAAATAGGAGTATTTCAAATAAAATTTTAATTAATTATCTCTTTTTTTTTCAATTAAAAGTATATATGTACAATTATTATTATTATTATTATTTTGATATTAATATTCTAAATATTCCATATTTGGGTCGATTTGAAAGTTCTTATAAAAATCTTCTTTGGCCACCCCCCATTTCTTATCACAGAATGATCTGAGTGCATCTATATTATCGGTGTTTCTGTTTACAGCTTCGACTGCAATTTTCAATTCTTTCTTCATCTCTTCCATTGTCTCTACATCTGCATAGCCAGCCAACTCTTCATTTAGCTTTACTGATTGTGCTTCCAACTCTTTGATTCTTTCTAAATTATTTGTTCTTTCATCCTACATGCAGTATAAACAAAATCAATTAAATTAGTATATGCAAGTATATATTTAAATATGATATTATATGATCATACCGATTCGATTCTCTCTTGTTTCAAAGTTTCATTCTTTTTTGTTTCACTTGCAATTCTCTCTTTGATGTCAGCAATCGCTTTTGTGAGTTCATCGTTTTTGTTCTTTGCTTGATTCCTCTCGAATGATGGGAATGCCCAATAGAATGTCGATGCACCTAGTTTATCTGTTTGTACAATTCCATCTGCTACCATCAATTTAATAGTCTCTCTTACTGCTATCATTGCTATTATTGATGATGATAATAATAAATGGTAAATATTTTCAAACATTAACATTGTTAAAGTTGGTATTGATAAACATACGTATTCCAGTTGCTTCACTTGCCTCAGATTCCACATCTTTTGAAGAGTATACATTAGACTAGATTCAAATTCAATTGTGTTACAGATTGAAATGTTAGAAAGTAACACTACTTCATTTAGATATCAACACTTACACTATCATAAAAGAATTTCTTTAATTTTTCTTTCTTTTCCTCGTCTGATAAACCTTTCTTTCTTGTTGACATTTATGGTGAATTTTCGATAATAATGTAAATATTAAAAGTGATTTATGTATTTAAAAAAACAGCACTTCTTAAAATTTTTCTTGGAAACCAACAAATTTATTTTTATTTTTTTAATAGAATTAGAAAACTACCAGTTTTTTTATAATAATTAAAATTTTTTTTTTTAGGATAGGTTGATTTCTTTAGTTTTTTTGGTAGTCTTAGTTGTCTTGGTTGGTTTCTTAGCAGTATTCTTATTTTTGGTTGTAACAGCTTGGTTCTACATTCTGTTTATAAATGAATTTTTATTTTTTTTATTTTTTTAATTATGAGTTTCTATTTTTTTGAGAATTTATCACTTTTTGAAGCCCACCTTAATTAAGTTTGTTTTTCTTACCATTTTTTTTACTTTCAAAGCAAGAAAGATAGAAACCTTGTTCATTTAATTTTAATAATGTTTCAACAACTAGTCAACGAACAACAAAACATTGACATTACACAAGAAAGTATAAATAGATTACAAGAAACGGATTTGTCATATCATACCTTAAAAAGTAACAAATTTATCATTTAGAATGATCAAAAAACTCACTTTACATGTTTACAATGAAATCTACAGGGGCATTCAAACATGCTGTACCAGATGTGGATTACCAACGAGTTGTCAGAGCTAAAATCAGGCATGAGATAGCCATCACTGACGGTAAGCATTTTATTTCATCATTTCATCAAATAACTAATATTTCTATTTCTTTCAGTTGTTAATCAAAACAATCCAAATGAACAGCTCATGGATGCCATTCGTCGTATTGTAGATCAGAGTATTGATAGATTTACCAACAACTTCAACAACCGATTAGCAAACTTCGACAACAACATCAACAATCGATTCGAAAACATCGACAATAATATTAACAACTTAAATAACCGATTAGAAAACATCGACAACAATATCAATATTATAAAAAACAATCTCACAATTCTGAACAACAACATAGTCAACTCAGTCAATAGTACCAATAATAACTTAGCAATTATCAACAACAATTTGAGAACAATCGACAACAATCACAATATTAGATCAGCAATTATATTTTTCAACAATCAGAATGAATACAAGAGAGGAAGCAATGCAAAATCAAAAAATCCATTACAAGGATTACACAAGACCATTGCTGGATTTGGGGTTCAACAACCATGGTATTCAAACAACTATCAAGTACACAACTTTGGCTTGAATAATATTGGTAATATACCAGTAAATGTTGATTTTAGAAATAGAGAGTAAGTACATTGTACATAGAGATATAACACTTCTTTAACACCCAAAAAGTCATACAGATTTGGTTATATCACGTTTGTCGTATTGGTATAATGAAACTTTTGATATTGAAGAAGAAGACGACAGAGATGAAAAGAATAATAAATTTTTTGTTTGGTTGACCAAATCATTGGTCAGTGACTTACCTCCACAAGTAAACTTGGAGCCACTTATACCAACACCACCATTTGCAGAACTTATTGCTCATATCCCGTTGGATAATCAATAATACACACTGCTAATATTTAATAAAAAAACAATAGTTGACCTTTTCAATTTATTAATTTTTCTTTAATAATGGTTTCACAGTGGAGATGAATTTCTTTATATTGTTCAAGTAGCCTTCTCTGTTCTCGTTGTTCTTATCTTTTTTATATTGTTCGATCGAGTTGAGCAGCTGTGTGAAACTATTGGTGAGACGGGGGTGTAACCATGCTTCTTGATGTTGAATCAATTGATTTACCTTTGATTTGAATCCATCAGTGTTCAAAATTACCAACTCTATGAATGCATTCGATGCGTTATACAATAGTTCATCCATATTGAAATCGTGTAACAACAAAAAGTTGATCATAGATCCAACCAACTGTGTGGTAAATGAAATATCTACCTGAATCGATGATTCCAACATTCCTTGAATATTCTTTGCCAAAGCCAAAATTGAATTAAGAGAATGATTGGCAATTTCAGTGTCATGACTAAAATATAAAACAGTCTGTTAGTAAATTGTTAGATAATATTACAGGTATAAATACATACTGAGCTATACCGTATTCAATCAAAGATAGCAATGTATTGAAAATATTTGGTGGAAAAGCAGAAAGATCGATAGTATCCGATGAAAATAAAAAGTGTATAATTGAAAAGAAAGTATTTGATAATTTGGTATACTATTTATAAATTTAAATATAATAAAAGTTAGTAAAATCATTTTTAATATAAAATATTAAAATATTTACCTCTAATAATCCATTATTTGTAATACATGGAATAGTAACACAAATACCATGTAAGACTGCTTGTACAATGAGTTTTGGATAGTTGTTTTGAACATCGTTGAATAGAATAATATTGTTGATAATTCTTAGTTGCATTTTAATTCTATTGTATTGTTCTTTGTTTTCCAAGTTGACCTTGGATGTATTTGTTTGAGAAACATTGGATATAGTATTGAAAAGTTCCACTAAAATTGGGAATATCTTTTTTGATCTTTCCTCTTTTAAAAATTAATCATTAAATTAAAATAGTTAGTAGTTGTTATTGTTGTTGATAATTAAATTAATAAATTAATATTTACCATCGACTGTTTCAAGTTGGAATTTCGTAAATTGTGAGAATAATGTTAGGATAAGATTGACAGTGTCTGGATAATGAATGTAAAGAGGAATGAGTGAAACGAATGCATTCGCATATTTGTGGAAGAGGTCGAATGCCAGATGAAGTGGTACCTCGTCTTCATAGGTATTGACTTCCTCTGGGATAGAGACGATACCGTTGAGACGGTGCAAAAGAGTAAAGAGTGTCTCCCTGACCTCTGGATTCTGAGCGATATTCTTAAAGTCGGCACGTTGGAATACAGTGTCCAAAGGATTGGTAATCGATTGTGTCAACTGAATGAAGCGGTGTTGTTTCTCCGATGGATCCTCAGCGCTATAGACAACACGTGTGAACGATGAGAATATCTTGGCTTGAATCTTTGGATTGAGACGTAAGAATTCCGCTGGAAGACTGAGCATCTCCTTCCAGTGTGGTGAACCGATGAGTTGTGGAAGTATCTGCTTATTGATACATAGACTCTTGAGAAGCAGTACAGTCTGTTCCAATACCGGTAGTTCACCGTTCCAGTACTTCAAATTGAGATTCACTTTGAGCAGCAGGAGATTGACCAGTTCGTATACTTTTGGTGGACCGAATGCTTCCATTAGTTTCGGACTGATATTTATATTCAAATCTAGTGTTGGATAAAGGTAGACCAGTGACCAACCATCCAAGAACCAAGTACATGTCTCGGCGATCAACGGAGAGAACTGCTCAACGCTCTTGTAGTGAAGCATTGCTTTCAGCTCGAAATCGAGACAGTATCTAAAGACAGCGTTGGAAAGCTCAACAACAAGATCTTTGGCTGCTCCTGCTTGTGATTGGTCGTAGGTGTATGTTTCCAGCTTGTTGGGTATGCCATTGAGTACAACCTCGCTATCAAACAACAAGTTACCGGCCAACAAAATCAACCAATGCAATGTTTCAAAAGCTCTAGCATCACCACTATTAATCAGCTGATCTACAGTCTTATTGATCTCCTTTGTCAATAGATCCATTGAAATACCAGGATTAATGCGACCAAGATATGAAATCACTTTTAATTGATCATTATATTTATTCTTATCTTGATCGATTTCTAGAAAATAAACCATGGGTATTATTAGTTTGATTGAAATAAGTTATATTAATTTTCTCTATTTACCATTATCATCATTGCTTGATTGATTCTTATCATTAGTTAATTCTAATATTGAGAGTTCAATTCTTGTTTTAATATAATTACTGTAGATTTGCTCGGAACAAACCTTAATGATACCAACTAGGTAGGTAAAGTATTCGTTGTTCAAAATGTGTTTCGATTTCTTTGATTTGTTTTGTACATTTTCGATGTCTGCCAATAATCCAACCCAAGCTTTGATCAATACAAAGAAGAATTCATTTTCCAATTCATCCTCTAAATCAATGTCATCGCTGTTGACCGTTAGCTTTAGGTATTCCATCGATGCAATGATGTATTTAGTCAGGTTTTCAAAGAAGGTTCTCGATTTCTCGATTGGAATCAAAAGGAAACTTTGGAACTGGAAATTCGAACAAAAAAAACGCACCAACTGCGAGAGATCCTCTATCTCACTCCAATTCGTATTTGTCAGTTGTTGTTGTTGTTGTTGCTGTTGTTGTATGGCGCTAGCGAGGAGCGGTGCCACACGATCGATTATATTGCACATGTAGAGCTTGGTGGTTTCGGAACCCTCCATTATCTCGCCATTCAAACAGCACAGACAAATCATAATGTTTCTGAGTACATGTGATATATCCTTGTGTGTCTTGACCAGCGGATACAACTCGAATACCAAGTCGAAAACAACGGTGTTCTCAATGAGCGACGGTGCCCATTCTATCGGTGGTCTGAAATTGTATCGATTCGTTTTGTATTTCGCCAACAACGTCAACGTTTTGAATTGATCTCTGAGGAATCGCCAATCACAAATATTCTCTAGCAACTGGATGGCATTGAACAACATATAGATGAACCGGTCATTAATGTTGTTGCGACTGACGATATCCGATTTGTAGCTGCACAGTAGTTGGACGGTGCCATTGAAGATCGACAGCAGTTGACTCTTCTGGAACGACAGCATCGCCTGCTGGTGATAGTCCCATGTCTGCTGAGTCTGAGATGCCTTCGAAGTCATCGAGAATTCAGTCACTATCGAGAGAATTGTTCCGATGGCAACCTCCTGTTGGAGACGGTCGTTGGCAAACATCTGGCTACGCATGTGGTCGACGATGATTTGGCCGAGCGGCTTGGAGTCGGCGTAGCGCTCCTCGTCGAGCCACGACCGCTTGATCAAGACAGCCATCGTGTTGTATGATTGATTCTTGGTGGCATTGCTCAGTGTCGTATGAGCGTACGACAACATATACTTCATGAGTCGCTCGGTGATCGACCACTTGGCACCGGCATCGAGTGTTGCCCACTCACGAATGATAGCATCACGCAGCGCTGTCAGTCCATAGAAATGAACCAACGACGACTGTGACTGTTCGAATAAACTGAAACAAACGGCATACGGAGACGCCATCGTAGTGAACTTTATAATAAACTTTTCGGCGGCATCTCTTAGTGCTCCATTCGGTGACTGCAAATCATTACAATACTTTTCCAACTGAACTATAAATTGATTGATCTGTTGTTGTTGTTGTTCCATAGATATCCAATCAATCAATCTCTATCTATAAATTTTTACACTAATATACTAATAATAATAATAATAATAATAAATAAATAACTAATAAATAATAACTAATCTAAAGAAACAAAAAAAATTGAACTAATTAATTTTTAATGAACATCAAAAATTTGAAAAAAAACAAACAGTGCAGGACAGTCACAAATCAAAATTAAAAACATTTTTTCAAACTTGAAGTTCGTTTCATTCATTCATATTAATATACTTTGTAATCATAATAATAAGATGAATAATAGATCAACAACATCTATTAAATCACCTCAACAACAATATCAACAACAGCAACAGCAACAGCAACAAGTAACAACAACTACTACTACAACATCAACTACTACTGTACAACAAAGTAATACATCAACAACACCTTTAACATCATCATCATCAATTCAGTTTAGTAATAATAATGGAGTTACAAATATAATACAATCGACATCGTTACAACAAAGTGTGGTTACATCGATTGTCAATAGTAGTATTAGTATTAATAATGGTAGTAATTTGATATTACCGATTGCTTCAAAGATTGGGTTGTTTTCAATGTTGGATCAGTTCATGTTGGACATTGGTAATCCTGATAGTCGTGTACGTTCAGAGTGTGCATTGTACTTACTTCCTCATCTACCTTTGAATCATCGGGAGAATGCATTCGACTTGATCTACACCATCAAGAAACAAATGTCAATAGAGACAAACACCGATGTTTTGGTACTCCTAATACGTTTGTTATCGATGTTGGCATTAGATATCTATGTAGATAGTTGCGGTGTTGTCAACTACCTATTGTCAACCACTATAAAGTCAAAGAGGTCGTCGTCGTCGTCGTCGTCGAAAACCAAAAAGAAAGTGCTGGCTGCTTCACTCGCTGCCATCCGACAGATTGTTGTCTCCAAGGATATCAATCTATCGCTGCTGATCACCACCACCGTAGAACCGCTGTTACACCACACCAGTCCCATAGTGAGAAAAGAGTCGCTACTACTGTTAGGCACAATCAAAAAGAATCTGAAACAGGAATCCGAAGAGATTCAGCTAATAATGGTTAACTTTTTGAAGGATCCCGATTACCGTGTCAGAGAATCGGCACTCCGTTCGTTGTACTCTATCTTCTATCGTGGTGGATCACTCTCTGTCAATAAGATCTACCAACAGGCGACACTCATGTTGTTGGATCCATACGAACAGGTCAGACTCGAATGTATCAAGCTGCTCTGGGTCATAAGTAACGTCTATCCAAATCACATACTCGGTACTATCAACGAGCGAAACAAGAGTGAAAAGATCAGATTGGTAGATGATGTATTCAAAAAGATATGTAATGCTGTCAATGATCCATCTGTCATCGTTAGAAATAATGTATGTATTGTCCATAAACTATTATCTGCATTGTAACAACTAACTACTAATCTAACAATAATTAAATTGTAGGCATGTAAATTATTAGGTTGTATCTATGATGTATCATTGAATTATTTGATACAGACACTTAGCAAAGAGATTCTATTTGATTTTGATCATAAAGGTAGAAAGAAGTATCAGATTGGTCATAGTAGATATACAAAACAACATTTTACAAATAAACAACAGCAACAACAAAATCAACAGCAACAGCAGCAGCAGCAACAACAGCAACAAAATCAACAGCAACAAGATAGTGGACAACAACAAACTACTCATATTGGATTACCAGAGGGTGATATCGATTTTATGACATCAACAGAGTCATCGATGAGTTTAGTTGATGCCGGTGCAACAGGTGCATTCATTCAAGGCTTGGAAGATGAATTCTACGAAGTTAGATCGTCTGCAATCGACAGTATGTGTGAGCTAAGCGTTAGAAACAATGAATTCGCACAAAAGAATATTGATTTCCTTGTGGATATATTCACCGATGAAATTGAATCCGTTAGAATCAACTCTATCAATTCATTAAGAAAGATTGGTAAAATGGTAACAATTAAAGAAGAACAAGTAAGTATTAATATTAAATTTGATTAAAATTTTTATTTAAACTAATCTTTTTTTCTTTACTTTATTATTATTACTATTATAATAGTTACATGTTATATTGGCATCTCTTGAGAATTCATCATCAGCAGAAAGACAATCTGTACATAGATTACTTACCAATATACATCTATCGAATTTTCAGTGTTTACTTGCAACCACTCAAGCATTGCTTGTCAATCTTCAAAAGTATCCAAGAGATCTCTACTCGATATTTGAATGTCTATCAAAGATAGGTTCACAGAATCAATTCACAGAATTTATAGTTGAAGATCTCCTACGTATTGATCCAAAGTTTGCTTCTGTTGAACCAAATATGGATGATATATTTTGTAATTATCATAACATAACATAATATTAACTTACAAACAATATAACTAACTAATATTTATATTTATATCATCTAATCAAGATGTTGCAATTATGATTGTAATATTAAATAGTGCAAGAACAAACAAGACTATCATATCATTGCTACCACCATTTTGGGTTCAACATCATCTCTATCTAAAAGATAAATATCCACAGTATTTCCCTCATACATTACAATCGGTAGATGAACAAGATCAAGTTGGACAGTCTTCAGCAAACAAATGTAACTTTCTTGATCATTTATATTTATAATTGTAGATACTAATTATCTTATTATATTATATTTAGATCAACTTAAATTAGAATCACAAGAAGATCTCTCTAAATTCTTAAAGAATACACTTGCACTTTTAAATGGTGACAGTTCATCGCTCAGTCTTCAGAGTCAAGGAATATTAGATTTACTAAGAAGTAACAAATACAATCAGATATTGAAATTGATTGAAGAATGTGAAAGGTATGTTATAATAACCATTGTTATTTAAATTGATAATTAATCATTTATGACTAACATAACTATACATTTATTCAATCTAAAGAAACTTTTGGAGAATTTCTAATATTAATAGAATATTGAAACCAACCTCTGATTTCTATTTAATGTTTATACATATTATAAAGATGATTATCAATGTAAGTAGTTTATAGATATCTATGATGATAGCACTTGTTAATATCTCACCAACTATTCACTTTATTTAGATTAAAAGATCACCTATTCATGAATTGACATTTGCTAATGGTGCAAAGCTATCTAAACTTTCCTATAAGATGCAAGTACAATTTATTGGATTGGAATCAAAGATTCAAGCTATACTATATGAATATCGACTAGTAGGTGAAGTAGTAATGGCAATATACACATTGTTACAATCAAATTCTGTTGTCGATCAAAAACAATTTATGAATTTAAGAAACAAATTAACTTTTTACAAAGAGTACGTATATTATTTAACTTTTATTATAAAATGTTACAAACACATTAGCTAATAATTGAATACTAATCAACTTCTTTTAATATAATATTATATAGATTCTCAGAGAAACATTCACTAAAGATTCATAAATCTATTCAGTCGCTCTATGATAATTTAGATAGTGTTCCTTTGAATAACAGAGACAACAGCATAGAACCACCAACCAAACAAGCAAGAGTCTACCCACAATCTATCATTAATCATCTATCACTATTTCTAATGGAATATGAACCCTCTTTAATAGTTGTAAATAATCAAATCAAAAGAAAGATCGTTAATATCCTGTTACCTGCGCCACACGAGAAATCTTTGGAGTCAATCGATAATTTCCCACTGAAATTGAACATCAATGGAAACTTGGATAATATTCAAAATGTAGAATCATTATATTTTAAGGTAAACAAAGAAAGAAAACAAAGTGTTTAAATAATTCTCTTTATACTAACTAAAACTATAACATAATTTTGTAGATTAATATTTCTGGTAAAACTCAATTACACCCTATCTCCTCACAACACTTCACACCTATCAAACCACTGTCATTTGCTATCTATTCACCATTATATATATCATTACCAAAGAAATCTCATCCAAAAGGTAAATACTACTACAATTGAATTATTTTAATTATAATCTCTCACTAATAAATACTAATTTAATTTATTAAATAGAAATTCTATCGATTGGTATAAATATATCTGAACTTGTTCCAAATGACCCAAATAATTGTAAATTACATGCAAGAGATAACTTTGATTCCTATCAAATTGTAAATCTATCCAAACCCATATATTTTAATGCATAAGATTACAAATACATCCAATTTTTAATAATTATAATTTTTTATTATTAAGATCATACTAATTTACATAATTGCGCATTTTGATTGTTGAAATATTTATTTCAATTTGTGAAATATTCTTTTTTTAATCTATTAACTAAATCTGTTAACATATGTAATATTAAAATCAATTGTTTTTTAATTTGTTACTTACTTTATCGATAAATCTATAAAAACATCTATTTTTATGATTTTAGACTAGACTTGAGCAACTAAATTGGTTTCTGATGTAGCAGAAGTTGTTGATTCTGATTTAATTTCAAGCTCTACGTGTTCAATTGAACTATTGGAAACCATTTTATTTGTTTTAATCGATTTTTCATTCCTGCTTCTTCTCATTTTTATAATATAAAAAACTCCGATTATAAAAGCAAATGCAATAACACCAACAGCTATACCAATTTCATATGATTTCATTCTAATATAAAAATATAAATAAAAGTCTATTATTATCTTTCAATTACTAATTTAAATAAACTTCAGTCAAAAGTTTAATACTCAAGTTCATGAACTTTATTTATAACTTTTAAAAAAGATAAAATATTTTTAATATAATTATATCTGTTTCTCCCTCAAGACCTTAACCACACAAGAACTTAATTAATTGGACAAAAATAAAGTGTGGTTGTTTGCGCAAAGATCACTGGGTTTCGTGGTTGATTGTAAGAAAAGTGGATAAAAAAAAAAAGAAGTTTTTTTGGTTTGACGGATGTCAATTTTTTTATTTATATCAGTGAATCAAAATTTGTGATTGGTGTGGAAGATGTGCTTGATGACAGGTTTGTGTTTGAAGTGGCTGTCTCTCTGGAATCTCTTTTACCTGATTTATGCCAATAGTAAGTAGATTGACTTAAACACAACTGGTGTAAGAGGTTTCCGTGTTCTTTAAAAATGATTTGAATTAGTTGTTCAAGGGTAAATTCATCTGTAAGATTTGGTATTGGTGAGAACACACTATCTTTACCTTTGTTGGTTGTTGTTGTTGAATTTGAAGATGTCATCATATCAATTAACTGATTATTGTTATTATTATTATAATAATAATTATTATTATTATTGTTTACTGTATTGTCTATTAATATATTATTTTCATAGCATGTCTCTATTAAGTGAGATGCCAAATCGAATTTACCTCTTGAGTAGAGCAGTTGGATGACAGAGTAGAAATCACCGAGTGTCAAGAAGATCTCTGTTGCTTTTTGATAGTGTTTTTCTGTGGTTGCCAAGTGGATTGCCCACTGACGGTAGACCACTTTGACCTCGTCATCGGACAGATTGTTTTTGGCGAGCTGAGCAGCTTCGTTCCAACGCTGAGCACCCTGTAGGTAACGACAAGCATCCAATACCTTATCGATGAGACACAGGAACTGCACACCTTCGTCGATCTTTCCAACGGCAATCAGGTTGTCTGCCAGCAATTTCATTGTGGTTTGGTAACACTCGCTGGAAATCGATGCGGCGATCATGCTTGCCTTGATTGCTTTCGAGTAGAAATCGGGGTGATCTGGTGTCGTGTCCAATAGCAATGCGACAGCACGTGGTGCACGTCCAACCAAAATGTTATTCTCAATCAACGATTTTGAAATTCGGTCGTTCGCTTCGACGGCAGCAGCATTGTTGGCGTTGACCGGTAACTTTTTTCGTTCTTGAAGATCAAGACGTTCGAGTGATGTCGATCTGACTGTAGATGAATCACACAGAGTATCATAATAGATAGGCAATGTTGATGATGGAAGTGTGTCATTCATGCTGATGCTCGAATCTGCCAATGAACTATTCATAGGTGAATTGTTGGTGTCACTTGATTGCTGTTGCTGTTGATGTTGTTGCTGTAATGTATCGAAATCAATTAATTGTGATTGTTGAAGTTGAGAAACTACTGAATGGAAACTTTGTGAAATCGATAGTGGATTGCTCATGGTGTTGGTTGTAGATGCGAGGTTGGAAGTGGTGGTTGCTGTGTTTACATTAGAGTGGTGAGTGATGATTGGTGATGATGATGATTGAGTGGTTGGTGACAGTTGGACGGTAGTTGGTTTAGCTGCTTCCTTCTCTTTCGCCATTGTATTACCGGTGGCTTTCGATGCCAAACCTTGAGCGAATCCACCAAAGAACGATGCAATACTTTGCTTCTTGGTGAGAGAAGTCGGAGCTTGAGGAGTAGCTTCCGCTGCTGTAGTCGGTGGAAGTGACTTGACTGGAGTTGAGAGTGGCGATGTCGATAGTGGAGAGATAACCGATGATTGGTTTATAGATATATTATTATTGTTGTTGGCAGCCGGAATAGGAGGTGTTACATTCATTGATGATTGATTGATGCTTGTTGTTGAGGCAATCGATGGACTGCTTATCATATTGATTGTAGAAGGTGTTGGTAAGTTTGTATCGTTATTATTGTTGTTATTATTTTTAGTGGGAATAGGTGGAATGAGTGGTAATTGTTCGTAATATGCAAGACATTCTTGGTTGTAGATCGATTGTCCTGGTGTGTAGAGAGATCTGTCCATGGTTTGAAGAGTGTGGATGACCAATCTCCAGAATTTAATCTGCTGGTAATCTCCAAAGAACTGAGCAACGGCCAGACTGCACTCTGGGACATTGCTACCGGAGAGCAGTGTAATCAAGCGGTCATCCACCAACGACATCAGTCTTGTCGTCTTTTCAAGTTGATCAAGTAGCAGCATCGATGTAGCTTGTGATTTTCCTAGATCGACAGCGTTGGTTTGTGGATCAAGACGGCATCCATGTAAAAGATGTCGTAGCTGCATAGCACAGAATGGCGATAACAACAACGGAGAGTAAATAAAACCTTCGAAAATATTGTTATTATTGCTGGAGGATCCACCTATTACATTATTGATTCTCGAGTTTGTTAGACACAGAGTACTGTCGAGAATACGTATGGAATTGTCGGCAGATATCACAATCGGATTTGAGTCAGTCAGCCATTCAATGTCGATCGCTTTAATATCACGCTCCGATAGATAATTTCCAGTGGCGGTTCTGCTTCCTGTTGACAAGTCGTAGATCGATATCTCACCACTGGTAAACAGTACCATGATATCAGAGGTGTTTGGTGCCGGCGAGAATCTAATCTTCTTGATGGCACTCTTGTGTGTGGATATATGATGAATGGGTTTCTTACGCTCGCTACTCCAAACGTGGATGTTTCCAGCGGCATCGCCAGCCACCATCAAGTCGCGCTTCAAGGCGTGGGCAAGCTGCGGCGCGGCGCCACCCATGACATTGGCCAGTGCACTTCCCTCAATGGCAATATCAACCAACGTCACAGAATTACCTTCGATCGTACAGCACTTTATGGATCCTCCACTCTCTGCATTGAAAAATATAAATTGTTCGCGTGTCTCGTAACGAGAGGTGTCTGGCGACAGTGCTGTCTCAGAGTCGTCGCGTGGCGGTACCCACTCCAATCCGGCAACCTGTGGATATTGCTTAAAAGATCGCAAGCATGTGAATCTCTTTGTTTCCCACAACTCAAATGGACGGTCCTTCAACAAAATAACCAAGAACTTTCGCGAGAACGATAGTCTCAATCCACGCACCGGAGAAGTTTCGTTGGTTGCCACCAAACGGAACTCTTTGACTCGACCAGATCGCAAATCGACTATCGCCATTCTATTGTGATAGACACGACCTGTTTCCACTTCTTCGTAGCTATAGCAAATGACACGGCCCGGTGACAACCACTTCAATCCATAGACTGGATGTTGCCAGATGAACAACTCCTTCTGAACACGCAGTGTAGTGGCGTTCAACAACTGAATAGTACCATTGACCGTTCCAACCACAATCAAAGACATATTAGCACGATTAGCAAAGGGATAGACAGACATCGATGAGATCGGGTGTGAAACACAATCGGATGTTCCAGAGACACCCAACTTTATGACACCATTCAATGGTTTCAAAGTAAGCGAATTCAATCTCGGAACGAATTGTTGTTGTCCACCATATAATATTTCAGAAGTAAAATCCCATTTCCAACTAAATAATTAAATTTGCAAATAAGTAAATCTATTCCTATTTTGATCAATAAATAACAATGGTTGTTTTAACGACTTACATTATACCATCACCTGCAATCGAGAGAATAGTTTGTTCATTATATGGATGATGAGTAATCGAAAATAGTTGTTGTCCTTTCTTTTTGGATTTCTTGTGAAAGTGAGATAGATCAGAGACACAGAGTTGCTCGTAACTATGGGTATTATAGTTATTGTCGGTACGTCTACTCCAAGAGGTGATACTGCCATCGTCATGCAATGAGAACATTAGATAAGGATTCTCGCGACAAAGTACAATCGATTGGAAGTTTGATTTGTTACGCTCTATCGATACCGCTCCAAACAACTGATTGGAACTGATGTCATAAACAACCAACTCTCTCTGGAAAACGTAGTAAACAATGTTCTTTGAGATTGGCGAGCAAACCATCTGAAGCAGTTCACTGGTTTTAGCTGCTGCTGCCGTTCCACCGGTAGAGTTGGCAATCGATTTCTGTGGTGAAACGTGATGTATGAATTCCAGTGTTGGCGCGTGCACTGGCAGTGAGTCACCACTATGACTCATGTTGATATGATTGCTACTTCCAAAACCAAACGCAGTACAACTAGAGTGGTTTGCTACTACCGACTCGGTTAGATCAACCGAATAGATAGATCCATTGATGATTCCAATCAGAACTCTGTTGTCGATGAACGGATCCAGTTGGAAGGTGGTGGCATATTCCAAGTCACGTCGCCACACCCTCATTCCACTCTGAACATTCCAAAGAGTGAGTGAATTGCTCGTTAGAACAAGTATGAGCGATGGGTCATTCGGTAGCCACTGTATGTCTTTGATAGTGGTATGTTTGTGGTCGCCAGAACTACTTCCAGACCCGCTTGCGGTGTTACCACTTCCACTAGAAGTGGAAGAAGAAGAAGAAGTCAATCCAGAAAGTGAGTGCTCAGACTGACTGTTACCAGTGCTTCCACCACTACCACCTCCACCACCGCTACCTACAGCAGAAGCGATATGAAACGACTGCAAAACAGCAGCTTCTATTACATCCCAAATGAGAATGGTACCGCCTGTATCTGCGGTGGCGAGACGCACCGATGTTGTCTGAGCGGAACAGTGTATATCACGCGACCATCTCACCACACAAACATTATGACGATGCTCATCGAGAGTCTGCACAATATGTAAATAGGCAGGATCGACAATGGCCACATGAGTATGACATCCATAGGCAAACAAGTTCTGCCAACCCCAGTCACTAGCATGTCTATTGTCACGATGTAACTTTCCACAGAGAATCTTTGGTTGCAATTTATTACTGCTCAACAAAGGAACACTAGAACCTGTGACACCTGCTGCATTCACCGTTGACACTTGATTAGTACTACTAAACAATGATATATTCGATGTCATTCTTTATTTCTATCTTTTATATATATACATAATCATAAACATAATATAAATAAATAATATAATAAATATATATAACTTTTATTTTATTCTTTTAAAAATACAACAACAACTACAATAAATATGAAGATGTTTGAAAACAAAAAAAAAAAAAATGTCTTTTGAAAAATCAATTTTCATTTATTTTTTGATGATGAAGTTAAATGGATTTTATTAATTTTTAAAAAAGCATAGCAGCTATAATAATATGCAAAGCTATAGGTTATAATAGTTATAATAGATAGATAGATAGTTAATATTTTCATTTTAAATTTAATTAGTTAGTTAGATATCTAAAAGATAGATCATTATTATTAAGAAGAAGAAAGAGTAGTGTAGAAGTGAAGTAAAAACAAAGTGTTTGTTTGTTTGTTTAGATTGTATAAATAGATAGTTTTATATATATATATATATAGGTGTTAAGAGAGATGAATCCATTCGAATTGATACCAGTCATAAATAATATACCATGTAAAATAGAATCAATAGATATCTGGGGGAATAATATATATATAGGTACAAACGATGGACAGATTCTATTGTATATCATTGAAAAGGTGGAACAGAACAAAAAGGTTTCTTTCAAGTCGAGAATGGAGAAGAAACGTTCACTTGGTCATGGAAAGAAACCTGTTGAGAAACTACTAATCATCTCTGATATCGGTAAACTTTTAACATTATGTGGTAAGTTAACACATATAACTAATCTTTGATCAAAATGATTTTCAAATTCAAACTTAATACATATATTTTAATATCAAACTAAATCAATATTATTATTATATCTTTCATTGTAGATGGAAATTTAGATGTTTTTAATTTATATAATTTGGAACCGACCACACCGATCGGTGTTGCAAGTAAGGGTGTTGTTGCGTTCTGTATGAAGAGGAACAGTCCTGACTATCGACTGTGTGTGTTGTCCAGACGAAAGTTGGTGTTCTTTGAGTATGTCAGAGTGTTTGAGGCATACAAGGAGATACTACTGCAAGACACCCCGATGGTGATGGAATGGTGTCAGAATACATTGTGTCTCGGTTACCGCAAGGAATATGCGATATTGGACATCGACAACGAGTCACACCGTATTCTCTTCCCGCTCGACCGTTCGCTTCCCAAGCCAAAGTTGGTGTCCGACACCAAAGGAAATCCGATATTCTTGTTGCCCACCGAAGATCTGGCTGTGCCGATCGACTTGACTGGCGAGGTCGTCCAGGGGTCGATCAACTGGTCGTCGCCACCCAATGCCCTGGCCGTCTGGACACCCTACCTGATCGCGCTCACCTCCACAACGAAATCGGTGGAGGTCCACGACCTAACCAATCACAAACTGGTCCAACAGATCTCGAGAATGCCACATCCACTGCCGTTTGCGTTCTCCGCCATTGCCGAGGGTCGCGCCGACGGTCGTGACTTGCTCGTGCTCGCCTCGCAACAGCCACACGCCGTCTACTGTCTGTACGTTTCGAACTTTGACGCGATGATCCAGACTCTCATTGCCAAGGGTGAGCATGAAGATGCCATCAGGCTGTTTGACATTTTCTTCAAGAAGGAGCGAGCGGTCTACGATGAAAACTACGATCCAGCCGTGGAGATGGCCGCACAAAAGTCGCGACTTGCCAAGATCTACGAGCAAGCCGGTATGAACGAATTGAATCAACTCAAGTTCGAGCCGGCATTCCGATACTTCCAGCAATCACAACTTGAAGTACGCGCTCTCATCTCGATGTTTCCAATGTTGGTGTCGGCACAGTCCAGCTTCCAATCACCCATCTCCCAAAACTACACAAACATTCCCGAACTTATAGCAAGCAGTGAGAATACACCAGTTAGAAAGATAGAATTATTAGATGAAGCGAAAAAGCAGTTATTAGAAGTAGTAGAGAAACGTTATCAATCTATAATTACACCAACTGCTAACAACATCAATAACAATAATAACAATAACAATAATAACAATAATAACAATATAAAACAAACAATTATAATACATCAAGATGAAATTAGAGATTTAACAACAGTTCTCGTTAAATTATATTCAGATTTCAATGTGTTGGATAAATTGTCGGGATTACTTTCTCGACCAAACATGATGTTGTATCAACAGGAATTGGAAGAATGGTTGACAACCGAACGATATTTCACAGCACTCGGTCTTCTCTTCCAGTTTACAGAGAAATATAGACGTGCTTTAATACAGTGGTCAAAGCTTATTTCAACGGAGCTGCTTGACCACCACACGGAGAATAATGGTGTTCGCCAATCGATCGATCTTCTCTCGGCGGCCAAGGGAATCGAACCACCCAAAGAGTTGATCTGGGAGTTTACTCCGTCGCTACTCAAACTCTACGCTTCACAATCGATACAGATATTCTTGGCACACCGCAAGGATCCACTTGACAGCGGCGAAGTCATTGATTTCCTCCAGCGCAACGGACACATCGCCGAGCTGGCAGCCTACCTGGAATTCCTTATCTTTGAAGACAACGACAAGACCGAACACTACCACACCAAACTGGCGATGAAATACATCGATGCACTGATCTCTGCGGAACCGGCATACTTTGCCAAGTCACTGGACGATCCTGCCATTATCAATCGTGTCACCGAGCCACGACAGAAACTGATGCGACTTCTCGAGTTCTCGAATTGCTATCATGTGCCAACGCTACTGGTCAGACTAAAGTCATCGTATCTCTACGACGAACTTGTAATCCTCTACCTGAGAAGCGCGCAATACGAACAGATGTTTGACATCATCGTCTACAAACTCAATGACATGGCCAAAGCAGAGAACATATGCGAGCAATTCGATCCAGCTCACAGTCTTTCAATTTCAGCAGTTACAACCCCATCTTCAAATTCTCCAATTTTATCATCAGTAAACAACAACAGTAATAATAATAATAACAATAATAATAATAATAATAATAACAATAATAATAATAACAATAATAATAATAATAATAATAACAATCAACAAAATAATAATAACAATGAAAATAACACACAATCAAATAATTATAAATCTGGATTATACGAACCAAAGAGAACAGAACTATTTCTATGTTTGTTAAAGACCTATCTTGGTAGAACGAAAGGAGATGTACTTCCACAGTATCTGCTCGATTTTCTCAATAAGTTCTACTATGAGATGGATCCTATCAAGGTGATGTCACTACTGCCAACTGGTGTTCCTCTACACTCGATCGAGAGTTACCTAGCGAAATCTTTTAATCACAGTATAAGCAATCAACGTGAGACCAAAGTCGTTAAGAACCTTCAGAAATCACTACACATGCAAACGAAATACGAGCATCAATCGATCTGCTCCAATAGCGTAGCTGTCAACAGTGACAGTCGTTGTCCAGTCTGTAGCAAACCGATTGGTGATCGTGTATTTGCATACTTCCCCAACGGTATAATCGTTCACTTTAAATGTTTTCAAAATACCCACATATGTCCAGTTACCGCTCACAACTTTAAAACTGATCCTGTAATAAAACCAGTTTCTGTATAAAAATAAAATAAAATAAAATAAAAATATATAAAAAACTTATTTTTATCTTCATTCATTCTTTCTTTTATTTTCAAATGTTTCTTTCCACCTCACTTGTCATCTCTTTAAAAATGATCATATTAATTAATGACACAAAGATTCTGTAAAACAAAAAATGAATTAATATACATTTACTTTTTTTTTTTTTATATGTTTTTTTTAATTTTTTTTTAATTTTTTTTTAATTAATTGTACAATTTTGTTGTTTTATAGTTTTTTATTTTTTATTATTTTTCTGTTGGATCTTGAGTTCAATTTATCTATATCTAATTAATCTAGTTCACACATTAAAAAAAATAATTTAAAAAGGAATTTTATTTTGATGTTCGAGATTCTAAAAAAAAATGAGAGTCATGCGTGTTTTGGTCACCCAGGTTTATGTTTTACCATTTTTAATGTGTTGTCGTGAGAAATAGTTATATGGTGTGTGGCTGGTGTTTTTGGTGAAAATGAAAAACAAATTAATTTAAAAAATAAATCGTTAAATTGTTGTTGTTTAAACAAACACACACACAAAACATATCTGTCTTTTTGAGTTTTGCAACAACATTCTGCTTCTATTTTTTTTATAATATTATTTTTAATTTAATTTTTTTTCCGACAAAGAATAGAAAGAATTGAAGTGTAGAAAAAGAACAACTAACAGACACACACACAAACAACACAAACAACACAATTATAAAAATAAAAAATAATATATTAATAATAAGAACAACATTATTAATTTCATAAAATTTCTTTCAATTAAACAAATTGACAACACCCCATCGCTTAAAGCTTTCGATCAAAACTATCTTCGAAATCTGACACGGAACAGTTGTTTTTTTTGTTTTTCTTTCTAGTTCTAGTATATAAAGTATTCCAATAGATATTAATATATAAATAGAAAGATTACAGTAAAGAAAGTAGTAGTTACCTTGCATTTCATCTTTTTTCATCTTTTTTATTTTTTATTTTAAATAAATATATATATATTTGTTCATCGTCAAATTATATTAATCTGCAAAGCAAAATTATAGTAAAAATAAACAAACAGCACAATCGTCAATAACCATTAGTAACAATTTTTATACATATAAAGAGTTATAACAATAATAATATACATTTGACAATAATAGCAAACAACAAACAACTGAAATATAAACGAATTAATATTAAAACACTGCAAATTATTTGAATTTTTCAATATTAAATTTTCAAAAACAATACAATATCAATAGTAATAATAAAATACAACAAACAAACAAGCAAACAAATAAATACAGTAGTAATACAATAAAAAACATCCTACATATTTTTTTAAAATTATTTTAATATAAATAAAACAAATCAAAATCCAAAGATGAGTGGAAATGAACCTCAATTTGAAGAGATGGAACCAGTCTCTGGTACCTCTGTAGTTAGTTTAGTACCAGGTGGAGGATGTAAGTTCACTTTGTTAAATAATAATAATAGTAAACCATATAGGTAATTCATCCAATATTAATATTCAGATTCAAATCATAGGTAATATTAAGTTAGAAGCAATTTCCAATTTTAGAAATTTAGGTGGTCTACCAATACAGGGTACAGAGTATGTAATCATCTATATAAATAGATACAAAAAAAACAGAGATAGATACAGATGATAATAGATTGCTCAACATATTCTAACTCTAATTCAATCATTTCTAGTGGTAAATTCGTAACTAGACCAGGTGTTATAAATAGATCTGCCTCACCAACCAATGCAACAACAAGCGATGAGTTTTGGTTATTGGAAATCCTATCTATAAAGACATTGGTAAGTTGAAAACACACTACTTACTTTTGCTATTAATAGTTGTTTGTTTGATATTAACTATTTGGTGATATTTATCTTTTATTGTAATATAGATCGATTTTAGAACTACATGGGAGAATAAAACTATATCACCTGTTAGAAAATTCGAAGATAATTTTGTACAGTACTCTATAAAGAAAGAAGACAGTCCGAGCATGAGAAGATCGCCAGAGAAAGAGAGAAGATCGAGAACACCAGAGAAAGAAAGAAGAAGATCCAACTCCTTTGAGAAATCGACGTCGTCATCATCACCAGTGAATCTCCGCGCCAGTTCCAACTTTGGAACTACCAGCATGAGTGCAGTACCAAGCTCTTCAAGCACACTACAACCAGGAACCAACAACAACATCAATAACAATACCAACGCATCCACTCCACTGAGCAAGAGTACAAGCTCAGTAAATACCTTAAACAACAATGTTGCAATGGAACAACAACATCAACAACAACAACAACAGCAACAACAACAACAACATGGATTCAATGGCGCAAGCAACAACTATGGTGCACCTTCGATTGTCGTGACACAGGAGCGTAGACCAGCTGAGAAGGACATGGAGGAACAAAGAAACAACTTCCTTTGGAGAATATATAATAGAAACCTATCTCCCGACGACATGGTAAGGCTGAGATCTCATTCCTCTGGTGTATATAGAAAGAGATATTGTATACCTCTCATCAATAACAAATTCTTTTTAGAAGGTGTATATCAAACTGCCCCAAATGATACTAAAGTGTAAGTCAAAATTAACAAACAAAACAAAGATTGTCTAATAATCAACTAAACTAATTGTGTATATCTCTCTTGATAAACTTTTTTACAGTAAATGTACAGTTTCTAGATACCTTTTGTTTAATGATAAGATTGGTGCATTCATGTTGATGAATCATCTTAATGATTTAGGTATTTTGGAAATGTATAAATTAACACTTTTATATACACAAGAAGAACTTTTGACTGTAAGTTTTATTTATTATAAAAATACTAGTTAGAGAACTTTGTAATTAATAATATATTTCCTATTGTTTATTTATTAGATTTTGAGAATTTTAAAGAATAAAGATAATTATCCAATTATGTACTTCTGCTCTCTTGGAAAAGATAGAACTGGAATGGTTACTTCGTTACTGCTATCTTGTTTGGGTGTTCCAAGGGATTTGATCGTCGAGGACTATTCGAAATCCGAAGGTAATCTCGTCGCCAGTATGGAACAAATCAAAAAGTATTTCACACGAGTCGGATTGTCAAAGGACGAGTTTGTAAGATCGCCAAGAGAGATTATGGCTGGCTTGCTCGGCTGGGTCGACGAAACCTACGGTTCCATTCAAAACTATCTCGAAGTCATTGGATTCACTCACGAAGAACAACAAGAGTTGAAGAACAATCTCATCGTTTCACAAGAGGAATACAACAATATCCTTAATGGTTCTCGTTTGACCAACTTGCAAGGCGTACAAAAGAGACACGACGAATATGTTGCCGCATCTCAATCTTCAAAGAAATCGCCAAAAATCTTTTCTAGTCCAAGATTCTGGAGAAGATTATCATTCTCAAGAGAGAGTAGCAATGCATAATAATATAACAATACTATAATATAATATATACATTAATGTCTCTTTTGAAAATACCAAACAGTAATACTAATATATACATATTTTAATTAAACATTAAAAAAAATCAACAATTAAAATCTATTATTACCTTTATTTATTTCCATATTCACATTGTATTTTATTTCATTGAGTGTCAGACTTTTCTGTTACAGTTGGTTTTTGTTGTGGTGATCTTAAGTTATTGGTTCTTGCTTGAGTGGATGGTGGAGTTGGAGATCCAGATCTGGATGATTGAGTTAGTCTTCTACTAGTTGGAGAGGATGATGGAGGTGAATTTGTTGTTTGTCTTGTTGTAGTTGTGGTGTCAACGGTAGATGGTCTTGACTGTGTGGAGATAGAAGTTGTTCTAGTGGGTTTAGGTGTTGTTAAGGGTGGTGATTTAGGTTGAATGTTTGAAGAATTCGTTGTAGTAGTGGTGGTTGTTGTTGATGATGTGGGAACAGAAATTAGTCTAGTTTCTTTGGGTATTGTAATTGATTTAGGTGGTTGTAATTCCTTTCTTGGAGAAGATGTGGTTTTAGGTGATATTTGGTTATTGTTGTTTATCTGTTCAATTAAATTCACAGGAGAACTATTCATTTTAGGGGCAGGTTTCTTCAGAGCAAGACTTTTTGTAGCTCTTCTTTCTGGAGATTTAGGTATAATCATTTCGGGTTGATCTTCGAATGCAACTTTTTTCTTCTTAATATCTTCATTTTCTTTTTTGTTTGGAGAAACTAAAGCAGATTTATTTGTATTTTCAACAATCGGTGTCAAAGCAACTCTTTTCGCCTCTCTTCCTTGTACTAAATTTAGAAGATTAGTATTCTTAATAGTTAAAGTAATATATAGTATTTAGTAAATCTTACAAATTTTAAAATTATAAATTGATATCTGTGTTAATCTATTTAAAATAACATCTTCCCTAATTCCAATCGGCTTTCCTTTACTTAAAACTTTAATTCCTTCAATACATAAATGATTTAAAGTTTTGATAGTCATTAGATCATTTATAATAGAAACTAATATACCAATGTCCATCTCGCAACCTCTTAGATAAATCTCTTGTAGATTGGTTAATTCTCTCAGTGGTGGACTTACAGTAATAGTTGTAAAACTTAGTATTAAACATTTACAGTTTATAAGTTTTTGAATAGTGTCAAACTATTTAAAATAAATCTTTTAGTCTATTACTTATAGTTAAAATTTTATTGTATATTTATAACATACATATGTTTCTATCTTTTCACACTTATAAAGATCTACATTTAGAATATCTTCAAGACAAGATCCATTTCCCTGCATTCTCATAAATTCTATTTCACTATTTTCTACTTTAATATTATTCATTTTATATATCTGTTTAAATTAGATTTAAAAAGAAAATAATACTAAAAATATTTTGATTTCATTCAAAAAAGAATTTTTATGTGTACGCAATTTTCCTCATTAAAACATTGCTTAAAATTTTATTGGGTGCTTAATGTCGCACCCAATAAATTTTTTTTAATATTATTAATTTTTTTTAAAGTTTATTGTTTTGCTGTTCCAACATTATTAATAAAATTCATTAAAAACTCGATTCCTGCCCTATCCGCCCATGATTCCCAATCCGATTTTGAAATAAAACCTAAATGACCACCCTTTCTTGGCATTGCTAAAATTGTATTGGGATTTGATTTAAACTTTGAATAAGGTATACTTCTCCAAGGAATAAAGTTATCATCTTTTGCACATATAAACAAACAAGGTACTTTAATCTATAATCTATTATTAGTTCAAAAATGTTGTTTTTTTTCATTTTTTTTTAAATAAATGTTAAAATTTTAACATACATTTTGAATTTGATTTGATGGACTGGTAACTTTATAATAATCTTCAACACTTGGATATCCAAACATCTTTATAGTAATTAATTCATCAAGATCCATTGCAGTCTTGCAATTCTTGATTTGTTTCTTTGTTGCGTATTGATCCAGTCGATGACCAAACTTTAACAACATCTTTTTGAATTTCGCTGTTAGTCTGCCACCATAGAAAATCTTGTTGGTTCTCGTCGATATAAGACGTTCCCAGCTGGCTTTCAAATCCATTGGATTCGAGTAACAGATGTGCGCACTATATGGTGAATTGGTTCCAACCTTTGAAAGATAGTTCACCAAAATAATGCCACCCATAGAGAAACCAACCAAAAACAATTGTGCTTTTGGTATCTTTTGTTTAATATGATTTGTTATGAATTCGACATCATCTATTTTACCAAATGAATATGTTTTATCCGACTATCATAAAAAACTTACTTAGTATATTTTAATTCTAATCTTATTCTCAAGTTTATAAACTTACAGTTATTTCATTTCCACCTAAACCACGGTTGTTCAATACTACACATCTAAAATTATACATCTTGTGTGCATTCTGTACAAAATATCTAATATATACAGAGTTACCACTACCTTCGACACCTGGTAATAGTACTATCGTTGGGGTTGTTTCATCACATTCATCATCGAAGTTAAACCAATCTAATGATAACATGCCGCCATCTTCTGCATATAAATATTCTCTTTTTATGTAGTTATAAAAGAATAAGTATACAATGTTTGTTTTATTTAGAATTATTTTGGAAATATATATAAATATTTACCTTTTTTTCTTTAAATCTAATTTCTTTTTTACAAACATCGCATAGAAATTCATAAGGTTTCTATGGCACAAGAGAATGGGAGGATCAAAAGTGGCACCATTAATAACAGATGGTAAATACTCTGAATCTGATCTTATCAGACCTTCTTTAGGACTGTATAAACTTGGGCAATTCTTGAGCAAGTTTTGAGAATCACCCTCTTCTGCATTGAAATATAAATTAATTTCTGTCATTATTATTGATTTTATGACGAGTGATAGAAAAATATATATCTTTTATTTAAATTAATCACTTATTTGATTTTTAAAATGGATTGATTGATTTATGATTTGATTAAATTTAATTTGATTGATTAATTGATCAGCTATTTATATATTGGTTTTTAAAAAGGTATATACAATTGTATCTTAAAAGAAAGTATTGATTTATATGAATATATTTAAATTAATTAAAATAAAATATATAGAATTATAAATAAAGCTAAAAGTAAAGCTTCAAAGTGTAGAGTAGAAAAACTATTAAGATAATAAAATAAAATAAAAGATGTGTGAGGTGTAGAGGTGATTTTTAAAATAAAGTTCCAAGCTATTTCTTCTATTCTTGAAAAAAAGATAGAATACAAGCAATTATTATTATCCTATGGTTTTAAAATAAAAAAACATTCTTTTAAAACAATAAAAATCACCTTATATAAATTATTTAGAACTTCTAAATAGGCTATGGTTGTTGTAGTTGGTGGGTTGTTGTTTGTGAGTTGCTGTCGTTTGTTGTGTGGAATATGTTGCTATTAATATAAGTGTTTCCAAGATGTAACATCATGACTTAATGATAGTCTTTACACTCAGCCAAGCAAGTCTGACTGATATTTCAGATAAGAGGTGTTTTGGTTACTGTTGTGAGTTTGTGTGTTTGTTAAGTATTCAGTGTTTAACGTGTGTGTTTGTGTGTGGTCTAATTGTCAAGTGTGGTTGGAATTATTTAAAAATTGTCTATTTGTTTCATATTATATTAAAATATTTTTATTTTAAAAAAAATGATAATAAACAAAAGATAACCCTAAACACAAAACAACCGTGACGAAATATTTGAAAAATCAATTTTATCATAAGGCTGATTTCAGACTGATTGTTCTTTGTCGTCATGAAAAAATGTATCAAAATACAACACCCACCCCCTCTTCATTCAAAAAATGGGTGACTTCAGCGCTTGTCATCTGTTTTCAGATCTTAGACGCAAAAATAATTTTTACCATTATTGCATAAACAAAAAAAAATAAAATTCTTGAATTCATTTTTTTACCATTAATAGTAAAAAATACCTTATTCTCTTTTAAAAGATAAAAAATTTAGACAAATTAATCTAGCATGCTTAACATTACTAAAATTAAAACATATTTATCTTTTCATTAATAAATACAAATATATTTAAATGATTTTAAACAATTAATTTTAAATAAATAAAATTTAAATAAATATGATTTTCTTCTTGATTTCGTATTAGTGGATTTTCGAGTTTTATATTGGAACAAGCTTTATTTTATATTCTCGCATTTCTAAAAAAAATTTCCTTGCTTTCCAAAACAAAAAAAACAAACGAAAATGGTGACTATCGATGAAATTTTTTTTTGCAATCTACGTGGTGTATTGTTATATTACACCTTCACACACATTTTTTTGAATTTGATTTTTTTTTTATTAATTGGTGAATTATTATTGTCCAATTTTTTAGTCAGATTCTATTCTATTTGCAAATATAAATTTATTCTAACTTTATAAAGATTTATTAATTTAAGGTTATAAGGTTGTTTGTGTATTTTTTTCAATTATCATTACATCTTTTAGTTAGTTATAAAGGTGTTTTATTTTACTTTTATTTGTTATTTTGTTTATATTTATATTTATTCACAGATTTACATATTCTTTTTTTTTAAATTAACAAGACAACAAACATAGATAGATAGATTATTAAGCTTAGTTGGTTAGTTAGTCACATTAATAAAAAGATGAAAAAATTAAATGTACAAGATAATAAGGATAGTGAAAGAATATTCACATCCTCTATAGATGCATTGAAGGTTATGTACAGTCAAAAGATAAAACCGTTGGAGACTCTAACAAAGTAACTATACTATAGTTCAATTCATTCCTATTCGATCCTAATTGTCTAATTGCTGTGTTTGATGTTGTTATTATTAATAGGTTTGGGGAATTTCATTCACCTTCTCTGACCGATAGTGATATAGAAGCAAAGCCAATGGTGTTGCTGCTGGGACAATACTCTACAGGAAAGACTACATTCGTTCAATATCTAATTGAGAGAGACTTCCCAGGAAGTAATATTGGTCCTGAACCAACTGTATGTTTTAAAAGAAAAGATCTTTGTTGTACATGCCTATACTTATATTGTGTTTTACTTCTTTAGACAGATAGATTCAATGCTGTTATGTATGGACCTGATGACAGAGTGATCCCAGGTAATACAGCTGCAGTTCAAGAAGATAAACCATTCAAAGGATTATCTAGATTCGGTACAGGTTTTATGAGTAAATTTCAATGTTCATTGGTAAGTATCGTTTATTAGTTATTTACTATCTTAGTATACTTATTAATCAATGTAAATTCGATAATATGTATAGTGTCCAGCACCATTGTTGGATAAGATTAGTTTTATAGATACACCGGGTGTTCTGAGTGGTGAGAAACAGAGAATAGGAAGATCTTATGATTTTCCAAGTATTGTATCATGGTTTGCAGAGAGATCCGATATGATTTTGTTGTTGTTCGACGCACACAAGTTGGATATCAGTGACGAGTTCAAATCGGCAATTGAGTGTCTTCGTGGCTACGACGACAAGATAAAGATAGTTTTGAATAAAGCCGACAAGGTAAGTGCACAGCAATTGCTACGTGTATACGGTGCATTGATGTGGTCGCTCGGCAAGGTAATAAAGACACCAGAGGTGATGAGAGTGTACTTGGGTTCGTTCTGGAATGGCACCGGTCTGCAGAATCCCGACACTGAGAAGCTGTTGCATTCAGAGATGGTAGACTTGATCAAAGAGCTGCTAATGCTGCCCAAGAACTCGGCGATTCGTAAGGTCAACGACCTGGTCAAGCGTGCACGTTCCGCCAAAGTACACGCACTCATCATTGGACATCTGCGAAATGAGATGCCCAACGTCTTTGGCAAGGATTCAAAACAGCAAGAGTTGATAAAGAATTTGGATAAGGAGTTCCAAAAGATCGAGAGAATGTATAATATTCCGGCAGGTGACTTCCCAGACGTCGAGAAATACAGAAACATCTTGAAGGTTCACGATTTTTCAAAGTTCCCCAAGTTGAATCCAAAGATGTTGGACGTGCTCGACGAGGTGTTGGCAGTGGATTTCCCACAGCTCCTACAGCGTTTCCCATTGGATGGTACACACAAGCCAACTCAATACGAGTTGAATCCATTTGCCATCGACGAAGTCGAAGACACTCTCCGTTGGACAGTGTGGGAGAATGTCAACAGAGACAACTATCTATCGATTTTCTTTGCATTGAATCCAGTGGATGGAAAAGTCAATGGTGCCATAGCAAAACAGCCATTACAACAATCAGGTTTACCAAATGATATTTTAGCAAAGATTTGGAGATTATCAGATATAGATAGGTAATGTATTATGTAATTACAAAATAACGATTATTATTGAACAATTAAATATTAATTATTTTATTATTTTTTATAGAGATGGAATGTTAGATTGTGATGAATTTATTTTAGCTATGCATTTAATTAATTCAAAGATTGCAGGACAAAATATTCCAGAATCATTACCACCTACATTGATTCCACACACAAAACGTGGAGGTATGGGATTTTATTGAGTCAATCATAATAAAAATATATATATCTATAAAAAAAACAAAAAAAAAGGAACCACCAAAATATAATCAATTCAATTCAAAATCATTCATTCATTTCAATTAATTAATTAATTATTAACTATTCATTTCATAATTTAATACATTACAACTAACAATCATTTAATTATAAACTTTTTTTTAATTTTACCTTTTATTAACCAACATTTCTATTTTCTTTTTTTTTTTTTTTTTTAAAAAAAACATTAATATTAATATTTTAAAGGTTTTGATGTTATGTCTGGTGTTAAAATCGGAAGAAAAAAGAGTAGTAAAGCCTCTAGTTCTTCCATTTACAAAGGAAAATTCAAATAATGTTATTCAGATTTATTTGACAAACATATAAAATAAATTGGAAAATATAATTTATTAAATATAAACAATTTGTGTTTTATCGAAAAGTTATTAAAATTTTTTTTTTTGAAAGATAATCTGTCCCACTGAGAGATCTACACTTACATTGCTGCCAGAATGAAAGAAGCTGATTGGTAACAAAGTTGAGAAATTTTGGTCCAAATACGTTTTTAAAAATAGGGAATTTATGAGAAGATCATTTAAGAGTAGACCAAGTAAAAAAAAAAATAAATATTTATTATTTTTTAAGCTTAAATAAAAAATGAATGTAGTCAGGTTAAAGCATAAAGAATAAAATTTTTTTAATCTTAAATGAATAGGAAAACTGGATAACATGGAAGATTATCAATTGAACTATTTAAAAGATTTACAAAAAAATTAGTTTACAGTTAAATTTAAACTTTGTTGTAAAATTTTTTTTTTTTATTAATTTTTTTAAAAAAAAAGAAATTTTAATTAATTATTTATTAATATTATTCTATTATTTATTTATATATATAACATGTCAATTGAAGAATTAAAACAAAAGATTGAAAGTGACAAGAATGAATTACAAGAGATAGAGACATTGTTAGAGGAAGATCCTTCGAATGAAGAGTTGCAACTTTTGAAAGACGAATTGATCGATCTCATCAAGAAATCAAATGATTTACTGTTGACTAGATCTAGAGAAGTAACAAACAATATATCAACGATTACTACATCTACCACTTCCAATAATACAAATGACAACAACTATAACAACAGCAACAACAATAATAGTAATGATTATTTATCTAGTACAAGTTTAGTACAACCTCATAAGATAACTAATGATTCAACAACTATTGTAAATAATAGCAACAATAACAACAACAACAATGTTGGTAACAATACAGCTAACAACAACAGCAGCAGCAGCAGCAGTATGGTGTTATCTGTTGGAACACAGTGTGAAGGAAAATATACAGTCGATGGCATCTGGTATGCAGCGGTGATCGATGCCATCAACAAAGATGGAACATACACAGTTACCTATACGGAATATGGCAACACAGAGTCACTGTCGGTCGAGAGTATCAGACCGCCGACCCGACAGAAACTGGTGCAATCGATACAGGATCAATCGTCACGGTACACCACTGCATCCGATTCGATACAGTCGATACCAAAGTACCTCAAGATTCTGCCTGAAGACTCGGAGGAAGTGAAAAAACAGAAGCAAAAGAAAATAAGATCGGTCAAGGCACAGAACCGACTGTTCAAAGCCGACGAAGAGAATCGAAAGAAGAAACAAGCGTGGCAAGATTTTCAATCGGGACCGAAACGTTCGATACCCGGAACATTTACAGACAAGAAGAAAGGCAGTATGTTTTCAACACCAGACAACCTCAATGGAAAGGTTGGTGTCGTGGGAAGTGGTCGTGGAATGACAGAGAGCACCTCATTTTCAATGGATAAAAAGAAATGTACACTACCTCCAACTTATAAATAAAACAAAATAAACAAATAAATAGATATCTTATCATCATCATCATCATCATCTAGATGTGATTATCAAATATCAAAACATATCTTGTTTTGATATTTTCTATTTTCTTTTTTTTTTTATTTTGCACAAAATATTTTTGATGGAAACAGTACTGAAAAGTTAAGTTATTATTATTATTATTATTATTATTATTATTTAACTTTTAATTTCTTTAAATATCTTTGCTTGTCATCGCTATCTTTTGAGAGTATTACACCACCGCTACCTTTAAGTGGATTGGTTGTGTTGTTTTCCTCGGAGGAGGAATTCGATTTCTCTTCGTCGGAACTTTCTTCTTCTTCATCTTCTTCTTCGTCGTCTTCTTCGTCGTCTTCGTCGTCTTCGTCTTCCTCGTCTTGATCGACCACCTTGAGATGTATACAAAATGATTTGGTGGACGATGCGTGACTCCACTTGAGGTACTGTTGCTGTGAGATTGTGAAGCTAACCAGTGGCAGCGAATCGCAGACGTCCGCCCAAATCTGTGGACGATCGTTTATCTTTATCATGGCGCTGCTGGTGCCGTACACTCGGATCTGATACTTCTTGGGCGGTGGCGTCACAAAGAGAAACAAGAAACTTCGGTAGACACCCTCGCCCGTCGATACAAATACAATGGTGTGTTCTTCCTGCTTCAGCAGCAGGCAACTCGTCTCTGTGCCCTTTGGGAGTGGCGGTATCATTGTCATACGGAAGAACTCTGTTTCACGCTCCTGGTCGTGTAGATAGACCGAGTCGAGTCGGTGGTGATCAACAAAATGCTTTTCAATCTCCACCGGCAACATAGAAACCTCGGTGTGACAACCGAGAATCTTACTCAGCGGGCAAGGTGCCTTTCGATGCTGACACTTCTCCTCGTGTTCCTTCTTCTTGGTGGTCTCTCTAATGGAGAAGATCTCATTGCAACCATCGCTATAGTGACAACACAACTGCTGTGCATCTTCAATCAGTTTCTCAACCGTATAGTTTCTTCTTGGATTCTTTGGCCATTGTTTTTTGCCTATAAATATAAATACATACAACAAAATGAAAAGAAAAGTTAATGTTGAATCTAGTTAGTTCATAATGATTTATAAATACTTACATTTAGGACAGGTCTTCAGTGTTGACAAACAAGATTCACAAGTCCAAAAATCGCAAGAATCACAACAAAACGATTTACTAAAGTTACTATGATAACATATGCAACACTCTACAACACTATTATCTACAATGATCACTTCTTTACCGAGACCCATTCTTTTTATTTATATATGATATGTGCTCTTTGTAGCTGAACAAATTATACAATGTTACTACATAAAATATCTAATAAATAATTAAAAATAAATAAATTTAAATATAAAATAATATTTATCTTTAATAACTACATGTATTATCGACAAACAATTTATAACCTTATAAATTATTTAATGAAAAAAAATTTTGTGCTTCATTTTTAAAAAATTTCTCTTCAAATCATTCTTTGTGTGTGGTGTACTTGATTTTAACACACATACATTTACATATATTTTTGCAACATTAAATGGGCAAGTTATTGTTTTTATTATCAATATTAGTTTATTTTGTTAAACAATTGAAATAGTTGAACTAGATGAAATAGTTATTTGTTAAAGTTAGAGTAACTTGGTTAGATAAAGAACAACAAGCCTTTGATAAAAATGTCATCTTTTGAATTAGGTATGGATTGCTTTAAATAAAGTATCTCATCTCTAAAACATTATATTAAATTGATTTGACAGATTCCAATATTTGTTCATTATGCTCTAAAGCTTTGGAATGTGGAGAAAAAAGGTACAGGTGTTCAGAATGTAGTGATATAAAGTTTTGTGAGGAATGTTATCACTCTCCAAAATCAAATGAATGTCATACTGATAAAGCTATCTTACCTCATCAATGTACAATTGAGACAAGTATTTATCTATAGGGATGATAATATCTCTTTTCTTAGATAATAACTCTAACATTTTTTAATTTGAACATAGAAACTGAAAGTGAATATTTAGAATCCAATGAATCTGACAGATTTTATCAAAGCTTTGTGAATGCATTCAATAGTTTTTCTCACAGGAATTGTATTGGTGTAAGACCTGTTGCAAATGAGCCAACTGTAAATTGGTTGACATTTAAAGATGTTTATCAAAATTCTGAAAAGTTTGGATCTGCTTTAAAACTAAATGTTAAAGTAAATTATTAAAAATATATTTCTTTTAATTATTTATTAAAATTTTATTTTAATTATTACAGTATGAATCAAGAGTTGGAATAATGCTCAATAATGTTCCAGAATGGTATTTTGTAGAATTTGGATGTCTATTTTATGGATACACTCTTATTCCCATCAATCATTTTGTTAGTATGTTCAATCATTATTTATAATATTTTATTTAATAGATTACCAATTATTAATAAAATTACAGATAATGATCAATTATTGAATATCCTTAAGATTGGAGAACCAACAGTTCTTGTGGTTTCAAAGATAACATTTCCAAAATTACTAAATGTGATAAACAACTATTCAAACTTAACATTGATCATACATGTTGGTGATGATTATGATCAAAATTTGAAAAATCAACTTCCACAACAAATCAAATTCAAATTATATTCTGAATTCTTATCTACTGTTTCTGTAATTGCTCCACATTCACCATTGATCAATGGTATTTTATCATTGGGTAAGTATAAATTCTTTTAAATATTTTATTTTTAAATAACTAATCATTTATTAATAATAACAGTATTTTCAACTGGTAGTACTGGTGTTCCAAAAGGAGAGATATGCAAAGATAGAGATACTACCAATTGGTTAAAGGATTTTGCTACATTTTGGGGACATTGTCCTATTACAATAAGTTATCTTTCTCTTTGTAAGTTAGTTTCTTTTCTTTATTAAAATTATAAATAAAACTAACCATTCAAAAATAACCATTTAAAAATAGCACATATTCAGAGGATTAAAGATTTAGTCTGTATTTTCCTTGGAGGTAGATTTGTAATTTATTCTTTGGGTACAGACATTGAATCATATATCAAAGAGTGTTCAATGGTTAGACCAACATATTTCTGGAATCTTCCAACGTAATTAAAATATATTGTATTATTATAGAGAATTATTATTTATTTTACATTATTTTCTTAATAGATTTTTAAATCAATTATATTCAATGTATCAAAGAAAATCAGAAATAATAAAGAAAGAACAACCAAATCTTTCAAATGACGAAGTTGATTCAATAGCCATTAGAGAAACAACTAACATTTTTGGAGATAGAATTCATCTTGTAACTACAGGAGGTGCTAAAACCGCTCCACATATAGAAACATTCATGAAGAAATGTTGGGGAAATCGTTTTTATATAAAATACGGAAGTACAGAATCCTATTCAATTGCAACAAATGGTAGAATTAAAAGTGATGTTGAATATAAAATCGAAGCAATACCTGGTTTCAGAGATGATAGTCCATTTCCAGTTGGTGAATTAATTGTCAAATCACCAAGAACAATTGAAGGTTATATCAACAAAGATGGTTCAAATGAAAAGAATTTCAGAAATGGATGGTATGTCACTGGTGATATCGTTGAAGAATATGAACCAGGAATCATTAGAATACTTGAGAGAGTTAGTTACTCTTTCAAATCGTCAATGGGTAGATATATTTCGTAGGTTTTCTTTTTCTGATTTTTTTATTAATGACAATTTAAGAATATAAATTATATTTATATTAATTTAATTTTGATAAATTAATTTACAGACCAGAATTAATTGAAGCTTATTATTCTTCTTCATCTTTGATTAGAAATATATTCATTTATGGAACATCATTACATCCATTTTTGGTTGGAATAGTTGTACCTTCTCAATTGGCTTTGGAGAGATTCAATCTAACTTATGATCAATCAAATATTGATCAACATCAATATTTGAGAGAATCTATCATCAACGAAATAGATATCATATCAAAACAAAAGAATGTAAGTAAAATTAATAAAATTTGGATTTAACTGTTTTTTCTAATTTTATATTTAATAGATTATATTTTGGGAAATTCCAAAGGCAATAAAATTGGATAATACCATTTGGACTGTTGATAATCATCTTTTAAATGGATCATTCAAATTCGATCGAAAAGAAATCACAAAATACTATCAAGAATCTTTGGATCAATTATTGGATGGCATCAATCAACAAGGTAGTTCATTTTTTTAATAATAAATCTATCAAAGAATTATTAAATCAAGCATTATTTTCTTTAAATGATTATTAATAAATTTTAAATTTGAATATGTAAAAATATTTAAATAATTAGATAGAGATACAAAATAAAATAATAATAAAAATTAAGATTCCATTTTTGTGATTTAAAAAAGTGTACACACGATTTAAATAAGTACAACACAGGTAAAAGATTTTAGATTTAAGTTGTACTTACAAAACAAAAAATTTAAAAAGTTTATTAATCTATTAAAGAATATATTAATAAAATTAAGATATAATATTAATAAAATTTGACAAGAGTAAGAGATTATCTTCAAATAATTGTAAATCTTATTAAAAACCATTTAAATAGTTTATTTTTAATGAAAATTTATTCCAAAAGTGATTTGTGGGTTATATTGGTGTTATTTCAATTTTTTAAAGTTGCTAACTTTTTAGGATTAGATGTTTGTTTTTTTGTGTGAAATCAAACTACAATTTTTACATTCATTTACTTTTATTTTTTTAAATTTAAAATTCATTTAAGCTCTATTTCTAAATATTTATAATATATTTTTAAAATTGAATAAATAAAGACTTGTAGTTTTTAAAAATGATATCATCAGAATCAGGTAAGTAAAATTACTATTCGTTCAAACCTCTTAATTAATTCTTTTTTTTTATTAAATTGATTTGCCAGATTCCAATATTTGTTCATTATGTTTTAAAGCATTGGGATGTGGAGAAAAAAGATATAGGTGTTCAGAATGCTACTATCTTAATTTTTGTAAGGAATGTTTTCACTCTCCAAAATCAAATGAATGTCATACTGATAAAGCTATCTTACCTCATCAATGTACAATTGAGACAAGTATTTATCTATCCTTTTCAAGTGATGATAATATCTCTTTTCTTAGATAATAACTCTAACATTTTTTAATTTGAAAATAGAAACTGAAAGTGAATATTTAGAATCCAATGAATCATATAAATTTTATCAATGTTTTGTGAATGCATTCAATAGTTTTTCTCACAGGAACTGTATTGGTGTAAGACCTGTTGCAAATGAGCCAACTGTAAATTGGTTGACATTTAAAGATGTTTATCAAAATTCTGAAAAGTTTGGATCTGCTTTAAAACTAAATGTTAAAGTAAATTATTAAAAATATCTTATGTCTTTATTTTTAATTATTAACATTTTATTTTAATTTATTACAGTATGAATCGAGAGTTGGAATAATGCTCAATAATGTTCCAGAATGGTATTTTGTAGAATTTGGATGTCTATTTTATGGATACACTCTTATTCCTATCAATCATTATATCAGTATGTTCAATAAAAAATATAGTTTTATTTAATTTGATTACTAATTATTAATAAAATTACAGATAATGATCAATTATTGAATATCCTTAAGATTGGAGAACCATCAGTTCTTGTGGTTTCAAAGATAACATTTCCAAAATTACTAAATGTGATAAACAACTATTCAAACTTAACATTGATCATACATGTTGGTGATGATTATGATCAAAATTTGAAAAATCAACTTCCACAACAAATCAAATTCAAATTATATTCTGAATTCTTATCTACTGTTTCTGTAATTGCTCCACATTCACCATTAATCAATGGTATATTATCAGTTGGTAAGTATAAATCTTTTTCAATATTTTATTATTAAATAACTATTAATTTAAAAAAAATATATTATCTTTTAATATAAAAGTATTTTCAACTGGTAGTACTGGTGTTCCAAAAGGAGAGATATGCAAAGATAGAGATACTACCAATTGGTTAAAAACTTTGGCTTCAAATAAAAAATGCCCTATTTCTATCAGTTATCTTTCTCTTTGTAAGTTAACATCTGTTTTATTTCATGATTAATAGAGAAATTTAACTAATAATTTAAAATAGCTCACACCCAAAGGGTTATTGATTTAACTTCTATTTTCCTTGGAGGTAGATTCATAATTTACTCTTTTGCTACAGAGATAGAACCATTTATTAAAGAGTGTTCAATGGTTAGACCAACATATTTCTGGAATTTCTCAACGTAATTAAAATATTTAAAATTAAAATTAAAATTTATTAACTTCTATTTAAAATTAGATTTTTTAATCAAATTTATTCAATGTATCAAAGAAGATTAGAAATTTTAAAGAAAGAACAACCAAATCTTTCAAATGACGAAGTTGATTCAATAGCCATTAGAGAAACAAAAAATCTTTTTGGTGATAGAATTCAAAATATAACAACAGGAGGTGCTAAAACAGCTCCACATATTGAAATATTTTTGAAGAAATGTTGGGGAAATCGTTTTTATATCCACTATGGTTGTACAGAATCATATGCTATTGCATATAATGGTAGAATTAAAAGTGATGTTGAATATAAAATCGAAGCAATACCTGGTTTCAGAGATGATAGTCCATTTCCAGTTGGTGAATTAATTGTCAAATCACCAAGAACAATTGAAGGTTATATCAACAAAGATGGTTCAAATGAAAAGAATTTCAGAAATGGATGGTATGTCACTGGTGATATCGTTGAAGAATATGAACCAGGAATCATTAGAATACTTGAGAGAGTTAGTTACTCTTTCAAATCATCATTTGGAAGATATATTTCGTAAGTTTTCTTTTTAAAAAATTATTTTAAATGAAACTGAGTTTTTATTATTAATTCAACTATATAGACCAGAAATAATTGAAGCTTATTATTCTTCTTCATCTTTGATTCGAAATATATTCATTTATGGAACATCATTACATCCATTTTTGGTTGGAATAGTTGTACCTTCTCAATTGGCTTTGGAGAGATTCAATCTAACTTATGATCAATCAAATATTGATCAACATCAATATTTGAGAGAATCTATCATCAATGAAATAGATATCATATCAAAACAAAAGAATGTAAGTAAAATTAATAAAATTTGGATTTAACTCTTTTTCTAATTTTATATTTAATAGATTATATTTTGGGAAATTCCAAAGCAATAAAATTGGATAATACCATTTGGACTGTTGATAATCATCTTTTAAATGGATCATTCAAATTCGATCGAAAAGAAATCACAAAATACTATCCAGAATCTTTGGATCAATTATTGGAATGGTATTAATGAACAAGATAGTTCATTCTTCTAAATCAATCAAAATTAGTCTAATAAATTAACAAACAAAGAAAAAGAATTTATAATTATATTTACAAATTTGTTATCTGAATTCATTTAGATAATATTATTTTATTTTATTTTTAGAATCGCTACCTGCGACCTTTTGTCTTCGGGAGGAGGATGATGATACAGGAATTTCAGAATTGGATGAAGTGGACTTTCTTTTATGATCTTTGGAAGTGGATGACTGCGAACGACCATTATCATGGTCAGAGTCGACCTCTTTTTTGTTGTCGTCTTTCCATGCAGTCCAATCATTAAGTTTCATTTTGAAATAGTTTGACATACAATCCCATGTACAAAAATGAATAAAACTATTGGCTCTGGAGATCTCTGATCTCACCTGGATGTGATCGTTACAGCCAACAGAGCAGTTCTCACACTCATGCGTTGGATACTGTGTAAACGGGAAATCCGATGGAAATATATCGCTGTTAGATAGATTGAAATATCGGTATAATTTATAAAGATGTGCAGTACTACACAGTTTAAAAATATGCTTGCCATAGTGCAAGTAGATTCTTTTCTTCAGATCGGTGGTGTTTCCCTTGCACTCGCTGCTGTCCTCAATGATTTTCTTGGTTACTGGATCAACAAGATCCGCCATACAATAACATTTCGTCCTTTTATCTTCATTAAAAGTTAGTTCTATTTTCGAAAAAGTTTCTTTCATTTGATTGTCTGGTGGTGATGATGATGATTTCTCAGTATTAGTTGTAGTTGTAGTGGTTGTAGTTGTGAAACCATGTGGTGGTGGTGGTGGTGGTGGTGGTTGTGGTGGTTGTGGTTGTGGTGGTGTCGGCTTGGCTGGATGTTCCAATGAAGATGACGATGATAGCAATGTTTTTTGAGTTGGTTGTTGTGATTGAATGTGTGTGAGGGTGGTATTCGATGATCTCTCAAGTAACGACAGAGTTTGTGATTGTTGTTGTTGTTGTTGTTGTAGATATAACGGTTGGTATGATGTGTGATTATTGTTACCACCATTACCGCCATTACCACCGGTATATGGTGATTGTGCAGGTGATGGCGAATGTCCTGAAGATGATGAAGGTGAAGAATGATTATTATTGTTATTATTGTTATTGTTATTATTATTATTAATATCACGATGTGGAATGAACATTTTAGATATGGTAGTTAAACAATCTCTAAATGCAACACTACATTTCTCATAGTGAAAAAATAACATCAAAGGATGCACCTCCTCTAAACAAATAATACAATTAGGACTACGCTCTATATTCCCAAGTATTCGCTTCTGAACATCACTCAGACTATCAGCATCTAAAAGTTGTCTAAAATTTGTCATTATTTTGAAAATTATTTAATTGTAATAAATTTATTTATTATCTCTAGTATTATAACAATATAGAATATAATAAATATATATAAATAGAATATATTTCTTTTTATGATAAATCATTCTTTCAAAATGAACTTATATATAAGTTTAAAAAAATAAAAATTTTTTAAAGCATGTTCAAAAAATAAACTGTCAGAAAAATTTTTTGAAATAAAAAACAAACAAAAAAAATAAAACTTTTTGACAGTTTGTTTTGTGTGTCAAAAACATGAAACAACACATTTCGAAAAAATATATTCCATTTGAATAAATTTTGGCAAGTTGACACCTCTTTAATGAAATAGAATAGAATGTTACTTCTATTTGTTGTATTCCAAAAAAAAAAAAAAATGTAATTGCAAAAAAAATTGTAAATTTTATCCATTTATATTATTATATTTATTGAAATTCAATTGGGAATGATGTCAATTGACATCGATAAATTAAAATAATATATTTATATTCTAATGGGTATATCCAATTGATTGAGGATATATATTGGTTACTATATAGAATACAATTCGGTGGCCTGTTGCACGACTAGTCTTTATTATAAGATTATCAAGTAAAACATTTGGCTGGTTCTGTGTTGGCAATACCTTATATACTCGAATTGTAATATATGAGCCAAATTCATTTTTATTAAACATTTTCGATTGCCCAATTGGCATACTTGACATTGCACCTGTATTAACACTTTGTAATAAAGTATTATCTAAATATTGTTATTAATATTAATTTAATTACTAGTTATATATATATTATTATTTTACAAATTTTTATAATTTATTTTTATTATTTTTATTTAATATTAATTTTTTTACTATTTTTTCAAAATATTTACCTTTTCCAATAATTTCGAACTTCATAGATATAGGTGATTCAAATGGAAATATAAATTGTACGTAATCGGCTGAATAGTGTAAAGCTGTCATTACCGTCTCATACATACAACCATCGATGATAAAAGAAGTCATCAAAGAAAGATCTTTGACACTATTCATTTTTTAAAAAAAAACAAAATTATTAATTGTTATTTGTTTAACTATAGAATATTATTTCTATTTATCTAAACTAATTATTAATAAATATAAATTTTTATTACTCTAATATCCCATTTTTAATAATAATTGATTTTGTAAAAATAAACTAATATATATATGTACAAATAAATTTTGAAAAAATAAAATAAAATAAAAATATATTACACATGGTTGGTTTGGTTGATCATAACAATATAAAAACCACACATACTACCAAAAATGAAATAAAAAAAAATGATTACCACATTAATTAATAAACTGACCTAAAAATCAATATAAATATTTGATTATTAAAATTTAATTAATTTAATAATGTTTTAAATACATGTTATTTTTATTATTCTTAAGAATATATTTTATTGATGATTGGCAGTTACAGAGACACTTGAAGTTGGATAAGGTGTTGGATATTGATTTGGATATGGTGCACCACTGTAGAGTACTGCTCCGTTTCCTTGTTGATGGTATTGTGGCACTAGTTGATATCCGTAGTATTGTGCTGGTGGTTGTGTGGCTACACAGTGATCATGATGCTTGGTAGCACTGACAAGGTAGTTGTTCACCAGTTGCTGACGTCTTCTGTATCTGAACCATGCTACAATAAAACCGATAAGCACCAACATACAGCCGACAATGATAATAGCAATCAAACCTGGCCCTGGACGACTGTAGCATGAAGTACAAACTGTTTCACCATTGGTATAGCCGAGAAGGCCTGAACAGTGCCAAGTATACATTGCAGAGTTATAGTGTTCATAGGAACAAAATGGAATTCCATCAAATCCTACGAATCCAATACAACAATCAGATGTAGCATCGACAAATGTAGAGAACACTGCAACTAAAACAACTAAGATTATAACTTTATTCATTATCTTTTATCTCTTTTAAATAATAAAAAAGTTGATTATTTTTAATTGAAATGGTTTCACAACATTAATTTTTCAATTTAACTGATCTATATGATCACATGTAAAATGTGAAGTTAGTATGTTTGCTGGTTACCACGAAATATCAAGATTTTTTTTTTCTAAAGGTCGTGAAAACTTTGTACAACAAAAAAAAAACAAAAAAAGCTGATGTAATAAAATGAAGCAAAGTAATCGAAGATTACCAGGAAAGACGGTTTGTTGTTATTGATAATAAAAATTTGTTATTAAATTCGAATAATTTAAATATAAAGTTATGATTAGATTTAACATGTGGAGACAAAATTTTATTATTTTTATATTTACAACATATATATATTGAGTTTGTCTATACTATGTCTATGTCTATCTATGTCTATGCTGTTGTTGGAACTTTAATAGAGTTAGAATTACTGCTACTACTACTACTACTGGTGTCATTTATATTGCTGTTTTCAGAGTTTACGAGTAGTAGTTTATCGAGTAACTCTTTGACAGAGTTGAGATGGACAGTTAACATTTCACAGTCGTTCTCGTCGATTTTGTTTAGTTTCATTGCTTTCTGGATTTGAGTTTCTTTTGCCCGAAGAATGTCTTTGAATGCCTCGAATGCACTTGGATGGATACCGCCACCAAAGTCTACGGACTGGCGTTGTGCTTCCTCTTTGACACCGGTGATCTCCATGATCTTGTTGGAACAATAACTGAAATCTTTGATTTTGTTCTTTTGCTTGAGGAACGAAGATAGATCCATTCCTTGATCCCAGTCGTCGTCCGACTCTTTGAATTGATCCATACCGCGCACCAGCGATCGCTTTGGTCCGAGTGGCGAACGCTTCATTTGGCGTGGCGATACAGAAGAGGTTGCAGACGAGGGTATTCCTAATTTACTGGAGGCATTGGGTGAAGAGCTGGAGGGAATCGGTGAGCTGTTGGATTTAATTACATTTCGTGGACTACAGAGGATGGTTGTGGTGGTGGAAGAAGTTGAGGTTTCCGTCTTACCCTCTTCTTTGGTGGTGGAGATGGTTGTGGTGGTCGTTATTGTTTTTGGAATGTCAATGAGGTCATCGAAATCTTTGAATGGATCGTCGTCATCGTAGATCTCTGTTGTCTTGTTACTCAACGTCAGCTTGACAATGGTTGGATTTGGTTGTGTTACGCTTGTAGTGTTGGTGGAGGATGGTTGTTGTTGTTCGGGTGTTGTAACGGCTGCAAGTGGAACTTCACTAACTGGCAGCGTGGCAGAAGTTGTAGTTGTCATGGTGGTCGTTGAGAGTAAAGAGTCTGTGGATGTCTGTTTGGCTAGGATAGAGGTGGAGGTCGATGACGATGAAGTTACTATTCCAACAGGAATATCATCGGTTGCAGTCAGTTGCGACGATGAAGTTGATGTTGAAATAGTAATCGATACGGATGAACGTTTGGATTTGGTTGTGGTTGTAGTAGCCGCTGATAAAGACGATGAAGTTGAATATCGAGGTGAATTTGGCTGTTGATTATTTTGTGGAGTGGATTGTTGTTGTTGTTGTTGTTGTTGGGGTGGAATTACAATGGTTGGTAACTGAGTTGAAGGTGAAGAGGTTGTTGCAGTTTCTACATATTTGACAGGTGATGATTGTACGGGATTTGGAATCAATTGATATCTGGATGGTGATAAAACAATTGGTATTGGTTTTGAAGTGGTGGTGGTGTTGTTGTGATTTACAATTTTGGAGGTTGACGATTCAACTGAATCGGATGTTGGCAATTCCACTCCAACCAAAGAAGCTGTGGATGGTTGTCTTTTGAGAGTGGGTGGTGAAGGTGAAGCAACTGGAGTTGACTTTATTCTTGGTGAATTGACAGGTGATTTTTCAACTGTTTGTGAAGATGACGATGACGATGTTGTGGTGGACGAGAGAAGTGTAGACGACTTGCCGCCACCAGTAGTGGTAGTGGTAGTAGTGGTGGTGGTAGTTGTTGTACATGCTATGACAGCTTGTTGTTCTGTTGGTTTGACTGTTGGCAATATATCGGCAACCTGGGCAACCAATTTTATTGGTGATTTATTAATGGTTGTTGTTGTTTTGGTGATTGTTGTTTGCGTTTGTGTTTGAGGTTGAATTGGTGGTTGGCCGGTGGTGGTGGTAGCTGGCAGATGTTGATCCTTTGGTGAAAAACAGAATCTACACATCAGAGGTCTCCATGGATTCTGTTCGAATCCTTTACATTGTTGTGGATTGGTTGTTGCTTGTGTAGGTTGATACGGAGATTGCGGTGACTTTGGTGAGGCATTTTGTGGTGATAATAGAGTCTGTGGAGTTTGTGGTGATTGCGGTGATTGTGGTGATTTTAGAATTCTGGAATTGTTCATATTGTTGTAGTTGTTGTTCTCGTAGTATTTAACAATGGTTGATTTTTCAATGAGTTTGGGTTTGATGGTAGTTGCTCTTTCCGACGACTTGTTGCCAATGGAGTTGAATTCTTGATGATTTAAATCAAGTTGCGCAGTTGATATTTTTAATTTGGAATTTAAAGATTGTTGTTGGTGTTGGTGTTGAAGATCTTCAAATCCATAAGACTTTGAGTCCAGAGCAATTTCCACTTGTTGTTGATCGATTGTAATTGATGTTGCTGTTGTTGCTGCTGTCAGTGATTCTAATTGTGCTGCGTCTACTACTGTTGGCAAATCCTCCACTTTTTTTATAATAATGTTGTTGTTGTTGTTGGATTGTTCTTGATTTTGATTTTTATTTTTATGGTACTGATGGAACTGCAGACAACAGGAACATTTGATTGGATTCCACCTACTCGGCTGAAAAGAAGTACAAGTATTTTGTTGAACTATTATAAGTGTCATTTTTCAATTAATAAAAAGTTAGAATAAATAAATAAACAATTTTTTTTTTTTTTAATTTTAATTTTAACGATGGAAGTTTAGTTTATTGTTATTTGAACGATAAAAGTGAAAATCATATGATGTATGTATTTAAATAAATAAGGTAATTTTAGGTTTTTCTTTCTTTTTTTTTTTTTTTTGGTTTTTTATTTTATTTTTTTGATTGGAGAATATAATGATTGGAATTTGATTTTGATTGATTGATTGTTATTTTAATTATTAGGTTAAAAATAGTAGCAACAAATAGATAGAATTTATTTTTGTTTGTTTGTGTTTGATTAAAATATTTGTTGTAATGCCAAAGGAATGGACACAAAAGTAGAATAGAATAAATAAATTGATCAGCACACAATTGTTGAACGAGGCTATAACAAATGATGAAACAAATTAAATATATAAGATATACAACTTGTTTGAAGTAAATTGTCAATTCCCATTTGTCTCCAAGGAAGCTAGTAGCTTATAGTTTAATGAACCTAAAAACAAAACAAACGAACTGACTAACTAACTAACTAACTATTTATCTATCTATCTATTATCTTTATGTCTGTATATCTACCAATCAACAATCAGCATTCAATCATTTTATATTATATATATTGTTAGGTTTGGTTTGGTTTGGTTGTTTGATGAGTGTGTTTGTGACCGTCCAAAAGATGAATGTATATTATGATGATGATAATAACAATAAATGATTATGATGATGATGATGATAATATTAATTATAGTTCACTATTGACTGATCAGTAAAAGAACTGCTGCTGTTAATTTTACACTTAAACTTACTACACAAATAAAAACAATCTAATTCCATATGACATATAATTGGTTTATTGAATTAGAATTTGTTATTATTGTTGGAACTGTATATTTTCTTAACAGATCGTGTTTTGTTTTGTTTTTTTTTTTTTTTTTATAATTCTAATATAACCTATCAAGACATATATGTATACAAATTATTATTATTATTATTATTTCTACGTTATATAACTGTGTGTGTTATTTATATATATGAAAAGGAAAGGGCGAGGAGGGTTGGTGTTGGTTATTCGATGTAACTAACAAAACAATAAAATGTAATAATAATATTTGTTATTTTTATTATTTTATTTTATTTTTATTATTTCAATTAATTATTTGTTTTTTGATTGTAATTTATTATTATGTTACTAATTTATTTATTTATTATTATTTGATTGGATGCTAAATTAATTTATGATTGTTGTGAATTGTGTTTGTTTTTATGCTAATCACGTTTTTAATATAAAAAATGGGTGATCTTTGGTGGGTTTTGTCAAAACAATGTGAGAATTTGAAAAAAAAAAACTACCTAAATCTCCCCACTAAATTAAACAATCAATATATGATTTTGGGGTACCACCATCGTGGTATTTGCAAAACTCCCTAAACACTACCCTTCAAACACCCCACCACCTTCAAAAAACAACAAAAAAAAATTACTTAATTCACTAAAAGAAAAGAGAAAAAAATAGAATCTGTGTATGATATTGTTATTGTACCTTTTATAAGGTATACAACTCTTGTTTAACGTTCAAAAAAAAAATAATAATAAATTAAATTCAACTATTATTTTATTTTTATTCTGTTTATTCTGGAATTGAATTGAATTGAATTACTCATTCATGATTCACACTCAACACCATGAGTATGTTGAATAAGAAATTAAGATTTAACAAAATAAATGAGATATATGGTGTGTTTGAAAGAAAGTAAATAGAATGGTGCGGAAGAAAATGTGGTGGTGGTATTAGTGTCGAATAGTATATGAATGGGTAATAACCATCAAGGTTATAAACTTAAACTATACTGACAGTTGATTAGCTATCTATTTTTTATTGAATTTTAATTGGATTGTTATTGTATTTTTAAAATATGACTCTTATTTTATAACTAAAGTATACTATTATAATACTATATGCTATAGTTATTGAATTATTATGATTTCTGATTGAAAATTAAATAAAAAAAAACAACCGACTGGTCTTATTTTATCTTATTTATGATTGTTTGATTGATTGCTTGCTTATTGTTGTGTTGGAATTTCCAAAGTTTAAAATAAAATAATTATAATTTATTTTAACAAATACCACTTTATTTAAGTCAATATGTCATCCCATGGGATGATAAAAAATATAATACAACAACTGACGATAAAATATATTTCAATAACATAACAAACATCATTATTAATAGTATTAATCAAACCATATATATTTAAAAAAAGTTATCGATGTTTATTTTAACTCCATATCTCATTTATCTATAAATATAACTTCCAAACTAATGAAATTGATTTATTTATTGATTGTATAATGATATTATAGTATTGATATTGATACAAACCTTTTTAAAAAAGAACCAGATATCTGTAAACTTGAAAGTAAATCGGTTGATATTTATTATAAATATTAAATAAATAAATAAATAAATAAATAAATAAACTAAAGTTTAGTTATGATTACTATAATTGTGTATATAATTTTGGTAAATATATTATTTTCCAACCTAAATATATATATGTTTTTATGGTTAGTTTAGTTTGGTTTTTGGATTGATTTAGTTATTTCCTTTTTTATAGATTATAAATATTATTTTCCTTTGTTTAATCATATGGAATTGATTATAAATTATTAATTTATCTGTTAAATTTTTATTTTTTATTTTATTTTTTTAATTGCTTTATTGGATTGGATGTTAGGTGTGTTATTGGTTATGTTAGGCGCGGTAAAATTACAAAACTAAATATAAAGACAAAATAATATATAAATATATATATTAACAATAAGTTGATTTGGATTTTTGAACTCTGATTGTTTTTGCAATAGAGTGAAGAAGTGATTGTGTGTGAGTGTGTATGTGATGAACTAACTATAATAATACAATATTAATACATTAATTAATAACCACCTGCCAAAGCACACCTAAATTAAAAGTATTTGATAAAGTGATAGTGTAATTCAGTTCTCTTTGATTCATGAAAAGCGAGACAAGCAATCAAAAAGGATATACTATATATATAATTTCAATCAAGATGATGAAGATGATGAAGATGATGATCATCAAGCTTTATGTTTGATTAATTAAAAATGATTGGTTGTTCGAATTAATATAACAATAGCTACACAACAAATAATGTGGCGCCAATAACAACAACACAAAACTTTATTTTTCTTTTAATATTTTTTATATAATTATTCTAATTTGACAAAAAAATTATCTAGAACGCATTCTACCTACTATGTATGGATCACTATTGAATTATTCAGCTGAATTGAATTGAATGAACACTCACTGCTTGCTACCACAACACACAACTTTATAAAGTATAAAAAGTAAAGTTGATGTTATTGTTTTGATTTGTTTATATAATAATACATATACATATATATATATATATATATATGTGAAGTTATGATATGATAATCTCTTTGTGTATTTGTGTGTGGTGTGTGGTGTGTTTAATATTAAATATACTATAGCAACTAGTTGAGTGTGTTGTGTTGGTGGTGTTGATTATTATTTGTTTTGAATAAATAAACAGTGAGTTGAGTGTGTGTTTGTTGTGAAGAGATTAATTTCTATTTCTATACCCACAATACCAATCTCGTCTGTTTGAAATTTTACATTTTTTTATTAATTTTTTTTTATTTGTTTTTTTTTTGCAATGGATTGGGTTTTGATTTCCGATCGATCTGCATCTCAATTTTAAAAACAATACTTTCTTTGTATTTTTATGATTTATTTCTGCTTTGATTTTTAGAAAAACAAATTTGTTTCTAAAAATCAAAGTAGAAATAATTGGTTGAGTTATATACAAATAATAAGTATGAAATAAAATCTATTTATTGATCATATTTATGAGTTAGGTGTTTCGATGATGACTTTAGCTTCGCCTCTATGCAACATTAATAATCTTTACTACACTTTACAAACTTGGATATGATAGATGTAAATTGACATCTGATATTTCTGTCTGTATTATCCACTCCAATCTAAGCTATTAATAAAGTTTAGTGAGTATACAAATAGAATTAGTATGTTTGAACTCCTGCTAAATGATCTAGCTCTTTTTTTATCAAGAGTTACAAAAATAATAATAATAACTTGTATCTTCTTGAATTGAATTAAATTCAATTTGGTTTAACAAGTTTTGTCTTCACACAAAGATAGTAATTTAAACACATCTGTGATCTATTTTTTTGTTTTTTTTTTTAAAAAAGAATTATTATAATTTTATATTTATTTAAAATGTCATATCGATATATATTAGAATCTAATATTATAAATGATCATTTAAGAAAGTTTTATTTCAAAAATAGTAATACTATCAATAAGAAACTTGATCAAATATTTATATCACAAAAATCTTCTCGACCAACATGCATCAATATTAATATAAGTAATAATGGGTGCAAGTTGAAGAGTAGTTGCTCAACAACAACAACATCATTGATTGCTTTCAACAACTATCAAAAAAATAGTACTAGTTTTAATAATAGATTCAATTCATTTAGCTCTATAAATCACAATAGTATTTCATTAGATATCAATGAGTTAAAGAGATCAATTGAATATATTAATAATGGTGGTCAAATACACAATAGCAATTCAATAACCTCTGAAATTCAAATAGATTCCAACAAGCTGAATGAAATACATAGTACTATTCTATCGTTGGATCATAATAACAATCAACAACAATTTACAAATGAATTACACTATTATATTGCTAAATTCTTAATGACTTGGAATTTACCTAGATTCTATAATGATAGAATGCCAAACAATGATAGATTAAATGTATGTATTAGAATTACATAAAAGTGAAGCAAACTCATCAAGAAAAAAAAAAAAAAAAAAAGTTATTAATTTTATTGTTCTTAAAGAATCCAAATGAATCAGAGATGTTAATGGCAATGAATTGGTTGGATGTCAATGTAAAGGATAACGATCAATTGAATGAGAAGTTTATTAATACAAGATTGTCATTGGCGATGGAGTATCCGAGAATTGTAGAGCGTGTTCGTCAGTTGGTGTTGGACACTGTCGATCGAGTGGAAACTAACCGTTTGGATCCAGATAGCTCGTTCTTCCGATTGATTCTCTCGTTCCAGGCATGTCCATATCTCTGTCTGTGGCAAGAGATGCGAACTCTTGGCGATATGATTGTAAACAACTATGCTTCTGCGATGGCTATGATGCACCAGGAAGCACAGCAAGACAACACCAAGCTCGACTACCACTGTATCTATCTTATGTTGGACAGCTCACTCTCCTATTTAGAAACATCAAAACAACAACAACAGCAACAACCAGCACTATCAAGTCATGATGATGACTATTGGACAAGACACAACTATGCAATTAAACAATTTGTTTATACAAAATCCAAGATGGAATGTCGAAATCTACCGGCGGAGATAGAGGAGTTGGCCATTGCGAAATTCGCAAAGGACAATGAGAATGCACCGCCCAACCGAATCGCGGTGCCGGAGGAAAGCGAGATGTCTGTATTGGCAAACACCATGCGATGGTCATTGAAATTCGAAGATCTTCCAACCATGCTCTACACCGGTATCATCGACCACCAAAATGGCACAGTCAATCTATTCGGCTACCTGCTGTACAAAGCCAATGAATCCACGGAGCTAGAGCTATCGTCAGAGTTTGCTGGTCGCATTGCATTCGAACAGAATCACATCGTTCTCAACGGCCAGCTAGTTCGTACCGTTAGAAACACAGAGTCACCAAACCAAACTTATATCTATACAATGGATACAAAGTTAATATTTATAAAAGAATTTTAAAAGTGGAGAAAACAAAAACAAAAACAATGATGCAATGAGGATTGATATGAATATTTACACATTAGCTTTTTGTTTAATTAACAGTATATGTTACATTATCTTGAAAATAATCTTCGGAAAAAGGGGAGTAGTCAAAGTTATCCCATTTCTCTTGGAAATAGGTGGCAAAGTTGAGGGTGGTGCAAACTCTTGGTTGGGTGACGTCGCGCTGCAGACAATTCAATTGGGTGGTGGTGCTGCCGGTCTCGCATAGCGCATCGTTACATCTCTGGAATTCACAACGATGTGTAGTGGTGTTACAAAACTGAACGTCGGCACAAGCCGTTCCAAAACAAGTGTCCACACTCGAGATGTAAATGATATTCTCTGTACAAATGATTCCCCATGAGAATGTATTGCAAATGAAGCCTGTTGGACAGAGCGAGCAGTTGAATCGCTTGGTCAAATCATGATCGAATACCATCTCTCGGCTGTTGGGAATGCAATCGTAGTCGGTCAGCATGCCTTTGCCACAGTGGAAATTCGGTGGACACTCCTCGTCTCGGCACGACTCCAAGATGTTGGAGTAGTCCGGTTTCAGCTGGCATCCGGCAATACCAATATCTTTGAGTAGAACACATTCATTGCTGCTATCGCACGTCAGATATTCGCATGTCGTTGGGAAGCAAGTTGGCTGGTTCCCAAAGAGCCGACAAGTGAAACCTTTCGCGCAGGGCAGCTGACACGGAGCGACATGATCTTGGAACGGTGCTTCCGAATCGTGATTGGGTGCTGGCAGTGCAACACACTCATTAAAACTACTACAACAATAGAAACTATAATATTCACAGCTTAGATAATTAACTGAATTTCCACACATCATTCCTTTCTCTTCACATCGCAATGTTTGACATGTATCTAGTTTTTTTGTTATTTTTTTTCAGAGGAAGAAATTGTCAATTGTTTATAAATAATATTATTAATAATTAATTTATAATTACCATTTGTTATTATAAAAGATTCATAGTCATCTGGTAAATCTATGGTGGCTTGAAATTCGTAGACTTGTTTGGTTGTTTTGTGTCGGAAACAAAAAGGTTTCGGTGAGTTTTCATCGAAAAGCAAGACGTTTCTTATATCGAAATCGGTGGTGAATGAAGTGATATTGGCTGTTTGCTCGGTGTTGAATATATTGGAATCGACTTCGTCGTCGATTGTGATGATATCGTCGATCGGATAGAAATCGGCGGTCAACACAGGCAATTTTGGAAACGGAGTCAACGACTTCCTACTGATACAGAAATAGCGATCCTCGTAACAACATGACAACACCGGAACGTACAAACAATCCGGATTGGCTTTACATTCATCTTCATCGGTCAGATTAACACAAACACTTGAAGTTGAAGTTGTTGTTAAAGCTTCAACTCTTTTTATATTTACAAACAACAACAACGACGACAACGTTAACAATAGCAATAATAATATAAAAACATATTTAATACTATTTCTAAATAATATAATAATAAAAACAACCATAATATTTATAATAATACATTATTTTATTTTCTATATCTTAACTAACTATATACATATACATCTATACAAATATTCTACCTTTTTTTTTTAAGAAATCTTTTTATATATCTTAATCTTTATTTATTATTTTTATGATTGAAATTTGATTCAATGTTACACTGACTCATCTAATGATCATTTTTGATTTAACACACAGATTAAAAGCTTTTAACACATATAAACATTATTGTTAAACTATTTTAATCATTTAAATTCTGATTATGGTGTTGTTTGTGTGTAATTTTTTTGAATGAAAAAAAAATTACAAAAAAGGAGGGTAAAAGACTCGTTGATCATAACCAAAAATAGTTTTAAATTTGGTTAAAGTTTTATTTTTCAGATTGATGTTGTTGTTGTTTTTGTAAATATATATATATGTATCAATCATCTATCAATAAACCGAGTAGTTCAACCGTTATAACTCCAACCGGAGTTATTAGTCATCGAACAACAAATACAAATATTTCATCAACACCATCATCATCATCATCATCATCAAGTACACCACTACAAAAAGACAATAACAGTAGTAATATTTTAAAATCACCATCATTTCCATTTGTCTCGAGATCATGGGAACTTAATACATTCGATTCCTACATGAAGTTCAGAGCACACTATGTAAATGTAAAATCAACGAAATACCTGGTGAAAGCACTCTCCCTAATGGTACTATCGATCGGTGTATATTGTTATCTTTTTGAAGCCGGTAGTATACTACTACCAATTGGTATGTTTAGTTTAGTTTAGCTTAATTTAGTTTAAATGATCAATTATTAAGTACTTAATAATCATTATATATAATCGTCGGAAACTATAGTTTGGTTTTATAGTTTGTTGATTGGATCATCTGTTACTCTTGGTCTTGGTAGTGCGATGTTGGCACAACACTTTCAACAGGTTCCAGAGGTGATATTGAGTGAGGAACAACGTCAACTCTATCAGTGGCCATCAAACTTTCCATCCAGTCCACCTGTTTCTACTGCATCGTCATCTAGCCGAAAAGATTCATTAATTCAAGAAGCTAGATATGGAATGACACTAGATTCAATTTCACCTTATAAACCAGCTAACAATAGCAGTTCATCGACATCTACATCATCAGTTGTTGGTAGCAATACAACCAATAATAATACAACAGGATCATCATCATCAACAACAACAACAACATCATCAACAACAGGATCAAACATATCACCGGTATCAAATAAAACAACATCTACACAATCAACCGTAATAACACCAACCTCTTCCACATCATCAGTACAACAAAAATCACCAATTACATCACCATACTCCTACAGATCGACAAGATACACACCACCAAAATCAATAGAAATAAGAGAGAAGTAAGTATAAAGTAGCAATTAATCATTAAAATGATTGTTTATTAATAACGATTTATCACGTGTGTTTTTAGTGAAGAGATATCAAATCATTTCCAAGGTAGATTGTTTACATCTCTAAGTGAATTTGTAACATCTCAATTCGATAAAGAAGTAATTGATCAAAATGATAGGTCGAATCATGATAAAGATAAGAGTATGTAATATTATTTATTTTAGATATGTAATGATTGATTTGTTGATTATTAACAATCATGATATAATAGAAATATTTGAGATTGAACCATTGTCACAACAACACTATGGCTATGAAGCACCAATACAGAGTTATCGTGTACTTCAACGTTCAAAGGTGATAGAACCAACGAAGGTGTCCTACGAGGATATGGTGGCAAGCAAATACCTCCAGTGGAAGAACATGTGCGAAGCAGAGCATCTCTACAACATGATAAGCGCAGCGAATGCATGTTCACGTTGGTTCACAGAGAATATCATTAAGCCGCTGGTAGCACCGGCCGAAGCGTATCTCGCTGTCAAAGACGAGAAGCTGCTGTCGCTCGTTGACGAGCGTGGCTTTGGCATGGCGAAATGCTCGTTCCTCAACCTACCGACACTCGACATCATGAAGAACGTACTGAAACACACGATCTATCATTTGGATCGACTGAACGACGTTCACCACAAGAAGGAATCCGAGCATATCTGTCGGCGCATCAAAGAACTCTCGAAAGACGGATACGTCTTCCACACGTTCGGTAACAAATCCAACGACCAAAACGACCTACAACAACCAACCGATGAACAATTGCTATTCGCATTGTTCTTGGCCTATATGGATGAGAAACTCTACAAAGATGTAACTGCACCAATCCCAGATCTTCCATTCTCCTCTAAATATATAAAGGACGATAATTCAAAGCAAGGTAATTATTATTAATAATATTATCATTATGTTAACATAATACTAACAATCACCGCCGAAATATTATTTAGTATTCAAATATGTACCAATTATCAATATTACATACAAAAGACCATTACATCTTGATATTTTAACTCCACAATATGAATCATTCAAATTGATAGATATTTCACCAGTATGTATAATATTAGATAAATATAATGCTCTGATACCTACCAATACATACTAATAATAACAATATTTATATTATTAATAATACAAAAATAATAATAATAGGGTTTACAGAATATATTCTTTACTATTGTATTATTCTTTTATTATATTACAAAGTATAATGATGGATACATCGATAATATGGATATATCAAAGTTAAATGTCAATATCTTTTTGAATTCATTGATCAACGATGATTCAAATGATGATGAAGATGATATCGATTTATTAGAAGATGATTAATTATTGATTTAAATAAAACATTAATTATAATTATAAGTAAACTTTAATAAATTAGTATCTTATTGTATTTTTGATTTATTGAATAAATCAATTAGATGATGTTCCATTGGATCTACAAGTTGTTGAGCGGTCTCTTGATTGTTATCTTTGATGTCTGTCGATGCATGGTGTTTCAATAGCAGTGCAACGATATCGTCGAATCCACCCATTGCAGCATAATGAAGTGCAGTCATACCCTGATCGTCTTGACAATCGATATCTACATGATATTCGCCACTCAATAATAACTCTGTAATCTCTAGATTTCCACGATCACAACACCAAATCAATGCTGTCTTTTGTTCTGAATCTCTATCGTTTATACATTTACCACTACTCACTTTCAACAATTCCTCTACCTTGTTTAAATTATCACAAGATGACCAATATACAATATCTTCTTTACTAATAATATTGATAAGCGAATGAATGAATGATTAGTAAATAGATAATAAACATATTTTAATAACCAAGTAAATCATTAACAATACACATACTCATGTGTCTTTGAAACCATGTTTTCCTCCGATGCAATATTGAATCTACTCATGATAGGACCCATTGCTCCACCTCTTTTACTCGATGATTCATCCTCACTGCTTTCAAATAAACTTTCATTCTTGTTAGCTTCTTCATCATCGTCATCACTTAATGATTGATCTGATGATTTTGTCTTTGTTGTATTCGATGTATTAGTTGTTGTTGTTGTTGTTGAAGCTGTAGTTGTTGTTGCTGTATCATTTATAGATTCTCTCCAATTTGGTTGTAATTCATCTAATTTCTTAATATAATTATTCATTGCATCTTCTTTACTCATATCACCTAGGTTTGACCAACTACTCCTATATATATATATATATATATATATATATTTTATTAATTTAATTAATAAAAATAATAATATATAATTAAATTGTAGCTATGTTATTATTACAAACCATTTAGCTTTACCAACGAAATCAAAGAATGATGGTTGTTTAGTATTACATTTTCCTTGAGTGGCCTGCTTGAAATGACCATAGAAATATAATTGTTGTTCATCTTTTAAGCCAGGTATTTTAGTTCTATTTAAATAACTAACAGCATTATTAAACAATGATTCACTCATCTTTATATATATTATCTATCTATATTTATATTTATCTATATTAAATTAATTAAATAAATTTGAAAATCAAAAAATTAAAAATCATATTATCATAAATAGTCATTATTACCACATCGGCAAAAACTATGTGTTCCAAAGATTAAAAAAAAAATCAAAAGCATTTTAAATGAAATAAAAAATATAATTAGAGTTTAATATTTATTAATATTGTAATTATTGTTGTTGGAATATTTATTATTAAACAATACGCAGGTTAATCATCAATAGATCTTGAAAATCTAATTTTTCTTTTTGAAGCCTTGCTTGGCTTTTTAGTTGGTAAAATATCATTATTACTGCTGCTAGTGTTTGTAAAATATTTTTTTGATCTTTTGACTGCATTCTCAAGATTAATTTTATCATTTGGATAGATCTGAATGAGATCAATCATGAAATCAAACAATTGACTTTTTTCCATTGCTTTAATATCGGATGGCAATAATTGGTATTGTTTGAAAATCTCCATGTGCTTTTGGTTCTCCATGAGTTTCGAGATTATGTGAGTGTTACCATATTTGATGATCTGTGAGAAAATACTGTCGGTAGTGTATTTGAAATCATAGGACTTCTGAGTCTCTCTGTAATCTAAGATGGTCTTGATGACCGGCCAATCTGGAGTCATGGGGAATATCCATCTAACACTCTGACGCGCCATGAAAAATTCGATGAAACCAATTTGATTCGCCTCGCAAGCGAATCTAAACATTGTTTTCATCAACTCTAGCTCTTGGTTGACGTTGTTCATGATGATTGAGAATGCCCGAATGTCACCGGTGAAACCTATCGACCGGAACAATTCGAAATTGCTAATGCCAAGCGAGAGCTTTGGATAACGCGAGACTAGGTACTCGGCAATATCGTAACGATAGTAGAGAAGTGAAATCCTTAGTAACAACTCATTGGTGAATGATTCAATTCCATTGCCACGATTGTTTTTGGCAAACTCTACTTTCGATGCTTCTAAGGATTGAAGATATCTCGGGTGTTGATCGATCAGCTTGAAGATATCGAAACATCCATTGGCAGCAGCAACCAACTGTGTGACATAGATCGACTCGCATGGTGTATTATCCAAAAGGTATTTGACAAAACACAAATGATTATCGGTTCTTGGCAAGAAGGGAATCATTGCTGAAGCAACCAGAGGAAAGTGAACCGAAAGCAAATTAGCAACCTCGCTCCCGTTCAAATCCGATTTCAATTGCAAATTGGCTGGACCATAGAATTTATCCTCTGTAGCACTATCTGTCTTCAGTCTGGAGTTGTATGACACTTGGTTGGTCAAACCTATTATAGCCGAGGATAATTGATAGCCACCCGTCGTCATAGTTGTTCCTAATGGCCTAGCCAAACTATGGTCTCGCTGATTGTATCTTTCGATATATTGTGGAGTATTTGAATTATAAACGGTAGATGTTGTTGATGGTGCATAACTTAAAATATTTGTAGATTGGTATTGTGCAGCTGATTCATTAGGGACAGATGGTGTTGTAAATGGTGGTAGATGGTATGACATAGGTGTTTCGTATGGTGCAGATGATAACATCATTCCTGCTGGATTGTGTTGTGTAGCAAATGTAGTTGTTAATGGTGTTGGTAAAGATGGTAGTTGGTAAAGTCCACTGGTTTCATATGGTGCAGTTGATCCTAATGTCATTCCCGTTGAATAGTGTGGTGTAGTAGTTGAGAGGTGAGAGATTGTTGATGTTGTTGATAATGGTTGATAGTGTACATTTGATGTGTTAGAGACAGATGATGATGTTGTTGTTAATGGTGTTGGTAATGGTGGCTGTTGGTAAAGTCCTCTTCTATTGATTGGTGCAGATACTGAGCTAGAGAGAAGTGGCGATCCTAATGACATTCCTGTTGATAGATGTGGTGTAGTAGTTGATGAGTTAGTGTTAGTTGCTGTTGTTGTTGCTGTAGTTAATTGTGTTGGTAAAGTTGGTTGTTGGTAAAGTCCACTTGCATATGGTGCAGTTGAACCTAATGTCATTCCCGTTGAATAGTGTGGTGTAGTAGTTGGGGGGTGAGAGATTGTTGATGTTGTTGATAATGGTTGAACATGGGAATAGTTTGATGAAGATGAAGAAGAAAAAGTTGCAGTTGTTGATGCTGATGATGGTGTTTGACCTGGCTTTAGTCTAAATCCAAACTGTATGACTGATTCCAAAAGTCCATCGTCAGTTGATCCTATCTTGGCATCGACAATCTGTTGACGATAGATATTCAAAGCGAATGCTATGATTTCTTTGGATTCTTGGTACTTGTTCGCGATTAAATATTGAATTGGTTCGAGCATCATAAATAGACCATGATCTTTATGAAGCTTTTGAAGCAACTGGATATTGTTCAAGTTAAACAGTGCACTCAGTCTTTGGCAATGAACAACGAGGTCATTGTTGTTGGCTTTGGGTGGTGGTCTGGACAATCCTTTCAAGTGGGACGATAATCGCTCCAAAACATCAAAGTGTTTCTCGCTTTGCAGATAGTTGAGAAGCAGACCTTCTTCACTGGGTGTCAAACTATGTGCCAACCTAATTAACACCTCCATCAAATCCTCTCGCTTATCGCAAATTGCATACATGAAATCTCTGTGATGAATAGAGTATCCACCGTCACTGAGAAGAAACTCTAAAATCCTTGGGGTCATTTTCAGGTAACTACGAGTATTCTCAACGATTGGCTCTCTGATGGTGATCGCTGTTGATGTGTCTTGGTCCAGTGGGAACTCTACTGAATTGATATAACTGAGGGTATCAATGAAAAGTTGGTCGTCGTCGATGTTGAATTTTGTGAATAACTTGAATGGAGAACTGGGATTCACTATTAGGTACTCGTTATTCTTGAGCTTCTCTCTCAGCAGTGAAAAATATTTGTTATCGAGAATCCAGTTGAGGTGAGCGATCTCTTTGTACTTGTAGGACGGATAGCTATTCATTGGAAATCGTTTGGGCTTACCCATCTGTTTCATTGCATTGGGAATAGGATTTATCTCGATGTCCAAAACGTCGACCAACGAATACTGATCCTCACCATTGACATTGTTGATACTATAGAAAATAGGGGCATGAGGTATTGGCTTTAGATTTCCACCACCCATCATCAAAAAGATGTGGTTCAATATCACTTTGTTTGAGAAAACTCTTGAAATAACATGGTTATTCTCTGTCATCGTTGTTGTTGTTGTTGTTGATGCTACTGAATATTGTTGAAACTGACTATAACTTCTTTTATACAAATTCATTACAAGAACAATAAGAAATCAAAACCATTTAGTATTCGAATATTTATCAAGAAGAGTAGAGTGAGAAAAATTGTAAAACAACCAAAAATAAATAAAAAAATTGTTTTTTTATTCAATATCTGGATATTTTTTATTTATTTTTCTGAAATAAAATTCTTTGTTAAGAAGGAGTAGTCCTAGTCTTTTATTGTAAAAAATTTGCATTAAATCAAACAAAATTATTTTTCAAAAAAAAGCATCTCAAAGATTCAAAAAAAATGTAACGGTTACTAAAGAAATATTTCTTTCATTCTTTAATAATTAATAATTAGATATTAAAAAGGAAGGAAACATGTTTGATTTTTGATTTCTATTTGAAAAAACAAATACAGTTGTAATAATACTATATATTTTATATATAATTGAATATGTTTTGTGCGTATATATATTAATTAAAAGTATAAACTATTATTTTATACTTCAAGTGATATTGACCTGTTGGGATCGTTTGTTTGCTTGTGTGTTAATACATTGTGTAGAAATTGTACACATTTTTGTGATAAAACTAAACCTTCCATTGGATTTGAACTTGATACATCATAGAGATTTGGTGCAACAACAATTGCTAAAAAAAAAAATAGTAGAATAAGAAAATATTAATATTATTGATAATAATCCAAAATATATATATTGATCTTACCTAAATTCTGAAGTGTCATTTTATTTACATTCGAATGAGATGCAACATGAAGCAATAGATTCATTAGCCAATCCAATAAATTCTTTTGCATCTCTGGTAGTTTGTTGACTGCATCGACACATTCATCAACATCGTTACAATGGAAAATCTTTTCTGTTGGAATTGAATTTAATATTGGTGTTGGTAATTCTCTATACCAAATCTATAAGAGTGAAAAAGTAAAAAAGAGTTAGAAGATAAACAAAAGGGAGTTGTTTGATTTAACTTAAATTTACCTTAATTAATGATGCTACAGTATTTATATCGTTGCTAGAGTTGAATTCATTCTTATTCATCGATTCTTTGATTCTCTTGATTTCAGTTTGCTCACCTGCCAAACGGAATATACCCTCTTGCTCCAAACCACCGTATTCAATGAGTGAACGCTTCATTGCGACGAGAATCGATGGCACGCGACATCCGACGTCTTCGACCATCTCCAGAGTGGCGGGATCAACACCAAACACTCCGGTTTCGCAACGTATCTTCACGGTGAGGAAATGGCTGACACCACCTTCGACTCGCAGCACAACCTTGTGATTTGCATTGATCTTTTGATTGACGATCAACTTAATCTTGATGATCTTTGACTTGCCCTTGTCGACCGAGCCCGACGACGGACTGAACGACAACTGAAACTCTTTGGGCAGCGACGGCTCAAAGTTGAATTTCATCTTTGATTTATTTAGGTTGACCAGTGTGAATTGATCCTGAACCACCACCTTAAGTGGACATGGACGTTCGCCCAGATTGAAATCCAGTATACTCTTTGAAACTTCGATACCACCATTGTTTGCCGTTCCAATTTCTTCGATCAGTGGTTTCGATCTATAGTCTATTGCTGTTGGTGCTGAAAACGATGGTGCTGTTCCAGAGTTGTGTGATGATTTTGATGACGATGATCCCATCTTTTCTTTCGATGGTGTTTTATCTGTTTTACTATTACTCTAAAAAATATTTATATAATTAATTATTATTTTTTAATAAGTAAAAATGAATTCTTTTAAAAAAAGATTATTGATTAACTGGTTGATTAAATGAAAGTTTCAGACTCGAGTGCGTGATAAATCTAAAATTAATTTAAACGAAAAAATAACAAATTCGAACAAAAAATAAAATAAAATAAAGCTTTTTTTTGATGAAAAATAACAACACAACAAAATAACAATAATAAAGATATTGTTTAAGATAAGATTGATGATTTTTTTTTAACTGTTATAATAATTATTATTATTATAAATTGTTTTCTTTCTTTTTGTCTTACTTTCTTTTACACTTTTTTTTTTTTTAATAATAATAATAATAATAGTGATAATAAAAATTAATTCACAAAAAATTGATGTTATTAACAATTATTTGTGATTGTGAAGCAAAATATTATATATTATAAAAGTGACCTGTTCTTTTCTTTTTCAATATAAAATCTATTTTTCAGCTGAAAACCACCACATTAACTTTCCGCTTGTTCTTCTTTCTGCTCACCATCAGATTAATTCATCATTTCTCCTGTTCTGATCTATACCATTTTTAATTTTGAATTACTTTGTGGTGATGGTGTTTGTGCGGTGTGTGTATATACTGCTCTAGATATATGGATGATGATGATGGTGTAGATTGGGATCACATTTATATAACTCTAGAGTAGCCAGCACTTCCATTTGGGCAAAACAAACAAAAACATTCAAAAAAATAACATTATACCACCACATACCACCACAATAGCAAAACAAATCAAATCAGTATTGCTTGTAATAAATAAAAATAAAACAAAACTAAACTAAACATCACCAAATAAATAAAAGTAAACATATATAACAAATAAATAAAACAATTACCACGATGATTACCACGATGTTAATAAATAACACACCACTCTACACTTTTGGAAAATATGAAAAAACAAAAAAAAAAACGATCAAATCGGTACACTAATACGATAACAAAATTGATTTCAGGGGGAAAGAAAGGAAGTATGGTATTTAAATTTAAATGTTGTTATTATTTGTTGTTGGTGGATTGAGATTTTATTTTATTTATTTATTTTCATTCCAATTGGTTGATTGGTAAACCAATCATGCATCCATAAATAATATCATTTTATAAATATTTTAATCCGTGTGGATCACACCAATCCATTTGATTGTTTATGTTGTTTAAAAATGATGATGATAAAATAAACGATTATAATTGTTTTTGAGTCATCGATAATGCTGTTGTTAATGATGATGATGATGATAATAGATAAAACATAGTGGTGGAAGTGTGTAGTTAGAATGAGAACGAACATAACATAACTAACAAGTTAACTCTTTGATGATAAAGATAAAATATTTATAAATAAAATATGTTTTCTTTTTCGCCATTAGTATTTTGTTTGGTTTGTGTGGTGTGATCAGGTACTGATCTGATCTGTTATGAATTGACTGTTCGATTTTGTTTTGTAATTACTATTATGGATGATGTGAGAAAACAAACCAAAGTCCATTCATTCATTCATTCCATTCATACCAATGAAAAAGATCGACAATAGTTTATCTAATATATAAATTGGGATTAAAGAGGAATCTATTTTTAACTATCTGATATGATCAAATCTTCTTTCTATATTTAATTTCTATTTTACAACCAATATGCATTTGCTATTGTTTTGTTTTGTTTGTTTTTTTTGTATAATATTATATTGCATTACCTAATACTACCGACTACTATCTAATTTACAAATCCACTTTATACTCTATTGCTACTACTTAATACTGAATAATAATATTGAATTGATTCTCACAAATTAGAATAATCGATTATTATTATATTGAATAAATTTATAAGATTTACTCCTATTGGCGGTTTTCTATTTATATTTTTTATAATAAAAAGGAGAGAATACCCCTTTATCAAGTTCTTTAATTATTTTTATTTATTTTTATTTATTTTTATTTTTCATCAATTTTTGATCATGTGATAGTGGGTGTGGGTGTTTTTTAATTTTTGTTTAAGATAATGAATTTATGAAGGACAAGGATTGTTGGGAGACTTTTTTTGAGATATAAAACAAAACGAAAATAATGTGTTAACAGAAGAGGATGAGTCCACACTGTGAACTTGATTTGGTTTTAAAATTGATGTGAGAAGAGAATAAACTAAATCATTATTATAATTCATTCTTACAATATAATAAAAAAAGGCAGTTGGCCTTGTTATTTGATGTTGATTGAAATAAATGATTATTAAATCAACAAAAACCAACAATACCAAACCGATGTAATAAGTAAAAAAGTCAAAGAGAAGACAGACAGCTGTCAAAATTTGTCACACTGTAATAGTTGAATCATTAAACGATATATATACTTACTTTCCAAAACATTTTTAGTTTATCACGATTTTATATTTTCTTTAAAACTATAATACAATTAAAAATACAAAGATAGATATAAAAAGCTTTTTATTTTCTTATTTATTTATTTTATTTTTATTAAAATAGCAGTATTATTACTAGTTTATGATTATTGATTATTTACTGTTGATGTTTCTCCAAAAAGTCTCATACTTTTTACAAAAATGTAAAATAATTGGAAAAATTAAAAAAAAAATAAAAAAACTAAATGGGAGCCATCACAAAACAACAATCTCCCAACACTTTTTTGGGTGGCTACGCTTGTGATGAAATCTTATTTTTTTTTTCTGAATTATCTTATTCCAAAATTTTATGTTTTATTTTTGTAACCAATTGATTATTTATCTTTTCGTTTCAATAAATGTGATAGTAATATACACTTAGAGATAATTTTACGTTTATGATGGTATAGAAACATAATCCATTTGAGTTTAAACTAGTGTTTGATATAAAATGTTAAAAGTCATTTGATTTTATGAAGCTAAAGTTATTTTAATTTGTACAAAAAGTAGTACTTTTTAAATAAATGTTGATGAAATAATTATGATGGTCAATGTAAACAAAATATTTGATGACAAATGATGATGATTAACGTTTTAAATAGATTTTGATCCTCAAAATGATTATAAAATAACCAATAATATTTATGATCTTTTTTTAATTGAATTACTTGTTGTTGATTTGCCCAAACTCCACAAATCAATTTCGATCTTGGTTCAGTCTGGTACATTTGGATGTCCACACATCTAAATTAAGGAATTGTTGTTCATTGTCTTTGTCTTGTTTTGTTTTGAGTGTGTGGGTACTTTGACCAAAAACAAAAAGAAAAGTAAAAATTATGAAAAACTGAAAAGTGATCATCAATTCATATCAGTGTGGTTCCAATCTAAAGGAAGCAAAAAAAGTTTCAAAAATATAAAAATCTTGGCTAGTTTTTTCACTTTTTTTTTTTTTGAAAAAACTAAAACAAAAATAAATTAAAATAAAATAAAATCAAACATCAAGCTTTTTTGATTCGATTCTGTTCACGCTGCTCAGAGCTTGTCAGACATCTTCAAAAACAAAAATTTTGTTGAAGAAAAGTTTAAATAAGTAATTACAACATACACCCAAACAAAACAACAATTAAAAAATGTTACAAATATTAATTGGTGTAGCCGTTGCTCTTATCATCTTATCTCTTTTCAAAAAGGTAATTAAGAATAAATATATAATATTCTTTTATATTGAAAAAATATTAATAATATAAATATAAAAATAAAAATATTATTATTATTATTATTATTTATTTAATTTAATATAGAATGTTCCAGGTACACCACCAATGATTGGATCTATTCCACTTATTGGATGTTTCCACAAGTTCGCCACTGATCCATTGGGATTGGTAAGAAAATCGTATGACAAGGTTGGTGACGCCTTCACTCTCTACCTTATGGGTTTCAAAATGACTTTCCTTATTGGACCTGAAGCACAATCTGTGTTCTTTCGTGGTTCCGATGAAGAGTTGAGCCCAAAGGAAGCCTACCGTTTCGTTACCCCTGTTTTTGGACCTGGTGTAGTCTACGACTCACCAACTGAAGTCATGTATGAGCAACTTCGTTTCGTCAAAGATGGTTTGGTCCTCAGTCAATTGAAGAAATCCGTCGGTATCATCTCTGAGGAGACCGAGAAATTCTTTGAAGAAAAGTGGGGTGATTCAGGTGAAGTCGATCTCTTGGCTGAAATGAATAAAGTAAGTAGAAATTTAACAACAAGAAGAAGAAGAACAACAACAACAACAACACACAAAGAACAACAAGAATATTAATATTAATTATTATTATTTTAAAATAGTTAACAATTTTAACTGCTTCACGTTGTTTAATGGGTAGTGATATTAACAAAGCATTGGGACAAGCATCGAACCTCGCTGATTTGTACCACGAGTTGGAAGAGGGTTTGAATCCAATCTCTTTCTTCTTCCCAAATCTTCCATTGCCATCGTTTGCCAAGCGTGATGCCGCACGTGCCAAGGTTGCCGCTATTTTCGACTCTATTATCAAAGCTCGTCGTAGATCCACTGAGCCACGTGACGACGTCTTGCAAGTACTCATGACCAGCAAATACAAGGACGGTTCCGTCTTGGACGACGAGAAAATCGTTGGTTTGATGATTGGTCTCTTGTTTGCCGGTCAACACACCTCATCGATCACCTCGACCTGGGCCGGTTTCTACATGTTCAACAACCCCGAGTACTTGGAGCAGGTTCTCAAGGAGATCAACGACTACCACGTCGAAGAGAACAACGGTGAAATCAACTTTGACGGTCTTCGTAAGATGACCCGTTTAGAGACAATCATTCGTGAGGTTCTCCGTTTGCATCCCCCCTTAATTTTCTTGATGCGTAAGGTCATGGAGCCAATCACCTACAAGGATTTCACCATCCCAGCCGGTCACTTGGTTGCTGTATCGCCAGCTGTCGGTATGCGTCTCGACAGTGTCTTTAAGAACGCCAACGAATTCAATCCAAAGCGTTTCGATCCAGAGAACGACGAGTCTAAGACCCCATTCTCCTACATTGCATTCGGTGGTGGTAAGCACGGTTGTCCAGGTGAGAATTTTGGTATCCTCCAAATCAAGACCATCTGGTCGGTTCTCCTCCAAAAGTATGACTTGAAGCTTGGATCCGTTCCAAAGCCAGACTACACCAATTTGGTAGCTGGTCCACAAGCTCCATGCAAGATCACTTATACCAGAAAACAAAAGTAAATAATTTGAAAACAAAACAATAAAATGCAAAATAAAATTAAACAATAATAAAAAATACATAAGAGAATGCTTAATACATATGAGAACGCTTATGAGACTCATATAAAAAAATGAGTTCACGATAACAACGAATCCCCACACTTTGATGTGTAAAGCAGGGTAGCATTTCTCTTATTATGAATTATTATTATTATCAATTACAATGTAACATCATTAAATTAACAATGAATATTTTATTTATTTATTTAACTACCTTATTATGGTGATTTCGGGTGGTAACACTTCACTTATAATGATCAAATCAACCCCAAAATTTCATGAACTTGATATAACTTTGTTGTTTTATTAATTCGAACAAATATATGGTGGTAGAATAGGAATGACCTTACCAAAACAAATCATATCAATACTAAGAAACTGTGTTTACTTATTTCATTGATTAATTATATCATTCATTGTATATCAATCATTCGAATTTTATTTACATACATTATTTACTGTTCTATTTTTTGATGGTATTTCTGTATTTGTTTGATCAACTGATTTTATTACTATTGACTTTTATGTTTTATTGTTAAATTATTATAAATTAAATAATGTTAAAATCTTTATTATTTATTTTATTTTTAGGTATTTTAATAAATACAGATTCAACCCAAACCCTTCTTTCTACACCAATTAAATTGTCTCATCAAGAGTATATGAGGCAATTTATTGAATGGATGTATAAGCACAACAGAATCTATCCGAATCTTTTAGAGTTCAACGCGAGATTCTTTTTATTCGTAGATACTTTGGATTTTATAAATCTGTCAAATATGAATCCACTTACCACATACAAATTGGCTTTAAATAACTTTTCAGATTATACCCCAGATGAAAAGAGAATGTTGTTGGGATACACACCACTGGTTTCCGATATTGGATACGCAATCGACGATGAACGTTCAAAGAAGCTGGTGCAGAGTATAGAGGCGACCACAGGTTATGTAGATTGGCGTGACAAATACGTTAGTAGTGTCAAGAATCAAGGATTGTGCGGTGGTTGTTATTCTTTCGCGGCTTCAGCTCTCATCGAGAGTGCCATCATGATCAAGAACCGAACGGAATTCGATTTGAGTGAACAGGACTTGATCGATTGCTCCTATAGTACCTATCAGGGTATGAACAACGGATGTAAAGGTGGTGACATTGCCCTGGCAATACAGCAAGCTATTGCCTCTGGTCAAGCAGACGAGCTGAACTATCCCTATATATCCGGTAGTTCCAAAGCGCTTGGCCTATGTAAATCAAAAGTGAAACGAGCGAATATGTCACAGATGCAGATTTTTAAGATATTGTCGAGCGAAAGCCATTTGGCTGAAAACTTACTCAAGTACGGACCCATTGCTATTGCGATGGACGGTGAAAACAAATCTCTTTTGTCCTATAAAGGTGGTATCTTTAGCGATTTCTCATGTTCACAAAACGTTAATCATGCAGTACTCCTAGTTGGTTCTGGAGTTGATAATGGTCAAGAGTATTGGATCGTCAAGAATTCTTGGGGTACTGAATGGGGAGAGAATGGGTAAGTATTTTATTAATAATATTCTTTAATTTTGCAAGAAAGTTTAATTAAAATTATTAATAATCAATACCAGATTTTTAAGAATTGTTAAAGGAAGAAGTTTGTGTGGTATAGGTACACGTCCAAGTTACTTTGTCCAATAAAAACATCATACAAAAATAAAAATAAAATCAAATAAATAATAACAATTATCTTAAACACTATATAATGGTTGATTCTTGGGTGCTTTTTTATCGTTGTCTTTGCTTTGTTTATTCATATATGTAATCGTAAATTATTTTTATAGTTATAAATCTTTGTTTTGTTTCACTAGTTTGGTAATAGAACTGAAGGAAACTGATTATTATATGTCTACTGTGTTGTACATGATTGTTTTATTGTGAAATAAAGCATCTAAATTTAACAATTTATTATTCTTAATTGATTAACTACCACAAACTAGCATACTATTGTTTTATTTTTTCGATCATTTTGTCCAAAAAAAAAAAATCAAAATTTAGATTAATTTATTATTTCTTTCGATTTCATTTAAAGACATTCATACAGATAATGTCAAGACACTCAAAGAATAATACTTCGGGTAAATTTACTTATTATGAGAGACAGCAACTTAAAGATTATGGCACACAGAAAGAAAGATTAGGAAAAGACTCTTTAAAGTCTTTTGATTGTTGTTCTATCTGTTTAAATACATTAATTACACCTCTATCTTGGTATGTTGCGAATGATTTATGATAGTTGAATCAATGTCATTATTAGATTCATACATTCAATCAAACAATCAATCAATCAAACAATTATATGATTTGTTATAGTTACAATATTAATATTAATATTTTTATTAACATAAATCAAGTACAAAAGGTCATTTATATTGTAAAGAATGTATATATACATCGTTATTAAATCAAAAGCAAATCATTAAAGAGAAAGAAGAGAGATGGATCAAGCAACAGGAGAAGCTGAAGCAAAAAGAAGAAGATATACGTATAAAGCAGGCTGAACATGAGTTGAAGGAGTTCGAATCGAATAATGTCACATTTCTACAAAATAATACAGAAAAACCAATAGATAATACAAAAGACAAAGAAAAAGTTAATAATGGTGAACAAAAACAATTAGTAAGAGAGAAAGAATTAAAGTTAAACTGTTATTGGATGGTATGTTTATATTTTTACATGTTTTTATTATTGTTTGTTTTCGATGTTGTTTCTTTTAACTAACAATTAAGATCTATTATTTACTTATTTTTGTTGTTGTTGTTTTTTGTTGTTGTTGTTAGTTGTCACACGATTCAAAGGAAGAAGTACATGAAAAACCAGATACCAATACTAAATGTCCTGAGGGTAATCATGTACTACGATTGAAACAGTTGATCAGTGTAAAGTTTAAGGCAGCAGATACAGGTAGCGCCAACAGCTCGAAAGATATCAATAGATACTGTTGTCCTATATGCGATAAGATATTCACGAATAGCACACGTTTGAAGATGTTGAAGCGATGTGGACATGTTTTTTGCGAGAGTTGTCTAAATCGATTCCAAGACGACCCGAAAAACCTAAAGACATCGCAATGTTATACCTGTGCAAAAGAATTCGAATCTCTCGATATCATCAATTTACAACAGGGTGGTACAGGTTACGCAGGTCAATCTGGTCATAAGTTGGAAGCATCAAAGTATAAAACTACTGCTGTTATATAGCTAGCATAAAGAAATATACAATAAGCATTTTATTTATTTATTACATATCTGACAGCTCATCGATACTCTTGAGAGATGTACCATTTCAATTGTTCTCTATTCTTTTTCCATCTTGTAAAAAAGCATAGATGGTTCAATGGCTATCCTTTGCTTTAGAGAATAAAAAAATATTGGTTTTATACATTTATGTTTCTTTATGTTGAATAAAAAAATGAAGTTCATCAAGTATCACATAAAAGTGTTAATAATTAAATAAGGAATTATTAGTAAAGTTTAAAGTGATATATTGTTGTGTATTTATTTACAAATTGATTTATGAAGTAATGTGTAGAAATCATAAGTTTTACATTGTTTTGAACAATAGTTGGCAACGTTACATTTTGAACATTTGATGTATTTCGATTCGAATGGTTTGAAACAACCATGACAGAATCGATTGGGTTTAGAAATGTTGTCAGTGAATAGCTCTGATAGTTGATCGACTCTGATCATTGAAACTCTATCGATACCAATTGTACCAATTCGATGATATGGATTGACAATGAATATGTTCTGACCAACAAAGAATAATCGATCGGCTGTTGCTTGGTTATTGATGGTATCATCATAGATACCAACATTGATACAAGAACCATTAATATCTACCATCAAGAAATGTGTTGCCTTGTTATTTCTGAATGGTCTTTCAATGATGATACCTCTAATCAAACCTGTATAGACATAATCAAAATTGATCTTGATATCTAAAATTGTAATTTCATTATAATCTTCAACAAAGTTTTTTGGAACTTGTTTGATTGTAATACATCTACTTCCTTTCTCACTATTACTGCTAGCAATGTTATTAAAATTGGCGAAACAACTTCTGAGGTGTGTTGTTAGTCTAAGTCTATGATCGTTATCCACGATAATCGACGTGTCCGATATTGGATCAGCAGACTCCTTCATTTTTTCAAGGTAGTTATGAAATGAAGTGGTATGTTTGATGGTGTTCTGATCACCGTATGATTCGAAAATTATGAGTTCAGGTTTGTTGTTGTTGTAAGGAAGGAAGCATGGTAATTGATCTTTCTCTGATTCCTTTCCCAAAAGATAGTAATGATATCCATTTTCCATTTCTTTCTTGGCAATCATATAGCTTGAGAGTTCATAATATGAGTTTGGTCTCAAAAGATCGTCCTTCTGGCAGATTCGTTGAAACTCAAACATATCTGATAAATCGTCGTTTTTGGTAAGAGGACCTCCATGAGGAGAGGTCTGAATTTGTTTTTCCATTTTGTACAATGCACTGTAAAAAAACATAGATGGTTCAATCTCTATCTTTTGCTTAAGAGAAAAAATAAATACATTCAATTAATAAATAGTCATACAAATATATAATTTGATATAAAAAATCCATATATTTACTTTTTTCATTAATTCTCTTGCCTTCAAATTACATCCAATTGCATCATTCCATTTTCTAGCTTTTGAAAAGACAATACTTGCTAAATTCCATATTCTGAATGATTTCCAAAAAAAAATAGTTAATATTAATATTTTCAATTATCAGAATACACTTACGCGTGAGAATGTGGAAAATACTTTAAAGTTTGTTCAGTATAACTTAAAATGTATCTAATATCATTACTGTAATTCAGATAGATAAAGCAATATCTTGAATTCAAATCCATTGGGTTGTTCTTCATGTATCGATTGAGAATCGGTAGGAATTTCTCTCTTAGAATCTCAACGTCAACAACGATTTCATGTATTTGGTAGCACTTTGAGATATTCGATATGATATCTTTATCTTGAGCATTTCCAGAATTTATCATTGTTATTGTTTCATTAAACAGTTTCTTTGCTTTCCACAATTTGGCTGCAGTCACTGAGCTATTGGTATAGCTTGTCAATTGATCGGTAGTAACTTTCTTTTTCTCTTGATTGGTAGTAATAGAGCTGAAAATATCAATGATTTCTTTGTAGATAGGTGGCAGATCCTCTGATCCTTTGGCAGCTAGAATATTGCCCATCAGATTTTGGCTATCCGTAATGCCGTTATCCAATGCTTTTCTACACCACTTTTCGGCGGCATCCAAATCCTTCTCGATACCATTGCCACTCAGGTAGAGCGCTGCCAAATTGTACATCGATTTTGGATGTGGATTTTTCTTGAGATTCGAAGCTTGGAGAAATAGCTGTGCAGCTTTCTTTGGTTTAACCATTCCGCAATCTTCATCGAGATAGATTTCACCAAGAAGGTTCAGAGATGATGTATGACCGTTAAGAATGTTTCGTTCGAGATATTCGATTGCTTTCTTGATATCCTTAGCAACACCGTATCCATAGAGACAGCAAGTCGCCAGACTGTTTAGTGCTTCCAGATGACCCATATGCAATGCCCTCTGGAAGCATTCGAATCCTTTCTTTAAATTGCGATAGACATTTGCTGATCTGAGTTGATAGCATATTCCAGAGTACACTACTGCAAGAGTATTGTTTGGAAACTTTAGAAAACATAGTAACGCCTTGACTGTATCTTTCTCTACATTGATGCCAAAATAATGAATATATCCGTTCAATAAATCTTGATCGTGGGTGCTGGACATCACTTCTTTGAGAATTTCATCTGATATAGGTATTTCCTCTATACCAAATTGAAAATCGAATTTGATCATTTCATATCGATCTCTTGCTAATTCGTAATGTGGACTCATCGATAAACATTTCTCTATTGTCCTTTTTGCCTCAATAATTTTGCCATCGTTATGTAGAATGACGGCGGTCAAGAGTAATGTACATTTCCAATCTGGTTTGATTGATTTCATTCGACTGAGATTCAACAAAATATCATCACGTGCTGATTTACTGTTTGTTTTTAATCGTTGCATCTCTTGTGAATATCCAGCATAGAAATAGAATTTGGCAAGAGTATCAACTGATAATCCATAGATATTGGTACCTTCGTTTGCCAACTTGATTGCTTCTAAATAATTGTGATTATTCATTTGTTCTTTGATGTTCTTCTTCAATATCGATGATTTCTTTTCAGAATGTTTATTCTGTTCGATGTTGAGTGAAAGTAAAGACTGAATCTCTTGTTTGTTGGAACCGACACTCAATAATAGTTTGGTGAGATCATCGAAATCATCATTCAATTCAGTGGAATCGAATACAGCACCACTTGAAGTGTAATGATTGAATAGATCTGTGATACCACTGATAAATTGAATGTCTGAAGATATCAGTTTCTGTGATTGAGATTGACCACCACCACCTAGTTTCTGACAGATCGGTTGAAGAAGGAATGAAAACACTGGAATCTCCCATGTTGATCTGTCACCACTGAGCAATGCACTCTGATATACCTTTGATAGATCATTGAGATTGATTGGAATCAATGACTTTAACTTTACAATGGAATCTGGTGTATCACACCAAACATTACCACCAGACAACACAAAGTAATGATGACCAAACATCGATGACATATATCTACTTGAAACTGATAAACCAGCTATAATAACTGATTTTGACACATTTTGTTGTTCTGTTACTTTTTGTTCATTCTTTGTTTTATCTTTTTTTACATTTGCATTTTGATTACTATTATTATTATTAATGTTTACTTTTATATTTTGTTTATTATTATTAGTACTACCACTACTATTTACAGCACTGACTGCTTTTTTATTTTTTTTATTCATATTACTCTATTTATCTATATCTTTAAGTAATTGAATGATATGTTGCAAATAAACTTTTGTGAAGAGATTGGTGGTGAATTACACCTAGAATTTATTCTTTTTGTTTTTGTTTTTTTTTAATAATTAAAAAAAAAAAATTAAATTAAATAAAATGAACTGTGAACTTCAAAATGTTTGTACAAAAAAAAAAATAAGGGTTAAAATAAATAAGGTAAGTTTAAATTTAAAGCAATAATTATTTTTTGTAAATCAATCAGTTTAGAAAAAAATATTGATGATAAAGATTTTATTCACAAATTAATTTACGGAGTTTGTAATCTTTAGTTTAAGCTAAACTGATAGTTATTTGAATACAAAATATTTGTATTGTTTTGGAAATATAATTGTTGTTATTTTAGACAAGTCAACTTATGAAGTCTCTGATTGTCTATTGTTTGGCAGGCTTTTGTGCAATAGATGGCAATGTTACAATATGAACTTTGGATTGGTTTCCATTCAATCTGTTGGAGACAAGAATAGGAAAATTCCTTGAATTGAGTTGAGTTGAGAATTTATCAATGCTTGTTGTTGTTTTTGTACTGCCTGACTTTTTGCCAACAAACATATCATTGAATTCCATAGGGTAAAACCAAGTATAAAATTTTCATTATCAATATTAAAGCAATCAATTCTGCCAGTGAATTCACCCAAGGATTCCAATACTACAACTTGAGGTCTGTTGTTCTTGTAAGGAAGGAAGCATGGAACTATATCCTTCTCTGATTCCTTTCCCATATAATAGTATTTGGTTGCTTGAACCTGATTATCCTGGCATAACATTAAGTTCGATAGTTCATAGTATGAATTTGGTCTCAGAGGATCGTCCTTCTCATAGATTTGTTGGAAGGCTAAGAGATCTAAAGTATAGTCAATCAGTACACAAGGTACATAATGACCACTTTGAGGAGTTTGTTTATACTTTTCCATCTTGTAAAAAAGTATAAAAAATTAAAAAATAATATTTAATATTTACTTTTACCATTAATTCTCTTGCTTTTGAAATACATACGATTGCATCATTCCATTTTCTAGATTTGGCAAACGCAACACTTGCTATCTTCCATAACCTGAATTTCAAAAAAAGTTAGATTAGTAATATTAAGATGTTATCTAATTCAATACATACAAATGAGAATATGGAAATTCCTTTAAAGTTTGATCAGTGTAAGATAACATGAATCGACAATGTATTTCAAATAGATAAAACAATATCTTAAATCCAAATCCATTGGATTGTCCTTGAGATATCGATTGATAATCGGTCGGAATATATCTCTGAGTCGTTCGTTGTCAACAACCATTTCATCGATTTGATAACACTTTGAAATATTTGAAATGATATCTTTATCTTGAGCATTACCAGACTCTATCATTGTGACAGTGGAGATATAAGATTCCTTGTTTACAATCTATTTAAACACCAAAACCATTGAGATAGCATTTTGCCAATTGGTTTGTTGCATTTTCAAGATTATAAGCTCGTCTGAAACACTCGAAGGCCTTCTTTAGATCACGATGACCAGTCATTGATGGAGAGCTCCAATGAAATAAAGCGCTTCCATCGTTTGGAAACATTTCGAAATACTTTTAATTGGATCTCTTGCAACTCCGATTCCTTAGAAATGCTGAAAACCTTTGATGCCAAATAAATAAAGCAAGTTATCAGTAACAAACACAACAATCAATTTAAAGGTACCGATTGGAGATACCACTTAAGCAACAAAAAATGATAATGGCCTAAGATAATAAAACAAGCTCAAAAAGCATAAAAACAAAGTTCAATAACAACTATTATCTTTTGTTTTGTTTCGACCATGGTATTAAAAACAAAAAAAAAAAACCATTGCTCATTTATGAATCAATATTTTGGTTTTTATGACACTGAATAAGGTAAGGTGGTTTTATTTACAAATTGATTTATGATGTAATCCGTTGTCAAGTGCTTGACATTGTTTTGAACAATAGCTGGCAACGTTACATTTTGAACATTTGATTGGTTTTGATTGCAATGGTTCGAGACAACTATAACAAAGTTGATTTGGTTTAGAAGTGTTGTTGGTGAATATCTCTGATAGTTGATCGACTCTGATCATTGAAATTCTATCGATACCAATTGAACCAATTCGATGATATGGATTGACAATGAATATTTTCTGACCAACAAAGAATAATCGATCGGCTGTTGCTTGGTTATTGATAGTTTCATCATAGATCGCAACATTGATAACAGAGCCATTTAAATCTACTATCAAGAAATGTGTTGCTTTATTATTGAGTAACGGTCGTTCGATGATGGCACCTTTAATGTAACTACCTCTGTAAACCCAATCACCATTGTTCTTGAAATCTATGATCTTAATCTCTTCATAGTGAAAAGTGGATTTTTTTGGTAGCTCTTTGATTGTAATGGATTGATTTGAAATGGATTTACTATTATTATTATTAGTTTTGTTGTTGGAAAAGTAGTTGGCGAAATAACCTCTGAGATGCAATAATAATCTAAGTCTTTGCTCGTTATCCACGTTTATTATATCAGGAGTTGCTAATATCTTGTTTTCCAACTCATTCTTATCACTATTGGTCGAAACAGCCATCTTCTCGTTATTATTCTTAACATTTGTTGAAGCATCTATCTTCTTCTTGTTCTTGTTACTGGTGGTTGGAGCAGTAATCTTATTATTATTATTATTATTATTCTTTCTACTGGTCGATGAGATTACTTTGGAGATTTTGGCATAATCTTGTTCACTCATGGCTTCAAACATTGCTAGTTGAGGTTTGTCGTTTTTGTATGGAAGGAAGCATGGAAGTTGATCTTTCTCTGATTCCTTTCCCATACGATAGTATTTATACGCCTTATCCATAATATCATTCCTGAATATCATATAACTCGATAGTTCATAATATGATCTTGGTCTCAGAGGATCGTCCTTCTCGCAAATTCGTTGAAATTCCAACATATCAGCAAGATCGTCCATATTCTTGAGAGGTGTACCAAATTCAATGGTTTCTCTATGTTTCTCCATCTTGTAAAAAGCACTGTAATAAAGCATAGATGGTTCAATCGCTATCTTTTGCTTTAGAGAATAAAATAAATATTAATAAATAATCAAACAAAAATAATAAAGATATTTCAATTACTTTAGCCATTAATTCTCTTGCTTTCAAATTACATCCGATTGCATCATTCAATTTTCCAGTTTTACCAAAGACAATACTTGCTAAATTCCAGATTCTGTGTTTTTGTAGAAATAAGAAATGTTAATATAATATTGATTCGAATATATATCTAATACAATACATACAAATGAGAATTTGGGAAATCCTTTAAAGTTTGTTCGGTATAACTTAACATGTATTTATAATCGACAATGTATTTCAAATAGATAAAACAATATCTTGAATCCAAATCCATTGGATTGTCCTTGAGATATCGATTGAGAATCGGTAGGAATATCTCTCTTAGTAGCTCGCTGTCAACAACCATTTCATCGATTTGGTAGCACTTTGAAATGTTTGAAATGATATCTTTATCTTGAGCATTGCCAGACTTTATCATTGTGACAGTCTCTTCGAATAGTTGTCTTCCTTTCCACAACTTGGCTGCCACCTTTGATCGATTGACATAACCACCCAATCGATCGACAACTGCCATCTTTGTTTCATTTGATTGTTGTGTTGGATTGTTTGATTTCGCATCGATGATCTTTTTGAATTGCGGAGCAATATTCATCATTCCTCTGACAGATTGGATATTTCCTTTTAGATCCTTGGTATCTTTGATGCCATTATCCATCGCTCTTTTCAACCACATTTCAGCGGCATCTACATCACTCTCAACACCAATACCTTTCATGTAGAGTCTGGCTAAATTATACATAGACTGATAATTGGGATTGGGTTTGAGATTGGCTGCTTTTAGGAACATTTCAAATGCTTTCTCTGGTTCGATTTTACCATCTTCGCTTTCTTCGAGATAGACTTCACCGAGGGTGTTCATCGCAGATTTATTGCCATTGCTGATCGACTGTTGGAGATAGGGGATTGCTTGTTTACGATTCATTTCCACACCATGTCCATTGAGATAGCAGTTTGCCAATTGGTTTGTTGCTTCTTTCGAACCAAGATCATAGGCGCGTTTGAAACACTCGAGTGCCTTCTTTAAATCACGGTAAGCAGTTCGATATTGATAGATATATCCACAGTGCAATACAGAGTCGCCATCATTTGGAAACATTTCGAAATATTCCAATGATTTGATTGGATCCCTTTCAACACCGATACCAAAGTAATACTTTACGGCCTGTTGTAAATTCGGATCTTTGACACGCATCAACAGTGTTTGTTTGGTCTGTTCGGTAACTTCTGGGTAAGTATCCAATCCAAAAAGAATATCGTAATGAATCATTTCATATCGATCTTTTGCCAATTTGAACTCTGGACTCATCGATAGGCACATCTCTATTGTCTTTCTAGCTTCTTCAAGCTTTTCATCGTTGTGAAGAATGACTGCGGTCATGAAAATAGTGCATTTCCAATTTGGTTTGATTGATTTCATTCGACTGAGATTCAACAAAATATCATCACGTGCTGATTTACTGTTTGTTTTTAATCGTTGCATCTCTTGTGAATATCCAGCATAGAAATAGAATTTGGCGAGAGTATCAACTGATAATCCATAGATATTGGTACCTTCGTTTGCCAACTTGATTGCTTCTAAATAATTGTGACTTTTAATTTGTTCTTTGATGTTCTTCTTCAATATCGATGATTTCTTTTCAGAATGTTTATTCTGTTCGATGTTGAGTGAGAGAAGTGATTGAATCTCTTGTTTGTTGGAACCGACACTCAATAATAGTTTGGTGAGATCATCGAAATCATCATTCAATTCAGTGGAATCGAATACAGCACCACTTGAAGTGTAATGATTGAATAGATCTGTGATACCACTGATAAATTGAATGTCTGAAGATATCAGTTTCTGACCACCTAGTTTCTGACAGATCGGTTGAAGAAGGAATGAAAACACTGGAATCTCCCATGTTGATCTGTCACCACTGAGCAATGCACTCTGATATACCTTTGGTAGATCATTGAGATTGATTGGAATCAATGACTTTAACTTTACAATGGAATCTGGTGTATCACACCAAACATTACCACCAGACAACACAAAATAATAACGACCAAACATTGATGACATATAATTCCTTGAAACTGACAAACCAGCTATAATAACTGATTTAGATACATTTTTTGATTCTGTTACTATTTGTTCATTCTTTGTTTTATCTTTTAAATTTTCATTTTGATTACTATTACTATTATTATTATTATTATTATTGTTTACTTTTATATTTTGATTATTATTATTATTATTAGTACTACTACTATTATTTACACTACTGACTGTTTTTTTATTTTTATTTTTTTTATTCATAACTCTATTTTTATCTATATCTCTAAGAAATTGAATTATATGTTGCAATTAAACTTAAGAGAAGAGATTGTTTGTCTATAACCCCAAGATATACTTTTTATTTTTTTAATTAAAAAAAAAAATTAAATTCATTGAACCCACAATGAACTTCAATATATAATATTTTATTAAAATCTCGAAACAAAAAAAAAAATTTCCACACCACTAATTCTTTGGAATATCGTTCATTATTGGTAGGTGAAAAAAAATAAAAATAAAAAGAAAATTTCACCTAGCAATAATAATAATTTATAATTAAATTATATAGAATGAGCTTTCCATCGAGAAATCAATCAAGAAAGAGATCATATCAAGAGTCAAATGAAATATTTGTTTTAGAAGAGCAATCAAAAGATAAAGATAGAAAACCTATCATCATTGAAGATATTGATTTCGATGATTTAAATTCATTGATAAACTTTAATAGAGTTTATCATCTTTATTATCAATGTTTGGAGAATAGAGATGATAAAACGAGATCACAATGTGTTAGGTTCTTTGTTGATTATCACAAATGGAAGTTTTTACATTATTTCGATGTTGAAGGTTATACCAAGTTCATCGTAGATGTATTCTTTGATCCTTCATTAGATGTCATAATCTATGTATTCAACAACATGTTATCATTTAAATCTGCTACTAAATCATTAATCAAAGATATTTCCAATCGAATAACCAATGATATAAGAGTAACTATTAATCAATATTTTATTATATTGTAATCAAATAATTATTGCATCTGATCATTGTATTTATACTAATTCTATTTTATTATTTATTAAATACTTAAAGCAACTCGAAATAGATAATAATCAATTAAAGAAGAGATTTGATATCTATACAGAGTGTTGTCTGTTCAGAATAAAGAAAATCAAAAGTAAAGATCATAACAAATTGGGTATGGTAAACAACAACAACAATATTGAGAATATTGTTAACACCAGAGAAAAAGAAATAGGTAATGGTGATAGTAGTAATAGTATGACTAAAGAAAAAGTCTCAAATAGAATTATATCGGATTTATTGGTGGATAGAATCATTTCATTTTCATTGAGAGAAGATCAAGTTCAATATGGAGAGAAAAGATATCAAATCGAAAAAGAAGAGTTGAACAACAAGTTTATTTTGAATTTTGCATTGGTATCGAAACAATTCTTTAGAGTTGCATCAAAGAAGATGAACGATAACTATCACAATATGTTTGGATATGTCAATGTTGATAATGAATATTCATTAATCAAATCACCTCCATTGTTCTTTGATTACGAATCGATCAAGTTCATCAGATACGATGATAGTGCCGAACAAATCACTCAATTCTTTTCAAGAGTTGAATTGTTCCATATTAAATCAGATGAATACGATGTTAAAATCAATGGTGCCTTCTCAAGAGAATACATTAATGTTTCAAATGATAATTCCTATGAAGATTTCTATAGTGATGTGATTACATGTGATGGTTACTTGACATACCTACCACCAATGCCAAATCTAAAGAATATCTTTGTGCATGAATACTTTGGATACCAAAGTAACTACAGTTCATTTCTAATATCGATCTTTGAGAACACACCGAATGTAGATGGACATGGTATCGAATCATTCTATATCAATATCAAAAAAGATTGGAACTCAACTCCAGATGATAATAACTTGGATTTCTTGCAACCACTGTTATCATTACACTCAAAGACATTGAAATCAGTCACACTTGAATATTATCATATCTATCGAGAGGGTGGACGTAATCTTCTTTCTAGTTTGAAAAAGATGCTTCCAACAATCAAACAATATAATTACTCTTTCATTATCTACGGAAACTTTAAAAAGTTGAGATACGCATGTCGCGATAATGAAGATCTACAGGTATATCAATATTTACTCAATCAAAAAGTTATTTTCAACAAATTTAATAGTTATGATGTATATGATAAAAATGACATTGTTTCATATTCAGAGTCACTTTCATCATCGTTATGATGATTATTCGACCAATAAAAATTATAATTCATCTGTAATAAGTTTATAGTTTTCAATTATTGTTATAATGGCTACGATGGATATAATAGAAGGGTACTGCGAAACGATCAATGTTGGTGTGTAAAGTGGTTGGTAGAGAACAGATATCTTGGTTTGATCATCGATCTTCTAAAGCGAAACAAACTACTTTGTTTTGCTCGGGTGATAATATATTGGGTGTCTTTGAACTGGTTACCAATCTCGAGCAGTTCAACTTCCTTACATCGACTGGGCCTCTTGGTAACTGGTAATCGAAGTCGGCTGTTAAATGCACTGGCGGTGTGTCCACACGATTTGCTGTTGGCGGTCGGTCATCAGTTCGACGGTTTTGCAAGGCGATCGATAACGCTACCAAACACTGTTGTCTTGAGAGTATCCGGTATCTGGCGGACAGAGGTCTGATGTGTACAGCCGCAGCACTGGCGGATTCCGCTGAGAAATGATATTTGGCAGTTGTTAAGCTCTTGGTGGAGAGTAAGCCTTAAAAGAATGGTCAAAAAACTAAAAAATATATTATTCCAATTTAATTATTTGTTATTAAATATATACTTCAAGTGCAAGAAATAAAAATAAATTATTAATTTTTTTATCAAACATTTTTTTCTTAGTAATTTGAAATTAAATTGAGACTGTTAATGTATTTAATTAAAAACAAATTGATTTATGTTGTAATGCATTGTCAAGTGTTTGACATTCTTGCGAACAATAGATGGCAAAGTTACATTTTGAACATTTGATTGGTTTAGATTCAATCTTTTTGAGACAAACATTACAGTATTCATTTGGTTTAGAAATGTTGTTGGTGTATAACTCTGATAGTTGATCGACTCTGATCATTGAAACTCTATCGATACCAATTGTACCAATTCGATGATATGGATTGACAATGAATATGTTCTGACCAACAAAAAATAATCGATCGACAGTTGCTTGGTTATTGATGGTATCATCATAGATACCAACATTGATAACAGAGCCATGGAAATCGACCATCAAGAAATGTGTTGCCTTGTTATTTCTGAATGGTCGTTCAATGATGATTCCTCTAATGAAACTACCTCTAAATACACATTCACTCTTGATCTTAAATTCTCGGGTTGTAATCTCTCTGTATTTACTAATCAAGTTATTTTGAACTTGTTTGATCGTAATCGATTGATTTACATTGTTATTGTTGTTGTTTTTGTCTGATGAATAATTGGCGAAACAAACTCTGAGATGCGTTGTCAATCTAATTCTCTGATCATTATCAAAGATAATGGAATCAGTTTTCTTGTCCAATTCATTGTTATTATTGTCATTCTTATCGGAGTTGACGAGTGGAATGGAGTTGGAAAGTTTGGTAGATTCTGGATCTTCGTAAGCGTCGAACATCGATAGTTCCGGTTTGTTATCGTTGTAAGGAAGGAAACATGGAAGTTGATCTTTCTCTGATTCCTTTCCCATTCGATAGTATTTATATGCTTGATCCATATCATTTCTGAATAGCATATAACTCGATAGTTCATAATATGATCTTGGTCTGAGAATATCATCCTTCTCACAAATTCGTTGGAATTCAAAGATATCTGTCAATTCATCCATATTCTTGAGAGGTGTACCATATGGAATCGTTTCTCTTTGCTTTTCAATCTTGTAAAAACCAACGTAAAAATGCATAGATGGTTGAATCTCTATCTTTTCCTATTTGAGTTAATGAATAAATAAAATTAATTAGGTAATCAATATTTATATCTATAAAAAAGATCTTTACATTTGCCATTAATTCTCTTGCTTTCAAATTACATCCAATTGCATCATTCCATTTTCCACCTTTTCCAAAAATAAAACTTGCTAAATTCCAAATTCTGTGTGATTCAAAATAGAAAAATGTTAATTTAAGAAAACAATAATGTTATTTCTTCGGTGTTTTATATACATACAAATGAGAATTTGGGAAATCTTTTAAAGTTTGTTGAGTATAACTTAAAATTAATTTGAAATCGTTCATGTATTTCAGATAGATAAGGCAATATCTTGCGTCCAAATCCATTGGATTGTCCTTTAGATATTGGTTGAGAGTCGGTAGGAATATCTCTCTTAGTACATCATCATCAACCATGATTTCATGCATTTGATAACTCTTTGAAATCTTTGATATGATATCTTTTGGTTTCGATTTGCCAGCCATTATCATTGCCGCCGCTTCTCTATATAGCTTCCTTCCATTGAGCATCATTGCCGCCACCTTTGACTTACTGACGTAGCTCTCCATTTGATCGATACTAACCAACTTTGTCTCCCTCGGTACTTCTTTGCTGGTATCGTTACTCATGTTCTGAAAGATGTTTCTGAATTGCGGTGGAAGATTGGTCGATGCTCGCGCAGCCTGTATCTTTCCCTTTAGATTCTTGCTGTCGTCGACGCCATATTGCATTGCACGTTTCAACCACATATTGGCGGCATCCAAATCCTTGTCGATACCGAATCCATTCAGGTAGAGACCTGCCAAATTATACATTGCCAGTGGATTTGGCTCGGGTCTAAGTGAAGCGGCACGCAGGAAGAGTTGCGCTGATTTCTTTGGTTGTGGTGGACCGGCTTCGTTATCCAGGTAGACTCACCGAGGACGTTCATCGACTCGGAATGACCGAGACGAACTGCCTGCTCAAGATAGACGATCGCTTGTTTATGATCCAGTGGCACACCATATCCATAAAGATAGCAAGTCGATATATAGACTGGTCCCTCTGCATGGCCAAGATCGTTGGCACGTTTGAAACACTCGAATGCCTTCTTGAAATCACGGTAGGCAGTTCGGAATTGATAGATCATTCCACAGTACATCACCATATCACCGCTGTTTGGAAACTTTTGGAAATACTCCAATGCTTTGATGTAATCTTTCTTTGTATTCACTCCATAGTAATAGGTGAATCCTTTTACTAGATTCGGATCTTTGTTTCTCATCATCATAGCGAATTGAATAGGATCCGTTACATCATCTTCGTCTGAATATGTATGTCCAAAATCGACATCGAACTTAATCATTTCGTATTGACTTCTTGCTCGCCTGTACTGTGGACTCATCGATAAACACATCTCTATCGACTTTCTGGCTTCTTCAAGCTTTTCATCGTTGTGAAGAATGACTGCGGTCAGGAATAGTGTACATTTCCAATTTGGTTTGATTGATTTCATTCGACTGAGATTCAACAAAACATCATCACGTGGTGCATTGCTTTGTGTCTTGAAACGTTGCATCTCTTGTGAATATCCAGCATAGAAATAGAATTTGGCAAGAGTATCAACTGATAATCCATAGATATTGGTACCTTCGTTTGCCAGCTTGATTGCTTCTAAATAATTGTGATTATTCATTTGTTCTTTGATGTTCTTCTTCAATATCGATGATTTCTTTTCAGAATGTTTATTCTGTTCCACGTTAAGTGAAAGTAAAGACTGAATCTCTTGTTTGTTGGAACCGACACTCAATAATAGTTTGGTGAGATCATCGAAATCATCATTCAATTCAGTGGAATCGAATACAGCACCACTTGAAGTGTAATGATTGAATAGATCTGTGATACCACTGATAAATTGAATGTCGGAAGCGATCAATTTCTGTGATTGAGCTTGACCACCTAGTTTCTGACAGATCGGTTGAAGAAGGAATGAAAACACTGGAATCTCCCATGTTGATCTGTCACCACTGAGCAATGCACTCTGATATACCTTTGATAGATCATTGAGATTGATTGGAATCAATGACTTTAACTTTACAATGGAATCTGGTGTATCACACCAAACATTACCACCAGATAACACAAAGTAATGATGACCAAACATCGATGACATATAGCTTCTTGAAACTGATAAACCAGCTATAATAACTGATTTAGATACATCTGTTACTTTTTGTTCTATTACTATATTCTTGGTTTGATCTTTTACATTTGTATTTTTACTTTTACTATTAGTACTACTCTTTTCATTTTGATTACTTTTATTTTTTTTATTTTTTTTATTTCATTTTGAATCTAGAGATAGATAATATCTCTATTAAATAAACATAACTAAGTGTGTGCTGATTAATGAAAATAAATTTATTTAAATAAAAGTGACACACATTTTCATTCAGAACCACAGCAATGAAAGTGTGTGACAAAACTGAAAAAAATGTTTTCTAGTTTAAAAAATGTAGTTCATAAAAATGATAATTATCTTAACATCTATGTTGGTTAATGGAGTCGATGAAGATCCAACGTTCAATTGGAAAGAGGAAGATCAGAGTGTTGAAGCGAAACCTTTCGAACAAGATGGTGGTACCAATGATAATATCGATAGGAGATATACACCTGTTCAACTTTGGAGATTGTTCTTCGATGACCAACTGTTTGATCCTAGAGCAAACCAACTTGTACATTCGCTACAAAAGCATGTGCCGTAAATTTTTCGGTGGTCTTATCACCAAAACAATACTAAAAGTATTTTTCTGTTCTGTGATGTCATCGGCTTTCTTCAACCTCTCATGGATCAACTCCTATTGGAAAACGGAATTCTACTATATACAAGCAGTTAACTCCAAGATTAGTAAGGATCAATTCAAATTCTTGCTCGCCAATATGCATTTTTCCACCCCGACGGCAGTGCCACCAGTATCGACAGGACCATGTAGAAAAAAGGTAGCGGTCACCACAAACAACAACTACCCAGCCAAGAGCCTCTGTTCAAGATCCGCCACTAGTAGTAGACATCCTTAAGAATAATTCAAGAATGCCTACCAATTCCAAATTAAGGAATTGGCAATCGATGAATCCAATATACCTACCAAGCAAAGAGTTCAGAATCATTTGGGTCTGCTTCAATGTAACAAAAGTAAACCAGATCAATAGAGGAAAATTCAAAGTTGTTTTATTGGTCTCTTTTTGTGTCTTATATAATAAAGGATGTCATGATGATGAAAGGTTTTGGCGTAATTCAATGCAAGTTTATATCGCACGGTTTTATCTTTTTCCATGAGGTAAATAAATACGTCGGTGTTACCATACATCGCTGCTGCATCTGGCGCGTGAAAAGTATATTTGATAGTTGGTCGATAGTTATCCATTAGATACTCAATGATATCGAGTCGATTATGTTGAGCTGCATTCACTATGATCTTCTCAGTGAGTGGTTCCACACACTTGGCTGCGATGTACTTGATTATCTCCAAACCATCCTTTAGAAAGATACACCGCTCCAACATCGATAGCGAAACAGGGTAGTTACGCTCATCCACCAGATACTTTACGATCGCCAAATCTGCATTCACCATTGCGTAGTAACTGATTTGCGCGCTGACAGTCGACACTGGAATTCGCTTGTTGATCCAATCGAGCATCGGACGCTTCACTACTTTCGTTAGATGCGGCAGATCCAGTGCTCTGGTGATTGGAACCGCGTGAAAAGCTTCGTAAAGTATCTCTGCGATTTCGATATTGTTTGTGCTGACCACATGCAACATGGCGTAATACAGATTTCTACGGCACGGCGGATATCTCGCCAGCAACATTCTCACCGCTGGATACTCGGGATTCCCATGATTCTTCAATGCACTCATCATAATGATATCATCGCTGTCCTGATAGATGCTGTTTTGTGGATCCTTCGATACGCATTCATCGAGCAAAAACTTTAGCAACGATCCATCCGATATGGTATTCAGTGACATTCTCAGAGTGAAACGAGTACACTCTGTGGATCGGTTGAAATGTAGGAATTTCACGATTTCCGTGTGTCCTTTGTCAGCGGCGCGATCCATAATACCCTGAGAACTGCCTTCGGTGCGATTCTCGTGGAGGAATCGAACAATGTTTAGATGACCGTTTTCAGCGGCTCCGTTCATCGCCTCTCGACTGCAAACTGCACCCACTGAATGCAGATACTCCACCACCGAAAAGTGACCGCGTGTTGCCGCTTCATCCATTGGTCGTGTCGGCCATTTCAACCACTCCTCTACAAGCTTACTCTCCACTAAGAACTTAACAACCTCCAAATATCCTTTCTCAGCGGAATCCGCCAGTGCTGAGGCTGTACACTTCAAACCTCTGTCCGCCAGATACCGGATATTCTCAAGACAACCGTGTTTGGCAGCGTTATCGATCGCCTCGCTACTGCCGTCGTAGCGATGACCGACCGCCAACAGCAAATCGTGTGGACACACCGCCAGTGCATTTAGACCCAGCCGACTTCGATTACCAGTTACCAAGAGGCCCAGTCGATGTGTAAGGAAGTTGAACTGCTCGAGATTGGTAACCAGTTCAAAGACACCCAATATATTATCACCCGAGCCAAAACAAAGTCGTTTGTTTCGCTTTAGACGATCGATGATCAAACCAAGATATCTATTCTCTACCAACCACTTTACACACCAACACTGATCGTATCGCAGTACCATTCTAGTATATCCATCATAGCCATTATAACAATTGAAAACTATAAACTTATTACCAAAGATATCAACATGTATTTGATGAACGAAATCAAACACCAGTTTCTTTATATGTTTATATCTTAATATCGATTTAAATAATAATGTTCTTTCCATTTATAAATTTAATAAATATATTTTATTTTTATTTAATATAATTAATTAATAAAAATCAATTTATTATTTATATTTTACATTTTTTTTAAAAAATCTTTCGATTTCTGTTGATTGTTTTTTTCACAAAGTTGTTTTGCACACCAAATCAAATCATAAACAAATAAAGATACTTTTAAATAGATAAAATATAAATATAAATGGAAAACATTATTTATTTTTATTAATAATTATTTTAGCGAAATTATTAACTTTGATAATAATTTTCTTTATTCTTCTTCACTTTCATCATCACTGTTTTCTTAGTAAATGATTTCATTATTTTCATCATAACTATTAAATTTGTTGAAAATAACTTGTTGATTGAGTAAATATTGATAAACTTCTAGATCTTCACCATCTTGACATACTGATTTCAACAGATTAAAGTTTGCGAACAGAATGAAAGAGTAATTATATTGTTTGATTGTTGGAAGCCTCTCTTTCAATATCGAAAGAAGTTGAGGGGCATCATCATTATAGAAATCGTAATATTCAAGTGTGACTGATTTCAATGTCTTTGAGTGTAATGATAACAGTGGTTGCAAGAAATCCATGTTACTGTAATCTGGACTTCTATTCCAATCTTTGTTGATCCTGATATAGAATGATTCGATACCATGTCCATCTACATTCGGTGTATTCTCAAAGATCGATATTAGAAATAAACTGTAGTTACGTCGGTATCCATAGTATTGATGCACAAAGATATTCTTTAGATTTGGAAATGGTGGAAGGTGTGTCAAGTAACCATCTCTATTAATCACATCACGATATAAAGATTCATCTGAACTGCTGTTATCGCTTGGTTTGAATGAATCATAATAGATGTATCTTCTTGAGACACCATCATTGATTCTACTATCGTATTCATCTGATTTAATATGAAATAGTTCAACTCTTGAAAAGAAATCAATGATTCTATCTGTACTCTCACTATATCTGATGAACTTGATCGATTCGTAGTCAAAGAACAAGGGTGGTGATTTGATTAATGAATATTCATGATCAAAATTGGCATATCCAAATATATTGTGATAACTATTGTTAATCTTCTTTGATGTAATTCTAAAGAATTGTTTCGATACCAATGCAAAATTCAATATAACCTTGTTGTTGGATTTTTTAATATTTTATCTTATTGCTTCTTCTTTCGTATTAATTGATTGTCATCTTTCTTTATATATTTGTTTTAATTTACATTAGTATTAACTAATTAAATAATTGTTTTGTAAAATCATATATTGATTAATAGTTACTCTTTTATCTTTAATAATCCGATTATATATATCATACTAATGATTTATGAATACGACATTTAAACGATGTCATGTTGTTGAATACATCTAATGAAGGATCAAAGAATAGATCTACAATGAACTTGGTATAACCTTGAACATCGATAAAATGTAAAAACTTGTGTCTGTGGCAATCAACAAAGAACCTAACGCATTGTGATCTCATTTGATCATCTCTACTCTCCAAACATTGATAATAAAGATGATAAACTCTATTAAAGTTTATCAATGAATTTCGATTATCGAAAACTATATCGTCATTATTGATCGGTATTCTATCTTTATCTTTAGATTCCTCTTCAAAAACAGCTATTTCATTTGACTCTTGACATGTTCTCTTTCTTGATTGATTGTTCATTTTTAGTTTAAAATAGATATTTATGAATAATCGTAGATCAATGTGATGAATACATAAAAAAAAAAAGGGTGAAAAACAATTTTTTTAGTCAAATCTTTTACATTTAAAGCTGAGTGGATAATTTATATGTTTATTGTTACTGAATTATTATTTATTCTTTGTTTCTTGAATATATTCTAGGTCATTTTTATCAATATCATCATTTCTACTATCAAATTTATTTAAAATAACTTTTTGATTGAGTAAATATCGATAAACTTCTAGATCTTCATCATCTTTACATGCTGATTTCAAATTGTAAAAACTACCATAAAGAATGAAAGAGTAATTGTATTGTTTGATTGTTGGAAGCATCTCTTTCAATATCGGAAGAAATTCATATGCATATTTACCACATAAACGACGATAATCAAGTGTGACTGATTTCAATGTCTTTGAGTGTAATGATAACAGCGGTTGCAAGAAATCCAAGTTACTGTAATCTGGACTGCCATTCCAATCTTTGTAGATACTGATATAGAATGATTCGATACCATGTCCATCTACATTCGGTGTATTCTCAAAGATCGATATTAGAAATGAACTGTAGTTACGTTTGTATCCAAAGTAAGTATCGATGGTGAAGTGTTTAAGATTTGGCATTGGTGGAAGGTATGTCAAGTAATCATTTCTTGAAATCGAATTTCGATAGAAATGTTCGGTGTCACGACCAAAGAAATCATCATATAAGTATCTTCTAAAGACACCATCATTGATTCTACTATCGTATTCATCTGATGAGAGTTTAAAGATCTCGACCCTTGAAAATAACTGAGTGATTCTCACTGTACTCTCATCGTATCTAATGAACTTGATAGATTCATAATCAAAATACAATGGTGGTGATTTGATTAATGAATATTCATTATCAACATTGATATGACCATATAAATTGTGATAACTATTGTTAATCTTCTTTGATGCAACTCTAAAGAATTGTTTCGACACCAATGCAATATTAAAGATACACTTGATGTCGCTGTAATCTAGAATTCTAATTCTGGTATTCTCCACAAATATATGTAGACTATCTCCTTTCAATGAAAATGAAATGATTATTTCCACCAATATATCCGATAGAGTGAAAGTAAACACCTCTTCGATCATGGTAGAACTAATTGCATGGTGATATCCTTCTTTTTCTTTGGTTAAATCGTTAATCTCTAACTTTATATCTTTCTCTTGATTCACTATTGTATTTGAAACTCCATCTTCATTCTCATTGATATTGTCGTTATCTTCTTCTTCTTCTTCTTGGTGTGTGATTGAGTAGTGGAAGCTATTATAATCGAAATACAAGTGTTTCTTTTGAATAGCTTTGGAAAAAAAACATTCTTTATAGACATCTATTCTCTTTGCTAATTGATCACTGTCATCATTTAATTTCTAATTGTATTTTAATTAATATATAAATATTTACAACTAACTAACTATTTGATATTGTATTGAATAATTTTAACTAATAGTTACTCTTTTATCATATCTTATTTTGTTGTATATGTTTTCTACTAATGTTTTATGATCACTATGACCGAACGATGACATGTTGCTGATGACATCTAATGAAGGATCAAAGAATAGATCTACAATGAACTTGGTATAACCTTGAACATCGATATAATGTAAAAACTTGTGTTGGTGATAATCAACAAAGAACCTAACACATTGTGATCTCATCTGATCATCTCTACTCTCCAAACATTGATAATAAAGATGATAAACTCTATTAAAGTTTATCAATGAATTTCGATCATCGAAATCGATACCATCAATGTTGATTGTTGATATTCTATCGTTTGGACGCTCTTCAACAACTATTTCATTTGACTCTTGATATGTTCTCTTTCTTGATGGATTTTCAGTAGTAGTCATTATTTAAAATATAAAGTTTAAACTTTTAATAACATAGTGTGCCTCAGGCTAATACTAAAACAAATATAAATAAGATATTTTTTAATTTTGTTGATATAAAACCCAAACTTTAAAAAAAATGGGTATGAATTTTTCACTTGAAGATATTCAAAGTCATATTATTTAACAGCCTCTCTTCTATAATCGATTATTCGATTGTTATCTTTAAGCAATAAAATCTATCAAAAATAATATTTTTAATAATTATAGAAGTTATTGATTTAAATTTTTCATCTTGTTTTGTTTAACATTTCGATTGAATATAATTATTTTTGGTTATTAAATAAATAAATAAATAATGGGGAAAGAGAGATGAAAAATTTAAATCAATAACTTTTTTTTTTTTTGTGATTTACACAACTTTTTATATTACTGCATATATCACTTAAAAAGGAATAAATCAAAAATAGTTGTTTTATAAAAAAAAATTAAAAAAAATAGCTTAATCATTTTTTTTTCAAATAAAATTATTTTATTTTATTTATTTTTAGACGTTCAATGAATAATTTGGAACAAAAATAAATTTGTTTTTCTTTTATTATAAACTCTTAAAAAGTAAGAATTGGTTGATTACTTTAATCTTAATTAAACAAACAAACACTTTTCTACCTTTTTTGTTTAAAATATTTTATTATAATTATATTAAATATTTATTCAAATATGAAAATCAATAACATTTATTTATCCTTATTGTTCAAGAAAAATTACAAATATCTTTTCATAGAATCATTAAGATTATCTAATAAAATTTTCATAATTAAAATAATATAATCATAAGATTGTTTTAATACTAAATCTAGATTTTAATGATTTTTTCAATAATTTTAAAAATATGAAAAAACAATTGGACGGATCATAGATAACATTACTTTTTACTGATTAAGTTTATATGATTTCATTGCATTGTTGTTTTGTTTAGATTAATAAAGATAAAACTGACCAAACAAACATACAACAACAACTTAAACAACAACACATATGTATGATCCTCAATGGAAATATATATTTCTGGAATCATTTAAAAAACAAAAATAAACAATTTATAAAGTAGTTGTAGTTGTTTTCTTAAAGATCGTTGGTGATGCTAATTAATTACAAAAAAAGAAATGCACACTACCTACCTGACCAGGTAGTAGTTGGTTATTCTTACTGTTTTTTTTTTTTTTTTTAAACAGTAATGAATGATTATATTTTTTTTTTTTATGAATTTGTGTTATTATTAAATTCTTACAGTTCAAGAATCGTCTGTTTTATTTGCAAACAAATTGGATTCCCACACCACCAAACTTTGCAAATTCTATTATTATTGGTGTGCATTTTTCATTCCAATCCTATGCTAATGCCCTGTGTGGTGGTAGTGGTATGTGGTATGTAAAAAATCATTTGAAAAGAAGGAGAGTGGGTACGGTGTGGTATTTGGTATGGTTGGTCAGTCACACACACTTGACTTTGTAGAGTTATCCCAATGAAGTGTGTTGCTGGTGTCACTCTAATAACTAATCTTAAAAATAACACTGAAAACACACAACCAAACAATGGTCAAAAAGTTTGAAAAATTGAAAAACGGAAAACAAAAAAAAAAAAAAATTATCAAAATAAAAAGAATAAAAAAAAATGAATCAAAACAAGCCGGTGGTATGTGGGTTTTTTTGATTAATTATTTTTTTTTCTACAACAACAAAAAAAAACAAAAAACCCCCAAATTTAAATTTAAAAAAATTCAAATAATCTAGTAAAACAAACACAGCCAACTCCTCAATTTTCAAACTTGTGAAATGTTAATCAAAATGGAAACACACACATTTAATGCTATCTCGTGTGTGTGTATGGTGTCTATTTTTTAAATAATTTTTACATTAATGATTTATTTTAATTTTTTTGTTTTATTTTTACTTGCAGACACCTGATGCACTGATTTTTTTTATAAATAAATTTATTTCTCACCATCCAGCTTATCATTTATTTTTTAAATTCATTCGATTATATTTATAAATAATCACAGCAGCATATATAATTAAATACTTTTGTAATAACTTTTTTTCTATTCTATTTTTATAAATAATATACATACAATACAATGGGTGCTTCAGATAACTTTATGCCATCTGCCATTCCATCTTTGGAATCAAATGTTATGATCATTTGCGGTATTTTGGATTTCTTCTTATTCGGTATGTAGTGATAATTTGGCAAACAACAAACTAAATCACAAATAGAAACTAACTTTAAATTGTTTTCTTTTTTCTTTATTTCTTTTTGCATTCGCTTTAATTTAGGTATTGGTACCATCATTCTTGGTGTTCTCGATAACTGCAATGTATGGTGTGTCATCATCGGTGTTTTACAATTATGTTTGCCATTCGTTGGTTGGTTCTGGTCAATTATCTGGGGTGTCATCATCTTGTTGAAGGGTCTCAATAAATGGTAAAATCTATAGAGCCTAAAGATTTTATATATAGTAGTACCTTCCTTTATGAACATTTCATCTTATTTATTTATTGTCAAGAGCTGTTAACCGTCCTAACACCCAACTTCAACAACACAACATTAAACCCTCCCGTTTTTGTTTTTAAAAGAAACTTAAGAAAATAAAACAAACTATACAATTCTTTTTTTTGTATTATTAGTTTATAAACTAAATATTATCAATACTTTTTTCTTTAATTATTACATTGTTTTCATCGACTCAATATGAAATTTCATTGGTTGTTTATTGTTATTATAATATAAAAAAGATTAGATTTATATATATCTTAAGTTGATATATTGTTTGCTTATGTTTAATGATATCACATGAAAACAATAATAAACAGAGCCAATGCTCATACCTTTATCTTAGGGTAGTTATGAAAGGGTAGAACTTCAAGTATTATTATATTATCATCATTCTCCTTCAAACACCTAAGAATAATTATTATTTAGTTTATAACAATCACAACCCTAAATATAAAAAAATAAGTTAAAAACTAGACATTACTCGTTTATATATTATATTAATTTTTTTCACCTTTAGAACTTGTATGATTTAGATTTTTTTTTTTTGTTTGATTTATTTTTAAATTTTTATGTATTTATTTATCAAATTCTTTGCAACCAAATAGAGAAAATTTGACTTTTGTTGATCATCATTTTTTTTTAATTTTTTTTTAAACTAACTTTCAATTTTCAGCCCATAATTTCACACAAAGTATAATCAGTGGATGTTTTTAAATGATTATTTTTACTTATCGACTGAAACATTTATGTTGATTGGCTGGGTATCTGCAAAGATCACCTGTTATCGAAAGAAGCCATAAAAACATGAATGGGGAGGTTTCAGTAAAGAGATTGGATCAATAGATGGTAACTGATTGCCTGACGCAAGTGGTTGACAAACATGTGGCTGATTTCGTAAGAGACTGGTTCCAGGTTTCTAAATACCGGATGTGGCTCAAGGCTGGCAACAGAACAGGCAAAAATTCGGAGCCGACTGTAGTGCGCAGATAACAATCAAATATCTACCAATCGAAGTGCAGGAACTAAACCTCAGACTCGTTTTTTTTTTACTGAAAAAAAGTGGCTTTTGTATTTTCTGCTTTTGTTTTTTCTCTCAATTAGTTGTGTATATATTTATTTATTATCTGTATATAAAAACATTAGTCACGTTTGTATGGTAAAAATTAACTTATATTTGTTCAATCACAGCATTGTTCATTGTTAAGTTGATTTTTACTTTTTTAACATAAAGCCTTTTTTTGCAATCATCACTCGTTTTTATTCATAAATTTTTCACTTTTTTTTTTTCATTTTTTACAAATTTTTTAGAAATCTTAGAACGTCACTGTCATCTTTCATTCTGCTATTCTAGTCCGTTGGGATGACTTCGCCCTCTTGTGACTGCGCTACACAAAAAAGTGGTTCTTATAGTGTGCTGAGAATCATGTAGATTGGTGTAAAATTGTTTGATGCTTCTGGCGAGATCGATATTATGGTCTGAGATATCTTTCGAACCTACGCTGGCAAATGATAACAAATTTACACCTCAGACGGGATAGAGGATATGGTATCCATCAGTATGTCATACTATTCACATTGGTATTCGCTCTTAGTTCGGGTGAGAGTGAACAGATACCAGTACTTAATGGATATAGCAGCGATCAACAATCGAGAATAGACACACTCCTTAATGATTTAACAGCTAATCATACGCCTTGTCAACGTAGATAGAAGCCATCAAATCGTGGAATGTGGCGATGGAAATTTAATAGTTAGAATGACTAGATATAGAATCTAGAAATGGTAAAGTTCATACAACAATTCTTTTAGGGTAATGGGAGAATCGTATGACGTGGATCAAATACATCTTTTTAAGGATAAATCAAGCATGAAAGTAAACAGGTGGAATATTAATCAAAATTACAGCGTTCAATTGAGCGGTACAACCCTCCTTCTCCAATTTTAAATACCTCTTTCAATCACTTTAAATAAAACATGTATACCACATTAGTTATATTAAAAAAAAAAAAAGAAAAAAAGTAGTATGATTTTTCGTGCAGAGTAATCGACAGTGACTCCTTGGGAGTTAGAATTAGCGATCATGAAGTTAAGCTTGTGGTAATTGGCATCGGTTAATTTGGTGTAATGGGTGACTGCTCTTTTGACGGTATTTTCCAGCTTGTAATGGGTAGTACATTTAAATAAAAATGTTTAAATTTACAACCAATTTATTTACTATTTTATTACTGCTTTATTTATTATCTATCTCTTATATTACTCTGTTCTTTTCTCGTATTTCTATATTTATAATTAAATACTTCTTATCATCTCTCTTACAGGTTGAGAAGTATAAGATGCAAGAATACTCGATCCTACTTGTTGAAGAAATGAATAAGTGTTTACATCTTCATACTTGAGTACTTTATTTCCAACACAAAACAATCCACCAGATATAACTGGATTGAGTAATGTATGTTCTGTTGTTTGAATGAATTGCGAATTATCACTTTGGAGGTGAGGTAATACCCATTGTGTTACTGAATCTGCTGCAAAGTTACTTCCGGCACTTAATAATCCTTTTCTTACGTCCAATTCTTTCTTATTAATTACTTTATCACCTAATAAATAGAAGGCACCACATAGTGCACTATCTACTGCATTGGTTGTTATGTCTTTAGCTATAATTGATGCTGACATGATTATCTTTTTTTGTATATTGTTATAATTTTTATCAGGTTGTTATTTTGATACTACGTAGAGACCAAGTACACCTGCACCAATGAGAAGAGGTAATGATAGTGATCCTATTGTCTTTTCTACACCTTCTATTGCTCCACCTGCCGTATTAATTACATTATTTGCTGTATTACCAACAGTACTATTTATTTGTTTGATGTCATCATTTACACCAATTACTACACCTTTGGCATCATTGTACACTGTCGTAACTGCTGATTTTCCAGTATCTACTATACTCTTTCCTGCATCTACTACACTATGAAACCCAGATGAAATGGCACTACCTGCTGATTTGAATGCGTGTGATACTTTGTCCTCTGCTCTTTTAAATGCTGATGATATCTTATCAAAGAATCCCATTCTTATTTCTTTTTATATTTGACAATAAAAAGAAATATATATCTATGTAATGTTTACATTCTTGATCTTTTGAGCTGATCTCTTCCTCTTAATTGCTCTTGATCATTATCCATCGACATGAACCTATCTAATGCTCTTTGACTATATTCTACCTGTTTTCTATGACCTAATGGTCTTGGTGCTTTCTTTGGTGCTTTAACATAACCAGAAGTAAGTGGTGAGTACTCTCTCTTTAATTCACGTAGTTCATGAATATACTTTCTATATTCTTTCTTTACATCAGCTGGCGTGTTTCTTCTTTTCTCTGACTTATCTGATCTTGGTCTACCAGTTTCTTTTCTATATTCAGCTGCAGAATCATCAATAGCTTGTTTCCATCCATTCTTTACATATTCTTTATCTTTTGAATTGGTTCCAGAAACACCATACTTCATTGGGTTACGACCCCTAAGTTGTTGTGCGTTATGAATAATTTGTTTGTTTGCGTTCTTATTAGAGTTCATTTTTATATAGACCTATATAAAAAAATAAAATGGATATTAGTATACTTGCCTCAATACCTCCAATTGTACTTGATGATGTTATTGGTTTGCTTACAAGAGCATTAGGTTGTGGTGAATTAAAAGCAAGAAACATACTTATTGTATTACTTGAGTACCTTGAGAGGAAAATAGATTTTAATTTAAAGTTTTACCAACGTGATAACTCTGATATCTATGGTTATGATGCACCAGGATATGGATCACAAATAGCTATAAACTTAAAAAGAATTTATCAATTAGTCAACAAGTCCGGTATAATAAAGTTGAATAAGAGATCCATAGCTCACCTTACATTCGAGATCATGTATTGTTGTTTTAATAATGGATATACATTTACAATAAATGAATAATTTGAAATAAACCCTACATACCCTACATTTACAATTAATGATGCCTAATAATTAAGGTGTCATATAAAACTATGTAATGTAGAGTATGTAGAGTATACATAGTTGTTAACATACCCTACATAATCCCATAGTTAAAGGGAACTGTATAGTTTAATGTAGGGTATGTATAGTATGTAGGGCTATTAATATTCTTATTATATTAAATATGAATATTTAATTATTAATTATTGCTTTACACCAGGTGTTGCTTCATTGATGTTGATATTTCCATCCCATTACCTCCACTCATACATTTTGATTTGAACCTGATATGTAATAGTACACTGCTTAATAATGTAGAGAGCATGAGAGTTAGTGTTATTGGGTCCATTTTTGATTAACTATACACATTAAATCTTTCTAAAATTACCTTTTTCTTGCATTAGATGTTGATAAGTAACATAAGTAACATCGACAGTATATGTACCAGTTACGAATGCAGAACCAGTAGTGAGTTGAAGGAATTGATTAGAAGTAAATTGGAAGTATCCATTATTAATACCATCTCTTATAACTTGCATTGGTGAATCAGCAAAGAACAACCAATAAATTGCTTTAACTGATGGCAATACACCAGGAGAATGAATAGCAGCATTAGTTGTTCTAATATGACCAGCACTAATACCATTACTTCCTAATATAGTTGTTTTGTTATTATCTACGACGTTAATGATTGCATCATACTCTGATTGAAAGGTAGATGGTCCTCCTAACTGTGAGAAAGCAGCATTAATGCAGGAGTCTTTGAACTTCTCACCATTACACACATCATAGAACATAATGCATCTACTTGAATTGGAATTTCAGTCATAGTACCAGCAGTTAGTGTACCAGTCCATGATGATGATTGAATAGTGCTATATGGTATCTTCTTTGGGAATTGTAATTCTAGTTTACGATGATTCTCTTCTGCTATTCTATTTCGCTTTGAGATTAATCTTAAATTCATTGCATTCATTACAAGAGTACCAGTACCAGATAATACAGGATTAGCACGAGGATAAACTGAAATAATAATATCATTGTTTATAGTTTGGGGGTTAATATGATTGAGTAATGATAATGATATTGGTAATGAAATAGTCTCCTTACCTAATGCAGCAATTGCATGTTGGGCTGTAGGATCAAAAGTTAATGGACTCATACCCAAACCATTTAAACCACCTAATACATTAACTTGATCGTTTGAGAAGAATTGAAACTTTGAGAATAACCAATCACCTGTTAATGTTTGTACAGGATTAGGATCACCATTTACACCTATATCGATACGATCAATTAAATAAGGACCAGCAACTGGAGTAACAGAGTTAGTTGCATGAGTATTTGCTAATACCATATCTAAAACGACATTCTCTATCTTGAAACAATAATTAGGTGATAATCTAAAAGTAATAGGATTATTAGTAATTGTACCAGGTGCAAATGAAACGGGATCTAATTGCCATCGTACATGTTGTGATGTCTCAATTACATTTGAATCGGGATGTGGAGTTAATATCTTCTTTCCTCCTATATCATTAAAGTATAAATCTTTAGCTTGTTTAATATTACCTCCTGCAAATCTACTTGTGTCCAATGATTGTGACATTCTCTTTTTTACTTATAATTATAAAATTTTAAATACTCATTTCATTGTTTGACATAATATTGTTCATGATAACATTAGTATAAATAAATGATAATAACACAATTACCTAAATCCTTTGTCAATTGTTTCACCACAATTTATATGTGAAAAATGTCGAACTTCATGAAAATGAGGTAAATAAGATATTTTTTTTTTTAGCTAAAAAAATGGTAATTTATCATCACTGACTTTGTTGATCATTGTTTTTTATCAAATCAACATGAATAGTAACAAGATAGAAGATAAGAACCCAATATCAAGGTTCTATGAGGCAAATGATATCCTCAAACTCAAATTATCTTTTTCAGAAAATACGCTAAAGATCAATCTGGAAAGTAGAACAGTAACTTTCAGCAGTGATAAGACACGGAGACGAGAGATAAAGGCTGATCTTTGCCAACAGGCTTGGGATAAACTGTTAAAAGGACTGTATAACGAGTACACACCTAGAGCACCACAATTCAATAATCTTGGCAGTTTGTTCAATCATATCTGTCATAAAAATCAATATACCGCCAAATATGACAAGAGTCTCGAAGGGGACAAACATCGATGCATTCTCAAAATTCAACCTCATTCCGAGATTTTGAAATCGAACGAATTTCATTCAGACTTATTTTCTTCAAGCAAAAAGTCCAAGGATCATGCCGTTGAAAAAGCCATAATTCACCTCATGACCAAGTTCACATGGGTCTATGAGTTCGTGAAAGCACTTCCAGATGGGGAAAGGAGTCGCGTACCAATAGCCTCTCCTTTTGATGAACCAGTGGAAGGCCAACATTTGACAAGAAACGGCACTAAACTAACAGAGAACCGTAATTTGGAGTTGAAGGCTTTCACTAGGGACTTCAAGGAAACGCTCAACCATCACATCCATGGCAAAACATCACTAGGAAAGGAAACTAAGAATGTTACCTACTATCTCGCTGCATTCTTAAACTCCAACTGCCCAGGCCAATACATCATAGGAGTGACAGACAAAGGTATAGTGCAAGGAGTTCCCATGAATAATAAGGAGAAGGACGATTTATTGAATGCATTGGATAAAGTGCTGGAGAATACCTATCCTTCACTCTTAGGCTCAAATTTTCTAAATGTTACATTTCCCAAAGTCAAAGATTGTGACACTCCAGACGAAGCAACTGCTGAAAAGGTACCAAGATATCTTGTGGTCGTAGAAATAAGACCCAATGAAGGACCTCATTATCCATACTTCCCAGACAAAAAAAAATCTATTGCCCCAAAGAAAGGAGAGGCTTCAACTTATGACATGAATCCTGTGGAGCTTGTGGAAATGATCATCAATGCAAAAGTTGCAGAGGGAGATGTTAGTACAACTGGCGGTGTAACCACAAATGATGTACCAGCCATAGATTCCACAAACACAGGTGTTACAACATCAGGATCAACTAGTTCACATGCAACCACAATTACCCCTACAGGAATCCTTCACAGTTTAATCAACTATTGCAGTACATGGTGGAGGAATTGGTGAAGTACATGGTAATCTTTGGCATCTGTGGAGACCCTTCATGCTATCTCATAACTGCACTCTGTAAGGGAAATACATAGTATATACACTTTTATCATTCACCTTCACTATCCACCGTTTACTATCACTACCCTCTCATGTTTCAATCCTTAAAGGATTTTGAAAATAATCATCATTCTATATAATAATAAAACAAAACACTACTATTCTTATATCACCTACCAAAAATCACCAAAATTACACATTACACCTTTATTTACTATCCATTATACCGCCGCCACCACCATTACCTTAGTTAACCATAAATAAGGTTTGGATAGACCGAGCTGTGATACAAAATCACTCTGAATCTCTATTTTTAAGTATATATTTAAGGTATGATGTTGATGATGATCAGCTGCAGCAATTCCTTAGAAGAATAAATCGATAATCAAAATGATTGGCTGGGTATCTGCAAAGATCACCTGGAATCGAAAGAAGCCATAAAACAATGAAAGGGGAGGTTTCAGTATAGAGATTGGATCAATAGATGGTAACTGATTGCCCGACGCAAGTGTTGACAACATGTGGCTGGCTTAGTAAGAGACTTGTTCCAGGTTTCTAAATCTCATACTTGTTTTGTTTTTTTCATGTGCAACCTACTGGAGCTCGAAAACAATAACATTAATCTCAAGACTTTAATCTAAATGTAATCTTTTTAGATAGTTGTTTTAATAACATTAAATCAAAGTAATAATTATTGAAATTATAGTGTCAATATTGTTTATTTATTGTTTAGTTAATAATATTGAATCGTTCGATATCGTAGTTGTTTATTAACAACCACATCTTCCACCACCGAGGAGACCACCAACAAGGCCAAGGACACCACCGACAACACCTCCGACAGTTCCGACAACACAACCAAGATTGACATTGACATCAACATCAACACTGATTCCACCGGTGCCACAACCAGCAGTGCCGTTAGATGATTGACCAGAGAGACCTCCACTTGATGATCCAAAGCTCTTGGTCATTGATGAAGTGTTTCCAACATTTCCGAGTGAAGTAAGTGATTCTATTTGAAAGTAGATTGTAAATTTTATTAGTTCATTGTATTTTTATTTATATTTTATTTTATTTATACATACTGATTAACATTTTAGATTTTAGATAATTGATTTAGAGATAATTAAGAATTTGATTGTTTTTGATGAATAAAATGTACATTTCATTCTCCTTTAAATAGTTATTTCATTCACATAATAAATCATATTAAACATTGGAATAGATAATCTAAACAGAGATCATTAAAGTTTGAAACGCCATTTTTATTTGAATGAATATACTTTCAAGAAAATAAATATATATGGGTAATCACTTTTAAGAATTGATTGGTTTTTAATTTATCACTACTCTCCACTTTTAAGTATATATTTAAAGTACGATGTTGATGGTAACGATGATCAGCTGCAGCGATTCCTTAGAAAATAAATCGATAATCAAAATGATCAATCAACCAGTTGTTGTGGTTTTTTAAAAACAAAAAGTGGTCTGTGGGTTGTTTAGAATTCAACCACCAATTTAACTTTTTCAAAAATTAACTACAATTTTTTTTTAAAATCTCTAAACAATATAGATATGGTAACCTTTGATCTTAATAAGGGTACAATTTTTCAAACATTAGATCAATTAAGAAAAGATCTTTTAATTTTGAAGGGACAAACACTGATTTGTTTAGATTGAAAAAGTTGTTCATTCTTAAAAGAAACATAAATTATTGATTCATATTGGTTAAAATTTAATCAAATTTAATTAATTAATTGAATTGAAGTTTGTTACCAATCATTAAAAAAATCGAAAAATTTTAATTTTTAATAGGTAGTAATAATTAGTATTGGTTCTTTTTTTTGTTTTAGAATTTGAAATAATTAATTTTAACCATTTTGATGTTTTTAAAATCTAGATTAATTAATTTATGATTCATTTAAAATATTAATTAGAACATTCTTTTTTTTCAATAACAAATAATTCTAATTTAAACCATAGATATTAAAATGATATTGATTGAATTCCTACTTTTAAACATTTCACTCTTTCTTATATTATTAGTTTGACTTTGGCTATTTCTTGATTAAGAATCTCTTTTTATTTCCAAGTTAAGGGATTATAGAATAATCAAAAATTGGTAGTTTGTACCTGCCCGTGGAATCAACTTGAAGTTGTCCAGTCTAAATAACTACCCTCCATTTTAAAATGAAATTATTAGTTATATAGAAATGATCAATTCCTTAATAAACCTTTATAAATTAATCAATTTCTTTAATTTTTTAAAAAATCTAAAACAAAAAAAAAACAAAAAAAAAGTATTTAGATTTTAGATTCACATTAGATTCAAGATGTAATAAAAGAAGTCATGTTGTTTACAATAAAGTATTTGTTTTTTTATTTATTTATAATCTATAGTTATATAGCTATTTGTAATAGTACAGTTTTAATTTTAGGTGAAACAAATCAAAGTTTGGAGATCTTTGTAAATAGTAATAGTCAGAATTTATCAGTGCCATGTGGTACTGATAGTTCAATAACCAATGCATGTCAATCGATTATCAATGCAATCGATACATTCAATCACCAACAACAACAACAACAACAACAACAACAACAACAACAACAATTAGTTATAAAACTATCAAGTGGTGTTTATAGTGGTGATTCTAATAGTAATTTAAATCTCTATGGTTTTAACATATCGATTGTTGGTTCATCATCAAGTGATACCATATTAGATCTTAACTATTCATCCACTGCATATCTAATAGATATATCACCACCAATTGATTTCTTTAAAAATACATCAATAGAAATCAATAATCTTAACATTATAAATAGTAATAGTGATGTAATAATAAACAACAATAACAACTACATCTACAACAATGACAATAGTAATAGTAGTACTTCATATTTAACACTTAACAATGTACAAATTAACAATTGTAAATCATATAATAGTTTTATTTCAATTTTAAATAATAATAATAATAACAATAATAATAATAGTATTTATAATAATAGTAATTATAATACATATATAAAACTTAATAAAGTTATTTATAAAAATAACTTTGGTACATTTATAAATGGAAATAATATAAAATTGGATATAGCCAATACACAATTGTCATCGAATAACAAAGTGGTGTTTGGTGAAAACAACAGTAATGCTTTGCAGCTTTTTAATGTTTCTAATGGTGAAATAGATATACTGGGTAGTCAATTCTATAGTAATACTATTACTATTGGAAGATTCAGTGGTGGCTGCAAAGTGAAAATAGACGACCGTTCTGTATTCTACGATCAGCGAACAACCGAAGCGAGTGGTAGTATCTTTGTTGCCGACGACAACTCTAACCTCTACATTGGTAATATATTGGTGCAAAGTAACCGTGCGACATTCATTGCCTTGTCGGGTAGTCGTTCGTATCTACTGGTCAACGCTACATCGTTCCTCTACAACTCTGGCTACTCCTGTATTGCTGCAAGCGGCGTCAACAGCCTGTTGATTCTCAACAGTGAGTTCCACGAAAACTACTCGTTTGGCCGTGGTGGTGCGCTGAGTACACACCAGACGAACTTGGTTCTCATCGAGAACACCACATTCGTAGACAACGATTCGCTACTTGGCGACGGCACATCGATAGCGATCGATTCGTCACAGATGCTATTCCTCGTGAGGAACAGCAGTTTCAACGATTTCGGACTGTGGCAAACGATCTACTGTGAGAACAACTCGATTGTAACATTACAAAACATAGAAGTAAATGACAACAACAATGACAATGACAACAACTTTATAACATGTCAACAATGTATGATACACGAACTCGATAATAATCATAGATCGATTCAACGATTCTGTAAAACAACAAACGACAACACTCAAACGAGTGCATTAAGCTTCAACAATGCATTTCACATAGTAGTTACTGTAATGATATTTTTCTTTATCTCAATCGAATATATTCGTTATAGGATGACTGTACTACGCTTCAACTTACTTATCAACAATGAAAGAATGAATGACATTTAAAAATAAAATTAATTAAAAAAACAACACACAATTTGTTTGTTTTCAAAAATGAACAGTTACATAACAAAACCGGTTTAGTCGACTCCTTATGATACAAAAAAAATAGGTGTAGAAAATATAAATTTAATACCGGTTACACACAAAAACAATTTTTTGATTTTTTATTTTTTAATAGTAATATATCTCGGGTAAGTCACAACAAAATCAATCAACCTATGTGGTAGAACTATTACTTGAATTTTGTTAAAAGTCGATAGATATATTGCTTCAACCAGATCCTATTCAAATCATTTCATATATCGGTCACTTACCAAGTTAGAAAAGAGTAAAAATAAATCTTCAAATGTACTACGTAGACAATGAAATGAAATCTGATGACGCAGATGATAACTATGAGTGTACCAAAATATCTCTACAAGAAAAAAACCCATTCCATCATTTTCTTTTCATTTATAGTGAGACGTGGCATCCCCGTTAATTCTGATTAGTTTTTTTTTGTTTTTTTGAAAGCCAAAAAGGTGATCATATTGAATGCACATTAAGTAAATTTAATACTTTCTAAAAAAGGATTGTCCCTCAACTGTTTTGAAAAGAAAACTATGAATCTGATCTACACAGCACCAAAGTGTGGGGAATCACCCTTGTCAAAGTATAAAAACAAATCCAAAAAAAATATTGATTCTCGAAAAATCTTTTACCTCAACATTGTTTCTATATACAATTTATTTGTTGGTATATATTCTTTTATTATTGTTTTTAAGAAAAGTTGGAACCTATAAATAATAAAGAGGAAATAGGAATGTCGAATTGTCATACACCAACAACTCCCATTTTATTGGGTCACCACACTTTACAAAAAGTATTTCATCAAGACGGAAATATAATCGGACAAATTGTTACTTTTAATGCACTTTCAGAGCTTGCAAAAGATGTGCCAAAAAAAAAAATCTATCAAAAAACATCTCACGGTGTTGGAAGAATATTCGTAAAGTAATGATCTACCGAATGAAACATTGTGAAAGGAAAGTTATTAATAGTTTATTCAATAGATATCATGTACCAGGTATAGTGGAGCCGGTGTGGCAATGTGGAACTGGATTCTGTATTAAGAAAGGTATTGTGATGTCTGCGGGTCATGTATTTACCTTTAAAGTAGATAAAAATGCACCAATAGAAACCCAAGAGATGCAGAAAAATCTTAAATACCAAAAGATCTATATTTACTTTGGTCCACATGCCTCCTTGGATGTTGATGGTTTGCCAGTTAGTATGGACAACTTCTATGAGTTGGAGTCATTGGGTAGAGATTTTGATCAAAAATTCAAAGCTCCTTTGTCATCCACTGACCTCAACGGTAAAACATTCCATTGGAATCCAGCCAACGATTTAGAGGTTCTCAAATTCAAAGAAAAACCACCAAAACACGTTAAAATTCTATTGCCAATGCTTCCAACCAATCCACAAGCGGTCGATCACTACGTCATGGGATATCCAGGTTTTGTAACTTTGGATAAATTTAAAGCTGATTACGATGTATCCTCTGTGAAACTTGGTTTGGAGAGTCTTTATATCGAAGTGGTCAAAGGTACTCGTTATTTTGAGAACAAGACTGTTTTCATTGGCAAGGTTGTCAAAATAGAAAATAATGTGATTACTCATCTCTGTCCAACACTAGCAGGTACATCGGGTGGTATTCTTGCCAATACTGAACAAAAGAGAAAGTTCGTGGGTGTTCATCTCGGTGGATCACAGGAAATTGGAAACATTGCAATCTCTGTTACACACCCATTATTCTGGGACATTTACGAAACTTATGTTCTTAAAAATGATGATAAATTCATTAAAAAGAATCTTAAACATTTAAAGGAATATTTAATTTACTTTAATTATATTAAATTAAGTAAGCTTTAGAATCGACACAACCATATAGAGTAATAATTACCTTCTCTTTTGATCATTTACATAATAAAAAAAAATAATATATATTTACCTTTATTGTCATTATTATTACAATTGTATAACTTAAGTTCAACCAATTGGTTACAATGAAATTTAAAAATAAAATTAATTTAAAAAATCAAAAAAACAACACAAAGTTTGTTTACAAAAATTTAACGGATTTTTGATAACATTCTTCAAACAACAGTTATAAATTTTATATTTTAATTTATTTATTTAATTTATTGTATATTTTTTTTATTTTTTTTCAAAAAATTCATTTCAAATCAATTGAACTTGGTTTTTCAGTTTACAGTTGTTATTTTAATCATTTTGTAACATTTGTGAATAATTATAACTATATATAGATAAAGAAAAGATAAATTAAAATATACAAATATAGAGATAGATAGATATTATTATTATTTTTAGAATTTGTTTATTGAAGATAATTTTTGTTATAGTTTAGAAGTATTCGTTTTGTATCGATATGAATGATAATCATAAAGGTATACTTCAGGAGCTATGTCAAAAACGAAAAGAAGTTTCACCAGTATACACGAAACCAACGATCATCACAGATATAGGAGGTAATTTCTACTACACAGAGGTAACCGTTAACTTTAAAGGACAAAGGTTTACCGGAGAAGGTAAGGCACGCTCAAAGAAAGATGCTGAAAAGACTGCTGCTTTAAATGCCCTTCAATCGATCTTCACCATTCACCCATCTGAAAGAGCAATCATGGAGTCAGGCAGTGGATTAGACTCTAGAAACTCGAGTAGTAGTAGTAGTAGTAGTAGTAGCAGCAGTTCAAGTAGCAGCAGTAGTAGCAGTGGTAGTTTGAGTGGAACATCACACGATGCTATGATGAATGATATATTTATAAATAATGGTGGTGTTACTACGCAAACATCCAATTGCAATAGTCCGCAGGCAACTGGAGCGACTGGCGGTTCATCACCGTCGACTTCCTCCAATGCAAACAACGCTACCAATGGAACTGCTGCCGCTGCTGTGATCAATCCCAATATTCAACAATCGAGCAATATTGGCAGTGCATACAATCATCGTCGTGGACAGGATCAAACTGAGGTGGTGCGATTGCAACTGCAGTTGGAACAGTCGATCAAGACATTCACTGAGCGCTACAATCACTTGGAGAAGAAGTACAACGATCTGAAGGAGTATGTCAATCGTAAACACCTGGAAACACGTGACTACATCGATCGCAAGCTAAAGAGAAAACCAAAGAAACAAGAACGCTCACCCGTTCTTCAGTCAAACACAATGGAGGATTTGAATATTTGTGCTGTTGTTGTTACAACACCTGCAACTGCTGTTGAACAACCCGTTCTTATCACCACCGCGGAACAACCCTCCTCCAACAACAGCATTACACTCTCGGAAGCAAATACGACTAATACTATTACAGTATCAGAATCATCATCATCATCATTGTCATCATTGTCATTATCGTCGTCGTCGTCATCATCTTCACCTAAGCAACATCCACCACGATCGGTCATCGCCACCATTGAACTCGACAAAGAATTGATACCGAGTCAGCTAACATTCTTTCGATATCGCACTGTTTTCAGCCATGGTTTCAAATCGGAGGATTTCAGTCATCTCGACCAAAAGTACAACTTCTCTGGATTCCTACTGTACAGCGCCAATCGCTTGCCAAAACCGGTCATCCACATCTCCAATGGCGCTGGCGAGCATTTCGCTATTTCGATGGTTGAGTACGACCGCGAATCGATGACACGCGATGAATTTGCGCGTATCGTTACATTCCACCACTGCTTCTACACCCAGATTCTCCAGCAGAAACACATGAATTTCCGTTCGCCACAAGACCTCTACTTTGTGCCGTTTGTCAAGTGTCTGAGCAATCCAACACAGAAACTTCACCAAACACTGATGGACTTGCTGACACACGACGATCTCATCAATGGAATTCCCTCGTTCTCGTCGGACAAGGAGTTTCACGCCTACTTTGACGAGAAGTATCTCAACCGGGTGGTGTTGTCGCCACGACCCGACTTTACCATATGTCGCGCCGTCGATCACACCCGACTCTTTGGCTACAACGACCCCAGTGTAATGTCGGTGCGCGACAAAAGCGGCAACCCAATCGAGTTGACCAGTGGAAAGTATCCATCGATCATGTGCACTCACTCCAGCGCCATCGCCAACAAAGACTACTGGTCACTGCGAACACTCGTCTACTACGACGCCAACGACCAGCCTGAAGATCCGGCCAAGTGGAACACCGATGAGTTTGCAGCGATGGAACCAACGCAATGGGAGAGTTACATCCGCAAAGCAAAACTCACCGCCAAAGATCCACTTGTTCTCCGCGTGTTTGGCATCACCTCGACGATGCACGCCGTCGCCAAAGTAGCGATTCTCCCGTACATACCAGAGATTCACTGGACCCTGAAAATGGAGAATTTCAAACGACAATACATAAATATCAACAACCAACGACTTCTACGTGAAGTCTTTACACATCCATCGATCAACCGTAACAACACCGTCCCACCCAGATCACTAAAGGTATTCAAAGACTATCAACTTTTTAAGAGTGATAATCAACGATTAGAATATTTCGGTGATTCAATTTTAAAGTTTTGTATTACGTAAGTATCTATAGATAGAGCGATATCATAATAATTTATACTAATTCTTTTTGTTCCTCTTCTTCTTTTTTTTTAGATATTATTTATATTTTTTGTATCCAAATGCACCGGAAGGATTTCTTACAACAAAGAGAAGTGAAGTAACTAGCAATACCTATCTACAGAATATCTGTGACCAAACTTCAATCGATGATATTCTTAGACTAGGTCTTTCAAACACAGAAGACTACAAGAAACCGAAAGCAGATGTTATAGAAGCATTGTTTGCCGCTGTCTATCTCGAGTGTGGAATCAACGTTGTCTACGAATTCATCATAAACCTACTATTTAAAATTGAAAATGTTGTATTTCCTACATATAAATGTGAACATACAAATGAAACTCCATTAAGTAAGTGTTGTTGTCGTTAACAATTGATTACACAAAAAGGTAACTAACTCATAACTCATAACCAATTAACCTATAGGTGAATCACAGAAATCAGTATTATTCAATATGAATATAAATATTAAAGATACTTGTTTGTTCCAAGAGGCAATGAATTGCAGTAGTGATCCAAAGATGAACTATCAGCGATTGGAGTTTCTCGGTGACTCGTACATCGATCTGGTGGTATCGGAGTTTCTCTATCACAACTTCCCGCGCGAACAAGAGGGTTTCCTCTCACAGACACGTGCACTGCTGGTGCGCAACGAGAAGCTTGCCAACACTGCCAACCACCTACGAATCCGACAGTCGATCGATCCCAGCGTTGTCCCGACCACCAAGCGTATGGGTGACCTCTTTGAGTCGTTCACCGGCTGTCTGCTGCTGGACGGCGGTCTACAAGACACGAAATCGTTCCTCATCAAACATCTCCCGCTCACCACCAACCACGTCAACGAAATGATCGAATCGCACTACGCATCGAACCGACCAATACCACTAACCTCACAGGAACCAATACCAGACTCGAATCAAGATATCACTCTTCCTCTCAAATTATTGGAGCAATACGAAGAGAATAACAACAATAATGACAACAAACTAAGTAGTAGTAGTAGTAATAGTAGTAGTAACAACAAATTAATAACAACAACTACAATATTAACAACAAACATAGAAGAAGAAATGATAATAGATTCATAATAACAATAATAATCATAATATAATAACCATTTGTAAAAATTCAAGATATATAATAATAACTAATTAATTTGCTAAAATCAAAAATAGACAAATTCTAACTAAGTATTTTTATTTAAAATAATTAGTATTATCTGTCTCTTTTTGGTTTTAATAAATTATTATTTATTTTATATATATCTTTTATTTTTATTTGTAAATATCATTCATATTTTCTATTTATTTATATCGTGAAATTAATTTCATTTGTGTGTATTGTATGTTTTTATTTGAGATCCTGGTCGAAATCCTCCCCAGCTTTTTTTAATGTATCATAACAAAAAAAATAAATTGAAGCCTGGGTTATCATTCGCTTCATTAGAAGAGTTTTCTGAATTAAAAAAAAATCCAACAAAACAGAAAAAAAAAAACATCTGATTTTTTTTTTTTTTTTTTTTATTTTTCAAAATTATTTATTTTCATCACTTCTCCAACAACAACTCATAACAAGACTTTTGTCAACTAAATAGTCCGTCTGCTGTGTGTTGTTTTTTCACAAAATTAATTTTATTATAAATTGAACCTTTTTTTTTTATTATTACTATTTATTATTATTATTATTTTAGATAGTTTATAGTTTAGCCAGCGTTAGTTTTAGTTTAGATTAGATTAGTTTAAACTAAGGAACTTCAATTTAGATAGACTTTTACAATTAGTAGTAATAGATATAAATATAGATAGATAATATAGAAAAATGAGATTTGAAGAGGAATTTCTTAAGCATACAGTAAATGGTGTAAAGGCTGCAGAGGCTGCTTTTCGTGATCAAAAGGTAGCTACTCGTATCGTACCATGGAGCTCACACTTAAAGTCAGATTTCATCACTCGTGAGGAATACAGTCTCATCGACAAATACGACAAGAAATCTGAAACTGAGAAGAAGACTATCTTTTCAACTGTAAGTGTTTCATTAAATATTTACACAATGAGATAATTCATTGCGAACATCAAATCTTATCATCACATCACAAATAACACACACATTTTTTTAAAAAAAAGATTTGGTTTTTTTTTTTTTTTTTTAATTTTGATATTTTAAATTAACACACACCTTATTTACATCTATTTTTTATACTACAATTTTATAGGAAGGTGACAGACTTGCTCAATTCTTTGTTGATTTCTTACAAAAGAGTGCAGATTTGGATACAATTCAATACGTTCTCTACTTGGTTAATGAAATCATTAGAAGTAAGATTAGATTAGATTAGATTAGTGGGGTTGGGAATGTGATTGATTGATTGAATAGAATAGATGATATTAACTACTACTACTTTCCACTTATAATAATAATAATAATAATAATAGTTGAACCAAAAGCATTGAATAACTTTGTCAGATTAAATAGCGCAAAGGATGCAAACTATCCATACAATATCTTCTTTAGATTGTTCAATCGTGAGGACAACAACGCATACGTAAATCTGATTGCCGGTATCATTTTAGGTAATATCTTGGCAGCTGGATCGCCACCACAAAAGGAGATCGAACATTTCATCAACTGGTCACTCCCACTCCTCCGTAAATCAGAGCCACGTGAAGTCGAAGTCGCATTGATTGCCCTACAAGCTTTCTTGGCCAAAGAAGATAACAGAGTTCTTTTCAACAAATTACAAGGAACTAATTTGTATGTCAAACAAATCATCAACCAAACCAAGCCAATAATATCATAATAATCATCGACACACACACACATATATACTAATATCATATCATATTCATCATAACAAACAAACAAACCAATATTACAGATTAGTTGAGATTGTTTCAAATAATGCTAGTCCAAATACATTGCTTTTGCCATTGCTCTATGAAGCTTTATATTGTATTTGGTTGTTGTCATTCAGTCCAGTCGTTGCTCACGATGCCTCTGAAAAGAACATCGTCCCAACTTTGGTTCAAATCACTAAAACCATTACTAAAGAGAAGATTATTAGATTGTCAATTGCTTCCCTTAGAGTAATTATCAAATTTGCTAAGCAAATACCACCATATTCATACAACTAATCTTTTCATTTTACCATTTCCATATAACAACGACAACTATAGAACATGATGAACGTCGAGAAAAACAATGAAGAAATGATTGAAGGTGGATTGATTCGTATGTTAAACTTTTTGAGCAACAAGAAATGGGGAGATCAAGATATTGTCGACGATCTCGAGAAACTCTCTGAAGCATTATCACAAGATATCGCCAAGATGAGGTAATGTATTAAATAATAATAATATTGATCTGATATATATATATATATATATAATATAGTATAATGTATTAATATTATTGTTTATTATTATTTATTATTTTTAGTTCATTCGATAAATATAGAACTGAAGTACAAACAAACGAGTTGGAATGGTCACCAGTTCACAAATCAGAGAATTTCTGGAAAGAAAACGCATTGAGATTCGAAGAGAACTCACACAGCGTCTTGAAGCTTTTACATTTAATCCTACAAAAGTCAGAGAACCCAGTTCACCTTTCGATCGCTTGTCACGATCTTGGTGAATTTGCTCGTTTCCATCCACGTGGAAAGATGTAAGTTATCATAATAACCATATATATATTATCAAATCAAATAATTAATTAATCATCTTTCATTTTCTCTTTTTCCATTTCTTAAACTAGTATTATTGAAGCACTCGGTATCAAACAAGATATCATGAGATTGATGACCAATCCAAACGAAGAGGTCAAGAAACAAGCATTGTTTGCTTTACAAAAGATGATGATTAACAACTGGGAATACTTATCAGCAAAGTAAACAATAATTAAAAAAAAAAAAACAAACAATATAAACTATAGTAATAATATTAATAGTAGTAATTTATGACCATTAAACTTTTACTTTATATAAATAACTTGCAAACATTAAAACAAAATAAAACAATCAAAAAATCAATCATCATCATATCACCAAACTTTAAAAATAAAAAATTAAAATAAAATAAAAAAATACTAAACTAAACCTTTAATTGATCATTATTGTTATTTGATTGAACTGAACTTGGCTTAAAGTAATTCGATTACTAGTTTTACCATGTTATGTTGGTCAATTAATTGATGATATTATCAAGACTAATTTTAATTAAATTTAATTCCGGTATCATGAATCCAATCCTGGTAAAATTTAACACAATTGCAATTTCCTTAGATTAGGTTGTGATATTTCCATTTAAGAAAATTTATAATCTAATTAATTAAAGAGATTGATATTTATAAACACAAATATATAATGGAATGAATATTATTGTGATAAGTACGACATTGTACTTTATGGTTGATTAAACAATCACAAAATAAAAAATAATGTAAAATTTTTAATATCCTGCATTGTTGTTTCATAAATAATCTTATCTGCACCAAAAAAAACCAAGACACCACTTGGTGGAACGGAAAAATAAAGAGAGAAATATGATTTTTTTAGAACTTTAAATCGATGATTGATTTTTGACAGGTGTCAAAAAAAAAAAAAACCTTTAGTTTTTTGTAAATTGTTTTTTTTTTTGTCAGTTTTTTTTGCAAACCATCAAACCCCCATTTGCACCAAGGTTTTGTTTGTAAACTAAACAACTGAAAAATCAATAACAACATACCCCCTTTATTATATATTTAGTGCCTAATTTGTTGTTGGATGGTCCTTGTCAAAATATTTCAATACTTGATAATATATGCAATGTTTTATTTTTATATTTTATTGTTTGTTTGTTAAATGGTGATGGTGGTGATGGCTATTGGTGCCTCAAATAATCAATTAATGGCTATAAATCCAAAAAAAAGTACATCATTTAAAGTAGCTATTAGATCAAATTAATAATAAAATAAGAGATTTCACTTCGGTCAAACAGAAAAAGAAAAAAACAATTTTACTTTAAGGATGCAAATGAAGTTTGACACTTTTATTGTTGTGTAAACTTGTGATGGATACACAAACACACTGATCAAGTTTGTGTACCGCTATACACTCAGTTGTCACCTTTGCCACCATTATTTCCTATGCATTGGTATGGCATATCTAAATTTAATAATATTTTTTTTTTTGTTTTTTTACATTACATCCAATCGTTGAAACCACGAATAAAACCAAGCTTGGATTTTGTTAATCAATCAACATTGTGGTCTGAAAGTCTTAAAGTTAATATATTTATAAACTACTACTTATAATTATTTGTATATATTATTTATCGATTATCTGTATATATTTGAAGTTCATATAGGAATAAAAAAAAAAAACAAATCCAATTAAATATTTTTTAAAAAAAAAAACAACAACAACTTCAAATGGTTGCTCAACAATTAGAGTCCATCCAATTGGATAGTATTGAAGATGAGTTTAAATTCGATATTCAAACATTGGGACAATTCGTAGATGTTCCAAAGAATCCAGCTTTACTCGAAGAGATTGGTGGTGTTCAAGGTTTGGCTGCTGGACTTAAATCATCGACAACCCAAGGTTTACCAAACGAATATAATTCTACTGAAGCCAATCGTATTAGAATGTAAGTAATTAGTATTAACTAATATTATAATAATTTATTAATTTCTATTTTAATATTTTCCAATTAATTTTTAGTTATGGAAAAATATTTTACCACCTCCACCACATCAACCATTATGGAGTATCATTCTAGATGCTTTAAAAGATCATATTTTGATTTTACTTATTATTGCCGCTGTTATTTCTATTGTTTTGGGTGCCATTCCATATACTTCCGATGATCCAGAGACTGGTTGGATTGATGGTGTCGCTATCTTGGTCGCCGTAATTATTGTAGTGGTCGTGACTTCGACCAATGATTTCAAGAATCAAGCTCGTTTCCGTGAGTTGAATGAAAAGACCTCCGATAAACAAATCAAAGCTATCCGTTCAGGTGAGCAATGTCAAATCTCCATCTTTGATGTACGTGTCGGTGATGTCCTACTCTTGGATACCGGTGACATTCTCTGTGCCGACGGTGTCTTTATCGAGGGTCACTCCATTACTTGCGACGAGTCATCGATCACCGGTGAATCCGATCCAATCAAGAAAGGTCATTACACTGAGGGTTTCGATCCAATGTTTATCTCTGGTAGTATGGTGTTGGAAGGTTTCGGTCGTATCATGGTCACAGCTGTCGGTACCAATTCATTCAACGGTAAGACAATGATGTCGCTCCGTGTCGAATCTGAAGATACTCCACTCCAAGAGAAACTCGGAAAACTCGCTGCCAATATTGGTAAATTCGGTTTGTCAGCTGCCGTTCTACTGTTGTTGATTATCATTCCAAAGTACTTTATCGAAAAGAAAGTTAATGGTGAGCCAATCTCTTCCAAAGCCGGTGGTGAAATCACCAACATGGTTATTGGTGCCATCACTATTATTGTTGTCGCCGTGCCAGAAGGTCTTCCACTTGCCGTAACAATGGCTCTTGCATATGGTATGATGAAGATGTTCAAGGAAAACAATTTGGTACGTCACTTGGCATCGTGTGAAACCATGGGTAGCGCCACTACCATTTGTTCCGACAAGACCGGAACTCTCACCCAGAATGTCATGACTGTCGTTACCGGTTACATCGGTACTCTCTTCAAGGATTGTCAGCAATTCGCTTCGACTCTTCCAAAGGATATTGCTGCCATTCTCTGTGACGGTATCGCCATTAACTCCAATGCCTACGAAGGTGTCTCGACCAAGGGTAAAATCGAATTCATCGGTTCCAAGACAGAGTGTGCCATGTTGAACTTTGGAAAGTTGTTTGGATCCGATTACCAAGAGGCTCGTCGTCGTTTGGAGATTGTTGAACTCTATCCATTCTCGTCGGCTCGTAAGCGTATGGGTGTGTTGGTCAAGCAAGATTCATCGAGTTACCGTTTCTTCCAAAAGGGTGCATCTGAGATTGTTCTCGGACAATGTGATCGTTACATCGACCAAAACGGACAAGTCCAACGATTAACACCAGAGGTCAAAGCTATTTTCGACCAAACCATCATTGATTTCGCAACTGATGCACTCCGTACCATTGGTATGGCATACCGTGACTATCCAATCGACTGTGGTTTGGATTTCAAGAAGGAAGCTCCAGAGTCCAATTTAATTTTCATTGGTGTCGTCGGTATCAAAGATCCATTGAGACCAGAGGTTCCAGATGCCGTTATCCAATGTCAACGTGCAGGTATTACCGTTCGTATGGTTACCGGTGACAATATTATCACTGCCCAAAACATTGCCAAGAACTGTGGTATCTTGACCGAAGGTGGATTGTGCATGGAGGGACCGAAATTCCGTAATCTCTCCAAGGAGGAAATGGATGCAATTCTTCCAAAACTTCAGGTTCTCGCTCGTTCCTCGCCAACCGACAAACAATTGTTGGTCGGACGTCTCAAGGATTTGGGTGAAGTCGTTGCTGTAACTGGTGATGGTACTAATGACGGTCCAGCTTTGAAGTTGGCAAACGTCGGTTTCTCTATGGGTATCTCTGGTACTGAGGTTGCTATTGCCGCTTCGGACGTCGTGCTTCTCGATGATAATTTCGCTTCGATTGTTCGTGCCGTCCTCTGGGGACGTAACATCTACGATGCCATCTGTAAGTTCTTGCAATTCCAGTTGACTGTCAATGTAGTGGCCGTTACCATTGCCTTTGTCGGTGCCATCTCTGGAGGTGGACACTCGCCATTGACTGCCGTCCAACTTCTCTGGGTCAATTTGATTATGGATACCTTGGCTGCACTGGCACTCGCCACCGAACCACCCACTCAAGAACTCCTCGATCGTCCACCCAACGGTAAAGACGCTCCACTCATTACTCGCTCCATGTGGAAGAACATCCTCGGTCAATCGGTTCTCCAACTGATCATCCTATTCGTTCTCCTCTACAAGGGAGACGTTATCTACGAGAACTTTGTCGATTTCAAGATTCAACAAACCCATCAATACACCATTCTCTTTAACACCTTTGTATTCCTCCAGCTGTTCAACGAGATAAACAGTCGTGTCTTGGGTGCCAAAGTGAATCCATTCAAGGGTATCTTGAACAATCCAATCTTCCTCGTTGTCTTGGTGGCCACTGTCATCATTCAAGTTATCTTTGTAACTTTCGGTGGTAAGGCAACCTCTACCGAGCCATTGGTCATCCAAGAATGGGTTGCATGCATCGTCACAGGATCGGTTGCACTGCCATGGGGTTTGATGTTGCGTATGATTCCAATTAGCGAACCACCCATCAAGCGATCAAAGCCATCGAAGGAAGAAGCCATCTACACACCACCAATCGACAACAGCAATCCACACTCCACCAATCAAATATCAATCACCACATCCAACGAAAGCAATCATAACAACAGCGACGACTCTCCACTCGTCTCCAAAGACAACACCGACATCCCAATGCAAGTTGGTAGCAGCACCGTTTCACCAACCAACCAATCAACCGATAGACCAGTTCCGGTCGGTCGTGGATGGCAAATCGTTAGACAAACTCACCAAAAGTTACGTGTAATCAATGCATTCAAATCATATGAAACACCAGGTGACGCACTTGTAGATGTTGTTCGTGGTCCAACTCGTCCATCACTTTATTTACCATCTAGTAACTAGGATAACTTAAAAATATAATAATAATAATAATAATATTAAAAAAATAAGATTTTGATCGATCAATCAATCAGTACTCCAAATAAGGTATTTGATTATTTGTAAAAAAAAAAGATCAAAAAAAACACACAAACACAAACTTTCGAATATTCAAGACAAAAACAAACAAACAATAAAATGTAAATTTATTTATTTAATTTAAAATTTAAAAAACTTTTCTTTTAAATATATACATTGATATCATATCATGATTAATATATCTTGAATATCTAAAGTTGAAATCTTTGTCATTTATAATGAGTTGTTTCTCTTCTATTTTCTTCATGTCATATACGACGATATATCTAACCGATGGTTTCTTTGCTATTTCATACATCGATTGTTTATATTCTTCGAAATTGAGTAGTATCAATCTAACTATCTTTAATTGATAGAATTCATTCAAGTACTTAATACAATGAGTAGGAATGATTGCTCTTGTAATCTGATTGACACCACCTACAAGACTATTGAAAAATGGTTGTAGTTCTTCTTCTTTAGGCTTGTTTAAGTTTAATATTTTTATATGATTAGCTATATTGTATTCTTCCATTCCTTCTTTGAATGGGTACGATAGTTTGATTGTTGGTTTTGCAGCAACTATCTTATTAAGCAGAGCAATGCTGTAGTTTGATCTTAATAAACCGATCGATTCTATTGATTCCGATTTCAATAGTAGTTTACTAAATTCATTGTAATGACTTAGAGATGATGCCAGAGTCGATATTTTTATCTTTTGTAGTTGTTTGTTGTATTGTTGGTAGGTATCGAGATAGGGTTGCACAAGGAACTCCGATGTTACCTTCAACTTTCTGAGCAATGGCATGGCAGCAAACACTTTTTCACTCATGAAAGCCGGCGTAATACCAGTGTTGATTTCAAATGATCTTATATTTCCAAGAAAACAAAGATTGCTATTGTCATCGAATATATGTCGTCCAACTGAATTCGGTTTAGTTTTCATGTATGAGTTGTAATAACAATGAAGATGTTCGATTTTACTGATAAAGTTAGTGTTGCTGTCGGTGTTGCTGCAAGTGTTATAATTATCTCTTATCGTAAAGAAGTTGAATGTACTGTGGTTTAGATCGCATGGTAGTAGGACGCGTGGTAGCAACTGATTGATGATGAATTTCATGAGATCCTTGGAGATGAATGATAATCTGTAGAGCAAAGACAGTGAGTTCTCAATCTTGACTCTCTTGCTATAGTTGTTACTATTGGCTGAGACATTGTCGATATAAACGATTTCCATTGATTCTATATGACGAGTATGACGGAATTCGTATTCCATATAGATAGATTCTATCACCGACAGTCCAACGATCTTTTGAATGATATAGTTTGGAAATGTGTAATTAGTCTGTCGTTCGTCATGTGAAGGACAATACAAACATTTCTTAAATGATTTTATTTTATTTATATATTTGAACATCTCTTAAACATTATTAATTTGATGATAATACTACAAAAAATGAAATGATTTATTTGTTAAAAATTTTCAATTTCTAGTGATGATTGGTTTGTTAGAGCAATAGAGATTAATATTATAAAAATAAAATAAAATATTAAAGCTTGTAGGATTTTTCTAAAAATTAGATAAACAAAGATTTAGATTATAAAGTTTTTAAAATTTAAGATATAAATTATTTTTATTTTTAATTATTATTAATAAGAAAATTGTTAATTAAACTAATAATTTTTTATTGCGATCTTTACTACTTTGGAATTAAAAGAAGTCTAATAAAATTTTATTTATTATTGGATAAAATAATAATTTATTTTAGTATAAATAAAATTTTTTGTTAATTTATTAAAAAAACCAAAGTTTTAAAACTTTTTTCTCATTTTTTAAAAAAATTATTTTTTAACAAATAAAATGGATAGAAAGAATAAATTAGACTTTCAAATTAAAAGAGTATTTCAGAGTAGAGCTATTAGGAATGTCATATTTTATTTTGTAAAGGAAATTAATCGTCAATTATCTGTTTATAATAATCGGAAGCTAATTCAGCCATATTTAAGGTTGGGAATATATCAAAACAAAAGGTTATTTTTTGATTTCTATGACCTTGGATGTTTTCCAGATCAACTTATTAGATATGGTTATCATGAGAGATTCATTCAAATATTCAACACAATGGTTAGAGACCAACGTGTATTGGTACCTTTATTTAAATTTGGCAAATTATTATTTCTTTCATTTTCAGATCTCCATCAATATATTATAGAAGTGGAAAATCAATTGGAAATAAGAAAACAAATAGAAACTGCAATGGAAAGCAGATTAGGTGATTTCCATGACTACAATGAATGTTTCCTTGAATATGATGAGGTATCGATTGAAGAGAAGACCTATCAATATTTTAAGAAACTTTTTCTAGATTCAATGTTGGTGGCTGCTGAAGTGGGGGCACTCCATCTTATCGAATATGTAGAGAGATTTTTCCCTTATGATTTAGATTACCGTTACATTTTGGAGATGGCAGTTCAATATGGTCATCTACCAATCGTAAAAATATATATCAACAAATTCCTATATATAAATTGTTTATTTGAAAATATTAATAATTATAATCGATTTCTAATGGATATTGCCGCGGAATATGGACAATTAGAGATTTTAAAGTATCTCTATTTCAATAGGTATCCATTTTCAAAAGAGACTTGTAATCTAGCAATAACTAATGGACATCTAAATGTGATTGCATTCCTATATCACAATAATATTCAAAACGAATTTTCCTTAAATACTGCAATTTCCTATAATCAATTCGAAATTGTCAAATTTATTTTGATTAATAAAATAGATAATGTATCATTCACATCCCTTTATCTTGCAGTTGAAAAAGCTAACTTTGAAATTCTCAAGTTTCTCATTCCAAATAGTTCTTTGATAAATTTAAATCAATGTTTAATGGAAAAAGCATCAGAGATTGGAAGTTTAGAAATCATAAAGTATCTATCAGAGAGTACTAGAGCACATTGTTCAACCAGAGTAATGGATGTAGCTTGTTCAAATGGACATTTAAATATTCTTCTATACTTACATTTCAATCGTACTGAAGGTTGTACTCAAGAAGCATTACGTTTAGCTATTCTCAATAATCATTTGGATGTTGTCGAATTTCTAGTTAATGTCAAACACCTCGAAATTGATTATTCGGTTCATTTATCCACGATAATTAATTATCGTACACCCAATTTTTCAACATTCAAATATTTCTATGAAAGAATTCCAGAGAATATAAAAACTAATCCGACTGGATTTCTTATGGATAGCTTTATCAAAGATGATGACATTTTGGTTTTAGAATGGTTGAGATTTAATAATTTTGAATTCTCACCAAATGCATTAGATATAGCTATTCAAAACAATAGTCTTTCAACTTTCAAATGGTTTCATGAGAACACCGTTTTTCATCTTGATATTCAGCATTCTAGAGAAGCAATCATCAATGGTTGCCTTCCAATTGCTAAATATCTCAATGACGTGGGAGCACCTTTCCCAGAATTCCCAATGGACATTGCACATGATCTACAGATGCTCATTTATCTTCATCAAAATAGAACTGAACCTTGTTCATTCAAATCAATGGACAATGCAATTTATCATGATGATATCTCAATGATTAAATATCTCAAGAAACACAACTTTACCATTCAACCAACTAGACAAATTCAAAGTTATAAAAAATTTTCATGTTATTTATACAATTCTAGAGTTACGTTGATAAAGAATTATCATCTTTAAATAATATATGGAAATAAACTTGTAAATTCTCTCCAAATAAACTTGTTACTCTATATTTTAAAATAATTTTTATTTTAATTTCCATTTCCATTTTCATCTTCAACTACGGCTTGATTTTCACCTTCATCCTCATGATCAAGTTCACCTTAGACTTGATCTTGATCTTGATCATTATCACCATCATCTTAATAATAATTATAACTGAGTTCGATTGATTTCAACAAGTATAAATTTATTTTTATTTACATAGGTTAATGTATTACATTTATTTATTTATATTTTGAAATTTTTTAAAAGATAATAAAGTTGAATTGCTTTGGATTTTGTTTCTTTTTGTTGATACTAATTTTAAGTATACCATCTTGATGTTTGGCAGTGATAGAATGCAAATCTAAATTCTTTGAGAGTTCAAATGATTGGCTGAAACTCTCGATTTTTTTTGGTGTGACGAGTGGCTGTTTCTTTACGGTTGGCTTACGAGTAGATGGGATAGGAGATGATGTTGAGTTAATAAAATCAATCTCTTGATCTTCAATCTCTTAAAAGTATGGTGTATCTTCTCTTGACTTTACTTCTTCTGCAGGACTCTTGGTTCCAGAGAGAATCAATGTTAAATCTTGTACTGCAATATTGATGTCTTCCTTCTTGAAACCGGGTATTTCCATACTGATAACAACAACACCATCAATTTCATTAATTTTATATTTTGGTGTAAAGTTAACTTGTTGTTGTTTTTGTCGTTGTTGTTGTTGATTGAATTGTTGTTGGTATTGTTGATATTGTTGCTGCTTTAATCTTTGTTACTCTAGTAATTTTCCTTTTCTTTCCAACTCAACTTGTTGCTGTTGCTGTTGTTGCCTCTTTTGTTCAACCAACTTCTGTTGTCTTAATTTACCCAAGTACAATTGGTACTAATCTTCTTCATCTTCCTCCTCGTAATATCTTGAATGATATGGATCTTCATAATAGACTGTTGTCTTCTTTGTCTATATCTTTGATTGGATCTTTGTTGATAAAATGATGGATCTTCGAATAAAAACATGGTTAATTATATATTGTTTGTTTAATATTCTATTTAACTATCTATTTATTTATTTAACTAATACTAATTTGTAAGTTAATTTAATTTATTTGATGATTTCAAACTCCAAGTTTTCAAGACTATTTATAAAAAAATATAAATACAATTACAAATAATATATATATTATAATACTGTATATGAAGTAAACATAGTTATCAAGTTGGTTTTTTTCTAGAGGAAAAAAAAATGACCTTTATTAATTTTTAGTGAGTTTTTATTGATACACTTCATTTCATTTTATTTCTATTCAGCTCACAACAATTACTATTTCTTCATCTTCAATAGTCAAACTACATCATTATCACTTTCTATCACAACATATACTATCTTTTCATCTTTCATTGTTACTAATACACTCTCATCCTTATCAGTAGCTATTTTATTTCTTTCGATTCATTCTCCTTTACTTTATCCATCTATATATTATTCTTTGCTGCTTTCATAATGTCGCAACAACAACACCCACCGTTCACTTGTTGGGTAGAGTTTTGTAACAAGAAAGACGAACTCACCTTCGAGAACACCGCCAACTATAATCGTCTCATCCCTGTCATCAGAGGTTCCAAACAACTCGCTGTAGGTGACGGTTCTATCGATTTGTTCTCTGATGCAGCCAAGACCATTCAACTTGATGTTGAGACTCCAGTCGATAGGAATCTTCAGCGAATCTATGTCGCCACCACTCAACCACAGCAAGGTAAGTACATCTACCTTCAAGTCTACAAACCAACCACCTATGATACTAACCATCCCACTCCTCATATTCTCCTTCTCCCTTTTGTTATCTTGTCTTGTACTATATTTACACTTTCTTCTTCTCCTTCTCTTTCTTCTCGCCTCTCACTCCTCTCATTACTCTACTGCATTACCTATTTCTCATGTTCTTGTCTTTACACCTCTCTCTTTTTCTTCTCCCTCTCCTTGTTCACAACTCTCACACCGCTCATTACTCTACCAATCATATGACTTCAATCGTTTCCTACAACCTATTCATATACACTCACTCTTCTTCTCATCATACTTCATACACAACAGCTCCTCAAACACCAACACAAGAAGGTATGTACATCTACACAAACCAACAACCTTAATGATACTGACAAACTTATTCCACTTCTTAATTGTCAATACAGTTGCTTCAGAGCTCGAGTTTTGGAGGACGTTGCACAGTGCTTCGATTGATCCCGCAGTCAATATCCTTTCCCTCCCAGTGGGCGTGCACTTCATGGGGCATAATGTCAACAGATCATCTATCTACGTGAGAGATTGCTATGTTGAGCTGAAAGATCAAATCTATGCAGAATTTGATCAATATGAAGTTAATTCAACTTCAACTTCAACCCCAACCACAGCCTCTAAGAATGCATTCGTTATCACTAGCAATCCAGGAACTGGTAAGTCCTGTTTCCTCTTCTACATTATGTATCTCATCGCACGGGTCAAGGGAACTATGGTTGTTCACTCGATTCACGCCCAGATTGCCGATTCATACTATCTCTACACTTACGTTGGTGGCATTCCAGTTGTCAGACTTGGACCCATGAGTGATTTTATCACTCTCCTTTGTCTCAGATCAACTTTCTTTTTGGTAGACAGCAAAGAGGAGACAAATTTCGCAGCTAAAACGATCATTGTTTCATCACCTGATCCGATGATCTACAAAGAGTTTCTGAAGAACGTTGGCACGACCCGCAGGTATATGCCACCTTGGTTCAAATCCGAACTTGATCACGTAAGACCAATTTTATACCCAAATGTCACACAGGTAAGTAGGTCCACTCTCTGATTCCAAAGTTTCATACACTCATAAAGATTGTTTACATCTGCAGCAAATACTCGAATCTCTTTGGAACAAATGGGGAGGCATTCCTCGTTTTGTGCTCGAGAATGCCCTTGATGCGTCTTCCCAATGTCAAATAGAGAATGCGATATCAACAATCAATCTAAACTTATGCGTCGAGAGCATTGGCAAGGAGGTTCCGATTGCACCAGGCAGTCACAAAGTGATTCAAATTATCCCATACGAGCAGGCTGCTCTTCCAAAGTACGCCTCGATGAAGCTACAGTTCTCATCCAAGTACGTTGCTGAGCGAGTTGTCAAGGCTGTCGAGGCGGTCGACATCAACTCGGTCGTCAAGCAACTTCATGTGCACAAGTTTTTGCACTCACCTCTGGGTGGATCATTCTTCGAGTCTTTTGCTCACAGACTATTGCAACAAGGAGGAGTCTTTGATAGAAGAAACCTAACCACCACTGCAACAGACAAGATCACATTCACGCCAACAGTTTCTTCCACACTCTGCTCTATCGCAGATATTGGCTTATCACCACCAAACAAGTATCTACTCCCTAACTTTGACAACTTTCCTGCGATCGATAGTTTGATCAAACCCAACCAGCTGTTTCAGGTCACCACCTCGAATGAGCATCCACCAGTGATGAACAAACTGTCCGATATCATCGATCAACTCGGAACGGGGGTGGCACAAGTAGACTTGTATTTCGTCCTTCCTAAAGATCGGTACGACACATTCAGAGAACAGAATTATCTCACCAAGAAGAAGAAGAAAGCTTCCAAGATATCCAAGCAAGTGAAGAAAGTCACCCAGTATGCGTTGTTGATTGAGTTGCCAGCACCATAGCCCTAGTTCGTCAGTTGATCCTCCTCGCAGCTCCCACTCAGCTAAATAACTCACTTCTCGCAGCTCATTTTACAACAACCTGTCAAACAACAATAAATTTTCTATCCAACCAGGATCACTTTAAAAAATTCCAACTGTTTAGTTGTACACCTAATTCAGAGAATGACTCTCGCAGCCCTTCCTATAACAACCAATCAGACAACAATAAACATACTATCCAATTAGTATCATTTTTTTAATTGGTGAGGAATAGAACAAAGTGTTTTATTATAATGAAATACAAACCTTCTTGTTATTTGTACAACTCAAGACTTACATTGATAAAGAGTTATAATCTATAAACAATATTATTATATTGAACATTTTCTAGATATATTTGATAATAAAATAAAACTCTTAAAAAATTTCTATTTTTTTTAGTTCAAAGATTTTTAAAAAATAAAAAAATAATCCAAATCACTTTTATAAAAAAATAAACAGTTTATTTTTTTATAAAAGTGATTTGGATTATTTATCTTTTGACTTTCACAAAATTATTCGATCAATGTACAAATTCAATAATTATGCAATTCAATAATAGAAGTTTAGATTGTAATAATAATGATGATTATGAAAGTAAATTATTTAAAAGATTATTTCAATCACAATCGATTAGACATAAAATATATAGTTTAGTTAAAATTATTAATCGTCAAGAGTCAGCTGCGTATAGAAGTAGTAAATTAGTTAATAATCCTACACAGTTTGTCAAGCGAAGATTATTCTTTGATTACTATGACCTTGGTTGTTTCCCAGATCAGCTGATCAGATATGGTTATCACGAGAGATACAAACAGATATTCAACACTCTGATTAGAGATCAACGTCCAACTTTATTACAAAGTTACTATCATCGTTTCTATTTGAATTATCTATATTATTTCAATAGGAGAAAATATGGTGAACAGATGCAATATGTAATAAAGCAAAGCCAACAAATACTACTAGAAAGCGGTGCTCTCACCACCTCGTCAATATCAAAAGTAATGAAGCGAAGCATCGTTCAATTCAAAGACTACAATGAAAGTAACTTTAATATGGAGGATGATTGTAGACCACTTGAAAGTAATAGTTATGTAATGTTTAAACAGCTGTTTTTACATTCTATGAATGTTGCTGCTCAGATGGGTGCACTGGATCTCATTGAAATGGTATACAATACATTCCCAACAGAGTTGGATTTCAGATCGATCTTGGAGAAAGCTGTTCAATATGGTCATCTTTCAATCGTTGAATTCATTCACAACAATGTCAAAGATGCAAGTGTTTTTTATAGAATATTTGACAATACAGTAGGAACATCTCAACTTTCAATGATAGATATCGCAGCACAACACGGTCAACTAGAGATATTAAAGTATTTGCATTTAAATCTAGCTGAAGGATGTAAATCCACCTTTGCTATTGATTTAGCATCATCCAATGGACATATAGAATGTGTCAAATTCCTTTACAATAATCGAACTGATCGTTTAACCAACAATACTATTGAGGAAGCAGCTCACGGTGGACAGCTGGATATGGTTGTATTTCTGCTTAATAATTATAAAAAGTACTTTAAAAAAGATATGGCTTTACATATGGCAGTTGGCAAAAATCATATGGAAATTGTCAAATTCCTCTTGTCAAATAGATCAGAGAAGATCACATCAAATTGTATTAGCTTGGCGGCATTGAATGGTAATCTTGAATTATTAAAGTTACTCACATCACAAAAACCAAATACAATAGAGACAAATGAAAATCTAATGGATGAAGTTGCGCGAGATGGAAATTTAGAAATCATTCGATTCCTTAATGAGAATACCTCTGCTCAGTGTTCAACCAAAGCAATAGATAATGCTTCAGCAAATGGCCATTTGGATGTTGTCCAGTATCTCAATTTCAATCGAACAGAAGGTTGTTCTCATGCAGCTTTACATCTTGCTCTTCTTGGTAATCATTTGGAGGTTGTTCAATTTCTAGAGGAACACAAACAATTGGCTATTGATTATTCAAAATCACTATTTATGATAAACACAAGAAATCCTAATTTCCAAACATTCAAATATACTAATGATGGAATACCAAAGGATATGGTGATCGATAAAACCCAAGTGAAAATAGACTCCTTTATTAAAGAGAAAGATACCACAGTTTTAGATTGGTTCAAGGAGAAAGGATTTCAATTCTCTGAAGATGCTTTCGATATTTCAATCAATAGTAATTGTCTTATCACTTTCAAATGGTTGCATAAGAACACAAACTATCCACTTACAGTGCCATTGACATGTAAAGCAATTGCTGCTGGTAGTCATTCAATTGTTGAATATCTCAATGAAATTGGAGCACCATTCCCACAATTCCCAATGGATATTGCACATGATCTTCAGATGCTCATTTATCTTCATCAAAATAGAACTGAATCGTGCACAATACAAGCAATGGACAATGCAATCAATCATGGTGACATTCAAATGATTAAATATCTCAAACAACACAACTTTGAAATTCAACAAAACAATCAACCGAAACAATATCGTCTTCAAAAGAATAGTCTGTGTATTGGATACAATTCAAGACTTGAATTAATCAAGAGTAATCATCTTTAAATGAATCTTTACATTGATATTAACTAGCTATTAATAATATCTTTAATCCAAAAAATAAAATTATTTTATTATCGAAAGAAATGATAATAAATCAGAATTTTTTGCGAATTAAACCACCAAAAGATAATCTTTCAATCTTGCCGTCTTTTTTTTTTTGCAACTTTTTATTATTTTTCTACTTGTTCAACAATTATTATTATTACCAGTAAGTTGTTAATAAAAAAAAATAAGACATATGGGTAAGGTTAAAAAATCGAGTTTCACTTACCTTCAAAAAAAGATATTCTGTATTGTAACCTCACTTTTAAGTATTATCAAAATAATTTAAATAATAAAAGTTTTTAATTTTGAATATTTAGACATATTAAAATAAAAAAATATTAAAATATAGATTAAAAATCAGTTGGTCAATGATAGAAAAGATATTTATTTGAAATAAATTGAATGACAGTTTAAAAACAGTTTTGTTAATCAATAGACTTAACATATCTAATACAGTATATAAACTTTTTGATCAAATTGTTATTGATTATTATGATTTATTGTTTTAGAATTATTATGGATGATTTGATTTACAATACAGTGGCACCAATTTTGATTCCCAAAATACCCAAGACAGTAGCAAGTATATTCAAATCAACAAGTGATTGATTTGAGTTGGATGATTGACCAGTCAAAGTGTTGTTACTGTTGTTCAACATTATTTCATTCATTGTTGTTTGATTGGCTTGGACTGATGATCCGAGTTTAGTGATTGATGCTAAAATATTATAATATTATTAGATAGGTTTAATGTTATGTTTTTAGGTTTATTTTTATGAATTGCTTACCAATTAAAGTCATTTTTGGATAGCCTTGTTTTAAAGTATTGTAATTTTTATATTTTACTTTCTTTTTTGTTTAGTGAAATTTTTTGACAAAAGTCTTATATTTATAGTTTCGTATCATTTAATCAATGTGATATCTTGTAGAATCTAGAATCTAGATCATCAAAGTATTCTCGGGTGTCAAGATATGTTGGTAATATGATGAATGTATATATTCCAAATGTATGTCACTACTAATGATTTCAGTTAATGGCCTAGCATTCAATTTCTGTTAAAAATGATCATTATATTAAAGTTACTTTTGATTTATTAAAATATTGGATATCAACAATCTGATTTTTTAAAACAATAAAGAGATGAAAATAATATTTGTATAACTGATAGATTTAGGGTAAATTAAAAAGAAGTACACTGACTGATTGAAATGTTATAACACAAATTGAGTGGGTTATAAAAATTTCCTTTTTTAAAAATAATTGTCATCATTTTGAGTTGGTTGAGTAATTTTTTGAGTGAGTATTGTGTTTTGATGTATCACTGTGTCTTTCAATCACAATTTTATATATCAATATCTATTGAAATCTGATCAATATCTTTGATCATATCTGAAATATCTTTTTACTGATATATTAAATCAATTTAAATCACATAACTTTCAAAAAGATTATACCCTTGAATCTTGAACTAAATCTCTTTATGGAAAAAATAAGTTATCTTCTGATTAATTGAATGTTCAATTCTTTTAAAACATTTTACAAAATTAACCACAATATTTAATTTTATAATTCTATAAATTGGATCTTTTATCTATTTTTATAAACATAAATAAATATTTTAATATTAAATAACTCTAAAAAACGATCTAAAATGACTTTAATTGGTAAGGAATAAAAATTAATTTAATAATTTTTTAGAAAGATATTAATTTAAGTTTTTCAAAAAAAGCATCAATCACAAAACTTGGTTCATCAGTTCAATCAAATCAAACATTCAAGAATGAATTAATGGTATCTGGAATCAATGGAAACATTTCAATCGGTCAATCATCTAATTCAACTGAATCTCTAATCAATTTGAACATTCTTGCCAATGTCTTGGGTATCTTGGGTATTAAAGTTTGTGCTTCTGTATTATAAATCTAAAAAACAAATTTTAATATCATAGTTTTTTAGATTCTTGGTATTAATGATATTATTACCAATAGATAAGTTTAAAAAAAAATAAAATAAATAGGTATATTATTCAAAATTACTTTCTTGATTTTGTTTAATTTCCATTTTTTTTTTTTATATAAACTTCTCAACTATAATAAACAATTAACATATTAATTTAATTCCATGGAAAAACAGAAACAAATCAAAAAAATTTGACAGGTTGACCCAAATTTTAATTTTTTACATCTGTCATTGAATGGAATTAAACAAATATTATTTAATTTTGATGATTATACTACAAAAAATGAAATGATATATTTGTTATGCTTTCATTGATATTGTGACACTTTACTCTCACATCTCAAGATAAATTGTTATTAGAGTTACCAAATACAACACTAGTGGTGAACATGGTAGTGAACAAAGAAAATTTGTTTTTTGTTTTTTTTTTGGGGTTGAAGTGCAGGTGAATAAATTATTTTTTTAACTTCTATTTTTTTCAAATTTGTATGTAAATATATTTTTAATTTTGTTAATCAAATCAAAATCAAATTAACCAAATTTTTCTCAAAACAAAAACTAAAGAATTAATTTAATTATTATAACTTATTTTAAATAAATTAGATTAATTTAAATGGAAGAGCTAGAGTGTTCAAAACATAATAAAACATATGAATATATTTGTTTTCAATGTAATTTGTTGTTTTGTTACAGGTGCTCTAATGATCATCCCAAATCACATGCGAATCATACTTGTGAACATATCGATGATATCAAATCACAATTGTTAAAGACAATAGATAACACAAAGAATATTAATAAAAATAAAAATAATAGTAATAGCAATGAGAATAATGATAATAGTACAAAAGAAATAGAAAATAACTATATACAATCACAAATCGATAAATTATGGTCAAACATAAAAGATTCATCAAAACAATACAAATCACTCGAAGATAAACAACAAAAGATAAGCGATCACTTTGCAATACTACATAAATATTTGACTGAAGAGGAACTAAAATTAAAGAAACCAATTATAAATGATATAGATTTACTAAAAGATCAGATTAAACTTAAATTAGAGGAATTTAAATCATTTATCAAAATAATTAATACTTTAAAACATAATAGTAATAATACTAGCAGTAGTAGTAATGTTACAGATGATAATGATCAAGATAATGATCATGATAATAATGAAAATGATACAACTAATTCAATAGAATCGATTATTAATTCAATTCAATCGATAGAATCAGTACAACAATTCATTAAACATCATGATCAAACACTCTTTGATTACCAAAACTATAACAATAATATAGTCGGTTATCTCAAAGATCATACTGATAGCATTGATATTATCTTACTAAAATTAATCAATATTCATAATAATCAATATATACGATCAATTTCAAAGAATAATGTTTACTATTATCAACCAACAACAAATATCATAGATAATTACAATATTATTACAACTTTAACACCATATGATATTGAAATCTATCAGAAAAATATACAACAAACAATTAAAGTTATCAATAAAAGTGATAATTTAATTCCCAAGACAATAAACACCACTACCGTAGAACAAAAAAGTGTTTTACAAAGAACAGATCCGATCTTTTCTATCAAACAAGACCTATCATTGGAATCTGTGTATTCAAGATATTTCAAAAATCTAGAGCCAACCACCATATCTAATGATAAAACCGAATTTACCTTTAAATTCTTATTAATGGGAGATTCCACAGTTGGAAAGGTAAATGATAACATGCTATTTTCTACCATCGATTAACTTCAATACTAATTGTAAAAATGTTCTATAGAAAGAAATGATAAACTATTTCGATAGTTCACCTGGATTTGCCACTACCGATTTTAAACAACGGATATTCACTAGAGATAAATTTACATTTAACCTTCAACTATGGGATACGTATGGGTTCGAAAGAATGACCAGTCTGAACATTCCTGATCAAATGGCCATCTTTATTGTCTATGATGTCACCAATTCTGATTCATTTGAAAGTAATTAACAATCAAAAAGTGAATCGATTTATTATTCATACTAACAATCTTCAATACTATATTGTAAATCGATAGATGTAACGAGATTGTTTAACATTATCAATGATAACTATGGAACATTGGCATTTAAGATATTGGTTGGCAACAAATGTGATAAACCCAATAGAGTGATTGGCTATGAAAAAGGTCAAAAGTTGGCTAATAGACTTGGAATGTCATTTATGGAGACATCTGCCAAAACTGGACAAGGAATTGAAGAGCTGTTTATGAAGTTTTACAACAAAAATATGATTTGGGAATATGAAACTCAAAATCAAAAAACAAAACAATGAATTTGCCAACAATAATAAACCTCAGTCAAATGGTTTATTCTCTTTTTTCATGAGATAAATAAAATATTATATGTATTTATTCCTTTATTTTAGTTATACAATGAATAAAATGCTTTTGTAGATGTAAAGCTTATAATACAGTGGCACCAATTTTAATACCCAAAATACCCAAGACAGTAGCAAGTATATTCAAATCAACAAGTGATTGATTTGAGTTGGTTGTTTGACCAGTCAAAGTGTTGTTACTGTTGTTCAACATTATTTCATTCATTGTTTTTTGATTGGCTTGGACTGATGATCCGAGTTTAGTAATTGTTTATAAATGTTATATTATATGTTTTTTATATGAATTACATACCAAATAATTCATTTTAGTTTTTTTTGATAATATATTGATTTTTATATTAATTTATGTTTGTTTAGTGATGATGATACTTAGACAAAAACTAATGTATTTATAGTTAAATTTTTACCATTTACATGCAATGTGATCATAAGAACAGTGAAACCTTTGTAGAATCTAGAATCTAGATCATAAAGAATTCTCGGGTGTCAAGATATATTGGTTATTAAATGAACGTTTAGATTCCCATATCCAACAAATGACACATCCAATCCTTCAGTTAACACCAGAATTAAATTTCGATTGTTTATAGATGATGATTCTATTAAAGTTACTTTTGATGTATTAAAATATTGGTTATAAACAATCTGATTTATAATTTAACTAAGACATGACTCTTATTATACAATTTGTACAACTGATAAAGATTATTCATAAATTAAAAAAGAAATACACTGACTGATTGAAATGTTATATACCACACACATAGAGGGTTAAAAAATTTCCTTTTTTAAAAATAATTATCGTCATTTTGAGTTGTGCGACTAATTTTTTCTGTGAGTTAGAGTTATGTGTTGATATATCTGTGTATGACAATCATAATGCTATACATATCATTGTCTATTGAATCTGATCAATACCTTTGATCATATCTCAATTATCTTTTCAGTGATTTAAATTAATTTTAGTTATTTTTTATTGTTTAATTGGTAAGGAATAAAAATTTTAGTAAATGTAGAGATTTAAATTAATTTAAGTTATTTTTTATTTGTTTTTAAAAAAAAAAAGCATCAATCAAAAAACTCGGTTCATTAGTTCAATCAAATCAAATATTCAAGAATCAACGGGTATCTGGAATCAATGGAAACAGTTCAATTGGTCAATCATCTAATTCAACTGAATCACTTATTAATTTGAACATTTTCGCCAGTGTCTTAGGTATCTTGGGTATTAAAGTTTGTGCTTCTGTATTGTAAATCAAAAAACAGCGAAAATAATATTTCCTATGGATTTGGGAAAAAAAAAAAATTGTGAAAAACATCCACAACCACTATCATTAAAAAATATTAAACAAATAATAAGATAAGATGACAACAAAAGAGATATTAGATAAACAGAAAATATATAATCAAGATGAACTTAATAATATGAAGAGAGATGACTTGGTAGAGATAATGAAAGAATACTCATTAAAACATAATGGTTTAAAGAAAGATATGCTAATTGATGCGATCATTAAACGACAAGAACATCGAGATGATTTGAAATCAAAGTTGGTTACAGACAACTCAATCGAAAAGTATCATCGTGGAACTGTTGAATATCGATTGCCAACATTGATCATCTATCGAATCATTCGTGATCTCTGGCATGATGATATCGATGTGATTTTGAATACAAATCAACTTTGTTCAAACTACCGATGGCTGCTCTCTATTGGTTTGGTTTCGAAAGAGTTATACAAACTTATATCATCGATGTTCACTCGATTCAATCTTTTCTCAACCAAAATATACAAACAACGAGTTCCCCTTCTCTCACCTCATAAAACATTAGCACAACAACTGAAGAACAGTGTTATCAATCCACTCTCAGTACTCAAGAATATCAATCATCTAACACTGTCAATGGATATCTTCAGACAACTAACAGACAAGACGACAACAACATGCACACCCATTGAATTAGGACTGATCTTCAACAGTGTTACAAAGCTAAAGCTAACACATGCTAGAGATATGCCGTTCCAAATGCATCATTGTAAATCGATTATACAATACATGCCGAATCTCGACTCACTGACATTCTTTAAGATTAGGTTAGAAGCCATTAGAATATATCAAAAGCTGCAACAAATACCACGATTGACATCACTGGATATCTCCACGGTACAACTGAACAAAATGCCAACTGAATCACGTATTTTCAGTAGTTCAATTCGCAAGTTGAAACTGCCGATGTTACTCACCAGAAACCCTAATATCCTCGGTGAGAACACCCAACTAACCACTCTCAGTGTCAATTCAGTAGGACCAGAGGAAATCGATTTCATTAGAAGTCAACTTGGTAGTATCACCAAGCTCATCGTTAGTAATGTCCATGGGGGATTAGGCAAGTCGTTGTCACAGCTGTTATGCTCGCCTGCATGCCAGGTTCGTAAACTCTATGCCTATGACTGTGACAACTGGATCATACCGCTGCTTGAAACCAATCGGACTACCATCGAAACACTGGATATCTGTTATGATCTGTTGGGCACCCTCACAGTGGCATCGAAATCACCATCGATCAAACGCATCATCTTTCACAACAAAAATAACTACCAATATTCAAAGACCTATGGCAGTTTAGCCAGTGGCTATGCACACATAAAATCGAAACACCTACCATTCACTAGTAACTCGCTGGGGATAAAAATGTATGCCAAGAAGATCTACGATGCTTCGAAGAATCAGATTGAAAACCAAACGATCGAAGAGACCTATCCGAATCTCAAGTTTCTATACTATTATAGTAATATACATATTTGTGGCACATCACCAAATATTAATAGACGTTGTGTTGGAAACACCGTTCAACGTGTTAGTAATGACATAGTGTAGTAGTATAATGATGTTATAATAATAAATAGTTTATGTGTTTAAAGATGGTTGTGAAATCTAATGAATTTTATGAATTGTTTATTGAGTTCTTGTTGCGCTTATATAATCTTATTAATTTGTCGGTTAGGCAATTGTCGGTTGATTGACATCTTGGAACTACGATTCCAACACTGCCCTTCTTCTTCGAGGCAGCAGCCTGACAGGATTAAAAACTTATACGCGGCTTTGCATAAGAAAACCTTATCAGGACTAATGCGAGAGACGGGTGCCGACTCATCCGTCTGTAGGATCTTAAACTGAATGAGCTGAACTAAACTTAGTCGCTAGAGTATAACCGGGTAGTGGTACCCAAGCGAGAGCTCTTCCAACCTTAACCAAATATTCGACACGAGCTAGTTTGGAAGTACCAAGAGTGAACTTGCGCTTGGCGCGAGGATGGCAACAATATCCTTTCTCCACTTGGTGTATGCTAGAACTTTGACAATAATAGAGGGAGTGTTTGGTATGAAGTCGTCGCTGTTGATGTATGATATAATGTTCTTTGTCACTATTATTTCTGATTTGTTTAGATTGCATTTTAAATTATGATCAAATTTGTCCACTTCGTTACGTAGTTCGTTAAAATTATTTTCGACATTTCGCAAAACTTTATCGAATAATTTATCAAAATCAATATCGTCGTAGTCGTCTGAACTATCGCCAACGGTACTACCCCGATCGGTCTCCGCCGTAGCACCGTTTTCGACTAATAAGTCGTCGACATCATTAATTAAATTATCATTCATCTTTGGATCGTATAACATTATGTGTTTCGAATTAAACTTCTTCTTCTTTGTACTTATTCCATCTTTTCCAATCACATCTATGAATATATTATTATAATTATCGACTTCCACTACTTTTCGCGGTCCTTCATACCTCACATCCAATTTCTTTTTCTTACCATCTCTATTATTATTGTAGAAAACGTAATCACCTACCTTGATTTGGTTTTCTTTTTTACCTTTGTTCCATGTAAATCTCATTTCTTGATTTCCAATACAGATGTTCCGTTTGACTAACTTAATGATTGCTTTCCTTTCCTTAATAGATTCAATGATTTGCTTGTCTGTGACGTCGACCAGAGCATCCGATTCTTTGACGAGGTTGAGTGGTGTTAACGGATTGTGTCCCAAATAGATCTTGAACGGAGTGTACTCGGTAGTTGAATGAACAGTTGAATTCAATGAAAACTCGACAGTATCGATGTGCTTAGACCAGGTACCAGTAGTATTGTGGAGACGGTCATCAACCATAAGCTTTCCAGTTGCGTTCTTGACTGCACGGTTGTGTGACTAATTTTTTCTGTGAGTTAGTGCTATGTGTTGATATATCTGTGTATGACAATCTTAATGCTATACATATATCATTGTCTATTGAAATCTGATCAATCACTATCATTGAAAAAAATTTAACAAATGTAAAAATGAAAATGTAAGTTTTTTTACTTTTTAACCCCTCATCAATAAACAAATATTAATATTTCTATATTAAGAGATGATGATGCAACGTTGTTCACAACATCAGAGAACAAATGAATTTATTTGCTATGTTTGCAATAAGTTTATGTGTTCAAGATGTACAATCATTCACAATAACAAACATCCAGATCATGTGAATCAATACGATCATATCGATGATATCAGACAATCTTTAAATAATTTATATTTATCTATTTTAGATAATGTTAATAATAATAAAAATAAAAACAATAGTAGTAGTATAAGTAGTATTAGTAGTATCGATAATAACTTTAATGACATTAATAATAATGATATGCCAGTGGAGAGTAAAATCAATTTCACAATCAATTCGATATGGGAATCATTAAGATCGTCAACATCAGTATATGATTCATTAACAACAGCTGAGAATGAAATCAAACAATACTTTGAACAAATACATACTTTTCTAATCAACGAAGAACATAGATTAAAGAAACCGATCATCAACCAAAAAGATGCAATCATTGATCAAATCGATAATAATATCAATCATTTGAAACATTTAATCAATATTATAAATATAAATAATAATATCGAACATGCCTGTGGTAATGGTAATGATAATGATGTCGACAACACCGAGACACCTGTTAAAATACCAGATATAACCGATCTCTATTCAACAACAACCATTATGAATTCAATAGCATTAAGTTCATCATTACAATCATTCATCAAAGATAATAATCGACTATTTTTGAATAATAACAATAACTATTTCGATATCGATGAATCTCTAAAACAAAATAACAATGATTCGTCATCATTATTATATGATATCATTTATAAATATAACTGTCATTTTACACCTACAACAACATTGCTATCAACACTACCACCAGCAAATTACCTGTTATCAATCGAACCACCCGATTTAGATCAATTGAAATTAACAATCGAACAATCAATTCAACTTGAAAGAATTGAAATAAAACCAATAACAAAAACAAGAACAATGACAACAACAAAAACGACAGAGAATGAAAATAAAACACAATATATCTTCTCAACACACGATAAGAATGGAGCAACTCTAATCAACCTTTCACAAAACGATTCAATAGAACAATTCGATGTTGATTATAATTTCTATGGTGCAACAATTATTCCAGTTGGCCAAGATATCTATGTATTCGGTGGTGCACACAATCAAAAAAAATGGATGAAATTCTCAATGAGATCGAGATCATTTGAAATTATCGGTGATATCGAAGGAATCGATGGTGGATTTTCAATATCAGCATGTTACGATGGTCGCGATCATATCTACTTGCTGAACGGTGCCAATCAGCGGGGTAAAATCGACCGATTCAACATCCAAACAATGAAATTTGAACGATATCACATATTACCTGAGGGTCACGGTCAGCGGTCATCTATGATCTTCAAAGGTTCGCTGTATTCAATAAACTATGATACCAACAAGATGTTACAACTCAACATGGTGAATCGCGAGATTACATACCATCTAATAGATATTAAATCGTACTCGGCATGCAACGATAACAATGGTAATTTCTACATTTCCGATTGTCCAAAGAGGAGTGATGATATCAAACGATTCGTCAAGTTCAACGTCGAAAGAAAACGAAGCGTAGATTTGAATCCTATTCCCATCAGCAATGACATCTTAATGTATCATCGAGAATCACAAACTTCTAGCTATGTCTATTCGATCACTGGAACTGAACATGGTAATTTCAAATATTCTATTGAGACCAATCAATATGTACCATTCTTCCAACAAGATGAATTCAAAAGAGTTTGGTGTCCATCTACATCTATTTCGGTGATTCAAGAAGAAGACGATGACTACAACAACAACAACAACTTATAAATAATTATTAAAAAAATATGTAGTAAGAAATAAATAAAATAAGTGTAAACTATTAATTTATTGTTTATTTATTATTATTGTTGAATATTAATATGACGACAAAAGTGAAAATTATTAAAATGGTGTGTGATCATATGATCATTTTCTTTTTTACTTTTTTTTAGTATAAATAACAGAATAATACATAACAATAGAAATGAGTACATTAATGTTTGGTCAATATATTATCAGAGCATCTGAAGTATTCTTTGAAACAAAGTTATCGATGGCACTGGTAAATTTGAAACCTGTACTACCTGGTATGAATTCTTTCATTTGATTCGATTAGTAGAGAGTTAGATGGATGTAGAGAAGAGAAGAGAAGAAACAAAAAGAATAATACAATAAGAAAAGATAAGACTATCTAATTAGTAAAGATAATAATAATAATAATAGGTCATGTATTGGTATGTCCAAAGAGAGTTGTAAAGAGATTCTATGATTTGTCACCGGAGGAGATTAACGATATCTGGCAGTCTGCAAGTAGAATATCGAGGGTGATAGAGAAGCATTTCGATGGTGACGGTATGACTTTTGCGATTCAAGACGGCAAGAATGCAGGACAGACCGTAGAGCACGTACACATCCACATCATACCAAGAAAGAGAACCGACTATGAAAACACCGATCAAATCTACACTGAAATCGAAAAGGAAAGACAACCACGTACTCTCGAAGAGATGGCATCTGAAGCAGAAACCCTAAGAGTTTATTTCAAAGACAACAACGATCTTATTGAAAATCAAACAAAAACAACAACAACAACAACAAATCATCAACTGTAATTGTACAACCTTTTTTTTTTATATTCACACAAATAAAACAAACTAAGTAATAATTTGTTTAAAAACAAAACATATGTTTGCAAATGTTTGTTTAATTAACTATGAAAAATAAAATAAAAAAATAAATAAAACAAATAAAGTAATATAGAATGACGTAATTCAAAACCAAAATCAAAACCAAAATGAGGTGTGTGGTTATGGGGGTGTTAAAACTAGAGTAAGATAATATTAATAATTTAAAGTGCACCAAGAACATCAAAATACCACTCATTTTTTTTTATACAAATTTTAATTTAAAAAAAATAAAATCATAGCTGTTGTTTGTTGTGTCAACAACTGTGTTTAATATTAATTTTGATTTTCATTTTATAGTATATTTTATTTTTTGATATTTTTTTTTTAACAAATAGAGAGAGTGTATAAATTATCAGATGTCAAGTAGTAATAAAACAACGACAACAGAACAACAACCACCACCACCAGTGTGTAGTGTTGAGAAAGGAGATGATGAAGGTTTATTTAAATTCTCATTCGAGAGAAGTCCAACCATAAAGAGAATCGCACTGTTGACAAGTGGTGGTGATTCCTGTGGTATGAATCCAGCGATTCGTGCATTCGTACGTGCATCTCTAATTAAAGGTGCCGAAGTCTTTGCTATTCGTGAGGGTTACAATGGTTTAGTACAAGATTCTATCATCCCATTGAATTGGGGTAGTGTTGCATCCATTATCAATCGTGTATGTAATTGTTATTGTAGTAATTGTGTTAATCGATAATTACTAATTGGATTGATTAGGGTGGAACTATCATTGGTACTGCAAGATCGGCGGAATTCAGAACGAGAGAAGGCAGAAAGAAGGCAGCTTTCAATTTGATAAAGAATAAGATCAATAATCTCTTGGTGATTGGTGGTGACGGTAGTTTGACCGGTGCCAACTTGTTGCGTGAGGAATGGTTCGGATTGCTCAGTGAGTTGGTTCAGGAGAAGTTGATCGATGCATCGATTCCCGAGTCCGATTTGGGAAAGCTGTCGATCGTCGGTATGGTAGGATCGATCGATAACGACATGTATGGAACGGACATCACCATCGGTGCCGACACTGCCAGTCACCGTATTCTCGAGTGTATCGATTCCATCCTTAGTACTGCAGTCAGTCATCAACGTTCATTCGTAATCGAAGTTATGGGTAGAAATTGTGGTGTAAGTAACAAGCTAGCTATCTCGTGGGAATTGGTAGTTTTATTAATAGGTTTGTTTTGATATCTTAATTTAGTGGTTGGCATTGGTATCTGGTTTGGCAACTGGTGCAGATTATATATTTGCACCGGAGAATCCACCTGAAGCCGGATGGGAAGATGTCATGCTTGAGGGATTGGAAAGAGGTAGAGTTTCCGGTAGAAGATGTTCATTGATTATTGTTGCTGAGGGTGCAATCGATTCCAATGGTAATCCAATCAGTTCATCCTATGTCCGTAAGGTATTGGAGGAGAAAGGTGGATACGATGCACGTATCACTATTCTTGGACATGTACAAAGAGGTGGTGTGCCAACTTATTGTGATCGTTATATTGCAACAAGAATGGCAGTTGAAGCAGTCAACTATTTATTCTCAAAGACCGCCACCTGTGAACCAATGATGATTGGTATGGTTGGAAATAGAGTAGTTAGAAAACCACTGATGGCTTGTGTAAAAGAAGTATGTATATTATTATTATTATTATAATTAATTTGACAAACTCAATAGTTTATATTAAATATGTATCTTTGTGAAGACTCAAAAAATAGGTGCATTACTAAAGGAAAAGAAATTTAAAGAAGTTGTACAGTTGCGTGGTCCATTGTTTGAGGAGTTTAGTGATATTTTCGGAATCTGTGCCAATCTCAAGAGAATGAACAGCCCCAAGAAGAATTATAATATTGCGATCTTGCATTCCGGTGGACCGTCGCCAGGTATGAATCCAGCGGTTCGTGCTTTCACTCGTCTCGGTATCGATGCCGGCTTCGGAGTGTACGGTATCTTCAATGGTTTCAATGGTCTGGCCAAGGGAGATGTCCGTGAGATGACTTGGATGTCGGTCAACGGTTGGGCCGTCATGGGTGGAGCGGAGCTTGGAACGAATCGCTCCGTGCCAAACGACTCCAACATCGAGGCGATCATTGCCAACATTGAGAAATTCAAGATCAATGCTATTCTGATGTTTGGTGGATTCAACGGTTACGTCGGTATCTCCAATCTCTACGAGTACCGCAAGAAGTACAAGCAACTGGAGAAGGTCGCCATGATTTGCGCGCCTGGAACCATTGCCAACAACGTGCCGGGCACTGAAATTTCAGTGGGTGCCGACACCTGTCTCAACAATATTCTTGACGCACTTGACAAGATCAAACAATCGGCTGTTGCTTCGCGTCGTTTGTTTGTGGTTGAGGTGATGGGTGCGCACTGCGGTTACCTCTGTGCGATGTCATCGTTGACCAGTGGTGCCGAGCGCGCCTACACCATGGAGGAAGGTGTCACCCTGAAATCGCTGACAGCCGATCTCAAGATGTTTAGCAACCGTTTCAAGGGCGACAATCGCATCGGTTTGATCATCACCAGCGAGAATGCATCGTCGACCTACTCCACCCATTTCATCTACTCACTCTTCAAGGAGGAAGGCAAGCATCTCTTTGATGCGCGTGAGTCGATTCTCGGACATCTCCAGCAGGGTGGCAATCCTTCGGCACTCGACCGTCTGGCAGCATCGCGTCTTATGAACCAGTTTGTCAAGCTGATCGACGAGGAGTGCATCAAGAAGGGCAACGCCGTTGCCGGTTGCATCGGTAACATCGAAGGCGCCATCAAATTCACCGATATCGAGCAGATGAAGTTGGAAATCAATCATAAATACCGTCGTCCAGAGAATCAGTGGTGGTTGCCACTACTGGAGTTGTCTCGTAGAATCTCGGTGTCGCCACACGACGACAACGGTGAGAACGACCCCTGTGAAGTAGCAAAAGAGCATCAAGACTCACACAACTTAACCGTAACCTCACCAACCATTTACTCACAATCACAAATTAATTCAAATCCTCAATTAACTCTTTAAGAAAAAAAACAAAACAAACTATTATTATTATTATAATAATAATTATCAAATATCATTTCAATGTTTTGGCGCTCTTTTTTTCAATTTTTTTTAAATCAAGTTTTTAAAAAATTTTAATTTTTGGCGCGCTACATATTTTCCTGATTTGAAATCAATCAAATAAACACAAAATTGTTAACATATTATAATTATTGAAATAAATAATTTATTTATTATTATTTACTATTTTTGTTTATTTATTTATACTTTTTTTTTTTAGCTTTCAATCAAATCAATCAAATCAATCAAATCAATTACATTACAAATTTTGTATCAGTTGTGCCATATATCCCAATCAATTAAGTTTGATTGATTATTTTTCTTTCTTTTCTTTTTCTTTTTTTTTTTGAATAAAATGATGGTATGTATAAATAACAATACAACATATGTTGATATTATCAAGTTTGTAGTAATATATAACTAATTAATATAATTTCAATTTCAAATATTCATAAATTTGTAGAAAAGAGAAAATACTTATAAGAGACGTTTCAGTAGAGGTGGAACATCGTATCTTAATAATGATAATAATAATACTACTGATGGTAATGGTCAAGTCAAATCAAAAGAGAGACTATCGTTGAAAACCAATCAGTTAGAGAAAGATGAAATTGGTGATGTAAACATTTTAGCCTATTATAAAGATGAGGAGTTAATGAATCTCGATGATAAAAACAATGTCAACAATGCAATCGATCAAAACAACCTCAACCATATCATCGAGAGCAATACAATAAATATGATGATGATACCAATACCTGAAGCATTATTATTTAATAACGATGAAAACAATATTATTAATGGAAATGGTAAATATTTATATTTTATTCGATGATTAATCATGAAAGTAATATTAATAAACAATAATTACTTTTTGTTTTTGATTTTAGAACAAAATGAGAATAATAATAGTAGTCATAATAATAGTGTTATTACAGAGGAGTTTGAAGAAGAACAAGTTGAAATGGATATGATGGAATTCCTTGCAACACCAGCAAAGAAAACTCCAATGAAACAACAACAACAACTACAACAACAAACACCAAGCTCATCAACATCGTCTAGAACTCCAAATAGACAAACAACAAGTACCAAAACAACTACAACTCCACAAAAGACAACAATGACTCCACAGAGAGTATCCACCAACAACACACCTCAAAAACCAACAACTATAACACCCACTGGAACTCCTCAAAAGAGTGCTACCACCACTCCTCAAAAAACATCATTGGTATCCAACAACACACCACAAAAGACAACAACAACCACCACTCCTCAAAAACAACAACCAAATACACCCAACAACAATAAATCCAATTCAACTACACCACAAAAGACAACTTCAACTTTGACAACACCATCAAAAATGATGAATGGTACCAGTCATACACCGTTGTCCACTGTCAATGTTAATGGAGCAACCACTACAACAACATCAACATCAACAACAACCACACCGTCAAGAATGGTTAGAGAATGCTGTAACAACAAAGATGAAAATCAACCACCTGTACCATCGACTCCTAAATCAGCGTTAAAGTCAAAGACGACACCACAGACTCCAGGTATACCATCGACACCCAGAATTCTAAAGTCGGCCATTAAGAAACCACAGGCCATTGAATATCCAAAATCACCGGATAGCAACAAAACTGGTGTTGTCGACAACGAACCAATCCCATTGCAATGGCCAAAGAATGTAAGTTGGAGTGCCAGAAACGAGGTGGAATTGTTCAACAAAGAAGATGAAGCTGCCAAACTAGCTGAAGAGAGAGTTAGATTAGAACAACAACAGCAACAACAACAAAAACAAAAGGAAGAGGAGGAAGAAAAGGAGAGAGTTTTACAACAACAATTGGCTGATGAAGCTGCTGCTGCTGCTGCCGTCGAGAGTGAGAAAAAGAAAAGACAAATGAAGTTGATGGATGAGCGTAGAGAAGCAGCTGAACAATTGGAGATTCAGAAGCGACAGAGGGAGGAAAGAGAAGCAGAGAAGGAGCGTCTCAACAGAGAGAAGATGGAGTTGGCCGAACGACAAGAAATGGAGAGATTGGAGCAAGAAGCTGTGAGACTCAGACTGGAGAAGGAAGCTAGAAACACTGCACGTGAGAAAGCCAGACAAGAACGTGAACGTAAAGCCAAGCAAGAACAAGAAGAGATGGCAAAGATGACACTTGAATTGAACTCACATCGTGATATCCTATTGAAAAAGAGTGAATCAAACAACACTCAATCGTCGTCATCCTCAATAGTTGTTGACAATACTGGCGATGATGGAGAGTTGGAGTTCCAAGAAGAAGATATCATTGCCAAGAGTATGAGAGAGTTTAGAGAGAAACAAGAGGCGATCGAGTTGCAACGACAAAAGATGAGAGATGACATTGCCAAGCAGATGGAGCAGGAGCGTGTAAAGATGTTGGAGGAGTACAACAAACGACAGGAGCTTGAGAAGCAAAAGAGATTGTTGGCATCCGCCGAGAAGAAAGCAAAAGCTAGAGATGTGGAGCTTGAAAGAGAGCGAGAACGTTTGGAGTTTGAACAGCAATTGGCCAAGGAGAAAGATAAGTTACTCATGGAAGTCAAGGCCAAACAGAGAGAATTGGAAGAGCAGAAACAACAAGAACTTCAACTTATCAACAAAGAGCGTCTGGAAACCGAACGTATTCAAAAGCAATTGGCAGAGGAAAGAGATAAGCTTATTAAACAACAACAACAAATAATTAATAATACTTCAACCAAACCAATGATGACACCATCATCATCAAAATTAACATCAACATCAACAACATCCTCAACAACAACAACCAACAACAATAAGTTATCAACATCAATCAATTTCAATAGTTATATTTTAAGAAGTAATAGCAGCAATGATAGTAGTAAATCAACTGCTGTTTCAACATCTTTGTTTGGCAATAGTAGTTTGCTGATGGGTAGAGACGAACGTGAGAAGCTGAAGCGTGAGAAGCGTCTGGCGTTTGAGAGTGAGAAGCGTGCCAAAACGATGGTGGAGATTGAGACGACCAAGAAGATCGAAGAGGAGAAGAAGCGCGAGATGATCAAGATCTTGGATCGTTTCAACGATAAGGAGCAATCACTGATTGAGGCATCGCGAAAGATGCGTGCCGACCGTGAGTTGCGTCGTCGTAAGGAGCGTGAAGATGCAATCAACCGTGCCAACCGCGAGAAACAACGTTTGGAAGCCGAGCAAAAAGAGATGCAACGTCGTCTCAAATCTACAATGTCAACACTCATCACCAACAACAATATCAACAGTGCATTCAATATCGGTAGTAACATTCCGTCGACACCAATTCTACTGACTCCCATTCAAAGACTGCAGACTCCAGTGATCTCAAGTTCCGCCGCCAAGAACCTATTGTACTCGAACAGTAAGAATACCAACCATCTCAATAACAATAACAATACCAGAAACAACAATAATGAATCATTCAGTATTTTCAATACGACATCATCTTTTATCAATACACCATCTGCAAAGAATACCAACATCAACAACACCAACACCACTTTTACAACTGGCGCGTCACTGCTTGCTATGGAGACAGAGGAAGAGAAACGTCGTCGTCTGGCAATGTTGTTTGACAACAAGTTTGTACCGATGAGATACTCTGCCACTCCAGCAAACAGATTAAGACCAAACGCCACCCCTTTCTCCACTGCCAGACGCGCTACAACAGCTAACAACAACAACAACAACACTGCCAGCAAAAACAATGTCGTCAACAACAACAACAATACTTCTATTGTTCCAATCAGTAACAATATCAATAATAACTATCAATGGAACTTGTTGGCCGATGTTAAATTTGAACTACCTGATTTCTCACCACCGAAATCACTTCAATTCGACTTACCTTTGGTTGATAGATATAACAACAACAACAACAACAGCGACCATAATGAAGAAGAGGATGGAGAAGAGGAAGAAGGTGAGATTCAAGATGTTAATGAACAAATAACTTCATCTACAATGTCACCGTCTTCAACGGTATCGTCGTCAACCACTATCTCGTTGACAGACTTGGCCAAGTCGGTCAACTCAAAGACACCGAGATCGTCGATGTCTCAACAGAAGCGTAGAGAACAACAACTGCAATTGACCGGTCGCAAGACAGGCGGTGTCTACTCATCGCAAGAAGGCAGCTCCTACGGCTATCCCAACGAAGAGGCCTACGCCGACTCTGACAACGACGATTCATCGATTGTACGTCTCACCGACTCGATCTCCTATGCCGACTACGAACACGAAGAAGACAGTGCAGAGCATTCATTGAATGATTCCGATCTCTTTAAATCTGTTATGAACAAACCAATTAATAATAATAATAATAATAACAATAAGAAGAATAACAATAACAATACTAATAAGAAACTATCAACTACATCTACTACATCTTCAACAAAAACAACCGATAGCAACAGTCCACTTTCAACCTCTGTAATGTCAACTGGATTCCACTCGGAAGAAGAGGAGAACGAACACGAACAAACACCAGCAAAGAAAGCGATCAGCAAGAAGAGAAAGAATACTAAATCAACGACATCAACAACAACAACTGTAAACAATAACACTAAGAAACAACAACAACAACAACAAAAATTGAATGATTCTTATGATGATGACGAAGATGAAGCTCTACCAATTAAACAATCAAGATTCAAGAAAAATAAAAAATAATTAATAAATAATAAAACAATCATATAAATAATAATTTAAATATTTAAAATAAATCATAAAAGATTGTATTTTTCAAATTTACAAAAAACAACAATGTCTGTGTGTAAATCATTTTAAAAGAATTTATTTAATTTAAAAAGTTTTTATTCATTGAAAAAATCCTTTTAATCACTTGTGTGGTTGTAAAACCAAAAAAAATTAAAATTAAATAAAATTAAAAAAACTTTTTGATCCAAAAAATCATTCCTCCTCATATATAAATTTAAATTTTTAAAAATTCTCAACGAATCATTCATACATTACAAATATTAATATTTTATTTATTTTATTTTTTTTATTTCATCACACAAACAACACACACACACACATTATTACATAAAATCCACAAGCAAATCAAATCATAGCATCTTTTAATATTTAATACATATAAAAACATCAATAATTAATCAAATCTATCAAACTTCATTGCCGTCAAATACACATATTATTTATTTATTTCATTTAGCTTAATTTAGGTAGGCATTTGAAATCAAATCAAAAAGATCAAAGAAATAGTGGTTATATTTATAAATTATTAATCACTCTCTATTTCTTCTTTTAAAAATTACCAAAAAAAAAAAAAAAAAAAACAAACAAACTAATCATATTCATACTTGATTTTCATTTATAAATATTAATATTAATTAATTATATAGGAAAAGAAAAGAGAAAAGAGAAGATAACTTTAACAGAAACAATTACAACATCATATAACAATAATAATAATAATAATATCTAGTCAAATTTAAATTATATAAAAACAAAAGAAATTAATTATTATAAAGTTAATTAATTTAAGATAGATGGAAGGATTCGGTTCAGTTAAGGAGTCTTTTGATCAAATCATTCAGAAGGCTCCACATCTCATAACAACTGAAAAGAAAAAGAGAATTGCTGTATGTTTTTGTTTTTAAACTAATTCAGATTCTTCTTTTAGTTTATGTTGTAACTAATTATAATATTATTATAATAATAATAATAAATACAGGCATCATTCCAACAACTACAAGAAGAAAACAAATCATTGAAGGGTGAGAAAAAGAATCTTAGAAATAGAATCGATGAGGAAACCAATCTTTTACAGATACTGAGTGATCAAGCCGATGGTCTAAAGAGAATTCTCTCTGAAAAGGATGTTGAAATCAATGCTCTAAATCAAACAATCAAAGAACAATCAGATAATCTATTAACTTTTAAACAGGTATGTTGTTGTTGTTGTTGTTGTTAAAATACAAACAAACAAAAAGAAGAAAAAGATGGATTTTTAACACTTTTTTTTATTCTATTCTTTTTTTTCAAATAACAATCTAAAACAATTATTAGAATTTAGAGAATGAAAGTAAATTAAAAGATGAAACTCAGAGTAAATTGGAATTGGAAATCAAAGAGAAAGAAAGATTGTTGGTGGTCGAGGAGAATTTGAATGATCAGTTGAGTGTTTCCAATTCGACTGTGGCGGAACAACGTGAGAAGCTTGGCGAGTTGAGTCGGTCGTTGACTGCCGAGGAGGAGAAACTGGCCGAAGAGATTGCCAAGCACAAACAGAGTGTGGAATCGATGAGTGCAGAGATCAATAGACAGAGTGAATCAATTGCGGAATACACCAAGCAGTGTAACACGCTGACTGAACAACTGTCAGTTCTCAATACAGAGATGGATGGACTACAACAAACAATCAATGGTCTCAATCAGAAGATTAATGATCTCAGTTTGGAGCGTGATCAACTCGCTGGCTCACTCGAGGAGGAGCGTAAGAAACTATCGGATTTGGAGCAACTCTACGGCGAGCTGAAACAAAAGAATGAGCAGTTGGTCAGCAGCTTGGAAGTGGAGATTCAGCTGAAAGTCGCGTTGGAATCGAAGCTGGCAGAGTTGAATGAGCGTCAGGAAAAGTTGGATCAGGTCAACAGGGAGCAAGAGCAGCTGAATGAGAAGCTTTCGAAACAGCTGGATGACGAACTCAACTTGAAGTCGTCGCTCGAGAATCAGTTGTCCGATGTCAATAGCAGACTGAGCGAGTTGGATCGTTTGGCGACTGAGGAGAAGACGCGAATCGAACAGCTGCAAGTTGACTTGGAAGGCGAGCGATCCAATAAGAATAGCTTGGAGTTGAAGCTGTCCGATATCAAGCAGAAGTACGATGAACTCAACAAGCTGGTTACAACCGAACAGGAGAGAAACGACCAGTTGGAGAGCGAGCGTACTCTTCTCACCTCGGAGAAAGAGTCACTGCAACTCGACGTGGAAACAACGCGCGAAGAACTCAACAATCGTGGCGCGCAAATCGCTGAGCTGACAATGCTTAGAACCACACTGACAATGGAGATCGAAGGTGTGCGTAAGTCGCATATCAAGGAGATGGAAGATCTGACAGAGAAGTTGGAGAAGAACAAGGAGCTGCTGGATAGCGCCACCAGCGATGTGGAGAAGCTGACCGAGGAGAATAGTAGATTGGCGGAGGAAGTGAACACTCAGAAGGAGGAACTTGCTCAACAGCGACAAGAAATGGAAAGACAAAAGGTGGAGCTGGAGAAACAAAGTATGACAATCGGACATCTCACTTCGAATCTCGAGGAGAAAACCAAAGAGATAACTTCACTCGATAGAAATCGCCAGGAGGTGGAGTATCTCAAGGAGACGCTGCTGAAAGAGAACCAGTCGATTCGTGAGATGATTGCGCAGGGTGCAAGTGGATTGAACGACCGACTCGCAGAGAAGGATGAATATCACAACAAGATACACGCACTCGATCTCAAGGTGATGGAACAAAACAATCAAATCGAAGATCTAAACAGATTGGCGGTGCAAGACAAAGAGAAGATCGGTAGTTTGACGGCGGAGATCAGTGAGTTGACAACGGAGATCAGTGAGTTGAAATCGAATTTGGAGTTGGAGAAGCAGAAGCGCGATGAAGATCACGATCGCTACAGCGCAGAGAAGGAGACAATGTACAATAAACACGTTCAGGAGCAAGTTGAGAAAGAGGAGGCTGCAGAGATGGTTGTGTCCGATCTCAAGGCGATGGTTGACAAAGCAAACAGCGACCGTGACGTCATGGAGTCAGAGTTGAATAACTTTGCCAAACGACTGTCTGACCAATCGGAAAAGATCACCGACTACGAAAGACAGGTAGCCGAACAACAAAAAGAAATGGAATCAATCATTCACACTCGTGACAATCTGATTCGCGAGTTGGAGGAACTCCAAGGAAAACAACAGCTAGACGGTGCCAGTCGTGAATCCGAAGAGAAACTCGTGAGGGAGCTGAACGATCTCAAGCTGCGCTACGAAGAGGAGAAGAACAAGCTACAGAAGAACAGCAGTGACGAGCGCCAAACGTTTGAATCGCGTCGTTGGGAGATCGTTGCCGAGTTGGAACAAGAGAAGAACAAGTCGCGCAAAGTACAGGAGGAACTGCTGGAGGAGCGACGTCGACTCGGTGTCGTCTCGAAAACCGTAGAGAAATTCCTCAACGAGACGAATATCAACGAGAGCAACATCACACTGGAGTCGTTCTATGCAATGCTGGAGGCGGCCAAGAAAGAGTTGCTCGACGGATTCCACCACAAGAGAAAATACTATGACGACGAAGATCTCTTGGCTCAACTTCACATGGAACGCGAAGCCAGAAGACTAGCCGAATCACAAGTCGAACATTTCGCTGTACTATTAGAAAAGAAGAGAATGGAGCTGAACGCACTGAGACCGCCCAGTCAAGCTCAATCACAACAAGGTTTCTTTAGCAATCTAGCTCGCTCATTTAAAGAATACAACTCTGACGAAACCTATACAAATCCAAATGGAACAAAGAATTTCTTAAAACGTACATTCACTGGGACAAACACACAAAGAAAATAAACATTTTCAATAAAAATAAAAAAGTAAAATAAACAAAACAAAACAAAATAAATATATACTTTTTATTTATTACCACATATAAATAATGGATATTCATTGATTTTTAACAATTTTAATTTATCTCAAAATAATAAAGATTGGGATAAAGTTTTTTTATTAATAATTGTTGTGTTGGTTGTTATCAACCAGTAGAAATTGGTTGTGTAATGTTGCCAATGAATATTTACAAATTAGTATTTTCATGCGCCATACCAAAATGGTTAATATCATCATGTAAACTTTCCCCATCTAAAGAAGAATAATGGTGATGTAATAACAAAATAATCTAAATATAACATTGGATATTCAAAGAATTTAATGATATTTGGTTCTTTTTTTTTTTGATGATGATCATCAAAAAAGATAAAAGAGAAAGTGATTATTATCTCATGTGCATGTAAAAATAAAAAAGTATTGAAATGATGCTTTAATTAATCATTTCCTGTGATTTAATAGTGAAAAACTCAAAGGTTGGTTGATTTTGATTTAAAATAATTATAAATAGCTGAAAATTATTAAGATATAACGTTGAGCACTACAAGGAGATATTACTTCGAGGTCAGGTCATGGCTGATAAAAAACGAGGAAGACCATGATATCTAACAACAATAAAAAAATCAATTCCCATATGGAACAATTGTTGATGTAAATTTAAACTTTTTTTTTTTAAAAACATTAATTAAAAATAAAAAATTGACCCAAAATTATTTTAAATTATCTGGTGACTTTAGATTGTTATCAAAAAAAAAGTTGTTCAATTTAGCAAAGATATTAATTTTATAAAATTTCATATGAAAATATGATCATATTTTCAAAAAACAAAAATAGTTTTTATGTTTTTTTTTTTTAAGCACGTTTCTTTTTAGAGAACAAAAAAATGTTCACCAATCATATTCAATTTAAAATGAATTAAAGATATAAAAAAAAGTGGACATTTTAAAATGTTTGAGATAACTCAAGGTTGGTGACTCCTGGGGGCAGCCCAATTTTCTTGTTTTTATCTACTTTAGTCGAGTTGAGGGTTCACCCACCTTTTTTAGAGATTATGGACAAAGAACGTCGATTACACAACCAACCACACCTCCTACAAACAACGATTGTTTAGTTTTTTGCTTTTTTTTTGAAACCGTTTTGCATCATAATCAAGTAAAACTTTTTTTTTTAATTAATTAATATTTTTCCATTTTTTTTTTTCTAGTGGAAAAACAATTTTTTTTTATTTTTTTTTTTGAAACCTCTCACTTACTGGCTGATCAACCTTGTTGTCAGTAGATTTTTGGTCTTGAAAAGACCACCCACACACCCCCTAACAAGTCTTGATTCCGTAACCCACAAAGCAGTGTGTGTGTGTTAACACTCTGATTCAACATAAATCCCCACATACGAGACAAACACTCAAACCAATGATAATAGAGAAACAATTATACATCTATCGATATTTTAATCACTTCATAAATCTCAATGACCAATAATACTTGCAAATTATCGACAAACAACACAACCTACCGCTGTCTGATCATTCAAGTCACACAACTTGTTCTTGGTGCTGCTTGCTGTTGGTGCTGCTTGTTGTGATATAAAAATATAGTATACTCATTAAGTGAGTTTATTTGCACGCCTTAAGAAAGAAAGTAAAAACAAAAACAAAACAAAACCAAACTAAAACTAACAAAAATTGTTTGTAAACTTTGAATGCCATCATTAATCATTTAACCAACACACACTCTCTCTCTACTTGTGATATTCCCTTCCATAAACATTGTTTATTTGTCAACCAAAAAAAAAAAAAAGAAAATTAAGAACTAAGAAAAAAAAAAAAAAAAAAAGTAACACCCCCATCATATTCATATTTGGTGTGTCTCCTGATTTCATGAAATCAGATCCTGTGTTGGTTTTGTCTGTCTTGTTTTAATAATAATAATAATATCCACTTCACCACGAAAATAAACTTTATTCATTTAAACTTTACTTTTTTATTTTTTATTTTGAAAGAAACAATTAAACATAAAATATTGTGTGAGTAGTAGCAGCAGCAACATCAGATTGATTTCTTCTGACAACATTAATAATAACCTAAAGTTTTAACTAAAAGACAAATAACAAAACAATACACTTTAGTATCAGTCAGCCACCTTATACTGCTTGTTGAATAATAAAAATAGTCATTCAGTCAGTCATAACAAAACCTCATATCACACTCAAGATTTATATAACATATTAATTTTTTACTTTTATGCTCCAGTTTGCATATGATCATTCCTGTTGTTTAGATATTTCATTTACACAATCATCAAATCACCACCCAAATATTATATCTCTATATATCAATTATCCGTAATATAAAAATTCGCTCGTTTTATCTTTAGTTATTTTAAATTAATTTACTTTTTTTTTTCAAATTAATTAAATTCAATCAATCAAATCATCAAATCCACTCTCGCAAGTGGAATTTTATAATAATTATTTATTTCAAAGAGTTAGAAAGTTTTATTATATTCCAATTCAATTTGGATTTATTTTTATTTTATTTTTGTTTTAAAATTTTTTTAAAATTGTTTTAAATATAGGATATTTATTTCCAACTTAAATATATATTTATTTATTTGTTTTTTTTTTGTGTGGTGTGATTGATTTGTGATTGTTTGTTGGTTGTGTTATTTTTTTTCTTGACACCTATATATATTTTATATCACATATATAATTATATTAATCCTGTTTTTAGTTGTAACATTACTTGACAAAAGAGAGAGGAGTAAGAATTCAGTGTCCAATTCGAGTTTTTAGGTCAAAGAATTCTTTTCCTTTCGTTCTCTAGACAAATAAACAATATTCATTTCATATATGTTTTTTTTTTTCAATCTTTAGACACAACCATCACCACCAGTTCATCCATTCATTATAAACAACAAAAAAGCTTCAACAACAAAAACAACAACAGCGACAACACACAATAAATCAATAACACAAAAAAAAATAATATAAAAATGACATCCAATATTATTCAACCTAGTGAAGATCCAAACGACGATGATGAGTCTCATCCTGTACAAGAGGAGCATAACCAACGTATCCGTACAACCAGAGAAAATAATAATAATAATAATCCTCAATCAACACACCATCATCACCACTATCACCCATCTTTATTTTACAGTAATACCAACATTATGCATCAATTACAACCACCACAACAGTCGTTTCCAATGTATTATCCATATAATAATAAATATTTACAACAGCAACAACAACAAACTCCTTCACCACAACCACCACAACAACAGCAGCAACAACCACTACCACTACCACCACCACCACCACCGCAAACACAACAACAAACAAATAATTTTATAACACATCACAACAATATAAATCCTATATTGGGAATGAACAGTACCACGGTCACAGGATCGTCAGCAACCAATAATAATATTACAACAAATCCTAAACACTTGTCAAAACCTCAAAATGCAATTGGAGGTGATATTTCTGAAGTTAACTATGGTGGTCGAACATCGTTGAATGGCTTTGGAAGCCGTACAACTGGTAATTTCTTTCATCATCTCCACCAATCAGCACCATCCACATTCCAAACTTTGAACTCCTCCATGGAGTTTGAGGAGCATCATCAACAACAATTATGTCCTTCAACAACAACAGCAACAATATTAACTCATCATAATAATAATAACATTGAATCAAATAGTAATAATAACAATAACAGTAACAATAATAACAATAACAATAGCAGTAATAATAATAATAATAATAAATCTAATTTAAATAATAATAATAATAATAATAATCATACATCATCTATAATAGGAGATGCTAATGATTGTTCTAATGGTAGTGTTTCAAAGTCTAGTAATAGTTATATAATTAGCAATCATCCAAATGATAATAATAATATTATTATTTCCAAACAAACAACCTCAAGTAAATTGACATCAACTTCAATATCTTCTTCTGTAAATGAATCAAATCAACATCATCAAACAATTAACATTGCACCACCAACAACTACAACAACTACAACAATGAACATAAGATCACATTCACCGTCCACCTCCTCCTCAGAATCAAGTTTGTCAGTGCCTCCTCTAAATGTAAATTTACATCAAATTGTAAATCAAAGTAGTAATGATTTTGAGTATGTATTATTGATCAACCAACAGTAATCTTTTTCCAAGAAAAATAATTATTTACCTTTTTTTTTATTTTCCAATCAAAAAATAGCGGATCACCCATACCATATGAATTATATCAAAGTTATCAATCTTCACAACAAATAAATTATCATCACCATCATCACCATCATCAATTACAAAATATTCCAAGCTCTTCTTCATCATCTTCTGGGTCATCGAACCATGGTAGTAGTCATTTTGATTCACCTAACACCTCGCCACACTCAACGCCATCACAAAGTACAGCAAGTGAAAATGACAGTCCCAAGTCAATGAAAAGCGAAGATAAGAAATCAACACAACATTTTTTCAATTCACATCAACATCAACAACATCATCAACAACACCAACAACATCAAGAAACACCCTCGTCTCCACCTCAAATGGCGACATTTGGAAAAACAAGTATTGCCAGTTTAACTTCTCTACCAAACAATAACAACGATAGCGATAATAATAACAATGATAACGACAATAACGATGATGACAATAACAATAATAACAATGTATCAACATCAGAAGATCAACCAAACTTGATTGAAGATGCTCTAAATTCAACCATCACTATCGATGGTGGACCAAAGTTTAATAATCGTGGCTACGAAATATGTGGCTATATGAACCAACACACAAGACCTTGCCAAAGAATAGGTCGTTGTCCATTCCATGCCGACAAGAAAGAGAAAGACAAACAAAACCAATTGGGACAATCACAATCCATTGGTTTGAATACTACTATGACAACGACAACAACAACAACAACTTCAACTTCTTCTTCCTCATCCTCATCTTCCTCCACTTCCTCTTCCTCTATACCAAAGCCAAAGAGGAAAGAATCGATCGATGCTTCAGACTCTGTGGAAAGTCCACCGATGTCTTCGTCACCACCATCGAGCAATGGAATGCTTGACACATCAGAGAAACCATCGAACCCATTGAATTCCAGTGAGGAAGTGCCAAATACACCTCTGAAGAAATCACCTTTCAAACAAGGTTGGTCAAGAGACGAACACATTCGTTTTCTTCATGGAATTCAACTGCATGGTCGTGGCGCTTGGAAAGAGATCTCCAACATTGTTAAATCGAGAACTCCAACCCAAATCCAATCACACGCTCAGAAATACTATCTCAGACAGCAACAGACCACCAAAAACAAACGATCCATTCATGATCTCTCATTGGAGGAATTGATTCAACTAAATGATCCAACTGCCCATACACTTGCTAAAAAGAAAACAAAGAACTCAAAGAAACAAAAAACAAACAACAATAACAATAACAACAATAATAACAATAATAATTCAAATAACAATAACAATAGCAACAATAATAACAATGAAGAAAACGATTTCCACAATAGTAATCATTCAAATAACAATAATATAGATTTAAAATATGAAAGAATAGATCAACATAATTCAATAAGTAATGAATATTTAGTAAAAGGTAAGAAGAAAAGAGTTATATTTATTATCATTTTTTTTTTCCAAATTAATTAATATTAAACTATTTATTTAATTTAGGAGTTCCGAATTTTGATGGTAAATTTATGAATGGACAATTCAATCAGGCAAATGGCAATCAGGTTCAACATGCAATTCCTATATATCCTTATGTTTCGAGTAGTCCGGAGCTGGGTGGTCATATGGGTAGTGGAGGCCAGTTGCATCACTCTGGCAGTGCTCATTCGCCAACACTATCGCCGTCGCCACCAAACTCTGCACGAAACTACCATCCTCCACCACATAATCCATACAGTCCTTACCACCACCTCTACCACAACGGCAGCCATGCATCGCCACCACCACCAAACTCTGCGATACACCCACACCATTCCGCACAGCAGCAGCAACCACCACCACCACTTCACCTCTATGCTCACCAACAACCGCAATATTTACACATGCCACCAAATGGTCCGCCTTCCATTCCATACGGTAACAGTCACGATATAGTCTATCATCCTTCACAGTACCACATTCAACAGCACCCACAGTTTCTCCATATGATACCATACTATGAAAATTATTATAATCCTCAGAATCATCTGTAAAAACAGAACAGTTTTTATTCAATTCAAATCAATACAGCTTCACTTCCAAGTCTAATCAATATTGTTTAATCTAAATCATTAACCAATAGTAAATAATAGTAAATAGTAATAATAGTAAAAAATGAAAAAACAAAAAAAAATAGTAAAATTAATAATATTTATGTAAAACTACAAAAGTTTGGTGTTGAAAAATAATAATAATAATAACAATAATAATAATATCCATATATTTATATATTTAAAGTAAAACAACAATACCTACCTTACCTCTTACCCAATAAATACAATTGTATCTATAGTTTTTTTTTAGTTTAGGGTTAAAATAAACTAAAACGAGTATATTATATCTATAAATTTATAAAATTATAAATTCAAAAAAAAAAAAGCATTTTATTTAATTTATTTTCTATTGTCACCCAAAATAACTAACCAATTCGATTTAAACATCAACATAATTGATGAACCAACCATATGATTTCTTTGAGAAAACATTTTTCATTAGTTTTCTAGCAACCCATGGACTATTTTTAGCGAATGATTCTTGAAGCTCTTTGTCGTTGCTCTTTTTGATTGAATCCATGATGGCACTAAAAATAAATTTGGAATTTATATTTTTTTAGACAATTCCTTTTAAGTTAAAACAATAATGTATTAATAACTTTGTTTTATGATCATAAAAATAGAATACAGAAATTAATAATAATATTATACCTGAATTTGTTTTCCAAGTTTAGTTTGTTCATCTTTTGGTGTTGCAATAAAGAATGGAAGAATATTAACTTCTTGATAGCTCAAAAGAATGACCATCTCCTTGTGAACATCGGTGAACTTTGATGATACTTGAGTGCGTTCCTCATCGCTTAGATTCTTTGGATCCATCGATTCAATCTTGGATAACAAAGAGTTTAGATCGGTCATTTTCGCTTCATAGACATCTCTTAGAGCATCGGATTTCGCCAAGACCTCAGCCGCAGATCTATCATGACCCTTTAGGTATGGCCATGCCAAGGTATGCTCGTTAGATTTGCAGGAGCTCATAAAATCATCGACTCTTTTAATGGCACGAACAGTTGTTTGAATCTCTTCGTTGGTCGCTGGTTTCCAATTCTTTAGCCTATTGTCAACCAAATTGAATAGTCTCTTCAAAGCAACATGACTCCACTCCAAACCCGGAAGATATAAATTTTCATTTCTAAAATAATTAGTTACATTACAATCCATTATTTATTTATTTATTTGTACAAAGAAATTATTCTTTAATTAGTAATTTAATGATTTAAATCTAAATTGATTGTTACTATTAATAGTTTTCTACTTTAAATATTAAATCAGTTTTTGTTTTTTTTAATTCATTCATCAACATATTTTTTAACCATGATTTTATTAGTTTTTGAAAAGTCAGAATTACCTAATATATCCAATATCTATCAATCAAATCGGAATGATTATGAGCTAATGGATAAATTAAAATCATCATATATATATAGTGGTATGTGTTGGTTTATTAACCATTTTAACTTATCATTTTCATTAGTAACATGTGTGGGGTTAATAAGTTTTTTTTAACTTTTTGTGGTAAAAATTTCTGACCAATAAAATTATTTTTTTTTTGAAACGAATTTTTTATTCACACCGATTATTAAAATTAATAATTTAAATGAGAATACATCTTGGATAGTCCAACTCTTTTCTTTTGAATCAGATGTCGATATGGTTGCAATTGATTGTTTTGTTGAATTTCTAAGTTGTTTTTTATGAGGTATTTAATCATTTGAATGTCACCTCGATTGATTGCATTGCTCATTGATTGTATTGTGCATGTTTCAGTTCGATTTCGGTGGAGATAAGTGAGCATCGGTAGATCATATGCAATATCCATTGGGTATTGTGGGAATGGTGCCCCAATTTCATTGAGATATTCAACAATTGAAAGACGACCAGTAGCAATTGCTTGTTTGGTGTGCTCGGTGGTAAGAGGGTGTGTTGTGTTCTCGTGAAGCCATTTGAAACCATCTTTATTGTTGTGATAAATCGTGTCAAAATATAATGATTCTGAGTATTGAAATTCATGTTCTTTCAACCAATTGTAATCAGGTGAATCATTCTCTTTACCACCAAATAACCTTTTTATTTCGATATCCCTTGGCTCTATTTTTGTTTTCTCTGATATTTTCTCAAAAAGGTATTTGAAAATTTGAAAGCTTGATTGATATGGTGAGTAAAGTAGATGTGATTCAATATCGATTTTTATGACTTCGACGAGGAATTTGACAACTTGTAAATATTTCCTAGATACAGCCGTAGCCATTGATTCTGGAGGGAAAGTTTCACTTCGATTAAAATGCAAAAATTTGATGACCTCCAAATGTCCTTTTCTTATTGAATTGGTCATTGCAAAGTCTGTAGATTGTGCGGTGGTATTCTCGTGGAGGTAACGAAGGATATGCAATTGTCCATGAAGGGCTACATCATCTATCATCGTGTGCAACTCTACTTCTGGTCTTTCTTTGAGTGCCAACTTGAGTAATTCAAGATGTCCATTTGTCCCAGCACATACAATGCTATCTATTCTTGGTCTCATTGTTCTGTTCGACAAGACGAATTTGATAACCTGAATGTGTTTATCTCCAAGTTTATAGGCTAAAGAAATTTTGGAAATAGTTTCAGTTCTATTGTTTAAGAGAAAGACAACCACGTCAAGATGTCCATTGCAAACAGCATCATCAATGGCTTTGGATCCTGTCGGACCTTCAGTTCGATTATTATGCAAAAATTCAACACAACCTAAATGTCCATTGGATGCTGCAACATCAAAGGCAGTAGTTGAACATCCTTCAGTTCGATTGAAATGAAGAAACTTTAAAATCTCTAGTTGACCATATTTTGCTGCTATTTCCATCAAATATGGATGATCAGGATATCTAGACCCGTATTTTTCTACCTCTTTTTCAAACGCACTTCCATCTTTGACATTGTTGTGAAAGAATTCAACGATTGAAAGATGACCATATTGAACTGCTTGTTGTAAAATCGGTCTTAAATGCAATTCTTCTGGGAATGTATTGTATACCAATTCAACGAGATCTAATGCTCCCATTCGAACAGCAGTTTTTATAGAACGTAAAAAGAGATGTTTAAATAAATCGTAAGGACTACTTTCAAGTGATCCACCATCCTCGTTCCTTTCAGTGGAGTCTCGGGGTCGGCGGTTTCCTCTCTCTGTATCCCAGTGGGAAGAGCGCCAGTCACTGTCTGTCCCCCAACCGGAGGAGTGAGATTCATCATCCGCCGTTTGAAGATTCCTTTCATTCGAGTCTCGGGGTGGGGGGTTACTTCTCTCTGTCGGCCAGTCGGAGGAGCATGAAACACCATCCTTTAGTTCTATTTGTTCTACTTGTTCTTTCTTTTCTTTATTGTTTTCTAATGAACTAGTTGGACGTTGATCTCTAACCATAGTGTTGAATATCTCTTTATACCTCTCGTAATAACCATATCTAATCAGCTGATCTGGGAAATAACCAAGGTCATAGTAATCAAATAGAAACTTTCGTGTATAAATAAGAATACCAACATTATTAACCCTCTCCAATTCTTCATAATGATCACGCTCTTGAAGATGGATGACGGTTACAAAACTAAATATATGATATCTTAAAAATTGGGAATCTAATAATCTTTTAAATAATTTACTTCTTTTATCATTATTATTTTTACTACTTTGCATCATTATTTAGAATATAAAAGTTGAAATGAAAACAAACACATGACAACAGTGGGCGATCAAAAAAATGTTTGTCCTGGGTAAAATGAAAAAAAGAAATTTTGTTTTTGGTAAAAGTTAGTTTTTTATAATATTTTGGTTTACAGATGATTTTTTGGATTAAAGATATATTATTAATAATTAGTTAAGATCAATGTAAAGATTCATTTAGAGATTAATTCAAGTCTTGATTTGTATCCAATACAAACAATTCGGGTAGGATGATATTTTGTAAATGGATTGATTAGTTGAATTCCAGGGTTGTTTTGTTTGAGATATTTAATCATTTCTATGTCACCTCGATTGATTGCATTATCCATTGCTTGTATGGTGCAAGGTTCAGTTCTATTTCGATGGAGATAAGTGAGCATCTGAAGATCATGTGAAGTGCAATATCGATTGGGTATTGTGGGAATGGTGCTCCAACTTCATTGAGATATTCAACGATTGAATGACAACCGTTGCCAATTGCTCGTTCTATATCCAAGCGCTCAAACGGATGAGTTGTGTTCTCGTGAAGCCATTTTAATGCAGCCATATTATTGGCACTAATCGCATGGAAATATGACAAGTTCGAGAATTAAAATCCTCGTTCTTTCAACCAAACTAAATCAGAATATCATTTCCATGACTAAGAAGCATATCTATTCTGATATTACTCGGATCTATTTGAGTAGTCGATGGTATCTTCTCATAGAGATATTTGAAGATTTGAAAGCTATTATATGATAAGTTGAGAATAGATGGAGCAACATCGAGTCGTGCGACTTCAACGAGGAATTTGATAACTTCGAGTTGATTTCTAGCTACAGCATAATTCAATGTATCTGGAGTGCATCCTTCCGTTCGATTGGGATATTGTGGGATAATATAAATACTTGATGACCATATTGAACAGCTTTCTCTAAGATCAGCCTGTAATCCAATTCCTCTTGGAATGTATTGTATACCAATTCAATTAGATCTAATGCTCCTGTCTGAGCAGCAACATTCAATGAATGTAAAACAGATGTTTAAACAATACATAGATACTACTTTCAAGCGATCCACTTTCCAAACTATGAAATTTACTTTCATTGTAATCTTGAAATTGGTCGATACTTCTAAACATCATCCAATCGATTGTACTTGAAACACTATCGTCTAATATTACTTGTTCTCTCATTTCTATTTTATTTGGATTTAAGATATGAAAAATTATGATAACATAATAATTTTATTTTAATCTGGATTAAAGAGTTAAGATCAATGAAAAGATTCATTTAGAGATTATTACTCTTTATTAATTCAAGTCTTGAATTGTATTCAACAAAAAGACTATTCTGTTGCATACCGAATAGTTTCGGTTGATTGTTTTGTTGAATTTCAAAGTTGTTTTGTTTGAGATATTTAATCATTTGGATGTCCCCAACATTGATTGCATTGTCCATTGCTTGTATTGTGCACGATTCAGTTCTATTTCGATGGAGATAAGTGAGCATCTGAAGATCATGTGCAATATCCATTGGGTATTGTGGGAATGGTGCTCCAACTTCATTGAGATATTCAACAATTGAATGATGACCACTGATTATTGCGCTTTGGGTATGCATGCTTACAATCGGATGTGTTGTGTTCTCGTGAAGCCATTTAAAAGTAACTTTACTTTTGGCACTATCCGCAAAAAAATATAACATGTTGGAAAATTGAAATCCTTTTTCTTTCAACCAATCGAAATCAGATGGATCATGTTCTTCACTGAAAAACATATCTATTCTCGTAGTACTTGGGTCTACGTTTGTGTTCTCTGGCATTCTGTCATAGAGATATCTGAAAATTTCGAAACGATGTAGTTCGGATAACGAAATGCTGGACGGTGCAATATCGATTTGTATGACTTCAACAATGAATTTGACAACTTCGAAATGTTTATTTGCTACAGCAAGATATAATGCTTCTTGAGGGCACGCTTCCCTTCGATTGAAATGGAGATACTTGATAATTTCTAGGTGTCCTTTTTCTGCTGCAATTGTCATTGTATTGTGTGTACACTGTGCAGCGGTATTCTCGAGAAGGTATCGAATGACTGATAAATGTCCATGGTAGGCAACTTCATCTATGATAACATTCATGTCAACTTGGTCTGGTCTTTCTGTGAGTAAAGATTTGAGCATTTCAAGATGACCAAAACAAGCCACCAAATTAATATAGTTTGAAGGTAGTCTTTCTGTTTGATTTGTTAAGAGGTATTTGATAACCTCGATATGATTACCTGCAAGTGAAACTTCCAAACTATTTTTAGAAATATCTTCAGGCATATTGTTTTGGAGAAAGACAACCAAGTTCAAATGTCCATTGCTAACTGCTCCATCAATAGCACGAGTAGCTGTGGTACTTTCTTTTCGATGATGATAAAGGAATTTTACACATTCCAAATGTCCATTGGAAGCAGCCAAACCAAAGGCATCGGTTGAACATCCTTCAGTTCGATTGATATGAAGAAACTTTAAAATCTCCAGTTGACCGTGTTGTGCTGCTAAATCCATTAAATGTGGTTTAGGTTTTCTATTATCACTATTTCTCATCAAGGCTGCGATATCTCTCATTGAAAGTTGAGATGTTCCTACTGACTTGTCTAATATCCTATCAAAAACACTTGCATCTTTGACATTGTTGTGTATGAATTCAACTATTGGAAGATGACCATATTGAACAGCTTTCTCCAAGATCGATCTGAAATCCAACTCTGTTGGGAATGTATTGTATACCAATTCAATGAGATCCAGTGCACCCATCTGAGCAGCAACATTCATAGAATGTAAAAACAGTTGTATAAACATTACACAACGTTGATCTCTAATCAGAGTGTTGAATAACTGCTTGTATCTCTCATGATAACCATACCGAATCAGCTGATCTGGGAAACAACCGAGGTCATAGTAATCAAGGAATAATCTTCGTTTGACAATCTGAGAAGAATTATTCAAAAAATGACGTATATTACTAAAATTACTTAATTCATCATAATAATATGCACCTTCTTGACGATTGATGATCTTAATTAAATTAAATATTTGATTTCTTATCAATTGTGAATGTATTAATCTTTTAAATAATTTACTTCTATCATCATCATTGTTATTATTACAATCTAAACTACTATTGATTTGCATAATTATTGATTTCTAAAGATAACAAATGTAAGAAATTAAAAAAAAAAAAAAGGATAATGATCAAATAGATTGTGGATGAGCAACTTTTTTTAGAAAATGCAGTATTTTTGTTTTTAATTTTGGAAATTATAATTAATATTATTATTAATTTCCAGTGTATTTGAAAAATGCAAGTATTTTTGTTTTTAATTTTGGAAATAAAAAATTATTTCTATTTTATTATTTTTTAATTATTTTTAGTAAGTTTCGATAGAATTTCTAAATTTAATATGTTTGAATATTCAATGTGATATCAATAATTGTATAGTGATTATCAAAGATTATATTTTTTTATATAATTAGTTGTTAATGAGTATCGATATGAGATATTTCATTTTATCCGTCCCAAAAAATGAAAAAAATTTTCACAGCTTTTCAATACAAAATAGGCTCTTGTTTGTAAACATAAATCAAATAAAATAAAAAAAAACCACTCTGATTACATTGTCCCAAATAATTTTTTAATTTTTATATTTTTTTTTTAAATTAATGCGCAGGCGAAAGTTGTTGGGAGACAGTTTCGTTTTGGAGTGTTTATTTCTGAATTACAATACAGAAGCACAAACTTTAATACCCAATATACCCAAGACATTGGCAAGAATGTTCAAATTGATAAGTGATTCAGTTGAGTTTGAAGATTGTCCAATTAAACTATTTCCGTTGATTCCAGATACCATTAAATCATTCTTGAATGTTTGATTTGATTGAACTGATGAACCGAGTTTTGTGATTGATGCTTTTTGAAATAAAAGAAAAAAAACTAAAATTAATATGATTCTTTTAAATTAATTATTTCCTATTTCATATTTTTTCCATACCAATTAAAGTCATTTTAGAATTTTTATTTTTAAAATTATTAAATTATAAAAAGTTATGTTTATTAAAATCGATAAAAAAACTACTACTATTTATAGAATTAAACATTTAATATTATTTCTCATTCATGAATTTAAATTCAGTTAATTTTGTAAAATATTTTAAAAAGCTAGTACTTTCAAATATTTGATATCTAAGGGTAATATTGGGCTATAGATACATTATGTTTTCCATAAAGAGATTTAATTCATGATTCAAGGTTATAATCTTTTTTGAAAGTTATGTGATTTAAATTGATTTTAATATATCGGTAAAAAGATATTTCAGATATGATCAAAGATATTGATCAGATTTCAATAGACAATGATATATAACGTTGTGATTGAAAGACACACTGATACATCAACACACAAAACTCACACAAAAAAATTTTGTCACACATCTCAAAAAGATAATAATTATTTTTAAAAAAGGAAATTTTTATAACCCACTCTATATGTGTGTTATTTAAAATTTCAATCAGTCAGTGTACTTCTATTTAATTTACCCTATCAGTTAAACAAATTGTATTATGAGAGTCATATCTTTATTTTTTTAAATTATAAATAAGATTCTTGATATCCATTATTTTAATAAATCAAAAGTAACTTAAATACTAGGCCATTAACTGAAATGATTAGTAGTGAACATTTTTGTAAATAAAATAATTTTTCAAACGAACATATCTTGACACCCGAGAATACTTTGATGATCTAGATTCTAGATTCTACAAGATTTCACCATTCTTATGATCTTTTTGGATGAAAATGAAATGAAACTATAAATACATCACTTTTGTCTAAAAATAAATCATTAAACAAACAAAAAAAGAAAGTAAAATATAAAAAATACAATACTTTGAATCAAGACTATCTAAAAATGACTTTAATTGGTAAACAATTCATAAAAATAAACCAAAAAAACTTTAAATTTACTAATTTAAATTTTATAATACTTTAGCTTCAATCACCAAACTCGGATCATCAGTCCAAACCAATCAAACAACAATGAATGAAATAATGTTGAACAACAGTAACAACACTTTGACTGGTCAAACTGCAAACTCAAATCAATCACTTGTTGATTTGAATATTCTTGCTACTGTCTTGGGTATTTTGGGTATTAAAATTGGTGCCACTGTATTGTAAATCTAATCCTTAATAATCATTCTAAAACACAAACAATTTAACTACCATTACCAATTGATTTGGTCAAAAAATAAATAAAAAATTGTATTATTTCAAATTTTTAACTTTTTTGTTTTAATCTTTCTATACTTAACTTTTCTTATCTATCTAAATAATTAAACAATTGTAGTTTACATTATTTATTCTACAATTTTCCAAAAAGATTATTAGTCAACGTCGTCGTCGTCGTCGTCGTAGTCGTCGTTTTTAATTGAAATAGGTGTAGATGGACAAAAATTTCTTTTGAATTTATCATGTTGAAAAAATGGTTCATATTGGTTCCTCTCGATAGAATATTTGAAATTACCATGTTCGATACCAGTGATTGAATAGATAAAACTAGAGGTTGGTGATTCTCTATGATACATCAAATTGTATCTGGCAGGAATAGCGTTCAAATCGATCATTTCTTTTGATTCGATATTGTACTTGACGAATCGTTGGACACCGTGATTCTGACCTTGCCTCTTGGGATGATAGGAAATGTAGAAATTTCCTTTATTATCATTGCATGCAGAATGTGCAATGATATCGAGAAGATGGTGTGTCATCTCTTTATTGACCAAATTGATTTGTAACATCTTGTTTAAATCGTATGAATACAATGAGCCTTGGAAAATCATTGATGAACGTTGAATAGAATAGTCTTCAGGTAATGTTCTATACCGTTCAAACTTCATTGTGTAGATATTGAATCGGTTAATGTTTTTCTTTCTAGCATTCAGCAAGTAGATATGATCGCGACCATCATAACATGCTGATATTGAAAATCCACCATCGATTCCTTCCATTTCACCAATAAGTGCTACTGACTTTGATTTCATTGAGAATTTCATCCATTTTGTTTGATTGTCATATCCGCCGAATGTATAGATATCTTCGCCAACAGAAACAATTGATGTTCTATGGAAAGAATAATCAATCTCGAATTGTTCTATTGAATTGTTTTGTAAGTTGATAAGTGTAGCTCCATTCTTATGGTGTGTTGAAAAGATGTATTGTGTGATATTTTCATTCTCTGTTGTCGATGTTGATGATTCAATTCTTTCAAGTTGAATTGATTGTTCGAGTGTTAGTTTCAATTGTTCAAAATCGGGTCGTTTGATTGATAGCTCGTAGGATGCTGGTGTATGTGTTGATAACGATGATGTTGCTGGTCGGAATTGAATGTTATACTTCAAAATGATATCATATAATAACAATGATGAATGCTATTGAATTCATAATGGTTGTTGTTGAATAGAGATCGGTTATATCTGGTATTTTAACAGGTGTGTCGGTGTTGTCGACATCATTATCATTACCATTACCACAGGCATGTTCGATATTATTATTTATATTTATCATATTGATTAAATGTTTCAAATGATTGATATTATTATCGATTTGATCAATGATTGCATCTTTTTGGTTGATGATCGGTTTCTTTAATCTATGTTCTTCGTTGATTAGAAAAGTATGTATTTGTTCAAAGTATTGTTTGATTTCATTCTCAGCTGTTGTTAATGAATCATATACTGATGTTGACGATCTTAATGATTCCCATATCGAATTGATTGTGAAATTGATTTTACTCTCCACTGGCATATCATTATTATTATTATTTATGTTCCTATCATCTTTAATACTAATATCATTGACGTTATTACCACTACTATTATCTTTAATATTATTGTCACTATTAACAAAATCTAAAATAGATAAATATAAAGTATTTAAAGATTGTCTGATATCATCGATATGATCATATTGATTCACATGATCTGGATGTTTGTTATTGTGAATGGTTGTACATCTTGAACACATAAACTTATTGCAAACATAGCAAATAAATTCATTTGTTCTCTGATGTTGTGAACAACGTTGCAATATCATCTCTTGATATAGAAATATTAATATTTGGTGATGAGGGGTTAATAAGTAAAAAAAAATAAAAAATAAAAATCAATTTTAAAAAAAATCATAAAATATCAACTTTGTTTATTTCTTATTCAATAACTACTATTATAAATAGAATAGAATCGATTCTATTCTATTTAATTCCTATTAGTTTGGAGTCCGATAATTAGAACAAAGATTTAATCGCTACCACCGTCTTTCCAAATAGTTTGATGAATCTATATCTTCCAAACTCTTTCCACGGAGCCATTGCTATATTTCCCCCGTCATTGAAATTATTATCTGCTCTTAGTATGGATTACTCTCTTACTCAAAAATCGGTTAATCAATATAATTCCTTTAGAAATGGTATCACATAAAATTTCTAAACCTAATGTCAGGTTTATAACATTCATCAAGCAAATAATCGGTAGAATTCCATAAACAGTAGATGAAATCACTGTATAAGTGTATGATATCAAATAAAAAGAAAGAAGATTATCTCATCATCCATTTGTTTTGTATGGAAATTTTCAAACTGAAATCATAGCAACTATTTATAGCTTAAACCTTTAAAAAAAATATTGAAATAAAATAATACATTTGTTTATTTTTTTTAGCAAATCTATTGGAAATTTTAATATCATAGTATTTTTGATTTACAATACAGAAGCACAAACTTTAATACCCAAGATACCTAAGACATTGGCGAGAATGTTCAAATTGATAAGTGATTCTGTTGCATTAGATGATTGTCCAATGGAACCGTTTCCATTGATTCCAGATACCATCAATTCATTCTTGTAAGTTTGGTTTGATTGAACTGATGAACCGAGTTTTGTGATTGATGCTATTTGATAAAAAAATATAAAAATTAATATAATATTATTCTAAAAATATAAGAATTATTTATTTCCATACCAATTAAAGTCATTTTAGATTTTTATTTTAGATTATAGAATTAAAATATATTTATTTATTTATATTAGATTAAAATAGAGAAAAGATTTCTATTTATAGTATTTGGACAAGAACAAATTTTAATTTTTTATTTTAATTAAATAAATTCCGTTTATTTTGCGATGTATTTAAAAAACCAGTACTTTCAAATAATTTTTATCAATAGATTGTAGATCATATTTTTTTAAAAAGAGATTTAATTTCATTATTCCCAGGTTATATTATAACTTTTTTTTTTTGAAATTAGATAGTCTGATTTAATATGATTTTAATATATCGGTAATAAGATATTTCAGATATGATCAAAGGTATTGATCAGATTTCAATAGACAATGATATATAACATTGTGATTGAAAGACACAGTGATACATCAACACACAACACTCACACAAAAAATTACTCAACCAACTCAAAATGATGACAATTATTTTTAAAAAAGGAAATTTTTATAACCCACTCTATTTTTGTATTAAATAACATTTCAATCAGTCAGTGTACTTTTTCTTTATCAGTGCACATTTTTTTTTAATTTACTCTTATCTTTATCAGTTATACAAATATTATTATCAGAGTTATATCAAAATATAAATCAGATTGTTTATACCCAATATTTTTTCAAAATCAAAAGTAACTTAAATACTAGGCCATTAACTGAAATGATTGGTTTGAAATTTGTTGGATATGGGAATCGAAACATTCATTTTATAACCAACATATCTTGACACCCGAGAATACTTTGATGATCTAGATTCTAGATTCTACAAGATTTTACCGTTCATCTGATCATGCTAAATGATATAATTAAGAAACTATAAATACATGGTTTTGGTCTTTAAGTTTCAACATCAAATCAAAGTAAATTATAAAATATACTATATACTTACAATCAAAACTATCTAAAAATGACTTTAATTGGTATGTAATTCACCGTAATAAACACTAATACAACATATTATTAATCTATTTTATTATTATATCTAACTAATAATATTATAATACTTTAGCTTCAATTACTAAACTCGGATCATCAGTCCAAGCCAATCAAACAACAATGAATGAAATAATGTTGAACAACAGTAACAACACTTTGACTGGCCAATCATCCAACTCAAATCAATCACTTGTTGATTTGAATATACTTGCTACTGTCTTGGGTATTTTGGGAATCAAAATTGGTGCCACTGTATTGTAAATCAAATTATCAATAATCATTGTAAACAAACCACGTTAACTACCAATAGATTTGGTCAAAAAATAAATGTATAATTGTATTAATACAAATTTAAAAATAATTATTGTTTCATAAAATTTGCTTAGATATAATATTTTCTTCCCAGTATTTATTTAAATGAAGTTTCATCATAAACTATTTCAAGTGTGTTATTGATTTCAGTGTCACTGTTAGTTGAAGTCAAATGTTGTTGTTGTTGTTTTTGTTGTTCTTTTTCTAGTTCAAGCTTTTCATCGTAAATAATTATCTCCTCAACATTGATAGTTGATGAAGACGACACAGATGACAATTCAATCGTTTCTACATCTTCATCAATACTATTACTTTTATCCGATGTCATCATATCTGTACTAGTTGAATTGGTTATTAATTCAATCTCTATTTCAGAGTTATTACCATTTTCTGTTATTATTACTTCTGTTATACCTTCTTCCACCTCCACTTCATCTTCATTTACAATATCATTAACTTTTTCATTATTACTATTATTATTAATACTATTACTACTTATGTTTGTTGTTGTTGTTGTTGTTGTAGTTGGTGAAGAAGGTGATGATTCGAAATGATCTAATTTCTTGTAGAATAAAACGTAGGCTTCGTTTGACATGACTTGCTCCAGTGAGCTTAGACGTGAGGTGCTATCGGATACGTAGTACCACTGACCGGTAGTGTCGTCGTAGATGTGTGCAACGTAGTGACCACCACCCATTCCTCCCATGTGCTCGACAACACCATTCAATCGATAGCGATGTGACTCTCTGCTGGTCGAAGCAGACGACTGATCGGTGAACGCTGTCAAATCCAACACCAATGGATAAGAGATACGCTTACCATCCTTTTGGAATCCATTTCTCGATGTCTGCATGAATCTCTTCAATTGAATCGTCAAATAAGGTGGTGTATTTGCAAGTAGATATTGTTTACTTGCATTTCTTCTAATGATAACTTCTTCTTCTTCTTTTTTCTTCTTACTATTATTATTATTACTATTACTATTTTGATTATTACTATTATTTTTATTCTTTTTCTTTTTCTTTGATTGTGTTTGTTGTTGCTGTTGTTGTTGTTCAGGTGGTGATTGTGGTAGTTGTTCTTTTTCTTTTTCTAATTCTTTTTCTTTTTCTTTTTCTAATTCTTTTTCTTGTTCTTTTTCTTTTTCTTCTTTTTCTTCTAATTTACTATCATTACTGTTGGTTGATTCTATTTCAGTTGATTCTGCTGTTGATGTTGCTGTTTCTGTTGTTATTATATCTGTTGCTGTTGCTGTTGTTGTTATTGTTGATTTCTCGTCATTATTAATTATGCTAACATTGTCATCTGTAATGATAATGTCATCTTCTTCTTCGATTTGACCATTTGCCAACTTTTTACAGTGTGGACAAATGAAACCATTTTCTCCCTCCAATTTTTCGGGATTTGTGAATTGCATGAGACAAGCCAAAAGATTATCCATCATCTTGGCTTCAATAGGTAGGTTCTTTCTTAGATCTGTTGGTTCATCCTTTACATCTTTGTCACTGTCCTTCTTAGTACTATTGTCATCTGTTGTTGTTGTTGCTCCTGTAATAGATGGTGACGATGTAGTTGATGATGAGATATCGATCTTCTCGAAATCCTTAATAATTGAAGTAGCCGATGCCGACTCTGCTGTTGACTCGACCGATGACAATGCCGATGAGACAGGCGATGCTTTACTCTCGTAGTCATCAATGACATTGTAACTAGACAACTGTTGTTCTGTATGGTAAGAAGTATCTTTAGCTGTTGTTGTTGTACTCTCTACACTATTATTCAAATGTATGAATCCAGATGTAGAATCATTCAAATTGTCTGGCTTATCATTACTCTTTTCTTCTTCTGTCTCGCCTTCGACATCTGAATTAACAGAGTCGTAGACAACTCCTATAACGCCAGTAGCAGTTGACTCGATGATTGGCTCCAACGCAGGTGGTGTTGACATCTCCAACTTTTCATCGGTGGTGATGCTGCTCTCATCCTGTGGAAGTGGATCTAACACAGATAGCGATGCGCCATTTGGTGAATTGATAACTTCATATCCTTCTGCATCTGTCTTTGAACTATCATCATTGTTGACATTCGATGAGATGATTGTCTCGATTTCAATACCATTTGTTGTGGCTGTAACCGCTTCTGGCTTGTCAGAGAGTAATGGTTCAATGTCAGCACCGACTGGCTCATCTGACAACGATTGGTATGCTGCCAACTCCATTTCCTTACCCTCCTTTCTTCTCTGCTTCTTGAGTTGTGACTTTGACAGTGTTCTTGGTGCAGAATTCGATTTCTTTTCTTCGACCTCTTCTTGTTCGTCGTCTTCATCATCCGATTGCAGACCAAGATCTGCAAAACTTGGTTTAACAACCTTGCCACCACCGCCACTACTCTTACTTCCACCACTACCGGAACGATTTCCACTGGAATGACTACTACTATTTGCCAATGCCTTTCTCTTTATCTCTTGAATATTGATAGCTGCATAGGGTAGCGGTAACGAAAGATCCAAGAACGGTTCATGTGTTTTCGATACGTATCCACAGTGGAAACAAGTGATAATACTTATCAACCGTCCACCAAATATCTTATCAATGTAGGTCGGATCACGCTTATTCTTTGTAGCTTCCTGCTCCTCCGATATCAAACCATCCAACAAATGTATCAACAATTCATGTGCATCCTGTTGTCTAAATCCAAGGAATCTAGGTGCTCTTTTAATAGATTATCATTAGTCATTGTTTAAATGAAAAGAAAACAAAACAAAACAAAACGGAAAACAACTTACTTTTTACATATTTCAGTAAAGAGTGAATGTGGAGAGATATAAGGTGAGTTTAATTTATACATCTTTGTGAAGAAGTGATGCATTTCAACGGTGAGTGGTCCGTTTGATTTCACCGGGTTGTTACTGATGCTAGAAGTACCGGGTGGCACTAAGAGTACGTCTCTTAGTGCATTGATATGAGTGAGATTCTGCATGATCGAGTTGAAGAAGCATGTATTACCGAGATTCTGCAATCCTTTGATGCCACTGCTGATCTCCTTCTTTGACGCAGCTCTAGCGATTTCCGCGTGTTCTTTTGCACGCTCCGCTGCCACTGCCCATTGTGCAACCTTACACACCGAACATTCCAATGGTTTGCCACTCACCGAGTTACCAGTGCTCTTCTTTGCACTCAGCTGCAATTCACTTAGACAACTCTAAATAGATTGTTATTATATGATTTTTAATAATGATGCAATGTTAGTTAGTTAGTTGTTTGTAGCAAATAAATAAATGGTAACTGATTGATACAAACAGTACAATAATAATTTCCATCAATTATTTTAAGAGTTATTGTATTTCCTCTTTCATCTATTTCAACGGTGATTTGATCTTTTTTGTTTCCACTGCCACTGCCACTTGATGAATTACCAGATGATGAATGATGATTTCCTCCTTCACTTTGTTTCTTTTTCGATTGTTGTTGAACAAGTGGATGTGCTGCTTGTTTCTTTAACTTTTTCTTTTTATCTTTTCCTTTTCCTATTTAATTTTAAAGTGAAGATATAATATATACATATAGTAGTTCAACAACAATAGTATCAAGACGTTAGTTCAATATATTATTTCAAGAAATTAATAAATATTATCAAATTCATACCCATATTATTTATTAAGAAATTAATTTAATAATAGTTGTCAACTTCAAGTGTTGTTCTTACTATATATTTATATAAAAATGATAAAAATATGATAAAAAAATAATAATAAATAGTATTAAAATAAAATAAAAAAAAACAATTAAAATATTAATTATTCATTCAAAAAAAAAAAAAAAAACTCATTATGATCAACAAATTTTCATTTAAAATATTAATTATTCACCTAAAAAAGAAAAAAAAAAAAAGAAAAAAAAGATTATTATTTATATGTGTATTTTTATTTATAACAATAATGATGTTCTATATAATTTAAACTTAGACATTCAAATTTAGTTCTTGATTTTATTTTTTTTGATATTTTTTGTTTTACAATGCAAGTTTAAATATAAATATCTTGTTTATTTGGTTTTTAACTGGTACCAGGTTTTAATGGTTTGATTATAATTTTGATCAAATGAGAAAGACCGAAAGGTATCGCCATTGATTGATTGGGGTGTTTTTTAAAAAAAAAACAGAAAAAGTCTCCAATGTTATTCAACAACAAAATTTTTCCATCGAAAAATTAAAAAATGTCACAAAAAATAGTATTAAATCTGTGTGTTTGTTGAAGAAATGAAAACCCCATTTGTTTGTTGTTTATCATCATGAAACTCCAATAAAATAAAAATAAATCAAACAAACAAACACACACAACTAAATTTGTTGATAGATTTAAAAAGGCAGAGTTTTTTTTTTTTAAATTAATTTTTAAAAAATAAAATAATTTAAAAATATCACATTCATTTCATTTCATTTCTTTTCATTCATTCACATTCAAATACAATTGTTGTTGTTGTTAATTTAATTGCATAACAAACACACACTCACAACACACTCTTAATAGAATACACACAGTCTTGTCTTGTCTATCTTTAAATATATATATTAAGGAAAGATTAACTAAATAGATGAACAGTTTTTGTAATTGTGATTAGTTCTATTTCTATTTTATAAACAAACATATTACACATTATATATTATATATTAAATTTATAAAAAATAACAACTTTAAAATATTATTTGTTTACATAATCAATCAAGAGTAATTAATCAATCAATCAATCATTCAATCTTTTTATTATAAATAATACTAGTATTTATTAAACATTTGAAAGGAGATTTTAAAAAGTAACTAAAAAAGTCAAAGTTAAAGTAAAAAATAGAAATAATTATATTACAGAAGTTGTTTTACAATTTAAACAGGTCATATTCTTAGAAATGGTAAGATCTCCCTCGAAAAAACATCATATTTATAATAATAGTCAGATTATAGATAATATTAAGATATTTTTTGAATTTTTTATTATTTTTTATTATTTTTTTTTGAAAAGACACAAAAACACACACATTCAATGAACTACTGCGAACTAACTTTGTTTATCATCTATTTTTAAAACATCTTAGGAATCATCATCATCATCACCATCAGTAGAGAAACCAGAATGGAAACCAGATCAAAGTGCATTGGAATGCACCAGTTGCAAGTCACCATTCACTTTAATTAGAAGAAGAGTAAGTCAATTGTGTTTTATATTATTATTATTATCATACATTTTTAGTTAACTTTTCTTTATTTTTTGTATTTTAGCATCATTGTAGAAAATGTGGATCAATCTTTTGTGATCCATGTTCAAATTTCTACTCTGTTTTACCAGCTGAATTTGGATACAGTGGACAACAGAGACTTTGTAAATCATGTCATTCATTCTTTGAACAAAAGAGACAATTCTTTGGTATGTTGTTTTGTTTTGTTATTTTACTTTTCATTTTGATCAAAATGTGCATTATTGACTAACAACTAATTTGATTCAACATTCGATTCGATTCAATTTTAAAGATACCGATGCAATTGTTGCACAATTACAATTGAGATCATCCTCAAACTATGAATATTCAAAGCCACTGAATGATATTGGTAATACAAAGAATGGACTACGCAAATCATATATCCTATCGAAACACACTGGTTCTGGTGATGAGTATCTTATCACTGTTACAACACCTGGAACTACATGTCCATGGCCAATGAACTCGGAGAAGCACAAACAAAAATTCATAAAGACAGTACTAGCTTTGAAACACAAATACATCTATCCAGTATCTTCTGTAGAGATAGCTGGTTCCAACGATAAAGTATTTCTATTCAAGAAATATTGTTCAAAAGGAAGTTTAAAAGATATTATTTATAAAGTAAGTGCTCTTTTAAACTTTGTTGTTATTGTTTAACTTGTGGAATATATATACTTATAATATATCTTATCTAATTATGTATAATAGGCAAAACCATCAAATGTTTACGATTCAAAATATACACATAGTTTAAAGAAATCATATTCCACTGGAGTGACAGTTAAATTGATGCCTAGATACGGTAGACAATTGTTGGATGCACTGATATATTTGAAGCAGCGGGGTATTGCTTTTACACATCTACACTCTGGTAATGTTCTTTTCAAAGACGACACTTGCTATCTCACAGACGTTGAGAATAGCTTGCTCGGTCTCAAGCCATATTACTATGAGTATATCAACGGCAAGGAGAATGCCGAGGTGATTTGTTTCGGTCATGTCATGTTTGAGTGTATCGTTGGTGTTCCACTAGCAGAGATACCAATCGGTAATTTCGCATCGGTCATTCCCGACAACGTGATGGAACTACTGAAATTCATATTTGTCGATGCCAATCGCACCAATGTTTCACTCGAAGATCTGGTGAAACATCCGTACTTCAATCAGGTCAAGATCGAAGATAGTTCGGCAACCGACGGCAAGCTGAAGAAATCGCAGTTGGCGTTCGTCAAGGACTATTGCAATCGCGTCGAGCAACCGGCGGTCTCGCCAAGAGGACCAGGTGTAATGAAGAAGCAGGCATCGTCGGCATCGATGTTTGGCGACACTCCATCGTCGTCGCACTCCAGTAGTGGCACCTCGACCTACTCCACCACAAGCACTGCACCACCACAGCCATCGTTCTCGACACTCCCACCAAAGGCATCGACATCGTCAACCAATCTCTTGAAATCAGCAAACAAACTATCGTCATCGACCGATTTGAATCAACTAAAGACAAGTACAGCTGCACCAGCGCCACCACCTCCACCAGCACTATCGGGTGGAGCTGCACCACCACCTCCACCTCCACCACCCAAAGCAGCCAAAGGTAAGTTGATAATTATCATTTATAAATGAATCCCAAAACTTAACTTTTCATTTTATTTAATCATTTGTTCAATCAATTTTTAGATCTACCAAAACAAGAAGGTAGAAACGCACTTTTGGATTCTATCCGTAACCCTAACAACTTTAAGAATCTAAAGAAAGCTCCACAGGCATCACCATCAAAATCGAGTGGAATCAAGAAAAAGAGATAGAAGATATAAACAAATATACATTATACACTTTTTTTAGTTTACCAATCAATAAATTCAACAGTTTATTATGGAATACTATATAGCTAAAAATTATAGATATCTTAATCTTCTTGTTTTACAAAAAAAAAGATTTATTTATTTTTATTGTATTGTTTGGTCACCTTGGTGTGATCGAAAAAACCAAAGAAGTCCAAATGTAGGCGGTTGTAAAATACCTGTATGTTCTTTCTCGCTAGGTCCAAGATTGAGCACTTCAACTAAGTTGCATTGTGGATGGAACAGTTATCCATTGCCAGTATGTAGTTTGCTCTAGCGAACCCATGGAAGATATGAGTGTCATTCAAAGCTCTTCTCGATCGAATCTTGGTACCATATTAACACCAAACATATTGTATCACACGCCACTCACAGAAATGGATAAATACACGCCACAAGCAAGCATCACGCATTCTAAACGTAGTAGTTGAGTGAATGAATGTATGCATCTTCGAGTATCTCAGTATATTGTTCCTGTCTGCTTCTAGGTGATCACCCAACAGGTCTTCTTGGATTTGAGCAATCACTTGTTCCATAGTACCACCATATCTGCGCCAGATCCCTAGTCCTGGCAGCCCCTTCTCCTTGCTTGTGACACTCTTACGAAAGGTTCTTTTCTTCTTATACACTTTCTTGTCTGCATACTTGGTACCCTCTAGAATTTTATCTGAAGCACCTTTTCTGAGGGTACCTTCTATTTCGCTTATAAATCCTTCTCCCAATCGAAGTTTCGATTTCACCTTCATGATACAGGTATTTTACGACCACCTACTACTCTCTGAACACAATTCTTTAGTTTTGTGATCACACCACCAACAAATAAACAACAAACAAATAACAATAAATAAAATAAACAACAACAATTTCAAACCGTAAAAACTCTTTTTGGAATAAAAAAATGTATCATAATATTATGTATGAATTTAGCAATTGAATCAACGTTGATTATTTATGTAATTTACTTTATGACTAACTTTTGTATTAGCTAAGATAGTCTAAAATTAAATCAAACAAAGAGAATCAATAAATGAAAATGAATATGAATTCAAATTAGTTTTTTTCTTCAACAAGTAAATTGTTGTTTATCAGAACACTTCAGAGTTTCTTTCTTTTAAACCATCAAATTTTAATTTTAAAAAGTTTTTTTTTTATTTTTTTTGAAAATCAGTATTTTTTTTTATTTTATTCCATGACCCCGTTCTTAGTTTTAAAAGCACAACGGGGTGAAAGTTAACTTTGATTAACACTAAATAATTCTTTATCTTTTAAGTTTTTATTTAATTTAGTTGCTTTCTATTTATTTATTTATTTATTTTATTTGTTGTTGTTGTTGTTGTTATTGTAAATTAATATTAATATTAATATTTATCATCTTTTTTTCATTCATTTTTTTTGTTTCAAATTACTTTTTACTACTATTCTGAAAAAAGTTTTTTTATAGTTTAGTATATTATTGTAGATTATTATAATATAGATTAGTGTAGTGTATCAATCAATTTTTTTTTATTTTTAAAAAGTATTTCATTTCATTGCATTTCAGCTCAGTTCAATTAAGTTCAGTTTCTAAATGTTAAATTCTATATATCAGAGATCAATAGGTATGTAGTAGATATTGTCATTGTCATCATCATCATCATCATCACCACCACCATCATAGTCTTCAATATTAATAGATGATCATTAAATTTTAGGTAAACCAAAAGTAGAATGGTCATCGACATTATTGGAACATCCAGCACAGCTATTCTTCTCATTGAAAAGTCTGAAAGGATTGAAAACCAATGAGGAATCTATTAAAATATATTGTTTAGCATCATTGGAGAAACAAACCATTCAAACTACAACTCTCACCATAAACAAAAATACAGATCATATCGAATGGAATGAAGGTTATACATTGTAAGTGTTGATAATAATATGTTGAGATCTGATTTGATCAGATCATCATCGTCGTCATTCATAATCATTACTAATTGATTCATTTGTTCATTTCATTCATATTAATCAACAGTGATGTTATATCACCTTCATCAGAGTTATTATTATCAATATGGCAAACAAGTGTAAATAACAACAGTAACAGTAACAACAACAGTAATAATGGTAATGAAAATGATAATACAGACGATCCAATGTCAATCGATAGAAACAGTTTACCAAGATCTAATTTCATTTTTAATTATCAACATTCTGGTAAACTTGTTGGTCGTCTCTCCATCCCATTCTCAATGTTTCAAACACAGTTTATCGATCAATGGTTCCCTCTTACCGTTGGACAAACCAACTGTTCACTACATCTAAAACTAAGTTTTACCAATTCAAATGTAAATTTAACCAAACAAAACAAAACAAACAAAACATCAGTTATTAATAGTTATTTGATCAAACCCCTTTAGAATAAGGTAACACTGGATGATTTCATGGTTTTAAGAATGATTGGAAAAGGTGGATTTGGACACGTCAATCTGGTGCGAAAGATCGACACTGGCCGGCTGTACGCAATGAAAGTGGTGAAGAAAGAGAAATGTTTGGATTTGAATGCGGTTCAACATACTTTTACAGAGAGGAAGCTGCTGAAGAAGTACTACCATCCGTTCATCGTCGGTCTGAAGTACTCGTTCCAGACACAGGACAGTCTGTGTATGGTTCTCGATTATATCGGGGGTGGCGAACTCTTCTATCACATCAACGAGCGTGAAACCTTCTCAGAGGACACCGCTCGATTCTATATCTGCCAGATCATGCTGGCCATTGGATTTCTCCATGAGCACGGAGTGATCTACCGCGACCTCAAGCTTGAGAACCTGCTGATGGATCTCGATGGCAATCTGTGTCTAGTCGACTTTGGACTGTGTAAGGAGGGTGCCAAAGAAGGCATGCCCACCTACACCATGTGTGGCTCGCCAGAGTACATGGCACCGGAGACCATCTCTGGAACTGGCTACGGTAAGTCCGTTGATTGGTGGGCACTAGGTACTTTATTCTATGAAATGGTTATTGGATTGGTAAGTAGCGATAATCAATCATTGTTATCCTATCCTTTATTTCTCATTATTAACATCGATGTCGACATTGTTATTTATTATAGCCACCATTTTATTCTGAGGATCCACATGAAATGACAAAACTTATACTTTCAGCACCCTTGAAATTCCCACCTGGAATATCAAAGAATGCAACCAGTTTGATTTCGATGTTGTTGAATCGTGATCCATCTAGGAGATTGGGTTCCGGTGAATCCGACGTTGAGGAAATCAAATCACATCCATTCTTTAGATCTATCAACTGGACAAAAGTATTAAACAAAGAGATAGATCCTCCATTTAAACCACATCTTGTAAGTGTTGTTTGTTAACAAATTTAACAAGTTAGCTAGTTAATTAGTAGTTACTAATTTTTCATTATTATCGTTGTTTGTTTTTAGAATGGACCACTGGATCTATCTTATTTCGATCCACTTTGTACAATTCATTCATTACCAATCAATCCAAATAGCTATAATAACAATCTGTCAGAGACTGACCAGATGGCGTTCCAAGGTTTCTCTTATTCCGCTCCAGAGTTTTTCAATTTGACATCGTCCATAAGTGGAGGTGGTAATAATAGTGGTGTGGTTGGTGCAACACCAAACAGTGCAGTTTCATCACCTAGTTTAATGCGATCCAATCAGAATACACCACCAAATGTACTGCGATCGAATAATAACTCACCTATGACCATTGTACAATCAACACCACCAATCTATAGTTTTACATCGATATCACAACAACATCATCAACAACAACAACAACAATTTAACAACAGTCCATCATCGGCTCAAAGCACACCTTCTTCTCCACCACCACCGAATCCAACTATAAAACAAAACGGTAGTTGGGTACAACCTCAGTATCCACATCTTCACCAGCCACCTCCCACTGAAGCCACTCTTTACCAAACTCCAAGAACGTAGAAGATCCGCTTCAGTCAACGCCCAAACACAATTCACACTTGCATTGGGTCCAGATGATGAAGATAATTAAATCAATCAACAATCAACTAATCAATTCAATTCAATTAATTATCAATCAATCAATCCTGCAAAATATATATCAGTGTATTATAATCATGATATATACAACAACAAACAACTCCTTTGTATTCTCACGCACAAATAATAATGCCAACACAAACGTTACACTATGAAAATTGCAATTTTATAAAAATGAAAAAAATTAACAATTTCAAAAAAAAAATCACAAAAAAAAAAATTTGAATTTTTTGTTCTCTGTTGGAAGTTCTTCATTGTTATTAGTTTTTTTTTTGTTTAGGTGTATTTTATCGATTCTTAATTTTTTTACTTTAACACATAAAAAGTATTAGATTTTAGATTCATCAAAATCACTATATATATATATTAATAAACTAAATTAACTAAAGAGATTAGATTATTAAACTATTTAATATATAATAATAGTAAAAACAAACTAGAACAAGATGAGTTTAGCATTCGATGATTATGGTCGTCCTTTTATCATTATAAGAGAACAACAAGCCAAGGAGCGTTTAAAGGGTATCGAAGCGCACAAATCACATATCATGGCAGCCAAGACCATCGCTAATATAATGAAGTCGTCGCTCGGACCCAAGGGTATGGACAAGATGATCGTTTCTCCGGATGGCGACGTCACCGTTACCAATGACGGTGCCACCATTCTCGAGAACATGCAGGTCGACAATCAAATCGGAAAGTTGTTGGTACAACTCTCAAAGTCGCAGGACGACGAAATCGGTGATGGTACCACCGGTGTCGTTGTGTTGGCCGGTTCCCTCTTGGAACAGGCGGAATCGTTGATCGAGAAGGGTATCCACCCATGTCGTATCTCCGAGGGTTACGAAACCGCTTGTCGTATCGCCATCGAACATCTCCAAACCATCTCTGACCGTATCGATTTCACCAAGGAGAATTTGGAGCCATTAGTTAAAACTGCTATGACTTGTTTAGGTTCAAAGATGTAATGTATCAAATATCAACAAAATAATATACTCTACTTGTTCAAAAAAAAAAACGATTATTAATATATTGTTTATGTTGGCTATTATTATTATTTTAGTGTTAATCGTTTCCATCGTCAAATGGCAGAGATTGCAGTAAAGGCTGTATTGTCGGTTGCCGATCTCGAAAGAAAGGATGTAAACTTTGAAAATATCAAACTCGAAGGAAAGGAGGGTGGTAAACTCGAAGATACAAAGTTGATTAATGGTATTATCATTGACAAGGGTATCTCTCATCCACAGATGCCAACTGAAATTAAAGACGCAAAGATTTGTTTGTTGACATGTCCATTCGAACCACCAAAGCCAAAGACAAAGGTAATTAATTATCAATTAAACAAACAGATAGATTAGATAGATGATAATCAATATATTAACTAACTTTAATCAATATGTGTTTGTATAATAATAATCATTTTTTAGAATACATTGGAAATCACAAATGCAGAGGATTTCAAGAAATTGAGTGATCTCGAAAAACAATATTTCATTGATATGGTTCAAAAAGTAAAGGCTACTGGTGCCAATCTCGTCATTTGTCAATGGGGTTTCGATGATGAAGCCAATCATTTGTTGTTACAAAATAATTTGCCAGCCGTCAGATGGGTCGGTGGTTTGGATCTTGAAAAGATTGCTATGGCCACTGGTGGTCGTATCGTTGCTCGTTTCGAAGATGTCAGTGCCGACAAGTTGGGTCGTGCCGGTTTGGTAAGAGAAATCGGTTTCGGTACCACCAAAGATCGTTACTTGAGCATCGAACAATGTCCAAACACAAACGCTGTCACCATCTTTGTTAGAGGTGGAAATAAGATGGTATGTAGATATAGATATAGTTTGTAGATAGATAATTTATTGGAATCATAATTAAACTAAAATCATTATTATTATTTAGATTGTTGATGAAGCCAAAAGAAGTATTCATGATGCTTTGTGTGTCACTCGTAATCTCATCAGAGACAACCGTATCGTTTATGGTGGTGGTAGTGCAGAGATTAGCTGTGGATTGAAGATCTCATCAAAGGCTGACGAAATTCCAACCATTGAACAATATGCTGTCAGAGCTTTCGCTGATGCTCTCGAAGCTATTCCAATGGCTTTGGCTGAGAACAGTGGTTTACCACCAATTGAAACTTTGTCAACCATCAAGGCACAACAAGTAAAGGAGAAATCTGCTATTCTTGGTGTAGATTGTAATCTTAGAAATACAAACAGTAAGTTGAATTAAATATATATATATGTTACATGATCACTCTTCTAGCATAACTAACTAACAAAACAAACCAATCTATTATTATAAAGATATGAAAGAACAATTTGTATTCGATACTCTCCCAGGTAAAACTCAACAATTCCTTTTGGCAAATCAAGTAGTAAAGATGATATTAAAGATTGACGATATTATTAGAATTAATGCTGACGAGGAATAAATCAATAATTATTGTCATTTAAAAAATAAAAAACCAAAAAAAATACAAATATATTATACACTTGATCATAGTTCTATTCATCTTTATTTATCTTTTCAGTAGAAATAATTTCTTCTCTACAAAAGAAACAAACTTTCTTTGTCAATAGTTGTCTTGTTACGCAGTGCTGACAAGAAGAGTGTTTGCAAGGATTGAAAATGACATTGGCATCATAAGAGTAACAAATATTACAAAGATTATCCGAACCTCCAGTTGATGTATTCAATGATTTCTTTTCATCGTCCTAAAAATATTAAGTTTGTTAGTTAGAATGATTGTTTATTATTCAAATATATAAGCTCTTTCAACAAACTTACAATAATGGATTGGAAAAATTTAATGATTTCTCTTTTCTTTGGTTGTGTAAAGTCTGGACTACAATTGACATCCGTCAGCATTTGAATGACTTTGGGATTAACTTTGGTGATAGTTTGTTTCAGTGAGCAACCTTCTTTGGAACTCTTGTTTAAGAAATAAATGGATGGTAACATATTAACAAAAGTTATATAATAAACATTATCTAAAAAAAAAATAAATAAGTTGTGTTAGTTTAAATGTTGTTGGTTATAAATAAATGATTAGTTAATTAAATACCTTTAGAATTTGGATGTAATAGTAGTTTATCTAAAATATACATAATAAATTGACCTGTAATTAATAATGATGTTTCATTACCAGTGATAATATGTGGTAGATTAGTGCAAAGATAATTGAACATCTAAATTTATGATTAAAGCAAAATAGTTGTTAGTGATAATTATTTAATGTTTATAATAAATAACAACTTTTATACTTACTCTAAGTCTAAGTGGAATTTCATGTTTTGAACTAATATTTTCTGATAGATTGGAAAAGATGACATTTAAAAGTTTCAACAAGCAACTTGGATTTTGCAAACAAATCTCACGGAAATGTGTTACAAATGTATCGAATTTTCTTGTACACAAGAAGGTGAGAAGATCGACATCCATATCAGTGAGTCCTTCCAGCAGCATATGAATGAAATGGCTGAAATTTTGATGTGATGAAATGATTGGATGGAATATTTGTCTCTTTAAGAATTCACAAACAGTTTCTGTAGTTGCTTTCATAATTTCTTTAAATATATAAAGTATTAATAAATCGCTATTATAATTATTAAACTAACCAACCAACTTACCTCTATCAACAACAGATCCATGTTTTTTCAAAACCAATGCCAAAATATTGTTTGTTGTTTCAAAGTTCAAGTTTTGGAAAGTTGATTTCAGATTCCAACCAAGTAGATAGATAAAGGTTGATAGTGGTGTAAGGATGGTGTTATCATAGAGATATTCAAAAATTGGTTGTTCCAAATTCTCTGTGATCAAACCAATAGTGAATGTCAAATGTTTCCAAAGATATTCGTAGTGCTCTGACTTTTCGAGCATTTCAGTTCTCAAGTAATCCGCTTTCAATTGTGTCGCTTCTTGTGATGATTTAACTTTTTGATAATCAGCCTGAAAAAAAAAATAGAAATGAATAAATATTCTAGAATCTTTTCCAATTATTATTACTTCTATACATACATAATCAAAAGCTCTATCTAATTCTCTCTTTTCAATTTTAGATGCAGCATCTAGTTTCTGTATCAATGTTAGATATGAACAGAAACTCAGCTGTAGTAGATCTATGGAATAAAGATAGAGAGTTTGTTTCAAATCTAATTTAGGTTCACCAGATTCATCATATTCATTGATAACTATATTCTTTTTCAAATAAGAATAAACACCACCAACTCTTTGTCTTTGTGGTTCAGACTATATTAATTAATGAATAGTTAGTTAGTTAGTTAGTTATTATATATTGATATGTTGTTGTCATTGTTTACTTACGAAATAGAAAATAGAGATTGGGAATGATTTAGTATTTCTAGTATCCGATAAGTATGTATCCAAATACTCTATGATAATGAAAAACAAATTATTTAATGTAGTAATCTCTGTTTGTTCTACTAAAGTGTTTTGTGCCTATTTATTAACCATTTTAAATATTAATATCATAAAATATTGTATAAATATACATATATGTTATTAAAATAATACATACAACTCTCTTTGAATAAGTAAAAGCTTGACTAATACAATGACTTATCCACTTTAAAAAGATATCACTGCATACTTCATCATCGATAATATGTCTAAACATATCTACTTGTAATTCTCTTTCATCTTTTTTCCTACAAATAAATCTCTACAATATGTTTGTTTGTTTGTTTGTTAATTATACATATAGTTGTACAAACGTTTAAAAAACAAAGTAATTATGCTAGCATTTATAAATACTTACATTCTCTAATGTATTAGAAGCTACTGAAATTGCAGGTTGATTCTGAAGAAACTCCAAGAATATAAGTGGTCTCTGACTGAACATCAAATCCAATACATCGAATATATTTTGATAGGTAAAAAGTGAGTGTCGCAACAATGTTATTGAGACCATCGATCGCAATATCAAGAGTGGATAGAAATTAGTGGATGCTGTTTTTGTTCTATTTAGATATAAAGCTCTACTGAATAATATATTAAACAATTCTTCTGAATTAGCTTCCTATAATATTATATATTAAAGTATTATTATTATTATTAATACATTCTCATATACTTTTTATCTTTATGAGTATAAACTTTACTTACATCATTCAATTGTAATGATTCGAAAAAGGTTTGAAAGAAACTATTTGAAGTCACTGCGATATCCTCTACAATAGGATACATATATTTAAAAATACAATAGTTATTGATAGTTGGTCTTGTTATCTTTAGCAATAGGAATTTAAATAGATTTTCATAGTCTTGAAACTGTATGTATTAGATTGAGTTAGTTATGTTGTTTATATTACTACTACTTTAATTACTTATTATTACTTATTAGTTACTTACATCACTGATGACTCTTAATTTTATTAATCTATATAAACAACTATAGATGTATTTGTAACGAACTAAACGTGATGGGTTGATTTGATGTATTGGTTGTGGTTGGTCGGGACTGAGCAGTGTGAATGGCGTCGAACCAAAGTTTGGAAAACACTTTGCTTTCGGTAACATAATGATTGGAATAAAGAATATAGTTGCACCGGGTGGTACTCCTTCCAAGTTAACATTGATTTTCTGTGTCGATCGATAACTCTCTGACCAAACGGTAATCTCACGACCCTCTATATCCAACTGACACGCTACAACCTCGCCACCCATATAAAGTGTATCTATAGGTCCGACATTCTCAACATGTGCCAAAATATACTCATAATTCTCATCTTCTATTGTTCTATCATTTACTTCCTATATTGTTATAGTTAATATATATATATCAATATCAATAGATATATATTTATATATATGTTCATACATACCTGTAGAGTATAACAACATGACCAACCAACTACTAAACCGCTACGTGATAGTGCAACTTCGAATTGGTGAACACCGGTGGTTACGGGGATCAGCGGTTTGATGCTACTGTGCATCTTTTGGAGTTCCGATATCCACTCGGGGTAGAGCGGTGTATTGAATGCTTGATCCTCGTGCAGATCCGACAGGAAGTATTGACTCGGTCTGTAAGGATAGTACTTATTGAATACCAATGTGAATACGGATTCCAACGTTTCTAGACTATCGATCACCAGAGTACTGGGCAAATTCAATTGAAATATGAATCTGACCAATCGATCGAATGTAATACCCGATAGCTTCTCGTTGTTTACATTCAATTTCCCGATGAATTGACTGAGCTGTTCCTTGACACCTCTGAACTCGGTGAGCGCTGCCAGATCACCAAAGTCTTTGAGTGTGGCAGCGGCATCATCATTCTTTTCAAACCTTGATGGCTTAACAAATCCTTTATTATTTTGAAATATAACCATAACTAAATTTAATTATATATATATATTTGTTATATTTATTGATAATTATTAAATTATTAATAGAAAGTTAACTGTAATTATATAATTGAATAATTCTGATAAAAATTAAAATTAAAATTACAAAAAAGATAATTGAATTTTTTGTTTTTTTTTTTTTTTTTTTTTTGATGGTTGGTAATGACAAAACAATTACCTTAATTTTATAGCAGATTTTAATAAAATAAGAAACAAAACTTAAACAATCAAAGTTTTTTTAAAAGTTGTATGAATGGATAATAACAATATGCCTCATCATCATCAACAACATACAAATGATGTAGATAGTACACCAACTGTAAGTATTGATAATCAATATTATTATGATTTATGTTAAATACCTATTTAGAATTACTTTACTTATATATATATTACTGTTTTGTTTATTATTATTAGAATGAAGAACTAAAACAATTGGTTGACTTTTTAGATCCACTTAAAAATGATCAAATATCATCAGAGAGATTCAATGGTATGCTTTTTTTTATAGATAATAGGATCATATAATCAACCAACCAATAAGTTCATTGTTTATTAACAGTTTGATGTTTGTGTGTGTATTAAATAGCATTATCAAATTTAACACAAACAGAGCTACATAGTCAAATTAGAAAATTAGAAGAATGGGCCTATGTTTTAGGACTTCAAGAAGGTAGCTAATATTATATTATTATATATCCTACATTAATATCTTACTAATTTATATATATCTATAAAACAAACCAAATTAAGTTAAACAAATGGAAAAAGCAAAACTTTTAGGAATTTTAGCAAGTTCATCAACTAGTAGTAGTGAATAATCTAATCTTTATTCAGTAGGATTGTAACAATACATTGTAAAAGAAAAAAATAGAAAAAACAAGCAAAAGGAAATAACAAATAATGAAAATAATATATTATTTATTGTAATAATAATATTATTATTGGAATTAATTGATTTGGAATGGATTGGATAACTATCAGTTAGCCAGGTGTTATGGTAAGAATAGAATATCATCTAAATAATATTCTGTGTTGGTTGTATAGATGGTCGTTTGTAAATTAGATAGATCAACAATGGTTGTAATATTGTTGTTGAATAGAATACAATTGATTGTGAGTTGTAAACTACCGGGTCTGTGTAGTCATATATTAGAGTTGAAAACACTTGGTGGAGCATTGTGACGCTGGCGGTATTGCTATCAAAGTCGATGGCATACAACTCATACGAAACGGTCCTGTTTGGATAGGAGGTGATCTCTACAGCGTAGAGTTGTTGTCCTTGACTGTCAGTGTATGGAACGCCCACGAAAACCGAATCGAAATTGTGGTATTCTAGCATCTCGTACAAACCGTCACCAAATACATCGTAACTAGTTATTCTCCAGGAATTACCGAGCTCCGTTCTAAACAAGATGTAATAGTTACTCTTACCATCGTAACAACCAATACTTGCGTCTGTACTGACTCCAAGATCCAATGGTATCAAATTTCTATTCACACAAAACAAATTGATCAATAACAAATCAATAAATGTTAACAAAACTTCATTTTTTTTCCAAAGCTAGCTTAATATATAACATTAACAACTTACAAACTACTATTCTTGAAATCCCAATTAACGAAATAAGTTTCATTAGAACTTGTGTCTACGTATACGTTCATTACCAATTGGAGTGACGGTTCATATCCAAAAGCAGACTCCCATAATCCAAATTCTTTATCTTCAACATCTAAACCACCGATTTGTTGTGATTCCAGTGTCACATAATTGAATGAAACAATGGTCCAATTACTGTCTTGGTTAACAAGGATATTTACCTATTAAATTAAGTTAAAGTTGTTATTAAACAATCATTAATTTTAATTTCCCAATATAATAATATTTGATTTGATTTGATTTTCAATTTTCCAAACTTACAGCATCTGGATCTACAGAGTTTAGAGTAGTAATAGCTTCTTGATTAACTAAACCCGATCGAATTACCTTTCCCGTGGCAAGTGAAGTTACATTTATAATGGTATTAAAATCGGGATTATAATCCTTATAGAACCTCAACGTTAATACCACCGATGGATTCTGAGCAACAATACAAGTTGTTGTTGTTAAAATTAACAACAAGAACGATATTGATTTATGATTATTTGAATTTATCATTTATTTGTTTGTTTTAGAATATATTATTAATCAACCATCAATTGAATTCATTCCATTTTATATCATCCTACAAATTCAGAATATCGTTTTGACCATTTTGTCGGGGGGTTTAGAAACTAATCAATTAAATTTTTAGTAAAAATTAAAGTTTATATCTCCCTGTTAAAATGAAGTCAAATTCTTTTTCCCCCAAGTGGAAAAGTAAACACCAAGAAAAAATCTTCAAACAAGATAGATCAAAATATTCTTTTATGTTTTTTAAATTTTTATTTTAATAAGTCTTTATTCATGATAAATAAGATTGTATTGTAACAATATTGATATATTTGGATTAATTGGTATTGAATGGATTTGAGAACTATCAGCTAGTGTTATAGTAAGAATAGAGTAACATCTTCAGCATAATCTGTGTTGGTTGTATAGATTGTTGTTTGTAAATTAGATAGATTAATAATGGTTGTAACCAATTGTTGTTGTTGATTGATTGTATAGAATACGATAGATTGTGAGTTGGCAACTGCTGGCACCGCGTAGTAATCGGATCGAGTTGTAAAAGCTTGGTGGAGCATGATGACGTTGGCGGTATTGCTCGAGCTATCGAGGAAGATGCCATACAACTCATATATAGCGGTGCCATTCGTAAAATTAGTCACCTCTACACCGTAGAGTTGTTGTTGTTGGCTGTCCCTGTATGAAACCGCCATGAAAAACTTGTAGAAATGGTGACCTTCAAGCATCTCGTATTGCACTGGTGACAAACCCTTACCAAATATATCGTAACTTGTGATTCTCCAATTTCCAGCCTCTGGGTTAAACAAGATGTAATAGTTACCCTTACCATCGTAACAGCCAACACTATCTACTGTATTGACTCCAACATCCAATTGTATCAAATTTCTACTCACACCAATGAAGTGAAAATACAAATTAAAAAATGTTAACATTTATTATTTTTTTCCAATGTTAAGTTAACTAAAACATAAACAACTTACAAAATACTATTTTTGAAATCCCAATTAACTAAATAAAACTGATGATTGGTCGCCATAACGCTCATCACTAATTGGAGTGATGGTTCATATCCCAATGAAGATGTACTGAATCCAAAGCTTTTACTAGTAGTGAGTTCAGCTACTTTTTGTGATTCCAAAGTTATATAATTAAAAGAAATAAGACTCCAATTACCACTATCAGCTAAGAGATTTACCTATTAAATTGATTTAAGTTGGGATCAACTATCAATTTCCAATTATAAATACAATTTCTTTTGAATTTCTAAACACTTACAGTGTCGGGATCGACAGAGTTTAGAGCTGCAAAAGCTTCAAGATTTACTAAACCCGACGATCGAATTACGTTTCCAGTTGCTAATGAAGTTACATTTATATCGGTATTATGGTGATAATTCGGTCTGATGGATAAAACCATTGATGGATTTCGAGCAATAATTGAAGTTGTTGTACATAATATCGAATTCATTCATTTCAAGTATGGATTGTTGGCATCTATGACTGTTTCTCATCAAAAATGGTCACAATAACATCAACATGATTTATTGTTTTTCTACTTTTTTTTTTTTAATAAGTTTTATTGAATAAAATTATTATTGTTAACTTTTTTAAAAAAGAAAAGAAAACAAATAATAAATATTTATTAGATATATTATAATAATTATAAATTGACATTTTATGGTAAGAACATTGAAACATCTTTGTTATAGAAATCTGTCGAGGTTGGATAAACTGTTGTTTGTAAATTAGCTAGCCGTACAACAGTTGTAACCAATCTTTGACGTTCATCAATAGTATAGAATACAATTGATTGGGAGTTGGTAACGAATGGTGTCAATCGGGAATCATAGTCAGTGGAATATACTTCGTGGAGAAAGGTGGTTGTGGCGGTACTGCTTGAGCTATCGAGCTCGATTGCATACAACGTATATACGGTCGTGTCATTCACCAAAGTAACGATCTCTACACCATAGAGTTGTTCAACTTGGTTGTTGGAGTATGAAACAGCGCTGAAAATACTGTAGAAAAACTGATTTTTCGAGTTTAGCAACACATATTGAACTGGCGACAAACCTTTTCCAAAGATATCGTAACTGATGATAGTAGAATTTTTGTTTCTCTCACCAAACACTATATAATAATTACTCTTTCCATCGTAACAACCGACAGCAGTATCTGGTGTTACTTGAGCACCAACATCCAATGGCAATACATTCCTATTGTTTTAAAATATCAAATATCGTTAATAAAACTATTCATATTTTTTTAATAGTGTTTGTTATAGTTTAAATTAAGACTTACAAAATATTATTTTTGAAATCCCAACTAATGAAATTAAGTTGCTCATTTGTTGCTTCAAGGTTCATTACCAATTCGAGAGATGGTTCATATCCAAATGAGTTTGCTTGGAATCCAAAAGATTTTATATCTAAGTACTCACCAACTTGTTGTGTTTCAAAAGTTTGATAGTTGAAAGTAAAAAGCACAAAATTTAGATTTTGAAGTCCAAAAATCATTACCTATAAAAACAATTAATTTATTTACAAAATTAGTTCTCTTTTACAATTAAATATTATTTCTTCTTGCTAAATTGATCAAACCTACAGTATTTTCAACTCCAGAAGGAAGTGCAGAGTAAACAAGATTATTAACTAAACCAGAACCAACAACATCGCCACCATCAAGTGAAGTAACATTTATATTTGTTTGAGAACTGAAGGAAGAATATCGTAGTGTCAATACTTCTGATGGGCTTAGAGATGTAATAGCAGTGGTTGCAAAAACTAACAACAACAAAGTTGTTTTGAAATAGGTATAATTAAACATTTTATTGATCGTGAGAGAGATAGATATATTTCAGTTATTTGTTTGATTTGAATAGTTAAAAATGCTTGATTTACTTTAAATTCAGTTCTCTTTATATTCAGTGTCTCCCGAAATATCAAAGATATTCTTTGATAAGATTTATTTTACTGATTTAATAATTGTTTGATTAATCAATCTTTTGATTCAAGGTGTCGTTTGCAAATAAAAAAAATCTTTGGTTTTGGAAAAACCCGTAGATCTTTTGGAATTTTTTTTTCACTTTTCACGAATTTAGTATGGTGGACAGTGAAATATCGCAAGGTGGGAAAAACAAAATTTTGAATGGATGATAAAAGATTGTGTAAATTGGTCAAAAAATGAAACACAAAAACAACAATAATAATAATAATAATAATAAAGAAAAAGCCAGATTTTTAAGATTTTAGGTTGTCTACAAAGATATATTCTTATTCAAAACAATTATATAAACAAATTGGGTTATTTATAACGACATAGATCAATTACACGAGTATTCTATAGATATTTATTAATAAATTTGATTCAACTTTTCAAAAGATATTAATGTTATGACAAACATGAGAAGGATATGAAATTGTTTGCCTTCTTTAAAATAAAATTTAAATTTTTTATTGAATTTATACAATTTATTAAATAAGAGCTAGCTTATCATCTTGTCTTTCAACTTATAACAAGTCCAAGTATCAAATAAGAAAGAACCACCATTATTCTTGGTTCTTTATTGATAGGATTTGATTGCAAAACAATTAAATACAATTTTCGTTGTTACTTGTGGAAGCATAATTAAATTGTCAATGGTGTTTGTTATTTGATTATATCTATAATGGTCATCTATTTATTAATAGTTATTATTTTTTAACTAATGTATAAATAAAACCACCAATACCGAGCAATACGCAAATAAGAATTACATCAATAATGAATCTATCGGCTTTACGCACATCTTTGATCATTTTAGCAAGTCTATTATTGATTGTTTCCAATTTATCATTGAGATTGTCTGTTCTAATGATGAGACCATCCGCGATTTGACCTTGTTCTTTTGCAACAATACCCATCTTCTTTGCAATCTCTCCAGCCTCTGCAATATGACCTGATAGAATATCCAATCCTTTATCCTATAATGTTAAATAAATATAGAGTTAAGAATTAGTAACAATATAGATTATTGACTAATCTTATCTTATGTTATCTTTACATACAATTTCAGCATCATTTACTCTCAATTCTCTAAACTTTTCGTTATCGATATCAGGCAGCTCTTTGATTCCCGATGATGTAGTTTCCATCGGGATGAACTTGTTTGAGTCACCTCCACGCTTCTTGTTGATAAGATCCAACTGGTTGATGTGTGACCACACCAGTTCGCAATCTTCCTTCTCGAGCTCCAACTCTTTCAATTTCTCAGGGTTCTCTTTCTGTTTACTATTGTATTTCTCTTGCTTTTTGTTGTACATTCTCTGTAGTTTTTTGGCATCTGACTTGATATCGATGATCGCTCTTCTGATTTGATGTGAAAGATCCACATTTCTAACTGATCTCAGTATATTAATCTCAGTTTCATCTCTTTCTACAATCAACTGTTATTTATTATTAATAAAACTGTGCTGTTAATATCACTATAACATCACCTTTAATCCCATCCAATCTAAAAGTAAAGCATAGTAAAGAAAAGAATAGAACATATCATTACTTGTTTAAATTCCTTTAATATCTAAACCAATCTTTCTTCTTAACAATGTAAAGGCATCTGCATCACCTTCATTTAACAATTTTTTATTCTTTTCTTTAGCATCTACACATTCTTTTTGAATCTTTTCCACTCTTCTAATTAATGAATTCATTTTTCAGTAAAAGTTTTAATATTATTTTTTTTTTTTAATTTAATTTTTATTTCTTTATTTATATTTATATTTTAAATAAATAATTTGTTTTATTAATAGACTTTTTATCATATGATACAATGTTTATATATATTTTATTTTTTAATATCCCTCATTTCGAACACTGGTAGATTCTAAGAACTTCTTTACCACATGTCTTTTGGTGACAAAAAAAATAATTTATTGAAATATTTTTCTTTGAATAATAAAATAAACAAAATCATAAGTGTATAATAAAATATGATTATTTTACTATCCTCAACTCTTTTAAATGATTGGAACGATAATCATTTTTTATTATATATTCAAATCTTTTTTATCTATGTGACCAACGGCTTTCTTATTTACAGTTTTTTTTATCTATTATTTTATTTTGTGATATTATATCAATAAACAAGCATGTATATACACCACAGCTGACTCCATCTGTTTGTTTGACAAAGTTTTTCACCATTTCTTCACTACAATTCCATCCATACACTTCAGAAAAGTAAGTACTTCTTAACATTGTCTTTAATAATGTTGTAGCTTTCGAGATGCAAGCTACAATATAAATTCAACATGTATTGTTTGTCGTCGTTGCTTGTCTTGTTCAACACTACCAATATACAATGATTGACTCCATCCTTAGTTGTATCACACAGTACAGATCGTTTCTGCGACGCAAGAGAAACAATAATAGGAAAACATACATTTGATACAATGTTTATCCTCACCGTTTACTTACTTTAGGATTATCTTTCAAATTTTTAGCTACCATTTCCTGTACCTCTTTAATAGGATCAATGTAAACTCCATAGCACTCCTTTCCATATTTACTTTCAATCAAGTTTAGCTGTTTGAATTTCTCAAACTTTGCTATCAACTGAGATGTACGTTGAAGATCCAGGAAGTTGCAATGTTCTCTGAGAGACTTCTTTTGCTTGTTCCTCAACACACGATTAATAACTTTACTGAACAGGTCTATGTAGAATTGATCTGTAATGTGCATTCTATCTTGGTCAAACAACTTTTTGTCGTCTGCACTCGATCGATTCCTTGGTACCAAGTAAAAACATGTCTCGTAATGACCTCTCTTTGCTTGACATGGGTTTCTTGCAGTGTTTACAAGTATATTTGGTTTTATCTTTGCCACTTCTGGATCGCTTCTCACAAGTGTGAATCCCACCCTCTTGGAAATGACAAGCTGACTCGATATCAGGCAGCTCTTTGATTCCGATCATTATTGATCCGAAAATGCATTAGTAGCAGTAGTAATATCATATTTATTTAATCACCGCTTAAAATCATACAATATTAGAAAGAAAAGAATTACAGAACATGATGGACTATCTGATAAATTTGAATTCTTTTCAGCCCATTGTGATTGCTGGCTATCGAATTTTCAAAAGAGTAATCATTGAGTCGCTCACTGTACAATCTATCATCTATGATAGTCATCGAGATAATATTGAAAGTAATCTTGAAACGTAAGTTAATTCTCTTGAAGAAATGAAATTACTACTTTTTAAAAGATAAGATAAGATAAGATTTGTTATAATAATTTGTAAAAAAATAAATAATCAAAAACAATATATAAAAGAGATATACACTGTGTAGATAGATAATTTACATTTTATTTGCTAAAGTTTACATTCGCTATTGTAATTAATTAATTAACTAATCTCTTGTAGGATTAAAGATAGACTATATATACAGTTATGGTTGTTAAAAAATAAATCAATAAATATATTTAAGATTGAAAGTATTATTCTCCAATATCTCTTTGATGACACCCAAACTTGATAGATTTTCATTATTGTAAATTTCATCCATATAGCTATCTAATTAGTAATATCACAATAATAATAATATCACTATAATAAGAACAAATATCCAAGTTTAGTGCTAAATTATAAAAAAAAGTGAAAAAAAAAATTTCATTGAAAAAGGTTGATCAAGCTCAGTCTTGGTATGATCAAGCTCGGTCTTGGTATGATCAAGCTCGGTGTCCGTATGATTAAGTTTAGCCTGAAGCTCGTTGACCAGATTTACATTATTATTTACTAGAGTTATTGAATTGTTGATAATATTAATTTGAATATTGTTTTGAAAAGTTGATAGTTTAGTTGAGCTTAGAATAACTTCTTGGCTTATATTATTATTGGTTATACATGTGATGTTATGAAGGGTATTGGTTCTAATATTTTAGACAATTGTTGGTGCATGTTTGTTTTTTGTTGGAGTTGACTTGTGGCAAGGCTTTCGATGAGTTGATATCGAAGTTTAGTTAATTTGAAACTGTCAATTTGGTCACCCGATCTTTTCTATTAAATTTAATTATATTAGATAACATTAAATTGTTGCTATACATAACCTATTTACTTACAACACAATTAAAGCATAATTTTGATTTTGGCACCGATAGGCTACTTGAATCCAAATTGGATCGATATTAAACTGATTTGAATAACATTTGTATGGATCATCATCCGAATGCCTAATCACTTGTTTATCTATTTCAAATTGAGCAGAATTGTTATCTAACAAAACATATTCTAAATTAAATATTTGTTTAAGCAGATCCCAATCACTCTTGCTTACATATGCATGATAGGTCATTCTAATAGATAACTTTACTCTCAATACGATAAGATTCTGCGAAAAGCAAGAATGTCTTACTAAAAGTCCTTCTTTACAGTAAGTCCAATAATTAAATTGGAGCCGTAAAGAGGTTATTATTTAGCTATGACAATCAAGTGAAGTGAAGCAATAAATGACTATTATCGTACTTTCAAATATGGTTCTATATTATATACATGTATAATAAAAATTATATTTTTGATGTGATAAAAAAAGTTTAACATATTTGATATTTTAAAACAATAGGAATGTATTGCCATTGTATGTTGGTGCTCAAGTAACACCAGATACTGCTGTCGGTTGTTACGATGGAAAGAGTAATTATTATATAGTGTTTCGTGAGAGAAACAAAAATTCTACTATCATCAGTTACGATGTCTTTGGAAAAGGTTTGTCGCCAGTTCAATATGTGTTGCTAAACTCGAAAAATCAGTTTTTCTACAGTATGAAACAGCGCTGAAAATACTGTAGAAAACTCCAACAACTAAGTTGAACAACTCTATGGTGTAGAGATCGTTACTTTGGTGAATGACACGACCTTATATACGTTGTATGCAATCGAACTCGATACCTCAAGCAGTAACGCCACAACCACCTATCTCCACGAAGTATATTCCACTGGCTATGATTCCCGATTGACACCATTCGTTACCAACTCCCAATCAATTGTATTCTATACTATTGATGACCGTCAAAGATTGGTTACAACTGTTGTACGGCTCGCTAATTTACAAACAACAGTTTATCCAACCTCGACAGATTTCTATAACAAAGATGTTTCAATGTTCTTACCATAAAAAGTCAAATTCTAATTATTATAATATACACAACAATTTTCTTTTTGCTCCAAAAGTGAAATCGTAATGTAAAAAAAAGATTGTGAAAAAATGAATGAAAAAAATAGTCACACTTGGGTTAACAAATAAGTTAGAGCCTATGGTAGTTAATGATTACCACCATGTGGGTGCTCTACTGGGTTCATAGCAAAACCACGTACCTTTGGCCAGTTACAACTTTATCTTTATTGATTTCTTTTTTGATTCTTAACATTATCTATAATAATAATTAATATCATTAAATATTAAATGATGTTTAAACATCTTAGAATTAAACACTTTAAAGATTATAATAAAGAAAACAAAATGAATAAATAAAATAAAAAGAGTAGTGTATTCATTAATTTTTAAACATCCTTTTATTGTTTATTGTAAAGCACCTTTCTGTGAGTTTAATCATCAGAAACCTTTCCTCTCAATCTACCGGTACGTCTGGCAGCAATAAGACCGACCTTCTTACCAGCTGGATCATCTCTCTTGGTAGTAGAGGCATGACCAATGTGTTGATGGTTACCACCACCATGGGGATGCTCTACTGGGTTCATAGCAACACCACGTACCTTTGGCCAGTTATTCTTCTTAACTCTGTGAATTTTTTGAAAAAAGTGGTAAAAAAATAAATAATTAATATTTTGTGTGAAATGAATGTTAAAAAAAATGTGTTGATTTACATACCTGTATTTGTGGAATGCACGACCAGCCTTCAAGATTGGCTTGTCAATACGACCACCACCAGAGACGATACCGATCATAGCACGACAGGTGGAGGCGATGTTCTTCTTGGCACCGGATGGCAACTTGATACGGGTGATACCGTCGTCGGTGTTGTGAGAGACGATGGTGGCGTAGTTACCGGAGCAACGGGCGATGGCACCGCAGTCACCAACACGCTCTTCCAAGTTACAGACGATGGTACCTTCTGGCAACTTACCGACTGGCAAGATGTTACCGATGGTCAAGGTAGCCTTCTTACCGGCAAAGACGAATTGACCGGTGTACATACCTTCTGGGGCAATGAACAATTGCTTGTCTTGCTTGAAGGATGAGGTATCTCTGAAGACGACACGGGCCAATGGAGCACCTCTACCTGGATCGTGGATGATCTCACTGACGACACCCTTGATGTAACCGTTACGCTCGGCATAGTCGAGGGCACGGAAGGATGGAGCACCCTTACGGTGGTGGGTGTGGGCACCAAAAACTGATCCGGCTTTACCCTTTCTTTGAGCTATGATAATAATTAATTATTAGTTTCTAATCTTATGTATTTTTGTTTTTTTTTTTTTTTTCATATTAAAATAATTATTTTATTCTATTCTATCATTTTTATAGAGTTATTGATTTATTATTGTTAATTGATTATTTTGATTATTATTATTATTGTCGTTTATTCAATTATTTTTTTCTGGAGATAATTATTATTTGTTTTCGAAAATACGAAAAAAAAAAAAAAGTGAAAATTTTAATTTTTTTTTGTTTCACGTGAACGATGATCTACGAGAATAACTGATAGAGATACGATATGATATGTGATATAACTTGAAACCTTGAATCATAATCATAGTTTATCTATGAATAATTTTCATTATCTATATCTGAAATCTAAATCAAATTATCTGTATTTCATTTCATTTTAATTTTTCATATTTTCAATTACTAAAATCTAAAATATATCTGTACTAACTAACTAACTGTAAAGTAAACTAAATAGACATATCTTATATAATAATTTGTTTAGTAGTAGTGTAGAGTAGGTATATACATAAATATAACTTATATAAATATTATTTATATCTAATATTATTTTTCTAAATATATCAAACTCTGATCTATATTATTATTCTGTTTATTATTGTTGTGATGATGATTATTGATTGATAGAATAATTATTATTAATTATTTTATTTTTTATAGTGATAAAATACCTCTAATGATACGACCCATGTTAACAACAAATAGGATGAAGGAGTTGAAAGAGAAAAAAAAAAATCGACTCTAGTTGCGCATCACTTTAGTTGTGTGACATCCAGCCACTGAAAATTTTTTTTAAAAAAAAATTAAAAAATATTCATAAAAAATAAAAAAATTAAAAAAAATTCTTTTTTCTCTCGCTCTTCTGGCTTTCCAAACATAACTTTTACAAAGCTATGTAAGAGACTTTTGATTCAAATTTTTAAATTTAAAAAAATTAACGAATTCCATTGAACTAAGTAATATTATAACAGATTTGAGTAGATGGAGACTGACAATAATGACTAAAATTAATATGATAAATAATTTGATAAATAATTTATTTTGTTACTTTTTAATTTGATTTTCAATGAAATAATAATAATATTACAAAAAATATATTTAAAATAATAAAATAAAGATATTATGTAAATTCATGAAAATATATTTCTGGTTATTAAAGTTAATTGATGATAATAGATCTATTATTTAATATGATATAAAGAAATAAAATATTGTTTTACTTGATTCTCTTTGTTGTTTTTGTTATTACCAACAAACCACCCACTTTAATTAATTGGTTTTTTGTTCACACTAATTTGACCAAGAAAATTCAATAGATAGATATTTTTGGTTTTTTTTTTTCTCTTTCCAAATAGTTATTTTGCAAATTTTAAAGAAGTTGTTGCATAAATTTCAGGGTTAATAATAACAAACAACAACAGTAATATCAATCAAATATATATTTTGTAATTATAATTTTTTTTATTTTAAAAAACAACAACAACAATAAAGAATGAGTCATTCAAGTGGTATCGCTGCTTCACCAGCTTTAATTAGTACATTCGGTGATGCAAATTTAAATAACACACGTTTCATTAAAGTTTCAATTCAAGATGGTAATAGCAACAACAACAACAATAACAATAACAATGTAATAATAAAACAATGAACTAGTTCTAACACAAACGTTTTGTATTTGGGTGTTTATTATTATTATTATAGAGGTTTTGGTTGCTGTATCTACTGTTGATATCGATGGAACTTTTGAATCTGGTAAATAGAATGAATAGAATCAATCAATGAATGTTTTAGAGAATTTGATATTTATTCATATTGTTATTATTATTATTATCTCTATAGATTTGGATAAAGTACCAACTTTATTGGAAAAGGATCATGCTTGTTATGTTTTAGCAAAGACTGATGAAAAGAGTATTGAATTGAGTGGAAACAATTGGGTATTCATGTTTTACGTTCCAGATATTGCCAAGGTTCGTGAGAAGATGACTTATGCTTCGACTCGTGCCAACTTAAAGAAGGAATTGGGATCATCTCATTTCGTAGACGAAATCTATTCATCCAATCAAGTAAGTGTTAACACTTATTATATTATTATTATTATGAATTACTCTTAACATCATAAGCATATGTTAATTACTAAACAAATGATAATTATTATTATTATAATAGAGTGATTTCACATCGAAAGGATATAAAGCACATAAAGTACATCAAGGTTCATCTGCACCATTGACTTGGGAGGAACAACAGAGAGCCGACGAGCGTGAAGGTGGTCTATTTGTTGGTGGCGGTGGTATGTATGTACACGGTGTCGCTTTCCCAGTGGAGGAGCGTGCCGTCGCTGCCATCGGTGAGCTGCTCTCGGGTAGCGTCAACTACGTTGCGCTCTCCATTAACATTGCCGACGAGAAGATCGTCTTCCAGTCGTCGTCGAGCATCGATATCGAGCAACTCTCGACCAAGGTGCCACTGGACGAACCACGTTTCCACTTTTTCCGTTATGCACACGAGCACGAAGGTGAACAGTTGAACACCCTCATCTATGTATTCTCGTGTCCCGACGGTTCGAACGGCACCAAGAGTGCACCGGTCAAGATGAGAATGTTGTACTCTTCGAGCAAAGCCAACGTCGAGTCACTCGTCACCAGACAAAACACCAAAGTCGATCTCAAGCTCGAAGTAAACAACGGTAGCGAACTCTCAAAGTCTGCAATCGACAGCGAATTGCACCCACCAAAACCAGAAGAAAAGAAGTCTTTTGCCAAGCCAACTCGTCCAGGTGCTGGTTCACGTAAACTTATCAAATAATAATTTTGTTAACAAAACTAATTAACAAAAAACAAAACAACAACAACAACAAAGTTTAAGAATGTAATAATTATAAACAAACAACAAACAAACAACAAACAACAAATAATAATGATATCATTTATGTATTTAAATTATAAAATAAATTAAAAATTTATTAAAAAAACTACTAATCTTTTCTTTTCTTTTCTTTATTTATTTTCACCTGATGTATATAAAGTTAAACCATGCAAAGTTGGTATAACTTCTTTTAGAACCGAATTTACTTGTCTATGTTGATTGAGTGTATTCTTATTATTAAATTCTTTAGATATAATTTCTATTCTATACATTGATCCACATCCACCTATTTATTAATTATTTTTAAAAAAACATTAATTGAATGAACACTTATCAATATCACATATAAATGAAATAGTAATATTTACCAGACATATCAATTACTTTCAATGAAGAAGGTTTCAATGAATCAGATAATAAATTATGAATCATTTTACCCTTTGTATCAAGAACGATCTCTTCATCTTGATTGTCTACATTCGTTGAAAACAATCGATTCGAAACAAATAAACGACTACTACTATTACTGCTGTTTAACAATAAAGATGATGATCTATTATTAAAACTTAAACCATTCTTTATAATTAATCTATTCAGTGTCGATTGCATTGCTATTTAATTAACACCAACAACAACACAACATTAATCAAATCAAATCAGAATTTTCTTTTGATCATTACACTTTTCATTTTTTGTTGGCTGAAAAACCAAAAAAATATCAAAAATTTAAAAAAGATTTAATATTATATGATATGAAACATACCTTTATTTGCTATTATTAATTAATTAGTTAGTTTAGTTATTATTTATTATTAGTTAGTTGTTTTGTTTTATTATATATATAGAAAATATGGATAGAATATCATTTCTTGGATATAATATACCAATTGAAGTAAAGAATATCTTACCATTGGCACAAAAGTTGGAGCAAGCATTCACAAGACACATCGTTGCACTGGTGGTATCCTATTTGAAATCAAAGAAAATAGATCAGAATCAACAAGAGTACGAAAAGTTCAATCAGATCACTAGAGACATACATGACAAGCTCAACATAAGCAGTAGTAACATCGTTGAGAAAGACAATACACTCGATTCCAACGTATCGTCGATCGTATTCACCGGTATCTATTATATTCTGAAGCTGGCAATCAAAACAAAGGTCACTGTAGAGTACTTTCAAACCGATCTAAATGAATTGAAGTTGCCCGCTCCATTCATTGCAGATCTACAAAATGTTTATACTAAACTGTATGTGTTTGTAAATCACTTCAAGAATCAATTGATAACAAACTATATTTATATATATAACTAACAAACAAACCTATAATTATCTTATCTTATCTTATTATCGAATAGTCGTAAAGAATTAATTGAAAAAGTACAAAATGATAAGATTCTATTCCCACAATTGGAAACATTTAAATGGCGTGTAGACGTTATCATTAGTAGCAGTTTTACATCAAGAGTGTTGAACCCAGTCATCTTGATGGAGATTACAGATACCAAAGGAAAAGAAAGAACATTCGAAGTCAGTTTAGATACTTTCCATAAATTACGTTATAATGTATCAAAAGTATTAAAAGATATGGAGGATTTAGATCAATTACCAATATTAAAGATCGATAAATAGACAAAAATACAATACAAAGCAACAACTAAACTACTCATTTTCATTCTCACTCTAACCCAAGCATCAAACTATACACATAATAATAATAATATCATTCGATTTGATTGAGCATATTTCATCAAAACAGCAAAACAAAACAAAACATATTTAAATAAAATATAAACTAAAATCTTATTTTTTGTAATTATAATAATAAAATTAATATTTATCTTTTTTTAATTAGTTAATTAATTTAATGTTTACGATAGGTTTGTTTACAACGTGATTCGAATGCATCTACCATTGTCTCTAGAGAACTACCGATGAATTCATCCATGAGTGTAGCGTAGAGAGGTGATCTAAATTGATATTCCAGTGAGCACACTGCCGTACAAGTAGAGTCGGTAGGTCCAGGCTTAAAATTCCACTCACTAACAAGTGCTACAAATAGATGTGAATCGATTGCCGATGCTTCTATGTATTTTGGTTCATCGAATTTCACTCTGGAGGTATAAGACTCTTTCAGATTACCATAGCCAACAGTCAACTCTGCCTCAAAGCAACTATTTGGATCAACCACTTTCTTAATAGTCGAATTCAAACAAAATGGTAGAAATTCTTTGTAGGATTGTACATTTACAACAACATCATACACTTGTTTAGGTGTAAATCTAAATATTGTTTTCAATTGAAAATAAATCAATAAATCAATAAATATAATTAAACAAATATTAAATATTTAGCTAAATATTTAATGATTAAAAATAAACTTACTTTAATACTTTGGTAATATGTTTTTTTGTTAGTTGTGGTGTTGAGGCAAAAGCAGATAAGAATGTTCTTCTGCATTGCAATCTATTTTGTAGTAGATTACATAATATTAAATTGGTATTTCTATATGAAGTTATTGTAGATTTAGATGATGAAGTTGTTGTAAAATCATATTTATTTTTATTTTTAAAAACAATTGTACTATTGTGTGTTGGTTGTAGTTGATTATATTTCACTTGATTATTACTATCATTATTATTATTATTATTATTATTATTATTGGTGTTGATAAGCAGCTGCTTATCGCATTTAAGTAAAAAGATTGACTTATTTATTTGTCCGATGGGAAGCGATGTTAAATTTTGTGTAATTATCTTTTTATTGTTGTTTAAAAATGAGTGAAATTTGAGCATTTTTGTTTTTTTTTTTTTTTGACTCTGTTTTCCCAAGTAAGATACCACCTATAAAAATAGGAGGTGGTGCAGCGCAAATCTCAAATAACAAAAATAATAAAAATAAAAATTTGTTTTTTTTTTTAAAATGTTGTTGTTATTTTTGCAACAAAAATAAAAAGCATTAAACTTTTACAGTTTCATTATACCACCAACCAGTTAATTATTTATTTTTTAAAATTATTATTCGTTCAATTCATTTATTTATTTTTATATATATTGTAACACCACTACCTTACCACCCACAAACACAACAAAACACAAATAAGCTCTTACAACACTAACACTAACACTACCAATAACAATTACAACAACAATAACAATTATAATTGTTTTTTTTTCAGGTACACTCATTAACTTATTTTTTCTATTTCCACCGTTATTTATAAATAAATATCAATCATCACACAAGATAACAGAATAACTGTCAGATTTAACCATATTTTATAACTATATTTATCAAGCATTATATTCAATTTTTTATTATTTATTTATTATTAGAAATATAAAAGTTTAAAAACTAATACTAGATACAACATAATATTAATTTATAATAAAAAAAAAAAGAGTTAACTTCAGTACAGTTCAATAGCAATAGATAATATATATAAAAAACATAGTCGAAATATAGAGATAGTTTTTTTTTATTTATATCTTTATTTTTTAAGTTTATATATATTTATACAATAATAAAAATAGTTATGAAACAGAATTCTTTTCATTTTTATATATTATTTTATTTAGTTTTAATATCTTTTAATTGTAAATTTCAAAATGTAGTATTAGCATTAGCAGTACCAGATTCGTAAGTAAAACAAAACAAACAAAGCAATTTAGCATATATAAAATAGCTAATTAGCTAATATGCAGTTGAAGAAGATAAACTAATTTAAATGTTTCAACAACACAGATTAAATGTTGCACCGACGTCGACGCAAGCAACAACAGGTTTAAATACAGTAGTAACAACAGAATATAGTACGAATAAAATATCAATTTCATCAACAACATCGGAAGCAGCAGAAGCGGTACCACTTTCACAAGCCCTTACACATAAAAGAAAAGAAACAGCTGATCAACCTAAAAGTAACCATAATAATAACAATAATAATAATAATAATAATAATTTATCATCGTGTGAAGTTTTTAAAGGATGCGATGCATGTTCAGATTCAGAGAAGCACGAGAGTTATTGTCTGAGTACTGGAAGTCGAAAGGTTTTGAAATGTAAAATAACAGACAGCGACCAAACACAATTTGTGTATCATTCTTGCACATCCAACAGTAAATTTACATCAACTGTATTATTTTTTGAAGTAAGTAGCAATAGAATATTAAAGAGTATCACATATTTATTAAATTCTTAATTATTATTTAGGTTGGAGTTTTGACTATATTATTGGTATCTTTATATTTTGTTAGAGAAAGAAAGAGATTCTTGTTACAACAAAACAATGAAAGATTAGCCAAACAACTGAATAAAGTTTAATATATAACCGATTTAAATATACAGCCACAAAACCAGTATTTAGTTTGTTTTATTAAAATTGTGAGAGTTGAAAGAAAAACTGTGTCCACAAGCAGGTATATTGTACTTCCATTTCCACATTATATTGATTATTAAATGTTAATTTTAGATGATATCAATCATAGATTGTATAGGGGAATAATTATGGTGTTTCCATATTATAATCGATTGATTGTATTTCGATTTATTAGAAAAGAAGTGAGGATGTTTTATTTATATTACGAAATTGGGGTGTTTCTCACTTTTATTATCTTTCTTAAAATTGTGATCACCCACACGCAATCAATTTTATTATAATGTGTCGTGGGGGTTATCATTGTGATGATAAAGTAAATGAATGTTGACAATGTGGTTCACATAATATATAAATATAGTATGTATTTTTATTATTATTTGTTTCGTATTCGAACAAACACATATTAAAAATGATCATCATCTATTCATTTAATTTAATAATTTTAACAATGAATAAATTTGAAAAAGAGTTTAAATTTACAACATAGTTAAAAGTAATTTATTCTTAACAAGAACAATAATAGTATAAATAATAATCATACAAATAATTAATAACATGTTAAATCAAAAACAACAAATTGAAATTTCACAACTCATTAAAAGTTGCAATGGAAATCATTTAATTTTTTCTATTCCTCTAGAGGTTCTATCTTCAATTCTATTGTTTTTAGAACCATTAGATTTAATACATCTCAGTGAGAGTTGTAAACTTTTCAATTTCTATTTAAATAATAGTTGGATTTGGAATCAACTTTTAGAACAATCAATACCATTCATTTATCAATCGATTTATCATTCAAATAGAACACCATTATGTTCTACAGATGATCAGATCTATAATAAAGATGAAAATGAAGGTTTAGAATGGTTAAATAATAATTCAAAAATAATTAAATCATTTTTAGTATTAAATAATAAAGAAACACAAGAAAATAGAATAATAAATAAATTTGTAAAATCAATTTCAACAAATAGTAAAAATAATGAATTAATAATAGGATATCTAAAAATATTATATTTTTATTTTATCAACAATAATAAAAGTTTAATTCCAATTGATTTTATAATAGATTTAATTTCACAAAACAATAATAATTCATCATTATTAAAAGTATCTTTCGATTTATTAAATTATTTAATAAAAGGTAAGGTAAACAATGAAAATTATTATTTAAAAATTATTATTTAAATATTAATAAAAAATATTATTAAGATGTTGAACATGATAATTATAAGAAGTTTGTTATTCAAATTCCAGCTATATTGTCAATATCCAAGAATAAGATTCAGGATCAGGAATTACAAAAATCAATATTAATTTTGTTTTCCAATATTCTATATGACAAAGAAGCTCTCAATATTTTTGGAAATAATGGTGGCCTAACCTGGTTGTCAAAGATTTCTAATATCCATAAGGATAATAGATTTTTTAATTCAATGTTTATTTTTATTCACTATAAAACTATCTTATCTTGTAAGTTATTGTTAATATTAATTTTATTTTTAATATTATTATTAATTTTAAAAATAATTTATAATTTCTTACTTTTTTTAATAAAATAAAGATAGTTTAAAATTAAAAGAAAAAGATGTCTTAATAAGTCTCATTGAGGTTTTAAAAAAGAACTACAACAATGAAAAGATGCATTTTAATGGAGTACTTTCATTAACTCATCTATCAAATTCAAGTAAGTTTAAATTTTTAATAAATATATAAACAATATTTTTAATACTAAAAACAAAAAAAAAAAACAAAATAGAATATTTTGTAGAAGTATTTAAAAAAAATGGAGTTATAGGTTACATTCTCTCTCTAATTCAAAAATATTTTGATAATCCAATGATGGTTGAATACTGTTTGATTTTATTAACCAATATGACATTCAATAGCTCTGATTGTTGTAAGAAGATTGTAAAGGAAGATGGTTTACCAATTCTACTTCACACCATGAAGATTGAAAATAAAAAAGTTCAATTCTTATCCAACAAGTCAGTTTTTAATATCCTTTATTATAGTAAGTATTTCTATTTTTAATTTTTTTTTTAAAATATTAACTAATTTTTTGTTTTATATTTTAAGGTTTACCAATAATTAAAAAATATATTTCTATTGAAAATATTAAATTAATAGTAAACTTGGCAAGAAATAGACAACAAGATGATCAAGACTCTCAAAACTATCAATCTATTTTAGATCTACTTGAAAAGAAATTAGACAATCCAAATATATATTTATTTAAATATGAAATACCAACCTATTAATTCTATATAAATAAATAATTGTTTTTTTATTTTATTATTAAAATGTTATTGTGAATTATAAAAAAAACTTTCTAATGAATAATATACAGTAAGAATGATGTTTATTTATTTGGTTAGTTTTAATTTAATTTTTATACATGTGATAAGAATATTAGATTATTCTTAACACTGAGGGTGGTTTAATTGTTTGTCAAGGATACGTAGTTAATTTTCTTTCAAATTTCTCCTCTCGCTCCTCTATCCGTCAAGTCAATCTGGAAGATTTCGATTTCATCAATCCTGAGGTTATGTTCCCATCATTGCCAGCGCATGCACCCTAAACTTGATCATTAATTGAAACAATCAGTTCGAGTTCAATAAGTTTAAATAATCAAAACAAAAACAGTTACATCTTCTCGACACAGGGACCTCATGGACAGATTTATCGAATTACATTATCACTGATCTTGGGATCGGATTTTAGTTAGTCTATATCATTTGTTGTCATTATATCGGATTTCTATATATTATGGCAGAAGATGCTCTTGAATTGATGTTGAAGATCGTCAATATCAAAGACAAACAATTACAATGTGGAAATCAGATCAAAAGTTTGATTGGTTGTCAGGATTCACCGATCATAAAGGAAATATTTATTTGCACAGTAATGACTCCAAATTCATCCGATTCAACTTTCAAAACAGAGTGTATCATCCATGATAAATATTCCATTTTATATTAAACAAAAAAAAAAATAAAATAAAAACTTTAATATTAACAAAATAAAATTAGAAAAATTATTTTTGAAAAACATGTAAAAAGCTTCTGTGGCTCAGTAGGCAGAGCATTCGGCTGTTAACCGAATGGTCGTTGGTTCGATCCCAACCAGGAGCGAAACTATTTAAACTTCTCATTACCGGATGCGGTGAGTTATGGTAAGTGCTGTCTTTAGCTTGATTCTCTGATCAACTCTATTAAACCTGTTCCGTTGGAAAACAACTGGTGTCACTTTGCGTACCAAGATCACCCATTACACCAATTACCACAAGCTTAACTTCTCAATCGCTAATTCTATCTCCCAAGGAATCACTGTCGATTGCTCTGCAACACATAAATTTAAATCTGATTGGAATCTAAATCCTTTCCAACTACGTGCCATCAAAAGCTACACACTCTCTAAGCTCACCTACAACATGTACGTCGATAGATTTACCGATGAGGAAGTCAAGATGCCACCACGTAACCAGATGTAGAAATAATGCTCTGAAAACAATATTTTAGGTCAAGAAGAGATGTACAAATAAAAATCTATAAGAATTTATTTATTAAATAAGAACCATTAATTTATACAGTAAATTGTTTAAGTAAATCAAACATTCTGTTATTTGCTAATTCTGGAATGGTAATAAAGTATTGATTAATAAAGTGTTTCTGTTTATAGTCAAAATCATTCTTCACAATCCAAACAAAAATATCTTTAGTAAAGTGACAAGAGTTTTGGAATTGGGTTCTGAGACCGGATTCAGCCCATTTGCTAGCGTGTTTTGAACCAATAGTAACCTGGAAAGCAGACAGAGTCTTTGAGGAAGGATTCCAGAAGAACCAATCAGCCACCTTGTAGTTATAGGCACGAAGAATGATAAGTGAGGGCTTAGACCAATCGATTTGTGATAAATCATTTTGAGCCACGATATATTGGACTATGTCCCATGCAAAGACGACTTGTGAACAAAGGGTAAATTTATAGCAGGTAACACCTTTTCTGTCATCTGTTTCTGTCACCTGTGAGGGCTGCACTTGTAAGAGGTTGTGTTCCAACAATGTATCAATAAGATATTTCTCTAGGATTCTTCCAACAGCATCTTTGGTCAACGATATCTTCTTGGAAAAGACAGATTGATAAAACTCTTGTACAACGAGATGGGTGGGTGTCATATAACGCTTAATTAGAATATCTCTGACCAATGGGAAAAGCGGCAATATGAGGTCTTCCTGACTTTTGTACAATAGTAGTTGGTTGAGAAATATTGATTCGTCTGTTACAGGTACATTGTGTTGCATAAATACAATTGCTCTTCTATAATCTTTGTGAAGAATGTCGGTTGTAAGGAACTCTTTAGAAAAGTAATTGTCTTGTTGAGTGATCAGTGATTTTCGCCACGACTTATACGATGTGAGAACATTATTGAAGGTGGAGCCTTGTGTTTGTTCTTGTACTTGTGATTGTGATTGTGATTGTGATTGTGATTGTGATTGTGATTGTGATTGTGATTGTGATTGTGATTGTGATTGTGATTGTGATTGTGATTGTGATTGTGATTGTGATTGTTGATTCTGTTGTTTCTTTTGTTCGTCTAATATATATTTGAGTTCAATTCTAATATTTAGATTGATTAGTAATCTACTCTAATTTTTGGATTGAACTAAACTTACGGAAAAAAATTGGTGAGATCTTTGATGGTCTGTATATCACTACTTGTGAGGTTGCCGAGATCTTGTTTGTGAATTTCTACCCATTCCTTGAATTCATTGTCACAGAAACCATCAAAAAAGTAAAACACAGGCCATTCATTGTCCTTGGCAACTTTGAGATAGTAATTGTTTTTTGCAGAACCAGATACAACTACGAGATTATTACACCAACGAATATTGTTGACAAGATAACTCTCTACTATTGAAAAGGGACAACTTGTTCTTTGAGAGTTGGTGAGAGAGTTGTGTTGATCAAAGATAAAATATACACAGAGATCTTGATCATTGCAATAAACTGATAATTGATCCATAAACAAGTATAACTGTTCTTCATTTATGATTGAATAGTAAGTGTCTCTAATAAATGAATCTCCTGCCAGACCAAATCCAGTTTCCAGAGCCTCTACGAAAAAAAGATAGGGATCACCAGCTGTCCAATTTGCACAGTCTTGGATGTATATGACACGATTGTTTGGTGCTTCAACTCGGAGTTTGACAACTATTTGATAAATGGAATGTGATTTACCTACTCCCTGTGGTCCTTGAATGTAAACTCCTCTTGAGTTGCGATAATTTGATTTGATGAACGTGTGTAATTTGTTTGTAATATCTCTGTTCACCAACTTTAGAGTGTTATCGTCGGTAAACTCAAACCTCATACGAGATGATATCAGTGCACTGAGAGGATCACGTGGTAGAGATACAATAGGACCATCAAACTTGGACTTTTTCATAGATTCCATGACTTTCTCAATCTCAGACCCTAAACTTTTCCTAGGAAAGCTTTCAACTAAGAAAAAAAAGGAATATTAGCTAGCCAGAGTGTTCTTTTTGTATGATGATGATGATGATGATGATGATGATGATGATGATGATGATGATGATGATGATGATGATGATGATGATTATTGATTGACAAACAAATAGTGATAATAATAATAATAGTATATAAAATTGCAATTGTACATGGAAAACTTCAAGTTAGATTTAAGGCATGTCAAGAGAGTGAGAGACTTTATATGGATGTGTAATTATTAAATAATGTGTATCAGTGTAACATCTTGCTATTTATGTATGGTATTGTATAGCTTTAAAATATGTATTTGTTTATAAGTGTTTGTTGGTGTAGATGTATACCTGCATCCGTGATCATCTTATTGAGGTATTTGTCAAGGCGATCAGGAGTACGAGCATCAGCTGCGCCGTAGGCATTGATGATGTATGTTGCTTTATCCTTTGACTTCTTGAGGATGTCTATGCACTTGTCCTTCAAATATGTCGAGAGGCGAGAGGCTTCGATGGTAGCGAGAGCAACTTTGGTGTTATCATCAGCCATGTTGGTATGATGCACACTAATGTTTGGTTGTGAGTGTAAATGTTGTCTTGTATTGTATATATCTAAATGTGAGAAATGATGTAATAAGTAAGTTGGTGAAGGGAATATGAAAAAAGAAAATTTGGGGGAAAAATAAATAAAATAAAAAATAATAAACCAAATTCCAATCTCATAACTAAATTTGGGATAAATTGTCAATCAACACACACATTAGTTATTTGAATGATAACTCCCTCATTATGCCACCTTGATGTATGTTATCTCATTGGAAACAAGTGAATGATGTCAATCGAGACTACAATTGGAGGGTCTGAAAGAATCATACAAATTCCCAATCATTCTTCAATTTTCTTTTTTCCAAACAGATACACAAAAGAAGAAGTATAACAATAATGAGCACTCATCAAACATTATCTAAATTAAGTCATCATTCAATTAAACAACATCCAGAGCTATACCATACAACTGTACATGGAAAGAAGACATTGATTCACAATCCAGTTTCAATTATATCAGAGACATCACATCAAGTAAGATGGAAATTCATAATCTTTAAGGACAAAGCAATATCGACATCTGAAAGATGTAAGTAAAATGAAATTTTTTTAAAAACAAATGAAAAGCACAAAATTAACTTTTGTTTCTCAAGAGAATAAATCAATTTAAATATTAGATCACCACCCATTTATTTATCTTTTTGGTGTAGAGAGTTCTGGAGTTGGTGAATATTCAAAATTTTGAGAATCGATGCATAAACCTGATTCCAACGATGGGATCATACTTAGATCTAAAAGTGAATCGTCTGCTGCAGAAAATGAACAAAAAACACTGGAACAACTGCAAACTTCTCACCACTAAGTTACCTGCTTTCCTAGAACATCTCTCTTACAGACCATTCTGATTATATAAAATAAATGAAAGATTGGCAAGGTAGGTATCTTGGAATGATAATTTATTGGTTGTATCAATATATTCTTATCCAATTTATACGAGAAGAATATGTAATAACCGGTTGGAAGTCTTTCAATTTGGATAATATAGTGATAAAAATGATACTAATTGGATAGTATGTTATGTGTTTCTGATGGTTGTATAGGGAAGGGCTGCGAGAGTCATTCTCTGAATTAGGTGTACTACTAAACAGTTGGAATTTTATAAAGTGATCCTGGTTGGATAGAAAATTTATTGTTGTTTGACAGGTTGTTGTAAAATGAGCTGCGAGAAGTGAGTTATTTAGCTGAGTGGGAGCTGCGAGGAGGATCAACTTACGAACTAGGGCAATGGTGCTGGCAACGCAATAAACAACGCATACTGGATGACTTTCTTCACTTGCTTGGATATCTTGGAAGCTTTCTTCTTCTTCTCGGTGAGATAATTCTGTTCTCTGAATGTGTCGTACCGATCTTTAGGAAGGACGAAATACAAGTATATTGTGCCACCCCAGTTCCGAGTTGATCGATGATATCGGACAGTTTGTTCATCACTGGTGGATGCTCATTCGAGGTGGTGACATGAAACAGCTGGTTGGGTTTGATCAAAGAAGGGAAACAAATAAATGAATTTTGTGTGAGGTTTATAAAGTTTTTTTGGAAAATAAATAAAATAAAAAATAAATAAACAAAATCCAAACACTGACTGTTTAATTAAATAGAACTTCCATCCATAGTAGAAGAAACCCCTGAATTCAAGATATGGCTACAAAGATGACATCTTCCGTTCTCTCAACGTAGAACCATCTGCACCACCAACACTATCAGACAAAGACATGGATATAGATTCCTGTTAACAAAAACAACAACAACAACAACAACAACAACAACAGTACACAATTAACTAACATTCTAATATATTGTTGGTGCGAGATATTAAGTTTTTCATAATCAGTTGTATCAATGCTTATTTTAAATCTAAAAAAATCTTATAAGTAAATTGCTATTTATACACAGTGAAGTTTCACAGCACTTGATCAAAGAAGTCTATAAAAAAAAAAAAAAAAAAAAATTCAATATATACACAGTGTATTAAATTTTTTTATAAATAATTTGATTCACTAGTGTGAGAATCTGTTGATTGAACCTTTCATTTGACGATAACTTTTTGTCGTGGTTTTGGTATAAAAAGATCCTCAAGGTATTGAGGTTTTATTCTGTTGATGGGGAGAATCTCGTCTGAATTGTCATCATACAGGACATGAACCATACCATCTTTGATTTCTGTACAAGTTCCTGGATGCCAGGTCTGCTTCAAGGGTTAACAGATATAGGAGAAAGAGAAGAAGAGTACACTGACGATTCACATGATGGAGAAGACAACACATTAACACCAATGAAACAAGGATTACAGTTACACTTGCCATCATTGAATATCATTGCTGGAATGACAGAGTCTGGACAAGACAAACCTATTGAATCTATTGATCAGACACAATAGTCAAGAGGTCAATCGCATATATGTTCTATGTCCAACTGCAGACCTCCAAGATCATTACTCATTTCTAGATAGTAGATACGTATACAAAGAGCCAACAGAGGACATCATCACCAAGAACATACAGAAACAAGAGGAGAGGCATTCAACAAAAGACTGCGATAGTATTGGATGATTGCATAGGAAGTGTAGAGTTTCAACATAGTAAGTTGTTTGACAAATTGACGACTAGCAGTGACACTATCTCATCAGCATCTTCACTCTCATTCAAGACCTCAAGAAGTTATCTCCAACTATCACGTCCACTTAAGAAATCACTCTTTAAAGTTATATCCCATTTATTAATATCGAAACAAGACCTTTTCTACATTTCTCTCAATCAACCTTTTGATAGAAAGTACTATCCTAAGAGGTATAATACCTCAGGTATTACTACTTTACAAAATTGTCCTAAGAGCCCACGGGCAATACATTGACACCAACTCGTGATAAAAACACCTCCTTAGTGCAAAATTCAAAAAAAAAAAAAATAATTTAAGAAGGTGTACTTGTGGAACAGATCATAATTAGTTACCTTCCCTTTAGGCAAAGTAGGAAACCCGTTGGTTACATTTAGATGTTTCTTCCAGAAGGAAATCTATTCTGTTCTATTCAACCACAAGTAACAATGAATTTAATCTTGTTTTTTTGTTTTTTTAAATAAAGATTTATTTATTGTTATATGTTTAAAAATATTGTATAATTTATATAAAGTATGCTTTTTTAGAGTAGAGGTGGTGGTTCGTCTCTCTTTCCACCGGTGTTTGGATTGAAAGCGGTCGATGTCAAAAGCCCAACTGATGTAGAGGTTCCTGCTGTCAATAAACCAACAGGACCTGTTGCTGGACCAGTAATAAAGAGATCGTGACTTTGGCTCGAGTAGGATGACCAAATCTCGGATTTATCCAAAATGGCAGTGATTTGAGGACCGTGTAGTGGGTCGGTTTCGAATGATTTGAGATAGTTTACAACAATGGCTTGGGTGGCTGGTGAAATACCCTTGCCTCTCTCGAGCAATTTCAAGCTGCTATTGATAAAATCGCTTCTCGATGCTTGTTCAACCAAACAAGTCTTTTCACATCGGTTGAGTTTCAGTAGTTTACCAATACATTCGGCTGTGAGAGCAAGGTTATCGTTTGGTAAAAGTATAATTCTAGACATGTTGGACCAGAGTGATCCAATCTTGGAGAGATGGTCGACACAAACCTGACTGTCAGACATTGAGTGAATAATGTTGACCATCAACGAACGAATCTGAGCGGTTGGATGACCGAGAAGTGGGAGAATCTTCTCGATGTAACCGGTCGATGGCAATTGGTCAGAGATGACATTGTGGTGTTGGAATAGCGAAATGATGGCAAGCGATAGCTGTTGAATCTTTGGATCGCTACCGTTGTCGTTGGCAGCCAACTTGATAAGAGTATCGAATACTTCGAGCAAGAACTTTCTTGGATTACGTAGCGACCAACCTGGTTGCTTGAGGAACAATGAAATGTATACACCACCGATGAACAACTCGTTGTCACCCATCTCGTAGGAGATTGAAAAGTCTTCGGCGATCTTCCATTGGTGATTGAGCGAACCATTGCTAACCAAGAAGCTGTAGTATTGTTTCTGTAGGTTACCAATGATATCACGGAACTGAGTTCTGGTGTTGTTGTTCCAAATCAACTCTGGATTTTCGTGGTCGGCATCAAACACCATCACTGTCTGTTGTGGATCTTCACCCATGGTCGAGGTGAACACTGGTGGAATGAACTTGGTGAGCAACAGCGAAACCTTTGGACCGTGTACTTTGTCAATAACCATTCTTCCGAGGATTGCACATGACTTGACTCTGTTTTCCAATTGGATTTGGTTGTTGGCAAAGACGTCTAGCAAGTAAAGAATACCGCAATAGTTGATAGTGTCAATGACATGCTGTGAGAGGGCAACCAGCGAATAGATAACCTTGAGAACCAACTCCAGAGTATCCTTCTTTGGTTTGGTGAGAAGCTGTAGGAGATATGGCATCAAATTACCGTCTGGTTCATTACCGATGGTGGCGATATGAGTGATACACTCCATGTTGGAGGTGACCAGTGTGAGAACATCGAGAGTGAGTTTCTGGATCTTGGCGTTATCTTCATGTCTCAAGAACATCAACAACAATCTCATTCTGTTGTTAGTGTTAAAGTTGGTTGGTGAAACCTTACCGTGTTGGATTACGTTCTTAAGTGCCTCGAGTGCCATTGACACCTTGAGTATATAGATATCCCAGAGTTTCTTGTCTGGATTTCTCTGTGGAACCTCGTTGGCGTTTCTCTCGCTGGCCAAAAAGTCGACCAAATGTATAAACAACTCTGAGATTGGAGTGGTGGCGTTGGTTGGTGCAGTTGGCGATGCGTTGTAGACACGTAGGTAGTATCCACCGACCTTGATCTCGTTGGACAACGATTTGTAAGAGAATCCATTGATGCTGTATGGATTGATAGCCGATGGGTTGAGGTGAACTTCGTCCAACTTCTTGTTGAGATACTCCATGAGATCCTCACGAGTAGAGTTGTTCCAGATGAAAGCAGCGGTTTCGTGCTTGGTGTTCATCTCGGTCAACAACTTGTGGTAGTGTTTGCTTGGGATTGTACCGACTGGCATCTTCAAACGAACGACAATATGAGTCGAGAGGAAAGCAGTGATGGTGTCACGTACCTTCTTGTTGGTCTCTGTTTCTGGGGTGTTAAGGAACTCTTCGACATTGACAGCCGGTGCCTTCTTGGCGTTTCCGAATTGAGTTGGCTTTGGAATGCTCTTGGCTGGCAGTGCGAGTGAGGAGGAGGATGCTGGTGAAGATGGGGTGACTGGGGTGGCTTGGGTTGGTGTACCTGGTGCTGGTTGAGCTTGGGTTTGAGCGGTGGAAGGAGCTGGCGATGGGGTTGGAGTGGCTGGTGCGGCAGGACCGGTGAGAGCCAAAACATTGGGATCGATGACTGGCATGGCAATGGGACCTGTATTCTTTTGGACAGCTTCGGCGGCAGCTTTCTTGGCTTCCTTATCCTCTGGCTTGTCGGATGGTTCAGAGTAACCTTCGATATCTTCCTCACTCTTGATACCAGACAATCTACGAAGTGCACGCAATGACATACGAGCATGGAGATTGGCAATCATGATACGATTCGATTCAATGTTGACTTCGACACCACTGTTGACCAAAGTATGGTCGTATCCAAAGAGCAAACGCATCAAGTGCCAGATGACACCGGCGTTGATAATACATTCTTGGAGTTCGTCGTCTACTCTGGCGAATTGGTAGACGGCTTCGAGGGCATGAGTTACAATGTGTGGATGACTGTATGAGAGATAGAGACACTTGCAGATATTCTCAGAGATCTTGAATTGAGCGTTGTTGGCAAACAGTTGTTTACGTGAACCTGGGAATTTAGCCATGACACCATAGGTACGAAGCAGCGAAGAAGTGACTTCACCCGGAACATCAGATTCGGCAGAGGTATCGTTGATATTGAATTTCGAAGTTGGAATGGTGATGAGAGCAGACGATGCAGTTTTCTTGGTTTCTTCAGTATCGGTAGCGCTTCCATTGGGTGATTTGTCGGCGGGTGGAGCATCTTGGTTTGGTTTTGGATCTGGGATGTCGCCCTTGATTTGTTTACCTGCGAATGTTGGCGAGACTGGAGTGGTCTGGATGATAAGAGTGGAGATCTCGAGCTTCTCAAAGACATGGGTGACAGCTTGGTCAAAGCATTTGGCAATGATTGGAACACCATTGTTACGTGTGATCTCCTCAGAGTTGAGTGGCGAAGCTTCGACTGTGAGGTAAAGCAAGTGAGTGGCTGGCGAGATGAGTGGTGTCTTGTTGGAGGTGTTGTATGCCTTTGGATTGGACATCTGCTCGGTGATCAACTTCCAGAGTTGAGTGTAAGCTGGGTACTTGAATGGACGGAACTGGTCGAGGAATCTAGTGTACAAAATCACCTGGGTCAACAAGATCAGTGAGATCTTCTTGTCGCTACCACGCTCATTGTCGACGTTGTTGATGGTAGAGAGCAACTCATAGGATTCCTGAATCTTCTCGAACATCTCACGACCGTCTGGATTCTTATCCGGATGGTATTTGGCAGCCAGCTTGTAGTAGGCCTTTCTGATTTCGTCGTCCTTGTAGTTGTGAGCTTTTCCGTTGGTTCCCTTGTTTGGCTTGAGATTGAGAACCTCGAGAGCTTCGTCCACTGACAGGGTTTGTGGTGCCTTGACTGACTCTTCAGCCCAGACAGAGAGAACACTCTTGAACAACTCCAATGGCTGCTTGATTGGCCAGTTGGGGAATCGCTTGGTATCACAGAGACGCGAGAGATAGAACGAGTGACAGAAGAGTTCACCTTCGAGCTCCTCGTAGACAATCTTGGGAATGGGGACGTACTCATAGATGGTGGTGGTGTTGGAGTGCAAACGTTGTGGCAGCGAAGCCAAGTGCAGCTCAATCTTTTCACGCATCAACTTTCTCATCTTGCTATTCCAGATGGTCTCGGGATCGTCGTTGTCACTGAGGAACTTCGAGGCAAAGTTCTCTGGTGTGTAGTTATCGAGGAAACAGATCAATGCCTCTGGCAACAATGGGAAGAGAACCGAGTGTTTATTCGCCTCTTCGGTGATAAAGAGCTGCTTGTTGTGGATGATTTGCAACAGTCTGACCATTGGGAGGATGTTGGAGTTGGGGTACAACATCATAAAGAAGAATGCACCAGTCAAATAGAACTTGGATGTGAATACAGCATTGTCGAGGAGGATCGATTCGAGTAGTGTGCAAGTCTTCTCGACGAGCATGTCTTGGCCGGACAAGATGACCTGGACGATACGTGGGAGTGCCAACGGTTCGCAGATGATACGCTTGACTCTTGGGAGAGGACGGACAACTGCACCGGTGGTTGGGTGACGAGTTGGACGGAAACTGCAGAGTGCATTCAAGATGTCGAGGATGACGCTACCGAGCTCGGACTTTGGTAGGACACCACCGACGTTTCCGTGAGTGGAACCATTCATGATGGTCCAACGCAACTCTGGGATGGTGTAGAGTGGTTTCCACTTCTCACTACCCTGTGCCCAACATCTAGTGTTCTTATTGATCTTCTTGTTGTTGTACAACTCGAGCAACTCGGTTCTCGATACTGGACCGACACGAGTGGCTTGTGTGGCGGCGGCAGCGCCAGTTGTGTCGGTGGTCGACGATGGTGCAGCAGCTTCAACTGCGTAGTACCACTCTTGTAGCATACGTCCCTCTTCACCATAGGTATAGTGAGTGTGAATCAAGGTGATCAACTCTAACAAACGGTAGATACCACGGTTATCGATAAAGAGCTTGGCATTTGCCTTGACTTGGAGCAAACTACGAATGAACAACAAAAGACGATCACGCAAAATAACATCAAAGGTGTTCTCTAACAGGTCAATGAGATGTGAGAGATTGGAGAATGGATGAGTCATCGATGGATGATTGTTGTAATGAGTGAAAACCAGTGTCATTGCACGAAGACACAACGATTTCTGATCGGGACTATCGTTCAAGAGGAAATTCTGCCAGAGTTCATTGAAGAAATTACCTGGGTTGGTCAAACGAATACCCTTGCTAGTACCATCGACCAACAACGAGATGTAATATCCACCGACACTGATCTCCTTCTTCAACGATGGGTAGAGAACTTCAAAGTCTTCGTCGTTCCAAGCGACGATCTCACGACCGGCAACCTCTTGCTCCTGTTGGAACAGACGCATTTCATTGTCCATCGCTTCACGCAACTCCTCACGAGTAGTGTGATTCCAGATGAGATTGGCATCACGATGATCCTGTGAGAATTGGTATAGGAACATTGGCCAATTCAAAGCCTTCAACGGCTTTTGTTCACGCTTGGCACGGATCACAGCCTTGGCCATGAGTTCACGAGTCTTTAAGATCTTCTTCATACGCCAATTTGCAAAGATACCGAGTTTGATTGCTTTGGGACCGGCAGCCTCTTGATTCTTGAGTGCCTCCTGCTTGGGTGGCTCTTCGGTGCTGTCGAGGAACTGCACCAAACCTCTTGGGAAAACACGCTCCAACAACTGACGACACACCAGATTCTCGGCAGTCCACAAACTTACCAACAGCTTGGACATCTCTTTCTTGGCAGAGTTTCTAATGTTGGTTGGTGTGACGACACCCGGTAGCACCTTGAGATAGAGTGCATCGTGAATATGACGCAACAAAGCACCCTCCACCAACGCAATGATTTGCATCTGTTTAGCCATCTCTTCGTCACCCTCATTGATAACGACCATCATCAACATACCGGCATTCTTTGAAATCGAGGGACATGGATGCATGAACAACTTGAACAAATCACGACCCAAACTTGCAACTCTACCAAGTAAATCATTGAAAATCGGAGCATCTGTTGTTTCACTGTATGGTTCACACAAAATCAAAGTCATCAACTCGATTGCTGCATTCAAAACCAAAGCACCAGTACCTGCAGATGAATGTCTTTGAATAAGCTTAATTTGAGAAGGAAAGAAAGATTAGTAAATGGTTATTGATATTTGAGTTTGTTATATATTTTAATACTACATACTTCAAAAATAGTCTTATTTAAATCAAGACTCATAAAGAGTTCACGTTTGTTCATTTGACATTGACCGGACTCGTATTCACCTTCGAATGCTGGTTGTGTCAAGGCGATCATGAGTTCAACACCGTAGTAGGCGATGGTATCCTCTACACATTGGATGGAACGCTTCAACAGGTTGATCAGTGGGATCTTGCAGTGTGGGAAATGAGTGAACAGCTCGAAACCGACACGTGTAGCGACGACACGTCTCAACATCTGTAGCACCACCGAGATGAGCTCGGTGTCGGTCTTGTCGTCGGGATTCGTCGAGATCTTGACACCACTCAACACCTTTTGAATGCAATTCAACACGACCTTACCGTTCTTCTCTGCGAAAACATTCGACAATCCAGAGTATGGAATATTCGATACGAAACCATCCAAACTCAAAGTGATCTGTGATATATTTAAATTCTCGAAATCAAATGATTTTTGTTCAAATAATCTTATATATTGTTCTTGTACATCCTATTATTATTATGTATAATTATAACAGTCAAATGAATGAATTAGATTAGTAACTATAGTGATTTAGATTTGAGTTATTAGTTTAGTTGGTTAGTTATTACCTCTGATGGAGTGATATGATGTGGAGTAATCTTCATTCCTCTAACGATTTGAGATGTGAATACAGTTGCATTGGCATTACCTGCACCTCTACAGAAATCAATGACCGAAGCAATCAAAGCATCTCTTGCTGACGAAGTGTATGTCTTTAACAATCCATCTTTATATTGAATCGATAGTTTCTGTGAATCTGATTCGTATCTAACTAGACATGCAATAGTAGAATATGATCGAGTTGTTACAATTGAATAATTAGCAATATCTCTTTCAACCAACCTTTTTTTTGTAGAAGAAAAGAAAAAGAAAAAAGAACATATACAAATTAGTAACAAATTGTTATGTTGTTGAAATGAATGTTACTTACTTGGTTGTCGATAATGTTAATAATCTTGCAACTGGCGATTGATGACGGTTACTGATTTTGTTGACTGTGAAATCGATGATGGAGACGAGTGTCTCTTCGTCGTCACGACCGTGTCGACGGATACGGTGGTTCGGATAGTCGGCGAGTGGCGATGTCGATTTGGTCAGTTTGATTTCGTGACCGACGTACTTCTTTGAGAAGACGATGACGTTCTCGATGAACTTTGGATCGTTGATCACAAAGAGATCGCAGGCATCGTTGGGACTCTCGGCGCCAATATAAAAGAGATAGGCGTTCTGATTGTCGGCGAGCGACTCGATCTTGGTGAAATCCTTAAAGAAATAGGATGCACGGATCTTTGTCTCTTTGATAGCGGAACTGTTGTTGCTGGCGGCGGCAGCGTCTTGCTCCTCGATCGAACAGCTACACACCGTCAGAACGACGTCCAGCCAACTGCCATTACGCTTCAGCTTCTTGGCCGAGTAACTCTTATACATACCGGTTGCCAACTCACGTAAACTCATCTCATAGACATAGCCGGCACGTCCCAAATGTCTATAGTTCACTTGATCCACCGATTTTCCTTGTTTCTCCGCTGCCCTAACAACAGTCAAAGATCTTTGTAAATCAGTTAACAACTCTTTATATTTGAGAAGAAGAAGAAGAATTAGAATGAAAAAAAGAATGAGAAGTAATAATAGTTAGTTAGTTTAGTTAATTTTGTTTACATTTATATATATGTATATTGATAACACTTTACCTGCACGATGATCAGATTCAAAATTCAATGTATCTTTCTTCTTTCCATCCTTTTTGGTTACGATTACAAGTTGGTTAGCTTGCTTTTCGGATGGAGATACATCGGCAATGCCAGTTTCCCACTGCCATTGGTTGGTGTTCTCCCAGGTCGATGTATCATGAGTCGTCAAGTGAATTGGATCGATCGACATAAATCTCTTCTTCTTCTTCCATGAGTGTTTAATCGTATACCATAGTGAAAGTGATCTATGATGAGCTGAAATAAACTCATCAATAGAAGTGCCCGGTGCTGGATTACCTGACATCTCTATTCAAAATAAAATAAAAAAATAACAACTAAAACCTTAAACCAAAACTACTATACTATACAAAACTATCTATAGATTTGATAACTATACTATATAAAAAAACTATATTAATTAAATGAAAAGATATATAAAAGTGTTAATAGTTTTTTTTATTAATTTAACTTTTTTTTAAAAAAAAAAAAAAGAAAATCTAAGAATTAAAAAAAAAACAAAAACACTAATATATTTTATTTTTCTAATAATAATCTATTTAAACAAAACAAAAATAAAACAAATATGTATGTATTTGTTTGATTATTATTGATATATTAATTAGATAGATATTAAAGAAAAATATATAATTTAAAAAACAAACTAAAAAGCAATACTTTAGTTGTTCATAAAAAAATTAAAAAAAAATATTACAAAAAAAAAAAAATATCATAAAAAATAAATTGTTTTTCTATTTTTTTTCATTTTAATAGTGGTGGGGTGAGAGCCTCATTCATCAATGATATTCCCATTGCACCAGTGCCTAATATTTTTCATAAAGATTTTTATTTTTTTTACTATTGTAGTTTCACTAGCAAACTGCGAAGGAAAATTCAAAATTGCATATTTAGTTAGCAGTCAGTCTGTTTTTTTGACCTAAAATCAAATCATATCGAATCCGATTGATTGATTTATCTCTTTTAAAATTGACCATCATCATTGATCATTAATAATCATATGATCGATTTATTTGTTTGTTTTGTTTGTTTTGTTTGTTATTCTTACAGGATATCATCTTTGTTCTTTTTAATCTTCTTTACAACACCTTTTCTTGTCATTCTTAAAATTCTGATATCTGTATGTTCGAATCCTGGATGTAAATGTCTTGTTGTGATCTGTGTTGATTATACCGAAAATTAAAGTTTGTTTATATATTAGTAATTTGTTTGTATTTTAATAATAATCATTGTTGGTTAATCTTTTTAGCTAAACACTACTTACGGTTTCTACATCGAAATAAGTTGTTACTTTGTTCATGAAAATAGATTCCGCAGTCATTTGTCTGTGTTCATAACCCAAGTAGATAACAGTGTCAGCCGGTTGAAGTTGTGCCGACTTTATGTAAAGAGGTTCGGCATCATCTGCTCTCTTCTCTGCAACTTGAATATCGTTTTCATTTACCAAATCATCGCCATCTATTTCCTCCTCTTCTTCTTCATCATCTCCATCTTCTTCTTTTTCTTTATTATTGTCGTCTTCGTCATCACTACTATCATTTTGTTGTTTCTTATCATTTAATGTTATAGATGAGAATGTTTCATCCAAATCCTGTTGCTTTTTCTTTGGATGGAATGAGGAGAGATCCAGCAGACTGGCAAGCAACAGATCTACACAGTCGTCTTCATACATCAAATCGGAACCAACGATCATATCGTAGGGTGGATGAAACTTGGATACATCATCACCCCACCACAACTCATCGACCTTTGTCTTTGTCATACTACAATTGTGTCTAACATTATAGTGCAATATATCATGCATACATTTTTGATCTAAAAGATGATGATGACGTCATGTTTATAAATTAATTATTGTTGTTGTTATTATTATTACTATTATTAGTTTAGTTAGTTACCTGTTAAAACAATATCAGATTCTAATAAACTAAGAGTTATACCGAGTAGACCGACACCAGCACCCAACTCGATGACTCGCTTGTTCTTTAAGAGTTTTGAACCGACTTCAAGTTCAAAGTATTTCGACATTACGATCGATGAATCCCATACGGTTGAACCTACACGTGGTCCTTTCGAACTCTGCTTGATATTGATTGTATGTGTTTGGAATGGTAGAATGAAAGGGTCTTTAAATCTCTCATAGTAATCCCATCCTCTAGGTAGATTTAGACTGTGTGGATCGAAACTACCTGTTCCTTTACCATTATTCTTTCCACCATTATATTGATCTTTAACCTTATGTGATCTTCTACCCATTTTCTATCTATATATATTTAACTAGATATATATCTAGATATATATATATATATTAAAAGCAATCTAAATTGATAAAATGAAAATGATGATTCGACCCGCTCGTCTTTTTGCGAAAAATCAAATAAAAATAAAAATAAATTTTAAATTAACAAAAACACACAATAACATTTTTTTTTTTTTAAATTTACTATTTCTTTTTTTGTTTGTTTTTTATTATTATTATTTGAATTACATTTAATATATTATATATATATTAATTATTATTGTTATTGTTATTATTATACGTTTTGTTTTTTAAATCTTGTTTAACATCTCTGGTGATAAATTATCATAGGGACTTGTACAAGTTGCAAGATAGACGATTTCCATCTTTTGTGAATTTTGTTGTTGTTGGTTGTTGAAACGTTGCTCTGATTCTACTTGAATAGAGTTGGTTGTTGGTTGATCCGACATGATATAGTCAGAGTCGTCGTCCAAAGCGATATCGATCATTTCCTTTGAGAGTGCATCGGCTGGATCGAATTGGTGAAGAAGACGACGCCATTTACCGATTTGACCTTCCCAGCTACGCTTGCTGCACACTTGATTCTTGTTTGGTGTTCTTGGGTCGGTCTTCTTTCTTCTTGACTTCTTGACGGCGGCAATATAGGCTTGGTAACCAAGGGTTTGCTTACCAATGTCGATTTGACGTTGACGTGATTTGAGTTTGGCTTCACTTTCTTCTTTTGGTTTTTTGGTTGGTTGTTGAGCGACTGCAACCTCTGAATTGTTGTTTTGCTCGTTGTTGAAGTTGTTAGCATTGTCATTGGTTTGATTAGCACCTACAACAATGTAACCATCGACAATATGTTCAACTGGATCAGTTGGATCGATTGGTTCGAATGGCTTTGGCTTGGCAGCGGTAGTTACCTCAACAATTGGAAGGCCAGTGGCGGCGACTTCAAGATATGTAGTTTTGGCGGTAGCTTCGAATTGCTCAATGCTAATCTTACCTACTGGCTTAAGATGAGCTGGTTTCTTAGTCTTTTGTTGTTGCTGTTGTTGTTGTTGTTGTTGCTTTTGTGCAGACTTTGGTAGGACACTCAACTTAAAGTCGACGGGCAATGGAAGTGGATCGGGAACGAGCTTGGAAGCACTGAATTGTGCTGGCGAAGCAACGAATGGAATCGGTAGGGGAAGTGGGGAGTTGGTAACCGACATCATCATCATCGATGATTTGTATGGGCTGGTTTGGGATGAGAGCATGTGGTAAGCACCACCCCACACGTTGCCGGTGTGTGGTGTCACTGGAGAGGCGTTGAGCGAACTGGCCAAGCTAGAACTGGCAAACACCAGGGAACGAGCTTGTTCGATGGTCTGGTCGATGGCATCGATCTCCGATGGACGCACATTGCACTCCGGACGGTTACGAAGAGACAAAAGGTACTCGACAGTGTGAATAACGGTGGGTTTTGGCAGACGAACAACTTCACCTACTGATACACTATCATCGGTGTTGTTGTCGGCGTCTGTGGTGTTGGTGTTGACAATATCATCAACCAAAAGATCAGTGGTAAGTAACTCTTTGAACGAAGCAGACTCCTCCTGTTGTTGCTTTGGCACAGAGACACTGGTGTATCCATAGGACGAGGTGAACAAGAGGGTATCGGCAGTGACCGCTGTCTTTGGCTTGGCATTGACACTCTTTCTCAATGGTGTAGTAAAAGTAGTAACATTTGTCAGAATATTTGGTGAACCTGGTGTTGGCTTTACAGTTGTAACAATAGACTTTTTCTGAAATTAATTAAATAATAATAATGGAAATAACAATAATAAAATTAGTTTTAAAATTATTTTTCTAAATAATAATCCAGGAATTTATAAATTAATTAATTACCTTGTTGGAAGTTGGAAGATTTTTAATATTTTTAAATAATTGTCTATTTGGTTGATTTGGTGTGTTAAAGCTAGTTGGAATGATGGTTGCCATTTTGTTGTTTTGATATATTACTGACTACTTAAACTAGTGATATTTTTAGCAAAGGAAAAAAAGTTTTTATGTTTTGAAAAAAAAAAAACTCTTGAATATTTTTTATAGGTAGAAAAGAGTAGAGTATTTTTTCAATTTTTTTGATAGAATAGGAGAACTGGCGGAATTTGGTAATTAAATTAACCTGTGGAAATAGATAGAATCTACAGTTGTGTTTTGCCAAAAAAGAAATAACAATATAAGAAAGAGAGATAATGTTGTTATTGTTCGTTGATTTGTAAATATAATCAATTGTTTGAAGATCAATAAAAACCATCAGCAGGTGTGTTGCTCAACCAAAAAGAAAAAAAAATTAAAAAAAAAAAAAACAATAAAAACAATTTTTTTTTGCAATTTTTGACAGTTTATTTTTTTCACATAGGTTCACCCATAGTGTGTCACTAAGAAATTTGAATTTTTCATCACAATCACTATGCGCCAAAATCATCAAAATCTAACGGATTCATCATTTTTAAATTAAAGCGCCAACAGTTGAGCGGGAACATATTAAAAATTGAGATTTTTCTTGGTTTTTGTTTTGTTTAAGAAACACAATGCAAATTAATTTAATGATCAGATCTTTCTTTACTTTTCATTGAATCGATTGAATTGAATTGATTTGCAATTATATGAAGTAATTTTATTTGAATTTTTAAATTGATTTGATTAATTTAAATAATAAATCATTTTTTTATTTCTATTTATTTTTAAAATTAATTACTTTTTTTTTTTGTTTTTGTTTTTTTTTTTGTTTAAAAAAAAAAGAGAGAAAGTAATTTATGTAATGAAAATTGTTATTATTAGATTCTTCTTACTCTTCATCACCTATTGATTGATAATAGTCAAGTAAAAATCCGAGACCTTGCATGTAGAGTTTGAATGGCTCGATGAGATCGTATGGTTTCTCTACGGTAACGAGTGCACCACACTCTGGGATTGTAATCAAAGTTGACAACGATGGATTGAAATGTGAGAAGAGCTCAATGACATCGTCAACATGTACATCGTCTTTACCGACAACCACCAAAATCTTACACTTTAAACCATGAATATCATTTAAATTGATATCATCTTTCCTGTAATTATGATAATGTGAATGTTAATATTTGAAATATATGATTTTTGATAATGATTGATATTTACTTTAGATAGCTTTCAACATAATGACACATATTAACAGTATTGATCATATTCATTTCATTGATGATCGATTGCATGATGTCTGGACTGGTGGTATCGAGTTCACCCAAATGGAAATGTTTGATGAGATAGTTTTTAACGTTCTCTGGGTTCTTGAACGATGGGATCGATTTGAATCCAATCCAATGCTTGACTGTCTCGAGCCATCCGAATGACTTGAGTGCTGAACCAACGAGAATCAAACCAATCACATACTTTGGATTGTTAATAGCAAACTTGGTTAAAACTGCACTACCTGCACCTGACCCTAATCCAATGAATGTCTTTATCCTGTATTATACAAAGCCAAACAAAATGTTAATAATAGCTAATCACAATAATGCAGATGGTGTAGGTAGATAGATACCGACTTGAAATGATCTAAAACATATAGAATGTCTTGTGACATTTGCTCTAGCGATGGATAGTGATTCTCGATATCGGCAGAGTTGTATTCATGTCCTGGTGCTTCAATATGGAGAATATTAATGAATGGTAGAACTGTTTTCATTGCTGGCTGACCAAAGAATGGACTGAAACATGATACATCTTGAAATATTGATTTGTAAGGATTTAAGTTTGTTTGTTAACAATAAGTTTGTTTTTGTTAATGTTTGTTATTGATTGATTGATTGATTGATTATTGATATGATACATACGATTTGTACCTAAATCATGATAGGTTACGATAAATGGTAGTTCAACATGTTCAGAGTTCTCACCCATTCTGAGGTAACATGCCAATTCACCGGACGATGTCTTTACGGTGTGTTTGACTTCACCTGGTTGAGCAGCGATATAGTCGTGTACAACGACATCTACCTTGCTGGAACTGCTACTCAAAGCATTGCCTGAAGTACTCTTTTTCAAACTACCAGAACTCTTATTGAGAGCGGTACCCGATGTGCTCTTCTTCAAACTATCCATTCTTCTTTCCTTATTTTTTTTTGTTTTGCTAGCAGTAAGACGACTGACTTGATTTTTTTTTGTTTTTAAATTTAATATAAAAAACAAAATTGAACTGACTGAACTGATTAATGAAACTCGACTCGTTTATTTATGTATTATGATTGATATAAAACTAATTTGCTTTTTTTTTTATAGTAAATGTTAGCTAATACAATCGAAATATATAATAATATGCCAAATTAAAAATGTTGATGATTTATTATTGTTGAATTTATCTATTTTTTAATTTCTTTTTGGTTTTTTATTAATTAATTATATAAATATTTTATTTAATTTCGAAAATTGATTAACAAATTAATATTATCTATCTTATATCTATCTATCTATCTATTTTATTTTTATCTTTATTAATTAATGAAAAAAAATAATATTTTTTGAAGTTTTTTTTTTTAGGTGGTAGGGTGGTGGTGTTCACAAAATAAAATAAAAATAAAAATAAATATAAACACAAATATATTATAATTATTTTATTTTTATTTATTTTATTTTAAAAATATTATTATAAATAATTTTTTTTTTTAATATTAAACAAATCGTGTTTTTCAAAAAAAAAAAAAAAAAAAACACAAAAAATCAAACCAGGACATGGACAGGGGATTGTCTTTTTAGTTCATGATTTATTTTGGATTTTTAAGCAAAAATAAAAGAAAAAAAGAGTGTTAACACTCTTCATTTCACCTTTAATAGAAATCTGAGATTAACTTGGTTGTCAGGAGTGTCGTGCAAGGTTTTTAAGGGCGAAAAAAAAAAAAAAAAAAACATTTTAAAATCATGAGATCATATTACCCCAAACCAACACTATCACCAAATGAACACTTGATTTTGGATTCACCAATATTCACACACAGTGCGGCATCTGACATGACAGAGTGTCACAAATGTCAAAAAACAACAAGTTTTATTATAAATTCATCAAAATTCACCACTCAACTTTTAGACCTTTGCCCAAAGTGCGCACTCTTTCCATCAAAACGATCATCATATCTCAACCGTATTTTAATTCTGTGAAATAGATATAGATTTTGTATTTATTTATTTGTATTTATTATTTAATTTTATCACATTTTTGTTTGTAATTTAAAATATTTATTTTCCACGATTTTAGTTTCATAAATATCACTTTCATATAATAGTCATTATACGAAAGATGAATTTCATCCATGCGCAGATAATAAAAGAATATTGTTTATTATTATGATGATGACGGGGCTGTTGTTTCTAAGCACATAATTTTTGGAATTTATCTTGAAGTATTTCTTAAGTTTATCAAATATTTATTTTCTCTTATAAAAGGCAAAATGAAACAATCTATTGTAATACTTTATAAAACCAATTAAATTAATAAAAAAATTATATTAATATAATAACAAACATACTTGTCCAAGATATCTTTCATAGTTGTTTTTTGAGAGCAATCTATTTCCATATTATACTAAAGTTCTAATTAATATTTAATTGTAAAAACAAATTTTTAGTTTATATTTATGTTTGATTTTTCTAGGTCTCTTCTAAAAACTCAAAAACTCTATTATTATCTATTGTATCATATTCTCTATAATTTTTGCAAAAAAATCAAAAATAAATCAAGAATATATTACTATCTTTAATTGTTTATTTATTTATTTCAAAGATAGTTGCAGAACGCCTTATTAACTTGTCGTCACTTAGAATAGATTCCCATTGATCTTTTTCGATGGAATATCGAGCACTGCCACAATTTCCACCAGTGATATCCACTCAAACTCTTGATCCGATTTCCACTTTGTAATTGTTTTGTTTTTGATGTTGAAGATCGTCATATCAAATGCATACTCTGATATGCTATATAGAGATCCGTTATAATGACACAAAACGATTTGATATGCACTTGCTACATTTGCTGAACAATACAATCTAAATTGTAAAGTTCTGACATTAAATAGTATGATATTTTTATATCCAAAGACTCTTACCTCATATAGATAGATATGATCTTTTCCATCGTAACACGTTAATACTCGATTGGCGCATATGTTATTTAAAAATTGATCATGAATAACTTGAAATGATTGATCTGCTATCGAGTATCTGATGTATTTTCCGAGATCATCGCACCCACCAAACATGTAAATATACTCTCCAACTTGTATTGATTGGCCGTACAATGGGTTGAAGTCTTTTATTTTTCCAAGATCAGTGATGTTGGAGTTGGATAAATCTATCAATGATGCTCCATCGCGATGTGTTGATAAGATGTAACTGTGTTTGTTTTGATTATTATTTAAACTTGTTGAATTTGAACTGAGTTTGATTGATTGTTTCAATAGATGACCAAGTTGAGTGAAATCAAACTGTTTGAGTTCTAATTTACGATTGTTGGTTTTGTTATCATTATCATTATTGTTATTATTATTGTTGAATGAAGATGATTTAAATTGATTATTATATTTATAGATTAAATCTAATATCATTGAATCACTGTTATTATTATAATTTGATAGAATATCGAGAAGATGTTCATTTGTAGAGGTGGTGTTGCAGAATAACGTTTCATTATTTGATTTGATGAATGATGAAAGTGATTCACTTGAATTGATTGATTTCATGATGAATGGAATTGAATAACTCTCTGTTGTATCATCAAGAAAAGATGATGTTTTAGATGTTTCACTATCATTATTATTACTATTAGTTTCTAAATGATTATATAATATGATAGTGTTGATTAAATGTTTTAATTCTTTAATATTATGATCTATTTGATTGATTATTAACTCTTTATGATCGATGATTGGTTTCTTTAACTTTTGTTCTTCAATCATAAGATATTTATACAACTCTTCAAAGTGTTTGCTGATCTGTTTCTCATCTAATGATAATGAATTGTAGTTTTCTGTTTTACACTTCATCATGTTCCAAATATCATCTAATCTCTTTGATATATAATTAGAACGGTTGGTCGTTTTTGTATCATTATTATCATTATTATTAATATTATTTAATATTTGTGTAAGTTCAAATCTAATATCATCGATATGATCAATGAAATTAGAATGTTCTCTTTCTTTGTTATGATTGATTGAACATCTTGAACACAATAACTTATTGCACTCATAACACAAAGCTTCTAATATTTTTTTATGATCTGAACATTCAAAACTATTACAAATAACTTTGTTATCCATTTCTTCAAATATATATTCTTATGATAAACATACAAGTATAGTTATAAAGATATTATAAATCAGATAGAAACGAATTAAAAAAACATTAAATGACCATCCCAATCAGATTTTTAGATTTTGGTTTGAAAAATATTCTTTGTTTTATTACCATTCTAATATTAATTCAATTTTGTTGTAATCGAAACATTTAACCTTCATTTTAATGATGTCATTAAATTTGAAGTGTTGTATTCTGACTTGATCGATATATATTCCATTCTGTTGGTGGTTATAATCCTTAAAGAAAATGTTGACAACACGATCTGTTTTGGGAAAAATTGTTTCGAGAGCGAACTTGTCCAACTTTTAAAAAAAAAGATACTTAAACTCTCAACATGAATTGTGTACATAGATAAAACACTAATGAATAGTGAGATAATCAAAGCATTTATTACTCTCTTTATACATTTAATTGTATTTATTTATTTATTTATTTCAAAAAGATAGTTGCAGAACGCCTTTTTAACTTGTCGTCACTTAGAATAGATTCCCATTGATCTTTTTCGATCGAGTATCGAGCACTTCCGCAATCTCCACCGATCGTATAAATATAACTCTCTACCTCTGATATCTCGTGGTAAATCATTGGTTTACACATGATTGAAATAGTAAGACTATGGTTGTTATTATTGAGATACTTGATTTCTTTGGTTTGAATGCTGAATCGAATGAATTTTTCGTCAGTGTTGTACAAATAAATATATCCTTTGTGATCAGTGCATCCTGATATCCACTCGAACTTTTGACCCGATTTCCACTTTTTATATGTTTTGACTTTGATGTTGAAGATCGTCATTTCAAATGCACGTTCTGCCATGATATATAGAAATCCGTTATAGTGACACATTATAATTTGGTATGTACTTGCATCTACTTTCTCACAATACAATTCAAATTGTAAAGTTCTTATATTAAATCTTCTCATGATATTATTATTTCCAAAGACTCCTGCATCATATAGATAGATATGATCTTGTCCATCATAGCACACTGATACGGTATAGATGCTATGTAAAACTTGATCATGAATAACTTGAAATGATTGATCTGCTATCGAGTATCTGATGTATTTTCCTAGATTATTGCGACCACCAAACATGTAAATATACTCTCCAGCCTGAATTAATTGAGTGCCATATAGTGTATAGTCATTTATTTCTCCAAGATCAGTGATCTTGTAATTCGATAAATCTATCAATGATACTCCATTTTGATGTGTTGATAAGATATAACTGTGTTTGTTTTGATTATTATTTAAACTTGTTGAGTTTGAACTGAGTTTGATTGATTGTTTCAATAAATGACCAAGTTGAGTGAAATCAAACTGTTTGAGTTCTAATTTACGATTGTTGGTTTTGTTATCATTATCATTATTGTTATTATTATTCTTGAATGAAGATGATTTAAATTGATTATTATATTTATAGATTAAATCTAATATCATTGAATCACTGTTATTATTATAATTTGATAGAGTGTCTTGAAGATATGAATTTTTGGAAGTGGTAGTGTGGAATAACGTTTCATTATTTGATTTGATGAATGATGAAAGTGATTCACTTGAATTGATTGATTTCATGATGAATGGAATTGAATAACTCTCTGTTGTATCGTCATGAAAAGGTGATGATGATGATGTGGTTGATGATGTTTCACTATCATTATTATTATTAGTATCTAGATGATTATTTAATATGATGATGTTGATTAAATGTTTTAATTCTTTAATATTATGATCTATTTGATTGATTATTAACTCTTTGTTATCGATGATTGGTTTCTTTAACTTTTGTTCTTCAATCATAAGATATTTATACAACTCTTCAAAGTGTTTGCTGATCTGTTTCTCATCTGATGATAATGAATTGTAGTTTTCTGTTTTACACTTCATCATATTCCAAATATCATCCAATCTTTTTGATATATGATTAGAACGGTTGGTCGTTTTTGTTGTATTGTTATTATTATTTTTATCATTAATATTAACATTACTATTATTAATATTATTTGATATCTGTCTGAGTGCCATTCTAATATCATCGATATGATCAAGAAAATTAGAATGTTCTATTATTTCTTTGCTATGATTGGTTGAACATCTTGAACACAACAACTTATTGCACTCATAACACACAGCCTCTAATATTCTTTTACGATCTGAACATTCAAAACTACTAATATCTTTGTTATTCATTTTTAAAAGATATCTACTATTATTACTATGATTCTAAATAGGCAAGATTAAAAAATTAAATAAAAAAAAAGATTTAATCAAACACCCTTGATTTTAGATACAAAACTAAGTAATTTAATTTGAAAATGGCTTTGCTCGAATTAAAAAAAAAAAAATGGTTTATGAAAAAAAAATATGTTTAGATGATGATCTTAGGCCATCAGTAACTCATTGCTACTAAAGTCAGTGAACACGCTTTATACACAATCATGGAATAAATATCCAATCAAATCGAAATTGATTAAATAAAATTTATCAAATTAAGAATTGTCAGATAATCAAAGCATTCATTACTGTGCATTTATAATTTTAAATTATTTACTTTATTTATTTTTTTCAAGTTTTCTAAAAAGTATTTCTATTATTATTATTACAGTATAAATAAATTATAACTTTTTAATTGCTTTTAATTAAACAGGTTAAAACTGTGGCATAAAAACAAAAATATCTTTTTTTTTTTTTTTTTTTTCTTCTTCTTGAAGTTCATTTAAAAAAAAAGGACTGAAAAAGTTATCATATTATTGAAATACTTAAAAAAGAACAATATTGTTTCTTATTAAAATAAATACAAATAAACATTAATCCTGTAAAAAAAAAAATTTTGCAAATCAATCTGATTGGTGGTGATTGGGTTGAGCAAAGATTTTTTTTTTTTTTGCAAAAAATTTCCAGACACATAAACTTTGATTTTGAATCAGATCAAAACTGTCGTCATTCACAGCGAGAGGACATTAACCAAAATTCTGAGAGGTTCCCAATCGTATCTCAAATTAATTTTAAGACCAAACACATCACGAGTTAGCCCAAGGATTAATTCCTCAGGCATTCAGAACTTGGATTTTGTCAAATCATCAAAGAAGGGGTTCAATCTCAGCGCTTCAGATAAAAATAAATATCTTTAAAATGAACAAACCACCAACTAATACACCTAAACAATTTACTGATTGATTTTAATTAATATCAAATTCTGTATTTTTGTAAACTATAAATAAGGACTTGTCTTCTCTAATATCAATTATAACTTTAAACAAATATAATAATATATATATACAAAAATGACACATGTACATAAAGCTGTTTTTAATACAAATGATTTACAACCAAACAAGTAAGTTGTTTTGACATACAATACTCATTGGGAATGAATAATATTTATAAAGTTAAAAGGTTACTAATATCAATTATATTCTACCAATATTATATTTCTTTTGTAAATCAAAAAAAAAATAGATTTAGATTGGTTCTTGCAGTTGAAAAAGGAAGTTGGGCTAGAGCCTGTAGAGTTGTAGATGTTATGACCGGTAAAAACAAAGAGCTAAACACTGATGGAAATAACGATCGTATCTATCCAACTTCAACACCAAGCTTCTATTCAAACAAGTTTTGTTATGACTCAGTTTGGATCGATCACACTCAGATCAGTAACATCAGATTAGAGTTCTGGAAGTACAGTGGTACTTGGTCATGGTATCAAAACGAGACTATTGACCTCGCAAACGACTGGAACTACTATTCAAACAAAACCGTTGTATTCATCTGGAGAGACGATAACAGTACAATCACCAATCTAGTTGGCCAAGAATTACCAGCACCAACCGCCAACTTGCCAACCAGAGATATCCTCCCATATTGAATCAATATTACTATAAATCATATTAATAAAACAAAGTATCAAAGTATGTTAAATTGTTAAGATTTTAATTACTTGTGACTGCTTAATAAAAACTCAAACTAGATCATATATATTTTGATTTTGTTAGTTATAAAAGACTTGAGCTTGATTGAATTCGGTTAAAAGTAAACAAATCAATATACCAGTAAATAATAATGGATCACCACAAAAAAGAAAATATCAACAGATCGAAAACTAAAAAAAGAACAAACAAACAACAGTGAAATGAAATGCTAATAATAAAGACAATAAAACAATTAAACAATAAATATTATAAATAAAAATAATAATAATTTATTAAATTTATTTCTTCTTTCCAAACTTTTCAGCTTTCTTCTTTTTGGTTTGCTTTTTGATGTGTTTTGGAATCTTTGTTTTTCTTCGCTCTCTATTTAGTTCTTTGACCAACTTCTTTCTTTCTTTCTTTGGCATATCTTCCAGTTTGATTGGTTTTCCATCTTTATCCAAGATTCCACTGACAACTTCATTGGAATCAGAGTCACTTTCATCATCCTCATCTTCATCTTCACTGTCATCGTCTTCACTATCTTCTTCATCGTCATCGTCATCATTACTATCCTTCTTTATCATCTCTGGAGCATCTAGAGTAGTTGTCAAAGAAGAACTCAAACCCATAATAGTATTATAGAAAACGTCACCACCCGCCTTTGCCTTTGCCAAATCACGATCCAAATCCAAAATCTGATCCAATGTACGTGGAATATATGCATTTCTAAACACTTCTTCTTTAATCTTATCTTCCTCTGTCAAATCACCTCTATCAACAATCTTTTTCTGTAACTATAATATTTTGGTATAAAGTAAAGTAAATAGTGTTATTAATATTGAAAAAACAACCAAATTTGATACAAATAATAATAATTGGATAACTTACAGCATCTAAATATAAATCAATATTATCATCATTAATTGAAATGTCAGTTACAAACTCAAAGAGTTCCTGTGTCAACATGGTTTGTACACCGTTTTTTCTAAAGAAATCGGTGATGTTGGAAACGTCCATACGAAGGAACTCGAGGGAGTGTGGATGATCGTGCTCCACCGATTGCGATACGTCGATGATGAATAATCCACCTTTGTAGTAGAGGATGTTGTACTCTGAGAGATCGGCATGTACCAACCGACACTTGTGATAGAGTGTTCGCATCATCTTGATGGCATCGAGATAGAGCTCGTGGTAACGCTCGTCGGTGAGCACGGCATCCTTTAGTCGCGGTGCAGCATAGCCATCCTTACCGATGAAATTCATAATGAGAATATGATTTCTCAGTACCAACGGTGTCGGACAAGGAATGCCGGCGCTCTTTAGACGCATCAAATTACGATACTCTTTCTCCGCCCAAACCTTGACCATCTTACGCGGGTTGTGCTTGCTGTAGCCACGACGGAAACGGAACTCACCGGTTACATAACGATCACGGTCTTTAAACACCAGGATACTGGTTTTGTACACCTTTATGGCGCGCTCCTCACCGCCGGCCGTCATGGCATGATAGACATTCGCTTCCTTACCAGTGCTGACACAACCGTTGATCTCACTGATAACACCCTTATTGATCATCTTGAACAACATCAAACGTGTTCTTGGATCCAGTACCTGTTCTGTTGTCGCTCTATTCTCTTTATCAGCAATTCTTATACTATAAAATTATAATAATAATATTAACCATTCATTAATAAGTAAGAAAGAATATCGCACCAAAGTTATTCAATTAAACTATCAATCAATAATTACTTACCCTTGTTTATCATCTTTCTTTTTAATTTCTCTAACTTCATTTGATACAGAGTTTGGTAGTGAACGATGAGAGTCATCATCGATTACTCTTCTCATCTGACCTAGATTTATTTTATTCTGATACTTTTGTTCCAACACATTGTTTCTTGGTTGTAGTGATTTATTCAATGATAGTGATGATCTCTCGTGTAATACACGATCTTCATCTTCGTCACTATCGAAATAATCATCATCGCTATAATCATCGTCACTATAATAATCATCGTCATAATATTCTTCATTATTATTGTTATTATTTGTATTATTTGTGTTACTATCTGCTTTACTACTAGTATTTATATTTGCATTACTTATATTTTGAATGGTATTATCACCATTCAAAGTAATATTGCTTCCTTCCATATTTATAACTAAAAATAATTAAACAGAAAAAAAACGAATTTGTCGTTTTTATATAAAAAACCATATTCTCAATTATTTATTTATTAAATTATCTTTCAAAAGTTTTGATAATAAAACAGGAATGTGGTATTAATAAAGAAAATCTATTATTTAATTAAACAATTTCATTTATTTATCTTTTTATTCAATTAAATTGAGAATCGATTTAATTCAACATATTAAAATAAAAAAGAAAGGTTTAACTTTATATAGTTTTAATTGATTATAAAAGTATTGATATTTGTTTGATTTTGAATTCAAAAACAACTTGTTATATATCTTTATAAATAAAAAAAAGATCGCAACTTAAATAAGATTTGTTTTTGTTTATAAAAAAAAAAAAAAAAAAAAAAGTAATTTTAATATTATAGGAGTTTATTAGATGGTTTTGTTTTGTTTGGCAAGTCAGATGTGTGTTAAGTTAGTTTGTTTTGGTGAATGAAGAGTTTAGTCTATGAATTGGTTCTATTATTCCTTTCTTTTCTTTTTGTTTTTATTCATTTGGTTATTGTTGTGGTTGTTGTCAAGTTGTATAATTGATTATTTGATAGGATATAGGGAGGAGTGTAGAGGTTTAGTTGTTGTTGTTGTTGTTGTTGTTGGTATTGTGTATTGTATGTTGTATGGTGTTGTTTAATAATAATTTACATTAATATACATCTTTCTTTCTTTTCTTTTGTTGGTACACCTTCTTTCTTATATTTATCTCTAATCTTTCGTACGATACTATAAAACACATTATCTACATTGATTCTATCTTTACATGAAGTCTCCCAAAATTCACAATTTGGATACGATTGAGACAGTTGTTTACCTTCATTTGTACTAACTTCTCTATGTGAATCTAAATCAATCTATAGATATTCAAAAAAAAAAAAAAAAAAAGAAAAACAAAAAACAATATTAGTTTCAATTCTATTCTTTTTCTCTTATATTGTTATCTATCTATCTTTTCTAATCGATTGATTATGTTGATTAATTGATTGATTGATTGATTACCTTATTACCAACTAAAACAATAGGTACTTCTTCTTCCTCTTTAACTCTAAACAGTTGCTCGACGATGTCTTTTAATTCGATAAAGGTCGACTTGACCAAAATACTATAGACCAATACAAAACCTTCGGCACTCTTCATATAAAGCTCTCTCATCGCAACCAAAACCTCTGAACCAGCTGTATCCAACACTTCGATACAAACATTCTCACCATCCAATTCAAAACTCTTTGTATAGGTATCTTCTACTGTTGGGTCATACTAAATTTACAATAACAATAATAAACAAATTAAACATTAGCAAATCAAGTCAATTCGATACCAATAATACCAATTTAATAATAATGAAAAAAACAAAGATAGATTTGTTTGTTTGTTTTTTTTTTTAGATCGATCACCATCACAACATGTATACATTAACATTTTATATTCATTCGAGAAAGAAATACACTAAATTATTGCAATCGGTCTGTCCAAATATAATAGTCAGTCTAGTCAATCGATTGACATTGTACATAATTCCAAAGATATCTTAAATATAATCGGTATATTTTTTTTGTTTTTTTTTGTTATTTTTTTTTTTCGTAATTTTCGAATAGTGATCGATCTACAATTCTATATGCTGTTGTTGTTGTTGTTGAAGTCGCAGATGATTGATGATTACCTTATCGATGAATATTCCTTGAGTGAATTGAACTGTTAGAGCTGACTTTCCAACTGAACCAGATCCCATAACAGCCACAAAATATTTCGATTTTTGTGGTGTTTGTGATACCTTTCCTTTATCTTTCTTTCCCATCCTTTATATTATATATATTATACTACTATTACTACTACTATTATTATTAATAAATAAGATTTAAGTTTTAGTCTTCAAAATATTGAAAAAATAATTAAATAAAAATAAATAAAAAAAAATAGCAAATAAATATTGATCGTTTTTCTTTTTGGCCTATAATATTTTAAATATATATATGTATGAGTGTTTAGTGAGTGATATTACAAAAATAGTAGTACTTTGTGTGTTTAATTCTTTTTATATTATTATAAAGATATATATAAGAAAAAAACAACAAAAAAAATAATAATAATAAAAAAAAACTAAAATAACTCCCAACAATTATTTTGCTTGATAGATTTTGTGAAAAAATGGTGTTTTTTTTTTGACTATTTTTTTTTTTTGCAAAAATTTTTTTTGAATTTTTTTTTTGCAAAACTCTTTAAAAATAGATAGAATTTGTATATAGATAAAGAAATAAAAGACAATAAACCTAACCAACCAACAAAAAACAAAACAGATAGAAAGAAACTACCTAGCTTGGAATATGTTCAAAGATTGAATAGATTGATGTTGATTTTAACGCTCAACCAAACTTTTTTTTAAAAAATTGTTTTTTTTTTTTTTTTTTAAATTAATTTTGATTTGATTTGATTGATTTGTGGTGTTAGTTTATCGCTTTCATACTTTGAAAGATGTGATAGTGGTGGTAATTAATTGTTTTTTTTTTTTTGATTGATTGATTAATTTAAGTTATATATTTAAAACTGTCTATCTATCTAAATAAAATATTCAGTTTATATACATATTATATATAGAATATTTATATTTTAAGAGAATAATACTACTATGTAAGATGGTATCGTTTTTATTTTATGTTTTTGTAGTTTGTCCAAACCTATAATTAGTTTTTTTTTTAAAAAAAACTTTCTTACTTTTTTATTTGTTTTTCTTTTTTTTTTTCTTTATATGAAGTAATCTATCTATCTGTTTTAAAAGATTTAAAATGTTATTTATTTATTTTATTAAATTAATGATTAAGTTTTAAAACCTTTTTTTTTTTTTTTTTTTTGATCATGAAACCCTCTAAACCATCTAAAATAAACTCATTCTTTGTATTATTTTGTTGTAAAAAAAAGAATCAAAATTAATATTCAAAGAATATTTTTTTTGATCAAAATTTTTTTTGTTGTAAGTGAACTCACTTCTTGCAAAACATCGAGAATAGATTTTAAAGATTGTGAGTTGTTTTTTTTGATGGAGAAACAAATAATAATAATAAATTTATTATTTATTTATTTATTTTAAATAAAAACATAAAATGAAACGCTAGAACAACTATTTTTGTCACAGGTGTCTTCAAAACTAGGTGAATCCACTAGTGACTGTACAGTTGGAAATAAAAAAAAGAACAAAAAGAAAAGCTATATGTCAATGTTGTTGTTTTTGTTGATTTTACTGCTTTTGCTTCTTGTTGGACTGTCCAAAAGTGGAAACGTCATCTGTGTAATTGTGTAAAAAGAATGATGGTTGTTGTTGTTTTTGTTTTTGTTTTCCAACAAAACAGATTCGTTGTTGTCTTTCTCTATATTCTCTTATTTCTCTCTCGTTATCACTATCTTCACTATTTACACCTATTATATTATTTAATATACATTTGTTTAAATTATTACTATTAAAACATTCATTATTTAAAAATTGACTACTGTTATTATCTACTACTATTTCTAATCTAATATTATTGTTATTGCTGCTATTGTTTTGTGAATCTAAAATTGGTGAAGATGTTAAATATTGAATATGTTGTTGTTGTTGTTGTTGTGTTTGATGACTATGATGTGGTTGTTGTTGTTTATATGATCTACTTATATACAAATGTTGTTGTTGTTGCTGATTTTGTTGTGTTGTTTGATGAGATTGTTGTATTTGGACTTGTTGTTGTTGTTGTTGTGGAGCTGGATTTGCAGTTGATTTCTGTTGTTTCTTTAATTCTTTGTTGCGACGATTACGACACTTTGGACAACTGTAGTGTAATGGATTTGGTTGAGTGTCGTCATACAAAGAGATGTCTTTGATTCCATCGCACTCGGTCATCACCCATTGACTGCAATCGTCACAACGAATCCACTCATCGCTATCACACTCCGTCGATGAATCTTTGTTCTTGTTGTACATCTTGCCACACAATGGACACTTTGGTTTCTTCATGTTCTGAAGACCACAACTATTGCAGAGAACCTCGCCACTTGGACCTTTTCGCCACTTGCATGTCGGTCCCTTTCCAGGTGTTGTCGAACCACATACACAACGATTGACTCTTGGCACCATTTGATTCTTGGTTCTCTTCTTCATCGGTTTGATCTCCTTCACTGGGATATTCTCTGACTTTTTCAGTGTTGGATCTTTCATCAGCTTCTGATGTTGTTCCAACAATAAAAATGGCTGACATGGAACATCGAATGTATTTGGTGATGGAAGTGGTGATGTAATTGGTGAAGATGGTGCTATATGATAAATTTAGTATATTAATATTATTTGTTTGTTTAACAATATTTAAATATCACCTACTTTTCAAATCACATTCTGAAGATGAATTGGGAGAAGATGGATTACAATCATCTTCATTGAAAACTTTAATGATATCATTGACTTTACTGCTTTTGCTTGGTGGAAGATAGTGTTTTCTTGGTGAGTTGTCTCTACTGCTGCTTGCACTGCTTCCACTAGGTGTGTTACAACTACTGCTATGGTTGCTCAGAGAGTATGATTGAAACTGAGAAAAAGGGATGTTTGGTATTAAATTGGATTGTGTATTGGATGAAGATGGAATGAATTGATCGAATGTATTGACTCTTTGGAAATTGAATAAAGTAGATGGAACGTTCTCGTCACCCGATGAATCCGGTGATCTTGTTATATCATTATTACACTCTGAAAAATTCTTTAAATTAATTAATTTTTCTCTGAAAACCTCCATATCTTCAAACATTTATAAATAAATAAAAAAATAAAAATAATATTAATTTTAAACAGTAATAAATAGTTATTGAAATAATTGATTTAAAAAATATATTGAAGCATATATAAATAAATAATTTAAATTTGTTATTTTGTTATTTCTTTAGTTAATAGATATATGTTAATTATTTTTGGAAAAAAAAAGAATTTGAAATGAATTTTGGTTTGTTTTAGAAATAAATAGAATATATATATATTGTTAGTTATAAAAAAAAATGGTGAAAAATGATTAGAAATTATAAATTTTATTGATTTATTACTATATTTATATAGGATTAACGATATTTAAAAATTATTCCAATAAATTGTTGATATAATGTGATATCTTTTTTAATTTTTGTTGATGATAAAATTTATTTTAATGATTTTGTTAAATAAGATGATGTCGTGTGATTGCTAGCACTTTTAGGTGTTATTTGTTAATTTGATGATTACTAATTTAAAAAAAATATACTAGTGTCCGAAAATGGAAATTTTTATCATTGGCTTTGCAATGATTTTTTTAAAAATAAAAATATGTCTTTGTTGTGTGTTTTTGTGAACTGTCGATGTGAGAGTGTGGTTGTTTTATGAACTGTCGAAACTTTATTAATTTATTATTGGTTTAGTTATTTGGAAAAGATTGATTGATGAATTGAATAAATATAATATTTGATTAAGAATAAAAATAAAAAATAATTAATTATTTAAATAAATAAATTGTTGAATAATATATAAATATATATTAATGTGTTGGATTGTATAATATTGAATTTGGTTTTTAATGAAATAAGTTTGAAGAGAAGATTGAGTTTTTAATAAAAATAAAAATTAGTAGATATATAAAAAAACTCAATTTGGAATTGCTTTTAATTGTACTATTATTATTTATTTTTTTAAATATTATTGTTATTATTGCTATTATTAATATAAATTGGAACTTTATTAAAAAAATGAATTTGATGCTTCATTTATTTATTTTCAATCCAATGTATTTTTGTATCATGAAATGAATCATTTACAAAAGATGTGTGTGTGGGGTGATATCTAAAAATCGACAAAAAAACGTTTTATTTTTGCAATGATGAAAAAACTATCAAAAGTTTTTGATTTTGCGCATGTGGGGGTGTTTTAATGTGCTCCTCGAAATCAAGGAAACATTAGGTTGTTTTGTTTATCATGACAGTAATCACTATGGTAGACGTAGATTCACACTTCAAAATATTGTCTCTTTTACACAAGAATTCGCTTTGAAACCAAGGACTATCAAAGTAGTTGCCTTTAAAACTTAGGGTATTTACTCTTAGAGAACAGAGATCACTCCAATTTCTGTTGACTCGAATCTCTAACCATACTGTGAATTTCAATGTGGTCAAATTGACATTTTAGTTTCAAAAAAGTAAATATCACCAAAAACAAAAAAAAAAACAAAGATGATTAGATTTTAGTCTTTGGGTCCATTCACTAAAAATGATACTATAATTGCCACTTTATCAATGTTTACCCATGCTTTATGATGGGTCTACATAAATTTTTATAAAACAACAAGAGATCACATTTCTGAATCCTTTTCATTTTTTTTTTAATTTCATCATATCCTGGATTTTTCAGAAATAAAATTGTGTTATTGATTTATAAAACAAGATATTTACTAATTTTAGCTCTTAGAACTCGATATTACTTTTAATAAATCATTATTTTAAATTGATTCATGGTTTGTTTGACAGTATTTTTTTAAAATTAAAAAAAAAATAACGATTTGAATAATTATTTATTATTGCAAAAAGCTTGTGTTGTTTTATAGTGTGATTGTATGGTGGATAGCGGGGCTGCTGCTGGTCTTGTTGTTAATAAATAAAAAGTTATTTTGTGCCACAGGTTGTGGCATGCCCATTCAATGGACTGTTGCAGTTGTTGGTGCCATAAGTTTTGTTATAAGTATCAATTGCTTTTTCTAGATTTGAAAGATGTAGAATACCATTCTCCTCGACCTCTTCCGGTTCGCTAGGGTCATATGGGGTGAAACTGTTGTGGTGGTTGAAAATAAAAAGCAAAGTTAGTTTTTTTGTTAATTTTAAATTTCAATACCGAAATTAAATTTGATTTGATTTGAATAGATTGGGGTTTGTTTGAGTTGGTCATCTTTAATTTTCAAGAAGTAATTGATTATTTGGTGATCTCTGACATTTCCAAGATAATCTTTCATTTTTGAAAACAATCACAAAACAACAACAAAATAAATCCAAAATAATATTATTTGATTTTGTGATGATTTTTGATTACTACTACTTACTTTGCATATTTATAAACCCATTTATCACCGATCTTTTTGAAATATTTTGGTTCCCATTCTACACCCTTCTCTTTTCTATCTTTTACACCGTTTCTCTGTTCGTTTTCCAATTTAATCTTTTCGTTGGTTGCTTCCTTTTGATCTTTCTTGATGATTGCTTGTGATACATGTGTCCAAAGTCGTTGTGATTCATTTGCTTCCTGTGTAGAGATTGGTCTGATGATTCTTGGTGTCTTTTTGGCTGTCTTGCAATCCCAAAATACCTCTGTTGTCTTTTTCTTTGTGTTTGTAATGTCGATTCTATTATCCCATTTTCCAGAGAATGAATAAAGTACTTCATCTTTTCTTTTTATCTTTCCACTCACTGTATTATATTCTCCACCAAAAAATGGCTAAAATAAATTATTTTAAAGATTTGTTAGTTTATAGTTTTTTTTTTTTATGATAATCAAATCAATAATACTTACTTTTGCTTTAAAATCCATATCAGCTCTTAAATTCGTTTGTTTACAAGATATGGTTGTGTTACCAGCAATCTCTGTTAAAAGTGTACCAAAAAGTATTCCACGTGCGAAAATGTTTGGGAAATTAAATGTGTATTCTTCGTTTCTCTCCAAGAGGTGCAATGTGATGCTTCCCTCTACCAGCACCGCCAGTGAAGCTCTCATGAGTTTCGAGCGTGGTCCAATGATTCCAGTCATGGCATAGCCATCCTTTCGATTCGAAATATATATACATGATACGGGTGGATGATGAGAGATCTGCTCTGCTATCAGATGCGCCGTTGTTCCGCTGTATTGCCACTTCGATCGGAATATCTCACCGAGGATCGGGTTGTACGGCTTCTTCACACCCTTGGGCTTATAGACGAATCCCGTCAGATACCAACGAGTTATCTGGTAGAGTCGCTCCACTGGGTCGTCGAGCTTGGCAACGCCACTAAGCTGATCGCAGTGAATCATGAAATCGCAAAACTTCTCGAGTAGCGATCTCGGCTCCAATATAAAAGTTGGTAATGGCACGCGAGACAAATCCATACCAATCTTTATCTCTGATAGTAATGATATCAAGAGATTGCGTGGTTCCTCTTCTAGAACCTCTGCATCTTCGCTTTTGATCTCCTCTGCGTCACCACCAGCACCTGTTGGTTGTTCTAATGGATCCATTGCAATATCTTTAATTTCTTCTTCTGATTGTTACTATGAATAATTATCTAAAACTACTACTACTACTACTAATTCCTCTATTCTCTTCTCTAATAATATTTGTTTGTGTATTGTTTAACTAAATTGTACAACCTGTACTTTTCTCGATTATTATGCAATTATTAACTACTCTCTTTTTTTTTGACAGTCAACTGGAATTTGAAAAAATATAATATAATTGTTGTTGTTTGTTTGTTTTATGAAAATGTGTAAATGGAGTCAACCAATTAAAATTTGTCAATCTATAATTTATAAAATGTATTCATTAGTAAATTGAAATTGAATTTATATATTATGTCATTAAATTAATTATTGTTATTGTAATGTTTGCTGTTGTTGTTATTGTTATTGTTGTTATTGTTATTTGCTAATTATATTTTGAGCAGATCTAATAAAAATGATGATGAGCAAGTAGTTCAACAAAACATACATATAACAATAATATTTTTATTTTAAAAATAGAATCAGAGGAGAGGATGAATGAGAAATAACTCTAGATTTATCTCTAACAGTCTGGAATTACAATTAGATCTATCAAAAGAAAGAATGAAATAGTGGTGTTTGTGTGTGTGTGTGATAATACAATAATGAATTATAAATTATAAAGATATTTTTGAAATCTATTAATAATTTGAAATTAAATTATTTTAATGTGATAACTAACTGAATGTTTGTTTGTTATAATGTTTGAACTAACTGATATTATTTATTAATCGAGAATAAATGTGTATATATGGTGATTGGAAATTGATTATTTGATTATTGGAATTCTAATGGTTGTTTAAACCAATCAATCAATCAAAAACATCTAACGCACATATGTCGACAGTGATTAGTATGATTATTATCTTTCTTTATCTTAATATATCTATCCACATTTACTTATTCAATGTCCAATCATCACGATTAAACTGTTTGCTTCAAAATCTATATATTTAATAAAATAAAATAAAAAACAACAAAGATAAACTATTTTGAATCAAAATTTAAACTAAACCAAAGATAGATAGGGAGTTGTTGTTGTTGTTGTTGATATGAAAGAGAATCAAGAGTTGAGTTTTAATTAATTAATGAAAATAACAATAAAAAACAAAAATAATCTGATTTTGACAGATACAATCAATACAAGTGAACAAGATATGTTGTATCAATAAATTAATAAGATGATGATGATGATGATTTGAATTGGATTCATTTGATTTACTTTTTGGACGTTATATTGAATTGAATTTGAACTTAACAAAATTAATATGTACAGTATATTTATATATATTAGAGTGGTGGAGTGCGTGAGTGATGTATCTATTTATCATTCATTCATTCATTCATTCATTAATAATTTGAGATTGAACATTATGATCTATCATAAATTTAAGAGGTGTCTGTTGAATTAGAGTATGGGGGTAGTGGTGATTTAAATTTAAAATTAATATATAAATAAATATAGTTAAAAACTTTTCAAAACACACATAAACACACTCCAACCAAACTGGATATCAACACCACACACACTAACCACACCACATATTATTGTGTTGATGGAAATAAAAACGACATTCTTATTATTTGTTATATTTAATTTAAATTGGTGAATGAATTTCTCATTTATAATTTAATTCCAATCTATTTTGTTTTATATTTCTATTTTTTGGTTGTTTGTTTGTTTGACTGACTGAAGCAGCTGCTTGTACTCTTTAAATCTGCATAATATAATGTGTTCTTCGTCGTTGTCGTCGTCTTCTTCTTCTTCATTATCAATCTGAAGATCCCAATAATCTAAGAGTTTGAACTAATCTTAATTTGTAATAAAAATTGACATTTGTTTTACTGTTTTTGCAGTTATTCGATTTTTTACTATCATTGACATAGATAGACCCTTACATACATATATTACAAAAAGTAGTTATCTATTGATTTGTAATGTATCACAAATGAGTTTGTTTTTATAATAGAATCAAATTTGATTTTGATTCGATATTTTGATATTGATATTGTATTGTATTGATTTAACAACTAAACTTGATACTCCATATATGATGTAAAGTTATGACGATGATGTTTGATGTTTGATCTTACCTAATCCTAAACTTTGCCTAAATATTGATAAATTTACTAAAATAATACAAACAATATTAATATTACTATATAAATACAAATTATTTAAGAATCTGCTGAACAATTATATAATTTTATTAGAATAAAACATAAAATGACAACAAAATGATTGCAACATTATAATTTAATATCAAAAAGACAACATTTAAAATAAGAAACAAAAAACAAGACATATTTAATTAAATTAATTCACCAACAACAACACCACCACCAACTATATTCAAAGCAAAGCATATATACATTGCAAATAATACAACGACACTCACTGCACTGCATACATATGATACAGCGATAATTATATAACATTGATAAATTTATTTCTTTTTTGTTTTTTTTTTTTAATTTTGTCGACAAAATTAACACTATATTCAAACACCACACAACAAACAACTTTTATATTTATATGTGTGTGTGAACCAACCACGCCAATGCCTGATAAAGAAGACAGATAGATAGATAATAAAGTCATGACTTTTAAAAGTTTCTTTTGAGTGTGTAATTATGTTATTGAATCGCGATCATAATTATAATTCTCTACAAGTCAGCAGCTTCACTTGTTTTTTTTTTAAAATAATCATAAAGGCAGCGCTGTATTATTGATATTTAAAAACTAGACAGGAACAGCAGACAAAAAAAAATCAACAACTTTTTTACTTACTTATTTCTCACACTTTTTGTATCTATCTATAGGTTTATCTGTTCTTGTACTTTAATAATTTAATTTATTATTAGTTGTAAACTATTCTATTTTATCTTTAAATTATAGACTCTATTTTATTTTATCTCTTAGAATTAATCCTATGTATCTATCTATAGGTGAATAAAAATTGCAAAAGGTACTGGAGGTTGTATTATTGATTATTGATTATTATTTTTTTTTTGATGTTTGTTGTCAACAAATCAATCTCTCAAATTATATTTATTTTTAAACTGGGTAGATTTATATTTGTGGGCACACTATGATAGTGTAAGTTAGTGTGTGGCACAACCACCTTTTTGGTGCACCAAAAAATCTGTTTTTTTCTTTTTTTCCTTATTTTTCAGTGCCACATACCTGTCAGTTGTATACAAAGAAAACCGATTTGTTTTTTTGTGTTTTTTCATGATTCAATTTTGCAAACAAACATTTTTTATTTTTCGATGCAAAGATAAACATGGTTGATCATCAACAAAAAAAGGAATTTATGATTTTAGATTTGTGGCGGGGTGGTGCTGGGAATGGAGTGGAGTGTGCTGGTAGTGAAATAGTTTATTATGTTTGCTTTTCGTTTCGTTTTTAAACATTATTTTTTTTTTATTTACAATTTTAATAATATTAAAATGCCATATATGCTAATCTATATATCATCATTACTTTACATCTTGATGTGTTGTATGTTGCTTTTGTTTTTGCAAAGTTTCAGATTTAGTATTGATAAATGTGGAGAGTACTCGGAGATCTAAGAGATGACGCATTGTTGGTCTGCCGTGCGGACAACACCAAGGATTGTCGAGCGTCGACAAATTATCCAATATTTTCTTCATCTCTGGCACGGTAAGTGATGTTCCCACCATAATAGACTTTCTACATGCTCTCGATGCAAACATGGCACTTACACGACTCAATCTGATATTCTCCAATCCAATCATCGCTTGATCCTTTATCAAAGTAATCAATTCATATACATCTATAACATAATCAATCAATAATGAGTTAGTCAATATCAAAGTTCACATTATTATTATTATGTTATTGATAGTTACCATCTGGACCAAACTCTGTCTTGTTACTATGTGGAAATGCAGTTAGTTTAACTTTGTACTTGGGCGGTGCAGCTTCATCGATTTGAAATTCGAAACCGTTCTTCTTGAAGATGGAGATATGATCGATGATTATTGATTCGTCGTCCACCGTTAGGTTGAATGAAATCGGTTTGATATAGGGTTGTGAGCTGATAACATGTGACTTTTGCAGTGATTCGTAGTTGTATTTCTCGTCGGCTGCATGCTGATCGATAATGAATAGGTCCATCCCCAGACGTGTAATGATGAAGCCTTTGTTGAATTGACCGATGATCGACATATCCTTGAAGTACTCTTTCTTGAAGAACCTGGTCAACTCTGACTGAGCATTCGAGTCATTATAACCGGTGGTATCATCTTTTTTCTTCCTTGGTGGGAATTCAGATACCGTTGATTTGAAACAATGTTTATCATTACATCCACCACCATTATTATGATTTTGATTTTGATTATTGTTATTGTTATTGTTATCAAAATTAATTTGTTTAACACCACAATAGTTATTATAAAGTGTATTTTGTTCATCGTATACTCCATTCCTAATGAGATAAGATTCCACAAGATTGTCAAACTTGAGTGGCAGTGTGATATCGTTGGTCTTTACATTCTTTTGTTTGAATCCTTCATCGTCTACTATGTTTCCAATGATATTATTATCATCTGTCTTTGGAAATATCAATACAGGTTTCGTTATTGGATTGTCTTTTGAATCTCTAACATTCGAAACAAAAGTAGTTCCAGGTGCAGATTGTTTTGAATTGTTATTATTTGCTGTTGTTGGGGATGTAGATGTAGGTTTTGTTCTCGTAATTGGTTTAATTATATTATTATTATTGCTATTTGAAGGTGGTAAAGCTCTCTTATTATTACTATTTATAAAATCGTCGTCTGGATAACCTTTTCCTTCTACTTCTTTTGGTTGTTTATATGAAAAATCATCATCATGTAAATTATTGGTAGTTGAGGAAGTTGTAGTTGTTGTTGTTGTTGAGGTGGTTGGTAAAGTTGTTGTTGGTTTTGTAGTTAATATATTTGTTGTTGTTGTTGTTGTTGATGATGATGATGGTGCTGTTTTAGATGATTTCTGAATGACGCTAAATGTCTGTAGTTCATTCATGTTGCTAGATGATATGTCAAAAGATGATTGTGCACTCTCCCAAGTCGATTTGAGTTTGTCTTTAACCAAATTGACCAATTGTAACTCTTTCTGTAGGAATACTTTTCGTTTGTCGGGTGTCACATTGACATCATAGGTAGTGGGATCAGCAATAACATTGAGGAATATCATTGGATAGCTGCCTTTCTTACAGAAAGTTTGATACAATCCATTGATAACTTTGGTTAGTGTGTTCATTTCAATCGGTCGTTTATTCAAGTAGACAAACTGTCGGTCTCCGCTGTTCCTCGACGCGCTGTTGCCACTCGCCGAATTGACGGACGAGCCAGCACCGCCATTGGCGCCAACCTTTGATATCAATCCTTCCACCGTGAATGTCTCGTCACTCGCAGCAAAGCTGTCGAGAACCGCCGATGTCTTTCCGCCAAACACCGCTGAGACGTTGTCGCGCAACGACGGCTTGCCCTCGGTCGACAAAACCGGGGTTCGCGGCCCCTTCGATGGCTGATGATACACCACCAGCCGAACACCAACCGAGATAACCGCATAGGTTTGCAACACCAGCTGAATCTTTGAGTATTCACGCTTGAGATTTCTCTTTAGTTCTTGGTGACGCACCGGCATCTTCCGGAATGGCGAGGTGAGCGTCACCGTCGTTCCGACTTCGCGCGCCACCGACGTCTGAGAAACGATCGCGCCATTCTGGTCGTAGATCAACTTGGTTGCAGTGGGAGCGGATGCCGCTCTCGTCACAATGGTGACATCGGCCAGTGCACACAACGAACTGAGTGCCTCGCCACGGAATCCAAAAGAGGTGACCGATTGGAGGTCGTTGAACTCCTGGATCTTCGAAGTGTGGTGTTTCAGCGTGAGTGCAGCAAAGTTGTGTGGTTCGACACCACTGCCATTATCGATGACCTCGATCGACTCCTCGCCATACTCTTTGAGACGAACCTCTATCTTTGTGGCACCGGCATCCAAGCTGTTTTCGACCAGCTCCTTGGTGGCCACCGACAAATCGAAAATCACCTGACCACTGCAAATGAGATGCACCGATTCCTTGTCGATGGCAGCGATCTTTACCGGTGGCACAGGATGAGGAATGATCGTTAATTCATCTTTATCCAAATCATTAACCAACTCTTCCGTTTGTTTAGCATCCAAAATCTGAGATGCTGTACTTATAGATGAAGTTTGACTCACTGATATTCTATCACTACTAGTATCATCTCCTTCATCCATAATTTTTAAATATATATATTATTCACAAATTAATAATCAATCTATAAAATAATAAAATATATATAAATCATAAAAATAACAATAATAATAAAAAGATAAGATATATATCTAACAACAATGTGATATTGATTTAGGCGGGTAATAAATATTACACTCTGAATTTGAAAAAAAAAAAAAAAAAAAAAAAAAAACAAAGCGGACATCAAACAATTTAGTGGAAATAGTTATTATATAATATTAAAGATAAAGATATAATAAGAATGTCAGACGATGTTGTTATGACAGATACATCTAATGATGATGATTCTAAAAAAACAACTACTACAACAGCAGCATCAACAGAAAATATAGAGAAAGAGAGTAATAATACAACAGAAACAGAGAAAGATTCATCTTTGTCGAATGAAACTGATAAAACAAAAGAATCAAATGTAGATATAGATAATAATAATAATAATAAAGAAGATTCACAATCAGTTTCAAAAAATGATAATAGTAGTAATACTACTGATACTACCACTACACAAAATGAAGCTGAAAAAAGAAAAAGAAAAAGAAATAGTAAAAGACAGTAGTTTAGATGTTGTTAAAGATGAAATTGTAGATAGTAATAAAAATAATGATAGTAGTATTAGTAATAAAGAGAATGAAAAAGATAAAGAAAAAAGAAGAAAAAGTAGAAAAAGAAGAAAAAGAAGTAAAAGATAATGAAAATAAAGAGAAGGATAGTAAAACAACGGCAACAACAGCTGCAACAACAACAACAGATAAAGATATGATGGATATTGATAGTTCATCTACAACAACAACTACTACTACTACTACTTCTACAAGTACAGCAAGTAGTAGTACTGCACCTAAAACACCAGATAATCAAATCAGTGGCGATGCAATGAATACTACTGCAGATGATCATGGTGGTAGCGGTCAAGGCAAGATTCTACCGAAAACACTGGCATCTCTCACACAGACAATACAAGATGACCAAACACCAGCATATCTTGTCTCCAATAAAGAGGATATCGATATTACACAAACCAACTTGGATGAACCAAGAGATGCCAGAGTCATCAAGAACATCCTTAAAACAATGGGTGTTCAAGCACACGATCCAAGAGTTGTCAATCAGCTATTAGAGTTTATGTTTAGTAAGTTCTACTATAATAAACAATAATCAATCAATCAATCAATCACTCACCAGCAGCAGCAGCAGAAGTTAAGTAAAGTTAAGTTAAGTTAACTAACCCAATTTATTATTTTTCACTTAGAATATGTATATGAAGTATTACAAGATTCAGTTGCATACAGTGATCACTCTGGTAGATCGGATATTGATATCTCTGACATTAGACTCTCGATTCAATCACGTGTAAACTTTTCATTTACACAACCACCACCTAGAGAAGTATGTTTATTGTTATTTAATAACATCATTAATTGTTAAATTATAATATATTAACAACACGATCGACACACGTCTCTAGTTATTATTATCTATTAGTGAAGAAAAGAATAAGATACCACTTCCACCAATTCCACAAAAGTTTGGTATATTGTTGCCACCCGATGACTATTGTCTTACCTATCCCAACTATCAGGTGGATCCACCGAAACCACCACCACCTCAACCCGTTCAACCGTTGGCACCGCAAACACAGCGTGGACACTACAACAAGAAGATACCAGAGAAGCAAATCCCAATTCGTTTGAATGTTACTCAACCACCAAGCATCATTAACCCACCCATCAACGGAAAACACCAAGATAAATAAATAATAACATTATAGAAATAAATAAAATTAAAAACTATTATAGCTCAAATTAAATGAATGTTGTTATTAATTTCCAACTTTGTTTTGTTTTATTTTCTTATGATATTCCATATAGGTCAAAGAAATGAACGAAGAATGACTCGGTATGTTCAAATATGAGTGGAGCTTTTTTGTACAACTATTTCTGATCTTGTGGAGACTGTGAACTCGACATAGAGGAATCCAGACTTCATTCCATTGAATTTGTCTTTATTGACATTCTTATTCAACTCTCTTGGGTAATGTTCAATGTTTGATGGATTTAAATAGACGACGAAATTGCGAAATTAAAACAAAGAAAACAATACAAGTTAATTGATCAAACTGTAGCTGATACTTGTCAACAGATATTTGATATAAAGTAATATTTTTAACTTGTATTTATAGTTTCGATTTTATTAATGTTCTTCTTTCTTCTATATTATAGTAATGAAGGTAGAAATAAAAGTGAAATTGATATATATGGTCTATTTGTTAAACAATAGGTTGAATATTCAGTATTTATTGCAAACGGAGGTTCGTATTGTTAAAAATATTCGACTTTTTTTTTGAGTGTCGCGGTGTGAATACTGCAATATTGAATGGTCCCAACTTAGAAATATAACACGAAGTTCTGTTCTCAAATACAAACATGTTTCATTTCTATTGCTTTTACACTATTTATTTAAGCATACACATATTATTATTTATTTCAACTTTTTCCTGTACATATATTACATATACATTCTAATTCTTCTAATTCTTATCGTATTATACCTTAAATCACATATATCCAATCTCATTTCAATCATGTCTCAACTAACAACAACGACAACAACTTCTTCTACCTCTTCAACACACCAAATCACAGTTAACTCAACCAAAGAGCAAGTAAGAGATTGGATTAACTCACTTGACCTTAACAACAATAGCATTGGCAATACTTTGTTCGAAGCCGGAATTGCTGGCAGACACCTCTTTGATCTTACAAGAGAGATACTATTGGAAAAACCATGCTCATTTAGATTATCCGATGCTATGGACCTTCTTGCAGCGATTGCCACACAACGACCTCAACAACAACAACAACAAATAGGTAACACTATTATATCAAAATCTTCGACATTTCCTTTCATTTCAATCAGTTTAATCACCATTATCTTTAAATATCTCTCCCTACTATATTCTATTTCACATTCACACATACATACATACATACATACATACATACATTATTACCCTCTTTCAATAAAATACACCTATATATCTATCTTTACTCTTCCTTCTCCTCTATCATCACATTCATTATGGTATCTATAAAGATGACACCTCTTTCATGCACCAATCATATATTATATGATAATAGAATACTATTTGTTACAGCTCTCCTTTTTTTTAAGTTTTTTATGTTTAAAGTTTGCAGCCACTTTAACTAGATTATTTTTGACGCCCCTTAAGGGAGTTCTTGTTACTAACAACTGTCCCGGTAACATTTTGACAGAGTCCAAGTTTGACAAACTGATTGATGCTTTCCAAGCTCTCTTAGACAAACAAGTCAAGATGATGGATGATCTCAAAGCTATCGTAGAGAATAACAATATGGTTTTGCAAAGTATAGACAAGAATTTTGAGATGATTCTAGGATCACCCATTTTAAATTTGTGAAACGACAAACTTTGAAAGAATATTGATTAGTATAAGTGGAATTTTTTTTAATTAGAATTATATATCTATCCAACCTTTAAATCTTTATGTAGTATTTGATTTGGGATACTAATATCAAAAATCTTTTTAGAATAAAAACATCCTTTTGAAAAGGAAATGAAAAAACATAATAATAGAACTATGAACAATCTTTTAATATTTGTTAATAAACATTTTTTCTCTTTGAATAATTATTATAATATTTATACTTCAAAGAGTTTTTGAAAGAAAATTATTTATTAAATTATTTTAAATTGCCTGCTAACCAGTTACTATCACATACCTGGGATCAATAAAATCTTCTTGGGGAAAATTAATGATATTCCTCTTTTTGATATAGGAGTAAAAATAAAATAATATATACAACTATGTGTAATTTGCATTGTAGAGATTCAGATTTATCTTTTCCGATTGATGTGGTACCTCCATACTATCAGATATTTGAAAAATTGTTATATAGATGAAATTGGGGAAGAAATTTATTTTTTCTGATTGTGATTGGATTAATTTTGGACAGTGTTGCAGTGGGTAATCTATTTTTTACATCGTTTAATATATATTTTATAAATATGTTCTAACAAACAAATAATTAAAGTTATTATTATTATTTAAAATAATGTTGTTGATGTTTTTATTTTATTATTTATTTGGGTTGTTGTTGTCTTCTATACATAATGTCAGTTCTCATTACATATTTAATACCTTTTGTACATGGACTTCCTTCGTGGAGGAGTCTATGCTGGAAAACAAGAACCATACCGGCTTTCGGGTTTACTGGAACTCGATTTTCATCGTCCCAGCCTGATCCAACAAAAAACGTTGTCGCACCACCTTCCTCGGGATCATTCAAGTAAAGTTGCAATGTAACCAATGAACGATCTCCTTTTTTTGGTCCGTCAGTTCGTAGGTATGTTCCATCTTCATGAGGCTCAAACTTTTGATCCTTTCCAACGTATCGAAGAAAACGTAGTCTTTCATTTAGTTCAATCATATTATTGTTTTTGATTACAGCTGGCAACAAGTGTTTGATTCTCTCGAATATTTTATTGGCCATCTCTTCGCTATCTATAATACATCTATCGTTGTTTCTAACATCGGTCATTAGTGCCTGTCTACCATATCCAATATTGACCAATGCAGGTTCATATCCTTGTTTCTCTGTGTGTTTCGATTAATAAATATATCATCATTTAAAGTTAGTATAAATATTAACGTAAATAATAAGATGATCTATTTAATATCTGTTATACTCTACCTGTCAAAGCAATCCATTCTTGACATTCTTCTTTCGAGAATACATTCTCAAGAGTAAAAGCGATAACATCATCAGGAACATGACCCTTTAATACATCTGTTCTTTTATATGATTGTTGTTGTTGTAGATCTGACATTTTTAAACTATTTATTCTAAAGTAATAACTTAACAAATATGTTATTACTTGTATTTACTTAATAATAATGATAATATTGTCTTCATTTTACAATTTTAATTAAACTTTAAAATTTTAAAAGAAATTTTGAAGAAAGTAAATTAGAAGAGGTTCACACTTCAGCTTTTTTTTTGATCAAATTTCAGTCTAATGAAATTAAAATAAGATTTATATTTTTTTTTAATTTTTTACAAATAAACTATTAATTAAAATTTAATATTACAATTTGTTTATTTTTTTATTCATATTCTGATCTCTTCAATTCTATATTTTCTTTGGGTTTGGATTGGAATTTCCATTTATACAGTTCAATAATTAAACATGCGACAACAATTGTTGCAAATGTTAATCCAAACACCACGATTATACCTTGTCCAACTTTGACCTGTAACATTCCAAGAATGATCGTTACAAATCCAAAGATAAGAGTGAGATGTCCGCCTAGCCAATGTATAATGTCTGGGAAGATCGGTGTACTCTTTCTCTTTGGATTCCAATTGAAATGAGATGTGGCACCTAAAACTATTGAGATATAGAATAGACAGAGAGTGGTTGTACCTAGAATGGCGTGATTGTTATCCAAACTGACACCTCCCACCATCTTCACGGCCATTGCAATACCGATGAATGTAAAGATCATTCCTGTCAACTGTAGGAAGATGTGAACTGGGAACCACCATTTCTGTGAATCCCTAAGATATCTGGCTACAAAGATTCCAAGTGGTAAGAGTCCAGCGAATGCAGCAAACATAAACCCAACATGATAACTAAAGTAGTTTGGTCCTGGCGAGGTCATGACTTTGGGTGCTGCGAAATTTGGAACCAATCCTTGAACACAATCGAAACCAACTGTTGGATATGTATTATTCTTACCATAGACCCAAATTAGATCATTACTACCTTCCGCTCCAAACACTAAATCATTGTCAGCTACCAAGTCAACAGTTTCCAGCTTTCTTGAGAATATAAAAGTTGAATAACCAGCGGTTTGGAAACACGACGATGAGATAATATCGTTTCTACCGTTGAGAATGTCTGTGTCGTTTATTGGTAGAAGATCTCCACCCTGTAGATACATATCGTTTACTTGGCATCCATTTTTATCAAAGGTGGCTATTACATAATCGATTCCTGCTGATTGATGAAATTTGTGATCTGGTCCAATTTTCAAACCAATTCCTATCCATGACAGAACATTAGCAGATACCACAAATGTTACAGTTCCATTTATATTCTCCCATTGGATTTGGAATCCAGATTTCTTATCTAAAATATTTGGGGTATTAAAAATACCTTTTTTTTTTTAAGATATAATTAATTAATAATAATTAAATGATTTTTTTTAAAAAGATAAAACAAACTCCTACTTACCATTTATTTTATTTATATTTATAAATAATATTACTAAAAATATTAAAAAATTATTATTTTTGATCATTTTTGGTAAAATACTAATATTAGTATGAAATAACAATAAAATTAAATATAAAAGAGATTTGTTTTGTTGTTTGCTTGTATTATTAATTTATTCAAAGATAAAAAATAAATTGAATAACTTACAAAGATCATAATAATATTATTTTTATCATAATTATCATTAAGTAAAATATTTGGTACAAGGAAGATTTATTTTTATTTTCTTTATCCAATCGATGCGAACCATATTGGAAAATCAATCAACAGCCACTTAAGTGATTGATAGGTTTAGGTTATTATGCTAGTAGTGCTAACAGCTGTTTCGCAACACTTTCTCGAAATGAACTATTTTTAAATTTTAACCATACATATGTACACAACTATAGATATATACAACTTATAAATAGAATAATAGAACGATCATATAAACCACACAACTCTCTTCCGGAAGCAAAACTAACCATAAAAAATTATTTGAATTTTTTTGCATACACACTGTGTGTTAATTAAACTTAATATTGCGCCAAAACTTTAACCAATTAAAAAACCAATAAAAATAATAATTATTATTTTTATATGTGGTAAGGATTTCCAAGAATGTTTAAAATGAAGTTATGGATCAGAATCTTTAGAAACTCTTAGACTCTTTTCTGAATCTAACTTTTAATGAAAATCAAAATTTCTAATCAAACTAAATTGAATTTGTTTTGATTTATTAAGTTACAATGAGAAATAATATTCAACCGACCTAATTAATTAATAAATAGTTTTCCAAGTAAAGCAAAGTTATTGTTTATTTAAATAATAATAAATATATTTTTATTTTATTTTGGTTTATTTTATTTTTTTGTACAATTTTTAATTAAATTTAGAAACTACCATTGACTAAATGGTATCCATCTGGCTTGGTTGGCCATTTCCATTTGTAAAATTCAATGTAACCAAAGATTACGAAATAGGAGGCAAATGTTATACCGAAAACAACAATGATACCCTGTGAGATTTGTGCCAAGAGCATACCGAGAATGATAGTGACGAAACCAAATACCAATGTGAGACGTCCACCAATCCAATGGATGATATCTGGGAAAAGTGGTGTCTTTTCTCTTTGTGGATTCCACATGAAATGCGAAGTGGCACCCAAGAAAATAGAAATATAGAATAAACAGAGAGTGGTAGTACCTAGAATAGCATGGTTAGTTGCCATACTGATTCCACCGACCATCTTGAGAGCCATTGCCAAACCAATGATTGTGAAAATCAAGCCGAGAACTTGAACGAAAATGTGAATTGGGAACCACCACATATGTGACTCCTTGAGGTAACGAGCAACGAAAATACCGAATGGCATCAACACTGCGAAAGTGAAGAACATAAATCCGACGTGATATCCGAACCAATCTGGTTGTTGGGGTGGAGTGCTACCGGTTCCCAAATCGATGGTTTGACGTCCGGCATTACCATAGCCGTGACCGGCCCAGTCGTTGCTGCTACCGTGTGCCCAAACTACATCCAAACCGGCTGGACCAACAACGATGTCGTTATCACCAGCTTTGTCACCGGTGACCAACTTTCTCGAGAAAATGAAATAGGAATAATCAGAGGTTTGGAAACCACTGTACGAGAGGATATCGTAGGTACCGTTGACGGCACTGCTTGTATCGTTGATTGGAGGTGGTCCACCGCCCGGTGTGGAAACCATATCCCAGACTTGAACATTGGCTTGACCACCGAATGTTGCAACAACAAAATCGGCACCCACCATAGCCTTTGGTTGGGTATCACCATAGGTATGCCAACCAATTGCAATCCAGGCTTGAACATTGGCTGACACTGCAAAAGTAATAGTACCATTGTCTATTTCCCATTGTAATTGGAATCCAGTGTTTTGGTCCATAACAATTGGTTCACTCAGCAATGCTATTTTTAATTAACATTTTCAAATAAGAAATTAGGAAAATGTTTAATTTTTTTTTTCTAAGAAACCTGATAAATTAATTTTTAACATACCATTTGTACCAACAATTAAAAAAACTATTGATAAAATTAGAATACTTAATTTATGAAAAGTATTCATATTTATATATGTTTATATGTATATGTTATTGAAAAAGTATTGATTTTCTTTTTAAAGTCAACTATGAAAAGAAATTTAAATAATATTTAAAAATAGTATGCTATGTATTGAAAATTATCTCGGTTTTTTTTTTTGTTTTTTAACAAATCCACATTAATAAGACTATTTCCGCGACTAACTAATTATGTGTCCTTTTATTTTTTTGGGATATCCACTTATTGATTGTGTGTGAGTGTTTTAAATAAGTGATGAGTTTTTATTTTTTTATCAAAACAAATTTTAAAAAGTTATAAATTTTTAAAACAATTATTAATTATATTTTCAATCTAATATGTAAAATAGGAATAGTGTAGTGTTGTGATGAAATAAATATAAGATATGATATGATTGTTTTCTTAAGAAATCTTTTTATATCCTTGATTTTTTTTTTTTTTTTTTTTGAAAGCATTGTTTTTTCAAAATTAATAAAAAAAAAAAAAAAAAAAAAAAAACAATAACAATGCCTCGATGGAACCAGTTTCATAGTGTCAGAATACTTGCTTTTTTGGATATTTTTTTTTGTTTTTGTTGTTTTTTTTGACAGATTCAAGACCATTAACACCAGAAGAATGGGAACAATGTGCAAAAAAATAAAATAGATTTTTCTTGAAAAAACCCCCCGTTGGGTGACAACATAAGATCATTGTGAATTTTGAATAGATGATGGAGTTTTCATAACTCCTCATGATAAGATTAACAGTTCTGGTGCTATGATAGAATATTCCATCAGAGCGATTCTACAAATACTATTGGATCCTTTTTGAACATTCGATAGATAGTTCAACTTAAACATCAGCAAAAAACAATAAAAAATCATGAAACCACTTATTTTTAGATTGATCTACGTTCTATTGGGAAAATCTGATCAACGATGGAATAAATAAATAGAATTAAATTATATTATTATCTTAATAATTTCAGTTCCAATACCAAAAACGACATTTAAAATTTTTTTCAACCTATCTCTCTTATTTTTCTTAAGAAAAATATCATGAAATATCTATGTAATAGTTTTTCTCTTTTACTCTTTACTTTTAATTTTACAACTTTTTTATTATTCCAATAATGATTTATACTTGGTGTTGTCATAGAATGATAGAACAAACATCTTTACAAACACTTCTTTCTTAACATCTTAATTATTAATTAAAAATAAATGACCTGGTTACATTTCATTAAATATCTTAATTTAACGAATTCGTATAAATATCAATGATCATGTAATTACTAATTAAACATTTTAATGTCTTAAAACACATTAATGAAATCATAGGCTAGGAAGAACAGATATTTTTTTGTTTTTTTTTTAAAAAAAAGATATTGTTGGGGGTTTGTTTATTTGGAGTTTATTTGTTATATGTTTTATAAATTAATAGTTTGTTAGCTATAAGATTTGCACTATTAAATTTAAATAGTGATCAAATAAAAATAACTAGTAACTAAGGTGAATTGGTTTGGTTTAGTTTAGTTATTGTATTTAGGTTTGAATAAATAATAATAATAATAATAATCGGATTTAAATAGTTTGTTATGTTTTGTTTTGATTAGATGGATAGATATACATTTGAAATTAAAAGTAGTAATAATAGATAAAGGTTAATTTTATCTAATTATTCTCTACTTGAATCCGATAGCTGTGAGTAATTATCTTTGTTATCGGCGGTGTTATTTGATTTGCAAGCTCTAACAATCTTGATGATAATGAACGATCCAATGAATATTCCACCGATCGCACCTAGAATAATGACAAATATCTTCCAAAGTGCAAGATCTGGTGCATCTTCTTTGTTAAACTTGATAGTAACCATCTTCTCATAATATATAGTTTGATATGCACGATTACTAACACCTCCATTCAATACCTGTGTAACTTCAAACTACAAAGTAGAAAAACCGATTGTTAATAAGTTGTCTACAGAGTGAGTATAAACTAACAGCTGTTAACTTAACTTACCTTTCCTTCTATTTGTTTTGCACCTATAAGGTTAATCGATGTCGATGGTGTTATTGCTGCGTCAACGGAGAAGTAGAGACCACCTTCGAGTACGACGTCACCGGTGACTGTGATGAACGTTACGTTGACACCGGGCAGTACACCGATGTTCTTCATGTAGAGGTTGGATCTGTCCGAGCTCTGTGTGTAGTTTGACGAGATGTTGAAGTAGTTGTTCTCGTTGGCCAGTTGCAGCACTCCACCCTCGTGGTAGAGTGAACCGGTCAGTGTAGTTTGGTTGACAGTGAGTGTGCCGTTCTCCAGGAAGACGTCACCAACAACCGATGCACCGGCATAGAATTTCGATGAGTGTGACTTTAGCACTAGTCCAGCGGTACCGACAACAACCGATGTCTTTGCGTTGTTGCTGTTTGGCTCGGCGTAGAGATAGCCGTCTATGCTAATGCCACCGAGTGGTCCGACTTGACATTGATTCAAAACGGTGAGTGACGCATTCGGTGCAATGTAGATATCGGTATTGTTGATACTGGCAGTGCCAAAGGTGATGTCTTCACCGACGATCTCTATTACCAACGACATTGTACTGCTACCGCTATTGCTTGTATTCTGTTGAATGTTCAAGTTGTTGATGCTTACTGTGTTGTCGAGTTGGATGATACTGTCTTTCCAGAGGGTACCGCTCATCTCTGACAACTGTGACGCGCCACCAACATACAAGTCGACAAAGTGACTGAGAACCAGTGTCGCCGTTGGATCCATTGCTAGTTTCTGAGTGATCTTGGCTGTTCCTGTGAGAGTCAACATTGAATTCGTACCGATTGTTATTAGCGGTGCAGATAGCGATTGTTCGACTGTCATCGCACTCCACGTGCCAAGCGAGACGGGGTCGGGCGCCTGGTTGTCGACGTGCAGGTTGTCGACAAACAACGAACCACCTTCGTATACCAATAGCGTGCTGTTTGCATCGATTGTTATATTGGTCGCTCTGACGATTGTGTTGTCTTGAAGTTCGAGTGTTGCTCCCGATGCCAAGTCGATGCTCGACGCCTGTGTCTCGTTGTTCACAACGAACAGAGTGACATCACCGACAACCGATATCGATGAAACCGCCAGTGTCGATATCGATGTATTGCTATTAGAGGAGAAACGATCAACTACAATATATTGTTTATGCAGACTGCTGTTCGGTGTTGTATAGTCGATGATTGCCACGTTGCCAATGGACGGAACGACGCCGCCACGCCACAAACTCGCATTTTCAAATCGACAAATACCAATCTCTCCACAATCTATTTCACTATTAAAGTATATTTCTACACTGTTATTACCATTTCTATTGTTATTGTTATTTATTATTGCAGTTTTCGCATCTACCGATTTTATTGATGATGCAGCTGATGTTGTTGTTACAATGACAATTGAAAATATACCCAATAATAAAATGATATTAGATATATTAAGATTATATTGATACATTATTTTTTACATAAATATATATTATATCAATATCCTATCTATCTATCTATATCTCTTAAGAATAAATCTATAAAAGCAAAAATAAAAATAAGATATTATTATTAATTTTTTTAATGTTACAAAAAAAAGTATTTTGAAAAGTGGTGCCCCATTTCTTTGGGGGGAACTTTATATATATTTATAATTTATTGGAATTAAAATGATCATTTTTATTTTGTTGTTGTGTGACAAAAGAAACAACAACCTATTGTTAAATAAATTATTAGATTTAATTAATTACCGATTCATTTTTGAAAATAAAGCCTTTTCTCTTCAAAACTTTTTTTGGTGATCACTAAAAATATGATCATTTAAGAATTTTCTTGATGTCATTGGAATTGTCGATAATAAAATAAAATAAATTAACAAAAAGGAACTTTAATGTTTTAGAAATATGTGATTTTAGTTAAAATCTATTTTAAATAATAATTGAATGAGTAAAAGTTTTTTTCATCAAAATATCAAAATTATATGAAATGTTATTGGCAAAAGGTTCAACTTACGCAATACATCAACCAAACTAAACAACATTTAGACGTGTTTGAAAAGATAAAAGATAGAGTTAACAATAGTATTATAGATGAATCACATCGTTGGTTTATTATTTCTTCGATTTTCTCATCAAACTAGCTATATAGGGTTACCAATCAATTATGATACAAAAGAGTTAATCTCAGGTTTTCTAACAGAGAATAGAACAGTTAATATTATAAATCTGACAGATGCTATCAAAATAGAAACCAATATCCAAAGGAAAGAGGTTCTTCAACACCTGCAAGCATACAACTACCTTTGTGAGGAGCAGTTAACATCTTCTTGCTTGACTAAAGATATGATTCTAAATATATATTATATTAATAGATGTGAATCAAATTTTTAGAAACTCTGTGGCAAATTTTTTTTATTTAATTTCCCAAGAATGCTTGTGAACCTTGTTCAATACCTGAACAATTATCACAACATTGGTTTGGACCTTGACATCCAGCAGCCCAGAAATTGATTCCACGAGTAGAGTTGGAAGTGACCCAGTCGATTGCACCTTGTAAAACGGTATTTTGGTAGGTGTTACAGATTGGCGAACCGTCGCAACTATAGAGATTGACAACGAGCTGTGATGGTTGGATTGGTGCAACTTTCTTGCCTTGACCATGAAGGTGTTGCTCCCAGTAGGGAATCGCTTGATCAATTGAGGTGTAAGGACCGCTGCCAACCATTGCATTGATCCAATCGATCTGACCGGCAGCCAACCATTTCGAAGCATACTCTGAGACTTCAGTGAGGTATCCAGTTCCGGCACCGGTATCTACGGTTAGCAGGGCACTGTCAGAGTTGGTGGAATTCGCTGGAATCAACTGACGGTATGTCGAAACAAAGGTGTCGATCAATGGCACCGACTTGGCACCTTCGTAGTCGATTTCGATTCCCACTGAGTAGTTGAGTGCAATGAGTGCTGCGTTTTTGGCGAGGGTTACGGGATCTGTAGAGAGAGCGGTATTCCATGCACCTACCCAGGTGGCACCACCAATGGAGAATTGAACACTGATACCCTTCGATTGGAGATACTGGACTGTCGAGTGATTGATTGCTTTGGGAACGGCGTCCAAACCCTCTTGAAGAACCTTTACTGGATTGAGGAATGCAAATACCAACAAGTTGAACGATGGTTTGCCATCGCCACGGTCGACAATCCAATCAAACTCGGAAATAGGTACCTCTTGATGCCACAGACAATAGTCAAGACCACAATGCCATATACCATAGATTTTAGTTAAATCTGCAGTGGTTGAGTTTGAAACACTTGCAAATGATAATATACACAATAATAATGTAATAAATAATTTCATTTCAAAATAAATAAAGATAGAGATAGATAAATATGTACAATTTAAAATAAAAACAAGAATTGTTTAATATTGAGGAGTTGGTTAACCCATTATTTATAGTTTGTCTTCCGTACCAAAAATAAAAGAAAAAAGAAATTTAAGAATAGAGAAAGATACTATTTATCGGGTTGAAACCATTGATAATTATTTACGGGATGCATAACAGTGTTTGTTGTGATTTGAAAATGGTTCAGTGATCATAACATTGAGTGCCCTGATGAAATTTAAAAAAAAACCAAAACCAAAAGAAAAAGAAAAATCCAGATCTTATTTTGAAAAGGTATTGGGGAAAGGTTATAACCTTTTAGGAATGGAAACAATTGCAATTCAATCAAAATAACAGTACCACCACTTCGCAATGTTAAAAACTATATTAGTAGTAGCAAAAAAATAACAATTACTTCCAATATCTTCAATATGTGAAGATTTTTAATTGATCAAATAACAAACACCACAATTCCAATACCATTACCATCGATTGATTTTAAATATCTTTTCAAAAAGCACAGAAAGTAAGAATCTTTTTTTTAAATATTAAATCAAGAGTTTAAGAGTTTTCCAAATATTAATCTAATTTATTTAAAAATAATTAATTTTAGAAATTTTTTCTTTCATTTGATTAAAAATTTTCATCCATTGTTGAAACATTATTATTAATCATTAATTTCACAAACAAATTAAAAAAAGATTTAATAAATATTTAAAAAAAATAAAAATGATTGCAAATGATCATATAAATTACGAAATCCCTTACCCAAATTTTTTTTTAAAATTTAATTAAATTTGATTTTTATTTTTTTTATATTAAATTTTTTGGGTTTTTTGACCAAAGAGTAATAAAATGACTAAAAACAGTAAGTTGATTCTCATAATTTTTTTTCATTTCAGAGGCTTAATTTCGCCCATTAAGATAGTATCTATAGATATCTTTATAATTATAATACAACTTATATATTATTATATAGTTATATAGTTTATAATATAATAGATTATCATATAATATTATTCTTTTAAAAGAATTTAAAAAAATTATTAAAATACAACAACACACACACAACCAGTCAATCAGATACATAGCACATCATCAAAAGACAACAAAACAAAACGAATTCGACAGTTTCAAAGTGCACTTCACAAAATATATTCATTTAGAGAAATAAGTTTTAATTGATTTTAAAATCTTAAAAGTAGTCAATATTGTTTATGTTATTTATTTTTTTAGATAAACAATAAAGTTATTTTTTTTTCTTTTGTTTTTCTTTATTTTTTATATATATTATTTTTTTAATATTTTATATTATTTATATATTTTTTTGTATAATAAAGTAATAAGTTAATTATTTAGTTAGTTAATTCATTATTGTGTAGGAATAACGTTAGTGGACATATAATTTTAGAAATGGAATCTTCATCAACAACAACAATAAATAATCAAAAGATTGGAAAGTTCTTTGGTCAAAAAGTACCAAAAGAACAAACAATCAATAACAACAACAACAACAACAATAATCAAGAAGAATCAATTAATACTCCTACCATCAATGATTTAATCATTCAACAAATGTAAGTATAATTAGTTTAGTTAATTGCCGTCTTTTTTTCAAACAAATTATTAATAGTTTTTTTGTTTTTCTTCACTTTTCCTAAAGTTAATTTTTATTTTAGTATTGAAAATCTATGTCGTGATGTATATCTTAGATGTAATATGGATGAGAATGGATGGATTGCTTTATCATTTATCTCAAAGTTCAACCGTATGAAGTCGTTCGATATGAAGGATATCGTGGAGAGTGTTGCGCTGTCTGAGGTCGTCGAGTTGAACGAGGACAACACTGCCATTCGTTTGGCGAGTGAGAAGCGTACCATGTGGATCCTGACCGACGATATGAAGCGAGGATTCCAATATGGATTGTCGAGAGTCGAGTTGGAACCAACACCGGTGCCAACACCCGACGAGAATGGCGGATGGGTGACTGTCACCTCGAAGAAACACAACCTGCCACTCAAGAGAGATCAATCGATTGATGACTCCATCAAGAATCTCGCTCAAGAGGAACCGATGTTTGCTCTTGAAGATGAAGATCAAGATAATGACGAACACGAATCGGAAGTAAACAGTCCAGCTGCCAACAACAACAACGCATCACCCGATTTCTTTAGTAAGGAACGTAGAGATTTCGATAAGAGAATAGTATCTGAGGAAGAACAAGAGCAAGAAGAGGAAGAGGACGAGAATGAATCATCTACTTTTGAGGAGGTTGATTCCGATCATAAGGAGGTTTTCGGCGACGAGCAATCTGAAGAGGAACAATCCGAAGATGAGGATTTCGATCAGGATGACGAAAGCACTCTTGACGAGTTGTTCAGTAAATTGATTATCGTCACTCAATCGCCATATAAAAAGAAAGGAAAATCAAGCAACAGAAAAGGATTCTCCAATGAAATCGCATCGATGATCAACGATGGTCTTTACTTTTACGAGCAGGATCTCAAGAGAAAGAAAGTTCAACAACCAAAGAACTATGCAACTGTCACTATTGCTCCATCGACATCGACATCATCAACCAAGGTCAACAAACCAACTACAACAGCTACAACCAATAGCAACAGCAGCAATAATTCAGCTGTCTCCAAAGTTAGAGATCAACCAACTCGTCTCTATTCACCAAAGGTCAAGAAGGAAGGACCACCAGTCGGTTGGATTATGGCTCCCACCTCTGAGGATGCCGCTCCCACACCAAGTCCAAGCGAACCATACTTGCTCAGCGCACATCCACTTCCCAAGAAGTTGGCAGCTGCCGGCTCGTCGTACGACGGCAAGGAGATTCCTTACTTCCAGCATCCATCGCACGAACTTCTCCAAGACAATGGTTTCATGCAACACAAATACGACAAGTTCCGTTCCAAGTGTCTCAAAGATCGTAAGCGTCTCGGTATCGGTCAATCGACAGAGATGAACACTCTCTTCCGTTTCTGGTCGCACTTCCTTCGTGATCATTTCAACACCAAGATGTACACCGAGTTCAAACAGGTCGCTCTCGAAGACGCCAAACACAACTTTAGATACGGATTGGAATGTATCTTTAGATTCCTCAGCTACGGTCTCGAGAAGAAGTACCGTGCCGACATCTACCACGACTTCCAGTCGCTCACACTCCAGGACTACCACGACGGCTACGTCTATGGACTCGAGAAGTTCTGGGCATACCTCAAATTCAGAAAAGACCGTACCAAGCTCGAGATTGTTCCGGAGCTCCAACAGCTGTTGAACAAGTTTAGATCGATCGAAGACTTCCGTGCCTACGAGAAGTCAATGAAGCCATCGACTTCACCACTGCCACGTTACAACAGCTTCCACCATCAAAACACCAAACACCAACAACAAAATCAACAACATCAATCATTATCATCTTCTTCTTCCAACTCAAATAACAACAACAACAACAACTCTCAATCCAGCTATGGAAACAGAAGAGTACAGAGGAAACCATCCTCATCTACTTCTCAGGCCTCCTGGACCACCAAGCATCAGCAGATCGGTGGATCCGAGTCCTACACCAAAAATGGCCACCATTAATAACATTTTGAATTGGAAGACAAGATGTTATTACATTAGTATTAAATATGATGATTTTGAACAAACAACAACACCACCAACAACACTTTTCAAACACTCACCTTCAACAACAACAACAACAACTACAACAACAATTTTTAAAGAACTAACAAAAAATAATAATAATTATCATCAATCAATGATTATTACAAAAATGATTATCATGATAATCGATAAAAATAAAGTATGGTTAATTGATAGAATGAATATTAAGAGAAATGTACTCTGTCTTTTTCTTTGAATTATTTTATTATCTATAATGATCAGCTAGACTAAGATTCAAATGAGAGAAATGAACGATAATGAGTTCTGCCAATTCTTTGAATCCATGAGAAATTAAAGAATCAATGATACCATTCATTTCATTGGTGGTTCTGTCAACCGGTACTTTGTCGATTAAGTATTTAACTACATCTTCTTGACAGTTGGAAACTGCTAGTTGTAATGCATAGAATAGTGTATCCGTTGGAATCTTACTGTCTTTATCGGTTGATTCATATAGATACTTTAGGATATCGAGTTGACCTGTCTGTGCAGCCGTCTTTGTGAATTGTCTGATGTGGTGCGACATCGGTATATTATTGAGTTCCACCAAGTACTTAAAGATAGCGGTGTGTCGATTCTCCAGTGCACCATTCAGTCCGACGATTGTAAACTTCTTCCGATTGATTCGTCCGAGATGTTTAACAACATTGAAATGTCCGTTGGTTGCAGCGGCATCGATTGCCTTCACTGTATATCCTTCTTTTCTACACTGGTAGAGGTATTTCACTATGAGAAGATGTCCCTCTGCTGCGGCGCGATCGATGGCATCGGTGGTTGCCGTCAGTCGCGGATAGTGAAAATCAATGTACGACACCGTCTCAAAGTGTCCGTTAGCCGACGCGCTATTAATGGCAGTGGAACCGGTTGGCTCCACTCCAATCGTTCCCAAATATTTAATCACATCAAGTTTACCGCTCGATGCAGCACAATCAAACATTCTCGCCAGATACTTGCTCCCCAGCTCCCCGTTGATCGCCATCAGATATCTCAGAACCTCTTCGCTTCCGGCCAACGCAGCGCCAATGAAAGCATTCTGACTGGGCACGGATATCGAGTTTTCATAGAGATACTTTACGACCTGGAGATGTCCACGACTGGCAGCGCCATCGGAGATAGTATGTCGGTTGTCACTGTTGTATTTGTAGCCGTATTGATAGAGGAAATTCAGTGCATCCAAGTGTCCGTTCATCGCTGCCAAGTGGACAGCGGTGTCGGTGTAACTAACGACTCCGCCACGACCACGCGTCTCGCCATGAAAGTATTGGAGCAACTCGATATTTCCGATTTCCGAGGCAGCGTCTATCACGTGACACGATAGATTGAACAACTCTCTACAGAGCGAGTAGATTACTTTGACCAAGTTGGAATCTATCTGACCGAGACCTTTGACAATCGGCTTGCAATTGCTAGCAGCGATCATAGTACAATTGGTTCTCAGCCAATCGTAACCATGTTTTTTATATTTATCTCTGATCAAGTGGAAATAACCATTCTCTGCTATCCATTTTAAATCTATTTCTGCATATCTCTTGATTACCAATGGTTTTTGTTTGGGAGCAAACGTCAAAGTAACTGTTGTACAAGTACTACCACCACTTCTCTTATTATTCTTACTATAATCAAAGTTTGATCTTATCACTTGCCAAATATATTTATTACTTAATACTCTTCTTAATGCCTGTTGTTTTCTAATTATATCATCTTCATCATTCTCATTATAAATATCAACATTATTCTCCATTTAAATACTATTATTATTATAATAACAATTAATTTATTATTTCTATTTTTGATTACTATTAGTAAGATTTATAATATATAATTAAAAACAAGTTTGTTTACATTTTGTATTGTTGTTGTTTTTTGCTTCCACCCAATAATTGTTTACATTGAAAAGCAACATACACAAGTGCCACCTTTAAAAAAGTGTGAATGTAAAAAAAAATGGAAATTAAAAATAAATAAACATCGGTGATTCACCAACTTTATAGATTTAGTTAAGAAGTAAAGTAAATTGTCAGATACCTATCATGTCTATAAGAATATTTAAGATAGATTTTCATCTCATTCCAATTAATACTTTATGAAGGAGTTTATATATAATTTCAATAAAATAACTAAATGTATTTTATAAAATTGATAAACATCAATGAATCTTCTGTGATTATAATCACAGAAGAATAAGATTATAATCCAATTGTATTGTACCAATAACTGCGCAATAAATTAAATACTCACTAAAAAAATATATTAAAAAATTAAATGTTATTCGTTTTTAAGATTTTTGGGAAATCGACTCGTGTAATTATGAGCTCAACCTTTTTTGATTAAATGAATGATTAGCTGCAGCAGATCCTGTATAATCAATGGCTTCATTACTTAGATATTTTAGTCATATTAAATCGACATCATCATCATCAATATTAATAAATAATCTACATTCAACATATAGTATTAAAAATAGTAGTAGTAGATCATCATCATCAATAGCTCTTGGTAGTTTATATAGTTTTAATAGTTATGTAACGACATCAATCCAACAAAATCAATTAAATTTTAAATTAGATAAAAATAATAGTAATAGTAGTAATAATAATAAAGATAAAATAATATTTGGTAATGAATTATCAAGTGTTAAAAAGACAATACCAATCGTTTTGAAAAGAAGTTCATCGAAACGCTTTGGTAATGACGTTCACAAGAGAATATCTTTTCACTCTAGCACAGCAATCATACAATCATATCAAGATAGAATCAAGCTGAACAAATCGACATGGCGAGAGATGCAAATAGATTATCTAAATGAGAAGGAATACAACAGACCAATAGCAGATACTTTATATTCAAATAGAATAAATTTATATGATCAACAATATCAACAACCACAACATCAACAACAAGTAGAAGAAAAACAACCAATTAATAATAATAATAATAACAGTAGTACTGTTCAACAAAAAGATAATATTAAGAATTTAACATTATTATTCGGTAGAGATATACTTGAAGAATCGAATCTGCTAGATAATGATAATAATACTAAAACACCTAAAGAATTAGTATGTATTATTACTTTTATTAATAATTTTTAAACAAAATGTATATTAATATATTAATGATGATAATTTTAATAGAAAATCAATAGTACGGTTGAATTTTTAGATAATGATAAAGTAAAGATTGGTGTAATCACTGGATCTACAACTAGAGATGTGATAGTTAGTTATTTGGATATAGGAGAAGATAGTTCGAAACCAAAGTTTGTTACAAACTACAAAATACCAAAGAGAAGTGTCATCGGTTCATTCCCACTAGATGAAATCAATATTACACCACAGGATCTTCTAAACTTTGAGAAGAAATATAAAACTAAATTTGAAAGTCTACCTGCTATCTATAAGAATCTAAATGATGTAACTGATATATTCGTAAGTTATTAAAATATTGTTGTTAAAAAACAAACAAACTAAAAAACATGATGATAATCAATTACTTACTTACTTACTTACTTAATTAATTACTTGTTATTTAGAGAAATCCAATGTATAAATTCTCAACGTATGAAGCGGCAAAGATATTCTTTGGTCGTGTTGATCCGACACCACTCGATTGCTACGTTACTCATCGTATATTGAGTAGCGATCCCAATTTCACTGTCGATCACGTCAGAGGTGGATATAGGGTGGTCGAGCAGACGATCGATCTCATCGATGATTTCATTCAGCGTTTGAAGCTGTTTGTCACTTCCAAGACTGCAACTGCCGCTGCGTCGGTAAAGAAGAACAGTTCCACTCAACTCTTGTCAAAGTCACAACAGCTGCAACAACAACAACTGAAGAGCGTTGAGAATCTTTCGTTTTTCGAGCATTTCAAGTATTCCGATTATCAATATATCAATTTGCTGCGATTGTATCTTCATTATCCCGAGGAGAAACACTACCCGTTCCGTCAGTTCCTCCAGTTGATAATGGCGTCGCTCGACGTGCCACTCTCACACCGCAACGTGCGCGCCCTGCTCCTACAGATGGGATTCCTGATTGCGGGTGTCGAGCGTGACGAACTGAATCTCTTCACCAAGGAGACGATGGAGTGTGTCAAGCGCAGTCGTTTGGAATCGATAAGCGATCCGCTCGCATCGATCCGTCGCACTCTGGAGTTGCCGGCATTCGCCATCGATTCCAACAATATCGTAGGTGCGGAGGATGCCTTCTCCTTTGACTTTAACGAGTCGAATCAAGATCAAATCGTATTCTACATTCACACGCTCGATGTTGCCCGATGGATTCGTCCACACGACCAACTCTTCAAGAATGCAATGCTCACTCAATCCACTCACTACTTTGCCAACTCATCTTACCCAATGCTACCAATCGACTTTGTCAAATCGATTTCATTCAATCTCACATCGAAACAGGTATTTGCAATCTCTCAGAAATTCATAGTTAGAAGAGACAACTGTGAGATCATCTCAACTGAAGTAATACCAACTAAATTAACAAAGTAACTATAATTATAACTCTATTTATAACAAATTGTTAACATTCCATTTCTTAACATTAATGTTTATTTTAGTATTGCACAGTTATCTTTCCAACAAGCAAATAAACTGATATCGAATGTCGGTGAAATGGATGAGAGTAGTATGTCAGAGGGTCATTTAATATTGAAAGAGTTGACCTACATGGCGAATACAAGAAGTACAAATATGGATTTGAATATATTCGGTAGAAGAATCAGAAAGAAAAGATTGATCAACCAAAAAACAGGAGAAATTAAGAATATAGATCATCAATCCATTGAATCTGCACATATCTTGAATACTTTATTAACTTTTGCTGGTATGTTAACTAACATCTTTAATTTTTATATATAACTAACCTTAATTATAAAAGATGATGGATATACATCTTTCTTTAAGATGAATAAGATACCTGCTTTCTTTAAATCCGGTCACAACTATAGGATGTTTCCACTTGGCAAGTCTGTGGCAATGGCCACTACACCTGTGAGAAACTTTGTGCATCTGGTGTCACAGCTTCAGATCCACGAGTTTCTCTTGTCGGGCAAGCCTGCATTCCCACTGAAGGAGTTCAAGGAGTTTGGTTATGGTGTTCTGGAAGCGATTGAAACCAACGTCTATTTTAAGAAGCTGTTGTTACAAGTACATCAAATCAAGTTGATAGAAAATGACTTGTTAGACAAGCTTGCAGCTCAGCAACAACATCCAATGATACAAAGTGCAAACCAAGGAAACCGACCTAAACTATTGAAATCAAGAATGCCATTCGCTTCGAAATCGGCAGGTGTTGCATTGGGTGGTGGCGGTGTCAATACTACTAACACCGACTATATAGGTGAGCTTCAAGGTGAGATCAAAATGATTTCCAACACCGATCGTGTAGTCAACATTTACTTTAAGGATTATGACTACCAACAGAATGGAATACACATCGATCAAGTCAGATTACAACACTTCAAAGTTGGTGACATCATTAAAATGAAAGTCAAAGGTTTCGATTACAATAAAATCGAATTAATATTAGAATGGTAATAAAACAAAGATTGTTACCTCAGAACTTCACTATTTTTTTTTTGAAATAAATTCTTTTTTTTTTTGTCTTTAAATTTTGTCTATAGTATATTATAATCTTTTACTATCTATTTGAAGAAATGAATAACAAAGTTATTAGTCATAGTAATAGTTTCGAATGTTCAGATCATAAAAGAATATTAGAAGCTTTGTGTTATGAGTGCAATAAGTTGTTGTGTTTTAGATGTTCAACCAATCACAACAAACAAATAGAACATTCTAATTTCATTGATCATATTGATGATATTAGAATTGAACTTGGTCAAATATTACATAATATTAATAATAATAATGATAAAAGTAATAATGAAAATGATAATAATACTAAAGATAATGATAATAATAATAAAGATAATGATACAACAAGTACCAACTATTCAATTCATATTTCAAAGAGATTAGATGATATTTGGAATATGATGAAGTGTAAAACAGAAAACTACAATTCATTATCATCAGATGAGAAACAGATCAGCAAACACTTTGAAGAGTTGCATAAATATCTTATGATTGAAGAACAAAAGTTAAAGAAACCAATCATCGATCATAAAGAGTTAATAATCAATCAAATAGATCATAATATTAAAGAATTAAAACATTTAATCAACATCATCATATTAAATAATCATTTAGAAACTAATAGTAAAAATAATGATTTAGAGACGAATAGTGCAACCACATCATCATCATCTTTTCATGATGATACAACAGAGAGTTATTCAATTCCATTCATCATGAAATCAATCAATTCAAGTGAATCACTTTCAACATTCATCAAATCAAATAATGAAATGTTATTCTGCAACACCACCTCTACAAACGAACATCCTCTCGATATTCTAATAAATTATAATAATAACAGTGATTCAATGATATTAGATTTAATCTATAAATATAATAATCAATTTAAATCATCTTCATTCAAGAATAATGACAACAATAATGATAATGATAACAAAACCAACAATCGTAAATTAGAACTCAAACAGTTTGATTTCACTAAACTTGATCATTTATTGAAACAATCAATCAGACCCAGCTCAAATTCAACAACTTTAAATAATAATCATAACAAACACACTTATATCTTATCAACACATCAAAATGGAGCATCATTGATAGATTTATCCAACTCCAACATCACTGATCTTGGAACAATAAAAGACTTTGACACATATTTCATTATATCAATTCTGGCTGGAGAGTATATTTACATGTTTGGTGGTAGCGATGATCTAGGAAAATACATCAGATACTCGATAGCAGATCAATCATTTCAAGTTATTCAAGATCAGGTTTTAAATAGCAGCCTTACAGTATCAGTGTGCTATGATGGAAAAGATCATATCTATCTATATGAGGTAGGAGTCTTTGGATCTAAAAAGATCAGAATTATACGATTTAATGTAAGAACTTTACAATTTGAATTGTTTTGTGAGGAAGTAGATGACGGTGCTTCCCCTATCATTTTTTGTCACTATAATGGATTTCTATATATCCTACCAACCTATTCATTTGCAATGACTATCATCGATATCAAAGACAAAACAACTACAAAGTGGCAATCGGGTCAAAAGTTTAAGTGGATGTCAGCATGCACCGATCACAAAGGAAATATTTATTTGCACAGCAATGACGACAAATTCATTCGATTCAACATTCAAACCAAAGAAATCAAGTACCTCAATCACTGTAATATTACAGCCAATAGGTCACTCCCAATGATTTACCACGAGATATCAGAGGTAGAGAGTTATTTTTATATCACTGGTGGAGTTTGTGGCAGTGCTCGATATTCCATCGAAAAAGATCAATGGGAATCTATTTTAAGTGACGACAAGTTAAAAAGATATTCTTCAACTCTCTTTTTGAAATAAATAAATAAATTAAATTTATAAAAGCTTTGATCAACTGACAATTCTTTAGTGTTTTATTTGAGTGTTTGATAAATTTCATTATAATTAATTTATTTCGATTTGATTGGATATTCTATGTTTGTGTATGAAGCGTGTTAGGTGACTTTAGTAGCAATAAGTTTCTGATGGTAATAATACTGATATTGATAAACCACAATTATCTACCTCCTACCAGAGGAAAGAAATTCGATTTAAACCGTTTAGAACGGATAACATGTTCTTAAGATCATTGTCTAAACATATTTTTTTTTTTATACATGTAAAATCATTCTTTTTTTTATTTAATTTTTTAATCTTTGTCTATTTATAATCAGAGTAATAGTAGTAAATATCTTTGAAGAAATGAATAATAAAGATATTAGCAACGGTTTCGAATGTTCAGCTCATAAAAGAATATTAGATGCTGTGTGTTATGAGTGCAATAAGTTGTTGTGTTCAAGATGTTCAACCAATCATAACAAAGAAAGAGAACACTCTAATTTCATTGATCATATTGATGATATTAGAATTGAACTTACACAAATATTAAATAATATTAATAATGTTAATAATAATAAAGATACAGCAACAACTACCAGCGATTCAAGTCATATATCAAAGAGATTGGATGATATTTGGAATATGATGAAATGTAAAACAGAAAACTACAATTCATTATCATCAGATGAGAAACAGATCAGCAAACACTTTGAAGAGTTGCATAAATATCTTATGATTGAAGAACAAAAGTTAAAGAAACCAATCATCGATCATAAAGAGTTAATAACTCAATCAAATCGATCATAATATTAAAGAATTAAAACATTTAATCAACATCATCATATTAAATAATCATTTAGAAACTAATAGTAATAATAATGATAGTACAACATCTACAACATCATCATCATCTTTTCATGATGATACAACAGAGAGTTATTCAATTCCATTCATCATGAAATCAATCAATTCAAGTGAGTCACTTTCAACATTCATCAAATCAAATAATGAAACGTTATTCCACACTACCTCTTCTAAAAATTCATATCTTCAAGACACTCTATTAAACTATAATAATAACAGTGATTCAATGATATTAGATTTAATCTATAAATATAATAATCAATTTAAATCATCCTCATTCAAGAATAATAATAACAATAATGATAATGATAACAAAACCAACAATCGTAAATTAGAACTCAAACAGTTTGATTTCACTAAACTTGATCATTTATTGAAACAATCAATCAAACTCAGTTCAAATTCAACAAGTTTAAATAATAATCACAACAAACACACTTATATCTTATCAACACATGACGATGGAGCATCATTAATAGATTTATCGAATTACAAGATCACTGATCTTGGAGAAATCAAATATTATGATCTATATGGCACTCAATTAATTCTGGCTGGAGAGTATATTTACTTGTTTGGTGGTCTAGGAAAATTCATCAGATACTCGATAGCAGATCAATCATTTCAAGTTATTCACAATCAAGTCAATTTCAGCAGTTTTGTATCAGCGTGTTACGATGGACAAGATCATATCTATATATGTGAGGTAGTAGGATTCCCTGGAACGAAAAAGATCAGAAGATTTAATATAAGAACTTTACAATTTGAATTGTTTTGTGAGAAAGTAGATGCCAGTTCATACCAAATTATAATGTGTCACTATAACGGATTTCTATATATCATGGCAGACCGTGCATTTGAAATGACTATCTTCAACATCAAAAACAAAACATATAAAAAGTGGAAATCGGATCAAAAGTTTGTGTGGATGTCAGCATGCAACGATCACAAAGGATATATTTATTTGCACAGCAATGACGACAGATTCATTCGATTCAACATTCAAACCAAAGAAATCAAGTACCTCAATAACAATAAAAACACTATTACAATCATTTGTAAACTACCAATGATTTACCACAAGATATCAGAGGTAGAGAGTTATATTTATATGATCGGTGGAATTTGGGGAGGTGCTCGATACTCGATCGAAAAAGATCAATGGAAATCTTTTCTAAGTGACGACAAGTTAATAAGATATTCTGCAACTATCTTTGAAATAAATAAATAATTTAAATTTATAAATAAAGGCAGAGTAATAAATACTTTTATTATCCTACAATTATTCTTTAGTGTTTTATCACCTTAGTACTCTATAAAGTTTAATACACAATTCATGTATCTCTTTTCTAATCGATCGAGTAAATGTCATTTGAATATTTAAAAAATAAAAAAAATAAAAAAAACAAAATCATTCCAAGATTTAATTAAAATTTTTTGTACTTTTGACGAATCTTTAAGATAGATAGATAAATAGATTCACACTTAATAGTAGTACTAGTAGTAAAAGTGTAAAGACATGTCAGATAAACCACCATCTAAACCATCGGGTACGATCCGATTGAAATCGGTTGAGTCTAAAGGTCTACCGACGTTAAACACAGCAAAGAAACCTGCTGGTTTGAATCGTACACCTCCAACTTCATCATCGTCATCTACCTCATTAACATCATTATCATTCTCAACAACTCCATCTACTTCCTCTTCTTCTTCTTCACATGCACAACCAACTTCAACAACATCGTCAACACCATTGTCATCATTGTCATCTAGACTACCAACCACAACCACAACTACTACCACAACATCAAGTAGTAGTAACAGCAGTAGCAGTAGTGGTAGTACTAGACCTGCAATCAATGTAAATGTATCGAGTGGTGTCACTAGAAATCCAACTACTTCCACTACTTCAACTACAACATCAGCAGCACCAAAGTCAGCTGGACCAAGACCACCTGTTGCACCAAACATCGTTCCAAGAGCAAAGAAAGAGTTTACTCCAAACTTGGTGAAAAGAACTAAAGTTGAGTATGAATCGTTTAGTTGTTATTTAGATAGTTAATTAGTAGTTCATTGATTCACGTGTTCGATTATTAGTTCGTTCGTTCGTTTGTTTGTTTGTTGAATCAATGAACATTTAATAAGTAAGAGAGATGTTAACTAATTAACAATCATTATAATAGGGAGAATAAAATAGATTCTATGCTACCAAGTTCAATTACAGATATTCTAAAACATTCTTTGACAACGATTGGCACTATTTCCGATCAGAAACCAAAACATGATAGAAACAGACAGATTCGTCAAGGTATCAATCCAAGAGCTAAAAAGCATGGTACAACAACATCTGCTATACCGAATGCTCCTTCGCTTCCACTCACTCAACTACCAGATTCATATCTAGAGAGAAATAGTCAGCAAAGTATGTTAATTACAGATCTATCTATTTATATATTCTAACATTTATACTTTATCAATATAACATATCAAATCAAATAGGATCAGCAAATAAAGAAACAGATAAATTGAATGAAGATTTCGTTAATCAGTTATTCCACGAGATGGAAATCGACCCGATGCAACCGAACCATCCAACACATCTTCCATTGGTAGATCCAAGAAAGGTATTAAAGGAATACTCACTTAAAGATGCAAAACTAGATATCGAAAAGAAAAAGAAAGAGATTCAAGGTAATCTAATTATAATCTAATAGAGAAAACCATAATTATATATAGATTATTAATATGTAACAACTATCTATCCATATCTATTTACTTAACTTAACTTCTTATCTATAGAGAAAATTCAAAATGGTGAAATGTCAGATGGTTTGAGTTTAGATTCGTTGATTGAAGATTCGAATAATACATTGTTTTCAAAGCCAAAGAAGGTGGAGGAACAGGTGAAACCATTCCACAACGAAGGAATATTCCTAAATGACGACCATCTATTTTTTATTCAACTTCCTACTTCGTTGCCATCGTCGGCAACCAGACCAGTTATGATATCCCCACTGATGCCATTGCCACCCGGTGCCAAACCACCACCTGGAATGCCTCTGCCACCCGGTGCCAAACCACCTGCTGCTACCGGTGGTACCGCACCACCTGCTGCTGCTACTAATGCAGCTAACAACAATAACCCAACAGAACTTAACAAAACATCATTCGTACCTATGATTTATCCAGGTGATTTCTCAAACACTATGAAATCGTTACCATCTGGCAAACTAGGTACTCTCAAAATATATAAATCCGGTAAAACTATATTAACAATTGGTTCCGTTGAATATCATGTATGTATCATTAATACATTAACAAGCCTTCATCATTCAATCAATGTTTAATTAACAACCAACAACTATAATACTTTATAATATAAATAGGTATCAGCAGGTAATAAATTAAAGTTTTTAGAAGAGATCAAGTGTATTACTCCTGATGGTCCTACTTGCTATACACTAGGTACACCTTCACAACATCTAGTAGCATCACCAATGATAAATATAGGTGCACAACAACAAGATGCAACATAAAATAATATAATATAATAAAAAACAAACTAGACTATTTAATTTATATAAATATATATATATATATGTTTATGTTGATTAGTTTTATACAAGAATCTTTATTTATTTATTAATTTCTGATTTAATTTAATTTAATTTGATATCAATTTATTATATTCTGTGATAACTTTGTTCTTTGTTATTTCATAGTCACCGGTAGTATCGAAAACGACATCTGCATATTTCTCTCTCTCCTGGTTGGTCAGTTGTGAATCGATTCGCTTGATTGCCTCTTCCTCTGAGAGACCGTTACGTGCTGACAGTCTGGAGATTGCAACCTTTCTATCGATGGAGGTAACCCATACACGATCGACAATATCGAGGAATCCAGCTTCGATCAACACCGCCGCTTCCAATACAACGACCTTCTCCTTGCGAGACAGCGACTCTTGAAACTCTTTCTCAATCAACACTTTCATCTCTGGCCAAACGATAGAACATAGAGTATTCATATTCTGTTTGTCTGCGAATACGATCGGACCCAGACTACGACGATCGATTTCACCGTCGGCCGCTACAATCGATTGTCCGAATGCCTCGATCAACTTTGAGTGTGCAGGTTCACCCTTTTTGTAGACGGCATGACCTATCTTGTCTGCATCTATACACTTTGCGCCCAACTCTGTTAGATATTTGAGTACTGTTGATTTACCAGATGCAATTCCTCCTGTCAATCCTATCTTTATCATTTTCTAGTTTATAATTACTAACTATTTAGTTTAACAAACAAATTAAAAAAAAAAAAAATCAAAATCAAACAAACTAACCAAATTTAGGCAAACCAAATTAATCAAATCAATCGATCAAGTGTTTTAAATTAAATTTTAATTATTAAATATTTTATTATTTAAATATTTATTTTTATTTATTTATGTTTTTACACTTGCGAATATCTCTTCATAACTACTGAGATTTCTAATGAAATAATGATAGATTATAATGAGTTCATTGTAGATAACCTGTATTGTTCTCAAGGTATTGTATACACAATTATATTTTGTGTCTTCAAAAAGATCTGAATAATTAGCTATATCTTTATGTTTTTTAACCTTTTTTAATAAAAAAATGGATGTTAGTAAATTTTAATCATTTTAATAATAATTCCCAATATGTGTATTTCGAAATTGATGATGATAAATTGGTGGGTGTGGTATGAAATTCCAAAAAGAAATGTTGAAAACGAGTGACGGTTGCTAAATTGTGGTCATCAATGACGAGTTGGATCATTGTTTACTCTAAAAATACTTGCCTTTTGTGAAACATCTTTTCGCACATGTGATCGCAGCTTTGCCATTCTGGAATAGAGTTTGCCACAGATTTTTTGAATTGGACTACTTGATTTTAACTGAATAATGATTAAGATATTTTATAACAATAATAAAAAGAGAATAGGAAATTAATTAATAATGATCCAAAGCCAATAAGATAAAACTGATTGAATAGATATTATTACAATTATATATGTTAAATGTGTATTGGTGTCACCTTTGGGAGGTGTTAAAAGATCCAATGGAGTTAGGGTATTAAAGGTTTCTGCAACTAAAAATCCCAATACTTTAAAAAGATATGCTTCCAATTGATTCTGTCATTATTAAGATAAAAAAATAGATATAAGATTAGTTTGAGAATGTAATATTATTAAATTATTGTTGAAATTGTACCATTGTTGTTATTTTTTGTATATTATTCTCTTCAAATTTTGCTATCAATCCACTCTCCATTAAATCCAAGTATAACTGTGGGTTTTCAAGAAATTTTTCTATGTTCCATGTGGTCTAAATGAAACGAGTTATAATTGTAAGAATTAATAAACCAACTAATGTGATATGACTTTGTAGAAGCAATCTCTATTGTACAGTTCGTGACTATATGCTCATTAACCATTGATATCTGATGTCAATCTACTTTTGTTTTTTGTTGTTATCATACCAATAGTTGAGAGAAAGTATCAATGTATGCGGGTATAATCTCTTTATAGAATTTAAAAAAATGTTCTGATCCAATCTTTTGGTTTAATCCTTCAAAGGCAATCTCTTTCTTATACTTTTCAAATAGTTCTTCTAATTCTCTCTCTGCATCATCTAACTCTGTTGGATTGTGTTGGTTTTCATTCTTTTTCTTTTTATGAACATGAATTCTTGCTCTGATACTCTGAAAACTAGACATTTTAAATTAAATGGGTTGTATGTTAACACAACAAATATATAAATTATCAAATTAATCAATCAAGAGTGTCCTACGTTAAATTTAAAACCAATTAAAAAAAATTCAATTTTTTTTTATTATTAAAAATATATTATTTTTAAAGAAAAGGAAAAAAAATTGTACAAAAACTAGTTTTTTTTTAACGTAATATTAGATTTATTTTTCATCAGATTTAAAAATAATAATATTTGTTTAAAAAATAAACTATTCTTATTAATTAATCTTAGTTAGTTTGATTATTAAATTTAACACAAATACAAAAAAGCATTCAAGAATAGTTGTATTCTAAGAAGAAAAGAATAATGTTCGTAGAAACGTTCATTTTTTTGATGCCTTTACATAATGATAATATGATACATCATAATTATGTAATAGAGTGTGTTAATTAATTAAGTTTATTCGATCAGTTGCTGTTTTATAACCCCAATAAAATATAGGTTTAAATTTAATAATTAATATGTATGGAATTGTAATTCATCGCAATCAATCCTCATACCGCCAAAAATTGAATACACACAGATAACAATTGATGGTATTTCGTTTCATCACCTATTTGCGCAATTTTATTCTTATCCTGTTTAGTGAAAAAAAGTAAACAATAGAACATGACGGAGTGGACTTCAAAATAGGTAATTAAAATCATTTCGACTTTAAGTTTGTTTTTTTATAAAAATAACTTCTGTGGGGTGACACCAGCATTAAGATGACTTGATTGATTAAACCTTTTGGTTCATTAAATTTAATGTGACCTGACTCCAACAATCGCGATCATGTTTTTCGTTTTTTTTAATTTGAGCAAAAAAACAACCCATTTTGATTTTTTTTACAAAAGGATGGGGGCAAAAGACATAAACGGATTCCAATTTTTCAGTTGTTTTTTTCTCAGATGTTGATGGCAATTCTCCTGTTGTTGATATATGAGAACAGCTTTTATGAGGTGAAAGTTTTAATTTATCGTGATGTTGATTCATCCTTAGAACTATCGAGTTATAATGATGCTCTTCTGTTGTCAGAAATCATCAATTGTGTGATGGTCTATGCTTTATTGTAAGCCTTAATATGAAATCGTTGCAAAAAAATTTATTTTTATCCCAAATTTAAAATAATTGAAAAATAAAAAACATAAATTCGAATTTCTAATGATGCACCAACAATGATTACACACTAAGGGTTTCTGTTTGTGTGGGAACAGTGCAAAGCAAAACAAAGTGGGAGAATAAAGTTCTATCATAAATGACTATCACAAGTAATGGTGGTGAACTGTGTTAAGTGGTATTCACAATCAAATGTTTAAACAGGAGCTACCTTACATGGGTACACGCCCTCCTTTAAAAATAAACTTTTACAAAAAACAAAATTAAAAAAAAATACTAAATTCTTTTTCACAAAGATCTGACAACATAGAGCATGATTAAATGACACCTTCTGATTATAGACATTATTAAAATAAAATAAATCAAATCAAATCAACTCTGGTTTAAACTCCACCATCCAAAACTATTAAATACAACAACCAAACTAGTCGAAAACATCAACACCCCCCATCTCCTACTTTGAATATATATAACAACTACAAAAATAAATATAAATACATATTAAAAATATTATATTTTTAGAGAATCGCATTAATAAATTTGTTTGAAATTTCATATTTAATATCAATATTGAAATTGCGAACAACATTATTTTTCCAGTTTACCACTTACCTTAATGTTTAGATGTAAGTAGAACTCCCAAACTCTGGGTAGATCTTAGTCCATAATAATTTAGATTGGTCCCGATCTATAGAATCGGAAATACTTTTAAATAAAATACAATAGTCATTTCACACACTATAACCATCCCAAAATTCACAGAATTTAATAACACTTTCAAAAACCAATCCTAACAATAACCGTATCAATATATCTATTTTCAAACAAAATGACAAGTTTAATTAATAACAAATCATATTTAAAGTTTAAATCGGCTTTATAATTATATTATGACATTCTTATTATTAAATAATTACCTCTACCACATTACCACCAAAATATGAATTGTTTTTTTAATAGATAAAGATAAAAAAAGATAGAGATTTCTTTCTTTAATTTTTTTTTAAAAGAGAAAAGAATTATTCATTTATTTGATGTTGTCTCTTAATTTTTTTTAATAATTATAAACATTGGCTTATCTTTTAAGGTTGAATTGTTCGATCCATTTGTTGTTTTAAAATACCTTTATATTATTTATAAATTTCTCATTCTTTGTTCATTGTTGTATCTTTAAATAAATCCATCATCATTTTGTCGACATCAACAACGTTCATTACTCAAGAAAAACATTATTCGAATGTTTGTGTTCGCACTAACTCTCCCTTAATGTTGGTTCGGGCATAACATTTGAATTCTATTTTTATAGAGTTAACTACTGTAAAAAATATTTTTTTGAATGTAAAATTATTGGAGAATAACCAATTGTTTACCCACTAATTACTTATACTTTAAAAAAAAAAAAATTAATAATTAAAAAACACCAAAATAAGTAATTTTTTATTTTATAAAATATATTTTACAATTTTTTTATTTTTATAAAATATATTTTATGAAAATTATGTTTTTCAATAATAATTAAAATTTATAAGATCTTTAGATTTCTAAAAATATAACAAGTCTATTTTAAAAAAAAAAACTAAATAATAATAAATACCAAGTGTTTTTACAATTTGCTTTTTGTTTTTGGATTTTTAAGATTTATTTACACCACAATTGGTGCAAAAAGTGGGTATCATAGTGAAAGTGTGTTTTTCGTTTGGGTAAATTTGTTGTTTTCACACGACCTGGTGAAAGTTGGTTATTTTTGTTCTTTTGTAACTTTACACAAAACTTAATAATAGACAGATATTTATATAAAGTATGACAATGAAATATACAAATTCTAATGGTAACATCACTCTGTCAATCAACAAACAACTTTTTTTGCAATCATTATAAAAAGCGAAATAATAATAATAACCATCTATCGATCTTAAAATTGTTTTTCTTTTTTTTTTGTTTGTTACTTATTATTCTATTCAATGCACATTCGAATACACAATCATGTACGATTATTGGATGTCTGTTTATGTTTGAAGTTGTAAAAGGTGTGTCAAAACTACTTTTTGTATTAGGTAATGGAATGTTGCTTCTATTATGTGATAAATGATGGTGGATGGTGAAGTATTGCCTAATCGATTTTGTTGTTACATTATCCAACATCATAGAGCATCATAAATCACAACTCAACTGAAAATAATATAACCCAGAAAAAAAAAACATTTTTATTTTTAAATCAAAATGTGCAAAGCTAAAAAAAAATATCATAATTAGATGGATGGATTGAAGCTAAAAACAACCACGCATTCAGTTTTTAAAATTTTGACAAGTATTTTGTTTTTCATTTTTTTGCAATTAATTTTTGGTCATGTGGTGGTGTGTGTGTGGGGGTTTGTTTACACTTGTCTTTTAAGACTATTCTTGTGAATCTTCACACAACTATAAGAAAGACAATCAGAGTGTGTTTGTTTTTATTGTAATGAGCCTGGTTGGGGTTGATGTGTGGGTTCATATCGTAACAATCAAATTGACAACTCACACCACCATTACTTAATATTTTTATTATTACCTTCTATTTTTGTTGTTGTGTGGGCTCTGAAACATATGTGTTTTATTGCTAATGTCATTTTTTATAAAACAATTTTAATTAAAAAAAAAAGTTTTTATTCAATTTATAAATAAAGTTTTTTGGTTAGGACCTAGCTTGTTTTATTTTAAATTTTGTTTTCAGATCTATTATTAAATTAAGAAAAAATAGAAATTTTGAACATATTCTTATTTTTCTTTCAGAGTAGTACCACCCCACTTTCACACTTCACATTTACACACAAACTATTTATATATATTTATTTTTAACTCTGCTTCTTAGACTAGTATTGCTTTTGTTTTTTTTTGCTATTCATTTTGATTCTATTAAAAAGTTGGTTAGTTGTTAACAATTATAAATAAATCAAAATATTTTGGACAGTCTATCAATCATTATAAATATAATTTGTATGTTTTAATAAAAATTGCCTCCAAAAAACAACAACAACACACCAAGTTTTAAAAATACATCAAATTATTATTATAAAAATACTTCAAAATATAATAAACCACATTTTTATTAATAAAAATATTAATAATATATCTTTTTTTTTTTTTTTGTTTTTATTTTATAGATTGAATATCATCATAGCAAGTGCAATAATAGCCGTTAATTATCTTCAGTCATTGTATATATAAATATATTACCAACTCAATAATTAGCTAATTATATTATACAAAGAAACAAAAAGTGTAAGTTATTATTATTATAAATCAAATCTTCAATCAACTTTGAAAAAGTAAAAACATCACCTCCCATCACATCCTATATACAAATCAAATAATTAATAATAAGGGTTTGACACTTTTAATGTAATGTTAACTTATTTGAAAGTCTCTGTAAGGTTGTTGGTTTGGATTTTAATTATGTTAATTGAAATTGCAACACTCTTTTACATTTCACCCACTCTTTTAAATTTGGAAATTCTCAAATAAAATTTAGATTTTATTTTTTTGTTTTGGTTAATGGGGCGGATCATGTCATCGACCATTACAATGACGCGTTTTTTGTTGTTTTTACTTGGAAATTGGCATAAGTAATGAAAAAATCAAGAAATTCAATTAGCTTTCTCTTTGCACTTATGCAAAAGATAAGTTACAACTTTCGATCTGAAGAATCAACTAGAAATCAAAAACAACAACAACATTGACCAAACAAAAATTTTGTAATCAAGAGCTGTTTTGATGAAATTCTATTATTAAATTTGGATTCCAAAACCAAAAGATTATTTTTAATTAATTTTAATCAAAGAGTTGTGTGTGTTTGGTCACTTTGTAATTAATTCACTCAAAAAAACATCACTATCATTTCATTCTTATATAATTATTACTTTTATATATAGAATTACAAAAAGAATTGCAAAGAAGAAGTTGGTCTGAAAAAAGAACACTCAAACCACCAAAAAATTCTTTAATCAAAAAACAAAAAAACTCAACAACAAATTGTAAACATTTTTTTTTCTTTCCCAAAAAAAATGATCCCCCATTAAATCACTTAAAAAAACAAAGCATCATATGTGTTTTTCAGACACCATCACCACCATCACTACTACTGTCACTATTACCAAAACTTATGAATCACTATTGTTACACATTGATTACATCGCGAATCTGTTGCAAGACATTCATTCTATACTCCTCTTCTATTTTTTTTTTTTGTTTTATCGTTTTGTCGTTTTTTTATTTTTATTTTTTTTATTTATTTATTTTAAAATTGTTAACTACATCTGTAATATTCACCATATAAGCAGTTCAATCTTAATCATCATAGTTAAATTAGGAAATTCAGGTCCACCTCTACTCATTTCTACAACAACAACCAAAATTTCCCTTCTTTTATTTGTGTTTTTAAAAAGCTCTTGAACCACTTCTTCTAAATATAACTGAATCAAAAGCTCATTCTTCTTTGGTATGTTTCTAATGTCATCACCTCATGTTTCTTATCTTAATTTGGCGATAAAGACATTTCTCTAAAACAATTTTGTTTTTTTTGGTTGGTTTTTTTTTTTTTCGAGTTTTTATGTTTTTTTTTTATTTTTAGTTTTTTCGATTTTATGTCTCATTAAAAATGTAATTTAGTGGGGACTCATGACCACCACCAATTACGTAATTTTTGACTTTCTAGAACCAAAAAAGAATCAACTTGTTCCGAATCACGATGGTGAATGTTCGTTAACAAGCATCAAATATGTTGTATTCTATTATTATATATTATATTTAATTTATTTAAAACAAAAAAATAAATAAATAAATATAAAGTTTTTTTTTTTTTTTTTGCACAACTTCTCCCTGGCACCCCAATAACCACACCCCACCTCAGATATATACAACCCACTACCAAATTAATTATAATTGTTATTGCACTACTAAAATAAAAAAAAGATATTAATAGTAATAGTAGTTAAGAGTACCAATACATTTATATAACAACATCAGATAAATTAAATTAATATAAAATAATAATAATTTTTTTTAATCTGTTAATAAAAAATAATATATTAATAAATTAATGTTTGGTCCAAACCACTAATAATATTTCATCACACAATCAATCACTGTCATCTATTCCAATATCCAAACAACCCAAAAATTAAAATAGAAATAGATCAACATCATCAGAAGAGATAATAACAATAACAATACCAAACAAATAAGAATCATAATATTAGGTTCCTGATAGATATTAATTAATTTAATATAATTTTTTATATTTCTAACCATTAATATATCAATAGAAATTTTAAAAGTAAAATCATGATAATAATATACTTTATACCACTACCACTAAATATTACTAGACCACTACCACCACTCGTCGCAACACACTCATTCCCTCCACTACCACCATCAGATTGATTTCACAAGTTCATACATTCTCTCTTTTATATTTCTGCAACTTCAAATTTGTCTTTTATTTATTTTTATATTATACACTTTGCTATTCAACCTTGATTTGGATCGCGTTGTACTATATTCTATTCTATTTATTACCAATAGATAAAACAAAAATATAAAATTTATTTTTAAATTTTCACTCACTTGCAAATAATTAAATTTACACTTTATAATCACACTGTCATTGACATCTAAAGTATTTTCTTGGTTAAATACAAGCTAAATCATGAATGAATAAATAAATAAATATTGTTACTGAAAAAAACCACATATTCCCACCCGCCATATCTTGTTTTCATATGAATGCAGGATGAACCACCACACAACTTCCAACACCATCATAAATAATAATAAATTTTCGACATCACCCACATTATTATTTATAAATATAAACCAATCCAATGACCATTGTCACCTTTATTTTAAAATTCATTCTATTCATTTTTAGACATATCATTGCATGTTCACCCCCTCTCTTTTCAAATATTCCAATAATAATTTCGAATATACTCCATCCATTTAGATATATACCATTTTGATTTATAAATAAATCAAATTTATATATTTCTTCACAAAAACCAAGAGCTTCTTTTTGTTTTTTTGTATATTAATTAAAAATATATTCTCATCCCTCTTTTTTATATTAATCTCTCAATTGTAACTAAACTAATTTAAAATTAATTACTTTCTTTTTCTCCCCCCTCAACAACAATATAGAATTTATAATTTAACAAAATTTTAGTTTATAAACTAAAATTCAAAACCAAAAAAGTTTACAAAACTGTTGTATTCCTTCCACCCTTGAAAGCGTTGTACAACCCCCTCCCTTTTAATCTAAAAGTCCAACCCACCACTGTCACTATCATCACATCCACTATCACACAATGGGAAGAAAGAAGATCAAGATTCAAAAGATTACCGACGAGAGAAACAGACAGGTCACCTTTACAAAGAGAAAGAATGGACTCATCAAGAAGGCAATGGAATTGGCTGTCCTCTGTGACTCCTCAGTGACCTTGGTCATTGTAAATAATTCTCCAAACGCCAAAGAAAAGTATTTCCAATATGTTAGTTCAGATTTGGATCAACCATTGACCACTATTCCAGACCTTGGTCCTGAGATTTCACAATTCTATATGAATGAAGATGTATGTAGAAATAATTAATTTTATAACTTTTAAAAAAACAACAACTAACTAATATTATCTATCTTTTTCCTAAAGTATGATAAAATCTTTAATAAAAAAGATAAATCTGATTCTCATGATGATATGTTTTTGATGGACGGTCATTCCAATCAGGAACATTCTTCACCGTCAATGTCACCCACAAATTCACCAAAAATAAATCCACAACCAATTAGATCGAATTCGGTCGGTCAATATAAGGCAGCTGCTGCCTCACATCATCATCATCATCCATATCCATTGTCACAAAAGAACTATCATCAACAACAAACAAACACAGCACCATTATTAACACCAAACAGCAACAACAAATCACAACCACCACAACAATCAATATATAAAACATCGCCACAAATCATAAGTCAACAACCATCGCTCGGTAACAACATTCAACTGTCCAACCAAACCGCCATTGAACATTTAGACTCTGAGAATGACCATATCTCACCAATGGGATCGCCAAAACCTCAGAAATACCAACAGGTTCCACAGACTTTTGACTCGGCACAAGCACTCCTCTCACTGACCAATCCAAGCACCTCCAACTTTGAACTGTCACCAACTTCCTCCAATTCTACATCGCCTGCGTCATCCCCAAGAATACCAGCCACTTTAGAGTCACCACCAAACAACAACAACAACAACAACAATAGCAACCACAATGAACAATCTATTTCAACATCGTCATCGCCAATTTCTAATTTACAACTCTCATCAGCTGCATCCATTCAAACCGCACCATCCAATATTAAGAGAAAATGTATAAATGAATCAATTTCCAATATACTTAATCATAGCGGTGATAGTATTTCATATAATAATCATATTAATAATAATAGTAGCAACAACAACAACAACAACAATAGTAATATAAATAATAATAATAACACTCAAACATCAGCATCACCATCACACAACAACAATCCAAATAATTTTAGACCAAACTCACCAAAAGCTTCACTCACTCTGCCACCTTTGCAGACAGATTTTTCCCTTGAAAGACCTTCATTTCCTTCGTTTTTTTTAAATAGGGAATTCAATAGTAATATAGATCCAAAGAAAAGAGCTCATCCATACCATGAGGTCAATGTATAAATTAAAATTCGATGACAACCAACAACAATAATATTGTTTTTTTTTTCCAACACCCCATTAAATATAGATACATTAAAGTTTAAATAAAAATTATTTAATCTTCTTCTACCAAAAAAAAAAAAACAAATACTCTTTTTTTTCTTTATTATTATATCTTTGATTTTTCCATCATTATAAATCTAGTGAGTCTATTACCCACTTTCGGTGGCATAATCATTATGCTACGAAATTTTTTTTGAGTTTTTTTTTTTTGTTCAGATGACATTTTAATCGATTGTTAATTTTATTTCTTTTTTAGTTATACTTTGATATTGATATTGATATATATATATATTGATCAATATCTATTATTTAGAATAAAAAAAATGTTAAGTTCTAGATTAGTTAGAGTTTTCAATCATGGATTGAATAGATCATTTACAACAATAACAGGATCAACTTGTACAAAGAAGATGTTATCATTAAATTCAAATCAATATAATAATAATAATAATAGTAATAGTGACAATAATAATTATAGATATAATAATAATAATAATAGTGAAAAAGAATCAAATAGTAATAATAAGAATGAATATAATGAAAAGAATGGTAGATTTAATAAATATGGTGGACAAGCATTGTTTGCTTTTTCATTTGGATCGTTGTTTGGTTGGAAAAAAGAAGATGCAATGCTGTCACAGGCAAAGAGAAAACCAAGAGCACCGGTGACAGATTTCGAAGATGCTCTCGAGTGGTATCAAACCTACTATCAAAACGGTGCGGATTTAGATAACTTCCCAGTGGCAATGGCCTATCTCTTGGGTAAACAATCGCAACACTATCTGAAACAACAACTCTCTAGCATAAAGAACGACAAAGACCTACAGACACTGGCGAAACTTCAGACGATCCAATCGTTCTACTACATCCCGATGGTTGGATTCATGGCGGAGATCTTCCGTCAGAACCCGACCAAGATCAAACAGTGGTACGAGTTGCTGATGTCAAAGGAGGACATCACCACACCCTGGAAGTCGACACTCGGCAATCTCGACCCATCGATGCTCTTGACGCTGGCAGTGTCACTCGCCGACTGCAAAGAGGCAGAGGAGATTCAGCTGGCGATCGTCAAGAAGTCGCTGGGCGCCAAGCAGGCAGAGTCGCCAGAGAAAGTCGCCGAGAGTCTGGCGTCGCTCAAATCGTGGTCGTCGAAGCAGCGTGAGAGCTTGCCGACCTACCCACTGCTGTTGATCGGTGAGTATCTCAGCACTGGCGACGAAAAGATCGTGCGAAAGATATCATCGATGTGGAGACGTTCGCTCGACAGCCTCGAAAAGATGGCACTCAACACCACGCCACAAGTGAACACCGCCAACAACCTCAACAAGAAACTCGAATTCCAACAACGTGAAATGATCATCGATGAACTGAGTCAAGCGATCAGACTACTCTCCAAAGATCAAAAGGCACACAAGATACTCAAAGAGGAATTGGATCATCATCTTCAATCATCTAAAGCATCGACAACCAAACAATAAATAAACAAAACAAATTAAACTAAAAACTGATTTCAAATCAAAATAGATAAACAACAATCAAAAATAATAATATTGTACACACACACACACACACAACACCATCAAATGAACAAATCTACACTAATAAAATCAAATCAAAACAAAATCATATCAAACCAACCCAAATCACATGATTGTATTGTAGTACTACAATTTCATTTTACAATTTATTTGTTAAATCTACAAAATTATAATAATCTATTTAAATAGCAGATATCAAAAGTACACTATCATTTTTTACATCTTATTTTACTTCTTTTTTGATTTTTTTATTTTAATTTTTTTTTTAATGTCGTGTGATTTTCACGGGAGGTGGTTTTTGTTTTGTTTTGCTCCCTGCAAACATCAGCTCACTCCAAAAAAGCAAAAAAAAATAAATATATAAATAAATAAATATTTTTTTTAATTTTTATTTTTAATCCTTTTTTTTTTTTTTTCTTTCGCTCGTGTTCGTGTGGTTGTTATTAAAAACCGAACTATTAGAAGTTGGTTTAGTTATTCTTTTTTCTCTCTCAACTCAACTCACCTCAACTTAAAGTTTAAACTTTTTATTCTAGTCAAAAAAAAACATCTTATTATTGTTTTTTTCTTTATTATTTATTATTACAAACAAAACAAAACAGTTAAATCAATTATTTATTACTATATTTAATTGAATATTTAATTATTTTATTTTTTTCACTTTAGAAATATTTATTTACAAAATAAAATAATAAAATCGAATTATTATCGTTATTTTGTATTTTTTTCTAAATTCTTTCGTAACCATACACCTCTATAACATCAACACTATACAAATACAGAGATACCTATATAGAATTATTATATAATAAAAAATGGGAAAAAAGTCTGCCAATAATAAGAAGAACAACAAGAAACAAGTCGAGGAGGTTGTTTCTGATGACGAAAATGTCACCCAAAAGTTTGAGAAGATGAGAATCAACCAATTCACTGCTACTGGATCGTTATCATCAAAAGAATCATCAAGAGATGTAAGTAAAACACTAACTAACACGAGCAAACAATTAATAAATTGATTATTAATTTTGATTATCTTATTTTTTTTTTTTTTTGGTTATTTTTTATTTTAGATTAAAATCGAACAAGTAACTTTAACTTTCCACGGTAAAGAATTACTTAGTGATACTACAGTAGAAATTAATTTTGGTCGTCGTTATGGTTTGATCGGTTCTAATGGATGTGGTAAATCGATTTTCCTCCAGTGTCTTTCGATCCGTGAGTTACCAATTCCAGAGCACATCGATATCTTCTACTTGTCAGAGGAAGCTTATCCAACCGAGAGAACCGCACTCCAAACTGTCATTGACGATGCCGAGAAGGAGGTGAAGCGTCTCGAAGCCTTGGAAGAGCGTCTCTTGATCGAGGAGGGTCCAGAGAGCGAAGAGCTCATGGACGTCTACGAGAGAATGGAGCGTCTCGACCCAGACACCTTTGTTGCACGTGCCTCTGAGATCTTGATCGGTCTCGGTTTCACAAAGACCACAATGCACAAGATGACCAAGGACTTGTCCGGAGGTTGGCGTATGAGAGTATCACTCGCCAAGGCACTCTTTATCAAGCCAACCCTGTTGTTGCTCGACGAGCCAACTAACCATTTGGATCTCGGTGCCTGTGTATGGCTCGAGGACTACCTCTCCAAGTACGATCGTTCACTCATTGTCATCTCTCACTCACAGGACTTTTTGAATTCCGTTTGCACCAACATCATCCACATGAAACAATCGAAACTCCAATACTACGGTGGTAACTACGACACCTTCATCAAGACAAAGGCCGAGCTGGAGGTCAACCAGATGAAGGCATACCACAAGCAACAAGAGGAAATCGCACACATCAAATCTTTCATTGCCAGTTGCGGTACCTACGCAAATCTCGTCAGACAGGGTAAGAGTAAGCAAAAGATCATCGACAAGATGGAGGAAGCCGGTCTCGTAGAGAAGGTCGTCGAGGAGAAGAAGTTCAATTTTAGATTCCCACCATGCCCAGAGTTGGCACCACCCATTCTCCAGTTTAACAATGTCACTTTTTCATACTCTGGTAAGGAGGCCGATGTTTTATACCGTGATTTGGATCTCTCTGTAGATCTCGACTCTAGAATTGCCTTGGTCGGTCCAAACGGTACCGGTAAGTCGACACTCTTAAAGTTGATGTGTCAACAGATCCACCCAACCAAGGGTGAGGTTCGTAAGCACGGTCATCTCAAGATCGCTCGTTACCATCAGCATGCCGCCGAAGCTTTGGATCTCACAATGACTCCACTCGATTTTATCAAGAAATCCTTCCCACAATACGAGAAGGACACTGAAGAGTGGAGACGTGAGATCGGTCGTTTCGGTGTCACCGGTAAGTCACAGACCGAAGCAATCGGTTGCATGAGTGACGGTGTCAAGAGTCGTCTCATCTTTTGTATGATGGCTTTGGAGAACCCACATTTGCTATTGTTGGACGAGCCAACTAACCATTTGGATATGGAGTGTATCGACGCTCTTGCCGAAGCCATCAACGAATTCCCAGGTGGTATGGTACTTGTAAGTCACGATTTTAGATTGATTTCCCAAGTCGCTCAGTCTATTTGGGTTTGCGATAACAAGACTATTGCTCCATGGAAGGGTGACATCACAAGTTATAAGAACACTTTGAAGAGCCAAATCAAATTCACATAAATAAAATATTTTTTTTTGCCATTTTTAAACAACTAAAACAATTACAAGTTGACTACTTGAAGCCACTGGACATGTTGAATTCCAAAACATTGAAATCAATCGAACTCGATTATTAATATTGTTTGATAAGTGGTCAAGATAGAGAACAAATTGTGAAGATTTTGAAAGAGTTAGTTCAACACTACATAGTTCATAGTTATTCATTTGTAAAAATTAAGTTGTGCAAAGATGAAATTTAAAAGTTAAAATTTTTACTCGAAAATAATCGTTGTTTACTTTTATCTAACTATTAATTCCACACTACAATATATAAAAGTTGAAACTAAAATTTTTGTCTCTCTAAATTGTCCTAGGCTTGAACGTTGTATGATCACAATCAATAAAAAAAAAATAATTAAATTTAAAAGTTAAAAAAAAATTTTGTTTTATTTAAAAATAAATGATTATTATTTGTAGTAATTCAAATCGATGGAATCAGGAATTGTTTGTGAATCTGTTGGTGTATCAAATCCAGTCTTTGTGGTGTATTCTTCCCATCTCTTTTGATCTTTGATCATCTGGTCAGTTTTGGAATGAACCAATTCATTTGCTTCGGGACTAATAAAGAGATGACTGGTATCATCACCTTCAGATTGATAGACTCGAATTAAAATATCCAATATCTTTGATGGATCACCATTTTGTTTTCCACTGTATTGATTAACAATAAAATCTAATGTACCATGAACATGTTTATATGCTTCAATCTTGTTTATTGGTTTATATACATCTGCCTATAAATAATAAATAACAAAACAAAGAGTTAATATCTTCAATCAATTATTATTCTCATAATTATATAAATAATCTGTAATACCTACACCTAAAATACCAGTTCTAAATGAACCTAAGTTGACAGAGGTTACTCTAACACCTAATGGTTTGACCTCAAGTGCATAGGATTCCGACAGTCCATCGAGTGCAAATTTAGTGGCACAATAGGCACTGTGTCCAACGATACCTTTAAGTCCAGCAACTGAGGACATGTTGAATACATATCCAGATTGTTGATTTCTAAAGATTGGTGAAACGTTTCTGAGGACATTGAACACAGAGAATAGATTGGTGTCGAAATTGGCACGAACATCTTTGTCAGAGTTCTCTTCTAATGCTCCTGAAATAGAGAATCCTGCATTATTAACGACAACATCGATTCTACCGAATTTAGTGAGAGAATCATTCAATGATTGCTTAACACTCTCTTCATTGACCAAATCAACCTGTACAGCCAAGAAACGATCGTTATCACCAAGCGAACCAACTGCACCAATCAACTGTTGTTTATCTCTTGATGTACCAACCACTTTAAATCCATAGGTTAATAGTTTCTTTACCAATTCCAATCCGATTCCTTTTGAAGCACCAGTAACATACCATACTTTATCGACAGATTTAATTTCTAAACTTGACATTATTGTTTTATTTGTTTATTTATTTAAAAGGTATTAATATTTATGAAAAAAATAGTTAATTATTAGATTTATATTGAGATTTATATTTAATTTAATTTGATATATATTTACATTGTGAATTAGAAATCATTTATTTATAGTACAAGCATTCATCTTCTAAACTAATGAAAGTGCTTATTGTTTCAAAGGTCAATGACAATCGAACATTACTAGTTTGTTCTATTATTCTAAATGTGATAATTCTATTGTCATAGAAATTGAATGTTGAATCGACATCTGACTCTATCAAACAAAAACATGAACGAAAATTTTCTTTTAAAATAACTTATTGTCTGTTTTTGTAATAAATAAAATAATGATTATGTGTTAACTTTGACATCCACCTTTAAAAAAATTAAAAAAATAATTTTAATTTGGCAATAATTTGTTTCGTGTGTGAATGATAAGATGCACAATAATAAATGTTTTAAATTTCTTATTGTTATAATTTTAAAAAAAAATCAAGATTTAAAGATTTAATTAATTGTTATAATATTATCTTTAATCAATGAACATAGATTATAAAGATTTCAGTGACTGAATCTATCAACATGTTTAAATCAACTTGGTCAGGTCTTTCTTTGAATAACAACTTGAGCATTTCAAGATCTCCACAGCATGCAACCAATATACTGCTATCTGATGATAGTCTTAATGTTCTGTTTGATAAGAGGAATTTGAAACTTCAATGTGATTACCTTCAAGTTTAATTTTTAAAGGTAGATCGGAAATAGTTTCAGTTCTATTGTTTAGGAGAAAGACAACCATTTTTAGATGTCCTCTGCAAACTGCTAAATTAATGTCTCGACTTCCTGTCGGACCTTCAATTCGATTATTGTGAAGAAATTCAACACAATCTAAATGTCCATTGGTCTCTGCAAGATCAAAGGCATCGGTTGAGCAACCTTCAGTTCGATTAAAGTGCAAAAACTTTAAAATATCCAATTGTCCGTATTCTGCTGCCAAATCCATCAAATGACGTTGTTGTTTTCTACGAATTCTTCCATTAAACCCCACAGTTCCAACATCAAAAGCACTCCATATTTGACTTTGTTGTGAATGAATTCGACGATTGAAAGATGACCATAGAGAAAAGCTCGTTCTAAAATTGGTCTGCTATACAATTCTTCTGGAAACATATTGTATACCAATTCAATGAGATCTAACGCTCCCATTCGAGCAGCGATATACAAAGAATGTATTAAGAGTTCTTTAAATAATACATAAGCAATAATTTCAGGTGAGCTACTATCTTTTAGTTTTACTTGTTCTTTCTCTTCTTTGCTATCCAATAGAGCAATTGGATGTTGATCTCGAACATTTGTGTTGAATAACTGTTTGTATCTCTCATGATATATCTAATCAATTGATCTGGGAAAACACCAAGGTCATCAAAGTCAAATATTAGCTTTCGAATATTTTATTGACACCTATTAAATCAATTGATGATCTTTACAAAACTAAATATTTGGTAGAATACATATTGTGAATGCAATAGTTTTTAAATAGTTTACTTCTTTTGTCATCATTATAACAATCTACACTGTTGATTTGCATAATTATTGAATTTGTTTTGGTATAAAAAAGTTTGATATCGATATTAAATATTTAATATAAACTTTTGAGTAAAAAAAAGAGAAATCGTAAAAAAACAAATGAAAATAAAATAAAATACTTTTTATTAAAGTTGTAGACACGGTGGCTGTGCACTTTTACATGATTGTCTTCTAATGTATACTGGAATAGCAAAGCTATTCGAAAAGTAAAAATATTTACTCAAAAATAAGCGTTGTTTACTTTTATCTAACTATTAATTCCACACTACAATATATAAAAGTTGAAACTAAAGTTTTTGTCTCACTAAATTGTCCTAGGCTTGAACGTTCACAATCAATAAATAAAAATAATTAAATTTAAAAGTTAAAAATTTTTGTTTTATTTAAAAATAAATGATTATTATTTTTAGTAATTCAAATCGATGGAATTTTTTGTGAATCTGTTGGTGTATCAAATCCAGTCTTTGTGGTGTATTCTTCCCATCTCTTTTGATCTTTGACCATCTGATCGATTTTAGTGTGAACCAATTCGTTTACTTCTGGACACATATAGAGATGACTGGTATCATCACCTTCAGATTGATAGACTCGAATTAAAATATCCAATATCTTTGATGGATCACCATTTTGTTTTCCACTGTATTGAGCAGCAAAATCCAATTTACCATGAACATGTTTATATGCTTCAATCTTGTTTATTGGTTTATATGCATCGGTCTTTTTGTTTTTAAACAAATAAAGAATTAATATCAATCGACCAATTTTTTAATATCATAACTATAAATCAATCTGTAATACCTACATCTAAAATACCAGTTCTAAATGAACCTAAGTTGACAGAGGTTACTCTAACACCTAATGGTTTGACCTCAAGTGCATAGGATTCCGACAGTCCATCGAGTGCAAATTTAGTGGCACTATAGGCACTGTGTCCAAAGGCACCTTGGAGTCCTGCCATAGAAGACATGTTGAATACATATCCAGATTGTTGATTTCTAAAGATTGGTGAAACGTTTCTGAGGACATTGAACACAGAGAATAGATTGGTGTCGAAATTGGCACGAACATTTTTGTCAGAGTTCTCTTCTAATGCTCCTGAAATAGCGAATCCTGCATTATTAACGACAACATCGATTCTACCGAATTTAGTGAGAGAATCATTCAATGATTGCTTAACACTCTCTTCATTGACCAAATCAACCTGTACAGCCAAGAAACGATCGTTATCACCAAGCGAACCAACTGCACCAATCAACTGTTGTTTATCTCTTGATGTACCAACCACTTTGAATCCATAGGCCAACAAATTCTTTACCAATTCCAATCCGATACCCTTTGAAGCACCAGTAACATACCATACTTTATCGACTGACTTGATTTCTAAACTTGACATTATTGTTTTATTTGTTTATTTATTTAAAAGGTAATAATATTTATGCAAAAAATAGTTAATTATTATTTAACTTTATAATTATATTTAATTTAATTTGATATATATTTACATTGTGAAAGTCTTTTATTTATAGTAAAAGCATAGTTTGATTCTAATGAAAGTGCAAATTAGTTCTAAGATGCTAATGATAATCGAACAAAATAAATTTATTCGATTCTGAAGGTGATAATACTTTTGTCATAAAATGGAATGTTGAATCGACATCTGACTCTATCAAACAAAAACACATGATGTTGTTTGGCTTATGACACGATTATGTCTTAATTAACCACCATTCAAAACAAACTGGCTCATGCTTGTAACCATAAATAGAATAAAATAAAAAAAACCACTCAGATCACATTAACCCCACTAACCCCATGAAAAATTAAAATGAAAAATGACTATCATCGATGATAATTTAATGAAATTTCAACCAATTTGCAAATTTTTATTTTTATTTCATTTTCACTGATTTTTTTTTTGGTCTGCTTCTTTTCTGTGTGGTGGTACCACTGCTGGATTCAGGGATTGGAGCGGTACATGTATCATCAGTTGGTGTGGATTGACTCTTTGGAGGTCTGCCTCTCTTCTTCTTTGGAGCGGTACATGTATCATCAGTTGGAGGGGAATGACTCTTTGAATTGGCACCATTGGTTGGTGTAGAGTTCTTTAGGTATCGTTGAAGAAGTTGGGTATACGATGATTTTGAAGTTTTGTTGATTGCGTCAAGCAAAGAGATAAAAAAGTTTGAATGAGTGGACTTGGTAATAATAAACAAGATTTCCATCAAAGCCAAGACATCTCCGATATCGAGTTTGAGATCTACAAAACAAAATCACTGATTACGGAACACAATAGCCTTTGTTATGATTTTAAACTTAAAGTAGTCTACTTTTGGTCGGGTATAGCAAATGATGTTCGTGATCATTCATGAACTTGTTGATTTAGCTCCTAACAATTTTTGATCATGCATTATAATATAATTAATTTAATAATAATAATACAAATAAAATTATACATTTAGAAAAAAACAAAAAGAACTAACATATGTTACATCCTATATTGAATAATTAATGTTACAACAAATAAAAAAAAAACGATTAAAAAAAATAAAATATATTTTAACTATTGACAGATGTTTCTAATGAGTGATAGGAATAAGAATAACTTGAAGTTCACAATATGATTTGTTTACATTATATTTATTTTATTTTATTTTATTATTAAATTTTAATCGTCTTTTGGTGGAGTCAGTTCATTCTCGACAGGTCTGAGGAATTGATTGATAACTTGCTCTACCAATTGCGACAAGGTTGACTCGACCAGTTGTCTATCACTTCCGATCATCTCTACGTAGTACTTTAATTTTGGTTCTGTTCCACTGCCTCTGAGAGTAGCAATACCACCGTTCTCAAAGTAGAAAGTAATCATTTGAGTGGAACTGGAAACGGGAAGTCTTGCTTTGTGATCGGGATATCCAGAGTCATAGCCAACGGTGAGATCACGCACTCTGGTGATATAGAAATCACCGCAATTTGTTGGGAACTGTCCGTAGTTTCTGATCTTATCGAATATCGCTACCATCTTCTTGGGATCGTAGCAAAAGAAGTAACGATTCTTACTGATATGATAACCGTAGCGTTTGTACAGCTCCTCGAGGTGATCTTGACACGATTTGCCCGCTTGGTAACAGGTGAGTGCCAACTCTGCGAAAATCGGTGCGCATCTAACACCGTCCTTATCGAGCGAGACATCGCCATACATGAAACCGATCGCTTCCTCGTAGGCAAACAAGAAGTTGTATCCTTTGTCCATCAACTCACGTGCTTTGTTACCGACCCACTTGAATCCAGTCAAGCACTCCTCGTGGCGATATCCATCTTTGTTGGCCATCGTCTTGAGCATCGACGACGACACGGCAGTGTTGATCATGCAGAATCGCTCGGCGGGAGTAGTCGAGTCAGCACGACGTGCATTTTGCCATGCCCAATCGGCGAATAGCACACCGATTTCATTACCGTTGAACACCTTCCATTGTCCGTCTGGCTGACGCTCGGCAACGGCGAGACGATCGGCATCGGGGTCATTCGCCAGAATCAACCGACTGTTGTTTCTCTCGGCTGTCTCAATGGAGAGTTTCAAAGCGCCTTTACCCTCCTCTGGATTGGGGAAAGCTACCGTTGGGAACTCTGGATCCGGTTGGATCTGTTGATCCACTGGAATGAACGCTGGCAATCCAAACGTTTCAAATGCCATCTTGGCATACTCACCACCGACGCCATGCATAGCAGTATATACAATCTTTTCGCTGGTTGCCAATTTCACTTCGTTCTTTACTGAATACTTGGCAATCTTACCGAAATAACTCTTGGTAATTGTATCCAATGGATCGGATACCAATGAACCATTCAACAATTCATTTACATCAATCTAAAAAATGTGCGCCAATCAAAGTCAGTCACCTTTTACACTATAATATTAATTTACACTTACATTCCATGGTTCCAAATTCAAATCGATTTGCATGGCAATACGTATGTCGTGAGGAGTATTGATTTGACAACCATTGTCCCAATATACTTTATATCCATTGTCATCCTTTGGATTATGAGATGCTGTAATCATAACACCAACCGATGCTTTCAACTCTGGTACTGCAAATGCCTGATGAACATAACAATCCATATAATTAGAGATAAGATATAGTACTATATATTTGTTTTATTACTTACGACATATGGTGTTGGTACAATCTTTGAAAACAAATAGACTTTGAATCCACGTGATGCAAAAGTGGCAGCAGTCAATCTAGCGAATTCTTTAGAGTGATGTCTACCGTCGTAACCAACTACGATACCGCTGTTTTTCGAGTTTGATAGTGTTTGCTCGACATAGATACACAATCCCTGACTTGCTTGAATCACAGTTAGATCGTTCATACATGAGAAACCTGCTTTCATTGGTCCTCTTAAACCTGTTTAAATAGAACAAACAAACAAACAAACAATTAGTTAAACTTTTAGTTTAACAAAACACTGTTGCTCAAGTATAAGTCTTTACAAAATAAAACACATACCAGCAGTACCAAATGCAATTCTTTGTTCAAGTCTTGACTTTAATTCAGATTGATTGTCTGATTCCAAGAGTGATTGGATTTCCTTTCTAGTTTCAGCATTCTTATCCCATTTCAACCAACTTTCAGCCAACTCTTTAATGTTTGACATTTTATTATTAATCTTATATATAAATATAACTATGTTGTTAAAATATTTAGTTTGCACAATATTACAATGTTTAAATGATTTTTGTTTTTATGTTATCTTAATTTATATTATTCAAGTGATCTTAAAATCAAAAAAAATTGAATTAAATTTTAATAAAAATCATATGATGACCAGGACAAGATATTTTTTCATATTAAATAAAATTATAATATTGGTGGTTAATACTAAAAAATTAAATATACTGTGAGTCATCAACAATGATTCATTATTAAAATTTTTTAACATTATGGTTATAATCAGTGAATCAACCTATTATATATTATTATTTATTTTTAATATGTATCTACAAATAAATAATGAATCATTAAACTAACTTCTTTGTGTTTACTGTGAAGTGATCACAGTTACAGTTACAACTCTGTTTTATATTTTCTGTTTATTGTTATTAAAGAGAGAGAGAGAGAGAGAGAGAAAGTGAAGGAAAAATGATAAATTCAATTCCAACATGTCATGACAACAAATTTGTAGAATAAAAAAAAATCTAATGACAAAATATCAATGGTAGATTTAAAAATCACCGAAACGATTGATGGTAATTTAAAAATAGGCTTTATGTCAAAACACCATCATCAAAAAAAGGAATTCTATACCTTTGCAAGTTTTTAATATGTATTTCGCCTTAATTTTAAACAATTATTTCAAGCCACACATAAATTCCGATGATTATTTTTGCAATGAAATAACGACACTCGGTGGTGAGATCTGGCTTTGTTTTTTTTTAACCACGAAAAAAGAAAAAACAAAAAAAACGACACGAAATAAATTTAATTTATAATATTATTACTAATAGGGGGTCGAATTGTTTATCTTACCGAATTGATGTGCATATTTGTATAGTCTTATTGCTATTGTTATTCTTTAAATTTCATTTTTTTTTTAATTTTAATTTTAAATTTAAAATTTGAATACCGTATCAATCATAATAATCATTAATAATTAATAGTTAGTTACTCCATCCCTATATATCAAACCAAAGTCAAATTGTTATTTGATTTGTATACAAATATCAATATAGATAGATATAATTTAAATATATAATATATATATATTTAACAATTATTATTAATAATATAAATATGGAAGAAATTGAAAGAATTGTTTCTGGAAAGAAGGGTAAAATCGATGTTACCCCAATTGCAACTATATTTAGAAATGAAATCAAAGAAGAAGTTACAAAAGGACAGATGAAACCACGTATCGTTGCTTTCTTGACAACAGACGATGCCGGTGCCATCGAATATGCAAAGTGGACAAAGATTGCATGCAATCGTGATGGTATCGAGTTTATCTTGAAAAAGATTGAAAGATTGGATTTAGAAGATGCTATCATCGATGCAAACAATGTAAGTATATCAAATTTCAAATCTATTTCCTAAATGTTATTAATTTGTTTTTTAACTTGTTTGTTTTCCAAAGGACGATGAAGTTCATGGTATAATGGTGTATTACCCAGTGTTTGGTGGAATGTTGGATGCCTATTTGCAAGATGTCGTGTCGCCAGCCAAAGATGTCGAGGGTATGTCGACAACCAATCGTTTCAATCTGTACCATAACATCCGTTTCCTCGATGAGAAACAGACAAAGAAGTGTGTGATTCCATGCACCCCACTCGCCATGGTGAAGATCATCGACCACCTCGGTATCTACGACAAGAGCTTGCCGATGGGTGAGCATCTCAAGGGCAAGAATGTCACCATTGTCAATCGTAGTGAGATTGTCGGTCGTCCGCTCGCAGCGATGCTCGCCAACGACGGTGCATTCGTCTACTCTGTCGATATCAGCGGTGTCATCTGTTTCCAGGCAGGCAAGCGTCAGGGAACCATCAAGATGACAGAGACCACCGTCACCCGTGACGAAGCCATCCAGAAGAGCGATATCCTCATCTTGGGTGTGCCATCACCAAAGTTCAAGATCGACGAATCGCTGATTCCCGAGGGTGCCGTCGTCATCAATTTCGCCGGATGTCTCAACGTCGAGGAGTCGGTCGAATCGAAAACCATCTTGGTACCGACCATCGGAAAAGTAACCATTGCAATGTTGGAGAGAAATCTTCTCAGACTCTACCAAAATCAAATGCAATCAAGAAGCACCTCATCTTCCTCATCCTCTGCACAAATTGACCAACCACAACAATAATCAATTATTCAACAAATCATAACAATTTTTAGGATTTTCCAAAAAAAAAAAAAATACAACAACAATTGTTGACATACATATATAAAACCAATTTCACACATATTTAAAATAATACAAAAAAATAATAATAATCAAACAACCAACCAACCCATACCATATATATATTCCAAATCAAATTATGGAAATCAAATATAATATTGCAACATAATAATATTTCCAATTAAACCAAAATAAAAAGTGTAAAATTAACCTATTGGATTAGGTTAAATAAATTAAATCAATCAATCAATCAATCAATCAAAGATCATAATATTTCAGTATTAATTCTTTATTTAAAAAAAAAAAAAAAAAATTATAAGATCTATTTATTTTTGTACTACATAGGTGGATCATGGACTAAACACGGCAATTGATTATTGGTTTGAAAGAGAGTCGGGTACTACAACCTTTCATGTTATTTTATAACTGACAAAATTTTTTTAAATTTAAACCTTTTATTTTTTTAAAATAAAAAATATCAAAGTATGATGTTGCCCTATGTTTTTTGGACAAACAATGTTTTTTTTATTGTCAAAAATTGTTTTTTTGATATTTTTTTTTAAATGCTTTTCTTGGTTTTGGATCACCACAAGAACTTACCCACTTTATTTTTAAAAAAACAATCGGTTTTTTATTTTTTCTGTTTCATTTTCATATTATTTTTTTATTTTTATCTGTGTGACAATCATACTATTCATACTATTAATACTGTAAAACTATAGATATATAATATCATATACTTATTATCGCTATCAAAAGAGAGAGAGAGAGAGATAGAGATTAAATAAAATTTAATAACATAAAATATTCAAATTCATTTAACTTATTATTAATTTAAGATTTGAGTAAAACATTTTATTTTATTTTATTTTTTTGTTTATTTTTTGATTAGTTTAATTATTATAATATTATTATTTATTCTTTATTATCCACATTCTATTATTATTTTTAATAACAAAATTCTTATTCAAATCTATATCCAAACAACATTTACCAGAACAAGATAGCAGCAGAAGTAATTATTCAATTAATTTAATATTTAAATTCGATATAATAATCCTTTTTTATTATATTCATTCAAAATTAAATAATCTTGGTATTAAATTAAGGTAAATATCTGTTTTAAAGAAAAAATCTGATTGTTACCACCACCACAAAACAACCACAATTCAACAACACCAAACCAAACACTTTACTACGAAATCTAAAAATAACAAATAACTTCAAATGTGTAAACCAATAACGAAAGAAAGATAGAACCATTCAATATTTATAAGAATATTGAAATTCTTATTATTTTTATTATTGATAGTTTCATTCGGTTTAATCATTCATTGATTAACTGATGATCATCAGTCTATCTATCTATGTAGCTACTATTTAAGAAAATGAATTAGATAGGTGGTGTGTTTAAACTAATATAATAATATTAATAATTGGTGTGGTGTGATCATTCCTCTTGGGAATAACAATCATCTTTCAATATTGAGAATCCCAATATCTATAGAACCATCACAAGTCCACCATCAACATCATATTCCATCTATGGTTTTAATTTATAGCACACACACACATACAATCAATTCGAGTTGTTTTCACTCACAAAACAACCACACACATTTATATACCGGTGACAGTAGTCAGTTATATATAAACACCCACTAGACAAATTATTATATCTTTTGTTCATCAAAAACAAACACATCACACACACACACACAATTAAATAAAAATAAATATTATATAAATAAGTTAATCATGTAAATGTGTTGGGTTGCATACATTAAAATAGTAAAAACAAAAAAAAAAACTTTAAGTATAAATAACAACTCTAAATTTCAGAGTCATTATCAAATCTAATTACAAATAAAATAAAGAATATATCTTATATATAAATACATATTACAGTAATAGATAACAATAAATCAAAAAAAGATATAAATAATAAACAACACAATCAAAGCAGCAAAATATTTAAACAACAAACATTTTTTTTTTTTTTTTTTTTTTAGATTAAATCTGCAAACAAAATTTAATTTAAAAATATCATCAACTTTTACCTAATCAATTCAATCAAATCAATCATTCGTTTCAAAGGTCACTTTTCACTTTATATTTTATTTTTAAAGTAGTTTATTGATTGGTTTCGTTTCATTACATTTGCCTATGTTTTAATAATTATTACAACATTTGTAAAAAACTAACAAAAAATAAATAAAATCTTTATATATATATATATAGTTAAATATTATTTTTATATAGTTTACTAAATAATATAATTTTGTTGTTCATATATATATTCAAATATCATATATTTCCCTCCAAACACACGAATTACAATATATTTGTTACCATTAACAACCACACCCACAAAAACTTACACAAATCAATCACACAACTTTTTTTATTTTTATCAATCAAGTTCAACTTTCATCAAATCTATCAGATATAATCTAATATTTGATTGTCTCATTTTCTCATTTCCTTTCATTTGTTAGGAACTTTTATTCAATAATAATCTAAATCAATCACACATTTATTTATTTTAAAACCTGTACAATATTTCTCTTATTAATATCATTATAATTATAAATTCATATTCATATTTCTATAGCGTTTAAGTCTATTTTAAAAGAAAAAAACAGAACACATAAATCAATTTAAATTTAAATTAATCAAAAGGAAAAAGATCAAATCAAATCAAAATCAAATCAAAATTATGTATGCTGTATTACGTATGGTTAAATTCTTATGGAGATGGAGTCAACTCTATTTGACTTTGATGATCCTTTTGGCGGAAAGAGTGATTCGCTCGATTATCTCAGTGGTTTTGAGTGTCATTCCGTTCTCCTCTTATTTGGAATCGTTGGCAACTCTTCAGAAGAGTAGTGATAGCTACACCGAGTACGAGAAGGACTTGGAGAGAGACGCAATTGAAATGATCACCAGTCGTGGTTATCCAGTGGAGGAGCATTTCGTTACTACTCCCGATGGTTTCGTGCTCGGTCTGCACAGAATCACCGGACCAAGAGCATTCACCTCGCCACTCGACAGTCCACCAACATCGCCACGCGATCTCGGTGTCTCGGGCGGTGAACTCTTTGCACCCACTGGAAAACCGGCTGTCTTGATCATGCACGGATTCATGCAAACCTCTGAAGCATGGCTGTGCCGTTCCAACCCAAACAACAGTCTGCCATTCATCCTGGCCGACGCCGGATTCGACGTCTGGCTCGGAAACAATCGTGGCAACAAATATTCGTTCAAACACACCACCTACACACCGGATCAAGAGAAATTCTGGAATTGGTCGTTGGATGAGCTGGTTCGTTACGACTTGCCGAGCATGGTCAATTTCATCACCAATCGCACCAAACTTCAATCGATCTCCTACATCGGTTTCTCGCAGGGAACCGCTCAGGGTTGGGCAGCTCTCAGCACCAACACCGACCTGGCTGCAAAGATCAACTTGTTCGTAGCACTGGCACCGGTCAGCACTGTCAAGGGATTCAGCAATCCCATGATCGACTCGCTTGCCAGATCACGTCCAGACTTTATCTTTTTGTTGTTTGGCAAGAAGTCGATGTTGCCATCGACCATCTTCTGGAGAAACTTGCTACCCAAGCAGTTCTTTGTGTCGATGATCGACGCCTCTGTCCGTTTCCTCTTTGGATGGTCCACCATCAATTTGGGTGAAGACGAGAAGGCGATGCTCTACAGCCACATCTTCTCGTACACCAGTGTCAAGTCGGTGGTTCACTGGTTCCAGATCATCCAGACCAATCGTTTCCAGATGTTCGATGACATGCTCCTCGGAATCACACCAAACGAAAGCTCAAATCAGCCACACAGATATCACGGACGTGTCATTCCCGCTTACCATCCAGGTCAGATCCTCACCAAATGCGCATTGTTCTATGGTGGTGCCGACACATTGCCAAACACCAAAGCACTGCTCAGTCACCTACCAAGAGACAAAGTGGTGATGGTCCACGAAGAGGAATCATACGAACATCTCGACTTTATGTGGGGCAAAGATGCAAACAAAAAGATTTTCTCAAAGATTGTTCACCTCTTGAAATCTACAAACAAAACAAATATAGAATCAGATTATGATGAATAAATAACAAAATAATAATAAATAATATATTATATAAATTAGACAATTCTTTATTTTGTTATTTTTTTTTATACATTTTTTCTTAACTTTTAAAGAAATATTAATACACATAATAATATCTCTCTCATTTCCTTAAAATTTGCATTAGTCAGAAAAAGCGAATTGGATCATTTCGGATAATTTTAACAACATGAGGAAACTTGAACTGACCAATGATTTTTTTATTTATCTAAAATAGGAAAAGATGCGAAGTTCTCAAAAATAATTAATATTTTAAAACTCATCATTAGGAATAAAATATTAACATTCAACAAAAAAATCTTTTTTTATTTTTATCTAAATTTCTATATGAGGAAAAATATTTTAATGATGGCATAAACTCTTTTAGAAAATAATTTATATATCTAGATATGAATCATGAAGTAAACTAAAATAGTATTTAACAATATTGTACATTATAGTTGTACATTAAAACTAAAGTAGGTTTATTTATATTTATTTTTTATAAAATAAATGTTTTTAATAATTACAATAAATAAATATTAAAAAAAAACATATTTATAGAAAAAAGTAAAAAATATTTTTAGTAATATTAAGAATAGATAATTAGATTATAAATAAAAATGAAAGTTAATTGTCCGTCTGGTAACACTATTGAAGTGGAAATCAATGAAAATGACTCTGTTTTAGATTTAAAAGAGAAAATTCATGATAAAACAGGTACACCTGCAGTACATCAACAAGTAGGTATTAGTAAAAAATTTTTTTATAGAATATAAATTAATTCATTTATTCTCCTTAGCTAAAAATTGTTGGTAAAAAAACATTATCAAAGAGACATGATAAAAAGAAAATATCCTCTCTTCATTTAAACAATGAGTCCATGGTATGTTTTGATATTTCTATTTTAAAATATCTTTTATTAATACTTTATATAGCTTAATATGTCCTATGTTCTAGCAGGAGGATGTGGTGTAGGATGTGATCTTTGTGGATGTGGAGGTGAATGTTGTGTAAGTAAAAGACTTCAAAAGTTAAAATATCTCAATGTCCACTAATACATTTTTTATTTTAGTGTAATATTTTATAGAGTATCAATTTACAATCAAATCTATAGAATATCGATCATAGAGAATTAAAAGAGTTTTATCAAGAAACAATATTGAATAATTATAGTTGGATTTAAAAACAATAAAAAATGTATAGAGACAAGAAAAACAAATAAATATTCTTTTTATTTAAAAGTGTAAAAATAATATTGTTTATTTTTACTTATAAAAACTGCAAATAAAAAAAAAAAAATGTGAAACCACCCACTTAATTTATTTATTAAAAGAATTCACATTTGATTGATCAGTCAGTCGACTTTGGCAATGCTCACGAGAATAACAAGCAACAAGGTTGTTGCAAATAAACCTATATATCTATCATTATCATCGTTAATAAGTAATTGTAGTATTATTAAAAGTAAAAGTTATCTATTTAATTATAGTATAAATAATCATGATGATAAACTATTAAATATATACAAGTATAGTAGTAGTAGTAATTATAGTGGTTATCAACTAGCTGTTGATTCTTCAAACAACAGTGACAACTATGATAATCAACAACAACAACAATCAATACCTACTCAAATAGATATAATTCAAAAAGAAAAGAAAAAAAGAACAAGAAGAACTAAAGCTGAATTATTACTGGAGAGAAGTTCTTTAGAAGGAACAGCAGCAGCAGCAACAACAACAACAACAACAGGAATAGCAGAAGCAGTTAGTTCACCAAAGAAAAGAACCAGAAAATCGAAATCTTTGAAAACAACAGAACTTGAAGAGATTTATCCAATTAAGCAACCAGCATCGTTTCCAACCATTCAATTACCTTCTACACCTCTGAGGATTAGGATAGTCGATAATAATAATAATAATAATGAATCTACAAAGAATGATATGTCGTATATCGGTGTCGATGAGGCAGGTAAGGGTGCTGTTCTCGGCCCACTGGTGATTGCAGCGGTCTCGTTGGACTCTGCCGCCGAGCAATATCTAAAGGCAGCCGGTGTCAAAGACAGCAAGAAACTATCGGCTCAACGACGAGAGGAACTCTACGACATCATCAAGGAGCGCGCACTCTACACCACCATCTACATTCTCGAGGCACGTGACATCGACATACGCAGAAAGACACAAACACTCAACAAAATAGAATCCGATATCTTCTTGGAACTCATTCAACGTTCTTTAAATCATTTGAAATCAAATCCACAAGAATTCATAGAAGAAGTTGAAGAAAATAATAATATAGTAGTAGGAGGAGAACAATTCAATAATAATAGTAATAAACCAAAGAAATATAAAATACAATTAGATAGTTTGGAGAGTAATACAGGTAAATTTTCATTGCCTTTCAGAGATGCATTTCCAGCACCAGAACATACTGTGATCTGTGAGAATCAGGCGGATTCGAAATATGTGTCGACGGGTGCAGCTTCGATCATCGCCAAAGTGGAGAGAGATCGTGCAATAGCGGCACTCGAGAAATCTGTAAATACACCAGTTGGTTGTGGTTACCCGAGTGATGCTACCACCCTAACATTTATCGAATCTTACTATCAGAGAAATGGAAACGATCATCCAGATGTAAGATTATCATGGAAAACACTTACCAATAAAAGAGGTATAAACAATAACAACAACAATATCAATAATATAAATATCAATAATAATAATAATAATATTTTAACAACACAATTACAATCAAATATATCATCAATAGCATCACAGTTAGAAACAGCAACAAACAATGATCAACAATCATCGACACAAGACCAACTAACTATTTTACAGAATATTCAACAAGACTTAAGTGCTCTAACTAAATCTGTACAATCTTTTATTAATTTATTGAAAAATAACAAAAACAATAAATAATAATAAATTAAGATTTTTTTTGTTTTTTTTTGCTATTGAGAGACTTGATAATACAATATTACCACAATGAGTATATGATATTTCTCTTAAGTTTAAATCTCTGCTATTATTTACATTAAGACTATTTAATTTAAAATATCAAAATAAGATTATAGCTATTGTAATAAGATAAAGTTAGATATTATAAAATAATAAAATATCTAAATATAATTTTAATCTAATTATCTGTTTGTTGATTTCTCTTTTGAAAATTATAAAATTGGTAAAATAAACCAAATTGGTTCCATTGGATCCTTGCCCAGCTTAAAGTACCCAACGATCTCAAAAAAAAAAATAATCATTAAAAAATCTTAACTTTTGCAAAAGATATTTGATGATGTAAGTGGAAATCAGCTCGTTTGGGTTTGAGGTTTTTACAGCTTTTTTTTTCATTGATTCTAGAATCAAATAGAATATAAATACAATTAAAATAGAAATAGAAATAGAATCATAGATTACTTTCATCTTAATTTATTAATATGTTAAATATATTATAAATATGCATTAAAGTGAGTGTAAAGAGATATAAAAAGATTGTAAATTAAGCATTGTGTAAATATAGTAAAAACGAATCAAATATTTAATAAATAAAATGAATCAAAAAAAAATAATAGTAGTATTATTAGTTGCAATAATATCAAGTTGGTATTGTAATGCAAAATCACAACCAACTCCAACACCATCATCAAAATACCCAGTACCTCTGATACCAGGTCAGAGAAATGCAGTTCATGGATGGCTGATTTTGCCACTCGATCAATTCCTTCCAAATCCAAATGACCCAGCACAACCAGTTCAAGCATACTTCTCACATCACACTCCAGAATTCCCAACAGACTCTCCACACGACTTCCAAATCATCTTCCTCGGCACTCTCACTCCACTTAGCTCAGGAGAGAACATTACCTATCCAATCGACTTGCCATATCCACCAGCAAGCGAATTACTTCAATACGAATTTACTTTTACACCACCTCCACCTTTCTCTTTGAACGACTTGCTCTCTGGCCAAATCAAACAATTACTCGGTGTCGTCTACAACGGCAGTTTCGACACACCCTACGAAAGAGAAGCAATTTCAGTTGCCACTCTCGACATTTACGAGTTAACCACTGCAACCTACTTGAACGACTCTCAATCCATCCAGAGCTACACCTCTCAACGTTACCTCTCTTATCCAAGACTTGGAATGGGATTGCCACTTCCAAGCGGTGGTCAACATCATTTCTACTGGGCACATGAAATTCATGCTGTTCCTGATTTCGATCAAGTAGTTCATGTTGTCATCGATCTTGACAGTTGTGTCTGTGGTAACAATGCCACCAATGGTTGCTCAAATGATCCAACCCAATACATTCCAACCGTTTATCAAGCAGCATCATCATGGGAGATCCAAGGAATTCCAAACGATGTAGAACACAGATTACTCCCAGAAACAACTCCATACATTCAAGCTACATTAGTATCAAATGGTTTAACATGTAAAGCTGAAGTAGTTGAACAAATTCATTGTGTATTAGGCCCAATGTTTTATGAAATTTGTTAAAATATTGATTATTAATATTTTAAACACAAATCTTTATTTAAAATTATTAAATAAAGCTTTCAAAATATATAACTTGTTTAGTTTTTATTATATTGTTTATTTCATTAAAACTGTGATCATAATCAGATTAGATTAATAAACTTTTGTTTGACTTTTTTTTTTTTTTTGGTATCTCAAGAAATTAATTGACTTCCCCCAATTAAAAAAATTAAAAAACGAAGTATTGCCACCTTATATCACTCACAATAACACCAACAATATAATTTCATTCCATTTTTATTGAACCGTTATTTTACACCTCTTTAATATTTGTTTGTTTGTGTGAATGAAATAAATAAAGAAGGTGTGAAAAAAACATATTATATTTATTTATTTGTTGTTTTTTTTATCTGTAAAATTAATTAAATTGATTGTATCACTATTATTATTTATATTATATTTATATTATATTAATTTATTAGAATTATTTTATATTAGAATTATTTAAAAAAAAAAGTTAGAATTTATATACTATAGTATTAAAGTAAAAACAAAAAAAGAAAACATAGAATGATTAAAATGGATAGTTCAACAGATAGATTAGAAGATGTTATAAACGATAGTTTCAATGAGTTAAATAGTGGATTACTATCGAAAAAAGAGATTATTGGTGTGCTATTGGTAGATAGTTTTCAACAGCAGTTGTATCCACAACGAAAGGATATCAAAAAAGAGATTGTAGAGTTTCTAAGTACGACATTCACATCGCTATCGATTTCACACAGTTCATTGAATTATCTGATACTGAACAACAACAATCATCAGACAAGCACACTAGGAAGTAAAGTAACAAGTAGCACAAACTCACCTACACTCCTATCACATAACAATAGTTTTAATACATTATCTCAATTTTCACTTGATAACAATAATACTACTCAAGATAATAATAGTATTAGTAATAATAATAGTTTAGAAAATAATAATAATAATAATGAAAATAGTAGTTTACAACAAAAGAAAATAAAGATATATGATGAATTTCTACCAAGATCAGTTAATAAAACATTGAGAAGTGATATTGAATTCATATTGGATCACAATCATCACGATGAAATGATAAAGTTTCACAAGAGAATAACCGGTGCAGAGACATCGAAAGAAAAGAGTCAACACTTTCAAGCATTCCACTTAAAACTTGTCAATTCAAATTTGGTATTACCATCGAAATACTCACATCTCATCACATCAAATAACTATGCAATAACATTATATCAATGTGTTGAATATTATATATTTCAAAATATATTTCATAAGTAAGTAATATTATTATTATGTATCAAAAAAGCAAAACAAACAAATCATATATTAATATAATAACAATTGCTATCTATCTAGTATATTCCCAATTTGTTATGATAAAGATGTAGAATTATCGAAAAGAATAGAATCACTATCGTTCATTGAACCTTCACACTTGGGTCTTACAACTGATTTAAACCAACTTGGAAATGCATTGAAATGTATGTTTTGGTTTTAATAGTTTTTAAACATATGTATATATTACTTATTAACTAATCATTTCGTTTTTTCACACACAGATGTAAATAAATTGAATTCATATCAAACACCTTTGGAAAAGAAGAGATGTATATCAAAGATGTTGATACAGCTGATATCGGTGGGTGGAGAAGACTATCTGTTGCCAATGGTGATCTATCTACTGTTAAAGTCGAATCCTCATAATCTATGGTCAACCAATAATCTTTTGGAGTTGTATTCTATCGGTGTTCCCGACGGTCAAGATAGCATCTATGATTCATTCGTCACCACATTCTCGATAGCGATACAAATGATAGAGAAACTAGATCACACTCATCTTTCAATCGATAGGAATCTATTCTATCAAAAGTTACAACAAAATAATAGTTTAATAATTGAATCAACTGTTTTACCAACAACTACAAATATATCAACAACAACAACAGCAACAAATTCTACCTCTTTGGATGTACAACAATTAACATTAGTAGATACCTCTGTTGTTAATAGTAAAATAGAGGATGTTCAACAATTAAAACAAGAAATGAAGAAAGAAAAACAATTAGAAGAGGTTGATAAACAACAGATGGATATCAATCAGTTGGAGAGTATAAAGGTGTTTAGACAGATGAATAGACGGTCTAATATGGTAGAGATTCTGTTGGAACAATTGAATGCAACAGAGGTAGAGGAATTGATGTTGAAATTCATAACGACAGCTCTCATCAGTCAGAATTACTATTCGTCGATTCGTAGCTCGCTGAAGCGATTCTTTATCGAATTCCTCGGTGTCAAAGAGAACAACTTTTGTGTGACAGAGATGGAGATTATCGGTTCGCTGCAAGACAGTAACGATCAATCGTCGCTCGTAGTGCTACCACATACCAACTCGAATGGCAAAGCACTGAAAGCCGCCAAGATTGCAGGTGCCGCTGTCACTGGCGCCGTCATTGTCGGTCTGACCGGCGGGTTGGCCGCGCCATTTGTTGGCTCGGTTCTCTCGGCGATCGGTGCCGGTGGACTGGTGACCGGTCTGACAACTACGACCGGGCTGAGTGGCGCCACCATGCTGAGTGTCATCTTTGGTGCTGCCGGTGCAAAGGTGTCGGCCGACAAGATGATCTCGGTCACCTCTGATCTTCAGGACTACTGTATACACAAAGTTAAATCACAGACATCGCTACACGCCATCGTCTACATCGATGGATTCACAGCGCAGCCCGACGACACCACCCCTGCCAAAGACTCACTGAAATCCTGGGAGAATGTAGTACGTCGGGCGACCGACGAGTACGGTGACATCTTTCTCGTCGAGTACGAAAAGAAGAACAAACAGAAGCTACAATCAATCATTGCAGAGTATCAAAAGACACTAGTACAAACACTATTTAAATCGGCTGCAACCAATATTATTTCACAGAGTTTAGCGCATGCACTTATACCGTTATCAATATTGAAAGTGGCTGATGTTCTAGATAATCCTTGGTCAATGCTTAAGGATCGTTCAGAGAAGGCTGGAAAGATATTGGCCCAACAGATTATCGATGGTAATTTCGGAAAGCGACCACTCACTCTTGTCGGAACTGGTATGGGTGCGAGAATGGTATTCTATTGTCTTGAGGAATTAGATAGACTATCGAAAGCCAACAACAATCTAGATATGTGTGCATCATACATTGAAATGGTTGTATTCATTGGTGCACCAATTCCAAATAATCATAAAAGATGGATAAATATTTTGGTATGTTATATATATATATATATATAAAACAAAAAATTAATATAAACTAAACAACTAATTGTATTTATTGCTATTATTATTATTATTAGAATGTTGTTAGTGGTAGAGTTGTTAATTGTTATTCTGCAAAGGATGTGGTATTGAAATATGTATGTAGGTCAGCACATTGTTTGAGTGACGGTTTGTTCCCGGTGTCTGGAGTATCGCCGGTGCATATCGCATCGTCACCGCTGATCATCGAGAATGTCGATGTATCCAACATCGTAAAGACACATCTAGACTATGAGAAGGAAGCTGTCATCACCAAGATCATTGAATACGTTGGAATCAACAAGGTATCCTATTGTCCACCTAAAATACCTCCAATATTCAGTGGTATAGTTTACAATCTCTAAATTATAATTATTAATAAATAAAAAATAATAAAGAAAAATTGTAAAACCTTTTCTAACTATTAAAGTTAAACTTTGTTATATTTATATATACATATTAAAAAGGAAGGTATTATTACTTTATGTTATGTTGATTTCCTCTTTTTATAATCATTACTATTATTATTATTATTATTATTATTATTATTATTGTTGTTTGTTGATGATTTTGTACTTGATCTCTTTTTACTACTGTTTGGTGATGATGATGTTGTTGTACTTGTTGAAGTTGTCGATTGTGGAATTTGCATTTCATCATCTCTGTCGATATCACTTTTCATTCTAATAGTATTCTTTAATAAAGATCTAATTAAAACGTTTGTCTCATCATTCTTAACCTGTTTTTCTTTATTTTCAATACTAGATGGTATATATTTAGGTAAACCCTAATATTAAACGATATATTAATACTATAGCTACTTTGTAATAAGAAAATCTTATCTCATATGAACAAACACTTACATAATGTTTAAAATGAGGATTACTTTTATAATTTGTAAAGTTACCGTTTGAAGGTAGTGAAGACAATGAAGATGCTATAGATGATGATGAAGATGACGATGATGATGTTGTAGATCTTGTAATAGATGGCGGATATCCATATTGACTACCACCATTGCTACTATTGTTATACCTTGAACCAGAACTACTACTTGTAGTGGTTGTTGTAGTTGTCGTTGTTATACCACCACTACCACCACCACCATTATTATTGTTGTTATTATTATTATTATTGTTGTTATTGATATAATCAACGTCATCCATCTCTAAAAATATATATATATATATATAATTGAACTATTAGATCTTAATTAAATCTTTTTAATTTATGATTTTTAATTTTTCATTCCTTCACTTCATTCACACTTCAAAACCAAACAACACGCTTATATTTTTTCTTTCCCAGAATATATATATAAAACAAGTATATATTTATTTTTATTTACATAGGTTAATGTATTATTACAATTTATTTATTTATATTTTGAAATTTAAAAGATATTTAAAAGATATTAATGTTGAATTGCTTTGGATTTTGTTTCTTTTTGTTGATACTAATTGTAAGAAGACCATCTTGATGTTTGGCAGTGATAGAATGCAAATCTAAATTCTTTGAGAGTTCAAATGATTGGTTGAAACTCTCGATTTGTTTTGGTGTGACGAGTGGCTGTTTCTTTACGGTTGGCTTACGAGTAGATGGGATAGGGGATGATGTTGAGTTGATAAAATCAATCTCTTGATCTTCAATCTCTTCAAAGTATGGTGTATCTTCTCTTGACTTTACTTCTTCTGCATGACTCTTGGTTCCAGAGAGAATCAATGTTAAATCTTGTACTGCAATATTGATGTCTTCCTTCTTGAAACCTGGTAGTTCCATACTGATAACAACAACACCATCAATTTCATTAATTTTATATTTTGGTGTAAATTTAACTTGTTGTTGTTTTTGTTGTTGTTGTTTTTGTCGTTGTTGTTGTTGTTGATTGAATTGTTGTTGGTATTGTTGATATTGTTGCTGCTTTAATTTTTGTTGTTCTAGTAACTTTCTTTTTCTTTCCAACTCAACTTGTTGCTGTTGCTGTTGTTGTCTCTCATACTCCAATTGTTGTTGTCTCTTTTGTTCAGCCAACTTCTGTTGTCTTAATTTACCCAAGTACAATCGGTATTGATCTTCTTCATCTTCCTCCTCGTAATATCTTGAATGATATGGATTTTCATAATAGACTGGTTGTCTTCTTTGTCTATATCCTTGATTGGATCTTTGTTGATAAAATGATGGATCTTCGAATAAAAACATGGTTTATTATATTGTTTGTTTAATATATTATTTAACTATCTATATATATTTATTTAACTATTACTAATTTGTAAGTTAATTTAATTTAACTATTTGTTTAATTTATTTGATGATTTCAAACTCCATGTTTCCAAGACTATTTATAAAAAAATATTAATACAGTTACAAATAATGTACATTCAAATTTCACTTAGATTTCAAAAAAAATGGAATTTCTATTGAAATTCGTTGGAATTTCAAGTAAAAAAATGATAAAAATTGGGTGAAATTATAAAAAACAAATTTGTGAATTTCAATGATAAAATCATATGATACTAATTTTTATCTAAAGATAATCTTTGTTTTATCTTTAAATACTAGTATTTAAAATCAAAACAGCTTCAAGAAGATGATATAAAGTAACAATTAGGAGATTCATACAAATTTGTAAATATCAGAATCTAAAGTCGCTATCTTTAGTAGTGAAGTAGATTCAAAGATTTTTTAACTTGTGATATTTTTTAAAATCTATCATTTGTCCAAATTTCCAGTGATTGTTCATTTTTTTTTAATTGGTGAGGAATAGAACAAAGTGTTTTACTTTTCATGTTTGATCTCAAACATTCTATTCTTTATCAGTTGAGAACATCAACGCATATTTAATATTAAGTTGTTTGAACATACTTCTTGAATTTCTTTGACTGGTTTTTATTTTTATTTTATTCTCAAGTTTTTCAGAAATTTAAAAGTTTCGACTACCAATGGCAAAAACTGTGTGTACACATCAGCAAAATTTTTTGTAGATAGTCATCATCAGATGATATCATCTCATTCCTGAGAATTCAAATGAAAAAATAAAATAAAATTTTAAAATTAAAATTAAAAAATGGGTTTCTACCTAGAATCAAACATTGATCATGATTTATTTTGTGGGTGTTAGAAAAAATACACAACTGGAGTAAGTGCCTCTTTGAAGTTATTCATTTCGAAATTTGATTTGCGTTGTAAATATGGTAAAGGTATGTTTATCTTTTAATCCACAATTAATTCTATTTTGATTTAATAAATTTATTTGTGATTCCTAAAACTAAATAATAAATAGGGTGATTGGTAAGTTTGGGTGTAATATTACTGGGGGTGGTTTTATTTGCTGTCCAGACCACACAAATTCCTTTGCAGGAAATGGAATGTCGACAGTGACAAAAGTGTTTGTTTTTTTTAATTTTTGCAGGGAAGTTTTAATTTTTTTGTTTCGAAATCAATATATCATGATTTTAAAAAAAATGGTTAATCAATTGTTCTTTTTAATTCCAACAACAAAGAATCATCAACTCTTTTCAAATTAAACAAAAGAACAAGATTTTAGATTTGTTATTTTCTTTAATTAATTATACATTATCAAATGAATATAATAATATAATAATATAATAAAATTTTTAGTAAAAGTTAAAAAAGGATAATAATAATTTAGAAAGTATACTATTTATTAATTAGTTTATATTTTAACGAATTGTCTGTGTTTGTTTGTCAATGACTTGAAAGTCACGAGATGATGTCATAACTACCAGCAAAATCAATTTTTTTTGTTTTTTTTTCACCATTTTTTTCCGAAAAAAAACTCCTTCCCATCCATATCATTATCTAATCAATCTATAAAAATCTCAAAAAAATTCTTTACCAGATAGTAAAATCGAGATAATATCTACTCTTATCAAATTACCATGTGAGGTCAACATATTTCCAATAATAATAAAAAAAATCATTATTTACTGCTATCAAATATCATTCGCTCAATTTAATCAGTTTCATTGTAATCATAATTAATTGTCCAATCCACACACCACCTATGCAAAAAGTAATTATACAACAAATTATATTAACAAAAAAAAAATCTTGACGAATGACACCCATTAATTATCCACTTTCAGAGATTTTTAATTTTGTATGAGAATCAAGATAATTTAAAGATTTCAGCAAAATAAAATTTTGATTTTTTTTTATTTTTATATTAATTTTGATTTTTTTTTGTATCAAAACCTATTTTTTTTTTTTTTTTTTAATTGTTGAAACCCACACCACATCATAACAATAATAGAATTAGATAATATAACAACTAAAAGTTAAAGAAAGTAGGAACAGAACATTATTAAAATTTAATCGTAATCTTCATCTCTCTTAATCTCATATTTATAATATTATTCGATTCGCCGATTATTACTTTACACATTTTTGATTGCAATCAAAAAGTTACCAATCGACCAACCAAACAACCCAAAAACAGTGAATGTTTAAAAAATAAACACGATATACAATCAATCACTACCTTTTTTTTTTTTTTTGTCTTTCCACTCCACCAAATCGGTAACACACACACAATCATATACTCTGCCCAAATAACACATTTTTTATTTTTTTTTTAAAAAAAAATATATATAACTGAAGCATATATCAATCAATTAATATATTAAAATCAGTAAATCAAATTAATTAGTCGTCACATTGATCAACAACACAACTGAAGCATTCATCTACACAATATTTTTCTTTTATTCAGTGATCGCTTACCGATAATACGTAAATAGAGTGTGTGTGCAGTTTAGAGGCTGAGCTATTAGATCTATACAATTTTCTATATTAGAAAGAGACAGTTGAACTAATTCAAATTTAAATTTTAATCAATTTATATCAGTCCATAGAATAATAGTCATACCAAAACACCAAAGAATTAAGACCAACATTAAAATCAACAGTAATAGTAATAGTAGTCGTTATTAATAATATTGGAAACATCGACAAGCAACAATAACAACAACTACAAAACCAACAACACAAGATAGGAGCAATCATTTAGTAATCAAATTATCTCAGAGGAGGTGACACACCAGTTATTATTATTATTGTTATTATATATTTAGTTTTATCAAACATACCAAACTTCACATGTTATTATTGTTAGTGGAAAGTAACATCAGCGTGGACATTAAAATTGGGTGATTGGGTCACAATAGCAACAACATTTTATAGTAGTCGTAGTAGTAGTAGTGATAAATTCAATAGCATTTAAAGACAAAAATAATAGCCAATCATCAAGAATCTTGATCGATCAATCTTACCAACAACAGCAACAACAAAATAATATAATAATCAAAATATTATAATTAAATAAGCAATCAATCCAACTCTTCATTCTTCATCCATTTTCATTTTCATTAAATCACCAAATCGTAGTATTAATAATAATCAAACCAAATCAGTTTCAAATCAAATCAAATTTGGCGAGAGAAACAATAACAACATCATCAGAATAGAACAACATTAACACAACAGTATCATCATCAACCTCTTCAATTCATTGTTATTTCATGCATAGGAAGTTGTAGTTTTAAATCTCACATCGCCATTTCAATTCTATTTTTATAATATTATACTTTACATTTTTATCACTTTAACCTCAATCACACAACACAGTCAACCACCAACAACACATATTCAGTAAACCCCACACACTGAAGAAAGAACAACATATATAACAGCAGGCTGCCCCACCCACACCAATCACACTCCCCCGCCAGTTGCATAAATAAAACATTGATATTGAATTCATTCTCAATAACATCATCATCAGTAACAGCATCATCATTATCATCATCAATTACAATCCCCACGGCCACCACCGACGTCGTTTTCCAAACCAAAAGTCACACTCAAAAACTCACACCATCTAGCTACCACTATCACCCTCGCAGCAACATCAACACACACACCAACATTCATACACACACATATTACTCAACTCCTTTGTAGCCAATAATAATAATAATAATAATAATATAAGGAACATTTATATAACTAACTTAGTTTACATATATATAACAGAAACGTGGGAGAAGAAACAAGAGTATTACATTATTAGTGGTAGAATATTAGTGCAATAGTCATCTTTATTTATATATTTTTATATCCATTTTTGTTTTCACTATTTGTTGAAATTTAATTATTTAATTGATACAATAGTTGTTACTCTTCTCTTTCTACAAAAAAAAAAAAAAAAAAAAACTCTTTTATTATTAAAACGGTGTAACCTAGTTAATTGTACATCAAAAAAAGTAATTATTATAACTTCAGTAACAATAGCCAACAAAAACATCAACAACTATAGTACAGCAGCAACAGCCAAGTAATAAGTGTAGTGTAACAACAATATCATCACTATCACCATCGTCAATCAATAAAATATAATTGTGTAATTGTATTGTTATTGTTATTGTATTTGGAAAGAGAGATAGCAGCAAATCAAATAACCACTAAACTGAGCTACTACAACTACTATACAATAATTTATTTTTAAAAAAATATTATATTATTTGTCAAAGAAGTAAGTAAAATTAATTTGTACAAAATTAATATCAAAATATTGATCTTTTATAATTTATTAAACTATCCATTCAAAATTACAGGACAGTTTCTTACAGTTGAGTTTTACATCTTAAAAAAAAACATCAATCTTACAAAAATGAGTTCTCCAATTATTTTTGAGGCAAATGAAGATGAACTAAAAAAGAAGAGAATAAGGTAATTATAATAATACAAATATATATAAATATTAAATTAAATTTTTAATTAATCTTTAATTTATTAATTATTATTATAGACAAATGCAGAATAGACAATCTGCAGCACAATACAGAGAAAGGAAGAAAGAATATTTGGATAAATTGGAATCGGTCGTTGAACAATTGGAAAGTGAGAGGAATCAGTTGATTAGTAACACAGAGAAGCTGGCGGCATCCCAAAATGAAGTGAATCTTAAGATCTCAAAGTTGGAGGAGAAGCTTGATTTATCAATACAGAAGAATCGTGAGTTGAAGTCCACACTCGCACAACTTGCAAAGACAACCGGTGCACCCGTAGAATCAGAGTTACTCCAAGATCAAATGTATCTAGATCAGCCATCACAACAACATCAACAACATGTAAAATACAGCGCAAATCATTATCATACACATGGACATAGTCATAGTAATCATCAACATCAAAACAAGTTATTATCACCACAGCAACAATCAAATATCAATTCATTCAATCTCGAGGGCAATAGAAGTATTTTGAACAATGAATCACCGTCGTCCTCGACATCGTCCTCACCGATACACAATACACACCTGACACTCTCGGATTCCAACGAGAAGTACATCGATAAGTTTAGCAGTATCACAATCAGCAGCTTGAGTAGCAGCGGAGAGCGCGACCATCTCGGTGGCAGCGGCAGTAACTCCAACTCGCTCGAGAACAGCAACGAATTCAAATCGCATCCACTGAACAGCTTCAAAATCGAGTCGCCCTCCACACTCAAATACCAACAGCAAAAGCGTTCAAGAGATATGCTTCCAGAGCTTTTAAATGCTGCATCTCAATCAAGTGGCAGTAGCAATAGTAATAATCTTAACAATAGTAATAATAGTAATAATAGCAGCAGCAACAATTCAATTCAATCACCATCCATTTACACTACATCACCATCACCTTCACCTTCACTTTCATTTTCACCACTGAACAAACTTCCTTCATTGTCACCATCATCGCAACCAAACAACAATCCGAGTATTCTCAGTACGAGTATCAATAACAACAACAACAGTTTCAACAACCAATCATTTACACCACCACTGGCATCGTTTTCCTCCATTCTCTCTATAGCATCGCCATCTTCTTCGCCACTGATATCGTCGCTTTCTTCATCACCCTCTAGCTGCTACCTAGGATCTAGCATCTCCAGCGACACCTACTCACAGTCGTCCAACACCACCAACAGCTCCTCTGGTACCTTCAATAGGAACAACATCAACGATAGCTATTCAAATTCTCCGTCAAACTCTAGATATAAATCATATCTAAAATAAATGAAAACAACAAAACATAACAATGATCATCAACATAGATGACTAACCAACCAACTAACCAACCAAACAAACAAACAAACAAACAAAACCAACCAAACTAATACAATCATACGCACACAACACACAAATAATACGACCGAATACCCTAATCTTAATTTAATTTAATTAATTATCTATGTCTCTTTTTTTTTAAAACAAACTAAACCAATATACTTTTAATTAAAGTTATTATTAAAAATCAATTACAGTATTAATGTTTCTAAACAATATTATTTCATTATTGTTTAAGGATAAACAACTTGTGTCAGATAAAATAGAGAGTAATCAAACAGGTGTATTTGTAAATCTATCACATCTGCTATTAAACAAAATCATTAGTCATTTAGATCAAAACATCGATAGAATATGTTTTAGTCTAGTTTGTAGGACATGGTTCTATGTTATAGTTATTTAATATTCAACACAGATAATATCATAATTAAATCTGATATTAGTAACGATATTGCTACTCTTAATCATAAATATTTCAATCTACCGGCAGAACATGCAGATGGTTTTTTAAGAATCTACAATAAACTTCTTCTTTCGTTCGACCTGATCAAATCGATCGATTCAATCAAAACACTTGCATTTTCTCAATTACCAGCAATTGAAATCACATTTATACTAAAAATAATATTAACTACAGAAGGCTAGATGATAATTTTTATTTGATGTGTGGTTGCATAAATGGATTTACAATAGCAAGAATTTGTCATCAATCTAAATTGCCTGCAAATTTACACATAAAAATTAAAAGCTATAGTGTTTAAATAAATAAATCATTTGTAAAATATTATCTAAATTTCTCAATTATCTTCATTTATCAAAAACTTTAAGATATAATATAGATATATCTATTTTTAAAAGCCAATAAGTAGTAAAAATATAATAATCACAGTGATAATAAATATTTGTTTAACTTTTATGCATTAAAATAAATATAAAGTTTTTACATTTTATGATAAATAAATAGATGTATAGATCGTTTGGTGTTTGGTTATATACATATATACAATATATTACATATTTATACTTCTATCAACGCATTGTCTAACTCTTTTTCTGTATTCTTTCTTATCTTTTATAAATAGATTGGCTGCTTCTGGATTAGCTGGTGAATTTGGGTTCTCATCTGATAGCAATGACTATATTGTTATTGATTATCGATTAGTAAATCACTTAATTATTCTTTAGTCTAATTAGCATAACATACTTGTATTGAAGTTAATATTGAGGAAACAGAATATACAGGTGACCACTTGTTGGTCAAGATATCTAAACATATTGCACCATCAGCGTAAACATTTGGATGAAATATAGGTGTAACAAATTTAATCTTTGGTGGTTGATCTGGATATGACTCGTTAAAGTTTAATGATAATTGAAAGATTCCACCTTGTTTTATTTGTAAACATATTATTAATAATGCTAAATCATCATTTATACACTAATATATAGTATAATATAATATAATGTACCTTCGAATGGAGAATTCTCTGGACCAATAATAAGACCTGTCCAATTCATTAGATTTCTACTATCGACAGGCTCTGCACTGACACCTTCGGGTGGTTCTTCCTTCATCTGTTTGAGATCACTCATCAATCTGATCATCGCTTTTCCAACTGTATTAGAACTTGACATTATTATTATTATTTTTATAATTTAAAATTCAAATATATATATATATATTCTGTAATTCTTTTTATGTAATAAGTAAATAAGTAAATAAATAAATAGAATAGATTAAAGTCGACTTTAATAAAACATATCTAGATATAAAATATGTATATTTTTTGAAATTTTACCATTTTTAATTAAAAAATTGGTTTTTATGAAAAGTTTCAATGAAAATTATGGGTATGTTTGATTTTATGACTGGTTTCATCACTATTTTATACAAAAGAGAACAGATTTAATAAATTTAGTTCAACGTGAACTATAACCAAGTTTTTTAAAATTATCATATATCATATATGATATTTTGTCAATAATAATTGCTTGTCTATTCTTTTATTATATTATTTATTATTTGTTTTCTTTTAATTGATGAGTTTCAAAGATATTACAAATTATTACACATTTTGTGTGTTTTGTTAATCTTAAAAAAGATTTTTTATTTTTTAATTTTTTTCACCCAATTTTTAACAAAAATTTATTTTTTTTTCAAACGATAGATCAATTTCATTAATAAATCCAAGATAGGAAAGACATTAACATATTATATTATTTGTTATCTTTAAATTTGTATAAATAAATAATATTAAAATTACTAAAAAAAAAAAAAAAAAAAAAGGAACAGAGAATAGAGAATAGAAAGAAGATGATATCAATTGAAAATAAACAAGTTAGAGAAAAAGTTAGAGACTTTATTGGTGGTGCTTTCTCTGGTGTTGCATGTACGTTGGCAGGACATCCATTCGATACTCTGAAGGTCAGACTTCAAACCGAGGGAACCACCGGTAGATTCAAAGGAATGACTCACTGCTTGACGACCACCATCAAAGAGGAAGGTATACTCGCTCTCTACAAGGGTGCAACACCACCAATGGTTGGAATGTCAATAATCAACTCCTGCATGTTTGGAACACTGGCAATCGTCAAGAAGAAAATTCATCCAGACACAACCACACCCATAACACTTCCAGAGATAATGGTATCAGGTGCCATAACAGGTTGGGCAGTAAGTTTTGTTGCCACTCCAATTGAAACAGGTTAGTTAACCAATAGCTATTTAATAATAACAAATAATAATAATGAAAAACCAACAAGAACTAACAATAACAAACTTAACTAGTTAAATCGAAATTACAAGTACAATATTCAGGTACAAAGTTATATAGTGGACCAATCGATTGCATTCAAAAGGTGGTTAGACAGGAGGGTATTCAAGGACTGTATAGAGCGTTGATTCCAACTGGATTCCAACGTAATAGTTTGTGGGCGTATTTCGGTGGCTACGAGCTGGCCAATCGCTATTTGAAGCGTGAGGATGGCACTATGACGGTGGGACGTTCTTTCTTGGCGGGTGGTGTCGCCGGTACTGGATTCTGGTGCACCAACTTCCCGTTCGATGTGATTCGTAGTCGTATCATGACGATGCCAAACGACAAGGTAACAGGCAAGCCTATCTACTCGGGCATGATCGACTGCGCCAAGAAGATCTACGCAGTCGACGGTTGGCGTGGATTCTGGAAAGGTTTCACCCCATGTCTCTTACGTACATTCCCCGCAAACGGTGCCACTTTCGTTGCTTATGAATTCGTCATGAAGATGATACCCGCTGCTTAAACCGAACAATAACAACAAACAACGAACAACTCAATTCATCCAAATATCAACCCAACCATCATCATTCTCTCTCTTTTTTTTTTTTTTTTCTTTTTCTTTTTCTTTTCTTTTTTTTTTTATAGAGTAAACTTTATTTAGATTGGAAACGTCGACGAAATAAGATAAAGATAGATTGATAGATAAATAGATAGATAATAGATAGATAAAATATAGATAATAGAGAATCTATTTATAATCTTAAAGTAATTGTTTCAAATAATATCGAGCATTGAACTTTAAACTTTGTCTTTTCTTTTCTTTTCACACAAAAATTTATCAATAAATCGACTATTTCGATACTTTACTAGTTTATTTCAAACAAAAGTTATCACTAGATGTAGTGTAAAAAATCATTAATTTTATTCAATTTTATACATTGTAAAGAAAAAATTGTTTACAGATTTTTTAAGAATTATTTTTGGAAATTTTTATATTAGATTTTTTATAAAAAAACAACAATATTTGCATGAAAAAAATTATAAATTCCAGTTTTGGCAGTTTGGAGTTGATGAAAAAAAATATTTTTTAGATCTGTTTTATGTTTTTTTCTTTATAATTTTTATCTCTGTTTTTTATTAAATATATATTTGTAACCCTAATTTTGTTTTTTGTTTTTTTGTATTATTATTTTATTTTAAAAATAATTCAATTATTATTACCACACACAATTATACACAAAAAAAATAACCATCATCAAATTAATAATAACAATATTTTTGTATATACAATTAATTTTTATAGATAAATTACTTAAATTTAAATAGATAGAATAGATAGATAATAAATTTAGTATTAATAAATAAAAAACAATAAAAATGAAGATTGATAATATTGATAATAATGAAGATTCTATAAAATCAGAAGAAAACATCAACAACAATAATGTAACAGTAGAAGAACATGAGAATAATGATAACGTAGAAAATGAAGATAATGAAGAATCAGAGATATATCTACAAGGAAAAGATTTAATTCAGAAATCAAAAGATATGTTAAAGGATATTAAAGCATTGGAAAGTGGAAAAGACCTATTCAAAGAGGGTAATGCACTGGTAGATGCAATTGTCAAGCGTGAAGAAGCAAGAAAACTAATGGAAAAGGGACTGGAATTGGTATCACAAGTGAAACAAGATAAGGATGCACGTGCTCTACTCGACCAATCAAAAGAGTTACTCGAATTCTTTTCGAATGAAGAAAGAGTTAAAAGTGTATTATCAGAGGGTAAACAATTATTAGAAGATATTGTAAGTGTGATCACATTAATCATTAACTATACCTATTACTATAATATGTTATAACATTACATTCGGAATACTAATTGAATTGCTAAAACAACAAAACTAGAAATCAAAAGATAAAACAGTGACAAGAGAACAAATTGAATCGCTCTTTAAACAGGGTGGTTCAATTTTGAAGGATTTCAAAGATAGTGAACAGAGTTCGTTGTATTTGGAAAAGATGAAAAAGATGTTCTTTGATTTGAAGGAGGAGGAATCCACGAGGATCAAGTTGAAGGCTGGCATTGCCGAGGGCAAGAAGTGGGTGGAGAGTCTGGCAGAGAGCGATCCCTATATCAAGTCGATCGTCGACGAAGGCGAGCAGATCTTCTTGACACTGAAGAATAGCGAGGAAGTGCAATCGTTGATTGGCGATGGCAAGAGTGTCCTCATTGACTTCTTGACCGATGAGAACAAGCACTTCTCTCGTGACTCTCCAGAGTTACTCAGCCTGTTGGAGCGTGGTGGTAAACTTGCATCCAACGTAACAGAGACACTGAAATCCAACAAGATAGTCGGAGAACTCACAGAGAAAGAAGACTTTAAGAACATCTTGGGCAAGGGTAAAAAATTCGTATCCGAAGTTAGATCGAAACAACAGCTAATAGATTTCCTTAAACAAAACAAAGAGTATGTCATATTTTCTATATCTATATATTGTTTTACTTAGTTTTTTTTGGAATCACACTAATGTGTTTCAACTTCTACCTATTTATCATATTACTACACTCCATATATCAACCATATTTCTGAGATACATATAAAACTAACTATTCATAACTTCTTATCCATTGTTATACCACATAAATAGCTTCATTAAAGAGATTAAAAATACTATTATACCATTCATCACAGATCAGCTTCTAAAAGTACAGATTCCAGTTGTAAATGGTGTCACCAAGGGATTTTGGTATGAACTGTCAGGTCTTGTTTTCGCTGGTTTGAGAATTGCTCCCGAGAATGTAAATGTAGATTTCAATGAAGTAAATAAGAGTATAACTGTTTCTGTGTATGTATTTTACATGTAATTTAAATGATATTGTTATGTTATTAATATTTGTTGTTGTTGTCTGTTTAGTAATCAATTCGTTGCGGAATTGAACTCGTTCACTTGGTCATATAAACAAGAGGGATTCCCCTATTTGAAGGATACCGGTTTGGCGTGTGCCAATGTGCAGAACGGAACGTGTTCACTCACCTTCGAGATCGATACGATACCAGAGACGAATACACCGAACATCAAGATAACAGAGATCAAATTTATATTGGAGCACTTGCAGGTCGTCGTTGGCAAGGGCAAAGCCAAGTGGCTCTACAACTACCTGATATCAAAGTTCTCAGAGACCATAAAGTCGACCGTGGAAACCAAGATCAAGAATACCATCACCACACATCTCAACACTCTGACGACCAAGATCAACTCGATCATCGAAGAGTACTGGGAGAAACTAATGTCGAAACTAAAGAAAACAAAGAACAATAAGGAGATTGACGGCGGCGATGATGATGGTGCCGAAGCAGAGATTCAAGTCACCATAACTGAAGAAGAAGAAGAAGAAACAATAACATCTACAACAACAACTACTACTACATCAGGTGGTGCAACCATCAAAGAGATTGATACCACCACCACCGAAGAGGAAACAACACAAACCTCCCTGATCGTTGCAAATGAGACTTCAGAAGTCGCAAGTGAATGTAGTTAAAATCAATAATAATCATCATCTTCATCTTAGTTTAGTTAACTAAGGACAAATCAAAACAAAATAACCATATTTATACACACATTAAAATTCTATTATTAATATTATTTTTTTAGTAACTAATGAAACTAATTAGTCAAAAGATGACACTTTTGTTGCTTTCTAATGTGATGTCATACTTGTCAATCATCAGTATGATTTCATTTATCTTGTCTGTTTTACTATTTTTTTTTTTTTTTCTCGTAAATCACAATTGTCAATGCAACTTTTTATTTTAATTTATTTTAATTAATTATTTTTTTGATCAAAATCTCAACGATTAAAAAAACCGGGTGCAAAAAACAAAATTTTATTTTAAAAATAAAAAATAATGGTTTGGATTTTTCAATGTTCCCAATGAACTAAAAAAAAATTGCAAAAATTCAACAGTTGTATGAAATTTAAGGGTTTTTGGGGATTAAAACCAGGTAAAGTTCAATTGAAAATTATAGATTTCTTTTTTTTTTGTTGTCTTTCCAAAACTTTTCATACTTTCAAAAATATTTTATTTTAATTTTCTATTTTATTTGTTTATACACACATAATTATAATTATAATTATTAGTTACTGTAATATACACACACTATAGCATATTATTAAATAAGTTTGTTATTTTTAGTTTCATATAATATCAAATCAAATCATATTGTAATAATATAAAAGTAGGTATTTAAATTATTATTGAATAAAGATAATAATATTTTGTTTTTATATGTATTATGGATAGCATATATATTTTTTTATTTAATTTATAGGTTTGTTGTTGTTTCTATTTAGCTATCTCTACCCTACTCAACTATACCGAGATTAGATAGTAGATAACGATATGATAGCGGTGGAGGTATTCAACGATATTCTTCTTCTCAAAGAAACAATAAAAACATGTCTTTAAACCTTTTTTTTTATTATTATTTATTATGATTTGTTATTCTGAAAATGAATGATAAAAGTGTTGATAGAACATCAATTCAATCAATAACAAAATTACATAGATATTGTTTTTTTATTTAATTGATTGGAATCATCATAATGATTTTATCTATCTATCTATCTATATCTCTCTATCTATTTATCTTTCTCCTATTTTATTAAATATAAAATTTTACCACCAATCAATATTATTTAGATATATATATCTTATTTTAGGAGTTATCTTTTTATTTATATATCTTATCTCAATTTCAATTTACTTCACTTTTTTTTATAAATCTTTTAATAAAATAAAAGTTAACAACGAGTGTATTGTTGGTAGTTTAAGCAATCCAAACATTAATTCGTAGCTACACACTATTTTCTGTGTTATCAGATGATTACCCAGAATTTATTATTGATACATTTTTACACAGAATATATCATATCTTATCACAAAAACAACTTCATTACATTTGGAATTGCAATTTTAGATTTATTTCAAATTGGCGATTGGTTTCATTCTACATGTATATTAACATCAAAAATCAACAATAGCAACATCATCATCACCAACAACAATATTAATAATCAGTAAAAACCATTCAGAAACTCCAGATAATAGCACATTAATAGTAGTTAACAATATAAATTTATTTATTGTGGTGTTTGTTTAAATTTAGGGGGTTTTGTGAAATGAAACTAAAGTAAAAACAACAGTCTTTAATAAATAAATAAAAATAAATAACAAAACCGATCGTTGTGTCTACCTATCTTTTTATTCACCTGGATATTATATAAAAATGTGTGAATGGTGTATATATATCATAACATTACATTGTAGCACACTACAATAAACAATCTAACAGTTATTCAAATTCTTATTGGCGCCGCTTTAAAAAGATACCCCTTTCACACCACATACACACCACTAAAACATCCACACATTACACACTCACACTCGTTCACCTATTTTTTGTATTTATTTGATGACTATCGTTCACATATTAGTTATACATATATATGTATAAACACCAACCTTTCTATTTTCATTCAACATATATGTTTTAAGAATTCTGGTTAGTACCTCCTTTTTTACCACCCTCACGCCAACAGCATAAGAAAAAGAAGAACAACGATAACAATAATAATAATAATAATAATATTAAATTTTTATTGTTTATTTTATTCAAAATTATAATTTTGGTTATTACTTGTTTCAATTCCAAACACAACAAACACAAACACTAAACAAACCTATTAATTAAATAAATACTGTCGCATATTCTTATAATTATTAGAATATCATATCATAATCACATTTAAAAAGTCTTTTGTCTTTGACTTGTTTTGTTTAGTTAATCATTCAAATTTACTTATGCATTTATTACTTTTATATTACTATCATAATATTATAGATTAGAAAAGATTATATAGTTTAGTTTAGTTTAGTTTAGTTTAGTTTAGTTACAGCTCACAGCTCAGTCAATCAAACAGAATATAGATATAGTTTTTTTTTCAATTTAATTTATTTTCAATATCAGGTTATTTTCGATGTCTGCCAACTTTTATTGTTGTAACAACAAGTGTGGCAATAGTCAATAACAAAACAAACAAATACACATTCAATCAATCTCAGAATATATACTCATTTTTGTAATGATTCATTACAATAATTGCCAGTTTATGATTTGCAATACCTTTCGATTTGTAAATAGTGTCCGATTGATGACCTATAATTTCTCTAAACTTTTACTGCTATATGTCGTTGGCATATGGATAGTGGTGTCATGTAGCAGCTTTGCATCTGGCTACTTGATAGCATTGCCACCTATCATTGGATACATTGGTGGCGTGGCAGTTCGATCCACCTCAAAGACTATTCAGCGAACTTGTACATTGGCCCGCTCTTGCACTCAATACTATGCAAGTTGCTGGTCGTCTGCTACATCAAATAACGACACCAACTACGACTATCCATCGTCCGACCAACTGTCGTCATCGAATTTCTTTGTTCCCTACAGTGAATATCATCAGGGTGGATTCTCTGATCATCATTCATCGATAAGCAGCGGAATCGGTGGAAACATTGATCACCAGCCCAACAACTACAGTCACTTGGGTATCTTTGATAACCAACAAGACCCACAGGTGTGTAACAACGTTCAATACAACAACTATCATTATAGCCAATCACTGGCCACCAGGAAACTAAAGAATATAGCTAGAGTCTATCATCATATCAATGAGAATCAACCAAGCGAATATTATGATTATGAAAATTTTATGTTATCTTGGAGGTAAGTTTATTGATTAATAGCGATCATCATCATTCATCTTTTATCATATCTCTCATATCCTAATAATATCATATATCTTTATAATCATTATATTAGTGCACCAGATAAATATGAATTGATAAACAAAGTTGGTAGAGGCAAATATAGTGAAGTGTTTTGTGGTGTGGATACGCACACTGAACAGGAAGTCGTCATTAAAATACTAAAGCCAGTGCAGAAGCAAAAGATTCAGAGAGAAATCAAGATTTTAGAGAACTTAAAGGGTGGACCGAATATTATACCACTGCTAGATACAATCAGAGACCCACTGACAAGAACAAAGAGTTTAGTTTTTCCTTTTGTAAATAATATGGATGTTAGAGAATTAGTAAACTATTTGAATGACCGTGATTTAAGATATTATATGTTTGAATTATTAAAGGTATGTTAATGATATCAAGTATAATAGTTGTAAAATGGATTTATTAATTGTTATGTTTGTAATTTTAAAGGCAATTGAATTCACTCATTCAAAAGGTATAATGCACAGAGATATAAAGCCACATAATATAGCAATCGATCATTCTAAACGTAAATTATATCTATTGGATTGGGGTTTGGCAGAGTTTTATCATCCCTATAAGAACTACAATGTTAAAGTTGCATCCAGACACTACAAACCACCAGAACTACTAGTAAATATGTACGACTATGATTATTCAATCGATATGTGGAGTCTAGGTTGTTTGTTTGCCGGTCTCATTCTCAACAGAGATCCATTTTTCAATGGTGAGAACAACGATGACCAACTTGTAAAGATTGTAAAAGTATTAGGAACAGACGATTTCTATAAATATTTAGATAAATATGGTTTGGATCTAAGTCCGCATTTAAAAGATTTAATTAAACCGTATGTATATGAATGAATTAATAAAATAGATAATATGAAATTTTCAATGACTAATTTTACATATCTTTATTAATATAGATCTGTAAAAAAAGATTTCCAAAGATACATTCCATTTGCAAACGATGACATTGCTCACCCAACTGCAATTGACTTTTTAGATAAACTACTGAGGTATGATCCTCAGGAAAGAATGACTGCTCAAGAGGCTATGAATCATCCTTACTTTTCTGAACTTAATGGTAATAGAGAATCTTCTTCTCTTTCCACGAACCAATAAACAAATTTTATATATTTATTAAAACTTGCGAATGTTTGTTTATAACTTTGTGATTTCTTTGTGGACTAAAGTCAAAATTGAAAAATTTGTAAATATTATTAAATCAAATTTAAATCAAGAAGATATTAATTTTAATGGTGAATTCAATTATGAATTTATTAATTCTTTTTTAAATCTTATTGATTATTTTGTTGTGGATCCAGTAGTTGAAGATTTAGTGGTTGATGGGAAGCTGGTGGGTTCTGGCCAAGGTGGAACAGTTTGAAAGGTTGTTGGTCTGTTACAATCAATGCAATTATATTGACATCTCTCATCATCCTCTCTACACGATTCACAACATGGTCTGGCTGTTATCATTGCCATCAAGAACATGACAATTAACATTATTGAGATAGTTTTAATAATATTCATTTTATTATCTACAATTTTTTTAATAGTATAAAAAAAGTATTAATTTTTTTTGCTTTTTAAAACAATTTTAACTTAACAAAACTTACTTTTTTGTTTGTTTATTTAATATTTATTTGAATTACTTTGAATTTTAATTTGAATGATTTGAATGATTAATTTTTTAATCATTTATAGAAATAATTCTATAACAATTTCTCTTTCATTTATTAATATTTTTTCTTTTCTAGTATAATTCATTGTTTCTAAAATGATCTTGAATTGGCTTCATCAAATTCCTTTTAGAATTCACATAAGAAAATCCTATTTTGACAAATTTGTAAGAAATTGATTGTATTTTCTCCAACAAAAAATAAGGTACAAAATTGATGACAGACAAAAAATAAAATAACAAACACATAAAAATTTTCATGAAATTATTTTCAAACTTTTTGGTTTTTTTTTATTCAAAAGTGTGTGGCGAAAAAAAACACAATAGTTTTAACAGAAGGATAAAACATTGCTCTTCATACACCAAGAGAATATTCCCAGTTAATGGAAGATCATTTGTCTCTTCATTCCACTTTTAAAAAGATGTGTATACAAATAAATTTTTTCTTGGTATTGTCTTTTGACAAAATCATTAAATAAACATTATCATAATCAGACTCTGGTATGAATTGCAAGACATTATAATTTATAAAAATTAAAATAAAATATGATTTATCTAGTTCGAACAACATGTTGCTGCTGTTAAATAATAATTATAATAGAAATAAAAACATAACAATGAGTAAAAACAGGAGTCAAGAATATATCCTTATGTGATGAACTTGATTGATTCATAATCGAAATATATTGGTTGACTATCGAAATTGACATGGAATTCCAGCCTGAAATAACTCTTGTTGTTGGTGGTCTTCGATGCTGTTTGTGGGTGTCAAGAATCTCTCCTTATGAATAATATGATGAGAGTACCCAGTATCTCATTCAATTATTTTCCAGAGTTGAACTATTTCAAATTTATTCTGATGAACTTGATGTCACTCCTGATAGAATAGTTGAATTGAGGATTCAATGTCGGTTGAAGACTATCGCTATTCGATTACTAGACCAGGATATCTCACACACCTTCCTCTAATGCCAAATCTGAATAACATCTTTGTGAATGGTTACTACTGTTACAAAAAACAATTACAGCAACTTTCTGAATTCAGTATTCGAGAGTACACCAAATGGCAATGGAAATGGAATCGAATCATTCTATATTAGAATTTGCAAGGATATGAACGATGAACCAACATACAATTGTATTGACTTCTTGAAACCACTGGTCATGTTGCATGCCAAAACATTGAAATCTATCGAACTCTACTATGGATATTATTTAATGGATATCCAAGACACACCTTGTGAGAGAATTGAAAGAGTTGGTTCCAACAATGAAACAACACAGCTATTCATTCATTTGTAGAAATTCTTGGAATAATTTAGATTCATTTTAAAAGTTGTGCAAAGAAAAAAATTGTCTTCTAGTATTTCAATATCTTACCAATCAGAAAAATATTTACTTCTATACCAATATTGTTAAAGATGAAGATGAAGAGGATTATAACTATTTTATTGTCCATAAAAAAATAAAATTAAAAGTAAACTTTTTTTCGTTTTTTCATTTTTTTGTTGAATATTTTTATTTTTAACTACGTAATGGATAATACAGGTAGTTTATCTAATAAAGTAGTTTGTTGGATAGATTGGGAAGAGTGGAAAGATGTATATAGATGGATCTACTCAGAGGATAAAAATGAACAATTACGAGCTATAAATAGAGTGGCTGCTTGGAAGAGTCGTGGTCGTTTGCCTTTGGCGGTCGAAGCAACCTCTTCGTTCATAGAGATACTCTATCACAGCGATAGTCGCACAGAGAACGAGAGAGTACTCTGTCTATCGATGGCGATCAACAGGTTGGTGAACGGTGTTCTGGAATCCACTCAGAAAGGCGGTGCAGCAACGATGTTCTCGCGTGCCGCTCAGATGAATCTACCGTCGCACTTTGTTGAGATACGTCACGAGGCGGCACACGGTACACTCCCCTCGATTCGGCTACTGAAGAACGCTGCATCGACCGGTCTCAGCTGGCTCGACGACTTCTACTGGAAGACGCAAGCCGAGCAACTTGACGACTATCGCTCGCACCTGAAGCGCCTGCTGTCGCGCTTCGCCAAGGAGTTTCGCGCGCAAAAGTTCACCAACCTGACGACACAGATTCACTGGATGTCGCCACGCGTCCGTACACTGACACAAGACATCTCTGCAGAGATAACTGCGGGACTGCTCGAGAGTGTCCTAGTGCCGATGTTGATCGACGACTGCTTTATCATACCGGCAGGCACCCAGCTGCAAAAGGGTGACTACCAACTTCCGGAATCGATACAGAATCAATGGTCACCACTGCTAAAGTCACTTCACACGAAATACGTTCATTTCCTAACGATCTTGTTGTATTTGATGGTCGATAGAATAGCATCGCCAAAGAAGAGTCAACCGAATCAATCGAGATTGATGACGGCATGGGTGATCTACCTCTTGCGAAACAAAGATATCTTTGACTTTAAGAAGCAGCTGGAAGCGAGTATGGAACTGCCTCATCGCTATCTGTTCGAGCGGTGTCTGAGGTCGCGTGCTACCGACGCGCCGGTGTTGGTCGAGGCGATAGGTCCGATGCTGTCGACACGCGATCAAAAGGCAATGGTGAAGAAGAAAGGCAACAAACTGATAGATCCACTGTCACAGTATGAAGCCAAGTCGTCGGCAGCAGGTCGTTGGCGTCTAATCGATATGTGGACACCTTGTCCTATTGGTGTGGCACCAACAGACAGCAGCATAACACAAGACAACCAAAAAGGTTTATTAGATCTACCAGAATCACTAAACAACAAAGATAACATCACACTAGTACAATGTATACAAGAAAAGAACATCGATAAAACATTACAGCAAACACATTGGATAAATGAATTCAAAGAGTTATATCCTGATTTATTAAATAAGAATAATATAATACAACAACAACAACAACAACAACAATCAATAAATATAAACAATAATAGTAATAATAATAATATAAATACACAAATAGAATCAAATTTATCAAATAATAATAATAGTATTAAAACAAAGAGAGAATGTAATCAAGTTGAAGATAGTGAAGAAAAGAGTAGTACACAAAGTGTTAATAAAGTAAAGAAACAAAGAATGGAATCTGTTATTGATAGCTCAAGTACCCAAGAACCTGTAGACAAAGAAACACCAACTAATAGCACAACAAAGTCAAAATCAAATACAACGAAAAAGAAGAAATCTGTTGGAAGTAAAGTAGATTTATTACAATTTTGGAAATAAATAAATAAATAAATTTATAATAATAGTAATAGTAGTACATCCAATATATATATATATATCATTTGATTATTTTTTAAAAAAAAAAAAAATCAAAGATTGTTTCTTCTTTTTTCCTAATGCATATCCACCTATCCAATGAACATTCAATACTATACTTATAGTATTGATAGATCTATGTCCAACTTTAACTAAATAAATGGAATTGCTGTACTTGTTTAGACCGACTAACCAAAAGAGATGATAGTTGAACAACATGTTGAGTTTTAGGATTACCAGTAACAAGTTTAAAACTGCCATGGTCGAATACCAACATGTTAAGCAGAGTTTGGTTGTGAAGAAATTAATAAATTCAGCTGAATTGCTAAATAACTGTATAACGACTATTGACAATGGTTGAGGACCTAGTGATGTTCGTGCACTTGTTGTTCAATTTGTTCTTGTTGTTTCTGTTGTTGTTCGAGTATCAGTTGTTTCTGCTGTTGTTCGAGGAACGATTCCTTATGTTGTTCTACCCTTTGTTTCCTTTTGAGCATCTCTAGATACAATTGTTGTTTTCTTTCTGACTCTGCCTGGTCTTTGGTTCTTTGGAATGGATGAGTACCATCGATTGAACCAGAGCTTGACGATGAGGACGATGATGACGACGACGACAAATCCGATTCACTTTCAAACTCTGACGGTGTACATAGTTTCTCTTCGTAACACATATCATCACGTTTCTCTACAGATGAACTAACACTATCACCATCACTACCACCACCACCACCAGCAACATTACCAGTGTCACTCCTATCGTTCAAAGGATAATTATGATTCTGTAGCTTAATATCTTCTACCTCCTTCGATTTGATTGCCTCGTCAGCATTCTGTGACATCTGTTGTTGTCTGTGCTCCAAAATAACAATAAACAATGCACATAATACAATAAATAATAAAAATAAATAAATTATTCTTTCTTCTATTATTCATTATTAAAATATATATAAATATAAATAAAATAATATTGTTTTTCAGATAAAAATAAACACCACGACGATAGACATTAGTTAAATCTCCAATAGATTAAAACAAAACTCAAGACAAGACTTTGGATAAAAAAAATTTAATTTTTAAAATTATCTGTAAAAAAAAAAAAAAAATTTTGCAAAAACGATGTTTATTTAATTAATGTTTTTTTTTTTTTTAATTAACAAACTTGTAACTTCAATTATTATTATTTAGTTTGTTATAAGTTAGTTAGTTAGTTATGTCTTCAATTGATAAAAATTATAATAATTTAAATAGTAATAATAATAATAATAATAATAGTAATGATGTTCAAGATAAACCAACAACACCATTTTCGGCAGTGAAAGCTAAAAAGATATTTTCACCAAATATAACCAAACACAAGTTCAAAACAGATAGTATCACTAATCCGACATCTGATTTTGTACAAAAGAATAAACGTGAGAGAGAAAGAGATTCAGGAGGAGATGCTACTGGAGAGAGACCGATGAATCAAGAGGATGAAGATGCTCTACTAGCTTTGATGAATCAAAACATATCGAGTAACACAGTAAAGATAACTCCAAAGAATGAAGATATCAACAGCAATAACAACAATAAGAAAGTATTCTTAAAGATAAAGAGAAAGATAGACGAAGAAACATTGACATCAATTGTAATTGAACGACCAAAGAAGAAAGCACTACTAGATACATTCAAACAGTTTTCATTGACTGCCATTGATGACAAACAAGATAATAACAATAATAATATAGAAGTAGAAGATGATGATGATGATGAAGATGAAAATAATAATAATAAAAGAAATAAAAAGAATAGAAATAATAATATAGATGAAATATCTCAATCGATAAAAGAGTCGTCATCAGCAGCAGCAACAACAACAGCAGCAGCAGCAACAATTAAAACAGAAAAGAGTCTTTTTACATTGTTTACATCAATAGATGAAACAAACTTGATAAATAGTAAATCAAAGCTGGAAGTAAGTTAACTTAACTATTGTTAAATCAAACACCAATCTAATCTCTACTGTTTCATTAATAGAAACGTTTTGAAGAGTTTAAAGAAAAGGGTACAATTTCATCACCAAAGATATTAAAAGCAAAACAAGAAAATACAATTGTAAATATTATTGAATATCATCTTCATTGTAAACAACTCACGAGTTTTATACTAACAGATGATGTTCATCCTTTAATTTAGAAAAAGAGAAATGAAAATAGATATAGACAAATCAAATCGAATAGAGTTGGTTTAGGAAAAGAAGATAATATTATAGAACTAGAGAAAACAGATGAGTATGTTATAACTAATTATTGTTAAAATATTTTGCAAAAGTGAGAAATTTCTAATACCAATCGTTTTGTTTTTTTTTTTTTTTTTTTCAATAATTATTGTAGACTTGATGAAATAATGTCTGGTTTGACAAAGGAAGAAGAGAAACTAATATGTAACTTTAAACCGTTGTTGAGAGAGCAATTGGATAAGCGACAGGAAGAGACAAAATATGTATATGATTACTACTACTTGGATCCAGTGCAGGCCAAGAATATTGATATATCGATGATTGAAACTGTGGTGTTGCCCCCAGATGAAGACGATATCTACGATGGACTTGACTTGACCGACGATGACCAGAGCACAGACTCTGAGAATTGGTATGTCGACTATCCTGATGAAAGCAGCAACGGCAGTGATTCTTTGTTTGATGAAAATGAAGATGACGAAGACTATGACAATCACGATTATTACAACGATGGAAACTATGATGAAGATTATTTCGATGAATATTAATAATAATCAATCATATCAATTTACATTAAATTATTTCCAGATCAAATTTTTTTTTTTTTCTTATTAAATCAAAATTATTAATAATTTTATGCAAAATTTATTTTATACACATCTTTTTTAAAAGGTGGAATGAAGAGACAAATGATCTTCCATTAACTGTGAATATTCTCTTGGTGTATGAAGAGCAATGTTTTATCCTTCTGTTTAAACTATTGTGTTTTTTTCGCCACACACTTTTTAATAAAAAAAACCAAAAAGTTTGAAAATATTTTCATGAAAATTTTTATGTGTTTGTTACTTTATTTTTTTGTAATTGTTTGGAGAAAATACAACTTGGTCAATTTCTTACAAATTTGTCAAAATAGGATTTTCTTATGTGAATTCTAAAAGGAATTTGATGAAGCCAATTCAAGATCAATTTAGAAACAATGAATTATACTAGAAAAGAAAAAATATTAATAAATGAAAGAGAAATTGTTATAAAATTATTTCTATAAATGATTAAAAAATTAATCATTCAAATCATTCAAATTAAAATTCAAAGTAATTCAAATAAATATTAAATAAACAAACAAAAAAGTAAGTTTTGTTAATTAAATATTATTTTAAAAAGCAAAAAAAATTAATACGTTTTTTAAACTATTAAAAAAATTGCAGACAATAAAATGAATATTATCAAAACTATCTCAATAATGTTAATTGTCATGTTCTTGATGGCAATGATAACTGCCAGACCATGTTGTGAATCGTGTAGAGAGGATGATGAGAGATGTCAATATAATTGCATTGATTGTAACAGACCAACAACTTTTCAAACTGTTCCACCTTGGCCAGAACCCACCAGCTTCCCATCAACCACTAAATCTTCAACTACTGGATCAACAACAAAATAATCAATTCAATTTAAAATCAACAAATTAATAAATTCATAATTGAATTCACCATTAAAATTAATATCTTCTTGATTTAAATTTGATATCAAAAGTTAAAATACAAATTTATTTGTATCAAAATTTTTATTGAATTTTCAGTTTATTCTTTCCTATTTAAAATTATTGATAATATTTTAAAGGTAAGATATTGAAATACTTGAAGATCTTTTTAATTCCAAGAAGAAATTAAAAATAAATATCTTTATTTATTTTTAGAACTATTTTCTTTCAAAGGAGAGTCTCATTTTTGGAAAGAATAATAATACATATCATAAAAGATAAAATTAATTTTGAAGTAAATACTTCTACATTATGAAAATTGGAAAATATAAAACTTCATCTTTATTTTATTTAGAAATGATAATAAAAATTTTTCTGATAGATAAGATATTGTAATACTTGAATATCATCTTCATCTACACACAACTTTTCAATTGAATCTAGTAAAATAAGAAAATGATAGTATTGACAAATTTGGAATAGAAATTGATTCCTATATTGTTGAATAAAGATAAAAATTAAAAATCAATAGAAATTACATTTCTCTACCCGATTACTGAAAGACAAGACAGACATATTACATCTCTAACATTATATTCTCCAGAAATAAAAATTCTATATATCGTCACCTTTCATGAAACAATTCTACTTTAGTTCGATTGATTTCAATTTTTTAGAATGAAAATTAACCAGTGGTTTCAAGAAGTCAATATTATTGTACATCAACTGTCACCATTCCGTACTAAATAATTGTCATGTTTGAATTTATAACTTTTTTTCTTTTTTATTTTTTTTTATTTTTTATTTTTATTTTTTTAAATTAAGACTTATATATTTGAATACATCTTAATTTGTACTTATTGTTAATATATTGTTTAACTTTAATAAATTAAAAGAATAAAAGATATAAACTAATCTTTAAGTTTGGTACTAGATGGTAAAAAAATAGTAATTTTACTGTATTACTATCTTGATTATTATTATTTTTGTTGTTGTTGTTGTAATTTTCTTGTGCTAATATCATTATATATAAATCGTCAGTGGCTATCAGTACCTAATACGAAACAAAATTCGTAATAGCGGTTTATTCTTTCATAAATATGATCTTCATAAACTCTTCATTATTAATAGATGAAATGTTATTTATTATTTCTTCTTTTTCTTTCTTTTTATAAAATCGATTTATCATTTTAAAAATAAAATTGACAAGCAAATAAATTAACATAAATTAAACACGAATGTGTTTTTATTGATATTTTTTCACCCTTTTTATTTCTTGGTTTCAACTTGAACCACAAGTGTGGATTAAGAAAATTATTGTTCATTTTAATTAAAGAGATTTGAGGATAATATAAAAAATTAAAAATAAATCAAAAAAGAAATAAAAAATAAAATAAAATATATTTTGAATTTAAACTAATTTTATAATCATATCTTGATTTTCTATAATTTTTTGGATTTTTTAATTTGGTCAATCAGTTTACACACTTTGATATCTAACCATTCTTTGTTTGGCAATTGTTGAATCCAATCTTTTGGTAGATGTGAATAACCAATCTTGCATCCCAAAAGACCACCAGCTATAGATCCATTTGAATCAGAGTCTCCACCTTCTTTTACTATCATATTTAATGTATCTTTAAAGGAGTAGTTTGATCTAAGACCCCAGAATCCAGCTCCCAAAGATTTAAATACATAACTATTAAAAAAATTAAAATTAATTTTAATAAAATATGTTTTAAAATAAAACAATTTATATTTAATTATTAAAAAATACCTTATTGAATCAGGAGCAGATAAATTTAAAGATTCTAACGATGTATTATACATAATCTCTTCAAATTCAACTCTTTCTTGGAGAGTCATAGAGTTTGCACACTTGGCAACTATTTCTTCAATGAGGTGATCAACTTCTTCATTTCTATTCAAGCTAGATCGTTTTGATTCTATATTATTGAGTAGTATGGCAATTGCATAACTGATTGCATTGTTTGAGGTGATACATCTTTGATCAAAGTGTGTGGTTTTACAGAATGAAGTTGAATTGGTAGTAATGATATCCATTTTATCGTATTGGAATAATCCAGTAGCAATTGCTCTTGAAATAGCTCCATTATTTGAATTTCTTCTTCCTGAGGTCACCCAAGTTTTTTCACTTATATAAAATGGATTGGTAACAAACTGTGATTGTAAAATAATTGAACTACTTGTAGATCCCAAACCTAAAAGTAAAATATTTTATATAAATATTATTAATTTTAAAAAATATTAAAATTTAAAAATATTTACCACAAGTATCTCCAAGATCAGAAAATCCAGAGACAACCCATTTTTGTAATTTTTTGGCGAAATTAAGTTCACAGGCTTTTCCATTGGTTTCCAGCAGTGATTCTAAAGCAATTATCATTTGATCGGATTCATCTGTCCAATCACCTTTTGGCCATCTTGAATTATGTGAAGTTTTCAAAAATCCTGGAAAAGGAATTGGATTGGTACCGTAGGCCTTTAATATTTGTTCTTTATTTAAAAATTCAGTTGCTAAAAAATTAATGGTAAAACAAAAAAAAAAAAAAGTTAAATTTTTTTTTAAATTCAATAGAACAAGGTATATCACAAAATAAAATAAAAAAAGAATTCATACATAAACCAAAAGCATCACCCAATACAGATCCGTAGATAGTACCCAGAATTCTATCGAATAGAGGGTCTTCCATTGTGGACTTATCTAGGCCTACAACTTGATATTTATCTCTGTCCATGGTTGTTGATTTTGATTTTATTTTTTCTTAGTAGTAGTAGTAGTACTTGAATTACTATTGGTAACTTATACTATTTTTAATTTATTTCTAATATTACTTTATTTTTGTATATATAAATCTCTATGATATATAATCAAATAGGAGAATTGGTGTTTGGTTGTGATAAATGATTTTTTTTGTGATTAATAACACAAACTTGAGTAAGACTAAATATGTATTTAATTTTAATTAATTTAAATTCTTTATTTTAATACATCCAAAAAAACAAAATATATTTTTTTTTATTGTATTGAGATGTTTGTCAATCCAGAAAACACAATATAAAAATAACAAATGATAATACTAAAACAAAATTTGTCTGTTGAAATGAGTAACGCTAATTACTGATTAGTTTTTATTGTTGTTGTTGTTGTGTTTGTCAAAAACTACAATTATCCAAAACAATGTGAAAGGACATTAATTAAAAACAACAATACTATCTTCACTGATAGAAAAAAAAAACAAAAAAGTAAAACTTCGCTTTTTAAATAATTCAGTATTAGGAAAACAATTTGATCAGATAAAACAAAGGGGGTGATTTGATTTAAAACAATATCAAAATTCTATTCGATTCCAATATGATATTGGATGAAAAGTAAAAAAAAAAAAAAAAAAACAAACTAACAAACTGCAGTAATTAATAAATCAATCAAATAATTAATATAAAAAATAAATTATGGACTGGTCATCCATTCAATCATCCATTAATTATTATGGATAGATATACGGTATATGAGTATCTATCCATCAAAACCCTACTATTTTCTATTTTGTTTTTGATGATGTGTTTATTGTTTTATTGTTATTGTTGATGTTAATAATTTTTAATAGTAATAAAATGATTGAATGATCTGATAATAATTTTTCTCTATGTTAATTGACTCTTTAGGGATATATCACAGATTTAAATATTTTAATAATTAAAACTATAATTAATTGTTTGATTGGATGGAAAGTTTGAATAGTGAATGGGTGTTAGTTTTTGTTAATAAACTCGATTGATTAGAAAGAAAAGACAAGTGTGAGGATGTATTTGTTGCTGTTGTTTGATTAGTGTGATTTAAATCAATCACACTTGGGTTTTGGTATATTATTGATGAATACATCAAAGAGTTAATTAATTATATTGTGTAAATCAATTATTGATTAAGTGGTGTGTTGAGTATTTTAGAGATTAATTTTTAACTAACTAGGATAGGTAGCTAGTAATTAGGAATCAGTGATAGAGATAACTACTAAATATCAGTGGTGGTGGTGGTGGTTTTAGGTCAGTCTGACTATACTAACACCACTCGCTAAATGTATAGGAACCACAACAAACTAGTTGTTGTTTTTGTCAGTCAGCCATCTATCTATCAGAACATACAAACAAAAAACAACAACTGATATTTAAAGAATGATCTATAATACTATTCAATGGGATACAATTGGTAATGGAGTAAGGGGATGGGAGTGAGAGTGACTAATGGATGGTTTAAGTTGTAATTATCAAGAAAAACAAAAACAATATTAAGATAACTGTCTTTTTCAATCTTCATATCTCTCACTCTATCACTTACTCTCACCTATATTTCTTACTATTCTTTTTTTTTGTTTTGTCAATATTATTATACTAAAATATATAAATTAGAAAAAATCATAAAATAATTGGAATTGAATTAAAGGATAAGGGAGATTTGCAAATAATATTTTTTTTCACCAGTGAGCAGTACTAATTTGATTGTGTGTTTATTGTTTTTTATGATGAGTGTGTGGATAAATGTGTTTAATTAATCTATGTTAATTTCCTTTTTAGAATTTTCAAGTGAGTGTGGTATTCATGAACTGGTAGTTTCATGAAAAAAAAAAAAAAACTCATGATCTACCACCACACGTTCATTCATTTATAGATAATTATTTATAGATTTAACACTCGAAAATATTTTGTATTTTAAAAGATAAAATAAAAGAATCAATTGATATACAATATGTATAGTTCCCTTACTTTTGTTAACTTTTAAGAATTGAAATCAAACTGATTCAAAATGATTAAAATTTTATTTTATTTTATTTGATTAATTAGAAAATTTTTTATTACTTTACAAATTTTAAATTAAATTAATTTCAACTTTCTTTTTATGTTTAAAAATTAAAATTAAAATTAAAATGATTGGTTGTAGTTTATATTATTTAAAAAAATACCAATCGTAATAATTAATTTTTAAATCTCATAGATGAATACCCATTGAAAAAAAAAAGTATTATCTTTAAATTCCCAGTTTTACTGTTTCACTGCTGGGAATTGATATCTCATAGAAATACAAATAATTAACTATTTACTATTTATTATTTTTACTGATTCTACAAATAATATCCTATTATTTTTAATATCCCATTAATTTATCAATAGATCAATCAACGACTGTTGGGTAAATAAATAATTGTAGTTTAAAAAGAATATAGTAAAATTAAAATTTAATAATAATAATAATAATTGAATACAATACAATTATTATTTGTATGAATGAATCAAAGATTACTTTATTAAATATATGTTTATTTAAAGTGCTTGTTTTCTTTCTTGAAGCTTCTCCTTCAATAGACCAATAATACGATCTTTGTCAGATGTACGTAGTTGTTGAATACTTGGCCAGCTAACTTTGGAGTTGACATCTTTGTCGGTTGGTGAGTAAACTCCAGTCTGTTGTTGTGGGGAATTGCTCTGAGTTGGGCTGAATTCATCTTCAGCGTCATCGTCATCATCAGCATCATCACAGATATCAAACATATCGAATTCTCTTGATGGTTTGGTTTCTTGAAGTGGTGCTTGGTAGGCAGACGATAGATTTGATTGTGAGAGATGTGGATAGAGTTGAGACATTGTGAATGGTGCTGGTGGTGGTGTGTACTGTTGACTTGGATACAATTGATAGCTTGGGAACTGTGTTTGCAATGGTAGATTGGTTTGGTATTGAGGTTGCAAAGGTTGGTTGATTGCTGGCAGTGGGTATTGTTGTGGTGGTAATTGTACTGGTATTGGTTGTTGTTGTTGTTGTACTGACTTTGATGGTTGGACGATTGCTGGTAATGGTTTTTGTTGTGGTGGTAATTGTACTGGTTGTTGTTGTTGTTGTTGTTGTGGTTGTTGAGGTAATGGTGATGTTGGTGTTTGATAACGCACTGGTTGATATTGATATTGAGGATTGTGAGGTTGAACTGGTTGATAGTGGTAGTTGGTTGGATATTGTTGATTGTATTGTTGTGGTGGTTGGTAGAGATAAGATGGTTGTGTTGGCATTTGGTAGTTTGGTCTTGGAACATTGGTGCCTGCTCCGAATGCATAGGATGGTGCGGGATAAGCACTGGTATGATAAGCTGCCGATCCAACTCTTTGTGGAGTGGTTGGTTGAAGTTGATAGGAAGGAATGGGTTGTTGTTGTTGTTGAGGTTGTTGTGATTGTTGAGGTTGGACTCTTGGTGCGCTGTATCCTTGTACTTGATAGGTCGTTGGATAAAGTTGAGAAGTCGAGGGATACAACGGTGCAATTGGACGTGGTGGAGCTTGTGGTAATGGTGTTGTTGTTGAAGCGTTGCTCGATGTGGTCGAGGGATAGTAACCACCGAATACACTTGGTTTCTGCAGTCCAGTTGGATATTGCTGTGGATAGGCTTGGTGAGTTGGGTAGTATTGTTGTTGATTTGGGGTGGGAATGGTTGGAAGTGGTTTTGGAAGGAGGTACGACTGTTGTGGCTGTGTTATTGGGATGGTAACTGGTGCAGGTGGAGGAATGATGGCTGGGGGTGGAGGTGGTGGACTTGGAAGTGAAGTGGCAAGAGGAGCGGGTGGTGACTTTGGAGTTGGCGATAGACTGGCGGATACAGTTAGACGTGGTGGAGGTGTTGGTGGCAAATCCATTTCTGCCGACTCCAATGAATCCAATGAATTCGAGGCAAATCTCATCATTTCCATGTCGGGTGGTGGAGCGTGTGTCGATCTGCTCGCTGACTCTGACATACTCATGGAGTTCAATGAATCTGAGAGATTCGAAGCGTTTGACGATGACGAAGAACTGAGTGACGACGATAACTTGGTGATCGATGATCGCTTCGATTGCATGAGTGGCGATGGAATTGGTGAGATATCGGATGGTGATTTCTGAGGGAAGAGCTGTGGAATAACAGAATCCGGTAGAGGAGGTGGTGCTGCACTTCCTCCGGGTGGCTCTTTACGCGAAAGCGTTGGTGACGACGATGGTGACGACGACGATTTCTTCTTTTCTTTCTTGGTGCTGATGCCAACGGCACGCTTGACATCGCTGGTGGACTTTTTGATATCCTTGTTGACATTCTGCAAGAGTCCAGCGATCTGGTGGGAAACACCGACACCTTTAACTGTGGAGTTCTTCTCAATGTTGAGAGTCGGTGCCGATGTATTCTTCTCGGTTTCTTTTTCTTTGGCGAATGCATTGGCATATTGCGATGATGACCACGATCCACTCTTACAAGCGTCTTGTGTTTGTCTGGATCGTATCGAATTGAATTGGGTGATTGGATCACCCAACATCTTGAGTGCATCATTGAATATCTTTTGTTTGCCATCTTCATTCTTGTTCTTCATTTCCTCGACAATCAAAGCTTGCACTGTCAGCGCAAATGTTGGATCGTTGCTAATATCCTCAGTGATACCGGCTTCTTGGAGAATGGCTTGCCACTCGTCGGGAATGCTGGCATTAGTAGAATTGTTGTTGGTACGAGATGACATTTCCATGTGACCGGAGATGTGTTGCGAGATTTGAATGTGGTCGTTGTTGGCTCGCTTCACAGGTATGGACGGTGCGACGAACCACTCCTTGAACTTGGTGAAACCAGTCTTTTTGAGTTGTTCGAGACGCGATCTGATCTTTGGTGTCAAATCAGTATTGATATTGTTGATCTCAAAGATCTGCAACGCCATATTCAAATATTCCGATTCCTTAGCCTTGTCTTTCTTTTTCTTAAAGAGTTTCGAGTAGTTGTATCTCAAGAAACCCTTGAGATACTGATCAGGGAATTTCTCACTGACACGAATACACTCTTGGAACAATCGATCTGCCTCTGCATACTTGGACTTTGTTCCCCAGGAAACATACAGCTGTGCCAAATGATCTTTTGTCAACGCGACATATCTACTGTCCTCTCCAAACTGTTTAATTCTAATTGTAATTGTATCACTAAATAATAATAATTTGTTTTTAAATTAATAAGTTGTCAATCTTTTTTTTTTTTTTTTTGTTTTGATTTATAAACACAACTTACTTGAAATATTTCTCAGCCATTGGATAGTTCTTCTTTTTGGCATAGACCAATGCAATGTTGTCAAGGGCAATGGCAACATCGGAATGGTCGGTACCATATTGCTTAACAAAGATATCTTGTACATTCTTGAAAATCTCTAAACTCTTATCGAGTTCATTGTTTGACAATAGCAAATGTCCAAGATTATTAAGTGTTTTAGCAACACTCATTGAATTTCCACCTTTTTCCAACTATTGTTTGTTTTCAAAAAAATAAATTAGAATGAGCACAAATTAACTTTTTTCTTCTTTCTTTCTTTCTTATTACTAACCTTAATCTTTAACGCTTGATTATAATATGATAATGATTTTTCATATTCACCTTGTGATTGTAATGACCAAGCCAAATTATCATAGGTATCAGCAACCTCTATACTCTCGTTTTGGAAAATCTTCTTTTTAATTGCCAAAACACTAGGAATTATTAATGTTCATTTTGTTAGTTTATAAACTTGATTCACATTGATTCTACAATAAAATTAAAGTAGCTACTTACATTTCCAAATTTTCTGATGCTTCTTTATATTTCTTTTGTTTGATATTACACATTGCCAGTTTCTCTTTGAAGTTGGCAGTTCCAATATCGTCGTTTCCGAATCTCTGAATGTATACTACGATCGCTTCGTTGTAGTGATGTTCTGCGCTCGTCAGTACAGAGTAGGTTTCGTAGAGCTCTGCAAGATGAACGTGTGTGATTGCCACTTGACAATGGTCCTTGCCGAGCTGCTTCGACTTGAACTCCAACTCCTTGAGATAATACATCTCGGCGTCGGTAAAGTTCTCAAAGGTTTTGAACGACGACGACACATCCATGTGCTTGACAGTGACTGCAATCTCACTGATGTCACTCATAAACAGAGTGGTAACCTTCTTGTTCTTAAAGTTCTTCAGTGTCTTCTCGCTGAATACGAAACCGGTCAGTTGAATGATCTTCTTCAACAGCCGGTACTTGAAATTCATCTCTCGCTTCACACCGTAGTAGGTATCGGGGAACGGTGAATTGTTGGCCTGTGGGGGTGGTGCTGCCGTCAAGAAACTCAACAGCCCATTGGACTTGCGAATCATTGTGTCGACCTGCTTCTCGACTTCGGGCAGCGTCGAGAGGGTGTAAGCGTACTTGGCAACCAGTGAATTGGCGATGTAGTACGACCAGTACTGATCGTCCTCTGTCAACAGCATATTGAGATGATTGATTACGATCTCGAGATGTGGTCTGTCGTCCGGTGAATTGATAGATCTCATCTCTGAGAACAGAATGAATCGCATCAGACGTGCCAACATCTCAACGGTGATCAAACCCTGCAGTCTGTAGCGATTGAGATCGTCGATATCAGCAAACTGTGTCAACTGCTGCAGTATCAGTCCTAAATATCGCAAATTCACACCCTTTTTGTGTAGCAACGCTTTTATATCCAACTTTTTCAACTCGCTATGTACGAAATTCTTTAAAAACATTGGAATATATTCTTGTATCAAATAGTTATTCGCTTTCATTGCTTCATCATTTAATGGTTCCTAAGGTAAAATAGTTTGATTAGTTAATATATATATTATTATTATTACTATATTCTCTTTTCCTTTCTTCAACTACTTACTTGATCTACAACATTGAACGCAGCGAAAGCATCTGCACACAACTGTGTTTCATATCTCTTTACAAACTCTGGTCTAAACAATCTATACAAATGACCACCTGTTATACCCAGGATTGGTGTTTCTGGAGGGAATAATCTTGCAGTATCTAAGTAGGTGAGAAGTGAATAACAATAACATGATGTTAGTTTGCGATCTTTTGATCAACTTTGATGATGATGAAGAAGAAAGTGCTACTTACCAACAACATAATATCTACCATCATGACCAAAATGACCTTCAATATCGATTGCCAGTGGAATTGTAAACTTTGCGCTGTTGATTTTACCACGTTCCTCTACGAGATGTGTCTTGAGGTTGAGAATCTCACCGATCTTCACCATCATCTTAAAGACGGTGTCGTTCTCCTTGATGGTTTCACCGGCGTTCGAGCTACCAAAGACCAGTGTGTTGGAGTTGATCGGCAGCTCCGAGATTACAATGAGACGGAATCCACGATAGTTGAGCAGACACATCAGTGGGAAGTGCAGGTTGGGCACACCGCACGACACCAATGCGTTGATGCTCTTCAACTCGTGGCCAGCTGCCTTATTGGCAAAGTAACTGACCGGGTTGTTTCGCTCGTAGATCTGATGCGGATTCAACGCGAACTTGATAAACATATTGTCGATACGAAACTTCTCGCCACCGGCAAATCCACCGGCTTCAAACGGCTTGATCGACTTTAACTCGGGCGCGATATGCACCTCCTGCACCAACGCCTTGACATACTTCTTGGCGGTGTTTGCCAAGATCTGAGAGAAGTGAGAGATGTTTAGATTTCTCACTCGTTCCTCTTCGTGCGAGTTGACAGGCCGGTCCAGCAACTCTTGGAAACTCTCGTTCCACGGCAGCGTTGATTTAGTGGTGATTCCCTGATCGTGTATTTGACTTGTAAGTTTCTGTAGCTCAGGATTATTCTGAAGATTGTTCTGTTGTTGCTGTGCTGTTGCTGATGGAGTGGTCGCCAGATAAGACTGAACGGCAGCAGCCTGATCTGCACCACTCTGATTCTTCCTGCTGTCTCTAAACGTCAGATCATAAGGTGATCCACCATACACCGACGAACCATTCGTATTCGACCCACTACTCGTCGATAGACCGCTAGTCAGATTACTACCGCTACTCGTCATACCGCTACTCGTCATACCGCTACTCGTCATACCGCCACTGCCATTCTGTTGCGGTGGAGTAGGAACATCACTAAATGTATCTATATATCCACTTACAGATGTAGTATTATTACTATTATTATTATTATTATTATTATTACTAACAAATTGACTACTAGAGAGTGCAGCTGCACTACTTGGTATAGAATATATTGATGCTATAATAGTGATAATGAACAACAAGTTAGAATTGTTAATCATTACTAATTTTTCAGTGATATATATATATACTATACTTACCAGTGTTTGTACTACCTCCATCTCGCCAGAATGAATCTTTTACGTAGGAATCGGCTGTTAGTGTGTTGGATGTGTAGAGTGATGAGATTTTGGTGTTGGAAGATGCACCGTATACGCTGCTGTAGATGGATCCATTGGTGTTGGTGTTTTCCTGTACGCTTCCACCGTAGACAGAGACATAGCTGCCAGGCACCTCAGAGGTGGATGTCGCTGTCATGTCGACACTGGTTGCCAAGTACGAACCGGTGTTGGTATTATCGCCATCGAATGTACTGACTCCCGAGAAGATAGAGAATGAAGAGGTCAGCGAATCTCTAATCGATTTCGATGAACTTGAATCTACACATTGTCTTTTAAGGTAATACCAAATATTCTCTTGTGGTTTATCTTGAAACATTTACTACTACTACCCAACTTATACTTTATTATTACTATACTATTATAAATATTTATTATTTTTACAAAAAAATTAATCTCAAAAAAACAAAAAAAAACAAAAAACAAAAACAAAACAAAACTTTATATGTACTATGTATGTATTATGTATATATATGATTATTGATATTGATATTAAAACTAAATAAAACAAAAACAAAACAAAACAAAACAAAAAAGTACAAATTTAATATTACAAAATATATATATACTTTGAATTTACAAGTCAAACACAATAATAATCTATCTATATAAAGGTTGATATTATATTTTATTATTATATTATAATTATTATTTTTATTGTATGATTTTTTTTTAATTCATTGACAATTCATGAAGATGATTAGGATGTTATATAGGATGTTAGATTGTTTTTATTTATATTTATAATATTGATATTTATATTATTGAGATGAAAAAAGAGAAAGAAAAAACACAATAATGGTCAATAGTGTTGGTGTGTTTTGTGTGTTGTTATCAAAGCTTAAGGTTAAAATTTGAGTTCTATGGTTTGTTGTTGTTATTTTGACTCTCTGGATGATGCTTTTTTAAAAAAAATAAAATAAAATAATAATTAAAATAAGATATTGTATTTATATGATATAAAAAAATACTATTAACTCTATTAAAAATACTCATTTACTTGTCAACAACATGAAAAAATGGTTTGGCAGTTCAAAAAAATAAAGAAAAACAAAAAAAAAAACCTATCATGCAATCATAGTGCTACAATCATTTTTGATGAGAAAAAAACTACCCTACCTATTTTAAAAGTGGTTTGTTTTTCACATAATTTTTTTTTATGAAAAACTTGAGATCGCAAGGAAGGGTTGTGTTTTTTTTTTTTGATTAAATAGTTATACAAGTGTTTTATTCACTACTGACATTTTTTGGACCTCCAAAAAAAACAAAAAAAACTAATCTGAAAAAAAAAAAAAAAACAAAAAAAATGTTACAAATTTAGAAAAAAAAAAAAGATATTTAGACTTTTTGGTTGGTTGCTTGCTTTTAAAAAAAATTGCACAAATAATATTATCAAATAATATTACTGTTGTTTTTTTGTGACGATTTTATTATATTATATTACTATGCTTATATCAACATCACGTTTGGTATTATATTATGATTATGATTATGATTGATTAATTATATAGTATTTTGAGTGTTGGTTGAAACTGAGAGTTGTATCAATGTATTGATTATTTTCAAGAGATTTCTCAAACCAAATAAATATCCTTCATCCAAATCACTGTTATTGTTATTATTATTATTATTATTATTACTGTTATTATTTTCAGTTTCTTCATTGTTATTACTGTTGTTGTTGTTGCTGTGTGAATGTTTAGCGTTGGGACTGGCATGTGCAAAATCTACCATTTTTATATTTAATTTCGAAGACTGCATGTTGTTACTCTGACCATCGTAGATGAAAAGTAGTGATCCACCATAAAACTTATAGCATTGTTGTTGCTCAAAGAGTGACACCAATTGATTCAATCGCTTTGCAATGGCTGTCAGTAGCTCAGTTCGCAATCTAATACCATTGTCCAAGAATTTACAAATAACCATTGGAATATCACTGGGTTGCAATTTTCTTCCATAGTATTTATCAAATGTTTGATATTGTGATGTTCTCTGATCGAATATCTATAAATTATAATTACAATATATTAGTAAATCCATTCCTATTTGGAAAAAAAAAACTGTAGTCAAGTGACGAAAAACTTACTTTTAAACCACAGACTCTAAATCCAAGTGATGCTGAGGTTGTTGCTTTACACTTTGACTCCATATTATACATTTTTTCAGGGGGTGCATCGTTTCCATGTTGTCTTACACCCATCTTCAAATCTAAAATACATGGATATTTACATAAATAGGTCAAGTCTTCTAATTTTATATACACTATATATTGTTAATGATAATATTATAATTAGTTTAAAGATGTTCACATAATTGATTGATTTTGTTGGTTGTGTTAACTTGATTACTTACAATTTTGATTTTCTTTTGGTAACTTTACAATTTTATTTCTCCAATGATTGTAATCAAAGATTGAAGATGATTGTTGATTGGATTTGCACGATCTCTCGAGGTAGTCATGATCCAAACATTTCAAATCGATGGTACCATAAAACTTGGGAGTGAAATCTAAAAACTCTGCGTGAGATTCCAGTGATTTGTAGAATTGATACTCGGTAGAGACCAGCGGCTTCAAAATCTTGCCGTCCGGCAGCTTAAACAGAGGTGCCTGTCCAGCGACCTGATGCGACAATAAGTTCAAATCCGGTATTGACATAGATATACTTCGCTTTCTCTGTGATTGAATCGATGATGGTGTTGTCGATTGTTGTTGTTCTGCAACTGCCGATGAATCCAATGCCGGAGATGTTGATAAATTATCATAACCATTACTACTATTGTTAATCAATTCTTTGTTGTTGTTATTAAAACTACTAGTTGTTGTTTGTTGTTGTTGTTGATCTTCAAAAATACTACTTAATGTTTGATAGGGATTTGGTGGTGTTGATGTTGGTGTTGGTGTGGTTGACAGTGAAATTGGGTGGAAAGGTGAGCTTGACAGTGGAGATACCGGCGATTGTGGTGTGGCCGTACTACTGTTGTTGGGTTGTGCGAAAATAGAGAGTAGTGTAGGTGATGAATTGAGCGATCGATTGAATTCAATCGACTTTTTGCTAAAGTTTGTATTGCATATGTGATATTCTTTATTTACATCGAGCAGTCTATTGGCAGTCGATGGAATCTCTATTGGTAATGTTGATGATGATGTATTTAAACTATTATTATTATTACTACTACTATCACTACTACTATTAATACTATTACTACTACTTATAGCACTACTATTATTCAATCTATGACTACTTATACCACCACTACTACTAAAATTATTATTATTATTATTATTATTATGACTTCCACTACTAATTCCAATATTAAATACACAACTACTGTTTGGCGTGGTTGTCGTCACATGACTACTACTACTACTACTACTATTACTATGAGTATCTATGTGATGATGGTGGTGATGGTGAAGGTGATTCGCAGTGTTGCCAAGCTCGTAAAGGCTTGTTATTGCAGGTATCATAGCTATATCTAACTCCAGTTTTGTTTTTTTTTAATTTAAAAATGACTAATTATAATCTAATTATTAATAGTATGGTATGTATAATGAATTTCTTAAAGAGTTAGTTGTTGATATGATATGATATATATTATGAATAGATATAGATATAGATTTTATATATATAAGTTTAAATAGATTTATGAGAAATTTAAAATATGTATATAAATAAGTTTGTTCTTTTGCGTTTTTTTTTGTTTGTTTTATTTAATAATAAATCTGATACTAGTATTGTTGTTGTTGTTGATGGCTGTCGTGTTGTTTTTGCCAGTTAGAAAAAAACCTGTAAATTAAATAAAAAAATGTAAAAAAAATCTAGTTAATTTATGCTTTTCTGTGTGTTTATCAGAAAAATAAAAAATCGATTAATTCGGATATGAATGACAGTATGGTTGGTGCAAATTTTAAAAAAACAAATTTTGGCACTGTTAATAATAGAACTGAAAAAAAGAAAAACAACTGAAAATACCAGCACTGGTATTTATAATTAGTGGTATTTCCGGTTTGTAAAGAAAAAAAATAAAATAAAAAATAAAAAAGTAGATTATTCTTATTTTTGAAAAATAATTTTTATTTTATTATTTTTTCTTAATTTCTTAAAAAAAGGAAAAACAATAAAAAAAACAAATAAAAATTAATTAATTTGAGTAAATTTACTTTATATGTATATAAACAATTTGTTTTTGAAATTGAAAAAGAACAAAACAGTAAACAAAAAGAATAAAGTGAAGATCTTAGCAGAGAGTAAATTTAAGTTGCAATGAGAGTTTGTTTGTTTAATTTGAAAAATATTAAAAAAATGAAATTGAATTGAACGTGTTAAAAAAATGTACATTGTGATTAAAAATTAATGTGGGGGTGTTTGTGTTTTATTTTAATTATCAACACACATATTAATTAAAAACAACAAGAAGAGTAATGAAAAAATGGGGTGTATTAAATTAATATAATAGGTAATGGGAGATGGGTGGTGACTGAGTGTTTGTTTTGTTAGTTTTTGTGAACTGAACAGGTGTGCGGAGATATATAATTAACACACACACACACACACACAGACATTAACCAAAGCAAGAAGTTGAGTGTTGAGTGTTTGTTCACATTAAATTTTATTTATTACTGATATCAATCGATGTTGTGTTTGTATATATGTATGTATGCTTATTCATTTATATCATACTATTCACTTCATATCATATTTTTAATAATATATAAACGAGAAATACAACAACAACAACAACAAATTGACCATGACAATGTCAATGAAAGAAAGATGAAATGAATGACAAATACCAAAATTATTATAATTAATGTAATTTCTTAATAAAAGATAATTTGATTATTTTTATTCTTCTTGTTAGTAGTTATTATTTAATATTATCTTTCTTTATTATTGGTCAATTTCTGATTTAGATTTATTAATACAGTTTTCTTTTTGTTATACTCTATTGGATTATTTTAATAATTATGTTTATTTTATTCTTTGATTATTATTAATGTTGTTATTGTTATTACTAATATTGTTTGTTGTTGTTATTGTTCAGTTGTTGTTCTCAAACTATTATTAGATAGTTAATTTTGAGATGTAAAAGAGGAATGAATGAATGGAAGGAAAATAAAATATAAAAATAGCTATATTATTTATTAATTACTCCAATAGTTATTTTTATATTGTTGTTGTTTTAATTCTTTTGTTTGTTGGTTTAATTACAAGCAATGATTATTTGTTTCGTTAGATGATCCACAATACATACAGGTTAGTGAACCAAATTCTTGATGATGATGGTGATGATGTTTGTGATGATTAATTTAGTGGGTTATTTATTGGACAAATTTGATTTATTTTTGTTTTGTTTTGTTTTGTTTTTTGAAGTATAATTAATTAATGCGAAAGAATTGCAATATAGAGTAAGAAAAAGAATATATATTTTTCTCGAAAATATGAATCAAAAATAGTAAAACAACAACAAATTATCATTACTTATTATTATTATTATCTATTTTTTTCTTTTTGTTTTCTTTTGAAATATATATATATATATATATATTTAATTATTTATTCATTCTCACACTCTTATTAATCACTAATTTCACAAGACACACACTATTACATCGTATTACTTGAGTCACACATATAATATAATCATGCATCCACAACTATAAAAAAAAATATGAATCAAAAATAGTGTGAGTGTGTGATTGTGTGAGATAGGAGCAGTGCTGTGTCCTTAATTAATTTATACAAGCATATATAAACAATAAGGAAAGATGTGGATAGAGTAGCGTGAAGAGGTATCGTTTGGAATGAAGATAATTAAGAAGGTGAGGTGTGACATACAGACAGACATAAAATCACCTTTGAAAAACACATATTTTAGATGATACAACAATGATATATTATTTATAATTATTATGATCGTATTCTTTTATTTTCTTTTCTTTACAATAAATTCAATTCAATTTCATCACTACCCCCTTTAGCATCTCGTTGATAATTTTAAACATAATTAAATAAGTTAAAAAGTGATTGTGTGTGTGTGTGTTTTATTTTTTGAAATTGAATCACAAATGTGCTTTGATTTGATCATTTACTATTTGTGTATAATTTATTATATTAGAGGTGATTATATTATATATTATATATAAATATATATATATGGGATTGTGTTTTGAAATAGCGATGTGATTGTGATTGTTTTTGTTATGATTGGGTTTGATTCACTCTATTTTGTTTTAAAAAACAGTTAGTACTTACACTAAATAAATAAATGATAAAAATAATAATAATAAAATAAAAAGAAGAAATAAACAATAAAAATGATAAGAAATTTCCAATTAGAAGATTTTATTAAGATGAGGAAGAAAAAAAAATATTCAAAAAGTGCAATTGTTTTATTTATTAATCAATCAACGGATAATTTTATCAAAATTAATTTTAATATTAAATTTTATGATGAAATGGGGTGGTATTTCTGATTGCTTGGGTTTTTTTTGCATTGATTTTTTTTCATTGAATTTAGTGAGTTGTTGACTGGTCGATAATTTAAAGATTTGATTTGTTTGTTTTTTTTAAATGTATTATTTTTTTCTTTTATCTTTTTGAAATTTCATTTCGTTTATAATCATAATATAATCTTACCCCTTTTGTCTTTAATAAGATTTTGTAACCTAATTAATCTAAAAAAATTAAAATATTTTTCAAATCCTATTAAATTATTGAAAATATATAAAAAGAAAGATCATAATAATTGTTAAGTTTAATTGTTGAATGACATATATTTAGTTCAAAGGTAAATGAAAAGAAAAGAAAGGAAATGAAAATAAATTTAATGAAATAAATCATACTTCTTCTTCTTCTCCTTCTTTTTCAATTGTGAAACAAAATTGTTTTTTAATTTAAAAATGAGATATAATTGTATTTATAATTGTTTATTTACATAAGTAAAAAAAAAAGAGATAGTTGCGACTTTGATATGTCATGATTGTTACCAACATAATAAAACTAACACTTTAAATCAATTTGCAAACAACAAACAAACAAACAAACAATATCAATATTATTTTAATCAATTAAATCAATTACCCATCAAATTTACTTTCAATCAATTGGCAAACATATCAATTAATTAATTGTGGTAAATTTGGATTATTGTATGTAGTAATATCATAAATAGTATAGGTTTTTTTTATTTTTATTTAATCGTGACTCATAAAATGATCCATCATTGCTCCAAACAATGCAAAACCTACACATCCACCGGCTGCTGCTTTTGGTCCAGCTATTTATTATTATTTAATATTAGTAAATAAAAATCATTAAATTTAAAAATTGAATTTTGTTGATTGTTGTTATTGTTATTGTGTGGTTTGTGTGTTTTTGTTTATGTTTTGTATGTCATTAAATATGTTCTACTGATGTTGTTGTGATTGATAATGATACTTAATATTTGCGATGTAAATTAACAAAACAATAACTCCTTTTAATACAATGTACTGCAAATTGAATGAATGAATGACTATTCAATTATTATCTATTAAATAATTATGTAGATTGAATTTAGAGATAGATTGCAACCAAAAAAAAACAACAACAATAATAACAACAGTAACACAATAACAATAATAATATGAATTTACATTCTCCGTTATTGTTATCGTTATGATATTTTATATTATATTATATTATAATTGTCATTCTTATTTGATTTGTTATGTTTTGATTTGATTTGATTTGATTTGATTTGATTTGATTTGATTTGATTTACCTTTACTTGCTAATACACCACCGGTAACACAACCAGCGTAAAGTGAGTTCTTTTTATCTGATCTTCCTCTTGCCTTCTCTATGACACACTCTACACCACTGTATATCAGAGTGATGTAAGCGAACGATTTGGCACTACGCCAACCGTTTCTACCTTGATCTTTGAATCCCTCTGCAACCTGCTTCCAAATGGGTGTGCCAGCGGCCGTTGCCTGTCCTGCACCGCTTCCTATGATGTCCGGGTTGGCCAGACCCATTCCACCCATACTGTTCGCAGAGAACAGCGCACCAAACATGAAACCTAGAGCACCACCCATAACACCACCACGCACTGCATGTGTAATACACGAATTCATCAGGGCAGCACCCATCGTATCGTGTGGTGGTATATTCTTTATAAACGAAACCGACAGTCCGACATCCAACTTAGGATCTATAATCAACTTTTTCTTATATTCATTCACTTGTTCTTGAAGTTCCTCTATTGATACATTTGGATCTATATTCATCTTTATATTGTTTGATTATTTATTTCTCTTTATATATGTTTAATAGCTAATATTTTAATTAACTATTTTTGACAAACACTATCAGCATTCAAAGTCAGACCTCTCATAATCAAGTAAAAATTACGATTCGTTTTTTTTTTGTTTTTTTTTGTTTTTCAAATTGGTAAATTAACCGATTGTGTAATCATTACAACTTTGGTCGATGAAATGTGTTCACTCTTATTCAATTAAATTTAGAATTTTATTTATTTTTTATTATATTAAAATAATAATTTTTTATATTATAACATATGTTCATACATTTAATATTAATGAAAAAAAAATAATTTCTTCTCTAGATTTTATTTGCAAAAAAATGTATTTGTTTGTTTTTAATAATGAAAATTATTTTGTGTATATATAAATCAATCAAAGATATTTATTTCTAAAAATAAAATAGAGATCATTGTTGTTTTGTTGTTGGGAAATCAGCCGAGTGATGTTTAAAAATAAAACAACAAATTTCTCATTTTTTTTTGATTTTTTAATTTTTTAATATGTTGTTCGGTTTTTTTATCTTTTGCAAAAATTAACAATTAGTTTGTTTTTGTTTTTTTTTTTCATCCTCATTTATATTTATTTTTGGTTTGGTTGAGAATCAATAACAACACCCTACGCACTACCTTACACCCAATAACACAGATCTAACCTTTAAGTTGTTTTACTATAGTAATCAAAACAATAATATCAACACGCTTTTGATTTTATTTTTTGTTTTTGGTTTTAAGAGAGTTTGTGTGGGTATAACAATAATAGAATAGAAATTCATTCTTTCATTATCCAAACATTTTCATAATCGTTCAATCACTCAAAACACTCAAATCAATCAATCAATCAATCAAATAAAGTCAGAGTGAATAAATATTTAAAAATAATCAATAACTAATAAAGTAAGTTAAATTTATGAATGGTGGTGGTGTTAATACTTAATTAATATCAATCCGACTAAACCAAAACAAATCATAACCAAATCAAAATAAACTAACATTGTACTTTTATCATTTATAGTTTTTGATTATTACCATTTTCGTTTCGTTTAGTTTAGTTTATTTTCTTTCAAAAATAATATAGTTTTAGAGTTTTTTCATCTTATATAAGAATTAAAAGTAAAAAATGGTTTGGGGAACAGTCAATAGAGACGAACAAATAAAATCACAGATCAATGGATTGATTAAACAATTGGAGCAAAATACAATTGAATCTATGTTCTTGTTACAATCATTTCTACCAATATCACCAGAGTCTGCCATATCAATTGGAGATGCCCTATTAAAGAATAAATCATTGGAAGAACTTTATCTTAGTGGACATGATCTTGGATTAGGTAATGATAATTAATTATAGTTATAATTTAAAATTAATTTTCAATCCATTATCTAATAATTTTAATTATTTAATGAATTCCAGATGGATCGAAATCAATTGGTAATGCATTGGCTCAACATACAGGTTTGAAAAGGGTGTCGGTTGGACACGCTGAAATTGGAAAGGACCATGTCCAGCTTTCACAGTTGTTGGGTGGACTGCTGTCGTCCAAGTCCATCGACCATATAGATCTCTCGAAGCGTTCCATCGATGCTTCAAGTTTGGAAGTGATGTACCAGTGTCTAGCCGCCACTGGCGTTGGCAGTCTTAACAGTCTCGATCTCTGTCAGAACGACATTGACGACGCCGCACTCCCAATTCTTGCTAAAATCTTGATTAAATCGACTGGTGTTCGTGTCTTGAATTTGGCATACAACACCTTCACACCCTCGGGATTCGCCGCTTTCATCGATACTCTGATCAGCTACCAGGTACGCCTGGAAAAACTGCAATTCACTGGCAATAATATTGGCGACGACGGTGCTGTGCAGCTGGCGCGAATGATCGCTCAGAATCACGGACTTAACAATATCGAGGTGAACGACTGCCAGATTGGCGAAGTGGGTGCGCGCGCGCTCGGATCGGCGCTGGTCGTCTGGAACGGTGACCACTTTGCCGCCTCGGACAATCCACGCTTCTCCAAAGCTTTTTCAGAGGGATTTATGTTGGCGGATTTCATCGGTGAGCACGAACACGCCAATCCCGACGGTGCTGCCCTCGCCACCGCCAATAATGGCTCACAACTTCGTAGTTTGGTGCTGCGAGGATGTCACATCGGTGACGAAGGAATCAGTCTCATTGTAGAGGCAATTATGAGTGGACGTCTGCCCAGTTTGAATCTGCTCGATGTCGCTGTCAACTCGCTGACGATCCGCTCGCTTGAGATGCTCGCCGGCATCTTGACCGTGGCGAACGGCGCCAAGCTAAAGATACTGGACGTCAGCTGCAACGAGCTCGGCTCAGAGGCAGTCGAAATCATTGCCAACTGCTTGCAATCCGGCAAGCTGACAACCCTGACATGTCTGTCGATCAACAACATCAACATCGGTCTGACACAACTCAAACAACTCTGTAAATATCTCATTCAATTCCCAAACTCATCGCTTCACGTCATTGAAACCATGGGTAACAACGGCGATGACAAAGACAAAGAAAAAGAACAACAAAACAACAAAAATAACAACAACAACAACAACAATAATACACCAGATCAACATGAAGATGAGGAAGAGGAAGAAGGACAAGCAATAGTCGACGATGAATTCTTAGATTTATTGGATCAACTTTATGAAGATACAGAGATTGATCTTAAATGGAAATAAATAATACAATAAAATTATTATTAGCTAAATTTTAAATATTCAAAATTATATATAATATAATTATAAATGTACACTAATAATATCCAAATTTTAATTATTTTAATTTATTTATTTTTTAGTTTTCTTTGCAAAACTTGGACGTTTTTTTTTTTATTTTTACTTTTTCAATAATCATTACACACTTTTTTTTTCATTTCAAAATTGCAATTTATTTATTATTTTTATTTAATTGTTATTATTATTTATTTTTATATAGATATATTGTATTTGTGTTCTATTTATATTATTTTTGCTAATCTATATATTTCTTTTTGAATTTATTTTATTTTAGTTACTATTGATTATATTATTATAGATGACAGAAAGTAATATAGATGATGTCGATGCTTTACTAGAAGCATCTTTCAATTCAAAGGTATGTATATTTAACTTTCTATTGATACTGTATCACACAAGAATCGATCAATAAAACATGTATTAATATTAAATTGTTTTTATATTTATATTTATTTTGTTTTTTTTTTTTGTAGAAAGATGATAATGGAACTGGTTCAAATGGTACATCGAATGCTTCAGATAAAGAAATAAAGAAATCTTCATCCGAGAGAGATTCAAAGGAGAAAGAATCACGTGATAAAGATAGAGATAGAGATCGCGATAGAGACAGGGACAGAGATAGAGACCGCGATAGAGATAGAGATCGCGACAGAGACAGAGACTACAGAGATCGTGATCGCGATAGAAGAGACAGAGACCGTGATTATAGAGATCGTGATCGTGATCGCGATCGTGACAGAGACAGAGACTACAGGGATCGTGATCGTGATCGTGACTATAGAGATCGTGATAGAGATCGCGATAGAGACAGAGACAGAGACTACAGAGATCGCGATCGTGATCGTGATAGATATAGAGACCGTGATAGAGACTACGATCGCTACGGCAATAGAAGTTCCTACGAGAGAGACCGAAGAAGTAGCAGTGGAAAATACGAAAAAGAAAGTCGATATCCTGAGAAACCCTACGATAAACCAATTTCTCGACGATCGCCAGAGAAACCGGCAGCAGCCGAACCCGTACTCCCGGAGATCTCACCGGAGGAACAAGAGGAATCCGACTCGAGAACAGTGTTTGTATCAAAACTATCACCTAAAATTACTGAAAATGACCTTTACGAATTCTTTGCACAAGCAGGAAAAGTACTCAAAGTTAGTTTGGTAATCGATAAAATAACTAAAAGATTAAAAGGGTAACTATATAACAATAAAACCAACCTATATATATCATTACTAACAATCAATCCATCTATTTATCTATCTATCTATCAATCAAAGAGTTGGGTATGTAGAGTTTTCAGAAAGAGAGATGGTCGAAAAAGCAGTTCTACTTACAGGTCAAAAAGTACTCAATCAATCGATATTAGTACATGGTATTCATTCTGAAAAGAAAGCAACTCCTGTGTAAGTATAAATATAGATACTTTTTTTTTGTCTTTAGAACTATCAATGACTAACTTGCGAATTCCTATTCATAATATGTTTATGTAGTACAAAAATACCAGTACATACAAATAATAGTAGATTATATGTAGGATATTTAAATCTCTCGATTACAGAGGATCAAATCAGAACGATATTCTCACAGCACGGTGATTTGGAATTTGTAAAGTTGCATGTTAAGCCTGGTCTATATAAGTATGCGTTCGTCCAGTTCAAAGCGTCAGAGTCTGCACAAAAGGCACTCGATGCACTCAACGGTGTTGAGGTGATGGGTAAGAACTTAAAGGTTGTCTTTGTCAATGAGAACGGTACCAACAAAGATCTCAGTCAATCAAACATGAACAACCCCAACAACATCCACAACAACAACAATCATCATCATCAAAGAAACATGCATTTCCAACAAAACAACCAAAACAATCTAAACAACCAGAACAATCAAAACAACATTGCCAGAGTAATGCAACAAGTATATCATCAACCAATGGGTTCATTAGATGAAGAAGGTAAGAGAAAAACTAACAACAACAGACATTCATTCTCACAATCAAAAACCAACTTACTAACTAAACTATTCGTTCATTACTACTACTACTACTACTACTATTAATAGATGGAAGTATTCCTTTGACACCTCAAGCACAATCGATTTTGTCGGCCAAGCTAATGGGTATACCAATTGCAAGCAATGGAGCACACAATGTAGCCGCTGCCAATGTTCTGGCAAATACAGTTTACAATCAGATTCCACCGGCACCGCCTGTAACCATCACCAGTACCTGTATTGTGTTGAAGAATATGTTTGATCCAGACACTGAAACCGGTGACGACTGGGACAAGGAGATCGAGCGAGACGTCGAGTTGGAGTGTTCTACTTACGGTAATGTTAAACATATATTTTTAGATAAGAACAGCCAAGGCTATATTTATCTTTGTTACGATTCAATTGAAGGTGCCTCGACTGCCATCAACAAGCTAAACAGACGTTGGTTCGCCGGAAAGATGCTATCAGCCGAATCCATTCCCGAGAACATCTATTTCGCAAAGTTCCCAGTTGCCAAAGCTCAATAGTAGTAATAACGCCGCCCAGTAGATAACAACTATCTACACTCTCTAAATATATATATCGTAACCAATTTATTCAAAACCAACCAATAGCAAAACAACCAACCAAAACAACAACAACAACGACAACGACACAATAACTATTATTTTTAAAACAACAACCAACAATAACAACAAACGAACAAACAATCTTCCTCCCATTTAGATTAACTATTTGTTATATTATTATTACTTTTTCATTAATCCAATACTTCCAATCAATTAATTATTAGATTTAAACACTTTACTTTACTATTCAAAAAAAAACTAAACAAAACAAAAACAAACCAACCAACTATTACTGGAAATGGAGTGCTCTTTACCGTTAACGAAATAGCATACATACCTGATATTCAATGGATTGGGTTTAAACCGCAAGATTCTCTTTACTCTCTCTACTCTTATCTCTATCTTCTATCTATTACTTTCTACCTATCCACTCTTGTACTCGCTTTCTCTGGTTTTAACGCTCTTTTTTTTCTTTATATATCAAAAAGCTCTAGGTAATCAATTACCATATCATCATTATTATTTAGGTGTTGTTAAATATTCCCAAATACTCTATTATCTACCCTCTTAACCAAAAAATCAACAACAAAACAAAAGTATACTTTTTTTTTCTTATTTTGAATAAAATTTTAATATCTATGACCATTAACTTTAATTATAATCATTAGAATGACTGAGCAGTCATCAAACTTTATTTTAGATCTCTAAACTCATTTGAATCAAAAATCTGAACTTGGAAGTATGATTACTATCATCATAACGAGTATTATTAACACTCTCCTCTTTTTTTTTTTTTTTTGTATTACTCATAGTTAAGTTAAGTTTACTCTTAAATATAAATACTACTATTAAGTATATTCAAAAAAATAAAGTTTTATTATTTTCTATTGTTAAATATTTACAAATACACAAGTTATATCTAATATTATGATTCTAACATATATTATAATATCTAATCTATGCTTTAAAGATATGATATCGTCTGACAATATTAATCGATTTCGATTGGTATCATTCGAAAGAGTAATGTCTTAAAAAAAACGATAACAATCGATACTATTTAGAATGCTATTGATAACACCAAAAGAAAGAGTGCAATTGCCAACAGTTGCTTTGCAAACAATGTGTTATTCTTGTGATAGTTTCTAGTTTGTTGGAATCCTAAGTCATCTTCCTATTATATTAATGTTTCTTTCTAATTAGTATTGATTCAAAGTGGTACCAATCGTACTAATTATTACATACAATATATGTTGGTTTAGATACTGATGAAGAGTTCCATTTATTCTGATAGATATAATGTGAAATCCAACTGTTGTCTTTCATCTTTGTTTTAATCAAAATTGATCAAAATCGAACTACAACTTCAAAAAAAACATATAACAAAAAATATGATCGCAATTTTAATTGATCAAGATTTACAAAAAACAAAACAAAAAAAGTTTTATTAAAAATTGGTATTATTATTTATTTATTTATATAAAACAATGTAACCTCTTTTGTTGAATGTCTTTTACTCGGATGGTCTGTTCGGATTGCATCATCATCATCATCATAGACTAAACTAGAAAATATAAATATATTTTATTCTTGTACCGATTTTTGCACACATAATTTTTTGTTTCGAAATCAAATAATTCCTTTTTTATTTTTTCGAGTGGAACTATGTTCATGATGAACTTTTTTGGGGTTAGAACCCAGCTGATGAACACTCTAAAAAGATTCCATTTTGAAATCTGCAAAGTTTAAAAGTGATTTTTATTAATTTTGTTTTTTCTATAAATAAACCATTTTCATTTCCAAGAAATCAATATATCGATAGTATTAGTAATTACACAAATAAATACAATATCTTTATTTATTTTATCTTTATTAATTAAACAATAATATATAATATTAGTAAAATGGAATCTATTATTCAAACAATAGTAAACAATAAAGTACAAGTATTGACTTCCACAATTGTAGTACTTGCTGGTGCCAAACTTTTAAGTTCATTCTTCAAAAAAGAACCTGTAAATGTCCTTTTATTCGATCATTATAATTTAAACTAATTTATTTTTTTGAAAAAAACAAAGGTTTACGAAAGAGATATTGTCTATATTTATGACTTCCCACAGTCATCGATGCCAGTGATTCATTCTTCACCTTTCGTATTGAAAGTAATCACTTTCATGAGATATGCTAATATTCCATACAAAGTAATCAGTATGTTAATGATCATTTTTATTCAAATTCATTTGTAAATATATTAACATTTGACCTCTGACAGATTCAATGGAGAATGGACCAAGAGCTAAGAAACCATTCATCAGATACAATGGAGAGTTGGTTTCAGATTCACAGAATATCATTGAATTCCTCACAGAGAAGTTCAATGTTACATCGTTGAAGCTGAAGGATGAGCAACAAGAAGCAGAGGCACATTTATTGAGACGTTACATAGACGATGCTTTCTATTGGAGCTTGGTTTACTCTCGTTGGTGTGATCCAGTGTTCTCACCGGTTGCCGTTAGAGGTATGTTGGCCGGTGTACCACCGATGTTGTTCGGTATCATTTCGAGAATTGCCAAGTCAGCCGTCGGCAAACAGTTGTACAATGCCGGAATTGGACGTTGCCCACGCGAGGAAATCTACAGTGTCGCCGTCAAGGATGTCAATAGCATTGCCAAACGTCTTGGTGACAGCCAGTTCCTCTTCAACGACAAACTCTCGGTTGTGGACATCTCTTTATTCTCAATGTTGGTGCAACTCTACTATGCAATCGAACCGACACCAATCTCCAAAGCAATCAAATCCAACAAGAACTTGGTTGACTATATCGAAAGAATTCAAAACATTTTCAAGCCATGCGATTTCGTATGCTCGAGCAGATCTGCTTAAATAAAGTACCTATTTATTTTGATAATGAATGAATGAATCATCATTGTTTTTTTTAATTGTTAAACATATATTTGATATAAATATATAATTTTTTTTCTTTCCGCTTCCTCCAAGAGGAAATAACTAGTGTTTTATGATTTGGAATTGACGTCGACCGATGGTGGAAGATAAAGTCCAATGATAGCCAATATTAAATAGGTAAAACTCAATATGGCAAACAGGAGGAATGGAATCGAGTTGGTGACGGACAATGTGAAGATTGCACCGGATATTGCCGGTCCAAATGAACGGAGCAGTGAGTTCAACGATTGTGAAGTACCCTGAGTCAGTCCCTGGAGTTCAGGCTTGGCGGCATTTGCGACCATTCCACCGACGATCGGCAAACACTGCATGAAGCCAATAGAGGTGAGCGGCACAATAATGCAGATAAGTACCCAAACCATTGCTTTACCTTGCATCAAATATCCAGTGTAAGTGAGTGGGAATACCATCATACCGATACAGAGTAGAACCGTTCCAAGTAGATATTGTTTCTTCAGTCCGATACTCTTGGAAAGTCGCTTAAAGAATGTTATTTGGAATAGGAATCCAACGAATCCGAGAATCGTAAAGATGATACCATTCTCTGATGCATCCATTCCCAGACCACGGTGTTCAATGCTGAGTGAAGCAAACAAGACAAACGAGAGGAGAAGACCTCCATTGCTGAAACTATTGACACTTCCAAGCAGCAGGAGCATCATAATCTTTTTGTCCTTTGAGAGAATTCTCAGACCTTCGATCAACGAGAAATCCTTTTGAGTCTTTGAGATTTCCACGGCGGAAATGCCTGCCTTGGCAAACTTTGGATGAGTCTCTGGATGCAAGAAAAACATGAGAATCGCAGAGCACATGACAATTCCACCACCAATAATACAAGGATAGATATAGGGATTCGGTTGATTCTGTGCCAGCTTCACAACGAAACCACCCAACGACGAACTTAAGCATCTCGACAACGCGAAAATCGCACCAAGGTATGCAAAAATAGTGGGTCTATTTCGTTTGTCAATCATGTCGGCAAGCGTCGCCTGACACAATGCTGTCGTATTACTGAATATACCCTCTGCAAATCTAACCAACATTGCCAAATAAACATTTGGCATAAATGCAAAAATAATTGTACCAATCGAAGTTGATATTAAACTTAATAATAAAAATGGTTTTCTACCGAATCTATCTGAGAGATGACTATTTTCAGGAAATGATATTAATTTAGTTGGTTAGTTAGTTAGTTTGTTTGTTTGATTGTTTTTTATCCAATATTCTTTGGAAAGAGTTATAATATCTTACCCCAATGTAAATGAAGAAAAGAAACGCGCCAATGAATAAATTCCAATGAGTAAACCAGATACGAAACCGGTTTGACTCTCGGTGAATCCCCAACGCTCCTTTAGGATCTCTGGAAGAAAAGGTTGCACCAATGTGAGTGATAGACCGTCGGAGAGCACCGCTGCATAGACAACGGCAACACGAATCCATTGCTGACGTGTTATTCCTGGATTTTCACCTGTCGATTGATTCAACTTGTTTGATTCTTCGTCTCTCAGGCTGATCTCTTCGATTGACGATGCCAACGATTTCTTGTTGGCAGCAGGTTCTGAATCGTTGTCAGAGAAGGAGTCGGAGGCTGGAGATCTCGGTGAGTTCGTCATCGATGGCGAACGACTGAGATTGGATTTCGGTGACAATGCAGAGTCAAAAGTCTTTGGTGAGTTTGGAGTGAGACTGATATCCTGCAGTTCAATGTCAATATTGGTGTTGATGTCACCATCGCTGTTGTCATTGCCATTGGTTGCATCGCTTATCAACATTTCTTTTTCCAATTTTTTCGTCGATTTCTTTTTCGACGGACTGTTGTCATCGCCATCGTCATAGCCATTTTCATTGGTGAGAATGATCGATCCAAGATTGTTGTTCAACGCCTCCTCATAGGAATCTGTCAAGTTGTTATTGTCATTGTCGTTATCTTCATTGGTGATATTGTTATAATCTGGACTATCTTTCATTGATCTGGATTCATTCAAAAACAACTAATTTTAGTTTTTGCTAGATAAATAAACAAACATGAAACTATTTAAATAATATAAGATTTTAATTGTTGAAATAAGTTAATTATAAATAAATGAAAAAAAAGTAATAAATTAAATAGGATGCATTCAAATATTTGAATGAATATTAAATAAATAAATAATAAATATGTGAAAAACTAAAAAAACTATAATAATATAATATATTTATTTTATTAATAAAATTAATTAATTAATAGATAAATTTAAATTTAGAAATTCGTTTTATCTGGATAAATATTTAAAGAAGAAGTAGAAAATTAAGTATATAAGTAAAGTTAAGTTTAAGTTATATTACTTGTATTTTGATGATGATGATGATTCAACAAAAGTGGTTGTTGGTGTTGTTGTTATTAAAAGAGAGTGAAGACAACAATGACATGATTACTATTCTGTCTGTGTGTGTTTCATGGGAAAAAGAAAAAAAAAAAAAAAGCAAATTAAATTAACTATTTTTTTTTGTTTTTTTTTGGCAATATTCTGTTCTATTGTTCTATTTTCTTGCTTTTTATTAATTATCACACTTTTTGAGTAAACGATGTTTTGCTTTTATCAGCATTGATAAGCTTACACACACTTGCCCATGACAAACAAATTTTGTGTGTTTTATTGTCGAAACCAAAATTAGAGATTTAATTATATGATGACCACCATACCAGGTCAGTTTTTGGTTTTGTTGTAAAACTTTTTCGTGAAACCACAAAAAATTCATTTTTTTTATTTTTATTTTTCTTCACCATATATAATGAGCTTTAGGAGATCTGCAATAAAAACAAAAAAAAAAAAACAAGTGATTTCATTTTTCATTTTCATTTCATTTCATCTGATCAATTATTAATTCCAATGTATCTTATCACACATATCAAAATGTCTTATAAGACATTTCCACAAACTACAGTTTGTTTTTAATAGTATAGTTGGTAAACAATTCAATTAACTAGTTTTCTCAAATCAATCTATCAATCAATCCAAAGAGTCGACTTTAAGATTAATTGAATGGTATTTTGCAAGTCCCAGTTTGTTTTTGTTGATATCACACAATAGTCAGAAAAGATATTTATATTTTAGTATGAAAATCAGTAAATCAGTTTATTTATATACATTTTTTTCTTGATTGTCTGGGATTGTTTGTTGATTCAATTATGGATCGAAGTCAGTTAGCCAGCTAGCTAGTTGACGTTTGGAAATTTACAATATTGTTGTTATGTTATTAGTTGTTATTGTTGTTTTTGTGTTAAAGATATAACTATAAATTATAAATATATATATATATATATTAATCATTTTCTAAGAGATAAGTATAGAATAAGAGCAAGTACACCAGCTACTATAAAGAGAATGAGTGCAAGCCAACATAGTTTGGTTCTGGCGGATCTCTGATATTGAGAGGCCTTCTTTATCTGCATTACACCTTCATGAGTGTTCTCCGATGCAGCGTAGATGTTTGATTCTATGTTATTCAATAGATAGCCATCGTTTATCACCATAGTATGAAGATCGGCAAAGATTTCACCGATCTCCTGGATTGACTTCTCGATCTCTCGAATGCCTTGCTCTCGCTCCTGAATGATCGAGTATTGATATTCACGTTCCGATTCGATCTGTGCCAATTGTTGTCTTCTAGTTGCTTCCATCAAACTCTGGGTTTCTTCCAACTTGTCAGCTTCTTCATAGTATGGGATCTGTTGTTGATTACCTCTATATTGTTGTTGTTGTTGATGTGGTGAAATAACATTGCTACTTTGCTGTTGATGTTGCGTAGTTGAAAATGGAATTGGTGTCTCTCTCTCTTTCTTTGTTACTACTTGAGCTAGTTCTTTAAATTGTTTTAATCCATTGTTAAACTCTTTAACCAATTTTTGGTATGCTAGTTTCTTAAAGATAAAAAAATTAGTAAAAACAAACAACGAAAATGATAAGAAATTAAACAACTATAAAACTTTAACAACATACTGTTCTTTGATCTTGTGATTTAATTGCAAGAGAATTCAATGTTTTTGCTTTTGGTGATTCTTTTGATATTAATTGTGTTGTCGTAGATACACATGATCGACTTTTTATATAATTAGTAATTAAAATCAATATTAATATTAATTTTTATCAATTTTATCAATATTAGATATATTAAAAAATAATTACATTTTTTGTCTTGTTTCTTGATTATCTCTTTGGGTACCGATTTGTTGAACAAGGTATGAAAGGTTCGATATTGAATTATTAATTTGTTGGATTGCTTTTGTTAAGTCTTGATACTCTATACATTTATATATATCGTTACTTCCACCTCCACTTCTATCTTGTTGGTATCCATTTGAATTTCCTACTCCTGAATTTGGATATCCATTGTTATATTGATAACTTCCACCATGTTCATATCCTGATCTATTATAATTATTATTATAATTATTATAATTATTGTTATAACTACTATTATTATTATTCATTTTTTAATAAAATAAATATAATTATTTCTTTCAAATTTAATAAAATAAAAGTAAAAAATTAATAATTTTAAAAAATTTAGTATTTAATTGAATAATAATTGGATGTAGATACATATTACATAAATACACCCAAATAAAATTCCAAAGAATAATTCATTTTATTATTTTTTGAAATAAATTCAATAAATTGGTGTATTTAAACGAAAAAATATGAGAAACCACTTCTATTTTTTTAAGATTATCTCTCATGAGAATTATAAGATTCATTGGACTGTTCTTACGAATTTTTTGATCTTACAAAAAAAAAAAATGAGAAACTGAACAATTTAATCTAGATTTTATTTATATTAGAAAAATTAATTAAATAAGTTATTTATTTTTTGGAAATCCCTAATGTTTAATAATATGTTAAAGATTATCTATCTTAAATGGCGCTCTAATGTACATAAGAGAGAGAGATTCGCCTAAAAATCAAAATTTATCATTAATTTGGAAAATAAATTTATTTTTATATCTTTTTTGATTATAATCATTTTATATCTTTTTAAGTTTTTCAACATAATAGTATATTGTTGTTTGTTTTAATATTAAAGTTTTTAGTTAGTGTTAGTTTAGTTATATAGTTTTAGTATATACAACTATATACTACAACTACTACTAAAAAAAAAAAAGGTTGTTTTTATTGTATGGATAACAACAGTGGAAGTAGTAATACAAATATTCAAAAAGGGAAACCAATACCAACGATATCACAAACACCCACCACTTCATCATCATCAATAGCAACAACAATAGCAACTGAAGAACAACAACAGCAACAACAACAACAACAACAACAATTCGATTCAAACAATGATTTTAAATCAATAGTTTCATTAATTTTTAGTGGTAAGATTCCATTGACTTTAGCGGTTCAATGGTTATCATCAACTAAATCAACGAAATACTCTATTTCAAATGATGTATGTTTAACTTTAATAAATAATATATTAATATATGTTAATATGTACTAATTATTTATTATTTAATGTAATAATAATAATAATAGTATACATCAATTAGAGAACTTAATCAAAGATCACCATTACAATTCTCACACTACTTGGTAGATGAACTTAGAAATGCATATAATCATCTATTCACAAGTAATAATACTATATTAAGTAATAGTATTACTGGTAGTGGTGTTAGTGTTAGTGGTGGAAGAAGTAATCTTCAACAACAACAACAACAACAGATACCAAAGATAGTCAATGATTTCCCTCCATTACCAAGTAAACCAACAAACAAAGATAAAGATAAAGAAAAAGATAAAGAAAATAGTAATCAACATCAGCAACAACAACAACAACAATCAGGTTTAAAACTAAATAATTTACCAATAATAACAAAGATTGAATCAGATCAAATAGATTCTATAGTTGAATTATACTCTAATATCTTATTTAATAGATTGTATCGTAGTAGCTTGATGTCAGAGTTAAACTTTCTCATAAAGATACTCAGCTCTCTTCAGAAACTGTTACATCTACTTTCACAATGGCATCAGTTATCGGCCACACCAGAACAACAACAACAACAACAACCATACCAACTATTTACCAACTTATCATGGACACTTCATTTTGTATTGCGAACACTCTTTGCCATACGACCACTACTAAATACATTGAACCCAAGATTACTATTACAACTATCTGATAATCAAATGTAACTAACCATAAACTAAATAACTAATAATAGTTACTTATTACTAATAACATTTAACTTTCGAAATTCAATTGAAAAAGTATTGACAAGTTCGATAAGATGTTATCGAGTAGTTTGAAAATGACAGGTCAGAGACTGCTGGATGATTATAAGGTGTTGCTGGGTGCAGGCGAAAGCAAGAAGAATATCAGTCGTATCACGTCGCCCTTTAGATCGTTGGGCGAGCTCGATAATCCCTATCATAAGAAGCTGAGAAAGTCAGAGGATACGCAGATCTACACCAATCGTGAGAAGTCGCTCGATTCATTCCACGAGTTGCTCAGGGTGTTCCAAGTGGATCCGAGGTCGCTCAACCCCAATCTGACAGCCAGCATCAATGTGGGTTCGCTCAACGCCAAGACCCGCGAGTTCTTTGCCAACTTGAATCGCAACAATCTCTGGTGGTTCTGTGACTTGTTCATCGATCAGTACCAGCAGTGCAAGCAGTCGGAGATCGACGACAAACTGAGTGCATCGCGTCAACAACAGCACACCATGGGTGGTTCCGCTGCCGCTGCAGTGCTGTCGTCATCCTCCATCGATTCCTCTCTGAATCAATGGAGTCAGGGTGCACCCGACAAAATGGCATTACTCCAGAAGCGTATGGAACAAGGTTCATCTAATAACAACCAATCGCAACAACAACAACAACAACAACAAGCACAACATCAACAACAACAACAACAATCTATTAATACAGTTAATACTACATCAACAGAGAAGATGAAACTATTACAAAGTAGAATGGAAACACCTAATTCAACACCGACACCAACATCTACACATACTTCAAAGCCAAAGAAGACTGTCATTCCATTTGGTATTACTTCACCATCTAAACATCAGAATCAACATCAACAACATCAGCATCAGCATCAACATCAACATCATCATACTCATAGTCATAATCATAGTCAACAACAGCAACAACATACTATGAATATTAATCATAATCAACAGCAGCAACAGCAACATCATCAACAACAACAACAATCTTCAACTATATCATTATCATCAACATTATCACATAATACAAATACATCTTCATCTTCAACAACCACAGCATCATCATCATCATCATTAGCAGGTTTAAATAATCAATATAGTAGATTAATGTCATTCTTTGGTATTAGAGAACATTTCTTTCTATATTTTATATTGGCTTATGATAATCATCAGTTCTATCATCATCTGCAATCATCGTTGGTCGAAAAGATAACAATACTTCAAAGCTGTCAATGCAGTAACAATCATAATCATTCGGACTACCACGAGCGTGTCACTCATCTCAAGAGTCTAATGAGGTTGTTGGCATTCATCTATATGCTGCCTACCGAGAACTACCAGAAACACTCGATGGCGCTGCAATCACCGTCGTTCGCCGAGATAACAACGCGTACCGGCTTGTTACCACCGCCTTTCGATGTACGTGCGATGCTAATGAGTGCAATCTCCTCAGAGTCACTGGCAGTGGCGGTGCCGTGTGTCATCGAGTTTGTGAGGATGGCCGACAACGTCACACGCGAAACCAGCTACTTCCAGGAGCTGATAAACATCCTCAAGAACATCTATATGCTACCGACGATAATACCGACTGCGACACAGCCATTCTTCAACTACACATCGATATTCATCCAGCTCGAGCTGGAGCAATACTTTGAGTCGTCGAACCAGTCACCTTTCAACTCGACACACATCGCACTGCCTTTTGCCGGTTCATCGATGTTCTCCGTTGGTAACTCACCGACAACCGGCAATACACCGAGAACACCTACAACTCCATCGAAAAACAACAACAACAACAACAACAGCAATAACAATAACAATACACCTACATCACCAACACATACGAAAACACCATCGAAATCAAACAGTAGTACAACTAATAATCTATCGGCTATCGATTTGAATCCAAATGTTGGGTATTCATTGCTTTGGTCATATCCAAGCAATAGTTATCTTCAAGACATTCAAAGATTGTTGAGTGAATCGGCAGAGTTTGCAAATGCTCTAGCTACTGCTTCCGCTGCTTCTTCGTCGACTGGTTCACCTGGAAATCTGAGTGAATCAAATACACCGGTTTCTTCACCATCCAAACAACTGCTGTCTAACAAACGCAAACAAATCGTTCCAGTCAAAAAGATTACACCTTTGGCTTCACAACCAAGTGGTTCGGATAGCAGTGAAAACAGTCATCTACAGAATCAACTAGAGTGGTGGTTCTTCTGGAGTCATCCCGGTCTTGCAAAGCTCTCGAATCTTCTTCAAGATACACTGCTCCCGTTCTTCACAGAGATGATATTCAATCTATCGATACCGATAACCATTAAGCTGTCGAATAGCTATCTTGAAGACAATAGGAAGTTGGTATCACCGACTTCGTCACCTTCCAAACCAGCTGGTGCTACTCAGCAACAACAACAACAACAAGACGGTGGATCTACACAGCAACAGCAACAACAACAGCCAGTTGAGAGTCAATCGTTGATAATCGAAGGTTCAAGACTACAAGAATTGGTGATATCGGTGCAACAAAGACTGAGAAGTCAAGCATCGGAGAAGGTTATGCTCTACTGCCAGAACAATGTTAGATCGCTCATTTCCATGTTGACACCGATCGATATTGACGACTCGGTGCTGTCGGTTGCGACATCGATGATCAGCCGAAGATTGATGCGACAAGCCGACTCTATATGCTTGCCTGAAGTGTTGCAAAAGGCAAGAGTGTTGGCAATCGAGATCATCGCCAAGAAGCAGACGGTATCGCTCAACAAGACGTCGCTGCAACTTCTCAACATGTCGATGTCCGATGTGACAAAGAACAACCAGCAGAACTACACAGTGGTTGGCGTTGCACAGAGTCACTTGGCTGTGCTCGAGGAGGTGTTGGATCTACGTGGAGTCTGCACCAAGCTGGAGCAATACACTGAACAGATATCGACTTTGTTGGATGCCGAACATCAACATCTCGACGACAATGATAATCTAATTGCATTTGCACTGACTCCACTCGAACCCAAGCTTCTGAGTGACATAATGACAGCTCTTCTCAAAGCGAATTCACTTCTTGGCATCGAAGTATTCGGTGTTATCGTTGAGAATCCATCGACACAACTAAAGAATACTCTACCGATTCTTTTCAAACTTGTCGTTCATCTCCTATCCAATATAATGATGTACGAATACAAGTTGAATCCACCACAACTTCCACCACTTCCATTGGATAACAATAACCTAGGTAATTCAACAACAACAATAACAACAACAACATCATCGTCATCGTCATCATCAATAGCAACAACAACAACATCATTATCATCGAGCCAAAACACTACTGTACAACAACAGCAGCAACAACAGCAAGAGGTTACAATGGCACTGGAGGAGTTACAACAACCATTGCCTATCAATCGACTTACAGGTCACAAACTCGGAGGTGTATTCGTTGATCTCATTAAGAAGATGGTTAAACTACATTCTGATTTTAGTGTCTTGATTCCACAGTATCTACTATCACACAGCCGTGTCTTTACCATCGTAACACAATCGTCTACCTTCACATTGGAATGGTTGCATTCCTATGACTGGATACTCTTAACACTCCTACAAGACAATGTAATCGATTGTATCTCAATTGAAGGTTGTTGGAATAATCTATTCGATCGTTGTTTTACATTTTTAATTGAACTATCATCAGCATCAACATCAACATCATCTTCTACCTCTTCATCAACAGAAATAATAGATAATAATAATAATAATAATATTGATAACAATAGTAAATTACTTCAAATTCAAACATTACAATCACTTTTGAAAGTAATTTGTGAATTTATAAAGTTATATCATTTCCATTTCCAAGCACAACAACAACAACTACCAATTATTATTACCTCAACAACAACTGTCATAACAATAAGTGAAGACACAACAACAACAACTAATAACAATAACAATAATAGTAATAGTAGTGGTAATAAGCATCCATATAGTAAATTAGATTTCAATCTTTGTCTCGAGAGTTTCCTTCAGAGACTAATGAAAATCAAATCATCCGATAGATTCAAATCGATAACTGATCTATCGATCACCATTGACCAATCGATACAATACCTAAACAATCAGATTCAATCAATATTTAAACAACAGCAACAAAAATAATAATAATAACAATAATAATAATATTAATAATAATAATAACAAAGTTTTCTTTCTATTTAAAAGTAAATTAATTAAACTAATATATAAGTTTTAAAGAAGAGTAAAATAAACAAGTACTTTTCTAAATATATATAATTTATCATTTTTATATTATTGTTGTTATTGTTTTAATTTATATATTCAGTTGGCATCTTGAATGAATATGATCCTTCTTTGTGTCTTGTAATCAATCCACTTATTGGTATTACATTGTAGTTGAATGTCAAAGTTACATTTTGTCCTCTAAAAGTTATTAATTAGAAATGATTATTAATAAATATATATATATATTAGTTTTGAAGTTCAATTCAATCTTTTTGTTCCTTAATGAGAATCAATAAAACATACCTTAAGTCACCAGAATGATCGATCAACAAATATTTAATTAAATCTTTCTCTTTGAGTACTGCTTTTGATTTATCTTTTAATATATAATCCCACAAAACAACTTGACTTACAACCTAATTCAATGATTATGATATTTATTAATAATCAATACTGTGAACATACTTACTATATAGGTTAAAGTTTATTTAATATAACTTACAGTTTCTTTAGTTTGATATTCAGCGGTTATATATAAAAACAATTGCTTTGTATTCCAATTGAATAGAGGTGTAAGATCTGCTTGTAAACTCATGTGTACCTGTGCAAGTTCGACTGGGTTTCTCTTTACACTATATAATTATAAGTAATCAAAATAAAAGGTAATTACTATGATGATGATGATGATGAGATGATGATTATTACAATCTTATTCATGATAAACTTACAACTTTATAGTTGAACCAGTCAAGTTAACATCTATATGGTCAGGGAAGAATGATCTACTCAGTACATTCAATAAAAGTACACCAAACAATACAACACCTCCAAAGCAAACAATGAGATTTGCTCTCTGTGATACTGAATGCATATTTCTTAATTAAAAACAACAATTACAACTATATAATAGTGTAGATATATAAAAATATAAAATATTAATTTAAATTGTTAAAAATTAATTAGTGTTTTTGTTAATCAAAAAATGACTCACCAAAAAAACTTTTTTAAGTTCATTTTTATTTTTAACTTTATTTATTTAGTTGAAATTCTAACTGTTGTCGATATAACAAAAGCTTTTATAATATTTCTTTGTGTTTGAGAATAAATAAATAAAATAAATAAATAAAATAAATAACTTAAATTAAACTAAAATTAAAATAATTTTTTATTATTTAAATTTGTTTTAAAAAGGAGAGTTCATTCAATTCAATATCTTAGATATATATATACTTAAAAGTATGCTATTCATATCTTACCTATACTACTACTGAATTAGAAATCATTTTGATATCAATATTGATTTGTTAAAGATCTTATAAGAGAATTTTGGAATGATGATGTAGTTTATTTTTTTTTTTAAAAAAAAATGATTGGTGTGGTTGTGGTGTAATTAATTTAACTCAATTCATCATATTCATTAACCAAAAACATATATATATGTTCACCATCATTTCAGTTTATTTTTATTATTATCATGATAGGATTATTATTACAAACTTGAGATAATGGGATCTACTATTTCAAAATCAAATAATGATAATGATGTTATTAATGAACAAAAGATAGTTTGTAATCAAACTAGATTAACTGATTTATTATGGCGAAAAATCATTAGTTTGCTATCGAATGACCGATGTAGATATCATAGATGTCGGTGGAATCCTCTGTCACTCTCGCTAGTATCGCACTACTGGCTTGTAAACATCGTCGCTAGAGCACCTCTAAGAATTACAACCGCAGATTCCAAATCACAATTCCTATTAAACTTTCATAAATCATATAGACGTTCTTTTATAAATTTATATAAAACAAATAATAATAATAATAATAACAACAGCAATAGCAATAGCAATAATAATAATAATAATAATAATAATATTTTAGAAATAGATAGAAAGTTTAATATTATAAAATTAACAGTAATATTCAATCATAGTGATTTTCAATTGAAATTCGTATCGATGCCATTCCGAGAGAATAGGAAGTTGTACAATAGACATCTTTGGTTGGAGATGTACAACGATGCGCTAATTAGATATTGGTCATTCGATTCACTGACGCTTGTCAATCCACCGAGAAACTTTGAACCAGAGAAACTGTTGGTGGCAGCTCAACTACGAACGCTAAGAATCTACCACGAAAACCCAAGAGCAATCGATATGTCAGCATTTCAGAATGTTGTTACATTTTCTCTGCGTCAGAACAATCAAGCTACAAAGTCACTTTCATTTACTATTCCAAACAAATCATCGTTGCTCACTTCATTATCTCTAACAATACCATTCAAATCAAACAACAACAACAACAACAACAATGATATTAATAGATATCCATTTAAAGACAATTCTTTCCAACCTTGGTTTGAAGGTGTTACAAAACTAGAGTTGAATCATATTCATATTACAGAATGGAAGAATGTTGCTTCGGAACACATCAACATTGACTTTACAAAGCAATTTGCGAATCTAACATCTCTAAAGTTGAATCATATCTATCATAGATTGGTAAATACTCTTCATTCAAATAGTATTGTCATTGCTCAGCAGCAACAGGAGATAACACAACCAGCGACAACAACATTGGTTTCAGTTTTAGGTGGATTAAAACAATTGAGTTGTTTGTGTATATCTAATGTTAGTGCACCTTTTCAATTCTATGGTGGTGGTGGTGGTGAGCAGCAAGACGAAAGGGATGTTGATGCAAAAGAAGAGTATCGGAATGGTCTGACTGTATCGGTTTTCCAAAGAGATTTGTCATTGATTGGTGTACAGATTAATACATTGAAACTCAAGGGTAAATACACTCTGTTCAATCAGCTACTGATGTCATTGGAGCTACTACCATACATGAATAGACTCTCACTGACAGATCCTCTAGAGAATACACATCATATCGATAGGATTCTACAATCAAAATCACTCGTTAGATTATCTGCAAATTTCAATAATAATAATAGTAATATAAAGTACTTCTTACAGATCAATTCTACAATCAAATATTTAAAAGTATATCATTCAGATCATTTCAACAATACAACAAATGATGATCATCATACAGATTCACTACAGCCAATCTTACAAAAAAATAGATATTACTACAATGAAATATTAGATAAACACTATTTGGGACCGCAATTCAATAATCTAATCATAATATTTCAACCAAATAAAAGAGATGATCCTAAACATGAAAAAAAGAGTCATCGATCAAGATATATGTCTTTCTTGATGTAAATATAAAATAAAATATAATTTTCTAACGTTACATAAAATTAAATAACCTCTGTAGAGAGCCAACACTTTACTTTGTAGTCTAACAATCAAACCAGGTGAAACCTTGAAAAATAGTTTGGCTGGCAAATAAATTGTTTGATATTTATTTTCAATAAATCGTTTTTACAATTTTATTTCCCCAATATTAGTATTTATGTATATAAAATTTGTTGTGTGTTTATTATTATTATTATTATTATAGATAAAAGATGGGTTTGACAACAAGTAGATCTTATATAAATATTGATGGTGAAAGATCTGTTAGTGGAGAAATTAGTGTAATAAATAATAATCAAACGAAATTAACTGATTTAATATGGAGGAATATCATTAGGTTACTATCAGAGTATGAATGTAGATATCATAGGTATGAGTGGAATCCACTATCGTTGTCATTGATATCACACTATTGGTTGGTGAATATCATTGCTAGATCAACACTTAGAATAACAACATTAGATATCGACTCTTCATTTATTATCAACTATCCACTGGCATACCAAAGATCACACAATAAGCTGTTAGATCAACAACAACAACAACAACAACAACATTCAACAGCTATAGATAAGAAGACATTCAATATTAGTAAATTAACATTAATATACAAACAGATGAGTTACACCGAGTCACTTATAAATAGTTTACAGTTACATAGACAACAACAACAACAACACAAACAAAGACAGCAACAGAAACGTAAAACTATCAATTGGGTAATGACTTACAATCAACCGCTAGAGACACACTGGTCGGTAGATTCAATGACCGTTGTCAATCCCAATCTATTCCATATGATTGAGACACTGGCTATTGCCAAGCAACTAAGGTGTATGAGAATCTATCAGACGTGTCAACATCAGTTGATTACCAAGCTCTTCCCGAATATCGAACGACTGACAATCAAACAAACTAGTTTACCATATAAACCGGCTGTTCCAGAAGATCTGCCTTTACATTTGAAGACACTCTCGATTGCCGCGCCATTCAACAACGACAATCCATTCAAAGTCGTCGAAAATCCCGATTGGTTCAAGAATATCGAAGCGCTAACACTCGACTACCTTCACAAACCTTTTTATACACCTTGGGAAAGAACTAGTCCCGACCACAGAATACCGATTGATCTTGCTAAATTCCAAAACATTTCAAAGCTAAAGTTGAATCATGTTTATCATAGAATAGTTCATGCAATGAATACAACCGATCAATCAACAACAACAGCAACCAATAATAACATTAATGCATTCCAGCAACAAGAAGATAGTCATTTAAATACCATTCCAATATTAATCAACCTAAAACGATTGGCTTACTTATCGATCAATAATATCGATATGATGAGTCAATCGGATTCAGAAAGCAACGACGATTTACTCGCAGAGTACGATCACGGTAAAACAGCGGTGGCATTCTCAATCGATCTCGAAGCTATCGGATATCAACTACATACTCTTAAGCTAAAAGGCAAATATACATTGTTCAGCCATCTGTTCAGTAGCGGCTCGACAGTACTCACCGATCAGCTGATAAACTTGAAGCGATTATCAATTACAACCAGACTCGATAAAGAGCACATCGATCTGATTCATCAATGTAAATCACTGGTGCGACTCTCTGCTAGCTTCAACGATACTCTGGCATATTTCATAGAGAACAACAAACATATTAGATATTTGAAGGTCTACAGTTTCGATACTTTTTTTCAAATCCTAGCGCTAACAAAGCTTCTTGCATCTGATAGAATCGCACATGACAAGTCACTCGATAAACACTACTTGGGTTCAAGTTTCAACTATTTAGAAATTACTTTCCAGTCATCTCGAAACCACTACAAGAATCAAAAGAGAGAAATTAAAGATCAATATTCATAAATATTTTATTGACAAAAATAATACATTGTAATTTCTGAATATGATTATTAAAACAAATCAATAAATACAATGTATATATTCTCACACAGGCCGTGAGAAATAGCCAATAAAATATTATTATTATTATTTTTTATAGTTATTATTAATTAATAAGTTGTGATAGCAGTAGTTGCGTGTTTTTTTTTTTATTTTTATTTTTTATTTTTATTTTTTTTAAATTAAGACTTATATATTTGAATACATCTTACTTTGTACTTATTGCTAATATATTATTTAATAATCCGAAATTATAAATACAGCAAAAATCTGTGAAAAACCGGACAGAGGTTTCAAAATATCAAACAGTAAATACATTTATTTGTTTATAGAAACTAATAAATATATTCTAAGATAGATCTTTGTAAATGATTAATAATTAAAAAGAAATGAATCATTTATCATTTTAAAAAAAAAATAAAAAAAATAAAAGATAAAATTAATTTGTGCAATATTTCTGAAGTAATAAAATATTTTTTATTATAGTACTTTTAAATTTATTTTGAAATACTTAATTATATTATATATAAGAATGATACCAAGTAAAATGTTAACAGAAAGATAAAAGATTTTTGGAATACTTGATTTGGATTACTGAACGGAACAAGAAGTTATTGGTTTAAAATACAATTCTAATTTTCAACAGTTTCAAGACTAAAGAAAAACTAAGCAAAAACAAACTCAGCACTGAACACAAATACCATATGTATAAAAAGGATATAAATTTAAAAGATTACAATTATATTTAAAATAAAATTTAAATTGTTTTTTAAAAAACAATTATATCATTAAAAAAAAAAAGGACAACAATACATTTTTAAAAAGATAAATCAATAACATTATTAGAAGAATAATAAAGGATTAAGGAATTACTTTCAGAAATAATACAAAAAAAAACCTTTTAGACTCTTCTTCATATTCAAAATGTAAAGGTTTTGAACTGATTTTACAATAAATAAGGATATTGTTTTTTTAGAAAAGTAATTTAACAGATGAAACGAAAATAAAACAAGGAGAGTATAGTATAAAGAAAGGTTATTCTTTAAAGGAGTTCCCGATTATAGAACAAATAATATTCTATCATTTAGTTGAAAGTGGTAGATTCAAATTCAATCTTTTCTCTAATTAATTTAATATGGAACTGGATACTTAGACAATCTATCTTAAGCTCTAGATTCCCAGATTTTTTAGAAATTTTAGAGTATGATATAGATCGACGAATAAATAATATTGTTTAACTAATTTTAGTATATTCCTCAACTGTACAAGATATCTCACTTGTCATCAATATACTAAAACTCATAATATTTTTTACTTAAAATGTATTCTTAACTAAATTTGATATATAAACAAACCAGTCAGGACCTGAATGTTTTTTAAAATTCTTGGGTATTGTTGAGATAAATATATATACTAGATGCCATTCATTCTAAACTCAATAGAGCTCTTAAATGATGCATTTATAGTGGTGATATGAAATGACACCGGAGTACTGCCAATCACTATATGAATCAATGCCAAACAGATTGAATCAAGTAATCCTCAACCAAGGCTATTGGACATCCTATTAATTGTTTTCTTTTAAATCAATTTAAATGTATATAAATAAAAAATATTTTATCACTTCAGAAATATTGCACAGTTAATTTTAGTTTTTTTATTTTTTTTATTTTTTTTTAAAATGGTAAATATTTCAATATTTTTCTAATAATTAATCTTTAACAAAGATCTATCTTAGAATATATTTATTAGTTTCTATAACAAATAAATGTATTACTGTTTGATATTTTGAAACCTCTGTCCGGTTTCATAGATTTTTGCTGTAAATAATCCTCACTCCAATCTGTTCATTTTTTTTTTTTTTTTTTTTTTTTTTCAATCCGTTCATAGACTCCAAGAAATATAAAAACACAATGAAAAAGACCATGGAAAACCAATTTTGTTCCATTTTCAGAAATAATCAGGAACTCGATAAGGAATCCACTTCCAGAAATAACCAGGAATTCTGTAAGGAATCAAAATAAAGAACTATATAAACAATTCACAGAGTCACAATTATTAATCAAAACTCTCAAGGTAAATATAACTGATATTCAATACATTAAATAAAGCACAATTATTAATCAAAACTCTCAAGTGTTCTCTCTTTGATTGTATTATATACATACTCTGATTTATTCTAAATAAATCCATCTTGTTACAAATTTGGTTACAAAAAGGTTTTTTTTTTTTTTTTTTTTTTTTTTTTTTTTTTTTTTGAGCGCAATGGACCGCACTAAGGAGGTGTTTTTTATCACCTCCTCACGAGTTGGTGTCAATGTATTGCCCCATGGGCTCTTAGGACATCAGTTTTATTATATACGTTCCGGTAGCGGGGAAACTTAGTCATTACCGAGCCTCGAACCCGGGTCGAAGTAGTGAAGGCCCACGAATGAACCATTTCACTAACTACGTCCTTCGACTTGGTTACAAAATGTTTTACTTGATGCGCGCATCAAGGATATTAATTAAAAAAGAAAGCGCCCAATGTGGGGCTCGAACCCACGACCACACGGTTAAGAGCCGTGCGCTCTACCGACTGAGCTAACCGGGCTTTGATGTTGCTAATTTCGCGATTAAAAATTTTCAATTTTTTTTATTTTGTTATTATTATATTCGTCGAACTCAAATTAATGTGTGGTGAAACATACACATAAAATCTCTGTCCACATGTTATAGCCGCAGCCAACTCTATCTTTATCACAGTGATTCCTGTTCATACCGATCTCAATATCTACAAGATAAAACATATTCACAACAAACTTGGTATCATCTATTCAAATTGCAGAAGCACCAAGCAGTGGTACTGCTACACGTCATCGAACAGTTTTCAGCCACCACTACATCCAAGAAGAGATCGAACGTAATGTAAACAAAGAACAGATTTTAAATAAATTAGATCTGAGGATAATTTTTAAAAGATTTATGAAATCATACTCTTCTTTTATTGAGATCTCAATTCCACTTTAATTCTACCTTGTATTTGAAATTATTAAAACGAATTTTATTTATTCAAACTTATCTTATTTGAATATTACATTTGAAGGGAGTTGGAGATAGTGCTAAACCATATACCATTGATTCTTCAATAAATTCAGAATTTGGTGAAGTAAATTTAAATGATTTGATCAATTGTGTAACCAAAACATAAATCTCCACTTCAGCAAGATTCATTCCAACACAATTTCTTGGTCCACTTCCATAAATTATTTTGACTCTATTAGAATTCTTTTGTGCATCCACACCAATAAATCTCTCTGGTTTGAACTCCATTGGATCATCCCAATACTGTTCTGATAACAGAGAACTGTGAATATTTTGAAATACTTGAATCTAATAAATTTTTAATTAATTAAAATAAAATATAAAATAAAATATTAAAATATATTATTAAAATAAACTATATATATTACATATTAAATACATACACCTTTCTTTACATAATAACCACGGAAATAGCCATCTCTAATTGCTTCATGTGAGTTACCAAATCCATTAATTGGATATCTTCTCATTGTTTCTCTAATCACAGCGTTGGTGTATGGTGTTGATATTTTTGAAGGTATTCTATTCTCAACACTTGTGAGTTCTAAATATAACTTTTCTTGAACCTCTGGATAATTACAACAAACTCTGATTAAACATAATATAACTAAAGACTTTCAATATTTATAAAATATTAATTAATACTCAATCAAAATAACTTTTTTTCTTTTTTTTGTTTTTACAGTAGTTCAGATTCCGAAAGATTGAATTCGGCATTAGTAAAAAAAAAGTCCAATATTTTGAAATATTTCCCAGCCTTTAACTTCCATGAATATATGAATCTGCTATGTTATTGGGTGACTCTGAACCTGATATTCTATCTTCAACTAGTTTGCCAATATAGTCTTCATATTGCTCATTAATTCTTTTAAATCTGTTGAAGATGTTGATGATTTCTTAAACTTTTATTAAAGAAGAGTATTCTGATATCATAGGACGTCCTAAAATAGGTTGATTTCCTTGGATTATATTTAATATTTCAATAGCTTGACCATCCAACTCATATGGAAATTGTTTGTCGAATAGTTTGGTTAATAAGATATTCAGAGTACATATCTTTACAAATGGAAATAAATTAATTGGTTCACCTGATTTCGATTGAACTTTTAAACATTCATAGAGTTTTGAAATCTCTTCCACCATTGATTCCTCTGATTTTTTCAATTTACTTGGTGTAAGGTGTTGAAGAAGAATCGATCTTAGATATGTATTATATTCACCATTGGATGATGTCATACTCTCTCCACGATTGATATCGGTTCTTTCTTTCTTTTGAAATCGATTAACAAATAGATCATTGTAAGTAAATGCTTCTTGAATAGTTTCCGGACCTGTTAAAACTATTCCTTCGACCGATCCCATTTTAAATCTAAACACTTCACCATATCTCCTGAAAAGACGATCCAAATCATTATTAATATTTTCACCAAGTAAATGTAAATGACCAATCAAAGGTATTGCCAATGGTGATGGTGGACATTTTTTATAAGGATTCTAAAATAAAAACAAACAATATTAAATTTAATTTTGTAGTATTTAAAATATCTAAAGTTATAAATTACGTATCATACCTTTTCATATAAAATCCATAAGATAAAAACAATAACTATTGATATTAAAATCATAGTTTTAAAACAAAAATTTGACAAATTTAATTATTTGTCGATAATGATAAAATTGATTTGGTTTTCAAAATACTAAAATAAATACTGATGAAAATAAATAAAAGAATAAATTTATATGCGGATAAATGTTATTGTTATAATTTAAATACGCAGGTTAAAATTTAAATCTCAAACTAGCTCTTACCTCCTGTAACCCTATTTTGAATAAATTTAAAAAAAAAAACTCCAATGATATTAATCCATCTAATTTTTAGACCATGAAATAACAATATTTGCGACAGAGGTGAAAAGTAACAAGAAACCACACTATTTTCATCATAAAGATATAAAAAATTAATGAGTTAAAGTGGTTGGAGCTAGTTATATTTAGTCACTGGAGAATAAATTTTCTCACAACACACTTTTTTTTTTATTTAATTACAATAGCAGAAATCATCTAGTATTACAGTAGGGTTATCAATAAGAAAAATAAACATATTTCACATTAGTGGAAAAAAGTAATCATATTATCGACAGATTAAATATGGAGGAAAATATTAAGTTTGTTGTCAGAGTTTGAATGTAGATATCATATGTATGAGTGGAATCAACTATCGTTGTCATTGATATGTGTAATAATGTGAGGATACAAAAACACGTGTGCAAAAATAACCAATAAAATGAAATAACAAATCACACTATTGGTGGGTGAATATCTTAGCGAAATCAACACTTAGAATAACAATTAATCAACATTAGATCGTTATTTCTTATCAACTATCCAATATCATATCAAAGATCTTTTAAAAGTTGAAAAGCACTAGTTTAAATAATAATAAGATCATGATAAGATACTGTCGGGTTTAAACTCAATAGATTTAATTTAATATTTGATAATGATTATCAATATAGATTAGCAATAAAGGAATTCAATCAATTGGTATCATGATAACTATTGGATCGATTATTATAATAAGGCATTGCTAGATAATTAGTAAATCAACTCTGGACCTTTGTAAACCTACAGGTATTCCTACTATATATTCACGCAATCAACTAGATACACTCAAACTCAAGGGAGTTACAACATTTCCAATATTACTGACATCGATCTCGTCTATCCATATCAGATTACCTTGAGAATCATCATATCGATTCGATTCTCAGTTGTGAATCACTGATAAGGTTATCTGTTTACTTTAAATTCGGCAAAGTATTATTTGCCAGGATTTTGCTATGATTCTAAAGTAAAATTTAATTATTTCTTAAAAAAAAAAAAAGTAATTAAAATATTTAAAGATAACAGATTTTCTGGCTCCGATACCAACTCTTTAATCGAAACACTAGGTGCTAATATTGTAGTGGCAAAAATAATTAAATTTTACTTTAGAATCATAGCAAAATCCTGGCAAATAAACATAAATAATTGAAAATCAAAAAGATTCTATACAACCTTTTTTATTTTCAAACTTCTCTTATTTGAATATTACATTTGAAGGGAGTTGGAGATACAGCTAAACCATATACCATTGATTCTTCAATAAATTCAGAATTTGGTGAAGTAAATTTAAATGATTTGATCAATTGTGTAACCACTAAATAAACCTCCAGCTCAGCAAGATTCATTCCAACACAATTTCTTGGTCCACTTCCAAAAATTATTTTGACTCTATTAGAATTCTTTTGTGCATCCACACCAATAAATCTCTCTGGTTTGAACTCCATTGGATCATCCCAATACTGTTCTGATAACATTGAACTGTGAATATTTTGAAATACTTGAGTCTATTAAATTTTTAATATAATTTTTACTTAATTAAAATATTATATAATAATAAACTATATATATTACATATTAAATACATACACCTTTCTTTACATAATAACCACGGAAATAGCCATCTCTAATTGCTTCATGTGAGTTACCAAATCCATTTATAGTATATCTTCTCATTGTTTCTCTAATCACAGCGTTGGTGTATGGTGTTGATATTTTTGAAGGTATTCTATTCTCAACACTTGTGAGTTCTAAATATAACTTTTCTTGAACCTCTGGATAATTACAACAAACTCTGATTAAACATAATATAACTAAAGACTTTCAATTTTTATAAAATATTAATTAATACTCAATCAAAATAATTTTTTTTCTTTTTTTTTGTTTTGTTACAAGTAGTTTCAGATCCAGCAAAGATGAAATCGGCAATAGTAAAAAAAGTCCAATATTTGAAATATTTCCAGCTTTAAATTCATGAATATATGAATCTGCTATGATATTGGGTGACTCTGAACCTGATATTCTATCTTCAACTAGTTTTCCAATTATAGTCTTCAACTTAGTCATTAATTCATTATAATCTGTTGAAGATGTTGATGAATTCTTAAACTTTTTATAAAAGAAGAGTAGTCTGATATCATAGGACGTCCTAAAATCAATTGAATACCTTGGATTATATCACATGTTTCCATAGCTTGACCATCCAACTCATATGGAAATTGTTTGTCGAATAGTTTGGTTAATAAGATATTCAGAGTACATATCTTTACAAATGGAAATAAATTAATTGGTTCACCTGATTTCGATTGAACTTTTAAACATTCATAGAGTTTTGAAATCTCTTCCACCATTGATTCCTCTGATTTTTTCAATTTACTTGGTGTAAGGTGTTGAAGAAGAATCGATCTTAGATATGTATTATATTCACCATTGGATGATGTCATACTCTCTCCACGATTGATATCGGTTCTTCCTTCTCTTTGAAAATCGATTAACAAATAGATCATTGTAAGTAAATGCTTCTTGAATAGTTCCCCCGGACCTGTTAAAACTATTCCTTCGACCGATCCCATTTTAAATCTAAACACTTCACCATATCTCCTGAAAAGAAGATCCATATCATTATTAATATTTTCACCAAGTAAATGTAAATGACCAATCAAAGGTATTGCCAATGGTGATGGTGGACATTTTTTATAAGGATTCTAAAATAAAAAAAAACAATATTAAATTTAATTTTGTAGTATTTAAAATATCTAAAGTTATACCTTTTCATATAAAATCCATAAGATAAAAACAATAACTATTGATAATATAATCATAGTTTTAATAAAATAAACAGAGTACAATTTAATGATTCTGTTTAATTTTTTTGTTTTTAAACATTCTAAAAAATTAGTGTTGAAAATAAAAAATGAATTTTGAACCTTACTGAACAATGATTTTTCACAAAACACACTTTTTTTTTTTATTTAACTACAATGGGTCAGAAATCATCACGTATTAGCAGCAGTAGGGTTATCAATAAGAATAATAATAATAATATAGATTATTCACAATTTTTGGAAAAGAGTAATCAAACTATATTGCCAGATTTAATATGGAGGAAAATATTAAGTTTGTTGTCAGAGTTTGAATGTGGATATCATAGGTATGAGTGGAATCCTCTATCGTTGTCATTGATATCACACTATTGGTTGGTGAATATCTTAGCGAAATCAACACTTAGAATAACAGTAACCAATCATCGATCATTATTTCTTATCAACTATCCATTCTCATATCAAAGATCTTTTAAAAAGTTTAATAGTTATAGTTTAAATAATATTAATAATAATAATAATAATAATAATAATAATAACAAAGATATCAAGTTTAAAATCAATAGATTTACATTGATATTTGATAATGATAATAGATTAGAAATAAAGGAATTTTTTCAAATGGTAAGCGATTACTATTGGATCGATTATTATAATGAGGTATTGCTCGATCATTGGCAAATCAACTCGATGACCATTGTAAACCTACCGGATTCACTGAAGCTTCATTCTCTTGCGATTGCTCCAACTCTAAAGAGACTTACCGTTTACTCGATGAATGCCAATAGAGTACAAGTCAGATATTTCACCAGTCTCGAGAGATTCCACTTGGAACAGAGTCATTCTTCACACACCGAACTACTGCCACCGGTACTGAATGCCAACGAGTTAAAGTCGCTCACTTCTCTCTCGATAGCATCTTGTTTCAACAATAGGTTACCATGGCAATCAAATGATAGTGTTAGCGCTCTAGTGAATCTAAAAACATTGGAATTGAATCATATTCATATATACCAATGGATACGAAACCAAGTAAACGACCTACCTATTCAACTCTCGCGACTATGTCCGAATGTAACAAAGTTAAAGTTGAATCATGTATATCATAGAATGGTGCATACCTATAACTTAACAGATAGGCCATCCTCCTTGTTAGGTGATTTGAAACATCTAAGCTATCTATCGATTACCAATAAGTCTCCAATTACTAGCTATCGTGACAGAGACAACCATACACTCAACCAGGAATACACTGCCGACGTCGGACTTACCAATAGAGTATTCCTACTAGATATTCACACAATAGGTCAACAACTAGATACACTCAAACTCAAGGGAGTTACACCATTTCAATCACTGCTGACATCGATCAACCATCTAAGCAGACTTCGTCGTCTATCGATATCAGATTACCTCGAGAAACATCATGTCGATTCGATTCTCAGTTGCGAATCACTGATAAGGCTATCTGTTAACTTTAAATTCGGCAATGTATTATTATATTTCTTGAAAAACAACAAACATATTAAAATAATTAAAGATAACAGATTCTCTGGCTGCGATACCAACTCTTTAATCGAAACTCTAGGTGCTATCAAAACAAACAACAAAGATAATAATAATCAAACAATAATAGAAGAACTTAAATTGATTTGTCACCCTGATGATTATAATACAATACAACAACAACAATTGAACCAACTTGCTACCAACTACTTTGTAACAACCAATTTTAAAATATCAATCATTAATCATCAATATTATAAACAACCAAGAAAAATGAATCAATCACAATACTTTATTAATCCTGTACCACTAAATGATCCTAATGAAAGTATTATATTACTTTAATCTTAACATTTACAATAAAAAAAATTGTTTTAAACCCAAAGAGATAGATTCCATTGTTCTTTAAGTTTTAAAAGATAAAAGAGCGAAATATCTGTATAACAATAAGATCTTATCTTTCCAGAATATGAAACTAGTTGTTTGAGAATAAGAGTATTACCTTTACTTTTCACAATTATTTATTCTAAGATAAGATTTTAGTTTTTTTAAAATTTAAAAAGATATTTAATTCTGTTTGTTTCAATTAAAATAGTTAGATTTTTTTAAAAAAAAAAAAATTGTTTGATCAATTTTTTGATCGATTTAGGGGTTTGAAGATTCTTCCTATGTTCTGGAACACCTTTTTTTTTATTCATGAATAAAACTTAAAAAAATGGAACATATAGGATTTTATATAAATAGAATGAAAAAAAAATGATATTTCATTCAATCAACAATTAAACAAAAAATTAAATAAATAAATAAAAAATTTTATTATTAATATAAATTCATATATTTTCAAAATGATTACCTCTCAAATTCCAACTTTACATTATGTATGTATTAATAATAATTTTCAAATAATTTTTTATATTAAAAAAATATATTTTTAGTTTAACGGACGTGGAAGAGCTGAAACTAGTAGAGTATTATTTGTAGTGGCAGGAGTTGAATTCAACGATGTAAAAAATCCATTTGATAATGCTGAAATCAAACAAAGAGCAACCTACAAACAACTTCCTTACTTGATCGATGGTGATTTCGAAATTTCTCAATCGATTGCGATTGAAAATTATATTGCCAACAAATATAATTTGGCTGGTGATTCATTGGTGGACAGAACCAGAATTCTCTCTATTGCTCAGGCATCCTATGACATTTCCATTCCAATCTTCACCAATGATACAGATGAAAAGAAAGCGTTATACAAGAATGAAACACTTCCTCGTTTCCTTAGTGCTTGGGAGAAGATTTTAACAGAAAATGGTGGAAAACATTTTGTTGGTTCAAAATTGAGTGCTGCCGATGTCAGTGCCTATACAACTCTTGAGAATCTATATTCCAAAAACTATAAAGAAGTTGTTGACAAATATCCAACATTGACCAATTTTAAATCAACTTTTGAAGCCATTCCATCAATTTCCGATTATTTGTCAAAGAGACCAAAAGATTTATTTTTCTAGAAGAACTTTTCATTCAATGTAGTTTAAAAAATGAATAATATAATTGGAAAAAAAGAAAAAAAAATATTAAATAAAAAAGAATTACCAAATTTTTAAAAGCAATATCATTTATTCGTTATATTTTCAAACTGTTGATTATTGCAAGTCTTGAATTGTATCCAATACAAAGGCTATTCTGTTCAACTCTATATGAATCTGTATGGCTTTTTTGAATAACAAAGTTGTTTTCTTTGAGATATTTAATCATTTGAATGTCACCTCGATTGATTGCATTGTCCATCGCATGAATCGTGAGTGATTCCGTTCGATTTCGATGGAGGTAAATGAGCATCGGTAGATCAAATGCTTTGTCCATTGGGAATTCTGGGAATGGTGCTCCAACTTCATTGAGATATTCAACAATTGGAAGACAACCGCTGGAAATTGCTCTGGTTGTGTTTACATTGGTCACTTGATGTGTTGTGTTCTCATGAAGCCATTGGAATACAACCTTACTCTTAACATCGATTGCAATATTATATGCAATACCTGAGAATTGAAATCCACGCTCATTCAACCAATTGAAAACAGTTGGATCGGTCTCTTCACGAACGAAATTTTCTATTTGGAAATTGGCAGGTTCAATATTGAAATTACCTGATGCCACTGCAATCTCATAGAGATATTTGAATATTGGAAAACTTGTACTATTAGAGAACCTATTGATGATTGATTGATCGATATCCATATGTCTTACCTCCACAAGGAATCGGACAACATCAAGATGCTTATTAGCTATTGCCAAATGCAATGCACGTAGAGAACAGCCTTCAGTTCGATTGAAGTGCAAAAATTTGATCACATCCAAGTGTCCCATTTCCGCAGCTTTATCCATTGCATCGCTTCCACACTGTGCGGTGGTATTCTCGTGAAGGAATTGAACGATTTCAAGTCGTCCGAATTGGGCAACTCTATCCATCACCGTATTGTCTATCTCATAGAATTGACTGTATCTCTCTGATAGAAATAACTTTAACATTTCAAGATTACCTGTACGTGCCGCCCAAAAAAGAGAATCCGATGGCGGTCTCTCTGTTCTATTGGTCAAGAGGAATCTAACAACTTCAATATGATTTCCTCTGATTGCACCTAGAAATGCGTAATCAGATATAACTTCATGAGTTAGATTGTTATGGATAAAGATAAGCACATCTAGATGTCCAAAACAAGCCGCATTCATGGTATGGGTAATAGAAGAACCTTCTGTTCGATGATGGTGAAGAAATTTGATTGTATTTAAATGTCCGTTGGTCGCTGCAAAATCATATGCATCGGTTGAACAACCTTCAGTTCGATTGAAGTGCAAAAACTTTAAAATATCCAGTTGTCCATATCGTGCTGCGACGTCCATTAAATGTGGTTGAGTTGAATTCTCTCTAACTATCTGATCGAAAGGTGATCCATCTTTGACATTGTTATGAAAGAATTCGACAATCGGAAGATGACCATGTTGAACAGCTATTTCTAAAATCGATCTGATATTCAACTCATCTGGGAATACTTTGAATACACATTCAATGAGATCTAATGCACCAATACGAGCAGCATCTCTCAAAGAATGAAAATATAGTTGTTTGAATAGAACATAGGTACTAGTTTCGAGTGACCCAGCATCGCTATGAAAATCACTTTCATTGTAGTCTTGGAATCGCGCTATTTTTCTGCTCATTGGCTTAGTGATTGAAGAATATCTACTGATCTCTAGTTGTACCTGTTCTTTCTGCTCCTGCTCATATCGAATCTGTCTATCATATTGTTTCCTTTGATGGTAATACAGATAGTTCATATAGAAACGGTGATACCATCGACGAAGTAAACCCGGTCGTTGATCTCTAATGACAGTATTGAATATCTGTTTGTATCTCTCGTGATAACCATACTTGATAAGTTGATCTGGGTAACATCCAAGGTCATTGTAATCACAGAGTAATCTTCGCTTTTTGCACAGGTATGCTGTTCTAATACTTAATTCATCAGCATTTACACATTCTTGTCGATTGATGATCTTCACAAAACTGAATATTTGATTCCGAATAAATTGTAAATGTAATAATCTCTTAAATAATTTACTTTTATAATTATCATATTCTATTATCATTTGCATAATAAAATAGGTAGAATTTTGAAATAAAAAAAAATGATCGTAGAAACCCATTTCGACCATTTTTGGAATTATTTGATGATACTAACGTGATGGTTATGAGAATTTTCGAAAAAGTAATAATTTATTTATATTTGCAAACTGTTGATTATTGCAAGTCTTGAATTGTATCCACTACAAAGGCTATTCCAATCAACTCTATATGAATCTGTATGGCTTTTTTGAATAACAAAGTTGTTTTCTTTGAGATATTTAATCATTTGAATGTCACCTCGATTGATTGCATTGTCCATCGCATGAATCGTGAGTGATTCCGTTCGATTTCGATGGAGGAAAGTGAGCATTGGCAGATCAAACGCTTTATCCATTGGGAATTCTGGGAATGGTGCTCCAACTTCATTGAGATATTCAACAATCGAATGAGAACCTATGGCAATTGCTGCCTCGGTGTTCTCAACGGTAAATGGATGTGTTGTGTTCTCGTGAAGCCATTGGATTGCCACTTTATTATTAATATTGGTTGCAAAATAATATGCAGCGCCTGAGATTTGAAATCCATGTTCTTGGAACCAATTGAAAACAGTTGGATCGGTCTCTTTACCAAAATAACTATCTATTTGGAAATTGGCTGGTTCGATATGTAAATTCTCTAATGCCACTGCAATCTCATAGAGATATTTGAATATTGCGAAACTTGTATTAAACGCTAACTGACCTACGATCGATTGATCGATTTCCCAATGTCTGACCTCCACAAGGAATCGGACAACTTCAAAGTGTTTATTATCTATAGCCGACCCCATCGCTTCTGGAGAACAGCCTTCCGTTCGATTGATATGGAGAAATTTGATCACATCCAGGTCACCCATTTCCGCTGCGAAATCCATTGCATCGCTTCCACACTGTGCAGTGGTATTCTCGTGAAGGAACCGAATGATTTCTAACTGGCCGTTACCCGCAGCATACTCCATCACCGTATTGTCTATCTCATAGAATTGACGGTATGGCTCTGATAACAGCAACATTAACATATCAAGATGACCGTAACTCGCTGCCAACATAAGAGATTTCAGTGGAGGTCTCTCTGTTCTATTGGCCAATAGGAATCTAACAACTTCAATATGATTTCTTCTGATTGCATATTTATATGAGGATTTGGAAATAGTTTCATGAGTTCGATTGTTGTGGATAAAGATAACAACATCTAGATGTCCATCACCAGCTGCATCCATGCCGTGGGTATTGGCGTTACACTCTGTTCGATGATGATGAAGAAACTCTACGATTGGTAAATGTCCATTATATGCTGCGGCATCAAGCGTAGAAGTTGAACAACCTTCAGTTCGATTGAAAAGTAAAAACTTTAAAATATCCAACTGTCCATATTTTGCTGCGATATCCACCAAATGTGGTTGACTACGTTGTCTACGAGCTAAATCATCCAACTTTTTATCAAAAACACTTCCATCTTTGACATTGTTATGAAAGAATTCGACAATCGGAAGATGACCATGTTGAACAGCTATTTCTAAAATCAATCTGATATTCAACTCATCTGGGAATACTCTGAATACACATTCAATGAGATCTAATGCACCGATACGAGCAGCATCTCTCAAAGAATGTAAATAGAGTTGTTTGAATAGAACATAGGTACTAGTCTCGAGTGATCCACCATCGATATGAAAATCACTTTCATTGTAGTCCTGGAATCGCTCAATTCTTCTTTTGATAACCAAAAAGGAGGTAGAAGATCTACCAATCTCTAGTTGTACCTGTTCTTTCTGCTCCTGCTCATGTTGAATCTGCCAATCATACATTCTCCTATTAACGTAATACAGATAGTTCAAAGAGAAATAGTGATTCCATCTCTGTAGTAAACCCGGTCGTCGATCTCTAATGACAGTGTTGAATATCTGTTTGTATCTCTCGTGATAACCATACTTGATAAGTTGATGTGGGTAACATCCAAGGTCATTGTAATCACAGAATAATCTACGATTAGTTGAAAAGTAATTGTTAACTGTAACTGCACACTGTCGGTTGATGATCTTTACAAAACCAAATATTTGATTTCTAACAAATTGTAAATGTATTAATCTTTTAAATAATTTACTTTTATTGTTGTTGTTATAATCTACACTATTTACTTGCATAATTAATCGATCGATAGATTCAATGACAATTAAAAATCATTAAAGAAAAAAAAACTGTCAAAGACAAGTCTATGTCCCGACTCAATCAAAAAAAAAAATTGAGAAAAAAAAAAGAATTTACATATATTTATTTATTTTTAACTCAATCAATACATTCATAAATAAATAATGAAAAAAAAACAAAAATTATAATAATTTAAATGTTTATAAATTATAATTTGAACCTATTCTCAATATAAACAGATTAGCAACCATGATCTTTATTTTGTTTTATTAACCCAATTTCCGATGAATGTAACTATTTCGGAGTGTTTAACAAATAAAAAAAAACTGTTAAATTGTTGTTATCCAGAATACTTTTTTATTCTACTTTTAAGTTAAAATAATAAATCTCTGACTGAACATGGTAAAAATTTGATCTCAGATATTTTTTTAGTTTTTTAAATAATTATAAAACAATTGAGAGTCGAAATCAAAGCGAAATTTCTCACACGATCACTTTAGAAAATTCAAAGTAAAAATCAAAAAAGGTAATAGATATAATCATATACACTCGGTTCTAAAATAAAAACTCGGGTTCAATCCTCATTTTTTTGTTCATCAAAAAAAATACATAAAAATTAAAAAATTATTTATTTTTAAGATTAGTATAAATATAAATAGCTATTTATATTTCAAAGGTAATGATGCAAACATAATTAATTAACCATCAAATAATAACATTGTTATAAAAATGGAACAAAAAAATATTATTATATTATTACTGTCATTACTTTTCTCTACTCAAATTTGCTATTGCCAACCAGGAAACTATAGTGCAGCCGGTGTATATGTTGGATTTTCTAATCAATTTATTTACGATTTTAGTTTAACTGTATTTATTTATCATTATTTTAAATATTAAATATTTTTATGTCAATCAACTAACTTTTATTTTAAATTTTTTTTTTTTTTTCCTTTCCCAAACAATTTTTATATCTATAAATAGTATACTGCTAAATTAGTTGATTATATAAATAGTTATCATATACCAGATATTTCCGGTACTTCTGGATCGATATCATATACTTTTTCATCTGTTACCATTAATTTGGATTTAGATGGTTTCTTTTTCAATCAGGATCCAACTTCTTTTTTTATTGGTTGGGCCGACACTGAATTTAAGATTACATTCAACTATCACGTTTGTGAAGTTATATGTGAAAGTGGTTATGTTAATATTTATACTACCTCTGAGAATATCACACTTTCCACTGAGTTAATTCTCGACTACTCCACTTATATTGCAAATTTCAACTTAACTCAGACCACCATCGATTCTGACAAAGGTGATATTGTAATAGAAGCGCATTGTACCGATACCATTTGTCTCATTCCAGTCGGTGACATCTCCAATGCCATCTCCAATAGTTTTGTACCGACCCTCACCAATGGTATTACCAATGGATTGAATGAATACCTTGAAGCCCCCCAAAATTATATCTACACTTTCATCAAACTCCCCGAGTCTTTCAATGACGTCACCTTCCAAATAGATTGTACCGGACAATTGGTCGAAGCTTCCAACTCCCCCTCATACTATCCTCCGCAAATGACCGCTGAGTTCATGGGTACCGTATTTGCCAGTATCAATGAAACCGTAGTTCCAGTTCCATTTAGTCCAAACTATATTCCCGATACCAGTTATCTCGAAAACATAGACGCTCCAATAGTCGTGACACTCACACCCTACATCTTCCAAAGTGTCGTCTACACTGGATTGGCAGTACTATTGCCAGTTACTGTTCAACCAAATGAGATTCCAGCTGCCTCGCCAATTAAATTGAATACATCTGATTCTTTCTTCTCATCGATTGCGCCAGGTCTCCTTCAATACCCAAATCTAGGTTTACTCCTCAATGTCTCTTCCAATAACTATATCCCAACGGTAACAATCAACGCCACTGGAATGACTGTAGAGGTTGCCGTCGAAGCAGACTTTACCATTCTTTCACAACCACTCCAATATGCATTCGGTGTAAAGATTGACTTGCAAGTGGAGATTGTTAATGATGTAACCGTTTTAAATTCAACGACCATCGAACTAAGTTCAAAAATTTTGAATATTGTTCCAAGTTCAAGTATCACCTATTCCAATGTAGGTCAAGTAGATCCAACTGGATTCAACCAATTAGTTCAAATGGTTGAAGGTTTCATTAAAGTTCCTTCTTTCAATATCACCTTACCATCACAAATTCAAATTTCAAATACCACCATCAACTTTTATGATAATATCATTCAAATTCCAATTCATGGTACTATTTCTCCATAATCATTCATCCGACAAAATATTAAAGATTAATACTATTGCTATGGATTAATTGTATTTTAATTAAATAAAAAACGCTGTCATAATATTAAAATATGATTGTACTTATAAATTTCTTGTGATCTATAATCCCTTTACAAACCACTTCATTGTAGTGATGAAATCGCAGGGTCATCTTCTCATTTGTATACTGGTCGAAAGTTTACTACTCTAGTTCTACCTTGTGTAAAAATACTGATATTTTATAAAGAATTAGTGATATCTATACTTGTAGCATCAAAGATTACTATACATCTTATAGTCAACAAAGATTACTGTTATACTCTACACTATTTATTTGTCCAATGATAAAGGAAAAAAACTGGGGAAGATAAATTTTTTTACAAGGTGAAAAAAAAAAAAAAAAAATTTTTTATTTATTTATTTTGCTTTTTTTTGTATATGTTTACTTAGTTTATCTGTAGACACCTTTACGTTAATCTGTTATCAAAGCTTTTTAACAGCAGGCCCGAGAGCTGTATAGCGGTTTGAGGCTTACCTGCTGACGGAGCTTTGTTAGTTGTATATCGATTAGCACACTACTCCTTTTTTAAGCATTGTGAACAATGAACGAATATAGATGTCCTAGCAGAGAAGACTGGGTTAAACTTGCAAATATATTTAGTTTAGAGTATGAGAGTTGTAGTATTAATGAAAACAAGGACTATAAAAAGTTAATGCATAAGTTTTCAGAAGATTCTCCTGCTATAGATATTCAGTTTAATATCGACCAAACAATATTCTTAAATGTCTCAAACTACCTAAAACTCAATCATTATTAATGCTAATTGTAAGTATGCCTTTTAATCTATATCTATTATATTTTTATTTTAAATGTTACCCAAAGGAACAAAAAGAAACTACTTGCTATGGAGATTGTAATGTTCAAGCGGTATTGGAAAAGTTTCATGAATATATCGAGCTTTATAGTGAACGAGAAGTCAGTATTTTTAAGAAAATATACTCAGACTCACAACAAACAATTGAATCGTTGGATATCGTTGATGCATCAGCTGATGAGGATGATGGCGATGATGACGAGCTGGACGCCGATGACGATTTAGTGGATCTAGACACTGGAGATCTCGTCGACACTGCCGTACAGCAGTCAGACAAGCCATCGATTCACAACCAAAGTTTTGGTTTCACTTCCGAAATGTCTCTTGATGAAAGTACAAAGCTATCACTCGTATATTCTACCTGCGAAGAGTACTCTGTATCCGCCAATTGTCATGCTACAAAGACTCCATTAGAGCCAAGAAGGATATATTCTTTAATATATGTCTGAATGATGGATGCCAACAAGTTTTTGCGCAGGCTGCCGCTTACAATGCTCACAAAAACACCGCTCACGCGATCCACTCAGTAGTAGATCCTTCAAAATTGGAATGGGTTATCAAACAGAAGAATGGGTTTATGGCTAGGTTCATTGCCTTGCCAACTATCAGACCTCTTCTACGATCTCATCTCGATGAAAGTGAAAACCCGGCAGTAATTTTGGTGTTGGATACCGAGACCACTGGCAAATCTATATTGAAATTGAGATTACCATTGTTAACATATCCAATGGTGATACCTTTTACCAAAGAATCAATCCTACCATAGTTATAGACAAAGAAGCATCAAACGTACATGGTATGACGAATCAATCTTTAGCTGGACATCAATATTGGAATGCAATAGAGCCTTCCCTATCATTCTATCACATGTATATGATAATCAATCTCTGTGCCCACTCAGCCTATACAAGTTTTTACGATATGTTGTCCAGTACCCAAATACCAAGGAATCCCCATACGTCAAGAAATTCTCTTTAATGGACACCCTACGCAAGAAACAAAAGGTGCAAGATGATTCATTGGATAACCAGATCAAGAAGTACACAGTTCCAGTTCTGACTGAATTGTGTGCGAAACTTAATATTGGTATTCCAAAGAAATCTTTGAAACAAGATGTCATCTTATTGGTGCTGGAATACATCAACTCCCAACCTGAAGACCAGCTAGGAACCACTTTACATACTGTTTTTTCTCAACTCGATAACATTAAAGAATAACAAAATAATAAAAAAAAAGTTCTTCCCTCACTTCGAATCATCCCCTGTTGAAAACTAACTTTCAAAAAACTTTTTTGTAAACATTGTAAAAAGAAAAATAGGAACATAGAGGAGAGATAATAAAATGGGACAATCTACAAGCACTTTAAATAGTGGTATAATACGTAATAATCAAACTATATTACCGGATTTAATATGGAGAAATGTTATTGAGTTACTATCAGAGAATGAATGTAGAAAGCAACGACATCAATGGAATCCATTGTCATTGTCATTGATATCACACTATTGGTTAGTTAATATCATTGCTAAATCAACACTTAGAATAACAACACTCAACAGTAAATCACAATTTATTATCGGCTTTCCATTGACTTTTCAAAGATCATACCATCAACTTAATAACAACAACAATAATAATAATAACAATATAGATAGAAAGTTTAATATCTCTAAATTCACTTTGATCTACAAAGGAATCACCGATGGTACAACTAAAATAGATACTAGCTCTTTAATGTTCAAATTGAAAAGCACGGTCGGTAAACAACCGTTCCAATAATGTACCGTTGAAACTTGCAGCTTGGTTCCCAAACGTTGAAAAGCTGACACTTAATCATGTCTATCATCGGCTGGTGAACACCCACGCCAAGGAACCTGGCGACCAACCGGAATCGCTTCTTGGCGGTATGAAACAACTGAGATATCTAGCGATAACCAATCAACCATTCGATCACCAGGAAGACAATCATGACAATCTCTTTAGGGAATATAGAAATGGTCCGACCGGTAAAGTCTTTCTCAAGGATATCGATGCTATCGGACACAATCTCCACACTCTCAAGCTTAAAGGTCGGACGATGCCTCCCAATCTACTAGGTTGGAACACTCTTGAGACAATGGTTAATCTCCGTACACTATCGATTCATAGTAACGTAAAGATGGATACCGATTATCTAGGTTTGCTATTGGAATCGTTTAGACTGAAGAAACTCTCTATTCACATGGATGAGCAACTACTCATTGGCTTTCTTCATTACAACAAAAACGTTCAACACTTGAAAGCACGTAGATTGAATTCCTTTGATTTCAAACTGGTCTATTCAGCTTTCGAGAGAGCTTTGACAATACCCAAAGATATAACAATGTTCTTCAGAGACGCCTTAATAAGAAGTGATCAGGAAATAGCATATCAACTGCCAATAGCTTTTAAGAACTCCAAAGACTGTATCATATCCTACCGAACAGAACACGAAAACAAACTAGACAAACTAAACAATCTTTTGACATTGGAATAAACATTTGTCAATGTCAATTCTTGAATCTATAAAATCTATTGGTATAGAGCAACTGGTTCTACATTAAACAATATTTAAATTAGATAAATAGAAAACATTTTTTTATACTGTTAATCACTTATCATTATAAAAAGCAGCAATCATTGGTCAATATGTATAAATAGAATGTTTAATTAATGCTGTTTTTCAAGAGAATAAATCAATTCTTTTATTGTTATTACAAATGATTATTAATAGTTAATTTTTGTTTGCTTTGTTTTGTTTAGTTTTGTTTAGTTTTGTTTTGTTGATTGTTTAGATCTTGTCCAATGCTTGTGAAAGATCAGCAATCAAATAGTTAACATCTTCAATACCAACTGCGTATGCTGAACTAGTAAAAAAAAAAAAAAAGTAAAATAAAAAATTTTTTTGATCATCCAGATGAAAGTAACTAAATATTTCGGAATGATTTAACAAATAAAAAAAAACTGATAAATTTTTATCTAGATTACTTTTTTATTCTACTTTTAAGTTAAAATAATGGAAATTCTCCATAATCATTCATCCAATAAAATATTAAAGATTAATACTATTGCTATGGATTAATTGTATTTTAATTAAATAAAAAAAATACTGTCATAATCTTAAAATATGATTCTTTGTTCAAACCACCAATCAGGTTTACAAAAAGTTTTTTATATCAGACTTTCAAAAATTTTAAAACTTTTTGTAAACATTGTAAAAATAAAAATAGGAACATAGAGGAGGTAATAAAATGGGACAATCTACAAGCACTTTAAACAGTGGTATAATACATAATAATCAAACTATATTACCGGATTTAATATGGAGAAATGTTATTGAGTTACTATCAGAGAATGAATGTAGAAAGCAACGACATCAATGGAATCCATTGTCATTGTCATTGATATCACACTATTGGTTAGTTAATATCATTGCCAAATCAACACTTAGAATAACAACACTCAACAATAAATCACAATTTATTATCGGATTTCCATTGACTTTTCAAAGATCATACCATCAACTTAATAACAACAACAATAATAAAACAGTTGATAGAAAGTTTAATATCTCTAAATTCACTTTGATCTACCAAGGAATCACCGATGGTACAACTAAAATAGATACTAGCTCTTTAATGTTCAAATTGAAAAGCACGGTCGGTGTTAAGCTTGGTGTAGACCGCTGGTTAGAGCTGTACAATGAAGCACTGCTTTCTTTCTGGTCGGTGGAATCGTTCGCCGCTGTAGGATTGCCTCTCAACCAGAATATAGATTGTCTCTCGATAAGCAACCAACTGAGGAATCTAACTGTCTATGCCACTCACGGACATCTTTTCAAACTAAACAATCTAAGCTCGTCTTTTCCTCTGCTGCAGAGACTGCATCTCTGTGCAAACGAAAACTTTGGTATTATGACCAACCTGATTCTACCACAACTGCACCGCATGAAATCGCTAACGAATCTTTCGCTTGGCGACTACTTCACTGTGATACCGATGATAGATCCACAGCCGCTAACCAACATTAAGACACTGTCGCTGAACTACATCCACAAAACCCAATGGGTAGATAACCGTCCCAATAAAGTACCGTTGAAACTCGCAGCTTTGTTCCCAAGCGTTGAAAAGCTGACACTCAATCATATCTATCATCGGCTGGTGAACGCCCACGACAAGGAACCTGGCGACCAACCGGAATCGCTTCTTGGCGGTATGAAACAACTGAGATATCTAGCGATAACCAATCAAACACCATTCGATCACCAGGAAGACAATCATGACAATCTCTTTAGGGAATATAGAAACGGTCTGACCGGTAAAGTCTTTCTCAAGGATATCGATGCTATCGGACACAATCTTCACACTCTCAAGCTTAAAGGTCGGACGATGCCACCCGATCTACTCGGTCGGAACACTCTTGAGACAATGGTTAATCTCCGTACACTATCGATTCATAGCAACGTAAAGATGGATACCGATTATCTAGGTTTGTTATTGAAATCGTTTAGACTGAAGAAACTCTCTATTCACATGGATGAGCGACTACTCATTGGCTTTCTTCATTACAACAAGAACGTTCGACACCTGAAAGCACGTAGATTGAATTTCTTTGATTTCAAACTGGTCTATTCAACTTTCGAGAGAGCTTTGACAATACCCAAAGATATAACAATGTTCTTCAGAGACGCCTTAATAAGAGGTGATCAGGAATTAGCATATCCACTGCCAATAGCTTTTAAGAACTCCAAAGACTGTATCATATCCTACCGAACAGAACATGAAAACAAACTAGACAAACTATACAATCTTTTAATGTTTATTCCAATTCCAATGTCAATACTTGAATCTATTGGTACAGAGCAAATGGTTCTACATTAAACAATATTTAAATTAGATAAATAGAAAACATTTTTTTTATACTATTAATATTAATCACTAATCATTATAAAAAAGCAATCATTGGTCAATATGTATAAATAGAATGTTTAATTAATACTGTTTTTCAAGAGAATAAATCAATTCTTTTATTGTTATTACAAATGATTATTAATAGTTAATTTTTGTTTTGCTTTGTTTTGTTTAATTTTGTTTTGTTTTGTTTAGTTTTGTTTTGTTAATATTATTGATTGTTTAGATCTTGTCCAATGCTTGTGAAAGATCAGCAATCAAATCGTTAACATCTTCAATACCAACTGACAAACGAATCAAAGTATCGGTAATACCCAACTTGATTCTCTCCTCCAATGGTACAGAAGCATGAGTCATCAATGATCTGGAAATAATTAATAGAATGATTATTATTAGTAATTTGAAAAAACATTTGAACTTGATGATGATGGTAATTCAAATTTGAAATGTTTCAACTTACGGTAATTCAACCAAACTTTCAACACCACCCAAACTTTCGGCCAATGCGAATACCTTGAGGTTCTCCAAGATCTTCTTTGATTCGTCGAGTCCACCCTTGCAGAAGAAAACGACCATACCACCGTAACCCTTCATTTGACGCTTGCAAATCTCGTGTTGTGGATGCGATGGCAAACCTGGGTAGATGACACGATCGACCTTTGGATGTGACTCTAGGAATTTGCAGACGGCGAAAGCGTTCTTCTCGTGCTCTCTCATTCTGACGTGGAGAGTCTTGATACCACGAATGGCGAGGAAACAATCGAATGGCGATGGCACGGCACCGATTGAGTTTTGGAGGAATTTGAGCTTGGCGTAGAGTGCCTCGTCGTTGGTTGCCAGACATCCCATGACGACGTCAGAGTGACCGTTGATATACTTGGTGATGGAGTGCATGACGATGTCGGCACCCAAGTCCAATGGATTCTGGAAGTATGGCGACATGAAGGTGTTGTCGACCACCAAGATGGCGTTCTTGCTGTGTACAAAGTCGGCGACCAACTTGATGTCGGCGACCTTCAACAATGGATTGGTTGGAGTCTCCAACCATACCAACTTGGTCTTCTCTGTGAAAGCGGCAGCCAATTGATCCAAATTGGACATATCGACGAAACTGAACTTCATACCAAAGTTGGCGGCAACACGTGACATGTAACGTCTGGTTCCACCGTAGACGTCATCGACAGAGATAACCTCGTCACCCGATTGGAGTGAGTTGATAATGGTAGTCAAAGTAGCCAAACCACTTGCAAATGTTAAAGCATACTTGGCATTCTCTGCAGCTGCCAAACATTCCTCCAAAGCTTTTCTAGTTGGATTACCTGATCTTGAGTAATCATATCCCTAAACAATAGTAATAGTAATAACAATAATTATATATTAGTTTTGATCTTTTCTCTCTCTCTCTCTCTCTCTCTCTTTGAATATTAGTAATATACATACACCTGGCAATACATTTGGTGATGGTTGCAAGAAAGTGGTTGACAAAGAAATTGGGAGGATGACAGCGCCTGAAGTTGGTTCAGCTGGTTGACCAGCATGAATAACCTTTGTTCCGATTCTATAGTTATTGGCCATCTTTATTTATATGTATATATATATGTGTAAATGTTAAATATGTAAAATATGTAATTTTAAATTTGTTTAATTGATGATATTATTGGTGGTTTTTGAATGATATTTTTTTTGTTTAAAACAAATTTGTTGTCAAAAATATTGGCATAGAAATCAACGCTTATAATATGCTGAACTAGTAAAAAAAAAAAAAAGTAAAATAAAAAATTGGGAAAACAGATGATTCTCATTCGATTAGAGAATACTTCTTTTACCTCAGCACAACACAATCCCAAAAAAAGAAAATTAAAAATAATTTTTCTTTTTTTTCTTTTTTTTTTTTTTCTTTTTTGTTTTTATAATCTGATCTTATCTTTCTTTCTTTTAATTAATAAAATATTCTGGAATGGAAACTGGGGAATTCAATTCGTTTTAAGACATCTGGTCACAATAATAATTGTTACCATCAACTTTTATTTTAAAAACAAAATATGTTGTTTTTAAAAAGAAATATCATAACTATGCAAAAAAAAAAAAAAAAAAATGAAAAATGAAAATGAATGAAAAGTAATTTGAAAAAAATACAAAAGAAATAATATATTCATTTAAAAAATGACAGAAGTAGATATTACTACTAATAATAATAATACATCTACAAATGATGATGTAAATAATAATAATAATGATAACAATGTAGAAGATAGTAATAATAGTGTAAATAGTAAAAAACAAGATTCATCGAATAATGTTAATGTCACCACTGGTGAAATAGAACAACAACAACAACAACAACAACACCCAGTAGAACAAACACATAACAATATATTAACATCACAACAAGCATTGCAATTGGAGATGAATGAAGTAAGCAATGAAATGAATAAAGCTATTCCACAGCTAACAGAGGGTATCTTGCTAATGACAAAGATCCCTCTCGACGCACTCACTATGAAACTATTGGAGTTACAAAAAGAACAGACTGCACTACTCTCACTGATGTCAAGTGAGAATCAAAAACTACAAAGTGTTAAGGGTGTAGATATTATTTTTGAAAATGTAAGTGTGCATTTCAGCCAGCCAGCAATCAATTGAATTATTATAAATGTATAGAATATCATTATATTTATATCATTAGTATCAGTCAGTTCATTATCTAGATAGAATGAGCTAAATATAATGATATTTTTATATATTTATTCATCATTTTTGAAATCTGTATCTTATCATCTAATTATCATAAAATATAATGATTTTTATATTATCGTTATTCTTTCTTTTTTTTTTTTTTTTTTTTTTAGTTTTAAGAAGATCAATGAATATCTATTAAAAGTTCAGACAATGAAGAAAGAGATGTCGAATGTCAAGGAGAGAATGACTAAACTTCAAAAGAGAGCAGTCAACTTGAAGGAAAAGAAACAACAGCATATCAATAATTTAAATGAGCGTGTCGAAAAAGCATTGCAAAGAGAGAGAGATCTCACTGTAAAACCATCACCACAACTTGTACAACAGCAGCAACAACAACAACTTCAACCACAAAAGTCTAAAGAATCTTTAAACACGAATGTTAATTTATAAATAAATATATTATTATTAGTTTGACAAACAAACTTGGCTTGACTTTGAAGTTTCTACTTTAAATAATAACGTTATTTAAAATGCATTGCAAAATAACTTTTATTCAACAACTTTTCAAAAAAACAAAAATAAAAACCGTCAGATTTTTATTTTTGGGTGTTTCATCTCAAAAAGTCTTTGAATCAAGTTTCTGTTTTGGGGGTGAATTATTTCGAAATTAGTTGAAAAAAATAGAATCACAGAAAAAAATGATTGATTATGAAACAACAGATTTTTGAAAATAGCACAGATCAAAATAAAAACAAAATTTTAAAAAAAAAAAGAACTGTTGTTCACACACGATCCGATATGTTATTAATAATAATTAATATAATTTTATTAAATTAAAAAAAAAATAAAATTTATTTAGTATTATTGGTTTTACAATATATATGGTCATTCACTGTTTTTGTTGAGATAGCATATTTACCATACTCAAATTCTACTGTCACAGTGTTAAAAAGTGAGTTGATTTTAAAGCTAATTGATTCAACCACAAATCTTGCAGCAACTCCTGATTTAAGGGTATCTCTGAACCACCAGTCGTTGGTAATCAATTTTGGATACTTGAAACTTCTCTCTCCATTTGGGTCAAGTAGAGTGCACTTGTAGTGATGTATAATAACTGACATTTTGGTATCAAAAGAAATAGACGGAGCTACTTGAGGTGAATGAGAAAGTTGTGAAATGAATTGCATAGGAGATGTTTCAAAGCCATCTTTAGTCACACCAGTGATTGTTTTGTATGAACTAAATTTGACTTTTCCATCTGTCACTATTCCTTTTCTTTTTCTACCTCTGGTATGATATAGTTCAGTCGCTACTGGGGAAGTTGGTCCACCTGTAGTCAGAGCGTTTGGCACAGCTTCAATATGGGTTGTTGTACTAACGGTTCTTGGATTTGACCCAACTGGTGTAGGTGGATTTAACTCGGTCGTTGTTGGCTCTCGACCTCTTGATCCTGGACTGAGTCTTCTATTAGTGTATTTTTTGGCATAACTGTTCTCACCTACTTGATTGTTTGATAAAGTAAAAGATCTATTTCTTTAAAATAAAATAAATAAAATAAATTGTATTTATTAATAAATTACAATTCAATGAATGTGATTCACAACAAATTTTAATTATTAATTTATTTTTGTCATCTTTTTGTTATAAATATTTATAAATATAAGTATTTTGGAATAAACTTATGTCATTCTCTTAAACTATAGTGAAAAAAAATAAAATAAAATAAAAATAAAAAAACAATTAAAATTGATTGATTGGAAGATTTTTGTTGATGTTTAAATAAATCAAAAGTGTGAGTGGGGTTCAAAAATGGGCCAAGGTTACCTGTTTTTGTTTTGTAAAAATTTTTATTTTTGTATTGTTGATTGTTCTTTGATTTTTGAAAACAAAATAAATAATAATATTGATACTATTTCATTATTTATTTTCTATAGATTTAATTGTATTACAAAATATTTTTTAAGAGAAAAATCAACTATTTTAAAAAATAAAAATGCTGTTGAGGAATAAATATTCCATAGTAGTTTTATGTGCTTTTTTAATAACGGTTGGCTTTATATTGTTTGATAGCTACCAATTGGAATTGGTGCCAAGCAATAATAATAAAGAGAATCGTGATGTAACAATTGGATCGGTAGAGGAAGAGGAATTCGAAAGTACAGAGGAAGAATTCGAAGAACCGGAGGTAACAGATCCACCACCCACAACAAAACCACCACTGCCGACCACACAGAGCGGTCCTTATATTACTTTTGTTCTTTTGACTGCCGACGGTTTCAAAGAGACAAGAACCAAAGCTATCAGAGAAACATGGGCAAAGCGAGCGGTTGCCAAAGGTTGGAGAGTGTTCTATTACTCAGAAACCGATATGGGTTCACCAAACGACACTATCCCAACACTCGAAGAAGATAAATCAGGATATGGTAACGACAAGAAACAATGGAGAGCATGGGGACATGCCAACAACGAACAAGTACAATCCACTTGGTACATCAAAGTTGATGACGATGCATACCTCCACGTCGATCGTCTTGAAAAAACTCTAGCAAAATTAGACCCTGAAGGTGTCAAAGTTTACGGTAGATGTAAGTAGATCAACTATTACAATTGTCAGCAGACAATCATTCAATCAATCAATATAATATCAGAAATTGATTTATTAACAAATGGTTATTAACTTTTTTTTTTTTTTTTTAGGTGATAATTTTACATGGGAACCAAAACCATTTTGTGATGGTGGATCGGCTATTATTTTAACAAGAGGTGCTTTAGCAGCAATGATGAAATGGTATTATGAAGGAAAATGTAAAGATACAGGTCATAATGATTTAAGTACTTCATGGTGTTTTGTTGATAATGGTGCTTATCTTACACCAATTCCAGGTTTACATGGTGAGCCACCAGCCAACTGGCATGAATTATCCACAGATATTACATGGCATCATCTTGATCCAGATGGAGTTCGAAGAGTGGATAATATATTTTATTATAAATAAATCTTTGATAATAATAATATACAATTTATAATATTACAATTATCATCAAGTACAACACTTAGGTTTTCATGTAGAAACCCCTCGAAGAAAAAAAAAAAGTTAAATAAAAATTGGATTTTTTATTTTAATCAATAAATATTCAGAACAACCAAGTTTTAATTCAATTTTTTCTACTCCCCAAGAACAAAAAAGAAAAAAATAAATTGTCAAATAAATAAATACCAAAAAGTGATAGATTGTATTAAAAGTTAATTATCATTTACGTTTATTGGTAGAATTTTTTGAAAAATGAAATTGTTGAATTATTACTATCAGATGTATAAATTTCTAAAACTTGGTTAGATGAGCATAGATTTTCATGTGGTATAGTATCAGTACAATCATCATTGTAAGTAACATTTGGCAAGTTTGTTTGTAAATTGGCAGGTAATCCATGTGTCGATGTTCTAACTCTTTTTTGTTTTGCTACCATAGGTGAGTAGTGTTGGAACTTGTCGAGTTGGGCAATACTGAAGGTGTTAAGTCAGGTCTGAAGCATTTGAAGAAGAGTTTGGTACAGGTATAGCAGTTAGAGCAGGAGTAACAGATAACGCCAGTGTTAATATCGGTGACTATCAGGCTCTTACGTTTCTCGGCATATGCTAAATTCCGATTGACGCATTAGAATATACCTTGTCACAGTTGTTGACTCTGTTCGTAAAATGCTATGGTTGGTCGCGACCAGTATCAAGATCACAAGACAAGGAGAAGAGCGATCTCTCTGACCACCAATGGTGTTTGATGAGCCTTGAGCCAGTGAAATCCATATATCTCCCAAGTACAAAAGAGACCATAAATGTTGAAGACAACCCTTTCTTCCTGTATAAGCCAGGAGGAGATCCACGTTTAATAACAAACCAGCCTCCAGAGTCTTGTAAAATGTTTCAGCAGCAAAATGAAAGTTTGGACAGGAAACAATAAGCTTGATGAACTTGTGCCTTTTTTCAATTCCAAAGTTTGCCAAACGCTCCAACGATCCTCCAAACCTTTCTAAGATATCACCAAGATGAGCGATGAATAAATGTAGGTAGGATATGATATTCTTATTAAAAAGAGTACAGTATTGCTTTCCAAATTCTGTTGATAATTCTAACCATTTTCATTTGTTACTATCACATCATCGCTTTTACAGATTTCAATTAGATACACAAATAGATCCCACAATTGAATAAGTTTTCTTTTCTACATCCTTGCAAATGATATATATAATGGTATTTCGACAGTTCGTCAACTTGATACACTCATCGTATCCGTACTCAAGTCTGTCTACTAGATCGGCCACCGATTCACCCTTATGGTTGGTGTAAAGTATAATGTTCAGTTTTTTTTCTGATTAGATCAACAAATTGCTTTTTGGCTCCTCTGTTGGACGACTTTGCTTGTTGGCCTTCTTAACTTCCTTGGCCTTCTTTAACACATTCTCATATTCGCTCTCCAATGCCAGATTTGCCAAAATAGACTCTCTCAGGTCGTATACTTTCTTGTACTTGACTGTTAATAAAGAATAGTTATTGTTGAAGAAAAAAAGGGGGGTTTCTGCATGTAGACCAAAATGCTGTGTAAAAATAAAATGGACAATACAAAAACAACAACAAAACAATCTATTTTATTTTTAATTTTAATATTTATTCAAATAGATTCTCTTGATCGGCAGCTTCATTATCTTCATTGATTTCAGATGAAACTTGAGTCCAGTTGTGGAAATGAGATGGACGATGTGCTTCGTCGTAGAAATTCTTTGGATAATCGAGTTTCAAACCGTAGGTCATGTTGGCAGAGTGTTTGACACCCATAAAGTTGTAATTCCAACTACCACGATCTGGAATCATGTAGAAACCTAGGAAACGGTCAGATAGCAACATTTGAACCTTTTCATAGTGAGATGGTTGGAATCCTTGGTAAGCCTGTGAGTCTTTGTTGGCCTTACCCCATTCGTATCCGGCTGGTGTAAGTTTGTAAGCGGTGAGTGTACATGGCCATGAGACAGACACCGAGATGATGATTGCTTTCTCGCCGTCCCACGATTTGTTGTCAGACATAATCTTGGAGTGAGTGATACACTCTTGAGGAGACAACTGAGGTAGTTCCGTTGGTTGAGTGTGAATCCAACCGAGTGGTTCGAGATCTTTGAGATATTCGTGCTCTGGCATCTGATTGGGAACGTTGACAAACACTGGTGTTCCCCATTGTGGAACCATTACAATACAACGGATCTCCTTGACTTGAGGATTGTCGGGTGGACTGATACCGTAGATGTAACCGGCGATTTGAGTACGTAGATCTGCGATGGTAATGAATTTCTTCAAGATGTTCTTGGGAACGACATAGGTGTAGCCTGTCTCCTTGACAAAGTCAGAGTTGACGTAGATCTGATTGGTACGCATATGCAAGTTGGTAGCAGAGATGGCACGAACACGCCAGTCTGTCTTACTGGAGAATACTTTTTGTTCGTGTGGCGATGTCGCTGTGGAAATGATTTCCTCACCGTGGATGTTGGTGGTACGAACAGTGACCGCAGTCAACTGACTGGCCTCCTGTTTCTGTTTATCGATCTCAGCGATTTGGTCTTCACGTTGTTGCGATGGAGCAGAGATCTCCATACCGAGAATGATATCTCTAATCTCTGATTGAGTGAGCGATGCAACATTGACATTGTTCTTCTTACCGAAATCGGCAAGAATCAAATCCTTGAGGGCAACTTCAACCTTGATCCACTCTTGATCGGTGAGGGTTGGCCAAATGTGATGTGGTTGGGTAATTGTGTTCTTGTCGGGTTTGAGGATGATCTTGGTTCTCTCGTTGTTGACGTGGAGCGCACGAAGAATCAAAATGAGACGTGAGAATGCAGTGTACGAAGGGATGGTGTTCAACCAATCGTCGTAGATGTTAAAGAGAACCATCTTTGGTTCTGTCGCCTTGAGAATCAAGTCACCGAACTTCTCAATCTTTAGACACGATTGGAATGGCAGTTGAAGCTCACTACCTTGGATAACGATATTGGGGAAATCGAGCAAATGAACTTCCAGTGGATCCAACATACCTTTTCTGGTGACAACGATTTGCTTTGGTTGTTCTTCTACTGGGAGCGAACGAATGAGAGCAGCAACTTCTTCTGCAGTCTTCCACTTGGCCAGCTGACCAAGACGCTTCTGACCAAGCCAGACATCGGTGTGAATGATCTTGAGGAACAACTGACCGGTTCTTGGATTAAAGATAAAAATGGCACCGTTGATTGGCTTGGTAGCAAGATTACCCTCGAATGTCTTGTGAATGGTGACACGATAGACATTGGTGTCATCGACGAACCCAGATGATCTTGTTGGAGAACAACTCACCATAGTTTTGTGACGAGAGATATGGCTCGGTTGGCTCCGAAGAGTAGAGTTGCAAACCCTTACGAATACGCTCACGCAACACATAGAGCGCAGGATTGGACTTCATAATCTTGTCCATTGCACGTTGAACCAGCGGTTTGACACCGGGGAACCAGTTACCGAAGGAACTGTAGATGTTGTATGCCAGATCGATACCGATGAGACAACCGGTCGGCGATGGATAGAAAGACATCTGATCCATGGTGTAATCGAGGAATTTGGCACGACTGTAACGCTCGATGTCGTGTGAATCAAAGTCACCCCACTTCAACTGGACGTCGAGCCAATATTGAGTGGTGGATCCGTCGTAGGTGTCACGAGTGTCCTGGAGAATCGATGGACGTGACACTTGCCATTTGTGAGCGGCACGCAACAAGATGTCGGCACACGATGAATTCATCTTGTACGACTTTCTCGGGTGAATAGCTTCTTTGTTTACGACGGCAATCTCGAGATTATCGAGTTCCTGATCAAACACCTGACACAAATCCATTACGATGGACTCATGAATCTTTTGCCAGAGATGTGCTCTGAAGATCTGAATCAACGAGATCTTGAGTGTCGGAATCTTACCGTGCATGAAAATACCGGTCAAATCCAGCTGCACTTGGAAACCAACGTAGACATTCTTACGATTGATGGTTGGTGACCACCAGAGTGTGAAACGACGATTCGGAATCTGATTCAAACCGGAACGTTGTGCATGTGTAAGTTTCTTGTATTTCATCGACTCTTCGAAACCGGATGCCTTCTCCCAGAACAGACCTTCCCAAGTTGGGAAGTAGGTTCCCTTGAAGAGTGTGTGCTCTAGGATACCTTCGACACCACCCAATGCCTGAATCATATCGGTACGGTAGTTGTTGAGATTCCACAGCTTACCGTCATGACGTTGATTGGTCCACCAGAACGGATTGGATTTGAGCACCTGGTACTGTTTCCAGTCGGTACGAACACGCCAACCTTTGTCATAGGCAAGAGTGTGTCTGCTCTTTTGGAACAGTGTATTGATACGTGGAATACCACGATCCCAACTGTCTTCGAGATCCTCGAGTGCGAGATTCTTGTTCTGTGACTTGGCTTCTTCGTATTTCAGAGCGTACTCTGCCCAGACACGTTGGGAATCCTTGATCTCTTGTTCCCATGGCTGGATATAACGGTAGAGATTTGGAATCAACTGATCCTCGTCGTGTGACATACCCGATGTGAAATGAGTGATTCCAGTGTCGGTCTGACGCGAATAACGAAGGTCGGACTGTGGAATCAAGACGTGACCCATCGACAACATACCGAGTCCACCCAGCTCCTTTGGAGTGTAAAAGACAACCGGCGGGAATCTGTTGGGCATCTTTGAGTTGAGACCGATCTTGACACGTGTCTGAATCTTGTTTTCACAACGCACCAGCATGTCGAGCATCTCACGCGTCACGACAACCGCCTCACGATAGTAAGTCATCAAACCGATCAGAGCGGTATTCCACTTGTTGACAATCTTTGTAAAGGTAGTCGATCCCGATGCCATCAAGATCATTCTGATACGATTTTCGAAACGCTCCATAGAGTCGCGATCCACACGCAAATAGGCCTGTGCGGTTCTCTCACGAGTGTTCATGTTCTGTAGACTCCAAACACTGTCCTTTGGTATCATTTGTTCGTTGGTTGCACGACACTTTGGAAGTATTCTCACTTCAAAACCAGACATGCTGAACAACAAGTTGGGATTGTCACGTGAGTAGACAGACACGAATGACTCGTCCCACTCGATAGTGGTCAACGAACGTGGAAGACGATTCTTGATGTTCCAGAAGACGGCACGACCCAAGTTGACGTCGTGTTTCATCAAACGCATACGACAATCTCTTGGCCAACATTTCTTGTTGTTGTAGCCAACGACGTTTTCATTGTTGGGATCGGGATGCTCCGACATGTACTTTTGAATCAACTCTCGCGATTCGTCCTGTGTGAATTTAAAGAGGATGTGAATACGATCGACGTTTCTTGTGTAGAGTCTGATCGGGTGGTTAGTCTCTGTCTCGACATCCTTGTAGGTCAAGAATGGATTGGGGAGATTGGGAGGACCGGCTATTTCAGCAGCACGATTCAGACCGAGAATCAAAAGATCCAACACCAATCCATAGTACTGGAAGATGAACGATGCAAACTGTAGACCACGAATCAAACCGTAGGAGTTGGTATGATTCATGTCCTTGAAGTTGATAACCACATTGTTCTTACCGGACATGTAGTCAGCGAGATTCTGGTCGACAATCAAACGAAGCAAACGATTCATCAAAGTGAGATCCATCTTCTCGTAGACTTTGCTCAGCTGTGTTTCCATCATAACGACACATTCTCCGTCGGATGTATCCCAGATGGAATCCAAGTTATTGACACCCTGGCACCACTTGTGGACGAGAACAGGGGCTGGCTCATTGTCGGATGGCTTCACCCAGTTGGGGAACAACTGACGCTTGTCCGCCTCATACCAGAGATACTGATCCAAGTAGGCATCGGTGATCTTCTCGAATGGCTCCACATCGTACACTGGAGTCAAGTGAGTGTAAAGATCCATAAATTCGATTCCAACCTCCTTGAAAGTTCGCTGTGTCAGGAGATGTCGCTTGATACGTGCGAGTGCTTCATGAGGATTCTCATAGGCTTGTTCGATGAGAACGAGTTCCTCACGTTGCGATTGATTTAGACGCGACTTGACACTGTACGCTTCCTTGAGACGCTCAAGTGCCAATGTCAAAATCTTGATGTCATGCTTGTAGCTTGTCTGTGGGAATGGAATCGATGAGAAACGACGTTGTTCAAGCCAATGGACAGTGGTGGTGTAGATGGCGACACCCTCCTCTGCAGAGACATAGGGACCGTCCTTCAAGTAGTTGTGTTGACGCTCCTGTTCCGCCTTGAGCGAAAGACGTGTCAAACGACCGAGATTCTTCTTGCAAACGGTCTTGTCGACGGTAGCACCACGACGGATACGCTCACGATTATACTGCGCCACGTTTGTCCACCAATCTGCCTTGCTCTTTACGAAACGCAGAATCATATTCTCAATGGGAATCGGTAGACCCGGAACTTTCCATGGAATATTGGCTTTCCAGCAACGCCACGACTCTGAAAGATGTTGGAGGATGATACGTGTCTTGTTCTCCTTGACGCCCTCGGGCATCATATCGAGGATATCAATGACGACGGCAGCACGCAACTTCACGTCGTGGTCAGACTCGACACGCTGCTTGGTCTGTGTCTTGACAGTGTCGTTCTGTCTACCCTCGAATTGACGCGCCAAAAGATTACCAATCCAACGCTCCAGCAGCGGAACGATTCCACGCAAGAAGAACAGCCAGACACGCCACATCGGTGCCCAGAATCCGCAACCGGGACCCTTTCCAACTGGACCAGTATTGAATCGGTAGTAGATCAGATGTTTCAAATCCTTACACATACGAATCTGTCGCATCAAACGATACTTGTAACGGAACATACCGGTGAGAAGACCGATATGCGAGAAGAGATATTGTAGACCGTCTGCCAACTGGAATGCTTCGGCAGCACCCAGACGATACTTGACATGCGTATCAACAACCAACTTGGTCATTCTCAGAATTTCACGACACAAATGGAAAGCATTACCGAAACGCGACTTCTTACGCTCCTTGGTGGTGAGTGTCTTGATTGGTTTGAGATAGAAATTGTAATCCAAATGCAAGTAGTTTAGATTCTTACGATGAATCAAGAGATTCAACATGTTGTAACCTTGTCGACATATTTGTAGACCGGCTTCGACCCAGTCGATTTCCGTCGATTGGAAGAACTTGGTTGCCTTGAGCGAGCGGAACAGGTATTTCTTGTTGAGTGATTTCGGTGGACGATGATGCAACTTGTTCAGCACGTAGCATTTGAGCAACTTTTGGTAGCTGACACGTACTTTCACCGGGTGTCCAGGTGGGCAGTGCTCCTTGTACCAAGTCTGCACCAATGGGATATCTTGAGCACGACGAGTCAATCCCGAGCGTTGATTGAATGGTTTCGGTGCCCAATACAACTGGATTCCAGCTGGTGTTGTCTCTGTATCGAGCTCTGTCTCCTGGAGGAATGGATCGACTTGTTCTGGAAGCGCGAAATCGTCGTCCTCATCGCCATACGCTGTTTGTGGCTGCGACTTGTCCAGTTTGTACGAGGGAATGGGGTGGAGCAGTACCGGATCGAAATAGAATCCCGGAAGATCGGGATCTGTCGATTTGGCATAGCAGATATTCGGTGCGTGATAGAATGGGATGGCTACCTTACGTGGACGATTATTATAGAGATAGGGGAAAGCTACCTTGTATTCCGTACGAATCTTGTGACGAATGATAATCTTATTGATATCGTTGAACTCATTCCAGTCCTCGTCGTCATCCTCCATATCACGGAACAACGGCTCAAACTTTGGACCACCTGGAATCGCCATATTCAACGCCTTGGCAGTGAAGAACGACTTGTCATCAAACAAATAGAAATAGTTGTTATCAGTCAAATCCGACAACAAAGGTGATGCCAATCTCAACAAATTCGATAAGATAGGTAAATCCAATTTCCATTTCCTAATAAATAATAGTCAAGAAGAAAGAGTTAAGTAAAGTTAGTAAATGATGATGATGATGATGATAAACATATTTGACAAGTTAAACAAACAAAACAAAAACTTACTTATAAGATGGACCATTTACATATTTGGTGTTGGATAATGGCTTGGAATCGTAGAACCAATCGATGACGGCGGCATCTTCAGTCTCGTCGAGATCCATCTGAATGGAATACTCGACTTCTTCGTCGAGGATGTTCTCAGAGTAGTCGAGGGGTGGCTCTTCGTCGTCGAACAACGGGAATTTGATACGTTTGAAATGCTTACGATCACGTTTCTCACGCTTCATCGTCACCCACATACTACCCCACTGTGCAGTGTAGACCGGCTCGATCACCAGCGGTATCTCATTGACGAATGTGATGGCACCGGTGATGTGATAGAGCACCTTTACGTTGCGAACCTGTTCCCATGGCATCGGCATGTTCTCGAGCAGCTTGAACACTGCATGCGGCATATACTTGAGCGCACCGAGATAGACACGTTTGTCGTGTCGGAACTTCTTGCTCGACATATCACCGTGATCCTTGATGATCTTTCTCAGATGCTCTGGTGGCATATCTTCTTTCTGTGGTTCGACATATCCAAACTTTCGTTTATCACTATATCTTTTATTATTTAATTGTTTCCATTTCTTGGCTATAAATAAATTAGTAAAAAAAAAAAAAAATTTAAAAAGTAGTTAGTAATCATATGTTATGTTTTAAAACTATATTAATATTAATACCTTACCTTTTTCTTGTAATTTATCAACATCTGACATTTCTGTTAGTTGTATTTTAAATTGAGTTTATTATTAAACTCTATATTTTATATATCGACTATATCTTGTTTGTTCTTTCTGTTTTTTTCTTTCTGTTTTTTTTTTTATATACTACTACTAATACTACTAATATACATATAATATTTGAAATATGATTGTTATGTTATGATATCTGTTCTGTTCGATTCAATGATAATGATTGATGATATCGAGTTTGTTTATTGTTCTATAAGTTTACTAGTATTGTTTAGATATTGTTTATCTTTTATATTATAATTTTAATTCCAAATAACTAAAGTTTGATTTGGTCGGTTGAATCAAAAACTAAACACCAGTAAACTCACTAATAAACGAAACAAATAAACATTCAATAAATGAACTTAAGAGTTTGATCGAAAAAATGATATTCTTTTTTTCTTATCAGAGTCAAAAAAAAAAAACTTGAAAATTTTTAAAACTCATTGTCGAATTTTTAACAGCTACAACAAAAAGAGATAAAGATAACAATTGTTTGATTCAATCAAGTAATTTTTTGATTAAATATATTATCCTTTAACACTTTATAACAAGACAAATAGTAATAGAAAATATTTCAATTTCAAAAAAAAGAAAAAACAAATTCATGACGAACTTTTGTAATTTTTTTGAGAATATATAAATATAAATAAAGTTAGTTTGAAATAGCAAAATAGGTAAAAGTAGTAAAGATATTAACTATTTTTAGGAAATAGTAGTTGTTATCTCTTGTTTGTTTTGTTAATCTTTATAATTGCATATCATTTTTTATATTTGTTTCAAAAATGTTGAAGTTTTTAATTTTTTTTAAAAATAGATCTCTAAAAAAAATACTTGTAAAATTTGAAGATTTGGAATTGGTCTGAAAACAGTTCAATGCCTACAATGAAAACGGAATTAAAAGTGTTTTTTTTTTATCCACCCAAGCATAAAACTCACCCAATATTGATATCAAAGTTGGCATTCTCTTTTTAGAGAATGCAAGATAACTGTTTTTGAGGACTGACCAAACAAAACATTCACTATTTTATTTTATTTTTAAAATTAATTTTTATTTTATTTTAATTTGATTGGTAATAATATCAATTGAGTCTTCTTTTATTATTTATATATTTAAATATAAATATTCACTGACTTTAGATAGCCTATTAATAAGTTATTATTAAAACATAAAACAAAACAAAACAAAATGGGTGGTGGATCATCGAAATTAAGTAAACACGATATTGAATATCTATCTCAACAGACATGTCTTTCAAAGGATGAAGTTGGAAAGTTGTTCCAAGAGTTCAAGGTAATAATGATAGCAAGCAATGTGTTATTAATTCAATTTCAAATTAACTTTTCTTTTTATTATTATTATTATTATTTAATTAATTAGAAATATGATACTGATGGTAATGGTTCACTTGATAGAAATGGTTGGTATTTTTACAATTTAGATTGGTTTGATTTTGATTTTGATTTGTTTTGATATTTAATATTTACATGTTATGCTTTTTTTTTTGTTGTTGTTGTTGTTGATAGAGTTTATTGCATTCTTCAAGAAGAGAATGCCAAGTTATCCATCGGATCAGTTGGTTTCACTGTTTGAGGAATTCGATAGCGATAAAAGCGGTACAATCGATTTCAAGGAGCTGACTGTTGCCATGTCGGTGATTGGTAAGGGTACCGCCGAGGACAAGTTGGGATTGCTCTTTGATATCTACGACAAGGACAACTCTGGAACACTCGAGAAGAACGAAGTCGACCAGATCATAACATTGATGGTCGGTGTCGGAAAGTCACTAGGAAAGCCAGAACGTGACGTCAGCGTGTTCGTGCGTAAACTCTTTGAGAAACTCGACGTCGACAAGAACCAAATGATTAGCAGAGCAGAGTGGATTCAACAAGGTTCATCATCACCATCCCTTCTTCTTCTACTTGGTATCAACAATGAATATCAACCTTGAAGCGGGCAGCCAGCCAGTCAGCAAGCGCAAGGTTAAATTAAGCCAAACCCAACCATCTCCAAAACCAAAACCAAAACCAAACCAAAACCATATGGGCAGCATGACCATTGTTTAAAATTATTTATATTATATTTACATTTTTATAAAATAAATTTTGTTGATATATTAATATGTAACTAACTCTTATCTTAGAGTGTATTTTCATTTGCTTCCCATTCTTCAACTAATATTGATATCAAGTCGGGTAGTGGTACTCGTTTTGAAAATACACCATTCTTATTGAGAAGTTCATCGATCACTTGAATGGCATCTACATTTCTTATATCGTTGGCAGTGTTGTTTCTGTTATTAGTTGTACTACTATTATTATTACTACTGATATCACCATTGATATCATTACTATTATTATTATTGTTATTATTATTGACTGTTGCTGTTATTCCTTTATTCTTATTCTTACTCTTCCATTTATCATTAACTAATTTATAATTCTCAACACCTAATGTTAATTGATTGATTGTTTGATTGATTAGTTATTTCAAATCTCATTCTAACTATATATTCTATTCTAATGTAATCTAATGTAATCTATACACACCTTCATTTACCCAATTCTTAAACTTCTCAGATGGATCAAAACTGTAATTGTACTCTATATCGTTGGTATTACAATCGACCTTTGTAACTTTGATACCAATATTCATCATCGTATTATTATTAAAACCTGAACTACTATTGACAACAGAGTTATTTGAGGTAGTACTATTTGAGGTAGATGTCATTCTTTTGGTCTTATAATTTCAAATAGAACTGAATGCAAATGATTAATTTTTTTTGTTAAACTTTTTTTTTTTTTTAATTTTAATTTTTTGAAAAACAAATTGTGTTATGTGTTTATTTATATGTCGTCTATCATGAAAAAATCACTAAAGAAATGAAATATTATTATAGGAATATATATATATTTAAAGGATTTTGTTTCGATGATATACCATTTTCATTGTTGTTTATTATAAAATTTACAATCCCATAAAAAAGTGTTCCAAAATTTTTGCAATAAGCAAAGGTTTTACACTGAAAACAGTACATCGTAAAAAATCCTTTTTTGAATTTTATTGTGAAATGAGACTTATTTCATTTTGCTTTTATCATTAAAGTAAGATAAAATATTAGAAATTATGCTGGCTAACGCTATTGGTATTACCAATGGATCGTTTTTCAGCGCGCTTATCTAATGAAATTATATTAAATTACAACAAATAAAAAAATAAACTAAAAATAAAAATAACATAATACATTTTTCATTAATTTTAATATGATTGTGTACATTTTTCACAGGTATTTTCTAATATATCTACTTTATTCAATTCACCATATTGCACATCACCATCTTCTTCATTGAGATTCAAAATGAAAACAATGATAATAATAGTATTAGGTATTGTCAATAAATAAATCTTAATAAACAAAAAAAAAAGATATAATAAAGAAAAAATAAATAATTATTTAAAACAACGATATTTATTTCGGTATTGGAAATATCGTCGCGTCGTTGTTGTATTAACGAATAAATTTTTTATACTTGGAGATCTCCTATTTTAAATTAAATTATTGGTTTTGTGACTGGTTGTACAAAAATTCAATCTTATCTTAACGATGTTGGAGTTATCGTGATTGGGTATGAAAAAAAAACAATAACAACATTTTGACCAATTAATTAAATTAAACACGTTTAATTTTGTAAACAAAAAGATTTAAAAAGTAGTACTATTTTTTACATTTAATGTTATTTAAAACTATTATTAGAAGAAAAGATTAACTTATTTTTAGAAGTATAAGTAGAAGAAGAAGTAGAAGAAGTAGAAGAAGAAGAGAACTTATATAGATATAAACAAAAAAATAGAAATAAAGAAAGAATGGGTATTTATTATGAGGATAATAATATATTTTATCAAGAAGGTAATATTCCTGTAGTGTATGTATTGCTATTATTATTATTATCAACAGTTTAAAACTCTATAGAAATATAACATTAACAATTTGTTAATTATATATATATTATTATTATTAGTATGACATTTCCACATAGTGGTCTTAGTTTGATAGATGGTGTTGAAGTCAGAAAGAAAGGGATTATAGATGGCGATTGTTTCACCGATTTATTTGCAAACTATATGGTGCAGATGTTCAATTGTATTGGTTGCAACTGTTGTATGAAAGATGTAGATAATTGCGGTGGTTGTACAGATGCGACTGCTTGCTGCTGTGACAGCGTTGCAGGCATACCCGACTACAATACATTCGAGTTCAACTCACAGTGCTTGCGACCATTCATCATCTACTCAAAGATCGATCGTAAGCACTGTGATTTCAATCGCGCCAAGGAGGTGGCATACGAAGATCAGCGATTGGCCGATATCTACGACCAGTATCACCGTACGATCAACGAGTTTGTTTCCAAGGCAACCAAGCTGGTTGGTGGTGATCACACTCGTGTTCTGCTGATGGACATGCATGGCCAGTCGGATTTACGCGGTCATATTCTCAGAGGAACACGTAATCTCAAGACGGTGCAACCGATGCTGAAGCGATTCGGAGTGCAATCGCTGATCGGCGAGCACAGTCTGCTCGGTTACATTCACAATCGTGGCATTCCCGTGTTTCCAACACTGGTGCCACTGGAATACGACAACAACCAAAAGCCAATAGAATCACCGAAATCCTCAAAGCTACAGCTCGATCCATACCTGGAGCATCCACACTACAGCGGTGGTTACACAGTTCACAATTACTCACAGAAACAACCAATCAATTGTATACAACTTGAATTTGGATTTAATTTGCGAAACAAAGATGATCAACGAATGAAAGCTGCCAAAATAGTTAGAGATGCTGTTTTCGAATTTTATAATCATTATTTAAAGAATGAAAAAGAGTAGTAAAGTATTATTTCCTTTTTTCTTTTCTAATTTCTTTACAAAGTCTATCTTTAATAAATAAATTTTATTTAAAATGTAACAATTATTATAGTTCTATAATTTAGTTATTAGTTATTAGTTATTATTATTATTATTTCTTTGAAGGATCGGGTATTAATGATATTTCACTATTAGTTTTAAATGGATTCATTAAGAAATCATGATCATCCAACATCGATGATTCAGCTCTAGTTTTTGGACTGATCGATTTAATATAGGAAATTGGATCCATTTGTTTGTTGTTATTATTATATTCCTGTATCCTATTGATATGTTTCTCTTTTGGTTTACTGTTGTTTCTGTTACTATTATTGTTAACTTTATTTTCATCTTCTTCTTGGTTATCTTTAACAGATGGTTGATTTACAAATACTTGTGGTGCAGGTGGTGGTGGTACAGCAGTCGGTTCCTTCTTTCTTTGTTCTTCAATGACTTGGAGTATCTTTGAGGTTATAGGTGAAATGAATGTATTATAACTGATATGATTGTTTTGTATTATTTTTGGTTGTTGCATTTCGAAATGATTATTTAAATTATTTCCATTGTGATTATTATTACTAAAAGCACTACTGAGGTCGTCTGGCACTGGCATTGAATCGGTTAGTGTTGGTGAAGTTTGAAGTTTATCATGTGCCTTTCTAATATCTAACTTTTGTTGTTGTTGTTGTTGTTGCTGTTGTTGAGGTAGTTGTTGTTCTAGAGGTTTAGGTTGTGGATCGGCACTACTAGGTTTAATATTATTTATAGGTGGTGTTTTAATTATTTTTATACAAGGTTGTGTTGTGAATGATGTTAAACTAGTAGATGTTGAAGGTTTACACTCTTCATCATCATCACTTTCTTCATTATTATCTTCATTATTATTGTTATTTTCATTATCTGTATTATTGTTATCATTACAAATATAAAAGTTACTATGTTTTCTAAAATTATTATTTACATTATTATCACTAGTTGTTGCTGCTATTGACATATTATTATTATTATTATTGTTATTGTTATTGTTATTATTTGGTGAAGTATTATCATTATTATTATTATTATTGTTTATCGATTTCAAACTTTGGAAATGTGATTTCTTTGGTGATGCAAATGTTTGGTCAATGTTGAGATATTCTATTCCTCGCGGAAATTTGGGATCCCAGTCATGGTAGTGTGGCGATCCGGCAGAGTCGATCGATTGTCTGAGTCGGAGAAACTCTTTCTTGGCAGAGGCGTTGGCACAGTCTTTTTTGTGCAAGAGGAACCAAGTCTTCATTTTACCTTTACCCTTGACATGAACAATGTCCGGTTGCTCACAGAATTCAAACTTGTCTTGGGTGAGTTGGTAGACACGATCCGATACGTGAACATGACACGGTATTCCGGTGGATTCCATGCGACTTGCTACATTGACGGTATCGCCCCAGACATCGAAATGTGGCTTCGAGCAGCCAGAGATAACACCGGAAATAACCGGTCCACAGTGAATGCCGATTCTAACCTTCAAACCGAGATGGCTAGACAACTCTCGCTGGATAGTCTCCAGAATGTCCAAACTAAACTCAAGCATTATTTCGGTGTTTCGCTTGAGATTGCTGCTGGTCGATGACTTTGGCGATAGTCCTGTTGCCGCCATATAGGCATCACCAATCGTCTTGATCTTCTCGACGCCATACTTTACACAGCGTTCGTCGATCAAGTTGAAAATCTTCTTTAGTACCTGAATGATTTGCTCGGGTGTGTGAATCGATGAGAATCGAGTGAAACCGGCGATATCCAAGAAGAATACACAGGCGTTGTTCGATCGCTCCGCAACGACATCCTCGCCAGACTCTAGCTTCAGAGAGACTTCCTGCGGTAGAATTTTGTTCAACAGCTGCGATCGCTCTTTGATGATTCTCTCGTTGTTGTTCTTTCTTCGCTTCTGCTCCAATATGTACAAAAATATAAATATATTCAAAAAAGTTAAGGTAAATGCAACAAGCATCGGTGAAGAGGTTCGCTTTTCGTTCTCAAACATCTGATTTGAGAATGCAACCATTTTAAACTCTCTATTGGCAATAGTAAAAGATAAATCTATTTTAATAGAACTTTTGTTATGTATTTGGAATAAATAAAGTGTTAGTTAACATTTATGTTATATATATATATTTCAACTTAATAAATACAGCAACTTACTTATCAAATAATTCAGAATAATAAACATCATCTATATAATTATAGTCAAAGTCATCTTGTTGATAAAAGATGGAACCATCTTCGACCGCCATGAATATTGTGAACCATTTACCATCGTCTACGTTCATACGAGCGGATGCAAACATTTCGTCGGGTTCAAAGATACCTAGCGATACACCAACATTGTCTCGTACACGTTCAAGTGGAGTCGAGGGTGGAATTATCGATTTATAGATCGGACTTGTCACCATGAATGCCATACTCTGGTTTAAATGCTTACAGATGATAGGATCGTTGAAATCTAAAGTCATTTCATTCTGCTCTATTGAATAGCCTATCGATTTAAAATAGTTTGATGACTTTACATCTAATCCAATGAATTGTGTTTTCTAATAACATAAAAGTTGATAAATATTAATACTAAAAAGTTGGAACTGTGTATTACAAAAGAATTTATAAATAGATATAGATATATCTTACATTTGAAATTGGTGGATAATAAAATTGAATTGGATAATAGTAATCTTTATCAGATGACTTTACCATCTCGTTTAGGTTGTAATCCCATTCTTTGATTTCGGTTGCTTGAGTTCGCTCGAAATGTGCTCTGTCTTGATGCGAAACCTTTGGTATCCAATAGGTGTTTTTGATTCCGTTGTAGTTTGACTGGAATGTCGATATAGTTGAAAAGTATTTTGTGAAATCTGAATCATTGAATTCAGGTAATGAATAATATAATCCCTATTTTTGAATAAAAAACAAAAAACAAACAAACAAATATTAGTTAAAAAATATTTTTTATAAATTCATTCATAGCATTCAAACTTACTTTTAATGATTCAACGGCATAGAATAAAGATAGAGATGAAACTTCAACGTTGTGAATAATCTGTTTACAAGCACGATCCATATCGAGTTCGATGAGGTTGTTCTCCTTTTGGATGTAATGTTGGTATGAGACGTAACTGGTGAGCATACCGGTGAACAGAAAGGAGAATAGCAAGAACAAAAACATAAAAGAGAATCCTTCGATCGGCTCTATCTCTGAGAATTCTATTAGATTGGTCAGAGCTGACCTTCTCTTTTTTGATCTGTTCATTGTAGATCTATTACTACTATTGTTATTTTTATTTTTGTTTTTATTTAAATTGAAAACAAATAACATAATTTTTGTTAATTAATATTTTTAAATTTCTTTATATACAAAACAAACAAAACAAACCAAATCAAAGAAGATGATAGTAAATAGAACTATCTAATCCAATGTTTAATTGATGATTGTTAACATTAGGAAAAGGAAGTGATATCAAACGTATATTTTAAAATATATATAAATATATAACCAAGATAGATTTTCTTGGCGTTGTTGTTGTAATATTTAATTATAATCGTCCAGAAAATGGAATGATTAAAATAAGTATGTCTTCATTAAAAATGATGATGATGAAGATGATGATGATTTTATATTTATATAGATGATGAAGATGTTATTTTTTTTAAAGTCAACCAACAATGTATCGGAATGGACCTTGTTTTGTTTTTACTGCAGTTTAGAACTGCAAGAATATTGATTTGCGGGTAAGAAAAGTCAAAGACCAATATGAAATGAAAAGTCTGGTGGTCATTTGTTTGCAGTAGAGTATGTGTGTTGGGGGTGTGTTTTGTGTGTGTTTAGTGGTGCGTGTGTGTGTGTGTTTGTGTTATAATATGTTTGTTATTGTCAAACTTCTAAAACAATGAAAATATCCATTGGTTATTTGAAAAATTTGAGGTTTAGATTGTGTTTTTTTATTTTTTTAAAATAACAATGTCGAGTTAATGAAAAACCGTTGCGATGTTTACTGAATATTTGCAGTGTTTGACTTATTTTACTGAAAAAACTAATTTCATTGCCCACACCAACACTCTCTGTCTCTCGTTCTCTCTTTCTCCTAATCAAATTGAATCTGTAACAATGTGATGATGTCGATGATTTTATAAATCCTGGTTATTTTTATTATTCACTTCAACGATATTTTTTATATTAATTAAACATTAGATTTTCATCTATTAGACTCAAAAAAATTTAATTATAATAATTAATTATATCACAAGACAAAAGATGTGTTTGTTTGTTTGGGTTTTAAAATAAAATATTGTTAATATTACTTTTGGGTTGGAATTTTTCTTTTTGTTGTAGAAGTATTTAATGTTTCATTTATTAAAATAAAAATTAAAAAAAAAAGATAAATAAAATATATTTATAAAGTCCTGGATCTATCTATGTTTGTTTGTATACCATTAATAATAATAAGTATAAAAAAATAAAATTATTGAAATATAAAATAATATTGAAATTGGAATAATGAATTAATTATGATTATGTGTGTGTGTGTGTGTAAGTGGCTAGTCTTTATTATTTTCTCTTATTATTGTAAATTATTATATTGTTGTAAGTGATTTTTTTTTTCTTTTTAATAATTATAAAAAAATTAAAAAAAATTTGTGAAATTTAAGATCCTTGGAAAAATGTGGTTGAAGTTGTTGTTTTTTTTATTGCAACAAGATGTTTTGTTGCTCGTCCAAAATTGGAAATAAACAAACTAATTTAAGTGGTTAGAAAAAAAAATGTCGTTTTTTTTTATATTGTCAATTTCAATTGAATTTTAAAACACTTTATTACTTTTGTAAGTTGTTTTTTTGTTTTTTTATTTGTTTTTTTTTTTAGGTATTAATTTTTTTCATTGGTTGTATGGAGGTCGAATTTTTTGCGGTTATATCATCGATAGAATATATTTATTGAATGTTTGTTATTTTCTTTCCCTACATCCTTCCTTAGGTTATAAAAAAAAACTAGCAAACCTTGTTTTTAGTTAGTTTGTAAGTTGACATTGGTAACAATCATTTTGTGGAATCTCAAATTAGAATTGGAAATCTATTCCAAATGGAATTGAAAAACGGTTTTTAGTTGTTTTTTTTGTTTAGTTGTTTGTTTTGTTTTTGTTCAAACAATATGTTGATCTTAATACATCCATTTACCTTTTGACTTTCAAATTTGGTGATTGTTATTTTTATTTATAAAAGATAATTTTTTTCATAGCACTATAACAACAATGGAATGGTTTAAATTTCAGAAATTTAGATTGAATGATTTTGATTTTGTGTCGAATCAATCAAGAAAAAACAAAGTTGACAAATCTAATCGGAGCTGAATAGATATCACTTTTTTTAGAATAATTATTGTTGATTTGCAAAACAAAAAACTTGAAAACTTCTTATAAAACTTCTATAAATGTTTGGAAGACATGATCCCATTTTGAAAGTAAATTTCCGAATCCGAATTTTATTTTTAATAAAAATCTTTTAATTTTTGAATCGATCGATCAGTTCTCCTCGGTATATCGAACCAAATATGAAACATTGTACAGGAAAGGAAAATACAATTTTTCAATAAAAATAATCATCACTTGTTTTTTTTTTGATTTGCTTGATTAATTTTTTGCTATTCTAGAATTATTTATTCCAGAATATTAAAAAAAATAACAACAACAACAATTTATTGATTGTTGGTTTTTTTTTTATTGTTATAGTATTGTTTGGATGTATATAGTTTTACAGATTGAATTGCAACAATTATTAATTTCCAAATATTTTCAATGATTTCTTTGGTTTGATATTCTTTAAATAGGCTGCCGTGTCGATATGTCCAGATGCCATCGCTGTATCATAAGCAGTATCTCCAGAAATATCTTTAATATTTGGATTGGCGCCATTATTAATTAAATATCTTGCACATCTAAATATGTATAATCGATTATTGTTTGTTTTGTTTTTTTTTTGTTGTTAGTCGATTTGGATTTTATCATGAAATTAAATTAAAAATATTATTATTATTATTATATTTCTAAACTTACATTAAATGACCGGCAGATGCACTCATATGTAGAGGTGTCCATTGTTTTGCATTTTTTAGGTCAATTGGAATCTGGTTTGTTTGTAACATGAATGAGATTGAGTTGACATCGCCTGCGAGTGACGCGCAGTGCAGTGGGGTGTTTCCATTACGGTCGCATTTCGCACAGTTTGCTCCTTTCGACATGAGTACTTCGACAACTCTTGAATAGCCAGATAGCGATGCCACATGCAGTGGTGTCACTTGGTCTTTGTTGGTTCTATTTACATCGGCACCCATCGTTATCATCATATCGACAAGGTCTGCGTTTCCACTGAAGCACGCACCGTGAAGCGGAGTATTTCCATAGCACTCTGACTCGTTTATGTCTGCGCCAACTCCGAGTAGCGCCAGTACGCAGTCGGAGTATCCAGCCATCGACGCCGCGTGAAGCGCGTGCTCACTATAATTATTGGGGCGCAGCATTGGCGACACCAAAGGCGACTCTCCCACCTCGCCAGAGAATGAATCGCGATCCCTAATTTGCTCTGTGAACTCTATCCTACCGCCTTGCACACCCCAACGAATCAGAGCGAGAGCAATCTCTGTGAATCCCTTACGCAGCGCCACCATGAGCGGAATGTCGCCCTGAGCATCTGGCAAATGTGGAGTGGCACCCTTTTCGAGGAGCAACATTGTCAGCTCGATCGAGCCGTATGTACATGCATAATGCATCGGTGTCTCACCATATTTATTACAGATATCGAGTGGCGCGCTCTTCTCGATGAGAAGCTGCGAGCAGTCGGAAGCACCCTTTCTCACGGAGATATGCAGTGGTGTTTCACCCTCGTAGTTGTCGGCTGCCAATCGTGCTCCCATGCCAATGAGCAGTTCCAGCACGCGACTGTGATTCTGATAGACCGATTTATGGAGTGGCGTTTCGCCCCAGCAATCTTTCGCCTCGAGATTGGCGCCACGACCAATCAGCGCCTGACCAATGTCGGTCAGCCCGTAGTACACCGCGAAATGAAGAGGTGTTTCATAGCAATCGTTGGGAATGTTGGGATCGGCTCCACGCTCCAGCAACGCGCTAATACACTGCAGACTATTCTCCCGAGACTCCGATCCACTCGCGCCAATTGTCGCTTTCAAGAGTGGCGTGCTTCCGTCTTCGCCCTTGGAGTTTACCTCTGCGCCACCCTGCGAGATGAGTGCCGATATGCATTGAGTGTGTCCGTGGAAAGCGGCGACGTGTAGCGCTGTCAGTCCTTGGTCGGAACGGATACGACTGTCGGCACTCATCTGCAGCAGATAGCGCACCATCTCGACCGATCCAACTGACGCGGCGTAGTGGAGTGGCGTGCCAAAGTACGATCGAGCATTGACGTTGGCGCCGTTGGCAACGAGCAGAGTGAGTGCACGGATATCGCCACAAGATGCCGCTTCGTGAAGCGGTGTGACACCGTGCTCCTTTCGTAGCTTTGGTGCGTTGATTCCAATGGCTGCTGCTGGCGGGATATACTCACTGCTACTGCTTGCCAAACTAATATTTACAATTGCGCCGTATTGAATCAGTATTTTCATTGACTCGATCTTGCCGGCATACGAAGCGTAGTGCAGAGGTGTTCGTCCACTATTATCCTGTATATTTACATTCATACGCAGCTTGTGTATCAGAGTGTGAATTACATCGACACGATCATACATTGCACAGATATGCAACGGTGAGATTCCATTCTGATCTTTTAGCCCATTATAATTGATACCATCTTGAAATTGAGGAATCTCTCCTCTTTGTAAAGATGATAATATTTCTTGTGATATTTCATCTGTCATAACAGATGTTGATGATATTTGTTGTTGTTGTTGTTGTGATGGTGAAGTTGAAGTTGAAGTTGAAGTTATTTGTGATATTAAAATCGGTGATACAACTGTTGGTGTTGTATTATTAGATTGTTGTGATGTTGTTGGTGTTGTTACAACTGAACTACTGTTGCTATTACTATTTGGTTGTATTTGTTGTGTTTGCTGTTGTTGTTGTTGCTGCTGTTCATAATCATCTCTAATTAACATTGCTTCACCTATTTCATTGGCCAAAGTGAAATGATAAGAGTTCATTGCAAGTTGTTGTGCAGTCTGTCCTTGTTTTGTCTTTAGTGAGAGAATGGCACGCTTTTCAATGAGCATAGTAGCAAAGTCATTGTGTCCACGCCAAGCACATATATGTAGCGGTGTCCAATTATCATTTGTCAAACAATTGATATTCACCTGATGTTGAATCAACAGTAATGCACAATCAATTCTATCAAACAATGCAGCATCTAAAATGATAATCAACAACAACAACAATATATACTACTAATTAGTAAATGATTATTATTAAATTAATCAAATAGTATTATTAATATAATTACAATGAAAAGGTGACCAATCATCTTTATCTTTATGATTGATATCGATTACCAGTGATGATTGACATGAAAGGAAGATGTCAAGCGATGCATATGCATCGTATTCGATACAGTAGTGAATGGGTGTTCTACCGTCGGTGTCTCTGAAATCCAGCTTTGTCAGACCACGCGGGTTACTCTTGCAAAACTCGACAATAAAGTCTCTGTCATCTTTTTTTATGGCTTGTAGTAATGAACTGAAATTTCCACCCACAGATTTTCCACTATTATTATTATTGTTGTTATTTAAATTATTAACATTATTTTTATTATTATCTTCAATATTATTAGTTGTTGTTGTACTATTATCAAATATTGCCATTACAACATTATTATTATTACTATTATTGTTATTATTACTATTGCTACCGCTGTTTTCAACAATAATGTTGGTGGTTTCTTCCTTTGGTGTTAGAGACAACAATGCTGTTGAATTAATTAAGGATGAAGCTTTTGGTGATGTTGAAATTAGAGTGGGTGGTGTCTCCATGATTGATCATTCATCCTTACTATAGTGACTTTGGTGGTGACCCTTCTTCCCTCTTTTTTTTCTAAATTATATTAATATATGTTGGGTTGTTTTTTTTTTTGTTTTTACCGATGATGGATGAATCAGATATTATTATGAATAGGTGTTGTTATTATTGTCAACAATAATATTATTTAAAAAGTTTTTTATCATAAAAAAAATCTTAATCAATATTTTGGGGAATCGAATTTGATTTTCTTGATTTTTTTGATGGTTTTTTTTAAAAAAAAACCAAAATTTTTTATTTTAAAAATAAACATAACTTTTTTTGGTTAACTATTGGTCAGTCTGACTTGCCAGTAATATTATTTGTATCAATCAATAATTTCTATCTTTTTAATTAATATGTTATTATTATTTTCTAGATTTTTTTTTGTTTTTATTGTGAAGAGAATGATGAAGGAAATGTTTGTTAAAAAAAAACAAAAACAAAAAAACAAAAATAATATAAAATAACATATTTATTTATTTATCTATCTTATTCCACTGAGTAAATTCATGAAACTAGTTTTTCATAATTAATTTGATGTTACTTTCAATAGATAGTAATGGCCACTATTAGTGTTCCATAAAAAAACTGAACTACATATTCGTTAGGTTGTTTTGAAAAAAAATAAAATCAAAAAAAAATAATAAAAAAATGAAGTTTAAACTTGAGAAATTTTTGAAATACTTTTTTTTTTTTTTTTTTTTTTTAATTGATAATTGTTATTAAGAATACTTTGATATCAAACAGTTCAATCAATCGTTATATAATACATATATTACATCAAATTATATAGAGATCGAAACAAACAACAATGGCAACTGTTGCAATTCCACAAAAAGAGAGCTGGGCTGAAGTACCAGAGGAAAAAGTTATAGAGATCTTTGTCAAGAATGATAAGGGTGAAGATGTTAAAGTACGTTATAGATTAATCTTTGTTTGGATCAAGCAACAAAACAAAACAAAACAATAAGAAACAACAAATAATCGTTTGGAGATCAACAAAAATAAGACATTTACGTAGAAGTTTAATAAAAAACTATTGTAATCAATGTTTTAGTAATAGTAGAGTTACAGTAGCATTGGCATTATCTTTCGATTTGGATCCACAATAATAATGGAAATATAAATATGAGAATAGGAATAAGAATTAAAGTAGGAATATAGGAACAGCAAGAATTATGATTGATATAACGTTTTGTTATTGTTGTTTTTGTTATTGTTGTTTTATGTTGTTGTTGTTGTTATTGTTGTAAGATTAGATTGTTAACTAATAATATTATTATTATTATTATTACTTTTTGTAGATTATTAAAACTTTCAGAGAATATCAAGTACCAGTAAAGAGAAATAAAAGAGTAGACGAAAGAAGAAAGTGGGAAAAGTTTGGTGATTGTGCTGGAACTAATGGAATGTCGAATACATCATCTGGTGAAGAAGTATTTTTAACTTTATCAAGAAACACTGTCTCTGAAGAGGAGAAGAAGGATGTCATTGTATGTAGAAACTGTAAGAGAAACCATTTCACTTCAAAGTGTCCATACTACGAAGCCATAAAGATGAGTAAGTTTATCAAAACAAAAACAAAAACAAAGCGTAAAGATATTAAACTCCTCCTCTTATAATTATTATTTATTTAATTATCAACATTGATTTGATTAGCTCAAATGTCAATGAACAAGCCAGAGAAAGAAGAAAAAGTACAAGAAAACAAATACGTTTTACCATCACAAAGAGGTGGATATTCACCAGCTTCACCAATTGAAGTACCAAGTCTTATTGTATCTAATCTTTCAGAGAATGCCAACGAGAAGGATCTTCGTGAGTTGTTTGGTCGTTTCGGTATGGTTCAAAAGGTCAACGTACCAAAGCAAAACGATGGTAAGCCAAGAGGTTTCGCCTACGTCACCTACGCCGATCTTAAATCCACCGAAGAAGCTATCAAACATCTTGATGGTCATCGTTACGATTACCTCGTTTTGAGTGTCAGCATTGCTCAACGTAGAAAGAACAACTAGATTGATGTTTACACTAAAGAGTTGGTTCTATCTCAAAATGCAAAAAATTAAAAATAAAAAAAAAAATAATATATACTTTATATTAAAACAAAAAACAAAAAACCGACCGATAAACTAACCTTTATGTTAAAAGTAGAGTATAAATAATTTGTTCAATAACTGTATTATTACTTTTTTGTTTTTTTTTAATAATTTAATTAGTTAGTTTGTTTGTTTGTTTGATCATCTTTATGAATATCATTGTTGTTTTTGTTGTTGTTGTTGTTGTTGTGGTTGTCATTGTTTGGTGGAATAGATGATAATATTTGAAGTGGTGGTACCATTTGTTCGACTGCCATTAAACCTGTTGTAGAGGGACACAAGAAAGCAATCTTCCAATCTAATTTGGCAATGTCTACTACAACTGTATCGTTATCTGAACTCTCTGGTAAAGTAGCATGCCATATAGCAGAGGATATCAATCTTTGGCAACTCTCTTCTTTAAATTGATTAACTCCCATTGTTCCTGATAAGTTGAATATGAATTCATGATATTAGTATTGTAATTTAACTGATTAACTAATCATCAGATCACCTATTAATCATACATACCATCGATTGTATAATGTATTGAAATAAATAGATTACTACCGAATTGCTGTAGTTTTGTACGTTGTGCACTTTGAATTTGATCGATGTTCACTTTGAATTGCACGGGATTTGTGAAGCGTAGAGATTGCGAGAGACACTCGATGATTGGTCCTATCGTTTTGTTGAAATAGTAGTCGGTACACAGTGATTTGATATGTTGTGATTGTGAGGGTGTTGCAGTGAAGTTCGAGAGCGATGACATAAGGTCGAGAAACTTGGCAGTGGTGAGTTCGATCAGTTGGTTGTCGTTGTCGATGATCTCTGCGATCTGACGTGATCGACTACGACGCATCGTTGAATTCCACACCTTTTGGAAGGCGACAAGCGGTGGTGACAGTGTTGCATATATCGTCTTTGGATAGACCAGTGACATAAAGGGTGAGCACGATGTCAGTGCCAAGTGTGTTTCGTAATCCCAAGGCAGTGGCGAATCAGCAAACTTTGGAATCAAATCGAGATGTGCTTGTTCGATACAACTCATCACTTGACCTTCGATCTCCTTGAAAATATCATGTTGTATAGTCTCTGGTGAATCATCTCTTTTAATAATTTCTTGTTTATATTTATTATTACTGCTATTGTTATTACTACTACTATTATTATTTAAAGTTGTTGTTGTTGTTGTTGAAAAGTATGATGATAAATAAAGATTATTATTATTTTGAACATTTTTAAATAAACTTTTGTTATAACTATATAGTGATGTTGATGTTGATGTTGTCTTTAATATTGTATTGTTATTGTTACTATTATTGCTATATAGTTTGAAACTGTTACTACTTAAATTGCTTTTGCCGCCAAGCTGCAGTAATTTAGATGAATTAAATCTCAACATTTTAGTAAACTATAATTAACTAAAAATCTAAATTAGCTAATTTACTAGAGTATTGTTAAAAATGATTGGATTGTTCTTTAAAAACCTATTCCTGCATATGTCATTAATTAATCAAAAAAATAAATAAACACATAATCATTATATTTTTTTCGTTTTATTTCGCTTTAATTTGGCACCCCCTGTGAGATTAAAAATTGTTTTTAAAAGATAAAAATAAATAATGGATGATTTGTTTTTTTTTAATAAAAGAATTGATTTTATAATATGATAAATTAAAAAATTATAAAATAAAGGGGGTTGATTTTATTTTTATATAATTTTTTAAAAGTATAAAAAAATAATATTCCTATCAAAAGATAAATATTTCTATCCTCCCCAATTGAATGGATTTAGTACTTTTCCAAATAGTTGATTGGTTGTTCCTGTGGTGTTTTAAAATTAGTTTACAAGGAACTACCAGGTTTATAATATCTTCTGGATTATAAGTTTGGCCGGATAAATATAAAGAACGATTAGGACCTATTAATATATAAAAATGATTAATAAATAAAGAATGTTTCTAAATATTAATGAAACTCACGCATTTTTTTTTGTAAATTTTAAAAAAGGAAAAATGATGACTAGTAGATTTTACATATTTATATCTTGTTTTTAATATAAGAAAAATAATAAAAAATTGAATTTATTAAAAAAAAGTCTAAACTTAAATAAGGATGATGCAATTACAATCTATTTTTCCGAAAGGTCAAAATAATTTCAAAGTTTACTAAGAACATTACCTCTATTTTATTGTGTTTTATGTCAAGTAAGTTTTTAGATCATAAAAAAAATTTCACTTATTGAATATCCAACTTGTCAATTTTAAAAAAAATCTAATCAAAAACCATTCTGAACCAGGGAACCAAATGAGCTAAATTAATTTTAAGGTTTTTGCTGGTTCTTTACTATACACAATAACAACAACTTAACATTGATTGAATTTTAGATTTAAATGAAAAAGAAGACAATATTATATAAATTAATGTACATTGATGAACCCAAATCATATGGTGGGATTGGATATTGTTTATTTGTTATTGATTCTTTCATTTAGGCACCCCAACCTGATCCCTGTGTTTTCTGTCCAAATCCGGTACCATTTCTTGGTGGAGTAGCTGAACCTCCTCTACCACCAGTATTTGGAACTCCCGGTTTTGAATGAGTGCCTCCTGAATTTCCTCGTCCTCCTCCAAATGCTACAAAGTTTATCTATTAATGAAATTGGTCTTTTAAAAAAAACAAAAACACAAACTTATGTGTATTCTATATTTTCATACCCATTATATTATTATCTTTACAACTACTGTTATTTATATAAGTACTACACTATGACTAATATTTTATTATTATATTATAAATATTTATTTATTATTTTTAGAAGATTTGTAAATAAAAAGTAAAATAGTAACTCTAAAAGATCAACTCGCAAATCAATCAACAAACAAAAATAAAATATTGGTCACAAAAAAGATTTGGAAAAGTTAAAATCTCTAAAATATCTATGGAAGATATTTTTTCAAATGGAATTACTTGAAAAAAAATATGAAATTTGTAAATTGTTGTTGCTAATTTAATATTATAGTTTATTGTTTGTTGTTGTTTTTACTTTATTCTTTTTTGATGATGATGATGATGATGATTGAAATACATTACATTAAGGATCGATCTTATCGAAATGAATCAATCAATCATCATCTTCAGTATTTTTCATTAGTTTCAAAAAACCTTCTTGTGATAACTCTACACAACCCATTTGTTTCATTCTCTTTTTACCTTCTTTTTGTTTGTCGAGCAGCTTTCTTCGACGTGTGATGTCACCACCGTAACACTTTGCAGTGACGTCTTTACGCATCGCCGAGATGTTCTCTCGAGCGAGCACATCGTTTCCAACGGCAGCCTGAATGGCAACGGCAAACATCTGTCGGTCGATGATCTTCTTGAGACGCTTTACTAGCGAACGAGCGTGCGGTGCCGCTCTAGTTTTATGTACAATCGATGATAAAGAGTCTACTTCCTCGCCGTTCAACATCACCTTGACCTTGACGACGTCGGCAGTCGCATAGCCGTTGTCCTCGTAGTCGAGCGACGCATAGCCACTTGAGATTCGCTTGAGATTATCAAAGAAATCAGTGATAATCTCAGAGAGCGGGAATTGAAACGATAGCTTCATACGACCACCTTCGAGTGATTCGTGGTCGACCTGCACACCACGGTGATCGATACAAAGTTTGAGTACACCACCGAAATACTCGTTGGGCGCGACAATCTTTCCGATGATCATGGGCTCCTCTGTTCGCAAGATGAATTCACTCGCTGGATATTCAGCGGGATTAGAGATTAGCTTCTCTGAGCCGTCTCTCATAAACACCTTGTAGGGAACGGTGGGTGGCGTTGCAATGACGACCTGACCGTACTCTTGTTCCAAACGCTGGAGAATGACGTCCATGTGCAGCAGACCGAGGAATCCACAACGGAATCCCATGCCCAGTGCAACCGACGTCTCTTTCGACGTGCATATCGAACTGTCTGTTAGCATTAGCTTCTCAAAAGATTTCCTTCAGTGGAACGTAATCGAGATTATCGATCGGGTAGACACCGGCGAATACCATTTGTTTCGCAGGTTTGAAACCGGGTAGTGCTTCTACCGGTGTTTCCTTCTTGAAGAAAGTATCACCGACTCTTGCTTCCTGTGTTGTTTTCATGCCTGGTGTGATGTATCCCACTTGTCCGGTACGTAGTTCACCCGTGGACTCTTGCTCGGGGTGCATCACACCCAAATCCAGAACTTCATAGGTCTGTCCACTGGCAGCCGATTGAATTACGTCGCCTTTCTTAATGGATCCGTCCACTACATTGATAAGACAAATGACACCACGGAATCGATCGAACCAACTGTCGAAAAGCAGTGCTTTGAACGGTGCTTTCGTATCGCCCTGTGGTGGCGGAACACGATCGATCACCGCCGGCAGAATATCGGTGATTCCAATACCCGACTTGGCACTCACACAGATAACATCGTTCGGGTGGAATCCAAATGTATTCTTTAGCTGTTCTTTCACCATCTCCACATTGGCAGTGGGTAAATCGATTTTGTTGATCACCGGCACCACTTCCAGACCGCTGTCCAACGCCAGGTAGTAGTTTGCCATGGTCTGAGCTTGCACACCTTGACAGGCGTCGACGACCAATAACGCACCCTGACACGCCATGAGCGAACGAGAAACCTCGTAGTTGAAATCGACATGTCCCGGTGTGTCGATCAAGTTGAGAAGATAGCGTTTGCCATCCTCACGATTCCTGTAGATCATCGAACACGACTGTGCCTTCACAGTGATACCACGTTCTTTCTCCACCTGTAACTTATCGAGATACTGCTCTCTCCTATTGTCATGCTTGATCTGCTTACTCTGATCCAAACTGTCTTCACCGCTACCATAGATATTCTTTGGCAGTGTTCCAGTCAGCGAGAGTAGCTTCGTACTCAACGTTGTCTTTCCATGATCGATATGAGCAATGATACTGAAATTTCTAACTTTATCCACTGTATATTCTGCTACATCAACCTATTCATTATATATAGATAAGTTAACAAGTGTGTGACATAATAATAAAATCGATCCATCGATATATAAGATAATAATTACTTTTTCTTTATCTTTTTCAGTTGAATAATATCTATTGATTGATCTACTCAAAACTTTCAATGCTTGTGATTGATTAATCAATGAAATATGATTAATACTACTATTGCTACTACTTGCACTTCTACCAAGATTGGCACAGTGTTTAAGTAGACCAAACATTTCACATAAATCTACGATAATATTGTCATATCATTTAAATTGTCATTCGTTTTTTTTTTTTTTTTACCAAATTTAAATAAAAATAAATACAAAAAAACCTGATCATAATGATCAAATTGAACATTTAACATTAAAATGGTACCAATGGAATTAATGTTGGAACTTACTTAACTTTACCTTTTTTGTTATATAACAATTTGGTTTGAACAATCATGATCGGTTTAATAATGTTTTTTTTTTTAAAATTGATATCATTATTTTGATTTAGGCTTTGGTTTATTGAATTTAAACAATTAAAATTTGTGAATGTGGAAAAATTAACTACAACATTTCTTCTTTTGATTGGTATTGAGACTTAATCTCTCACCACCAGTTCCTTTTGATAATCCCGTTGGTAGCTTATATATTTCGTTTGCGATAGTCAAAAAAATCTGCTCTACATTAAATCCTGTCTTGGCACTGGCTTCTAAAAATGGAATACCAAGAGAATCTGCATATTCCTATAATTAATTAAAAACAAAGCAGGTTAGTTATTGTTTGTTTGTTTTGCTTTTAAAATAAACAATAAGATTGATTGTGTGGATTGTTATTGCTATTGTTATTGTTACTGCTGTGTTGTTGTTGTTGTTGTTGTTGATTGTTTGATTAATTAGTTTTAAACACTTACTTTAACCATGGTAGTTGAAACTACCTTTCTGTCATCAAGATCGAATTTATTACCAACCAAAACTCTACTAACACCAGCAAAAGCGTATCTGTGAATCTCTTGCATCCATAACTTTACATTGTTAAATGAAGCCTGGTCGGTCATGTCATAGACAACGACGACACCGTGAGCACCTCTATAGAATGATGATGTAATTGTTCTAAATCTCTCTTGACCTGCTGTATCCCATATCTGAAGAGCAATTGTCTTTCCGTCAATTGTTACATTATGTACTTTCTGTAAATTATTATTATTATTATTATTAATCTAATTAGTAACAACTACTATTATCATCATTATCACAGCATTTACACCTTGTCATTATCATCATCATCAGCATTATCATTATCATTATCAGATAATTAACACAAAACAAAACAAAACAAAAAACAATAATAATAATAATAACTCACATTATCGACAGCAGTCATGCTAACTGAGGTTTCTTGAAAAGTACCATCCTGTTATAAAAAAGGTAATGTGTTAATATATATTTGCGCTTTTCTTAAAACAACACCACTAACAAACATAAAACAAAACAACAAACAATAAATAACAACAACAATTGTATTGTTTTATGTTATCTAGTTTTGGTTTGTTTGTCTGTTTGTTGTTTGTTTGTTTTGTTCTAAATTTAATAATAATTACAGCAAATCTTAATAAAAGTGAGGTCTTTCCAACGGATGAGTCACCTATTAATAATAATTTAAACATTTCTCTATAAATATATAATAACAAACATTAATAACTTTTATTTTTAATTTATTTTTTTAAATCAAATCAATAAATCAAGACAACATTTTAAACCTGTAGCTTTAATTAAAGTATGTCTTGATTTATTGTTTATTAGAGAGAGGTATCATCAGATCTCCGATGATGATGATCATGATGATGATGATGATTAAACACTTACGGTTCTGCCATGGCTTTTTATTTTATTTATAGCTGTAGTAATAATCTAATTGATCTAGTATGATACGATCTAAATTTATATGATTGATAAATATATATATATATAAATAGTGAGGAGTGTGGATGTGATGTGTATGAAAACAAAAAAAAACAAAAATAAAAAAAAAAGTTACAATTTAACAGTGAAGATAATAAAGAATCTATACAACTATCACCAATAAACAAATAACTGTTCACTACTGTAATGCAAAAAATTAAAAATAAAAATAAAATAAAACAAAAAAAAAACAAATTAATCTCTTATTTATTGAAATCGGTGATTGATTAATCTTCTTTTTTTTTTTTTTATTGCTAACAAGCTATTTTTTAAAAAAAAAACAAAATTTTTTTGTGATTTATTATTATTTTTTTAATTATATGTATAAAAAAATATATTATATTTATAATTTGATCTTAAACAAACTACTACAGATTGGTTAATCTTCCTCTTTAATTTTGATGGTTAAATATTTATATATAAATAAAGATTTTTCTTAACAATATTGTTTATTTTAAAATAGAATTTTTTTTATTGTTTTTTTTTGCTTAAAAAAATTTTGTGATAAAAAAAGAACAATAAAAACACAATCAACCAAAAAGAATTGTGTTGTGTAAAATTTTAATTCAATCAACTTTTTTTTTTTTTTTAATAGATATCAATTATTGTGTTTTAAAATTGATAAAAAAATAAAAAAAAAAATAAAAAGTGAAATTGAAAGTGAAAGAATAAACAACATAGTTCCTATTTTCTTTTATATTACTATCTTAAAAACAAAACAATCAATCAATCAAGTCAGATTTGATATATATATATAAAAATATATTTGTTTTTTTAATATTAATTATAATTAATTTGAAAATTAATTAATTACTTGACTTGCATGGTGAAAGAAGCACTAGTTCTTACAAGTTCATCAAGCTGACTGCTCGGATGTGGTAAGAGTTCATAGGATTGTTTTTTGTTTTGGTTGTTTTTGTTGTTGTTGTTGACTGTCGGTAATGAATGTCACTGTTTGATTGATGTTGGAGTAGCTGGTAGGAGGTGCTGTGCTCTTGAGAGATTGATCGATGATGAGTCGGACTTCTTCAAGTATCGGACTGGCTTGTTCGAGTAGATCAATCAGCAGTGTTTGTCTGTCACGCTTACCGATATCCGTGAGTTCACGAACTTTCAAATGTCTGACACTCTGATTGTTCCTGAGGAAGTGGTGCAATGCATTCTCGTCTGATCGATGCTCGTTGAACTTGGCAGAGAGTCTGACCAAGTCGGTCAGCTTCACCAACTGATTGACATGACCGACATCCAGTGCTTCGGTCAGCGACAATCGCTTCAGATTGACAAGTTGTCCAATCACCGAAAACAACTGACACGTCAAAGTATATTTACCTTTCAGTTTGATGGTTTCCAGTTGGTGACCGATCGATGTGATATCCTTCATGAACACCTTTGAAGTGATATTCTCGCTCATCGTATATTCCATCATGAGCAGAATGTTCAGTTCTCTGTCTCGATCGTCAGAGCGATTCTCGTTGGTTATGGAGAGATGTCTGAGATTGGTCAGTCCCGCTAGGAAAGACTGCGGTTCTTCACCGGGATGCGAGACAGAAGCATCGATCATTCTATGATACAGATGATTCAGTTTCAGTGTTTCAACATTGGGAAACATCTTCTCGATGTTGATCGGTATTTCCTCGCCGTTGCGACGACCCCATTCCGCGCTGTGGTAATGACAGAGCCGGAGTGACCGAATGTTTTCGAAGCTCCGCACGTCCGTATTGAACACCTGCTTGTTTTGGAATGGCAGCGAGAGTGAGAGTGATCGGAGCGAATCGAGTGCTGCGTCGCACTGGTTCGGTAGCAACATAGATTGATAGGCAACAAGTCTTCTGGTGAATACCGAATACTTTTCGAGCTTGGGGAATTCCGACCAGATGATTGGATTATGCAGGTCAGCGCTGTAGACTCTTAGCTTGCGGAGTTGACGTGCAACCGAGAGTTTAATCAGGGGCAGTGAGTATGGTGAGTCTACAAAAGTCAGCGAATCTAACGACCAATTGGTTGCCAATGCATTATTATAATTATCAAACCACTGACCTGAATTGCTTATTTTTGTATTGTTTTTTCTACCAAATTTCAATGTAAGTTTGCCAATATTAAACTTGTTCTCTTCTTTGTTATCATTGTTATTAGTTATTGTTGTTTTATTATTATTATTATTATTATTTAATTTCTTTTGTGATCTTTGAAATGATTTAGGATAGTTTATTAAGAATTTACATTTATTGTCAAGTGTTGTGATTTTAGGTGATGATTTAGCAACGATATTCACTAACCAATAATGAGATATCAATGATAATGATAATACATTGAAATCGTGTCGGTGATTTCTACATTGATCATATGATAATAGTTCAATGATCGATCTCCATATCAAATCTGGTAGTATTGTCTGATTGCTATTGACAACTTCAATATTATAGTTTGATTGTAAACTATTATTACTTAAAGATTGTCCCATTATTATTGTTTATTATTTATTGTCAAAATTATTAATATTATTATAAATAAATATAAAAATATATTTTATTTACAACTCTACAAAATTAATGTTTAATAAATAGATCGACTAAATGAAACTCCATCTATCTTTCATTCATTTAAATACTGATAAAAAAACATCCATGGTTTAAAGTACTAAAAACAATGAAAAATTTTCAAAGTATGAATCAAGAAACTGATTCTCTTAGTTATTTTTGCAAAAAAAATAGAAAAATAAGATGAAGATTGTTTTTTTGACCTGATTAAATTGAAAAATTAACTTACACCCAGTAATTTGTAAAATTCTTTATTGAGTTTCATAAAAATACAGTACTCAATAAAATTAATGTGATTCTCCTCCTGACTTGTCATTGATCACAATCAACTTTATTAAGAGAAGAACATATTTAAAGTATAATAATGAGTAACATATCGATGTAGTAATTTAAAAGTATTTAGTATCTTCTTCTTTAATGGTATATCGTATTATCCGAAAGATATCTAATTACTGCATTGTTATCTCTATGTTGAATAAGTCTATCGATTGGGTCGTATGTAGTAAACTTGAAATCAATATTGTTCTCTTTTAATGTTGGTATAAATTCATCGAGGAAATCGATTAAAAAATCAAGATCCTCCATATCAAATGATTCACTATTGATTAATATTGATTTTAGTGTCTTTGAATGGTAATTCAACAGTGATGATAGGAAGTCTATGTTGTTATAGTCAGGGCAACAATTCCAATCTTTTCGCATGTCAATTGTGAATCGTTCGATACCATGTCCATCGATATTGGGTGTGCTAACAAACAGATCTTTCAGAAAATTACTGTAGTTTTCTTCGAATCCATGATACCCTAAAACAATGATCTCTTTGAGGTTTGGCATTGGTGGTGGACGTATTAAGTATCCATCCTTAATAATTGCTGCACGGTAAGCTTTCTTAATGTCGTCAGGTTCGTAGTAATCAATGTATATATCTTCCGATCTAGAAATTCCACCATTGATCGAATGATCATATTCATCTGATTCCATTACGAATGTTTCAACTCTTGACAACAATTGATTGGCATATTCTATGCCTTGATCATATGGAATGTATTTGATTGATTCATAATCGAAATACAGTGGTGATGATTTGATTAAGTTGTAATCACTTTGGTTGTTGATATCGATAAATGAATTCCAATAGAATAGATTGTTGTTGATGATCTTTGAAACAACTCTGAAGAATTGTTTCGATATTAATGCAAAATTCATTACATTTTCGCCATCTATGAGATAAGGTATAAAGAATAGCAGATTTTTGAATTTATAGTCTCGAGAGGTTCTTTCATCCTTATCATTATCAAAGGCAACAAAATTTGAAATGATTTTGCAAAGTAATATATCTGATAATTTGGAAATACTATTGTCGGTGGTTATTGTATCTGTTGTTGTTTCTGTTATTGTTGTTATTAATGTTGTTGCTGTTGTTGTTGATGTTTCTTCTCTTATTGATTCAACATTATCATCTTCTTCTTCATCAATACTCTTGTCATTATATACGATATCATAAAGATTATTATAGGTGAAAAAGTCAAGTGGTTCACTCCTCTCTTCTTCGAATGTATCACAAACTCTCGATATCTTTGATTTCAATTGAGTTTCATCTGATTCATTCAACTCTTTAAAGAAAGTGTTGAACTTAATAGCAAACTATTAGTATTATTAAATAAATGAAGATTAATTGTAATTCAATACATACTCTATTATCTTTGACAATCCTGTAATAAATATCTTTTAATACATTGTTTTGTCTTACACTTTTTAACATTAGAATTTCATTGAATACATCTGCAGATCGATCAAAGAATACATCAGCAATGAACTTAGCATAACCTTTGACATCGAAGTAATGTGGGAATTTGTCATCGTTGTGATAATCAACAAAGAATCTAACACATTTCAATTTTGTTTCTGAATTCAAATCGTATTTATCATCTTTTGATTTAAAATATTGATCATAGATTTTGATAAGATCTGAAAGTGAATTATTTCCTTCATAAACATATCTCTTTCTATTCTTTCTTACTGTCCGTCCTGTCTTTCCTCTGCCTCCTGTTGCATTATTACCTTGATCTTGATTAATCTCATCAAACGTCCTCTTTTCTGAATTCATTTCTATTAATTCTATTTAATAAAAGAACTACCGCAGATCAAAGGTTTAAAATGAAAATCTAAGATAAAACACAAAAGTGTTATTTTTTTATTATTTTTATTGCAAAAAAAAAAGGAGCTTTCCATAAGATTGTATCAATACCGAAGTTTTCACCAGAGTCATCATCTTCACTACCTTCAGTAATGTTTGCATTGGTGAACATAGTAAAATAGTTCAATATTAGAGAGAGCAAAAACTTAAATTATTATTTTCATCATTTTGTTATTGTTTTTTTTTTTTTTAAAATAGAGGTTTTTATAATAAATGTTTGGTCAATTGAATCAAATTTAGTTATATATATTATAAAAAAATATATAAATAAATATTATTTTAAAATATAATAAATTGAGATTAAGATAGGAGATTATTTATTTTACAAAATTAATTCCTAAACTTACACTCCAATGTTTTTATTAATTAATTATTCATTAAATTCTGAAATTTGTAGAAGGAATTGAAATACATCTTCTGATCGTTTTACTTTTTGAAATTTTTTTTGATCAAGTTTGATATTCCACGAAAATTTAATTCCGTGATCATTCAATTTCGGAAGTATAGTCTTCAAGAGTCCATCTAGATTCCTATAGTCAGAATCATTGAATTTCTTTTTAGGGTATAATAATCTAATGGATTTCAAAGTAGTTGAATGTAGCTTTACCAGTGTTCTGATGAAATCAAAATAAATAGTGGAGGGTCTGCCTTCAAAATTTTTTTTGACTTCCATGGTGAATCGTTCAATTCCATGACCATTGCCACTTGGTGTGCCTTGGATGATGTGCGATAGCAATTTGTCGTAGTTAACTTTGTATCCATGGTATTGATAAACATAGATCTCTTTGAGATTTTGCATTACTGGAGGATATACCAAATATCCATCTTCCACCATACTCTGACGATATTGTTCTTCGATAGTTTCATGATCATTAAAACTGTTCTTGTAAACTGATTCCCTCGCAACTGAAACATCGGGATCTGTTGTATCTGAGTAACAGAATGTATCCACTGAATGATCGAATTCATCGGATTTCACTGTAAAGGTTTCAACTCTTGAAAAAAAACGGTTGATATGGTCAACACCTTTGTCATATGGAATATATTTGATTGATTCATAATCGAAATACATTGGTGGTAATCTAAATAAACTGTATTCATTATTATTATTGTTGTTATTTTTAAGGTTATTGTTGTTGTTATTGTCAAAGTTGAAATTGAGATATCCTGTCCAAGATACTAATCGGGTATTGGTTGCCTTTGCAATGGCCTTAAAGAACTGTTTCGATACCAATGCATAATGTAATAGATGTTTTCCTTTAATGATCTTTGGTGACTCATTTGTAAGATTTTTGAAATTTACAAAAACATTATTGGTACTGATAATATACGCAATGATATTATCCAACATTATATCTGAAAGTTTGGCATTGACAGGATGAACGATATCATACAACTTTTCATAGGTGAAAAAGTTCAGTTTGTATTCCTGCTCTGGTTCAAACAAACCTTCTAATCTCGCAATTTTAAATTTCAAAAGATTGATATTTGATTCATTTAAATTAATAAACCATTCTTTAAACTATTTAAATATATAAGTTAGTTAGTTCTTTAAATCAACTATTTAATAATAAATACATACTCTTTTGTCATCAATAATTGCTTGATAAGTAGGCTTAACAACACCAGTGTTAAATAACTTAAATTCAGCAGTTAATACCTTTAGAGCATCGAATACATCATCCGATGGATCAAAGAATACTTCAGCAATGAATTTAGTAAAACCTCTGACATCGAAATAGTGTGAATACTTTGAGTCATTATGGTAATTAGCAAAGAAACCAACACATTGTTCTCTTACTGATTCTGTAGAATCACTATGACTACATCTAAAATAGAGATCATAGATTCCAATAAAGTTTGTAAGTGTATTGAAATCTTTGAAATTAAATGTTGAGTGTAATGATTCTATTATGTTGTTTTTATCTGTTTGATTATTATCATCTGATTTAGTGCTATCTATTTTCTTTAATTGTTGAGATGAGAGTGATTCATCGAGAAGTAAATCTTCATGTGTTCTCTTTTGTCCTATAACATTTTCTTTATCTTTAACTTTATCTGAAGGTATCATTATATTTATATCTTATTGGTCTTAAAAAAAATCAAAAAAATTGATGATCATTTTTGATCTTACCCATAAAAAATTGCTCCAATCAACTGACCATGTTTCTTGTCATTTTTAAAAAAAAAATGATTATTATTTATGATCATTTAAACTAATCTGTTTTTATTTTTATTATTAATTTATAATTTATGATAGCTTAATGTTGAATTCAAGTTATTTGAAAAACAAAAGAGCGATATATATTTCAAAGAATTATCATTTTCTAGAAAACATTAATAGTTTAACTAAATCATTTTAAATATGAAATCAATTTACAATTTAATTTACTCTTTTCTACTTAATTTTTATTAGTACATTTAATTTTAAATTAATATATTAGATAAAGGTCAAAGATCAGACTATCAGTTAGTTAGATAAAGGAATAATAAATTTAATAGTCTTGATATCTTTACAAATTTAATTAAGATAAATTAAAATAAAAATTAGAAATAATTTATTGTTTATAAAATAAAAAATATATTATTAATAAATATGTTGTTGAAGAGATAACAAAAGATTATGATGAAGAATGAGAAGAGAGAATGGTATCTCTATAAAAAGAGACCAAATCAATTGTCCACGAAGGATAATCATTTAGTATTTTGAAACCTTCAGGCCATTCCAATCCAAGTTGACTGACCACAAATGCTGAATATTTATGGCAATTGGTATCTGAGCACCATTTAAAATTGCCATTACAATGCTCTTGAATGAATTGTCTTTCGAATCTTTTGACAAACCATGTTCTCAGTTCCCTAAGATTTTGAACTTTGTTTGGAAATGTGGCTATTCCAAGATAGATTGATCTTAGGAGTAGATCTGATTTCTTGTTGTATCTATGAACAGCACAATCTACCAATTGATTCTCATCCCTTTTCGGAATGACTAGGTGTACCATTAGACCAATTGGATGTTCTTCATCAGTTGTTTCGTTTCCAACATCCAAAACAATTGAGTGGTGTCCAACCTCTGTTCCAAATGAATCTAATGATGTTTTATAAATATTTAAATATGCTTTTACATTCTGAAGAGAGAAATTTGTAAAACTAATAACTCCATCATCCATTGTTTCTATATCTGTATCTTTAAAATAACAAATATTTGTTTTTGAAATAAAAGAACCCATTTTCTGATCTTTAAATAATCTTGTAAAATAATTTTAACAAATAATTATAAATAAAAAAAATTGATATATGTTTCTTTCTTTGAGTACCAATTTAAAATTAACAAAGTGACATTTTTTTTAATCAAGTTTGATTATTTTTAAAATATTTAAATTATTTAATTTATATATTGCTAATAACAACAAACTAAAAGTATAATTTAATTTCAAAAGAAGAAAAGAATTAATCAATTAATTATCACCCAAGCTTAATTATAATAAATAAATTGAAATATGTTATTTTTTTACCTAAAACCAGTAATCCCTGCAAAGATACTATGAAATTAAGGTTAAAGTGGGAAAAATGTTGAAAAGTAACAAAAAAAACCAATAATTTTAACGAAATTCAATGTTTTTATATGATTTATTTATAAATATTATTTATTAATTATTTGGATAGTGTCTACTAAGAATTGATTAATCTCAGGTGAATCATCATCATCAAAATAAGCTGCTAATGGTTCAGATGATTTCTCAACCACCATAGTCAAATTGATATGATTTTCTTTGATTTGTGGGATTATATCACCCATTAGTACATAAAGATGAGTATAGTCTTCTCTATTTAATAAACTATAAGAAATATCAATTGATTTGAGTGTCTTGGAGTGATAATCAAAGAGAGGTTTGAGGAAATAAAGATAACTACAATCCGGATCATCACTTGAATCTTTGATAATGTTAACAGTGAATCGTTCAATGCCATTTCCATTGGCATTCGGTGTGGTTACCATGATGTGGGTGAGTAACTTTGTATAATTTTGTTCGAATCCAAGATACTTGGTAATGACTATCTCTTTGAGATTTGGCATTGGCGGTGGATAAACCAAATATCTATCGGTTACAACGTAGTATCTATAGTTTGATTCTATATTATCCAAATCTCTGTATTGCTGGTCAAAAATAGATTTTCTAACTTGGTCTCCATTTGAATAACCACCTTCATCTGATTGAATCACGAATGTTTCGACTCTTGACATCAGTCGATAGGCATAACCAACACCTTTATCATATGGAATGTATTTAATTGATTCATAATTGAAATATAATGGTGCTGATTTCACTAGACTGTATTCGTTGCTGGTGTTGTTGATATTGAGAAATCCATTCCAATCGAAATGCTTGTTATTGACCACCTTTGAAACATATGAAAAGAAATGTTTCGATACCAATGCAAAGTTTAAGATCTGTGATACATCGACAATATCTGAGAGATTGGTGTGTTCATTTCTGAATGCTGAATAGCTTGATTCCTTATATCTTTGCTCCGAGAAATCATTAAATACAATTGAATATGAAACGATCTTTTCCAACAATAGCTTCGATAATATAATGTTGTTGTTTGATTCCACTTTGATGTAATCATTTGCTACTCGTGTCTTTGTTTCAGTCTTGCTAATCTGTTGACATATACTCTTGTTATTGTAAACTATATCGTATAGGTTTTTTTTTTTGAAAATCGCTATTTTCTTTAGACGATCTTTTTCTATCCAATATCTGAATTGTCCAATTCTGTATTTCAATCGAGTGACGCTGTATTCATTCATTTGACGGAACCAAGGTTTAAACTATATTATTTTAGAAGTTAATATTGAATGATCATTTTGTCTAATTAATAATCTTGTTTCTTTTTGTTGTTACTTACTCTATTATGGCTAATTATTTTATAAAAAACGGTTTCAAGTAAAACACTGTTTTCTTCAAAATGTAATAATAATAGCTGATCGAATACCTCTTGAGATGGATCAAAGAATACTTCGGCAATGAATTTAGTATAACCATCTGGGTCGAAGTAGTGTGAATACTTTGCATAATGATACTCAACAAAGTGGCTAACACATTGGATTCTAGTTGTAGTTGTATTGCTACGATGATTGAACCTAAAATATAGGTCATAGCATTCGATAAGATTTGAAAGTGAGTTCGTATCTTGAGAATTAAATGTTGCTTGCTCTACATTGCCACTCTCGTTCAATGAAGAACTACTGGTATCAACATTGCTATCTGTAGACATTCTGATGATGTTTGTATATGTATAATTCTTGAAACGAAAGCATATTCAAAAAAAAAAAAGATATTTTATTAGATTTTTCAAACAGTAGAAGAAAACTACAAAAAAAAAAAACAATTCTAATGTATCATGTGATCATCTAAAAATAGTCACAAAGCTCAAGTAAATGATAAAACATTATTATAGCAATCCTTTTTATCTATTAATATCATTGGTATAGAACTTACTAACTAAAGTGTGAATTAAATGTAACAATTTAGCCAAGTTTAATGATGTATCTATTGGTCTCTAGAGATCGCATATAATACTGATCTTGATCAAAACAAAACAAAACATTGTTTTTATGAAATAAATAAATAATAACAGTTTTATTCGGTGGTGATGATAGGAACCGAAGAAGATGAAGATGATCTTGATAAACAACTATATCTACTCTTCTGAGTAGTTAATATCGAGGTGAGTGAGTTGCCAAGTGAAGATTGTAATAAAGCTTTTCTATTTGAAACTGCATACGATATGAAATTCCAAAAACCTATTAATTTTAAATTTAGATGATATTCGAAATTAATAATCTAATGAACCGCGCTATTTATATTGATATTCAATGTTACCTTGTAGAGGAGATAAGAAATTGGATAGAAATTCCAAGTAGAAATTCTCACAACTATGTCCGAAGAGATAGACCAAAAAAGATATTAAATTGAATGTCCAACAAACTATGAAACCAACAACAAACAGATTCAATCTTAAAACGATTCTATTTTGTATTGAATTCAATTCTAAAATAATAAAATAATAACATTAATAGAGGAGAATATGTTAATATTAATGTGATGCGAAAGCTGCTATTCTTTTACTTACTTGTTATAGATCTAGAAAGTGAATCTAAATGTTTCTTAACTTTATAAGATAGGATGATACAGGTTATAATCGTAAGTACCAATGGTATATAAAAGAGAACGAGTAACGTCCATCTGTTCATTGTACACCAAGACATATTGTGTGCATGTGTAATACTGGCCGACGCCATCAATCCAAAACCAAATGATAGTGGTAATAACCAACATACTAAATAATAAAATATCATAAGATAACGTCTATTGTTGTTATTGTTGTTGTTTTCGTTAAGTTGTTAACAGATAAAGAAAATCGGGATTATTAATATTAATATTTAGATTACAGATTGTTGTTGATAAAAGTTGTGTTCATTAATTGCTTACTTTTTCTCACGAGAAATAAATAATCGGTGTATATGAAATGCTATAACCGATGTCCAGAAACAACTGGCTAGAAAAGAGAATCCGATGGCACCGGAGAACGTGCTGCAGAGAGTGACATCTTTGAAGCTACCGGTTGATTTTACAAAGTGTTCATTGTACTTGATGAAAAGGACACGCGAGAACATCACAAACAACGAGGAGAGCAAGTCGCTTAGCGCCAGTTGGTTTACCAATCGCGATACTTTGCGATCTTCGCTGCTGTTTGGTCCTTTCACCTTTTTGAGCAGCGGCACGAAAGTGGTTCGCACCTCGACCGACTTCTCGCCGAACGCTGCTGGCGCGACACCGCCTGCCGTTTGAATGGTGTCGCCACTGTTGATTCTAGTTGGCGCTATGTAATTACTAAAAGAGGAATGTGGAGATCCACGTGGTGAAATCGGGTAGTAGTGTCCCGATGAGTTGGGTGAAGACGGCACCGAGCTGTCGGTCGGTAGTTTTGCCGATCGGTTCTTTATGAAAATCATTAATACAGTGCCGAGCGCGCCAATAATCGATAGTATCGCACTAACTATACTGCCATATCCCAATGTAATTCTATCTTGCACTGTTAAAACGCATGAACTTCCGCCTAGAGAAAAAGGATCGTTACTACTACTATCTATACTACTACTGCCACTACTACTATTAATATCGCTTGAACTAAACAATCCATGATCACCATTGAAAGGTGATATTATTGGAAACATTATTTATAAATTCTATTTTTAAAAAATGATATATAATATATATAGATCTAAAGTATATAATCTATTCTAAACATATATATATATATTGACATGAGTTTTTATATACAAACAACTTATAGATAATTAACAATTTCTAAATTAAATGGGTCCATATCAATAATAGAAAATGCAATAATAATTAATTACTTATTATTTCTCCACTACACTTTCTTTTTTCTTTTTTTTTGGTGATTGGTCGCAAACTTCATTGATGGGGTGGGTGCTGTGGGAATCAGTGAAAAAAAAAAAGAAATTTCATTTGAAAAGATCTCGAAACCAGGGATTCTTTTAAGTTTTTAACAAAAAAAAAAAAAAAAAAAAAATGTTTTCATTTAATTTCATCATGTTGTAAAACAATTTGATGGAATTACACAAATTTATTGATAGATAGAAGATTAGAATAATGGAATCAAAAATACAACAATGAAATAAGAGGTAGATCTACTATCGATATAAGAACTCATATGCGTGCTTTTTTAATATTCGAATCTTATTAATAGTTGTGATCTGTTAAAAAATTGAATAAACTTAGTTCTTACAGTTGAATTAATTCAAAAAAAAAATTTCTAGGAAAAAAAATCATTTGGTTCATACAAAATTATAATCGTCAAATTGATAATTTTATTTTTATAGATATGTCTGTGATTTTACAGAAAAATGAGTACAGATAACAATAATAATAATCATAGTAGTTTTGCACAAAAGAGACTTCCTGAATCATATGGAAGTGGTCGTTCAAAAAAGAGGTTTAGACTATTTGGTAATCTTGAAGATCTCGATATCGAAACAGTTAAAACAATGCAATCTACTCAAGCTATCTTGAATTACAAAGATAGGAATTCGCTTTCAAATCTGATCAAAATCTATGACCAATATTTTAAATGTGATCAACACTCCACTGAAAGTAGAATCACCTGTGTCAAATTCTTTGTACAGTATCACACGGCCTACAAGTTTGCTCACTATTTCGATGTCAAAGGCTATGCCAAGTTCATCGCTGAGGTATTCTTTGAACAAACCACTGAGGTATTCAAAGAAATAGTTAATTTGGTACCTGTTACGCGAACATCAGTTATCAAAGATATCTATCAAAGAGTTGTTAATGACATTAGAGTATGTATTAACTAACAAACTATTAGATTTGGAAAAGTATCAATCTAGACATCTTAAAAATTAATATTAATTGCTAATAGCTCAATGTATGGTTTAGGAAATGGAATGAATCTGATGTTAGCGGATTGAAAGAAAGGATTGCAAATTTCAGCTATTGCCTTGAATACGATCGTTTTGAACCAATTGGAATATTTACCTACGATTATCTTTATGATATCATTTACAATGGCAATGTTTTGGCGAAACAAATGCTCATAGTAGAGAAAAGGTCTTATAGAGGTGAAGATAATGATGATGATGACGATGAAATATCGATTCAAAAAGAAGATGTGGAAGAATCGTTAACCAACAATATTAAACTTTCAGAGTTACTATTGGAAAAGATAATTTCATTTTCACTACTATATGATAAGAATCGCGATTTCCATAACAAACGTCGCAGATTCAGATTTTATAGAAATCATTTCCCATATTTCGTTGATAAAGATCAAATTATCACTGTTGCAAAGGTGTCAAAACAGTTCTTTAAAATAATTTCAAAGATGATCGTCAACAAGCATTTCAATTGGCGTGGTGACCTCGAACTCAACAATAACAATAACTATCGATACAATTTAGTTAGATCTCCACCATTGTATTTCGATTACGAATCAATCAAATACATTCCATATGATAAAGGTATCGAATATGCTAATCACATGATGTCAAGAGTGGAAGTTTTCACAATTGAATCCGATGAATCCGACCATTCTGCGCTCGACAGTACATCTAGATCCCTTCAAGACTTTCGATATGAAGATTATGAAGAAGAGGAATTGGATCGCGCCTATCGAAAAGCAATAATAAGGAATGGATACTTGGTGTATCCACCCGCAATGCCAAATCTAAAAGATATCATTGTGTTTCGGTACTTTGGATATGAGGACTGCTATAGTAGACTGCTTTCTCATATCATTATGAGTACACCGAATGGTGATGGACATGGTATTGAAAGACTAGCGATTGATATAGTCAAAGATGTTGAGGGCACTCTATCAGCAAATATCGAATTCCTCCGACCACTTTTAATGATTCATTCAAAGACTTTGAAATCAATTAAATTGTCATATAGAGACGACTTTCAACGAGAAGAATATGATCAGTTGTTTGACATCTTGGAAGAAACACTTCACCTGTTTAAAGAAAATCATATCATTCTTGAATTAGAAATCACAGATCCCATTAAGGGTTATCACAACAAAAATCACTCTGAAGATGTATTTAATTTTATATTAGAAAGTATAGTAAAGGATGAAGAATGATAACAACAACCATCCTATAATATCGAAGAAGATGATATATTTTAAATAAAATTTGAAATAATTATAAACAATTAATTGGTTTAGCATAAGAAATAACATGATCTTTCACCCACAAAAAGTATCCTTTTTTAATCTTTTTTTTTTTTTTTCTATTGTTCAAATTTTGACTATCTGCTATCATAAAAGACACTTATCAACATTTTTCTCATTATTCTTCTCAAATTACTTTGGGTTAGTTTTTTATTATAAAAAGAGAATGGACATCATACATCCTAACATTATGTTAAATGATCCCAAACTAGATTATCACAATTTTAAATCACTGTTTTAAATTTATTAAGCATCTATGATCTTTATTTTAGAAGAATAGACACTCCTTAAATTTAAACATCCAGAGTACATTTTCTTTGGATCATCATACACCACCATCTATATATTCTCAAAGTTGTCCAATCTATTCATTGCCTATTCGATCAAAGAAAAAAAACAATAAGGAAAGGATCGTATGAAGCCGGATTCGATGTTACATTCGTTGGTAAACCTGTTACTACCTTTGCATAACCATTCCGCCTCTATGGAAAATCCTCGGAAGGTAATGCCGATAGTTTAATGATTTTATTTATTATAGGTGTTTTAAAATCTGTTTTATTTATATCTACCAATCAATAAAATATTTATTTATATATATAATTTTTATTTAACCATTGTCGAAACTTAACTTTATATATATATATCTATTTATTTAACATATAGATTGTATCACTATTTATACAACAACAAAATGAAATTCTTAAATCTGTTCAGTAATTCTAAAAAGAAGGAAATTCTTAAAGATGAATCGTGTGTATCCGAAACATCACCTTCAACCTCGCCAAAAAATATAAGTATAAAGCTGACGACCAGTCCGACCAACAATAGAGTCAATCATTTAAATAGCTCTGGAAGTAATGTAAACTCTGGAATCTCACACAATAGACTGAGTAGCAGTTGCGGAAACCTCCAGAACATAATTCCACAGAAATCACCTCAATTAAGAAAAGCTAATACACTGGACAGTAGCCATTTCGATACGAAGTGTAGATATTACTTCCCAAAAGCAACATTTCCAAGCCCTCGGGATATAAATTAAGAAAAGCTGCATCCTATTCCATAGACGATGAAGATGACGAAAAGAGAGTATGCACTTTTGGCATGGGAAGTGTTCTATTTGGTTGTTTCGATAGCTATGCAAACCACAATGTATCACGATAAATTTAAATTAACTATTATAATAAAATACTTTTTAATATTTATGACACTAAAATTTAAAGATTATTTTGGATTATTTCTTATGAAATCTCTAACTTTTTCCAAAGTTTGGCCAAGCATATTTTTACCAGTGCCATCACCACCATCACCCCAATATGAATCATTCTTAGTGTGCTCAACTAGGGTTGCATCTTCAGTAGCCAAAAGAACTGATTGTTTAGTAAAAAAGAAGTATAAGTTATCTATGAATAATATCATATTTGATACATATAGTATCTAAAGGTGTGATGTAACATACGCTTTTGAATATCTTTGTGTTGTTGGAATTTGGCAAGACAAACATCAAACATTACATTATCTTTGATGTCCTCCCAGTCTTTTCTCAATGGATGTGCTCTTGAACGACCCATCGAAGCGCTGTCACCTGATAGTTTAATGAATATGATAGAACATTAATGTTTGGTCAAAGAGAGAGAGAGAGAGAGAGAGAAAGTTAATGATGAAATCAAACCTACCTGGTGTCTTTGCTTCTCTAATTGCATGATAGTAGTTGATATCTGTTGTTTCAAATTTTACAGCCTAATGATGAATCAAACAAAACTTCAAAGTTAATAAAGGCAGTAGAATAGAAAACAATGACCGATCGATAATGATATACTTGAAAATAGTGCTCGGATGTAGGCCAAACAAAACCTGCAAGATGGACATTATGACATGAAAAATTACTAAAACAGCCAAACGAATCGCTTGCTCTATAAAAATTGATTACAACTTGTTTGTTGGCCATCTTATCGTTATTGATTCGTGTTGTGTCAGACATACTTTGAGTCACTAGTGAGAATTATATTTATTAACAATGAAATTTCTTGTTTGAAAAATACTATTTTAAAAATACAATTATAGGAAATAATTAAGATTACCTTCTTTTTTGGGTACTTGTAGTTTTTCTCTGGCGTCACGGTCCATAGCAAATCTGTGTGGATCATAATGACGTAATTTAAGATCTTTATCGTGATTTAAAATAACTTTTTGAAAAACTTTTAAACCTTTTACCGCATTCTGTATTCCAGGGTCTTGCATTAGTGTATTGTATAATTCTTTACTAATAACTTTTGGGTTGTTAATTAGTTTTTTTGTCCATGGTTTCATAATTCACTCCTTAATTATTAAAATAGATCCTTATGATCCTTATGTTATATGAATATAATTAATAAATAGTTAAAAAATAAATCATAGGTTGGGTTGTAATTTTTAAACCACCATACTTACTCCAGTATTCATTTTTAAAATTTTCAACAAAAAAAAACCCAATTATTTGAATATTAAATTAAAAAAAACCCAAATATTTGAATATTAAATTAAAAAAAACTGAATATTTCAATATTTGGCGCTTCTGCATATTAATAATGGATAATTATCAAGATAAAACTTTAGAGAAAAGACGTAAATTAATAGAGGACAACTTTAAAGCAGAAGGAAAGGTATGTCCTTTATGTCATAAGAAGTTAAATCATCATAGTTTCATTACCACATTTTATAGTGCATTGTATCCACAAATATATCTCAAAGAAAACAGTGTTTGTTTCCTAATTTGATAGAAACCATTTTGTTATAGATTATTTATTAATTTTTCTTTGATTTTTAATTTAATTTAGATCTAATAAATGTAATTCCATATTTAAAATTCTTTGTAAAGATAGAAAGTTGACCTAAACTGATTTAACAGCATGATGGGGTGAAAGTGGCAATCCAAAGAGCTCCATAACCATATGAGTCACTGTCTGCCCAGGTTCTATATATTTATATATAAATAATATCAGATGTGTTTAATAGAATTAATATATAGGCAAATTTTGATCTTTGTATTGACGATACTTACACATATTTGACATTGAAACCGGTGTTGGTGATATTGACAGCCTTGGCATAGACTCTGAAGTTCTTGTTTTGATTTTGATCGGCACAAGCTATATAGCAACACTGACCTTTGGAGTTGTTCCACATGGGAATGGAGTGGCGAACTTCACTTGGAGAAGGTAGAATTTCTCCTTGACATCTGGGTGTTTTTCGTTTGGAGCTGATTGTGGTGGAGTAACTACATGACCAACATCATCAACATAGTTGAAACTACCATGATCAATCATAGTTACACTTCTATTACAACATGTACAAGTCATTTTATTATTTGATTACTATTAGAATTTATAAAAATTATTTTTATATGTTTATTTATACTTTTATTTACCATGGCACTATTCATTGCATATGAACAAAGGAGGTTAGATATTTTGATAATAAAATTTAATAAAAAGGAATCTTTAGCAATCGAGATTTCATTGCTTTGTAAATTGTCTCACATCCATCAAGTTGGATTCCCAATCCAATTTACAAATCTTCAATCAAATCCATCAACATAACGACATTATTGATAAAGAAGTAGTGAATATCAAATACTTTTTGACTTTTTTTTTTTTAATTATTGCAATCTATTCAATCAAAATATTATTTTTATTATGACAATTTTGGTTCAACCAATACAAAAAATTCTAACTGTTCCAAAAAAAAACAAGGAAGACATGATTCAACAAAAAAAGATCGAAAATCGAAATGGTTTACAAAAAAAGCTAGAAAAATAATATTGTTTTTTTGTTTTTTTTTTTTGTTTTCAGATTTGAGGAGATTAAAAAAATGAGGTGCTTAAACTAATATCTCAAAACCACAGAGCCTTTGGATTAACATCAAATGAAGTTGAACACAAAAAGATTTCAATAGAAATGATTTGAAAAAATTTTAAATTGATTAGAATTCATGATGATCATTTATTAACCATAAAACTCAGTTTTATCTTTGAATAGATTTTCTATTTTTTTTTTCCAAAACTATTTTAATCTTTTAATATTGGTGGACTTTGAAAAAACTCATTCAAATTTAAGTTGGTTGATTTGTTTTATTCCAATTTAAATTAAATTTACAAATTAAATATAATTTATTTTGAATTAAATCATCATTTTAGATATTTTTTTGTATATTAAATAAACTTTGTTTTTATCTCTGAATATCTTTATTTTAAAAATGAACTAACTATACAAAAATAAAGAATTTTTTTATTATTTTTAATTTTTTTTAATAATCCAAGAAGTCAAGAGTTGAAACATTCTTTATCAAAACCGATAAGAAACACACTATATTGGAGAACGGAACGTTTAGAAGCTCCTTTGACGATGATAACTATGACTTTGGTGATATTAAAACTAAATTTATTCGATCTATAGGTAAACATGGATATTTAGTTTATCCGCCAACAATGCCAAATCTAAAGGAAATCATTATCTATCAATAAATTGGATATCAAAGCAACTACAGAGATTTACTCAGGCATATAATTATAGACACACCCAATGTCAATGGTCGTGGTATCCAACGATTGGTTGTGCAGTTAATCAAAGATTGGATAAGTGTTCGCTTTAACAACATCGACTTCATTTCTACATTGGTGGAAATATATATTTAGTGCCTCTGACTTTAGGAGCATCCTTGATTTGCTAGCTCGAATCTGTCCAGCATTAAAAGCAAACAACTTTGATTTTCAATTGAAAACTGGTCAACTTTATGATACCAGCAAGAATATGAGCATAGTAAATGTAAATCAGAAAAACAATTACAATTCTTAAAAGAAAAAACGAATATTGCTAGAACCTTTCCATTTGTAAACGAAATGGATACAAAGATCTTAAATGAACTTATATAAAAAATAAAAATAAAAATTATAAAAAAAGGATAAATAATATATAACTTGAACACATTTTTGTAAAAGATAAGATTTGATTTAATTATTATCATAACTGAAACATAAGTGAAAAAATGATTCAATTCAGAACCTTATTGGTTGCACCAAAAAAATTGTTTACTTTTTTTTTTTTTTTTTTGCAAATTTTTTTTTTTTTATGCCCAGGATCCTACCCCTTTTTTGGTATTTGATTTTGAAATCATAAAAAAAAAAAACAACCACTTTTAAACAATCAATTTTACAAGTTATTTTGTTTTAAAACACCACACAGTCCTCCCATCATCCATATTTAAATTTTATTTATTTATTTATTTGTACTATTACTACAACATTTTTTTTCTATGTATATTTATATTTATACATAACAATTTAAGAACTACATCTTTTCTTAAACAATGAATTTAGTTGAAACAACTTTAAATATAAATAATAGTGTCAAAGGTATTGGTGGTGGTATTACAGGTAATGGGAGTAATATCATTGGATGCTCATGTTGCAAGAGTCTTGCTCTCAATGGCATTGGCAATGCAAGCGATCCGAACAACCTCCTATCGATAAGAACACTGCTGAAAATCAAAACCATCAGAGACATCATTTTCAAACAGGTCTATGAAATCAATCGATCGAAATACAAACATCTCAAGTGTAAACGTGGAATAGATATAATCAAAGATCAGTCGCTCTCAGAGATGATAAGATATGGCCGATCCGATCTCTTCTTTGAATACATCACAGAGGTCGTCGATTTCTTGCCGACCGACAACAGTATGCTTTTGAAACTGGCGTTTGAAACTGGCGATCTTGGAGTAGCGAAATATCTCACGGAGAAGCGACATCAGCTGAAAATGGACGATGTCAACACCTTCAAATTGCAACGCCAACTGATACGACATGGAAACATAGAGATGTTCCGCTTCTTCATCGCCGAATATCGACCCAGCTTCAAACAATGTATCAACGCACTGGAAACAGCGGTGGAAGCACAACTTCTCCCATATATCTACACAATCATCGAACACATCTCTAACGCTTTCCCAGAGGATATAAAACAACGAAAAACCTATATAAAAACATTTGACAATCTTGGCTACGAGACAATCGAAGCATTCGAAATAACAAAGCTGCTAATGGAATCACTGGAACTCGACGATATGAATTACATCGATATTATAATGCGATCTTTCAAGTTTGGAAATATGACAATGTTGAACTACATCGTTTGCAACAAGCTGGGCCGATATCTCAAGAAAGGCTATGAGTATGTCAGTATGATGGCGTCGCACCACGGTCCGTCGCTTCTCCAATTTCTCTGCGATAACTGGTCGGACGTTGTTTTTACACCGCGCACCATTAACCATATTATAGAACGCTCTGACTTTGACTCTTTCAAATTCGTCGTTTCCAAACAGTACTCCGGTGGCGTGGAATCGATTTCACTGCAACGCGCACTTCTCTCGCCATCACTGGAAATCGTGGATTTTATACTGAGCAACTTTCCAACTGGCAATTTCACAATCGATGACATTCATCCGTCGATCGTCAGCAAAGAACTGATAGACCGGCTAATCTCTTCAGCATCGTGTCGGTGTCATTTCAGAGATCTGCTGTCGACACTCGCTGAGAACGACCTCATCGAACTCTTCAACTACGTAGACCGGATGCCACTCGATAGGAAACGAATGGACTTCAATGGAGCGTTGAAATCTGCAGCGTTCCGATGTAATATAGATTTAGTGCAACAAATTATCAGTGGAAATCCCAGCTATGTATTCTCCATACCGATTCCAACGTGCGAGAATGACGTCGTTCTAGATGGCAGACGCTACATCGAGATTATCGAAACCATTGTGGCAACTGCCACAATTAATACCACCAACATTCCCCTCAATGCGATATTCCATGGAAATCTTCTCAACATCTATCCATTCCTCACAAGAATCATCTATATTCTTCATAGTTTCGGTCACCTCAACACTCAAGACAACTCGATCCTATTGGACATTGTAACGGCGCATGGTTCGCTCGAGATATTCCAGTATCTTCACAAACAAATCAATGTGCCCATCACCCTGATGACACTGGAGCGTGCATGTCAATATCAACACTTTCACATCATAGAGTACATTCTCAACAATCGACTGGTTATGAATGTCGGTAGTGCATTCGACTGTATTGTTCGTGGCAATCGACTGGACCTACTGATCTACCTCCACAAGAACTACCAGCTAGAGAACTACTATGTTCTACACGCACACAATCACCCACAGATTCTTTCGTACCTGCTCGAACACCTACCGAAGACCATCAACGTCTACAAAGCCATAGAGTTTTCGATGCGTGAAGAAGTGGAACACCGCCAATACTTTGAAATCGCATTTGAACACATCAAAAAGAATATGGAAGGCGATCGTTTCGTCAGTTTCAACATCTTTCACGGAACTATTTGCAACGCAGTAATGCACAACCAGTATTCTGTCATCTTAATTGGATTTGAATTTGAATTGTTTCACCAATCCCTATTTAAATACCTATTACCAATAGCGCTACAACATGGACATATACAACTCATAAAATATTTCCAACTTAAAATGGCATCTAAAACAAAATAATAAAGTAATAAATGGATTTGATTCTCCATTATTTATTATCAAAATAATATTTCTTTCTTTAGATTCTACTTATTCAATAGTTCCAAATTCAAGCCATACAAATAAGTTATTTACCTAAATAAATGGATTGATTCTCTCCATTGTTTCATATTTCTTTAGATTTCCAAATACTTTATTCCAAGATTGGAAATAATAATTTTCATGAAATAACTTATACATAATTCCAAATTTAGATTTTTAAAACAAAACAAGATATACATATATTTATACAATTAAATTAAAATATTTTGTTTTAAATTAAATGAAGGATTTATTTTTTAACATCACCAATATATATATTACGACCCATCTTTAAGTAGTTTATTTCTTGGCGGCCTTGGTGGCAGTCTTGGCTGGGGCAGCAGCTGGGGCGGCGACCTTCTTGGCTGGGGCAGCGGCGGCTGGCTTGGCGACTTCAGCAGCCTTGGTGGAAACCTTGGAGTGCTTTGAGGAGTTCTTTGACTTTCTCTCGGCCTCACGACGTTGAGCGATCAACTTGGCGTAATCGGCGGCAGCGGTGGCAGCAGCGACCTTACGATCGACGATGGCTCTACGGAGTGCTCTACGACGAGCAACGGTGACTGGGGTGACGAGACGTTGGATCTTTGGTGCAACGCTGTTTGGCTTACGACCCTCCTTCTTGGATGGAACTTCACGACGGATGACGTATGGACGGACATCGTCTTCCTTGGAGAGCTTGAAGAGCTTACGAATGTTGTTGGCTCTCTTTGGACCCTTACGTGATGGGAATGAAACGTTGGTGAGACCATCGAGTTCGGCATCTCCCTTCTTGACAATGATTAATTGCAAGGAGGCAATGTCGTCGGCAACGATGCAACCACGGACAGACTTTCTCTTTCTCTCACCGTCTCTCTTTGGGATGTAACATCCGGAGTTCTTGGTCAAGAGCAAACGAACTCTGTGTGGAACAGCAACACCTTGCAACATTGGGAAACCTTCACCGTCGTTTCCACCAGTGATTCTGAAGACGTATCCCTTGAATTCTTCACCCAAAGTGTCGACAGCGACATCTTGTCCCATACGCTTGTCAATGAAACAACGGCTATAATAATATTAATTATAATTATGTTAACAACTTATTTTTTCTCTTTTTTTTTTCTAAATCAATCAATCTGTTCTTCCTCTTTCTCATTCTCATTCTTTTTCATCACTACTACATTCTAAAATCTAATATCTGCTTGTGCTGTTGGTGAAGATTGATTGATATGTTGTTTGTGTGTTGTTTTGATACCTACGTCTTGAGCTTGTCTTCAATGTTGATGCATTTTTGTGCACCAGTTGATGGGTTGGCAATGTTAAGCTATAAGTTTATAGTGTGGTAGGTGGGTAGGTAGTAGGTTGAGAATTAGTTTATCTTTCTTTTCATTTTTCTGTTTCTGTTCAATCTATCTTTCAATCAATCTATCTATAATATGGTAAGGTAATAGAGATGATGATAGATACATAAACACAAAGTAACATACCTTCATCTTTGATTAATCCCCACTTCTAAAAGGCTGCTCATGTAGTCAGGAAAACTCTTTTGTTGTTCTCGCACCGACCACACAGCACGCTCATCAAAAATTTTTATTTTTTTGAATTAATTTTCGTTTTTTCAATTTTACTGACAGAACTTCGAGTCGAGGATTTTTTTGCACTCAACCACTTGGCTCTCAATAAAAATAGACAACACAGTAACGATACTAATTTTAATATGAGAAAATGGAGAGATGATTTTCAGAAGTCAGAAGAGAATTAATTAAGAATTTATTTTCTTTAGATTTTGTTTATTTAAATTATTACAATGCAAATGTAGTAATTGTATAAATATAAAAGTTAATTTAATTCATGTACAATGTAACAAAGTTGTTTGTTCATTCATTGGATTGTTTGTTGTTTATAAGTGAAGAAACACTTAACGAAAATGAATTATTCACTTTCGTTTTAAAATTAGTAGTGGTGTTTATTTATCTTTACATGGTTGTGTTTAATATATATATATATGAGAGAATACTTTTGTCAGATTGGATTGATTTGGGTTGTTGGTGTTGTTGTAGAAGCAAAAGTTTTACAATTATATTATTCTACTTATTATTATTGTTGTTCTTGTAGTGTCATAATTATCAATATTTTTATATTAGTTCTACTACTAGGTGTATGTGTGTGTGTGTGTATGCCGTCGTACATTGTGATATTAGTCGTTTGTACCCTTCAACAATCTATTAAGTTTATAATCGAACAAGTCACATCTAATTGACATTTCCAATTCGTAGAAAGGATTCTTTAAAACGTAGTCTGTATATAATTCATAGATACTGTGCAGTGTTTCCTCTAGATTCTGTTGATTTGGATCTGATATAGTAAAGAATTTCATTCCTAACATTTATATAATGAATGTTTTTATTAATAAGTTTAAATATTAAGTTAATATGATTATGATTTATAAATACCTGTACGTGTTTGATAGCATTGTAATTTAAAAGCTTCTGTTTCTATTACTTCGATACCAGATGATGAACCAGTTGGCGATAGATTCGATGCGATCGCATGTAAACCATGAAACGTTGATCCTAAACTAATATATGCATTGTGTGATAGTTTTGCTGCATTATCTGAATAGTCCTGTTTATCGTTATCGTTTCAATGTTGATTAGTATCTATCTATCTATCTATCTATCAATCAATATAATCTATATTATTATTATTATTTATTGTTTGTCAACTTACATTCTGATAGATTAAGGTACCAGCTTTATTTAATATATACAAAGAATAAATAGTCATTTCTCTTAGTTTGTTCGTTTATTTTTACATATAAATCTTAATTAATTAACTTTTTAAGCAATCAATCAATCAAATGTATAAAGATCATTCGAAACTATATTAATATCTAAATCTTTTTTCAACCTGTGATTTGATGATCATAAATTGTGATAAAAACAAATTTATGTAACGTTAAAAATTGAGAGTGAATGTGATGGATTGTGAAAAACCAAAAAAAAAAAAAATAAACAAATATTTTTTTGTTCAATTTTTTGTGTCATTCGGTTATCTATCTTTTTTCTCTAAAGACTAAACTAAACAAAAATTTTTAATTAAATTAATATTGTTTGATAATAAAGGATCTGTTTCTCAATAAAACCGAACCTGATATCAGTTTTATATAAAAAGTTATTAGTTTTACTTTTAGTCTAGTTAGTTTCAATCAAAGTTCAAAGTTCAAAGTTCAAATACTTTACTATCTTTTAATGTATCACTATTAATTCTGTTAATTAAGAAAGGTAAATTAAAATAATTGATTAAACTTTTTAAATGATAGGAAACAAACTAACTAATATAATGATAATTATGTTTATATAAATATTATTTATATTTATATATATATTTTAAACAATAACACAAAAATAGATAACAATTTCAATAATAATAATAATTTAATAGAAATGGGTAAACAAAGAAAACAGGAAAACTATTGGGATTCCGAGGAAGCAGATAAGGATCGTGCCAAAGCTGAGAAGTTACAATCTGGTGGTGCTGATTCAGAGAGTGAAGAGGAAGTAGCTCCAGCTCCCAAAGGAAAGGGAAAGCAAGCTGCTGCTCCTGCAAAGAAGAATCAGAATGGTGGTGGAAAGAAGAACCAAAAGGTAGAATCAGAGTCAGAATCAGAGGAGGAAGTTGCTCCAACAAAGAAAGGTGCTAAGCCAGCTGCTAAACTAGCTGCTAAGCAACCAGCAAAGAAAGGATCGATTGCAAAGAAGATGTTGGAATCACCATCTGAATCGGAATCTGCCTCAGAGTCAGAGTCTGAGGAGGATGTTGCACCAAAGAAACCAGCTCCAGCCAAAGGAAAGAAGGCTGCCGCTGCTGCTCCATCCAAGAAGGTGTTACCACCATCTGATGATTCGGAATCTGAGGAATCAGAGTCAGAGTCAGAGGAGGAAGTTGCACCAGCAAAGAAAGGTGCTGCCAAACCAGCTGCTAAGCCAGCTGCCAAGCAAGCAGCAGCAGCAAAGAAAGGATCGATTGCAAAGAAGATGTTGGAATCACCATCAGAGTCAGAGTCTGAACAATCGGAATCGGAATCTGAGGAGGATGTTGCACCAAAGAAACCGGCACCAGCCAAAGGAAAGAAAGCTGCCGCTGCTGCACCATCTAAGAAGGTGTTGCCACCATCCGAGTCAGAGTCTGAAGAATCAGAGTCAGATTCAGAGGAGGAAGTTGCACCAGCAAAGAAAGGTGCAGCTGCCAAGCCAGCAGCTAAACCAGCTGCCAAGCAAGCAGCTAAACCAGCACCAGCACCAGCAAAGAAAGCAGCAGCAGCAGCGAAAGGAAAGAAAAACAAACAAAACTATTGGGATGAAGATTTCGAAAAGGATGCTGAGGATGCAAAGAAGATTCAAGACGGAACTGGATCACCAGCAGCACAATCTGCATCGGAATCAGAGTCAGAGGAAGAGGTTAAGACACCAGCACCAAAGAAAGAAGCAACACCAGCAGCACCAGCAGCAGCAGCAACAGGTAAAGCAGCAGCAAAGAAGAAGAATAACAAGAAGAAACCAGGTGCTCAAGAAAAGAAACCACAACAGGAAGAGAAACTCTCTGGATTCCTTTTGAAGCAACGTGAGGAAGAAGAGAGAAAGAAGAAAGAAGAGGACGAAAGAAAGAAGAAGGCTGAGGAGGAAGCTATCTTGGCAGCCATAAAAGAAAAGGAAGATGAGGAGCGTAACAAGATCAAGGCTGCAGAGAAGGCAAAGAAGAAGGCTGAACGTAAGGCAATCGAAGCTGAGGAGCAGAAGGAAAGAGAGAGAATCGAGCGTATCGAAAAGTTAAAGGCAACCGGTTTTAAGATATCGGCATTGGAGAACGCAGCTCAACCAGGTGACGCAAAGAAAGTAGTAGTATACTCGAGCAAGAAGAAGCCAGGCAAGAAGGACAATGTCAACCAACTCGCCGAACAGGTCAGTGAGATCAAGATTGAAGAGACAACACCAACTACTAGCAGCCCACCAGCTGAGGAGGAGGTTATGGAGAGTTGGGATGCCGACGGTTGGGAATCGCTGGAAGACATTCAAAAGAGAAAGGAAGAGGAAGAGAAGCAACGTTTGGAGGAAGAGGAGAAGAAGAGAAAGGAGGAGAAGGAAGCTGCCAAGAGGGAAAAGAAAGCTGGAAAGAAGGGAAGTAAGGACAGCAAGTCAACTACTACCACCACTACCACTGCCGCCGGTGGCAATCCAGAGAACCAAGAAACCCCAGCAGAGAAAGAGTTGCGTTCACCCATTCTCTGTATTCTCGGTCACGTCGATACCGGTAAGACTTCGTTGCTCGATAAGATTCGTAGCACCAACGTCCAAGGTGGTGAAGCTCGTGGTATCACTCAGCAGATCGGTGCTTCCTTCGTGCCGGTCGAGACTATCAAGGAGCAAACCAAGGGTATCAACGAGAAGTTAAAGGTCAACTTTAGGCTTCCAGGTTTGTTGTTGATCGATACACCAGGTCATGAGTCGTTCAACAATTTGCGTTCCAGAGGTTCCGGTCTTTGTGATCTCGCCATTCTGGTCATTGATATTGTGCATGGTATTGAGAAGCAAACTGTCGAGTCTATCAATCTTTTGCGTATGAGAAAGACACCGTTTGTCGTTGCATTGAACAAGGTCGACAGAGTCTACGAATGGCAAAAGTATGTCAATCTCAGCATGAACGAGGAGCTCAAGTTACAGAACAGACATACCGCTCAGGATTTCGAGTCGAGAACAAACAAGATTATCGCTCAGCTCGCTGAACACGAGTTGAATGCTGCTCTCTACTGGAGAAACTCTGACTACAAGAAGGTTGTATCGTTGGTTCCAACCTCTGCCGTTACCGGTGAGGGTCTAGGTGATTTGATGTTGGTGGTCGTCCAGTTGATGCAAAAGATCATGTCGGAGAAGGTCACCTACAGAAACACATTGGAGTGTACCATTCTTGAAGTCAAGGCAATCGAAGGTTTGGGTACAACTGTCGATGCCGTCTTGGTAAACGGTGTCTTGAATGAGGGTGACAAGATTGTGGTCAGTGGTTTCGGTGGTCCAATCGTCACAACCATCAGATCACTGCTGACGCCACCACCACTCAGAGAAACACGTGTCAAGACTGCATTGATTCCAAACAAATCGATCAGAGCATCTATGGGTGTAAAGATTGTCGCGCCAGGTCTAGAGAAAGCAGTTGCCGGTACCTCCTTGTACGTTGTTGGTGAAGACGACGATCTCGAAGAGCTGAAGCGTGAGGCACAAAAGGATGTCGACAGTGTTCTCGCCACCGACGATACCGAAGAGATTGGTGTCACCATCCAAGCTTCAACTCTTGGTTCTCTCGAAGCTTTCTCTACTTTCTTGAAGGGAGAAAAGATTCCAGTTGCTTTCAAGGCCATCGGTCCAGTCCACAAGAAGCACGTTATGAATGCCGCTATCATGGCAAACAAAGATCCAAAGTATGCCATTCTACTTGCTTTCGGTGTCAAGGTTGAAGAGTCTGCAATGCAAACAGCCAACGAGCTAAAGATTACAATTATGTCAGAGGAAACCATTTATTTGTTTGTCGATCGTCTGAAGACATACTTTGGCGCCATTAAAGAGAAACTTAGAGAGCAAACCGCCAATGTTTGTGTATGGCCATGTTTGCTCGATGTTATTAAAGTATTCCGTCAGAAGGACCCAATTCTGGTCGGTGTTCGTATTAAGGAGGGTACCTTGCGTATTGGTACACCACTTGTCTTGCCAGATCCAAATCAACAACACGTCGACATTGGTGTTGTACAATCAATTAAGCTCAACGAGAAGGATGTCAACATCGCCAAGAAAGACGACGAAGTTTCAATTTCCATCGACGATTCAAACACCAAGACCACATTCGGTAGACACTTTGACGATAAGAAAGATTGGTATTCAAAGATCTCTCGTGATTCTATCGATGCTCTAAAGGAAGCTTGGTCAGACGAACTTACTAAACAAGATAAACAATTAATTGTTTTCATGAAAGGAGTATTTAAGATTAACTAAAAAATAGAAAATAAATATAGAAAAATAAATATCCCACTTTTTATAAATTAATATAAATAAACAGCTGCTTATTATTTGTTTTTGATTTTATTTATCATTTTTAAATTTTTGATCATTGCTTTATAATTCACCCATTTGGTGCGCCAATTGTAATAGTTGTTCATCATCGAAATGTTTACTTAAATTTACATCTTCACTCAGTCCCTTTCTTCTTCTTGTCTTGATGAGCAGTTCACGAGCCAAATGAGCTTGTGGACTTGGTTCTAATGGCTGAAGTACAATTGATTTATCGAGGGGATCGCCCGGTACGACTTGCCAGTGATCGAATGTCGACAGACAGAATGCTTGTCCTTGGGTGTGAGATCGAAGATCAGTTTCGAATCCATAGGAGTCCAACACTGGTAACAAAGCTTTGGTGATATATAGTGGTGTACCTGGCTTGGGGAAATCATGGATGATATGACCACGTCGACGAGTCAAAACAGTTTCAATCGCTTGAACACAATCGGGTGGTGAGATTACTTCGACCATGAAAATTGGTTCCATCAGTCGAGGATTTGCCACCAAGAATGCAGAGTGTGTGGCTGATCTGGCGGCGGGTACAATATGTCCACTGGAACGAGCAATTGGTTCCGGTGCAATCGTTGCATCGATCAACTTGAATTTGGTATTTCTAACGGGTTCGTCAACAAGCGGACCTTCCTTGGTGGCCCATTGGAATCCACGTACCACCGACTCACTAATGGACATCAAGTGAGAACGATTGATTTCCGTTGAGAATGTATCGTTAATTAGGACGTTTGGTCCGTAAGTGTCCGGCCCAAATGCCCATATATTGTTGGCGGCGAGCAAGTCCCATCCGTATTTGGTCTGGAAGAACTCTGAACGTTTCTTCTTTGGCCAATCAATTTTAACTGCACCCGATTCAATATCGTCGGCCAAACCTTTTTCCAGAGGTTCGCAAATCATTGTCAAGCTATTCTTTCTGTTTTGTGTTTCCGCGCGACATCTGATCGCCGATGTCTCTGCGATCGTTTCCGACAGGCAGATGACTGGATCATCGACTTTGATTTCAATTTCAGCATACATTGTTCGCAAATCGTGTAAAATACAATCTAAATAGAGTTCTCCTGTACCAAGAATAATGTGCTCACCCGACTCTTCGGCACGTGTAATTGCCAGTGGATAACTCTTGTTGATCTTCCTCAGACCCTCCAACATCTTGGGCAACTCTGACGGATTCAGTGGTTCAATTGCCACCTTACACACCGACTTGGTATTGAATTGGAGTGGACGGAAAATATGAGCACTGGTGTCAGGTTCGCGCGAATCGATATCGTTCTCTGCAACGACAGTAGCTGTCTTTACGATGGAATTGTCTACACCCTCCAAGAGTACCCACGATCCTGGATATGCCTGCTCCACCTCTATCTGATAACGTGCTTCGCTAATGGAGATCTTGGTAATTTCATCGAGTACGAGATCTTCATCGTTGTCCGGTGTGTATTTCTCTCCGAGAACACGCACCATTCCTTTGGTGACGGTACCACTCATGACACGTGCCAAACTATCGAATTTCACACCGTCCGGACGACATATCAATTTGGTGATGTGAAGCACGAGTGGACCGTTGGGATCGCACTTTTTGAGTGACTCTCCATACTCGCCGATCTGTGGTCCGGTGTAGAACATCTCTGTCTTTGTTGGTGCGGCATCGAGTGGCGATGGCAGTGTAGTCAACATATCGACGAAACCTTGTGATTTTCCAAAGAATGTTCCAAGTACGATTCTCAACAGTGGTTTAACATCCATATCGAGTGTTTCTCGCGGCAATCTCATTCCGAGTTCAAAGAGCATTCTCTCCACGCCTGCCTTATCGCTCGATACCACCGTAGAGTAGATCTTGTAGAGTGGATTCAAAATGAAGTGAATGAATGAACGTTGCATCTCTGGATTGTCAGGCTTTCTACGGAAAACACGTTTGTCCGCGTGGAAATAGAGATCTCCCCAGAGACGCTTTGCAAATTCCTCGGGTGCGAAACCACCTCCGAAACTGACAGAGTAGATCTTGGCGAACGACGACAGCGTGAAACACCAGCCCATCTCGGACGAAGCAAACAGTACGTTGCCAGCTTCCGGTGAGACACGAATCGATTGACTGCCATGCGATGCCTTGTCGAGAATCTGGTTGATCTCGTCGATGGTGTGTTTGATCTTGAAGTAGGCGTCGGTTGGCGGCAGTCGCAGCTCCAGTATAAGACGATCGACCTTGTTGATAATGACAGCAATCGATAGTCCTTCGTTGACGGCATGTTGAATCAGACGTTCGGTCTGCATCATTACACCCTCGAGCGCATCGACCACAATCACTGCCGAGTCACACAGTCTCATCGAAGCGGTAACTTCATCCGAGAAATTGACATGACCTGGAGTATCTAAAATATTACAAACATAGCTCTTATCCTTTGAATTCTGTAGTACCAAAGTCATTGGTGTTGATTTTATCGATAATCTACGTTCCTGTTCATCTTTTCTTGTATCTGTATATCTCATCTAGAAACGGTGATAGGGTGGTAAATTAATATTGGTAACACAAATGACTATCGATCGATTGATTTCATGTTAATTAATTACTTACTGGTTTGGTATGTGTCCATTTCTTTTCGTGTGTTTGTAGGAATAGCATGTCCATAAACGATGTTTTTCCTGATGATAGATTTCCAACGAGACAAACGTTACGAATGAGATGTGGATACTGCAGTAGATCTATCAGGAACTGTTTGTCGTATGTAGTGGTTGGTAAATCTTGTTCGGTCAGTGCAAAAGTACGTGTTCTCGTTGGTGCTATAATTGGTTTGCTAATGGGTTGAGTGTCTTCGTCTTGTACCATGACTTCAGCGCCATGATACACTTCCGATGCATCTGGAAAATACTTTTTATCTTCATGTAAAACTATTGCATTGCTCTTTAACTCATTATCTACTTCCATTCTATCGTTTTGTTGTCTACCATTGCCATTCAATCCATTGGAATGATGATCATGATCTTCATCGTTATCACGATCAGCATCATCACGTGACATATCGATTCCTGTCAAATCATTTCCTTCATCATCATCAACACCAGCTTGAAATTGATCTTCATCGACCTCTCCATTGTATACTTGATCTACATTATTGTCATCTTCAATGAGATTACCAAATTCATCAAACAATGGTTGATCTGACATCTCTCTATATATTTATATATATCTAAAAAATCTATTAAAATTTAAATATATTTTAAATAGCTTAATCTATATTTATAAATTAAAAGAAATGAGTTGATTGATCAATCAATAATCATTCAAATCATTCATCGATATTCGACAGTTGAAGTCATTTATTTTAGTTTTTTAAAAAAAAAAAAAAAAAATTCAAAAAAATTATTAAAAAAAAAAAGAGAGAGGTAAATGAATGTTGTAAGATGTTTGATTGTTTGTTTGTTTGTTAAAAGTTTAATAAACTATTGACACTCATTCCAGCGGATTTCTTTTTAGAGGTTGTTGGTAAAGGTGGTGCTGGAGGTGATGACATTGTTTGTTGAGTTTGTTGTTGTTGTAGTGGTTGTTGAACTGGTGAGCTTTCACGATATAGTTTGATTTCGTCTTTGTAGGAGCCAATTTCAAGTCGAGTTAATAGATCTTTAAGTATTGGAATGCTTTCGATGTAGTTGATTCCAAGTTCCTCTCGGATGACTAAAGACATCTGTTGGAGGAGTTGTGGATGTTGGTAAATCAGAGCAATCTGACGGACACGCTCGCATTCAACCACAAGATTCTCGAATTTCAATGGACTGGATCTACAAATACGTTGAACCTTTGTAAAATCGGATTGCAATGCATCCGGTTTAATAAAAGATATGATAATAGAGTTTGTACTATCTTTCTGATTGACGTTATACGATGGAATTGGTGATTGTTGTTGTTGTTGTTGTTGCTGTTGTGGTGGTGATGTATTGGTTGGTGAAGCATTAGCATTGTTAGAGTTTGTTGTTGCTGCTGTTGCCGTTGGTGGCGGTGTAGTTGTAGGTGGTACTGTTAGTGGACCTACGTCTAGCTGTGAGAGATCGATGGTTAGCGATGAACCTGTCATCGATTTGGCAATGAGTGGATCGGTGTTGTAGCTACCGGGCATAAACGTCGAGAGTACCAGTACGGAAGTGTCGCTCTCGAGCGATGCAGTCAACATGCCGTACCACTCGACACTCTCATTGATGACAACGATTGCCGTTGACTTTAGATTGCGTAGAGTAGAGTGTAGCACTGAACAGAGAGGTGGCAGCGTGTCTGACACCAACGGTACAATAACATGTCTCGATACTGTTGGCAACTCCATGGCATTCCTATTCGGAAGGAATCCGAGTATTGTTAAAACACTGGGAAATGCATTCAAACCACTGGTCGCATCGAATCGATCCGATACATATTTAAACAGCGTGTGAATCGAAGGATATAGTGTAATAGGTGATGTTAAATGACCAAATGTAAGTAATCCCTTATAAAATGAATCTAAAATTGGTAAATAAATTGTAAAGTTAATATATATTATGATATTATTATAAGATATCAATACAATACAATGATTATTAACAATTGAGTTGATTGTATCTGTTAATGATAGTCGGATATTATTTGTAGAGTATTGTTTAATGATATACAATGTAGATTTGATAGAGTTATTAAATATTTGATTGGTAGCAGTCTTTAATGGATGTTTATGTTGTTGATTTGTACAAATTGATATGAAATGTAAATGATTTACAAAAGGTATATTTAATTGATGAAGTAATGATTGTTGTTGATTATCATTTTGTTTATTATTATTATTATTATTGTTTGTAGTTGTTATTTTATTACTATTATTATCTTGTTGTTTATTAATATCGAATGTTGTACAGGCATCTGTGAATACCAATATCTCAAAGAGATGACCTGATGCACCGTATTTCTGAATGGTTAGCTTGACCGCTTCGTTCAGTGCATTCGGTAGGTTGGTAGTGTCACACAATGTCAAATCCAGTAGACACTGACGAATCGATTGAATATCTCTAGTGAAGCTGACAGTTGCCACGACATTCGATGAATAGGCAATTAATGCAATAGAATCCAACATGTAAGGACCATTCTTCTCTAGCAACTGCAAAAAGTAATAGATTGCATTCTTCATCAACTCTTTGTATGTACTGATATCGGTATCATCTTCAGAAGATACATCATCTTCACCTACTCCTCGAGGTGTAGTCGATCCAGCAACATTCAAATTAGATTGGTCTCCAATGTAAATGGATCTTGCCATTGACATTGAAACATCTAATAATAATATTGTAGGCATGTTTACTTATTTATTTTATATTCTTTTTTTTTTAGATATATATCTTGATATAACTTATTTAACTAAATTTGGTTGATTGATCGATATCTTAATTAAAAAAGGAAAAAAAAAAAAACATGTTCATTCATCTGCATTTGAAATTTCTTCAAACAATTAATCGGTTGTTTGTTTTTAATCTTCATTTTATTTATTTATCTTACCTTTTAATTTATATATTTATTTATCATTTAATTATTATTAGATATGGATCAAGAAAGAGCAAGACATTTAAATGAAATAGGTACTACATTGTTATGCTTGAATGTACATGAAGGAACATCGATTACACTCGATAATAAACAGACTGTTAGTGGTCCTTTGTTCAAAGGTTATAAAATGATACCTCATGGTGTACATTTATTTACTTATAGGTATGTTAAAAATATTAATATCTTTTAGCGTTGTATCTAATATTTATTTGTTTATTTTATTCTAATTAGTGCTATGGATCAAAATAATGATTCTTCACCGATATCATGTCAGTCAAGATTCTTTTATGTAAAGAAAAACGGTGATGTCATTGTTTTAAAGTGGTCGAAAGAATATGAAGATTTTGTAGATGAAAAGACAACAGAGTTATTACAGCAACAATTAGAACAACAAAAGAAAGATAATCAAAAGAAGAAGAAGGATAATAATAAGAGTGGTGAATTGGATGTAGGTGTAGAGGAATTGGACGACGATCATGATGACACTATGATGATGGTAGATGAAATATGTTTACACAAAGATAATAGACTGACGTTGGATGAAGTAAAGTCTTTTACCGCTGCAGTGAAGAATATGGAATTCGATAGGAATCTGGCAGCATATCCAGTCGATGATAGTAGCTACTTCCAATGGAAATCACTGACAAAGCATATAGCACCGGAACTCTTGGAGAGACTACTACCGATTTCTGGAACGATCAATGGTGATGCCAATGACTACGATTCCATTGCCAGCAACAGATCACAACATTCATTGGTAAAAGAACAAGAGATGCTTGATAAGCTTGATAAAGATATATTAGAGTTTAAAAAGAGTAGAAATTTAAATATTCAAGATGATAATAATAACAGTAATAACAGTAATAATAATAGTCAAATCAATCAATATTATCAATTAACTGAAAGATGGGGAGTACCTTATTATTCAGTTATTCCAAGTGCACCACCAAAGAATTCGACACCGATGGAAGTCTCCAAGTGGAATATGGACAAGTCAGATTCACTACAGTATGTTCTCGATAAATATTATGCTGGCGATGAATACGGTATCATTGGTGAGATAGAGTTTTGCTATACTTTGTTTATCTACGGCTTGGCCTACAGTGCTTTTGTCCAGTGGAAGTCGCTTATCACTCTGATGCTGCAGTGTGATCGTCTGGTCGACGAGAAACCAAGGCTGTTTGGTACACTCCTAGAGGTTTTGACACTGCAAATGGAGTTGGGACCGTCTGACTTATTTATTTCCGATATATCAAGTAATATCTTTTTGAAACCTTTGCTAAAGTCTTTTATTGAAGCTAATTTCCAAGATACCGATGATAATCAACAACAACAACCACGTGGTAATAACAACAACAATAATAACAACAACAACAACAACTTGCCCAATAATAACAGTAAGAGTGAAGATCGTAAGTTCTTGTTTGAACAAGTTTTAACAATTCGAAGGTTTGTTGAACAGAAATTTCAGTGGTCACTTTCACTCTTTGAAATTCCAACCATGCTAGACGAAGATATGAATCCTTATGACGAAGAAAATGAGGATTTACCAGCAATCGTTTATTTGGGTGATGATTTCGAATGAAATTTCATAACGAGCAAATCGTTCTGAACCAAAAAAATAAATGGTTGTTGTGGTTGGTATAGTGAAAATGAATGATTGAAGTTAATTTGGATGTAAATAAAACAAAAAACTAAACTTTACTTTAATTAGATCTAATTAAAAAAACATATGGAATTTGCCACCACCCAAACCCAACACATACGTGTACTGACCACTAATGTTTGTTTTTTTTTTCCACTTCTGAATAGTTAATGGGGGAACCAAATCATTACTGAGAGATTAACAATTTGAATGTATAATTAAGAAGTGGAATTGTCTTTAATATATATCTCGATCCTATCTTCACAAACACCAAAAAACATCGCTCAAAAACATTGTAATTTGATTTTAATTGTTAAGAGGCATCCACCCTGCAAACAATGATCAATGGAGTTTTTTCTCTTAAAAGGATGAAAAAAATAAAGATATTTTGAAAAAAAAAAGAAAGAAAAAAAAAACCGTACTAAATCTATATATATCTAAAGTGAATGTTTTTTTTCGGGGAATAATCTAAAATAAATAGAATTGTTTTTTTTTTTTGCATCAATGGAGCAAATGAAGACCAATTTTTTCAAGCCCAACACATCTGTTCGGTACCCAAAAGTTTTTCAACTCCGCAAATATCAAAAATCATTTTTTTTTTGGTACAATTGCATTGAAAAAAAAAGCAAACAATTTATTTAATTTTTTTTTTCATCAAATTGGAAACAAAATTCTGAAAGGGCAGTTCTTTAAGGAACCTTGTTTTCTGATCATCTCATTAAGTTATTTATTGATCTGTAATTTTATCATTATATATATATTCTTTTTACTACTATTTCATTCCTTAACTTTTTAATCATTGTAGAATATAGTAATAGTTTTTTTAATTAATAAAAAATAGGGAAATAGAGATTATATTGATAACAACAAAAATAAATAAATAAATGATTTTGATTTTTAAATCAAAAATGTATAGTTTATTATATTTTCAAATTATTGTAATATTATTAGTATCATATTTTAATTCTTTTTCAACAGGTAGGTAGACTTTTTTAAAAAAATTATAAAAAAAACTCTTTTGTTTAAAATATTCATTTAAAAATTATTATTTCCGATAGGTGCAATTGTAAATTACTCATATTGGGCAAATCCAAGTCAAAACAATTGTCCCAATTCACTAATTTCACTGATAACAGATTCCGGTACAACAAATATCACTAAAATCACTAACAATGCCAGCTACAAACAATATCCAATTGCTTTCCCAACTAAAAATGTATTTCACTTAGGAATAGATGTTCCTGTTGGTTCATACAATATAGATTTAACTGTTACTCCATCAACTGGATCTCCAATTACATATCCAGTAACAGTTAGTTGTAATAGTAAGTTAAATTAAAGATAAAAAAGGAAATTCTTTTTAATAATTAAAAATATTAATCTTTATTTCTCATATTTTCATTTTTTTTAATTCATTTTCTAAAGTACCAAATTTACCAAATCAAATTGGTTCAGTTTCAATAGTACCGAGTCCATCTTATGGATACCAAACACCAACATATTTGGTTACAATGCAAACCAATTCAATATTTTCAATATTCGGTTGTGCTACTAGTAATGTAGCAATAGGATGCTCCGTTGCCACCAGTAATACAACCAATATCTATATATTGACTCTAAATTTCATTAGCTTTGATCTACCTCTAGGAACAGGTGATCTCACTATCTATATTAATGGTGCAAGTTCACAACTTCAATTCATTATTCCATCACCACAAACCATAGGTGGCCAATCCTCAACTTGGCAATCGTCTTTCAAGTATCCAGGAGACGGAAGTGCTGCTACCAACACCATGGTTAAATCGACTGGTTCCATCCTCAATGTTGTACATGTCGACCAAGTAGGTTCCTATCTCTTCACCTCGTTAAAGACTGGAAATAACGGTGCGATTGTTCCCATGTACGGGCCTGTAGAGTCGACCGCAGCCTCCAAAACCTTTGTAAATAGATTAGCACCACAAACGACACAGATCTCCACAATGCTATGTGATAGCCAAGTCACCAGACCAGCGGGAACCACCACCAATTTCACTTTGGCGGCGGATCCAACTTTCTCTTTCACCGATCCCTTTGCCATTACCCCTGTTTCCGGTGGTGCCGACACATTCATTACCTACACATACAGCAGTCTTTATTGTAAGAATCTCCAATTCAAATTCTTCAATAGAAACACCCGTAATGTAGATTATCCATTCGGTATCAATGCCAGAGGTAACTCTGTTTCCAATCTACAAACCTCCTACCAATTCTCATTTCCAACCAACTTTACTTTAAATTACTATGATGCATTCCCCAATACTATCTTACAATGTGGTAAAGTTTCAGCACCATTTAATGTATCTCCTGCATTGGCTCCAGTTACTATGGGTAAGTATTAACACTAAATTAATTTAAAACAAATTAAATACTTATAAAATATGTTGTTGTTTTTTAGTTTTACCATATATTTCCGATTTCCAAACAATTCCCTTCACTTATCAATCTGTAATTGTTAGAGTTGAAATTACAACAGCCGGAGTTGCATTCCATTCATTGATGTATGGCCCCAATAACGCAGAGTTACTTTCCTACCGTGATTTGGTATCTGGAGATTTATATAAAGGTTATTATGAAAAAGAGATATTCTTTGGAAAGCAAGATATCAATAGTTATTACCCATTAATTGTTATGGATTTAACATACAATTCCTATGCCTATCAAAGAGGTTCAGTTTTAAATACTAAAAAACAAATATTAGATTTCAATTTCCCAAGTAAGTAATTAATTTAAATGTATTTAGTATAGACAGCAAAATAATTAATTTCTTTTTCAAAAACAGCACCAATTGATGTTAGTTTAATAGAAAATTTAGTATTCCAAAATAATACTATGGATTTAACAGGTAATAGTGCCAACAATACAATTTTCTTCCAAATCAATGGTCCAATCCCCAATAATTTCGTTCCTGTTATTCAATTTGACTTTGAATTCTCCGATCCAATCATTGCCAAAGGAACTTTCAATTATTCCAATAACTATGCAACTATTCCATTCACTTTACCAAAGAATTTAATCAATGGAACAATTAAATACTCTTTGTATCTTCCATTTAAACTCTCATGGGAATCACTCTATGGAAAGTTTGGTTCACAAATGTTATTAAATATTACATCTCAAGGTAAGAAATACTATTATTAAAAATAATCAAAGAATATATTTATTCAATTAATTAATCGATGTTTTTTGTATTTAATTATCTTATAGTTGGAGATCAAATGCCACCAATCATTTATGGTATTACTAGTTCAGCCCAAGGATTGGTAATTACCTTTAATCTTTCCATTAGAGATACTAATGGATTCCAAAGTGGATATTTGAATCTAACCAGTGATCTCGATGTATTGCCATACAATGTTGAATTCAATCTTGGAAACTTGACCACCGGAACTGCACAAGATGGTTCCTACAAGTTAATTGTTAACATTGAACCAAGTGGTCCATCGCAAACATTTACAATTGTAGATGCAATGCTAAAGGATCAATCTGGATTCTACTCGAAAATGAATTCGATCAATGGAATCGATCCATTCTCATCGATCTACAACACCTCTGCAGCCGCTTTCATGTCAGCTAGTATCTCAGGTTACGTATCGGGTTCGTACAATCCTACTATGACTCAAATAAATGGTCTTCCAACAACCATCGATACTTGCAGTCCCAACAGATTCCTTTCGTTCCAATTCATCATTAATGACGACTCTCAAGTTTCACCTCGACACAACCCATGGGTGTACCTAGCCACCTATGGATATGATGTTCTCCCTTTCCCATCCAAGCTGGTCTCAGACAACAATGATTACAATACCTTCTCGGTGAATGCTTCACTTCCCTATGGTTTCGGAATGACAAACACAATCTATATTTCGATCTACGGTTTCTCAGATCGTTCGCTAAACTATGCTGGTGTCACTACTGGAATGATAAAGGATGGTAATGTGAATCCGTACAAAACATCGAATTCCAGAAGTATGACACCATCGCTAGAATATGCCCAACCCATCTATAGCTACGGTGGTAGTGTTACCATTTCCGGTTTTGGATTCGGTTTAGACAAATCGGTATTCTCCATCAGCGTCAAGCTTAACAATGGAACAACCCTCACACCATCACCAGTAATGTTTGGTGGAACTTTCTTTAGTTTCCCAATGGCAGCTTTCAGTGATCCAATTAAAGTAACTGTCACTAAATCATCAAAGACATCCAATACTTTGACTATCAACCCAATTCCACCACCTCCTCAAATCCCAATTCCACCAAATAACACTGAAACAACAACCACTACAACATCTACTACTTCAACTACTTCTACTACGGATTCAACTACTACTACTTCAACAACTGGTGATTTAACAACTGGAACTTCAACCACTGGACAATTAACAACTGGAGGATCTACAACATCCACAACAACTACTTCAACAACAGGTGGAATAACATGTCCAGCTGGTTGTGTAAATGGAAACTGTATTGCTCAAGGCACATGTGAATGTAATAAAGGTTATTACGGTCCAACATGTAATTCACAAACAGATCCAAATGCTAATCCAGATCCAAACGAAAATGATCCAACCATCGAAGATATCTCAACTACCATATCGATTGTTGAGATTCGTGAGATGGATAATCTCAATAATCCAACCATTTCCTATCCAGTCGGCAAATATAACTGGACACGTTTGAACATGACAAAGCCATCGGACGTCAATCTCAAGTATGTCTACAACGTACAACTCAATAACAGTCTCAACACCTACGTCAATGTAACAATCGATTGGTTCAACGTAGCCACATCCTTCCCTTTTGGCAAACGTCAATTGAACATGTCGGCCAACACCGCCAAATACTCTATATACATCTCACAGTTCCCATTCGCCGATCGTCTCAACTACCTACAGGTGATAATGAAGATCGGAATCAATGCGACCGACAGTGAATGCTCATCGAAACAGATCGGTGGTGATCAATCGAACTTGCAATGGATCAATCTCAAGGTGGGAGATCGTAGTCTCTACGGTAGATTTGTAGAGTACGGTGTCATCGATGGCAACGAACAAGTAGTCTACAATCAACTGCTCGACGGTTCATTGGAGCCGACCTCGACCGATGCATCGGCATCGACTGTCGCCATCAAAGTTCAACACTATGAGAGCTCTGCATTGCTCGACCCCGACTTCCAATACCTGCTCGACTCTGACTCGTCGGGACGTACCGATGAACTCTGCAAGAGTAGCTCTGGTCTAGACAAAGCAAAACTCGCCGGTATCATCGTTGGTTGCGGTGTATTCGCTATTGCAGCAACCATCATGATCATATATTCCGTCAAGAGAGCAAGAACTCAAAAGAAACTTAGAGAATCAATGAATGTAAAATTAGGTAGTGTTCAAGATCATTAAAAAAACATACCTATATAATTAATAAATAATAAAATAACAAAACAACTCCTCCAATATATATTTAACTATCGAAACAACTGTGTATGTTTATGTTATATAATGTCAGATATGCACTGTCAAAGTTTCTGTGACTCACACTTATAAAAAAAAATTCTTAAAAAAAATAAATAAAAATGTAAAAAATGGTGATTGCAACTTCTTTGCAGAACATATTTTAATTTAGTTTCATAACCTAGAATATTGAATAGCTATTATTATCAATATTACAAAACAATGTCTATACCATCAGTAACTGAAAATGAAGAGGAAATTGAATCAAAGATTGAAAAGGATTTTGAGAGTTCTCTAAAGAGATTCGGTGTTTCTGATTCAAGTATTAATCATTTTATGAATGGTGTATGTAATATGTTTATAAAAGTAGTTGTTTTGTTTTACAATAGTTATTAAATACATATATATATATATTATAGGATGGAATGTTATTCACTAGATCACAACCAACTAAAGAAGAATTAGAACAACACAAACAGGCACTAGATAAACAAGGTGATTATTTCGTAAAGGTGGTCGAACTGGAAGAGGAGAACGTTACACTAAAACAAGAGATCGCTTCACTTAAACAACAATTACTGGAGAAAGAAAAAATTATCAATCAATTAAAAAAACAATAACAAAGTATAAATCAATAATAATATCATTTTAAATTGTAAATAAAATAATCATAACTAATTAAACACTACTGTGCACTTTAAATAAATATTGGTGCACCAATAAAAAACAAACCACTTTATATCTTAATTTTAACACTAATTTAATTGAATAAAAAATGACGAACGAATCACATTGTGAGAAAAATATAAGATTATAATTAATTTGGTGTTGTTGGTGAATATAAATAAATAAACATGTATTATGTCAACCAATTAAATTCATAAAAAGAATAAGTAATAAAAACAAAGCAATAAAAAAACAAACAAAAGAAAGCAAAACACTATCATAATATTATGTTTTATTACAATAATAAATCTATTAAATTTAAAAATATAGTTGATGGATATAAAATTAAGTAATAATCATAATCATCATAACAATAATAAAAGTGTCAAAGTAAAAGAAGAATATTTAAATAGTTTAATAATAAGCAGTAATAGCAAAAATGTTGATAATAACAATGAAAATCATTTGTTAGTTAATTTTTCACATTTATTACTTCAAAAGATAATTAATGAATTTGAGAGTAATCTCGATAGGATTGTATTCACTCTGATTTGTAAACGATGGTACGATCAGAGGAATAAGATATTGACATTCAACAAAGATCGATTGTTGATCACCTGTAATGTCGATGCTCTCTACAAATTCCAAATGAAATCATACCTAAACCTATTCCGACAATCATTAGTACAGAACGACATCAATAGAAAATCATCTACTCTTGGTATCAATTGTTCGAGATTAGATTTAGTTGGTTATGATTATTATGTTTTAATAGGTAAGTAGAAGTAGTTTGTTACTAGTAATTAGTTAACAAAAGTATTAATTAATATCATTTGCTTTAGATTCTAATGATGAAATAGAGAAAATAAAGATACCTAGTGATGTTAGAAAACTTTGTTTTTCCAATTTCTTTAATGATTCACTTGCTCATTGGAAAGGCTTAATAGAGCGGACAAACATTACGTCGTTGGAGGTTGGATTTGAATTTAATCAACCGATTAGACCTGGAACACTTCCGTCGAATCTCAGAGAGTTCGTTTCAAAGTGTGACAGTTTCAGTGAGCCGTTGGTCGCCGGAAGTCTTCCGGATTCATTGGAGCACTTGGAACTGCGTCAGGACTATCTGCATCGGATTCCCGAGGGTGTATTACCGCGGAATCTCAAGACTCTGGTGCTCAGCGGTGATATCTATAGTATCGAAACACTTCCACCTGCGTTAGAAGTTTTAAAATACAGTTTGGAAGATGAGTTCTATTACGACCACACCTATATACCGGAGAAAGGATTGTCTTTCTTCCCGATGACTCTACATACGATTGAAGCACCGGCCACTTGGCTATCATTGTTGAAACGATTGCCATCTCTCCAAACATTGTTAATGGATCGTGAGAATCAACCGGCGCTAACAATGTCAGACTTTCCAGATACTCTGACCGAGCTTGATTTCAATGGCAATTGTTACGCTCTCAATCCTCAGGTTATCCCGTTGTCGATAAGACATCTTAATCTCTCAGGCTGTAAATATTCGTTGGAAACGATCGATCCTGACACCCAAGAGAGAACACTATTCTTCTCGGAGCACGCCAATTTCGAAACACTCGATCTCGGTCGTGGAGTTGTCGATAACACCATCCTACCAGGACAACTCCCTAAGCGAATTCGCAAGTTGGTGATGAATAGCTATCGTGATACGTTGCAGCCAGGATCTATTCCCGATGGCGTTGAAATATTGGAGATGGGTACACCACTCGGTTTCAAAGCGGGCATCGTTCCAGCGAGTGTCAGAGAATTGACATTGAACTCTGAACACTCGAAACAACCGCTGGTCGGCGGTGCCATTCCAAACACTGTCGAAAAGTTAAAGTTGGTCTATTATACACAGAGGATAGGCGAGAGAGTACTACCAGACTCCATTAAACATCTAGATATAACAACCGAACTTTTAAAACTCAATAAGATCGATGATTTCGTTCCGATGACAACTTCAACCATATTCATCAGAGGTCTGCATGCCCAGTATGAACTAAGAAGACTTGATAGCCATCAATTTATATTAATGGAGACCTTTAAAAAGGCAATCAATTTAGGAATTATTCAATCGGATCACTTCAACTATTTATGTGGACGTAAGAGTTCCACTAATATACAATAACAAAATAAAATCATTTTCAAAGAAAAAAATAAATGTTTCTTTTAATTTGTTTTTTTTTTTTCTGATTTATTTAACAAATATCTAAACCAAGATTTGCATGCTGTTTTATTTTATTTATATTTACATATATATAATTGTAGATTATGGATATAAATATCAGAAGAAATCTAGCGGATCTTATTAATACAGCAACGAAAACAGGTAGTTTAGAATTGTCGAAAGAACATGTCAATGCACTTAAATCGATAGTTAGGCAATCGAATCTCTATGTTAAATGTGCACATGATCTATGTATGGAGAAGTTAGCATCTAAACATTGTCAGGTAATAAATAAAGAATATATATTATTATCAACAACAACAATGTTATAAAATTGGAATTGATTTATTTATATGGTCGTAAAATGATGATTTATTTTTAGGTTAGATTGTCAGCATTGAATATCATCAATGAATTGTTTATGAGATCGAAATACTTTAGAGAGTTGTTGTGTGAACAGCTTACGGTGTTGTTTGAGAATGCCGTTGGAACCGACGCAACGAAACCATTGCCACCGCCTGCACAGACCGCTCTCTTCATGAGACCGAAAGCACTAGAGTATATAGAGCGTTGGTACGAAGCATTCGGTGAACACTATATGCATCTGAGAATAGGTTATCATTATCTAAAGAATTCACTAAAGATTCAATTCCCAGACGTAAGAAATCAACAATTACAAAGATCAAGAGCTGAAGATGAGAGAAAAGTAAGTAATTAAAAAAAACTATTTAACAAACTAAATTGATTAAAGATGAATCAAATACTAATATATGTATATGTTTATAAATATCTTATAGGAAAAGACACAACAACTCTTAAAGACAAAGTATAATCAATTAAGATTGGAGTTCGATGGAATAAGAGCAAAGATTGATAAGCAATTAGATGTTTTAGATGGTCTTTTTGGAAAGCTGATACCAAGTGATTCAAACTTTGATGATTTATTTAAAGATAATAATGATAATGAAGATGATAATAACAATAATAATAATAGTCAAGGTAGTAATAAAGAAACAGCACAATATCAAGATGAAATCGTTAGAGAAGGTGGTTTTGGTAATTTCAATTATGAAATAGAGGTTACTGTAGAGAAAGATGATATAGAGAATATAAGTAAATCAAGTAAGTTGTTATTAGTTATAATGTGGTGGAATAACAATGTTATTAATAATTTTAATATATAGTTACTATTGATAAGAAAATAGAGAAACAAATGATAGATAATTTAGAGGAGATCGAGAGGATGCAGCTTTTGATCGTTAATGATTGGTATACTACACTAATAAAGATAGATTTAAGTGCACAATCGAATACAGAGTACAGTAACTATCTTAGACAGGTAATAGATCTTCAATCTAGAATAAATAATATCAAATCAAGGTGTAACGAAGTTAATATTAAAGTACCTCCACCAAATGAAAAGAATAATAATAATAACAATAATAACAATAATAATGAAGCATCATATATTGATGATGAAGGAAATGAAATGGAAATGGTAGGAGGAGATAATAATAATAATAATAATGAAGATGATGAATATGCAGATATTGAATTTGAACAAGTTACATCAAACAATGATGATGATAATAATAATAATAATAACAATTATAATAATTATAAAAGATCAAAAACAACAAGAACAACAACAACAACAACAACAATTACTACAACTACTAGTACAACCAATTCACCACCAAAGCTTCATAAACCATATTTGGGTAATGATATTGCACCACCGTCTGTCGATGAGTTACCAGATGATGAATCAATAGAGGATCTATATAAGAGAGCACCAGTTGTAGAGACTCATCCATCACTGATGCATTGGGGAAAGAAAGAAATCAACTTACACAAGGGATTGGAAGTGGAACATAGATTCTTGGGTGCTGCCAATAGCGAACCGATGGTACCTATTTCAACTTTTGTAACACTAAACCAAATGACTACAGTCTACGAGCCGCCTGTCGTGGTTATCAAAGCATGTCGCTTTCCAATGAAGAACGGTGAGCTCTGTCCGAGAAGAGATCTCAAGATATGCCCATTCCATGGAAAGATTATCGACAGAGACGAACAAGGTTATCCATCTAAAGAACTAAGTCAAAGCGAAATTGAAGAAATTAATGCAACCAAGCCGATATCAAACAAAGAGAAACAAAAAGAAAAAGAAAAAGAGAAAGAAAAAGAAAAGAAAAAGAGGAAATCAACATCTGGATTGGAACCACTTAATAGAGATCCTCTCAGGGAAAGAATAGATCAAGTATTCTTATTAGATAAGAGATAGAATTACGCACGCTTGCAAATAGTTAATTAACTATTTTTTTTAAAAGTTAAGTTATGTCTATCTTAATTAATAAATAAAAGATTGGATTTACATATGTATATATATTAATAAAACAAAATTTATCTATTTTTTCAATGCTTTATTTAAGCCTATTAAAACTATGAAACTAATTTAATGAGAGTGACCGTGAGCACCGTGGCTGTGACCATGACCACCGTGGCTGTGGCTATGACTGTGGGCACCGTGGCTGTGTCCATGACCACCATGACTATGACTGTGTCCATGATCGTTGGCACCATGAACTTGATTGAAAGTCAACTTTTCATTTGGTGTGAGAGTATCATCACCATGATCATGTGGCAACATTCCGTGCAACCAATAAATACTCAAGAAAATAGCAAACATACCAATAATATTTGAAATTGTAGCAGACTATGATAACAAATAAAAATAAAAGTTAATAACAATATTTTGGAAACATATAAACACTTTTCTGTATACATTACATTTACGTCAACATATTTAAGAGTGGCTGGCATCAATTCTTTGACAACCATGAATAACATGATACCGGCTACAGCTGCCAACATTGATTGTACAAGATATGGAGTCATGTACTCTCTAAAGAAGAATCCAAAAATGATGGCACCCAATGGCTCACACAAACCACTGTACAAACAATATTTGAATGCGGTCCATTTGCTTCCGGTGGCAGTGTAGATGGGAGCGGCAACAGCCATACCCTCTGGAATATTGTGTGCAGCGATAGCCAACATCAGTGGCATTCCAACGCTGATACCTTTCAAACAGGAGAGATACACTGCTACACCCTCTGGGAAATTGTGTAAACTAATTCCAATTGCAGTGACAACACCCAAGTTCTTCAAATAGTTGTCTTTCTTTTTCTTTTTCAAATCGTCGTCATCGTGGTGGTCGTCGTTTTTGTTGTCGGCAACGGTGTTATCAGAGTCGTCAGTTGATTTCTTCTCCTTTCTCAATTTGGTGGTTGATGACGATTTTTCTTTGGTGCTCTTCTCAGTGGATGCACCATCACTCTTTTCACTTGTGGATTTCTCTGATTTCTCAACTGATTTATGAGCATGTTCATCAACATGATCATGATCATCGGCATCCGGTACCAATTTAAGAATGATTGCGAAAAATAGCATACCTCCAAAGAACTAAATTAAATTAATTAATAAAATGCTGCCGTAACCAAAAAATACTAATTAAAATTAATTAAATTAATTTGAACTTACATAAAAGTTTGCAGGTAAGAATCCGATCTGTTCGATTGACTCTGGTAGTAAATCCATAAAAGAAATATATATCATGACACCCGATGAGAATCCCAACATATTACCCAATACCTTGTAGGATGGTGATTTCATAAACAAAATGAATAGACCTCCGATTGCAGTGGAGAGTCCACTCAGAATGCACATGATCATCGCACTCTGTACATTTTGCGAATAATCTATCTATTTTTAAACTTTTATTTACTTATTTGTATATATATATTTATATAAAGATGTTGAATAAGAGATAAAGTGAATCTATTTTAAAAATAATGTTTAGAATTATCTAAACTTTGATTGATTTATAAACTTTTGATTGATTTAAAATGATTTAATATTAATGCATGAAAAACAAAAAAAGTTTTTTCTTCCATTTGGAAACTTTGAATAAACAAATTGATGAGTGCTTTGACTTTTTTTAACACTCTAATTTTAAACACCACAACCCACCACCACCACACCTGGGGTTGATGAATCATTTTAATTAATTAAATAAATAAGTTTGTAACAAAATTTGGTTGGTCGATTTATTTTAATACAAATAAATTGGTGTCAATAAAATCTTTTGTTTGCCAATGGATAACCGTATTCTTCATATTCTTGCTTTGTCACTGTATATTTATTGAAATCTGGTTGCTGTGCAAATTTAATACCACCATACAATGCACTTAATATTGGGCTAAGAAAATTAATAAATTAAGTTTGAGAAATGATTAATAAACAGTTCAACGGTTTTAACTAATTTGATTGATATTCAATTGGTTGATTGATTGATTGATTGCTTTTTTTTCAATTACTTACTCTTCTGGTGTATAGATCTTCACTGGTAAGTTGTCGGGTGCCAGCGATCTGAGTTCTTTAAAGAGGCGTTGTTTGAATCCAGCAATCTTTGTTGTGCCCCCCAGTAGCAATATGTTTGAGTAGAGTGATTGATGGAGGTTGACATCAGTACAGTTAATTGATTGAACGATACTCTCTGCAAGACCCGCTTGATTTAAACCTATGTCATTAGGATTGAAAATCAACTCTGGAACTGAGAATCTTTCGTTCACCAATGATAGAATCTGTTCATCCTCTTCTTCTTCTTCACCTTTCTCTGTGGCCGTTGTCTCTGTTGATTCTTTTGATTGATCATTGTTATCATTGCTACTATTTGATGATGATTCTGTTGTTAATCCGTTGTTTTCTTTCATTTCTGTATCCCCATTATTATTATTATTATTATTATTGTTGTTGTTATCATTATTTTCATCTTTATCATTTGGGAAGTATGGTTTATTCTGATAGGGGTTAGTTAGTTAGTTAGAGTTTGTAAATAGCTTTGATATATTATATGTTATTTACTTTTATGAAACCTGTTGTATTATTATTTGTGTAATCTGGTAATACATAGTCTACTTTTAATAGAGATTGCCTTGATTTGTCTTTAGTTGATATGTCATTGATGAAATCTTGTGAAACAAAACAGATTCTCTCTTTAATGGTGTTTAGTAGTCTAGTTTCATGCATCATATCCCAATATCTAAATGATACTATCTCTTTCAAGTAGTTTGTCAACACTTTACCACCTATTTGGAATCTATATTAAGTTTTGATTGATGAATATAATAGGTCTTATTTAGACTATCTAAATAATATAACAGCTACTAACCTTTTAATGGCATAGTTTAATTTAGTATTTTGAAAGTGAGGAATAACATGTGTAAATGAGTAACCACAATCCACTACCAACTGGCATGGTGAACTAGTGAATGACGATGAAGCATTTTCCATTTTATAATTATAAAGACCTAATGTAGATGCTATAGCATATATATAATATAATCATTATTATTGTTTTGTTGTTAGTTGATTAGATTGTTATAGTAATCTATTACTATTACTTATCTAGATAGATATATCAGATAAAGAAAGAATAATAACCTACGAGTCATTAAAGATAATGATTTAAATTTATATTGTTCATAGACGGTCTCATAAAGAGCACGTCTGATCTCATCGAAATCGAATGGTGCCTCTGTAAGTAGTAAGGAAGTCTCTTGCGGTTTCACTTTAAGATCGTCGCGCTTGAACAGATGATCCCAAATCTCTTTCTCTACTGCCCAGTTTGTAATGTAACCTCTCTCCATAGGACCACGATACTTGATATCCGAAGATGAATTATGATATTTCGAAAGATCATCTCCAACTATATATTTCTTTTCGTTCTTTGTCTTACCTACTTGATTAGGTATAACTCTAATTTTAACAATAAAGTAAAAGTTAAATATAGTTAATAACATTTACTAAACAAAACAAGTATTATATATGTATGAAAATCTTTCTTTGATAACAAACATTGTATTTACATTCTCGTTTGTTGGAGGCACATAAGATACTTTCAAAGTATAACCTCCATTGTCTATAACAAGTACTTTATTATTCATTAGCTAGAGAACTGAAATTAGTTGCACAAAACACTGAAAAAAAACAAATGTAATAATTGTTGAGATTTTTAAAAAATTTTCAAGATCAATGAAAATTCTTAAATAGTTTTTTGATGGTTAAATTTACAAATTAAGTAAGTTTTTTTTTATTTGGTTTATTTATTGAGATCCACCACGAAGTCTGAGAACCAAATGAAGAGTTGACTCCTTCTGGATGTTGTAATCAGAAAGAGTTCTACCATCTTCCAATTGTTTACCCGCAAAGATGAGACGTTGTTGATCGGGTGGGATACCTTCCTTGTCTTGGATCTTGGTCTTGACATTCTCAATGGTATCAGAACCTTCGACTTCCAAAGTAATAGTCTTACCAGTTAAAGTCTTGACGAAAACTTGCATACCACCACGGAGTCTGAGAACCAAATGTAGTGTTGATTCCTTTTGAATGTTGTAATCGGAAAGAGTTCTACCATCTTCCAATTGTTTACCAGCGAAAATGAGACGTTGTTGATCGGGTGGGATACCTTCTTTATCTTGAATCTTGGTCTTGACATTCTCAATGGTATCAGAACCTTCGACTTCCAATGTAATAGTCTTTCCAGTCAATGTCTTGACGAAAACTTGCATACCACCACGGAGTCTGAGTACCAAATGTAGTGTTGATTCCTTTTGAATGTTATAATCGGAAAGAGTACGTCCATCTTCTAATTGTTTACCGGCGAAAATTAAACGTTGTTGATCGGGTGGGATACCTTCCTTGTCTTGAATCTTGGTCTTGACATTCTCGATGGTATCAGAACCTTCTACCTCGAGGGTGATAGTCTTACCAGTTAAAGTCTTGACGAAAACTTGCATACCACCACGGAGTCTAAGTACTAAGTGAAGTGTTGACTCCTTTTGAATGTTGTAATCGGAAAGAGTTCTACCATCTTCTAATTGTTTACCAGCGAAAATGAGACGTTGTTGATCAGGTGGGATACCTTCCTTGTCTTGAATCTTGGTCTTTACATTTTCAATGGTATCAGAACCCTCTACCTCTAGGGTGATGGTCTTACCAGTAAGAGTTTTAACAAAAATTTGCATAGTGTAATTTAATTAAAATAAGTTGGCAATATAATTAATAATAAGAGTAGTATAATAATTTAATATTTATATATAAGTATTTATGAATGTAATTAATTTAAATAATGGTAATAGTAATAGAAGTTCTAAGTTTAAATAGTTTTTTTAGTAAAATTAAAAAATTAATTTAATTTTTTTTTCTCAAAAAAATAATTCCAAAAAAATTTTAGTGCCTTAAGAAATTCGGTGAATCACTATGATTCCTCAAGTTTTTTCAATCACCGTTTTTCTAAATTTATCTTGTTCAGAAAATATTAATAATTAAAAATAGTTTATTTTGAAAAAAATTAAATTAAATATAATTTTTTTTTTTAATTTTTATTTAATGTTTTTAATTTCATTTGAACTCTAGCGTTTTCTGTTGCATTCTTTTTCTTTTTGTGAACGAAATAGACAGTTGCTGTAACTAGAGCAACTGCAACAACACCACCAACAACAGCACCAACGATGATCTTCCATTTGTTATCGCTGTTTGAAGAACAAGATACTTTTCCATCGACAGAGATCAACGTTGAGAAATCAGGGTCAATAAATAGTGTTGATTCGAAAAATGGAATGACTGAAACGATCGATACACTCTGGTTGTTTGTATTTTCAATGGCTCTGTGAGAGATTGATCTTGGGATTGAGTCTAACACAACTCTATTTACTAACCTTCCAAATACAGAGTTACCATTGTTGTCTCCAATATTTATCAAGTTGATATCTCCAGAATCGACGATTGAAATATTAAACTCTGGATCACAACTTCCACCGATTGGCGCTGAAATGATACTGGATATCTCCAGAGTGTTCAATCTCGATTGGAAATCCCATTCCGATATATTCAAAGTGTATTTGAATGATCCCAGTTTAATGGAATAGGTTTGACCGGCATATTGATATTCGTAATAATCGTTTTGTGTGATGGTTGGAATGGCTAAGAATTGATAGAATGTGACATTCATAGATTTAAAATATCGATTGGTTGATTTAATTGAGTATTGCCATGATTTCTCTGTTATTTGGCCATTGATTTCATTGGTAATATTTATGTCTGTATTCATTGTCAAGTCCCACTCGAAAGATGAAACATTCAATGTTTTAATTGGAGAGGATGCTGAATCTATTTCTTGGATTTGGCCGATTGAAAAAGAATAAGTAATTCCTTTATCGTCGATGATGACACCTGGCGATTCAGGATCTGGAACAATGATAGGTGGATTCTGGTCACCTGGATTTGTTTTTATTTCGCAATATTGACCAATCCAACCAGTCTTACAATTACAATTTCCATTTGAACAAACACCATTTCCATTGCAATCTGTATTACCTGTTTTACAATTATCATTTTGATCTAGATTTATACAAAAATAAAATATTAGTTAAATAAAATAAAAAAACTGTTATTTTACAACATACCAGATAATGTATTAACTTTAATTGTTGTGTTTACTGGATCGAATATTGTATTTAAAACAGACACTCTTACAGTATATGTTAGGTTTTGAACAAGATTAGGGAATGTACATTTCAATATATTAGTAACATTGTCACAAAATACATGAAAACTTATTCCATTTCCATTTGAAAGCAATGCTTGATATGTTGACATATTTTGGAAACCTTCTTGACTCTCTGTCCACTCAATTGAAATTACTGATTTAGTTGGTACAATATTTATTATATTTACTGGTGTAGGTGCTATTTAAATAGATTAAATATTAATAAATAAAATTGTAATCTATTCAGTATTAAACTTACGGTTGTGAGAAGTAAAATTATAGGTTGATGTATTGTTCAAACCATTGTTGGTTACAAACACTGAAATTGAATAGTTGAATCCAAAACTAGATGGAGAATATCTACATTCTAGAGTCGATGTTTCTATACACATAGGAATAGTATTACCATTGATAAGCACTGTATATAGTGACTGTCCTGGAACACCACCGTTTGAATAGTATCGAATGGATAATGTTCTATATCGTAACTCCTGGACTGTGATTACCGGTGGTGAAACTGGTGCATATGTACTAACCAACTTGGTCATTTCATCGTAGGTTCCATCGTTTGCAACCGATACTTTGACTGCATATGTAGTGCCCGGTGTTAAACCTGTCAAGTCACAGGTGGTTGTTGAAATTCCTATACAACCAGGAACATCAGTTCCATTAATGGTGACATTAAATTTCGATTGACCAGCCAAAGAATATATCGATCCAAACGATAATGACATTGTTTTATAGGTGATGTTGGTCACATTTATTTCACTGACTTTTACTGGATTCAATGTGTAAAACACAGATGAATTTGTCAAGAGAACATCTTCATATATTGCAGAGAGATCGAAAACATAAGCAGTCGAACTATTTAGTTTTGTGACAACACAATAAGTAACTGTAATATTTATACATGTTGGATATAATACATTCTTAATAAAAGAATAGAATAACATTTGTTAGTAGTTTTCTTTTGTTTGATCAAGAGTTATTTTTAATAAATACATACGTTGACTTTTACTGAATATAAAATACCAGGACCACCTCCTCTAGATGTAAAATTAGTAGTAATCCTTGATGTTGTACTATCGTTACTGGTGAATTCGAGACCTTCAAAGTAAGGGTTAGTTGTAAGACTCCACGTGGCAGCACTAAAATCACCATCGCTAGTGGCATTCACTGTGATTGGATAGGTAGTTGACGGATTCAAGCCAGTAACTGTACAGTTTGTGGAAAGTGTATTGGTGCAATAGGATATGCCATTACTAGATACCGTGTAATATATTTGATTTGGTACTCCATTCAATGAACTGTATTTAACTGAAATCGATTTGCTGGTCTTACTTTGGACATTCAGTGAAACATCGGAAACCTTAGCATAGGTTGAAACTACACTTGAATTGGTTAGTGTGATATCTTCGTTAACAGAAACAACCTTGATTGAATAAACGGTGTTTGGTGTCAGTCCAACTAAAGAACATGTTAAAGTAGTGATATTTATGCATCCAGGAACATCGATTGAACTCTTGGAGACGGTGTAGTAAGTGGTTGAACCAACAACACCACCTCCACCGGAATTGAAATCGACCACCATCGATTTCGTTGTTTTCGAGCGGACTGTCAAATCCAATGTTCCTTGAGTGTTAACCAACAGCGTAGTACTCTTGACATCGTCATCGTTGTAAGCTAATACAACGATGGTATATCTGGTAGCTGGCTGTAGTGTATTTATCGTGTAGGAAGTGGTTGTCAATCCAGAGACAACAGGCGAACCGTTTGCGGTAATCGAGTAGTTTGTTACAGGTGTTGGAACTCCACCGGTGGTACTCCAATGCAATGCCATTCCATTGGTTGAGATCATTACGGCAGAGACTACTGGTGCGGTTACCTCACTGTAGGTTGTAGCAGAGGTTGCTACATAGTTATCGCAAATCTGTCCACCAACAGGTACACATACATCGATGGTATATTGAGTGGATGGTTGTAAACCCTTTACATTACAGGTATCTGTGAAAGAACAATCTGTATCATAGTCACCATTTACTCTAACTTGATATGTTATTACAAAAGTACCAGGAATTACAACATATTTAACTAAAATAGAATTGGTATATACTCCAAGAACAGTTACAGATTCAATCTGACCTTTGTTTTTTTTTTTTTCGTTTTTTTTAAAATTAGAAAAAGTAAAAGTAACTTTCCAAGTTTTTTTTGAACATACATACCTTGGACAGTGTGAATAAGAAATATTATACAAATTAAAAATATTAAATATATATAAGATTGATTCATTCTTTAAATCTTTTTGTTAAATTTGTAGAATGAAACTCAAGATTGAATCAAAAATATTATTATTTAAATAAATCGTTTTTAGTTTTTTTTACAAAATTATTTTATTAAAGGATAAATATTGATATTTAATTTTGTGTATGTCATTATATCTATAAATTTGAACTTTTTTGTAAAAGAAATAATAATTTTTTTTGATATGATATCTAAAAAATCCGGCAGAAATGGATTCTTTTTAAAATCAAGATATTTTTTGAAAATCTGTCGCGCTACAAAATTTTTTTTTATTTTTTCGATTATTTCCGATGAGATCAGCGAAATTTTTCAAGAATTCATTTGCTGTAGTCTTGCTTTAATTTTATTATTTTCTGTTGTAATCTTTTTCTTTCTGTATAAGTAATATGATGCTCCAGCCAGGATTGAAATGGCAACAAATCCACCAACCACAGCACCAACGATGATCTTCCATTTGTTGTCTTTGTTTGAAGAGCAATTAACTTTTCCATCGACAGAGATCAACGTTGAGAAATCAGGGTCAATAAATAGTGTTGATTCGAAAAAAGGAATTACTGAAACGATCGATACACTCTGGTTGTTTGTATTTTCGATGGCTCTGTGTGAGATTGATCTTGGAATTGAATCTAACATAACTCTATTGACCAGTCTTCCAAATACAGAGTTACCATTGTTGTCACCAATGTTTATCAAGTTGATTTCACCGGTATTTACTATAGTTATATTATATTTGGGATCACAACTTCCACCGATTGGCGCTGAAATGATACTGGATATCTCCAGAGTGTTCAATCTCGATTGGAAATCCCATTCCGATATATTCAAAGTATATTTGAATGAACCCGAATTTAATGGAATAGGTTTGACCGGCATATTGATATTCGTAGTAATCGTTTTGTGTGATAGTTGGAATGGCTATGAATTGATAGAAGGTGATATTCATTGTCTTGAAAAAATTATTTGATACAGAAACAGAGTATTGCCAAGATCTCTCTAAAAATACTAGATTTAGTTGGTTGGTAACATTCCTTTCCAGTGTCTTTGACAAAGTCCATTGTAATGATGAAATATTCAATGTTTTAATTGGAGAGGATGTTGAATCTATTTCTTTGATTTCACCAATCGAGAAAGAATAAGTAATTCCTTTATCGTCAATTATGACACCTGGTGATCCTGGATTCGGAACAATGATAGGTGGATGGTTATTATCAACATTGTTTGGAACTTCACAATATTGACCAATCCAACCAGTCTTACAATTACAAAGTCCTTGTGAACAAACACCATTTCCATTACACTCTGTATTACCTGTTTTACAAAAATCTGTGGTATCTAAAAGAAATATAAAACCAATTAATTTGTGATTACAGATTTAATATTGTTTAAAAAACTTACCAGATAATGTATTAACTTTAATTGTTGTGTTTACTGGTAGAAAATCAGTATTCAAAACAGTTACTCTCAAAGAATAAGTTGTGTTTTGAATAAGATTAGGGAATATACATTTCAATATATTTGTAACATTGTCACAAAATACAAAAAAATTAGCTCCCTCCTCGTTTGATAATGATGCTTGATAAGTTGTCATATTTGGAACACCTTCTTGACTCTCTGTCCACTCAATTGAAATATTTGATTTGGTTGGTAAAACATTTATAATATTTACTGATGTTGGATCTAAAAATAAAAGTTAATAATAATGATATTAAAAAAAAAAATTAAAATAAACTTACAATCATAAATTTTTAGAAAATAAAATGTCTGTTCTGTGTGTCCATCATTTGAGACCAATACTGAAATTTCATAATTTTCACCTATTTGATAAGGATTAAATGTACATTGAAGAGATTGAGTATTGATACAACCCGATATATTGGTACCATTAATTGCAGAGGTGTATAATGACTGTCCAGGAACACCACTAGTTGTTGTATATTTAATCAAAAGATCTTTATTTGGGAATTGTGTGGTGGTTATGATTGGTGGTGAAACTAAAGAATATGTTGTAAATAATTTTGTCATTTGATTCGATCTTCCATCATTGAGAACTGATACTCTAATTGAATAGACGGTACCATAAGTTAAGTTAGTCAAATCACATGTGGTTGTCGAAATATCAGTGCAACTAGGAACAGCTGTATCATTTAAAAAAATAGTAAACTTTGAATTACCAATTACACCATATATTGACCCAAATGAGAGTGACATTGTTTTTGTCGTGATTGATGTTGCATTTAAATCGGAAATCTCTGCAGGTTTCAGAGTAGAAAGTTGAGCTTGAACAGTATTGTTTTCTCCTGTATTGGTTGCAAGTATTTCAATCTTATACGCTGTTCCACTTTGTAAATTCATAATTTCACAACCAGTTGATTGAATATTGATACATAAAGGGTATGGAACATCCTAATAAAAAAAGTAAATATAAAATATTTTATTAAATTTGAAATAACGAATACATACATTAACTATTGTTGTGTAATAAGTTTGACCAGGAACACCGCCAGACGCAGTATAAACAACAAAGATCTTTGAAGTAGTGGTTTCATTATATTGGATATTTAGACCATAAAGAATATAAAAGGTTGCAAAGTTGGACTCTGCTATAACACTATCCCCATCATTGGTAGCATTAACGATAAATTTATATAAGGTTGAATATCCTAGATTATTGACGATACATATTTTATTAGGTGAAGGAGGGCACCTAATAACTCCATGGACATCAACTGAATAAATAGTTTGGCCAGGTACACCATACAATGAATCATATTCGATGGTAATAATACTGGAGGTTCTATTTACCAAAGCTATCGATAAATTAGAGACTGTTGGATAGGTAATGGATGGCAATAATATAGTATTTCCTTGGCACTGAGATCCAGATTCAAAACAACATACAACAATATCATAAGTGGTATTAGGAGTTAAACCGGTAATAAGACAAGTGGTTGCCTGTAAACAATCGAGTGAGATGAAAGGCGAACCATTTACAGTGAAACTATATTCAACATTAGTTCCGCCTACTGAAGTATAGGCAATCTTAATGGAATGAGTTAAAATCTCACTTGCTTCAATTGTTGACATAGTTTGTGCTTAATTTTAAAAAAAAAAATGTGTAAATATTAGGAAAAAAATACATGCGTAAAAAAAAATGATTCCATACCATTTATTTTTGTAATAAAAATTAATAAAATTAAATAAATAAATAAATTACTATTTATCATTTTTTTTTCTATTTGTCTTTAGATAGAAAATAAATTTTTATATTATTTTTGAAGATTTATTATTAGGAAATTTGAAAGTTAATTCATTAGTCGATGAAATATTTGAGGAGGTTTTTACAAAAATTTGAATATCAAGATATTTGTAAAAAAAAATTCGGAGTGTGTATCTTGATCTAAATATCATTTTTTTTTGAAACAAATCAAAGATTTTTTATTTGATATTTTTTTATAACCTACATCTTTGCATTTCCCAATAGTAAATTATGTTTAATAACCTTTTTTCTAACTTCTTTTTGTTTTTTTTTTTCAACACACATTCAGTCTCTAAAATTGGTGTCAATTCTTCGATCACTACAAAATTTCAAATAAAATTGCAAACAAAACTATTGGTCCTGCACCCAAATTTTACAAAAAAATAAATAACCATATTTTTATTTATTCATCTTCTTCAGCTTATCTTGCATTCTTTTGTTTTCTTTTGTTAGCTTTTTCTTTTTGTAGACTAAAAAGGTAGTACCTGCGATGAGAGCTATACCAACAACACCACCAACGACAGCACCAACGATGATCTTCCATTTATCATCGCTGTTTGAAGAACAAGATACTTTTCCATCGACAGAGATCAACGTTGAGAAATCAGGGTCAATAAATAGTGTTGATTCGAAAAATGGAATGACTGAAACGATCGACACACTCTGGTTGTTTGTATTTTCAATGGTCTTGTGTGAGATTGATCTTGGAATATCGTCTAATAATACAACTTTCAATAGTCTTCCAAATACAGAGTTACCATTGTTGTCTCCAATATTTATATTGTTTCCACTACCAGAATCAACAAGCGATATGTCTATCTTTGGATCACAACTTCCACCGATTGGCGCTGAAATGATACTGGATATCTCCAGAGTGTTCAATCTCGATTGGAAATCCCATTCCGATATATTCAAAGTGTATTTGAATGATCCTAGTTTAATGGAATAGGTTTGACCGGCATATTGATATTCGTAGTAATCGTTTTGTGTGATTGCTGGAATGGCTAGGAATTGATAGAATGTGACATTCATAGATTTAAAATATGGGCTGGCTGATGAAACTGTTGAGTATTGCCACGATCTCTCTGTTAGAGCTACATTGGTAGGATTTGTAATGTTTATATCTTTGTTTTTAGTCAGAGACCATTGTAATGATGAAACATTCAATGTTTTAATTGGAGATGATGCTGAATCTATTTCTTTGATTTCACCAATCGAGAAAGAATAAGTAATTCCTTTATCGTCGATGATGACACCTGGTGATTCTGGATTTGGAACAATGATAGGTGGATGGTTATTATCTATTTTGATTGGAGTCTCACAATATTGACCAATCCAACCAGTCTTACAATTACATTGGCCATTTGAACAAACACCATTTCCATTACACTCTGTATTACCTGATTTGCAATAATCTGTTGAATCTTTAATAAACACAAAAAACAAAATTAATAATTTTAGATAAGATATAGATAATTTTTGAATATAACATACCAGATAGTGTATTAAATTTAATTGTCGTATTAACAGGATCGAAATAGGTATTTAAAACAGTTACTCTCAAAGAATAAGTTGTGTTTTGAATAAGATTCGGGAATGTACATTTCAATATATTTGTAACATTGTCACAAAATACAATAAAATTAGCTCCCTCCTCGTTTGATAATGATGCTTGATAAGTTGTCATATTTGGAACACCTTCTTGACTCTCTGTCCATTCAATCGATATGTTTGAGTTGGTTGCTACAATATTTATTATATTTATTGCGGTTGGATCTAAAAAATAAATGTTAATATCTTGAAATTATTTTATATTATATTTAACTAACTTACAATCATATATTTTTAAATTGGTTGTAGAGATTTGTGTCAATCCATCATTGGTAGCAAAAACAGCGACTATAAAATAATCACCTATTTGATAAGGACTGTATGTGCACTCGGTTGATTGTATGTTAATACAACCAGGTAAATTGGTACCATTGATCGAGACGGTGTATGTTGACTGTCCAGGAACACCACCAGTTGTTGAATATTTAATCAAAAGCTCTTTGTTTGGATGTTGGATAAAAGTGATTATTGGCTGTGAAACTGGAGGATAGGTGCTAAAATCCGTTGTCATCGAATCAGATGTACCATCATTTTGGGCTACCACAAGTATTGAATAGACAGTGCCTGGAGTTAAGTTAATCAAATCACATTTGGTTTCTGAAATATCGGTGCAACTAGGAACAGCTGAACCATTAACATATACTGAAAACTTGGTTAAACCAACTACACCATTTATTGATCCAAATGTGAGTGACAATGTTTTTGTTGTGATTGCTGCATCTATCGATGTTATCTTTACACCAGCCAAAGTTGATATATAATTGGTCATTGAAACTGAATCAATATCATTAGTTGCAGTGGTTTCTATCTTATACTGTGTTCCACTATTCAAATTGGTTATTTCACAAGTTTGTAGATATAAATTAATACAATCTGCATATACTTGGCCCTTTTTTTTTTGAAATATACAATTTAAATTTAAGTTAATATGTGGAAATGTTATAAACATTAATGTTTATAAAATAATAAATAATACTTACATTGATTTTTGTAGTATAAAAAGTATTATCTGGAACACCACCATTTGTATTATAAATAACAATGATTCTAGAGGTGGTAGTCTGGTTGGATGTTAATACAAGATTGTACAATGAATAAAAAGTGGCGAAAGAAGATTCTCCAGTACTGGAATCACCGTCATTGGAGACTGTGGAGATGAACTTGTAACTAGTACCTGGCTGCAAATTTCTGCCAACGCATATATTGCTGCTTGTACCTGAACAGATATAAGAACCATGCAAGTCTACTAAATAACTAGATTGACCTGGAACACCACCTAGATGTTTAGTTTGAACTGCTATGGAGGTTGTTGTACGGTTTACCAATGCTACAGTTACACCGTTTATCGATGCATATGTCGACACAGTCAGACCATTAACCATTTGTTGACCTGCATTGGTTGATTCTATTTTAAAGGTGTAGGAAGAGCCTGATACTAAACCTTGAATGTAACAGGTATTCGATGTAATAGCAGTACATTGTGATACTGGAGCTGTACCTATGAATAGACTATATGTTGTTACTGAACCAAATACTCCTCCAATCGATTCAAAGTTTAAAGTAATGGTTTTGGTGGTTTTCACTGGCGCAGTCAGTGTAACCGGTGGAGTGCCATAGGTAGTCACTATGGTGGTGGTGTTTTTAATATCGTCGTCGTTCTGTGCTTGCACTAAAATAGGATAGGTAGTCCCTGGAGTCAATGTGTTAATGGTGTAGGTGGTTGTTGTCAATCCGAGAGCAATATCCATCCCGTTCGCTTTAATATTATAAACAGTGGCAGGCGTAGGAACACCACCGGTGGTCGACCAACTGAGTGTCATTCCAACACCAGAAACTGCAGATACCACAACCAAGGGATCGGACACATCTTTGTAGGTTCTTGCTTGCGCTTGCATATGAGGTGTTCCACATGGCGATGACCAATCAGAAGAAACACATATGTCGAAATTGTATTGTGTATCTGCAGTCAATCCGGTCAGAAGGCAAGTAGGACCGTTGGCACAGGCAAAATCACCGTTTTCAATGTTATTCACCAGAAGTGTGTATTTTACAAATCCTCCGTCTGAACTATATTGAAGTTGAATTGCATTCGTGTAAATTGCAGTTACTGTAAAACTAGTCATTGATTGTGCTTATATTAATAATAAACAAATTATATTTCCAAAAATTAATATTCAAATCAAAACTATTTTACTCAAAGAGAAATTAAATGTTCCACTTACCATTGCTTTTTCCAACTATTAACACAAATAAAAATAAATAAAAAAATAATTTACTATTCATCATTTATTATTATTTATTCTTATTTTTACACAATGGGTATTATTAATATTATTAAAGAGAATTAATGGTAAAATAATAAAAATTGTTTCTGTTTGAATTAATGATTCATTGCACGAAATCATAGAATACGGATTTTTCAAGAATATCTTCTACTGTTGTTAAAAATAATATTAGATATTTGTTGTTGAGCTCAGATTTTTTTTTTTTCGCCAACAAAAAATCTTGATAATTCGTCGTATGATTTTGCACACAATCAACATCGGACAATTAGATCTAATTTTATTTGAAATCATATGTATGTCACTGATCTTGAATAATTCGTTGGATTGTTTAAAAAAAAAATATGCATCCCTTTAATAATATTATTTATTGTTGATTCGACCCCACAATTGTTATTGTATTTGTTGTATTGGTGTTCGTTATTATTAAACTTTTTACTTACATTGGTGGTAAGAATGAATTGAAAAGGAAAAGAATCTGGACTTTCACCAAAAGACATTCAATTTGAATCTATTAACTAAATCGATAGCATCGGTAACTTCAGTGTTGACTCTAATAGAGTAAGTTGTTGTATAGGTTTCTTTTGTTAAAACAGATCTATTTATAATATATAAAACAAGTTAATAATTAATAAATGTTTGATTTTTGTGTATATTATAAATATTAGATTGTAAGTTGGTGATCATCATACAATGCAACAACAATAACAAACAACTGCAGAGTTGTTAATTGTTACATGCAACTCTGGTGGTTTAAATCTACAAAAAAGATAATTGATGTTATGCTTTGTTGTATAATTCGTAATAGTGGTGTATTATCTTGATGATAACCAACAAAAAACAACTATTTTTAAACTCTATTCTTTGGTGTATAATCGAATGTGCACGGCATTCTAAAAAGCAAGCCAGCACAGCAATGCAACAACAACAAAACAAAGTATTTTATTATTATATATGATAGTAAGAGTTAACACACACCAAAGCTAATATCATTATACTGGTTTTTCTAATATTATTAATATTATTATTTATCATTATCTTTTTTTGAGTTAAAATTTGATCACAGCAAAAAGCAGAAAATTTGTGTAAACTCTTTCATACACACCACTGACACTTTTTGATTTGATATCAAACAAATTTACAATTATATTATTTTTATATATTTTATATAAATTCTAAAAGTAATCACCTCTCAGAATGAGAACAATTGGGTGACTATTACAGTAGCTACTGAACGATGTAGATCTATAGATGCTATTAATTGCCGCTCAACAGACAACACATTGACATGCTTTGGCTTCGAAAGTTGGATTTCTTTCATTGTTCTTCTTTATTATCTAGTATCTTGTCTTGTCAGATGAACAACAATTTAATATGAATTAGAAAAATCATATAACTTTAATAATTTTAATAAAAAGCAATACAATTTAAGAATTATAATATCAAATATTTAAATTTTATTAAATTATTAGCTTGATTATTAGTTGTTGTATACACGAGAGGCAACCAGCATAACTACTAGAGGATACCGGCATAACGACGAGAGGAAACCGGCATAGTAATGAGAGGAAACCGGCATAGCAAAGATAGGATACCGGTATAGCAACGAGAGGAAACCGGCATAACGACGAGAGGAAACCAGCATAAGGACGAGAGGAAATCAGCATAGCAACGATAGGAAACCGGCATAACGACGAGAGGAAACCGGCATAACGACAGGAAACCTGTATAACGACGAGAGAAAACCGACATAGTGACGAGAGGAAACCGGCATAACTACGAGAGGCAACCAGCATAGTGACGAGAGGCAACCGTCATAGTAACGAGACAACCAGCATAACTACGAGAGGCAACCGGTATAGTAACGAGAAGCAACCGGTATAGCAACGAGAGGAAACCGGCATAACTACGAGAGGCAACCGGCATAGCGACGAGAGGAAACCGGCATAACGACAAGAGGAAACTGGCATAGCGACGAGAGGAAACCGGCATGGTAATGAGAGGCAACCGGAATAGCAACGAGACATCACTCATAGTAAGGAGGCAACAGGCATGGTAACAAGGACTTGGAAAAGAAGAAAGAGATAAAAGGAGATAAACAAAGAGTTAGTAAAACAAAGATATAAATAAGTTAAGTTATAATTAATAGTTATTACTTACAAAATTATTTGTATTTGAAAATAATGAAAAATGACATTGTGAATGAAATTATAGGTTTATATAGTTTTAAATTTGATTCGTTTACTTTCAGTTTGAACTCAAAAATGGCGGTAACTGTTAAGCGCCAATTAAAAGTATGAATTAATATTCAAATTTGAAATATAAATATTAAAATTAATTAAATAATTCATTTTATTATAATATAATATTCAAAAATAAAAAAAACAGGCGATCATTACCAATGAAGAAACAACAAGCATAATTTTCAATTTTATTAATTTATTGAATTTGCAACACCCCACTTTTATTTGACAAGTTCATATTTTTTTTTTTGTTGCAAAAATACAATAATATTGTTGTTTTTTGTTAAATATAATAATTGAAGAATATTATTATTGTAGTAGAAAACTATAATTATTTATTTAAATTGTAAGATGATTCTATTGTGTAATAGTAATGAAAACAATAATTACAATTGTACTAGAATAGAAGTGATTTACTATTAAATGAAAATTTCAAATTGAATTGTATAGTTAGATTAAAGTGTTCAACTTATTCATCATTCTAAACATCTCTTTAATAGTCATGTTGATAATTCGTACTTCCAAAATTGTAAGTATTGATAGTTTGTACTCTTCAATTGAATAAAACCAAGTTGAATGATTTAACTTTTTTCTTATCTTATCTGTATTACATTATTATTATGATTATCAAGAAATTTCTATTATCACACTCATCTAAAGATTACTATTAGTTTGTTATTTTTTGAAGTTGAGTTAAGGTGAAACATTAAATAACTTTAATGAAAAACAAAGGAATGTACACTTTTATTTTGATAATTTTCTAGTTTATTTTATTTAATTTTTTTAAACTAAGAATTAAATAAATTATCTTTTTATACTTTTAAAAAATAAATTGATTATAAATAAAAAATTGAAAGTTTTAAGTAAAAATTACTTTGTTTTAATTTTAAATATCAACGTTGTATTCATTGAATAAAATATTTAAATAATATAGTAATCTTTCTTTATGTTGAGATAAATATATTACCCTAAATAAAATCTAAATAAATTATATTTGATTGTTTATTTAAAAGTGAATCACAATTTAATTGATTTGATTCACGATTTATTTGAATTGAATGACAATGTCGAGTGTGGGTGGGTTGTGTTTTTTTATTTTTATTTTTTTGCCAATCAAACCAAAAAAACATCAACCAACTTTTAAATTAAGACATCTATATATTTAAATATTATTCTATTTAATTGAGAGTATCGGATAAAATGACGTTAATTATTTTCAAAATTTGGCGGTTTCTTATTATTATTGATTATTTTTAAATCTAATTTAAATATTTATATCCTAGTAAATACTATTAATATCGAAATTTTGCTTTTCAATATAAGCAATATTCATATTAATTTGTTATTTCTAAGCAAGTTTTATTAATATCACAATATTTTCAAGAAAAATATTGATCAAAACTAACATATTTCTTTCAAATTTCTATCAAATATAGTTTTAGATAGTGATCGTTGATAATAATAAAGAGATAGTTGATTTCTCATTTACTTTCTTCTTTTAAAAATAAGAAATAAATTAATTTTAATTTTATTTAAAGAACTTATCTTTATTTTATTTACTTTTTCATTTTATTATTGATAGTTTTCTATTTCTGTCATAAAATTGTTGTTTTGCAACTTTCGCAATTGAAAGTGTTCAATCACTACTAGTGATTAGTGAAGCCTTTTGAATAAACAAAAGAAATAATATCAGTATCATATATATGTCCCTATACAATCAAAAACAATATTGTATTGAGAAAAAAAAAATTAAAAAATATATTGGGTGAAAAATTTCAAAATAAATTAGTATTCTTAAATTACTTATATACATATATAGATATTATAAATTTAGATATTAGGTTTTAAATCGTTTTTAAATAATAATCAATATACACACTCATAAATATATTTCATTATTTTTATATATTAAATAAATCATACATATGTCACAACAACTTCAAGATAAGATAGATAATTTCCCAATTACCAGCTATTCGTGGGAATTAGTTGGTATTTATTTCAAAAAGAAAGCTGAGCTCGAAGATGAAAATGATCGAATGAGTTTCTTTTATTACTTTATCCATGAATTCGCTCGAGTCAAAAAGGAATTCGATGAACAGCAGCAACCCAAACAACAACAACCACAACAAGATAATAATATAGTTAATTATAAGTCGCTGGAGGAAGTTATCCAAAGCTTTCCAGTCACAAGTTTATCACTGGATTTGGTAACAGTTTTCAACCAAAAGAAACTGGAGATTAAAGATGAGTCAGATCGAAATCTGTTCCTTTTGTACTTTTCCAAAGAAAGATCTAGAATAGCGAGAGAACAAAAGCAACAGCAACAACAGCAACAGCAGCAACAGCAGGAACAGCAACAGCAGGAACAGCAACAGCAGCAACAGCAACAGCAGGAACAGCAGGAACAGCAGGAACAGCAGGAACAGCAGGAACAGCAGCAACATCAGCAACAGCAGGAACAGCAACAACAACAACAGCAACAAAATCAACATAAACAACAACAACAAAAAACAGTTAGTAAAAAAGAAAGCAACAACAATACATACCAGTTTAAAAAACCAACTATAAATAACAACATTAACAACAATAATTATAATATAAAGTATAAAAGCAACAACAACAATAACACTAAATCAATAGGAAATCAAAATACCTATCAATTTAGAAGACCAACTAGTTGGAACGAGAACAACGACAACAAAATCATCAAAATCAACACCAACATTGACAACACTGCCAATTACATTTTAAACATTATTAACAATATCAAAAACAAACCAAAACCAAATAATAATACCTATCAATTCAGAACACCGATCAATAAAAAATAAATAATAATAATAATAACAGGTGGAGTGGTGGTTCTGGTGCTGGTACTGGTCGATGCATGTGTGGCAGGGTGGGCACGATCGAAGGATAGTTGTTATGGTAATATATTATTTATTTATTTATTTATTATTATTTTTTATTATTTATTTATTTACAATGTTGTTTATTTATTAATATCATATTTGTATATTATATATAAAATAGTAGATCAATCTTAAAAGAGTCTGGTTTCTTTGGTCATGGTCTTGGCTATATGGTGGTGGTACTGATCCTTGCATGGGTGGCAGGGTGGGCACGGTCGAAGGATCGTTGAAAAGGTAATATGTTATTATTTATTTATTTATTATTTATTTATTTATTTATTATTTATTTATTTAAAATGTTGTTTATTTATTAAAGTTATATTGTATATTATATAAAAAGTAGATCAACTTTAAAAGAGTCTGGTTCTTTAGTCATGGTCTTGGCTATATGGTGGTGGTACTGGTCGTTGAATGGGCGGCAGGGTGGGCACGGCCGAAGGATCGTTGAAAAGGTAATATATTATTATTAATTTATTTTTTATTATTTATTTATTTTCAATGTTGTTTATTTATTAATATCATATTTGTATACTATATTTAAATAATGTAAAGTGAAATTCAGGTTAACGAAGCTCTAGGTTTTTTTTGTAGGTCTATTAAATAATTTATAAACGAATACAATTAGAATTGATATTAAATATAAATAAATAAATATAATTATAAATTAATTTTATAAATATATTCGTTTTATTTATATTTAATTTTAATTATTCTTGTATTCGTTATTTATTTATTTATTTATTATTTGTTTATATCATTAATTAATACTAACAACTGACTACTTTGTTTTTTTTATTTATTCTATTTTCCAATAAAACAATCAAGCTATTCCAAGTGATGCATTTCAATGGGTTCGTCCTTTTTTTTTTTTCTTTCCAGGGTCTGGGATAACTGGGTGTCATTGCTTGTGATCCTTGCCTCTCTTATCAAGCGTGACGGCATGTCTCGATCAGTGAACCCACTGATGAGAGCCTAGTTATTAGAGAAACCTGGCGACCTGTACACCCGACCCGCCAGTTGGGGAGATTGTTGTGAGCGGTTGCCTGTGGACGGACGAAGTTGGGATGAGCGCACTTGCTTGCAGGTGGTCTTGCACATGGTAACCTCTGTGTTGATCTACAGGATGCATGGCACTGGGTCAATGGTAGGGAAACCTCCAACACATGTTACGGCTTCATATAGTCTGAAAGCAGGTGATACATACGCTGCTAGTCTGTCGCATCTTCGGGTGTGGCGACACAGAGCAGATGGAGGCGACATTCTCTGTACAGAAGGCAACGCCACAGCTATCACTTTCTTTGTTGCCTCTTCGAAGTTGTTTTATTTGCTTCGGCTTCTAACTCTGCTGTCGATTAGGAACAACAACAATTAAAGATGCTGCCGATGGTTTGTGGCAATAAATCCATCGGGGTCTCTAGGTGCCAGTAGACTCCACCTCCACGTGGTTGGCACCGGAAACTCATGGATCGATAAGATTTAAAAATTTTTTTTTTTTTTTTATATAGTAAAATATGTTTAAAATTAAAAAATATTTTCTTATCGATCCATGAGGCTGAGAGAGTCTAAATTTTAATCTTTGCAGCTTTCGATCGATCGATGTTAACTTTGATCTTGGATCACCCACACTTCACCCACCACACTCATACTCACACCCACACTTACCACATCACAGCTCAACTCAATATTTTTTTTCACTTTTTTTTTTTTTTCACTTTTTTTTTTTTTCAAGTAATGTCAAACACACACACATAAATTAATTAAAGTAATTCAAGCAACAATCAATCTATTTATTCATATTTATTTATATTTTTAATTAACACACCAACAATATTATATTAATTCTTTTTTTTTTTTTATATTTTTATTTTTGATTGTGTTTTTTTATTTTAATTTTAAAACAAGTTACTTATTAACTCTTATTTGTTATTTAAATAGGTAAGCCATTCTATAGATTACCACTACTGTTTCAATTGCAAGTTAATTTATTTATTTATTATTATAATTATTATTAATCTTTAGGAAAGAGATAGTGATATTCTTATTATTTATTATTTATTATTATTATGTTATTAATCTTTGAAAAGATATTAATATTCTTTTTATATTTATTATTTTATCAATAAGTTAGGTTATATAGATTGTAGTTATGCGACCACCAGATCATCATTTGTGAGCACTGCCATCAGATCTCAACAAGTAGTCGATCCTCTGGCTTTAGACCAAGTAGGTGCCATGTGTAATTCAATCGATTTCTATATCAAGATTAATAACCAACAACATCAATATAGTAAAGTAGCAGCAAAAAGTAGAACAAACAGTACCAACGAGTAGTAAGTTATTATTATTATTAACCTTTAGAAAATATACTAATATTTATTATTATGATTTTAGTAGTAGTTGAAGATGTCATAGAGTTATCAATCAACTCACCATCAGCATATCAATCCAGCAACAACAATATCAATCACTTTAGTTTCGCAGACGATGACTACAACAACACTAGAATTTCTTCGTCTTCAGCTTCATCATCTTCCCAACATCACCAAACAACACTTGATACTGCTAGTAGTGGAGGAAACGACAGATACCATTCTCTCACCAGACTTGTTGTTCTCTGCCAATGATTCATTCGTCGTATTAACTGATTTCGATCAAATTTTAAATAAATAATGTTGATAACTTTAAAATTCTTTATAATTATTTCTTTTATTAACAGAGTTGATTCCACTGAGTTGCCGGACTCAGTACCGGACTTAGTTACCGGACTTAGTTACCGGACTGAGTTACCGGACTCAGTTGATTCCACTCAGTTACCAGACTGAGTTACCGGACTGAGCCAGTTACCAGAATGAGTTACCGGTCTCAGTTACCAGACTGAGTTACCGGACTCAGTTGATTCCACTCAGTTACCAGACTGAGTTACCGGTCTCAGTTACCTGACTGAGTTACCTGACTCAGTTACCGGACTGAGTTACCAGACTGAGTTGATGACTTAGTTGACTCAGTTACCCGACTCAGTTAGTTACCGGACTCAGTTGATGACTTAGTTGACTCAGTTACCTGACTGAGTTACCTGACTGAGTTACCTGACTGAGTTACCTGACTGAGTTACCGGACTGAGTTACCAGACTGAGTTGATGACTTAGTCGACTCAGTTAGTTACCGGTCTCAGTTAGTTACCGGACTGAGTTGATGACTTAGTTGACTCAGTTACCCGACTCAGTTAGTTACCGGTCTCAGTTACACCTGACTCAGTTACCGGAGTGAGTTACCAGACTCCAGTTACCAGACTGAGTTACCTGACTGAGTTGATAACTTAGTTGACTCAGTTACCGGACTCAGTTGATGTCTTAGTTGACTCAGTTACCGGACTCATTTAGTTACCGGACTCAGTTGATGTCTTAGTTGACTCAGTTACCGGACTCAGATAGTTTCTGGACTAAGTTGACTCAGTTACAGACTGAGTTATGAGTTTCCGGACTGAGTTAGTTACCGGACTTAGTTGATTCCAAATAGATAACGGACTGACTTAGTTACCGGACTGAGTAACTGGACTGAGTTGATGACTCAGTTGACTCAGTTGACTCAATTGCCATACTTAGTTGCCCGAAGCCTGAGTTTCCGTCAACTCCACAACTCAGATACTATTGATAGTTACCTCAACTACATATCTTAGTTTCGATCAACTCTACAACTTATTTACCATCAACTCCATAACTCGGTTACCGATGAACACATCACTCTCAATTTCCATCTGCTCAACTACTCCCTTACCATCAGTTTCACAAATCGATAAAATATAATCAAAAGATATAATTTTAAAGGTAGTTTAAAATTTTATTGAAATAGTAATTTTGTTGAATCTAAACACTCACTAATGTTGAATTACTTGACCAGGAGCAGAAATAGCAAATGTCATTCCACTACCACATCCAACAACATCATCAACCTCAACTTTATGAAATATTTCTGGTAATGAGAGGGTTTGGAGGTGTTGATGAATTATTTGTTGTTTTGGTTGTTGTCAGTTGTGGTTCAGTTGGTAGTTGTATTTTATTGTCTAAATGTTTATATAAAATCTTTAATATTTTTATTAGATTTCTGAATAATTAAGAACTTAATTCGGAAACAACTGATTTAATTTAATTATAACAGTGAAGTGAAATCATTCTACCTATAAAAAGATTTAAATTTAATATATTATAAATTAATAAAAATAATGATTTTAGATATTTATAAAGAATCTAGTATCTATTCTTTTTTAAATTCATGATCAATAATAAAATGATAACCAAAATAAACTATTATTCTCTATTTTTAATCAGATTCTCTTAATTCTTTATAATCTTCTTGCAATCTTCGTCTATTGTAAATCACCTCACTTCTCTTAACATATTATATTATTGATATGTGGTAGTATTCTAACTTACTTTACAAAAATTGATTTGATCGATTATCATTACTTTTATTTATTTTTTTATTTTTTAATATATTTAATTCAAAATAATCATTTTTTACAAATATGATTAGTATCTTAATACTAGTAATTTTTAATTAATTATTATAATTTAAAAAAACAACATTTTTTTTTTGAACCAACAAAAACAAAAAGATGAACTTGTCAAATAAAAATGGGGTGTTGCAAATTCAATAAATTAATAAAATTGAAAATTATGCTTGTTGTTTCTTCATTGGTAATGATCGCCTGTTTTTTTTTATTTTTGAATATTATATTATAATAAAATGAATTATTTAATTAATTTTAATATTTATATTTCAAATTTGAATATTAATTCATACTTTTAATTGGCGCTTAACAGTTACCGCCATTCTTGAGTTCAAACTGTAAGTTAACGAATCAAATTTAAAACTATATAAACCTATAATTTCATTCACAATGTCATTTTTCATTATTTTTCAAATACAAATAATTTTGTAAGTAATAACTATTAATTATAACTTTAACTTATTTATATCTTTGTTTTACTAACTCTTTGTTTATCTCCTTTTATCTCTTTCTTCTTTTCCAAGTCCGCTTTACCATGCCTGTTGCCTCCTTACTATGAGTGATGCCTCGTTGCTATTCCGGTTGCCTCTCATTACTATACCGGTTTCCTCTCGTCGTTATGCCGATTCCCTCTTGTAGTTATGTCGGTTGTCCCTCGTTACTATGCTGGTTTCCTCTCGTCACTATGCTGGTTTCCTCTCGTCGTTATGCCGGTTTCCTCTCGTAGTTATGCCGGTTCTCTCTTGTAGTTATGCCGGTTTCCTCTCGTCACTATGCTGGTTTCTTCTCGTCGTTATGCCGGTTTCCTCTCGTCACTATGCCGGTTCCCTGTTGTAGTTAATCCGGCTTCCTCTCGTCACTATGCCGGTTTCCTCTCGTCGCTATGCCAGTTGTCTCGTTACTATGCCGGTTTCCTCTCGTAGTTATACCGGTTTCCTGTCGTTGCTATGCCGGTTTCCTCTCGTTACTATGCAGGTTTCCTCTCGTAGTTATTCCGGCTTCCTCTCGTTACTATGCCGGTTTCCTCTCGTTACTATGCAGTTTTCCTCTCGTCGTTATTCCGGCTTCCTCTCGTTACTATGCCGGTTCCTCTCGTCGCTATTCCAGTTGTCTCGTTACTATGCAGTTTTCCTCTCGTCGTTATGCTGGTTTCCTCTCATCGTTATGCCGGTTTCCTCTCGTCACTATGCCGGTTGCCTCTTGTAGTTATTCCGGCTTCCTCTCGTCACTATGCCGGTTTCCTCTCGTCACTGTGCCGGTTCCCTCTCGTCACTATGCCGGTTTTTTCTCATCACTATGCTGGTTTCCTCTCGTCACTATGCTGGTTTCCTCTCGTCACTATGCCGGTTTCTTCTCATCACTATGCTGGTTTCCTCTCGTTACTATTCGTTACTATGTTTCCTCTCGTCGCTATGCCAGTTGTCTCTCATAGTTATGCCGGTTGCCTCTAGTCGTTATGCCGGTCTCCTCTCGTTACTATGCCAGTCCATTTCCTTTATTTCGACCACCACTCCATCTTCATGTCTCTGTCTTCAATTCCATTCTCCAGGTACAACCAGAAAAGGTTTTCTTGTCCCAATTCAAAGATTTTAATCCTGCTGGTTGTTACCTGTTTCAATCTATAATTTTTTGTAAATTAAAATCTCTCTTGTAAATAAATTAGATTTATTTACAATTAAAATCTTTTTAAATATTTTTTAAAAATCTATTATTTGATTAATTTATTTTGATAATTTCAAACAAAATTCAATATAACTACATGGTTTTAAAATAGGAACTTATTAATTCATCTACATTTGTGTTGTTAATGCTATTGACATATTAACTATTTGATCAAGTGGATTAATTGGGTGAGGTAGATAATCGGATTTGGTTTTTTGTTTTGGTTGTTTAAAAAGGTTGTCGTTCATAAATGATACCGTTAGTTTGTTGCTAACGGTGAATGTTGTTGCTGTTGTTTTCGTTGTTGGCTTCACACATAAAAATCTAACATCTTCTAGAATGTGGCTAGTTTCCAATAGCTTCATCAACAATGAGTGCTCATGTTCCATCTTGGTAAATTGACAAACCTTCAAATATTTAATAGTTCTATTGGCTTCTATGAAATATTGTAAATCTGTGTCAGCCAGTGTAGTAGCTGGAAAGTCAGTATCATTGTCGTTGATCTTATCTGTGCTTTCATCGACTACTTTGAATGTAGCAGTCAATTGAATGAGTGAATCCAATTTGAAAAGTGTCTTAATGGTATGTGTATCAATAGAAACTTTTGTTGGTAATGACAATCGTCTCAGATTAACAAGTAGTTCAATCGATGGTAAGAGTGAACGGAACAATGAGAGTTCGCCCTTGAGCTTTAGAGTTTCCAAGCGATGACCAATCGACACAATATCCTTTTTGAATACTTTGTGCGTTAAGTTCATAGTAAACTCGTACTCCATGAGTAAATTTGGAGAAAAGACATTGAACTTATATCCCTTTGAGTTGCTGTTTGTTATTGAAAGATGTCGGATTGATGTCAGTCCTGCCAGCAATGAAGGTGGTTCGTCTGATGGATGAGTAGATAAGGCATGAATCAATCTATGATAGATATGATTCAATTTGAGTCTCTTTACATTTGGAAATAGATTGATGTCGATTGGTGTTTGATCACCTCCGCCATGACTCCAATCTACAGCGTGATAGTGATTCAATTCAAGAGTCTGAATATTTGTAAAGCATTGATCTTTGATGTTGCCACTTGAAAACAATGGAATTTTGTTGTTGAAATTTATTGAGAGTGTTAATGATCGAAGTGTTTGGAATGGTGGTTCATCTCTGCCAGGCAATACGAATGGTCTTGAATTGTTTGTACTGTTACTACGAAGCGATAGAACCTCTAAATTTGGTAACAAAGTCCAATCTTCGATGTGGTAATTGCTCTTGCAGTAGATTCTCAGTTTTCTGAGTCGAGAAGCAACAGAGAGTTTCTTTATATCCTGAATCTCTGGTAAATCAATAACACTCATCGAACTGAATGACCAATAAGAGCTTATTGCATCATTATATTGTTCAATCCACTGATATGTTATTGAATTATCAGAGTATATCAATGTGAATTTACCAATATTGAATTTTATATCTCTATTATCATTATTATTTCTTTGATTATTATTATTTGTTGTTTTGTTTAATTTCTTTAATGATATATGATATGATTTCGGATAGTTTAATAAGAATTTACATTTACTATGAAGTGTTGTGATTTTAAGTGATGATTTAGCTACGATATTCACTAACCAATAATGAGATATCAATGACAATGATAATACATTGAAATCGTGTTGGTGATTTCTACATTGATCATATGATAGTTGTTCAATGATTAATCTCCATATCAAATCTGGTAGTATTGTCTGATTGCTATTGATTATTTTAGTTGAATTCAAATTATTACTAATAGCTTGACCCATTATTATTTGTCTATCTATTTTAGAATATAAATTCAATTATAAATACAACAACAGTTAACCAAAGATATTTAAAAAGATTGATTAAAATCAAATAATTAAAGAAAAATTTTAGAAAAAAAAAAAAAAAAAACAAAGCTTTGATCATCCCTTAACTGCGTGGTTGAAGTTTTAGGTGAGTGACATCAATGAATATTAAGTTAAAAAATTAAAATTAAAATTCTATTATTTATTAATAATTAGATAACAATTTTGAATAGATTATGCCATGTTATCTAATGCAGTGAAACCATGGGTCGGTTCAAGGAGATAGAGGGACTTGGTTGTCTTAGTTTTTTATGTTCAATTTCACTAATGAATGATACCGTTGCATTGTTTAGGAGTATAAAATTGGTGGTCTCTATCACGGGCAATGTACAAATAAATCTGATATGCTTAAGAGCAGTACTTTCTTCTAATAGATTCAGTAAGAGAGCATGCTCACAATCTATCTTTGTAAATCGACATACTTTAAGGTATTTAATGGTTGTGCTTTATGAAATATTCCAATGTCGAATTGCTTAGTTTCTGTAATGAAGGTTTGAACTAGCGATTCTTTTGTTATTTATATTATTCATATCTAGAGTATTGAGTTCTTTCGATGGTAAAGATAATCGTTTCAGATTTACAAGATATTTACAGCAAAAATCTATGAAACCGGACAGAGGTTTCAAAATATCAAACAGTAATACATTTATTTGTTATAGAAACTAATAAATATATTCTAAGATAGATCTTTGTTAAAGATTAATTATTAGAAAAAAATTGAAATATTTACCATTTTAAAAAAAAATAAAAAAAATAAAAAACTAAAATTAACTGTGCAATATTTCTGAAGTGATAAAATATTTTTTATTTATATACATTTAAATTGATTTAAAAGAAAACAATTAATAGGATGTCCAATAACCTTGGTTGAGGATTACTTGATTCAATCTGTTTGGTATTGATTCATATAGTGATTGGCAGTACTCCGGTGTCATTTCATATCACCACTATTAACATTATTTAAGAGCTCTATTGAGTTTAGAATGAATGGCATCTAGTATATATATTTATCTCAAGAATACCCAAGAATTTTAAAAAACATTCAGGTCCTGACTGGTTTGTTTATATATCAAATTTAGTTAAGAATGCATTTTATGTAAAAAATATTATGAGTTTTAGAATATTGATGACAAGTGAGATGTCTTGTACAGTTGTGGAATATACTAAAATTAGTTAAACAATATTATTTATTCGTCGATCTATATCATACTCTAAAATTTCTAAACAATCTGGGAATCTAGAGCTTAAGATAGATTGTCTAAGTATCCAGTTCCATATTAAATTAATGAGAGAAAAGATTGAATTTGAATCTACCACTTTCAACTTAATGATAGAATATTAGTTGTTCTATAATCAGGAACTCCTTTAAAGAATAAACTTTCTTTATACTATACTCTCCTTGTTTTATTTTCGTTTCATCTGTTAAATTACTTTTCTAAAAAAACAATATCCTTGTTTATGTAAAATCAGTTAAAAACCTTTACATTTTGAATATGAAGAAGAGTCTAAAAGGTTTTTTTTTGTATTATTTCTGAAAGTAATTCCTTAATCCTTTATTATTCTTCTAATAATGTTATTGATTTATCTTTTTAAAAATGTATTGTTATCCTTTTTTTTTTTAATGATATAATTGATTTTTAAAAAAAATTTTAAATTTTATTTTAAATATAATTGTAATCTTTTAAATATTTATTCTTTTTATACATATAGTATTTGTGTTCAGTGCTGAGTTTGTTTTTGCTTAGTTTTTCTTTAGTCTTGAAACTGTTGAAAATTAGAATTGTATTTTAAACCAATAACTTCTTGTGCCGTTCAGTAATCCAAATCAAGTATTCCACAAATCTTTTATCTTTCTGTTAACATTTTACTTGGTATCATTCTTATATATAATATAATTAAATTTTTCAAAATAAATTTAAAAGTACTATAATAAAAAATATTTTATTACTTCAGAAATATTGCACAAATTAATTTTATCATTTATTTTTTTTATTTTTTTTTAAAATGATAAATGATTCAATTTCTTTTTAATTATCAATCATTTACAAAGATCTATCTTAGAATATATTTATTAGTTTCTATAACAAATAAATGTATTACTGTTTGATATTTTGAAACCTCTGTCCGGTTTCATAGATTTTTGCTGTAATTGAAGAGAGCAAATGAGTAAACGTTGAGCACACACCTTTAATCTTGATGGTTTTGAGTTGGTGACCGATCGATGCCATTTCCAGTTTAAATACATTGCTGGTGAGGTTTAGTCGATACTCTGTATACAAGGCGATATTAATGTCATTGCTATCACTTTGGTTCTCGTTGGAAATGGAGAGGTGACGAAGTTGGGTCAGACCTGCTAACAATGACTGTGGTTCATCTGACGGCGACTTGGCGGCTGCATCGATCATCCTATGATATAGATGATTCAGTTGGAGCTTTTCAAGATTAGGGAACAACTTTTGTGTCTATTGGTACATGGTCTCTAGAAGACATACTCCATTCATCGGTATGATAATGATTCAATTCTAGTGAGTGAATATTCGTAAAACATTCACTATAGCTATTCTTTTTGGTTATACAAGTAGTAGAGGTAGTGAATGGCACTTTGTTTCTGAATTTTAAAGAGAATGATAATGATCTAAGAGATTGGTATGATGGTTCATCTTTGTTTGGTAATATGAAAGGTGTTTCATTGAATTTACAAATATTTCTATGTGAGAGAACCTCTATATTTGGTAAAAACGACCAGTCTTCAATCATATGATCAGATGCGCTGTAGATTCTTAACTTTCTGAGCTGAGATCTTCTTAATTATATCTTGATCCTCTGGTAAATGTACAAAAGTCATCGAAAAGAATGACCAATAGGTTTGTAGTGTATCATTATATTTCTGTATCCAATTGACATATCGATTAAAATTCCTTTTCTCTTTGAATAAGTATATGAATTCTCATAAGATAAGTAAGTTTACATATATTAAATTTTATATTTAATTCTCATTATTATTATTATTATTATTATTAATATTATTGTTGTTAATATTTAACTTTAAAAAAAAAGAACGTTTGTATGATTTAGGAAAATTAATAAAAAATAATGATTTGTGTTGCGTTGTTGATATACTAAGTGTTGATTTCGAGACAATGTTGACTAACCAATAATGAGATATCAATGACAATGATAATACATTGAAATAGTGTTGATGATAATGGAGTTGTTTTGAAAGTAATTCAATAATATATCTTATTATTAAGTCAGGTAATATTGTTTGATTATTATTAATAATTTCAATTTTACTTTTTTTAGTATTACTATTAATAATACTAATACTATGACTAATAGATTGTCCCATAAATGAAAAATAAAACACACAAAAATTGAAAATACTAGTTATGTTTTTACAAAAGAAAATCCAAATTTGGGTGTGTTTGTTCACTCATACACACAATTTTTTTTGAAATTTACAAAAAAAAAAAATGAAAACAAAGAAAATTCTCAAGTATAAATAAAAATCATCTGTTAATTTAATAATATTATTATATCAATTTCTTTGATAAAATTTATTAAAATGGATAAGTTAAAAATAGTTTTAGTTCATGGAGCTGTAAGTAAATAGAATTTTGAATTAAATAAAAATTTATTTTATATTAATTTTAATTATTTTATTTAATTTTTTAAAAAACAATAGTTTGGAGATGGTAGTGGATGGTGTAAAGTTTTAAAACAATTGAGAGAAGAAGGACATTGTGTTATTGCTGCCCAAAATCCATTGTCTTCTTTCGCCAATGACGTAGAGACAACAAATCGTTTAGTTGATATGCAAAACGGTCCTGTTATCTTGGTTGGACACAGCTATGGTGGTATGGTTATTACAGCTGTCGCCAACATCAATAAGAATGTAAAGGGTTTGGTGTATGTCTGCGCTGCCGCTCCAGACAAGGGAGAATCTTTGGCCGATCTCCTAGGAAAGGAACCAACACCTGGAAGCAAATTCTTCACCAAAGATAAATATGACCGTTTCTGGATTGACAACTCACATTTCTCAGAGGTGTTTGCACATGATTGTAAGGAAGCACCAGAGTTGGCTTTGGTTCAAAATCCTATTAGTCTCAACAGTTTCACCGGAAAGCTTGAAGGTACACCAGCTTGGAAGAGCATCCCTTCATGGTATGTCTTAGGTGAACAAGACAATGCAATCAATCCTATCACCCAGAAATTCATGTCGGAGAGAATAAAAGCCAAAGTAACCAGATTACCATCCAGTCATGCTTCAATGGTGTCTCATCCAATGGAAGTTTCAAATGTGATAAAGGATGCATTTAAATCATTATCAAGCTGTCCAGCCTCAAAATAATAAACTATTCATAAAAAATTTAAAAAAATTATCTATTTCTTTTGTTTATTATATTTGGTTTATATGATTATTAATTTAATACTAAGCAAGATGCTATTGAATTAAACATATTGATGGTTCATTGGGTTTAAGCAATGTATTGACCCTGTGATTTAAAAATTTAACTTGACTATCTAGATCTCTATTGGCTTTAATTTCTTGTTCCAATAGTCTCTGGGAATTTTCATTTAAAGTCATAAGTCTTTCTTCTCTTTCCCTGTTCTCTTTGATAGTTTTCATCAATTCAAAAATCATTTGTTCCAATTCCATTAACTTCCTATCATAATCTCTCATATTAATTGGTTTTACTTGATCTCGGTCGATATTAATACTTGGTATTGTTGATAGAAAAATTTGTATCTCTTCAATTGAGGATGTGTTCAACAATTGATTTTCCTTTTCGTCCAAATCTTCTATCTTTTTAATAAATAATGTTTTATATGGGATCTTCTTTAGAGTTTGAAGGCATGCTTGAATATTGTCTGAATTAGCCATTTTTGGAGTGTGTTTACCGAAACTTGGTTGATAATTAAACCATAATTGAAATCTGTTTTGATTGATTCCAAAATATAATTCAAGGTACTTAAGTCTTGAGCTTTTATTCTACCTGAATCCAAAGTAATAACAAATACTATTTTATAGTTTCCTCCCTATTTATAAATAATTAGTTTTACATAAGGAATAAAGAGAATCTAATATTATTTTATTTTTTTCTTACCTTTTTAAGAGAATTCTCAATTTCTTTTACTGTAGTATCTTTGGCAAGTACATCAGCCATTCCTGGAGTATCAACTATTAAATCATTCCCAACAAAATAATATTGAGCTTCCTTTGTCAGACCAGTACCAATACTAACTCCTGATTGGAAAACAACTTTTCCAATAATACTATTACAAATAGTACTTTTACCACTTCCTATTATGGAATTCAGTTAATTATTTTATATATTGAATTTAAAATTTTTAATTTTGTAAATCAAAAACTTAAAATTTCTGATTTACAATTTTAGATATTGTGTGTATAAAACAAAATTTTTAATGAATAATTTATATAATTTTAATTTAAAAATAATTAAATAAATTAAAACCAAAACAAATATTCTAGTTTGTGGAAACCCAGGTATATATTGTAAAATTATATTTAAATAATATTTTAATAAAAACAAACTATTTAAAAATATTTAAAAAAGGTAGTGGAAAAAGTACTCTATGTAACAGTTTGATAGGAAAAGTAGTTTTTATCTCTGGTGTAAGCGTATGTTGCCGAATGACCACTTCCTCTCAAAGCAATCAATTAGATGATATTGAAGTTATCGATACCCCAGGTCTTGAAGATGTCAAGATTTGAGAGAAAGCAGCTCAAGAGATTGAAAAAAAACTTAAAAAAGTATAAATATTCATTCTAGATTTACCAAAAAATATTTATTTTGACGCTTTTATAATATTTAGGATGGAATTTTTAAGATTTTATATGCTATTACTTTAGAATGTGGAAGAATTAAACCACATGATTTGCAAACTATAAATGCAATCAACAGAGCTATAAAGACAGATTTTCAATTCGGATTGGTCATCAACAAAGTATCGAAATCTATTGAACAAAAATTGAAAGAAACTGACTATTTGTTTTAATTTGCTTAACAAACAACCAAGTAAAATATATATTTTAAAGAAAATTGAGGAGTTAGAGGTTTTATTGAAAAACAAGGATATAAACAAAGAATTATCAATATTCCTAAAAGAAATTCCTTCTAGTTTTATTAAAACAGATTTGGTGGATAAAGTAGATATTCGAGATTACGATCAGATGGTAACAGAAATGGAATCTAAAATTCAATCCCTTATGAAAGAGTCAGATTCGGTTCTGAATAAAGCTATAAAGAGTGAGGATGACATTGAAATTGGTGAATTAAAGGGATCAGAAAACCAACATCCTCTTTCCAAAGAAGGAAATCCTCCTATATTTCAAGAATACTGTGATAGAGATAGATGCCTTGGTACAATTTTACCGGATCGATCTTGTCCAGAGAATGCACCTACTCTCATTTTATGTTCACATATTCCTCCATGTATCAGGTCTTCATACTACTCAAGTTCTCAAATGTACCTCAAGGTTCAAAATGACCAGAATTCTAATAATAATAATAATAATAATAATACTAAATAGGTGAAATATTAATTTTCAAAGAAATACTATTTATTTATGATTTTTTTTATAAAGAATAAATATTATTACCTGTTTGTTTTTAATTAAATATTTTTAATTAATAGCGATTGATTTCTAAGAATAGTAGAAATGATTTTATTGAATTGTACATCTTCTTTGAGGTTGATGATTGGGTTTGAGCAATGATTGAACCTTTTCATTTAAACTTTTAACTTGACTATCAAGATCTCTATTGGCTTTAATCTCTTGCTCCAAAAGTCTCTGAGAATTTTCATTTAGTTGAAGTAATATTTCTTCTCTTTCCCTGTCTTCTTTGATAGACTTCATCAATTCAAAAACTAAAGTTTCCAACTCCATTAATTTTCTATTAAAATCTGTGATATTTATGCTCTTTACTTGATCTTGAAGTAAATTGACACCAGGTAAAGTTGATAGAAAAGACTGAATATCTTGAACTGAGGATTCATCCAACATTTGGTTCTCCTTTTCATCTAAAGATTTTATCTTTTTAATAGATAATATATGAAAGGGTTTCTTCTTTAGAGTTTGGAGACAAGCTTGAATATTGTCTGAATTCATCTTTGCAAGAGATGATTTAGAAACTTGGTTGATAAGTAAACCGTAATTGAACTCTGTGTTGATTGATTCTAAAATATAGTTCAAGGTATTAAAATCTTGTAACTTTATTCTACCCGAGTCCAAAGTAATAACAAATACTATTTTATAGTTTCCTCCCTAAAATTTTTATTTTAATTTATTTATTAATAAAAATTAACTATTGTTTTTTGAAATATATGAAAAATATGAAAAACTATTTCTAATACTGACTTTTTTAAGGGATTTCTCAATTTCTTTTACTGTAGTATCTTTGGCAAGTACATCAGCCATTCCTGGAGTATCAACTATTAAATCTTTTCCTAAAAGATAATATTGAGCTTGCTTGGTCAGACCAGTACCAATACTAACTCCTGATTGGAACACACCTTTTCCAATTAAACTATTACATATAGTACTTTTACCACTTCCTAAAATGAAAATATATTAATTCTTTTCCTCTATCAAATAGATAAATAGTAAATAAACTTACCAGGGTTACCATAAAATCCAATAATTGTTTCATATTTCATTTCCAAAATTCTATGTAAAAATAATTTTAAATTTGTTATTTTAATTTTGTTTTTATTGAGAGATTTAAACTTTAAATTTTATTTTTAAATCCTTCTAAAAATCAAAAATTAAGAGTAAAAAGAAAACCATCAATATTTTTATAAAAAAAAAAAACAATAGAAATCTATCCATCTTCCATTGTATTTTATAAATAAAAAAAAAAATAGAAATCTATCCATTTTCCATTTTATTTTTCCACTCATTTCTCAATTATTAAAAAAGTAAATTTAACTTAAAAAACTTCATTCTCTCAACTCTTTATATTTTAAATTATATATTGTTCTAAGGGTTCAATTATCTTATCTTCTATGAATTATCCTAAAACTAATATTATATTTTTTGGAAATCCAGGTAAAGTTATAATACCATAATTAATTTAAAAAATTTAAATAAAAAATATTAATAATATTGTTTTAAAAAGGGAGTGGAAAAAGTACTCTTGGCAACATCTTGATAGGCAAAGTTGTTTTTGATTCTGGTGTAAGTTTAGGAACCGGAATGACAACAACATCTCATAGCCATGAAATTGATGATACAGTGGTCATTGATACGCCAGGTCTGCAAGATGTAAAGATGAGAGAGAAATCTGCTCAAGAAATAGAAAAACAACTTAAAAAAGTATGATTTTTGAAATATAAATATACCTAATTCGAATGATCAAGAAAACTTTATTTTTTTTCATAGGATAAAAGTTTTAAAATTGTTTATGTTATTACTTTAGAGAGTGGAAGAATTAAAGCTCATGACTTGCAGACCATAAATTCCATTAATAGAGCTATAAAAACAGAGTTTCAGTATGGTATAATTATCAACAAAGTATCAAAATATCTTCAACAAATAATTGATGCAACTCCAGATATGTTGAATATTTGTTTTGATTTACTTGACAAACAACCTTGTAAAATTTTTATTTTAAATGAAATAGAGGAGTTGGATGACCGTGATAATGCATTATTGAAAGACATGGAGGTAATCAAAGAATTATATCTATTCCTCGACAAAGTTCCTGCTAGTTTTTTATCAAAAGAAAGGGTGGATAAAGTAGATGTTCGAGATTATAATAAGATGGTGAATGATATGGAGTCTAAAATTCATTCGCTTATTAAAGAGTCAGAGATGGTTAAGAATAATGTTTGTAGACTAGAGGAAATGGATAAGTCTAAAGGTAAAGATAATCAACATCATTTGACCAATGAAGTAAATCTTCCTAAAATACAAGAAGGTAATCTTTGTGTTTCTACATTTATAGACGATGCTCCAGTTTACCTACATCGTAATCATTCTCCAACGAACAACAAGCGTTCACGCTTTCCAAAACCTCATTTTATTGAACAAAATTGTTGTTTATTTTAAAAATCTTCAAAAATAATAAAATATCTTTATTTATTATTTTATTATTTCATTCTTCAAATAAATAAATATTGATTTTGGTTATTTAATTCTAAACAATATAAAAAGTTTTCTTTGATGATCTTCATTCCTTTATTCGAAACTTTTTTAAATATGATCTATAATTTATTAAGTCGGAGAAAAAAAAAAAAGGATAATATAACTAAACTATTAAATAAAAAATCATTTGACTTAAATGATTATTGAATATCAACTGATTGGAGGAGTGGTTCATATTGTGGGTCAGATGAGAAGGAAGGTGGATTCATCTTTAAAAATGTTGTAAATAAAAATAATATCTAAATAAAAATATAATTAAGTTAGAATTGTTAAAAATGATTAAGATATTTATAATTAAATAATTAATTACTTACAGATATCAAAGCCATTGCACATTCACCACCGATAATCAAACTGAAACCACGGTGTAGTGATTGGCACTCTGTTGTAATGTGTTTCTCACAGAAAAGTTGACCAAAAAATGGAATGCAGGTACCGGCCTTTTCGTTGTGGTCAGAGTAGCAGTACTTCAGGGTATCACTAAACTTGATGGTAGTGATTGAAACGATAATTATACAGGAGAGAATGACCAAGAACATCAGGATCTCTAGAATGAAAGCAACCGACAGTGCTCGAAGATTTAAAACAAGATTTGATAAAGTTACATAGATTGCCACCAGTGAGACTCCTACTGAAGCAAACCAAATATAAGGCAATCGCCAGTCGTTCGAGAGATCATACATAAAAAATTGATAAAGTCCATTACCTATCAATGCTAATCCTACCTAAAAAGTTGTTATTAAACAGTAAGTTTTCATGTCTTAGTTTGAAATTGTTTGTTTGTTTATTTGTTTAACTTACAAATTGTATGACCAACATTCCAAAGAACAGTATCTTTTTGTATAAAGAAATATGATGTGAAATCGTGTCAAGATGTTTTCTCATTTTTTCTTTATTTTATTTTGTAATATATAAAATGACAATGATGATGATGATTGAGGAGGATGATTTTGGAAACTGACTAATTCTCTAAAACTAAATATATAAAATTAATTAATTAGTTTTATTCATTTCGACTTTAATTTTAAATTTAATTTAAATGTAATGCAATTTTGAATTGAGTTTTAGTGGTTGCATAAGTTGGAGCAATAACACTAGTGAATGATTATTGAAAAAGTGTAGAATGTTGAAGTATATAAAGGTTTACTCAAACTATTATGAGATATACTGATAATAATAATAATAATAATTCTAAATATGTTATAGGACGATATTGAATAAATATAGTATGCGATCAAATCTATCAAAAGCTAATAAATTAAAGAATTTGTTTGGTTAAAGAAAAGCGATAAAAACATAAAAAAAAAACAACCACCACCCAACACAAATTTCAAATTGGCGGTTCATTAATTTAGAATTTATGTGTTGCAATTTTAAATTTAATAGCAAATTAATAATATGATATGATATCACTTATGTATTATTATCATAGATTAAATTAATTTAACATGATATTTATAAATAAATGTTAAAACTAATTAGAGTTATTAGAGGTAAACAAAACACAAAATGTTAGCTACTTGATTTAAATCAACATTGACTGTTTTCTTTTTATACAACTTTGTAAATGATTACTGATATCAATGAATTAGTCTGCTGCTATATGAAGTGATTGATTGATTGGAATAGGTTTTAAAATTATTTAATTTTGTAATTATACACTATAGTTGTCTTTTCTTTTCTATTATATGACACTTTTCTATTTTATTGTTTTTATTATTATTATTTTTTACCATTGTATAACACTGCAGTATATTGCAATACGAAAATATTATTGTATGACACTCACACAAATAAAATAAATAAAATAAACAAACATTTCGTCGCAAGTTATGTGTTAAAAAAAATTAAAAAAAAAAAAAAAAACAATAGTTGACAACTATTAATAAATAAAAGTGTTATTCACTTTCTTTATAAAAAGAGTGTCTATCTTTTAATTAAAAACTGCCTCTATAAAAGATGTTGATATTGAGCTGACTGATATTAACTATTGATAAATTTAAATATCAAGCATGTAATACCTACTTTTTTTTGATTTTAAAAAAGGTTTATAAACATAAACATATAACTAGTTCTCCTTTTATTATTATTTTTTATTATTAAACTAAACTGTTGCAAAAAATTTTGTTTTAAATTAAATTTGTGTAGTTCACTTTACTTTTTTGTTTACTACTTTCTATAGAATAAATATTTTGATAAAAATGAATAGTTTTTAAATAAATAGATGATATATATTAAAATTTTAATATTGGGATGATTTGTTTTATCCTTGTAAGATAATGTAAATGTATCTTTGAAAATAAGGGTGTTCTAATATGTTATAAAAACAAAAATAAATTAAAAAAAAAAATAAAATGTTATTACCTATTTTTTTTTTTTTTAATAACTGACATGACCCGAACCAAAAAATTAAATTTGCTTTTTTTTCAAAGTTTGTGGGGTTTTTTTTTCAAATTGAGATCTTTTTTTTTTCAATTTTCATTTTGAAATCTAATATTTTTGTTAAATGTTATTTGGTGACTGTAGTTAACCTTTTTTGATTAATTAATACTAGTTAACAAGACAAAAGTGGTTTGTGAACATCTAATTTTATTTTATTCAGTTCAGTTCTATCCTATTCGATTCTTATATTTGCAATAGTTTCTACCTGGTCTAAATTTAAATTGTAAATGTTGTTATCATTGAACAGCTTCTCTTCTGTGCCAGTACCAGAGTAGTGTCTGAGATCCTCTTTGAACTTGCCAAGTTGACTATTGCTCATACGTAATATTAACGATGATTCGTATATTCTTTTTAAATAAATACATAGTTAGTTGTTTGTTTGTTTGTTTGTTTGTTTCGTTGTTTAGATTAAAGTTACTACTTACTTTTTCATATATTTCTCTGGTTTATCTGTGAATGTGTGGAATAGAAGGAATAGTGTTTTGATGTCTTTAGAGAATTGTAAACCGTCTTTGTGTGTGAATTTTAATCGACTAGAGTTGAGTAATAGGTTGAATAGATACTGATCGATCTCTGCAGAGAGCTTTCGCCAGAGTGTATTGATCTTTTGGAAGCAAATCGATCGTACTATAATGCTGAGTTGATATCTCAGTGTTGAGAGTGCATCTGTCAACTCTGGTGAGATATCAAGTGATTGCTCGTAGTCTACCAACAAGCCACCTCCACTACTTGACAAAGATGATGCTGTTGTTGTTGGTGGTGGTGATGTTGATGAAATTGATACTCTATTCTTACTTCTTCTTTGATCTTCTTGTTCTTCTTCGTCTACTAATGTTTGCTTTGTAAGTTCATCTGATGTAGCTGTTGAGCTAGTTGTTGTTGTTGTTGACAATGAAGATTGTTTAGCCTGTTTGGCAGATGGTGATAGTAATGCAGCATTGTTTGGATTTAAGAAGATATTGGATTTTGTTTGTACGAATGCACCTCTCTTCAAGTAGAGATTAGACTTTATCTTGAATCCGTTGAATAGAATCTCTACTATCTTCTTCATCATCTGTTTACCAATCGATTTGTACACACCGATGGTAGAGTGGAATGCAGAGTAACTGTTGTCATCACCATTACTATCTACACTAGCATTACTAACTAACATTTCTTGATCATGGTTGGATTTCATATGATCATAAATATTAATAAACAACTAGTTTAGAGATTAGAAAGTTAGTTACAATTTGTTTAAATACTTTTCTTTACTGCTGCTGCTGCTGCTTAACATACCAATTGATCATCCCAATCCTTTAAGACATTCTTTATGTAGATGGTAGAGTTGTAGATTGAAGATATCTCTTTGAGTTGATGTTCGTCGTACTCGTGTGTTCTCGCCCAAGAGTAAGAATCGGATGGAACCAAACTGTGTAGTTCGTCGCTGTACTTTGAGAGTAGGTTAAGTTGTATCTGTACAAAGAATTGGAATTGTAGTGATACATCGGAGAGATGTGTGTATCGATCGGTTACCATTCGTAGCAATGATATCAGTTCATAGGCAGAGTTTGATGGTTTCATCGTATCGATATCGGCAAAGTCTTCTTTGTAGTAGGGTGCCCAGCAGTCTGGTGAATGTGCCGATGCATCAAAGTACTCTTGACAAGCGGTAATCTCCAAGTTTATCCACTGGTCAAAGATCGATTCATTCTCAAACACAGCAACAAACGGTGATTTCATCTGACGATCTAATAGTTCTATTTGTGACTTTGTTCTATCATCGTCTTCCTCTTCTTCCTCTTCATAGTCGTCATCGTCATTATCACTACTCTCACTTCTTACTCTCTTCTTTCTCTTGTTTGTAGTTGCTGATTGTTTTAATATGTTGAATTCTATTGGATATGGATATTGATAGTTATCCAATAGATATTGTGAGAGTGTTACTAACTCCTCCAGTGTATGATAGAATAGTTTGTTGTCGGAACCACTCGTGAGAAGAGGAATGTCATCACGGAACTTACTAGACAATGTATTGACGAGACCGCTTATGAACCAATGTACTACATCGATATATCCGATTGTTCGTTGATTCAATGCATTCTGTAATGCAGTCAAATAAGGAAGATGATCTTTAATCAAACGTTTCACATGATGAATTGGCCACTCTGGTTTAGCGAGCATATTGGTGACACGTTTAGTTTGGAAATGATACTTGAATCCTTTAATCAGTGATTCTAAAAGTATATCGATTGCCCACAGACTAGTAGGTAATAAGTTTGTTGTTGAATTGGATGATGTTGATGACAAAGCTTTAGAGTTACTATTAGTTGTTTTAGTTGTTGCAGTTGCAGTAGTTGTGGTTGTTGTTGCTATTGTTTTGGAGGTGTTTGTAGTAGTTATTGTTGTTGTTGCTGTTGGTGAAGTTGTTGTTGTTGTTGCTGTCGTTGTAGATGGTAGTGTCAGTGGATACTTTTGTGTTGTTAGTTGCAATATAATTAGATTGGAGAATGAAGATTGCAGTTGTTTGATACGATTGTCTTTACCACCAGTTTCACCACCAGTTCCATCAACACCACTATCATTACCACCAGTAACACCACCACCACCACCACCACTGTTTCCATCCTTTGAATTGACAGACAATGATATCCAATTCAACTCTTTCAATGAAAGTTTTAACTCACTAAATAACATTATAATATCATAATATTAGTTATACAAACAACTTGTTCATGGTTTTCCAATTTATCTAAAACCTAACTTACTCTTTCATTTTCTTCTCTAAAAGCGTTGTTAGATCACTTATCATATGATCGATCAGTCTTGTCAGATGGGAACAAGGTTGTTGTTGATCATCGTTATTGGTGATAAGCGGTGACTTTAGACAATGTAGATTATTCTGTATCTCTATTAGATTGATAAACGGTCTTAATGATGCACCAAGATTATTAATATCAATGAATGATTTAATCTTATTGCTTTTTACATAATAATAATGTTAGTAAACAACCAATATGTTTTGTCTTGTTTTGTTAATACATACTATAGTAAATGTATAATTAATAATATTTGAATGTATTTCTTAATTCTTGTTATTTGATTGATAAGAGTTGTGAATTTACAGAGGGTATCTACATGCGAATGATCAATATGTTGTCGTAGACTCTTTAGTAGATTCGCTCGGTTCGCTTGCATCTGATTGAGTTCAGCTATACCGACATTACACTGATTCTCCAACTCTGAAAGCGTCGATGATGAACATTGTGTTGCTAACTATAAATAATTATTATTATTCTTATTGTTACTATAAAGATTCAATATGATAATAGCTATTAAATAATAAAAAGATAAAACAACGACAACAATTACCATATTCTTGATTGTATTTCTTTCTTTAAGCAATGATTGTTTAAGAGTTGCCAATTGCTCGAATGATTTCTCATTAATAAGATGTTGATTAAGATAATCAACTAAATTAATTGATTCTACATTTCCATCTGGTTCATCACTATGTCTATCTATAATATTATTATTACTACTAATAATATTTGACATTCTACTTTGTATTTATATATAATGTAATTTACAATGATTTTTCTTTTTTTAATTAAACATGTGGATGGTAAATGAAGTTCTTATATTTTTTTTTTTGATAAAAATTAGTTTTTCCAAAAACAATGTAAATTAAAAGATACCTCTTGTATACTAATAGATTCTTCTAGAGGTTTTCTATCATTTTATCTTTATTTTATATTTTAACAATATTAAAATTTTGATTTCAGCTTATTAACAACAAATAAATAGAAAAATAAAAGTATTTTGGGAATAATTTTGATATCCATAGATTCTTTTCATATATTTTTCTGGTATCCTATTTGTTTTATTATCGCTTCTATTAAAAAAATATCTATTTTCAAGGCTTGGATGTTGATAGGAGAACTCTTTATGTTGAAACTGGACTTGGTTTTAAAAGATTAAATTATAATTTATCCTAGATTTTTAATATCGTTCTATCTTAGAAGGAAAACAAATCAAATATAGAATTTTTTTTATAATATTTCTTCAGCAAAATCTTCTTCTAGTTATTGTCGATCTGAATATTTAATAATATCAATAAATGTTTAGATGTTTATAAAACAATTTGGTGATAGAGATAATAATAGAATATTTATTTATTAAATATTTATATTTTCTTTATGTTTTTTTTTGGAAATTGGAGTGGATTTTGTATAGTATACTGAGAATCTACTTGGTTTAGGCATGACACCAGCCCATGTCACGACAACATGGTTCCGCATCAGTGTTTCTCTTTATACAATCGTCAAATCTATTAATTTGGTCGGCCATTTGATAACATTCGTTGGTGGCTCCTTGCATTAATGGACATATTTCTCTTACGAGTTTAGCGGCATCATTCTCGGAGAAACCTTTTCTGTACCATTTCTTGGCGATTTCATAAGTGGAACGACAAGCTTCACAAACTTCCTTTCTGTCTTTTTCCTTTTCGTTTTGATGGATTTGCATTGATTGGACACAAACTGCAATGACCAAAACTACAAATAAGATTGATAAAATAGATTGAATTGATTTCATTTTTTTTTAGATGAAGTAAAATAGAATAATAAAAAATGAAATTTCGAATTCTACTATTTCAATACCAATACCATCGCCTTTGGTTTTATTGGGCTCACAACAAAATTAAAAAAAAAATTAAAAAAAAAAATAAAATATCAAAAAAATATCAATTCCGACTTTTAAATAAACATCTAAACGACACCTGGGAAAAAAAAAAGATATAAGAAAATAAATCAAGTCCATTTTGTGGTTTATGACATCACTAACTTCATACATCATACCAAATTTGCAAAATGTTAACATTAATGGTCGGATAATAATCTGAAGTCTACACAATTTTTTTTTTTTTTTTAAATTACAAATTTATTAATTTTTAATGATTATTATTAGTTATTTATTTTTGAAGGAAAAGTGTTGCGAATAAATATAAATGTTTAACATTGAGTGTTGTTGAAAAGATGACGATGAATGAATCAGGGTTTGTCAGCGTTGTTGTTGTTGTTATTTTTTTGGTTTGAGAGTGGGTGTTGATGATGATGATGATGATGCGAGGTGTGAAGTGTGAAGTTTGAGATTATTAAACTTAACTACTTAGGCAGTTTTCTTCTTCTTGGTCTTCTTGTCGGTGTCGGCCGCACTCTCTGCTTTCTTCTTCTTACCGGTTTCCTTTTTGGCTGGTGGTGCTGGCTTTTCTTCTTCTTCTTCCTCCTCTTCAGCGGCTTCAGCTTCCTCTTCATCTTCCTCTTCCTCTGCTGGTTCAGCTTTCTTCTTGGTGGTCTTCTTTGTGGTGGTCGACTTCTTGGTGGTCTTCTTCTTCTCTGCTGCGGTGGTGGTCTTCTTCTTCTTCTTCTTGTCTCTCTTCTTTGGACCATCATATTCGATATTATCTACTTTATTTGGTGTAGTCAAATACTTTAATAGAAGTTCAACAGATTGTTCCTATTTTTTTGATTCGATTGTAACAATAATAATCAAATTAGTTTAGTAAAACATTCTTTTTTTTTTTTAGTACTGGCGATCATTTATAATTTTAATTACTATACCTTTGTTGGTTTTGGTGGAAGCAATAACATCTTCAAAACACTCTTAATTTCATCTCTGTTAAGCTTTTCGATTCTACCTTGAAGAATTTCAGTGTTGTATTCCTCCTTTTCCTAAAGTGTAGTGTTTAAATAATAATAGTGATGATGAATGATCATTAGTTGAGATTAAACTTTTAAAAAAACAAATGTATATGAATGATAAAGTTGTACTTACACCTTTCAAGTCGAAACCTTGGAAACCGAGAATGTTCTTCTTTAAACTTTCACCAGCCTTTCCTTTTCTGGCAAAGATAATCTTGTGCAAATCAGCTAAAACTTCCTTTTCATCAACCTTCAAATGAGCAAATTTATCCTCCACTGTAAGATTAGATTAGTTAGTTAGTTAGTTAGTTAGTTGTTGATACTGTTGATCTATTAGTTGGCTTTGATCTTACAATCTGAATTATAATCAAGTAATGTCTTTCCTGATTTCATTGGTAGATTCTTCTTCTTTTGTACTTCTTCAGCTGGGTTTTCGATTGGTGATCTGGTGACTGGACGACGTTCTCTCTTTGATTGAGCACCTTCCTTGAGGCTGTCATCAGCAAGAATCTTGTTGATATAAGAAGAGTTCTTGTCCATCAATGGATCGGAACGTGGACGCTTCTCACCGGTTGGTGCTTTCTTTACTTTCTTTGGCTCAGATCCATCGGCAGCGGCAGCAGCCTTCTTCTTCTTCTTGGTTCCAGAGGCAGCGGCCTTCTTCTTCTTCTTCTTTGGCTCGGCAGCGGTGGTGGTAGTGGTGGTAGTAGTAGTGGCTTCAGTGTCGGCGGCGGCAGTTGAGTCTGTTTCCTTCTCAGTGGCTGGAGTAACGGCGGCAGTAGTTGTGGCAGCTGGAGTTGTATCTTCCTTTGCTGCAGCTGGTGCTGGTGTAGCAGCTGGCTTCTTTCCTTTTGTTGCCATTATTATATATTAAAATTTCAAAATCTAGTTATTGTTGTTGTTGATATTGTTGATGTTGAAACTTTAACTGTTATAATTTTTTCAAAAAAAAAAAAAAATAAAAAAAATTTAAGTTGGTTAAATTTTTTGATTGTTATTTTTGTGAGTGAAGTTGACAACTGAACTTGATTGTTTTGTTTAAATGAATGGGTATTTACTTTTTTTGATTGTTTTTTTTCTTTGTGGATCTAAAAAAAACTATGATACTAATTTTTAATTCTCTATAAAAAAAAAGTGATAATATTAAATAATTAATTCGCAGTGGTTTACTGACAGTTATAATTACCTTTTATGATAGATCAAAACAAAACTTTATTAACAACTTTGAATTCAAAAAAATGTTTGTTCAAACTTTGTTGTTTTTTTTTTTGCAGCTGAGTTTTTCCAACAGTTGAAAAAGGTGTGATAGACTAATTTTGGGCGCGAATCTATAGTTTGCCAATCACACTCCTTAATTATTTTATTTTAAAATTTGAATTCTATATTAGATTAAAATGTGGATAACCACTTTGACCGTTAATTAATTCAAATCTCAAGAAAGATCTATGAAATGTCTGTTTGTTTTCCAGACTTTGGTTATATTTATGTGTTTTAAATCAATTAAAGTTTGTTAAACTCGAGTACTTGTATTTGATAAAAGATGAAGTTTATTTTTTTGTTTTTTCTTTTCTTTCTTTTTTTTTTTTTTTTTTTGGTGGAGTTCGGAATGAGTGATAGTGAGTCGACTGGTTTGTTTTCGTTATAATTATTATTAACCAAGGGTAGGTCGTTATGTTTGTTGTATAGTTGATTGATTTATTGGTTGGTTGATTGATTACAGATGTTGTTGGTATAATAAAAGATAAGCTTCTCTTGAGAGTATTTCTTGCTCAGTAACGTCACTCATTGAAGCATCGTCGAATTTCACCCACTGATTGTTTTGTTGAAGGACATCGCATGTGTAGTGCCCTTGAGACAAGCCTTTACCGTGGTGACTGACAACGGAGAAGAGACTGTATTTCTTGGTCTGGTCAGACTTGATTGGCATGTGTGACTTGAGGGTGAGTTGTGTTGGGAAAGATATGTGTTTGTCCAATTTCTGTGCTTTGGTATCGTATGCGAATCGTTTGAAATGTACAATGAGAATTCTTGGAAGTATCTCAATCGACATTGATTTACTGGCGGTAATCTCGATCTTTTTGGTTTGACAGGTGTATCCTTCCAACGCTTCCTCTTTCATAAACAATGACAATGCATCATCGAGTGTATATATATTCTCTGGCTATAGAGTATTTTCAAAAAAAAACAAGTTAATATTATTATTATTGAAAATAGTTTTAAAAGTTAATTATTCCAAACTTACTCTAATGTCAAGATGTAAACAATAGAAAGGTTGTAATGTAATGGATTCTTTTGATTCATGCTTATTAACACTGCTCCTAAGAGTTCCAGAGAATATTTGAGAGATTGGTGAACTTGTTGAAGTGTTTGATTGATCCTATTGTTAAGAAAAGAGATAAATATTAAAATTACAACTCTTTAACCTATGTTTAAATGTGATTTGAACTTAAACTTACATTGATTGTTGATGTCTTATTTTTTTGACCAACAACTTCCCATTCACCATCGAGATCGTCGGGTATCAGAGGTTCTTCCTTTGGACCCTCGATCTCTCTGACCAACGACACGAGTTCTTCGTGAATCAAATCGAGGAAGTAGGTCAAGAATTCTTGAGCATCTTGTTGACAGCTTTGTTGTGTGAGTTGTTGCTGTTGTTGCTCGAATACCATGAGTTTCGACTTTTTCTTGCTGAGTGGAATTGAAAGGGGTGGTGGTTGAGTTGCTGGTGGAGATGGTGAGACTTTGCTGTTGAATGATTTCACTAAATCACTAAAGTATTTAGGATTGATTGGATTGGGAATAGAGTGATTATTATTCATAAATTTACTGCTATTTGATGACGATTGATTGTTGGTAGTTGTTGTTAATGAGAAATAATCATTATTAAATTGGATTCTAAAAAATATTAATATTAATAATAAATATAGATTAGAAAATTGGATCTACGAATGGAATTTTAAACAATTTAGTTTTAGACTTACAAATTTAATAAAGTTGGATATTTGGAGTGTTGGGAATGGTGATCTAATACCTCGGATGAAGATGAGATATTTTTCAAGAGTTTGACAAACGGTTGACAACCGACCAGCGATTGGAGGATGACGTTCATAAAGCATGTGTTGGCAATGTTGACGAGACCTTTCGATTGGAAGGTAATGGCTTTGGTTTTGTGTACTTGCTCGTCAAACGTCTTTAGCCAAGCCAGTTTTTTATCGAGCTCCTTCTTGAGACGGAGTTGGTTTTGATGGGCGTTGGAACCGTTCGACAAGTTAGAAGCATCAGCTTGTGAAGCCACCGGTTTGGCTGGTGAGCTACTATTGGTGTCCAGTGCCATCGTTTGAATGATCAATTTCGACCAACTCGTTGGTTGTTGATCTACAATAACTGGTGGTACTGATGCAGATGCTGATTCACCTTCTTTCGATTGATTTGTTTGTTGAGATAATGTCGATGTTGTTGTAGTGGTAGTGGTAGTGGTAGTGGTTGTTGTTGTTGTTGAAGTGCTCTGTACATTTGATGGAATTGTTGGAATTGGTGATTGTTCTATATGTATTTCTGTTGATTTATTTGATGTTGATACTGTTGTTATTGTTGCCGTTGGTGTTGGTATCAATTCATTGTTTGTCTGTTGTTGTTGTTGTTGCTGTTGTTTCTTTTTCTTCTTCTTTGATTGTTGTTTTGATGACGATGATGGTTGTTGGGTTGGAGATGTGTTGGTAGATGAAGAAGGTGAAGATGAAGAAGATATTGGTGATGATTGTGTGGAGGAGGATGATGAGGTGGTTGGAGATGTCGATGTTTGTTGTTGATGTTGTGGTTGTTGACTTTGAGCGATAGTGTGCTTTGAGTTATCAAATACTATGTTCCTTGGTGGAACGTTAATGAGTGAGTGGTCGAGTTGTGTGATGGGAGTGGAGTCACTGATTGAAACAAATGAGAAACTGTCTGGCAGTAATGGAGAGCATGTTACCAACATTGCATCCCAGTGACTAGAGTCGAACGTTCCAAAGCTAATACTGGAGATATCGACTCTTGACATCATTGAATGACTACTACTGTCTTTCGTTGTGACCAAAACATTTGATAAACAATTCTTATTCTTTTTACTATTCTTATTATTATTACTATTATTATTTAAACTATTATCTATATTATTATTATTATTATTTAAACTTGAATTATTGTTACTGCTATTGTTATTATTTACTATATTATATGTTGGCGTTGTTGATGATGATGAAGGTGATTTAAAATTAGTATTGTTTTGTTGTGGAATTTGATGTGAAGATGGTTGCTGTTGTTGTTGGTGGTGTGGAGGTGGAGGTGTATATGTATAATATTGTGTATACGGTGTGTAATAGTATGGATATGTTGGATATGGATAGTTATAACCATATGGATACTCGTAGGCTTGTGGATGTTGTTGCGGTATTATATTATTGTTATTATTGTTGTTGGTGTTGTCCATTATGTCTATGGCTATATCTTGTGATTGATTATGATTGTGAAGATGTTGTGGCTGTTGCTGTTGCTGTTGGTATCTAATATTATCGTTATGTTGTTCAAATGTTACATTAATTTGTTGTTGCTGTGGAATTGGTGTTTGTTGTTGTTGTTGTATCGGATATAGTTGTTGCTGCTGTTGATGATATTGTTGTTGTTGTAAAGAATTATCATTAAAACCTTTACTCTTTATACTATTATTGTTATTATTTAATTTATTATTACTATTCTTTAAACTTGATTGACCGTTCAATGTATTACCATTATATTTCTTATTATTATTATTATTATTTGGTGATTTATCTATATTATTATTGTTATTATTATTATTTATATTATTATTATTATTATTTTCCTTAAATTTACTACTTTTTAAAGTTGACTTTTGCTGTTGTTGTTGTTGATGTTGATCGACCATGTTATGTTAATTATATATCATAATACTATTTATACTAAAATAGTGAAATTATATTTATTATATTACTTTTATGTTATATAATAATAATAGTTAGAATAATAATATAATAAATAAGATTTATATAAAAAAAAAAAAAAAAGGATAAAAGAATGATTGATGTTAAAAAGTTAATAATCAAATCAATATAGATACAGATAAACTAAACTATGTCTATATTATTATTATAATTATTATTGTTGTTATTAATATTATGATGAATTTATGTTGGTTGCTTTCACTGTTATTATTATTGTTTATGATTATTTAATTAATTTTTTTAAAAAAAAAAGAATAAAAAAAAAAGAACCAAAAAAAAAATTAAGAAAAAAAAATCAAAAATTTAATAAAATGATTTATTAACTTTTGAAAATATTACTTAGTACATTGTTAACTTAATTGAATGAACATTAAGTTATCTATTTTTATTTTTATTTATTGATTGATTGATTACTAAAGGGTTGTGTTACTGTTAATTAATAGTAATCATCATCATCATAGTTATTGTAATTGTCATAACTATTACTTTCAAGTGCTCTTCTTTGAAATACTGAACCATAGCTACTTTGAACATTAGTTTCTTCTTCTTCTTCATCCTCATCCTCATCTTCGTCTTCATCTTCATCTTCTTCTTCATCTTTACTTTTTTGACTATTATTACAATTACTATTATTATTATTTAGTTTGAGTGAAGATATTAATGCAGCTGACTTTGGATTGTTAGCACTGATGATTTTTGGTGAAGGTAAGTTAGTTGGCAAGTTAGTTGGAGGGTTGGTTGTCGTGGTGTTGTTGTTGTTGACTTCCTTCTTAATGGGTTTAGGTTGCTTGGCTCCGGTGAGCATGCTGGAGATATCGATACCTGGATACATTGCTTTGAGTTGTTCCTCTTTAATCTCTTTCTTTGTCTTTACATCCATATCGATCTTTGAGTTCTGATAGAGCTTCTCCACTATTTTCTTCTCTTCGTCGCTTCTCAAAAAGTTGTGAAGTCTAGCTGATGGAATATCACACTCCCCGAGATCGCTACTCATCAAATCAGGGTGCGACTTGCACTCTGAGTTCTCCAACTCTACTGTTTCCAAATCGACTCCAATCAAAATACTTTCTTCATCAACATTATACTAAAAATAAATAATAACGAACGTTGTTAGTTCAACCATGACTCTATGAAATAGATATCAATAAAAACATACCATTAGTAGTTTCTCATAGAGTAATTCTTCGTTAAGAGTTGAAGGCAGTCGGAATCTGTTGTATTCTTCGAGAAACTTCAACTCTTCTTCAGTCACTTTGATTGGTTTGTTATTGTTGGTAGCATTCATCTTGGAAAGTCGGAGTTTGGCATCGATCAACTTGATCTTCCTTGTTATTCTTCTGAATGATGACTTGATAAAGGCTGGTGGTTCAACAAGTCCGTCTTTCGACTGACGATAGTACTCGCCACGATAAATACTAAACAGATTCTTTTCGTTCTTCTTCTTTTCCTTCTCCGCTGCTTTCTCGGTGTACTTTACTTTCTTTGGTGGTTTTCCAGGTATCGGGATTTGTTCCAACGTTTCTTTATCCTTTTGATTTTCATTGTTGTTGTTGTTGCTGTTGTTGTTTTCCTCATCGTTTCTTTCGTTGTTGTTGTTGTTGTTGTTGTTGTTTTCTTGCTCATCTTTTTCGTCGTCGGATCCACTACCACCGCTGTTGACATCGTCACCGCTATCATAGAGAGTTTCATCGCTATCGTTAATCTGGTTGGTTGTCGGGTTATTCAGATTGTAGTCTTTCAGAATGATGGGAATGTACTGATGGAAGTTCTTCTCGGTGATGAGCTTGCCGAGGAACGCCGACTTCTTACTGTAGGTGACCAGCTGTCGCTTCAGCTCTTTGTACCGATCGGTTATGCATTTGATACTGGTGGAGAGTACCGACGATATCTTTTTGAGATCGGGCAGTGCTCCGGTCTTGGCTTGCATCGACATATACACACATGCAACCACTATATTGTTGGGTGCACGACCATCGACAATCTGATTCTTATCGGCATAGTTTATCAGCTCCACAGTCAACTTTCTCAAGAATCTCATATCTTCGTTATCAAACTGAGTCTTATAGTGAGAGAGCACTCTATCGACAAACGTTGACAAATCACTCATATCCATTGGCTTTCCAACAATATTCGTCATCTTGAATGCAATCTTTCCAATAGCATAAAACTCAACACCCAGTTGATTCTAACAAACAAACAAATATGATAATATTAGTTAACTATTAACAAAGCAATTAACAATTGTTAAAAATAACCTACAGAAATATCCATTAAACTTAAAGGTTTCTTGTTGTGCTTGATTGAGATGTATGCAAGACCACCAGCTATCAAGTCGGCACGGTGTTTCTTTATGGAAGAACGTACTCTAAGTACATTATTATAGAATCCAATCATTTCATTCTTTAGTGTTGAACTTAACTTTAATTTATCACATGTTATATCAATACTATTCAATAACTATAATTATAATAAGAATAAATAATAATACATCAATTAGTAAAGAGTAAAATTAACAAAAAGAAAATAGAAAGTGTTAAAAACAAAGCAACATACATTCGTTGTAATTACATCAGAAGTAGATGTATATCTTCTTAGTACAGAGGAAGAGTCACGCTTCTTGTTAGAGATACTCTTGGAGTTGGAGATTGCATCGATCTTAACGGAGGTCTCCTCCTCAAACACCAGTTTCACTTCATTCAAAATAGTTCCGCATTGTGTACACACCAAAGTGCCTTCTGCGCTCTCTAATTCACTGCTTCCACATGATGTACATTGTTTTACCATTTAAATCTCTAGATTAAAATATAATACTAATATAATAATATATATATATATTGATATATTTTGATATAAATATTAAATGAAAAAAAATAAAAACTATGAAATTAATTTGTTTTTAAGAGATTTTCAAGTTTTTCACACCATTTTTCTTAAATTTGCATTCTTTTTTTTTTCTACTTTTATTTTGTAAATTTTAATAACATATTTACTTCTTAAAAAAAAATACAAATATAAAAAAAATGAATAAATAAATTGTTATTTCTTTATATCTAATATTATAATACTGTTGGTGTGTTAAATTAAAATAGATTGATTGTTGCTTGAATTGCTTTAATTAATTAATTATGTGTATCGCGCACTGCTTTTCTGATCTAGAGAGTTGTAATTCTTTGAAATTTTTTTCAAATAAATAAAACGAAAATATATATCATTTATTAGTTTTGCAAATTTTTATAATTTGTTAGAAATATAAATAGTATTTTTAACTTACATAAAACCTAAATTTTTGATAATGAAAGTCAAAAAAGAAAGTTCAAAGTCCAAAGGTTTGTATCTAATTAATTTATTGCACAAATTTTAACCTAAAATGATCATTTCAAATTTTATATATTACTTAAAATTTATATCAAAATAGCAACATTGCTATTAGAAGATTATTTCTTAGGAATGTATTTGATAGATAATATTATTTTTTTTATTTATTTAACTTTAGTTAACATTGAATTTCTTTAATCTATCAGATGTTCTTAGATCACTCATCTTTAATCTGATTACTTTACGTTTGTAGATAATTGTACCTATTGCTGCACCGGCGACAGCTACACCTCCGACGACTGAAACTGGGATCCACCACTTGAATGACTCTTTACTAGAGCAGTTGGTCTTTACTTTGCCTTTTCCAAGGAGAACTGAAAAGTCTGGATCGATCTGACAGCGATGTTCAAAGTTTGGAACAGAGATGGCGATATCGACTTCGGATCCGTCTTCGGCACGGTGAACTATCTTTTGGGAAACTGGGATGATACGATCGTCGGTAATACCACGATTTGAGAATCTACCATAGAGTGCATGTCCGTTCTGATTGAATTGGAGCCAGTGAAGGTTGGTGCCGTTTGTATTTTGGTCGATTCCTAGATCACCGTCTTCATAACATTGATTGGGTGCGCCCTGAACAATAGCAGACATCACAACATCCATAGTATTGATACGGTTCTTGAATTGCCAATCGAAAACATCGACCGAGAATTTAACGTTACCAGCAATCATTGAGATATTCTGTCTGGCAAACTCTACGTCCTTGTTCTTCAAGAAGTATTCAATTTGAACGTGTACCAGTTGTTTGTTATCCAATTCTATGGTGTAGTTCCAATGATATAGATCATCGTTCTTCTCGGTAGTGAGATTCCAAAGCATCTGGCTAACAGAGTAGACTTTAACAATTTGATCTACGTCTATTTCACGAATCTCCTTAATAAAGATGTTGATAGTTTCGTTGGTTGGTAAGATAATGTGGGCATTTGGATTGGTAGTGTTGGCATCGACTTTAGGTTGTTCAACAGTTGGGTCGGTTGTGTTTTTGGCAATGGAACAGATTGGACCGTACCATCCTTCGTAGCAATTACATAGTCCACCTACACATTGACCGTGTCCACTGCAATGTTGGTCATCACAGACAGCACCGTCGTCATAGGAGAACAAGTCGTTGAGTGGCGATGTCTTTCCGGATACTGTAACATTGACATTGAGATAGAATCCTTTTCCACCTGTCAACTCACAGGAGATCGATGAGTGTGGGTAAACAATTTGGATGTTGGTGCATTGTTTACCGTCAATCTTGACAGAAATGTCATCAGTGAACATTCCAAACGATTCTCCGGTTATTGTTACTGTTCCACCTTTAACACCATCAACGGATGTTGCTGATTTTACAACTGGACCATCATAAACAAACAATGGATTGGCAATACCTCTAATTCCGTCGACCATAACTTGTACATTCATCTTTGGTTGTGATTGACGACCCTCCATTATCTCACAGGACAACTCAGTGTGAGCATTAATTATTTTAACATCTGAACAAACTTCATCGGCAATCTTAATTTGAATGACTGTCTTATCGTTACTGAAATTGTTACCAACCAAAGTGACAATTCCACCGGATGTTGGTGCAGTAGTGATTGAATTAACATTGGATTTGGCATAAGAAACCATATCACCCTTTCCAACGAAGGAACCATCAATTGTCAATCTGGTATATGGATTACCTGCACCTGCTGGGGATACACATGTGAGTGCAGTGTCATTGATGATATTGACATTTGTACAATCATCGAAATTCAATTGGACTTCGGCCAATGAACTATCGCTACCAAAGTTGCTACCAATGATAGTTAATACATCACCTCCAGCGGTGGACAATGTTGGGAATGCCTTGTCCATTCTGGGAGCATTATAAGAAATGGATCCATTGTTACTGAGAAGAGTATCGACTGTGACAAGCACTGGCTTGGTTCCAGTACCGGCTGGAGCATTACATTGAATCGATTGATGTGGTACGACTACCTTGGGATTGGTGCATGGAAGACCATTTACTGTTACTGAAACTAGATTGTCTTCAATGTAGAAGTTCTCTCCTAGAATGATTATTGGACCACCTACTTTTGGTGAAGAAGAGACTTCAGTGATGATTGGATTTTGATAGGCGAATACGAATGGAGTGGATTCTTGTCCATTTACTTTGATAACGATGGATTTAGCACCTGAACCTGCTGGAGCATCACATGTTAACTTGGTATGTGGAACAATGATATTGGCATTAAGACATGGTTGACCATTTATTGTGGCAGTTAAATCTTGATTTTTGCTACCAAAGTCGGAACCTGTTACGGTGATAGCCGAACCATTTGTAGATGGAGATGCGAATTTGTGGGAGATGGCTGGACCAGTGTATGAGAATTTAGCTTGTGGACTGTCAAGACCATCTACGGTAAGAACGATTGGATAGTTGGCACCACTGCCTTCGCTGGCTTCACAAGTCATAATGGTATGATTGACAACGATTTTTGGATTGATACAAGTTGGACCGTTGGAAATGACCACTGATCTTAGTGTGACGGTAGTATCACCAAAACTGGTTCCTATTAAAGTAACCAAACCACCGGCAGTATCTACATTTGTAGTTTGAGAAATGGTTGGATTAGAGTATTTGAAAACAGCTCCACCTTGTTGAGGGGTGTTCTGACCTCCTACGACTACAGCAACAGGTTTGTTCGAGCCGGAACCAGCTGGAATGGTACACTCAAGAGTGGTATGAGATGCAGAGGTAACTGGACAGTTGACACCGCCAATGGTTACGGTAACTTGGGAGATTTGATTTCCAAAGTTGGTACCGGTAACAACAACTTTACCACCATTGGTCAATACTTCTGGAGCAGAAACAGTGGTTGGTGGTTGGTATGAGAAAGTCGGTTGACCAAGTCCATCTCCTAATCTACCGGATGCATTGATAGAAATTGGGAGACCTACACCCAAACCAACTGGAGCTATACATGTGAAAATATTGTTGTTTGATAATGGGACGAATTTTGGATTGGTACATGCAAGTCCACCAATTGATACTTTGATGGCACCGTCGTCGACACCAAAGTTGTTTCCTACCATGGTAACTTCACCTCCTGAAGTTGGAGCGGTTGTTGTACCGTTGATTCTTGGTGGACGTAACTTTTGACAGCTAGTACTGATTGGCTCTGTTACTTCGTAACCTTCTTGACACTTGCAATTGGTGTTACATCCTTCACCGAGATCACATTGTTCACTTCCTTGGATGATATGGTCACCGCACACCTCACAGGTGCTCGAACCGGCACACTCACAGAATGGACCTGAAAAACCTGGCTCACAAAAACATTCACCACATGTACAGTCACCATTTCCATTGCAATCATTAGTACATGGATTGATCTGACCGGCCAAAGTTACAATCTTATTCTTGGCATCATAGGTAATAATTTCCAAACCTCCAGTTTGGTCGAAAATTGAATGAGATGGATCGTTGATATCACCAACTGTTAAATTAAACCATTCTACTCCAACTGCAGTTGGTCTTTATAATAAAAAAATATAAATTAGTATAATTTGTATTTAAATATTTTAGATAATTTAATAACTTACTTGTATGGTTGTGTAATTAAAGGACTTGATTGAACAGTAATGGGAAGAAAAGCAAATGCTTCATCAACAGCACAGTCGGTAATATTTGGTAGATTTTTGGTAACAGTGAATGAACCAATACCTTGGGCGTAGGCAGCTAATCCACCACCTTGTTTGAGATAATAGGCAATCTCTTGCTTTCTTGCATTGAGTGCACGGATTTCACGTGTTGTTAAAAGACCACCACCCGCAGAGGCAATAACAAGTGCAGAATATTCACTCAGCTTGGCAGTTGGGAACTCAGAGTAATCAACATGATCGAAATGAACACCAACCTGGAAAAAAAAAAAATTAATTGTCAATAATTTTGTTTGAGATTTTTTTTAAAAAAAAGAATAGATTTTACATACAGTTAAATTTAAAGTATTTGTAAATGTTTTTAATGAAGATTTAACATCAGTTCCAGTAGCTACATATTTGCTTTCGACGTAGAGGAACTTCTTTCTGTTCGGTGCAGCCATATCGTTCCAAGTATTCTTGGTGGAGAAATCCAATGAAGCTTTAAGTAAAAACAAACCATTTCCGGAACCAGTTAAACCATGGAAATCAGGATCATGTCCAGTAAGGAAAACATTACCAGCCCATGGATAATTACCTATTTGAGAAATAATAATTAAATAAATTAATATTTATTTTAAAAAAAATAATATTTTAATAATATTTTACCTGAATATTTAATTTCATAATAATTTGAAAACTCTACACCATCATTTGAAACCGATAATAAAATATCGAGTGTCAAAGAATTTGCAACACGATCTGGTACTTCACATTGAATATTTGAGGAGTCTATAAAATAAACTGGAGTACTAACATTCTTTCCAATTGGATTGGAGGAGAATCTGCACACTGCGTTCGGACTGCTAGCAAAATCCAAACCAACTAAACTGATATTGAATTTACCGACTGTACACATTCTATTTGGATTTTGATTGGCGATCTTGGTAATCAGTGGTGCTTTACCATATGATGCCACCATAAAGGTAGTTATTAATAGAATTAAAAATGATATTTTTAATGATAACATTTTTTTATTTATTTAATTTAAATATTAAAAAAATTAATATATAATATTTAAAATAATATTATTTTCCTTTTTTCTTCTTCAATTTATTTAATTTATAAAATTAAAAATAAAAATATATAAATAATTATTATATTGGAATAAAATTAAAAATAATTAAACCAAAAGGAATAGAAAAATAATTAATAATACAAAAAAATTTTACAAATTACAAATAAATTTATTATTTATAAAGAAGAGAAAGAATAGAATAGAAGGAAATGAAATTAGTTTTAGATTTTTAGTTTAAAAGTCCTCATGTCCTTAAATCTTTTTAACCAGCAACATCACCACTTTAATTTGATTTACAAAAAAAATAAATAAAAAACATAATCAAAAACTGGAGACCAACAATCATAAGGTTTGGGAAAGTAATTTGCGTACTCCACACATAAAGGAGTCTCCAAAAAAAATCAAACCAGTCAAACAACTTTAATGAAAACAACCTTTTAATTTTTCGAAAGTGTCACTGTCCGTTTGTAAATCAAACATAAAAATCTGATAGATTTTGGCAATCTAGATGAAAAAAAAGATTTGAGGTTTTTTGAATATGATGATTAACAAAAAAAGCCGTTTTTTTTCAAGCTTGTTTTTTTTTTTGCGATGACAAAAAGAGATATTTCTCGCGATAATGAATATCGCAAAATAAAAAATCTTCGGTTTCTGGTTTCACCTTAAAGGAGGTGTTATATACCTACTAAATGAACTCTGTGTTTAAGTGGAATCAAAAAATATTCTTGTGGTTTGAAAAAAAAAAATAAAAAAAAAATAGGTGGTCATTAGACAATAATGCAACAATATCTTACACTTATATAGGAATTATGAGATGATGACACTTTGAATTAAAGAATTATTTCGTGTAGACAAAATAGATAGAGAATCAACATATGTGATGGTGCATATGATAATAAAACAATACTCTGGTACCCTAAAATAGGATATAATAATATGTTTTGTTTTGCTTGATTTTTTTTTGTGAACAACAACAAACAGAAATAAAGATTTACATCTTAAGATGTATCCAAATTCATATGATTTGATTTGGTTTGATTTGATTTTGGTATAGGCTGTTTAAATATATGATTATACATGCATTGTGTTTAGTTTTGTTTTGTTATTTACTTTTGTTTTTTAAGCTTTTTTTAAGCTTTTTCTAAAGTGAATTTTCCAGCGATTCCACTCTCAAGTTTGTAGTCACCTGTTATCAAACTGTCGGGAGATGTTGAGCTTTGTAGTTGACCGTTGTATTCGACTGGCAAATCTACACCATCACCAGAAATCACTTCATACTCTGTGAATTTAACGGTGTTACCATCGACAGTTCCTTTGAATTTAGTCTTTGTGGAGAATGATGTCCAATCGATGGTACCTTCGAGCATCTTCTCTGTCTTTCTTCCGGTGACTTTGAGAGACATTGCGAAATCTTGAACGAGCTGACCGTCACACTCTTTTCCAACGGTCAAGAACGGCAGATGAACGATCTTCTCTTTCTTTGACATCATGAGCTTGACGGTACACTTTTCGTCTTCGGTCTTGCCGTCGAGTGTCACCTTGCCGTTGGTGGCATTGGTAACGATCTTCAACACATAAACGGTTGGTTCGAGTACGTCGTTATCGATCGGTTCATAATCATCTAGTGTCAAAACACCATCTTTGATTGTCGCTCTAAACTTTGACTTTGAATTCTCGAGAGTTGGCCACTCTGTTTCACCTTCAAGAGTCAGCGACTTCTCATCAAACTTTAAGATTCTCACAAACATTGGATGTGATTCGCCTGCCTCTAGATCCATGAGAGTTCCACACCATACACAGCCTGGTTCGAACGCCTTGTATGTATCGACCTTTGCCTTTTTCAATGCCGACTCTGCATCATCTTTTGTATCTCCATTAGTTGTTGCACCACTTGCTGTATCATCTCCATCCATATCTTTTCTCTTCTTATCTATATATATATATATATATATATCATTACATTTATTAAATTAATAAACATAGCTATATTTCATTATCATAATATTAATCTATTATTCAAATATTACCATTTTTTAAAAGATAATCCTTTGGGTCTAATCTCTTTGATTGAGTGATAGACTCTGTGATGAATTCTTTCTTTACAACTGGAATATCTAGTTTCTCTGCTTTTTCAATTTCAGAAGTCAAGCTATTATCGTTACATATTGCAATGGTTGTCTATTATTGATATTTGGTAACATAGCATTAGAATATCAAAACAATATAGATGCCAAAAGTTAACTCTTACCTTTTTATTTATAGATCTTGCAACTGTACCACCAAGATCAGATAAAGTATCTAATAATTTATCATGTTCATCTTTATCGGATGGTTTATCTAAAAATACAAATACATCTTGTTCGAATATCTCTGTTGCCATTTTAACTAATTATAAAATATCATATGATTAATGATATTAAAAAAAAAAAAAAAAAAAAAAAAAGTTTTAATTATCAACAAAATTTGACAATTCTAGGTAAAAAGATTTTTAATTTGCAAATTCGATTAAAAGTAATTAAGAGATAACTTATCGTAGATTTGGTATCTATAATCTTTTATGTCAATAATGTTTTGGTTTTTGAAAGTGATGTTTTACTATTTAATATAATCTTTAACAAAATTGAGAATGAACAAGTCTGTTATTAAGATCATTTTTAAAAATGTTGTAAACAAGATCGTTAACACAACAACAATTGAATTGTTTTATTTTATTCTCTTATTGTTGTTGAAGTGACTATCATGCTATGCTATTTGTCGACAATATTAATGAAGCATTGATAAATCCAATAAAAGAATGTAATTTATAATTGAAATATTATTATTATTATTCCTATTATTATATAAATTTAAATTTCTTGATTGATTTTTAATTTTGATTTGAGCTCTATCTATTTGTTTTTTTTTTTTTATCTTCTTGCAGTGAATTTAACATCTTCATCGTAGTCATCGAAATTCATTTCGTCGAGTGCATCTTGATCTATACCACTGAAATCGATGTTGGTATAGTCGTTGTTCATCAACGAGAAAAAGTCGTCGTCACTGATCATCTGTGAGGCGACTGTCGGTTGGCTGAGAATGGCAGCGCCACCACCGGCACCGTCGGCAAACTGTGTATCGGTGCTGTCCTGATACGATGTGAATTCACCCATTTCAATCTCGTCGACATCGAACGCTTCGTAATCGCTGTTCTTCAAGCCCGAGTAGGCCGATTGTCCATCGGTGATCTTTGTACCCTTGAAGGCGTGCACCGTCTCCTTGACCATGTCCTTCTGACTGACCGAGTTAATGACCGACTTGAACACCGATCCCATCTCCACTCTATGAATGAGAGGTGCAGAACTGAACGCACGGACTCTATACAATTCATATGGAAAAGCATAAATATGTAGAATGGAAACACCAAACATTTCAAAACAAATTAAGAAATTCTAAAAGATTATAATTATAATTATTATTAGTAAGAAATTGCTAGATAAGATAGTTATATTATTATAGTTACATTTAAACCAACTGCAATTGCAGCAGAATCCATTCCATCTATCGCTTTGATTATACCAAATTTAACCATACCAGAGATGATGACGGATTGCCAGAAACAAAAGAATACTACAATCTTGATAGAGGTGAACTTTAAGAGCGGACTGTAGGGTGCAAGCTCTTCGATCGCCGCCTGATAGAACAACACAATAATATAGAGTGCAATAGTAACCGATATATTGATGATTACAGATGAATAGAGATAAAAGTTGTCCACTGCCAGATCACCTTCAGTATAATAATCGAAATACGCTAGAATTGCTGATACCAATGTTACTGTTGGTCTAATCAATACATATTGTAACATTCCCATTCTACAAATCTGGAGAAAACGTCTATTGTTTTAACAATAATAATAAAAAGAAAACAAAACAATTATTTATTAATTAATAAACCTATTCTATTTATAAATGATGACTACATATACTTGATTAATTTAATACATACTCATTTGGTTTTACTTTACAAAATAATGGAATCGGTAATTTCAATGGTGGATGCGAAACAAAATGTGTAACTAAATTCTTATCACCTCCACCATAGTTTACACATAAACAAAAGAACATATATAATACATAAGCTTCATAACTGGTTATAAGATTAATAAGTAATATTGATTATATTAGTATAATTAAAATTAATTAAAAAGAATGATTAAATGTTACACTTACCAATCTCTAAAGAGTGAAAAATAAACTTCAATTTTATGTAGTATGAGAGATACAAAAGAGTAGATTGCGTATATCGGTATCATGAATACGATACGCACTATATAACGTTGGTGATCCGGCTGTGTGTAATATTTAAGATGTTTATAAATGAGATGTGCCGAGAGTATCGTTGCCAGCACCACAAACACACCTGCAATTGCAAAGAACGCCCAAACCAACGGCACAGAGGGAAAGAATAAAAGATTAATTAATATTTCTCCGGTTGGTGTCGGTGTTGGATTTGGCTCGTTGCTTAAACTATTACTATAAGATTCATCTTCGATTTTACTAAATAAATGTTGATTTGACTGCGATGCTGTGTATATCAGTGGTGAACTTAAACTCATCTTCTATATATATTATTTATGTGTGTGTATGTATCTATCTAACTATCTATCTACGTATGTATGTTATATATGTGTTGTTGTTGGTTGTATCTATAATATCTATAGATATATATATATTAAATAAAATTACTATACTATTATTATAAATTTTAGATTATTATTATTATTTCTAAATTGGTTACTTTTGCTGAGTTACTAAAACTAGTTCGGACTATTATTAATTAATTCTGATAATTTAAGAGTGATGTTGGTTTGTTTGAATGTATTTAATTCAATTGAATTGTTGTTGTTGTTGTTGTTGTTGTTGTTATAATTACGCACTATTGGTAATTATTTTAATATTTGATATGAAATAAATGGTCAAAAAATAATAATAATATATATTTAAAATATAATAAATAAAAAAAAAGAGGGAGAAGTGTATGTGTTCTATTGGTGGTACCAATTATTTGTTTGGTTGTGTGTATGTGTGAGAGTGTGTGTTTTTTTTTAATGAATCAATACTTTGTTTGACTCTTCTACTATTACTACACGAGTGAAAAAAAGGGGAAAAATAAAATAAAATAAATATTTGAACTAAACTAAAGCTATGTAATTAATTAACCAAAAAAAAAAGGTCTTTTAATAGATAAGATAAGTAAAAGATAAGATATACTAATTGTATTTAGTTGATTCGTTGTTATTATATAAATAATATAAATCTTTTTTTTTAATAAAAAAATAATTATTTATTTATTGTGTTAAGACAAAAAAAAAAAAAATAGTAAACAAAAAAATAAAAATGAATAAATTATTAGGGTGTTTTTTGTATCTACCCAGTGAGATTGGTGAATAATTATTATGATATGAGGTGAGAATTGGGGAGTCTCATAACCATCAAGGAATAGGATCAGTTTTTTTTTTTTCAAAAATCATAAAAAAAATTTTTGATCAAAAAATAAAAAACTATTAAATAAAAAAACTTTGGGATAAAAATAGTTTCGTTATAAATGATGTTTAATATTAATAACATAAAAATTTAATAAACCTATTTAAAATGATAAATTTTATTTGTTTCAAATACTTTTTGGAAAGATTTTTATATTTGAACATAATTAAAAAAAAAAAAAAAAGAAATTCATATTTAAATTTTCAAAATTTTATTTATTTCAAAACACGTTATTATAATAAAATAACTAAAAATAAAAACAAAACTTTAAATATTTGTAAATAACTATAATAAAACTTCATACACAAAACAAAACAAATAATTGATCATTGTCCTTTTCTTTTTTGTGTTGGAATTTTCTTTTCATTCCACCTGTGAAAAAATATTTTGATTTTTTTTAATTTTTTTGATTTTTTGACAATTTTTTTTTGAAAGAACAGAAAAGAATAAATTAGTTTGGGTGACATAACAAGTAATCTCAGGACCTTTCAATCAACTAATATATTATATTAAAATATATTTATATTAGATTTCAGTATACTTGATAAGCATAGATAGATAGATAGATAGGATAGATAGCATAGTTGGAAAATGGATGAAGAAAACTATAATGATGAATATGAAAACTCTTTCTTGGGTGATCTAGGTTATGGTGAAGAGAATCAAAACGAAGGTCAATCTACCTCTCAAATTGAGAACAAACCAAAGATCTTCTTGATGGGTTTAAAGAGGTAATTTATAGAATAGCAACAAGAAACAAATCAATCAATCAATCAATCAATCATCAAATATATAACAAACAATAATAGTTAGAATCATGTTGAACTTACTTATAATAATAGAACCACAACATTAATAAGCAGAAACAAAATTTTACAAAATAAAAATAAAAATAAATAATATAATAATTAAAAACAATAATGATGATAGATAGATAGATAATAGATAGATTTGTTTGTTTAGATATAGTATATATATATATATTAATATATTTTATATTAAAAATATATATAAATTTATAGATCAGGTAAATCATCGATTCAAAAAGTAGTATTCCACAAGATGCTTCCAAATGAAACATTGTTTTTGGAGAGTACAAGCAAGGTAGTAAAGAACGATATCTCGAACAGTTCGTTCGTTCAATTCCAAATCTGGGATTTCCCAGGTCAACTCGATTTCTTTGATCCAGCCTTTGACTATGAATTCATTTTGAACAACTGTGGTGCCATCGTCTTTGTTATCGATGCTCAAGACGAGATCACCGAAGCTCTCATGAAATTACATCAAACTATTGTTAAAGTTCATCAAGTAAGTTATTACAATCAAACAACAGCACCATCCATCCATCAAACAAACAAACAACAAAGTTTATTTATTAATCTTTTTTTATTATTATTATTACCAAAAATCAATCATTAGATCAATCCAAATATACATTTCGAAGTATTCATTCATAAAGCCGATGGATTGTCAGATGACCACAAGATCGACAGACAAAGAGACATTCAACAAAAGGCAACTGACGAACTTGCAGATGCCAACATCCACATTCACCCAAGTTTCTACGTAACCAGTATTTACGATCACTCTATTTTCGAAGCATTCTCTAAAGTCATTCAAAAGTTGATTCCACAGTTGCCAACTCTCGAGAATTTACTTGATGTTTTTATTTCCGTATGTATTATACATTTTGGATTAATCTTTTATTATTTTAACATTCACTAATTCTTATATATATTATTTATAATAATAATAATAAAGAGATCAAGAATTGAAAAGGCATTCCTTGTAGATGTTGTAAGTAAGATCTATGTTGCCACTGATAATTCACCAGTCGATATGCAAACCTACGAGCTTTGCAGTGATATGATTGACGTTGTCATCGATGTCTCTTGTATCTATGGTTTGAAAGAAGAGGAAGAGGGTCTTGGATACGACCAAGAGTCACACTCTGTCATCAAACTCAACAATGGAATGGTATTATATTTAAGAGAAGTCAACAAATATCTAGCATTGGTTTGTTTATTACGTGAATCAAATTTCGATAAGCATGGTATGTCTTATTATTATAAAACTTGTATAACAAATCATAATAATGATGACTAATCATTCATTCATTTAATCAATTATAATATTATAAATATAGGTTTGATCGATTATAACTTTATGTGTTTCAAGAAAGCCATTGAAGAAGTATTTTCAAGAAGAACCGCTCAAAGTAAAAAGAAAGCAATCAAGAAGAATTAAATAATTATACACAACAACAACAACATCATCATCATCATCAACAAATCTATTAAACATGATCATCTTTATCAATAATCAATTGTGATCATTACAATCTCTACACGATATCCAAAATATTTAAAAAAAAAATGAAAAAGAAAAGAAAAAAACTTTACTCTTTTATATATGTTATTTTTTTGTTATAATAAAAGAAGAAATCTCTTCATCCATCCTTTTCGTTATATCATAATCAAATTAATTAAGGCGCTTGTTGAAGAATCAGAGAAGTGTTCGCACACGAAAGAACACTTTTTTTTTTTTGGATAGAATTCGAATTTCAGAGTGGTAAAAATTCTATGTTCTCTTGCTAGTTTCCTGGTTTGGATAAAGAATGAGTTTCAATCAAAAAAATTAAAAATAAATTGCTTATAGTGAATATAAATAAACAAAAAGTCTAAAAGTCATTTCTCATTAAATCAAATAAATTAATTTAAACAAATAAATAAATAAATAATTAGTAAAACTAAAATAAAAAATAATTAAAATGCAACAATCACAACAACAACAACTCCCATATAGAAATATAATTAGTGACGATCATCCAATTTATAAACCAGAAGCCAATAGATATCATTTATATATTGTAAATTCATGTCCATTTGCACATCGTGCTTATATTGCACTGAAGCTAAAAGGATTGGAAGGTATCATTGGTCTATCCATTACAGAGCCAGTATTCGATGACGAGTTGGGATGGCAGTTTTCAGAGAGTTATCCAGATCATGTTAATGGATTTTCAAGTATACCAGATCTCTACAAAAAGTCAGGCAATCCAGAGTATACAGGAAGATTTACTGTACCACTACTTTGGGACAAGCAATCATCGACCATTGTCAACAACGAATCACCAGATCTTCTTAGAATTCTAAACAATTCATTCAATCAGTTTGTAAATTCCGAAACTTCTCCTATCGATCTCTATCCATCTGATCTCCAATTGGAAATCAATGAATTAAATGGAAAGATTGCCGAGCATATTAATAGTGGTGTTTATAAAGTTGGTGCTGCTAAAACACAAGAAATATGTAAGTAGTTGATTTTTTTTATTTGTTTCTTATAAATTCATTATATATTAATAATTATATATTTCCATATTAAATAGATAATACAAATGTAGATAATTTATTTAAAACATTCAATGAGTTGGAAGAAAGATTGGAAAAAAGTGGAAGTAAATATTTGTTTGGTGATAGATTGACCGAGACAGATATTAGATTATTTACAACTTTGATTAGATTCGATATTGTATACTATCATGTAATGAAGTGTAATCTTAAACAAATTCAACAATATACCTATTTAAAAAAGTATTTGGTAAATCTTTATCAAATTCCAACATTCAGATCAACAGTCGACTTTAATGAAATTAAAACCGGTGATTATAAAGCTAAAGTTTTCAATCCTTCTGGAATCATTCCAATCGGTCCAAACATAGATTATTTGTTACAACTTTAATAATTTTATAAAAATACTTCTAAAGAAAATATATTTATAAATGATGACTGACGTTGAAATTAATTAGATCGATCGAATTCTAATAGTTATATTATATGTAAAAATATAATATCAAATAATAAATATTTTTCTCAATAAGTTTTTTTTTAAAATCACTTCAACTTCATTTCATGAACCATTTTATTAAAACTTGATTAATATGATGTTAAAAGTTAAAAGTTAGTACTATAGTTTTGTAAATATATATATTGATATCGATAGTTAGTTAGTTAGTTATAGAAATATAGAAAATACTACATATTAGATACAGAGAAGGGTTAATTACTCTTTACAATTTGCTGGTTGTTGTCGGTTGTTGTTTGTATCATCTTTATAGCTTTCTATCTCTTTTTAAATAAACATTGAAAATAAGAAGAAGATAGTTAGTTAGTTAGTTAGATAGATATAGTTCGTTAGTTAGTTAGTTAGTTGTATATATAAGATATAGAAGAGAGAGAGTGAAAGAGATGGTTACAAAGAAAGGTGTATATATTCTCTGGATACATGACCAGCAATTCAGTAAGGAGGAAGTGGTTGTCAATCCAGATCACTTCCCAAAGTTAAAGGTTAATGATATTCTAGAGATAGCGTCACCAGCCAATCCACAGAGAAAGCTGTGTCTGCGCGTCAAGTCGTTGGCACCAGTGAAGGGTGCTCTCCAGATAAGCGTGGCGAAATACATTGCCTCGGTGTTTGATTTCGTATCGCGTCGTGAAGTGATAGTCAATGTCATCGCTGACAAACAGGCAATCGTCGACTTTGTAGAGTTGTCGTTCAAGGATCAGTATATCGGTCGTTCCGACATGTGGCGTCTAAAGCTGTCACTCCAACAGGAGTGTGTCTACGTGCTGAAGAAGCTGTCGTTCGCGCAGGTGCGTGCACAAGTCGAGGAGATGGTTTCGAACGGCCAGAAGGTGAGTTCCGGTCTCATCGATGAATCCACCAAGTTTGTGTTTCGTTCGCGTTCCGCCAAGTTCATTCTGCTCATTCAGATGTCGAAAGAGATGTGGGATTTCGCCGACGACGGTGATCTCTACTTTGAGAAGGCAGTCAATGGATTCTTGCGTTCGCTGTTCTCGAGGTGGCGATCGTTGTCTGTCAATCACACCATCACAATCATCTTGTTTTCACGTACCTACTTTGATAGCGCAGAGATTCTCGATGAGATTCCAGACATTCCGCGTAACTCGCGCGGTCAGCTCTTCCAAGATTTCTACAAGGTGGTCGTAAGCGATGAGACACGACAAGACTGGAGTTCTGTCATTGTCAATCTGAAACGCGAGTTTAACAACTATCATCAAATGGTAAACTGGGACATCTACGGAAGAAACTCTGCACTTGGAAAGAACTCTACTGCTTCCCAAGGTAACTTCTTAGAGGCAATCAATCTTGGTATGTCTTATTTTGATAAAGTAAGTAAATGGTTAACTATTTTCATGACCATCATCATTATTATTATTATTATTATTAGTTGTTTACTTATTATATTCAATCTATTTTCTATATATATATAGCATTATATTGATAGAGATTTCACTAGAACAGGTCAAATGATTGTAGTAGTTTCACCTGGCACTGGAATATTCGAAGTGGAACCAGAGATTAATTTGCTGACAAAACAGAGAATGATTGACAATGGTTATGGTTGTGATTTAATCTGTCTAAACAAACAACCTCTACATATTGTACCACTCTTTAAATATTCAAATTTACATCCAAAGAGACAACCATCAATAGATATAAAATCAAATGTAAGTAATGTTACTTTATTAGCAATGAATGACTTTGAACTAATTGATCATGGTTTATCTATAATATTATTGTTATTACAGAGTTTATTTAATGTACCATATTGGCTGGCAATCAGTTTTTATAATGAAAATACCAATAGTTCAGACATGAATAATATTCAATCGTATAATAAGTTTGTACCGCAGTTTAGAATACCGGATTCACCAATCAACTATTTCAGTGATAACGCAGGTGATCAGAGCAGTAGTTATAGTGGCGGCAGGTCGAATAACTCTGACTTTTTCGTGCCGAAAGACCCTAGAAAGCTGCCGGCTTTTGCACTACAGAAACCACCCAACAAATATACATCTCATACACTCGGTGTCAACTCTTATGAAGACACCATTTTCAACATTCCCGAAAAGATAATGAGCGGAGAATCGAATCAACCACCCATCGGTGAGATACTAGACGACTACATGCAGACCGACACAGACATGTCCGAAGTCAGTGACACTGAAGATATACCAAACAATACACCATCCAATTATAATCATTTATTAAATGTATGTAAACATTGATCAATGATAAATGATTAGTTTAGTTTGAAAATGAATGAACTAATTTATTTTAAACTTATTATTATTATTTCACATAGAGAAAGAGAAATAGTTTATCAATTAAACCATCTAGTTCACATGAAAGAACATCTACAATGTCGTCGGGATTTGTTGCCAAGAAGAATCAACAACACTCAACTTCATACTCTAGTTCTTTCGATAAGAATTTTGTGGCGAATCAATTGTTGTCTGGAAGCAGAAATAGGTCGTCGACGATTCAGTCTCAGGCTGGACAGCAAGCTGTCATTCCTCCGATGTACCAACAGCCAAAGACTATCAATCCATTTACCTATGATAACACTCCGTTCCATCTGACATCGAATCGTCGTCGTTGGTCACATCTCTGGTTCTCACCAAACACCTATATCTTTGGTACGACCAACACCAACCCGAATCCATTCCTTCCCAATTGGAAATCGCTATGTGAACCTGCTTCTCTACCGATAACAACGGACTACTTTCCTTCGCAAAAAGACTTACTCACTAAATACATAGAGTATGTCCATACACTTACACTTTCACCCGATGAGAATGAATATCACAACAACACAGAGGCATTGCTAAAAGAGTTGATATCACAGCGTTTGGCACAGGGTTACCAGTTGATCATGGCGGAGACACCCTCTGGCAGCGGCACCAACGCCACACCGTCCACGCCACAACAGGCTACAGCACAGGCACCATCCACACCACAACAAGCACTCAGCGGTGCTCGAACCATCAAAAAGAAAGTATATCAACTCTCACTTGGACACGACTTCCATGTGATAACATACGATCCGTCCAATCTAAGTATCCAGGTAAAGCGTTACCAGCGAAACAGTGGCAGAGATCTGCCCAACTCTCTCCAATACATCTACTTCCTCTGTACAGCATACCACAACCAATTCATCACTCAATCCATCACACTTTCACACCAGGCATCTGGTAGCTACCCTTGGAACACACTCGACAATCTTATCTGCGGTACCATTAGCGAAATTAAATCGAATCTAAGATACTGGAGAGTTCAATTTGCCATATTACCACTTAATAATAATAATAATAATAATAATGAACAATTAACCTTAAATAGCAATAATAATAATAATACTTTGAATGTTGTAGATAATAATCATACAGTTATTGCCAATAATCAATTATCACCAACATTACAATCACCTTCACTTTCACCACCTGCTCAAACATCGTTGTTGACAACTATGATTAACAGTTCCAATCCGATAGCACAAACCAATAGTACAGTTTCATCAAGTAACAATGTTCAACCAGCACCCACAAGTGCCAGTGCACCAACTTCACCCGTTAGTATAAAGAGTCCGATCAATGTCAATACTAAACCATCAAACTCCAACCAACTTTTACCTGGTCCAAACCAACAGAAACCACTCAATTCCAATACAACTTCACCCACCACCTCTCAAGAGCTATCCAATACAACTTCGGAGGGTGGACTGAATGTAAATGCACCGGAACACACCGAAGATGAAAGAGTTACATCTTTCACCAAGTTCAAAGAGTTTGTCAACTCTATCATCTCAAAGAATAGCAATCAAACACTGGTTGCTGCTAATAATAACACTACCAGTGCCAACAAGATGGAGGTCAAGATAATATCGACACGCCAATTGATGGCCCTGGAAAATACACTGTTGGAAATGGTTCCATCGGCTTCTTTACCCGACCAACATTCACTGCCGTCAGAGTACGCCGTCAAAGAGAAACTGGCACCGATCGACATTGACGGTATTTTCAATCGCATGAATCTACCGCAACCAATCGGTCTAAAGATGGTAGACAGGAAACATCGTTTGCGTACCTATCGCAAGTGTTTTGTTGGTTCTGAGATCATCGACTGGATGCTTCAGAACGTGGATGTGATATCACGTGACGAAGCAATGTCACTCTGTCTATTGATGGTCGAGCGCAAGTTCATCAAAGCAGTCGAGAAGAATCAATTTGTTGACGGATTCCATTATTATCGATTGAAAGAAGACGGTCCCATGACCACAACCAGTCTATTCTCATCTTCGTCGTCGTCGTCATCGAATTCCACCGCTCAAATCAAGAAGGAACCAATCACACCATCACAACCAACCAAGATGCCATCGAACAGTTCACTTTCCAACTTGGTGGAGCATGAACAACAACACTTGAACAGTGCAAGTGCTGCTGGTTCCACTAATTCAACTCAACCCAATTCACCTACTTCCAGCGTTCCAACTTCCAACAACAATAACAACAACAGAAAAGATACATCTCCAACAATCGAATCTTCACCAAATTTCTCACCGAAATTAACACGTATGCTATCTAGCTCCTATATGGATGGTGGTACTTCGCCAGCCAACATCATACCAGAGTTGCGTAACTCTGTTGGAACTCCAGGTCTTGCTTCCTATGCACCCGGTGGAAACTATCTGCTACAGCAACAACAACAACAACAACAATCCTCAATGTTGTCATCAACTTCAACAATGACACCATCAACTAATAACATATTAGACAGCTATGAGAATCCAAATCAAACTGAAGAACAAAAGATTGAGATGGATCCTTCCAAGACCGATCGTTATGAGTGGATCATGATGAAATACGATAAATCATTTACACCCTCTAGATATTATCATATCGAATTCAAGTGGATGGTCTGTACAGGTTGTGTTGTCGATGAATTTGTAGGCAGTTGTATCCGTAAAGCCAAACAGTTTGGTCTGACACTGATCCAAGTTCCAATGGAAAAGAAATACAGTCCATTCTACGCACCAACACACATCAAGTTGGTGATGAAGCTGATGCAACCAGAGGTGATCAAGGTGATCTTGGCACAATTCAACTTCATACCCGATCTAATTCGTAAGCGACCAACCAGTCTTGTCACAAGAAACGATCTCTATCTATTCTCGGATTCCGACGTGTTCTACACCGAGTATATTCATCGCACAGGAATGTTGTTTGTGCGTGTAGTTGAAGATGGATTCATGTGTATAGTTAATAACGCACCTTCCAACCGACAGTTCCTCCCGGCCGCTCTGACATGTCTGAAAGGATTCCAGGATTTGGTGACACAACTTAACTCCACGATGCCATCGATTATCTACCATACTCCCGACTCTCCATCTCTGTCATTCGAAGATTCATTCCTTCATTCGGGTTCGCCACAGTCGAATCTACTTCGATCGCTACCACCACAAGAAGCAAACTTCCTTTCATTGTTTGCACAAGGTTACACAGCTGGTGATAATCTATCTTCCTCACCAGAGGATGAACTATCATCACGTCCCAATAACGATTCAAACAAAGATCACACTGACAACCCTTTATCTTCAGACAACAACATCAGTGATACAGAAATGGAACTCAATCACACACATCCAGAAGCAATGTGGGAATCACAAGAAATCATATATTATAGTGTAATGTCAAGATCACCAACCATATAATATAGTTAAATAAAATATTTATTGATAGATAACATAATAATGAGAATTTTTACTGGTACATTTAATTCTGTTACCATAATCTTACTAGTATAAAAAAATAATATTGGCAAATATAATTAACTATTAGTAAACAAGTTTGTAAAATAAATACTGAATTGACTATACTTTTATTCAAAATAGATCACCAAAAAGTGAAGAATTTTAATAAACACAAGAGATAAAAGTGTTGGTATTGATCTATTTCAGGCGTTGGGCAACTTTGAATATTTTTACTTGAACTGATTTTTTTTTTATTTAATCTAATCAAAAATATTAAATACATATCATTACAAAACATTCTAAGTTATGAATTTTTTATATAATTATGATAATCGTTCTCCTGTAATATCTATCAATGGTATATATCTTATGCTTTTTGGTTGAGTTTTTAGTGTTAACAAATCGAAATATTTAGGTATTTGCGGATCTAGTCAACCATTGGCTTCGCAGGTTGGTATCGATATTTTGAAATCAGGAGGAAATGCTGCGGATGCTGCCGTAGCCATGGCTGCCACTCTTAACATAACTCAACCTTGGTTAGTAACTATTGTTCAGAAAAAATCAATGATCAACTTATTTATCAGCAACTGCTTTTAGTTCAACAGGTATTGGTGGTGATTGCTTTGTGCTCTATTACAATAATATAACAAAAAAAGTTAGCGGAATCAACGGAAGGTAATACAAATCATCCCTTATTAGAAAAGAGAGAGAGAGAGATTTAAAAGCTTACTAAATCGTTTATTAAAGTGGCAGAGCACCATCAAAGTTAACACTTGATTTAATAAGAGAACGTGGTATCAATGGAAATTCAATACCTTTTGATAGTCCACTTGCCATTACAGTACCGGGTGCTGCAGCCGGTTGGTGTGATACTGTCGAGCATTTCGGAAGTGGTAAACTGAGTTTTCAACAAATACTTCAACCCGCTATCGATTATTGTGAACAAGGTGTTCCAATTCATATTATTACTTCTCAGGATTGGAATGCCAATGCATATCAATTGGAAAGATCAGAGAATGCCGGTGAGTTGAAAATAGATGGTAAAGCACCAGTAGTTGGTGATATCTTTAAGAATCCAACTTTGGCTAATACCTTTAGACTACTTGCAAAGCATGGAAAAGATGGATTCTATAAAGGTTCCGTTGCTGATGCAATCATAAAGGTGATTAACAATCTTGGTGGAGTAATGACACATTCCGATCTTGAGAATCATACATCAACACTTGACACTCCAATCTCTGTAAACTATCGTGGATACAATGTCTATGAAATGCCACCCAATGGTCAAGGTTTAACTGTTCTACTAGCATTGAGAGTAAGTACTATTACTTTATTATTATGTAAACCAATAAAACGAATCAATAACATGTTCTGTTTAATAGATTTTAGAAGGATTTGATCTAAGTAAACTTGATCCACTATCAGATCAACATACACATCTTTTGATTGAAGCACTTAGACTTAGTTTTGCAGATACAAGATACTATGTTGCAGATCCTGAATTCTCAAAAGTACCAATAGAAGAGTTGCTCTCTAAAGAATATGCCGAGTCAAGAAGATCGCTCATCAATGAATATCATTCAAATAGAACTATTGATAAAGGCTATCCAACAAACGGTAGTAATACTGTGTATTTATCAGTTGCAGATAAAGATGGAAATGCTTGTAGTTTTATTAACTCTAATTATACAGTATGTCATTAATATTTAACTAAATTATAATTACTAATATACTATTGTTTATTTTAGGGTTTTGGATCAGGTATTATTCCGAAAGGATGTGGATTTACACTTCATAATAGAGGTGCTAATTTTGTATTGGACGAAACACATCCAAATTGTTTGAAGCCAAATAAAAGACCATATCATACCATTATACCATCTATGATCACTGATAAATATGGTGAATTGTATGCCAGTTTTGGTGTAATGGGGAAGTTTATCCAGCCTCAAGCGCAAGTGCAAACCATTGTTAATCTAATCGATCACAAGATGGATCCTCAAGCAGCACTTTCACACCCTAGATTCATGATTGACGGTGGTGATCATCCCAGTGAAGTGTACTTTGAACCAGAATTCGCCAATATATTGGAATCACTTAAGAAACGAGGTCATAACATTGGTTTGGAACCAGCACATCGACATATTTTTGGTAACGGACAAGTAATAGTTTCAAAGCTTAACAATCAAAATCAAAGAATACTCATTGCTGGCTCTGACAATAGATGTGATGGTGTCGCGATTTCCTATTAAAATTAAGAAAGCTATTTGTTGTTTAACAAGGTAAAAAAGTGTAATAACATCATCTTTATTTAATAAATTTATATTTATATTTTTGTAATGCTATCATTATTATTATTATCTTTATGATTAATACATAATAATATTCGAAAGATCTTGTTGTTTGATTGATTAATTAAGTAGTAGATTAAATGATTTTAATATATATAATATATTTAATTAACTATTATTGAAATGAATCAAGAGCTAATTACGTGATACATCTATTACAATCCAATCGTAACTGATCTTATGTTTTGACTAGTAACGCATATTGATTGATTGTTTGTTTGCTTGCTTGGTTTGTTGAATCGATTATTGAACTTTTGACTAAAGTTACAATGTTGTAGTTATTAATAATTGATTGATTGATTGATTGCTGGTTGAATGGTTGATTAAGTTTGATAATAATAAAAAAAAAGTAAATGTACATTATGTTCGATTGATGAATATATATATATAGTGTTGGTGTTGAATGTTTAAGTTTCTACTTCTAGTGATATAGACACTAGAAGTTTAAGCAAATATAAGATATAATAATAAAAAAAAAAAGTACTAATTAAATATATAATTAAAGTGAAACCTTTGATGGTGATCTGGCGAGCTTTGATTCTCTTTCGATTTCCTCCATCCAATAGTCGACCTCTTTCGAAGTCTTGGCTTGAAGCAAAAAGATCTTTCTCATTGAAACTGCGATCAATTCAAAGGTATTTTGTCTATCGTGGAATGGTTTCTTTGATACTCTGCAACCTCTAAGTGGTACTCTATCGATTGGTTCTACTTCCTATATAATCATTTCGATCGAATAGAGATTAGTTAACGATGTTTAATCTTTGTTGCTACTCTTTTTTAACACTTACATCTTTTGATTTAAAATATAATAGATGACCATTCTCAATTCTAAACCATCGGGTGCGCCAACTCTTAAAGATATGACCTTCTTTGACGAGTTCACCTTCGACTACTCTTGGAGGTGTTTTTATACCTTCGGAGCCAGACAATGGAGAAGCTGATGGACTCATGGTGATACCCTCGGAGCCTGTGAGATATGGTAGTGATGAAGTCGATGACGATGCAGATGCTGGCAATTTGTTGATTCCTTCTGAACTGTACAAGGCATTGGATGACATTGACTTTGGTGAGCTAGATGGCGATGTATGCGCAGAGCTGAGTGGTGATGAATGACTGGAATTTGATGGTGAAGTATTTGCAGAGTTATTATTACTCTTTGACTCTATTGAACTCGCATTATTATCTCTTCTTTGTCCAGCTGTTGAATCAATTATAATTTCCATTTTTTATTTTTATTTTTTTTTAATTAAATAATAATTATAATAATATTATATATATATATATACAAATATATGTGTGTAAGTGTGATTTAAATCGATTTGATTTGCTTTTTACAAATATTTGATCTTTGTTTGAAGTGTGAGTGTTACTAAAAGATTTATCAGTTATTATAAATAATGATCAAATCTAAAAAAAAAAATTAAAGGTAAAAACTTAAAATAATAGGTATTAATTATTTATTTGTTTATTACTTTATTAGTGTATAATATAATAATGTTTTGTGAATCAATGATTTAATTTTTTGTTTAATAAGGTTGTTTAATTCCAAAGAAAATTAGTGTAAAAAAAATTATTAAAAAAATATGTTTTGTTGTTTTTTAAGAAAGTGACATCACTTTCTCCTGAAAAACCAAAAAAATATCTCAATTTTTTTTGATCAAAACATTAAAATCACAATAATTTAAATATCTCAATAATTTTTTTGATTTTATTTTATTTTTGATCGAAAATCAAACCTACCAGTATAAGGTACGGCAAAGATTTTTTACCGAGCTACAACACTGAACCACGGTAGCTTTGATCTTCAAAAAGATAATAAGTTTTATTTTATTTAATTAATTTAATTTCTATTTGTAATTGCGTATACTAAAAAATTAAAGAATCCTATACAATTTACAATTGTTGATGATTATTATTAGAATTTTTTCACTTTCAATAAGATACGACGAGTTTGGAAAAGTTTAACATACCTTGAGAAGGTGAGAAAAGATCTTGTAGAACCCATAGGAAATATGGTGGACATTCTCGACGAATATAGAAAACCGTATGGTTAATCAAATCCCATACCCAACACCTTAATAATAGTAATAATAACATACAGATATTAGAACAATACTAGTATCAAAAAAAAAAAATATACATGTTGTTGTTTACTTACAATAAGAAAGCACCAATATACAAAGTAAGTTTTTTAGCAATATGACGTTTAAGCTCAACCGATTTTGAACCGAATATACCATAGGATAGAATGGTTTTGAACTTTCTATAGATCAATATATAACATAAAAGATTCCATAGGAATGATATTACCAGTGGTACTACCCAAAAATATAATTGATATGTTGGATCAATTGAACACCTAATATCAAAAAAAAAACAACCAACTATATTAGTCAATGATTAATAATGATTATTGATTAATTTAACTTACCATCCACTATCTTTATCTTCTTTGAAGAATTTCCCAATAAAAAGTGAAGCTACACTCAAACCAGCCAAACCCCAGCTTAAAATATGAAAGACCATAGTTGGAAAGTTATATGGCTCCCATTCAAATGTTTCACGTAATAAATAATAAGCAATCGCTGTTTTTTGGTTTGTTAGACACTTGTACTATAATACTATTATCATATTTTTAATTGCTTACAGTTTGTCCATAAAAAAGAAGCTAGAAAACCAAAGTGAACAATCGATCTAACAGTTACACAGAATGTAAATGTCTGTGTGAATTGAAACTTGATCAACATACTCACTTGAGAGAACAACATGGTCGAACAAGCAATGAAATCAGCGAGTGACAAAAAGAAAACCAATTGATTGATTCTCTTTGGTTTATCTTGCACATCTCTAGTAATATTGGTAGAACTGTCGCTAAACTTATTATTTCTGGAAATACTATTATTGTTGTTGTTGGTTGAGCGAGATGGATTCAAAGGTGATCTAGTGGTTGGTGTTGAAATTGGTGTAATTTCATTTTTGTTATAGGTGGAAATCGATGATGTTGTCGATATCAATACATTGATATCATTTTGATTGGAATAGGATGTAGAAGAAGAAGAAGAACCACTATTTATAGAGGCGGTATCAACATTACTGAACTTGGCAAGCAACGGAGTTTTCGACAACTTTTTCGATTTGGAGAATGGTCTTCTTCGTTTGCTAAGATAATAGCCAATGTTGAATATCGATGCCAACAACGACAATAGACTACCCAGCATATTGGCAATGTATAATAATAAAGTATACTTTGCAGCAAGTATTAAAGAACATAAATGAATATCTCCTCCCATATTATATTTATTTATCTATCTATCTATCTATTATCTATGTTATCTCTATTTCAAATAACAAAAAGAATAAAAATAATATCAATGTTTAAAAAAATAAGTAATATCTTTTATAACATAACACCTTTCATTACAGAGAAACTCAATATATAATCACCTAACAACTTTGATTGATTGTTTATTTAATCATTGAACAACACAGTCACACACTATCCTATCAATCAACCTCTAAAAAGCAAACAACCCACTCTTTTAATATTTATTTTTCAAAATTGTTTATGTCTTTAATGCCTGCTTTTATCCATTATTAGAAAAAAAAGCTTGCGATATATTTGGTTATCTCTAAATAGATAATAATACTAAAGATATACATTATTTTCAAAATAAGATGTTTGTTGACTAACTAAACTATGAATATAATTATTTATTTTTTTCTATAAATCGATTATTTATTTGATATTGCTTAAAAATATGAATACTTTATATATAGAAATAACAAAAAAACATTGGTAATCTTTTTTTGTTGGTTTTTTTATAACGTTACATCTCTCATGTTCAATTCGAAAAAACAAAAAAAAAAAAATCATCACAAAAATTTTTGTGTGAATAATTTATGATCAATGAAAAAAAAGGCTTTATGCAAAAACTGTAAATAATAATATTGTATAAAAGATTATTACTCTATTTAGATTTAGTGATATACTTTATATTCAGATCTAGATCATATTGATTTGATCGATTTCAATCAGAAGAGATTAACATAGCAGCAATCAAATCAAAAGTCAATAAATAAAATAGACATAGTGATTAGATCATTAACTATTATATAGTCAATATTATCTAGTTCAACTACTATATTAGAATAATATAAAATAAATCTTAAAATAATATATAGATAAATAAATAAAAAAGTAGGAAAAAAAACAATATAATATATATCGATATAGAGAAAATAGAAATAGTATAGAATGATTAGAACTGGAAGTCGTTTCATTTGTAAAGCTGTACAACAACGTTGTGCTACAGCTGTTGGAGGTGTAAGATATTTTGGATCGGATCACAAGCAACAACAACACTCTGAGGTCGAAGAGTTGTCAGCAGAGGACAAGAAGAAGTTGTTTGTCAGCCACGACGATATCGTTGCCGCCGACGAATCGATCGAAGCAAACGACAGATACAAGCAAGACTCGACACTCTATGCCGAGGAACTCGACGGTGCCTCGCTACAGGGTCGTTCGATATACGATAGGCTGCGTGATCGTGTCACCGGTGAAGTGACCACCCCACCAGGTTACCACCTCGACAACATCAAATATCAAGTGAACTTGGAGAAACCAGCAATCGAATTCGAATCTGAGGAAGATATGCTCAAACACACTGACAAATACGGTCTATTCGATAAACACGACGATCATCACGACGATCACCACGACGATCATCACAAGGAAAAGTCATCCGATCACCACAATGATCATCACGAAGAGGATCATCACGACGATCATCACGATGATCACCACCATCAACAACAAGAAGAAACATACACCAGAGGTTTCTTTTTAAATAGAGATGTATGTATAATGATTAAATCTTTTAAAAAAAAAAAAACAGAAATCTTTTTTACTTATCATTTTACTTTTATCATTAATTAAACAGGGTAAAGGAGGAGTAGATTTCAATACACCATTCTTTTTGATGTTTGCAGCAGTGCCAATTTACTATCTATACTCGAATTTCAGCGACAAATACAAACCACATGGTAATAGTGACTATGCTACCAACAAACAAATTTATTTAAATCAACACCCACAATTGAGAGATTATTCTAAAAAGTTACCAACTTTAATAAAAATATTATTATTTAATTTAATAATAATAGCTAAATACTGATAAAATAATAATAATTAAAAAACAAATACAATACAATCATTTAATAATTAATAATACTACCTTTTTTATCTCATTCATTTTATTATTAAATTTTAAAAAAAAAATCAAAAAAAAAAAAAACTAATTAAGAAAAAAAAACTAAAAACTATAACTATATATTTACTATTTAATTACTTGTGTAAATATAATATAATATAAACTCTTTGTGAAATTCGATTTATAAATTAATTACATACAGGTATAATCTTGTATTTTCTAATATAAGTTCTTTTTTTCTTTCTCCCAAATAATCAGAAACTAAAAAGAGCATAATACAACAACAACAACAACAACAACAACATAAGTAAAAATAAATAGTTTGTTAATAGATATAGAAATATCGACCGACTCTTTCAACTTCAACATTCAACTACTACAACTATAATAATAACTAAACTGTAAAAGAAATCAAAAAATAAAATAAAACAACTTAAATATTACAAATAATTATTTTTTAAAAAAATAAATTAATTTTGGACAACTAATTTTAATGTTCTCGAAAATTGTCGGGTATTGATTGGGGTTAAGGGATAATCCTGGTAAACAATAGAGGTCTTTGGTTAAAGTGGGGGTCCCCAACCAAACTTAAAAAAATAACAATTATGTGGGGTGATGGTCCAATCTCATTATTTTTTTCCTTTTTTAATTGATTTGAAAAAATAAAAAAACAAGAAATAACAAAAATAGAATAAATTTAATTAAATTTTATTTCTTTTAACACCCAATTGGTACATTATGTTCTCAAAAACCATCGAACCCTGAAACATTTGTTTAAATATTAAAACAAAAAAACTATTCATTGCAGTACTAAATCCGATAAACAAACAAACACATATATATATAGTTACTTTATTTATTATTAAATAAATGAAATAGTTTAACATATATAGTTTAAATAATCATTGTAAATAGTTGTAAAATAGGAAATATAGAAATACAGAAAGACATAAATTGGTTTTAGTTTTTAAATGTAAAAAAAATAAAAAAATAATCACATTTAGTAATTAATTATCAGAGGTGCAATTTCAAATAAAAAAAATCTATTCACACAATTGTTGTTGATAATAATAAAATATTAACAGGGTATGTGCACAAAATCTTTTTTTTTTTTTTTTTTTCGAAACAACAAGATTAAACATTTTATTTGTTCCCAATTACTTTTTTAATTTGTAAAATTTATTGTTATTTGCACACATTTATTGAATAATAAAAAGAAGAATTGAATTCAATCAACACAACAAACAAAAAAAAAAAAACACATTTAATTCAAAAAAAAATAAATAAATATATAAATAACACATACAACGACAACAACAACAATCAACAACACACAAACAAAATAATAATAAAAATAATAAAATATATATTTCTCAAGATATATTACAAAATATAATAATAGTGCAGTTCTTTGCTTCTTCTTCTTTTTATGTGTTTTTTATTCTTTTATTCATTACAAAAATATATATATATAACTTATTTTAACTAATTAGATTTTCAAATTACTTTTATAGACTTTGTTTAGTCTTTATTTATACAACAAAAACAAAAAGTACTAGTTTTTATTTATTTTATTTTATTTTATTCTATTATCATTCTATTCTTTAAATATAACATCAACGTGAAGATAAAAATATTTTTTGAAAAACAATCAACAAAAAAATCAGAAATCAAGCAAAGAATAATTTTTTGATCGAAACCCAGAGTGAATAGTCAAAAGAAAAAGTCGACCATTTTTAAAAGACACTTCTTTTTTTGAGAAATTTGAAAACAAATTATATTTTGTGTGTGACCGACCAGAGTGTGTATCATAATAATCACCTGACCAACAATAACACCACAAACCAACAGATTTTGTTCAGCAAACAACCACCTTTTTTCATTATCTTATCATTATTATTTATTTTTTTGGTTTTTTTTCTATCTCTCTATTCTTATTCTTTACAATTTCTATCTAATATAATTTTATTTATTTATCTCATTATTTTTATATCTAATAAACCAATAATAATATAAATAAATAATAAAAATTATAATAATATTAGTTTTTTTATTTTTATCATGTGTATGTAATAAAAGAATTTTAATTTTATAGAAATACATTAATCAATTTAAATTTAATTAATTACAATTTAACTGACTTTACTATTTATATTTATTTGTTTATTAATTTTAGAGATTAAGACATCATAGTTATATCGAATAATAATAATAATAATAATAATAATATTTATCATATTTATATATTCATTTTCCAACAACATTATATTTAGTTGAATTTTATATTCTGTAAACTTTTGTATTTGTATATTTTTAATGTATATAATATTCTAGAGGTAATAGCAGTATTATTATTTCAGTAATAATGAGCAGTTTTGAAACAGTCAATCGAGACAACAAGAATAACCAACACCACCACAGCACCAATACATCCACCAAATCATCATCGCAATCATACCAAATTAAATCACCAACACAACAGCAACAGCAACAACAACAACAAGTTGAATCAAATGGTAATTCAAATGTCAATAAAAATTATATATCATGCAGTCCAGATTTGAATCCGGTACATCCAGCTGTTAAATCGATATACGGTGGACAATCATTGTTGTCTAGTTCACTTAAATCACATGGATTCTATCATAAAGACCAATCATTATCATCGACACAATCGTCACCATCACAGTTATCGTCGTCACACGAGGATCGGAGTGAACTCAAAGAGTCAGTCTCACTTCCACAGTCTTTCAAATCGTCGACCATCAACCAAAATGAAGTCAAAAATATACTATCGAATCATATCGATTCAAGAGAAAAAGAAATCGAAAGATTAACAAGAATAGCTGAAAAAGATAAATTAGATTCAATCAATTATTTAAATCATATAAAAGGTAATAATAATAATTCATGGAAATGAAAATGAAAATGAAAAAACATTATTTTTAACTTTCTTTTTCTTTTTATCCTAATTAATATATAGGACACAAAAAAACATTAAGTGGATATATTAGAGATTTTTATGGCGATGGTGATAATAGTGAGAGAAAAGAACATATTGAAAAGTCAGCGGTTTTAAGTGCCATAGAGGGAACGGTTCCCAATTCACCGTTTCTACCGAATTCACCGGTTTCTTATGTACATTCACCTACGTTGGTCAATTCATCGAGTACGGTGGTGCCGTCACCCATTTTGAATGACCGAGCGACTGCCGAGAAGAACGAGATCATTCAGTCGATTTCCTTCTGGGATACGGCATCGACACAACAACAACATGAAGATGGCAAGGAACTGAGTCAGAAAGATTCCGTCAGTAAACTGGTTTCATCTTTTCATACCAAGGATGAGGAGTTGGAGCGTGTTCGGTCGAGAACCACCACTGAATCGATGAAAGCACAGTATCTACGTGAAAAATGTGAAGTACTCTCACATCTCGTCAGCTCAGAGAAAGAGAATTGGGGTTTGGAGATTGACAGACTGAGGAAAGAAGTACATACAAAGGAGAAAGATATCTGTAGATTACTTATGGTTGCCGAAACACAGAAGAAATCATCAATGGAATTTATTGATCAGATAACGAGTAAATATTATTTATTTATTGATAGTTTATTTCAGTTTATTTTGTTAATACTAATTTAAAATTTATTGCTAAACTTCAGAATTAAAAAGGTCTTTATCATCAATTAGTCAGTTAAGAGGAAACAGTTGTCTTGTAGATATTCATAGGGTGAATGAAAGATTCTCATTTGAATCACTGAGTAGCTCTCCGACACCAAGTAGTTTGGGAAGTAGCTACGGAAGTAATCATGGTAATGGAAGTCATCAACATCATCATCACAATTCGCTGACGAGTTCACCGCATAGTAAGTCATTCTCACCGGTTCAGACATCACCCAAACAAGATCCATCGAGTAGCTCGTCGATCGACAAGACGCTGACCGAAGAAAAGAAAGAGATCATCGCACTTCGAAAGCTGAATGTAAAGAAGGACGATGAAATCAAGAGAATCAAAGAGATCATTGAGTACGAGATTATGAAGACAAACTTTTTGTCAAACAAGGTCACCGAGTTGAAGACGATGCTCGAAGAGGAAAGCAGACAGGTCGATTCACTTCAACTGAAATCCTACAAGGAAATGAAGGAAAAGGAAGAAGCAATACAAAAGGTTGCAATGCGAGCACTCAAAGAGAGAATGAAAGCAGATCAATTAAGAGAAGAGATTAAGAGTATGTATCAAATGATTAATAATAATCAATAGTAGCAAATAAATGGATATTAATCAATTTTATCATTAGGGTTATCAAAAGAATTAAAAGGAGATGATTATAAAAAGAAAAACTACGATGTCGTTGCATTTACAGAGATGGGAGATCTCACACAATTCCAAAACCTTTCACTTTCACCATATTGCAATGAACAAACACAGGTTAAACCACAAAAACCAAAGTTATCAATCAATAGTAGTATATTAAGCAATGTAAATAGTAACCATTTTAATCACAATAATAATAATATACATTTTAATTACAATAATAATAATAATAATAATAATCATAATCATATTCAACATAGTAATGGCAATAGTAGTAATAATCATCATCATCATAATAATCATCATAATAATAATATAAATATACCAACATCACCTACACCTTTTATCAATGAACAACAACAAAGTCATACTTCATCATCCATTAAGATACCACATTCATCTATTGCCAGAAGAAATTCAGTGACGTCGTCACCAGGATCGGGATTCGTTCACCAACATAATCGATCGAATTCATCACAGATCATTAACAGCATGAATCAGAGTACATCACATGTAATCGTTGGTTCACCAACGGAAATCATCAATATGAAGCTACAGGAGATCGAGCGAAACTGTAAGGTTGCAAATCAAAAGGATGTAGAGTTGGCAAAGATCAAGAAGATTGCAGAGGCCGAACGTTCGAGGTTCACACTACTCAAAGAGAAGTTCCTTGAACTCAAAAACGATATCTCTGTGGAGAACGATTATGGTTGTGGCAAATATACCGCCAAAATCTATTAGAGTTTCATTTCCCAACCAAGTAGTTGGTTGACAACAACAAAATAATCATTTCTCAAATACTTTCAAAATTAATTAAAAATAATAATATAACCTTTTTTTTTTTGTTTCTTTAATTAATATTATTAAAGTTTTTATTAAAGAAACAAACTACAAACAAAACAAAACCAAATAGAATAAGATCAGACTTATCTTGTCTTCTTTTTTTTCTTTTTTTTTTAATTACATTTATTTATATACAATCTATGTTAATAGAATTTGATATTTATGTGAATATTCTATTCTTTCATTAGATAGAATTTATTTCTCTTCATTCTATCACCTAGACCTGAATCGTTATAAACATCTTTATGAATATCGTCAAAGAATGTTTTACCTCTTGTCTCTAGAGATTTCAATTCGATATCTTCTTTACTTTGCTTTTCAGAATGTTCGACTGATTCTTTCTTTCGTTCAGCTTCTCTTTCCAGGGCATTTCTTCTCATTTCCTCTAATTTCTTTTGTTTCTCTTCTTCATTCATCTTATTTCTCTTGTATCTATCGTTATCTTGATTATTATGACCATTGCTATTGGTATCTGATTCTCTGTCTCTCTTGAGTGAGTTACTATGAACTTTTCTATCATCTTTATATCGTTCTTCTCTATCATCTCTTCTTGAATCTCTATCTCTGTTACTATCTCTATTATCCCTATCATCTCTATGGTCTCTGTCTCTATATCTTTCTTCTCTATCATCTCTTCTTGAATCTCTATGATCTCTGTGGTCTCTATCTCTATACCTTTCTTCTCTATCATCTCTTCTTGAATCTCTATCTCTTTCTCTTTCTCTATCATCTCTGTGGTCTCTGTCTCTATCATCTCTTCTTGAATCTCTATCTCTTTCTCTATCATCTCTGTGGTCTCTATTTCTATATCGTTCTTCTCTATCATCTCTATGATCTCTATCCCGATATCTCTCGTCTTTTTTATCTCTATTTCTTTCTCTATCATCTCTTCTAGAATCTCTATCCCTTTCTCTATCATCTCTATGATCTCTATCCCGATATCTCTCGTCTTTATTGTCTCTATCTCTATCTCTGTCTCTTTCTCTATCTCTCAGATCATTATCAATATGATTACTCTTTGATGATTCTTTCTTACTACTGCTACTACTACTATCTTTATCGTCTTTGTTGTTGCGTTGTTTATCTTTTTCAAATTCATCGTCATCTGAATGTGAATGTGTTCCATTCTCTCTACTCTTTTGTTTCTCTTCTTTTCTCTTTCGTTTCTCTTCTTTCTTTTCTTTCTTTTCTTTCTTTTTCAATTTCTTTAGAATCTTTTCTGTTTCACTCTTTTTCTGTTTCTCTAGTTTCTTCATCTCAACGGGATTTTGAAGTATCTTATCCAATGCTTCTTTTTGTTTCCTAAGGATCAATGCTTGTGGATCTTCTCTACCTCTTGCCTTGTTGTCTTGTTCAGAGTTGGCGGAATTCGATTGCTGCAAGAAGAGTGCACCCGGTACTGTTTGTAATCGCTTCATTTGATTGTCTTGACTATCTTCTATCCTCTTTCCTAGCAAGAAGTCACTCGATGTCGCCGACTTGTCTGTAGCATCATCTGCTTTCTGTATCATCTGTTGTTGCAATCCAAATGCACCTTCATACATCCAATCGATTCTCTCTGTTTTTCTACAAATACAAATGGTTTAGTCATTAATAATAGTATAGAGTCAATTTATATAGTTAACACTTACTTTGAACCTGTTGCAGATGCATGCATTTGTTTCAACTCATGAATCTGGTCATCTTCCATTCTCTCTTTTCTGAGCTGTTCAATCTTTTTCTTCTCTTCGGCATCTCTTTGTTCTGCTTTCCATATTTTCTATAGTGGTCATTTAAAAGATAAAGAATATTGATTAGTAAAATGTTTGTACTGAGGTATTAGACATTAAATTTATTGTTGTTACCTCTTGATTCTTCATCGTCGAGATATGCCAACTCTTTTTTGAAAGAAAAGAAGACTTCATTTTTATTCTTTCTTTTCAATATATATATATATATGTTTATATCGAATAAAGATTATACTTGATTAAATTAAACAAACAAAATACTAAACATCATTAAAAAAATTCAAAAATTCATAATTTTGCAAAATTACTTTGTGGAATTTTTGTTAATCGATTAATTTATAGATACAAATCTTTGTTTTGTGAATTTTTGAAAGAAACACTATCATATTTTGGTTTAATTCCATTCAAATCAAGTTTGGGATTTCCACAACCAACTCCCATATTTTTCAAAACCCTTACACTATAAAATATTGAGTCATCCCATCCATTTTTTTTAAAAATTCACTCCATGAATGTTCATCTACTCCTGAGTTTGATAAGAATTCACTGTCTAATATCACCGATTTAGCATCAAAGAAAAATTGAACAGCTTTTTTCACTTAGAATCCCAACTCGCCCAATACAAATGTGTTGTCATTCTGGTATAATTTACATCAGATCATCCATACATGGCACGGATCTTGCATTTTCATTTCTATCTAAAGAGAGATAAACAAAGAGTTAGTAAAACAAAGATATAAATAAGTTAAAGTTATACTTGTTAGATATTTCTTACAAATTATTTGTATTAAAAAATAATGAAGTTCTTCAGACCTGGCCTAACACCTGCAGTATTGCCCAACTCGACAAGTTCCAAAACTAAATATAATGTTTTTGGTTTTTAAATTGAAGAAATATTAATATTATAAAGATATTCTCAATAATAGCAATCGAATATATCTAATAGATTTGATGAAAAAGTGTTTTGAGTTTAAAAATATCAAAATAATTGTTCCTAAAGATTTAATTAATATTATTGTTGTTTGTTTAAAATTTAATAAATAAAGATATAAATAAATTGCTCAGATAAATAATGCTTTTATTAATATTAAAAAATAAAAAGTATTTTCAATGAATTTATTTACAAGAGTTATATTAATATAAATATTTGTTTGAAACAGGTAGCAACCAGTAGGATTAAAAAGAATTGGGACAAGAAAACTTTTTCTGGTTGTACCTGGAGAAAGGAATGGCAGACAGAGATATCGTGATGAGGATTGAGTGGTGGTCAAAAAAAGGAAATGGACTGGCATAGAACGAGACAAACGGCATAGAAACGAGAGGAAACCGTCATAGTAACGAGAAGAAACCGGCATAACTACGAGAGGAAACCGGCATAACGACGAGAGGAAACCGGCATAACTACAGGAAACCGGCATAGTGATGAGAGGCAACCAGCATAACTACTAGAGGAAACAGTCATAGCGACGAGAGGAAACCGGCATAACGACGAGAGGAAACCGGCATAACTAAGAGAGGAAACCGGCATAGAAACGAGAGGAAACCGGCATAACGACGAGAGGAAACCGGCATAGAAACGAGAGGAAACCAACATAACTACTAGAGGAAACAGGCATAGCGACGAGAGGAAACCGGCATAGTGACGAGAGGCAACCGGCATAACGACGAGAGGAAACCGGCATAGAAACGAGAGGAAACCAGCATAGTGGGGAGAGGAAACCGGCATAACGACGAGAGGAAACCGGCATAGTGACGAGAGGAAACCAGCATAACTACCAGAGGCAAACGGCATAGTGACGAGAGGAAACCGGCATAACGACGAGAGGAAACCGGCATAGAAACGAGAGGAAACCGGCATAACTACGAGAGGAAACCGGCATAACTAAGAGAGGAAACCGGCATAACTACGAGAGGCAAACGGCATAGTGACGAGAGGCAAACGGCATAACGACGAGAGGAAACCGGAATAGCAACGAGACGTCACTCATAGTAAGGAGGCAACAGGCATGGTAAAGAGGACTTGGAAAAGAAGAAGATATAAAAGGAGATAAACATAGAGTTAGTAAAACAAAGATATAAATAAGTTAAAGTTATAATTAATAGTTATTACTTACAAAATTATTTGTATTTGAAAAATAATGAAAAATGACATTGTGAATGAAATTATAGGTTTATATAGTTTTAAATTTGATTCGTTAACTTACAGTTTGAACTCAAAATTGGCGGCAACCGTTAAGCGCCAATTAAAAGTATGAATTAATATTCAAATTTGAAATATAAATATTAAAATTAATTAAATAATTCATTTTATTATAATATAATATTCAAAAATAAAAAAAACAGGCGATCATTTACCAATGAAGAAACAACAAGCATAATTTTCAATTTTATTAATTTATTGAATTTGCAACACCCCACTTTTATTTGACAAGTTCATCTTTTTTTTTGTTGGTGCTTCAAAAAAAAATGTTGTTTATTAAATTATAATAATTAATTAAAAATTTAATTTTTGAAAGATATTATTAATAACAAAGATACAATAAGTAATAAATTAAATAGATATTTATCATTTGAAATCAGATAATAGTTGAAATTTTAGATCAAAATTTAATAGTATTAAAGATACTAATCATATTTGTAAAAAATGATTATTTTGAATTAAATATATTAAAAAATAAAAAAATAAATAAAAGTAATGATAATCGATCAAATCAATTTTTGTAAAGTAAGTTAGAATACTACTACACAAATATCAATAATATATACTATGTTAAGAGAAGTGAGGTGATTTACAATAGACCAAGATTGCAAGAAGAATATAAAGAATTAAGAGAAACTCATTAAATAATAAATTTAAATCTTTTTATAGGTTGAATGGTTTCACTTCACTGTTATAATTAAATTAAATCAGTTGCTTCCGAATTAAGTTCTTAATTACTCAGAGATCAAATAAAAATATTAAAGATTTTATATAAACATTTAGACAATAAAATACAACTACCAACTGAACCACAACTGACAACAACCACAAAATCAAATAATTCATCAACACCTCCAAACCCACTCATTTCCAGAAATATTTCATAAAGTTGAGGTTGATGATGTTGTTGGATTAGTCGTAGTGGAATGACATTTGCTACTTCTGCTCCTGGTCAAGTAATTCAAAATTTTTGAGTGTTTGGATTCAACAAAATTACTCTTTCAATAAAAATTTAAACTACCTTTATATCTTTTGATTTTATTTTATCGATTTGTGAAACTGATGGTAAGGAGTAGTTGAGCAGATGGAAATTGAGAGTGATGTGTTCATCGGTAACCTAGTTATGGAGTTGATGGTAATTGAGTTGTAGAGTTGATCGAAACTAAGATATGTAGTTGAGGTAAGTATCTACAGTATCTGAGTTGTGAAGTTGACTGAAACTCTGGCTTCGGGCAACTAAGTATGGCAATTGAGTCATCAACTCAGTACAGTTACTCAGTTCGGTTTCTAAGTCAGTCTGGTATCTAACTCAGTCAGGTAACTCATAACTCAGTCGGTAACTGAGTCAACTTAGTCCAGTAACTATCTGAGTCCGGTAACTGAGTCAACTAAGTCATCAACTCAGCCGGTAACTCATAACTCAGTCGGTAACTGTCAACTGAGTTCAGTAACTAACTGAGTCCAGTAACTGAGTCAACTAAGTCATCAACTAAGTCCGGTAACTCAGTGTGGTAACTCATAACTCAGTCCGGTAACTGAGTCAGGTAACTCAGTCAGGTAACTCAGTCAGGTAACTAACTGAGTCAACTAAGTCATCAACTAAGTCTGGTAACTCAGTGTGGTAACTCATAACTCAGTCCGGTAACTAAGTCCGGTAACTGAGTCAGGTAACTCAGTCCGGTAACTAAGTCAGGTAACTCAGTCAGGTAACTACTCAGTCAGGTAACTCAGTCAGGTAACTGAGACCGGTAACTCAGTCAGGTAACTAAGTCAGGTAACTACTCAGTCAGGTAACTGAGACCGGTAACTCAGTCAGGTAACTCAGTCAGGTAACTAACTGAGTCAACTAAGTCATCAACTAAGTCCGGTAACTACTCAGTCCAGTAACTCAGTCTGGTAACTGAGTGGAATCAACTGAGTCCGGTAACTCAGTCCGGTAACTAAGTCCGGTACTGAGTCCGGCAACTCAGTGGAATCAACTCAGTTAATAAAAGAAATAATTATAAAGAATTTGAAAGTTATCAACATTATTTATTTAAAATTTGATTGAAATCAGTTAAGACGACGAATGAATCATTGGCAGAGAACAACAAGTCTGGTGAGAGAATGGTATCTGTCGTTTCCTCCACTATTAGCAGTATCATGTGTTCTTTGGTGATGTTGTGAAGATGATGAAGCTGAAGACGAAGAAATTCTAGTGTTGTTGTTGTTGTCATCGTCTGCGAAACTAAAGTGATTTATATTGTTGTTGCTGGATTGATATTTCTAGTAACATCGTCAAATGATATCTTTAACTACTACGAAATAATAATAATTAAATATTAGTATGTTGTCGGTGCTGTTGTTGTTGATCTGGTGGTCACGTAACTAACTACAAAGATCATAGTGAATTTGAAGTACTACTACTACTAAGATTGTTCAATAACCTAACTTATTGATAAAATAATAATTATAAAAAAAGAATATTAATATCTTTTCAAAGATTAATAAAATAATAATAATAAATAATAAGAATATCAATATCTCTTTCCTAAAGATTAATTAAAAAATTAATTTATGTTTGGTGGCAAAAAAAAAGTGAAAAAAAAAAAAAAGTGAAAAAAAATTTTGAGTTGCGTTCTGATGTGGTAAGTGTGGGTGTGAGTATGAGTGTGGTGGGTGAAGTGTGGGTGATCCAAGATCAAAGTTAACATCGATCGATCGAAAGCTGCAAAGATTAAAATTTAGACTCTCTCAGCCTCATGGATCGATAAGAAAATATTTTTTAATTTTAAACATATTTTACTATATAAAAAAAAAAAAATTTTTTTTAAATCTTATCGATCCATGAGTTTCCGGTGCCAACCACGTGGAGGTGGAGTCTACTGGCACCTAGAGACCCCGATGGATTTATTGCCACAAACCATCGGCAGCATCTTTAATTGTTGTTGTTCCTAATCGACAGCAGAGTTAGAAGCCGAAGCAAATAAAACAACTTCGAAGAGGCAACAAAGAAAGTGATAGCTGTGGCGTTGCCTTCTGTACAGAGAATGTCGCCTCCATCTGCTCTGTGTCGCCACACCCGAAGATGCGACAGACTAGCAGCGTATGTATCACCTGCTTTCAGACTATATGAAGCCGTAACATGTGTTGGAGGTTTCCCTACCATCGACCCAGTGCCATGCATCCTGTAGATCAACACAGAGGTTACCATGTGCAAGACCACCTGCAAGCAAGTGCGCTCATCCCAGCTTCGTCCGTCCACAGGCAACCGCTCACAACAATCTCCCCAACTGGCGGGTCGGGTGTACAGGTCGCCAGGTTTCTCTAATAACTAGGCTCTCATCAGTGGGTTCACTGATCGAGACATGCCGTCACGCTTGATAAGAGAGGCAAGGATCACAAGCAATGACACCCAGTTATCCCAGACCCTGGAAAGAAAAAAAAAAGGACGAACCCATTGAAATGGATCACTTGGAATAGCTTGATTGTTATATTGGAAAATAGAATAAATAAAAAAACAAAGTAGTCAGTTGTTAGTATTAATGAATGATAGAAACAAATAATAAATAAATAAATAAATAACGAATACAAGAATAATTAAAATTAAATATAAATAAAACGAATATATTTATAAAATTAATTTATAATTATATTTATTTATTTATATTTAATTTCAATTATAATTGTATTCGTTTATAAATTATTTAATAGACCTACAAAAAAAACCTAGAGCTTCGTTAACATGAATTTTACTTTACATTATTTAAATATAGTATACAAATATGATATTAATAAATAAACAACATTGAAAATAAATAAATAATAAAAAATAAATTAATAATAATATATTACCTTTTCAACGATCCTTCGGCCGTGCCCACCCTGCCACCCATTCAACGACCAGTACCACCACCATATAGCCAAGACCATGACCAAAGAACCAGACTCTTTTAACATTGATCTACTTTTTACATATAATATACAAATATAACATTAATAAATAAACAACATTTTAAATAAATAAATAATAAATAAATAAATAATAACATATTACCTTTTCAACGATCCTTCGACCGTGCCCACCCTGCCACCCATGCAACGATCAGTACCACCACCATATAGCCAAGACCATGACCAAAGAAACCAGACTCTTTTAAGATTGATCTACTATTTTATATATAATATACAAATATGATATTAATAAATAAACAACATTGTAAATAAATAAATAATAAAAAATAATAATAAATAAATAAATAATATAATATACTACCATAACAACTATCCTTCGATCGTGCCCACCCTGCCACTCATGCATCGACCAGTACCAGCACCAGAACCACCACTCCATCCTGTTATTATTCTTATTATTATTTATTTTTTATTGATCGGTGTTCTGAATTGATAGGTATTATTATTTGGTTTTGGTTTGTTTTTGATATTGTTAATAATGTTTAAAATGTAATTGGCAGTGTTGTCAATGTTGGTGTTGATTTTGATGATTTTGTTGTCGTTGTTCTCGTTCCAACTAGTTGGTCTTCTAAATTGATAGGTATTTTGATTTCCTATTGATTTAGTGTTATTGTTGTTGTTGCTTTTATACTTTATATTATAATTATTGTTGTTAATGTTGTTATTTATAGTTGGTTTTTTAAACTGGTAAGTATTGTTGTTGCTTTCTTTTTTACTAACTGTTTTTTGTTGTTGTTGTTTATGTTGATTTTGTTGCTGTTGTTGTTGTTGCTGATTTTGTTGTTGTTGAATTTGTTGTTGCTGTTCCTGCTGTTGCTGATTTTGTTCTTTTTGAATTTGTTGTTGCTGATTTTGTTGTTGTTGAATTTGTTGTTGCTGTTCCTGCTGTTGCTGATTTTGCTGCTGTTGCTGTTGTTGTTGTTGCTGATTTTGTTGTTGTTGAATTTGTTGTTGCTGTTCCTGCTGTTGCTGTTCCTGCTGTTGCTGTTCCTGCTGTTGCTGCTTTTGTTCTCTTCTTATTCTTGATCTTTCTTTGGAAAAGTACAAAAGGAACAGATTTCGATCTGACTCATCTTTAATCTGCAGTTTCTTTTGGTTGTAAACTGTTACCAAATCCAGTGATAAACTAGTGACTGGAAAGCTTTGGATAACTTCCTCCAGCGACTTATAATTAACTATATTATTATATTGTTGTGGTTGTTGTTGTTTGGGTTGCTGCTGTTCATCGAATTCCTTTTTGACTCGAGCGAATTCATGGATAAAGTAATAAAAGAAACTCATTTGATCATTTTCATCTTCGAGCTCAGCTTTCTTTTTGAAATAAATACCAACTAATTCCCACGAATAGCTGGTAATTGGGAAATTATCTATCTTATCTTGAAGTTGTTGTGACATATGTATGATTTATTTAATATATAAAAATAATGAAATATATTTATGAGTGTGTATATTGATTATTATTTAAAAACGATTTAAAACCTAATATCTAAATTTATAATATCTATATATGTAAATAAGTAATTTAAGAATACTAATTTATTTTGAAATTTTTCACCCAATATATTATTTAATTTTTTTTTTTCTCAATACAATATTGTTTTTGATTGTATAGGGACATAGATATGATACTGATATTATTTCTTTTGTTTATTCAAAAGGCTTCACTAATCACTAGTAGTGATCGAACACTTTCAATTGCGTAAGTGGCAAAACAACAATTTTATGACAATAATTGAAAACTATCAATAATAAAATGAAAAAGTAAATAAAAATAAAGATAAGTTCTTTAAATAAAATTAAAATTAATTTATTTCTTATTTTTAAAAGAAGAAAGTAAATGAGAAATCAACTATCTCTTTATTATTATCAACGATCACTATCTAAAACTATATTTGATAGAAATTTGAAAGAAATATGTTAGTTTTGATCAATATTTTTCTTGAAAATATTGTGATATTAATAAAACTTGCTTAGAAATAACAAATTAATATGAATATTGCTTATATTGAAAAGCAAAATTTCGATATTAATAGTATTTACTAGTATATAAATATTTAAATTAGATTTAAAAATAATCAATAATAATAAGAAACCGCCAAATTTTGAATAATTAACGTCATTTTATCCGATACTCTCAATTAAATAGAATAATATTTAAATATATAGATGTCTTAATTTAAAAGTTTGGTTGATGTTTTTTTGATTGGCAAAAAAATAAAAAAAACACACAATCAACGCAGACACCCACACTTGACATTGTCATTCAATTCCAATAAATCGTGAATCAAATCAATTAAATTGTGTCACTTTTAAATAAATAATTAAAATTAATCTATTTAGATCCTATTGTAATGATATACTTTTTTTTATTTTTAAATATCAACTTGTAATAATTTTTGAATTATACAAAAACAAAATAAATATTATAGTAATTTAGTATTGATTCTTTTATGTTGAACTAAATAATTTTGATTTAAAACTTTTAAAAGTTTTATTTTATAATCAATTTATTAGTCAATCATATTTAAAGGTATAAAAAGAAAATTCATTTAAATATTGTAAAAAAAACAAAAAATGAAAGAAAAAAAACTTTTTAATAATCAAACAAAAATAAAGTGATCATTATTTTGTTTTTCTTCTAGTTAATTATAGTTTCACTCTTAACTCAACTTAAAATAATAACAGAAATAATAATAGAAATCATTAGATGAATGATAATAACAAAATCTTTTGATAACGATAATAAAAATAATTGTATTTTGGTAATATATTTATCTCAACATAAAAGAAAGATTACTATATTATTTAAATATTTTATTCAACGAATACAACAAGTTGATATTTAAAATTAAAAGAAAATAATTTTTACTTAAAACTTTCAATTTTTTATTTATAATCAATTTATTTGTTAAAAGTATAAAAGATAATTTATTTAATTTTAGTTTAAAAAATTAAATTATAATGTAATACAGATAAGATAAGAAAAAAGTTTATTCATTCAACTTGGTTTTATTCAATTGAAGAGTACAAACTTACAATTTTGGAAGTACGAATTATCAATATGACTATGAAAGAGATGTTTATAATGATGAATAAGTTGAACACTTTTATCTAACTATACAATTCAATTTAAAATTTTCATTTTATAGTAAATCACTTCTATTCTAGTACAATTGTAATTATTGTTTTCACGAATCAATCCATAACTATTACACAATAAAATCATCTTACAATTTAAATAAATAATTATAGTTTTCTACTACAATAATAATATTCTTCAATTATTATATTTAACAAAAAACAACAATATTATTGTATTTTTGCAACAAAAAAAAAAAAGATGAACTTGTCAAATAAAAATGGGGTGTTGCAAATTCAATAAATTAATAAATTGAAAATTATGCTTGTTGTTTCTTCATTGGTAATGATCGCCTGTTTTTTTTATTTTTGAATATTATATTATAATAAAATGAATTATTTCATTAATTTTAATATTTATATTTCAAATTTGAATATTAATTCATACTTTTAATTGGCGCTTAACGGTTGCCGCCAATTTTGAGTTCAAACTGTAAGTTAACGAATCAAATTTAAAACTATATAAACCTATAATTTCATTCACAATGTCATTTTTCATTATTTTTCAAATACAAATAATTTTGTAAGTAATAACTATTAATTATAACTTAACTTATTTATATCTTTGTTTTACTAACTCTTTGTTTATCTCCTTTTATCTCTTTCTTCTTTTCCAAGTCCTCTTTACCATGCCTGTTGCCTCCTTACTATGAATGATGCCTCGTTGCTATTTCCGTTGCCTCTCATTACCATGCAGCCTTCCTCTCGTAGTTATGCCGGTTGCCTCTCGTAGCTACGCTGGTTTCCTCTCGTAGTTATGCCGGTTGCCTCTCGTAGCTACGCTGGTTTCCTCTCGTTGTTATGCCGGTTTCCTCTCGTTACTATGCCGGTTTCTTCTCGTCGTTATGCCGGTTTCCTCTCGTTACTATGCCAGTTTCCTCTCGTCACTATGCCAGTTTCCTCTCGTTACTATGCCAGTTTCCTCTAGTTGTTATGCCGGTTTCCTCTCGTTGTTATGCCGGTTTCCTCTCGTTGTTTTGCCGGTTTCTTCTCGTCGTTATGCCAGTTTCCTCTCGTTGTTATGCCAGTTTCCTCTCGTTGTTATGCCGGTTGCCTCTCGTAGCTATGCCAGTTGTCTCTCATAGTTCTGCCGGTTTCTTATTAATTGAAAAATATGAAAATCCAAAACAATAAATTTCCATAAAAAAACAATAATAATTGTATAGTTTTCTATTTATTATAATACTTCAAGTAATTGTTTGGTTTTTATTAAAATTATTAAAGTTATGATGGTTCTAATTTATATTGAATTGTTGACAGTTAACAAACATTCCATTTTTAGCATTGAATTGATAGAGCTGTTAATGTTGATCCCTTGATTTGAGATATTTGTCTTATTATTATTATTATTATTGTTATTGTCTTATTATTGTTATCGTTGTTATTGTTGTGTAGTATTGGCACTATTGTTATTAATGTTGTTGGTTTGAGCGTTGGTAGTTTGGTTATTAATATATCACATCATGTGGTGAATGCTATAATAACCTGTGTAGTCTTCTCCATGCACTTTGTCAGCTGATCGAATGAATCGAAGTTCATTGACACAAGTTTTTCGCTTGTAACCAGTAGCATAACTCATAACAAGAACTAATGGATGATGTTGTTATTGATAGTAATTGTCTTTTCAGCGCTGTTGATAGTACCAGTCTTATTGTTATTGTTCATAGCATGCATAAGCAGTAACCGCTTTTCCAGTGACTACAATCTTGAATGCTGCAGACGTCGGTTTAGTATTGGCTACGACAACAGTTGCGGTGTAATTGTAGAGGTAGTTGGTTTTGTAAAGCTTTTACCTCATAATTAATCGAATCTTCATATTCCTTTAGATTTACCAATGAACTATAGAAGTGGAGGGATTTGAGAGTTTGCCTTTGATTTTTGAAGCTGAGTGACAAACTATTTTATTGATTCTTTTTTAGAATTATTGTCTCACAAATGTAATAATTATATTAGTTTAAAAAACGTTTTTAAAAAAATTTCTTTTTTTATTGGAATTGAATACGATCACCATTTTCATAGTTTAAAAACAAAAAGTGGCACATTGTTTTTCATCAACAAGATTAATTACATATACAAATTACATAATTACAAATACAAATGAGTTCAGAAAAGAGATTGCACAGCGATATTAATAAGGATCAATATAAGAATGAAACTTATCCAACAAGTAGAGTAAAGAGAAGAGTTTCTCATTATTGTAGTAGAAGATATGAATATGATGGAAATAATTTACTATCAGATCTTATTAAAATCTATGATCAATATTTTAAATCAAAAAATGATAAAGACGATTCTTCAGAAACAAGATTGAAATGTGTTCAGTTCTTTGTTAGATATCACAACGATACCAAATACCCACATTATTTCGATGTCAAAGGTTATAATAAATTCATTGCTGAGGTGTTCTTTGATAGATCTGAAGATGTTTTCAATGAAATATTGAAATTAAAATGTGCAAGACAAACCAAAATATTACTAGATATTTATTACATGATAATCAAAGATAATAGAGTATGTATTGCGATTTCAATTAGATGATTGATTTAATAATATTAATAATTTATTACTACAAGTTCAACACTTTCTTTAAAGGGTTGAATGAATCAGATGAAGCTCAATTGAAATCAAAGATATCAAGAATTTGTGATAGATTTGAAGAAAAGAGGAATGAACCACTTGGTTTTTTCACCTATAATAATCTATATGATATCGTTTATAATGGCAAGAGTATTGATAAAGAAACAGATAACAATAATGATAAATCAACAACAATAATAGGAGCAGAACAAACAATAAAGACTATAGAGACAAGAGGAACTACAGATATTGAAACAACAAAAACAGATACAACAAACCACATTAAAATATCAGATTTAATATTGTGCAAAATCATTTCAAAATTTGTTGCTTTCGATAAAGATAAGGATGAAATATCTATTAGAAATAATAGATTCAAAAGACATTTAGAGTTTATTCCCTATCTCATTGACGGTGGAAATGTAATGGATTTTGCTCTGGTGTCGAAACAATTCTTCAGAGTTGTTTCAAAAATCATCAACGACAATCTATTCTATTGGAATTCATATATTGATATCAACAACAACAGTGAGTACAACTTAATCAAATCAGCACCATTATATTTCGATTATGAATCAATCAAATACATTCCATATGATAAAGGTATTGAATATGTCAATCAATTGTTATCAAGAGTCGAAGTTTTCACAATGGAATCAGATGAATTTGATTATTCTATCAATTCTGAAGTGAGAAGATTGGAGGAGCTAGACCCCGAAGAATACCCTGATGAGATTTATGATGAATACCGTGAAGCAGTTCTAAAGGATGGATACTTAATACGTCCACCAATAATGCCAAATCTCAAAGAAATCATCGTTCTAATGTATCATGGATTCGAATGGAACTACTGTGATTTTCTAGTGGATCTGTTTGCCAACACACCAAGTGGCGATGGACATGGTATCGAAAGATTCGCAATTAACATTCTAAGAGATTGGAATATTTCACCTGATTGCAATAATATGGATTTCCTAACTTCGCTGTTGGAGTATCATTCAAAGACACTAAAATCAATAACAATTAATCGTGATTCATTTAGAGCAATAGATTTTCGATTGTTAGTCGATATCCTCATAGATCTAGCACCAACATTAAAAGAGAACAACATTGATTTTAAACTAGAAGTATACGTTGAAATCGACGAATTTATTAAAGATAATGATAACAAAGCAATAATTAAATATTTATTAGATAACACTATAATTCTAAAAACAAGACAATACTATTAATTGTAAAACTAAATAAAGAAGAAGTATAATTCTAAACTTTCTTTGACGATAAACAAACGGAAATTAATTACTTTAATAAAACTAAAAATAAATAATGTCTTGCAAGCAATATTAAATTTATTCGTTGCATAAAAAAAAAACAAATAAACAAAAAAAAATAAATTTTAAAAAATTCAAAATATTTTAAAAAAACGACCAAAAGTTTGCAAAAAAAACTAGTTGATTAATTTAATTATTTATTTATTTGATTCAAAGATCTTTGATAATTATTATATTAATTTAAGATGCCTTGTATATATATTTGTGGTGGTATGTATAAATTATTAGATTCGATTAGATAATGAAATGATCACTAATGATGATATCATTATAACTAAATAGAATGTGGTGCTGAAAACGAAATCAAACCAAAGGAACCAATCAAGTGTAAAGATTGTACCTATCGTATCATGTACAAGAAGAGAACCGATAGAAGTAAGAAATTCTTAATGTTATTTTGATTATAATGTCATTCTAATATATATATCTTTATTTTATTTTATTTTTAAAGTGATTCAATTCGAAGCTAGATAACGAACAGATATATATTTAATAATAGAAAAGAAGAAAAAACAACCAACAAAACAGAATAACGAATATAATCGATGAATCACTGAATCGAAGATAATAAAAGAAAATAACTGTACATGACAATATATATGATAAATGTTTATAACATATCATATAAACAAACAGCACACCAACACAATAATCAACGAAACATACATACAACTCTCTTAGCTTTTTTTTTTTAATTAAACGAATAATTTTATCAATATAATCAATTATAAGCAGTTACAACGATAGAGATGACCAAAACTATAGTAGATTTGAAAAAAAAAAGAGATATTCAATAAATTATAACGATTTAATTTAATAATAATAGTATTGTATAGATCAATTTAGTTTTATTTATAACAATTTTGATCATTTAATAATTAAATAAGTTAAGTTCTATTTTTTTTATTGTTGTTATTGTTGTTGTTGTTATTGTTTTCAATAAGTTAAAAGTTTGTTTATATTTTCCATGGTTTAATATTTGGATCGTTTGCCAAGTCACGAATAAAGTTGTACAGACAAACCGGACATGAAAGTGATATCCACTTGTGATTGTACTCCTCCATGATGAACTTGAGTGTGGTGGCACTGGTAATACCGATCTTTTGTACCTCTGATTGGAAGTACGGTAGGATATTACCAAAGTATTTACGTTTCGAGAAGTAGTGGTTACAAGTAAAGGCAACATCCTTCTCAAAGGTGTTGGTCGGACCTTGGTTATATCCTCCTCCGTTGAGACTGTAGGAATCGGTGTTATCAGGCACCAGTGAATGAATCTGAATCTTTGTTCTACTAGAGATATCTTTTTCCAAATTCTCTTTAATATTTGTCAACAATACTTTTTCTGATGCTCTTTGATAGTCTATAATTAATTATAATTAGTAAATGTTAGTTTCAGTTGTTTGCATTCAAATAATTTAATATTTAATAAGTTTACCTTTCTCACGTTCACTTAGATTCTTCATGAAATGAAGATAATATTTTACAATGATAAGGTAAAGTGATGTAGAGAACTCCAAGATCAATGGGTATTCTAGATTGCTGTTCATCTGCATGATATTGGAGAGTGGCAAAGAGAATGAATCGATATTTTCCAAGATATAATCTTCAATCACTTGAATTGGTAAATCTTTTTCTCTCCAATAATTTAATATCTAAAAATAATAATAATAATTGTTAATTTGTTAGCTAATTTGTGGATAAAAGAATAGATAATTAACATACTAATAATAATAAAAGTTCTTTAGATTTCTCGGCAGAAGTTGGTTTCTTTCCATCGGATGCTATTTGGTCGGTGTGGTGGTGAAGTGATCCGGTAGATGCCGATATACCTCCACTACCGTTGATCGGTGGGAATATCTCTTGGAAGCTATTGAGGTTGGGTGTTGTCGAGAAGAGTGGTGGTGACATCTGAATGGGTGACATGGAGGTGATGGTCGATATCATAGGTGGACTATCAATACCAAAGATAGATCCTTTGATGATATAGTTGTGCAATAGTTGAATGAGTATGTGTGTTTCCTTTTCCTTATCGAGATTTCTCTTTTTGAGACCGATCAATCGGCATTCCAATGTCGACTTGTAGTCCTCGAGAACGTCGTAGATGGTAGCTGCAACATCCCAATTCTCAAACTGAATGGCTTTGTTAATGATTGCAAACGAACGGTAGGAGTTGGAGTAGGATTTCAATACGTCTTCCAATCCCTCTTGTGAGTAACGCGCCTTGGCAAATCCCTTTGAGTTTTGATTGAACAACATGAAACGTTGGTCGTTAAGCGATATCTTGGTTGGCAGCCACATGTCTTCGGTCTTTCCGTTTCCGATCTGTCCAAAGTTTCCGTAACCCCAAGTATACAGTGCACCGTTGTTTGTAATGATAGCAGAGAACTCACTGCCACTGGAGAATCCGACAATGTTCATCGAGTTTAGCGATGGAATAACAGCGGGATGTGGTTTGTCAAAGAATGGAGTCTTGAGATCTCCACCAGTGCCAAGCTTGCCGTGTTCGCCACCTCCACAGATATATACATTACCCCTATCACTTCCATTTTCAGCGGCAGTAACAGTGGCGGTGTGATAGAGACCACAAACTACCTTTTCAATCTTCTTGTTGATAAAGAACTCAATCATCTTTGGTGACAATTCATTCTTGTTACTTCCGTTTCCAAGACACATGTGCTCACCCTGTCCCCAGCAATAGACACTATTCAACTCTGAGATAGCAACGGTATGGAAGTGTCCACACGATATCTTGATGATTGGTTTACCCTTGAGTTCATCGATCTGCTTTGGACGCAACGACTTTTCTATATTACCATGTCCAAGTTGTCCTTTGGAGTTGGCTCCCCAACTGTAGATATCACCGTTATCCAAACACATAATGGAGTGTGAGTGACCAGCCGCAATAGCGGTGATTCGCTCTCCATGGATACCGACAATCTCTGAAGTTTCAATACGCATTGGAACTGCACGATTCTTAAAGTTACCAAGTCCCAGCTGACCGGAATCATTCCATCCAAAAGTGAAGAGATCGCCCGACTTTTTAAGTACCATTGTGTGTGCATAACCGGTGGCAATAGCCAACACTTTTTGTCCACCAGTAAAGTCTTCGATCTTCTTTGGTAGGTTCTGTGGAGTCAAAACACCGTGTCCAAGTTGTCCGTATCTACTCGATCCCCAACTGTAAATCTGGAACGACTGGTCGACGGCAACCGAGTGTTCACCACCACACGATATCATAATGATTGGTGAAGATTTGAAAGTTTCAACACGACGTGGAGTAGATTGATACTTTCCAACATTTAAACCATGTCCAAGTTGACCCTGAGAGTTATTTCCCCAAGTGAAAAGCTCGCCATCCGAAGAGATAACGGCAATGTGTTCCCAACCACATGCAACACTGACAGCCTTTTTCTCGTTCTTCACAAGAGGTGGCATTGGATTCAACAATAGATCCGGGTCGACAGTTACAACTGGCAGTTCTTCTTCTTCATCTTCCTTGTCTTCTCCATCATTTCCTTCACCTTCGTTCTCCTTCAATAGGAATCGGTCGTTACCCTCATCGCTCTGGTAGTGATGATGTGACTTTCTAAGATGAATAAGCGTCAAGATGGCAGTGATATACAATTCAAAGTACTCTTCGTTTCTCACTGGAATATTCTCTGAGGAACGGCCAGGTAGCATCGTTGTCGATTCGAAATTCAACGAATCATGATGTGAATAACTATTTATCATATTATTATTATCTCTATTATTATTACTATTATTATTATTATTATTATTATTCTTGTTGGTCATTGACGGTGTCAAGTTGAATGGTTCAAAAGTAATTGGATCGAATGCTGTTGCTATTTCGATTAACGACTTCTCCGATAGCATCGGTAGTAAGTGGTATAATCTCTTTACATAACGTGGTATATTCTGGTTGTCCTCTAGGATAAGCTTTACCTGGATATCCGGTGATAAACAATCGAATATCATTCCATTCTGATGACTCTTCAACTCCAACGGATAGGAACTCTGAAGGAATGAAATTCTCTCGGCGTCCAAATGTAGGATATTCGACTCCAATAGCATAGCAAGTGCTTTACCAATCATCTTTCCACTGTGAGCAACAGAGAAGTAATAATCCAACAGACCGTGTTGTAACAACAAGTGTAACGCAGCATCTCTATCGTAATCCCAATTGTTTGTCAAGAAATAAGAAAACTCTGCATCCGATGACTTAAACTCCTCTTTTGACATTAACAACTTTTGTAAATAACATTGGAATAATGTATTTGTCATTCTCTTCTTTTCTTGATCATTAAAAGCTAAATAATATTAATTAGTAATGGTTTATATTATTTATATTCAATGATATACTCTACATACCATCAGGTTGATGTAATATTGCTTTTAGATGTGTCATAATAATATCCATTCTACCAATCTCCAAAAACTTCAAAACCAATTTATTTGTTTTAACACCTGATAAATAATATAAACTAAAGTATATGGTTTGTTAATATATTATTGTTTATCTTTAAAGATTAACATTAAAAATGAATAGCCACTTACTCTAATGCTCTACCGTATCTACCTTGATCAAAAGAAAGATCAGCAGCAGTTTCATATAGACTTAGTAGATCCATACGGAATGTCTTTCCAAGAGCTTCACCATCGATCTTTTCAAGATTCTTTGATACCAATTCAAAGAATATCTCTTCCGGTGACTTCTTTGGACGGAATTCATACACTGAGAAATTAGTCCAAAGATAACACGATGGCATATATATACTATCACCATTGCTACTACTGTTATTCGCCTCTAAAGAACTAGTGATTGCTAACACTGACTCTCCTAAAGCCAATTGGAATGTTTGTATCATTGATTGATTCTTTACAAATTCTAATAAATTTCAAAATACAAAGATTAGATATATATATTTGATAATTGTGTTATCCAATTGTAATAACTACTTACTTGAATTCGATGCAGTTCCAGATACAAGATTGGAAATGATTGAAACATTCACTCTTGAATTATCATAGTGTTGATCTGCTAGTTCCGATACGAATGTAAGATTCTTTGTAAAGTAAAAGTGTGTTGTGCTCTGCGGCAGTTGGTAGACAAACAATGGGAATTTGTTTAGGTAGAGTGGATCGTAGATTTCTAGTTTAGAGTTACTCTTGATGAATGATGCCATGATGTTACCATTCTCATTCTTTTGTTTCTCTAGCGAACGTTCGGTCATCGCACGATCGCTGGTGAACAGTGTTGTCGTTTGGAAAGGTGATAGATCTTGACCTTTACCACCGGCGCTGTTCGAGTTACCACTGCCACTTCCATAGCCACCACTACCACCATTGACATTACCATTAATACTATGAGCAACTATAGTTTCATATCTTCTATCCGATACCATCTGTTCGATAATTACTTGATGATGTACCATTGATTTTGTTGTTACAATTAAAAACTATGATTATTATTAAAGATATATATTTGTTAGTTATTTAAGATTGTTTGTTTGTATGTTTGTTTGTTAGATTTATATATAAACTTACAGATTCATATGTACCTGTTATCAACTCTAATTTGATAATAGGATATTCATATTTAAGTTTCTTTTGTATCTCTTTGGTGCTGAGGTTGATAAAGAAGACGATTCCAGAGGTTGTAGCGATGATACCAAAGTCTTCTCCGTTGGATGTTCGCCACCACAGACAATAGGATCCAACTAAACTCTTATTTGACAATGGTGGAATATTTACAATGTTTTGACTTGGTTTCTTATCTTGTTGCTGTTGTTGTTGTTGTAATTGTGCATTCTTATTAAATCTATATTTATATATAAAAAAATAAAAAATAATCATTAATATCTAGTTATTATTATTATTATTCTGTTATAACCTCATCATATTGTTACATACTTTAATGCAATTGATGAAAATATAGATTTCTCTTCTACTGGTTGTGGTGTATTGTTACTTTGATTGTTCTCTTCGAGTTGATTCATCTTTTTACACACCATAAAGTAGATTGGAATACGAACGATAGAGGTATCGTGTTGTAGACATAATAACCAATGTGCATTCGGATCGAATGACATTGAAACGATACGCTTAGCATGTTCTCTAGACCATTGAATATACTTGTATTGCGGTACTTTACTTTGTCCAACAAATCTAACAATTAAATAATCTAAAACATACAAATAAATAAGAAACATTAGTAGTTATAAAATACTACTATTTTTGTTATTATATATTATTTACCATTTGAACAATACATTGCAAAGAAAAGATGATCTTCATAACCACCTTGTGCAGTAAGTTGAATTGTAACACCTTGGGAAGTATTGTAACCGTCGGAACCATTCAGCTGGCTACCGGGTGTGTTGCTACCACCACTACCACTGCTATAGTAAGATGCTCCACTACCATGGAAATGATCAGATAACGACTTCTCTTTGGCACTGATGAATGTATTAGAGTTATTTCTACGATGTAATAGTTGGTTGTTATTATTACCACCACCGGATGCGTTAGAATTGTTGCTATTGCCACTACCACCAACACCAGTATTATTAATACAAAACAACCTGTTCAATGAATACAGTTCGTAGTTCTGTGTGAATGCACCGACCTGAGGTTGAGAGTGTGACGACATCATCGATGAGATACCACCACTGCTGTTGCTGACGGTCATTCCACCGACACCACCGCTGAACGACGACGGTGTAAATGAACTACTACTCAAACTGTTGGTAGATGAAGATAAATGGTTGTTGTTGTTATTCATCATCGAATTACTACTACCATGATATCCACTATTACCACCACTATCTGGAACCATCATCAAAGTAGAGGAGAGTACACCCAACACTGAACTTGACAACATCGTTGGTGTAGGTAGATGATGTTGGTGTTGTTGTTGTCCACCACCACCACCTCCTCCACTGTGATAAATAGATCTATTACTCATTATACAAATCTATCTATCAATCTATCTATCTATCTATAAGTCTATCTAATAACTTTTTTTTAATCTAATCTATTTTTATAATATATATACAATAAATATATGAATAAATAATGTTTATTTGATTTGCAAATCAACTGAATGATTTCATTAATGTTTATTTTTTTAGATATTTTTATAAAAAACTAAAAGAAAATTCCAATGAGAATTTATAAATCACCCATTTTTTAAAAAAAAAAGTCCTAACAATCAAAACATGTTTTGCTTTTTGGAGACCATTTCAATCAAGACATTTGCTATTTCTTTGTTTGATGTAAAAATAAAGACCATTTGTTTTGTTCTGATTGATGACGACCAGTAAAAAAAATTGAATAATATCTTAGAGAAAAAAAAATCAAAATTGTTAGTCCTGATGATTATTCTGATCATTAATTTTTAGATTGCATAAGCTATTTTAAATGTTTGATTGATAAGTAATATTTGCCAACATTGTTCGTTATAAGTAATTCTTCCGTAGTGTCATGTTTAGTGGTGTCGGTTTAGAGAGGGTATGATATTATTATTGTTTCGAATTCAGAATAATTTAAAATTCTTTCTTTTATTAAACAACATTAATCAATCAATCAATCATAGTTTATTGATCAATATAAGAGCTCTATAAAGATCACCCCATAGCTTTTACTGCAGTCCGGAGCTAAAACCATATTGATTTGAGAAAGGTTAAATGATTAGTACTAGACTCTACCAAGTTCATTACAGCATTTACTACTCTCCAGATCTGAATCCATACCAATATAAGAGAAGCTAATGAGCAATGTTGGCAAAGTTTATTTATCAATCTTCCTCGTCGTAACTGCGAGGTATATTCAATGAAAGTACAGACTTACTACCTTTAAATAATCCATAATTTCAATAAACATTCATACTTTCACCAGAACAGAAAATCACAAATCTTATATACTATAATTCTTTTCAATCATTTTTTCCATCACAATTGTTCTTTAAGTATCTATAAAAGTCTTTGAATAATTAACTATTTATTTTATTAATAAAATGGAAGGGATCAGAGTAATACACGGGAAAAGAGTGAGAAATCAAAAAGAATTTGTTTTTTAAAAAAAATTTTGGGAACTTCTTATTTGTATTTTTATTTAGTCTTTTTTTTATTAAATATTTATATCTAGATATATATGATGGATTTTATTCAAATTCAGAGTTACCTTTTTAAAAAGATATTCTCAGAGATATTCAGAGAGATACCATGTCATAATAATGCTTTTGTTTCTGACGAAATAAAGACTTTGGCTAATGGATTGGATACCTATCTTACACTGCATCGTAGTAACTTTAATCTTTACTGGCAACTTGGATTGGTTTGCAAGAACTGGATGAATAACTTATTACCTAGACTAGCACAAACATTCCCATTGCGAATCGTAGACAATCAATCATTTAAAAACTATTTAAACTTTCTCTCAAGAGAAACCAACCCATTCAACATATCAACAATATTATTCGATAAAGTACAGTTTAAAAAGATAGAGCTAAGCAATAGTACGAGTAGTAGTATAGGTAGATTATTAGAAGATGCAAAAGTTAGATCAGTTACTTTCAATCAATGCGTGTTTGAATGTAACGAGGTATTCTCATTACTTAGAAACCCAAATGTAAAAGAGATACTGTTAAGAGGTGTAGTATTAGATCCATCTATAATCGATACGATCTCTAATGAGATTGTATCATGTAGTTCGAATCGATCACTTCATTTCGAGATGACCAAGTTCCTGTTAGTTGGTGGATCTTTCAACCTATTTAAAGTACTCTCTCATCCGAACGCTCAGCTATCTTCATTGGTACTACAAAGCTCCAAGTATCAGAATATCAAGCTAACCGATATACTCCAGCTATTCGAACATTCAGCATTATCTTTACTATCAATTAATGGTTTCAAAATCGAAGTGGAATCGACCGAAACAATAGAAGCTACCATAGCCAACCGAAACCAACAAAACATGTCAGCATTGAAGCAATTACATATAGAACATTTAAGCACACCATTGGAAATGAAAGAGTTGTTTTTCAATACGATAGGTAGATGCTTTGACAAAGTCAGCTCGTTGAGACTAACAGGCTATGACTTTAAATCAAAGAATCTAGAACCTTTGCTTACCGATTATATCAGTAGATTGTCACCGACATTGGAACATCTAGGTTTACAATTGGCAAGGATAATCTCAACAGAATCATTTATAACAACCATCAATAACCTTCCTCATTTGAATTCGATCGACCTCTCCAGTTCGTCATTGGAAACCAAAGACCTTTGTAGACTGCTGTCACCAACACTCAAACACATTCCGATGACTCTTATCTCGTGGAGCGATGAAGTTCTAACGAAGCTAGCCGATCGACCAGCCGGACAACTCGAGAATCTTTCACTTCGAACACTGTGGACTTCGCAAGTTCTTATCGATGACAGTATCTTCCGAAAGCTACTGGTTAACAACCGATTGACTACATTGGAGATGGCAATCAATTTGAACACCACCCAACTAGTCGCGTTCTTCACAGCGTTGGGCGATGACACTCGACTTACCAACCTCTCATTCTCCACGCTCACGGTCGACGAACAGTCTGGACCGGTCATTGCACAGTCACTCTTGAGGAACCGTTCCATCACACATTTCGAACTGAATAGCTACAAGGTTGACAGTCAACATTCACTAGGCATCCTGGAGGCAATAGAACAACGACCATCCACCAAGCTCTTGTCACTCTCAGCTATCATTCAAATCCCAACGAATACCCCACAGCTAATCGATCGACTATATACATTGTTAGCAACATCAAAGAGCATTTACGATTTTGAACTTTCGAACGGTTGTATAATTCCCAGTGTTCGACAATTCTTTAATGCTGCAAAGTCAAATAAGAATCTCCAAACACTTAATCTCGTAGATTGTGATAAAACTTTGAAATCACAATTCCTTCAGCTGTTTGAAGAGCAAAACATCAATGGTGCCATTGCCTATATAAAGAACAAGTACTCTTTTTATGAAATAATAATGCATATCGATCAAGATAACAAGAGTTGGTGGAATACCAAAACAATGAAAATAATTTTAATGTAAAATAAAAAATTATAAAATTTTACTTAAAATCACCTCTTTACATATTCATCTGTTCATAGAAACAAAAATAATAACTATTTTTTATTAAAGTTAATTAATTTTTAAGAATCATATGATTTGTAACCACCAGAAATTACCACCTCAGGTAGTGCAAAGAAATCGAACAAAAAAAAAAAATAAAAGAGTAAAATCATCAAAAAAAATCATATCTCACAATCAATTGTAAAAATATCTGTATCGTTTTTTTTTTTTTTCTTTATTCACAAAGATTAAAAAAACGACCTAGGAAACAATGTCATATTATTCTTGTGATTCTGATGTTATTAATCTTTTTTAATCTTTATCTCTTTTCCAAATAGAATATATCTTTTATATAAATATAAAATATCACAAAAAAAAGATGAGGCGAAATCAAGATAAATTAATATATTGTATAGTTTTATTTTTAAATTTAGTTACATTGTTTTTCAGTGTAGAAGCATCTTCACCACCCACACATCTTTATGCATTCGCAGGTCAGCTTGCAGATCAATTCTTAGAGGTTGATCTCACAAGTGGAAACTACACGATGCAAAATGCCTACAATCCTTATTATATTTTTGGAGTCGCAAAGACAACTAGTTCATCTGTAATTATCAACTAATAACTATATTCGGTTTTTTTTTTATTAAATTAATATTAATTTTATTACTTTTCTCTCCAATATTAGATGTTAATCTTATCATCGGATTTTCAATTAAAAGACGATGCTCTTATCAGCTATAACTATGCAAATAAGAGTTTTACAGAGATTGGACATATTCAATCGGAAGTCTATGCCAATATGATCAATCAACCACTGGGGTTCGATGAATCTACTATGCGTGTTATGGCATGCGGACAGACCAAAGATACAAATAATGTTACTATTTTCGTTTGGGATTTCGTTAATAACACTGGAATCACCTATCCACTGCCGCATAAGTTGGTCTATCCTTTCCCGGTTGGTGGCGTCGACACTGGCAATGAAACATACTACGTACTCTATGGACACACCGAGGGTATGATGCTATCGACTTTTCTCTACAATCAACCAGCCATCCCAATGGGAACAACCATTCTCTTTCCAGGTCTAAGGCTAATGACTCCAGGTGTCATTATCTTTGAAGGTCAGGTATACTTTATCGATACAACATTCTACTATTACGATATCTACTTTGTCGACGTTGAATTTGCAACGACCAAACGAATGATTCGTATCAACAACAGCTTTGACAAGATGACCAACGTATTCCCCTTCGCATCGACAAACGAATATATAGTTTTAGTGACATCGACCATCAACGACTCAATAACCTACACCATCTTAAACCTGATAACTTTGGAGACAACCAGTGTTACAACCAACCAAACCATGAATAGACATTCAAACTATGTTGGAGTTTATTAAACAAATAAAATTCTTTTTAAATCTTGGTTGTTCTCTCGATTAGATAAATAAAATGAACAACTAATATATTATATAATAAAAACTGTACAGATATTATCTTTTTATTTGATTGAATTTGAAATAGTTTAAAAAGGGTTCTAGTTCAGCTCTATTTTCATTGAGGAATTGTGGATCGCCATCGAGAACATAGGTTTTATACACATGCCAGAATACTGGATGTGTAACAGAGAGTGCAACATTTCCTACTTCTTTAGTCCCACCAATGTGTATTCCAATAAACTTTTTATCGTATTCACTATCTGCCAAGATACCTCCAGCCGTACCTTTGAATGTTGGACATTGATGAGTAATTACTTTTTCGTCGAATGTCAAAGCTTCACCAATAAATATTGTCTTTCTTTGGAAACCACGTGTATAATTATGGACATCAACATAAAGTAATCCATACTTCATTGATCGCTCACCATACAAGTCGGCAAATTGTTTCAAATCGATATGGCCAGGATATCCCATTACATAGTAATCGGTAGTTTGTTTCTTGGTCGGAATCATTGGTAATAGATATTGCTGGTCTATCGGTGGCTCGCCTTTGAATTGAAGAATCTCTATATCGTTACAAATTAGCCAACTATATAGGTGATCGTCGCTTCCTTTCAAGATGATTGGATCTCTGAATAAAGCATCGAATGCACGACCACACGAAACCAACTCAATACCAAATTCATCTAAATGGGTCAAGTCGATCTCAGATTCAACGGTGGCATCACAACCAAAGAATATATAGACTTTTTCAAAATTTAATTCTTCTATCGCTAAACACGATGTGATAACAGTGTCTCTTTTAATACAGAATCCTGTTTTTGTGTACCAAAAAACTTTATCATTATCTTCTTTTGATCTATATCTAATGTTAAATGAAAATAAAGATGTAAGTTTTTACCATTAACCCAATGCCTATATATATGTATTTATATTAATTTCTTACTTGATGAATATTCTTCCTACAGCGTTTGATGTTGATTCATAGAATTCTTTATGTGGTAATGAAGGAAAAGAAAGTATCTTTGATTTACTATTAAATGTTACTATTTTTCCAATTTTTAAACCTTCATCGTGGAACACTCTTTCTGCAGTATCGTCAAGAAGATTTATCATTTAATACAAAGAAAATGTTTGGTATGTGCTATTTTAAACTTTGAAAGCAATAATTAAAAAAATTTTGTGATAAAAAAAAAAAAAAGTGATCATTTATTTAAATTAATGATACAAAACAAAAAGAAATTTAATTAAATTAATTTAAAATTTTAAAATATATAGATATATTTGCTTGTTGAGTTAAAGTATCATAAATGATCTAATCTTATTACTTTTAATTTTATGTTTTATTTTACATTATATTGCGATAATGTTTTTTTAATATAATCAATATATGGTTTTAAACTATCTCTGTTTATATTTTCGAAATCTTTATCTACAAGTACATATTCTTGATATATGTGACAGAATAGTGGGTGAGTAACTGATATTGCGATGTTTCCTATTTCCTGTGAACCACCAAGGTGTATTCCAATGAACTTTTTCTTTTGATCAAACTCTGCTAGGATGCCACCAGAAGTACCACGAAGCGTAGGACAATGATGTAGTAGTACGTTACGTTCTAAACACAGCAATTTGTTAGAGATACACATTGTCTTATGCTCGAAGATTTTAAATTGATTCAATATTTGGGCGTACTGGATAATAATGTCCATAGGTTCTTTACCATTTATCTCTTCGGGGTATTCGCTAGTGTAATCGCTTAATTCGATCGCATCAGGATATCCCATAACGTAGTGTGTATTTATGGTTTGATTGCTATTGTTGTTGATGATACTTGGTATCATCGGTAGTATAAAGTGGTCGTGGAAATATGTTTTGTCCTTGAATTTAAAAACCTCTATATCGTTTTCTGTAGGCCAGCTGCAAAGTTGAGAATGATTGTCGATTTTTTTCACAAATAATTTCTCTTTGAATATACTATCGAATTCTCTTCCTAATGACTCCAGCTCGTAGAATCCTGGTTTGGCGGTCGCAATGGAATCAGCACAATTTGAGAGAGTTATCTCCTGATCAACCGATGCATTACATCCAAAGTAAATATAGATCTTATCATATCGATTTATATCGGGTGGGTTGGGATCCAGTGAAAGCAAGAGTACATGTCTAGCGGTAATAATAGTATCTCTCTTCACACAAAAACCAGTTCCTCTTGACCATTTTGCTTCGTTATTTATAATAAACCTTTAATTAATTAAATTTTAATATATAATAATATTTGATCATTAATTCCAAGATTGTATTAGCTAAATTACCTTACAAATATGCGTCCTACAGCCTCTGATGTATTTTCATAGAATTCTTTGTTTGTCAAAAGTGGTTTACTCAAAATCTTTGATTCACTATTAAATGTTCTAATATCTCCGGCTATTTTACCATTATCAAAGAATAGCCTCTCTGCACATTTGGGATCTAATACTTTTATATCATTGTTATTTTCTATCATTTTTGATTAAATGATGAGAAATCTATTAATAAAAAAAAAAAACAGTTTTATTTTAAAAAATTTGTGATCTAAAAATTACTCGATCATTTATCAACATATTTTATACTTTTAATCACTTTAATAACCTGTCTGTCTCTTGATTTTAAAATATTCTTTTATTTGAATTTAATATAAATATTTTTACATAATGAAAACATCATTAAGATATCTCAAATATTAGAAAATTTATTTATTTAAAAAGTTTTTTTTGGAGATGTATATTTAAAATAATTTAAATAATCTTCCAAGTGTTTATAGTTTTCTTTAATGAATTGACCATCAAGAACAAAGGTTTTGTAAAGATGCCAGAATGTTGGATGTGTGACAGAGATTGCAAAATTTCCTATTACTGAATTACCACCAAGATGAACACCAACGAACTTTCTTTCATGCTGACTGATTGCTAGAATGCCACCTGATACACCTTTGAGTGTTGGACAATGATGTGATATCACATGATCTCTAAACTTTGCAATTTTTTCTATAAAGATAGTCTTTTTCTCGAAATTACGAGACTGCTGAGACACATTGGTGTAGAGGATAATTAAATTATTTGTGTCGGAAGTTCCGTAGCTCGATACAAAATCATTTAAATTTACGTAGTTAGGATATCCCATAGCATAGTGGACAACTTGGCGGTCATCGGTTGGAAGAATTGGGAATAGAATGTCAATGTCTGTTGGTGGTTTTCCTTTGAACTTGAGAACCTCTAAATCGTTGGGATGCCACGGATGTTGCTTATTGTCATCTCCACTGACAACCAGAGGATAGTTACTTTCAAGTTTTCCATAGGATTCCAACTCGTACATTGTCGTTGGATTAATATTTTCGAGGTCGACCTCACTCTCTGTGGTGGCATCGGTACCAAAGAATATATAGATCTTTTCATGCTTAAGATTTCTTTGCATCTCTTGAGTTTCTAATGGTGCATTTATATTTACAGGATAAGCGGTGACATGAGCTGCTGTCATAACAAGATCCTTCTTTACACAGAACCCAGTTCCACCAAACCATGATAGCTCTTTTTTATTTGGTATCTTAAAACTAAGAAGCAATAAAGAAAACTGAATAAATAAGTTGTTCAAGATTATCATAATAAAAACCAATGTTGTTTATCATACCTTACAAATATTCTTCCAACTGCTTTCGATGTTTTTTCATATGCTTCTTTGTGTGGAAGATCGCCTAATATCTTTGACTCACTGGTGAATAATACTATATCTCCGATAGTTTTTCCATCTTTATGAAGCACACATTCACCACAATTGAAACTCAAAGGAATAGGCGACTTTATTTCTTTCTCCTCTATTGATTGCATTTAAAAATAAAAGTGTAAGAATTATGATTTTTGAAACTGTTGATCAATAAATTTGCAAAAAATCAGTGAATTTAATGATTTTAAAAAAAACAGTTTTTGACACCAATTCTTTGAACTTTAAATTGATTGGTTTGGGTATAACAGAAAAATGCTGTGTATCGGATAATCATTCTCATTATTCCAACTGAGTATTGAGTAGATACTATTTGGGTTATTTTTTCTCTGAAGAAAATATTGGTTAGATTTACATTTGAGACTTAAAAAAATCTGTTTCATTCTTTGATTAGATTTCACTTCTATTATCATATACTTTCTCCACTCTTAGTACTTTCTCTCTTTGGATTTTTGAAATCTTCTTTGGGAACCAAAATTTTATCACTTATCAGGTGTAAAAGTGTGGTCAATGATAGTGAGATTATGTTTTCGTTGGTAGATTCGTCTCCACCCATGTTAAAACCAACGAATTGATGACCTTTGAGACTGAGTATCACACTTCAAACATATTTTTACTCATTGCGAAACACATACAATACCATTTTTTAAAATGTGGTAAAATTAAAAAAATCAGGTACTACTGAGTTCTCCCACCAGACAGTTATTCACCAATCCCAAACAGAAAAGACACCAAAAATAATAATAAAATTTTAATTGCTAAAAATAGAAATTTTTCATTTTCGAAATTTGAACTTTGTTTGATAAATATGATCATTTTGAATTATTTTTTGTTTGTTACTTTGTTTCTAAATTTTATTACCTTTTAACTATATATGTTAAAAGTCAATTAAAGATAGTGAGAAAAACGAAAAAAAATTTACATAAAGCCAAGAGGAATCGTCTAACCAAACGTTATCAAAGTTGAACTTTTATACTCATCAATATCTTAATAGTTCTAAGATTAAAGATTATTTGTACAGATCAAAGAATCAAAATTGTATTTATTTCATTGCTTCTACTATTCGAAAATCATATGAAATATATATTTCACTATATATAGATGCACTATGTTACTGTCAATTTTTAATTATTCTAGTACCTATACAATTGATTATAATTTTAATTTAATCTAGTTAGAAATATGATAATCGTTGAATGTTCATTTTACTTACCTCTGAGTCTAGTTTAAGCAATGATTTTTTTTTAGTTGGTCTTAACAGGGTTGGGTGTGAAAGCTTTTGGTGTGGCTCCTCTGTGATTTGATCCAAAATACTCTTGTGACCTTTATATTTCTTTCCTAGTTCTCTTTCAGTATTCTTATCTTCCAATCTCTTTTGCTCTTCAACCAATGATGAGTGTTTGAATGTATAATTAAAATGATTTAAATAAGGCTTTAGATGTTGAAGGTTCTCTTGAATGAATTGATCATCAAGAACAAACTTTCTATAAAGATGCCAGAATAATGGGTGTGTTACAGAGAGTGCAACATTTCTTGTTTTAGATGACCCACCAAGATGAATTCCAATAAAACTTCTTTGGAATTGGGAGTTTGAAAGAATACCACCTGATGTTCCTGGGAGTGTTGGACAATCATGAAACAATATGTAATTATCCAACTCCACAATATGACCTTTGAATATTGTCTTGAGTTGAAATCCACGTGTACTCGTCATGATATCAATAAATGTGTGTCCTGCATTTTCAATAATTCCATTGAAATCATTGAAGAATTGTTTGAAATACATAAGATTTGGATGTCCGATGACAAAGTGATTTGAAACTAGATAGTTAGTTGGAATTGATGGAAAGAGATATTCTTGGTTGGGTGGTGGTACATCTTTAAATTTGAGCATAATGAAACTGACATCACCACAAAGCATTTCCAATTCATAGATTCCATCAATTTTATCGATATCATCCAAAAATATTTCTCTTCGAATGGTGGCATCATATCCAAAGTAAATATAGATCTTACAATGAATATTGGATTTGGTTGTATCTGGATATTCAAAGAAGTGCCCAGCAGTAACAACAATATTATTCTTCACACAAAAACCTGTTCCATAATTCCATTCTGGTTCGATCTGGTCTGGTAATGTAAATCTAAAAAATGGTTAATAACGATGATGATTATATAAAATAGTTGATATATTTACCTTACAAATATTCTTCCAACTGCTTTTGATGATCTTTCATAATAATCTCGATCTGGTTGGTCTGGTCTGTTAATCTTTGATTTACTGTTTAGAGTAAATATTTTATCGTGATGACCTTCAGCAGAAAATACTCTTTCGTCAATCAATGATATAGATCTTGATGATGTATCTTTGATATGATTTAAATAGGATTCCAATTGGACTAAGTTATCTTGAATGAATTGATCATCAAGAACAAAGGTTCGATAAAGATGCCAGAATAATGGATGTGTGACTGAGAGTGCAATTTTTCCTGTTTCTTGAGTTCCTCCGAGATGAACACCAACAAACTTTCTTTCGTGTTGACTTATTGCAAGAATGCCACCTGCAGTACCTTTGAGTGTTGGACAGCTGTGTGTAATTCCATTATCTTTGAAATTGTCAACTTTGCCAATAAAGATAGTCTTTCTCTGGAAACCACGTGATTCTTTCCTCACATTGATATAAAGGGCCTCCAAATCTTGATCGTTGGTTCCCTTGTAGTCAGATAAAAATTTAGTTAAATCTATGTAACCCGGATAACCCATGACATAGTGTTCGATCTCTTGGTCATTGGTTGGAATCATTGGAAATAGAATGTTGATGTCTGTTGGTGGTGTTCCTTTGAATCTGAGAACCTCTAAATCATTGTGTGTAGGCCATAAGTATCGTTGATCATTGCTACCAGAGAAAACCAAAGGATCTTTGAATGATTGATCAAAATCTCTTCCACATGATTCCAACTCATACATTATCTCCTTGTCTATATTTGTAAGATCGATCTCACTTGTGATGGTGGCATCAGGACCAAAGAATATATAGATCTTTTCGTATTTCATATTTCTCTGCATCTCTTGAGTTTCTATTGGATCATTTGGATTAACAGGATAAGCTAGTACATGGCCTGCAGTCATAACAAGATCATTCTTAACACAAAATCCAGTTCCACTGCACCATACTGGATACTCTTCTTCTCGTACTTTAAAACTATAAATAATGATTAAAAACTAATTCAAATATTATATGTTAAAAGTTGAATACATACCTAACAAATATTCTTCCAACAGCACTTGATGTATTTTCATATGTTTCCTTGTATTGCAAATCACGTCTTCCAATAATCTTTGAATGGCTATCCAATGTTATTGTTGTCGACCTATTGAAATACAAACTGTCAGCTATGCCTAACCTGACGGGTTTAACATCGTCAGACTTTGTTTCATCCTCTTTTTCTTTCAAGGACGAAGATTCAGCTGTGCGTCCGAGACGAACTGGCTGAATAATATCTTCGTAATCTTTTGATTCCTTAATGTCACTCTTTCTACCGAACCAACCTATTATAATTTTGATAGAATAAATAACAACAAAATGTTAATATGTACTGAAAAGATAACTAGTTATTAAGATAAACTTACCTTTTTTAATAAAACCTAGATGGGTATATAATCCAGTATACAACGGTTCACCGTTTGGATCATCTTGCTTCAAGGAAATTGAGTAGCTAAAGTCTCCAACAAATGAAAGAGAACTCTTCACCTCTGCGTTTCCAACGTTCTGAATGTCAGCATTGACATTGATGGTGAAGCTCGAGTTCTTGGTCTCTTTGTAGAGCAAATGGAATTCCATGGCATAGAGTGCACTATCTACAAATCGGTTTGGCTGCTTGGCCCACGCTTTGTATACAACATCGGAGAAGGAATCGATATCTTTGATGGTGACATACTTATGTGTGGGTCTACGAACGATCACCATCAATGACTTCTTATTGTTGGTGGTACATGTAATCTCTGCTCTCTGGCCGGTCTTGAGTGAACCGATCAAGTCACCTTCGATCTTGAATGTATTTCCGATGTTATAGATTTTCCAGTTTTTGACAACGTTATTCATATTCTCGCGTATCTCATAGTTGAATGTTTTCTCGATTTTTTGGAAGTTTGTCAATGCTTGATGAGTATGCACAACTGGTCCAATTCCCTCATTAAAAGTATAGTAGCATCCTGGTTCCAATGATTTTCCACCATCCAATCTCCATGGATGGTCAAAATTTTCCTTAAAAATTTTATTTATTACTTTTTCCATTAATTAATCTATTATTTGTGTACAAAAATATATCAATCAACTAAAAAAAAAAATAAATCCAGAAAATAAAAAAATCGAAAATAAGCAAAGTTTGAGCAAAACTTTTTTTGTATTTTTTTTTTTTTTTTTTATTTATTTAAAATAAAATTATTTATTAATATTATTTATTTAATTATATAATAATTCAGTTTTAAAAAGAACTTTGTCCAAATAAAAAATTATTTAATGGTTATTTTGTTGTAGATATATAAGTTAGCCAAAAAAATAAAAAAATTAAGAAGTTTTGTAGTGGACCTAACACGGGTGGACTCAATAGATGTAGACTCTACATTGGTGGACATAGTAGAGTTGGACCCCATCCAAATAGACCCGGTACTAGTTGTGGATCTAACACAGGTGGACCCAATACATGGAGTAGTGGACCTAATACAGGTGGACCCATTCATGCATACCCGACGTTAGTAGAATTGGACCCATTTCATGCATATCCGACATTAGTGGACCTAGTAGAATTGGACCCAATGCCGCTAAACCAAGAAGGAGTGCGTGAATATTCGTGAATACCATTTCTATGCCATCAAACCATTGTTTGAAACAATCAGATTAGATCTATCAACTAATTTGGTTGCATACTACTGTGCATCCAATGAATTAGCTCATATTCAAGGCGCTAAATATAAGACTCCTCACACAGCTTTTAATCCATATACGATTACATCATCAGAGCGTACTCAGCTCTTTCATTATTTTAATCATCACCCAAATGATCCCTGAAGACTTTAATGATCTTTCATCATTACAACCACACAACAACCAATATTCCTATTTTGCCTCTACTCGGTGGAAATATTGACGAAAGTTTTCATTCTATAGACAACAATGAAATTTTAGATGATCTCAAAAATGGTCTACCAACTCAATGGGAGCAGAACAACAAAGTCGATTTAATAAGACAAAACCAGAATGGTCTTTTAGAGTATGGTTTTTTGATAGCAAAGAAGAAGCAGAGGAACCGAGATATCTTATTTGTATTTGAAATTTAATATATATAATAATCATAACACCGAGATGAGAACTCTCTATCAATAAACTTAATTATATTCAACGTGACTTCGTTTTATTAATTGTTACTTTATATTAAAAGTTATAAATTAGATTTATTTTAATACATGGTAGAAATATTGGAGAGTTGAAATAGATTTGTACTTCTTCGAATTAAAAAAAATCAGGTCGATGATTTTCAAGTAAATCTTTACTTAAAGTTCTCTTTAAATATGACTTCACATTACCATTGGTGTTGTCGGTCTAAGGACAATAAGGTAGCCGCCAATGCAATGCCGGCACCCATCGAACAATATAAATAAAATACACCAACCAATACAACAACAGATAGTAATAGTCAATTATAATTAATTAAATTAATTAAATCAACTAAATAAGAAATAGTTCAAACAACAGATCCAAATAATAATTAAATTAAAATCTGTTGTTTCTAGATTAAGTCATTCAACACTCAGCCGTCAAGCTTCTCAATAATGAATATATTGAGTTTAACGCGACGTAAAAGATTCATTCAATTATTCAGAATATGAAATATAAAAGATATTAAAATTAATAAATAAATAAAAAGATCAAATAAAAGTTAAATTTAAAATTAAAACATTATTTTATAGTATTGTTAAGTTATATGAGAAATGTCAGAACTAAATGAACAAACAAATTATACAACAACAACAACGACAACAACTACAACTAATCAACAGCATCTTCAGATCCAACAACCACCACAAACGATCTAAGAATGAGTGTCCTTGAAAATAAAACTAACAATAACCAAAACTAATCAACCACTTCTTTGTTCCCAGATATCACTCTTACCAAAGCTCGGCCAGATTCACTCCCAACAGATTTATTTAAATCTAGCCTGGCCGTTTCCAAGCTCCTCTACAATTGTCCCAGGTCAGCCGGACAATAAACAATTGGGCTGGAAAATATAGAAAAACATTGGTGTTTTCATTGAACAGAACTTAGATGGGACAATAAGGAGTTTAAGCTGTTGATTAATCTTGGCTGCACTTTGGACAATAACTAAAATTAAATAAAATCAAAAAAAACACTCTTATCATTATTTATTTGATCACAAACACACGAAAATTCTTGACAACCCAATTTTTTATCAAAAAATAATAATTAACTTTTTTTATAAATGAGTACTAGTCATTCAACCAGTTAAATGATCCACAACCAAGGTCTTTTTTGGTGGTTCAGTGTCACGAATGCAAGCAGATTCACTTTTCAAATTACGGTATTTGAAATTATAAGTGACCATCCAAGTATAATAATTACAAAAGACACACAATCTATCTTTGAATTGATTATATCTTTACATGTTCCAACAGATGTCCTTGCAAATACATTCTGGTGCCATCCATCGGTGTATAATGGTGGTAGCTTAAAGAGTTCTTCATTCATTTTCAAATTGATTTATACCTAGAAAATTCAAACGTAGTAGTTGGTGTTTGGACATCTAGATATCCAATGCAATATTTTACTTTTTTGTTGGTCATCTTCATGTGTATCTGATAATATTTAGTTAGGTTAAAAATAATGTGTACACGTATAAAAAAATAAATATTTACCTGTTTGATGCTTGTTAAAGTGTTCCACCAACACTCCAAACTCCAGTTCCAATATCCAGAATTTTAACTCATTTTCTGCCACGTACCCCTAGTCTGTCATTGATTCTGTTTTCAGCCAGGAATAGAAACTATTCCAACAATAATCTTTTATGTAGAAGCACTAAATCCTCTCTTGTAATACGAACTTCATTCCCAATATTGGTATTTTTGACGATATTCATCGATGTGCTCATCAATCTGTGTGGAACTTTACTTTCCACTATAAATTTTGATGAGAGACCTGCCGCAGTTCATTTGGTTTCAAAATATTATGCAACCAAAAAAAAAAAATGGTCGATGGTAAACTATCTTTTTGGTGAACTCAATGGATTGGATTCAATCTTTTTTGACAAGTATGATTTATAAGGACTGGATGACTAACCTGTTGCCTCAAATAAAGAACTGAAAGATTAAAGCCTACATTTGGTGAAATCATTTATTTCGAATTAATAATGAAAACTTTTTTTTTTCCCATATCCAGACCATGAAATGATATTTTTGATTGCACAAAAATGTTGATTGCTCCTGAGTGGTTTCATTAGATAGAACCTAATTCAGAATTCAGTAGAGTTGTTTGATCCAAGTGTTGTTGTAGTTGTTCTAGTTGCAATTGTTCGTACAGATTATGTATTTGTTGCAATTGTTGTTGCATTTGTTTTTGTAGTTGCTCTAGTTGTTGAGGTTGTTGTAGTTGTTTGAGTAAAAATTCTATATAAGGTGCTAAAAGTACATGATTTTTTATGATGAAATCTTCGTCAATAAGAACATATTTCGAATATAAATAAGCAAATAGTGGATGTGTGACTGAAATGGCGATACTCCCTGTTTCGGTGGCATTTCCAATGTGTATTCCAATAAACTGCTGATTATATTGACTGTTTGCTAAAATACCTCCAGAAGTACCTGTAAATGTTGGACAGCAGTGTGACAATACCTGGACATTGGAACGACAAGGGTGTATTGTACCAATGCAAACTGTCTTTTTCTGAAAACCAGCATATGCCTTAAAACAAGCATCAATATAACTGAGTTCATCCTGTTTCAGGCTTAGGGAAAATCTTTTCACAAAGGTATCCATATCTGGGAGACCTGGATATCCCATTACAAAATGGTCTTTTAGCCCCTCTATGTCTGGTAGCTTTGGTATTAGATAGGTATGGTCATTTGGTTTATTTTTGAATTTAAGAAACTGTAAATCATTGTCGAAATACCATTTGAATTGCTGATTACTATTATCGACTCCTCGTACCAACAATGGATCTTTGAATTGATCATGGAACTCCCGTCCCAACGAAATCAATTCATAGACTCCATCACAGTTATCAATGTCGTCCATATCTATCTCGGAAGGTATATGGGCATTATAACCAAAAAACATATAGATATTTATATATTTGCTATCTGGGTTATGAAACACATGTGCTGCTGTCACCACGGTGTCGTTGCTAACACAAAAACCAGTTCCGCACTGCCAAGCATCTTTTTGACCTTTAGCTTTCAATCTAATTACATGTGTCAATATCTTTTAATAAATATAGTATATGTTCGAATAGTTATCATACCTTACAATGATTCTACCGACAGCTTTGGATGTTGAACTATAATTTTGACTATTTGCTATTTCTGGGGGAATTGGTACGATTTTTGACATACTATTTATTGTTCGAACATGTTGTATGTATTCATTTTGAAATAAACCTTTTTCTGCACTTTCTTGTTGCAATGGTTTTATTTCGTTCATTATTAATATTTGCTCAACTTGAAGTTATGAGAGATTCTTAATCATTTTTTGACTAAATTTTTTTATTTTTAATTTTTTTTTTTGCTGATAAAATATCTTTTTAATATTTTAATACACATGTATTCATGAGAATAGAACAATCAATAGTTCATAACGATTGACCATATAGCTCGAAACCTTGGTTTAGAATATAGAACAGAAACATCTGGTGAATGGGATTCCAAACTCTAACATTGATTAGTTTTATAAATCAATGTAAGAGATTTGTATAAATGTATTTGTAAAAAATAAATATTTAAACTTTTATTATTTAATTGTTTAGGTTGTACAATGTAAATTTTATTACTATTAGTTGGATCTTTTTTTATTGACAATTTGAATGGTTGGTATAATTACTTATGATTGAAAATGATTTATATAAGATTGCAAGTGTTGAGCATTATCTTGAATGAATTGATCATCAAGAATATAATTGCTATATACATGCCAGAATAATGGGTGTGTAACTGAGAGGGCAACATTTCCTGTTTCTTGAGTTCCTCCGAGATGAACACCTACAAACTTTCTTTCGTGTTGACTGCTTGCGATAATACCACCTGATGAGCCTCTGAGTGTTGGACAACGATGTGAGAGTATATTATCAATGTATCTGGTAACTTTGCCAACACATACTGTTTTTTTCTGAAAACCACATGACTCTTTGTTCACATTACTATAGAGCGACAGCACGGTATCATTGATTACTCCACCGTAGTCTGACACAAATCTCTTCAATTCTATGTGACCTGGATATCCCATGACATAGTGGTCGATCTCTGTAATAATTTGGTTATTTGGTTCTGGAATCATTGGAAATAGAATGTTGGTGTTTGTTGGTATTGTTCCAGAGAATCTGAGAATAGCTAAATCGTTGGGAGTATCCCACCTGTATCTTTGGTCATTGTCACCAGTGACAATCAAAGAAGGTACATGATTGGAAGGTATTGTGTACGGATAGGTCACCAACTCAAAAATTCTCTCATCATTGTCAATATTTGAAAGGTTGATTTCCATGTCCATGGTGGCATCGGTACCAAAGAATATATAGATCTTGTGGAATTTAAGATTTCTTTGCATCTCTTGAGTTTCTTTTGGTGCATTTGTATCGACAGGATATGCAATGACATGAGCTGCTGTCATAACAAGATCGTTCTTCACACGAAATCCAGTTCCACAAAACCAAACTGGTTCCACCTTACCTGGTTCATTAAAACTAATAAAAAATTAGTATCTTTATTCAATATGAGTGGTTCATACATACCTAACGAATATTCTACCTATAGCACTTGATGTATTTTCAAATGTTTCTTTGTCTTGCACACCATGTTTATTTAATATCTTTGATCTACTGTTAAATGTTAATATTTGTCCGATTGTTTCTCCATTTTCATTGTGGAACACTAATTCAGCAGCATTAGGACCTAAAGAAATGATTTCTGGATCCATTCAATTCTCTTTTGTTTAAATATATATTTAATATGCAGTGATGCTCTTAAAGATTGAAATGAAATGTGAAACAAAAAGTTTAATTTTACAATCATAATGAAAGGTTAACAAACATTACTCAAAAGTGGGAATGAACAATACACAGTCATTCTTTGAAAGTTTTAAAATTGGGCGATATTTAATGCTACAACCATTTTGTTTTTACTTTTTAGTTCTATTTTTAGTATAAATTCCCTCATCTCAATCGATGAGATAGTTTTTTTTTGATTTTTTTTTTTTTTAAGGAGGATTCGATAGAATTCCTTGTTTGGAACATATTTCAGTTTCTTGAATATTCATATTAATCAATATTTTTGATTCTCTGTACAGAAAGACAAGCATGGGTTGTTATAACAGATACTTCTTTACTAAATTGAGTTCCAAACAAGGAATTTTAAGATATTACTATCTCATCCGCAGTTGTATTAAAAGATAAAAATAAAAGGTTAAATGTTTTATCAATGTTGAACAAAAGAGTGGTGTAAATTTAAAATTTTACAAAAAAATTAAAATTTGAAAAAAAAAAAATAACCATGATCAATTTTTTTTAATATATTTTCATCAAAGTTAATAAACAAACTTTTTTTTTTAAATCATATGTATAGTAAATGTCTATTTTTAATAGTAAGTATTATTGATATAATCAATGATGAACTAAGTATACTGATAGTTAAAATTTTATAGATAATAATGAAGGACCACGACCACTTGATCCCAATGATGTGAATGAATTGAAAGATTTTAATGATATTAACAATGGCGTTAATAATAATATAATACCAATTGCAAATATCAATCAGTTTAATGGAGGTAGAGGAGGTGAATTACCTCCAGATCCTGATTCTAATGTAGATGCTTCGGCAAACGGTGTCATTCAAACTGAAAACAATACTGATATCATCGAACTCTATCCAGTCAGCGATAACTTTACATATTTTGGCAGTCCAAGCTCGGTCATACCTGAAACGTATGGCGAGCGATTCACACACAACAATAGAGGAGTCATAGACGGAGATATTTCAATGTTTAACAGCAAGACTGAACTTGTAAACTCAGAGATCACCTCGATCAGTTACAAAAAAGATATAGAAAAGATAGCTAAATCTGTTGGTAGATTATTTATAAGGTAACTTACTCTATATTATTGTAAAATAACTTATTCATTTAACTAAAACAACATGTTTTTTTTTGATCAATAGGTATAAAGATGATAAAGACAATCTATTTTGGTTTACAGGAACTGGATTTTGTATATCTAGAGATAAAGTCGTAACTGCAGCACAACTAGTGAGACCAAAGAAACAAAACAATGATTCGACACTGACGTTGGACAAGATATTCATATTTTTCAAAAGCGATGCAACTGTAGAAGAGGAGATAGAGCTATCGACCATCGAAAGAGAAGAGGATTTCTATGAATTGCAACCAATAGTTGATTTACAACAATATCAAAATCATAAACTGACATACACAAAGAATCAACAGCATTACAATTGGTCGGTGCAACACAGTCTCGAAATTTTGCAAGTTGTTGGTAATGCACCTGCCAATGCCCAATATATTTTACCTGCGTTACCATCGATAGCACATCCGATATTGACCAACTCTGACTCGAACAAATTCTACCTAATAGGCTATCCACTGTATATAGAAGAAGATGAATTTAAGAGGTGGTATAAAGACAGCAGAAACAACATAGACAGAGAATATGAGATTAATTTCAATAATTTATATAAGCTGGCATCGAGATACACCAAAGCATTTCAACGTAAGACCATTTCATTCTCGGAAGTCGCTGATATATCGGACAACGAACTTAGTGCGCATCAAATACCCTCGTTGGCCGGTTGCAGTGGTGGTGTGATCGGTTCTGTAAGAAAAGGAAATCAATTCTTAGGAATTCACATTGGAGGTGTAGAATCTCTTTTTACCAACTTTGCAATCTCTGTAACGCACCCACTCTTTTATGAAATCTACAAAAAATATGTACTATCAGATCCTTCATTCTTGGAAAAACATGAACCTATATTGAAACCATATATTAATTATTGTGAAAACATCTTAATTAATAATAATAAAAATAATAATAACGGTTAATTTTTTAGTTAAATAGTTTGCATATTTATTATTACATGAAAGATTTAAATATCAATAACTGAAATAAATAGGTGTACGGTTTTTTTTTTTTTCGTATGATTTAATTTTATTCTTATTGAATTATCTAATAGGTTGGATAGATACGTTATGTTTGTAACAACAAATTTCTGTTTATGTGGTCGGTATTGCCTATTCACATCATTGGTCTCCAGAAAGTGTAATAGTTGTAGATGCTAATGTTGATGGTGTATAATTAAAATGATTTAAATAATGTTGTAAGTGTTGAAGGTTATCTTGAATGAATTGATCATCAAGAACTAAAGTTTTATAAACATGCCAGAATAATGGATGTGTGACTGAGAGTGCAATATTTCCTGTTTCTTCAGTTCCTCCGAGATGAACACCAACAAACTTTCTTTCGTGTTGACTGATTGCAAGAATACCGCCGGATGCACCTTTGAGTGTTGGACAGCGATGTGATATCACTTTATCATCGACTCTGGTAACTTTTCCAATGGAGACAGTCTTTCTTTGGAAACCACGTGATTCTCTGTTAACATTGATGAAGAGGGTCTCTAAATTTTCTGCTGTTCCCTGGTAGTCGGATATAAATTTCTCTAATTCTATGTGACCTGGATAACCCATGACATAGTGATCGATCTCTTTATCATCAGCCGGTATCATTGGAAATATAATGTCGATGTCTGTTGGTGGTGTTCCTTTGAATCTGAGAACCTCTAAATCGTTTCGTGTATGCCAACTGTATGGTTGATCATTGAGGTCATTGACAATAAAAGAATCATTAAATGCATAATCATAATCTCTTCCACATGACTCCAACTCATACATTTCCTCGGTGTCAATATTTTTAAGATCGATCTCATTGCCAATGGAGGCATCAACACCAAAGTATATATAGATCTTGTCATATTCAAGATTTCTTTGCATCTCTTGAGTTTCTTTTGGTGCTTTTGTATCGACAGGATATGCAATGACATGAGCTGCTGTCATAACAAGATTATTTTTCACATAAAATCCAGTACCACTGCACCAAACTGGTTCTTTTTCACCTATTACATTATATCTATCGATAGATAAAAAAAAAATAATAGAATCATTATTAAATAATTATGTCAACTATTGTCATATCATACTTTACAAATATTCTTCCTACAGCACTCGATGTATTTTCATAAGACTCTTTGTTTTGAAAATCACTTTTTCCAATCTTTGATTTACTATTAAATGTTATTATTTGTCCAATTGTTTGTCCGTTTTCATGAAAGACTCTTTCTAAAGAGTCGGAACTCAAAGGAATTATAACAAGATTCGAGATTGCTTGAGTTATTTCTTCAACTCGAGGTTCCATCTTATAAATATATGTTAAACAAAATAAATAAATAAATAAAAGTGATATGAAACTATGTTGAGCTACAGCTAATATAAATAAATTAAGAATCAAACCTTTAAGTTTTTTATTTTTTTTAAAAATGATCATTAAATTTATTTTTATTTTTTTTATTATTATTTTTTTTTTTTTTTGATACACTGACTGATCGCATCCGATGACTTTCTATCTCACCAAAGTACTTTGCAGACTTTATAGTTTGGTATCGATTAAACTACCTTTAATCAACAAAGTAAATAAAAATATCTAATTGGCAAAATCGAACATATTGGTATAGTTTTTTATTGATTAGTGTTTTCACATACAGAAATTGATGTCGTTGTGGATGAAGATATATAATTAAAATGATTTAAATAATGTTGAAGGTTTTCAAAGTTATCTTTAATGAATTGATCATCAAGAACAAAGTTTTGATAAACATGCCAGAATAATGGATGTGTAACTGAGAGTGCAATATTTCCTGTTTTTTGTGCACCACCGAGATGAACACCAACAAACTTTCTTTCGTGTTGACTGATTGCAAAGATACCACCTGACGCACCTTTGAGTGTTGGACAGCGATGTGATATAACATTATCTTTGGATTTGGTAACTTTTCCAATGGAGACAGTCTTTCTCTCGAAACCACGTGATTCTTTGCTCACATTGATGTATAGGGTCTCTAAATTTTCGTTGGTTTCCTTGTAGTCTATTTTAAATTTCTCTAAATCTAAGAGACCTGGATATCCCATGACATAGTGGTCGATTTCTATGTCATTGGTCGGAATCATTGGAAATAGAATGCCAATGTTTGTTGGTGGTGTACCTTTGAATTCGAGAACCTCTATATCGTTGGGTGTATCCCAACTATATGATTGACCAGTGTCGTCTGAGAAAATCAAAGGATCTCTGAACGAATTATCGAAATCTCTTCCACATGACTTCAACTCATGCATTTTCTCCATTCCGATATTTGTAAGATCGATCTCATTTCCAATGGAGGCATCAACACCAAAGTATATGTAGATCTCTTCATATTTCAGTTTTTTTTGCATCTCTTGAGTTTCTTTTGATGCATTTGTATCGACAGGATATGCAATGACATGAGCTGCTGTCATAATAAGATTCTGCTTCACACAAAATCCTGTTCCACATATCCAAGTTGGTTTTCCTAATACATTAAATCTGTAACATCAACAAATAAAAAAAGAAAGAATTCAATAAATGATGTTTAGTCCAAAACTAATTCAAAAAACATACTTTACAAATATTCTTCCAATAGCACTCGATGTTTTTTCATATGTTTCTTTGTGTTGCAAATCTGGTTTACCTATTATCTTTGAACGACTGCTGAATGTTATTATTTGTCCGGTTGTTTCACCTCCAACGTGAAACACTAATTCAGCAGCGTCTGATCCCAAGGGAATGATTTTAAGTTCTGATAATTTTGTTACTGCTTCTTCTTCATCTTGTGGCCTCATCTTTAAAAATATATATAGTCGCTAGACAAAATAAATAAAATTCAAACAGTGGTGAAATGAAACGTTATTGGAAAAAAAAATATCTTTTTTTTTTTTTGATTTGAGAAATGTTTGGAAATAAATTTGGAAAAAGAATATTTTGGCCACGACCAATTTTTTTTTATTATTATTGGTACAAAATTTATGGTGTAGGTGCATGGTTAATGTGATTTAAATAAAGTTCCAAATTTTTAAGGTTATCTTGAATGAATTGATCATCATCAAGAACAAAGGTTCGATAAATATGCAAGAATAATGGGTGTGTGACTGAGAGTGCAATATTTCCTGTTTCTTCAGTTCCTCCGAGATGAACACCAACAAACTTTCTTTCATGCTGACTGATGGCAAAAATACCTCCTGAAGCTCCTTTGAGCGTTGGACAGAGATGTGAAATCACATTTTCATTTGACCTGACAACTTTACCAATGGAGACAGTCTTTCTCTGGAAACCACGTGATTCTTGGTTCACTTGAACGTAAAGGGCTCCTAAATTTTGCTCTGTGGATCCCTTGTAGTCGGATATAAATTTCTCTAATTCTATGTGACCTGGATATCCCATGACATAGTGGTCGATTTCTATGTCGTTAGTTGGAGGCATTGGAAATATAATGTTGATGCCTGTCGGTGGTGTTCCTTTGAATCTGAGAACCTCTAAATCGTTTCGTGTATGCCAACTGTATGGTGTATTTTTGTGGTCAGTGACAATAAAAGGATCATTAAATTTATAATCATAATCTCTTCCACATGACTCCAACTCATGCATCGTCTCCACATTAATATTAGTAAGATCGATCTCACTTGTGATGGTGGCATCAGGACCAAAGAATATATAGATCTTGTCGTACTTAAGATGAATATCGACAGGATATGCAAGTACATGAGCTGCAGTCATAACAAGATTATTCTTCACACAAAATCCAGTACCACTGCACCAAACTGGTTCATTTTCACCTTTTACATTATATCTATTTAATAGAAATTATTAAAAACCTTCATTTCAAACTATCTAATACTGTTCAACATACTTTACAAATATTCTACCAACACCGCTCGATGTATTTTCATAGGCTTCTTTGTGTTGTAAAGATTTTCCAATAATCTTTGAATTACTATTCAAAGTAACTATTTGTCCTATTGGTTTTCCGTTTTCATGAAAGACTCTTTCTGCGGAGTCGGGACTCAAAGGAATTGGATCTGATGTAGTCAGATTCGACATTTCTTTTTCTACTTTATCCAAAGGTTGCATCCTTTTGTTTTTTGTTAATAAAAAATAATAAATTATATCTACAAATAAATAAAATATGTATTATGAAACAATGTGTTGAGGCAAATGCTTGTTGGTTTTTAGTCTCAAAAAAAAATTAAAAAATTAATTTTGGCTCCTTTTTAATCTTGATTTCGATTTTTCATTTTTGGGATGTTCTTTCATTTGAGTAGAATACACCACATTCGTGTTTGATAAGCTTCTTATATCTTTTAATATTAATTAAATTGAAAAAGAAAAATATACAGATTAAAAAAATTTTAAATATAATAAAAATAGATATAGATACAGATATTAGCGCTAAAGTTATGTAAGCATCTATGAGTTAGATTTAAATATTCTTTTTTTTTTTTTTTTTTTCTATTAAATGATAGATGGAAGTAGGAATAATTGTGATTTATTTAATAGTTTGTTGTTATTATAAATGATCAAAAGAGAAGATATTATTACTCTATAGTTGTGTTGATTCTAATACTTACATATTTTAATATGATTAAAATATATTAAATATTGCTCCAAATGTTTACGATTATCTTGAATGAATTGATCATCAAGAACATATGTTTTGTAAAGATACCAGAATAATGGGTGTGTAACTGAGATTGCAAGATTTCCGATGTCGTGTCCTCCACCGAGATGAACACCAATAAACTTTCTTTCGTGTTGACTGCTGGCAAAAATACCACCCGATGTACCTCCGAGTGTTGGACAGCGATGAGTAATCACATTCATTTCTGATTTGATAACTTTTCCAATGCAAACAGTCTTTCTCTCGAAATGATTTGAATCAATGAACACTTGTTTATAGAGATTCTCTAAATCGATAAGTTTCACAGAGGTTCCCTTATGGTCAGTTATAAATTTATCTAAATTTACATGACCTGGATATCCCATGACATAGTGATCGACGGATAGGTCATTGGTTGGAAGCATTGGGAATAGAATATCTATGCTTGCTGGTGGTGTACCTTTGAATCTGAGAACCTCTAAATCGTTGGCTGGAATCCAATTATTTGGTTTACCATTGAAGTCAGTGACAGAAAAAGGATCTTTGAATAATTGTTCAAAATCTCTTCCACATGACTCCAATTCATACATATAATCCACATCCATTTTGTTAAGAATGACCTCAACACCCATGGTGGCATCGTTTCCAAAGTATATATAGACTTTTTCATATTTCAGATTTCTCTGCATCTCTTGGGTTTCAATTGGTGCAGTAGTATCTACTTCAAATGTAAGTATATGACCTGCAGTCATAACCAAATCTTTCTTTACACAGAATCCAGTTCCACTTGTCCAAACAGGTTCCACTTTACCTGGCACCTGATATCTTTTGAATAGAAACTATTAATAACTTTCTTTAACTAGGGTTCAGAAGGTATATTATTACTTTATAAATATTCTTCCAACAGCACCTGATGTTTTTTCATAGAATTCTTTGTTTGCCACAACTTTTACAAGCTTTGATCTTGAATTAAAAGGAACTATTTGTCCAATTATTTTTCCATCTTGATCAAATACTTTTTGTAAAGAGTGTCTACTCAATAAAATGGGATTTGATGTACATTCACAAAGATTCGACATTCCTTTCCACTTTATTAATTACAGGTTCGATTTGACTTTTCTTAATAACAATATATTATATCCACCAATAATATTTAAAATTTAGAAACAATATTGAGGTAAAAGAATACTTTTTTTTTTTTAGATTTGTTTTTGTTTTGAACTTGAAAGGACCTCACCCTTTTGTACTGCTCTGATCAGATTCATCATTTTCTTTTCAAAAAAACTGGTACTCCACTAACATTCCCTTTATAGAAAGTATTAAATTTAGCTAACGGGAACTCAAAAAGATCGCTGTTGAAATTTTTTAAAAAAAAATAAAAACAACTTCTCATAAAAATAAAAGCCACGTCTCATAAAAAAGAAAGAAAATAATGAAATTCTTTTTTTTTTTTAAAAAAAAAAAATTTAATAATATGAATAATTTGGTACAATATTCATCACTCTCATCTTCGTAATCAGATTTCTTCTCATTGACTACGTAGTCCATTTACATTTTCTATCAAATTATTTTTTAAATGAAATTTAAAAAAATAGATCAGAATCGAAATACACCTAAGAATTCTTACGTAAAATCATTTCAACTGATTTTTTTTTGAAATCTTCAAAATATATATATTATCAGATTTAAATTTTATTGGAAAAAATAAATCAACACTACACCCCTACATTGAATATTCAATATCTTTAATATTTATTTAATAATAATGACAATAAAGGTTAAACTGAAAAAGAAAGTATTATTTCCAATAAAAAGATAGATGGAGAGCGGATGAGGAATTATTGAGATTTATTTAATAGTTTGTTATTACATAAATGTTCAACAGAGAAGATATTTGACATTATTTCTCTATAGTTGTATCGATTCTAATACTTATAATTAAAATAATCTAAATATTCCTTCAAATGCTTACGATTCTTTTTATCTTTAATGAATTGATCATCAAGAACATATTTTTCGTAAAGATACCAGAATAATGGGTGTGTAACTGAGATTGCAAAATTTCCGATATCTTGTGCTCCACCTAGATGAACACCAAGAAACTTTCGCTTGTGTTCAATGTTTGCAAAAATACCACCTGACATACCTCCAAGTGTTGGACAGCGATGAGTAATCACTTTCTTATCTGATTTGTTAACTTCTCCAATACAAACGGTCTTTTTCTGGAAATATCTGGTATCATTGATCACTTGGTTATAGAGATTCTCTAAATCGGTAAGATTCGCAGTGGTTTCGTTGTGTTTAGCTATAAATTCATCTAAAGTTACGTAACCTGGATATCCCATAACATAGTGATCGACGGATAGGTCATTGGTTGGAAGCATTGGGAATAGAATGTCTATTTTTTTTGGTTTTTTTCCTTTGAATCGGAGAACCTCTAAATCGTTGTCTAGAATCCAATTGTGTTGATTACCCTTGAAGTCAGTGACAATGAAAGGATCATGGAATATTTGATCAAAATCTCTTCCACATGACTCCAATTCATACATATAATCCACATCCATTTTGTTAAGAAAGACCTCAAAGTTGATGGTGGCATCATTACCAAAGTATATATAGATCTTTTCGTATTTAAGTTTAAGTAAATGACCTGCAGTCATCACCAGATCTTTCCTTACACAGATTCCAGTACCACTTGTCCAAAGAGGCTCCACTGTACCTGGTACTTGATATCTATTGAATAAAAACTATTAATAACTTTATTTCACAATGTTTCAAATTGTATATCATTACTTTATAAATATTCTTCCAACAGCACCCGGTGTTTTTTCATAGACTTTTTTGTTGGGCACATCTCTTACAACCTTTGACCTTGAATTAAAAGTAACTATTTCTCCGGTTGTTTTTCCGTCTTGATTAAATACAATTCCTAAAGAGTGGTGACTCACTAAATTGGGATTTGAGGTTTTTAGATTTGAAATTCCTTTTTCCACTTTATTAATTATAGGTTCCATTGAAATTTTCTTAATATCTATAAATATTTTATAATATTAAAAATATTTAGAAACATACTTTAATAAAGATTATTGGAGCAAATTATTTTTTTTTTGACAAAGGGTCCCACACTTTGGTCCTGTGTAGATCAGATTCATTATTTTCTTTCTCTCCACGGACATTCCTTTTTTAGAAAGTATGAATGGGCATTCGATTTATAAAAAATAAAATAAAAATCAGATTAATTTTAAAGCGCATGCCACGTCTCACTGCAAATGAAAGAAAATGTTGAAATTCTTGTTTTTTTTTGTTTTTTAATTTTCTACAATACTTATTCATTGTATCTTCTGAGTCATCAGATTTTATTTAATTGACTACGTAGTCCATTTGATGATTTATTTTTACTCTTTTAAAACTTTGAGAGTGACAGAGCGATAAAAAGATTTGAAGAATAGGATCCAATTTTTCTACAACAATAGTTCTCTTTTAACAAGAAGTGGTTTGAAAAATTTTTTTGTCTTTATAGGTTTTATTCGATTTTGCTCTTACTTATTGGAGATATTACAATAACTTTTAATTTCAATTAATAGTTTAGAGTAAAAATTGAAAACAAAATTAAAAATTGTTTTTGAGAGATGATTCATTTAAATTTGATATTTTTATTTTTATTATTTGTTTTATTTAAAGGTTTGAAGATATTTTTATATGAAATGCCTTCAAAACAAAAAAAAGAAAAAGTAAAATCAAAAAAATATCTTCAAACCTTTAAATAAAACAAATAATAAAAATAATTTATGAATCATTTGAAATAATAGTGATGGTAGAAATTGAACCCAATCAAGAAAATAATAAGTTGGTTTAGAAAATATTCACAATTGATCTTCAAACAGAACAATATACCAACACTACAATTCCAGATATTGCAGTTGGTCTACCATCCAATTTCTTGGGAAATATGTTTTGTGCTCAATAAATCAATTATTTATACAGGTCGACTATTGATCAAAATAAATATTTTTTTTTATTTTAGTTCAATAATCGGTCAAAACATATATTTTGATTAATGATGAATTTTGTATTAATAAATTCGATATGATTTGCTATAATTATAATATATATTTAAAAGTAATCCATTATGGAGGTAGTAGATCGTTATTTTTAGGAAAATTAAAGTTATTAATATAGTTAATGTAGGGTTGGAGTTGATCTCGATGTTTCGACATGAAATGTTGATCGGAAAGAATGTGTTTTTGGTAGACATAACAGAACAGTGGGTGAGTAACTGAAATGGCAAAATTGGTGTGAATATCTGTGTCGTTGGAACCACCTATGTGAACACCAAGGAATTTGTTGGCTTCATTACTGCTTGCGATGATTCCACCAGACATTCCTTTGAGTGTTGGGCATTGATGAACCGAGAGATATTGGTTGTCGTGGATATGCGCACTCTCACTTAGTGCAATAGTTTTCTTTTGGAAACCACTGGTCATCTTATTGACAGAGTTGTAAAGCTCTTTCATATCCACATCCTTGCCTTGGTAGTCATCTTGGAAAACTTCGAGTTCAATATGTCCTGGATATCCACAACACCAAAATTCTTTTAAATTTTCTTTGCTTGTGAACGATGGTAACAAGTATTCTTCTCTTCGTTTCTGCGGGTTCTTGAATCGCAGTACCTCTATATCATTTTTTATTGTCTTCCATTTGTAAGAGACACTCTTATTATCGTCTGTTTGCTTTATATACACCAAGTGATCTTTAAAGTGTTGGTCAATGTCTTGTCTGCCACAGGTTTCCAACTCGTAGAAATCATCGTTCTCCTCCAAGCTGTTGGTGTCAACTTCGTGGTCAATGCTGGTGTCTGGAATAAAACAAATATAAATCTTATCCATACTCCAAGAAACATCGTCAGACAAACTACTTCGACTGTTTATTCTTTTTATTGAAGTCAAACCACTTGTTGTTGTTGTCGTTGAGTTATTCAGATCAAAGTTGACGACATGTGCAGCTGTTATCACCTTGTCATGACTCACACAAAATCCAGTTCCAGTGAACCACGATATTTTGTCACCACCTTTTAATCTAATAACAAAAAAACATAGATTAAATTTTATGAGTAACGCAACCAAAATTAAGAATATGTAACATATATATTTACCTTACAAATATTCTTCCAACTGAATTTGATGTAACTTCCAAATTTGATCTCTTTGTGCACTCTAATTTAACACTGGATGGAATTTTTGATTTACTATTCAAAGTAAATAAATGTCCTTCTACTTTTCCCGATTGATGAAAAACTCTTTCAGCACAGTTCATATTGAGTAAAACTTTGCTAGGGCTGGCGGGTGGTGTGGTCTTGTAGTTGCTAAGTATACTGCCACTCAAATTCAATCGTTTCATACTCTGTGTATTTAGAGCATCATTATCTTTATCTTTATCTATATCTTTTTCTTGTGTCACAACAATCGGTGGCAACTCCTCAACAGTGGATTTCACTATAATAGTTTATATAAAATGTGAAAAAAAAAATAATTTGTGTTAATAAAAGATTATTGCATTATACAATATTGGGTTTTCTTTTATTATTGACAACACTACACACTTCTTTTGTAACACATATCATCAACACTAAAAATAAAAAAAAACTTCTATTTAAAAATAACAAATTACTAATTACTCTTTGCTATAGTTAAGATTATAATGACCGTTCTTGTGTATTTTAGTTATATTAATTGTTATTAATTAATATTAAAATTAATGATAACTTTTTCTCACTTAAAAAATTTTACTTTTTTTAATTATTTTTTTTAAAAATAGGATTTTTAGTTTGGTTTTGTTTTTCTTTGATTCCTCAAATTCGCCAACGTTCACAAAGAATTTCGATGTGAGAAAAAAAAATGATCAAAGAAATTTTCATCATCATTCATTTGTGGTGGGGTTTTTTGGGGTTGGTGGGTATTATTTTTATCATTTTTTTTTTAATGAGTTGGTTTTTGCAAAACTTTAATTTTTAGTTTCACAAAAATTTAACAAATTTTTAATTTATATTATTAAATCAACACGTTCTTCTTTTAAATGAATAAGATTAAATATTGTTTGTTTTGTTTTTGTTTTTTTGTTTCGCTTTTAAATATTTATATGTATGGCGAGTTTTTTAAAAAGCGTTTACAAATATGTATATCCCGACACAAAAGATGAAAACAGTGATCCATCATCGGTTGCATCAGCAGAGTCAACAACTGTACCTTGTCCACCGGAAACACCAGAACCAATTGTATATACTTCACTTTCACCTATAGTACCTAGAGAGGATTTCTTCACAACACCTGCAAATGAAGAGAAAGCGAAAGAAATAGATAAAGATATAGAGAGAGACGAAGTGAATGATGATACTTTAGAGAAAGTTAAAGAGATAGAGAAGGAGAGTGTAAAAGATACTTTGGTCAAGTCAAATTCAAGTACTCCTATCAGAATATCAAAGAATGAAACCGATCTTATTATGGTTCACACGAAAACCAAAGATTTTATGTATATTGGCGAATCGTATGCTGTTGTCTCAAAGTACGTTGGAGAGTTGTTATTTCATGACATCAGAGGCGAGATCGAAGGTTGTATTAGTATTTTCAATAGTAAATCAAAGATTTATCTACCAGAGGCAGTAGCAAAGACAGTAGCAAATAGAGATTATATAGAAAAGTCTGCCACAACTGTTGGTAGAATATTTATAAAGTAACTATCTTTTATTATTATTATACTTTAAATATTTGTTTATGTTAACTTTATTTATTATCTTCAGGTATTTAAATAATGATAATGAAAATGTATGGTATACAGGATCGGGTTTCAGAGTGAGTGAAACGCATATCATGACATCTGGACAGTTGGTCAAGCAGAAAAAGAAATTGAAATTGGACAAGATATTCATTTGTTTCGAGAACGATACGACTGTTGGCGAGGAAATCGATTTCAGTGAAATAGAAACATCGGAGTATGTGTTTGAATTGACATCGATTTTGGATGACACAGACCAACCCGATCGCAAAGACAAGCTTGGTGTTGAGATTCTAAAGTTTGTCAACCGCGCACCAAGCAAAACTAACTATGTATTGCCTGTGATGCCAGACCCCAAAACTTTGAATTACTTTGTCATTGCGTATCCGGGCTATGTCGATTTCGACGAGTTTCGACAGCGCTACAAAGATGATAGCGATACCAAGCAAGTCTTGGAGCAACTGTACAAACAGGTGTCGCGGGACACCAAGAATACCCAACACAAAACCATATCGATCATAGGCAACATGAAGAAAGAGAATGTAAATATTTCAAACAGAGAGAGAAGCACACACAAGTGTCCGTCGTTGGCCGGATTCACCGGTGGATTGTTAGGGTCAGTCCGCAAAGGTCATCAATTCGTTGGTATTCACATGGGTGGAGACAAATATACCAACGAAAACATCGCGCTCTCTGTCACCCACCGCAATTTTTTCGACCTCTATAGAAAATACATTTTGAGTATCGAAGGATTTCAAGATATTCATAGCGATACACTTCAGCCTTACATTAAATATTGGTCGGAAATAATTAAAAAAGAAAACGACATGATTGCACGGAATGAAGAGCGTGAAGCACAAGAATCACCAAGATATCATTATAAAAATTAAAAGTGTAATTATATTTATCAATCTCATTGATTACTAAATTTGGCAATTAAACAACAGCAGACCAGGTTAATCAAAAAAAAAAAAAAACAAAAAAAAATAAAAATAAAACCCTTTTTTGAAAACATTAAATAAAATTATTATTTGTGTGACTTAAACCAGAGAGAAGTTGAACATAGTTATTCGGTTGCTTTGCGAATTAAGTTGTTCTCAAGTTTTTAATTTTCAAATATTGATCAATGGGTTGTGTGGGTGAACCAAACTGTTTTTTTTTTTTTTTTTTATTTCTCAATTTTTTTTTTGGATGACAAAGCAATTAATATAAATTAATCTGGACAATCCATTTATTAGATCCAAACAGTTAAATTTATTAATATCACCAATTTATTGTAATATTACTTTTGTTATTATAACAAATTAAATTTTATTTTTGTTATTTTTATTTATTTCTATATAGTTTCAAAGAATTCTTCTTACCATAGCTATCTATAAGAAGAATCAGAAAAAGCAAAAATCTTTCATTAGTCAATTTATAGCATGGAATTATTAAGAGTTAACGAACATCATCAGTATAATAGTGATTCAACAGACTTGATACCACTATATCCAAAAACAGACAAATTCTATTACATTTCACAATCTTCAGGCATCATTCCTGTGAAGACAGCGGATGAACTTGTATTCCAGAGTCAAGGTAATATCGAAGGCCAAATTCATACATTCAATAGCAAATCAAAACTATCAGAGAATATAAAGAACAAGCTCAATATTGAGTCATTATCTACCTCGGTTGGTAGAATCTTTATTTTGTAAGTAACCTTTTAAATAACACTTTGTAAATCAAGAATTAAGTACTAATGACGTAAATTATTATACAGATGTCTTGAGGAAAGCAGGAATCAAGAATATTGGGTATCATGCAGTGGATTCTGTGTCAGTCAAGATATAGTGGTCAGTTCGGCCCTAAAGGATAGCGTTGGAGTCACCAAAAAAAGAGTTTATATATATTTCGGAGTCGATGCAACTGTCGGCGAGGAATTGGATTTGGATGACATCGAAGATAACCCAGATGTCTATGAATTGAAAACCGTCAAAAGAAACGATCAGATTGAGTTTTTTAGATTCAGCGACGAAGATTCCCCACCTAATGTTAAGTACCTGCTGCCAACCATCGCAGAACCCTCATTGGATCAGCAGCCCATTCTCATTGGATTTCCTACCTACACCAATATGGACGATTTCAGAGATGATTTCTCTGGCGATTCAGCTGGACTGTCGACATCGGACATCGACGGCATCTACAGAAAGCTATCGAGAGACACCAGAGGTTTCCAACGTCGTATTGTTTCCATTTCCAAGACACCAATTTCATCGAGTGATAGCAAAACCATCAAACACAAGTGCAATACATTATATGGAATGACAGGTGGCGCACTCGCAACCGGCCAAACCGATTATCAGTTTATCGGTATTCACTTGGAGGGATTAAAATCCGAACAATCAAACATTGCACTTTCAGTTACCAGCGCCAGCTTCTTTCAGTTCTACAAAACCTATGTTTTATCCAACAACAGCTTTTTAAAGAGACATGGCTCCACCTTACAATCATACATTGATCATTGTCAAAAGTTGAATCTCTAAGCAAATGTACAATCGACAAACTTAGCGCGCAACTTCACCAACCCAGCTCACTTTTATTTTACATATCAACAACTCCAACTACTGTATAAAAAATCAAACATACAACAACATTTTTTTATTTTATGTATCTATCTATCTATCTATCAATAAAATATAAAAACCTCGCCTTTATTGGCGAAAATGTGTTTATTGTGTTGTTGTGGTTGGTCAATAATTTAGTTATCAATAGTCAATCTATTGATAAGACTAATCATAATTTAATTCATTTCCAAAAAAAAAAAAAATGAATAATAATAAAAGATCCTTCTCACTTTTATTATTCTAATAATAAAAGAATTATTAATATTAAAGATTTTTTTATTTGATTAAATTTTTAATGAGCTCAAATTAATACTAACTTCCTGCAAATTTTTAAATTTGAAAATCATTCTAAACCGCCAAAAACTCAAATTTTTATCCGTTGAATATTTTTTTTGTTCATCTTTCTTCATTTTGATTAAAGTTGATAATTTAATTAATTATTTATTTATTGTTTATTTTTTTTATTTATTATTAATTATTTCTTTATTTTTAAATAAATATATTAAAGTTGAATAGAAAAATAATATATATCATAAAATGAGTACACCACTTAAAGTTAGAGATAACAAGATGTCTACTGGTGGAACTCCATCAAAGACAAAGAGTGGAGCTAGTGGTACAACACCATTAAAGAGTAGACCAATCAATAATAACAATAGCAATTCAACGATAGAAAAAGTTTCAACAACACCTACCGTTAAATCACCGAAATCATTAACTAAACCATCGAAATCAATATACGATAACAAAGAGAATCAAACCGAGAACATAGGTTATCTAGTTAGAAAAGCAAAGAATCAAACAAATGAAAGGTAACTATAATTTTATCTTTTCAATCATTTTAGAAATATATATTAATTATTTTTTAAAATATAGAAAGAGAAAGAGTATGGGTGTAAGTTTTGCAGAGACTGTTGAAATTAGAGTATTCGAAAAGATGGAATCAACTTTATCGACCAAGAAGAATCAATCCAAGAGACAGAGTACCGCTGCAATGAAATCCAGTCAACAATCACAACCATCTCCACAAAATCAATCACCTGATTCTGCTGAAAATATCGTTGAAAAAGTTGAAAATCAAATTGATAAAATTGAAGTTGAAAATAATAATAATATTATAGTAAATAGTAATAATAATAATAATAACAATAATATAGCATATAATAATAAATCACCTTTTGGTACTATTGATGAAGAAGAAGAGGATCTAAACGATCAAGATGGAATGACAATGGAGTTCACTGCTACTTTTCCAGGTCGTATCTATGTACCGTTGAAAGAACCAAATACCAACACTGATGGTGACCAGGAAATGTTTGACATGAGCCAGTGTTCGATGGATACCAGCCAGATTTCAGAGTTTGTATCGCAATCACCTGCACACAAGACAACCAAGAGATTTGTTGACCAGTCTCCACGTGGCACCCAGGAGAATCTTCCATCGCTCCTGTCGTTGGCTGCCGAAGAAGAAGATTTTGCCAATGCCGCCATCTTTAAGAAGCCAATGACACCCACCAATAAGTCTATATTGTCGTCCTCACCAGACTCTGACAATGGAAGCAACGATGGTGGTGGTTCGCCAATTCCCACACTCACTGACCTCTATGAAGAGGACATGACTGGCAATTTCAAGGAGATCGTTGCCAGACTTGGAAAGGTGGAATCTTCAGACGACGCTGAGGCCGAGACTGAGGTTGAGAGCCAACCAGAGGAACAAGATCTAACTACCAAATTCCACATTGAAAATGGTACTCAAGGTGCTGGTGGACGTCTTTTAAGTGTTCTCGATGATACCACTATGGATTTCAAAATACCAACTAAACAAGAAATTCAACAATACCAAGAGCAACAACAAGGACAAGAAGAAGAGCAAGAGCAAGAAGAAGAGCAAGAATATCAACAAGATCAAGATGATATGTCATTTACACAACCAGTAGGACATATTATTCAAATGGCAAAGAATGCTGAAAGACAAACTGATTTGAACCAATCAATTAACCAATCAATGAACCAATCTATGAACCAGTCAATGTGTGATGATATGACTATAACAAAATCATTTGGTGAGATTCTAATGGTTGTAAAGAAGAGAATGTCATTGAAATCCAACAACAATAATACTAGTATTTCCAAGTGGGATGTCAATGATGATGTTACCAATAACTTAAAGTGTTTAACTACACCCACCAAAACCATTGTTATCGATCATTCTACACTACTGGTAAACCCACAGGATCAACCACAAGAACCTCAGCCAATTCAAATACAACCAACATCGCACGTTTTCTATCATTCCACTACAAATAATCCTTTGGCAGAGTCAATGGTTACCAAGACACAGACCAACAGTGATTTCCAACATTTGAAACAATATACTTGCACTCCTTCTTTTACCAACTACGAAGGTGAGGATTCTTTTGTCTATGGCAAGCTTAATTTCAACCGTAGCAATATATCCGATGCCAAGAATGGATTGGTTCGTCCATCGCCCCAGACCGATGGTAGTGTCTTCCAGATTCCAGCCCCAAAGTCAAATTTCCCCAACACCCACCAAGCAGTAGGACCAGCTATTCCATCAAACTCGTCAGCCACTGCCGTCCCACAACAAGAGAAGCCAAAGAATATTCCACGTTTCGACAATGAGTTGGATGGTTCTCTCTACAGTATTGTTGGTTCCAAGCAGTTTGATGCTAACAACATGTCTGTGCGACAATCATCCATGATGATCGAAGACTTGATGTCACTCAGAGAGACTTCCTCCAGCTCCATCAAGAAGATCACATTTAATGAATTCCTCTACCTTTCAAACTGCCGATTCTTGGATGATCCATCTTCCAAGTCAAAACGTCCATCTCTTGTCGGAATGTTGGTCAACAACACCGACGAGAACGACGGTACCGATCTCCGTAGCCAGCTAGTAGCCGCCTACTGTTACAACCGCCAAAATGTCACATTCCGTGCTGGCTACGATGAATTGAAGGGAATGATCACATCGATCAACGAATTCAATCGTCTGGCCGAAGAGAAGATGAATCAACAGAATCCACCTATTTTCGCATTGATTCAACGTTCCACCAAAGACGATCTCATCAGCAAGCAACATCTCTTAAAGAAGATCAAAAACTCAACAAAGCTTTCAACTCAGAGCACCTATATTCAATGGCGATGTGAATTGGAGCGAAAGGTCAGCAGTGAGCTTACACTCTCCAAACAACAGTTGAGTGCCGACCTTGCTGCACTAGCTGAGCGTATCGAACAGACCAAAAACACTGAGCACCAGTTGTTGATGGAATTCCAATATCTAAAGAATCATCAACACCAACAGGAACTCCAGAAGCAAAAGCTCTCAGAGAAAATTGCCAACAAGACCAATGCAACCGATCAAAAGTTGGTCAATCAACTCAACGACGAACACAATCGTGTAGCTCAACTCACCAATGTTTCACATTGGACTGTTCTCCAGTGTTCTACCAACTCGATCTCTGTCCAGTATCAATCTCAATACATTAGATACTCGATTAACTTTAACTTATTGTCGACCAACAACAATGTAGTTACCTCCACCAAATTCTCAATGTCACCATTGATCTGCCAGAACAATCCAATCTCAAGACTAGAGTCAGAGTTGGTTGGAAAGTTACAGTTGGAAAAGAGTGTACTCTCAAAGATTACCACTTCCAAAGCCATCCGTGAAGCAATGACAACCGTATCAATTGCAATCAGTCGTGTTGAAAGACTATGCCAAGAACTCAAGCAATTGGAAACACTCTACAATCTGCGCATCATTCCATTCAGCAACACACCACTTACCTCTAGTAGCCAAGGTTTCGCTTATTCATCAGAGTCCAAGTCGCTAATGTTGGAAATTCAATTGTCTAATTCCAAACTCTATAGAAAGTTACTGTTACGTCTGCATGTTCCAGTCTCCTATCCAAGTGGCAACATTGAATACAGTTTCAAATCGCTGATTGGCAGTGTTGATTCCAAAGAGGTTTCAGAGATTATCAACTACAACTGTTTCGATAACCAGAGAAAAGGAAAACTTTCAAAGACCATTCAATCTTTGGATTCTCTACTCTCTGAATAGAATTTATCATCCATGTTTTTCCCAGTTGTAAAAATATTGTTAAATTTGGATTGAATTAATACAACTATCCAAACATTTGTAAATAAATAAAATAAAAGTAAAATAATTAATATTAAAAAAAAAAAGTTTAAACAACTTTTCATCGTTCTATCTTTTATTGTTATCTGTGACTCAAAAAAATTTAACAATATCAATTGTACCTAAAGCAAATAATGGTTGTAAATCTGTTTTTGTAATATTTGAATTCTATAAAGATGTTTAATTAGTTTCTAATTTACCAAATACATATTAATTAATATTTTGTACATACTGATGTTAATATTAACTTTGTTAAATGCTTTGAATATTGATTAATATTTTCAATTGATATAGGTGTAATATTTGATCTCTGTTCAATATAAATGATATTCATTAGTAAAATTACTTCTTTTAAGAAAATATAAAGTTTATAATTACCTCTAAGATTAATATATTTAAACTACTACAATTAATGAGTATTGGTAAAAGTTGTTCATCGTTGATCAGTGTACTACTTAAATCTAAATGATTAATAAATTTACTTCTTGAAAAGATTTTATTGATCATTGGTAAATCGAGACTATAAACAATAATGCAATTAATATATATGTATATTGATTTGATGTTATTAAGTTACTTACTTCCAAGATTTCAAAGACAGTGAAAGTAAATTTGGAAAATAAACATCAGTAGAATCGCCACCATCGGTGTTTGAGAGATCCAAAGATAGTAGGTTTGACGAAGATGCACTTATATTCGATACTTCTCTACAGTGAGAGATATCCAGTGACTTTAAATTTTGACATGATTCGAATATGAGGTTGACAATATCACTAGTTAACCACTGGTTATTAGTAATACTAAGTCGTTCTAGATGTATTAAATTCATCGCAATTGCACCAATATCCTCTCCTGTCATCTTTGACAATGAATATAAATGTAACTCTTTCATATTCTTGTATGTACATAGCTTATCGACGATTGTTTTGTGAAACAGATTATCCTTATATCTTCCACTTAATGACTAATTTAATGCAATGTTTAATATTAATATTAGGTTATTTATGATTTAGAACTGCAGTTTAATTTTAAACTATTATTTTTACTTACCAAATAATTAAGAGAAGGACATGACTCTAAGAATCTAAGAAACATAAATGATTCAATTGAACCAGGAAGTGAAAGTGATGTGATCGATGAAAGATATCGAAGTATCATAATGGTATTTGTATTCGATCGAAGTGTAGGCAGTTTAAGAGAAAGTAGTTTTGGTATTTCCGGTATTTGTTCCTCTTGTTGTGGTGGTGGTAGTTGTTCTTCTGTATATTCGTTGGCAGTTATCGTCGTTGTCGTTGTTGTTGTTGGTGTGATAGTCGGTGGTAGACATCCTTTAAATAAACCATTGATAAAGTTTATAGTGATACATTGATCTATTGAGAGATGTTTCAATCGTGACAGTAGGTAGGCATTGGCAAGGTATGACATTGACTTATCGGTTAGTTGGTAGCAACCATCGAGAATAACACTGTCTATGAATGGCACCTGGTGTCCATCTCTATAATACTGATTGAGAAGCTGTGCCAATTTGAAGAGATGAGTGTCTGTGAAATGAATCATCCGTGCAAGGTTAATAGTGCACCACCTGTTTGATCGCAAGAAAAACCCACGGTATCTCTTACAAGTATTTCCAAACGCTAAGAAATCTGGAAAACTATCTATAAAAGATACTAATACTTCGAATAGATAATTTTGAAATAATAATTGATTATCTTTCATATTAATAGAAATAATATTATTATATTGAATATTTTATGATCACTATTAAAAAAAAAAAGTAAGATTTCAATCAAGTCATAGGAAAACCCAGGGAAGAAAATATTAAAAAAAAAAAAAACATATTTTTGATCCTGGTTGACCTTATTATCAAATGTAGTTAACTATGTATCAAAGCCCAAAAATATAATCAAAATTTTAAATAAAAACATAATAATTATTTTTAATTTTAATTGTTATTTGTAAATAAAAAAAATCTAAGTTTATTTGATTGTTTATAAAGAAAATAGAATAGACCATTCTAAAAACAAATAAAATTTATTATGATTTAATGTTCTCAGTTTAATGTTTATTATTGAATTGTATTTTGATTTTAACTTTGATTGTAACATTTTGGTTAAATCAAGGATTTGAATTTCAAAGTGAATTCACCAATGATGATTACGTCGTTATCTTTAATTCTGTAAGGTGAGACTACATTTACTTTTTTGCCGTTGATGATGTAGAATTTGTTTCTACCGATATTGGTCAACTTGAAACTCTTGGAACCTTCAACAAAACTAATACAACAATGGTATCTTGAAACTACCTTTGATGGTAAATTAATATCGATTTCCTCGTGTTTCTTTGTTAATCTTCCAAGAACTGTATTACTCTTTGAAATCTTGATTACTTGATTGGTTTCTACATATAATTATTAAAGTGATAATATAATATATTAATTTGTTAATGAAAGTTCAAAGTTCATTACTTATTATAATATAAATCATACCTTTGATTGTTATCTCTGCAATTGGGTTTGGATATGTTACTGAAGGTACATCTGATATTACGATATTTTCTTTCTTGTTGTTTGTATTGCTATTGCCAGAAGTACTCTGTACTTCTGATATATTATTGACGTGTTGTATGGTCGGTGTTGGTATAGGTGTTTGAGTATTTACTGTTGAAATCGGTGAGATTGGATTACTGTTGGTCTTTGTTGCTGAAAGTAAAGGTGATTTCGAAGGTGAAGGTATTTTAAGTTTAAGGTTAAGTTTTCCTGGACTCTCTTGAATAGCTGATCGTATATTTTGTTGTTGACTATGTTGTTGTTGTTGTGGTTCGTGTGAAGTTGTTTCTTTTACATTATTATTTATTGCTGCTTTTGGTGTTGTTGTGGTTGTCGTTGTCGTTGTAATATCTATTATATCATTGTTATCACCAACACTACTATTATTATTACTATTATCATCATGAATGACAATAGGTGATGATACTATAGATGGTGGTGATGCCGATAGCGGTGACATAGATGAAGGTGTACTACTACTTGTAATAGTTGGTGGAGATGTATTTGTTTTGCTCGGTGTCGTCTTCTTTCTCTTTACATTTCTATTGTTTTCACTTTGAGCATCTCCATTTAATCTAGTTGTTTGTTGTTGTTGTTGATGTTCCATCATTTGTTGATATTGTTGTTGTTGTTGTGTGTTCCTCTTTATAAAAATATTATTATATACAGCATTTTCTCGTTCTTGTTGCATGCTCTGCAGTCTCTCACGCATCTCTAGTTGTCTATCGATTTCCTTTTGTCTATGTTGCAATTCGCTAGTGTTCAACGCTTGAAGATGTTCAGAACGTATCTGAAAGATCTGACCGTTGATCTGCATCAAACGCTGCCACGCCAGAAACTGTGTGAACAAAGGTGACAATGAAGAAAGTACAAATGAGTTGCAATTATCGATTGGATTTGTTGCTAAATCTGTTGGAAACAATCCGAATTCCGATGGCTAAACAAAAATAACATAATTATATTAATCAGCTGATTTGTTTCGTTTCATTACATTTCAATTGAAATACAAACCATTGAAGCAACGGAAAGTCTTCTCTGTTCAGTGAGTAATTGATCTAATCTATTTAAATTATCGTTGTCATTCGGTATTCGATTCGATTCTCTCGGTGCTCCTTTTAATATATTACTGTTGTCTTTACCAAATAGATCTTCCAAGAGCTGATGATCGTAATAATCTTTCATTGAAAGATTCTATCATTAATAATAATAATAATAATAATAATAGCAATAACATATATGTTAGTTTATAATATAGATTATCTAATGATAATTTAACATACATTTCCATAGATATTCTCGTAGAATGGATCTTTATAAGTTGGTTTATATCTGTTTTGAAAGGTTATCTTTTTCGTGCCGGACGGTGTGAAATCCAAGGTGAATTTATCACTTAGAAATGGAGATGATATATTTCTTCGGTTATAATTCTGTTGTAATTGTTGTTGTTTATATTTATCGGTATTATTATTATTGCTGTAGTTGTTATTACTTCCATTTTGTCTATGATAGGCAATAGGTGAATTCCGTTCGGAACTAGAATCTGGATGTAGTGGATGTAGATGGCATCCCCACCGAAGAGGAACATCGATCAATGGTGGTTCCAAACAATAGGTATGTGATGCATTCGTACACTTATTAACAAAACATTCTAATAGTTGCTCTGGATTATCATTGGAATCGCATATATTACATTTCGCATTCTTTCTTCTTTTGTTTCCTGTTGTTTTTGTTTTGCAATATTACATTATATTATATTAATAAACATGTTGTTGCTGCTGCTGCTACTGTTGTTTTTAATAAATAGATTTTCTGTCTATCATCAATATCGTACCTATAAAGTAATCTCTTGGCAATTCGAATGCTTCTGGATTCATAGATGCTAACTTTTCAAATAGATTACTAAATAGTGTATGTCCATAATATCCTTTTGGTTTTGGTTTCTTAAAGGATATATTTGTTAGCTGTTTGTTTGTTTGTTTGACAAATTGTTTGAAAATGAAAAGAGATAAACTTACGATCTTATTGGTACATCTCGTACAGTACCAATCACCATCGGGTACTTCGGGATTGGGTGGATTCAAACAAAGTAGATGAAAAGAAAGCTCACAGTTTTCACAGCATAACAAATCACCTCCATCTCTACATGAGTAACAAAAGTCATTGTTCACCAAACCAGCAGAATTCTAACAATGAATCAACGAATGAATGATAAATGAATGAATAAATGAATGATTAGTATAATTTCAAAATGGGATGGGAATGAAATCGTTGGTTGGATGATTTTAAATGCTTACAACTTCATCACTCTTTTCATCTAACACATAGAAATGTTCGTTCTCCTTATTTTTTCCTTTCTCTTTTTGGATGTTCTGTTTCGATTCACGTTCTTGCTCCTGTTTACGTTTCATTGTTAGGGCGGCACGTCTACTGGTAACTCCGATTTCATGCGTTGGAATAACAACACCGGTGCTAACACTCCCACTCCCACTGCCAACACCGTTATTCGTTGTTGTTGTTGTTGTTGCCGTAGACATTGTTATTTATATCTTCAAATACAACTACTTCTATTTCTTCTATCCACTTTTATCTCTATCTATATATTGTTCAAAAAAAAAAAACAAAAAACAAAAACACTTCTTTTATTTTTTTTTGTTTTTGTTTTAAAACTTTCTGAACAACTTTGTTAACTTTGCAAAAAAGCAACAATCTCTCTCTCTTTGTATAAAGAGTTATATTGATTAAAAGTTTGTACTTCCTTAATAAACTTATCTCCAATATGTGTTGTTTAATTGAGTTGATTGTTGGATGATATGATAATGTTTTTGTTAAAAAAAAAAAAAAACAAAATAGGACTAGTTCGAATCTCGGTTCGGAATAAAATTGTAATGTTATTTAGGAACGGACAATGGACAGTCCTTTGTTATATGATTATATAATAATAATTATAATAAGTTAGATAGATACTACTTTATCAAATATTTATCAAATATTTGTATAAAACAAAAAAATAAAAAATGGAATGAAAGGAAATAGGGTTTAAACCTAAACTCTATGGGCAGTAATTCGCCATTACTTTTGGCTGGTGATTTTTTTGTTTTTTCTTTTTCAAGGTCAAAGTAGTAAATAATGAGAAAACAACAACAACTCCTCTTGATTTAATCTGTCCAACAGACTATGTTTGCTTTATTAAAAGTTATTATGCTTGCTTGTTGTATATATCTAATAAATAATCAGTTATGATTAAAATTAGGTTGTTTTTGGGTTGTATGTTTTGTTATGTTTTGTTATGTTATGATATGTTTTTTAGTCCTGTTGTTTGATGTTGGTGCTATTGATGAATGCAGTGACCAATGGTAGTTTAGTTGGTGAATATTTCGATGTTATCTGTTTTAATTCATTCTGTGCCCAATTGTACAATTCAATTTGATGTTCATTCAACTTTGCTAAAGATCCACCAGAACTATTACAATATGCATACATACTCTGTATTGGTTTAATTAACATTGTTTTTGTTGTTATCATTAGTATATTATCTTTTTATATCATTATATATATAATATATATATATATATATTTATATTTTAAATATTACCATTATAATACCATAGATAGATGATAAATTGGTTGGTGGATAGGAATTGTTTGGTTCATTAGAAATGTTCAATTCTAATGAATGTGTATAATATTTCAATGCTACAATATAGTTATCTGCACCACCAATACTGTATATAATCTATAAAGAATAAAGATAAAAAGTTAATACTGTCTTAAGTTATTATTATTATTATTTAACAACGCTACATACATCAGCATATTTTGAATAGAGAACATGATTAATTGGTTGAATGAGAATGAGTTCCTCATAGCAGAAAGCAGCGTTTCTATAAGAGAGTAATCTGATGTGTAGCGATGCCAATTCCAACCATGCTTCGAAATCACCCATGAAAATCTGAAGGAATGTATTCAATAGTGTAATGGCTTGCGAGTAATTTCCGTTTGATTTAAGAATTGCAATCTGTCTCTTCATTGATAACTATTTATAATTATAATTATAATTAATATTAGTATTAGTACAGTAGCTATGTTGTAAACAATAACAATATAGTTTTTTATTTTACTTGATAATAATTATAACAAAAACAATAATAATAATAATAATAATAATAACATACCATATCAGCAGGATACTTCTCTAAGATATTTGAATAGATTTCATTTGCTCTAGAGTAGACATTCTGACACTCGTATAGCATTGCTTGTAATCTCTGTACTCTAACACTGTCTTTACCAAACTTTAGTTTTAGTAGATCGATCAATTCACCAGCTTCTCTTTTTCTACTGCAATCCAATAAACTTAGAATAACTTGTTCAACAACATCATATACTGAATAGATGTTATTATTATTATTATTAATTAAAACAAAATAAGTATACAGTATATGAATAATATGAATGAATGAATAGTTAGTTAACATACCTTCATTTGAATTTATACTATTGAAATGTTTAGTAACTAATATATAACCATTTTGTGAAACCAATACGGGTACTCTCAGTTTAGACTGTCGCAGGAATCGCAATGCATTTATAACCAACTTGGTGTCGAATGTACTTGATTTTTGAATTCTTATTTTGATAGTCACTTAACTCCAATAGATATGATGTCTCTGCCATCCTTTTTCTCTTTTCTATCTATAATATTATAAATAAATAGTATAGATCTTCTATCTTCGCTTTTTAATAAAATTTGATTGTGTTTAGGTGAAGTTAAATTTGATCATAAAAAAAACAAAAAAAAAAAAAAATTTGGCCATATTATTACAGTTCTTCATTATTTTTTTTTATTTAATTTGGTTGGTTGAATAAATATGATCTCCAAAAACATCCAAAATAAGCACGTGCACTCATAAAGTTGATGTGTCAACAGATCCACCCAACCAAGGGTGAGGTTCGTAAGCACGGTCATCTCAAGATCGCTCGTTACCATCAGCATGCCGCCGAAGCTTTGGATCTCACAATGACTCCACTCGATTTTATCAAGAAATCCTTCCCACAATACGAGAAGGACACAGAAGAGTGGAGACGTGAGATCGGTCGTTTCGGTGTCACCGGTAAGTCACAGACCGAGGCAATCGGTTGCATGAGTGACGGTGTCAAGAGTCGTCTCATCTTTTGTATGATGGCTTTGGAGAACCCACATATGCTATTGTTGGACGAGCCAACTAACCATTTGGATATGGAGTGTATCGACGCTCTTGCCGAGGCCATCAACGAATTCCCAGGTGGTATGGTACTTGTAAGTCACGATTTTAGATTGATTTCCCAAGTCTTTCAGTCTATTTGGGTTTGCGATAACAAGACTATTGCTCTATGGAAGGGTGACATCACAAGTTATAAGAACACTTGAAGAGCCAAATCAAATTCACATAAATAAAATATTTTTTTTGCCATTTTTAAACAACTAAAACAATTACAAGTTGACTACTTGAAGCCACCGGGACATGTTGCATTCCAAAACATTGAAATCAATCGAATTGTTGGAAAAAATTTTATTTTATTTTTAATATATTATATTACCTTTTAAGAACACAGACAGTCACTTATATACAAAGAAAAAATAGTTTTCTTTATGCACTGAGTCTCTGGTACTGCGGATTGTTCCTACACACAGCATTTATTCATCATAAAATATTTGATTCTTATTGCAACTATAGAGAATCCATTATCATGTAAACTGATTAACCATGTTATTTGCCTGATATCAATAACGACAAATGATGGTTGCACATTAATCAATTAGATATATTTAAAATAATGTTTAAATCAACTTGGTCAGGTCTTTCTTTGAATAACAACTTGAGGATTTCAAGATCACCACAGCATGCAACCAATATATTCTGTTGTCTGATGATAGTCTTAATGTTCTGTTTGATAAGAGGAATTTGAAAACTTCAATGTCATTACCTTCAAGTTTAATTTTTAAAGGTAGATTGGAAATAGTTTCGTTTCTATTGTTTAGGAGAAAGACCTACCATTTTTAGATGTCCTCTGCAAACTGCTAAATGAATGACTTGACTTCCTGTCGGACCTTCAATTCGATGAATGTGAAGAAATTCAACAGAATCTAAATGTCCATTGGTCGCTGCAAGATCAAAGGCATCAGTTCGATTAAAGTGCAAAAACTTTAAAATATCCAATTGTCCTGCCAAATCCATCAAAAGACGTTTTTTTTTCTACGAATTCTTCAATTAAACCCCAAAGCTCCAACATCAAAAGCACTTCCATATTTGACTTTGTTATGAATGAATTCGACTATTGAAAGATGACCATAGCGAACAGCTCGTTCTAAAATTGGTCTGATATACAAATCTTCTGGAAACATATTGTATACCAATTCATTGAGATCTAACGCTCCCATTCGAGCAGCAATATACAAAGAATGTGTAAAGAGTTCTTTAAATAATACATAAGTACTACTTTCAGGTGAGCTACTATCCTTTAGTTTACTTGTTCTTTCTCTTCTTTGATATCCAATAGAGCAATTGATCTCGAACATTAGTGTTGAATAACTGTTTGTATCTCTCGTGATAACCATATATATAATTATTGAATTTTTTGTTAAAATTTATTATTTTGGTATAAAAAAGTTTGATATCGATATTAAATATTTAAGTTTATATAAACTTTTGAGTAAAAAAATGAGAAATCGTAAAAAAACAAATGAAAATAAAATCAAATACTTTTATTAAAGTTGTAGACAAGGTGGCTGCACTTTTAACATGATTGTCTTCTAATGTATACTGGAATAAGCAAAGCTATTCGAAAAGTAAAATATTTACACGAAAAAATCGTTGTTTACTTTTATCTAACTATTAATTCCACACTACAATATATAAAAGTTGAAACTAAAGTTTTTGTCTCACTAAATTGTCCTAGGCTTGAACGTTGAATGATCACAATCAATAAATAAAAATAATTAAATTTAAAAGTTAAAAAAAAAATTTTTTTATTTAAAAATAAATGATTATTATTATTTGTAGTAATTCAAATCGATGGAATTGTTTGTGAATCTGTTGGTGTATCAAATCCAGTCTTTGTGGTGTATTCTTCCCATCTCTTTTGATCTTTGACCATCTGATCGATTTTAGTGTGAACCAATTTGTTTACTTCTGGACACACATAGAGATGACTGGTATCATCACCTTCAGATTGGTAGACTCGAATTAAAAGATCCAATATTTTTGATGGATCTCCATTTTGTTTTCCACTGTACTGAACAGCAAAATCCAATGTACCATGAACTTGTTTGTATGCTTCAATCTTGTTTATTGGTTTATATTCATCAGTCTTTTTGTTTTTAAATAAATAATAAAGAATTAATATCAATCGATCAATTTTTTAAAATCATAACTATAAATCAATCTGTAATACCTACTCCTAAAAAACCAGTTCTAAATGGACCTAAATTGACAGTGGTTACTCTAACACCTAATGGTTTGACTTCACGTGCATAGGATTCCGACAGTCCATCGAGTGCAAATTTAGTGGCACTATAGGCACTGTGTCCAATGACACCTTGGAGTCCTGCCATAGAAGACATGTTGAATACATATCCAGATTGTTGATTTCTAAAGATTGGTGAAACATTTCTGAGGACATTGAACACAGAGAATAGATTGGTGTCGAAATTGGCACGAACATTTTTGTCAGAGTTCTCTTCTAATGCTCCTGAAATAGCGAATCCTGCATTATTAACGACAACATCGATTCTACCGAATTTAGTGAGAGAATCATTCAATGATTGCTTAACACTCTCTTCATTGACCAAATCAACCTCTACAGCCAAGAAACGATCGTTGTCAACAAGCGAACCAACTGCACCAATCAACTGTTGTTTATCTCTTGATGTACCAACCACTTTGAATCCATAGGCCAACAAATTCTTTACCAATTCCAATCCGATACCCTTTGAAGCACCAGTAACATACCATACTTTATCGACTGACTTGATTTCTAAACTTGACATTATTGTTTTATTTGTTTATTTATTTAAAAGGTAATAATATTTATGCAAAAAATAGTTAATTATTTATAATTATATATTTATATTTAATTTAATTTGATATATATTTACATTGTGAAAGTCTTTTATTTATAGTAAAAGCATAGTTTGATTTCTAATGAAAGTGCAAATTAGAATGATAATCTAACAAAATAAATAAAATGGAATTTTGAATCGACATCTGACTATATCAAACAAGCACCATATGTTGTTGGGCTTATGACACGATTATGACTTACCCACCATTCAAACAAACTGGATCATGCTTGTAACCATAAATCGAATAAAAAAAAAAAAACCACCTCCAGATCACATTAACCCCACTAATTTTTAATTTTTACTTTTTTTCGCAATGTGCAGGCGAAAGTGGTGAGTAGCCAGTTTTGTTTTGTGTTCATTCGATTTAATTAAAAATTTATTAATAAATAGTAATTGTTAACTAAAATTATACGGAGTGACACTCCCAAAGATTAGTATGTAAAAATGAAAAAATATTCGTATGGGTCAAAAATGGCTCGATGATATTTTAATGAAATTTCAACCAATTTGCAAATAAAATGAGTTTTGTTTGAGGTCTGCCTATTTTCTTTGGGGTGGTATTATTTTGACTCTTCGAATGTCTGCTTCTTTTCTTTGGGGTGGTATCATCACTGTTGGAGGTGGATTCAGGGATTGGAGCAGTACATGTATCATCAGTTGGTGTGGACTGACTCTTTGAATTGGCATCATTGGTTAGTATTCTTTAGGTATCGTTGAAGAAGTTGGGTATACGATGATTTTGAAGTTTTGTTGATTGCGTCAAGCAAAGAGATAAAAAAGTTTGAATGAGTGGATTTGGTAATAATAAACAAGATTTCCATCAAAGCCAAGACATCTCCAGATTTACATTATTATTTACTAGAAATTAAGTGAAACCAAAAAATAATTTAATACCCTGGATATTCTATCCAACAAAAGTCTCTAAAGAAACCAAAACTGGTCCTTGGCTAATCTTCAGGCGAGGTAATCATTATCCATCGAACAATTTCTACGGAAAAAATAGAACATTGATCCATGGTCTTTTATTCAATGGTAGTGAAAAAAGGGTGTAAAAAGTTCAAAACCACACTAATTTGAATAAAATCACCTGTAATTCATAATAAATACTATAATTACAAAATAACCAATTTTCATCCCATGGTGTCCAACTTTTTTTACAGAACTTTAACAACAAAAACTATAACAATAAGTTAATATTGATTGATTTTTTTTATTTTTTAATTAGCCAATGAAAAATGGAGGATTGGTAGAAATTTATTGATGTGTACTGGTTGCTTCTTCACGTTCAACCATCTTCATAAAGATATCTTCAAGACTGGTTTGACTGACACCCCATTCTTTGATACCGAGTTCATGTTTGTTCTTAGAGATAATATCAAAGATTGTACTGATATCAGAGTCTTTTGGAATCAAGAATATCAATTCATCACTGACTGATTCTTGTTGCATTGCCATTGGGTAGTTGTCAAGTACGAATTTGATGAGTGACGAGCGGAAACCTTCATTCAATGGAACGATTTGCAGTTTGAATCCATTACCGTATCTATTCTTCAAATAGATTGGTGATCCAACACATTGCAATCTACCTGATGCAATAATGGCAATCTTATTGGACAATACATCTGCTTCTTCCATATTATGTGTTGTAATTCTAATAACAATTGTTATAATAAAAATATAAAATAAATTAGTAATCTTAATATTTAACAATGTTTTGTTTGTTTGTTCGTTTGTGTACTTACAAAATAGTTTTATCATGTCTAATATCTTGAATGATATCCCATACACTTCTACGTGCATCTGGATCGAGACCTGTTGATGGTTCGTCGAGGAGAATCAATTTGTTGTTTCCAAGCAATGCAATTGAGATCGAGACACGACGTTTCATACCACCAGACAACTCGGTGATTCTCTTGAATCTATGCTCTTCAAGCTTGACCTTTGCCAACACGTAGTCGATATGTTGGAGAATCTGTTCGTGTGAATCGTACAGACCTTTCAGTTTCGAGTAGAACTCCAAGTGTTGTTGAATGGTCAAGTCATCATAGAGAATATCGTGTTGTGGACAGAATCCAAGGAAATTGTAGATGTCGTGCATTTCATTTCTAATCGATAGACCATTGATGAAAGCATCACCACTCGTTGGTTTATACATACCACCAATGATATGAATGAATGTTGTCTTACCAGCACCGTTTGGTCCGAGCAATCCAAGAATCTCACCTTCACCAGATGTCAAACAAAAGTTAACGAGTGCTTCTTTCACGACACCCTTTGTCTTGTAAGTCTTTTTGATATTGATTGCTTTCAACAAGAACTTTTGATTTGAATTTGCTTTGGTTCTTTCATTTGCACAATCTTGATCTTCTTCAATCTACAAACATATCAAAAAATTACCATATTAATAAACCAAACTAATAATCAAACCTAAAAGTATAAATAACTTACAATATCATCAGTATCATTTACAAGTAATGATGTCTCTTCTAAGAGTTTAGTAGTTTCACCATGTTCATCTTTCTTTTTGAAAAGTTTAATCAATTCTTGAATTGGATAGAATGGTGATAATGTAACACCGAATTCCTTTGGAATAACATTGTTAAAGTAACTATAAATATTGATTGATTTGATTAGTTTAATGATGTTTAAATATTAAATATGATTAATATTTTGATTAATAACTTACACTCCGAGCAAGAAAAATACAATTGCTTCCATTACCAGAGTAACTACGACTTTACCATACTCTGAATAGTTACTTAATGACATCATGTAGTCGTAAGAACCATCGGAAGTACTCAAGGCAATAAAGACAACATAGAGTCCATGTGAAAATGCGAATTGTGGTACCCATAGATATGGAAGTGCGACTGGTTTTAATCTAAATACAAACATATCTAAATTTGAACCAATAGATGGTGCAACCAAAACAAAAATATAAGAAATAACTAAAATTATACCAAGAAATGATTAATACATGGATAGATATCTATTAAAAATGAAAAAGTAACATACTTGCAGATGTTTTCGACTTCCAAAAGAATGCACTAAAGAGGAATGCCAATGATACCAATGAAAATCCATAGACAACAATCAATAAGATAATTCTGAATGGTTCTTTCAAGAAGTATGGAAGTGATCCTGCACAGCCCATGATAATCATTACAGTGGCAATGATAAGGTATAGAATGATAAAGAATAGGTAGTTGGAAAGAATATAGGTAATATTCTTCAAACCCATCATACTCATAACTTGGAACAGCTTCTTCTCTTTCTCTTGAACCAAATTGAATACGAATACTGGGAAGATAAATGTAAAGACAATCGGTAAGAAGAACAATCCCATCATATATGATAATGTATCAATATTGAAATTGACATATACATCAAAATATGTGAGATCTCCATTTATATAATAGTTTTGTCCCAATGTCATTTTAACTATTAAATAAATAATTAAAGTAAGTTAATAAATATAAGCAAACACATAAAATATATTTTTTTTTTACTTACTAAATGCATTGTTTAACATCGATATGAAATCACCATCACTTGAATCCCAATAACTTCTTACGAAATTGTAAGAGTATGGACCATTGTTCATTGCGGTATAGAAGTTCTCGATGGAGTAGTTCAAGATCTTTTGGGAGAGTGAGAGTTCGTTGAATGTAATACCATACGATGGAATGATGTATGAAAAATTATCGAAATTGTATGCATACTTTGGGAAATCGGGAAGCACTGTATTGTAAAAGTAATCGTACATTGCTTCATCGATCGATCCATTGGTTATCTCCTTGAACACTGGAACCGGAATATTGATGTACCCGGTGGAGTTGTAGAGAGTATAGATACCTCCCTTTAAATTACCGAGTAGAGTGGTATTCGGTTGAGAAATATTATTGATACCGGCAGCATCCCAGCCAGCAGGTGGATTCTTGAACCAATAGTAGGTACCGGTTGATTGATCAAAGTTATAGGTACTCTTGTAGACGTTGTACTGTTGATTATCACCGTTGTTTCCATTTTGTTCCATTGCTTTCTTCAATGCATTATTCATCGTAATTAGAACGATCATCAAAAGAATTGGAAAAACCAACTGTGCTACATTTGTTTTGATCTGTCTGAATTGTAATATAAAATTTCTATGCAGCTTTTGAAATATTAAAATATATTATGTGTGTGGAAATTAATTAATAAACTAATCTTGTTTGTTTTAAGTTAACAATTGTTAACATACCAAAGCTGAAATTTGACCTCTAATTGTGATCATTTTTGATCTAGTTATCTATATATATAGTTACTATTATGATATTTATTATATATATTCAAACTTTAGAGAAGTTTGAGTGTGTATTACTGGTAAAGGTTATTATTATTCGAATGATTCAGCTTGGAATTTTCGAGAACCAAACTCCAACTTTAGTTCAGATGTTTGGGCTACTTCCAAAAGATTTGTTGGAAATCTCTGTTAACCTTTCTAGAGGATGGGCAATGCAATTTACTTTACTTTGATTGCCAAGACTAAACTATAGACTATTAATAAATAATTAACTGTTACTGTAAACAAAAAAACTAACTAAATGCGAAGCTTTCTTTATTTTTTTAGTAATGTTAAAGTTTTTTTTGTTTTTACTGTCGATCAATCATATGATTGACTTGCTGATTGTTTTTGGGTATGATAGTTTATTATCGGATAGAAGTGTCTATTTTACTTTGGAATCTAAGAGTGCTCTTAGTTTTAAAAGATTGGTAAGTGCACTTGAAAAAAATCTAGCTTTTTTTGTAAATAAAAAATCAGAATAAATTTAAAAATAAATTTTTGATCAACTGATAACCTGGGATGTGGCCTCCACCACCTTCTACTTTTACTTTCCCACCTCATTTTTTTGTAAAATAATCAATCAACGAAAAATTTTGCATAAATATCTAATCTTAAATTATTTTTTTTCATAAAAAGCTTAGTTTTGCTAAAATTACTTTTTGGTACCAAAATTTGATCAGAACCAAAAAACAAGTCGGTTGTCATCCTATTTTTAATTACAATAAACTTCAATTCTTCTTCTTTTTCTTCTTTTTAATATTTATGTTTATAGAAATTAGATAGACAGAAAAAAAAAGATGGTACAAAAAGCATCTTTATTTCAACAATTTTATGTACTTTTGTATAAGCAATATCTTCTATTGGCCAGAAATAAAGCTTTGACATTCTTTAGATTGACAACACCATTTTGGGCGACACTTATTTATTTCATTGTTTTCAAGAGTTTGTCAGGTAAAGTTGACAAACCAAACTTCAATCCAATTGAATCAATTGTTTCAGATTATCAAGTTGGCGTAAGTTATTTTTATTCTAAAACCGAAAATAATAATGTCGTTATTAATTTATTATTTGGAATATCTTCTTTTAATATTATTAGGCTGATTATGATTTACAATATAATTTCGGAAATATAAGTGATGCGAATAAACAAATAATATTGAATAGTATTCAAACAACGATGGGATGGCAGTCATCGAGAATGATGGAGCTCTCTGGTGATATCGATCAACTCGATTATTTCGATGGTCAGTTGACAAGCCAAGTCAATTCCAACATGTCTTTTGCCAGTGTGTTTTTCGATCAGGTCAACGATACCAATATCTATTACAATTTGGCGTACAACCAGAATGACGGTCTCGTTAAATCATCGTTGATCATCCAGTATCAATGGGGAATGAGTGACCAACTTCGTTATGCCAAAGCGATTCGATACGCCATTGAGAAGGGTATCATCGATGTATTCAGTCAGGGTCAAGCAAAGGTGACAACCTACAACCAAGAAGCACCAAACTTTTTAGCGGATAACGGATTGCCACCCTCGACTACCATTCTCGCAATGTTCTATCCTACTTTTATTGTATTCGGTATTACATTCCCATTCATCTTGTTTGTCTACTTGATCGTCGAGGAGAAAGAACGTAAGATTCGTTCATATCTCAGAGCGTTCGGTGTAATCGATACCATCTACTTTTCAACTTGGATTATCGATGGTATGCTCGTTGCACTCTTCAACACCATTGTAATTATGATCTTTGGTTATGCAGCCAAGATTCAATTCATAAGCAATTGTGCTTCCTCTGTCATCTTTGTCGTACTCATGACTTATCAACTCAGTTTAGTTGGTATCGGTGTTTTATTATCTTCTCTATTATCACGTACAAGAGCAGCAAGTAAGTAATTAATTAGATTAATCGATAGTTATCTATTATTATTTAACTAACATATCCTATTCTATTCTTTTATTTGTATATTAAAGTGATTTTCGCTGTTATTATCTATTGTGTTGCTTTGGCTGGTTCCATTGTTTTATCAATGATGACAGACGTTTTGTATGGTCTTTGGAGTGATAAAGCAAAGTATTATAATTGGTTAATTGCATTCCAAGTAATCTCACCATTAAAGTAAGTTTAATTTATTTACAAACAAAACTTTTGTTATCATATTTAATACTAACATTTTGCTTTAAATTAATAGTTTCTTGAAACTTATGGTTGATATTTCAACAGTAACAATTAATGCCAACTTTAACTCATTCGCTGGAAATCAGAATATCAAGGGTGGAGAATACGAGTGGTCTAATTTCGTTAACCATATCAACACTACCAATGGTGACAGACCTGTGACCACCTCTTACAATACCAACAGCTATATCTTCATTGCAACACTGATCTACTTGTTCTTGGCTTGGGTCTTTGATAAGGTTATTCCCGATGATTTCGGAGGTAGAAGAGTTCCATGGTTTTTCGCAACCAAATCATTCTGGTGGCCAGATTCCGTCCCAGAGGAAATCCATGAACACGACCTACACACCCATATCAACTCTAGCGATCCAGACATCCAAAGTGAATCTACCAATGTTAACCTCGACAATTTCGACAACTATTCATTGGTTGTAAGAAACTTGGTCAAGCGTTACGGTTCAAAGAAGGTTGTGGACAACTTGTCATTCAGTGCAGAGAAAGGAAAGATTATTGCAATGTTGGGTCATAACGGTGCTGGTAAAACAACAACCATCAACATGATTACCGGTCAGACAACTATTACTGGTGGTAACATCTTTGTACACGGATACAATGTAAATACTCAAATCGATTATGTAAAGACAATGCTTGGATTATGTCCACAGTTTGATGTATACTGGCCTGATTTCACAGCACGTGAACATCTCACCATTATGACACTCGTCAAAGAGAAACGTACAAATATCAAACATGACATCAATGAAATTCTTCAAAGTGTAAGATTGTCCTCGGTTGCCGACAACATTGTTAGTTCTTATTCAGGTGGTATGAGACGTCGTTTATCAGTTGCCATTGGAATCATTGGTGATCCTCAAGTGATTGTTCTCGATGAACCAACCACTGGAATCGATCCAGCCAATCGTCGTTACATCTGGAAGCTTATCAAGAGTATCAAGAAAGATAAATTGATTCTCTTGACAACTCACTCGATGGAAGAAGCCGATGCACTCGGTGACAAGATTATCATTATGGATGGTGGAAAACTCTCTGGTGCTGGAACATCTCTTCATTTGAAAGATCGTTTCGGAACAGGTTACAAATTACATTTGGTCACAACAAATATTGAAGAAGCACAAAGATTAGTTCAACATCATTTACCAATCGCCAAACTCGATCGTATTAACTCTATGAATTTGGTATACACAATTCCATCGATGGAACAACTCTCATCATTCTTGAAATTCCTTACCGTTGAAAAGAGTATTGACAAACTCATCACTGATTGGCAAATTCAAAACACAACATTGGAGGATGTATTCTTGCAGATGGTCAGAAAACCAGAAGATAAAAAGTAAAACCAAATAACATCTAAAAAACACCAAACATTTTATATAAAATAAAATTTCAAATACAATATTATTTATTTATATATATAAATCATATATATAATGAATATAAATCTAAAAGATGCTTTTTTTTTTTTTTTTTTTAGTGGTGACCGATCAGGATTTGACTAGAGTAAATGAGAATTCTTTAATGTTCCTGTGCATCTACTCTTTCCCTTAAAAGTTTATTTTCTCTTTCTAGTGCTGCAATTTGCTTTTCCTTTTCTAGCATATCAGTAGCTACATCTTTAAAGTCTTTGATTACTTTTTGTTGACAAATTCCATTAATAAAACCATTGTTCTCATAATTAACTTCTAAAGGTTGATTTGCTTGATGATTGATGGATTGAGGGATAGCTGGGGGTTGGATCTCTTCTTCAGGAACAACTTTAGGGTTAGCTTGTAGTATGATATCTCCTTTAGAAATTAGTCCAACCAAAAATTTATATGAAATACCACCATACTTATAAACCATATATACTCCGAGCGCTCCAATCCAATTGCCAATAATACATCACCACCAGCCACCAATAAAGGAAAATACTTTGGTTGAATGATTTTTTGAGCAAAACTAACAATTGTATTTTTAATTTCTTCAAAAAAGAGGGTCCAATTAAATTTGGTAACCCATTCCTGAAGTTGATATAAAAAAAGTACTTTTGGAAAGGTAGAAATTTCTTTATTCATTATGTTTAGTTTTAATTTTATAGTTGAAAAAGTGTTATTTAGTTTTTTTGTTTCCTTTTTTTTTTCTTTTTATAACAATTGTTTTGTGTTGGATAAAAAAAAATTTAAAATTTTAATTTTTAATGAATTAACAATTAAGTTGTTAATTCATTAACATTAGTATTTAGTGATAAACAACTAATGCTGCTACCGGTATTCTAGATAAAATCTAGTAATGGGTATTATCAGATAAATTTTTATTAAAAATATCCTTCCAAGTAGTTTTTTAATAAAAATCTTGATTGTGAAACTAAAAATCATTTCAACTCTAATGTTATATTTAAATAAGAATTGACTTCAATTTTTTCCATTTATTTGGAATATTTGTAATGAGTTATTTAATACAGTTATTTTCTTTTTTATTTATTTATTTTTATTTTATTTTTAGCCATTGAATCTTAAATGGATCTTTTAAAAATGAAAATATTTATTGTGCACCATTTGATTCTTCACGTTCAACCATCTTCATAAAGATCTCTTCAAGACTGGTTTGACTGACACCCCATTCTTTGATACCGAGTTCATGTTTGTTCTTAGAGATAATATCAAAGATGGTACTGATATCAGAGTCTTTTGGAATCAAGAATATCAATTCATCACTGACTGATTCTTGTTGCATTGCCATTGGGTAGTTGTCAAGTACGAATTTGATGAGTGACGAGCGGAAACCTTCATTCAATGGAACGATTTGCAGTTTGAATCCATTACCGTATCTATTCTTCAAATAGATTGGTGATCCAACACATTGCAATCTACCTGATGCAATAATGGCAATCTTATTGGACAATACATCTGCTTCTTCCATATTATGTGTTGTAATTCTAATACAAAAAACATATTAATAAATCTTAATATTTAACAATGTTTTGTTTGTGTTACTTACAGAATAGTTTTATCATGTCTGATTTCTTGAATGATATCCCATACACTTCTACGTGCATCTGGATCGAGACCTGTTGATGGTTCGTCGAGGAGAATCAATTTGTTGTTTCCAAGCAATGCGATTGAGATTGAGACACGACGTTTCATGCCACCCGATAACTCTGTTATCTTTTTGTTTCTATGTTCTGCTAATTTAACCATACCCAACACATAGTCGATATGTTCGAGAATCTTCTGGCGAGTATCAAACAGACCTTTCAGTTTCGAGTAGAACTCCAAGTGTTGTTGAATGGTCAAGTCATCATAGAGAATATCGTGTTGTGGACAAAATCCAAGGAAGTTATAGATGCTGTGCATTTCATTTCTAATCGATAGACCATTGATGAAAGCATCACCACTCGTTGGTTGATACATACCACCAATGATGTGAATGAATGTTGTCTTACCAGCACCGTTTGGTCCGAGCAATCCAAGAATCTCACCTTCACCAGATGTCAAACAAAAGTTAACGAGTGCTTCTTTCACGACACCCTTTGTCTTGTAAGTCTTTTTTATATTGATTGCTTTCAACAAGAACTTTTGATTTGAATGTGCTTTGGTTCTTTCATTTGCACAATCTTGGTCTTCTTCAAACTACAAACATTATTATAACCAATTTACATACTTATAAGTAATGATATTTACTAAATATAGTTAAAGCAATATAATATAACTTACAATATCATCAGTATCATTTACAAGTAATGATGTCTCTTCTACCTGATGATTTTCAAAAATTTTCTTTTTGAAAAGTTTTTTCATATCATAAAATGGATAGAATGGTGATAATGTAACACCGAATTCTCTTGGAATTACATTGTTTAAGTACCTATTAAATATTTATTTTATAATTAGTTAAAGGTTCAATATTTGTATTGTTAATGATTTAATATGTTAACTTACACTCCAAGCAAGAAAAATACAATTGCTTCCATAACGAGAGTAACTACTACTCTACCATACTCTGAATAGTTACTTAGTGATGTCATATTACTATATGCATCATCATAGGTACTCAAAGTAATAAAGTTTGCATAGAGTCCATGTGAAAATGCGAATTGTGGTACCCATAGATATGGAAGTGGAACTGTCTTTAATCCAAATACAAATAGGTCTAAAATAGAACCGACCAAAGGTGTTACCAATATAAATATATAAGAAATAACTAAAATTATAAGAAAATATTAATATATTATCTATTATATCTATTAAAAATGATAAAGTAACTTACTTGCAGATGTTTTTGATTTCCAAAAGAATGCACTAAAGAGGAATGCCAATGATACCAACGCGAAACCATAGACAACAATCAATAAGATAATTCTGAATGGTTCTTTCAAGAAGTATGGAAGTGATCCTCCTAAACCCATGACAATCATTACAGTGGCAATGATAAGGTATAGAATGATAAAGAATAGGTAGTTGGAAAGAATATAGGTAATATTCTTCAAACCCATCATACTCATAACTTGGAACAGCTTCTTCTCTTTCTCTTGAACCAAATTGAATACAAATACTGGGAAGATAAATGTAAAGACAATCGGTAGGAAGAGCATCGCTTGCATATATGGAAATGAGTCAATATTGGAATTAATTCTTACTTCGTATATAGAGAGGTCTCCATTTATTGAATAGTTTTGTCCCATTGCTATTTTAACTATTTTTAAATGTTAAATAAATAAAAATTTAATAAAATAAATAAATAAATACTTACTAAATGCATTGTTTAACATCGATATTAAATCATCATCCCTCGCACTCCAACCAATATTTAAAAATTGATCATTCTCTTGATCGTAGTGAGCAGAGTAGAAATTCTCAAAGGTGTAGTTTAGAATCTTTTTCGATATTGAGAGTTCGTTGAATGTGATACCATAAGATGGAGTGAAGTTTGAAAAATTGGGAGAACTATCATTTTGGACTTTGGGAACTAATGATTTGTTGTGGTAAAAATCATAGATAGCTTGATCCATTGTGGTATAGGAAATCTCTCTATAAGCTGGAATTTTAACTTCTACATAAGAATTGTTGTAGATCATAACTATACTCTCCTTAACATTTCCAAGAAGAGTGGTATTGGGTTGATAGACACTGTTAATTCCAGCAGCATCCCAGCCAGCAGGTGGATTTTTGAACCAATAGTATGATGCAGATCTATCTTCATACAAATGGGGACTAGAAGAAACATCGTACTTTATCTTACTCTCAGAACTATAGGAACTACCCATTTCTTTAAACATTACAATGAGAAGACTCATCAATATTATAGGAAAGATCAGTTGTGTAACATTTGTTTTGATCTGTTTGATTTGTAATATAAAATTTCTATGCAACTTTTTGAAAGATGATTAAATATTAATAATTTTATATCAATTGTTTTTTTTAACATTTCTACTTACCAAAGCTGCAATTTGACCTCTAATTGTGATCATTATTGATCATAGGTCACTTTTTGTTTACTTTATTTCCAAAAAGAATTTCGTCGTGTATTTGTTATTTTTTTGATGTAGATAATTATGATAAATAATTATATTAAAAATAAATGGAAATATATAAACAATGATTAATCTTATTCCTGATGGTTTGATTGTTAATAGTAACTAATACGATCATCTTTGTTGTTTCTATTTAGCACACTTTTTTTTTCATTGACCATCAAATTTAATGTTTGTATTTATAAAACATTGCTATTTTAAGTATTACAACACACTCTAATGGTGTTAAGTAATAATTTATTTTTACTATTTATTTATTTAAACAACACCCAATCATTGTTGATATTCATAAACTATCACAGTATGAATCATTTGATTACAACTGTCCTCTTCTATTTATTTAGTTTTTTTTAAATTAAAAAATATATATATAGAGACATAATACAAAAAAAGAAATATAGAAAAATATGGTGAAGAAAGCATCTATATTTCAACAATTTTATGTACTTTTGTATAAGCAATACCTACTTTTAGTTCGTAATAAATTTTTGACATTCTTTAGATTGACAACACCATTATGGGCAACTCTTATATATTTTATTATTTTTAAGAGTTTGTCAATAGATAAACAAACCTTTCATCCAGTTGAACCAATTGTTTTTAATTATCAAGTACATGTAAGTTTAAATTATAAAATTGTTTTTTGAAAATAAAATTGGAGAGAATGAAAAAAAGAATGAAGAGATTGATCGTTTATATTTTTTTTTAAATTATTTTTATTAATTTTTAATTATTATTATTAGGCTGATTATGATTTACAATATAATTTCGGAAATGTAAGTGATGCAGCTAGAAAAAGAATATTGAATAGTATTCAAACAACGATGGGATGGCAACCATCGAGAATGATGGAGCTACCGAATGGCACTGATCAACAATCGTATTTCAGTGGTCAGTTGACAAGCCAAGTCAATGCCAACATGTCTTTTGCCAGTGTGTTTTTCAATCAGACCGACGATACCAATATCTATTACAATTTGGCATACAACCAGAATGACGGTCTAATCAAATCATCGTTGATCATCATGCGAGACGATGGTGATGATCAACTCCGTTATTCCAAAGCGATTCGCTATGCCATTGAGAAGGGTATCATCGATGTATTCACTCAGGGTCAAGCAAAGGTGACAACCTACAGTCAACAGCCACCAAGTTTTCGAACTGGCAATCGATCCATTAAAGTATCGACTTCCATTCTCGCAATGTTCTATCCAGTATTCCTTGTACTAGGTATTACATTCCCATTCATCTTGTTTGTCTACTTGATCGTCGAGGAGAAAGAACTCAAGATTCGTGCATATCTGAGAGCATTCGGTGTCATCGATACCATCTACTTTTCAACTTGGATTATCGATGGTATGCTCGTTGCACTCTTCAACACCCATTGTAATTATGATCTTTGGTTATGCAGCCCAAGATCGAATTCATAAGCAATTGTGCTTCCTCTGTCATCTTTATCATTCTCATGACTTATCAACTCAGTCTAGTCGGTATCGGTGTTTTATTATCATCTATACTATCACGTACAAGAGCAGCAAGTAAGTAATTAATTAGCTTGTAGATAGTTACCATTAACTAATCAAACTAACAATTGTCTTCTCTTTATTATAGTGATTTTTGCCATTATTATTTTTTGCATTGTATTGATTGGCTCCCTTGTTTTATCATTGTTGACAGATATACTGTATGGTCTTTGGAGTAATGAACCAAAGTATTATAATTGGTTAATTGCATTCCAAATTTTAACACCATTAAAGTAAGTTAAATATATATAGTTAATTTATCAAATTTAATATTAATTCACCATTTTAAATTAACTAGTTTCTTAAAAATAATGGTTGATATTTCAACAGTAACAATTAATACCAACTTTATGTCGTCAAAAGATAACGATCAAAATAGCAAGAGTCTACAATACGAGTGGTCTAATTTCGTTAACCATAACAACAATGCCAATAGTGACAGACCTGTGACCACTACTTACAATACCAACAACTATATCTTCATTGCAACATTGATCTACTTTTTCCTGGCTTGGTTCTTTGATAAGGTTGTACCAGATAGTTTCGGAGGTAGAAGAGTTCCATGGTTTTTCGCAACCAAATCATTCTGGTGGCCAAATTCAATTCCTGATGACGTCAACGAATATGATTTGCGTAATAATTTCAACTCAAACGATCCAGACATCCAACATGAATCAACATGTGTCAACACCGACAATTTCGACAACTATTCATTGGTTGTAAGAAACTTGGTCAAGCGTTACGGTTCAAAGAAGGTTGTGGACAACTTGTCATTCAGTGCAGAGAAAGGAAAGATTATTGCAATGTTGGGTCATAATGGTGCTGGTAAAACAACAACCATCAACATGATTACCGGTCAGACAATTATTACTGGTGGTAACATCTTTGTACAAGGTTACAATGTAAATACTCAAATCGATTATGTAAAGACCATGATTGGGTTATGTCCACAGTTTGATGTATACTGGCCTGATTTCACAGCACGTGAACATCTCACCATTATGACACTCGTCAAAGAGAAACGTACAAATATCAAACATGACATCAATGAAATTCTTCAAAGTGTAAGATTGTCCTCGGTTGCCGACAACATTGTTAGTTCTTATTCAGGTGGTATGAGACGTCGTTTATCAGTTGCCATTGGAATCATTGGTGATCCTCAAGTGATTGTTCTCGATGAACCAACCACTGGAATCGATCCAGCCAATCGTCGTTACATCTGGAAGCTTATCAAGAGTATCAAGAAAGATAAATTGATTCTTTTGACAACTCACTCAATGGAAGAAGCCGATGCACTCGGTGACAAGATTATCATTATGGATGGTGGAAAACTCTCTGGTGCTGGAACATCTCTCCATTTGAAAGATCGTTTCGGAACAGGTTACAAATTACATTTGGTCACAACAAATATTGAAGAAGCACAACAACTAGTCCAAAATCAATTACCAGTTGCCAAACTCGATCGTATTAACTCTATGAATTTGGTATACACAATTCCATCGATGGAACAACTCTCATCATTCTTGAAATTCCTTACCGTTGAAAAGAGTATTGACAAACTCATCACTGATTGGCAAATTCAAAACACAACATTGGAGGATGTATTCTTGCAGATGGTTAGAAAACCAGAAGACAAAAAGTAAAACAAAATTTAACAACAAAATCTCATATAACAAACTAACAAACTATTATATGTATAATACAATTCAAAGATAATAAATATATTATCTATAATATAATAAATAAATAAAATTTTAATGTAATTTCATTAACATAGTCACTACATAAAAAAAAAAAAATCAATTGTTTACCTTTCAGAAATTTATTTCTCATGATTACACTCACCGACTGGTGGAATTTAATCACTAAAATTTTAAATATTAGATATATAAAAAATAGATTACCCACTGCAACACTGTCCAAAATTAATCCAATCACAATCAGAAAAAATAAATTTCTTCCCCAATTTCATCTATATAACAATTTTTCATTTATCTGATAGTATGGAGGTACCACACCAATCGGAAAAGATAAATCTGAATCTCTACAATGCAAATTACACATGGTTGTATATATTATTTTATTTTTACTCTTATATCAAAAAGAGGAAGATCATTAATTTTCCCCAAGAATATTTTATTGATCCCAGGTATGTGATAGTAACTGGTTAGCAGGCAATTTACAAAAAATTTAATAAATAATTTTCTTTCAAATACTCTTTGAAAGTATAAATATTATAATAATTATTCTTTTAATAATTATTCAAAGAGAAAAAATGTTTATTCAATTAACAAATATTAAAAGATTGTTCATAGTTCTAATATTATGTTTTTTCATTTCTTTTTCAAAAGGATGTTTTTATTCTAAAAAGATTTTTGATATTAGTAACCCAAATCAAATACTACATAAAGATTTTAAAGGTTGGATAGATATATATTTCTAATTAAAAACAAATTCCACTGATACTAATCAATATTCTTTCAAAGATTGTCATTTCACAAATTCAAAATGGGTGGATCCTAGAATTTCTCAATGGAGTTGTGTAGATGGAAGAGGTGACAAAAGTGAACTTGGAACTTTGGGAGGTGACTCTGGTGAATTTTTGCTTGGTGTGGCTGCTTGGCAACAGATAACCGGAACTTCAGATGATTATATTATTGATAAAATGCAAATTTTATTTAATGATTTTCTTGAAATCCAACCGAATCCAATGTATATGCATACTGACGATCATGCAGAAGAGTTGGCCACCACTAAAATGAGAGAAATTTTCAATGACCCAAACTTGGTCATTAATTTTACCAATCCTGATCCCGAGTATCAAGATGAATTAATGAATCTTCTTACCGATAAGAATTATATTGGCTGTGGTCATATCAGATTAATAATGAATAATCCTGACAAATATAACCTTTCTACAAAGATAGTATCCGAATACCTGAGACATTTTTATTATAACCTGTGGGTTGAAGATTATGATAAGAATGTAGTATACTTTACAACAGAAAAGAATCAAACTAAACAACCTTGTTTTTTGTTGGGATTACATGGAGATCATCACGAGTCGTAAGTTTAAAAAATTTCTAATTATACAATTACAAACTTTATTCTTACAAAATTTTTCCAGATCAAGTATGATAGTAGATATTACTAATTTTGGAAAAGTAAGTTGCAAAAAATAAAGATCATGTTTCAACATTTCTCTAATAATAGATTTTTTTAATATAGTGTGAAAATAGGGTATTAACAACAATTCCAAACCCTCAAAATTGTGATAGTTCATTTATTTTCCATAGCAATAAAGTTTTAGATGCAAGTATAAGAGGTAGAGTAAAGAGATTCTTCTCCAATCGTTTGGATAAGGAATATAGTAAATTCTCTGATATTGTTGATCAAATTTATTCAAAATGGCAAAAGCTATCGGTTGGATTCTTGGCACCCAATCTACCAATATACCAAGTGAATATCACAATTCATTAGAGAAAAAAAATCGAAAAAGTACCACTCGAGGCTCTAATCATACAGCATAACTTAACATAATAAACTATTTAAAGAAAATAAATATTTGAAATAAATATATATATATATATGTTTTTGTAAGGATTTATTATTATTATTACAATTTTGAAATATAACAATGAACTTTTGAATTAACTGACTTTATAATTATTATTTAGTTGCTAGTTCATAAAGTATTTAAGCGCTTGATAATTAAATTAATATAATTTCTTTCCTGTTTTCTTTAGGAATTGTTGACCGAAATCCAATTTAATTTCATATGCTCTCTTCATTGATTTCTCATCGCTTCTAACAACTTTAACTGCTCTTCTATTCATTAGTAATCTTTGTGCTGTTGTCAATTCATTTTGAAGATCTTGACATTTCTCCATGAGTTGTGAGTATTGTTGTTGTAAATCTTCATTTTCGCAAACCTGTTTATCGACTTGTAGTTGTAATGATTGATTTTGCTCTTCCAATTTCTTTACAATTTCATTTGATTTACTTGAACTAAAAATTTGATTATAATTAATATATATGAATTGATACTTGATTATTATATATTTAATAACATACATTTCAATTTGTTGATTTTGAGCTTTTTGTTTATATTGCTTTTCTTGGTTTAATTTGTTTTGTAGTGATTGAAGTTCGGATTGTAAATTTGTAATTTGTGTTTGTTGTAACTTTGATTTCATAGCAACATCCTCTTTAAATAATAAATGTTCCTGTAACTGTAAATCACCATTACTTTTTAATACCTAGTAATAATAAATATTTATAATTAGTAAATCTCAAGATATTTTTGATGTTTATCATTATAGTTACTTTAATTTCCTGTAATAATTTAAATTCTTGTGATTTCATATCTGATGCCTCTGATTGTAATTGTAAATTGTATTCATTGAGGCTTTTCTTTTCACTTTCACTTTGTTCCAATTGAATACGTAGTTCATTGAACTCTTCACTCTCCTCGTCTTCTTGGTTGGCCGTAGAGTCAGAGGTTGTTGTGTCGGTGGTGGTGTTATTGCTGATGCTGGTAATCGATTCATCTGGTATGTGGGTATTTGGTGTTGATTGTTGAGAGCTCAGGTTTGGAGAGGTGATGCCATTGGTTGATATTGACTTTCTCGCTCTCTGAGGACTGCCAACCGCTGCAGTAAGTCTGATCCTCTCATTCTCGACCATCGATTGCAATCGCTTCGATAGATCTTTGTTTTCCTGTTCAACTTCGCAGTATTTGAGTCGACTGTCGTTCAGCAGTTGTTCGGTGCCGGCCAACTCTGTGGCGAGTTGTTGTTGTCGTTGCTCCAGTTGTGCTATACGATTCTGTAACTGAAGCTTTATCTGCATGCTGAGGATCTCCTCTTCGGATAGGTTTCTTATAACCTCCTCTATGTTGATATCCTCGTTTCCACCTGCTAGCGAATCCAGGTCGGATGACGTGGAGATGCTGCGGCTGATTCTACCTTCCGACGAGTTGGCGTCGCCCTCCAAATAGTCGGTTTGATTCTTTCGCTCGAGATACTGAATCACTTGAGATGCCAGTATTCTCAAATCGTCAACTTGTTGGCTGAGTGAAGTAATGCGAAGTTCACGATTCTCTACTTCCACCTTCAAGCTTCTCTCAGCGTCTTTGTAGCTCTTTGACTCTTGGTCGGCATTTCTCATTGATTCCTTTGTTACTTCGAGTTGTGATCGAACTTGTTGCAACTCCTCCTTCGTAGATTCATATTGCATGGTAATCTCTGAGAGTTCATCCTTGAATTTATCGACCAACTGTTGATTCTCCTCTTTGATTCTGTCGATTTGCATTGTCAACTCGACCATTGCCATTGGGTCATACAACGAAGGGGTACCATTCTCTGAGGAAGGTGATGTTCGTCCACCACTTCCATTGGCAACACCTGCACTTGCAGCTGCCAGACTGTTTACAAGTGGCGTCGACAAGGCAACACTGTGACGGTGTGACGCGCTGCCTGCTGGCGAACTCACTGGCGACGATGTCAGAGCTGTCGAATGTCTATTGCTTGCTTTACTGGGTGTAGATGTATTATTGTTACTGGTGGCTGTGGTAGTTGGACTGGTGGCAGCAGGTGGTGGCGGTGCGGCCAAACATAGCAGCTGCTCGGGTATTGGCGATCCCGGTATATATTCTGGCGACTTCATATACTCCACCAATTTTTCCAGTGACAGCGAATAGTGCTTCAAACTCGACAGTTCTTTAGTGAGTACTCCAATGATAGCAAGTAGTTCAGCTGCCGACTTTTGAGAGTTGACTTTAACGGTATTCTTAATGGTCTTTGCACGCGATCCAAATTTCAAAGTGGAGATTGTCTCTTCAACATTGGAAACATGTGGAGAAGCTGTAATCATCAACGTTGTCTTGGTGTTTCCACCGAGAGATTCCTGTAGGATACGAGTGAGCTTGGAATCACGGAACGGAATGTGCTCACGCTTCGACTCTGTCAGAGCATGTATACAATTACCGAGCAGAGACAACGACTGGTTGATCTTCTTTGCCTCCTCAAGAGTCTGTCCCTCTGCACCGGTCTTGGCGACCTTTTCAGAACCCGCCAAATCGACGAGATTCAACTTTCCACGCTTGATGGAACCGTCCTTTGATTTCTGTTCGATCGTCAGAATCAACAGTGAATGCGAACGAGACGATCGCTGATTCATATTGGTTTTGGAGACGGAACGTGATTGTTCACCCAACGCAATCAGATCCATGATTTCATGCTCGTCGGCAACAAACTCCTCTGTCAATCCTTCAATCCAAATTCCATTGGCTTTCGATTCTCTTATCTTCAAATTGGTATTCTTTGGATTCAAAAGATCCTTGATAATCTCCATATAGATCTCTACGAACGAACACTTTATAGTGAATTCCGATCCCGATGTATCCTCTGCAATCTTGTTGAATATATGAACATTCGTTCTTGGAATGATACCTGCTAACTCTGGATCTTTATCTTCTGATCCAAACATTGTAAATGTCTAAAAATAAAATAATTTAATTAATATTTCTTCTTCTTCTTCTTCTTTCCAATATATAGATATTTCTTTCTTTCTTTCTTACTTTTCCAGAACCAGTTTGTCCATATGCAAATATAGTACCGTTGTATCCATTTAAGACATCATCAACAGTACTCTTTACTATTTCGAAAATCTCTTCTTGATGTGTGTCAGGTGGAAATACACGATCGAATGTAAAAGGTACTTGATTTCCACCCTGATTCATAATCAACTGTGTTCCCTCACCCGGAAATTGTACGACCACCTGATCTTGATCACCACTCTTCTCCCTTGCATTCAATGGTCTAAACCTAGCAATAACTCTGATATTACAACTAGTTGCCATCGTTTATTTTGCTATTATATATAGATATTATATATATTTATATTTATATTGATATTGATATTGATATATATATTAAAATTATATTTATTTTATTATTAAAAGTAACTTTACTTTTTTTTTTTGTTTTATATATTAACTTTTGTACTATTACACTAAAATAAAAATTAATAAATAATAAATATAGAATTAAATGATTGATTTAATTTGATTCATATATAGATAGATAGATAAATGATTGAATTTTATAATTTGATTTGATTTCAAATGAATGAAAAACAATATCTTATAAAAATAAATGATATATTTAGAATAAATCTTGTTATTGATTGTTGCTTTTATATTAAATAATAATAATAGCTTATTACTCAAACAAAACACACACCCTCTGTGGACTAAGTGCGAATATTGGTTAATAATTGGCTAAATTGAAATAGAATAGTTATTGTTGCTATGATGATGATGTGAATAAAGTTTTTGGTTGTTGCTATGATGAATGAACATACACAACAAAACTTCTTTCAACTTTGAAATGAACACACCAACACTTTAAATATATATGGTTCTATTGACAAAAACAATAAATATCAACACACATAAAACAATATTTGAAAAAAAAAAACAAAAATAAACAACCGATTTTTGCAACTATCTTTCCTCTTTATGTTACTACTACTGTGTATGACCACCACTACTACTTCTATATTGGTACTAATTAATTAATTAAATTCTATATTGTTGCTTTTATTAAGTAGGTCCTTAATGCCAAAGAAAAGATGAAAGAAATGTATGTTTGCAAATCCAAAAAAAAAACAATAATGAAAAATCAAAAAAAAAAAAAAAAAAGTTAAATTAAAAACAACTCATTATCTAATAAGTGAACACCACCCCCTTCTTAAGTTGAAAAAAATAAAAAAAAATGAAAATTGAAATGTTTTTTAATTTTTTTATTTTAATTGTTTAAATTTATATTTGGTTGGACATATATTCATTTATTTGTTTTAGAAAGTATTGAAATATCTATAGATCTTTGAAAATGATTTATAAAAAAATTGATAAATTTAACTTTTTATAAAAAAATTAACAAACAAAAATTATTTGTGCAGTATTTCTGAAGTAATAAAATATTTTTTGTTTTAGAGATATAAATTTATTTTCTTAAAAATCAATTAATAGGATTAAGATATAATAATTTATGATTATTTGATTCAAATTGTTTCATAAAGATTCATAGGGTTTTTGGCAGTAAAAAGGTGTCAGTTTATATGACCATTATTAACTGTATTTAAGAGCTCTATTGAGTTTAAAATGAATGGCATCTAGTATATTTATCTCATGAATACCCAAGAATTTTAAAAAACATTCAGGTCCTGACAGGTTGTTTGTATATCAAATTTAGTTAAGTATTCATTTTAAGTAAAAAAATATTATGTGTTTTCGAATATAGATGACAAGTGAGATGTCTTGTACAGTTGTCGAATATACTAAAAATAGTTAAACAAAATTATTTATTAGTAGATCTATATCATACTCTAAAATTTCCAAAAAATCTGGGAACTAGGTAAAAACTCAAAGAATCTGGTATTTTAAATTAAATCGAGTAATGATGTTTATGTAAAATCAGATAAAAACCTTTACATTTTGAATATGAAGAAGAGTCTAAAAATTTGTTTTTGCAATAATTTAATTGTTATTTAAAAAACAGTTTAATTTTATAAAATTGGTTTTAATTATATCAAATAAAGGGTTAGAGAAATGAAAATAATTGCCTTATATAGTCATTATTATAAATTAAATAATGGTTTTAATAAAGTAAAAATATAATCCGAAGTTCAGGGGGGTTACCCCTCACACAAAATAAAAATTTTCAAAAATTTTAAAGATATATATAATAAATTTTCATTCGATTCATCAATTTAATCGTATTGATTATGATAGTTTATTTAATTTGTTGCCTATTCTTTTCTGTTCTTTTCTATATTTATATTTCTTTTTCAATACAAAGAATACTCCGAGACCTGCAGCCAGAATAACAACAGAAAGCACAACAACAATGGTTACGATCTTCCAAGTGGCGAATTTTTCTTTACAATCACTTTTAACATCAGTGTTGATAAGAACTGAAAAATCAGGATCTATTACACATCTATCACAGTAAGTAAGTGTCATTCCACTCAAAATACTTTCTTTAGTTTGATTAACAACTTGATTTTGAATTAAGACTGGTTTGTCGTCTGACAGCGCATATGGAAGGAATCGACCATAAAACGATACATCGTTGATTGTCATTCGCAAGAAATTCACTTCTGTTCCATTGTTGACTGAAATATCCAATTCTGAACAACCGTCATCATTATTATTGATTGAAGATATCGATTCCATTAATAGTCTCAATCGATTTAATCGATCTTTATATGACCAATTATTGATTGTAACCATCAATTTCAAACTATTCTCTGGATATAATGTTGATTGTCCTGCAAAGTTAATCAATCTACTGTTCTTTGAATATTCAATTGTTGCATTGATTTGATCTACTTCTGGTGTTGTTGATTGTAAACTGTATGTTGTGATACTGAATGTTTCATTTCCAGTTGTTGAATGAATCCATTTATTTGTTTTCAATTCTCTTACCACTGAACTTAACTCATCTATCTCTTGAATTGCAATGATGTTGAATGTGAAATTCATTCCATCTTTAACGATGACAGTTGGTGAAGGAATCGTGTTGTTTGGAAGAATAACAACACCTGGACTTAGTTGTGATTCACAATAATATCCACTATATCCATCATTACATCTACATTTTCCATCGAAACAACTTCCATGACCATTGCAATTTGATTGTGATCCACAATCTTCTTTAGGTTTAATGAAAACAGGTATCGTTTGATTATATCCATTGGCATAAACCAACAAACTATAATAAACATTTTCCACCAAACCTACTGGTAATCTACATGATAATATTGAATCATTTAATAATGTTTGTTGGCAAGGGAAGTTGGATATAATGGCAGATACATTGTATGGATTCGGTCCAAAGTTTGCACTAATTTCAACATCTTGATTATTTATCTTGAAATGGACACCGCTTATGAGTAAAGCTAAATTAGAGAAATAAAAATTAGATAAAATGAAAACAAAACAACAAATTGATATTCTACATACTTGAAGAACTATAATAATTAATAGTTGTAATAGTATCATCAAGATTAATTAAAATTGGATTTGTGCTATTTTGATTCGGAATTATACAATTAAATTGGGTTGTCGTGTTATATGTGATTTGACAATTTGAATTTCCAAAATTGGTGGCTTTGATTGCAAGTGGTGCTTTCAAGTTAAATTTTCCAAATGCTTTAATTAAAACATTGTTACCATCAATATTCTCTGATTGAATTAAATACACACTTACTAAAGTATTTTTAAAATAATTAATAAAATTTGAAAACAAATTAAAAAATAAATAACATACATTCTAATCCCCAATATATTTGTAAAGTATAGTTTTGAATTGTTGAAAATGTTAAATTTGAGCTTCCATATTCTGTGTTGACTAGATATCTAGATAATTTCAAATTATTAATATTTTAAATTTCATGATGATTTCTAGAAAATAATATAGAAGATAATTACGAAAACTGCTTATTATAAATAGCATTCGTTAAACTTAAAGGTGATTTATTTTGTCCCCATCCCAAGTTAGTTCCTTTTAAAGATAAAATAAAAGTCCCTTTTGTATAGTAATTTTTATAAGTTAGAAATATGGAATAATGAAATGAAAATATATAATACCCTACCTATTTGAGGAATGACATATTTATAACTATCCAATGAAATATCTTATTATTTATAAACAATTTAATAAAATTGAAAGGTAGTATTTTAAAAGAAAATTAATACATACTGCATTTAAAATCATTTGGAGGATTTGGTGTATTTGATGGAAGTTTTGATTTCATTTCAGACCAATAACAATAAAAACAATCTGCAACATTACCAACTAGAGTGGTTGATGTTATATCCAAATTGAATCTACAAAATGAATCATATAATTCCGTTTTTATATTCTGTGTTCCATATATTGATATCGAAACACTATCAAATGATTTAAAATCTGGTAATTGACCGCTACTACTGGTATTTTCTAACTTTCTGGAAAATAATAATTAATTTTTATAAGTGAATAAATATAAATTAGATTTAAAAGTTGACATACAACGAGAATGAATTTGAAAACCAAGATTCTGATGGTACAATTGGAACAGGTGAATTTGTAATTACTCTAAATAAAAAATGGTGTTAAAAGATATTTTTGATCGATTGAATATTTAGAATATTTATACTTACACATTGAACAAACCTGAAGCATTTTCAATTGGTGTGGAAATATTGTCAAAAATTCTAAATTTTAATTTTTGTTAATAGTTAAAATTTCCAGTTATATTAATATTATTACTCACACATCACTAAGAGAAGGTAATACTGAAAAATCTGAAGTTGAAAATGCACAATTTTTTGCTTTACTATACATAATTAAATTGAAAGGTTTAAGTAAAAAAGAAACCAGTTAAGAATTTAATGATATTTACAAATTTCTAACTTTCGGTAGGTCACCAAGAACAACCATTGCATTATCAATATCTCTAATGAATTATTAATTTTATGTTCAAGTTTGATTTGAAAACCAAATACTTACATTCTATATAAAGTTGAAGAACCAAATACAATTGGGTGTGTATTTGAAATATCATTTATAGTTCTATAATTATTTGGAAAAAATTAAAATAGTGTTTAATACAAGAAGAGTAATATAAAATAACTTACATATCGCTTAGTGTGTCAAAATAAGAGTTGGTAAAATTCAACATTCCATTTTGTTCAAACCTATTTATAGTCTTAAATGTTCTTGAAGTGATAATATTAATATGAATAATAAATATTGGAGCTTTATTTGGATTATATCTTACATAGTAGATAATGTACTTTTTGTCATAGTTGATATATCTAAAAACATTTTAAAAGTGGAAGTGAATGATATTCTTTGAAAATTTAAACTGGAATTTACACCTTTAAATATTAAGTTCAAATTTAAATCAGATATCATAGTAACTTCCGTCAAAACTCTATTTTCATAAATTAGTTAATTATTCATATTTAATTAAATTTATTCTACTTACAATGTTGTTAATTTGAGTTTTGATGGGAATGTTGGAACGGATGCCAAACTTAAATATTGAACAGTTATTCTATTTAAATTGACATTTTCAGTGTTATCAAGCAAACCCAATAATGAATAGCTTGCATTTTTATGTTGACCAGCACTTAACAAGAACGTTTGTAAATTGGGGAATATCAACTTGTCAATAACTGGTGGTTCTCCATGATCGACCCAAGTAGAAGTTACCATTAATCTGAGAAGATGTTAACATTTTCTTTTAATAACAATATTTTTCACTTAAACAACTTACAATGCAGTAATTGTTTGAAATCCACTTTGATCAATTCCACAAGTAATCGATCCTCCAGCACCTTTATTGATATCAGCGCAATCAGTTGCAGTCATGTTCCAATTCGAATTAATTTGATACTATATTTTATTTTTGTTAAAAAAAAATTATTTAAAAAAAAATAAATGTTGATAAAAAATAAATACCTGGGTAATTAACCATCTTAATGAACTCACTAAATAAAAATAATAGTAGATTTTTGTTTAATACTTTACTATATCTAAGTATGACTTAATATTATGACTTACGTTCTTGAGCATTCAAATCATAAGCATCTGATATTCCCAAAAAAGAAATAAAAAATAATAATAAATATAACTTCTTCATAATATAGAATAGAATAGTTTGTATAAATAAAAAGAAAAAAGGAAAAAAAAATAATTAATATTAAAGTTCTTTAAATATTTTAAATTAGTTCTGTTTAAAATTTCATTTTCTGATACCAATTATATTAAGTGTAAAATCGACACGTCAAAAAAAATCCGAAATCTAAATTAATATCTTGATTTTTTTTTTTGAGTACCCAAGCAGGGTTTGAAGCTTGAAAAAAAAAAGATTGCATCATGATTTTTGTTTCTTTAAAGCTGTTTAGAATACACGTGATTAGATAGTTTGTAAAAATAGGTCAATTGTAGGGTGAAAAGATTATAGTTGATCATGATATTTAAATATTTGATAAGATACGAATGATATTAGAACCAAAAACAAGATCGCAGTTCAGGATCTAAAGAGATATTTTTTTTATTACTTCATTTTGTTAATGAGAACATACCTTTACCCACCTTAATAATAGTTTTATTTTTTCATAATTTATCTTTTATATTAAAATGAAAAGTAGTATGAATGAGTATGTTGTGTTATTACATTTAAAAGATTGGGTTTTTTTTTTTTCTACAACTTTTTTTGAATTCTCGCATTATTTTTGCAAAAGTATCCCAAAGATATGCAAATTTTTTTCATTTTTTGGGATAAAATGAAATTCCACAGATTTGAATTTACTAGTCATTGCAGAGCAATCGACAGTGACTCCTTGGGATATAGAATTCACGATGGTGAAGTTAAACTTATGGTAATTGGCATCGATCAAATAAGTGTAAAGGGTGACTGCTCTTGACCAGTATTTTCCAGATATCTGTGTTGTGTGAATGTGCACATTCACCAAACTACGCCACTCAGCCGCAAGCGATATCACCGCCCAACTTTGTATATAAACTCGAACGGTGACACAAGAGATTGCAAATGTGTTGCCCGGTGACAAGATAAAGGTGCCAGGAACAGGGAATATATTCACTCGATGTTCAATGCAGCGGAACTTCGAAATCCAAAGTTTGCCAATTCTATAAATTCGCACAACTATTTCCACCACAACAAAATCAAATCTCAGAGTACTTTGTTGATTTCTTACACTCAAAGACAACATCCTAATTTTAACAACAACATGTCAACAACAATAACAGATCATCAAAAAAACAACATAAAACATGGGAGTATTTTTTAATGTTTAATAATTCGAAAAAATAATCTAACAATATCGGAAACTACAATAGTTCAATTTAATTATTTTAATATTTTAATCATTAAAACCGAAACATTCTATCTTTGTTTAAAAAAAAATATATTTCACTTTTTGGAACAAACATCATTCATCTGGATTCATTTAACACTGTCCCCTTTTTTATAATAATTGTTTTATACAACTTCAAAATCAACTTTTCAGAAATGTTAGTTTCATTATAAATTTTAATTATATTTTCTCTTCTCAACCTTCAAAATAAATACTTTTTTTTTCTACTTTAAAATATCACAACATTTTAATATTAGTTTTTTTTGATATCTCTGTATTCTATTTATAAATATTTATTAATTTGTTTATTTTTACATATTATATTATTTTACTATTTTATCACAATGGATTATAAAACAATTATTGTACCGGTTTATGGTTTTATATTGGAAGAGACCCAATTATAGATATTGAAGAGTTTTTAAATAATAATGTTTATAACGAAGATAATTATATTAACAATAATAATGAAAATAATAATGATAATCAAGTTAATAGTAGTAATAATACTAATAAAGATAATAACTATAAAGATATATATTATTAATATAATCCAAAAAAATTATAATTTTGAATTATTTTAGAGATATTCAAACAGAATTAATTATAAAAAAAACATTGTAAGTGTAGTAAAAATTATCTTTTTTAAATTTTTCAATATTTATTTACTTTTTTTTTTTAAAGTGATATTGTTAAATCATATTTGCATAGTTTTTTTGAAATACTTAGTAATATTAAAGGCGAGTTAGTAGAGAATAATAATAAATTAGAATCTAAATCTTTGAAGTTTTTGAAATAGAGATTAATATTAAAAAAATAAAATAAAATATCAAACCTTGTTAGATTTTAATAAAAATTAGATAAATAGAAAGCATTTTTATAGTAGATTTAGAATATAAAGTTTGTTTTATTCTTTAAAAAAAATTGAAAGAGTTTAGCCTCTGTTTTTCGATGGGTAAAATGAGTTTTCCAATCTGCATCGGAGTTCGGAGCAAGCTACAACGAACCCGAGAGATCAAAGAATACAGGGACAGACATATTTATCAATGTTAAGAAAGATTCAATCAAATTCTCAAAGATCTTCAATCAAAAATTTGTGTTCAAAAAATGGTTATTGTAATATGGGAAATTTATATGAGAAAATCAATGATTAGCAACTAGCGGAATAGATATTTAACAAGAGACCCTGATTAACTAGATTAAATAAAGTTATTATTATTTTGTGTCTAGCTTAATTAACTTTAATATCATTTAGTTGATGTTTATTTATTCAATCCAAACTGACTACATGAACAACTAATGATCAATCATTGCTGCTGATTTTGTTTACAAATTTTCAACTTTTGATATATTGATAAATAATAATCAACAATATTTATAAAAATGAATAAAGATGTCTGTTTTCTGATCCAAATGTTTTAACATAAAATTCAACTTTGGATCTTGGTTTAATATAATTCTTTTCATAGTATTGAGATCGAGGACCTGCAATCTAAACCTTTCGTTGTAGCCTTTGACTATTTCACCATACTGTGAATGGGATATTTAAATTATTATATGTTGCACTTTAATTATTATATTTTTATCAATATATTTAATATCATCAAAGTTAAAGAAGTTAACAATTCAAACATTGTCATAGAAAAAGTGATATAACTTTTTGTAGTTACGAAATTTAACACTTCTCGAAGATGAATACATATTTTACATGTTGTACTTAAACTATGAAAGTGATCTTTTGAGAATAATCATAGAAAACTAATTTATTTATTCTGAAAGCTAAAATTTTTGTGTTAAATTTTATGTTCACTTTTTTTTTTTAATTTATTGTTAATGTGCATCCAAGATGAATAATAATTTACAATTAATTGACAATCAATTATTATCTTTAGGTTTAGTTAGAAAGGAAATACCAAAAGATGGTGCTTGTTTAGTAAGTAGTAATTAGTTGTTTAGTAATATTGTTATAAAGTTATTTTTTTACATTGCTTAATTACTACTTTGTTTTTGTTTATCATATGATTTGATTAGTTTATTTTTGTTTGGTTTGGTTTGTTAAAAATGTTTTTTATTTTGTGATAGTAATATTAATATTGTTATTATTGTTATTAATAATCATCAATCTTATAGTTTAGATGTATAAGTGAATATATCTATGGTACTCAAATTAAACATAGATACGTTAGAGAGAAGTGTATAGAGTATCTAGAGAAGAATCGTGAGAGATTCGAACCGTTTGCATGTATTAATGATCCGTGGGAGCGTTACATCGAGTTGATGGCAAAGGACGATACGTGGGGCGGTGAGATAGAACTACAGGCATTGTCACTCTACTACAGAGTGAACTTTGTCATTTACATTGGAACGACTACTACCTGCGTTGACAACAGCTATCCGATCACTATTAGCTTGGCATACTGTCAAGGTGAACACTATGACATCGTATATCCAATCACTCATATGAACCTGCTAAAGTCAATGCAATCGATCATCTACGAACTCTTGGCAGATACACCACAACTTGCCATCAAAACAGATACCTCGCAATGGTATAATACCTCTATAATCTGGTGGGAAGAAGAAGTAAAGAGTAAGTTAAAAACAAAAACAAATCAATAATAATAATAATGTTAAACATTTTACTATTTTATATTATATATATAGTTAAACAAAAGAAGGATATGAAAATAGTTGAAACTCTTAATATGAATAAAAGAGTTTATATCAATCCTGTAGATGAATTCAAATTGAAACAAAAGAAGGAAAAGGAGAGATTGGAGAGAGAGAAAGAGAAGAACAAGAAGAAGGCTCAACAACAACAAAATAAGAATAGAAGTATAATAAGATCGAGTGGTGATAGCGACACTAGTAGTGGTGGTGGTGGTGGCAGTAATTCTGGATCGATACCATCATCTCCTGCTGCACCTTCTTCTTTGAATAACAGTGCCAATAACAATGAGGTGATCTATCCTGCAATGGAGGAGATGGATGAGGAATTGAGAGCGATCATCAAACAAATCGAGCAACAAGATATAGAAGAACAAAGAAAACTTGGTATGGAAAAACATTTCCCTGTAAGTTGTGTAAACTTTTACTAGTTTATTATTACAAATTACTAATTTATGTTTTATTAATAAACAATCATAAATTTAGACACTAGCTGGTGGTAAACAAAATAGAAATAATAAAAATAGGAATCAACAACCATCATTACCATCACCTTCTTCATCACCTCTCAATAACAAAACAAATGAAAATCAAGCTACAGTACAACCAACTTCAACAAGCTCGACAACAACAACAACAACAACTCAAGATAACAACAATAATGAAGAGCTGTCGACAGTAACTGTTACTATAGCACCAGCTTGGAAGACAGCACAAGATTGGAATCAAGTAAAGAATATGCCAGTATCTCCAACTCCAACAACAACAACAGCAATACCAACAACACCACCAACTGCAACAGATCAGTCATCCAATTCTGAATCTGATAATAATAATAACAATAGTAACAATAATAGTAATAGTAATAATAACTTCCAATTTAAGATTAAAAATAAAAATAGAAAATAAATCAACCTTCCAATTCTGATTAAAGTTTTGGAAATGTTTTGTTTTTAATGTTTAAAAAGTAAAGAAGAACTCGTTATCATCTTCTTTTTCTTCTATTTCTTTATTTGAAACTGTTGTTGGCTCTTCTGGTTTTATTTCTTCAACTGTTGATTTCACCGGTGATTCTTCTTTAATTTCATTTTGAATATCTGTTTTTGCTATTGTTTCTTTACTATTATTACTATTATTACTGTCTTCATTATTAGTGTCATTCCTATTAGCATTACTTTTACTAGAGTTGTTTTTCTTAACAATTGGTTTACCACTTAATAATTGTTGTGATTCTTCCAATGTGTTTACCAGATTCGGATCAAACTTTGCCTTTAAATTATTTGAAATGATTTGTTTCTGTTCTTCTTGCAACTTTTCCAAGACTTCTGTATCTTCTCTTATTATATTATATTTATCCAAATCAAAAACAACCAGAATAGTCGGATATTCTATGATCTCTTTAAGATTTAAACTATTATTAACATTTTGATTTACATTTAATAAATAATATTGATTTAACTATGTTAAATGAATGAGAATAAATATAATTAATAAAAAATATTTAATTAACATAACAATGATAATAATATACATACATTTGATCTTTCTCTTTTTAAAATTAAATGATAACTATTATTATTATTATTATTTTTATTATTCTGATTATTATTATTATTTCTACTATTGTTTAACTTTAAGAATTTCTTTATATTATAAATATTGGTTGGATCGTCTATGTGTTTTTGTAAGGTGTCGCTCAGTGTATCGTTTTCATTGACTGACGATGAAACCAGTGATGTCGCATCATCAACAAAGTTCCATTGTATTCTCCAGTGTAATATATTCTTCTTTTTATTGTAGTGTGTAGTGTTCTCTTTGTGTCTGGACATCTCCTTTGGCATAATCATCAAATTGATATTTCTTTTGAATGCTGCACGTTGAACATACACCGATTTATTCTGAATGAATGATTTCGACAATATTGACTTTCCTGTTTCATTAACTCTATTTATATTATCTAGGAAATTGAAATCTATCATATTAAAATAATTAAAGATGTCAGTCAGCTAATGTAAACAATCATATTGTATTGTATAGTATAATATTGGTACCATTTATAATATCATTATCAGACATTTGATTAAGTGGAATGAAATGATTGACTTTTTTGACACCATTACAATCTGATTCTGAACGATGTTGTTTCGAACACTCCGCACTACAGAACAAAACAAAACAGGCAGGACATTTATATTTTGAAACGTTTTCCTTGCATACTTCACATTTATCTACACCAATCTTCATTCTTTTTTCACCATTATTACTATTACTACTAAATTCTATTGTTGCTTCTGTATCTGGTTTATCTCTTTTCTTGCTACTACTAATACCTTCAATACTGAGATTATTACCATTTTGATGTATTGTTATTTCTATTTCACCACCACTTCCTCCATCTTCATCATCATCACCTCCATACATAGAAAATAAATCCATTTCTTAATACTTTCTTTACTTCCAAATCAAATACAACCTAACACATAAATAGTTGCTAGATGACATGAAACAAACGAACTTTGATTTACTTTTTTTTTTTTTTTTTTTTAAATTCTCGTTTTTTTTTTTTTCTTTTTTGGGTTTCTGTTAACCAAAAACCGACAAATTTAAATGATATGAACTTGTATGTCATACATTATATTTTTATTTATAATATTTTTTTTTTAGATATATTTTAGATATTAGATATAGCATATATTAGAATAGTATAGTATAGAAGTATCAAATGGTTAAAGCATATGTTGAGATATCAGGTGATAATGTAGAGACATCACCATCGTTATACACCAATTTCGATCTTCATAGATATCTCTTTGAGTGTGGTGAAGGTACACAACGATCTTTTACACAGAGACCAGGTATCAACTTTACAAAGTTGAACAATATATTTCTGTCGACATTGCGATGGGAATCGGTTGGTGGTCTGTTAGGTCTGACCTATACGATCGATGACATCGGTATTTCAGAGATTGATATCTACGGACCGAAAGGATTGCATCAGCTGTTCACAGCGTCACGATTCTTCAGTGGCAATCACAATCTATCGATCAACTTGTTCGAGCTGCCAAACACTACGAATCACGTGATCCGTGACTCTGAACTCACCATCATCTCGGTGCCAATCAATAGATGTCCACCAAAGATACCATCGACATTCCGTCACTACCGACAAGACAGAAAGGAAATGAGAATAGTCGATATCAAAGATGAACCATCTCCACCACCCTCACCAGAGTCAGAATTTGAAACCTATAAGAATAATATTAAAAATAGTAATAGTAATAGCAATAATAACAACAATCATCAATGTGATATCTCTGACACTGTATTGGGTGCAATTGAACAGAATAGCAATAATAATAATGGAGATGAATCATCTACAACTACATCGGGATTGGATGGTGATTTATCATCGAAACCACTATTCAAAAGAATGAAAAGAGAAATCCCTGCTTATTTCCCAAAGGGAAGCAAAGTAGATATGGATTCTGATACCGTCCACTGTTGGGTTTGCAGTACCAATGAATTTGTCGGTCGATTCCACCCAGAGAAAGCACTGGAACTTGGTATCCCAAAGAGTCAAGCATTCCTTTTCAAGCGTCTAAAGAATGGTGAAACCATCACACTTCCCGATGGAACTCAAATATTTCCACATCAAGTCATGGATGAACCATCTCCTGCAACCGTAACTATACTATCTTTCATTAGTTATTATCAACTAAAAGTTTAACTAACTCTAAACAAAACAAACATCAATAGAATTTCACAATTATAAAATGTCCAAGTATTGAATATTTCGATTCACTTTTCAGTAATGAAGCATTCCTACCATATCATAATAATGAGAAGGTTATGAGTGGAGTGTTTCATATGTCACCACCTGAAGTTTTACACTCAAAGCGATACATTGAATTCATGGAGAAGTTTGGACCAGTCACTAAACATATTATTGTGAACAAAGAGAATTGTGAGTACAGTCCATCGTTCCCAGGTTCAGAGATTCATTTGAACCGACTGGCACAGGTAGTACCCGACCTATTCCCACCACCAATAAAGCCAAGAACTGTTACACCACTCTTTGAGACCGGTAAACCAACCATTCATTCAGAGACACTAAAGAACAATATGATACCTATTGAAAAGTTAACGCGTTTCACATTGGCACCTTCACGTCAAGCCGGTGAAATCCAACAGGTCACACAAACCGGCAAGGAATTTGATGATGTCGTATTACCCAATCTTTCAATTAAAGATAAATTGGATGAAGTAATTAAATGTATATATAAGTTAATTATAATTTTATAGGTTATTTATTAATTTAACATTGTTTTAAATCAACCAGTTGTCAATACAGCAAAGAATAAAGTTGAATATCCAAAAGTATTGTTTACAGGTACTGGAAGTGCTTTGCCATCACCCTATAGAAATGTAACCGGTAATCATATATTGATGGAGAATGGAACCAGTATGTTATTGGATGCCGGTGAAGGTACCTATGGACAACTAGCCAGATTCTTTGGACATGAAAACATTGCAAAGATACTTATCAACCTTAAAGTGATTTGGATCTCTCATGTACATGCTGATCATCATTTAGGTATTCCAAGAATTTTAGAAAAGAGAGCAAGAGTAAATTATTATAGAATTAGTTCAATTAATATAATCAATCAAATGAAAACTAACAATATAAATATTCATTTTATTAAAATAGGCATTTGAAGAATTAGGTATTAAAGAAGATCCAGTCGTTATTATTGGTCCACATACCTTAATTTTTTGGTTAAAGCTATTAAGGAGAATGACACCTATCGATTTTGAAGGAGTTGAATTTGAACAAATACAAAATTCTAAACCTGCAATGTAAGAATTTAAATTATTTTTTTTTGATATATTTTGAATATTAACATTATATATATTACAAAAATAGTGCTGCACTTCAGAAATTAGGAATTGTTTCTCTTGAGAGTGTACCTGTTATTCACTGTACGAATGCTTGTGGTGTTGTCATTGAATTGGAAAATGGTGTTAAATTTACGTAAGTTACCTTTTAAACTTTTAAATGTTGATTTTTAAAAGAAAAAACAATAATAATATTGTTATTTAGAAACATTGGAAATTTATTTATTTTTATTTGTTCAAATAAATATTTTTAGATACTCTGGTGACACTAGACCATGTAGTGATTTGGCAGTAGCAGGTCAAGATTCAACGTTCTTGTTGCACGAAGCTACGTTTGGAGATGACATGCAGAATGAAGCGAAAGCAAAGAAACACTCGACCATCGGTGAGGCGTTGGACATCGGTAGACAGATGCGTGCAAAATTCACATTGCTCACCCACTTTAGTCAGAGATACTCCAAGATACCAGATCTTAGTGGTCACGGTACCTTTGGTTTGGCATTCGATTTGCTTCAAGTCGCACCATATCAATTCCCAATGCTACCACATCTCACCAAGGTATTCGAATCTTACCTCGTAAAGAAAAAAGAAGAACCTATCATTGAAATTCCAAAAAAGGTAAAAAATAATATTCCATCATCCAAATCAAAAAATAAACCAAATAATAATAATAATAATAATAATAATAATAATAATAATAATAATATTGATAGTAATGATAATAATAATAACAATAACAACAATAATAATAAAAACAATAATAGTAAAAAAAGAAAAGAAATATCAGATGATTCGAATAGTAGTAATACTAATAATGAAACTAATTCAATTCAACCAACTAGTAATATTACAATGCCAAATCAAAGTTAATTAATCATTATTATCTATTATTATTAATAAAATATAAATTTATTTATTTAACTTTTTTAAAACAATATAACAAAACAACTCTAATATTAAAACTCTATCCTATTTTTTAAAAAAAAAATTAAAAAAAACAAAAATAGAAAGTATCATTTGGATTTAAAACAACAGATAATATAAATACAGTAAAGAATAATTATTCGACAAAGAAACTCGATAAAAGTAGTAGTCGCCCAAAATCATTTTCGTCATCATTCAAAAGATCATATTCAACAAAAACCTCCACCACCACCACCACTACATCATTCAATCATAATAGTTTTAATGCATCATATAGCAATAGTTTTAAACCCAATATTTATTTAACTTTATTTAGTAAATCTTTAAAATTTGGTGCCAAGATAATCTAAATATATAAATAATAAATAAATAAATATAAATCAGTTTATTATACAGTAGTACTTTTTAATAGACTTGATCAATAGTAATGAATCAATGTGATGTACATCAACAGAAACTTAAACTACTCTGTAGTAACTGTAAGATTAATGTTTGCATTCGATGTGTAACCGATACACACCGTGGTCATTCTTTTGATCATATTCAACAGACTTTGGCACATAAACGATATAGGAGAAATAATGATAGAGATGACGATGATCTAGTTGCTGATCATACAACTGGTACTCTAGAAACTGATAACCTACAATCAATAACCTCTAATATATTACCATCTACATCGCCGGTTCCACAACAACCATACACTAATCAAGATACACTTAGCAATCAACAGATCTCCCAACAACCTATAAATAATACACACAATACATTCACCAACATCATTAACAACAACAACAACAACAATCGAAGAAACAAGGATGATGTAAATGAATCGAGTGATAGCGGAATTCAACCAATGTATCATTAATTAATTAATTGAATAAAAAAAATTGTAAATTTATTAATTCTAAATTTAGAGATTCAGTGTGCACCCTTATGACAACAAATGGCGATCAACACACCAAATTCAACGCTGAAAAACAAAAAAAAATACAAAATATCTTGCATTGGTTTTCATAGGTCTGAAACTCATTCATGCCCGACACTTGATACCATGGTTTTTTGCAGAATTGTAATATTACTTTTCTTTTTTGGTGGCTCTGATTTGTTTTTTTTGGATATCTGTAGACTTGAGAGTAGTTGTACCCTTTCAAATTTCAAACAGTACATTCATTCCATTTCATTAGTTCGTATTTAAATAGTTATTAAAGATATACAGAACAATGAAGATCAATTTTATTTTATTAGCTGTTTTTTATTTGATTTTTGTTTTGGCAGGAGAGAATGGTGTTGTAGAAGCACAAAACACCTCAACCATTTACTATGTAAACACCTATTATAATTCATCGGATTGTGGATCTGAAGTTGTTGAAATCTATGGTTATGACACCACCGGCTGCATACCATACACCTTCGGTAGCTATCTATATATTTGCAATGATTCATTTATCGGTTGGATCGAATACTCAGATTCAGCGTGTGGTAATGAGACTCAACGTACTGTTCACGAATACAACACTTGCTATCCACAAGACCCGTACTACTCGCAGTACACCTGTCAAACCCAAGAGCAACTCCTCCAAGCTTACCCTGGCTATACTGGTATGAATCAGTACACCAACGAAAATTGTAACGGTGAACCAGCAGGACTCAACCTTTCACCCTATCCACTATGTGATGCACCATTTGCGTATGTAACTCCTTTTTTAAATGAAAAAGAAAAAAAAGTAAAGTTAACATTATTCTAACATTTTATTTAAATCATTACTATTTAATAATAATTATTAGTGTCAAATGTGAAGACGATAAACTATATATTTCAGAAGGTGCAACAGACTTTTGTGTAAAATACGGTGCTTGGAAAGAGTATACCGAACCACAATGCGCAGACGGAACATTTTTCCAATGCTGGTAATCAATTCAATTCATTCTTTGAACTTGAAAAAAAAAAAAAAAATAGTAAAAATAAATTAATTAATAGTCAAATTTACATAAGGAACTTGTTTATATTCATGAACAAACAACATAAATGATATTCTTTATAATAAATAAATTGTTGGTATTCGTAATACCATTACTTATATTACTACTATCATCTATATTCTCAAATTATAATAATGCAAACATTTCTATTGTTTTAATAATCTATCATTGTATATTATTATTTATAACTTTGATATTACCAGATATATGGGTATGTATTATATATACATAACAAATCAAATCGAATCTATCTATTTTTGAATTAGTTAATGTTAACATTCATGTTTATGTAATGTAATGAAATTATAGGCAACTTATAGCTTTGTTATTGAATTACCATTATTGATATCAGTGTTCTCTTTCATTTGGTATATACCAGCTGGCTTAACAGATTCCTATCTTTTCATATTGAATTGGATTGGACCTGTACTTGTTTTGATACAAGCATATCAATCGATCAATCTAATTCTTTTTACAAACAGAAAATTGATGGAAAAGACACTAGATCCTTCCTATGACACACCTATTAAAGTAATGTATCAAAGCAATAGCACTTGATTATTATTAATAACTAACATTTAATATTTATCAAAAAATAGATACTATCGATAATCGTATCAATCATTTGTTATATATCTTCTATTTTTATATTCTACAAGCTTTTTACAGATGATACAAGTAAACTTAGTTCATTTAACTCAAAGTATGTTTATTTTTTATTATTTAATATTAAATTGTTACTAACTAGTTGATATTACATTAAAATTTAGTATATTATCATCAGTTGTAACAATATTGGTTCTACTTATCCCATTTATGATATTCGTAGAAGATTCGATGTTATTGGATATAGCGATGATTACATTCTTTGTAGCGCTGCAGTGCTTTAGTTATTTCTATAGTGGAGTCAACAGTTACTCTGTCTATGTAATCAACTGTGTATCAGTGGTAGTATCACTGATTACACTACTCTCACTGACCATCACCATCGGTCAGTCAGACTCATCATCTACAATCACCGATAATTCATTATTTGGTAATCTAAATGAATCTGTATGTATTGTTAATTCTAAAGATATCAATCTATAATATATATATTTCTATATATGTTATATTAACATTAGAATTCATATTATAAATAATAGGATAACAAGGAAAGCATTTATCAAATCATTCATATAATGTTGGTTATAGCATTGACCTATTTCCCAATGTCTTATTTCGGAGTGATCGAACCAGTTTCATGGGTATTCCCAGTGCTACAGATTGTATTTCAATTTGCATTGTATACATTAAGTTGTTTACAAAATTCAAACCTAATAAAACTTCATGATGATTAATTGTATAAGATTTGTTCTTTAAAGAAATCAGAACAAAAAAAAAACACATATCTCTAACCACTTTTATTTGAGAGTTAACGATTGCAACTATAAATAATATAATTCAACAGATAAATTTAAAGTTTTTAATTAAAAACTACACTATGCAATGGAGACCTGGTGAAGTTTTCACCCACACACAACTCTTGCGAAAAGTCAAAATAAAATTAAAAAAATAAAAAAATGTTTTTAAAAATTATTAAAAATCATTAAATTGTATGCTTATACCCCACACACTCATAATTTAAGGATTGGCAATAATAAATAAATAAAAAAGTAATCAAATATATATATATTGGGTTTCTTTCATTCTCTTAACAAAGTTATCGTAATATATAAATATTTATTAATATAACAACACAACACAATTCAAACAAATTATTTCGGAATTAAAGTAAACCAAAGAATAGATATTTTTTTAAATAGTTAGTAGTATCATATAATGCCACTCATCTATTCATTAGTTGCCAGAGGCTCAACTGTCTTGGCAGAGTATACCAATACCACTGGTAACTTTCAATCTATTACCAAGAGAATCTTAGAGTTGATTCCTCCCAATGAAACAAAGATGTCTTATGTCTATGAAAAGTAGGTTCAATATATAAAGTTAGTTATAGATAGATCTGATACCAATACTTATACTTAAACTTACAATCAATGATTATTATTATTATTATTACATCTAGATATATTTTCCATTATCTTGTTAGTGATTCATTGACTTATCTATGCATGGCAGATCAAGAGTTTGGAAGAAGAATACCATTTTTATTTTTAGAGGACGTAAAGAATAGATTCAAATCTAGCTATGGTGACAAAGGAAAGACTGCAATGGCATACGGTATGAACACTGATTTCTCAAGAACTTTAGAAAATTTAATGGTAATTAACAGCTGCACCGATCTACAGATATATTTTAAAAACAAACATACTAATAAATATGATTGTTATAATACATTATAGGATCACTATTCAAATAATCCACAATCGGATACACTCAATCGTACTCAAGCGCAAGTCGACGAAGTAAAGAATATTTTAGTTAGTGATATTGCACCACAGCTATTGAAGCGTGGTGAAAAGATTGAGATTCTAGTAGATCGTACTGAGAACCTTCAACAACAGTCATTCCAATTCAAGAAACAAAGTAAACAACTTAAGTGCTCAATGTGGTGGAAGAATGTCAAATTAATGATTATCATTGGTGTTGTAGTAGCGGTAACTATCTAATAACAACAACATATACACACACTCTCTTATTAAATTCAAATGAACAAAACTCACTAACACTTCTTTAATTTACTTTTCAATTTAAATAAATATGCAGATTATTATTTTCATCATTGTTATTTCAGCATGTGGAGGATTCAAATGTGGAAAGAAAAAGTAAACTAATAGTTAACAACAATAATGTATTACTCCTTTCTTTCTTTCTTTTTTCATCAATCAAATCAACTAAATAATAATTTTTTTTTAAACATGTCATATATCAACTTTATGGCATTGAACCATGTAGAAATCTTTTTTCTGTTTAATCTCCTCCCTTTTATAACTCTCTTCTATCTTTCTCTCACTCTTTTTTTTTTTTTTTAAAACAATAATCAATAAATCAAATCAATGTTGAACTATTTAATATCAAAACATATGACTCTTTATATAATATAAGACAATAAAAAAAAACTTAAATAAAAGTAAGAGAATAAATATAAGGAATGAGGTCACATAGCAATTTATTAAAATTGATTTGATAAATATCTTATGATTCGGCATATTTTCCTTCTTTGAGTATTTTATAACTGTATTCATAGAAAGAGCTGTAAATACCTTGTAACGGCTTAGCTTCATCCAGTTTACCAATACTTTATATTAAACAGATTAGTAAAGATGTTTTTTTTTTGAGAAAGATAATAATAATAATCAATTAATTAATAAAACTTACGATATTAAATAGTTTGATTTTGCTTTGGCGGTATCTGGGTGACTCTCACCAAAGTGGTGTTTATAGAATTGATAAACTCTCAAAATGAGTTTCTTGATCATTTCAGTTTCCTCGGGTGTTGCTTTGGGTGCAGGTTTCTTCTCTTCGTAGAAAATAAGGATATCTTTGATGAGCTGATTGGTAGCACTATCACCATAATGAATATATTGGAACAATCGATCGGTAACCGGTAAAAGTTTAGCAATGTTCAATCGTTGTGATTTGTAGCACTCTTGAATGATCTTCATGAGATCGTCGTGAATCGATTTACGAATACCGTTCAATGCGTAACCATGATCGTCGAATCCCTTTGAGCAAACCATGCATTTAGCATCGACCGATAAGTTTTCCTGGTCATAAAAGTCGACTCTTCCTTTGCAACTTGGGTCTTTACATACAAAGTAGAAATCATTACGCTTTTCACTTCGTACACTGGCACACTTGTGGCATTGGCACTCGAAAAAGAATGTCTCCATGAGCTCCTCGTTTCTCTGTATGGCACCTTCAGTTCTGTCAATATAGGAAATAGTGAATTCTTCACCCTTCTTGATTGGTCTCACTGCTTTCAATGTTAAGATTTTACCAATTTGTGTAACCTGTAAATTTGGATCACATCTAATAAATAAATAATAAATATATTAATCTGTATGTTTTAGATAATATAAATAGATAGATATAGCATTAACTTTTAATTATCTTTTTATACATACGAATGATTAATAAAGGTAAGACCTGGATATAAACCTGTTCCCAATAATACTCCACTGACACAATCAATGATTGTGAATGCATTGCAATTGATTGAGCAAAGTGCATCATAGAGTACATCGATCTCTGATTGTAAAACTTGATTGATTGGTTTCTTTGTTAAAAACGATCCAGCCATTGTTGATAGTCCGACTCTACTCTCTTTATCTTCTTTGGAATATTTATCTTTATCTATAGATATTGATAACAGTTAGTTTGAAATTGCTCATATATAGCATTCAGCTATAATTAGTAGTAGTGATACTTACGATTGATCAGATAATCTATAAAATTTGCATTATTACCCTCATCGTCGTCATCATCGTTGTCATCACTTCGCTTTAAGATTGATTGTCTGGCGAGAAGACATCTGGCTAGGAGGAGTACTGATCTCGTTGGTTTCGCTTTTACTCTACGCTCTAGTGCATCCAACAGATCGCATTCCAAAAGATGCTGGGAATCTTCAGTGCTACAAAACTTGTCGCAATATGATTGTTTACCGCAACGCTCACAGCCACGAGGACCACGTGGATTACGAATGACACTGTAACATTTACAGCACACACGATTACCGAGATTCATATCCATGACATCGGCTGCCGGACTGATATCTCTGGCAACATAATCCTGAGCTTCATAGTCTTTGCCTGCGAAACAACCGAGACCACCAAGTGGACTCTCCTGTACCTCGAGTTCATGACAGCCCCAACTCGATATCAAATGCTGTACCTCTTTAACATCTCTTTTCTTACCGCTCAACACTGACTTTGGTATAACATCTATTTTCTTTTTTGACGCCATTACTAACATGTTCAAAAATGAAATTAAATTGAAAAAAAAAAACTTTCATTGATTTGTTTTTATAATAATTGAAAAAAAAAAAAAAAGGGGGTGGTTGGTTTTTTTTTTTTGTTTTGATCAAATTATGATAAAAAAAATCTAATTTTGTTTTATCTAAAAATTATTTATCATTTATAACAATAACAATTAAAATAGTTATCAACAAACCAATTGTAATAATATCAAAAAGTATCAACAAAACCGCATCAATACAACTGTAGTATAAAATATTTAACAATATCAATATTCAATTAAGAGAAATTCTTTTATTATCTTGAATATTAACAGAATAACATTAAAACACACCAGAATTTATAGTTTTTTACCCATTATATTCGAAATCATAAAACACCATTATTACCTTATCATTACCAATTAAATAAGGAAATAATAATAGCAATAATATCAACACAATAATAGTATAGACAAAATCAATATTTGATCACAAAACAAAACAAAGATATTATATCATCAATTTCTTATAGTAAATATATATAGAGATTTTAAATAGAATAAATCATTTGTACTTTTAGTTTTTTTATTTTATCAAGATAAATAAATCAATAAATAAATAAATAATAGTTGTAAATGACAAAACATTGTTCTAGTTGTGGTAATACAAATTGTGCTCCGCAAGCAAAGTTTTGCACGCAATGTGGAAATGCGCTGGCATCTCCTACAGCTTCAACAACAACACCAACTACAACAACATTCACAGCACCCAAAATAACTACTGCAACATCTAAATCAACATTAAAACCAGCACCCGTTATATCTACAACAACAACAACAAATAATAATAATAATGTACGTCCAAATACTATTACACCAAAAACCAATAAACTAAGTCAATCTACTGGTTCTTTGAAACCTTTACCTTCAGTTCCAACCACAACAACAACAACAACAACGACAACACAAGTATCAGCATCACCTCCACCTCTACCAACGAAACCAAGAACAACGACTTCGTCAGCTTCTACCATTACCAAACCATTGCCAAGTGTAGTAAATACCAATGCTGGTAGTGCAACAGGTAATAGTGTAAATGTTACGAGAATAAGAGCGACTACTACCGCTCCGAAGCCAGATAATAGTCAGAGATCTGTTTCTTCGTCATCTCTACCGATTGCACCAAAAGAGAGTTCCGAGAACTTTATGAATATCAAACTAAAGTCTACAAAGATCAATAATGGTGAGCCAATCAACAACGGTGCAAATCGACCAAAAGCCAATACAGTATCGCTGGTTGCGCTCGACGAGAAGGCAAAGCTTCCACCTGGTTCCTTTGTTAAGTTGGCAGTCAAGAGCAGAGATCAAATGGACAATATAGCACATCGTGATATTCTAATTTTGAATGGTGAGAAAGATAAAGCAGAGAGCACAAATGGAAAAGATACAGCTGTTTCGGAACAACATCATCATGTTGCTTTGAAAGAGGAAAAGAGAAATGGAAATGTTACAACCGCTTCTGTTGTACCACCAGAGTTACCGCCAAAGAAGAGAAGTAGTAGTGGTGGTAGTTTGTCGGGATCGTCTTCTGGTATCACCCCGACTCTACCGACACAACCAAGTATGGAGAAGATGTCCATTCCGTTGCCGCCACCCCTTGACAAGGAGAAGGAAGCAGAACGCGAAAGACAACGTCAGCTGGAGAGAGACGAGCGTGAGAAACAACGTTTGGCAGAGAAGGAACAAAAGGCAGCGGAGCGTGAACGTCTAAAGAAAGAGGAGCGTGAGGAGCGCGACAGAAAGGAGTTGGAGAAAGAAAAGTCGAGAAAAGGTGAACGTGATGAAAAGGAGCGATTGAAACAGTTGGAACGTGAGAAGAAAGCAGAGGAAAAGAGACAGAGAACAATGGAGCGTGAGAAGAAGAGAACTCTAAAGATAGAAAAGGATAAGGAAAGAGAAAGAACAAGAGAAACCGGTACCGGTTCACCTCTTACCGTTTTGTCTGGTGATGAAGCCGACCATGAAGATAGTGATAGTGGCGATGCCGAAGTAGAATCAAATACGAACTCACATACAACAACAACATCAACAACAGCAACATCGTCGAATGGAAATGAAAGTGTTTCTTCACCAAAGATGTCATTTGCCGATATGTCAGAGGTGGTAAAGAACAAAGATATCGAGAGAAAGAAAAAGGAGAGAGAGAAATACAATACTTCACCGGCAAGAAGTAGATTCTTTTCTTTTATTTTGGGTAGCGGTGAGAAGGAGAAGGATAGCAATTCACTTGGTAATAGTGACGATGAATTTGTAATTAGTTCACCTGTTTCACAGACACCACTTTCGCCGGCTACCGGTATCGACGACAACACCTCGGTCGACGGCGACTCTGAAGATGGACAACCACAGCAACTGAGAAAATGGGCAATCAAACGAAATGAGTTGAATGGAAGTAAAGGTGATTTGATGGCATCGATATCACCTCCTCTTTTATCGGTGAACGCAGGCAGTGGAAACTCGTCGCTCCAACTGACACCACAACGTCACAGCATGGGAAGTGACACAAGTGGCGCAGCATCACCAGCACCTATTACAGCATCACCCCAATCCAATTCATCTTCGCATCTCAAGGATGCGCCATCTGCATCGTCCATGCACATCGGATCGTCTTCCTCCACCTCTTCACTGTCGCTCGTTTCACAGTCACCAACTGGATCTGCGCCACTACTGCCACCCAATCTTCCAGAGATGCCACAAGCAACCGACCAGAGATCGCGTGTCATCGAAGAGATTATAGTTACCGAACGTGATTACATTCGTGATATGGAGATCATGGTGTGGATGCGTAGAGAAATGGTCGGCCAGGAAGATGCCAAAGGTGCAGCGCTCGAGGAGATCAACATTCTCTTTAGCAATGTCGAGCAACTTCTCATGGTAAACCATGAACTCTATAAGAAGTTTGTTGAACTACCGATTCCAACCGATCCAAATAACACTGATTTCGGTGCATCGATTGCCAATGCGTTCATCTCGCTGTCCCAATTCCTAAAGTCCTATTTTGTATATTGTAGTAACCAACAGAAGGCACTTTCCACCTTCTCAGCGTTACGTGGAAAGAACTGTTCATTCTTGGGATATCTCCTGACGAGAAGAGAATGTCGTTCACTTCCATTCGACAGTTTCTTAATTAAACCAGTTCAAAGAGTTTGTAAATATCCTTTATTACTTAGAGTATGTTATAATTTATAATTAAGCAGAAAAATGATGAATCAATTGATTTATTAACTAAAATTTGATTTACATCTTTAGGAATTAATTAAATCAACTCCAAATACAATGTCATCATATACATTATTACAGGAAGCACAGAAAAAGATAGAATCGATTGTTTCCATTGTAAATGAAAAGAAACGTGAGTTTGATGGACAAATGAGAATGTATGATATTCAAACTAGAATAACAGAGAGTGGTAGTGACATCAAAATATTGTCACCTTCCAGAAAATTAATCAAGGAGGGTGAGCTCATTAGCTGGGGTTTCATCATACCTGGAAACAGCTCCACTACCTACAACAAGAAGCCAAAGCATGGAAACTTTTATTTGTTCAACGATCTGCTGGTGTTTGCTCAGCCTGTAAACTCGGCTCTACAAACCAACACCGGAGATCAATCACCGCTGAAGGTCAAGGGTAATATTCCACTGGATGCATGTCTGGTTCGTGAGCACAGTGGTGGCGAACCAAACAGCTTCGAACTGCTCTACAGTTGTCACCAGATCTGGTGGTTCCAAACCGAGTCGCCAGAGATTCTGAACAGTCTGCTCAGCGAATTCAAACAGGTCATCGAGACCAACCACATGGTGGAATACAAGAAATACGTAGAGGATCGTGAGCGACAGTCAAAGAGTCATGTCGACTTTGACGAGTGGCGCAAGGCAGTCAAGAACAAACCATTACCAGAGCCACCAAGATCACCTTCGTTCAACGACAGTCCAAAACCATCGACCAAAGCATTGCCTGCCGTTCCACAATCCACCGACTCTATCTCTGTAAGTTTCATTAAAATTCATTATTAGCTATATTGCAACCAATCAATTAATAGTGACTAATCAATAACATTCACTTCATTCTAATTTCACAGATCAGAGTTAGTTGTCATCATTTAGATCCACGACATGTTGAGATAAGTAAGGAACTCCCAACACTAAAGTCGCTGAAAGAAAAGATTCAACTCAAATTTTCATTGGATAATCTTGATTTCACTGTACAATCCAATCAATCAGGTGCCGGACCATATCAAACCATACACAACGATCAAGATCTTCAAAACATAGTGAAATCAGACCAACATGAAATCGAAATGAAAATAATAGCTCTTAAATTGTAATATTAAATTCATTGTATTTTTATTATTTATTAAAATTTAATTTAATTTTACATCTATAAGGTGCGACATACAAATTTTATCTCTACTTTTTTTTCTTTTTTTTTTTTTTTTGACGCCTGGCGATGAGCACATTTTCTTTTTTCCCATTTCATTGAAACGAATCATGTCAAAGAAGATATTTTTTAAATTCCACATTTTTTTCTTGATTAAGATCTCTTTTTTTTTTTCTTTATTTTAAAAGATATTTTATAAATTTTCCTTTGTATTTTTCGAAATATCTTTGGTGTCATAAGTTTTCTGTTTTATGTTATAGATTAGTTATTCTGAAATGAATAAATTATTTCTATCTCTATTTATTTGTTTATCTTTTATAAACATCATTTGTAAGTTTCTATTTCAGTTCATATTCGAATATGATCACAGTTTATTGATTTTTTATTTTTTTTTATTAGATGGTTTATTTTGGACATCCATTATCATTGACAATAATCCTGCCAAATACGGAACACCTAATTGTACCTATAATGTAGTAATTTCGGTTACTAATGTTACTGAACCTGTATCTTTCAGTAGTGACAATATTCTTAAAGTAACAAACAGGTTTGACTTTAGTGACAATAGTGTCAATGCAGAGTTGGAATTTAGTGTTAGTCCCCAGAACAACAATGTAGTCTTGAATATAAACCAGAGTCAGATTTTTTATAACTTCAAATGCCAATATCTAATTCCTCTTTATGTCAATACAATTTCCAAACCCTCTTATAAAAACAAGGTCAATTCATTGCAAGTAATATACATTCTCAAAACTAATTATACACTGTACCAACCTTTAGAGTGCCTGTCGAAATCGAATTGCTTCGAATGCTCGGTAAATGGCATACCTAATTATATGAATGGTAATTACATTGTGACCATTGACCCAATAATTCAAACCAAAGGTTGTAATTATTCCTCAATGTTGCAAATAGCAATCAGTGAACCGTTTAGCGGTAAATCAACAAATATATCATTCAGTTATTCGCAGTATCAAATGTTCAACACTACAAATCCATCTAACGTAGATGTATTACCTTTGGAATCAGATATCATTGTACGACCCAGTAGCAACAACATTCAACCTCTGCTTTCAACTATCTATAATGTCATTTCCACCGTAAACTCTTTATTCACTTATGTTGTGCTAAACTCACTCACACAGAGTTTCTCAATTCCTACGATGATTGGATATTCTTCAGTGACTGGATTTTCAAAATACTTATATCAATCACCAATCCAATCAGGTGTATATATGACTCAAGAGTTATACTCTTTCAAAGATGTTTTGCCTTTAACTATGCGTATTTCCCCAATGAAAAATATAACCCGTAAGTTTTTAAAAACAAATAAATTATAAACTATATTTATTAACAACATAATCTAAAAATTAGAAATTTTGAACAAAGATTTGATTGTAAAAACTCTAACAGAGAGAATAATAGATGGAAATATTTATAGTAGTTCAGATTTTACACTTGGTCAATCGGATTCATTCAAAATCAAATACAATGATCAAACAGTTCAATTCAAATTCCCATTAGGTTTTGGAAAAGGAACATTGAAACAATATAATCATATCTTTGATTATCCATTTTCAGTTTATACACAATCGATGACTGCTTCACCATTATACCAATCACAATCGATCAAATCCAAAACCTATATCAATCCAATTCCACAAGTTGGTAAGTAAATGTATATGTTAATCTTATTATTTTATTACTAACGATAGAATTTTAGATAAAACACCACCTTCTTTAACGAGCATAATTATATTAGGTTTTTCAAATTACACTTACAACATAGTAGTTGATGCATTTGATATTGAAAGTGGTATTTACAGTATCACAATATCGGAGGACTATGATCCAAGAGATGAGAAAACAATCACTCTTTTCGAATCTGATTTGAGTAAAGGTACTTTGTGGAATGGAACATTCTCCAAACAAGTTGTTCAAACTGGAGTCAATCATGATAGTTCTTACAGCGTCGTTATAGAGTCTAGATCTGGTTTGAAATCAGTTTATAAAAGTTTATCTTTTATTCCGAATCAAATTGGATATCCAATACCAGCTTTTCCAACCGGATGTATGTATATCTTTTATGATTTTGCCAAGACTATTACTAATCAATCAGATATTAGATTTTTGGACAGCAGATGATATTATCAATTTCATTTCCGTAAATATTACCAACTCTACTCCAGTAGCAATCTATACCAATAAACTATATATCAAGATTAACAAGGCATATGCAAGTGCTCTTATTCCAAGAATTCAATTAAATATCCTACCTCCAAATCTATCAAAGCAAAGATTAATTCTGTTTGGAGAATATATATCAAGTGGTGCATTTCAAGGACTTCATGAGTTCACAGTTCCATACATTCCTTTTACATCTAGTTTTGGTGATAACATTGAAGGTTTAATTCTTGGTGACCGGGACATTCCCTTAAATCTCCTCTACATCCAATTCTCAGCCTACACACTTAGGGTATCCTCAAGTACAGATATTATCATGATGCCACCAATATTTAAATCAATCAATATCAAGTCAAGTGAACTAGGATTACAATTCAATGTTACTTTTCAATGTTTTGGTCAAGTCGATTGTGAAAATACACCAGTAAGAGGATATTTTATAGTACAGGGTGATTACGATCCAACTCCTTTGGAACTATCTTTTACAGGTGTAACAGGATATTACCAAAGTCAATATGTTTTATCTCAGACAACAACTTGCCGAAGTCAAAACTACACAGTGGTATCAGCATATCTTACCGATGGATATAGAGAGTCAGATTCAGAGTATCCAAACTTAATAAGTCCTTTCTTAAATATATACCAAAACTCAAGAACCACATTCTTGAAATGTTCAACAGCAACTCCTGATATCATTGCACCAGTTTTAAACAGCTTTTCAATATCCCAAACCACCATCAATGCAGCCATTGCAAATACAATTAAAGTGAGAGCAATTATTTCTGACGACAGAAATTTCAAGTATGCTCCAATGTTATATTACACCAGTCTACATGGTTATATAGATTCAGTAAATCAAAATGATATGACCATAGAAACGATCAATGATACATGCATTGATATCACCTATACTTTATATATTCCAAAATATTGGGGTTCTGGTAATATATCTTTGTCTCTTTATGGTATGACAGATGGGTACGATAACTTTAATGGATATTCAACTTATGACCTCAGTAAATTCAATCAGTCTGTTATTCATAGACAATATGATGGCGAACCACCCAATCCAACCCCTTCAATTCCTCAAGAACCAACTACATCTCCTCTACCATGCACCAATCAATGTTCAAACAATGGTGTATGCATCCTAAACAATCAATGTAAATGCAATTCAGGATATTTCGGTCCAAATTGTGAAGGTACTTCATTTGCCATTCCGAAACCACTTCCAGATCCAGAAGAACCGAGAGTGATTTCAGATCCAAAATCAGATATCAATCTTGAAATTTCAATTGAAGAATTGGTTGAAATCGATTCTTTGGAAGTTGTAAACAATCGATATTCACTTTTAAATAAGAAATGGACATTGATGACATCGAATAACAACAATACATATAAATATTCATTACCAATCAACAATGAAACTAATTTATACATTCAAATCGATTGGTCAGACCAAGAGAGAATCATTCAATTTGCAGGATTAAACATTACAATTGCACCACACAGTTTGAAATACACGATTTCACTCGACCATTATTCATTCAAAATCGAATCTCAATTATCTTCAATTGAGAATGTCAACCAACTTTAGTTCCAACGATGAAAAGTGTTCATCATCGATCGAAACATCAGGAGACAACAACGATTTGGAATGGATCAAACTTCAATACAATGGAAAGATTCTTTATGGTAGATTCGTTCAAATTGCATTGGTCGATGGTCAACCACAAAAAGCATCGACCAAGTTGATCGAATCCGAAGAAGAAGGTGGATCATCTTATTTTGGAATTAACATTCCATTTTTCGTCAATACAGTCGTATTAGATCCCGATTTCTCAGTGTTGGTAACTGATCAATATAATAATTGCAAAGATGATACTGTTTTATCTACTGGTGCCATCATTGGAATTGCTGTTGGTGGTGCTGTCTTTGTAATCCTGTCACTATCTACCTTTATGATATTATACAATAGAACTAGAAGAACTAAATTATTATACAAATTAAGAGCTCTCAGGGGATCAAAATCAACAAAATCCGTAGAGTTACAATAACAGCCAAAAGACTTAACCCAAAATTTCATTTTCTTTTAATAAAATCGAATTGTAAAAATTATTATTGTTTTTGTTTTCTTTAGAACCTTACATCTTATTCTAATCAAGATCCATCTACTAATTTTTTTATTTTATTTTATTTTTGATTAATGTCACAGATTTGTTTATTTTTGACACGACCTGTCAAAAAAAATATCTTGTTGTTTAGTCAGATATTTTTTTTAAATGTTTATTTTTTGATTTCTTTATTTACTGTCAAAGTTTAAGAACTTAACTTCAAAGATGTTTAAAACCTTTTTAAAATATTAACATTTAAATGTATAAAAAAATAAGTTTATTTTTATTATTTCTCTATTTTTGTGAATTTATTAGTTAGTATAAAAAAAATTAGTTATTTTTAAAAAAACAATTATTTATTTTAATTTAATTTATTTTATTTTATTTAGATGGATTTTCTTATGAAATAAAGTATCCTGATAATTTACCGAAATATGGAACACCAAATTGTACTTTTATAAGCCAAATTTCGGTGGTAAATTATACCGAAGCAATTCTTTTGACAAGTGAACACACATTTTCTTATGAAGTAATTCTTATTCCCCCAAATAGTTTTACTTCAATTTTAAACTTTAGTGTTACTCCAGATAGCGACGACCCAATTGTATTACTAAATAAGCGAATTCCAATAAAATTTGATTTCGATTGCTCCGAAGCACCTCTACTATCACTGAAGAGTAGTGAAGATACAGTATTCGTCGATAGGAAGATATCTTTAGACGTGGTTTTATTAGTTAAATTAAATTACACACGATACTATAGTCTTGGTTGTCAATTGGCTCGAAATTATTCGAATTGTTTTGGTTGCCAAATTCAAGGAATTCCATCTTTCGCTGATGGTTTATTTAATATAACGCTCAATCCTATAATGAATATTCATTGTAACTATTCAACTTCACCACTCAACATTACTATAATAGATGTATATCAAAATTCAGCTTATACCCTTCAAGTAAATAATCCACTTTCCACTTTAAATAATACCAACTTTATATCAGTATCTACCTATCCAGAAAGTATTCAAATAGTAGCTACATATAATAGTAATAGCATTGGACCAAAAATATCTTCAATCATAGAAATAAGATCTAAAGAAAATCAATTATTTAATTTAATTGCTATGAATTCATTCTCAAATAATAATATTCTACCCACTTTCATTGGTTATTCCTCCAATACATCTTCATCTCATTATTTATGTCAAACCCCTATTCAAACTAGTCTATCATTTAATCAAAGTTTATATAACTTTAAAGATAACATAGTTTTATTAAATAATAGAATGATATCTAAAGAAATACAATGTAAGTTATTTATTTAATATTTATAAATTATTATTATTTATTAATTTTCCATATTAGATATTACAAATAATAATCTTATAGTCAATGATATTTTTGAAAATGTTATAGATGGGAATATTTATATTCGTTCAGATTTTAGACTTGGTCAATCAGATTCATTCAAAATCGAATATAATTATCAAACAGTTCAATTCAAATTCCCATTTGGTTTTGGAAAAGGAACACTTAAGCAATATAATCATATCTTTGACTATCCATTTTCAGTTTATACCCAATCAATGAATGTATTACCAATATATCAAATTCAACCATTCATTCCTCAAACATATAACAATCCTATTCCTGAAGTTGGTAAGTAACGTTATTTTGTAAAAACTAATCAAAAAAAACAATTTATTAATTTTTATTTTATTCTCATTTTTTTTTTACAAAATATTTAGATAAAACAGCACCATTCTTAATCAGTTGTAATATTACAGCATTATCATATTATTCATTTAGATACACTATTCAAGCTGGAGATATAGAAAGTGGAATCTACAGTATTACAATTCTCGAGGATTATGATCCAAGAGGTGAAGGAACTGTTATTCTATATCAATCAAATATAATTGGTGGAAATATATGGAATGGTACTTTCAGTGTAGATATGAATGTAGATGGTTACAATCACGATTCATCATTCAGTATTGTCATTGAATCAAGATCTGGTTTGAAATCTATTTTCAAAAGTGAAACTTTCATTCCCTTCACTGTTAACTATATTAACAGATTCCCAAAGAAAGGTATGATACTATTAAATTTGAATTAAAAGAATAACATTAAGCTAATACTATTTTTATTATTAGTTTACTGGTCTGTAGATGATATTTTAGATATACAAGCAGTATTTAACGATACAAATCCGATTGGAAAATATACTTCAAAGCTCTTCCTACTATTAGCTGGCCAAGATGATGATATTATCCCAAGGATTCAAATCGATATTTTACCACCAAATCTTTCAAAAAGTAACATGATATTGTCAGGTAGCTTTGTTCCAGGAACAGGTTTTCATGAGTTTTCACTTCCGTATATTCCTTACTCCTCTAGTTTTGGTGACAACTTGAACTATGTTCTTCTTGGTGACCGAGACATTCCTTCCAAGTTTGTGCTAAGTAGATTCACCAATTACTACATCAGAGTCGAATCCTATTCGGATATTGTCATGATGCCACCGACATTGAAAGCAATCGATATTACAACTCTAGAGCAAGGATTACAATTCAATTTCACATTCCAATGCTTTGGTCAAGTCAATTGTGAAAATACACCAATTACCAATGGATATGTTGTGATTCAAGGTGAATATGATCCTGTTCCAAAGAGATTTAATTTTTCACAAATTTCAAACAATTTTGCGTCACTCGTCGAGCTATCCAAAACAACATGCCGAAGTCAAAACTATACCGTTGTATCAGCATATCTTTCAGATGGTTACAGAGAATCAGATTCTGATGATCCAAACACCATTAGTCCATTCCTATATATTCAAAGAGATAATCTTTCAGTGTATCATCTCTGCTATACACCAGCTCCAGACTCAAATCCACCAACTTTAACATCGTTCTCAATGTCTCCAACATCAATCAATGCATCTATCGCATATTTTATAGTTGTCCAAGTTGTTATTGAAGATGACCAAAGAATCAAATATTTCCCAACTTTGTATTTCACTTCGTTTCTTGGCAATATAAGAGAGATCGAACATACAACATCTACATGTTCAGCACAAAAAAATTCATGCATTTTAAATTATTTTTTTCCATTGGGAAGCTACTGGGGAGCAGGAAATATATCGGTGTCTCTCTACGGATTAACAGATGAATACGATAACTTTAACGGATATTCAACTTATGATCTCAGTAAATTCAATCAATCGATCATTCACCGTAAATATGATGGTGAACCACCAACTCCTGCTCCATATACGCCACAACCAACAACAAAACCACCAACAACACCTCCACCACCATGCACCAATCAATGTTCAAACAATGGTGTATGCATCCTAAACAATCAATGTAAATGCAATTCAGGATATTTCGGTCCAAATTGTGAAGGTACTTCATTTGCCATTCCAAAACCACTTCCAGATCCAGAAGAACCAAGAGTGATTTCAGATCCAAAATCAGATATCAATCTTGAAATTTCAATTGAAGAATTGGTTGAAATCGATTCATTGGAAGTTGTAAGCAATCGATATTCACTTTTAAATAAGAAATGGACATTGATGACATCGAATAACAACAATACATACAAATACTCTTTGGCAATCAACAATGAAACCAATTTATACATTCAAATCGATTGGTCAGATCAAGAGAGAATCATTCAATTTGCAGGATTAAACATTACAATTGCACCACACAGTTTGAAATACACGATTTCACTCGACCATTATTCATTCAAATCGAATCTCAATTTTCTTCAATTGAGAATGTCAACCAACTTTAGTTCCAACGATGAAAAGTGTTCATCATCGATCGAAACATCAGGAAACAACAACGATTTGGAATGGATCAAACTTCAATACAATGGAAAGATCCTTTATGGTAGATTCGTTCAAATTGCATTGGTCGATGATCAACCACAAAAAGCATCGACAAAGTTGATCGAATCCGAAGAAGAAGGTGGATCATCTTATTTTGGAATTAACATTCCATTTTTCGTCAATACAGTCGTATTAGATCCCGATTTCTCAGTGTTGGTAACTGATCAATATGATAAATGCAAAGATCCGTTATTATCTACTGGTGCCATCATTGGAATTGCTGTTGGTGGTGCTGTCTTTGTCATTCTCTCATTAACTTCATTCATAATATTTTACAATAGAACGAGAAGAGCAATATTGGTATACAAATTAAAATCATTGTTGAAACCAAAATCAAATACTGTGGAACTTAATTAAATAAATCTTTTAATATTATAAAATCAGCTTTAAAATTTTTATTTGATCATTGTTCAAAGTTGTGTGGATTTGGGGGTATTTTTTGTAAATTTTTCAAAAAACCCTTCAACTTTTTGACCAGTAAAGTTTAGATGACCCTTGGAGCGAACACCCCCATTTTTTTTTGATAAAAAAATGATCGACACCGGTTTATGTCTTTTTTATAGCTTTTTTTCTTTGAAGACAAATTTTTAAGGTCTTCACATTATTATGTTGGGTTTTACATCCGAGTTAGTATAAGCGATTAAAAATAAACAAATTAGCTTTTTGATTTTTATTTCAGAATTGTAGAAAATGAATAAACATTTATTACAAATAGTATTTATTCTTTTGTTTATTTGTAAATTAAACTGTAATTATTATTGTTATAAAACAGAAAAAAAGTTTCTTTATATTAATAGAATTTTTAAAAATAGATGCCTTTACTGCTAGTACAGTTTTAAACAAAAGTCCTGATGATGAACCACGATATGGAACACCAAATTGTAGTTTTATTGGTCAAGTTCTAGTTGTGAATGCTTCAGAAACAGTTGAACTGACAAGTGACTACTCTTTTACCTCGGAAGTCAATGTTATCGATCAAAATAGCATTAGTGCAACTTTGTACTTTAGTGTATCACCCAACACCAAGAATGTTCCTATTTCTATAAACAAACTGATTACTCTATCGTTTGCTTTCGATTGCCAAGCTCCACCTCTTTTATATATCTTAAATGCAGCTAATGCCCCTTACTTCTATGACAGGAGGATATCATTACAAACTGTTGCCACATTATTTTTAAACTATTCGCTTCCATACGATAATATTAAATGCGAGACTTTAGGTGAATCCTCTTATTGTTTCAACTGCTCCATCAGTCCTACTCCAAATATAAAATATTCTTACAATATTTTTGTTGACCCAATCTATAATACAACTTGCAACTATTCAACACCAATTAGTATTCAACTAAAAGACAACTTCAACTCCAACACTGTCAATTTCCAATTGAATACCGCCAATACATATTCAAAACTAAAGAGTACCAACTTTAAATCTCAAATGAGATATCCAAACACGACAGTAATAACCGCAACCTATAATAGTAATAACATCGAACCTCTGGTCTCTTCAGTTTTTGAAATTGAATCCAGTATCAATGAATTGTATAGCCTAGTTGTAGAGAATTCACTTCCAATCAGTTATGGACTTCCAACTTTCATAGGATTCTCACAAACCAAGTTATCGGGAAATTATTTATGTCAAAAATCAATTCAATCAAATGTATCTTTCGATCAAAAACTATTCAACATGAAGGATAATTTGGTTCTATTAGATAACTATCAGATATCTAGAGATGTAAACTGTAAGTTTTAAATATAAGATTTTTTTCCTTAATTATTCTAATCAAAAAAATTCTTAGATTTGTCAGGTATAAATCTTTCCATTAATAATTTAGATACAATCATTATAGACGGTAATATTTATAGTCGTTCAGACTTCACACTTGGTCAATCGGATTCATTCAAAATCAAATATAATGACCAACTAATTCAATTCAAATTCCCATTTGGTTTTGGAAAAGGAACTCTAAAACAATATAATCATATTTTTAATAATCCGTTTTCAGTTTATACTCCATCAATGACTGTTTTACCAAACTATCAAGCACAACCGATCAATTCTCAAACATTTAGCAATCCAATTCCACAAGTTGGTAAGTAAAATATTATTTTTTTTTGTTTACATTTTATTTATTTATTTTTTTATAATTTTTTTTTAGATAAAACAGCACCATTCTTAATCAGTTGTAATATTACAGCACTATCATATTATTCATTTAGATACACTATTCAAGCTGGAGATATAGAAAGTGGAATCTACAGTATTACAATTCTCGAGGATTATGATCCAAGAGGTGAAGGAACTGTTATTCTATATCAATCAAATATAATTGGTGGAAATATATGGAATGGTACTTTCAGTGTAGATATGAATGTAGATGGTTACAATCACGATTCATCATTCAGTATTGTCATTGAATCAAGATCTGGTTTGAAATCTATTTTCAAAAGTGAAACTTTCATTCCTTACACATCCGTTTATATTGATAAATTCCCTAAAAGAGGTAAATACCTTTTTTTTCTTTTTTTTTTTTATTAATTTATTAACCATCATTTTCATAGTTTCATGGGGTCTCCAGGATGTCCTAGCAATTTCAACAACATACACAGACTCAGATCCACTTTTCAACTATACATCTATATTGTCTTTGAAGCTAATGAATCCAGATGCAAATTTGGTACCAAGGATACAAATTGATGCACTACCACCACATCTTTCGAAAAAAAGTATTATTATATCCGGTACTTTTAACAGTGGATCAAACCTTTATGATTTTTCGGTCCCACATATTCCATACTCTTCCAGCTTTGGTGATAATATAAACTATGTACTTCTTGGTGACACAGATATGCCTTCTAAGATTTCTTTACATTCATTCGCCAACTACTACCTAAATGTTGAAGCAAAGTCAGACATTATCATGATACCACCAACATTAAAATCAGTTGTACCACTCAGCGGAGGACAGTTCAATTTCACATTCCAATGCTTTGGTCAAGTCAATTGTGAAAACACTATAATCACCATTGGATACGTTGTGATTCAAGGTGAATATGATCCTGTTCCAAAGAAATTTAGTTTTACTCAAATTTCAAACTCGTATATTTCACCTCCTCTCAATATCACAACAACATCATGCAGAAGCCAAACCTACACAGTTATATCAGCATATCTTTCAGATGGTTACAGAGAATCAGATTCTGATGATCCAAACACCATTAGTCCATTCCTTTATGTGAACCAAACGGATCTCTCATTTATATCTGTATGCTCGACTCCAAATCCAGACATAATTCTACCAAAATTAAATTCATTCACATTAAGTCCACCTGCAATCAATGCTTCAGTTAGCAACTTTATAATTGTCAAGATCTCAGTATCCGATGACCAAAGAATCAAATATTTCCCAACTCTATATTTGACTTCACTTCTTGGAAATATAAGAGTAGTAGATCCCCCTACACCAACATGCAATGTAGATAATAATGTTTGTACAGTCATCTATTTCTTAACATTACCAAGCTACTGGGGAGCAGGAAACATATCGGTATCTCTTTATGGATTAACAGATGAATACGATAACTTTAATGGATATTCAACTTATGATCTCAGTAAATTCAATCAATCGATCATTCATCGTAAATATGATAGTGAACCACCAGCACCCACGCCATCAATTAAGCCACTCACTCCAACACTCTCTCCACCAATATTAATATGTACAAAGAAATGTTCAAACAATGGTGTATGCATCCTAAACAATCAATGTAAATGCAATCCAGGATTTTTTGGTCCAAATTGTGAAGGCAGATCCTACCCCATTCCAAAACCACTTCCAGATCCAGAAGAACCAAGAGTGATTTCAGACCCAAACTCAGATATCAATCTTGATATTTCAATTGAAGAATTGGTTGAAATCGATTCTTTGGAAGTTGTAAACAATCGATATTCACTTTTAAATAAGAAATGGACATTGATGACATCGAATAACAACAATACATACAAATACTCTTTGGCAATCAACAATGAAACCAATTTATACATTCAAATCGATTGGTCAGATCAAGAGAGAATCATTCAATTTGCAGGATTAAACATTACAATTGCACCACACAGTTTGAAATACACGATTTCACTCGACCATTACTCATTCAAATCGAATCTCAATTATCTTCAATTGAGAATGTCAACCAACTTTAGTTCCAACGATGAAAAGTGTTCATCATCGATCGAAACATCAGGAGACAACAACGATTTGGAATGGATCAAACTTCAATACAATGGAAAGATTCTTTATGGTAGATTCGTTCAAATTGCATTGGTCGATGGTCAACCACAAAAAGCATCGACAAAGTTGATCGAATCCGAAGAAGAAGGTGGATCATCTTATTTTGGAATTAATATACCTTTCTACATTAATGACGTCACTCTAGACCCAGATTTCTCAGTGTTGGTAACTGATCAATATGATAAATGCAAAGATCCGTTATTATCTACTGGTGCCATCATTGGTATCGCTGTTGGTGGTGCTGTCTTTGTAGTTTTATTAATAGCTACAATCGTTATAATGAGTAACAGAACAAGAAGAATCAAGATGGCATATACTTTGAAATCAAAGTTTAAAATTAAATCAAGTAATGATGTTTCACTGAAATCAAGATAATCATAATAAAAAAGAAAAAATTCGTCAATTCCTATTAAATTAAAAAAATTCATATTAAATTAAAAAAAAAACAAAAATTTCAAATAATAAAAAAAATAAGAAAAAAAAAAGAATTGGAAAAATTTAAAATGGGTTGTGATTGGGGCTTGATTTATTGTGCCGAAAAAAAATGTTGCAAAACCCATCAAAATCGATTCAAAGTTTGATCAAAAAATATCTGATATATAAAACTGTTTAAAAGTATTTTACGAATTTATTTCTATTTATAAACAAATAATGAATCTTTTTTATATAATAATAACATTAATAATATCTATATTTGTTTCATCATATAATGGTATATAAATAACTAAAATAATGTCTGATTAATTAAAATGTATTAAAGTATTTTTTTTTATAAATGTTATTTTAGCGCAATTAAATATCATAAATATTGATCAAGGTCTTGGTAAATATGTAGTTTTAGATACATCATCTCAATACGGCACACCGAATTGTGATCTTAGAGTGTCTTTGAATATTTTTGGAAATAGCAGTATCACCAAGTTTATTCATAAAACCAATAACGTACCATTTTCCTATGACTATTACTACTTGAATGCTTCAAGTTTAAACTTAGTTGCAGTCATTAAGTTTACCGTCGATCCAACCATTCAGAATATTCTTTATTCCCTCGACAACATAGACATATTTAATATTTCAACAGTCAACTATTGTATACAACAACCAGCGGACATCAACCTGACCTATTCTGCGAACCCTATTACATTTTCAAACAGATTAGTTTCTTTGCAACTACAGACCATAGTTTTTGTTAATGGACTTGCATACAGTGCACCTTACACATGTAAGGCATTATATGTTGGTGGTCCAAACAATTGTTTCCAATGTAATATGTACGCCACATATCCATTCACTGGATATTACAATCTTACGATTGATCCTATTCTCACCACAGCTGGATGTGATTACAGTGCGCAACTAAATGTAACTTTGACTCGTACAAATGGTGAAAGCAGTGCCATGCAGCTAGCGAATCCGATTGGATCATTGGTTCCCCCGACCACTCCATCACAACAATCATATCCAACTGACTCGGTTCTTACTTTTAAATATGGATATCCAAAGCCAACACTATCAACAGTTTTAAGCTTACCAGGTCAGCCAAATTTATTGTATAACATCTATGCTTCTAGTACCCCAAGTTCTTATAATGAAGGAAAGGAATTAAAGTATATGGGGTTCTCGACGTTTCTGGGAAACAATTCTTTTTACTTGTGCCAAGTACCTCTAACAGCCTCGGGCCAAGTTACACAGAAATTTAAAACAATCATGCCAAACGGTGCCCAGTCAGTAGTAGCAAATAACGCACCTAATATATTGGTTTCGAGTAAGATATTTATTTTAATTTAAACAGATTCTCATTTCTAACATTTGATATTTCAGCTGAAATCAATATAATTTTACAAGTAAACACTCTTCAGGCGATATTCTTTAATGGAAATGCTTTTGTAAGATCAAATTTCACCCTATCACAGTCAAAATCTTTTGGTATAACCTATGGTAGTCGAAACATAGAGTTCCCTTTCCCATTTGGTTATGGTGAAGGTAATTTGAAACAATATAATCATGTATTTGATTATCCAATTTCAATTTACCAAAGTGGTATTAATGTTCAAGCAACATATCAAAATCAAAATATTCCACCATATAACTATACCAATCAAAATGTTTCCGGTAAGAATTCTTTGATAATTAGTTTTTCAAATTACATTCTAATTTTTTATGAAAACTTTATAGATACTACTCCTCCATTTTTGGTATCTATTAATATTAGACCTCTTTCACTGTATTCTTATGAGTATATTATTGTTGCTGGAGATAATGAAAGTGGAGTTTACACCATCAGGATCTACGAAGATAACGATCCAAGTCAATTTGGTTATGTAATTTTCTCGATTTCAGATTTGGTGAATGGTACTACTTGGAGTGGAACCTATAAAAAAAATATTGCTACTATAGGTTATAATCATGATAAATCATTTTCGATTGTCATTGAAGATAGAGCAGGTCAAATTTCAACCTATAGAAGTGGACAGTTTATTCCATACTATAATTTCTTTATACAACCATTCCCCAAACAAGGTATATATAAACAAAATTAAGTTATAAATCTATCTTTTATTAATTTATATTATAATATAGTATCTTGGAATGCCAATAATATTACTTCTTTCGGTTTTGCTTCACAGGAAGTTGATATTTCTGGTGGTAAAGTGGTCCAAAACAAACTTTCAATGAAAGTAACGAATCCAATTCAAAACATGTACGTGTTTATTGAAGTATATTCGATGAGTCCCACTATACCAAACATGAGAAGAATTGGAGGTGCAATTGATATGAACAGCGGTACCATATCAATTTTGTTCAGTACACCGTACAATATTTCAACCAATGGAGAAAACCTTTATTTCATTCTCAAAGGTGACCAAGATATTCATTCAGCCTACCTTATGAATAAGTTCATCCAGAAATGCATTATAAACTCCACCGATAGTTTGGTTATGCCTCCAGTATTCAAAGATATCCAATTGACAGCGACTCAAACTGGTATCAATATTAAAGCTGACATTTTCTGCTTCGGACAGGACGGTTGTGGAAATGCAATAATAGGTGGAACAATGTACATCCAAGGAGAATATGATCCAATTGTATACCCACTCTCCTTCCCCAACACCAATGCCACCACCTTGTTTTTCGATCTACCATTGAAACAAGCATACTGTAGAAACCAGACCTATTCAGTTGTTTATGCATTTATACATACTGATGCAGGTCTGAGGGTTTCAGACTCTTCAAATCCAAATTATATAAACCCATTTATGTATATAATCCAAGACAAACTCTCTCTGGAATATGAATGTACAACACCAACACCAGATACAACTCCACCCATTCTCGAAAGTTTCTTTATGTACCCAACAACTCTTCTGGCGAACGAAACAACGACCGTATATTTTAATTTGACAATCTCTGATGATCGCGGCTTTAAAAACTTCCCATACATCTACACTGCAATCGATAAACTACCAGGTCTCACCAGAGTAGACCAATCCTCTTACAACTGTACTTTTATCAAGGTACCAACAAACAAAACAGTTTGTGCTTTGTCCTATCAAACAAAGTTTTCCGCAAAAGATAGTTTCCCAATGGGAAATATCTCGGTTTCTTTATACGGACTTTTAGATGAATACGATAACTTTAACGGATATTCAACTTATGATCTCAGCAAATTCAATATATCGACATTATATGTACTCTACCCGAATCAACCTGTTCCACTACCAACTACAACCCCCAAACCAACTCAAACACCAACTTTCACTCCTTCGGTCACTCCTATACCATGTAGCAATAAATGTTCAGACAACGGTGTGTGCATCCTAAACAATCAATGTAAATGCAATCCAGGTTTTTTCGGTCCAAATTGTGAAGGAAAACCAGTTTTGATGCCAAAGCCTGTTCCAAACCCAGATGAACCAAATGTTGTATCCAATCCAAATTCCGATGTAAATCTTGAAATTTCAATTGAAGAATTGGTTGAAATCGATTCTTTGGATGTTGAATACTCTCGATATTCACTTTCAAACAAAAAATGGTCAATGATGTCATCAAACAACAATAATACTAACAAATATTCATTGGCAATCAACAATGAAACCAATTTATACATTCAAATCGATTGGTCAGATCAAGAGAGAATCATTCAATTTGCAGGATTAAACATTACAATTGCGCCACACAGTTTGAAATACACGATTTCACTCGATCATTACTCATTCAAATCGAATCTTAATTATCTTCAATTAAGAATGTCAACCAAATTCAATGCCACTGATGAAAAGTGTTCATCATCGATCGAGACATCAGGAAACAACAACGATTTGGAATGGATCAAACTTCAATACAATGGAAAGATCCTTTATGGTAGATTCGTTCAAATTGCATTGGTCGATGGTCAACCACAAAAAGCATCGACCAAGTTGATCGAATCCGAGGAAGAAGGTGGAATCTCCTATTTAGGTATCAACATTCCATTTTACTCTAACGATGTTATTCTGGATCCTGATTTCTCCGTATTACTATCCAATGACCCTGTTGAATGTAAAGAAAAACCTACACTATCGACTGGTGCCATCATTGGTATCGCTGTTGGTGGTGCTGCAGTGGTTGCTATTGTATTTTTAGCAGTAATACTTTCCAGTAGAACCAGAAGAATGAAAATCATGTACAATTTACGTTCAATGACAAGTCGAAAAGAATCATCGAATGTGCAACTAAAATAAATAAAGAAATAGTTTATTATCAATGTATTAAATATCTTTGATTATCGAGTATTGTATATTTAAAAACATTTTTAATTTATAAATTAACGTATTATTATTATTATTAAAGTTTTGGTTGTAAGAAACTACTTAATAATAATGATGATTCTTGTTTGTTATTACTATTATTGGTACTATTACTAATATTACTGGAATTCAAAGTATTATTTAAAGCTGGTGATTGTCCATTCGATTTCTTATATTTCTCTTGGTATAATTCTATATATGACTTTTGGATGTATTCCTTTTCGCCAAGTCCAAGCTTCTTTCCGGCTTCCTGTACAGAGTTGGCGTCGAAACCCTTGATCTGAACAAAGGTCTGTCCCAACTCTTCGAGCTCGTCGAAACTTATAATGATTTTGCCATCCTTGAAGATAGTGGATTTACGATGGATGATGGCGACCATCTGGTAACCGAGCGACATCAGACCACCGAGCATGTTGACACCAACGATAAAGTCGACACGTGGCGAAATGATGAATCCTGATTCTTTGATCTCCTCACTGAACATGATACTGTAGATACCGTCACTGTTTCTCACACGGATCCAATCGTAGGACGAGGTCTCGGTGACACCGGGTGGAATCAAATAGATATCGTAGTACTGAGCGACGGTTTGAGTCACCGGTTTGTTGAGAACGGCAAGCACCTGCTCCTGAGTGACGGCGGCCTTCACCGACTTGAGGATATAGATCGGGTTGAGCAGTCCAGAAAAAGGATTGAACTTGTTGACGATTTTAATTTCCGCAAGCTGTAGGTCGGGTTCGATGAAAGCTTTGTACATTGGGTAGACAGTGTCGGTGATCTGTTGCAGCGACTCGTGTGGCTGCTGTCCGGTACGCGAGACATCTCTAAAGATACGCTTGATCAAGTCAAAGTGGACACCTCCCGATATAGAAATACGAAGATCCAACAAATCACGAATCTCCTCGTGCAAAGCGTAGATACCTTCGATCAAGACAACCTTGGATTCGGGTGGTTGCACATTCTTATAGGCGTATCTTCCACTCTTGGTAAAGTCGTAGAGTGGTAGGTCGGTGGCACGATTTCCAACCAGATCAGTAATATTCTTTCTCAACAACTCAAAGTCAACCAATCTATAATCGTCATAGTTCTCCTCCAAGATTTGTCTTGAACTATCTAAATAGTTATCCATTGAAATTAAACTATAAAAAAAAGATAAAAATTGAGAGCGAGAATTTCGATGATTAATAAACTATTTGTTTATAAAATAACTATGTATTATAATATTTATAGATTTCTACATACACAGTCTTTGGTAAAACTGATACAATTTTATGAGCAAGACTTGTCTTTCCAGCTCCACTAGGACCGGCAACACCAATAACAATGACCCTCGATGCATTCTTTTTTCTCAACAATTGAATTGCCTTGACTGACATAAAGAATCCTTTATCGAACGACTGTTTTCCACTGTTAATTAAAATTGTTAGAGTGAATGAATTCGTTTAATATTTCTTACCAAAGTTTCACTCTTTGATCTGATGGCATATCGATTGTCAGTTCTTTGATAGACTTCAATTTCTAGTTCATTCATTTCTATGTTATATATGTTTATGATTAGATGTGTTTGTTTATGATTGATTGTTTTATGTAATAGCTGTAAAGTTAAAAGAAGATTGAAATGCTAATCAAATTTACAAAAGAAACTTAAAAAGGAAACTGAAACACTATCTGTTATATTTTTAGGCTTATGTAAATAATGTGAATGATATGAACAAAAGAAAAAAGTGCTATAAATATCTTTAAATAAATATTTATATTGTTATAAGTGTTGGTGATGGTTTGGTTTTAAAACAAAAAAAAAAAGAAAAGAGTAATCGTTCGTATTAAAAAAAAAACAATCTTAATTTTTTTTAGATTTTTACAATTTAAAAATAATCTTAAATTAAAGTAAATGGTAATAATAAATAAAAAATAATAAAAGAATAGATTTTATTTTTATGTCGAAGGAATGCATTCTAATTAGAATACAGAAATTGATTGAGTTTACAATTTTTAAATTTTTATATTTTAAAATTTTTTCATCTATCATCAAATATGCTCTGTCATATAATGGTTAGTATAGTGGACTCTGAATCCATTCATCTGAGTTCGAATCTCAGCAGAGCAAACATTTTAATTTTTAAATGTACATAATGCGGCCTTAATGCGGGTTAAGTTTTTTTTTTTTTTTTTTTTTTTGGACAGGTCTTCCTTTCTTTTCTAGACATTCCAGTGAAAGGAAGATTGAAGTCATCAACGAATCCCGTCCAACCGATGTTAAACTAAGAGTATAAATACCCGAGAGAACTCCTTGTTTCGATATCTCATTATTAATATCGAATCAAGGTATGTTTAATTAAAAGATAATAAATAAAGTTATATCTCATTATTAATATCGAATCAAGACCTTTTCTACATATCTCTCAATCAACCTTTTGATAAAGAGTATCCTAAGAGGTATAATACCTCTGGTATTACTACTTTACAAAAAATGATGGTGGTCTGAATTTGTGGGATCTATTCTGTCATATTCAACCACAAGTACCCCCGTCTCCGACGTTCTGAAGGTCAACTAACCATCCAGATTGGTCACTCTTAGGTCATTTATTTATATCTTTATTTATTAAATTTTAAACAGACAACAATAAAGAATATTTTATTTGATTTGTTAAGTTTGAAACCATCATAGAATTTGATAGGTCCTCCCGCTTATAGCAACTCAATGGTTGCTTTCAATATTGAGACTTTTCAAGGAAAAGATTGAGTATCAATTTCATAATCAACTTTTAAGAATATTAGTTATATACTTTTTTATTTCACTGCAGTCGCAATCAAGATTGATTTAATTTCCAATACAAGATATGAGTTTAGTTTGGTTGTTAAAAGACACGGTTGGATGATACAAATCTCTGACCCCAACTCCATCCTACATCACTCTTTGTTTGTTGTTGATTCATTGAATTGATAGTTGTATTTATGAATGATATCTAATAATAATGATGATGAATCTGAGGAATGTTGTTGGATAAGTTCTTCGATATTGAAATAATTATTATATTTATAATTATGTTCATGGAATAATGTTTGATTATTATGATTGATGAATGATTGTAATGATGAACTTGTTGTTATTGATTCCATTATTGTTGTTGTTGAATATAATGTTGTTATATCTGGAATAATTGACTAATCTTCGCTATTACTATTATTACCATTACCACTATCATTATTATCATCACTATTATTAATATTATTTAATTTATTAAATATATTAATCATATTTATTAAATATTTCAAATTCATAATATTATTATCGATTTGATTTGTGATTGTATGTTTTTCATTGATAATATCTCTTTGTAGTTTATGTTCTTCAATGATTAGATATTGATGTAATTGTTCAAAGTGTTGTTTGATCATTCTCTGTTGTTGATAATCTTTGATATCTGGATGTCGATGATCTTAATGATTCCCAAAAAGATTTAAGTTTATTGTTGATTTGTTATTTGAATTTATTACAATTATTATCAATAGTACTATCATTACTATTACTACTAATATCATTATTAATATGATTATTGGTTTTTGTTGTGGTGTCAATAATATCATCTAATTTTAATGTACTCAATGAATTTCTGATGTCATCGATATCTTCCATTTTATTTGAATGATCAGGATGATCTTTGCTATGTTTGAAGATACATTTTGAACACATCAAACAATTACATTGATAACAAATGAATTCAAATGATCTTTGATGATTTACACATTTCATTGTCATTATTTTCTTTATGTATTTATAAATCAAACTTTATTTTAGATATTATAATATTATAAACATTTAACCACTTTATTTTTTTTACAAACAAAATTAATGTTTTTAATCAATGACTTTAACTTTGTCTTAACTGAACTAGCTAAGATAAAAAAAGACAAAAATGTGAAAGACCAATTTATAACTTAACATGTAATAGATTATAAATATTTAAACAACTAAAAAAAAAAAAAAAATGTAAGAAGGTTCATCTGTGGTTGTGGAGCAGATCATTATTAGTTAACTTCCCTTTTAGCATAGCGGGAAAACCCATGGTAATTCTAATAATATCGTCAATCTTTAATGCTAAGATAAATGATATAGTAATATTGTAACATCTTAAAAAAATTATATTTATTTGTTATTTTCTTTATAAAACTGGTTGATTATTGGTCATTTCTTTCAAAAGGTTGTAAAACTTATAAGGTAAGTGGAATAAAATATATATTTTTGATAATAATTTCTCTGTTAAGAGTAACATATAGCTTTCTTGGATAATAGATTCTCATCGGCATGAATGCGACAAAATAACCTTCACTCGTAGCATTGAAGGTTAATGCTTGGCTTGGATCTTGATCTGATTCTCTAATTGTAACAGAAAAACCAGGTGTAAACTTTTCTGTTTGGATTTGAATCATGAATTCTGTTGGTTGGCTTTGACATTCAATGTTATAAAAAAGATAATTACGTGCATTGAGTGCATCCATTCCAATATTTTGATAATCAGCCAAAAGTTCATAGTTTCCAAATGCTATTATTAAATAGGAAGGAAAATATTTGGTTAGATTTTAAAGAAAAACAATTATAATATATTGTTACTTACGAGTCATGTAATCAATTTTAGTTCCATTGATAACATTAACAAGATTGGGATTCAAATTGGTAAACGGTGTAACATTGTTTGGGAAGAAAGTACAAACCATACCATAAAGATTTGGCTCTCTAGGAATTGAACGTTCGATTCCAGTAATTCTACCAATTCTATTACCACCATAATCAACAAGTTCAGATCCATTTATTGTAAAAGAATCTGTGGCACCAATTTTCATATTATTTCCTGTTGTACCAATAAATTTGAGACCTCCATTTTGGATTGGAATTTGATTTACAAAGAGAAAAGATCCAGAGGGAATTGCTAAAAATTGCTGTTGACCACTATCTGGAGATCCATATTTTTTGCTGTAACTATTATCGCTATAATCATTTTGAAGAGAATAGATATTACTGTTATCTGCATTCACCATGATACGTCGGATATCTGATACATATAATCCAGATCTCTCGGTAGAGAGATAGTAGGCAATTTCGTTTGCTGACATTCTTCTAATATCCATTGCAGCGTGGTCAACCTCTAATACCGGACTAGACATGTTATAAACTAGTAATGAGGTTTTGCAAAAAACTTTTGAATATAAAGGTCTTGGATTGATAAAATCGAAAGGTCTACCAAAGTGTTGTACATTGAACGACATGTTGATCATATCAAAGACATGAATTATCATAAAGTTACGATAGTTTTGAATGTGATTGAAAAGAGCATTATAATCTCCTGCTTCGTATCTCTTTTCGGGATACTTTTGAAAGATTTCATTGAGACCCATGTTATAGACTTCTCTGATTCTGTCGAGATACTTTTGATGTAAATTACTATATTGTTCCATATAGTATCTTTGATCGGTTGAACTGAGTTTATAATATGTTGAGCGAAGAGTAATATCCTCAAGGAACTTGAGATGGATCGTAATAAAGGCAGCATAATCAGGAAGAGAAATGACTTCATAACCTGGAAGAAGCATACCTTCAGAATGGGTAGAAAAGAAACTAAGAATGAGATCAGTTAATGATTTCATTTTGGTAATTTCTGCCTCATTTGGGGGTTGTTGAACAATCAATTGATACTGCAAGAGTTGTTCCAATAACGTAGATGCGCCCCTAATTGTAGATTGATTCCAACCACCAACCAGTTTTCTATTTGATCTCTCAAGAATATCATATATCTCCCTGTTTTGATCATCCTCTACAGCCACATTGCTAAAAATGATATTCAGAACCAATAAAGAACCAGCACAGAGTGCAGGACCATATCCAGGAATCTGTCAAAAAGTTAAAATAATAATAATATAAATATTCATTCTAGTTTTAACCTTCTTTTATTTACTTACTGCTGCTAGTGCTCCAGCGAGAATATTGGTTATCAAAATAGCCCAGTTTCTAGCATTAATTGTTTCATTTCCTAAAAGAAAAGTAAGTGGTTAATATTAGAAGATAAAAATTCGGGTTTTCTATTGACAAGCACTTACCATTTGCCAAATTCACAACCAATGGAGTGTTGCCAGTTGTTGATTTCTCAAGGAAATTACCAAAAGAGTCAGCAAAGTTTGAACGGACTAAATGATAATATAGAATAGACAATGTTAATAGGTTTCTATAGGTATCTAAATTATTGTAACTTACAAACTCCAGCAAAAGTTAAAATTTTTTGTTTTCCAGCTAGAGATAAAGTTGACATTTTTTAATTATTTTTATAAAAATGAAATGAATGATCATCTCTACTTATAGCGTTTAAATAGAAACCATTCAAAAATAAAGTCTTTTATTTTTTTTTAGGAATCTAGATTTGAAATGGGATACACAAAATTTTTCATTTGTGTTCTTATCTGAAGTTTTTGTTGATTGGTAAAAAAGTATTCACTACTTCAACAAGATTTTTTATTGTAATCAAGAGCACTCTGTGAAGATAAATTTAGGAGTTTTTTTTACACCAACAGTTCCTGAGATATATTTTGAAGTCTTCTTTCCTCAAATTGATTGAATTGGGGCTTGGAGTGGGTTTCTTAAAATTTCAGCTAAAGATTTTTTGTTTTTTTTGGTGAAACAAAAAATTTTGTTCATTTTCTTTTTTTTTTTTTGCAACGATTCTGTTCAATTCGAAGTTTCGAAGATCCTTCATATGAAACCAGTTTGTCAAAATGTTTATGAATTTTTTGCGTATTAATAATAATATATTAAGTAACACCAATTCATATGTTGTCAGAATAAAATTTTTCGAGTATTTACACGCCCTTTGTCAAAATCTTCAAAATGGTCATAGTGTGAAACAATCGTTAAACTTTTGAGACATCTTTTTGATGCAAGATCAATCAAAAGTAATTGTCCATACTTTTGATCTTCTTCGAGATTCTTTTGAAGTTCAAGTTTATCTTGATGATTTTGATTCGAAAATAAAAATGAATTTGGGGAACCGCTTACTGCCAAGCATGTTGGTTCTACATTGGCTCTGAAATGATTGTGTACGCTAGGTATGATTTATAATAGTTAAATAAAAGTACTAATAATAATTAGTTAGCGGCTGAAAGTAAATAATTGTTTAAAGACAAGAAATAGTGGATACACTGTTGATGATTAACGGTTTTGATGACACAAGTAATATTAGAATAGAACATGAGACTTAAAATCAAAATATAAAAACTTTCGATTTTCTTAAAAAATCAAAACCAAAGCTAGAGAACTTGACAAGTCAAAACAAAAATCCAAACGTTACTAAATTTACAAAACTTTGTAATTTTTTTGCCAAAATTTTTTTAATTTTTTTTTATTTTCAGTAATTTTTTTTTTTTTTTTTGGCTTTAAGACGAACGAAGAATTTATCCAGTACAAAACAGTCTTAAGGAGTCATTCAAATTTATTCATGTAATAATTTACACACTTAATCACACAAAAATGTAAGTTTTTTTTTAAAAAAAAAAAAAATAACAATGTTATTATTATTATTATTATTTGAATGATGAACACAAGTTATCCCTGTCATAATAGACAAATAAAATTGATGAAAAAAAGCGAAAAGACACCTGATCAAATAATAATAATATAATTATATAATAATCAACCTTATTTATAATCTATAATATTGTTTACTAATGAAATTAATTCGATAAATAGGTGTTTCTCATAATGTTACTTTAAAGTTTATTAAATTAAACTTTTCCTTTTCGTGAACTCTACAGTCTTATTTTAAAAGGTATTTTATAAGGTATTTTATTATAAATTTATTATTTCCTCTATCTTTATCTATATTCTTGATGATTATTTTTAACAAGCATATGTCTGACTTTCAATGAAGACATATTTAACATACGTATGAATTATTCTTTTTATCTATTTTTATATTTCTAAAATCATCATAACTCTATATCACTATTTCAATTCAAATTTACTAACTATATTTTTTTCATATAAAAGATTATCTCTCTTTTTAATAAAATAGACCTTCTGGATAAAATGTTCATTCAATTGAATTAAACTTAGAGTAAGTAATACTATTTCAACCTCTTTTTACCATTCTATCTATTCTTAATGATGAGAAATCAGTTAGGGACAACGGAAAACATTGTGCCGAAACAAAACTAATTTATATAAAAACTCTGACATAATTATATATATTTATTTTATTTATCTGTCTATAAAACATCTCTATTCGTTTAATAAATCATATTTATACTAATTCTATTTTAATTCTAAAGTATTTTAAATGTCTACAGTTTTTTTCGATTTGAAGCATGTTTTTAGACCAGGCGTTACAATTAAACCTTCATTGTGTAAGTTTTCATAAAATTTAAAGATAATAAATATGGTATTTTTTGTTTCGATGATGAATACAGTTCTTGCGACAGGCGGACATAATAACCTTGCTGATAACTCGCAGTGTACAAAAATTTTTTATCTGACGCAAAACAAAATTTCCATATATTATCAAAACAATTTTTCATTTAGTTTATTTACTAACTTGTATCTCTCTCGTATTACAGAGTCCGACACAACATAAAAAATATTATTTTTAAAAAAATATATCTTTTAAATTTAGTCATTTAGATATTGCATTTATCGTATCAACTACCAAATGTTCAAGCCGTATTTTAATTATAAACTTAATTCAAATAAATAATTCAAGTTTTTTTTTAATCAACATTTTTTTTAATTTATTTGTTATTATTATTATAAAATTAAAAATATTGTTCATTAATAGAAGTAATTATATCTACATAATCTACTTTATAAAAATAAATAATAAAAAAGAATAGATGGTTTATAAATGTTTTAAGAATTTAATTTAATTTAATTTAATTTAATTTAATTTAATTTAAATCCATTTTATCTTCATTTATTGTGGAATTTGATTTACTATTACTATTGTTTAATTTAATAGGATCTGTAGATGTTGGGCTTTGTGTTTGTTGTTCTTGGGGAGATGTTTGTTGCTGTTGTTCAGTTTCGCCACTGTCGATATCTAGATTCTGTTCCAATTCCTGAATGGTGTGCAAAAGTAACTGAAATTGTTTCATACGTAAATCGAGTTTATCATTTGTTTTCTTATTCATCTTGTCTACTTCTTCCAATTCTTTCTTTACTTTTTCAATTTCACTAGTTTTTTAATAATAACATTAATATTAGTCAATGTGTGTGTTATATTAATAGATACATATTCATGTATTATACTTACATTTCGGTATCGTGTATTGTTGGTTGTTCATTGATCAATTTATAGAGTGCCAAGTATTGTTCTTTATATTGCCTCTGTATCTTCTCATATGCCAAACGTTCTTTTAAATCTACTATTTCATTCTTTACATTTTCGATGTCGTCGCCTATGATATATCATTGTTATTGATTAATTGTTTGATTTAGTTAGTGTTAATAAGAAACTGATCATTTTAAACAACAGTAATGTATAATATGATATATGTTGATGAGTTTTAATGATACACTTACATCTTGTTTTATAAACATTGGTGTAGTATTCTAATTCTTTCTTATTGACATCTGCTTGTACATTTGCTTTTTGTATTTGAAACTCATAGAGAGACAGTTCATTTAAGAGTTGTTGGTGTGCTACCTGACTGTGATAGATAATATTAACACATTGCCGTCAAAGAAAAAAAAAAAGAAAGAGAGAATGAAAGTAAGTAAGAGTGATTCGATTGACGATTAAAATACAAAGAGATAGAGAGAGAGAGAATGAATATCTGTTATATATCAATCATATCATTCATATTGAATGATGATAACATTACCATTGTTCAGGAGTCGATTGTGGATTCTCTAGTAACGCTACTAATTGTATATATTTTTTAAATGTCTTTTTTAATGGTAATTCTTTTGTAAGTAATTTCTTTTTGAGTGGTAAATCTTCATCCATTATACTCTTCTACTAATCTTCTTCCACTTCTTTATTGAATAGATAGATTATGATTTTAGTGTTTAATATATTTATGGATGATGGGGTGAATGTACACACATTTATTTATTTTCATTTTTTTTCATTTTTTTTTATTCAAAGACAAAAAGAAAGAGAATATGTGTTTTGCGAAAAGAGAATTAATTAACACACTTACTTGTCAGTCGTCAGTATTGATTGTATAATCAAAGTTCAAAAAAGCACACATCATATAAAACAACAATATTTCAACACAATTTACAAATATCAAAGATGGTATGATAAATATCAGATAGTATCACGATAGAATGGCTGATTTGATTGTCAAGCAAGTAATGCTTATAAGACCAAATTCGGTTATAACAATGAATGAAATATAAATCCGATACAATTAAATTGAATCAATCAATTAATCAATCAATCAATCATACAGATAGTAGAATCTGATTTTTTAGATTTTTAGATTTATATTTATTTATTTATTTTATTGATAAAACATGTTAAAGATAAATATTATATTGTTTATTACTTTGTTTATAGTATGTTCGAATGCTATTACATTGTATCGAATGGATAAGTTGACGGGTCAGTGGAAGAAGTTGTGTGAGAGTACAACTGGAGTGTGTAATGCACGTGTCTCGAATGTTGGCTTTAAGGATACCGATTACTACATGGGTGAGATGGAAGACGAAAGTTCAATGTTGGAGTTGAATGTTGGCTCCGGTTATCTCTCAGAGAAGTTCTACTTCTACGCAAGTCGTACCGATATCGCCGATAAGAAACACGATATCTATGGCATTGGAAAGCTCGCCACTCCATACTCGATGCAAGCCTGCCAGGGTAATCGATTCTACTTCACCATACAGACAGACAACTACTTTACATCGGCCGACTACCTCTTCCAATTGAAGTATGCCACCGAGTATCCATGTGGCGCACCGGAGCGTTCGCAGCGTACTGTCACCACTCCACAAACGATGGAACCACAACCATCGATACGTCCACGCAATGAATTGGCAATCAACGCACAAATCAACAAAGCCGATGCCGAGGCCAAAGAAGTTCCTATCCTCAGTATCAACAATGGCATTGAAATATCGGCACACAAAGAAGGACTACCACTATTCTCCATCAACAAGCGACAACAAACCGAACCATCGAGTGACGATACCTACACAGGGTCACTCGAATACCAATCGGAATCAGCCAACTCTAAAAATAACAGTCAACAACAAACATCATTCATTCATACATCTTTATTAATATTATCATTCATTTCAATATTATTGTTTTAAATAAATAAATAAATAAATAAATTAATGTAGTTTTAATATAATTTCCATAAAAAAAAATTGATAAATATATTGTTTTTCAACTCTTTCCTTCTTTTAAAGAAAAAAAATTTAAAGGTTTTATTTTACTACATATATCACCTTGCCATTATATTATTATTATTATTATTATTTAACATTTGAGTTTGAATTCAATTGAATTCCTTTTTTGTTTGTTATTTTTTATCATTTTTTTAATTTACATTGAGTAATGATGCGTTTGGTTTCTTTCTGAGACCACCTTGACCCATCTTGATTGCGTTGGCCAATGCCGCCAGAGGGTCATTACCACCGGCAATCTTTTTACCTTCACCAGCACCCAAATTGGTTTGATTCGTTTTGTTTTGTTTGCTTTCTCTTTCGATCTTTTGGAATACCTTGCTGAATTGACAGGCAAACGCAAAGATTGCTCCGAAAAATTGTTGACATGTTACAGTGGATGCTGCAGACTTTGGATATCCAAAGAATTCAATGAGTGTGTGGAATGACTCGACTACCGATTTCTGTTGTTCCTTGAGCTTCTTGATCGATGACTCTGATTCCTCCAAGAACGTACCCATGAGACGATCCAGCTTTTCATTATTCTTTAGTTGCTCTACGGCTTTGGTCATTGCTGCTTTCACTTGGGTGAGTGATCCGTCCAGCTCACCAATGTCTGCAGCGATATCTTGGATCGACATTTGAACGGAACGCAGTGGTTCCAATTCGTCTGCTAGTCCAGCTGCCTTTGGGTATTTATCTAATGCCATCTTGCAAACATAGTCGAGTAGAGTCATCTTGTTCTCAATGTCTTTGGTTGTCGACAAGTTATCGAGAATCTCCAGTTGGAAACCATCGGCCTGTCCACGATTCGATCCACCATTCATGTAGTTACCAAGTACCAATACAATACCGAAAATACGCCGTAGATTCTCGCAATTCTTGGTTGTCGATACTGCGGTCGATAGACTCTCCAGTGTCGATTTAATCGCTGTCAGCTGCTCTGGTAGTTCCAGCTTGAACAACCAGCATCGCAGTCGTTCTTTGAGTGCCGGTGTTCCGTACATCTCGAGAATCCATCGCTCGGGACGATCCAATTTCGCTGGTGGCAACTCGCTTGCCTTTATCATTTGATAGTCTGCCTCCTCTGGAACGTTGGAGAGCAGTGTCTTTAGAATTTCCTTATCGAGTTTGGTGCCATCGAAATTGTCAATCATCGTCTTTAGTTGGTCGACTGGTGGCAACTTGGCCAACATAAAAGCAATAGAATTTGATTTCTTAATATCGATTAAACTGACCAGCTTGATCTTTTCCTCCTTGGTTGGAGCGGCGCCGGCATTCTCACCGTCCATATCTGATTTCTCAAAGGAGGTTGTTGCTTTCTTCTTTTGACAAAACAACTCCTCGAAATCCTGTGAATTAAAAGTTGGTTCCAAAACTTGATCCCAAAGTGATTCGGTTCTACCAGAGGGTGGTAGAATTACACGTTTCCAATATAATGGCTTCATTTTAGTTGATGGGTTGATTACTGGCTTGGTGGGTTGGATCGCAGCTGGACCAGCGGGCGCACCCTTCTTTCCTCCACCGGGGGGAGGTGGTGGAGGTGGGGGAGGAGGACCGCCACCCAGTCCGCCAGGGGGAGGAGGTGGAGGAGGTGGAGGACCACCTTCAGGTGCAGCCAGTCCAACCGATGTTTCATCGAGTGGACCAACCGTTGGCGAAGGTGGTGGTGTGGTGAGCAGTGACACTTTGTCGGGTTGATTCATCAATCCATCTGCCAGAGATTCACCGATGATCGCTTGTCTTGGTGGTAGTCCTTCATCGATACACAGTCGCAATCTCTGAATCTCCAATTGCGCTTCTTTGTAGAGTGCTACAATGTCGCCATCCACTGTACCGGCCTGTTGTTCGAGTGACGACAACTTTGATTTCATTTGATCGATTTCCAATTTAGACTTGATCTCTGCGTGTGTCAATCTCTGATTCTCTTCATTCATCTCTGATATCGCTGTATCATATGCTTTCTTATTGGTAATAACTTGATTCTTAAACTCTTCCGATTGTTTCAACTCCTGCTTCAGTTGTTCCGCCAACATATTAATTTTCTTTTCAAACTCTGCTATTCTTTCACGTTCTACAACTGTTGTTCTTAAAAATGATAAATCAACTGGATAACTTGAATTTAATGGTCCCAAGAATCTTTGTACTGGGTGTGCTAGTGATTTTTTAGAAAAATATAAATAGAAATTAACAAAACCATCCATTCTTTATATTATAAATATTTATCCAGTATAACTTACAATTTAAAAACAATCTATCATTTGATGCTTCTTTAATTAGATGTTGATTAAGTTTGAGTTCTTCTTTGAGAATTGCTATCAATGGTTGTTGTGCTTCATAGTCGTTTAGACGTGCTTTCAAACGTTTGCAAATCTCTTCCAATCTCGATGCTTTAGTTCTGAGTTTTATACCTGCATTATCTTCGTATAGTTCCAATTGAATCTGGAATTCCTTGTGTTGAATCTCGACGAGTGAACGCAACTTGTCATGCAATCCAAGATCTCCCCACTTTTTGACGAGTTTCTCATTCTTTTCCTCTGGACAGGTGTCTAACAACACATTGAGAAGTGTAAATGCATTGATTTTAGTCTCTAGATCACCGGCATCCAATAATCTCACCAGGTTGGCGTATGGTTTAGAGTTGGCCGTCTGTGCCGTCGACTTGGCAGCGAGATGAACCGATTGGAAACCTTCCTCACCACGGAAACTGCACAGTACAAACAGCAACTCGAGTGAACCACGACAGACACCGACCACCGGAGAATCGATCAACGAGAACAACTGCTTGATTAGCGCCGGTGTCTTGGTGATGACGTCCATACCGCTGACATACTCCAAGCAAGCACGGAGCGTGCCAAGTGCATAGGTCTGAGTGTTTCCACGCGCCGATGTTACCATCCTCAGAATTCCATCCATTCCACCGAGTTTGATAAACGACTCGGCAAACTCTGGCTCGGCCAACTTGAATTTCAAGTGGAATATGATGTCTTTCTCACTGCTGCTGCCGTCGGTAGAGTGCATCGCATTCACCCAACACTCTGCCCGGTAGTTTGGATTCAGCTTGAGCAGCAGTGAACTCTCACCAGACTCCACCAAGAACTTAACGATTGGTTTGGTCTTGCTTTCGTCGGCTTCGTGTGGCCAATTCAAGTACTTCTTGGTCGAGTCGATCTGCAGGACATATTCACCGGACATCTCTTTGCTGATTCCAAACAACTGACAGATCGCAAGAAACACAGTGGAGTAACTCGATTTCTCATCGAGTTGATAGGTTTTCGTCAGATTCTGTGCTTGATTTCCGATGTGTGTGGATGCACGTTTGCCCATAGTCATCGAGGCACTGAGCGATCCTGCCAAACCACCGGAACCACCAGCAGTCGAGGCAACACCAGCTCCACCCATATTTCCAATGGGATCAATACTTAATGAAATAGTAAGAATCATAATTTCAAAAAAAAATATGAAAAAGATTCTTATCTTTTAACTATTAAATATTATTATTATTATTCTATATTTCTTTTATATAAGTTCTAATAAATATATAATATAAACTAACTAATTTAATTGTTTACAAAAGAAAAAAAAAAAAGAAATGAATGTTCTGTTCTATCTATCTAAATAAATGAATAATGTTTTTAATTATTTTATTTTTATGATTATATTAAGTAATTTGATGTTGATGATGTTATTAATAATAAAATAAAAAGTCAGAATAATGATGGATGTGTTCCACACTTCTTCTTTTTGTTTGATGATGATTTGTGTTGTTGAGTTAATGCTCATGCGAATCTCTTTTTTTGTTGGGCTATAAAAAAATTAGATTCATAAAAAAATTAAATAAAAAAAACAATAATAATAAAAAAAAAATCAAAACTTACAATAGTTTAAAAAAAGAGATTTGTGAAAAATCGATAAACTGTGTGTTTTTGCAATTTCGTTTGCATTATTTTTGATGCTTTTACCATTTTCATATCACACTTTTTTGTTAATACATTTACATAGGGTGTTAAGTAATGAAGAAATAATAAAATATATATATATATATATATATATATATATATATATATTTATTTATTTGTTATCAAACAATCACACCTTATTTTTAAATTAATTGTTTGTCAATTGTTTAAATTTAATTAATAAAAAAAATCAAAAAAAAAAAAATCAAAAAAAAAAAAAATCAAATGCTGATTTTTTTCTAAATTGACAGTGTGGTGTGTGTGGTTGTTGATTTTATTATTCTGACTGCATTTGTAATAATTACAATTGTTACAGCAGTGTATATAAGTCTATTTATTTCTTTATAATATTTTTTTCGTTTTTATTTTTTTTATTATAGTTTTATTTTTTTAGTTTTTTTTTTTTTTATTAAGAAAGAGATAAGATGTCTAAACAACAGACAAACAACATCACAAATGTCTCTACAGAGTCACTTTCACAAAGATTCTTATTTGGGGGTCTAAGTTGTATGGCTGCAGCATGTGTTACCAATCCTATAGATGTTATAAAGACAAGATTACAATTGCAAGGTGAACTTGCAAAGAAAGCAACAGTGTCATCAAACAATATTGTTATGACTTCTGGTGTTAGTACCACTACAACCAGTTTAAACTCAGCGTCAACATTTACACATAAAAACAGCAATAGCAATAGCAATGGTCACACACATACACATACACAAAATCAATATAGAGGATTCGTTAGAGGAACCATACAAATTGTAAGACAAGAAGGTATTGCCGGTCTATATAAAGGATTGTCACCTTCATTGCTCAGAGAAGCTACCTATTCAACACTTCGAATGGGTGGTTACGATTGGATTAAAGTTTACTTTGTTGATGAGAATGGCAAGACTAGTTTAACATCAAAGATTGTAGCTGGTGCCATTTCCGGTAGTGTAGGAGCATCCATAGCAAATCCAACCGATTTAATTAAAGTATGTTGAATATTCAACAACAACAAAAAGCAGATAATCTGGAAATCCAAACAATTTTATTAATAATTACTTTAAAAACAAAACAAAACAATAACAAAACAAATAAGGTAAGAATGCAAGCACATTCAACAAAAGGTGGTGCAAGATATCAGAATATTTCACAGGCATTCAGAGATATTATAGAGAAGGAAGGTTTTGTTGGACTTTATAAAGGTGTTGTTCCGACTGTACAGAGAGCGGCGCTACTGACGGCAAGCCAGTTGTCTAGCTATGACCAGTTTAAACATATGTTGATTGATCATGGATATGTGGCGGGTGAAGGTCTGGCAGCGCACACAGCTGCTTCGATTGCAGCTGGTCTGGTTGCGGCAATCGTAACATCGCCAGTAGACACCATCAAGACACGTATCATGAGTCAGCCAATCGATGCCAGTGGCAAAGGAACACTCTATCAATCGTCGATGGACTGTATGATGAAAACAATCAAATCAGAAGGATTCCTCGGATTGTACAAAGGATTCATTCCCAACTGGATGCGAATTGGTCCTCATACTATCGTTACCTTTATAGTTTATGAACATCTGAGAAAGCTGGGTGGAATATCACCAGTATAGTATAAAAAATAATAATAAAATTATAAACTTTATTTTTTATTATTTTTAATTTTATTTTTCTATTATAAATTGGTTGATTTAAAGAATACTATTTACTTTATTTTAGAGATCAAGAAAAGTTTATTATCTTTAAACTTTAATGTAAATAAATTAAGATTATAAGATTTACATTAAAGTTTAAATTGTTTAATGAATTCAATTTTTTCTGGATATAGTTGGAATTGGCTCGATCCAGACATAGTATTTGTTGGAATACCAGATGCCAATAGGTACTTGATCATCGTGAGATTATTCCTAGCCATTGCATAAAACATTGATTTATATCTACATTCAACATTTTTCGAGAGCAGAAATTGTATTTTTGGAATACTGTTCTGTAGAATTGAGTATGTCAATATTAAATCATTGGCAGATGAGAAAGGTACACCACTCTCATAGAGATACTCTATAGTTACAATGTCACAATAAAAGAATGAATCAGTTAGGGCTTCTGGGTATATTTCCACTTGTTTTTCTTTCAACCACTTGATGTTTGCGAATCTGTTTTCCATGATGGCAAAATGAAATGCCTCAGAAGTGAACTTTTCAGTTCTGTTGTTCCATAGCCATTCCAATGTTTCAACATTAGGGTGTCCTGCAAATGTATCCATTGATTTTGCTTTACATGTAAGATCGCTTCGTTTATAATGAAGATACTTGAATGCTTCTATTTGTTTATATTTAGCTGCAATACTCAGAACATTTGGTGAACATTCCATCCCGTTTTCAACAAGGAATTGTATTATATCCATGTTACCACTGATTACTGCATTGGACAATGCTTCGTCGGTACATCCTTCGTCTCTATTGAAGTGTAAGAATTTCAAAACTTCAAAAAATTCATATTTAGCCGCCATATTCATAGCCATATATGAGCTTCTACCAATTCCATTGTCGTGAAAATATTTGACCATATCCAAGATACTCTGAGAGTAATCGATTCCACTGGTTCCTTTAGCCATTCTATCCTTTGGTTGATGAATAAGAGCACAGTAGATATTGGTGCTTAAGTATTTGTTATTGGGATTATGGTTAAGAAGCAGTTTCAAAAGATCCAAGTGTCCGTGGTATGCTGCTTTCTCAATGGCTTTGCTTGTGAATCCTTCAGTTCTATTCTCCAAGAGGAATAGAACGACGTCATTGTGACCATTTTTTGAAGCACGATTAATAGCTTCTTTGGTACATCCTTCTGTTCTATTGTAATGAAGAAACTTGACTATCGATAGATGACCTCCAGATGCAGCTCCATCTAATGCTTCGAATGTGCAACCAGAAATAGAATTCTCATGAAGGAATAAAACAACATCCAAGAAACCTTTTTGTGCAGCATAATTCATTGCATCTGGAGAACTCTCTTCTGATCGATTGGCATTTAGGAACTTTACAATTTCCAGATGACCTTTGAATGCACTGTATATAAATGCATTCTTTGTGCAACCTTCTGTCCTGTTGAAGTGTAGGAATTCAACAATTGACAAGTGACCATGCGATGCCGCTTCATCCAATGCATTGTTTTTGAAAACGGAATCGATTCCTTTGTCATGTAGGTATTTCATCATATTTAGATATCCATTTGCAATTGAATCGCGAAACATCGTGTGATATAGAGTATCGTTGCCATACTGAGGTTGTCTTGTCAATACATATTCTATTAATTCAAGATTTCCAACGTTTGAAGCAATAACCAATGCCGATGAGTATACACATCGAAAACTCTGAATTAATGCGTCATTTGATTCTTCATTCTTTGAACTAGAATGAATATGATCGAATATCGCTTTAAATCTATCGATATAGTCGAATTTAATTAACTTCTCTGGAAAGCAACCTACATCATACCAATTGCAACAAAGTAAATCATTAGGATAAATTTGTTTATGTATATCTCTGACAGATTGAAATATTTGATTTCTCAATACAGAAGAGTTTAATATTTTCTTTAATGGGTATGACATTTATATAACTAATTACATTACTTGATTTTTGAGAAAAAGCACGGTGAGTTAAAAAAAAATGGTGTCTAACAAAAACTATCCCCAACCCATTTCTCTGAACACCAGTTTTGTTTTGCTAACCAAAATTTTAAAGAAGTTTATTGAATCTTTAATGAATTAACACCCAATTTGATCAAAGTAATCGGATTGTGTGGGTTTTTTAATTTAAATTATTATAAAATTCATTTATCTTTAATACTTTTTATATATTTGATTTGATAATGTATAATAAGTGGGGATTGATTCAAATTCTCTTGATTGTAGAAGATTTAGAAAGGCTAAGAATTTATTAATTTTTGTTATTCTTTCATTCATTATTAATTCAATATATATTATGGAAATATATAGGTATACACCATTGGTTATTAATATTAATATTCACTTCAAATTTGCAGTGTTGTGTTATTTCATATTATATGTTGGGTTTTTTTTTTGCAAAGCTTTTTTTTGTATTCTCGCATTTTTTTTTGCAAAATTTTTTCATTTTTTGGGGAGGGATAAAATGAAATTACACAACTATACTAGTGGCATTGTCTTATATTGTTTCTCTAATGTTGAAACTAAAATAACAACAACACATCAACCTCGCATCCTATTACAGTAACTATCTATTTTGTTAATTAATTTTTAGAAATTAAGAATTTAATATTTTTGTTTGAAGGTTGTTTCTAAAAACATTAAATCTAAAGCAATGCAAAAAGGAAATATTTTTATTTATCTAAAATTAATTAATTCGGTTCTAGAATTCTTGTGGAGACAGAATTAAAACATCACACCGCAAACAATTAAAAATTAGATTTGCCGCAACCTCAAATTTTTTTAATTTGCTTCAGTTTTTCCATGGAATTAAACAAATATTATCTTAGTTTTAAATAAAGCCTTAGTTATAAATAGTTAGATTAGAATAAACATATAAAAAAACTCAAATCAATACAAACATTCATTTTACCAAACTACAATTAATTAAATTTACAAAAATATGATCGATTGATTAATTGTAGTTTGGTAAAATGAATGTTTTTATTGCTTTGAGTTTTTTTATATGTTTATTCTAATCTTCATTTTACTCTTCATTTTCTTTAAATATAAATCCTTATATTTTCATATATTTTATTCTTTTTTTATTGAACGAAATTTTTTTAAATTTATAGATAAAGATCTTGGGTCTTACCAAACTAAAAAAAATGAGAAATTATTAATAATGTTTGAAAACAACAACAGCAACAACAAATAAAGATTCAAATTCTATTGTTAAAAATAGTGACAAAAGTAATGATGATAATCTAATTGTAAAGTTCCCATTTATATAAATAAAATCATTGTCCAGTTGAACGATATAGATATCATTTGTTTTAGTTTAGTTTGTAAGAGATGGTTTGATAATCGTCATTCCTATCTCTCTTTCAATTATGAACGGTTAAGTTTATTACATAATCGCATACTTAATAACAGCAACTCTAGTCATTTCACATTAAATTCCTAGGAAAATTGATTGGTAAACATTTGATATCAAACTATAACTTTCTACATACCCCTGTCCACAATATACTTTAGCTGTATATATATAATAATATAAAGAAAATGAATATGATTTTTAAGTGTAATAATATCTGTAGGTCCAAACTATAGTTATTTAAAAGGTATACCTTTTAAATAATCAAAATTAATAAAAATATAAATAAAATAATTTAGAAGTAATTTCAGTCTTTTACAACTATTAGTTAAGTCTTGTTATTAAATATATGTATGAGGTAATAGATGTTGATAGTTAGAGTTATAAAATATAGTAATGTTCGTAAATAAGAATAATAATGGAAAAAAAACTTAATGAGTTCATGTTTATAAAGATGTTTGTGTTTATGTGATTATTCATCAACAAATAAAAAACAAAACAAAATTAGACATTTATCATAAATAACTTTTTAAAATTGGTATCATTTAAATGAAAATGGCTAAATAACTGGTTATGAATGATCATTCGTTTTTTTTTTTTCAAAATTTTTGCCTAAATTAATTAAGCTTAGATAATCAAAATAGTTTTGAATAAGAAGATAGATAGCAGTATCAGTAAATTATGTTAAGAGGTTTATTGGGTAGTCTGCGAAAGCAGATGGCCGGTGGAAGTGCCAGCAGAGTTACTACCAATAATAGTAGTAGTAGTGTGACTGGTGTTGCTACCGGTAGTCATAGTATTCAGAACTCGGTTGATCACACTCGATGGAGAGTACCGTCAGGACATCCAACTGGAATCTCAATGAGAAATTCATTGTCACACGAAAAGAAACCAGTACCTCTAGTACTTGAAAACAGTGGACGTACAATCTCTTGGTATACTTGCGGTCCAACCGTATATGACAGTGCTCATCTAGGACATGCAAGGTAATTTAGAAATATATACTTTTTGAACGATGTAGAATTGCAGCACAACAATTAACAATGAATCATTCTTTTAAAAGAGCATATGTTTCTATTGATATAGTTCAAAGAGTTTTGACAGATTACTTCAATTTGAATATCAATCATGTCATGGGAATGACCGATGTCGATGATAAGATCATAAAGATGTCGGCAACCAAAGGTATGTCGTTCAAGGAGCTGGCGCGTCAGAAAGAGTTGGAGTTTATACAGGATATGGATTCACTGAATGTACGTCCACCTCTGCTAATTACACGTGTCAGTGAACACATTCCGAATATCATTAATTTCGTGAAGCAGATACGCGAGAATGGCTACGCGTACGACGTCGACATTCCAGGATCCACAGGACAATCGGTGTTGTTTGACACCGGTAAGTTTGGCACTCGCTACGGTAAGCTCGAGAAAGAGAATCAAGGTGCGCAAGCCGATGAGAACCTAGCGATTCAATCGGACGTCAAGCTTGGAACCAGAGATTTCGCGTTGTGGAAGTCGGCCAATCCGATCACCGATGTCGACGGCCAAGGCAAGCTGGTCGTGTGGAACTCGCCGTTTGGAGACGGACGTCCAGGATGGCATATCGAATGCTCATCGATGATACACTCGATATTCGGCGACAAACTAGATGTTCATGCCGGTGGTATCGACCTGAAATTTCCGCACCACGAAAATGAAATTGCACAGTGCGAAGCACACTTTTCCCCGCATCCGAACCCAGCCACTGGCGAATACAAACAATGGGTCAACTACTTTATGCATATCGGTCATCTAAACATTAAAGGTTTAAAGATGTCGAAATCACTAAAGAATTTCATTACAATTAGAGTATGTGTTTATGTTTATTTTTTAGATATTGAACATAGATTCATTTCTTGTGACTAATCAAATAAGTTTGTTTGTTTTTATTAATCATAGGAATATTTAGCAAAGAATACAGCAACTTCATTTAGATGGTTATGTTTAACAAATAGATATTTCGATACGATCAATTATAATCCAAAGAGTGATGAGCAGTATCAGAATTCGCTGCAGCGATTCATCGATTGGTTCAATATGGTTGAGATGAGAATGATGGAACCGATCAATATAAATCTGACACGTGCTAGCTATCAGCAAGCGAAACCAATCATCGACTTGTTCAATCTATCAAAGAATGACATACACTTGGCGCTGACCGACGATTTCAATACACCAAAGGCAATCAAGATCATGCAACTACTCGTCAAAGAAACAATGATGAACAACACACAGCTCAAATCGATACCCAGAGATATTCTATTCAATATCTACTGTTATCTTCGTAAGATGTTCACTACGTTTGGTTTCGAAGAGCTGTTCAGCAAGTCGAAGCTCTCCAACAATAGTATGGCGATGCTACAGCAGATGCAACAGCTGAACGAACAACAACAGCAACAGCTGCAACAACAATCGGACAAGCTGCAACAACAGTCCGAACAACAACAGCAAGTTCTACTGGATAGCAACTCTGAGAAAGATCTGAAACTACTCGCGCAAAGCAAACTGCTTGAAGAAAAAGACAAGGAGAATCTAAAGTTACTAGAGCGATTCTTGGATTTCCGTGCTGAACTAAGATCAATAGCGAAAAACAACAGCAATGACGATGTGAAAAAGCAGTTGATTCTTCAGATGTGTGACTCTGAGAGAGATAGCATGCTCTACGAATTGGGTATTCGTGTTGGTGACGAAAGCAACGATGAATACACCTACGAAATGCTCACCGAGAAGGAAAGAGTTAAACTGCAAGAGAAAAACGCCCAAAGATTTGTACTCGATCATCAAAACTCTGACGTTGCGTTAGAGTATGGTGAGAATTTAGAAGAAACAACTGTTGATCAAACAGCAACAACAACAGCTCCACCAACAGCAACAACAACTCCATCTACAACAACAACAACAACCCCATCTACAACAACAACAACTCCAAAAACAACTTCAACATCATCATCATCACAAAAAAAACCCATTAAAAAGAAGAGTTCACCATCCAGACAATTGATTGAAGAAGATAAGACTCAAGATAATATTACAGAAAATCAAGATGTTGATGCTGATTTAAAAGTAAGTTTAGACAATTATTGTTGATAGTTATTATATATATATTTATAGAATATTAATTACTAATTAAAAATTTTATAAATATAATTTTAGTATGATCCACTTGCAGAGAGTCCAGAAGTGATTTTTATAAATAGAAAAGATCTTTATTCAAAGTTTGATGAAGACGGTATTCCCACTCACGATGCAAGCGGCACCCAAATCACAATGTCACAGAGAAAACTTTTGAAAAAGATAATGAGAAAGAGGGTCAATCGTGTGATAAAGAAAGAAGCTAAAATCAGATCTAAATTAGACAATGAATCAACTTTTACACCAAATTCGTTGTAAATAATAAATATTTAAATAAAAAGTTATATATACTTTTGATTTATTTTTTTTTTAGTAATTATAATTATTTTTATTATTTATGAATCAATAGAATAAAAAATCAATATAAAGTTTGGATTTATTAAAGTTTAGAATAGAATAGATAGAAAGAACATTCATTATTACCATTCAGAAGAGATAAAGGTGATTCAAAAAATTAAAAAATAAAAAAAAAAATCAAAAAAAAAATTTTTGTTTTTTCATTTTTGGTTAGTAAAGTGATCATACGATGTGACCAAAAAAAAAAAAAACTAAACTTGTTCATTGTTTAGTTTTTATTTATTAATTATATTATTATTGATCATTAGTAGTAGTTACTGTATATATATATTAATTGAGTAGGATCAACCATCATTTTTATAAAATGTCTCAATTAACCTCTAGATTGTTAAAGGTACGAAATCAATATTATCAATAAAAACTACTACAACAATTACAATAAACAAAACAGTACACAATAAATACAGATATTATAGATATATATAGTATAAATATATCAATAAGAACCATATATTTATTTTATTTTTACTATTATTATTATTGTTTTTTTTTTAGGGATCAGCATCTACCTTTTTGCGTAATAATCCATCGATGCTTGGTGTTAGACATTTCCATAGTACTCTTCCAAATGGTATGTTTATAAAATAGATCTATTATATATAATCAACAACAAAAATAACTAACTCTATTTATTAGCTGGTGCAAGATGGGATGATAAGGTATGTTTAATGATTAGATAATGATTTTTCAGATATTCATTGTCATTGCATTCAGCTATCGATCGATCATCATTATCATCATTATCATCATCATTATTATCAATAATCAATACAGCAGATTCAATCAAATACAACGACGACAACAACAACAACAGCAGGTAGCAATTATCATTTAAGTTTAAAAAGATTTTAAGATTTTATAGGAACACAGGTCACACAGCTTTAAACAAAACAACAGGAATACATAATAATGATAATGATGATAGTGATAACAATGATAATGATCGATAAAAATAGATTATTAGTTACTAATAATAATAATAATAATAATGATACAACGAATTCTATAGCCAAATCAACCACCATCATTAAAGAATATTATTGATGAGACAGCAAATACATTTTTCTTATCAGAGATTATGGTTGGACTCTATATTACAATGGGATACTTCTTTAGAAAGAAGGCAACAATCAACTATCCATTCGAAAAGGGACCTTTGTCCCCAAGATTCCGTGGTGAGCATGCTCTCCGTCGTTACCCATCGGGTGAGGAACGTTGCATTGCCTGCAAGTTGTGCGAAGCCATCTGTCCAGCACAGGCCATCACCATCGAGGCCGAGCCACGTAAGGACGGTTCACGTCGTACCACCCGTTACGACATCGACATGACCAAGTGTATCTACTGTGGTTACTGTCAAGAGGCTTGTCCAGTCGATGCCATCGTCGAGGGTCCAAACTTTGAATTCACTACCGAGTCTAGAATTGAACTTTTGTACAATAAAGAGAAGTTGTTGGCCAACGGTGACAGATGGGAGACTGAAATTGCTGCCAACATTGCTGCTGACTATCTCTACCGTTAAAAAAAATAAATAATAATAATAAATAATAATAATAATCAACAAACAACTCATACACATAATCATAATAATAATAATAACACCTTCACTATATAATAATCAATCAAATCAAATTTAACTATGCCTATCCTACTATAATGTAATAATTAATATTATTGCTACTTAATTAATCCGATTAATTAATTAATTAACTAACAAACTGAACTTTAAAAAGGAATAAAAAACAAACAAAAATTTATAACTTTAAATTTAAACGATGATCATCTTTTTTTGAGTGCGCCAAAAATTGATCTACCTTTTTTTATTGACAGTCAGGAATTTCAATGAATAAATAATATATTACACTTTTATTGTAAATATTTATATATAGATTAAATGATGTCAGAAGCAACAATGTCATCATCTTTAAATATAGATTTAATTAAAAGATTAGGTAACATTTAGATTTAGATATAAATGTTAATAGTATAGTTAGTTAACTAATAAAAAATCTTATTATATTTAGAATCTTATCAAGTGTTGTTTAATGATAAAATATCGAAAGTGTTTTGGTCTTATTTCATTAATACAAACGTTGATACTGATAAGAATAACTCTAGATTTACAAATGCAATCAACGATGTACATCAATACTTTACAAAGACAAGAGATGAATTAATAGAGTTTTGTAATATTAATAATATTCAGTAATATCTTCATTTTATTATAATCAAAAATAAAAAAAATAGAATAAAATATTAACATTATAATATTCTTATAATTATAGAAATAAAGAAATATGGGTAGAGAGATTACAAAATATGTTAATGGCATCATTAATAATAGATAAAGAACAATCAAAGCGATTCAATCAAATACTTTTCAGTTTCTTCGAGTCTGAATTCGTATCGTTTTCAAAGAGCTATATTGGATCTATGAGAAAAGTAGTGGTTGAGTCAGAGGAATTGGATGATGATGATGATGATGAAATTAATAATAATAGCAGTGTTGCGAATCAAGATAATGAAATGATTGATATATCATTGAACGACAGCTTCACCGATATCTCTGTGAAGGAATTGATGTTCATGGAGATATGCGATCGGCTTTCACAGTTGAACTTTATCATTGTCTCCGAGGACTTGGTATCGAGAATACTACTCTCCAAGATTCACGAGTATATAGATACCAAGTGTCGTGGTGAGTACGAGCGTCGTTTGTTGAAACCAATATTAAACTGGGCGGACAATGTCATCTTCAAGTGGCTCTCGATGATTCTCTCCAAGAGTAGCGGCGCCACCTTTGAACAATGGAAGATGCGTATTGAATTCTCCATCTACGAGTACTACTCTGACCAGAGAATCGACGAGCTCTTCAACATGATCAGACTCTATCCAGACTCAACGCCAGCACTCCAAGATCTATCGATTTGTTTCCAAAAGATATCGATACAAAAGACGCTAGTTGAAAATTTGAAAAAAGTGTAAGTAGTGTCAATCGTCTGTTGTTTTATATATGTCTAATACTAACTTTTTTTTTACTCTATAGATTTCATCAAAGATTATTACATCCAGGTGCCAATACAAATGATATTATTACCACATATATTAGTTGTATTCAATCGATGAAGATTATCGATCCAAGTTGTATTGTTATGGATCAGGTTGGACAACCTATTAAAGATTATCTGGCGAATCGTGAGGATACTATTAGATGTATTGTGTCGAGTTTCACCGATGAAACCAATGAGATTTATCAAGAGTTTAGCAGTGGTGTAGAGAATGACGATGGAACCGACCAGCATGCACTCGATATAGAGAATTGCGATGTCTACTTGGACGACGCTGACTCGCACATGGATTTCAAGAGCTTTGAAAGTTGGCAACCCGCTTCACTGGAATCACATCCCAATCAAAAGAAACAGAAATACAAAGATACCATCAGTAGTTTGGTGAACATCTATGAGAGTACCGACCTATTTGTGAACGAATATCGTTTAATGTTATCTGAAAGATTATTATCAATGACTGATTTCGACGTAGATAAAGAAGTAAGTAAAAAACATCATATAGTTACTATTTATTAACAAACAAACTAACAAACTAACTAACTAACTAACTAACTAACTAACTAACTAACTAACTAACTAACTAATCAATGGTTGAATTAGATTGAAAATGTAGAATTATTAAAACTTAGATTCGGTGAGAATAGTATGCATAATTGCGAGATTATGATAAAGGATATTCAGGATTCAAAGAGATTGAACAATCAGATTGGCCAGCAATTACGTGAGAAACAATTGGAAGCAATCAAGTTTGATACACTGATTCTGTCAGAGTTGTTTTGGCCGTCAATGAAAGATGAGGGTTTTACATACCCCAAGTCACTTAGCAGCCAGATGACTGCATTTTCCAAGGAGTACGAGGCAATCAAAGCACCAAGAAAATTACAATGGAAACAACATCTTGGTTTTGTTGAACTGGAAATAGAGATCAACGGACAATTAAAACAACTTTCTGTATCTCCTATACATGCCACCATAATCATGTTATTCGAATCGAAAGATCGTCTGTCACTGTCGGAGCTTGCCGATCAACTGCAGATCAAAGAGGAATTGGTAAAGAAAAAACTTGGATTTTGGGTAGCCAACCAGGTGCTTGTCGAAGTGGAGCGTGGAGTCTATGAAACAGTGAAGCCGACCAGTACTGCCGATGGCAAGTCATCGATGGATGTAGACAATGGTGGAATGGAAGGCACTGGCAGTGATGCTCTCGACGTTGTAGTTGAAGACGATGAGGACGAGCAACAATCGGCATCGGCGAGAGAGAAAGAAGAGCAACTAAAGGTAATTGAAAACTTTGTGTTTGGTATGCTCAATAATTTCAAAACACTACCCATCGATCGTATACACACAATGCTCACAATGTTCAATCCAGAGAATTACTCACTGACAACAGCAGAGCTAAAATCATTCCTTCAAAAACTTCAAAATGAAGAAAGATTAGAGTTTTCAGGTGGTGAATATCGTATAAAGAAATAAAATTGTACAACCATTCTTTTTTTTATTTTATTATTAAATTTTAAAATTATAGAGATATATTTTATATTATGTATTACAATGAAAATAATAATATTTATTATTATTTTCTAAAAGCAAACTATTAATTAAAAATAATTTTTGTTAATAACAAATAATTTCTAAAAATTCTATTTTATATAGTTTGTACTTACAATGGAACAACTTAAAATTATTAAGGTTCCAATAATTGTTAGTAGATCTGGACGTTCTTTTAGGATTGTAACCTCCATTAAAAGTGAAAAAATAATTTGAGTATAGCTCATTGCTGAAGCTTTGGCAGCTTTTTCCTTTTGCAGAGATTTGTTTAAAAATGCTTGGTATCCCAAACCAGATACACCCATTCCAATAAGGAGTAAGGAATCTATTAAATTTGGGATTTTAAAGCTTTGGAGAAGAAAGGAAGCTGGTAAAGTTAGCAGAATAGCAACTGATGAAAAATAAGACACCATAACCAATGCATTGGTTCCTGATCCTATTTTTCTTACCGCAACATAAGCACAAGCTGAGAAAAAAGATCCTATTAAACCAATTGATATATAAATAAATCTTAATCCGCTATCTGGTTCTGATGAGTCCCTTTAAACAAATTAATTTTAATATATGTTTTTATATTTTTAAAATATTTTTGATTACATACTGTTTTACTGAAGAACCAAAAATAAATGATGGTTTTGAAATGATTCCAACACCAATAAAACTTAATATAGTAGAAATTGCATCGATATATCCCCATTTTTCCTTGAGGACAATGCAAGCAAGTGCAGCGGTAAAAACTGGTGTGGTAAAACTAACACAAACAGCATCAGAGAGTGGTAGAACTGTAAAAGTGAAGAATACAGATGCCACGGCGAATGTACCAAATAGTCCTCGAACTGATAGGAGTAATCTTTTTTCTTTTGGACCTAAGGGATTAATTTTGAGAAAAGACAATATAATGAGGGACCCCAGTAAGCCAATTACACATCTGAAAAAAGCAATTTCAAGAGATTGTATTCCTCTTTTGGATAAAATATTGACTAAAAGTGACATAATGGCAAAGCAGAACGATGATATCACCATGTATATTAAACCAAGCTTGGATTTTAAATAATAAAAAATTCTTTCACCAAGTGGTTTCTGAATCAAGAATGTTTCTTCTGTTTCTTTTTCTTCCGGTCCATTTAATGAATAAATTGAGGTATCGGAATCCTGATCTTGTAATAGAGGATAGTTTTCTTCTTCTTCTATAGAAATAATAGAAATAGTTTCATTTGTCATTTCTTGATATTATTTATTATCTAATTTTTGTTTTATTAAATAAGTTGTTATATAATGAAATATATTTTTTTAAATAAAATAAATTAAACTATATTTTGAGTTTAATTGTAAATTGATCACAGAATTTATTTTAAATAATCGCCTAATAACAAACATTGAAAATTATTATATATGAGAAATAATAAAAAATTAATAATTGTTATAAAAATTAGATAATGAAAGTACCTCACGAGTGGAAATGGTGAAACGTGAATGGTGAATGGTGAATGGTGAAAGATAACTGTTGGTTTATCAATAATATATCCTAATTATAGCAATTTATCATATATAAGTGGGTGTTACTCGTTGTTTAGTGGTTAATAGATACAAAAAATAATTTTTTGGTGGTAAGAATAGTACTGTTTTTCTTTATTTTTTAAAATGAAATATTCATTAAGAATCAAAATGGAACATTGGAATACATATCTTACTTTGTTATCATATCTTCAAAAAAAAAAAAAAACTTATTTATTTTTTTTAATTTATTATGAATGTTATCTTATTTTTTTGTTTTGTTTTTGTTTTCAATAAAATTTAGTAAGAATTTAAAGAAATATTATTAGTAATATTAATACTTACAAAAGCACATAATATAATACAAATTGACCCAAATATTGAAAAGAGATCGGGACTTTCTTTAAAAAATATTATTTGCAAAATGTATGTAAATATAATTTCAGTGTAAGTTAATGGAGACATTTTTGCAACATTTTCAATTTGGAAAGCTCTATTTGCAGTTCCTTGGAAAATGAATCCCAATACGCCCATACAGAAAAGATAAAACCATTCAATAAGTGATGGAGCTCTCCATACATTTAAAATTAAACATACGGGTAAAAGTATTAACATTGCTATTGATTGATAATAAACTACCATTATAAACGGATTTGTATCTTTTCCGATCTTTCTTGAAAATACATTTGATACACTTTGAAAGAATGCTCCTAAAACACCTATTAAAATAAATAATATTCTCTTTCCTTGAGATATTGATTCACTATTTGTTTTATAAAGATAAACTTGAATCAATAAATATAATCTAGCTGAAACATTTTCCAATAACCAATAATCTTTGTCTTACTCTTTAGAATTACTTCCAAAAATAAATGATGGTTTCGAAATGATAAAAACACCAACAATACTTAAAATTGTACATATTGAATAGGTTTTTGTCCATTTTTCTTTTAGAATCGTTGATCCAAGTACACCAGAAAATAGTAAAGTTGAACAACTCATTGCAATAGCGTCACCCAGAGGCAATACACTGATAGTATAGAATATACATACCATTGAACCGGTTGATGATATTCCTCTGAATACCAAAATCAATCGTTTTGATTTGTCTCCAAGTGGATTCTCCCCAATCAAAAGTAAGAATATTATTCCACCCATCAAACCAATAACAGTTCTTAGGAGTATGATTTCTAAAATATGCATTCCACTTTTTACTACTACGCCTATCAATAAAGAGTAGATACTATAGATAAATGCAGAGCTAACTATTAAAATAAAACCTAATCTAGATTTTACTCTTTCTAAAATAGGTGTTTTAACTATTGGTATTTCAATATCAAATTCTTCTTGTACTTTAGCTTGTTGATATTTATTATCATCTTTGATATTATCTTTATCTTTATCATTCAGTATTTTTATTTGATTGAATTTGAAAGTAGTCTCCTGCAATTCGATATCTGAATTTGATTGTGAAACTGTATCTATAGACTGTAACAGTGTATTTGTATCTTTTTCTGGTTTGATAAATGGTTCGTTTGATATCATTTTCTTATGTAAAACTATGTTTCAAAACAGAGATAACAAATAAAATAATGCAATAATATAAAAGAATTTTTATTTGTACTTTATTTATAGTACGTACTGTTCCCATTTAAGATTTAATAAATGTAGTTAATTTGAATGACACAAGCTGACTTATAATTGTTAAAAAATTAAAAAAATAATAGGAAGTATATTATAAACAAAATTTTTAGATAACACCAGATTCTGCAAAAAAGGGGTACACTATAAAACAAAGTTTCGAAACTATACACAAAAGAAGTTGTTTTAATTATTTAATGATGTAAATAAATATTTTTATCATTTTTAAAAATGGAAGATGGTTTTGTTCTTGAAAAGATAGATAAAAAATCATGAACTATGTAGATCAATGTTATTTAGTTTGAAATTTTGATATTTATTGTATTTTCAATTGCTGCTGAATGGTGAGTCTTAAAAGGCGGAGGAAGATATTTATAAACTACAAATTCCAAAGAAGTAGATCTTGAGGAAGGAAAAGTTTTTATATTTTTATTTACTTTTATTAATTTTTAATTGCTGTTATCTTTATTTGAATAATTATTTATAAATTATTTATGTAAAAAAGTTAATAAAAATTTAAATAAAAATTTATTTTAATGCACTTACAACAGCACATAAAATGATACAAATTGAGCCAAATATTGAAAAGATATCAGGACTTTCTTTAAAAAATAATATTTGCATAATGTATGTAAATATAATTTGAGTGTAGTTAAGTGGAGAAACTTTTGCAACATTTTCAATTTGGAAAGCTCTATTTCCCATTCCTTGGAAAATGAAACCCAATACGCCCATACCAAGAAGATAAAGCCATTGATTTAATGATGGAGCTCTAAGTATATTTAAAAATAAACATACGGGTAAGATACTTACTACTACAATTGATTGATAATATACAACTAATACAAATGGATTTGTATCTTTTCCGATCTTTCTTGAAAATACATTTGATACACTTTGAAAGAATGCTCCTAAAACACCTATTAAAGTAAATAATATTCTCTTTGCTTGAGATATTGATTCACTATTTTTTTGTTAATAAATATCCAACATGAATCAATATAATACCCAAATTAATATTATCCAATAACCAATAATCGTTGTCTTACTCATTAACATTGTTTCCAAAAATAAATGATGGTTTCGAAATGATAATAACACCAACAATACTTAAAATTGTACATATTGAATTGATTGTTGTCCATTTTTCTTTTAGAATTGTTGATCCAAGAACTCCAGTAAACAAAAGAGTTGAACAACTCATTGCAATAGCGTCACCCAGAGGTAGTACACTTATGGTATAGAAGACACATACTGCACTAGAGGTAGAGGATAATCCTCTGAATACCAAAATCAATCGTTTTGATTTGTCTCCAAGTGGATTCTCACCAATCAAAAGTAAGAATATGATTCCACCTATCAAACCAATAGCACTTCTTAAAAGAATGGCTTCTAAAAAATGCATCCCACTTCTTATTACTACACCTACCATCAAGGAGTAGATACTATAGAAAAATGCAGAGGTAACTATTAAAATAAAACCTAATCTAGATTTAATAATCTCTAAAATAGATGTTTTAACTATTGGTATATCAATTTCAAACTCTTCTTGTACTTTAGCTTGTTGATACTTTTTATCATTATTATTATTATTATTATCTGTATCTTTTTCTAAACCTAATTGGTTGAATTCGAAAGTAGTCTCCTGCAATTCGATATCTGAATTTGATTGTGAATCTGTAACTAAAGAATGTAACAGTGTATTTGTATCTTTTTCTGGTTTTATAAATCGCTCATTTGATATCATTTTCTTATCTAAATCTAGAATATTTACTAATTATAATTAATCTATTCTTTTTTTTTTAGGATAAGGTAATAATTTTTATAAATGTTTATTTGTTTTCATTAAAATAAATAAAATTACACGTAGTTACCAACAACATTATAATTAAAAAAAATGAAAAAAAGGTGGTAATTTATTTATATCTCTCACACTATGTATTGATACATGGGATTAAATGAGTTTTTGTAAACTACCCCAGATGTTGTCTTAGACCTGCTTCATTATTAATCAATGCTTATTTTTGATTCTATTTTTCAAAATATATAAAATAATATTGTGATTTATTTGTTTATTGATTTATTTTAAAGTTCAAAACAATCATTTTGGGTGAAAAATGGTTAGTTTTAAATTTTTTAAAATTTTTTTTTTTTTTTTAAACAAAAACTTTGTTTTTTTTAATAACTCCATTGTTTCATTAATACACAAAAATACATAATTTATTTTAAAAAGTTTATAATATAAGTGATATGTTATAAATGGTGTGTGTGAATTTCACCACAAAAATATAAAATGAAATATATAAATTTTAAATTTTATTGTTTAAAATTTGCACTTCTATATATTAACAATATGCATAATTTACCATTACTACTTAGTTAATGGGTGAGTGTGTTGTTAGTGATAAGGATGAAGTAGTAATATTACTGCTAATGCGCAGTACTCTTTTGTTTTACTTACTTAGTTAATTAACTAACCATTGCATTAATTTATTACTTGGTCACAAAATTTTAACAATATTAGTAATAAATATATAAAAGTTTAAATTAATGGACAATAAAGTTTTAATAAGTAAAAACAACAACAACAACAATAATAATAATAATATTAATAATAATGATAGACATATATTTGTAAATTTACAACTTCATTTAATACAAAGAATAATCTTGGCTATTGATGATGATATTGATAGAATTTGTTTTAGTTTTAGTTGCAAAAGATGGTTTATCAATAGAAATAAATACCTTTTACTAAATTGTGATTTGTTTATTTTGAAATCAAGTTCTCATGTTTTGAATGAGAAGAGATTCTATTCTTTAAATTCATTCAAAGATATAATTTCTAAATCATTTGACCACAAAGAAATTGGTGTAGATTATAACCCGAAAAACAAAGGTCCATTTTCCACACCATACGGACAAATGATAACATTAGCCAACTATAGAAATTTAGGTAAGAACTAAACAACTATTAAGTATTTTTATTATTCTAACTCCTTTTGTTAGTATTTGCAAAGGACTATGAGTCCATTAGGTTCCTTTGTCATTGTTATTTGGAAATCCAGAGTGATATCGATGTTAAGAGCTATAGATTACCTTCGAATGTAAAGGAAGTAATTTCTATTCATGCCTTGAGAGAGTCGTTTCTGCCATTGGGATTGGAGAGGCTGGAGATCAATGTACAGATAAGAAATATAGATGTCGCACTGTTACCGAGATCATTGAAAGTACTAAAGATCAAAGGAATGCGATACGATTCTTGGACTATCGATTTCAGATGGCTGCCACCCAACCTTGAAGAACTAAAGTGTGTCGCAAGAAAAAGATATGACTCTGACAACTTCACCCAACTGCCTTCGACACTGAAGATCCTAACTATCTCAAAGAGTTGGTTAGAGAATATCAGTCAACTACAATCGATCCATACTCTTAGGATTGTCGTGCAGAGCAATGATACACGTCCATTCGAACCAGGTATCATTCCGGATTGTGTCAGAAATCTGACTATTAAAAGTTGTATCTACCGTAAGAACATTGCCATAGAGATACTACCACCAAACCTAAAGTATTTGAAACTGGTCAAATATTTCAATTTCAAAAAACATATATTCTCATCTCTGGCCAGTTTGGAAACATTGGATCTATCGACGGTGAATTTGGAAAAGAAACTTAAATTGGGAAAACTTCCTACCAAACTTGTCAATCTTTTCATGCCATCATGGTATCCGCATCAAATTAAGAATCTAAATATTAAAGGATTGAAATCTTTAGAGAGATTAGACTTGGGAGGATCGTTTGGTAAGGTCAAAGGGTTACCCAAATCAATCAAAACACTCTGCTTTAATAACGATAATAGATTGCTGATCTCTCGCAATTCAATACCGAAATCAGTGGAGACCATTCAATTCAAACAGAGTGATTTATCAATGGTTATGAACAAATCGTTTTGGCCAAATGTCAAGTCAATATGGACCAATTGTGATTTTAACTTTCCTAAATCAAAGACCAATGAAATTCCACAAACTATAACATCGATTACATTTGGACGTAGAAAAGGTCGAATCGACTATCAAGCAAGACGTCTTTCCGATCAATATTTTCTAGTGTTGGGATGCAACAGAGCAACCATTGTTCATTTCAAATTTTTATCAACTTGGTTAAAGTTATTAATTTATTAATGTAAATAAAAATTAATCTTAAACTATTTAAACACATTTACCCAAGTTATCATCGGATTGTTTGGGTTGTTTTAGATTTTATATAAAATTCTTGGAAGTTTTTATGAAACAGTCCGACGGGAATCAGAATGTTTTCTTTTTGATTTTGAAAGTGAATCGAGGAGTTTATTCCGATAATCTGTATGAAAAAAAAACAAATTTTAATTATGTTGACAGATTTTAAGTACAATCTTAAGATTATGCTTACCTTGACTAAATGTACTTGTTGATATAACATCACCAAAAAAATTCTCAAAGCTTGAGTTTTGTAAGATTAGAATTGCTTTCAAAAATTTCAGAGTATTTTGATTCCTCCAATTTTTGGTTTGTTTCGAGCACTTGGTATACGGTTTCTTACTTCTTGTTCCATCCTTGACTAACTCGTTCAATTGTTGAATCAGATCTCGAGCAATTTCCTGTCTCGATTGGGGCAATATCTCCAAATGTTGATACGATGATGTATTAAACTTTATGGAGTGAAAAATTTCCTCTGGGTCTGGAATCCTCTTCTCTTCTTCATTATAATCACCAACATCACTGTCATCCATTTCTCCATCAGATTCACTTGCATTGCCATCGGATTCTCCATCAGAGTCACTGTCATAGCCATCGGATTCACCTTCAGATTCACTTGCATGGCCATCGTATTCACCTTCAGATTCACTGCCATACCCATCGGATTCCGATAATTCCATATGATCATTCTGATTTTGTATTTTTGACATCAACGAATGAACTTTTATTTCCAATTCAGAAGACTGATCTTTTGAAAAAATGGTTTTTTTATATTTGATATCATCTTCTATAAAAGTGGCCAATTCTCCAAAAACATAGATTTCATCTGAACTGAAATCACATTTATCCTCAAACTTTCTTAAGATTTTTTTGATAAATTTGATGAGGAGTGAAGTTGGGTATAGGAATACTAATGAATTGCCATGCTCTATATTATTTATACTTAGTACTAAGTAAACTACACCATTTGTGAAATACTAATAGTATTCAAATCTTACCATTTGGAAAAAGTATATTTTTTTGATTAGAATCAAAGTACTTATAGTTACTTTTTAGTTTTTCCTTTGGGTTTGGTGTTTTATGCCAATTGAGGCATCGTGTGGTGAAGTAATAGCTTTTTCCTTTAGAATTTGTGTGAGATAATATTGCTATGTTACTCTTATTTCTGACAAAGATATATTCAACAATGTACTTTTTGGAAGCCATTACTATTTACACTCTATATATGAATATGTTTACTTTAAATGCAAACATTAGAAATATAGAAATGAATTAAAGATATAGAAATTAAATTAAAATAAAATATAAACCTTTGAAATGTATGATTTCACAACAAAATATATATTAAAAATAATTTCACACACCACACATATTAAATATTTAGTATTGTGGTGATGAAAAACACAACAATATATGTTTGTGTGATCTAATTCTATTATTTTTAAATAATTTTTTTTTTTTTTGTGAAATCTAAAAAAAGATTACAATGATTTAAGAAAAAAAATACAATCAGTCTAAAAAATTGTTTTGATAAAAACAAAAATATGAGAAATAAAAAAAAACTAAGTTTATAACAACAAAATAAGATATTTTTAAATAATTTTTTTTTAAATAAAACAAATCCAAACAAAGGAGTGAGGTCAGATAGAGAAAAATTGATAGTAACTAAATTTAATCAAACTTTTGTCTTATGTTTTACGAAATTTTTCTTTTGGCAATTTTTTTTAATTTAAAAGTAATGGTTGATTTTGAGACAAAAATCACTAGATTGCATAACAGTCTTAATGAGAATTTATACTAATAATGTTGTGAAAACAACAAAAACAACAGCAACAACAACAACAACAACAACAAATAAATTTTCAAAAAATTCTATTGCTAAAAATAATGACAAATATAGTAATAATGAAGATCATCTACTTGTCAATCTACCCTTTATATTATTAAATAAAATAATCAAAGAGTTTGATGAAGATATAGATATCATTTGTTTTAGTTTAGTTTGTAAGAGATGGTTTGATAATCGTAATTCCTATCTCTCGTTCAATTATGAACGATTCAGTTTAGTACATACTCGAATACTTAATGAGAGCAATAATCGTCACTTCACATTAAATTCTTATAGAGGTATTATCAAAAGATCTTTAAATAAAAAACAATCAAACTGTACACTTCTGGTCATCAAAAATCCTTTTAAAGAAGTTGCACTCAATACCTATAAAAGTATAGAATTTGATGAAGTTTTATCAGTTGGTAATATATTTATAATAACATTTTACAAGAATAGTTTAATAAACTTTACTAACATATTTAACCATTCTTTTTTTAATAGATGAATTCAAAAGTTATCAAGATATTCCAATACAATTCTCAACAATCAAATTCGAATGGTTCGAGTTTGATACCGAAATGATGATGAAACTCAGTAAATCGAATGTTCATACTATTTATTTTTCTGGTAGTTACAAGAATGGTGAAAACCGTCTGATTATCAAAGAAAGATTTCCGTCGAATATCAAAACAATCATATCTAATGGTTCAGCTGATTTAAATATGCATATATTACCATTAGAGTTGGAGACTTTAAATGATATTTCTTTACAATTAAAAGAATCACCATTGCCTCAATCTCTCAAATCTCTAAGACTAAATTCAACGACCGATTCATATTTCAATATCGATTCACTTCCACCCAATCTTGAGGAGTTTTATTTTTACTCTGATCGAACCGATGATGAAAATAAACAACTTCCTCCAACACTAAAGATTGCGTGTTTTAATACTTCTTGGTTGAAAAACATTAAATACTCGCAATCAATACATACACTTTGTTTGCATTTACATCAGTTAAAAGTTGGAGACATCCCAGAGAGTGTCACTCACCTAACGATTTCAAGTGGCTTCTATATTATGATAACAAAGGAGATGCTTCCACCAAATATCATATATCTCAGCATAAAGGAACGGCCAATTCTTCAAGACAATATATTTTCATCGTTTGAACATCTGGAAACATTGAATCTATCTGGTTTGGACATGAACAGAGTCAAACCATTCGGTGTACTACCGAAATCTCTTAGGAATCTATATCTTCCTAAATTCTTCAATGAGAGACTTGATCATTTTATGGTATTACCTCCATCACTAGAGTTTTTGGATTTCGGTTACTCTTTCAATAAGGATATTAAAGTGTTGGCCCAAACATCGATCAAAACTATAGCTATTTCCAGAGAAATGAAACTAAATCGTTGGTCACTTCCGAAATCAGTAGAACACATTGATTTCAAAGAATTTACAGCGATGATTTCACCAGAATATATAGCGCCGACCATTAGATCGATATCATTATCCGGATATTATTCCGATAATCTGGTCTTTGTAATTCCACAAACATTAACTTCAATCAACATTACAAAGCTAAGTGGTTGGGAGAATATTGAATTTAGAGCAAGAAGATTATCTGAACAATCATTTCTATTATTTGGTACAAATCATCTGAGTATTGTGGCAACAATTAGAAATTCTATTACAATCAAAGATCCATCCTCTTCCCTTCAGATAAAATCTGTGGGACCAAACTACCTTTTAAATAAATAATCAAAACAAAGAAAATAAGGCCTACAGATAACGTTATGTTTTATTTTAATTTTACTTTTTTTTCAAAATAAATAGTCAACCGAAGTTTCTTCTATAGCTAGTTTCTTTTAAAAAATAGTTTCACAAAAAGATATAACAATGTTTTATAGCAAAGAGATAATAATAATAATGAAGATCATATACTAGTAAATCTACCAATTATATTAGTAAATAAAATAATCAAAGAGTTTGATGAGAACATAATCAAATTGTTCATTCCTAATCATCAAGAACTATAGACATAAAATATAAAAGTTTCGATTTTGATGATACTCTTTCATATGGGAATATTTATATTATTGCACCAAGATTTACAACCATCATTTTTAAAGAGTGGTTCGATATTGATGCTGAAATGGTTTAAAAACTCAGCTTTTTGTGTTGTCTTACTCCTGCTGATACCTTTGATTGGAGTAGTTTGCCTGCGAATGTTAAATCTATAACTTCAATTCTAATGCCTAGTAAAACAGATATGTTACCTCGATCGCTCAAATCTCTATTGGTTAGACAACCAAAAACAGATTTAGATATCGGTTCACTTCCACCAACACTTGAAGAACTGAGATGATGTATCCGAAAGAAATCAGCAACTACCTCTAACTCTCAAGACTGAATTCATCTCATCTGCTTGGATGAACAACATTAGATATTTACAATCATTACACACCTTGACTATAAATATCGCTTACCACAGCAAAGCGATTAAGGTTGGCGACATCCCAGAGAATGTAACTCATCTAACCATTTCGTGCATCTACCCTATGATAATTGACAATACAAAAGATTCCACCAAACATTAGATATCTAGATTTAGTCTCTAATGCATTTATAAGAGAGAATCTGTTTTCAGAGTTCGAACATTTGGAAACGTTACATCTCTCCTATTTACAATCATCAGCCAATGATGTTGTAGGTGTATTCTCAAACTCACTTAGAAATCTATATCCTCTAAGGTTTCTAGAAAAAAGATTAGAGAGTTATACTGTATTACCTCTATCATTAGAGCTATTGGCAAACATTTTTACTACTATAACTTTAAATGATTCAACAAACATATTAAAAATAAATATTCTTTAAAACTTGTCAAAATCTTTTTTGTCAGTTCATAATAAAGTTATAAATAAATTTAAAAGTTTACAAATTTGTGATCAACAATAAAATCTTAAAGGAGCAGGTAAATAATTTTTTATTTTTTTTTGATTTTTCAAATCTAACACAATCTATTCTATTGGCTAATATTTATAGTTGATCTGACAACAATCATCAGTTTCAAAGTTTATACAGGGGGTGGTGTGATTAAACCAATGTGGTATTCCCCCAAAATTACTCATCTTTTTTTTGAATAGCATGAAAATCGTATCAATTTTAAAGTAGAATTGGGGTTTAAATGTGGTGAAGTTTTAAAAAACAAAGGTCAAAACTTAAATAAATAATATAAAAAGACACTATTTTATTTCACTATTTTTTAGCGGATGATAGAATAAATTAAAGTTGTGTAAATTTAGTGTGTTTGGTTACTGATGTTTTCGATAATAGATGAAAATTTATTTTTAATAATTTTCTATATATACTCTTTATTCATTATCACTAAAAATATATCATATTTCTTTGGTTTTTTTTAGAGATCTTACCTTTATTATGTGTTGAAATTCAATCACTAATATTTTTGAGGGATCAATACAACAACCAAATTAGTGTATTGTCAACGTTGTCTACTTCTTGAAAATTTTTATTATTGAAATTTTATTGGATCAAAATTTATTAAAATAGATTAAAATACAAAAAAGCATATTATTCAATTTAGATTAGTTACAACATTTATAAATTTATTTCTTATTTTCATAGTCAATAAAAATGACTTCTTTAATTCAATTCAATCATATTACTAAAAACATTGTTAAAGTTGGTGAATGCTCCATCGATTTTAATCAATGTCATTTTATTACTAAACAAGATCTGGAAATACTTATTAGAGAATGTTTGGAATTTAAAAATAAACCTTACACTCTCATTGACGTAAGAAATAGAAAAGAAGTAGAAGAAACTGGAAAAATTGAAACTGCTTACAATCTTCCATGTAAGAGAAATTAAAAGATTTCTAAAACGATAAAGAAAAACTAATATTAAATTTTCTAAAATTTACAATAGTGGATGAAATTGAATCATGTTTTTCTCTGGATGATACAAATTTTGAATTAAAATATTTGTTTTCAAAACCACAACCTACAGGTATTTTTTGAAAACAAATAGATAAAAAAATACAAATTTATTAATAGGTTTTTTTTGTTTTATTTTAGATAATTTAATATTCTATTGTCTAAGAGGAAGAAGATCAGGTATGGCAATAGAAAAATTTAAATCAGCAGGTTATCTCTTTTTAATTAATTACAGTGGCTCTGCCAAAGAATGGTTCAATTTAGATATTTGAAATCATTAATCAAATTAAATAAAATTTATAAGATTTTATATTCTTGTACAGTGACCTATCTATTTTGTTATTTATCAAAAAAAAATTTCAAAGAAATGTTAACAAATTGCAAACAACCTTTATCACACTACAAATTTTTTGATTATTTTTTACATAGTTTAGTTTTCATCTAAAAGATAACATGTAATAAGAGAAATCAAGTATCTATTTTAAATGATATGTTTTCTATGAAAATTGACCCTGTTACAGAGTCGTTATCTGAGTCAATCTCTTCATCGGAAACAATGTCTTCATCGGAAACAGTCTCATCATCGGCTTCAACTTGGATGTTAGTCGATGCCTGGCGAAATGGATATTGGAAAATGGAAGGCTTGGTTACGGCAGCAATGAATGCATCGTCACGGTTAGCATTAGACTCTGGAGATTTGGTGAAATCCTTGTGATTTCTGGAAATAAAAGAGAAATATTGGTCACAGTGTGACTTCCCATGTTTCTCGGCAAAGTATTTTATTTAAAGTTAATCTTATTAAAAGAAAAAATTCAATTATTATGAATGACATTCGATCAAAAATAAATTAAATAGAAAATAGAAAAAAATTAATGTTGTTATAAAAAGATAATATGTTTAAGTTCTCTTCAATCACTTATTCTTTTATTTGCTTTTAATTTATTTTCTGTGATGTATTGAAGTATGTTGTTTCTATTGAATTTCTTTGCGTTGTGGAATGTTTGTTCTGTAAAACCTTCGGTTCTATTCTCTATTAGATATTTGAAAACTTTGAGGTGACCACCTTTAGCGGCATCGTCATAAGCAGATGAAGTACAAACTTCTGTTCGATTTTCACTGAGGAATCTAACAATCGAGAGATAACCACAACTTGCTGCAATATCGAAAACAGTGGTATCACACTCAGTAATCAAATGGTTATAATGAAGGAATTTAAGTATTGCAAGGTTACCTTCTGACACTGGATGATACGGTAATGAGGAATTGGTACAACGATGAAACATATTGGTGTGTAAATAATCTGCGATGTCAAAGTATTGGAATCGAATTGCCTGAATGAAAGCAATGTCCGAACAACCTTCGGTCGTATTCTCAGCGAGATATCGAATCATCTCCAAGTTGTTTTGGCCAACTGAAAAGTCGATAGCAGCGGTGCTACATCCCTCACTACGATTCGCATGGAGGAATTGAACCATCTCGATGTGATTGCTGCTGGCGGCGTTATCCATTGCCCGTTCAGAGCATTTGGCATATCGGTGATTCTCATGAAGATACTTTAACATTTGCAATTACCATAGGATGCCACTCCATTCATTTCATTCACACCGATGATTCCAGGTTGTGATATCGCTTCTCTATTGAAAGTGCGTAGCAGTTCAATGTTACCATCTAACACTACCACCTTAATAATATTTTTAATTAATGGTGATTAAATAATTAATTGTCATCTGTCTATATTAAGATGCGCTTTGATTGTATCGGATTGGATTGTGTTGGATTGTTGGATTTGAGTTGAATTGAGACGGATTAATTTTGATTTAAATTAATGGTCTTGGTCTTGATCTATCAAATTCATTTGAAATACTTGATGATGTATCCTTTGGATCCATTTTGAAACCATTCAACATTTCCATTGCAATTGCCGCAGATGGAACACCTCTGAAATCACAGAAACAAATTGGATACTTTCCATCTCTTTGAACCAATCTAACATTTAAGAATCCTCTCATAAATCTGAAAAGAATTGATAATTCCTAATTTTAAAATGAATAATAATTAAATTAGTTAAATGGGTTGTATATAATTTGTAATAAATAATAATACATACTCTTTCAGTTACATCTTTTGGAAGATTTGAAAAGAATAGTGTGGTATTTGCATCTTTCATATCGAAATTCTGACGTGGTGGAATGAAATATGGCATTGTTGGATCTGGATATGCACCATGATGATGTGGTAATGGTGGTGCTGCCATTGATCCATGGAAATCTCTTTTAGCTGGATATGAATCTCTTTCAAAATGTCTATATTTTGTGATTAATATAATATAGGATGATGATTTAATTGATTGATTGATTAATTGAATATTATTACATACGAATCTCTATATCTTCCACGATCCTTTTCGAATCTATCAAAATCGCTAGTCTTTTCTTATCTGAATCACTGTGTAATGCAGATAATGATAATGAAGAAGAGGTTGAAACGTGAAGATACTTCATCCACGTTTTCTATGTTTATCATTACGATCTGAATCATCATGATCATCATGATCATTGTTGTTATTGGAATGATAACGTGATGATTCATCACGATCCTTTGAATAAGATGATGAATCTTTATCTGAAGAGGTATCCATGTAATCTGCACCAGTTCTCAATACCTCTCTATGACTGTGACTACCACTAATACCACCACTGTGACTATGATGACTATCAGAGTTTCTACCTCTATCTAAATCTCTATCTCTTGTATCTCTTAAATCACTACTATCTCTGTATGATGATGAAGATGATGACGATGTTGTTGATGCAGAAGATGAGAAATCATCTCTTGATCTTGGGTCCTTTAATTATTAATAAATATTGAGATTGAAAATTGATGTGTTTATAGTTGTTATTATTAATATATTATTCTTATCTAATTCTGTAATTTTTAAAATAAACTAACTAAAACTAAACTATAACTAACTAAACTTAAACTTAAAACTAACTAAAACTAAAACTAACTAACTAAACTAATTATATTTTATATCTTTGTTATCCACTATTTATCATTATTATCTTTCTAACTAAACTAATTTAATCTATCTTTTTAACTAAATATTCTTTTGAAATAGTAATATATATATATTCGACTATTATATATTTTATTTAATATCATAAATATCAATAGTATTCAAGTTTAAATAGTTGTGGTTGCAGTTGTAGTTGTTAGTAAAGAAATGAGTTTTTTAATATATATATATATTCTAGTATAAAATAGTAAAAGTTGTTAGATTAATTATATCAATATTCATATACATATATAACATAAAGAAAGAGACTAGTTATGAAATTAGAGAATAAACAATAATGATAAATAGTGAATTAGATAGATAGTAAAGATATATATATACTATGATGATGATGATGATTGTGGTGATTATGAAATGATGAATTATATTGATTAATTACTTTATCGAAATCTATGACTAATGGTTTATCTAATGGATGATGTCTATATCCATTATGTCTTCTCATTGCACTTGTTGCATATCCACTATCTTTAAACTCAACAAATGCAAAGAATGGTTTCTATAATAATAATAATGAATTTGATATTAGTTGGTTATTGTAATATGTTATAATATTGATATTAATTAGAATAAATAAACATACTCTTCTAATTTAAACTTAACCAGGTAACATTCTAAATAAGTTTTCAAATTCATCATTTGAGATAGTTTGTGGAATATCTCTAATGAATAACACTTTACTTGGTGGTGCTCTTGCTTCCATTCTCTACTTCTAATCAAATTTATATTTCTATTATTTTATGTATACTATACTAACTTATCTGATAAATGTCAAAGATATAATAATTAATTGAGAGCAAATTCATTCTATTTTTTTTTTTTAATTTTTCTATTTTTTTGGAATTAATCTTCAAGAGGGATAGAGGGTTAGAGGTCAGGGTTAAAATTAAAAGAGTGATATAATAATAATTAAGGGAATTTGAGATTTGTTTATTTTAGTTGATTGTTATTTTGTTAGAGATGTGGTACAACTCCAGCTAAAATATTCAATCAAAATCATATGTTATACCTTAACTAACTCAACAAAACCGCTTTTAAATATTGATAACAGTAAATCTTTTAAAATTGTAGTTCTTTTAGTAAAAATCACTGGTCGTTTTGTTAATTATACTTTTATATTTTCAGATATGACATCAGATATTATTATGTTTTATTTTTATATAAACTAATTCTGAGATAGGGAAGTATTAAGAATAGTTATAAAAATCTGCTTATTGTATAATCGGTATAATTGTAGATATTTTTATTATATGAACTTTTGTTCATTGAGGGTCAGAGTAGGGTAGAGGTAGGGTGTGGTTAAAAATTAAAAGAGGAATAAAAATTTTAATTTATTTTATTTATTATGTGTAGGTTTGTTATATTATTTGAGATGTGGAAAGTCTGTAAATTTTTGTTCAACTATGTTTGTGCATTGGTGCTTGTAGTTTGACTTGTAAACTATTTTACACTCTGCTTCATCTTTGAGACAAATGAAACAAAAAACTTTTTTGTTACATTTCGGGTTTTGACAACTGTGATATTTACATTTTTCATCATAGGCACCTGGGGTGAAACATGAAGGGCAACATCTGCGATTCGGTATTTTAATATTTTGGTCATATGCCAATGGTACGAGTTGGTATGTTATCAAAGTCTTATAATTACAACCATCGCTACAATAGTATTGCTCATTCTTCATTGTACTTGCATTCCAATCACGATTACAGAAGAAACAAAAGTCTCTTGCACATATTGGACATTTTTGTTGTGAGTAGAGAGTCTCGTTGATATCGAATGTCCCACATCTACATATCTGGCAATTGATAAAGCTGATATGCTCTAGTGTATGTCTGAATTGGGTTACTGCTGCACTGAAATCCTTGTTTTTGAAGACCACCTCACCTAGTTCAACTAATTTGGTGCAAGTAGGGTTATCAGCATTTCCAAAACATTTGTATTTGGCATTGTTGTGCTTGAAATTGGCTTTGATATGGTCATCACAAACACGAGCACAACACACTTTGGCACAGAGCTCGTTGGAGAAACACATCTCACAATCTGTTTGTACCTTATCTCGACAGTTTTTTATATTGGCATCAAACTCATTTAGTAGGATGTCCAAGACAACTGAAGGATCGATCATTCCACCTCCAAGCAGCCTATACAGTATGAAGATATTGCAACCATCTTTGATAAGATATCTAGTCTTCTCGTATTCCTTGTCATCTTTCAAATTGATCTGTTTTGAGCAGACAACGAATCTGAGATTATCAACATTTTCACCATCATGTAGTACCTTCCTAGCCAGTTTTCTAAACTCTTCTCTTGATGGGCGAGGAGCGATTTGAAAGCATTTAGTTGATCCATGATTTTCAACAAAGTAAATATTCTCCATTTTAATAAAATATATATATATAACAATAATTATAGAAAGATAATTAATTAAATAAATAAACAATAATAATATTATTATTATTATTAATAATAAAATAAATAGCATATAACAATCAATAAGCAATTATTTTTTAAATATAATCTAATATTTATTTGGGAATTAAATAATCAATTTCCATAAAAAATGTGTGGTGTTGGAAATTAAAAAATCAATTTTCTAAATTATGTAAAAAAATTGATGTTTTTATTCAACCAAGAGTAGTGATATGGTTGAGAAGGCAATCACATTCTTTGATACAGTAAATGGTATAAAGAACCAACAAAAAAGGTAATAACTGTAATATATATATAACTGTAATAACTATCATAAATATAATAATAATTAAAATAACAACATAATATATTTCATATAAATGATTGAAATATTTAATAGTGTGGGTTGATGTTTGTGTCTGATGGATATTTGGAATTAGTATTTATATAATAATAATTAAAAACACTTTCCAAGTCCGATTTTTATTTGTTAAACCAAAATAAGGAAATATTCACTTTTATCACATTTTATTTGTTTGTTTGATTAATAATAAATAATAATAGAGCAATTCTTTGTTGTTATTGTTGAAGTTGTTTTATTGGTGTTAGATAAAAATACAATATGTTTTTTTAATAGTCAAATTTCTTATGAATTCTAATTGAGAGGAAAACTTTACCAGTCTCTTTACCCTTACTATCAGTTATTGTATAGTATTTATCAACTGGTCTGTATTCAGTTACTTCATTGAGATTGATAATGGCAGAACCGATAAAGTCATCCTTGATGAGGTCCTTGTCCCACATCTCTAAATGTAGTTCAGTACGTTTCTGTACATTCACTCTAATGAAACCTTCCTTGAACCAGAAAGGACTGAGAGTCTTCTCTTTTACATCGGTTGTCATCAACCATTTCTTTCCAATGAGTCCTGGAATAGCTTTTCCAATTCTACAATAACCATCTGCTAAACCATTTGGATCCTGTGCATATTTAATCTCTCCACTTCCAATTGTAAACTTGTAAAGGATGCAACCCTCGAACTTGGTACCCTTATAAGTCTTTGGTGCATCTGATTTTATACAATCGAAATAGAGATCTAAAGTTTTTGAGTCTGCATATCCATGATCTTTAATATGTTTTCTTAGAATTAAGTTAGCTGCAGTTGTATTTGATCCCATAGTTCTATTTATTTATTTTGTTATATATTAATAGTTAAGATAAAATATATTTGATAAAATTTTTTAAAACAATTAGTGATACCTTTTCAGATCAATAAAAGCCAACAATTTTTGATTCAAAAAAAAATCGATATTTTTTCTGATATTTTTTGGTGGATCGTTATTTGGTGGATGACCGTTGGTGTGGCGAAACTGATACAAAATAATTCAAAGAATTTTCAATTTCAAAAAGCAAGAGAATAAATAAAAATTCTTATTTTTTAGAAAGATTCAATTAACTTTATCTTAATTGTTAAAGTATTCTACATTTAAAATCTTATAAAGATAAATGTTATTATCTATATACATTAAAGATCAAATAAAGTTAAAACTTAAAACTTTAATTTTTATTAACTTTGTTTTTAATGTATTTAATTATACTTATTATTTTAAATATTATTCGTATTTGAAAATATAAATGGATAATTATTTCTTTTCATATATATGATTGTTAAAATTGATCAATTGCAAAATTTAAAAAAATTAATTTTCATATCATCATCTTAAAAATTTCTAAAGTTAAAACCTTGGAACTCAGTTTTTTCGTTTTATAACTGGCGATCATTGATATGACAACAACACACAAACGATTATGATCAAAAGATTATAGTTAAATAACATGTCAAACAAAGAGAATAATGAACATCATTTACTAGTAAATCTACCATTTATTTTATTAAAGAGAATCATTGTCGAGTTTGATGAGAACATAGATATCATTTCTTTTAGTTTAGTATGTAAGAGATGGTTTGATCATCGAGATAAATATCTATATTTCAACACCAAACTATTTTCAAGATTACACAATTCATCATTACAAGATACCGATAACAAGTGTTTTCTATTGAACTCCTATAGAAATGCATTTTCTAAATCAATTGATCAAATATCAGATTGTACACTCTTCATAAAGAAAGAGGATAGCGAAGAATATGAACTTTATACAGATTATACTAAAACATTAGGTATGCAAAGTTAAAGATATCTATCTATTTATGTTGATCAGGAGACTAAGTAACGGCTATCTATTAAATATTAAAGATGAATTCAAAAGTAGTGTTTTAGATCCTGCAATCTCAACGGTTCTTTTCGAAGATGAGATGGACTTGGATGCCGACACTATCGAGAAACTAAGACGATCTAACGTACATACAATTCAATATATGTATGAAGAGTTTAGAAGGTTCCCATTCAAAAACAAATTGCAATTGCCCTCCAATATCAAAACGATCATAACGCAATCAGATTTAGATCGATCGATTTATCCAGAGCAATTGGAATCACTGGATATCACTACCAATCAAGATACAATCGATGTATCAGTTCTACCTCGATCACTCAAACATCTTGCCGTCTATGGTCTTTCCAATACCAATGAAGATTTCAAAGTGATACCACCAAATCTAGAGACATTTCAATTTAAAATTCAGCATATCAATGCTTTGGTTGATAGTTTTATGTTCCCATCAACACTAAAGGTTGTCGCAATACCGATTGAGTGGCTGAAGAACATCAAGAACTCACATTCCATTCACAAGCTTAGTTTGCATGCAGTCAATCACTATGAGGTGATCGAAGCTGGTGATATTCCAGAGAGTGTAACTCATTTGACCATCAATGGTAAATCTGTAGCCAGTTTGGAAATCCACAGAAACCAATTACCTTCGAAGCTTAGATATCTAAAGTTAATGAATAGTGCTAGTTTCGACAGAGATTCATTCGCATCATTGGAGCATCTGGAAACATTGGATCTATCCAAACTATACAACTCCAAAGATATTGCTACTGTTACTTATCCAAACAATTTGAAGAATCTCTACCTTCCAAACTCTATCGATGAAACTAGTGTGGTGTTTCCCCCGTCATTGGAACTATTGTCTGCTATCGGTATGAATTATTCGCTCATTCCAAAATCAATCACTCATTTAGATTTCAATAGAATTCCACCAAAATTGGTATCATCGGATATTGTTAAACCAAATGTAAGGCTAATTACATTTATCAAGCATTTAATAAGTAAAATTCCACCAACAGTCAATACAATCACTCTAAAAGAGTTATACGATGATGAAAATATCCAATACAAAGCACGTAGATTATCTGATCGTTCATTCCTTTTACTAGGAAACAATCAAACTGAAATCGTTGCATCTATTTATTACTTAAACCCTTAAATTATAAATAAACCAACAAGTATATTTTAAAATCATATTTATTTCTTTTTCTAAATTTTTTTATTGTTTTTTTTTTTAATAGTTGTTTAGCTTTTACAATACAACACCAAATCACAATTATTATTGTTGTTAACTAAAAATATATTATTGATAAATAACATTATTATGTCTTGTCTTGATATTATTTGCTTTAGTCTAGTTTGCAAGAGATGGTTTGATCATCGGAATAGCTACCTATCATTCAATTATGATTACCTGGATAAATCAGCAAGAGATAAACTACTTTAAGATATTACATTTTTTACATTGAAATCATACTTAAATATCTTTCAGTCATCTATAGATCATTTACCTAATTGTTTATAATCACCAACATCTTGGTAAGTATTTCTATTCTATCTAAAGCATGATCTAATGATTACATAGTTATCTAACATTCTTTCTTATTTCAGACACTGTTAAATATCATAAATCAGTTAGGTTATTGTGTGATTATCAACTACCAGATGAAATAGATAGATTACCTTCGAGTGTCAAAGAAATAATGTCACATTACTTTATCAAAGAATCGATATTACCTTTAGGTTTAAAGCGTTTGGATTTAGATATTATCGATAACTTCGCAGGCAAGTTTTATTTAGATGTATCGCTTTTACCTCGATCTCTCAAAGTTCTAAAGTTATCACCTTTTTCAAATCGGATATCAACATCGAAATGTTTCCCCCCACCTCTTGGAGTTAAAGTTTGTTTTATTCGAAAATAAAAGTTGTGCTGACGACAATAATATATATAGTGCACAACTACCATCGAGAGTTAGTCTAATATTGGAGATGGATGAGTCTAACGGTAATTATTAATTAACATTAAAATTTATATTCATATTTTGTTAACTGACCGCCTTGATTTCATTGAGTATAGATGAGTAACTGTCAAGTATACAATGTTCATTAGTATTGTAGAGATACAGAGAGTATTGCTATGATATAATAATAATTTACATTTCTTTGTTTTGATCGATCAATACAATCGACGCTATCGACGTAGATTCAATGATAATACTCTTAAAGTGAGTAAAACCTAAACTGATGATGTTTTGTTTCACGTAGGGGTCGACTCTTGAAAGTGGTTCCAAAATATTTGATAGGAGTCTAACCGATTTCTTAAAGTTTGACCAAAGTGATTTGAATGAATCGAAAAGTTCTTCGTTTGTATATGATACACTAGTGTTGAATTGCTCTGATCTGGCCATGAACAGATAGTTTTCAATGGTCGATTTAATCTCTTCGTAGAGAGTTTCGGGTAGGTCTGGCTTATTATTATTAATTGTTCCCGCTACGTAATCATATATATTTTTGTAACTAACCATATACTCTTTGGGTGTTATATTGGAATTGTCTAAAACTAACCTTACACTCTCTAAGCACAATATTCTTTGGTTTTCAAAATCTGTCATTACCAATTTTCTATCTAATTATAATAAACAAAAAAAAAAAAAAAAGAGTTATATTTTATTTTTAATTAAAAAAATACAAATGTAAAAAAAAAAGAGTTATATATTTTATTTTTAATTATAACGAACTTCAAACCACTTCTTTTACAATACTAATAGATATCTTTTATTATATATAAATATAGTAATGTCAAACGTTGATAGCGACAGTACAAATGTTAAACAACAATTGATTAATCTACCATTTATATGATTAATAAAATAATAAACGATTTAGAAAACAACTACATTATAGTTCTAGATAGAATCATTCTTAGTCTTGTTTGTAAAATATTGTTATATAATCGTGATAAATATCTACAACGGAATGCTTTGATTTTAAGAGGTTTCGATATCTATAAAAACTTTATATTCAAATCATACAAAGATATATTATTAAATCATTAAATCCATTCAAAACGAATCAATATATATATATCAAGTTTCTAAAGATATTACAGTTTAGAGATGATATCGAATCACTCCCACCCAATCTTGAAGAGTTCATTTATCACTCGAGAAACAATCTAACGCTGACAAGCAAAATGATACGCCTCACATCTAAAGATTCCTACACAAAATATGCATTTCAAAACCATTAAAACCTAAAAATATACTAGGTTGATTACTAATAAACAAAATCTTTTTATTTGTAAATTTGCTAAATATTTACTAAGATTAATCATGGAATAAAAACAGCTCCATAGTTATATTTGATAATTTCAATTGCACGTTCTTTCCGTGTGCCACTTAATGTTTGTAGTAATGTGTTGATGTATCCTGCCAAAGTAGGAGCTTGACTCTCCATTGAGAGGAATGTAACCAGAGCTTCAGTTGGTGTGATTCTATTGGATCCAGCATTATAATCGCTTTGTTCTTGTGTTCCAAACCAAGTTTTATCAACTTGTTTTGCCAACTCCTCTTTGCCTTTCGTATCACTATAGGTCTTTATAAAATTGTCAATTTCAACTGCAACTTTTTTGCTATCAATGGAATCATTCTCCTCATCAACCAAATCGTTAATCATCGCTGCAATTCTACCTTCATCATTTGCCAACTCCTTGCGATGACATCCATAATTTTCAACATTGAATTGACCATTATTTTCGCCAGTGTTCCATAGAATCTCATCGGCATCTCCAGGTTTGCTGAACTTTAACAATGTGCTCATGATGACACCGAACGCCGAAGCATATCCTTCTGACCAAGCCAACGTGAGTGGTTGGGGTTCGTCATCGCAATTTCCATGACTTGCTGTTGGAGATAAAAATTCTTTCTTTGCATTCTCGTAAACGATATGCTGAACATAATGACCATATTCATGAGATAACACACTTGGTATCCATTGATAACCATTTCCAATCTCCATGACTCCTTCTTTGGCATCCATTGCTGCTTTAAACTTGTCATTCAACTGAACCAAAATCTGTTTGATATTCGCGACACCAAGATCGTTAATAGTGCTCATGGCCAGCTTTGTCAGCACGGAATATGCCAACATATAGCCATTGTCTGGGTTTATTTCTTCACCAAGACCATTGATTATAGGTGATACATCTGCTTCGCCACTAAACGTATATATAATGGATAACTCTGATGTTTTTCTGTTTACTTTGTTTTCTTTCAATACTATTGTGTACTTTTTGACTAAGGTATCAACCTCACCATCCTCCACCAACTCGTAATTTTTGCCTTTCTCTGGCTTTATAACATCCAAATCCGTACTTGTCAAATATATATACGGTCCAACTGTGTATACCTCCAAAACAATGTCAACTAACGCCCAATGTCGCTCACTTTCTTTGTCTCTGGCTGCACCTTTTTTAGGTGATCGTTTGTTTTTGGCAGTTTCTTTATGTTTACGATGAGCCATATCGATGCTTACTCTTCCATGCCATTTTCCATTGGCATCCAAATTTCCGTTGTTTATTCCTATGGTGCATGCTACATCACATGAAACTTTTGCTGCGAATTCGGCATGTGCAACAGGAATTGTAATAGACTTGTCAGGTGACTGAAATCCCAATTGAATAGACAGTGGCCATTCAAACGCTCCTTCAATCTCTTGATCCGAATCTCTTGGACTGTGGTCTCCTCTGGTTGGACTATGTTTATGATCTCTTTTCGGGGTGGGATATGGTTCTACAACCTTCCTTTTTCTCGTATTTGTTTTTCCTGCATCACTTATACCAGTAAAAACTAATAATATAAATAATAATAATACAATATAAATTAGTTTTAATTTGTAATCCATCTTTTATAAAATAAAGAAATGATTGGTCACAACCAAATGTTATTATTTATTCAAGTGAGGGATGAAATTTGTAGTTTAAAAAAATTGGCTCATTTTTATTTTACGTATTTGATTTTTTTTAAAAAAAAAATAAAAATCAAAATAAATTAAAAAATCGGGTCCATGATTTACTAATTTTTTTTATTTGTTGTTTCTATCGATCTTGTTTAACAGCACCTATGTTCAAGATTGAGATCTTTCTAGAGCATTGCCGTTTTCTGTAAAGTTCTATCTAAAGGATTATTTTTAAAAATTAAATATATAAATAAATATCAGTACATTTTATAAGGATCAGTTAACATATTTGAATTTGTAAATTAGATTAAAAATATAAAAAATGTGTAATATATTTAAGAAGTTTAGACAAATAATATTTATTAACTTTTTTTTTAGATTGTTAAATTTATCTTTTTTTTATTTAATTGTTCTTACTATTGTTAATTCAAAAAATTTAGAGCAAGAATGGAGCAGCCAAGACTACAGAGGCAGCTCCCATGGCGAAAGCTTTCATGCTATTGGAAGCAGTGCTACCAGCGTGACAAGTGAGAGTGGTACCTTCATTGCAATCACCACAGTTTTCAGAGAGTGAAATACCAGCGAGTTCATTTGAACAGGCATCCATTGAAGCATAGACTGTTCCAGAGACAACACCACCATCAATTGAGTCAATGTAATAGGCTCTTACAATTGGGATACCAGCGCAAACATCATTGAAAGTGCTATAAATTAATTTAAATATTGATATTAATTTTTTATTTAATTATTTATTTCCAAACAAATTAATTTTTAATTTTAGATACTTACTAACATTTACCCAATGGGACGGTTACACATTTAACAGTACCTGATGAACCACAAGGTTGGACTAAACCATTTGAACATGGAGCACATAATTCAATGGAACTGGCAGAAGCACAGGCAATGAAAGCCAAAACTAAAAGAATTGCTGAGATTTTGAACATTTTATTTTATTTGTTTATTTATAAGTAAGAATCTAAATATTGTTGAATATTTTTTTATAATTGATATTGAATTGTTAGATGAATAATAATCTTCCTTGCAAGAGTCTATTTATATTCATTCATTTAATTGCCTCATTAGGTTGAGGGATCCTTACGAAAAAATGAGGGATAAAATCAATTTTGCTTATTTTTTCATTTCTTCATTTCGTAAGAAATCTGGTTTTTTTTTTTGAAAACTACGATGTTTTTTTGGAATCAAAGATACTTTGAAAAAAATAGCAACAATGCCTAATACAGATAACAACGATTTACATCGATTTGTAAATCTATCATTTCTACTATTAAATAAAATACATAGTTTTTTAGATGAAATCATAGATCGAGTCTCTTTCAGTTTAGTTTGTAAAAGATTGTTTGATCATCGAGATAAATATCTTTGGTTCAATTCAAAATACTTTTTGAAATCAAATTCTTTGGAAATTAATAATAGAACGTTTAAATTGAATTCATACAAAGAGTTATTCCAAAGATCATTGGGTAACAATACAAATCAAAAGCATTTAGTACTAGTTGCAGAGACTACAGGTATCAAAGAATACAGTGATTACTTTTCTTTTCTTGACTATTCTGAACCATTCCTTTATACAGTCGACACTATTAATACTTTTTGTATGTAATCTACACTAATCTTCTCAACTCTATTTATTTTAATGATCACTTTATTAATCAATTTGTTCGACTTTTATTTAGATATCAGAAATGAACATATTGATATGTTAAGAAATATCAATGCATATTCATTTTGTACTTCACATAATTGTCAATTTCAAGACAACATTAGATTTCCACCGAATATAAAAGAAATCAAAATAACTAACCGTATTAACGAATCGATGTTTCCGCAGGAATTGGAATGTTTAGAAATGTATATACCTATCGAACTCGATGTCACAAAACTACCTAGAACACTAAAAGTACTAAAGATAAATGGTCTTGGATCACTAACGATCGATTACGAATCACTTCCGCCCAATCTTGAAGAGTTCCTATATTGCGCAATGAGAAGACAACCGCTCACACCAAGAGCCACACGTCTTCCATCAACTCTAAAGATTGTATCGATATCAAACCACCAACTGCCATACATCAGACATCTAATATCGATACATACACTTTCAGTGGTTATCATTAATAGTTCCATAAAGACTGGGGATATCCCAGAGAGTGTCACTTATTTGTCATTGAGCAATATAGGTACAATAGAAACACCGATCATCAGAGATATGATACCTTCAGGAATCAAAAATTTACGTTTCATTCGTAATTTTTCATTTGATTTGCAGTCATTCGCAACACTTCAACATTTAGAAACATTGGATCTATCGGGGCATAATGTAGAAGGTAGTAATGTATTTGGAGTACTTCCAACAAGTTTAATCAATATCTCACTGCCTTTGGAAGTCAATTTTCAATTCGATTCTCTCATAGCCAGTTGTAATCAGTTACCAAACTTGAAGTTTATCGATTTTGGTGGATTCAGTAATGATGGTGATCAACGATTAAACAACACATCGATAAGATCAATCAAACTACATCATACAACCAAAATTACAGTACAAACAATACCTAAATCAGTGGAGATTATCGATTTCAGTAATTATCAATTGAAAGTAGAACCAGAGGTTTGGCCATCTTCAATTCAATCAATAACCGTCAATATTGAGTTTATCGATGCCAATGATAACTTGATGAACATTCCATCAAACATCAGTGAAATCATCATCAGATCGGATTTCCATAACACAAACAAACACTATAAATTTAATGCAAGAAAATTAGATCAACAATTCATACTATTATTTGGTAATAATCTATTGAATATCAACTCTGCGATTCTAAATATTAATAGTTTATCTAATTATATAAAAAATGTTGCAATTTAAATAAAAAGTGAAGTTTATTTGATTTCATTTCGATTTTGTTTACAATCAAATCAACTACATTCTACTAAAAAAAGAATGAACTGATAATTAAAGGTTTCTTATATACAACAATTAAAATTAATATGATTACTATTTATCCGACAGATTATAAAATAAAAAGACAAACTATTAATTTTTATTAAAAAATCATTCCATTATCAATAGGTTTGATCTTTCTTATTAATTTCTTTTTTTTATTCATTCGATACAAATAAAAACAATGACATACACAGATAACAACGATTTACACCGATTTGCAAATCTATCATTTATATTATTAAATAAAATAATTAGTTATTTAGATCAAGTCTTAGATAGAGTCTGTTTCAGTTTAGTTTGTAAAAGATGGTTTGATCATCGAGATAAATATCTTTGGTTCAATTCAGGATACTTTTTGAAATCAAGTGCTTTAGAGATTAATAGAACGTTTAAATTGAATTCATACAAAGAGTTATTTCAGCGATCTTTGAATAACAATACAAATCAAAAACATTTAGTAATTATTACTTATACATCTGATTACTCTTCTTTTCTTCACCATTTTAAACCATATACTGTTGACTTTATTAAAGCTCTTGGTATGTAATCTTTATAATTCTCCTCTCTTTACTTATTTATTAATTTGTTTGACTTTTATTTAGATATCCGAAATGATCATATTCAGATCTTAAAAAGTAGCAATGCATCTACATTTTGTACTTTGCATAGTTGTCAATTTCAAGACAACATTAGATTTCCACCGAGTATAAAAGAAATAAAGACCTCTGGCTGTATTAACCTATCGTTTTTGCCACAGGAATTGGAATATTTAGAAATGAGTTTGGGTGTAGATTACGAGCGATCAAAACTCGATATCTCACTCCTCCCTAGAACACTAAAAGTACTAAAGATCAATGGTTTTGAATCTATAATGTTCGATTACGAATCACTCCCGCCCAATCTCGAAGAGTTCCTATATTACGCAAAGAGTAAACAACCGCTCACACCAAACAACCGACAGCTGCCACCAACTCTAAAGATTGTCTCGATATCAAACCACCAACTGCCATACATCAAACATCTAACATCTTTACACACACTTTCAGTGGCACTATTACATAAGAGTGTAATAAATGTCGGTGATATTCCAGAGAGTGTCACTGATTTGACATTCAACAATTTCAGTTCTGAGCCATCGATGATCAGCAGAGACATAATACCACCCAACATCAAGCATCTATGTTTGAAACGTACCTTGAAGATATTATCAGATTCTCAAAGCACTCATATATTCACAGCACTTCTATATTTAGAAACATTGGATCTATCGATGCTTGATACAAGAAGTAGCCATGACTTTGGAGTACTTCCAACAAGTTTAATCAATATCTCACTTCCTTATGACACCAAATTTAATTTCGATTCTCTCATAGCCAATTGTAATCAGTTACCAAACTTGAAGTTTATCGATTATGGTGGATTCAGGAGTGATGGTGATCTACGATTAAACAACACATCGATAAGATCGGTCAAATTAAATCACACAACCAGAATAACAGGACAAACAATACCTAAATCAGTGGAGATCATCGATTTCAGTAATTATCGATTGCTAGTAGGACAAGATGCTTGGCCATCTTCAATTCAATCAATAACTGTCGATATTGAATTCATAGATGCCAATGATAACTTGATGAACATTCCATCAAGCATCAATAACATTATCATCAAATTTCTTTCTCCTACATACAAACACTGTACATTTAATACAAGAAGATTAGATCAACAATTCATATTATTATATGCTAATAATTTATATAATATCAACTCTGCAATTCTAAATATTAATAGTTTATCTAATTATATAAAAAATGTTGCAATTTAAATAAAAAAGTAAATAATTTTATGAACACTCGTTTTTTTTTTTTTAAATTTATTAATTAAATTATTATTTTCAATCGTATAACGATATATCTGATAGATTAGTAACATATTACAGAAATGTCAGAGGAAGAATCACAACCAGTTCTCTCTGAGAACTTAACAAGATTAAAGGTAACTATCAATATATATATATATATATTTATATATATTTTTATATTATATCTTTTTTTTTTGATTTATTTGATTTACTAAACATTGCATTATTATTATTATCGTACTACTATTAGTTTATGCAAAGAAAACAAGAAGCAGTTTTAAGAGATAAACTACAAAAAGAATTGGAACAGTCTATTCAAGAATCACATTGGGTTGCAAAGGGATCTTTCGATGGTGTAACTTTGAATACTGCAAGTGAAAGTGAAGTTATTGGTTTTAGAGGTGTAGGTCGTATGTCATTCGGAAACTTTAACTCGCTACAATATAGATGTATGTAGTTAATTACAATCATTATCACTTCATATAATATATTTTTAATTATTATACTCTACTCTATCAAATCTAAATTAGAAATTGAATAATGATAAAGCTGTAGAATCAAAGAAACAACAAGAACAAAGAGAACAAATATTACAACAACAACAACAGCAACAGCAACAACAACAACAAAAAAAATCAAATAATAATAATAATAATAATAATAATAATAGTAATAATAAATCAAATAAGATTAACAGTAGTAGGAATAGCAATAATAACAATTTAAATAATAGTATAAAGGTAAATGAACACGGTAATATAGATGAATTAAAAGAACAAGTAAAAATGAAAAAAGAAGAAATTAAAAAGAGAATTATAGATGATCTGCTTGTCGATGATAACAATAGTAACAATCAACCAATAAAATCAATACCATCGACTACTTCTACTTCCACGAATAATGATAATCGTAAAAAGAAACAAAAAAGATAGATTTAAATAAAAATATTTATAAGTATTTTTTCTCAAAACAGATATCTATCACCTCTCATGATTTTTTAATTTGTCGATCACTTCCTAAAAAAAAAAAAAATTAATATCTGAACAGTTAATTAAAGACTAAAGTATTATTAATAACAATGCACAACAAAGATAATTTATTTGTTAATCTTTCTCATATTGTATTAAATAGAATTATAAGAGAGTTTGATGATGATTTAGATATCATTTGTTTTAGTTTAGTTTGTAAGAGATGGTTTGACAATCGTCATAAATATCTATCATTCAACTGTAAAACGAATGAATTAGAACAAGAGTGTAAACTCAATGCATTTACAATGAATTCATACAGAAATATATTTATAAAATCTATCGATCAGAAGATATATAAAGATACATTATTTATCACACAAGATATAATTGATGATACACATCAAAATAATGGTAAGTAATGAAGTTTATTTTTATAGCAATCTTAATAGTTCTTATATTAATTCATTAATAGAAAGTTTCAAAGATTTTGATATTCCTAAATCATTCGTCAAGCTAGAATGTTTAGCTTGGTTTGATTTAAATGAATTCTCTGTCGACAAACTTAGTAAATCGAATGTAAAATCAATTAGATTCTTTCCCGATCGACAAGATGAATTCAGAAATGACATTTGTTTACCGTCTAATATAGAGAGTCTCTATTTTCCTTTCTCAATTAATTTATCAATATTGCCATTGGATTTGAAAAAGTTGGAAATCATTATCGAGTTGGAATCAAAGATTGATTTTTCACTTTTACCTCGATCTCTAAAAGTTCTAAAGATAACAGGAGGTACCTTTAAGAAAGGACAACTCCCTCCAAATCTAGTAAAGTTTTCACATCGTCTAAGTACTTACGAGGAGAAGGATATGGTTCTTTTTCCATCAACTTTAAAGCAATTGAGAATATCAACCAATTGTCTTGAGAATATCAACCTTTTTCAATCGCTTCGCACCCTCAATCTAAAGATCCCTCGTAGATCAACCTTAGAATTTGGTATGTTTCCCGAGAATCTAACACATTTGAAAATCAACAATGTATATGTTCATTTGCAAATTAAAAGAGAGATGATTCCACCAAACATCAAGTGTTTAACGCTGGAGTGTAATATTTTTTTAGAAGAAAATATATTTTCGTCATTGGAACACTTGGAAACATTAGATCTCTCAAAATTAAATTATATATCATCAGACGATTCGCCATTTCCTTTTTATGGTGTGCTTCCATCGAGTTTGACAAGACTTTACCTTCCATTCAATTTCAATACGAAACTAGATAGTTCAATGAAGCTACCGAAACATCTCCAATTTTTGGATAGTAGAACAATGACTTTTTGTGACTTACCAACATCACTCAAATCAATCAGATTCTATGGCAATTTAACGCTAACCTCTGGATCTATACCCAACTCTGTTGAAAATATAGATTTCCGAGACTTTAGAGTGTTAGTTACACCAGATCAATGGCCAACATCTATTAAATCGATTTCTATCAGCGTTCCTTTTATTCATGCCAATGATCATTTACAAAACATTCCAAAAACAATCACATCGATCACAATTCAGCACCGATATACCATATTTCAAGCAAGACGATTGTCTGATCATACTTTTTTGCTATTTAACACCAATGGTCAAAATATAAATTCTTCCATTGTTGATGATTCTAATCTTCTTCAATATATCTACAATATATAACTGAACAATAAACAATAAACAACATGTCAACAGAATAATATAATATTAACAATTTTATTTTTTATTTAATAGGATCATCGGAAGTATCTCTGAATCTATTAATCTATCTATACATTCTCTTGTTTTATTCATAGATGCTTCATTGCCATATCTCGATTGTAAATCACATATACTCTTTATACATTTCCATTTGGTATCGACTTCTTTTTTTACTTCCTCTTGATCTCCTAAACAACCACAAATAATGATAATAGATTTATTATATTGATCACCTAAATCTAATATCTAAAATTATAAAAAAAATTGTTAATAATTTGATTTAAATATATATCTGAATACAAACTTTTGTTACGGCTTTTCCCGCCAAAGAAGTTGAATCAAAACAACCTTCTCCAGTGATGATTATATCGCTATCCTTAATATGCTGATCCAATTGAATCAGTTTACAAACGTAATCCATTCCTTTACTTATGGTTGCACCAAGTAGTGAAACGAATCCACCTGCTAACCCACCGGCTGCTCCTGTTCCTTCACGATGGCGAATGTCAACAGTCAAAAGATTAGCAACGTTTATCATACCTTGCTCCAATGTTTCTCTATCCTGTACACTGGCACCCTTTTGTTTGGCAAATGTATGAGTAGCACCTCTCTCACCTACAAAAGGTGTAGTGACATCTGTACAGAATTCAAAATGAACATCTTTCAGTTTCTCTCTGACTTGTTGTGGTAAAACAATGGATTTTACATTGGCGAGATGTCTGCCTACAATATATCTAGGCTGGCTATCATCGTTCAATGTAACTTGAATGCCAAGTGCAACCAATGCACCAAGACCACCGTCATTCGTAGCAGAACCACCAGCACCAATCACGATATGTTTACAGCCATTGACATGAATGGCATGTGCAATCAACTCACCAGTACCTCTTGTAGTTGTATTCAATGGATTTCGAAGTGATCGTTCCACCAACTCCAGCCCTGAAGCGAGTGCCATCTCGACAACAGCAATCTTCTTCTCGGCATTATAAGCATATTTCGATGTTATTTCATTACACAATGGACCTAATTGAAATAATATAAATAATTAAGTTCTATAAATTTTAGATTTGTTTGAAGAGTTACCTGTTACATTTAAATGTTGTACAGTTAAATTCAAAGGTGAAATCAAAGATTCTAAAAATCCTTCACCACCATCACTAATACCCAAGACAGAAGTGGTAATCAAATCTTTATTTAAAGATTTATCTATTGAATTAGATATAGCATTACCTATATCTTTTGAACTTATACAGTCTTTAAATTTATCAACTGCTATTAAGATTTTCATTCTCTATTAAGTAAAACAAAAAATAGATTTTATTAAGAATGTTTTTAAAAATTTGTAAAAAATCTTTTATTATTCTTTTATTGATTCTTTTTTTATCTTATCTTTATAACCCTGTAAAAATAATAATATGACTTCGACTATATTTAGTATGTATTTAGTTTTTATTAATAGAAGTACATACTGATTGGTTCAAACTTAAATCATCTGACATGTTAACACATTAAAACAACAAATTTATTCAAGTTGGTAATCTCCCATTTGATACATTGGAAGAGGAAATCGTTGAGATTCTTTCAGAAGCAGGCAACGTTGTTTGGTTTAGAACAGTTTTTGACAAGATGACAGGCAGAAGTAAAGGTTACGGTTTTTGCGAATATAATAACCACGACCAAGCACTCATTGCTGCTAATACTTTAAATAATAGAATATATAAAGCTAGAGCCATCAGGATTTCACTTAGCGATCGACATTTACAAGGATAAATAATCTTTAGTTTGATTGTTTTTATTAATATATTATTGTATCATCAAACACAAAAAATTAAAAAACAAAAAAAGCAAATTTTTAAGTTTTCATAACTTTTCTGTACAAGTTTGATATAAAATTTTGTATAAAAAGAACTAAATATTATAGTTTAGTTATTTTGAAATTATTTATTATTAAATTATCTCTAGATATATATTCTCCTATAAAATGAGTTACAAGAATGAAATTGTAACTAGCGCCAATTATGTCACTAGACCAAAAGAAGGATCTTTTCATTTAGCAGATCATCATGGTGTTACAGTAAAGACCAACCAAGGTAATGAATATCTGATTCACTCAACACCAGGCTCCGGTGTTGTTGTTACTGATACCAAGCATATGTCTAAAAATTGGAATGTAGATCATTCAATTCCAGTTAAAGGGTAAGTTATAAAAATCGATGATCACATGTAACAAATCTAGATTTGTTATTAATATTTAAAACAATCTTTAAAAAAAGCGAAAAAACAGTTCATGATATACATAAAAGTTCATCCGGAAGAACTACAAATCCACTAATAAACTATATGTCTTCAGGCACATGTATTAATACAGCCAAAAATGGTGAAAAAGCATTAAAAAAATAAAATAAAACTTTTACTTGTAGATAATAGAATTTATTTGTAAAATATGTATTCAAATTTAAATTTTTTTAATCTAATTTGATGACTTCTTTCTACCATCTTGTCCAAACATCCATGCACGTTCCTCATCGGTTGGCAAGCTTGGTGGATTGGCTTTATGTTCCTCTTCGATGACAAAGAGTACCTTTTGGACCGATGGAATTGTTTTCATGATATCAATGTATTTCATGATTCTAGGGAATTCCTGAGAGTTAATATCTGGAATGCCTGGAATATATCTGACCCAGGGAAATATTGCCTATCATAAAAAAGATGTATTAATATGTGGATTTTAGTTTTTTTTTAAAAAATATAAAAAAAATAGATTTATATACCATATCTGCAACAGTATATTCATTTCCAACAATAAACTCGTTGTTTTCTAAACGATCTTCAATGATATAAAGTAATCTAGTTAATTCATTCAAGTATCTTTGGAATGAATAGGGATGCTTTTCAACCGAGCTGTAAAAAAGTATAAAGTTAGAAAAGAGATAATATTTGGAAAAAACAGAATTTAACTTACTAGAAAAAGAAGTGGTAGAATTGTCCAAAGATTGGTCCGAGATTAGCCATTTGCCAGAATAACCAATTCATTACTTCTGTATGACCTTTTATATCCTTGATTTGACTGGGAAGGTATCGACCATTACCGTAACGAGTTGCCAAGTACTGCAATATGTTACCGGATTCAAAGACCACAATATCACCTGGTACAGAGTGGTCTACAATCACAGGAACCTTACAATTTGGATTTATTTTTTTTATCTTTTCACTATATTGTTCACCTTTCTTAATGTTGATTTGGTGAAATACATGTGGAATGTTCATCTCCTCTAAAGCAAAGAGAACCTTATGCACATTTGGCGATCCTGTTCCATAGACATCCATTGGTATAGTTTCATTCATTATTATTTAATATAAGATAAGAATATAATTGTATCTTATGTGAGAGTAATAAGATTAATAAAAGATTCATTTGTTAAAAGGTTAATGTTCATTTTAATTAGTATCAATAAGAATAATTTAATATAATTTAAATAATTTATATTAAAAATGGGTTAAAAATCTGTTCATTTTTAAGTAGATATATGAAATAGGTGTGAAAGTTCTGACCAATAAAATAAAATGACTTTTTTATTTTTTAAAATTGATAAAACATTGGTGTTGTTGTATTTTAACAAAGTTTTTTTTTATTTATTTATTTAGTCTGTGGTTAATAACAAGAGTGTACATATGATTATTATTATCAAAAGTTAGATTAGCCATTACATTTGAAAGAGTTTGAGTTCCTTTAGATGATTTGATAGTCATAGTTGATATTGCAACATTCTGATTAAGCCAATTTACATCAAGAAAGATTCTAAGTCCTGCTTGCTCAAATCGATAAATGTCCAAAGGTGGATCGATTAGAATCAAAGGACATGTCCTCCCACCTATAGAACCAGGTGAATGAATAGAATCCGATGAATTTAAATAAATAGTATAGTTATCTACACAAGAAGTCATTTTTAGAAACTATATCTTTATTTTTTTTTTTGTTAATAATAAATAATTATAATATTGTAATTATGAAAGTATAAAATTAATTATAACAAATGAAATAAAATAAAATAAAAAAAAAGATCTATTAATAATAAAACAATTTATTTATTTTTTATATAAATATTTTCTCTTTGTTAATCTACCATCTGCACCACAAGAATATAAATTGTTATTTTCAATTTTAACTTGAATAACACCATATGTACTAACTAAACTCTTGAATACACTTGTGGGACCAACAAATGTTTGTTTTTTGTGTGCATCTTCTATGGTGTCGAGACAGGTCATCGAGGGAAGTGACCATGTCTTTATGTTTCCGTCGCTTGAACCCGATACAACAAAGTCTTCGGTTGGGTCGAGTGCTAACGATTTAGTATTCAAAGAATGACCTTTAAAGTTATCGAGTGTCTTGTTGGTACGGATATCGTAGATGGTGAGCGAACCCTTCTTACCACCGACAATAACGGTTTGGTTCTTTGGCGAGTAGGTTATCGAGGATGCTCCACTCTCTTGATCGATGTAAGACGCTACCAGAGATTTGTGTGGTGGTAACAAGACATCCCAAAGACAAACGTCCTTCTTTGAATCGACAGAGATACCTGCTGTTGCCAACAGACTACCGGCATTCAAGAATGTGAAATCCAAACACTGTTTCGAGTGTGCCTGTAGTGTGTAGAAAGGATTGAGTGTATTCTCCTGTGCAGAGAATTGCCACAACATAATGTTACCGGCCATATCACATGCACCAAACTTGGAACCACTTTGATTAAATTTACACTTTACAATTCTTGGTTTAGTCGGGAGTTGATAGGCAGCCAATGCCTCTGGTATTCCAAACTGCCACAAACAAACACTTCCATCGATACCTCCAGAGAGATAGTATGGCGAATCCGGATGAGACTCTAGACACTGTACAATGATATTGTGATCGACCTGCTTAGAGTTGGAGAATGGGTTCTTAAAGACACCAGATTTGTTTTTGAATTTGAGAGTCGAGATTGACTTGGAGGAGATACGCAGCTTCTTTGTCATGGTTGGTGAGAGGAAGGTGTCGGCACCACCAACCGAATCCATATCAAAGTCGTCACGCGATGATTCATGTGATTGCTTGAGATCGATCTCACGTATTCCTCTGGTGGTGGCAACGGCAACCACCTGAATCTCTGGTGCACTGGTATCCACACAGAATGATTGTAGTAAATCACTGTCCTTGTAGAGTTCAACGACGTCTTCATACTTGATACGCTTTCCACTTGCAGCTTGTCCAGATTGCTTCATTGCATCGCTTGAACGTTGATCCTCTGGTATCAGCTTGAACGAGAGTAGCTCTAGCAACTCATTGTCCTTGACCATCGAACTCCAAAGTTCGACATGATTTTCAGTGTTGAAATCTCTGAATTTCTTGACCAACTTCAAGAGGTTAGGACCAGCTTCTTGGTTTGGTTTCTTGTAGAAGAGTTCAAAGATCTGATGTGGAGCGGTGAGGAATTTGTTCTGAATGGAAACAAACCAATAATGAATTCTCTGATGAATGATATCATAGACTTGATGATACTCTAAAGTATTAATAATTAAATCATACATCTTTTTGAATTTTCTTAAACAGAATAAATCAAATATCTTTTGTAAACATTTCTTAACCTATAGATTTTAAAATTAAAATAATTAGATTATTTGTAAATAAATTATTATTATATTTTAATATTACCAATAATTCTTCAGCTAATTTCTGTTTATCTTTATAGAGATCATCATCTTCATCATCTTCTTCCTCATCATTTTCATCCATGATTGGATTATCACTGTATTGATTCTTTAACTTTCGAACATTTGCTATTAATTCAGGTAATCCTTTTTCTTGGAAAATTAAAATTAATATATCGAATCTTGATCTACCCCAACTTGATAAGAATAACATAATCTAAATAAAATAAAATATTTGTTAGAAAGATAGTACTATTTTTAATAATTTATAAATTAAATACATACATATATTGTGAATATAACTACACTAGTTTGTTGAATATCTTCTAGACATGAATATAACTCTAATGATAACTTGATCAAGTATTCCGATTGTTGTTGACTTTGAATGTAATCACTGGTTTTGAATATCGATTTCAAAATGTTGTGACAAGTGGTATCCAAGAAATGATTTGGATTCTTTCCAATCAAAGAAGTGAGATGTACGACTTGCTTATAGTACTGACGATTCGAGCAATAGTGAATAAGTCGATCGATTATCAATGTTCGGTCAAGTCGGTATTTCTCAGAGAGAAGGTTTAGATTATGGTCGAATATCGATTGATTCTCCTTCCATGTGTTTGATTCGATGAATGCTACGATATCGTGTATCAGAAGCTGTAGGACAATCTTGGCTTTCAATTCAATGTCGATCATCGGATAGAGTGAGATCTTCTCACGGTCGTGCTTCATCAACTTTCGCGATGACAGCAACTCTTGGTCGTTGACAACGATGTTTGGAGTCGGCACGGTTGGTTCACCAAAGTCCAATCCCATGTAGGAACTGGCGGTGGTTGTAGGTGGAGCACCAAAGTCAAGACCCATATCGTTCGACTTGACATAGGAGTTGGAGGTCGATCCGAAATCCAATCCCATATCATAATTTGAAGAGGAATAGTTGGAACTAGAGGTTGGAGCACCAAAGTCAAGACCCATATCATTGGATTTCACGTAGGAACTAGAGGTCGTTCCAAAGTCTAATCCCATATCATAGTTTGACGATGTATTGAAATAGGAACTAGAAGTAGATCCACCACCGAAATCCAAACCAAGATCGTTTGATACTCTTGATGTAGAGGTACCACCGAAATCCAAACCAAGATCGTCGGCTGTCATTGGCTTTGGTGTGTTTTGTTCCTCGAGTTTCGGTGATTCGTCGATGATGGTCGGAGCAACCAATGTAGGATGTGTTGCTTCGAGATCTTCGATATTCTCCAGTGCCAAATAGGAACAACCGCTGTTTAGATAGGAGTAAGTACTGCTTCTGAGGAACGGTGCATCCTTTTTCTTCTCGTCAGAGACCTGTTTGAGAAGTACATGATTCTTTAGGAATCTAAAGAAATATAATACGGAAGGACCCATCTCTGACACTTTGAGATGTGCAGAGATGTCGTTGTTGTTCATCGATTTCGTTTGTGACGGTACGTTACTCATTGGTTTTGGACTGGTGGTGTGTGTTAGCGATGAACGTGAACTATTAAGAGAGATAGCAGGTGAATGTGTTTGGTGTTCGTCCAACTTTTTGCGAGTATCATCGATGATGGTCGATGGCAACAGTACTTTGAGTGAATCTTCATATTTCTTGCTGAGCCAATTGGCAATGGAGAGAAGACAACGGTCATCTGTCTTTTTGGCGTGTGGAATGACGTGATCCTGGAGAATCATTTGTGATGTTGCTCCACCGTCACCTTCAAAGAGACGGGCAATCACATAGGCAAGTTGGAAGTCACCTTTGACCTGAAGAATCAAGTTGATCGCCTGTTTCAAATCACCGGCCAACAAGAACATCGATGCTGCCAAATCGTATTTATGCTTGGACTGCAAGAGGAAAGCGCTTTTCGCGGCAGAATTGATACACTTTTGTTGAGTGAAATCCTGAGAGAGGAACTCTACGTGCTTGACATTCTTGGAGGCTTTGTGTAGTGCAATGAGGGATCCACGCTTATTCAATGCGATATAGTAGAGTGCACAATCACTTGGCTCTTTGTTGATCAAGTAGGTTGTCTTGGCAAGCTTCTCAATGGTGGTACGCAAGGTGTTTGGTGACTTGATCCACAGACCAGCACCAAGTTGTTTGAGATCCTCCCAGAGTGGTTCGGATGGGAAACAATTTTGAAGAATAGTTTCCTGTGCCTCGGAATGAAGTGCCCAGAGCAGATCGGTGGCGGAAAGCGAGGTGGGACGCTCCTGAGGATTGAGCGAACGTCTCAAGAACTGGAAGATCTTTACCACCAAAAGGAATCTCGATCCATTCTCGTCGAGACCACCACGCATCTCACCGATTTGTCCATAGGTATCGGCAAGTGCCAACAATTGGATTTGCTCGCTATTCAACAAACCAGCCAATTTAACGTGCGATAGGATTTCGTTCAACTGAGCCGCTTGTTTCTTTGTAAAGATATTGGTGTCGTCTTTCATCGTGAATTGATCTTCTTCATCGCTATCGTTGTCACGTGCAAAGTATTTACTGTTGATCGCATCGATATCGTCTTCTGTTCCTGCTTTCTTGTCGGTCGTTTCCACCATGTCGTCGGAGATCAACTCCTCCAACTTCATATATGGCAGATGGATTGGATGTGTTGGGAATTCGGGTAAGTCATCGTCGTCGATCGGGAAGCGATTAATGAGATATGCCGATATATATTTCAGAATCTTTTCAACCTTTTCAAATTTACCGGCCATCATATACTCTGTGAGCAACTTTGGGTGGTAATAGGAGAGTGAACGATTCAAAATCGAGTGTTGGTGGTATGTTGTTTCCAGATTGGAATTGGTACCATCGAGAAGTGAAATTAGGTTCTGATTTGGACGCATCCATTTGGTGAAGACCAACATCTGATTGCCACTGGTAACAAACAACTCCAAGTCTTTGCCCCACTCTATGTTCTGAGCTGGCGAAGTCAAGTCGGTATAACGGTGAGTCTCAATCCATGAGCTCTTGTACGATCCAATGGTTCTATCGACTGGCTTTCTGAGTACGCGAATCTGACTGCCGAATCCAACGGCAAGACTAGCTGCACCGTCTTCGAAATAGGTGAAGCTGAAACAACATTGATTACCGGTGGAATCTTCATCGTTTGGAATCTCCATTGTCGAATTGATATTTGGTGAAACAACAGTGGAAATGGAACCAGACTGCTCGGAATGATCTCCCAACTTTATGGTTTCCTCCAGTTGAAGTTTGGGTGTGTTGGATTCAAGCTCCCAGATGTGAATCTCGGGGTTGGGTGAAGTGGTGAATGGAGTCGAAGCAAAGCGACCGAAATACGCTGGTTTAACAGCTACCACTGGATGCTGATACGCTGAATAACTACAGGTTTCAGTTAGACGCCATATTGGATTGAGAGAATCAGCTGTGGAAGTATCCTCTGGATTGGTGTGTGGAGTCAAAGACCAAACAGTAATATTACCACTGATACTACCGGTAATACAAATGGGATGAGATAATATATTTTCAAAAGAGAACTTTGATTTGGTCGATGACGATGAGAAAGTATCGCTATTGGCAGTTTCAGAGGTGGTGGTGGCGGTTGGTGTTGCTGATTGATCTGGTAACATTCCTTCGTAGAGTGATTTCGTTGATATACCATTGGAGATACCTTTTGGTGCTGCACAGATACAAGAGATACGAGATTCACTATCCAACTCTTTGACAGCAAGTAGTTTCGATGAGATCAGCGATGGTGGTGTAGATGAGGATGTCGAGTGTTGAAGTAAACCACCCTGACTGGCTGGAATGACAGTAGCCGAAGAATACAAATCCTTGTTCCATTCTTTGGTTGAAGCGGAAAGTACTGAAGCAGGTGTACTAGTAGTAGCGACATTCGTATTGGCATTGGTTGTAGCAGTTGTAGCAGTAGTGGCAGCAGCAACAGCAGCAGTTGGATTGGTGTTGGCAACATGTCCATTGGAAGTGGATATTGGAATGACACCATTCAACTGTTGATCAAGGTTACGCTGTTGTTGAAGTGTTGACTTTTCAATGGAAACACCCCAAACATAGATACGATGACCATCTTTACTGAGTCCAACAATGAAATATTGGTGCAGTGGCAACATTTCCTTTGGATATACGTGTTTCTGTGGTTCGATGACATGTACCTCTTCGATCCAATCGTCGGCACCCTCAAAGCTAGACTGATCGATGACACCAATCGGCAGCTTTAACAAACGATGATTATGCTCGTGACTATCCATCTGGTAGACGAGAATACCTTCTTTACTTGCACTGAACAAGTAATTGTGTGTCGGTGACCAAGCCAGAGAATTAACATTGCCACCAACCGATCCTGCATCTATCAAACGATAAGGACACTGTATTCTACTGGAATCCGACCAACTATGCCACAATATAATACTATTGTTTCGATCGATCGATGATAAATATGGTGATGAATTTGAAACACTAAGTTTCTTTATCGTTGATTTATGTCCAAAACATCTTGATGTATGTGACGTATTGGTGCTATAACAATTATAAACATGAATATTAATTATTTAAACATTTCAATTGTTAATACATATATAAATGATTATATTTACATTTGAGTTTGATTTTGATTTTGAATAAAGAATTTTCTACAGGATATGGCACCGGATACAGAATTGACACAGATGGTAATGGTGGAAGGAGTGTTGTCAGTGATTGAATTTGGTTGGTATAATGCAAAGATTCTGTTGGGTCCAACTTCTTGTGGTGATAGAATCTGTGCTTTAATGGATAGTGAAATAGACGATGTCTGTTTACTCGATGAATTATCGGTTCTCAACTTCCAAAGAACCAGTGTTCCATCAGCTTTGATTCCCAATATCCAATCGACAACCGGTTTCGACTTGGCCAACTGAGCGATCGCTTTCTGTCTCAACATGATAGGTGTTTTCATATTACTCAGTTCAACATTATCGATATCGTTATGACCGTCTACATTATTATTATTATCTGTTTTACTTGTTCCACTCTCTTGATTACTACCATTACTATTATTGCTATTGCTATTGCTATTGTTATTATTATTTATATCTCTTTGTGGAGATAGTGAAAATATCCAATCTACAGTTTCGGCACCTGCTGGAATAATATTGGATACGTTGAACTGCAGTCTACGAGACTGTTGTAATGACTGTTGCCAGAGTCTGATGACTCCGTCCTTGCAGTTGGTTAGTAGTATATGATGATGAGAAGCGGCACTCGCTCTTACACGCCACGATATCCAAGAGATTGCACGTGGATGCGGAAGATAAATAAATCCATAGGAATCACTCTCTATTTTCTTAGTCTTTTTGCTTGCTAAACTACCAACGCCACCTCCAATCATTGGTGAAGATATCAATGGTGAAGATATACTAGCATTCATTTGAATAGTTGGTTGTTGCTGTTGTTGCTGTTGTTGATCATCATCCATTTCAACTGCAGTCGATTTCTTTAATGTGTATTTAGGTTCTTTACTGGTCAACTTGTTGAATTCATCTTTGAAGAATCCTTTGGTGCGAACTGGCTGTGCGTGGAGCGCTGCATTGGCTGCGGCGGCTGCTGCTGCTGCTGCGACTGCCGCTGCAGATTCTTCGTCGGATGCACGCGTTTTTATCTTTGGCTGGATATACCAGACCTTGAGCATACGGTCACACTTTCCGGCGGTGGCAAACATCGAACCGTCCGGTGCAGCCGCCACATAGTAGATCGGTTGCGAACAGTCCGCTCGCCATGTAACATAGGCCTGCTTTCTAAATAGCTTTTGCTCACGAGCATCGACACGCATTGCATCGTTAGCACTTCTAGTGGTATAGCTAGTAGATTGATGCTGTTGATCCTGTAACTTTTGCAACGAGTAACTCTTCATGATCTGTTCGAATTCCAACTTCCAAATCGCCAGAAACTCTCCACCCACTATAAAACTAGTTGCGCTCAACCAACATATTGTATTTATATCAAATAGATTAGGTATTACCAATAATCTTTCCCATTTATTATTATCCTAATAAATAATAATAATAATAATAACAATAGTTTTATATTAATATTGTATTGATGTATGTATTGTTTGTTTGTATGTTTTGTATATATATATATATATTTACAATTCTTTTATATAGATAAATCTCTTTTGATGATGCAGTTAATAGTAAAGAATCACCAGTACGAAATACAACACAGTTTACATCTTGTTTGTGACCGGTCAATACTTGTAGTACGTTGAGCGAACCACCTCTTAGGATGTAGACGTTTCTACCAGATGAATATGCAAAATAGATCTCATCATTGAGATGTGTACATGAGAATGTATTTGGATTTGGATTCGCTGCTCCAGTCACTATTTGACTTGGAATCATAGTGAATCTTTTGAATTCTATCTAGAAAATGCAATTGCTTCTTATTCTACTTTTTAATAAAAAACAAAATAATTAATAAATATACTCTTTTTTTTTTTTTGTTTGTTAACAAAGACAAAACAACTTTAACTAAATTTCTATTTCTATTATTATTATTTACTACTATTGATAGTAAAAATGTAAACAAAATATATTAATTAAATGAAAAAAAATAATAAAAAAACAAAAAGCCTGTTTCAGATTTTTTTAATTTTTTTTAAATATTGTTATAAAATTTTTTGTTCAGTGAATGCCACTTACTACTTAATATTATTTGTAATGACGACTTATATAGATTACGGCTGATATTCATTAGTATTGAACTCAAATTATTAAGCTAACCCAATGATTATCTAACCTGGTCAACTTTATCTGTTTGAATAAATTTAATGTTTTTCTGTGAACCTCAAGTTCCCAGGCCAAAAATTATATAAAAACAAAGATTTTTTTCAATTGAATTTTCATTTTTTTTAAGTGTATCAAACAATTAACAATAAATTCATTATATATATATTAAATAATTCTTTTTTAAAAAAATTAAACTATTAGTTATATATCTAGAGTATAATTTGATTATATAAATATATGATACAATATTGAGGGTGAAATATTCATGCGCATTCAGGAACACAAAATTGTTATTTTTTAAATTCAATACTAAAAGTAAAAATATAAGAATTTTTAAACAATATTTTATTGATTATTAAGTTAAAGAAAAAAACCAATGCAACTATTGATGTTGGTTTAAAATATTAAATTGAGGAAAAACTTAGAAAAGCTTTTTAAATCATATTTATCTAGAAAAAAACTGATTTTATTAATGCAAAATTAATCTAGATTTTTAAATTAAATTACCTACATTTTTTTTTTCATAATTGATGAGTGTATAACTTCCAGCTATATAAGGACTCAATACTACTTTTCCAGATACATCGTTCTTTCTTTTTAAATCGAAAGAAACCAACTTTAGAGAATCTTTGATTTTCAAAGAATCTATACCTTGGTCGGCAATAAGAACTGGATCATCATCCGAATCGTCCCAATAGATCCTAACTATTATATTGTAAATGTTTAAAACTAAGAATAAAATTAAAATAAAAGAGTTCTAAACATACCACTGGGCTCTCTAATATAAATGTGTTTAGTTCTATCGGTGATAACTTGATATCCATTTAAGAGTTTACCACCTTGGTCTGTAAATTCGATAACCGAATTTGAAATATGATGAGGAAGAATCTTTTTAATTATTTTATACTTTAACCAATTATACTCCACTCCAGTGGGAACATTATCTAGTACAAAAACAGAATGGTTGTAATGAATATTTATATTCATTTTGAGAATTAAAATAAAATAATTTACATAATTGTAAATAGAGGCCTCCTATTTATAAAAAAAAAAAAAAATAAAGTAGGAACCACACTATTTTAACAAAAGTCATTTGAATGTTTGCCTTTATTTTTGATATTGAAACTTCTCTAAAAAGATGATTAATTTACAGATAATAAATAAATTTGTTAAAAAATCTTTTTTATTTAAATAATGTTTTTCTACTTTTTATTGAAATGTTGAAGTATTCTCTGAGGATGGTTTTAGTCTTGTTTTGAAAAAGTGCTGGAGTTTCTTCAGTATCTTTACAAAAGACACAAACAATAAAATTTAAGATGTTCAATATATAAGTAATAAAAAATGAACTTACTGCTGGGTTCAAAAAAATAAATATTTTTATTTAGACAGTGAGTTCTATCCAAATCATCATTTGGGTCTGAAAAAAATAATAATAGAATTTGGATGGTGATATAAAATATTTTTAATTATTTTTTTTTCTCAACAAGTGTACTCTACACCAATAGGAACTTTATCAATTGTATATACTAAATTATTATAATGAATATTTATATTCATTTTGAGAATTAAAATAAAATAAAATACTTAAGTTTGCGGACCAGATTATCGTGTTGGAAAATAAAAAAATATAAAATAAATCAAACATTTTTATTATTAATAGATGATGTCATGACATTCTATATAAGGTTTTTTACTCATATAAATTACTTCTAGACATATTATTATATTTATTAATTGATTATCTTCTAACCAGACAATGACATACACAAAAATAAATATCTAATAAAATATTTCAATTGAATTATAGATGCTTTGTTATCACCAATCACTAAAAACGATCTATCTGATAATCTTCTTAATTCGTTGGCTCTCCCATTGAAACAGATATTGACTGTTGTAATCGATTTCGGAATCATTGTAATATTCTGTATATCACAGAAATCAGAGACATTCAGCTCTATCCGCTTTACGGTTGGTGGCCAACAATTCTGTGGAATCGTACCAGCTATGATTGTTTCGAGTGAATTTGGTAATTTCGTTACTGATAGTATTGAAGAATTCCGTAGATGGATGGTTTTGAGTCTTGTTTTTTCTAATCCTTTGATCTCGCTATTTGCACTACTTGTTTGCAAAAACTCTAACCCCTCAGGAAATACCAATTGGTTTTGACTGTATTTCATTATGTGGTATGGTAGGAATAGGCTCTTGAGATTCGGTGGAAACTTGGCTACTGTGTGTTCATACAACGCTGATACATTGAGATGTAGCGTTTCCAAATATTCAAGTGAAGCCAACGGTTCTTTTTGGAACTCGACAAAACCCTGTAGATTTAGATATTTAACAGCGGAAGGAATCATTGCTCGGCAGATTGTGAGATACGAGTGTCTGCACTCGATCGTCAGCTGAGTAACGCTCTCTGGAATATCGCCAACTTGAAACCGAAAATTCCTAATGACTGTCAAAGTGAGTGTGTGTATTGGTGATTGGCTATGGATGCTTTTCAATAGGTTCGATGGTATACTGACGATCTTAAGAGTCGATGGAAGTTGTCTTGTCTCCAAGAGATGGAAACTGCCTTTGAGTAGGTGAAGCTCTTCAAGATTGGGCGGAAGTGAATCGATATCGATTGGTAGAGACGCTTCTGTATTGATACATAGATATTTAAGAGATCGAGGTAACAAAGGTATATCTTTACTTGACAATACTCTAACTTTCAACCTTTCCAATCCAATCGGTAACATATCTACATTGATTTGAGATTCAGTTATTATCTCCTTGATGCTCGATGGGTACGGACATTGAATGCTCTGGGTTGTAGAAGTAATCTCTATTGAGGTGATATTCGATTTAGCTATTTTTGTCAACCATTTTTGACAATCACTAAAGAACTGACTGACCTCTGTTGCTATAATTAATTTGTTAAAATGTAGTGGTATTTCATCAAGCACTTGAAAACTATCTATTGATTTGTAAATGAATGTTTGTTTGTTTGTTAAGAAAAGTATTATATATAGTTATTTAATTATGATAATATACCTATATCCATGCTACAACTATATCTGTTAATCTCATAAATAGGTGAAAAGCTATTGACTATGAGAGTGTAATCTGTTTTTCGATCGAATGAATCATAATATATATCTTTGAATGATCTCAATGTGAAGAAGCTATTCGTATCAAAAGTGACACTATTTGATAGTACAAAGTTCTCACAGTTGAATGTCAGATACTTATGACGATTATCAAACCATCTCTTACAAACTAAACTAAAACAAATGATATCTATATCATTGTCCAACTGCTTTACAATTCTATTTAACAATATAAATGGTAGATTTATAAATAAATGATTATTTAGATTTACTTGTTGATTATTATTATTGACTTTTACTTGATTTGAAGTTGTGAATAGTGTTTTTAGAGCATTGATGATCGACATTAAACAAACACTAAAAAATAATAATACACTGTGGACGGTTTTGAAAAATTTGTGCAAAATCGAATTTGTTTAAAACAATCAAGATCCTTTCTTTTTGGGAATTTAAAATATGTTTCTTCCTCTATTTTTATTTTCCATAGAAATAATTTTCATAATTTTTAGTATTTAGGAATGTTGCTTTGAGGAAAAACTCATTGATTCCTAGCAATAAAAAAGATTGATCTGATAGTCTTCTGACCAAGAATTTCATTCCAAGTCCTTGTGTTTGTCTGATTGTGATTGATGTTATTGACTTTGGGATGTTTAGAAATTTCAAATGATTATTACCTTCGGATTTTGAGGTGACCAATATCGATTTAACTGATGGTGGCCACATATCTGGAGGCATCATTAAATGACGTTCTTTGAAATCTATTGTTTCTACTGATTTAGGAATTCTTGAATGTGATATATCTGTATATTGTCCAATACATAGTGTTTTGAGTGAATCTTTTGGAGCTCCCTTGATTGACAAATACGCCCCACCAACATCCAAATACTCCAATGATCTAGGTAGAATCTTGCAATTGGTCATTTTGAAAAAATAGTTTGGAAGACAAAGTTTCTTGATTTTGGAGGGCAATGGTTGGAAATTGGTGCCAATGTCTGTCAACAAACCAGAGATATCCAAAGTTTCCAATTGTTCCAATTGTGAAAAAGTGTATTGGTCAAATGTCACTTTATCTCTCAACTTTAAATACTTTAGGTTGGGTGGGAGATTTTCTCTGCGAATGGTTATAGAGTAGGCACTAGATATAGTTAAATGAGTGACACTCTCTGGAATACCACATTGGAAATCAACGGAGGCACTATCGTTGACACAGAGATTGAGAGTGTGAAGTGCTGTCAGATATTGGAAATCCTTTACTTGGAAAACAGTTACATCGAGAACCTTCAAACTAGATGGATACCGCTTGGTCTCTGGTTCTTCTGTGTTTGGGATACTATATGACAGATCCTCGAGAAATGGTGGTAATGCTTCTAAATCAATCGATACCTGACTACCTACAAACTTTAGTGACTTTAAAGACCGAGGTAAAAGAGACACATCAAAGCTAAATGAAAATGTTTGAATTTCCAACTTTTCCAATTCTGGAGGTAGTAAATTTGGTTTGAAAGGACAGAATAAATGGATCTCTTTGATGTTGGATGGAAATCTAATGCTATTGAATTCAGATTCAATTGGACAATGTTGTGATTGCGTTAAATTTATACAATAAACATTCGATTGACTGAGTTTTTCAATAAAGTTTGCATCGATCTCCCAAGTTGTGAAATAAATATTTATAATTGACTCTGGAATATCATTTTCTAAATTTAAAATTTAAATATGAAGTTAATAAAAATAAATTTTAAATATGAATGAAAATACATACCAATAGTTAGAATATAATCATAACATAATAAAAATGATTTAGCTTGTTGAATCTCATTGTTGGAGGTGATTACTAAAGTGCAGTTTGATTTATGGTCAAGAGATCGATGAAATATATCTCTATAGGAATTAAGAGTAAAGTCTCTTTCATTATTTAAGCAATCTCTATTTAATTGCATCAAGTCTTTGCAATTGAACGAGAGATAACTATGACGATTATCAAACCATCTCTTACAAACTAAACTGAAACAAATGATATCAAGATTATCATCAAGCTCTTTTATTATTTTTGCTAACAATATAAATGGTAATTTTACTAGTAAATGGTTATCGTTTTGGTTAGAAACTATTTTTGACATATTTTAATAAATTAAAGTTAAAAAAAAACGAAATATATGAAGATCTCACCATCTCCTTATTGAGCTTATTAACCTCTGTATTCATTTCTTTTTTTCATATGATTAATTTAATTAATTTTGGTGGGAAATAAAAAACACACAACTGTAGTTTGTTTTTTAAATTAATTATTGTTTTTTTGAATAATACTTATAAGACACATACCATATCAAAAAAAAAATATAAAAATATTTTCAGTATAACCTCTTTGGTGTTAAAATAAATGAAATTTTTATATGTATCTTTAATTTTTGATGTTCAGTTTTTATCGAACTGGTTTTTATTTAAAAAAAAAAAATGATTAAAAAATTCCGATGAAATTCGGGACAATATAATTGGCCAAAAATCATTAAAGTTTCTCCACAAACAAATAACCGACATTGATTTTAAATTTTTATATTGTTTCATGATTTCTTACCTTTTTTAAAAATATCTTTTTAAATTATCAATTGTTTTTGATTAAAATGTAATGTTGCAACAATTGAAACATTAAAAATTTGTAAAATACAGTTTTAGTTTAAAAAAAAATCTTTACAAATAACAGATAAAAAATATGTATAAAAATAATTATTATTATTATTTGTTATTACTTATATTTGTGGCTGGTTGTTTTGTAGTTGATGCTAAATCTCTTGATAGTGTGGAGACTGTCGCTGCTAAATTTGGAGTACCTCTGAATGTTAGCTATGATCACAGATCTTTGATAATCAATGGCGAGAGAAAGTTGTTGCTCAGTGCATCGATTCACTATCCACGTGCTACACCATCGATGTGGCGACCAGTCCTAGAGGCAACCAAGGCAGCCGGTATCGATCTAATTGAAACCTATACTTTCTGGAATTTACACGAACCAACTCCTGGAACCTACAACTTTGAAGGCAATGCAAATGTCACTGCTTTCCTTGATATCTGCGCAGAGCTAGGTCTGTATGTCACCGTTCGTTTTGGTCCCTATGTGTGTGCTGAATGGAACTACGGTGGTTTCCCTTTCTGGTTGAAGGAAATCGATGGAATCGTTTTCAGAGACTACAACCAGCCGTTCATGGATCAAATGAGTAACTGGATGACCTACATTGTCAACTATCTCAGACCATATTATGCATCGAACGGTGGTCCCATTATTTTGGCACAAGTCGAGAATGAGTATGGTTGGTTGGAGGCTGCCTATGGTGCCAGTGGAACCAAGTATGCGTTGTGGGCTGCTCAATTTGCCAACTCACTCGACATTGGTATTCCCTGGATCATGTGCTCTCAGGATGACATTGCCACTGTCATTAATACTTGCAATGGTTTCTACTGTCACGATTGGATTGACGTACACTGGACAGCCTATCCAAATCAACCGGCATTCTGGACTGAGAACTGGCCAGGTTGGTTCCAGAATTGGGAAGGAGGTGTTCCACATAGACCAGTTCAGGATGTGTTGTACTCTGTTGCCAGATGGATTGCCTACGGTGGTTCAATGATGAACTACTACATGTGGTTCGGTGGAACCACTTTTGGTCGTTGGACAGGTGGTCCTTTCATTACGACATCGTACGACTATGACGGTGCCATCGATGAATATGGATATCCATACGAACCGAAATACAGTCAGAGTCTTGAATTCCATACTATCATTCATGCCTATGAGCATATCATCCTCTCAATGAACCCACCAAAACCAATTCTATTGGGTGAGAATGTTGAAATCTCACATTTCTACTCTGTGGAGACCGGTGAATCATTCTCTTTCCTTGCCAACTTTGGTGCAACCGGTGTTCAAACCGTCCAATGGAATGGCATTACCTTTAAAGTTCAACCATGGTCAGTTCAACTACTTTACAACAACGTATCGATCTTTGACACATCCGCAACACCAATTGGCTCACCCGTTCCCAAACAATTCACACCAATCAAATCATTTGAAAACATCGGTCAATGGTCAGAGAGTTTCGATTTGACATTTACCAACTACTCAGAAACACCGATGGAACAACTTTCATTGACACGCGACCAAACCGACTATCTCTGGTATGTAACCAAGATCGAAGTGAACAGAGTAGGTGCACAACTCTCACTTCCCAACATCTCTGATATGGTACATGTTTTCGTTGATAATCAATACATTGCCACTGGAAGAGGTCCAACCAATATCACTTTGAACTCTACCATTGGTGTAGGTGGTCATACTCTGCAAGTGTTACATACCAAGGTTGGATTGGTCAACTATGCTGAACACATGGAAGCAACAGTAGCTGGTATCTTTGAGCCTGTCACTCTTGACTCTGTCGATATCTCATCGAATGGATGGTCAATGAAACCTTTTGTTCAAGGTGAAACACTCCAACTCTACAATCCAAATCACTCTGGATCTGTTCAATGGACTAATGTTACCGGCAACCCACCTCTAACCTGGTATAAATTTAACTTTAACTTGGAATTGTCATCGAATATGTCATTGGCATTAGATATGCTTGGGTATGTAACTAACTATAAACTATAAGATGACAAGGTGTTTGATTTATCTAACATAATATATTATTTTTTTTTTAATCAAAAACATAGTATGACAAAAGGAATGATATTCGTTAATGGTTACAATATTGGTCGTTATTGGTTGGCTCTTGCTTATGGTTGTAATCCATGTACATACCAGGGAGGTTACAGTCCAAGCATGTGTCAATTAGGTTGCGGTGAACCAAGTCAACAATATTATCATGTACCTACCGATTGGTTAATGAATGGTGAAAATGAAATTGTAATATTCGAAGAAGTATATGGTAATCCAGAAGCTATAACATTAGTACAAAGAGTAATACCCTATACAAATGACTGTTATTAATAAAAGTAAATAAGTAAATAAATAAGTACATAAAAAAAAAATAAATAAATAAATTTAGTAGTCAACCTATAATAGTTAATATAGATTTTGTTTAGATTTGAAATAAATCAACTTTACATATATATATATAAATAGTTAGATATAAAATATATATATGTTTATCTTTTGTACTTTTTCTTTTTCTTTTTTTTTTATATATATAAATGATAAATGATTATAAAAAGAAAAAAAAAAAGAATTTATTCTATATTATATATTCTAATCTATTAAATCTATTATATTCTATTCTATTCTATTACAATAGGATTTGCTTCCGTACCTCCTATCATTGTATGATACAATAGTGGTTGATAAGACCGAGATCTCTTATAATCTTGTTGTTGTTGTAAAGGTGGTTGGTATGCTATCAGTTTACGTTTGGTGGTGTAGAGCAAAGGTGATGAGTAGTCAGAGTTGAAGCTGCTAACTGGCGAAGATGAAGAATCAGAGTAGTAAGAGCTACCACTGCTACTACTCGATGGTTCGGTACATGGTGATTGATTGTTATCACTGGGTGAAGTTTGATTACTTTGATCTAAATTAATTGAATTATTATTGCTTTGATTGTTGTTGTTGTTGTTATTACTATTTATAATGACAATATTCGAATTATTATTATTATTATTACTATTGTTATTTGTTAGAAATTGAACACTATTCTTATTAATTTGCTGTTGTTGTTGTATTGGTTGTTGCTGTTGAACTGTTTGTTGAATTGGTTGTTGTGTTGTTTGTTGTTGATTCGATGGTTGTGCAATTTGATGATTTAAATAATATTGATGAGCTATGATTCGTTTGGAGTTGGGTAGAGGCGAGTTGATCTTTGAGATTTTAGGTGGTCGCTGAATGAGCGACTGTGTGATGGATGGTGTGGGTGGAAGTGCGCATGGATACTCTTTGAACCAGGTGTGACTCAGTGCATCCTTGCATGAGATACGTCGTTTTGGGTCGAGTGTCAACATCTTGGACAGTAGATCCAGTGTAACCTCTGAGTAGGAACTGATTCTTCGGTTGTCTTTGATGTTTCGCTGCGCGTACCGACGACGCTTATACGGCTGGAATCCCGGTATCGATCGAACGCCCGGCCATATCGTCTCGGTGGGCGTTCCAAACGTGCGGAATATCAGGTCGAGCTGATTGTCCTCGTTGGTGCCGGCAAACAGGTAGTTTCCACAGAGCATCTCTGCCATGATGCAGCCGACGCTCCATATGTCGACTTCGGGGCCGTACTCTTTGACACCCATGAGCAGCTCTGGTGGCCGGTAGAACAGCGAGATCACCTGGTTGGTCAGTTGTGGATTGTCAAAGCACGTAGTGAATCCAAAGTCTGCCAGTTTCAGATTGAATCGGTTGTCGATCAGCAGATTCGATGGCTTTATATCTAGATGCATTATGCGTTTGCTATGACACTCCTCGAGACCCCTCAGCAATTGCTCTATAAAAAACTTGGTACATGTCAGTGGTAAGAAGTTCTTCTTTGGCGATATAAACTTCCACAGATCATATTCTATATATTCAAACACCAATACAAGCTTATCATCTAGGAGGAATCAGTTAGTAAAAGTGTATTTTAATGGTTGATTGATTCCGATAATTTAATAGCTAATGTGTACTTACCATTTGTATAGAAATGATCTGTTAGTTGAACTATATTTTTGCATTCTCTCAGTTTGCTTAGGTATTTAACTTCTACTGGCACACCATTTTCAGTGTTCATGATGGATATCACTTTAAGTGCAACCAATTTATTTGTCATTAGACTTATGGCTTTGTATACTTTGCTGTAATCATTATTATAATGAATAATCTGACGGTCAGTCATAATGTTGTGTGTGAAAGACTGTTCTATATTTATATTAATGATGAATACATACCCGTAGGAACCTGAGCCTATAAGCTCAATTATATGAAAAGAGTCCATTTATAATAATTTTATTATATATGTGAAGTTTTGATTTGTCTATCAATTGTGGTGTAAGTGTGAAAAGTGAAATATATATATATAAATGTTATAAATATAAAAATATATATATATAATAGGTAGGTAAACTGGTTAAACAAACAAAAAATAAATAAATAAAATTTATAATATTTAAAGTAGTTTTAACTTCAACCTTTACTATATTATAATATAAATATTTTATTTATTCCTCTATTGTTGTCCAACTTGGTGTACTTTGGAACAAAGGTGGAGGTTTTAAAGGGAATATTATTATTATTATTGTTTTTTTTAAAAAAAAAAAAAACTTAACAATAAAATTTATTGTGTGACACAAACTGTGAGAGAACAAGACAAGTATACTTGGACAAAAAAAGAAATAGATAGAATTTATATATTATTATTACTATCAATATCAATAACAATAATAATATTTAAAAAGAAATATTGTGTTTGTAATAATAATTAATCTATCTATTTGTATTACTGTCAAGTCAATATTGTGTGGGATATATTATCAGATAGAGAGAGAGAAAGAAAGGATCTTTAGTTGATAGTACAACTTTTTGTTTTGTTATTCTTTTTTTATAAAAAAAAAAAAAAAATTTTATATTGTACGTTGTTTTGTGAGTGATAACTGACGACAAAAAAAATATATATATATAAAAATATTTTTTAATATATGATAACAAAGATTATTAACAAAATATATTATAAAATAGTTATCTTTATATATTTATCTACTATTATTATAGTTAATACTTTTGTCTACTATCTAATAATTACTATGATAATATGTGTTTTTTTGTATGGAGTTTTTTTTTTTTTAAGCTTTACCAGTAGTTTTCTCACCAAAATTCGTCGCTCAAAAAATCCAAAAAAAAAAAAAAACAAAACAAAAACAATTTTTACAAAATCACCAATACCGAGGATGAGGTCTAATCCTCTCCATCCATTGATGTCCTGACTTTCTTGGGTGTGTGATTACTCTTATTCAGATATCATCATGTTTGAAAAAGATAGAGAAAATATATTTGAACGATTATAATACTCACTAAAATATATAACAAATATCTTTGAAATTTTATGTACATACAAATATTTCATTTTTATTTGTTAAACAAAAAATACCAAAAAATAGAATATAAAAAAAAAAAAAAGGTAATTTTTTGTTTGAATGTGGTTATACTAAAAAAAAGACTAGTCTGCGAGAGAGAGTTGGTTGGTTGGTTTGAAAAATGTGTATTTATATATATAAAATTATAAATCCTTTTTCCAATTTCTAAATAACAATAAAAAAAGAAATGATTATTGTCTGGATAATCATACATTCTTGAAATTGAAAAAAAACACGATATAGTAGTATGATGTTTAGTTTGGAGTGGGGAACCCTTTAAATACCCATCTTTCAAGGGAATCATCGAATCGGAAGTAAACTCTATCTTTCTTTTCATCTTCTTTAGTTGCTCTCAATCTCTTTCTTTGTTCATCTTCAATCTCTTTCTTTGCAACATCGGAAGCGGCCATATCACCATCAATAATATGTTTGGTTACGCCCTTCCAGATGTTCAACGATGACATTGGGTCGTTTGTTCTTGGATACTGTGTTTGATTTGCTTCTAACTTCTCTGTATCAATTAAAACAGTATCTGTTGGATTATAGTGATGTTTACGTGATTTAGAATGTTTCTTTTTGGATTTTTTCTGTAGTAATAACAATAAATAAAAACATTGTTAATATCATTATTATTATTTTGATGTAACTAGTTATTGATGTTTACCATTTTCTCTCCTTCGAGATAATCTATATTTACAACACCACAGAGGTAACCATTTAGATAAGCGTGATGTTCCTCCTCTTGTGCCTCCTCGTTGTAGACATAGATGTCACCCTTTACGAATTCGTTCTTGTCAAAGTGCAAGGTGGCAGAGGTGTTTGATGTTTGACACATGATATCGACAGAGTCTGTCCAATTGATTGATCTTGTACCAAAAATAACATTTTTGACGAGGGCATCTGGAAGACCCTTGTCGATTATATAAGATTCGTTGATAGTCTTGTCACCATCTCTAACTGGAATTGTAATGATAATTGAACCTGCAGTTACTATAGAAACAGAGTTCATGTGAAACTTTGCAGAGAATTGAACATTGCAATCCATGGCAATACCGTCGGTTGTTGAAATGTGGAATGCTGATAAGGGTGGGTGATGAGAGACTTGTTCAGCAATGAATCTTGCTGTAGTGGTTCCCTCACCTTCATAGGCTGGGTATCTAACAAAACATTGGTGATTCTCACCCAACAAAGCATTATATGGCTTCTTTGTGAACTATATAAATTTATATTATTATTGTTGAATAGATAGAGAATTAATAAACCTTTTTTAAAATATATATAAATATTTATCTAAAACTACGTACATTTCCATCTCTAATACACGACAAGAAATATTGAATGACAATTGCCATTCTTCTTGATGGATCTGTTTCATATAAAGCTCTTTAAATATTTAAGTTTAATTAGTAAGATATTCAAAGTACTTAAAACTTTTATAAATTACATACCCAGATAATAAGTGGAAATATTTCAAATATCTTGAGGCAGCAAGTTCAAGAATTGAATAGGGCATTAAAAAAATTGAAGGCATACTAACTCTGTTTCATCCAAAAAAATAAAATATTGGTTAGCAAATCAATAGGTGTGATAATGGTGATGATTTTGTTTGTATAGATGTCGACATACTTTGTTAGTTCTTGACCAATACCCAACTGTGAAATGAAACTCTTTACTGCACCAAAAATTGAAATTTCACGATGTTCCCATTCTCCGTGGATGTCGGCATAAGACTTTAGAGATGGATCGTTTTCGAGATGACTCATTGTATATTTGATTATTTCGAGTGATATAAACTTTTAACTAAAAGTGAAGTTGCTGTTGTTGTTGTTGATCGATAGAGTTGAGTTTGGTTAAAAAAAACAGCTGTATCTTTGTTTATCTGTTAAAAATAACTACTCTTGATATTACAATGCAAAATTGAATTGAACAGGATGTTGGTACTACTTCTTGGTTGGTTATGGAGTGCACTGAAACTCTAGTTTAATTTGAAAAAATAAAATAAATAAGTAATTTGAATTTCGACCAGATGAACTTATAAATAAAAAAACAAAATAAAATAAAAAACAAAAACTAAGAATAAATTTAAAAGAACAAATTATTATAATAATTATAAAAATATTCTACTAACACTTAAAGAATCAATGATAATATTTTAATACTGTTTGTTTGTTTTTTAAAATTTACAACTACTATGATAATGTGTATTTGTTTGCTACCAGGTCAACTATTAAAATTGAATTAATGGTTTTAAAATTGCTTTAATGTTACAATATATATTATTAGATAGAGTGAAGAAAAAACGATGAAATATCTTTTTTTTTCCTTTTTAAATTTTAACAATGATACTAGTTGATATTATTGCTGTTTTGAAAAGGAGAAGCTATTTAAAAAAAACAAAAACAAAAAAAGTAAATTTGATCTCTTAAATCAAACCTATGAATTATTTATATGGTTCAAAGCAATTAAAATGAAATAAATAGATATGAAATTAAAAGAAAAGAATGGAAATGGGAATAGAAATGGTTATGAAAAGCTAGAAATAACAAGATAATTATCTTTGTATTTGCTTATATTAATTAACTGTTACTACAAACAACACAACACAGCACAACACACAACAGCAACAACAATAGCTAAAAAAATAAAATAAAAAGAACTGAAAAACTACTCTTGAAAAAATATTTAATTATTATTATTATTAGTTGTAGTCGAAGTGCAACGATGGTTAGATAAAGATAATTAAGAATTTTGGGAAATGAGATAATGACTGACCAACACACTTTCCTGGGTATAACTGAAATGAAAATCCAACACCACACACTACCAAGCAAGCAACTCTGTGAGCTAACACACAAACACAACCAACCAATAATAACAGAGTGTGTAACTTTTTTAGTTTTTGTTTTTTTTTAATTTTTTTAATTAAATTTATTTTATTTTTCCATAGTGGTGGTGTAGTCATAAAGATGACAACACAATAACAACACACACACACACATTCACACAACAATGAATAAAGTAAAAACTAATTTTATAAAACTCACTCTTTTTTTGTTTTTAATGAAATTGTGTTGTGTATGAGTTTATGATGATGTTAGAGTGAGAGTGGTGCGTGTTGTTGTCACCTAATACAAAATTAAATTGTGATTTCGACAGGGTCACAGAATACATCAAGCTTGACGTGTGGTGTATTAAAAAAAATTGCAAAATTCTTTTGCAAAAAATAAAAAAGATGAGAGCGAATGACTGTGAAGGTGTTGGATCGAGTGTGTGCTTAACTTAAACAATGCATTGTTTCGACAAAAAGACGCATCTTTTATTTCAGGGAATTTCAATGATTCACCTTATTTCATTTTATATTATATATCTAATTATACATTATTTATTATTATTATTCAATTTTTATTAAGCAAATATATTTAATTAATGAATGAATGAATGAATGAAGAATGTAAAGTAAAGTAAAACCTAAACTAATCAATTAAATCTTATTTCGAAGATAAATTTGTGTTTTCATATCCTATTGCTATTGTACAATCTTTTTTCTTTTTTTTTGTTTCACAAAGATTCTGACTATGTTGACTGAAAGAATAAAGAAAAAAAAACAAGAATATGACCAAAAACAATAAACAAGAGTTAAAAAATTAATAATATTACTTTTTATCTATTTAAACTTATATCTATTTTAAATTAATCTTTGCTTTAAAGTGCTATAAATATATATATTTTTGGTTATCTATTTCTTTTATTACAATGTATGTGTATATATTTATAAAACTGTAATTAAAAAAAAAAAAAAGAGAAACTAAAATAAAAACAATTGGTTTAAAAAAGAGAGCTTTTGAAAGGGTGTTATTCTTCTTTTTATTGTAATTTCGAGGCATGTTCACCCCTTTTGAACGATTTTTTTAAAATAAAAAATTGGGAAACTCAAAAAAAAATTCAAAGATTTTAATTTTAATTTCTTTTCATATTAGATATTTGCTTAGATCTATAAAAATCCTATTTTGTAAATTTTAAATAATAAGATTGTAAATATTTGTGTCATATGAATTTTATTCTTTAAATAACCTTTTTATATTCTATTTATTTAAATTTACTAAACATATATGATAATAGATGATTATTTTTAGATCTTTTATTTAAATTTTATTTATTTTCATTTTTTTTAATCAATCTTATTTATTTTTATAAATAATCTTTCTTTTTGTAATAAAAGAATAAATAATTCATAATTATATCTTTTGATTAATACATAAATTTCATACATAAATTTACTGATTTTAAAATATTTAGAATAATTTTGCTAAAGTATATTGTATTTAAATTTATATATATTTAATTTAATTATAATTTATTGAGTTGATTTTGTTTCAGTGTTATCGGATTTTTGTTGTTGTTCGTTGTTTGTTGTTGAAGATTCGATTGGTGTGTTGGTTTCAGTGGTTGATGTGTTGTTTGTTGTTGATTCGATTGTAGATGATGCGGTTGATTTCGCTGGTTCAACTTCACCTGTAAGTTCAGCCCATGTTGTTTGTTCACCATAAGGTCTTGGACCGAGAAGTTCACGAAGATCGTCTCTAAGTAGAACCTCTTTCTCCAATAGTACGTTGGCAACCTTTAGGAGTTCATCTTTCTTCTCCATAAGCAGCTTGTGAGTACGATCGTAAGCATTCATAACGATCTTTCTAATCTCTTCGTCCATCATTCTGGCGGTCGCTTCACTGTATGGTTTCTCAACGGTGATGTCGCTATTCTCCTTCTTGAACGAGATGACACCGACACGCTCATTCATTCCGAAATGAACAACCTTTGACGATGCGATGTTGGTCACCTTTTCGAGATCGTCTTGTGCACCCGTTGAAATTCGGCCAAAGATGATCGACTCGGCGACACGTCCACCCAGAGTCACACAAATACGATCCTCTAGCTGCTCACGAGTGTAGAGATACTGGTCCTTTGGTTGGTATTGTGCGAATCCCAATGTTCCCATTCCTCTTGGCACGATCGACACCTTCAACAGCGGGTCGGTGTGCTCGAGGAACCAACCGACAATGGCGTGTCCGGCTTCGTGGTGTGCAACGATATTTCTCTCATCCTTGGAGAGCACACGGTTCTTTCTTTCGAGACCGACCAACACACGTTCGATGGCCTCCTCAAAGTGCTTGAAATTCGCTTTCAATGCGTTCTTACGTGCGGCAATCAAAGCACCTTCGTTACAGACGTTGGAGATGTCGGCACCACTGAATCCCGGGGTGAGAGTAGCCAACTTTTTGGCGAGATCTTCCATGTCGCCGTCGATTTTGATGTTCTTTAGATGCACCATGAAGATATCTTTACGTCCCTTGATGTCGGGCTCGCCAATGTAGATGGTACGATCGAAACGACCTGGACGCAACAAAGCAGAGTCGAGAACATCCGGTCTGTTGGTACCGGCGAATACAACGACACCTTCGGTCGAACCGAAACCATCCATCTCCACCAACAGCTGATTCAGAGTGTTTTCACGCTCGTCATTGTGGAATCCACCACGCGAACGAGATCTTCCAACGGCGTCAATCTCATCGATAAAGACGATACACGGTGCATTCTCACGTGCCTCCTTGAAGAGATCACGAACACGCGATGGACCAACACCAACAAACATCTCAATAAAGTCGGAACCCGAGATTGTAAAGAAAGGAACGCCCGACTCACCGGCTGTCGCCTTGGCGATGAGCGTCTTACCGGTACCGGGTGGACCGACCAAGATGGCACCCTTTGGGATCTTGGCACCGAGACGTTTGTACTTTTGTGGATTCTTTAGGAACGATACAAACTCCATGATCTCCTCTTTGGCTTCGTCCATACCGGCGACGTCCTTAAAGGTGGTTGTCGACTGACCACGAGTCACCTTCGACTTGCCAAAGATACCGCCAGGACCTTTACCGAGTGTTCCACCCAGGTTTCTCGAGAAATAGGTGATCGCAGCGATAAAGAATACAGTGGGGAGCACCGCTAGTATCTCCTTTACGATTCGGTTCTCCTTGACGTAGCTGGCAAATATTTGGTCGCCCAACTCGACGCCCAGATCCACTTGATCTTGCTCCAACTTTCTCTGGAAATCATCGACGTTTGGCACGTTGATTTTATATACACGCAATCCTTCCGATGTCTTTACATAGATGTAGGCAACGTTCGATTGAATCAAAATCTTGTAGATAGTACCCGATGGCAACAGTACCGATCGGAATGTATGATAATCTATATATCCTTTATCTCCAAGATTGTTGATTGCCAATCCTGCACCAATCAAAATAGCTGATACAATACCTGAAATCTCTATTCATTTATTAAAAAATAAGTAAGAATCATTTATTGTCGTCAAACAAGATCTTAAAATAAACTATAGTTGTTGATTACATACTCAAGACATTAAACAATGAATTACTTGTGAGATCACTACCATCTTTAGCATCATTTCTATCTTTTTCTTTCTTTTTCTCTTCTTTTTCTTTTTCTTTTTCTTTCTCCTTTTCTTTTTCTTTCTCCTTTTCTTTCTCTTTCTCTTTCTCCTTTTCTTTCTCTTTTTCCTTTTCTTTTTCTTTATTTTCTTGTTCCTTGTTATTATCTTTATTTTCGTTTTCCTTTGGTTGATCGTCTAGTTTCTTTTCGGACTCATTTTCATTCTTCTTTTCGTCTTTAGGTAATTCGTTGTTTGATTGCTGTGAACTAAAGTATCTCTTTAGCAATGAATCATTGTTTTGTTGGTGATTATATCTATTATTAAAATTAGATAGTGAAAATGATGATGTAAAACTATTATTAATAACAAATTGTGGTTGTTGTTGTTGTTGTTTACTATATATATTATTGTTGTTGTTATTGTTATTATTATTACTGTGGGTGCTATTGTAACATTTGATTAAAGTGGATAATGTTGATTGTTGTTGATTACAACGATGATTGTTGTTATTTAAATATTTCTGTACATATGATCTATATTTTAATAAAGAAGTCATTGTATCTCTTATCTATCTAATATATATATAATGCAAAATACAACTATCTTTATTGACTGATCAGTTAATTAAAAAAAATAAAATAAAATATGATTATAAAAAATCAATGACAAAAAAAAAATGTATAAAAACGAAGAATCTCAGTTCTAATGATCTTTTATTTTTTTAAAAATGATGTTTGATTTCAATGACACATACTTTACATGGTATGAAATTTTGGTGATGAAAAAAATAGCTATTAAACAGTCACATTCAATATTCAATATTCAATTAATTAATTAAAGTAGTTTAATAATAATAATAATTAAAGTATTTGTTATTTATTCTTTTATCAAAGTTATCATTTTGTGGTAATTATTTTGAATTAATTTTCACAATTGAATGGATAGATGACTAGTCACGGTTTAACAATTGTTACCCCATCTATTGAAGGATCCACAACCTCTATCGAATCTGTTTGAACCACAACCATTATTGAAGTCACCGCAACCATTGTTGAAGTCGTTATCCCAACCACCATTACCAAAGCATGCAATGTTGTTTGAAGATTGTGAACCACCGGTATTGATTCCCACGCTGTGAGAGTTCTCGACTGAAGACAAGATAGTTCCGTTGGAGAGTGATTTCATTGAACCAAAAATCATTTTTTATTTGTTTCTGTAAATTTTATAAGTAATAATTTATTTGTTAATATACTTTATTATTTAAATAATGAATTGAATAATATGCTAATTTTATTGTAAATTTATAGTTATTTATAAAGTTAAATTTAGTTAAATATATCAATCATTTCATTTATCATTCAATTAGTCAATCGTCAGTCTATCTTATTTAGGTATTGTGTTTACATTTTTTTAACAATATGAACTTTTATTAAAAAAAGCAAACAACTTGACTTGTTGTTTCAAAATGATTTAAAATAAATGTAATAATTTCTTCTTATCATCTTTTTTCCATTTTGATAATTTTTCATATTGTTCTTGATTCATTCCAAATACCGCTTCGAATTCCTGTGGTGACAAGTATTTCTCTAGGTTCTGTGGATCTAAACCTTTGCGGTCACCTTTCACAAGTGTTTTGTACTCACGAACGCTTGTGAATGGTTCGTACTTTGGTTTCATTGCTTCTCTTTGTTTCTGTAATTCTAATAGGCGCTTCTTCTTCTCTAGTTCCTGTTGTTCCTTTTGCTGTTGTTCTTGTTGCAGATGTTGTTGTTCCATCTCCAAGGCTTTCTGTGCACGTAGCTGTTGTTTAATCTTATTTTCGATGGCTTTCTCGTTTTGTTTCTGTGATTTCTGTCGCCATTCATTACCCGATGACTCTGAGTATTTAATTGGTTTGAGAATCAGTTCGTTTGGATACATCTTGAGTTCACCCATCAACGGTAGAGAGTGTAGCGACAGACGTGTCAGACGGAACAAATTGCACTTGTCACGAACAAAGTCTATGGCGGATTGAGTGATATTCATGCAGTCACGAAGGAACAGTTTCTCGAGGTACAGTTGGTTGTGGGCAAGTGCATAGATTGACTTGTCAGTGATGAGAGTACATGCGCTAATATCGATATGTCGCAACATGAAGAGATTCTCTGCAAAGTAAAGTACTGCAGTGTCGTTCAAACTTGCACAGCCAACCATCAAGAGTTCTTCCAGCTTTGTCAGATGTTTACCAATCATAAAGAATGCCTTGGTCGATAATCTGAGACATTGGGAGATATCCAGATGCTTCAGACGGTGTAGAGATTTGCATATCGATTGCATAGAGTTGTCCAACAGCCGATAGTTGTCACTGATGTCCAGGTATTCAAGTTGGGTGAGGAATCCTATCGATGAGAATGAGAGGTCTGTCAGCTGCAGACACGACTTGACAGAGAGTGATGTCAGGTTGAGAAGCGATGCAGTTATATTCAGGAAACTTTGGTGACTGATTTGAGATTTCTTGATGGAGAGTGTTTGGAGTGACGGAGTTGAAAGTTCCAGGGTTCCATCGATGTCGGTAATCTTTGTACACGAATCCAATCTTAGATGTATAACTCCTGGGAATTGGTTACTAATGATACTGACAATCTCATTGTTCACCTTTGGATTTTCCGATAGATTGATAGCTGTCAGTTTCGTACAGAGTTGAAGAAGTGTTATCAATGATTCCACAGAGAGTTGTGGACACATCGACAAGTCAATTCTCTCTAGCACTCCAGAGAGTTGAGTGGAAATCGCTTCCACTGCCACATCAGAGAGTGAATGGCAACGTGACAGTTTCATATCTTCGATCTTACTACATCGTTGGACAATATTGATAATTCCAGTGTCTGTTATGAATTTACAGCTCTTGAGTGATATCTTTCTGAGCGACGGCATCTTTTGTGAGATGTTGAGAGCTGCGGCATCAGTAATATTGTAACACGCTTCGAGAATAAGTGATTCCAGTTGTGGGCATTGCGGTAGTTGTATGAACGTCTGGTCGGAAATCTTGGAGCAAGAACTGAGATCCAAGACACGGAGTTGTGAGCAACTAAACGTCACCAGTGCTTCATCGCTGATTCTATTTTCATTGCGAATCGATAGCTCCTGGATATTGTGTGCAAACAAAAGTGCCACCACCTCATTGGTCACCTTACACTTGGAGATATCGATCTTCTTCAACTTTGGAATTTGAGCGAGTTGACGTAGATTCTCGGTGGTTACCATCGGACAGTTCTGGATATCAAGACTATGAATGAGTTGACAAAAGTTTGAAATAATGGTGATTGATTTCGAGCTGATCAGTGTCATTGAGAGGTTGAGTGTCGTCAGTGGTTTACCATGATTGGTGAGAAACTCTGATATACCATCGTCAGTCAACAACGGACAGTTGGAAAGATTCAGATCCTCCATGCTTTGAAATACACCGGCAATCGATGACAATGTTTGATTTCCAATGGAAGTCATCATCAAATTTACCTTTTTCAAACCAACCGACTTTTCCCTAAGTCTATTCATCACAACCGTAGATATAGATGCCACCTTTAAGAAATCACACAACTCTTGTTGTTGATTAGTTATTGCAGAATCAATCTTATCTTTACAATATTGATTGTCAATACTAATCAACAATTCCAACAATTCCTTTAATTCGATAATAAAAGGATTTTCTAAACTTGTATCAATCTATAAAAAATTAATAAAAGTAAATAATTTATAATTCTTATAAAATACTTGATAGTTTAAACTTACTCTTATAATTTCAAATAATGAATCTAAATACATTGAATATGCTTTGTTATCTTGGAAATATTTTCCTCTTACTAGTAGCCTGAATATATAGGTAGCAGGATAGTAGAGTTTTCTATTTCCAACTTTTGATCTCAACCAAATGTCTCTTCCAATCTCTAGGATTTCAGATTTGACAGAGTTTGAAAGTAGTAGTGCCTGTTGGAATTTAGTTGCCGCTTCAATGTAGAAATTGTTTCTTTCTTTCTCTTCTTCGAAATCGTAGAATGGCCGGTAGATGTATGACTTTCCAAGTAGTAGTTTGACCGATGCATCTTTGGGATTGAATCGTTCCAGTCCGAGACATATCAGCGTCACTCCAATGATGTAGGTAGACCAACCTTCGAGACCACGATCAAAGAGATTACGAGCACTGTCCAACACCGAGGCAAAGAGATCCGACTGCTTCTCGGGATGTTCATACTTTAGTGCCATTTCAAATTCATCCGCTGCCATCTTGTAGTATCGCTGACACTTGAATGGAACGGAGTGGAAGTGTTGCGCTATGAGGATGTAGACATGTGCCAGTTCATAGTATGCAGGTGAGTAAGTCGGAGATATCTGTATGGCATCCTTGAACTTTAGAGCAGCTTCCTCCAGTGTCTTGATATATTGATTCTTACCAAAACCACCGGTGACCGAAGTGATAGAGTCGGCCTGGACTACCAATGTTCTGCCAAGCTGACAAATACAATCAAAGTTTTCCGGGTTGGATTTCAGTGACGATTGGAACTTGGAAGTCGCCATCTTTAGTAACCTCAGACGTTCACGTCCCTTTTTGTTTTGTGCTGCCATCGATAGTGCCATTCCCTCTGCATAATCCACGATATTCATATGCTTTACATTCGAGTAGATTTCAATGATATCGGAATCGACAAACTGGAACATATGCGGATCGCGTGAGAACTCATACTGAGCAATAGGAGACAGAGTGATTCCAGTGAGAAGCTGCAGTCGTTCAAACAGATTCTTTGGGTTGATTCTCTCCATCCATGTTTCCTCTTGTGATTCCTCAATCTGTTGATCCGGACTGTCTGGATTACGATAGGAGAATGCCATATAGAATTTACTTGATATAGTTTGTCTGATTCTCGTCCATATATCGGATTTAAAGTCGAGCACCTTATTGAATATAGTGATAACAACCTCTTTGAATGGTTCTTCTGACAATCCATGAACCTCTTTCATCTTTAGTCTCATATCCTCTTTGATAATACACTTAATGGAACGTGCTGCCATCTCGAGTAGCAACAGATCACGCAGTCGATTCGAGATGGAATGCGATCGCAGTCTTCCCATGTGTCGAAGGTTGATACCGAGTCTGTGCATCTCCTCTATGATCATAAGCAGATATCGAGGTGTTTCATTCTTGACAGTGTTGAGTGAACGAGTAAGTTTCTTGACTGGCAACTCTGGGATCGCCATTGAACTGGTTGATTCTATACTCTCCATAAGATTGGTATTATTAATCTCCGCGGTGACTTGTTGCTGTGCGTGTGTTTGGATATTGGTAATTCCTTCGAAACGTTTCTGGATGATTGGGAGGAACTTTGTTGCAAACTGTGTTTTGATTTCATCGAAATTCGATGGTTCCTCGCCAGGCACCACTGGATTTGCACTAAACAATGACGTTCCTTTGTATTCACGATCCAACTTTAGCGACAACTGCGGAATGATTACAGTGAGTAGATGTTGAGTTGCATCTTCCACCTCGGCATTGTGCTCTTGTTTCTCGGCGTCCAGTCGTTGCCAGCCAGTGAAAGCATCGCTACAAAGTGGACGCTCCCACTTGGCAACAAACTCTGGTCGTAACAAATTGTAAAAGATACTACGTTTGTTGACATCGTCACGTTTCACCAATGCTTCCGGTGGGAATGTCCTACTAAAGTCGATAACGTAGTAACGGTTGTCATTACCGAGATGCGCTTCCAAGTCGCCTGGACTAGGCAACACCTTGGAATGTTCTTCGACACTGCCCACCAAATGAGGTTTCAAATTGATTCTCTTTCCGGCTTCCGCCATCTTCTGACTCAAATCCACTATGGAATCATGAACAATCGAACCACTATCGCTCGATCCATATCTTATCGTATCGGAATTGATTGGTAACAATGACAATGCAATTAATCTAAATCCTTTATAATCAATTAAAGCAATCTATTATGAAAGAATAATAATAATTATAGTAATCATTAGTAAGTATTTAAAACAGTCATTCAAATTCCAAATTAAATTTAAACATACCAATGGATAATGAAGACCATTAACTTGAGCCATATAATATGAAATCAATCCTTTAAGTTCGTTCGATGCAGATTTAGAAGCATAGTCATCTCTTGGAACAGGTCCACCGTACATCCAACAATCTTCATTCAACATTGAATCCATAGCAAATTTGAATAGAATTCCCTGACAATAATACTTTAAACCACCTGCAAAACCACCCATATCCACAGGTCTCAAACTCTTTTGTTCAAAAGGTAAACATAATTCATTTATAATAATTGTAGCCTATAATAATAATAATAATAAATAATTAATCAAAATGATTCCTAGCCTATCTATCTTTCTATCTATGTACATACATATATTTTTGCAGCATATACAAAATCTCTTGCCAAGTGTGATAGTTTTCTAAATTTTAATTCGGTATCTTCCATTGCCAACAGTGTTTGAAATTCATCATTCCAATTCATTTGTTTAGTTACTAATAATAATAATAAGAGATTGAATGATATGTTAATACTGATTGATAATCAATCTAATTCATTTCTATTTATTCTCTTTTTAAATGCTTACCAACAGAAGTATATCTATGTAGTTGTGATTGAATGTGAATGGAACCAGCACTGGAAGCACCATTACCGCTGTGAATTGAGTTGTTACTACCAACAGGTATAGGTTTAAAAGGTGATGCACTATGTAGATTCCTGTTGGTAGCATTCGAATCCTCCTGCACATAATTATCTATTAAATCAGAGCCATCGATCGATACATCGGTATCACTTAATGCATATGATGATATATAATTATCTTTATTCTTTTCGTTATTAAAATGATTATTATTATTATTACTATTGTTATTTACATAAGATATATTATTGCTATTATTATTTACATATGATATATTATTATTATTATTACTATTTACATTATTACTATTACTCTTTCCATTAATATTTGTATTTATATTTGTATTTGTATAACAACCAAAATCTATAGGTTTCTTAAATAAAGACTTTTTATTCTTCTTTATTTGTTTTTTATTCTTTAATATTATTTGATTATTCTCATCTAAATCTTTATTTGAATCATCGGATGAATCATTTATCAATTCATAATCATCATCATCATCGTCTGATTCTTCTGATGTTTCATAATCTTCCACTTCATCCTCATCTCCAACTTCAACTTCATCATCATCATATTCTTGTTCATCTTCTTTCTCTTCTTTATGATTATTTATTGATATTTTATTAATAACACTTGTAATATTGTTTATATTATTTATATTATTACTATTATTAATGATGGTTGTAGGTGTTGGTTTTTGTTCACCGTTTAGCTTATTTTTCAAACGATTTGCATTGTATTGTTGTTGTGAAATTTCATTGTAATCGTTAAAGTATGAATAGATATCAAAGTCATAGACCTTTGATTTATTAAATGAATACATATCATTAATCTAAAAAATATATTAATATAATAATCGATGGTATAAAATTAATTAAAATAAAAATCAATGAAAAAAAAATAAGATTTATTTGTTTTTTTTTTTTTTTTTTTTTTTTTTTGCACACACTTTGGATCGATGTCAAATCAAATCAAACCCATTAATGGGTTAACAATGGGTTTTCAAAGTAAATAATTTATTACTGTATTTTATTTGTATCTTTGTTTGTTTTGTACAAAATATATATTCTATTTTAAACTAAAACATCAGTATCTTTGTTTTGTGAACAAAAAAATAGTTGTTTTTCAAGTATTCTTTATTCTTCCTAAATTTGAAATTTAGATGAAATTCAAAAAGATATTTCTCTGCTAAATAATCTGCAAGTCGAACAATTCCCCCATTATTATTATTAATTTTAGTAGTCAGACAAAAATAAAGATTCCTCACATTTTTTGCTTCTTTCTGATTTTTGTTGATATCATTATTATTTACATTTTTTAATTGGTTTTTTAAAAAAAACAATTTGGTGTCTGTTATTATAAAAATAAAAATAATAACTAGAGAGAATCAAATCTAAATTTGTTCAGGAAGAAGTGTCACTTCAAATTAATTTAAAATTATTCTGATGTTTTATCGATTCCTTTTGAAATCATAATGATTATACTAAATAAATGTAATTTCAAAAATCTGATCACCCAATTAAGTTATATACCAATTCACAAAGCATTTGCTAATAGTTTAATTAAATCAAAAAGCTTCGAGAAGCTGATTCGATGAAGACTTGTTTGATTGAGTAATACCAAAAAATGTTCTTGTCTATTTTAGACCCCACTTTGAAATTTACCACCTTTTTTTTTTTTATTCAACCACCAAAATATTTTTTTTGGAACTACATAATCCATTTAATATAAATAGCTCTAGTTTTGGAAAATAATAAATACAAAACAATTTAAATATTAACCAAAATAAAATTAAATTTTTATATTAATCATGGAATCTACACCAAGCATTGAACTCTATGGAACTGGATCACCAAATGTCCACAAGATTACTCTTGCTCTTGAAGAAATGAATATTCCATTTATATTTCATAAAGTCAACATCAGAGCTGGAGAACAATATACTGAAACTTTCAAAAAGCTCAATCCAAACAGTAAATTACCAGCCTTAGTTGATCACTCAGTAGGTGTTTCCATCTTTGAATCAGGTAACATTTTGCAATACTTGGCAACTCGTTATGGAAATGGAAAATACCTTCCAAATCAAAATACAGATCTCAAAGGTCATACTGAAGTTATGAATTGGGTATTTTGGCAAATGGCAGGATTGGGACCTAATTTCGGTCAATTCTATCACTTCTCTCATTAGTAAGTATAAATGTTTTTTTTGTAATTTAAAAAATTATTTGTAAAAATTAATTGTTTAATATTTTAGCGCTGGAGAAAAGCATGAGTATGCTATTCAAAGATTCCTTAACGAAACAACTAGACTCTTCTTGGTTTTAGAAAAACAATTGGCTAGTAACAAGTTTGTTGTTGGTGATACTTATACTATTGCTGATATGGTATGAATATTAAAAATATTATTTTCTTCTTTTTATTCATTTATTAATTTAAAAATAGGCAATTTATCCATGGGCAAAATACATTAAATTAATTCCTGAATTGAAGCATGAGGAATTCCCCAATGTTTATTCTTATATTGATAGAGTTCGTCAAATTCCATCAGTTGACAAGGTTATATCAGCTGTGGAAGAAGATCAAAAGCAGAACCCACCAAAGCCACCTACTGAGGAAGAAAAGAAATGGATGTTCAACGTAGATGGAAGATCCACTAAAGCATAGAGTTCGAATCAAATTACTATAACAACCTTTACTTTAAAGGATTCAAAATCAATCATGTTTGAAACAAATAAAAAAATGTTTTTTTTTTCGAAAATTACAAATTTACAAAAGGAAAAATTCTATTTTAATTTTTCTTATCCTTAAACTTACCCAATGTGCTTTGAGCATTTAACTATATCTTTCAATTTTTTGATAATATGTATATGTCCATACATTCTAGCAATTAAATATATAGATTTTAACTTTTCTTCATGAAATAGATTCTTTTCGATTGCATAGAGGATTGTTTTATATTGATTATTAGTTGTTAGGTTGGTGATATTGTTTATCTTTTCTGTTGGAAAGCCTCTATGATATACGGTGGCCAAGAGATGTTCCATGATTTGATAAAAGACCACGATCTGAGAGTCACCGAAATTCAAGAATCCATTGACAATGGCCTGGTAATCGATTGACATTGGTTTCAACTTTATGATCGATGATAACCAATGAGCACTACGCTTTATAACAACAAACATTTCAAAGTGTTTTATAAAATCTTTGTTTCTATTGTAAAGATACTCAGCTACGTCTAATCTACCATATCGAACTAATCTACTGAATGAAAGTGCCCAATGTCCAATGGTATGATTAATGTCAGGTTGTGTTGAAAATAATAAAATGAATATTTCGAGAGGGAGTTCCAAAATCGTGCATTGGTTGACCAGTTGAAGTAGTTGATCTATTGGCAACACTCTATTCCTTATTAGGATAGTTATTACCTCTTTAATAAAGGTAATACTGTTTGGATGAATATAATCGAGTCGAAAGTTATATCTGTAGTCATATTTTAAACTGGTTTCTATCATTAGTTTATCCAATGCCAATGAGATCGCAATATTTGATTCTACGATAAGTCTAAAGATTTCCAAGTGTATATTATGTCCATCGATAATTTGAAGTTGAGATTCTGAAGGTTTGCTCTTCATATTATATTCGTGTGATGGCATGAATGGAGTTTCAGGATTAACAAACTGAAGGTATCTTTGTGCTGCATACAGATTACCTGCTCTATAACAATAGACCAACAGTTCATTATAATTAATATTTCCAATAACATTCGGAAATTGATCTAATTTTTCAATGTAATCCAATAATTTAATATTCATTGATGAAATTACTGATTGAAATAATTCCATTCTGCTCATTTTAAGTCCTTTAGAGATAAGCTTCTCTATTAAAACTTGGCTAATGATATCACGATGGATGTTTGAAAAAAAATAAATTGTTGTTGTAAGATTTGAAAAGTCGTTATTGTCCAAAATGAAATGTACAATTCCAAGTGATGTGCCTTGAGAAAGTGAAAATCTAAGATTGTTATCGATTTCACCGTGAGTAATATTGTTTTGAACAAGGTAGATGTATGAATCCAATCGGTCGAGTTGTATTGCCTTTAGGTAAACCAGTCGATTCTTAAATATCTCGGGATTAACAAGTAGCAATCTCTCGATAACCACACTACCATGAGCAGCTGCCTCAGAAAAACGTGTTTGTGTGAACAATTCTGGTCTATCTCTTAACATGCCGAGAAGAGGTTCCAAGATGACTAGATCTCCAATCGCCAAGGCAGAAGTCAAGTGGTAACTCCATCCATGTTCAACACTCACTCTGTATATTGAATCGTTTTTCAAATCGCCAAACCAACGAATATAATTATCCAAACGGTTGACATTTCTATTGTTATTATTATTATTATCGTTATTATTGTTATCTTTGCTATTATTTATAAATTTACAAATATCATTATAATAGTGTTCGAATATGAATTGAAGGTATTGACTGTTGTAATGTTTCTTTACTATTTCTATACGATCAAGTCTCTTTGATACAAGTAATCCTTCGAGTAATTCATAGACGATGGATTGGGGAATTGGTTTATCCAAGAGACTAATGAATAGGTCAAACAGAGTATTGCTCGATTCAATTGCAAATCGTTTCACGGCATTCGGTGTGATCACTCCCCAATCCAAGATACTAATCGAAGACTGACATCTTCCTGAAAATTGTCGATTGTACTCTTCTTTGTATTTGTTGAAAAGGAACTTTAATACTCTGTAGTTACCGAGATTCAAAGCGAACAAGAACATCTTGTTGAGACTACCTTCGGTGACACCATCGAGCATAGGTTGTTCAACGCACGGAAAGTAATCCAAGAATAGATCGGATCTACCATATCTTAGCATCTCTAGCAATGAACATCTCTTCTCAAACTCTCCTCCTATTACAACGTCTAACGATAACTGATTATGTATTAAAGATATATTGTCAAATATGATATTTTTTAAATAAGATGAACTAAGTAATCGACTTAATAAATATTTTCTATAATCTTTATTCATTTTTAAGTTATAAAAAAAATGAATAATACAAGTGAACTTAAATGAATCAGTTAACTGATGGGATGCTAAAAATTAAATTAAATTGAACTTTTTTTTTTTTATAAAAAATGGTGTATCTCTTTTTTTTAAACACACACACATTCAATATAAAATTGATATTTATCTTTTATATGCACTCTTTGTAATTTCATTTTTAGGTGGAGTTATTATAGCAAATAAATATTTATATAAAAAGAATAAAATAGTAGTAATACAAAACTGAGACACAAAGAATTAAACATCAAAAAGAATAACATCTTCATTATTTCTTCAACAATTTACAAAAACCTATTTCGTTGTTCGTCAAATGTTAATAATAAATCCTATTTCGTTAAACATTTTTTTTATTTTTTTATTGTTATTACAATAAGTAGTCATTGTTATCACTAGAGTCAAGCAAATTTCAATCGATTAATTTTGACTTTGAATACAAAAATATTTCAAGACTCGGCATTCAAACTTTAAATAATATGCTCCACACTAAAACACAACAACGGAAAGTGTGAGAGGTTTTTGAGATTAACTATCACATCCATGGGAGGAAGATCAACTGGTTTTGGATGCAGAATCTTTTATAAGAGATGCTCATACCATTATAGATATGTCAATAGATAAGACTAATTATATCACAGCAGTTTTTTCTTTATTTTATCCTTTTTCCATCATATTAATTTAATATCGCCAGTAAAATACTTTTTTTTTTTTTTTTTTGAAACCTAAATTTTGTTGAATCGTAGTAAAAAAAGTATATCATATCACTTTTTGTTATTTGCTGTATCATTTTTATCATTCTATCCTGTTATTTCATTTATATATTTTTTTTTAAATTAATTTAGATACTATATCTAGTCACAGATCCAGATAGATCCACCAACCGCAACAACAACCTATAAATAAACCTGCACGTCTGCAATACATTCATTATTCTTATCACTCACATTCACAGTACTATATACATTAGTCTTAAACTTTATATATAAAAGATCAAATTACAGAATATCATAAAATAAATAAAGATGTTAATATTGGAGAATTTGTAACAAAACTATATGAAAATTTCCACCAACAACAACAACAACACAATAAATAAACTTGCTCCAAAACCAGTTGATCTTCCTCCCATGGATGTGACAGTTAATCTCAAAAACCCAATCACCATAAAGAAAAAAACCATCAAACAAACCACTCACGATATCAGCAAAAAAAAACTTAAAATTTTTATTCACAAACAGCAAATTCCAATAATGTTTTTTTTAAAATTTTAGTTTTTTTTTTTATAAACTTTGATTTTTAATTTCAGTGCCGCATATAAATATCAAGATGTTCACCACAACATACCATATATTTATTTACCAAGACTATTCACATTTGTAAACAAATTATACACATTTTATAAATACATAATAAACATTATCATGACTTTTGGAACTATTTTTTCTTTCTATGGTAACCCAGGTATTTATTATTTGGTATTCAAACGAAATAAACTATTTTTAGAAATTAATTTATTTACAAATTTATTATTACAAACTAAAGGCAGTGGAAAAAGTACACTCTGTAATGCTAAATTGAGGAAAACAGTATTTAAATCTGGTGTGAGTGTAGGAACTGGATTGACAACTTTTTCAGAATCACATCAAGATGGAAACAATCTTATCATTGATTCTCCAGGTATGTATTTAAAAATATATTATATATTAAAAAAATATTAAAAAAAAACTTATCTAATTAATATTATTCCTCCAGGTTTAGCAGATCCAATAAAGAGAAATGAAGCTGCCAAACAAATCGAATCATCACTTAAAAAGGTACTTAATATTATTGATAATATTGATTATCCTGAAGGTTTATTAACAAATTGAAACTGTTAAAGAATGGCAATTATGTTATTGTGTTTGTAGTTACTTTAGAGTCAGGTAGAGTGCGACTTCAAGATGTTGAAACATTAAATAGTATTTTAAAGGCAATTACTGTTGAATTTGAATATGGTTTAATTATCAACAAAGTAACCAAACAAGTACATCAACATTTGTTGAGTTCACCTGCCAATCTTCAAGCTTGTATTCAAATGGTAGAGAAACAACCGCTGAGAACTCTCATTGTCAAACACATGTCCGAGCTGTACGATGAAGATAATGTTTTGGTTGAGGATAAAGAAACATTGGATTCTCTAAACGGTTTCCTTGAATCTTTACCAAGAAACTTTATTGAACAAAAAGATGTTACAACTGTTGAAGTCAAGGATTATGACAAGAAAGTGAAAGAGATGGAACTACTTATGACCAAGTTAACCGAGCAAATAGAATTGGAGAAAGAGAACAACAAGAAGTTGGGTGAGAAAACTCTGAAATTGGAAGCTGATTTAACGCAGCAAAGATTAGAGAGTAAAGAGAGTACTGAAAGAATGATGAATCAAATTTTGGATATGAATCAGAAACAGATAGAGCAGACTGCCGAGTTTCAAAGAAATATGCAAGAACAAATGAGACTGACCACTGAAGCATTGAACAAACCTCCTGTTATCATTGAGAAAGGTGGATCAGGTCCTTGTTCAATAATGTAGAATACTTAACAAAGATGTGTTGGAAATTATATTATTAATCTATTTGAATACTTTTAGATTCATATTATGCTGTCTAGATAATGTATATATATATATCAGTTGTATAAATCTTATAATAAGTTCAAATAAATTCACTCTTTTATTTAATTGCATTTTTTAAATAATTTGTTAAACAATTAATATTCAGAATTGCAGAGTCGATATTCAATATATTATTAGCATATAATAATATGAATTGTTGATCTAATCTTCTGATGTTAAATGTAAATTGTTCATTGGTGATTGTAATGTTTTTAATGCTTGATGGAATGTTCATCAAGTTATCATTGGCATCTATGAATGCAGTGTCGATTGATATCGATTGAATTGAAGGTGGCCAAACATTTTGTTCTACTTTTAATCGAAAATCATTGAAATCTATTATTTCCACTGATGCAGGTATTGACTGATCTGTTAATTTCGTTGATCGATTCAATTTGATTGATTTGATCGATGTGTTGTTTAATCGTTGGTTACCATCATTATTGAACGAACCATAATCGATAAACTTTAAATTTGGTAAATGATTACAACTGTTTATAATATCATCGAATTGAAAATTTCTGTTTACAGGAATTGAGATACTGATTAAACTTGTTGGAAGTGGTCCAATTTTATCATTATTGCTCAATGAAACCCTAGATAGATCCAATGTTTCTAAATGTTGAAGTGTTGAGAATGTATTTGTATAAACCGATGATATCTGAGCTTTAAATGAGAATTTACCAACCACACTGATATGCTTGATGTTGGAAGGTAACATTTCTCTACAAATGTTTATTGTTTTATAAAAATTGCACAAAGTCAAATGAGTGACACTCTCTGGAATATCACCGACTCTAATCAAAACCAAGCCGAGTGTAGAGACAGTAATTCGAAGTGTGTGTATCGATGTCAGATGTTTTATTCTTGGTAAATCGTTGGTGTGTATTGAAACTCTCTTTAGAGTTGATGGCATCTGATGTGTATCGTTGCCGATAAATATGTTAAAGATCCCCATGGCGTTGTAATCAAACTCTTCAAGGTTGGGTGGGAGTGATCCGACTTCAATTCCTCTACATCCATATCCATAAATCTCCAGAACTTTTAGTGTTCGTGGTAATAACGATACATTGATTGGATTATTGACGCTACAATCTAAAGATTCCAATTCCAATGGCAAGAACGATTCGTTAAACTGGAAAATAGAGATTATTTCTTTGATATTCGATGGAAGTTTAATGTTGTTTTGAAAATCACAATAGTTTGCCAAACATAACGAATTTGCATTGGATTTACTTATCATCTGAATAAGTTCATCATTAATCTCTAAATTAATTGATATAAATTAATAACTTTTTAATATGACTATGTTTTTAATTATCTACATACCACTAGTTTGAACAATCTCGACTGAATTTGGTCTAATTTTAAAAAGCTTCAGAAAAACAATGTACTCTTGTATTTCATCTTTCTCAACAATAAGTACAAGATGTTTTTTATTTATACTTTGATTGATTGATAGTTGAAATAACTCTTTATATGAATTCAATGTAAAGTTTTTATAAATATCGAAAGAACTTGAACTCATAAATGTTTCATTGTTGAAACAAAGATATTTATTACGATTATCAAACCATCTTTTACAAACTAAACTGAAACTGATTCTATCTATACTTTCATCTAAATTGTTTATTATTTTATTTAATAATATAAATGGTAGATTTATGAATTGCTGTTTATCTTTATTATCTGTACTACACATCTTTTACTTTGCAAACAAGTCATCAAAAGAAACAAAATAAAACTTTCATTAAACATGTAATAAATTTTTAAAAATAAAAAAATCAAAATAAATCAATTCTAATAATGTATACCCACAAAAACAAACAAATAAAATGATCACCATGCAAATAACATATTTTAAATCATTTTGTTTTGATCTTTTTTTTTTTACATTTTATTAGTATATTATTGAATATAATTATTATTCTTCAATGTTTGTTAAACTATCACATTTATTGTTGTCAAAGATAGTTAATTATCTTGATAACATAGATAGAATATGCTGCAGTTTAGTTTGTAAAAGATTGTTCAGTGAAAGAGATAAATATCTATTTTTTAATACAGATTCTTTAAATATCAATCTTTGTCAAGATATTGGTGATGATCACACTTGTATTGATTCAGACCCACAAGAACCACCGATATATAATATAAAGTGTTTATTTACATTAAAATCATATCAAACATCAATACTGGAATCACTCAATCAAAAGAGTAATTGTACACTGACATATGGTAGATATTTTTATCAAACAGACTATTCAGTAAATCCATGTAAGTTGTTAATAAAAGTATACACAAAAAAACTTAAATAATTTAACTCTATATGATCATTATTTTTAAATAGATAGCAGTCCTGAAGTAAAAATAAATAGATTGAAACCAAATATCACTAAAGTTAATATATGCGAACAATATAATAATAAATATTTAAAGGAAATCTATCGAGTGGTATCCAATTCAAATGTGTCCACTCTAAAAGGAATTACAAGCTTATCAAGAGTATTACCTGTGAATTTGACATCGATAACATTTAATGATGATTTAGATGAAGAGTTGTTCGCAGGTTATCTTCCACCAAATTTAAAGAAACTTAAATTCAAATGGTATTCCAGTTTTAATCAAGCTATAGAACCAGGTGTACTTTCAAATACATTAAAGAAACTGAAATTTGGAGAATGCTTCAATCAACCAATTGAACCTAATGTATTACCAGCATCTCTAACATTTTTAGAATTGGGATTAGATTTTAGTGAAACACTCCAAGTTGGTAGTCTTCCTCCAAATCTTAGGGTTCTTAAATGCTATGGTAACAGTGCGATATCAGATGGAGTGTTACCAAAATCACTTTGCACTTTGGAGTCTCCTTTATCATGGATGCCATTCATTAAATCACTTGACAATCTCACAACGCTAAGACTCTCTCAAAGTGATAGCTATTCTCTAGGTATCTCAGTAAACTTGGCAGATCTACCAGTTTCTCTTACAAACTTAAATATTTCTACTTCATGTATTCTCACCTCATCGATATCTCCTTCAATCAGATATCTCGATATACATCATACCGAATATGATATTGATGAAATATTCAAAGATCGATCACGTTACAATTTCGAAAGACTATGCGTAAATGGAGCCAAAAATGAATCACTTGACAATCTAAAGATCAAGGAGTTGAAACTACAATTTTACAAACATGCATCATTTATGAGAGATATTCCATTTGGTGTGGAAACATTAAATATTGGATATTTTGCTTTGAAAAATATTGTTGCAAAGGTGATTCCATCGTCAGTGAAGAAAGTCATTTTTCAAAACAACGAACCCATCGATCAAATGGATTTCAAAATTCCAGACTCTGTTGAAGAAGTCGAGATACTAAACTTTATAAGCGATAAACCATTATCAAGTTTCTTACTTCCAAACTCTGCAAAATCACTGACAATTCCTTTTGTAATGGTCCAACATGTATTAAGGTTTGACACGCTTCAATCAGTAACCAACTTTTGTTTTACAAGCAAAAATAGAGTAGATCTCTCTGTTCGAAAGATTTATGATAATTTTTATCTCATTTTCGGTCAATCCAGTGACAAATTCAATGCTGCAATTGTATCCAGTATTTCATCTCTATTCATTAATTATCTTTCTGGACAACCTTAATACCCAAATTAATACAACTACAAGTAAACAATATATTCAAAAGTACAGATTTAAATAAAATCTTAATAATAATTTTGTAAAAAAATATTGAATCTAGTTCTTTATTTATTGTATTTTTTTAAATAATTTGTTAAACAATTAATATTCAGAATTGCAGAGTTGATATTCAATAAATTATTTCCAAATAATAATATGAATTGTTGATCTAATCTTCTGATGTTAAATGTAAATTGTTCATTGGTGATTGTAATGTTTTTAATGCTTGATGGAATGTTCATCAGGTTATCATTGGCATCTATGAATGCAGTGTCGATTGATATCGATGATATTGAAGGTGGCCAAATATTTTGTTCTACTTTTAATCGATAATCATTGAAATCTATGATTTCCACTGATGTAGGTATTGACTGATCTGTTAATTTCGTTGATCGATTCAATTTGATTGATTTGATCGATGTGTTGTTTAATCGTTGGTCATTATCATTATTGAACGAACCATAATCGACAAACTTTAAATTTGGTAATTGATTACAACTGCTTATGAGTTCATCGTATTTGAAATTGGGAGTTGAAGGAAGTGAGATATTGATTAAACTTGTTGGAAGTGGTCCAATTTTATCATTATTGCTCAATGAAACCCTAGATAGATCCAATGTTTCTAAATGTTGAAGTGTTGAGAATGTATATCTATAATCTGATGATATCTGAGCTCTAAATGAGAATTTACCAATGATACTGATATGTTTGATGTTGGAAGGTAACATTTCTCTGCAGATGTTTAATGGCATACTATAATTGGTCAATGATAAATCAGTGACACTCTCTGGAATATCACCGATTCTAATAAATCCGGTAATAGAGACATTAATTAGAAGTGTGTGTATCGATGTCAGACGTTTTATACTTGGTAAATCGTCGGATAATAATGAAACTCTCTTTAGAGTTGATGGCATCTGATGTGTATCGTTTCCGGTAATTGTCTTATCAAAGAGTCCAACTACGCAAGATTCAAACTCTTCAAGGTTGGGTGGAAGTGATCTGACATCAATTCCTCTTGTTCCATATCCAGATATCTTCAGTACTTTTAGTGTTCGTGGTAATAATGATATGTTGATTGTATTATTGATGCTACACTGTAAAGACTCCAATTCCAATGGCAAGAACGATTCGTTAAACTCGAAAATGGAGATGATTTCTTTGATATTCGATGGAAGTTTAATGTTGTTTCTAAATCTACTAAAGTTTGCCAAAGACAGATTATTTACATTGGCATAACATTTCCTTTGAATAATCTCATCATTGAGCTCTAAATTAATTGATATTAATTAATAAATGGATGTAATATGGTTATAGAGTAGATAAACATACCATTAGTTTGAACAATCTCAACTGTATATGGTTTACTCTGCTTAAGAAAACGAATGTAATCTAGTATTTCATCATCCGGTGTAATAAGTACTAAAAGATGTTTCCTATTTATATTTTGATCAAATGATCGCTGAAATAACTCTTTGTATGAATTCAATGTAAAGTGTTTGTCAACTTTTATATCTCTTGAATTCATTAATGTTTCATTGTTGAAACAAAGATATTTATCTCTATTATCAAACCATCTTTTACAAACTAAACTGAAACTGATTATATCTAAGATTTGATCTAGATTGTTTATTATTTTATTTAATAATAGAAATGATAGATTTATAAATTGATAATTATCTGTAGCTATCTTGTTATCTGAATGAGACATTTTTACTTTCAAATGATAGATATTTTCACTTCTTGCTTGTTTTATAAAACGTACCTGTTATGTTTTAGTAAAAAAAAAATTTTATTATAAATATCTAAGATTTTTAGTTTTTTTTTTTTTATTATTTCTGAAGTAATTCTTTAAGATATTAAAGTATATTTAAAAGATAACTTTTCTATAATTGTGATAAGTTTTGTTTATTTGATAGATAACATTTAACTAAATCATTAATTTTGAAATTTTATACCTAATGAATCAACTGCAAACGTAGCCAACAACTTCTAAGAGCTGTTACAACTAGCTAATGTGAAGTTAGTTGGTTGAACTTATGAAGGAGAAAGTTCTCAGTGGCTCTACAATATCGTCAGCTGTAGATCCGCAAGCTACAAAGCAAACAGAGGCGAAGCTCTGTAAAACGAAGATTTAAGTTGACTTGAATATATTTTCAAGACTCATCATTCAAACTTTAAATCATATGCTCCACACTCAAACAAACCACGCACGCTATCCGCACAGTAAAAAAAAAACTTAAAATTTTTATTCATATTTAGCAAATTCTAATGTTTTTTTATAAAATAAACTTAAAAATCAAAGTTTATTTTAGGATAAACTTTGATTTTTAATTTCAGTGCCGCATATAAATATCAAGATGTTCACCACAACATACCATATATTCATTTACCAAGACTATTCACATTTGTAAACTAATTATACACATTTTATAAATACATCATAAGCATTATCATGACTTTTGGAACTATTTTTTCTTTCTATGGTAACCCAGGTATTTATTACATTTTATTCAAACCAAATAAACTATTTTTAGAAATTAATTTATTTACAAAGGCAGTGGAAAAAGTACACTCTGTAATGCTAAATTGAGGAAAACAGTATTTAAATCTGGTGTGAGTGTAGGAACTGGATTGACAACTTTTTCAGAATCTCATCAAGATGGAAACAATCTTATTATTGATTCTCCAGGTATGTATTTAAAAATATATTATATATTAAAAAATTATTAAAAAAACTAATCTAATTAATATTATTCCTCCAGGTTTAGCAGATCCAATAAAGAGAAATGAAGCTGCCAAACAAATCGAATCATCACTTAAAAAGGTACTTAATATTATTATGAAAATATTGATTATCCTGAATGTTTATTAACAAATTGAAACTGTTAAAGAATGGCAATTATGTTATTGTGTTTGTAGTTACTTTAGAGTCAGGTAGAGTGCGACTTCAAGATGTTGAAACATTAAATAGTATTTTAAAGTCAATTACTGTTGAATTTGAATATGGTTTAATTATCAACAAAGTAACCAAACAAGTACATCAACATTTGTTGAGTTCACCTGCCAATCTTCAAGCTTGTATTCAAATGGTAGAGAAACAACCGCTGAGAACTCTCATTGTCAAACACATGTCCGAGCTGTACGATGAAGATAATGTTTTGGTTGAAGATAAAGAAACATTGGATTCTCTAAACTGTTTCCTTGAATCTTTACCAAGAAACTTTATTGAACAAAAAGATGTTACAACTGTTGAAGTCAAGGATTATGACAAGAAAGTGAAAGAGATGGAACTACTTATGATCAAGCTAACCAAGCAAATCGAATTGGAGAAAGAGAACAACAAGAAGTTGGGTGAGAAAACTCTGAAATTGGAAGCTGATTTAACGCAGCAAAGATTAGAGAGTAAAGAGAGTACTGCAAGAATGATGAATCAAATTTTGGATATGAATCAGAAACAGATGGAACAGACTGCCGAGTTTCAAAGAAATATGCAAGAACAAATGAGACTGACCACTGAAGCATTGAACAAACCTCCTGTTATCATTGAGAAAGGTGGATCAGGTCCTTGTTCAATAATGTAGAATACTTAACAAAGATGTGTTGGAAATTATATTATTAATCTATTTGAATACTTGTAGATTCATATTATGCTGTCTGGAGAATGTATATATAGATCAGTTGTATAAATCTTATAATATTATAATAGGTTCAAATAAATTCACTCTTTTATTTAATGGCATTCTTTATATAATTTGTTAAACAATTAATATTAAGAATTGCAGAGTCGATTTTCAATAAATTATTAGCATATAATAATATGAATTGTTGATCCAATCTTCTGATGTTAAATGTAAATTGTTCATTGGTGATTGTAATGTTTTTGATGCTTGATGGAATGTTCATCAAGTTATCATTGGCATCTATGAATGCAGTGTTGATTGATATCGATTGAATTGAAGGTGGCCAAATATTTTGTTCTACTTTTAATTGATAATCTTTGAAATCTATGATTTCCACTGATGTAGGTATTGACTGATCTGTTAAATTGGTTAACCAATTCAATTTGATTGATTTGATCGATGTGTTGTTTAATCGTTGGTTACCATTATTGAATGAACCATAATCGACAAACTTTAAATTTGGTAATTGATTACAACTTTTTATAAGTTCATCGAATTGGAATTTGGGAACTGAAGGAAGTGAGATATTGATTAAACTTTTTGGAAGTGGTCCAAATATATGATTATCTACCAATGAAATCAAAGATAGATCCAATGTTTCTAAATGTTGAAGTGTTGAGAATGTATTTCTATAATCTGATGATATCTGAGCTTCAAATGAGAATTTACCAATGATACTGATATGTTTGATTCTGGAAGGTAACATTTCTCTGCAGATGTTTGTTGGTGAACTAGGATTATTGCACAATGTCAAATGAGTGACACTCTCTGGAATATCACCTATTCTAATAGAATTGTTAATAGGGATAGAAACTAGAAGTGTGTGTATCGATGTCAGATGTTTTATTCTTGGTAAATAGAAAGTGGAGAATGAAGCAATCTTTAGAGTTGATGGCATCTGTGTTGCTTCGTTGTTTGTCAATGGGCGATCTATTAAACCCATCAGGGTATGTTTGAACTCTTCAAGTTTGGGTGGGAGTGATCCGACATCAATTGATCCACATCCAACTATATTTAATACTTTTAGTGTTCGTGGTAGTAATGATACATCGATTGGATTATTAATGCCACACTCTAAAGATTCCAACTCCAGTGGCAACCTTGATTCTTTTATATGTAGTACAGAATGGATTTCTTTGATATTCGATGGCATTCTAATATTGTTTTGAAATCTAGTGCAAACTAGGACACTGATTGAATTAACATTAGTATTACTCATCATTCGAATGTGCTCATCATTGAAATCTAAATGAATTGATAACAATTAATAAATTGATTATTATATTAGAATATAATTGATAGATACCATGAGTTCTAATCATCTCCACTGTATTTGGTTTAAATTTCTGAAGAGCAACAAAGTAATCTTTGATTGTATTGTGAGTCAATGGATCCACAATAAGTACAAGATGCTTCCTATTTATATTTTGATCGATAGTTCTTTGAAATAACTCTTTATATGAATTCAATGTAAAGTTTTTATAAATATCGAAACTACTTGAACTTGTAAATGTTTCATTGTTGAAACAAAGATATTTATTTCGATGATCAAACAATCTTTTACAAACTAAACTGAAACTGATAATATCTAAGACTTGATCTAGATTGTTTATTATTTTATTTAATAATAGAAATGGTAGATCTATTCAAAGCGTGGTGGCAGGTCTTAAACAACCGAAAGTAAATTTAATATGGCACTCAAAAGATCAAAAAGGGGAGACAGATTTTTTGCAACTCAAAAAAAAATAAATCCCAGAAAATAAAAAAATCGAAAATGGTAAGCAAAATTTGTGTCAGAAAAACTTCTTTGTTTTTTTTTTTTTAAAAAAGATTTTTTTTTAATTTTTTTTTTAATTTTTTTTTTTTTTGTATTTTTTTTTTTTTTTAAATTTATTTTTAAAATTATTTATTAATATTATTTATTTTAATAATATAAGGATAATAATAATTCAGTTTTAAAAAGAACAGTGTCCCCAAATAAAAAATTATTTAATGATTATTTTGTTGTAGATGAAATTTATAAGTTAGCCACCAGAATCAACGGTCCTTTGCCAATGCCTGAGGAGACACTAGTAGTGAACCCAATACATGGAGTAGTGGACCTAACACAGGTGGACCCAATAGATGTAGACTTTACATTAGTGGACATAGTAGAGTTGGACCCTATGCAAATAGACCCAGTACTAGCTGTGGATCTAACACAGGTGGACCCAATTGACGCATACCCGACATTAGTAGAATTGGACCCAATTCATGCATACCCGACATTAGTGGACCTAGTAGAATTGGACCCAATGCCGCTAAACCAAGAAGGAGTGCGTGAAGACCATTTCTATGCCATCAGACCATTGTTTGAAACAATCAGATTAGATCTATCAACTAATTTGGCTGCATACTACTGTGCATCCAATGAATTAGCTCATGGTCAAGGTGCTAAATATAAGACTCCTCACACAGCTTTTAATCCATATACGATTACATCATTAGAGCGTACTCAGCTCCTTCATTATTTTAATCATCACTATTATGGTACCCAAATGATCCCTAAAGACTTTAATGATGGATTTTTCATCTTTCGTCATCATTACAACCACACAACAACCAATATTCCTATTTTGCCTCGACTTGGTGGAAATATTGAAGAATGTTTCCATTCTATAGACAATAATGAAATTTTAGATGATCTCAAAAATGGTCTACCAACTCAATGGGAGCAGAACAACAAAATCGATTTAAAAAGACAAAGTCAGAATGGTCTTTTAGAGTATGGTTTTTTTGATAGCAATGAAGAAGCAGAGGAATGGAGATATCATATCTGTATAATTAATTATTTGAAAATTAATATATATAAAAATCATATCTTGTTAACAACCGAGATGAAAACTCTCTATCAATAAATTTAAAAATTATATTCAACGTGACTTCGTTTTATTAATTGTATTACTTTATATTAAAAGTTATAAAATTAGATTTATTTTAATACATCGTAGAAATCATGATCCATTGCAGCGAGGATATCAAGAGTCTTGAGTTGAATTTTGACTGTCAAAAAAATTTTCGATAAATTCCTTTAAGTTTAGTGTGGTACTGAATGTTGAGCTGGAAGAAGTTGTAACTACGGGAGGAGAACCTATGTTTTGTCTTGTGGTCATGACAAATGTAGTGATCGCATTATCTTTCTTATGCCTTTTCATGAATTTACTTAATTCAACTTCGTCCACCTCGCTTTTACTCCTCTTTTTCGACAATTCAATTGTGATATCTGTTAAAACTCCAACTGATCTTTCAGATTTATTTTTGATAAGATCTAATTTACGATCTATATCTTCAGTTGATTCTGAGTATGTTGGAATTGCTTGCTTCATCTTACGTTCATCGTACAACTCTGAACCAGTTGTAACCATGTCTCTGATTTCATCACAAATTGGTTTAAAATCGGGATTGCGAGTTTCCACATGATATTTGATTTTTTCTGCTATTCGTATTAATCTTTTTGGTACCGTTTTAATATTCTTATTATTCTTCTCAGATCTGTGGTTTTTCTTATATATTACTGTAATTATTTTTATTATATTATCTAAAATAAGTTGATGTATACTATTATTACTATTATTATTGTTATTAATATTATTAATGTTGTTGTTGTCGTTGATTACTATAGTTGATTTCTGTAGAATATAACTTAATAAAAAGGAGATAAATATTGGAGAGTTGAAATAGATTTGTACATCTTTGAATTCGATCGTGCTGAAAAATTTAAAAAAATCAGGTGGATGATTTTCAAGTAAATCTGTACTTAAAGTTCTCTTTAAATATGATTTCACATTACCATTGGGCTGGCAAATATAGAAAAACATTGGTGTTTTCATTGAACAGAACTCCGATGGGACAATGAGGAGTTTAAGCTGTTGATTAATCTTGGCTGCACTTTGGGACAAAATAATAAGTTGTATTTTGTCACCAATGGCAATAGGCTTTGGAATGTCAGATAATTCAAAAGAACTAATCTCGAAGATTGGTTGAAGTGTTCCAACAAAAATTTTCTCTAAATCTTAAAAAAATAATTAGTTTAAATTTCATTTCGATTTTTTTATAACTTACATGTTTGTAGTATTTTGTTAAGTTTCTCTATTGATATACTTTGTTCATTTTGTATTCCGAATAGACCTGTATATTCATCATCAACAAGCTGAGCATCAGATAAAATTTTTTTATCTTTCTCTGCCTTCACCTTTATTATATCAAGAATTTGAGAATATACATTTGTATAAAATCCATCATGCAAACTAATGGTGTGTCGAATGTGCTCACCTCGCAAAGATCTTGCATCGTTAAACCCAAAGTTTAAACTCATTACAAAGAGTCTAATAGTGAGAATAGGAACATAATAGTGGGTATTCATTAATTGAATCAATGAATCATTGCCTTTGTTGTTGTTTCCATAGAAACCCAAAAATCTTTTCCAATTTGACTCGAAACCTTCATTGTTGATCATTGTTAAACTTAGTCCATGTTTCTTGCATATGCGCAAATACCGCGCAATATGTAATAGTATGTGAGTGTAATAAGTCATCTCTCTAACTCCAAAGAGATCGACAAACAGTGTTAAAAATTGATTGCACAACGTTTGAATTGAAACTATTTCATTGTCTGTCATCTCTTTAATCTCTTGACTTGTTGAATCCAGTTTATTAAAGACTTTCGATGCTTCCTTGAATACCAATGATAGACTTTCGCCAATTGGTAGATCGCCAAGCTTATTCTTATGAAATTGTTTCACAATCTTAGCTTCTTCGGTTTTGTCAAACTCTGAAAGAATTCCCGGTAAATATTTGAAGATTGCATCACATTCACCACCGGTGAGCATTCCAACCTCATCAACATATATATATTGACTTTGAGAAAACAAATTTGCTTTGGGATTTATACTTTTAAGCTCTGGAATTGATTGAAATGCTTCCAAAATGTAGGCAGTGAGATGTGTATGAATAGAAAAAGTTGATTTCAACAACTTTTCTGTTATTCTTTGTTTACCTAGTAAAATAATTAAATATTAAGTCAATTTTTTATAGAAATACAATTGATCTATGATAAGCTTACAATGAAGACTACAAATAATAAAAATTGCTTTAATAAGTAATATGTCCACGAGATTTCTACTATTGTTCGCACCTATATAAAAATAATTAATACCAAATTATAAATTGTTTTTTCCTTCAAGTTACATTAATTACAATTGGCTTCACCAGTGTGTTCGCATTTTATACCTGGAAAAAGATTATTTTCCTCATCTCTACAATTTACACATTTAGCATCATTAATCTGTGTTTCCAAAAGCGCGGCTTTGAAATAATCGGCTGATTTCTTACAACATGGGCAAGGTGATTCACCGTTATAATCTGATTTGTCTCTTGCGAGATTTTGAGCCATTTTTAGATCGATTGAGGAAAAAAATTTGATGGGAATTGTAACAACATCATTTGCAAAATTGAATGTAACTTCTTTAATAGAATTAATTTGTTCTATTACAGAAGAAAGAAATTTGGCAGTATTTGATTCTTTTCCAAAACCAATCCCTAACATAAGAATCGAAGAGCATGACTGTGAGGGTAAATTTGCAAGAAACAATGGGACTATGCCAATTCCAAACAACCCTTCATTAACTTTGGGTGTTCCATCAGATGATATCTTGAAGATGCCCATATTTTTAACCTTTTGCAAAAAGCTTTTGAAGTATTCAGATTCAAAAATCTTTTTACTATTCTTTAGCTGATTGATATTCTCAGTATCATTAGAATTGTCAAAAACACCATGTTTTTTTGAATCCATAAAAAAAATTGTGAAAGACAATTGAAACATATATTTGATGACATGTTCCACATTTAGACAAATGCTCGAAAAAACTGAATTTCTGGGTAAAAATTGTTTTCTAAAATCCAGTAGGAGTTGATAAAATCTTTCGCCAATACGATCATTAGATACTGAGTGTGCAATTGTCTCAACATGTTTTGATATGTCTCCATTGGTAAAATCACCAGCATTGCTCGAAGATCTTTGCCAGGGAGAGATAGGAAAGAAAATTGGATTGTCAACTTCCAAAGAACCCACTGAAGTGTAACCTACATTCACAATTGATTGCATTAACGTACATTCTGAAAAAGCTGACGCATTCCTAATACTGTTTGTTGATACCAATTTATCTGAAGTAGGTTTGAGAATATTGTTGCTGAGTAGAGACTGTCCATATGAAATTCCAAGGCATTTCGATGAGATTGTTGTTCTAATGATATGTTCCTCTTCAACTATTACTTTTATCTGAACACGATTGTCTTTACCATACAAAAGGTCTTGATATTTTGTGTTGCTATTTACTTCTGCAAAAAACTCTTCATTACTAACTTTAAAAATAGTAAACAACGATAAAATAATATTTATCAATGTCATTATTCTATTTTTTTTTGAATCTGTATCCTTTAATGATTTATATTCTTTTATATGTGCTCTATCTTTATTATTGGTGATATTGTCACTATTAACTATATCAATGAAAAACCTATTAAATGAACCTTGGGGTCTCACTACATTATCCGTTTCATCACTACGCCCAACAGAGATTGTAATTCCTGTAAAATTAAATACATGATCTTGTTCCATTTATTTCACTATGAATATAAAAATAAGTAAAACTAAATAAAAAATTGTGTTGTTGAACCGAAAGCAAAAAAAAAACTAAAAATTAAATAAAATCAAAACTAAAATTAAATAAAATAAAAAAAAAATACAATTATTTATACGAATATTCTTGACACCAAATTTTTAGATTCTCCACAAAACAAAACTGGCTCTTGCTTGTATCCATAAATCGAATAAAATTAAAAAAACCACTCTGATCACATTAACCCCACTAATTTTTAATTTTTACTTTTTTTTTAAAATTAATGCGCAGGCGAAAGTTGTTGGGAGCCAGTTTTGTTTTGAAAACATTTTTACACAACTGCAAAAAAAAGTGAAAAAATTGTATGGAAGTTTATTATAAAGATTGATAAAAAAAGTTTATAAATGAGTACTAGTCATTCAACCAGTTAAATGATCCACAACCAAGGTCTTTTTTGGTGGTTCAGCGCCACGAACGCAGGCAGCATCACATTTCCAATTACGGTATTTGAAATTACAAGTGACCATCCAAGTATAATGATTGTATACAAAAGACACACAATCTATCTTTGAATTGATTATATCTTTACTTGAAACAGATGTCCTTGCAAATACATTCTGGTGCCATCCATCGGTGTATAATGGTGGTAGCTTAAAGAGTTCTTCATTCATATTCGAATTTGATTTATACCTAGAAAAATCAAACTTAGTAGTTGGAGTTTGGACATCTTGATATCCAATACTATATTTTACTTTTTTGTTGGTCATCTTCATGTTTGTATCTGATAGTATTTAATTTGGTTAAATATAATGTGTACACGTATAAAAAAACAAATAAAAAAATAATTACTTACCTGTTTGATGCTTGTTAAAGTGTGCCACCAACACTCCAAACTCCACAGTTCCAATATCCAGATTTTTAACGCATTTTCCGCCACGTACCCCTAGTCTGTCATTGATTCTGTTTTCAGCCAGGAATAGAAACTGGTCCAACATTAATCTCTTATGTTGAAGCACTAAATCCTCTGTTGTAATACGAACTTCATTCCCGATATTGGTATTTTTGACGATATTCATCGATGTGCTCATCAATCTGTGTGGATCTTTACTTTGATTACATTTGATGGATGGAACTGTTACTGCTACTGAGTTGAACTGTCGGTCGTCCATGTTGCTCTCATCTACATTGTGTATATGATTTGTTGATATGGAAGATTCTGCCAGAGCACGTGCTGGGTGCAGTTGGACCGGATATTGCGGAGAATAGATATTTGGGCAAGAATAATACGATAATTCTACTTTTTTCAAGTGATGGACCATGGGAGTTTGAGATACTGGGAGACCAAAGACTACAACCTCAAGAGACTGGTCTGGAATGATTCTCTTATCATCAGCATCCACCCATATTATTTCTCTGCGAGGACAAGGAACCACTGGAGCTGCAGGAGCATTGATTGGAGACGGTGTTGTTGGAACTATATTTGAAGTATCGACTGGGGACTGATCGATAACTGGTATTGGGCTAGGTATTATAATACCTGTAGTTGGTTGTGGGGCAGTAATGATTGGAGACTGTGCAACCGGTGCGATGGGGGGTAGAACATCCTGAGTTGGTGCGATAACTGGAGTTGGTGCTACAGATGGAACAACTGAAGATACTACTTGTTTTGACTTGGATCTTCTTTTAGTCAATGTGGTTCTAGTTTCATAGCAATTTAGTCTTTCAGGGAAAGTGGATTTTCTTTTCTGTGAATTCTTTATTCATTTTCCCAAATTAGTATAAAATTAATAATCAAAAATTGATAGTTTTTTTTTTATAAAAATCAAAATGAAAATATATGAAAAAAAAATAATAATAATAAATAAAAAACAAAAATAAAAAAATAAAAATATAAAATAATAAATAATAAAGGAAAAAAAAAAAAAAAGTAGTGTGGGGGAAAAAAAAATCTTCAAAAAAATCTTTTTATGACGCAATATTCACTTACCATTTTTTTTTTTTTGTGTTGCAAAATATTTTAAACCAAATGAACTGTGGCAGGTCTCTCATCAAAATTTATAGTGGATCAGTCTCATATTAAATTTACTTTCGGTCTGCCACCACGCTTTGAATTGTTGTTTATCTGTATTAGACATCTTTTACTTGTTTTTGTGATTTTTCTTTTGAAGATCAGAGTCGTCAATAGTTTATGATCAAATTTTTTTATTTTTTACTTTTTTTATTATTTTTTTTTTTATTATTCTTTAAACTAATTTTAAACCCAGTTGGTCAATATAAAGAATACAATTTTACTCCCAGTTGCGCTTTTGGTAGTGGTCTTAGAATTGGAGATCTCTATTGACTTTGTCTTGGTTGATGTTTTAGATTTTGAATTGGGTGACTTTGGAGTTAATCCGTCAACATTGACTATACCTATTAATAAAAAGAATTAGAAATTATAAAGAATAGTTATGATATTAAAATAAACATACGTATATTCTCTTTTACCCATCTCTTCAAACCATTTATGACTATTGGAATTCTTGCTCGAAGAATTTAATTAAACAAGCAGGATTTCAAAAATATAAGAAAACTCCCGAAATAGTTGATGGACCTTTAATTCTAAAATAAGTAGAGCAGACCATATGACAAGATGTACAACTGACTCCTTTAGGATATTCAATTGAGATAGTTGTATCCTAAAAATTGCCAACTTTTTTGATATGTGATGAAACCTGGGCTATAACTTGGTTACAAAGACATGCTGCTGGTTTGTCGACTTCATAGCCAGATATGGTTGGCTCTTCCTTAATCTTAATTTGTGATGGTAATGGTGATGAAAGAGGTTCACTGTGGGACTTGTGTGTGGTATTGTTGTTGCTATATCAATGTTGTTCTTGTATTTATGAGAATTGATTTATAATTTATAATACTACAGTAAAATAAATCTTAATTTCAAATCCTAAGTAATCCTTTTTTAATAATTTAAATAAAAGGATGCTGGTAGATGAGATGTCTGTCATCATTTTTTAAATATATATATACAAGAACCAAACAAAAAAACAAACATTCAGTCAGAATTTTACAACACTCGAACAGATATCCAAGTACTAGTGTCGTTATATATATATATATATATATTACTCTTGTTATCTCTATAATAATAATAATAATAATAATCAATTAATACCTCCAAGATGTCTTGTATGTTTGTTGGCATACTTTCACTCTCACAGTACAATGCTCGTTACTTACAAGTTTAATCTTTCTCTATACTTATAGTAAGTAATGCGCTTGATGCCATTTTCGCGAGCAATCTTACCGATCCTTTGAAGCAACAATGCAGAGACCTTCTCAAGCGTGACATAAACGAGGCTGCATTCATTGTCGATTCATGGAACAGATCAAAAGTTGCCAATCCTCCTGATAATACTATTCTTGATGATTATCTTACCAAGATGATTGCCACTGCACCTACCACTGTAGTCGATACCACCAATGGTAATAAGTTTACTTAATCTACATACATACATATACACACATACATACACACTTACATACATTATTACCCTCTTTCAATAAAATACACCTATATAGTTCCTTGCATCTATCTTTACTCTTTGTTATTTTACATTGGTAAGAATATCATATTATAATATACATATAAACATATAAATATAATACTTACAACTTTGATATAAGATTAGGAATTACTTTGGGAATAGTTTTGGTACAAGGAATATAGATTTAATGAATGTACATTTTAGAATTATAATAATCCAAGCCATATCAGAAAAACAAGTCAAGATGATGGATGATGCTTTTAAGTCTATCTCACAAAATATAGACAAGCATTTTGAGATGATTCAAGATCACCTCAAAGATCTAAATCCGTTTGAGACGGTTTCGATGTCCAGAGTTAGCACAGATGCTTGGGTTAATACTCAAAGACGTTTGGGTATCGACATCGTTGATGCAAAAGCCGATTTTGGTCGTCCTTTCGCAGATACAATTTCCGGCTACGAATGGACCTATCAGACTGAACAACAACAGATTGATGCATGCCTTCAGTATTTCAAACTAAATTTTCAGTCCGCAGTTCCAGAAGTCAAATTTCAAGATGTATCAAAAATCCAACAATTCCTCACATCTCGTCTTCCATTGGCTGTTGGATTTAAAGGTACGTCAGATATTGTAGGCACTCTCTCCACCAATGACGCATTAGATGCAGTCCGAAGCAATATGGTGTTTGTCATTGAGTTGAAGAAAGACCCTATGGGTGGAGCTTTCTCAAATACCAGTATTAATCAGGCCAACTCTCAGCTCCTATGTGCTAACCATTATTCCACAAATCCAGTACTCCACATACTGACCAATCTTAGTAATCTTTGGAACTTCAGATGGTTATCACCTCCAGGACAGATCCTATCACTAAGTGCTGCATATCCATCAGAAGCTTATCGCCTGATGCAAATGTATGTTGAAAAGAGAACAGGTGTGTCATTTACAGGAAAGGCAAATGAAATCAACCCTTTTTTTTTGATGTTCCAAGTCAAAAACCTGCACTTCTTGAATCCACAATCGAAAAAGAACTGTCTCAAATTGACGATATAGCCAAAATTGAAGACCTTTTTGACATCCTTGAGCCATTTGAAGCAAAGCAATTGATTGTGGAGAATATGATGATCAGATCCTTAAATAGCTAGATGTAGTACCACTCAAACTACCATTGATATTGGCAAATTAATCACAATAATAAAAAAAAATGTTAATTATCTTTATTTATTTTTAAACAAATATTTAATTATATTACAAAGTTTTAAATAGTGTAATTTATTAAAAAAATGAATGAAAATGTTAATGTATTGAATTATTCATATTATTATATTAATGATCTTTGAATAACTTTTTGTATGAATTCAATCTGTTTTTATTCTTGTCAATTCTCTTATTGTCATCACTGTTTCACCAATTCATTAGTCAATGTCGAATAAATTTAAAGAAACATAATTTTTTTTTTTATATGATATGAACAAACAATTTGTTATTGTATTATATATTTTATTATGGTCAATCAATTTAGAAGATGTATGGGATGAATACGTATGGTACACGACGGCAATACTCCTTCCAGTCATCTCCGTACTTCTCAAGGCATGCACGATGATCACGGTGGCAACGATGGAAATCAAGAGTGGTAAAGTAGATACCGTAGAAGTATGGAACGATTGAGTCGAAACCACATGGCAAACACCAGGCCCATGAGATGATGATATCACCAGTGTAGTTGAGATGACGGCAGATACCCCAGAAACCGGATACCAACAACTTGGTACCACGCTTGGTGGCGATAAACTCTGGACGCTTACCCCAGATTGGATTCTCTGGATTACGACGGAAAGCGTGCTTTTGTGAGTTGACCCAACGGAACAAGTAGAAACCGACAGAGAAGATGGCCAATACGAGGAGAGCGTACTCGTTGGTGATTTGGATTGGCTTACCGGCGGCATCGGTGTGCTTCAAGATGTAGTAGGTTTGGAAGCAGTAGGTGAATGGAACCCAGGCGAGATCACCATAGACCAACATGTAACCAAACTTCTCAGTGATAATGTCCATGGTGGTGAGGATAGCTTCTTCGTGGTAGTAGTAGTCAGCGATGTACCAGGCGTGGAAGGCGGAAACCATGATGGTTGAAATTGGGATGAATCCGAATTGCTCGTATTGCTTGGCGGCAATGGAGAAGTTGAACAAGACCCAGAGGATCAAACCTGGACGAGCTTCACAGAACAACTTGAGATCGAATGAACCAATACGTGGATTACGGGCAAATCCCATCCAGAAATCGTAGAAGAAGTAACCAGACATACGCTCTTCCTCATCCTTGATCTTGGCGTGGATCTTCAAGAGGATGGTAAAGACGAACGACCAGATGTTGACGACGGTCAACATTGGGGCGTAGTGGTCGTAGAGGATGGTTGCTTTGTACAATCCAAAGTAGGCACCGGCTGGAACGGCAATCATGGTGATCCACCATGAAGCCCAACCGTTGAGAACGTATGGCAAACGCTTACCACCTGGGAGGGGACTACCGAGGGTGGCTTTTCCTGGGACAAAGTGTTGCAAGAATGCTTGGAAGAAGAACCAGGCAAAGTAGATAACGGCGGCTTCCTTGGTTGGGTAGGCATAAGAGATGACGAGGTAGTAGAGGTCAACAAAGAACTTTTGGAATCCGGCGACGCTCAATTCCTCTGGACGCAATGGGTAACCTTGGTTAAACTCGAGCGATGCCCACAACCAGTAGACCAAGATTGGCAAACCAAATGTAAGCAATGGAGTTCCGATGGCACCACCGAATTCATTGGCTTTGGCTGGCTTCTTGAGGTCCTCTAGCTCCTTACGTTGCTTATCGGTAAGGTTGGAGCTGAAATCAACATCAGAGTTGCTGACGCTATTGGTGTTAGCGTTTTGACGCTTTGAAACAGTTGACATTGTTTGTTGAGATTTGTTGGAAATACTTTCTTTTTTTTTAGAATTGGTTGGTTGTTGTTAATTAATTTTTTTTGTTCGTTATTGGATTTTTAGAAACAAAAAGTAGAACTCTATTTAAATAAATTTAAATAGAGGCGGTAATAATTAATTTGGAAAAAACAACAAATAAAAAATGTTGGAAAAAGATGAAAGTGATACAACGAAAGTGAAGAAATAAAACAAACGATGATAAAGTTAAAATGAGTGGAGTCAGCTCTGATCAACAGAAGGTTGGATAGAGAACAGATCCCAAAAAAAAAAATTAAAAAAAAAAAAGAATTGAAAAAAATTAAAAAAAAAACTAAAAAGAAAAAAATAACTATCAACTAAAGATGGCGGTCACATTTAAATCCCAGCTATAAATTTTCGCTTTTTTAAAAAAAGATAAAAAAACCTAGACTCCACTTCCTTATTCATCTTCATCAATTGCTTGTTCAAAAAAAAACAAAAAAAAACAACAAAACCAAACAAAAAAAAAATGTTGCAACAAAAAAATTGATTTTGTTTTTTTTTTGATTTTTGGAAGTTCTATGTCGCCTTATTGGTTGTCGATCAACTTTTACCAGAGATGTGATCAAGTTACAACAAAAAAGAAATCAAATAATCTTAATTGATTATTAAAGAAATAAGAATGGTTTTTTTACATTATACATTTTAATTATTTATTTTATAAATTATTTAATATTTTCTTTTGGTTCTTAAAAGTTTTTCTTTTTTCTCTTTTTTAAATATCCAAGGACCATTTGGAACATGATGTTCATCGACAAATGACCACATAACCATGTCTCTTGATTTTATATGATTTAGCATACCTAGCACTTGGGCAAGAGCTGGTGAAATTCCAATTCCACCGTGTTCATACTCAGGTATTGCATGTGCAGGTCCGAAAACATAGTCGAAATCATCGCTACCACCAGGTCCTACATCTTCCAATTGACAATATCCCTCGACTTCGTGGGTGGCAACACGAATCCAGCGGTGTTGTATGATCGAATCTCGGTGGTCATTCAAATCGATTTCATCTGCCCACGGGATATGAATCGAAGAAATCTTTCGACCCCATTGATCCAAGTCGTTATATGGCAGAGCACAATAAAACACATTCTGTCGTGGCATGAATTTGATAGGAAAGAATCCTGAACGATTCTGACTATCGGGATAATCGATACCACCCATAGACTCTATCCAATTCGGATCCCATGAACTGGCATTCGGTGATTTTTCGAAATTGGTATTATTATTCTCACCAATATAATGTAGAACCGGTTTTATATTGAAATGTGTTACAAAGCTTAAAAAATGCTAAGATATTGTTTTAATTATTATTGTTTCTACCAAAATCAATTAATTTGAAATACTTACTTCATGACCACATGGTTTTAATGATATTACAGAACTAGTAAAAACTAATAATATTAAGAATAAAAATTGTTGAAAAATATATTCTTTATTCATCATAGAATAGTTTAAAATTCATATTAAAAAGGTTAGAATAATTATTATTATTTCACTTTAATATCTATATTATTTTTTTTTTAATACTTTTTTTTTAAACAGTTTCCATTGATAATAAGAAAATAAAATAAATGATAAAAGATAACAACTGATTAAAATAAACTATATAAAAATCAATTTATTTATTTAATGTGTTAATTCAATCAGATTACAAACACACACATCTAAATATATCATCAAAATTTAATTTTAATTTATTTATTTTTATTTTTATTTTTGTTGATCAATAAATTTATTGATTATAATTTATTAATTTAAATTATCTTTATTATTACAATCAAAAATAATAAATGAATAAAAAATGAAAAAAATAAAAATAAATAAATAAAAAAACGAGTGTGAAAAATTTCTTCGTTTTTTATAAAATTTTGTTATTATTAAATTTATTAATTGTAAAAGAAGAATACAATAATAATCATAATAGTATGAAGTTAGATTGTAAAGCAATTAGATATTTATCTAAAGATGATTGGCGTACACTCGTTGCCGTCGAGATGGGTATGAAGAATCATGAATACGTACCTGTTTCATTGATTTGCAATATCGCCAATCTTAGATATGGTGGTGGAAAGAAATCAATCAATAATATTCATAAATTTAAATTATTATTCCATGACGCTAGAAAGTGTATGTTTGTTTATAACAACTCAATTTTAATTCAATTTCATTCATTCTTACAAATTCTTATTATTATTATTATTATTATTATTATTATTATTAGATGATGGTTATAAATTAACATATTTAGGATATGATTATCTTGGATTGAAAGCATTAGTATCACGTGATATCATTTCATTCGTTGGAAATCAAATTGGTGTTGGAAAAGAATCTGGTAAATAACACAAACAAAACATAAAAAGTGATAAAGATAATTAATTTACTAAATGAAATATAATATTTATTAATATATTTTTAGATATCTATGTTGTTGCAAATGATAAGAATGAAGAGATGATTCTAAAGTTACATAGATTGGGTAGAGTATCATTCAAGACTATCAAGAACAATCGTGACTATCTCCAACATAGAAAGTCTGCTTCATGGTTGTATCTATCTCGTCTATCGGCATTGAAAGAGTTTGCCTACATGAAAGCACTCTATGACAATGGATTCCCAGTACCACAACCAATCGATTGCAATCGTCATTGTATTGTTATGACTCGTGTCAAAGGTTATCCCTTGTAAGTCGACACCTTAAAGAAAAGAAGATATATAACATATTTATTTACTAATAATAATAATAATAATAATAATCATTTTTATTTATTTATTTAGAACACAAATTGTTGAATTAAGACATCCAAGAAAAGTATATAGTGATCTAATGAATTTGATCGTTCGTTTGGCCAACTACGGATTGATTCACGGTGATTTCAATGAATTCAATATTATGATTAGTGACGACGAGGAGATTACTTTGATCGATTTCCCACAGATGGTATCGACTTCACATCTTAATGCAGAGTACTACTTTGACAGAGATGTCAACTGTATTAGATCATACTTTGAAAAGAGATTCAACTTTATCGGTGAGCAATATCCAAAGTTCTCTGATTACAAGCAATCACTTTACAACCTCGACGTACTCATCTCTGCAAGTGGTTTCACCAAAGATTTACAAAAAGATATGGATGATGTAAGTTACATTTAACTTTTTATATTTTAACAATAAGAGGAGTTATAATATTAATAATAATAACTTTATCATTAATTAAAGTTGACAAAAGAACAAGATGACGATGATGAAAATGAAGAGAATAGTGGTGATGAACAAACTTCAACAACAAATGAAAATGAATCAAAAGATAACAAAGATAATGAAGATGAAGATGATGACGAAGAAGAGGAAGAGGACGAAGAAGATGACGATGAAGAGGATGACGAAGATGTAGATGAAGAAGAGGAAGAAGATGAAAAAGTAGATAATGGTCAAATGAAAAAGAAAGATGATGGAGTTAAAGAGATAACAAAGAATATGAAAGGTCTCGTTAATAATAATAGAAATTTTAAGTTTTCGGATGTGAATGAGTACGAACCAGCACCGATCGTATTGAGAAAAGAGTTTATCGATGAGATGAACGTTCTCGAGAATGTTCAAGCCGAGCCTGTTGTCGAAGAAGATGTGATTCTAGATGAAGAGGCACTCGAAGCAGAGAGAAAGCGTGAACAACAAGTTAGAATTGCTAATAGAGTAAAGAAACAATTGACTAAATCTCAAAAGACAAGAGTCTCTGCAAGAAACACTGCCAAGTCAAGATCAAGAACCGAAGTTAAGAATCATATCAACGCATTCATTTAAGCAACAATCATTAATCAACCAAAACAAAACAATAATAAACAAACAAGCAAACAAATTAAATAAATAAATTATTTCATTATATTTAAAACATAAACATTAAAAATTTTAAAGTTATTCAAATATTTGAATTTTTGAAATACTTTCCCGCCTTTTTTTTTTTTTTTTTCAAACAATTATTAATTAAACTTTTAAATTTCTTAACAATTATTGTATACTATTATATCACATTTGTTACTATTTTATTCAAATATATATAACTGAAAAATGGAGAAATATAGTTTTGGAATGAGAACAAATGCAGAGATTAAAGAGCAAATCGGTATCATCGTTGGAGGTACTTTTTCAGATGACGATTTAACGAAACCACAACCTGAGACAATGAAAAGAGTATACGAGAGATTACTTCATGAGGCCACTCAATTCAGTTCAGAAGAAAGTCGTCAAATAAATTTTCATAGATGTAATATGTTGGCCTATCCAGAGCTTCACGATGAATCAATAGGAGAGGTTGCATTCATTAGATCATTGTAAGTACTTTTATATAATACTATTCTATTTAAAAGGTAGAAATTTAATGAAATTCTAATTTTAATTAATTTGATACAATTATAATGATTACTATAGAATTAGATTTATGAAATCAATTGGTGCAAATGACTTTGGAACACGTGATATCTATAGACCAGAGTATCAGAGAACCAAGAAAGCATTGAGTGCACTGATCAATTTCTTTATTTACAGAGACCAAAAGATTAATATTCACATGGAGATGTCAAAGGAAGTAGATGATACCATTACAAAGCATGGCATTGTCAAGGAGGAAGCAATTCATGTTGCCGACGAATATGAACAGGTCTTGGAAAAGAAGGCAATCCTCGACAAGGAGGTCTCTGACCTGAGGGACGAGCTTCACCATTCAGAATCACAGCTCGAGACACTCGTTAAGGAGTACAACGATACCAAGGCAGCCTACGAGCAATTGGATACCGTTAATCAGGAACTCCTCACAAAGATCGAACAATACAACTTTTCAATTTCATCAATCTCTCAGGAAATTTCAAATATCGATCCAATGATTGTTAGATCACCTGATAAAGTTAAAAGAGTAATTATTAGTTAACAATATTATATATCATTTCGTAACAAATAACTAATATATAACAAAAAAAAAAAAAAAAAGATGTTGGAAAATATGGAAAACAATATTATTATGGAAAGAGAAGAGATTACAAGATTAGATGATGAAATTAAAAAGATACAATTTAAATACAATAGAGTTGATAAGATGAAAAAGGTAAGAGCAATAATTATAGTTTAAAAGATTAAAAAAAAATGCTAATTATTTAAAAATCAACAGGATATGTCAAAGACATTGTCATTGGTAGAGAAAGCAACAGACGAACACCAGAAATATAAAAAAGTTAGACAAATCTTAAAGGATTTACAAAAAAAGTATACAGATCAACAGAAATCATTAAAAGATTTAGAAGGTGTAATTACTGTATGTATCGATTAATATATATATAGATATTTAAAATTTTATTAACTTTTATAAATCAAAACAAAACAAAATAAAGAGATTAGAAAAGAATTGTTCAAGTCAGAGTGATACATTGGCATCAATTCAACAAAGATTTAAGAATCACAAGGAACAGTGGAATAGCACAATGATGGAGGTTGAAAATGAAACTCAGACACTGTTACGTGAGAAGCAAGAGATCAAAGAACGTTGTGATGAAATAGATCTTCAAATACAAGCTAATGAGCAAGAACTTGAGACTGCCATCAAAGAGAACGAAGAAACTCGTCGTAAAATCATCGAACATTTTTACTTATTAATCGAATCAATTCAGTCATATCACCAGAGTATCGATTCAATCATTGAATCACCTCCAGAAAAGCTCACCTCTGAATATCAATAATTAGATATCAATCATCTTTTTGTTTTTCATTTGTATATACTATTTAATACTCTCTTCTTCTGTCTCTCCTCTTTTATATTTAAATTTAAATAAATATTTTCTTTTTTTTTTTTTTTGTTCTTTTGGTAGAAAAAATATTATAATATCTTTTTTATTATTATTTTTAAAATAAAAGTTGAGTGTTTAGATTTATAGTTGTGAGAAATTCGATTGAATTGTTGTTTGTTGTTGTTGGTTTGTTGTTGTACGTTGTTTGATTTCGTTGTAATTATAGTTATAATAATTTGTGGATCGATAATTTAAATCTTTCCAAGTCTCTTCTTTAATGATCTCATTCTCTTTCTAAGCTTTCTTTGTTTGTGTTTGGTCATCTTTAACTTTCTCTTTTTGATAATACTAGACATTTCAATTGATTCATGTACTTGTTCCTCCTTAACTCCGTTATCAATCATCATTTCGTCGTTGAATACAATACTATTTATATCATATCTGTTAACTTTAATTTGTTCTTCTTGTTGTTTCTTTTGATAAAACTCTAATGCTAAATTAACAAATTTATAACAATATTAATAAAAAGAATCAAACAAAAAGCTGTATCATACATACGTTTATAATTTAATGGAAACAAATTGAAAATATCATTTGTATTACAAAACAATGGTGAATTATTCGATGATGATGATGAATGTATATTACTTGGTTGAGAAGATATTGATTTAAAAGTTGTTTGTTTATTGAATTTGTTATATAGGTTGTTGTTGATGTTGGCGTTGTTGAAATCTGTAATGAAAGATCTGGTTGCTGTCATTGGCTGTGCAACTTTGCCAAAGAGTGATGAAGCACATCTCAATGTGCCCTTTTGTAACATCATTTCCGCTTTGTTACAAAGTATCAATCTGAGTTAACAAGCTAATAATTAATAAAAAAGAGGATATATACGAACTAACTTTGTTTCAAATCAAAAAAAAAAAACAATTAATGCAAGTCGATTTTTTTTTTTTTTTTTTTTTTTTTGATTTTTAAATTCAAAGCGCATCAATAATGAGCAATGTGATCACACACCATCATTATTTTTAAAAACGTTACAAAAATTATTGATATTGTCTTTTTTTTTTTTAATTTTAATTAAAGCTATATTTTTATTTATAACTAATAAAATAAATATATCTTAATTAGATTGAACTTTATAGATTATACATATATATATTTATATAGATAGATAGATAAATAAATTATAATAATGGTAAATATTAATATTAAAAACATTAAAGTTGTTTGTTTTCATTCATTAATGATTATATAATAAATAATTTAGAGAGTATTTCATAGATTCCCAACTCAACATGATGATTTGATTCATGATGTTAGTTATGACTTTTATGGCAAGCGTTTGGCAACTTGCTCTTCGGATCAGAAAATTAAAGTGTGGGATTTGAATGAAAATGGTAAGTGGGTGATGTCTGCAGAGTGGAAATCACATTCTGGCTCGGTGTGGAAGGTTGCATGGGCACATCCAGAGTATGGACAGGTTTTGGCATCGTGCTCTTTTGATAGAACCGTTTGTATCTGGGAGGAAGGCGAGGATGAGAGACAGGTGAAACGTTGGCAACTCAAAGCAACCTTGGTAGACTCACGTGACTCTGTTACCGACATAAAGTTTGCACCAAAGGCATTCGGATTGAGACTGGCAACTTGCTCGTGCGACGGATACATTCGTATCTACGAGGCAATGGATATTATGAATTTGTCGCAGTGGTCGTTGGTCGAGGAGTTCGAGTCGCAAAAGGGTAGCTCCAACTGCATCAGTTGGAATCCAAATACATTCGACAAGCAGATGATTGCACTCGGATCGAACGATCCATTTATAAAGATCTGGGAATACAATGAAGCCAATCGAAAGTGGGTGTTGATGGACACAGTCTACTCGTCGACCACCACTTCAACCCCAACGGTTTCGTTCAATCCCGCATCGTCACTGAGTGGAATCACACAGACCAGCGGGTCCGGTGCATCTGGCACCCCGGATGTCGAGTCGAATCGCGCCATCCACGACATCTGCTGGGCTCCAAACATGGGAAGAACCTACCACCTTATAGCGACAGCATCGAAAGATCACAACGTTCGTATTTGGAAGTTGACCAACGACAAATCAAAGTTAGAGATGAAAGAGGTGCTTTGTAGCTCCATTCACAAGTCAGAGGTGTGGAGAGTAGAATGGAACATCACAGGTACAATTTTAGCAAGCTCAGGTGATGATGGAAATGTTTGTCTGTGGAAATGTAATATGAATGGTGAATGGAAACACATGTCGACGATTAGTGGTGAAGAAGATTTAAAATAAAGTAAAAGTAAATAAATAAAAAAAAAGAATAAAAACAATCAATCATATCAATCATATTTAATTTTTTATGTGAAATCATAACTTTATAACTTTATACGATCAATTATAACTTTATAAGAATGTCAATGAAATAAATGTTTTCTTTATTTACCAATTTGTAAAATCGTTGTGCAAATGTTGATTGAATATGACTCTCAGAGGTCCACTAGTGAAGTTTGTGGATTTGGTGTTGGGGAGGTGAGTTACTGTGAAACTTTGGGTACTAACATCCACAAATCAAAATAACAATAAAGATATATAGTTTTCTATTTTATATTATCTGAAATTCAAATATGGTATAAGTAAAGGGGACAATGACCCAGAATGGAATTAATTTGCAATGGTCACCTCCCAGTCGACAAATTGTTTGAAAAGATTTTAAAATAAAAATGATCTTAACCATTGAGATTGCAATGATCATTTGCTTTGCATAAAATTGATTCAAATAATAAGAAGCAAAAAAACATGATTGAAAAATAAATAAAAAATTTAAAAAAAAAAGAACTTAAAAAAAATTAAGAGATTCTTTAAATTTTGAAAAAATAATTATTAAATTTAGTGTTGATTCGTGTGTGGTCACTCTGATCATCACACCACCAAGAAGAAATTCTCAAAAAAAAAAATTATTGCGAAATTCTATAAAAACCCAAAATTTAAGCAAAATTTCAAAAGAAAATCTCGTTTCTGAATGATATAATGTGAGTTTTTTTGCCCTCTTTTTTTTTTGTGTTTTTTTTTTTTTTTTTTTTTTTTTTTTTTGTGTAAAAAAAGATTTTGTTTTTTAGTGATTGTGTGTGTGCTATTGACAAAAAAACACAAAAATTAATTAGTTTTTTTCTTCACGGTGCCAATCAACTAAATAATAATAAATACTATATAAATATATAACAATAATAAAATATAGTAAATTAATAACAATAATATAATATATATCTTAAGCGATTAATAACATACCTTAACATTGCTATTATAAGCTTTAGCAGTGCAGTCATAGATCAAAAGCAGAGAAAAACAAAAAAAAAAACAAAACAAAATATTATAAATTATTATATTTGATTGGTTTATCCCGTACATTTCATTATTTAAAACAATAATTATCATTTTTTTTAAAGAAAAATAACATTAGATAACAAAAAAAAATAATTAAAACAAAATAACCACAACAACAACACACAATCACAATCAGTATTAGTATCAAATAATCATAATATTGAATAAATAACCAGTTATTCAAACAGTAGTAATTCAATTACACTACAGTTTGCCACCTTTTTCAAATAGACCAATAATAATTATCAGGCTCTCCAAATATATATATAACTATATATATTCACATTTTTTTATTTTTTTCCCAATTTCATATTATAACAACCTATATTTTTTAGAAAATATAGGTATTAGCAGTCATCGACTATATAATACCAGTAGTTCTCAAATCTCAACTAAACCAATATCATCAAATCCAAATTCACAAACACACCATCATCACTCAACCACACACCATCACCACCCCAATTAAATTTAAAGCAATTAATTTCTAACCACTTCAGGTCAACACCTACAATAAACTCTCATTTTCAACCATTTTCAACAACAACATTTAATATATACCTTCATCAAACACCACTCACACTGACCGCCAGAAAAAATAAATAACCAACAACAATAACAACAATAACCATTTATTTTAAAAATTTGAAGAAGGAAAGGAAAGAGTGAGAAATCATAATTTGCAGCAGTATTATCTCAGATTTATTCAGAAAACATTTAATAATAATTAGAATCAAATAATCAAATCAATCAACAATTAAGAATCATAAAGCACTTCCCATTGTCATTTCCATTTGCTTTCTCTCTTTATAACAATCTCCACATAAAGTAAAAATAATAATAAAACAACAACAACAACTATTAAACTCAATAACAATAATTAAGGTTTAAATCATCAACAATATTCAATCAACAACAAACCAGTATCATTTAAATTATAATTATATATTTTTTTTTAAAGAAAAAACCAAAACAAAGAGAAAGAATATTAGTAGTGATATTTTGAAACACAAAGATCAGTTTGTTCTTGAACAACTATTGTTTTCGTAAATATTATTAAAAATATATTTTTTTTTTTTGAAAAAAAAAAAAAAGGTAAGAGTCATTTCTTTTAGTTCTTTTTTCACCTCTATAAAATATGTGTGTGCTATTTCTGAAAAAATTTGATCATCTAAAACCGTCTTCCATCAAATTATTTAAAACAAAATCATTGTCAAAAAAAAAAAAAAAAAAAAAAAAAAGCCTTTTTTGTACATCCAATTTTTTTCAACAATCAAAATAGCTCCATTCACACATTGGCTAATCAAACACCCCACTGATGTTTCACTAAATCACAAATTAAATCAAAATTGATTTGACCTCCAATTTTTTTTTTTTAACAGTTGCCTTAAGCAAATCATTAAACAACAAAGATACAACACACAGCCCCATCAACAGAAACACTCTCTAAAGTTTAATTATATTCATACCTTTTTGTGCCCCTTCCAAGATCATTCTAATCTATGCATATTTTATTTTTCATTTTCTAATCATATTTCATTAATACTTTAACTATACTTTTTATTCGTATTAACAAAAATATATTATTATCCTTTTTTTTTATCTATCTATTCCCTATTTTATTGAAATATTTAGTGCTGCTAAATTGACATCTTTAAAGTGTACTCACTAATCAATCACTGATTATAGTCACTTCAGACTGTCCATAGTTGTTGGTGCCCCCTCTTGCAAGAATAAGAAGTGCTCTAATTCTTCAGAGCTGAGTGTTCAATCGCCTCATCTCAAATAGTTCAACTCTGCAGCCATTTCAAAAATAATATTTCAACAAACAAACAACCAGACCCTCTTCTTTTCTTTCATTTTTTAATATATTTTTGATTCAACAGAAGATCGATTTCATCTTCGGACTTCTGTAGCTCACCACAACCTCACCAATAACAACAACAACAACAGTCATTTCTTTAAAAAAAAAAAACAACTAACAAAGCAAATATCATTGTTATATTGTTTTTTTAATAATATTATTTTTTATTGAAATACTTCCTCCAACAACAACAACAACAAATCAACCAACCAACCAATCAATTTCCTTTAAATTTAATTAATATTATTCATTATTAATTAACTTTTTTTCATTTTTTAAAACAATATGACAACCATTCTCAAAGGATACTACCTTAAAGTTACACTTGAGAATCGTATTGTTAAACACAATGGACGTAAAGTCTATTTGTCAATTGTCGAACATGGCAATGGTATACCAGATAACGCTCTCATTCTAAAGATCACTGCAAAGTGTGCAAAATTCTCTGTTTGTCTTTCGATACGTTCACAGTGTGGTTGGAAAGAGCTGGACCAAAACGAAAGTGGCGAACTCACATTCGATCTCAAAGTAGAAGTCACCGGAAAATCACAACGTGCACCGCTGTTCCCGCTGATCTTCCAGCTGTGTGAGAAGAACTACGACCAGGTAGTGCTCATCAGTAAATCGGTGATTCCAGTCAAGGCCATCACAAAGATTCCAAAGAAGTCGTTGCGCGCCGAACTCGTGCCACTGGGCGAGCAGCCACTGAAACAGCCCCAAGCCTATTTGGCCACTGGAAGCGAAGTGTTTGCCCAGAACGATGCGGATGGCGCCGAAGACGATATGATCGATAACAATGAGTATCAGGGTGGTGACTCTGAGGGTGAGTCCGACGGAGATCCCGACCAAGACTCAAGCGGTGACTCACCGAAATACACACCATCCTCCAGTTTGGCAAACTCAACGGCATCGCTCAACCTAAACAATTCATCAGCCACCATTTCAGTTCTCCATAAAAATCCATCGGTCAGTGCAATTCTACCACCATTACCTTTGCAATCTGCAATACTTGACAATCAAAATAACAACAATCAAACCAATAGCAACAACAGTAGTCAATCACAACCATCTTCATCACAACCATCACCTGTGTTTTTGAATCATTCCTCATCAAACTCACCAATTCTTGCACCGGCAATGTCGTTGTCCTCCAGTTCACAATCTATTCTCACACATGGACATCATCTTCCGTCGGGTATGACACTCCCCACAATGCACAACCAATCACAACATCACCATCTCATCCACATGCTATCACCACGTCACTCCACATCGAACCTCATCTCTTCTTCACATTCCATACCTACATTGATCAATCCAACTCCATCGTCTTCACCAAGTCTCTACAACAACAACGCAAGTAACAGCAACGGTACCCAACAACATGCTACTTTTACCAACAATATTGGAGACATCATGAATGGAACCAACGGTAACTCGGCCAAGAAGAGAAGATCCTCAAATAACAGTCTCTCTGTTTCGTCGGCAACACTATCGACCTCCACTTCTGAGCCGTCACTCATCTCACATTCATCAACCTCGTCAAGATCAATGCTGACCTCCAGCACACCAGTGTCGCCAGTCACCCAGAGAATTGCGCCACTCAAAACACTCGACTCTGTCAAATCCACACCAACCTCACCTACCAACAGTGACCTTGAGCCACTCACATTCCTTTCGACACTGGCAACCATGGGAAGTAACACACTCTCGTCCATCCTCTGTAAAGATGACTCTTCATCATCAAATAACAATAACTCTGAAGAGTTGTTGCCAGTTCCACCCTCATCCTCATCTTCATCTTCATCATCCTCATCTAAATCATCAAATCAACAACAACAGAAATTCATGAATTCATCTAGTAACAATGTTATTAACGGTGCATCTTCATCAATCAGTTCAATCGGTGCATCTATCACTAACGCTATCAACTCTATGAATTCATCACTTAACTCGCAACATCACCATTTACATCAACAACATAACTTCAACAACAACAACAACAATAATAATAATAATCGTCAACATAGCAACAACAATATTTCATCAATTACAAACAGTAAGAATAACAATAGTTTTTCATTTACTAATTATGTTGGTCCTGTTGTTGCATCTTCATCTGCCAACGGTGTCGGTCATCACCACACATCAATAGATCATCCATCTTCATCGTCGTCACCATCATCTTCACCACCAACCATATCACCTTCATCTTCATCGTCGTCACTCTCATCACTTTCTTCACCAACATCCAACTCAACATTACCACATCTTCAACAGCACTCACTTCACTTTCACCAACAACAACAACAACCAATGTCGTGGCGTTCAACCACACCACCATTATCAAACTCAAGCTCCTCTACACCAACATCGCTCAACTCTTCAGCCTCTTCATTACCCCGATTGAATTTGTCATCTCAGACCTCGCCACCACTCTCTGGAAACACGACACCAACATCACCCAAACAACTACCGTCGCTCTCCATGCTGTCGCCACGTCATTTCTTGTCGCCAAACAACAACGTTGGTTCACCATCTTCATCATCGTCATCATCGTCATCATTGGAAAACCAACCAGTCAAGAGAAAGAGTATGATGATGGACAGATAAGAGTTCCACCAAAAAAACAAACAAAAAAATAACAAAAATACAATCTTTTATTTTTTTTACACTTTCAAAACACACCAACACCTAACACCAAACACCTTCAACAAAAAGTAAAACAGAAACAGCAAATTAATATTACTTTTTTTCAATGTATGATTTTTAATAAACCAATACTACTATAAAACAAAACACTTTCAAATCGTGTTCAACCTTTTTTTTAGTTGGTTTACAAATCTATTTTTGTGAAAAAAAAATGAGTCCAAAAAACAAAAAAAAAAAAAAAACAAATTTATTTTTTGAGATTTCAAATAAAACAGTTAAAATTAAAACGAAAATCACCAAAGTGTGATAAGATTAAAAATATACATGTGGGGTGGAATGTTGGCAAAGGAAAAAAGATTTTATCATTCATTTTTTTATTTTATTTTTTTTTATTGCAGACAGTAGTAGTAAGAATAAGTAATAGTAATCATAAAGTAATATAATTGAAAGTATAATTTACTTAGAATCAAAAATATTAAAATTTAATAGATAAACAGAAAACTAAAGTTTGAATATAGTTAAAGTTAAAATCATTGTTCATGAATTATATATATAATAGATATAGTTGCAGTAGGAGTATTATTAGTTAGTTTATAAATAAAAACAAAAAATGGTGTTTGGAAAGAAAAAAGATAAAGTGTCATCACCTAAAAACAATAATATTCAAGATAGTAATAACAATAACAATAACGATGATGACGATATAGATTATGGTATGTTCTTTTTCATTCAATAATCTATAGATGATAAAAGATAAAAAGATTATAGATAGTAGTAGAGAATATTTATTTATTTGTTAATTTGTTTGTTTGTTTGTTTGTTCAATGAAAGAAGTATTTATAAAAATCTTTCAATTTAACAAATAATGTAGTCTAATCTATATCTTCTTAACTATCTATCTGTCTTTTTATCTTTTTTATTTTTAAAAAATAGATTAAAATTGTTTACATTTTTAAATTCGACTATTGACATTTAAACTTGTTTTTATTTTTATTATCATTTTTTTTACGTTCCAACAAAACTCGGGGTTTTATTCTTTTTTCCTTGTTCGTCGCCAATCAAAATATTTATTTTATCTTTTTGGATTAACTTTGATATCGGATAATTGGAAATAAAGCATTAGAGTTGGAAAAGAAAATTCAGAGGACGAAGAAAGAGAATCAATGTCAAAGATTATCAATCGAGAGAATAATTTGACTAAGTCTGACCCAGAGCTTCTAAAGTATCAGACACCAATTCTCGAGCATCATCAGACTTCACCAGGTGATATTCGCAGTAATGAAGTGGTAGGTGCCAATAATAGTATCTATAATAATAGTAACAACAACAATGGTTCAAGTATGGCAACAAGCCGTACTAATTTAATAAGTGACTTGAATAGAAATAATAATAATAATGATACTAGTACAAATCAACCAAATTTTGATAAAGATGGAGTTGATATGGTAACTTTTAGTAATAATAGTAATAATAATAGTAATAATAATAATAGTAATAATAATAATAATAACAATAATAATAATTCATTGTCTGTACCACAACAACAACAACAAACTAAATTTATTTCACCATTATCAAGAGTACAAGAGCTACAAGTTGTAATATTAAATGAACATGAATCTTCTTTGGATCCTGGTGATCCTCCTCCCAGCGATGACGAAGATGAATCTATCCGAGACAAAAAGAAAAAGAAGAAACTAAAGAATTTATTATCAAGTTATAAAGCAAGAGTAATTATAATTCTTGCTATATTATTAATTATAACTGGTGTTTGTAAGTTTAAAATAATATGTTTTTTTAGATTTCCAATTTATTTTATTTACTAATTCATTCATTTATTAAATTTTTAATCAAGGTGTTGTTGTTTATATATTTTGGGATCATGTTCAGATTTTAGATAGACATATATTGTGGTGGGGATTGTACTTGGATGTATTTATATTGGCTTATCTGGTGTCGAGTTGGGTAGTCGGTGGATTTTTTTCGTTGTTCCAAACTACACTGTATCTACAGCAGCACGTGTATTATTATGTCAATGGTATTATATTCCCACTGAGCGTACTGGTATGGGCGGTAGTTTTATTTTTCACTGCGGAGCCAATGCTTCAGCCTCCATCGTATGTTCGCGACGACTTTCAGAAATATTACAACACTCTGAAGGCTATCATTTTTGTCGCTCTCTTTTATTGTGGTCGTGTTGCTCTCGTAAAGATTCTCGCCGCTAAAACCAACAGAAAGGCATTCTATTCATCTCTAAAGGCGTCGTTGTTGAACGAGGAGCTACTCGAACAAATGTCGACAAGAAAGGCAAAGACACTTGGTCAGTCGGTATCAGCAAGTTTGAAAAGGAAGAAACAAATAAGTGTTGCACAGTGGATCGAGACATTAAAGACGAGAAACAACCTGAGTGGCAAGCTACAAGCACGTGCCAGTGAATTCACTCAGAAGGAATCGAAAAAGATTGCCAAGCAAATCATCAAGAATGCAGGACGTGGCAAAGACTATCTGGTAAAGGACGACCTCAATGCCTACGTCAAACCCAAACATCTTGACAAAGCATTCAATACATTTGGCTCGTTGAACGACGAAAAAATCTCGAGAGACGACATTGTCAATTGGGTAATGAGAGTGGTTCGTTCAAGAAAAACACTAGAGTATCGACTCAGAGACCACGAGGACATCGGTCAAGTCATCAATGATATTATCAATTTCATTTTCTGGATTCTCATGTTCCTCTTTGTTCTTTCTTTGTATGGCGTGGATATCAGTGCATTCTTGGTTCCTTTGTCCACAACGATTTTAGCATTGTCCTTTGCATTTGGTACAACACTACGTAATATTTTCGAATCACTCATTTTAATCTTCTTTGTTCGTCCATTTGAGGTGGGTGACAAGATAGCAATTAATGAAGAGGTATTGTTTGTCGATCGTATCGGTATTCTTTTCACTTCTTTCAAGAGTCTAGATGGTAAGGCAGTCTACGTACCCAACCAGAACTTGTTGACCGCCAGAAAGATTGAAAATCATCAGAGATCTGAAGAGGTTTGGATAGGTGTCGATCTACTCATTAACTTTATGACACCAGTCGAGAAGCTCTATATCCTCGAGGCCAAGATCGACAAGTGGATGAAAGCACAACCCGAGAAATGGAAGAACGATCTATCTTTGAATTTCGTAGAGATCCGAGGTACCAACCATATCTTGGTTAGATATGGTGCTTCGATCATCTCCACCTGGCAAGACGTAAAGCGATGGAGACCAGTCAAGAATGAACTATTCTTCAAGATGAAAGAGTGGTTAGCTGATTTAGGTTTCGACTCACTGCCGGCAAGGCAATTAGTACAAATGGTAAATGGTCCACAAATTACACCATTAATGGATCCAAGTAGTTTTAATAACTTTAATAATAACAGTAATAATAATAACCAATTTCCACATTTTAGATAAAAAACAAAAGTAAAAAAATAAAAAAAATAACTTCATTATTTATTATATTTCAAACATGCAATTCCTTATCATTAAATATTTAAATTAGTTAACTATTTTATGAGGACCAAATACCTAGAATACGACTTCATAGATATATTCTTAAAATACAAAACCATTCTATAGTAAACAATTCATCCTCTCTGATACAAATAATAAATGAATTTGAAATGCCCTCACTCTTCTTTAAAATAAAAAATTAACATTACAACAATATAGTTGGATCATTTTTGGTGATAAAATTTGAATACTGATAAAAATTTTGTAATACTTTCCAAGTTTGGGCTTATAATATAAGTTCTTAAGTAAATTGAAAGTTTTAAATAACTAGTTAAATAGTTTAACTATTTAAAATAAAAGATTAGTATAATTCCAAATCCAAATTTAGTGGGACTTTTTTTTATTTGCACCAGTTTAAAAAAAATTGGTTTCAATTTATTATTTTGTTGTAAAAATGATCATATTTATTAATATATAAGATCATATTTCGAAATAGTTAATCTCTAGTTGCACATCTACTATTGTCTTACTTTTATTATTTGTTAATTTCATTGAAAGATCTCATTGAAAGATTTATTCATCATTCACTTTCATAGCAACAACAACAACAATGGCAGGACTAAGCATTTTGCTTGCTCACAAGATCATTGATTATATCAATAATGATTACAGACTTGCTATTCCACAATTTCCATTTAATGATGATTTTTATAGCCCATGGAAAGAATTGTTATCAATTTCACTTGTTTGCAAAACATTCTTTCATGCAACCAAGCTTTCTTTACAACAGCAGCATTCTCTTATAATTAATTGTAGTAGATTATATCAACTAATAAAACACACCGCTTTTTATAATCAACAACAACAACAAAAACAATTGATAACAAACAATAACTTTGAAGAAATAATAATTTATGACACTGACTATGAAATGATCGGCTTTGGAAGAGAATATACCACTGTTATTCAATCATATTTTAAGAATATCAAACGAATTCAATGCAATTCATCTTTCCTAGCTTACGACATCATTTCGGAGTCCAATGCAGAACCAACATTCTTGAAAGTCAGCTGTAGCCCTAAATCATTTAATTTTGCGGTTCAAAGTAGTGGGCAAGAAAAGCAGAGGATTAAAAAGGATCTGGAAGTGGCCAAAAGGTATGGACAATTACTATTGATGGATCTTGCACCAAAGCGGTGTCTCAAAAGTTTAACCATTGATATGGGAAATGACCCTGTTAATGCATATATTAACCGGAATGTGGAAACTCAAGATTCTTTATTCTTTGAATATTTGTTGTCACCGCAATTCGATACACTCACCTCATTGACTATCGATTCTCCATATCTCTGTTATGACACCTCGTTTGTACCGGATTGGATTGGAAACAACACTGGTTATTTCTTTGAATTGCTTTCCAATCTTGTCAACCTCGAAACACTTTCACTCAAAATAATGTCTAATAATCTGGGAGATGATGACTTGGATACAACAAACCACTTGGTAAACTACCTGACTACTCAGAACAAGCTTACCAACTTTACATTCCGACCTGCTCTCTCGTTCGATGCACTTGAATACCTCCTTCAAAATGAATCTTCAACAGTTAAGCACCTCAATATATTATACAGCGTAGGGTATATTGATAATAGTCATCATCGTAGTGAAATTCGATACAAAATACCATTGAATGATGATAAACAGTTGTTGCTTCTAACCAACAAGCTCACATCTCTCACCATGGTGTTTGAACAATCTGATAGTGATCTATCATTAGATGATGAACAACAAGAAGAGTTATTAGATTCACTAGTGGCAAACACTTTAATCGCGCCAACTCTCCTGGATTACGATTCTGAAAATGTAATAGAAACATATCAAAGAAGAAAGATAGCGCTTCAGCAACAACTACAACCACGTAGCGGAAAGTATATACCAAATGTTCTTAGTCCGATCTATGAATATATTTACAATCAAGAGATGAAATCAAATCAGAAATGTGAATAAAAGTAACTAAACGAAATCTATTACCACAGCATCTTATTGAGCTGCCCAAAGTCTTGAATTAAAACTATTCTTTATTGTTTTCTAACTCTATGGTTCTTTGAATTTCGAATTAGATTGATCAATCTTTACAGTAAACTGCTAACACTCATATTCTTTCGCGTAGAAACAAACTGATAATTAACTTATATAATCTATAACTTTTGGTTTTTATTGATTTTTGTTTGTTTTGTCCTTACTAATATTTAATAGGTGTTCTACTGTTTATATTTGACTATGCATAGCAAATCATGATGTAATTGATATTCTTTGAATGGAAAATGTCTTTAGAATTTGGTCAGAATGTCAATGTTAGTTTGATGACTTTAGTTTAAGACACAATGTATTAAGAAATTTTAAACAATTGTTTTTTTTTTTTTTTTGATTAAACTTTTCGACAGTAATATGAAATTCGCATTATTATCATAATTAGGTTGTATTGCTCAAAAAAATAATAGAATCGAAAGGATCAAAAACAAGTGGGTGCATGCTGATTCAACAAAAAAAAAATGAGCAAAATAATTTTCATTAACCAAATTAAGGCTTCATTTATTACCCATAATAAGTTAAGAATTAATCAGAAGTTGCCAGTGTTTTCATCAATAACATCACTTTCAAGCAATAATAAATATAGATATATAAACCAATTTAGTACAAATAAAAATAATAAAACATTATTATTCAATAGCTATTTAAATAAACATCATAGTAAGTGTAGTATTTATTCAAAAAGCTAGCTATTTATAAGTAATAATTGATATATATAACAAAACAAACAAAAAAAAAAACAAAAGATACAGTTAAAACAAACAAACAAACCAATAAAACAAAACAATATCATGAAACCAAGTATCAAATTGCTAACATTGTCTTGTGTAGGTCTATCGGCCGCAGTTGTTGCCATCGCCTATCGTTATATCAGTTCACAATCGAATACTGATAAATCATTGAGTGAATTCAGTGCCGAGCCAAGCCAAGAGTCACCAGACAAAAAAGTCAGTTCCTACGACTCTGCTGCTTCACCAAGTGACGCTCCTTCTACTCCACCCATTACCTCGACAACAGCGACAACAACACCAACAACAACTACTACAACAACTGACAATGTTAATAACAATAATAATAACAACAACAATAACAATATTGATGTAATTGGTGATATTGAAGATCTCAATAAGAAATGTGGATTCTGTAGACCAGAGATGACCGACGCCGATAGAAAGTCACCAGCCAACTCGATTCACGAGTACAGCAGACACTACTTTATTTGCAGTGGCATTGCAGCTGACAAGTGGCCATCTAAATGGTTCGAATCCTCTGAACAGCTTATGACTTTGGCCGATCCAATCAAGAAGCACTCTCGTACTCAGTTGGAGCCATCGATCTTCAACGGTATCGACATGGAATCGACCTCGCAAAACACTGACTTTTTGTTGTTCCCAGAGATGGTGAAACTCGTAGACGTCGATGCACCACAACTCGAATCACTCTTGGACTACTTCTCAAAGAACAAATCGATTACCGACAACGATGATTCATTCCCATCGCATATTAAAATCGAGAATATTACTGTAAGTTAAAAAGCTATTTACTATATATACTTTTAGCAGTAAAACAAACAAAAACGTTACTAATTTACAAAGTAAAGGGCAAATATATATTTGTTTGTGCACACAAATTAAAAGATGAACGTTGTGGTTATTGTGGACCGATTTTGGTTGATCAGTTGAAAGAAGAGATCGAACGTCGTGGACTCTCCAACGAGATCAAGGTTTACGCTTCCACTCATGTCGGTGGACACAAGTATGCCGGTAACGTGTTGGTCTTCCCAGCCGGTCATTGGTACGGTTACGCACAACCATCGGATATCAATGAGATCATTGATAGTACCATCAACGGTAACGTGATCACAAGATTACATCGTGGTACAATGGGACAACCAGTACTCAAAGAAGAGAAAGAAAAGAAACAAAAAGGTGATCATCACAAGAAACATTAAATAAACGGTACATTACAATATTGGTTCTATTGATTTATACATCATAGATAATTTTAAATAAATAAATATATATATATTAAATATTGTTTTAATTAAAACAACAAACACCGCTATTCATACCAACTAAGCTATTTAACTGTAATTATTATTATTATTTTGATTATTTATTATAACATATTTAAATATATATTTATATATCTTTGTAATTTATATTATTGTCGATCGAACTGGTTAAATTAATAGACTGGGTTGGCAATCATATAATCTAAAATACAAAATGTAATTAATATCAACATTATATTATAATATAACATTTATAAGTGATCATATATTCGAATACATACTAACATCCTTTCTTGGCTTTCTTGTTGAAAACTTCTCACGTAAACAAAGAGCAACTGGTGGCATAGCAATAACTAAATTAATTATAATAAATGATTAATAACTATATCTTTGATTGAATTATAGGTTTGTTGCTATTATTATTATTATTATTATTATTATTATTGTTGTTATTGTATTATAGTATGTTTCATTGATATCTAATGTAATGATCGTCAAATACGGTATACTGTATCTTCTAGTTTTTGTTGATTAAAGATTAATCTTTAACCTGTAGAATGCTCGAACTAATAGTGCTCTCTTGATACACTCTTAAATGATTGAATTGTAATATCATTGCTTTATTCGTGTTTTTATAGTCTTAATCTTTCTCGATCGAGTAAAGAACAACACCTACATATACCAGAAAAGACAACAGATACAAAGAATGCTGGTTCAGTTCTCAACCAACGATAGCAGTTGGTCTTGAGTGTATGAATACCTCTGAAAACACCTGACATTTTATTAATTTAATATATATATATTGTAAGAACAATGAAAAAAAAGAATGATTATAAAAAAAAAAAAAAAAAACAGAGATCATGATCAAAAAAAAAAGTGATTATGCGATCAAAGTTTTTTTAATCATATTTGTAAATAATGAATTCAATATCTGAAAAATATTATGAAGAATCGTTCGTTTCCAATTTATATTTATTAATAATTAAAGAGTTTATAATTATTTCTTGAGAGTTCTATTGAAAAGACTTAATAAAGCACTCCAATGAGCCTCTGTAGCAGCTTCTTGATACATTGGTGTGTCTTTCATTGTGTAACCATGAGGAGCGTTCTCATACTTGATCGAGGTGTATTTAATATGATGGGCGTCAAGAGTTTGTTCTAAAGTTTTGATTTGCTCTGGTGTCATGTTGGCATCGTTATCGGCGTGACCAAAGTAACATTCAGCCTTCAACGATCCAAGACCAAGATGAACGCTGTTCTCGGCGTCAGTGACCAATCTACCGGCATGCCACGATCCGAGTGCTGCAAATCTCTCTGGGAAACTTGAGGCAATTCTAGTGGCGTTGGTTCCACCCATGCAGTAACCGGTGATACCGACGGCCGATCCGCTTTCGACGCACTCCTGACTGTCGATGAACTTCAAGTACTTTGGTGTGTCGGCGTGGATCGCTGCCGGTGTGAAGGCAGACATGATTGGTTGGAGTTGTTGGAAGAGAAGTGGACGCTTCTCTGGTGCGCTCAAAAAGTCTGACAAGTTTGGAATAAGTGGTGCTCTTCCCGATCGGTAGTATAGGTTTGGTTGCAAAACAAAGTAACCTTGCTTGGCAATACGGTTGGCCATCTCCTCTAGGTATGGACGCAATCCAATAGCATCCATAAAGAATAAAACGGCAGGTGCTTTCTTTCCTCCTAGATCACCCTCTGGCAATGCATAATAAGCATCACATACTAAACCATCATCCATTTCCAAATCGATATAAGGCATTTTATTTTTCTTGTTAAATAAATAATATACAAATATATAATAATATAATTGAATTGAATTTAATGAATTAATAAACTAACTATATTATTTTGGCTCAAACAAACTAAAAATCAGATTTTTTAATGTACTTTTTTTTTTGACACGCATGTTTCACCTTGCACCAATTTATTAAATAGCTTATTTTTCTTCGCTATCGATATCGGAGTGTTAACAAAAAAAAAAAAAAGCAAAGATACAAATTGCAATTGATTCTTAGTTGTTATTTTTTGAAATGGAATACTGATTAGTGATTCCCTTGTCGATTTAACTTTTTTTCGAAATATGGAATTGAACAATCTATATTCACAAATATTAAAGCTGGAATAAATATTAATTGATATAACAATATTATTATTATTATAATGTTTGTTTGTTTGATTTTTTTTTTGATGTTATTATTTTATTTTTTAAAATTCCTCTGGTTCGTCATCCAACAATGGTTCATCATCATAATTTAAATTATCTTCATCGGCGATTGGTTCCTCCTCTATAATCTCTTCTTCCTCTTCGATGATCTCTTCTTCAGCTGGTTGTTCCTCTTCTTCTTGTGGTTGTTCCTCGTCTGCTGCGGTCTCGTCAGTCTTGTAGAGGACACCCAATATGTGCTTGATAATCTCTGATGCACCTTCGTGTGTTTCGTTGGCTTGACAGTAAAGTTCGACAGCTCTCAGCTTCTCATAGAAGAAATCACGATCCTTCTCAATGTCCTCGATGGTGATCTTTAAGTTGGCGATCTCCTCCTTCAACTTTTCGGTCTCCTCACGCTTCTCCTCCAACTCCTTGAGTAGTGTTGGGTCGACAACTTTAACGGTTTCGACAACCGTTGTAACTGTAGTTTGTGGTACTACTGCTGGTGAACTTGTTGGTACTGCTGCTGCTGTTGTTGTTGCTGTCGCTGTTGGTTTTGCTAAAGGTGTTGGTTTGAAAACTGTTGGTTTATTAGTGGTTGGTTTAGTTGTTGTTGTTGTAGTTGGTTTGGTTTCAGTTGGTTTTACAGAGGTGGCAGTTGGTTTTAATGAAGTGGAAGTTGTTGGTTTGGCGGCTGCGGCGACTGGCTTGGCAGCAGCCGACTTTGAGGTGGCGGCACCAGCGGTAGTAGTGCCGGTTTTGAGTGGTGCTTTTGGTGCGTTGGGACCGAGCGCGGCCAACAACGGCTTGTCACCTTCGTAGTTGCAACGGGCCATGACACGACGCTCCAACGCATTGTAGGGTTCGCCGTTGTAGTGGAGATCAAAGAACTTCTTCATCCACTGACAGAAATCCAGGTTGGCCTGTGGACGTCCCGTTACCATACGATCGACATCCATGGCACCCTGATACTTCTCGACACCCAACTTGACAAAGGTCTCCTGTAGCAAGTTGAAATTCTTTATATATTCGTAGTCGTACTTTGCATTGTAGTTGACCTTGGAGAGTGGTAGCTTTCCAGGGAAGAGAACGTCCATCAGCTGGCAATGTGCAGCACCAGTTGCAGTCTGTTCGATCTTTGTATATTTCAATTGGAGAGTATCGTTCAACCAATTTAAGATTTCGTTTCTTCCACCACTACAACAATATTATATAATCATGATTCTGCATATTAATTATCAACTCTGACGATCATTTATGATTGATCAAAAAAAAAAAAAAAAAACAACAAAAATAACAAACTAAACTAGTTTATTAGACTGCTAACTTACCCTTCCATTTTTATATTTATCTAGTTTATTAAACTATTTATTTTAATTATAATATAATACAACAATAAAAATCAATTATTATTTATGTGTCACCTGAAAAAAAACTTTTTTTTAAATCTTTTTTTTATTTTTTTTTTATTTTTTTGATGTTCGATTCTACTTTAAATTGGCGGGCTCAAACTTCAGTGTTAGTACTATTTAATCATCATTTAAGGTATCATAGAGATTCTTTTATCTTGTTGTCTATCTAAATTAAAAATAGTATTATAGTTTGTTTTTTTTTTTTTTTTTACTTAATATATGACATATGTGAACATGATAATATTAGTTCACAAGCAACACTCTACTAATTCGTGATTGTGACGATAACATTCCCAATCGATTAAATTAAATAATTTAAACAAGTGATCTTATCTTTGCAAATTGTTGTTGCACGAAAACAACAACCTTGAATCAAAAGTTTTTTATTTTTTTTTTAATCTACAAAATTTTAATTATTTATTTATTTGTTGTTTGCATATTAAATAATGGATATTGCTAGCTTTGAAGAACGTGCATCTATTGCTGAGAAACTATGCCAAGATCTTGCAAGTAAGGTAGCATTACTTGAAGATCAAATTCTAAGTAAGTCATATAATTTGATTAAAAAAAAGTTGTAAACACAGTATTACTTATCATGCTACCGTGTATAGATAATAATAGAGCATCATCCAATAACAATACCGATTTAGTATCTTTAGATGAACACAAAAGAGTAAGACTATTCAAAATATATAAATAGAATTCAATGTTTTGCTCATACTATTTTATTTATTTATTTTTGTATTGTGATAATATAATATAGGCATTGAAGGAAATTGAATCATTAAGACAAGAGAGGGATAGAAACAAGTACAGAATCAATCACCTCATTAGAATGTTGGAAATAGAAGAAAATGTTAATAATAATAATAATAATAAATAATAATAATAATTAATGATAATGATAATTTTGATATTGTAGATCACGACTAATTAAAATAAATAAATTTAATTATTAAAATTTTAATTTTTCATTTGTTGGTTAAAGCAACATTACATTTATTGCAAAAAAAAAAAAAGAAAGAAAGAAAAGAAAAAAAAATTTTAAAATTGGTATCTAAAGAGAAAGGAAGGACTTTCCTCTTCTTCTCTGTCTATTCCAAGATCTTCAATAGAAATCACAATGGTTTAAAATTAACAACACGATAAAAATAAGAAAGCTTCTAAGCCTGTTCAAAAGTGCATGAACTTTCTATTTTATTTTTTAATAGTAATATAAAATCATAGAAATAAATAAAAAAATTCTATATTTTTGCATCAAATATCCAATCGACTTTAGAAAATTTCAAGAATAAAATAAAATCGTGAAGAGCAAGAATGATGGTTTTAAGTGAATCATTGTTAAGAATGACCCTCACAAAAAATTTGAAAATAAATTTGAAAAAATTATTAAAAAAAAAAGACTGAATTGATTGAAAAAAAAAAAAAAACTACTTAACAAAAACTTTTTTCAAAAACATCATTCATCCTATCACACCCTCCCCCCAAAAAACCAAAAACAATAAATATAATAACAATAATTATAAAATAAACATAGATATCTATATTTATTTAGAAATTATTGAATGATTTACATTTATAATTATAGCAGTAATAACAATAATCAAAATAACATAACATAATCTAATTTTTATAAAATAAAAACAAATTATAATAATAATTATTAATTTTGTACATATTTATTTATTTATTAGTTTTACACTCACATATATATTTATAATAACTAGAACTACACTTTTAATTAACAGATATAAAGTAAGTAAAGTAATATTTACATTTATCTAAACAATAATCAAACTTAATTGTTCAACAGCAAAAAAAAAATTTGAAAATTTTTGAAATTAAGAAATAATTTGGAATTAGTTTTTTTTTTTTTTAGCAGTTAAAGAAAGTTTAGATAGAATAATTACTATACTACTATATAGTTTAATATTAATAACATAAACATATTTAATTGATAACAACAGTTTACAGAAATAGAAAGTAAAAGAATTAGTTTAGCAAATCAAAATTCGTCATTTTAGTTGGATTAACAGCAACGCAATAAACAGCATCAATAACAACAGCAATCAACAAATGGAAGAACCACAAAAACACCAGCTATCAAGATTCTTGAATATATTTCAATACTTGGGTCCAGTTCATTTGAAGACATTGAACTCTTTCGTACAGAAACCAGCTGCCACCTTTGTACAGCAACGTGGTGGTAGCGATGATATTGGATTCGATGGCGATGCAAGACAGGGACAACAAGCGATTTTCAGTCTGATGGCACTGCTAGACCGTGCCACCGATGAGCAAGTCGACTCGCTCCTCTCGGTACTGCTCTCACAGATCCGTGGTCAAGTCGACCAGTCGGACTTGCAACGCGTACACACTATCGCCACTTCTCTTCGTATTCCCCTGGAACACGTCGATGCACTGGGTCGTCTCGCCCAGCTCTTCTTGTTCTTCGAGGTACTGACACTGCACCTCACCGAAGATCACATCACCAAGCTCACCGATGCTCTCACCTCGATCTTCCCGATCGCTCCCTTCTCGCCCGTCGAGCAGGATCAACAACAACGCACTCACAACTACTTGGTCATCCTCCAGAAGCTGCAACAACTGTTTGCCACTAGCAGAGTCGAGTCGCTACTTCACCTCCACCAGGAGATCAACCAACACGGTCTCGGATTTTCGATTGCCAACCAACAGATTTGCGAAACACTCGACCTGAAACCAGACGAATACTACTTGGCGACCGCCTTGAGATGTCTGCTACAGATCGACGAGTCATCGCTCATCTCTCTCTTTGAGTCATTCCCAAAGCTACAATCACTACAACTGGCCCAAATCGCTCAAATCCCATTCCACTCAATATACGAAGTTTATGAACTGCGGGCAAACCTGTGTTCCCTCGCATCAGCATATCAACAACCAGTTTTAGATTTTTCATACCCACTCCCAGACCCACAAAAGTAAGTAGCAAATCATTTCTATCTTTTTGTTTTTTCAAACAAATCACAAAATATTATTATTATTATATATTCCATTTTATTTCTCAAATTCTATAATCACTATATTTTTATTGTATTCGTTAACAATATTGGTTGGTTATATTTTTATTTAATTTTTCCAATCAATATTTTTTTTTTTTATTATTCCAACCAGTATCACATCTAAACAACAATACACTCATCAATCGATATAATTGTTTTGTGGCAAAACCGAAAACAATAGAAATTGCGTGTGTGGAGTGACATTTTAGTTAATTCAACAAAATTTCAAATTGGATTTCCTGCCAAATTCTCAAATTACTGGAATTATTTCTTGACATTTACTCTTATCAGCTTCTCTAATATTTATAACAATACTTTTTTATTTTTTTAAAATTTTTTAAAAAAATTTGTTGTTTTTCCTAAGTCACAATTGATTCTCAATAACTTTCCGTTCCCTCCTTCCTCTTCTTTTAATAATTTCTTGAGTTTGAAAAAACAACAACCATCCAACAACAACCAATCAACCCATTTAAACTAACATTCAACAATTATTTTTATTTCTTTACAATTGCTAATTTAACAATTAATTACAAACAATTGCAATCAATAATTTATAGAAAAGTAGAATTGAAAATAGTAGAGCAACCTCCCGAAAAAGCTGTCTACAAGAGAAATATCAAACCCGCACCCTCTGTTATGTTTAATGCCGATTCAAAGATGTTGGATGGAAGTTATTATATTCATGCTGCTCTTGTGAGATGTAACAATTTCCAAGAGGAGCCAACCTTTATGACTGGAAACAAGCCAATCCAAGTCGGAAGTACCAAAGTTGTTGCCTTTAAGAAATTAAAGATCCTCGTCACCTCACACCAACAAGGTGAAACATTGTTCTGTTTTAGATTCGATCTTCGTCGTTATGGCTCTGATCCAGAGACCAACCCAAACGATTTCGAAGTGATTGATTCTATCAACTCCAATCCAATCTGCTTGGTATCCCACTCCACCCAAATCAAGCACATCGCCAACGTCGATCTGCCACAAGTCAGCGAAGCCATCCCACTCGGAGGACCAGCCTGTGGAGGTACCAGAGTTGCCATTCTCGGTGCCAATTTCGTAGATACACCAGCTACACGTGTACGTTTCGACAGTGTAGAAGTCACACCAGAGTACCACTCTGCCGGAACACTCCTTTGCTACTCACCGGAACACGCTCCTGGTGTCGTATCGGTTCGTGTTTCCAACTCGCCATCGCACTGGTCGTCGTCGTCTGCACCATACACCTACGAAGATGATTCTGTCATCAACGCAGCCAACCAAGTTCTTCCAGAGCTCACTTTGCCAAAGTCTGCATTTGGTCTCGACTTTTCCACAACTTTCTCTGCCCAGTTTGTCATCCGTGGAGCTGGCGATTCCTCGCTGCCTTCCAACTCGATGGCCATGAGAAATCAAGCACCAACCTCACGTTTCCCAAATACCAACTACAGTCTCGATGTCCGTGGATACTCGATTCTCCATTACGTTGCCACCTTTAGCGATATCATCCCAGCAGAGGAAGCACGTCAGATGATTGCCGAGAACCTGCCCGTCTTGAACGTCCAAGATAAATACGGAAACACCCCATTACATTGGGCTTGTATCTTCAATGCCATGAGCATGATCAAGTTGTTACTCTCCTTTGGAGCCGCCATCAATATGCCAAACTACCAAGGTATCGCGCCAATTCACTTGGCAGTTGCCCACTCGAATCTCGAAATTGCCAAACTTCTCATTAGCGCAGGTGCCAACGTGCATGCCGCCGATATCGATGGAGTCACTCCATTGCATATGGCCGCCGCCATCAAGACTGCCTCGGGAGTTTCCACTGCCATCTTGGCTTTGTTGCTCTCGGTCGGGGCCAACATCTACGCCACTGACGACAATGGAGATTCATGTCTTCACAACAGTGTTCGTGAGGAGAACCTCGACACCACCCGTTTACTTTTGGAATACTCCAAACGTTTGGAGTACAACCAAAAGGTAAAGATCCAAGAGCTCGGAGGTTTCGATTTATCACTGGAAGACAGTTCACTCTATGGCAGTACCAACGAAGATGGTGAAACACCATTGCATCTGGCGGCTTCCATAGGTTCTCGTGAGATTTTACAGTTATTGCTACAATATGGTGCTGATCCAAGTTCGACTGACGTCGACGGTGAAACACCAGTCGACATTTGCAACTACAAATATCCAGAGCTTTTAAATGAATTCAAAAATAGAAACAACAACCAATCATCATCATCATCATCCGCCAACAAATCAATCAATTTTAATAACAACAATCAATCATCCAGTTTTTTTTCAACACCATCATCACTAAATAATTACCAGAGTAATCTAATGTCTCAAACATCTATACACTAGACCAAAAAAGTAAACAAAAAGAATAGAAAAAAGAATTCCGTAACCAACAATAACAATACAATCATTTTGTTTTATTTTTCCTCTTGTAATATAAACCAGTTTTCTCGTTTTATTTTATTTCAAACAACATTCAACTTTTCAATAGATAAATTTTTTCAGATCAATACAACTTTTACAACAATTGCACTTGAAAAAATAAAAATTATTTATTATTTTACATCTATATTCCAAACTCTATATATATATATCTTTTTTTTTATTATTTAGACAAACAAATGAGCCATTCAAATAAAATAACAAATTAAAATATCTAATGAAAAATTGAGAGAAAATTATTTTATTATAAAATAAAGTTGAATTTATTCTAATTGATATCACTTATTCTTGATTTCGATCGTCACAAATAGAATGAAAATATTTGTACTTATATTCTTCTATTCTGTATTATTAATGTATATTTTAATGTTAACCATCGGTTTTGTTATGATTTGTTTGTAAAAGAAATTGTTATAATAACACTTGTTATTATTAAATTTAATGAAATAGGATTTGTATTCCTTTTAATATTTTGAAACCAAGTATGAATATTCTTGTTAAATAGTATGATGTCGAACACCCATATTAAAAGTTAACCCATCTTGATTTAAAAAAAATATCAAAAGTCAAATAATTGATGGAAATATCAATTGTAAATAACAACATTCAATACTAGATTTATATGGAGGTGCAGGATCTGTCTACATATATTGGAGCATGCTGAGACATATAAATATTAAAAGATCTGGTGTGAGTTTAATTTCACAAATTTATTGTGATTTTTAAAATGAATTTATATAAATTATTTGATTTTCTATTTTTTGGAATAAACTACTTCTACAACTACTTTATTTTTTACTATATAAATAAATAAAAATATTAATAATTATAATATTTAAAACAAAATAATATATATAAAATATATTCTTAATATACTAATTATTGTAAAGAAATAATACAAGTTTACATTCAATATAGAATATATCTTTTTATACAAATATTTTATTTTAAAAAATTGAAGCTAGAAATTTTTATACTCTACTCATATATAGATAATTATAGAATGGAATATTACCATAAAAGAATTGTAAAACTTTTATATCTGGTTTTCCAAATATTAATTCTGATGATTAATATTTCTGTACAATCAAAGTGTGTCACCCCTTTTCAACCCAACGAAAATTTACATGATAAATTAGATCAAAATAAAAATTACCAATATAATAACAATATAGATCAAAACAACAATAGATTAGATAATATTAATTCCAATGGAAATGATGATATTAATAGTAAAAAGTATTTCAACTTTGATTGTATAAATAAAATAAAAAAAGATAACTACAATCAAAATAATAATAATGATAATATTGATGTTATTGAAAATAATAATAATGATAAAGATAATAAAATAAATCAAAACAATTGTAATTTAGAAAATAATAATAATAAAAATAATGAAAATGTAAATAAAGAAGTTGTTAGAAATCATGAAATAAATAAAAAGTTACCATCTACCTTGCCAAAAGAAGAATATTCAGTTCCTGAAAATCCAAATATCGACAAAGGATATCTGCAGTCGTCTGATCAATAAAAAAATTAAAAGAATAAAATAAAAAAAAATTAAATTATTTATTATTAAACTAAAAAAAAACTATAGTTTTATATAAATTTTAAAACTGTAGGACAACGAAAATGAGTCACCAGTGTTTGAGTTGGTTTGAGTTGGCAACTTCATAAAAAATTATTCAAACTTTTTAATGATTTTTTGCAAAAAAAGAAGATGGGGGGAGAAAATTAATTAGAGTTTTTTTTAATAAATAGAATTATCTTTATCTCTTTTTAAAAACATTAATTCTATAAATTAAATATATAGATATATATATAAATATTATTTATTTATTTCATATTAGATACTACTATTAGAAGAAAAGTTATTTTATTATTGTATTATTTATTATTATATTATTATTATACAACATTGTGCTATTTTTATTTCAATAATCGATTATTTATATCACATACTACACATTAAATAAACACAAGTTAACATTATATAGATATTATATTTATAAATATAATAATGGCAAATAGAAGTATAAGATTAAAGGTTGAATCTGTACCAAATGATTCTGCTGCATTCTCCAATCGTGTTTTTATGAATCCAAAGGATTTCAGACAGATTCTACAACCAACTGGTAATCGTGAGAATACAAACTATGTTACAATCAATGAAAACTATGTTTTATCTGCATCGTATGTAATAGTATATAAGATATATATATATATATAGATTTATTATTGTTATACGATTTTATTAACTAATCGATTGGTTTGCTATTATTATTTTTGATATTGTTAGTGAATCACCAGATGTTGCAGTAGGTACAATTGGTCTATCAAAAGCACAAAGACAAATTTGGTTACAGTTTGGTCTCAAGGAAGAAATCAGTGTTAAGGCATTCGAGCCAGAACCAACCGTCGCTTCATCGATTACATTCAAGATTGACTATCTCACCGCTGGTAAGAAGGGACCGAGATTAGATGCGAAATTGATTGCTCTGCAGATCTCACGTGACTACGACAGTCAGTATTTCATGGAGGGTCAATCATTGTTCATCAACTACTCACAGAGCAACTTTGTGCTTACCGTTTCAAAGGTACAGTTGACACCGGATTCCGGTGAGGCTCATCAAGGTCTGTTGTTGACCACTACACAGGTAATCTTGGTCAAAGCCGACGGTGCATCGATCGATATCGAATCGAACGGTCCATTGACAAGCATCCCGGTATTCAAACAGGAGTGGGATTTCGAAAACATGGGAATCGGTGGTTTAGACGCAGAGTTCCGTGACATCTTCCGTCGTGCTTTCGCATCGAGAATCTTCCCACCCGCTATCGTTGCAAAACTCGGTGTCCAACACGTCAAGGGTATCTTGTTACACGGTCCACCAGGTACCGGTAAGACTTTGATTGCACGTCAAATCTCAAAGATGTTGAATGGTCGTGAACCAAAGATTGTCTCTGGTCCAGAAGTTCTTGGAAGATACGTCGGTCAACCAGAAGAAAACATTAGAAATCTATTCAAAGTAAGTTGGTGTTGGAATAATATTTAGTTTGTGTTAAATTAACTTTTCTCTTTTTTTGTTAAATTCTAATTTTAGGATGCAGAGATTGAATACAAACAAAAAGGAGAGGATTCACAATTACATATTATTATTTTCGATGAAATCGATTCGATTTGTAAGACTAGAGGTACAAAGACAGGTGATGCCGGTGTAAACGATTCGATTGTCAATCAGCTGTTGGCAAAGATCGAAGGTGTCGAGTCTTTGAATAATATTTTGGTGATTGGTATGACCAATCGTAAGGATATGATCGACGAAGCTTTGCTCAGACCCGGTCGTCTTGAAGTTCACGTTGAGATCTCACTCCCCAACGAAGAGGGTCGTGTCCAAATCTTCAAGATTCACACTGCCAAGATGACTGCCAACAAATTGATGGCACCCGATGTCAACCTGAAGCACTTGGCTGCCAACACCAAGAATTACTCTGGTGCCGAAATCGAGGGTGTCGTCAAGGCTGCCACCTCCTATGCCTTCTCGAGACAAGTAGACACAAAGAATATCAAGAATGTAGAGTTGAAGCTCGACCAACTCCATGTTAATGCCAGTGATTTCGAACGTGCATTGGGCGATATCAAGCCAGCCTTTGGTGTCGACGAAGAACTCTTTAATAACTACGCTATCAACGGTATCATCAACTACGGTCCTGCCTTTGAGAAGATTCAACAATCAGGTCAAACCTTTATTGAACAAGTTAAAAACTCAAATAGAACTCCATTGGTTTCGATTTTGTTGCCTGGAAAACCAGGTTCCGGTAAATCATCGTTGGCCACAACACTTGCCTCAACTTCTGGATTCCCATACATTCGTATCATTTCACCAGATGACTTGGTTGGTTTCACAGAGATTGCTAAAGCATCTAAAATTACAAAGGTATATAAATTATTTATTATACACACACATAATGTATACATTGAAACTTAAACACTAACTTTTTTTATCTCTATAGATCTTTGAAGATTCTTATAAATCACCAATGAGTTGTATTATTGTTGATGATATTGAGAGACTCATTGAGTTTGTTCCAATCGGACCAAGATTCTCCAATACCATTCTTCAAACATTAACTGTTTTGCTCAAGAGAACACCACCAAAGGGTCGTAAGCTGTTGATCTTGGCCACCACTTCCAACCCAGAAGCCATCAGAGACTTGGGTTTGGATGAGTGCTTCGCCACATCCATGCAGGTACCCTCAATAACTAAACCAGAGGAATTCAAAAAAGTATTGCTTGAATTGGAAGCGTTCTCACCCCAAGATGTAGATTTGGCAACAAAGAAATGTTTCACTGGACAGCCTATCACTGTCAAACAATTGATCATGGTTGTAGAGATGGCAAGACAAGAATCTGGTGACCCAATTGAAAATCTCAGAATGTCAATAGAGGATTTACAAGCAAGATTTTTCTGAGCTAAATCATTATTATTAAATCAAACAAAATAAAACCATCACCACCACACAATCAATAAAATGATGATGTTGCAAAAATCTCTTTCCTGGTTTAAATCTCTTATCACAATGAAGAGTTTTGATGAGTTTTGTTTTTTTTTTTTTTAATTTTTTGAAATGAATGGTTTGATGATCAAAATAATAAAAATCTTGTCGAGTAATGGGGGATGAGAAGTTTTCAAACCACCCAAGCTATTTTTAGATGGTTTTTTTTTCCCCAATAACCATAAATACATCCATTTATAGTATAAATTGTTATATCATAATTAATTTTTGCAACAAATTTGTGGAAAAGTCAAATTATTATTAACCACCCATTGGAATGATTCAAATAAAATCTTTTATTTTTATTGATCACTACTTTTGAATTCAAACTATCTTTGGGGAGAAAGTTACTTGGAGACCTAAAAAACTAAAGTATTTGTTTGAGTCAATAGTTTTTGGGGATGTAACACCTCTTCAGAGCAAAATAATGATATTTTGATTTGTTTTTGATAAAAAAAAAAAGTTTGTGGACACAAACAACATGTCAAGTTGCTATTTTTTAGGAGAATTTTTTAAATTTTAATCAAAATCAAAAAAAAATTCATCAATAAAAAAAAAACAAAAAAAAACTAAAAGATTTTCAAAGTCTCTCTAAAAATTCCTCACAATCAAATAATTAACAAACGCACTCACAGCTCTAAACAACTATATTCAACACACACACATCACAATCCAACACTCAAATCACACTTAACCCTTAAACCTAAACATAAAGTGGACAGCAACATAATGTTTTTACCACCAATCACCATGATAAAGTTGATGTTGTGGAGGTGAGTGTGTTAATTTATTCTATGATGTAAATTATAATCGGGGATGTGTGCCCTTAAAATAGCCTCACGACCAACCAAACAACAACCTCTCAAACATTTTCCAACATTCTATGTTTAAAGTTTATCAACCTTACTTACCACTGACAAAACAAATATTTTCTATGGTCACTCTTTGTTTTTGTTTGTTTGTTTTTTGCTCTTCATATTAGATCCTTTATTAGATTTAATATTTTTAAACTCCCTGGAAATGATACATGTGCACTCCAGTTTAAACTTTATTTTTCTCCTTCATTTTTGCAATGTTTTTATTGATTTCCAAAAATGATTTACAGTCATATATTTTTCAATCAATATAAACTGCAACCAATCTATCATTATGTCTAAATTTGTCAATGTTCTTCATCAATACTTCAAGGTATGTGTGAATGTGTGACTTATAAGGATAGCCCACAAAGGATACCTATGACAACGCAACAACTTACTTTTAATCATTCCCTTCATACCCACAAAAATTATAGTTTAAATTATTATTTTTTTATTACAAACACAAGTCAGCAATTGTTATTAAAATTTTCAGTGTATTTTCACCCATTGATGGTTCTATTTTTATAATATTTTATTATACCTCTTGGATGAGTTATATTTATTACATAACACTTTCTCCTTTATATTTCTTCTTAAATCTGATCTATTTTTTTTTAATAGGACCAATGCCATCTATATCTTAAGAGCGGAAAGTTTACTTTAAAAGTATGTTTATGTAGATCTATTGTTTGATCTGTTGGAGTATATTCCTGATATAGTAATATCTGATAGGAAAAGGGTTTTTCTGCAACACACTTGGATTCTCCTCACCGAAGCTCATCTATCTTTCAAACCCAACGGATGATTCCTTCTAATAACTTAGTAGGTTTACCATTCCACAATATAATAATAGTAGTAGTTAAACATAGTTAGCCGAATATAATGACAAACAACTTTCAAAAAAAGATGCTTATTAATACTATAAAATGGTATTCCAGTAATCTGACATCTAATTTAAAAAAAGAACATATAAACAAACATCACCACTCTATTTTCTGCAAATTCAAAACTAAAGTTTTTATAATAACTGATAAAATTTCAAAGTAGAAACAACAGATCATACCAAATCATAATTGTCTCTATCTCAACAACAATCATCAAATATTACATCTTTCACTATAGTACAAGTACAACTCATCAACATCATCATCTTCATCATCATCATCACACATCAACATCATCCACAGACACATCAACTTATTGTTTCAAAAATACCATTTCAATTTTCACAGTATCACTTTTCATTCTTAAAACAACTTACCACCTTTAAAATTCACCACCTTAATCAAAATACCAATACCACTCAGCTAGTTAGTGTGGAATTTTAAAACCTATTGTTTGGTTTTCAGTTGGACAGACATATAGTAGTAAAAATATAAAGAGAGTATTGTAGTTGTATTTGGATGGTGACTCTATTATTTTTAATCGTATGATCAACTTCTAACACGGTTTATTTTTTATTTTTAAATACCATCAACAGCATAGGAATTAAGTAATTTTGAGAGTTTAAAAACAAATCAATGAATAATATCAAACACTTGGTATACTATTAGACACCCCACAACACTTGGTTTTCTGTTAAATATATTTTTATATATAACATATCCGACAAAATTTTGTAGTATATCAGTATAAATACTAGTATTTAATATTCCAATTGATGTATTTATATATATAAAACTACTTATTATATCACTATACTTGTAAAACTACTAAATATTATTATTATTATTATTATATAAATTTTTATTTTATAATATCTAAATATTTTTTATAACCATGGAAGACCTTTTTGTAACATGTTATATTTGTGAATATCAAATTTTTGTTAACGAAACCAAACCTGCTCCCACCAAACTCGGTGAAGAAAACAAAGTTTATTTAAAAAATTGTTTTTCACTATCTGATTCAATACCAGATAGTATTCACCTATGCTCATCTTGTTGTAATCAATTTGTAAAGTCTAAAATATTAAATTCACCTATCAATAGTATAAATAACAATAATCCATCACCACCATCCGATTCCCCTCCATCCACTCCAAACTCAAATAGTCAATCGCCCCCTTCTACAATGTCATCACCTACTTTAATTTATTTATCTAATTTGTTTTCCAGTAATAGTATTTATGGAACAAATAATAATACTACCAATAATAATCCAAATAATAATAACCAAAATTTATCAAATAATCAAAATAATAATAATAGCAATAATAATCCTAATAATATTCCAAACAATAACAATTTAAATACTAATAAAAACAATAATAATAACAATAATAATAATGTTCCAATATATACTAAGAATGATGAATATATTAAAACTATCAGTCTTAAATTTTTACACACACTGAAGGCATCGGATTTAATATTTATCCTTACCAGGGTGGGGGGCATCCAAGAAAGGAACCAAACCAAAATTAATAGAGCGTCTACTTCGTCATATATTCACTTTCAGCGACGCTCGTCCAAGAGCCGAACTATTAGACGTTACTTCCATGTCAACCAAAGATATCATCAATTATCTTGGAAGATACAAGCTCAACAAAGTACCACAAGACAGAGCTTTATTGATCCCAATGCTGGTGTTTTATCATAGTCTTTTCGGACCAGAACCAAGATTTCATGCTGCATCAAATAATAACAATAACCAAAATTATCATAATAATAATAATCATTGTATGACTTCCAACTCTAGAAGATTCTCACCATATATAACACCACCAAGATCACCAACCTCACCGGAGATTGCTTCTGATCAAAGTCCATCCAAGAGTTCAAATAGAGATTTAAAAAACTCAAACGGTTACTACGGTCTCTCGTCGAGTCTGCCATCGTCTCCATTGTACTACAGCAACCAAGCAATCTACACACCGCCATTCTCATCACCAATGCTTCTCTCCAGTATGCCATCAGTGCCTTTCTTCTCAAATGGATATCCAATGCCATATCCATCACCAGCTTCGCCACCCAACCAAGACTTTTCCACCGCTATCACACCAAATCTAATAGACCCCAATTTCAATCTTAATAATATTTCGCAACCAGCTTTGATTCCTGCTGTTCCACAACAGCCATTACCAATACAACAACAACAACAACAACAACATCAACAACAACAACAACAACAACAACAACAACAACAACAACAACAACAACAACAACAACAACAACAACAGACTACACTTCAAGTTCCTCAAGATCAATCGTCATTATTATCATTGCCAATCCAACAGAAAAGTAATATTTCATTATCCAAAAGCAGTGCAATTCCTATCGTAGGAAGTAGTACTATCAATGAACCAAACAATATTTTCAATTATAATCCACCAATACCATCTATACCATTTGACTATAGTTCAATTTCACTTCAACAACAAATGCATCAATCTTTAGATGTTCAACAACAACAACAACAACAATTGGAAATGAATAATAACTATTACTATTATATGATGTCGCAACAACAACAATTAAATTCTACATTATATAATCAATCAACGGCTACCACAACAACAACAACAACACCACCAATGTATCAACAACCAATGTACAACCTTCCCAATGATGCCGAAGGAAATAACAAGTTTTTCTTCGAAAATTTACTAAATGAAAATAAATAAACTGATTTAACATTGAACATACAGATTTACATTATATTATAATAATAACAAAACTAATCATTTAAATCCAACAAAAGTCAAGAAGTAGCCTAAAGCTTAGTATCCTCTTCTTTGTCCTCGAAAGTTAAATAATATTTTTGATCAAAGTTAATAAATTAATAAAATTTAATTTTAAATTAATTTAAAATTTAATAATAATATTGTTTTTTTAATATTATTTCATTTTCACTTCACATTATGTGAATTCTATTTGTTTTTCGTTAATTCATTTTTATTTTCACACCATCAATCTCTTTTTTATTCAGATTATTACCATTTTTTTATCATTGACCATAAAGGGGGTAGATGACAATAATATAATTTAATTTTATTCTTTTGAACACTTTTTATTTTATTACATAAAACAAATTATCAATATTATTATTTTTAAATTTTTATTTTTATTAATAAGATAACAAATAATTTATATTTATTTTTGGTTGAATAGATAATATAATACTTGACAAAATAATTTTATTTTAATCTTTAATTTTAAAATATGTCTAATCCATCTATTGTTTTAAACGAAGATGGAACATCTTCATCGACACAACCTTTGCCAATAGAAAAGCAAACTGATCAATCCAACAATTTAGATTTGGCATTGATTGGAAATTGTGCATTTGGTGCATTGATTGACAAAAAATCAAATATTAAATGGTGTTGTATTCCTCGTTTCGATGCTGATCCTATTTTTTGTTCCTTAGTTAGAAAGACAAATGATATAGGTAAGTTAATAACCAAATAATAAAAATAAAAAACAAAAATTTGATTTCAAACTAAATATATTAAATTGTTTTAAATATATTAACTTAAATTCCAATAAATAATTAGGATTTTACGATGTTGTGATTGAAAATTTTGCATTCAGTGAACAATCATATGTAAAGAATACTGCTATTCTTACTACAAAATTATACAATAATAGTGGAGGATATGTAGAGATCATCGACTTTGCACCGAGATTCAACATGTTTGGCAGACCATACCGTCCATCCATGTTGATTCGTATCATCAAACCAGTTGGTAGTTGTAGAATCAAAGTTAGATTAAGACCAACTTTTGGGTAATTAATTATTTCAATTTATATTTTATAATGTAATTAATTAATATGTATTAATATTAATATTTTTTTAATTTTAAAAGATATGGATGGGGATCTCCAGAGAAAACAAGAGGTACTAACCATATAAGATACTTGTTACCATCCATGGTAATGAGATTGACTACCAATGCACCTATCTCCTACATCGTAGATGAAGTCCTCTTTGAGATCGATGAGACTCTATACTTTGTGTTTATGGCAGATGAAAGTTTGAGAGAATCACTTTCAGAGATGACAACCACCTATCTCGATAAAACTATTGAGTATTGGCATGAATATACAAAGAGTTTGGCTGTAAGTATAAATTACTAATAGATGTCATTTACATAGCTATTAAAAACCATATTATTATTATTAGATTCCTATTGAATGGCAAACACAAGTGTTAAGAGCGTGTATAACTGTTAAACTGTGCCAATTTGAAGAGTCAGGTGCTATCATTGCGTCGATCACCACATCCATTCCAGAGTCTGCTACCAAAGAAGGATATGATCTTAGGTAAAAAAATCATTAATAGTTGAAGCTATTAGATCATTAATTACTAACTAGGTATTTTATCTATAGATTTTGTTGGATTAGAGATACTGCTTACATTATCCATACTTTTAATAAACTTGGTAATACAAAGATGATGGAGGATTTCCTTACCTATCTCTCAAATATTGTTGCTGGATCGCAAGAGAATGGAGGATTCTTACAACCAGTTTACGGTATATCTCTAGAAACAAAATTGTATGAAAAGTCAATGTACAGATTGGCAGGCTACAGAGGTTTGGGACCAGTGAAGATCGGTACACGTGATTATAAACTGGTTCAGAATGATGTTTACGGTCATTTGATTCTCTCGAGTATTCAAATGTTCTTTGATCAACGTTTACAAAAACCTGGTGATATAAAGTATGTATCTGAAAATGAATAGCAACAACAAATACTAATTTATTTATCTTATTAATAATGAAATTTATTTTAATATAGCCTATTCAAGAGACTTGAAGGACTTGGTATTCAAGCTTACACAAACTATAACAAACCAGATAGTGGTCCATACGGTGATGGTTGTGTAGAGGACGGTAAGATATTTACCTATTCGAGTGTTATGTGCTGGGCTGGTTGTGACCGTTTGAGTAAGATTGCCAATGCACTAAAGTTGGCGGATCGTTCTATCTTTTGGAAGGAGGCCGCCGAGAAAATCAAGCACGAAATCATGGAGAATTGTGTTAACAAGGAGCACAATTGCTTTACTACCTTCTGGGGAGGCAACAGCGTGGATCCATATCTCTTGACACTTGCAGATTGTGGCTTCTCGGCGTACGAAGATGAAATATTCAAGAACACCGTGCAAAAGATTGAAACCACTCTTCGTAAAGGCAATTACATCATGGATATTCACGCAGCCAATCCAAACAATGCCAAGGTAGCTCAGACCATCATGTTCCTCATTACGATTGCCAAGTTGGGTAGAAAGCAAGAGGCAAGAGAGATGTTTGAGAATATACTCAACGATTGTACATCGCTTGGTTTAATCAGTCAAGACATCAATTTGGAGACCAAAGAGATTTGGGGTAACTTCCCCAAGACTACCGCAATGGTTTCGATCATTGCCGCTGCACTGAACTTGAGTAACTCTTGGGATTCACAAATCTAAATGAACTAACTATACTATGAGCCAGTATAAAAAAAAAAAAAAAAACCTTTTAAATAATTAATCAAAGAATAAATAATAAATCAATCATGTTTGTTTTGAATAAACAACGAAAAAATAAGAGAGATGTTTGTTATGAAATACCGAAGTTCTTTTGAAAATGAAAAATAAAAAAAAAAATTTTTAATGTCACTGGAGTTTTTTGATGAAAAAAGACTACACACCAGATTCGTCAATAAGAGGTCATCATTGTGTGCTACAAGTTTAGTCAGAGGAATAATAAAGAGGTTCATTCATTCATATATATTTTTTATATATTTATAGTGCTTTTTTATTAAATAATAACTAGAACTCTAAAATAATAATAACCTAAACTATTACAGGTCATTATAATATTATAAACAGTGTTATTACAATATCAATCTAGTTAGTTTAGTTATTAACTAGAATAGTTTGGATCAACAACAACAGTAGTAGCAGTAGCAGTAGCAACAATACATAGATTTATATATATATAATAAACAATGGCAAGCGTAGCAACAAACGATAATACACCTGCAGTTGAAGGTGGTGCAATCAAACGTGTTTCAAAGTTACCATACCCAGGTAAATTCGAAGATATCAATCGTATTGCCTCTGAGGTGTTGTCACCTCAAGACGCATTCGATGGATTCAAATGTGAGGTATCTGGAATGTCATCAAACCAATTCCAATTCTCTCATGCTTTCCATATGGGTCAATCAGAAGAAACACCCAAATATGCATTGACTACAGTCTTTAGTGATGAAACGGTAACTATTTATCAGATCATATTTGAAACAAGATAGATCTATCATCAATAACTAACAACTTTTATTATGATCGGATCATCCCGATCACATTAATATTATTATTACTATTAGAACCCACCAACTGCCATCGGTAAAGTTGATAGTGATGGTAAAGTTTTCGGTCGTTTTATTACTGCTACATTGGGTGGTAGAATGTTTATTAGTGGTACTGTCAACGTAAGTTTACTTTTTTTTTTTTTTTTTTATATATTATTTATAACACTTTATTAATATTTATTAAATTATACATATAGATTAATAAAGATTTCCAAACTTATCTTGGAGGTGAAATCGAACATAAACATCCAACTCAGAATATAGTAGTGAAATATGATGCAAACAATACATTCGCAGCTGGATATATCAGATCGATTACTAAGAGATGGGCAGGTGGTCTTGAAATCACACGTTCACCAGCTCAAAGATTATTTATGTATACATTGGGAGTTCGTTATAACCGTGGTCCAAACAGCTATGTCTTCACAGCCAACAACTATGCACAGGCTGCAATGACCTACTCATTCAAGAAGGCCAATGCCGAATTGGCCACCGAATTACAAATGATGCTCGGTCAAACCGGTCTCGCTTCGAAGCTCAGCGTGGGATTACGTTATGGTTTCACTCAACAAGTATTTAAGATTCGTGCCGACACTGAAGGTACCGTCGTCGGAATGTACGAGGAGAAATTAACACCATCTTTCAGAATCTCATTTTGCTCAACCTTGAATTATTTCACAAACGACTTTAAATTTGGAATTGGTTTGTCAATCTCAAGATAAATGAACTGTGTTATTTATAGATAGGGAAAAGAATACAATAGAGATATAGAGATAGATAAAAAAATAAAAAAGTTAATAAATAGTTAATAAATTCCAAAAAAAGTACTAGTTTTTCATTTATTTGTTTATATAGATACTAATTTTAAAATAATCTGATGAAAGATTTATCTAAAAAAAAAAATATTACATTTATTTTTTATTTTTTTAAAGTTTTTTTTTTTTTTGTTAAAACAAAATAATAATACCTGTTAAGTTTATATGATTAGGTATCTTTTGTCGGTCTCGATAAGATGTTCTTATTCAGAAATCGTTTCAAGTTTGGGTTGTTTGGTTTGTTAAAGTTTTGTTTTTCATATTTTTCTATTATTATTGTTTCTTTCAAATCAAAGTTGTATATAAAGTTTGGTTTGAATTTAATTATTATTATTATTAAAACTATAATTATGTTTAAAAAATATTTGAATTTAGGCTACCCAGCCTGTTGTGTAAGATTTATCCTTTGTATTGAGTGATGCGTTGTGGTCACAACTTCCTCTTCTTCTCGTGGTGATTGGAATTGTGTTGGTGGTTGGCAGTACAGCGGTGTTCTTGTTGACCACGGTTGCAGAGGCAGTAGCAGTGTTGATGGTAGAATTTACAAAAGAGTTGTTGTTGGCGGTGGTGGTTGGTAGATTATTTACAAATGGTGGACGCACCATTGGTTGTGTGTTTATATATATCTTTGTGTTGTTGCTGCTGCTGCTGCTACTGCTTTGTGGTACAGTATGCGAGTTGGATGAATAGGTGGCGGTGGAGTAGATGATCGAATTGTTGTTGGTGTTGTTGCCGTTGGAAGACTGTGTTGGTGCGTTAGAATTACAAGATTGATGAAGATTATTGGTTGCCAAGTTGGGTACGACAGCAACCGGTGATTGTTGTGATTGTTTTGGTGGACAATGTTGTTGGGCGGGAATCAATGGATTCTGGAGTTGTGGTACTGGAATTATATTGCTCGATTGCTCTTCGAATCTACGCTTGACTTTGTCGACTTCACGGGAATACTTTTCAAACTCATCGAGTGAGCAATTTACGGTGTAGTCCATCATCGAGAGGAAACATACTTCGAGTTTGTTCATCTCGGGCAGCGAGATACCACCGACTTGGCTATAGAATTCATTGTTATAGAATATATCATCCAGATATTTGGTGCTAATAAGCAAACTTGTTATTACAATACGATGAATATTCATAGAGTTAATAATAAGATCACATTGTGTAAGGAATCGGTCGATGTAGACTAAACTCATGACAAAGCATTCTTTGCTACATGGAGAGTACTTTAATAAACGTGCTAAATATGCATCGATACCAATTGTTGGTGGCTTTCTATTTGGTGGATAGAATTCTCTACGATCGTTTTTAATCTATTTTATTATTAAAATTAATATGTGTTTTTTTTACTTTTTATATTAATTTTTTTATACATACTTTATCTCCATTTGTGATTAATCTATTAATAACAGTACATAATACATCTAAAAGATTATTATCCTTGGTATCTCTCTTTGGGATTATTGGAGTATATTTTGGTGGGTCCATTTGAAGAATTTCAAATATTGAATCAAGTGATTGTGTTGAACTCATTTTTGGACGCTAGTGTAAATAATAATTATAATTGAATAACTATATAAAAAATTAACTATTAATATTAATTTAAACTAGAGCTATAAAACTAAAATACAATAGAAATAGGTTTTGGAAAAAGATAGAAACAAAAAAAACAACAAGGTGGCGAGGTAAATGGAATACAAATATGGTCCAAATATATTTGTTTTGTTTTTCGGTTGGAATTGATTTGTAGTGGGAAAGGTTAAACTATTTAATAATTAATTAAAAAATAGTAATAAAATATGGTTGGTGTGTATCAGTAGACTGAGTAGATGGAAAGGTATTTTTTGATTATGGTTGTTTTGTTTTAACAAATAAAAATTAAATATTATTTTGCAAGTATATAAAGTAGGTTTTGGAACTATATAGGTGAAATGAATTGAAATTTTTGTTTTTGGATTTGATTATTATATAGTTAACTATGTTTGAGTGTTTGGGATGATATTTATATGGAGATTTTTTTGTTGTTTGTTTTTTTTTTGTTTGTTTTGTTTGTTTTTTTTTTTAAGGTAGAAAGAGTAGAGAGGAAGGTCTACCTGCTTAATGTGGTGGTTAATGTTTTGGATTAAATTGTGTTGTTTGTGGTTCATATAGGTTTTGGTAGTTGATGCTGTAGCTGTTTATATTGCTGTTGGATGTGTTGTTGTTGTTTGAAAAGATATCAAGAGTGAAATAAAGTGAGATGAATGAATGGTGTTCGTTTGACTGAGTGGTTTAGGTCTTTGTAAGAGCAGTCGACTGCAACCATATCAACATGATGGGTTATTGAGAAGATGAGGAAGAAAGATAAGGAAAGGAAGGAATGTAAAAGAAAGAGTTGAGAATAATATTAAAATCAAGAAATTAAAAGATAGATAATAAAGTGAGAGTAACAATGTCAACAAATGATAAAAGTGAGTGCATTATTAACAACAAATATGATTATTATTAAGTTCGTTGATAACAGTAGAGATAATATTATCTATTTATATGGAGTGGCAGGTGGATTTGTGCATGAAAAGTGTAGTGTTTGTATGGGATAGGAAAGAACTTGAAGAAATAATTTAAAAGAACATAACCAACCAACGATATCCAACCTAAGATAATTTTTCTTTTGGTTGTAGTGGTTTAGTGTTGTTTTTGTATTCAATTCCAATTTAAACGGTACTGACAATAACAACACAACAAATCATTTGAATCGAAAAGATAGTGAGTTTGATTTTAAATTGGAATTGACATATTAGGTAAATATATTATTAAAGACAAACACTAAATATATTTATTCTATATAGTTTGTTATTGAAAGTGTGTGTTAATGTTTATTTGTGTGTGTATATGTGTGTTGGAAAGTAATAATAATTATTATAATCTTTCAAATACTTTTATATGAGAGATTGGAGTAGATTTATCAAATAATATTAAAAAATAAAGTACGTGTAATAATAATTATTTGTTGTTGTTTAGGGCATTGGAATAAATAATAACTTGCAACAGGGTGTGTGTTGTGTATTAATATTGTTTTCAATTCAAATATATTTTATAAATATTTTATATGTTTATTACTTTAAAAAACAATTAAATATCAACTTAAGCTTAAGGTAGAAAGAGTGATGATATACAATCAATAAACACACTTTTTTAAAAATATGAAAGAATTAAACAAATTAAAAAGATATCAAGAATGAGTGTTTGTTTGATTGATATTGTGAGTGCGTGGTGTGCCAAAATAGAAATATGTTGCAAAGTGGGGGTTTATTAATTAAAAATATGATTGATGGGTTGAAACAAGAGTCAAATTATTTTTGGAATTTTATGAATTATATTAGTTTTGTGAAATCTTATGAGAAACGAGGAGATATCATTTACTATTCAGAGATGAAAAGTTTAAATGATGTATGTTGTTGGTGCTAGTGTGATTCGACTCTTTAAACAAGAGAGAGATACCGATAGGATTTGGAATCTACTCACTTATATAAATTAGTTTTTTAAAAAAAATAAAATTAAACAACCACAATATTATTTTTTAAACAGACACATATTAAATCTTTATAAATATTTTGTAATAACACTGATTATTTAGAAAAAGTCTGTAAACTGTTGGAATATTAAAAATCATTCATACAATCCAAGTGGTTCATATTGTTTTTTTAATCAAAATATTCGTCTTGTTGTTTGGAGAGTGTAGTAATAAATTGATGATTCAACGACAATCGAAATATGAATGATAATTACCTTTTATGAAACCGAGATTTTACCAATTGATAGAAAGAGTCAAATTGACGTTGTTTGGTAAAAGATTGGTGTGTGTTGGTGACTGATAGTCGTCTCTTATGGTAGTGGTAGTATTGATTTATTTTAAAGTAAGAATGTGGGAATTTTAGATGAAAATTTGTTGTTTGATTTTTATGACTGGTTTCAGAGGGTTACAAAAATAAAATTACCTGTTTGGTTTCAAATTAAAACAAATAGATCTAAATTGAAAATGATTAATACCATTTGGATTTAAAAGGTTGTCATTTAAAAATAATTAAATAAAAAAAAATATTCTAATCATAGAGTGAAATATTTTTAATATTATCTTACAACAATAATTATTATTAATTTGATGGTTTCACACAGTTGAAGAATAACAATATTGTTTGTTCCAAATTTGAAAAAATACACTCACCCTTCATCTGCTTTCAAAGATAAAAGAGATGTGATGATGTGTACGTTCTATCATTTTTACTACTATTAACATTTTAAAATAGCTGTATGTGGGAAAGTTAACATTGAGTTAAAGATTAAACAAATAACAATAAAAACAACTATCACAAAATAAGATATAATACTCTATGTTTGGGTATATACATTCACAAATAACAAGATTGATGAAATTTATTAACAACTCTATGATCATTGGTAATTCTTGATTTTTTTAAAAACAAACAAAACAATAACAACAACCAAAAATATCAATACAAGGTAAAAGAAGAATGATTGATCTATTCAAGTGATGATTGGCTAATATATATATATATATATATATAAGTAAAAATATAAAAACTTTAATATCAATGGGCTGAATGGATAAATTACAATTAAAAAAGATAGAAAATATCTAACCTTTATGGATACATGGGCATATTTGTAGTTTGCTTTGAAATGATTGAAAAGGAATGGAATGAATTCTTACTTTTTAAAAAGATTTATCTTTTTTTTTTTTAAAGTTCTATTTACAAATAAAATATAAGTTCTTAATTATTTTTTTTTAAAACTAAAAATTTTAAATTTATTTCTATTAATTAGTACTAATCTAATAAATTTTTAAAAACTATATTTAAGAATACAACAAAAATAAATAAATAAATAAATAGATAAAGTTTATAATAATGAATATTTGAAGTTGAATGATATTATTAAATGGTAAAGATTAGAAGTGTGAAGTTGAGGACAGAATGGATTGCTTATGAGTGGTGGTTGTGTGTATTATTTGGAAACAATGTAAAGTGGAATGTAGTGTATAGGAGGTAAGTTTTTGGAATTAACCATTTATTTAAATAAATCGATTAATAGATATATAGAGTTTAAAAAAAAAATTGATAACCACACCAACACGATCTTGATTTATATTCAGTTGTTGGTATATTTGTTGTTGATGTTGATCCAAACCTCGAATTATTGCAATAATAATTCTGATCTCTAACAAGCAGATACCAAAAACATCTTTTTTGGAATTTACCTATTCAATTTTTATTTTATTATACCACCAACTCCACACCCAAACTCGCTACCACTACATCGAATTCCTCCACCTCTTATATATGAAGTATGTGTCTTTGTATATCTTATCACCAACACACATTATAAACATAGATTATGAAAGCATCAATAAAATCTGCTTTCAAACAAAATATACTGATTGTCTAACTTTATGTTTGTCTGAGAATAGATAGACAGAGAGAGAAATTGAGAGAGTGAGTGATTTAGTGTTGTGTGTGAGTGTATAGAAACAAAATCATACTAAATTTTAAAATACAAAAACATACATACACACATATACTAATGATGAAAATAATCAAATCTACACAGTGACCGGTGATATGATATCACAATAATCAACAACAACAACAACAACTTCATTTTTTTATTTGTACACAATACTATCTTTTTAATTAAATATATCACTCTTTTTGGATTTTTTAATCTAATGTTTTTTAATTTTTTGAATTGGAGTGGTGAATAAAAATATTATTATTATTATATGTTCTTGATTTGCAAAAACAAATAAATAAAAGTGTTTTTTAGTGTGTGAAGTGTGACATCTTTGAAAGATGTGATTGCATTTTATTAATTAATAATTTTTAATCTATTCATTTAGTTCCAACCACGCTATCTTACTATTTTTCTCTAATTATCTAAAACACACAACTTCACACTTCAAAAAAAATAAAGAGATACAATTAGAGAAATAATAGAGTTACAAAAGAGAGGAAGAGAGAGAAGATAGGGATAGATATGAGAGAAATAAGTAAAAAAAAAAAAAAAAGAGAGAGCTTCATTATTCCTCGAATTTTAATAAATACCTCTAAACTTGGGATGTAAGCTCAGTTGAAAACAATATTAATAGTTCCTATTAGAGAAGTTATTATTATTTGATAAAATTTTATATGTACAAGAATAAATAAAATGAAGAAGCTGAGTGTGTGAATGTAAATATGTACAATGTAAATAAATAAGATTGTATTTGTTTAGTTTTTGATTATTTGTTGGGTTGTTTGTCCAATAAACTAATGTTTTACATTTGGTATTGATTACTCTTTATATAAAATACACTGCCGTTCATCGAACCATCTTAATTTAATTTAGCAAACATATTGATTTTAACATAAATGAATGATTATTTTAATTATATTAATCAAAAGTTAATAATCAAAGCAGATGATATGCATTTTTACGCACTGTTTTTTTAATTTCGCGACAAAAAAAGTAGTGGTTAACTTCACTTCATCATGATTATTTTTAATTAATAAACAGAAATAACCAAAAATGGACAAAAAAAACAAAAAAAAAAAAGTTTTTATTGTGAAAAGTTTATCACCACTGACGGATTGTCATCTGCGCTTTCTAAAAGTAAGTGGTCAACCTTGAACCACAAAATTTGACATCATACACCTTTTTTTTGAAATATTTTTTCTTTGCATGGTGGTCATATTTCAACACACCAAAACTTTTTATTATATTGGATTTGTGTTACATATGATTGGATCTAGCATCTAGATTATCTGAAAGGTACTTTGCCTTCTTAAAAGAGTGCAACAGTATCAGCATCAATCAAGTAAATAACATCATTATTTTAGATCGAATCTTATTGATGACACTATACAATAATAACAAATTATTTATAACAAGTACTATCTATTTGTTTTGAGTGGAGATGGATAGAAAGTAGAAAGTTAGAAAAGTTATTAATGTTAATCAATGACTTTTGATGTTTAATGATATATGTTTGATTCATTTACAAAAACAAAAGACAGAAAATAGAAAAAAAAAAAAAAAAAACAAAAAAGAAAAGTTGTGTGTTGTACATCTAAATATCATTCTCTAAACATGACAACACTCTATTATTAATTAATTGATTCTATGATAATGGGTAAAGAAGTAAAAGAAAAGAATAAAGAAAAGTAACTTTGGTTCCACCGGTAAGTCGGACTGATAATTGACTCTCCATTATTTTTGTTAAGGGTAATTAAAAAGATCTATTTAAAACAAACTAAACAGCAACTTCCCATTTCTAATTATTTGTTGATACTTCAATACCATGAAACTAAAAAAAATTGAGACAATCAAGAGCGTGGTGTGTAATCATTTGTTTTCATGCCACCCAATTAGTTTACCGATAAATATCTCTCCGGTAAGTTTTAAAAAAACATCATCAACAAGTGTCTATCAGTGATGGTGGAAAAAAATAAGAAAAAAAAAAAAAAAAAAAAAATACAAAATAAAAAAATTAAAAACAAACAAATCAAAAAAATAATTCAATTTCGTATTTTTGTTTTTTGGCACCACACTACCGTGTGTACCAGGACAAGGTTCAAAGTTGTTTAAACAATAAAAAGAAATGAACTTTTCAACTCAATTTAAAAATTTTATATTTGAGAATTAAAAAAAAAATAAAAAAAAATCAAAAAACACGAGAGACACTCTCACGCACGATTTTTTTTGAGAACATCCACTAAACAACAAAAGTGACTACAAAAAGGAAACAGTCTTCTCCACTTTTACTCCAAAACAACCAACCAACTACCCAATCAATCAAAGACAGTTGATCATTTGTGTATTCAAATTGCGCGAATGGTTCTCTTCTTTATCTCTTTCATCAATAATACAATTACAACAACCTCACTCTCTTTGCTCAGCTGTTGCTATTCGTCAACTACATCGTATTCCTAACTGAACATTAATTATCTATTCTGTTAATAACAATTATAACAATCAAAAAAATAACTATTATTTATAATTAAACTTCAGCTTTTGTCATTTCAAAATATATAAGCATAAATAGCACCAACCAACCAATCAAATAACAATAGTTATAAATTCATTCTCATAGCAAATAGTAGAATAAAACACATATAAAGCCTATCAGGGTATGTATAAATTTAATTTGAAATCATAAAATCCTAATAGAAACACAACTCTTCACAAACATTGCATAACGGATGTTTCTCAATTTTAAAATAAGTATTTTCATGTTATTTATATCTACATCACACAAACAAAATGATTGTTTTTTTTAACCGTATCTGTAGTGTTAACAAATCAATGTTAAACTAGCTTTACATTCATAATTTGATTGGATTTCTGCAATTAATTGTCATTAGCATTAGAAAGTTAGTGTTTTGTTCAAAAAAAAAACAATCAATTGCCACTACACATTTGGCTTAGAGTAGAAGAAAGAGCAAGGTGTGGCTTTTGCGTGTGTTTCGTAACCTTAAGGTTATAAATATAATTAGACAAACAAAACAAATATATTTTAACCCCCACCCTTTTTTATTTCCCACCCACTATCACACTTTTTTTTATTATAAAAATATATATTTTTTAAACCCACATACTCATTAATTGTTTATGTTTATTATACATTGTTGTTTTTACTACTATGAAAGTGTTTGTTTAGTTATTATCATCAAACAGTTTAAATTAAAAATAGTGAGAGAGTGAGATTTTATATTTGAAAAATAATTAGGTGGAGAGAGAGGAAGAAAATGAGGAGAGGAGCATGAGGAAGTGAGTTGATAATATATAATATCATACCATTCAATGGTATCACTTCACACATAAATATATCACATCTTATCAATATATTGTGAACTATTGATTAAATTAAACATTAATTTAAATATAAAGTTGTTTGATGATACTAGTTTAATTTATAAGTAGACAATTATTTAAATAATAAACAACAACAACAACAACAACAACAACAACAACAACAACAACAACAATCCACAAAGTTGTAATATTGTTAAATAAAATACAAATTCAACGAGTAAATATCTGTTTTCAAATTATTTATTTTTTTGTTTTGTTACACATAATAGATTGGAGTGTGCATGCTTAGGTGGTGGAGAGAGAACTCACTTGAGACAGAAGAATAATAGATAGACAAATAATTATATTAAAATTAAATTGTTGTTAATTATAGTGTTATTTTTTTTGTAGTGTTCGAAATTAATAAAAAATATTTTTTTAAAAAATATATAAATAGAAATTAAATTATTTATATTTATTATATTAGATTTCTATAAATTAATCTATTACCCTTTCAGATAGCGTGGAGAAGGAGTAAACAAAAACAAACAGGAATAAGAGTATAGAGTTTTGTTTTTTTATTTTATTTTTTTTCAAAATTTGTAACTTGGTTATCTGTCTCTCTTTTTGTGTTTTTTTTATATACTTCTAATCTTATCATCACACCTCTACTACTCACGATTACTAACTTTTTATTTAACTTCTTTAATATTTAATTACTATTTAGTTTCTTTTTTTTACAATCTAACTAAATCAACCAAATTCAAATCCTTTAAATATATATAATCTAATTTATATATAATAGTAAAATCAAAATCAACCAATCAATTTTTTTCCAAACAAACCAAAACTAGTTCGAATTTATATATATATAGATTTTTTATTTTTTGAATATTTCCTCTTCTTGTTTTTCCCGGAAATCAACTCTTCACTCAAATATACTAAAAGAAAAAAAAAAGATAATCGTTTTAAAATCAACACGATAATAATAATAAAATGGATACAAAGATATTACACGCCAACAACAATATTTTGATTTCAAATAATAATGCCAATGTAATTGGTAGTAATGGTACAAAGAGAAAATCATCGACACCAAGCATGCCAGTAAATATGGTCCATTATTCCAACGGTAACAGCATCAACGGCAGTGGAGTTCACATTGGAAACGGAAACAACAGTGCGTTTGGCGCTTTCACCACGACACAACAACAGCAGATGATGACCATCAGCAAGGGTGCTTGTTCAAAGTGTGGCGGAAAAAGAAAACACTCCAAAGCCTGCATATACAGAAAGAAAGAGGATGACGACGATTTACTTTCTCCAATATCATCATCACAAAAAGATGTCATCCAAAGAGTAAGTGTGAAGTAGTACACAATGTTTTACTACTATAGTAGCAACCTAAACATTCGAATGATACTAATTCGTACAATGCTTGTTGTTTCACATTATAGCTCGACGTCTCTGCGCTCAAGAGATATAAAAAACACTATAGATTAAAAACCAAACATAATTCAACTAAAGATGAGTTGGCATCTGCAGTAAGATTGCATTTCGACGGACTGCCAGTGAACGAAGGTGAAATTATAGAGAATTTTATGGTAAAAGTAAAGAGTCTTTAGTGATATTGACCTATCTAAAATTAAATCAAAAATAAAAATAGAAAAAAAAATGGATAATGCTAACCCCATATAAAAATTATTTAAGTTCACCATGATTAATCCCCACACTTCACTTTGGATTTTATTAATTTTTTAATTTGGATTTTTTTTTAATTTTTTATTATTATAAAATGATTGCTAAGGTCAGACCTCCAAGTGAAGATAAATTATTATTTTTATATTTTTTTCAGTCAATTAATTGTATACTAACAAATAAATTATTATATTTATATAAACTATGTATAAAACTTTAAAGCTTGGATTTGGAAACAGTTTTTCCAGATCTATTTTAGTGAGTGGAACTAATTTCAATGTTGTACAAAGATACTCTATTGCGAGTTTTGTAACAAAGTCCGCTGCAGGTAGTACTACTGCCACCTCGACCAACAATTCAAGTGTTATCGATAACATCCTTTCGAGTTCCAATCCAACCAACGAGAAAGAGCAACGTAGAAAACTGAGAGAAGAAAGAAAGCAATTAAAGTTGGAGGAGAAACAAAAGAAATTGGAGGAGAAGGTCGATAAGTTACTCAAGAAGAGATTGACTCCAAAGAGACCGGTATCCTCTTTCAATTTGTTTATAAAGGAGAACATTGTTGCTCGCGGTGGTATGCGTGAAGCCGTCAAGTTTTGGAATCACTTGGAGGCAGACAAGAAGTCAGAGTACGAAAGACGTGCACGTGAGATGACAAAGGAGGCCGAGCAGAGCAATCAGCAAGTATTACAACCACCAAAGCGTCCTCTCAGTGCATTCCAGAGATATGCCAAGTACATGGATGGTAAACAGACCGCTGGTCAGTGGAAACTTCTCAGTGACCTCGAAAAGAAAGACTTTCTGGAGGGTGCCAAACAAGATGAAATCGAATACAAACAAAAGTTGGATGAATACGAAACATATGTTGGTAGAATCAAAGATGAAATTAGAGTATCATTAGATAGTCCATCACATACTCAATAAAAGATAATTATATATATATGTAATGTTTCTTTATTGTATTTTCTTTGTTAATAAATTGTAAAAGTTAAAGTTAAGATTATATAATTCGTGTTTTTCCTTTAATTAATTTATTTACATTCCTATTTTTTGAACTATATATATGTACTTTAAATAACTATAACTATATATATATTGTTGACAAAAAATTAAAACACACATTAACTAATGATCTATTCGTATACGTTTAAATATTTGTTCTGTTGAAATATAGTTTGTATGTTGATATTGATGATGTTCGTGTTGATTTATATGAGTGTCTCTGTTGGTTGATTGTTGTTGTTGTTGTTGTTGTTGGTGTGTGTCATCGGTTGCAGTAGCCGGTTGATGATCAGATTGAAAATGAGAGTTCTGTAGTTGTTGTTGAAGTGTGAAATGATCTAGCGAATTGTTATCACCTAGGATAAAATCTTGAAATATAGATTGTTGGCGTGGATCCAGTGATTCAAAGAATAGAGTAGCATTTCTACTACTGCTACTGTTATTGCCGCCGCCGCCGCCGCTGCTGCTGCTGCTGCTGCTGTTGATATTAATATGTTGTCTACATTCATTCGATGATCGCTTTTTCTTGATTGCTGTTGTCTCTGGATTGATTTTATCGGGTAGACGATTCACCCCTATACTTTGATGACTATGATTGTGGCTATGAGTATGAGTACCACTATGATTTATAAGACTATGGGCATTTGATAATTTATTGGCTAATAAAGGTGATGCATGAGTAGTGTTGGTATTATCGAATTGAAACATATTGTTATCGAGCTCTACATCAAATAAACTTTTGGAATTATTGACACCAAATGTTCCACTATTACTATTATTAAATATAAACTTTATATCATTTTGAGTAATAAAATTATTATTACTTTGTGAAATTTCATTTTTACACATGGGATGTTGAGGTTGTTGTTGTTGTTGTAGTTGTTGTTGATTTTCCAAGTCTGTCATATTCTCTTCACATGAAGTATTGTTGTTCAAAGTTGTTGTAGCTCTTGCTGTCACTGCTATTGTATTATTATTACTACTATTTTGAGTTGTAGATGGTGATGTGGATGTTGTAGCTGTTGGTACTACTGTGTTTTGTTGTTGTTGTTGTTGATCTATCTCAATATATCTAATAATTTGTTTGATAATTATATCGTTTTGTTGTTGTAGTTGTTGTTGTTGTGTTGTTGTTGTTGTTGGAGAAGAAGCAGAAGAAGATGAGGAATGTCTAATGATTCTCAAGATGGATTGCATAGCATCTCTTCTACCTTTTTGATAAGAGTTTTTCTGTTGTTGTAAACTATGTTTGTAGAGCAGAGTAAGGTGGTTGGCAGCCAATTGGAATGAGCTATAGAGTTCACCGTTGTCACTCTGAGTGTCGCCCCGGCTACTGTTGGTGGTTCCAATACCACCATTTAATTGATCACTACTACTACTACTACTACTCATCTATATCGATTTCAGTTACTATCAGTAATAAATAAATAAATAAATAGATTATATAAAATATTAACGAATGTATTATCAATTCATATATATAAACTATCTAATTAAATAAAATTAACTTTTTTTTTTGTTTTCGAAACTAACTTCTTGTTTTTGGTGGTTATTTTTCACAATATTTATATTGTTTTTGATATTAAATAATATATTATTATTTTGTTTTTTTTCATTGATATTATCATTTCATTAGATAAAAAAAATAAAATTATCTTTTTAGATCTTTATTACATTTTTTTTTGATTTTCTATTTATTTATTCAAAAAAAATTAAAATTAGATTAAATATCTTGAATATGAAATTTCAGTGGAATTTAAAATTTTCATCAAAATAATCAAACTACCAAAACTTCTTATTTTTATATATTTTGAGAAAATTTGATTGTTATTAAAATGGGGGAGCTAATAATTTTTTAATATTAATATTGTTTCTTTATTAAAACCAACCACGCTTAAGAAATATTATTATTATTTACTTTTTTTTTACTTTTTGTTATTATATGTTTTTTTGTGAATAGTCATAAGTTGCAACTTCAAATCTTATTACTCATTTATTTATATTTATTGGTTTGTTTTTAATAGAACCACTTTTAATTGTAGATATCATTGCAGCATATACTCATAGTTAGTCATTTCAGTAACAGGATATAATATTAAATTTTTTTTTATTTTTTGTTTGTACATAATTATTTAAAAGAGGTTCAATATAAATAATATCAAATTATAGTTTTATTTTGTTTTTTTTAAAAAAAATAAAAACAAACATTGGTTTTATTTCATCTTAAATCAAGATATCCAATGATCTACCGATAACTATAATCAATTTTTAATATATTTATATATATATATTTTTGTGTAGTTTTTTTTGTTTAATCATTATTTTTATTTCATTCTTAATTATATAATTATTAGCAACAGTAACATAAACAGCGGGCACCAACAGTGATATCATTTCATTTCAATAAAGAAATATATCAAACAACAAGATATTGTATATAGAGAGAAACACAAAAGGTGGTTTTTGTGTTTTTATTTTATTTAATTTTCAAACTATTTTGACCTTTTATTATCACTTTTTACTTTTGAACAAAAGTAATCTTTTGAATTATTTTTATTTTATAATATATTATTACTTTCTATATAGATATCAACACGAACGATAATCTTTTTTTTTATTTTATTTATTACTTTTTTAATTTCTTTTTTTTTCGCTTTGTGTGATTCCGATAGTTTTTTATTCTAACTTAATATATATACAATATTAAAAGGCCACTTTATTATTTTTGACCAACATGGGGAAATTATATCTGACACAGCTAGGCGGACTTAATGTATATTGCTGTTCCAAATGTAAAAGTCATATAGCTAATAAAGAAGAAATCATCTCCAAAGTAAGTTTATCCAACTAATTTGCTTTTTTCTCATAAAACAATAATATTAAACTTTTTGTTAACATTAATTTAAATAATGAAGCAATTTCAAGGTAGAAGTGGAAAAGCATATTTATTTGCATCAGTGTATGTTTTATTTATATTTTTGATTTGTTTTTTATTGATTTCTATTCTTATATTAAAATGATTGATTTTTATTATTTTTTCCATAGTGTAAATGTTTGTTTAGGTGATCCAGAGGATAGAATTTTTAATTCTGGAGAATATAATGTTAGAGATGTAATATGTCTGTCTTGTCTTTCAGTAATCGGTTGGAGATATGTAAGTATCCATTGATTTTTTAATTTTTATCTTTATTCAACAATATTGGAATCAATTTCTATTCCAAATTTGTCATACTATCATTTTCTTATTTTATTTATTTTTTAATTTGAAAATATAGGAAAAAAGTTATGAAGATACCCAGACTTATAAAGAAGGAAAATATATTGTAGAAAAAGCCAGAATAAATAAACTATGTAAATAAACTATTATAGGTTATATTTACTATCGTTTTTTTGTTTTAGATAATAGGAAACTTATCAATCATGTTATTTTTTTATTCAATACGTTCATTGTGATCCTGGTGGTAATGAATAGGATTGTGGTTGTGGTAATTGGAATCCATTTTGTTGAATAGATTCAATTGGTTGGAAATTCATTGGTTGTTGCTGTTGCAGTGGTTGTTGCTGTTGTTGTATTTGTTGCAGTGGTTGTTGCTGTTGTTGTTGTTGTTGTTGATTATTAATATTTTGGAGATCTTTTAATTGTTTAAAATAAGATGTTTGTTGATTTTGTGGGATTTGTTGTTGTTGCTGTTGTTGATGATGATTATTATTATTATTGTTATTATTATGTCTTGGTTGTTGTTTCATGAATGAAGGTCTTCCTCTTTGGTTTTGTTGTCCTCTTGGTGGTTGCTGAGCAGGTACACCATTTCTTGGAAGCGGATTATATTCAAATGACTCTTGTATAAATTCTAAATCTGATTTTTGTGGTTTGCTCTTGGTATTCTTTCTCTTCTTTCTATTCTTAAATTCTCTTTCCTTTTCATCGTCACTAAAATCCATTTCATTCTCCTCCAACTCGTCGTCATTCTCATTCGAGGCATCGAATCCTTTTGTGTAGATTGCTGATGGCACTACAAACTTTGAGAGATCCGGTACATTAACATAATAAATAGGTGTCTTTAATTCTATTTCAATTATCTTTTTTTCTTGTGTTTGATTTGTTGTTGGTACTGATTTTGTTGTTGTTGTTGTTGTTGTTGTTGTATTTGATGTAGTTGATACCTCTCCATTTGTTACTGTTTCTACCTGTGTTTGTGTTTGTGTTTGGTTGATTGTTAAATCTTCTTGTGGTTCTGCTTTGGCAATGTCGGTCTCGGCTGTTGGGATTGCTTGCTTTGGTTGTTTAGATGGAATGACAATTGATATATTGGATGGTACTCTGACGGAATAGTATGGATCTGAGATTTGACCAAATACCTCGTAGATACGTCCAATGGGAGTGCGATCTTCCAAACAAACAATTGAGTCGATATCCAAGGCAGGTCTATCCATTGGTTTGGCACTTGAACTTGAAGGAAAAGATTTAATAACGATCATATCATCGACCAAACTAGATAGTGTACCAAGAACATTGATAGAAGTGTTTGGTGGTAGTGTCAACTCTAATGGTTTCTCTTCTGGCATCTTTGGTTTGTATATCTTTGAATCGAAATCATCTTCTCCATCATCATTGACCTTTCTCTTATTATTATTATTATTATTATTATTTCTATTGTTATTGTTGTTATTATTATTGTTGACATTCTTATTAACTATGATATCATCAAGATTATCGTCACTAGATTCACTTTCACTTTCACTTTCACTACTACTGCTACTACTGCTACTTTCGCTACTAGATTCACTGTCACTACTTTCATCTTCTTTTTCTTTCTCTTCATATTTGACTTCTTCTTTAACAATATTGTTATCTGTCATTTCGATCTCTGTAGATTTAACTTCCTCCGTAACATTGACACTTATGCTGTGATCTTCTTCTCTAATCTCTTGTTTCAATACCATAACATTAGTCATCTCTGATTTAACCTCAAGATCGATAGCTTGAACATTTGAAACATCTGCCATTGGAGGTTCTTCAGTTGAAATAGTTTCAACTTCTTTATTCTCTTCCTTCATCTCTATAATATTTGTTGATTCATTCTCTAAAACAACTTTATCCTCTGACAGACTGTCATTTTTAATATCGTCTGTAGTTGGTGTAACTTCTATATTTTGGTTGACATTTGGATTTGTAACTTCTATTTCCTCTATAATACTCTCGACATTTTGGATGACAGACAATGAATTATCACTATTTGTTGCCTCCATGACTATAAAACTAAAAATAATAAAATACAATTTGTTTATGAATTCAGAACACTTACACTCGTTCGTTTTTTTTAAAAAAATTATTTTAAAAAAATTGAATTAATTCAGGCATCTCAAACTATTTTTAAAATTGACATTTAATTTAATATTATTATATATTATATATTTAAAATTTATTTATTTAATTATTTTATAATCTATTTGACATCCAACCAATAATGTCGTCGAAAATAATTTGACATTCTGGTTCAGATGTAAGACCATGCCACATTCCCTCGTAAATCTTTAAAGTTTTATCCAAACTGGTCGATGCTTTGTAGAGTTCTTTTGAAACCTCTGGGGATGACACCTTATCCTCGGATCCATGTGCAATGAACAGTGGAACTTTTACGTCGGCCAACTTTGATTGGAGATGTGACGTTACCTTTAGGATAGCAAGTCCGGTACCAAGACGTGCACGGCCCTTGTAGGTCAGTGGATGAGTGGCGTGTTCTTCACGCTTCTTTGGGTCTTTGATGTTACGATCGAGAACATTGTCACCCGGTACGATTGGGAGCGATGGGAATGCACTGGCGATCAATGTGAGAATACTGACCACATAGTAGTTTGGAACCATGGTGTCGTCCAACTTGATGAGTGGAGCCAACAAGATCAATCCACCATTGAGCAGATCTGGCTTTTTCAGTGACACCAAAAGTCCGACAGCACCACCCATCGAGCATGAATAAATGAAACGCTTCAGATGTGGGAATCTCAGCTGAATGTCATCGATAAAGATGATAGAGTCTTCCATCAAATCATCGAAACTCTCGACGTAGCATTGAAGTCCTTCACTCAGACCATGTCCTTGTTGATCGAAAATGAAGGCAGCATAACCTAACTTTGCAAAAATTCTGGCATCTTCTGCCAATGTAGTTTGACCATGATCTCCATAACCATGGATAATAATTAAAGCACCCCTTTATAGTTAAAATAATAATAATAATAAAAACAGCAATATTATTAATATTTTATCAATTTACACAGAATTAAAGTTTACATACTTTGGATGTGGTGGTAACCACTCTTGACAAACTAATTTAAGATTATTTTTATTCTTGAAATGTCCTCTTTTATAAATAATGTTTCCAGGCTCTGTAGTCTCTGATTCAAATGTAATAATGGAATCTTTTCTATCGACTAAATGTTTATCGTTGAGTGGTGACAAAATATTTGGAACACCCTCAACAAGAACACTATTTACTCCGACCATTTTATTGTATTGTTATTGTAACTAAATATATTATATGAATGTGTGTGTGTTGTGTGACTTGTTAATTTATTATAATATATTGGATGAATAATGTTTAAAAGTCTTTTTTGTTTTGTTGAATAAAATAAAATATACAAATGAGTTATTATACAAATATAAATAGTTAACTATTGGTTATTAGATTCAATAGATTTAAAAATAAAAAGTTGTATTTAAAAATTTTAAAAAAAAATGTTATATATAAATATATACAGAAATAATAAATAAATTCACTGTTAACAGTTAAAGAGCTTAAAGTAGTTAATTGACTAACTGTATAAACTAATACTTTAATCAAAAAGGAAAATAATAAATTCAATTATACCAATTTCTAAAAATGGTAAATTAAAAATGATGAATTATTATTTTTCGTTCGAAAATTGTGTGTGTGTGTGTAAACTTGTTTTTTTATAGTTGGCTGTGCGAGTGAGAGAGAGAGAGAAAATCTTTGCTTTGGCAAAAAAGAAAAGATAGACAATAAATTATATTGAGAACAAACAACGGATTCGAATGTGTTTGAAATTGTCGAAAATATATAAATATAATTTAAGTTAATAATAAATAGATAGATAGGTGAATGAATTAAATTAATTAATGTTTACTGTTTTTCACTAAAACAAATGTAGCTAATTAAAATAATTGTTTTTTTTTAGTTATGAAAAATGCAAAGAAAAAAAAGTTGTAAAATCTAGATTTTCTTTGGGTTGAAAAGAAAGATATGAACTGGTAATAATTGATTGTTTTGTTTTTTTTTTTTTGAGGTGAAAAAAAACCAACAAGTGATTATTGTAATCAAATAAAAATAAAATGACTTTTCTTGATCTTTGATTGTGATCAAAATGTGGTGTGAATCTTTTTTGGTGTGAGAGAATATCGATCAAACAAGAAAAATTTAAAGATAATTAAGTATTTGGTGGTTACAAACAACAATGAATAAATAAATAGGAGAGATTTGTTAAGTCTTTTGAAAACCAAAAAGTTTAAAAATAAAAATAAATTTAAAAAAATGAGAAAAGAAATATTAAAATTCCTTTGTGCTTCTGCGCTGATTTTTTGTTTGTTTTTATTTTGGTATCCTAATTATGCCCTTTCCTCCTTCACAATCACCAGAGCCAAATTTGATCAAATTTGGAAATGTGTGGGGGTGGAAACAGCGAATCGAAAATTCGTTTGCTTTTTTTCAAAAAATCTTTCTTCACAAAAAAAAACAAAAAATTATTTTGATACCTATTTTGTAATTTTTCATCATTTTTCGGAGTTTTTCAATCTCTATCACAAAAAGTTAAAAAGTAAATGGTATTTAAAAAAAAAACATCATTATTTTTCTTTATAATGGGAAGTTGACATTATTTTGATTGATTCAACATTATATGACACCATCTGTCGGAGTTTATTAATAAAACACAACATTGTTTATCTGTCTCTATAGCTTTGAAAGTTTTGACACTTGACACATATCCCCAATATCTTCAAAGTGTTATAATAATTAAAAAGAAAAGAAAACATGTTAGATTTTTAATTGTACATATACAAGTTTTTATTTTATTTTTAATTTTTGATAGCTATAATTCTGGGTGCTCCTTTTCGACTTTGGACAAATTTGCTTTAATCATAAAGCTGAACTTTTAAAAAAATAATAAGTTGGAATAAATAGTTATTCAAAACTAGTTCAATTTGAAATGTTGATGTTGCTATAAAGGGGTTTGTAAATTTGCTTTGAAAAATGATAATGTAAAAATCTTTGTGTCAATTCATTCACAAACACATAATTAATTTATTGTTTCAGAATTTAATTAAAAGAAAAAAATGAATGAAGTGACAAGTGATGTTTTAATTATTGGTGGAGGTTTGTCTGGTCTATATGCAGCAAGTCAATTGTTGATCAGTGGTACACTACTAAGAGTTGTATTGCTAGAGTCATCCGAGAGAATAGGTGGACGTGTCGCTCAGCTCAATGGAATGGTAGATTGGCCCGTTGAATTGGGTGGCGAATTCATTCACGGTGTGAATACAACCACCCATAGACTCATTGAATCACAACTATTCCAATTGATACCGGTATTCGATAAACCTCGTTCGTTTGCAATCTATTTGGAACGTGCCAATCAATTACATTATGCCGACGATATAGTTGTTAATGATCATGATGATGATAAAAAATCGAATGGTGGTTTATCGTTGGTTTTCAGCATTATGAAGGAACTATATAGTGGGGTACTAGATAGAAGTGCATCAGAGTTGCCTAGTAGTGCTCTTTCTTTACAAGACTATTTAATTTGGAGGGGTGTAAGCACGCCAATGTTAAGTGTCTTTGATGCATGGTTGGCAAAGATCTGGGGAACTAGCATCGATCGTCTTGGCATAGATTCATTGCGACGTGAACTTGCTAAACCAAATGCACTGTGCTCACCTACACCTACATTTAGACTTAAACAATCTACCAAGCAATTAGTAAATCATTTATCAAAAAACATAGATATAAGATTAAATAGCAATGTTCAGTCTATTATTTACAATGATAATAATATTGAGAACAAAGATAAAGAATCATTAATCAAAATTATTACTAAAGATAGTAAAGAATATTATTGCAAAAGATTATTAATAACAATACCTATTGATAAATTAAAACAATTACAATTCATTGATAACAAAGCAAATAATAATAATAATAATAAAAATAATAATGAACAAGTTAATCAACTTTATAAATCAATTAATAATATTGAAATGGGTAAAGCTATAAAAGTATTTATTAGATTTAGTAAAGCTGTTTGGCCTGAACAGTTGCAGTGTATGGTGTGTGCAGATTGTATGATATCTCAGATCTGGTTCGATGGTAAACCACTACGAGATGATACAGATCAGTATTTGGCATGTGGATTCATCGGTGGTGAATTAGTAGATGCTGCCAACCAACTGCAACCACCAATCAATAGTCAACCGGGCATAATCAAAGTGTTCTTGGATCAATTGAATAGAGTTTTCCAACGTAATGATTCACAATCTTATTATTTAACACATCATATACAGCAGTGGCCGAGTGCCTACAGTTATCCATCGGTTTTAAAACAACCAACTTTCAATCCATTTGAAACTATTTCAAAAGTAAGTATAAAAGATTAAAATGTTTTATTTAGAGAAACCTAACTATTTGATTTTCAATCATTACATATATAAATATATTTCTAGATTAATTTTGATAATAAAATATTCTTTGCTGGTGAAGCTACTGCATTTGAATTTGAGAGCTCATCTATTAACGGTGCAATAGAAACTGGTGATAGAGCACAAAAGTTGATATTAGATTCATTTATAAATAAATAATTAAATATTACAATTATTCTTTCATTCATCGATTTATTTGAATATTACATTTACAAAGGCCAAATTGAACCGATTACCTTCCCAGCTATAAATCCAATTGGGAATGGTCCTGCCACTGAAATATTCGGTTGTTGTTCGAATGGTAATAAATGTGATGTTGCTTCTGTTTCAACTGTATTTACATTTGAATGTTGTTTCTCTATCACTGTATTTGTTGTTGATTCTAAAGAAGAAGAAGAAGATGTTGTTGTTGTTGTTGTTGCTTTTGGTGCTGATGATTTATACATAAAATGACCTCTGGGAATGAGTGGTATCAATGGAAATAGATGAGTATCATGTTCGGTTGCAACAATCTTCCTACATATATATTTATTTGTATTCTTTGGATCTCTTTTTATTTTTGATTGAACTAAAGTTAGATTATTTATCATAATAATAATAATAATAATAATAATAAAACATTTACATTAATACAACTTGATCACCAGATCTATATCTAGTCGATAATTTATTTATCAGTAACCATTCATGTCTATCAGTATCGTGAAATACACTAACTACTTGATCTGATATAAATATAGGTAGTGGTACCAAAAATAATAGATTCGACCATTTCATTTCACTTTCACTTTCACTATCTGATTAATCATAATTATTAAATACGAAACAAGATCGATTAATTAGTTTTTTTATTTATTTTTTTTTAATTAGAAAAATTTGCAAATTATTCTAACTACAATTAGTACATTGATATTTAGTTATTATGAGGTATGAAGATATTCGAAATCCTATTATTAATTCAAAAGAACAAATGGTTGTGATTAATGATTATGAAGTTATCTTTGGAAGTTCATTAAAAATGAATTCAAATTAATAGCAGTTAAAAAATTTTAGAAAAAAAAAAATTCAAAAAACAAACACTCATCAAAGGATCTTCATACAATCACCTACTTTAACTACACCAAACAACAACAATTTCAACAAGACTTTGACCGATTTATTAAATACTTTACTATTAATTAATTTAATTAATTATTATTATATAAATATTTATATATATTTGCTTTTTTTTTTTTTTTGAAAAAGCTCTTAATAAAATATTATATATATTAAATAGTTTTAATATAGTCAGTCAAGCAATCATTGTAAAATTGTTAAATTAATTAACTATTTTATTATTTATCTATTAATAGTATAATAGTTAGTTTGTTTGTTAGCATAGTTGCTTACTTGTTTGTAACATAATAATAATAGTTCATTTTGTTGCAAATTTACTTTTTAAATTTCATTAATATTTAATATAATCAATCAGACAACAACAACAACAACAACAATTCAACTATAGTTATTTATAAATAGCAATAGATCTCGATCATTACAGTACCCCAATAAATCATTAACAATATATATTAATAATCTTTTTTGTTATTACCAAATTTTTTTTTAAGTTTAAAAAAAATCAATAACAGCAAAAAAGCAAAAACAAAAAAAAAAAAACAAAAAAAATAACAAAAAACATAATAATAGTAATAATCATTTTTTAAATAAATTAAAATAATCGTTTAAAAGTAGTAGTAGTAGTGTGGTAGTTAGTTAGTTAGTTAAAGTAGAGAATGACTGATATGGAAAGAAGATGGGATGACGATGATGATGACTCTCATCATAGATCACGATACAATGGTACAAAACAAGAGAGTAATAATAATAGTATCAATAATAATAATAATAGTAGCGGTAGTAGCAACAGTAATAATGGTAATGGAAGTAATGGTGGTGGTAATAAGGATGAAGACGATGAACCTGTCGATGAGTTTGGTCGTCCATTGAGACCAGGCAGAGAGAGTTCAGATAGTGATAGCGATCATGACTATCGATACAGAAGACGTTCCAGAGGTGACCGACGTGACAATAGATACTCACCGGACAACAATCGTGGTGGTGGTGGTGGTAGCGGAGGTAGCGGCAACAGAAAGCGTGATCACTCCCCGTCATCGATGAACGGTCCCGACAAGCGAACCAGAGGAGATACCTCTCCAAGAGATAACTATAGAGATAGAAGAAGAAGAGATGATTGGTAAGCACTACTATTATCATGATATTCAAACCTATTCAATGTCAATATATTAATATATTATAAATTTTGTTTGCTAATAATAATTAGGAATGATAGATCAAATGATTACAATGGTAGACAGTTGAATAGTTCGAATAATTCACGAAACAATGGAAGAGGCGATGAGAGATCGCTTTCTCCAAGTAAATCGTCGCAACAACAGCAACAGTCGAATACAGGCAGTACAGGTATGAGAAGACCAAAGAGAGGCGATATTTTCGAAGGCGGAGTATTTAAAACCTATAAACAGTTCCTCGACTATCAGGATGATTCGATAACACCAACTGATGCCGAAAAGAAATACGAGGAGTACAAATTAGAGTTTTCAAAGAGACAGGCACGTGTATTCTTCAAGGATCACCAGACCGAAGAATGGTTCCGAGAGAAATACGATCCTGTATTTTTAAAGAAGAAAAAGCTGGAAAAGATGGAGTTTGCAAAAACTAGAGTACCAGCTTTCATTACAATGTTAGATGATGGTAATGAATAATAATAATAATATCGAAACGTTTATTGTATTAATAATATTTATTTTATTTTATTTTATTTAGAAAACTTTAATTTCAATCTCACTGCAAAGGATAATATTAAGGACAGTGAAAAGTTGGTAAATAGTGAAGGCATGGAGATTGAACATGATGACACTAATGAACATGAACACACCGATAGTGAGCATCATCACGATGGAGAGGAGAAAACAAATAGCAATAATTCATCTAGTGATAGTACAACTACTACAACAACAACATCATCATCAACATCATCAAACAACACCAATAACTCTGCTGCTTCAGCAGCCAACAAGACACTATTTATTAAAGCAATATCACCGACTTGTACAAAAGATGATTTACTAGAGGTTCTCAACAAGGTTGGCACTGAAGAAGAGCCAGTCGTAGTCACCAAACTCACACTTTCTGAACCAATGAAATATAAGAACTTCTACCGTCTTGGATGGGTTACCTTTAAAACCAGCGAGTATTCGATGAAAGCTCTAAAAGAATTAAATGGTACCAAGGTAAGAATGATCATTAGATTTTTATTGATTATTTATTAATTTTTTTTCGTCAATTTCAATTATAGATGAGAGATTTTGAACTATATTTGACAATAAATAAACAGGTACCCATTGATACACAGAAAAAGTTTAGAATTACACCAAAGATTGCTTCGACAGAACAGAGAATCAGTGTGGATCTCAAACAAGCAACCGAGATTGCCAAGAATTTGGATGTCGATCGTGATATTTCAAACAATCCTTTGTGGACAGATCAGATTGAATCACTCTCAGAGATGGACAGACTCGATAGAACCATTCACTATTTGCGTTATGTCCATTTGTTTTGTTATTATTGTTCAGAGGAGTACGCCGATGTAGATGAAATCGAAAGAAAATGTGGTTCAGTACATCTCAGAAGACCAATCGGAGCTGAAGATACAACCACAATCACCGCCCCCAAACCAAGATCAGAGGAAATGTCTGACGAAATCACCAATGAATCAAACAACAACAATAATGAACAACAAGACCAAACCATGGATATTGATCAAAAACCATCAGAGGGTAAGCGAGTGAAGAAATGATAATTAATTTATTTGAATGAAATATTAATTTATTTTATATTTAGAAAATACATGGGTAACTAATTTAGATAATAATATTAAAGCTAAAATCGTCAAAATCAATAATCAAGAGCAATATGAATATACACAAGCCATTGCAAAGAGTGCAGAGGAATTTATTCAAATCAATACATTTAAAATGGAGGAGGAAAAGTACAGATGTTCTTTGTGTTGCAAATTGTTTAAGGGATCCGAGTATGTCAAGAAACATATCAATCTTAAGCACCCCGAGGAACTTAAAGAGGATTCACACAAGAAAGGAACGGAGGAACAATTCTTTTTAAATTATTTCTCTGATCCCAGGAGAATGATTCCACCAACCCAACAGCAATTGCTGTACTACCAGAATCCACGTGGTATGATGGCTGGAATGACACCTAGACCACGTTGGAACCCCACCCTAGGCACCTGGGAGCAACAGATGGTCATGCCTCAGATGATACCAGCTATGATCCCATCGACACCACCAATGGCAATGGGAGGTCAGATCTATCCAGTATCGCCACTGTTTAGCAGTCCCAATGTAAGAGGACGCGGACTTCCACTTCCAATGCCCGTGCCAATGAGAAGAGGTGCATACCCACAACAGGTAGGAGGACCACCCAACCAAGCGAGCGTGATACCATCACCATCACAAAATGTTCGTTATCGTCCATACCCATCTGCCGTGCCTCAGCAAAGAACCTCTGTACCTCTTCCTCCTGCTGATCCAAGAGGAATCAGAGAATACGTTGACCTAGATGCAGCCCCAACCGGTGCCATGCCAGAGATTGACTACACAGCCGCATTAAAACAATTTCAAAGTAAAAGAGCAAATCAATAAAATGTTCAGTTCTGTTAATTGAAAGATCAAATTAATAAAATCAAAGAATGCAAATTGATATTAAAATGCTAACTATAGTTTGTTAGTGGTGATACGAGTGGAGAGGATGTTATAACATTTTTATTATTGTTTTTCGTTATAATTTGACTTGATCATGATTGTTTGGTTAATTTGGGTATTGTGGGTATCTTGCATGATTATAGGTTTGTGGTTGTTGTCTGACTGGCTGACTATAGTAATAGTTCCAAGCATGACTGTTTGGTTCACTTGGAGGTGTGGTCAAATCTTGTTGTTGATACATTACGGTGGGTTGGGGATATACTGGATATGGGTATGATGGGTGTTGTTGAACATGGTATGGTTGTTGCGCGCCGTTCGACACATAACTTTGATATTCTACATTTTGATAGGTGGGTTGATAGTTATAGTATATTGGTTGTGGTTGAGGATAGGTATTATAATTTGGGTGGTGGAATGGCTTAGCTTTGTTGATAGTATTTACAAAGCTATTGAGTTGTTGACCATTCGTTTGGTAGGAATTTGACTTTTGTCGGAATGGTTTTGATTGTGAAGATAAATTACCACTATTATTATTGTTGTTGTTGTTGGTAGGTAAGGGTGGTGTGGTGGAAGTGGGAATGGTTGGGGGTGGTGATGGTGAGGAGACTGGCTGAGGTGGACTTTGGGATCTTCGGTATTCATCAACACCAGTTTGGATAACTTTAAGGTACTTATCAAACTCTTCGCGGTCTATGTATAGATTATAATTGAGAAAAGCCAACAGCTTTAACTCTAAAAAGTTGATTTCAGATAGAGAAACACCTCCGACCTGAGCATAGTATCGATTGTCCAGTGACTTTTCGTTTTGATACTTTGACGATAGTAGAGCACATGTCATGATAAGGCGGTGAATGTTGAGGTTGTTAAATTGGAATTTTGGATTGAGTCTTTTGAGTCTATCCAGATATATTACAGTGATGACAAAGATTTCCTCGTCAAACATGGTATATTTAAGAATTCTACGTAGATACTGAAATACAGAGATATTTGGCGATGATGCCGCGTTAAATGATGAGCTGATTGGGTCTTCGTCGGATTCTGGTGTCTCTGAATCCATTTGATTCTCAATAAACTCTGCTGTTACGTGAAGAAGTGGGAGATACAACTTGATGGATTCGTCGTCCATTACGATTGGGTTAATTTCGGCAGCGGAACTCGATTGCTTCTTGGCAACCTCGGCGACATCGGATGATGTTGCAGAACTGGATTCAGCTGCCTCCTTTGATGCCTCATCAATTGCGGCGCCAGCTGCAGTGTCGTGTGTAGGTGATAATGTTTTTGGTGGTGTCGTTATTGTTGTCTTTGCAATGACTGGCTTAGTGATATATGATTTATCTAATAAATTCGAAAGATTATCAACGCTGTTCTTATTAAATTTCTTTTGTTGTTGTAGGTTTCTAGAGTGGTTTCTATTGTTATTTGTTGAAGGTTGTTGATTATTAATAATACATAAAGAGTTTTGAGCTCTTATTATTTCTGATGATGCGTCACTACTGTTACAACTACTATTATTATTAAAGGTTTTTCTCTGATTCTTGTCGTTTCTATGATTGTATTGTTGCTGTTGCTGCTGCTTAAACTGCTTATTGGGATTCGAATTCATGGTTTTGAAGGGCTGAGTGGACTTTTGTAAAGATAGTAGAGATGGGGCCGATATTGACGATGGCAATCCTGAATATTCAGTTACTGGCTTTGGAGATGATGACTGTGATTTAGAATACATGGTTATATAAAAATTTTAAATTATGTAATTTTTATATGAAATATATATATTAAAGTAGTATAATTATAATAATAAAAAAAGAAATATATATGATTAAATTATTTTGTTGTTGATTATTGTAGCAAGGTGAAACTATTAATATAATAAAGTTTAAAATACTGATGTCTGTTTTGGAGCTGCCCTGCGAATTCGAGGTTGATCTTTAATTCTTTTCAAGGGGATATTATAGATATTATAGTCAACCAACATTCGGTAATGCTTTTTGCTGATACTTGTACAAAGAGGTAGAGATAATATCTAGAAAAGAATTGAAAATACTACTAGTAGGGGAAGAACTTCAAACAAACAAAATATATATATATAAATAATTTTGAAAGTAGAAGTTGATGCTGTTGCTGCTTGAAAATTTCTAATGTTACAATTGATTATGATTCGTTATGTTCTATTATTATATGGGTGTTCAGTTACTAATGATTATAATATGATATTACAACCTTTTTCTCTTTTTTTTTTTAATTTTATATGTATGACCAATCAAAATTTGCTATTATTACTATTATTTTTTTGTCGTAGATTATCGCCAACGACCAAACGCACTACCGCTACACTACTACTACTCCAATTATATTAACTTTTTGATTTGGATAATGAATCAAATCTTTAGCTGAATATAATATAGACTGTTCTTGGTACTCTAATAATTTGAAGTTGCAAATTGAAATAAAAAAAAAAATGAAGAATGTAGGTTAGTTAACCGTCCTATTGAATATGTGTAAATGTTTGCAATATTATTGTGAATTTAATTAATTTAATTGAAATTGAATTACATTTATTTTAAAATGATATCTTGTTGTTGCAATAACACATAGTTATACATGTTGAAGATTAATATGTTGAAATGAATATTGTCAATCATGTAGTTAACATCATACCTCAATTATACATATATATAAATTGAGTTTTCAAAATAATCAGCTGTTTATGTTTGTTATTGTTAATGTTGTTGTTGCAGTAGAATTTATTAAAATATATCTGTTATGATCTATTGGATAATGTAGGAATAAAATGTGTAGAAAACTGTGTTACTATCTGTGGTGTGTGTGTGTGTGTGTGTGTCAGTGTGGTATGTCTTTATGTGTGTAATTAATAAATAAATAAATAAATAAATAAATATATATATCAAGTGTGTATGTGTTGATTTTCTATTTATATTTGAAAAAAAAAATTTTTTTTTTTTTTTTTTTTGTCAATTTCTTGTTTTTATGAGCAAAACAGATATCTGTAGGGCTGGTTTTTGGTTGGGGGGATAATGATGATAGTGGGTTTATTTGTTGGTTTTTTTTTTATGCTCATCAGAGTGGGTGGTTATTTGAGAATTTACTTGGTTTGTACAGTGTCTCTTTGTTTTGATTCTATTTATTTATTCTATTGGTCAGATGTGAGTGTTTGTGCTGAGTTAACGTGTGGGTGGTAATGAAGAGTGAAGTGGTATTGGTTATTGGGGTGTGTCGAGTTGATAACTCATTCTAGACCCACACACCACGCTATCATAATCAACCAACTTTATTTGTTGAAGTTAGAATAATAATTGTCTGTTTGATTTTTTTTAAAAAAAAAACTAAATACTTTTAAGTAATTTAAAATTTAAAATCCTAACTTGTTGTTCTTGCTGTTGTTGTAGCTTTTTGCTATTTATGTATTTAACTAAAACTGTACACTGTGTGTGCAATACTAAAATTGTGTCCATTCTGTTCTGTTGTGATGTTGATAATGATGATAATGAAAATGATGATGATGATGGTGATATATATCTATGCTTAATCAAAAAAATAATAATTTAACAAATGCTTACCAAACTGTACTAATTATCATAAAAATAAATTTGTTACTAATAAAGAGTTATAAAAGGGTAGATAGATAATATATGATGTGAATTTATTGTTTTGAAATTTGTTGGTCACAATTTTTACGAAAAAAAAAGTTTGCAAACTTTTTTGTTTTCCTCTATTTATCCTGGTTTTTTTTGGACAATAAAAATCTCATCAATAGGGGGGATAAATAACGAAAAAATCAAAAATAACAAAAATTTTATCACTCAACAATTTCTTTGCAGCACCCATTATAATGGGTCCAAATTTTTAATAAAATGAGAAATATGCTTAAGGAATTTTTATCTTTTTGTTTTTTTTACTTTTTTTTTTTTTCACTTTTAGGTATGAGCATCACTTAATACCAATAACAGGTAAAATTATAAAAAGAGAGATCCGCGATCGATCGTAAAGAAAATAAAACCAAACACCAATAGTCTAGACTTGGTTTTGATATGGTCATAATACACTTTACAAATAAAAAACAAAAAAATAAAACCATCCAATAATAATAACAACTTGTTGTTTTTTTCGATGTCACAATTTATACGAATTGTTAGAAGGTTGTTAATACACATAACAAACCAACTTATCAAAGTCTAAAAAAAATGATTATTGGGCGCACTGTGAAGTGATTAGTCTTTTTTTTTATTTTCAAATCGAAAGGTTTTGGGTCAATGAACTAGATTGAGAAGTTCTTTCCAATAAACTTTGAAAATCTTATCTTAAAATTTCATTACATTGTGTTGAAGTTTATTTATTTGAACAACAATCACTTTTGAAAATAAAAAGATTGGTGTGTTGTGTTGAGCCCCATTACTTGAAGTGGTCCACTAGTAGTTTGAAAATTTTGTTGTTTTTTTTCTACAAAAAATAATAAAATAATAAAATTTAATTAAATAAACGAACGACCTCTTTTAATTAATGTGTGTGTTTTTGTAATAAATGAGTAGCAGTATTAGTAGATATACTTTGGCAATAATCAAACCTGATATTTTAATCAGACAATCGCAATGTCTTGATTCGATCATTCAAAAAATAGAAACAAAGTTTAACATTGTCAATAGAAAACAAATAGTTTTATCAATATCAGAGGCAGAGCAATTCTACAATGGTATGTGATCGAATCAATGAATACGTTTAGAAATAACATGTTATTCATTATCAATGGTATTATTAGAATATTAATAATAGAAAATAAAATAATAAACAGATCACAGAGGTAAATTCTTCTATGAAAGATTAGTGGGTTTCATGTCACGAGGTCCAATCATACCGATGGTACTAAGTGAAAAGAATTCACAAGTAGATTCAATAAAGAGTTGGAGAGAGTTTATAGGTCCAACACATGCTGAAAAGTAAGTCTATTGAAATGCGTTGAATCTAGATTGAATCAAATACTTATATAATGGAAAACAGTGCAAGAAAATTAGATTGTCTAAGAGGAGAATATGGTTTTTCAGATACATGGAATGGATTTCATGGTTCAGGTATATTTTAAATCTATAATGTTGTTTAATTCAATCTTGAAATTCATTAACAAATGTTGTTTTTATAGGTTCACATGATGAAGCTTTAAATGAGATAAAGTTTTTCTTTCCAGACTTTGATAAAACAAATCAATAAAAGTTATAAAGTCATTTGTATAGTTAGTTAGTTAGGATTAGTTCAATTAAATAATATTATGGATTCACTACTTTGTTGTACATATATTTACAAACAGGTTGTTTATTATTGTTGTTTTATACAATATTTCTCACTCTCTATGTTTATTCTTAGATTGGGAAATGTGCTTGCAAAAAGTCTTCAATAGCTGTTCCAGGATCACCTGTATTCGGTAGCTTACGTAGTGATGCCAAGAAATGTAAGATATCGTTGTGTAGTCTTCGCCGAGCAGACTTTGGTCCCAACTCCAATTTCGGTATGTTTTCAATGAATAGGTTGTTTAACATATAGTAGATATTGGTGAATACCTTGAATATCTGGTCTGGTGGCAATAGATTATTCAAAAGCTTGTGAAGTGTTGCGAAATCTTTTTGAAGTGCTGCAATTGGTGGTGATGGTATAGGTATTGTATCATTTTTCAAATCCAATTGCTAAATTGATCAAACAATTAATAACAATTAATAAATAAATACATTATTATAAATAATTATTTTACAACTTACACTAAGTGCTTTAAATTGTATAAGTGAACGTTCTTTTAGGATAGCAACAAACTTTAGGAAAATCTCACCTCTGTGTGATGAGTAATCTTGGATGGTCTTGTCAAATCCACTCAGCAGTGGATATTGGCTCTTGGAGGTGAGTGAATGTTGTAATATGGTTTTGAGGTGTGGAATCAGCTTGATTTGGAAGCTAAGACACTGTGATGTCAGTCCGAGATGCTTCGAGTTGATTGTCTTGATGTTCATGGTCTGTCTGGCACCGGCACCCAGCACTAGCTGGTAGGTGATTCCATTGAATGTATTGAGAAGTTCGATCAGTTTCGGAATGGAGTCGATCACCAACGACGGTAGAACCTCCACACAATGCAAATAGTCTTTAATGAATTTCAGGAGCATCAGCGAGGTGTTACCAACTTTGAATTTCTCACCGCTGATAGAAATGATCTCGTTGATGCCAATATCGTTTGGTATGACTGGCGATTGCACGATCGACTGGTTGGCAGCATTCGCCGAGACCAGCTGCTGGTCGTCGTCAAGTGTCTGGCCAGTCATGATTGGTGATGTTGAACTAAGAGATTGGTCGACCAGTGCATCAACGATATTTTGGAACTCTGTTACGACTTGAACCGGTACCCATTCCTCATTCTCGAGCAGCAGTGACAGCGATGACAATCTGTTCTTATGAAGAGTATCTAGATATTGCTTGGATTGCGTGAGCTGAGTGGATCTGAGAATCGATGCTTTCTTCTTGGAGACCGATAGCGTTGATTCCGAAAATTCGATAAACTCATTGATCTTTTGTGTGAGCGACACAAAGTCGGGCAGTGCCAACTTGGAGTTGACATCGGATCTAACTTTTATCAGAGATGCCAGTCTCTCTTGCATTGTTTCATTTACAGATATCAATATATTATTACATATCGCTTTAATTGTATCTATTTGATTTGATTGAATACTTTTTTGTTGTTGTTGTTGTTGTTGTTGTTGTTGTTGTTGTTGTTGTTGTTGTTGTTGTTGATTATAATTATTAATATCTTGACTACTGTTATTATTATATTTTGAATAGCTAATATCAACTTCTAATATTATTAGGTACCGAGCTCGTATTGTATCTTTTTTATGGTAATCATCTTTCTTTTGAATTCTTGATTGACACGGTTGAATAGTGGTATTGAATCGATAGGTGATAGCTTTACAAGTCGCTGTTTACACTCTTCCCATGTGAATTTCATTGGTTGAAGTTGACCATTGTTGACTTTACTTTCATCCAACTCAAAGGTAACTGTAGATACAACAGTTTTAAACAAATTTCGTACAGATTCATCTGCAGCCTCTCTAAACGCTTCTAAAACTTCACCAACTCTTCCAATTCTAAGAAGATTCGCTACTATTGGTCTAATCATATCGTTAAATTCATCTATACCACTGTCATTATTATTATTACTATTATTATTATTATTATTATTATTATTATTATTATTATTATTATTATTATTATTATTATTATTATTATTATCAATATTAAAGTTATGATCATTGAGTGCAATCTTTATAAAATCAGATTCCAACATTTTCTCTATTAGCTTGATCATCTCTGATAGTTGTGGTCCGATATTCTTGAGTGCACCAATGGTTACGAGGTCATTCTCGAGTGCGTACTGTGTCGATGCTATCAGGTCGAGTGCACCACCATAGTCACCCTTTGAGAGTAGCAGCTGGAGTGTTGGTTGCGCTTGTTTCACTTCGTTGACGAGAGAGAGTAGCGCCAGAGTATCCTGTGTTCTATTCTTCTGTAGATGAAGTCTACTGATATTCAAGCTACTCTTTACCACCTCGTTATCGACCTTCTTTAGCATCGACCTCGAATGCATCAGTTCATGATAGAGTGTATTCAACTCTGAACGAAACTGCTTCAGATCGGACATCGCACTGACAAACGACTGTGACTTGTCTCTAATGTTACCAACGATATTCTCTTCGATAATAGTTGAGTAGTGCTCCAGTTTCTGAAAGATAATAGGTGAAGGATCGTTGTTTGCATACTCTAATATTTGACTCTTATTCAACTCCTTTCTAAAAAAGAATTCCGGTATATTATCTAAACTAATGATTTCTTTAAGTAGTAATAGATTGTTAATAAAAAAGACACAATTGGCTAATTGGTTGATTATTATATATATTTGTTACCTTCCGATGTCTTTTTATTTGTTGGTATTAAATCTTTTTGTTCGTTATCTTTAAATATTCTATAGACTTGAGATATCTTGTTGAGGTATGACTGAAATTGGTGAGTTGATATCTGTGGAATCGATGCAGATACCGGTGGTATGATTAGTTCATCCGGTTTCCATTCATTGGTTGGTGGTGCCGTTGGATCTAGACATACTGATGTCAAGCTCTGTGCGAATACGAATGGTTCACAATTATGTTGTTGAAATAACTGTGACGATGATCTTCTAAGATGACCAATATTATTATTAATACTATAACTACCTCCACTACCACCAATGTTACCACTACTACTACTATTATTACTGGGCGGACTATTTATAATACTACTATTATAACTATGAAAAGAAGGTAAACTATTACTATTTGTTAAAGTTGATGTTGTTACAGGTAGACTATTTGATCTTTGATGAAATATTGATTTACTATTACTGTTACTATTACTATTGTTATTATTGTTATTGTTTTCATTTATATAAGGTGAAGTTGGAAAAGACATCTTTATTGTCTAAAATCATTATTTAAAATGATAAACATAAATAAATGTATATGGTGTGTGGGCGTGGTAATTGCGATTAATATTAAAAACAAAACTTTTTGTAAGTTCAATTTTTTTTTATTAATATTACTATTAAATAAGTAGTTGATATTACTCTACTTTAATTGGTTTGCAATATTCTTGTCCGAATAGGTGTGTAGCGTTTTCATTATTTTCCTCTTTGAATTGATTTCTCTCGAGAATTCTTAGGAGAAGAATTGCTGCAGATCCTTGGGTGATACCCCAGATAGATACCTTTAAAATAATTAAATTTAAAAGAAATAGATTAGTTAAAAACAGTACAATAATATATATTTCTTGTTTTGTTTTGTTTTGTTTTTGTTGAACACTTACACCAACGTATGGTACTGCAAGAATATAAGTACAGGCCAATGAGAATCCGAATAACCATCCAAAATAACGACGGTTGACATAGACCTCTTGTTTGACGTCGGGTACACGACAGTAGTAGACTTCGAGTAGTTCCTTACCCATTGAGTAACAGGCCATCAGTGCCTTCAAGATGTGTTTGGAGATATCGTGCATCGCTGGGTGAAGTGATACTACGGCTAGCACGAATGCCATTCCATTACCGAGTGGCTCTTTGCTGTAGAGGAATTGCGATGCTGCCACCGCGAATGTACCGATACCATAGGGAAGTAGCGATAACAAATAAACAATAGCACCAGATGCTGCCAACTTTCCGAATCTCCACAAAAACTCTGACATTGGATATTGTTTAACGATCGGTGAGTTTCTTAGGAATGTTGCTAATTCTTTGTTTTGACCTTCTAATACATAGAAAAACATCTAAATAAATAATGATTATTAATATTATTTCAAATTATTGTTTTGCAGTGTAAACAACACTGACTCTAACTTACATCCTCATTGAAACTTGGTAGAACATATCTAAGGAAACCAATGAAAATCATTGGAATAAAGAATGCAATCTTCTCAAACAATGTGAATGGTGACATTACATGTGTTACTTTCTCGAGATAATGGAATCCAAGCTTCTCAAGGAGTGCCAGGATCACTCTAATTGGGAAGGTAGCCATAATCATCATGAAATAGGTCGCTGCAATACCGATCAGTAAAAATTTAATGGTTTGTAGATACATTGCCATAATCTTTTGATTTCTAATTGCAATCCATGATCCTAAATAGAGTCATTCATATAGAATACATTGATTTAGTTACATTGTCTACAACAACAACAACAACAACAACAACAGTTTATAAAGTAATATTAAAAATGTACCTTGAATAAAAGTAAAAACACCCTTAAAGAATTTAATATAGAATACAGGATGTACAAGTGTTTTTCTTTTGGTAACCTTTTTCAATTCCTTTCTTGAGAGATTCGAATTGAGTCTTTGTGGTGTTGGTGGCGGTGAACCTGGTGTAGCTGTTTCACCACTGCTATTCAATGGTGGACTACTATTCTTTTTATCGATGGCACCCTTGACCATTGTCTTTGCTTCTTTTACATACTTATCCATTATGTTGTTGTTGTTGTATCTCTATCTTATACCTCTCTAGGCATATCAATTTAGAAATATTTAATTTAAAAGAAAAAAAAACTTGTTGCTTTAAATTGAAATTTAATATTGGCAGATTTTTCAAAAAAAAACATTGATTTTTCATGTTTGATGACAACTTGGAAAATGGTGCGTCACCCCAACTCAACTAATTGAGATCTTTGCAATTTCAGTATAGTCATTAATGTGTGACTCATTAAAATTACTTTGCAGATCAAGATATTTTTAGTAATTTGATCGATAAACTAATTAAAACAATCAATTTTATTTGTATTATTGATTTTTTGCAGAAAAAAAAACAAAAAAGTATTAAAAAAAAAGAAAAAAAAAAAAAGGTTAAGAATATTGTTTTGTTATGATTATATATTGTTTGTTTCAGTGTTTCCAAGATTTTTCAGTGTGGTCATCCTCTTCGTCATCGTATTGATCATCGTCATCATCAGAACTATCATTGTTCTCATCCATAGCACTGTCGGTAGTCTCTTTCTTTTCTTGATTTGGTTCGACCCAACTGATCTTCAATTCTGAACCTTTATATGACTTGGCAACCAAGAATACCTAAAGTAAGTAATAATATTATATTAGTATTGATTTACTTTTAAAATTATGATAATACTTTTAGTTATTATTATTACTACTTACTCTTTCAGCAGATGCACGTTTTTGGAATTTAATTTCAACACCATCGTCGGTGTGCTTCACTGATTGAATATCGGGGAACAGTGATCGAAGTAGATCTTCTTTTTTGAATTTCTCTGGTGGATCCGATATCAGAATGGTGGTTGTACGATTGTCGATGACCATAGATGCATTCTTATGTTTGAGTGCTGTCGCTGCTTGTTTTGGATATGGTAATGTCGGTTTGTTCAAATTGAATGAAGCTGGTGGTTTCTTGTACAATGTATTCGGACTGGGTTTAATAATTGATTTGTTGATGGGTGATGTTGGTTTCGGTGAATTGTTACTCGTTGTTGTAGTGATTGTGGAAACTGGTGATACTATAGTATTGTTATTGTTTAATAGATTCGCTGGTACTTCGATTCCCAGGCTTTTAGCTTCTGATTCCAAACTCTTGAGAGTTGCTGTTAAATATTCTAGATTTGAAGAAGCTGAAGTTGATGTATCTGATGTTGTTGTTGTTGTCGGTGTTGAGTTATTTGTTGTTGTTTCATTGTTGGTTGTAGATGTCATTGATTGATCCTGTTGTTGTTTCTCTTTCTCCTTCTCTTTCTCCTTTTGTTTCTGTTCCAATGCAATTGTATCTTGATTGATACTCTCTTGTATTGATTTAGCGAGTTTGTTGATGGTATCTTTAATCTCTTCGCGCTCCTTGTCATCGGTGGTCGATTCCAACTTTAATAGCATTTGTTTCTGTAGTTCCATTTGTTGTGCACGTAGTTCTTCTCTGCTTTTGGCCAGCTTCTTCTTTTCCTCCTTCTTCTTGTCCTCGAGTTTCTTCAGTAGCAATTGCTCCTTGATCTTGAGTAGTTGTTGTTCACGTTTCTTCTCCTCTTCTTCACGCTTGGCCTGCTTCTCTTGATTCTCTTCAAACTTGGTCATTTTACCGTTGAACGACTGCTGCCAGAACAACTTGATGAACCGGTTGTTCATGATGGCCTCTGGTGACTTCATTGCTTTCTGCGCTTCAGCGTTGTTTGAGAACTCCACCGACGACTGGCCAGCATTCAACTTTTCAATCTTGACAATCTCACCAAACTTTGAAAAGTGTTCGCGAATCACCTCTTCGTTGTTTTGTGGTCCCGGAATATTTGTGATAATTAAAACGGTAGCAGTTGGCTCTGGACAACTACTTGATGTCTTTACTTGTTGATGTTGATGTTTATCTCGTTTATTATGCTTTTCACCACCGGTGGATGGATTCTGTGAACGAAGATGATAGTGATGTTCTTCGTTGTTATTGTTATTCATCATCATATCGAAATCATTCATTCCACCACCACCACCACTGACATTACCACTCAACATCATCTGATCTAAATTACCATCTAAACCATTGCCATTTGTATTCATCATCATATCTAAATCTATTCCATTATTGTTACTGTTATTATTGTTATTATATGTTGGTTGTAACATTGTTGGTTGTCCATAGCCAAGATTGGATGGATCGTTTTGATTGGCAAGCATACCAAAGTTGGGATTTACAAACATGTTTGGTGGTGGTGGCTGTAGTAATGGTTGTCCTACCGATTGTGGTTGATGCCTCAGATGCATGTGATGTGCTTGTGGGTTGTATCCAACTTGGTTGATTGGCATTCCACCACTGGCCAAATTCATCATTGGATTCGATGGGTCGTATCCAATGATCGATGCTTCATCTATGTTTCCACCTGCGCTATTACCGTTGCCACTGATGTTCTCGCCAGCAGCACCGCCACCATTGTTAAAATCATTCATAAGCATATTGGCAGGATATCCATTGATCATCATTGGATTGCCGCTACCGTTGCCATTGAAAGTTCCACCGATCGGACCTGCAACACCACCGTGTATATACTGACAGTTTGGTCGCTTACAGTATCCCGTTGACTCGTAGTGTTTGCATGGCTTGTTGAAACGCGGATGTCTTGCCATTGGCTGACCGCCAACCATTGGAATATACTTTTTATTTGGCATGTTACCATCGTAGTGACCGCCACCACCATTACTACTATTGTATTCTTCAGTGTTATTCTTACGCTTAAGAGGTGATCTTGTATCTTTTCTAAATTTATTGTTATTATTACTATTACTGTTGCTACTACTATCATTATCACTATCGTCTCTATCTCTTTCTCTTCTCTGTAGAGGTGGTGATCGATCTCTTTTCGATTGTCTAGAGGCAGGTGATCTCGAACGAGATCGCGATCTTGACAATGAAGTAGGTGATCTCGATCTTGAACGAGATCTCGACAATGACGATCTCGAATGATAATTATGACGAGTGTCTCTATCTCTGTCTCTGTCTCTTTCACGAGTGTCTCTCTCTCTGTCTCTGTCTCTGTCTCTTTCACGATCTCTATCTCTGTCTCTTTCGCGATCTCTACTATATCTATCTCTTTCACGTTTCGGAGAGTGTTCACTCTCAAAGTAATTTATAGTATAGAGTTGACCGATAAGTTTCTGAACGAAATCCTTTGTGTTTTGTTCGAGAAACTCATTCAATGCATTGACACAGATCGGCTCCAACTGATCTGCCGACTTTTTAGAGTTGCCAGATGATGTCAACAATGCAATTATATATTCAGAGAGAGTCGACGGATCCACCTCTGTAATCGGATCAAGAGAATCTCTTAGAAATTTATTAAATGAACTATGATCTTTTAGATTCATTTTTCTCTCTTATATTAAAATAAAACAATATTTAAATACACTATATATCACTTTTTAAAATAATAATAAAACAATATAAAAAAAAATATTGAAAAAGATATAAAAAAAAAGATAAAAAAAAAATTGGAAAAAAATATAAATTTTTTGTAACGGTAAAATTTATTTTTCAAGTGCAGTAACTCAACCAAATAAATATAATAATTTGTAGAGTAACAATAAAACTATTATCGTATTCTTCAGTTTTTATAGACGATTACTTTATGCTATACTTTTTAAAAAGAAAATAGTTTTGTTTTAGAAAATTCAATAATCAAATTGTTTAATTTTTTTGTACGAATGATATTTCGATTGATACCAACAAATTATTAGATATAGATACACATTTATGTATACATAATAATGACTCTTATACTGATGAATCGATTCGGATCAATTTATTTCGATGAAAATTTCAACGAAATATATGTTGCTCATCAAAAAATTCTCCAACACTGAAGATAAAATTAAATGTAATGATTAGTTTTTAAAAAACTGCAAACAAATTGTGATGAAATTAAATTTTAATGTTGTTATAAATAGAAAATTTTTCTAAATTAAACATTAATTAATTAACAAAATATACTATATTATTTATATAAATATTATTTTTATTACTTTATAGCTATTTAATTTTCTATTTTTTTCTCTAAGATAAATAAAAATTTTTTCAAAACAAACAAAACAAAACAATGAATCCATTAATTATGAGAGTAAGACTTATTAACCCAAATAGTATCCAAAATTTACAAAGAGGATGCTTTAGAAGATGGTTATCCTGTCACCGTGGTGGATATGATAGAGGTATGTATTTTAATAATAAATTTAATATTTAAAAAAAATGTATTTAAACTCGGTTGTTAATAATTTAATTTTAATTTTAGCATATAATCATGAATTCCAACGTGATGTAAAAGAATTCAAAGAGAATATGAAACAAATGGCAGAGGAATTCAAAGAGAAACATAGAGACAATATGCATTCACATTCGTTCTGGTGGGCCAATAGATACACCGGAGGTGATCATGGACACCACGGTAAACCACTCGACCATTGGTTCGGTGGTGGAAGATCCGAAGAGTCTTTTTCCAGTTTCTCACCAAAGACAAGAGTCGAAGAGACCGGAAATTCGTTTGAGGTCGAGGTCGAGTTGCCAGGTATCAAAAAGAACGATGTAAAGATTACTTTCTCAAAGGATACTTTGATTATTGCCTCCAAAGAGGATGTCGTCCCAACTACACCAGAAAGCTCCACAGCCAATAGTGAGCAACCAACTACAACAACCAGCAACAACGCAACAAAATCAAAATCAACCAAGAGATTCCAAAAAGAAATTCAATTCTTTGAACCGGTTAGTTTTGAAAAGATTTCTGCAAGAATGGAAGATGGTGTTTTATATGTTACTGTTCCAAAAGAACAAATTGATCATCAAGTCAGCATCCTTTAATTTTTTTTTTTAATAAATAAATTAATTTGTATAATTTTTATTTAATTTAATTTTTATGTCTTAGTACCAAGTGGAAGAGTTTCTTTTTCAAACAAAACAATAGTTCACATAAACAACAAAACATTAAAATCAGTTAGCCATTCGATGTCAATTATTTTATATTGTGAATTATCAAACAACTATTCATATCATGTCAATAATTAGTTTAATTAAAAATATATATATCAATAAACAAAGTTTTATTTTTATTTGGAATATATTTATTTTAAAATAAAGGTTGTGGTTGGTTTCGCTGGAGCAGCTGCTTTCTTTGATCTTGATTGTTTTGGAGGTGGAGGACTGTCATCTTCATCGTCATCATCTTCATCATCATCTGCTTCTTCTTCACTTTCATCATCATCACTTCCATCTATATCCATTTTATCTTGTTTGTTATTCTTTTTGTTGTTCTTTGTTGTCTTTGTCTTTGCTGCTGCCTTTGTATTTCTTGACGATGTTGTTGTCTTTTTGTTTTTAGATGTTGAAGTTGCAGCAGCAGCGGTGGCTGATGAAGGCAGAAGTGGTAATCCTTCATCTTCTGCCTCTTTCTCGAGATTCTCTTTGTTGAATTTCGATTCCAATTCAACAAGAGTCTGTTTCAACTCGTTGCTCTTGTTGATCGTTGCCTTTTTACTCTTAGTGATGATCGCATTATCAAACACAGTTGGCGGAGAAGTTTATCGAGCATTATTCACCCAGGTAGGAAATTTACAGTAGTTAACCATGTCATCAATCTTACAATTAAAGATACTATCTTTTTTCCGTATAGTCAATAATTTTTAACAAGTTGGAATTTTAACATTCAAAACCATTGTTCTAACATAAATATAATCATGACAATATTATTATTTAAATTAAAATATATATATATTTAATGATAAAGATATATCCTATATATTTATTTACAAAAAAGAGTTCGATTTGAATAATGTCAATATAAAAAGAATGAGTTTAAATAAAAAGATTTTCCTTTTTTGGTGCATTAATCAAAAATACTTAAAATTTAAATAGAGTGTGAGTTTAAAATGAATGGGTTAAACGTAAAAGTTTATTTTAGATATTTATTAATTTATCTTTTTTATTGTTCCAGTGGTGGTTGCAGGTGATACGATGGAAACCAAATTTGTTTTTCTCTTATAGCGAATACATTCACCAAGAATGATGATTTTAACCATGATCTTCAGGCAAATGAGGCATAGGAAGATCAATATCACCACCAGCACACCAAATAAACCAGAGGACGGTATGAATTTATAAAAGATTCGTACCACCACTGTTGCTAGAGGGAACGGTATAAATCCAATGACACTGGTGATACTCCAGGAACTCTCAGAGAAACTCTTGTTTCTTGTATCCAATATGGTGTCTATGAGGTGTGTTCTAAACTTTCCGTAGATGGTCGGTGATATCTTATTGAACTTTGTAATGAATGCATGCTTGATAGCATCGACTATCACCTCTGATCCCCATACCGATACAATAACACCAATCATATTCAAAATGAAATCGCCACTCAAATCCCAATTTAAATCACTTAGATTCTGAAAGAATATAATTGCCAGGTATATAAATATTTGAAATCTTTCAACGATATCTAAAAAGAAATAGCAAATGGTTTTTAATATGGATGTGAATTGGGATATGATGTATTAAACAAAACTTACCACTACATGATATTTGAAATAGATTCTCTTTTTCGAAACGTTTGAATACCGAACCTTTTAGTTCAACGAAATTGTTGGACATGATAAGTGTGAGCAATGAATTGTTGTAAGAGTTGATGGCAACATTCAATGTGATCACCTGTGTAAATAGAATGAGTGAATGGAGACAGACATAGATCGTACAGACAATGATATGTTGGAATGGTGCAAGTATCTGGCCTGATCCCATCTGTTGAAATTTTGAACTGAATGGTGGTGGTGGTACTGTTGCTGTAGTTGATGTTGATTTACTCGGTGTACTACTACTACTGCTGCTGCTGCTACTAGATGTTGATTTGGCGGTAGATGATGATGAACTACTACCGGTTGTTGTAGAGTTGGTTTGCGATCCTCTCAAACTAACGGACATCCAATAGAGTGAATCAAAGATATCCTGTCCGAAAGAACAACACAACTTATCGAGAACCTCCAGCACATTATAGATAATATAGAGCTTGATCACAGCTTGACCTCTGATATGATGATAGACCATCGAAGAATCTACCAAATTTAGAAATGCAAATGAAATGATCCATATAAATGTTCTAAATATATCATAGACTTGTGTATTTGTTAATCTGTATCTATAATAATAGTTTGATAAATAGAAATATTTAGTTTTGTTTTGAATTGATTTGTATCCATGTCTTTTGTTTTACTTACTTTTTTGAAAATGGTAATGCTAATAGTTTTAAGAATGTAAAAACAATACGTATTGGTAGGAATGTAAAAAGATAAAGAAAGTTTTCTAAACAAATGAGAAATCCAAACGATAGAAGTTTCTCCAGCTCCCATGGTACATGTACAAAGTTGTATACCTGTTCACGCTTCATCGTGTCATCGACATTGATTGGCATATAATCACCATGTATTTCATCGGTGATATAAGCAGAGAATGACCATCTATCCTTTCTAACTTTTGACATTGCCATCGCTATTGAATTAGATTCAACTGTACTACTATTACTATTATCTATATTACTACTACTACTTGGTGTATCAATGTCAGTTGTCGATGTACTATTAGCAGATGTTGTTGTTGTTGTTGTTGTTGGTAATACAAAAGGAATTGGAGATGCATTTCTATCTTTATTCAAACGAGAAGGTGTTTGTCTTCCATTGCCAGAAAAACTGTTATTCCGACTCCTTATCGGAGTTGTCTCTATTATCTCTACATTACTATTCCCACTCAATAAACTACTACTACTTTGGCTACTACTGGTCTTAATTGGTGTACTAATACCACTATTATTTACACCATTGATACTATTATTACACTTATTACCATTACTATTACTATTATTGCTACTACTATTACTAATACTACTACTTCCATTACTATTACTATTACTATTACTATTAATACTACTAGCGTTGCTTCCATTAGTATTACTACTATTATTATTTAATTGTTGTATTTTAAATATTGAAGATAATTCATTTTCATCTATACTGCTATCTATAATTGATTTAAACTTTGGTGAACATATCAATGGTGATATCAGTGGATGTTTGGTGTTGGTTGTATGGTCATACTCGAATGGCGATAGACAATCGGATGTTGCACCTGTTTGGTTTGGTACTACTTGATTTTCATGTGAATGACCATTTTCATCGGTGTCACTAATGACTGACGGTGTGTTGGGTGATGATGATAGCGATGTAACCAAATCATCGTCATCATCATCTTCTTCTTCATCATCATCTTCATTATCATCTATGTCATTATTATTACTATTTCTTTGGTTATCTTTATTTCTTTTGGTTCTCTTTGATTTACTCAAGTTTGACTTTACATCTTTTATCAGTTGTGTCATCGATGATGAAAGTGGTATCGGTATAGTAAGTAGACTCTTGTGTGGTGTTGTATTGGTAAAGACAACCTCTGCCAGTGGTGAAGGTGATCTTGTTTTCAATGTCTGTAATACATCATCTTTTGATTGTTTACTATTTTCTTTTGATTTACTACTATTATTATTATTATTATTACTACTATTATTACTGTTATTATTATTATTATTATTATTATTATTATTGTATGTAGTCATTCCATCAACAACACAATTGTCAATATCTTCCATTGATTTTTATAAAAATGGACTGACTGATTTGACTACTGTAATATAATATATATTTTTAGGTAATGTTTTTTTTTATTTTATCTTATTTTTTTAAAAAACATTAATAATAATTAAAGTGTGTGTGTTCTTGCTTAAAAATAATTAAAAACAAATAATATCACTTTTTGAATATGCAAATTTGGCTTTTTCTGAACACGTGTCACATGTTTTTTATTTTTAAATTAATTATTAATTTTCCCGACAAAACAAACTTTATATTAAAGATGCTCTCTAATTTTGTCGAATGAATCAATTAATTGTTTCAATATTTCTTTTTCACCTTTTCTGATTCTTATGATATTCAACATGTTATAGGATAATGTTATCTTTTTTTCTTTGTTTTTCTCTAATAATTCCAAGTCATCCTATTTTTTTTATATTTTAATAATTAATATTAGTAGTACTTCTTTTTATTAAACTTTTTATTAACTTACAGATAATGTTGTTTCATAAGAGTCGAGATATCTTGAGAGATAATTACTAAGGTATCGAAGTGCTGTCTTTTCGTTTCTTCGACTGACTGGTTTGTTTCGGTTGTCATCGTTACGATAGTGTTCTTTAGCCAATTGTAGTTCATTCTCCTTTAAATTCTTTACTCTTGCGTAAATGAGAAGCTCCTGAGGTAGTTGATTTCGTTTGAGATTGAATTCACGTACAATATCCAATTGTTCCAATAGATCGATTTTCGTATCTATATAAAGCTCGTCATCGCTAAAGTTATCGAGAGTCAGTTGAATGGTGTCACCTTCGGATGGATCGTCAAATGCAAATCCATAATCCATCAACATCTGAGCGTTGCCAATCGTTTTGTACACGCCATACGGTGTGAATACCTGCTCACCTCTTTCAATATCCTTCGACGCATAGTATATCAATTGATCTGCTCTTGAATCCGGTCTTACCTTTGACTTTGCCTTTTCGATTGCATTGAACATATCTGCCAATGGCACCATACCACCGTCGTCACTACTCAAACTGAATGCACGTGACCAAATACAACTCAATGCCCATTTAAACAATTCAAAAGTATACTCTTTCTTTTTGAACTCATCATTTAATGACTATTATAATTCAAATAGTTAACTATATATATTAGTTTGTTTGTTTATAATGTAACTACTATGTTTTTGGTTTGTTTATAAACTAACTATACTATACTTACAGATAGTTTCTTAAAAATAACATTATAATGTCTTTCAATACCAGATAATCTTGATTCGGTGAAATATCTTAGTTTCGAAAGTTGTAGTTCCTTCATTTCATCTTGATCAAAGTAAATGGAGGTTGTAAACTGCTTTGGTAGAATCGATGTGTATTGATGCCAATAGGAGTCTTTATTGAGTAATGAATACATCAAGTAGACTGCTTGACCATCGGTACTACCAATGTCATCTCTATTGGAATCAATGATCGATCTTATCTCTTTTGGGATATGTAATTCAATACCTGTACGTGACATCATTACATTTCTTGGTACTCTTATCAATACATCACCTTCCTATCAATTGTTTATCAAAAACAAACGATTATTAATAATTTAATTTAAAATAAAAACAGTTGTATTAATTTTTATTTACTTTAATTAAAGTATTTGCTATAATAGATCTACCATAATCTTCAAGCTTTACAATATCGAGTGATGGATTCAAATAGATACCTTCATCGTCCATCCATTGTTTGAAAGTAACAAGATCATCTATAACATTGGTTGAATCTATCAATGATGATAAACATACAACCAAAACTACTAGTAATACATTTTTATACAAATACATAATATAAATAGAAAAAAAACTTTAAAAAAAAAAACTAAAAAACTATGAAATTCTTCTAGATATTTTTATTTATTTATTAATAAGCAGGTAACAATGATCAACTTTAATTTCAATCGATTTATGATATTCCAATTATTGATTAAGCGAATCCTTTTAATTTTTAACAAACAATAGATAAAAAGTAACAACAAGTATCATTCTCTATTGAAATAAAATTCATAATTATTGGTAAATATAAAAAGAGTAATTTAAAATTTAATTATATTACAAATACCATTCATATTTATCATTGCATTGCCTTTATAAAACAAAATTCATGAAATCCGAAGATTATTATTATTTGTTGTAATAATTGATTGTTTAATTTATATAACATTGAGTAATTGATTAACTTAATTAATTCTCAAGTGAGGCATCGAGTGAGATTTGACATTTGAGTACCTTTGATACTGGACAACCTTCTTTGGCTTGTTTGGCTTTCTCCAAGAAGAGGTCTTTGGAAGCACCTGGTACGTTGGCAACACACTTCAAGTTGATTTGCTTGATAGTCCAACCAGCATCTTCCTTGATCATCTCCAATGTAGCGGTGGTATTGATTGATTTTGGTACCAAATTAACAGTTCCCAATTGAGCGGACAACGCCATTGAATAGCAACCGGCATGTGCAGCAGCAATCAATTCCTCTGGGTTTGTATTATTTTCAACAACACCTAAACAGTAATAATATAATATTTATTATTAGCTTTGTAGTCACCTTGTAATAATAATAATAATAGTAATTTGAATCATATTAACTTACCTTCACCGAATCTAGATGGAACACCATATGCCAAATTATTGATAACCTTTGATTGTGTTGAAACAACACCTCCACCTTCCTTCAAACTTCCCTTCCACAAAGCAGTAGCAAATCTTCTGATCATTTTTAAACTTGATTGATAAACTAATTAATTAATTAATGAATAAAGAATGAAAAAAAAAACAAACTGATTTGATTGAACTTACACTAAAAGAAAATATTTTGCAAAATAAAAAAAAATAAAAAAAACCAAATTAAATTAAATCACTGCTCGCTATCTTTTAAGTTCAAGATCTTCTCTTTGTTTCATTCACTTTCTCAATCTTTATTATAATATCGTTTAAATTCTGTGATTCTATTTTAGCTCTATATTTTGTAGGAATATCCGCATCTATTAATACATAGACATTATCACCATTACAACTTCCTTTATGTATTGCTTTTATTCTTTTTGTTGTCATTATAATTATAAACTATACTATAATATTAATAGAAAATATTAAACATGTTATAAATAACAATATATATATTTGAATTGTATGTGTGTGTATATGTGTGTTTTTCAATGTTTCTTTGAGAAAATGAAAATAATCAAAACAACAACAGTTATTTAAATTACATAAATATTTATTTTTATTTTTTTCTTTTTTTTTAAAAAAGTATTATAAAACTCTGAAACCAGCTTGAGCATTGTCACAATTTAAAGCCAACACTTGTTTTGATTCATCGTCGCTTGCAAACAATACCATACCCTCAGAGACACCGAATTTGGTTTTCTTTGGTGCCAAGTTTGCAACCATAATAACATTCTTTCCTTGTAGTTGTTCTGGTTGATAGTGTTGTTTAATACCACTGAATACTGTTCTAATATCACGTTCAACGATTTCTTCTGTTTGTGTAGTAGTAGTAGCAGCAGGAGTAGTCGATTCATTTGTTGTTGATGATGTTGCGTTTTCAGTTGATTGTTCACCTGTTTGTTGAGCGGTGACCACTGGTTTCTTCTTTGGTCCAATATCCAATGTCAATTTGATCAACTTTTTAGCACCTTCAACATGTTCGGCTTGCACTACTTTGGCAACTCTGAGATCCAATTTGAAAAAGTCGTCCAAAGTAATTTCACCTGCAGCAACTGGTGGAAGAGTAGATTTTCCTCCGCAGCAACTGGCGAATCTCACTGGCATCAAAGCACCATTATAACAACTTGCTTTGTTCAATGTTGTTGTAGATCTACTGATTAAACTAATTGTATTCTTTAACATATTGCTACTATTCATTTTATATATAAGAGATAATTAACTAACAGGTATATAAGTAAAGATTGTAGTTATTGTAAATTTAAAAATTTAAATTTGAATTTGAATTTTGTAATGTTTCGTGCACAAGATTCAACGGGATTCTTAGGCTGATTCCGTTTTTTACCTGAAAAACAAATCAAAAAATCAAAAAAATTGTTTATGAAAAATCAGATGTACGTCATTATTAATTGATTGAATGGAATTGCATTCCAAAAAAGTTATTCCTGTTTGTTTTTTGTTCTAAATATATATTAATTTATTTTAGAAGGTCATCAATTTTAGCCAGGAAATCTTTTTGTCTCTCTTCTTCATTCAACTCTGTGACTAATTCTAAACTCATTGAAGTTAGCTCGATGCTTAGGTGTTCGGACTTTGCACTGTGGTAGTAGATGGATCTTAGTATACCAATGATACACGAAGCAACCAGTATACAAAACACCGCCATTCCAATAAACAAGTAAACTGTACCGGTCATGAATAGCGGTCCGCCATCCAACACTATAAGCTGAGTAAATGTATCACCTTCAACTGGTGCTTTCTCTCCAAATACATATTCAGCTGTACATGAATCTATTGAATAATATACGTTTGCGAATCCTCTAAATATAACTTTATTAATATTGTTGCTTTTGTTTGATGTTGTTCTTATAAATAGTTACTTACAAAGGTGTTACTGACACTGTTAATATAATACCAGTGATCAAATCAGTATCATTGGTTTTTGGAAACAAACATTGACATTCATCTCTTGTTTTCCAATCTAATCGTAAACTAGTTTTATAGATAGATCAATTTAATAATTAGTATTTTCATTCCATTAATATATTATAATAAACATCATTGATCTATTATTACATACTGTAAATCGTTTAAAAAAAATCGTGATAATAAAAATGGATTTGTAATGTTACAATCGAATAAATATTTATGTACATTTCCAGGACTAAAACTCAAGTCCAGTAGGTGATGGCTTGGTCTGTTGTTGGTACACAACATATGAGATCCAAGAATTGGTGAATTGAAATCAAATAGTAACTCTGGAAACGCCAGATATCTAATTACACTTGAATCGTCGGGTGACACCATTTGAAGTCCAGGCAGATATTGGTGAATGAACCAATCGCTACCCTCTACGAAATAATTACTACTACTAGATACCACTACCAAACCCATCACCAAAAGTATTATATTGTATTGAAACTTTTTCATAATTAAATTATATTTTAACTATCCAATATAATAATGGTTGTTTTAGAAATAACATCTATTCTTTTTGAACAAAAACAAAAATTATAACTATAAATAAATAATATCTAAAAATATAAACTATATGTATTGAAATTTAAACAAATAAATTTACAATGAAATTATTATTTTTACTAAAAATATTGATCAAAAAAAAAGAAATATATTATTGATATGTGTAAAAAAACTATTATTATCTATAATATTATTATTACTAATACTATTATTTATTTATTTATTTAATAATTTATTAAATTGGTTGTGGATTGTATTGTATTATTTTGGATTGGATTGATTGATTGATTGATTGATAGTTTCAACTATTAAGTTAAACTTTTAATATTGGTATTATACAATAAATTAAATATTATTTTTTGGATGTTAATATTTTATTAAAAATATTATTTTTTTGATAATCAATTTTGGTTAACTATTAGAATATATATATGGTGTGGTGGTGTTGTTTGTTGTAAACAAAAATAATAATCAAATTCACCATTCTTTATTTATAAATACTTTGTTGTTTTGTTTGTTTGTTTGTTTTTTTTTTAAACAAACACATGAATGTACTATCCGTATGAATACCTACCACCCATCAGTAACAAAACAAGTTCTATATGATTCCCACAACAAAAAATAAATATATATAATTTTTTTAATCATTTATACAACACACACACACACACACACAACACACATACTGGTAACCATAAAAACCACTTTTATGATCAATCGTGTGTGATATGGTTGTATTGAAAACTATGACCGATATCGTTAAGTTTACTGATAAATATTAAAGAACTAAACCTTTAAGTTTGAAGTGAAATAATCATAATTATCTGTTCGTCTGAAATTGAAATAGGTTAATAAAAAAAAAAAAAAAAAGTTTTTTTGATTTTTTTGTTTTCTTAATTCAAAAACACAAATGCAAAAAATGGTCGATTCTGAATTCATATCAAATCGTCTTTTCAAATAACTTGTTTTTAAGTTTACATTATATATATTGGGAGTAGTAGATTATAATGGATGATCAGACAAAACAAAATGCATTAGCAGGAGGATGCCCTGTTGCACACGATATCAACCCAACCAATAACATGTATAGACCGAATCAAAAACCACATCCCGATCAAAAACTACCGTTGGAAACCGATCGTGTAACATCTTCGATTCCAAGGTAACCTACCCCAATCAATATGCTATGCTGCTACTGAATGTTGATCTACTACTGATCGATCATTAGATAACGTGCTAACATACAGATTGTCTTTTGCTTTTATTGACACTTTTAGAACAGAGAAAGAAAATTGGCAATATCCTTCACAACAAATGTTTTTCAATGCAATGAAGAGAAAGAACTACGAACCAAACGAAGAAGATATGAAAGTCGTCATCGCTATACATAATACAGTAAATGAAAAGTGTTGGGAACATGTAATGGAATGGGAAAATGAATTTAAAGAGTATGTAACAAACTAATGACCATCTTAAGATCTCAGAGAATGAAATCAATCAGTTTATTAATATTGTTTGTCGAACAACAACAACAACAACAACAACAACGACGACAACAAACGATAAAAAGTGAATGTTGTGATGTAAAATTAGTTAAATTTAGAGGAAGAGCAAAGGATTTCAGTCCAAAAGCAAGATTCTTAAATTTTATAGGTTATAAGCTGCCATTCGATCGTCATGATTGGACTGTCGATAGATGTGGAAAGCAAGTTAGATATGTTATCGATTTTTATGAAGGAAAGGTTGATCCAGAGACCAACAAACCAATTGGAATCTATTTAGATGTGAGACCTGCAATCGATGATCTCAGCACTTTAAAATCAAGATTTAATAATTTATTCAAATAAAAACAACAATCTACTCTTCTACTATTTTAATATAAACATATATATATTTATAGTTAGTTATTTTTTTAATTAATAAATAATTTTTATTTCTATTTTCTTCTTTTTCTTTTTTTAATTATTATTATTTTTTAAGATAAATTAAATAATTTCATTAACATATGAATTGTCATATTGACATGTAGTGTAATACCTTCTAATGGATACTCTTCAATGTGATTCTTACTGTACTCCAAGAGTTGATCCAACTCGAGAGTGACCGTCTTGGAAATGAGTCCGAATTTCGCTTCGATCTCAAAGATACCACCTCCCAGTTGCTTAATGTAGACGTTGGTCTTGCTGTGAGATGATTCCGGTAGGTCGCAGTGCAGAACCATACCCTTCTTGACGAGATCCGAGAGGATTTGTTTGATTGGCTTCTCCTTGGAGTCGGTGTTGGACTGTTGCTTACGAAGCTCCTTCTTTGCAATGGCTTTGGAGAGTTGTTCGTTTTGGAATTTAACGAGATTCTCGAGTGGCGTTGTTTCGATTCTGACCTTCTTGAGGAGGTTGTAGAGACGATCGAGTTCCGATCTCATCAATTTATTCTTTCTCAAGACCGATTGCAATTCCTTTTCTACCTCCAACAAGAAGATATCGTAGACCTCGGGTTCACTGCTGACCAACTCCTGACGGAACGACTTTAGTCGTTCGATCAACTGGTCACACTTGGCAATCAGTGTCATATTCTCAGCGGTGTTATTACCGGTTTTACAGAATTGAATGGCGTCGAGTAGGATCCTAATCGAGTTGACATCCTTCTTGGGTGGAGGTGTCTTTGAGAGGATTTCAATCATCCAGATCTTTGCTTCCTTGAACAAGTCGGGTGGCATCACTGTTTCATTTTCATGGTTATTGATAAAGGTAAGTTGAATGGAACGGTCACCTTGTTCTGGCAAGAGAATCGGTGATTCCAGTTGATCCAACAACGATTGCAACCACCATGCATCGGTACGACCACTGACATGTTGTTTGGGTGAACCGATTTGATATCTACGCTTCTCGGACATCGAGTAGTTCTTCTTGGCGATTTCATTCAGTGTCTTTGGATCGTAAGAGAGAGTACCAACATCAACCAAATCATAGTAAAAGTCGAGAATGGTTTCGTGTAACCAAATCACTTCTGAGACATTAACGACAGTACAGAAACTAATGTTGTTCTCAGCCATAACTTGGTTGTACTCTGTGTAGTGAATGAGTTCATCAAGATCTGGAACGTTGGTAACTGACTCTAAGAATTTGTTGGCCACATCCTTTTGTGACTCAATCCAAGCTGCAATCTTGGGAGTTGCATATGGATGCAACCAAGCTCTGTTGGAGAATGCCGATTGCAACAATCTGGAAACAAGCGAAAGATTCATACGTGCCTGTTGTGCAATCAATGGATGTGAGAGAAGTACCAATTCATTCAATAGATCTGGTGATGCAATAATCGATGTAATGAATCTGTAGATCAAAAAGTAGTAGGTTACCTGATGATCGTGTTCACCGGACTTCTTTGCAAAACTACAAACCGCCTTCTCGGAGATCTCACGACAGAGGAAACGAAGTTGCACTGGAATTTGATCGAGCGATTTGACAATGCGATCGAGGAAGTCAGCTCCAAACTCCAAGAGTTGCGAGATACGCGATTGATGTAGTGAAGCGACTTGGGGATCTCCAAGACATTGATCGAATGTCTTGGCTGAACGATCGGACTTCTTTCCCTCCTTCAACTCCTTGTCACGTTGAAGTTGCTTGTGGATCCAGACTGGATCAAAGTTGAGATCTAAATCTGGTTGATTCAAAATTCTAAGAATGCCTGGTGTGATTACTTCTTGAAGATACTTCAATCCCTTCTTTCTAAAGTAGTCAAAGAGCAAGTTCAATGGAACTGATTCCGATGCCATGAACTCTGTCAAGCTGCCGGACGAAGAGATTTGATATTCCAAGGCGAATGACAATGATTTCAAGAAGAGATCTTCTTCTCTTGGCGATACTTCATAGGGGTAGAGTGAGAGCAACAAACTCTGACTGGTCTTGGAGATCTGGCTGCTACTGAGAAGATACAAAATCTTACCCATGACATGTGGTTGGTTTTGGATGTAGTAGAACAAACTCTGGTAGTTACGCATCTTGATTGGATTCAAACCGTTGGCAACACCCTTGACTGGCTTGATCTTCTTTTTCAACTTCTTGAGTTTCTTTCCTTCTTTCTTGTTCTCCAAGACACGATCGATCGATTTGGTCAGTCTTCTTAGCTCGGTTTGAAGATTACGAGTGTTACGGATCTCACCAACGAGATTTCTCTTGAGCTCGGTGATATCTCCAACAAGCTTACCCATATTCTCAAAGGTCGATGGTGATTCAGCAAGAGTCTTTTGAATTCTGGTGGCAATACGATATTCCTTGAGATTCTCAAGACGTTCTTGTTCGTTTGCCTCGCGATCACTTTTCTCACGCTCCATACGCTCACGTTCAGCAATCTCTTTTTCCATACGCTCGCGTTCTTCACGCTCTCTCTCCATACGCTCGCGCTCCGCCAACTCACGCTCCATGCGCTCCTTCTCAAGACGTTCACGCTCTACCTTTTCACGCTCGGCTCTCTCCATATCTTCACGCTCTCTCTCCAAACGCTCACGTTCAACACGCTCACGCTCAATTGCCTCACGTTCCAATCTTTCTTTCTCCAAACGCTCACGCTCTGCTCTCTCTTGCTCCTTACGTTCACGCTCCGCACGATCACGCTCTACACGTTCACGCTCCAAACGTTCACGGTCAGCTCTCTCCAACTCCAATGTCTGACGCATGTCAGCAATGGCAGCTTCAGAGTTGAAAAGTGAAGCAACAAGTGCAAGATTCAACTTTGGATGTCCAAGAGCAATGTCCGATGGAGTCAAGAAACATTTAACACCCAGCTTGTCACATGCATTCGTAATGAATTCAGCTCTAACAAAGAGATTCGATTCGTTTTGAGCACGTTCAACCAATGTTGAAAATTCAATTGGTACCAACTGAGCAAACAAGTTGGCATAGATAATTGAATCTTGAACATCCTCACTGAAATTGGTAATTCTACGTTCACATCCAGCCTTTTCCAAGTGATAGTTGACCCAACGCAAGAGAATCTGCTCGGCAGAGTGTTCCTCCTTCTCTTTGGTCTTGTGATCTTCACCTTCTTTGATTTGTTGATCTTCCTCTTGCTCCTCAAAGAGGATGTCAAGGATTTCATCGTTGGCATTCTGATTTACCATTGCCAAGAGACCGGCTTTGATAATTTGCCAAATGATACCCAACACCAAGTATGGAGTGGCATTGACAAGATCTTGTGCACCAATATTCACAATGATACAACCAACTTTTGTTGCATTCTTGATAACTATATTTTGATTACCGATCTGTTCGAATGGATTCATCTTTAACTTGATAACCAATCCTTTTAGATCAACTTGATTTGGGAATAATGATTCCATCAATTTACTGAATAAATTCATTGAATAATAATTAGATTATTAATAAATATATATTGTTGTTTTGTTTTCAAAAACTTACTTTAATAATACACCATCATTACAAGCTGTAAATAACATATTTGATGATGGATCAATTGGAATATATGCTGAAAGAGTGGTTTGTTGATCACCAAGTCTTTCAGAGATGAATTTAGAGTAGGCTACTTTCTCTTCCTCCGAGAATGTGTGAACACTACCCTCTTCAGCGTTAGCATTGATCAATGCAACATCTTTCTTTGCAACCTTGGGTACTTCAATTGCATCCATATCTTCTTCGTCTTCTTGGTCTACTTCTTCTCGGTATCCGTCTTCTTCGTCGTCTTCTTCTAATTCGCCGTAGTACTCTTCTGCACCGTCAATATCTGTGTAGTGATCGTAAAAATTGTTGTATTCGTAATATTGTAATTCCTCAAGTAACTCTTGTTCTTCTTTAGTTAGGAATTGTTGTGGAAGAACAAATTGTGTTGAATTTCTATTTGATTTGTTTGTGGTTGCTGTTGTTGATGCTGTTGCTGTTGTTTGTTGTTGATATGATAGTTGATGTTGTTGTAGATTCTTTGTTGTCAATGGTGATGATGATGAAGATGAAGTTGTTGTTGTTGATGTATCTTGACAATATTGTTCAATAAATAATTGTTTTGTCAATTGAAATTGTTTGGAATATCTTTTTGAACAATTGTTATTGTTACTATCTACACTGTTGATACTGGTGTTACTCCTGATACTATCGTTATTATAATATCCGTTTGTCAGAGATGTCTTCTTTGAAATACTCTGATTGTTGTTGTTGTTGGTATTGTAATTACTGTTGATAATATTATGATTATTATTAATACTCTGATTGTTGTTGGTTGGAGTTGGAGTTGAATAATTACTGAGTGCACCACCAAAACTATTGGATGATCTGATACTATTATAGCCTAGTGATTGATTGTTGTTGCCGCTATTAAACTGGTTGGGACTATAAGATTTACTTTTTTGGACCAATGAATTTCCACTACTGAAACCAATACTATTGTTATTGTCATGATTATGTTGATTAGATTTTTTAATTTGTTCATTTGATTGTTGTTGTTGTTGTTGTTTTTCATTGGAATAAGAAGAATTAGTAAATGGTGATTTATACATCATTTTTTTTTACAGTTTTTTTTAGATATTATTATTATATTTTTAGATAAATAAATAAAAGATTGTTGTTTTAAACTATTAAATAAATTAAAAGTGAATATGTATGTATACACGAGTGAATTGGAAATTGATACAAATAATATATTTTATATTTATATTTAATACAAATGTTTGTTTGTTTGTTTGTTGTTTTAATTTATTTAAATGAAAAAATGCTTTTGGGATGTCAAATACTGCAGTTGTAATATTTTGTATATTATTGTTTATATATAATGTTTTAATAATAATGATGATGATGTGGATATTGAGGTTGGGTATCCACAATTGATGTACATATAGAGATAGAAGATGCGTACTCTTCAATCAGTATTATCATTATCATCATCATCATTCATCTTATAATGGGGACATGTGGTTGGTTGAATTATGAGTAAATTGAGAATATTGGATTAAAAAAGATAAAAGTTTACTAATATTGCTCTTTCCGATTAGATTGGACTCTGAAATAATTTAATTTAATTGATCACATGTGTGTTGGTCAATCCGTAATGCACTTCCAAATTTGACAACATCATAATATTTTCCACCAATAAAAAAATAAAAAAAAACAACAACAACAACTAATAATAATAATAATTATGATAACATGTATTCACTTATATGATCTCTAAAATTAACTATTATTGGCACTTCACTTACGTTGTTGTGTTGTTACTAATGCCACTACTACTACTACTACTACTACTAATGATGTGTATAATAGGTTGTATCTATCTATGTGTATGCTGTTGTTGAAAATATCAAAAAATGTACACCATCATGTAAATTGGTAAATATCTATTAAATTATATCTTTACTAATAAAAGTAATATTTGCTGCAGGTGATGTTTTATAGAATAGTATATAAGATAAAATGATATAAATTAAAAAAACAATATAATTATTGTTTGATTTTTTTTTTAATAGTTTTTTTTAATTCTTGCTTGTTGTTGGAGAAAAAAACAACCAACACCCACATCTATCCAAAAAAACAGACAGATATTTAAATAAGGTGCGTATAATTATAGGGTTGTTTAAACCATTCATCTTTTAAAATTTAAAATGACAAACAATTGTAAATATCCACACACCTATCATTTGAATTAAAGTGTGTGAAAAAAAAAAAAAAAAACTATCTATAAATCACAATTAAATAAACCACAATAAAAACAATATGATATATTATAAAGATATAATAAGGAGTTTAGCTTTAATATTCTATTTATACAATTTATAATGTATTATTCACGCTAAATATCGATATAGTAGATTATGTGCGTTGTTTTTTTAATACTTTATTTAAATGGTAAATAAACTTACATATTACAACTATTATGAATATTATTAGAGAATCGATGGTAAATATGTTATATATTTGTAATAAATATTAATAAAAAGGTAAGGTATTGATTAAAATAAAAATCAATCAAAAACAATCGATACACTCAACAAATTTAAAAATATCTTTTTTTCAAAGTTTGTGATAATTTTGTACATCAAATTATTTTGTATGAAAAGGTGCACCTTTGAGCAAAAAATGTGTGTTTTTTTTCCCTGCAAATCTAAATCTAAAAAAGTTTTTTTTTTTTTTTCAAATCAAAAAAATCGCTTATTTTTATTTTTAATTTATTTTTTCATTGGACATTCAAAAAAAAAAAAAAGAAACAATCAAAAGATATATCTGAAAAATAAAATTAAAAGGAATTTATTATATTTAATTAATGTAAGATTTCGCCAAGGCAACAATGGAAATGAAGTATTCAAATATGATACAATTTGCAAAAAATCAAGAAAAAATATGAAAGAACTTGTTCACCTACATTCTTCTTTTTAACATTTATTAAGGAATAATTACCTGAGTGGGGTCATAACCCTCAATCTAATTCTTTTTTAAATTGAAAGAATCTCTTTCACAATTTTAAATCTTTAGCCATTATATAATATTACTCCTTTCTCAATATTTCGAATTAAATTAATGTAATGAATATTCTTATATTGAAAATAACATAAAAATAATGATTCAAAATCAAGGTTTTGGACCTATATATTTTTGTTCATTTTTATTTTTCTTTGCCCATTTGTTTATTATGTATTTTATTAAATGATAAAAAGGCCCATTAAAGTTGTACATAGGTATTAAAACAAGTTATTTATTTTTTGAATGGTGGTCTCTGACCTGTGAATGGTTGTGGAGGTTGATATTGATTATTTGCAGCTGGCTGTGGTGGTTGATATGGTACTGGTGGTTTATATTGTGCTGGTGGTGATGGTCTTGCTGGTGGCTGATATTGATTTACTGCATGTGAAGGTGGTGAAGTTGGTGCACCATATTGAGAGGGAGTCGGGTACATCTGTTGATGGTGCGAACTATCAATATCTATATCGTGAATCGAGGATGGAACATTCTTGAGAGAGAGTGGTCTTGGTGGTGGTGGTGGTTGTTGGTACTGTTGTTGTGGTGGTTGGTATTGTTGTTGTGGTGGTTGATATTGTTGCTGTGGTGGTTGGTATTGTTGTTGTGGAGGTTGGTATTGTTGTTGTGGAGGTTGATATTGTTGCTGTGGTGGTTGATACTGTTGTTGTGGAGGTGATGGTTGTGGTTGGTATGGTTGCGGTGAATTGTATGAAGATGGACCTGTTGGTGCGGATGGAGGTGGTGGTGGAGATGGACGATGTGCATTGTTGTTGTATAAATTGTTGTTTAATCTGGCTGGACGCTGTGGTTGTCCTCCGCCACCACCGCCATTCTGTGGACTGACAGCTCCACTCTTTATGGAACCTTCTGGTCCGGCTTGAATGTCCTCGGTGTTTGGTGGACCGTCCGGTAGTAGTACGGTGATTGGATTGATGGCGGGTGGTGGACGTGCAAGCTGTCCGTCGCAACTCGCGAATGCTTGATACAAACTCTGGAAGAGTGCAGTCTGTGAGTGTTGAATACGCATCAGTGAATCGTCAAACAGCGTGATCTTCTCCTCAAAGAATCGATGAATATCCAGCAGAGTATTGTAGTTCTTGGTGAGATATGCTTGTTTCTTTGCACGGTTTGTCTGTTCCTCGGCATTGAGCTTATTGAAATCAGCGGATGTCTTCTCGCGAAGCTGTTTGATACGCTGGTCGGATTGCTCCACCGACAACAACAGGTTGTCACGTGCAGTGATAGAGTCGCGAATACTCTTGATCATATTCATGCATCGATTGACACTCTCATTGTATTGCTTGTTGCTATCGATCCAATCGTTGTAGACATTCTCAATTTGTGCACCAATCTGATGACTGTACTGATGCAATGGATGATCATCAGGCAAATGTTTAGTTAACTTTTTATTTAAACTCTCTGGATCCAAAAATAACTCTAAATTAAGCAATTAAGTAATTGATTTTGAATATTAGAAAGAATGTTAAACATATATAATGTTTGAGTCAATAAAATAGTTACTGGCTAAATTTTTATCACGTTTCTTCAATGCTTCGAAAATCGAGTTTACATGATCCGATTCATGTTTGAATTCCTTTCTAGCTTGTTCGAACGATTGATCAGTGTCTCTATTCGGACCACCACCAAGAGCTCTCCTCATCTAAAGTAATATTATTAATATATAGTTAAATAAAACTAAAGTCATGTTATTTTAAAAATTAGCTAGCTTACTTTATTTGTAAAATTTGCAAAAGACATTTTTTGTACAACTAAACTACAAATAGTAAATTAAATAATATTTAAAGTAATTTTCTCTCTTTACAACAAATTGGTATTATTAAAAATTATGAATCATAAAAAAAAAAATGAAAATTCAATTGCCTAAACAAGGTTACATAGAGGTCATTTCAAACAAAAAAAAAACCAAAATATAAAAAAATGTAAAATTATTTTAATTGCAATTTATTCCGTTGAAATTGGGAACACACAAAAATGTAATATAACACTTTAATGTACTTTAACAGTCACTTCGAATATATTATAATCTTTAAATAAATTTTTTAACAATCCAAATATTTTTGAATTCTATCCCTTTTTTTTTCTTATTTATAATAAAAACAACCAAGATTTAATTAACAATCAACTATTTTAAAATTACAAAAGTATAAATATTTATTTTGATTTTTAGAAATAAATTAATAAAGAGATTATTTGATTGGTTTAACAGTCCATTGATCATTTTTCTTAACACCTTCGAAATTACCACTTCCAGATGCATAGAAGAGTGGGCTTTGCATTATATGTGCACTCTCATGAATGAATGTTGATACACCAGTTTCGATGTTACAAATTTCATCCATGTGGAATACAATGAGTTCACCGCAATCATTACCAAAGTACTTGGTTACTAGTGAATCCTTGAGATGTAGATTCCATGTGACATCGACTGGCATCCATCCGATGTTGTCAATCCACACCTCTGACTTACAGTGCGTTTCGATTCCCTCTGGTGTCGAAAAGTTACCACCACGTCCAATGACCGATCTCGCTGGAATGCCAGAACGTCTCAATATTGCGTTGTACAACATTGTCAGACATCCGCAATCACCCTTACCAATCTGAGTGGTAGTGACAATTGGTTTCCATCCGATTTCCTCATAGTTATACTTGAAGTTCTCATTGATGAAAAGGTTAACACGATAGGCAAAACATAGCGGTGTTTCTGCTGGTTCGTTTGAGGCGCCATTCGATTGAGGTGCTTGGATGAATAGATTATTCTTATTGATGAAATCATTAAAGATTGGATCGTCTAGAGTGTAAGACTTGGAAGGTCTAGTGTAAAAGTTGAATTCCTCAGGTGAGAGAGGTTCGACGCTGCTATCCCATTGGTCAGTCTCGACCATGTCGATACGATAGAGATCCGCTTCGATAATGAAACGACCACGAAGTCGACCGGTATCATGTTGTGGCATCACACTCGCTGGAACGAGTGCACGGAATACATAATGGTAGTCGGTAGTGAGCAGTTCACCATTGGTCAACCAATTGTTATTGAAATCATAGATCTCGAGACCGGAACTACGAACATTTTGATTCATAGAGGTTGGTGGTGCTGGCATGATGACAGACCAATTATCGGGTTGTAAGTTTGGTGCTACATAGCTGAAATCAAAGGTTCCAATGACCGAACGAGTGAATGTTGGATTGAGTTTGAATTTTTTGTGTGGTCCAAAGAGTTCACGGTGTTTCGCAAAGTTGGCGGATGGCAACAAGTTGGATTTGCTGTTGGATCTGCTACCTGAAGCAGCAAGAGAATTTAGATTAACTGATGGTTTAGTGGCTGTTGGTTGTTGTGGAACTGATGGTTGTCTTTGTAACTGTGGTGGTGGTTGTTGTTGAATTACACTCTTTGGTCTACTGGCTGGTGGCATACTAGGTTGAGATTGTTGTTGTTGTTGTTGAACTGGTGGTTGTTGTTGTGATGCAGCAGGCTTTGTAACAATTCCCATAGAGATTGGTTTAATTGCATTCTTATTGATTTGTGATGGTAATACACCACCTGATTGTTGTTGTTGTACTGGAGGTGGTGCTGATGAATTTGATTGTACAGGTGGTTGAGAATTTGGGTTTGATTTAAGATAACTTCCACTCTTTGCAACCTGATTAGTGTTGGGATTCGGTGCGATTGGAGTATGTAATGCTGGCTGAGGAGTTGAATTGTTGAAACTATTGCTCTTGGGTGCAGCCTTTAGTGGAACAGATTGTGGTTGTGCTGGTTGTTGTTGGAATGATTGCTGAGAAGATGTCACAGAGTTATTGAAACTATTACTCTTGGGTGCCGACTTTAGTGTTACAGGTTGTGGTTGTGTTGGTGATGGAGCTTGGTTATATGTCTGTTGCTGTGGTGGTGCTGGCGATTGATGTCCTGGGAATAATACTTCGTTATGAACCAATAGTTTCTTTTTGGTGAATGGTTCATATGGTTTGACAAGATCAACAGGTGGTCCTGAGAGAGTTGGTGGTGACATTAATTGTTGTTGTTGTTGTTGTTGCTGTGGTGGTTGTTGAGGTGGGGGAGATATTCTCTTTTGTGATGGAGTTGGTTGAGCGTTTCCAGGAGATTGCATTGGTGTTGAATTTGGTTGATATGCATTGTTGCCATAGGAAGAGGAAGAAGGTGGTGGTGAATAGTCATCAACTTCAAGAGTTGAGTTTGTTTGGATACCAGACATATAGTTAGAGACTGGATTGTTTTTGGGTGGTGGTTTCTGGAGTACTTCGGAACACTCAAAGAGATTGTTATGAATGTTTTGGAAGAGATTAGAGAGTGACTCTTGAATTTGCATCAATGGCAAATCGAAAATATCGTTCTTCTCCTCAAAGAATTGGAATATCTCTTGCATAACGCTGGTGTTCTTTTGTTGGTAAGATTGCTTCTTCAATTTGTTATTGTTCTCTTCGGCGGGCAACTTTGATGGATCCTTTGGTGGCTTCTCACGCAGCGATTTAAGTTTGGAATCGGAATTCTCCAGATCCATAAGATATTGGTCACGTGTAGAAATCGAATCCTTTATCGATTTAATTCTTGCAACAGTTCTACCGATTGTTTCATAATTTTGTTGATTTGAATCCTGATTCAATTATTATTATTTTAGGTTAATTTACTCTTTTTTAATAAATATTTATAACTACATACATTCCAATTATTAAATGAATTTTCAATCAATTTATTGGTTTCAATACAATTTGCAGCAAGTGGATGATCATTGTGGTAATACTTTGTAATTGTTTTACCAACACAATCAATATGTAAGAAAGTTTCTAAAAAGAAATAAATAATTGGAATCTATATTAATATACTCTTGCTTTGTTGACAACTCTTTTTTTGTTTTTATAAAATGTTTTGTTGAATTAATTACTTTTCAAGTTTTTGACACGCTTCTGCAAAGATGTGTGAATGGCAAATACATATTCCGAAACATATTTGAATTCCTTTCTGGTATTCTCGAAATTGACATCGGATTTCGATGGTCCACCAGAAATAGTATTCTTAATCTTTTGTAAAATACTCATTATTTATATTTATTTCTACTAGAAATCTAAAACAAAACAATACACATATATATAAAAATGCTAAAACAAATAAAATGCAAAAAAAATAGTAATTAATAAACAAGAAATCAAACTGATCAAGAAAAAATAAACTGGTGGGTTAATTAATATAAAAAAAAATAAATCATTGAAAAAATACAAAATTATTGTAAAAAATTTTTCAGACCGTGTGGTATTTTCTACTTAAATGGAATTATCATAAAAACTAGATAGTTTTGTTTTTTTGTTTGGTTGTTGTGTGGTGTGTGCGACAAAACTTGTGAAAAACAAAAATAATTTGTTTTTATTTTAATTAGTATTTTATTGATGTGGTAATGGTTCGTCAACAACAGGGATTGACAATGGTGGAGTGGTTGGGGCATTGGTCAATGAAGATGTTGATGAGGAACGTGATAATGATGACGACGATGATGAATTGATATTACTGCCGCTTGTCGATGTCTTGATTGACAGTTGAATTGGTATTACCTTGTCGAGTAGTGTTTTTAAATCTTCAGAGGACAACAATTGCATTGATTTAATTTGTTCTTCATTGTAGTATCGCTTGGCATACTGATTGATCTGGTCGAAACCATCAGCAATATTCGTACGAATCGGCTTCATCAAAAGATTCTGTGTCATATTCGATAGATATACTTTCATTCTGGCGATGATCTCTGGTAAATATGTCTCTATTCTTTTTACAACTTCTTTAATAGTTTCATTGATTCTCACTTGTAATAATAATTATAATAATAATAATAATAATTAATTTGCAAAAGTTAATATAAATTAAAAAATTAATACACATTTATATATTAATACATACTTGGTTCAGCAAAAGGTTGTTGAGATAAAGAACTATTAACAACATTAGAGTTATCTCTACTTGATTGATTAAGATAGACTGAAATCTTTGTTAGGATGGTCAAGAGTGGATCGATCGTATAGTTTGATGTTGAAAGAATAAATGATTCAATTACCAATTTCAATTCTTTTTCTAAATCCTAATAATAATAATAATACAGTCAGTCAATTAAAGTGTTTAATAATTCATTGGTATATTATAAAGTAACAATTGTTGTTGTCATACTTTTTTAGAATCTATACTGGTATTTGTAACTCTTGGGTTTGCAGCAGAGGCAATTACATTGTATATTGGATTATTTGTAGAAAGTGCAAATAAAGAACCATAATTATACATTGTAGAGAGTGCATCTATTGATAGATATAGAATTAATAATTATAAGCAATATAATTGTATAACATTATTAATTAATTAAACATACGCTTTAAATTTGGAAAATCTACAATCTTTTCAATGATTACAAAGTTAATATCGAATGGTGTAATCTGTTCACGTAATACTATAAAGTATTTAATTAGAAATAGTTGAGAATCGGTTATTGCAAATGGATTATCCTATTATAAATTTAGATAGATAGTTAGTAAGTTAGTTAGTAGCTAGTTAGATTATAATTGTTACTTAAACTTACTTGTTTTGTTGCAATTAATGAACTTGCTTTTATGAGTGTATATGTACATGCTTCAACAGCTTCTTGTGCCAGACCTTCGAAGATCTTGGTATCGACTACCAGATAGAGTTTCGATAGGCATGTCAGTGTCTTTTCTAGTGTTGGATACCACAGAGAGTACATTGACTTTGGTGAGGCTTCACCCGATGCCGACAGCTTCGTTATGTGATTGGGATAGTCAATGTCTGCCGGCGATGGACTAAACGTTCTAATTTCATCGCGAATGAATGTTTGAATTAAAAACAACAGTCTCTCTTGAATATCTTGTAGCATTCGCTGCACCGCCAGTCTGAGACCGTTACAATATCGCGTCGATTGCTCAATGATATCATCCAATATCTCATTCCTTATCAGATGTGCCAAGTTACACAATTCCTCAAACGAATGAATATGTATATACACCGGTCTAACTGTATCATACAACTGTTGTGCATATTCATCTAACAATTCACTACAATACACATATATGTTAGTTTGTTTTTTCCACAACAAATAGTAGTAGTTATATGATATTATTATTATTGTTGTTGTTACATACTTAAAGTTAGCAGTTTGTTTATCAAAGAAATCGATATAGATTTGATATTCATTTTCGAATATCTGCACCATGTAGATACATAGATTCTGAACGAGCGATGGAACGTTGGCGTTGTTGGTGTTTCCGGGTGTGGTGTCATAGAGTGATTTAGTGAGTTCCTGTAGCTTCAGTGTGATGATTGGTGTGAGGATCAGCTTCCGATTCTTAAAGTAAATCGAATGACAATCTCTTATGTATGATACGTATTGACCAACTGCACGCTTCTCCAACTCCAAACAAAGCGGTCGCAGTTTTGGTGCGAATGCACGAAACTTGATATTCGATATCTGGAAATCACTGTCGATATCCTTCATCGATGTGAGAATCTCTTTCGTTATGATCTTGAACGACGCCGATATATAATCCTTAATCAATCCCAACGCTCTTTGGAATAATAAAGTATATTGTAAAACATATTTAGATGTACCTTGGAAATTAACCTATCAACCAAACAAACACAATTATATTAATATTCCAATTATTTCCGAGATCAAATAAATATATTATCAATGATAATATCAATATTTACATTCTTTTTCATGAATTGTATACAATCCTCCAGTGTCTCTAAACTAGACATAAAGTTTGGATCGGTAACTGTAAAGCTTGAACTATTGAATTTCTTTGTACTTTGATCCAACTCCAAGTAATATCTCAATTTTTCATGTATAGTATGTACAATATATCTTAATCTTAGCTAAGATTTCATTAAAAGGATATTAGTTTAATTAATAATTAAATGAATATTATTCACAAATTATTTATAAGTACTTACTTCTTCTTTAAAGAATTTCTCACAAGAGTCATGTAGTTGAGATGTCTTCTTGGTGAGTGTGAAATAATCGGTTTGAATACTGTTGATAAGTGTTTCACAATCTTGTACTTGTGCTTGTAGTTCATCAGTACCTTGTCCATAGCTTACTATAGTCTCTAAGAACCATTCATATTGATGTAGATGTGTCGATGTTTTCTCAATCAGCTTCAACCAATCATAGAAATCTGCTAAACTATCTATTGCTTTATCTGGTAGTTGTGTTGTACTCTTCAAACTGCCAGTAGTGGTACCACTTTCACTTTCCAACGATGATTCATTCGCTTGTTGTTGTTGTTGCTGCTGTTTCTCTTGTTGTTCTGATTCTTCTGCTGCTTCTTTTAACCTTTTTTGTTCTAACAATTCTTGTTGCTGTTTTAACTATTATCATCACAATGCATATAGGAATTTATGTTAGTAAACAAAGATGTTCATTCTGAAAATATCAATTTAAATTTTTGAGATTATATATTACTTTTTGAGGTAGTGGACGCTCTGATATAATGAATGTCTGTAGATTATTTAATAGTAATGTTTGGTCGATTGATAATTTACTCTTTTTCTCCCATTGTGAAACATCGAAATGACTTGTATTGCTATTGGCTGTTGTTGCTGTTGTATTTGGAGATGAACCTGATGATGATCGAGTATGTCCACTTAATATAGGTGTTGACATTGTTATGATTGTTATTAATACATATAATAATATATATAAGTTATTTAATATATATTATTAATAAGTAGATCTTCAAACAATTTAATTAAAAGATTCTTGGTTGACCTGTTCAAAAAAAAAATGTTGCTTTACTGAAATGAAAAAAAAAACAAAGTTTTGCAAAATTGTGTTCAAGGATAAAGCGCGAATCATATTATTACTCTTACTAGTTTAATCTTGATACGATATCTATTAGACAAGAAAATGGCATCAAAGATAATGGTTTGTTGAAATAACTACAATTGTATTAAGATTGATATATTTACTTGAAATACCTTGATTAAATTAATAGTTGGATAAACAAGATGAGGTTGAAACCTCTGTCACTCATGAAGATCAAAAGATGATTAATACATTCGGTCGTTTAAATAATAGAAAGCACGAATTGTTGAAACAAAAGAAATATTTAGAGGTAAATATTATATATCTACTATAATATATTATAATAAATATAGTTATAGAAATGTATTAACAACAATAATCTTGTTTTGTTTAATGTGAATGAATTATTTATTATAGGAAGATTTAGAAAAAGCAAGAGACGCTCAAGACGACATATTTTTAGCAGAGGATGAAGATATTAAATACAAATACCTCATGGGTGAGGCATACATGGAAACACCAAAAGAAGAAACAGAAGAACTATTAGAGAAATATATAAACTCATTGGAATCTGACATTGAAAAGATAAATGCTGAACTCGAATCAATAGCTGAAGCTCATAAAGAATTGAAAGTACTATTATACGGTAGATTTAAATCATCTATTAATTTAGAAGAATAAAAACAAACAGACAACAATAAATAATAGTAATAACAATACACATTTCGATCGAATTTAAAACTTTTATTTAAATAGATAGATAGATAGATTGATACATAGTAAAAGATGGTTACATTAAACTTAAATTCTAAAATTAAATTTACACCTATTTTTATTTATGAACGACCAACTACTTTCGGAATTGCGATCTCTTTTCGTCGTCAATAAAGTTTATTGTTAGCAGTTTGTTGAATGGAATGCAGGTCTACAGTGCAAATAGATGGTAGAACGACATCCAGTGGGATAACGGCACCATTGAATAGCTCAGCTGTAGGAATCTGTAGTTGATACAGTGGAATCCCCAATTTATTGCATGGATTTTGAAGATTGAGAGGATTGGCGGGATTGACAGGAACGAACGGAGGAGGATCTAATGGAGACATTACACCTTCACAGCTGTAGCCAGGTGGAGATATCGCGTTGACATGTGGGACAGCGTTGACCGAATCCAAATGAGTAGTTCCACAAGAGATGATCCTCACTGGATTGGCGGGTGCACCATTCCGATAGTATAAAATAACTATTGCAAAATTAGCGTTATCTCTTGGATATATCTTGATTGCAACCCTGATAGTACTTTCGACGGTAACCACTCCAGCAACTGCTCTGTCCAGGAAATAGTCGAGACACTTACGATGCAAAACTGCAAGTGATTGAGATTTAGCGGCTTCTATTACCATCGTTGGGTATGGTGCTCCGTGTCCATTCCCTGAGAAGTGATTTGGAACCTTGGGTCGAGGTGGACTTAAACCTTGGTACGGTTCAGCACAAGCACGACCTTCTTGAAGAATCGTAGTACTACTTCCATGTAACATCAACAAATCTTGGTTTGGTATATAATGTTGTAGAATGAGACAAGTGAGTAGATTAGATGAGAATTCAATTTCACTGGAAGGAACTTCGAATATCCACGCTCTTCCATTCCGAAACCAAATTCTAGATTTCACTTCGACCAGGTCTTTATCATCTCTAAATCTTCTTTTGAGATCAACTCCTCCTTCTGGAACTAATCAATCTAAAATGTAATGATTTATTTGTTAATTTTAGAGTAATAACAATATTATACAATATATATACTTCTCTCAAATATCGAATTTTATTTGGCCACCCTCTAATACGATTGACAACATTTGGTTGCTTTGTTGTTTGAACTGTTTGTGAGACATCATTACTAACTATTTATCTGCCATTGTGAAATTTAAAGAGCTATTAAAAGATACAAATTAACTTGGATTATTTACAATCAAGAATAACAAGTCTATTGAATAGGTGTTAATTTAACTCTTCAACTCATTCATTTTATAAAAGTTATTAAATTCATTGTTTATATTTTTTAAATTTCTAATGAATAATGTCCCACACCAACAACAATTAATAAATAAAAAGTTATAATTTTATATTTCGATCGAATTTAAAACTTTATTTAAATAGATAAAAAGGGTTACATATAACTGTTTTTTTTTTTAGGTGAGTATATACATTATATATGGTATTAGGTTTGTATGTATGATGATATTTTAAGCGGTTGTGGTTGCATGATTCTTGATATCATTTAATAAAGCGTTTCTTCCATTTGCACTGATATGAGCGCTGGAATCAATGACTGGATTGGATCTGTCGGCGGTGGTGGTTGGAGTCAAAGATGGTGGATTCGAAACTTCTTTCAAGAGTTGATCATGATTGTTCTTTTGAATCTTGACATCCTTTTCGATCAATGGCTGTGACTTATCGTTGGTAGTGGTACTCTTAAGAGTGGTTCCAGTCTTCAATTGGTCCTTTAAATCTTGTGATGACATTGTTGTTGTTTTTATATTTGTTTAAAGTTATAAATAATAAGTTTAATATTTATATATATGTATAAGTATTTGTATTTGTTTTATTTGTATTCAATTTCAAATCAGTTCAGTTTTGCTCCTTTTATATTTATTTATCAATGCATTGCTCCTCTGTCTTTCTCTTCACTCCAGACTGTACAGTTAAAAATAGTCTTGTGAAACAAATAATTATTTGTTATTGGGTTTAACAGTTCAAAGTATACATAGCATAGCGTTGAATTCTTTATTTTTTACGCGATCCTACAACGTAATCTCCATCTTTATCCTCTATCTTAATCATATTTAGCACATCTCTTAACGACACAACACGATCCTGGTTAAAAATAATTATAACAACTTTAAAGTTGAACTAAACACACACACACAAGAATTTAAATTTATTTATAAATTTTCGAGATCATGTGATCATCTATGATTGTTCTTGAAAAAACAATTATTTTGTTTTAATTCTATTTTAATTATTATTCTTTTCTATTTTTTAAAAAGCAAAATTAAAATTAAATTTAAAAAAGATAATTAATGAATAAATAAGATACTTTGCAATATTATCTTTTTATTTTATTTTATTCCCAATATTAAAGATATTATCGCAAAGAGGTGGCAATAATTCAATATTAATGAAAAAAGGTCACCTTGATTTCTTTAAATTTTGATTTAATTTTTTTTTTTTTTTTTTTTTGACACTGGGAATAGAAAAGTTTATGATAAAATAAAAGCTTTTTTGTCGTGGGGGGTTTTTTTCATGCTATGATTTTGAGCCTTTGCAAACAAAGAATAGTGAAACAAAAAAAAATACAAAAAAAAGGTCCTCATTCACACACAATTTTATATCTTTTTTTTTCATTATTTTTTTGTATTGCATATTTATTTTTCTTATGTGTTCACATACACCAATAACAACACATCTTACTAAAATAGATTGATAGTAGTAGCCTAAATAGTTTAATAATATACATTAGATAAATAGATATAAAGCAAAGCAAACAATCGATTAACAAAACAACCAACCACATTCACAACAACTTACCTCTACTCTACCTTTTTTTTTTTTTTTTTTTTTGACATCTTTATCATTATTAACATCTTTGCAAATAACAATAAACAACTACAACGACAACGACAATAACAACGACAATCAACATCTTTCCTCAAGATCAAATAACACAATTGTAATTTCTTCTTTTTTTTTTTTTTTTATATATTTTATTACATAAAGTAAAGTAGCTTAGGAGTATTTATTAGTATTAGCACAACAACAATAGTAACGAGTGTAGTGTTGAATTTTTTGATACGATAGATTCGATTCGATAATAGCATTCGAGATTTTGGTGATTGCAACTATTTATGCATAGATTACATAGCGTATTATTATGCATTCTCTATCAACTGTACAACAGCAGTTGCACAGAGTAACCAATCATATATCAAAGTCAGGATGTCGATCATCACCAACAGCAACAACACGAATGTACAAATCAACTTCATTTATAGTATTATTTTGTTTTCTTATAATAATATTTAATAATAGTATTGTACTAGCAAATAATAATAATAATAATAATAGCAATCTTAATAATAATATAATAATAAATAGTATTTCCACAACAACAACACAACCAAAAACAACAAAACTTTGTACAGACGTCAAAACAAACAACAACAATCAAAATTGTAGAAATATTGATTTTAATGATGATAATAGTAATAATAATAATAATAATGTAGAAACATATAAACAATCCGATAATGTATTTAATGATTTCAAGAATAAAAAGAGATTAGTATATAACGATCGACTTCTGAGGTTATATCAAATGGTGCAACAACAGCATTTAGAGTTGGAGTACATGCACGGTCGAAGTATGTTGTCTGCCAACACCAACAGCGATAGCAGTAGTTCGAGTGGTTCAATCGAAGTACCAGGCGGCGGTAACAACTACATTCCACCTCTGCAAAGCATATTTTTCACACTCAATTTCTCTGGTGGACAGCAGATGTGTTCGAGCTGCGTCGATCCATCAGAACACTGGCTACAAAACTACAGCTGTAGCAACGACGTCACCAACTGGAACGAAGGCAAGATTCAATTCCAAGATCCACTGCCATCGAGCGATGTACTCGTACTTCGTAAAGCAATACTACAGGTATTTGGTCATTTCATTTCATCTGGCCCTGCATTGGTTATTTTGCTAGACGGTAAGTAATCACTACTTAACAACTAACTACTACTACAACAAACATGATCGATCGTTCTAACAAACAAATTATTTGTTATTGTTTTGGTTATTTTATATTTTTTTTTTTTTAGATGAAATCTTTGGATTATTTACACCACCAGTTAAGAATACATCGGATTGTCTTAATTGTGTTACTAGTTCCGATCCATATATTATGACATATACTAATGGGTTGACTACCTACAACTATGGCTCTACGAATTACTTCCAGTTTCAATCGACAAACAATGAGACGATCACATGTCTGTCATCGATTTCCGTGACATTCTTCTATGGACCAACCAGTTTCCGTGTGAATTCGATCTCACCATCGATGGGTCCGGCTGGAGGTGGCACTCTTGTCTATGTTTCTGGCTCTGGTTTTATAAAAACCGGTAGTCCAGTCTGTAGATTCGGTAACCTCACTTCGCAAGCCACCTACATCAACGACACCATGGTTTCATGTTCATCGCCAGTCGTACCTCAAACCATCAAAGGATTCTACAATGTCACACTACAAGTCAGTTTTGATTCCGGTACCACCTTTTCATATCCAAACTTGGCTGCCAACTTTAGTTTTTATTATTGTAAGTTTAGTTTTTTTTTGTTGATCAACATTATTATTATTATGAACAATTTTATAACTAATTATTTGTTATACAATTAATATATATAGTCCCATCACAACCATTAAGTAATAATAAATTTGATAGAGTTATATTGATTGCAATTGGTACTGGTATTGCATCGGTGTTTTTAACTGGTGTGGTCGTGTACTTTGCTGTTCAGCGATGGCAGAAACGTCGTGGATATCAACAGATTGGCGATGGAAATATCAATGGTGAGAATGCCCAACAACCGTTTATTTTCAATACCGCCGACTATAAGACACTCTTTGAGATTAAACCGATCGAAATGAGTGAGATTGTCATTCAGAATAGAATCGGTCGTGGCAGTTGTGCAGAGGTTTTCACTGGAACTTGGCGTGGCATTACCGTTGCCATCAAGAAAGCCAAGTTGCTCTCGGACGACGACGAGGAGTTCCTCACGGAACTAGCACAAGAAGCCGCTATAATGTCGCAACTGCGTCACCCGAATGTCTGCCAATTCCTCGGAACCTGTAATAACCCGCCCGAGGTGTTGATCGTCATGGAGTGGATGTCGCGTGGTTCGCTCTACCGCATTTTGCACGACCAATCGGTGATGCTCGATTGGCCACGCATGAAATCGATCGCACTCGATATCGCCAAGGGTATGAACTACCTCCATTGTTGTGATCCCATCATTATCCATCGTGATCTCAAGTCGCACAACCTTTTGGTCGACGAGCACTTCCGTGTGAAGATCTCTGACTTTGGACTGTCGACTCGGTTCAAACAACATCTCGACAAGAAGACAACGATGACACCGGTTGGTACACCGTGCTGGACCGCTCCAGAAGTACTGAGAAACGATCCCTACACTGAGAAGGCCGATATCTTCTCCTATGCAATTGTACTCTGGGAGCTTGTAACCCGCGAGGATCCATACCAAGGCATGCCAACCTTCCAAATCGTCATATCCGTCGGTCAACATAAACTACGTCCAATTGTACCACCTCACGTTTCTGCACCATTCACCAGATTAATTACTGAATGGTAAGTTATTCATCATCATCATCATCATCATTTACTCTTTAAATATAGACTAACAGTTTATCATTCTTATTATATAGTTGGTCAGAAGATCCATCACAAAGACCATCATTCCAAGAGATTGTTAAGAGACTTGAAGCAATGTAATCATTTTATCAACTTATAACAATACAAACTACTACAACAACAAACAACTATAATAACAAATTATCATCTATCCATTCCCATAATTCCTACCCCAATATCTTATGATTTTACAATAAACATTGTGAATTTGTTCAAAGAGAACTAACATAATAACTAATTAAAATACTGTTTAATAATTTATTGACTAATTACCTGATTTATTATATTTAATATTTTTCAAGCTCATCAGCTCTTCAACTAAATTTATTATTATTATTATTACTACTTTTATTAGTTGATCAAGTTAATATCATTTAGATTATTTATTTTCTTTGAGTATTGGTTTTAAGCTGAATATGGTAGAATCAAATCTGCACTCTTCTTCTAGAATAATAGTGTCACCAGTGCATATTGTAGAAAATATATGTTCGCAATCAGTATAAATGGTTGCAAATTAGTAGTAGTCCGAGACAAGAAGAAAGTCAACTAAAGAGTGGTGTCGTTTGTAAACGCTATTCCAATGCCGCAATACACATTTAAACACTCCAACTCTTAATTTTTTTTTTTTTTTGCACCAACTTTTTTTTTTTTTTTTTTTGTTTTGACCACTAAAATTTGGGTGATCGAAATGAAAACAGTTTAATCAGTTTTTTTCAAACAAATTATAATAATTTATTAATTTAAATAATTTGATTGTTTTTTTTTTTTTAAAAATAAATACATTTAGTTTTATTATAAATATAAATCATAATAATTTATATATTTAGAAAAGATACCTTTTAAAAAAATTAAAATAAATTTAGAATCATAACATATTATAAAAAAAAATAATAAATTAAAAAAAAGATTTATATATCTTTTTTTTTATATAGATTTAATATAATATAATATAGTTTATATTATAAAATATATATCAACACAGTGTTTTACAAACAAAAGATAGCTTTGTTGTTATAGAATCTATAAAAAATGTCAGCAGACAAACATCAACAACCTCTAAAGATCTCTGTTATAGGTGAAAATGGAGTTGGAAAGGTAATTTAATCAAATTCTGTTCTAAATATATATATACTAATTGATTGATAATAAATAACAATAAACTAGAGTTCAATGATATTAAGATATACAGAGAATTCATTTCTAAATGATCCTACTGTTAAATTAGATTTTGCTGTATGTATTGCTTATTGTTTAATTATCTATCACCATATATATATATATATATATATATATTAATATATCATCGTCATCATTATTATCATTTTCATCGTATAGAAAACAAAATTTGTTGAGATCAACGGTAAGAATGTTAGATTACAGATTTGGGATACATTCGGTCAAGAGAAAGTTGCACATTTGACATCTTCATTTTATAAGTAAGTAGTTTGGTGGTTGTTGATCATTATATTATAAACCAACAATATATATATTAAAACATTATCATTTAATATATATATATATATATATATAGAGGTGTGCAGGGTATTATTATTGCATATGATGTATCATCAAAAGAATCATTTGAAAAAGCAATATCCAAGTGGTATTCCGATGTGAAGAGGTTCGTTGCTCCGACGACACCGATCATCTTGACGGGATGCAAGTCGGATTTAGATAAACAGGTTAGCTCTGAGATGTTGGCTGCCTGGTGTAACCAGAACAAACAAATTGGAATCGAATGTTCATCGCTCACCAGTGAGAACATCGATGAAGTATTCTCAACCATGACAAGACGTATCTTGAACTCACTGGCACTACTCGATAACAACAACAATAATAATAATAGCAATAATGGTAGTAGCAGTAACAAAGAAGGTTCGAGTGGAGGAAGTAACTCTGCCTCTGGTAGTCTTGGCGGTAGTGGAAAAGACCGAAACAGTAAAGAACATAAAGATAGCAGCAGCAGCAGCAGTGGAAAAGAAGGTAAAAAGAAATCTTCTGGTATCATCTCAAAGATCTACAATAATCTGAGCAGCAGTAGCAGTAACAGTAGCAGTAGTAGTAGTGGTAGTATTCTCAGTATGTCTGGCGGTATGATTATGACCGGTGGTGGTGCGAGTGGGTCGAACAATTCCACCGGTAACTCTAGCAATATAATGATGACACAGAGTATGGGTCCGTCAATTGGCGGTTCCATCAGTGGTATCAACAATATTAACAGTAGTAACATTAACAATAACAACAGTAACAACAACAACAATAATAATAATAACAACAACAACAATAGTAATATGATGAGTTCATCAAGTGCAGGCGTCAATCTTGGATTATCTTCATCGGATGCATCGACAACCTCTGGTGGTACTACAAAGAGTAAGAAGAAAGTAAAGAGCAGTGCATCTAGTTCGTCGACATCGATTGACAAGAGCACTGTTCGTAGCATGGTGTCACCCACCGTACAACAAGGTCCATCGCCACTGACACCACCGACCACACAGGATCAGTTCATCAAGAGAAGAGCTGCCATCCTTCAGGTTCCAATTCCAACTACACCTCCACCCAAACCACAGAATGGCATGAGAATGACAAACTTTGCAGCCAACAACAATGCATCACTAAATCTTAATCCAGGGGCATCTGCAATCATCACTACATCTGCAACAACACCAATCCTAACCACCACCACTACAACCACTACAACTACCACCACAACAACAACTTCCACTACTGTTGTAGATGATACCAATACTACAACATTACTTAGAAATAGTTCATCAAATATTAACAACAACAACAGCAATAACAGCAACAACAATAATAACAGTAACAGTAATAACAGTAATAGTAATAATGTAAATGCAACACTTAATCAATCAAATATTGCAAATGGATCACCAATGATGTTAGGTATATCATTGATGAAATCATCTTCACCACTTGCAGATCGCAAGACACCGTTGTCACAGCTCGAAGCATTGTCTGTTTCGTCACAATCACCGAAATCAACGGGTACTCCCGAACACCCTAATCGATCTTTCCACGAAGCCTACGGATATCAGGCGTTCGGTGAGGAACTGCAACAACAAGGCTGGACAAGATCGATGGTCGAAGAGCTTATAGAGGAGCGACGTTTAAATCAAACTAAATCTTCGTCAACCTCTTCATTGATTAACCCACAACAACATGGTCCAGCGGCGCTCTCCCAAACCGGATCTTACAGCACCGGTAGTCTGCCATCGACAAGCAGTGGGCAAGTCGTACCATTGTCCACTTTTCTCATACCGAATCCAAGCCAGTCGATCCCAGTCATTGAAAACAACTACACCAATATCAATCATCATAGTATGGGATTGATTGGAGAGCATATAGCCAGTATCACTGCCTTGAATTCATCACCAACATCAAACTCGCCAACAGATTCAACATTCTCAAAGGCATTCCCACTCAAAGAAAATAGAACAAATCAATCGATTTTAGGTCAACCAACACACGATTATAAATATCCTGATGATGCTGATAATGATAAAAACAATAACAACAACAATAATAATAATAATATTAATAGCAGTAATAGCAGTAATAATAATAATAGCAATAATGATGATGATAATAGTTCAAATAGTAGTAGTTCAAATAATAATAATAATAATAACATTATCAGCAGTAGCAGTAACAATAGTAGTAGTAATTCTAGTTTTAATAATCATGTTTTAGGTGTTGTTCCAGCAGATCAACCACAATCGAAACCAAGATTATTAACGGGAATATCGTTGTCGTCGAATGCAATCTTTGTTGCTGCTTCTAATCCAACTATACATATTGAGCATAGTGATACAGATAGTGTTGTTGGATCTATTATTGGCTCTTCTTGTGGTGGTGGCAGAGAGGATAACAGCTATAATCTGGATGCTGAAGACATGGAGGAAGCAATCTCTAGTAAGACCAATCTTCAAGACAAACACTTTGTAACCGACGACCAAGAGGACGTCAATCCCTACGATGAAAACAGTTCTCATCATAGTCATGGTAACACTAATATCGCCAGTAGTGGAGCAAGCCATCCAATACCTTCCAACGTTAGAATGTCATCGAGCGATATCAACACCACCACAACAACAACAAGCATTGTGCCACATACCACTGGCGATCACCCGTCAACAACAACCGAACCTGAATGGGAATCCGATGGCATCTACTCATCGGATCTCAACGATAGATTCCAAGAGGTCGTTCTCAAGTTCCGTGATATTCCATCGTTGGATACCAATCTTTATAATCTACAAGAGATCAGTACGGATCTTCTTCACATCTCACAGGATTTCATTCACATTGTAAAGACCTACGGTAGAATCATCATTGAAGAGCGATTCCTACAGGAAAAGACTATCAAACCAAAGTCTCTGGGTGGTCATCTCGGTGGTGATAAATATATCGTTAGAAATGTATTGTTCAAATTTGCTGGTGGTTCGCCTCATGGTGTATATGGCGAGTGGGGAGGCGCCAAGGTTGGAGGTCAAGAGCTAAAGGGTTGTATGGCAACTTTGAATTGTCCAATCAATGGACTGTGTGTTCCCTTGATGGCGCTGGTCGATTTCATGGGTTATCGTTTGATTGCTATGAGTGTACTACCGATTTCTTCGGCAATAGACGCCAGTACTATTGTCTATGGATCCAGTGACATGGGTCTGACTGTACACGCACTGCACGAACCATCGCTCGAAGTCATGAAACAACTCTCACAATCACTCAATCTAAAGGCACATTACGGTGGAACACAGAAACCACCTTCTCTTGTCTATTCGGCCACCGATGTAGAAGGACATATCGGTACCGACGGTCGTTTCTATCTTGTAGATTTCAGTCGTACTTTCCCACCGACCTATCCGGATCTCTCAGTGCAAGGTGGTCATCTTTTCCAGTTGTTCAGACCCGAGTTCCTTAAGAGTCATCTGAAACCGCTGTGCTCAGACGCATTCTCTGGTTTCTTGAAACACGACCAAGACAGACAGGCACACAACAACGAAGTAAAGGAAGCCACGCAGAGACTGCTCAATGACTTGATACCCAGAATATCGACACGTCTCAAAGGTTTAATCAAGGAGTCGTTGGAGAATGGCGATCTTCTCAGTGGCGGTGTACACATTCCAGAGCAGTTCCATCGTCATGGTATCAACATGCGTTGGATCGGTCATATGTTGGTGGTAGTCGACGATAGAGATGCTGGTTTTGTATTGCTCATCGAAGCAATTGCCAGAGTGCTAAAGAATGACTTGAGAAGAAGACTACGTGACACAATGAAGAATTTCAAACAACCACTTTGTGCACCCTACATTCAGCTGACTACCAACTTTTTGAATATGGTATTCGGTGAATCAACAAAACCAGGTTTCAACACAGAGGAGTTCTGGGAGCAAACGGTATCGCAAGAGTTGTACTCCAAGTTTTATATCTATCAGGTTCCTTCGGTCGTTGTAAATGTACAGAATAATCAAAACAATAGAAACAGTATGAGTAGCAGTATGGGAGGTTCAGGTTCAACCACCAATCAACACAACTATAACAATACAATTAATTTCAATGGTGGATCCAGTGGAAGTAATTTCAATATCGCCAGCTCAATGGATGCAGGTCAAGTCAGCAAGAAACCAACGATGATTCTCCCGAGCGGCTGGAAGTTACGCGACCTCTTGGAAGATCGTTTGATCAGTCAGAAATCTGGAAAGGTTGTTCTCGGTAGACATTTACTGTTTGCAAGATTCCGTGATATGACACACCTCAAATTTAGAAAGAGAACCATTGAAAAGGTTGCAGATACCACTCAGTTGCTTTGGAATCCATATAAACCATTCAATAACTCTGATTTGAAAAAGATTAGTGTGCGTGTAAAGCATACCGATCTCGTCACCAATGCAGAGGGTACATTCTTTTATGCAAAGGCGATGGCAGAGACTTCGCACTCGACAGCACTGCATCTGCTGCACAAAGCCAGAAAGAGATTCGAGTTGGCACTCATCTCCAATCCAAACAACAAGGAAACACTGCAGCTCTGTGCTCAGACCTGGTGTAAGATCTTGGAGTTCAGCGCTAGCGAGGGTAAGAATATGTCCAATGTTTGCTTCTCAATGAATGACCCTGCCGTTGTCAACACCGATCGTTATTTCCTGAGAGCTATCGATGCCAACCCGAAAGGACCTGTAATTTTATTCTTTTATGCCAGATTTTTGGTGCGTTGTGACAGAACCGAAAAGGCAGAATCTTATTTCCTCAGAAGTCTTGAAGTAGATCCATTCAGTTATAGATGTCTCATTGCATACGCCAGTTTCCTCACAGAACGTGGTTTCCCCAATGACTCGTCATTGTTTTTAAATTAGAGCACAAGATTGTAAAAATGTAATAGTAGGCGGATTAAAATAAATAGAGTATTATATATTATTGGCTTATAATTGATTATTTGTAAATTGACAAAGATAGATTCTTTTGATTGAATTTTCATGATTGACAAACTCACAATATTTTTGAAGTCTATCAAAAAAATATGGAACAGATTTTTATTTTTGTCCATTACAAAAAAAAAAGTTAATCATCAAAAACTCAGTTTGGACAATTAAAATTATCTTCGTACAAACTTAAGGAATTTGTCAATCATTTCTAACTCAAAGGGTATAAATGTTTAAACTCAATGTTCAAATCATTAAAAACAATAATATTATTTTATTATATTCTTTTTTCTACATTTTTCAATAAAAATAAAATGTCAACATCAAATATAAATACTTCCTCAGTTCAATTCTTAGATGAATTAAATTTCAAGAATTTCGAAATCTATAATGGCAATAAGAATCTCAACAATAATTTTCAAAACAATAATAGGAAACTTCTTCTTAGCACTTTGTTAAGCACAATGAATCGTAAGAAACAACTAAAGAAGTAAAATTTCCAAACTCATCTATTTTTGGTCTTCAATTCGAATCCATCTACTACTTTTCCATAAAGAATATAAGACTGGCTTCATATCAATAATCACCAATATCTTCGGAGTAATGAGAAAGATTCTCATCATTTACACTTACATGAACAAATGTTCTATCAATATTATTTAAAAACTTTAAGCATTAAACTACAAGATATTTACTATTCTATTATCTTTTTTTTTGTTTTGAATATGAATTTCTTTTTAATAAAATTAAAGTGACTATTCATTGTTTAATTTAATTATCCACTTAAACAACTTTTTCAGGAATTATGATTTAAGTAAATTTTTTAAAATCTGAAAATTCTAAATGAGGGATCAAAAGATCTTTTGATTAAAAATCAATGTTTTATTTTTGAAATTTTATTAAACATTAATCGTTAATTTTTTTTTTTTTAAATATAATCAGTTCTCTTTTTTACAAGAAAAACATTATCTCTTGAAAATGGACCCCATAAGTTTATATAATGAAATTAATCTTATTTTTGCAGGTTTTCATGTTTTGGAATCGTTACAAAGTTTGACACCTGGAACCTCTATTATGATGATGCTCATCATATCGATATGGTTATATCAATTCAACTATGATATAGGACCATATCATCTTACCAGCAGTTGCAACCGAGCTCTCAAAGGTGAATACCGTAGAACTCTACTCTCGATATTTTCACACAGTGGACTAATTCATTTAGTATTGAATTGTGTTTCACTAATTGACCTGAAATCAATTGAAGAAACGGTAATGTATACTTAAAGATCAATCATTCTAGTCTATTTCAATTTTTTTTTTTTTAAATTTCATTCAACTAATTATGTATTTTGTTTAAAAAAATTTTTTTCAGGAGGGATCATTCAGATATTTACAATACACATTCATGTTAATCATTACATGCGTGGTTGTTGAAATTATAATCTCAAAGCAACTATCTGGCAATGGTCAAAGACTGATGGATGTTGAGTCGCTCGGATATTCTGGTGTCTTGTTTGGTCTGTTGGTCATTTCAACCTTTCGATACGGAATAATGTCATCTGCTAGAACTGCATTGTATTCATTAATCATTACCCAGATTTTCAACCGAAATGCACATTTTATTGTAAGTAATAATATCTTTAATTTTACCATTAAAATTACATCATACTTATTAAAAAAAAACAATGTTATATAACACAGGGTCACTTGGCTGGAATTGTTGCCGGTGCAATCATCTCAGCCTCTTCATACTTTAAAGTCTTCGATCTATACTTTTATTCGGTGTTAATTCTTACAATGATATTGACCTACCAGAATTCGTCATCAGGTAATCTATTGGAAATATTATCATCTTTAAATCCTTTTCAATCAAGAAGAAGAATAGTTAATGGTGTCATTGTTTCAAGATACTAAAAGATATAATAAAACACCATTTTTTTTAATATATGATTAATTTATTTTATTTTTTTACTTTGTTTGTGTTTGTTTTTTTTTTCAATTCAATTTTCAAACTAATTATGATCTCTAATGTTATTGATTTAATATGTTCGAATGTTGGGACATCATCAGTTATAGCTATTAATGTATTAGTGTGGTTGTATCAACAACAATATAATATAGATCTTTCAGAGGTATCTTTTAGCTATCAGAATGTGGTGATGAATAAACAATATTGGAGAGCAATAACCTCAACATTTTCACATGCAAATCTTGTTCATTTGCTATTTAATTGTGTATCACTATGGAATATGAGATATCTAGAGTCAAATGTATGTTGCTAAAATTGTAATTCAAATAAAAATGCTTAATTAATAGGTTTAGTTTGATTAAATTAGGTTGGACTATCTTCATATTTAAAATATACATTAATCTTGATAATTACAACTGTTGTACTAAAAGTGATTCTAATGAATTTGATATACAATCAGCTCGGCGCAATTGGCAATCTGGTTGTATCTAATTCCGATATTCTACACAGAGAATATGTTGGATATTCATGTGTTTGTTTTGGTTTACTGGTACTAATAAGCTACATGAGTGGCATCAATCGGTGGCTAATCACACCCATCTCCAGTCTGCTACTATCAAGTATTATTATTCCAAATGCAAGTTTTATAGTATGTAATTACATAGTTTCAAAAGGTCTTCTTGCTTATTTAATTAACTAACTATTAAATTTTAAACAAAAAGGGTCACTTTTCAGGTATAATATGCGGAATCATTATATTGGTAGTCAATAACTACGAATGTTTTGATTATTATTTTATCTTTATATCACTGACTTTGGTTGTATTTCTAATGACTATTTTTATGCGTCAAAAGAAAAACATGATGATGTCGACACCAAGAGAAACCAAGATTGTCAACGGCATCATTGTATCACAAAAAAATATTGACAATATAATTTGATTTTTATTTTTTTCTATTTTAAATAAATCTAAATCATTTTTTTTCATTTTTTTTTTTAAATTTTAGTAGATAGAATTTTCTGTCTGGGGTTGACAGAGTGATCATTAAAAAAGTATCGAATCAATTAAACCAAGTGGACAGTTCTCTCTTTTTTTATTTTCGAAAAACGAAAATTAATATAAATCTCTATCTTGATTTAATATATCATAAAATCTGTAAGTCTATCTATCTACAACAAAAAGAATACTTTGTTTATAATCATAAAACAATCTACACATTTCGAATGAACAAAAAAAAAACTAGTTTGTACAAAATGAAAAAATATACCACACAGACAGAATGATCAACCCTCTCATGCACACACAACACTCGCAATCAAATAACCAATAGATATATATTTAAATTAATTTAAAATAAATAAAAAACAATCAATTTCTACTGATATAAAACCATCAAGATTACAATAAAAAACGATTAATCGTTCATTCAAATAAAATCAAACAAATATATTAATTTAATAGTTTTTATTTTATTAGAAATTTAGTATTAGCATTGTAATAATAAAAATATTGTTTAGAATCACTAAATTAAAATAAAAGAAAGGGTAGAAGATGTTTTCAAACATTAGTAGTAGAAGCGGTCAAGCATTGAATGTATTGAATAGAGTATGTCCATTCTTGCACACCAGTCGTACCGTTGCCAGTTCCGTTCAACAGGTTCAACAGATCACTCCTTCTCATCCAACATCACTCACACCAGAGAATGCAAAGGATTTCTTTGAAAAATGTCCATTTGCTGGTGTTGTTGAAGAGGGTATTAAACAAGATGTAAGTTATTATTATTATTATTTGTTATCAATTTTCAAAATCCAAGAATCAATAGTAATTTTAATTTAAATAATTATAAAAGGGTGGAGAACAAGGTTTGAAAGTATTGTCACATTTGATTGACCCACAACAAAGTCAACTTGTTATTGAGGAGAAGATCGTCAAGGATATGATTGAGAAGGAGCAATGCAAACATCAAATGCAGAACAACAAACAAGCATCGTTCCACTATCAAGAGAATTTCGAAGAGGTCATCGATAATCTCAAGGAAGAAGGAAGATATCGTGTGTTCACCACCATCCAAAGACAAGTTGGTCAATTCCCATATGCCAAGAAGTACTCAAATGTAGATTATTCAGATCAACAGCTGCTACAACAACAACAACAACCACAACAGAATATCAATAGTTTAGTTTCAGGTGCACAAATTCTTCATAAACAAGAGATAGAGATGATCGAGGATGAGGAGTTGTTGGATTTGGATCAGGAATTGGGTGCTGAAGGTGAGGTCGCTGTTTGGTGTAGCAACGACTATCTCGGTATGGGTCAGAACGAATTGGTGTTGAATGAAATGACCAACTCGATTCGTCGTATGGGAGCAGGATCCGGAGGTACTCGTAACATCTCTGGAACAACCTCGGAACACGTTCGTTTGGAGCGTGAGTTGGCCGATCTTCACTACAAGGACAATGCCTTGGTGTTTGGTTCGTGCTACGTCGCCAATGTCTCGGCTGTGACATCGATCGCCGCTGCTCTTCCAGAGTGTGTAATCCTCTCTGATGCCAAGAATCACGCGTCTCTCATCGAGGGTATTAGAAACTCGCGTCTCGAAAAGTACGTGTTCCGTCACAACGACGTCGACCACCTCGAGTCGCTTCTCAAGAAGATCGACCCGGCACGTCCAAAGCTCATTATCTTTGAGTCGGTCTACTCCATGGACGGAACGATTGCGCCAATCGAAAAGATTTGCGATCTCGCCGACAAGTACAAAGCACTCACCTTTATCGATGAGGTGCACGCCGTCGGATTGTACGGACCTCGTGGTGCCGGTGTCTGTGAGCGTGACAACCTTATGCATCGTATTGACATCATCTCTGGAACACTAGGTAAAGCATTTGGAGTGTACGGTGGTTACATCGCGTCGAATCGTCATATTATCGACACGATCCGTTCGTTGTCTCCAGGTTTTATCTTTACCACTTCATTGCCACCTTCGATTGCTGCAGGTGCGCGTGCCTCCGTGAACTACTTGAAAAAGTCGGAGCGCGAAAGAGCAATGCATCGTGAACGTACCGATCGTCTAAAGCAGTCGTTGCGTGACGCCAAGCTGCCATTGCTCGAGTCGCCATCGCACATCGTTCCATTGATCGTAGGTGACTCTGCACTCTGCAAGAAGATGTCAGACTATCTCATGAAGAAACATCGTATCTACGTGCAACCAATCAACTACCCAACCGTGCCAAAAGGAACCGAGCGTTTCCGTCTTACACCTTCACCAGTACACAACGACGATGCTATCAGCAACCTCGTCAAAGGTATTGTCGATTGTTGGAAACAATTCGGTCTATCATTCACTGATCAACCAACATCAAACAGTTCAACATCCTCAAAATCAACATCATTAGTCTAATATTAGATACTCTAATAATTCATTGATTTTAAAAAATCTAATATCCATTGAATCAATTCATCAAATCAATCCAAACAAAACCAATTAACTAAAAAAAAACCAAACTCAACAGCAAAAAGTTAGCAAAGCATAAAAATATAAATAAATACTTTGAATTGCATTCACAAAACGTAATTTTGTTTTGATTTCAAAAAAATAAAAATAATAATGATAAATAAAACAAAACAAAATAAATTATAAAAAAAAAAAAAAAGCTTTTCATTTTTTTTTTGTTATTAATTAAAATTTATAAAGATTTTATATATTTACATTATTTAATATAAAATCTATTTATTTTACATATTTAATTTAATATAATTAATTAAATAAAAATTCATCAAAAAATTAAAATTTCATTTTTTTTTATTTTTTTACAATACAATAAACATATTATTGTATGTAATTGAAAAGTTAAGAGGTGGCAGAAAGAATCAATAATAATTATCAACTTGAAGAGGAGTTACAACAGGAACAACCACTAATACCAGACAACAACAAACAACAACAAGATAAACAAGATTTACTAAATAATAAACTTGCTGTGAATAACAACAACAACAACAATAATAATAATAATACGTTGATTAATAATCAATCACATTCATTGAAATACTGGGTAGATTCAAGTGTTCCTATCATTCCTGTTGCTGTTGTTCATTGTTTGCGTAGCGTAGATCGTATCAGACTATTGAATAATATTCGTGGTGTCACAAAGAAACTAGAGTCCATTCCAAGTGCTGCTACTCTTCTACTAAGTGGTGCGAATCGATCAACTGTTGTTGTTGCTTCAGGTGTTGTGTGTTTTGGTCTCGGATTCACTATATACGCACTCATTAGACATTTAACTGAAGACGACGAAGACGAAGACGATTACCAAACATATCATCAATACGTTCCAACCTCAATACCCTCAAAAAACAAAATTAGAACCCTAAGAACAAAATATAACTACAATCCAAACATCAAAGAATCACACTACTATATACCAACCATGAATCACATCAATAGACCACACAATCCACAACCATTTATACTTTCAAACTATTTTTATAATACTATAAATTATTTAAGTAATTATCGTCATTTCGCCAGAGAGTGTACTCTCTTGTCAACAGAACGCTCTATGAGGAAAACTCTTTACTAACTTAAACGAATCTTATTTTTCTGTATTTGTAGCAAGATATGTCTATGGCTCAACTCTAAGTCCAACTGACGAGACCAATCGGTTTTTACTTGATTTATACGGATTGTATGGCAGCCAACATCCAGAGTTTAGAAATACATCATACAACGATGCTGTACAGTATGCTCGTTCACAATTTAAACTGTTAATTGTTTATGTACATTCAGGCAGTCATCCAGGTGCTCAACAATTTTGTCGGTATGTTGAAAACATCAATCAAATGACAGCTGCAGTGATATATAACTAACAAATCATCTTTATATATTTAGAGATGTTATTTTTACAGAATCATTCTCTAGATTTATAGATGAGAATTTTATTATATGGGGATGTGATGTTGCTTACTCTAATGGACTGTTAATATCGAATAATTTAGAGGCATCGACCTTTCCCTACTTGGCAATAGTTTGTTGTAATAATATACAGGGAATTTCAAACGGTTCTCAGACATTGCGTTTAGAATATTTCCAAGGTTCCTCATTGAACTCTGAAAACATTATAAATCTTCTCACAAATTCCGCTTCAACCTATGAGCCATCTCTTATTGCTGCAAAAGCTGACCAGTATGTAGAAATTATTAAAAGCTCATAAGCTTGCTCACTAATGATTATTAAACTAACTTTTTATGTTTGTTTTTTTCACAAACACAGTGATTTAAGAGAACAAGATAGAATGATTAGAATGGAACAAGATGAGGCATATGAAATTTCACTTAGAGAGGATCAAGAAAAAGAGAGACGAGCAAGAGAAGAGGAACGCTTGAAACAGGAGGAAGAAGATAGATTGCTTAGAGAAGAACAGGAGCGTGTCAACGCACACAATAGACTCATAGAGATTAAACGTGCAAAGGAATCAAATTTTTTGGTGGAACCAAAGACAAACATCACAAGACTGGCAATCAGACTGGTCGATGGTTCAAGAGTACAGAGAAACTTCAATCAAACCGATACAATTCAAGTGGTTTTAGATTTTGTAGACACCAAAATAGAAGAGTCTATCGATAACTTTATACTATCAACCAACTATCCAAAGAGACAACTAACCGAATTACATCAAACACTATCTGAGGCCGGATTGGTACCTGATGGCTCACTATTTTTATCAGAGAAATAATAATAATAATAGCATATTAAAAAGCACCAATAATATTGTTAACATATCTTTTATTAAAAAAAAAAAAAAAAAAAACTTAAATAAAAACTTTTAATTATTCAGTACCAATCATTGATTTTCTAGAAAGATCTTGATAAAATTTTAAATTCTTAATTTCTAATAAATAATAGTCTTTGTTAATTAAAAAAAGATGATCAGTATTCTTGTTCAGCGCAGACGATGTAGAAGATTCAATTTTAATTCTAAAAATTTGTTGGAGGAGCTCCAAAAAAAAAAATCTTGATTCCACTCAAAGTATCTTGATTTTAAATTTTATCACCATAAATCATGATATTAAATAATTTCTAAAAATATCTTTTCTTTATATATCCATCTGAGAAACACTAAAAGATGATTATTCTTTAAAAACATAAATATTTATTATCATGAATAAATTAATAGTAGTTATCACTTTTTTAGTGTTTATTTCTCTGTGTGAGTCACACTCAGTCGATCACATCAATATCCCACCAAGATATGCAGATGTACAAAATCAAATTGCAAATGCCAATAGTTCAACTCTAGTTTGTACTTTAAGTATGAGAGTTAAATCCTGTCAAACTTCAAACAATCAAATGTATGTAGATTTATATAAAAATAAACTCTATCAGTAATTTAATTTTTTTTTTTTTTTCTAATCAGTCAATGCCCATCAGTTGCTCAATGTTTACAAGAGTTCTCTAAGAGTAAAGACTCTTATGGTAGCTTTGCTGTATCTATTCCAAACTTCTTATTTGATTCCTCATATCTATGCTCAGGTGTTGTAAGCGACTTTAACATCACTGGTGAGATCTTAATTTCCTCGGCCAATGGTGGAAACGTATACATTGATTGTAAAGAGGTAACTATTTAATATTCAACTAGGGTTTCAATTTAAAGTTACTAACCAATGATTTTTTTTTGTAATTATCTTTTTTTTTTAGTCACAATTCCTTGAAGTTACTTTAGTTGGACCAACTACCTTTGTACTCCAAGGTATTGATTTTATTGGATGTCATTCCCCTATCAATGGAGGATGCCTCAATATTATTAATCATAATGAATCGATATTGATAGAATCCTCTGTCTATGTTTATAATAGTAGCTCCAATGGAAATAGAGCAAACTACCAAGGTGGTTTCATCAATGCAGATGTTGGATACATTTCCATCTCCAACTCTACTTTTAATGAAAATAGTGCCATCTATGCCAGTAGAACCGGTGGTGGAGTTATCTATTGCTCTAATGGTACGGTCGATATTGAAAATTCTAATTTTACCAACAACAATGTTCAAGGTGCCAATGCCGGTGTAGTTTTCAGTGAGAACCTCCTTGTATCAAACTCGACATTCGACTCTAACTATGCTGGAACCAGTGGTGGTGCCTTTTATGTCAATGGATACACATCCATTCTCAACTCTGTCTTCACCTACAACAAGGTTTCATTGTCTGGTGGTGTCATCTATTCACCATATGGTATTATCTATATTACCAATTCATATTTCTCTGGAAACAATGCCAACAATGTAGGTTCTGTTATCTACGGAGGAAATATTACCATCGAAAACTCTAAATTCGAGGCCAACACTGGTGTTGCTGGTGGCGTTATCTATTCAACTTATCAAATGGAACTCCCAACTTTGATTTCAGTAAATAACTCTTTCTTCATTAACAATGAAGTCTATGAATCAGGTGCTGCTATTTATGCCTACTGTTCTGATCTAAACATCCAAAACACCGTATTCAGAGGTAACCAAGCTCAAAATGGAGGTGCGATTTATATTTCCAATAGCTACAGAGATTTAGAAATCAACGTTACCAGTTCCATCTTTGAAGACCAAACTGTATCTAAATCAGGTGGTGCAATTGTAAGAAATTTTCTATGACTTTATTATTTTTTGATACAAAAGACAATCAACTAACTGTTCATTTTAAAAAAAGTATATTTCTACACCGTACCCAGGTAATATCTATCTCAATTTGTTTGAATCTATATTTTTGAATAATGTTGCCAAGTCATATGCAGGTGGAATTTACTTCCAACAAGTCCCAATTTCTTTTATTGGTGGACTTTTTAATGGTTCAAGAAGTAGCGAGTAACTATTAATTTAGAACTTTTTTATATAATTTATACTAATTTTTTTATAGAATTCAATCAGGTACTTTCTACTCATTATCAACCACCAATATCAACATCGTTTCTTTCTCTAATATTAATGAAATTTCAGTAAACTATGTCCCATTCTATGATGAAGCTTATTTCTCAATGGTAATTACATAAATTTTTATACAGTAATCACCAACAAAATTTTCTAATTGTTTTTTAATTCAGCCAAAAGCACTTGGAGCATTTGGTCAGTGTGTTAAAGGTTACGCCACAATCGATGAATACGGTGATGTAATTAGTTGTAAATGCTACAGCGGTGGAAGTGGTCCACATTGCACATAATATTGTTAAAATCAATAAATATACTGCTCTTTGTTAAGATGATTAATTTTATGTATTTGTTTAGTTCCATTAAGTGACAAAGAAAAAAAATTTTAAAAATTTTCTTATGTTTTCAATTATTTCAGAATTATTCAGTCTACCTCTGCCACAATGATCATTGTGGTTGATCCGTTTTTCTTTCAATAAAACTATTTGACTCTAAAAAGTTCTCTGTCTTACACTTTTTTTTTTTTTTTTTTGTTCTAAACAAAATGACTCTGCGAGCACCAAATTGTGGGTAGACTAGTAAAAGTGACTATCTTTAAGATATTAATTTGGTTGCAGAATAACAAATAATATTTATTAAAAAAAATATAAATCAATCATATAGAGCAGTTTACTTAAAGCTAAATGATACTTGACTGATACACTGAGACTCTATTAAAAAATTAATATTAAGTTTGTTTATTAATAAGTTAATCGGATTTTCCATTCGATTTTTTTGGTCTTCTCTTTGGTTGAAAGGGAATGGAGTTGGTAAGTTGTTCACTTATCACTCTGAATCCATATGTCTGACCAGATGATTGTTGAGACGGACTTGAGTGTGGGTTGGGTGAAAGTGTCGGTGATGAATTTGACTCTGTTGTATAATGATTATTTATCGATTGTTGTAAATTCATCATTTGAAGTGGAATATTGGGGTTTTGTGGCTCGTTGGGTATAAAATAATATGGTTGATCTGAAGGTGATGGTATGGATGTTTTATTTCTTTTAATTGCTGGTTGTGATGCAGGGTGAAATTGGTGTTGTTGCTGTTGTTGGTGTTGAAAAGAGTGATGCTGGAATGGAATATAAGTAGGTGTTGTGTGGTGAATTGGAATCTGTGATGGATGGTGCTGATGTTGTTGTTGATGTTGGTGCTGATGTTGTTGATGTTGTGGTTGCTGGAGTGGATGGTGTTGATATACAGGTACTGGTTGTTGCAAAACGGGTGTTGTTATTGGATATCTTTGTGGAGGTGGTTGTTGATTCACAATGTAACCATGCTGATACCCTTCATAGTATGGTGGGGTGTTTTCATTACTGTTGTATCGGTGATATTGGATTGCTGGGGATTGCTGGTGATGATGTGGATATGGTTGTGGTAATAATTCCACTTTTTGTGAATATTGATGTTGTTGTTGCTGTTGTTGTTGATGTGGAATTTGTTGGTCATATTGAAAACTATCCTTTCTTTTTCTATCATTACTATTATTATTATTGTTATTTCTATCTGGTATACTATTATTAATATAATTATTGTTGTTGTTGCTGTTATTACTGTTGGAAGTGTTATTATTGTTTTGTTGTGAAGAAAAACTTGGAGTTGGTGTACTTGATGACCAACGATTCATCAAACGCATATACTTTTTACGGGTGGAAGTGACGGTTCTACCTAGTTCACTGGCGATCATACGCCAACGGTTCTCAGACTCTTTTGACTTGAAGGATTGTGGATCAAGTTTAAGGACCAGCTCTAGTAGCTGGCAACACTCTTCCTGAGACCATAGCTTACGTGATGAAACAGGATGCTCTCCTACACCATTGTTTGAGGAACCATACTTTTGGCTCTGCTTTTGTGACTGTCTATCATCATCAGAATCATAGTTTCCAGCAGGTATTGAATCCAATTCACCACTTGAACCACCTTCATCTCCCATCACGAACTGATAAATATTATTTCCATTTGTATCGTTTTGATTGGTATTATTACTGTTATTACTACTATTACTATTGATATTACTATTATTTGTGTTACTAGTAGACATAGACTGTTTGTCCTCTTGAATTGGTGGTGAAGAAGTTGGTGAAACTAAAAAATTTCCATTCATAATTGAATTTAAAACCATTTCATTTTGTGTTCCTTTGTTTTTGTTGGTATTGTTGGAGTTGTTGTTGTTATTATGATTATTAGTTAGGTTGGAGCTTGAAATTGAGTTGGTATTTAAAATAGAGTTTGGATTTGAGTTGTTGCTGTTGGGATTATTATTTACTAAAAAACTATTGTTAATAAAACTCTTGGCGAGTTGACTGAAATTTAGGTCCTCCTCTTTATCTTTTGTATTTAATGAGTTTGTCTTGGTTGGAAGTGGAGGAAGTGATGATGTTAAATCTGGATGGCAAAACGTTGATCCTGTGATGGGTGAGGAAGACGTAGAACTGTTTTGTGGGGCAGTGCTAGATACATTGGGAGATGCTGATGAAGATCCAATTGAAAGTTGTGGCGCCATTGACGATGGAGAATAACCACTACCAGTTCCATTGGTTGCAGTTGATACAGAGGCTTTACTACTGGTAGTGCTACTGTTTCCGGTGGTGGTGCTGCTGCGGTCACTGTAGTTGGTGACAGAGATTATTGTAGAATTTAATGGACTACCGATGCTACCTCCAGAATGCGATGTCTCTGGTTGGTTTGAATCATTTTCAGAGGAGGAGTGTAAAGAATTACCAAACAATAGACCAGAAGTAGAATTGTTTAAAGAGGGTGCTGGTAGTGGCTTCTTTAGAGAGTGTTTGGATAGTGGATCATCACCACTGTTGCTGAGCATCCTTAGATGATCAAAGTCTATTTCACTATCCTTTCCATTGTTCTTTAGAATATGATTGCCATTGCGATTATTATCCGTCGACGATGATGAATTCTGATCTGCACAGAGTAGACCACCAATTTTCATTAAATCAGACATCTAACAAACTAAACAACCAGCTTAAAAAAAAATGATATTGAAATTGAATTATATATATATTTCTTTTATTTCTAATCCTAATATTATTAATAAGAAAATTAATTAAAAATTAATTGGTTTGTGCTCTTTTTTGAGATAAATAAATATAGTTTGATATTGATAGATTAATAATATTATTATTACAAATAAATAAATAAATAAATAAAATGAACAAATGAATGAAGGGAACTAAACTACTACTAATGGATGATTGGGTGTAGATTGTCAGTTGTTTGTTTCGAAATCCAATCCATTGGATCTGTCAATCGAAACAAAGTCAAGCAGCACCACCACCACAACCACCTATGGTAAAAAAAAATACAAAATATTATTTTAATAATCTCAAAGCGGCATAGAGGTGTGTATGATTGTTTCTTTAAAGAGAAAAGAAATTTTATCAAACTATTAATTAGTTGATTAATAATATCATGGGTGGTGTCTGATAATACGGTTGATCAGCCTATCATTGAATAAGAGGCAAAAAAAAACAAAAAAAAAAAAAAGTAAAAGGAGACAAACAGAAACGAGCGATCGTAGACCATGTCTCTCTGGGTCAAAGTGTGGTGTGTTGGTTTTGGATTTGGAGATTTTGTGGACCACACTGCTTGCAAGGAGATAGAACAAATCGTTCAAAAAAAAAAAAAAAAAAAAAAGAAATATAATAAAAATAGTTTGAGGTGGTTCATATGAATCTAAAAAAAAATGAAAAAAAAAAACTATGTTCAAAAAAAATAGATAGATGGTTTGATTTAAGGACACATGTGGAGTCATAAGGGGGTGACATGGTTTTGTTGTGATGTAGTTTTGTATATTATTTTTTTGAACTAGGTCCCGATAAGGAATTTCCTTTTGTTTTCATTTTTTTTTGTTTTTTTTTACATTTTCATATCAACAAGATTTGAATAAACGATTTGATTGGATCATCATTGTCAAACATACATACAAATGGTTAGTTTGTCAATCAAATGATCAAATTTCACGGGTGAAAAAAAAAAAAAAAAGTTGAATAATTATGATTTGCCGCAAATCATGCATGGACTTTTGTTTTTGAAAAGGTACCGAGCACAATTGAAATATGTGGCACCCTCTTAGGGTCTGTGTGAAAAAAATATGAACAAAATATTTTAAAAATACACTAATTTCAAAGATTGAGGGTTTTTTTTATGGGGATTTGATTTTAGACTATTGAACTTTGATTTATTGATGTAATTTTTGGTTTTTGAAAGATTTTTTAGAATTTGGCAAGAAAAAAAACACCCAAAGTGGTAAAAATTAACAAAAATTGATTAATTTAATTAATTCATTTTAAAGCTTTTTAGTTTTTGGTGAGGGATCAACAAAAAAAAAAAAAACAAATTACGAAATGTTACAAAAAAATAAAATAAAAAAAAATCATGTTTGTTTTTAAAAAGTTATTTTGATATTGATGCTTACCTTTTGAATAGAATTCTATTAAATTTTAACTAAATATTATTATTATAATTGTTACTATTATAACTTGTGTAGTGTTACAGTTTATACAAAAAAAAAGTGATGGTTTTTCTATTTCTATTTTCTTTTCTTTTTTTTTTTTTTGATTAATTGAAGTTGTCAAAGTAGTGTTTGGTAAGTGGTATTACTAAATATTTAAAGAGATTAGGGTTTTTATATCTATGTGGTTGTGTGTTGAATCTTATTTGAAACAAATACTAGACTAGTGTGAAATGAGTGCAAAGTTTGAATAGGTTATTTTTATGGAACTGTTGTTGATCAATTTATTGTGTATATATATCTAATAAATACATCTAAACAACATTTGGTTGTAATTGGTTACTGAGTTTAAACAAAAAAAAAGTGAAAAATAAATAAAGAAATTAAAATAAATAAAGAGTTGTTGGTTGGTTGGTTTTTTTTTTATTTGTTGTAATTACTTTGGTGTTGTAATCTTTTGTTATTTGTGATAAAATGGATGCTAAATTTGATGTTTTTTGATTGAAACCAGAAGAAATTAGTTGGTTATTAAACTAAAACAAATTGAAAGTGTTACAATAGTAGTCCTATTTTATTTCAACTTATATGAGACAAAAACAAACAGAAGAACTAAAGAAGGATGGGTGTTTGTTTATTGCTATATTGTTGTTGTTGTTGTTGCCGCAGTGGCTGTTGTTGTTGTTGAACTCACTCTCTGAGGTTGGAAATTAATTCATTCACAACACCTCTCTCCTCTCACATGACAACCACAGGAACAAGTAAAAAAATAAAAATAAAAAGAAAAAATAAAAAAAACCAAAACAAAAAACCTTACTAATAATGGTAATAACCATAAAAAAGGTGTTGTTGACTTGTCGAGAGATTAAATGTCAGAGTTGTGGTGGTAAAATTGTTTGAGATTAAATCAATCCATCAGTCATTCTCACACACACCTTCCAAGGTCATTTCACTAAATAAAATTGATTAATTGAAAAAAAACTGTTTTTCGTCATTTTTGTGACAGTTTTTTTTTTCTTTTTTAATATTTAACAACCAAAACACAACATCATTGAATGTGTGGCATCCACACTCTGTATTTAAATATGGTGTTTGTTTGTGTATTTGTGGAATTAACACCAAGAACTGAACTTATCTCTTGTTTTGTGATCCAATAGGTTCGACACCCATGCCTTGTTATTCTTTGATGAAGTACTTTTGCGAACATTATTATTAGTTTATGACCTAAACGAATGAATGTAATTACACCACCCACACAACAAACACACACTAGTATCAATAAAATAAAAATAAAAAAATAGAAAACAAATGTAAACAGCAATATTGTTTGATGATCCAATTTGACCATTGATCTTAAAAATTGCTTATCAATGACGATCACCAATCCAGAACTACTTGATCATAAAGATAGATCAATCAACAACCACCACCACTGGTGGTTTTTGATTTTGATGTTTTATTGCAGTTATTATTCTTTTCCTTTCTTAGATAGATTCAATGAATGTATGAATGTTTTAAATCAAATTTGACTGAATGACCTCCTATGATTCATTGTTAAAAAGAAATACAAAAAATAAAAAAAAAAGGAAAAAAAAAAGTAAGTTTGGTTTTTCTACTCCTTCCATTTGGTGGAAATGATCAAAGGAGGGGCGTTTTCAAAAACTATTCTTTAATTCTGAATATTAAAACTAGAGAGATATTAAAGATATATATATATTGTTAACTTCTTCATTCAGAAAAGTCAAATTCACACAACTCTGACTTGATCTCAAGCATGCTGAACAATGAAAACAAACTGCAATGTAGTTGGTGATAGCAGTGGAGACAATCCGAATAATAACAATAATCATGACCAACGTAACGATGATGGAAAGAAATTGGTTCAATTAAATAGTGTCAAAAATACAATAAACTTTAACATTTATCACAATGAATCATCGAACATCATACTGCTACTTAATGAAATCGCAACTTTAACAGATCAGAGTGATGATCAAACACAAAGATCTAATGTACCAAAACACATTAAAACTATTGGGTCGTAAGTTAGTTAATGAATATTCATTTCATAAGAATAATAATATTAATCGAAAAGATAACTACCTCTTAACATTACTTTCATTAGATTATTGGTATCAGATACACTTTTGAGTCTTGCTCTAGTGATTTACAATGGATATCGACTGGTCATTGACTTTAAACAGTACAGTGAAGGAAGAATGCCATTTTTAACTAATTCACTTCATCATTTCATTGGAGAATTAACTTTTATTGATACGATTAGTGTTGAATTGGTAAGTAAGATTATTCTTTGTACATTATATTGATGTATGTATGTTCTAATAATGATTTTTTTTTTAATTGATTTATAAACAGAGAGAAAGAATCATCAAATTCTTTGTAAATAATAATATATCATATGTAGGTGGTAAAGACGATGGAATATTAATAGAAACAGTCATTCTAAAAGCAAGACTATTTAAAAATATTGACACCATGGATACCAATCTGTTTGAGTCAGCACTATTGCTAAAAAGAAAGTTTCAATCTTTTTTAGAAACAATTTAAATGTCTGTCATATCTATATCAATCTTTTCAGATGTCTAGATTATATAGATATCGATTGTATTAAACACCCCCGCTGGTGAGTACAACACCAAAATTTTCATTCAACCAAACCCACACATTATCTGAAAATTATAATGTAAGTTTTCAATTAATAAATTCAATTATATTCTACAAGATATTAATAAATATTTATTTTATGTATTTTAGAATGATAATAAATAAAAGTACATTGTTATTCGTCATGGTGTTGACTGCTTTCATTTTTTGCTTTTGCCTGGAAGTAGTTAGCTCAGATCACATTGAGTGTTTCGGACAATTAAGAAAATGTAGAAGTTCAAAGAGTTTTTGCCACAAACAATATGCTAATTGTATTGCCCAAAACTTTTAATAGCAATACCAACCCGGCAATACACAACAGTAGCTAAATAAAACAATAAATAGACTATAGGAATAATCCCATCATTAAAGTTTCATTCCAAAACTCGTTCGTTTTTAAATGCTGCTTATTTTTCGAATTTAGTTTTTTTATTTTTGTCGTGTTTGGCAAAATAGATTTTGGATGATGATAACCACTGATCGTCTAATGAGCTCTGCCTAGGTTGGCTAGGCTTTGATATCAAATTCTCATACAATCACCTTCGAGATTGGTTTCTGATCAAAAAACTACAAACATTTTATCTTTTTTTTTTGTTTTTTTTTTGTTTGACAGTGACGAACTTTGCAGAATCTTTGGTCATACTATTCACAAGACAACACTGTGTTTGTATGTTCTATTAAAACTTAATAAATCTTATCTTTATTGCTTAAAAAAAAAAAAAAGAAGTAAGCTCTGTATTCACGAGATTCCACGTTGATAATAATGCATTACAATGTTGTACTGAGTCAGTCAAGTATCATTTAACTATTTGTGAAACTATTTAGGGGTGATGATTGATTTTTACATATATTTACTGGTTCTGTACCATTCTATCTCTGTGGTTTATGAGATCTATTATATCTATGATATTCATTTAGTATATGATAATCGATAGGATTTTTGATAATAAACTAATAAATAAACTTACTCTCTTTCAGATATCTCCTGAAGTCTAAGTTTCTTGTCTTCTTCTTCTAGTTTCTTTGATTTGACTTTGATAGCTTCTTGTCTGTATTCCTCTTGCTCTAGTTCGAGTATAGAAGGTGCATCATCTCTTCTAAAGCCTAGCCAACTGCTCCATTGTACCGGTATGATACGAGGATTTGGCACACCATCGTAAAACTCTATAGTTCTTTTCTCTTTTCCCTCAAAGTAGTGTTTGTAGTATCTATTGCTAAGTTTATCTTGACCAACCAATTCTTTTGATCTCAAATTAAATCTATCAAGTAGATTCTTAAAGTGATGTACTGCTGTTCTTCCACTCATAATTATTGTCAAGGAATATAAATATTGTTGCTAGTGGTTGTGTTAGTACCACGTTTTGTTGAATTTGAATCAGATAAATGATAAAAAAAAATGAAAAAAGATATGCTTACAAAGGGGGTTTTCTTTATTTTAAAGGTAAAATTTTAATTTTTTTAAATTAATTTTTTATTTTTTATAGTAATTGCTTTAAAGTTTGTAAAAACCAATCAATCAATCAAAAAAAATAATAAAATAATGTTTGCACCTTTTTAATTGACACCCATTAATCCATTAATTCATCAATATTTATTTTTAAAATATAAAACGTCACACACAACAGCAATAGATTTTGATGGTCTTATCTTTGGAAATACATTTTTATTTATGAAATTAATTAGAGTAGTTGGTAAAATAATTAATTGATTTAAATAGATATAGATAGATAATGGCAAAATCATCGATTGATATATATGAAAAATTACATGACTATGAAAATGCAGAGGAGATGTCTCAAATGTTAGGTGGTGGCGGTGGTGGTGGTGCCAATCAGGATCGAGTAGCTAATGAGTACGAACACGATCCAGCGTTTGGACCACTACCAATCTTTTTCTATCCGAATCAATTTACAAAGTACAGTCAGTTGTTGACTGCAACCGATCCACTATCTGTTGCTCTTTTAACAGCTACTTTAACCATAGGTAAATAGTCAATAGATATGTCATTTTAAGACAAAATCCCTTTGGTTTATTTCTAATAATAATATTTTCTAATAACAACAACAATAGGTGATGTCGAATTTTATGAAGCAACCATATTATTTATTCTTTTCAATTTTACTATATTATTTGGTCGTCATTTGATTCTACTGGAATTGGATCTGACAAGTTATGTCCGAAAAAAGCTGTATTGCGGAAGTAGTTTCAAAGCATTGCTAAAAGTTAGTTTTACACATGGAAACGGTGCTCGAATCAGAGACCTGACTATTCTCACACTTTTCGGAATTGGTGGACGTCTTTTATATCTATCATATACTAGCAGTCTTGGAACAACCAATTGGCGATTCTATAACATGTTTTTAGTTTCATGTATTGCTCTGCTTCTATCATTCTTCCAACTGTATGCCTATATCTATTGTTTGTGGTGCGTAAAGATACCACAGGAAACAGAGCGTCGATTGATGCCACACAAACAACGTCACCATCCTGCACGACTACAAGTTGGTACCGTTCTACTGGAGCGTAAGTATTCGCGAACTCTCTGTGAAGAGCTAGCGCAAAAGCACAATGTCCACATCATCTGGATGAAACAAAACCTTTTTAAACCCAACAAACAAATTAAAAATCCCCATGAGAGTATATATAATACTCAATCCATACCATTCTCAAATCCATTCCCATTACATAAACATATCAATTAATAATAATTATTATTATTTAATTAATCAATTTTAACGAATAATAATAAAAAAATAAAACAACGTTGTTATATGTATGTTATTTTTAAAAAACATATTGATTTTGTTTATTGATGATCTAAATCACTGTTATCATTTGTGTTGTTGAACTTTGAGTTAAATATACTATCTTTGATATTCTTCTTTTCCTGTCGCTTTGTCATGATCTTTGATGGCGCAAATACCTTTTTGTTGGCTGGACGTATTCCAACACCTTTGGATCTTGCCGATTGCTTATCGAATTGGCTGACAACTTCTTCGTATCTACCATCACCAAAGTCAGTGAGTGGTGGCAGCTCGACAATCTCTCCTTTCCTATCGATCTTCAACTTTGCCAACATACGATTCGATATCTTGGCATTGGGATTGATTCTAACTCTTGGCAGTCCTTGTCTAGTCATAGGTCCATCGATCTTCTCCAGCATGTTTCTCTTTAGGAGTATCTGTAGTACCGACTTTCTTTCCAATCGATCTTGATGTCTCTTTTCATCGTCAACCTTATCAACGAGTGGTTCACTTTCACCATCGACATGGCCTTCCTCCTCTTCACTACCGTCAGCAACATCATCTTCTTTCCATGGTCCAGGTATCTTTGAGTAGTTTATCTGTTTCGACAAGAGCTTCTCAATGTTCTTAATGAGATGTTGTTCATTCAGTCCAACGACACGCTGACCAACTTCAAATACCAACTTCTCTTTCGATACGAAGCTGAGTGAGAATCCCTCTTTTCCTTGACGACCTACTCTACCGACACGATGAACATAGTCCTCCGATACGTGAGGAACGTCAAAGTTGACAACAGCATCCAAATCTTCGATATCGATACCACGTGCCATAACATCGGTTGCAACAATCACCTGGAATTCATTACCATCTTTGAATTGTTGTACCGTTTCCACTCTCTTTGCTAGCGACATATCAGCATGAATTGGTAATGCCTTAATACCTTCCTCTCCCAACGATTTAACTAAATTATCAACTCTTTGTTGTGTTCTTGCAAATATCAATACTTTTGAATTCTATTTTTATTAAAAGTGAAATATAGAAAAGTTAATTAGTATATATTAGTTTGTATGTTTCTTTAGATAAACTAGTTAATATTTACCTTTAAAGATGTTTTTCCACCTCTTCTAAAGAAATATAAAAGTAAACTACGTTTCTTACGATGATCTATCAGGTAGAAGTGTTGACGAACTTCTTTTGGTGGTTGTAGATCTTTGTTGAAATTCTCCATGATGTGATATGGTGAGAAACGCGTTATTAGGTCATTGTGTTTCTCAAAGTTGATGGTTGCAGAGAACAAAGCAGTTTGCATTCCATTTCTGTTTTTATGAGCGATGAGTGGCATCGAATCGAATATCTGTTTGACATCCGGGAAGAATCCATAGTTGAAGAGTTTATCGAATTCATCGAGTACCGTCATGTGCACTTGACGCAGACTGAGATTACCTTTACTGAGTTGCTGTAGAATGGCACCTGTAGTTCCAACTAAAATATCGACACCGCTCTTTATCTTTTTCTCCTGAGTGAACTCACCGACTCCACCGAATATATTTACAATCCTAATGCCATCCATATACTTTGAGAGTTGTTCAATGTGTTCTGTCACCTGAATGGCCAACTCTTTACTTGGAACAATAACCAATCCAATTGGATCAAATCGATTCAACTCTTTTGTATTAATAATTGGGATTTTTAATTTTGTTGTTGTTGTTTGAATAACTACTTCCGCCTGACCATTTTCCTCTTCTTCTTCTTCTGCATCTACTTCTTTATCTTCTTTTTGTTGTTGATTATTATCTTCTTTATTTATATTATTATTTATGATGTTTTGTTTTACTGTATTGACAATATGTAGTAGTGGAATTGAATATGCAGCAGTCTTTCCATTTCCAGTCTTTGAAGATGCCAGTACGTTTCTGTTATCTAGTATATGTGGAATGATTGCAGTTTGAATATCGGTTGGCTTTACCCAATCTGTATCTTGAATGGCTTTCCACAGAGGTTCTTCCACTCTATCTTTAATCTTTCTCCAAAATCTGTTTTGTTCTTTGTGAAATAGTTCATCAATCGATACCGAACCATCTTTATTATTTTTTACTCTTATATTATTGAAATCTGATTTTGTACAATAAGTGTTGTTAAAACTATTATTATTATTATTATTATTATTATTATTAAAAGTACCTATATTATTACTATATCTATTATTAAATAAACTACTTGTATTTACTATATTATTATTATTAACACCAACATTGCTATTATTAATACTACTATATTTAAAAGGTAATGACAATTGTGTAATTGAACATTTTAAGTTTAAACTAGAAAATGTAGTTGATCTACTTATATATCTATATAAGCCACTCATCGCTACAATCAATGATCAATCATCTAATGAGTAATTTAACACATCCCTAAAATAGTTAAAAAAAAAAAACGAAGTGAAACACATAAAAATTTGTCGTTTTTTCATTTTTTTTAATAAATATTTAATCGATGATTATATTTCATTTGCTTTTATTTTGTTTCTATAGGTTTCCATTATTCTTGCCATTGCTCTAAGATTATGTTGTGTTGCAAGTGTGTAAAATATTTGTTCGTTTGATTTGTAGAGATGATGAATATAGGCTTTAGAGTAGTTTGTGCATGTCGGACAATCGCATGTCTTGTCGATTGGTTCATCGTGTTTTGTTTTGTATTCGCTTTTTGTAATGAGGAATCTTGTGTTGTCCTGTAGGATAAGTGCACCGTGACGTGCTGCTCTCGTGGGATAACTAGAGTCGAATGTATCGATACCCAACGGCATCAATCTCTCTATCGATTCCAAGTCGCCGATGCCAAGTAGATGATTGGGTCGCTCTCTGGGCAGCAACGGCATCAGCTGATTCAAGAGATGATGCATTTCATCACGATCCTTTCCAATCGATCCACCGATTGCCATTCCGTCGAATGGGAGACTCGAGAGATACTCTGTGCTCTGCTTTCTCAGTTCCATATCGACACCTCCGTGAATAACAGCATAGATAGCTTGCTTTCTCGGATCGGCAAGATGTGCCAGTAGCGACTGTGCTTCCCAGTGGTGAGTACGATGAAGAGAGTCACGAACTCGCTGTGCATCCAAGTGGTAGGGTGGTAGCTCGTCGAACGGAATGATAATATCGGCACCCAATTGCTTTTGATAGCGAATCGATGTCTCTGGTGTCAAGAGAATTCGTGATGCTGTTTTATAGCTTTTGAAAGCAACACCTTGGTCGGTGATCGATTCGATCGAACCCGGATATTGTTTTCCAGACATTCCTTTCAATTCCCGCTTTGTCAACTCTAGTGATCTCACATTAATGTCACTCTCATCGATTGGAGTTGACTCTGCGTCGATTGGCATCGATTGATCTCTGTCGGGATGTCCCATACTGAATACTTGGAAACCACCACTGTCTGTAATGATAGGACCGTTGTAGTTGATAAACTTATGTAATCCACCGACTCTCTCGATTAAATCCAGATCTGCATTCACCAACATATGATAGGTATTTACAAACATTAGCTGTGTTCCTTGTTTTCTAGTGGTTTGTGGATCGACAAACTTTATTGATCCAACCGTTGCAACGGGAACAAAGTTTGGTGTTTCTATACTATTCTAATATTCAATAATAGTTGTTATTAATAATAAAACAAAAACACAAAGAATAAGAAACAAACTTACATTCCATTAGGAGTTGTAATATTGGTTACTCTAGCACTCGATTTTTTTGACTGATGAATCACATTGAATTTAAAGTGATCTTGTTTTATGATTGGAAACTCTGATGGATCTCTCAAAGGTTGAGTGTAAAGACTATTTTTTTTTGATCTTAGTAAACAACTTGATACTCTGAACATTATTATTAAAATCGAATATTATTCATTAGTTGTTTGGAATAGTAAGTAATTTTGATGAATGAAAAAACGAAACTAGATTTTTTTTTTTTGTTTTTTTAATTTTTTTCTTTTTATTATTTTAGTTCATTTACAATAATAAAAAAAAAAAGATAAAACACTATCATTATTTTTATTTATAGCTAAATTGAATCACTCATCAATTTCGATCTTTCAGCTTGAATGGTATCTAAGACCTGTTTTAATCTTTTCATTTTTAATGGTTTGACAATGAAATCTACATTTTACATATAATTAGTTAGTATATATATAATAAAGGATCTCGAGGTTGAATATTATATTTAACTATTTACCATCCATTCCCATAGATTTACAAAAATCTTTTGAGCCATCGAGTACAGTAGCAGAGAGTGCAATAATGATGACTTTTGGCTTGTTTGTTATCTGTTCGAAAGATCTTATCATAAGACTCGATTGAGCACCATCACAATTTGGCATTGTCAAATCCATGAATATTAAATCGTATTGTCCTTCTTTGTATTTATTATATCCTTCATTTCCATCTTCTGCAACATCACAATCGTATCCAAGTTTCTTTAGTTGCATAGATATAACTTTTCTATTTACAGCATTATCTATAGATTTGATTATTTAAATTATTAGTAAATTATCAATTACAAATCAAATCCAAAGAGTAATTTACACATTACCTTCTACTAATAATATTTTTAATTCATTATCTTTAAATCTATCAAAGAGTTCCATTGATGATTTTCTACTGCCATTCTCGTATTGCATCAGATTCTGATAGCCAATGTTGTTCTCCCAGTACTGTTGATTCAGTATCTTTGAAAGATTGATGGTGGAGAGTGGCTTGGTGAGTAGGATAAACTTCCTTTCCTTTGGTACCAACTTTGAATTTGCAAAACTAGTGACCAACATCACTTTGATGTTTGTATGTTGGTAGAACTCTGAGGTGTCCTGTGCCAATTTGATGAAACTATTGATATCCTTGTGCTCACGATGCACCAACATAATCATTGTCAAGAACTGATTGGCAAAGAGACACTGTGTCCAATGATTGCTTTGCTTCATATAGAGTGCGTCTTCCAACTGCATCGATTTCACCAATTGCACTTTGATATTGTTGAGTTGTTCGATCTTCTTTATCATTATCTTTCCACCAAACGGATAGTCATCCACCAGAATACAGAGATTCGAAGTTTGATTGCTCTCGACTGGCATGGGTGGAGCCATTGCATTGGCAAGATGCATTTCCGTAACTTCCTTGAAGATTGCTTTGATTGAGAATATCGAACCTTTGCCAGGTTGACTCCAGTCGAGACTGACATCGCCATCCATTAGCTTGGCAAGTGGCGAACAAATCGCCAGTCCCAATCCGGAACCACCATACTTCCTGGTTGTTGAGCTATCCAACTGTGAGAATGGTTCAAAGAGCATATCTCTCTTTTCAGGCTCAATACCAATGCCAGTGTCTTGAATGGATACACATATCTGTACAGTTCCACGCTCTCTAGACACCACAGAGATATGACCAAAAACATGACCCTTATCAGTGAACTTGATAGCGTTATGTCCAATATTCAAAATGATTTGTCTGAGTCTATTTGGATCACCAATCAACTTTGTTGGAACATCTTTCTCAAATAACAAGATTATTTCAATCTTCTTATCCAATGATATCGACAGAGTATTAAATACACCTTCAATACAACTAAATTTCAATGTCAACATTTTAGTAAATATCATGAATTAAATTTACATGTTTCTAAACAAACTTACCCAATAAAATCAAACTCTATCATCTCCAACTCTAATTTAGATGCTTCAATCTTTGAGAAATCCAAAATATCAGAAGTAATCGATAGAAGTAACTCTCCCGATTTGTAAATGGTATCGGCAATTTCATATTGTTCTGGATTTAACTTTGATGTTAACAGCATCTCTGCCATACCAATAACACCATTCATCTAAGTTGTATTATTAATATTAATACCAATTGTTCAGCTTAATTTTAAACAATATGTATGTTGTTGTTACTTACAGGTGTTCTTATTTCATGTGAAATAGTAGCAAGAAATTTAGATTTCATTTGAATCGCTTTCAACGCTCTATCTCTTGCTTCCACCAACTCTTTGTTCTTACAGGATAGTTGGTGATTCACCTCCTCCAGAGAGTGTTGAATCTGCTTACTCTCGGTGATGTCTCTAATCACTACCATAATACCCAATGGCATTCCATTCTGATCGAATATCTCGCGAAGTGAAACCTCCGTAAAGAACTCCTTGTCATCCATTCTGGTGAGAGTGATCTCCTTGACAACGGTATCTTTAGTACCACTCTTTATCAAACTATGCAACGCCTGATAGATCTCTTCCTTTCCCTTCTCAAACATCGATATATTCTTACCGAGACACGTCGAATCGAACCCCATAATCTGGTTGATCGCACCAAACTCTCTTACAATAACACCTTGATTATTTACAAGAAACATACATGATGGGAATTGATTCAATATAATCTCTGACAAAATCAATTCTTCTCTAACTAAAATAATAGTATAATAAAATAATAATGGTTAATTTCAAATTGTTTTGGATGATATATATCAATGATTCATACTTTTTCTTCCTTCTAATTCAGATGCAGCTCTATTGGAGATTACTGCTAGCATCGATGAACTTAGAAGACCAGTATTGATCGGATATTCTCCCATGATAAAGATATGGCCAACTGCACCACCCATGGGGCCAATAAGTGGCACTCCAAGATATGACTTTATATTGTTATCCGTTATGAAATCATCTTTTGGAAATACCTCTGGAAGTCTAAGAACAATCAATTGATAGTTTTAAAGATAATGTTAGTTGTTGGTTAATATTTATTTATTATGTTTGTTTTGTAATAACATACTTTTCATTCCAAACCATTACTTTCTTTTCACTATATAATTTACCACATGGAGTATCGTTCAATAGAATACTTCTGTTCTCCAAGATAGTTGATTTTTCACATAGAACAAGTGTTACTGCATGTGAAGGTGACACTTGTTGACATACACCAGCAAACTTTGCTTTGAAGACATAACATAGCTGTTTAGACATCATCTGAAAGAAATCCTCGGCAGTCGATGTACTGAACTCCACAATCATATACAATAGATTTTCATGAATCTTTCTCTCGACTTCATATAAAGTATGCTTTACAATAAATCTGTTTTGTTTTGTTTTGTTTTTAGTATTGGAACTGAAATTGATTATTTGGATAGTTTTTTACTTACTTTAAAATTAAACTTTTTAATAACCATTCCATTTCCATTTGGGAGATGGGTTCGATTTGAATCTCTCCACAGAGTTGGTGGGAGTATAGAGGAATACGCATCGTTGTGTTGTTTTCAAGGTATGGTGCGGAATCTTGTTTCGATTGAAGCGAACCCGATGGATATCGCTCGCCTGCACATCCATATTCACCGTTTTGAAATTGGAGAATGGTGCTCATCTCGACGTTGCCCGGGTTGATCTCAGAGATGGTGATTCTCTTCTCTGTACCAAGAAACTTGTTGAAACAATTGATTACCGTTGGAAAGAAAGCGTCACGCGATGAAGTTACAATACTCTCGAAACACTCGAGCTCTGAGAAATTGATAGTGACCTGTGAAGAAAGACATGGTGATAACTCGAAATTCAACAGTCTCTTTCTTGTATTTCCACCGCTATTATTATTATTAATCGATGAATCACTACTACTACTACTACTATTATTATTACTATTATTATTTATTGTTATATTATAATTATTATTAATAGTACTACTTGGACTATTATTAATACTATTATTATTATTATTGTTAGGTGGATTATTATTATTTTTATAAATACTATTATTATTATTACTATTACTATTAATATTATTATAATCAGATGTTGACATATTTAAAGGTGACATTGGTTGGAATGAAGATAAATTTATACAAGGTGAAGATTTACTATGTCTATTGGCTAGTGAATTAATACTATTGGTTTTGTTTTGATTTGTTGTTGTTGTGTTTGTGTTTGTGTTTGGACTTAAATAGTTGGTTTTTGGTGTTGTAAATGAAAATGGAATAGTGTTGGTTGTTATTGTGTCTAGTGTTGCGGGTGGTTGTTGTTGTGTTTGTGTTTGTGTTTGAGGTGGTAGTGGTGGTATCGATGTGAGGGGTGGTGAAACTTTTGATAGGTTGATATTGTCGATTCGCAATGGCGAAGGAGTAGTAACACTTCTAGGCATTTCAGATGAATAGGAATCCATTGGTGTAGGCATAGAAGCTGATGATTCTACTACCTCTCTAGTTGGCATTGTAGTTGTTGTTGTAGTTGCTGTTACTGCCTCTGGATTGGTTGATGCAAGTGGCGGAGTTAAGAAAATAGACGATGAATCCATTAGCTCCATTTCGAAATGGTAAGCACTACTACTACTATCACAGTTTATAGATGATGAAGATGTGATTGATATATCCATATTCTCTTCTTCGTCATTATTGTTATTACTGTTATTGTTTTTGTTGTTATTATTATTGATGTCTTCTTCTTTGTCGTCGTCGTTGTTGTTGTCAATGATTACTCCAGGTTCTGATTTATCAATAATGTTGTTGTTAGTGTTATTACTATTGTTGTCTTCGAATATATAGTTGTTGGTATCGACATTGTCATTATCATTGTCATTATCGTTGGCACTGGCACTACTACTGCTACTACTGCTGCTACTACTACTTGTACTATCGGTAATACTATTGATATCTTGAAGGAATATGGTAGTAGTACGATTATTAATATTTGTAGATGTTGTTGTTGCAGATGATGATGCAGCACTATCACCAATTTTGGAATTCAAATCTATAGATTCATCTATGATACTAGTGATTTTAATGCCCGTAAAAATATGGGATGGTGTAGTTGGTGTAGAACTGTTTGAGTTGGGAGTGTATTCCGTGCTTGTCAAAGGTGGAGTCAAACCACCAAATTTATCCATTTTTCAATGAATTTTTGCGATTTTTTAATTTATTTACCAATATTGGGAGTTGTTTTATTATTATTAAAAGACAAGTGTTTTTAGGGTGAAACACCTCTTTTAATTATCATTATTTTCAAACTAGACTTCAATGATAATCTTATTAAAATAGGAATATATAAATATTTTTCCAAAAAATTTTAGTTTTTATATAAATAGGATATTAAATTGGAAATAATTAATTCCAAAAATATAAATAAATATTTACAATAATAAAATGGTATTTTGTTTTTTTTTAAAAGTTTTAAATATTTTTAATTTTAGAAATTAGAAAGTGTGGTTTTAAACAAAAGTTTGAATATATAAATTTAAAGAGAGGTGGTGTGGAACAACACTGTTTTAAAAATAAAATAAAAGGGTATTTTTTACACCAAAATTAACTAATCTTAGATTCAATTGAATTCGAAACTTTTTTTGTTTGTAAGAATTATGTAAAAAGAAAATATATTCTATCTTTACTATAAATATGATTGATTAATAATAATATTGTAATGTATTAAGAATAAATAAATTTGACAATATACAATTTTTAACATTTTTTGAAAAACATAATAAAAAAAATATGAAAAAAATAAAATAAAAAAAAATATGATATATTATTATATATCTGGAATTTGGTTTTCTGTTGAAGTAAGTTTGTACTTTATTAAACACCAACTGAATTGTGCTTGATGAAACTATCAGGGAGTGGTGATGAAGGTTAATTTTGTTTTAAAAAGTGTCGTTTGGAATTCTAAAGTATTAAAAAAGTAGAGAGTACAGAAACTGAATAAAAACATTGAGGATAAGTATCGGTGGATGAATACAAGGTGCGAATAGTTTAAATTAAGTTGATAGTTTCAAGATTGTTTTTCAAAAAAAGAGGATATCAGAATTGAGATTACTTTAGTATCAATTTAAACAATTGGCTGTATGGCCCAGAAGCAAGGTTCTATCTAAAAAAAGAATATCAAAAAAAAAGAATTACAAACATCACTTCTCAATAGTTCAGAAGTTGAAGAACTACCTATTACAATTGGCCATCTTTATGATTGAATTGAAAAATTTGAAAATGAAATGAAAACAACAAAAACAAAACATGAATGTTCATATTTTAATTTACTTTTATGGAAATAATTGTGCACAAAATTAGTCGATTCGAATTTTATCATTATTAAATATGTGTGAAGGGTGGTTGTTGTCTATAGACCTTTATTATTCTGATTTTTTTAAGTTCGTTTATTAAATTGGATAGTCGACCATTATTTATTATTTTATTTTTAATTATTTTGTTGTTTGTTGTTGTTTTGATAATTTCAAGTACCTTTTCCTTCTCCCCTCCTTTTGTTTTTTGTGTGCAATTTTGTTTGTTTGTTTTTGTGAATGAGAATCGAACCAACATAAAAACAAAATCATCAAGAATTGCAATCTAGAAGAGAGAGATTTAGGTATGTTTTGAAATTTTAAATTATATACATGGTGTTGTTGATTTAATCGGTGAATATTTGTTGATGTAATATAATACTTTCTATATATGATGTATTGTGGTGTGAATTTAGAATTACAGAAATCGGTATAAATGTACATATATATATATTTAAGATCAGTTTTATCTTGAACTGACAGAAAACATTTCGATAGAGTCTGTGCCATTTATATGATCGTCACGGTGAAACTCTGAATTTTCATTCTCTTTTGGATCTGACTCTATACTTTTACTCTCAACAACAAAATTAGTTGAAATAGTATCATTTTCAACCAATGCTGCTGAACTACCATCCAAAATAATATTCTTATTTTCATAGCTGTTATTGGATGTTAATTGATTATTAATATTACTGTTACTGTTATTATTACTACTGTTATTTTGATCTTGATTATTTATACTAGTATCAATATCTATATCGTTGTTGATACTTCCATTTTGATTGTTTGGTTGATCTTTATTGTCTTCTGACTATAAATATATTTTTATTTAAATTTGAAAGAAAAGAAAATGAAAGAAAAAAAAAGGTTAATTATCATGTTTTGATTGATATATATATTTTTTGATCAAATAAAATATATAAAGATAAATTCTTAAATAGAAATAGTTGTAATATAGATATAATATAATAAGTAAATAATTATTTATTAATTACATATTCGGGTTTTGGAGGTTCGCTTTGATAGTAGTCAGCGGATTTCTCTTGTTCTTCCTTTGCTTTCTTCTCTGCCTCCTCAGCCTTTCTCTTCTTGCGATCTCTTATCAAGTAGTAGGCACAGATAACGATTAAAACTATTTCCTGGACTGCTGTGGCAAGATATGGGAACCTAGAATTATGTGATCTATTTGTTAGTATAATCTTTTCTTTAAAATCACAACTTTCTTCTTTCTTGTTTCCTCTTGTCAAAAGAAAAAAAAGGAAAGTTAAGTTATCTTTTTTCTATAGTTCATTCAATTTACCATGTAATCCATGATTGAGATAGTGAGAGTTGGAAGTAACAAACTAACAATGCACCTGGTACTTGAATACAGAGAGATACCAAACTGAGGCTACCGATTTCATCGGAGATCCAAGTTGTGTAGATTTGTGGTAACCATTGGAAGAACACTAGAATCGCTGCCATGACACCCATTGCAAATGCATAGCCAGAGAGTTCGTTAGACTTTGAACCGTAGCTGTAACACAGTGCAACACCAATACCAAAGAAGATAACAGTTGCTATGTTTGTACCCCAGAAGAATGGCTGACTGTACCAATCCATACGAATAAAGAATCGCTCGATCTTATTGTTACCCTGTTGCAAGAGGAAAGAGTCTGGTGAGAGTTCACGCTTTCCTTTCTTTGAATCGTGATTCTCATTTTGCAAGAACGGTGTAGACGATCCGCTGCTGCTGGCAGACGACGATCCACTTGTCGAACCGTTTGGCGAGCTATCGCCACTTATATTGACCTGCTGCTTCTCTGGTGCTTCAGCATCGGCCGGTGCATTCAACACTCCCTGAGCCTGCTTACTCTTTGCATCGGCAATAGCAGATAAAGGTGGCAGTTTTGGTCTGAAAATAACATACAAAGCAAAACTATTATAATATAGATTATATAATTAAGTTAATATTGTTATTCTATTTCCAACATCTACCTTTCTAAATAATAGTATCTAATAATCTGATAATTACATTAAACCTGTAGTTACAAAAGGAACAGCCATCTGTACGACTGGCAATAGATTCTCAAAGCAAACCCAGTGGGTCATCCAATCGTGGCAACATTCGAAAACGAACCAATTCAAAAACAAACTGTTCAAAAACGTTCCCATACAATTCGCATAGTTGAACCAACAACTAATTACAGATAGACCTTCGACATTCTTTCTGAAAATCAGCACAAGAATCTGAAACAAGTAGTAAAAAATAAAGAAAATATTTAGTTGATGTCTTTAAAAAAAAAAGATAATTTGAATGTAATTAAGACATTCATACCTGTGGTAAAAAGGAAAGGAAAATACCAATCGATAGCAGGAATCCCAATACAATATCGGATGTTGCAAAATCTGTTGTACAGACAAACTTATTGGCACTACTCATATCTTGCAAGGTAATATGAGCAATTCAGAATATATATATATATAATTACTATTTAAAGTCGAAAGTACTATCTATTAATTTTATTTATTTATTATTTTTACTTAAAAATCCCTATACTTCTTAATCTCTTAAAACATATAAATATTAATTTTATATAACTATTATTATTATTATTATTATTATTATTACAAATCTAAATAAATATCTTTTTTTATTATTACAAAAAAATCTGAATATTTTACAAAACAACAACAATACAATTGAACTATAAATTTAATTAAATTGATATATGATTGATTGATTGATTTGAAACTTGGTTGAAGATATTTGAATTATTTATTATTATTATTATTAGTTATCTTTGTTATTTTAAAAACTAAAAAATATGGTTAATTATTCTTTTTAAAAGAAAAGAATGAAATAACAATAGTTGTTATAAGTAGTTGATTTTATCTTTATAATATTTATATGTATGGTTGAGTTGAATGAGTGAGTGCGACTGCTAAAACAGCTACTACTCAATAAAGAGGTATTTGGCAAAAAAAAAAACTATAAATTTTGTTCAACTCTCATTGATAGAATCTTATAGTACTACCCCCACACTTTTAATATTTTTATCTGACTCTTGTAAGCAACAAGAATAATAATTAGGGGTGATAATGTTGTGTGTGTGTGTGTGTGTGTTTTGTATTTGTGTGTGTGCTCTTTTTGCTATTTTAAAAGTTATGATAGAAAAATAAAGAATGATACTGTTTTACTATTTTTTTATTGCAATAATAGTCAGTTGTTTTTTTTTTGTTTTATTTTTGTTTCCATTTTTTGTGATAATTTTCAAAAAAAAAAACCTTTCGTTTTGAGTGATATGTTATGTGGTATGTGGTGGGGGAAATATCGATGAAATTTAAATTTAATTGGACATATGCAAAAATAAACTGGTTAGATTCATCACTATTAAATCTACTATACCTCAAATCAATTAAATTGAAAAGGATAATATAAATAAAATATTTGTTACTACTTTAAAATAATAATAATAAATAAATAGTTATAGAATTCGAATTATATTATTTAAATTAAATTGGTGAGTTTGAACATTCTAAAAATTTCAAAGTAATATTTCGAAAGGAATGAATGCGATAATAATAATAGTTGAAATAATAATTTTGGTGATAGTCGATCCGAATTTACAAAAAATGTGATAGAAGAATTGAATTAACTGTCAGTTAATGGTGAGCGGGTAAAAAAATCAAATAATATAAAATTTCAGTGTGTTAACTTGGTATCTACACACACATAATTGTAATTGTTCTATCATGACAACGAGTATTGTGTGATTGTAATATAATCAACAAATTATATATATATGAGATTTGATACGATTATATTTATAATTTTATTGTAAATAGATATATTGTTATTAAATACAAGTTCCCATTTCCGGATTCCGAAATGAACAATGAATGGATGGATTATATGAGGAAGATGATATGTTATGTGAGGGTGTAACTGGAATGAGTAAATGAATGAATGAATACTTTAATTTGAATTGAACTGTAATTAATTACCTCTTTTGTTTATTTTTTGAAATCAAACTAATTGATTAGTTATATTTTACAATTAAAATACAACAATAAAGAATAATAATATAATATAGGTAATGAAAAAGAGTAAAATATGATAACATTAAGGGGCCAACTCCTAGATCACCGGTTGTTTAATTTTTTTGTGATTTTTTTTGTTTTTTTTTTTTTGCAATTGCACTCATATTGCCGGCAATATGAGTATATGATCCGAAAGTTGAAGATTTTTTTTTAAAGTTTTTATACTTTTTATCACAAACGGTTTTGGGCTTAACCAAATTTTTCACAAGAAAAATGTATGGTGATTGCGATTAGATCAAAAATAGAAATAAAATTAAAAGACTTATTATTATTATATACAATTATAAAAATTTATTGAAATATATACAGCAAGTAGAAGATAGTTAGTTTGATTTAAGAAGAAACCACTATCTGTCCTTTTGAAGCTTTGACTGTAAGCATTTGTGTTAAAACTTTATAAGTTAGTTTGATTTTTGAGTTCAAAAGACGAAGCCACTATCTGTAAGAGAACCTTTACCTACAAATATAAAAACAACATTAAATATAAGAAATATATAAAAGATATTAATTGATTTTAGTATTACCTGTAAACATTGTGTACAATGGCTTTTCCATCTCCTCTGTCTTCTGACCTTGAGTCTTTAAGTGCTGAACAAATCGTCTTGCTCTCTTGTGATTCTCTTTGACAGTATGAGGAGTATCTACTCTCTCATTGACAACTGGTTCATGAATCTCTGTGGCTACAGTTGTAAATGGAGATGACTTCTTGGGTCTTCCTACCTAAGAAATTGATATTAAATATTAACCACCAGTTAATCATAAATATATAATCTGTATGAGTCAACTATTCCTAAATTTACTTACTCTTCTTTTTTCAGGTTGAATAACAACAGATTCATTTCTAAATACATATTCATCTTCAATGTCTTTCTCTGCTTTATTTGACTTTCTTCTGTAGTTTCTTACGCCGATCAACGAGCTCTGTGAAGGGTTGAACAAATGCGAACGTCCACCACTGCTAAGTATCTGTTGTGGATTTAATTTCGCCAAGAATTTAAAACTCATTTTTATTATTTGTGTATTTGCCAAATGCAAAGTGATATTTAATTATTATTTACTTTTTGAATAATTGTATGTTTAATTTTTTTTATTTTCAACAATTCAATTTGGTTACCTATAGGTACTAGTAATCTTATCTTCCATGCTTGGAAATTGTTTAACAATTACATTGGGAAAAAAAAAATTAAAATTAAAAAAAAATCAATGGTTGAAAATCTCTCATTTCCAAAAATAGACAAAACATATATAAATTTGGTATTTAATTTTGAAATTAAATAAAACAATTGTTTTGTTTTTGGATCAAATATGGTGTGTGTTTTGCTTTGATTTATAGTATTATCTTTGAAAAAAAAAATAAAGCAAAATCAAATATGGTGTGTAAAAAAAATGATTCACCATTATTATTATGTATATAGTATGATTTGATATGATATGATGAATATCTAATATATGTCTAAGAATGTTGCACTGCACCTAACATAACAATATCAATAGTAATACATTACAACCAGCACCACTACCACCACCAAATAATAATAATGCTAAAGAAAATAAAACGTTTTATCTTCTCACCATTATTTGTGTTTAAAAATAAAAAATAAAAAAATTACAAGTATTCATTGGATTTTTCAATGTTCTTTGATTTTTAAGAAGTTCTGTTCATTACACTGTGCGTGATATTATTATTATTGAATATTATATACATTTATTTATTGATTATATAAGTGAATGACTAATATAAGTTTTTTAAACAAAAATAAAAATGGTAATATTGGATGAACAGTTTTATACAAACAAGTCAGGAAAAATGCTAAAGAGAATAATAATATTCAACACTAACTTTTAAAAAACCTGTGAGAATGATATTTTCAAAAAATTTAAATATATTTTTTTTTTTTTTTTTTTGCTGGCTTTGTTTGTCTTAAAAAAAAAAAACAAAATTAATGATTGACATTGTTATTATTATAATCTTTGATATATTATTTAAAATAGTCAAACTAGATTGAAAAAAAGTTATTTACTTTTAAGAAATATATATTTTTAAAAGTAATAACAAAAATAATAACAATATTATTATAATAATAATAAGAATAGTTTAGTTTAGATATATAGTGAGTGGGATTTAGAGACTATAATAAAATACAATGGCATCAACAGCATCAAGTACCGACAAGAAACCAAAGAGAATCGATGGAGACTATCAAGAGCCTGAATATATAAATATCATTGTTAGCGATCCACTTAGAGTAGATGATTATATTACCTATAAAGTGACAACTCAAGTATGTTATTGATTATCGTTGTGGCTATGAATGTCAACCACTGACTTACTTATTCTATCTATCTATCAACCAATCTATAAATCAATCAATCAATCACAATCAAACATAATATTGTAGACTACATTCCCAGAGTATTCAGAGAGAGAATTCAGTGTCAGAAGAAGATACAAAGAGTTTGCAAACTTGAGAGAACACTTGAAACAAAAACTATCAGAGAAACCAAAAGCTATTAAATTTGGAGAATTATACCCACTGCCAGGAAACAATTTATCTTCATTGTTTGGTCAAGGTCGTTTCGAAGCTGATTTTATAGAAGAAAGAAGAAAGGGACTTGAGCAATTCCTAAACTCTGTTGCCAATCACAATTTCTTTAGATTCGTAAACTATCTTCATCGTTTCCTTCAAGACAAAGATGCATCTGTATGTATTCATAATTCATCTATCTATCTATTAATATATATATAGAATTTCATCTATCATATTATATTCTCGAAATGGATATTTTTTATACAATCTTAAATATCTCAGAACATTTTTTTACTAATACTTTTTATTTTTTATAGTTCCTCTAAATATATCAGTGTTTCCAATAGAAAGATTTGATAAATAAATACATACTACATACATACACATCATACATTAATAAATCACCTCAAAAAAGAAAACCAACTAATTTAATTTAACTTTATTGGTCATAATTTTAATGATCAAAAATCAAAAGAAAAAATATAACACAAAAAAGTTTATGTTAGCTTTTTCTTTTTTTTTTTGCCCAAACAACTAAAAAGAAATAAAAAAGAAAGAGTACTATTTTTTTTTTTTTGTTATACAAATAAAAAGTTAATTTTATAAATGTGTTTGTTTTTTTTGTTTTGTTTTGAATTTCTTTTATATGGCTATTTAGTTTACAAAGCTGGGAACAATCTTTGTGAGGTAAAGTACTCGATTTGTTCTCTGACCAAAGCGTCGGTGATCTCTGGATAGTCGTATTTGAATCCGGTGGCTTCGATAGCAGTACCGTCGACACTCAAGTGATTGTTGTAAAGGAGTTCTTGGTCAATGTATGGAGTGAGTGGAGTGTTGAGGATTCCCTTGTCCTTGCAAAGATCTGACCATGGTTTGAGATGCTTGTTATTGGCTTCTTCACAAACACCCTTCAAGTTGAGTTGTGCAAGATTTGAAACGATCGATCCGAGGAAACCGGTCTTGATTTGGAAGATCTTCTCCAAGATCTTGCTAATCATTTCAGCATCTAAATTATAATAATAATAATAATAATAATAATGGTGGTTGAAATTAGAAAAAATGGAAAAATGGAAAACAAAACACATTGAGTTAGCAAAACTAAATGATTATTCTATGTGTTATTATTATTATTACTTACCAGTATCTCCTTTATCTGAAAGATTGAAAAGTGAACCCTTTGGAGCTGTGGTGGCAACGTGCCACAATGCTTTACAGACGTCTCTGACGTGGACGGTGTTGTATCTCAAGTCACCGGTCCACAAGAATTGCATCTTCTCGGCGAGGTGCTTGTAGACGGCACCGGTGATGATTCTTGGTGAGATACCGAGAATGTCACCTGGACCATATACAACGGATGGACGTACGATGACCAAATTCAAGTTGGGAATCTCTCTCAACTTCTTCTCTGCGTTCAATTTGTATTTGGCGATCAAGGTCCATGGGTCGGTCTTTCCGTCCTCTTTCGAGGCCTTCTTCTTGGCTTCGTAGACCTGGGCGGTGGAGACCTCGACGAATTTGTCGACTCCGACCTTGGCGGCCTCGGTGGCACACTTGTCAGAGACCTCAAAGACCTTCTCGTTGTAGACGGCCTCGGTCTGTCCGTACTTGGTCTCACCGGCCAAGTTGAAGACGTAGTTGAACTTACGACCACCGTCCAAAGTGAAGACCTTGGCGATCGAGGCATTCGAGGTGAGGTTACCTTGCATATATTCGACCTTGTTCGATCCAAAGGCTGCTTGGTGAGCGGCATTCAAAAAGGCTGTGGCTGGCAAAACCTTATCTACAACACGGATGTATTCGGCGAGATCCTTCTCCACCAAGAATTGCACCAAATTTCTACCGATGAATCCAACACCACCCAAAATTAATACGTTTGGCTTTGACATTATTTATTTTTATATCTTTAAATTTTATAATACAACAACAACAAGAATACTTGAAAAAAGCTAGCTAAAGAAGGGAATAGAAAAAAACAATAGCAAAAGAAGAAATATTTCTCTTTATATATATATAATAATTGTTTTTTTTTTTTTTTATTAATAAAAATAATAAAATATTGTGATGGGAGTGTGTGTGAAGGGAAGGAGACCTTTTGTTATTGCCCACCAACTTTATCAATAAATAATTAAAAAAAATTAATTTTTTTTTCAAAACATGTTTTGAGTTGATTTTTTGTTAGCAATTTAGTGAAATTTTTTCATTTAATTTTTTTTTATATTTTTTTTGTAGTTGAAGTTGGCAGAGAGGTTTAATCAATCCACTGTGCAAAAAGAAAAAAAAAAAAAATTGGATAAATTTGGGTTTGGTGATTGATATTTTTTTTTCACCTTTTTTTTTATTTTCAAAATTTTTTAAAAGATTATTATGATAAAATGGTATGATTTTGTTGTCTTTAAAGTCTACCATTCACCTCAATTTTATTTCAATCTACCTTCCTAATTTTAGAATATTCATCCATTGGTTGACTTTTTTTTTTTTTTAAAATGATTTATAAATCGATCTAAGATTTAAAGAAAATAGTATAAATATATGTTTTAAAAGAATAACTATCAAAGAATTAGATTAGTCACCCTATTTAGAGATATATTTATTTAGTTTAATAATAGAAAACAAAAAAAAAAAAAAAAAGATTGTTTATAGTTTTGACTTTGGTAAATAGATTGCCATCATAACTTGTTTCTTTTGAAATCCGCATTTTTCATAAAATTGTACATTCTTTTCATCACAATCCAGAATCAATTTGTAACAACCCAGTTTGGTTCCGATATGTTTTAATTGTTCTATAATCCTATTCATTTTTTTAGATTAAAAAAAAAAAGTTAATTTATATTTTCCTAAATAATAATATTATTATTGTTCGTTTAGTACTTTAATCCAAGATTCTTTCCACGATATGTTGAATCTACGACTATATCTTCAATATGACCACATGTTCCACAGTCTCTGAGAAACTTCTTCTCAACTGCGATTGTACCGGTTGCAATAATCTTTTTCTTTATTAAATCTTCAGCGATTACAATGTAGTAAGTTCCATCTTTCTTCATCTCCATAAATCTCTGTTCAAATTGTGTTTTATCAAACTTTGCCACTGTAAGTTGTTGTAATAACTCTGAAAATCCTATTGATTTGTAGTCGTAGTATTCATTTTATTTTTTTTATAGTTAGTTATTTCCTATTCACTATTGATTCATTAATTCATACCAAGATCATAATCATTTATACTTAATGGTCTAAACGCTATTTCATTATTATTATATGTAGCGTTATTAATCACTAATTCAGGTGCAAATAAAAAAGTCATTTTTCTTTTTATCAAAATAAATAAATATATAATAAAACTATAAAAACATACATACAAACATATATATAGATTATATGTGAACTTTGTCCAAAATTTATTTTTATTTTTATTTTTATTTTTGATTATTTACAGTGATGAGAAATTTTTGGTGACTCAAAGCACCACTATCACCACATCAAAACATTTTGAAATTTTCATTATCCTGTGTTAAGTTGATGATGAACTGATCGTTATTATTAGAGACTGTTATTAATTGAATGTGCATATTATTTGCAGTATATTAATATAGTCTTAGTTTTTAATAATATTATTAAAGTAGTTGTAATTAATAAAGATTACAAATATATATGAGTTATTTTAAAGGTATGATGATATGTCGAGTTCTGATGATTTAAAGTGTTTACAATCTACATCAAAGCAGCGTTGTATCAATAGATTTCTTGTGAGATTTGCTTCTAGATAGATATGCTGACTTTTGTGTTCACGTTGAATGTTCTCACAGTACCTGTTTCCTCCGACATAGTAACGAAGCAACACCGTCCCATTGGACAACTCTACTTTTGTGATTGACCTTAGGTATCCTTTATTCTTTCCACCTCTACTATTGATATACTGACGAATGTAATTGTCTAACTTTGGATATCCAGATTGTTGTTTCATATCTATATTCTTTGAGGTGATTGTTGATGATGTTGTCGATTGATTGTTGTTGTCACTAATGATATTTGGATCCAGTTCAACTGATATCGGTTTTGAATATTGATCTATATTGGTGATGAGACTTGCCATGAATACCTCTCTATTGAATTCATCAGGGTTGTCTTGCTCATTGTTGACCAGTGGATACATGTTGTTTTTGGCAAGAACCAACTTTGCTGTCTTTCCGTACTTTGAAGATAGATACAACCTAAACGTTCGATTCTTTGTATACACTCCACAATCGATAACGGGTATCCTCTCTCCTCTATCATTATAAACAAACAGATACTGCAGAATATCCAAATCATCCTTATCAAATTGACTATAGTCTATATCATTTTCTTCATAGTCATCGTCATCCTTATTATTATTATGATTCAGCAACAATGATATTCTTTTTTCAATCCTATAGATAAAATTTCTAGAAGAAAAACAACAACAAAACAAAGTATTAATAAGTTAACTTTCTAAAATATACAATAATAGCAATATATTATAGTTACTTTATAAATCTTCCAACATGTTCATTACTTTTAAAACAATGTTGTTTAAGATGCCATATTAGATGTTTAGAGAATTTGATGGGTGTAGACGAGTCTAGTTCCAGCACATCGGAGTGTTCACTATCGATGTTTAGTTGCTGTTTTAGCTCTAAGATTATGTAATAATAGAGTACCTCCATTACTTTGTCAGATCTGCCATCTAGCTGTGGATTATATTCACGTTGATATTCGATATCGAAATAGAGATGACAAGGCTCATTCTCTTCGATCAACTCGTAGTGATTCTTTGGCTCTGTCAATCTATATTCATTCCAAAACGACTGATAAGACTTTGAAACGATAAACTCACGTGATCCACTCTGAGACACCTCTCTGGAGAAAGTTTTCTTATCCAACTCTTCGAATAGATTATCAAATGTCTCTGTCTCCAATGCATCTTTTTGTTTTGCAAAGGTTTTGCTAATAATAATCGATCAATCAATCGATCAGTAAAGATCTTTATAGCATAACAATATTTTTTATCAAACAACAAACAACAACATACATAATATTATCATTCTCTGGATTATAATCTAATTTATTTCTCTCTTGAATTCTATCATTATTGGCTTTCTTTATACTGGCAAGATATTCTTCCCAATCACTCGGTATCTTGCCTTGTTCTTTTTTTTTCATAACAAGATGTAATTATTAAAGTTGTTTTTTTTTGGTTGTGCACAACAATCAAGGCTTTTTGGTAAAAAAGGAAAAAAAGTTAATTTGTTTTTCTTTGTTTTTTTTATATTATAAATATAGAATACATTGTTTTGTTTATTTATTTTCAATTAAATTTAAATTTTGAAATAATTAAAATAGTTTGGTTATGGAGTTGAATCTAAAAGTATTGGGTGTTGGTGGCAATTATGGAAGTATTGTCTCTACCATGCTCTGTAAATCTTCGTGTTGTTGTTTGATGACCGATTCATCACAAACATTATTACTTAAGAATTCCTCTAACTCTTGAATTGCATTTTTGATTGTTTGAACAGCTTCTTTGTCTGCATCCGATGTGTTGGATATCTTTGTGTTAACTTCACCAATATATTTTTTTAAAGAATCCATACTATATTTTTATTTTTATTTTTTCTACAATATATAGATAAATAATATTTTATATCCTGTTGTTATATATCTCTAACTAACTAAGTTGATTGATTTACCATGAACTCAGACAAATATCAAAAAATTGTAATTAAAAAAAAAAAAAATTATTAAAAATTTTGGTGTTTTCAATCCAAAGGTTTCAAGGAAGGTTTGTGATGGTGGGAAAAGCAAACCTTATCAAAAATTAATATTTTTTTTTTTTTATCCTTTTAAGGTTCGATGGTTTTAATATGATATTTGAAATAATAAATATATTCATTGTTGTCCAATGTTTTGAAGTTTATTAAATGAAAATATTATAAATATGAAATGTAATCTTGGAATTGTCAAATTCTTCAAAAAAAATGACAAAGAATTGTAGTAATAGTAATACAAAGAATAATTCTTATTTGTTTGAAACAATCAATGATGAATCTATACTTGGTTTATATCATGATGTAAATTTCTTGAACAATATACAAAGGTAAAAGATCCTTACTATCTATTCTAAACTTGAAATCATCTACAAACTAACTTTTAAATTCAATTTTGAAAGATCGTGAATTCAAAGAATCAGAACATCTAATGGATACAGTTATGAAACTTTTGAATAAAGTAAACAAGAAACATTTTCCTACAAATATTAGAACTGATATAAATAATAAAACTACTACCAACAAAAAAGAATAAAAATAACTATTTTGTTTTGTTTTGTTTTGTTTTAAAATGTTTTTGTTAATTTTTTATTTTTAATATACATTTATATTATATATTTATGTGTTGTTGTTATTATTTTTAAAGTTCGTCGTGATTTGGAGCTTCTTGACCTTCACCTCCGGTTTCCTTGTAGAGGGCAGAGAAGATTGGTTGAACAATCTTTTCCAAATCTTTGTATTGTTGGTCGAATTCGTCCTTTTCGGCGCTGGAGTTGACTTCTAACCACTCCAAAGCGTCCTTGATTGCGGATTCGATGGTGGACTTGTCGTCGGCGCTGATCTTGCTACCCAACTTCTCGTTATCATTGATGGCGTTCTTGATTTGGTAGATGTAGTTCTCCAAAGAGTTACGCGATTCGATACGCTCCTTCATGACCTTGTCTTCTTCGGCGGCTTCTTCGGCTTCCTTGACCATACGCTCGATGTCTTCCTTGGTGAGACGATCCTTGTCGTTGGTGATGGTGATGGATTCCTTGTTACCGGATCCCTTGTCCTCAGCGGATACATGGAGAATACCGTTGACGTCGAGTTCGAAACTGACTTCGATTTGTGGGACACCTCTTGGTGCTGGTGGAATTCCGGACAATTCAAACTTACCCAACAAATGGTTGTCCTTGGTCATCGAACGTTCACCTTCAAAGACTTGGATCAATACCTTGTCTTGGTTGTCTTGGTAGGTAGAGAAGATCTGTGATTTCTTGGATGGAACGATACTGTTTCTGTTGATCAAGGCAGTCATGACACCACCGACAGTCTCAATACCCAAAGTCAATGGAGCGACGTCCAACAAGACGATGTCACCAGTACCTTCAGCCTTTGAGAAGACACCACCTTGGACGGCGGCACCGTTGGCAACGGCTTCATCTGGGTGAACACCACGATTTGGTTCCTTACCGTTGAAGAAGTCCTTCAACAAAGCTTGGATCTTTGGAATACGAGTGGAACCACCGACCAAAACGATCTCGTGGATTTGGTTCTTCTTCAATCCGGAATCTTCGAGGACTCTCTTGACTGGCTCGAGTGTCTTCTTGAACAAATCCATGTTCAACTCTTCGAATTTGGCACGAGTCAAAGTCTCGATCAAATCTTCACCTCCAAAGAAGTTTTCGATTTCCAAAGTGGTTTGAGTTGTGGTGGAGAGAGCACGCTTGGCGTTCTCAGAGGCTCTTCTCAATTTTTGGAGTGCCTTCTTGTCCTTGCTGGCGTCCTTACCGGTCTTCTTTTGGAAGATCGACAACATGTTCTTCATGATACGTTGATCGAAATCTTCACCACCCAAATGAGTGTCACCGCTAGTGGCGAGTACCTCAAAGACACCGTTCTCAATGGTCAACATGGAAACATCGAAAGTACCACCACCCAAATCGTAGACCAAGATGTTCTTCTCACCAGAGATATCCTTGAAACCGTAGGCCAAGGCGGCAGCGGTTGGTTCATTGATGACACGCAACACATTCAAACCGGCGATGGCACCGGCATCCTTAGTGGCTTGACGTTGGGCATCGTTGAAATAGGCTGGACAAGTGATGACGGCATTCTTGATTGGCTTACCCAAGTAGGCTTCGGCAATCTCCTTCATCTTGGTCAAGATCATAGCAGAGATTTCCTCTGGTGAGAAAACCTTCTCCTCTCCCTTTACCTTGACTGAAACGTATGGCTTATCTCCCTTTGAGATAATCTTGTATGGCAATAATTTCAAATCCTTTTGAACTTCAGTATCGGTGAATCTTTAAAAATTAAAAAAAAAAAAGCATTTATTAATAAATTGTTCATTATCATCATTGTTTAGTTATTAACTTACTTTCTACCGATTAAACGCTTAATATCGAAAATGGTGTTCTCTGGGTTCAATGTGGCTTGATTCTTGGCGGCGTCACCAATGAGACGTTCAGTCTCAGTGAATGCGACGTATGATGGAGTGATACGATGTCCTTGTTCGTTTGGAATGATGGTTACACCTCCGTTCTTGTAGACACCAACACATGAGTAGGTAGTTCCGAGATCGATACCGATGACTTCACCTTCGACCAACTCTTCCTTCTCTTCCTCCTTGGCGTTGGAAATGATTGCAGTGCACAAAAGCACAATCATAAATAAACTGTACAATGATTTAAATTTCATTGTTTTCTCTATATATTTATATAAATAAAAAAACAACTAAAATATATATCTAAAGAAAAGATTTTGTTAGTTTTTTGGTTTTCAAGCAAGATCTTTGGAAAAAATATTTTGAAAAAACAATAAAAATTAATTAATTTAGATATTAAATAAAATTATTATTTATATTATATTACTATTATTTATTATTTATATTTACTTTTTTAGTTTGGATAAATAAAATAAATAAAAAAAACTAAACTAAACTAAACTGAATTGAAAAAAAGGATTTCCAGTGTCATTTTATTTTTTCGCTTGCCTCGTCATCTCAAATACACTCGACTTCACATGCACATTATTTTTAATGCACCGTCATCACACAGCAAAAAAAAACAATTAAAAAAAAATGAAAAAAAATAGATTCACACACCACACAGCACACCAAAAAAAAAAAAAAAAAACTTCCCTTCAAAAAAAATTTTTTTTTTTAAAGTTAATGATTCGCTCAAAATAACTGACGAGTTGCCTCTATATTAATCAACCATATAAAAGATAGATATGTGTGTTTTAGGAACCATTCTATTCCTTAAGATTAACCATTTTTAGATTGCAATGCTTTGTCATTCATCAAATTTTCTCTACTTTAATTACTTACGTTATTATTCTCCGTTTTAATCTATAAACTTGACAAAACAAAAACAATTGCGATTGTTTTATTAGACTTGGATTTACACAATACCGGTGAGTGTACACTCTCCACACCTGTCAAACAGAATACCAGAATAGACAAATCAAAATTCACTGTTGGGATTGATGCGTCACTCTTTAGCTGACTCATTCTCATTTTTTTTACGATCTCTTAATTTATTTTTTTATTTTATTTTTTATTTTATTTTTAAAGTTTGATAACCTGCTTGTTTTATTAATGTTGATGACTTAGTTATCAACTGTTTATTAATAATATAACAATATTTAAATAGTTTATTTAGCACAACAAGATGAAACTATCTGATTTTGTTTATAATTTTTAAAAATAAGTCTTTTGTTATCTCATTATTTTTTTTTTTTCTTCTCATCAGAAGCTCACTCTGTCACATATAACTTTTGAAAACTGACACACATGATATATGGAATCAAATCTGGAACATAAAAAAAAAAAAAAAAAAAAAAAAGTAAATAAATAATAATAATTACACCAATTTCCAATCATTCAGAGATTTAATTACTCTTAATACGATGCACAGCAATCTGTCATTTCTTTTCATAAAAAAAAATATAAGCAAACATGAATTTTTTGACCAGACCAAACAGTATACTATGGTTTTTCGCAAACTGAATGATTCCAAATTATTTTTGCATTCTGTGTGTTGATCTATCTTGCAATCACATGTTTTTGGAGATCCACACAACTTCATTTAAATTGAGTGTTATTTTTTTTGAAAAAAGTAGTGGGGCTGTTTCACATAAAGCTTGAGAAAATTTAGAAATTGATCGAAAAAAGTTTTTTATAAAAAAATATCTAAAATAAAAAAAAAGTGTCTCACAAAAAAACAAGAGAATGATTTTTTTGATTTTTATCTTTTACTTTTTTTAATAACAAAGTTTTTTTATTGATCCTTTTTGTTTGAACCACATCTTTCTCTTTTTACATTATTCTATTTGGTTCCCCACAAGTCATCCAATCAGTCAATTAATCAATTAATAATCTCTATAAGATAATAATCATTTTACTTAAAATAATAACATTATTATTTGATTATCTATCTTAATTTTCTTTTCACTTTGTTTTTTATTTTATTTTATTCAAAGGGTGTTTGTTACTTATTTTATTTTTTTAATTAAGTTATCGTCTTGATTTTAACAAGTCTGTTCAATTAATTAAAAAACAAAAACAAAAAAAAGAAAAAAACACCACCCGCCAATCCAACAACAAACTAGTTATGAATATTATTGGCAAATAATCAAATCAGATATCCAACCCAACTTGAGACTCACTACACTACACTCAATTAATTTAACTTCACGCACACACACACACACACCAAATATTCAAACTTATAATCCAACAACCAATCCATCAGTAATCCAATAAATCAATCAATCAGCCAGTCAATCAATCAATCAGAAAATTAATAGAATAATAATAATAATTCCATCTAATGTTATGTTTTAAGAATAGTAATAATTATATATATCTTTGTAGAGTTACAAATAAATCATTTATTTATTTCTAAATAAAGCAAAACAGAAGTAGTAACATTTCATTTAGTGGTCATCTAAAGATCTGGAACAATAATAATTGTTTAACTTGATATTAGTGGAATTGGCTCACAAGTTTATTGGTTTCCATGTTCCACATTTAAATTCGTTTTATAAAGGTAATTTCTTTAATTATATCTCTCACCTCTTCATAAATCTGATATTTTCGTTTGGCATGGATGGTCAACCAAATCAATCAATCATTCTCGAGAACACACAAATTAGTTCATTTAGTTAGTTTATATGGTGAGATGTTTTATAATATCTTTCTTGTTTTCATAACAATAACGATTATTTGGTTATTGTTATGATTTATTTATTATAGGCAGCAGTGGATATATATTTGATTATTTCAATCGAAAACACACCCACACACCAAAACATATTTCACTCTCTTCTTATGGATCATTTATAGTTTGCAGTCTTGGATATACAACCAAGATAGATATATAGACATATAGATGTATGGAGTAGATTTTGTGGAAATTGTTAATGAACAAACAAATTAGCCATTAAAATTGCTTATTATTATAAAGAATAGATTGACATTGGTAGCAGCAATAACAATAACAACAACTGCAAAGAAGCAACAATAGTAAAACAATCACCACCATTATTGAAATAGAAATTGATTCGATTGTGGTTTTTTTGTTTTTGTTTTTGTTTTTCTGATGTTGTTGAATCAACAGTTATATCAATCAATCAATCAATCAATTAATAATTCATTTTTATTGCTTCTTTTGAATAGATATTTGTTTACTTTCCATATATCTCTACCTATTTGTTGTGTTGTTGTTGTCGTGGTTAACCATGTGTGGTTGTTTGTTTTTTTTTAAAATCTAATATTAAATTTTTCAACACTATTAAAATTCACATCATGTTGTTTAATTTTTGAATAGGCATAATCAACTTCATTTTTCTTTTACATTGTCATCACCATGGTGTTACCACAACACTTTGATTACCAATGATACATATTTTTAAACCACCCCACCCCCACTAAACACAAACCAAAAAACATATAAATAATCGTTTTTTGATGTTCATAACAATATTTAATATAATATTCATACTTAGTGATTTTGGAAACAACAACAATTGATATCAACCATATTTTAATTCAATAATGATGATAATAATTAAAACTATATAAAATACATCTACATATTGTATCACTCACTGCTAACACTAACATCACACTATTATGTTGTTGATGTTGTTAGTGGTGGTGGTGATGTTGATGTTGTGGTATCATTTATTATACTTAGTATTTCGAAAATACAAATATCTCGCCACCATCTATCCATGCAACGTTCCAAAACGAATCAGTTCACGATGTATTTTTATACATTTTTTCTATATTGGTGCATCATGATGTGTGTGTTTATTGAAGTGTTCCATCATATCATATGTGCTGATATCAGCAATGATGTTGTTATTTTTAATTTGTTTAGTTTAGTTTGTTTTGTTTAGTTTGTTTAGTTTGTTTTGTTTTTGTTTTATTTTGCGTGATATGGGCGATCAATTACATTGTTGATCAACCTTCATTTCTTTATTTTAAATCAATGAGCACTGTTTAAAAATAAACAATTAAATTAAAGACGTCTCATTTACCTCACCCTTCATTCTCTATTTATCACCATGATATCAAATCCAATATATATTAATTAGTTATATGTTGTAATTGGTTGCAACAATAAACTATAAACAATAAACAATAGCAACAACAACAACAACAATAACAACATTTATAATATTATTACTTTGATCAAAAACAACAACAACAGCAAACAACCACATACTTATTTATCAACTAAAATCAAACCAAATCAATCGATTCACATTCTATTTCAACAACAATATCTATTTAGAAAACAAAAGTAGATTTCATTCAAATCGTTTCACAAACATACTTTACTTACTATATTTGTTGTTAAAAGAAGGAGAAGAGTTAGTTAGTTAGTTTGTTAGTTATTTTTCGTGTTTAGTGCAGTGAGTTAAAATAGAAATAGTCAAAGTAAGAAAGAATGATTGCCATTTTAGATAAATAAATATCTAAACCACACACAACTTATATTATAGTTTCAATTATTTTCCACCTTTTTACTTTCTACTCCTTTCCAGTTTTACTAATCAATTTTCATTCATTTTTATATTTATAGGATTTTCCAATTATATATTTATATATTTAATTTAATTTAATATTTATTGAACTTGTACAAATAACAAAATAAAAAAAACAACCATCATCACAACAAATATGGATAAATCTAAATCACCTACCAAAGGTAAACAACTACAAAATGGAAAACAATCAATAGTTAGTCAATCACTACCCAATTTCTCCACAACCATACAGAATAATAATAATAATAACAACAATAATAATAATAATAATACAGCATCTTCTTCATCTACATTATCACCGGCCAAGTGGAAGAGTTTCTTTTTCAAACAAAACAGCAGTCCACATAAACAACAGAACATACAAATCAGTCAGCCATTCGATGTCAATCATGTTACACATGTAGATTTTGACCCACAAAGTCAGGAGTTATCTGTAAATATTATTTTATTAACGAAACGAGATTGATTCATCAATAAGTATTAACAATCTTTTGAATATTCAACATATCATAGGGACTACCTTCAAATTGGACAGCAACTCTTAAAAGATCAGCAAATAAATTAATTAGAAGAAGAAAAGATAGTACATCACAAAGAAATTTAACAAAACCAATTAAAAATAATAATAGTATTAATAGTGTTCAACAACAACAACAACAACACGAAGCACCAACATCAAGATTACCAAATCCAACAATTGATTCACCAAGTAGAAAAGGAATGAAATCGAATCCACTCAATCCAAACAAATCAATTCCATCGCCAGTACCAATTTCAAAACAATACGCTAGAAACAGTACACCTTCATTGGCACAGTCATCTAATGTCACTATCGATATTCCAAGTGGTAGCAGTATGACCAGTTCAAGCAGTAACACAAGCATCAGCAGTCTATCGACGGATTCATCGACAACCACATCGATAACCTCACCCAAGTCCACTGTCTCACAATCGAAATCGACATCTTTCAACGGCACCGGCTCGACATCCATGGTAATTGGCAATCCAATGCAAGCAAAGCGTGAGATCCACATCACATGGAATCATGTCACTGGTCAATTCGAAGGTGTTCCAGACGATTGGTCTGACCTGGTACAGAGAGTCACCACTGAGAAACAAGAGAAGCATCGTCTCGACCAGAGAAAACGTCTGCTGAAGGAGGAACTCTCAAAGTGCGAGCGTGAAGAACGACATCGTCGATCGACAAGAGACAAACGTGAAAGAGCGAGAATCAATAGGGAGGAAAGAAGTTTGAGTGTCAGCAACAGTAACAATAGCAACAGACATCGTGGCGATACTACAACCACTCCACCAATGTCACCGCGAACCAACAATCAACCAACACTCTTCCAAATTAGTGGAGTGGAAATGTTTAAATCGAAACGTGTCGAACTCTCGCTGCAATCGCTGTGTAAACAAGATGTTTTTGTTTTGAACAATGGATCGAAAATCTATGTTTGGATGGGATCGCTCTCGTCGCTACAGAAGCAAGTTCGTGGTCTGGCAATCGCCTCCAAAATCAAGTATGAAAGTGTTGTCATTCTCGAGCCAATCACCATCGATATAATAGTGGATAGCGATCGTCGTGATAGTACGCAATTGTGTAACTTTTTCAAGTTGTTGAACAACTGTGAGATCTCAGCAGACGGACAACCGGTGCTGTTTGACGTTTCGCGTGAAGGTGGCGACACCGACGCCGAGCTGGTGGCATTCGAAGAGTCTACCACCTGGCTCTATCGTGTGAGTGACAACGGTAAGATTGTCTCCATAGACGAACGACCACTGGTTCCCACCGCTCTCAACAGCAACACTTGTTTCATCATGGATTGTGAAACCGACATTTTTGTTTGGTGCGGAAGAAACTCGCATCCGCTGCAGCAACGCGTTGCAACCATCTTTGCCAATGAGTTTATTCAGATATTTTCGGATCGTCCTCGTTGGGCGTCGCTACACAACGTTCACCAAGACGAAGAACCCTGGTATTTCAAAGAGCGTTTTCTCTATTGGCTGGAGGAGGAGTCGGTCATCGACAGCTCGCGACGATATACCATTCGCGCCAAAGACACTCCACTCCCCATTCCACCGGTTCCACTCGATTCGCCAACTTTGATTCCCGAGCTGCTGATCGATCCCCACTACCCTGAGCCAAGACGCGGTGTCACGCTGAGCATCGACCTCTGGCAGAGCGATGTCAGCACATGGACAAAAGTAAGTCAGGAGCACTACGGTCACTTTTCGATATCACGCGCCTACGTCTGCCACCATATCTACAAACTCGACGATCGTATCAATTCGCGTGTCTACTTCTGGCAAGGATCGGATTCTCACATTAGATGGTGGGTCGTTTTCCAATTTGGATTGTACAAAGAATTGCAAGCTCATATGCGTCAACTCGCACCCAATCTTCCACCTCCCAACACCGAGTGTCTAACGCAACACAAAGAAACACCACCCTTTATGAATCTATTTGGAAACTATATCATGGTGCATCGTGATACCACTCCACAGGTGTTACTCTACCATCTTACACTCTCCAGTTGTGAGAGATTCGTTCGTTGCACACAATTCTCGAATTTCAATCTCTCCAATCTAAACAGTCGACAGGTGTTCATTCTCTACAACCAGACATTGAAATCTTCGTTCATCTGGTATGGAAATGCATGTTCCACTCACTTGCGATCGGAGGCAGTCGACGTTGCCAACTCACTCCACTGCTATCTTCAACAGAAGAACGATCCAACCGTATTCAACCTTGTAGTGGAATGCGAAGAAAACAGCGAACCAATTTCATTCTGGAAACAATTTGCAGGTGTAGATAAGCGTTTGGAGCAATTCACTTTGAACTCATCTTCTATCGATCTCACTGTTTTCCTCAAACAAAACACAGCTGTTAGAACTTATCCAAAGAACAATACTTCTTATGGTAATCTCAGTAATTCAACCAACATTAACAATAGCAACAACAACATCAACAACAAAAGTAAACAAGTTTATGACACTAGATTGTATCATATTTACTATCACTCTAAAGCACGTAAATATGTTGTAACTCGTGTCAAACCATTTTGTCAGAGTGATCTGGTTGCTGAGGATGCATTCATTTTGGACACAAGACACAAACTTCATATTTGGATAGGTCCACAGTGTTCGAGAAAAAAGAGAGAAACAGCAGAGGGATTTGCAAAGCTCTATCGTGATCAGTCGAATCTTGGACACTCTACGGTGACACCTATCGATATTGAATCGTTCCGTTCAGAGTCTTATGAGTTCCGTTCATATTTCGATGCTTGGAACAGCGAGTTCCAACCACAGAGTCTGAGGAACACCTCCTCGCAAGCACTCATCGGTATCGGTGCAGACTATCGTCTACTCAACTCAATCGCCAGCAATCAAATTCAAAACGATGTATTTGAACTACAGGCAGACGACAGCGACGATGAAACCAACTTCTCATTGACACCGTCCACCCTCACACCACACTCCAGCCCACCACTGCCAAGAATGATGGAGAAGTGGGAAATGGAATTGGAAAGCGAAGTCGAGAGATTAAAGAAGAGGGGAGGATACAGTCCGTTGATGCCAGCACGTTTGGGTGGTGTTCCGCGTCTGAATGGAATGCCAATCATGAAGTTGAACGATCCGAATTTGAAGCGTTCTCGTGACGACAGCATCGGAAGCACTGGTTCAAGCGGTAGTTTCACTACTGGCAGTCCAGAGAAAATGGATATTGCCCTGAATAAACAACTGAACTCGACAACAGACCCAAAGAGAAACAGATCCGATAGTAATGAGCTTATTGCCCAGGCATCGAAGGCCAGATTAAGAAAGCGTGGATCCAGTTTGTTAAGTCGTTCGCCAACCAGTCAGAATCGTTTGTCCACTACATTACCAACACCACTCAACCAAGGAGGTACTATCGACTCCAAATCAATCCAAGATCTAAAGGAGTGGACTGTTGAATTGGAGATCGACATGGAGGTTTCCAAACTTGAGGAAGAGTTATCGAAATTAAATAAGATTTCAGAGGAATCCAAAGCAAACAGATCACCTTTAAAGTCGAAAACATCAATCCCCACAACATCAACAACGACAACAATATCAACATCACCATCGACTTCGTCCACTAGTTTAGCAACTTCTTCAGCATCTGAACCAACACCATTGCCAACCACAGTGTCTAAGCAACCAACCTCTACAGTCAAACCACCTTTCTCACCAAGAAAACACTCACCATTGGTATCTGCACTTCCACCACCACCACCTGCACCATCTTCCTCTGCTTCTGAACCTGCATCAGCTGCATCATTATCACTGATCTCCTCAGCACAAAGCACACCAAGAGCAAACGGTACATCCGAAACAATACATCAAACAGTTGCTCCAATGGCCGTCATCATCTTAGATTCATCGACACCCACTTCCTCAAACTCCACACCATCAAACACCTCACCAATAACCGTACCATTAAAGTCATCTGTTGTAATTCCACCACTCTTATCTTCGTCAAGCGAGAAGACACCACTATCAATCGTACCACTATCCGATTCTGAAAAGGTAGCTATCATCTCACCGATTGTATCACCAAAAGCCAACAGACCTGCAGTACCGCCTCGTAACTTTTTGAATTCATCCAGTGGTGGTACTTCAACTACGGCTCCTCCCACTTTCAGTGGAACTGGATCGATATCGAAGGGCACTCCAAAACCATTACCATACATTCCACCAAGACCAACATCACCACCTACACCAGCATCACCAGTTACCTCACCGGTTGCCTCACCCCGTGAGAACACCGTCAATAACATACCAACAACACCAATCAACAAATTCCAAACATCTTCATCGATAACCGCATCTGTACTTCCATCACCACCAACCAAAATTCCAACGATCGCACAACAACAGCAACAACAACATGAATTGCCAAAGACCAGATTTAAATTCATTGTTAAACCACTTACCAAATCAAAATCATCGAATCCACCTAAATCAAATGTATCTACTACAAGCACTGCAACACCAACAACAACATCATCAACAACACCCACTGTAAATAATCAATCCATAAGTAAATCATCGAATACAATTCCATTCTCAACATCATCACCTTTAAGCTTAACATCAATTCCAACAGCTTCAAACGGAAATGTCAATAATCTAAACTCCAATACAATTCCAGCCAAGACAACACCAACACAATACTCAACATTGCCACCAAAGCGTGCTCCACCACAACCATTGGTTCAACAAAATATTTCACCGGATAAACAAAATATATCTGATAGTCCTTCGTCATCAATGTCACCTCCGACCACTTCCGCCACACCAAAACCATTACCATACCCACCCAACAGTGGATCGGTACGAGAGAGAATCCATCAACACGAATCATTCTCGAAATCCACTGCCATCCATGCAAGTCTCCCAGTGATTAAACAACCATCTTCAACCTCATTAAAGTACACATCACTTCAATCGATATTCATACCCCCAACCGTACCAAACAAACCACTACCACCACCACCTCCACCAAGAAACTACACTACCTCTGCAACATCAAATCCTCAACAACTCAACAGAACACACCAATAACCGCCACCCACATCATTAAAGTGTGAACTCGAGCACTTGTACCAAGCCGAAAATAAACAACAATATTTATTATTGTTATTGTAAATAAACAAAATGATATTTGATCTCATTAAAATATTCTAGAATTATTTTAATTAATATTATTATAATTTTGCAATTCAAATTTATATATTAAGCGGCATTTCGGAACATGCTAACGATATTTTTAGATATCTTTAATATTTATTGTGGTGGAAAAATATTTTTTGATCATTACAGCACCCCGCTGATGATCTTTTCACCATTTCTTTTGATCTTTATATTTTTTTTAATCATATCTTATAGATTTTTTATTTTTATTTAAATATCTTTAAAAGATTAAACAACGTATTACTTCATTAGTTCAAGCTAATTATGATCTACCTTAATAAGTTTAAAATAATAGACTTCATTCATCAAACCAGGTTTATATTTGCAGTAATAAAATGAAATATACAATCTTTGCTTTTATTTTTATTTCTTTTTATCTTGAAGGTATGAATTAGTCTATTTTACAATATTTAAAATCATATCATTAGTTAACAATTTCAACAGTTTGCTATTCTCAGATCTCTCTCGTAAAAACAATTGGATTTCCTACATTGTTTATAAATACAGAAACAAATCTTTGTGATAAGTCTGGTGTTTCGGTTTTGCTATCAGCAAACTACATTGTCAGACCTGATAACTTTGAAATTTATGGAGTTGGTGGTGTTAATTTTAGCTTTGTGAATTCATACCAAGATTCTGTTACAAACCAAGTATTATTCTTCCAGTTGTCAGCTTTTGCAAATTCAATTAGCTATTTATCACTTAAATACACCAACTCAACCTATGAAAATCAAACATTTACTGATTTCTATCAGATTCAATGTGAGGGTAAGTTATATTCTTAATTTTGTCAATTATTTATTATATTAATTTTATCTATTAAAGGTATCGCTGCTTCTCTTGAGTTTAAAATAGGAAATGTATCGACTTTGTCAATGATAGACCCCTATACTATGGCATTCTATATACAGTTCAACATAGACTTAAATAGTCAGACTGGTTCTCTTCCATATAGCTATAATATCAAGCCCTATATGGATAGTCCCTATAGATGTGAGCTGACTCTTGTAAAGTCGAATAATGTATTTTTGGCCAAGGTTTATCTTGAGCCCTCATATACAATCTTAGAGCCAAGACTTACAATCAATTTCACTTTAAGTTCTTATAACCGGACGTTTTCTTTTGCTTCACCATTTCCTTGGGATTGTAGGTTATTTCCTGTTTTTCTTTTTTTTTTTCCTCATAGCTAATACATTAAACCTTTTTAAAGATTCTAGTGCCGTCAGATATGTTTCATATTTCACCTATCCAAATATAACATTGTCCTACAGTGAAGACTTTACATTCCAAATGCAGACGATGAATAAGTTTTCTTTACTGGCAATTGAAAATGTAAATCTAACAAGGTTTTTTTATAAATCACCCGAGGCATCATTTTACCAGCAATACCGATTCGTACACCGAGATAGCGAAGCCAGTTATTATATTGGAGGATATCAGTATGAGACTTCAAACATGTCAAATTTTGAATCTGTCGAGTGCTCAAAGTATAGTCTCGTAGTCTATGATACTGTTTATCTCTCTAAATTTCCATTATGTATGTACAAGCACAAATAGATATTATCAAAGTTGAATGAAACTAATACGTTTTACTATAGCAATTGTTAGTACATCAACTTTGAAACAGTTTACCAATGATTCTCTTGGAGTCACTTTTGTAAGGTCAGAGTTTGTCACCAACTATTTGCAACAAGTCAAAGTTGACACAGGTACAGTATCTCGATCTTTTTTGAAAACAATCATTAGTTACCCTTTTGCTCGCAATTCTTCTGGGTTCTTTTATAAGTTTGAAGATTCAATGTCTTCAAACTTTTCAGGCAAATATATAAGTTCATCTATAAATCTAAAGACTGATAGCAATATATCTATTGTTAGCAATTCAAAGTGTAAGTAGTCGATACTTATGATTATTTCTTATAAATTAAATATTAATATTCATACTATTATTTATTTTAGCATTGATAAAAACATCAAAATATAATATAAAAAAAATTGAATTGATACCCGTAACATCGTATTATTTCATCTTTAGAATATCAATAGAGTCTAACTTTGATATCAGATATATATCATTTGGAGAGACAGACTTTCTATATTCTTCCGATTTGATTTTCGGAGATTCATATAATGGAATATATGAAAAATTGCTCAAAATATCGAAACCATCTTCTTTTAGTGTTAGATTATTGGATGAACTTGGAAATAGTTATTCAATACAGAGTGGTCAAGCCTACAACTCTGACTTTTTAGTTCTGCCATATTATAGACCTTTTAATTTGAATGGTAAGCAGAAAATATATTTGATATTTTTATTTTTCACAAATTATTAATCATTATATTTTAGCAATGTTTGATAAAGATAATATAACATATTTTAGTTTCAAAAATAGTCTGTGGGATATTAAAGCCAACTATTCAAACACTTTATATTTTAATTTCAGCAACTCTTATCCAGATTTAACTCCTACTATTACTTTCAATGATAAATATCAATTCCAAGGATTTTATCACCCAGTGTTGAGGCTGTATACCATCCAATTCGATGCATCATTCCCAATTATGAATGGAGCTCTTGAATATTCTATATCAGATTTAATTATAGGATCAATAATACCATCATCTTTAATTCAATTGAATAGTTCATTAACGGTAGTTAATTCAGGTATTTATACAACCTAAAATTAAAATTAAACCACATCATACTAATTTAAATACTTTAGATGGAATTTCACCTGCTTTATTATTTTATCTAAAGGCTTTTCCAAGTACCAATGAGATATATAACCAAAAAGTCAGTGTTGGTTGGATTTTAGGAGTGTCTGATCCTCTTGGATTTGAAAGTGGTTCTTTTGATGTAGTATCTGATGTCGATGCAAACCCATACAAAGTTAGATTCGACAAAGTTAACTTGGAGAATGGCACATTGATCCATGGAACATATAGAGTATCAATACCTTTATATAATATTGGTATCGCAAAGAAATTATCCATTTCCAATCTTATTCTTGTAAATCAAAAGAAAAGAGTTCAAGATTTCAATCCATTAGTGGGCATTCTTGATAAATATTCAGACCAATTAAAAATATCAATTAATTACACAGGTATTTATTTATAAAGTTTAAAATTTAAAATTAATTTTACTAACTTTAATAATAATAATTTTTTTAGTTGAATATATATCAAATAATCCTAAGATTGATTCTTTGACATTTACAGACTCAGTCGAAATCTATGGCCCTAATAGAGCTGTAGATTTTACAATGATTGTAAACTATGGTTCAAATTCGTATCGAGATTTTGACCGACCAATATTTGTTTTGACCTCTGAGAATGGTCAATCTTTTAATATGACAACAAGTCTGGCAAGAGGCGGAGGATCTTCCCAAGGAACATATACAGCAACAGCTCAACTTCCATATGGATTTGGTTGGAGGAGGATTTATGTCTCTGTTTATGGAATAGTTGATGCCAAATCAAATTATAATGCCTATCTACCTACAGATCTTAGAGATGCAGGCTTGCCATTCTTTATAGTTAGGAAAACCAAAATGACAGTACCGATTATCGAATCGTCCAGTTTGCTGTCATCTCTTGGTGGATCTTTGACAATATATGGAAAGCAATTTGGAATTCCAAAGGATGATATCAGATGTTTCATTAACTATAATGATGGAATTGGATATCAACAGATTGATGCAGATTTCCTCTCTAGTGTAGTGCTCCAATTTAACAACAAAATCAAACAGACAAATTCAAGCTCAGTGGATATTGTCGTTACTAGAAATAAGATAGAATCCAATATATTCAAGATTTATCTTTTCAAAGCTCAACTAGACCCTATACCATCAAATATTTGCCCAGGATCTCCACAGTGTAGTAATCATGGTGTTTGTAGAAGTAGTGGTTGTGAATGTCAAAAACCATGGTATGGTCCCTCTTGTTCTTCTCGTAAGTATTCAAAAGTAATAATATTATATTTATTTAAAAAATATTAATAATAATTGTTTTTTTTTCTAGAAATTATTATTATTCCAACACCACCAGCACAACCAGATCCATCAACAAATGTCACAATATTTGATCCGACAAATACAAATATCAACAATATTTCATCAAGAATTCAAGTTATTGAGGTTAGAGAGATCGATAGTATCATGAACATTGTCAATTCCTACAAACTATCAAATTGGAATTTAAATGATTTATCGAACCAAACAGATCATCCAAAATATTTGTACCAGAGTCTTCTAGAAGGTACCAACACAACCGTAAACATTTCAATTGAATTCTTCAACGATTCAAGATCAATTGATTTTGGGGGTCAACAAATATTAATTTCACCATCCTCAATCAAATATTCCATTAATATATCGTCTTTCAATTTCCAATTGAAAACGAATATGCTCCAAGTTGTTCTAGAGGCAACCATCCAAGGATCCGATAGTGAATCATGTTCATCCAAACAAATAGGAAGCAACAACTCTACAAATGATGTTAAATGGATCAAAATGAACATTGATAAAACTAGTTTATATGGAAGATTTATTTCTTATGGAATCGTCGACACTAGAGTGGTATCAATAGACAATAGAGTTCTCGATATTGGCAATCAAACTGAATCATCACAATACCGATCGACTACAATTGGAATTACTGTTCCCTATTTTGAAAACAGTGCATTGTTGGATCCAGATTTTTCATATCTCATTGATGTTGATGGTGAAGATGTCGATCAATTATGTTCATCAAAGTCTGATAAGAAACTCTCTAATGGAATTATAGCTGCCATTGTTGTAGCAGCAGTCGTTTTCATTACGATAGTTCTGGCAGTATCAATCTACTCGGCTAAAAAATTAAAATTCAGAAATGAGAAAATTAAATTGGACCAAAAGCTAGAAAAATTAAATACCAATAAATAAATAAAAGAAAGTTTATTTGATTTCTTCATAGTCATGATTCTTGTTGACTCTCTTTGCATTGACATAAATATAGTAAACCAATGATACAAAGCAAAAAGAAGCAACCACTGAAATAATGATACCAGCCAACTGTGAAGAGTTATCGAGTACTCTACTGTTGAATATAAGACAACTTAAACATAGTACCAGTCCAACATGAGTTTCAAAATCATTGTGACTCTTTACTCGGTATGGACTGCAGAGCCAATTGACACATGAAAAGAAAACGGCGAAGGACGAGAGCATCAGTCCTTTGGTATCCAGATAATTGAATGTAAAGATAGTTGCCAATACAAAGCAGAGTGATCTGAAGATGATAACCAAGTCCCACCAGAAATAAGCAGTACGATATTTTAAACAAAAGACCTTGATGAACATAATATCGCGCTTATAAAGTTTGAATATGATGAAAAGGGGAATACCAGTAACAACGAATACCAAGATGAAAATGGAGAGAATGAGAGCCGGTAGATGATGTTTATCAAAACAATGGACAGAAGCATCCAAGATTAGAACGGAGTTACCACCAATGTTTTGGCATGAAACAAGACCAATTGATAGGAAGGCAAATGGTGTATACAGAATGAGAAGGTTGCTCAAGACAGAGTACAAAAACTGGTTGTTTTTAAGAGTCCTCTCCAAAAAGAATCCTTGGTACTTGGCGAATATCTTTGTGGCCAACTCTTTACCAATATTGATATTGGAGGAAATAGCTACAATGATCAACATGATGACGAGCGACATCAAAGACTTCCAGAGGTAATTGAGTTGAACAAAGCATGCGGTTGGCCAATAGTCTACCATGAAATCAAAGAGGGGAACGATGAAAATGTATCTAACATTGTATGAGATAATACCAATGATTTGAATTGCAACAAGGAAATTCATAATGACTGTTGACGATGGATACTTGAAGATCGAGTTGCAAAAGATGTAAAGGACGAGGAATACTATGAGACCAGAGAGCATGTACAGATTTACTGTGTCAATCATGCAATCCTCACAGAATGTCTTTACTTTTGAATATCCACTTTCACAGCTTGAGCAAAGTGTTCCTCTTTGGTGTAATCTACATTGTTGATTCTGATAGCAGATATTCGGATCACAGACATACAACGATGGTGGATTTACATTTGGAAGTAACCACCAACCTCGTGAAACAGAAAAAGCATTGCCTCCAGGACATATCAATTTCGATTGATAGTCTTTACAGGAAATACATGTCTTTCCATCGTATCCGTAGGAGCCTAATGGACACAGCTGACAAGAGTAATCGTTGACACTTGGAAAGCTTCCTGGGTTGCATATAGTCAATGTCTTGTTGGTAGTTCCACTGAGTTGGTTGGTTGAAGTTGCAACAAATAGAATTGTTGAGTTTGCTGCTTCATTAGGAGTCATTTGCACCGTGAAAAACCCTTGTAAACTATTTTGAAATGAATTGTATGTCCAGATTTCACCACTTGGCATATAGACAGTGAGATACATAAATATTTTTTCTGGTAGCAATGTAACCACCTGGCCATAGGCATCATATTCAGCAATCAATATAGTAAACGATGTATTTGGATGTATAGTTTCGTCCATTGTAATGTTGAGTGTTTTGGGACCAGTTGCAGAATAAATTCCATACCCATTGGTAGCTAGGTTTGAAGAGAAACTGTTTCCATAGTCATTAGGTCCGTCATTGCATTTGAAATTATCAGTACAGTTTCCAAGATAACAAGATGCTTGATCGGAGAAACAAATAGCACCGGCACCATAGCCCACAAAATTACCATTGAACTGAGATCCCCAAACGAATGCAACAGAGTTTTGCAATCTCATTACACCACCTGCACGAACAGCATAATTATTGTTGAACTTGTTGGCGTTTGAAAAGAGATGACTCTCCACCAAATACATGACACCTCCCATTCTCGAATTATCGACTTCTCCATCTTTGATGTACTCCACAATACTGGCAGCGTTTGATTCAAAGTCAGAGTTGGTCAATGATATCTTGCTTTTACGAGCGTAAATACATGAACCAGAGATACCATTGTTGTAAGTGAATCGAGATAGGTCAATATCGATGAAATCCGATTGTTCTAATACTAATAAACTTTGAGCAACACTAAACTCAGACATATCGGAGCCAACTATTTGAAGAGTACCCATATAGAAATAAATGACCGAAGGCAAAATTGAGGTAATATTATAATTGTTAAACATACAATTATTAATGACCAAATTAGTTGTACCTGTAGAGATAAGCGATTGGGTATTAGGAGTACCATTGTCAAGGAATGAAGTTGAATCTAACTCAACTATGGATCTGTTCGCCTGGATGAGGGGTTTATCTTGAAAATTGTGTATATACAAAGAGTTGGCGAAGCTAACTTTGGCCTTATAGAATTCAAACGATCCTTGGTTATCTGAAAATAGAATATTGTCGCCAACGAATGAACCACCCGTCATACTTAGCATCGATTCAATGAGGTATTGATTTTCTTTGAATTGAGTATTGATCAAAGAGAGATGACTATCGTGCAAATCGAATCCTTTTCCATTGCTTCGAGTACTTGTAATCCATGTAGCATTTAGTGTGATAGACGAACTTTCTGCTGTCATGATACTGTTGCTCGGACTACTTAGATTGAACATCGAACCACTGGAGAATGTAACATTCGATAACGTTATCATCATCATTACATCACCACTGGAGATATGATCAAAGTAACAATTTGCAAACACAACATCCGATCTTAAATAGTCGCCAAGTGGTGAATGGAATCCATAGAGATAACTAAAATCAACGTTATTGAAAACCACTGTGGAATCAGTTATTTGAAAACCGCTAGGACTGGAATCGGAAAAGTATGAATTGCTGACTTCACCATTGGAATTTTCAATATTGATCATACTGAATTCCTTATTGTCACCAAACGATATCTGTTCCCAACCGGTTTCAGAAATCGTAAAGTTCGATGAGACAATATATAGTGATTGAAAATTCTGTGTAAAATGAGTACCGGTCATTGATAGGAAGGAGTTGGCGATATACATTGGATAGTAATTCACCATGAAGTTTTTGTAAAACTGCAGGTTTGTTGTCGTGACATTGCTGCCCTCGATGTATAAGAGTGTACCAATATAGTTTTGGTTAAATGTTAAAGTCGAAAGCAATACATTGTTAGGACCTCCAGCATATTCTGTTGCATTGATAATTTGAACCAATATAAAATTTAGATTGCTTGTGAAATCCAAGTAAGAAAATGAAACATAAGTTGGTTGATACAGCTGTATAAGTCCTGTTGGTAAAATTCCCGAATTCTGATTATCTTGGATATTGGAATTCTCGAAAGCAATATTTGTTAGCCATGCCGATATAAGCGATGCACTATTCTCAATGAATGAGACATTATTTAGTCGAATGTATGCTGTCTGCAGCTGGATTAGTGATACACCGAGTTGATTTTCTTGCATCACAAGATTGGTGATTGAGATATTCGTACTTTGTAGTGTTGAAATGAACTGACATTGATTGTAGTTGAAAGTGTTGTTGGTGAGAGTAAGCTGGCCAAGCATTGACACCGTAATGAAAGGCTTAATTGAATTTTGACTGTTGATAAATTGCGAGTTCTGAATGTTGGTGGCACCATTGTTGGCTAGTAATATAGCGGATTGGAACAGCATTTGCAAGAAATTGAAAGTAACTCCATCGATTAGCACCAGCTGGACATTCTCAAATTTGATAGCCAACTGACTGTTTTGAAATGTTGTATTTCTAATGATTACCGCCTCACCATAGGAATAGATATCGGGTTGTTGCGAACGTAGATTGTTAACCAATGAATTGGTGATCCATACCTCGTTGAAATACGTTCCATTGACAATGTTGAAGTTGGAGTCAAAGACGCAGTTGTCGATAGTGAACACCAGATTCTTCCCCTCCAAAACAAAGATAAAAGCAAATGGCATGTTGCGGAAGTTGGAATTGTAAAATGATGCGCTCTGACCGTAAAACATAAAAACTGGGGCAACTTTGGAGATTGTCAAACTTAGATTCTGAACGACCAGACTTGACGATGCAAAGGTGATGACTGCTGGCCATTTTGATACTATACTATTCACACCTGTGATTTGACAGCTATCCATTTCCACCTTACAGTTTGGTGCTACCGTAATTAGACTACCTTTACCCGGTGGGTTCTTTACTATATCTATAAAATTGACATTCGAAAGTGTGACTTTGTTCGGCCCACTCGCCATGAGCATTGCAACAGGATTAACACGGCTATCTAAACTTAGCGAAAATACATTGCTCTTACCATATGACTGAATAGTTAATCTCTTTGAAAGAGTATCAACTGCATATGTTGTATTTAATACAGGTGTAATAACATTGTTATCCAACAAATAGATACTGTGACCGGATGATATAGAATTGATAGCATGTTGTAAACTACAAAATGGTGAACTAATACTACCATTTCCTGTGATATCACTTCCATTTAAAGATATATATAAATCATTATCTAAATAATAAAATAAAAATTAGTTTACATATTTTTAGAAAATAATAATAATATTTGGATAGTTACTTATTGTTGTTGATGGTAATGAAACGATTGTAATATAGTCAACCAGAAATATACCCATAATATTGAATGCAAAATCCATGAATCTAAAGGTTAGAATATACTGTTCACCATTTGCATATTGTGTGAAATCAAACGATTGCAATTGGTATTGTGTGGTTGAGAGGTTTGGGTCAGTAGCTTTGAGTCTTGCTACCTCCATATCGTTAAGCGCAATCGATATATAAGCGGTGTTAGATTCATTCCTCGGCATCATTGCCTGAAACTGAAGATACATTTTGTTATAAGGTGTAGACGTTGACGTCAGATTGGCAAAGGTGATCGGCAGTGACTGAAGAACGACAGTCGAATAGAAGAGTGCCAAAGACAAACCTTCATATGGCTGATAACTGACTATCAGCGGAGAGTTGGGCTGCATCGTTATGATGGCATTACTCGTATTTACATTCCATCCCAAATGCCAGTTGCCCTCCAAGTCACCACACCTTATATCTGTAAAAATCGAATAATCCAATGGTTGACAGTTGGACACTGATATTTCGGTATTTTTAAAATTGAAATTTGATTGTATTGGTAATGGTGTAGGTGGAGATGATTTTTCCAATTGTGATTGTTGTTGTTCATAATGATGAATAATATCATCAATTGATTCATAAGAAGAAGAAGAAGATGCAAGAACAATACTTAAATTGTTTACATCTTTCAAATAACTAAAAAATAATAACAAACATAATATATATATTCTAGAGTACTTTAAAATTAAATAAAACATACTAACATAATACACAAACAAATAATAATAAATAAATTATATAATAAAAATAAATTTAAAACAATCAAAGATGGGTGGTCTTCAAGGCAGTTAAAACATCGTTAACTAACAAATATCTAATTTTGATGAGCTTAATCTTTTGGATTTTTATTTTATATTTTTTTGATCAAAAAAAAATCCTCAATGCGAAAGACTGAGTCAAAAAAAATATTATTCATTTTATTTTTAAGTATTAAATTTATTATTTATTTAATTTATAACAACTAGTTGAAATGAATATCATACCAAATGTTCGATCAATCAAAAAATCGAATAGATAATTAAATTTTTAATGAATTAAATGAATTGAAAAAGATCTACATTAGTCGAATTCAATTATTTGGTGTTACATAACACTGAATCGTGTTTTTTTATAATTAATTAATTAATCAATCAATTAATTAATCTAATCTATCAGGATCTAACAGAGTTTCAGACCAAATCATCTGGATCTCATATTTAGTCAGTGATCATTTTTAAAAAAAAACCAATCAAAAGTTATTTTTAAAGATTCACAAAATGTATTCCCACCTTAGTGGTACACAATCACTTTAAAAACCTTTTTAATTCGGATATTAATCAAACAAACTGATCAAAGTTGTTCAGTGAATTGAAACAAATCGGGTTTTTGCAAAAAAGTAGATCGATGCTGGTGGATAAAAAAACAAAAAATTTATTTTTAATTTTTTTTAACCAACAATTGTTGTCTCTGCATGTTCTGGATCATCTTTAAAAGGTTTAAAGTAGGTTGTTTTGTTTTGACTAAAATTATTTTGAAATAGATCACTCAATTAATTTATTTATAAACTTATATATATCAAGGAGTTTTATTAAATAAATTTCATACAAAAATAAAATGTAATTATTTTTTTTGATGAAAAATCTAGGTCTGATTTTTCATTTTTACTATTTTTTTTTATTTGAACTATTTTATCTGACCTCCTTAAATTTATAATTTCTTTTTTACTTTTTTTTTTAGGTGTTGTGGATGTATTAGTAAATTTAAAAGATTATTCTTTTTCATTTATGCTTTCACTTTGTTTACCAATTTTGCAACTTCAATTTCCTATTTGATTACTTTATACAAGTATCCCGGTAGAGAAGACTTGGATGACAAAGGAAAGAGAGATCTCTTAGTTACCCAGGTACTTTCTACCATTGGTTTGGGTATTGATGCACTCACTCAGATTTGGATTGTGTTTAACAAAGGTTTCCATTGTTGTTCTATTATCATTGCTTGGGTGACTGCTCTGATGCCAGGCAAAAAGTGGAAGATTCTCAATGAGCAACGTGGAGAATGGCCGGTTTTCAAGTTGAAGATCTGGACAAACGTTACTCACAACTTTGTCTTGTTGGCATCGACCATCTTCTTCTTCCGTGTACTCCAGCAGATTGCTCCAACCGGAACCAAGATCTCGACATTCTTTAAGATCATTACACTCTTGATTTCCATGTTTATCTTCTTCTGCATTGAACTGCCTATGAAGTGTTGTATTCACAAGACCGGAAAGGAAATCGGAAGAACCAAAGAGAAAATCAAAAACAAAATTTCCAAAAAAGACAAATCGAAAGGTGACTCTGAAAAAGCTACACCAGAGCCAGTGGAGATGGAAGTTAAATCTGAATCTCCATAAAAATAATAGTAATAATAATAATCTGAAGAGAGAAAGAAAGAAATACTATACAATAAACTTACTTATTTATTTAAATTATAAATTAATTCAATTTTTGATATGAATATCTATATGAGATTGTCTAAAATCATCGATAATTCTAAATTGCTTTTTCGTTGTGATGTTTGATGCAATGAGAACCTTGAGATTCTTTGTTTTCAAGCGATATTCTCGGACGTGTGTATGATTGATATGCTCCGTTGGTATCACAAAGGTTTCGAGTACATCGCTGGCGAGTAATGCGGAATACAACTTGGGATTCGAAACCTTTGGGTAGACCATCACCTTCTTTTCGAGGTTTCTCTGTTGAAAGACGAATCCAATGTCGAGATGACGGATTCTTTGGTTTTGACGGAAAAAGTTGACGAGAGGGCTCATTGCTCTGTTACTCCAGAGGTTCTTGCATACAGAGAGCACCGATATCGATTGATTCACTTTGAGCATTTCAAAGAGTGGTTCTGCCATCTTTGATATTACGGTATCTCTGACGAGCGCCAGCTTCTGAAGAGTGCTGTTCTTCTTGAGTGATTCAAAGAGTCTGTGCGAGATCAAGTCTTTTCCATTGGAGAGAGTGAACGATGTCAGTGTGTTGTTGAAATACAAAAAAGTTGGAAAATTGATCTTTTACAAATCTGTAGGCGCGTAACAAACGACCTTCATCAAAGTCGTCTTCATAGTGTACTCGATGGTCTTCAAAGTGCTGTCTGAACGTATCGTATTCACATTTCGCCATCTTCAATGTGAGTGTCTTGAGTGTTTTGTTTGTCTTCAACAGGTGACCAAGCAGACCGAAAAGATCGAATGGATTTACTTCACTGAGAGATCGAGGTATATTGAGATAGGGTTCACAAGCTATACACTCTCCGAGCTCATCTTCCATCGGACATCCGAATATCCATTCATCGAGCAACTCGTCATCGTATCCCATATCGTTGAGTATCGGCGATTCATATTCTTCATTGTCGTCGACGTCCTCCTTTTCGAAGCGAAAGTCGTCGATCGTATCGAAATAATCATTGGTGACGTCACCGCTGTTTGCCTCGGCCTGGCGTTTGAGCCGACTGAAATCGTCGACCTCACAGAGTAGACGCATTGCGTGATGAAGCAAAAATTTGCAATTGAGTGATTCCAACTTGGCGTGACGCGACAGCGCCACTACCAGCTGCTCCAGCGTGACCAGCGACAACACAGTGACGTTGCGCAACGTCTTATTCCTGAAGAGCAGAGAGTAGTTGAAGTGGAAATATTGCAACTCAAAGAAACTGATATCGAAATACTCGAGATCGATCGTTGTCGCTTGGGTATCGCGAAGGAACCGCGTAAACTGAGCGGGACACTCAAAGAATGGAAACATATACAGCGAATGGCGTATCTCGCTCAGTCGCGGATGAGAAACATTGTAGTGTCGATGGAAATGCAGAAAGCTCATATACATATCGAAATTGTAGCGAACTTCCAGCGTGAGTGTGATATGTTCGGGCAGTTTCTCTATGAGACAATTGACGTCTCGGAATATATGGTCGTCATCAACATCGGAGAACATCCCCTCGGGGAGTGTCTGAATCACCTTGATGATGTTGATACACTTGACATTGGGACAGAAGCGCTTCACTAGTTTGGCGAGGTCGCGTGCATAGCTACGCGACGAATGGCCCGACGTTGTCAGATGAACGGTGGCACTGAGAATGTTGCGCGGTTGAAACAAACAAAAATCGCTATTGATGTTTGACTTGACAAACTGCGGTACTTTTACATCGTAGTTTGAGAAGAGAGGGTAAGTGTATCTCCTCGGATCGATGATGATGTGATCCGCCATGAGCGATACAATATGAAACCAAAACTTTGATACCTGTGCCAAGACCAACATCTGAGTGTGATAGAGTTTCTCACCTATATGATCGATACGCGCCATCCTATCACGAAAAACCTTGTTCTGTGGTAGCACCCTGTAGTTTGGTGAAAGCTTTGGATGACATATCTGTAAAACCTGTTTGATTATTCTAGTTGTAAGATCTTGATTCATTTATATATATTTAAATATCTTTAACTCTATTTTGATTAAAGTACATTAATATGTTAAAACAAAAAAAAAAACAATTAATTTAATTAAATTTAATAAATGTTGAACATATTTATTATTATTTATTTTCACCACACACACCACTAACATTATTCAAATGTTTGTTAAAGTAGCAGCAGAATGTTCAAAAAAGTTGGCAATAAGTGTGTGTTGTGGTTATGCCAAATTATGTTTAGATGATATCATGTCATTGTTGTTTGACAAACCAACACCTAAGAATCATGATAAATAAATATTAACTTTTTGTTTCTTTCTTTCTTACTTTCTTTGAAGATATTTGATTCACAACGATGAATAAATATATAGTTTTGTTGTATTATTGTGTTGAGGCTGTAGTTGTTGTTGGCTTCTTAACGTTGATGTGTATTGCTGAACAATGTCTGGTTTTAGACACTGGATCTACATACTAAAATTGATGATGTTTTAAAAAGATAAGAAAGTTAATATGTTTTAATAGTCATCGTTTAATCAATAAATTGATTAAATGAATACATACATCTACATTTGGCTCATATTGATCAATTATTATCTCTGTGGAGGTTGTTGGTGAGAGTACCATATCGAATCGTCTCTGTAAATACAATGAAAGTTTAATGGCTGACATAATAGCTGCACCCAATCCATGAATATTAACTTCTTGAATACTTTATATTTTACAAAAATAAATTAGTAACCAATCCAATAGCTAACTAACTTTGGTATATTATCAATATACATACTTTTCGATAAACATTAATTTCTTTATTCTCTTTACATAGTAAATGAAATTACCATTGTTAGTTATATAGATATCATTCTTTTTAGTATGTGGTCTCTGTACAGCTCTTCTCATATAAGAATCTTTAATGATATTTTATTAATTTGTATTATTATATTTATATTTATACTGAACAATATTCAATATTACATACATAGATGTGAATTAAAGGTAGGATCTAAATCTTCTTCTTCTACTTCTTTATCATTTAACTCTTCATCATCCTCTAAACCTTCCATTAATTCATCAATATCATCATCATCATCGTCATCAACTATAATATCTTTCTTCTCTTTATTTATCTTTTTATTCTTTGACATTTTATATTATTTATTATTATTATTATTAGCTAACAATTAATTATTCGTTTAATTGAAGCGATCAACAGATCGACAAAAGCATTCAGAACTTCGTTTTTATTTAATTTTAATTATTTAAAAATCAAAAAATGAAAAAATTCAAATTTCGCGCCTTTGATTTTAAATTAATTGATTGTGAAGAATATATATGAAGTTAACAGAATTATATTTATTTTAAATCTGTTTAGTTGTAATTTATTTATTTTTAAATTTATTAATAAATTTATTTAATTTTATTTAATTTTTATTTTATATTTAATTTATACAATATCAATCAAATTTATCATTATATAAATACAGATAGATTATAGATATAAATCAATTTTAAATATGGATTCTACTACTACTACTACAACTACATCTACAACCTCTACAAATAGTAATGTAAATATTCAAAGAGATACAGAAGTAGCAAATGCAAAAGGAAAAATCATTGTTGCCCAATCATTATATGATGAAGGTGATTTCGTTTCATGTTGTGAATTACTTGGTAGTTGTTTAAGTACATTGTATGTATTCAATATATATCTTATCTCTATATCTAAATTATAAACTAAACATTAAAATTAATATTAATCATTAAATGAAAATTAAAAATTAAAAAAAAAAACAAAATATTAAAGAACTGAAATTCATGGAGAAATGTCAATTGATGTTGCACCTGTTTATGTTAAATATGGTCGTGCATTGTTGTTCTCATACAAGACTAATGAATCTGATGTTTTGGGTTCAAAGCTACAGGATCAAGAGCAGGAGCAAGAGCAAAGCAGTGAGAGTGAAACAGAGACAACAAAGTCAGCGGCAAAGTCAAAGACAAAGACTGTGCTTCCTAAAGAAGATAGTATAGATGATAAACCACATCTTGAGGAGGATGACGACGAAGAGGAAGAAGAAGAAGAAGGAACTACAACAACAGCAGCAGCTACCACATCCAATAATAATAATAATGAGAATGAAGACGATCCAAGAATCACTGCATTGAAACAACAGGCTCAATCTGATGCTGAAACTTTGGAGTTGTCTTGGGAGGTCATAGAGTTGGCCCGTCTCATCTACGAGAAGGATCAAGCAGACAATGGAACCAACAGATACAAAGAGTTATCCGATATTCATATGTTAATTGCTGATGTTTTAGTTGAATTGGGTATGATTTCATAATCTCCACTTTAAAAGTTTAATAATACTAACTAACTTTGTTTATTAAAATTCATAATAATACAGAAAATCTTGATGATGCTTTGAAAGAATATGAATATGCTTTGGAATTAAGAAAGAAGAATGATAAAGAGAATGAAAGAACACAAGCTGAAGTGTATGTACTATTTTATTTCTTTTATGAATTGGAAAGCGAATATTAACAAAATATTATAAACAGTTTATATTATATTGGTTTAGTTTATCAAATAAAGAATGAATCAAAGTTGGCAGAGGATGCATACAGAAGAGCAACCGATATTCTTTCTAAATCATTGGAACGTCTCCAAAATATGCCGGAACCTCCAATTGACGATATTCAAGATTTAAAGAACGTTATGTTTGAATTACAATTAAAGGTAGGTTATAAAAAAACAATAATATTTATTATTTGTTAACTTATTAATAATACTAATAATAATAATAATTGTTATATAGTTGGATGAAGTAGTACCAATCGATACATCAAAGGAACCAGTACCAAAGGAGTTGGAAAATGCGCCGACTGAAATTACAATTTCAACATCAGCCAGTGACCAGACTGTTGCACCTGGTACTGAAGTCAAACGTTTGGGTACAGTTGGTAAGGCCACTAAGAAGTTGACTCTTGATCCAACTGGAAGTTCACCCGTTAAGCAAACAAGCACCAATTCCACAACAACAACAACAACTGCTCCAGCCGAAGAGAACAATGCCGCCACCAAGTCAAAGAGAAGACTTGAAGACATGATGAGTGGTGGCGAATCCATCTCAATTTCAACCGGTCCAACATCAACACCTTCCTCTGCTGTTCCTACACCAACCAACGAAGTTGAAAAGAAACAAAAAGTAGAACATTAAATAAATAAAACAAAATAATTTAAATATTAAAAACAACAAACACTTTGCTCAAAGAATTTAAAAATTAAACAATCAACTTCAAATTAGCAGATAAAGAATTTTTCTTAATTATACATAAATAAAAATTTAAACATATCTTTAGTAAACTTTAATCAATCTTGGAGAAAAAATAAATAAAAAAAACAAAAAAACAAATAAACAAATAAACACCTATAAATTGACAATTTAATTTATAAAATAGAAAGTTCTAATTTTTTTTTGATCAATATTCCATTTAAATTATTTTATTAGCTATAATCATAAAAAAGAACTATTTGTATCTTACATCTTTTGGTAGTTAAGAAGCATAACCTTCAAAGATCTCTAATAAATAGTTAAATAAAGAATTTAAGTAGTTCAAAGATTATAAAATCCTCATTTTTTAATACATTTTTTTTAATTTCTCTGAGACAAAATAAATCTTTGAACTTCAGACATACATTGAATGAAAGTAATAATACATATATTTTGAAAATTTCGTAAAAATAAGATTAATCATATATAGATTCTGATAGTGAATAATTATTTTTTTCTGACCTTATTTTTTGATTTTCTGTATTGTGGTGGACTAATATATTCTCTCAAAAGAAAACACACCACCAATACAAACCCAAAATATAAAAGTATTCTAACAACACACTTGAATTAAATAGAAAATAAATCAAATCAAATCAAATTAAAATTCAACACAATGTAAGAAAAAATAATTTTATCCAAACCCGGTAAATACAAATATCTGGTTGATCAAATCTATTTTATGTAGAAATAATATGGTTTACTATTATTAGTGGGGACATGAGTAACAATGTTATTATCAATATCTATTTTTTAAATTGTTGTTTTCCAACAGACTGAACATAAAAATATAATTCCATTTAAAATTTGATTTTCATGTATAGTGATGCATCGGACAATTTCAATTATTCCATTTAGAATAGTGATTCGAATTTGATAAATATGATTATTAATAAGTTGGAGCGATAACAATTTAATTCTTTCTAAAACTAATTCTTTAGTTCCTGTAGATTTTTTTCCATTTTTATGTATATAAATACCAAAGAAAAACGATAATATAATTTTGATGATAATAAATAAAATAGTGTATACCATTTTCTAAGAATGTCATCCCAGTTATTTGTAAATCTTTACATTGTTATTGGTTGTTTACTAGGAATATGTATGACGGTTTTCTCAATATACCTTATGTATCTAACTACAAATCAATGTATGGCACAACCAAAAAGAAAAAACGAAGTTATTTTACAAGAACCTGTATGTTTGATTCATTGAATCTGTTATTATTAAAAAACATTCAAATTTACTAATAAAATGAAAAAATTTAATTAATTAGAAATCCATTACAATAACAATAGAATATTTTAATCCTAATAATACTGAAAATAATAATAATAATAATAATAATATTAATAGTGAATATGAATCCAAGAATATAGAAATGTCTATAAAAAATAGTGATTAAAAACGAAAAAAACATTAAAATATTTAAATATTAGAGTATATTACTCAAATAATACTTTTGTAGTTTTTATTGGAGGTGTGTTCATCTTTGTTACAAAAACTCATAAAGAGACTCCATATGTTGTTGACTCTTTTTGGGTCATGTTGGATTGGTTCTATTGAATTTCATTTGGTTATTTAATTAATGGTCTCATCGGTCGATGCAATCTTTAGGAACACATCTTCCAAACTTGTCTGTTGAATTCCCCATTCAGTAATATGATATTTATCTTTACTTTGTAGCATGAATGCACACAATTCGGATATTAAAGTTTCCTTTGGTAATCTATATACATAACTTCCAGAGAATGATTCGATTAACAATGCATCTGGTGAGAATTTGTGAATTAATCTATGAAATTGTTTTTAAAAAATAAATATTATTAGTTTTAAATATGGTTTTGGAATATTGATAACATACTCTGTTGGTTGGAAATCATCTACGTGACTTGGATGAATATTTATCTTGAGTGAATAACCTTCACCAAACTTAGACTTTAAGTGTTGTTGTGGTCCTATGCATTGTAGTTTTCCTTGTGAGATGATACCGATACGAGTGGAGAGAACGTCTGCCTCCTCCATGGAGTGAGTTGTCAGGATGATACATCTTCCTTGTTTCAAACGATTGAGAATACTCCAGAGCTCACGACGTGTCTTTGGATCCAAACCGGTCGATGGTTCATCAAGGAAAACAATCTTGGAATGACCGGTAATTGAGACGGCAACAGACAATCTACGCTTCATTCCACCACTCAACTCTTTTACGAGACGTTCACGAACATCATAGAGCATTACATCTCTCAAGATATCTTCAACGTGTTTCAACTCCTGACTTCTCTCGACACCCTTAAGACGTGCGTAGAACAAGAGTGTCTCAACACAAGATAGATCCTCCCAGAGAGTATCAAACTGTGGACATACTCCAACGACACGATGGATCGAATCCATTTCGGTGGCGATGTCGAATCCTGCAACCTTGGCATAACCAGAGGTTGGAGTGTAGAGTCCGGTCAAAAGTGAGATGGTAGTTGTTTTACCTGCACCGTTTGGACCCAACAAACCAAAACATTCACCATTCTCAATGGTCAAATATAGCTTGTCAAGAGCTGGCTTTGGTCTTCCTGCATAGATTTTTGTTAGAGAGTTGATGATAATTGGCGAGTTGGAGTTGATCTCCTTGTTGATAATACGAATCTTCTCCATGGCAACGTCTTCGTCCACAGTTTCATCGGATGTATCGGCACTATCGTTATTCTCATTGATAAGAAATACCTCATCAGAGTTGATAGGCTTTCTTTGGTTTCTCTTTTTGATCCAGTTTACAATTGGTTCAGTGAAGAACAATGGATGCTTTGGTACACCGAATTCTCTTGGTAGAACTTGATCCAAGTACAAAGCCAACAATAAATAGAAAACACTATCGATATATAACCAAAAGATAATCTTTGACTAAAAAATGATTAAAGAAATAAGTAAAGATGTATTTAATGTTTTAATTCTATTTCAACAACTTACTGGTTCGAAATCCCAAGTGTAATCAGACCATTTTGGACATAAACCAACACCACAAACAGTAGAGATATTAGTCAATCCACGATAGAATGCAAATAATGGGTAGAAATAATAAGCTACTGGTGGCATTGAATTTGCCCATACTTAATTGTTTTAAAAAAATAAAAAGTAGTATTAGTAACATAAAAAAAGTTTGATATGACTTTAAATGTAATAATAATATGATACACACATTCTGCACTTAATACCAAGTTTACAATTACACTTATAATTAAAAGGAAGTAGCATGAAACAGTAGCAGTACGTGTTCTCTTGAAGAGTGTACTAAGGAAGAATGAGAAAGTGATCATAGCATTTCCCCATCCAAAAAGTAAAAGGAACATTGCAAATGCTGAACCTTGTGTGAACACAGCGAATCCAAAACCAACACTGATACCGACTACAATGATCAATGCACAAATATATAATAAAAAGTCAAATAAATAAGTAACTATCCAATAGTTTCTCATTCTTAAACCCATCTATAAATAAATATATTGAAAAAAAATTAATATAACTATTGAAATAACTATAAATGATTATCAACATACCATTAGACACATATCTCTTAAACGTTCTTGTTTCTCCAAAACAATGGAGAATACAAACAGTGGAAGAAGGAACGACAATGCAAATGGATAGAATAGACCACCCAAAAGACTTCCAACATCAATGGTTGGAGGCATCTGTTCAAATGGAAGTTGAGTCAAGTTGGAGTTGATAATAAATTCTTGTCCATATACATAGTAAACTTTTATAATTAAAGAAAGAGTTAATTTTAAAGTTTGTAACTGTGTTTGATTTACATGTAAATGATTGATTCTTTTTACTTACTATAGGCGCTCTCTAATAAATTCATAGTAAATAAATAGATAGTCGGATCGGAGATGTTTCCGTACTCAAAGATGGGTTGGGTATCAATGGCGACTTGGTAATCGAGAATCTGTTGTTGTGCAGAGAATTGATTGAAAATGATTGCAGAGAATGGCATTTCGAATCGATTCTTTATGAGGAATGAACTACGACGCTGGTTGATCAGTTGTGTCTTTTGATTGGAGATATCTTGCATCATCTCTTTGACCGATGGGTAGTCCTGTGAGTATGGAACATACATCGATTCATTGATATAGGGAATCGTCATATATACTTGTGGTATCTTACCAAGTAGACCTGTTTTATTTCCATCCGATCCCAGCGTACCTATATTTGGTATACCATTTGGATTGGTATCTAAAAAGTGACTAAATAACAAACAAACAAACAACTATTAATATAAAAGTTTGACAACAACTTTTAAAACTTTAACATGTTTACACACCCAATTTCTATAATACTGTTATTGTAAGCGGGAATAAGAGTTGGTTTCATTTGATCCATTTGATGTTTAACAAAGATTTGGATGATACATAACAGTAGAACCAATACCAATGGAATACAAATCTGTAAGATTAACTATATATACATATTTAAAAGTAACAAAAGTTGAGTTTTGAATGCTATAATCATCTAGTTTGAATGTGAAATACTTACTGCGCATTTTTGTCTTTTCAAAAAAGTAGCACTTTTCAAGAACTATAATAGTAGTAACATCAAATAAATAAGCATTTAATATCATTGAAATCAAGATATTTACTTACAGTTGCTCTAAATTGATTGGATTTAGGTGGTTCAGATTCCATCCTAATTTAATCTATATATCTCTATGTTGTTGTTGCTGTTGTTGTTGTGAATAAATAATAATATTATAACAAAAAATATTATAACAAAAGTATAAACTTAATAAATAAAAATTAAATAAATTAATAGAATGATAAAACAATGATTCAAGTCTTTTCGGAGCGGAGTGTAGTTTGGAGGTGGTGCTGAGTAATATATTTTCGCTATCTTTCTATTTTTGTTGTAAGCTATGGTGGTGTTGAATATCGATAGCGTAAACAATCAATCTTCCTTGTTAATTAAGAGATGAAATGATGCCAATCTATTCAAAGTTTCTTAAATCTTTTCTTATCATGTGTGTGATTTTTGACTGACTGGAATTTAAAGAATGAATGAAGAGCCGCAAACTAGTGGCTACCCTTATTATAAATAATTATAATGTAGTATGTTTTTGTAACCAAAGATCTGCAAAACTTGATGAAAAATCTTCGTCGGAAATTTTTTTGAACATTTTATTACCAAAAAATTTGGAAGACCCCCTCGGACCTCGGGCAGGACTATTTTTTTATCATGAAAAAAAAATTAACAAAAAGTTCTAAAAATCCTCATCGCCATATACAACACAAATCATCATACGATGATGCAGCATTCATGTTTAGCAGTGAATACCAACAACTTTAATGTTCTATGAATAGTTGGATTAAATTATTAATGTTGATTATTTTATAAATTGTAAATAGTTTTATATTATTTATAATTTATTTTTAGAAAAGTTAAATTTATTATAGATAGATAGATAGGTAGAGACAGAGATTAGGATTATTTGTTTGTGTTTTGAAAGAGTTGAAAGATAAACAAACAAACAATCATGACACTCTCTGAAACAATAAAGAGAAATCTTTTACAAACAAAACTTTTGTTGAAAAAGAATGTAGTGGTTGCGATTCGTTCGTGGATCTCCACTGTGATAGAGTTGCTTTCACCAGTATTCTTTATTCTGATATTGTTAATCATTGCACATTCACCATCACCCATGAATTGTAAGTTATTTTTTTCGATATACTTAAGTAATCCGCATGTTGGCAATAAATTAATAATATCATTGTTGTGATAAAAAAGCATTATTACAGAGACCAGTCACCAAGTATGGAGATTCATTACCACTTTGTAAACCATATACAGAGGATCGTTGTTTCACATTGATGTTTGCACCGATTACACCTTTAACAACAGAGCTTATGACTATTCTAGGACAGATAAACGATCCACCACTTAGTATTACCACCAATTTGTCAGTCAGTTATGGAATCGTAGCAATGGATTCAGCCGATGCCATCCTTTCGTTTGTCCAAGAACATCCAAATGTTACCATGGGTGGTATTCAATTCAATTCGATGCCATTCAACTTCTCTACACGTTTCCCAGACGATCCAATCGTAAAGATATTCAGTCCACTCATTGATTTCAATATTCTCTGGAATTCATCGTGTCCCAACTTTATCGATCCAACCGCTTGCACCGATTGGGCTGTTCCAATCAATTTGGCAATGCACCGTGCTATCAATACTATGCTGTCACAGGAGCGAAATATAACTACCCAACCAACTACCACCGTCACAACTTCTACGTATCCCCTGTACGATCCATCGGCTAACAGTGTAGCCACCTACGGTTGTCTGTTCTTCTACTGTGGTGCAATGATTTCCTTCATTTTCCTCATGTACAAAATCTCCTATGAGAAAGAAAAGAAATTGAAACAAGGTATGATCATGATGGGTCTGAGTGGAACTGTCTACTGGGTCTCTTGGTTCATCACCTGTTTGATTCTCAACGTACTCCTAACTCTTATTACCATTGCAATGGGTGCCGCCGTTCAATTCCAATTCTTCTTGAGCACCAACTTCTTTGTCAATTTCCTTACATTCTTTTTATTCGCAATCACCATGAATCAAGTTGCTTTCTTTATCTTAACATTTATTCAAACAACAAAAGCTGCAAGTAAGTATAGTAATTTTTATTATTATATTACACCAAACTAATATAATTATGTCTATTTTCTAAATAGTTGGAATTGGTATGACAATTTTTATTATTGGTTCAATTTTACAATTGATTTTCAGTTCAATGGGAGTCTTAATTTTCCAAATTCTCTATCAGACAAACAGTACATATGCTTTGGTTGCCAGAATCTTCTTATATGTCCTTCCAATGTCACACTTTTCAAAGGCTATCACCGATATCAATACAATTACAATGTTGAGTAAATACACTGGTGCCAAGTTCACTTGGAGTGACCTCTATTTGAATCTCAATTCACCAGATTCCAAGAATGTCAATATTCCAGAGACCTATGAATCATTAGTTAATTTGGTGATTCTTGCTATTGCCTACACTGTCCTTGCTTGGTACTTTGAACATGTTGTACCAGGAAACGACGGTAACTCTTATCCACCCTGGTTCTTCCTCTTGCCATCGTACTGGGGAATCACACAAAAGAAAGCCAAACACATCCCAACACCACACTTTGAAGATGCCGATGTTGTAGAAGCCATTGAGAAAGCACATTCCACAAGCAATCGTGCACCAGTCACCATCCAAGGTTTGTCAAAGACATACAATAATATTTTCAACAAGTCTCGTTCAGTTAAAGCTGTCAAATACCTAAGTTTGTCGATTGAATCCAATAGTATTCTTTGTTTACTAGGTCACAACGGTGCTGGAAAAACAACGACCATTGGAATCTTGACAGGTCTAATCAGTCCATCCTCTGGAGATGCCATGATTTTCGGAAAGAGTATCGTAAGAGAAATGGATGAGGTTAGAAAAATGACAAGTGTTTGTCCACAACATGATATCCTCTGGAATGAGTTGACCGCTCTTGAACATCTCCAGCTATTCTCTGAACTCAAAGGTATTCCCGTACATGAACGCCAAACTGCCATCGACGAAGCATTGGAATCTGTCAAACTCAGAAAGGTTGCCAACAACCAAATCAACACATACTCTGGTGGAATGAAGCGTAGATTGTCTGTCGCCATTGCAACCATCGGTGATCCAAAGATTATTTTCTTGGATGAACCAACCACCGGTATGGACCCACAGTCTCGTCGTCACATTTGGAATCTCTTCAAGGAGATCAAGAAGGACAAGGTTATCATTTTAACCACTCACTTGATGGAGGAAGCAGATATTCTTGCCGATCGAATTGTTATTATGTCTCACGGTCAGATGGCCTGTAATGGAAACTCACTCCAATTGAAACATAGATTCGGTGAAGGTTACTCTATCAATGTAATTGCTAAAACACCAGAACAAGCACCAGAAATCAAAGCCATCGTTCAACGACTATTGCCACAGAGCAAACTGCTTAATGAGGCCGCTGACTTTATGAATTTTGGATTCAGTTTGGATACCGATCCAAATATTGTTATCAATTTCTTCAAACAATTGGAAACCATATCAAAGAACAGTGAAACTTCACCTATTAGAGATTGGGGTGTTTCTCACACAAGTATGTAGTTCTAATTCAATCGATAAACATTCAATATACTAACTGATTATTATTTTTTTTATTTTTAGCTTTGGACGATGTCTTTATAAGAGTAACTAAACTAAAACAAAATTAATAAATTATTTATATAAATATAAAGTTTGTAAATAACTATAATTTTTTTTAAATTTAACGAAATTATAATATATATGTTGTATTAGTTCCAAATAGATAATATTGAACATAAATGTTGATTATTCAAGTTTGGAGATCGCTTTTAGTCTTTATTTAAAATGTTGTAAATGAAATTCCTGATCTATATTCACATCCTCTTATATTACCAGAGAATCTAGTCGGAGAACAATCCATTACAACTGCTTCGGGCAATGATGTTAAAAGTACAATGGCATGTTGTTTTGCCGAGGTATTTGTTGCTACGAGGGGTGATCTGTATAACACATCATATGGATCTAATGCATCAAGAAAGTGAATGTTAAATTGGACAATGAAACTTCCTGAATAATCCCAACTGGTTACCATCTTTTCAATGTGGAAATTAAATATAATGTTTCTATCTGCTGACCAGATAACATCAGGATATCCATAGTACTTATTACATCTGATATTGAATGAACAGAACTTGAGACTTCTTTCATCGGTTTGAGATGTGGTGTTCGGCCAAACTTGAGAGATGAGGAAATTACTTTGGAAAGGTCTTTTTCCATCCCACTCTCCATTGTCAACTTCTTGGGATATAAAGTTGTTCTTATCGCCATTGAGTGGATGACTAAAATATCCCCAGATCACTTTTCCATTCTCTGCTCTGTTTACGATAGCCCAATCGCCACAAGATAGATCTCTTAGAGTTGGTATTTGGAGGTATCTACCACCTCCTACACTCCATCTATCTGCGAATGGTTGTCTACTCGAGTCATTAGTATATAATACCATAGTTCCATCTTCAAAATTCAATATATAATCGAAATCCGGCGAATTCGGTGTCTTACTCGTTCTAAAAACAATATTATCAGGGCTTTGATTGTAAAATGGATTTTCTCTATAAAGTATTCCAACTCCATTCCGCTCCAATCGGAAATACTGTTTACCATTTGTAATGAATTGACCAACTTTGAGATGATTTCTCTTTGATTTGGCATCGAGATAACTTCCAGGAATCAAACTGACTCGGAAACCTCTTTGCTCACCAAACATTCCCCAGACCATTTGAAACTCTTCGTTTAGTATGACGAATCCCCAATCTCGATTGTATGCACCTTCTTGAAGAACTGTAAAATATCTTCCACCCAATCCCTGAGAGTTTGAGCACCAATGATCTGTACGATCGGAAACAATGCAGAGGTTCGAGTCATTCTTCATCACCAGCTTATAATTTCCACCAATTGGTAACTTTGGTGAAATATAGCGTGCTTCACCTCTAAACCAAAGATAGATCTGTCCATTCTTATTGAAATAAAAATCGACAGCCTGATTAGGAGTTAATCCTTCCATCATATTTAGGTAGTTTTTGCTCGACTTGGCATCCAAGTAGCATTTAGGAGTAAGAGGAATCCTCTCGGAATTGTAGTCAAGTGTTATTGGTGCTATAAGTGGCTGATTGATTATATAAGCATAATGATCCACTTTTATAAAAAATAAAAATACTAATATTAAAATATATAAATATTGTCTTAACATTGTTATTAGTTACTAAGAAAAATAAAATAAAGAGAGACACCAACAAATGAATTATTATTTCAATTTGATGAGCAATGGAATAGCATTTAAAAATATTTACTTTTTGGAGGTAAATTAAGTGACTCTTGATCAGATACAAGTTTCCTTTTAAATTTTAAATGATGGTGAGGTAAAATAAAACAAAGTTAACCCTTTTGTTTTTAAACTGTCACCATTGTTGATCAACACCAATTATTCACTAGTGTAAGCATCCAATGATGATATGCTTGTATACACGCATATTAAATGATAGGTACTCATCATCCACATTCACTTAACATCATACTTTATAATGTTGGTGATGAAATGAGTAACCCAATCAACTATAAGTACTTATAATTGATAGTATTTATTTTATTTTTACATGATCCTCGCAATTTTGATACTGCATGCAACAACTTACAAAAGAATATGATTTTACTTTTTTACCATTTCCCACAACAACAATTTTAATAATGTTTTAATATTTATTCATATGATCTTCGACCATCAAAAAAATAATTGTGCAGAATTTACACGGGTAAATTCTCACGAGAATTTATTTGAAAATTTTTATTGGATGATCACGTGAACCAAATAGGACAAATTATTATTTATTTAAAAATGTAGTCAACAAATAAAAGAGGTTCAGTCAATAGAATAAAATGTAATATTTTTATAATGGTGATGATGTTGATCATGATTTATTATTATCTTATTAAAAAGTTGAAAAAGATATACCAGATCTATAGGTACAACCCTTGATTGTACCAACAAAATAGAAATTTAGACATTCCATTACAACAGCCTCTGGCATTGATGATAATAATACAAAAGCACTTGATTTTGGTGGAATGCGATCGGCTATTAAAGGTGACATATACATTGTATGATTGTAATCACCACGATGATCGAATCCCGTTATTTGAAACTCAACCGTAAATCTACCATCGTATGTCCAACTTCTCTTTATCTTGGCAATAGTTACATCTGCTTTAACAAATTCGTCTGCAGACCAAATAACATCTGGGTAGCCATAGTATTTAGCACATCTCATATTAAATGAACAGAATGCTCTTCTCTCCGTTCTGAGAGTTCTCTCACGAGTAACATTTGGCCATACCTCTGCAATTAGGAAATTACTTCTAAGCGGTCGTTGTCCATCCCAATCACCGTTCTTTGACTCTGATAGGTAGCTATTTTCATCTTGACTCTCCAATGGGTTGTTGAAAAATCCATAGAGAACCTTTCCAAGTTCATTTCTACTAACCATTGCCCAATCGGACGAGCAGTCTACATCCCTTGGAATCGGTAGTTGTAGATATCGACCACCTCCAACCCAATACTTTTGAACAAATGGTTGATACCGAGTGTCATTTGTATATAGAACTAATGTTCCATTCTCCAAATTCAGAGTATATCGATACCTTGTAGAACCAACAGGATGTGTTAAAATAACTCTTCTCTCCTTTCCTGAGGTAAAAGGGTTACCTAAAATCATCGCGCCAAAACCCTCCTCTGTAACAGTGAAGTAGTCTCTTCCATTTGTAATGAATTGACCGACACTAAGTTTATTGTTGCTGGATTTCGAATCAAGATAACTTCCAGGAATCAAACTTACACGGAAGCCTCTTTGCTCACCAAATCTTCCCCATACCATTTGAAAGTCATCGTTTAGTATGACTATTCCCCAATCTCGATTGTATGCACCTTCTTGAAGAACTGTAAAGTATCTTCCACCCAATTTCTGTGAATTCGAACACCAATAATCAGTACCACTGGCAACTACACATAGATTGGAGTCATTTTTCATCAGCAAATGATAATCAGTTCTCTCTGCAAATTTCGGTGTTGTAAATACATTGAATCCTCGATAACCTAGTATAATTTGTCCATATTCATTCAAATGGAAACTCACAGCCAAACTGGGAGAGAATACTCTATTTGTCGACAAAGAACTTTCATTCATTGAATCCAATGTGCATCCTGGTGTTAATGGAATACTTTTTGGGTTATAATCCAATGTAATAGGTGATAACAATGGCTGATTGATTGGTCTCTCAGAAGAAGATTCGGCATCGGCATAGGCATAGGCACATACAAAACTATTATTTATAAAATGTACAAAAATAAAATAATAAATAACTATTGAAAATGTACTATAACTATTCATATTTCAAAAGTGAAGAAAGAAGCTTTTTATTTATTTACCTGACTGATAAATACAAATCACATGTGATTAAAAATAGTATCTATTTAAGTCATGAATATAATAATTTCAAACTATCTATCGTACAGTTAAAAATAAAATAAAATTAAACATTTTATTGGATTAGATTAGGTGATTGGTTATTTTTAATAATCTACATTAAAATCTAAAAGAAACAATCATTTTATTTGTAGGGAACAATCAAACCACACCGATACGATTTATATTTTGATTGTTTATATCATTAATTAAAAAAAAAAAAAAAGAAATTTGATTTAAATATGGGCGTTATAAATATATATTTACATAATTTGTTTTATATAGTCTGATTATTGTTTGTTTGACTGACTTGATTTGCTTGTTATTGTTGATTTGAAGTAGGTATAGTATTTGTTGTTGTTGTTGTTGTTGTTGTTGTGGTTGTCGATATGACTGAGAAAATAGAAGATACATTTAGTTTGTCATGATTCTCTACGAATAGAATCATCCATATCATTACCAAAATTAAATATAATATAATAAACATAAGTGTCTTTAAAATTGTCTTTATCGATGATTGATTACTGTTGTTCTTTTTGTTCTTTATGATTGGTTTTGTGTGTTTAATGTTTGTATTCTGTACTATTGGTTGGTATGATGTCGATGTCTTAAAACTATTATTATTGCTATTATTATTATTGTTGTTATATGTTGAATGATAATGATTATTACTACTACTACTACTACTATTATAACTATTATTATTATTATTATTATTGCTGTATATATTTAAATTTGATGTTTGATGATTATTTATATCGTTTAGTTTCATAAGTGATGGATACAATGGTTTATAAGGTGAAGCTACAGTCGTTGATGATGATGATGATGATGAATGATTGTGTGTATTTTGTTTGAAAGGTGACATGATCGAATGATTTAAATGATTATCTAGTAGGCTTGATGAGAATGAAGATGATGATCTTCTCACAGGCGATGTCAATACCGCCGCTGTTTTGATAGCGGTCATCGTTGACATTTCATTCTTATCAAACAATCTTTCATTATTACTGCCATTGCTTGTCGATGTTGATTTAGGTGTTGCCAAAGGAGTGCTTGCTGTCATCGATAGATCGAACTGGTCGTGTCCAATGTCAGTGCCAGATGATGTTGATGACGATGCCAATGGTGTGAACAAAGGTGAAGGTGCGCTCGACAATAGCTTTGGTGTATTTATCACTGTTGTTCTGGTGTGAGAGGTGTCGAGAATCGACAGGTTGTTACTCTCGTAGGCGTTCGACGACGACACTTGCAGCTGAATAGTGGGTTGACCGTTTATGATATCGGAGGGTAACGATTCGATTAGATACTCAGAGATCGGTGCCATGTCGGTGGCGTTGCCGTCTACCTCCAACTCTAGATGCGCTCTTGCCATCTCCTCCAAAGTGAACTCTTGCTTTCGCTTCAATCTTCGCTTGGCCAGCTTGTCATCGAGCATCTCAATCAAACAATAGAGACAAGCTACCACTCTTGCCGGATTCTTATTCTCAAACAAATCCAACGTCTGAAATACTATCGGTACCTTTATAATCTGACATTGCCTAATGAATTCCGATATATTTTGTATACGATGATAAAAGAATTTATTCTTTAAAGAATGAATGAATGAATGAAAGAAGAAGGGTAAGTTAATTAATTGTTATTTTTGTACAATTTAATTATCTACACATACAGTTGGATATACAATATTTTCAATTGAATTTGGAAAGTAAATATTGATTAATCTACATAGGATGGTACCGTCTGCAACCAACTCTATGATATCATCGGTGTGATTGTTGATTGGTTCATTATTCTTCTCGAAACAATCTTTTATCCATTCGAATATCTTTGTTCTTCTTTCAAGATAGATTCTAGCAGCTCTATCTTTTCTTTGTTGTGTGAACATCTGTCAATTTATCTTGGAAATCTAACAAAATCAACAAAACAAAATAAATAAATAAATAAAATAAATAAAAACTTAAATTAATTTAAAATATATATATATTTAGAATGAATAATCATTTAATCACACATAATATAATTAATGGTGATCGTTTTTTTTTTTGGTGTGTTTTGTTTATTTTGAATTTTAATTGTGTCCTTTTTTGGAGGGTTTTGAAGTTAATCATTTTTTTTTTTTAAGTAACGGATAAAATATTTTTTTTCAAATAAATTTTCTTTGAATATATTATTTTAATATTATTATTATTTGTACATAAATTATATATTAATTTTATTTTAATTTATTTGTATTTGGCCATGAAATTCTTGTGGAAATCAGCGATTCTGGTGCATACACCTTGGATGGCTTGTTCGGATGGCAAGAAAGTGGTTCTGAAATGATAGGTTCCGTCCTTTTGACCGAATCCAGAACCTGGAACAACACAGATACCGGTTGCTTCCAACAATTGGATGCAATAGTATGCGTCTGGTGCCTTACCGTTGGCCTTTGCCTCTTCGATGGCACGGGCTGGCAAACGAATCTGTGGGAATGCGTACATGGCACCCTCTGGTTGGTTGCAAGTGACTCCCTCGAGACCGTTGAGTGCAGCGGCCAAGAGATTGGCACGACGCTTCAACGAGTCAAAGATGGTGTCACGCTCCTTGACGTAGGTGTCGTACGATTGCTCACCTGCGACGGGTGGACGTACCATCAGGTCGACGACGATCTGTCCGGTGACGTTTGGACAGAGACCGATCGATGCAAGCTTGTAGATCTCGGCTTTGACTTCGTTAGTGATACCGTGGAGCTCCATGTAACCTCCACGCTTTCCACACTCTCCAACGAATCCCTTGGAGACCGAGTGGAACGATACCAATTCCAATCCCTCGACTTCCTTACCCATGTCCATGACGACCTTCTTGAAGGAGACGAATGGCTTGGTTTCCTTTACGTATACATTCTCTTGGTAGACCTCGTCGGCCAACAAAACAATACGCTTTCTATGACAGAATGCGACAATCTCACGCATGTTGGCAGCATCCAAAGTCTGACCGGTTGGATTACCTGGATTGATGATGACCAAAGCACGTGGAGTGATACCCTTGGAGACGGCATCGTTGTAGCTACGCTCCAACTCTGAAGCTTCCAAACCCCAACCGGACTCCTCGTTGAGATAGTATCCAAGTTGCGAACCACCGTACAACTCGATGGTGGCGGAATATAATGGGTATTGTGGAATGGGGATCATGATACCGTCGGAACGGTCACGAATCAACAAACGCAACATACGTTGAACGGCAACAGAGGCACCGTCTGTCAAGAAAATATTGGATGGGTCGGCGGCATGACCGTCACGTGACTCGATGAAGGCGGCAACCGACTTGAGAACTGAGGCGACACCCTGACTTCCAGAGTAGGCACCGGTGTTTCCGATCGATGCCATCAACTCACGTGCACGAGCAATGGCGTCGGCTGGGAATACCTTATCGACGTGAGCAGAGTTCAATAACTCTGGACACTCACACAAAGCGAGAACCTGACGGAAGAATGAAATTGGTTGTTGTTTCAATTGTTGTGGATTACCAATGTTACAGTAGACGATCTCATTGAATGGCAACAACTTGGTACCCTCCTTCTTTTGCTTCTCAAGCAAATGAGCAATGTTCTCTGCACGAATGACCAACTCACCACGAACTGCATATTGAGCAGTCTTTACAGTTGGACACATATTATCCAATGTCAATGATTTGGTATCTTTTCCAATCATAATAATAACAAAATAATAAAAAAGAGGTAAAAAAAAAATGGTAAAATTAGTTCTCTACATCGTTTTTATACTAACAATAATAATTATTATGTAATTTAATATAATAAATAGAATAGATAGGTAGTAGAAGTTGTAGTTATAGTTATATATTATTTTCAAATTTCCAATTTTATAATAATTGTTTATCAATTTCGAAAAATTTTGAATTTTAGTTATAATATGACCTAGGTAGATAGAATATGAAAAGATAAGACGATAAGATGTATAGCTAATGAATACTTACATGGTGTTGAAATATCTTGATTATCCATTTTAGTATTTAATATATTGTTTGTATTCAATGGAATAGTTGTTTGTGTGTTTGGTTTGATGTTTCCAAGTGTGCTGAGTAATTTGGTTGATCTTCTGAACATAATATAATATTTATTCTATGTAAAAATTGATTATGTGTGATTCCAATTTATTTGAACAAATCTTGAGTGTGAAATTTAAAAAACTTGAATTTTTTTTGATTTTGATGTTTCTTTTCTGCTTTTGGTTTTTTGATTAAAACCAGGTTTGTTTTTTTTTTTTAAAAAAAATAAAATAAAATTGAAAATAAATAAAAGATTCTAATCTTATTAATTTAATATTGAAAATGAATTAAAAATTTATATATAAAATTATCGATATTAAATTGATTATAATGATGTATGAATTAATTGATTATAATGTGATTAACAAAAAAAAAAAATTTTGAAATTGAAAAACTGAAAAAAATATATTTTTTTGTAAATAATTATAATTTTTTAGTTATAATTTGATAGGTTAACTAACTAAAGTAAATTTTATATTGTTTTGTTTGTATTTATAAACTTTGTTTCAATCAAATAACTGTTTTGTTTGTTTATTTTATTCAACGACAAGTATGACGGTAATAAATTGATATCATTTCATTATATTTGATGTAAAAAAAAAATCTTAAATTTTTTTTGTTTTTTTTTGTCATTTCATTTTTTGTTTTTAATCTTAAGAAAAAGGTGGGGTTGTTGAGAGGAACAACAAAAAATCCCTTCGTTTTTTTGTTGGCTGGGGTAATAATAATCAAAAAACACAATTTGTGACCCTTCAAATGTTGACCTGGTTTATTGGTCTACAATCCAACATAATAGTGACAACAAATTACTTTCCGTTTCAATCAAAATCATATCTGATTCAACTTTTTGTAATTAAATTATAATTTATTTATTGTTCAATTTCAAAAGAGATATTATTCATTAAAATTTTAATTGTTAAAAATTATTAAATTGTATCTTTTTCAAAAGAATAAAATTAAAATTGTTTATTTTTTTTTATTTTTTTATTTTTTGTTTACCCCAAATAAGTGTTGCAAGTCAAAGTTCTACTTATATAGTACACAAGTAAGAATAACATTATTAGATAATTACTGAATGAAAAGAAAATTGGATTCATAAGAATAAATAAAATGAGAAATTTGCAATTGAATTGAATCTTTGAAACGAATAATCGATTCGAATTATTGCAAAAATCACAATCTATATAATGAACAATAAAAATGTTTAAAAAGTTGTTGTTACAGAACTTAAGACCATCATCGCATAAATATTTGAGAAACAATAAACTCATTTATTTTTCATGTGAATTTTTTTTTTTGCATTTTAATTTTTGTTTTATTTTATGTAATTGTACCCTCAAACAAGTATTGTATGTCAAAGTTATACTTGGATTTCTCCAAGTTGCAATGACATGATTTAAGATGGTCATACTGAATGAGTAGATAGATCCAACCAATCTTGTACGGATATGACCCGAACAACACCGAATATGTAGATCTGAAGATCTGCGATGATGGTCTTAAGTTCCGTAACATCTTTTTTGAATGTCAAGACAACATATTTCCATGTGATTCGTTCGTTACATGATTATGGTTTGAATTTATTTTAAAATTCTCGATCTGAAATTTGGTTTTTTTTTTTTTTTGATTTTTTTTTTGAACAAACTTAATGAAAAAAAAAAATCCCTTATGGGTGGATCAGTTTCTCCTTATGATAAATTTTCACAATTTAAAATCAGGACAGACAATATTTGTTTGCAGTAGTAGTTTTTTATTTATAGTATTTTTTAGCATTTTAATTTGTTTACAATAATGTTGACAGTGATCAATCATCGATGATTGCTTTACTCTTACTACCTCCACGATTATTTCTTACGGGTTCTTCTTCCTCAGAGTCATCGCCAAAGATATTGTTGCTACTACTGCTGCTACTGGATTTTGATGATGATGATTGTTTAATTTTCATTAGTTTTTTAGTTCGTTCACTATCGTCGTTTCTTGATCGCTTGTGAGATGACTTCTTTGATGCAGGCGAGTTGTCGATGAATTCGTCCATCGACGAACCCTCCTCCTCGTCGTACTCCTCGTCTTCGTCCTCCTCGTCGTAGTAGTCGTCGTCTTCTTCATCGTCATTGATGAATCTATCCTCGTTGGAGTAGCCATATCCACTGTCCTCGTCCTGTTCTTGACCCTCGGTGAGGTATTTCGAGTCGAGACCGATCTTCTCGGCGTGACTCTTCACCTTGTTCTCCTTGAGTCGACGCGATCTAATAATCTCGGCTTCGAAACGCTCCTTTGCCTCCTTGTCTTTCTCGGGATCGATCGTTGTCTGAATGGTCTTGATACGTCCGACCTTCTTCGATCTGGAGGTGGCAGACTCTGCCAGACGACGATGTACCTTACTGGTGATATCGGTCGGACGGATGTTGAGACGCGAGTCAAGCTTGCCTTCGCACTCGAGGAAGCCGTCCTGCGACGAATAGATATAGATATGGTCACCACCGAGTTCGTGCTCCTTAACCTCGAGCACCTCATTACCGATGAACAGATGCGACGAACCGTCTTCCCATCTCACGAATCTCGTGTTTGACTCTTTCATTTCGACACCACCCTCACCGACACCCCAACGCCATCTAATGACCGATTCAACATTGCTTTTTCTTCTCTCTACAGGTTCATCTTCATTGAACGTCTTTATAGAAAATGGTTGTGGTTGAATACCCAATATATTTAATACTTTTAATTTCATTAGCTGTGTATAGTAAACAAAGCACATATATTAATATATAAATAGTTGTTTAACTATAGATAAAGTCATTGTTATACGAAAACATACTTTTGATCTTCTTGGTAATGGATCTTTATTTATATGAACCAAGTTAATTGGTGGTCCAATGACATCTTTTTCTTCTTCTTCTTCTCCTTCTGCCATTCCATCGTCATATCCGTACTCGCTGTCTCGCTCTACTCTGCTTTTCGATGAGGAATACGAGGATTGATGTTCTGCTATATCGTCTTCATCTTCATCCTCTGCAGGTGCATCGTCTTCCTCACCTCTGTTTCTTCTTCTTTTTGCTTCTTTCTCTCTTCTTCTTTTCTCTTTTCTTTCTCTACGCTCCTCTTTTGATTCTTTCTTTTTCTTTCTAGGTTCATCCTCTTGTTGTTCATCGTCGTCTACAGCTTTCTCATCATTATCTGAATCATCTCTCTTCTTGTCTTGTGATCTATCTATATCGCTGTCATCTTCTTTATCACTATAGTTATTGTTTACTTTGTTGTTGTTGTTGGTAGTAGTTGTAGTAGTACTAACAATATCATCTTCGTCACTTCCAAACTCAACGTCACTCATCTTATATATGAAGTATATATATATATATATTAAACAAATCTAATATAAACTAACTAAGTAAAGTAAAGTAAAGTGAAGTGAACAACAATGAATAAATCAAATGTGACAGTTATAAATTCAAAAAAAAAAAAAAAAGACAAAAAAAACAAAAATTGTATTAAATTTTAAGACGTATTTTTATTGGGAGTGGTTTTTAGTGTTGGCGATGCGCTGTTTGTTTTAGTGTGTTGCGATATGTTGGAGATTGTTTGTTTGTAAGAGTAATGTTGTTGGTTTTATAGTTGTAGTTTTGAAGTGTTGAAGTGTATGGTTGTAGTTGTTGAGTGGTGGTGATGATGATGGTGATTAATAAATAATTGTTGATGTTTCTAATTATAAATGTAAAACTTGGTGTTACGCTAAACGGTTGTTTAGTTGTGGAAGGATACACTATCACCTGGACGTGGTACGAGGACATCACGATCTTGATAGGTACGCAAGTTTTCAGTTTGGAAACGATCAGAGGCAGTGGTCTCATTGACGTAACCTTGGTTGAGAGTGTTACGGTGAGATTCACGGTAGTATTCTTGTGGAGCATTACGATCGAGGTATGGATCACGACGTTCGGTTTGGTAGTTTGAACGGTAGTCGGCGTACATAGTTCCTCTCTTCTTTGCGCGATGACGTCTCCAGGCGAGAATGGCAGATACGATACCAGCTAAAATGATGAAACCACCAACGACTGAACCGATGATGACACCAGCCAATTTACCACCATGTAGACCACGGTGTCCAGGCTTCTTAGTAGCATTTACTTGATTGAAACCAACGTTGTTTGAACCCAAATGACCATTGGTAAAGTCATCGTATGAATCCCATGAGTAACCATTTGCTTGTTCTAAATATTACAATAGTTTTATATGTTAATATGATTATATAATAACAATCGATTAATTAATAAACTTACTAATGTATGAACCTGCAGCTCTACCACGGTTCCAATTGTAGACGTTTGCTTGACGTGAGTTCCAGATTGAACTGCCTCCGCCGCTTTGAACGAATCCCTGTCTACCGTAGGCTGTAGCCCAGTTATTGTAACTTGATCCCAAGAGCGCTTGGTCATTTAATATGGTGTTTAATTGTGCTGAGACACAAGTGAGTGTCACAAGTCCAACCAAAACCAGAGTTGTGGCTTTCATTGTGTTAGTTGGAAACGGTTTAGATTATCCAAACGTAAAGTACTGAAATAAATAGTGGTTGTTGTTACACACAAAACATTAAAATAAATAAATAAGATGAAAAGAATTAAGACAGTTTAGAAGAAAAACTAACTATCCAATCTATATATATATAATAATAAAAAGTTATTATTGTTATTATTATTATTTGTTGTTGTTGAATATAAAATGAATGAAATGTAGAGTTGAACTTTGCAATTTAAATACTGTTGGTTGTTTTAAGATTGTTAAACAAATTTCAACACTTGGTTGCATTGCAACGATACGATACGCAACGCAACGCAGCACAGCAGCAAAGACAAACCAAGTTGGTTGAAATCGCAACAAACTTTGTGTGTGTGTCGTACCAATGGGAGTGCAGCGACATCGCTTAGTATGGATGCAGGGGTAGGTAGTTTCGAAATTTAGCACAGTACTCGAATTGCATATTCCTATCTTCAGTGTTGTTGTTTCGTTTCATACACATATCAACAGCATACCACCAATATTAATATTATTGAAACCCCCATTTTAAGTATATCAAAATACGAATAGTCCTTATATCGAAATATTTAAAAATAACATACTTATCCAAATTTGGTAGATCGATAATACATTAAAAAGTTTTTAAAACACGTCATAAAATAATATCACTTGATAGTTGATTTATGAACATCAAACATTAAATATAAATTATAATACCATACTAGTAAAATTCAGCAAATTAATAAAGTAAACACTATTTTAGTTTGTGTGTTGTTGAAGATGAATGGAAAATCAAGAAATTAAATAAATAAATAATGATATGATATACCACCACACAAAAATAAAAAAATAAAAAACAATAATAATCAAAATATTCAAAGGTGTTGTTGTTTATTATTATTTTGACAAATTTCAAATTAGATATAAATATCAATTTCCTCATATAACTAAATAAATCACAATGAATAATAATAACCACACTACTAAAGAAAGAAGTCTGGGATACGACGTCTGTTGATTTCTCTATTTAGAGATTGATAATGAAATTGAATTCGTTTGACTTTTGTGTGGAGTGCAAGCGGGTGGTGGTAGAGGGTGATCTACCCAAACAGTGCTGTTTATAGATATCTACCTAAAATAATTGCAATTTCCAATCAAGCAAAAACAAGGAAATTAATGATAATAATGTTGACTATCTATCTATCACACACCACCCACGCACACCTAAACAACAATATACACTTTTTATGTATGCGCTTCACTCTATAGACTCTACTGTATATCGATGTCTTTGCCAACTCAACTTAACACACACTTGGCAACAAAACACACTTATTCACACCTATACACACTTGAACTTAATTCGAATGTGGAGAGCAATTCGGACAGACGAACACTCAAATCATTGAAATTTAAATCTGTTTTAAACTCAACTTTCAATTCATTTCATGTCAACAACTACTTATAACAAATAATATCTTTAAATAACAATTAGCTTTTTCAAAAGTATATAATAATATTCATAAACTTTAAAGTTGTTTGTTTATTATATATTTAAATTTTTTATATATTTATTTATTCTATATTATTTATTATTCCTATTTATTTATTTATTAATTTTAACAAATTAAAACGTAAGTTAATTAACTTTGATATTTTCAAAAGAATAAACTCATATGGAAATCCAGTTTTATTAATTATAAACTTTTTTTTTCTAATTTTTACTTTAGATTTGTTTTTTTAACTAGTAACATTACTATTGAGTTGTAGAAAATGAAGATTTTTTATACTTTGGTAGTGTTGTGCACTATCGCATCGGTCGGTCTTGCTGACTTTTCACAAACAGAGAAAGATACTCTCCTAAACTCAATTAATAGCGCCAGAGGATCGGTTACACCATTCCCAGTGACCACTCAACCGTACTACAGATTGGCATGGAATGACGAGCTTGCCAACAACTCTGCAGTTGCCGCAGCTTTCTGTGGTAGCCAATGGATGTCTGATAGAGGTTCTGCCGGTGTCTACGGTGAGAACGTTTTCTACTACTACAGTGAGCCAAGCGCCGCCACTGTTTTCAACTCAATGACTGCCGCCAGAGGTAGCTACAACTTTGACGACAACAGCTGTCAAGACGGTTACGACTGTATGGCCTACACCAACATGATCTGGGGTGCCACCACTCAAGTCGGATGCTCCAAGTTCAACTGTATCTCCACCGGTGCCAACAACTGGAAGGTCGTCTGTGACTACTTCCCAGCCGGTTCATACCCAGGTGTCCAGCCATACACTGCCCAACAACACAGTTCTACCTCGCAATTGTCTACCTCCAACTTCAACGGTTTGCTCAAATTCAAGTCCAACAAGATGGCCGCCGAAGAAGGTGAAGAACAACAACTCGAAGACCCAGATGTCGACGCCGTCAAGGTACCAGGATCCGGAAACTTTGATTGGAGACGTGAAGGTGTTGTCCCAATTCCAGAAGACTCAAGAGACTGCTCATGCTCATTCGCCTACACTGCCGTCGGTATCATGCAATCGCGTGTCGCCATGAAGAAGGGTACTCGTCCAAATCTCTCCAAACAACAAATCCTCGACTGTTCAAGTGCTGGCAACAACAACTACTGTACCGGTGGAAACCTCAATGACGCTCTCCTCTACATCCGTGACCAAGGTCTCATGAAGGAAACTGACTACCCATACGTCGGAGCCGCTGGACTCGGTAACAGAACCTGCACTTACGACGGAAACAAGGTCGTCGTCAAGGGAGGTTGGGTTCGTTTCTCTGAGGCCAACAAGCAAGACATCATCGGAAAGTGCCGTAAGTACGGTCCAGTCGGTGTTGCCATGCAAGCCAACCCAGATTTCTATGACTACCGTACCGGTATCTTCCGTTGTGCCGCTCCAGTCGGTGCCAACACCAACCACTCTGTATTGTTGGTCGGATACAACCAAGACCAAGACTACTATATCATCCGTAACAACTGGGGAACTCAATGGGGTGAGAATGGTTTCGCCAAGATCTCTGCCGTCAGTGGTGAGGATTGCGGTATTGGTTCAAACAGAGCCGGTTCCATTGACACTGTTGATGTCTAAACATCTTAGTGCTCTAAAATTATTTTAATCAACACATCATATTTATTTATTCAACAACTTTAAAAAAAAAAAAAAAACAAATAAAAAATAAAACAACAAAATTATTTATTTAAATTATAAAAAAAGATTTATATTATTGTTTTTTTTGTTCTTTGGTTAATAGCATGTTCTTATCCAATAAAGTGATATGATTGCGTTGAAAAATAAATAAGTTAAATGGAAATGTAATCCATTGAGGTGAGATTTATACATGTGTAATTAATAAAAATAAGTTAAATGGAAATATATTCCAATAAAGTAAAAATTGAATGATTAAATAAATAAGTTTGGATTCCAACTGAAAAGAATAGAACTATTATTTATGTTCTAGGTATGAATCTTTGGGAATTCATAGTTTGAACTTCTTTAATTACTTTGTTTCCTCCATTACACCAATGACAATCTAAAATAATAATATGTTAATAAAAAGTAATTAAAACTTAATTTTTTAAGATTTAATTTTTTAATTCTTACCTTTGAGCACATCGTCACATCTTTTAATGGTATGGTCATTTAGATACTTAATGGAGACATCACAAGTTTTATTAACACTATCTACAAATTGAATTGAATTTGGATCCATATGGAATTTTAATGCCGGATTTAAAATAGAAGTTCCCATCACAATGGTTCCAGTGACATGAGGACGTTCTGTGGTTTCACTATTGATAAGTTGTCTGGCATGTTGAATATCTTTAAATTCATATAAATGGAATGTAAATTCGGAATGATTTTCATCTTGGAATACAAACACTCCTTCCATCCGAACCAACTCTATGAAGTAAATCATAAAAATAGTAAAAAGGATTTTGGTTTTTAAATTATTATTAGTATTGTTTTTATTCATTTTAATAATAATAAATATATTTATTAAATAGATAGAAAGTAGAAATATAAAATACTAAGTTTCTTTTCAGAGCTTAATAAATATCTTTTTTTAAATAAATAGTTTTACAAAGATTCTAAAAAAAAATAGTTTCAAACGGTTTTACTTATACTCGACAAAGTAGATAGCACGCTTTTCGGTTGTTATTTGGCATAATTTAAACTAAACTTATAAATAGCACAAAATGTTGTTCCTATGACGAAAAGTGTAGTTTGACTTTTTTTCATTGATTATACTAGTTACATGTACTCTGTGAATATAATATTTTAAAAATTAAAATAAAATAAAATAAAGTAAGATAAAATTGTAAACTGTGAATCGAACTCAAGATAAACGTATATTTGAATAGCATTGTTTTCAATTAATTTCTGATCTACAAAAATTTGTGGATGAATTACATTTTTTGGAATTTTGTGACCGTATTCTGGATTCTGTTACAAATAATTACTTATTTCATTTAAATTTGAATAAAATGTATCAAAGAGATGAATCTTGCAAAACACTATTATTTTCAAATAAAATATAATTTTTTTTAAAAAAAGTGGGGTAATTTATTTTAATTTTTTTTTTTTTTTTGGTAGTGATCAAACTAAAAAGACAATAATAAAATATAAATATATAGATAGATATCCTTTTTGAAGTTGATAAAAACGTTAGTTAGTTAATTAGCCTGTAATTTATTGGTTCAAATTAAATTGATATCAAGTTTGTTTTTTAGTGGAAGTTGAAGAGCAGAGAAGTTAGTAAAGTTGTAGTCTATTGTAATCTAAAAAGAAAAAAGAGAGGTGTATAAAGGTTTGATCCTTAGATAATAGTATTAAATAGATATATATAGTATAGTATAATAATAGATATATAGACAGTATATATATAATAAAATGTCAGATCATCATCACCATTCAAATGGCAGTGGATTGTCTGATAAGGATTTGTTTGAGACACGATGTCTCAGTCAGTACTTGCAATCGAAAATACCAACAAACTATGATTCTCTCAAGCAATCACTGAGAGATGCGACCGACAAGAAGAACTCGTCAAAGATACAAACATCACTACAGAACTTAACTTATTATAAAGTCGAAAAAGATATTCTAGATACATTATTATCAAGTAACTATAACTATAAACATAATACAAATGAAAATCTACAAAAAAACATAACCATTATTAACATCAATAATATTATTGTTTAACAACAAACAGTTATATCGATGACAGACGATAAGAAGATATTGAAATTAGCATACTATTTCTTAGTTGAGATATCTGCATATAGAACACAAATCAATAACTCTGCTGTATGTAATTTAGAATAGGAACAGGAGTAGGAGATTAAAGGAATATTTATTAATTATTATTGATCAATAATGATGATGATGATAATAATAGGAAATTAAAAATATGATTACAATATTCACAAAGGAGATGAACCATAAGGATATCTCTAGAAAAGTAGTGTCTTTAAAGACCACTGCAATGTTGGCACCTAACGACTCACTTGTAGATTCAAACATAATGGAGGTTATCTCTGGTATTCTCAGAAAGGTCGGTGAAGATCCCGACAAAGTACAGAAAAAGAAGGGTTTCTTCTCAAAGGTATCCGACCTTGGAAGAGAAAGAGCATTACTTCAATATGCATGTTTCGTAGCTTGTAGAAATAGATTTAAAAATAATCCATCACTTTTCATGGTATGTCAAAAATAAATATATTAATGTTATTTAAGAATATTATAATACTAATAATTAAATATATTTGTTAGCCAATTGTAGAAGGTATTAAATGTACAGATCAAGTAGGTGCACGACATGCAGTACAATTGACATTGGATTATGCAAAAGAGAATGTTTCAACGGTTGCTGCAACCATTAAGAGATTCCTCCCGTTGCTCAAAGCCAACAAGGGTAAGGAAGCAGTTGCGTTGATCGATCCATTCGCTCGTCGTTCTTTCATTGCTTTGTGTGGCCTGATTGCCAAGCAGTCAAGTCCAGCCGATAGCAAAGACTTCTTCCAGAACATCTGTCAGTCCGTCATGGATTCGCACACTGCCGTCTGGTGCTGCGCCATCAACACACTCTGCAAATTCCCATGGAAAACACTCGAGTCTGGAACAATCGAACCGATCTCCACTACCGACAACGACACACCCAGTTACTACGACCCCATTGGCAACGTCACTCCGCTACTCGTCGGTATTTCCAATCGAATTAAAACCGGATTTGCCGTGCATATTTCATCGCATGCCACTCAGCAATCGGTGCCATTCACTCACATGGCTTGCAAGCTAATCAACTCACTGTCACAGTCGTATGTCAAACATCAATATCCCAAGGATGCAGCACAGAATCCACAGGTCGGCGTCTGGACCGAGCTCGAAAAGTCCGATCCCAAGATGCCGGTACATCCATTCGCCGGCTTGACAGCTGCCGTCACCAGTCTACTCCAGATCTCACCAAACATTTCGATTCGTGTGCAGGCACTCAGAGCATTGGTATGGCTGTGTCCGTCCAGTCTTTGTCCAGCGGCACGCGCCTTCTTTGACATCTTCAAGGCGCAGTTGTACGAGCCTGGCCACCCGATTTTGTTGTTCCGCGAACTGTTTGGCGAGCTCTACAAGCGTATTGTTGAAACACCGATTCTCTCGCCATTCCTCCTGCAACTGGTCTACGACTGGATCGACATAGTTCCACACAAAGTCGACACCAGTCTCGTCCGCCAGATCTGGGAGACCATCTTGAATTTCGGCTTGGAAGGACGTGAACGTGTCCTTCAGAATTGTTTCTCAGTGATGGACCGTTCGATTCATCCAGATTTCCGTGTTGTCAGTCTCGAGATTCTCAAGGACATTGTTTTCTTCCTAGGTGACTACGCCAATGTGATCACCTACGAGAACCAAAACAATTCGACAACACTGGCCGTCACCGACAACCAAGCACTCAACTCTATCATCTTGCGATTGGAACAATACGCCATCTTCCACCCATGGCAAATCAGAATGACAGCCATCGATGCCCTAGCGAAAATCGCATTCCTTTCATCCAGCGCAGTTAGAATACATATATATCATTTCTTAACTACATCTCCAAATGGTAAGTTAACAACAAACACTATATTTTTTTTTTTCGAAGTTATGTTTATTCATATTATTATTATTATTTTTATCTATAGATTCTCATGGATGGACATCAGTTAAATCAAATAATTCGACAATCATCAATATTATAGATCAATTATTAACACTCAGATCAAAATGGTTACCATTATTAAAAACGATCAATCCAACACAAAAGAAAGAACTAATCAACGACCACAACTCTCTTACCCTTCAAATTGGAATGTTTTTCGATAGTCCTCCAACCGATTATTATCCTATTGGTATAGAGACAAAACAATTAGTTATATAGAATAGAAATTCACAAATACTAAAACGTAAAAAAAAAAAGGCACAAAACATTAACTTAAATAATTAAAATATTGTATTAATAAAAATGTAATTAACTACTGACAAAGCTGTAACAGGTAATAATTTTATTTAATTGAACTAATTAGTTTTTATTTTTTTAAAATGTATGAATATTTGAGTATTGTCCTCCAACAATGATTTGAACTGCTTGAGGCATATCGATGAAAGAGCACTCAGCAAGCACACTTGAGATAAAATCGTTACAGGTTTCATTCCTATCGCTATAGATCATTTGGATATTGGAGTCTAAAACGTTGAATGTAACTCCAAGCTCGACTGGAACAAAATCAAATCCATAGATTTTAATAGTATTTATACCGGTAGTTTCAGCGCTGAGGATCTTTGGTGCAGTGTATGAAATAGTAAAGTTGTCTGTCAATTCAATTGGTTCGCTTGATAGAGTTGCTGACAATACTAGATTAGATCCTATTCCAGGTGGTATTAAACATTCAATAAACTCGTTGAATGAATTACATTCTATTTCGTTGGCGTTCAAGTAGATTTCGACATAATCAAAAGAGATTCCTAGTCCAGCACCGTAGATTTCGATTAATCCACCTGTTGTATTGACTAATGAATTATTGAATTGTGTTAGGATTGGTTGATAGTATGTGAATTGAGAATAGAGCGATTGATCACTGGATTGTATGATCAATGGTTGAATTGAAGTTTCATATTCCAAATCAAATTCGATAAAATCGTTGGTAAAGTTATCGATTTGAACCTGATTATCACCAATGTATAAGAGTGGTAGGAAGTCATAGTCTTCTTCATCTCTAAATCCTTCACCCAAAATGATAATCTTATCGTTTGGATCTCCAGATGAAGGGACGAATGAAATGATCTCTGGACCACTGAAACTAAAAGATTGTTGTACGAGTGTATCGATGTTTATTGTAGAGCTTTGATCAGCTACGATCACAGTAACAGATCGATGATCTCCAATGGCAGGAGGTGTCAAACAAACAATCGATTCTGAAGAGAGAAAATCTATTAAACATTCAAGTTTGTCATCGATCAATACTTGAACTTTCATTACATCATCTCCAAAGTTTGATCCTGTTATCGTCATAAAATCACTTCCATAACTCTTGATGGTTTCTGGTTGAACATTGCTGATTTGTGGAGTTCCGTAAGAGAATAAGTATTTAGTTCTTTGAACGTTGAAAATGGTTTGTTCTGTTGAAATTTGAATTTCATTGTTCCTTCCAACTCCACTTGGTACTATGCATATTAATAGCTCCGAGGATATGAATATCGTTGATTTACATTCATTATCTCGAATTGAAACGGTCATTGAAGAATTGAATCTGATACCATTTATAGTAATCGGATATCCACCATCGGTTATACCAGTTAATTGATTGACAAATGTGATGATTGGACCAATTCCAGAGCATGTTAAATCAAAGTTATTTGATTGGAAGTCAGATAATGTAATCATTTGGATATCACAAAGTTGTGAATTGATTGTAGAGATTATCATTCCATCATAATCATCAGTAATGTAACCTTGATATGAATCTGGTTTTGGAAGATAATAAATCTCTAGATCTCCAATTTTGGTTTTTGCCCCTAGGTCACTCATTAAGATGCTCTCTAAAATGAATGTAATGGATACAATTGAAAGTGGTGATGACAATGTAATTTTTGTTCCAGTTGTTCCGATTGATTGCGAGATAAGATCAATCCTATTTCCAATTTGATAATGATTCAATTCTTGAATAAATTTGATTGGTTGATTATGATATTGAGTAACTGGATTCCAAATGAGTGTTTGAATTGCTTGACTTTGGCCTTTAATAGAAATCCATTTGTCCAATGCAATTTCAAGTTTTTCTGTTTGGAAGATATTCAGTGAGTAAACATCACTTTCATTGATAAGTTGGGTTGAGATTAATTGTTGGATACCTGATTTTGTTGAAAGTTCATCTATTAAAAGTGGAGATTTAATTGTAGATGAATCGTTTACTGTGGAAGTGAAAGTTTGACTCTTGAGGAATGATGAAGGTAGCTTAATTTGTAATATATTAACTATTAAACGTTGTTCTGTACTAACTGCAATAATATTGTTTCTTTCAAGAATTGTCTTGAAGTTCAATACAGATTTGTATTTATCTCCAATGAAATCAAAAAAATTGGAAAGAGATCTAATTGTTCCTTGGGTATTCTGTAGTACTCTTATCATAAGGTCTTCCAATACTTCAACTGGAATTGTATCGTCTTTTGTTCTTGCAGCATTGCTACCATCTTGATATTTTGGATTCATCCAACTCCAAGCAGCACTTGCACTTCTCATAAATAGAAGTGAATCTGAAGGATTATCCATATTACCAACACTAAATCAAAGATTAAAAAAATTAATTTGTGGTTGAAAATAATGATTGTATAAAATAAACATACTCTGGATATTTTTCAATATTTTTGAACCCCGTTACTATCGAAAAACAATCATATATTATTGGATCATTGTCTTGATATAGAATCTATATATGATATACAAATTAGTAAAAAAAAATTAACTTTTTTTGATAAATTAATAACAAACATCTAGTTTTTTTTGGCAATTGCAAAAATTACACCATTTGCCCAATTTGGAACATCTTCACCAACTGTATAAATCAATGAGTCTGTATTCGGAGATTTGGAATATAGATATTGAAGGGTCATTAGGTAAGCAATTTCTTCACTACAAAGGTCTGAATTTTGTCTAAAGATCCAAGATGGTTCTGGTGAAAAATAACCAGATTGTTGAAGATTTTTATCGATTATATAGTTGAAGAGTTGTTGAGTATTGAGCGAATTTCTCTGGAATTGTGAAGTTAACTCCATCACTGAAAAATCTCCATTCTTAGGGAAAGCAAAGTTTCTCACTCCTGCTTCAAGATTGTATTTGAGTGCCCTTGCGTTTACCACCGCCCCATTAGGTGGATAATCTGGAAGTGGTTTGTCAGTGGTTTCTATATGTGAAACACGTGCCAATTCTCTAGTACATCTAAAAAGTAATTCTCGATTATCACAAATAGATCCGACAGCAGAATCATATGCAATATAATGTAATGAAAATATATCATTTGCATAATAATTCGAAATATCCATTTGATCGCTCCCCGGTACATCTCCACCTACATAAACAACTGGATTTTCACCTTGTGGAGCTACAAAATTTCTACTTGTCCGGAGAGCTTGAATATTAATAGTGATATCGAATCCACTGTTAAGAGTATCTGGTTTAATTTTAATGTATTGTGGTGGATACTTTGAGAAATGTTCATTTCCAATGAAATCCTTAATCTCAAAATTGAGTGTTGGATGTTGATTTTCCCTTGTAACTTTTATGGGTACAGATGTTGAATAGAATAAACTAACTGCACTATAATAAAAAATAAGTTAGTTTAAATTTCTTTGTAAACATTTGTTTGAAAATAACATACTCATTATCTGCAGTTGTTTGAAGATCTTTAGAGTTGTATGTGTCATATTTTCGAACCATTCTATTGAATTGATAAACCAAAGTATCATGAACAAAGCAAATTGCACCACCACCACGTTGACCTTGTCCATTATGTCTATTATTATCACCTACACAAAAATAATTGTCTGCAAAAAAATTTGTGATTAGATTTTATAAAATATTATTTATAATTTAAATATATTTATACCGTTATTATCTGTTTCAGATGAATATTTTGGATAAAATGGAAAACCTAATTTTGAATGTTCATTGTGTAGATATGAAAATCTTGGAGCGGATCCTGAATGTAGTAAAAGGCTTGGACAAAGATCTACTGGAAGTTCCAATTCGGCAACATTGAGAACTTGTTGAGTAGGTTGCATTGGGTACTTGACTTGTGATTGTTGGTCAGAGTTATCTTTGGAGCTATACATTTGAACAAACATTCTTTTTTTAAAAGTATCTGCAATTACCATCCAAAGATCGATACCATCAAAAAATTTCATAGCTGGTCTCTTGTATAAAATATATGATGATCTGGTTTGACTCTGGAATAAATCATTATGATTATTTTCTTTGGTTCCGATTTTCATAAAGTACTTGGCAGATAAACCATTTCCAATTGATTGAGTGTTTGAAATCCAATAGCAATGGTCAAGGAGATCGGTATTTCCATTTAAAATTTCTTGTTCACAATGATTGGTCCTATATTCCTTCGACATTTGTTTTGAAACCAACAAACCATAAAGAAAAGGGAATTCGTTTTGCCTGGTCACTAAATTATCGAATACATTGAAAGACATTACAAAAGCATAGTTTTTAACCAAATACTCTGCGATTAATTCCAGATTGTTGTATGAATAACAAAAGAAGTGTTGGCTGTACTTATTGTTTCCAAGAAACTTGACTCCAGATTCGGGACTATTAAATTTCTTTTCATCAACGGACGACACTGATGGAAAAAGGGGATTTGAGTGATGAACATGAATACCATTAATTGTTTGATCAATTTCTTCCCAAAATGTAAATCCTTTCAGATGACCATATGTATCGTATGAATTGGAAAATTTTTCATCTCTATTTCCATTAGCCTTTCTCTTTCCAGTTTGATCATTATAGAAAATAGAATAACTGCCGGGTTGCATATAGGTTGCTTCTAATGGACTGTAAGTGGTGACATCCTGAGCTTGAACTGGATTGGAATGTTGGAGATTTTTGTACAACCTTAATCTATCCATATTTGAATCAATATATAAATATTGATTTTCAGCAATGTTTTTTCCAAGTCTATAGATAAACCACCAGTCCACAACTTGATTGGTTCGATCGTCTTGAGTTTGCCCAAGACAAGTCAGAGAATATGATAAATATTTAACTATTACATCTGAAGCAATACCATCTACAGTTACAATAACATCTAAATAACCAACAGTGGCCATTGGTGGAATCTCACAGGCAATGAGTTCTCCAGGTGTCATAATCTTGATTTCTTTACATTGGACATTTCCCACAGTCACTTGAACGAGATTTGGATCATTATTAAAATTAATACCATAGATGAACAGAGTATTTGGTATTCTTTTTGAACCACGTTGAGGAGAAATTGATTCTATGGATGGTCCTTGGTATTCAATAAACCACTGTGGATTTTCATATGAATGAACTATATTGAAGTTGTCTTTGACATACAAAACCAAATTGTAGAGAGCTGGAGTATTCGCTGGAATTAAACATTTAATTAAAGTATCTGTAAAATCAGTGCATATGGATCTGTCAATATAAACATCCCCCAATTTAATGGATGAGATTAGACTCAAAAATTGACCATGAAATTCAAAGTATCCACCACCTTGCCAGAGAGTGAGTTCTGGCTTAATAAAATCAGTGAAAGTTGGTTCCACGTAGGTGAAATCGAATAGAAATGAGTATTTGTTATATGGAAAGTTGATGGAAATATCAACATTCTTATTTTGCCAAGTACTTGGTGGAATGGTAAATGATATTTTTGTTGGATTGACAATTTCTATGCCGTTGATTTGCTGGTCATTGATGGTAGCTGTGATTGCAACAGTGGATGAAATAACAATTGGAAGATTTAGAAACTCTACCTCCACTGGTGTCTCTGAGAAGATGTATGAACCATATGGAATAATAGTTGCCCTTGATTCAACAACGGATAAGATCATTGGATCGGAGATAATTGTATCGTCAGAATGTGAATTGATTGTCACTCTATAATTATCACCAACTGGCATTTTGAAAATAGATTGATCTACGTTGACTTTGTAAACGGTTTCAGATACAGTGATGACATCAACTGGTTCATCATCGACAACAACATAGTTGTCCTTTGTGAATCGTTCCGTAAAAACATTAATATCCCAAACACCGCTATCATAGATATGGGTTGGTGATATTTTAGTTATCGAAGGTCGTTGGTAAAATACAAAATTGTCCTTAGCAAAAATACTACTGCTTGGCATTATTACCAATACATATTTTTCACCAACATAATTACCTTTGGAATTGCAAACACACTCAATTCTATCATTATCCACTGATTGAATATCACATATTACAGGACCAATCATGACACTTGAAGCCTGACCAAGAAAATTTCCTTTAATAATGAATTCAAATTTGGAATTCGAATATGCAAAGAGTGGTCCAAAACTAACAATATTTGGCTCTTTAATTCGTAGAATTGGATTGTACAATGTTAATAATAAATATATAAGGAATTGTGAGATATATAAATACATACCATATATCATGTAATTAACTAGACCATGAACAGTTTGACCATCGATTATTGAATTAATTGGAAGTGAAACTGAAGTACCAGGTGGAACGTATTTTAAATAAAAAAAATCACATATAGTCTTGGTTGGTGAACGTTTACTAATCTTACACTCCGTACCGTCTACAGTAATAACATAGGATTGAGGGTTCTCAATGAAGAACTTTCCAGTAATTGTGATCTGTTGAAAGTTGGTCGTTCCTCTTGAAGGTTCAACACTTTTCTGGAGTGGTAATACATAATAAAAGAGACGTGGAGCAAGAGCTCCATTCGCAAGACCTGGAGGAATCACAACAATTGAAAAATCAACCTCTACATCATTAGGGTATCTAGGTATGGTACATTTGACTTGATTTGGAGTAGAACTGATAACTGTAAGTTGGGCATCTTCTAGTGTATTTCTAAAGAATACAGTAGGATGAGGATCATTTGGTGATAACTTTAAATACTCTCCATTAATAGTCAATTCTACTTGGTTGTCAAGACCTCTTGGATAATAAAATTCAGGAGTGAATGAATTTATTGTAGGAACTAGAATAAAAAAAATAAAAATTTATTATTAATAATGTATTATTATTAGATAAAGACTATAACTTACATGCAAATAGATAAAAAGCATCTTCAAAAGGCAATATTGGAAATATGACTTTACTACCATAGGTAACAGAAATAAAGTTCTTATCTAAACGATTTGGATTAGTTATGTCCCATATAAAAGTTGAAATATCATTGGGAATGACATTGAATATCTTTAAAGGCTGAATAACATTTGCAATAGAGAGTACCGGGTTAAAGGCAAAATCAGTTCCTCTAATGGTGAATTTTGGAGTAGTAAATTTGTAACCGACGAGTGGTGAGATAAAAGTAATCACCTGAGAATCTACTACTTGATTTGTTGATAGAAAACTACCAATAACATAGATTATTAAAATATTCAAAAGTTTTAAAACCATATTGAATATTTATTATTTGTTTATATCTACGCTCTTGCTAATAATATTTGTTATTATAATTTTATATTGACTAAACTTTTATTGTTACCATTTTAATTGAAAGGATTTTAATAGATCCCATGGGGCTGATCGAAAAAAAAAACAAATTAAAAATAAAAATCTTACTATATCTTTTATTTTTAATTAATTAATTAATCACCAATAGGTTATTTTAATTGATTCTTTAAGTGATCAACACCTATAGATTTTAAGCTAGATAAATTAAACCCTTTTTTGTTGGGCAACTGATCCCAAAAAAAACATTAAAAATCTGCACCTGATCAAAAAAAAAAAATTGTGTTGAAAAAAAAAAAATGAACAACAATTTTTCTTTTTAATTGTTGAAAATGATTAGATCTACAACCCTTAAAAGTTGTACATCTATATTTAGTAATAGATTAAATCAATCATCGTTACTGTTATTTAAAAATAGTAATACTTCAATTCGTTTTAGTTCAACTTTAAATAATAACAATGATAATGATCAACAATTAGTAAGTTGTTTTTGGAACTAGCAAGAAATAAAAAAAAATAGAAATAATTAAAATAAAAAAAAAAAACAAATGTTTTAAAAAATAAATAGAAATATTACTCTTTATCACAATTTCCATATCCTTCTGGTAATTTACATATGGGACATGTCCGTGTCTATACGATGAGTGATTGTGTTGCAAGACTCAAGAGAATGCAGGGTTATCAGGTTGTGCATCCAATGGGTTGGGATGCATTCGGTTTGCCAGCAGAGAACGCCGCTATCGATAAACAAGTGTCACCGGCACTGTGGACCAATCAGAACATCCAGCAGATGACCACTCAATTGAAACGATTGGATTTGCAATTCGACTGGGAGAGAGAGTTGTCGACTTGCTCGCCTGACTACTACCGTTGGACACAAGACATATTCTTGCGACTCTACAGCAAGGGATTGGCATACCGAAAGCACTCGCCTGTTAATTGGGATCCGGTTGACCAGACTGTGCTGGCGAACGAACAGGTCGATTCCCAAGGACGTTCTTGGCGATCGAATGCGCTGGTGGAGCGACGTGAGATGAAGCAATGGTACTTTAAGATCACCGAATATGCAGATCGTCTTGCCGACGACTTGGACAAGCTCACCGGTTGGCCAGAGGACGTGAAGACAATGCAGCGAGAGTGGATCGGTAGATCGGTTGGTGCATTGGTTGACTTTACATTTGGTGGTGATATGACGCTGACGGCATTCACAACTCGTCCGGAAACACTGTTCGGTGTGACATTCCTCTCTGTACATTATAAGCATCCGATATTAGAGAAGATACTAGAACAAACAACAGGTAATAGTAAAATGTTGATCGATAAACAAAAGAGAGAACAACTGCAATCTGTAATAGAGAAGATTAAACAACAACAGGAATCGGCCGTTCCAACCTCTGCAGACAAAGAACCAGAGTTGATTGCAATCGATACCGGTGTGCAGATTGATACACCGACTGGCGGTAAAGTTACACTGGTTGTTGCTAGTACGGTGTTGCCTGACTATGGTACCGGTGTAGTAATGGGTGTTCCAGGTCATAATCCAGTCGATCATAACATTGCTAAACTATTGAACATACCTATTAGACATGTCATTACAAGAGCAGACAACAACAACAACAACAACAACAATACAGATAACAATGATAATAGTTCACCATCACCCTCTGACGATCTCTATGATAATAAAGATGGTACACTTATTAATAGTGGTTCGTTTAACTCACTATCGATTAAGGATGCCATTGCCAAGATGATAAGTGAATCGATTATCAAACCATCGAAATCCTATAGAATCAGAGATTGGTTGCTATCAAGACAACGTTATTGGGGTACACCTATACCAATCATTCATTGTGACAGTTGTGGTGAAGTACCAGTACCAAGAGATCAACTACCAGTTAAACTACCAACAGATATCGAATTTACAGGTAAAGGTAACCTCTTAAATAGTTTATCTGATTGGAAGAATTGTAAATGTCCAAAGTAAGTAAGAAAACAATCAATTAGAATATTATCTATTAAAACATTAACTAACTAACGATATTAAATAATGTTTAAATTTAGATGTGGAGGATCAGCACAAAGAGAAACAGATACAATGGATACATTTGTTGATTCTTCATGGTATTATCTTAGATTTTTAGATAGTAAAAATCAAAAAGAGTAAGTTATCACTTGAGAGATAAAGATATATTTCTAATATTTTTATATTAATTGTAAATTAATATCTATTGATAATGTAGAATGTTTAATAAAGATATAGTTAATAAGTTAATGCCTGTAGATGTATATGTCGGTGGTATAGAGCATGCAATCTTACATCTTTTATATTCTAGATTCTTTACAAAGTTCTTAAAGGATCAAGGAATAATTGATCATGATGAACCATTTAAAGTATTATTAACACAAGTATGTATATATCTACTACTATATATTATTTATCAAATATTAAAAATATACTAATGATCTTTTTGATCAAGGGACTTGTTAAATCACCAACCTACCGTGATTCGACTACAGGTAAACCATTATATCCAAAGGATGTAGATTTCACGACACCAAAACCAATTAATAAGTTAACAGGCAATTTGGTAAATATAACATTGGAGAAGATGTCTAAATCAAAACTTAATGGTGTAGATCCAAATGTAAGTAGTTAATATATAGCTAAATAGTGATCAAACAATGTACAATATTGATTAGTTACCTTTTTTAAATCGAATAGGAAATGATTGATAAATATGGTTCAGATACATTGAAATTATATATCTTATTTAAGGCACCACCAGAGAATTCATTGGAGTGGGATACCGATGGTATTGAAGGTTGTAGAAAATGGTTGAAACGTGTTGAATCGTTGGTCAGTGGCTATGTCGCCGAGAGAAACAATGGACAAATCAGCAAGGTATCAGATAAATGGAACACTCAGTTGAATAGTTTGCGTTACGATACACATTCATCGATTGAAAAGGTAACTGAATCGATTGATCGTTATACATTCAACACTGCTATCTCCTTCTTGATGACGCTATCCAATCAGATCGGAAAGTATCAAAACAACGTCGACGACAAGTCATCCCGTGAATACCTCGAAGCACTGGAAACACTCGTAGTGTTACTAGCACCGTTTGCACCGAATGCATCACAACAACTTTGGACAGAACTAAAGTCAATTGACAACAACAACAATAATAATAATAATACAGTTGTAAAGATTCAGAAACAAAGATGGCCTGTTGCATCTAAAGAGTGTTTAGCACTTCAACAAAAAACATTGGTAATACAATTCAATGGAAAGGTAAAATCGGTGATCAACGTTCAATCGGATCAACAACAGCAATCGGAATTGGAAACCCTCGCCAAAGAACATATGAAAGACAAAATGTCAAAGTTTGAAATTTCAAAGACATTCTTCTCGACTACAAAAGCTGGTTATTCAATCAACTTTATCTTGATACCAAAGAAATAAATAAATTTGAACATAATATGTTCTAATCTAATTTTATACGATATTTATTATTTAGATGTTTTATTTCATTTATTTTTAGAAACAGTTAACTGTTTCCGTCACCAACAATCGTAATGATAGGAGATTGTGGTGAAATATATTCATCTATTTTAGTTTGACCACTGGTCGAATCCACTTTGTTGGTTGTGTTAGAAGTTGTTGTATCTACACTCTCATGAGCAGCAGTAGACATTCCATTTCCTGTGGATTGCATGATTATCTTTTTCCAACGTTCTTCTTTCTCTTTCAATTGATTTACATAATGTTGGCTAAAGAATTCTATATAGTAATTTGCACCCTACATTTAATATTTATTCAATAGTCATCATAGTTAATAAGTAAATTAATAATTATATTAAAGAAAGTACTGTACTGTTACTTACATTCCACAAACAAACTAATAACATTGTAAAAATGAAACCTAAATGTAGATATTCATTGTTATAATAGAATTTACAAGGTAGAATGGTGAGCACTGTGTATAGGAATTGCGATAATATAAATACATATATCTTTTTGGTTGGTAAGATATTTAAAACTTTGTTGATAAGATGTTGACCTGTGTGATTGGTTAAGAATGACAACGATGTAATATAGTTTCTCTCTTTGATGGTATTCTTTCTTAGCTTCATAACATAGAGATAACAAGTCTGCCAAGCCAAATAGAAACCAAGTGGAATGAATAGCGAGTCGGTCCAGGTAGTGTAGATTGCATTCTTGTCCAAATGACTTTCCGCAGGTATAATATTCCATCTTAGCGCAGAACATACAATCGCAGGGAATATATGAATTAAAACTGATGTTGCTTTATCCAATGAATGGAATACCAATGAGTTCTTTACAGAATATAGTTAGTACTTAAATCATTTTAAAAGCAAACAAACAAACATATAATTGCTTACTCTCCATGCAATGGTAGCGAAAATTAATGGTCCATTACAAAAACTAAAACAAATCTTGAATAGAATAGGTGATCTGTTCGTTCCATAGAGATAGAAAATAAGGAGTACATTGGCATAGTAACAGAAATCGAATAGGAAATAGTGTTGTTTCTTTTGTTTGTAATTGTAGAGTCTGGCTAGAAACATAAGAATAAACTCCGCTGTGAAAATATGTGGTATCATCCACGGTACTCTACCATATAGAAATGATATCAAACATAAATTCAATACACCTATTAAAACAATTTTATATTAGTTGTTAATGATAGATATCTATCATTTTCAAATGCTACTTACCTAAAACAAACATAAATTTATCTTTTGCTCTAATGATTTGTGATGCTCCATTCTTTAATAGGATATTTTCAAATTCATTTCGTTTCTCTGTTACGTATTCCAATACCTTTAGTTTCTTTAAAATCTTATAGTCAGTCATTCTCGTACGAAACTTTTGTGCTGAATCATCGACGGAGTATCTCCGATAGATTCCAATATGTGAACTTGGGGTAAGGGTTTCTTTCATAAATGAATTTCTATCATCTTCGTTCTCCTCGTCTGGATGATGTTGTTTACTACTAGGTCCACTTAAACTATTGGATCTCTGAATGGTTGGTGGTACTATTTGAAAATCATTTTCCTTAATATTATCTAATTTTAAATTTGATTTTGGAATTTCTTCTATTTCTTTGTCTTTATCTTTATTTTTATATTTATCCATCTTCTATCTTTTTGATATTTAATATTTTTTTATTAAAAATCCAGATTTTAATATTTATTTATTTATTTTTTATTTATTTTCACATCTTTTCAAAAAAAAATAAAAAAAATACCCAAAAATTTTTATTACCAAAAAAAGTAAAATGTTAAAAATCTTACAATAATGTAATTACTTATTACAATAATGCAAAATATTTTCAAAAAAAAAAAAAAAAAAAACTTCTAGTAGTTTTTTATATTACAATCATTTCGTATCATCTTTGCAGACTTTCTGTTGATCTATTGATTCTTAGACTTTGGTTATGTATATAAAAATAATATTATTCTTTGTTTGCCTATTAAACTTTGTTATTCGATAAAAACAAATTTAATGTTTCTTTATTGTTTTCCTACACTTTAGTAATCTATTTCTTATATTTATTAAATCATTGTTGTTTGTCATATTTCAAAATTACCAGTGTGGTTGTGATCTTCATTATTTTTATTTTTTTGAAATTTAATTGTTCGAATGCAAATACATAATAGAGCTGAAGTGGGAACATCAAAATTATAATAATAAAATATTAAAATTTATAATCAACAATAATTAAAATAATCATTTTTTTATTTTCATAAAAAAATACATAATCTTTTTATTTTTATATTTAATAGTAATAATTTTGTATTTAATTAAAATAGTTAATATTGTTTTTTTTATATTTATGCATTTGCAGTAAAATTAATTATTTATTTATTTATTTCTATATAGATTTGATTAGATTTTATTTTTATTTAGATTATAGATTACAAAATAATTATATTATTAACAATTTGTTCTATTTTTGTTAATTTTTAATAAAATTAATTAATAATAATAATATTATATTAAAAATGTCAGCATCAGCATCATCATTGTCAATGTCAACTAATACTATTCCACCACCGGCATTAAATGAGAGTAGTAGTGAATTGTATTTATCATCATCACAGGCATTCTATGTGGATACCACCTCACCATTGAATTTTTCACAGGAGGAGCTACTCGATTATTCGGAACACGAACACTCTGAACAATCGATTCTCAACAACCTTTGGTATAAAGAGGCAATCTTTTACGAAGTCTATGTAAGAGCATTCTGCGATGTAGAAGGCACTGGAAACGGTGGAATCAGTGGTATCACTGCTAAACTAGACTATCTTCACTCGCTCGGTGTCGATTGTATTTGGTTATTACCAATCTATCCATCTCCTTTAAAAGTATGTTATTTATAAACATTATTATCTAAAAATTATTGTTATTAATTATTACTTTTGTGTGTTTGAAAAGGATGATGGATATGATGTATCAGATTATTGTGATATTCATCCAGATTATGGTACTTTAAATGATTTTAAAATTCTTGTGAAAGCTGTTCACGAAAGAAACATGAAGATCATTGCCGACTTTATTCCCAATCATTGTTCCGAGCAACATAGATGGTTCCAAGAAGCAAGAAAAGACAGGAACTCACCATATCGTGATTACTTTGTATGGACAGACGATCCCCAACTTTACAAAGAAGCAAGAATTATATTCTTAGATGTTGAACCATCTAATTGGGTATGTTGTTATTGTTTGTTGAAAAATATGTATATATAGTTAACAATTATTATTACTATTATTATTATTCATTAAGACATATGATGAAGTGGCAGGACAATATTATTGGCATAGATTCTATAAGGAACAACCGGATTTAAACTTTGATAATCCAAAGGTACAACAGGAGATGTTGGACATTATGAAATTCTGGCTGGATTTGGGTATAGATGGATTCCGTGTGGATGCGGTGCCGTACTTGTTCGAGCGCGACGGAACGAGCTGTGAGAATCTGCCAGAGACTCATATATTTCTCAAGAAAATGCGACACTTTATCGATGAGAACTATCCTGGTAGAATCATTTTGGCAGAGGCATGTCAGATGCCCAAAGAGGTTAGAAAGTATTTCGGTGAGGGCGAAGGTGATGAGTTCCACATGGGATTTCACTTTCCTGTGATGCCACGTATCTATATGGCTATTAAACGAGGTGACGGACAGTGTCTGAAAGACATCATGGAGCAGACACCCGATATTCCCACAACCTGTCAATGGGTTACCTTCTTGAGAAATCACGATGAACTAACATTGGAAATGGTAACGCCAGACGAGAGAAAAGAAATGTGGGCACACTACGCACCCGTTCCAAGAATGAAAATTAACATGGGTATAAGAAGAAGATTAGCACCATTAGTAAGTTGTTATAATTATATTCGTTTATTCTCTTAATTGATATTAACTATATTTTATAGATGGATAATGATCAAAGAAAGATAGAGTTGGCATATTCTCTGTTGTTTACATTACCTGGATCACCTATTATTTATTATGGTGATGAAATTGGTATGGGTGATAATATTTGGTTGGAAGATCGTCACGGTGTAAGAACCCCGATGCAGTGGAATGAAACCTATCCAAATGGTGGATTCTCCACTTCCAGAAAATGCTATTCACAAGTCATCAATGATCCTCTCTACGGCTATGAGCGGGTGAATGTTAAGGAATCGGAAAAGGATCCAAGTTCGCTCTTCCACGTGATCAGACAGATGATCTCGCGTCGAAGAAAACACGTTTCATTTGGACATGGAACGTTTACCTATGTCGAGACAAACAACCGACATATCTTTGCTTACCTAAGAGTGTATGGAATCGACAGAATGCTGTGTGTTCACAACTTGTCGGACAGTCCACAACGTGCGACCATTCATTTGAAGCGCGACGAGATGATCACCGGTCGCTCGGAACAACAGCTGTTGCAAGTCCCAGAGAACTCTGTACAGAACCGCCGTCAGCAAAAGACCAATCGCCTGATGGTAACTCAGCAATCGTCGTTGGAATCCGACCGCCAATCGCATTACCTGGTGGACATTCTCACCGACCACCAATGTATAGTGGACACGGGCGGTCGTGTCAACGTCAGTCTCGATCCCTATTGTTTCTATTGGTTCTCGATGGGTGAGATAACCACGCTGATCGGTGAAGGTCCGAAATCACGTGACTTACGTCGTCGTTCCATCTACGCCCAAATTGATCCATCATCACCGACACCAACACCACACAGTAGTCGTCATCTATCAACCACCACTGGTACTACAACAATCCTAGAAGAGAACTTTGAAAATCAACAATCTCCAATTTCTGAACAAAGATTTCAAAAAAAAAACAAAATAAATAAATAATCCAAAAAAATAAAAATGGAATCAATTTTTAAAATCAAAAAATTTGTAAAAAGAAGAATGACGTGCAAACAAACATACTGTTTCACCATCATAACGCCAATTTGATGGAATCAATCTTATTTAAATATTTCGTTTTTAATGTTTTTTCAATTTGGAGCAATGTCACCCCCCAAATTCACCAAATTTTTGCAAAAACAACAAAATTTTATTTTAAAAAGAAAAAAACCATCAATTAATGATATTTTTATAATAAAATTAACACACAGATATATATATAATTATAAATATTATAAATACACACAATTAATTAAATCAATCATCAACCCACAGTATGTATTTTTAAATTGATTAATTAATTATAATTAGTTAAAGTTTAAAACTCTTTTGACTTACCTTACTGTTATTTTATTTTTTAAACAATCAATTGTTAATTTTTAAAGGAATTAAGATTAAAGATAAATAGATAGATATAAAGATAAATCTAAATGAATTATAAAAATTAAGTTAGTTATTTTAGTTTATTGTATAAATATATTGTTGTAGTTTTAGTCAAATATAAGATTAGATAGATTGTTTTAAATAATAATAAAAATAATAGTAATAGTAGTAGTAGTAAGAAAGAGAGAGAAGAATGGTGTTTGAAGGTGTGGTTGCAGAGGTTATAGATAGATTCCTTGGTTCTTTTCTACAGGAGATAACAAAGAAACAATTAAAGATTGGATTGTTCAATGGAAATGCAGTTTTAAAGAATATAGAGGTTAAACCAGAGGCTTTTCATGCATTCGATCTACCGGTTGGTGTTAATCGTGGTGTTGTCGGTCGTCTTATTATAAAGGTACCTTGGAAATCACTTAAATCCGAATCCGTAGTGATACATCTCCAAGACATCTATATCCTGGCATCAAAACAACAGATTTCATCAGATACCAATTCGAATGACAGCGACGGTGATAAAGATTCATCGACATCTTCAGATAAATTCTTGAAATTCCTAAAATTGGATAAACCAAAGGATAAAGATAAAGAAAAGGAGAAGGAAAAAGAAAAGGAAATCGAAAAAGAATTGGAATTGGAAAATGAAGAAATAGATAATTCAGCAGTGACTGAAAAGGAAAAGAAAGAGAAAAAGAAGGAATCAAGTTCATTCAAGGAGAAATTGATCACAAAGATTATCAATAATCTACAGATTGTAGTTGAGAAACTACATATTCGATATGAAGATCATTCGGTGGAGACTGGCGATACGCTTGCTCTTGGACTGTGTTTGGACAGGCTGTTTGTACAATCTACGGATTTGGAGTGGAGTCCGACTTTCATAGATAGCAGCACTCCGATGGGCGTGCTCAATAAGCTGGCGGAAGTGTCGAATATCTCGGTGTATTTGGATCACAAAGTGGAATCGCTTGCCAGCCTATCGACGAAAGACTTGTCGGTTGCTCTGCGTGACTCGATTCCAACATCGAAAGAGTCGAAAGGACATCATATGCTACTGGATCCACTCAATGCCAATCTCAAGTTGAAGATTCACCAGACTGGATCGATTCTCCAAAACAATATATCGAAAATCGAGATTGAAACGATCATCGATGAGATTGGATTCTCGATGGAACCTCAGCAGTATTCATCGTTGTTGAGTATCTTGGAGTCGCTCTCAGAGTTTGTCAATGAGATCAAAGAGGAGAAGAAGAAGAACACTTCGAAATCTTCATTTGAAACATTGATTAAAAAGACTGCCTCAATAAGGCGAGATAGAGATAAGAAGAGAGATTCATTGGAAACAAGTGGTGGCAATAACAGTAGTAATGGTGGAAGTGGAAGTGGGAACGAGATGGACGAGAAGCAGAGAGAGAAACAAGAGAAGAAGGAGAAAGAGCTGAAGAAGAAAGTGGAGAAAGAGAGACTGAGGAAGGAAAAGAAGGAAAAGAAACAAGAGAAGAAAGAAGCAGAGAAGAAGAAGAAGCTAGATGAAAAGAGATTGAAAAAGGCAGCTGCATTAGCGGCAGCAGCAGCAGTAGCAACAAGTAGTGGAGGAAGTAGTAGTAATTTGCTGTCGGTGCCGACACCAACGGCGACATCCACAGATCTCACAGAGACACCGACAGCTACTAGTGCTGCAGATTTAACAGATGAAGACGATGACGACGATGACGATACTATGGATCTAGATGACTACGAGAAGGAAGTAGTTAGTTTCGATGTTGATGAACTACCATTGGATTCAAACACCACCACCGGCGGTAGTAATAGTAACAGTGTCAACACGAGCAAAGAGGAAATGGAATTTACAAAGCCAAGTAAAAGTGAACTTAAGAAACAACTATACGATACAATTGGATATACATCTCCTCCGCTACAACAGCATTCAACCAAGTTGGAAGTTGCAGGAAAAGAGATCATTGTAAATCTACATGTTAAAACGATACATATTAAATTGTTGTCGGATGACGATAGAGAAGGTCCGTTAATCTACGGTGATATCACAGGTATCACTGTATCGCTCTACAAATACCTGGAGACTATGCATCTCGAGGCAACTCTCAAGTCACTCCGACTCTCTGGTCTGTGGGTGAAGAACGACCAATTCCCAGATATGATATCCTCAGGAATGACCGAATCATTCTTGAATTTCAAAATGAAAATGATATCACCTCCATCATCATCATCATCCTCACAGAAATCTCTCAACTCCACAGCAACATCGTCATCAGCATCATCGGCATCATTACTTTCAGCGGCTGCTCTTGGTGGCACTGGTAGTCCGTCAACACCAGTGAAAATACCAAAGAAGATTTCAATAGATATTCAAGTGGAACCTATCTATATTGTTTTGAATACAGCAGCCATTCTAAAGTATATGACATTGCTCACACCTTCACATCAGATTGATTTATCTGGTTTCTCGAGAGGACCACGTCCAGCCTCTGGAAAGTCATCGGCATCATCACAAGTTGAAATGAATATTTTAGCGAAACAACCAACACTCATCATCCCCATCACTGCCAACCCTCAGAATCCCAACTCCTCTGACAACTCTATATTCGTCATCGATCTAGGTACAACCAAACTAAGTACAACCAACCCAAATCCATCACCAATATCATCACCAACAATCGAACAGCAACAACAACAATCATCTATATATTATATAAATTTAGATAATGTTAAATCATATCTTACAAAACCACCATCACCAAATAGCAATAACAATAGTAATGATTTACTATCACAGTTCAATCAATATGTTGCTCCACCTGAAGATTCAACTTTTGGTTCACTTCAAACTCAACAACAACAAAAACAACAATTGCTTGAAACCAGTGCAGATCAACAGCCATTGTTCAATCCAACACAGATATGGGTGTTGAAAGAGGAATCCAATGGTAAACCGCTCTTTGACACATCGTTCACGGTGGAGCTACACAAACGAAAGACAAACACTGCCAATGTTCCGCGTATCAAATTGGTAGTGCGATTCCCTGTTTTCAACTTTTATTTCTCACCGTACACCTTCTTCCAGATTCGTATGTTCTCTCATCTCCTAATGATTGAGATTCATCGTTTGGAACAAGCACTACTCCAATCGTTTCAATTCAAAATCAGAGAACAAACAATTAAAGATAAAGATAAAGACAAAGACAAGTCACCAAGAAACATGGTTACCTCAACTCTATCATCTTTTTCACCTTTGAAATCAACATCTTCAACTTCAAATCAATCATCACCACCACCAACCATTACAACAACAATGAAATCAACACCTGTCAAAGTACATCCAACCAATGTTGAATTGGATGTACTATTCGAACATGCCAATGTATATCTAACCAATATGGTTAATATTAATTCAAAGAGTGAAGTAATATTAAAAGCCAACTTGGAATCTATAAAGGCATCTATTTTGGTTGGCGTCGAAAAGCCAAAAGTCGATGGAACATTCTCCATTGATCAACTGGAGATATTCAGACCAACAGATACTTCAACACCTGTAATTTCTTCTATTCCAAACGATGAATCAGCTTCAGTCAATTCAATAATTCTTGGTGAACTTAACATTATTAGAACTGTAAGAATATTAATAATTATTTATTATAATCATATCATCATTATAACTAATTAAATATAATAATTCATAATATTTTAGCCTGGTGAGAAATCTAAAACAATCAATCTATCACTACTCCTTAATGCTTTGTATTGTAAAAATTTACAACCACAAGTCTTAGGAAATATAATTGAAATTATACAAATGATGTATGTATATCTTTATTAATTGTCGTCATTTAATAATTTAATGTTAATATTAATTAATTTTTTTGATTTGTTTAGTATATTGGTAAATAGGAAAGTTACAAACACTGTATCAAAAGGTAGATCGAGTAGTAGTAGTAGTAGTTCATCGGGTGAGAATAAGAAGACTCTCAATTTGAAAGCTTGTACCAAAGGAATTAAGGGTAGTCTGGTCAATTCCGGTGTGGATTTAGTAAAGGTTGCCGATATCGATTTCAAAGAGGTTGAGCTTACTCTTCTTCAATCAAAGACCGTCAGACTACGCTTAGAGATGCTGGTAGAGGGTTTCGATATCTATTCACCCGATCCTTCCAGACCGGAGCTACTGAAGTACAACAACAAGGTGATTGGCAATCTCGATGAGAATTCACTGCTTTCCACATTTAAATTCGAGGAAAGCGGTGATAACAAGCTGATTGAAGCACAGATGTCCTCACTTCGGTTCGTCTTGACACCGTGGTTTGCATCGCTTCTCAATGAGTACGTTCTCGACGTGCTCCAATATCTACCGAGTCTGTTTAGCAAGGCGATATCGCTCATTCCCAACTCACCGAACAACCGATCATCGACACCACGCGCAAGTAAATCCAACAAGAAGAAACAACTGCGTTTCAACATACAGTTGGAGTCACCTCATATCATCGTCCCAATTCCAAGTGACCAAGGTGGAGAGCTGCAATTCTCACTTGGCAACATTGAGATGACCAACGAACATCTCTTGCCAATCCAACGATTTTCATTTAAGGTGAACGGAATTGGATTGAGAAAGAAACTTGTCGATGAGGAAGAAGCTAGACCGATGTTGGAGAATTTCAAAGTCAATTTGATGATGGAGAAGATTTTGAATAACAGCGAATTGGTAAAGGCTATCGATACTCCCAAGTTATCGTTATCCATTGTTCTGGGTGATTTCCTACTTCGCCTGGAAAAAGGAGATGCCATCTCGCTGTTGGATACAATGTTTAGCATGCTCCCAGTGATCCAGAATTTCAAATCTGAATTTTCAAACCTTAGAAATTCATTCAAATCGAAACCAACATCTCCCACCGCTACACAGCCTCTTAGCAATATTCATACACATCGGCGTGTAGCTACATCGTCGCCACTAAGAATATCGATGCAGTCACCACTTCGTTTCCTCCCAAAGATTGGTGGTAGTGACACTAGTGGAACAAATAGTGCAATATCAGCTGGAAACTCTCCGGTTTTCACATCTGGAGGTAGCGGTGGTAGTGGTGAACAACAACAGTCACCTTTTGGAGGAAACAAGAAACTGGTACTTTCCATTGAAGTTGGCGCATTCAAACTTTTACTACCTGGCATTGCTATGTTGTTTATGATTGACGATACTCATGTCGCCATAAAGATGTTGTTCAATGGCGAGAGTGAATCGAATATCATTGTTGGAAAAGTCAACCTGCTCTATCATCATATCGATCCCAACGACAACAGTCCTTCACCCTTCGAATCGATGAAGAACAACAACATGGATGACTACAATCATTCCAATCGTAGCATTAGGAAGATTATCTCACTCAAGGATACTAGTCAAGATAACACCGTTGAGATGTACTACACCTCTTCCAAGCCAAAGGATCAAGTCAATCCAACCACTGTCCAAGTGTCGCCAGAGAAGCGCATTGACTTTGACTCGCAACTCCGATTGAATGTGCGATGTGTTATCATAACCATTGACTATGAATTCCTTGAATCCTATCTTCTCACGGTCTCACCAATATTGAATGTCGTTTTCAAGTTGAAGCGTGAGATGATGGAACAAAAGTTGAGCGGAACCGGACAGTTCAAACCAATGTTGCGATCGGCTTCAAAGAATATCAATTTCCGACAGTCCAATCGTACACTCCACAAAGAGGATTCCATTGTTATGCCATTCATTCAAGACAAACAAGCGCAAATACAAGATGACCTCACCAAACAACTTCTGAAAAAGAAATCAAAGGAGCAGCAGAGAATTCAGTTGAATATCACCATTGAAAGTCCTCAGTTGATTATCACAATGAATCGAAACGATGAACTACTTGTCGATTTCGGAAAGATTCATCTCGATAACCTGTTCTTCTTCAAGGAGGTCGAGAACATTTCCAATTCGATTGCCTATCATTGTATGGAGATAGGACTGACACAGCTCTATGCCCAAACCATACATCACGGTAACCTACAAGACCAAACCTATCCACTCTTGAAAGACGTCAATCTATTGCTGCTCATTGATTTCGTAGTGGATCCAACGCTGATCCCCCTCGAGCATTCACTTCCACATCAACACATGAATGTCAGTTGCAAATCGATTGCATTCAACCTGACGAAACTGGATTACAACCTGCTGATCAATACATCACTCCAATACATGTTGCTCTTCAAAACTCAACTCGATCCAATTATCCAACAGAAGAAACGACAACCACGCAAACAACACTCCAACAAAGAGAAAACCATTGCCAAGACAGTGGTGGATATCAACCTCAACGAGTTAAGTGTATCAATCTTTGGGGAGGATCCAAACGATCCCATAGCAGCGTTGATTATCAACCAAGTAAACGCTATGCTTTTCAAATATGGTCCAACAACTGAAATAGATGGAAATATCAGATCGATTCGTTTGATGGATGCTCGAGTTGGTTCTGGCTCTCACTTTATCGATCTCGTATGCAGTAAGAACATCACAACTTTCTCTGGTCCAACTGTCGATGGTGGTGGACACCACCCTATGAAGGAGAGCAAGTCAAACATTGCAATGCCAGTGGTCACAATGCATATGGTAATAGATAAAACAGCTAATTCCATGGTGATCTCAAGTACTCTCGATCGTCTTCGTGTCTTTATCTCACCTGGAATATTGTTTATCATGATTGACTTTTTCAGTGAAGCAATTACTAGTTCCATGCCAAATCATCGTCGTCATTTAGAGCAATTGAAATCAAACAACAACGACAATAACAATGTTACCAATCAACAAGCTACTACAACAAAGATAAAGAGATCTATCAATGTTGATGCCAAGATAAATAAGATAAAGATTCTCTTGGTTGAGAATGTGAAGAATCCCTACTCGAATTTGGTGATTGCTAAATTCAGTGCGAAAACATCGTTCCAAGAGACTCTGGGATGCAATCGTATTGTTGCAATGTCGATGAAACAATTCCAGGTGTTTTCATTCCGTCATTCTGTTGCCAATATTTCAAGTTCACGTGTTGCATCCCTTATTGACCCGGTTCACTCCATCGACGTCGGACTGAATATTCTCACAGCCAAAGGACAGGGTGCGACATCGACAGTCATTGAAATCGCGACAAAGATCGACACTCTGAATCTGTTCCTCTCGTATCACGACATTCTTTTGATTGCCAGCATCGCCAATCAACTGCTCGGCGCCGTGCCACGTATCAAAAAGATAGATTCCACTTCCAAGTTGAAATCGAATGCTCGTCGAAAACAAAAGATTCCGCCAAACTTGATGCTCTCTATTGATATTCCACAGATGGAGCTGACTCTGATCAACGACCACATGGATCAGAACATGCCGTTGTTAGACATCAATCTTTCCTCCATAAAAATGTCGCTACAAGGTGCCAAACCCAAGCTATCACTTCAACTGGTTGCCAAAATCATGATTGACTATTTCAACAATGAGAAAATGGCATTTGAACCGTTGATTGAAAGCTGGGAGTTCCTGTTGCTCCTCAAGACTGGCGTGGCACCAAAGATAACTTTGGACATCAGTGCCAAACAAATCCTAAACATAAACATCACCTATGGACTACTCAATACGCTTTTGACCACCTACAATACTTTGGAAGACGATGTTAAAGTTGCCATTCCAACGATTATCAATAGATTCAAAGTACGTCAACAATTGGACAACAATGCCAGTCTTGGTTTCGATTACACAGATGGTGGATCACCCGTTAACCAATCTCTAGATACTCTGTTGAATCATCTCGATATGTCAGATTCCAATATACTGGTTAACATTCCACCCATTTCCATTACGGATGCAGCAGCTGCAGCCACACCCACCGCTACCACTCCAGCTGCTCAACAAACAACACCACCTCAACTGTTAACGCCATCACCAAACTTTGGAAGTGGTGGATCCAATAGTTCACAATGGCTGTCACCCATTATCGAAACACCCAACGCCATTGGATATGCTGGTTCTTCAAACATGCAATCGCCATTGCTACAGACCATCTCCATTAGAAAGTTGACTAGCTCGTTCCATCCCTATTGGATTCTCAACAAAACCGGTATCGACATTGAATATCATGTGTTGGAGAATCTCAATCTACAAGTGCAATCGACAGAACCACTTGCTAAAGACACTAAGCAACCGATTCTAATGGATTCGAAATCACTGGTCAGGAGAACACGTGACTTCCGTAGCTACAAAGAATCATCGAGAGATTTGGGCCCGTATCTTGTTGTCCGTTTAAATAGTAGAGCACCGCTATCAACACCGATTGCAATCGGTAAGGTTGGAACTACCATTTTGGTTGTCAATAACAAACGGTTGGTGTTCAATGTCGGTTGGAACGAAGACGGTTCCAAGCTAGTAACGATTCGTTCACGTGTCTTGGTGAGAAATTCAACGACACTCAATGTCGAACTACGTATCCTCTCGGATACCAATAATTTGGTAACGGCACCGGTGATATTGTTCCCGAACGACGAGTATCCAATGCCAATTCAATATCTCAATAGCAACAAGAAGTTGTCGATCCTTCCCAACTCTGACACCTCAGAGTATCGACATACCTCTGACCAAGACATCGTTCATCTCATCGACAATCAATTCCAAACACTGAACAAAGTTATCACTGCAACCACCAAACAAGCAAGACAACAACACAATCATTATATAGACAACGCGCCATTCTACAGGAATTTGAAATTCGTTCTCTGCACACTCCATGGCAATGTTGAGAATCCCGACTTTACCAAAGCCGACGTAATTTGGCAAGACGGTATTAAGATAGAGGGATTCGACATCAGTCAATGTATTATAACGGTATTCCCACCGTTGATCATCGAAAACCTGATTCCATGTCCAATCGGTATCTCTTCACCCGAGAACAATATCTCGATTCAACTGGCACCACAAGAACAACACCCGATCTACTGTCAAGATCCAAGATTGAGTACGGAACTGGTATTGTCGGGAGTACCTGGTTATCCTGCCACCAGCTATATGTTTATCGATTGTACCAAAGGTGATACTCCACTGGTGAAAGATCGTATCAGACTGTCCGATCCCAACAAACTGATGAAATCTCTCAACATCATGATTACAAGTCGCGAGCAACAACCTGGCTCGACCGGTGTCTTCAAGCTGGCGCTCTATTCGCTCTACTGGATTTTAAATCAGACGTCGCTACCTATGATTTTCAAGAAGCCAAAGATGATCGCTATCAACGAATCGAAAGTTCCACAAATGATAACTACAGCCACATCGAACATTGCTCGTGCCAGTGGATCAACAAGTAGACGTGATTGTTTCATTGATACAATGATTCTTTATCATTCGAAGAAGTTGATGATAAAACTGCCAACTTCAACATGGTCATCTGGATTCTCATTGGAAGCGGTCGGAAGCAACGGTGCCATCTATTGTGAAGCCGATGAGAATATCGATACAACCTATCCGAACCAAGAGTTTAACTTCCGTGCTAGCATTTCACTTGGAAAGGGAAAGTTGCAACGTACAAAGATGGTTACGATCGACTATCAATATATTCTGGTGAACAGAACGCCATTCTCTATTGTTGTGCGACAAGTCAATGCTCAACCGAATGAACATCTCCAAATTGAACCTGGCAAGAGTGTACCTTTCCATTGGCTCAACAAATATGATATACGTTACATCGAAATGAAGTTGGATGACGATCGTTACTCTTGGTCTGGATCGTTCTCAATTAGCGATCTGACCACTCTCACTGTAAAGAATCGTAATTGGACGAATTCACTTGCACCGTACTTGGCAAGAGTCGACGTCAGAGACAGCGGAACGCATTGCTCAATCAACTTTTTACCGGAGGACACTGGACATCCACCCTTTAGAATTGAGAATAACACACCGATTTCACTTCAATATGTTCAAGTTGGATGTAGTACCTACGATTCATTGCCTGCATACTCCTCCACTGACTACACCTGGGATGAACTAATGGGAACTAGAATCCTTCAGATTGAAGTCGATGGCATTGCTCTTAAATGTAATATTCTCAAGATAAAATCGTTCAAACCAATCAAAGTCGGTATCAATACACTTCATGCTTTCATGAGAGTCGACGGTCCGACCAGAGTACTGTGTCTGTCCTACGAGAAACAGTCTTACCAATCGTCGGCAGACGACGCTCCCGAAGTAGCGAAACTTGATCTTCACCTTCATCTCCCGAGCATTGGTTTATCGTTGGTCGACTCTGTTCCAAAGGAACTGTTGTATCTCTCAATGAATGAAATCACCCTGTTCTTCTCGAAATCCAATATTTACTCACGATTCGAGCTAGTTCTTCAGACACTCCAAATCGATAACCAATTGACGCACACTGACTACCCTGTGCTATTCTACCCGACCGCTCTGGAGAAAGATCTCTCTGCCGGTGGAAGTGGAATCGAAGAAGAAGTTAAACCATTCATGCACTTTAGTTTTATCAAGAATGAAGAGAACAAAGAGTTGATGTATTTCGAATTGGTATCAATGTTGATTCAAGAAGCCAATATTATGTTGGAAGACAGTATTCTATCGGCAGTCATTGAGATGGTAAACAAATTACTTGATACCAGGAAGCGTGCCAATAGAATCAAACAGAAACTATTGGCAGCAGCCAACAATCAAGTGAATCTCAGTGAATCCGCTATCTTAATTTCACCAGATAGCAATGGCGCTCAATTATTAAACAATAGTAATAATAATAACAACAGTAACAGTAATAATAATACAAAACTAAATCAAACGATGGCTATAAAACAGAGTATAAATAGCATTGGAAAGAAAGTCAGAAAAGTTAAAATGGTCTATATCAAACTACTGTTACTTCATCCAATTAAATTGATTCTCTCATTCTCATTTGTACGTGATGGTCTGGTAGAGCAATCGACAGATATGGTTGGTGTTCTACTCGAAGTGCTCGGTGTCAGCTTTGGCTTGGAAAGAACACCTATCTGCTTGAACTCTCTGATTTTGGAACATCCTTTCCTCAGTAACCGTTCACTTACCAATCGTATAAAGAAACACTACACCATGCAGACACTCAATCAGTTGTACAAAGTAATTGGTTCGTCCGACAACATCGGTAATCCCGTCGGTCTATTCAATCACTTGAGCACAGGTGTCAAAGACTTCTTCTATGAACCAGCACTTGGATTGGTTCGTAGTCCACGTGACTTTGGTAGAGGCTTGGCAAAAGGATCGTTATCATTGCTCAAAAACTCTGTCTATGGATTGTTCAATACGCTATCTAAACTATCTGGTGCCATGGGCAAAGGTGTCTCTGTTCTATCGTTCGACGAGCAATATCTCAGACAACGTCAACGTGTCCACCAAAAGAAAGCAAGACATGTCGGTGAAGGAATTGCTTTTGGATTGAAAGGACTTGGCAGAGGTCTTATGGAAGGTGTCGCTGGAATAGTCAAACAACCGGTGGAAGGTGCAATGAAAGACGGTGTCGAAGGATTTGCAAAAGGAATGGTACGTGGAGTGGTTGGAGCTGGCGTCAAACCAGTGGTTGGTGTATTCGACCTCGCAGCTAGAACCACAGAAGGTATAAGAAACACCACTAACCTCTTCAAAGATATTCAACGTGCAAGACCACCAAGGTGTTTTGGAAATGACGTAAGTAAAATTTAATTTGTTTAATTATCACCATTACAATCACACACACAATTCAATCAACAACATTCATTTCAAATCATTATCATTTAATGAATTGTGGTCAATTTTCATCAACTCCAATCAATCATTTCGGTTTTCCCACCCAATAAGGAATGTCAAAACAAAAAAAAAAAACATTTGTTTACTTTCAACTAATTGCAACTCTGAAAATCTTAAACATTTGCCCAATAATTTAATAAAAACTTCAACTACTAACTCCCGTTTTTTTTTTTCTATAAAAATAACACCACAATTCTATAGGATCTGCTGACGAATTACTCCCATGAACTATCAGAGGGTAGATTTATTCTAATGAAATCATTTAAAGGTACATTCAAAGATGATCTCTATATTATGCATTTCCGTCATGGCAAATACATCAGTGTCATCACCAATAACCGTTTGATTTATGTGAAAGCGAATCGATACAGTTTCAAGTGGGCTGCCGAATTTAGGAACATAAAGAATGTCGAGATGGTAGCAGATGGCATTTTATTGAATTTCGAACACCTTCAGCGTATTATGATAATCGATTACAGAACTCACTACACCATCCCGATCTCAGATAAACATGAATGTTTAAATTTCTATATGATATTGCGTGACTCCCTGACCCAACACCTAGTGTAACGACGGGTCACCTTGAATTTTACAGTTTTTGGGATTTTTTTTTTTGTGAATTAATAAAAATTGTAGTTTATTTTTACATCACAACAAAAAACATCACATCAGCAAAGAGACCCATCAAAATCAAACCATCCTCAACTAAAAAATCGAAATAAAAAATAAACAACCCAATCTTTTGACATTTGTGTTTTTTCTTTTTTTCGAAATCATAATCGGACCCTCCTCCATCAATGTGCCCCCTTTGAATTTTATTTCTGATATTCAAATTTTTTGTCATCATTTTGGGGCATTGCAAACAATTTGTTGACAAAGTAGAATTGCTATCATCACAGGGAAAAATGTAGTAAATATTTTTTTTGATTATTCTTATCGCCATTTCAAACATCTTTGCTTAATATTAATATCCAATTATATGCAATTGGTGTCAATCAAAACCTACTGAAGGAATCAATTAAAACTTTTAATATTTTGGTGCAATGCTACAATAAAAGATAGCATTGACAATACAATTGCAAATTGTTGAATTGAAAATTTGTTTTCTTTTTCATCACAATTGTAAATTGCAAATATAATGAGTAATAATAATTTGTTTATACCTACCTTTTTATTTTTTATAATTTTATTCAACATTACAGATTTAGTTTTATGTAAAAAAATACAATATGGATCACATTATTATTCATATTTTAGTGAAAGATTAACACAAACAGCCGCAAATGAATATTGTAAATATATTTTAGATTTAAATACCAAAAGCTATGGGTAAATAAAATAAAAATTAAATAAATAAATAAATAATTTTTTTTGAATATTAATAAATTCTATAAAATCTATAGTTATTTAGCACATATAAATACAAATGAAGAATTAAATTCTTTAAGAGATATTTTACCTTGTACACAAACTTGGGTTTCTGGACGTGCCAGTGAACTTAATAATTATTATTACAGTAGTGAAAGTTTAGACCATTCTTCTGTTTTTGGTTTGAAAATTGTAAATACTTTAAATGACATACAATTAGTTGGTGGATATATGAACGAAACCCAGGGTTTCATATGTGAATGGGGTCACCAAACTACCAATCCCAAAGTTGTGCAATTTTCATCCAATTCTCTTATTATCAGGAGTAGCGAGATAGAAACAATATTTCTCAAAGGTCTATCATCATCAGAAAATTACAATTGCATTAGTGTAGCCTCTTTTCCAGATGGAACAACAATTTGTCATCATGAAGCACCAATTGGATTTTATGAATTCAGAATCATAAAGAGTCAAGCCTTGGTAGAGCTAGCAACCTCAAAACAATTATACTATTACTACACTCCTTATGATCCCGAAATCTATTGGATCCTAAATGACCCTTCAATTCGGGGTGATAATATTACTATTTATGCACCATATATCTTCAATTATATTGATCATAGACCAGTATTCAATTTAAATGAAGCTCGTATCAATGGTTGTATAGAAATGTCAGACGATGAAGCTGTTTGTTTTGTTCCGCCTGGTACTGGTTATTTAAACTTGACAGTTGCTTTTCCTGATCTGAACACAACTACTCCTTATTATTATTTTTCATACAAAGGTAATTTTAAAAATCAATGTATTTATTTTTTAAAAATAATTTCTAATATTGTTTTTACAGAACCAAGAATAAGAAATTCAACAACAGTTAAACAAAATGTTGGAGGTATTATAACTATAATGGGCTCAAATTTTGCTAATGTAAGCTTGTATGTTAGTGTCGGAGAAAAATCATGTCCAGTTACATATGTCAGCTATAACCAAATTAGATGCAATTTTTCAGGAAATTATAATGACTATGGCGAAGGAATACCAGTTTGGGTGAAAGTTGATGGTATTTATAGTTATGATTATTATTTTTACTATCAAGATGAATCATCCCATTCTGTAGCTTCCTCAGAATCATCAGAAGCTATGGAGTGTCCAAACTGTTTAAATGGTGGTACTTGTGATTATATAAACTATATCTGTATCTGTCAGAATGGTTGGACTGGTGCATCGTGTGACGTAAAGGTTACCAACAATAATCTACCTCCTCCAATTGTAGATTCATCCGGTACCACAGTCTTCATTGCCAATGGAAATAACTATACGATTTCTATTTCTACTTTGCGTGAGAGAGATCCACTGGATAACATTGTCAAGACTCTCAATATGACGAACATCATATGGAAGTTTGTGAGTAATGACAGCAATGGATTCTATAAATTCTCTGGTACATTTTTAAATGAATCTGTAATCGTTGATCTCATGCTACACTACTATGAAAATCAAACAATCATCAATTTTGCCGGAGAGAACATCACAATGCCAAAGAATTCAATGAAATATATGATCTCAATCAACAATTGGCCTTTCAGGAATCAATTGGATACTCTAGATGTTATCTTCTCTTCGATCACTTCAAATCAAACAGCTTCATCCGATCCATGCAAAGAAAACGAACAGACTACAGTAAAAGAAACCATAGGAGATTCATTAAAGTGGTATGAAGTCGATAATGGATTATCTATTTTAAGTGCAAAGTTTGCACAAAATATGTTTGTCGACGGTCGTATTATAAAGAGTAATGTTTATCCTCTGAAGAAAACCGATGAACTTTACCAATCTCTTTCCAAAAACGAATTCAAATATATGGTAGCAGTTTCTGTTCCGGCATTCTTTGACGCTTGTACAATAGATCCAAATTTCAGCTCACTTATAAGACCAACCACAACCAGTGGAAATTGTAACGGAAACAGTCAATTGGAGCAATGGAAATTGATCGTAATTATCTCTGTTTGTTGTGCAGGTGGAGTGTTTTTGATTGGTGGTGTTGCATTCTTTATCATTTCAAAAATCAAAAAGAGAAAGATGAAGTCAATAATGAATCAAAGAGTTTCCGAACTTGCAGGTTATAATAAATAAATAAATAATATATATTTTATAATTAAATAGGTATTTGAAATATTATTCTCAAATCTTTTTTATTAAAATTATAATACTAAAAGTTATTATTGAGCTATAGTAAAATTGTTGATTGAATCCTCTGATTTCTCTATTTGATGAAGTGAAAGCCCTTTCTCATTGGCCAAATGAAGCACACACATAAATGCCATCGCTACAGATACCTCTGTTGAATTATCCACTTTGAGATTTTTATATACCGATGTAAAGTCTGTGTATGGATCATCACTTTTCTCTTTTGATTTGTTTGTCGGCTGTGTAGTGCTACTGGTTGTTTTTGTCTCTACAATCGACCAAACCTTTGATTTCATTTCCTTGACATCGATCTTCTTGGCAACTCTTGCATATGGAAGATCGAATTTAGCAACTTTGAATGGTTCTTCAATGAGTGTTGGTCCCTCGGTGGTATCGTCCGCCCAATTCGATGGTTTTACACTCTCCATGTGTGGGAGATCCTCCTCGTGCATATCGAATCCACCTGAATCACAAAAGTCTCCATTATCAATCAGACCATCGTCATAATCGTTTCCACCACCGGTATCATAATCTCCATTGCCAGCATGATTATCATTGAGAATCTGAGAACTTGGAAAATCATATTCACTGCTCTCTCTAATGTTATTAGTGGTTGTGGTAGTTGTAATACCATCTATATCTGTAGTAGAATCGTTCTTCCCATATAACTTTTTAAAGAATTGTTCTCTTTTACTCAACTACATAATTTATATATAAAGAAATCATTAATAGTCAATTATTATCATTTAGATGGTATTATTTTAATATCTACTTACAGGAGGTATAATCCATTGTGGTTTGTTAAATAATCTACAGAGATTGGTTGGGTCATAATGTACGTCTGGTGGTAAGATGGTTGAGTTTTCAGAGGCTTTCTTTAGGGCGGTTGAGGAGAGTGTAGTGGTTTGTCTGCCTTTGGGTGGTTCAAACATAGAGTCGGGTGGTGCAGGTGCATCAAAGTCAATGAATACCGATCCTTTCTTTTTAGAGGATTTACTCTTCTTTCCAGCAGTGGCAGCCAAAGACGAAGCAGAGGTTGCTCCTCCCAGTTCATCGTCTTTTCCACCCACTACACCAGATGCTGCAGCCTTACGATTGTTCATCTTGATTTTCCAACTGGTTGGTAGTACCCAATTATCATTATCGAAATCAAGATTCTCCCAGTTGTCCGATGCAAAATCTAAACTCTTTGACTTGTTGTTGTTGTTGTTTGTACCTCCATTTTCAAAACTACCATTGATAATATTATCTGCAAAGTTTATATCGATATCCTTGTTGTTATTATTATTATTATTGCTTAGCATATCGAAATCATCTTGATAGTCACCTCCCAGTTCGAAATCACCGCCTATATCATTATCTTCACCATCACTTAGATGACGGTCATCTCCAATAGCAAAGTTGTCCTCTGCCTCCAAATCGATCTGTGGCAATGACTCACCACCAACACCATCTTGATCAGTCATAATCGTATCTTTATCATCCTGTTGCAGTAACTGACTCTTTCCACCGGTTGTCGAAATATCATGACTCTTTGTAGACCAACCATTGAATGCCGACAGCAATGGACATATACTTGCATGCCTCTTTATTGGTGTTTGTGTTGCACCAACACGACCAACCTGCAACTTCCACTTGGAAACATCGATCTTGAACGATGTAGATCCATCTTCTCTGACAATATTATTAATTGGTTGTTGTTGCTGCTGCTGTGAAACTTCAATGTCTTGACTTGGTTCAAATTCATTATAATCAATCTCCATTGGAATGACAGGTGTAGTTGTAGTAGCAGGTTTAACAACAGCTGCAGGAGGTGGTAGTTGTTGACTACTGTTATTGCTGTTGCTATCTAGTGAGGGACATGACAACTCCTTAGAATCCAATATAACTCTAAAGTTTTGGAATGCCAGCTTGTTCAGTAGCAAACCTCTGACTCCACCCTCGTCGAACGCTGCCGATGTCTTTTGAAAGAGTGGATCAAAGTTGTGTGTCTTGTCTGCCTTCTTCCAGGTGATGCTATCCATGTTGGTCTCGATGGTGTTGCTCATCTTCTTTCGCTTCTTATTCTCCATTCGTTGTTTCTCCGATTCACCGGTTGGTTCGCCATTGGCATCGAGACCACCTTTCTCCTTGTCTTCGTCATCGTCTTCATCGTCGCTACCACCGGTCTCCTTACCGTCTCTCGAGAGTCCACCCAACACCTTGAACACTTCATTGTGCATTGAATCAACACGACTCGAATAGATCTTGATACTTGCATCGAGTGCACATGAAGCCGCTTGAAAATTGGTTGTATTACTGTTTGTATTCTGTTGTTTCACCAAGACATCGTCAATATGATCAATCAAATTTAGATGCCATGTATTCTTTGTATTGATTTTCTAAACAAATGAAAAAAGAAGTAAATCAATAAGTTTAAATATGGATTGTTATTGTTAATTTCTATAGAAAACATACATTTTCAGTAGATAACTTTATAACATTTGAATACATCTCTGACAACTGTTCATTTGTAAGTACATTTCTTTGTTGCTGTTGCTGTTGTTGTTGATTCTGTCTGTTTGTTATACCATTGTTACTATTATTATTATTATTATTTGAATTTGAATTTGAAACTGGTTTAGGTGGTAATAATGACTTTCTTTTTGACATAGGCACGGCTGATAATTGACTTGACATTGATTGTTGTTGCTGTTGTTGCGTCTGTTGTTGTTGATGTTGCTGCTGCTGTTGTTGTTTCTTTTGATTATTTTCATCCAATAACTCTACATCTTTATCACTTTCACTATCGATATCATCATTATCATTTTTATCTTCGTTTACAATTGTAACATTTTTTTACTATTATTATTCTTTGTAATATCACTTCTATTTGTTAATATACTCTTTCTTGGTTGTTGCTGTTGTTGTGATTGTTGATTCTGTTTATGACTATTATTATCTCTTAATGGTTGTCCAACAGACAATCTCTTTTTTATTAAATCAGACATCCAAAACAATAATAAATATATGTATAACAAACTTTCAAAATCTAAAAAATATTTACAACTATCAATGAAAATCTTAATTACTGTTGAGCGGGAAATTTGAATTTCTAATAAATTAAAAAAAAAAAAGATAATTTATTCAAAAAATAAATAAATTTTAATTATTATTAAAAATTTATAATTCAATGATAACTAAAAGATCTATCTCATTAAATAATACTCTGTGTGAGACTTGTTACCACTTAAGAGATCTCTATTGTTATTTAAAATGATTCTACTTTAAAATATGATTAGTGAAAAAATTCAAAAAAAAATGGGTGAGTAAGTTTTTTATGTTTAATTCTATTTTTATTTTATTCATTCATTTGTTGATTTATTTAATATTAAAAGTATATAGTAGTAGTATAATCTATATTGTTTAATTTCGAAAGAAGAGAAAAGAAGAGAAAAGAAAATAAAAGAAAAGAAAGAAAGATGTCAGTGAAGAACTCAAAGATTGTAATGGGTGAGGAAGATGAGGAAGAAGATGAAGACTATGATGACGAAGAAGTCGTGGTCGTTCAGACACTACCAAAGAATCATTCTTATCAAAAGTTGGATCATATTGCTACTGCTGAACTATCAACAACAACAACATCTACAACAACAAATACAAATATAAATGCAAATACAACAACAACTACTGCACAACCATTATCATCATCACAAACATTGGAATTCAATGCTAATAATATTACTACTACCTCACCAACTACTACAACAACAACAACAACAGCAACAACAACCAATAATGAAAATATAAAATTAAATAATAATAATAATGTAAATGAAACAACAGAAAATAATAAGAGCCAACAAGATGTAATAACAGAGAAAAAGAATGAAAACAATAATTATAATTTATCAACATCGATATCTTCGATAAAGCCTGTTTTGACAACATCTACATCTTCTTTGACTGCCGTTGCTGCTGCTACTGCGGTCTCTGCTAGACCATCATCATCGTCACTATCGTCGTCGTCTTCTTCTTCTTTATCACAATTTTCAAAGCCATCACCATCCTCTCAAACTAGAACACCACTGAGTCTTGGTGAGGGAAAATTAAGTATGTACATAATATATATTTGATTTCAAATACAATATAAACTAATCAATTAACTAAAATAATAACAGAGGAATTAAATGAATCATTAAGAAAGAGTTACACTGCAAGAACACATGCTACTTATTATCTTATAAATAAAGAATTATCTATTACAAACAGTAGCTTATCGTCTATTTTAGATATAACAAAGGTATGTTTAATTATATTTGATATTTTAAATCAAATGTTCTTTTTAAAAACTAATAAAATGTTAATACAATATATAAACAACAACAACAGAGTATTCAACAAAATATTAGACAATATAACGATGATATAGCAAGTCTTAATGAAAAATTAGAACAAACTGAATGGTCTTTACATTGCTAGTGCAACACAGTTGTGTTTATCACTTATATGTCTAAATGTATTTTTTGTACAATACCATGGTATAAATAAAGTAAAAAAAGTTGTAGTTAAATTATATTATTATATATACTTGTTTTATTTGTTTTATTTACTTTTGTTACTATTGATACATATGATACAGATTTTATATATGTTTTTTTTACTTGTTATATATTGACTTATTACTCATCAGTTGATGTTGTTGTTGCTGCTGTTTTAGTAGTAGAAGTAGTAGATGCACCATCTAACTCCTCTTCATCATCTTGCTGTTGTTGTTTACTTTGTAATAATTGCTTTTCTTTCTCTTTTAATAGTTTCTTTCTTTCTTTTTGTCTTGCTAGTTTCTCGAGTAGTAGACGTTCCTCTTCTTTGGCACTCTCTTTCTTTGCCGAGATTCTCTCGATATCCTTCTGTAGCTTGACGTTATTCGAGTTGAGTCTACCAATCTCTGATTCCTTTCGTTTGATTGTGTCACCCTCTTGTTCCAACAGCTGTTTCTCCATCTTCTCTCTCAGCTTCTCGAGCTCTTTGTTCTTCTCTTGAGTCAACTTTAGCAGCTCCTCTTTGGTACGCTTCTCACTCTGATCCTTGAATGTCTTGACTTCACCTTCCTTCTCGGAGAGCGATCGTTTCAGCTTCTCCAACCTCTCTTCCAAGTCACGCTTAGCCTGTTCTTTCTCGACCTTTGATTTCGAAGCACTCGATTCTTTCAGTTTCTTCAGCTTCATAGCGGTGATCTCGTAGTCTTTGTCCACTTCATCTTTATCTTTCTTGTCTTTCTCGATGATGTTCATCGCTCGCGACAACTCACTCTCCAACTTCTTCTTCTTCTCTTCGGATCGGTTGCGCTCCGATGATGTCACTTCGAGACGTTCCTTCTTGTTGGCCAGCTCCACTTTGGCGCGACTCAACTTCTCCTCGAGACGACTCTGTTTCAACTCGATATCCTCGGTCTGTGCAGTCATATCCAATAGTTCTTTCTTCTTGTACTCTTCCAATGCCTTTGCCTTCAGTAGCTGTTTACCAAACTGTTGATCGATCTTCTCGAGTACCAAACGTTCTTGTTCTTTCTTCTCCTTATTGATTTTCTTCAGTCTTCGTTTCTCATCCTTCAATTCATCCATCTTGACATCCAACTCTGCCGATTCCTCCATCGCTGCCAACTCTAATCTTCGCGCCTTGTCAGCATTGGATTCCGCTTCTGCCTGTATCGACTCGTTGGCACCTTCCAACGCCAGTGTCTCTCTTGTCTCTTTGACAGTCTCAATCGATGCCGACACCAATGTCTCACGCAACAAAGTCTTGCTCTCACGCACCACAAGTGTTTCCTCATCCAACTTCTTGTTTGCCTTCTTCTCTTCCTCTGCAGCAGCAACGGTCTTGCTACTCTCTTTCTCCAATCGCTCTATCTTTTCCTCTAGAACCTTTGTCTCGATTCTCTCCATGTTGATATCGAGTGTATAGGAACGTGTCTTCATCTCCATTAAATCCGTCTCTCTTCTGAGATTCTCAGTGGCATACTCCTCCCTTAGCAGATCGGTTTCAGCCTGTACCATTTGTATCTTTAGTTTCTCACGCTCTTCATACATCTCCTTCTTCTCATTGTCAAAGATTCTCTTCATCTTGTGGATTGCTTCACGATGTTCTTTCTTCTTGGTTTCAACGCGCTCCTCCTTCTCCACCAGTGTCTCCTCCAGCTCCACCTCCTTCTCAAACAGCTCCTCCTGAATCTCCACCTTTCTTGTCTCCAGACGTCGCTTCTCCTGTTTCAAATCGACCACTTGCTCCTCTGCTTCATTCAACTCCACTCTTAGAACACTGGTTTGTTGCTTCACATAGGTTGTATCATTCTTGATCTTATCGACCTCATACTTTAGATCCTTAACTTGTTTGGTTGTCTTATCGATGATCTTCTCAGTTTCGATTCTCGTCTTGACAACCTTGACTGTGTTATCTTTGGCGGTATCCAACTGCTCTTGAATCTTCTTCTTGGCATTGGCGATACGAATACGATCTTCACGAGCATCACTTAGAACCACCTTCAACTCTTTCTCATCCTTCTTGAGTTGTTCGATATTCTGTTCGGTATCTGCAACCTGTTGTTTGACCTGAGCAAGTCTGTTCTTTGTCTCTGTCAAACCGGTTTCATCTACCTTGTCTTGAACCTCTTTCAACTCCTTAGCGAGCTCTTCATTCTCCTTATCCAACTCTTCTTTGGCAGCATTGTAAATAATCTCTTGTTCCACTCTCTGCTTCGCAACAGTATCCACCTCTGTCTTTATCTGATCCAAATCCGCACCCCAATTGTGACTCTCCTTTTCCAACTCCTCAGTTTCTTTCTCTTCATTTTCAAGCTCCTGGACCAGAGCAGCTGTAGTTTCTTCAGCTTGTTCCAGCCGTGCAAGTTCTTCCTCCATCGCCTTTATCTTTTCTTGATATTCATCACGTTGAACTTCAATTTGTTTCTCGATCACCTCGATTCTCTCTTCGTATTCCTCCTCGATGATCTTGTCCTCCTTGGTTCGCTCCTCAATGATTCTCTTTATCTCTGCAACTCTCTCTGCACTTTCATGAGTTTTTTGTTGATACGCTTGGATTTCACGTTGAATCTCTGCCACCACCAATTCATTCTCTTGAATCTTGCTGTCGGCTTCTTTCAGCACCTGCTCAGGAACTGCCGGTTCCTCTGCAACCTGATTGAATTTATTAAAGAGGAATGCAACGAATGCAATATTCAGACGTCCGTTTCCACTAACTATATCATCGGCAGTGATAAACTTCCTGCATCCAACACGCTCTGCATACTCCAAGAATCTAGTTGCACGAGCACTCAAATCCGTATCTTCGAGTGGATCCAAAAGACAGACTCTCGGTGCCAGCTGGTTGAATAGATGAACGTAGACAACGGAATCCTTTATGTCCGATGAGAAGTTGGACACCCGACGGTTGCATGTCGATGCACTCAAATGATGATTGACCCAACGCACCAGAATTTCATCGGGAACCAACTCTTCGATTCTCTCCTCGACGTTGAGCGAGAGAATCTCTGCCTTGACACGAGTTGCAAGTCGTGTCACCTTGTTGAGCAAATCAATCTTGACCAACTGCCACAATATCGAAAGAATCAAATGTCGTTTGCCTTCCTGGAAATCGACTGGACCAATATTGACAGTGTAACAACCAATGGAACGCGCCGCCTTCAAACACAAATCCAAATTTACATTCATCTCGAAAATATTAATCTTACTGGCAATCTTTATTTGTGTTTCTTTCATTGTTCCAGGTCTAATTGAATTTATCATTTTACTTTAATTTAATCATTTGTGTTAGAAATATATTTGAATCCTTTAATTTATTTCTTTCTTTCTATATTTAATTAACTTTTAAAACATACCATAATATAATACCATCTTTAAGTGAATCGAAAATTAAATCTGATTTTGGATCGATTGGAATTCTATTCTTTAAATATTGATCATCTTGTAGGAGGAAATTGAGGTGTTCCACCAAACCTTGTTTCTCTTCATCGTGATAAGTGTGAATAACAGAGAGGTCTCTGGTTTGTTGTCTGACCAATTGATGTTTTTTCTGTAAAGTTGTTGCCATTCGATCCAAAAACTAAGCTTTGGTTGGTCTTTTACTAATATTGTCAAAGCGATAATAATAACCAAGATAATTTATTAGTTTTTGATTTGATTTCTTTAAATAAAAAAGTATAAATTAAATATAATTTTTTGATAAAATAAATAAAATTGTTTATCTCTATCTATCTATATTGAAACAGCAGAAAACACCAAAATACAAAATGAAAAGAATTTGATCCAAATTGTTAAGAGATGAGTGTATATATCTATTCTATTTCTTTTTTTAATTATAATATTATTTATTGTTTCTATTTTAATTATGATGATGATGATGTTGGATGGTGATGGTGATGGATTGATGGATTAATATTGAACTATCTACCTAAATTGATTATATATAATTATAAATAATTGTGTATACATATGAATTTGGTTATGTTGCCAATTTAACTTTTGTTATTGATATTTTAATGGGTATTGAATAGAATAAAGAGTTTCAATATTTGCATGTTAGGTGATCGACAAGTTGAATGTAGGTAGGGGTTGTTGTTTTTACCCTACTGTTTCAAACACTTCATGATCAAGTGTGTGTTAATTATTATTTGGTTTATCTAAGTTAAGTGATCAAAACATAAATAAAAAAAAGGTGGTAATTATTTGATTGAATGTGTGTATTTATAAATAATATTTGCTACTATTTTTTGATGATGATGTAAATATCAATAAATACTTTACTTTACTTTACTTTCTTTATTTTTATATAATACTATAATAGATATTTTATAGGTAATAAAATATAAATAATATGGTACATATAATATTATATATCTATAAATGACTGATGGTGATTCGTTTCATAAAAATTCAAATGGAATGTAATAGATCAAAAATGAGTGTTTTTTTTTCAGTTAATTATCAATTTTTTTTGATGAATCGTGCGGAATCTTAAAATGGGGCAAAGATGTTTTTTGATTCTATGAATTTGTTCATAAAACAAATTGTGTTTTTTTGATCAATTAATTGCAAATAATAATTTCATAGGGCGATTTAAAAATCAAAACAAAACATACATAAAATTGATAAAAATAGTCATACCAAACATGTTATTATGAAAAGATACTGAATATCTCTTATGATTTATTATGAAGTTTATTAATAAATTTTTTTTTTTTTTATTAATAAAAAAACCAAACTCAATAATTTAATTGTTATTTATCAGCTATTATCAAAAAATAATAATGATAAACAAATGAATTGAATTACTTTTAATTTTGATTTATATTTATAACTATATTATTTCTTATTTTTTTTTTATATTTTATTTTATTTTATTTATAAATGGTTGGTAATAGATTTTTTAATTCGTGAGAGATTGTAATGACATTTAGATCATCCATTGCACGACCATCATATCCACCAAACATGTAGATTCTATCACCAACGACGTCGGCCGATGCCATATCACGTGGATTCGGTCCACTGTGAGTGAATTCCTGTTTACTCCAACTCTCAGAGAGTGTGTCGAAAAAGTACATCTTCTTGGTGACCTTTCCCTTGATCAGGTGTTGACCACCGAACACTCCCACCAGATTGCCGATGACGAACACACTGCTGAATGTGCAAACACGCACCAGTGGAATCGATGGAACTCTTCGCCACACGTTGGTCTCGGTGTCGTAGATGTGCATGTCGTTGAATCGTTCGCGCCACGAATCACCTGCACCACCACCAAACATAAACAGCTTGGTGTCGATTGCAACCAAACGGTGTCCGCAACGAGCCGATGGCAAATCTCCGGTTGGCAACACCTCGGACCATGTCATGGTTGCGATATCAAAGACAAAGAATTCGTCGAGATCCTGGAGTTCCCAACGAGCATCACGATTGATTCCACCAAACACATAGAGCTTGTTTCCAACGATAGCGGAAGCATGGTTGGTTCTAGATCTTGGTGGATTTCCATAGACCATTGGATTCGACCAGATTTGAGTGTCGGTATCGAACACTGCCAAATCAAAGTAGATTCCGGAACCGTCGAATCCTCCAAACACATAGATCTTGGAGCCGAGAGCAACCGCTGTGTGACGAGCAAACTTGGGAACGGCTCCTGTAACTTCGAGACGTGCGAATCTATGAGTTTCTGTGTTGAATTTATAGATGTCGTTGAAACGACGCAACTGAGTCTCTTGACCGCCGACATAGTAGATCGAGGATCCGATAACGGTTCCGGTGTGTTGGTAACGCGGTGACGGAACCGAACCCTTAGGACGAATGGACATGGAGGAAACGGCACCTTTTCTACTGAGAACACCACGAATGTGATAGTAATTCTTCCAAACGAGATGGTCGTTGACCTCACCTCTGGCCAAAAGAGAATGTTGATTGGCGAGTGGCATCCACTTCTCCTCGACCTTGTATCTCCACAGTCCAATGTCTTGCATCAAACGATGGAGATCGCTGCAAACCATACTAACTTTATATATCATATCGGCACTGAAATTCATGGCAACCTTTATCAGCAGTTCCTCTGGTAACAAATGTAATGGAAACGAGCTATTTTTCTTGTTGTTGTAGAAATTGGAATTGGAACTTGGATGACTAAATAAATTGATACTGGTTTGACTGTGGGGGTTGATGTGGTTGGAGCTGGAATTACCACATGAATGGAAAGATAGAGTATGTAATAGTCGGTTCATTTTTGATGTATTTTTTCTGTTATTATTATTGTTACAATTATTATTATTCTCATCTATAATTGTGTCTATTGAATCCAATGAACGTTGTTGGTGTTTCTCTTTTTGTACAATGAATGAAGTTGAACGTTTTGGTGCGTAGTGATTTCCATTTAATGGAATAGTAGCCAAATTTGATTGTGATGCTGATGATGATGACGATGACGATGACGATGGTTTTATCTTTATAAAAAAGTCGATAATACTTGAAAAAAATCGATGGGAATGTTGTGTTTGTGGTTGTTCATTATTATTGGCGTGGTGTTGGTGTTGATGATTATTATGGTGATTATAATCCAAAGAATTAGCTGATTTAGACATCTTTCTCCCTGATTTTCTTGATAGAACTGGCATTGTTGTGGTTATACTGAAACAAAGTGAAAAAAGAAATAATAGAAACGGTAATATATTTAATAACAATGCTTGTGAAATAGTAGTGTAATTGTTGGAGGAGCGATTATTGCTGTCACTTATACTACTAATATATTGATAATTATTTTTACTATCTAGATTTAAAAAATTTTATTATTATATTTATGTTTAGAAATAAAAAGAAATATTTTGTTAATATTAATATTGTTTATAAAAGAAAAATCTTGATTGATTTGATTGATCAAATCTTTATTTATTATTATATTATTACAACAATAAAATAATTATTATAATTAAAATAATTATTTTAATTTAAAAAAACAAATAGAAAAAGAAAAAGAAATCCAGTTTTTTGATTGGATTGATTTTGATTATAAATAATAAAATATTATTTGATCAAATTTATTTGTTTATATTAAAATAAATTTGTGATGTTAATTCTTGTGAAAACAAATAAAAACAAGAAAAGAACAAAAACAAAACAATAACAAATAAAGTAAAGTTTTTTTTTATCTCTTTTTTTGATTTATATTTGTTTGCTTGGTTGGCTGATGAAAAGAAAATTAACAGGTAATTTAGTTTTTTTAATTTTATATTTAGTTGTTGTTGTTATTGCCTCTACACTGCGATAATTAAAATTTTTAATAATACTAACTTCTATTATTAAAATAAAAACACTTTTATTATTCCAATTCATATGCACTTTTGATGGATTGTGTTTTGGATTGATAAGGTATAGAATACTTTTGATGATGATGATGATGAGAATGACTCTTGTGGTTGAGTTTGTCTTGTCAATCTGTGCTTGTTGTTGACTGACATTATGAAATTAGTTTGATGATACAACTATTTAATGATTTATTGCCATTTTTACATTCAGAAATTGATTAACCAAAACAAATGTGTATTTTAATTAATATTGGTTTGGAGTAACCAATATTGGCACTCTTGTTGTTATTAATGATGTTTTTTGGATTCCTTTAATAACATTATATCACCAGCATTTTGTTTGTCTAGTGTTGTTAGTGTTGAAGACAAACAGACCAAATTAAAAAAACAAAAAAAAAAAAACAAAAGTGGATACTGGAAAATTGCAATTTAGGATGAATGTGAGCGTGAGTAAGGTATATTTATTTAGTATAGTGGTGGATAATTTTGTTGTGGTAGTAGTGGTAAGTAGTAGTAGTAGTAGAATGCGGAAATACCAACCAACATATGCTGATTATGATCTACTACATTCCCATGTAAACAAATAAATTAATAAAATAAACCAAATAGCAAAACATTGCAAATAAAATCTGTTGATCAACCGTATGTTTTTTCGATCTATTTATTTTAAATATACATATAAATATATATATATATATAAATATGTGTATAAACCACAATCATTTAAAATATTTCACACCATTATAAATGAATTTGAGCGAGTGAGTTAGTGGTAAAATTAATATTTATGATGTTGGGGTGTTGTGATGTTTTTTATAGATTACCAGAGACAGTGCGAATCAATAATCAATACTGCAAATATCTCAAAATGATAAGAGGATGTTTGGTTTGGTGTTGGAAATCAATTTTTGTATTATCTTAAATTACACAATCTAATTTATTTTTTAAACAAATAAATATTTCTCCATATCTAGCAATAAAAAATAAATAAATGAGTGGGTACTACTACTGATGAGAACAGATAATCAAACACACTGTTATCAATCATAATAACCAATTGACAAACCAACCAATATATCCTTTCACTATCCAATTCAGACAACAAGTACTGTACATAAGGTCATTTTAACAAAAACCAAAGAGAATGTTATATTACCAATAGACAATTCGAATTTCACACCACATAAACGTCGATGTTTCGAAGATACCCACAATGATGAGATACGACGATAAGACAAGACATTTTGATTTGAAATGAATGTAATTAGATCTTGAGATCCGATTAAATATGATAATGGATTGTGTGCGTGTTTTAATTAAAAATATAGTGTGAATTTTGATTTTAATTATAAATTATAATCACCAATAATAATACTCAATACTACAAACGGAATTAATATGGATTATGGGTAATTATAATCACATATCAATGGAATGGTGGTGTGTTGTTGAGTGTGAAAGTGGGTTAAGTGTCATTTGTTGGTATGAAACCAGTAATAATAATTAAAAAAACAAAATAAAACTAAAAATAGGATTGTATTGGTGTAAATAGAATTAATTTATGAATCGTTTTCCGCAACTATTAACAATAGAAAAACAGTGGTAGTCTTGCACCTACAATCATTTTAGTTGTGTAAGTGTAAACCATCCAATAATAAAATGGATTTACAAATTTTTATCTGAACACAGTAAATGTAATCCATAAAAAGAGTCATTGCTGTATTGGTTGATATCAAAAACTGCTAGCTACTACTACTATTTTTATGCTCCACAATATTTATTATTTCCTGTAATATTAAATTTGATACAACCAACTATAATATACTATACGTTCTTGGTGCCAAAATAAAGTTATTGAGACAATATGTATTATAGTGATGATGGTGATGGTGATGTGATAATGGTAATTCAATCCTATTTCGAAATAAAATGCTTAAATGCAATCTATGATAATCAACTATCTAGTAAACAAGATCAAGATCTTCTATTTTCTATTAAAAAGAATAGATATGATTGGTTTACTTTTTTTCTAGATTGAAGATTTGCTGTACAATGATTCTATAGGATATGAAGTTCACAACCTGTTTTACTCAAGTCTCGAAAACTTACTTGAAAAATCTGTTGTTGACATTGCCATTGAGTCCATTTTTTTTTTATTATATTGTTTTTTATTATTATTATGATTTGTATATTCTTAAATATAGAATAAATAATAATTGGAATGAATTATACATATATATGTATATTATTATTCTTTTAAAACAAATATTATTATAAAGTAAACAAAAAGTAAATAATAATTGTGTAATACAAAAATAAGATGGTGCAAAGAGATATTATAAATATAATTTTTAATGAATTAAAAGTAAGCACTCAATCATTCAATTTCATGTTTATCTCAACTTTTTTAGTGGAGTTAAATATTATTGATGTTGTGTTTTTTTAATTAATATATAATGCATAATTGGAATTAATCTTACACTGATTTAAATAGAAATTTTCAAAATTAAATTGATTTCGAACCCTTCTGTTTAAGATTGTGGGGTGGTATTGCTTTGATTTAATGTTAAAAATTAAATTTGTTGTTTTTTGTGATTTAAGTGTGTAATATTATTATTATTATAAATAATTAATTGAACTTAATATTATTATTATTATTAATAGTTTTTTAAAATAAAGAACTATTTTCTTTTTATATTTTTGTTTCTTATTATTTTGTTACTTCGGTAAAGTAAAGTAAGTCTTTTTTTATTTTATTTTATTTTATTTTTCTTTCTTACTGATTTATCAGGTGGTTGAATGAAGACCACACCAAATGCACACCTGCAGATCATCATTATATTATTATAGATCACATATAAAGTGTAAATGAATTGTGGTGGAAATAAAACATCCCCTCCACCCCCTTTATTGTGAAGGAGTGTGCATTTGATTGATTTGTTGAGTCAGCAGCAACAATGTACTCTTTCGAATTTAAAATTAGAAATCGAAAACTTAGAAAATGTGATATGAAAAGTTGTTTTTTCGCATTAATCATTATGATTAAGATGGAATTCCTCTAACGCTATATTGGTGTTATTTAAAAATAATTGCAAAAAGTGCACTTTTTGAAGCATCAGCGCATTCTTTTTTGTAAATTTTTATTTTTGCCTTTTTGGTTTTTCATTGTGTGATTATGATGTATAAGCGCAAACGGGTCACTTTAGTGGTTATAACAACGATCGTAAAATTGTAGTAAAAAAAACAGAGTTTGATTGCCGTGAGTAATTGTTACCTCATCGCAACCATTAAATGTTATAGTGAACATTAAACAGGTGCTATAACTATAAATATGAACAACTGCTGCATTTGTTTACAATGATTTATATTTTTAAACAAATTTAAATAGTTAACTAATAACTAAAGTGAATGATGTAGATGTAGATGTAGATATATCTAATACTTACAAATAATTAAACTAAATAAATTACTATCGGGTCTGAGAATGATAATGATAAAAAGTACTTTGTTCTCGAGTATTTATTAACGTGATGATTGTCAATCACGTTGTGTAGCTTTCTTTTATTGACCCATTTTCGATGACCTAATTGACAATTTATTGAGACACATGATTGACAATTTAATGATTGCTACTAGAGTTAAGTGTGAGCAACAACAAAAAAGATAGCATATGTTTAATTTACAACACTGGTTGTTTGACAACATGGTAAAAAGCACCATCCATTGATTCGTAAAAAAAAAATTGCCTCAAAATTAACACAACCATTTTAATTTTCAAACATAAATCGTGCAAAGACTTGTGTTTTTTTTTTGTTAATTATTTTTAAATCTGGTTCGATGTTAAAATAACTATTGGGCGAATCTAATTCCATCTACAGTGATTTATTTTCTATAGATTGATTTAAGAGAAGAATCTAATTTTATCTTCTATTGTTTCACCTTTTTTAATTAAACGTAGATTTTGCACTTCACTGTCAATGGCATAGATGGGTGGTGCAAGTCTCAGGTTATAATGACTGTAAGAGGAGTACATATAGGCACCGGAATCATGTACCATTATAAAATCATTTGGATTTAAATGTGGAAGTTTTCTCTGTATAATCGATTATTTAATTGTTAGAAATTGTTTTGTTTCGTAAATCATTGTTTTAACTACTTACTTCTTTTACTAATAGATCAGCAGCAAAACAACATGGACCAGCCAAATCATAGATGGAACTACCATTGGATCCATCCAAGTATTGTCCTTCGTGGCTGAAAGCGGTTACTCTCAACTTCCAGAGTGGATGTTGATAGATGGTACGAATGAATAAGTTGGCACCGGCATGGATGACACCAATGTCACGACCACCCGATTGCTTTGTATACTCTACTTTGCTGACGACAACACCGCTCTTGGCAAAGTACGATCTACCAAACTCAGAGATCACCACGTAGTCACCGGAGAACAGACGTGGCAGCTTCTCACGGAGATGCGCTGCATACTGGCTGAATGTAGGTGTGTCTTTTTCAGAGTCGAAATTTACAGAGAGACCACCACCGATATTGAAGAATCGGATCTGTTTGTTGGTGAGCTGATTGATGTGCTCGACCAACTCGAAAACCTTTACGATGGCGTCGGATGTCTGTGACATTTCGAAACCCTGGGAACCGACATGGAGATGAACGTTGTTCAGCCATTTGTAGGTCTGATACATTTGAACGATACGCTCGCTATTCTCCATACCGATTCCAAACTTGGAGGTTGGCACACCGGTGCTGAGATCCTGGTATTTTCCAGCGGCAACCTGTGGATTGACACGAATTCCGACACAAACAGTTGCTAGCTTCTCAGCCGACATTTTCTCGACGATGGCGATGATTCTGTCGAGCTCCTGGAAGTTGTCGACATTCAGCTTGACACCGAGATTCAGAGCGTATTCCAACTCCTCTTGTGACTTGATAGGCGAGTCGTAGATGATTTTCTCCACCGGGAATCCGGCGGCCTCTGCGATTTTCAGCTCACCGAACGAGGCAACCTCTGCACCGAGGCCGCAACGCACCGCTTCCTTCATCAATCCCATGACAGGATTCGACTTGATAGCCATCGATTGGATACCACCCAACTGTTCATTGGCTTCGCGTGCCAACGATCTGAAATGATCTAAATTATATAAAAGAATCAAAGGATCTTTCTCAAAGATCTTCTCATCAATAGCCAACTTCAATGCTTCTTTCTTCCATGACAAACAATTTACAGAATCTGAATGTTGATTATCTACAACGATCTCTTCTCTACTATTAGTTATATTATTTATCATTTTATATAATTTATTATATGTACAAATAAGATTATTTATCTATATTTTGTTTTTACAAAAAAAAAAAAACAAAAACCTCTTTCAAATTTGGAAATTGACAATGGTACCAAACTATGTTAATGAATAAGATCTTTCTATTTAAAAAATCAAAATTTATTATCTTAATCCTGGTGGGATTTTGATTGCCAGATTTTTTTCTTACAAAAAATCAAGGAGTGGTCTCCAAATAAAAATAAAATCTATTTTTTTTAAAATTTTTTTAATTTTTAATTTTTTTTGTATAAAATAAGTGTTGTCTATTTTAAAGATAGATAAGTTATTGAACATTACAGAAGAAGAATTATTCTTATTGAGTAAACTCCAAAAAACTATCTGTTTCACCTTTCGATCATGATAAATCAATGATTTGTGTGTGTGCACATTGATTTTTAAAGAAAAAAGATCAAGATTCAATGCACATTAAAAAAAATTAGACAACCAAATGAAAAGAACAGTAGAATTAACTGTTGCACATTTGTCAATTCGATTGAAAAAATTTTTACAAACAAATAAATTTAATTTAATTTGATTTTTTTTACAATTTTTTTTGATTTTTTATTCTGAAACGAAAGAAATAATAGTTGTTTTTTTTTTCAATTCACAACATAATTAATAGACATTCATAATCATCTTTAAAAGATATATAACATTTTATTTTATTTTATTTTACCTTTAATATTTTTTTTATTTATAATTATTTATTTATAAATTTATAACAATAAAAAACAAATAAAAATGTACAACATTTTAATTACAATTAGAAACGGTGGTAATAAATCAAATTCTTTTAAAAGTAAGAATAAGTTACAATTTTTAAACAATAAATCTTTAACTTTGAAAAAGAATCAGTTTAACTCATCCTCTCTTTTAAAGTGTAAGAAGCAAAACTTTAAGCAACAGCAGCAGGTAAAAAGAGTATGTCGTCGTTTGGTTTGTCCGTCCGCTCCAATCAACACAACATCGTATCTTATCGGTATGATTGAGAAGAGAAACAACAAGCACCAACAACAGCCACAACTCTCCATCTTGGGTGAGTATTCTTCTGCTCTCCATGTGCCAGCTCCAATTGTTACTTCCGCACCGTTATCATCGTCATCGTCGTCGTCAGTGCATAATATTGATAATAATAACAACAACAATAGCTATTCATTCGATATCACTGATTTCGATACACACGGATCAATGTTTGGATTAATCAATAATAATTTTTTGATCGACAACATTGCTCACAACAACAACATTTAAATATACAGTTTTGAATGTTCTACATCTACATTCAAATGCCGTTTTCCGTACAGCCCTTTAGGAAATATAACTATATTTCTAAATAGTTATTTGGTTTCCGATGTCAAGCTCTTCCATTGTAAGTCCGGACCCCGCCACATCACCAGGCAGAAGTTGTTAAGGGTGAATAACCCATTTCACAAAATGGTCATATAATTGACTCATTATTTAAATCAATCAATCAATATAATTAAATAAATTCTTTGTATATACATATAATAATTTTAAAACTTATTTGTTTTTTTTTTTTCCTTTGTTATTCTTTTTTTCTTTATTGTTCACATAAACATCTTGTACATTTACAATTAAACAGATATTTATGTTGTAACTCTTTTCTACGCTGTGAACATGAAACAGTTTCATCTATGTATGATATCTCTACTTCTTCATGAATAGGTATTGATCTGAGAGATCTAAGAGTGACTCGATTGCAGTTGGTTGTGTAGCTTACCACTGCATTGGGATTACAATGGTGGTTGCAACTATTGACTATTGGAAAGAGAGCGCTACCACTGATACATAAATCACTGAATTTCTCGAGATACTCTGGTAGATTATCGAAAGTAACCTTCTTACCACAAACAACAATATGGTCAACGGAAAGTGGTGTCTTTGCAACCAGATCATTAATATACATGTGAATATCCGATGGTGGATTTACATGTGATGCATTACATTGTATAATCGAATTGAATTCTCTATATTTATTAATTGTAAATACTTTAAAATTAATAGTAGTAGTAGTAGTTATTTTGTTAGTTAATATTGTAATAAGTTAATAAGTTAGTATTAATAATAATAAATATATTTACAATTGTCTATTTCTATTTCTTTTGATCTATATTCTTTAAATATATCTTTGAGAATCGAAAGTATTTCTGTATCGTTTTGACTGGTCCATTCTCCATTGGAAACGAAACTTGTGAATGGTAATAATGAGTTGTTGATGGATAGCTTATTGATTGTGATGTTTTGTAATATGCTAGCATATATTCTGAGAATAACTAAAGGATTGGTTTGTTTATATTCAATTGCTTTTGCATATAATCTTTCTAGATCTGCATCGGTTGGAGATGAACATATTACTTGATGATACTGTGATTTTGCGTGATTAAGACAATCTATTGAACAATATACATCATTACATCCATCTCTTTCACATCTAATCATTGTAGTTGCATTGCTATATATATTATTATATAAATTTAAATTTTCTTTTGAAAACAACTTAACATCTAATCTTGTTGATAAGCAATGTGAACAACATTTAAATAAGCTCTGAAACAGAGAGAGGTAATATTAGATTATTGATTATTATATTATACAAATTTTATAATATATATATATATTTACATTATTAATAAATTTATATGATATATGTGAAACTAATGGTGATTCTTGAAAGATATCTTGATTAGCTTGATAGTTTGATTTGGAGACGACACCCTTTCCTTTATATCGATTTATATAGGCAACATCTACATTCATTTCTTTTGTTAACAACTTATATCTTGAATCTAAAAATAAAATAATAATATTAGTATATATATTTGTTGTACAACAATCAATAGATTGATTTATAGAGAGAGATATATACCTATAAGTAATGTACTAATATCTTTATATTCTTGATTGAATTGTTGTATCAATGATTTCATTTCACCAGTGTTGATGTTGTTGTTATTGTTATTTTCAATCAAGACCAATGCACTATCCAATGATTCCAAAGACTCTTGATATCTACTCAGTTGCTTCAGTGCCAATGACTTTCTAAAGTATGCTTTGAACCATTTACTATTGATTGCAATAGCATTGTTGGCATCTTTGAGTGACTCTAGATAGTTTGACAACATATAGAATGCCAGACTCCTATTGGTGTATGACAAATGATCATTTCCATCGAATTCAATTGCTTGTGTGTAACACCAGAGTGCTTCCTCCAATTGTTTTGCCTTAAAGTATTGATTACCTTTTTCTCTGTATTCACTCATAGATAACAATAGAACAAAATATATATATATACAGCAATATTAGTGCAACACTTCTGACGAATAACAAGAAGTAAAAATAAAATAATAAAAATAAAAATATTTTTTTTGAAGATTAACTCCTCCCTTCAATTTCTTAAGCATGTTTATTATCATCAACTAGTTTGACCAAGATTGAAAGCAATTTTCTTCGAGAAGTCAATTCCATACATTGATTGAGATTGGCAGGTAACTTTGTCTAACTAACTAATCTAATCTAACACCAGCTGTTTATAATTATGATTTACAACAATTTTCTTTTATTTGTTTCTATTATAGTTATTTAATTTAATTTTTAAGTGATTTAGAATGTAATTCTCTAAGATCTTTTCTAACTATTTTGCCGGTGGTTGTCATTGGTAGACTGTCGATGAACTCAATTAGCCTTGGATATTCATAGGCTGCCAAGTTGTCTCTTACCATCTTTTGAATGTCTGATTTCAATTGGTCCAATGACTCTTTGTTGCTATATTCGCTCTTTACACTTTCTTTCAGGACAATGTAGGCTTTGACAACTTCACCTCTGATTTCATCGGGTACTCCTACGACACCACACATTGCAACGGCGTCATGTCTGAGTATACAATGTTCAATCTCACTCGGTCCAATACGATAACCACTGGAATTGATAATATCATCGTCTCTTCCGACGTACCAGTAGTAGCCATCCTTATCGACTTTGCCGAGATCTCCGGTCAGCAGCCATCTTCCTTTGTACTTGGCTTGTGTGGCGCTATCGTTGTTCCAGTAGCGAAGGAATACCACTGGATCCGGTGTTTCCAGTGCAATGTTACCAACGACGCCTTGTGGTAGTAGCTCACCTTCATCGCTGACTATCGCCACTCTGTGTCCTGGAATTGGTTTTCCCATTGATCCATTCTTTACTGGCATCATCAGCGAACAGTTTCCAACGAGTAGATTTGCTTCGGTCTGTCCGTAGAACTCATTGATGGTAACATTAAAAACACGTCTACCAAAATCCAAAAGTTGATCACCCAAACTCTCGCCACCCGATCCAATAGAGATCATCTTGGTGTTTACCGGTAGATCGTGAACTTGTCTCATCATTTTCAGGGCGGTCGGTGGCAGGAAACAAGTGGTTACATTGTGGCGGAGCATTAGATCCGAGATTTTCTTTGGATCAAACTTTGATGCGCGATGTGCCAACACTGTGACACCATAGTAGAGCGATGGCAGGAGTACATCGATTAAACCACCAATCCAAGCCCAGTCTGCAGGTGTATAGAAACACAATGGTCGATCCTTCTGAGGGAACAAGTTCTGTGGGAATTGGACACCCGGTAGATGACCAATCAATACTCTATGTGCGTGTAGACAACCCTTTGGATTACCTGTCGTTCCTGAAGTGAAAATAATCAAAGCAGGATCTTCTGATTTTGTCTGTACAGGTTTGAATTGATTTGAAAAGTTATTCTTAACTTTATTCCATCTAATAATAATAATAACAATATTAATATTAGTTAATTTAAATTCATAATTTTATAAAATGGTGGGATTGGTTTATATTCTTACTCTATTACAAAGTTATTATCTCTATTTGATTGAGTTGTTTGATTGTTATGATGATGATTGTTCTTTTGTTTTCCAAATACTATAATCTTTTTAAGATTTGGTAATGAGCTTTGAATCGAAAGTAACTTTGGTAGATTATCGTGATCTGTCAAGACACACGATGCCTCTGCATTGGAGAGTCGATATACCAAACCTTCTGGTCCAAACAAAGTGAATAAAGGAATTGATACTCCACCCATACGGAACACAGAGATATGTGAAAGTGCAGTTTCAATGCCTTGCGATAGTAACACACCAACTCTTTCACCTCTACCAATACCATATTCCTTCAATGCATTAGCCAACTGATTGGATTGTTCATATAATTCACCAAATGTTACACTAAAAATAACAACAACCAACAAATAAATAAAGAACAATTAATATGAATTAATAATCAAACAAGATATTATTGTTGTTATTATTTTTACCTTTCTATATTATGATGTTCATCTTCATAGATGATTGCTTTATGATCTCGCTTATCATTTAGATGTTTATCACATATATCAGTACCGATATTGAAATACTCTGGTATTGTCCATTTAAATGAATTGTAGGCATCCTCGTAGTTGTCACCACTCACCATGTTATGGTGGAATGTCAATCTTTTACCATCCTCGAAATTATATGAAGATGCGATATTTGAATTTAACAATTTTATCTTTTCATTCTCAATGCTATTCAAATTATTATTATTATGTTGTTGTTGTTGTTGATATTGTTGTTGAGTTGTATTACAATATTGATTTTTTAAATATAATAAACCATTACTACTACCACTGCTACCATTGCTATTAAATTTACAAACATTATTATAATTTTTATTTCTAAAAATATAATAAGTTTGTTTTATTAGCTTACTGTTTCTATTTAAATACATTTATATACATATACACATACGCACTAACTAATGTTTCTTCTTTGCCTAAAAGATGAACAATGCTTTACAATACAAAAGTTACCCCAAACAAACCCCAACACTCAATTTAATATTAATATTATTTTTTATTATTTTATTTAAAATATCTTGATTTTTAATAAAAATGATGTTTATGGTGAAACATGATCATCAAAAAAATAATTATTTTACATTTTTTTTAGATATTTATATTTTATTTAAATTGAACCATTCATTATCATCTTCATAAGCTATTGCACTTTCTTTGAGTGTCTTGTGAATGAGTAATTTGATCTTTGGTTTAAAGTTGGAGTCAGAGTGATTGTTTACCTTTGTTGTCGCTCCTCAACGAATTACACAATATTTTTTGTTTTTGATATTTTATATTTTTATTATTTTTTATTTTAAAGAGTGCAAGAAATTGAACCGTTATTAACTTCTTCATAAGCGATTCCACGTTCTTTGAGTGTCTTGTGAATGAGTGGCTTAATTTTGGGGCCATTTGCATCACTGTGATTACCAGCACCTGTGATAATAGTAAATTGTTTACCTTTGTTGGCGGGATTCGATTTCAATTTCTCCATACGCTCCTCAACGAATTCCAAAGCTGGTGCGGTCTGCAATCCGTGGAGATCGATTGTGTAGTCGTCGAGATTCTTGTTCTTGTCGTTGAAAACCTCACGGGCTCCTTTCTTTTGAGCCTCCTCCATGAGGGTGGTCTCGTTTTTGGCTTGTTCACGCAACTCTCTGGCACGGTCTTTGTTTCCGGCGTTGTACTCACGGTCGGCCTCCTCGAACAACTCTGAACGCTTCTGAGCGTGTTTGTCGACCTCCACTTGGTACTTCTTGTAGAGCGCATCGGTACGTTGGCTCTCGGCTTCGTGTCCGTCACGCATATCCTTGTATTCCTTATCCTTTTGTGATTGTGTCTTGTGCTCGGATTTGACACGCTCGATTCTGGCGATGGCATTGTCAACGGCGGCACCCGATGGACCGGTAACTGAGATGGTGTTTCCACTCTCTGGAATATCGATGGCAGTGACACCGGTCTGTTCTTTGATCTCCTTGATGTTGGCTCCCTTTGTACCGATGACATACTTGTGAAGTTCCTTGTCGATCTCTACGGTTTTTGTTGTTGGTCCCGATGATGCTGGCGACGATGAGGATTGTCCGCTTGAACCTGAAGTGTTGTTTGTAGTGGTAGTAGTGGTTGGTTGTGTTGGTGCAACTGATTTTGGTGAGACTGCTGTGCTTGGTGAAGTTGCTGCCGATGCTGGAGCTGCAGCTGCTGGTTCAGCTGGTCTGGCGGCAGCTGATTGTTGTGGTGCCTGTTTGGCGGTATTGGCTGCTGGTGGTGCAGCAGTTCTATCGGTCTTCTTTACCTTTGGCTCTGACGAACCTGATTTTCCACAAATATTACCCATTTTTGTTTAAATTTACTAACAATACAATAAAATAAATAAAATCTATAAATATACAATAATTATTATTATATTACTACTACTATGAAAAATAAAAATAAGAAGATTTATAAGAACTTAAAAAAGTTTTCTTTTTCTGCCAAAAAAAAATAAATTAAAAATAAAAAAAAACAAATGATCAAAAAAATAGTAATGTTGTTGTTGGGGTGAGTCGTTATACAAACACTTTTGTTGTTTTATTTTCAAAAAAATAGTGTCCTGTGTATGGTTTATTTCTGCCAACTTCATGGTTTTTCAAACAAAAAAAATTCAAAAAGTTGGTTGTTTTGTTTTGAATTCACCGTCTCATGCAAACAAAAAAAGGACAACAAGGTGAACAAAGAGAACAAACTTGGTCAACCATAAAAAACACTAAAATTAGAGGATGCATCAACCACTCTATGACTGAATTGGTAATATAAAACTCTGACCAAACATTATTAAAAGAATAGGTGAGCTTGTTATACTTTAGGACATCTGTTTGTTTACAAACTAAATTAAGATTACATTACATTACATTATATTGTTTGTTTCATTGTATGTGCACAAACTGCGAAAATCTAACTTCACACATAATAATTAAATAAATCTTAATATCTTCTAGAATTATTAGTAAAGTTAGATTAGATTTGCAAATGAATGAATAATAAATAAGATAATATAAAGTTGTAGAATTTATTTACAATTGTGATTTTATTTGATTGATAAAATAATTGAATGATACTGACTGATTGCTCATTTATTTCTATTTAATTTTCTTTGTAAATATCTTTCTCTTGCTGCATTGATTGAATCCTCGTCATTTCTTCTTGGATATTGTTTAATAACTTCTTTAACTGTTTCTTTTCTTTCTATCACTGGTGCGTAGTAATGTTGTTTTCTTTTATTATTGTTGTTATTATATTCTTTTTCATTATTTTTACTACTATTATTATTGTTGTTGTTAATATTTTCTTGATTACTACTATTATCATCATTATTATCTACAATTGTATTATATAAATTCCTATGAAAATCAGATAGATCTTTCTTTTTTGTAACATCATGTGATAGTTCCGCTTGTCGATCTATCTCTTCTTGTCGTTTTCGTTCCTCTAGTTTCTTTTTGTAGCCTGACGTCAGAAACACCTCTTTATCCTTGTAGAGATCACCCTCTGCTTCACGCTCCTTCTGAATGATTCTATCTTTGACTCGTTCATTCTCACGTTTCTTTCGGTCTGCTTCGGCCATTAGATTCTGAATGTACTTTGGTTTACCGGTGATCATTGATTGCTGTTGTTTTCTAGCGGTCTGTTTCTCTTGTTTCTTCATCTGATCGTAAACACCATCGTAATCAAACACAGTAGAATCCTCTTCCAACGCTGCATTATGTAGTTTTTCAATCTTTGTTTTTGCATCTCTCTGTTGTTTTAGATAATCTGTTGGTTGTTTCTTTTGTTGTTCTGATGTATCGTCATCCTCCAAGTGATCATCATCACTATCATCTTTGAATGCACTTTTCAATTTAGTAGGTAATTGTAAACCATACTTTTTTCCACCTTCTCCAACTTGCATCTTTTGTTGTAATTATAAAAAATATAATATATGAAATGTAAATTGCAAATAATCATTCAAAGTTTTTATTAAATTAGTATATATTTCTTTTTTTTTTTTTTTTTTTTTTACAACTTCGTTTATTTCCAGATATGGTTACAATCATATCATATTCTTATCTATTATATTTTTAAATATTAAATTATGTAATCACTTAAATTAAAACAATCTATTGCATTTAGTAAGAAAGCAAGTTGGTTTTTTGTGAAGGTAAAAGAATTATTTATTATGATGATCATTTTTCTATAAATAAATAATAATAATCTAGCTTCACATATCTTGAACAAAAACATACAGTTAAAGTCTGGAGATCATTTGGTTGTGTAGTTGTTTGTTTGTTTTTTGTTTTTTTTTTTTTTATAAATATAGATTATTTAGGTAGTTATAATTAGTGTTACATTGGTAACGGTAAAAAGTTTAGAATGAAATATCTATGATGATTTAGGTTTGCCAACTCTTATTATTAGGAATAGAGAGATCGATTGGTTGAATCGGAGCGATGGATATTTAGCTAGACTCTCAGCTGATACTTTTGGTTCGTGGAATTTGTCGATGGTGAATCCAGCTGCCTGTGCCATCTCGAACCACTCTGTGAGAGGACGGTGAAACTTTGGAACCTCAAACATCTGAGAGTTGGGATCAAAATCTTTGGCTCGCTGAGCTTGGCCGAATGTCCATCTCTCAATCTCGCCGTTCTCACGTGTAAAGTAGTCGCCTACCTCGTAGGCAACACGTTCCTCCGACTTGTGAATCACCCGGTACGGTGTATTGAAGCACGGGTGTAAAATAGAGAATTGAAGGAATCCACCTGGCTTTAGGATTTTGAAGATTCCACGGAATGCCGCTGCCTGATCGGGCAGATCCATCAAACACATGAACGAGGTGGCAAAGTCGAATGCCTCAGGCTCGAAAGATTGGTCGAGGTGTTCTGCATTGGCAACAGAGTACTCGATACCGAGTGGTGACTCTTGTTCGTGTGACGATGCATGTTTTACGAAATTTGGAGCGATGTCGACACCTCTCATTTTGGCACCTAGCCGGGCGATAACTCGGGTGTTGTGACCCTCGCCACAACCTACATCTATTCCATTCAATCCAGAGACATCAGGAAGAATCGACAAGAAAGCAGGTGTATTAATCTCATCTCTGCATACATCGTATCCTTTTCTTGTGTACTCTGTCCATTTTTCAGAGTTTTTCTCCCAATATTGACCTATTTTTTAGTAAAGTATCATAAATTAAATCCATTAATATATATGAACAACAAAATAAACTCATAATTATTAATCTCAATTTATTATCTTTTTTTTCTTTATTAGTTTTAAATAAATAAAGTTATAGGATAGATATATTGTAATGTGTTTAAAAATAAACACTCACCTGCTTCTATACTATCCATAATTTAAACTTTTTTTAAGAAAAATAAAAATGATAAACATTGCAATGTTTCAACTTGATAAGTTGTCAGTTGAATTAGAACAAAAATTTCCAAGAAATCAATTTTGATCAAGACTTGTAACCCAAAAATATATAGTTTCGAGTTAAATTTTTTAATTCCAATATATTAAAAATAAAAGTTTATTTTAAAATCTCTTTTACTTTATATTAAATAGGAATTTCAAAAAATTTCCCGAAAATAAAACGTGTTTTTAAATATTCATTTGTATCATTTTTATTCCAAATAAAACGAGAAAAGAACATTTTTAATCTTCATCAATTGGCTTCTGTGGCTCAGTAGGCAGAGCATTCGGCTGTTAACCGAATGGTCGTTGGTTCGATCCCAACCAGGAGCGAAAATTTTACTAAAAACTTGAAACCACATTGCGCGCATGATGTTCAGTGAGATTTAGCGCTGGTCATGTCTGTGAGTTCTGTGGTGACACCTTCACTGAACTCTGCAACCCACATGAGCATTTCTTCTTCAAAATGCAGGATTGTAGTTTCACAGCAGTTCCTTTCCTTTATCAAACATATATACCACAAGTACGGTAACAAAAGACTTCGGAATTGGAAGCACTCGTGCATCAAGTTCGACGGTCCTATTCGTACTACTGTCCACTTCACCTACCTTACTGCTGCAATCGTACATTCGTTAATGGCAGGCGCTGTCCTGTAAAATGTTTGGTGATGGTACCCATTACAAGCTGGAAAATACAGTCAAGAGAGAGGTCACCCATTACACCAAATTAATGGATGCCAATTACCACAAGCTTTACTTCACAATAGCTAATTCTATCTCCCAAGGAGTCACTGTCGATTGCTCTGCAATAACGCGTAAATTTAAATCTGATTGGAATCTAAATCCTACCAACTACGTACCACCACTTTATACTGTTGTTCATCAACTACTGTTAGATCTATTCTATCCTAACACTACTCTCAACTTATAAATTAATAATAACTATACAATAATCATAATAATATTATTGGCTATTTCTCACGGTCTGTGTGAGAGTGTATATATTATATAAAACACGAACTCGCAGGTAAATATCAATACCTGCAATTTGTTGACTGACCATGAGTCAACAAATCTTTTTTTTTATTATAATAATTTTCATCAAACTTTCTAATTTTTAGTGTTAGATAAGACCTATATCTATAGATGATATTGGTGATATATTAGAGAGTGTTTGGAACGGTCAATTTGATTTTAGATTGTTTTTCAAATTCAAGTGTTTTGAGTGTTGATGGTATCAAAGTAATATATCTCTATATTGATATCGATGATCGGTAATATCATCTCCACCAAAGTCAATATTATTCTCATTTGAACCAGAGGATTTCATGTATATATAAGTTGATTGATTTGACCCAAGATTGTATAGTTTTCTTTGATTGTTTGTCATCTACAGATACTTATAAAATATCGATCTTAATGTTTGATGGAATTAGAAGAAAAATATCATTTCTATATAAGAATACTTCAAAGTGATTTTTTAAAGTTTCTGGGAATAATGCATCTATCTTAAATTGACAAAATTGAAGATGGATTTTTTCAATGAAATTGGCATTGTACCTTTCAATACACTATCTTTTACTTATAGTGATTGCAAAGTTGGTGGGAGGTAATTGAGATACCCTCTCGATTGTATTCCGGAAGAAAAATGAAAAGTGATTGTAAAATATAATCAATTTTTTATTAAGTTTTTGTTGCTCTTAAATAATCTTGTTAATTTGTCGGTTGGCCGTAGTCTGTTGATTGACATCTTGGAAGTACACTGGAGGTAACCCAGTTAGAATCTCTTGTTTGAGAGGACATTCAAAATCTAAAACCTTTAATGAACTTGGAAGTGATTCTTTCACGAGTGGCTCATTGAAATCATATTGAAACATGAGTGAATTGATTGACTTTGGGATTTCAACGTGTTGCATCCTTTCAACACAGTTACTGATTGTGATTCTAATATTAATTTATAGAGATACTCTTGATCATCTTTTAAAGCAGATCTGGTAATATAGATATTTGAAACATTGCTAGCAATACTTTTGATGTTTCTTCCAACATCTAGATTATTTTAAAAAAATCGGTCTCAAAAAATGCAATATGATTTATATTTATAAATGGAAATAGTTACCAAAATGATAATCGAATTTATTCAATTGTGCTTTACCAATAACCATTGTACAATTATTCTTTGATTCAAATGATTTCATTAATTGTAATTTGAAATGTTTATAATTTTGATATTCGTGGAATCTAGATCTTTCACTCCCCTAAACACTTATAAACAATTTTAATGAATTCTATCTTTACTTTGAATTGATCCAATCTGTTGAAACCTCATTAAAAAATAATTAGTTTTAAAAAAATCTTTATTTCTTTATATATTAATTTTTCAATCAATATCATTTATAAAACTATCACCAAGCCAAGTTATTGAAAATATTCGATGTTTGGAAGATTTGAATTAATGACTCTCAAAAAGATCACTGTACTGTAGATTAATAATCACAAAAACAATTAAAATTTTAAATTTTCATCATAGATGGAAATCAATTTTTTGATCATTTTAGTTTTTACACTTTGGAAATGAAGTGTTTACTGTCTGATTGACCTGGAACGATAGTAGAGGAGATCGGTATCTTGGATGCGATCAGGGTTGCTTGGAATACATCCGACGGGAGTGAGTCTGGGCGTAGTAGTAGGAACAACATCAGGAAACAAAGTAGAGGTTGATGGGATTGAATCATTATCATTATTGCTCTCGAGATCATTCATAAGATCATTCGTTGTGGTTGTTGTATCAGTAGGTGCTACTACATTACTGGTTGTTGTGGTTGTTGTCGTTGTTGATTGATCAGTTGGATCTGACATTTCTTATTCAAGTAATAATTAATAATAATATAAAATAATGTTTTTAATAATGTCTTTATGGATACCGAGCTTTAAACGTTAATTCTTATTTTATCTTTTGTTTATTTATTAATCTTTGTTCTCTTAATCCAATTAATTCTTGTAATAGATTGAATGAATTGAATAAAACTGAATGAATCTTTAACGTCGCGTTAAACTCAATATATTCATTATTGAGAAGCTTGACGGCTGAGTGCTGAATACTTAATTCAGAAACAACAGATTCTAATTTAATTATTATTTCGATCTGTTGTTTTGAACTATTACTTATTTAGTTGGTTTAATTAATTTAATTAATTATAATTGACTATTACTATATGTTGGCTGGTGTATATTATTGATGTTGATTGATGGGTGCCGGCATTGCCTTGGTGGCTACCTTATTGCCCTTAGACGGACAACATGAAGTAAATCTATCACATTTAATATTAAATAAAAAAGTTAGCAATTTAAAAGATGAGATTGATATCATTTGTTTCAGTTTAGTTTGTAAGAGATGGTAAAAATATATAGATAAATATTTAATTTTCAACACTAAGAGTATCAACCTATTTGCAATAAATATAGAGTTAGCTATTTGGTTTCGTGCACATCTATTAATTTTAGATGGTACCAATAGTACTTCATTGCATTCTTCACCTAGCTTAATAAAAACTCTTTATTCTCTTCAATACTAATAATTGGTTTAGATGTTTTCTCGATTGCTTTTGTTGAATTCCTCTGATTTCTTACAATCATCATCATCACCATCAGTATCGCCACTACCATGTATTTTAATTTACAATTAGATTATTTGTTGTTATTCCAACTGAACACTAAAACCAATATCATTATTACCATTGATAGTATCACCACAACTATCTTAGCTACTATCTGCTACTCTTACAACAAGAATCTTTATTATTTAAAGTTTGTTTTATACAATGAAAATTTTTAATTAATAAATCACATTCAACTAATTTGTAGTTGTATCAACTTTATAGATTATAGATATTCATTGATTAAATATCTAAGATTTATAAATAAAAAGAGAAGTCTATAGGTTTTAAATTGTAATCTTATTTTTTATTATGTTGAGTCAAAATTATTGACAGATATGTTATTTCATTTAATAGGTTAGGTTTTGTTTGCACAGTTTTTTTGAATTCTTGCATTATTTTGCAAAACACAAAATCTATGCAAAATTTTTTTCATTTTTTTGGGAAGGGATAAAATGTAATTACACAGATTCTAGATGAATAAAGAGGTATCTGAATCTGGTTCCACTCCGATCAATAGTTAAAGTAAAAATCTTCTTTGGAAACTCAATATTCGATAATAAACTCAATGATTTCTGTAGTTGTGATGTCAGCTCTAGATAGTGAAGGCAAAACTGTACTTTTTAAAATTCTATTCCTATCCGCATGCGGAACAAGAATTCTGTAGATATTTAAAATGCGTTGTCCGGGAATCGAACCCGGGTCTCCTGCTTGGTAGGCAAGAATTCTGCCACTAGACCAACAACGCTTTTTAATGAAATTTTTATTCTTTTATTCAATTTTAAAATTTTTTACTTTTTTTTTTTTTAAAAAAAAAAATCTTTTCCAATAATTGGAAAAAAATAATCATGATTAAATAGTCTTGTTTAACTTGAATTCATTACTCGATCAATCATTTATTCCTTTTTCCTGTACTTTTTTTCATTTAAATGATCTCATATTAAATTTCATTATTGATTAAATTTTCACCCACAATGCTCAAGTTCACACACCATAAATTGATCAAAAATTCTTTTGTTAACAGATTATTGTATTCACCATCACATAAATATATTAATAGCAATCTTCATTATTCTCTGTCTTCATTCCAACAACCAAAACAAAACACTAAAAGTTGTAATTTTACCATTCAAAGATATAATTATTCTTCACAAACCGTTCAATCTCTGTCCACTAGCATATTGAATCAACAACAGAACAACAATCAACAACAAACAATGACAGCTGCATTAAATATCGATCAAGCTTTGCTCAAAGAGTATCTCGTACCACCCGAAGTACCAATTTACAAGTTGGACGTCAAAGAGTCATTCAAGAATCTCACACCCAAAGAGAAACTCTACTCGCATCACTACTCACAGGCTGCATGGTGGGGTAGTCTCATCTGTCTCGGTCAGACATCGGTCGAATCACAACACATCTTTGACCTCTTCCAACGTATGTACTCACTCAAGAACAACGACGCTCTCAAAGCAACCGTTATTCCATCGATTGTCACCGAGCAAGAATACAGCGACATCCTCCAATATGCCGCTCAATTCTATGGTAACATGGGTAACTATCTTTCATTCGGTGATACTAAATTTATTGTAAGTTAATATTATTGACTTGAACAATGAACTAAAATATATCAACTAACATTGTTATTATTGTTGGTAGCCAAGAACACCAAAGGAAAAATTTGCTGCTGTCGTAGCAAGTTATAATGATGCTCAGTTGAATCAATTGTGGTCACAATGTGGTGATTTAATCTATTCACTCGGCCAAAGAGAAAGAGAGTTGGGTTTGGAAGAGAATGGACTTTCCACTTACTACTCACCGGACATCAAGAGATCCGAGATTGAGTTGGTTCAAAAGTTTATGGATAGCCAAAAGATCTCTCCATACAATACTCGTCTCTTTAAAAAGACAGTCGACGGTAAGCTCATCTACCAGTTGTTGACTGCCTCTGCCCAAGTTACAAAGCAGCCAGAGAACTTTGAATTCGAAGGAATCACCATTCAGATTACCTATGGTGACTGGTCACAATACATGGAAAAGGTAGTGTTCCACTTGGAACAAGCTACACAATACTGCGCCAACGACAACCAGTTGAATATGACACGCAAGTACATCGATAGTTTCAAGCACGGTTCGATCGACGACCACAAGGATTCACAGCGTTGGTGGATCAAGGACATTTCGCCAGTCGTCGAAACCAACATTGGTTTCATCGAGAGCTATCGTGATCCATTTGGAGTGCGTGGTGAATTCGAGGGATTCGTATCGATCGTCAACAAGGAGATGAGCAAGAAACTCGGTGACATGATCAACGAAGCAACCAAATTCATTCCACTCTTGCCATGGCCACGTGAGTTTGAAAAGGATGTCTTTAAGAAGCCGGATTTCACCTCGTTGGAAGTCCTCACTTTTGCATCGTCCGGTGTTCCAGCCGGTATCAACATTCCCAACTACGACGACATTCGTCAGAGTGAGGGATTCAAGAATGTGTCACTCGGTAACGTGATTGCCGCGCGTAAGGAAGAGCGTGTCACTTTTATCCGTGACGAAGATCAATCGCTTTTCAACAAGTTGATGACAGAGGCATTCGAAGTGCAAGTAGCCATTCACGAGTCATTCGGTCACGGTGCCGGAAAGCTGTTCACCAAGGACAAAGACGGTACTCTCAACTTTGACCCGGCCACCAAGAATCCACTCACCGGACAACCAATCGATACCGACAAAGAAGTTTACCACGCCGGTGCCACCTACGACTCTGTTTTCAAATCACTCGGATCCGCCATGGAAGAGTGCAGAGCCGAGTGTGCCGGTGTCTATCTCTGTGTCAACCAAGAGATTCTCGCACTCTTCGGTCACAAAGGTCAGAACGCCTTGGACATCTTCTTTGTCAATTGGCTCATTATGGCAAGAGCCGGTATCTGTGCATTGGAATTCTACTCGCCCGCTTCAAAGTCGTGGAAACAAGCACACATGCAAGGTAGATACGCCATTCTCCAGGTTCTCTTGAGAGCCGGCCAAGGTTTGGTCAAGTTGGACATCACCAACGACAACGTTCTCATCAGTCTCGATCGTACCAAGATCGAATCGGTCGGTATCCCCGCAATCGGTGAGTTCCTCAAGCGTATCATGGTTCTCAAGGCAACCGCCAACGTCGTCGAAGCAAACAAATTGTTCGACGACTACACCGCTGTGCCAGAGGATTTCCTCAAGCTGAGAGAGATCGTGCTCCAACAAAAGAAACCAAGAAAGGTATTCGTTCAAGCACACACCTACATTGCCAACGGTGAAGTAGTCCTCCAAGAATTCAACGACAATGCAGTCGGTGTCATCGAATCGATGGTTACTCGTTTTCCAGTTGGTAACTAAACTAACTAACTAACCAACTTACCAACTAGAAGACAAGATAACAAAATTACAGAATAAAGTCAAATTTATTGTTTATATTATAATCATTAAAAAACTAATAACTATTCCATTAAATATACTAAACAATAAATATTTATTCTTATGTTGTATTTATAATGGTTGTTGAATTACTATTATTGCTATCAGGGTTACTATCATCAGTATCGGTTGATTTAGCAACAACATTTCTATTGGCCATCATCGAAAGATAACAATTCCAATAGATACTAACTATATTTGATATTAAAAGTCTATAATCTATAGGTACAAATTTGAACAATACAAAGTTTACTGCTGGCCATATTGTCCTGTTTTAATTTTAAAAAAAAAAGAACAAAAAGTTAGTTTGTTGTTGTAAAAAGTTATATGTAAAGTGATCAATATTCTATTCTTACCATGCTTGTTTTAATGATGGGAAAAGATCATTTTCTATCTTGAGTTGGAAAGCGTCAAAGTCGAAACGACCACGATTCTTAAATAGATTGACAGCTGCAAAATTACAACTGATTATATAGGGACAAAATAAAAGTTGATCGGCAACCAATTTCGATACGGTCATAGGTATAGATGTTCCAACGAATGTCCTATCAAGTATTTTGAACCAACTATCGATAATTATACATGATTAGAAATGAATTCAATAATGTTCAAACCTATCGATCGATGATGAGATAATATTAACAACATACTAATGAATTTGAGGTGATATAACACACATTCCAATGGTTGACATCATAAAGGTTCTTTCAAGATTATGTTTTGGTTTATTTTCAATCTTTTGTGCTACCGTATCACCTACACCAAAGATAACTTTAAGTTGATTCAAATTTCAAATTAATATTAATATAACTACTAAATCTAATCTTTTTGCTAGCAAACTAAACATAAATTACCTCCGCTTGTTAGACATTTAGTTCGAAGTGGTGCATTTGTCAAACATCTCTTATACCATTGCCAGCTTAAATTAAAAAAAGATGTAGATGTGGATGTCATAAATAGTTATTGTCTTATAATGTTGATATATGATATCTACTATATTAATGATTTGTATGCTTTAAATGATTTACATTTCGTTTTTTTTTTTTTTTTTTTAACTAGTTTTTGATTATTTTATTTTTTTATAAACACTTTTGCAATCTCCGATGGATTCATTCGTTTTTCCCATTAATTTACATCCTTGAAAAAGATGTTGAAAATCCGATAATATTCATCAGTAATCTAAATATATTCTCTAAAATATTGATAAATCTAATTATTACAAATGTATTTTTATCTATTTTTTTCTAATTTCATAATTTTTTTAAAGTTAGTTTGAATTAATTACATTATAAAACATAATACTTATAATATATGTACCTTTAAAATTCTTCTTTTACTATAATATTTACTATATTCTTTTATCAAATTATTAATAAATTCATAGATTGAATGTGTTGATAGTGAATCTAATATGATTGGTTGTTGTTGTTGTTTATTTGGTATTGGTAACACTATTGATTCTATTAGATTTGTTAATTCAAGTATATACTCCATCAATATCTTCCATTCACACTATATAGTAAAATAGATATCTATGTTAATATGTTTATATATATGTTTACTATAAATATATCATTATACAAACTTTATCATTTAAATAGTTATAATCATTATATTCAGGTATGATAGCTTCGAATTCATCTTTAGATACTATCTCATTGAAATCTTTGATAATAGATTTGATTCTACAATAATTATAAAAGATAGAAGATGACTTATTACTTTGAATTGTCATAATATCATTATAATCCAATGTAAACTATAGGTTGAATAGAATACAAAAATGTTTAGCAATAACAATATCATTTATAAATAGATTAATAGATTCATACGTTTGCCTTGTAATTTCTAAAAAGAATAGGTGACTTAATATTTGAAATCGATAGATGATGTATAATTTCCTCTCTATGTTTTGACTCTATCTCCTCAGGTAGCAATTCCATTAATTCATTGGATAGATGATCAAACATCGATTGAAAGTCACCAACCATATTCTTTGAAATGATTTCACCTACTGGTACAACAAACTAAATATATATATTATAATATAATAATTTAGTAAAGAATTAATACGATTTCACAAAATGACAAAATTATTATTATCAATAATAACATACCATATTATCGCTAATATTAAATCCAAGTAATTCCAATGTAATCAAATTCTTTTTCATTCTAAACAATTGGTTGTTCATTGTTATGTGTATATGAACTATATTTGATTCTTCTTCATCTTCCACCAATTCATTGACCTTGTCGTTTGGTTGATAGAGCTCATTGTTGCATGATTTCAACAGAAATAGCAATTCTTTGAAATAGGAAGAATACTCTCCACTCTCCAATCTAAGTGGAAGGTATCCAATCTCTGATGATATATTATATCTCTATTTAATATGAAAGAGCAATAATAATAATATTATTATTAGAATATCATTCTATTTCTATTTATGAATAATAAATAATTTATACATACAACTTTTAACTCTTCATTTAAATCATAGAGTTTTGAATCAATTACTACTGGATTATTATTATTATTACTGTCACTACTATTGTTATTATTATTATTATTATTATTATTATTTATAAATTGATGTGCAGATCTTGATAATAAATTAAAATAATGTTCGATTGAATCAAAATTGGATGAATCTGATTCGAATATAAACTCTATATTATTATTATCTATTCCAAATTTTGAAAGATAATCTTTAATTGAATCTAAAAGAATTGATTTTATATTATTGTATATGATTGTATCTATTTGTTGATCTTTATCATCATCATCATCATTATCTATATCTTTATTTTTAATAAATGGTAATATCGATTGATAATCTAAAGATGTCAACTTCCCAGATTTATAGCCACTATTTATTAATTTAACAAGCTTTATAAATTGAGGAGTATCATCCAATAGATATATTATTTGTTGTACTTTATGATTCTTTATCTAAAATATGATATAAACCTTTTAGTATCAGTTTGTTCTTGTTTTTAGTTTGTTTTGTTGATCTGTTTTACCTTACAAATATTCTTAAGTATATCACCTGTAAATAATAATCTTAAACATTGTATATCATTAATAATAGATAATATATCTATTCTATATTCTAAACTATATGTATATAATTTGCTATTATTATTATCATAATTGTCATTGTTACTGTTATCAATGATGTTATTGTTATTATTATTATTATTATTATTACTATTGGTGTTGTTATATGTTGTTGATAGAAAATTAAAGAATTGATAATAGATTGTTGTTTTATTCAAATGAATATTTAGGAATGTATTCTTAAATGATATGTTATCTATATAATGTTGTTGTTGTTGTTGTTGTTGTTGTTGTTGTTGTTGTTGTTGTTGTTGTTGTTGTTGTTGTTGTTGAGTATCTCTATGTTTCAAAGAGTGAATAAACGATTGTCTAAGTAATTCTATGATGTTGTTCAACGATGGATTGTTGAAGTCATAGAGATTGTAAACCGTTTTTAAATCTAAACAATAATCTGTAAACTCTAATAAATAATTATCACACTACAACAATAACAACCTCATTAGTATTATTATTATTATTATTATTAATAGTTTTTGAGAATATAATATAAAATAAATAAATATAAATAAAGGTACCTTCTTAATAGGTTGTTCCAAAAGTAGATTGCAAGTATTACATATCGAACGATTACTCTCACCATTATTATGATTCAAAGACAAACAAGCGTACACTAACAATTGTTTCAATTCATTTTTTATATTTAAATAAAGAGATGAACTTGTTCTCACTAATTGATCATATGTTATATCTGTATTCATTGATATCAAAAATGTAAAATCACACATTTTTTTGTAATTTATTTTATTTTTTTGGTAGAATTTAATCAGTGTGCGAATGCATAAAGTGTGTGCAAAAAAATAAATAATAATTGAAAAGGTCATCATATTTATTATAACTTAATTTAAAAAGAAGAATTTGATATACCACAATATATAATAAATTAAGGTGTTTTTTTTATTTAAGCTACTTCTTTTTTATAATTGGTTAATATGTCGATCTACAATTTTAAAAAAGAGCAAAAATAATTTTCATTTGCCAAAATAAAATAAAACAAATCTGCTAACAAAGATTTTTTTTCGCACACTTAATAAATTGCAATTTAAAATGAGCCGAAAACTGAGGACCATAAATGTGAGTGGTAATGGGTGCTTCTGACTAAACCTATCATGACTGTATAGGAAGAGATATCAACTACTAGTAATATTATCAATATTATCAATATATTTATTTTTTTACTATTTATATCTTCGTACTTGCAAGTTAATTTACAAATAGTAGTAGTAACCAACTAAATCTACAAGATATAAATATATATATATTTAATTAAATTTTAGTTTAAGATATCTTTTTTTTTTTCAAAATAGTAGGTAGGTATCAACGTCGAATCAATAATTAACAACTATGAAAAAGAACAACAAAACAACAACAACAACAATAACAAAAACATTAACAAAAATAACAATAATCTTATCATACCACACCACTCTCACCACTAGAGCATCTCATTAATGAATGAGTCTATAGAATTCGAATTATTGAATATCATATTCATCTTGACTTTTAATAAGTTTAGACTTTTATTTATTGAATTTAACTTCTATAACTTGTAGAATAACTGTTCGTAATATCAAATAATTTGATTCTATTTATTTATTTAAAAACTATTACTTTTCTACTTTCATGTTGCTCTCTATAATAATTGCAATTATATATAATTCAATTATCAATAATTTAATTCTTGAATAACATGTTTTAAAAACATTAAAAAGAAAGAAAGATAGATAGAAAGAAGAAGTAGAAACTATTATTAGTAATACATAATTCTATGATCTCATTATTAGTTAATTAGAAAGTAAAAACAATCTATTTGTTTGATTTGAAAATAGTAGGTAGATACACATTTAATTTTCAATTACCAATACCACTTATTTGTTTTTTTTTTTCTTTTTTTACTCGCTATTATTATTTTGTTTTTTAAATTATTTTAACTAATATTCATTGTTTTTGTTGTGGTGGTGAAGACATTTCATTAAATTCAAAATTTGACAAGTCTAGTCTTGATTGTCATTCAATTCAATAACCTTCATCATGATTGTTCATTTACTATTCTTGTTATTTTACACATTTGAAATTATAATCACTTTTTTTTTTAATTAATTTAAACAATATGATTTTATCCACGCTCACAACAATGACATTAGCTTAAGATCGAATTTAGAAAATCCTCCTGTAATGACATACCACTTTCCACACCATCCAAACAGACAACACACCACACAACACCATAATTATGCATTTTCATTCTTTTGGTCACTGCATGTCAGACGAAATATTAAAAAATAGGGAGAATGAAATAACACGACAACACACAAAAAATTGTTATTTATAAATAAATATATGTGTATGTGTGTGGGTATGGTGTGGTAGATAGATATTTTGTGGTATATGAAAATTAACAAGATAATACCATATCAATATGGTAAAAACAACAATCAAATCCACTTACTTGTTCCTTAATATTTAAATCATTGATTATTTCTGTATTTGGTAATTTTTTAATTCACTCTTTTAATTTTTTATCAATGATTAATATCGCTCATCTCCTCACTCACTCGCTCACTCACTTATGTTCATTGCTAGTTCGTCAGTGAAAAAATATAAAAAAAAGAGTGATCAATAAATTGCTGTGAAGATAGATGATATGATCTCATCAAACAATGAAAATCTATCAATTATTTTCATTTTAACATTAAATAAATCAATTAATCAAAATCAAATCAAATTGATCAGATTCGAATAGTCACTCTATTATTGTAGTTTGTCGTATTTTCAAGTTTTAAAGATTTCCAAAAACCTCTGGAACTTTATTTCCAATATTTATAAAAAAAATAATATAATAATAGCCAACAATATAATAATAATATTAACCATTAATAACAAATATTAAATAAATATTTAATAAATATTCTAATAATTAGATATAAGCTAATAAAAATTAAAATATAGATAGATAGTTATAAATTTATTTATATTTAGAAAAATATAAAAAAAGAAAATAATAAAATGGAACCAATTACAGATGAAAATATCGTTTTGGTAACTGGTGGAGCTGGATATATCGGAAGTCATACCGTTGTCGAGATGGTAGAAGCTGGATTCACACCGTTGATCATTGATAATCTGTCGAATTCCTCAGTGGAAGCGGTTCGTCGTGTTGAGGAAATCACTGGTAAGAAAATTGAATTTCACGAGATGGACATCTTGGACGAGCCAGCCATGGATCGATTGTTCTCCACCAGAAGTATTAAGCGTGTCATTCATTTTGCCGGTTTGAAAGCCGTCGGTGAATCAACGTCGGTCCCTCTGAAATACTATGACAACAACATCACTGGAACTGTCAACCTGCTCAAAGTGATGGCACGTCACCACTGTAAGCAAATTGTGTTCTCATCGAGCGCCACCGTCTACGGTGATGCCGTCGCGCCAATCCGCGAGGACAGTCCACTTGGCGCCACCAACCCATACGGACGTACTAAACTCTATATCGAAGGAATCCTCGAGGATTTGTGCTCGAGTGACCCCGAGTGGAATTGCGTGTTGCTGCGTTACTTCAATCCGGTTGGCGCACATCCCTCCGGAATGATTGGCGAGGATCCGCGCGACATTCCCAACAACCTGATGCCATACATCACCCAGACTGCCATTGGCAAGCGTGCACAACTCTCGGTGTTTGGCAACGACTACAACACACCCGACGGAACAGGTGTGCGTGACTACATTCACGTGGTCGACCTGGCCAAAGGACACATCTCGGCACTGCGATACCTCACCGAGAACAACAGACTTGGATGCGTTGCATTCAATCTTGGAACTGGTCGTGGTTACTCAGTGTTGGAGATGATTGCTGCCGTCGAGAAGGCATCGGGTGTCAAAGTGAACTACAAGATTGTCGAGCGTAGAAAAGGTGACGTCGCCACATCCTTTGCCGATCCAGCCAAAGCACTCAGCATTCTTGGTTGGAAAGCAAACTACAACCAAGAGGATATGTGTGAGCATGCTTGGCGATGGCAATCAAAGAATCCCAACGGATACCTACCAGTTACAGAATCAGAAGTTATTCGTACCGATATTCCAATGACACATGCTTAAAAAAATTCAATAACAACAGCTTTAAAAACATCATTCATCATCATCATCACCCACCATCATCACCATCATTATTCATATGTTTATAACATTAATTACTAACTAACTAGTCAAAATGCATTACTTTTATTAAAAAAAAAAATGTAGCATCAAATAAAAAAAATAAAAATAATATAATAACAATAAAAACTATTTTCATAAAAACTAACTATTATAATAATAATAATTAGATAATTAGAGACAAAAACAAACAAATACTTATAAATATAAGATTTGTTAAAAACTTTTAGCTAAAACAATGAGAATCGAAAGAACTTCGTTTTTTTTTAAAAAAGAAAAAAAAAAAAAAAATTTTGACGACTATGATTGTATTATTAATAATTTTTTCTCTATCTTAATAATATCTTTATTTATTTTATAGTTTTATCAATTGTTTTTAATATATATACTCTTGTATAACTTTATAATATAGATCGAAAATGAGTATTGTACAAAAGATTAAGGAAATTGAGGACGAGGTAATCATCAAACACCAAAAATCAATCACAATATCATTATTGATATTGTCATTGTCATTGCGATTAGTCTTTTGATGGAAATAGAGAGTAAAACAGCACAATACAATACATTCAATACAATTAAAGAGAAATAGACAGAATAAACAGCATTTTATTTTATAACGACGGATATTGTCTAAAAAATGGTTTTTTGGTCTTATTTCTTTGGTTCCAAATAACCATGATGATTCATATGGATAGGTTTAAAAGAATGGAATAGATATCATAGTTATGAAAGAAAATGGCAATGATAATGACAATAATAATGACAACAGTGTATACATCATATATATATTTTAGTAAGTAAAAACTAACTAAACTAAATTTTAAATATAACATATTAGATGGCTCGTACCCAAAAGAATAAGGCTACATCTTTTCATTTGGGTGTCTTGAAGGCAAAGTTGGCTAAATATAAACGTGAGTTATTGTTGGGACCATCAAAGGGAGCTGCTGCCGGTGCAGGTGAAGGTTTCGATGTATCGAAAGCTGGTGATGCTCGTGTCGGTTTGATTGGTTTCCCGTCGGTCGGTAAGTCAACACTCTTGACCAAACTCACAGGAACCCGTTCAGAGGTTGCATCGTACGAGTTCACTACGCTCACTTGTATTCCCGGTGTCATCCAGTACAACGGTGCCAAGATCCAGTTGCTCGATCTCCCGGGTATCATCGAAGGTGCCAAAGACGGAAAGGGTCGTGGTCGTCAGGTTATCGCCGTCGGTCGTACCTGCAACTTGATCTTGATCGTGCTCGACGCCATGAAACCGTTGGTTCACAAGAAGATTATCGAGCGTGAGCTCGAGGGATTCGGTATCCGTTTGAATCGTCAGCCACCCAATCTCACATTCCGTCGTAAGGAGAAGGGTGGAATCAACTTTACATCCACTGTCACCACAACCAATCTCGATCTCGATCTGGTCAAGGCTATCTGCGCAGAGTACAAGATTCACAACGCCGATATCACACTGCGTTACGACGCAACCGCCGACGATCTCATCGACGTCATCGAAGGAAACAGAGTCTACGTACCATGTCTATATGTTCTCAACAAGATCGACGGTATCTCCATTGAGGAACTCGATTTGCTCGATCGTATTCCTCATTACGTACCAATCTCATCCCATTTAGAGTGGAATCTCGATAGCTTATTAGAAAAGATTTGGGAATATTTGAATTTAATTAGAATGTAAGTTTATTGTTAAACAATCAATGATTATTTTTTGATTATAGCAGCAAGCAATAGATAATTAATAATAATTTCTTTTCTTTCTTTTAATATCTATATAGTTACACTAAACCAAAGGGACAAATTCCAGATTATAATGCACCAGTTGTAATCAGAGGAGGTGATTCATCAACAGTCGAAAACTTCTGTAATCTTATTCACAGAACTATCATGAAACAATTTAAATAGTATGTTTTGCTTTTATAGCAATGATCATCTTTTTTGAAAGTAAAGTTATTCAATTACTAATTCAATTATTTTACTTTTTTAGTGCTATGGTTTGGGGATCATCTGTAAAGCATAATCCACAAAGAGTCGGTAAAGATCATACACTTGCTGATGAAGATATCGTACAAGTTGTTAAGAAATAAAAAAAAACACTAAAAATAAAACTAAAAAATAAATTAAACAATAGAAATTAATTCCAAAAATAGTAGTAGTAGTAGTACAATCATTTATAACTTCAAACAAATATTTCATCAACCAATTAAGACACAAATAACAACAATCTAGTCTCAATGTTTTTTTTTGCATTCATTTTATTTTCATTTTAATTTTTTTTTTTTTTTTGATAAAAAAAACGAACGACTTTTTATTATTTTCAAAAATCTTTTAAATTAATATTATTTCTATTATTAATATTTATTTATTATTATTATTATAAATCAATTATTAAGATATATATTTAAATAGTATTAGTAGATAAATGGTTAAAGCATATCTTAAATTCGTACAACAAGATGTATTTGGTGTGATTGCTAGTACAACTTCGTTGTTTGATAAGAATACCAAACATTGTATTACAGGTTCAGGTGAACGTATTTCAATTTGGAATCTAAAGAAACAGACTTTGGAACGTTCATTGTTTGAAGAGGATACCAATTCAGAGATTGCTACACTCGCGTTGAGTAATGACGGTGAGTTGTTGGCTGCCGGACACAATGACGGATCGATTCGTTTGTGGTCGATGCGTGAATACCAATTGGTAGCGGTGTTCAACGGTCATCGTGGATCGGTATGTGCACTACACTTTAACCAACTGGGATCACAGCTCGTCTCTGGCTCAAAAGACACTGAGATCATCGTGTGGGATATCATCACCGAGACCGGTCTCTACCGTTTGCGCGGACATCGTGATATGGTGACAGCGGTCCGACTTCTCGAGAAGACAAACCGTTTGGTTTCATCGTCGAAAGACGGTCTTATCAAGATTTGGGAGTTGGAAACACAGCATTGCATTCAAACTATCGTTGGTCATCGTAATCCGGTGTGGGCAATCGATGTCAACGCCGACGAGTCGAGACTTGTCTCTGTTACAAACGATAGTTTCATTCGTTGTTGGCGTCTCGATGCCGGCGATAGCAAGTCGAACAACAACCGTAAATATATAGTGAATAATCCAATCAATACAATGTCGATAGATCCAAGTGCGGAGCAAACCAAAGAACAACAACAACTCTCACAATACCCAGTTGTCAAAGTCAAGAAGGAAGAGAACAGTGGAAGCAACGACGATGACAATCAAGACGTCACAACAGAACAAGAGTTTGCAATCTACTATGGATCTGTTCCATGTAAAGGTGAATCATACAACGGTATTAAATTCGATCCAACCAATCGTGTCCTCATTGCACAATCCCAAGGTAAATTCATTGATCTCTTCCAAGTTTCACATGGTAAAGAATTGGATCAAAAATTAAAAAAAGAAAATAGAAATGGTAAGTAAAATTATAAACTATATCTATTCTATTATTCAAAAGTATTAATTATTTGCTATTGTTATGTCATAGAATTAAATGTAATAGATGAATTTAGACATACAGAAACAATAAAGACACCATCAAAAGTTAGAGGATTCAATTTTGGTAATCAAAATCATTGGAACAAGTTTGTCATTTCGATGATGGGTAATCAGGTTCAGGCATATGAGATCAAACAGGAAGGAACAGAGGTTTTCTCAACTCTTGAGAATGGAGGTCATCGTGCTGATGTCCGTTCGCTTACTCTCAGTAGTAATGACGCTATCTTGGCATCGACATCGTCGGATTCCGTCAAGATTTGGAATGTAAAGACACTCAATTGTATTCGTACATTCCAGTGTGACTATGGTCTTTGCTCGGTTTTCGTACCTGGCAATCTGCATGTAATCGTTGGAACCAAGAGTGGAACACTCGAGGTGTTTGAGTTGGCATCGGCTGAGCATGTCGCCACTGTGCAGGCACACGAGGGTGCACTCTGGTCGATGGCGCTGACACCGGATGCGCGTGGAATCGCTACATGCGGTAGTGACAAACAAGTTAAATTCTGGAATTTCAAGCTGATTGCCAATCCCGACAATCAAAAGACAAAGAAGCTGACATTGGTACAAACTCAGATCTTACAGCTAGAGTCAGAAGCGATGTGCGTGCGTTTCTCTCAGGACAAACGATTCTTGGCCGTCTCACTATTAGATAACACCGTCAAGATTTTCTATGCCGACACACTTAAATTCCATCTTTCACTGTATGGACACAAACTGCCAGTTATGACCATGGATATTTCCGATGATTCCACACTGATTGTCACTGGATCCGCCGATAAGAACATAAAGATTTGGGGACTTGACTATGGTGATTGCCATAAATCTTTGTTTGCACACGACGACAGTATTATGCAAGTTGCATTCATTCCAAAGACTCATCACGTCATTTCCACCAGTAAGGACAAGCGTATCAAATATTGGGATGCCGACAAATTCGAACATATCCAAACTCTCCAGGTTCACCACGGTGAAGTTTGGTCGTTGGCAATGGGATCGGTCGGTACATTCTTCTTGACAGGTTCACACGATCGTTCCATTCGTACTTTCAAACAAACTTCAGAACCAGTCTTTGTAGATTCAGAGAAACAGCAAACACTTGAAAAAGAATGGGAAGCAACTTTAGAAGATGATAATAGAGTTAGAACAAAAGAAATGGTAAATATTATAAACATTGAAATATTTTAAATTTAAATATCGAAAAAACAAACTAACAATATTTAATTAAAGTTGGAAGAACATGCTTCAGCAAATAAAAAAACATTGGAAACTATTATTGCAGGTGAAGAAATATTGGATGCTGTTTTATTGGCAGAGAATGAAAGAATTAGATTGAAGGAATATCAAGAGACTGCTCAAACTGAAGATGAACCATACAATCCCAATATTTTGTTGTTTGGAATGTCACCTTCCGATTACCTGTGGAACAAGGTGTTCAAGGTGCGTGCCAGTGACTTGGAAGAGGCACTCGTTGTCTTGCCTTACTCCACTCTCAAACCACTGTTTACCTACTTCTCAGAGTGGCTCAACGCCGGTAAGAGCGTAGAGTTGATTTCGAAATGTTTGTTCTTCTTGGTGCAGACTCACCAGAATCAATTGTCCACTGAAATGGAAATGGTGCCATTGCTGCAGGCCATCAACGAACGTTTGAAACAGAGAGTACAAAAGGAGAAGGATGCCATTGGATTCAATCGATCGGCAATGACCTACCTGAGGAGAGAGGTTGAGCTCGAGAAGTCCTACGCCTTCTTTGAGGATGCTCCATCTGCAACTACCGCCTCTAAAACCTCATCTTCATCCACAGCTAAACAATCATCAAAAGAACCACAAAAGAAGAGTAAAATTCAAACCGAAACTTTATTGTTACCAACAAAATCAACAAAACCAATTAAAAATAGCAATAACAAACGTACAAGAAAATAAATTAATTATTAATAATATAGTATTCTTTTTTTTTTATGTGTTAATAGTTAAATTCGAATAATTTTTATTTATTTAAATATGATCTCCTTTTTGAAACTCCTTTTTTAATCAACTATTTATAGTTAAAATAAAATACTATATATAAAATAAAAAAAAATTTCAATTTGATAAACAATCACACAAAAAAAAAATGATTGATCATAAATCTTTCCTAAAAAAACAAAATAAGTTTATATATTTATTTGATTAATAATTTTTCAAAATCTAAGGTAGAACAAATTAATTTAATGAAAGTTTGATAAATAGATAAAAAGTTTTTTATTTTTAAATTTTTCTTCAAATTTTTATACCACATCGGTGGAACAGTATACTATATAGTCACAAAATTCCAAAACCCCCAAATAAATATCTACAAGTAATATTTGAATTAATTTTGTATTTACTTTTCAAAAAAAAAATTATTAAATGATTTTATCTGAAATGTGTAACTCTCTTATTACTATTTTATTAGCTTCAACTTCTTTTTACACTTATTCAAAAAAATAAATACTTGTAACTCTTATTTTATTAAAGAATGCAGTTATACGACTACTTTTAGCAATGAGAGCATCTTTTGTGTTGTTTTCTTATCAACCTAAAAATTGGTTAGGTTATTCCAAAGAAAATTAAATATCATTTTGAAAATATAAACACACTTTTTTTAAATTAGATGGAGGATCTTTTATAAAAAGTACCTATCCTCTACTTTCGAAATACTTACTAATCTTGTAAAAGGTAAAACCGTTTGAAACTCTTTTTTTTATTTCACTCCTCGAAAAATATTTATACTCCAGATAAAGAATTGACTCAAATTATTTCTATAACAACAAACAAAACTAAAAATAGAATTTTATAAAATGAATATAAACACTAAAATATTTATTACCTTTTCTTTGATATTCTTTATAGAAATTGTATCAATGGAACCTGCAATTTTTGTATTTCAAGATGAAAATAAACATGAATTTGCTTTTAAATTAGTAGATTATAAAGATATCCAACATGCCAGAAATCTTATAAATGGCGAAACAAAACGTCCTCATGTAACTGGTAACATTGTAATGGGTACCTCAATAATCAATCCAACATTAAGTTTCCACTTGAACCCAGAGTCAATTAAATTTGTTGACAATGTTAATAAAACTTGTGATGTTTCTATTCATAATCTTAAAGAGAATACAGAGAATAGTTGTGGAGATGTACTAGAAGGTATGTATAGATAATTAAATAAATATAAATCAAAAATTAAGAATACTAAATTATTTAATATAGATTGTTATTGGTGTAATGGAGCCAGCAAAGTAACAAAGGAAATTCAAATAATCAATTCAAGATTTTAAGTTTGATAAATATTAATATAATATCAATATAAAGGATATAAAATAAACAAATTCACATTCAAATTTAGTCTTTGAAAAAAAAATTGGTTTAGTTTCAATATATTTTTTTTTTTTTTTTTTTTGCAAAAAAAGATTTGTTGACCTATGATCAGTCAACAAATTGCAGGTATTGATATTAACCTGCTAGTTCGTTTTTTATGTTATATTTACATTCTCACACAGGCCGTGAGAAATATAGCCAGTTATATTATATATATTCTCACATAGATCGTGAGAAATAGCCAGTTATATTCTTTTATTTTTAGTTAGATCTATTCTGTAACGACAATACCACTTTTTCAAAATTCAAATTATTTTTCATTTTTAAAAACTCAACGACTATTCAAAAAAACGAACGATCAACTTTACCATTCAAGTTCTTACACTAACTCTGAATAGGTATGATCAATTTATATTTAATAAACATAAATTCAGTTCTTACACTAACTCTGAATAGTCTTTAAATTATTTGAGTTGATTATTAATAAATAAATAGACTGATCATCTACTAGTACTTCTGACATGCAGAGCGGATTCTAGCCAATTTAAGAAGTGTTCCCATGTATCAGTAATGTCACGCAATTCTTCAACTGATTTGAAACTTAGTCTGGAATGAACTGCTTCGATCTGGGAGATGGTGGAAATCGCTATTTCGACTCGTTCTGGTGAACAGTCGTGGTGGAGCTTAGCTCTAAAGGTCAAGTTATCTCTTGTTGTCTTGATTGACCTGTTATTAATATCGCTGATGGATAGTCTGAGTAACCTAAGTTCGGCATCGTTGTATTTTAACTGGGAGCTAGTTGAGGTACCTGTTGAATGTAATTGTGATAATCTCATTGTAGATGATTCGGTGGGTGGAGATTGTCGACTGTTGTTATTTTCATCATGGTGGTTTGATGAAGACTGACGATTGTTGTTGTTTTCATCGTCGTCGTGGTTTTGTGAACTGTCGCTCGTAAGAGAGTTGGAACGAGGTGTTGAGTGTTGAAGGAATGTTGATTGTTGTTTTACTTGGTCTTTTAAGCTGTTGATGAAACTTGCTTGAGTTTCAACGGTCGTATTCAGAACTCTGATAATGCTTTCTGCTGACTCGTATCTCATATTGATCAATTGATACTCGCTCTTAAGACGTTCGTATTCATTAAGTAGTTTCTCCGTGTCAGGCACTTGCTCGTATATTCTCTTTCTTGCCAAGTCAGCGAGAGCCTTGAGTGTCATACCGCTGACGTTCTTGAGCTTGGTATAATCTATTGACGTATCACCGTCGAGAATTCTTTCTAATGTAGTTTTATCTGACATTGTAAATGTTATTTTAAAGTATATAAAGATAATATATAAATATAATTAATTGATATCCTCCCCGGGGAGATTGAGGTATATCCTAAATAGATATTATATATATAAAGATAAAAAAAAGATTTAAAAAAGTTTAATAAATAGGTAGATGATCAGTCTATTTATTTATTAATAATCAACTCAAATAATTTAAAGACTATTCAGAGTTAGTGTAAGAACTTGAATTATGTTTATTAAATATAAATTGATCATACCTATTCAGAGTTAGTGTAAGAACTTGAATGGTAAAGTTGATCGTTCGTTTTTTTGAATAGTCGTTGAGTTTTTAAAAATGAAAAATAATTTGAATTTTGAAAAAGTGGTATTGTCGTTACAAAATTCTGCAAGATTTGTTAGAGGAAAAATTGAAATAAACCGCTTGCGGGATTTAATTTTTGGTTAGTTTAACAAAATGCGTTGTCCGGGAATCGAACCCGGGTCTCCTGCTTGGTAGGCAAGAATTCTGCCACTAGACCAACAACGCTTTATGATGAAAAATATTTTCCTTAAAAATTTTAATTTTTCAAGTCTCTTCAATGAATTGTTATCTTTCTTTTTTTCTTCTTTTTCAATTTATTTAAGTTCCAAATCCTAAAAGCTTGAGTATATTAACATGAAATCTTTGATATCTAAAAATAAAAAGTGATTTGAATACTTTTTGCACAGCTACTACTTTTTATTGGAAGTTTTTTTCAAAAGATCAATCTGTCAAAAAAAAAAAAACTTATTCAAATATTTTTTTTTTTTAAGATAATTATGATTTAGATTTATATATTAGATGGATCCGAATCATATCACTGATCACAAAACTAATAGTAAAAGTAGTAGTAGTAGTAGTGGTAACTGTGGGAATAATAATGATAGCAGCAGTGGTGGTAGTCATAAACGAAGTAAAAGTCAGCAACAACAACACACAACCAATCATCAAACACAATGTGTTCACCATAAAAAAAAATTTAAATTCATATGTCTGAATTGTAATGAAGTACTTTGTTCGAGTTGTATCATTGAACCACCGCATCGCGGTCACACCTTTGACGATACCAATAGCATTGCCAGTATGAACAGTGGCAACCACTACTCACAACGACTCTCACATCTGTGGCTGCGAATGAAGCAGTTGGGCGACGACTACGAAACTTTTATGGCTACCGAACAGAAGGTCAGTGAGTTCTACAGGATACTTCACGAGTTTCTCAGAGTCGAAGAACAAAAGACAAAGAAACCCATCAAACAACAACGCGAAATCACAGAGAAAACAATAGAGTCTATCTTGAACGAAATCAAGTCGATTAATGACATCATCTTGGAACTCCAATTGTTATGTAATCAGAATTCAACAACTTCAGATTCTGAAGGATCTGAAGATAATAATAATAATAACAATAATAATAGAAATAAGAAACAAAAAGTTAATCATAATAATTCTACCAAACAAGATAAAGATATTAATATAAAGAAGAAGGAGGATGAAGAAGAAGTAGAAGAAGTAGTACAAACAAGACAAGAACAAAATGAACAAGAAGAACAACAACAACAACAAAATATATTTAAAGATGAAAATAATAATAATAGTAATAATGATGATAATGAAAGTAATAATAATAATAATAATAATAATAATAGTATAGATATAGATATAGATAATAATAGTTTAAGTTTATTACATAATCAAACATCACCGTCAACCAATTTCACTCATAATGATGTCAATGTAATTAGTATTAGTACGATTATAAAATCAGTGAAATCAACTGATAGTTATGAAAATTTTATTAGTGACAATCAGTTGATATTTGGAAATAGTATGACAAAGTATAATAAGCAAGCACTGCTCTCAAAGATTCAACAGTACTCCATTGCCTACAAGAATGTAGACTACAAGAGTCCGCTAAACTATGAGGTGGTTTTCGATAACGATAAATTGTTGCTGCTCAAAGAGCAGATTCAATCGGTTTCAGAGTTGGTCGATAAGAACTCGATATCACGCTCACTCAAGATCTTCTCGATTGGCAAGGAAGGCAGCTTTGTTTTCGACCCGTCGTGCACCGCCTGGAGCAAGCTGGAGAGCGACACTGTAGAGCGCAAAGTAACTCTAAACTCTGTGGTATCGGTCGGTGAGTACGTCTATATTTTTGGAGGAAAGGATGGTGACCGCTCACCTGTTTACTCGCGCTACTCGCTCAACGCCAACAAGTGGACGTCGACAGAGATAACCCGCGTCAAAGGTCAGTCGCTGCTATTCTCTGTGTGCTCCGATGGCAACAACTCGATCTATCTGGTGGGATGCAGTCTCGACTCGTTCGATAGTCCTTCTTTTGTCTACAGATTCGACATTCACTCTACGAAATTCACTAAACTCGCCGATATAAAGAGGACCGCTCACGCATCAATGACATTCTTTCACAAAAACCATATCTACATATTCAATGGACTCAATCAACAGAAATCGATTATGACCTACGATGTCCAGCAGGCTACAGGCGAAACGAAACTGTTCATTCCCGACGTCGGATTTGGAAGTCCAACTGTTTCCTGTTGCTACGACGAGCTCGATCACGTTTACATTCTCGAGAGAAACTACAAGTTCTACCGAGTGTCACTATCGACCAAGGAAACCACCGAACTCAAATCACTGGCATTCAAAGTGAACAGACAGGTATCGATGATGATCATAGACTCCATTCTCTATCTGATCGGTGGAAACATGAGTGGAAACTACAAATACGGTTTAGAATCAAACGAATGGGAATTATTGAACGATGACGACAAAGTCGATAGGTTTTGGTATGGTGCATGTATAGTTAAATTAAAATGAAACAAACAAACAAACAAACAAGCAAGCAAATAAATAAAATAAAAAAAGACTTGGTCAAAATAAAATTATTGTACACAAACTAACAAAATAAACATGTTTATTGATTCATTATTGTTTTTTTTTTTTTCTTTTAATGTTGAGAGATATCCAGTTGGAATGGCGGTGCTATTACACTGATAACCGATGGTGTATCCATGTTTGGTTTCAATGGTATAAAGTTAAAGTAGCCAGACATCTGACTGCCATTCGGTGAATCGACATTGCAACGACTGCAATACTCGAATTTGTCACCGGGTGTAAGCTTCGGGAATTCACCGATCACACCTTCACCATCGACCGTATCGGTTCTCGATGGTGTTGATATATCCCAATGTCTGGTAATGAGCTGTGCTGAGTAACTTGCATCTTCATCTTTATCCATCCACATCGATATTCTGTAGAAGAAGGAATAGTCGCCGCTACCTCTTTCTTCGGGTACATAGACAGCACTACCTTTTACCCATATACCATTGGTCTTTACTTGTGATATGAAATTGGAGTACTCTGGATATCTCGAGATGACGTTATCACGTAGAGTAAGTACATTCGTTTCCAACTTGACGACATGCTGCTCCAGGAACTCCTGGAAGCTATTGGCAACGACTATCGGCGAACCGTTTCCACATGGCAGAATGACATTGCCCGGATGAATATCTTTGTATCCGGTGTCGCTGTTTATTACGAGATAGTAACAACGCTCAGTGGAGACGGAAAAAGCGACTGGCCATATATTACCGAATTTCTCTCCATAGTAAGAGTATTTCTGTCGGTAGATATCAGAGGATGACTCGAATGATAATAATATGATGTTGGTTTTAAAGTCGTATGCTTCGAACGTTCCGAATAATCCGTACTGCGTCGACTTGTTCTGACCATTGTAGATGAGTAGCGATGCAATGTAATCTCGTGGAAACAGGCAGGATTTAGGAATTGGTGGTGGTGTTATAGATGTCTGAAATCTTGGTGGTACTCTATATCGTTCTCTGTTCATTTCGAATACATGGACAGTTGCAGTTGCATCCTTGCTAAACTCTACGATGTTATCGGTGATCGGTATCTTTAGTGAATCTAAAAGGTAATCTTGTTGATCGTTGGCAATAGCCCACTTTTCAAGACGCGACCAAATGCTACGCATCGGAAGATAGTTGTCACCCGCTACTCTAGTGATTCTGTGGTGTAGATATGCATAGAGCTTGAATGGCGATAGAGGTGTCGCTTGTTCAGTGACATACTTTTCATTGAGTGCTTCACAACTATCACCGTAGACATCCAACAGTAGATCATCCCATTTCAGTTCGGTGTGCATCGACATCTCGCTCGATGTCTGAGATAATCTACATAACTCTATATGTCCAAGAAACGATAGTATATGTTGAACTGTTTCATATGGTATTAAATCGAAATAACATACATCCTCCATTTTAAATATTTATAATAATCTGTAATATGCAAATTTAAAATAAAATGATTAATAATATCCCAAATTGTTTTTTTAATATTATTATTTTTTAAATTTCAAAAATCTCACCCGAGTTTTGGTATTGTTTTTTAATGCAAAGTTGTATAAAATTAATTTATCATGTTTGTTCTTAATTTTATTATTCTTTTACCCATCTATATATAGCTAAAAGAGTAAGGCGGACTTGCAAGTTTATTTAATTGATCTAATCTGAATTGCAAGATGAATTTGGCGAGTCTGGTGCCATTATTGTCAATTCATCTTGGTCACCGTTCTTTGTGGATTCAAAACCTTCTTTGTTGTTGTTATTGGCAGCAGCTTCTTTTCTCTTTCTCTTTCGGAGTTCGCTGTCTCTTGAAGGAGGATCATGAGTATGTCTACCATTGTAGGTATTAACAAACTTCTTATCTCCTTGTTGTATGACTTGCTTCTTTACGTTGCAACCATGTTCGGCACATTTGAAATAGCTCTTTGGGTAAGGACTGCCTTTGACTGCTTTCTGTCCGTACTTTCTCCAATTGAAACCATCGTCCAAATGATCGACCATCGAGGTTGTTTCGATAACCAACTTCATAGGATTCTTAGTACCATTGTTATTACCATTATTATTATTATCATTTGTTGTTGTTGTTGAATGATTCAATTTAGATGGTTGTACCACAGGTGAATTTGAAATTGATGGGGAAGAAGATATGTCTTGTTTCTTTTCATTATTATTACTATTATCTATAGTATTGATATGATTGTTATTACTCTCTCTCTTTGTGATATTCTTATCTATGTTGTTGCCACTACTACTATCATCTTTTCTTTTCTTTTCGTTATTTACAAGTTGTTCTACTTTTACTAAACTATTATTATTATTTGTAATATCTTTTAATAAATTAAAAGCACTACTATTATTATTATTATTATTTCCACTATTATTGGAAGTAGTGGTAGTTGTAGTAGTAGTAGTTGATGTTGAGGTTGCAGTAAAAGTAGATGTCATTTCAGCACCATATTTTTCAATGGGCATTGATATATCATCATCTTTATGAGTTGTGTTATTATTGTTATTTATAATTTGTACAGATTTAGTTATTGAGTTTGATTGTGATTGTTGTTGTTGTTGTTGTAATGATGGTGATGGTGTTGTAATCATTGGACTTTCATCGTCAAACGAGTTATCAACCTCTTCTTTCTAAAATTAATTAAAAAATAAAATAAAGTGTTAGCATTATTATCATTATTTTTTTTGTTATTGATTTACTTAAGTATAAAAAAACTTACCATTACACCTTCAGCTATAACAGATTTCTTAAATGAAAGTTGGTCACTAACATTGACTCTGGTGGTCTGTGGTGACTCATGGTTATGCTCACCTTTGTAGACGACATGGTTCAGAGTGTCGTCACTCGAGGATCTACGCTCCATTTGTTTCTTTACAGTGCAACCAGGATAGGTACACTTGTAATAGCTTCTTGGAAACTGAGTGCCTTTGACATTCTTTTGACCGTATTTACGCCACTGGTATCCATCCGATGATATCGTGCAGTGATATTGATTGGACTTTTTACTGTTTCCATGAATATTACCATCACTGCCAGGTGTGCTTGTTATGGCTGTGTTGGATGATGCTGCTTGTTGTTGTTGTAGTAGTTGCTGTTTGGAAGATTTAGACTTCTTCTCAACTGTGGGTGTTGTTGTTGGAGATGATTGTGATTTGTTGAATTGAATCGTTGGTTTAATACCATTACTTGGTTTAATATAAAGTGGAAGTATATTGTGATTAATCTTTGACGATGAAGATGAAGATGGTGTATTGGGTGGTAATTGTTGTTGGGTTGTTGATGTAATGGTTGTAGAAGTTGTACTTGTTAATATCAATGATTTAGGATTGGAAATAGGTGATGAAGATGCAGATGATGAATTTGAAGATGATGTATTATTATTATTATTATTGTTATTATTGTTGTTATTTAGGTTATTTGTTACTGATGTGATTGAAGCTGCTGAGGAGAGAGGAATAGATGAAATCAATGGTGATGTCAGTGGCGAGGTGTGATAGGGTGATTGTGGTGATTGCGGTGATTGATGTATTGATTGTAGTTGAAGTGGTGGTTGTGTTTGAAGTAGTTGATGTTGATAAATAGATGGAGAGATTGCTCCTTTCGATGGTGATGAAGATGGTGATGGTTTTGAGTAGATTGGAATTGGTTTGGAAATTTGGTTGGTAGAACCGGTGTTGCTATTAAAAGTTGGAAGTTTCTCAACAAATTTTGATAGTTTTGAAGAGTTGTTGTTATTATTGTTATTGTTGTTGTTGTTGTTTGAGTGATGTTGGTTATGTAGGTGATGGTGATTCATAGAAGGAATTGGGTAGGTGGTAGTCGATTCGATCTGAGGTAATTTACCAGTGATAAATGGAGATTGTTGATTTGAAGAGAGTGGTTTAGTGGAAGGAGACAGTTTCGAAGATGAAAAAGAAGTTGTTTCAATCTCGATATCCCTGTAGTGATTGTAACTAGGTGACATTGGAGAATCTAGTTGCATATGAATCGGTGACATTGAAACTCTGGGTGGTGAAAGTGACATTAAAATATTATTGTGTTGTTGTTGTTGTTGTTGATAAGATTGTTGATTATATTGTTGTTTCATCGGTGAAGATGAAGAGACAAGCATGTCAATGGAATTCTTTCTCGTCTTGTCATATGATTGATGATGTTGCTGCTGCTGTTGAATTTGATACGGTAGATGTTGTTGCGGCAATAGATCATCGTCATCTTCATCGTCGTCATCGATTACCTCAATGTCATCGTCGTCGTCCTCCATATCACTATAATGTAGGGAACCAGCACTTCCATGATGATGTGACTGATGTTGTTGTTGCTGTTGTTGGATATGATGAGAATGTTTGTTATTGCCATATGGATGGTGACGTAGTGGACTTCCACTGATTGTCCTACTCTGCTGTGATGAAGACGGTGATGAAGAGGCAGCGGGAGAATTCAACAGACTTGGTATATTGATATTGTGTGACGTCAGTGAAGTTGATGAAGATGAAGAGGATGAAGAAGAATGATTCTTATTGTGATTGATGTGGTGGTGGTGGTGGTGGTTGTGATGATTATGATTATGATTACTCTGAGTGAATATATCTCTCAGATGATTGCTTTTATCAGGTGATAACGATGTTTGGTCATTGTTATTATTATTATTATTATTGTCATTATTGTTATTATTGCTATATGGATTCTGATTATTTTGTGAAAATGATGAAAGTGAATTTCTTGATTGTTGTTGTTGCTGTTGTAGTTGTTGCTGTTGATGTTGTTGAGAATATGGATGATTTGATTGTTGTTGAAGTTTGTGATAGAATACAATCTTTCCATCGTTACTCTTGGCGGATGCATCTGGGGTCTGCTCGACCAACGCCTTGAGAAACGACGACAGATTCATCTGGTTAGGCGCCAGCAGTACCAGAACTCCACCCATTCCATTTCCATTGCCATTTCCATTAGTATTGATACCGCTGGCGGTAGAATTCTGGTGGTTGTGGTGGTTGTGATGGTTTTGATGTTGGTGGTGTTGTTGGTACTGCTGTTGGTGCTGCTGCTGTTGTTGTTGAGGCGGATAAGGTGTCGAAGGAGCTGCACCCATCTTTTCTCCTCCTATAATATAAAGATATATTTAAAATTAAATTTCAGATTTGAAATTAATTAAAAAGATTTGAATTAGCATTGATTTGGATTTGTATTGGAACAACAAGACAGGAACTAGAATTATAACAAAAAATAAAAATCATCCAAAAAAAAAAAAAAATATCATCCAAATTTGTTTTTCCCAAAGTCAAACAAAGTCCAAATCCAAACCCGACACCAACTTCCTGATCCAATCAAATTCTAGATTTTAAAATGATCTTGTATTTCAATATTGGTTGTTGTTGATGTTTTTTTTTTTTTAATCTTCACCTATCCTTTTCTTTTTCGGTTCTCTTATTATAATAATTGTTGCTTTTGTTTTTCTTTTAAAATTTAAATTTATGATTATGTTTGATTGTTATTTTATTATTATTATTATTATTATAAATTACTAAATAGTAGTATGGATCTATTATTATTATTAATTATGTAATTCCAATTTATAAATTTGTTATTAATTGTAGTTGTTATTGTTGTTGCATTTTTATTTTTTATTTCATTTTTTTTTTTAATATTTGTTTGTTGTTGTTGTTATTGCTATTAAAAATTTTTGGTATTCAAATTCACATACAGATACAGATATATACATACAAATACAATAGACAAGACAATTTCAATTCAATTCAATTCAAAATTCGATTGAGGTCAGTCAGCAACAAAGTCAGTCAGTCAGTCGTTCAGCAAGGTCAGGTCAGTCAGCAACTATGTAAGTAAGTATATTGAGTTCTACTACTCTTTCTTTCTCTTTCTCTTTCTTTCTTTACACCCCCTTTGTATATAAATATATTGTGTCTACTTCTACTATACTACTACTGCTATTAATAATACTATTATTTTCACTACTAATACCACTCTACTGCTGCGACTGTGATGTTATTTTTGTGTTATACTACTACTACTGTTGTTATTTTTTTTTAAAAAAAAAAATTAATTAATGTTCTCATATGCAAAATCAACTTATATTTTTCATTTTTTTCATTCCAACAAAACTTAACTTTACTGTATTTACGACAATAACAAACAAACAAACAAACAAACAAAGCAAACCATGCAAACCAAAAAGAAAAACAAAATGAAAACAATAAGGTCAGCTTAACAACGATAACAATAGATATAAACGATGCTTATTTAATAATAGTACACTATGATTTCATATCAACATTTCTTCTTATAACATAAGTGCATATGTATTTTACTTTTTATATTTGTTGTTGTTGTTGTTGTTTTTCATTAAAGTGTATGTGTGTGGGGGAATGTGTTGTAAGTAAAGTGTGGGAATAGAGCTTTGAGAATGAAAAAAAAAAAAATATTATTATTAACCAAGGTGAATTGTTTGTTGAGCAAATGTAATATAAAAACAACATTATTAAAAAACAAAAACATAAAAGAGTAGTAAATGAATAATGGATAGATATGAGAGATGTGATCTTATCTTTTTAATATTCTTCAAACACTACACTATTGTTGATGCGAACTAAAAAACTTTAATGTTCACTCTGTAAGATTGATCTATCTCATACTCCGAATAATATCTACATTCATAAAATGAAAATCTAGACTTTTGTTTTAATAATATGATATGTCTGTTTTTTTTTTTTTGTTTGTTTATTACTCTAATCTTCTAATGTTGTTATATGATAATTTGCGTATTGTGTCAAGTTAGTTTATTTGAAGAATGTAGTATGAACTCACTCTACTTTGAGTACTACTATTGGATACATCATCGCAAATAAATGTTTGTAACATGCGACCTTTATGTATAGAGAATGAATATTACAGATATATCAACTTATGTGGTTTGTTGATGAAAGTATCTATGTACAACGATAAAATGACTTATTTTTGATATTTACTTCTCTTTTTCTCAACTTTAGATTTGACTGCAGTAAAATTTTATATGATATTTTTAATTATTAAAACTGTTTTCTATTGTTATTTGTATTGCTTGTTGACCTTACTATTACTATTACTAACTATAAATTGAACCTTTACTGTTGTATCTTCTTGTTCTTTCACTTTCTCTTACTCTAACTTATTTTTAAACTAATAGGAGCTGTAGGTGGTTTGACTTTTTTTTATTTTTATTTTTAATGTGTGTGGGTGCACCCTCTCTTATTTTGACCAGCACATATATATTAAATCAAAATCTCTCACACTCCACCTTGACAATGATAATGATACTACAGTTGTTATGATTATTTTATTACTTGTTGATGTTTGTGCTTAAGTTGTCACTCACATCTGATTTTAATTATTAAAAATTTAAAGAAAAAATAACAAATAAAATTACTTTTAAAAGTGATATTCTCTTGCTTTTGCACTGTTTGTATATATGAATCTAGTTTGTGTGTTAGATCAAAAAAAATATGACAAGATATGTTTTCTTTTTTTTTTTTTAATTAATTGAGCAATGAGCAAAGCAAAACCAAAAAGTAAAATAACAAAAAAAAAAAAAAAACATATCTTGATGAGAAAACAAAAAAAAAAAAAAAATTATCATTAGAAATTTCAAAAACAAAATTTGACTTGATTTTAAAAATAAATTTTCAATAAATTAGTTAAAAAAAACAATAAAATTTTTATATCTAATCTAATGTTAGTAATAAATAAACAAATAAAATCAAATAAGTGTTATATTTTAAAAAAGAAACTTGGCAAAACACAAACTAATAACATTTTGATATATTTTGAGTTATATGCGTGAAAGATATTTTCCCAGGGATTTTTGGATTAAATAGATAGATTTTTCGGATAACTTTTGGGTTGGAGTGACAATTCTTATTGGCGAATCTATTAATTAGCCCAAAAATTTATTTGCTGTGAAACCACTGCGAAGAAACTGAGAATTGATTGCATCCCTCAAATGTTTCAAGTTTTCAACGAATTTTTTTGAAAAAAAAAAAAAATGCATTTACAAAAACCAAAAAAAAAAACCTTACTAATTCCATTTAAATAAGTGACACAAGGTTTGGCTTGCAAAAAAGCCCACTAATGATCACAACACTGCCTATTATATTTTTATTTTTTACCAAATTGTTAAATTGAGTTGATCAATCACACAATCAATAAAATAAAACCGCAAAAAATAAAACAAAAAAAAAATAAAAAAAAATCTTTTTAATCTTTTGTAAATTTAAAGGTCGTGTGGTGCAGTGGTGGTGACCCTATCTTTCAACTCAAATAATCATTAAACATCTAAATAATATGATTTAAGATAAAATCAATTCATTCATTTCAATTTCCTAAAAGTCAAAAAACATTGTTGTTGGTATTCATTTTTTTTTTGTAACCCTTTTTAACTTAGAACTAATAATATATTTGTAATTCAAATCTATTTTTATAAATATCATCAAGATCGAGTCGAGTGTATTTCATCAATATTTATATCAATTTACTTAAAAAAGGGTTCTGTTTATTTATTTAAATTTGTATTTTTATTATTATTTATTTATTTAAAAAAAATGAGTTATTTAGAGTATATAAATGATGGTGTAAGAGGATCAGGTAATTATTGTTTTATCAGAACTTGTATTTATAGATATTAATTATCTTTTCTTCTAAATAAATTAGATGGTATAAGTGGAAATCATGGTGATTCCGGTAGTGGCTATGGTGGTTCAGGTAGTCACGGTTCACATGGTCTACCAGGACAAAGAGGTACTAATGCCGGTACCATTAACACCTCAATTTTTTCAGATCCACATGGTAATATTGTATTACAATCAAACTTTGGTGCAAATGAATTGTAAGTTTATTATTATATTACTTTCTTTTAAATTAGAATTGCTAATTTCTAATCCTTTTTGTTTTTCTTTTACAAAAAAGTTCTGGTGGTTTCCAAAAGACTGATGCTATGACTATGGGTAATCCATCGAATTACTTGGTTTTGTCTGCACATGGTGGTGATGGAGGTAGAGGAGGTGACGGTGGAAGAGGAGGTGATGGTGCACAAGGTTATCCTGGAAGAGATGCCACCAGATACTCGGCCGGTAGTGATGGTGGTCCTGGTGGCGACGGAGGTGATGGAGGTGACGGTGGTGATGGTGGTAGCTCTGGAAGTGGTGCCAATATCAATGTTGCCTGTAGAGAAGGTGATATGGATTTGCTCATGATTCTCAAGCAAAAGATTGGTGACACTCTTGCCGGTACACCGGGATCGCCAGGAATCGGAGGTCGTGGTGGTAGCGGAGGTAGCGGAGGTTACGGTGGTAGCTCCTATTCCTGGACTGAAGAGCGGTACTACACCGACAGCGAAGGAAATAGATGTTCCACTACAGAGTCGTTCTCCAATCCGGGTGGTTACAATGGTCCCTCCGGAAGTTCCGGTGGATCCGGTAAGACTGGTCACTCTGGTAATAGTGGCCGCGACGGTAATTTCTCGATTTCCGTCCAGATGGATGCTGGCAATGTAATCCATTATTCATCGCCCTACGATTTGTCAGTTGAGAAAATTGAATACAACGATACCGTTGGTTATGAAGTCATCGAGCCCGGTTCCGAAGTCAATCTTTTGGTTACTCACAAAAATGTTGGTGGTATGCCAACGCCTTCCAAACAGAATATCTATGCCTATATCGACGACAACAAGTGGGTAATTTGTCCGGTTGCCAATCGTGTTCCACTCAAGAAATATCTTGCCGCCGGTTCAAAGACAGAGTTGTCGAGACCCATTCTTTTCCAGATTCAAAATTATCGCCAGGTATACCCATTGCCACGTGAAGCATTCACCGCTCCAGGCACAATGGAGCACCAGGCTTTGGTGGAGCGTGTTGGTCAAACATTTGCTAGAGTCCACAAGTCTGCTCATAGTTTTGTAGTTGAATATCCAGTTCAGGCATCGATTATCAAAGGTCTGGACAGTATTGTTCTGGGTGACGAGTCACCAATTCTCTACTCCGTGTGGAACAAATCCAAGCTATCCATTGGATTGGATTCCACCAATGGACCATCAAGAGTTTTGTTCACCACAATTAGAGTATCGCCAAATGCACAAGGTGGAACTCTTCGTTTGACTCCACAAGATTTCATTTTGCGTGATCAAAATGGTCGAATCTATGATAATCCAGAGGTTGGTCTTCACGCCAACGTACCAAATGTACCGGGCGGTGGATTGAATTTCTTTACCAATACATTCCAATTTACTGGAACTGGTTTGAAGCCATACACTCGTGTATTGCTCGAATCCACATTGTTCCTTGGACATATCAAAGACATGGCCAATGCACAAGCAATCCAATCTCGTCCATTCGAAGTTCAATTGTCTGAGGGATACAATAATTCTCACCAAGCCGACTTGCTCCTTGTTACCAATAATCAGACTGAGTTTGCAGAGGTGAATGCATGGAGACAGCTGGCAAGTGACTTGGGATTGAAAGTTGCAGTTTGGAACGTCAATCTCTACAAAGACTTTAATTTGGCTCACAAAAAGATGGATGGACTTTCGTTGCTTGACGAATTTGTTGGAAAGACAATTGTCTTTTTGAATAATACATTCGTTCGTGATGAACGTCGTTACGACTCTATCATATTTACTAGAACACTCGAGTTATTCTCAGCTGCCAAGTTCCGTGGTATTCACACATTGATCTATGGTAACAGAGGATTTGACATTGACAATGAATTGATTCCAGCCGTTTCCAACGATAAGATTGTCTCTGCCAGTTATTTCAAGAGTATCGAAGAGTACACTCGTGCCTGTAAGCGTCGTATTCTTCAAGGACCAGGTTCCGCTTTGCCATTGCCAGCTACCTCCACCCCAACCTTCTCAGCGGTGGTAATCATGGATAAGAAACAAAGATACATTGGTATCCATTCAACCATTCACACCATGTGTATCTACTCTCATCATCACGATGTCTACCCATCGGAAACAATCTATCTTGATCATTTCAGTATCAGTGATCTCACTGAAGATACATTCCATTTGAACCTGACCAAGTTGGACAAGAAATTCCACTTTAAGAAGGTGACCGACAAGAAAGTACTAGAAAAGGTTACAACTTTGGAGGCTCGTTTGAATTGTTCAACCGATCTCCAAGTTCTCAAGGAAAGATTGAGAGGTTTGGATTCACCAGCTATCAATTCCGTTGGAAACGATACTGTTAAGGAGGGTCTGTTGGACATGCGCAAAGGTGACCGTGGTTCCTCTAGCTATGTTAAGCGTTTCATTGTATTCAATGCAGCGGATCGTACCATCTCAAAGGTCGATGTCAATGGAAAGGATGTCCAACAAGCAAAGACAAAGAAGATCTACTCGCTCAATCGTTTCTCCATTACTATCGGTAACCATTTCGGTAGTGAGACAAGCAAGGATGTATCAACAACATTCCAAATTGTCACTCCCGACAAGATTATCTATCTTCGTGCCAAATCCACTGAGCAACGTGACGAATGGATTGCCTCGGTCTCCACTCTCCCAACTGTAGAGGTTACCAACGTCTACAGAGATCCATCGATGCAATTGAAGTTGAGCGCATCCCATACCAACTTATCACCGGATCGTACCAAGACACCGTTGCCATCGGCCAATGCCATGACTGAGTACTATCCAATCAATATCATTCCAATCAATGAGAGATTCATCTTTACCAAACCAAAGCCAAAGGATCTTGAAGAAAAGGCAATCAAGCTGAGCAAGAAACTTCGTAATCGTTTCCCCAATCAACGTAATGTGATTGTCTACGATGCCAGACCCAACAAGATCGATAAGTTTGCCATGTACTATATGGGAACACTCGAAGTACATCGTTCACTCGATACCACAACTTCTCACATCATTCAAGTCAAGATTGACCAAGATGCAGCAATCCACGATCCATCTTCGGTTCTTTCCTATCCAACCGTCTACAATATGCTAAAGACATTGGACTTTGCCCACAAACTAAAGTCACTCGATGATAAGGGATTCAGAACCAATCTCTTGGTTAAAAAGGATTTATACTTGGATACCTACGATCTTTGTTCATTGACATTACTATCAATCATCTCTGATATTGCAGAAGAACAATATCATTTCAGAGAATCAAAATGGAGAGATAAATTCAGTTCTGAAAAGGTAAGAAAGAAAATAATAATAATATCTTTATAAAATATTATACTTATCTTATATTAATATTACAATAATTATAGATCTATTCATTCCTTCGTACTTTACAATTGATAAAGAATTATAAATTTGCACCACAATCATCGACTGGAATCGAAACTCCATTGGCTGATGTTATCATTGAAATTGGATTGCATTTGAGTATCATGAAATCATGCTATACCACTTTGGCCGATAAGATTCTTCCAAATCGTAGAGGTAAAGCTGTCAATCAAGCATCCAACAAACTCTGGTGGGAGATTGTCATGATCCATATCTGTGGATTCGACGTTGAGAAAGCAGAGAAGACCAGCAAGGTCGATGCCGTTATGAAGAAGGCTGTTAAGGAGCGTATGGCCGCCAAGTTGGCAGCATGGGAAGCATACGCCGTCGCTGCACAACCAGCACACGTCCATGGTTACCGATTCGACGAGAAGAAGAAAGTAGTCAAAAACAAGGAAGCTGTCATTGAATGGTACCGTAAGCCACACTTTTCCAACTCGATCGTTGACTCTATGGCCACACCAGAGCTTGTTCTCACCAAGGAGAAATTCCAACAGAAAACAGTGGCACCACGTCCCAACCAGGTCGAAGAGAGTCGTTCCACCTTCAACAACGACAGCGAGAGAAAGGATTTCATCAATAAGATGTTAATGGACAAACTCGGTGCAAAATCTGAACTTTTGGAAAGTCAAAAGCTTCAAGTCCAAGAGTTATCAAACATTCAACCATCTGCCCAATTATTCCCAAGAGATTTACCACCATTAAATTGGTAAAAAATAATAATTAAATACATATTATTTAATTAATGACATCACACACATATATATAAACTTTGAAAAGAAAAAGCAATAAAATAAAAAAAAATACAAGAATATTTATAAATAAAAAAATTAGATATTTTGGAGGGAAAAAAAAAGAAAAATTAAAATCGACTGATATTTATTTTAATTATATAGTTTATCTTTTTTTTTTTATTCTAATATTGATAGGCTTTACTTATTTTAACATTGGATTCAGTTTCATTGTGTCCTACAGCATGATTCCAACAATAGGTACCATCACATGAAGTTGGGCAGCAAATTTGACCATTTGGGCAAGGGACCTCAGCTGAACAAACTGCTTCACATGTTCCTGGAATATGTAGACTAGGACATCTTTTGTCATAGTCTGATGGAGTTTCAGTGTCTTTATCACTATGATTACGATTATGATGATTCTTCTTATGTCTAAAAATTTCACCTACTGAAATATTCACCAACAAAAAAACTACTAATAATTGAATAATTATTTTTTGATTCATTTTTCTATAATTTAATTAATAAATATAAATATATTTCTAAAAATTATTATTACTTTTAAGGAAAATATAAAAAAAAAAAAGATATTCTAAATGATAAATTTAGCTTGTGAATGACGATTTTATAATACAATTAAATATAAAATTTATTAAAAATAAATAAAAATAACCAAAATATTAAATCTAAATTTATTGGATATTATTATTATTAAATAAAAAACAACAATTGTCTTTTAATACTTTTTAAAAATTTTAAAATAGTATAGATTAATGATTCTTTGTAAAATAATAATTGAAAAGGAGATCAATTAAAAAAATACAAGTTAATAAACTTTAAAAAACAAATATAACAATAATTATAATAGAATGAATAAACAACAATAATTAACGATATGAAAAACAGAATTCAATAGTGTAAATTTACCATTATGATGTAAAATAAGAAGGAATAAGACACACCAAACACCCCGAACCACCAACCCACACACAATCTCATACAAACATTTATTGTTATTTATTATTTTTTTAAATTTTTAAATTTTCATATTCATAAAAAATGAGATGAGATAAAAGAATTTTTAATAAATACAATAAACATTTATATTGTTGTTGTTGTTTTTTTTGATTATTTTTATTTATTTATTTGATTTAATATTATTAATCATCGAATCTACTACTTGATTTAACTTTTGATCTGGTTACTATACCCGATAAGAATTTAACGAGATCCTCTCTTGATATATCGTCTTCTTTCTTTTTTTCGATATTCTTGACTTTGATCATCTTTTTGTTGCCTTTCTCTTTGAGTACAACGACATAGGGAGCACCACTGTTGAGTGCAAGCTCTGTTTGTTCCTCTGCAGAGGTGTCTTCGCGATACACTGTTTCCACTCGGAATCCAGCTTGCCATAGATCAGAGACGATGCTGACTTTCTCACCAAAGAGATTGGCACTACCCATCGAACAAATAAAGATATCGGGTTGACTGAAACGAGCGAGTGGCGATTGATTGCTGTGTATTTGAATGGCGACTTGCTCACGTTGGTAGTGTTGATACTCGCGCTCCTTTGAGTAGATCTTGTCGAGTGCGATCGACAGTCCGACCACTGGCACCGCCGGTGCTTCATCCGATTTTCTCAGTGTCAGATTGTGTTGAGGAATCAGCTTGGCAATGGTCTGATCGTAACGACCACCGACAGCAGTGCACTCGAATCGAGTGTTATCCTCGCGAATCAGCACTTGGAAGGTTATTCCCGAGTAGAAGTTCTCGCAGTAGACATAGCCAAGGTCGAACGACACCTTGTTGACGACACCAAGTCGCTCGAGGTATCCATAGAGTGAACGCATCTCCTCGAGATAGACATTGAGTTGTGTACATTGATCGTTGTTCGAAGTCGATGCTGTGTTGGCAATCTTTTTCGTTACATCCAGTAGCGATCCTTTCACCAGAATCCAATTGGCCAATCGTTCCACCTGTTTGGCTGTGAGTTGGAGTCGCTCCAACAACACTTTCTTGACGGTTGTCCATGGGTTGCGAAGTAGCTGTGATAAAATGATTCCAATTTCATCGCGAAGTTTCTGGTCGGTGATACCAACGTAACGCCACATGTGCTCAACGATACCAGTGTGATTGAGACGTACCATATAGTTGGTCTGTGAAGGCAGTGAATCGAATATCTCACACGCAACTTTAATGACCTCGGCATCAGCAAACAATGATGATGCTCCAACAATATCGAAACAACATTGGGACAGTTCCTTTGGTGACTTTCCAACGAGGTGTGGACGACGATAGACTGTATCGAGTTCATATCGCTTCAGTGGGGAATTTGAAAAGAAATCCATCAAGTCATCGAAAGTTCGTAACTCTTTGTTGCTGGACGATGGTAATTCGGCGTCGTCTTCATCGGTGATGTTGCTGGCATTGTAGTTGTTATTGCCATATGGATTGTAGGTGGTTGCAAACTGTTGTGCAAGATAGTCGGCAAATGAATTTCTTAAGTCGTATCGCATCTCAAAAAGTTGTCCACTATCATCCATAACAATCGATCTCGATCTAGTTTTGTTTTGATTGACTTTTGATGTTGTTGTAGCGGTAGCAGCTGCGGTTGTAGATGATTTCTGAGTGGCTGTAGAAATTGGTTGTTTAGTTGATCCTATTGCTGTTGTTGTTGTTTGTGGTGTTTCATCATTCTCCCAATTCTTAACGATACTCATAACAGGTGTAGGAAGTACGTTGGAATTGTGCTTACGGAAGATCGATATGACCAAGTCGTTGACTGACTCTCTGATGCTCTGCTCATCGAGAATGCTGAGAGTTGTGAATCGGTTGACACTGCTTGAACTAACAGAACTGTGTTGTTGGTGATAGATGTGTGAGTGGAGATGCTGGTGCGATGGTGAGAACAGTGATTTCAGACAGTGTTGATAGAACTGTGTAGTAGGGTTGGTAATGACACGAATCGCATTCTTCATGTACTCGTCCTCCATCTTGGGTGGCATCAACTCGGATTGCAAAAGTTCCTGCGCGGTTGGACGCTTGACTGGATCGCGCTCAGTCAACCAACGGATGATTTTTGCTTGTCGTGAATGGTTCCGCTCGAAATCTGGTGGGAAAATGCCACGTTCTCGTAGATCTTTCAGCACTGCAACACGCTCGTGTCCAGTGGAAAAGACATACCACATCTCAAAGAAAACGATTCCCAGACTGTACATGTCGACTTTGTCGTTGTATCCACCGTCACCTTCACTAGTTCCAAATTCCTGCTCGGGACTCGAGTAGAACAGTGTACCGACACGCGCTGTGTGTTGGTCGACTGCGTCATAAGAGAATTCACTCTCTTGATTGAGGTCATCCCAATTCTGTTGTTTGGTGCTGGCATTGTTGTTTACAGCACTATTGTTGACAACGGAATTAGTTGAACTGGTACTGCTGTTGCTTACATTGATATTGACGTTGTCGCTACTACCACTGTTGCCGTTGGTGGTGGACGCAGACTTTGAGGTGCTGCTAATGGCCAATCCGAAATCACCAATCTTGATATCACCACAACTGTCAAAGAAAATATTACTGGGTTTGAGATCACGATGTATGATACCTTGGGAGTGTACATAGGCAATACCCTCCACGATCTGACGGAACAGCTTCCAGATGTCATCGTCAGTGCTGATTCCACTCTCTGTCAGATTACGAAGAATCTTTTGACAATACTCCATCTGAATGTAGAGATATGCTGATTTTTTAGTTCTTCGTTCAGTAACATTTCGCTTGCCATTTGCACTACCCTTATTCTTGTTCTTATTCTTATTCTTATTGAGTTTACCACGTCCGAGGTGTGGATCGCTTCTGGATCCGCTAGAAGTGGAACTACTGGATCGACCACCACGACGATTGGAACTGCTTGTTGTGAAACTTGTGGCTCCACCCTTGTTCAAATCAAACATCTCCACCAAGAATCCAGAGTCGGAATGAAGAAAACTGTAACTCTCATCGGTGAGATCAAAGCAATCGAGTGATTGCTTGGGGAATAGGATATTCTCTGAGAAGTCATCGTCGTCTTGGTCAAAATCACCATCGTCACTACTAGAGTCAGAGTCGTCGGAATCCGAGTTGGAGTCAGAGTCACCAGAGTCTGAATTGTCATCGTCGTCATCACTCTCGAAATCAGAGAGATGATCACCACTGTCGTGATTATGGTTGGCAGCAGCAGTAGCAGCAGCGGTCTGCTTTGAGTAATAGAGACCTTCGGCACCTTCGATCCATGCTTGATAATAACGAACTACATGTTGATGATGCAACTGCGAGAGTGTAATTACCTCACGCAATATTCTCTTGTTTAAATTCTGATCGCTATCCAACTTGATCTTCTTGATCGCATAGTAACGACCGTCCAGACGATTCTTTACTTTAACGACCTGACCGAATCCACCCTGTCCAAGTAGCTGCAGCTCCTCGAAATCACCATGATATCTCGAAGTTTGAACATTTGGATTGTAACTAGTTGGAATCATGCCATTACCATGGGTGTTGGTCGCATCAAACTTGGTATTGGGTGTGGAAGGTTCGCGTACTTTTCCACCACCGACATCACCAACCCAGAATCTATCCACAAAATTCGTAGAAGCAACTGACGAGTAAGAAGAAGTCGAGTTGTCATGTTGCTGTTGCTGCAATTGTTGCTGTTGTTGTTTCTCTTGTTTGTCAACAGAGGAATTAACCACCTTTGAGAAATACTCTGTGAATATCTGTTGGTAGATTTGATTCGAGTTGGTGTTGCTCATGTTCAGCAGTGGTAAATGGTTCGGTTGGATGACGCCGAGTTGTACGAGTTGTGTACCGAGTGTGCGGATCTGATCGATCGATGCAGACTGATCGTTTTGGCAGAGTATACGCAACAGGTAGAGTATGAACGTCTGTTGCTTATCGATGAACTTGTCGCTGTCTTTGCTGTTGGTGTACTGACTGACAATGTCACGCTTCTTCTCCTTCTCGAGTTGTGCACGTTCGATTGACTTTTGCAGACGGAAGTTCTTACGCTCCTCTTGCAGTGCGTTGTCCTCGAGTGTCGATTGCCACTCCCTATTCTTCTTGTCCGACTCTTCAAAGCTGGTTGCCAACTTACTCTGTGTATTGGCTGCCGCCGCTGCCTTCTTGATTCGCTCTTGTTCACGCTGTTGTTCAACCATCTGGTCGTGGAAAGATTTTCCCGATGGTTTCTCATTGTGCTGCGCCAGATACTCCCTGGCGAATCCACACAAATCAAAGATCATCTGATTGTTCAACTTTGTATTTGCTTCTTCATTCATTAACTCTTCTAATTCCTCTGCATTTTTCTACAATTATAGTTTGATCAAAGACATGTTGTCAGGATGATGTTTGAAATATGAATAGATTATAACACTTACATTAGGCAAACCTTTTACTACATTCACTTGAATGTGTGGAGGTGTTGTTGGATATAAGCTTGTGAATCCAAAGGTGAGCGAAACGACGACGTGACATTCGTTTTGAGTTGATTCGTCGAGGTCACCAAAGAATGGACGTACTATGATTTGGAATCGGAAGGTTTCGTTCGAGAATGATGGTGCTGGCAGCGAGAGAAAGTCGTCTTGGAAGATGGCAGCGAGTGCATCGACCTCCATCTGTTGTTCCTCCGACAGATGCTTGACGAGTGCTTCCTTTTCTTTCTTTTTTTGTTTCTTCTTCTCTGCTTTTCTTGATGCTGCATTCTTTTTCGTGTTGTTATTATTGATGCTACTGCTCATGTTGATTAGATCGTCGTCATCGGAATCAACGTTGGCCAACGTTGAAAATGAATTACCGTTGACATACAACGATTGTTGACTGCTCTTATTTGGTTGTTGACCTTGTTTTATTTGAATAGGTTGTGATTTATCGTGTGGATGCTGTTGTTGTTGTTGTTGTTGACCTCCAACCAACGACGACAACGACGTCTGTGTCGTCGTATTCTTATTGTGTTGAGGCATCTATATCTTAATCTTAAATCTTAATATTTATTCTTGACTATTATTATTTATCAGGTTTCTATTTTTGCTTGTAGGTATTATTCTATTATTGTTATTATTATTCAATTGTTTCAGAGACAAAGGCAAAAGACTTAACATAATTTATTACCTTTTATTTAAAAAAAAAAAAAGTTTGACTATTATTACTATTAACTAACTATTAAGCAATTAGTTGATTTTGATATGATTTGATTTTGATTTGTTATATATACAAATAATAATATTTTAAAAGAAGATAATAATAAAAATACAAATGTTTTGTTAACAATGAAGTAATTGGTTTTTAAGTGGGTGTTGACTCGTTTTACTTAAAAAAGAAAATTAAAAAATTAAAAATTAAAAATATAAATAGTTTTTGTTTGAATTTTGTTTTGGTTTATTTATTAATAAAAGTAAAGAAATAATAATTTAACTAACTGTTTTTAGTTGTTGTAGTTGTTTGTTAATATTATTATTTTTATTATTGTTTGTCTAATGTATGAATGAATGATTATATAAATAAATTAATTAAAATAAAAGTGTTATAATTGTATTGTTTTTTAAATTTGATATATTGATTTTTTCATCATTGGATCCTTAAATAGGTATGAACTGAAAATTTTATTTTTAATTTTTTTCATTTTTTTCATTTTTTTTTTGCATAAACACAGATCAACATTTCTCATTTTCTTTAGTTTTTACCAATGTTTTAAAATAAATGGGTTGATCTTTGAACCATTGGGATCTTTACCAAAGAATTAATCAAAATCCCAGGAACTTTGATTCCATTTTGATTAACTTTTCAAAGGAATAGTTTTTAATTTATCTTCCGAAATTCTAAATTCTGTTTAAAAAACAATTTGTTTGAATATTGATTATTCATTAATTAATTTCAAAATCAATGTAACAATAATACAATATAGATCAATATTGAAAGATTAGATAATCTGATCTTTTTAACTTTTTTTTTTTTGTAAATCTATTTTTTAATTGAATTTGAAATGACTTTATAAAATCTATATTTCTAAAATGAAAGAAGTGTGTTTTTATCTAAAAATACTTTTGCTCTTTTCTTAATTTTAGATTTTATGAACGACCTCTTTCAATCTTTCTGTTTGGATTATTTTTTTTTACATAGAATTAATGATATGCAATTTGCCTCAGAAAAAAATCTAAAAAAATACTGTTCATCCAATGTTAATAAAGGAATGAACACTTTATAAATAACTATTATAGATTTGGTATTGAGTACCTACACAAAAATCGATTTTCGGGAATTTAGATATTTAGATAGGAGGAAAAACAATTAATTTCTTTCTGAAAACAATATTCTAAAGTTAAAATTAGTGAAGATCAGAAACTCAAACAGACAGATAGCTATAAAATTATTATAGTAATTGATAAATAATAAGTAAGGTTATATCAAAGTTAAAATATTTCAATTGAAAAAAAGTAAATATCTTTTAAACCATTTCTTTTAAAATTAAACAAGATGTAAAGGATTATTTGTTTTCATTTTTAAAAGGGTATTAAATTAAGTTTTAATCTGTTTAAAAGAAAATAAAACTTAAGATATTCTTTGTTTTCCTTTTCTTTTTAACACTTTAAAATCAAACCTTCACCAACTTTCACAGTTTTGTAATATTTAAACTTTTAAAAAAAATAGTTTGTAACTTTTAACTCTTATGTTTTAACACAGTTATCATTTAAAGCTCTCACCTTCATTTTAAACAGTTAGAATTATTTAAAATGCAATAGACATTTGTTATAACACTAACTAGTGTTCCATTGTTATTCTCTTCATTTAAGAATTTAAATGAAAAACACCAACAAACAAATTAATTTCATTGACTATTGTTAGTGTCTTTTCGTAAATCATAAATCAAACATTTATTTGATTAATCGACAAAACATAAATAATTGGGCTTGATTAGTTCCAAATTAGAGACCAGATTTAATTTTTAATTCGTTGTTGTTGGTGTTTAAATGTGTGTTTACTAAGATAAATTTTTCTTTAGCCTGTTGTTTTGTTTATGAGAGATTGTGTGTGTGTGTGTGTTTCATTTTATTTAATTTATTTTAGTTTTTAAAAAGTTCAAAGTGTAGTGGTGGTATCCCAAATCCTTTCGGATTTAAATTCGCACATATCTTTATATATATATTTTTGTCAGATGATCACATGGACCACTCACTCTCGAAAGAGATGTTTTGGATCATGGATTGACCAGAGAGATTAAAAGATGGATATAGTTAACCAATTTAAATCATCGCTGAATCACACACACATAGACACACACAATTTAATTTTACAGAATATTCTCCCCATCTCTCATTGTTGTTGTTATTTTGCTTAGAATTTAATTATTAATAATAAATAGATTATAAAGACGAAGATCTACCACCACTAGAACACACATTCATGGTTAACACAAGCCTCTTAAAGAACATACACTCTCACTTCTCAACTGATTTCCTCTTTTATCCATGCAAATAAACATCAACCAATCAACAATTGAAATGATTGATAATCATTCAATATCACACAGGCATGAATGTTCCTAACATTAACACAAATTACACAAACACAAAAGATAAGATACGAAAAAGCAATTTAAATTAAACAAAAACTCTGTTGTTGGTGTTCTTTCATTCTATAATCTTTAATTTTAAATGGTAATCTGCAGACTTTTGACAATCAGCTCATTCGAAATAAACCGGTGATTCTGAAGGTGGTTTTCACTGGTGTGTTCGTATTGGGTGATGGTGATTTACTTACATCACCTATAAATCACAATAAAATCAATCACCATATACAACTGTTTTTTCTTATTGTTTACCTGATGGAGAGATTTAATATGTTCAATCATCATCCCTTCAATTGAAGATGTTCATGATCATAGTGTTTTCTTTGTTACCTCTTTGCAATTAACACCAACAATATCACCAACTCCCAACCATAACCACAGTCATCGCCAACAACCAAGTGTTGAATGTATGAATCAGAAACAAAATCAAACCAAACTAAACTAAACTTCAAAGAAAAAACTATAGGATATCATCAATAAAATTGATTTCCTTTTTATTATATAAACAACAACCAACATCAACAACAAACAACAATAACATTTATTTATTTAAATTCTATTTATAATTATATGTATATAAAATATATTTATTAATAATTAATCAAACGTAATCATTTACAAAATATAAATTATACACTGTTGTTGATATCATATATAAAAAAGATATTATATATTATTTATTTTATTTATTTTTTTAAAAACTAAAAAATAATTTATTTTTAAAATCTATCTATAAAAAAATAGTTTATTTTTGAAGTTATTGTGTTTTCGTTAACAACAATCATTATTAATGTTCTATCAAATTAAAAATTAAGTTCCTATCGAAATTAAACTGTTTTCTCACAGGATAAAATTGACCTTTTTGTAAAAATAAAAAGTGTAAGTAACCAATAGCAATGATTTCTCTCAGTCAAATCTGAGATCTTTAATTTTGTCACTAAATCAAAATGGCTGAGATGCTCCAAAATCAACAATTTTTTTCATATTACCACTCTCAATCAATCAATTCCTTTTTGTTCAAATTTTTGTTTTTTTTTTGATCATAAAAATAATGATCTTTCTTTTTTTTTATCCAATAGTTTAGTTTTTTCATTTTTCATTTTTTTGATCGAAATCATTGATGTTTGGTTTCAGTAACAACAAAAAATGAAATTTAATTCGAAAAAATGGTTTGTCAAGATATTTTTGTTTTAAAAACTCTTTTTTTGTCTAAATACCCAAAAACAAGTCTGATCAGTTTAAAGCTTTAGAAATCTCGAAAAAACCGTTTATGATCATCTCCCAAGTCAGACCAAACACTTTTTTTCATTTAATTTGTTGATCAAAAACAATATTGTCACAACCCAAATCGATAGCACTCCTTATTCCATATCGAAGGGGTTAACAACTCCAACCAGTAAAACACTTCACATGAAAACCACCACCATGACCCTTAATCCTAATAGACCTATGGAGTGATTGCATTGTGTTGTGTGTTTGTGTGCGATTTTATTTTATTAACTAGTGTGTGTTGTTTTGCCTATACTCTTGAAATCACCCCCACATCAATATAGAGTGATGGGTGGTTTACAGACCGATTTCATTGTTATTTTGTAACCACACACTACGGTAAATCAATTCTTTCAAAGGTGGAGACTGTTGGTTTATTCGACACTCATCACAACTCAGTGACAACACACACACTGATCACACAGATATATCACACATGTTTCCATTTACCTCTAATATTGATTGGCTAAACACTTCAATCACACATTTAATCACATATTGGTCTAACAAGTAATTTTGATAGGCATGTTGTCTTTGTGTGTTTATTGTGATCACTGTTCCATCAGTCATATGCACCAGTAGACCGACTAATAAAGTCTATCAGTTTTCTATTCATAGAGTTTGTTAAATAAGAGTTGATGATCAGAGTGAAATCTCGAAAATCTATTTCACTTTATGGTTCTACTATTCCAAACTGTTTAATTTAATTTTACTAAACCAACAACAAGATATCTAAAGTAATTGATTGATAACCTCAAATGACTATCATTTTCTATCGGATATTTATTATTATATTTATTCCAACCAACCAACAAACTTAAAACTAAACCTAACTTTAATCTCATTACCTACTAAAGAAAACCTTTTAGTCAAAGACAATCATATCCTATTGTCATATGAAATCAATAATACTTTAGTTGGATAGTTTAGTTTAGTTTAGTTTAGTTTTTATTAATTTTAAAAATCAAATCAATAATTATTATCTATCTATCTATCTTTATTTATTTAGTACCATTACATATCAATTTATTATTTTATAGATATATAGTTTATTTTTTAATATTTTATTTTAAACATTTGTTGTAATATTATTTTAAAAACAACTAATGATTTCATTTCTATAAACAAATAATTTAGAAATTATTATATTATAGAAAAATCTAAAAAACACAGTTTTATATTTTTATTTATTTATTTATTATATTTTTATCGTTTTTTTATTTATTTAGATGAATATACAAAGATTTGGCTCAGAGCAAACCAGAAGAGAAAATAATATGAATACCATTTATCAACAAACTCAATATCCAATTCCACATTTCCCACCAAATTATTATTTACACCCACATCACACAGCTTCGACAATGCCACAACCAAGTCCAAGAAATACCACTTCCTATCCATATGAAAATGGAACCAATAGATCATCTCCATCAAATAATTATTTGTAAGTAATTTAATAAATAATATAATAATTAATATTAACCTTATTTTCTTTATTTTTTAGTCCATTATATCAACAACAAGATGTTTATAGTCATCAACAATTTAAGATATCCAAACCACAAATAGTACCAACACCAATCCAACCATATACTTATCATCAAGGATACCACATGAGTCCACAATATTCACAACAACCACAATACCATCAACCACAACAACCACAACATCCATTTTCATATAATAAACAACATATAGAATTGTAAGTTACAAACATTTATTATTAAAAATATAATTTATTAACATTTTATTATTAATATATAGTTATGACCAACTTATTCAACAACATCCACATAAAGAATTTCAAAACAAAGATAGTCTGTTCTATCCTCCTTCCATCATTCCATCACCAAGACCAAATAATATTAATAACACCAACGTCAGACCAGTGACCTCCCCACCACCACAACATTTGACCACAATCGATATTTCACCATCTTCTTCATCCTCTTCTTTGTACAGTCCAGATGCACATCGTCCTATTTATTCTCCTCCATTAAATCAACAACAACAACAAAAATTACAAACTTCTCATTTATCTCCACAATATTCCGCTTCACCATTGTCTTCACCATCTCAACCACAAAACAATCAACATCAACAACAACAACCATCACCTATTTCCTACCACTCACCATCTTCATCGTTTACTTCTTTACATCAACCACAACCGCAATATCCAATCACTCAGTTATACAATTTAGATGGTAGCTCAAGTATAATCAGTGTATTTTGGAAAGTCACCTGATCGCCAACAACTTCATCTCTATGGGGGTAGCAGTGCAGCATCTACCAAGAGTATTCTGAATGACGATGAACCAACTCTTGGCCATATAACAAACAACAATGCCAATATTATTTTCAAAGAGAGACCTCACATCCCCAAGATTTCATTACCAGTTACTGGTAATCAACCTATTGCCACTGAACAAGAAGAGAGCTTCGTAGATGAATCAGACAGCAAGTCTACAACATCGACTATAGTCAACGATGACTCTGATCAACCAAGTAGCGATAGAAGTAGCAGTGCTGCTTCTACTACAACCACCACTACTACCTCTAGCTCATCGTCGAAAAGACATAAGGACAAAGACAGTAGTAAAGAGAGAGGAGATAAGGATAAGGAATCAAAGAAATCGAGTAAAGTAAACAAGAGACCAGATGAAATCAAAGTAAAGAAACAAAGAGGTAGACCTAGAAAGGAACGTCCAACCTCTTGTTTGGGTTGCAATACCAGTACCACTCCAGAGTGGCGAAGAGGTCCTCTCGGTCAGAGTCTGTGCAACGCTTGTGGAATTCAATATGCCAAGCGTGTGAAACGCGAGAGAGAAGCACGCCTTCGTCATAGTATTGCAAGTATTGTCAACTACGACGATGTAGAACCACTCGACCACTTTAACAATAGTTATAAATCGTCAACCAGTAGCATTGATACTATCGATCAACTAGATGATTTCAATAGTAGAATCAACATTAGAAGTAACAATATCAATAGCTATTACAATAATATAATGGATGAAAATGATGATCTTCCACTGGAAAGCAGTAGTACACCTAGAAGAGGATACAACAGTCAAAGAAGAAGTAGTATCAGTAGTTTGAGTAGTAGCAGTGGCTACGAAAGCTATAGCAGTGACATCGAGTCGGATACTACATCGATTGGTGGTAGCACACCCAGAACCGGCACACCAAGATTAGGAACACCAAGAACAAGTACACCTCCTAGAATCATCAACAACAGTAACAACAACAACAATAGAAAGGAATAAGATCCATTTCCAAATAAACAAACAATTTTTTTTTTTTTAGAGTATTATTACATTCAACTAAACCAAACCAACTTTATTATTTTAACATCTTTTCTTCTCTCTATTGAATATATTACACACATTGGGTTAGTTTTTTATTTCTAAAAATTTGAATTAAAGTGGGTCGACTCACAATAATAGATCATAAAAAAGTACAATTGAAGCAAAGAATAAACCATTATTTGTTTCATCATACAAAACATTCTCTCTTGTCTTTGAACTTAGTACTTATTCATTTTAACCAAGGATTCACAATTCAATACTAAAAAAAACCAAACAAAAAAATCCCATGATATGAATTATTTTAGTTTTTAAAAAGTAAGCGACCGAATTAATTAAAACGAACAAAGCCAAATTAGCTCTGTTTTGATCTTTATGGTCATGGCAGTTGTATCCTTCAATACGTTAAAAGTCATAGGGAGGCAAGATAATATTCCTACATTCATTTGGACAACAATATCAGTTTGTTTCATCCATCCATTCAGTAGGAACAGTATTAATATTTAAAAAAATAAAATAAAAATAAAAAAATAATATTTAAAAAAGTAAGCGACCGAATTAAGTGAAAAAACGAACAAAGCCAAATAAGCTGTTTTAAAAGATTCTTTTTAAAGATGCGCACAATTCCCAATCAATCTTTTTTGATTAATATGACAAGTTAAAATATTAAATGATGTTTATAAATAATTGTTTTATTTTGTTTGTTGTTATTTTTTAATTTAATTTAATTTAATCTTGATTCATAGGCAGCCCATGCAGCTTGTTTATATTTGATTGCCTCTGATTTTGGTTCACTGTTTTGATAGATACCTCTACCGACAATGATTACATCGGTACCCTTCTCCTTGACAACATAGTCTGGAGTGTTGTATTGTTGTCCCATGCTGTCACCTTTGGAGTTGAATTGGATACCTGGTGTCATCAAAACAAAGTTGTCGCTCATCGATTCCAATCTCTCTTGACAAATGAATCCCATTACAGCATCGGAATTCTGTTTACCCATTTCAATCATTTGATTTGTATATTCACCGACACACAAAGATCCCTCTGTTATTATTAATTTATCAATGATATTAGTCGACTTCTAATATAATCATTACATTTATCTATCTATTATTTTAATCAAACAGTACTTACTTGATGACATTTGAGCGAGTAAAAGTAAACCGGCACCGGTTTGTTTGATTGAATCTCTGAAACCATCGATAATAGCAGGACCGGCTACACCATGAATGGTCACCATATGTGCCCACTTGGAGATATGGTATACTCCACTTTCGAATTGATATTTAACAGTGTTACCGATATCTGCAAACTTTCTATCCTCCTATAAATATGTACATTTGTTGTTTAGTTAGATTAACATTAACTTTGAGTTGTACAAAATATGTAATAGGGTTGACAAATTTACTTACAAAAATTAAAAAGTTATGCTTTGATGCAATTTGTTCGAGTTGGTGAACAAAATCTTGGTCATAGTCGTCGATGATGTCGACATGTGTCTTTAGTACACAGATTTCAGAACCAATGGAATCGGCCAAGTTCAATACTTCTTGTTTACGGGTGAGATCTACTGCTACTGCCAAATTGGTCTTCTTTGTGGCCATGATATTGAAAAGTTTGGAAGCGGTTGGGTTGGTAGCGAGTTTTGCACGTTCCTCATAGGTGAGGTATTTCTTTGCTGGCTTTGGTGCTGGTGCAGCAGCTGGCATTTGCGATGCGGCTGGCACGGTGACAGCACGGTTGGCTTCGAGGAAAGAGTTGACCAATGCCAAGGTTGGCTCGTCGAGTTTGCCTTGTTTGGTGAGGGTGTCGATCAACTCCTCCATGGTGATGACAGAGTGCAACTTCAAGCCGTGTTTGGCTAGCTCTTGACGTGCTCCCTGTTGACGATCGAGCAACACAACGACGTCGGTGACGACGAGTCCGCTGGCGTTCAAGTCACGCACGGTCTCGAGCACGGATGCACCCGAGGTGACGAGATCCTCGACGACCAACACGTTGTCACCGGCTTTGTAACGACCCTCGATCAGTTGAGCGGTACCGTAGTTCTTTGCTTCCTTACGACGCATTACCATCGGAGTGTCGTGGGCGATCGACATCGCGGTGGCAATTGGTAGCGCGGTGTAGGGAACACCACAGACGATGGGTGGCATCGAAGAGTCTTGACTGACCTTTTGGTACATCATCTCGGCGATTTGAGATAGCAACACCGGTGAGCTAACAGTGACTCTAAGATCAATGTAGATCGGTGACATAATACCACTCTTCAATTTGAATTGACCTAATTTGACAGCGTTGATCTCATGTAATCTACTGACCAATGTATTTAAATCCATTTTTTCAATAATATATAATTTTTATTTAAAAAGTAATAAAAGTAATTAAATGTTTATTTATATATTCGATATAATAAAAAAAAAAAGGTAGTAAATTTTTTACTAAAAATGATTAATTTAAATTAATACGAAAATCATACATATGATTTCGTTTTAAAATTCATCGGAATTTAAAAAAAAAACGAACAAAGTTATTTTATTTTATTTTATTTTTAAAATTTCCCATCAACTAAATCAGGAATTGAGAAAAATTCAAGTGTTTATTTATTTATTTTCTTTTAATATACAGATAGAAACAGAAGCATTTATTTGAATTTATAGTTGCTTAGTAATATCTTTTGAAAATATTGTTAATTTGATAAACTATAAAAAAAAAATGTTTAAAATCTAATAATATTGAATAAAAAGAAATCGAAATATATTACACAACTACATGTCTACTTTGACAGTAATTAAATGTTTAATATTTACAAATTAAAATCTATATCTTTAATTAATTGTGAATACAAATCATAACTCCACTTACTTTCTAGAAAATAACAAAAAAAAAAACAAATATAATAAAATCAATCAAATAAAAATACTACTTTGATTACAAATAACTTACTATTGAGAAATGAATTTAATGATCAAGATTATAAATATATATATTTTTTGGTTATCGTATATCTTTCGATTCAACATCAAGGCAATGAAATTTGAGAGATAATATGGATTCCTATGATCGTTCTTCTTCAATAAGCTTAAATTAAAGTTACCATTTTTTGTTTTATGACTTGTCAAACAAATTTAATCGATAATTTTTCCCTCCTTTTTTGTTTATTTTTTTAATTGTTTTCATACATTTTTTTTTTTGGTTGTAGTAATTATTTATATATATATATATCTTTATTAATCAAAGAATTGAAAAATAAATGAACATTGATTCATTCATCTTTTATAAACACTTAAACTCTCACAAAACTAAATAACCAAAAAAAAATTAACTACTTAATTAATTGTATATGTATAGCTAATTGGTATTTCACAAATAACATATTATTATTGTTGTTGTTGTTTAATGTTGTTTCATTCTTTCTTTCACACAATCATTCTTTAGATTAGAATAAAGTTAGAAAGAAAGAACTTATTTAAATTGTATTATATATATATATCTATTTATCTATCTAATTTTCAAATTATTAAAAATAAAAAGAACATAGATTTTTGGAGAATGAGTGACCATCATGATCCATCTACGAATTTCATAGAGTTGGAATCCGCTTTGGATGACCATGTAAATGGCAATGGTGGTGGTGGCGTTGTTGTTGGTGTTACCACCGAATCGATGTCTCTTCACGAGCGTGTATTGAAGATATGCAAAGAGTCTGGCTTGGATAGTTTGGCACGTGATTCAGGTTTCATACAAAACGATGAAATACCAACACTTAGAGATTATGGTGGTGGTACAACTCAACAGCAACAACAACCTTATTTCCAACAAGGTGGTGGTTATGCACAACAACAACCTTTTAATAATAGTAATAATAATAATAATAATAATAATAATAATAATAATAATAGACAAAATTCAACAACACCAATACCAACAACTACTACAACAACAACAATGGCGGATTATTATTTGATGGGTGACCTGAGGAGTAAGACTAGTACTGGCAATAGCAACAGTTCATCTCAGACATCGACACCTCCATTTACATCACCATACTCTAGTCAACAATCGTCGTATTCTCAATCATCTTTGGCATCGTCATCAGCATCACAATCAAACTATTATCAACAACAACAACCTTTGACGTCAACAACAACAACAACTACTACTACAACAACAAACAATAGCAATAACAATAACAATAATAATTTAAATAGTTCAATTGATATGAGTTTGAATCAATCTATTAATACAGAGTTACCATCGTTTAACTCGGGTTTCAATCATCTCTTTGAACAGAACTCTATATCGGTGGATGAACACGCCAACAAAAAGACAAAGAAGGAAGACAAAGGACTTAGATTTCTCAGTATGAAAGTCTGTCAGAAAGTGCAGAGCAAGACAAACACCTCCTACAGCGAGGTGTCCAATGAGATCATCAACGAGATCGTAATGGAAAACATCAAGTCGGGCATGACCAACGCCGACATCAAGACAAACACCATGAAGCGACGTATCTACGACGTGCTCAACGTCTTCCAAGCGATGGGAATCATCACCAAAGAAAAGCAGACGATCAGCTGGATCGGACTGCCCACATCGGCACCACCACCCGCGTCACACACCTCGCTCGAGCGACAAAAGCAAGATCTGCAGGCGCGTCTCCGTGCCAAAAAGATGGCGTACAAAGAACTGCAGTTCCAGGAGCGTCTCTATCACACACTGATAGACCGCAACGAAGAGATGGTCGCCAACACCAACAACACTAGCACTGGAAGTTCCGGAAGCACCGGCAGCAACGGCGAGAACGACCGTATCCACCTCCCCTTTATTGTGGTGAACACCAAGAGCACCTCTGTCATCAACTGCGAAGTGGAGTCGGACCGCTCCAAATACTTTTTCAACTTTACACAACCGTTTGAGATACACGATGACAGCGAGCTGATAAAGAAACTGACATTCATACCGCCACATCCGACCAAACAGATGCACTACAAAAAGAAGAGAAGAAAAGATGAAACATCGTTTATCGATTCCTCAATCGACCAATCTTTTGATTATAATGGAACTGAGAATGAATAATCAAAAAAAAAAAAACAATGTTTTATTTATTTTTAAACAATAATTATTTCAACATCAAAATTGTTGGTCAAATGTAATATTCCTATATTTCTCTTTCTTTCTTTCTTTCTTTTTCAATCAAACCAGAATATTTCAAACACATATATAAACATTTTTCATTTTCTTATCAAATCAGATAGATTCCAAAAAGATATTAAAAAATCAACAAATCTACTTTCCTAAATTATATAACCAAACAAATAAATATCAAATATCAAATATTTATTTTAACAAATAATATTAATTGAAATAAAATGTATTCATTTTCAAATTTCTCAATTTTAAAATTGTTTTTGATTAAGATCAATCCTGGTTCAAAGATGGTGGTTGGTGATTGAAAAACTGACGAGCAGTGCAAACACAGTTTTTTGATTTTTTTTTATTTTTGTTTTTAATTTAGAATCCGCTGAAGAAAAGCCCAAAAAAACGATTTTTTCAAAAAAAAAACAAAAAAAAAACAATTTGATAACATTTTTCTTTTTTAATTTTGGATTTCAACTTTTATTGTGACATAATCATTCTTTATTTATTGTTTATCATTTCTCTTCTTTTCTTTTAAATCAAACAGTGCAGTGTTGTTGTTGATTGACTTTGACCTTTTTTAAAACAAAACAACGAAAATATCATAATCACCACAAATCTTGTTGTCCAACCATCAACCATAGCAACGAGTTCATCATTTATTTCCATTTCTAGAAAGATTGATCAAACAAAAATCAAAAAAGTTTTTGTTTTTTTATTTTTTTAATCGACAGATATTATCACACCTTCATCCACCTCCACATTTCACAAATTCACTCGACATTTCCACCCCTCATAGTTTTTAATTACCATGTTTTGATTAAGATAGAAGAGATTTTCAAGTAAATTATTTTTATTTTAAACTTTAGTTTTTAGCCAAATAGTAATAATACAAATACAGAAATATACAGAACAACAATGTTTGGTAGCGGCAACAGTAAATCTAAAGATTCTGTTGGTGTTGATAAAACAATATGGAGAAGACTATATGAAATATTCATAGTAAACACTCTCTATTTGGATTACAGAAGTATGGCACTCTACAGAGTTGCAATGTCACTCTATTTGTTGTCGGACCTGTTTTGGCGTTCACAGTATCTCATGCACCACTATACTTGGTACGGACAGTATCCAATGTCGATGGGTGCTCAGGGAACAGAGCTGCGTTTTTCGATTCATCTCATCAACGGCTCCATTCCTTTCCAGTTCATGCTATTCGCTACCGCCTGGGCATTCGCAACAATGATGCTCGTTGGCTACCGCACTCGTTTCTCTGCATTCATGTCATACCTGCTACTGGCATCACTTCAGAATCGTAACATCTACGTTCTCGACGGCAGTGACGACTATGTCCGAACGATGTTGTTCTGGTTGATATTTATGCCCAGTGGCAAAGTCTATTCCATCGATTCACTAAGAATTCAACCGACAGCCACAATTGGAAGTTCTGGACAAACCTCTGAAACTTCTCATAATAATAATAATAATGACAACAACAACAATAATAATAATAACAATAACAATAATAATAATAGACATTTATCATTTGCAACCATTGGATTTATAGTCCAATTTGCAACTATTTATATATTCACAGCATTATTAAAACATGGTGATGATTGGCATGTTACTTATGATGCAGTTCACTATGCATTGAATTTAAAGGAATTCAATTATGGTTTGACCGATATCTTGATTCAATTCCCAGAGTTTTTAAGATTCCTAACAAGAGTAAGTAAATTAAAAAGTGGACAACTATTTGTTTTGCTTTAATAGGTTTATTAATTTTCTGTTTTTTTTTTTAGGTCACATTGGCATTTGAATATTTAGGACCCATTTTTATGGTATCACCAATCTTTAACACACAACTAAGATTACTATCGATATGTGGATTTGTAGCAATGCACATTGGATTTGGAGCATGTATAAACATCTATCTATTTATTGTTATTCCAATGGTTTGTTCATGTGGATTCGTACCAACACCATTCTGGGATTTTGTAATATCAAAGATTTCATCAAACAAAGAAAGAAATCATTTATCTGTATGTATTGTAAAAAAGATTATCTTATCTTTTCTATATTATTCAAATATTAATTTAAAATTTTCATTTGCTATTTAGATTTTCTATGATTCTAAATCAAAGAATGTAGAATATATGCTGTTTGCATTTAAGAAATTCTTTTTAATTTCACAAACTCCAATTGTTAAAATAGTAAATTCAAGTGGTGGTTCATCTTCAGGAGCATCCGAACAACGCCTCGACGAAGATGGTATTCACATTTCAGAATTCATTCCATTGAATGACCAATTCAAATCGAAATACTTTTCCGCTCAATTCCAAGGTGAAGTATATTGTGATTACGATGCATTCGTTGTATTGGTATCACAATCATGGTTACTTTGGCCACTTGAAATCATTGTAAATTCACCATTCTTTGAAAAGATTATTAGTAAATTCCATTTATTTATTGTAAGTAAATAATAATAATTTATAATAATAATTATTTCTTATTAACTTTATTGATTTTAAATTTAAAAAAGGATTGGTTAAACAATAGTAATAGTGAATATAATTTAAATAGATATAAAACAACAGTACCAACATCATCCAATAAGAATAACAGTAATAATAGTGGAATGTTGAGTAAAGTAGGCAGAATATTATTTACGATTATCATTCCTCTCGTTTTTATATTGTATGTACCCTATTGGAATTACAATGGATATATGCGACAATCGGATCCAACCTATCCATCACCTCATTTTGCCTCGATTGCCTATGTGTTCAAGACCGATCAGTGGTGGGGAATGTTCGCGCCGAACCCGCCGAAATACAGTCGTTGGCTTGTTATTCCTGCGAATTTCGAGAAGTACACTGGCATCGATCTGCTGCAACCCGAGCCAAAGGCAGCGGACTACAAAGCGAACCCGATCTACACATTCAACAGTGGTCAGCGCCAACGTAACTTCCTCATGTCGATCTTGTTCCACGATGACCTGCGTCTGCACTACGGTCGATTCATCTGTAGAACCTGGAACATCTACTATCCGGATGCCGAGCGTGGCAAACTAAAGAACTTTAAGATCGTCGCTGTACAAAGAAATACCAGACCACCCTACGATGATTCTCCCGCCGAATACTTTAAAGAAGATATATGGGTGCATACATGTTAACCAACTAACTACATATAACGAAAACGAAAAACACACCAAAATCTTTTCTTTTATTAATTACCTACCTAATTTTAAATCATTATAAACTAACAAAAGTAATCAAAATATATGCAGATATTAATAAAAGTAATTATAATTAATCAGACATCATCATTATAACATCATGAAATTTAAAATATTGGAAATGGGAAATTTCAAATCATAATCATCATGTTTTTCCTTTTCAAGAGGTCGTAAGTGGTGTGAAATGAAATTCAGTTTTTTTTTATTAAATTAATGTTATAAATTATCTGTCTAAAAAAGAAGAAGAATAAAATAAAATATAAATTTAGAAAGCTAGATTAATTACTCTATTAATAATTAATTCATCAAATAACTATTTACTTCTTTAAAAACAAAAAAGTTTTAAATAAATATGTCAAAGATTATTATGTATGGTGACTTGATGAGTCAACCTTGTAGAGCAGTAGCCTGGGTAATGATTTATGGTAACATTCCATATGAATTGAAATTACTTCAAGTATTAAAAGGTGAAACAAGAACAGATGAATATAAAAAGATGTAAGTATATAGAGATTATGTTGTTTTTTTTATTAAACAAAACAAAAGAAAACAAGTTTTTATTAACTATGTACATTTTACTTAAATATATTCACTCACCTAGTAATCCATTTGGAAAGATACCAACTTTAAAAGTTGATGATGATGTAATTTTAGAATCACATGCTCAAATGAGATATTTGGCACAAAAGTACAAGTTGGATAGCTTGTATCCCACTGATTTGATAAAGAGAGCATCAGTTGATAGCTATCTAGATTGGCATCATCTTAACTTTAGAAAACCATGTTTCACCTATTTCGTGAGTAAGTTTATGTTGCCAAAGTTCAACGTCGCTACAGACCCATTGAAAGTAGAAGCCGAAGCAAAAGAAGTAGCAAAAGCATTGCATCTCTTTGAAAAGTACTGGTTAGTCGAAGGTAAACAACCATTCATCAACGGTACCGACATGTCACTCGCAGACATCTCTGCCTACTGTGAACTAGTACAACTGCTTCTCCTGAGCTACGATCTCTCTCCATACAAACACATTGCAACCTGGATGAAGAGAATGGAGCAGCAAAAAGGTTATGAAGAATCACATAAAATACATAAATTAGCTGTATCAAAGTTGTAATTAAAAAAATAACATAAACATAAACATCAAATAAAATTGTATAACTTAACTTTCTTTTTTTTTTCTTTTATTAATCTATTATCATTGTTATTGTTATTGTTATTGTTATTGTTATTGTTATGATTTGTAATGTTTAATTCATTTGTTGTTGTTGTTGATGTTGTTGTTGTTGGAAATATACAATTACAATTGATTGCGCTACTTGAATGATTGGCTAGTACTATTACGAGTGCGGTGATTGCAGCGGCAAGACAGAGAATGATAAAGAGAACCGTTCCGAAACGATTGGGTGAAAAGTTACCTCTGAGTAGCTGTCGATACACTTGGAAGTATCGGATTGGACTGTAGAGCAGAAAGAGTGAACCCAGTGCTACAAAGATAATGCCACCGGCTCGCGATGTTCCTATCTTTGCCAGTGCGACACCCAGTGCAATACAAGAGAGTCCAGTACGTAGCCATGCGAGGAACGTTCTCTCATTGGCCAGATGATCACGTGCAACCGAACCTTTGTTCTCGAGTATCTTTGTAAAGAGTACACGTCTGACGTGATCCTTTGATTTACTGACATCACCAGATGTCGCAATCTGTTGATTCATTTCATGTCTTGATTTATTTGGTTTACCACCACCGCCGCCGCCGGCAGAGGAACTCAAATGAGAAGATCTCAATGGTGATTGATTGATTCGTTGTGATGTCGGTAACTCCAAATTCGATAAGGAATTGGACAATGATCTCGATTGATTTCTTTTCTTTGTTATATTTGATGTACTATTTGTTAGAGTTGTTCTTTCATTATCTTCATTATTATTATTATTGTTATTGTTATTTTCTAAATTATTATTATTGTTATTATTATTTTCAATATTATTATTATTATTATTATTATTATTGTTATCTATATTTGTGTTACTAATACTATTATTATTAATATTATTATTTTCCATTTATATAATATTACAATTAAATTATACTATTTAAATAAAATCTTCATTATAGATGTAAAATATGTATATGTAAATAAATATCATTTAAATTTAGTTATTAAAGTGTAATATTCTAATAAATTACTTTAATTCATCATCATTATTATTAATAATAACTAAATAATATTATTAAAATTGGTAGACTAGGTGGGTTAATATTAATTTATTATTATTTGATTAATTTTTAACACGAATATTCATCTTTCGTAATATCAATTACTAAGAAGATTTGGACAATAAACTTAGTCTGCTAGTTATAAATTTCATTACATTTGGTAAGTAATTAGATTCTTCTTTTAATTGTGATTTGATCAATCATTGTCATATGACCAGCTTTTTACTTTTCAAAAACATTATTATTATCATCCAATCGCAATATTAAATAACAAATATTGAAAATTTTTTTAATTTGATTGAACTTATTAATTATTAATTTGTTATATTGTTTGAGATTAATTCGAAAAAAAGGATATTTGTTTGGGTAATAGTATTATTAATATTCAGAGTAAAAAAATATATTATATGTTCTATGATTATTTTTTTATTATTTTTTTTTTATAATCAATATTAAATTTTTAACAAGAGATATAAACTTTTTGAAAGTGTAAATGATTACAATGAAAAACAAATAAGCAAGAATACTAAAAAATCATATACCTGACAAAAAAGAGTAACGTTGGCCAAATGGTAATTTTTTTCTAGTTTTTTTTTTTTTTGAGCTTTGTAATTTTTTTTTTTTTTTTTTGGTTCTGTACTTTGAGACGAATCAATTTTTCAATCATTGTTTTCACTTGTTAGAGATAATTCGATAATGTAGGTATTTTTTTTTATTTTTAAAAAGTTTATCATCAAAATAATTATTTAATATTAATTATTCTCATTTATATAAATCAATCATTAACACAGTAAAATGGAACAACAAATCCCAGTTGCTAAATACGAACTCCGTGGTGAGTTGAAAGGACACAACGGTCCAGTCACCTCAATTGCTTTGTCAGCTGACAACCCCGACATTATTTTGTCATCCTCCCGTGACAAGTCTGTCATGGTCTGGAAGCTTACTCGTGAGCAAGACACCTACGGTGTTCCATTGAGATCCCTCCGTGGTCACTCTCACTTTGTCCAAGACGTTGTCATCTCCCACGACGGTCAATTCGCTTTGTCTGGTTCATGGGATAAGACTCTCCGTCTCTGGGATATCAACTCTGGTGTCACCACCCGTCGTTTCGCCGGTCACACCAAGGACGTCCTCTCTGTTGCCTTCTCATTCGATCACCGTCAAATCATCTCTGGTTCATGTGACAAGAGCATCCGTGTCTGGAACACCATCGGTGAGTGCAAGTACGTCTTGTCTGAGGACGGTCACACTGAGTGGGTCTCATGTGTTCGTTTCTCACCAAACACTCCAACCATCGTCTCTGGTGGATGGGATAACAAGGTCAAGGTCTGGGATATCAAGACCTTCAAGTGCACCAAGACTCTCGAGGGACACACTGGTTACATCAACTCTGTCACCATCTCTCCAGACGGTTCATTGTGTGCCTCTGGTGGTAAGGACCAATCTGCCTGTCTCTGGGAACTCCAAACCGGAAAGGCCTTGTACAAGCTCGAAGCCCGTAACACCATCAACGCTTTGGCTTTCTCACCAAACAAGTATTGGTTATGTGCCGCCACTGACGACAAGATCTTGATCTGGGATCTCCTCACCAAGTCTGTCTTGTTGGAGATTGTTCTCCCACGTCCACCAGTCAACCCAGACTCAAAGAGACGTCGTGAAATTCGTTTGCCAGCATGCATTTCTTTGTGCTGGGCCCCAGACGGAACCACTTTGTACGCCGGTTACACTGACAACATCATCCGTGTCTTCTCCATCTCCTCATAAATTTGAAAAAAAACTCATTTTCACCCCCCTGTGTGAAAAAAATAAAATTTTCAAAATTATTTTTGATGAACATCAATTTTTTTATTTTCTATTTTTTAATGACTATTTTTTAATTTAAATACTTTAAACAAATATTATAAATGTAAAACGAACTTAATAAACAAATATGATTAGTTACACGATGATCACCAAAGTGATAGAGAAAAAAAAAAAAAATTAAATCCACTACTTTTCCACTTGGGAAAATAATGTATAGAGTTACTTTAGTGAATTAGTTACATGATTGTTTGTGATTTTAACAATAGTCTTTGGTGTGGGTGATGCTTTTATTACCTTTAATATCAATTTGCCAACAACTAAAATAACTATCACCAACATCATCTAACAAACAACTGACTTTGTTGGCTTTTTTTAGCTCTAAAACTTTTAAATATATGAAATTTTTTTAAATTCAACCAGTTAAGTTATATTAAATTAGTTATATTATTTGTAAAATTAGAAAATTGTATAATTTTATTTTAAGGTAAAAAAAAAATTGTTGTACAAACAAAAAATAAATAATATCCATCTTGAGTTTGACACTTGTCTAGAGCCTATTTTAAAAACCCAATTATTACTTTTTATTTTTTTAATTATCATTGATCATTGATAAATATTTTGGTTTTCAAAATCATTTCATTCTATATTAAATATTTGATCTTTTTTTTATCTGAAAAACATATAATAATATTATTATCATTTTTAAATCTTTATTATTAATTTATTTTCTTTAATCTTTTTCAATCATTATATAGTATATTAAATCTATAGTTATCATTTTATCATTTCTGAAAATGAATACTACCCTCTAACTACAAGTTCAAAGAAGCTGTTATTGAAAAGTATTTGACTGAACATTTAACTCTATCTTCCAAACTTTAGGTATATTTTTTTGTTTGATATTAAATTAATAAATGCTAAATAAATATTCAAAAAATAGATAGGTAAGAATATTGTTAAATATGTACAAAAGTAAAAGTTGAAAGAAATCAGTCTAAAGAGATTTGCGAGAAATCTATCACACCTTAATTTCATTTGTAAATGTGGTAGCACATTTTTACTTGAAAAGGATTTAATTTCAAGTAAAAATGTGCTACCACATTTGGATCCAGCCAACATATTTGCAGAGAGTAGAGTAGAGTTGTAGAATCTGGTAGATACTGATCTCATTTATTCATCATATGAACTCACTCAATCTAGATCTCCAGTAGATTTCATTTTGAAATGTGGTCACCATTTTGTTATTCAAGAAAAACTAAAGACGCTTCATCAACACTATCTAAAGCAATAAACAAATAAATATAAAGTATTTTTACTAGGTAGTTTTTATTTTATTTATTTTACTTTTTGAATTATAAAGTTTGAAAAGTTGATTTTAACTTTTATCCATATCACATATTATTCTTATATAGAATGTAATAAATAAATTTAAAAAAAGACCTAGATTATAACATATAAAGATTTTCTTTGTATTTTTATTGATGTTGATAATGTTTTTTGTTTCAATATTTTTGTTGTGTTATCATTACATTTGTTTGTTTATCTTTTGATCAACTTTGTCTTTCTTTGGTCGAACACTAGATTTTACCATGTTTGCAATAATATCAAAAACCTCGATTGCAGATCTAGCTTTGAAGGTTTTATTATTGAAACGTACACTATTGGTTTTTTGGTTGTTATCGATGTAACTATTAAAACAAATTGATGTGAAATCAGCTTTACAAAAAAGAAAATCAAAAGTAAGTAAATATTTTTTAAAAGAGTTTAATTTTATCTCAAATACAAACTATAATGAATGTGATCTCTTATCTTTTTACTATGGTTCTTGGCTAAAGGTGTATTGGTATAAACATCAATAGGTTTACCACGACGAATTTGGTCCAAAGTAAATCTGCTAACATCGAATGTTTGATACATTTCAACTCTTAATCCTTTGGTGACCATTTTGTTATGGTATATTTCATCTTTGGTCAACTTTACATTAGAAAAATAGCTTAGCAATTACTCTAATAAAATTCATTGACATATTTATATGTTTGAATATGATAAGATAAATAATTATTAAAGATGTTCAAAAGAATGATTAATGTTGATTTTTAAACGTTTAGTTTATAGTTTGATCTCCTCGTAGTATTTAGTTTTCATGATTTTAAGAATGACAAATGTTATTATTACATTTGATTTTAAGTTGAAAATAATAAAAATAATAATTAAAATAAAAGATAAGCATTGATTGACATCTATTGATTGACATCCGATTGTTTTGATCACTTCAACAAAAAAATAAAAATAAATTGTTTTTACAATTTTTTAGAATAAGAATGAATCTTGGTAGCGTAGAAACAAAATGATTACTAATAAAGTTTCAAAGATAATGATGTTATCATCAAAGTCAATATTCAAATACTAAAGACTTCATAATCAGTTACAGATATTCAAAAATATTTTTTTATAAATATTACAACCATCAGATAATCATGAATATTGTAGATTTGAATAACTATTTGCAACATTAAACGTGAATCAAGTCACTATTGTTTTCAACATCATTTAGTTTAATTATTCAGCGAACATTTAGATTAACAAGTTCGTTTTACATTTATAATATTTGTTTAAAGTATTTAAATTAAAAAATAGTCATTAAAAAATAGAAAATAAAAAAATTGATGTTCATCAAAAATAATTTTGAAAATTTTATTTTTTTCACACAGGGGGGTGAAAATGAGTTTTTTTTCAAATTTATGAGGAGATGGAGAAGACACGGATGATGTTGTCAGTGTAACCGGCGTACAAAGTGGTACGGTCGGAGCCAAGAATGAAGCTTTCTCAAATTCCTCATGAGCTGGATTCCAAATAATATCTACTAATTTTCTTTATTGTCCAATAGAAAATAAACAAGACTTATACAAGTAGATATAATAGAATGTGATATACCTTTTAAGTTATATAACTATTTTCAAAAGTTCATTAAAATAATAATTTGGATATAGTTTAAATATAATTTATAAAAATATGAAAATTTAATATACTAGTTAGGTATTACTTATTTAATATTTCTTTATTTTAAACAAAAATTTATTACATTGTATGATTTGTTTTTGAGAAGCTTCTTCATAGGAGATTTACTTTGCTTTGATAAAGTTTGATACACTATCAAAATCTTTAAGAGTAGATTTTTTCCAAAAGAATTTAATATCACCTTGAGCATTCATTACAAATAAACGATTTGATTCTCCATTCTTATCTTTATAGATTCCATAAGCACATATGTCAAAATTGTCCTCTTAAAAAATATATAGTTAGAAAATTTCTAAATGGGAAATAAATTTAATAATACAAACCAATCATAATGTTCTTTTTTATAGTGGTGAATTGGAGGGATTTCATGTTTAACTCTTTACTGATATAAACATCAGTACGAAAACCTTGACCAATCTGATCAAAGATAAAACTACTAACATCGAATGGTCGATATATTTCAGCTCTAAATCCTTTGGTAACCATTTTATTATGATATCTTTCAAATCTTGCCGCCTTAAAGGAAATTGCTCTAACATGTTTAATAGATACTCGAATGAAATTTGACATATTTATTTGTTTGAATATGATAAGATATATAATTATTAAAGATGTTCAAAAGAATGATTAATGTTGATTTATAGATCTCCTCGTAGTATTTAGTTTTCATGATTTTAAGAATGACAAATGTTAATTATTACTTTTGATTTTAAGTTGAAAATAATAAAATAATAATTAAAATAAATGATAAGCATTGATTGACACCTCAAAAAATAAAAATAAATTAAAATATTGTTTTGAGCAACAATTTTTTGGGATTAAGAAAAATGAGACTGATTCTACCGATTAGGTATGGTATATTGTGTTTGTTTTGCTAATCATCACCGAATAACATCTTTAATTCTTCAATTCTTATCTGTTTCTTCATTTGCAAAGTATCTTGTGCGAGATTCTTCTTATTCTGTTGAAGTTTCAAAATCCTTTCTTCGATTGAATCCTGGATGGAAGTAAAAAACAAATGTATATCAAATATTAGTATGATGATGTAATGATTTCGTTACTATTCAATGTAATTTACCTTTATAACAAATCTCGTAACAAAAACATTCTTGTTTTGACCTATACGATAGACTCTGTCGATGGCTTGCTCCTCAGTGGCTGGATTCCACCATGGATCTAGAAGGAAGACGTGAGAGGCAACCACTAAGTTTAGACCAAGTCCACCGGCCTTCATTGATATCAAGAACACCTTGATGTTTGGTTCCTCTTTGAATCTACGGATCGATATCTCACGTTGTTTCTGAGGAACTTTTCCATCGAGTCGCACAAACGCAATGCCTTTCTTCTGCAGCGGAATCTCAATGAGATCGAGCATCGATGTCCACTGTGAGAATATAAGTGATTTCGAATCGGGTTCATTTTCCATGACCTTATCCAACTCTTGCATCAACGCATCTATCTTTGTACTACTCTTCCAGTTGTCGACTGTCAGTTTACTATTCTGTTGTTGAGATGCTTGTGTTGTTGCTGTTGTTGAAGTAATGGTTGGTGATTTACTGAAACATACTGATTTCAATTGTGATTTAAGTAATTCTGATTTACATGTTGGACATTTGAATATTATCTCATTTGGTGAGTTGGGGTTGGAAGTGATCGAACATGAAGGAATTGGGACACTGTTGCTTGATGTTGAAATGGGTGATGCAATATAGGGTGACGATGGAAGTTGTGGTGAATTGACTGGACTGATTGCAACACAGTTGGACGATACATTCAATGGGTTCTGTTGTCTTGGTGAGGTATAAGTTGGAACACCATTCAACGATAGATTCAATCCAAAGTTGGGTGAGGTCGGTGTAAGTTGTTTGTTGGTGGCCAAAGGTAGTTGGAATGAAGGTGATAATTTAGATTGTTGTGACCCATCTATATCATCAACATTATTTTTACTATCATTTCCATTATTACTAATACCATTTGCAATAACATTAATATTATTACTATTGTTATTATTATTATTATTATTATCATCTTGTGAAATATATTTCATGATACAATCTTTACAGAATAAATGACCACAGGTTGTAAGATATGGATTATCTAATGTCTCCATACATAGGATACACTCTTGATCTTCTATCTCTTTGCCAAGAATCTTCTTTAATCGTTGGCCAAGTACGTTTGGAGTGATCTGAGGATCGTTGGACTTGATGGATTCTAGTAGTTTGTTGAGTTCTTCAGATACATCTTGTTCTTCGAATGAAAAAAGTTTGTCCTTGAGGATATTTCTTACGAGATAGGGATGGTCGCATATCTGTCTAAGTCTTAGAAGCAACTCCAAGATGTGTGCATAGTTTTTCAACAGAGTACCACTCTGAAAAAAGTTGATAAACTTTTTCTTGGAAGCATTCCACAACTCTTGGTAAATTTCCAATTCATCCTCATTGAAAGGATCACGTCTAATTACAATGGACTTGTCTGGTAAATCTAAAATCGGGGTATTATTCATCTTTTGATCTTTAACTCTTCTCAATAATATCTTTGATAATAATATCTAAAGAAATATTTAAAAGTTAGTTTACTGTCTTTTACAAAAATGTTACGTAATCTAAACTATTACTACTTACTCTTAATCTTGAAAAACCTTTCTCATCTCTATTCTTACTTGGTTTGATAATGTATTGATTCCACCAGTAAAAGTTAGAGTATGGTTCAACACGAAGGAAGTGGAGCAGTGAGAACAGATCGTCCAGTTTATTTTGTATGGGTGTACCAGTGACACACCAACGGATTTGAGAGTCGAGTGCACAAGCAGCCTTGGTCGTACGTGTAAGTCTCTCTTTGATGGTGTGTGCCTCGTCTAGTACCACTCTAAACCAATGAACTGCCAAAAGTCCACCGTTGCTATCGTTCTTCTTGGATCCACGCTTACGCTTCTTGGCCAACACTGAATTGGATGAGAGCGATGAGGTGGAGCTAGACAGTGATTGTGTCGAAGGTGAAACCAACGGTTGGAATGAGCTATTTACAAATAGATTACTGCTCTTACTGAGTGAATCGCCACTGTGCTGATCGGAATCCGCACCGTTTCCACCGTCTTTCTCATCGGGATACTCGGCAGACAATGTTGTATAGGTAGAGAGAACCACATCGAAAGAAGACAGGAAGTTGATATCACGATTTCTACCTGGTCCATGATAGATATATACATTCAAACTTGGCTCTGTGTGATTCACCAATTCATTATACCATTGTTGTAATACTGAAACAGGACATATAATTAATGTTGTCTTTGATTGTTGAGATGAATTATTATTGTTACCATTGTTGTTGTTGTTATCATTCATTAAAAGTGGTGGACTACTATTATTACTATTACTATTATTATTATTATTATTATCATTGTTGTCATTGTTATATTTGTTGGCCAATATAATTGATAGAATTTCAATGGTTTTACCCATTCCCATGTCATCACAGAGCAGTCCACCCTTGATGAATTCGAGTTGTTCACTGCTGAGACCGGTCGCATCCAGTTCGTTCAGTGAGAGGTGCTCGTTTGGACTGGAGTGTTCACGCTGATACATCCAGTGTAATGCTTGTCGTTGGTAGTTTCTCAGTGACAGTTTCAATCCTTTGGGCGAATCCATCTCGTCGACACAGGTGTTGGTGTAGAAATCCTCAATCTTTTGTTTGAAAATCGACTCCATCGACTTGCCGAGAACATCGGAGCTGCTTGATCGCAGTGAATTTGGATTGAGATTACGAGAACTCGACAGAAAATCAAGACTGATATTGAGTGACGACGATGAGTTGTTGAGATAGTTGGGGAGGTCACCCGTACTACTGGAAAAGTTGGTGGCACCAGCGGTGTGAACAGGAATCGACGAGAATGAATTGCCCGGTGAGTACAGCGAGAGTGGTGTGATGATAGAGGAGAATGAATTGCTTGGTGAAAAATTAAAGGTTGAAATCGAACCGAAACTGTTGCCCAGTGATGTGGAAGTGGTCGGTGCCGCCAAAAAAATGCTTGAGAATGAATTGTTCAAACTTGGTGAAGTGGTAATCGATGGTTGACAAACTGTGAGAGTCGGTGGCGATGATGTTGACATCAAGTTTGGCGCTTGGTCAATGCTGGTGAGGTGTAGTTCCAGACCCATTTGTAGCCATGCCTTTGCCAAGATGTGATCTCGATTGACAGATTCCTTTTTGATGCCATCGTAGAACTTGACCTCCAGTTCCACCTTTAGTGTTTTAATATTGATGAGAACGATCGATGATTCCATCTGTATGTATTTGTTCTCCATGAGAATCGACATCCACCATGCCATTGACTGAGGAATGACGCCTAGACAAACCTCATCAACACTTCCATTTAAAACAGTGAATACTCTCACTGATGTGATGTTGTTGTTGTTGTTGCCACTACTCTCAATGTTATTGTTACTACTACTATTGTTATTGTTGTTTAGGTACTTTGAATGACAATGGTTATTCTTTACAATTCTAACGGTTGTAAAACATCCAATGAATAGTTTCGAGAGGACTGTAAGATCACTACAAACTATATCGATATTAAAAAGACCCAAGTAATTATCTTTGCTTGTGGCTGGTAGTAAGATTGGTGATGATGGTGATGATGATGTTAGATGTTGTTGATGATAATGATTGATTAATTGTTTATATTGTGATAACCAGAGATGTGAACAATGTCCACTTTCTCGTGTGATATGTTGATTAAAAGCGTTTAACAATGGTGAAATACTTGGAGGAGGAGGTGGTGGTAAAGAAGGTTGTTGTGGTGGTGTAGTGGATGTAGGTGTCAAAATATTGGGTGTAGAACCATTATTGATAATAGTTGGTGGTGTAATTATTAAATTTGGATTTGCAATGATTTTCCTTGATTCTCCAGGTGCTAATGTTGATGAAATATTACTATTATTTGATATACTAACTAATTCATTATATATACTATGTAAACTATTTTGGTTATTATTACTATTTTTGTTGTTAATATTACTATTATTATTATTACTATTGTTACTATTATTATTATTGTTATTTTCATAAGGAGTAAAAGAATTTATACATGGTGATGAAATAGGTGATGATGGAATATTGTCATTAATAAATAAACTGGATGATGTGTGAATTGTGGTTGGTGTCGCTGGTGGTGACATTGAAGAAATCAATGGTGAAGTATGAATCGATTTAGAAATATTATTGCTATTGTTATTGTTGTTGTTATTAAATAAATAATTGGATTGATTATTATTATTGTTGTTGTTGTTGTTTGTATTGATAGTTGGTGTGATTGTTGTTGTTGTAGAGGTTGTTGTTGGTGTCGTATTTGATACAGTGGTTGATTGTGAGTCGAATAAAAATGATGATGATGCCAATAAACTGCTATTGTTGTTGCTCGACGCTCCAACATTTCTCGATGATTTACTATAGAGTCCTGTCTTTACTGATTTTTTGGCTCGCTTTAGATTTTGATCGTTCTGATTATTGTTGCCAAACAACGATGAAGAGTGTGACGATGACGAAGCAAATGAGTTTGCATTGATCAATAATGCAGGTACTGTAAACTCTGCATGATTATTAATGTTACTACTACTGCTACTACTACTATTACTTAAATTATTATAGTATTGTGGTATATGTTGTTGCTGTTGGATTGATGAAAGTGTTTGTGCTTGTGATTGGAAATAATTCATATTTAAATGATTATTATTATTGTTGTTATTGTTTAAATTATTAATATTTAATTGATCTCCTGATCCACTGTTGAATATTGAATTACTGTTGTTAAAAGATGGTACTATATAAGAAGGTTGTTGAGTTTGTTGTTGTAGTAGTTGTTGTTGTTGTTGTTGTTGTTGCTGTTGCTGTTGCTGTTGCTGTTGCTGTTGCTGTTGCTGTTGTTGTTGTTGTTGTTGTTGTCCCTGTATCTGGGAGAGTTGTGAAGTTAGCTGTGATGCCAACTGGCTGAAATTGGAATTCATTCTATTGAGAGTTGGTCAGACAGAACATAAAGGGAGTTGGTGTTCAACAAAAAAAAAAAAACAAGGATCTATCTACTCTCAGCCTTAAAAAAACAACTGACAAACAACTTATATAAATATAAATTTATATAAACCTAATTAATCGATTTGAAAAGAATATTAGTATGGTTTGATTCAAATTCAAATTTAAATTTAAATTGAAAATTAGTGCTTTGTTGTTTATTTGTTTGACTGGACTGACTGGATCATTCATTCACAATCAATTAATTGATATTTGATTTGATTTGATTGATTATTATTATAATATAAAATTAAAAGAGTAAAGGTGTTGGAGTGAAAAGAATAATTTTCAGAGTAAACATAGTTGGGGGATTGTTACTTTAGAAATTATAATTGTAAATAAAAGTGTCAAAGAGGTAAAATAAGTGTTACATGCTAAAGAGAGAGAGTAGGGGGTAGGGGTTGGTATAAAACATCAGGGTCATGTCTGTGGGTAAGCCATATGTATCAGATTACTGATGAGTAATTACTTTTGTGGTAGTGGTGTGTTGGTTATTGTTTTGGTTGTTATTGATATTATATCAATATCATTATATTGATATGAGTGGTAGTTGTTGTTGTTGTTAATTTGGTAGTGTGTGTATGTGTTTGATATGATTAAAATTTCAAAATCAATTAAAAATGAGATATAAAAACTAATCCAATCACACTAATAACTTTTTTAAATGTATGATCTTTATAATTGAAATATTAACTGCTGAAATATAATGTAATGATGATGTTCAAATTATTCAATCTAAATGCTTTGTTGATTTAATTTCTTACAATTTTGATAAATGAAATATTAACTACTGACTACTTATTCTAAATATTAATTTCGCATATTTCTACTATTGTTAATTATGAATGAATATATTTAGATTTATTTTAAATGAAAAATAATTTGGTGCTTTTTTTTTTAATTTTAATTTGATCGTGGTTGTTTTGTTTTTTTTTTTTTTTTTTTTTTTTAATTTTCAAACATTTTTTTTTGATGGTTTGGATTGAAATCAAGAGGTTTTTAATCGCGATTAAAAAATCAACGATGATGTCTTACAATTTTTGGTACACATAAAACAAAAATAACTTTTTTTACAAACAAAAAAAGGTGGTGACAACCTTGTCAGGCAAACAATGAAGTTGTTGCGCAGGTCTTCAAAAAAAAAAAAAAAAATATGTTGACAATGAATGAAAAATACTTACTTTGTTATTTTTTACAATACAATAAATTTTTAACACTAAACGAAGTTAGTATTTATTTATTTAATTTTTATTTTTATTTTATTTTTATTTTTTAGAATCTAAAAAAGAAAAAAAAGGTCTCAAACAAACCTTCTCATTAGAAAATAAAATAAATAAATAAATAAAATAAAATAAATCCAATATGAAGAATCGTCATGTCAGATGTCAAAAAAAAAAAGCAAATCTTTGAATCTTGGATTGATTTTCGATAAATACCAACATTATCCAAACTTAATTTTAAGTGCAAAGTGGAAATTAGGTGAGAAGGGGGGGAAATACAGAGAGCAATCAAATAAATTGCAAAAAACAATCTTGGTCATTCGCTGAATTTATTTGTAGTAAAAAATTTTTGCAAACATTTCGTTGAATTGTATTATAATTAAATAAAAAAAAATTGGTAATTTTTTCACTACAAATAAAATTAGATCAGGTTGTTTTTACCCAGTTCTCTAAAATAACAGAATAACAAAAACAAAAACAAAAAAAATAGAAATTTTAAATAAAAATGATATTATTTTTCCAAATGTTTAATAAATAATACAAAAGATATTATTATTATTGATTTGAAAACGAAAATTTATTAACTTGAGTTGCTTGTTCAATAAAAAATTTTAAAAGATAAAATGATTTTTTAGTTTTTTCAATAAATTGATTAGTTGAAAAATCAAAGTTGAACTAATTCTTAAGTAGAAAGAAAATCTATGAATATAAATACAATACCATTCAACTAAAAGTTTTATCTTCAAAATTGTTGTTTTTTTTGTTGTTCTTCTTTGAAATCTCCCTTGTACGTAATGCAAAGAAAAGGCTCTTAAATCGGTGGACTATTTATTGGGAATTGCTTAATTTAAAATTGTATAAAGAAATTTCAAGTTTATCGAAATTTAAAACAATTGTTGTTTTGAGTACAGACATTATTAAATTAAGTATCAATTACCAATCTCTTAACCTGGTATACATTACTTAAGAATATTGTGACAATTGAAAAGATTGATTATAAAATCAATTAAATTAAAAGTCAGGAAAAGTTGCCTATTGTTATTGGTTCTCAATAGATTCTAACTACACACGCACACACATTAAATTGTTTCGACAGTTAGGTTAGGTTGTAGAATAAAGATAGGTGTGTTTAGAAAGACTTGATTTTCATTTCTTTTTTGTCAACAAAATGCATTGTAAAGATTGATAATGGTAGTGTAGGTATGTAGAGAGTATATGCTTTAAAGTAGAAGAATCTCATGCTTGCCCAATGAACCAAAGGTGATCTTATTGGTGATGATGATGGGGTACAGGGAATACCACATTGAAATTAATATTTGATTAGCAGATATATTTATAGATATATTAATAGGATGTGTATGTGATTTTAAAAACAGTGGTAGTGAGTTAATGCTATGTTATTGTGTGATTTGATTATGTGTTTGTGTGTGTTTTTGTGTTTGTGTGTGGGTGTGGGTGTTAGTGATTTAGTGAGTGATGTGTTTGTTTGATTAGAGAGAATTTGAGTGTGGAATAAGTATGTGTTTGTGTGTGTTTTGTTTATGTTTATGTTTATTAATATGATTAATATTATATCAATGTATTATATTATAAAAAAATAAAATAAATAAATAACATTAAAAAAAAAACAATAATGTTTAAAAATATATTTCTTTCAATTTTTTTCCTCTTATTTTAAATAAAATAGAAATTGTAATAATTAATAATAAGAATTTTATTTTATATATTTATTGTTATATATCTGTTGTTGTATCTGTAAGTCAATAAAAGCAAATTCAATCCACTAGGTTGCCTAATCAAATAAACAAAATATTGTTACCACAATTGTTTGACTTCCCTTTATCAACAATCAAAACAGTTTAGCACAATAATAAAACAAAATCAACTTAATTTTGGGAATATTATTTTTATGATAATTACAATTTTGTATTATTATATTTTTATTTCTTTAAATGTATTTTAGAACAAACTTTCTATAGATCTAATATTATTTTATGATTTGGATATCTATAATAGATCGATTATTTTTTAATTAAATAAAATTTAATAAATTAAAAAAAAAAAAAAGAAACTTCAAATAACTTTAAATTTATCATCGGTGAAAAATAGGTGTTTTGGAAATTGAACAATTCAAATAAAATTTGAGGCTATTTATTTAAAAAAAGTAAATCAAAATCAAGTTAGTCAATCATAACCCTCTATCGCTCAGTCGAATCATAGTCAAAACAAAAAAAAAAAAAAAAAAAAAACTTAAAAAATAATCAATTAATCAAATTTGATTAATTTCATCCGCATTTTCATATTAATCCTCGTATTTGCCCAACCATTAATCAATCCAATCAACTAATCACTTAATTAATGCACTATCAATTAGTTAAAAGTAATTAATATCTTTCTTTCTTCCATTCTTAACTCTTCAATATAAATAGATAGACAAATAAAACATATCTATATTTCAATTTAGTTATAATTAGTTAATTGTGAAATATAGAGAGTGTGAATATTGAAAGATATTGACAACACAGAAGAGAGAGAAAAAGTTAAAAAAAAGCAAAGATGAGTTGGACAGCTTTAAAACTTTCGAAACTACCAGATGTTTCACTGCCACTCTACGGCCATTCTGCAACGATCTCTGGTGAGCGTGATATAGTGATATTCGGTGGATACGATATTATAAATGATCGTATTACAAACAACTCTTATTTATTAAATACAACAAGTATGTTACTTTCAGATGAACATTTGTAAAACAATCACTTTTCGCTTACACCACACCTTTCCAATAACAAAAAAAAAAAAAAAAAAAAAAAACAATATTTATAAACTATATTAGATCAATCGAATGGTTTGGTAAAATTACAGACAAGTGGAACGACACCTCCACCTCTATGTGGACACACAGCAACACAGGTTGGCAGAAAGATGTTTGTATTCGGTGGACAGACTGCCAGCTTGTCGATGACACTCTCTGGCGAACCAACGACTTCGCCACCACTGATGTCCATCTCGAACGACATGTATCAATTCAATACTGTTAGCTATAGCTGGTCGAAACCAAAGGTGACCGGTGATGTTCCGCCACTCGGTCGCTACGGCCACTCTACCGTTCTTCTCAATGATAACTATCTCTTTGTTTTCGGTGGGCAACACAAGTCAAAGCCACTCAACGACTACTATTTTTTTCATACAGAGAGAAATCAATGGACTAGACTAGATAGTGAACAACCACTACATGATTATCAACAACAACACCAGTTACAACAACAACAACAACAATTACAACAACAACAACAAGTATCAAGTTCACCTTCTTCTCCAGTCAACCAAACACTTCTCACCACAAATAGTAATCTAAGTTTTTCATCACCAACTTTCTACTCACCGGTTGTATCTTCACGTAGTCGTTCTTCTACAATATCACATTCATCTCCACGTGGAAATAACAATAGTAATAATAATAGTAATAATAGTAATGGTAATATGATTCTGTCCAATGACGATAGTGTTTTGAGTAGTAATATTTTGAGAGGTGCGATACAGATACCGAGCAGTCCTTCACCGCTGTCGAAATCCAGTCAGTTCACAGTGTCAACGTTTTCAAATCAGACATCTCCTCCGATACCATCGACTGGTCACAGCTCGAGTGGCATCCTGCCATTCTCTGTGATTACACCGGGTGCAAACAGAGGTGTTCCACCATCACCACGTTACTACCACACCTGTAATGTAGTTGGTTCTAGAATATTTATATTTGGTGGATACGATGGCACTCATCTCTACAACGATCTACACATTTTCAACATCGACGGCATGGAGTGGACTCAACCCGAGACACAGGGTGACGCGCCAACCCCGCGTTGCGGACACACCGCTACAGTGATTGGATCGCGTATTTTTGTATACGGTGGAAGTCTGAGCGGTGTCAATCACCCGATTACAGGCAATCACGATATCGACCTCTACGTATTGGATACAGAGTCACTCACCTGGACATTGATAAAAACAACTTCCGGACAGTCGCCGTCTCCGCGCTACGGTCATGTTTGTATTTCGATTTCGTCGCGACTCATGATACTCGGTGGCGCGGAAGCCAAACGTGAGAGTGGAGTGAAGCTGCCGAGTAATCCATTCAACACCTATCACGTCCTGGAGACACTACGACTCGATTTGAAAGCATCGAAATTCCGACATCACGTATCGACACTCCATTCGCCACCCCGAAGACTGGACGCATCGTTCGAAGACAGAATGCTAATGAAAGATGGTGCATCCGATATGGAAGGAGCAACAAGAACACGTAGACATTCCAGTTATAAACCACCACTCTCCTCATCACTAAGTACATTATCATCACCACCCTGTTTAACAACAACCATTGTCTACAACAACAGTGAATCACCAAACTATAACAACAACAATAACAATAATAGTAACAACAATTTAAATGGAATATTAAAGAATCATATTCAACAACAACAACAAAATATACAGAATCATAGACAACAACAACTTCAACAATTTCAACAGCAGCTACAGCAGCAGCAGCAACAACAGCATTATCAACAATCTTCAAGTCCATATGAAAATGAAGGTATATTGAGAGTTGGTGAAACTTGTAATTCTTCGAGGTGTGCTCTCAACCATAGTATATTGAGAGATCTGTACTTTGAAATGAAACAGAAGTATCAAGAGGAATATGAAAAGCGTGTAAAACTGGAAAGAGAGTTGGAGCAGCTGCAGAATGCCAATCGATTACCGAATGGTGGAAGCAATGCAGGTAGTTTCAAACACAGCAACAGCAGTAACAGTATATATCGTCCTACTCTCGATGGTTTCGAAGACTTGGCAAGAGAACTCTCTCGATACGAAAAGAGATTGAAATGGGAGGAACTAGTCAAGATTGAATCTAAAAATCAACTCTACCAACTTCGTAGTAAATTCGAAACACTCTCCAATATTGTTGGTTATGAACATAATTTAGTATCAGCTGATACAAATAGTGATACAAGGTATATATTATTATTAGTTAGTTAACTATTTATTTGAAACAAAAAGCAAAAACAATAACTAATTAATCTATCTATCTATCTATCTATTTTAAAAAAAGTGAATTAAGTGATTTTAGAAAAGGATTAAGTAGTTCAGAACTTGATGTTGATGATTATTCGATAGATACTGACAATTCGTCAGTAACAAAGAGAACACCATCCGGTGTTACACCTGTACATCAACGATCGTCGTCCACTCCACTGCCTGTCGTTAGTAAGAAGAAGGAGAAGGAAAGAGAAAAGGAAAGAGAAAAGGAAAGAGAACGTGAAGCTAGAGAGAATAGTATTACCAATAGCAATAGTGGAAGTACAAAGGATCTAAAGAGTCACAGTGGAATTCTAAAGCTGCTGACAAAAGCAGGTACAAAGAAGAGCAGTCGTACCTCGGGTCAATTCGAAAAGATCGTCGATGATGAACTCACACCAGTGCCAAGTGATCTATTAACATCACTTCGATCACCAAGAAAGAATAGTTGTGAAGACATCTTGGAAGAGAATGGTATATACGATGGTTCATCATCTACACACAGCAATCATCTAGATGATTTAGATTCAATCGATGAAAAGAAATCTAAAAAGAAAATAGGTAAATTTAAGAGTATATTAGGTAAAGATAAAGATAAAGAGAAGGAGAAAGAGAAAGAAAAGGAGAAGGAGAAGGAAAAGGAAAAGAAAAGGAAAAAGAGAAAGAAAAAGAGAAGGAAAAGAGAAGGAGAAAGAAAAGGAAAAAGAAAAAGAAAAAGATAAAAAAGAATAAATCATCAAGTAAAATGAGTAAATTATTTGGAAAGAGTAAAGATACACCACCATTTAGAAGAGATGTATTTGAGAAGGTTATAAATCATTTAGAAGCTAATGGTAAATCATCATACTTTATAATTTTAGCATAGTTCGATCGAATAATATATTAATATTATTTTTAACTTTAACAAATAGCATTGAACACAGAAAATATATTTAGAATTTCAGGAAATATGGATACAGTTAGACAAATCGTTAAATCATTCTCACACGACCCAAATTTGAATTTCGAAATACACAATGTCTCGAATGCTCTTAAACACTATCTAAGATCATTGGATCCACCATTGATACATTACGAATTCTTTTTACCAATGTTGGATGCATGGAGTATGTAATAATAATAATTTAATAATAATCGATAGTATTAACTCATTATTTATATTATTATAGAAAATGAAGATGCAGATACAATTAGAAATATATGTTGGAAGATACCAAGTGATAATAGAATTGTGTTGACCAAGTTGGTCGATTTACTCGTAAAGATATCGGAGAACTACGCGGTCAATAGAATGGATCCAAAGAATTTAAGTATTGTGTTTGGTCCGACCATTCTCAAGCCAAGACAACCAACACTTGATCGTATGGCACTGATGACAGAGACTCAAGTCCTATGCGGAATCATGCAGACATTCATAGAGGACTTTGACTTTATCTTTGCTGAGATTCCAAGTGGTCCTGCCAAGTCTTTTACAAGCTCTCGAAGTGACGCCGAGAATGATAGCGTCAACAACCTTAGCAATCTAATACCACCACTGGAAGAGGAAAGAAGTAACCAAACAACACCATACACTTCAACACCATCGAATCAATCACAATCAACCTCACCCATTCTAACTCCACAACAAACTCCACCCGGTTAAAATTAACCTACAAATTAATAACTAATATATAAAAAAAAAAAAAGAACAAACAAACAAACAAACAAAAGACAAACATTTAAATAATTAATAACATATATTATAATAATACAATTTGCTAAAATTTAAAATAAACAATATGTATATAGAATGAATAGATTTAATATATAAATCTATAAATGAACTGATTTAAGTTGTTATCATTATTATTATTATTATTTATTTTTATTTATTTATTTATTAAAGTTTAGTTTACAAGTTATGATGATTGTCTTGTGATAATATCGATTTCACTAATTAAAATTGCATCTAATTGTTCGATGTGTTCTTCTAGTTCTTTACAGATATCGATATTTTCACAGGTTTCATAAATTATTTTAGCATCTTCAATTAGATCGATATTATTGTCATGAGTGTATATCAATGTCTTTTTAGCTTTGGCAATCTTATCATCATCAATATGTACTGTTGGTTTATCTCGTTTGAATGAATACTTTGTAATTCTTTGAATTATACTTGATATCTATTATAATAGATTAATCATTAATAAAACAATGATTAGTAAAAAAGTTATATATATTAATATTTAAATATTTGTTATTACTTACATCAGAAATCTTTTTAGATAATTTAATTAAATAGATTCCTTCTTCTGTTGTTTTAATATTTTCTACAATGGTTTTAAGTTTGGTAAAGTTACTGTTGATATTCATAAAGTGAATCTGCATATCTATTGGCTTTAATATGTCACCATCGTCTCTAGTCAGTAGTATACTCTTTTTCTTCTTATCCATAGGTGAGGAGAATCGCGGAGGTGTTATAACTGTAGCTGTATCTTGATCCAATTCATTCAATAATGTAGTTGATGGACTAAAAACTGTTGGTGTATTACTACTTTCATTGTTGTTTTGTTGATGATCTGGTGGTGTTTGTACATTGTTATTATTGTTGTTTGTTGTTGCTGTTAATGCTGTTGGGATGGTTGGTGATGATACAGGTATTGCATGTGGTGTTGAATCGGTTGCAACTTCTTGTTGGAGATTGGGTGTTGATGTCGATGTCGGTGTAGTGGAGACGGATGTCAATGTCGGTGACATGTTGGCAGTCGATGACTTTAGTGGTGTGGCGGGCAGTGGCTTTGAGACGGCCGACTCTGTCTGTGCTCTTATTCTACTGGCAGAGAGATCTTGATTCGATTGCGATGGGAATATATATTGGTGATTCTCCACCAACAAGATAAACAATGAATTGAACTCTGCAAAGGTCTCTGGCTTTTGAATATCCTCTGCCTTTAGATTGGGAATCGATTCCATTAGATTCGGTGCAATCACCACTGCCAAATTATTCAAATCCATCTTTGTCACATCCTTGTGATGCTTTATAGTATTACACAATGCAAAAACATTCTTCAATACAATTTGATTTGCAACTGGCAGCGATGAAATCAATCTTTTCAACTCTGTAATATGTGTATTCTGTGGTTGACCTTTAGGAAACAATAAGAGTAAAGAAAGAAAGTAGAAAAGAAAAAACAAAACATTAATATTTCCAAACAAACAACAATCTAAAAACATAACTATTTGATCAACAACTTACTTGATAATGATAGATATTTCTGATAATTTGAATAATAAATTAAAGGTTCTGGTAATGATCTGAAAAATGATTTGAGAACTGAAGAAACTACATGTGTATCGAGGATAGTGTGGAGATCCAACGGCTGGTTGGTTTCAATCTTTTGTTGGAGTGCTTCGATTGCCGATTTTCCTGCGCTAATTCTAAAGATACCTTCGACGGAAGGCGCGTTCTTCTCGAGGTACTTGAAGATCTCCTCGAGGAACATCGGAATGGAACGGTGTGCCTCACGTGCAAACACCTCCTCCAACTTGATTCCAAATGTTTTTCTCGGTATATAGTTTCTGAGTTTGGCGGCGACCTTGTTTGTTTCCAATATGATCTTTCGGTAGTTGTCGATATCCACTTTGATACGGGCCATCTGGAATGCACCCTTTTGGAAAAAGTCATAGTATGCCTCGTACGCAGAGAGTATGGTTTGTACGGCCGAGTTCTCCAGTGCCAGTTCCGAGTCGTTGTAGAGCTGTACGGTTTCTTTGGCGGCGCGCTCATAGGCTTCGGTCTCCTTGCGGAAATCGATCTTTGACGACGACGACTGGTTCTCGGGAGCCATCTTTTTCAAGCGCTTTTTGGCCTCTTTGACCATCTCCAATTGAATACGAATGGTTTCTTTCAGTGGCTGAGTGGTTCTATCGTAGAGCACATTTCCCAAATGATTGAAACAGTCACTCATTGTGTTCTGCCATTCTGTGGCACGTTGCATACAATCACTCAATGGAATTCTACTGTTGAATCCCGACGATGTCTCTGAATACTTTCTGAGTGATTCTGAAATTGTCTTTGAATGTTGTGATGTTGCTAAAATAGATAATAGAATTCAACATTAATTAATTAATATTTCCACAAGTGTTATGCTAAACAATGTTGTTTCATCATACCAAAGAAATGTTGTTGTTGTTTTTCCAAATTCTTTTGTAATTCATCCATCAATGAAGTATGATCTGTAATTCTCTATAAAATTGGATTTGAATTAGTCACCTCTATTAATAAATACATTCATTCCACCAAAAATTTTAAACATTTTATTACATTATAGATTTCATCTGTTTCAGGTGAATTTAATTTTTTTCTTCCAAGTGATTTTATATTATTCATTTTTCTTTCTATCTGTCTGATTAATCTTATTTAGTTTTCTAAAATTAATGTTTATTTTTATTTTTATTTTGATTGATTTGGCTTTGATTTTGTTTTCTATTAATACATGTATAGTGTTGAAGTTAGAAATAATAGTAATAATAAGAATAATTAAAATATGAATTTATTGATAAAAAAATACAATGTAACGAATAAAATGGGTGTATATGTTGGTTAAATTTTGATCCAATTAAATTGCCAAAAACCATTTTTAATATTTTTATTTTTTGCAAAATTTTTATAATAATTAAAAACTATTTTAAGCATTCATTGACCTCAATGAAATTATCGATCTTGCATACAAAAAATTTAGTCAATCTATCTTATTTATTCGGTTTTGTTAAACAGCAGGAGTAATTATAAACAAATTTAAAACCTTGAAAACCAAAAACATTTTATTTTTTTTTCAAAAGAGATATTTAATGTCAAGTTAATTAAATATCTTCATCTTGATCTATATATGTCTTGGCTCCACTAGAAGGGGTGGGACCTGGGGTCGGATCATTAAATATTATTAATATAAAGATATCTTTTTCTTTTGGAGTTACAAGGTTTCCCTCTTTTAACTTTTTTCCTAAAATTATATTAGTTAAATTATTAATATGAATAACAATTATTTTCTTAATACTTACCTAAACTTTTATTATATTCTCTCATTATCCTTAAATATCTTTCATGGGGACTTTCTATGGAATATCCCATTCGAATACCAATTTTGGGGATATACTTTGGATGGACCTTAGATAATAAATTATTATGATTACGAGAGTTAGACATATTTGATTGATGAATTATTGAATGGATGCTTGACCTTTTTATAGAGTTTTGTTTGCATCAAAAATAAAAACTAATAAAAATAAAAACTCAATTCTCAAGTGTTGAGTTTGTTAATCATAAAACTATAAATTATTTTAATCAAAGACCGAATAAATGTAAAAAATAATATCTATTTGTCAATCAACATTTTCTTTGTTGATAATACTTTTTTTTCTCAAATAAAAACTCATGAGCTGGTGATTGACAATTTATTTTTTGGTCATTTGAAGAATCGAAAACTAAATTTCAACAGGCGATGAAAACTATAAAATCATGAATAATTAACTAATTTTTTTATTAAATTTATAACAAAAGCAACAATTATTATCACCGTAAAGTCTTTACTACAAATTCACAAATGTCGAAAATATTCATAATTGGCAAAACATTGTCTAAGTTCAACATGACCGACTTTGAACTACATGTTATAAAAACTATACACGGTAATGTTAAAGTTTATCTACCAAAAGACGGCAGTATTAACATGGATCAGATTGGAAGCATGATTTATATCAATAAAGAGTCTGGAAAGATTGAGAAAGGTTCGTATATTAAAATAAATGTATATTGACAATAAATATTTCTAACTTTTATTGTATGATTTGTAGTTCAAAACAATAATTTCCATGGGCTTCTTGATTTTAAGAATGATCAGCCAAAAAAGGATCTTTTGAAAACAGTTCCTGAATTGTTTCTTTTTAAAGAAAAATAATTGAAAGATGAAAAATATTCAAATTCTGGCAAAAATCTCAATTAAAAATAATTTTTTTTTTTAAAATTTTCACCCCAAAACAAGTGCACATTTCGTTTTTTATTTTGATATTCTTACTATTACATACCAACTCATAACAATAGGATGAGTGATACTGATACTACACAACAACCACCAGAGGAGTTCAAAGATCTCTCACATACTTCTTCAGTCGAAGAGATCGAGAGTCTCTGTATGAACTGTCACTACGAACAAGGTATCACCAAGATTCTACTCACCAAAATTCCATTCTTCCGAGAGATCATCTTGTTGGCATTCGAATGCCCAGAGTGTGGTTTTAAATCCTCAGAGGTACGTAATCATTAATATTACTACTATAATCAAAGATCTTGTTGTTCACATTTATTTGTTTGTATTTCAATATTTTAGGTACAAAGTGGAGGTGCAATCGCTGATAAAGGTGTTCATATAGAATTGAACTTACAATCTCGTCAAGTATATTTATTAACATACAAATTAGAAAACAATACAAAACGGTCATCTAACTAATATCAATACAATATGTATCATAATAATCATTATCAGGATATGAATAGACAAATCGTAAAGATGGACTCTGCAACTATTTCAATACCTATTTTAGATTTTGAAATCCCACCATCAACTCAAAGAGGTTGTTTAAATACTATTGAAGGATTCATTCAACAATCGATTGAAGGTTTGAACCAAGCTGCTCGTCTAAAGAGAGTATGTCAAATACATAGGTAGTTTATAGTTTGATAATAATAATAATAATATTTATATTAAAAAAAAATAGGAAGACGGAGATATCGAATCAGCAACAAAGATTGTGGAATTTGTTACTAAACTTGTAGATTTGATGAATGTAGAGAAACCATTTACCATTGTCATTGATGATCCATCGGGTAACTCTTATGTGGAGAACCCAATGGCACCAAAAGCCGATCCAAATCTAACAATTACCAAGTTTGCTAGAACTGCAGAACAAAACGCAATGTTGGGACTTCAAGAGCAAGTCGTTGCCGAACCACAGTTGACAAACCAACCGTTGGAAGACCGTGAAGTTTTACACCTTCCCAACTCATGTACTTTCTGCGGGCACATGGGTGTTATCAACATGGTAATGACTGACATTCCCTACTTTAAGAATGTCGTACTCATGGCTTTCAACTGCGAAGAATGTGGATACAAGACAAATGAAATCAAGCCGGGTGGTGCTATCGAGCCGACTGGAAGGATATTGACGTTGCGTGTTGAAACAGCAGAGGATCTCTCGAGAGACGTACTCAAGTCAGAGACTGCTAATGCCATCCTCAAGGAGTTGGATATTGAGATCACCCATGGATCGCTCGGTGGTAGATTCACAACGATCGAAGGTCTTCTCAGTACGATTCGTGAGGAACTCGAGAAGAATCCTTTCTTCCGTGGTGACAGTGCAGACGTCACAACTCGTACACGTTACAACGAAATCATGGGTACTCTCGATGCATACATTAACGGTGAGAAGAAATTCACTTTGATCATCGACGACCCAGTATCCAACAGTTACATTCAAAGTTTATATGCACCAGATCCTGATCCCAACTTGGATTCCGAGGATTACGAGCGTACTTTCGATCAAAACGAAGAGTTGGGTCTTAACGATATCAACACTGAAAACTATAGAAATATTGATAAAAACGAAGAGGAACAAGAACAAGAAGGAAAAGAAGAGAAACAAGAGGAAAACAAAGAATTAAAAGAGTCAAAGGTCGTTGATTGATTATAAAAGATTAAAAATAAAATTTATTTATAACCAATGATATTTATATTTTTTTTTGTTATTACTAATTATTAAAGAAACAATCGATCGATTAATTATGAATTGTTCGTAATAAATATAATATGTTATGATGTTTGATTGAAAATAATAATTATGATGATTATTATTATTATTATTAATTTTTCTTTTTATCTTTGATATAACTTGAGTAGTTAGCTTTGAACCATTCTTTGGTTCTTTCTAGACCTTCTTTGTAGGTTACTATTGGCTTGTAGTTCAAGTCACGCTTTGCCTTTGAGATGTTAAAGTAACGGGTAGAGTTAGAGTAGACGATACGGAACAGTGTAATGGTCGGGTGTAATGTGACACCAAACAGCTTGGCAAGTGCAACTACAAGATCGATCATCCATGCAATCACATAGATAACACCGAATGGTACCTTGTACTTGGGTCTTTCATAACCGAACGCTTCGTAGGCATAGATTGGCATGTCCCAGAAGATGACAGGGTCGTCGTTGGTGATAAAGTATGCTTGACCTGGGATGTCAGAGTGCACTGTCATCTTGTCGGCGGCAAGCAGGTGAGCGTGAACGACATTGTCAATGTAGGTCCAATCGCAAAGGTTCTTTCCGTCGCCAAACATAAACTTGTTCTTTCCTTCTTTGGCTGCCTTGAGGTATTGTGGCCAACCCTGTACATCACGAGGTCCAAAGATACCGGCTGGTCTGATAGCACAGGTCAGCAAGAGTGTGGAGTTGGCAGCGAGTACCGCTCTCTCACCTAGCTCCTTGGTCTTGTTGTAGGGGTCGAGATGCTTGTCTACATAGGGTAGTGTTTCATCTCCGTTGACGATATCGCTACCGTTGAAGACCACCGATGATGAACTGGTGTAGATCAACTGTTTAACTTGTGTACGTTTGCAGGCTTCGATCAGGTTCTCCGTGCCGGTGACGTTCACCTTATAGTAGATGTCGTATCCCATACCGTGTGTTGGTGATGCTGTGTGGAATACTGTATCGACACCTCTACATGCTTCGACTAGATCATCGATATTGCAGATGTCTCCAATGTGAAATGTAACTCTTTCGTCTTCAAAAGATTTTCTTATATCAAAAACATGAACATCTCTTTCTGAGCGTGCTAAAAGTGCCTCAACAATATATCTACCAAGGAATCCACTTCCTCCTACTACTAAATATTTCTAAATATTTCAAATTAGAAGATTGATCTTGCAATCATAGCAGAATAATTATTGTTTACCTTCATTTTATGATGTTGATAAAAAGAAAAAGTTTTTTGTTTTTTTTTTGTTTGGAGAGTTTTACTGAAAAAAAATCTATTCTCATCAAAAAAATAAGTATTTCAAAAAAAAATTTCCAAACAAATTCATGTTTGTAAATTCAAATAATAAAATATTTGTATCTATCGCAAGTTATAGAGATAGTGGTATGTTGAAATAAATTCAACTTTTTTCTTTATTCTAACACATGTTTGAAACAAAATAAAGAATGTCAACACACAATCAAAGATTTATTCAGCAAAGCAAAAAATGCCTCTGATATATATATAGGTGTCTGTTGGCAATATGATATGAAAGATAATGAAGATGCAGACTGTTTTAAAGAAGATTTATCACAATATGAAAGTAATATCTCGTCGATTAGGATGGATTATAGGGATGCAAAAGGACCTTGTTTGGCCAGATACCTATGTCAGACATTATATAGAGGTGAAAGATATTATCTACAGATTGACAGCCATATGAGATTCATTAAAGAATGGGATGAAATACTGATCAATCAACTCAAGCAGTGTCCGTCAAGCAAGCCAGTTCTCACAGCTTATCCAATGGGTTATACTTTACCCAATAATCTTCCAAACTATACATATCCAACGCTTTTGGTAGCTCGTAGTTTTGGTAGTCAAGACAAGATGCTGCGATTGGGTTCGAGATTGGCTGCTATTCCAAAGTTAAAGAGTCCAGTAGAGTCATTGTTTTGGATAGCTGGTTTTAGCTTTTCATATGGAAGCATGATCACAGAAGTACATTATGACCCACATCTTTGTCATCTATTCTTTGGTGAGGAGATGCTAATGTCTGCAAGACTTTGGACATCCGGTTATGATTTCTATTCACCGACACATGCAATTCTGTTCCATCTCTGGAAAAGATCGCACAGACCAACATTCACAGAGCTATCATTCGAAGAAGACAGGCAAAAGAGTCATCATCGTCTAAGAGAAATCATGGGAATACCATCGGATAGCAATGACATTGGTCGACCTGATATCGAAAAGTACTCACTAGGCACACAGAGATCTATTGATCAATATCAGGAGTATTGTGGTGTAAACTTTTCGAGCCAATCAATATCTGAAAAAGCATTAAAAGGTGGTCATAATGATAGTTTCTTTTTAAATGAAATCATTGAAATGGCAATCAAATCACAGCAAGGTGTATCTGTCTAATTATTAAAATTTTAAAATAAAATATTTTTAAAATAAATCTTATTTTTTTATTTTTATTTTTTATTTTTATTTTTATTTTTATTTTTTATTTTTTATATATATAAATAAATTCAACAATCAAAATAATTTTATTAGACATGACGGATATAGATAATAACAGTAATACATTTGAATCGAATGATCAACATGAAAATCAAGATCAGTATGTATATATATATACTTTTAATGATTTATTATCGAATACTAAACAACTCAATCGGTAGAATTGCACAGTTACATGATGAAACTGCTATTGAAATGAACGATGATCCATCAGCAGAACATGATGCACAACAACAGAGCGAGAATGATGGTGATGATGAAAATCGAGATGACAATGAAGATGTTGGTAATGGTGAGGAAGACGAAGACGATGATGATGATGATGATGATGATGAAGAAGACGAAGACGATGATGATGTAAATCTGGTTCTAGATACAGATATCGTAGAATCAGGAAGAACAGCAAGATCGGCTATCAAACCAGGTTACATCAAGGGTGTCACATCTATCACACCAGGTTCAGGAGCCAAATATGATGTTACCAAACAGACCAACACCAACTTTCAAACAAACAGACCACAAAAGAGTATTTATGATGTGAGCTTGGACTCATTCGACGATAAACCTTGGAACAAACCAGGTGCAGACATCACCGACTATTTCAACTATAATTTTACAGAGGATACATGGAAGGCTTATTGTGAGAGACAAAACCAAATTAGAGCCGAGCAAAATAATCTCGGAAAGATCAAATCTTACGAATCAAAGAATCAAGATAATAAGAATGATATACTACCACCAGAGTTTTTGATGATGACAGATAACAATAATGGTGGAACCAACTCAAACAATAACAATAACAACAACAACATAGCTAGTAACAGCAACAGAGATATGATGGCCAAACGAGCACCCTTAAAAAGAGAGAATGCACCCTGGCAACATGACAACATGAATCATGTTCCACCACATATAATGAGACAACAAGGTGGCTATATCCCTCCGTATGCTGGCGGTGTTCCACCAGATTATTCACGTGGTCCTGGCGGTTTTAGAGGTGCTGCCTACAATGACAACCCCAACCAACCCGATGACAGACGCAGAGATAGAGACAGAGAGAGAGATAGAGATCAGAGAGATACTGGTACCGTTGGAAGAGACAGAGGAGATAGGGAAAGAGACAGAGGAGATAGAGAAACCAGAGATAGAGATAGAGATCCAAGGGATAGAGACAGAGATAGAGATAGAGACAGAGAAACCAGAGATAGAGAGAGAGACAGAGAAACCAGAGATAGAGATCAAATTAGAGAGAGAGATAGAGACGATTACAATAGAAGTGATGATAGGAAAAAAGATGATAGACGTAGGGGTAGCACAGAGAGGAGATCTTCGAGAGATACCTATCAATCTCGTGACACTGATTATAAAAGAAAATTAGAAGATCAAGAGGATGAAAGATCAAAGAGAAGGAGATAAATAAATATTATTATTATTATTTTAAAAAAAACAGAGATTATTTATTGGTTTATTATTATTATTATTTTTGATGTATTTTTAAGTGAGATCTAATTTTGAGGTGGTGATTGCAAAACGATGTCACCAATTCTTAATACGGTGGCCAAAGGTGTAAAAGCAGTTGTTCTCATGTAATTCTTTCTTCTCTTTCTCTTGAAAATAGTGACCTTTGGGGCCTTTGATTGTTCTTCGATGAATGCATGTACTTTGGCACCATCAACAAGTGGAGTACCAATCATTGTTTGTTCTTTAGTTCCGAGCATTAGAACCTTGTCCAATATAATGTGTTCACCAACTTCGACATGTATACGATCTGACATTATAACATCTCCTTTAATGACTTTGTACTGTTTGCCACCCAAGTGTACTACTGCAAATGAATTGTCGACCACATTTTCTTTATTATTATTTACAATATTTAAATTCTGAGTACTGTAAAATGCTCTCTGTGAAAATAGCTGTTTTGATGTAATTTGAAGTGTTGACTGGAATGATCCAGATGATCGAACTGCTAATCCTAATATACTATACATATTATATGAAAAAAAAATAAAAATGAATGATCAATGAAAAAAAAAAAAAAACTACAATGAAATGATTCGTTTTTATTTAAAAAATTTTTAGTTTTTTTTAATTTGATTTATTGATTTTTTTTAACTTTTTTTAGATTTATTTTATTCATCATAAAATACCTGTTGATTATATATAAACAACTTTTATAACTAAATAAACTTTTGGCAAAAGAGTAAAAAATAAACAAAAATCTTGAATGAAGTTCAAATTTGTAAAAAAAATAATTTTTAATTTTTTTTTTTAAAAAAAATAAAATAATTTATTTTATAAAAAAAAAAATAAAAAATCTCTTCATCATCTTTTTTAATGAAAATCAAAATTAAATAGTTTGATAGTGCAACACATTTAGCAATGATGTTTTTGAATATTTGTTTGTTTGTTGGATTCTTGGTTATCCTTAAGTATGGATACCAATTCATAAATTTTGTATACTCTGTAACGCTCAGACCACCAGTCAATATCAAAAAGTATGGATCTTGGGCAGGTATGTTATTTCAAATAATTTGAGAATTATTTTAAATTTATGCTAACATTGTTTGAATGATGAATATGTTAGTGATCACTGGTGCTACTGATGGTATCGGAAGGGCATACACCCATGAGTTGGCCAGAAGAGGAATGAATGTCTGTCTTATCAGTCGAAGTGAAGACAAACTCAAGAAGGAAACAGAGGACATCCAACAAAAGTTCAAAGTACAAACTAAGCATATCGCGTTCGATTTCAATACCACCAAGGATGATGATTACCTTAATAAACTATTGCCACAGTTGAACCAAATTGAGGTTGGTATCCTTGTCAACAATGTAGGTATCTCGTACGACCATCCAATGTATTTGGAGGAGTTGCCAAACGATAGAATCGATGCATTGATCAATCTCAATGTTCGTGCTGCCACTGTCCTCTCAAAGGCCATATTACCATCGATGTTGGAGCGTAAACGTGGAGCCATCATCAATTTGGCATCGATATCTGGAATGGCTTCAATTCCATTCCTCTCTGTGTACAGCGGTACTAAAGCGTTCATCGAGAGATTTTCAACCTCACTCAACTGCGAGTATGCCAACCGTGGTATTTTCGTACAATGTATTGCACCTGGTATCGTTGTCAGTAACATGTCAAAGATTAGAAAACCATCTCTCTTTATTCCAATGCCAAATGTATATGCACGTGCTGCCATCAATTGTATTGGATATGAGAAATCAACCGCTGGATATTGGGCACACCGTGTCCAAACATTCCTTATTACCGTCATCCCAACCTTTATCTCTGAGAAGTTAATGTATGACATGCACTTTGGTCAAAGAAAGAGAGCATTGGCAAAGAAAAAAACTCAATAATAGATATAAATAAATTATAAAATCTATCTTTATAATATCTAATATAACAATATTTAAATACAAATTCTCGATTTTTTTTATTTTATTTTGTAGTTGCAACTACGATACCATTTATACACTATATTTTTTGAGTTTCATTTGATATCAGTCTTATAACGTCTTTGACTAGTGATAACATTTCCTCTTTATAATGAGAGAACAAAATCAGTATTTTGTTGGTGTTAACAATGTTAGGATATAATAATAATTACCTGCATCTTTCTTTGTTTGTTCTATAGTTTGATTGAGTTGTATTGATTCATCATTTAATGCACGTAGTCTATTATATTGGTCTTCTTCGTTTCTGTTGAATCCTGGCAGCGAATCAATGATTGATTCGATGAGTTTAGAAGTCTCAATCACCTGTAAAGCCATTTCTTTGGTCTGTGTGCTCCATTTACTTAACGTTTCATTGTCCTGTAGAAGCAATCCATTTTCAAAAGAAGAAGCAGGTGCATCTCTTTGTAGTACACCAATGAAAGTACCAAAAACAAGGAAAAGGTGATCTAATTTATCTTGAAGTTGTGTCAAAAGATCCATCATTAAAATGAATGATTAATTTATTTTGAAAAATCGATTTTTTTATTAATTTTGGTCTATTCTTCAAACTTTTTTACATTTTAATATAATATATATAAAACACATTAAATTTTTAATATTTATAAATAATAGTAATGGAAAGTTTACCAAGAATAGAAGATATAGAGTCTATTGATAAAACATATGCATCATTACAAAGATTGCTAACATCACATAAGCATAACATCACTCAGTCTGCTCTGAGTTTAGAGTCTGAGGATGAACAGTATGATTTCGTGGGTATTGAAAAATAAAGATTGTGCATCAACAGTTTGATACTAACAACCATATACAATCCACAGGCAGCTCAGCTGGATCAAGATTTCTTAAAGTGTCTTTACGAAGAACAATTTATAGCAAAGCATAAACAAGATATCGCTACTTTGAAACAATACATTGAAAGAACGCATGCTCAGCTACGACAAAATCAACACCAACCAACATCACAACCACCTGCTATTAGAGACCCAGAAGAGTTTATAAAACACGGTACAATGTTGCGCAACATTGATACTGGTTTAGAGGCACTCAAACAAAATAAAGAATTCAAAGAGTATAAACAAAAGATATGGGTATGTCTATTCAATGAACAAACCAAACAGTCATATAACTAACAGTTTTATACTTAGAACATTAATCACACAGAGCCATTCGATGATGGTGGTAACGAAGATATCTTTATTGCATCTCAAACCATTAGCATTATTTGCCCGATAACTAAAAAGAATTTTGAAAATCCAGTTAAATCAAGGACTTGTGGACACACCTTTTCTAAAGAAGCCATTCAAAGTATGTTCAGAAGAAGCACCTCTATTTCTTGTCCTGTAGTCGGTTGTTCTCACCAGATCACACAGAATGGCCTTGAGAGAGACATTGTCATGGAAGAGACTGTCAAGAGAGAGCTCAGAAAGAAAAGCAGGGAGGTTCAAAAGGATCCCGATGATATCACCGAACTTTGAATTTTACTTTCAAACAATAAAATTAATTTTTGTTTTATTTTATTTTATTTTTTTTAAAAAAATTGTTAGTTTTTTAATATGATTGAATTTTAATTTATTAAAAGAAACAAGTAATAATATACAAATGATAAATAATAATCACAATAACAGTAACAGTAACAGTAACGATAATAACAATAATAACAATAATAACGATAATAATAATAATAATAGTAAAATAGAAATACATAATGGAGGTATTAATGTAAATACAATCAATACAGAGTCATTAAAGATGACTATCAACAAAAAGAATAGATTTACAGATGTCATACATTGGTTATATTGCTTGATTATATATTTTTATTGTATTGTAATAAATCAATTTGCATCTAGACGACATCCTTCATACCTATCAAACAAACAAGATCAAAGTAACTATTATAAACATTATTATTAAAGATGATTCGTCTAACTGTTTACATTAGATAATATATATAGATTGAACGGTTCTCATGAGAATAAGAATTTGATTGTGTTCATTAACCCTGTTAGCGGTAGTAACAATGCCAACAAGATATTTCAGAGTGTTAGACATTTATTTGAAAATAGAGGATATCATTTACACGTCACAGAGACCAGATATAAAAACGATGCTTACCGAATCTCATCACAGTTATCACAAAAAGACTGTGATGGCATAGTGTGTGTTGGTGGTGATGGCCTGCTTCATGAAGTTATAAATGGTTTGCTCAGTAGATCAGACTCCTCAATCGCCAGACATATCCCCATCGGTGTAATACCAGCTGGAACCAAAAACCTACTTGCAGTATCACTCGGTATCACATCTCTTGAGCAAGCAGTCGAAATCATCTTGCGTAACTCAATACACTATGTAGATGTTTTATCGATCAGCTCTGTAAAGCAACACTTTCTATACCCAACCAAAGACAGCTATACAAATGAGCACAACAACGACTACATGGTGGAAAACAATGAAGCAGAATCAAACAATGTGTCTCATGATGCAAGTGGTCGAAATCCAATGTTCAACAACACACAATTCTCAAAGAACAGCGACATCGCATACAATAACGAATTCAATTATCCACAGTATGAATCAAGGAGAATTTACAGTTTGGTTAATATTGGTTGGGGTATCATCAGCTATAAAGAAAGAGTACAGGAGAATATCAAGTGGTCGAAAGTATTTCGACCATACATATCCTCTCTCTATTCTACCTTCATCACTCTCCCCCTGAGACAGTTCGAATCAACATTATATTTTTTGCCTTCCAAACATCTCAACAACCAAGGTTTGCCCATAAAACAGACATGTAAAAAAAAATAATTGTTTGGATTGCGAAAAGAGAACCCTGATTGAAAGAGGAAAGAGGCCGATTAACGATATTTCAGATTGGAATTGTGTACAAGGATCAACAGAGGATCACCCTGATGGTATGACTTTTCTCATTGCTGGGAAATGCTCACATCTTTCAAAGGATTTCAAGATTTTCCCATATTCTCATATCTCAGATGGATACATCGACCTGTTAATTTCCACACAAAGCGACAAAAAGAAACTGTTACCTTGGATTTTCACCCCAACGAACAAGGCAGGATTAGAAATTAATTACAATCTGGCTGATAGCACTAGAGATAATTGGTTAATAGATGTAAATCAATGCATTCAATACTACAAAACCAAAGAGTTAATTTTTAAAATTGGTAACTTTGAGATACCCCTATCAATAGATGGGGAGCTCACTGATATTAGAGAAACATTTGGATTCGGTTGTGATACACTCAAAATAGAAACACATAAAAATTGGTGTGCAATATTTATGTAAATAAATATATTATCAATCAGTTTTCAAAATTATTTTAAATTTGGTCATTTATCATAGTATTGATTTATTTTTTTATTGGAATATATCCTTGAAATATATTCAAACTGTGATTTTATTTATGTTTTAATTTTTGTACTGACAAGTATCCATTCGGGTTTATAACTCTTAAACCTTTCTTTCAGAGATATAAAAGCTACCATTCATACCCAATGAATCTAAATTAATAAAAGATAAAAACTTATCAAAATTTTCAACTATTGAATATTAAAAAATTATTACTAAAAAAAGTTTTGTAAACCATCCTGGCATGTCAGGAAGTTTTGACATTTACTCTCCTACTCATACTCATATTTATGGCAATAGATATGAAAGATAATTTCCTATCAATTTTTGAAAATATAAAACAAAATTAAAAAAAAATAATTTAAATTACCCATTAATATTATTATATTTGTATGTCGATCAAAATATGAAAAATTGCTTTAGGAGTCAAAAGATTACTTTAAAAGCTATATATTTGAAAATTCTTTATTTCAAAAAGGTGTCAAGACTAAATAACAACTTAGAAGTTTTTGTTGATTTTAGATTTCACCTTATTTTTAGTTAAATTTACGTTTGTCACTCTCTGTCTATGGTTGGCGATGAGGGATGCCAAACGATTAATGGATATATTAAAAAGAGCAGCAATTTTTTCTTTCGTTTGTTTGCTCATTCTTTTTTCGTTTAAGAGTTGATTTGCGTTTAGATAGTTGATAATAGGAGTTTTGTCAAAACTTTTGCTTTTTGTTGGGAGAAGGATCTTCTCAAGAACCAAGAGGTAGTTTTCTTTGTTTTCATTGAGTAGTGTCTCACACTTTTTTTTTAAAAATGACTTTTGCTCCATGTTGAAAGAACCTTCTACAACTCTCTTGATCAACGAGAAATAATTGATTTGCTTGATAGAAAAATTCAAAGAAGCTCCAAATAAACTCTTGACAATGTTTTCATTAAAGGCCATATCATCTGTCTTGGCTAAAAGATTGCTTTTTATCAAAACAACAAACCAACTCTCGATTCCTTGAGCACCTCCAAGTGTTGGGGTTCTATTTGTACGAGAGGTTTGGAGAAACTCGGTAGAATGGTTTTCTTCTTGGGATGAGTTTGGATCGCTTGTCTTTGGTTCGGTATCCAGATCAAAATGATAATTTTGCAAAGATTGGTAGAGAGAATGAGTTTTATCTTCATCTGTTGCTTTTGGAATTCCAGCTTCATGGACAAGGTTGAAGGTCAATGGATTTGCCACTGTGATCTCATTTGGCTCACGGTCATTATAAAATGATTGTAACCAATTTTGATGATCTAGGTTAGAAGTTCCATCTTGGAAGAGAAACAAGAGATCCTCCTCAAAATCTGATTGTTGAATGGTACTGTTGTTGGGTGAATCTAAAGATAGAGACATATTTTCTAAAATTGAATTTGATTCTTGAGAATATAAATATTCTAAGCTATTATTTATTTCACTTTCTTCCATTGTTGAAGATAAAAAAATGATACATTTCACTTGTTTTTTTTTCTTTTAAATGAAATTTTTGAGGTAAAACTCACTCCACATTAATTACAGTGTTTTTACAAAATTTTAATTCAAAAAATCTTTTATTTATTTATTAATTTTTGATTTTAATTTTTCCAAACCAAACCATCGAAGTTCGCTTATTTAAGGAAAAAAAATTCTAATAAAACCGTAAAATAACTTTCCCCCAACTAATTTTAACAACTTAGTTTTTTTTCGAATTTTTTTTTGCACCTCATCACAGCAAGCTTACAATTGACACAAAATAATAAACAAATAAAATCTTTTAATTATGTTACTATTGACAAAAAATATCTATTGATAACACATGTTGATTTATGAACAATATTAAATGTGATGAACTTCACAAATATTATGTGAATAAAAATAATATTGTTTTGCAAATGACTTTTTTGGTTTTTTTTATGAAGTAATAAACGCCATTATTTATCTCTCTGAAAAATAGAAATTAAAGATAAAACTTTAGATAAACAAGAACAAAAATTATTTATCACATATTCAACTCCGTAGTAATTGTTGACTGAGAATTTATTTTTTACTAATTTTTTTTTTTTTTTTTTTAAAAATTTCATTGGGAATATTGTTTTTAAAATGAAAAATTATAAAATATCAGTGAATCAAGCAACTATTATTAAATTACAGACTTAAAAAGGTAATCATGGATGTTACCACAGGACTTAGAGGGAATAAATCGACTTACCATGACATATATGAAACAGCACATGGGGATTTTGTAAGTGATTTATAATGTGAATATTATTTAATACTAATCCAACCTTTAGTATATTGTATCATCACTCTCATTTAGAAAAGATACACAGATAACAAAGATTGATGGAAGATCTGGTTTAATGCATTATGAAGGATTACCCGGTCTCGATCTATTCTCAAATCATAGACAAGCAACAGCATTTCTGCAAAAGAAATATATTTTAAAGTCTAAATTGAGAGCCAATGCATTGCTTGGTTACATTGTAGCAGAAAGGTATTCATATCTTTTGGTTGCTACTAAAACGAGAAATGAGGGTGATATTCTTGGCGTTCATCCAATCTATGTTGTAATGGAAACGCAATGGATAAAAATAGAGCTTTCTTATCTTTCCTCTTGTAAATTACCAATTTCACCTCATACACCACAAACCAATGGTAACCTTTGTGCCATCTCCACGGTAGTCGATAATACATCAAATACAAATCACAACAGTCATGGTAGCTCTAGTTCTAGCAATAGTGGATCGTTTAGCTCTTTTAATGTAGATAACACCAGTAGTCAAAACACTCAGACCATTCGGGAGACTAATGAAACTGTGCAAAATGTTATTACTCAGCTCCAACTCTACCCTCTAGAAGGTACTCACTTTTACTGTGAGACCTATGACCTGACCAACTACTTTCCCTCCTCGCCGAAAGCACCCGATCAGTTCAGCCCTGAGTTTACATGGAACGAATGGTTAAGAAGACCATTCAGAACATTCTCACTTCCTTTTCTTTGTGTTGTCTTACTACAAGGATACGCCTCAATTAAACAATTGAACAATAGTAGTAAGTCACTTTTACCTCTAAACTCTCCCATAACCACTAATCTTATTCACAAAACAAAAAACCTAGCTTCTATTTGTTATTTAATGAAGAAATCTAAATTGAATCCAGAAACCTACTTCTATGGACATGGAATCAATGACAAAGGTGGTGCAGCAAATGAGTATGAGTGCGAGATCATATTATGGAGGTTAACTGGCATTAATACTATTAGTTGGACATCATATTTGTGGAGACGAGGTACCATTCCATTGTGGTGGCGTGCAAGATCAAAACATCAAGGCAATGATCTATTGGTTAAAGACAATCCTTTCGAATACTCTGACAAATATTTTACAGGGATCTTAGATAGATACAGCTCTATATATGAGACCAACACGGCCGCACTACCAACAATTAACCTCGTCAGCTTACTTAAAATGGATGATCCACAAGAAGGTCCTTTGGGTCAGCTATATCAGAAGCTCTGTAACAGAGTGGCTTCGACTGTCAATTTAAATTTGAATCTGCAGAGTTTTGACTGGCACATACACCTTAAGAATAATAATCAATCACTTACGAAAACAGTACATTCTTTGTGGTCAACCTTGAAAGAACCGATCGAGAATGCTGGCTTCTCCAAGGGCACTGCCAAGATTCTTTACGAGGAAGCCACCGATTGTTCAAGCCCTACTGACTCTAACTCTAATCAACAACAGCCATTGTTAGAAAAGAGATTGGTATTTGAACAGTACAGTCACCAGAAAGAAATAACCAAGTTTAGTTGTCTAGAATCACTGGAAAGGGTTAATATTGTGACATACTTTTCAAGCTTTCAAACGGTTGGTCTCATGGCAAAATCTTTGGGACTATCATTCACAGATGCCTATCCCTTTAGTAGTAATATTACTCTTGAAGTAATGAATAGCTCTCTCAAACGACTTGGATTATTTATTCCTCTTACAGAGTTTTTTGTTACGAGCAGCGATGTGTGTAACATACTCTATCTGAATAATCTGTCTCAACCAACACCGATAATGAGGGAATATATCAATAGTATATCGGCTTCCTCAGTCAACCACTTAATAGTAAGTTAATGGACATTCACATAGAAACATTAGATTCCAACTAACCTACTTATTCTTTAGTCTTTGCAAAGAAAGTATCAAAATACCAACACCGAGGAGAATAGAAATAAACAATATCTCATCTTCCTAGGAATATTTGGGTCTAAATATTTTCATTTAAACTCAGCAACCCAGAACTTTGAGATACCCAGCGGCCTAATATCGTGTGCTCCCGTGACCACTCTATTTGCACTTCCGAGTCTTATGGATAAGAGTAAACTGAATCCCTCAATACTGATAAGAGAAATCGACGACTTTTGTTGGATATTTCCCTCAGAAGTAAAAAAACCAGAGGTCATTGTATATCTAGGGTGTCCAAGTATTATCACTGAAATTTGTCTCACGGTTTCACATGGTACAAACAGCGATACTTATCCCCAAACTATGGATGTGTTTCTTGGAGCCTATCTAGACTCTATGTTCATTGTCCTTCAAGACATTTTGATACCTCGGTGTACCACAGGAACGAAATTGTCATACGAGGTTCCAAATTGTCCATGGAATCAGTATGGAACTACTTTATCAACAGAGGATCCAGTTGGGGTGGCTTCCAATAGGTATATGAATCGTTTTGTTAAGATTGAATTTAGAGGAAGTTCACTTCCAATAACAATTGGAAAGGTAATTATATTGGTGTAATCAACAATAAAAACAACAAAAGCTAATTAACTTATTTTTAGATCGAGGTTTTTGGATATCAAACTAGTAAGATTCACCAAATTAATTTGTCAATGGAGAAGGATAATCACATCAGATCAACTCTCTTTAAAGTGGATGTTGAATCAAATTTTGTATTAGACACAAACAACATTTCCTCTATTGACCAGGATAAATTGGAACTTACAGACTACACTCCATTAGATTTAAATAGTGAAGCGAAAACCGAAAAACTCCAGGACTCTGTAATCGAACAGGAGATTTCAAATATACTATCGGTATTTCAAAATCATATACCAACTTCATATGAGAGAAATGATATCAAAGACACACAGAATCATTTACCTGCTTCCAATCATGACAATGATATAAAAAGCAACGATAGCAGTCCTAACGAAATTCTACTCATTAGAGACTACAGCGGTGGCAAAACATTTATGGAGGATGATCCGTACAATGATGGATTAACAGAGACCATGAAGATAAGTACCAACAAGAAAGGTAATGATACATTTAATTTATAAATCTAAAATCAAATACTGATAGATTTTAAATATAGCTATTCCTTCTCAACAATATGAGCAAGCTATTCTAGATACAATCAATGGTTCAATTAAACAGCCACGTATTACACTCAATGACACACTAGAGTTGGAGATGAAGAGGATTTCACTGAATATCACCCCTTTCCAAAGAGACCAAATAATACAAGCAATGGGAATATCTTTCAATACTTTGAATCCCTCTAGATTTATCTTTGAGAGAGAAGAAAAGATTGAATCCAACATTAGGAAATACACCAAGAGTAAGCAACTATCGAATTGGACCTGTCAGAGACCACAATGTGGAAAAGAACTGGGGTATTTCGATAAGTTTAGATACAAACAATGCTCCTATTGCTACAAGAGATACTGTCCATCCTGCATGTCCTCCACACTAATCAAAATCCTAGAGTACGAAAGTTCAAAACTATTTTCAGTTTGCAATACCTGTTCATCGATCATCATGAAGCAAGAGTTTCTATTCAAGAAAATATCAGACGCTAATTTTAAGTACTATTTCGAATCATCAAAACTACATCTTGATTTTTATCAGAAGGTCCTACTGCAGTTTCAATCGAATAGCACATCTTTGCATAGCTATGAATCTCTTAACAAATCATTGATCCCGTTATCCGAATACCCAAAAAGCACAATCCTTTACAATGTGGTAAGTAGTTTGATCGAAATTAACAACGCAATCTCTAATTTTTACTTTTGATATAGGTCAAAGATGATAGATCGCCACCAATTGAAACGATCCTTTTGCCACCAGATGTATTACCATTAAGTGTATATTGGTCAGCACCACCCTCTGTCAGTTCTGTTGATATATCGATTGCTCTCTCGTATGATGCACTTGTCTACTCTATCACACTTCTGGTGGACTCACTTGGATACTACAACTACAACGTACCCTCTGTGGAAATCAAAATAGGAAAAACTTTGTTAACCTCACAATTGGAATCAATTGGTCCATGGACATTTCAGCCAAATGGCTGGAGTTCCAACCCAAACCAAGGTATTTTTATATTTATTTTTATTTTCTTGATTAAAATTAAAGTTGTATTAATAGATGATTACAGTTATTCAACCACAGTCATGTATTTCATTTATACTTCCACAGCCAATGCAAGCCAGAATGATATCGCTGAGATTTTCACTGCCGAATCTACCAACATTTTTGACATATGACAATGATGAGCCTGTGAAGCCATTCCTGCACATAGGTAGAATAGCAATTCATGGTTTCTACAACGATACTCTTTCAGAGGTACCAACTTTTATGACATCTTCAATACCATTGGAGTCGTCTGACAAAGAGTTGTATGAAAATACTCTCTATTCCAACTCGTTAATCACACTCAAACGTAACCCCGTCAAGACAATCTCTAATCAAGTGAAATCTGCTAAAACAATTCATATAAATATTGACCCATCGACAACGGTCAAAGGTTTCAGTGCTATCATCACACACGAAGATCTTGAGGGTGTCAGATCCCAAGCAAAAGGTTTAACAATTAGCTGTGTGACCACCAATCAAAAGAATGAATTTGTTGACCACAAATATGTATGTATAAGTATTTACAACATTTAAACGCTTCACGTTCTAACCAACTCGATTAGCATTCTCAAGTTCTAATACCAAAGAGTAGAGTGAATAGTACACTATATTTTGATTTCCAGAACCACCTCCCACCCCATGTCCATATTATTATATTTGAGTTTATATCAAACTATGGCGGCAGCATTTTGTCACTGCCACGAATTAATCTTTATTAAATAATATCTTTTAATTAAACTTCAACCCCCTTTTTTTTTTTTTTTTTTTGTTTTTTTTTGATTAAATTGGAATTTTAATTTGAAATTTTCAAGATCCAAAAAAAATTCTAAAAAGGTTGAAAATAAATTTAAAGTATATAAATAAAAATGAATAAATATTATTTATTTATAACAATTTTAGCAATTGTGGTATTCTCCTGCCAAGCTCTTCATCTCGAGAATGGATTTTTGCATAGGGCAACACCAAATGGTTGGGTGAAAACAACAAATAATGTTGACCCTTCAACTCGTATCACATTGACATTTGCACTTAGACTTCAAAACATCGATACTCTTGAGGTTGGTAAAAAAAAAAAAAAAAAAAAAGATATATATAACTCTATCTGATTACTAAATATATATCTGTTGCAATACAGAGTCTTTTAAACAACGAAATCTCAAACCCAAAGCATGCTAACTACAAAAAGCATCTAACCAGGGCAAAGCTAAATGAGCTCGTACAACCAGATCAAGAAAGGGTCAAAGAATTTACAGAGTGGTTGGTTCAAAATATGGAAGCCACAATTGTAAAGCAACTTCCAGATTTTGTCGTAGCTCAGGTTAGTGTTAAGAGTGCCAACAACCACTTGAACACTAATTTCCAGGAGTTTGAGAACACCCTCACAAAAAAACGTGTGATTCGAACACTTGGACCATACAGTATTAATGAAAACTATTCTGACTTGGTTCATTTTATTGGTGGCACTGTCAGATTCCCGAACCATGACCTCTCCAACACGATGGAGCCAGATCACAGATTCCTTTCCTCATTGAACACTAAGGATAGTGTCTCCAATGCACCAGACATTGTACGTGTGTATGCCGGAGACACAACATTTTCATTCCTAAGCCTTCCAAGATGCTATGATGGTAACACCACTACCGATCCTACTCTAGGATGTAATGGAAATTCATTTATCAGCTATCAGATTTCCTCTAACACCCAAAACTTTAAGGCAAATATCTTGCTTGACCAACTAACATGCCAACCATGCAATGGATTCACAAACACACTCGCCCAGGCAGTATGTTTGAAATCTTGCCAGACTCTCCAGCTGCCAAACAATACTGTTTATTGCTTAACCGGTGAGCTTAGCGGTAGCTTGGAAAACTATTTGCCTTTAAATCTCAGCTTGACAACACTTTATAACGATAGCACAACCTCCTCTCCATACTATACCACCACTTATCTTGGTCAGTTCCTAACACCACAGGTAATCCAAGAGAGATATCAAATGCCGTTTTTAACTGGATCCTTCTCAAACAATACCTCAGTATCACCAGATTGGTCAATCAATTCCCAATCGGTTGCAGAGTTCCTCGAACAATATTATTCCGATGCTGATTTGGTGCAATTCTTCAAGATGGTTGGAATAGACTCGAGATTATCACAACGAGTAACTGTCATTGGTCCAAATGATCAATCGAACCCAGGAGGAGAAGCATCTCTTGATATTCAATACCTAATGGGTTTAGCTGCTGGCTATAACACTACCTTTTGGTCTGTTGGTAATTTAACCAATGGTCAAGAACCATTCTTAGTAAGTACTCACGATAGAATTTTCTTTATACCCAAAATACTAACATATACCGTTATAGGATTGGATAATTGATGTGATTAATGGTCCTGAGATTATTTATGTACACAGTGTCTCTTATGGAGATGATGAAGATTCACTTTCAATAGACTACATGCAGAGAATCAATCAAGAATTTATCAAAGCCGGATCCCTTGGTATGACTCTTGTATTCTCGAGTGGTGACATGGGTGCTAATGGCAACACCAACACACCACTTGATCACTTTGTGCCATCTTTCCCTGCATCGTCTCCTTATGTTCTTGCAGTTGGTGCCACACAATTCTCAACTCAAACGTCACCAGCTTGTACCAGCAAACCAGTTGGCATAATATCAGTCAAATGCAATTCTGTTGGTGAAATTGCCTCGAGTATTGCAACTGGATCACGTATTACCTCTGGCGGTGGTTTCTCAAATGTGTTTGCAAGACCTTCCTACCAAGAGAACGTAACCTCTGACTACATCAGCACCTACTTGACAAACATCCCCCAGTCCTATTATAATCAAAGTGGTCGTGCTTATCCAGATATTTCTGCTTTGGGCCACAACTATCTTGTGATTTTAAGTGGAAATATAGTCCCCGTTGATGGAACCTCCGCATCAGCTCCTACCATTGCATCTATTATTTCCATAATCAACGATAAACTACTGAGAAGAGGTGAAGAACCACTTGGTTTTGTTAATCCATCAATCTACGCCATTGGAAGTCAAAATCCAGATGCATTCTTTGATATCGTAATGGGTGACAACTCTTGTCCAGAATCATTCCCATGTAACCAATATGGATATCCTGCTACTCCTGGCTATGACACAGTAACTGGATTTGGATCTCCAATATTCCCCGTTCTTGAAAAGTTGCTTGCACCGATTGTTCGTATCCCAGACCAAGATTCTGAGAAATTCACAAACAGTTGGAAAGCTGCTATCATAGTACCTCCAATCGCATTATTTGTTTTAACCTCCATTTTTATTGCATACATTTTGAAAAAAATTAAATCGTCAAATGTAAAATACGACGCAATATAAAATAAAATTAGTTAGAAATTAGATTTATTGCTTGACTAAAACATTTGTGTATATTTTGGATTTGTTTTGTCGTATTTGATATCTGGTATCTCAATATCGAAGTGGAATCCATTGACTGCATCTATGAAAAGATTACTAACTTTATAAAACTTCCTCTTTAACGATATCTATATTTCCAGAAGCAATCAAAGATTGTGATGATTTTTCGAGGATTGGAATGTAAAAAGACATTGAATCCTCTTTATTCATTATTTTTTATCTTTAAAAAAAAAAAAGAAATTAATAAGGTTATTGAACTATTTAATGAATACCAACTTACAAATTGATCAGCTATTTGAACTGAATGAGGTGGTACTAAGCTACTAAACTCTGTACTGCCTGATTCAAAAAGGTTTCGATGGTCTTCATATATATCACTTAATATAGTTTGGGCGTTGGGAGGAGGTTGCATAAAATCAAAACCGTCTCGCCAAAACGGAGATTTGTAGACCGTAATACCTGCCATTAAAGCAAGAGCTGCTGCAAATGCAGAGTAGATTGCTTTAGTTTGCGGTATATTTTGGTTTATATCCTCTTGTTGTTCTGACTGTTGGTCCTGTTCGGCTTTAAAGTTTTGACCTGTAGTTGTGTTTGACACTGTTTGATTGTCAGCTTCGATGTCTGTTTGTATGTTTGCCTTGACCGCTTGAGCTGCAGCAACTCTTTTTGCCACTTCTTTTCTAATTCTTTCCTGCTTGGCAAGAACTTCTTCATCTAACTCCTCTTGTTCGATTTCAATCAATACTTCGTTGTCTGTCTCTTTTTGATTGTCTTTTTTATCTTTTGATTGATTATTGCTCGAAAATGATCTAGTGATATTAGGTGTTAATCGAGAAATAGTTAAAATGTTTCTCTTAAGTGATACAGGTGACAAAATTATTTGTTGGAACTGGTTACTAATACCAGACACAAATCTTCTGCTAAGCATTGTTGAGAGTAAATGAAATGAAATGAAAAGAGTGCTCTGAGGTAAATTTTTGACTTATACGTTTGTTTTTTAAAAAAAAAAATCCACAAAAAAAATTAGTTTTTTTTTTGTGCAAAAAAATTACGTAATTGTTTATCCTAATAAATATAAAATATGTTGTACTTTCTATAACAACAAAAAAAGAGGGTCATTGATTCAACATAAAAGAATCTAACTGTACACTACACTATCATTTTTATTTAGGTATAATAGTCAGAGATCTAAACTGTACTTATGAATTTTTTATGTAATTAGCACATGATTTTCTTTCGAAATATTTTTGGCGCTTCACTTTATGAATATCTCAATACCATTTTTTTCAAAAAATTCTATTTAATTGTTGTAAGCCATAAGAATAAATGTCGAATCTCAAAAGAAGTAGAATAGATTATGAATCAACAGAGAAAATTAATGTGACAGTTAACAATAACAGTAGACAGTTAAAAAACAAAAAGAATGATGAGATTTCAATATCAGGTATAATTATTTCATAATCAACTATTTACCATTTTAACTAATATAAAACAGAGAAAACATTGCAAACATTGATGAAGGGAGCTAATAAAAATACAAATAGTGTAAAAGATGTTGAAATGCCACAGGCCTACCATGATCACTTTAAAGCTAATGGTGTGGATAATTCAGATTGTGAAATCTGTTCATACACTAAAACTAAAGTGTGCAGATGTCCTTCTTGTACTCATAAGCTGTGCCCAGATTGTGCTAAGCAATGTAAAGACTGTGAGGATATCTTTTGTAAAAAGTGTTGTATAACAAAGTAAGTAGCTCAAATGCATGATATAAATACAAATGTTTAGTCTAAACTAATTTTACAGTGACTCTCATCACCATCATAATAATCAATGTTGCACACTTGCTGTTTGTTGTGATATCCACAGTTATGATCAAAGAGACGATATAGATTATTGTATTGATTGCTACCACGAAAATCACAAAAAATAAAATTGTCAAAATATCTTTCTTTTTTTTTTTATAAATTTTTTTTTATACCTTGTGTGACACTTAAAAAAAATTTGCAAATGTCCGATTTCAATTGCTACTAATAAAAGTTTAAAGGTTAATAAAATGAAGCTATCGATTATTTTAGTTATATTATATATTACATGTGCATGTAAGTAATTACTTGTCTATTTATCTTTCAATATTTACAAACAAATACACTATTAATTCAATTGATTCCAGTATCTGAACCACTGTTCCACAGACTCAGATCCCCGTATCCCTACTACAGTAAAAGAAATCTAGGGGTTAAGTCTAATACTGAAGATCCTCCACCTCCACCATATGAAGAGTTTTACTATATGCAAACTTTAGATCACTTTAACTTTTACAACAAAGGATCATTCCCACAGCGTTATCTTGTTTCTGATACATATTGGACCAGACCAACTGGACCAATCTGTGAATCACCAGTTCTTTTTTACACAGGAAATGAAGGTGATATTGTATGGTTCTATGAAAACTCGCAGTTTGTAACCAATGTTTTGGCAAAAGAGATGGGTGCTCTTCTTGTTTTTGCTGAGCATCGTTTCTATGGTGAAACAATGCCATTCGGAAACAGTTCATCTTTGCCAGAGAATATCGGGTACCTTACCAGCGAGCAGGCTTTGGCAGATTATGCTCAACTGATCCCAGCGGTTTTGAGTGACCTCGGTGGTTCGCATTGCCCAGTATTAGCAGTCGGTGGATCGTATGGTGGTATGCTTGCATCTTGGTTCAGAATGAAATACCCAAATATCATTGATGGTGCTTTGGCTGCATCTGCACCAATCCTTTACTTTTTAGGAACCAATGCCAACTCTGAAGGTTTCAACGAGATTGCTACTATCGATTTCGCCGAAACCAGCTCTGAAGGTACCTGTGCTACTCGTATTCACAGTGCTTTCAACGAAATCACCCAAATGTCCAATACACAGAATGGACTCAATGTTCTTACTAAAACCTTTTCACTCTGTGAAGAGTTAACCGAATGTAAGTGTGAAGACCCGATGACATATAAAACTTTTTTGATGTTAATTTTTATTTTCATTCAGTGAGCGATTTAATAAATTGGTTAGAGGCAGCGATCACCTACATGGCTATGGCCGACTATCCTTATCCAGCAAACTTTTTAGAGCCAATGCCAGGTAACCCCATTAATGTCTCGTGCTCGTTACTCGCAAAGGAAACTGACAATATCCAAGGTTTGGTACAAGTAATGAATGTCTACTTCAACTCCTCAGGTCAGGCCGGTCAATGTAACAATGTTTCTGTTTACACAACAGGTGCACTTGGATCTGATGGATGGGACTATCAAGCATGCACAGAGATGGTCATGCCAATTTCTGCCAATGGTGTTCAAGATTTCTTCCCAGCAGCACCATGGTCATTGTCCCAGTTGACTCAATACTGTCAGCAGACATGGCAAGTCACACCCAATCCAAACTGGATAACCACTTACTACCAAGGTCAAGATTTAAGTCAAACTAGTAATATCATTTTTAGTAATGGTGTGTTAGATCCATGGCGTGCTGGTGGTGTTGTCAGCAATGACGGAGGTAATGACATTATCACGATCATTATCGATGGTGGAGCTCATCATCTCGATCTAAGAATGCCAAACTCTGCAGATCCAACAGCTGTAACAAATGCAAGAGTTCTTGAAACAAAATATTTGATGCAATTTGCTCAAGAAGCCTCTTTCAAAAAACAACTAAAATCCAAGTGAAAAATAAAAATAAAAATTTTATTTTTTTTTCGTCAAATTATTAAACCGATCAAAGATTTGATCAACCAAAAACTCCATTGAAAAATTGTTCGGTTTGTGAAAAAAAACAGAAGAATTTGGGTGAAACAGGTACTGCGAATTTACTGATTATTGGGTCAAGCAAACGGGCATTCAAAAAAAAATAAATAAAAAAATTTTTAGAGGTCACACTTATATATTTTTTTTCACCAATTTTATATAAATATATATATAGAATTAATATGAAAACATATTTTACTGTTTTATTCATTTTCTTTATTACAATCAATAATATCAAATCAGAAGTAGCTTATTGGAATGGCACAGACTATTCCAATTTTATGACAGGCACAAATTGGGACCCATCAAATGTTCCCTCTACCTCTTCTACTTTATTCATTATTTCAAATAGCAGTGTTTTAGATACTGACAATGTAGTTATATATTCACTCATCCTTGGCAGCCCATTGGAAGAAACTCCTACACTGATCATTCAAAATGGTGCCTCTTTTAGTGTTACCAACACAACTACGATTTACCATTCCGCTACTCTTCAAATGACAAACGGAAGTTTGGTTCAAATTCATAACTTGCAACAATCTGGAAATATAGTAGTAAATAATGGTACCCTAAATGTACTTGGTGCTCTAATTTCTAATGATTCAAAAATAGAATTTCGTAAGTTAGTTAACTAAAGATCAGCAAGTTATCATTCACTAACATACTTTCAAATCCAACAGGTCATGGTCACCAAGCTATTGAAGGCTTATTTGAGTTTGATACAAATTCAAATTTTGAAGTTGTTAACTCAGAGACTGAAATTACTGGAAATTATCTGTTCAGAAATCATTCAAGTTTATCAATTGATAACTCTGTCGTAACATTCTCAAAGTCAAACAACTTAATAATGATGGACCAAACAGAGTTTTCCATTTCGAATTCAAAGCTGGATATCATTGGGTTGGCTACTATTGGTTCAACTGTTTCTACCATTGTCCAAGACAGTACCCTCAGTATTGAAAGTCAGAATTTAAATGTATCATCAAGCCCCAAAGTTCAGAGGTCTACACTTAACGTATCTGGCAACTTAGTGTTTGGACCCTCTTCAGTCGTTGAGATGACAGACACTATATTAAATATTAATCCGACTGCGAATGTCACTGTTAATTTTGAATTGACTGGAAAAAACCTTACCATAAATATCCTCGGAAATTTATTTTTTGCAAAGCAAGTGTCCAAGTTCATTTGTGACAACTGTACTGTAAATATAAATGGAAATGGTTTGTTCAGATTCAACCTGTTTGCATTTGCCAACATTACCAACACCTATATCTATAACAATGCCAACGTATTTACCGCAGCCAAGATGTATGTGCCATTTGGTAATCACATTGTGAACAGTGGAACCCTCGATTATTGTGCAGATATTTTCATCAACCAAAATAATAATACGATCGATCCAACTAATACAGACCGAATTATTACCAACACTGGGAAGTGGTTGTGCAATACTCCAATGCACAACTATTTGAATACTCCATTCTTGAACACTGGTGATATCCAAATGACACGTGGGAATGTGACTTTCAACAGTTTGAAGCAAACCAATGGAAGCATTGCGCTTGTTGGTGGTACTCTTTTCGCAAATAATACTATCGAGATAGAATCTGGATCTCTATATGGAAATGGCAATGTTTATGGTAATATCTCGAACCAAGGAACCATTGGTAACCAAGCTTCCCTCAATACCACCGACAATATCACTATACTTGGCAATCTTCATCAGAACAAAGGCCAAATAGTATTGAATATCAATTTAGACAGACATTCTCATCTCAATGTCAGTAGATTATTCAATGCAAGCAATGTCAATATCGTTGTCTATGTTAGCGATGATACACCAAGCAACACCAACATAACATTGATAAACTTTGATGAATTCCAGGGAAATATTAACTCTGTTACCATTAGAACGTTCAACCCATCAACAGGAAAGCCAACAACATTCAATAAATGCAAGTACCAGTCTCAAAGAAATGAGAAATCGTTTGCAGTCTTGGTCGGTGATGATTATGGTTGTGATAGACCAGGCAATGGTGGTGATAAGGTACCTCCTGGTGCCATTTTCGGCATAGTAATAGGTTTTGTTGTTGCTGCTGCATTGATTGCCTTAATTCTATACCACAGAACAAAAATAAGATTATTTTTTAAAAAATCATACACCAAACAAATCCAACTATCAAAGAAATAAATTAAACATACAGATATAATTTTTTATTTATATATTTTATAGTCTAAAGTTTTAGAATTATTGAGTTGGTTTTCTTTTAAAGATAATAAACTTCATAATCGATAAGAGATATTCATCCTCTATCAATAAAGATGTTTGGTTCTCTGTTGTACTTGATTGGTCTACTTTGAATATCGTATCAGTCGGTACCAAATAATGAATGAATCCATACTCCACAGATTTATCTATCAGATACTGATCGGTTTGTGATGATCGCGATTGGTAACAAAGAATAAATGATGAGCTTTCTTTATGTGAAAGCAACTGATTCACTGTTTGAAAAAGTGGTTCTATACTAGATTGCCAATAAACCACATCTGAACCAATGATGGTATCGAATCCTTCTGAGTTGGTCGATTGCTTAAAGGTGTTTTCAATATCGCTTTGATTCGACCAATCTAATTTAATGCATTCACAAGTTGGGTAACCATCTTTGGTAGACTGTTCGATGTTCATCTTGAGGAGATCAACAACTATATCATTATAATCACTAAGTATACATCGTTTGCCGAGTCTTGCCAAAAATAATCCACACACACCAACACCTGAACCAACTTCCAGGATTGGATTGTTGGGGTCATAAATATTCGAGTTGTTAACAATATAACGAGTCAACATCTTTGCTGCCGGCCATATAACCTGTCCTGTTAGATCATAGTCAGCTTGAAGAGTTTTGTTAGTTAGATTAAGTTTGTGTTACCTTCAATATATACTTACTCGATGCAGAATTTAATACATAAAGATTTACAGACAAACCACAGCACTCAACTTCTTTTTTGGTATAAACTTTGTTTATAAATAAATCATTAAATATGAGCTCATCACCATTTTCGTTTGTTTCACTATTATTCATTCTAATTAAAAAATAAAATAAAAAACTAAAAAGTTGCCGAAATAAATGTCTATCATAATTTAGCTGTGCGACATCAATGTTGCAAAATGTAGAATTTTTTTAAACTTTTCAGTTTAAACTATAGGTTATACCCTTTAAAATCAAATTATAATAAATGAGAAGAATAGATACTATTTTTTCTGTACATTTTATATTGTCAAAAAAAAAAGTTGATTTTGTTAACATATTTACCGAAAAATCATGGTTTTGTTGATCATTTAACAACCATTGTGGTCAATGAAAAGATATTAACCAAAACAAATCGAATTGATAGATTTAACAATCAACTTTCAGTTTACAAATAGTCCAGGTAGAGTGATTGTGTTCAATTTAGTCCTATCTTTGTTATTTGTTCTTCTTAATCTCAAATTCTTTCTAAAGTGTCTTTTGTTGTTGATTGAAGAATCAACAAGACTGGTCAATTCTGGATGAAAAAAAAAAAAAAAACTCACTCAAAACCAAATAAGTAAATAGAATAACATTATTAAAACAAAGCTTCTTTCATTCTTCTATGATTATTTAATATTAATAAATTAAAAAAAAGAATAAATTAAACATTTTAAAATTTTCATTTCCAAAATTATGAAGATTGTTTTTTTAAAATTAAGCAAATTTTTTTTTTAGGAATAATAGTATCCATAATATATTATCCTTTCTATTTTATTCTTCGCCAATTTAATTATTCTTTCCAAGAAATAAAAGGAAATGATTTTTATTTATTTGTCAATCAAATAATATTATTCTAAAAGATTCTCCAATAAAAAAAATCAAAAAAATCAATCAAAATTCTTCTATTTTTTTCACTTAGGTGATTGACAAACACCTAACTAATATAAATAGGTGGAACAATGTTGTTTCAAACATCCATTCTATAAGAATAAATCCAATAAAATAAAATATTGGATTTATTCATTAATCAAATATGTCTAACTCTAGTAATCGGAATAATTTATTATCTAAGGTCCCTTCAAGGTATATCCCCAAAGTTGGTATTCGAATGGGACGTTTAATAGAAAGTCCCCACGAAAGAAATTTAAGAATTATGAGAGAATTTAATAAAAGTTTTGGTAAGTAGAGTAGTTAAGAAATAATTGTTTTTCAAACTATTAACTTCTATTATAAAAGGCATATTAAAAACGAACCCATTGTAACTCCAAAAGAAAAAGATATCTTTATTAATTATATTTAATGATCCGGCCCCAGGTCCTGCCCCAACTAGTGGAAGGTCTGTCCAGGAAATTAATGAAGACATGCATTAAACTTCTAATAAATGAAGAAAAATATAAGTTGTTGAACTGCTAATGTAAATTAATTAAATTTTTTTTATTTTTTTTCATTTTTCATGCCACCCAGGCATGATGGCGAGGGCTGTACACTAGAATTCTTTGCCCAAGATTCTACAGTCGCTGTTTTCACACTAAGAGCATGTACACCAGAGCTCAATTGCTCAGAGAGTGTGTTGTTCACCATTCTATGTTGTTCGATAAGTGATTTTCCTTTAAACATATCAGAAACAACGACTACCTTTATTTTTAAAATAAAATTGTATTAACTCAATCAATTCATTAAGAGTGACCAAATATTAACAATGAACATTACTTTGAAATGAGTCTCTGAGCCTTTAGGAACGCTATGCATGTAACTCTCATTTAAAACCTCTAAATGTGAAGGTGAGAAACTATCTCTAAGCTTATTCTCAATGATCTGCTCTACTCTGCCTTTGCTATTTGTACTGCTCATTGATCTATATATTATATTGTTTGATAGTCTATATCCTACTCTACTAAAGCTATTCAACATATTACTTTATTTCTTTTTCTTTTTTTTTTGAAAATAAAAAAAAATTTGGTTTTAACATTTGTTTTTTGAATTAAAATTTACGAATATTTTTAAAAAAAATGATGTTCTTCCTTCAACATGATGTGATATAATCACAAGTTAACTTTTTTGTTTTAAATAGAAAAATATTGTTGAGCAACAACAATAAAGGTGCATCGAACGAGCCACCCGGTTATCATTTATATTTTCTCCATTTTGATATGATAGTCGTGAATAATAATAGAATGTATTACCAGGGGCACACTCAGTGCAGGGAGTGGGTAAATAATCAAGTATATTCAAGATAACTAATTCAAATTTATTTTTTTTTTCTCCAAAAAAGTATAGGTTATTTTTTCCTTTAATTTGTTTATATATGGTATGTATCATTCTATAAATAAATAGATATAGGTAATACAATATAAGTACTGTATTAGTCCAGTGCACATTGTGCTGTCAACGCGTTACATATTTATATTCTTACACTATATTTCTATTTATTTGCACTGCAGTGAATTAGCACCTAATTCACTTTCATTCTTCCTTTCATCCATATTCTTTCTTTCTTTCTTTCTTTCTTTCTTTCTTTCTTTCTTTCAATCTTTCATCCACCTATTCTTTCATTCTTCCTTTCATACATTTATTTATTCATCCAATAATTTATTTATTTCTCTATATATCTATTATATGTATTATATTTATTTATTTATATTTATCTTTATATCTATCTTAATATTTATATTTATTTTCAGTGTTATATTTATTTATATTTTTTATATTTATTTAAATATTATATTTATTTATATTTATATATTTATATTCATATATATTATATTTATTCATTTATTCATTTATTAACTCACTTTCTTGTCAATCTACTATCATACAAAGTTGCTTTTTCGTATCGCTAACATTATACAATTGAATTTTATATGGTTATTGTTGATTTGATTGTGTTTGATTCAAATAAAAACCAAAAATTTAATATTTAGTAAAGATTGGCAAAGTGAAAGATACCAGCTTTATCCACTATTCAAGGAATCGATAGAAATTAAAGCTCACATATCGTGTGTTGAACCATTTCTATTTGATGTATGTGCTTTATTTAATCAGTAGGGTCCATTGTTAAATATCTATTTCGCTAGTTGCCAATCTTTGATTTTCTCATATAAATTTCCCATATTACAATAACCATTTTTTGAACACCAATTTTTGATTGAAGATCTTTGAGAATTTGATTGAATCTTTCATAACATTGATAAATATGTCTGTCCCTGTATTCTTTGATCTCTCGGGTTCGTTGTAGCTTGCTCCGAACTCCGATGCAGATTGGAAAACTCATTTTACCCATCGAAAAACAGAGGCCAAACTCTTTCAAAATTTTTTTAAAGAATAAAACAAACTTTATATTCTAAATCTACTATAAAAATACTTTCTATTTATCTAATTTTTATTAAAATCTAACAAGGTTTGATATTTTATTTTATTTTTTTAATATTAATCTCTAATGCAAAAACTTAGAAAAAAAAATTGTGAAAAACAACCACAAGCACTATCATTGAAAAAAATTTAACATATTGCAAAACAATGTTGATCAAAGATAAAATATTATTATTATTATTATTATTATTATATTTATTGTTAAGATGATTTAAATTTTGAGGAATAATCTCTCCATCTCTTCATTGCAGAGTTCCAGAATGACATGACTGGATGTGTGAGGCTATCGAGTGGACCGTGTTTATTCTTTTCCTCTTGGTCAAACTCTTGTATTAGTGTTTTCTGTTTGTCGGTGACCGATTTCGGTATGTTGACTATAAAATGTACGTATTGGTTGCCGTAGGACATATCGTTTACCGAGCGCACACCTTTGTTCTTGAGGACGCGCTTCTCGTTCGGTTGGGTTCCGCTCGCCACCTTGAGATCGACCTCGCCAGTCAGAGTGGGTATGGTGATGGTGTCACCGAGTATCGCCTGGGTCAGGGAGATCGGCACGTTCAAGTGGATGTCGTTACCCTCGCGCTTAAAGAGCTCGTGCTCACTCACGCTGACATGCACATAGAGGTTACCACGACGACCGCCCTTCTCGCCAGGCTCACCCTGTCCCGTCAACTTTATATTCATTCCATTGTTGATACCCTGAGGAATCTTTATATTCAACGTTCTATTTCCTTGTACTGTACCCTTGCCACTACAGCTCGTACATTGATCCTTTATAATCTTTCCTTGTCCCTTACAAGACTTACAAGTTGACGCGAAAGCAAACAATCCATTCGATTTTGTAATCTATTAAATAGCAATATTGTGATTAGCAATTGTGATTGATTGGTGATGTTGATGATGGTGATGATTACTTACTCTACCAGCTCCATTACATGTCTTACAGTTTGTCATTTTCGAACCGGGTTTGGCACCGGATCCGTCGCATGGTGTGCAGGTGGATGCACCGTAGAAGGTGACGTCTTTGTTGGTTCCGTTGACAGCTTCCATAAAGTCGAGGTTCAGCTTGATCTGGATGTCGGCACCGTTGACACGACCACCAGGACCACCGCCACCCATCATTCCCTCGCCAAAGAGATCGGAGAGGTTAAAGTGCTGGAAGATCTCCTCGTAGTTCATGTCGTTCGGGTTGAAGTCAGAGTTCTCGTAGGCTGCACCCTGGTGTCCTTGCGCGTCGTACATCGCACGCTTGTTCTCGTTCGAGAGGATATCATAGGCATTGCTAATCTCTGCAAACTTGCGGTGTGCATTTGGATCTTCACGATTACGATCGGGATGGAACTTCTTGGCCAAATCGTAGAATGCTTTCTTGACGTCGGCTTTCGATGCGTCACGTGCCACACCCAACACCTCGTAGGGATCACGTTTCTCCTCACACAACGGTGAATTCGATCTGAAATATCTACATTGATTATTTTGTTGCTGCTGCTGACCAAACAAAGAAGTCGATGATAATGTCGATGGCGATGAACCGTTGCACATCATCAATCTTGCAACATTTTGATTGAAAGTATTATTACCACTATTTCCACTTGAGGAAATAACAGTTTTTCTTAATGTATTCAAAGTTGCATAATTTAGATTTCTAATCATTGTTTCTATATAGTGTATTTATATTTTTGTTGTATAGTATCTTGTTTTTATCTTTCTTATCTTATCGTTAACCAACTATCATTAAAAGTTCACTAACTACCAACAATAAAATGATCTAATCAAATCTATTGAATGAAAAAAATAAAAATAAAAATAAAATACCAATAGAATTTAAACGAAATCGATTTGTTCATTCATGAAATTCCCAAAAAAAAAAAAAAAAAAAAAAAAAAACTAATTTGAATAAAAAAAAAAAAATTTTTAAATTAATTAAACCAACTAAGAGTTATTATAACAACAACTATATTTCTGAATAGATATTGATTGATCCATACCTTTCAAAATTTATTATTATATAAAACTCTTTTTATTTATTTTATGTTATGATTTTGTTATTAAATTAAATTAAAAACAAACCTATCTTACTGATATAACTATTATTATTGTTATAACTACACATTTACATATTTATTTATAATTTCTCATTTATCATTATTATTATTATCATAACCATTAAATTTTGAATTATTTTTATATTTTTTTTAATTTTTTGGAAAGTTTGCTTTGTTGTTCATCTATATTTATTATAATACAAACATCAATAATATTAAATAAAAGATATTGATATTGATATTGATATTGGTGTATTGATATTGATATATATTGATATTGTTATTATGGATGTTCAACAACAACAACAACAACAAGGTGGAGGTCATGGACATCATCATGGTGGACACCATCACCACCACCACCATCATCATCACCATAATCAGCAACAGCAACAGCAATCATTAAAACGACAGATTAGAGGTGGTACAGAGAGTGACGACATTCTCGAAGTGATGCCAATCGGTGCAGGTGCTGAAGTAGGTAGATCTTGTGTACTCTTGAAATACAAAGGAAAGACAATCATGTTTGACTGTGGTGTGCATCCTGCATTCTCTGGAATGTCATCTCTACCTTTCTTTGACGAGATATCCGATGCATCGAAAATAGATTTATTATTGGTCAGTCAGTAATGTATCAAATTAGTAAACACACACATATAAAATCAATAATAATAATAATAATACTAATCTTTAACATTATTTTGTGTAGTTTTCATTTGGATCATGCAGCAGCTTTACCGTATCTAGTTGAACATACGAATTTCGAAGGAAAGATATATATGACACATCCAACGAAAGCAATCTACAAGATTTTGATGACCGATTATGTAAAGGTCAGTAGTATGACAGAGGAGATTCCATTCAACGATATAGATCTAAAGAAAAGCTCAGAGAAGATCGAACAGATAAAGTATCACGAGAAATTGGAACACAAAGGAATCAAGTTTTGTTGTTATAATGCTGGTCATGTATTGGGTGCTGCAATGTTTATGATTGAAATTGCAGGTGTAAAAGTAAGGTTAAAAAGAAAACTTTTGAATCATTTCTTTAGATTATATATATATATAGATATACTAATACTATTTATTGTTACTTAATAATACTCTAAAAGATATTATATACTGGAGATTTCTCAAGACAAGAAGATAGACATTTAATGGGTGCAGAGACACCACCGGTCAATGTAGATATTCTAATCATTGAAAGTACGTATGGTGTGCAAGTTCACGAGCCGAGACTCGAGAGAGAGAAGCGATTCACTTCGTCGATACACGAGGTAGTTAAGCGTGGAGGTCGATGTCTGATTCCGGTGTTTGCGCTCGGAAGAGCACAAGAGTTGCTGTTGATTCTCGACGAATACTGGATTGCGCATCCAGAGCTACAGAAGATTCCGATCTACTACGCGAGTGCGCTGGCGCGTAAGTGCATGTCGGTCTACCAGACCTACATCAATATGATGAACGAGCGTATTCGTGCACAGTTTGACCTGTCGAATCCATTCAGTTTCAAACACATTGAGAACATCAGTGGAATCGAGCGATTCACTGACGACGGTCCGTGCGTGTTCATGGCGTCACCCGGTATGTTGCAGTCGGGTCTGTCGAGACAGCTGTTCGAGCGGTGGTGTAGCGACAAGATGAATGGTGTCGTGATTCCCGGTTACAACGTCGAGGGTACGCTCGCCAAACATATCATGTCGGAGCCCGATGAAATTACAAGAACCGACGGTGTCAATGTTCCTCTCCACTTGACGGTGACCTACGTGTCGTTCTCTGCTCACTCTGACTTTCTCCAGACGTCAGAGTTCATCCAGGAGATTCATCCGCCACATGTGGTGCTGGTGCACGGTGACGCCAATGAGATGTCGCGTCTCAAGACATCGCTCATCGCCAAGTTCAAAACGATCAATATTATGACACCGAAAAATACTCATATCGTGCAAATGGAGTTCCGCGCGGAAAAGGTCGCCAAGATGTTGGGAGCGATCGCCGCCAACCCACCTCGCGAAAGCAAAAAGATTGCCGGTCTCCTCGTAACAAAAGATTTCACACACCACATCATTGCGCCCTCCGATTTACACAACTACACCAACCTCAAGATCAACACCATCAAACAGAAACAAACCGTACCATTCGCACAAAAATATCTACTACTCTCCAGCACACTCGAACAACTCTATGATGAAATGGAAGAATCGAAAACAAAGGACGATAAACCAACTATTAAAGTAAGTTGTAATAATATAACCTTGTTTTTTTTAAAAACCAAAACAACAAATAACTAATAATTATCTTTAGATATATGGATCTATTTTAATTACTTATAATGTAGGATCACATGTTACAATTGAATGGGATTCCAATCCAGTTACAGACATGGTGGCTGACTCTATTGTCGCTCTTATTATGCAGATCGAATCCAATCCATTTAGTTTGAGAGTAAAGTCATCTAAAGAGAACAATGGCGATATAATTTTGACAGATGAACAATCTAGTAGTAGTGGAATTCCACTTGTAAAGATGGAGAAAGAGAACGAACAGGACGAAGAAGATCTTACGATTATGACAAAGTCAAGGAAGAAGAGCCAACAATTGACACTCCGCACCGAAATTATGACTATGCTCTCCAAACAATTCTCTGAACTCAAACCGGATCAAGACGACCCGCTTTTAATGCACTTGCACATCGATGACGATAAATCGGCATCCATTCACCTCGAAACCCTTAAAGTACACTCCAACACACCAGAACTCAAGACTCAAATCGAAAAAGCAATCCGACGTATCTCATTGGCCGTACACCCAATTTCATTCAACATCAATCCATATCTAAACAATAACAATAACAACAATCATTCAACAACCAACCAAACAAACACCACTTTAGATATCAAAAATAGAAATTTCATAGATATTTAAGTTTGATTACCAATAAAAACAAAATGTTTGACGATGATCATCGGTTCCAAAACTCTTTTCCTATTTTTTTATCATAATTTTTGTTTTCTGTGCAAGGATTTCAGCAAAATTATCGCAAAAACCTAAAACTTGATTAAATATTTAGAATTTTTTAAAAAATAAACTGCAAACTCATTTATATTTAATCTTTAAGATTTACCCATTTTTATTTTAATAAAGACTCTTAGCTCAAATTGTAAGTACCAACAAAAAAAAGATATTGTTAGCAACATCAAGATCCACTATGTTCAAAAGGAAAAAAAAACAATGTTTTAAAAAATTACAATCAAAAAAAAAATAAAATCATGTCCAAAAACAATCATCATACAAAAAAATAGTGAACACTACATTTGTATGTTGTGTTACTATTTATGTGATTGTGTTGTCTTTTTAAATGATATATTAAATTGTTTATTTTTAATAGAAATACTCTATCGATGTAGAGTTAGAGTTATCAAATAGTATTACCTATTACATATCATCCCCACATCCTCACACCCACTATCACTCACACAATGTGCAAAAACAAAAAAAAAAAACAATATATGTAACTACACGACATGTTTATGAACTGTGGTTGCCAATGAAATCACTCGTTAAGAAAAAAGTATTGAAGTGATAATGTACAAAAAGAAACAACAAATTCTCATAAGTAATTTTGATTACACATTTATTTGTATTTCTATTTAGAAACTTTGTTATATCTTGTTTATCATCATTATTAGATTACCATCATCAAACTTGTTATTTAGAATTATATTATTTAGATTCACTTTGTATTTAAAGTTTAAACTAATTCTATAAATTAAATCATAATCACAAATAATAATTCCACATATCATCAAATAAAATACCGTTATATGACCAGAAATTAAAAAAAAAAAACTGGTATGTTTATATTATTTCAATGGTGAAAGTTAGAGGTGGGCTTTTTATGGACAAAACACATTAATTTTGACCAAACAAAAAAAATCGGGAACAAACAAATTCGGAAAGTTTGTTTTTTTTCATTGATCAATTTTTATTATAATTTTATTTGTTTATTGTTTAGGCAAAATTCGGTGCCTTGTTTTTTTTTGGCATTTTTTTTTTAATTCAACAATTTTATGCAATGCTTGGTGGAAAATGCCACTGAAATCTGAGATGAACGAGGCTTCACCACACAAACACAATCATAAACAAAATCATAATTAAACAAAATCAAAGTCCAACAAAAAACAAATTGTTAACCAAATTATTATCATTTCCACTAGTTTCCATATTCAACAAAATTTATTAATTGATCATCATTATTAAAAACCAACCAAATATATATATATATATTTTTTAACATTTGTAGAAACACTTGGAGTAAAGACCAAAGTTAAACTGTAAATATCTGTTTTATAGCGAATACATTTAAATGTATGATTGATTGATTGATCATAAACACCACCGATCAATAATCACTATTTATAAAACAATCTAATCAAACATTTCAAAGATTTTGATAATCTAAACAACGCTACAACTCATGCGCTTCTGATATACACTATCCAAAAGTAACACACATATCACATACCCAATAATCATATTAATATGTCATTTAAATTCACATTATCTCAAGAAATTTTAAAAAATTTTAAAAAAAAAAACAAATCATTTTTTTTTCACTTTTAGATCAAAAAACACCCCATTTCAGTGAAACCACAAACATACCTCTTGGCTAGATTGCAATTTACAACAATAGTGGAGGGGTGATTTGTGTTGGGTGATGAGGTTCTTGAACCTTCTCATGATTAAATTAATCATTTCTGATCCCAATAACAACCTTCTTCTTATTCTGTCATATTACGTTTTACTTTATTTTTAAACTGTAATTTCTTATATATATTTTAGAATCATTAATGCTTCCCTTTAATTAATCCTCTCGACAACAACAACAGAAACAACAAAACAACATCAACTAAACTTTTAAACATCTTTCCAAATCTTTTTTAAAGTATACTTTAATATTTGCTAAAAAGCATCTGTTTTTGTTTTTTGTTTTTAAACAGATGCACATCAACACACACCTTGAACTTTGTTTGCAAACATATGCAATCAAAATCGTGATGGATAAATTTTAAACAACATTTATCTTTTTATTTTAAGTTTATTTTAAAAATCATTAACACATTGGTCATTTTATATTCTTCTCTATACAATTTCTAAAATTTTATCAATATAGATAATTAATTAACAACAAAACATATTATATATATTAGTTCAAAGGTAAAGAGGTAAACCATCAAGCTACAAACATCAATTTAGTTTCATCATTATGTAAGTAATCTAGATTTCAATTCTACAACATTCAGTAACCATATTTGGTTTGGATTTGTAATCTTTTGTTATATTAAAAAAAATCATTTTAGAATGAATTCTCTATATTCCTTAAATGTCTTTTGCCTAATTTAAATGACCAGTCATTTTTAATATTCCAATATTTCTTTATATGGATATACTACTGTTAATTAACAGTAGTCATATTAATATTATTTTCGTATGTGTTATTATTATTGTTGTTGTTGTTGATTAGTACTGGCAATAATAATAAACAGATTGAAAACATTCATCTGATAAAACAAACATGCTTTTGTCGATGATCATTACAATACTCTCCTCACATCACGCCACCTGACAGATCAGTTTTTATTTGTTTCTGACAGCAATCACATATCTCCTGTTGAACAACAATTATAACTCTCAACTCCTATAGACAAACTAGGTATCCAGTTGGATTCTCGTTGTTGGTGATTTCATACAATCTATCCTTTTATTTATCCTTCACCCATCCATTCCATAAACGGTTTAAACTTCCTTAAGAATCAAAATCTTTTGGCAAAACAAACACTCTGCCAACCAATTTTATTAACATTTTCATGATATGACAAAACTCTGACTGCTTCCGCTTTTGTTCCAAAACTTCATTTTATATGATCAGATAATTAAATCTATCTATCTATATATAATGCAGTGTGTTATTGTTATTGGTATATAAATTCTATTATAAAACATATATCACATAACAACCACCACCACTACTGTCAATTTCACTTTTATACACTCACACAAAACAACATCGTACACAGAAAATGAATTTATTTTCAAATTCAAATCTTGAATTCATTTTATCTGTTAGTGTATATGTTGGGTTGGATGTATTCATGTTTAATAATTCACTGACAAATATACAAATAAAAACCATTCATCATCTTATCTAAAGATGTTTTCGTTTGTTCTTCCAAAAAGTGTTGTTTAATATTTTAAATGTCATGTGTGTGTGTAAGTGTGTGTGTGTGTTGGTTTTTCATCAATAGAACATTTTTTATATATCTATTAATATGAAAAACTTACTTCTTAATATATTTTTAAAATCAAATAAGACTATAGTTGTTATTCTTGGTTTTGTATTATTTGTATTATTTTTGTTTCTAATTACAATTACAATTTTTTTATTTTATATGTGTGTGTTTGTTGGTCATTCATGATTTTATTATTTATATATATAATAAGATAAAGGAGGTGGTTGGCTGCCAATTTGTTGATTTGGTGTGTTGTTTGTGTTAGTGAATTAGTGTATGAGGTTGACCATGACATTGATGTTGATGGCCAAACCGTTGGAGATGTTAAGAGTTGTGGTGTTTATTTTATTTTTTAGTGCTGCAGTATCGATATTGAGATATCATATCACAAACACCAATCATAACAACAACAACAACAAATTTGGAAAGAGAAGTAAGCAGTGGAGTTATGCATATTTACACACAACACACAAACACACACAAACAGAAATCAATGTCTGTCTATCAATTTGACTGTATATATGTTTCATTTTTTTTTTTGTTTTTAACAAAAAGTAATGAATGTTAGGCATGAATGTAATTATTTCATACATTTCCTATAATCCTTCCCTGCCTGTTTTATTACAAAACAAATATTATATTTAGTATAGTGTTGTATTTACACTTTAGATATTCTCTTGTTTTTTTTTCCCTAATCCTTTCTTTCATCATTTCGCGAATTGTAAATTTGTCATTCTCAAACATTTCAAATATCATCCTCATCATCACCATCCTCATCATCATCAGACACTGGCGTGACTGCTGTCAAGCATTACATTTAATTAAACCACAATGTCTTGTCCATACAGACCTCTTGGCTAGCCTTTTTGCTTCACTACAAATTCACAACTATTAACCAAAAAAACAACTAAAATTACAGCAGTTGTCTTATTTGTCGTGCAAAGCGAAACAGTCGTGTGATATCAACTCTCTATCATAATCAAACATATTATAATCCACCCACATTGTTCCAACCTATTGGTCTATTGACAGACCTCTTTTTTAAAAACACAATTTAGAGTGATTGGAAAAAACAATTACTTTAATTGCTTAAAAACCAACACAATATTTAACATATATAAAAAACCACCAAACAACAGCACCATCTCTCATTTATTCTCTGTTGTCTGAATCAGTAGTAATCATTTACATCAAAAAACAACCACAACCCACACACAAAACACCAAAAAAAAACACACACTAAAAAAAAAAAAAAAAAAAACACTCATCACAAACCCTAATTCTTTCTTTTCTTTCTACTGCAAACATATAAACAATTAGTATAACACAAACACTACTTTAGTTATTCAATACAAGTCCTCTTTTTATATATAATTGTATAATAATTAACTAGTTATCAATTCAATTTGTTTTGTTCCATCATTCATCCATCCAATCCCTCCAATCCAATCCATTTCTCAAATCCACTCAAACAATCTTAATTCTAAACCAAAATATGAAATAACTCACTCTTGACTTTGTTTGTCTTACCTGTGCCATCTATCTTTCCCACCCATCATTTCTTTTTTTTTTTAAAAAAAAGGAAACAATTAATATTTATTTAATTTCTAATATCTATAAACCATCTTTATTTATTTATTTTAATCAATAATTAATCATTCAACCAACAACAACAACATCATCAATCATTTTTATTTTTATATTTTAAAAAAATAAGCCCTATTTATTTTCATTCAATTTTGATTTCAAATTTCTATAGAATTGTATCCCACCAATCATAGCTATATTTCATTTTTCATTTATATTTTTGGTATACTAAAACATATCAGAACTATAGTTGTTGTTTCTCCTAAGCTTATGTTCATATTTTTATTTTAGTTTCCACAACAAACTTTTTTTTTATTTCATTGTTGTTTATTTTTTTTATTTATTATTTTAGAAACATTTTTATTTATTTATTTATCGTTTTTTATTAATAAATTTATTTTATTTATACAGTGTGATGGTGAACATATTTAATTGTTAAAATTATTTATAATAATACTTGACATTTAAAAATAATAATTATGGCGACTAATTCAAACTATCTATCTGGATCTGCCGACGCTGTCGTTGTCTCTGCACAAGATGCCGCCAACAGTAGAACCAAACCGGTATCGCCAAAGAAGATTCTGATCCAAAAGTATCACGAGGATCTCGAGGCTCTGATGATCAGAAACTACTCTTCTCGTCTATTTCTGACATGGATCTACAAGAACTCTAGTCCACCAGTGCTCACACCCATTCCAAATATCAATATTACAATGCCATCACCTTTGTCACTCCCATTATTTATTCACCAGCAACAACAACCAAACAACTTTACTACCGATACCAACAAAATACTTTCTCCACTTACCACACCACTCGCTGATATCGAGAGATACATCAATCGATTGTTGGACACCATCTCGAATGTGATCCATTTCTTCTATGTCCAGAACTGCAAGAGACACACCGAGTTGGTACAACAACAATTCAAAAACAATCCAAATCATATTTTTAACAAACAAAACAAAACAATTCACAGCAACATCAACAATAGTAATAATAATACCGATTACAACTCGATCTTTGTTGGTTGCATATACTATGCAGATCTCTTTGTCAGAAAGAATAGCAAGTCTTCCATTTCCATTTTAGATATTTTAATTACAAGGTAATTATCAAAAACAAATAATAATTAATAAGTAATCACTGTTTTTTTAATAATTATTTTTTTTTAAAAAAAAAAACATCATGGTATTATTATTATTATTATTACTATCTATTTAAATATCTTGTAGTATTATAATCACAATTAAGATGTGGATTGAAGAAAAGATGAGTGTCAATAAGTATATGTCCAAGATTTTCGGAATCTCGTTGGCACATATCAACCAACAAGAAATCAACTTTTTGAAATCGATCGACTATCAAATCTATCTTCATGAAAAAGATATTAAATTATTCACCGATATAATCCACAAATCATCTGTACAAAAATCATCAAATGAAAATGATCAACAAACTAACAATAATACCAGTAGTAATAACAATATACCAAATAATATAACACAATCGAATAATAATAACTCATTAAAATGTATAAACAATAATAATAATGATAATACTTCATCAGTACCATCACAATCAGCATCAAATACACCAGTACTATCACAATCGTCTGGATCCACTACCACCACCTGTATTATAATTTCACCGGATATCAGATCGTCTTCATCCTCACCTTCCATTGCACAACCATCTTTAACATCATCTTCGTCATCGTGTTTGACAACGCCAACCATCAGATATAATAATAATCATTATCATCATCAACATATTTCGTCATCTGCATCTGCATCTGCATCGCTATCACCCATCTCCATTGTACCATCTTCACCAAATACACCACAACATATATCAAAGCAGTCAGCATTGCTACAACCATCAACATCAAACAAAAGAAAACCTCTATTCCAAAATATAACTTCAACACCAAACAAACTAGAATCATATACACAACAACCAAACTTAAAAGTAAACACACCTACTACTACACTTGTTCTTTGTTCAACAAGACACACACCAAACAACATCAACAACAACAATAATAATAATAATCATAACAACAATATTATAATTACGAACAAATCAAACGACTTGCTCAATAATAATAATAATAACAATAATATAAACACAAGCAATGAAGAAGATGAAGACTATTATAATTTCGATATCATTGAAGAACCAAGAAAAAGAATAAAAGAGATTGTATCCTTTTAGATCAAAATATTTAAATAAATAAAATATAAATATATTTATAAAAAAAACCAACAACAAATTTTTAATATTTACAAATAATAATGAAAAGTTTAGCATCAAGAATAGAAGCTGGAATTGAACATATGAATCATTACAAAGATTACTAACATCACATAAGCATAACATCTGTTTTATTTTTTGTACACGTGTAATTTATTAATACCAATAGTATTAATTTTATTGATAATGAATATGATAATTCTGGTGTCTGTACAAAAGAACGGAACATTAATCGATTGACGAGATTTATTCTGTTCTGTTCTGGTATTTTCTTCAATCTATTCGATTTTTTATATCATTTAATTTGGGGTATAAAAATCAAAAGCGGGTGAAATTTCACACCCCATTAAGAAGAGAAAGAAAATTCTGATGGAAGATTTTGACAACAACAAATTTGTTTGTTCATTTTTTTTGTCATTCCTATAAATAAATTGAAAATATCATATCATTTTTACCAAAATTCACAATATATATTAAAGTTTTAATCTCCTATATCTAATAAACATATTTATTATTTATTATCTATAATCTATTCACACATTCTTAAACTAAAATGCCAAACCCATTAGAATTAAAGACTGACGTTAGTGGTACTGTCTATGAGTATGTTCTCCAATATGGAACACGTCTTAACCCAATCCAAAAGGAATTAGTTGAGTGTAAGTGTTAATAATTAAAATAGCTGGTTGCTTTAAACTAAATGAATATATTCTAATACAATCTTTTTTTTGATTCTTATCTCTAAATTGTAAACTATCAACCACCTCTTAGTTACCAATGCCAGAGTTGAAAGAGCACAAATGTATGTATTTTCATTATCATCATCATCATCATCATTTTTATCATCAACAACAACAACAATAATAATAATAGCAACAATGTCATTTACAATGTATACATACTCTATTTATTCATTGAACTTGTTCTTGTTGTTAAGCTATATCATTTCGATAATAAACAAAACATTTTATTTTAAAAAAAAAAGAAGAAATTATTTTATTTTATTATATTTTATTTTTAAATTGTTAAATTGATAATGATTATCACAATCAATATCTATTGATTCGTTCAAACTTACTAAACTATTTAAACTTAGGTTGACTACTTACGATCAAAGCCAATTCTTCCAATTCTTGGTTAGAATCCTTAATGCAAAGAATACAATCGATGTTGGTGTATTCACTGGTATGAGTTCATTGACTGTTGCATTGGCACTTCCAGAAGATGTAAGTAACATGTGTGCACATCATTCTCTTTCTCATTTCCCATTATTATTATAACTATCTTTAAAGATATCTTTTTTGAAAATATCTATTTATCTTTTCATAAAAATCATCAAAACCTTTGCAGATATTATGATATATCATACCATATCGGACATGATATCATAGCTAAAACTTTGTTTTATTTCATTTTAGCAAATCAAACCAAACTAAACTACAATATCAACCCATCACCACCTTTCTGTTTTATTTGATCCTACCACTTTAACAAATTAAAAGATTTTTATCTTTTTTTTTTTTTTTTGTCCAGTGTTTAAACAAAAATATCTATTTTTTTTTTTTTTTTTAATTGATTTCCATTACAACTCCACCTAATCAGCACACACATTTATCTTATCACCACACCTCAAACCACCACCTCATTTATTTATCTGATAATTGATAATCAAACAAGTGAAATCCCAGCTCCTCTACCTGGGAACATCAAATCATTTTTTAGATTTTTGTTTTTTTTTTTTTTTCGTGTTAGAAAATGTCACACCCTCTGATTTTAGGACCATTTCACCTCGATTTAAGGAGATTAGCCCACCCCAATAATTATAATAATCATTTAAAATATAACGAGCAGAATGATAAACCACCACTTTCGTTTTATTTGTTCTCTCTTCTTTTACACCTGATTATTGCGTAAACCGTTTGCAGATCTTTTGTTTTATTAACTTTGTTCGGTTTGTTAATTTAGGGAAAGGTCATTGCCTGTGATGTGTCCACTGAGTACACCCAACACGCCAAGCAGTTCTGGGAGAAAGCTGGTGTAAGCAATAAGATAGATCTCATTATCCAACCAGCTGCACAAACTCTTCAGAAACTCATTGATGACGGCAGAGAGGGTACCTTTGATTTTATGTTTATCGATGCCGACAAGACCAGCTATGACACCTACTATGAACTTGGTCTAAAATTAATCAGAAAGGGTGGTGTAATTGCTTTCGATAACGTATTGCAACACGGAAGAGTTATCAATGGTATGTAACTTTATAATTGGTTGATCGATTAGATTTTTTAAATTTTTAAACTAACAACAACTCACCATTTACAATTTTAAATTTTTGTAGAAGCTGAAATTGCTGCATCGACCGATGTTCAAGCTATTGTGGCCTTAAATAAAAAGATTCATACAGATAATAGAGTTCATATTAGTATGATCCCAGTTGCTGACGGTATAACCTTGGTAACCAAAGCCTAAACTAACCAAACAACCAATTCCAACTCTATAATAATCATTTCTCTGCACAATCTGCAGAAATTCGCATTATCACTCTGTAATCAATAATAATAAAAAACATCAAACTACACAAACATGTTCAAATTCTACGAATAAGAAAGGTGTGAAACTTTTCACTTTGCTGTGTTTTTTCTTTGCTTATTGGTTGATAGCAAGCATACTTATTAAGAATATATGGTCATATTGCAATGTTTTGTCGATTACTATCTATGTAATAGGGGTGTGAATATTTTTAGTTTTATTGTTATTATAGTCGATCGTCTCACAATCACCCACCATCTCTAAATTAACTTATAAATTTTATAAAAAGAATTTCATCTTTCGTTGAATTCAATTCACATTCACACAAAAAATAATGACTGACTTTTTTTTTTTTTTGTTTTTTTCTTTTCTTTTGTTTTCTTTAACTATTTCATTTGACGGCACCAATCAATCAAATCTTTGACAATTCGATCAAAACACAATTCAACATCATCACAACAGTCATCACGTTGTTAGTCATATTTTAAAAGTTGTTTCATTTCTTTATTATTTCTGTTGAAACAACTGCTCAATATAATCAATCACTCAAATAGCAAATTATTTAAAACAGTTATATATTAGCGAAAAATTAATTTCTCTTTTTGAAATTATCCAGGTAGGTTTTTGTTTTTTTGTTTTTTTGCAAAAAAATGGAAAGAATAGATTCAAACACAATTATCGATCATATATCTTTTCATCAATCCATTTATAAACCTTTTTTTTTGTTTTTGTATTTTTTGATGTGTGAGCACCGCAGTTTTTTAGCTCAGCAAGTGGTCATTCACCAAAAAGCTTTTAAAAACATGTCTGAAATTCAATTAGCTGATGTCACCACCCACTCTCATTTTAAAAAATATCTCGTAAATTAATAAAGTTGTTTTGGTTTTTTTTTTTCATTTTTTTTTTTTTGCAAATTCATCGAAACCTTAGTATAGGATATTTTTAAAAATAATCACCACACATCCCCACTTTTATCCAAAACAGTGGGGTCAAGGGTGTTGTCATGCATGGGCAGGGGGTTGCAGATGAGCTTTTTTTCAAACTTGAATTGCCTCCAAAAAATTATAATTAAACATCAATTTTTTTTTCTTTTTTTTTTTAATTAATTTGTTTTTTTTATTATTTTTTTATTTATTTTCAAGCAAGCAAAAAAAAATCAAATCAAACAATATGTTTTGTGTCTTTGAACCTTCCTTTTTTAAAATAGTTTGTTGCAAAGTTTCAAACCAAAAACGTTTGATATTAAGTAGTGTAGTTGTTCTACTCTTATATCTCACCAACAACAACAACAATTAATCATCATCAATCCTCAAGCAACATCAGCAAAAAAAAATAAAATAAAAATAAACAATTCATTTTGAGGAGCATTCAGTATCTTATAAGTAGTTGAAGATAATTAAATATCAATACATTAGAAATAATAATAATATTATAAAAATAGTATTAAAGCAAGTACCAATATACACTTTCTTTGCAAAATCATATACATCCAAATCATCACTGTTCAAGAGTAATCGGATTTTAAGAAATTTTACTGTTTGGTAATTCTACCCATCAATTTGCCCACCACCACCAATAAATGCACACAAACAAGCCTTTTTTTTTTTATTTTTATTTTTTTTGTTTTTTGTAAAACCCCATCATTCAATTTCAATTTTAGGTTAAAACTATTTTTAATTTCTTTATTATTTATCCGTTTATTATATTATTTAAAATTTTTAATAGCTGCAAACAAACAAGTTCATTTAGAAATAGAGATCGATACTTTCTTGCTATACAATAAGAGGCTATAGAACTGTTGAAATTGTATGACCTTCTTTCTATACTATCACATAGCCAATTTGTTAATGTTTCTTTGATTGTTTTTGTTAAAGGCGATGGGACTTTTGATCTTGCCCAAATTTGTCGGTGGTTAAAATCAAAAAATTGTTCCAAAAATGTCTATATTCAATTCAACTCATACAACAAATATCTTCATTAAGAAACAAAATAATAATATATATTCATTCTCCACACCACTATCTGAAATTTATTGCCAAAAACAAAAAAACAAGTTTGTATAAAGCACCAATCAAACAAACAAAAAACCCCTTCATATCAAAAAAAAAAAAACGTGTTTAATTTAAAAATATAAAGTATCATGTTTTATTTTATAAACAAAAATAAAATAAAATAAAATCAGTGTAATACCAAAATGCACTACACAAAAAAATTAAACTAAAATAAATGGACAACTTAATAATCAACCTATAAAAAATCTTACTTTCTTATATATACAATTCAAACAAACAACAAAATTATTGTCCATATTTAACATTGTTACTACAATAACAATAGCATTATTAACAATAACAGTTGTATTTATTACCTATATTCCACATTTACTTTTGCCACATCAAGATTGAGGAGAATTTACAACTTTTAAAAATAAATCCTCTATTGTTTTGTACTTCAACAATTATATTCCACTAATTATCATTATTATAATTATTATTGTTGTTGTTGATTCTTATTCTGATTAAAATTCTAATGCTGATGCTGATGCTATATATATATATTGTTATTGAATTAAATATATCTATCTTTTTAATCTCATCTTGAATCAAATCAAATCAAATCAAAATCAAAATCAAATCAAAACAATTGTTATACAATACGGTTTTAATATATAACAACCTCAAAACAATCAGCACACTAACACACCCCACACTCAAAATCTATCAAACTTTGATTTTTATTACATAGAGATAAAAAACACACACACACAACTACATCAACAATCAATAAAAAGATTTTTAAAATTAATTATTTCATCTAACCTTTTTTTTTTTTTTAATAATTTTTACCTAAATAATTTAGTTTAATCCTAGCCAATTACCATTTATATACATATATATAAATAATATCAACACAAGATTAGTCTAGTAGTATTACTTCACTTTCCGAACCAAACCTTCCTACTTCTATACTTTTTATTTTTACTTTTTTTTAAAAAAAGAAACTTATTTAGCAAACAAAACAATAATATTACAATATGTTAAATTGAATAATTACAATATTAATAATATACAATTAGTTTATAAAAGTTAATAACAACAATAATAATAATAATAATAATAGAAACAATTAGAATAAAAAATAGTATCTTGGTAAAGAAATAATAAAAACAATAGCAACAATAATAATAATAGCAATAGGAATAATAGAGAATCTTTAAAGAGTAGTAGTGGTTTGGTATCTTTTTTTTTTCCAGCCAATTACATCACAAATTTTATTATATTTTTCTTTTTTTTTTTGAAAAACAATCATGATGGAGTCCTCGAAATTCAAAATATTACCACCCTCTCTAAAGATAAACTACGACAGTAACCAACTGTCAACACACATGGCAAATGGTGGTGTTGTTGGTAACAAACATCTGAAAAAAGCGCTAAACTCTTACAATATAACGAGCGATGTCGAACATTCTATCATTGACGACAATGCTACCGTCATCGAAGTATGGCTAGAGTCAAACCAGGCACTCTTTTCCAATCTAAAGATGACCGCGATCTATATATGTGTCGACTCTGAGTCGAACCGTGTCAGTGCCGTCCTGAACACCAATCCATTTGCCGCCGTCTCAAAGTGGCGAAAACATATATTCGTCTATGTGATCGTGCTCGAGGGCATGGGTAGAAACACAAGACTCATCAAAACACAATTCATGCCAATTCCGACACCGTCAACCAACAACAGCGCTAATGGAAACAGCAACAATGGTAATGGATCAGGATCTTCGACATCTTCGCTATCGACATCGCCCGGAACCAGTCCGACATCGAGCACACTCTCACTGCCTTCATCCGCGTCAGCAATGGCCGTTGGAAACATTGGTAACAGCGGAAATTGCAACGGTGGAAGTGGCGGTTCCCCATCTAATTCTTTCAACCAGTTTGTCATGACCGACGTCGCCAGCAGTAGCAGCAGTAGCAGCAGTGTTGGATCACCTTCGAATTCCTCACCAAATTTTACACAATCTTTTTCGAGCGCCAGTAGTATCACTTCTGCTGGACAACTCAACGGACAATCAAACCAACAACAACAACAGCAACAACAACAGCCAGCTTTTTTATCGTTTATCAATAATGTAATTCACAAAGTTACACCACCACCACAAGTGCAAACACTGATAGAGAACATCCAGTATCTACTGATTCAAAGTATTCAGAGAGCACTCAACAACTTTGTCAATAGCATTCAAAGAGATCGTCTCTACTACAATCAAGTGATATCCTACAAGAAGAACGAGGGAATGTATCTACCAACATTGTTTCTCTCACATGCAGGACTCTCACCAAATGTTTCACCAACTAGTATCTCTCCACCTATTTCCGCTTCAACAACAACCTCTAACAACAACAATGCAAATAATATTAATATTAATATTATTAGTAATAATAACAATAATAACAACATTGTTTCAAGTAATACTCTTGCTATTCCAGGATCAAACAATAATTTAAATACCAATAATGGTATAAGTATATATGGTTCTCCTTTGAGTTGTTCACCCAATTCATCGGTTATGTTCTTACCAATGTCAAGTTCACCTTCACTCTCGATTGCACACTCTGAACCACCATCACCACCAACTGCACAGCAGTCCGATAACCAGCCACTTACCGACGACGAAGACAGCTTGTCATCCTCGCCAAACTCATCATCCGACATCTCGATAGTAGTTACAAACACACCAGCCATTCCACAATCTAAATTCCTCGCTTACAACAATGTCATTCACAATATCATTGGTAGTCACCACTACAACAACTTTACTCCAAAAAAGATAACACCCATACTTGCAAATAACATTATATTGGGTGGAAGCAGGCAGAATACTAAGCAACCATCCACCGACAACGATATCGCCAGCAACTCTGCATCCGTCGTAAGCAGCAGTATTACTAGTACAACCGGTAGCATTCTCAGTGACAAGTCAAACTCGACTTTGGCAACCTCTTCAGCTTCCACTCCTTCCATATCGACACCGATTGGAAGCGTAGGCACCATAGCATCACCCATCAATACACCGACAAGCTCCTCTTCATTTATGCATAGTAAACCACGTGGTCTAAAGCAATCAAAGGAGCTAGGTGAGAGACCAAGTATCTCAACCTACGAAACCAAAGATGGATTTGGTTGTGCAGTCATTTCCTCACTCTACGGGTGGGACTTTGAGAAGAAAGAAAGAGCCGGTGAACCATTTGCCGATTGTTTCTCACTCACCACAATGTCTCATCCAAATCTACGTGCTACCCTTACCATTGCCGATGGTAGTGGACTTGGTGCAGATGCTCATCGCGCTGCTACCATGTCTGTACTTGGTGCAAATGATTATCTTGATAATATAAGTAAGTTATAATAGTATCTTTTAAATTAGTATAGATAACTAATGAAAATCTATATAAATTTAGATTCAATTGAAATAACTACAACCAATGATTTACTGACGGTTCTTGGTAATGCAATTATGGAGGGACATATGAGAATCATTGAGGATGAACACTACCAGAATAAAGAGATACACATTGAACCAAAGGGTGCCACTACTTTTTGTATTGGTTGTCTTGGTCAAACAAAGAATATACTTCAGAATCTATCGTCTTCGTCCAAAGATAAAAAGCCAGCAGCATCTGATCTTAGAGCTCAACAGTTCTCTAGACCACTACCACCTCCACCACCCAAACCCAAGGGTAACTTAGCTGTTCCATCGTCATCATCTGGTGCCGCATCAATAAGATCATCCGATGACTCTGTAGATACCAGTGATAATAGCTCCAAGAGGAAGAATAGTTATTCAAACAACAACAACCAAGTGTACAGTCAAAATAATAATAATAATAATAATAATAATAATGTAGATAGTAATAATAATAATAATAATAATAATAATAATAATAATAATAATAATAATAATCAATTGGAAAGTGATGAAGTTGAAGTGTCAAATTCTAATATTTTGGATTATGAGATCGATCCACCAGAGATTACAATCAATGAATTGCCAGCAAAGGTAGAGTCGATTCTTGAGGAGATTCAATCTTTAGATATCAAACCATCGAGACTATCGATTACACTCACCTCTGAACTACCAACCACTCCAAGACAAGAAGAGCAAGAGGAACAACAACAACAACAGCAACCAGAAGAAATCGAACAATCCCAACAATCATTACAAGAAGAAGAAGAAGAGCAACAACAACCAAAATCACCGAGACCATCCGTTGAGAACTTTGATCAACAACAACAACAACAACAACAACAAACACATACAGAACCATGTTCATGCCCACAACATAATAATAATAATAATATCAATACAAATGAGTCAGACAACAACACATGTACAGTTAATATTGAAGAAAATAACAATAACAATAATAGTATTACTAAAAAAGTTAAACCTGTTCCACCTCCAAGAACATTCAGATCGAATCTCTCAGTATCACCCTCCAACTCTAGTATATCGTCGATGGTGTCCTCCAGTAACTCTACTACCGAATCGGTAAGCAGTAGCAGCTCAAGCTCACCACGTCTTGCCAGCACAGATGGTCAGTGGTTCTTTATGGTCGGATCTGTCGGTGATTGTAGGGCGTTCCGTTGGAGCTGCACATCGAAAAAGGTGACCGAGATTACCAATGTCAAGCCAACCAGAAACTTTAATGAAGCTGGTGGTCAACTCGGTTGGATGTGGGGTGGCGACGAAGGTCTGTGGCCATACAACGCTTCGGACTACCCTGGCGATCCACGTCCAGAACTCAAGGATGAGCTCACCAAAGCCAAGAACGAAAAGTCAAGACCAAACTTGAAGAATCTGCACTTTGGACTGGTACTGGTGAATCCCGGTGACCGTGTATTCATCGCATCCGACGGTGTTACCGATAACTTTTTGAACATGAATCCATCGGTCAACGAAGAGAAGCAGGTCACCAAGGAGGAGTTGGAAACCAACATTTCCAATTTCATCAAATCACAGACACCAGAGGTGATTGCTTCGTGTGACCGTCTCTGTCAGGCCATCGTTACACACTGTCTCGAGAAAACACAAAACTTTAGAAACATCCAAGAGGAGATGAGTCGTACACTACTCAAGATGAAGGAGATCGAAAGAAGTGGCGAAGATCTCTCGAAAGATCAGTCCTATCAATCGCTAAAGAAGAACTACTCTAAACTAGCCAACAGCATTCGACATATCAAATATGGTAAACCCGATCATTCTTCTATCGTTATGTATGAAGTACCTTATTCGCATTGATATTTATAGACAAAACAAAACAAAACAAAACAACAAATAACTAGTAATAATTATAATAAATCAATATTAATTTATTTTAAAACAAAATATATATCTTTATCAATCAAACTAATAGATAAAATATATATTTTGAAAGATTTGTATAACCAAAAAAATATAAAGTTCTTTTTATTTATTTCTATTTGTATTTACAATATTGTTGTTGAGATTGAGCTTTTAGCAGGTTGTCATAAGAATTTGTCTAAAAACGTTTGTATTGGTTCATTAACTTTGGTTTGTTGAAATCTAATTTACATTCTGGTACACAAAGTTTAAATCCATCCATACAATAACAAATTGATTCATTTTTTTGCATTTTGTTTTTATAACATAGGTTATGTTGATCTATACAACTTTGTAAACAATTATCTGACCATGCTACTGAAAGTAATAAAAAAAATATAAATATTGTAATTTTGTTATTCATTTAACTTTTGATTGGAAGAATAATAATAATAATAAAAATTTGCTCTTAAATCTTTATTCTAATGGATAATGGTTTAATCAATATTTTTTTCAATTTTAATTTTTTAAATTAGGATTGCATTTCCAAAACGAAAGGATATTTATTAATTAATAAACCACTATTTATTTTTTGTAAAATCATAAACCTTATTCTTTTTAATAGTGTTAAATTAATTATTTTTACTGATCAATCAATTAAACTTAAATTTTAATTAATCTAAATGATTATATTTAATTTTTTTAAAACTTTTGATAAAATAAAAATTTTATTTAAAGTTAACAGAAAAAATTTTTAATAATAGAGTCAGTTTAAAAAAACTAGAAATAAATCTTTTCTTCACCTAATGTAAAAAATAAATTTATAAATGTCCAATGTTATGATTCTATTTTTGCGGCTCATTGATGATATTTAAATTCATCAAGTCCATTAATACACAATATTTGATTTATATTCTTACTAATCAATTTGTTCAAAATAAAAATGACTTATATAATTGTAAAATTAAATATCTAACCCTAAAAACACTCGTCTTATAAAATACAAAATAACAATAAACTCTGAAATTGTTTTACATAAATATGGGGAATCAATGTTTTAAATAAATCTTGAATTTTGAGATCTTTCAAGATTAGAATTTGAAAATATCAATTCAAAACATATTCAAAATCACCCTACAAAATATCATTGATTTTAACATTTAATTCCAAAGATTAAATAAATGATATATATATTGATCTTTTTATATATTGAAACAAGATTTCTTATTTGTGGATTAAAAAATTAATAATTTAATAATTTAAAATTAATTTTTAAAAATAACCAAATTTGAAAAAGTTCGAGTACAAAAAAGGAAAAAAAAATTCAAATAATGGCTATCCTTTAAGAATGACTCTCATTTTATTTAACTTGACATATTTGGTTAAAAAATTAAATTTTAAATTAAAATTTTATTTAATTGAAATCGTTAATGATATATTTTTTAAAATAGATAATAAAATATCAAAAGTCTAAATTTTACACAATGAATAACTTAATATCTCTAGCAGACACAATGTTGGCTGCTGATGATCTGATCTCAAATAACAATAATGAGATGAGAAATAGTAGAACACAACCAATAGTTATTAATAGGTTGCCTGCTAATAATTTGCAAATTACACCAACCAATTTGATCCAAAATCCACTACACCAATTACAGTCTAATCCACCAACAGGAACACCATCTCATTTGTTGAACAATCCACCTATAGGTGGATTAGCTAATCCAATACCATTCAATCGACCAATGGAAACACCATCTATCAGTTATCCACCAAACCAAATGCAATTCTGTCAGCCTATTAATAGCAGAGTTACAACTCCAAACCAGTTACCTTCCAATAGTCAAGCTCGAGGAGGTGTACCTTTAAACCAAAACAATCGACCTTTTGTTCGACCAGCTACAACAACAACAACAACAACAACAACGGAGAATGGTTGCTTTAGCCACTTTAGAGTTGTCGAGAAGGAGAAAAAAGAACAAGTTCGAAAGAGTTTCCAACTCAAAAAGTGTTTAGAGAGTTTCTATGAAAGAGCTAGCAGTAGATACAGATGCAGGTTGTGTACTGAACATACAAGGCTTTTTATAAGTATATACACAGTAGAGAGACACATAGAGGATGAGCACAAAGCAATAGTTGATGATACGATGGCAAATATATGCTTTGTTGAGACCCTTGCAGGATCTCAGCGCAACCGAGATGGAGTTAAGATGAAGAGATGCGATCATCTTAATTGTGGAATGTTGGTCGATGAACCAAACTTTAGTCAACACTATAGTTCCAATCACCATTGTCATCGACCAGATGAGAAATCAAATTGCGTTAGATGTAAAGCGGTCGAGAGGAAAGCTGAAAAGCAAACTATTGAGGAACTATTGAATATGAGTGCAACAACGGGTAAGTAAACAGTGTTCAATAAATTAGTAATAGTTAAGTATACTTACAATAATCTATTAGATATATCTGTGCGTGACATGGCAAGAACCAAGCTAGTTTATCAAATTCCAGATGAAAAATGGAAAGACTATTGCATTGAAATGAAATGCGATACGAAATACTATTCACTTACTAGAATAAAGAAGTACATTAAAGAGATTAGTTCGAAATACATGAAGGAGTTATCACAATCTGAGGTGGGAACTTACCTGTCACTTCAAAACAGCTTGGCATTGGTCATAGAAATGGATATACAAAGAGGTTACGACACAGGCGAAACAGTATCAATGGAAGTCAAAGGTGAGATGAAGGATGTAACACCAAAGCTATTTAGGATTGGTTTGGATAACGCCAAAATGAATAAGAACAACAAGTTCTCCCAAGAGATTGGTGTGCTGCAATCAATATCCATAAATAAGCCAGTTCCTGTTCTCAAATCTCCCAACGATGGTCTAATGTTTCTTGTTTATCTTGGTGACGAAACCTTCTCTGAACTGAAACAACAGTTAGCTAAATTAAATCAGGAAATTAAAGAATTAGAATCAAATAATAATATATTCATTTATAAAGATAGATATTACCAAATAGACTTACTCTACACATTCGATTTGAAATGTTGGCTCACGGTGATGGGTCTTGGTGGTCTATTTCATTGGAACTCGACATTCAGGTGTCCTACTTGCTTAGGTACTGGTTCATCTGGAAAAGTGGATCCTGACACTCAAGAGAAGATCGACCATTCTACAATTGGGAATGTTGCTGGATTCTTTGAGCCACGCACTAGAGAGCTTATGAGGAAGGAAGGGCAGAGAGTCAAGGATAAGCTAGAAAAGTCTAAAGCCAAAAACCCAAAGGTCGAAATGAAGAGCTTCTCTGGTTTGGCTGCAGAACCGAGTCTTGACATTGATCCAACTAAAGTTCCACCAGACACGTTACACATGATCATGTCCATTGTTAAGACTGTTTTTAAACCGATACTACTGCTATGTGACACCAATGAAACCTTACGTAAAGACATCGAAGACTTCCTCAAGTGTAAGGCTAAACTGACATTGATAACGGTCTCACCAGGTACACTCTTGCATGGACAGCCTTATACATTCTATGACCGATTCAAACAGTCAGCTGTTAACTATATGGAATATATAAATATCTTGATCAATCAAGATATTCTTATTAAGACCTTGTCGAATCATTCTGTATATAATAATGATAAGTTAGAATTGGTAAGATGTTTAGTTTATTAAAAAAAATAAAAAAACAATTAAAACTAATGTAATTAATTAAAATATAGATAAAGAAATATTGGAAACAACTTCATTGCTTAATATCTTGCATGATATCTGATGAACCTGTCAAAGAATATCAATGGAGATATATGTCATCACAATTTGGTTCCAATTTAATTCTTGCTGATATTAAGATATCGACCTATATGCATATTTTCATTGTACATGTTGGATTTTTTTTGGAGAGATATGGCAACTTGGAGAGATTCGCTACATTTTGTATAGAGTATCTCCACAAAGTAAATAGAATATCAAAGCAATTTACAACAAACAGTTACAAGATTAAAATAAACAAGCCACAACAACAAGAGCAACAACAAGAACAACAAGAACAACTACAAGAGCAACAAGAACAACAAGAACAGCATCTATCAACCTCATTTCCACCACCAATAGTAAGAGATGTCAGAGAATCTAAAAGAAGAAAGATGTTTGATGATAGAATAGAAAAACTAAGACAAATGATACAGCAACAATCATCAACATTAATGCAACAAAATGTAGATGCTTTACAAAGAGTGCTTGAAGAACAAGAAAAACAACAACAACTATCAGAAGCAAAAAAAATAACAAAAGATCTAACATATCAACTAATTGAACGATCTATCAACATGTTTTTCATCAACAACGAGGAAAATAGTGGTAACGTTAATGAAAGTGATCATGCTGCACTGAGACGTCAATGGGAAGAGTTGAGAAAGATAGAGAAAGATAGACAGCGAAATCAACATTTCAATGTGTCCAATTTTAATTTAAATAGTTTATTTGGAATAGAGTCAATTGAAGTTGCTCCAACAGATTTCAACTGTAAACCAAAGTTTCTTTTAAAAGTATCTGTATTGTATGGGTGTTGATGAAGATATAGAAAGTGCTTATTATTATTCTTGGTGGGATGGTCATATTATAGATTATAATAAGAAAGATAATACATATAGAGTTGCATTCAAAGAGTAAGTAAAAATACAAACAACAACAAAATATGTTTTATAACTAATCTAATGTTTAATATATTTAGTGAAGTAATTGCTAACTATTACAGTGTTGATTATATTACAAGACAAAGTGCAACAGAAAGTATATCGAATGATAGAATGGTAGAAGGTAGATATGTATTGTATACTTACAAAACTGATAAAACCCATGTTTTCTATGCTGCTGTTATAAACTCTATAATAACTAAGAAAAACAAAAAAACTCTAATAATTAGACTATTAAAAACTAATGAAATAATTGAAAAATGTGAATCCTGATGATTGTTATGAATTCTTTATTGAAAATCATCAAGTACAAGCATTTTTTCATTGATTTTCATTAAAAATAAAAAAAAATAAAAATATATTTCAAAATTAATTAAATTTTATTTATTTCGTTTTTCACTGACAAACTAACTTCCAAATATAGAATAATTTGTTTTTACATGACTTTCACCCACTTTCACCCACGATATATTAGGAATGTGAATGCAAATGATATTTTAGAGGGAGGTATTGATCAATTTTGATATTGGTTTAAAGATTTAATTAATTTAGAGTTATTTATTAAAAATACAAGTTATTGACTTTTTATGATTCTTATTTTTTTTACAAAATGTTGTTGTTTTTTGATATAAAAAAATTTGAGATACAACTTAAAAATAAAAAGTAGATTAATAATTTTATTTAATATTACCTGTAGTAATAGAAACACAAATATTTTTCTGCTGCAAACAGACGGAGTTGTAATCTCCTTGCTTTAGAAACAGGTGTTTTTTTTTTTTTTAAAATTATCTTTTTACAACCATTACTGATAGTCAAGGTGTAGAGCTTGATACTACCATACAGTTCGTTTTTTATTTTTGGAGCAGTTCAGCCGAAGGCCAGCTGAGATCACAATAATCCAAAATTATCAACTTGGCCAAAGAGGCTTGGAAGATTAAAAAAAAAGATTTCCGTCCGCATGCGGTATAATATTTTGTAAAATGTTGTGCAAGCTGGGAGATTCGAACTCCCGAACCTTGCGGACTAGAACTTGAGTCTAGCGGATTTAACCACTTTCCTAAGCTTGCTTTATGAAATCAAATTTTAAAATTTAATATTTTTATATTTAAACTTATTAACATTATTAATTATTAAAAAATATTTCAAATAATAATGGTTTTCGAATCAATAGGAAACAAAACCTCTTATACAAGGTATCTTACACCGTACTATTATAAATACACATAGTTTTGTTGAAATTTTTGATTGATCACACAAAATACAAATGTATCTCTACTTTTAATTGAAATACCTCAAAAAAAATAACAATATAGATATAAACTGTAATATAATGTTCCACAAAAACAAATCTATGATAGTAAATATTTTAGCTTTTATCTTTTTAATATTATTTATTAATCATGTAAGCTCACTAATACCATGGATCAAGAAAAATGGACAATGTCAAGAACAATGTATGTTTGAGTGTGAAAAGGCGTTTCCAGAACTTACCTACGATTTCATCTTAAGAAGAAACAATTGTTTCTTTGCTTGTATAATAAAGTTTTGCGAAATTAATTTATTATTTGCTCCGGAATACAATTAACAGAATGTACCGATTCAGTTTTGTTTCAACATATTAAATAAAATATCTTTTCGACCTATATGTTATTTAACTTTTTTTTTTCTTTTTTTTTTTATAATATAATAATTAATATCTTTGCTGAAAAACATTTTCTGAATCGAAAATGGTAACTTGCATTGTTGGCTTGCATTGTTGGTCTGCAAACATCTTGCAGGTATGCAAATATTTTGAACTCATTACCATTTTTATATGTGATTACACAATCAAAGTGTTACATTTTTTTTTAAAATAAATTTTGACCACAAAACCAGAGTAACAACTTTTGATTATTTAAATAGATTGTTCTCACTTTCTTTTCATTTATTTATCAAGATAATATAAGATAGAACAATGAATTCAAATAATGATGAAACAAAGTTTGATGATGCCAAAACAGTGTCTCTAATTGTTATTGGTTGTGGAAGCAGAGGTTATGTCTACACTTTGTATGCTTTAGAAAAACCTAAAAGATTAAAAGTAATTAACAATCTATAATCAATATATATAACCAATAACATGTTATTGACAACAATTCAATAGGTAGCTGCTGTATGTGATCCTATCAAATTTAGAAGAGATAAATTAGGTAATTCATTTTCATTGCCAAATAATCTCAGATTTGAAGATTGGAAAGATATTGTTAAATTAGATAAAGTAAGCATCATCATACTCATTGATAATTAATAACAAGGTTATTAATTGATTAATTGATATCACGTTAGTTTGCAGATGCTGTTTTGATTGCAACACCTGACCAATTACATGCAGAGCCTGCTATTGCATTTGCAAATAAAGGATACCATATCTTGGTAGAGAAACCAATGGCTGTCAGTCAAGACGACTGCAATCGTATGGTAAAAGCAGCCAAGGATAACAATGTTATTTTTGCAGTGTGTCATGTATTGAGATATACTCCTTACAATCTGAAGATCAAGTCATTGATTGACGAGGGTTATGTCGGTAAGGTTTTGAACATTCAACATCTAGAGCCCGTCGGTTTCTATCATAATGCACACTCCTACGTCAGAGGTAACTGGAAGCGTGACGATACCTCCACCTTTATGCTAATGGCAAAGTCTTGTCATGACATTGATCTAATTCATTTCTTTATGAATTCAAAGTGCAAGTAAGTATATCCTATAACTGAAATTTAACTTGTTAATACATGTTTGAACTAACGTTATTTATCTTTTTAATCAATTAGAAAAGTATCATCGTTTGGATCATTAACACATTTCAATAAGGAAGGTAAACCAAAGGAAGCCGGTAATGCCAAGAGATGTTTGGATTGTTCAATCAATAACAAGTGTCCATACAGTGCAAAGACCATCTATTTGACTCTCTACCCTTACAAGAGGGAGTGCTTGGTACCTTCGAAAGAACCGACCATCGAGAATGTCAGGGAATCATTGGAGACTGGACAATATGGTGTTTGTGTCTACGAGAGCGATAACAATGTTGTAGATCAACAAGTTGTAAACATGGAGTTTGAAGGTGGAAAGACTTGTTCCTTCTCGATGGTTGCCTTCACCGAAGAGATCTGTGAGAGAAAAACAAGAATTCACGGTAGTCATGGTCAACTGATATGCGATGGTCACACAATCATTTGGGATGACTTTAAGATGGGTGATAAAGAGATATTCAAACCAGGTAAAAATATATTATTAATTATAATACAACAATCAAAGTTAATATTTATATATAACTAATATTCATTATTATATATATTTCATTAGAAATTGTAACAAATACAAAGATGACAGGTCATAATTGTGCAGATTACTATTTAATGAGATCATTTGTATATGCAGTTGCCAAGAATGACCCAACTCAAATTCTATCCGGTCCAGATGATACTCTTCTCTCCCACACTCTTGTATTCAAAGCAGAACAATCTAGAGTTGAGAACAGAGTAGTTATTATTGATTAAAACATCAATCAACCAACCATACACACAAATTGTATTAAAATGAAACTTTGTAATGATTATAAATTTATTTATTATAATAAATATATATCTACTATTATTATTATTATTATTATTATTATAAGCTATTTATCTTTTGATCATACATCATTGTTGATTATCAAAACTGTCACTATTGTTGTTGTTGTTGTTATTATTATTGTTGTTTGGGTTATTGGCAATTTCAGATTCATGTTTATCGAACCATTCATTGATCTTATCAGCATTGTTTAAAATGATGTTGAATTGTTCTCTACTCAAAGTAATACCTCTTTTAGTTGGTATTTCTGTTCCATTATCCACTGATTCATAGTAGCTTCTAATGTTGAGTCGAGGTTCACCTGTGTATGTGGATATCGATACTTTCTTTTTATTACCTAGATCGATAAACTCTCCCTCTGCTATTGAGTTCAATATGTTATCTTCAATCTTTGATTTATTTGCACCACTATAAAATGTATCATCTTTCTTTTTGTATGGATACTTTTGATTATAATTCTTTTTATTCTCTGTGTTTATTAAATCTAAAGGTTTATTAATTGTTATTTTTGGCTTTTGTTGTTGTTGTTGTTGTTGTTGTTGTTGTTGTTGTTGTTGTTGTTGTTGTTGTTGTTGTTGTTGTTGTTGTTGTCGTGATTGTTGTGGTTGATCTTGTAATCTTTTTTGCTCATCTTCTTTCATCTTCTTGAGTATATCGGCAGTAGATTTCGAAGTGATAACATATGATCTCCTAAATACCAAGGAATATACATTCCCAAACTTAATTCTTGAGGTACTTAAAAACATTGTATAACAATAAATAATACAGATATAAAAAAAAAATTAAAAAGCGACCAAAACTAAAAAAGTGAACTTTTATTTCACTTTGGTGAAGTTCAACATGAATTCATTGCTAAACTCAATAAATCAAACAAAGAAAAACAAGGTTTCATAAAAATAAATAATTAATAGTTAAAATCAAGTAATAATAATAACTCAAATCAACTAATAATGAAAAAAAAAAAAATTGTAATGTTTGGTTTGTGACATCATCAAACACTGATCAAAAAGATTTTTAAAAATCTTGACGATATTTTTATAAATATCATAAGGTCGAATAGATGACGTGTTTTAATGGTATCTGATTTTTGTAAAATAGCTTTGAATCCCAAGATTAGATTAATGATTTTTAATGACAAATCAATCATTGTTTTTACAATTTTTTTTCATGGTCATTAAAATATCAATTTTCCAACCTTTTTTTGATGGTATTATATACAAGTAATAAATGAAAAATAATTATGTTCAAACTAAAACTGATTTTGATTTGTGCAATTAGCCATTTGACAAATTATTTGTTTGTTATTTATTTTTAAAATAAAAGTATTGATTTCTTTTCTGATTTTGGCTTGAATTGAAAATCAAACACACAACAAACAAACAAAAAAAAAAGCAGTTGAAATAAACTAGTATTGCAAACTTTTTATTCAAACTCCAACAAATACAACCCGTAACTACTTCCAAATAGATAAATCGGGTTCGCATAATGAATTAGTGATTCTTTTATTTTGATCAATGTTGATTTGCTTTTTATAAATCAAAGATAATAATTAAAAGGAAATTGTTAACCTTGACTACTGAAAATAACCTCATACTGCACTATTTTTTTTAATTTTGCAAATTTTTTTTTAAAAAAAGTTAACCACATTCTTTTTGGAATGGTTGATCAACTTTCTGGAGTGTTAAAGAAAAAGATATTTTGAGAAAATTGATTTTAGACAATTTTTGATTTTTTTGCAAAACTAAAAGTTAATAAAAAAAAAAAAAACTGATTCATTTCAGGATATTTTGATAAAAACTTTGAGACATGGAATGACTTAACCATCATAGATGCCGTCAGATGACCTACCACCAAGTTGAATCACAATTTAAAATAAAATAAAAACTATGAAAATGAAGGTGGGTATTCTTGTGTGCTTGGGTTTCAACATCTCTGTGATGTTGTTGGGGTTTAGATTGTTAGGAATAGCTTAAAATCACATGATTTTATTTAATTTGAATTAATATTAATCTTTTTTCTGTGGGTTACCATAGCCTATTTAATGACCAGACTTTAGGTCATTAAATTCATTCAATTAATCTTAAACATATATATAAATTTTTAAAATGGTAAATATATAATTTAAACATTCATTCTTACCTCAAGATTTCATTTTGTTCTTTTACTATTGAAAAGTTTATGTGCTCTTGAACTAAAAATTTTTTTTTTTTTTCAAACATAAATTTTTAATATGGTAGAATGATAATGAATATTGTTGTGTAGGTAATAACAATATAAAGAATGATTTTCTAACATATTACTATAACTAGACTCACCACTACGTAACTTATTGGCATCACGACGGTCACTTGCACCACAGCACCCATCATCATGAACATGATGCTCACAAGGAATATGAACACAAGAAACACCACGGACACTCAGCTGCCGTTCTCCACAACGGTCATGTTGTACACATCCACCACGGTCACCATGGTCATCAATTCGAACATGAAGTTGTCCACCACTTCAAGCATCACGGTTGGTAAATTGTGTATATAGTCCATCTATGTAATAAAATCTATTATTTTATTCATCTCTAAATTATCATATTACTTTATTTATTGAGATAATCACTAAATTTTTTAATCCATACTTTAATTAAATTGATTGAATACCTAATTAATTGATCCAACTACCAATATAAACTAAACTTTCAAATTAAAGACCCATTTGAAAACTATTACACTATTTGACTTTATACAATTCTCTTGGTTTTCTTACTCAAAAATTGATTTTCCTTATTGATTTATTTTTTACAACTTTTCCATATAAAGAACTATCACTATTAATGAACTGGACCACCAAATCCGTAAATGAAATGATGGCTGACATCTCACAGCATCAGATTACGTTACTAATGGACAGATTACAACACCAACTGGACATCCTCAACTTGAGCGATGATGGTCTATCGAAGGAAAAACTTGAGGAACTGGAAACCAAATCCGTTCGGATAGAAAGGAAAGAAAGATAAGGATTTTTCGAAACAGATATTAGATATATTTAGAGAAATCTTATCAAATAGGACTAGACGATACTAATTTTACCACTCTACAGCAATGTGACTATTTGAATCACTGACTTCATCACCTCAATTTGGAGTGTCACATTGAATAAAAAAAAAAAAAGAGTTTAAACTTATTACTAACAATTCCATTTTTTATTTAATTAGGATTTTCACACTTTTAAAGTTTGCTAGATCTTTTTTTTAAAAAAAATGGTGGAAGAATAATAGATTAGATTACCTAATAGTAGATTTAAATGTATAAAGTTATTATTATTAATGATAAGTTTGGTAGTTTTGAAATAAATGGTTGTTGGACTTGTTCATTTGAAATGATGCTATCATGCTTGATCATCACTCGTATAATCGGCCAATATCCATTATTTAATGCTTACCAATATATCATTCTTGTATTTGCGCAACTTTATAACAATCTTTTGTTTATTCTTACAAGTTTAATTTCTTTTGGAGGATATCAGCAACAGCATCGATATATTCAATAGTATTTGAATAGTCAGAACGTTTAACACTATGAAAAAAAAAGTTATTTAAATTGATTAGTCATATATTAAACATTTGATTACAAACGAAGAACTTTCATTAGAATTCTGTAACTTACTTATCCAAAGAACCTTTTATACAGAGAGCCAAATCTTTAGTCATTTTACCTTGCTCGACGGCTTCGATACAGGAAGCTTCGAGATCAGCACAGAACTTGGCAAGACGTTGATTGTTATCCAACTTGGCACGGTGAGCCAAACCACGAGTCCAGGCAAAGATGGAGGCGATTGGATTGGTAGAGGTTTCCTTACCGGCTTGGTGATCACGGTAGTGACGAGTGACGGTACCGTGGGCAGCTTCAGCTTCCACAGTCTTTCCGTCTGGACAGAGGAGAACAGATGTCATCAAACCAAGTGAACCATAACCTTGGGCAACTGAATCGGATTGAACATCACCATCGTAGTTCTTGCAAGCCCAAACGAAACCACCCTCGCTCTTCATGGCGTAGGCAACCATGTCGTCGATCAAACGATGTTCGTACCAGATACCGGCAGCTTGGTATTTAGCCTTGTACTCTTTGTTGTAGATATCTTGGAAGATATCCTTGAAACGACCGTCGTACTTCTTCAAGATGGTGTTCTTTGTAGACAAGTACAATGGCCACTTCTTGTCGAGAGCAAACTCAAAGCATGACTGGGCGAATCCGACGATCGACTCGTCGGTGTTGTACATTCCCATGGCGACACCACCCTCCTTAAAGTCAAATACAGTGAACTTTTGAGCGGCGGAACCGTCGGCAGGTGTGAAGGTCATCTCCAACTTACCGGCACCCTTGACAACGAAATCGGTGGCCTTGTACTGGTCACCGTGGGCATGACGACCGATGACGATCGACTTCTTCCAACCTGGAACGAGACGTGGAACGTTTTGGATGATGATTGGCTCACGGAAGACAGTACCTCCGAGGATGTTTCTGATGGTACCGTTTGGACTCTTCCACATTTGCTTCAAGTTGAACTCAGTGACACGGTTCTCGTCCGGTGTGATAGTGGCACACTTGATACCGACGTTGTGCTTCAAAATGGCGTTGGCACAATCGATGGTAACTTGGTCGTCAGTTGCATCTCTATGCTCCATACCCAAATCATAGTAATCAATCTTGAGATCCAAGAATGGGAAGATCAATTTATCCTTGATCATCTTCCAAATGACTCTGTTTGGTTGTTTGTTTAATAGATATTAATTAAATTTGTTATTGAAACAAATCAATGATGTGATATTCCATTATTGTTTTTGCATACCTTGTCATTTCATCACCATCCATCTCGACTACATAATTATCAACTTTAATCTTATTTGATGCCATCATTCTATTTATTTAATTGAACTGATTTCAATTTATAATTCCGAAATATAATTAAAAAAAACTAAAAATGAAACAAAAAAAAAAATCAAAAAATTAGCAAAGATTTTTATAAAAAAATATGTTGTTAAGATGAACTATATAAATAAATTTCAATATTAAATAATTAATTAATTTTTAAAACAATTATTATGTCATCAAAGGTGGAGATTGATGTTTAGTAAATTTCCAATTGTTAACAATTTATTTTCTTTTTTGTTTTGTTTTTCTTTTTTTTATTATTATCTTTTTGTCAAAGATTCGAATCGTATGTATTTTTAATTGTAGCTTGATGTTGCATAGTTATATAAAATATTTACTTACAGTGTTTGGTTGGTGTGGGTTTAAGATAGATAGAGATAGGTTTGTATGTGTGTTAACTGTTAGTTGACTTTTTTTGTTACTATTAACTCGAATTTACTTTACTTAAATAACCTATTTTCAATAAGATATTAATTAAAAAAAAATGAAAAAAAAAACAAAATAATTTTAATTTGACAAAAATAGATTTGGTTTTTTTTTTTTTTTTTTTTTTTGAATTTTCCAACACTATCGAATGATGTATTGTTTGATTACAGTCCCACACATAAATGGAAATCTATCATGTTTTGATAACAATGTTGGTTTATCCCCACATTTTTCAAAAAAAACAAAACAAAACAAACATCACAGACTTAATTCTAGAATATCTATTTTATAGTTTATCAATCAATTAATAATTCATATGAATAGAATAAAGGTCTGTCAGACCAGAGTAACAGTTAAATTAAAAATAAACAAGAAACATACAAACAATTTAACAGATTATTATTTAAGTATTTATTTTTATTTATTTTTTTCATTTTTTCATTTTTTTTTATTTATTAAATTTGAAAGGTTGAATAAATATCGGGCAATGTAATGTGAGTCATTGACTTACGGCGATAATGAAATTTCCCATTTTTCTAATGGTAAAAGAAACTGTTGAATCCCAAATCAAAAGTATTCGAGTGTTCTTTGTTCTAACTATCCCTTTTTAATTTAAATTGTGATTCTGCATATTGAAGTAACATATTATTATCAATGAATTTTATATATATATATACACACAAGTTTTTTATTTCTTATCTTTGGATGTTGATGAAGAAGTTGAAGTTGAGGTTGAGGTTGTATCTTTATCTTTACTATCTTTGCTATCCTTATCTTTATTATCTTTGCTATCTTTATCTTTTGATGATGTATCTTTCTCTTTACTATCTTTATTTTCTTTTTCTTTACTTTCTTTTTCTTTCTTTGTAACTATTTATGGTTTAATTGTTATCGGATTAGTAATTAATGATCAAACAAGTAAAATAATAATGAACTTGATAACTCTACCTGCAATAAACTCTTCTAATGGTTCTATGAATTGAGAGAAATCAATCTCATCGAGGGCAGCAATAACATCTTTACCCGATAATGTAGATCTACCAGCATTTTGACATATATCTATTGAACTAGTTATTATTATTATTATTTAGTAGTGATAAAGTAAGGATATTAATATTGAAATATATATTAACAACTACTTAAACAAGATTCGTCAAAACCAACATACCAAGCAGTTAAATAATGTATCCAAACTTTAGCGGCTTTAGCCAGTGCCAACTTTGACTCGTTTGCAATCTGCACATTCTCTGGTAACTATAGTCAAATAAGCAGTTAAGAAAACAATAAGTTTATTCAGATTCTAATGTTTTAAACTATAGATATACTATTTAATGTTACATACAGCTTGTTTTATAATTCTTGCCAAAATAGCATTTGGTAAATCAGAGTTCTCTGACATCTTGTTTCTTTCTAGAATATTTTAATATAAATAGCGATTCTAATATGTTATAATGTTGTTCAAAAAAAAAAAAAAAACATAAATCGATCACTCTAAATTTATTATTGTATTTTATTTTTTGGCGGCAGATGTGCTTTCACCCCAAATGATTTTCAATGATTGGACAAAAATTTATTTAAGATTTTATAAAATTTAATTTACCATTGTCTTGAAAAAATTACAATTCAGGCATAACATATTAAGTAATAATATCACCAGTCCTATAGTTAACAACACCTTTATTTATATAGCAATCAACAAATGCAATCAAGATCAATAGTTTTATTGGCATCTTCTTCATTGCCTAGAGTGGTAGCCTCAAAATGTCACTACAACAACAACTACAAGTTAGCAACAACATTGTCAAAAGGTAGCCACTCTATATTGATTTCAAATGATTCTAATATATTAAGACAGCAACTACATTATAGTTCATCTAATACAACAACTACTACCACTGTTAAAAATAATGCCAGTACTTCAAGCACAAACAGCTTTGCTAATAGCAATTCAATGCTTAATCAAACTGGTACTATTGGTAATGAGTTGAATCATCGGAATAATAATAATACATCAGCAACAACATCGACAACAACAACATCATCATCACAGATACAAAACAACTCTCTAAAACTATCAAGTATACCTTCGAGAATCAATTATCAGATATTACGTGAAAACAACAATCCCAGCGGAATCAATCATCAAGAGGGTAGTAGAACACGATTCAAATGGGATGGACAACCTAAAACTGTTTTAATAGTAAAGAAACATAAAGATAAACGTATTACTTTATGGTTAAATACAATTGCTACGTATGTTTAATGCTTTATGTATAATGTTAATAATCTGCTGACTAACAATTATGATAATAATGATGATGATGATTCAGTTGGCTTAAACAGACATATAACATGAGAGTATTGATAGAACCAAATGTTGCATCGGAACTTTCACATATCGAAACATATACAGAGGAGGAGAGTCATCTCCTAGGAAAAGTTGTTGATTTTGTCGTCACTCTAGGTGGAGACGGTACTCTTTTGCATGTATCTTCACTGTTCAAAGAGGATGTACCACCAATCATATCATTCCATTTGGGTACTCTTGGTTTCTTAATGCCATTCAGTATGTATAAATATATATAGATAAATACCAAATATAGATAACATTTATTTACTTTATTATCTTGAATTGATCAATATTGAATAATATATAGATGTTGAAGATTATCAAGAAGCATTGGACAATGTTATAAAAGGTGATTTCCTATGCACCAATAGAATGAGATTGATGTGTGATATCTATCATAAGCAACAACTTGGAACGAATACACCATCGAGGAGTTTCCAGGTATTGAATGAAGTGACGATACATCGTGGTTCGAATCCACACTCCACTGTGATCAATTGCACGATCAACGGTCATATGCTCACCGATATCATTGGTGACGGTCTGATCGTCGCCACTGCCACCGGTTCCACAGCCTACTCGTTGTCGTGCGGTGGTCCAATGGTACACCCCTGTATAAATTGTATATTAATAACACCGATTGCACCAAGCTCACTATCATCGAAACCAGCATTGCTACCAGATGATTCTGTATTAAAGTTAAATGTAATAATCTATAATATTATTATCAATGTCATTATATTACATCTCCTCTTTTACTAATCATGATACGATAACTTTTAACAGATTTCACAAAAAGGTAAATCATTTACAACTACATTAGATGGTACTCGGTCGATCAAGATGGAACAGGGAGAGCATATCATCATCAAAAAGTCATACTATCCATTGTTGACCATTAACAAAACCAATGAGACAACCGATTGGGTACATGGCAATGGCAAACTAATTGAAATGAGTGAGAAATCAAGCATTTGGAATCAGAGCGTACATACTACATCAGCAAATTAACTATGATCATCTGATTGCAAATAAAAATGTCAAAGAGATTAGTCATCTTAATTAAAATTTAATTGTTATTTTTATTTTTTTTTATTTTTTTTATTTTTTTTTATTCAAAAAAAAACATAATTTAATAATCATAGCAAGTGCTTGTTCAATCAATCAATTAATCAATTTCATATTTTATCTTATTTTTATAATTTACGATTTCAATATTAACTAAATAATGTTTAAGAATCTTGCTGTATTTACTGTTGGTTTCATTGGTGGTAAGTAATTAATGCAAACATTATTATTGTTGATATGACACATTTACTTATTGATTATGTTTTGTTTTATTTAAGGTGTATATGCAACACAAAACTATGATGTTCCAAACATTAAGAAGAAGACTGAGAAGACTATCAACACTGTAAAGGATTATTTCAAATAAATTAAATAGATAGATATGGTCAGCAGCGCACACATCACTGAATTGTATTAAAAATCATTTATAAACCGATCATAAAAAGAGAGAACATCATCAACTAGATGTTTAACTTTTGTTGAATTACAATAAACAAATAAAAACAACATTTGTAAATAGAACATCATCATCATCATCGCGATGATCATAATAAAATGAATTTATTTGAAAAAGAAGAATACCAACCAAATTTGGTGAGGTTGATATTGTATTATATTTTATTTATTATCCTTTTTTGTATAAGTTTATATTTCTAATATTAATAATATTATTACAAGTTTTTGATAATATTACATTGTTGTGATAATTATTGTTGTTTGTTGGAGCTCGAGCTTGCTGATAATGATTTGATATGTATTATATGAAAGTAATGGTATACAATACATTGATTGGATGTCGGTATTTGTTATGTTATCATTTCGTTGTTCTATATTTGAATAAATAGTAGTAGTCTAAAACTATATAATGTCGGGATAAGAGTATATAAATATAATATATTATTGTAGTATGGAAGTAATAAAAAAAAAAAAAAAAGAGGGTGGGAATATGTGTGTGTTTTAGCTGTTTAGTTGATCGAGTCTTGTTCTAGCTCGTTCAATTTGCTGTTTCTGATACCATAACCTAAGTAGATGATACAACCAATAGCAGTCCAGACAAACACTCTGTAGAAAGAGTCGACATCGAGATGCATAATGATGTAGGTGTTGACGATGACACCCAAGCATGGCAAGACCGGGCTCAGTGGACACTTGAAGGTGTCTGGAACGTTGACCTGCTTTCTCACGCTGAGCATAATAATGATGATAAGCATTGGTGCAGCGAAAGCGATTTGATAATAGTATTTCCAGCTTCTGGAGCTTGCCCAACCAAAGAGACATGCGAAAATAAACATTATCAACAATAACAATGGCGATTTAATCACGTGATTTTCATTACCGTTTTCATCCTGAGAAATTAAATTGGTTAGATTATGATGTTCTTAATATATATTATTTGTATTGTATTGTTTTTTTTGTTTACATACTCTTAATCTCATAACAACGATACCGGCACAAACTACGGTAAAGGCCAACAAAGTACCGATACTGATCATATTTGAAAGGCTTTCAATACTCAAAACGAGAGCGAGAACCGAAGCAAAGACACCTGTGAAGATGGTACCAAAGAGTGGTACTTGAGTCTTCTTGTTGACTTCCTTGAACTTTGAGAAGAACAAACCATCCTTTGCCATTTGCATGTAGATTCTTGGTTGACCCAACAATGAGCACAAAGTTGAGGCAGTGAGTGATGTCAATGTACCCAACACGATCGCGAACGCTGCCCATTTCAATTTTGGGTGTTTCGACGTCAAACTCAAGAATGCATCAGACAGTGGTGAATTTTCACTTACATCCTATTATATTTTAAGAGAAGAAAGAGAGAAAGAGAGAAAGAGAGATATAAAGTTAATTAACTATCTAAACTATTACAATATTTGATAATAATACATTGTTGAACGTACCTTATAGTTTACCATACCGGAAAGAATTAACGATACTAAACAATAGAGAACGGTGGCAATGATAAGAGTGATAACGATACCGAGTGGAAGATCACGCTTTGGGTTCTTTACTTCACCAGAGAGTGTCGTTACCGAGTCGAAACCGACATAACTGAAGAAGATCTTTGAACAACCCTGGAAGACACCGTTGAATCCGAATGGGAGGAATGGACTCCAGTTTGAAGTGTCAATAAAGAATGAACCAAAGATGATAAAGAAGAAAATGGTGATCATATTCAACGAGGTGATGGCCATATTGAAACGAGCGGAATCCTTAACACCAAATGCAAGAATCACAGTACAGATAATGATAATGACCGGTGCCAAAGGTTGAATATTGAATACCGAATCCACTCCATAACCAAGGACAAACTCTGGTGTAGTAGTATTGAAGACAGTAAAGAAATTAGAGAAATATCCTGACCATCCACGAGCAACTGCACTTGCACTAATTGCATATTCCAAAGTTAGATTCCAACCAATACTTTATTATTAGAAGAAAGAAAGAAAGAAAGAGAGAAATGAAAGAAATTAAAAATAAAAATGATATTGTTAGATTAAAAATCTATTTAAACAATAGTTATAATGATGATAACACTTACAACCAACCAGCGAATTCACCAAGTGCTACATAAGCAAAAGTGTAGGCGGAACCGGAAAGTGGGATTTTGGCGGCAAACTCTGAGTAACAAAAGGCAGAGATGAGACATGCGATAGCGGAGAACAAGAAGGAGAGAAGTGTACCTGGACCAGCGGCAGTCTTGATAGCAACACCGATCGATACAAACACACCAGCACCTACCGTACTACCGACACCATACGAAATAATATCGAAAATGGTCAAACATTTATCGAGTTCCTCGTCCTTACTCAAATCGTAAGGATACTTTCTTGTGAGTGATGAGATTTTATACACTGATTTTCTCTCTCTTATCAGTGGCGTTTTATCTTCTGAATAATAACTAGCCATTATTATCTATCTATCTATTTAATATATATAAATATTTATTGTATTGATGATTAAACTACTACTACTAGTATGATGCAATGATTAAATAATTGGTAGGAATGTATGAATATATTGGGAAACAAAAACAATAATTAAAAAAACTACTACTTTTCTTTTGAATTTTTTTAAACACGCACCAACTAAATTTTTTATTAATAAAAATTGTGAGTGAAATAAAATAAAGAAGCAAAAAAATGGAATGGAGATATTTTATGTTTTTTTTTTCCTTAACTGCAAGGATGGTGATTGATGCAAAAATAAAAAAATAAGGAAACAAATTCAACTAAGATTAGATGATCTTTTTATTATTTGTTTTTAAAATAGATATAAAATATAATGATTTGTAAAAAATCAAAAACAATAATATGATTTTATTTATATTTTGTTTGTTTTTTGTTTAAGAGTGAAGTAAATAATGATCAACTGTCCCAGTTTAAATAGTTTTAGCAACAGGTTTCAATTGACAGGATGTGTAGGAAAGTGTGGCAAGCAAGCTTTCGTTTTTAGTAAAAAAATAGAAAAAAAACATTATATTTTATGAGTGAAAAAAAGTAAAAAAATCTTATGCTGATTTTATTGGGATTCACGTCATTTAATCTTTGTTTTAGTAAGCACCTATTAGTTTGTGGGTTCAGAAAGTTCCAATGATATTTTTTTTTATCATCACTTTTAAATACGATTTATTGGGTGGGTTCGACAACTCTGAGGAACACCCCCAACCATAGAAGGAAGATGATGTAACAACAATCGTTCCTTTAATCATGATATATTTTGATATTTTTTTGAAGGGTTGGTATTCGAGTAGACCAATATTTGCATTATCAATTGTTTGCTAAATTGGATTGAAACAGCTCAAAATATATGTGACCCAGGCGAAAAAAATCACTTATTTCTCTCATCGAATCAAAAAAAAAATCTAGTTTGGAGACCATCTTAACTAAAGCTTTTAGGAGTTTGGGTTTTGAAAGGTTGGGTTGTTAAGATCATCATCATCATATAAATATTTACTTATTTAAATGAGTAAATAAGTAGGAATTTATTTTTATTTTTTTATCAATCTTTTTTTTTCAGAATACAATACAATCATACTGTAACAAAAGGATTGTATCTTACTATTCAAACTATTATTAATTTTCGTACAAATAAAAATCCGAAATCTTCTTAAGATATAGATTTTTACAAAAATATCTAAATTATCTGGATAAATTTTATAATGATATTTTTGTCTCTCGACTAGCAATCATGAAGATTTTTTTACTTTTGGAATGCCAATGTGTGCATCTCGAAATGAATTGTATACATGTAACCCTTAACTATCAAGAAAAAGATTCACATTGGTATCTTTCTAAAAATCACATCAAAGATCTTTTAATGATTCTCGTAGCTATCATACCTTCAGAAGTGATTACCACTTCTCAATTAATTAATTCGAACATTAATGGTTAATTCTATTTATTTTTTTATTTTGAAAACATTATCAATAATTGTTTATAAATTAAAAAATTAAGAACTTTTTTTTTGTTTTGTAAAATGAATTATGACAAAAAAAACAAACAGTTAATAAAATTGATGATTGTTACACTTTCTTGTTAATTTCATCAGTCTTTTACATTAAGAGGATTAATCATTCAAATTTAACAACACAAAAATGGGGAAACACCTAATTAAGATATTAATCAAAAATTAAAATAAACAAAAAAAAAAAAAAAGTTTTTTCGAATTTTTTAATGATTGGTGTTTCACTAATTGAAGGTTAAAAGAAACTCAAAGCAACAAGATATATAAATTAGCTAAATAAGTTATTTATTATAATATATTCATATATTTGATCTATTTCTATTTGTAAAAAGAATTTCCACAAAGAAAGAAGTCTCTTTTTGCTAGTGTGTGAGAGGGGAGTACGAGATAGTTTGACAGAGAGACAGTAGAGAGAAAGAGAGAGAGATGGAGTTACCATCACCTTACGAGATACTCGGTATCGAGAAAACAGATGATCCTGTAGAGATAAAGCAAGCCTACAGACAAATGGCTTTAAAGTATCATCCAGATAAAAATCCAAATGCAGGTAATAAGGTATGTCAATCAATCAAAAGAAAGCTGATTATCTTTATTAAAAAGGGAATTAGACAATGTATCGATTTCTAATATTCATTCTTTTCTATTGTTTACTTTTTGTTTTTCTAATTTGTGTGATTTTAAAGTTTCAGGAAATCAATAAAGCATATCAAATTCTTTCGAATGAAGATTCAAAGCTATTCTTTGATTCATTTGGATACGAAGGTTTGATACTAAATGAAAAGTTAAACTCAAGAGGTGAAAACAATCTAATGGGAATGGGTCATATCGATTTCATTTTGTATACTTTCATTGGTATTGGATTACTTTTTAGGTGTTTATACAGAGTGGTATGTTGTTTGTAGAATTTCAAAGATTTCGCATTAATTAGATAATTAATAATTAATATTTTCTTCTTCTTCTTCTTCTTCTTTGATTGATTTTGTTTAATTAGGATATTTGCATCTATATTTACATTATATTTTATATATTTGACAAAGAGATCACCAGATCTTTCATTTTGTCTGTTCATACTGATATCGAATCTTGTTTTATACTTTATATTACCAACACGAATTCTACCAACGGTAACCAACTTTGTTATCTATGGTATCGTTCTTTTGTGGCCCAACATCACCAAGAAGAACTCTTCATTAACAGTAACCATTTGGATTTCGATCATAATCATCGATATTTGGAGAGGAATTAGATTTGAACACTGGATATGGCGATTCCTAAGTTTGAACATCATCATCTTTGGAAGTATCATTTTGATGCTCATGGGAATCTATGTTTTAAAGAAACCTGAAACTGGTGTAAGTAATCAATCAATCAATCAAACCGCGCATTCATATTATGTGTACACATTCTAACCAACAATCCAAATCAATAGCCAAAACTATATGTTCATGTACTATTGTTTTTAGTAAAGATAATCAAGAGTCTAGATGTAATGACACTAGTTTTTGTTGTTTTTTGGTGTCCAGTTTGGATTTTGGATTATTTCACTGGCAGAAGAATTGAATGGTTAATTCCACCTGCAATCTTCTTTATTAAAGTAAGTTTAGTTTTGAATGCTAGCGATTTCATTATAAAACATCATTCTAATCAATTCTATTTAGCTCTTTGTATTTGATGGAAAGATAAAGATATTTTTACCAATGATTGCTTCGATTGCATTTGTCTACTATCTGGTACCTTCGTGGTTATATAATTTCGCTTCCAACTACATCATCCATATTTTGTCGCATCTCTTGGTATTTAAACTGAAAGCTGCACTCGTTGAGAAGTTTGATAGTGAGCCATTCTCAGAGATCGATGAATCAGAGAAGCAGTTGCTTCAGCGTTCCAACGGACAAATCAAAATGGGAATACTATTTTTTATTATCCAATATTTCTTGGACTTTGGTACTGACAAATGGTTCTTCCTTGGTGCGACATCACTTGGTTATTCGGTAGTACTCATCATTGAATTGTATTTCTTTTCTTTTTCAATAAAGAATACTGATGAAGAACCAGCTTCAACACCAACAGCAACAGAATCAGTACACAATAACAGCAACAACAACAACACTAATAATAATAGCAATAGTAGTAGTGGTAGCGAAAAGAAAAACAAAAAGTCAAATTCGACAACAACTACCAACAGAGTTGATGATCATCATAAAAACAACTCACCTTTGAAAGCCAATGTATATAATTCAAAAGAAGGTGAAGAATCAAATACTGCAGCATCCGGTGAGTCTCAGACTGCAGTCAACTCATCGCCATCCACTAAAAAGCAATCAAGTAGCGCATTGGATAAGCGATGCCAAACATGTTTCAAATCGGCCAACCTCAAAAAGTGTGGAAGATGTCAACAGGTCTATTACTGTTCAAAAGAGTGTCAGATCAAAAACTGGAATTTTCACAAATCCATATGTTCATAAAAAACAAAACAAAACAAAGCTTAAAATAGATTTATAATAATAAATCATTTTTTAGAACAACCATTATTAATTATTTTGGTATATTATAATTGTTTTTTTTTATTTATATAATTAAAAATTTTATAGTTTGTTTTTTTTGTTTTTTTCGGTTTTAGTTTTTTTTTTTTATAAATATGTTGTTATTACTTTTTTTAATTTTGTTTCTTTGTAGATGCTCTTTTACTAACACGCTCTGGTACAAAGTTCTTTTTGAAGATGGCACTTTGTTCTGATGACAATGGGATACCCTTGTCTCTGAGTTCTTCGATGATTGTGTTTAGTTTCTCGGTAACTTTCTTCTCGACCTTCTCGGTGTAGTGTCTTGTCTTATTTACATAGTGGCTAAACTTTTGCATATGTGGCGAGCTGGAGACGGCCTCGTTGACAATCTCTTGGATTCCACGAGCGATACCGGATTGCGAACGGATCTTGGTACCGTAGAGCTTCTTCATGTGTGGATGTTCGACGTACTTTACAAACAAAAAGTTGGCGACCTGCGATGAGATGGCGATCGCAAACAATGGGAGACTACCACCGATCAACGAGAGACCATAGTATCCAGCGAAACCAAGCACAGAGTCTGGGTTGTTCAAGAAACGGTAGATACCGGTATAATAGAGCTTAGTTGGGACTTCATCAATAAAGAAATCACCGTAGAACCAACCGAATTCACCGAGAACCTCCAAAGTTGAGACCGATGACCAGACATTCAACAAAATCAAAAGGATACCAATGATTTGTCTCCAGAACATACTTCCAAAGAAGTTCAAATTGATTTCGGCAACCTTGAAGAAACAACATGTGAATGAAATATGAGCCATCATAACACAAAGATTATAAATACTAGAAAAATGATGGATAATTAGTAAATTTGTTAAAGAAAGTAATAATAGATTTATATATATATATAGTTACCTCTTCCAATTTTCGAAAGCATGATGGCTATCTAGATTTAGTGATGCAAATCTATTTGTCCACCATTGTGATTGTGATTGAAGACGTAAAACCAAACCCAATCCAAATGAAAGCATGAGACGCCAGAAAACAGCTTGAATGACATAGAAGGACACTGGCAAATTAATGAGATTAAGTGCAACGGTGTAGAGAATAATCATAAGAGTGAACAAATCACCACTACGCAAGAAGAAGAAGTTCTTCATAACAATGAGATCATGTCCAAAGTATGAGTTGACCTTGTCCTTACGAACGAACGGATCTTCGACGATATCTGGATAGGTCTTTTGGATGTGTGGATCTTCGACGAGCACCAAAAATAGCATCTGACAAAAGTGTGCAAACAAACTAACATAGAGTACAGTATAAGATTGTGAAATTAAACTGGCACCATAATAGAATGAATAACTAATTATTTAGGAAATAAAAAAAAAAAACAAAATAAAAGTGAAATTAGTATTTGTATCGAAAAAATATTATCATGTAGATTAATGAATTGTTGAATTCAACACTTACCCAATGGTATACATTGGATGTGGGGAAATTGAGAATACACGATCGAATGTCAATTTCTGTTCGACCAAAAAGAAGAAATCACCCCAATACCAAGCGAAATCCTTGACTACACGGTAGGCATCGGTCTTGGCCCAGAATGTAAAGATACACAAGAATGCACCAATCAAATAACATGGAATCAATGTCCAGTTGGCGTCCTCTGGTATACTAAAGTAACGAAGAGCAAATACAACATAGGTAACCAAATCCATAGCCAATACAATATCGACAACATGTCTAAAAGCTAACCATGCATTATAAGCTGCTGGTGTTTTCTTTAGAAATAGAAATAGAAAAATAAAAATGGAGAAACAAACAAATAATTATTAATTAAATTGAATAATAATTTAATAATATTTAAAGCAATTAATTAATTTGTTTACTTACATCAAAATTATAATCACTTCCCATTCCGGTTTCACAGAAATTCTTTACTTTTTCATATAATGGATGTGATGGTGTAAATGTTTTGAAAAGGTTAGTCAGCGACTTATTCTTTGATTGGTACAACAATAATAATCCAAGTCCGATATTATAGGCGAATCTCCAGAACAAGAAGAACCCAATAAAGAACCATCCTGGCAAATTGAATAATAACAATAATAAACTGAGTAGTGATGCATTCTTGGCGTAATCGAAAAATGACCATTCCGACAATGGATGTAATGATAATGGATTTTTGGTGTATGGCAATGGGAATCCTTGAAATTTAAAATTATTATTATTAGATTTTGATTGTTACAATGATGATCGCAGTTCTAAAAGTTCAGATTCAACTTACTGGTTCCATCATCACAAACACCTATCAATTTCTTCTCCTTCTTGGGATCGGAGTTTGTGGAAGGTGAATCGGATTCAGAGTCCGAGGAGAACACAAGATTAGCCATTTTCGGTACTGCATGCTGTGGTGTCGACTCTAATGATGTTGATGATGGTTGCTTTTTAACTCTTTGCTTTGGTGTCGCTGGTAGTGAACTACTCTTTTGTTGATGACCACTCTCGTTAGTGTGGTTGTTGCTGTTGTTGTTGGCTGTCTCCTGCTCACTGTCCTCGCTACTGCTACTGCTGCTACTGGTAACTTTATCGCTTAAAAAACTATTGCTATTACTATCGCTATATACATCTTTCGCTGATACAACCTGATCACGAAGTTGTATCAAGGCAGCAGTGCGATCACCGACCTCCTCTTCCATGGTCGTCGAAGAACTATTCACTACTTTCTCAGCGGTGGCATCTTCGAATTCCTCTACCAAATGATCTACGTTTTCAGACGACATCATTTCCTATATAACTCTGTCAAACAAACTGATCGATCGTAAACCTAAATATAACTTTTTGTCACTATTTATCTATTTATCTATTTATTTGATAAATATTTGTACAAATAAAAATGATTTGATTGTGTTTCAAATCAAACTATTATAATTTATAGTTTGTAAACGGAAAAACAAAAACTGTGATATTGTTGTTTTTTTTGTTTATTTTTTTGCAGTGGTAAACTGGATTAGTGAAAAGTGGGTGTATGTGTGTGTTGGATTATTGATATTTTTGACAACAAAAACAACTATGATTGTAGGAAACACAATAAAAACCAACAATAACAAAAAAATCATTGCAATTTTCGATGAGGAGTCTTGAAACAGAAAAAAAAAAAAAAACTCATAACTAAATTTGACTTTTTCCATTTAATTTTTTTTATTTTTATTTTTTATTTTTTGGAATGAACGTGACTTTTGCAAATATTTCGTTCAACCTTTTCATCTTATCTGATGAATCATCATACTACTATATTTATATATTTTATTCAAAAAAATAAATAAATAAATAAAATATAATAAAAATTAAATTAAAGTTTTAATCTGTTCTAACTAATTAAACTTTTAAAAATAACACACCATCAAAAAGAGTTTAAATTATTTGTTTAGGTTTTGGAGGTGTGTTTTTAGGGTAGGGATTTGAATTATTATTTTATTTGTTTCCCAAAAATGGGGTAAGGAAATGGGCTATTTTGATTTACAAAAATTGGTATTACTTGTTTGTTTGTTTGTTGTTGTTTTTTTTGGTTACTTTTTCTTTTTCTTATTGTTTTTCCACCTTTTTTATAAATATAGATAGATAGTAATTATGATTGATGATTGTTATTATTATTATTATTATTCAAATATATAATTGCCACTGTAATATTATCTTTACTATTTCTTCTAAGTGCTTCCTCTATTAGTCTATCTGCAACATTTGATTGCTTTAATGATGATATTGATGATAGTGATGATAGTGATGATGATGATGATGTATTATTATTGTTGATATTTGTTTCTTGTTGATTATTGTTGTTATTATCATTTAAAATAAAGTCCGATACTTCTTGGTAGGTGAATACATCCCATAGACCATCGGTTGCCATAACTATAAACTGATCGGCCTTGGTAATGTTATGAATGTGATTGTCTGGCTCGGCAATGACGAGGTCTTTGAGAGAACGATCTCCGAATGCTCTCGTCACCGAGAGGATACCGTTGACTCTGAGTGTTCCGTACTGGATGATAGTGCCACCGGCTTGTTCAACTCTTTCTCGTTCTCTCTGATTCTTTGGTGTGTGAGAGGTCGACATGACAGAAGCACGTCCGCCACTGCACAGTATCACCTCAGAGTCACCGAGGTTGCTGATGTAGACTTTGTCGCGTTGGACAATGGCGGTCGCCACGGTGGTTCCAGCCTTGCGCTCGTCACGCTCGGCAATCTCGAGGAACGCTTTGTTCGTATCGAGAAAACCGTTGTGTATGCTCTCGATGGGATCGTGACTCTCGCTGCCAGTGCCAAAGCTATTGAATTTGTTTTTGCTGTAGATGTTGAACGCCAGATTGGTTTTGGCGTACTCGGCGGCGATGCTTCCGCTGTGTCCGTCGAAAACACCGACAAACAACTGGTCGTGTTTCACATCCTGACTGATACCGTAGAGATAGTCTGGCTGCTCAATGACAACGTGCTTGTCCTCCATCTGTGGACGTTGTCCGGTTGTCTCGGAAGTGACGATTTTGAACCAGTGGGCCACCGATGAATCTGCCGAGTGTGGCTCCTCTTCGAACGACTTTTTCTCTTCGTCCAAGAGCTCCTCGATGATCCATCGCAATCTGTCGATGTCCACTGCTTTCTCGGTGCTGGAAGCGTTGCTGTCGAGCGATGCCGCCAAGGAGAGCGGTGCCGGTGTCGGAGCGGGCTTGGGAGCGAGCAAACTTCGGAGGTCGGTCATACTGCCGTTGAGCGAGGGTGGCGGTGTTTTCTGTGCGGCGGCGGGTGGCGGTGCAGTCACAAAGGTAATCTCAATCTTGTCAGAGTTGATGACACTGGTCACGATCGAGCGTATCCTTTTGATTTCGGCGCGAGTCGCAAGACGGTCGTGTTTCCACCAGTTGCTACGGATGTGCTGTAGTGCAATGTCAAAGGCGGCCGGCTCCAGCTCCTCGATGGCGACTGTCGAGCGAGCGAAATCGGAGCGAGTCGGTTTGCCAAACAGCTGGTTCACTTTGTTGTAGCTGGCCAGTCGCTGCGAACGTATGTCTACGGGTGCGCCGTCCTTGCTGGTGGAGATCGACGCAAGAGTGGGAGGTGTGCGCTTGGTTTTGACGAGACCGGCCGGACCGGAGCTAGCGGCGCCACCAGCCTGACGGTTCGAGACAAACGCGGCAATCGGATTCGATAGATCTTTGTTGAAAGTGGGTGGAGCAGTCAACGATTGTAAATTGGCAGGCTTAACCTTTGGTAGATTCGATAGATTCGAGAGAAGATCACCAGAGTTCTGCAAACTATTACTTTGTAATGACCCATGGAGGTGGTTGTTTCCAATCACTAAATTCTTTGTACTATTATTTATACTATTTAAATTATCTATACTACTACTACTACTACTACTACTGTTATTATTACTATTACTATTGTTACAAATAAGGTTGTCGGGTGCGGAGAATGATAAAGGTGATGGTGATGATTCCGTTGATTTAATAGTATTATTTTCTAAAAATAATTTTATCAAAAATGATATATCTTGTAAATTCTTTGAAGATTTACTATCTTCTATTTGTCTATATATTGTAATGATAGTTAGGTTAGTAACGATTGATTAGTTATGAATAGATTTGTTGGTTAGTTTCGTAATTATACATACTTTTTGAGTGTTGAAAGTGTAGAGAATCTATATATAAGTGATGATGATGATGTTTTTCGCAATGCTATACAACAGTTTGATTGATCGTTATAAGAAATAATTACATTATTATTTGGTGATGGTGATGGTGATGATGTTGATGGTGATGGTGATTGTTCAAGATGACATATGATAGAGTTATTATTATGATTATTATTATTATTATTGTTATTGTTATTATTATTATTATTATTACCACGGGGTATTAATTTATCGATTTTCGTAATACTTTGATCAGACCATTTGCAAACCAAGTTTACAATATCATTATTTGTATTGAATGCAATCATCGATGACTTTATAGATGTACCTTCATAGTTGATTGCATCTGCTGTCCAACCGCAAACAGTCGGTAACTCTTGAATCTCAATATCAATTGAAAACTCTTTAATACTGTTATTATCAGCAACAGTTGACTAGTTATTAGAGGAAATAGAAATAGAAAAGTAGATGAATTGTGTATGTGTGTGTTAATAGATATATGAATTCATGTTAATTAATTAATGTTTTTGGTTCGCTCGTTAAACGACTTACAAATTGATATTCACTATTGGCTATGTTATCTTCGATGCTCAGTGCACATAGAGATGCAGGATTCGATGGACACTTTACACTTTTGACGTTCGAGCTGAACTGACCATCTACCTTGATATCGATGGAAATTGATTTGCTGGTGTGGTAGCGGTAGGGCAGTCGCACAGAGATGACCTTACCACTGAAACACAGCTCCTTTATATATTTCGTTTTCAAAAGGACCTGCTTCTCCGGCAGTAAGTCTATACAATGTTTAGAAATATGTTGTTGTTGCTGTTCATTATCCGTCAGCTCTGAATACAGCGACGACTGCTCCATCACTATAACACCAGCAATGCTAGACTCCAAACAAAACAGTGATCCTAATTCTATTACTTCATCTTTTTCAACACTATTTATATTGTAGGTAGTTTATATGGATCGTCGTAACACATTCATTTCGTATTTAATTAATAACAAGCATTGGAAACAAACAAACAAACATTGTTGTTGATTTTATTGACTTACCAAACGTTGATCGGTATGCTCGAGGTATTTCTATAGGCAATAGTACAGCATATCTCACAACATCTATCGAGTAACGTGAGATGATAGGACACTGCTACTATCTCCAATCCAGTGTCATGTGATACTAGATTGAATACCATTCTTAACTTTACTTATCACCACTCTGTTTTATTTTTTTGTTGCTTTTTCTTTTTGTGTTTCCTACTACTACAACTATTACTATTACTCTATAATTCTACAACACCAAACTACACACTCTACTACTTCTATTCTATTCTATTCTTTTCAAATTACTTTACAACTACAACGATATTTTAATGATAGCTATTACACCTTCCTTTTGTTTGTTTTTTTTGTCTTTTTTTGTTTTTTGTTTTTTGTTTTTTTTAAAAGCAAAAAATGCTCGTTATTATTATTATTACTTTATCTTATTCTAAATATATTGTTTGTTATTATTGCTATTGTTGTTGTACCCAAATTGGGTTAGCAGATACAATAAACGATTTAATAAATTAGTTGATTGATTGATTGATTTTAAATTTTAGTATAGAGTAGAGTGATAACAACAATAACTATCTAAATAAACAAAACGAAACGAAACTAATAATTGTGTATTAAATTTAAAAATACAGTATTGATGTGATTGATATTTCTATTAATAGTATGATTTCTTATTAACTATTAATTATTACAAGATTATTATTTTGTTGAAAATAATTTTTTTTGCGAATTTTTTTTATTTAATTTTTTTTTGCAACTTTATTTTTTTTTTTTTTTTTTGTTTTGAATATCCATACACAATAGCACAGACAAGATTTTGTGTATTGTGTGTGTTGGTGTTAAGCCTTGCGCTACGATATCTTTCGTATTACTGATGAGATTAGATATCGATTTCAAATTTCTTTCAGATGGTTATAATGAAAAAAAACAAAAAAGGAAAATCAATAATTTATAAATAAAAAAAAAAGAATATGGACCATAGATTTGTCAACCTTTGAATCAAATAGATTTCAATTTAATTTCAAAAAAAAAAATATAAATTTAATTATTTTAAAAATAATAGAGATTTATTTAATTCTGAGTAAAATTGTAAATATTTAAAGCAAATTCCACTTGGATTCTATTTACCTTTAACAACAACTATTTGTTTGCGAATCAACAAACATATGTTTTACAAAAAATTTGAAACCTGTCAAAAAAAAATTCTTGGAAGTTTTTTTCTCATCAAAAAAAAATGAAATTCACTCCCTCTTTTCATTTGTTTAAAAATGCATGTAAATAAATACAATGAAATCGTTGTTATTATAGTTAAATGAGAGAGAGAAGATGAATGAAAGTATTAAAAAGATATTTAAAGAATCAATTATTGGAAATGGAGAGAATAATATAAAGACAACTATAATACAATTGGAAAAGGCTGTAGATCGTGTCGATCGGAAGAGTGGTGTTACCGTCTCGAATATTGAGATCAACGATATGGTTGAATCGATATTACATCCACTCAAACTATACCTTTGTTCTAAATCGAGATTCGAACAATTAGATTTAACTTGTAAATTCTATTCAAAATATATCATACATCTTTCAACTTTATTGAAATCATCATCATCATCAACATCAACAACATCATCAAAATCATTAAAGATTAAAAATCAAATTAGAAATGATTTAGTATCATTCTTAATTAGAGTTATTGAATCAAAAGAGAATATTGTTAGATTAAGATCTTTACAACTTATCAACCAATTGTTTATAGATACAAATAATATTGAAGAGTAAGTAATCATTAAAACTAAACAACAAACTAAATACTAATAAACTAACAATTAATTGATTGATATTCAAGAATATTTATAAATGGATATAATAACTTGACTAAATCATTGACACAAAGATTCAGAGATAAAACACCTACTATTAGATTGTTGGCGGTGAACGTTATGATTAGATATTGTCTGTTGACAAAGGATGTTGATATCTTCGAGGAGTTGCTGTTTCTTATGAATGAAGATGCTTATGCTGATATCAGATTGACTATACTCTCAAAGATACTGCTATTGGAAGCAGCGCTAAAGTATAATAATAGCAGTGGTGGTGGTGGTGGCGGTGTACTATTGGATTCTATCATTACGAGGACGAACGATGTTAAAGATAGTATCAGAGTGAAAGCACTGCAGATGTTGAAAGAGTACGACGTCACCAGCACAACCAACGTTGTCCTGCCAACCGATAAGATCATCAACATTCTCAAGACTGGTTTCAACGACACCAAAGAATCCGTACAAAAAGAGACATCCAATCTTCTGCTGAAGTGGTACAACAACTTTTCTGATAATCAGCACTTCTACATTCTACTGGAGACAATCGATGTCGAGCGAAATGAAACACTCCTGGAGGACTGGCTAACCAAAGTACAAACTCACAATGCTGGAAACACAAATCAAGATATCATACCAACTTTTCAACTGTTTAACAATGGCAATAGTGAAGAGAAACAAACGTTATCTAAAGAAGAATCATTTCATTTCAGAATGACTGTAAAGAGTCTGTTGAGTTCAATCAAGAATGTTAGGGTGGAGAAACGATATTACTATGAAGACATGTTGGAGCAGATGCTGCCGACGTTGACTGATTACGTCGAGTTGATATTCAATCATTTGGAAGATGCCTACACGGTGAAGCAGCTTCTAAAGGTGTTGTCGATGATAGACATCACTGGCGATGAAGTCGGTCGTAGCAATTGTATTACATTCCTTATAGAGCTGATCAAGAAGATAGCTATCGATAGGGAACTACTCGAACTCTCTATGCTATCACTCTCGAAATTCTACCATGTTGAACGTGATTTTATTGTGACGATGGTTGAGATTCTCTCGGATATGATCGATCCGCTCGAGGAGGACGACCTCACCAAGCGGTTGGCAATATTTGAGCGCAACCTAAAGAGAATCGGTACAAAGTCTGCTACGGAAGCTGCCAAGATCAGCAGTGCCATCGAATCGATCAAGCTGGAGATCAAAGAGAAACAAACCGATACTCTTACCAAGTGTTCCATCATAACACACTACCTACTGCTCAAAGCCAAGAAGTGTTCGAATTCCACCGACATTGATTCACTGTTGGAGCTTATCATACTACCGTCGGTTCAGCACCACAGTCCAGAGCTAAGAGCATTGGGATTTCAGAATCTAGGCATCTATTGTCTGCATAGAAAGAATCAAGTTAATCTATATTTGGATTTGATTTCCACTGCTCTGGAAAACGATATTCATCAAGTGCAACTCGTTGTTCTCAAGGTTAGCTTTGATATATTGTTGGTGTATGGTTCACCCAATAAGATACCAAAGTCAATGTTGCCTCTCTACAATCTGACGAGAAAGATATCTTCACTGTCGAGCAAGCTAGATCTCAAGTTGATATCGATCGAAGGATTTGTAAAGCTGCTGTACTCTGGCATCGTTAGAGACTCAAAGATATTGGTGTTCCTCTTCCTTGAGTTGTTCTCTACGTCCACCAAAGATCTCGTTGAGATACGTCGATGTCTGACACTCTTCTTCCAGGCATACATACAAGACAGCCGAGAGAACAAGAAGATGCTATTCCACGAGACCATCAACATACTCCGATCGGTATCACAAAACATCTCCAACTCTGCATACTCTGAAACCAACATATTGGAAGTTGGAAAATTCCTATTATCATTATTAGAGAAGCCGGTATCAACAACAACAACAACAACAACAACAAGCAACAACATCAGTAATACAGATAATAATAATGATGAGAATGATTCATTTAAAGAAGAAGATGTTCATCCATTGTTATCGATGATGATTTGTCAGGAGTTGATATCTTGTTTTAGAGGTGATGATACGAAAGAGTTGACAAAAGTGCTTACACTATTCAAGTTTGACAAGGAGAAACACCTGTCACAGCTGTTGGAAATCAAAGAGATACTACAAAAGGTTACTACCGCATACACAGATCCCAACATCGATAAGTTCCAACAGATTCTTGACAGTCATCTACCGACTATGCATCAAAGTGGATATCTTGTTCAACATAGAGCTGGTGCTGCAACTCAATCCGGTGCAATAGACTTTAATTCTCCTTCATTCTTTACATTCAACGATAATAATAATAATAATAGTATTCATAATTCAAACAATACTAAATCAGCAGCAAATAATAATAACAATAATAACAGTCTTCAAGTAGAATCTACAGATAAGAATAAGAAACCTACGGCATCACAATACTCAAAGGTAACAAACACGAAGTTACCATTCGATTTCGATACGATCAAATCATTCTTTGAAAAACAAAAGCAGTACCTAAACACCACTGAATACATTGACAAGACCGTTGTAGTAAAGGATCCACCATTAAAGAAGTCTAAATTCACCTATGGTCCAACCAAAGCATCTGCGCCTGCATCTACCTCCACTTCAAATACTTTGACAACCAACCTCACTACTGCCAATATCAACAAACCGAATCCTAACATTGTCAACAACATCAAACCAACAACAAAAAATTTATCATTATCATCAACATCAACATCAACAACAACAAAGATTCAAACGACAACACTTATCAACAATAATAACAATAGTAGTAAAAATAATAATAATAGCACAAGAGATGGTAATAGTGATAAAAATATATGTATAAAAGACAATAATATTGTAAATAATGTAAATAATGATAATAATAGTAGTGTAAATGCAAAGGTAGATAGTATTATAAAAGATAAAGATAGTATGTACAAAGGTATGGTTGTTAGCAATGATGGTGTAATTCTGACGAAAAATGTGGATGTTCGTCATCAAATTACTAAAAATAGTGATGTGGTGAACAATGAAAACAATGTATCAGATGATCCTATGACATATAACAATAACACAACTCAAGTTAATCGTCAGATCCAATCAATTTTAAAGAAGAGACCACACAATGAAATTGTTTCAACAACATCAACAACCGATAACAACAAGATAGATATGGATACAACAACAACAGCAACAACTAAAGAAAATAAAAAAGTAAGGTTCAATTTTTAAAAATAATAATAATATAATAAAAAAAGAACAGATTTTTTTTTGTTGAATTTAATGAAAATGAAATTGATAATGTCCAAATTTCAATAAAATATTAAAATTTTTATAAAATTTGAGTATAAAATATCTAAAATCGATTAAGATATGGTGTGTGTGTTTGTTTGATGGTGGATTGGAACATCCAAAAAAGTAGTTTTGTGTTGACACTCCATAAACACACTTTTTTCCACCCTACTTTTTCCTCTCAACAGTTAATCTGTGACCATATCACAAAACAATATAATTTTTGTTTTTTTTTCAATTAATATTAGTTTTCTTTATATTTTTTGTCTATTTCATTTATATTATATATCCTATTCTTTCAACATTTTTTACTTTTTCTTAATTGTTATATTATTATATTTTTATTTTAGATAGATAAAAAAAGTTAAAACATGTATCAAAGAAGATTAAAAACTGTAAGAGAGAGATCAATTTAAATAACCATGATAGATAACCAACCATTCATGAATTATTATTTGTTAATTAATTTAATGATTATTATATTAATAAATATTATAATTAGATTGCTAAACATTTGGAATCAAGTATTGAAGATTCATCTATCATTCAAATTGGTGAGACAGAGATTTCATCGATCGTACCAAATGTAGATGTTGATCAACTCAAGTTGAAACTTGACGGTAAAGACTTGTCCAAGTTCAAAGATCAAGTAAGACGTTTCCTCGAGGAGACACCTTCCATCCGTAGCTCTGTAGCTGGTCTTCCATCTGCTGAGTACAGAGAATTGGTATTACAACAAATCAAAGATCTTTCAAAGAGTGGACTATTCAATATTACTGATATTAGAGGTATTGTTATTGTTATTGCTATTGTTTTTAAACTTTACTTTTGTTTATCAAATTCTAATCATAATCTCTCTTTATCTCTTTGAAGATGGCGTTGAAAAGACATGTGGATTGATGGAGATATTGAGTTCCTATAATAATAATATTACAACCAAGTTGGGTGTTCACTACAGTCTGTTTGGTGGTACCGTTTTGTTGTTGGGTACTCAGCGTCACGAGAAGTACATTGAGCCGGCCAACAAGTTGGATATTGTCGGTTGTTTCTCGATGACCGAAGTCGGACACGGTAGTAATGTTCGTGGTATTGAAACCACAGCTACCTACGATGCCGCCACCAAGGAGTTCATCATCAACACACCGACTCCATCGTCACAGAAGTTCTGGATTGGTGGTGCCTATTTGCACGCACACTTCACCACGGTGTTTGCACGTCTCATTCTCAACAAGAAGGATCATGGTGTTCATGCATTCGTAGTGCCCATCCGTGACATCAAAACAATGAAGACATTCCCAGGAATAACAATCAAGGATTGCGGTCCAAAGCTAGGTCTCAACGGTATTGACAATGGTCATCTTAGATTCGATCACGTTCGTATTCCACGTGAGAACCTCCTCAACAAATACAGCGATGTCACCGAAGACGGTCAATACAAGAGTCAATTCCAAACACCAATCAAAAATTTCGCTGCAACGATGGCTCCATTTTTGGGTGGTAGAGTAAGTAGCTACTACAAATTACATATCATAACACTAGAATCAATTCTTTACCAAACTAATTTAAACTTCTTCTTCTTCTTCTTCATTAAAACAAAACAAAAAACAGTTATATATTTGTAAGAATACAGCAGGTGCAATTCATACATGTTTGACAATTGCAATTAGATATGCACACTATCGTTGTCAATTCGGTCCAAATTCAAACGTTGAATTACCATTGATTTCTATTCCAAGTCATCAAAGAAGATTGATCATTCCATTGGCAAGAACCATCACAATGGATCTTTATTTACAAACTCTTGCAACTCAAATCAAATCAATGAAACCTGTATGTTCAATTGAATGAGATATGGTATAATTATACTTTACTGACCAACTGATTTACTAGGCATTACATGCTCATTGTGCAGGTATTAAAGCAGTGTATTCATGGCATGGTATTGCAACGATGCAAGTTTGTAGAGAATCGTGCGGTGGACAAGGTTATAGATCGGAGAATAAGATTGCCGAGTTCAAGTCGGATTGTGATATCAATGTTACCTACGAAGGTGACAACACTGTGTTGATGCAACAGGTTGCCAAGTACATCATGACCAAGACCGACCAGGTTGTGCCATCGATCCGTATCGACGGCGACGCCAAACAACAGTTGTTCAACTTTAACAATCTTCTCAAGCTGTTCCGTGCCAGAGAGTTGCTCAAGACTCAAGAGGCAACTCAGCTCGTGCAAGAGGGTGGCACCAACTTGTACGACGCCTTCAACAGCTCGATTCCATGGGCTATCAAGGCGGCACACGCTCACATGGAGTATGTAATTCTAGAGAATGCAGTGAAATCGATGAGTGCCGATTCGGTTGCACCGATTGCACACCTCGTACTTCTCGATACACTCGCCAAGATCGAAGATGACTTGGGTTGGTTCGTCACCCACTCTTACATCTCACCGGAAGTCGCCAAGTCCGTCTCCTACTTGGTAATGGATCTCTGTGAACAACTATCAAGACAATCATTAGCAATAGTCAAAGCATTTGATATTCCCAAAAAGTAATTATTATTTCAAATATTTATTTTATTCATTTTTTTTTCAAATTTTTATTAACCAAACATTCTCTTCTATCTTCACAATAATAATAATAATAGATGTTTGCCATCTGACAACCTTCAAGATGGATTGTTTTAATTTAGAAAAGAAATCAAACAAAACAAATCAAACAAAACAAATCAAGATAATCAAATAAATAAATTAGAAAAATAACAATAATTATAATAGTAAAAAATAAAATAATGTAATAAAATATATATTTCATTGATAAATTAAAAATAAATCAAATAATGTAAACAAATATTATTAAATCATTGGATATCCTGGTTGGCACTTTTTTAATTAAAGAAAAATGAATGTCTTTTAAAAAAACAGGAAAAGCCCAGTTCATTTTTTGCAAATCTTCATTTTTTATTTTTTATTTTTATTTTTCACATATCTTTTTATCTTTTTTTAGAAGTTAGTCGACATCTTAAAATTTTTTTTTTTAATTTTAGATTTAATTTTAATTGTATATATATTTTGGTTATTAATATATATTATTTGTATTTTTTAAATAAATAGATATATTATTAATAAATTTGTACAGTAATGAATAATAATAATATAAATATAAATAATATTAATAGTAATAGTAATAATAATAATGAAATTTTAAATGAAAATAAAGATTTAGATATAGAGTCAGAGAGTAATTCAACTTTAAATAATATAAATTCAACAACAAGCTCATCAAACGAAAGTGATAACAATCACGATGTAAATAACAATGAAAATAGTGTTAAAATGAATATCGAAGACGAAGATGAGATGATTGCTGACAGTATCGATGACAGTGATGAATTGATGAGTAATCAAATAGATTCATATGATATAGATGAAGATTATTATGATGATAATGATAATGATGATAATGACAATCAAGAATATAATCATGATTATCATATAGATGATGCAAATAATAATAACAATAACAACATTAATAATAATAATAATAATCGATTCTTTACTGGTGGTGCATTACCAAATGGTCAAAATCTATTGTTGGATCTTGCTGATATCTTTGGTGGAGAAGGTAACTATCGTCAGTTGGTAGATGGATTCTTTGGTACTGCTGCATCTCATGAAACAAACAACAACAATAATGATAATCAAAATGACAATGATGGTGATGATGATGATGATGATGGGGATGGAGATGGATCTGCTATTGATCATACTCGTGGTGTGTTTCGATCGCTCGAGAGAGATCTTCGTGGATTCCTCAACTCGATTAGCAAGGTGGCACAACGAAGACAAGATGAGATATCCAGACTCAAGGAATACGGTCATCCAGAGTTCACCTTCCAATCGTATCGCAACGCTCTTTCCAGCAGCGTCGAGACAACCAAGGACATCAATCTAATGGTACAACGATTCGCCAATCTAAGCGATCCACTCATCAAACTATTTGGTAAAGATAAATTCAAATTCCCATTCTGTCAACATGGTAAGTACAGTAAACAACATTAAAGTTGCAGTGAAATTCAATACTGACTGACCAGTACTACTTTTGATATTATTTATACACTGGACTTTATAAAGAGTGGACGCAGAAAACCTGGTTCTTTAGATGTAAAGATTGTGCTATGACAGAGACATCTTGTGTTTGTCTCAATTGCTTCAAGAATGGCAACCATATACATCAGGGACATTCGTTTATGCCAGAGGAGAGCAGTCAGGGTGGATGCTGCGACTGTGGTAATCCAGACTCGTGGGCAACCTCTGGATTCTGTACCGACCATTTCCTGCAGGACAAACCGATACATCCGAGCGAGTTGATCGAGCCTGCCACTCGAAAGAAACTTCACCTTTTCATCCGATTGCTCATTCAGTACTCGTTGTATCTCATGAAGCTGGATGTAAAGACTCAGAAGGATACCGATCGGCTCGGGGTAATCATCGTCTGGTTTGAAGATCTCTGCAAGTACTCCTACCCAGTGTCCCATATTCTCACGGAGGAGTTTGTACACCAGACTCTTGATGCACGTTGTTTCGATCTACATACACCACTTGGATTGCCTTATACCACAGCAGCAGCAGTGACAGAGTCTGAACAACTAGCCAGTGGTGTTGGTGGTGTCAGCAGTGAGAACCTACTTTCAATACCTGAAGACAGTCCCATCACTACGATATTAAAAGAGATACTTCAGAAACCAGAGATACTCAATCTAGTCAAAACGGTAATCGTAACGATGATGGGTAATCGTTTGTTCAAGATTGTATTCTGCGATGAGTATCTCAAGTTCTATCCGGATCTTTCACTTCAATCAGATCGTGATGCAATGGTTATCATTTCATCGATTAGTTGTCAAATGTTTGAAATACCTTCTATTATCATACCGTTCTGTACTGGTTATTCCACAAAGAATATCTTATCAGAGATTCTATCTGTTTTTGTAAGTTTGTTAAAGTGTTTTAAAACTTTTTATTTCTAGTCTTTAGATATATATTTTAAACCTAATACTTATTATTCTATTTCTTTAGAAAACATTGTTAAAAGATAAAGAACATTATGATTTTGATGTACCAAGTCAACGTACAATTTTCGATCAACAACTATTGGCACATCAAGATTTCTTTTATATTTCAAGTTATTTCAAACATGCAAAAATCACAGACTATGTATATAAGAACGATGATATCATCAATCAACTGCTTTTGATATTAGATGAAATTCAAGAGATTACTCCCATTCGCAGAATACTAGACAAACCACTAGAGTACGAGCTTCCAATCATCAACTCTGTTGTCTCCATGGAAACTCAATCAATGCAAGGTATTGGTACTTTCTTACAATCTTTAAATAAATCTAAACGTAAGTACTTAATAATAATGATGATGATTATATTAACAATCAATAATGATCATTAACTAACATTAATCTTTTATAAATATTGAATGAACACTAGTACCAACAATGAAATATTTAAGTCTAATATTAAAGTTTATAAACAAACCGCCAAACAAACAAAATTTTACATTTAATAAGTATGTTATTATAGTACTATTAATCAATATTAATAATGATTAATATAAGTAATGTTATATTAATATAACTTATCTATCTATCTATCTAGTTATTTATTACCATCAAATGATTTATTCCATGCTATTGATACAGTATCTATACATTGTCCATTGAATAGAATATTTGGAATATTCGTATTGAATGCATTGAATAGTGGTGTAGATTACTCGTTGCCAGCGATTAAATCGATGGTCAATCTAGAACAATTGCTGTACATTGCCAATGAAGCGATTCTTCCAAATATTCTCATGGCACAACATAGAAATGGATTTTGGGAGAAGAATATGAATATCAACGATGTCAAATCCTACTACTCATGGTCTCTTATGTGGGTAGATCTTTTCACCATCCAATATTGTTCGATTTTATTGGGTCCAAATTACTTTTTAAACTTTTTGATTAGCAGTTTCACTTCAAATTTTAAATATTCTGGTAAGCTGAATTCATCATCGTCATCACCGTAATATCATATAATCTAATTCTCTTATCTTTTAAATATAATAACATAACTAGATGAATATCCATTTTGTTTACAAGATTTATTAAGATTCCTTATATCTATTTTACAGTTGCGAGTATCACCAAAGTATTCACCTGAAGATGCACGATATCATATCATCCAAGGTTTGACAACCAATAACAATACACATGCTTTGTTAAGTAATGTTCGTAGGGAGTTGTATTACAGTGATTTTGTTGAAGATGTTATCCAAGAGGTGTCGGAACCAACCAACGATAAGAAGCTACAACTCAAGCAACAATACTGGGATCGCTACGACTACTACTATCCTTACCACTATTGCGTTGGTGACTCTCTGACATTCATGTCGTTGCAAACCTATCATGCACATCTCAAGAAGATAAAGTATCCAATTGAAGATTCATTCCCTCTGCCCTCGGTAGTGGAACCACTCCATGCGAACCTAGAGGCTGTCAACGACATCTATGACGAGCCACTACTCTATCATCTTGCATTTTGCACACTGCTCGCATTCGTACATCCCAACTGTAGATTGCAAACACAATTCCCATTGTCTGATTTCATCAACTCTGACAAGTTCATACCGAAGGAGGACGAAACTCAGTTGGATGACAGCGTCAATCACATACTCTATCTCATGGTAATGGCAATGCGTCACTTCAAGGCAAAGACATTCTCTTCGTTCTCACCAGAAGAACAAGACTCACTGCGACAGTCGATCAAGTGTTATCTGTCACACGGTAGCTTTGACAACATGGTAAAGACCAAAAAGTCGATTTCCCTCTTGAATATTCTACGTCCGTACGAGATTCGTAAGGTGATCTGCGATGACAATGGTAATCCTACCAGTTTGGCATATCCATCGATGAATATACTCGATCTTGTGACCGACCTCTTTGAGACTATCGACACTGACAACCGCTACGTCGAGAAGAAGAACTTGATCTCCAACTTGCTCATCATGATCAACGAGTTTGATGAGAATCTCTCGCAATACTTTAGCGATCGAAAGATGTCGATCGAAGAGATCATCAACAAACAGAACGAGAACGAAGCCAAAGTCAAAAAGGAGGAGGCTCTTCAAAGACAAAAAGCGATTCGTGAGAAGATGATGCAGCAACAACTTCAGTTCCTAAAGTCAAATAAATCGATGTTGGAGGACTACGAAGACGACGACGACAACCAACTGGCAGATTCCGACAACAATTTGATATGTGTTGCTTGCAAGGAAGGAGCTCGTCCCGGCTCCGATCCACTCTGTGCAATCGGTCGTTGCGAAGGTTTCGGCATCAAGTCGACGTCCGATCGTCAAACCATCCAACACTACTACGAGAAGAGCATCAGTTCCGATGTCGACCAAGAGCTATCATCGATCGGTGGATCATTCATTGTCAACCAGATCGAGAATCTCAAAGTCGATGAAATCCTCAAACTCTTCCAAACCAGTATTCCCATAAACATTCGTTGTTGTGACCATCTCATTCACAAATCCTGTCTGGAGAACTTTGTCAATGGTTGGATCGGTGGCGGATATCCATGTCCTCTTTGCAATAGGACAGCCAATCTGCTGTTGGCCATCGACAACAAGAGCACCTCGGAGACAACCATTTCCTCGGGAATGATACTTCCATTACTCTCAACGGATACCACCTACCACAACAGTCCTACCGATCTCAACCAGAGCTCAGTTCAGCAATTCCTCTGGAAGTATCCACTGACCAACATTGAAACACTCGAGATTACCTCGCGTTCCAACAAGAACTTCAACGACGACGGTCAACCTTACTTTGTATACAATGAAACCGATTTCCAGAAGCGTCTGAAAACACTACGTCTTGTCTATTTCAACATTATGTCGTCGGCGGCCAGAGAAACCAACGATAGCTCAATCGACTTGTTCCAAGGTAGATACATCAACTACGATCCATTCATTCTCGCCACATTCTCCTACTATCTCAACAGAGACTCTGATCCAAAGATTCACATCAAGCGTGCCTACGAACGATTGATATTCTTTGTCTTTGGTAACTTTATCGATAGAATAGTTGACTATGCATCAAGCAGTTCCAAGTCAACTCTTAACAACTACACCAAGTATATGCAAATGTTGGTGTCACACCTGACAGAGAACACTCTGCCTAGCGATCCTAGCGACCAGGAAACTCTCCGCAAACTGATGCGCACCATCGAAAGAGCAGTTAAACCATTCATTAGAAAGGCATTCTTATTTGACCATTGTCTATCCACCAGTTTTGATACTCCAATAGTCACTAGAAATGAGCATTCGCCTGTTACTCTCCAGACCTTCTCGGATATCGATTATCTCTTGCAAGAGCTTGATCTTCCCAGTTGGAAGGATGCACTTCTCAACCCAATCTATCAAGAGAAAGACTATACATCACTACTCATTCGTAACACCGTTGGATTCTGCTTACCTTCAAAACTACCAAAGTTTATTAAATTACCAGATGATTTTGTTGTAAGTTGAAATGATTAAAATCGATCAGATATATTATAGTTATAGATTTGCTAACTCTTTTTTTTTTTTTTTTTAATTACAAATAAAAGTATTTCTTGGTTGAAAATATTAGTAAATCATGTGTAGGAGAATGCAATCAATTACCAAAGGGTGTCTGTATTCATTGTGGAACAGTAGTATGCTATAACGATTGTTGTAGAAATGAATTGTTGGCACATAATCACAGATGTCAACATGGACTTGGACTCTTTTTGGATGTATGCAACCCCGTTCTCTCTGTGTATTGCGCAAATACCGAATCAGATAAGATCGATATCTATTTCGATAAGTTTGGTGAACCAAGTGCTAAAGCTAAACCAGGTCTCAAGCTTAACATGGCTGCACTCAGAGATCTCTATATAACATGGTTGAAAGGAACTCTACATGAAAAGCTAAATATTTCATATGAATAGTAGTAACTTAAAGCTGGCACCTCTTGAAATAAAGATAATACATAACTCAAAAATTCATACAATTGTTTTTTTTTTTTGATATCATACTCTAAAATTTCCAAAAAATCGGAATCTATAGCTTAAGATTGTTTGTCTACATTTTAAATTAAATCGAGTAAAGATTGAATTTGAATCTACCACTTTCAACTTAATGATAGAATATTAGATGTTCTATAATCGGGAACTCCTTCAAAGAATAACCTTTCTTTATACTATACTCTCGAGAGCTTGTTTTATTTTCGTTTCATCTGTTAAATTACTTTTCTAAAAAAACAATATCTTTGTTTATATAAAATCAGTTAAAAACCTTTACATTTTGAAGTCAAAAAAGTTTTTTTTCTATTATTTTATTATTCTTCTAATAATGTTATTGATTTATGATTTTAAAAATGTATTGATATCCTTTTTTTTCAAAAATTAAATCTTTAAGATTTAATTGTTTTTTAAATATAATTGTAAACTTTTTTAAATATATACTCTTTTTGTATATATATAGTATTTGTGCTGAGTTTGTTTTTTTTTTTTAAAATGATAAATGGTTCAATTTTTTTAATTATAAATTTTTTTTTTGTATTATTAATCATTTTCAAATTGTTTTTTTTTTTTTAAATTATCCTTGTACTACCATTACTGATAGTCAATGTGTAGAGCTTGATATTAACCTACAGTTCGTGTTCATTTACAAAGACACCTTACTCTTTAAGGTAATTATTGACCCGAAAAGCTGGTAATAATACCTAGGTTATCCTTAATGCGCGCATATTGTATATTCTACAATTAAAATGTTTTAGCATCTGGAAGTTTCGATCGACCGACCTGTGGGTTATGGGCCCACCGCTCTTCCTCTGAGCTAAGATGCTTTTCGATGTTATTCTTGAAATTAATTAAATTTTTATTTTTTTTAATAAACCAAAAAATAAAATTTTTTTAATTTTTAGTTGAATTTTATTCTTTTAAAAGAATATCATTATTCTTTTGTGCAATCTTTTCTATTATATCCTTCACCAGGTTGCTGTTCACACGTTTAGGCAGGTTTTTACGTTTGGTTATAATGAAAATCTTTATTTTTCCTAAGTTATTATATTCATTGAAACATTATCGATTTATAATGTTATAAAATAAATATATACTATGGTAGTTGAAATTAGTGAAGAGAGTTTAAAGAGCATGCAGGAGTGGGCTAATAAGAATAATGCCCTCTTTACAGCAGAGATAAACGAAAAGATACAGGTATAATATATTTATTTTAACATATTTACCATGGTAAATCTTTATTTCTAACATTATCAACAATCTAGATACAAGTTATTCTAGGTTTACTTATAACGATTGTGGCTCTAGTTGGACTTACTATATTGGTTTGGTTTATATATCGTAAATCTATTTCAGAATTCAACGATATCAAACAATCGATTAAACTCTTTACAGGTAACAATAAATAAACACAATCTTTGATAAACATACTGCATATACTAATCCAACTGTTTGTAATAGAACCACCCTATACACCAAAAAAATAGATATGTCTTTGGGATATCTCCTTTTCTATGCAGTATTGTAAATAACCTTGTACAGATTGTCCAAACAATAGCAATATTATTATTATAAATCATTATTGTTATAAATAAAGTAACATGTAAAATAAAGTGATCAAATTATAAACTAATAACCAAAATTAAAAAATTTCGTCTTTTTTTATAAAATTTATTGATTCGTTCGTTTTTTTTTGTTTAATTTAACAAATATTTCTTTTCATTTTGTTTTGTTCTATATATATATACATATAATGGCAGATCACAATAAAAAAAGAAAAGCAGATAGTGAAACTACTGTCACTACCACATCTAACAATAGTGACAAAACTAAAAATCAAAATTTTAATAGTAAAAAGATAACAAATCAAAAAACAAAGAATAATAATAATAACAATAGTAAGAATAATAATAAAAAGAATAACAATAGTAAGAATAATAATAATAGTAGTAGTGATAGTAAACATAGTAACAAGAAATTTGATAAGAAAACAAATAAAAATCATTTAAAAAAGAAACAAAAGGTTGATCATACTAGTGCTGCTTCAACTACCACAACAACTACAACTACATTACCAACTATTACACCATTAGTATCACATGTCGTAGAAGAACAACAACCACTTCCAGTCATACTACCTGAATCAATTAATAGAAATTGGGATTTGATAAGTGTAATATATATATATTTCAACAGATTTATTACTTTTAAACAAAATAATTAACATTTTCAAATTATAGAAAAGTATAACAAGCAAACCTAAAAAACAACCTACAAAAGCAGCAGCATCATCTACTTCAACAACAACTTCTACAACAACAACATCATCATCAACAGAACAACAACCAATTAAAACTGTATTTGAACTTGTACAAAATGATACAAACAAAGAGATAAAGTATATATTGAATTAATGATTATGAAACATTTAGATTTCAACAAAATATTAACATTAAAAACACAAAACAAAACAATAGAGTAACAAAAGTATTAGCAGTCGATTGTGAAATGGTAGAGGTGGAAGGAAGAAAGAGTGCACTTGGAAGTGTTTGTTTGGTTAACTCTGAAGGTCAAACCGTTTACAAGAGCTATGTAAAGCCAATGGAAAAGATCACTGACTATCGTACTCCTTGGTCGGGATTGACTTTCAAACTACTCAGCAAAGCACCGGAATTCCTCAAAGTTCAGAAAGATGTTTCACAGCTCATCAAAGACAAGATTCTGGTGGGACACGACATCAAGCAGGATTTGGGTGCTCTCATGCTTAACCATCCACCACAACTGGTCAGAGATGCCATCAAGTTCCCGCTGCTCCAGAAAGACAACAAGCCAATGTCACTAAAGAAGCTGATCATGGAGCATTTCGGTGCAACCATTCAGAAAAAGTCGCACAACGCCGAGGAAGATGCCATCAGTAGCATGCTATTGTATCAGAAGCACAAGAAACAATGGGAGAAGCACGTCAGAAACGTTTTCTACCCCAAAAAGAAAACCACTGAGCAAAGAAAAGAAGACAGAGAAAAGAAACAACAAGATTCTCAATCTCAAAATATTGGTGTGGATGAAGATCAAGATGAATAAAAGATATTTAAATTATCGAATAAAATATTTTATTTATTTTCTAAAATGTTATTACATTTTTTACAAGTTTTCACACGAAACAAATTTCATTTTTGTCGTGTCAATCAATTAATTGATCAATGGTATGATATGAAATCAAATAAAAGGAAATTAAACTATTCAAATAGTGTAAATAATAATAATAATAATAATAATAATAATAATAATAATAATGACAAAACTAGTAATAATAATTTAATAAAAGAAATACCTGGTTACTATTATGATCTAGAGAAACATAGATACTTTAAGATAACAAAAGAAAATAAACATCTGATAAACAATAGTAGCAGAGCCGATAGTTTAGCGAATGAAAATGCAATAATCGAGAAAAAGAAACAACAATCATCAAATAAGTTTATTGGTGCAAAACGACTAGTGTCAATCAATCACTTGTTATTTCAAAATGAACTCAATCAACACATGACCTCTAGAATCAAAAATAGATCGATCAATTGTTGCAGCTATAGTTTAATCGATAGCATATCGAATCTAATTACAAAAGAATCATTGTTCAACATTGATTGTTCACAGTTAACAGACAACAAAAAAAACAAAAGCGATACGAATTCACAGCAGCTCTTTAATCATATTCATCAATGTACCAATATGGAACCATATATCGTCAGTTATAACAATATCGCTAGTAACAGTGATGACAGTGCTGTTGCTACTGCAGGTATACTATGTTCTTTCAGTGGTGGAATGGTTGGTCTCTACTCGATGGGCGTAGAGAACAACAAACTATCGATTGCTTCCTCTAGTTTTACTTTTACTACAAACTCTAATGAAGTATCATCTATAAGAACAACAAAGAATGCTCCTTCAATTATTTTGTATGATTAAACAAATAACTATATAATAAAAACGAAAGTTACTAATTATTTATTATAAAAAAACAAAAGAATATCATGTTTAGGTAATGGAAATGAGAGTGGAAGTGCTACGTTGTATAGAGGTCTTGAGAAAATTAGAACAAAGAAGACTAGAGATGATAGTGTTTGGGTGAGTGAATGGCATCCCTCTGGAACAACGATATCTATGGGTGGTGGTGGTGCTGTTTATCTATGGGATTTACACAGTGATTCACTACACAGACAAATCATTGCGAAAAGCGATATATTTGCACAGACATTCAATAGCAACGGTACAATCTTATTCAATGGTTCAAGAGACGGTCAGATTCGTTCATTCGATCTAAGAATGGAACAAATTAAATCAACTATAAACACTAATAATAATAGTAGTAATGCTAATACAAATAATATTGATATTAATAATATTTGGTTGGATAATGACAATAACAATAATGAATCTATTGAATATAAGAAAACAATGATTTCCAAAAAGAAGAAACAACAATTCGGTGGTAGTGCACCGGTTTGTTCGGTACACTCGATGGCGTCCGATGATAATTACCTGTTGGTGTCAACGATGAATGAGATATCGCTGTGGGATCAACGTGTGGAAAAGCGAGTCGTTGAATATCAAGGTCATGTCAATAGCCACACTATGCTACGATCTTCGATTTCAAGTTGTCAACGGTATATCTGCTCGGCTGGCGAAGATAAATTCGTACGTCTGTGGAATGTCAACAATGGTAGTCTCCTGAAAACACTTGGTCCATTCAACAGCATTGTTAAATCCGTTCAATTCTTTGATCAACATCAATGGCTTGACATCCAATACGTACAGTCTTCAATATTTAACCAACAGCACAACCAAGAAAATTCCTCGGATATGGATATTGACGATACGATCGTACGCACTACTTCAAAATCAAATAATAATGATAAATATTTGGCAATTTCAACCAATGAAGGTTTATTATTTAATAAAATTTATTAAAAAATAAATTAATTTTTTTATCAATTTAAATATTATTAATAATTTTATATTTTTAGATTATAATTTTAAATAATTTTTTTGAACTTTTCTTAATAGTTTTTTGTTTTTGTTTTTAATATTTTTTTCATCATTTTTTACTCACTCTGACAATGCCACATCCAAATCGATCAGAATTTTGACTATTTTGTAGTTGGTTTTTCAATATTAATCAATCATCTTTATTTATTCTTTAATCTCCAAGTGATTTAATCAAAAGAAGTTCATAGTTAAATTTATATCCCACATTTATTACCACACTTTCTCAAAAACCAGAGATCATTCTTAAATTTAAAGGAACCCCCATTGCCAATACTAAAACTACAAAATTTTGATTTTTTCTTTTTTTTTGCAATTCTTGTGTGAATTTTTCAAATGCTTTTTTAATTGCAAAAAACTGCATTAACTTTTTTTTTTTAAAAAAACAGAAAAACAAATAATTTAATTAAATTTCTTTAATTTTTTATTTTATTTTCAATCTAACTACTTCCACTTTTTCTGTAACAATTAAAAATTTGTAATTTTATTTATTTATTTCATTTCATTCGTTATAACAAAGATTTTTTAAATTTAGATTTTTTATTTATTATTTTTTTTTTTTTTGTTTTTTTTTTTAAATTTAAATTATAAAGATATTAAGCTAAGCTATGGGAATAGAAGATATTGAAGATGCATTGGTAAATGAAACAACACCATTACCAATCGATCAACAACAACAACTTGAACAATTGCAACAGATGCAACAGCAACAAGTTTTGGTTGGCGATGAAATTCCTTATTATATGCCGTTGTCGAACGAGCAACGTGAACAACAACAACAGCAATTGCTGCAACAATATCAGCAGCAATTGGTCGAACAATATGGAAGACCATCGTCATTTCAACCTGGTCAATCACCCTCACATCTTCCACCACCAGCAATCATCCCACATCAACAGCAAATGATTCAACCGATCTACTATCCACAGATTTCGAGCTCGCCACACTCGATGCCACCAATGCCACCAGGTGCCACCGCCGGTCCAATGATCATGTCACCACCTTTAAACATGCAATCGGTTGTACAACCAAGTCCACAACCAAACTCATTCGTTCAAACACATGCCTACATTCAACCACCACCCACCTACGACATTAAATCACCCTACAAAAACGTAAACATTGTTTTCCAAGCACCACCACCTCCAATCTCATATGTCAATGGTCCTTATGTTGTACCAGTTGAAAATGAACTTTGGCCAATCTATTCTCCTGATTTGTAAGTTAAACAAACAAACTACAACAATTGATATGATTTTTATTATTAACCTTTATTTTATTTTATTTTTTTAGATTCGCTATTGATAAAGTACCATCATATGGTCTTGGTACACCACAAGTAGATGATTGTAGTGCTGTCAAAGAAAAGATCAGTTTATTAAAGAATATTTTTGTGAATCAACATCAACACAACGCTGTTGACGATGTACTTTTGGAATCGGTTGCCGAATGCAAGCAATTAGAGTTTTTGAATCTTAGCAACTGTACAAACTTTACATTGGCTCAGTTCAACAAGACAATTGGAAGATTGAGAAATCTACGTGGTTTGAACCTCACGAACTGTTCACACATCACCGATGACTCTGTAAAGAACATTGCAAAGAATTGCGCTAATCTCGAAGAACTTCACTTGAACAACTGCTATTTGTTGACTGACAACTCTATTACATTCCTTGTCAAGCGTTGCAAGAATCTAAAGGTTCTTTCTATGAGTCGTTGCGAGAGAGTCACCGACTACACCTTGTTTGAGATCTCAAAGAATCTCAAGGCATTGGAATCAATCTGTATCAACAGAATGAAATATGTCACTGACAAGGGTTTGGCAGATTTGAAGAATCTCAATATTAAATCGTTCTACGCTTACGAGACTCTACTGACAGATCAAAGCATCTCTGAGCTCGCTCTGAGATGGCGTCAACTGGAAGTATTGAATGTTGCCAAATGCATCAACGTAACAAATCAAGCATTGTCTACCGTCGCTTTGCACTGTCCACAAATCCAAAAGCTCTTTGTCAATGGTTGTCCAAAGATTTCATCAGAGGCCATCGTTCTCGTCGCTCAAAAGTGTCCATTGATTCGTGTGTTGCGTATTGACAATTGTCCAAACATCACAGACGAAGCAATTCTCGCTTTGGAGTTTTTGAAATCTTTGCACACATTGAATGTCAGCAATCTCTGCAAATTCAATGAGCAATCGCTCATCAAGATTCTACCGTCACTACCAAACCTCGAGCAACTCTTCCTCTACCAATGTCCACGTATCTCTGATGCTACTGTCGCTGTAATTGGTCAGCACTGTCCAAATCTAAAGGTTCTTCGTCTCGATCAATCTATTTTCCCAGGAGATGCTGGTGTCTCCTGCTTGGTGAATTGCAAGTCACTCAAGGGACTCAATCTCTCCAATCTCGAGAATATTCACGATCAGACTATTATTTCATTGTCGACAGAGTTGACTGGTCTTCAGAAACTCTATCTCACTGGTTGCAAGGGCTTGACCGATGCATCTCTCGACGCCATCACCAATATCCGTACTATTGAGATTCTTCGTATCAACGATAGCTTCCAATTCTCTGAAGATGCTCTCTGTAATCTTGCCAAACTTCAAAACTTGAGCGTTTTGAATATGTCAGGATGTGTCAATACCACCGACAAGGTTTTGGATCTTCTCATTTGCTACTGCCAACAGTTGACTCAACTCTACCTTTCTAACTTACCATGCATTACCGATCGTATCTTACCACCAATGTTGGCATCACTCTTGAAGCTCAGACTTTTGAGAATCGACGGTTGCAGCAATGTCACAGACAATGCTTTGATTGGTCTTCGTTTCAATGGATTGCGTTACCTCGAAGTCTTCAACTGCAGTGGCACCTTTATCGGAGATGAGGGTCTCTACTCGATCGTATCACAATCGGCACTTCGTGAGCTCTACATGTGGAACTGTGAAACCATCACTGACAATGGTCTCAAGAAGATCGATATGTACTTGCAAAATCTCGAAGTTCTCCGTGTAGATAGATGTAAAAAGATTACCGACAAAGGAATTCGTTCTATTCTTCAAAAGGCTGTACTATTAAGAACACTCAATATTTCACATACCAATCTCGGTGACGATACACTCACTACCGTCGCCGGATACTGCAAGCTACTCAAGAAGCTCATCTGTACCAACCTCTCGAGAATAAGTGACAGTGGTGTCAGTGCGGTCGCACTTCAATGTCCACTCTTAAAGATGATCGATGTCTCTCGATGCTTCAAGATTAGCGACACTGCAGTCATTGAACTAAGTGTTCGTAGCAAATACTTGAAGAAGTTTAGCATCAACGGAAATTCTAAGATTACCAACACATCAATCATTAAGTTGTCTGTTGGATGTCCAAGATTAAAGGTTGTAAATCTACAAGAATGCTCAAAGGTTGGAGAAGTCGGTATTTTGGCACTCTCAACCTACTGCAAATACATTACCACCTTGAATGTATCTCACTGTCCATTGGTTACTGATCTCTCTATTGTTGGAATTGGTCGTGAGTGCTTGGGTCTAAAGAGTCTAAATGCATCACATACCCTTCTGGGAGATGCTGGTGTGATTGAAGTTGCAGTCAGATCCAATATTAATCTCGAGTTTTTGGATATTCAAAGCACCAATGTCACAGATCAAGCACTTTCTATGGTAGCCCAAATGTGTCCATCACTAAGAGTTTTAAATATCCTTTCCACAAAGACAACCGCCAAGACTACAACCACCATTCAACAAACATGTCGACTTCTCAAAGAATTCAAAATGGTTAATTAATTAAAATTGACCAAACTATTTTTATAATTTAAAATTGTACAAGTTTTCAAATCGATATTTATTTGTTTTTTTTCCCAAAATAAAATTGATATCAATATTATAGTTTGATATTTATATGTTTCTAATTAAATAGTTTGATTATATATTTTATTATTTAAATAGTCACCAGGATGATATGATTCTAATTCCCACCGCTTGCTATGATACCTAGTTGTTGTAAAGAATTTCGAATATGTGAAAACATGGCTGCAATCAAAACAGCCGGTACTGGAACATTTCCTTGAATTTGGAATGAACGGATCTTTGGCTCTGCTTTATTACCTACAACCACTGCCGTAAGTGCATTACTTGAATATTTCCAATCTGCGTATACAGTACTATAGAACCAATGTTAGTTTAAATATTAAATGTTTGGCCTGGAAATGAAAAAACAAACTTACTCTGGATGTGGTTTCTTGGTTATTGATAATTTGTTTGGTGTCGAGTTTGTTGATGAAATGGTAATAGAAGTAATAACGGGTTGGAAATAAACAAACGATTGGTTTATGTTATCCCAGTCAAATTTAATTCTATAATCGGTTTTCGGGTGTGTCCATATCCATGATTTGTTGTTCCAAACCACACTACCGTAGTGTTTGTGTTGAAAGCAACCCTCTGAGAATCGCCACTCGTCAATCTCGCCACTGCTTCCCAATTTGCTGTCGGAGAGGCTATCGGAGGAATCGCAATGAATGAGTGTATTTCTAACAAAGCTCCAACATATCTCATCGTCGTCGTTGTTGTTGCTCTCGCTGTTCTCTGCTGGATATATCTTTCCAGGCAAACCATCGATATTATTAAAATTAATAGAGTGCCGCGACGGCATCTTTGAAAATATATCTAAATGCTGCTCGAATAACTGCTTCTCCTCCAAAAACTTATCGACGTGCTTTACAGAGTGATGAACTTTGTGCATATATAAATTGTAACTATCCACCAAAATAACCATATTTCTAATGTGCTTGGTGATATCATCGAAGTCCTCTCTGAAAAATCGAGAGTCTTGATAGGTTGTTATTTCGAGAGCTGTTTTCTTTATATAATCGATCCAGTTATCCAATACCAATTCTTCGCATCTGATCATCGACAGTCTTGGTCCATCGGAACTAACAAACCAGTCGACATAACTCTTTATTCCACCATAACACAACTCTGAAAACTGTTCCACTTTCATCAAGTACGGTTCCCAAGTCCAATAAGCATTATAATATTCTGTCATTTCAACTATCCATTTTGTTGATACATCTGGTTTAACTCTATCTGGTAATTTCACTATGTTATTTAAATAGCAATTAATAAGTATAATATTAGACTACTTCAAACTAATTATCGTTTACTTACTTGGTCTAGGTAAAAGATTCATTATTGTATTCAGACTTTGATCTACATTGCCCAGTGAAGCAATTGTCATGGTTGTCAATGATTGTATACGTGGACGAATTAACAAAAGAAATTGTTCGATACTTCTTTCGTCTTTGCCACGAATTATATAATTTCTACCATTCTTTGAAGCGATTTGAAATGTAAGTGGTTGAGTCTTAAACAATGACTTTGTTTCTTCCAATATGCATTCGCCTAAATTTATATATCCTTGTGGTTCTTGTGTGTCGTCTGGTCTTCCATCCATCTTTCCAGGTTTGTAATATGCAATATAGTTTCTGTGCAATATGAAATATCTATCTAAAAAACCTTTTCCATTTCCACCAGTCTTTTTCATCAAAATCGAATAGGAGGAATCATTTTTAATTCTACCAAATGTTAGCCATTTCTATTATAATATTTTCAAGTAATAGGGAATATTGTTATTAGAAACCTATCCAAGAACAAATTGGTTCTTAAATCAAATGTAACTACTACTTACTAGTATTTCTTTTTTTCTTTCTACTTTTACCATTTTCTTTGATTTTGGTTTGGTAAAATAATCGATAAGTGTTTTTGGGTGTGATGATATTTTAACAATTGCTGTTGGTTCTGTTGCAGAACTTATTTGATCAGACCTAACCGATGAACGGCTGTTATTCTGATTGTTTCGTTTTTTGTTGCCTGTAATTTTTGAAGTTTTAAGATTGTTAGAAAGTGATTCTAACAATAAAATAGGTATGAACAAAAAGGTGAAATTATTATTTACAAAAAAAAATTTTACAAAAAAATAATTAAATTAAAAAAAAAAAAACAAATAATATTATTTATTATTCCAACATAAATAGATATTCTATTCTTTTAGCTATAATAGTAGACTTTAAAGTCATTAAAGAGAGGAAAGAAAAACAGAAATGAAAACAAAAATTTTTTTAATCATTTGATTGGATTGATGGTTTGGTCAGTTGGTTAGATGTTTGATTGATATAATTGTGTGTGTGTACTGTTAATATTAACTAGCCAACTTAATATTGACTGTCACTAATATTTATTTATTAGAAGTGCTGCTGTTGGTATGTGATGTGTTGTGTGAAACTGGTGGTGGTGTTAATAAAATTTTTAAATTTATTTTGTTGATTGTGTGTCTCTTTTGTTTTGATATGATAGGACAAGTGGGTTGTGTGTTTGTCGTGTGTGGGTGATTAAATTCAAAAAGTATTGATATGTGCATATCATAAATCTCTGTCAAGATGCAGATTTATTATTGGTGTCATATTGTCATGTTGTTGGTGTGGAAGTGAAAGTGGTGAATTATAAAGGTTTTTGATGGTGGTGGAATGTAAAAAATTGGATGCTTGGGTAGTTGGATGGATGGTTGAACAATTGTTCAAAAATAATATTATGATCGACAACACCATCAATCACATCACACCAAAAAAATAAACATTAAAATTTGTTTTTAAAGTTTTATAAATGAAATTGAGGTGGATAACAAAATTTACATGAAATCAAAAGGAAAACTAAGCAAACAAAGACAATCTAAATACAGGTATGTTGATTGATTAAAAAAAAAATTGTTGTTGTCACAATTTGTGGTAGGAGGTGTTGGTATTGAGGTGTAGTGAGCTGGTATTAAATTGGTGTGTGGTATGATATATATCAAAAAATAAAACATATAATATAAAAAGAAATTCATATCATATCAGTCACATTTGATTGAAAATCGATTTTGGATTGCCTCTGAACATTTATGTTGGTAGAGATATAGTGGTTGTGTGATGGTGGTAGTGGTTTGTATAGTTCTTTTTACTTTTTTTTTAATAATAAAAAAAATTGTCTTTTACTTTCAATCAAGCTAGAATAATTTGGATTTTGGAGAGCAAAGTATTATGAGTGTAGAATATGTTATTTAATAGTTTATTATAATTTGTCTACTACTTTAGTTGTTGTTGTGTTTTTTCTTTTTGCTTTTATTGAAAAATGAATTCCCAAACCAAAATATTATTTAAATGACAGCTCAAACAAAACAAAAAAGCAAAGTAAAACATTTTAATTTTCCAAAAGCAACATTACTGTTATAAATATACATACACCACCACCACTACTACTAACAACCAATTTCACACACTATTATTTCCCCCACTTGTTTATTGTTATTGTTTTTGTGATAAACAAAAACAAAAAATATATCTTTTCGATCGATAAAATAAAAATAAACAAACAGACATTAGACATGATAAAATTATATTATAATACATTTTTTTTCAAGAAAATATTAATGGTGGCTGTGAAATTTAAACATAGAAACGGGGGGATTGAGTATTGATGATACAGAGAGATAAATAAAAATATAAATATTATAAAACTATTTTTTGTTTTATCATTTTCACCACACATTCATTCTCTCACTAGTTTCTATTTGAATACATATAATATACATTACATTAATTAATTAACACCAAGCTAAGATACCAACACACAATAACAAAAATAAAACTATTAATTTGTTCAAAATATTATTTTAACTTTAAAGTTGTTTTTTTTTTTTTATTCGATTTGAATATGCCTGTCTGAATTATGTGATATTTTTAAAAATTCAACACATGAAAGGTGAGAGGTATTGTAGTTTATTTGTATCTTTATTGCTGGTTGCCAGTTATTGATCCATTCATTATGTGAATGTTATGTTATATAATTAATGACATAATGACTAGACATTCTAAACACTTGAAATGTGTTTCTTTTTTTAGATCATTTTGTATTATTATTATTATTTTAACATTGCTGTGCTGTCTTTGTGTTGTATTTATGATGATGTGTGTAGCTATTTTTATCTTTAATATTACGATCGTGTAGTGATGAAGTTAAAGGATATAATAATGATATCAAAACCCACATATCTTAATCATTTGTTATTGTTGTCAATAAAGCTGTAACTAAAGTTCTACCAACATTACCTTTATGATTTATATAAGAATTGAATTCTTTTAATTTATACAATCTAGTTTTAAAAACTTTTGTGTTGTAGACACCTCTAACTATTATATATATATATATAATATGTATATATTGTTATTATAATATTAGAGCTAAAATGAAAATAAATAATAATAATAATGAAACAACCTAAAAGATTGAATGGGATAGTGTAGTGGGTGGGATTGTCAAAAGAAACAAACTAACGTCGTCTCGAGACAACAACAAGATAGAGAAAAAGAAGAAGGAATAATTGTTACTTTTGATCTTAAAATTAGCTTTGTAGTAGTAGAACAACAGGTTGTTCAACAATCAGTTTTAAAAAGATTTTTGAAAAAGCAAATTGTGTGAGAGAGCGTGGTGATATTTGATGATTATTGTTCTTAAGATGAATGACAAACTTTGATTTTATTTTTTTTTTTGTATTTTTTTTGTTTTTTTTTTTTAATGGGTTGTTTGATTGATTGACATGCTAACTTGATGTATCAAGATACATATTTAAATATGAATCATAATCTTATCTTACCTTCTTTGCACTTTTTTTTACAATCTAATGCAATATCTAAATATTTATATTTAAGTTTATTATTGCTGCTGATTATCTATCTCTTCACTTTGTTTGTTGTTTTTTTTTTTATTTGAAAAATTGATTGTAGTGTTTCAAATTATTAAGTTAACTTTAATGTGTTGATTTAAATGAAAGGCAAACCAACGACTCATTTCGACCCACCACACCAAAATTCTTTTGCAAAAAAAAAATCTTGATTTTATTTTATTTTTTTATTTTATTTTTTGCAAAATGCGCGAATGTAATTGGTTATCTATGATTGACCATCATTAATGATCGCGTTGTTATTACGAATTAATTGATTAAAAAATAAACAAATCGCCGAAATGTTATCATTCAATGCTATAAAAATGAACTATTTTAATAATAAAAGTTAATATATAAAATTAATTGGACTATATATTCAATATGATTATCTATGTTAGTTCAAAAACATCAAAACTAAAATGATGATGTTTAAAACTGAGATGTCGATGAATTAGAAGTGAATGTGTTTAGGAAAGCAAGTTGAATGATAGTAAAAGCACAAAAATAAATAGAGTTTTTTTATTTATTTATCAATGATGTTTATGAATTTCAATTCCAATTGATGGTGTTCCAGTTTGATGATGTTTGTGATTGCTTAAAGTCTAAATCTGTAAATACTCTATCGCTGTACGCAACCACATTGTAAGCTTCACCAATAACTTCAATCAATGAAATAATCTTTTTATCTACATCTGCAATGCTATCGTTCTCATCGGATGATGCTAAAATAATAGAGATCTCTAATGAGTGAATTTGAAATACAACCATCATTTGAAAAATATACTTACCTCTAACAGAAACACTAATCTTTAATTGTAATGACGATGTCTTTAGTTTACTTAGATGCTCTTGGAATTTGATTTTAGCTTTACCGTCTGGAACACTTTGAAGTGCCTGTGTGACATCGGTGTTTAATTGAGTGGCTACATCGGAGAGGCTACGAACACAATGAATCATAGCGGATCTCGATGAATTGTTCAACGAATCACCAAGACCAGAGAGATGCTCTGCAAACTTTTGTAGTTGTCCAACTGTTTTGGTTTTAGTTGTATTCTGAACAAAAGGTATCTTTAAAGCTGGAATCTCAGAGTTATCTTCATCTTCCTCTGCTACATTTGTTTCAATACAATAACCAAGATCTTCAATCACCTTTTCAATGATTGATTTTAACTTTGGATAATCTGTAAATGATGTTGTCATAGCTAATATTAAACTTTATTTTATATTATAATACAAACAAACAAAAATAAATAAAGTAAATAAATAAATAAGTAAATAAATAAATGAAAATTTCAATTGATCTAATCGGAGTTATTGTGTGTTGTTTTTTTGATCAAACTGTTTGTTTTAACAACACCCACTTTCATCAGAATTAAAAATTTCAAATAAAAACATGATTGATCAGGGTGGTATGTTTAATTAATTAATAATTATGTATTTTATTTTTTACCAATATATTTCTTTGCTCTTTCAATATTTTGTCTTGTCTTTTGTGGAACACTTGGATCCAAAAGTGAATCTATGTAATGAGGTGCGCTTTCAAGTAGCCATTCGAATTTAATATCTGTAGCAGTTCTGAGGTAGTTTGAGCTTGTTAAAACCAATTCATTGTAGATCACCCAATCTGGACGTCTGTCCAATCCACACGATGGATGCAACATTACTTTTTGTTCGTCGCCCAATGTGAAATACTCGTTCTTCTTCTCGAGACGAGCCGCTTGCATAAAGAATCCAGATACCAAACACTTTCGAATATTGATATAGTAATCACGTGAGTTGATATCACCACTGACCAAAGGCACACCGAATCTCGAGAGAATACGTGCCAGCTGACTACGAACATTGGTGGCTTGCTTGATGGCACGGTAGTTTAGGTAGTTGTCGTAGCACCATGTTGTGTTCTCGCCGCTCTGCTTGAATGAGTGGTAGACGTTCAAAAGGGTGAGGTGATCACCATCGATGTGGTCAAAGAGCTTCTTGGTTTGATCGGCGTCACGACGGTTGTCCTTGGGACGATGGAAAACATTGGGAACCGACAGCATTGCAGCGATGGTCAGCACTTCATTGGAGCAGTTGTAACGCGCACTCGAAACGAGGATCTTTGAGAGTTGTGGATCGAGTGGAAACTCTGCCATAATTTCACCATCTTTAGTCAGCTCACCTTCGTCGTCGAGCGCACCGAGATAGTGGAGCACTTCGAGTGCACGCATCAGTGTCTCGGGAATGGGTGGATCCATAAAGTCGAAATGCACCAGGTCGTCGACACCCAGCTTCTTTAGTTGGAGAATAACTGTGGACAAATTGGCTCTGAGAATCTCTGGATAGGTCTGGACTGGTAAATTCTTTTTGAATGATTTCTCAGTGTAGAGACGGAAGCATTTACCGGGACGGGTACGACCGGCACGACCTGCACGCTGCTTTGCACTGGCCTGAGAGATAGGCGACACCAAGAGTGACTCGATACGCGATCTCGGGTTATATGTCTTTTGTTTTGAAAATCCAGGGTCGACAACATACACGATACCATCGATGGTGAGTGAAGTCTCAGCAATGTTGGTCGAGAAAATACACTTTCTGTGAGGATAGTTATCGAAAATCTTTGATTGTTGGCTCATCGGCAATGTTGAGTAGAGTGGAAGACAAGTGATCGGTGGCAACTGCATCTGTTTCGCTTCTCTGGCCACTCTGGTGCATGTCTCTTCGATCTCATCCTCACCGGTGAGGAAAACAAGAATGTCACCGGCATCTTCGTCTTGGTGGATCGACAGCACCGTTCTGACGGCTGCATCGAGATAGTCACGCTCTGGCTCCTGTGTGTAGTAGATCTCCACCGGATGAAGACGACCCGGCACCTTCATCAATGGCGCATCGTTAAAGTACTTTTGGAATTTGCCAGCGTCAAGAGTCGCAGACATAACCACCAGCTTGAGATCCTTACGCTTCTGTAGTACACCCTTGATCAGTCCAAACAGAATATCGGTGGACAGTGTACGTTCGTGTGCTTCGTCCAGTATGATTACACTATATTTCTTGAGGAGTGGATCTGCCATCGATTCACGAAGGAGCATACCGTCAGTCATATATTTCATAAAGGTCTTCTCCGATGTCAACTCCTCGAAACGAATCGAATAACCGACTTCCTCTCCCAGAACGACATCCATCTCCTCTGACACTCTCTTTGCAACAGAGAGCGCAGCAACTCTTCTCGGTTGTGTAACACCAACCATTGTTCCTTTTTCAACAAATCCAGCTTCAAATACAAATTGTGGAATCTATTATATTAAAATAAAAAGTTAGTTGATTTGCACACTTTTTTTTAAATTTCTTAAAAATAAAAGATAATAATAAGTTACATACCTGAGTTGTTTTACCGGAACCAGTCTCACCAACCAATACTAAAACTTGTGAGCTCTTTAGTTTATTTATGAATTCCGAACGTTGCTCCCAAACTGGAAGTAATTTTCTCTTTTCGAGAATGTCATAATAACGTTTTGAATATTTCTTGCCTGTACACTTATTGATTCCATCATCATTATCATAAATCTCTGTTTTTATACTATCATTATTATTATTATTTGTTGTTGTAGTTGTAGTTGATTCTTCTACAGAGTTATCTATATCGTCATGTGATTTCTTCATTTTCTTTTTTGAATCTTTATCTTTCTGTTGTTTGTTGTTGTTGGACTTTTCAGTAAAATCCTCTGAAGATTCTCTTTTTTTACTCATTTATAAATGATTTTGAAGAATAGTGATTAATCGATTTTAATCAATTTAATACAAAAATAAACTAGAATCGTCGTTTTTTTCTCCCTAGTTGTGAAAAAATGAAAAATTAAAATTTAATTTTTTTAAAATCATTTTTGTTTTGTTGAATTTTTAAAAAACAAACAAATTTAATTATCTTTTTTTTATCTGTACAGATAAACAACCTCATATATAAATATTACATAATAATATATTTGTTTTTTTATTTTTATATTGTTGAAATTTTATAAAACCAAATTTTGATAATTTATTTTATTTATTACAATATTACTTAAAATATTATTATTTTAAAATTTTTATTTGTTGTTGGAATTTGAAGATTGAAGATTGAACATCATTGAATGTGACATAAATGATGAGTATTCCTCCCATTTCGATTTCATGTTATTATGCCAATTTACATATTTTGATATATTTTGGAAAAGGATTTGGTTGTTTGAAAACAATCTCTCTTTATCCAACTGAAGTTGAACGATTTGTTGTTGTTGTTGCTCTGCCAACTTGGTAAGATGTTCAATTCTCTTACTGTCACTATCCATTTCCTTTAGTTTGCCACCCAGTTGATCGGAAAACTCTTTACATGAATCAATCTGGTGTTGTCTTTGTTGCTTATTACTCTTTGGTACCAAAACTGTTTTATTAGGTTGTTGTGTTGTTTGTGGAACTGGTTGTTGCTGTGTTGGTTGTGGAGCTGGTTGTGGAACTTGTTGTTGTTGTTGTGGAGCTTGTTGTTGCTGCTGCATATGAGATGATTGTTGTAATATTGACATTGGTATTGGAAGTGGTTGTGGCAGTGGTGTTATTGTTTGTTGTTGTGGTAATGGTAATGGATATGGTTGTTGTGTTTGTGGTGGTGGTATTTGTGGTTGTTGCACATTTGGAACAAAAGGAGCAGCATTAACATTAAGTTGACCTGAAGATGATGCCATTGCACTTTTAACCGGGAATGGATTGTTACTATTATTATTATTATTATTATTGTTGTTATTGTTTGTTTGGTTATTTTGTTGTTTAAATATTGACTTCATCTTTCCATCGAATTCATTTCTGTTGTTGATAATTGATTGTATCTCTGGTGAGTTGTATTTCTTTATAAGTTTGACATCGCCTGGTGATTGAATGATCTTGTCGGTCTCAACCAAGATTGATCGTAGTTGTTGTGAGTGATCTGTGTGTGTCTCTGCTGAGATGTCTGCTGTTAGAGTGGTACGATGAAGTTCTATGATCTTATCGATTGAATCGGAAGAGTCGATGGATCTCATGGAAATGGGTATACCAACAATAAAGTTCAACAGAGACTGTGCCTTGCCCACCAGTAACAAAAGCATCCTTGACATCACATGTATATTGGAAAGATTGAACTTCTTGTGAGTCTTACCTGCCAAGTATTGATCTTCGGTGATCGATTGGTATGATTTGATAATAGTATCAATTTTACTCATGCTACTTGACAATTGTAACAATTTACCATTGTTTAACATCTCATTAAATAGTTTACCTTCATCATCTAATAATAATAAAAGATAGAAAAGTTAGTTAGACGAAAAAAAAGGATTAAAATGATATTATGTTATAATATACATACTCTTGGGTGTAGATTCAAATATAACATTGGAGAATAATGATAGTCTAACAACTGCCATTAGTAAAAGTGAAGCATCTGATTGTGGAGAATGACTTAGTATAGTTTTGCAATTGAGGATTGATACACCCGTGAGTGCATCACGTAGCTTTACATGCAATGAAACTTTAGATGGAAATAGCTTCTTCCATTTAGTTGATTGTCCAACGTTTTGGTTACTAGTACTACTACTACTAGTTGTGCCACTACTTGCGTTTAGATTCAATTTAATGGGTGGTAGATTAGATGCTTGTCCATCGATGTTGGTGGAATATCTCTGTTGGTATGGACTCTTAAAGGCTGAACCAGGTGTAGGTGGAGCTTTTCTCTTGTCACCCAAATCATGGTGATACTTGGTTGGTGTCACCGTATTGTATCGATATGTATTGTTTGTGGTAGTAGTTGTAGTTGTTGATGTAGTTGTTATCAATGGATTACTTCCATCATGAATTAATTCAATTGTATTTGTATTGTAATGATTATTATTATTATTAATATTTTGATTATTTTGATTATTATAATAGTTATTAACATTTACACCTAATGATGTTAGCGACATCATTTGTGCACGTAGTTCAGGATCGTCAATATCAGAGAATGCGTTCAATTCATCTTGCTTCTTTCTGCGCTTTTCGAATTTGGTTGGTGTGATATAGGGAGCTGGTGCACCTCCAGTGATTTTGTCAAACATTTCGTTTAGTTTCTGTTCTCGAAGATATCGCTGGCGATTGTTACGTAACTTTACTTGCTCATGGAGATCTTTGAATTTGTTTGGGTCAAAGAGATCGTCTGGTATAAAATTGACTGGATCTGGATCACAATCCTCTGGATCAGATCCTTCCTCATTCAAATCTACATCTTTACTCTTCTTGGCTTGTCCTGAAGTCTCTGGTTCTTCTTCTTCCTCTTCCTCCTCCTCCTCCTCTTCCTCGACGACAAGAACCTGATTAGTCTCCAAGTCATCGTCGATGAACTGTTGTTGCTCTCCAATATCCTTCAATTCTAACTCTGATTGTTGGCAGTTGTCATTGCTAATGTTACTGGCGTTACTCTCTACTTCATCTATTGGTATTGATTCTGTTAAACTGATATTTAAGTTGTGTGTTGGCTGTGGTGGTGGTGGTTGGATTATCTCTAATTTGTTTAGAAGATTTACAACATCATCAGTTGGTACTCTTTTCAACTCTGTCACTTGAGAGTTGGAGTCTGTAAAATGTTCAACTGGTTGAATATTTCTATCAATCTTTGGAGTGAGTTGAATGTGTTGTTGCTCCAATTCTTTGGCATTGTCATCACATAAATCGATAACGCCATTATTAAGATTCATATTTTCATCCAAAATACTATCAACAACTGTTTTTGCAGGTCTTCTCCTTGATATCGGTTTAAATGACATAATTACAATTAAAACAAATATTCTATTATTATTATTATTATCATAGGTTAATTATTTAAAAAATTCTTTCATCCCTGATACACCATATTAAATATTCCATTAACAATTTAGTTTTGGCGCCAAAACTCCACCACAAAAAATTTAAATAGCTATTTCCAATAATTTATAATCCCACCTTGAATTATTTACATAACCCATCATTATTATGTGATGTATTTGCAGGTGACATTAATAGATCTGTATTAATTACTAATTAGTAAAACTTATTATTATTTTTGTTAAAAAAAATGTTAAATTAAATTTTATTTTATAAGGGATAATCACTTTTTACCTTACTTAGGTAGAAGTTAATACGAGTCCAATGGTTACGATTATACAGGAATATAATTTTTCTTTGATTCTTTTGACATCTCTGCCAAAGTTGAAGAATTTCTTTAGTATGATCGCCAGAATTAAGTTGAAGAGTTGGTTGAGTGCTCCTTCGGTGGCACTCACTACACCACTGTTGTAATAGAGGTGGTACGATATCGAAACAAAAAAGTAGCCAGACAGTGAAAAGAGTTCACCAAGTGCAGAGAGTAATATAAATTTTCTTTTGATGTGTAGGAGACTGAAGGCAGCGCGACGGTAGCGCGGCACAAACAGCACGAGCGTTAGGAATGTAAATGAATTGCCATAGATCGATATAATGAGGAAGGAAAGCGATGTCATTCCACCGTTGGCATTGGTGCAAAACGATACGAAAACATAGTATATCGCAATGAGTAGATCGGAGAGCAGCACCTGTGTGACGGCACGCTGTCGCCAGAACGATTTCGAGAATTGCGACCATTCACCTTCGATCGCAGGGTAGAATCCACCGATGAAAATCAAGAGGAATGCCAACAGATGTATTGGCGAGATGATCTTGTTGAAGCTGGACAGTGTCGGGTAGTAGTTGCTGAGAATAGAGAGCACGATGCTGAGCGGCAGCACAAACACAGAATTTAACTGGATGAGTGGCACGATAACAGTGCTCGACGACGACTCGAACGCCTTGAGCAAGTAGATGAGTGAGAACGCCTGGAAGATTCCACTGATAAGACACGACCAATAGACCGTGGAACTAGCTATCATTGTGATTCCGTCGTTCAAACGCTGCTGGTGATCGATGTTCATGAAAGCAAACACCTGGTCACTGCCGTAGTAGTAGTGCATGAGCACACCAATCATAAACATGACGATGCCTGAGAGCAGTGCATCTTGCTCGCCAGTCAACTTTATTTCGCTCTCTGCAACCTCTGTGGCACCGTCTTTCTCTAGCTTTGCTCTGGCGTCGCCCTGTTGGTCCGATAGCAAATCGAGTGCTATCTCTGGATCGTCAAGTGCTGCTGTCTTCTTGTTGGAGCCAGACGTTGGACCAGCATGTGATTCACCAATAACACCATCAGAGATGACATCTGCCGCTGCCCAAAGAACTGCACCAACTATCAATGGAAGTATCCACAATAACTCCATATCATATGTTAGTTATAAAGTTGTTTTGATTGAAACAACTTGTTTTTTCTTAGTACTAAAGATTATTTTTATTAAATAAATAAACTATGATTAAATTTAAAATTTAAACAATAACATTTAAAATATAAAATAATTCAATATTAATTTATCAACATGAAAAAAAAAATCTTGGTTCAATACAGGTCAAAAAATATTAAAAGTTGCAACCTTGTCAAAAAAAATTTTAGTTCAAGTCGACTCAAAAACATTACTAATTATTTTTATTTATTGTGCTGTGACACAGTAATAGTTATTAGTAGCAGTTTATAGTGTGTTGGTTACTATTACTTTTATTTTAGAGTATCCATGTTTTGTTTCGCTAGCACTGACACCACTCGAAACAAAAAAAGAAGCTCCAACACTCTGTACCACTAGGACCCAATATATAGTTCGAATCGTTCTAACAATGAAAAAGGTATTATTCCCATTTTATTCAACTTAGACTTCTCATTAATTAGCTGCCATTCAAGAATTGGTGATGGCCATCGAGAAAATGTAAAATATTATTAAATAAATTGTATTTTTTTATTTTATTTTTTAAAAAAAAAAAAAAAACAAAAAAAACAGAATTGAGGAAGCAAATTTTCTTTCTCGCATCATCAAAAAGACAGCTTAGCCAAGTGGTTACGGCGACAGACTTGAAATCTGTTCCCTTCGGGGGCGCAGGTTCGAACCCTGCAGTTGTCGAAAATTATTACAACCAATCACCCATAAAGCGCGCAGTTTGAAACATTCAAGGAAAGAAACACAACAATCTACGAAAGAGTTAGAACAACGGTCTCATTCCTGTCCGGTGCAGCGGCAAGCTGTTATTTGTAAATGCACCGTGCGTCAATCATTGAGTCACTGAGGATTCTCCCGTTTCTTCAACACACCAAGAGACCAAGATCCAGACCCGGAACAAATGGATGTCAACACCGTTCCTTACTCAAAACCAAGACCAGGACTCTGCCTGTACTGCCGTAAGTCTACTCAATATAGAATAGCTGACTGCTCTCTGAAAAAGAATAGAGACATAACTTTTAAATGAAACTGTCCCGCACCAATAGGGACTTCAACTGCAATCACCTCACCATAACAACCTTATCAAACTTTAATAACTTGAAGCAATATATGTATAACAATGATATCTTTATTTATCTTTTATTATAAAACGTGATTTAAGAAAAGTGTTGGAATCGATATTAAACCATACTCAAAAAACATTCGAAGGTTGTCAATGGTGAGGTGATTGTAGTTGAAGTCCTAGTTGATCAATAGTTTTATTCTTTATAACCTTGTAAATACTCATTTATAATGTCCTTTTATAATTTAATATAAAATAAATTTATTGGTTTTTTAATTTGTATTCATTTAACTCTTTAACTGTATATTGCTTTGTAAAGTCAACTTTGATTCCATTGCAATATAAACTACCCAATGATTCAAGGAATGATATTCTTTCATCTTTTCCAACCTGGAGTGGAGATATTATCGATTCGAACTGATCAATGCATGCCTTGATTTGTTTTGAGTAGACAGGACGTGGTGCTATCTCCAAGAAAACATGATCATCGAAACTGTCTTTTATATCTCGATGAAGAGAGTTTAGTGCTTGTTCAAATTTCACAGGTCTTCTAAGATTGTCATAAACATATTTAGCAGTGAAGCGATCCTTATACACATCACCAGTCACTGTTGAATACCATTGGATCTTTGGTGGTTGAGCGTCGTCCATCGGTGACAATGACGAGAGTACTTTTGGTTTCAATGCCTTTTGCTTTCTGGAATGAAATGAACCTGGTAATAGCGAGTCGATCGATCCAATATGTTCTTGTTCCAATAGTAATTTAAGTTGATCTATCACCTCGGGATCACCTGATACAAAGAATAGGCTCGGTGCATTATAACATATGATTTCAACAGTTGGAAATCTCTCTGTGTATTTCTCTACGAATAGTTGATGACTCATTCTGACCAACATCATTTTACCAACACTATCGTCATTACTCTTGATAATTGATCGATGATATATTATTTTCACTGATGTTTCAAGTGAAATACAACCTGCAACATAAGCAGCAGTAATTTCACCAAAGCTATAATTATGAAACACACAACTAAAGTTAGTATTATTCTATTTTATAGTTTACAATTGTAAGTGTTAAATCGAACATAAGCAACATACCTTTGAGCAAGTGTAATATCAGCCTCAATACCATAATGACGATAAAGTTCTATTATACCAATGTGAAACATAAGCAATGCTGGTTGTGCAATTGATTGATCATTAAAGATCTCTTTTCTATCTGAAGGTATATGCTTTATCTTTTCAAAAATACTGAATCCAATGAAACGATTGAACGTGTTATCGATTTTGTCCACAATTTGTTTATAGGTAGGTTCAGATTTGTACAACTGATTGCCCATTTCACTAGTCTGATATCCTTGACCACTAATAACCATAATCACTTTCATATTCTTTGTTCTTGTATTTGAATCGGTGGCTATTACAGATTTTGTTGACAGTTTTTGAAGAAAATCATCCCAATCACATGCTACAATTGCTTTCCTAATTGTACTAGATCTGCTTAGATCCAACAATGATTGTCCAATTGCAAAGTCTTTGAATGATTCATATCGGTTGCTAAACTCGATGAAAGACTCTTCTCCAATCTCTGAATCTATTGGAATTAAAAAATATTTACTAAAAAGAGCATGCTTGTATTAATATATATTTAGTTTAAAAAATAATTCACAACACAATAGTCTTTTACTTTACTTTTCTGAAATCATTCAATTCTATTTTAATAAACTGTTAAAAAATATCAAACAATGCTATTTATCATTACATCTTCTACTCATTTTACTTATAAACTCATACTTTCTTGTGTTTTACTCAATTTTTTTTTTTTTTAAAACGAACGAAAAGCTTATACCAATTTTGTAAAATTTAAAAGAATTTTTAAATATCTTTTTTTATTATTAACACATCATTAAAGTCTACATTTTGTTTATATTATTAACGGTTATGATTCGTTACCAAGTGTGAATTTTCATAATAACATTAAAAAGAGACATCTATTAAATTATTGATTGACTCTTCAAAAATATCTAATATATCAGTGATATTTCCATGTGATTCGGATTGTTCAATCTTTTCCTTGTTGACGTTGGATGATGACGATGTAGACGAGGTTGTTGGTGAAGGACTACTTTGTTGTGCTTTTTGTTGTAGCTTTGAGAGTTCACTCAACATTGATTTCTGAATGTTCTTGAGGAACGGTGAAATTTCGTATTCCAGTGGGAATTTGAATTGGGCGGGTTGACTTGGGTAGGCATCTGGCACCTCCACGATCAGAGTTACCGGTGGTCTATTGGACTCCTCATTGAAAGTAAAATGAAGTCTGAGAGTAGAATCTTTTTCGTCGAGTATCGTCTCGATCGTGTAGAGATTGCGTTGAACTGCAGACTGAATTTCCTGTTTGATACGATCGCCACGCACCAACGATCGCTTGTAGTAAGAGAGAATCGAGTCGGCATTCTCCCACTGCCAATTACAGAGTGGTTGTACCAAATAGAGTTCTGCATCCGTTGAGATCTGAATGGATGGAGTATTTTGAATGAAAAGCGGTGGATTCGATTTAGATCCTTTCCACAGTGATGATACTTCAGAACTCTGGAAATGAATATATAAATTCTGTGAATGATTACTATATAATTCAGAAACAACAATTGTCTAAACAAAAAGGTTTCAGATATAAATATATTTAGTTAGTTTCCAATATTAGTATAAAAAGAATATAGTTTCTTACATCATTATCTATTAATACAGCAGGTAATAGTGTATTATCTAATTTTGATTTCTTAATTAAATCATTCTTTAGTTCATTGATAAATAACTTTTTCTTTTCGTGTGGATCGTTGGAGGTTCTTTGCTTTTTGTAAAGTTCAGAATCTGCCAGTTCCTTTAAATATGATTTACGCTTTGGTGTGATATCTCTGCTAGGTGGTGCGTCTGTGAATGGATTATGAAGAATTGGATTCTTGAACCATAGTATATGAGTTCTCGATGTAACTCCACCGGCCCTATCCAAATAGGAATTGGAAATGAATCTCTTTGATCGTTCAAAAGTTGAGAGAATATCCTTTTCAATGGACAACAATGTATCGTTTGATGTTCCATTAAGTGAATTAATAAAGGTTTTCATATGTTGTTCTTCATTTTGTAAATTCTATTATAACAATAAAATGATTGATTATTAATTAATTAATTACTATTTTAAAAGCTATTTAAAAACAACTTACATGATAGATGGTTGTCAACATTTTCTCACCATTTTCAAGATCTTCATATTTAATAAGAGGTGTTTCATTGGTTTGCTTGACTAGGTTGATGAGATCGAGAAGTCGCTTCTTGTTGTTTGCCATCTGTGGATTGGATGAGTCGACGTTTTGTATGATGGGTTCGACAGTTGGGATGATTGACTTGAGCTTCTTGATGGAGTCCCAATATTTCTGATCGGGCATTGTTGGTTTGCTTGGAAGGTGTGGTGATGGTTGTTGGTTTTGTTGGTGTTGTGGATGTACTTGAGGTGGTGGTGGTGGTGGTGTATTGGCACTGAATTTCGCTGACGATGCTACTAATGGCGATGGTGCACCCGGTTGGAATGGGTTAGGTGGAGGTTGGTTTCCTCTGTTGAGAGCGGGTGGCTGTACTGCAGCACCTCCGATTACTCCTGCATTCGGAATGGTATTGTTTGGTTGTGTCGCTTGTTGTTTGGCGGCGATCTTTCCAGTGGGAAGAGGTGGCATGTTAGCAGAAGGAAGTGGTTGTTGTTGTGGGTGTTGTTGCATGTTCATTGTTGATTGTTGGTTCGGTTGGGTTTGTAATTGCTGTTGTGGTTGTTGATTTGGATGTTGTTGTTGTTGTTGTTGCTGCTGTTGTTGTCCTTGTGCTTGTGCCTGGGCATGGGCTTGTTGTTGTGCAATAATCTGTTGTTTAGCGGTCTGATGAATCTGTATATATATTCCCTGCATTTCCGATTTAAGTTGTTCTGATTCGCTTTGGAACGCAGGGTTCTTGTCAATCTCGTTGTTTCTCATACTCTTTTGCTGGTAGAGTGCAAGAAGTTGTTGAAGTTGTGGATTGGTCGTTGCAAGTTTATTTAGTATAGCTATTGAAATTTGTTGTTGTTGTGGTTGTGGTTGTGTATGTGGTTGTCCTTGTTGTCCTGGTTGTTGTAAGTTCATCATTGGTGACTGACCTGGTTGTGTCATTACTCTTTGTTGCTGTTGTGGTTGTTGTTGTTGTTGCTGTTGAGACTGACCTGCAGGACCATTAAAAAGATGTGGACTTTGTGTGGTCACAGTTGCTGCTCCAGCATTTCCAACAGGTACATGTTGCTGTTGCTGCTGCTGCTGCTGCTGCTGCTGCTGTTGTTGTTGTTGCTGTTGTTGTTGTTGTTGCTGTGGATTAAAATTGGTATTTTGTATTTGTTGTTGAGGTAGCATATTTTGGTTGTATTGATTTTGAAAATTAGAATTTACAGGATGATGTTGCATTTGGGGTTGTTGTTTTAAATTTGGTGGATGAGGTTGTTGTTGCTGTTGTTGTATATTCATATGTCCATTTGGTTGCTGTTGTGGTTGTTGTTGTTGTTGTTGTTGCATTGGTTGTTGTTGCATATTCATATGTCCATTTGGTTGCTGTTGTGTTTGAAACTGTTGTTGTTGCATTGGTTGTTGTTGCTGTTGCATAGGTTGTTGTTGCTGCTGCATAGGTTGTTGTTGTTGTTGTTGTTGTTGTTGTTGTATAGGCTGCTGCTGCATAGGTTGTTGCTGTTGTTGCTGCATTGGCTGTTGCTGTTGCATAGGTTGCTGTTGTTGTAAAGTCTGTTGTTGTTGCGGCTGTTGAGCTTGCATTGGTTGTGGTTGTTGCTGCTGTTGCTGTCTCTGCTTTCTGTTTTGTTTCAAGAGCCATCACCAGCTTGGCTATCGATTGAATATATTTCTCTTTCTAAACAATATTTATTGTACATCTTGATAGTTAGTCTAAAATGTAATTACTACCTGTCTAATAAAAACATATATATATATAATTACAGAATCATGTTTCATATCAAAAATCTTTTTCTCTAGATTGTTAGCTCTTTCAAATAGATTTCCATCATCTTTTTCATGCTTTAACAAATGCATCCTATTTGTAACAATTCAAACATTAGTAAAACATTAGAATTGCTATATATATACTTATTAATACTATTATTATACATACAATCTCTGCACCAACTCTTGACGCTCAAAATCTTTAATAGTTACTCTCCAATCCTCCATCCTTTATATAAATAAAAATAGTGATAATAATTTTCATTAATCCACCACTTAAGTTTTTAATTTATTTTTTTGAAAACACCAAACAAAAATAAATAAAATTTTATACAATTTTTTTTTGTCGTCATTTTTCTCTTCAAAAATCTTTAAATTGTTAAAAAATAGATCAGATTTGATAATCAACCGATCAAATATAGAATAGAATATAGATAACATAAGAGAATGAGTAGTAGTAATAATAATGATTTTGATGATTTCTATGGTGATGACGATCATGATATAAATATGTTTAGTAATGATGCCATAAGATCTCAAAATAATATATTTCCTGTAAGTTTGTCTTATATATCTTTATAATTGAATAAATAGAATTTTTTTTATTAATAAACTATTTATTATTTATTTATTTATTTAAATTTATAGATTGGATATCAAGATGGTCTTGAAGATGGAAAGAATCAAACATTACAACGTGGATTTAATGAAGGTTTGAAAGAATCGTCAGAGATTGCCTACAAGTGGTCATTGCTCATCGGTGCCATCAGCTCCCTCGATGTGTTCTATCATCATAACAAATCAATGGTCAGTGAAGAGCAATCGAAACTCATCACATCGTTGGAGGATATGCAATCAAGACTCAAAGCAATATTGAACCTACATTGCTCACCACCTACCATAGATATGTTAAAAGTGAAATTCAACAACTATAGTCATACTGATACAACTGAATCAGATCTATCGGCACACCTATCAAAGGCAACCATTACAAGCAACAAAGTAGATTCCTGTTGTAAGAGTAGTAGTAGTAGTAGTTGTTGTGAAGATGGTGATGATAGTGGTTGTTGTGGTGGAAGTAACAACAAACAATCATCGAATTGTAAATCACAACAACAACAAGAAGCAGAAGAAGAATCATGTAATAGCGATGTTGATGGCGACAATAGTGGTTGTTGTGGTGGTCGTGGAGATGACGGTGGTTGTTGTAAGAAATCGGAGGAAGAGGAATCAACAACAACAACAATAAAGACAACAACATTGACATCAACATCTGCACCAATCATCCACATTGAAGAGGATAAAGAGTTGTTTAATAAGCTATGTGGAGAATGCAAAGAGATATTCAATCGATTTGGATTGGATGGTAATGCCATCATCTCCAGCTGCGTAGAGAAACAGTTTAGAGTTATCAATACCCAAAATTAACCCGAACGTTCTAAAAGTAGTTGTAGTAACAACAGTAGTAGTAGTAGTATCAACAACATCGATACCAATCATCTACATCCAAAAGACGATCGTTGGTCATGAAACACCACCACCGGTGGTGGTGCACTCCTATGAAAAGCAACAAACTATCAGTAACGTAAAAGAACTGCTAGCATTGTCAATCTTAGAAATGGTCATGATTCTCACCTATCTATATGATCCACCGTAAACATTTAAAGATGTTCGTTCCTTAACAATTCTTAACAAATCTTATCAATAATTTAAAAATAATCAAACAAACAATAAATAAACAAATAATTTTGCAAACAACAAGTCGACGACGAAAAAAATGATCTCTTCATTTTTTTATTTTATTTTTTGAACATTATCTTTTTTTATTTTTTAATATTAATTACATTGTTAGTTATTCTTATTTAACAGAATAATAGATAGATTGATCGATAATGTCAGCACAAGTACAAGCACAAGTTCAAGCTATACAAGAACAAATCATTAAAGCAAGAGAAGAGTTTCAAACTCATGAAAAAGGTATATATATATATATGTTCATAGGAGAATACATTATGTATTATTTCGTTATAGTTTGAGAAGAGTATTAACATATTATCTATTATTGTTGTTGTTATTTATTATTATTATTATTATTATTATTATTAAAACAATAGAATTACAAAAGATAGCACAAGCTAGAACAACATTATTGACACAACAAAATGAGAATGAACTTGTAAAGAAAGAATTTGATTTGTTGGATAGTGAAGCTAATATCTACAAGTTGATAGGTCCTGTATTATTTAAACAATCAAAAACAGAAGCTGAAACAACTATTGCTGCTCGTTTAGATCTAATTACAAAGAATTTGTATGTCTTCTTTAGATTTGCTTTTTAAAAAGGTAATCTAACCACTAACCAATCAATTAATCAATTAAAACAACAGGAAACAAGTAGAAACAAACTATAAAGATACAGAAAAGAAAGCACTTGATCAAAGAAATAAGGTTTGATATAGATATTTTATATTATTAAAATTAAGATTACTAGAATCAATGATTATTAACTATAATAATTACTATTATACCTTTTCATTCAGATTTTTGAATTACAAAACAAGATAAAGACAATTGCTGCTCAAGTTCAACAACAACAACAACAACAGCAACAACAACAACAACAACAATAATAATAATAATATAATAATAAAATAAAACATATAAAGATAAATAATTTAATGTTTGGGTTTGTCGGTAGGTTAGGTCATTCATTTTATTTAAATGTTTTGTTCGATTAGGTTCGGTTTGTTTGTTTTAAAAGAATTGAATAGGTGTAGTATTACTACTATCACTACTATTATTATTACAATTGTTATTATTATTATTATTACTATCAATATCACTATTATTAGTGTTTAAAAGATTATATAATTCAAATATAGATTTACAAATAATAGGTTCATATTGTTTGAAGCATCCATTGATATCAAAGAATTGTCCAGTTGTTTTGTCTAGAATATCATAGTTTATAACGAGTTGTGGCTGTATATCTAATATCTTCATTAGCAGTGAGTCTACCAACACTGGTTTCAAATGGGATGCAGCACTTGCTCCTCCACTAAAACCATATGATATTAATACTATAATAGTAAGAAAGAAAATAAGATGAATGTTAGATTATTTTCGTATAAAAATACGTTGACCGATTGATCGATTGAATACATACCTGCAGGTTTACCATTCCATTCTTGACGTACATGATCTAAACAATTTTTGATTGATGGAGGATAACCATAGTTATACTCTGGTGTAATGAAAATAAAACCGGATTTCTCTGCAACCTCTCGACTCCATCGACTGGTAGTCGCTTCATTGATTTTCGTGGTATTGCTATGAGCAGTGCTGGCGGTAAATTCAAACATTGGCGTTGGAGCACTTGTATTCCATGTCTTCAAATCGATCACGCTATACTCTATAAAATCTGATTTCGGCACAGTCCTAAGAATCCATTCGGTAATTGAATTTCCAATTCTGGTGTCTCTGGCACCTGATACAATCACACCAATCTTATGTTTACTTTGTGTTGTAACAACATCCATAAATATATATATATTATATTAAATAAAATAAACTTTTTTATAAAAAAATAAAAATAAAATAAAATAAATAAATAAATAATAAATAATAATTAAAGAATGTAACAATAGTAATCTAACTACTATGATGATAGTTTAGATTTAAATTCAATGTATCTTTTTGTAAAAAGAAATTTTCACGATGCTAAAAATAACTAAAATATTATTTCTATTTTGTTTGATATGTTTAACTTATGATTGAGGATCTTGTGTTGTTGTTTTATAATTAAATTATTATATTATATTCTATTATATTAATTAAGTGAATTATTTTTAGTGTGAAGAAGTCCTCTGATTGATCTGTGGTTGTATGAAATGTGTGTATTGTGTTTGAGGGTAAGTCTATGTATTGTTTTTTTTTTAGTGTTTTGAATTATGTTTGTGGAAAAAGAGGAGGATGGGTATATGAAACCTCAAACTTAAGTATTATTACAATGACACAGATAGATATATATAAAAAAGTCAAATTTTGTTCCACCTGCACCTCAATCCAGGTGTAATTTAAATTGAAAGAAATTAATGAGATGTGGCTCTCAAACTGAAAAAAAAAACGGCACATATTTTTTTCAAAAATTTACAAAAAAACCATGGTTTTATACCCACTATTTAAAGGGTGACGAACTTTCCCTCTTTTTAAATTTATTGTTTTTGTAATTTTTTTTATTTAGATCTGTAGATTTCACCAAAAAGCGACTTGTGACAATAGATTCTTTTTCCCAAAATGGACATACAACGGTAGATCAATTTTTTTTTTCTAAAATAAATCAAAAACTTTCGATTTTGTATGGAACGCTTCTTCTTTTGTTTGTTTTTCACAAGACATCTAAATTTGTTAATAGCAATAATCGGCAGTTTCAAAGCTTTACTAAATTGTTAAAGGATAGCTTATAATGCAATCAAATCAAAGTTTGTTTTATTTTTTTTTTGATGATTTGATTTAAATCGAAAAAATCTAGCCTTGTCTTTCCTCCAAATAAAGCTTAATAAAATTTCAGTTGAAGAATAATGATAATTGCTTTATTAGCTTAGCTTTGCTTACTTTTAAAACTGCAGTTGAATGACAGTGTTGGTTGGTCGATTGATTTTATTGGATGAATCGAATAGAATAATGATGATGATGATGATGATGATAAGATTTTACATGTTGTCGACGTGAATTGATTTTTCCAATTGAGTGTATTGTTCATAGAATCTTTGGAGCAAGGTGGTACTGTATGTGATATCGGCAACACCACATGTTTCTCTGATGCTGTGCATACTGAGTTGTGGATTACCAATGTCGACAGTCTTGATACCGTAGCTACCAGAGATGATTGGACCGATGGTGCTACCGCATGCCGAGTCGTTCTTGACAAGGAACTCTTGCACTGGAACACCGTTACGCTTGGCGAGCTCGAGAATGTAAAAGGCAGAGGTGCTGTCTGTTGCGTAGCGCAGGTTGGCGTTGTACTTGATGACTGGACCCTTGTTCATCTGTGGACGATGGAGTGGTTCGTGCATGTCGGCGTAGTTTGGATGGACGGCATGAGCCATGTCCGCAGAGATCAAGAATGACTTTCTCATGGAGATGTCAGAGAGCACTGTCAGGTTGTCGGATGGCGAGGCAAAACATTGGTTGATACGGTCGACAGTGTCAACAATCAATGGAGCACAGGCACCCTGTGGCGATGTAGATCCAACCTCTTCATTGTCAAAGAGCACTGCAGAAAGAACAGATTCCTCGTTCTTGAGATGCTCATCAGAGATATTCAAGAGCGCTTCGATCGAGCAGTACGACATACAGAGATTGTCGAGACGTGGCGAGTGGATATACTCTGAGAGAGCACCACCGATGGTTCCTGGCTGAGTGTCACATACGGACAAGTCGAAATTAACGATATCACCGACGGCACAGTGTAACTCCTTCGAGAGAATGTCAAGCAAGAGTGGGTGGTGTTTGGTGTTGTCGACGTTCTCGTCCAATCCAACGAGTTTAGAGTTGAGTTGACTGGCGATTATTGGTACGAGGTGACGTTGAGTGTTCATCTTGAAACCGTCGGTGTTGACCGAACGATCTAAATGGATGGCCAACGATGGGATACGGAGGAGAGCACGCTTGATGTGAACCAACTTGGATTCATAGTTGTTCTCACCGACCTTGACAATGACACGACCAGCCAAAGTCAAATCACGATCGAACCAAGTATACCAAAGTCCACCACCATAGGTTTCACAACCAACCTGTAAATATCCAACGGATTCAACCTTGGAAATTGGTCTTACTTTCAAATTTGGACTGTCAGTATGAGCAGCTGTAATTGCAAATCCATTACCAGCAACCTTATTATTTAATTATTATTGATTAGTTTAATAATAAAACTAAATTGATTTATCTTTATTATCAATAATTCATACACAAATTTCACTCTCACTCTCACTCTTTCTCCCTTTTTTGATCTATTCAGTTTAGTTTACTTACAAAACGACCACCAACACAGAATGCGGATAAACAAGATTGATTACGAATGAAAAAGTATTTTCCATTGGGTTTCAGATCCCATTTTGTCTTTTCAGAGAGTTGTACATAACCCTTTTGCTTCAAGACGTCGGCAAGCACCGCAACAGCGTGGTAAGGTGATGGTGAGTTATCAATAAAGTTAATGAATTTGTTGGCGTGTGGAATGAATGGATCCATTTTCTTATATAATTGTTCTAGTGTTACTGTTGTTGTTGTAGTAGTAGTTGTTGTTTTAGATTGTTCTGATGATAATTTAATTTGACTATTAGTACTCGTAAAGTAATGATTTCGATTAGATCTGACTAAACTACTGCTATTACTGCTATTGATACCAATAAATAATCTAGTATTTATTGATTTACTAATGAATGAAGTTGGTTTTGATAAAAAAGAAGAATAGATAGAATTACAAAGTATTCTCTTACTACTATTGAACATCTATATCAAAAAAAAAAAAAATGAAATAATTAAAGTTTTTTAAACTGATTATTAATTCGGTGATCAGTGAATGGTTTGTGTTTTCGAAAAACAAAAAAGTGGGGTGAAATTTGATGATCAAAATAATGTTAATATCATTAATATTATTATTATTTTAAATTAATTTTTATTATATTAATAACTGATAGATTCTGGTTTCTGTGATTGTTGTTTTTTATCACTATTCTCTTCATCATCATCATCTTCTTCTTCTTCTTGTTGTTGTTTTCTTTTAGTCTTTGAAACTTCTACAGCTTGCTTGATACGTTTAATATCAAACTTCTTGATTGCAGTGTTATCAAACTTTCTCTTTACTAAAACACTGTTGTCTTTGTCTTTATCTTCCTCTGATTCCGAATCACTATCGTTGTCTTTCTCTTTACTATTATTTACATTGTTTTTGGAGTTTACTTTTGTCTCTTTGGTGGACTTTGATTGCTTCTTGCTAGCAACTGCTGGTTCACCATCGGATGACTCTTCTTCACTGCTATCGACAACAGCTTTTTGTCGTTTATTCTTATTCTTTGAGTTGGAGTCTGAATCATCGTCGTCTGAACTATCTTGTTTCTTCTTTTTCTTCTTTTCGACAGTTTGTTTCTTTTTCTCCATCTGTTTCATCTTCTTTGAATTGACAACTCTCTTTACTCTAACAATTTCCTCATCTGAACTATCTTTACTATTCTTGCTAATCTCTTTTTCTTCTTCTTCTTCTTCTTCCTCCTCAGAGCTTTCTTTCTCTCTATTATTATTCTTTGTTGGTGGTGGTGGTGTCTTCTTAGTATTATTTTGTTTCGATGATTTCTTTTCCTTAACTTCTTTCTCTTCTTCTTCTTCTTCTTCTTCCTCTTCTTCACTTGAGCTATCTTTCTTCTTTTTCTTTATCTCTTTAGCTTGTTTCTTGTTGTTCCTCGATTTAGTTTCTTTAGTTTGCTTACTCTTATTGCTCTTAACTTCCAACTGTTTACTTTTCTTTTTATTCTTATTACTTATTACTGATCTTGTCACACGCTTGGGTTCCTCTTCACTTTCCTCATTATCTTCTTCTTTATTCTCTTCCTCTACATCATTACTAGCTGTTTCTTTTATATTAACAACCACATTATCTACATCCATTGCATCAGATTCATCCTCACTTGTGTTTGATTTCTTTGTTGACTTCTTCTCATTATTCTTACTATTAATATTTGATTTCTTTGATAACTCTTTTTCCTCTTGCTCCTCTTCCTCTTGTTCTTCTTCCTCTTGATCCTCCTTCTCTACTTCTTTTTCTTCTTCTTTTTCTTCTTCTTTTTCTTCTTCTTTGTCTTCCTCTTGTTCTTCTTCCTCTTTTTCTTCATCTACTTTATGTTTACTTCTATTTTGTTCCTTATCTAAAACCGATAGTTCTACTTTTTCGATTTGTTTGTGTAGGAACGATAGATATGAGTGATTATACAGTTTGCTCTCTGGAATGGTGAATTCACCTTTCTTTGACACCTCTAATTTGAAAAGTTTGAATAACTTCTTAACTGTCTTTGATGAACAATAATCTTTCTCGACAATCGATGTTTTGAAGGTATGCATTGTGAATTTGCCTTTGAGTTGTGAAGCTTCTCTCTCACGTAATGACATTGCACTTATCAGGTTATCCTTTACCCACATCAGTATTGCATCTCCATTCGATTTCTTTGTGATGATCTTGATGTACTTGGTGATACGCTTCTGATCTGCCTTCTCCTCTAGAGTGACAACCTTATCGCCAAGAGAAATCTCGTCGTCAGATGAATAGTTATCGACACCCTCCTCTTCTTCTTCTTTCTTCTTCTCTTCTTCTTCCTCATCGATCTTACTGGATCTCTTAATCATAGCATCATCCTCATCACTATCCAAATAAGTTTCATTCTTATCTTCTTCTGCTTGTCTCTGTTTCTTTGTCAGCCTAGACTTGGTAGGTATCTTGTCTTGCTGGTATTCACCACTGTCACCAAGAGGATCGGATTCAATGTCAGCAAGCTTATCATCCAAATCCATTGCGATAATGGAGTTGACAGACTTGGGTGTGAGTAGCTTGAGGTATAGTAGATTGCTGTTCTCTGCCTTCTTAAAGTATCGCTCTAGTATTTGACTGATGATCTCTAGCAGTTCGGTAGCATTCTTATCTCTGGAGATGATTGGATCATTCAAGAAACTATTGAACATATAGAATATCGATAATCTATAAAAACAACCTTCAAGTCCAATCGAAATGAATCGCTTCACCAGCGACACCAATTGGAAGTTGGTGGTCTGTGAATTTGAGATCCACTTGCCGAGCAGATTACACAGATTGTTGATAATGTCGGGATGAGCAAAGTCAGAGATGAAACTTTCGATACTCATTGATTTAGTAGCCAACTCTTGTTGTTTCTCATTGTCTCTCTCCAGTTCATCTTCATAGTCTTTGTCACTGTTGTCTTCATTGTCTTCATTGTTGTCTTTGTCACCAGCTTCACCTTCGTTGTCGTCATCATCACCATCCTCCTTATCAACATGAACTCTTGTAGCGGACATCTTTGATTTCTTCTTGATGGATATAGCATTGCTATCTTGCAACTTGCAGAATTGGTCGAGCATATGGATGGTGGTGTATGCCAAATTGGTGATGTCAAGCAACATGGCATTGGAATGGACTCTGGCATCGTAACGTCTCATGAGTTTAACAACACCGGAAAGGAACACCTCCCTATTGAAATAGATCTTCTGTTGCATCTTTCTTGACATGTTGACTATCTCCTGCTGGTCGGACGACGCCATGTACGAGAGGATCGAAACCATCGAGCAAAGCGTAGAAACAGTATTCTCCAGCGGAACATAATCAACCTTGCGTATATTGGTGTGTCCCATGTACAGCTCTATACATTCAAATATAAAATTGAATGTATTCAATGAGAGAGTAGATGCAACACATCCAAGTATAATATTATCCAGTGATGATTGACCATCACTTTCAGTTGTATTATTATTATTATTGTTGTTGTTATTGGCAATATCACGATTTCTACTTTGTAACATGGTCAAGGCGAATGATGTAAAGAAGTAGGTGAAAGATAAAAAGTTGAAACGATCCGACTCGAGAATCGATGATTCCGAACGAGAGAGTTCGTAGACAACGATCTCCATGAGCACATTGTAACAACCATCGAGGAATTGAGTTGCCCATTCACGGAGAATTCCTAGTAGATACTGTGAGGAGTGAGATTGAGGTCTGGAGGTCATTCCCTTCTTCTTTCCGTGTAGCAACGTTGTATTGGCATCGACACTCTTTGACAGATTCGATAGTGTCAGTGGTTGGCTGGTTAGCTGTCTTATCTCTGTGGCACCATCGGCAGATGGCAAAGCGTTATTATAGATTCTCGAGCCACCCGACACAGCACTGGCAATCTGAGTAAAAGTACCACGGAATCTCGAAGCAGAAGACGATCCTCTATTTGCATTATTCAACTTTTTCAAATTGTTTTCTTTCATTCTCAATTGTGCAAGTGGATCGACTGACTGTTGTTGTTGTTTCTTTTGTTGTTGTTGTAGTAGTTGTTGTTGAGATGTAGTGTCTTGAGTGATTTCAAGATCAATCGGTGCCAACCAAACATTCTGTGGATTCTCACGTCCAAGTATCTCTGAGAATATCTCCAATAGCAACAAAGAAAACAATGGATTTGAACTAAACAGCTTGTTTTCCTTCATTGTCTGTGATAATGTTAAGAATAACTCTAAGAATTTCTCTCTTTATAATATAAAATTATGAATAAGAATATGTTAATATTTGTTGAGTATTTAAACTATAACAAAACGACATACTTATAAAGTAATATAATGAATTCTTCTTGCATGAAGAATTGATGTTCTTTGGCATTGGAAGCATCTGGATCTGGTATCTTTACGATGTTTCTAATTAACGAGAGCACGAGTTCGATGAGTGCACAGTCAGTCTTTGATTGCGGTGAATTAGAACGTGACTCTGAGTAGAGTCGTCCAATTGGATCTCTAAGCAACGAGAGTAATAGAGCAATGAACTCCTTATTGATAAACGACTCTTTGAAATCACATAGAATCTCCTTTTGTTTTGCTATGTTCTGTGAATCCCTATTGATTGGAAGTGTAAACTTTACCATAATTTTCACTGATCAAGTTAATGTTGATTGATTGGTTAGACATGACATGTTAGCATTTTAGTTTGTTATTATTATTATTACTATCGGTATGGTACATCATAGTTACTACATACATATATTTATAATTAAAATAGTATCATCAGGATAATGTAAAGCAAGAGGTATCAACTTCTTTGATATGATACTCCAACTGCCGATTGTGATGAATACATCTCTATATTGCTCGTCATCTCTCTTTAGTTGACGAAACAGTTCACTTAGAGCAGCAAGACACTCTTCACCCTTAACAAACACCTTTTTCTTGTCGGAGTTTGTTTCGAATTGACCCAACTCCTCCACTATATTTATAAGATTTTGTTCATCCATAATGATCGAACACCTTATATATTATTATTACTATATAGTTTATTATGCAAAATTCAATATTCTATCTATTTCTTAATTTAATATAAAAACAATATAATAATAATAATTTAATATAACATTATTTATAAGATTAATAATAAACCTATATGCTATAAAATAATCCTTATAATATTATCTGCTCTGTTGTGAAAAGTTGATCGCGCGCCAAAATTTAAAAAAAAATAAATTCATTTGTTTTGATTTTTTAAAGACAGATCAACATTTCAAGATTAAGAATGACAATAACTTATATATAATTGGCTTTATATCATTAATTTAGTCAAACCGATGATCATCAGTTTTCGGAAATTGAACACTTCGAACCAAGTTGTTGTAAAAGTTTAATCATCAAGAAGAAAATATATAAAGTTGACAACAACTTTATAATGGAATATTTAAAATCAATAGCTATATGTATTCTGTTATTTAAATTTATTTGTTTAAGGAAATAGTATAGTATTTTTATGATACCATTCAATTATCATTTAAATTTAAGGAATATCTAATATATCTTTAAAAAAAGGAATTTTTAGATATTTTTAAAACTATAGTTTTATTTACAATTCTTTATTAATATTCGGCTTAGTATGATTGAACTATTTATTTATTCCCACCATTCTGCATTCGGTGAGAATATATTCCTGCTAACCTTATTATTGCTTTGACCAATTTTGTTTTCCATCTTTCTGTCTTTTATTTGGCATATTTGTAGTCCATAGTTGGAATCAATCATATCAGACTGTCGATATAAATTATGAATACTCTCTATATTTAAATAGAATTAGAATTATATTATAGATTTTGAATAAAAAGTTGTATCTTTCACTCACTGTATAACATTTAGTAAGTAATGAGACCAATTTAAAATCTATGCTGTAAATAATAGTTGATTCTTAAAGAACGATCTAGATAAATTATAATTAGAAAAAATATTAAGTAGTACTTTTGTTACTCAACTATTTTATCTAGCTACTATTTTAATTTAAACTCCACTATAATACTATGATTGTTTGCTATTATAATACGGTTAATTCATTTTTAAAGTTAAAGTCTATTTGAATATTTTAATTGCAAAGATATTCCATTGTTTATCTGATATTTGTAGTAGTAACAACCAATTGCTTTGGTTTTTTTCTTTTTATTATTCTATCCATTAATCGATTAAATTATCTATCAAATCATGTTAATCTAGTCACTAAAAACCAATCGAAACGATAGAAAGATACAGGTGAACATGATAACAACCATCAATATTGTTATTTATCACTACCAATGAAAATAATACAAAATCACACCACAAACACCACTCCACATCTGACAAATGATCACGAGGTGTAATATCATGGTATAATTTGATGTATTGCTGCATATATATCGATTGATCACGATGATACAATAAAAAATATATATCAATCATTTCTTGTAAAATCTTGAATAAATTATTCACACATTATTTATTCTACTCAGTAACTCTATATTATAATAAGATATCTATCAAAGTTACCGAGTATGATGAACTGTTTATCTAAACAAAAATGTGTGAAGAAGCGGAAAAAAAAACATGCTAAAAGGTTATCATTATTATTGATAATATTGTGAGTAGGTAATAATAAAGAACAATTGTTGGTGCTAATACTACATAAATCTATTCGGAAATGTTAAAACCGACAAAACAAAGAAGGTTCTTCGAATTGGGATTAGGATTCTACAAGCTTTTTTTTTTTGTTTTTTTGATTCGAATTTTTAAATGTTTGAGATTTTATAAAGATTATAAAGGTGGTCAACTAAATAAATACTTGACAAACCATATCCAAGCCTTTGTAATGAGATTATTAGTTATCGATTTATAATGTTAAAAAATTGACTGATCTCTCTAATTGAAGTAAAAAAAAAAAAAAATCAAAGGTTGAAATTTTAAAAGATTCTATCATGATCATAGAACATGTTTGTGGAAAAAAAAAAACTTTCATTTTAATTTTATTATTTTTGATTTTTTTTTTATTGATTTTTTCATATTTTTAATAAGTCAATGAAGCAAAGGAAATTTCTTCTTCAGATATCTATCGTTGTATATCAAATCATTCATTCTTTCACTACTGATATATATTAAAACTATATCATTATATACTGTTAGTTTGTTTGTTGTGCACTTGTAATACTTTAGTATTGTAAATCAAAATATATATTTAGAAGTAAAAATGACTTTCTCAAATCCGATTCAAGGTAATAAACTACTCCGATCGATCAATTTAGATATAATATTATCTATATCTTTTTTTTTTGACAAAAATAAAAAACAATCAAAATCAATATCTAATCAATCAAATTTTTAAATTAATTAGACGAAGCCAATAGATTGGGTATCAAAATCGAAGATGAAGACTTTGCACAGAAATTGGACAATCAAGACACTCTAAAGTCATTTAAAGAGAAATTTCATTTCCCAATGGTAAAGGATGTCTGCAAGTGCGATGAACAGAAAAAGAATGAATCACCAGTGATCTATATGACTGGTAACAGTTTGGGATTGCAGCCAAAGGCTATCAGATCAGAGTTGGAGGGTTATCTTAACGATTGGCAGAGATACGCTGTCGAAGGACACCACAAGGGTGAACACCCATGGATTTCGATCGATGAGGAGATTCAAGAGTCACTCGCACAGGTCGTTGGTGCCAAACCATCGGAAGTCTGTCCAATGAACACACTCTCTGTAAATCTACACGTGATGATGTCAAACTTTTATAAACCAACTCAACAACGTCACAAGATCGTAATTGAAGCCGGTGCATTCCCATCTGATTTAGTAAGTAGTTCAACTTCAACTTCAATTTCAATAACACATTTCTAATCCATTCACATAACCAACCAACTTATATTTATATTAGTATATTGCAGAATCACAAATTAGACACAATGGATTCAATCCAGATACTTCATTGATTAAATTGGAACCACTCGCAAATGAATTTACAATCTCCACCGATAGAATCAAGAGTATCCTTTCAGAGCATGGTGAATCGATTGCTATGGTGATGATCGGTGGTGTACAATTCTTCACTGGACAACTTTTCGATATGAAAGAGATCACTGCATTCGCACAATCGTTGGGTGCTGTCGTAGGTTGGGATTTGGCACATGCCGCCGGTAACGTCGAGCTGCAACTCCACGATTGGAATGTCGATTTCGCGTGTTGGTGTTCCTACAAGTACTTGAACTCCGGTCCAGGTTGCATCGGTGGTTTATTTGTACACGAGCGTCACACTCGTGAGTTTGACTCGCACACCGACAAGCGTCTACTCGGTTGGTTCGGCAACAAGTTGGCCAACCGTTTCAAAAAGGAGACAATCTTTGAGGCTGAAGAAGGTGCTCTCGGATTCCGTTGTTCCAATCCATCGGTTGCCGATTGCACATCGCTGAGAGCATCGCTTGCCATCACCAACGGTGCTAGCATCGCAGCGTTGCGTGCCAAATCGTTGTTGTTGACATCGTACCTCGAGACACTGCTGTTGAGCATCAAGGGTGACCACAGTTTCTCGATTATCACACCAAGAGATCCAACTCAACGTGGAGCACAACTCTCACTACACATTGGAGGTAAGGTTTCAGCAGCGAAACTCAAAGTGTCACTCCTCAACGCCGGTGTTGTTTGTGACGTCAGAGATCCAAACGTAATCCGTGTCTCACCAGCACCACTCTACACCAGTTTCACAGACGTAAAGAATTTCGTAAACATTTTAATCAAATCATTGAGCGAATAGAATACATTAAGATAACAATAACCATCAAAAAAATAAATAGATAATCATATATGTTGTATTAATTAAATTTGCAAAAAAAAAAAAAAGATAAAGATCACTAATTAACATTTTTAAAGTAATGTTTTATATTTTATTTGATTGTACAAATTTGTTGTTGTTGTTGTTGTTTGATGATGATTGTTAAATAGATATCATTTATTAATTTATGTATCCAAAAAGTGAGCACACAATAAAAGATCTACTACAATCTTGTCGTTAATTGGAAACTCTGGAAGATCGGTTGTACTGTTGGTATATTTATTCTTGAAATAAAAGTATTGAATGACTTTCTCCAATACTGGTGTTGAAATCTCTCTGAATCTAATCTCTGAATTTTGATCTTCCATAAAACTTGAGTTATCTATAAATAAAAAGTTTGTTAAAGTTAAATTGTAATTAGAAATTTGGTTCAAACTCTGTACCTGTTGTTGTATTGTTGTTAAGAGTTTACAATCTATCTATTTATCTATCTGTTTCTGTTTTCTATATACAACTATTCATTAAATCAACAAAGAAATCTCTTCATTCATGCATTCACAAATAAACAAATAGAACATGAAATATTACAGAATAGATTGATTGTAACATCATAGCTAAACAACATTATACATATTATACATACCTCCACCACCCAACATAGATTTAATGGTACCGGATACGTATGACATCTTTCTAGAGAGTACAAACTCGTGTCCAGTAGAAGAGTATAATCTTAAGATATCAGATTGGAAATCTGAGTCATTGTTATCAGTCATTATTTATTGTTATTGTTGTGTTGTTGTTAAATTTAATTTACAAAGTGTAGTAGGTTGTTGATAATAATAACAATAATAAATTTTTAGATATTGATATATTATAAAAAAAGATGATGTTTAATTAAATAAAAATAATACAAAAAAAAAGATTGTGAATAAAAACAAAAATTCTAGGTAAATAGGGTGACGTTACTCATGGATTTTTCTAACTTTTTTTTCAATTTTCTGCTTTTTTTGATTATTCTTATGTTGGAAAATTTTGAAAGACCATGATGATTTTCGTCTTTTCTGTTTCATTTCCAACATAAGCAACAATAATAAGTAAGTGATCAATATATATGACTATCATTCTATCTCTTTTTCTTACTTTCTTCTATGATGAAAAACCCATTGAACACCTTGTATGAAAATTCAAAACCATGTTTATCACATGTTGCACCTGACTCTATAACAAATATACTTTCACTCTTATCATTTACCTATTTATTTAAACAAAGTTTACTAACATTATCTTATTTCTAATTTATTCAGGGTTTTACAAAATTGATCTGATCTATTAATCGAAAGAACACCATGGTTATCTCATTAAAATATTCTTTAAATAAAAAAATAATAATATTAAACTTAAAATTTTTTAATTTGTTTTCAATTATAACTTTTATTTTGAATTTAAATTTCACTCTCACTCTCTCTTAATGTTTCTGATTTATTTGTTTTATTTTTCTTACAACTATTATTGTTTTTTGATAGTTTCATTTTCTTCTTCAATGCTTTACATTCTTTTCATTAACCAATAGTTTAATTGAATTGTTTATCGTCGTAAACCATACAAGAAACCTATAATCATAAGAGGAATCACGAAAAAAATAATGTATACTAAGTTTAAACAAATTATTTTAATTATTATTATTATTTTCAAAAATTATGCATTTAATTATCGATTTCGTCGATGACTGCACGAGTGAACTCTTTGGTGGTGGCATTTCCACCCATATCGGTGGTTAAGACTTGACGGCCAGCGATGACCTTCTTTACGGCGTTCTCGACCTTCAAGGCGTAGTCGTCGAGGTTCATGTGTTTCAACATCATTGCAGAGGCAAAGAGAAGACCGGTTGGGTTGGCCTTGTCTTGACCGGCAATGTCAGCGGCGACGTGGTGAGCACCCATCTCAAAGATGGCAGCTCTCTCACCGACGTTGGCACCAGCAGCCAAACCTGGACCACCAATCAAGGCGGCACCAACATTGGTAACCAAATTACCATAGAGATTTGGTGTAACCATAACATCGAATTGCTCTGGTTTCATAACCAATTGCATACAACAATTATCGATAATCATTGAATCGAAAGTGATCTCTGGATACTCTTTGGCGACTTGTTTGCATGTCTCCAAGAACAAACCGTCTGTCATTTTTCTGTGTGTGCAGAGTAAAGTACAAAATGCGGTATTAATAAAATCAACTTTTCACATCATTCATTCTCCATCTCTATATTTGTTTACTTACTGAATGTTTGCTTTGTGGATACAAGTAACCTTCTTTCTTCCTTGTGCCTTGGCATATTCGAAAGCATAACGGGCAATACGAGTGGATGCCTCCTTTGTGATGATTTTGAGTGATTGAACGACACCTGGAACCAAAGTTTGTTCGAGTCCACTGTATTCACCTTGTGTGTTCTCACGAATGACGACCAAGTCGACTGGTACGTCAGAGTGACGAACAGTAATACCTGGAATCTTCTTGCATGGAATGACGTGTGCGTATAAATCGAGTGCCTTACGCAACTCCATGTTACGTGATTGCGATCCACTTAGAACAGCGGTGTAGAGTGGTCCCTTCAAGGCAACCTTGTTACGTGAGATCGAGGCGACCAACTCTTGTGAGATTGGTTGTCCACCACTGACGTCGAATACCTCCCAATCGATTGGAACCTTGGCGGCTTGGAAAACTCCCATAACCGACGAGGTAATCTCTGGACCAATACCATCTCCTGGAATTACTGTAACCTTTCTACGTTCAGTACCTGAAGTATATCCCAAATAGTTTCTGATTGATCCGACCTAAAAAAAATGAATATAAAAATATATACATTATATGTATCATCATTATTATTATTAATATTATATTATCAGTTGTTATTATACTAATATCATTATTATATATTCTTTTCTTAATCTAATCTAGCTTATTTATATCTTTTTTTTTTTTTTTGTCAAACATTTTCCTTTCTATTTTGTTTTTTTTACACGTGATATATCAATCTAAATCTGAGCCAAATGAATCTAAATCGATGAACAAATTCTAAAATCTAAACTATTCATATCTAATTCCATTGCTCTTAGTGTTTTTAAATAATTTTTAGAGGTGTTGTGTTATGTCTTTAATCATTTGCTTTTTCATTTGATCATGTATCTATTTTTTAATAAACTAAAAAAAAAAAAAGTATAACTTGATATTTTGTATTATGATTACGTACATTGCTTGAAGCAATTCTTTGGAGTGAAGAGACACGAGACAACATGTTTCTGTATATATCTATATTATAATACTAATATCACAAAATAAATAATTTGGTTGGTTGAGCCAATAATGTAAAAACATCATGTTATGAAAAGCGGAATCAAAAAAAAAACAAAAAATTGAAAAAAAAAAAAAAACGAAAATAGAAAAAAAAAAACAAATAAAACGATCAATGATGTTGCTCTGCTTCACCATAATGATTATGCATTATCACTAACGAACAATAATAATCCAACTATCAAATTTAAATTGAATTTAATTAAATACCTAACGGTTATTTATATTGTATGACTACGGAATTGATTCAACTCAACAAATACAAAAGCGCTGACCAAAGAAAGAAAGAATTATTTATTAATAATAATAATAATAATAAATAATTTCATTTATCGTTTGTTTTTTAAATGTTTACAGTAATGTGCTAAAATTAATATTCACTAGAGATATAGATAATTTATAAGATATATAATATATAGATATTTATTTTATTTTTTATAAAAATAATACAGTAGTCAATTGGAATGATATGAAACAATAATATTATAATTAAATAAATGTTGGAAATATTTATAATGGGAAATTGCTGTTAAAAAAACAGCAATTTATACAAAAATTGAGATAATTTGGGATGATCATATTTTTTATCCCAAGAAATTTCAATGTAGGAGTTGTTTTATTAGGCATGGTGGAGGGGTTTTTTTTTTCATTAAAAAACAACTTCACACACATTTTCAAAACACTTATTTATATTAAAATATTAAAATAAAATCTGACTGTTCTTTAGTGTGTGCTTAAAGAAGTCTGATTTTTTATTTTTATTATTAATTTAAAATATTATTAACAGTAATAAACTAAACGAATTATTTATAAACAACAATATATAATTTAGTAAAGTTTAAAAGAAAGAATTTAATATATTTTTATTTTCTTTCTAATTTTGGTAAGTTGATCACTATAACTTGTTTATTTTAAATTATTACTATTTTTATTTATTTTTTGATTTTTTTTGTTTTTGAAGATGTTTTTTTTTTTTTTCTATCCTGTGTGAAAATGGTTTGATCAGTAAAGAATATTAATTAATATCAAACTGTCAGCATTTATATGATTTAATCTTCAGTTGTTGTTGCGTGTCACCTCTAAAAACTAAACTTTGATATTAATCAATTACTCAACTTATAGAAACTATCAATTCATTTGTGATAAAACAAAAAAAAATACAATTATAAATAATATATTATTATAGAAATGAGTATGTATACGTCTTCAAACAATATCCTAATCACATTCTATTCAGTAAAGTCGATCATCATCAATTATCAACATCATAGTTCAGAAATTCAGTGACTCAATCAATCACTTTACATAAATAGAGTAGAATTTGTTATCTAATTCGTAAAATCTCAAAATTTTGTTGATTGGTCACTACAAATTAATTACATTAAGTTGGGATCAGATAGGATCGGTTTGATTTGGATTGTATTGAATAGGAAGAAGGATTGGATTTAAATTTGTTTTTTTTTAAGAAAGAAATTGAAAAATTAATATAATTTGATGATTTGATTCATTATTATGTAGCAGGTGCAGCAGCTTCAACAGGTAAAAACGATGAGAAGAAACACGTTATCTTCCCATGGAAGAGAATGGTTGCCGGTGCGGTTGCCGGTACTGCCGATGTCTGGGCATGTCATCCATTGGATCGTATCAAGACACAACTACAAAACAACCCAGGAAAGTCAATCTTTGGAACCTTCCAAGATGTCGTCTCCAAAGGAAAGGGTTTCACAGGCGGTGTCTACGCACTCTACGAAGGTATCCTCCCAATGACTGCCGAGGCAATCTTCAAGGTCGGTATCCGTTATTTCGCATTCTCCTGGTTCACCGAGGAGTACAACCAGCGTTACAACAACGGACGTCCACCAAAAGATCCATTCTTCCTCAATTTGGCCGGTGGTGCCTTTGCCGGAACCGTAGAGTCGTTCCTCGTCGTCATTCCATGCGAGTTGCTCAAGGTACGTCACATGACCCAGGAACACAGTCGTTCGTTCGGTATGGTGTTCAAGGACGTCATTCGTGAGGAGGGATTCCGTGGACTCTACAAGGGTGGTAGTGCCACACTGTTGCGTCAGATTACCAATCACATGATTCGTTTCCCAGTGTTTTACGGTATCACCGATTATCTCAAGGGTGGAGATCACCACAAGCAACTTCCAGTCATCCAAAACTTGACTGCCGGTGCTTTGGCCGGTACTGCCTCCACACTCTTCAACAATCCATTAGACACAATCAAGACCCGTATGCAAAAGCAAGGTCAAAACCAAACCTCAATGCAAGTGATTCGTGGAATTTACGCTGATGGTGGTGCTCGTGCTTTCTGGGCTGGTTGTGTCCCACGTATCCTTAGAGTTGCTCCAGGTCAAGTAAGTATCATTTGTAATCGAACATATTAACAAAAATTTCAAAATCAACTAATGAGTTTCCAATAATTATCATTTTTTTCTAGGCTATTACATGGGCTGTTGTAGAATGGGTAACTGGATTATTAAATAAATTTTAATTAGTTTATTCAAAATAATAATACTTTTATAAAATAAACGTTGGTAAAGATGAACAAATATTATATTTATTTATTATTTTACAAAAATGTACATTTTTCTTTGTTTTAATTATACATGTTGTGCAAATATTATGGAAGGATGAATTTGGATTTTGTTTACAAGTAGAATATTAATGTTGTACTTATGGGCAGGTGTGACATCCACCACCACCAAGGAGACCACCAACGGTTCCCAAGACACCACCGAGAAGACCACCAACACCACCGAGAAGACCACCCAAGTTAACATTGACATTGGCATCGATGTTGATTCCATTTCCACCGCAACCACCACATGCAACGTTGTTGGCGGATTGTGATGATCCTCCGAAACTGCTGCCACCGAATGAGCTTCTTGTCATCGAGGTTGGCTTAACATTACCCATGGTTGAAAGTGATCCTAAATATTGATTTGAGTATTAATACCATTTTATTATTAAATATTACTAATTAAACATACCTAAAATAGTCATTTTTAATAGTTTGTTTGTTTGATTATAAAAGTAATTAAAGATATTTAATTTGTTTTTTTGATTTAATGATTTACAAATGAGTTAAAACCAGAGTATTTATAGTTTTTTGATTATCATATCTTTGTAAATTATTATTATATTTTGATTGGTTATTCTGATTGATATCTCCAATTCCCAGAATGATTTTACAGTATCATGAGATACAGTTATTTTTATCTTTCAATTTTGATTCTACTTTAAAGTTAAAATCACATAGCTGAATAGATATTCTATTGGTGTTTGTAGATATAAAAGAAATATTAATTTAGTCATTGTCTAAATTTGTTAACCCTTCAATTTTTGAACACCATCATATTGAATGTACATAGTTGTGATTCTCCTATCTTTCAATATTAAAAAAATTAATTTGATTGGTTATAAATAAAAGGTAGGATTATTTGATTGGTTTGATCAATAAAATTTCAGCAATAATTAAATTCACTTAATCAAATATACAAAATTATCAGTGATCACCACAAACAATATAAACAATCAACTCAAAATTTCCATTTTAATTTAAAAAAGAGAAGAGTGACATCACTAATATTTATAGTTCTGGTGATTCGTAGGTGATAGATAGTATATCACCATATATTAATATATAGTGACTTTCAACACACCTTTCAATAACTGTTCAGATTATCATTCAATTGAGTTTTGTCTTTTAAACTATTAGTAATCGTTATTTTAAAATTGATGAAAAAACACACAAATTCACCACTATCTAATAGAAAAAAAATATACAATCAATTTAATTATAATAAATAAATAAATAAACATATAAAGGAATGATATATCTTTCCTCTCTTTTCATATTTTTTTTCAACCAACCTTGATCGTACTCATTTATTTAATATTGGGTAAGTTAAAGGTTTGATGATGTATGTGATTTGTGGTTAACATGACATAAGGGTGTTGTGGTTAAAAAGTAATATATGTGTTGTGGTTTGATTGTTTTTTATATCCTTTTAACTTTGAGATAAAGTCACATGAAATAAACAAATGTTATTATTAAATGGACAATCTACCTATCTAACTTACAGTGTATACAATCTTTGTATCAAAAATGAAATAAATGTAAAGGTGAAGAAGTGCAACCAACTTTCCACCACACCAGATAATTCAATTCAATGATTTCAGTTATAATATCTTTTTACAAAACTACCGTCGTTTCTTAAATATATTTGGTTTAACATCTAAGATATATCCTCAAGAGTAATAAATTAATGATTTACCTAGACTCCAAAACAAACTATAAATACTCTGGTTTTAACTCATTTGTAAATCATTAAATCAAAAAACAAATTAAATATCTTTAATTACTTTTATAATCAAACAAACAAACTATTAAAAATGACTATTTTAGGTATGTTTAATTAGTAATATTTAATAATAAAATGGTATTAATACTCAAATCAATATTTAGGATCACTTTCAACCATGGGTAATGTTAAGCCAACCTCGATGACAAGAAGCTCATTCGGTGGCAGCAGTTTCGGAGGATCATCACAATCCGCCAACAACGTTGCATGTGGTGGTTGCGGTGGAAATGGAATCAACATCGATGCCAATGTCAATGTTAACTTGGGTGGTCTTCTCGGTGGGTGTTGGTGGTCTTCTCGGTGGTGTCTTGGGAACCGTTGGTGGTCTCCTTGGTGGTGGTGGATGTCACACCTGCCCATAAGTACAACATTAATATTCTACTTGTAAAAACAAACAAACAAAAAAAACAAAAAAATATTTTGTAATACCAGAGATTTTAACAATTCATTGTACAATAATAATTAATTTATAAATAAATAATTTATATCTTATTTGTTCAATTTTTAAAAAATATTTTTGATTTGTAATATTTATTAATTCCTGTTTTAATTTTATTGGTATATTTTTAAAGAAATGATATTATTTCATCTTATTAATTAAAATTTATAAAATGGATTCTACTACATTAAATAAAGTAATGTTCAATTTTGAGTTGCCCATTTACAGTTTTGTCATTGTGTGTCTGGGTTAAAAATGTTTATTAAATTTCTTTTTCTGATATATTGATTTCACAACCTGTTTTTAAAACTAAATAAAATTAATATTATAAAGAAAATAATATAAAATTAATTCTAAATAAAATGATATCGAGTAATAAAAAGTAAAGTATTTGTATTTAAAATAAATATAAAATAACAAATTAATAAATTGTTTTTTCTTAATTTCAGATATATTATCCCTTTTGGAGGTTCTTCATTGGATTCAATAAATAGATTAATAGAGAATTTAAAAAATGATAATTCAATGAATAGTAAACCATTTAAAGAATTTGTAATAGAACAATGTATAAAAACAGATTTAAATAATTCAAAATATAGAAAAATAATAATTGCTCAGGATTGGGAGGAGTTCCTGGTTCAAAAATATATCGTCGAATCACCTCTAAATGGTACCAATAATTTGAAAAATATTATTTTTTTATTTGGTGCGCAAGGTGATCAGACTCCAACTATGGGTATGAAGTTATATGATCACTTCAGTGCATATTCATCGACAATCGATAAACTTGATGGATTGTTCAAACAGTATATAGGATACAGTGTCATTAATAAACTATTGGATATTCCAAAGGGTTCCAAAGAAATATTCGATCAATCTGTAGCGCAACCATCACTTACACTCTATACCATTGGTATGTTTGAGCTCTACAAGCATTTCAATATAAATCCATCAATTGTTTTCGGTCTGAGTTTTGGAGAGATTGGATGTATGTACGCAGCAAATTGTCTGTCAATGGAGAATATAGTTAAACTTGTCTACCATCGTTCAACCATTCAAAGTCTTTCAACGGGGAACGGTTGTATGATACTTATCAGAGAGAAACAAGGCTTATTGGATTCACGATATCATACCAATGAATTAGAGGTAGCCGGTAGATTTCCAAGAACTATAGTTTACAATGCAACAAAAGAATCAGCCAATTCTCTTAAGCGAATTTTAGACCAAGATGGTGTAAAGAATCATATTATACCGTTGCCAGGTAAATTCCACAGTCGCGCACAGAAACCACTAAAGCCGAAAATCTTGGAATCTCTCAGCCACCTCAATTTCGATCGACCATCGATCAAATGGTACTCAACAGTCACCGGTGAGTTGAGCAGCGAAAAGGTAGACGCCAACTATATCTATAAGAACATTAGAAAACCATTTCTCTTTGACAGTGCACTCTCATCTATTATTAGAGAGAACCAAATCGATGAATGCGCATTCCTAGTGATATCACCGGGTACCGATTACTCCAATCATATCTACTCTGTCCTACAAAATGCAACAATCATCTCAATGTCGAAATCAACCGATGACGAAGTAACATCATTTCTGATGACACTTGGCAAACTATTTTGTAATGGATTCAACAACATTAATTTCCTATCACAATTCCCTGAATTTGCTTGATTAGAAACTTCCAATCAAAATACATAAATAAAAATATTTATTAATATAAAACATGTTTTAAATAATAAGTCCTGACTTTAAATATATAATGTTTTATGGTAATTATATCTTATAAAAACAAAAGAAAGATTGGAGTAAATACACTGTTTATAATGTTTTATCTTATTTTGTCTTGAAGGAATGTAAACATATTTAATTGATGAGTTTGGTGCAATCTTAAAGTATCATGTCGTTTTTTATGAGTCACCAATCAAAGAAACATGAAAACGAATCATATTATTTTTGAAAAAATTATTTTTTTTTTTTTTGTTTTTTTTAGAAGTTCAATGAGTCATTAAAATAGTAAAACTTTCATCTTTGAATTAATTAAATTGACACAACATCGTATAAAAAGATATTGAAAATGTATGTATTAACTTTTAATAATATTACTATTATTATAAATAAATTTAAACTGTAAATATATATTCTTACACTCCTCTCTCTTTATATTGTTAGGTCTTTGATAGGTGTACAATCGAAATCAATATCATCTGTTGCTCTCTATAAAAAGAGACCAACTATATTACATCTAAATGTTGTTCCATTCATTGTTTTATATTTATATTTATTCTATTTGTTTATAATAACACCTGCACCTATTAGACCGATCGTAGAAGATATCTCAAGTGATCTAAATATCACAAGTAATAATGATAGCACCACTACTAGTAGTGGTGGTAATGTTGTAGATGCTCAATCGAACAATGTCAACATAGTTGATAACAATAACAATAATACAAACATCAATAGCACTGCCAATGGAATGACAAGTGGAATGACTCTGGACGGATCGGATTTCTATTTGTTCTTGTTGGGAGTGACCGCTTGTTTACATATTCTGTCGTGGTTGTTCAAGTACTGGTCGGTTGAGTATCGTACCGTTGTTTCAATGACTAAAGTCAGTAACATTAGCGATGCCTCTATGATCAAGGTGGTTCCATCGTCACACGTCGGTTCCAAGACCATATGTCCGCTGATCAGAGACGACCAACGCCAACTCTATTTCGAATTTCAAAAGCGAAAGTTCACTTACGATCCTGATCGCAAGTGTTTCAAGCGTATCAAGCTTATCGTACCAAACACCACCGAGCAACTGCTACAGTCGCGCGGTTACGACACACAGGAACTATTGACAAACGCCGTTCAACAGTTTGGATTGAATCGATTCGACATTCCACTGCCATCGTTCCTCCACCTCTATAAAGAACAAGCACTGGCACCCTTCTTTGTATTCCAAGTATTCTGCGTATTGCTCTGGTGTCTTGAAGAATACGTACTCTACTGTCTCTTTACACTTTTCATGTTGTTGACATTTGAAGCAACCGTTGTTAAATCTGTAAGTATATATTAATATAATTTATCATTAACTAACTAACTAACTAACAAACAAAAAATACTATTACATTTACTGTTATAACTACCTTATAGAGATTAAGAAATTTGATGTCTTTGAGAGAGATGAGTAGTAAACCATCTTATCCAATATATGTTTATAGATTGAATCAGTGGAAACAGGTAGATACAAGTGAGATTATTCCAGGTGATTTGGTTTCGGTAGGAAGAGGAGCGAATGAAGCTCAATCAACTATTCCCTGTGATCTTTTGTTGTTAAGTGGACAGTGTGTCGTCAATGAAGCAATGTTGACCGGTGAGTCGACTCCACACCACAAAGAGTCACTACAGGAACGAAGTCAATCGAGTAGCAAAGACAATCAAATCGATTTGAAGAACGATAAGATTCATATTCTTTTCGGTGGTACTCAGATCGTGCAACACTCATGTGGCGAACGTCTCAACGCAAAGGTGAGCAAACCAACCGATCGTGGATGCATAGGTTATGCCTTAAAGACTGGATTCGATACCAATCAAGGTAGTTTGATGCGTACTATTTGGTTTTCATCGGAGCGTGTCACCGCCAACAACAAAGAGAGTTTCCTCTTTATCGCTTTCCTCTTGGTGTTTGCCATTGCTGCCAGTGCCTATTTGTTCTGGCGCGGATTCGAAGACGACGATCGAAACAAATATAAACTTCTCTTACATTGTATCATGGTTATCACCTCGGTGGTACCACCAGAGTTACCAATGGAGTTGTCGTTGGCCGTCAACAACTCGTTGATTGCATTGGTTCGTCTCGGTATCTACTGTACCGAGCCATTTAGAATTCCATTCGCAGGAAAGGTAGATGTCTGTTGTTTTGATAAAACAGGAACTTTGACTACCGACGATCTCATTCTCCAAGGAATTGCCAGTTGTCCACAGCAGTCCGAGTCAGGATCGTCTTCGTCGCCATCTTCGTCCAACAGTTCTGACTTGCTTTTGCCAGCTGATATTCCTTTGGTTATCAACTATATTCTTGCAGGATGTCACTCACTTGTCAGTATCGATGGTAAACTTGTTGGAGATCCAATGGAAACTGCTTCGCTCAAGTCTATTCCATGGAATTGCAAAGGTGATATCTCTTCACACCAACGTAAAAAGGTTTTCATTGAAATTGTTAATCGTTATCTCTTCTCCTCTGACCTAAAGAGAATGTCGACCATTGCCAATGTAAACAACGATGGCAACATTGTTAGTTATGCATTCTGCAAGGGTGCACCTGAAGTGTTGAAACCATTCTACAGCTCGATTCCCGCCGACTATGACAACATCTACAAGCGTTACTCTCGTCAAGGATCGAGAGTTCTTGCTTTGGGATACAAGAAGATTTCAACAGAGAATCAATCGACCATGAAACAGATACAGCGTGATGTTACAGAGTGTGACTTGGAGTTTGGTGGATTCCTCGTATTCGACTGTCCATTGAAACCAGACTCAAAGGATGCCATCGAGAAGCTTGCACAGGCATCACACAGTATAGTTATGATTACAGGTGACAATGCATTGACAGCCTGTCACGTTGCTAAGCAACTTGGAATTCAAGACCCTAAACTTCCAACACTGAATCTCACTGCTAATGGTGGTGAGGGTGGTGTTCCCACTTGGATTTCAGTGGATGAGACTGTTAATATCAAGCTTGAACAAAATAATGGTGCTCACTTGAGAGAGTTGAGTAGATTATACAATCTCTCGGTGACTGGACAATCGTTGTCGTTGATCACCGACAATCAAAAGTTGCAAAGCGATCTCTATTTGGTACAGGTATTTGCTCGTGTCTCTCCCGATCAGAAACAGTTGATTCTTACCAATTTCAAGGAGAATGGACATCACACTTTGATGGCTGGTGACGGTACAAACGATGTCGGTGCACTCAAGCAAGCACACGTCGGTGTTGCCATTCTCAACAAGGGTGATCCTCCACCTCCCAAACTCATCGATACCAACCCACGTCAAATCATGAAGCAATATCAACAACGTGGTCCACAAGCTGCTGCCGAACTCACAAAGAAACTACAAGAGGAACTCAAAGACAGCGAAGTCCAAATGGTTAAACTTGGTGACGCTTCCATTGCTGCACCTTTCACCTCAAAGAGTTCGCGTGTCATCCCGGTCACACATATCATTCGTCAAGGTCGTTGTACACTGGTGACAACACACCAGATGTACAAGATTCTCGCACTCAACTCATTGATCTCTGCATACAGTTTGTCAGTTCTTCACTTGGATGGAGTCAAGCTTGGCGACACACAAGTCACACTTGCCGGTATGTTGATCGCGCTCTGCTTCCTGTTCATCTCAACCTCAAAGCCACTGGAGAGATTAGCACCAAAGCGTCCCAATCCAAATCTATTCTCACCGTACATGATGACCTCGATTCTCCTGCAATTCATCTTGCATCTTGGATGTCTCATATTCATCGTGCGCGAGGCCAACGATCGTACTGTCGGTGCCAAGCCCAAAGTTGACTCTACATTCGAACCGAATCTCGTAAACTCTGCGGTTTTCCTCATTTCAAACGCTATGCAAGTGGCAACATTTGCAATCAACTACAAAGGACACCCATTCATGCAGAGTCTCCAAGAGAACAGACCACTTCTTTACTGTCTCTCAAGTGTATGGATGCTCGGTGCAATCCTCTCACTCGAAATCATACCATCATGGAATGAGTACCTCGAATTAATACCATTCCCAGATAACACTTTTAGATTATTAATGTTTGGAACCATCTTAATTGATTTAGTAGGTGCTTGGTTAATTGAAAAACTTTGTTCAACTTTTTTAAAGAATTAAATTAATCTTAAAAAAAAAACAAATAATAATAAAACTAAATCAAACATAAAATAAAATATAACATTTAAAAAAAAAGGAAAATGACCCATCAAAAAAAAGAAACGAAAAAAAAAAGACAGATTTTTATTTTTTGGATCAACTCTTGTGCATATTCGCACTGTATAATCTTGATCAAAAAAATTACAATGATCATTTGCATAACCACAAAATGCACCTTCTTTAAAAAATTATCTGGTTTTGTGAGCTAAAAGTGGTGCTTTTAAAAAATCTGATAATTGTAAAAAATTTGTTTTTTTTATCTTTTTTTTTTTGATTAAAAGAGGAGGGAGACGAGTTAAGCAAACTTTTTATCCTGATTTAATATCAATTTATAAATTATAATTGACACCAATCAAAACTTTCTTTTATTTATTATTATTAATTTAAATCAAAAATATTTATAAATAGTTGTTCAAACTAATTTTATCAAAAAATACATACATTTTTTTTTAGAAAAAGAATAATAACAGAAATAATAAAAATAGTAATAATTTGCAAAACTAAATGAAAATTAGTTTATAATCGCAATCTATAGAAAAATGGATACTAAATTGAGATGGAAACGTTTGACTCCCAATAATGCTATGCAAAAACGTGGTGGACATAGTGCAACCCTGATCGGTCAGAAATTATACATTTTTGGTGGTTGTGCTTATACAAACAATAATAATCAAAGTATGATAATATTTCGAAATGACAATAATAATAATAATTGAATAGATGTTTGTTATTGGTTTAGCTAACAAGTTTATTGTTTTTTATTTATTATTATTATACTTGTACAGTAAACTATTTGAATTCATTGAATGTCTATGATTTTCAGACGAACAACTGGAGTACTTTGATTCCACAGAATACACATCTACTACAAGCGAGATATGCACACACTGCAACTGACATTGGCGGAAATCGTATTCTTATCTATGGAGGATACAATGGACAACACTATTTCGATGACGTCAACATCTATGACACTGTCAACAACACATGGGTGGCGCCGGTCACCAGTGGCAATAAGCCGGCTGCGAGATATGCGCACAGTGCAACTCTGGTGGGTTCGCATCTCTATGTGTTTGGAGGCTGCGGAGAAACTAGATTCTTTAACGATTTGCACTGTCTAGATATTCAGACGATGACGTGGTCCTATGTACAAACGACGACTCCACCGATGGCGCGTTCCTTCCACACCACCAACCTGTACACGAGCGGAACCATGAAGCTCTATATGTTTGGAGGACGTCAAGGATCACAGCATTTCAATGACCTCTATGTTTTCAATCTTGATTCGCGTGTCTGGACACAGGGTATTACCCACGGTGTGCTAGTCGGTCCACTGGCGAACCACGCATCGGTATTCATCGACAAGAATCTCTACGTCTTTGGTGGAATGGATGGTAAACAGTGTTACGACACTCTCTGGACACTAAACCTAGAGAGCATGAAATGGAAGTCACCAACTGTTGAAAACAAACCATCGATGAGACATAAACATACATTATCTGTCACCTCTGATGGAACAGCACTTGTATTGACAGCTGGAATGGATTTACCACCAAACTGTTATGATGATATACATATATTACAAGTAAATAATAATATCAATATCAATAACAATAGCAATAATAATAACAATAATATTAACAATAGTATTAATAATAATAACAACAATAACAATAGTAATATAAATACATCTGTTATTGTGCAACAACAACAACCACAACCACCACCACAACAACTACAACAGGCTCATTCAACCTCACCAAATGGAATGACAATGAAACCAATAGATTCTTCACCAAAGACATCTATGTCTCTATCACCACAATTGTCGCCAATTGCAGCAGCCGACCTTGAAGATCCTAAATATAAGCAACTCTACATGGAACTTCAGAGAATGAATGAAGAGGTGTTAAAGTTATCATTACAACATGATCATATTGCTGGATATACGATGCATTTAATGTCATATGAACAAATAACTGACTTGGAGAGAACCTATTTGAAATTACTAAAGAAAGCACAGAAAGCAAAGGTAGGCTTGTTTATACATTTGTTATTACCGTTAAAAAGATAAATTATTTAACCAATTTGATGTTTTTAATAGGATGCATTATATGAGAACCAATTGGAAATCAATGGAAAATATGAGAATAGAATTAAACAATATGAACACTCGCCAAGTCAACATATTCTATTACAACAAAGCTATTCACCTCCACCACCACAACAACAACCATTTAGAAATTATAAGAACAATAATGATATTCAACAACAGCAACAACAATATATAAGTTATCCACAACCACAACCACAGCTACAGCAACAAAACTATAATACATATAAAGATAATAATAATAACTATAATAATATAACAAATAATAATAATAATAACAATAATAATAATGGATATAAACAATATAATAATAATAATAATAATAATATGGTAATAATGGTAATAACAATAGTAATATAAGTCATGAAAGAAACCCAGTTAGAAGAGTAAACTCTACAGAGTCTGTATTGGCTGGTAAAGATTTAATCGATTTTAACTATCAACAAGCTCTATTACAACAACAGCAACAACAACAAAACCAACATCATCATCAACAACAATACCAACAACAACAACAACCTCAGCTACTACCTCTTAAACCCTACAGAACAACTAACAATAGCAACAACAACAACAATAACAACAACAACAACAATAATAATAATAATAACAAATATTTAAGTAAATCCTTTGGCAATGTAAATAATCAATATAATAACAACAGCAATAACAATAATTTACAATATAATTAAAATATTATTAAACATATAAGCTAAATCAATAAACACACACATATATATATATATATTATATTTTACTATTTATAATTTATTTACATATACACATTATATTTACTAATCGAATCAATGTTGCATTATTATCAACATGTTGAAAATTAATTAATCAACTATAATTATTGTATGTTTTGATCGTAAACTGAATAGGTATTTTGATCCTGTAGTTCGTCAAGTCTCCTTTGAATTGTATCTATAACCTTGTCACTTACACCTTGTAAGAATAAGTGTGTTTCATCGAGAGGCACAACCACAAAGTTTTCTTGTTTCTCTAGCCACATAACAAATTGTCTCGTTGGTGGATCACTGTCATTCAAGTACACATAAATTAATATTTAAAATGAGTATCAAGTATGTTTAAAAAGACATACCATTCTAATAGATATCCACGAAATACTTGAACCATTCTCGAACTGAATACAATGAAATTCAATTCGAATCAAACTTTACATTAAAAAAAACAGAGGAATTCATTTGAAGAAAAAATAATAAAAAATGTTTTAGAATCGAATGTCGTTATTGAGTGATATTAACATATTAGTTTAAATCTATTAAAGATATACAAAATTGCCTAGAATCAAAATGATTAAAAAGAATACTCCCTATACGTAGATGACATCACTGACAAGCAACTCAATAGACTGAACGCGTTGATCTCTTGGTTCATGTGGGCTTCGTCATAGAACCCATTCCAACCCGGCGTACGCTACTACAATGGGATGTCAACAGACAGGTCCGTCTTTGGATGGAACGAAGGGGGATGCTATGAAGCTCAGATCTGTTGCTTACAAAATCTGGTTCTACAACAGATACCTCTACCTCATTCATAAAGGTAAGCACACCAGCCACTCCGACAGATGGAACAAGTGCATGCAGTTAAGAATTGGCATCAACCTATCTGAGTAAATGCCTCCAGCTCTGGAATTCATTCACTAGTATGTCGACAGCATTCACAAAGAATAACTACTCTAGCGATTCTCCGCTTTGCGACAAACTTGGTCCGGTCTCTATTGCTTGGATCTACGATGGCTCAAGGCACACCTTGTGCCGCTTGCAAACTGAACTACTCTGACCCATATTCTCATCACTTGTTTGATTTTCAGATGATTCAAAGCAAATTCAACACTATTAAAAACAAACTACGCGCAGCCACGGTCATTAACATCAATATCAGATGGAACATATGTACTACGATGCAATCATGCATCCTTCAAATATGACAGCATTGGTCACTCACATACTACACTTCATATCCTTAAACTAGTGAGGCAATACTGTATCACTTTTATTGAATAATTACGACAGTTATCAATTGTTTAGAAAAATTTTTGGATTGTAATTTCTGGTAATTTAAAACGAATGTAAAAAACATCAAAAAAGCATCTTAGCTCAGAGGAAGAGCGGTGGGCCCATAACCCACAGGTCGGTCGATCGAAACTTCCAGATGCTAAACCTTTAAAAATAAAGCACCCTTTATGCGCGCATTGCGGGTAAGATCTTTCGGATATTATATGTAATCATTTATAAAAAAAAAAAAAAAAAAAAAAAAGATATTGAATCAGAGTGTGGTAACACTCGTCTAAATTACACTCGACTCGAATACCCACACACTCAACTAAACAAGTGTCAGATTGATGACTTAACTTATCTTCTACAACGACTATAAATATACACTTCATCGGAGTGCGATGATCGTTTCGAAACTATCTTTATATTGTAGTGTTAAGTGTATATTCTTTCTTATAGTTTCTAACATATATAACTAAAGATTCTTAATTGTTCTCTCTGTTCTATCTGTTCTCTCTGTTCTCTCTGTTCTATCTTTCTCTCATTTCTTTCTATTCTCTGTTCTCTCTGTTCTTTCTATTCTCTCTGGTCTCTCTGTTCTCTCTGTTCTATCTGGTCTCTAATTGCAGTTTCTATGTTATTGTCTATCACTTAGTACTAGGTGTAGCTGTCTTAGAGTTTACACTACAATTTTTTCGTAGTTGTTACGAAGTTTTTACATAGTATTCAACTCAATAAATGCAAAAAAAAAAAAATTTGTATGAAAAAGCATACTACGAATGGGATTCGTTATGCCCTTTTTTACACATTAAATTCGTAGTTGTTACGACAATTTATTTTTTAATGAGAAAAAAAAATGTTAAATAACTTTAAAAAGAACACTTGCAACGATTTTATAGATAATCTATATTATAAATGAGAATATTTATTTTTTTGTTAATCATAATTACTATATTAGTATTTATTCAGAAGATAAAGCTTTTAAATGTAAACATACCAATAATGCATTCATAGACATGTCTCATAGTTGAATCTACTATTGCAAAAGATCGTCAATGCATCATCGATCTCTACAATGTCAGTTTCATTTGTCTTTTGTATCTTTTCACCACCTTGTTTGAATTTCCCCCTGTTTTCAAATGAATTATTGATTATACTATTGTAGCTTCCCACCAAGTGCTATATCGACACCATCTATTTTTTTTTTTTTTTGTTAGTTCACATTCTAAACATCAATTAAATATACACTGGAATGACATACTATTTGATTTAGCAAAGACTTTTTTGTCCATTTTGGAATAACGATGGGCGAACATCAGATGATCGATTATTCTTCTCTCTCTTTGTGTTGTTTGTCTTTGTTGTATTTCAGAAGTTCGAACGATCGTTGTTGTTCTGTGGTTGTAGTTGCTGTAATCTGAGTTGTTGCTGCTGTTGATGTTGATATTGTTGTTGTTGGTTCGTTGGTCGCATTTGTAGTGTTTGTTGGTTTAGTAGCAATATCTGCTGAGAAAGATATTCGATCTCCATATCTTGACTCTCCAAATAACTAATAAATGGATTATTTAAATTAAAAAAACTATTGTTATAGTAATTATTGTTATTATTGTTATTATTATTATTATTATAATTAATATTGTTATTGCTATAAGTGAAGTTATTGTTATTGTTATTGTTAATGTTACTGTTATTGTTATTGTTACTGTTGACTATCTCAAATTAAATAACTATTGTTTGATATTGCTATCAAATCTGCAAATCGATAATAAATAACTATTGTTTGAAATGATCATTTTTTTTTTTTTGATTCGAGTCATCAAAATAAATTTTTAAAATTAATGTGGTAAAAATCTCGACAAATTGTAAAAAAATGATAACCACACTAGCACACCTTAAATTTTTACTATGATCAAAATGCACGTTTCAAAAGTGAAAAACTTTTTTCACACACTGATTTGTGTGGTGCCCATGACAACTACGAAACAATCGTAGTGCTACTGTATTCATAACTGTTCTACAATATACTGTCACGTACGTCTCTCCACTGTCTTGCCGTCATCCGTATTAATAGACCACTTCAGATAACAGAGGCGATGACTCTAGAGTCTTATTAATAACAGAGGCAGTTGAAGGTATCAGAATGGAGAGAACAGAGAGAACAGAGAGAACTGAGAATAGATAATCATAAAGTTAAGTGTTAATGTAACTTACCTTAATGTTAGTGATTGTTTGAAAATAGATGTCTGTCATTGGTGACATCATAGTTTCTTATACTTTAATCGGAGTATTCTAAAGCTATATAGTTATATTAATTCTAATGCTTGATGGGATATTACACCGTGTAAAGTGTGTGTTGTTTTATGAACTCGATGACATTAAATTTTCGAGTGTTGGTTTTATAATGTTCATTTTAGTTGAATATACTAGATTAGAGTTTGTTAATTTAATATGTCTTTGTGGTGACGGTCCTATTCTAAGATAAGATCTCGAATTTATATTTAAAAAAATAATTTACAATTGTCATTATTTTTAAAATTAATATCTGATTAAATATTTTTTTATTATATCTGAAAGGAAATATTAATATATTTTTGTTTTTTAAATAAAACTTAAATGGATTTGAATTATTATTTTCTAAATTTCTTTATGTATTATCTATATTTAATAGAAAAAAGACAATAACGAAATGATTAGAAGATTGGAAATAGTTTGAAAAGTTGAAAAGGAGATAATGGTGACTCTAATATAGGTTGTTGACGTTCAAATTGTAATTTTGATTGTTTTTTTTAGAATTTGATTTATACTTCCATTCTAAATATTAATTTTGAGTTATCGGCTGTTACCGCTTTTCTAAAATTTAGAAAATAAAGAGAATAGGTTTAACAGAGATAAGTTAAATAAATAATTTTTAATTTATTCAAATAAAAAATAATTCACAAATAAATAAAAGATATTGATCTAAAAAATATTTTATATATATTTATTAATTTTTTAAGAATTTCCCTATTTTCTTATAGATAAATCTAGAATTTTGTTTTTCCAATCATAGACAAGTAAATCAAGCGAATGATAATCAATCAAAAATACTAGTGTATATTATATTGATATACAATAAAACCTCTTGCAGAGTATTTAACATGCTAAAATTTATAAACTTTGGAAAAAGAATTCAATCTAAATACATCTGAAGATCTTTGGACAAACTTTAACAAAAAAATGACTCATTTCAGATGATTCATCAACGCTCAGTCCAACCGAATTTTTAATTAAAAATTAAATTTTTTTTTTTATTTTTTATTTTTTATAATATGCAAAGAATCTTTTTAAATGATCCATGCAATTTCATTTTACAGATATTTACAAATAATAAATAAAACAAGAATGGATAGAAAAGAAACAGAAAAAGAAAAGATGATTAGTTCAAAACTATATTTCTCTGGTGATGCAGAGTTGACACAAGATCGTTTAAATGCAAAAGAGATTTGCTATGATTTCAACTTGCTGAGACCATCGTTACGTGAAGAAAGAGCTAATCTTATAAAGAAACTCTTTGGAAAAACTGGAAAGGATATTTGTATTGAATCTCCATTCCATTGTGACTATGGTTATAATATTGAAGTTGGGTATGTCATATCTAATTTATATTAAATTATTAAAAATTTAGACAAACACTAATATTTTTTTAAAGTAATGGATTCTATACTAACCACGGCTGCTGTTTTCTTGATGTGGCACCAATAAAGATTGGTGAAAATTGTATGTTTGGACCAAACGTCGGTCTATACTGTGCTGGTCACCCCATTGACGTCGCTACAAGAAACTCGTAAGTAAAGAATATAACTCAATGAACAGAAGTGCAAGTCTAAAATAAATTTAATCTCAAATATTAATACTAAAAATAAATATTTTATAATTTAATAGCTATCTAGAATATGGATATCCGATCACTATTGGAGATAATGTTTGGATAGGAGGCAATGTAACTGTGCTGCCAGGTGTGACCATTGGTGATAACACCATTATTGGAGGTGGAAGTGTAGTAACAAAAAGTATACCATCAAATTGCATCGCAGTTGGTAATCCATGTAGGGTTTTAAGAGAGATCACAGAAGAAGATAAAAACAAATATAAACAAGAAAATCCAAAATAGTCATTAAATTAGGAAACAAATAAATTAAAATCAAATTTTTTTTTTTGATATTTTTTGTTTTGTTTGGTTGATTAATTAAACACAATCAATCAAACAACCACACAACCCTATTTTGGAATATAAATAATTTCGAAATCAATCTGATAATTTATAAATGTCTTTTCAATCTTTAAATAACAATCATAATAATAATAATATATATATTATAAACAAATAGTTTTATTCTTTAGGGATTATAAATATCAACCATCATGTAGAGTGTAGTGTAGTGTAGTCTAGTCAACTCATCTCAAGATTAGATATGTATAATATATCTACTAAGTAATAATGTTTGGATAATTAAATTAAATCATCAATTCTCTGTCTTTTATTTTATTGTTTATTTCTTATTATATTATATATTTTATTATCTAATTAATTAATGTCAACAATTATAAATAGAAAAGTAATAATAACATTAATAACAACAATAATAACAACAATAGAAATAACAAGTAATAGCTAATAATATCTAAAAATAAAATAAAGATATTAAAATAAATAGATAATCGATGATCAAGATATTAGTATTTTTAATTTATCTATCATTTTTATTTATAAACATAGAATGTCGTAAGTTATCAAAAAAAAAAAAAAAAAAAAAAAAAAAAAAAAAAAAAAAAAAAGTTTATAAACATGCATGATAATGAATTAAATTAATTAAACAAAAAAAAAATAGAGGTTATAAATACTATACAATATTATGTTGGACATGCAGAAATCAATGGAGATAAACTATTGGCAGCGTCAACTTGGAGAGTTGAACCCTTCTTTAATGGTAGTTCACAACCGTCGTCCACTATTCTCAGTGTGATATCATCGACCGAAACAAAGGTCGTGGTGTCGTTGAACAACAGTATAGCAGTGCCTGGTCTAATCAAAGGTTGTGTGCAATCGACATGTGCCACCAACTTTTGGAATCCTGTGGTGATAGCCAACGTATCGAGTGTACCAACCGAAGGTGGTACACTGACGGTGCGAGGAAACTACCTACAACAAACAAGTACATTGGCACCGAATGTGCTACTCTTTCAAAATCATCAGATTAAGCAGTCCGGTACCAATAGAGATGCCACCGAAATCTACTTTCCATTTCCAACGAATATATCACAACTTGATGCCGGTAGAAACGTTAGTGTCGTTGTAAATATTAGAAATACTGGTAATAATGCTATGTTTTCTTATCAGAGTATGTTAAATTTATGATTATAAACTTTGCAAGGAGAAATCTCTTGTTATTAATATGAATCAATTTAAAAAGAACCTAGTATCGATAATATAGCAATAGTTAATAATACAATGTTGATAAATGGTGATAGTTTTGGAGCTGACAAAGATCTAATTAACATAACCATTGAAAATACTGTAACGGCTCATCCTACATCGTTAATCAATCATTTTAATATCTCTGTAGATCTGGAATCAAACAATAATATATCAAAACTTTTTAGTAATCCTGGTGTCTATCAATTCGAGATTGATGTTAAAAATAATCCTTCAACTGTATATAAATATACATTATGTAAGTTTAGGTTAATAATTACATACAATTTCTATTTATTAATATGTTTTTCTTTTTGATTAAAAAATATAGTACCATTATTAGAATCAACATCTAGAGTTGATAGTAATGGTGGTAAAATAACAATAATAGGTAAACATCTTGGTCTGGGGAATATTAGTTCAAATCAATCTACGATCATTACAATTGGAAACAATATATCATGTTTAAACATTAGCTATCCAACAACAGATGGAATATCAATCATTTGTAGTGTACCTCCCAATGGTAATAAATCATTAGTCGATCAACTCTTACCTGTGATCATCAAAACCAATGGATATACATCTATCCCATCACTGATATTCAAATACTCAAAAGAGATAACAATAGATTCATCTGAAAAACAAACCAATATAACTAAAGGTAAAATACCAACCATTTAAATTTATAAACAATTGTTATTAATTTTATTAATTTAAATTAATAGATGTATATGTATCAAATAATACAATTATAAACACAAATCATTCGTCGGTAGTTACAAATGTTACTACTACCATACCAATAGTAACAACGAATACAGGTGAATCAGATGTAAAGTCATCGAGTGGCAGTCAATCTAGTGGAAAGAGTAGTAGACAGATGCTATGGATTATTGCACCTGCTTTGGTTGGACTATTGGCAATTGTCGGTGTCATATTGTTCTTTATTTACTATAAACGAAAATTGAATCGTAAACAACAGAAATCAATAGATGAACTCCCTCCAGGTTGGGATTCAAAAGAGGATTTGGAGATTGGTGGAATTGTTTTATGCTACGACGAGAAGATCGATGGAAGACGACTCAAAGCTGGTAAATTTGAAACGATGGTTAGACATCTATCATTCTCAAAGCTTGCCAACCGTGATGTTATCAAGTGCTTCCTACTGTCCTTTAGAAGCTACGCTTCAAGAATGGAACTTCTAGACCTACTTATCGATTGCTATCAATGCAAAAAGAGAAAACAAACAATTCAGCCACTCCCTTCAAACGAAGAGGTTCACATGAGAATAGGCTACATAGCTCAGCAATGGCTAGAGGAACATCAATATGATTTCACAGACAGCCAGGAACTCTCTGAGAAGATGACGCGTTTCATACAACGTAAATTGAAGCGAGATTGTCCAGAGATTTTCCATCGTATTTTGGTTCTACTTTCACCTGCTCCCTCTGTAATTGGAACGATGGTACAGCTTCCACACCTGATGGAGGTGGAATCTTCAAAACCTGTGGTTACCGTTGAGAATCCCGATATACTCAATCTGGATGCAGCGGAAATAGCGAGACAACTAACATTGCTTGAAGCAAGCAACCATCTCTCTGTGGAGGACAAAGAGTTCTTCCATTTAGCGCCATCACACGAGCGTATTCTCTATAGAATACCAAAGCTTCTTACGTTGACCTCTCAGTATAATGCAATCTCTAATTGGGTCACAAGCGAAGTCATGACCAAACGTCAACTCGATAGTCGCATCAAAGTTGTAGAAAAGTTTATTCAGGTCGCCAAGCATCTTAAAGAGATTCACAACTTTAATGGTTGTTTTGAGATTCTCGATGGACTGAAATATCATTCCGTTCAGTTTTTAGCAAAGACATGGGCAAATGTCGACTCTAATCTCATCAATGACTATCAAGAACTTTGTCAGCTATTCACAGAGGAGAATGACTATCTTCCTTATAGAGAGCATTTAAAGAATTTCATTGGTCATCAATGTATACCATTTGGTGTAAGATTATCATATTTATACTTTCACAGAGTTGTGCATTAAAACTAACTAAAATAATTTAAAGAAATTAACAAAACTAGATATAGGAAGAAAACTAACTTTAGATCAGAAACAAGCAATATACTATGGGGACAATAATGTAAAGATGATACACTTTGATTTCTATATGGAGATTTGGAGAATCATTCAGGACTTTAAATGCTTTGACTGTAACTATCCATATGTTTTAGATATAAACACTCAAAACTATATCAAAAACTATAAATCACTTTCAAAATCTGACTATGATAAACTATCTATTTCTTTGGAAAAATAAAATATATTTCTTAATTTTTCTTGTAAATTATTTTTTGTTTACTTTGAGTTTTCTGTTTGGCCTCGACATTTCATCTTGGAAATAAAAACCATAGAGGTAGTGAATTATATATTTATTTCAATAGGGAAGTTGAGCTATTCCACAACACATAGTTTGAGAGTCTCTACTAGAAATTAATTAAAAAGATCCCCATTTAAAGTAGAGTTTGTTGGCTTAAAATATTCACAGATTTTTAAAAAAAAAAAATGGTGAAGTCGTTACTTTTCTCACTTGCTTTAATTGATTTTTAACAAATTAAAAAATTAAAAAATTTCTATTTCCAACATCTAAAGTCAGGATGGTGTGAAAGCTGGTGATCACCTAGGTGATTCCAGAATATTTTATTTCCTTGTGAATTCAATCAGATTGCCCGCAGGCTTTTTTACAAATTTATGTCATTTATAGTCTTTAGTTGATGCGGATACTCCTAGGTCGAACTCATGACTAGGAGATCACCAGCTTTCACACCATTCAAATAGTATCAAACATCATCACCAACTCACATGTATTCAATGAAGAACTCCAACTTGCATTGATCGATTTAAGAAAAGCTTTCGACTCAATCGAACACTGGGCCCATCAATGGAAAAGCAATCGACACTTTAGTTAAGAGATCGACCGCCCTCAACTTGAAAGTTATCAAAAGAGTATACTGGTTTAGAAACACAACATCAAATCTCTTTCATCTCAACGACTTCCTAGGATTCGGATTAACATCACTTGTAGATGCAAACGAATACCTAACACTACACTTCTTCTATCGTACTATCAACCAAAACAATGTCCTCTTTAACAACTCGTCATTCAGCCTAATACATAAACTTCAAAACATCAAACAGAATCCACAAAATATACACTACGATTGTTTCGTAGTTGTCATGGGCACCACACAAATCAGTGTGTGAAAAAAGTTTTTCACTTTTGAAACGTGCATTTTGATCATAGTAAAAATTTAAGGTGTGCTAGTGTGGTTATCATTTTTTTACAATTTGTCGAGATTTTTACCACATTAATTTTAAAAATTTATTTTGATGACTCGAACCAAAAAAAAAAAAAATGATCATTTCAAACAATAGTTATTTAATTTGAGATAGTCAATTAATAATAATATTTAAGATTTAATTTAAGATAGTCAATTAATAGTTATTTATTATCGATTTGCAGATTTGATAGCAATATCAAACAATAGTTATTTAATTTGAGATAGTCAACAGTAACAATAACAAAAACAGTAACATTAACAATAACAATAACAATAACTTCACTTATAGCAATAACAATATTAATTATAATAATAATAATAATAACAATAATAACAATAATTACTATAACAATAGTTTTTTTAATTTAAATAATCCATTTATTAGTTATTTGGAGAGTCAAGATATGGAGATCGAATATCTTTCTCAGCAGATATTGCTACTAAACCAACAAACACTACAAATGCGACCAACGAACCAACAACAACAATATCAACATCAACAGCAGCAACAACTCAGATTACAGCAACTACAACCACAGAACAACAACGATCGTTCGAACTTCTGAAATACAACAAAGACAAACAACACAAAGAGAGAGAAGAATAATCGATCATCTGATGTTCGCCCATCGTTATTCCAAAATGGACAAAAAAGTCTTTGCTAAATCAAATAGTATGTCATTCCAGTGTATATTTAATTGATGTTTAGAATGTGAACTAACAAAAAAAAAAAAATAGATGGTGTCGATATAGCACTTGGTGGGAAGCTACAATAACAAACATTGTATAGTATAATCAATAATTCATTTGAAAACAGTATCAAATTCAAACAAGGTGGTGAAAAGATACAAAAGACAAATGAAACTGACATTGTAGAGATCGATGATGCATTGACGATCTTTTGCAATAGTAGATTCAACTATGAGACATGTCTATGAATGCAATATTGGTATGTTTACATTTAAAAGCTTTATCTTCTGAATAAATACTAATATAGTAATTATGATTAACAAAAAAATAAATATTCTCATTTATAATATAGATTATCTATAAAATCGTTGCAAGTGTTCTTTTTAAAGTTATTTAACATTTTTTTTTCTCATTAAAAAATAAATTGTCGTAACAACTACGAATTTAATGTGTAAAAAAGGGCATAACGAATCCCATTCGTAGTATGCTTTTTCATACAAATTTTTTTTTTTTTGCATTTATTGAGTTGAATACTATGTAAAAACTTCGTAACAACTACGAAAAAATTGTAGTGTCATTGACACCTCAATCAAACTTTACAACACTCAAGTTTACTCAAATTCATCAACATCTGTTCGAAGTACAACATTAAGATCAACTCTAACCACCCAATCATTAATCCAAAATCTCGAATCAACAACATAGACTTCTACCTCCCACATGAATCGGTACTCAAGAAAAAGCTAATCAACAAAGAAAAAGTAGAGATTGGAAACAACAACAACTACATACCAATCAACAACAAAAATGCTACCAAACTATACAATCACCAATTCGAGATTTTACAATCTAACATTGGGATAGGAATAGACTAAGATATCTCAGAAAACACATATGTTCAACAAACCAACCAAAACAAATCACCCAACCAATCATTAATAATATAAATGTCATCAAGTCATTCAACAACATAACCACCAGAAATAATAATAGCAACATCAATAATTATTATAACGACAATCTCATACCCCATTGTAAAAAAGCCTGCGGGCAATCTGATTGAATTCACAAGGAAATAAAATAGAAATTTTAAAATTTCTCTTTCCATCATGTAATGTCAGGATGGTGTTAAGTTGGTGATCACTCCTTGGAGTGATCCTTTTTATTTCCGTAATAGTTTGTGTTGGTTGGATTAAGATTAGATAAATAAAATTAATTGGGTTCTCTTGTATGACAGGCGAGCTTAGCTGCAGGGATCTTAGTTAGGTTGTGACCCGTTGTAATGTCAGGATGGTGTTAAAGTGGGTGATCACTCTTTGGAGTGATCCATTTTTATTTCCGTAATAATTTAAATAGTTGGTTTAAGATTAAAAAAATAAAATTAAATGGACTCTCGTTTGACAGGCGAGCTTAGCTATAGGGATCTTAATTAGGTTGTGACCCATTGGTTCTAATCGTTTCGTCATGAGTTCCTTCCTTCCATTTGCGTTACCTTAGGCATTACCCTCCTTTGTTCGTATCAACTGAGTGCAAGAGCTGAAGACTAGACGACAGGGATGTCTATGTTTTTTGATTTTTTATTTTGGCTCCATCGGTTCGGCGTTCTCGGCAAATGGGAAACTTGTCCTTGGTGTTCTTGTAGATTAGTAGGTGAATCTAAGAACTTTGGTCATCCAATTGTTAATCTTGTTCTAACGGAGTGCAAGCGCGGGCATGTAGGGTCACTACTCCTCATGGATAGCGTCTAAGCAGGTTAACAACTCCTGCCAGTAAGAAGCGTCGCTGCCAGTTGACAAAGCTGGGTACGCGTACACATATCTTAACTTAACAGACCTGGGAAGAAAAAGATGTAGAAAAGGGAGAAAAAAGAAAAAAGATTTAAATTCTAAAATAAAAGAAAGAAAGGAGTGGGTTTTGGTGCGAAAAACCACTTTACTAAAAAAAAGTTATTTAAAAACTTTGTAAGAGAGAAAAGAGTACAAAGTATTTAAATAACCACCACCTTAGACTCCTAATACAAATAAATAAATAAATATAGATAGATAGATGCCCGACAAAATTTTGAAGTGTAATGTCAGGATGGTGTTAAGTTGGTGATCACTCCTTGGAGTGATCCTTTTTATTTCCGTAATAGTTTGTGTTGGTTGGGTTTAGGTTAGATAAATAAAATTAATTGGGTTTTTTTGTTTGACCGGGGAGGTTAGGTGCAGGGATTTTAGTTTGGTTGTGACCCGTTTGTTTTTATTGTTCATCATGAGTTCGTCCTTTCAATCAAAATACCTTTGGCATTTCCCTCCTTTGTTTGTACAACTGTTTGTTGAGAAATTGACGACAGGGAAGTTTATATTTTTGATTTTTGTTATTATTATTATAATTATTATTATTATTATTATTATTATTATTATTATTATTATTATTATTATTATTATTATTATTTTTTTTTTTTTTTTTTTTTTTTTTTTTTTTTTTTTTTTTTCATTGTTTTGTTGTTTTGTTTTTAGTTGGTAGTAGTTTATGAAGATTGTGAGTTGAATATATTTAATTGTACAGTTGGATCATCTGTATTGATGTTAGCTTGTGCAACACTTATTCTCACTCTTTCTTTAACGATTTTGTGGTTTTTGGTAATAGTTGTTTCAAGTATTTCTTTGATTGTTGATTTGATTAGTTTTGTTGGGATTTTGAATGATTCAAGTGTTTTGATTAGATTAGATGGAACAGTTCCAATGAGTGTTATTAATGGATTTATCAAAAATACTTTATCGTTGTTTGTGTGATTGGTATTTGTGTTGTTTATGATTGTTAATTTGTGATTGGGTGGGATTATATTGTTTAATTTGGTTGTATAAAAGTTTAAGAGTGAGTTTCGGTGTTGATTAGTAGCAGTGCATCTCAACAAGATGTGGGATGTTGTTTCTGGTTCATTCTTATCGCAGTGTATACAATTAGGAGAGGTAATTTTGGGGTGTTTGATGGTAAAGAGCGGAGCTCGCCATGGACCGTTGTTGGCAAGTAGTTTCTGTTGGAGGTACTTTGGTATTCTTGGGGAGTCACTAAGCAGTTCGAAGGTGGCTTTACGGTCAAAGTTCAGTTCGGTTAGCTTTCCTTGGGACGTTGAACGCCAATTGGTAAATCTTTTGTTCTTTTGGATTAGTTTGATGTGGTATTTGATGTTTGGGATGGCTTCATTTTCAGCGCTGGATAGGGAGAGTGGGAGCCATTGTTCGTTGTGGTAGTTAGTTGGTGGCTGGGAAATGGCACCCTTGGCAAGTCGGTCTGCTATGTCATTGCCAGGGTTACCAGAATGTGCGGCAACTTTGGTAAGTTTGGTGTGTAGGTTTAGTTGTTTTCTTTGGTTTATTAGTTTGGTTATTGCAGACAAAACTGGGAAATATGATTTGTTGAAATGGTTGTATAGGTGGAATTTGTTTGTGGTTGATTTGGTAATGAAATTGATCGATGATTCTGAGTCAGTGATGATTTCTATGTTGGTGTTGGGTGGTGCGTGTTGTAGTGCGTGAAGGATAGCTTGCAGTTCAGCGTTTTCTATGCCTTGGATTCCGGAGACTCTATTGTTAAACCAATAGCCGGAGGAAGGGGAGTAGACACCGAAGGCTGCTTTAGCTGGTCTGATTATTATGTTGTGTGTTGATGTTAAGATTTCATTGTTGTTAATTACGGTTGTATTCTCTTTTTCAATTTGTTTATGGCAGGAGCCATCTGTGTAGATCTTGTGGATTGCTGTAGGAAGGGAAAGGGAGTTAGTAGGTAATTGTAATGTAGTATGTTGGGTGGTGGAAGGTGGGGTTATTTGGTTGGTAGGTGTGTATGATTTGATTAGGTTGATTTTGATTTTAATGCTATTTTTAATTATTCCTGAAGAAGCTTGTTCCTTATCGCATAATGTTGTTCTGAAATATCTGAGTTGAGATTTATCGATGTTGTTTAGGTTGAGATCTTCTAGTGCTTTAGGTTTTATTATACTGTATGTGTTGTTGTTGATAATGAATAGTTGTTTTGCGTTGGTGTTTTTGCTTTCATTATTAACTAATTTACTCTTGATTATCGAATTATGTTGAAAGTAAAAGTCAGGTTGATCGAGTCTGTTAATGGGGTTGATGAGTGGGTGGTTACTGTTGAGTTTAATTCCATATTTTTTGCAGATGGAAAAGAAGAGGAAGTGGCTAGTTTTCTTGAGCTTCTTGATGGATGTGTCAATGAAGAGGAGGGTTGGATCTGCGTGGATGGACTGGAGTTTTCTCCACAGTGAGAACGTAGATGTGTTGAGTATAGTGTTTTCCAGATTTAGAAGACGGTAGAAAGAGTGTGCTGTAAGGTATTCATTCGCGTCAGTCATGGAGGTAAGGTTCAGTCCAAACATATCAGTAGAAGAATGGAATAGGTTAGATGCAGTGTTGTTGAGCCAGAATTTTCTATGTTTGATGACCTTGCGGTTGAGAATATCGAATTGTTTAAGTGTAGTTGGAGAGTAGTTGATGATTCCCATTCCATAGGTAATGGCAGGCGAAGTAATAGCGTTAATAGCACGGACATATTGATCAGAGTATAACGTGTTTCTTGCGAGAGATTCTAAAGTAGGTGTGATCTTGTTTTTGACATGGTTGGTGTGGTTGCTCCATGTTTGTGTTGGTAAGATGTGTACACCAAGATATTTGTAGGTTTTGCCACTGTGGTATGAAGGAAGTGGAATATCTTTTTGATGTGATTACATTGCTTGGGTTTGTTATTCGTTTGTTGGGTGTTGGTTTTTTTGGTGAGGTTGGTTTATACATGAAAGCTGATTTCTTGTTGTTGATAAGGAGTCCATGATATGTGAGGAAATCGTTGAGTCTGTTGAGGAGGAGTTGTGCTAAGTTTCTAGTTGATTCCATTAAGATAATGTCATCAGCTACGGCTAGGTTGTTGATTGGTTTATGTGATCTGAGTATCCTATAACCGCTATTAAGCCTGTTTAGATAGTGGAGGATAGGATCTATAACAAAGTTCCATAGGGCAGGGGAGAGAGGACAACCTTGTTTGACGCCACGGCCTGTCAATATCCTATTTGTTAAACCAAAAGGTGTGATAATCTGTATATAACAGTTGGTGTTGATGTTCTTGATGAAGTTGATTGTGTGGATATCGACTCCTTTCCATTCTAGACCTTCGATGATGGACCATAGTTCTATGGAGTCAAATGCCTTGATAATATCAACGAAGATAAGCCATAGATCTTTATTAAAGATGTTGGCGTCGGTGATGATGTTGTTAATTATGTGCAGTGGCATTGTGGTTGATCTCTTGTTCCTAAATCCGTACTGTGATTCTGCGAAGTTGAGGTTGGTTGGTTTATTTTCGGTTGTGTGTTGTACTCGGTTGTTGATTATGTACATGAATAATTTGTAGGTGTTTGGTAGGAGTGTTATTGCTCTGTAGTTGTCTAGTTCGCATTGGTTTCCATCTTTGAATATGGGATAAACTATACCAAGTTTCCAGTCTGTTGGGATGTCTCCAAGTAGAAGAGAGGAGTTGTAGATGTGTAGGAGTATCTTTAGTGCACTCTCTGGTAATAGCTTTATGATCTCGTTTAGAAGGAGGTCGTGACCGGGAGACTTCCTATTGGATGAGTTGGAGACGGCAGAGGTGAGTTCATCTAATGTAATTGGTGATGTAAGTTGTGAAGTTTCTGGTTGTTGTGGTTTGGTGATATTATTAAACCAGAATTGTTTGGTGGGGTTGTTGGGATCATTGTGTTTGGGGGTGAATAGTTTCCGATAGTATTCTTCGGTTGCACGAATGACGTCTTCCACTTCACTATGTGTTGTTGTTTCACCAAATTCGTTAGTTGATTTAACGACGTGGGTTTGATGTTGGATTTGGTGAATGTTGCTTTAGCTGCTTTGAAAAACTTGTGTGAGTTGTCGTATTTAATGTTGTCTAGTTTCTCTTTCCATTTCTTGAGGAAGAATCTGTATTGTTGCTTTTTCAGTTTCAAGAATTGGTAATCTAGAAGTTTTAAAGAAGTGCGAAGGGAGTTTAGTAGTTCTGTAGGATCGTCAGAGTTGAAGTCTGGATCAAAAGAGTTGTATTTTGTTTTCAACTTGGTTGGTATTCGTTTGTGAAGAATTAATTTCCTTTCGATTGTTTTGATTAAGATGTTGAGTTGGATTCTTTGCTTGTTGACGTGTTGTTTTTGTTTGTCGATCTCTGGATCATGTCTTTTGTTAAGACGAGGTGTTGAAGAGTGGGAGGAGATGTTATGTGTTTTCCAGTTTAACATTCTTTTTGAGGTGTCGACAATGGTATTTGTGAATTGTTTGTTAATGTTTGAGAGAGTGGAGAGGTTTGTGATTGGTGTATTAAGAATGTTTAACCAATATGGTTTTCTAAATTCATTTCCCATACTTTCGGTGAAATTCGCCAGAGTTTCTGGTTCATTTTTACCAAGTTTGGATCTTGTAATAAAGTAATTATTATTATTTTGTGTTGGTTTAGTGTGAATGTTTGGGAAATTAATCTTATCAAGTTTAATTGTGAGAAATGTGGCGAGATGATCGGATTTAATTTTTGAGTTTTTAGGTTTAGAAATATTAAATTGAAAATTTGTGTTTGTGTTAGGTGTGGAGATAAAATATCCATCAAGACGTGAGAATGATAAACCGTGTGGTCCGTTCTGTGTTCTTGTGAAATCATTGCTATAACAGGTGTCATGTAAACTAAAAGAGTTGATAAATTTAGCGAATGGGTTATCATTTTTAAATGTGTTTAGTTCATTTAAGTTGTAGTTGAAATCTCCTGATAGAATAATTAGAGATTGGTTGGGTAGGTTGAATGATTTTAGAGTTGTTGCGAGTTCATTCCAATAATCAAGTTTTTCTCGGTTATTGGAGGGTGCGTATGAGTTTATGTGTGTGATTGTTTGTTTGTTTATGGTAAATGAGATGATTATGGTGCGTGCATTATTAGATATATATTGTTTTGTTATATGTGAATAAATCTTTTTATGTACGATTGTTGTAACTCCATACTTTGGCAACTTTGTTTGATTAGGTTTCAATTTGTTAACATTGGTTAGCAATGAGAGTTCGAGTGATGAGTGTAACGCAATATGCGTTGGTGGTATGTGTTTGTTGAATTGTGTGTGTTGCGTATTAAGCAGATGTGTTTCTTGTAAGGAGATGATGTGTTGATTATATGTTTGTACGATGGTACTGATTTTGTGTGACCAATCGCCTTGTATGTTGTGCGAAGACAGGTAGAGATTGGTGTGTGGGGTCTCCATTATAATAGTTGGTTATACTTAGTTCATATCCATACCGGTGGCCTCTGTAGTGGAGGTTCCCTGAGTGGGTACTGTGATAGCTGCTACATTGTTTGTTGATGGGTTGTTGCTAGTAGCAGTTTGGGTAGTTGTGGTTGTGGTTGTGATTGTTGCAGTGTTAGGAAGTTTAGAGTTTGTTAAGATGGTATCACTATTTGAATTATCATTAGTGGTAACGTTGACTGTTGATGTTTGTTGGCTATTAACTACAGTGTTATTATTGCTATCAGTAACGTTGTTTGTTGTTGGTATTTGCTTGTTGTGTTGTGTGTTGCTAGGTTTAGTTGATACCGCTTTACTGTTTTGTTTATTACCAAATCTCATACGTTTGGAATTACTCGGTAAGATGTTGAGTCTAGCAGGTGGCGGGATAGTAGTTGGGATAGTAGGTGAGAATGTTTGGTGGTTGGTACCTGGGTTTCCAATAATGCCTTTGGGTGCTGAGGTAGAGAGCTCAAAGGATTCGTAGATGACTCTCTTTAAGGAAGTGTCAAGGTCAGTCTTCTCTTTGAAGTAACCAGTGACGATGCAGGCTTTGTCGAGGTGTTTGATTTTGACGAGTTGGGGTATACGGCCGCACATGACACGTAGAAAGTCTTCTGTTTGTGTTCTGTCTACAGCTACAATAACTGGTATCTTAATGTTAACTCTGTGTGCGCCGATAACATTAAAGTCGATTGTACCTTCGGTTTTATTACATTTGAAGGTGTAGTTGCCGTTAAGTAAGATGTCTGTTTGGGTGTGGTTTTCTGTTGTAACGCTTAGTGTTGTTCTGTTGTTTTTAGTTGATGTAGTGGCATTGCAATTTGGTAGTTTGCCGATTATCGCGTTAAGTTCGTCGGTAGTTAGCGTACTTTCTGTAGTATACTTAATCTTACCAACCAGTAAGCAACCAAAAGCTGGTGTTGTGGTGGGTATACGATGGTGACTAATAACTTTTTCTAATAGTTTAAATCTATCTTCTAGTGTACTAAGTGTGTTGGTATACTCCGATTGAAAGAATGTTTTGCTGGTGGGTTAATTATTGAGAAATCGGTTACATTGGAGAGATACTTCAGCTTGAGTGGCTTTAGATGCCACCGAAGCGAAGGTCTCTTGAGTTTGGTTGTTTAATTCTTTTGTTTGATCCATTATCTCTTGTACAGATAGTATCTGTAGCCGCGCGCGAAAAATGGGGGGAAAGAAGAATTTTGTAATGTCAGGATGGTGTAGTTGGTTATCACAAAACCTTAACACGGTTTGGGTCATGGGTTCGATTCCCATTCTTGATACAATCTTTTGATAACGATAACCCAAAATGCGCGCATATTGAAAAAAAATAGAAGTCGCTTGTTCCTCTGATGCTTTTTAATGGTATTGTTGTTGTTGAAATTCAATCCATCAAACTAAATGCATTTTTTTCCAACTACGGTTGATGAAATCTATAACATGGTACAGGCATGATATTCAATTATTCGATTTGAAATATTATAACTATAGTTTAATATGGTGAACTGTAGATGTTTTAATGAACATTCAACAATGTTGTTAATTCCCAAACAATGACATAGTTACTCTTCACCTATCATCTGAATTTATCCTATCACTCTATATTATTATCTAAGTATTTAATTGTCCTATATCTAGTTTGTTGGCGATGGTAGATGGAAGATGTACAATATTAAAATAATGCAAGTGAAGTGAAAATTTGATGTTTCGAAATTTAATATATATTAAGAATCAGTTGGGATAGATCTGCTAGGATAAATTGAAATATAAATATATCTAACAAATTAAATAGATACTAAAAAGAATCAGAGTAGATAATTATAATAGAACAATAGTTATTATATGGTGTACTTAAAGATACTCTACATGTGTAGTGATTACAGTGCTTTGTTGAGATAGTGAATAAGAAGAATAATATATTAATAACTGATAAGACAATAGAATAATAATGTGGATGAATATTTATTGTTTCGATCTCTTTGATATATTTAATTAAATAAAAATCAAACAAAATGCATCGAATAAAATTAATGTCTAATACTGCATTTTATATATGTTTCAGTAATTACATATATATATATTTTGTAACAGCAATGAAATCTGATAAATAAGTACATTTTAAGCATTTATTATAAAGTTATCTGATTCTTTTAAATAAATAAGTGATAAAACATAAAACTCTTTTACAAATTTCGGAAAAAGTTGAGAAAAATTAAATTTAATTTAAGCTTTAAAACTTTTATTTTTTTTATTTCTTAAATATTAATAGAGATATGGAAAATACTCAAAGTAAAAGGTAAATAATCTTATTAATTAATTCTCATATATTTATTAATTGAATTTACAAAAGTTCCATTAAAAAGGAACAAAAGAAAAAAGAAAAAGAATTGAAAAGACAATTTAATGTAAAAGAAAAGGAAACAAGGCATGCAGAGAAATTACAAAAAGAACAATTGGAAAATGAACAAGAATCAGAAACCACTAAATCAAACTATGGTGAAAAGGATTACTCAGAGGTGTTTGGAAACTTGGAAAATACAGCATTTAGATATGTGAAAATCAAAGATCTCGATCCAACCTATCATAATAATGTTATCACTATGAGAGCGAGAATCAGTCAAACCAGTACACATGGTAAATCTCTAGTGTTTATAGGTCTGCGACAACAACATTTTCGTATCCAAGCATTGGCAGTGGAGAGAGAATCACTCGTTTCAAAACAAATGATTAGATTCATTCGTCAGTTGAATGAGGAATCGATCGTTGATCTTGAAGCAACCGTTATCTACGACCCCGCAAAACAAATAAAGAAAAGTACACATCCCAATCTTGAACTTAGCATCAAAAGGCTGTACGTAATCTCCAAGTCGAAACCACTTGAGATCAGTCTGGAAGATTTGTCTCTAGGCTCCTCAGAGTCACAAGCTTACTCTGTTCCTCTGTCTACTCGTACCAATTACAAAACACTTGATCTTCGTGTGTCTGCACATCAATCAATCTTCCAACTACAATCACAAGTGACAAACATCATTTACAACCGGTTGGTGAAGGAGAAGTTCATAGAGATACACAGCCCTAAACTATTAAAATGGAATCTTGACAATTGGAGTTCATTTTCGTTGAATTACTTTGGTGAGACTGCACATTTAGCAACATCTAATATACTATACAAACAGATGGCAATCGCTTCTGATTTCAATAGAATCTTTGAGATTGGTCCAATCTATAGAAAAGAACATGCATCTACACACAGGCACCTCTGCGAATTCACAAGAATCGATATTGAAATGAGAATTGAAGAACATTATCATGAACTTTTAGATCAAATTGACCAAATGTTTATCGAGATATTCGAAAGACTAAACAAACTACCTGAACTGCTATCACTTATTGGTCAACAGTATCCGAGTGAATCGATTGTATATGGAACACCACCATTGAGAATCGACTACACTGATGCAGTGCAGATGTTAAAAGATCTCAATGAAATAGGCATGGGTGCCGACGACTACCTGTCGACTTCACAAGAACGCCGACTTGGTCAACTCATCAAGAGCACGTATGGTATCGATTGCTATATGATCGATCGAATGCCGAGTGACATGAGTGATGTAAATGCAATGCCATGCGTATCGAATGGCAACCAAAGGGTTCAACAGAATGACAGACAATATACAAATTCATTTGTCTATTATATCAGAGGTCAAGAGATTGCCAAAGGATCACAAAGAATACATGATCACAATCAACTGAAACTGGCAATCAACGAACAACAAATAAAATACAATCTCTTGAGGAGCCAAGATGAAATCAATTGCTACCTTGATTTCCTAGGCACCTTGAAGTACGGTTGCTATCCATACGCTGGATGTAGTATTGGTTTGGAAAGTCTACTTATGGCCTATCTTGGCATTCCAAACATCAGAACCTGTTCAATGTATTATAGAGACTGTAGAACTCTCAATCCATAATCATCACCCACACCACACAAATAATTAAAATTCATTGTAATTCAATAACAAAAAAAAAAAAAAAAAAAAAAAAGAATAGGTATTTTATTTTATTTGAAAATATGATATATTTTTTTTTTTTTCAAACAATCAATCAATCTGTATATCTATTTATTTCAAATTTTATTTTATTTTTTCACAAACACACAATGTTTGCAATTTTTGAGGTTTTATGTGAACACACCACTATATTAACACATAAACATCAAACCACAACAAAAAAATACTATTTTGATGGAAGTTACAATTAAAAATGTATTATCTGTTTTATTTTATTTTGTATTTTTGATTTATTTATTTTCCTTTTGTGTGACAAAAATATTCTTTTTCCTTTTCAAAATTTATAATCTCCATTATTTCAATTGCACTCAAATAATAAATAGACCAGCTGTCATTAAATTAGAAGTTAACTAATAAATATTCATATTAAAATAATTTTAAATCATTATCAATAGAAAGAAAGATAAAGAAAAATTATTTATATAACCCAACCAAATTTTATTACTTTATAATTTTAATATCAAAAACAAAAATGAAAATTCAATTTGTTTTGTTTTCTGTATTTTTATTAATTTTAATATCCAATGTAAACTCAAAACAAATTAATGAAAAAGGAAATAATGTTACTTGTGAAGGTATGTTTATAATTAAGATAAATTAAAATAAAAAATACTAACTTGAACCTTGTACAAAAAACAATTTTAGCCTGTGAATTGGTTGTCTCATATGTAGAAAGATTTTTGGAACAAAATAAAACTATCAATGAGATTGAACAGGAGTTGGAGAAAGTTTGTCTTTATTTACCAGGAGTTTGGTCATCAAATGTAAATATATAAAATTTATAATATTCTTTATCATCTCTAACATCATCATTTTTAAAAAAAACTAAAACAAAACAAAAAGTGTAAAATAATTGTTCAAAATTATATTACTCAAATCATTGATATGATCATCAATGAAGAGGATCCAGATCAAATATGTTCAATTCTGGGAGTATGCACTAATGAAGTGATGGTCATGGTAATGCAACCAGTGGTCAAAATTATCTCTAATACTGAATGTCCAATCTGTACAATTGTAACAGGTTATGTCGAACAATTTGTCGATAGAAACAGCTCGGTTCAAGAAATGGTTTCTGCTTTGGAGAAGATCTGTTCAAAGTTTGACCAAGGTTGGGCATCCCAGTGCAACAGCTTGGTATCAAACTATGTACCAATTATCATTGAACTTTTGGCCAAAGAGATGACTCCAGCGATCATCTGTCAAGAGATGAAACTCTGTCCTGTTCCAGGTCAAGTTAGACAAAGCATGAACATCATTGCCTCGCAACCAACCGAGAACAAAAACAATCAATTAGCCATTGTTCCAGATCACAATTCTCTCCTTATTGCTAAGAGAAATCCAACCGCAAGACCAGTCGTCAACAACAATAACAATGCTTGTGATGTATGTGAGCAAATTGCCTCAAAGATTCTTAATCTCATTCCAACAGTTTCTCAAGCCCAACAAATTATCAATACCGTCGAGAATGACTGCTCCTATCTCCAGAATCCCAATGTAATTGCCACATGCAAGAATATTGTTGACAGCTACGGTCAAATGATGATCAAATTCATCAAGAATGAACCAAATCCAGACCAAGTTTGTGGAATGATTGGTTTGTGCTCTACCCATAGAAATCCATTCTACAATCGACAAAATAGCATCAACATCAAAATCTAATTAATCTTCAAAGATGATAACATAATCATAATTAATTGTTTTAGTTTTCTACTTTCTGTTTTTAGTCTTTAATTCTTTATTTTTATATCTCCACACCTCCTCCCTCCTCCAACCATCATCATTTTTTTTGTCTTTATCCAAACTTTTAAATAAAAATAATGATTAATCATTTTAATGTTAAATATATATACAAAGTGGTGTTTTTATTTTTTTGATTTTGTAGTGGTAGTAGTAGATCATTGATTAAGTACATTGTTTAAATAAAATATAAATATAAATATAAATATTGATTGACCAATCAAACAATAATTACTCTTCATCCATAAATTCATAATACATCTTTTCTTTTCTTAGTCTAAATGTCAATCTATAAAGTTATATAAGAATAAAAGTTGTAAATATTAAGTCAATCTTTAAAGAACTATCTGTCTATACATACCCTATACAAACAAACAAAGCAACATCAATTAAAAGACTCAGCAATTCAAATATCCATACAAGTTGGAATGCAGATGCTAAAAACTGAATTACAATAACGGATGATAAATATGCCAACATTATCCATTTGAATGCCCTAGTAATTATTTTAAAAAAAAACATTAATATTGTTTTTCTTTTGAAAAAAAGAAGAAATAGTAATAGTAACTTACGTGAACATCATTAATTTACTTTGAAGTTGTGATAACTTTAATGCATTATCTTGATCTCTAACTTGAACTACACTACTTTCTGGTGCACCAGTTGCAACATTGCTGTTATTATTATTGTTGCTACTGTTATCGTTACTGCTGTCACTATTGTTGTTTGGTGGTTGTTGAACAGTTGGTGGATCAAGCACTTCATGCTTAAGTGTAACTTCAGCTTCCTGTTGTTGTTGTTGTTGCTGTTGTTGTTGACTACCGGCAATTGGTTGCATCTGTGTATTTGAATGCAACTCCAATATACTGGCTCTAATCAAATTGATATTAAAATCTGTCTTTATAAAGATAATACATAAAACTGGAATATAAACAATGAATTGTAAGAACTATAATAATAATAAACGATAAAAAGTGAAATTAGTTAGTTAACAAACAAACAAACAAATAAATGTATTATATTGAAATGTGGCTAGCGCTTACATTAAAGAAACCTTGAAGTATTGCACCAAGTGCAATTGTTACACCGAGGAGAATGATGATGAGTGCCAGTGGCTTCTTTAGATGTTCGTATCGACCGGAGCATATACCCCAGCCAGTCGCAATAGTCAGTAATACTACACAAGCAATCACTCTGAATACAATGTAGAACAGCCAAAAGAAAATAATTACTACAATTCCAACTGCACCATATGTCTGCAAATATGTCCAATATCCACAATAGTATGCAACAACCGCCAACTTTGAAAATGGTAACAATGATATTACTTTGTGTAATTTTATATTTTGCTAAAAGAAAAATAAAATAAGATAATAAATAACAAACAAAACAATTAATTGTTAGTCGAACATAATTATTATTTCGTTTTGTTTTGTTTTGTTTTTGTTTTGTTACCTTTCTATTTAGATACCAATTGATACACCATAGTATGGTTAATATCACCCAGACACCAGTGAATATCATGTAGATGTATGGAAGAGGAATGTATTGGTAGGAGAGATGATTACCACCGGGATTGTAGAATGCATATGAAATCTTGTAGGTGATACGCTGATTGGTTGGACTGCACTGTCCAATTAGAAATGTAAAGTAATCGCCAAACTTTCTGTCGATCTTGTAGCTAATCGTACCTGAAGAATTGGTGAATTGGAACACCTGATAACAAGTTGGTTGCACCAAACAATAAGTACTCGACTCCAAGTCATTATACTGATGATCTGTACAAACCAACAATTGTGTTGTATTCTCAAAGAAATCACCATCCTTTTTGTTTTTTTATAATCGTTTCAAACTTATAATTAATTAATTGAACTACATATATATAAGAAAGATATTATTTGCTTAATACATACAACGATTTTATAATTGAAATCAAAATAACCACCTTGAAGGAAACCAAATGAATCTATTGTTGTCAATCCATTCTTTGATGAAAATGTATATGGTGATTGATAGATTGCGTCAACAACATATATATTGGTACAAAATAACAGTAGTATTACTAAAAGTATAGATGATAGAGATATATCTTTAATTTTCATCTCTAACTATATCAGATATATCTATTTAATCTATCTATCTATCTATCTATCTAATCTTGTATAATCCAATCTATATTTCTCTTTGTTATTCTTAAAATAATCTAATTCTATTCTATTTTCATAAAAAAAATATATATATTTTTATCAATCTAATAATATTTCTATTTTTATTATTATTACTCTATTTACTATATATATAAATAATGTGTTATTTTTAATGAATTAAAAGAAAATCAAATAAATGTGTTGTTGATCAATATAATATAAATAATTAATATAAAATTAAATTAAATCACGGGCGTTTTAATAAAAACCCTATTAATACTTTCAGTTTTTTTTTTCTTTTTTTTTTATTTGCGTTATTAATATTTTTTTATTGGGGGTGGATAATTTTTCAATCACACAAAAATTGTACATCATAATCTTAAAATCAACTTATAATAAAAATAAAACTTTGGGTAAAATTATTGGGAAGTTTTTTTGAATAGGTCCATTTGAACTTCAAAAAAATAAAATAACCTATAAATCAGACTCTATCACTTTGAATTTTGGACAAAGAGTTTTGTTCGGAATATTCTTTTATTTTATTTTATTTTATTTTTAATAATCATAACAAAATAAATAAAATTTTATTTATTATTTGATAGACAAAGAGAATTAATTAATATTTTTTTTTGTCCATAAAAAATTTTGATAGTTCATTGAATTCCTGGTTAAAATTACAACATTGACATAAACTGCGCTATTAATACAATGTTCGTCAATATGATTGTTTTAAACGAATTTAATAGGTGCTCGCCTCCCAATTTTTTGATGAAAAAAATAATAAAAAAAAACCTTAGATTAAAAACGAACTTTTCATATTTTTGCAAAACAATCTTCGATTTGATATTTTTAGAGTTTTTTTGCCAAAAAAAAACTTTAACAAAAAAAAAACAAAAAATCAATAAACCATATCCAAGTCTGCGGTGTCTCCAATTTTTTTTTTTTTCTCTTTCACATTTTAATTATAACTTTATTTATTTATACTTAAATATTATATAATCAAATAATAGTATAACAACAATCGTGTAATACTTTGATTGATAAATTATTCATCATAATCATCGTCATCATCACCAATTTTAAAGATATTGACATAGTAAATAGTTTATAGAATATAAAATAGTTAGTTTTTTTTATTTATTTATTTGTTTTTTTTTTTTTTTAAATATTCATTTTATGTTTAGTGTTTAAAAGTAGTAGTAGTAGTTCTATTAATAGGTTTCATCCAAGCACACATAGTAGTAAGAATAATAATACAAGTTTACTTTGCAGATTAAATAGAGTACAACCAAATTAAAATAATAGAATCACATAGATAGATAGATATAGGAGTGATTTCAATAGTTTAAAAGCCAATATTATTAGGCATTGGAATTCATAAACAACAGCCAGCACCAAAATCATAGAAGTATTTAGTACCGAAAAGAAGAGATAGCAGTAAATTAGTAAATTAGCAAAGCTTGTCAAATTAGTGATTGATCACCACAATCTTTGTGTTGTGTCGAGATTAAGATAGGTAGGTTTAACACTATAGTATTTTTAAAATACGCTGTTTTTTTTTTTGTTTTTTTTATTTATTTTTTTTAATTAAATAATGTTAATAAATCAAAAACAATTTGTTCAAACACATTTACTTGATTAAATGTCAACTTCGGGAGATTTTGAACTAGTTGTGTGTGTGTTTAAAGAATGGTCGATGACAAAAATAACAACACACAGATATAAAATCAAAAAAAAAATTAATTGTGATTAAGCCTCAAGATTTATAAAAAGTGTGTGTTTTTTTTTGTTTTATTTATTTTGGTTTATTATTACTTTTTTTTTTTTTTTGATCAGAGTTTCCTACTTTGGATTTGCTACGACTCAATTATCTCGATACTTTGGGAACAAAAACACCTTTTTGCTCTGTCGAACCATTTTTGGACTTTAACTATTATTAATCACTAAAAATTCTTTAACAACTTATTATTATTATCATTATGATTGTTGTTTTTAATGTAAATGTTCATTATTAAATCAAATCAAATCAAATCAAAACTATTTATTTATATTGCATTAGTTCTCATCACACACATCTTGAGTTCAAACAAGTAGCAGTTAAACGACACATCATCAAATCAAAATTAACAAAAACATCTTTTAAACCAACCTCCACAAATCAAATACAATCTATAAAGAAATAATAATAATAATAATCATTCACAATAAACAAGAGTTAAAGTCAGATTATAGTCATATTAAACATTTATTACATTTTAAAATATATAAAAGGTAATTTTATATAAATAAGTTCAATAAATACATCATCATCAACAACAATATCAATAATAACAACAAAACAATAACAACAATTATACAAATCATTTGGACCAATCATTTAAATTTTTTAATCATTAACATAATATTTAATTGTCTATTGTATATGTTTGCTAACTTTTAATGTATGTTATAAGTTAATTTCATCAGTTGGTTTGGTTATTATATTATAAAGTATTATATTCAATGTATTTATATTTTGATAATACTTTATAATACTTTACTTTTTTTTTTCTTTTTACTTTCCACTAAACTCAATACAATTCAATTCAACTCAACTCAACTCAACTCAACTCCAAAATTCTACACTACTTTACTCTCAACACAAGATAGTTGTTTATTGTTTCTAATTAGCAGCAGCAACAGCAATAACAACAAAAAGGGGGTGGGTAGAGTAAAGTTAGGAAAGAGATTAGATGTTATTGTGTTAGTGAGTGTGAATCAAATATTTTATCGTCCTAATAACCCAACCTATCCTGATAATAGTCAAAAATACACACACCCACTCCACTCACCAAACCAAGAGGTATATCCTATTTTATTTGTTCATTAATAAAGTTTTTTTCCTTTTTAAACCACACATAATTAAAAAAAAAAAAAAAAAAAAAGAACCAAAAACAAAAATAAAATCACATTAAAAATATAATTTCTGGTGTCAACATTAAAGAAGAATATCTTTTATTTTTGATACACAAGAAATTACTGCATGTGTTATGTTTTGTTTTGTTTTCACCATAAGAATCATATTAACTAATAGTAACAATAACAACAACAGCAGGTCATCACCACTATCATTATCATCATCATCATCAGCATAATCAACATATTTATAATATAATATTAGTATATGATCAAGTAACCTTTTCATTAATTATAAAAATAGTACATATATATATATTTATAAACAAAACAAAACAAACAAAACAATTCAAATCAAATCAAACTAAATTATCCAAAACAATCCAAGCTTAAAAAAGCTAGCTATTTATTTATTTATTTATTGCACAGAGAAACATAAATATAAACATCAATAACAATACTAAATAACAATACAACAGTTACATTGTACAACAAAACCAAAAAAGAAAAATCATATCAAAAAACAAATCAACATTATATTTAATATTGTATTGTATATATATATATTTTAAACATTCCAACAATATTTTAAAAGTGGGATTGATTATTTTGTTTGTTTAAAAAAAAAGAAATAATATTAGTGAAATTTAAATAATATCTATTATTTTTTTTATATTTCTATTTCTATTTTGTTTGATTTATTTTTGTTTTTCTATCAATAACAATAATAATAGTAATTGGTATCAAAAATATTTATATAAATATTTCTTCTAAATATAGATCCAAAAAAAAAACAAGAATCCAATTGGAAGTGGACTCAATTTTCTAGTTCTAAAAATAACCTGAAAAAAACATAAAAATAGAAAAACAAAAAAATGAAATCATTATTAAAAAAAGCAAAGCAAGCATATAAGAATCATTTTTCTGGATCTGGAGCAACACCAGCAGACGATCATGAACATGCAGACAAGGCATCTACTAAGGATGCCAATCCAAACAGTGAGCCAGGATCACAAGGATTCACTGCGTGTTGCGACGAAGAGAACAACGGTACCAACGGACATGTCGTAGCCAACGGAACAGCAACAACAACGACAACAGCACCAGCAGCCACTGGCGAATCTACATCGATAAAGGCAACCACAAAGAGCAGCAAACCATCGATTCTCTCATTTGGACTGAGCAAGAACAAGGAACCAGCTAACGACAAGAAAATCATCAACAACTCAACTTCAAACAATCCATCACCACCCAAACCATCTTCCTCCACGCCAACCGAAGCTTCAGAAAAGAAAGACGATGAGAAAGCACCTGAAAGAGAAATTTTATATATTAAAGGATTAGAAGTAAGTTTTCAATATTTTAAATCGTAAGATAGATAACAACGTTGGTTAACTAATTAAATTGTTCATTTCAGGATTTACCAGAGGATTGTATGAAGTTGGTAAAGATGTCTGGTTTATCAGAGGAAAAGTTAAAGGCAAATCTACAAGTGCTACTCTATGTATTACATTTTAGAACAGGAAAAATTATAAAGATCGAAGGTGAACCACCAAGAGAACCAAGAAAGAAGTTCTTCTCGGAGCGATTCAACGATGGAGATTCACTTTTGGTTTCAGTGGAACATAGTCAGTTGAAGAAGTTGTACAAGGATGTCGATCAAGTTGGAAAAGGTGGTTTTGGAACAGTTTATTTTTCGAGATCGACAAAGGAGAAAAAGACAGTGGCCATCAAGAAGATGCCACACATCACCAAGCGTCAAATTGCACAGAATTTCAGAGAGGCTTCGATTCTCTCAAAGTGCAACCATCCCAACATCGTCAAGCTCATTACATGCCACGTCGACAAAGATCAGAATCTCTGGCTGATCATGGAGTTCATGGAGGGTGGAACATTCGAAGAGGCCGCCAAGGCCTGGAAGTTCAACGAGAACAACTTGGCATACGTTGCACGTGAGCTACTCAAAGGACTGCAGTATCTCCACGAGAATGGAATGGTTCATCGTGATTTGAAGAGCGCCAACATCATGATGTCCGTCGAGGGTAAAGTTAAATTGATTGATTTCGGACTGTGTGAGGACGTCTCCACCGGTTCGCCATGCCACATGGTGGGTTCGCCATTCTGGATGGCACCGGAAATGATTCTGGGCAAACCACACAACACACCGGTCGACATTTGGAGTTTTGCCATCTCACTACTCGAAATGGCCAACCAGCGTCCACCAATGATGGAGTCTGCAGTCAAGGCAATGTTTACCGTTGCCACTGAAGGTTCCACTGGATTCGACGAGCCAGACATCTGGTCCGACTGTTTCAAAGAGTTCCTTTCACTCTGTCTGAGGCTAGACCCAGAGGAACGTGCTACTGCTGCCGACCTACTGAAACATCCATTCATCAAAAAGGCTGACACTCGTGACAACATGGAAAATATATTAAAAAAGATTTTCCTTACAAATTCTTTAATGAATTCAGGTTTCTAAATAATAATAATAATAATAATAACATCAACAACATCAACAACAACAACAATAATTATAATATATCAATATCATTACAAATCATCAGACTAGATACAACAGCAACAAAACAAACATCTCACACTCCCAAATCCAGGTTTTTTTGGTCGACACATCTGAGATCTCGAGTACCCAAATTTTCAATATTTTTCACACAATTTAATATGAGAATGTTGGTGACCTGAATCATCTAAACATATCCATATTTATATTCTTCATAATAGTTATTAATATGACTATTATATGTAACACTATAATCATATATAGAACTGAAAAAAAAAAAACCAAAAAAAAAAAAACCAAAAGACAAACCAACCAATTAAACAACAAATAATAATAATAATATATAATTTTTTTTCCCAAAACAAACTCTCCGCCACATATAATATTATTATTATTACAAACTAACTCCAGGATGTATAAATAAAACAATTGACATCTTAAATTTAACTTTTACAAAAAAAAAAAAAAAGATTTTGCATTATACTACTATTATATTATTTTATTCAACTACAACCTTTCTATGAGCATACAGTGAGTTGATTGTTGCTTGTCTTTTTAACATTTCATAGTCGTTCTGTGATTGAACGATTAAATCTTTAGTTTGATCTGGTGTTGCCAATTTATTTTCTCTGAAACCCAATGCTATTCTTCTCTTTGAATACTCTCTGAAATTGTAGCTAGAGAATTTGTTTGCCTCTCTTTGCATACTTCTATATAGTTGAAGAACTGTTTGTCTAGTTGCTGATTGGCTCATTTTAGAAATCTATTGTAATATTACGATTGAAAGAAAGATTGATTTTGGTGTTAATAGCCGTAATCAAAAATAGCCGAACGAAAGTTCAAAAACACTTACAAATAAATAAAAGTTTTATAAAATACAAGAAATAAACTAATATGTAAAAGATAACTTTAGTTTGGTTTATCAAAAATCTAAAAGAAGTATTCTCGAGTAAAAACAACAACAACTGATAGTATTTCGATTGATATTTGACTACAAAATAAGACAACTATTAATTATCTCATGCTGCCAAAGAATTGTTTTTTTCTTAGCAAATTTTTGAAAAAAAAAAAAAGTAATTTTTTCTTGCTTTTAATTAATTACATCATCTGTTTAAGGATGGTCATCCCAATTTAGTTACTATATTAGTGATAGATCAATAATTCACTGTAATTAAACAATATAATAATTTAATAATATGATGTTTTGATTCCTTGTGTTGTTCTGCTGAACACTTGATTATTTTAAACAAAAACTACAATGTTGGTTTTTATTTTCTTATTTACCTATTTTTGAAACAATGATCTAATCCGATTATAATTGTTGTTGATAAAATCAAGTTATAAATTATTAATGTCATGATTGATTTTGTTTTATATTGATATTAAAAAAAGTTTAAACTTTGAATTAATATTGGAAAAGAGTATTCGTTTTAATAGTATCAAGTCAAGCAGGCCTGCTTGTGATTTATAAGAAACATAAATCATTTACATCTATTTTAATATTTATAGTCGTACTGATTATTGTTAATAAAAAAAAAAGTTGAATTAACATATGTTTTTTTTCACATACTTTTTTTTTTTTTTTAATATATATATATCTCAACAATTGATAGATATACTATAAACTAAAAGTAATTACGACTAGTTATTATATTGTATCTATTATTATATGATATAAATTGAGTTGTAAAGATGATGATAACTTCATCACCACCGTCATCAACTACATCGTTAACGATGGTTGGAACAACATCAGATTCATCAAATAAAACTATTTCAACCAACAATAACAATAATAATAATAGTAGCAACAACAATAATAATAATAATGTTTTTGATACAAATGGTAATAGTCCTTCAACGCCACAGTTAGATAGTAGTTTATCGTCTTCCACACCAAGCCTGAGTTTCGGTAAGCAATTCGCCAGCAACTGGAAATCGTTCGGAGAGTTACTCAACCAGGTGACCAACGAAACAGAAAATAAAATTAGATTATCTTTTAATAGTAGTATAAAAGGTATATATATGTATATTTATTATTACATTATATTAGATTAATAATTAATATTAACTTTAAATGTAAAACGAACATTCCTTTATATCAATCATATTAAAAGATCAAAAGAATGATATTAATTCTATTGAGAAAAAAGATGCATCATCATCTGCAACAACAACAACAGCAACAACAACGACAGCAGTGTCAGATGATGATCCCTTTTCAATATTAAATGAAAATTGTTTGTATTATATATTTATAGGTTTGTTTATATTTTATTGTAATTAATTTGTTTATGTTTGTTTTTTTTTAATTTAGATATGGATATCTTTGGATTCTTACCATCGAAAGACGCTTTGGTGTTGGTAGTATGCAACAATTGTTCTAAAACAATCAAACAGTCTAGATTCGTTTCCCATTATGAACGTTGTATACAAGATGAAGATCCAAAACTAAGAAGTTCTTCTTTATTATCAAATGATTGTATGTTATTATAATATAAGTTTATTTTTTTTTAGTTTATATGAGTTTATAATTACCTCTACCTTATAATTCGTTACCATCTACTTGATTCCACTTTACTTACTTTTATCGTTTAAACAACATAATGTTTCTTATTCGTCTTATTCTTCTCTTCTTTTTCTTTTTTTATATCTATATTTTTAGCAAAGAAAAGGAATTTCCTAAAGAATGGTAATAATAATAATAATAGTGATAATAATAACAACAACAACAATGGTGTTAAACAAGAGCAGGTTAGTTCACCGGGTTCAGTTGTACCAATATCAGCACAAAGAGGTCGTCCTAAAAAGAAAGTTGTTGATAACACCAACAATAATAATAACAATAATAATAATAATATAAATAATAATAATAATAATGTTAGTACTCCACCACTCATTGGTAACTCAGAGTCGGTCAATAACACCAAAAAGCCAGCGACTTCTCTATCATCGAGAAAGAGAACAAACGAAGGTAAACTTATTTTATTATATTAAGATTGACATCATAAGAACTTAAACTAAGATATATCTTAAACATGTTAATCCAACCAAAAACAAAACAAACCAAAACAAAACCAAACCAACCAACCAAAACTAATCAAACATCCAACTCTATCCTTAATTACCATACCTACCTACCAATTCAATATACATATTTGTGTCATTCATTCATTCATCATATCTACAATTACTATCTATCTAGTTTTAAATAGTAGTAGTATAAGTAGTGATGGCGATACTACAAGTAGAAGCAATGATACTTCCAATAGTGATTTGGATAAGATGGTCGTTGATATCGAGGGTCATACCGATTCGTATGATACTGTACTGGCTTCAAAGTCTCCACTACAACCACAACAACATCAAGTTGTAGTTGCTTCAACCCCAGACCAAGATAGCAACATCATAAATATAAATCATATTGAACAACCACTTGAGCAACAACAACAACAACAAGTGTTGGTTGAAACACATCTACCACAACAACAACAACTACAACAACAACAACATGTTCATTCAAATCAAAATATAGATATTATAAAGGAAAGTGACAATGATAATGTTAATGTTAATGTTAATGACGACGATGATGATGTCATCATTGATATCCACGAAGAAGATGATAAGATAGAATCGATCGTTGCGGCAACGGTGATCCCTATCACACTCATCCCAATAGCTACACGTTCATATTCACGTTGCAATAAGCTTCGTCGTATTATTGTGAGCCTGGACCCAGAGTACAAGGTCACAAGAGCTGCCGTCTTTACGAATGAAGAAGATTTCTGTGCGAGTGACGAAGAGCCACCAGCCAGCCCAATAACTATCGGACCTTCTAATACTGCATCGTCTGCCATCAAAGGATCAGTCTATAACCATGCGATTGCCACTTCCTCTGGTATCGTTCCAAACAACACCCTCATTGCTGCAGCAACAACAACGGTTGCACCCATCATGCCAATGGCCACCACACCAACACCTCTCATGACACCAACTAATATTGCTCCTATTATGCAGCCAACCATGATAGCCACCAACCAACTTCAACCCGACATGTCGACGCTCTCTAACAACGCCAAGCATCTTGGTGGACTGCCAGCCACAAACAATCCAATGATGCACAATGGAATGTTGCCACAACATACTCCTATGTTACCGATTGGTCACGTCGCTAATCCTCAAGCCAATATCAATATGGCTACCAATAACGGTAACAATACAAATCCATTAAATAATAGTGGCATGTCGGTGGAAATTCCAGGTGGTTCGACCAATGTAAATACGTCATCTTCACAAGTGCCAGCCGTTGCTCCCTCTACCCCTAAGCCACCAAAGAAGAAGAGTTCCAGAAAGAAGACCGAGGAGAAAAATGAGAACTCAACACCATCCACAGAGGTATCATCTCCAACTTCTTCTTTGGCTGCCTCATCCGATTCTGTATCACTAAATAGTTCGACTTCGAGAACAAAGAAAAAGTCATCTAGAAGAGAGAAAGAAAAGGAAAAGGAGAAAGAGAAAGAGAAGGAAAAGAATGATAAAGATAAGGAAAAAGATAAAGAAATAGAAAAAGAAAAACCAGAGAAGGAAAGGAGTGAGAAAGATAAAGAAAAGACAGAGAAGGACAAGGATAAGGAAAAGGAAAAGGAAAAGTCAGAAAAAGTTAAGAAGGAAAAGGATGGTGATTCAAAGGAAAAGGTCAAGACTGAGAAGCAAAAGAAATCAAAAAAGTCTTCTTCAACATCATCAAAAAAGAAATTGTCGTCTTCTTCATCTTCACTAGCCTCTTCTTCGCCTAGTGTCCCTACATCCGCCAACATAGCTGTTTCTTCACCTCTGCCAACGACCCCATCCACGCCAAACACTGTTGTAGTGCCAGTTGCTCCGCCAAACGTAGGAGTTGTCGCACCAAATATACAACAACAACCAATGAATGCAACTCCACTCGTAAACTCAGTACAAATCCAAATGCAACAGCAATCCATGCCAATGCAGCAGTCTTCACAACAACCACAACAACAACAACAGTTCACTAATATCCAACAATACCAACAACCACTTCCACAACAAACTTTACAGCAACAACAGCAAAACGGTCAGCAACAGCCACAACAACAATACCAACTCTATCAACAGCCAAATACAACGAATGTACAAATCAAACCACTTCCCATTAACAATCAACAACCTCAACAAACAATGAATCAGCAATTCATGCCCCAATATCCAGTACAATACCAACAACAGAACCTCCAACAACCAATCTATACACAGATGATTCCAAATGTACAGAATAACTTCCAACAACAGCAACAGCAACAACAACAACAACAACAACTTAATCAACAGAACAAACCGATGCAATTCCAGCAACAACAATTCGTACAGCCAACGCAACAACAATTCAAGCAACCAATCCAACAATTTATATACGCACAGAACGTCGTCCAGCAACAGTCACCACAGATGCACCAGCAATCGGTGGCAAACTATGCGATGCCAACCGCGCCCTACCAATCGAATCCTGTACAATACCAACAAATCAACTCACCACAACAACAACAACAACAACAGCTACTTCAACAACAACTTTTACAACAACAACAGAGTCAACTAAGAACCTCTGCCGGAGGAGGTATGGTTCAAGTACCATCATCACCTCAACAGGCAGTGACACAGCAACAACCCATAGGATCACCGGTTGGAATGATCAACCAAGCCTCACCAAACCAAAACACCACCTTTACCAATCCAATGGCATTGAAACAGGCACTACAGAACACCAACCTCCAATATCAACAACAGGCAGTAGCTCAACAGCAACAGTCAATCCAGCCTCAGCAAATGAGAATCATACAACCACAAACCAATCCTCAGCAACCTATTGGTAATATATACAATTCTTATAATATTTAGATTCTAATGACAATATACATATAAATATATATTTTCATCAATATTATATTAATACTCAAAGCGACATAAAAATTCAAATTTTGTTGTTATCTATTAATTTATTAATAATAAAGAAATTTTCTTATAAAAATAGATATTTATTTATATAAAAATGTGAGATATCAATTGGATTCAGTGTTGATCGAAAAATGACAACTAAATTCTATCGATGCTTCTACAACCATGAATTCTAACAATACACCCTGTGAACACTTGTCGATAATCTCGAGAAAAATCTGTGTATTTTGGTTTGATTTAAAATCAAAAGCTATCTTTAAAGTCGGGTAATTCAAAAGATGTTGTTGTAGTGTAGTTGTTGTTTTACAATGTCTTTATCTCCAAACCATTACACACATTTCCAGTTGTTTCATAACATACAATTAATTGATGACTCGATTAATTGCAACTTCGTATGATTTTTTTTTTAATTTTATTTTATATTTTTTTTTGAAAATTTTCTCAGTTGGTTCAATTTTTCCCATCTATAAAAGTTATAATTAAAAACAAATATATATTTGTAATAATAACATTATTTATTTATATTATCAGTTAGTAGTAGGAATAATATAGTTGTCTAAAATGTCTGAAACAACACCAACTACTGAAGTACCAACCACCTCTGAAGCAGGTGAAGAGAAAAAGAGCAAAAAGTATGTATAAACGTGTTGTTGTGGTTGGTTGTTATTTTTACTTTCTTTTTCTTTAGTTTAGTTTCAGATTTTGAAGAATAAAAAGAGATTAACAATGGAATCTTATCTATCTATACTTTATAAAATCTAATTAGAGCTCTTAATAAAGAATTAAAGAAACAACAAAAAGAAGAGAAAAAGAATGCTGCCAAGGCTGCCAAGCCACAACAACAACAACAAGTTGTTCAAAACCCATTGGAAACCTCTGGTGACAACTTTGGTAGAGCTCCAATGAATCAATCACAAAATAGAGCCGGTAAGAAATACACACCAGTCGAAAGCATCAACCCATCTTTGAATGGTGAGAAGGTTTTGGTTAGAGCACGTGTCCATTTGGCAACTGCAACTGGTTCATTGGCATTCATGGTTTTGAGAGATGCCATGCACACCATTCAAGCTGTTTTGTCGGCTGCCGGAAATGGAAAGCCAATGGTCAAGTTTGCTGGTGCCATCCCAAAGGAATCGATCGTCGACATGGAAGCAACCGTCATCACCACCAAAGAGCCAATCAATCGTTGCACTCAAAAGGATGTAGAACTCCAAGTTCTCTCACTCTTCATTGTTTCCGAGGCTCAGCAATTGCCATTGCAATTGGAAGATCTCGCTCGTCCAACACACGAGTTGGAACAACAAAAGAAGACCATCGAGGAGTTGGATGAGAAACTCAAGTCATTGACACTCTCAGAGGCCGAGCGTTCAGATCTCGAAAAGAAAAAGGGAGAGGCTAACAAATACGCAGAGGTATTGCTCGACACTCGTCTCAACAACCGTGTTCTCGACTTGCGTGTACCATCTCACCAAGCTATCTTCAGATTGCAATCGGCTGTCGGTATGTTGTTCCGTGAGTACTTGCACTCCAACAACTTTGTTGAGATTCATACACCAAAGATGATCTCATCGGCCAGTGAGTCTGGTGCATCGGTCTTCAAGTTGGGATACTTTGACACCAATGCCTACTTGGCTCAATCACCACAGTTCTACAAACAGATGGCTATCTGTTCCGATATGGAGCGTGTCTATGAGATCGGTCCAGTTTTCCGTGCTGAGAACTCATTTACCCATCGTCATCTCACCGAGTTTGTAGGTTTGGATATTGAAATGTCGTTCCGTGAGCACTATCACGAGGTTTTGGACGTACTCGACAATTTGATGTGCTCCATCTTTGAGGGTTTGGAAACTCGTTTCGCCAAAGAGTTGGAAACCATCAAGGCTCAATACGGATATGAACCATTCAAGTTCACCCGTCCATCACCACGTTTCACATTCGACGAAGCCGCCGCCATGTTGAACGAGATTGGTGAAACCGTTGTTGACAACGATATCAACACCACTCAAGAGAAACTCTTGGGTAAGATCATCAAGAAGAAATACGGAGTCGACTTTTACATCATCGATAAATTCTACCGTACCGCTCGTCCATTCTACACTATGCCAGATCCAAACAACGAACTATTGGCCAACGCCTACGATCTCTTTATGCGTGGAGAGGAAATCTGTTCCGGTGCCCAACGTATTCACGATGCCAAGATGCTCGAAGAAAGTGCTGCCAAGCATGGTATCAACATCCCATCGATTCAAGCATACATCGACGCATTCAAGTACGGTGCTGCTCCACACGCCGGTGGTGGTGTAGGTTTGGAACGTGTTGTCATGTTGTATCTAGGTATCGGAAATATTAGAAAGACATCTATGTTCCCACGTGATCCAAAGAGAATCGCTCCATAAGCTAATTGAATAATGATAAACTATTATTTTTCAAAATTCAATAAATTCACTTAATATTAAAATAAATAATCAACAGAATACAATAACTGAATTATAACTTTAACTAATTTAAACTTGAAAATAAGTGATAGATTTCAATTGCTCTAAAATCTATCACAAAATCAATTTGAATATTATTTTTTTTTTCAATTTTTTAGTTGATAAAAGAAACTGTGATTATAAATTAATAAGCAAAACTCATAACCAATATATAAACCATTTTATTCATGCAAGTATGATATCTCTATTAAAACTATTATTGTTGATATTAATTTATTTATATACAGATACAAACATAACCTTTTTTGGAATATATTTAACTTTTTTGTGCCAACTTCTTTTTGTTGGATGAATCGAGATAATGTGGTCACTTACAAAATTCATCTGATAGAAAGTAGGACCATGGATGGTTATAAAAACAGTAGAACTATCGTACTCCCCAAACTTGAGTCGGTCATAAAAGGCATGATAAATAATCATCTTTAGCAATATTTTTGACTCTATCCTTGGTACCAATTTTTTCATCAAGTTGTTAGAGAATCTATTCCCGTAGAGGAGAGAAAAACTGAATCTCAATTATTAGTTTGTAAGGAGTTGACACAAAAAAGTTAAGAAATAATAGCTTCAATAAAGTTTATTGTATTATTAATTTACTCAATACTACTTTGTCCACTGTTAGGCACTCAACTCATTCAAACATATTTTGGTGTTTCAATTGATTTAAACTTTTTTAATTAAAAAATAATTAATACTTTAATATAAATAAATGTACATTAAAATTTTTATTTATTGGTATAAATAATTGTTTCAGAACGCTTTTGTCTCTCTGGAACGGAACCTGGTTTGAGTTGAGACGCAGGATGCTTTAGTAGTTCTGCTGGTACTACGTTGTGAGTTGTCGTCAGCATATTCTTAAGGTCATACATGATCTCGGTGTCCTTATCGGTGAGGAACGATGATGCCATACCCTCCATACCGGCACGACCAGTACGACCAATACGATGTGTGTAGTCCTCAATGTTGTTTGGCATATCATAGTTGATAACATGGGTGACACCTTCGACGTGGATACCACGACTGGCCACATCGGTAGCAATCAACACATTGTAACGACGACGCTTGAAACCATCGAGTGCCATCTCACGCTGATCTTGTGAACGTGAGCTGTGAAGTGAAGTGGAAGTCATTCCACACTCACTCACAATTTCCGAGATGATTTCACAGTGCTTCTTTTTGTTAACAAAAATAATAATGGGTGGAGGTGGTCCGTTCGAGAGGAGATCCATGAGTTGGACACGCTTATCGTGGTCGGATTTAACAAAGACAACATTCTGTTTGATTCTATCGACAGCTTTACCGGCCTCACCAATAATGACATGGACGGCACGTCTAAGGTATTTTCTTGAGAGTCTCTCTACCTTTGGAGGCATAGTAGCAGAGTAGAGAATTGTGGTTCTGTAGATACGATTGGCATCGGTTTCTTGCTTCTCTGCCTCCTCTTCATTCTCTGACTTGAGGAAACTGGATGGCATTGCATCAAGAACCGAAACTACTTGTGGCTCGAAACCCATATCAATCATAAGATCTGCTTCGTCAAGCACTACATAATTACATTGATTGAGCACCAAGTACCGCTTCTCCAAACAATCATTCAGACGACCGGGTGTAGCAATTACGATCTCACAGCCTTTGGATAACTGGAAGATCTGATCTTCAATAGGCTGACCACCAACCAGTGCAACACATCTAAATCCAAAATGATTGGCAAAGTTTCTTGCTTCCTTCTCGATCTGTAACGCCAACTCTCTGGTTGGTGCCATCACCAGAGCATAAGGACCGTCTGCCTCTGTCTCCTTGTTGAGTCTGGGCTGCTTTGAGATGTAAACAAGCATTGGAATGACAAATGCAGCAGTCTTACCACTACCAGTTTCTGCAATACCAAGTACATCTCTGCCCCACAGCGCAATTGGAATAGCTTGCATCTGAATTGGCGATGGTTTTTCATAACCCATTTTGGCGATGGCCTCCAGAATCTCACGAGGCAATATACTCTCACGCCAGCTTCGCATTGGATTGGGGATACCACTTCCTTTTGTCGAGATATTAAAGTCCTCCCTAAAGATACGCCAATCTCTCTCGGTCATCAATTTCAAATCCTTCTTGGACCAATGAGTTGGTGGCAATTCTTTTTCGTGATCTGATTTGCCTTTGCTGTCCTGACCATCGAATCCAGCCATAACACCTCTACCAAATTGCGGTTTTACCTCTTGTCTGTTGGCATACAATGTGTTGTAATCGTTTGATGTATCTTCAGCGGTATCCCATTCAAATACAAATCTAGTTCTCTCACTTTTCTTTGGTTTCTTCTTTCTATCTTTCTTTTCACCGATGTACTCTTTCTTGATATCATTCAACTCTCTTTCTTCTTCTCTTGTTCTTTTCTCTCCTACATTATTGTCGTCTTTCTCATCACGATATGATCTATTAGAACGATCATCACGTCGATCATCCCTTCTATCGTCTCTTCTATCGTCTCTTCGATCATCCCTTCTACTTCCATACCTATCATCTCTTCTATCATCTCTTCTGTCGTCTCTTCTATATCTATCATCTCCTCTATCGTCTCTTCTGTCATCTCTTCTATCATCTCTTCTATCGTCACGTCTATCACGATCATCTCTTCTACCACCAAATCTTCCATCTCTTCTATCATCTCTTCTGTCATCTCTTCTATCATCTCCTCTCTTATTGATATCTCTATTATCTCTAGAGTCCCTAGTATCTCTTCTATCTCTGTCATTAGAACTACTATTGTTGTTGCTGCTATTGTTGTTGTTGTTGGATGAATTTGAGTTGATTGAGAAATACTCTAATGGGTTGACGTTCATTAACTTCTCTTGCTCTTGTGATACCAAATCATTTCCACTTTGCATATCAAAGTCATTTGAAAACAAGTTGTTCAATCTTTGTAATGATTGCTTTTGTTTCTCTTGTGATTTCTGCTCAGCTTCTTCCTGTCTTCGTTTCAAAGCGGCCTCTCTCTTTGCAGCGAGTGAGGTGAATACAGGCTTGACATCACCACCACCTACACTAGCAACACCATTACCATTACTAGGACCATCTTGTAATTTCTTTAGAGTTTCAATAGATACTGGCTGTAATGACATAAATTTCAATTGGTTAGTATTACAATGATAATATGCAGTTATATTGTTTTTATTATTAAACAATGATATTAATTCATTTATATTTAAATCAATGTTGGTTTTGTTATTGTTATTTGAATTATTATTATTATTATTATCAATGTTATCTCCAATTACTTTATCATTAATATTATACTTTTTATTAAATAAAGCAATTAATTCGTTTGTTTTGTTATTCATGATTAAGTATTAAATATTATTATTATTATTGTTATTATTACATGTTATAGATTAATTACCTCTGGTTTTGTGTTCATTATCAATTTAATTATATTATTTGAATTTCAACAGTTTATTTTAAGAAAATTCATGTGAATTGAGAAGATATATTTAAAACAAATAAAACTTTAAGCAACTTTAAACCTGAATTTTCATAAAACATATTGTTGAAATTTGATTAATCGATTTAGTTTGTAAACATCTATTAATATTGTGGGGAATCTGTAGATATAAAAATAATGTGATTGAGACCAATGAATGATTTAATTTTAATATTTTTAATTTATTTAATTTATTTAATTGATTTAATTTGATTTGAAATATATTGTTGTTGTTGTTATTATTTAATAAAAAGTTTATACAAGAAAACAAAAAAATTTGATACAATTCTTTGATTTTGATTATATTACTTTTTTGTCTTTGCTTTTTTTTTCCGTCCAATCTAAAAACAGGATTTGTTTGAAATTGAAACTGGTGAGACGGTGTAATTTCCGTATCTGATATCTTGGAAGCTAGAGTATGGGCAAGCATTATCCTTTTGTTGTTGTTGTTGTTGTTGTGGTTGGGAACAAGAACGCAAGAATTGAACGACCTGAGAGTGACCGTTGTTCTTGGCTTCAGCCAATGGAGTGCAACCGGATTCGTCCAAACAACTGATGTTGGCACCAGCTTGAACAAGAAGACGGCAACAGTTCTCTTCACCAAGCGATGCGGCGAAATGCAAAAGTGATTCACCGTCGTCGTTGGCGAGATTCGGGTTGGCACCGGACTGGAGCAAAAGACGGAGAGCGTCGGTTCTCGATTCACGAATAGCGTAGTGAGCGGCAGCTTCACCATCACTATCGATGAGATCAAGCTTGGATCCGGCAATAATAAGCATACGAATAACGGCGAGGTTGGCAGTGTCGATGGCATAGTGTAACGGGGTCGTTTCGTTGAGCGTCTGAAGATTGGGATTGGCACCCTTCAGTAGGAGATACTGCAAGTAGACCAGGTTCTGAGTCATCACGGCCAAGTGTACCAATGCTAGTCCCTCTGCGTTTTGCGCGTTCAGGTTGGCACCGGTGTTGATCAGGTTATCGATCGACTGGTAGTCGGTTGCTTTGTAAAGCTGGATCAGTATGTCACCGACATTGTAGGATTCAATCTTTATTCTCTCATCCCCAGCTGGATTAGGTGGTACTGGGGATTCCTGTTCATGAAAAGTTGTTTTAACGTTGACAACTTGATTATTTGACATCTTGAAATACTACGGTTGTTGATTGAAAAGGTTGGTAATTGGTCTAGTGGGTTGGTTGTTGTATTGCTTAAGGAGCGCGCGCTGAATGTTGTTGTTGTAATAAGCTTGTTTGTTGGGAACTTGATAGATGCTTAAAAGAGATTTGCTTGTGTTTTTCGTTCTACTTCTAGATACTGTATTTACTATTGACTGTTAGGTAATTGGTGTTGGGAATAGGTCCGTTCTACTACGGGGGTTAGGCGGCGGGGGGAATGTGGTGGTTGCTAATTGACTAATTTGAGAAGTTTAAAGTGGAATTTGTCGACTATTAAATAAAGAGTTGGCTTGAAAACTGATTTGACCTTGTTGGGTGATTAACTCGACTCTCTCGCTGTCTAAAATGTTGTGTTTTGGGTGGGGAGAGTAGAGAAGAAATACTGAGAAACAAGGACTAAATTGATTGTTACAACCAACGGATGTTATTTAATAGATAAACAAATCAAAAAGAAGAAAATAAAATGAGGATATTCAATTTAATTGATTTGGGTGATAATTTGCTTTTGGAAAAAAAATAATAGAAGAATATTATATAGATATATGTATATGATTTAAAATTAAGAATTTGTTTTGAATTGGAAATCTTAAGATTAATTAAACATTGAAGTTATATAATATATAATTATAAAAGAAATTGGTTGAATTGATAAAAAGTTGAGAAAACGATGATAACTATTTAAAATCTAAGAAATTTCTCTTGAGAATTTAAATATAATAATATGTAATTGTGATATGGATTTGATTAAAGATTGATGATTGATTAATTGATTGTGATATTGATATTATGTTATTGCTATTTTGAATGAACGACGAATAACACCTGTATTTTGCTGCTTTTGCTTGTAAAAATGAATTGATAATTCTAAATTTGAACTGAAGAATTGAATTGATAACTTGATTTCTTGCTTTGTTTTTTTTTTTTTAATTGATATTGATTTGACTTTTTTGTATTTATTTATTTATTTTATTTATTTATTTTGATATTGATAAATTGCTATTGATTATTGATAATTGCTTGCTTTAAAATTAATTTCTAACTAATTAAACTAACTCTATAAAGTTTTGTTATTTATATGTTAATGTATTTATTTATTTATTTATTTTATTTTGTGTTTCAACTGAATTTGTTGTTTTTTTTTACTTTTGAAAACATCCACACAGGTTTGTTTTTAATTTTGATAAATAAACAAGAATTTGAAAGCAAAAATTTTGAAAAAATTACCAAATTTTTTTTTTCTTTAACACTACACACCAGAAACTGAAAAAACACATAAGAGTTTCTCAAAAACAATAAATTACCATTTTAATTTTTTTTCTTAATTTTTTTTCAGATCAATTTTAACACGCACACCCATGGTATTTGTCTTTGTATGAAGGGGGCAGGCACTTTGTGATTTATTCAAAAATTTATTTTTTCTTTTTTTTTCTCACTCCGTCCTGGTTCCATATTCCCCGCCTCAAATAATTTATATGAGTCACCACACTCAAACACACACACATAAACTCAATTAGAATAAAGAATGAGAATTTAATTCCAAAGAATCTTACAAATTTCACGTAATCGATATTTATTTCGAATATTATAAATCGTGAATAAATTATACGATAATACAACTTGTTAAAATAAGTTGGTTGTAGAAATTTAATCAACAGGTTGTCATACCCAAATTTGGATTACTGATCATATAATTACAAACTTATACTCTTAAATTTATTTAAATTAAATTATAAAGTTGGTGTTTAACTCTGAATTTCAGTTTTGTTTTCAAAATACAATAACTATTCAACATTATATCTTGATCAGATTATTATTACATTTGACCAAATATTTAGAACACTGATTTTCAATCAATTAGTCAAACAAATAATATGAGGATAATATTTTTTCGATCAGTATGTTTTCTTTTCTTTGGTTTTTGTCAACATTTTTGATTTAAACAATTAAGATCACAAACTATCATCATTCTAACTTTTAAGTGAGATCGGCAACAATTGATTAATTAACAAGTATGATGATCTTTATTAATCAAATATTATGAATACAGTATGAATATAAAACAAATTAATAGTAATCATATTAAATTAATTTATGATTATATCACAAACAAAAAGATATAAAATAGAAATAAAATAATAGAAATAAAATAAAAAGATATTTAAATTAATTTAAAAATGGCTAAATGACCAATAGAACAAAGACTTTTTATTTAAAAAAAATGCTTAAGCAGTTGTCTCTTCGGTTCTCTCGACAGCAACACCGGTTTCCTCAGTGACGACTGGAGCTGGGGCAGAGGATGGAGCGTTTTGGTACAACTCGAGCAACTTGGCGATTTCGAATTTTGGTGACTTCATGACCTTGACCTTACGGATGTAGGTGTTGGTGAGTGGGAAGATGTATGAGCACTCCTTTTGGATTTGAGCAGAGATGGTTTGGTCGATGAACTTGTTGACGACACCACCAATATCGGAGGAGGTGACATTGGAGTTGATGATGTCGAACATCTTCTTACGGATGAGCTTGACCTTTGAGGACTTGGCGTATGAGGTCTTCTTGAGTTGCTTTTGAGCCTTCTTGGTGAAGGTGATGGCAAAGACACGGAGGGTGTAACCGTCGGTGGTCTTAACATCAACGAAACACTCGATCAAGGTGGCCCACTTGTGGACGAGTGAACGCAACTTGTCAGAGGTGACGTCCATACCGTAGAAGTTGGTCAAGACGTTCTTACCTTCGACGTCGTCGGCTCTCAACTTGATCTTACGGAAGACGTGGCTCTCGTCTTGCTTCATATCAGCGAGACAGACTTCAAAGACACGACCCTTCAAACCATCAGAGGCCAACTTGGTACCTTGAGTACGGTTGACTGGGGTGTAACCAACAGTGTTCATTTGGTTTCTGGCAAAGTAGGCAGTTGGGGCCTTGACGCTGTACCACTCCTTACGGGTGAATGGGTCAACCCTATTAATAATTTGATTAATATCACATGTCTCTTACTTTAATTTATTTCTTGTTTGGTTTGTTTGTTTGTTTACTTACTTCTTACCTCCCTTCTTGGAACCCTTCTTCTTTGATTTACTATAATAATAATAATAAAAATAAGATATTAGTTATACATTGTTTTAAATGAATTATCATCTTTTTTGTTTATAGAAAAATAAATCATTTTTTTTTAAAAAAGAAAATAAAAAACCGAGAATAACTATTTTTTTTTCACCATTAAACTACTACGACTACTATTATTATTATTGTTGTTATTGTTATTTTCAACTAGTGTGAATATCATTATATTATTAATCATAAGCCATCATCTGATTCATGAACTATAATCTAATTATTTTCTTTTTTTTTTTCATGTTATTATCTATTTTTGTTTAAAAACCTGTATCTAAAATACTAGATCTATTGTCTGTAAAACCTATTATTCTGTTTGAATCTGTATTATTATTTCTACAAGATTTATCTGAAATCTAATTTTGTTATTCTTGTTTATTATTTCTAAATTAATTATTATTGTTTTATTACTAAATAAATATATTTGTAGTAGTAGTAGTAGTAGATAGTAATTATTATTTTGGTAGGTAGCAGTTATCTCAGTTTCTTAATTCTTCTCTAAATCTAATTTATTTTATAAAATAAACAAAAATAATATAAAAGACTGTTATTGACATACTCAGCCATTGTAATGTGTCTTTGTTGGTAGTGGGAAAAAGAAAGTACTGATGATAAGCGGTGGAGTTTTGAGAGCCTGCGCAGTAGTCGAAAAAAAAAAAAATTGAATTAAAAAAATGAAAAACAAAAAAAAATAAATAAAAAAGAAAATGAAACAATCAGGCGACTCACTCAAACTATGAAAAATCTCCCAAAAATAAAAGCCCGGGCTGAATAAAGTGTAACCTCTGATAAAAAATTTTATTGCAGAAAAACACCTCAAATAAATCAATATGATCGATCAACAAATCAAACATAAACAAATATTAAAATAATGTTTTAAAAATAAATAATACAAATCAACATACGAATAAATAATTAAAAATTCATCAAGATGATATTAGTTAACATATTTATGAAGACTTTGCAAGCTTGATGTCACCCTTTATTGAGTTCACAAAATTTTTTAATTTAATTAAATTTCATTAAATTTTTATTTTGTTGTAAAGTTTTTTTATTTATTTTTGTGTATTTTATTATTATTTTTATTATTATATTATGTCAGCTATAAATGATTATGAGGATGATAATGACGATGAACAAGTAGATGTAAATAATATAGAGTTACTCAGTAATTTGAACGAGAGATTTAAGAGATTACTAGAAGATGATCTAGATGGTGTTCATCTGTTTGTAGATAGACATTTCTTTCAGGTGATGAATTCTTTGGAGTTTGATCGTTTCGTAGAGCGTTGCGCCAATGTTAATTTATTGACGACAACCTTTAGTGCTACAAGATTAGATAGATTGTCTTTGTTTGGTGATGTATCGTCGTCTTCGTCTTCTTCATCGTCGTCTTCAAAACTAGTTGTTATGATTGCCAGTTATCTCTGGGACTATGCAGATGCCATAAAGATGTTACTTTCACATCACTCTTTCGATGAGTGTCTTGTACTCAGTTCCATGTCGGAACTGGCGCATCTCTCACATCCACATCCAACACTGCCATCCGCTCAATCTTCAACTTCACCAAGTTCCTCTTCCACCTCCGCTAGTCACCACTCAGCAACTTCACCAAGCCCAACATCACCCAACTCCACCTCCTCCAACAGTAAATCATCATCATCATCATCGGTTGGCAACACTCATCAATCAATATATCAAAGATTCCAAGCGGATTTCAAAGAGTCTGCCGATTGCTCTTCCAATGATTTCAGTTGTACAGTTCGATACTTCCCTGCGTGTTACACGATGTTGTCACCGAACTACTTTGTTCTTCCGGTTCAAAGCAGTGTGTTTCCACCACTCTACTTCACGGGACTGCAACAGCAACTCAATCAAAGCAGTCAGAGCAGTCTGGTGTCAAGCTCCGTGAAGAACGACTTGAAGCAACATGCAGGTATCCAACAGGACATTCACTTGACGACACACTCGCTTCTCTCTTTCATGTCTGATCTCAAACTTGGCTCGGCATCGGGCGAAGATCTACACATCTATCCGGTCGGATCGTTCGCTGGCTACTTGGCCAACGAGATACACACGGTTCTCTCAACAGTACACAAAGATCAAACCGAAGATTATCATCCTATTTCACTGGTTCTGGTGGATCGATATCTTGATTTAGTTGGACCGTGCTCACACTCTGAGAATGCACTCGATCGCATCTTCCAAACGGCAATGGTACATGACACACAGATGCCAGACATCAATATCAGTCCACTTTATAATAGACAACCATATAAATATCAACAAGCTTTAAATAATAAGAATCAACAACAACAACAATCAACAACATCTTCTTCAATATCAAATCTAATAACACCATTACATAGAATATTCGGTACGATGAATATGCAAGGTGATAATGATCGTATTTGGGTGACGTTGGCAAGTAAGACACTGAGAGAAGCTGTTGTACTATTGAAGCGACGTGTTGTTGATATTGTATCGCATGAAAACATCAACATTGACATTACATCGATCACAAGCAATGCCGGTGGTGCTATGAATCCGAATGGACTGATTCAATTGGTCGAACTACTTAAATCACATAATCTTGCATTCAAATATAGAGATGACATACAGGCATTGTGTGCAGTTATCGAAACACTTCAATGTAGTCATCATCAACACTGGGACAACCTGTTATCATTGGAAAAGATATTATTACTCTCTGCAGGTTACAGTAATAATAAATCAAATGATAACGATGATGATGATGATGATGATGACGACGATGAAGATGAAGAAGAAAGTTTATTAAGTCAAATATCAGAGATTATAAATTCACCTATATCATCTTCAGGTAATTAATTATAATTCTTTAACTATATAAGCTAAACTAAACTAAACAAAACTAATCTACTTAATTTCAATTGATTTAGATGAAAGTAAATATTCATTAAGAGAGATTATATCGTTATGTTTATTTGCATTCTCGTTGGTCGGTGAAAGATCATTCTCAAATGACGATCAATCAAAGTTGATCAATGCACTTCAATTAAGAATAGAGAATCTAGAGGAATCTGAAAAGAACGATGAAATATATAAAGAGTTATTTAGTGATATCTTCGATGAAAATGAAGAGGAAGAAGATGATGATGAGAGTGGTGGTAATAAATCAAGTGAAGTAAAACTAAGAGAAAGATTGAATTTGTTGTTGGATATCATGGAGATTGTTGCTCGTTCCAGGAAGAACTTGACAGAGTTCACTTCGTTGCTGAGAGGTGGCATGTCTGGTAGTACCTACAAGTCGTTAATGACTCAGCTCGTATCGGCAATGCTAGAGCAGACTGAAAGCAAGGAGATCAAGGCATTGGAGCGTTTCAACCCATCGAAACTCGGATCGTTACTCGGTTTTGGCTGGGGTCGCTCAAAGAAGTTGCACCGTGTTGTAGACACACGTAAGATCATTATCTACGTATTGGGTGGTCTAACATTCTCAGAGCTCAAAGATCTACAAGACACCATCGAGAAATCACAAAGAACTAACAAATCACTATCACAACATCAGATTTTATTGGGTGGAACCAACATTGCAACTTCCACTTCAATTATTTCAGGTATTACAAATATATTAACAGATAAATTGCAATCATAAATTATTATATTTTTATAAAAATTCTTTTTTTTTTTTTGTTGTTTTCGTGCATTCATTAATTTATGTAGTTTTGTTTGTCTCTCGAAAAAAAAGTTTATTAAATTAATTAAACATTTCTTTTGAGCATGTTGTTTTTTTTTTTCTGAAAATCAAAAAATTTAATTTTTTTTTTATTAAATTTTTGGCAAGAAGGTGATAAAAAAATTAATTTATATGTGTTTAGTTGATCATCAAAAAACAATATTAAAAATTAATATCTATTCATTGTAGTTAACCTTTATTGTATTATAGTTTTTTTTCAAATATATATATTTGCTTTTTATTTTTTATTTAAATAGTTTAAGAGATTAAAAAGTTGAATAAATAGATAGATAGAGTTGGTCGATTTTTAAAAAGTTTGGAAGATTGTAGAGTTGTTATTCTACGGGAATAAGAGATATATATAGGAAAAAATGATTAGTGCATTGTTTTTAATGAATGGAAAGGGTGAGGTTTTGATCTCACGTATTTATAGAGATGATATTAGGTAAATTGTTATATATTACATTAATAGTTAGTTTGTCAATGATTATATTAATATAATTGTTTGATATTTATAATAATTATAATAATAATAATAATAATAATAATATATAAATTATGCAGTCGTGGTGTTGCAAATGCATTCAGATTAGAGGTAGTATCGTCGAAAGAGAACAGATCACCTGTGAAACTCATTGGTTCGACATCGTTCATGTACATTAAGGTAGGAGGAATCTATGTAGTTGGTGTTTCACGTCAAAATGTAAATGCATGCATGGTATTCGAAGTACTCCATCAATTGGTAGACATCTTCAAATCATATTTCGATAATTTCGATGAAGATTCAATTAGAAATAACTTTGTATTGGTTTATGAATTATTAGATGGTAAGTTAGAATATATCTATATAACATAAGAATATTAAATAATAACAACATTTGTTTATTAACAAATTATAATCTTTTCTTTTTCTTTTATTTACTTTTTAGAAATTCTTGATTTTGGATATCCACAAAACTGTTCGACCGATGTATTGAAATTGTATATCACACAAGGTCAAGGTAAATTGAAGTCACTTGATAAAGTATGTATAGAGAGAGATTAGATTAGATTGATAAATAGATAGATAGATTGATAGATTGAAGTGAAGAAACTAATAATATATTTATTTACAAAAAGTTGAAACAAGAGAAACTATCAAAGATTACAATTCAAGCAACTGGTACTACACCATGGAGAACACCGGATATCAAGCACAAGCGAAATGAAATTTATATAGATGTTGTAGAGTCGGTCAATTTGTTGATGTCGGCAGAGGGTAACATTCTACGTGCCGATGTCACCGGTCAGGTCATGATGAAGTGCTATCTCTCTGGTATGCCAGAGTGCAAGTTTGGTATGAACGACAAGGTGTTGATGGAGAAGGAGCGTACCGGTCCATCCACTGCACCCAAACGAAGAACCAACGGTGTTGAAATCGACGATATTACATTCCATCAGTGTGTCAGACTTGGTAAGTTTGACACTGACCGTACCATCAGTTTTGTTCCACCCGATGGTGAATTCGAATTGATGAAGTAAGTTGAGAGTCATCAGTCAGCGACAATAGGAAATAACCATATTTTATGATTCTAATATAATATTCAATCCATTCTAATTCTCTTTTAGATATCGTACTACTGAGCATATAAATTTACCATTCAAGGTTATTCCTATTGTAAAGGAGATGGGTAGAACCAGAATTGAAGCAAGTGTAACTGTAAAATCTAATTTTAGTTCAAAGATGTTTGGTACCAATGTTAAGGTCATCATTCCAACACCCAAGAACACAGCGGTCTGTAAGATTGTTGTGGCCGCCGGTAAGGCCAAGTACATTCCCGAGCAGGACGCAATCATCTGGAGAATCAGAAGATTCCCAGGTGACACTGAGTTCACACTGAGAGCCGAAGTCGATTTGATGGCATCGGTTAATCTCGATAAGAAAGCATGGTCTCGTCCACCAATCTCTATGGAGTTCCAAGTGACTATGTTTACAGCATCCGGTTTCTTTGTACGTTTCTTAAAGGTTGTCGAAAAGAGCAATTACACACCAATCAAATGGGTTAGATATCTAACAAAGGCTGGTACCTATCAGAATCGTATTTAAAAAAAAGAAAAGAAAAAGAAAAAGAAAAGAAATAGGATCATTTCAAACCTTTTTTGAACAAAAAGATAATGTGATAAGAACAAAAAAAAAAAAACTAGTATAATAATCAATTTAACTTTACAATCAATCTATGTTTAAAAAATTAAAATAAATTAAATAAAACAGAGAAATAAGTAACCATCCTATTAACCAATGACCTATTCAAAGTGTAAACATTTTCGTGAATTCGATTTACCTTGGCCCAACCAACGAAGTTCTATAATGGTATCTGTGACTCTGTGTCTTGAGTAGTGATCCAAAGAAATGACTTTGGAGTGAAATGTACCATAATCAAAATCACTGGCGATACTACAGCCGAGAATCATATTTCTTTTAGCTTTGATTCTACAATCATTGTGAAATACTTTATCAACAAATTCTTTGATTGTTAAGGTTGATTGGAGAGTAAAAGTGTGGATAAATTAAATTTCGATCCAACATGGGTTTTATTATTATTTTAATTTATATACTATATTGAAGAAAAATTTTTTTTTTCTTTTTTAATAAATTTATAAATAAATAATTCTAATAATATTTCTTGGACATAAAACAATAGTTATAAAACGAAAGTTAACCAAAAGGTAACCATCCCATAAACCAATGACCTATGTAAAGTGTCAGATTTTTAAAGGCGTTCGTCAACTTTCGTTTTTTTTTTTTTTCGCAAAGTTTGAATGATGATTCGTTTTCGTGTTTCATATGAATCACCTCATGTTTCTAATAAGACGTTACTTAAAGTATCTGATCAAGCTTTATTTTTTTTTTTTTTCTCGGCTAAGTTTCGACTTTGAAAAAAGATAGCAAAAAGTAGTGTGTAAAGATAGTAACTGACACTATTTTTGAGTTCAAAGATGAGTAATCCTGATCTCTTTTTAAAATATGTATACGAAAAAAAAAAAGTTATAAGAGATTATGAAAAATGAATTCATTTAGATGATTTGAGATTTTAAACTGCCTCGGAATTTGTTATTTACAGACAAGATTTAAAGGTGTTTATCTATATTATCTAATTTAGTTTTAGCTACAATTGAGTCATGTCTATCCAAGTTATTAAATTATCATAATCAATCGAGATACCAGACTATTTTGAATCTATTCCAATTTAAACCCCAAAATATTTATTTAAATTTGGAAAAAAAGATTTAGAAAAATTATTCAATTTGAAACAAAATGATTGTTTATTTAAATTTTCAACAGACAACATTAGTATTATAAACTATAAGATATATATTATAACCTTATAAATGTATCTATAGTCTGTTTTTATAAGAAAAAGGAAAAATAAAAGATTATTCATTTGAAGATTTAGATTCAAAAATTGGAAATTATTGTTGTTTACTCCAATTCTATATATATTTTTTACAATCAATCACTTGCAATTGATTTCTTGTCTATTTTCTGTTCTAAATATCAAATTCTTTTTTGTGAATAAGTGAATTTGTATAATATCCGTTTTATGATAGGTTTGTTTTGCATTAGAAATATAAAGTAAGAAAACCAAATTTCCATGACAACAAAAAAGCTTCTGTGGCTCAGTAAGCAGAGCATTCCGCTGTTAACCGAATGGTCGTTGGTTCGATCCCAACCAGGAGCGAATTTAAATATGATATTCTCACCGGATGCGGATAAGCAACATCTAAGCAACATCTAAGCAACATCTAAGCAACATCTAAGCAACATCTAAGCAACATCTAAGCAACATCTAAGCAACATCTAAGCAACATCTAAGCAACATCTAAGCAACATCTAAGCAACTGTGATGTAATCATTGGGTATTCCCGCTATACCAAAAGGGAAGTTAACTAATTATGATCTGCTCCACAAGCATCTTCCCACCTTACTGTTTCTATCTGTACATTCGTTATGGCAGGCGCTGTCCTGTAAAATGTTTGGTGATGGTACCCAATACAAGCTGGAAAATACCGTCAAGAGAGCAGTCACCCATTACAAATTAATCGGTGCCAATTACCACAAGCTTAACTTCACAATCGCTAATTCTATCTCCCAAGGAGTCTCTGTCGATTGCTCTGCAATAACACTTAAATTTAAATCTGATTGGAATCCAAATCCTTCCAACTACGTGCCACCACTTTATACTGTTGTTCATCAACACACAACTACTGTTAGATCTATTCTATCTTAATACTACTCAAATTATTAATTAATAATAACTAAATGATTAGTCTAAATCTATAAACAATAATAATAACGATAATAATATTTTATTGGCTATTTCTCACGGCCTGTGTGAGAATGTATATATAATATAAAACACGAACTAACAGGTTAATCAATACCTGCAATTTGTTGGCTGATCATGAGTCAACAAATCCTTTTTTGAAAAAAAAAAAAAAAAAAAAACAAAAACTTTGTATTAATTACTATATAGAACACTCTATCTATAACTTATACTGTTATACATGTAGGTTTATTTAACACAGAATAGTAAATATAATATAATAATAGTAAAGTTATACTGATGGACTGACTGTAAATAATAAATAAAATAGCAGGTTAATATAAAAACCTGAAATTTGAGGTATTAAATAAAATAAAAAAAAAAGAAAAGATTTTGCTAGATACTAGCAAATGGAAGTTTATCAATAATAATTCAGTTAACTGAATTTATTAAATACAAATCAAATAAAAATAAAAATGAGTATAATTTCTGTAGGGTCAAAATATGTAATTTAATCATTTGTTTCTCTTCTTTTCTATTTATAAAATCGTATATTTTAAAGTTTTTTTATAAATTCTTCTCCAACAATGATATCAGTGCAGATAAACATTGAAAAAGAGTCTTCGTTGTTTTAAAGAGTTATCAAATAGACTAAATCTTTTCGTGGTGGTGATGTCGATTAGGGTTTCTTTATTCCTCTGACTCGACAACCAGCAATTGTTAACAACAACAACAATGATAATAATAATAATGATAGTAACACTATTAAATTGAATGGTGCTCGTTGCTGTATTATTTATTTATTTGTTGTTTGTTGTTTGTTATGAAGTATTTGATTGTTTGGTTTTATGTTGGGTTGGTGCTATTATTAATATTATTCAATTTACATTGGAGGAAACATAGCAAAAGGAAAAGATGAGTCGTGTACTCAAAGAGCGATTACCACCATGGATGGATTTCAAATTAACCGATAAAGTACTACATAAAGAAGCTATAGATAAAATATTAGATATTAAAATGGTATGTCAATTGAGAGAGAGGTATATATATATTGATAGATATTGTTTAGCTTACTAATCTAAATTTAATAAATAATAATAATAATTGTTTATAGAGTAAAAAGACATTCTTACAATCACCACCGATCGACTCTGACTATTATTGAATTGTTTGTGTGAAGTTCATTTTGTTTTTATTGATCTATAAAAACCTTCAACATAGATAATAGATAGATAATATTCAAGTTGGTAAATTATATTATATTACATTATATTATATTATATTATATTATATTATATTATATTATATTATATATTTAGAGTTTATTATTTATTATGATTTTGTCCAATCGACTTTATTATCAATTTCCTTGACAAAATTATCGCAATCACCCAAATATACATAGTCAAACTCGTGAGGCTGACCGACAATCTCTCTATTAATTAAAATCTGTGGGATCTTTGAATCCAGAATCTCTGGTATAAGTGCAACGGGCTGGACTTTGAGCGATGATCCCATGACGATGAGTAGGTCTACGTTGTCGCGGTCCAGTCCAACGCACTGATCGAAGCGATCCGGCAGATTCTCACCAAAGAAAACAATGTCTGGTTTCATAAACGATGTATTATTATTACAATTTACACAATAGGGAATCTCTTGCTTCATGATGGTATCTCGAAGTGCTGCTCCCTCCACCATAGTATTACAGGTGACACATGTAGCAGTCTTGAATGATCCATGGCAGTTCACCAGCTTCTCTGAGGTTATTCCAACGATGTGCTCGAGTGTATCGATATTCTGTGTGTAGTTTCGCAGTAGTTTTCCATGCTCGTCCAGCTTCTTCAAGAAGTAGTGAGTTGGCGACGGTTTGTGGCTGCCCGGATATATCTCCTTGGCAAACTCAAAGAATGGACGGGGATCCTCCCGGAGATAGCGAATATCAAACAACGACTCTGGCTCTGGAAGATTGTACTTTTTCTCGATGGTATCATAGACACCGCCTTTGGAACGAAAATCTGGAATTCCACAGGAAACACTGACACCGGCACCCGTCACAACAACAATATTTTTACATTTCGATATTAAATTTACAGCGTCTTCCAACGAGTTGATATGTTGGAGCTTCTTTCGGAACGGTCGACAAAATTGTTTATACTTGATATAATTACAAAACAAATGCAATGCTATTTTTTTCTTTGTCAAATAGGATTTTATCAATCCCCACACATCATCTTCACCTTCCTCCAATTCCAATTTCTTTAATTTTAAAAATTAAATTATTATAGATTAATAAAATTGTTTTTGCGAAGAAAATGCTATTTAATATAATATTTATAAATACTTACAAAACCTAAATCTTTTGTAAATTTAGTTGGATCCACTCCTAAAACTCTATTTTTTTCAATATGTTCCGATATTAGTGCTCTGGCAACATCCAAGAGTTCCTGTTGATCGTCTACCAACTTGGATTCGACTGCCAACTTTAAATTTGCTTCGGTCTCGCTATCATGCTCTGGTTCGCTACTGCTACCATCGTCATAGTATTCGTCGTTTTCGTCTTCGTTTTCATTGTAGTCGGTACTCTCTACTATGGTTTCGCCATCGGATGTTTCACTCGCCAGATGTTCGTGCATCTCCTGACCAATATCAACATCACTATTATGATTACTTAGATTATTTAGATTGTTTTCTATATTTCCACCAACATGATTCTGATCATCGTAATTGGTGTCGTCTTCATTACTATTGCAATCCAATTTATCATTATTTCCATCACCATTCTGATGATGATGATTATTTACAATTTCTGAAAGCTGACCACCACTAACACTCTCATTTCCATTTTCATATTTCCTAATTTATCAAACAAAACAAAGTTATTAAAATTTGAAAAAAAAAAAAACAAAGAAAAAAAAACAAAAAAAAACCAAATACATACACTTTTTTCTCAACATGTTGTTCCTCGCTATTTTCTTCAACTTTTGAGTTTATGAGCAATTGTTCTTCTTCTAATACTCTTTTATTATTATTCATTTTATTTTATTTATATAAATAAATAAAAAGTGTTTTATATTTATATAAATATATATTTATTATTATTTTATTAATAAATAAATAAAAGAAAATAATTATAATTAAAATAAAAATAAACGTAAAAATTAATTGAGAAATAAAAAATTAGTAACTTTTTAAAAAAATTCAAAACAATTTTTTTATTTTTTTCTATCGACACCACACTTTCCACCCCCTTGCAAAAAAATTTCAGTTTTTCTTCTGTCTTGACAATTCCTTCACAGTTTATTTTGACTTTTTTTATATTTAATTTTTGTTTTCCAGTTTTTTTAATTTTAATCAAAACTTAAAAATTCAAATCTAAATGATAAGATTAAATTTAATTATTTGATTTGGAATATTAGTAATATTAATTTCTTAGATTTGGTGAAAATCAAATCGTATTTGGGCTGGATTTTGGAAAAAAAAAAAAAAAATGAAAATTTTCAAAAAATCAAAATTTAAATTACTTTTTTTTTTTTGTTTATTAATTTGTCAGATTTATATAGTTGATCTTCAATTGATATATAAAAGATATGTTTAATAATAATAGTAATAATGTTGGTATAAATGTACAGTCGGGTGGAGCGATCAATGTCTATGGTATTTCATTAAAGTCAAGAGCGATCTCATTGATTGGCGCCGATCAAGACTCGAATCGATTCCTGGTGGGCACTCAAGCATTGAAAGAAGAGAATGAAGTTAGATTGATAGAGGAGAAAGAGAATGAAGGAATCGGTCTCGTCTCGATATTCTCGCATCCCAAGGAGATCTGGTCGATCACCTCTTGCACCTACGATGCCGACTCCTTCTTCACAGTGTATAATACTGGTACGGAGTACCGTTCTTCTTGCTGGAAGATGAACCACGAATCGACCACTCTCGAAGAGCTATTCGAACTCAAAGGTCATCAAGGAATGATCAAACCAATTCTTTGTGATCCTTCAGAGACAGACGACTATGTTATATCATTGGATGATTCAACCATTAGATTATGGTCAATTAAGAATAATACTCCATCTGTATGTCTGTTTTGTTTTGTTTTGTTAATTCCTCCCAAACAATTCGCTAACTCTCTCTATTATTATGATACTTTAGGTTGTTAAATCATTTGGTGGATTAAATAAATTGACAGCAGGATCGATCAATCCAAATATAAATAATCAATTGGCAACTGCAAACGATGTTAATATCAAAGGATGGGATTTTAGAAGTGGAAAGTAAGTTGTTTTTAAAAAAAAAATAACAGAGATCATATTGAAATTAACAACAACGACAACAACAACAACAACAACAAAAAAACATATAGGGAATCATTCAAGATCGATAAAGCACATAGTGAATTGATTAGAGATATCGATTTCAATCCAAACAAACCATATATATTATTGTCGGCAGGTGATGATGGTAAGTTGAAGTTTTGGGATACACGTTATACAGAGGAGCCTGTAAAGATGTTCTCTGGACACAATCATTGGATTTGGAATGCCAAGTTCAATAAATATCATGATCAGTTGGTTATTACATCTAGTAGCGATAATACTGTTAATCTATGGCATGTCTACTCGATCTCATCCGCTATGCAAGATCAAAACAAAGATATCACCTCAAACTCTAGTCCATCCATTGAAGGTCAAACTAACGAACAACAACAACAACAACAGCAACAACAACAACAATCACATTCATCACATTCATCACATATCTCCTCTACTGGTGGTAAAACAAAGTAACTTATCAATACTATTATTATTATTATTATTATTATTATTTTCCCTTAATTTTACTAACAAACTAACATACATATAAATATAGTAAAAGAAAAGAAGATAAACTTATTAAAACATTTGAAGAGCATGAAGATAGTGTTTACAATGTTTGCTGGGGAACAAGTAATTTTATTTTCGCTTCACTGTCATACGATGGAAGAGTTGTCATTAATAATGTACCAAAAGAATATGCTGATTTGTTAACTATCGAATAAAAATTTAAATTATTATGTCTTTCATATAAATTAAATTTCTGTAATCAATGATAGATATGATTGTAATATAAATCGATAGAACACTATAATTGTCTATTGTTTGGTATATTATCACCAATTGATAGATTCTAATTTTAAAAAAGTTGTTTTATTACAATAAAATACAAACATGTTTAATTTTAAATATATATATATGCATTGTGTTGGTATATAACTTATTATTATTATCTTGACCAAATCATTTTTTTATCTTCAAATTCAATAAGTGAATCTATAAGCATTGAATGATCTGTTATTTTACTCTTTAGCTTTTCACCGAGCAATAGGAAATGATCGTCAGAGACACGACGACAAAGTGTTCCGTATCCATAGGTATATTCAATGGTTGTAATCGACTTTGGTAGAGATTGAACCGGGTTAGAGTGGAGGAAGTCTGGATGTGCGATTAGCAATCGTTTCAGAGAGGATGGTAAGCATCCTTCTGGTAGTTGATGAGTGTATTTATAGCCGAATCTTATCGTCTTTAGGTTTGGAGGCAGAGAGCCCACCTCAAGTGGCTGATTAAAGTTTGAGCCGAGTCGAAGAAACTCAAGACTGTCCGGCAACAGTCCAGGTTGAATCGGATGGTTCCAGGCGTCACCCATGACCAAGTGCTTCAAGGTCTGAGGGAACACACCTACTTCGAGTGGCGATTGAAACAGAATGGAGAATTCAATCTTCTCCACCTTTGACGGAATGAATCCAATGGGCACTGGTTTGTTCAACGAAGAAAAGTCTATCTCTATGACCGACTCTGGAATGGTTCCCATCACCGGATCGTTAACTTGTAGCATTCTATTTAGATTCAGCTTGGTTACACCGAATGGGATCATTCCAACCTCGAGTGGCTGATTCATAAGTGTTCCAAAGTCAAGGTCTGTAACCGTCGAAGGTATTGATCCTGTTTTGAGAGTCTGGCCATTTAGACCGATAAGTCGCACAGTGGTGACCGTAGGTGGTAACATATGTAGGTAGGTCAATGGTATATTCGTAACCGTAGTGATATTCTCAGTCAATACATTCGGGAGAAGTTCACAGATGTAATGGTGACCTAGCGACAAGTTGGTCAGACTCTTTGGCAGCGTATCTGGTTGGAGAGAGTAATAAAAGTCGTAGCCAATCGACAGCTCTTCGAGTGTCTCGGGCAAGTCGCCTTTTCTAATGGGTTGATTGAAACTCTTACCGCAGAACAGTGACTTTAGATTCTTTGGCAATGCTTTGGCACTGAGTGGATAGTTGAATGAGGGTGGCAATCGCATCCAAGTGATGTTAGCATTCTCGTGAATGTTGAGTGATTCCAGTGGAACGTTGACGCCATCGCCAAACTGTACTAAATAGACATTGTCTGGAATCGGTTGTCCCACCAACACAAAGTAATCGATATTCAGCCAACTGTAGATCGAACCTTCATCGGCGTCCTTTACAATCATTGCAGTACATTTTTTCTTTCTGTTGAGTGAGTACTCCATTTGTTTCAAATGAGAACTCAAAATCTGTTTGTGTTTGAATGTTTCTATCGATGTCACTGGAACACTCTTTGTATTGAAAGTCAAGTAGTATTCTCTCTCAGCAAACCACTTCTTACAAACAAAAGTCATAATCACTCGATCGATATTATCTTCCAAATGATTCAATATCTCTTGTAACAATACATGTGATAGGTTTACAAATTTATTACTATTATTACTATCCATTATTTTTAGTTATTTTTATCTAAACTTATAAAATTTAAATTGGTAAAAGCAACAATAAACTCTTGAATATATATTTATTCTTTTTTTTTTTGCAAAAATAAAACTTAGAGATCATATGATCAACAACAATATATATTTTAACCGATTAATTAATTAATTTTAATGTCTTCAATTTCAAATAATCTCTCCGATATTATCTGGTGCACGTCAAAAAAAAAAAAAAAAACCAAATTTCAAGTGGAATGGTTGGGGGTTATACACAGCACACTTTTAAAGATAAATGTTATTGTGATATTGCAGATGCGTATGATGAATGAATAAATCATCGATAATATCTTTTACTTTTTACTTTTATAATTGATTTATTTATATATATATTTATTGTTGTTGTGCATTCTTTAGATCCAAGAAAGGATGCCATAAACCTTGAATTGTATCTGTCTTTTTAATATAACGATCACCAAACTTTGTTGGTTTAAAACCAGATGTATCTCTTAGATTCTGTAAATGTTTAATAATCTTTTCTTCTTCTCTTCCACGCAATGGTAAAAACTTTTCTTTTCCTGATACTAAATGAATTGTGGGTATAAATATTGATTAGTTTGATTCAGAGTCTCAACTATATTAATCTTCAAAAGAAACACTTCTATGATATATCGATATAGTTGCTAATTATACTGATAAAGATTGATATTCCAACACTATGTTGTCGAACGAACATCTACTATCTTTCAATTTCAATTTGAATATTGTCATATCTAGAGTTCTTGCACTATAATTGTCTTTAATCTAATCCTATATATATCATTTATAACTTCTACTATATCTATCCCATAGAGTGTTCTTTGAGTATTAGTTGGTTTGTTTGTTGTTGATATTTACAATAGGTAGCAGTTACAGATGGATGACATCCACTGACAACCTTTTCTTCAAACTCGATCTGTGGGTTAGCTTCTTTAAATTTAATAAAATCTGTTGGTAAAATGTTTCTAAAATTATAAAATAATATAGATAGAGATATCATAAAAAGGTAATGTCAATATTATTGTAGTCTAATGAAGAACATCATCATCATCATGATTCATCAGTATTTTAAGTCTCATACCTAATATATTTGCTGCTACCAGAGTGTTCACAATATGTGATACACATCTTCTTCAATTGCCACACACCATTTCTAGACATTCTTCTTTTGATCTATTCAACTATATTAATTAATATATCAATACAATTTAATAATTTTACAGAATAATATGAGTGTAAACAGTTTATTTCGTTTTTTTTTTTTTTGCAATTTTTCACTAGAGTGAAATGCGATCATTTACTATCAGTAACGTTGAAAAATTGGGTGAGTTTTTTTGAATTTTATTTTTCATTGTACGATTGATTGGGTTATGCTGCTCTGAGTGATCAATACTTTCGACTAATTGTTTGTTGTTAGTTTTTTGTTTTTTTTTTAATTTTTTTTTAATTTTTTTATTATTATTGCGATAATAACAAGAATATAAACAACAATAATAACAATAAGAATGATTGGAATGAAATCAATTTCCAATGTTAGATCAGTTGGATCACTCTTATACAGAAATAGCAGTAGTAGCAGTAGCAGTTTGAATGGTGTCATTGCAAGTTTCTCAACATTCAATATCAATAGCAACAGCAGCAGCATTTCTTTAAATAAATATAATATAAACAATAGAAATAATAATAAAAGTAACAATAATATATATAAAGTTAGAACATATACATCAAGTGCATCAACTTCAGAGAATATAAACACACAGAGCATCACATCGACTACAACTACCTCCACTTCAGAACACTTCAATCCAAACTCAATTTTAACATCATCATTTTCAGTACCAGTCGTCAATTTCAAATCGAAAGAGAATGTCGGTGAAATTCAATTATTAAAGAGTATTTTTTCTGTACCATTGAGGTAAGATCAGATTTTTTAAGCTAGTAGTTCTGAATATTATTGATTGACCAATCGATTTGATAGATTGATTGATTTAATGAATGAATATACATTATATATGTTCAGTTCAAGTAAATCGCTCTCATATCGATCGATCGATCGGTTGAAACCAATCAAAGTTTTGAACATTTTTAAAATTTTTTGGTATTAACATTATTATTATATTACATACATATGTTTAATCTAATTTTAGAGTCGATATTTTACATAGAATCGTACGTTGGCAAAGAGCCAAAGCAATGCAAGGTACTCATTATGCACAGAATATGGGTGATATAGATAGAACAAACAAGAAACCATTTTCACAAAAAGGTACTGGTCGTGCTCGTCAAGGTACAAATCACGCCATTCAAATGAAAGGTGGTGCCAGAGCTTTCCCACCAAAACCAAGAGATCACTCTTTTTCATTACCAAAGAAGGTAAGTTGGTTGTTATTGTTTAAAACAAACATTATAATCAATCGATAACATTTATTTATTAATTTATCAAAATTTATATCTAAAACAAAAAAAAAAAAAGGTTCGTAGACTTGGTCTCAAAGTAGCATTGGCAACAAAGTTGGCACAAAATAAATTGGTTATCGTTGAGAATCTTGAGTTGGAATCACACAAGACTAAAGATTTAGATACACTGTTGCCAGAGCAATGGGGACGTTCGCTTTTGGTCGACAAGGAGATCTCTTCGAATCTCAGTCTCGCTGGATTCAACATTAAGCGTATCGATCTGTTGCCCGAGCGTGGATTGAACGTATATTCCATACTCCAAAAGGACACCCTTGTTTTAACTAGAGCATCACTTGATGAAATTCAAAAGAGATTATCAGAACAATCAGAAAACTAATTATTATTATTATTATTCACAATAGCATCAACAACAACAACAACAACATAACAATAACAACTTTACATTACTTTAACTAAAACAACAAAAAAATAAAAAAGATAACAAACAAACATTATTAATTTAATATTATATTATAATATACATTTGTTTTTGTTGTTGTTTTTATTTTATTTTGGTTGTTCTATATATCCTATACATAATTTCTCCATCATCGCTTCGAAATTTACCCAACCATGTCTAAATTCTATATTGGTGAATATTAAAAGTTAATTAAAGATGATCACTATGTTAATTGTTTTATAATATAGTAGTAAATTGATAATTACCAAACATTCTTGTACAATCTTTACCAGCAGCACGCGCTAGTTGTGCATCACCACCTGGATGATAAGTGAAATAAGGTGTTATATCGTATACTCTTCCTTTGTAGACAGTCCATGCATCTTCAGGTGTTGAGTGTTGTTTAAGTTCTTCAATGGTGATCGGTGCATTACTTCTAAACTTGTGTTTGGTAGCTACTGATGCTGTTGTTGTTGTACCTGCAGTTGCAACTGCTGGTTGTTTTTGTAATCTCATCCAATCCAATTGACTATGACCATGTTGTAGTGGTACTTTTTGTTTTTGTCTCTTCCCACTTGCTTTCTCCTCTATTTCAAACTCTGTTGGTATTACTTCTGGATATTCCATACTACTATCTATCTCTTAATATATAAATAAATATAAGTTATTAAACTAAAAATGTTTAAATTTTATAAAAGTTTTTAGATCTAAATTTTAATTACTAATAGTTTTTTAGTTTTGCAAAAAACACCTTGTTGATCATAATTATGTGTTACTTCAAAGAATCAGAATAATAATGATCTTTATTTATTTTGTAATAGAATTGTTTTTTAATTAACAAAATGTATGTACAGTTTATTTTTTATTGATTGATTGATTGATTGATTGATTAATTTCAATGTAAGAATGGTGGATCACAATAGTTTACTTTGCAACCAGTTGGTCTCATTGGAATAGAAATATGCTTGTATCCAGCTGGACATTGGAGAGTAGAAACGTCACATGACTTTGGTGAATCTACACAGCCATCTGGATGTGTACAAAGGTATTCATCACGTTTATAGACCGGTGTTTGGTCGGATCTGCACATGAGGTTACCGGAAACACGACAAGCATGACCAGTTACAATCTGTGCATACGATCTCACCACTTTGATATTGGTGTTTGGCTCGATCTGTATCATTATACGACGATCGGTGAGTGCATCACGATACCAAATGCCATCGAAACCCTCGATCGTTACATAGGGATCGGACAAATCTTTCACTGCAACCACATCGTCTTTATCATTGACATTGACGGCATCCATTGATCCACAGTTTCCAAATCGACATAGTAATACATTCGATTGGAGGTAGTAGAGTTTTCCAGTTGCTGGTGGAGCTGCCGATGAATCGGGAAGTGGCAACTCCTTGAAGAGATCGACTATTGTGAATGAATAGCTTCTGAGTTGTTTGGTGAAGACGCCACGTACAACAAGTGTCTCCGGTGTGTCTAGTAATTCATCTAGTTGGCGGGCAGTTCTAAAAGTATCGTTGAATGAATCATCGAATTTGATAGAGTCTGCGTGGATTTTACCTGAGCCACTTTCTCCGTCTGATCCCAGATTTTCTCCACCTACCAAACTAAACGTGTATTTACACTTTTGATTTGGATCGCATTTGGTAATTCTATAGAACTTGTCATTTTTAAAAGTTGCTGAATTTACAAACAAACAGAAATTGGTAAATAATAAAATAGTTAAAATAATATATAATTTCATTTTATATTTCTACCAAATAATATAATTGTTATGTTTTGGATAGTTTAAAATTTATTTGTTTCTCTATCTATTTAAAAACCAAACTAGAATTATATTAAAAAAATATTTAATAAAAAATAAAAATAATAATTTTCCTTAAATAGATTACTTCAAAACTATCGAATCTGGACAAAAATAGTCCATATCCAATCAAAAAAATATTGATATCGAATTCATATTACTAATAATAATCATAATTATTTCTTTTTTTTTCTTTTTCATTATTTGTGTGTTTGTGTGTGTATAAATATGATAATGTTGTTTTTGTATTCCAATCATTCAACTTCAACAATAGAACAACAACAAAGGGGTATTTAAAGAGAATTTCATACCTGGTTATAAATATTATTTTTGTACAAAAAATAAAAGTATTAATCATACTATTAGTATAAAATTAGATTAATTTTAAGAATGGTATTAAAAAAGTGTACTTCCGATTTCGATAGAGAAAAGAAAATTATAGATCTAACGGTGTTAAATAAATCTAGATACTAAATAGCTTGATAAAAACACACATCATCAACATTTGAGGGGCTAAAATTTTGCCTTTTTAAAAATTAAAGTTTTTGTTTTTGTTTTTTTTTTTTTTTTTTTCGTTTTAAGTTTAGTTTTTTTAATATTAAAAAAAAATCAAACACTTTCTTTCTTTATTATAATTAATATTACAATTTATATAAAAGGTTAAAACACATCACACCCTTTATGTATAAATATATATCTTAAGATTAGTTTTTATTTTGTTTTTGTTTTTTCAGATATATATATATATATATATTTATATATTTATTTTTTATTTATTTATTATTTATATATATTAAGAGGTGATATGATAGAATCATATTTCAAGAATGGATTCAAAGAATATTGTGAGAATAATAAGTTTTCAGATGTAAAACTTCGATGTGGTGATCAGGTGTATAATGTTCATAGGATCATATTGGCATACAGTTCAGAGTATTTCGCGACACTCCTATCGAGTGAGTTTCGCGAGTCCTCACAACCGGTGATAGAGCTTCGCCAGCCCGATCCACACAATGTGTTCCGCGAGGTATTGATGTTTATGTACGATGGTCGTGTTCTCATATCACCAGACAATGTGATACCACTGCTCTCTATGGCCAAATACTACATTATATCGGCACTGACAACCCTCTGTCTTCAGTACCTCGAGAGTCATCTACACCGTGAGAACGTAATCACCATTTTGAAATCATCCATCTCCTTTCACTTTGACGACATAGTAGATCGTTGTCTCTATATAGTTGCCAAGAATTTTCCATATATATGTGAATCCACAAATATTAATAATATAAATAACAATAACAATAATAATAATAATAATAATAATAACAGCAACAGCAATAATAATGGTAGTTATAATTGTAAAGATAATTATTTTAAATTCTTACCACCTCCAATATTTTTAAATCTATTGAAACAACCTTATCTCGTAGTAAAGAATGAATATAGTTTATATCAAATAGTAACCAATTTCATTAATTATCATAGTAATATTTGTAATAGTAATAACAATCAAAATAATAGTAATAATAATTTAAATCTTAGTAATAGTAGTGTAGACAATAGTTTTAATAGTAGTAATAATAGTAGTAATTGTGGTTATAATTACAAATTCGAGCAAAGTGATATAGTGGAACTAATGAGTCAGATAAGATATATTTGGATGAGTTACGATCAACTTTTAGAAATTTCATCAAACCCACTAGTACCAAAAGAGATCTTGATTGAAACATTTATGGAACGACTTAAAAAATATGAACCTCACGATCTTTCAAATGAACCACCTATTTCTCATTCCAGGTAAGTGATTTATAAACTTTTACAAGAATTAAATTCTTCAAACACACTAATTCACATCCATCCATTATTAAAAACAACAATATAGATTCCTTCCAAGACCACCTCAATCCATCCTATTTGAATACACTTTTGATTTCGATAATAAAGGTATCATCTATTGGATTGCAACTAATGGATTAAAAGATAAATGGATAAATCCACACTTATCATCAAAGATAAAGGTATTATCAAATATTATAATAGGTGTTTAAGTTATTCTTTTCTAACAATTTGTTTGTTTTTCTATGATACCTATAGATTACATCTTCAAGTGTTGATAAAGGTAATCATTATGATATGGTTGAATTGTCGCCATGTGCGTTTTGGACAAAGGATGTACCGGCTTCATGGGTAACTATTGACCTCGGTCCAAACAGATCTGTCATTCCAATGTATTATACAATCAGACATGGTTTCTTCAAGTCCGACAGCTTGAGGACATGGGATTTCCAAGGTTCAGTCCATGGTGAACAGTGGACTGTCTTGAAACGACACACCAACGACACATCACTCAATCTCAAATATGCAACACACACTTGGCAAATTCAAGGTGTAACGACTGCCTACCGTTACTTTAGAATTTTACAGACAGGGAAGAACTCAAACAACAGAAACTTTTTATTGTTGGGTGGTTTTGAAATCTATGGTGAACTATTACAGAGCTAACAATATACAAAAAAAAACAAACATAAATCAACAATGTAATTTAATAGTCAAATCTTTTTGAAGATTTTAGAAAAGAAATGAAATTTTAATCATATTTTTTCATACGTCAAAAGATTCTTGGGATTTGAGACGGTTTTGAAAAGATATTAATAAAAACAATGATAATAAATATAATAATTTATTGGATATTTATAAAAATTATTGGATATGGTATTAGAATTTGTTGATTTACAAAAAAAATCTTAAAAAACAAAGAATTTGTGATATCCTTAAAGATATTTTTGATTTAGTTTTATATTGATCAAGAGTGGAGAATTGAAGTTATCAATGACAATTGATATTTTTTAATTAATAGTTCCAATAATGAATATTAATACATCTTCAAAACTTTTGTTATTATTAGTAAATTGGTTAATCATACTTTTTCTATTCCCTAATATAGATTTGAAATGACCAATGTAGAATTGGTAAAGGTGATAGAAGTGGAGATGTTACATTGTGTGGATTTGTCTACAAGGTCCTTTCAATAATAACACTTCTTATTATTTTCAATAATTTTAAGTTTTTTACTTTGCTAAAAAAGTGTAAAAAACTAATTAAAAAAGAATATTATTTTCTTACAGTACAAAGAAAGTATTTTCGAATCATAGAATGTTTTATCTATATATTCGGAATGAATCTCTCTCTTGATATCTTCTTTTGAAATTTCAAATTTAAATAAATTGTTGATGAAAATCCCAATTTAATTATTCTTATCCTATAAAGATTTGCTTTAAAGTCTTATCATTCTATGTAAAAGATTTTTTTTTTGGGAACTAGTAAAAAGATTAAGATCAAGTTCTTCCAAAAATAAAAAATATCTTTTTGTTTTACAAAAATCATTAAGGGGGTCATTTGATTAGGACCCGGAATTTTTATGCTATATAGGGAGTAGATTCGAAACAAAATCACTAATTTATTGATCATTTAAATAATAGGAGTGGTTCTATTTTTGATTTTGAAAATCCTTATATATAAAGATAATAAATATCTATTAGGAAAATATCAATTGATTTTTTTCAATAAATAGTAAGACGGAGTCAATGAATTTTACAAAAAAAAATAATCATAACTAAATATTATTAAAATTAATAATAATTTTAAATAGTAAATATAAAATGTATAAAACTCTTCAAAAATTATTTGTTGCTCTATTATTCATAGTTCAACTATGCCTATGCGCTGATAATTATCTTTTAATCGAGACCGTCAATGGAAACTTTGGACAATGTAATGGACAAGTAATTTCATCCCTTTTCTATCAGACCAATCAATGTTACAATGGTCTTTTCGTGACATGCGATTCAGAATCAGCAGTTGCCACTATTTCCTCATATGGTTTTGTTGACTGTCTTGGATCACCAACCAACGTTGCCAAATTTGATATTGGATGCTCTGAAAACTATTTGTATTCTTGCCAGGATCAAGTTCTCGCCCAAGAAAGTTCTATACTAAATCAAGAGTATTTTAACTCAAGTTGTGCAGATTCTCCATACTTTGCTGAAACTAAAGCCACTGGTATCTGTGTAGAAGGTGTCATTATCACATGTAACTCAAGCTCGATGATTGTCACAACGTATAGTGACTTGCAATGTAGTGGTGAATCTGGAAGCATTCGGTCCAAGTTGGAAACAGAGTGTGTTTCAAATTATAAAGGAGGTTCCACAAGTACTTGTATCTCAATGTAGATATTACCAATCTTATAAAAAAAATAATAATAAATATCTGATAATCTTTTATCTACTGTTTTATTATCAATGTTTAAAATTTAAATTGAAATAGTTATTTACCTACATGCTTTCTTTAATATTGAGTATCTAAAAAAATGAGGGTAAATAACAAACATATAAAAATATCAAAAGAAAGTTGGCTATCAAATTGTTAATTTATTTATTTATCTAAACATTTTCTCATTATTGATATTAATATTAATATTCCATGGGTCCCTCCAATTTGAAAATATAAAAAATAGATAAAATGTTAGGTACTTATATATATATATTGATAAAATTCATAAAAATAAGGTTCAATTGTATTGAACATGAATTACTTGTTAATTGATCATAGTTGCTATATGTCGTTGGTGGTTTGGCCACATCTATGGAGAACGTTTATTAAAAGTTAATTCTGTTGATCAACGGTTTTATATGTTTGTTGCCTTTATTTTAAGCTATTTTATTCTTCTGGTTCACCATACATCAAAGATCTGGTACCTCTATATATTTTCAAAAGTACGTTGATTCTTGGTATCAGATCATCGAATGCTAAAACCATTTTTTGTTTTCCTTCTACAAGAAATGCCATATAAAATGTAACTCTGTATCTTGATATACCTTCGTTGATGATGATCGATTGTATTTTCGGTTTTTCGATAAATCTGGTGGATTCGCCAATGAAATAATATTTCTTTCTCAGTTGTACACCTAGTTCTCTGATAACTGTAAGTGATTCTAGAATATATTTCAATTTAGTTTATTAATAAATCGTTTTTTTTGTGTTTATAACTCTAATCATTAATGAATGAATGATTGTTACCTTCTCTAACAATAAATAACTTTAAAAATAAACGTATGATAATAACGATCGATAATAATATAAACATAAATGAATTGAGTACAAAGTAATCGTTTATAACTAAATAGAATATATGTAATGCCAGTATGATATATAAGATATAATCGAAAGGATATATTATAGTTTTACTCTTTCTTGTTACTCTATATTCTTTTACATCGTTATTTATATGAATACTATCAAATATATATATATTACTCGCTACACTATCTAATATATTGCTACTACTATTATTACTATTTAAATTTGGTAGAGATGTTGATGATGAACTACTATTTGTCATTTTCTATTTGATTAACTCTTTATTAAACTTATCACTGATATTGATATTGATATATTATTTATATTTATTAAAGAGGCAAACTTGAATATCATTCATTTATTTATACTTTATATATCTTGTAATTGATTAATTTATCTGATTATTGTTCAAAATAAAAATATTTAAAACAATTAATCAAACTAGTTGACACACCACAATTTTTTATAAATGGTTAGATTTTTTATAAAAAAAATTTAAGTTTTTATTTTGTTGTTGTTTAGAGGATTTATATTTGTTCTTCAACTAAACCATCGGGTGAAGATGATTTACTTTGTATGTTTGGTGTGGAGCTGGCTGCAGGTGTACCGGCTTGTGGTGAGTTGAGTGATGCATTCTTCATTGACTGTGAGATGGCTACTTCGGCACGTTGTCTCTCTCTTGCCTTGTTGATGACGTCCTTCATCTTTCTGAGATTGTTATTGATGATTTGTGATTGAATTTCCGATGCTAGTTGGGTTACTCTCTGTTGCACGGTAGTTGTCGAGTCACCGAGCTTCAAACGCTCTTTGATAAGTTGCATGGCTGGCGAGTTCTCTGGTAACTTTAGAACCTCTCCAACATCCAAAACAGGCAGTGGCATATGTAGCAATGTTTGATTACGACGGAATCCCATTGAGAAGTACTCCATTCCGACGGTGGTAGTGAGATTCTCATCCCAGTACAATGTACGAATGGTCTTGTTCACTTGGATGACACGACCGAGTGCAATGGCAAGATCGTCACCTGCGTGATGTCCACTTATATCGATCTCAAAGATCGTATCGTTCTTAAGGAGTGCCTGTGCCAATGGGATAATCTCTGCCTTCAAACGACCATTGCTGCTTCCGGCAATATGAAGTGACTCTAGAGGACAGAGAGCAAAAGCATTTGGTGAAATCAGCTGAACCAGTGCTTTTATGGCGTTGGCAGCCGATGCTGAGCTTGTTCCCTTGATAGACTGTGTCACTCTGGTCAATGAGAGTGTCTGTGAGATAAAGTCAGTCGGTGTAGCACTTCCGACATTTCTGTTGATAAAGAGATGCTTCAACTTTGGAAGTGTAGTTCTCATGAGAGTGTCGACAAGAGTAACTATACCTTCTTCACCCAATTCATTGTCACTGAGATCCAATCTCATTAGATTCGGAGTGGCACTCAACACAAGGTTGATTGCGCCCACTGGCAACACAGTCGATCCCATATCCAAATCAGCGAGATTCGGTGTAATCAACTGCAAGAATGCTGCCAAGTTCTCGAAATCCGGTTTCGATGATGTGTTGAGTTTGTTTTGTGATAGATCGAGTCTGGTGATCATTCTAGTCTCTTTGGAACGCTGAATGTTTGCTGCGGGTTTCAAACTGGACCACACAATCGAGCAGTTCGACATTTCAAAGTGTTTCAAAGCGACTGCATCCGCCAGGAAGCTGACCATCTCTGTTCCGCTCTCTTCGATCTTGTTGCCACTGACCGAGAGGAACTTGATATTCTTGCTGATCCACTTGTTCTCTCTGAGCGTCTTGAAGAGAAGCGACATACCTTGCTTACCGATTCCACATTTCGCAAGATTGATACTCTGAATTTCGTGACCGACGGTCGCCAACCAATCGTTACACAAACCCATGGTTCCACGATCCTCAATGGCATTGCACGACAAATCAATGGTATGAACATAGTTGTTCATGGCGAATGTCATCCAAGTCTCGGGAGTGATCCAACTCTCACGAGCATTTATATTCTGGAGTACCAGTTTCTGAAGTTTCTTGTTGGTTTGGAGGGTGGCGTTCAAACTCAAGATACCATCGTTGCTCACCTTACAACTTGGATTGTTAAAGATCGATATCGATTCGAACCAACTGTTGTATTTGAGTGACTCTATCATTGCCTTGCCTTGTGCGGGTGTCGGTGTCTCTGGCCAATCCGACAAGTTAAAGTCACGGATATTGTTTGCCTCGTAGAGATTGTTGATCTCCCAACAGATGTCGTCACGCACTGGAATTCCATAGAAATCCGAGACACATCTGTAGGTTCTTGCAAATCCAAAGCATGCACCGATCTCTTTGCTTACCACTGGGTCAGAACCAGGCATACCTGGGAAGTTCAGTGAGAACATCTTCTTGATGGCCAGTGACAGTTCATCTAGTTTGTTCTGTACGGAATTGAACTGAATGACACCGTTGCGTAGCTTGATAGTGACGGCACCGTCAGTCGGTGTGTACTCTACGACATCGAGTAGATGTCCATCGGAAACAAACTTTCCATTACTCGAGAATATGTTCAAACGAAACTGTGAAACAACCAGTAAACGTTCTTCCTCTGTTTGTTTCGAGTTGATCTCCCATACCTTTTTCTTTTTCAAATCTGTAAATACACCACTGAACAATATGTCTTTTGGTGATCTAACACCCTTATTAACTAAATATGATTCAATTGATTCTAATAATAATAATAATAATAATAACGATTTATAAAGTTAACAAACGTTTGTGATCAATCTAAATAAATAATAGAAAAGTAAACTAATAATTACTTTTTTCATTTAAACCAAATATGTTATTAGATGAACTTTGAGCATAATCTAAATTTAATACTAAATCAGACATGTTCTCTTTAGTTTTTATAAATAAAAATACAAATAATATATATAGCAAATTTCAGTTAATATCTTTCTTGTTTGATAAAATTTAATAAAAAAGGTAAAGTGAAAAGACGTTTGAATAAAAAATATCATTTTTTTTTTTAGGGGTATGTTCATATCATAAAAATTTTGTTGTATTCAATTGTGTGAATCTAATAGGATGATGGATGTTTAGATTGAAGAGGTGGTAGAGTTTAGAACTGTATTAAATAAAAAAAAACAAATCATTAAGATTAATAAAAAATAATAATTGAAAGATTATTTTTATTTGTATTTTTTTTTTTATGGTAAAATGGATGAAATTAAATTAACTTCCATTTGTCTTGCAAGAACAAGAGCTTCGTTGTCGGTTGGTAATGGTGGGTATAAATCACTGCAGTGAGCACCTAATGGGATGATGGCGGTGGAGATGGACGAGGTGGTAGCGTTTAGAACACCGAGAATATGCCATGGGTCAATGAGACCGTTGGGGAAGATGGTGTTGGATGTTTGGATGTTACGTCCACCAAAGTCGGTTTCGATCCATTCGATCGCTGGAAGGTATGGCTTTCCATCTGGCTTTGGTCCAAAGATGTCGGCGCATTGCTGGAGGAACCAATCCAATGTGATCGACGAGGAGAATGGTTGGTTTGGTGATTCCGATGTTTGGAAGTAACCGTACTCGGTACAGGTTTGCCATGTCCAGAGACGACCGGCAGCGTTCTCTCCGTTGACTTCGGTCTCTCTCATCTGAGCGATCATCGATTTGTACGATGATTGAGTGCATTTGTTTCCACTGAATTGATTGAATTCATTGTTGAAATTGACAAACGATTGCAAGGGATCACCACCGTCCAACAATGAGCACATATGAGAAATGTTGAACATTGTGTATTTGTTGTTGTCGTTGTTGTACTGGACAATCTCTGAGATACCGTCAGAGAGTGACTCAAAGAAAGTGGCGACATCATCGGAAGAAACGATTGGATCACATGTGTTGAACAACTTTTCGACGGTCTTACGATCGGTCTGAAGCATCTGTGTAACCAAGTTGGTGACTTCAGCGATACGAGCTGAGCAAGCTGGTCCAACTGAACGAGCAACTACCTCAAAGTATTCTGGGAAATCTAATTGTGGTTGAACTGGTGCCGATGTAGCAATGGCGGCATCAATCAATTGTGGATACTTGAGACGTAACCATGCAGATAAAGAACCACCTAAAATTATAATAAATAAATAAATTATTTGGATTTGATTATTGCAAAAATGTAATTATACATACTGTATGAACCACCGAATGAAACCCATTTAGTTGTTGATGGTACGTTGTACTTGGCGGCAATGAATTGTCTAAAGTTGGCAAAATCAGCCAAAGCTTGTTGAGTAGTCAATAAATTCAAATATTCAGTTGCCAAAGTTTTAGATGGAGAAGATTTTCCGTAGAAACGATGTTCAACTGAAACAATCAAAGCACCAAATTGTTGTGCATACTTTTAAAAAAAATATAAATAATTATATTAGTTTGAAATCATAAAATAGCTATTTCTTGATAATTGAACATACAGTGTTAATAACGAAATGTCCAGTTACACTAGTTACTGAGGCTGGTCCTTCGCCGCCTATTTTTAATATTAAGTATTAATATAGTTTAAAACTTTTTTTTTTTTTTGTTTTTCTACTACTATAGATTATCTATTTAGAAATGGTAGTAATGATTATTTGATATTTACCTAGCAATAAGAAAACAGGACCACCAGTGGTCCAGTAGGTATCATTTACAAAGTATTGTTGCTTAAAAGTTGCAGTGTTTAATGGGTCGTAGTGATCTACTTGTTGATCGAACCACTGTGATTGTGGTTGTGGTGAATCTGAAACACCAACTTGATTTTCAAAATCTGGATTACGGTGTCTGAGACCTCTCATCAAAGAGGACTCCCTGTTTACTTTGAATGAATAAACACTATTGCTGATCACCAACAATGTCAATGCAGTTAATAATAACTTCATGTTTATTGTTATTACAATTATAATATAAACTTTAAAAGATATAGATAAATAATAAATATGATAATAAAATTAATTAATCAGCTGACACTTTGATTATAGTATTTCATTTAAAAAAAAAAAAAAAAAAAAAAAAAATCTAACGATTTTTACAAATTGAAAATTGATTGGAATATATTCTAACTGGTTAGCATGTTAACCACACGTTTTTTATAACAACAGAGTTAAATTGTCACTCTGTTTAAATAAATATTTCAGTTGTTTAGTTGATTATCTAAATTAAAACTTTTACTGATTTATTAATATGTGGTCCCACACCAGGTTTGTTTTAAAAAACAAATCGAAACTTTGTGAACAAATTATAAACAGACTATTTTATTTGTTATTCAAACATCTTAAAGTTTTATTATTAGTTTCTCTCTTGAGAAAAACAAAAAAAAAAAAAGTTCCGGAAGATTGTTGGTCAAATAGTCACACTGCAGTGTCATTGTTGAAGATTAATAATCATTGTTGAAAATTATACAAATGAAGAGCTTCACGAAGATCAGAGTACAATTCTCAAATAAATATCAATTTTTTTATTTATTCTTATTAAATATCAGTTCTATAAATGTTTTAGGAATTTAAATTAAAAGTTGATTTTAGCAAAATCGATGCTTCGAGTGTTTCTCAAAGATCAAAGATATTAAAGATATTTTATTGTTTATTGTCATAAAAACGAACTTTTTAACACAAAATCTTGAATTGTCATTTATTGATAATCTGTTAATTGCGAAACCAAACACAGAAATGAATAGAATTATTATTTTAAGTATTATAACTTTGTTATTAAATGGTGTCCAGTCATATGATAACTATTTGATGTCTCAATCCTTTTTGGATGCTACCACAGGTTGCAGTGGTTCAGTGTTATCTACCAGTTTCTACAAGACCAACGTTTGTTTCAATTCGCAATTTGTAACATGTAGCACTGCAGATGGTGTTGCAACACTAACTGGTTACACAAATCCCGATTGCACTGGTAGAATCACAACGCTCGAGAAGTATCAGTTGCAATGTGACGAAGCAAGTGGTTACCAATTTAGCTGCCAAAATGAAGTTTACCCAATCCACAACACTGTTGGAGCCTACAATTACTACGATACCAACGACTGCGATACAGAACCATTTTTCGCTCAAATGTCAATCACCAACACATGTCAATATGGTGCAATAATTCAATGTACAAATTCAACAATGACAACAACCTCTTTCCAACAATTGGATTGCACCTTTGAAATTTCAAAATCCACCGTCAATTTGAATACTAATTGTATCAAGAATGCAAATTTCCAATCATCTAAAAATGTTTGTTTCTAAAATCAATAAACATAAACAATTAAAAGTCAACAAAAGTGGTTTCAATTAAAAATAAAATTTAATTTGTTTTATATTTAGTTGAAACAACTTGAAACGAAATAAACTTTACAAACTCTTCAACAAATAAACCATCTTTAGTATAAGATTTACTAAAAATATCTTGCGACAAAAAAAAACATTTGTAAAACCGGTATCATGATATTTATTTTTGGTTACGAGAATTTTAATAAAATCTCCGTGGTATTTTGCAGCACTGGCAATGACCTCATCGACTAAAATTTGCATGATTTTTAATTCTTTGTTTTTTGGTATGATTTCATTCAATTTAATCTTGTTTTAATTAGATTTTTTTTCTTTAAAGGTACCGAAAATGGCAACACCATCAAGTTTAAATAGCAATGAAACTGGAGTTTGGTATTCATTCATTATTATTATATATTAATTTAATTTTATAAAAATAAATAAAGAAAGAAATGAACAAACAAATAAGTTTATTATTAGTTTTAATAACTTTTTATTGTTGTCTGAGTCATGCCTATGACAATAAATACTTATTGGTAGAGTATCCAGCTGGACAATGCAATGGAGATGTTTTGAATGCCGTTTACTACCAGACATACTCGTGCTTTGACCGTACCTATGTAACTTGTGATCCAAAATCCAAGACCGCAGAGATTACTTCCTACTATTGTAGTGATTGCAATTGCTCAGAGAGTGGTTCGATCAAAGTTAGTCTTGGATGTGATAAAGATACCGGTGCCATCTACAGCTGTGAATCTACTATTACCAAGATGCCAAGTTCCATTTCCACCTTCAAATACGTTGATCAGCACTGTGGAGGTGAACCATACTACGCTCAAATGGAAGCAACCAATGTTTGTTTTAACAGCACCGTTGTTCAATGCACAGACACCTCTTTGACAATGGAAAAGTATTCAGATGCCGACTGCACTGGTCAAGCTACTCCATACGTAAAGAACCTCAATACAACCTGTATAACTAATGATTGGAAATCATCTCTGACAGTTTGTTCACAATAAATCTAATAATAAAAAAATAAAAAAAAGATTTCACATTTTAAAAAGTATTAGTTATAAAATAAATATTTTTTATTCGATTATAAAAGTCTGATTATTATTATTTCAGAATGATCATTAAATTTCTTATTTTTATTTTTGAAAATTAAGAGTAAATAATTTAAAGTATAATCATAATAATAAAAGAATTAATATTGTTTTTAAAAGGATAATAAAGTAGTTTTTAAACATGTTAGGTATCTAATTCATGAAATTATTATTTAAAATAGTAAACAAATAACGTGATAACGACTTTCTCAACCTCAGTTGCAATCCGTGGTATATCAGTTTCAGACGTTCATTTATAGATTTAGACAATATTTTATAATCACAATTAAGCAATGTAATAGGTCTTCTATTGGTTTGATCATAGACATCGCCCTTCTTGAAGATCACACCAACTTTGAAATCTTGTGGGATATGTTGTTCACCGGTGAGCACTTTGTTGAACAGTTTGGTCAGTAGCGGTGCGATAGTGTCAATATGTTCCCGATAGAACCACAGACCAAGACCATCAGGACCGGGAGATTTATGCGGGTTAGACGACAAGATGATATCAGCTACTTCTTCGATGGTGAATTTTATACCGACACCTAGAAGAACTGCAATCCCAAGCTCTCTTGAGCATCTCTGCGTGCAGCTCTTGATTATCTTTCTCAGCGGCGAATAGTTTGGAGTAGAAGTGATGCATAATCTTGGTCATCTCGTCGATGTCGGAGGTAACGGATTTATTTCATCTGTGCAGCCCTGGTATGGACGAGTCTTTCTTGGATAGAGCAAGTTTGGCGGTGAGCATTTTAGATGGAACTTCACCATGGAGTTGCTGGTTCATCTTGCGAATGGAGTCACGAACAGAATGTTCTTCAGATTGAAGTAACAGTAGATCGCGGCTGGCTTTGGCTCTGATGCTAGATGATAGTTTGGTGGAGCTAATGGTATTGATCAAACTCTTAATCATCTTCCTCTTGGCCATGCTACGCAGCCGCTGGTATTTTTTATAGACGTTGACTATATTAGACCTAACAGAATCTATTCTCTCGTCCAGTAGCACCTCTGGGAACGATTTCTTTTCCCAGCAAGACGAAGGAGCAAACACAGCAAGCACATTAAGGCTGTGGCCACCTACATAATTGACATTGAATAAAATGAATCTACCACTTTTATCAAGCAGAATGGGTTGATTTTGATGCAGCTGGTGTGAGCAATGATAGCAACACCAGTGACTTTACCATTGGATACAGCAAAGATTTTGTTTGGTTGGCTGAAAGGGTTGAATGTTTGATGAAATTGATTGTTAATGTTGTTGGTTTCAGGAAGTATAGTGAGTTGTGGGTTGTAACCAGTAATAGTTGAGGAAATATCAGCGGTTGAAGTTTTAGAAGCTGGTCCTCTGCAGTTTCCTACCAGTGCTTTAAAGCACTTGTTGGTGGTGGTTATTGAGTTTTACCTCTGCGACCTCGTGAGGTTGTAGGCTTTTCTTCAACATCTTCCTTTCATTACCAACATCTTCTTGAACAGCACACGGTTTATTAGCGGTTTGTATCTTATTGTCGACCAGAGGGTTGCTACCTGGTGCTATCGCCGACACAGCAGTGCTTGGTTTCAGAGCATTGTAGTAGCTGGTGCAGGTTTAACAGGGGGTGGCTTGTACCGTATGAGTGTGTACTTAAAACCTGATTTCTCATCTTTGGCATCAATTTCTTTGAAGATTTTGTCATTAGGAAACAAGTACCACAACGACGTTTTCCAGATAGGTTTTTTTTTTTTTTTTTTTTGCAACAAAAGATTTGTTTACTCATGATCAGTCAACAAATTGCAGGTATTGGTATTAACCTGCTAGTTCGTGTTTTATATTATATATACATTCTCACACAGGCCGTGAGAAATAGCCAATAAAATATTATTATTATTATTATTACTATTATTATTATTATTATTGTTTATAATCAATAAGTTGAGTAGTATTAAGATAGAATAGATCTAACAGTAGAAGAGTGTTGATGAACAACAGTATAAAGTGGTGGCACGTAGTTGGAAGGATTTAGATTCCAATCAGATTTAAATTTACGTGTTATTGCAGAGCAATCGACAGAGACTCCTTGGGAGATAGAATTAGCGATTGTGAAGTTAAGCTTGTGGTAATTGGCATCGATTAATTTGGTGTAATGGGTGACTGCTCTTTTGACGGTATTTAGGAAAGGAACTGTTGTGAAACCACATTCCTGCATTTTGAAGAAGAAGTGCTCGTGTGGGTTGCAGAGTTCACCACAGAACTCACAGACATGACCAGTGCGCTTGTGGTTGATGGGGAAGGTGTGAGAGTACAGCCGGAATAGCTGTTACGTAGCATAGGCTGATAGGTTTGCTGACATCGTTTGTCACTATCTTGGTCGAGCTATGGGTTAACCGCATGCGGATTTTTATTTTTTAAATGACCAGTAAGGGATTCGAACCCTTGACCTGAAGCTAACTCTTTTTTGGAGACTTATGCGCTACCACTGCGCCAACCGGCCATTGAAATTTATGCTTTTGGAAATAAAATTTTTATTCGAGCTACTACTCCTACTCAAAAACCATTCTCGACATATTCCGCAAAACGTCTTCTAAAATAAGCCAAACCAAATGAGTATCGTAATTGTCAAATTCCAAAACAAACACCTTCACATACCCAATCTCCACCAGACTAGAAAGAAACCTTGGCATCCACTTCAGCATTGACAGCTTCACGTCACAAAACAACACCTCACTCACAAACAGCAATCTCGACACTGACACCAAATACACCGGATCCGAATCGAAAGAGCTTCTCTCAGCTGGGAAGAAGGAGGCTTTGCCTCTGGAAAAGAATGGGTCTTGAATCACTTCCTCTCAATCAAAGTCAACTCAAACCACGACATTCTCAACTTGGTTGATATTCGAACCAAAAAGTGAATTGTTATAGAGTACATATTTATACTTTATACGACTCCAATTGGCATCACCATCAACCTCTGGATTGAAACCATCACACAATCGAGAAACTTTACAAGATTTAAAACAGTAGCAGATTATTACTGTATTCTCGACAGTGTATCCAATGAATGTATTCAGTCACCCCAATCTCATCTGGAAATGATGATTTTCTTTAGTTGATTTTGTTGACATTTTTGAAATCTCCGCAACTGTACTATAAATTCTAAAGTATTGTCTATATCAAATTGACACTATTTTGTTTCTATATTCATTACTACCACCAGCTGAATGAATTAATTTTCTTAAACTTGATTCAATATCTGACTCTTGGTAATATTTATCCAAATCATTATAACTCATATCTGTTAAATTCGCAGCTAAGAATTCCAACTCTTCTAACAATCCTCGATACCATTTAGTTTTAGAATTCAATTCTTTTGGAATGAATCTAATATTAGATTGGTGAAATGTTTCACTGTCACCAGTTCTATCAGTACTTGTTTGGAAATTTGATATAGAAAGTGTTGAAAAATGAACATTGGTGATTGGGCATCGAGAATTTTGACTTGCCAAAGATGCATCAAATATCTTTCTGTCCAAATCCCAATTTCCTTTTTTCTTTTTTGAGAAAGCTCGTTCTTTTCATTACAATACAAAGAATTCATAAAAGAAACAGAGTTGGTAGATCTATTTTCTATATTTCTCTAAAAATACTATTATTATTAATATATTAAGAATGATAGAAATTCTTTTGAGATTTTGATAATTTCACATCACAATCTGAACATCTTCTTAGAGCTTGTCTTCGAAAAACGATTAGTTTCATTGTTGACAAACTAATTATCTATATTAAAATTTAAACAAATATTGATCCTATTTAAAATAATAATAAAATATTTGAATAGTGCTTTTATTTGTGAAAGAGGATTGTAAAATCCATGGTATTAATATTTGAACAATGTTTTGTCAATCAAATAAAATTTCTATTTAAACTAAAAGACTACTTTTTTTAAAATTTTTGAATGGTTTTCTAAAAAATTCAAAGGCCGGTTGGCGCAGTGGTAGCGCATAAGTCTCCAAAAAAGAGTTAGCTTCAGGTCAAGGGTTCGAATCCCTTACTGGTCATTTAAAAAACACAAGTCCGCATGCGGTTTATGATGATCCATATAGGTACCCCGTGTTCGCCGTACAGAAGGTCAACTAACCATCCAGATTGGTCACTCTTTGGTTCTCCAATCTCAGTTCCTGCACATATCCAAGGTCAAAGCATATGCTACGCAATACTCAAAAAGATATTCAAATTTTACTTTATTTCAGCTTTAACAAGATTAGAATTTTTTAAATCTTCAATTCACCACACTTTTAGGCTTTGGATGTAATTTACTATCTTTCTTACAAATTTTAATGATATATATTTTTTATTAGTAGATCAATTTTACTTGTTTTGTGATTTTCAGAATCTGATTTCATATTTTTTCTATTCTATTGGAGTTTTCAATTTATCTATATCAGGATGAATATATCTAGATAATGGTTTATATTTCATTGTGCCACAGCTTCTATCCAATATAGGAATAAAATTGGAAAATACATTAATCTAATATATTGTTCAAAAAAAGAAATATAATGTTTATTTTGAATAACCATTTATATTTTCAAATACGAATAATATTCAAATAATAAGCATAAATAAATACATTAAAAACAAGTTAAATAATATTGTAAAGATTTAAGCTTTAAACTTTATTTGATCTTTAATGTATATAGATAATAACATTTATCTTTATAATAACGCGTAAATTTAAATTTGATTGGAATCTAAATCTTTCCAACTATGTGCCACCCCCACAGCAAATTTATACTGTTAGATCTATTCTATCATAATACTACTCAACTTATTAATTTAATAACTGAGTCAACAAAGCTTTTTTTGGAAAAAAAATATATATATATATATATATTAATATCGAGTTAAGTTTATTCTGCTTTCCTTTGGTTAAAGCTGTACTACTCATAGTAATACTACTTTACAAAATTGGGAAATATAGTTGCTGGTTCTGTGCTCTGATTAGTTATTAAATTTTCATAATCAATCAAGATACCTCTTAATCACAAAAAAGAATTTGAAAAATAGAACAGAAAATAGAAAAGATTTCAATTGCAAGCGAATTGATCTTGTAAAAAATATAAAGAATATGAGAAATAGGACAGAGGTATCAAATCATCAGACATATATACATTTATTTGTTATAGAAAGTAAGAAATATATTCTAAGATAGGTCTTTGTAAAAAATTGAATCATTTTAGAGTAAGGGATGATATTTTTTAAATTTTTTACTCAAAAATGATTGCCATCTCAACCGGACTGTGGCTGAACTGCTCCAACAATAAATAAACACGAACTGTAGGGTAATATCAAGCTCTACACCTTGACTATCAGAAATGGTAGTACAAGGATAATTTTTATAAAAAAGAAAAAAAAAATATCTTTTTAATTTAATTTTTTTTTAAAAAACAATAACCAATAAATATAGCCCTCTGAAATTTATTATTTTAATATAGTATGCTAACTTTAATTTAATTAAGTATAGTATCAATTTGTTTATTCCTAGTTGGCACAATCTATTTCACAAAATATTCTCTACAAAGACAATTCACGATTAAAACATGTTGAAAATTGAGTTTGATCCATCTCAATGTTTTATCAATTGATACTTTATAAATAAATTTTCTAAAAAAATAAATGACTAATGTATTCTCAAAGTATGAGTGTTGATTTTTTAATAATTAAATAATTAAATAACTTTTTTAATGAACGCCTGCCTATAAAGAATATTCATGAATTTATTGTAATGTACATTTACTCTTATTATGAGGTGACTCAAAAGTGATTTTTGGTCTTCTATTACTTGAGTTTCTTAGTGGTGGTTGTGGGGAGTTGTTGGCTGGTGTTGTGTTTGAACTATCAATTATTTCATTATTTGCAGATTCTTGGACTTCATTGAAATTATTTACATTGTTACTCGAGTTGTTGTTATTATTATTATTATTATTATTATTATTATTATTATTGTTGTTGTTGATGTTGATGTTGATGTTTGGTGATTCTATAGAATTTTGATTTTTGGAAGCATCATATAAATCGTGTTGAGAAATCTCTGCATTATCATCGGGATCGCTGTCAGTTTGAAGATCCTCAGAGTACAAACTGATAGTTGGTGGTGGAATATTTGGAATATGTATTGACTCTGCGAGAATATGGTGTGTCTGTGGGTAAACATCGTTCTCGTATCCAAAGATCAGTTCATCTTCATCATTACCATAAGCAATCTCCAGTGGATCGAATTTAGATTCCGCAGAGACTGGAATGAATGGTTCATATTCTAATTCTTTTTTACACCATCTAAAATGAAAAAAAAACGTTGTATTAATAAATTATTAACAAACAAGTATGATGATGATGATGGTACATACTTATGATTCTTAATTTGATTGATAGTAAATCTTTGATTGTGGTCGATTTGAAGAATACCTTTGATCAAATCACACAAATCTCTATCGATATCAGCTGGGAATTCTATATTACATCTTGATATATTCTCAAATAACATATACATATTTGTACCAGAGAATGGGAATCTACCTATTGTCATTAAATATCTAAATAAAAATTTAATTTAATTAATCATCTTATTACTTTTAAAGATCGGTTTGAATTTGATTGTAACTTACAAAGTGACTCCCATAGCCCAAATGTCGATTTTAAAAGGTGAAAATGATCTTTGAAATGATGTTAATTCAGGTGGTTGGAAAGCAGGTGAACCATAGCTTCTTGATAAACATTCGAAATCATCAAGTAGCGAGCTATCCTCTGAAACACCGAAATCTGTCAACTTTAGCAGACTGTCATTTGTAAATAATATATTATCTGGTTTAATATCTAGATAAAGTAAATAATAGTAGGTAATACCAAATTAGTTTATTAGTTTCATGATCATTGCAATTTAAATATTTAATAACATACCTCTATGTAAAATTTTTTGTGAATGTATATATTCTATTGCTTCGATGAGTTGATTAAAGATGTTTTGTGCTTGAATGGGAGGAAGTTTAGAGTTTGGTGAAGACTCTAGTAGATTCTGTAGAGTTCCACCACCAACATATTCGTATATGATATAGAGCTTGCCCTTCTCTTCGATAGTAAAGTGGTCTATCAACTTGATGATGTGCTTGTTATGTAGTTTTCTGGTGATGTTGATCTCTTTGAGAACCGATGCCTCACCACCAGGGATCTTCTTCAAGCGTGCACGCTTCAATATCTTTACGGCAACTCGTTTCTGTGTGAATGTGTCCATGCCATCCTTTACCTTGCCATATGCACCTTCACCGAGTACCTCACCCAAGATATAGTTCTTTATCATCTTTGGTCCTTTTCTCTTGAATTGTATATCGTCGACCTCGTCGAGGTGAACAATGAAATCATTTCTATAGTCAACTTCCATGATTATTTATTGCTGTTGTTGTTGTTGTTTTGTAGATCTATTATGATTTACTGTTACTAACTACTACTACTATAACTAACTTAAAACTATACTTTTATTCTATTATTACTATGATGATGATTAAAAATATTTATTTAAAAGTAGAAAAAGTAAAAAGCAAAGCAGACTTGACTGTTGTTGTTTACTCTTTAAATAATAGGATGATGAATGATGAATGATGATTTATATAAATATAATAATTTGTATATTATGATAAATAGATAGATAATATAATATTATAGCAAACAACTAAAAAAAACAATAATATTATTATAAAATGGACTATTGTAAGATAATATTAAATTTACAAATAGATCTAGATTGTGATGATTCAGTTCTTAATTTGTCTGTTATTAATATTATCTTTTCAATATTATTTAGGTTGGTTTGAGGTTGGTTTGTTTGCTTGGTGTTGTTGTTGTTGTCCTAGTTTTGGAATGGAAGAAAAGAATAGAATAGAAAGAGAGACTGTCTTTTTTACTTTGATTTCAACTCAATTCAATTCAATTCAATTGAAATCCTATTCTATTATTAATACTATATTGACCAACTGTTGATACGAAATGAAAACACTAACAAATAGATAACAAATAGACACTGTGAGTACCAATAAATTGCTAATTATATTGTAGTACTAGTGTGGGTGGTGTGTTATTTTTGTTTTTTTTTTATATAAAAATTCTTCTATTCCTGTTTGCTAGTAATATCAACACCACCAAAATAATAATAAATAAATAATTATTATTTAGTAGTTGTGAGCTGTGAGTGAGAATATTGTATGTGTTTATGTTTATGTGTATGTGTGTGTGTGTGTGTGTGTGTTTGTGTTTCAAAATAATAAAATGGATTGAGCTGTTTTTTAAATACAATCCAATTTATTTGTTTTAAAAGATGGGGTGTTGCAAAAAAATTAACAAAACCATCTTCTTGAAAATAGATGGGTTGACCAGGTAGAAATTTTGAATTTTTTTGAAATTGAATTTGTTTTTTCTCCACCATGAATGTTGTTGTGTTTTTTTTTAAGGTCCTGTTATTGGGCAGATACTGTTCGCAATTTTTAGAGCTAAAAAAAGAAAATCTTTTGCAATTTAAAAATCATTAAAAAATATCAATATTAATAATAATAATATTAATCTTAGTTGTAATAATAAGAACATGACCTGTTATTTTTAAAGCTCTATTTAGGAATAAAAAAAAAATAAAAAAAATGTTATTAATAATTAATTTAGCTTAATATTGAATAATTTAGCTTAATATCAATAATGATTTTCATAATGTCTAAATTAATTAATTAATTAAAGTAAAGATAGATAAATATTTCAAAATAATTATAATAATAAAATGTTTAAAGATAGAAAAGATGCAGGTCAAAAGTTGAGAGACAAACTATTGAACTTCAAAGGTGTTAGTAATACTGTTGTGGTTGGTCTGCCTAGAGGTGGTGTACCTGTTGCTTTTGAGATTGCAAATGATCTGTCGTTGCCACTCGATATTGTGGTTCCTCGTAAGATAGGTGCACCCTTCAATAAGGAGTATGCTATCGGTGCGATTGCAGAGGATGGTAAAGCCTACTTTGATCGTGAAGCCATCGAACATCTCGGTGTGTCCACCAAGTACTTGGAGTCAGAGATGGAGAAGCAACGTGCCGAGTCGAAACGACGTCTTCGTGTGTATCGTGGTGAAAGACCACCTGTCGATTTCAAAGATAAAACAATCCTGTTGGTCGACGATGGAATTGCAACGGGATCGACAGTGAAAGCTGCAATCGAATCACTCAAGGTTCACCACCCGAAGGAGATCATAGTCGCCGTGCCAGTGGGTCCTCAAGACACCATATCGGAACTCAAAGAATCAATCAATCAAGTGATTTGCTTGGCAACTCCTCACCCTTTCAATGCAGTTGGTTGTTTCTACTCATTCTTTGATCAAACCGACGATGATACCGTTATTGAAATGATGAAACATAAACCATTAACACCTTCACAATAATTATCAATCAATCGATAAAAAAAAAATAAAACATGTATATATATAAAGGTAATTTTGTATAAATATATGTATATATCTTTTTTTATTATATATATATATGAAAGTTTTGATTTTTAGTTATTGTTTATAGATGCCAATCTAGTTGAACGATGTAGTTTTGATTCAATTGTTTTCTTTGGAAGTGTCTACGTATGGAGTAGGCAACCATAGCCATAAGGGCAACACCAAATGCGGCAGCACAAACAATGATGGCGATGAGAGCATTCTTTGATAGTCCGCTTGATTTCTTGGAGCAGGTGGAATCTTCGTTTTGAGTGTCGATCAACATGCTAAAATCTGGATCGATAAGAGTGTAGATATCATAGTATGGCACATTGATACCGATGATAGCATCTGACTTCTGTGCATTGTCAGTCTTGTTAGGTGATCCGTCTACGATACTATTGGTGATCTGAGTGGGTCTTCCATCACTGTCGGCCAGTGTGAGGAATCTCATGTAGAGTGTTTTACCATTGAGTTGTAGTTTGATCCAACTGACTTCGGCATCACCAACACCACCGGATTGCTTGGCGGAGCACGATGTACTTTCGGTGGTTTCCATCTCTGCTGACATCAGGACTTGCAGATGATTAAGGTGTGAATCAAATGCATACGGTGAGAGATAGATTGAGTATTTCAAGGTGTATGATCCCATGGTAATAGTCTTTCCAGCGAATGTGACGTTTGTTGGTTGAGTGAACCACTGGACAGTAACAGTTACATTGGTGTTGGTATCGGGTAGTGTTGTTGTATATTGGCTTGCCAGTGTGTATTCGTCCTTTGTCAGGTTCTCATAGTCCCATTGTTTTGTGAGATTGTACTCCTTCACGAGACCTCCAATATCGGTGAGCTCTCTGATTTTCACTACCGAGATCTTTCCACCAACAATAATAGTGGTTGGATCATTTGGATTGATTACAGGTGGTTCACTTGGTACAGTTTCTATAAGTATATAGTAATAGATAATTGAATTAAACTTGAAATGTTAGAAAGAACTTTTTAAATTAATTGAAAAAAAAAGAATAAGCTTACGTTTAGAACAATCAATGGATCCCCATCCTGGATTACAGTTACAAATGTTGTCTGCAGTACAATTTCCTTTACCTGAACAATTGTTAACTTGGCTACAATCTGGATCGACAATGGGTGGTGGTACATATGGTTCTTTTGTTTTTTAAATAAAATAAAAAAAGATTTAATTAGTTTCAATAAATAATTTGTTGAGGAGTTAGTTGTATTTTACATACCATTTGAATTGATGTATAACAAATTGGACTCAACTCCTCTGACTGCAACTTTGAGAATTGCACCTTTTGGCATTGCGCTTGTGTTGAATGCCAACACAGTACCAGAGAAGAGTGTTGGTCTGATTGGGACGAATGGATTGGAGTCATAGTAGTGAATGAATGCTTCGAATTCAGAGAGTAATGCACCGAATCTTCTTCCGTATACAGTGAGTGGACCACCTAGTACTGATACATTGGTGGCGGATTCCAGGATTGGTGAGGTCTGAGTGAGTGTTGTGTTGATGAAATATGGAAGACCTGCACCGGAAAGCTCGTTACCACTGAATCCAATAAAGTTCAATTGGACATCGCTGATACCGTAGACCGATACCAATGTACCACCTACACCAAATCCATACGGCAGTGTAACATTGAGATTGTAGGTGGCAACTGTTGAATTGATCGATTTAACTTTGACAGGGAAACTAAGAATTTCATCAAACAAACTGGTTAGATATAACACTGGTATATGAGTCTTGGAAGGACCAGAGTTAATATCAGTGACTTGGAATTCGAAATACACTGATCTATTCACAGATCCAACATCGATATCTTTTGGATTGAAATCGAATGAACTTAAAACTGGTGATACACTATCAGATGATGGATCTAAAAATTAAATAATTTTTAGAAATAAAAAAAGTTAATTCAATGAATGAGTTATTAATAAATAGATAAGCAATTACATACATGAACATTGTACATCAATATCAGCACCATTTGAGTAAAAGTTACTTCTAATGAGAGAGTCAATGAGTCCTCTGTTTTCATTTTCAGTTCTGTAACCGTTTGCATCTACAAGGATAAGGTCATAAATAGTAAATGTTTGACTTGCACAGTTTGGCTCTAGAGTAAGTGATATCTGATAAACACTAGCAGTAGTTGACCAATTGGTCTGATCGAAATAGATGTCGTAGGTCTTTGGATCAATGTCACTCAATACTCTTAGGATACCATAGCTGAATGAATTTGCAAGTGTTGTGATTTTGGCACTCCATGAAATAACTGGTACTACATTCAATCCGAATGAATATGATGATTTAACTTTTATAAATGATGTTGCATAAGGACCATGTTCGTCAGATTCTAAAAAATATTAAAATAATATTTAAATGTTAGTTTTGGTTTTTGAGATAAATGCGCCAAAAATATAAATTTTTTTCTTTTTTTTTTTTTTAAATATACTTACTACTTGATGTTACATTAAGTAATGCATTTCCACCGATATAAGAATAGAGTAATCTTGGATTCCATGAGAATGGACTCATTGAAAGAGTATATTCAACAGAGGTTGGAACCATCTTCATTGGTAATTTAAAGTTGATTACGTACATTTGTTGAGTAGTACTGTAGGTTCCATTGAAGGTGTATCTATTTTTGAAATCTGGATCAAAACTGTTTGGGAATAAATGTAAAACCGGTACAAAAGATGGGTCGGCATTGCTAACATTGAATTGGAGAGTACCTGTTGTGAATTGTAAGCTTGTATCGATATTGTTTGGTGTGAATTCAAAGTAAGTGATTTGATCTGGGTATACACTGACTATAAATCATCAAATTATAATAAATATTAATATTGTTTTCAAATCTTTAGATAGTTCTAGACATACATTTCTGTGGTACTAATGGATATGAGTTTGTTGAAAGGACTGTGGTGGCTCTTGGGTAGGTCTGAGAGTTTCTTGCTTCGTCAATAAGTGTTACATTATCACCCAAAACACTCAATTGTTCATAAGTATAGACTTTTTCAAATACACCATTCAATTTAGTACCGTAGACAATATCATATTGTCTGAGATCAATTTGATTACTGGCATCTCCAATCAAAATTCGGTATACACCACTCAAGTTATCGGAAGCCTTTACACGAACAATCAAAGAGTTGGAATTTAATGGGACATATTCGATTCCTATTAATTGTGGTGCAGAGTTATCTGATATTATAATATCAAAAGTTAATAATATGTTTTTTTTTTTTGGTTATTAGATACATACCCAGGTTACTACCAGTTGGAGTTGAGGTAAGTGTTTGTTGGTAAGTCAAAATAAATGTAGCATTCAAACTAACACCAACACTTTGTAGAGCAGAGATACCTTTGGATACTGAGTAGGAAACAGTAGTACCCTTTAGAGATGATGTGAGACCGAATGGATATGGGAGAGTATAAAGAATATTGTTGGGTTCCAAAAATCTGAAACCAGGGAAGTAATTGTTTATGATGTTTAACTTCATAGTACCTTTGAAATTCCATAGCATTGTTTTTGGATTGTTGACAATGGTAAGGGCACCAGTAGTGAACTTTACATAGCTACTTGCTAATAAATAGATAAATTGTTTGTATTAATTAAATGTTTTTCAAATTTACTGAAAATAAATAATATTACTTGAAACAGAAAAATATCTTCCAGCACTTTGCGATGCATATCCATCACCATCAAAAATAGCAAATTTGTTGGTAGAACCCGATGGAATATAAGCGGGAGCTGCATAAGTCATAATTTTTCCGCTATGGGTGACTGGTCTTATAAGTGGTTTGCTATTCACTATTGCACTATTTGGTAAAAATTGAGTATAGGCTGATGCATAGTTTGTGACTTGAATAGTATAGAAAATAGGACATCCTTGATTCTCTGCATTATAAGAAGAGCAACTTATTTCACCATAATCTGAAGGGTAAGTCGTTATGGAACTTGAAGAATCAGCTAAATAAAAAGATTAATATTTTCTTATATCTAGTTAAAATAAAAAAAAGGTATTTACTATTTCCAGGTACAAAAGGAATTGCTGTAATAGTTGTTTTGTTTCCAATTATATTGGTGATTGTGATGGCCAATGGATTTTCATAGTTGGTGGCAGAAGTTGACAAACTGAATGTAATAGCAATAGTGAAATAATCATAACTGTAATCTCCAGTCGATGCCTGTTTAAATATACAAGTGTAAAGTGTATTGTTGGTGGCACATGTATAGGGTTGAGGTGGGTACTTGTGTAATAATTTGACATTGAGATATCCAGTTGCATAGGTAAAGGGATCTCTTAAAATTTTGTTTGTACCCAAAGTAATACTGTTTGGGATTGGTACAGCTGAAAAAAGAAAAAATAACATTATTATTAATATTAATATTAAATCTTTAAATTTTAAATACGATCATTTAACTTACATAAACATTCATATGAAATTGGTTTCAGTGAATCAAATACCAATGGGAGGTTAGTATTTGAAATATTTAATTCCAAAGACGAGACGGTGTTCAGAGGGAAAGCAAAAGTGACAGCTAGGTAACTGTTTCCATTGTTGTTGAAATTTAAGGATACAATTTGAGAAGTTTGGATATTTGATTGAATTTGTCGAGTTTCAGTTCCTAGTGTATCATTAAACCAGAATTCCAATTGTACTGAACAACCATTTGAATTTTGGGCATATGATCCTCCACCCCCATTATTTATCTGTATAGGAATAGTAGCTAAATTTAATGATAAATAAAAAAATTAATAATTAAATTCAAAAAAAAAAACTGGTAATCCAATGTCTGAAAAAATAGGAAATGATCCATTACCATTTATCGAATTTAAAAATACAAAAAACAATAATAAATAAATAGATTTATAATAATACATGTTTATAACAAATACAGAAAAAAAAAATTTTGATGAAAATAAACAATAAAAAATGAACAATTGTAAAATGCAAATGGAACGGTAATCTGAATCAGGTTCAATATTTTGATATCCGATACAACCTTCTAAATATTTCAATCACCTTTTCAATTGTTACAATATTTAATTTTTTTTTTACCAGATTCCTTTATTCCATGTTAAAAAAAGAGTGTTTTTTTCTGACTTAATAATCGTACAACAAAAAAAAAAATCCATCATTGTCAAAACCTCCTTATTGTAAAATCATAGCTTTAAGCAGATCGAATTGTTAAAAGATTAGAAAAAAACAACATTTTTTTCATTCCTCTTTTTTTGTTTTAGATTACTCAAGAAATGGCTAAAGGGGGTGTCCAAAAGACATGAAAACTAAAAAAGGAATATTGATGAAAAATAGATGATGTTCTCATTTTTTTGTTGAATTGTGCATGGCACTTCCTCACACCAACACAAGTGGGGCATAGATTACCTTTAAATATATTGAATGTGAAGTGTTTCGGATTTCAAAATAGAAAAAAAACCATAGTGCCCAACAAGATCATGAAAACAACAAAAAAAACCCCTACAATTACGAAAACATCAGTAAATCATTTGATTTTTTTTTCGTGACTTTTTTTTCAAAAAGGCCCGACATAAAATATCAAAAAAAGAAAATTTTTGTTGCCTTTTCGAAGTTTTAGATATTATAAAAAACATATGTTTTTTAAAACAATATCTAAAAAAAAAATTATAAAAAACTATTAATAATGAAAAAACATTAAGTTTTTTTTAAAAAATTAATTAAAAATTGATTTAGAATTTTTAGTGATTGTACGATCACACAAAAAAACACACACATTGTGTTTTATCACTTATCTAATTTTGTGGTTATCAACAATATTCGAGCATCATACATGATTAATACATATAAATGATTTATTCTTTCATTCATTCACTCATTCGCTATTTCAATCAATCAAACAATCAAACAGTCAAACATCTAAAAGATACACAAAACAAACAACAATAACAGAAATATTACAATATTTACAACAGCAACAACAAAATTACCACAAATCAGAAATGATCTAATATTTTGAATCTCTTTGACAATTCATTCCGTCGGTTAAGAAATATAAATTTGTTTTTTTTTTTTGTCTACCACTAGAGAATTGTATATATAAATAATTTTAACTTTAAATTGTTGTAAGTGAGGCAATGTAACAATTCAATATAAAGGAGGTGGAAACACAAATACGTATTAAATTTATATTAAATTCAATTAAAAATTTTTAATATATAAATAAATCTAATAAAAATGAAATAATTAAAAACAAATAATTATAATTTAATTATTTTTTATATATATTTTTAATTAAACCAAAGCTTAATAAAACCCAATTTGTTTAATATATATTAGCAACAATTACTATTTGATCAATAATCAATCAAACAAATCTTTGTTTTATTATTTTTTATTAGTTGCTAATATAACAATTATTATAATAAAAATGGAAACTGTGGAAACTATGGATTTAGTAAACAATAATTTTATTAATGACCAGAATATTAAAAAAAGTCTGGAACTTGCAAATGAAAATAATATTGGAGGAGGTGATGCTGACAATACTCAATTGTTGGAATCGGTCCAAACCAATGAAAATCAAACTACTCCTACAAATGAAGAGGAAGACCAAAAGCCAACAACTCATGATGTCGATGACATCAATGAAATCCAATCGCTCACCAAAGAGGAACTGATAGAATCCGTAATTGAAATACGCAACGAGTACTACCACCAACGATACAAATATAAAAAGTGTAAGGACAGACTTGTCGACCGTGAGAAACAGCTGCAATTCCAGAGAAACCTGTTGTCCGAGAGAGAGGACCTGCTTCTGCAACTCCAGTGGGAGCCAAATCAAGACGAACAATACCTAAACATCGACAGTGAGAACGTCGTCGACCGTAAGAGAATGCGTGCACTACTCGACCAGATGCGTTTGATGGAGAAGGGAATATTCGATCGTGATGCCAAAGTCAAGGAACTCGAGAAACTCGTGGAACAACTGACGCTCGCCCAGATTGGACGTCCTTCCGACAATCACGCCGGCGTCAACGGCTATCCCGATGAAGCATCATCGACATTCCAACACCACCAGACACCACCACCATCGTCACACTCACACAGTCGTCCATCGACACCAAGAAGAGCCATTCCCAAATTCATCAAACGACTCTCAGAGTACTCTCTCAGTTTCAAATCCAACCGAAATCTACTGAATGACGAAGAGGATTCGATCGATGTCAACGTCAATGATAGATCACACCATCAACATCAAAACACACCAAGATCGAGACCTTCCACTCCATCAAGAGCATCGCCATCGTTTTGGTCCAGAAGTACCTCTATGTTATCATTACTTAAATGGTCATCGGATGACGCAAGCAGCACAACCACTGAATCAACAGTAAAGAATTTATAAAATAATAATAATTTATTATTAATGATTAAACATAATAATAATAATACTGTAATTTACAAACTTTTTTTTTTATCTAATATGAATAAATATAACATAATTAAATAAAAATAAATTAGAAATTTTTTAAAAGCCCAAAACCTAAAAAAAAAAAATGGTGAGATTTTGATATTTTCATCAACGATCACGAAAGAGATCTAATCTCATCTGGAAAGACGCTGCGAATCAATCAAATTAAAGTCTAATTTCAAATAAAATAAAAAAATCGTATATATCAATTTCCCAATAATCAAATAAAAATTGCAAAAATAAAAATAAAAAACAAAAAAAACAAAGGATTATTTATAAATAACCTTCGCAAACTCTTTTCTTTTTTTGTAAAACACAAACTAAAAACAAATAATTTAAAAATAATCATAAAAAAAAAAAAATTAAATTAATTAATTAAAAAACACAAACAAATAAAAAAAAAAAAAAAAAGAGTTGTGACAGAAATCAAAATTAATTCATATATCACACTGACACACAAAACAGACATTTAGATTTAATTGTATTTATATAATAATAATAAAATATTAAAAACAATGAATAAAGATCAATTAGATGATAATGATAATAATAATAATGATAATTTAGAATCAAATATATATTCAAAGAAATATCCTGTTACACCTACCACACCTACAACACCAAATAGTAACAACAATAGTACAATACACTATGTACAACAATATCATTCACCAAGTTACTCTAGAATCATACAACCACCTATTGAAGAAGATGTATTGTATCAACAACAGCAACAACATCTTCAACAACAACAACAACAACAACAACAGACACCGCCACAACTACATATTGATTATATAAGAAGATCAACATCGCCAACATCGATGATGAATACTCTTCAGGTGTCACCATCTTCATCGAATACACAAAAGAGAACACATAAACGATCGAATTCACATGGTCCTTTGTTTAGATCTTCTCAGCAACAACAACAACAACATCAACAGCTTCAACAACAAATCTATTCATCACCTCAACAACTACAACAACTTCAACAACAACAACAACAATATAGTCATTACAGTCAACAACCACCTATCTTATATCCAATACACTCATCACCACCAAATGTAAGTGGATCAAGACCATTACTCTCGCCTTCTGTGATCTCACGAAGCAACAGTAGTAATGGACTTGGTAGTGGTGCCGGTTCCTACGGTACATGGTCACCATCCACTCATACAAGAGTCAAGAAAACAGGTAGCAAACTAAGCGTGGAACAACAATTACAGCATCTACAAGGATTGCTCAACTCTACCACTCCCAAGGATCTAGTCACAACATCACCTACACTCTCACCTAGAAGTACAGGCAATAACAATAATAATAACAGTATCAATAATAACAATAATGTTGGAGGTGTAAATATGCTGGCAGCCAATGACCATCATAGACGAACAGTGTCTTGGGAACCACCACTTGAAGGTGAGTCACTGGAAACACTGAATCAGATCATCAAGGAGAAGAAAGATGCATTGCTGATGCGTGAGAGAGAGCTAAAGAAACAACAAAAGATGATCAATGAGACACTAAAGAACAACTCACACTCATCACCACCAAATGTCTTAGAGCCATCTCCACTCTCATCGTCATCCACACTGATCACTCCACCCATCTCAACGCCACCCACCATCAAATCAAAGCATAACCGATCGAAATCAGACACCAACACATTAGTAAAGTTACAACTCCTAAAGAAACAACCTTCAACATCAAATCTCATGAATGATGTAAGTTATAATTAAAATAACCAACCAATACTATATGATATAAACAAAGATTATTAACTTTTTATTATTAGATGGATCAACAACAACAACAACATTTACAACAATTACAAATGCAACAACAACAATACCTATCACCGGTTGCTATTAAAAGTCCAAAAGTATTGTCTCCAAATGATGGATCGAGAAGTCCAAGACCACATTCTTCACCACGTCCTATCACTAAAGCAGAGTACAATGAATATCTTAAACAACAACAGCAACAACAAATGTATCCACATGTAACAACAACCACTACAACCACTACAACATCAACAACATCACCATTGTCACACCAAAACTACTCTAGAAGAAAATCAGTTGACCCAATGACATTTGGATCCATTTTAAATAATGCCAATAATAATAATAATGGCAATGGACCGACGTCACCAGTTAACCATATGAAATACTCGTCGAAACAACCAGTACTTTCATCACAGTACCTCAATCAGCTGATGAATATCGACCTACACGAGATTGAAGAGGAAATTGACAAGGAAATACAACAAGTAATTCTTCAGACAAAGAACATTCAAGGCAAGGTGGAAATGTTGGAGCGTGTTCGTTGCACTGCACCCGACCCATTACTCATGTTGTTCGGTGATAACTGTAGAACAGCACGTGTTCAAAACAAAAAATCAAACAAGAACATCATCAACAACAATAACAACAATATCAATATAAATTCACCAATTCAACCCACCAACAACATAATGTCATCACCTTCACTTGTACACTATCCACCAACCACAACTACCACATTCATAGACACACCAACAACAACCAGATCAAACTCGCGTACCAAAATATTGCAACCGACTACCACACGTTGTCCAGACAGAACCAAGAGTAAGAACCTTTCCTCATCAGTTCCAAGATCATCTGCTTTTAGTCCACCACCAAGATCCTAAAAAAAAATATATATATATATATATACATATAGCAATATCTATAATCAATCATTTTTATTTGTACAAATCAACTAATACATTCATATAATAAATAAAACAAAATATATTATAATTATTATAATATTAATATTTTATTCTCTACACCTTATAGTTTAACTATGTTGTAATGTAAAATATATTGGATGGATGTGATTCCAATGAGTTATCAGCAATCACAACAACAGTGTAATTGTTATTAGGAATATCTTTGATTGTATAGTTTAAAAACAGAGATGTAAGAGGTTCTGTGAATTTAAAGTGTTTCCAATTCTCACCGGGTGGACTAAGATAGAGGTAGTAATCTAATGTTGTGGAATTACTACCGCGACCAGTGAATTCAGGTGCTTTCCAATTGACCATCCATGTGTAGTGTTTAATATTGATTTTATCACGATGTGGTAGCTGCTCTACTTTATTGATATACAATGATCGTGGTGCTGAGGGTGGATCGATTTTTTGTTGTAGTGTTATATTATAGGAAAACGTTGTAGGTAGTACCTTGTTATGATTCTCTAGTACCACTACAAAGTCATCGGGTTGCGCAATAGAGTAGTTTTGTTGATAGGATGTTTTCATTCTATCTATTAGAGGTTGATGACTCTTGTCGTTCTTTACGTTACAGGAACTATCGGATTTATAACTGTAATCGTAGAACTTCATTGAACTCATTAGACATAATGAGTAGGTATCGGTACCTTTGATGTCAACGATCATCTCACTGTTTTTACTTGCGGTACATCTAAACTCTCGATATCTATAGATGCCTGACTTTTTATCTTGGAAATGGCAGTTCGTTCTACAGATTGAGTATTTCATCTGATTCAACGACTCCATATACAAATCGAGAGAGTGCAAACCGAAACTGGTAATTGGACAACTTCTATTGCATTGAAGTTTGATTGCGTCGTTTGCGTGAGTGGAGAATGGAATGATTGTCAAAGGATCGACATCGTTACCATCGATATTCTGATATCTCCTATAGGTATATCTATTGCTATTATCCTTTAGGAATTGTGCAGCTGTCGCATCGCCAATAGGTGGCTGTCCAAATGTAATGACATTCAATGATCTTATCTTTGGAAATGTGTTTGGTTCCCTCGACAACATATCGACCAAAGCAACCAGAGCAATCGAACCACCTAGCGAATGACCAGTCATATACAAATCATATTCCTGATCCAAATTCCGAATGTAACTCTCCAGCGTACTTCTTATACTATAATAAGCAGTTGCAAAACCCTCATGAATCTGTCCACAATTTATTTTTTCATTTGAAAAAGGACATTTAACATGTACTAAAAATAGAATAATAAATAAATCAGTTTGGTGAATGAATGAAATTATTATTAAAATGAAAATATTCAGTTTACAAAAAAACATAACAACATACTTATTTTCATATCTATGATTACATCTTTTAACTTATCAGTACCTTTAAAAGATACTATAAGGGTATTGGAGAGTACACTCTTCGAAACGAGCATTCTAGCTACACTGTCGACATCTAAATCATTTTTGAATTGGTGACAAGTACCATCTAAGGAATAATAACTAGTAGTTCCAGAATGATTAACGCTGTGATATACACTATCAGCCACCAATGAAAATAAATGATCACCTTCTTTCGATATTTTCAATGATACTATACATTGTATAAATAATATAAAAAGTAAAAAAACAACTAGATTATTTTTGGCAAAAAAAAGTTTGTTAAAAATATATTATCTATTTTTAATCAGAATATGTTATTTACCTCTATTTTTATAATACATTTCTAATTTTAAGAATCTCGTGATTAAGATATTGATGATATATAAATAATTTATTAAAGAATTAAATAAAATAAATAAAAATCTATGATTATATATAATAATGTTGTTAATTATTATTACTTAATACATTTCTAACAATAGCTTTATTACTATAACAAAAAGAAATAGTATTTATTATTATTGATATTTAGATTTAAATTAAAATCAAATTTGGGTTTATTACTGGTTGATTGCTGATTCATAACAACAACAACAATAATAATAATAAAAAAACAAAACACATTCCTCTTTCAAATTAATTATTTCTTTTATAAAATATATTTGTCATCAGTGCAACATAGATTGTGTGTGTTTGTTGGGAAAAATAAAAATACAAAGAGTTAGTGGAGGTGGGAGAAAATTCAATCAATCAATTATACAATCCATATAAATCTGAACTATTTGATTGTTGAAAGAAAAATATAAATATGGTAATGAATGAGTTTGTCAATATATCTAACCAATAGTTGCTTACTTTCTTAGTAATAATTACATATGTTTAAAAAAATATTTATTCTGATAAGTTTTTATTTATCTTGGTAGAAAAAAACAAAAGTAATTTTTTATGTGCAAATAATTTTGAATGGACTTGAACTTGAACAATCATCCAACATCATTTGGTTGGTAATGCAAGGACCATTTGGAGAGCAGTATCTGGAGTATGCCTTACCTTGTTGGCAGTAGTATTGAGTGGATCCCCATGGAGCGTGTTTGTCTTGAATAGTGGTTCCATTGGTTGCATACCAATAAGACTGAACGTTCTCACAGATATTGTCCAATGTTTGGTAGAGAATCGAGTTGGCAGGAACTTTGACATCACTCCATTGGTATGCCTCACCAAGCAAGTAAGAGGAGCCAGAATAGTCAGAGTATGTACACTCATCCATTGTATACATCTCGTAGTGCAGATAGTCATCACAATAGACATCACCATGATATGTCAAATTATACTCTTGAGTATTATAGATATTGTAAACCATAAATGAAATACTATCTGTGAAATTTAATGAACATTGGAATTGTTTACTTCCGAATCCCTATTATTTTGATAAAAACAATTAATTAATTATTACTAAAAAAAAAAAGAGAAGAGTAAGATTACATACAACACCATTGATTGCATTATTACAATTTAGACTATTATAGAAAGGTGTAAAAGTGATCAGTTGTGTTTGAGCAAACAATCCTATAATAAAAAAAGAAGATATAATAATAATAATTGATTTCATTTTGTTTCTATTTCTATAGTTCTAATTGTATAAAGATAAAAGAAAGAGAAGTAATGATATTTTATTTAAAAGAGAAAGTGATCTGCCGACGTAGGATTTCAAGAAAAATAAAAAATAAAAATAAAAAAAAGATTGTTTTTGATTTTATTTAAAAAATCAAGATAATAATAATAAAATTGGTCGTATTAATTCCTCTCTTTAGTTTACTTTCACATTCTTATGATATAAATATATTATATTTTTGTGTTGTTGTAAAATATAAGGTTAGATCGATGAATTCAGCTAAAAACAAATTTAAAAATAAATTTGTCAATCGTTAATTGGTTTCAAAGTCTATTAAACACATAATTAAATATTTATTTGTGTTCATATGAAAAAAAAAAAAAAAAGAAGTAAAATGATTTGTGTATTATTAATTAATCAAGTCGAAAAAAGTTCAGATCTGAATCATCGATTGAATATAGTTGGGGCAAAAGAAGTTCCAGATCACTTTGTTATTTTGTCAAGATTGATCAAAAATAAAAATTTAATTTTTTTTGAAAAATGAAAAAAATTGTTTTTTTTTTTTTTTTCTAAACCCACTTTTTTTTTACGTTAATTTTTTTGAATTTAATTTTTTTTTTTCAATAACTCTCTAAAAAAAATACCATCTTTTATCAATTAATCAAAAATAAACCTGTACACAAAACACATAAAAAACAAAAAACTAAAAACAAAAAAGATAATATATATTTTTTATAAATAAACTCTTAAAACTTATAAATAATGTCTGAATCACAATTGAAGAAAGTTCTCAAGGAAAATGAAGGTTTGAAGTCACAACTCGAGAGATCTTCTCAAATTCTTAGAGTATCAGAAGCCTGTAATACGTATGTTATATAACAATATCATTTTATTTTATTATTATTATTATTGTGTGTTTATATAATACTAACATATTTTTAATATTATATTTTGTTGCTTTACAAAACAGTTTGCAAGACTTTTGTTTAAAGACTGCTGATCCATTTGTTCCAGGATGGCAAGGTGAAAACGAATGGACAAAGCCACTCAAAGGAAGCGGATGCTCTGTTTTATAAAGCGGCTGCTGCCATCTACTTCTTTTTTTTTTATTTTGAAACTGTATATAGACACTCGGTTATTTCATTAGGTTACTACAACAAACAACAACAACAAACAAACAACAACAACAACAAAAAGAGATCATCCCAATCAGTCAGTTACTTACACATTAGATAGAGATACCTATTATATTATCACAAAGAGCGCCCCAATTGTTACTCTTCAGAATTTTTGTTATATAAATCATCATCATCCTCAAAAAAGTATATCTCTTTTCAACTCCTCCCCCACCTACATACAACAATAAGAATAAGATCAACATTTTTCAACAAAAACATAAAAAAGTTTCTTTGTAATCTTTTTAAAATTGTAATTTTAATAATATCAAATCAATCACAATCATAAACCTATTGTATCAAAATAAAAAGATAAAAAGAGAAACTGTTAATAGTACAAAAAGTGGATTTAAATCATATAAATAAAAAAAAGTAGAAAACAAATAAAATATATCTAGTTTTAATATATAATGTTCAAAACAAATCAACACTTTTGCAAAACTCAACTTATAAACTTTAGATAAGTTTTATTGATTAATAAATAAATTGATAATAAATTTTAATTATTATCATAACTTTTTTTTTATTTTTATTGTAATACATTGTTAGTTAGTGATGATGTAGTTGTCGTTTTTCATTAGATGTTACATTATGTTGTTGATGGTTATGATTATGATTATGATTATTATTATGATGTTGTTGCCTTGTGTTGGTCGTTGTAGTTGTCGTCGTTGTTGTTGTTGTGGATGGTGTTGATAATAGAGGCATCGGTGGTGTTGACTTATCCTTTAGTTTTACTTTTAGATACCTATAATAGTAGTAGTAACCTTGTTAGCTTTAAGAATAAATAATAAGTAATTTGATTAACTTACTTTTGACCAACTTGTAATCCGTTCATTTCATTTAATGAGGTGATGGCATCATCTTTGTTTTGAAATTTTACAAAACCGTATCCTTTGTTCTCGCCAGTGTCCTTATCAGTAATTACACGCACACTCTGAAGTGGACCGAATCTTGAGAACAATTTATATAAATAGCTATCGTCTACAAATCCTGGAAGGTGAAATACAAATAGATTTGTATCATTACTATTGTTATTAACATTTGACTGAGTTGTGGTGGTTGAAGTTGAGTTTGAGTTATTTATCAAAGGTGGAGGAGATACATTAGTATTGGATGTATTTAAGTTCTTATATGAGGTTGATGATGAACTTGATTGATTATGTGTATTATGAGGTGTTTGATTATGGTGAGTTGGTGATGTTGTATTACGCTTAGGAGTATTAGAGATTGGGGTGTTTAAAGTCGAACTGGATGATGATGATGTCGATGTTATCGGAGGAGAGTATGGTGGTGAGGCATTCGAGGCAGATGCTGCTATACTACTTTCTTTATTGTGATGATGTTGTTGTTGTTGCTGTTGCTGGTGATGATGTGGTTGTTTGGACTTTTTAGAGTTGGATGTTGGAGAATTCGGTGCTGGAATAGTGTATTGATTCATACTGGTATTCAATCCAACGGTGGGTGGAGAGCGAGGAGAAGACGGTTGGTTAATAAATAAAGGCGATGAGGGATTGGGGAGTGGTGCTGGGTGGTGTCCTTGGTTCATTGGAGCTGTTGATGTTGTAGAAGTCGGTGATCCTATTAAATGAGACTCTGGAGATGATGGAGCATGATAGTATTGAGGAATTGTACCATAATATGTATTATAAATATTTGGTTGGCCAGGATAAATCTTTAATTTAATATTATTATTTTTTAACAAAAATATTAATAACAAAATATAATTAGTTTTTTTATTATTGTTAACTTACTGGTATCGGAGGTGCATTCGGATCTTGAAAACTATAGTACTGGGGAACTTGGAAATATAAATAATGGTCTACATAATTATAATATGGATTCTATATTTTTGTAAAATTAGATTATAAATACTTATTATTTTTTAATATTGTGATATCTTACTACTGGATGTGGATTTATAAAATGAGAGTATTTTCTTTGTTTTCTTAATGATTTTTGATGTTCATTGTCGGCATATTTTACTTGAATAAAAATTAGTTTATAAACTTTAATTTATTTTATTATTTTATAGTACTTACCAACTAAAGGTGCTGGGGAATCCTTCATTTTAGTACCGTTCATTGCCTGCATTGCTTTGGTTGCATCGGCTTCATTACAAAATCTTACAAATCCGGCCAACTTACTATTTCCATTTTGGTCAATCATTACTTTACATTCCAATATTTCACCGAATGGTGAAAATAATTCTTTTAATTGATCTTAAAATTATTATATTGAATTAAATTAATATTTAATAAATTATAATCTTCAGAATTATTATTTTTAAGGCTAAAACTTACCATCAGAAAGTGTAGCTGGAAGTGGTTTTAAAAATAAATTATTTGAAGGGTACTTATTATTACAGTTGGAATATAGATTGGAAAGGCGACAAAGAAGCTTCTTGTGCATCAATTGGAAGCCATCCATATTGTCGATGGCTTTTTTCGATTCTGAGGGTGAACTGAATCGGACAAATCCATATCCATAGGAATTTCCCTTGGCATCCACCATTACTTTGGCGCTCATTACTTTGCCAAAAGGGGAAAATAAAGTAAAAAGTTCATAGTCTCCATATTCATTGGGAAGATATTTCACAAAGACATTGGTTTGATCTTTCTCCAGTAAATCTGGAGAAGTGGACTGTTGAGTGCTTGAGCTTCCTCCCGGACTAGATAAAATTGAATCCAAAGAATCTGTTGATTGTCCCAAGTTATTATTATTACTATTATTGGTTTTAAAATTATTATTATTATTATTATTTGTGGTTGTAGTTGTGGTTGTTAATTTACTATTTAATTGATTGACATCCATTTAGTTAACAATAATGAGTAATAATTATTATTGGAATAAATAAACAATGCAAAAAACACCTATTGAAAAAAAATACATAAACTAAACAATATATTACATTGTCAATCAAAGGTTCTACCATGAATTTTAAGAGTAATAAATCACTTACCTAAAACAAATGAAAAATATCAAAAATCAAATTTCAATCCAAAAATTGCATAAACACAGTATTGAGGTCCCAAATTTATTATAAATAGAAGATTGCTAAAATGGATGGGTTTTAGTTTTGTTTTTTGTTTTTTTTTTTGCAAACACTTTTTGTTTGAAATTTGAGCTTTTGATGAAAGACTTACTGACTTGTTAAGTATACACGAATTAATAAAATATTACAATTGTTGACCTATTATTATTACTGTTATTAATTTTTGATGTTATTGAATATTTATAAAAGTCAAGTGTTGGTAGTCTTCTCCAGTTGGTTACAAGTACCAATACTATCTTCAAATCATGCCAATAATAGCTATTCAGAAACTTCTAAAACATAAAGAAATTCGTCTGGATATTAATATTAAATTTTCCATACAACTCTTAAATCGATTGAGACAATGAAGTTGGTGACTCTCTTATTATTTCTTTTATTTGATTGATTGGTTGATTTGAGTTGTTTGCTGGCTGATGGGTTTAGAAGATGACTGTAAAAATTACAAATAAAAAATTGATTGATATATTATAATTTTATTAATTATGTTAACACCGTTGTAAAATAAAATTTTCTAAGGAATTCAATAAAACTACCCATTGTACTCAAATAAGTTTATGAGAATATTAAATATTGTTTGAAAAACAAAACAACGATACTAGTAGTTTATTGCGGGAGGTGGAGTAGTGCCATTAAAAAATAACTAGTATGGAGAAAAAAGTTTAAAAAAATGAACAACATCAATTTTATTTGAAATCAAAATGACCCATTTTCAAACACATTTTATTTTTTGATTAAAAAAATAGATTTTTTTTTTTGGTTTAAAGAATAAGGTAATTAACTTGTTATTCCTCGATTTAAAAAAACAAAAATAAAGGTATTATTTTGTTTTAATATAAAAACAATCTATATTTACCAACACACAGTTGATTTGTCCGTTACAATAATGACATCATACCATATACCGCAGTTTGATCCAACAACTATCAATCACACTCATTTTAACAAGTCAGATAGATAGTTGATTGTAAAATTGTTTTTCTTTTTATTGTCCACAAATTGTTGAACCTGAATATCATAGAACTTAATCAAAACGATATATTATTAAATGGTATAATTATAGACAAATTATTAGTTTTTTCTTTTTTTAAATAATATAAAATAATTTTATTTTATGAAATATTGCGATTGTGTCAGCTAAACATTGATCAATGTAGCTGTTGTGACGGCGGGGTGTAAGCAATTTATTTCTTTTGTCTCTTTTGTGGACGATCAAACTTTTTGTTGTAATTTGCTTTTTGTTCTTGGGCGATGAATTGGTTGGTGGCTTTGTCGACGTTGATATTTGATTCCTTGTTAAATATACGATCCAATACCTTCATGTTGGATTTGTTCTCGTTGGCGATGTTCGAGTCATCACCGAGTCCTCTTTGCTTCTTGACGTTACGTTGTGGTTTGACGGCTTCGTCCTTCATCAATCTATCGAATTTACCCATACTGGCAGTACTAACCTTGGCGACATTGAATGTGTTACCAATATCTGACTTTAGCTGTGATCTGTTGTCCTTGCCGAAATCCTTTACCTTTCCAATACCGGCATTGCTACGCATCGATGACTCTTCCAAGTTTCTGTTTTCTCTCTTCTTTTGCTTATTTACTTTTTCTCTCTTTTCTTCCTCTGCCTTACTAAATGGATCTTCTCCTACCTCTGTAATAATTATAATTTCATATAGATATCATTATTATTTTCGTTAGTTAAACAAACATCTTATTTATCTATCACTATTTGTTTTTTTTTTTTTCGTTTTTTTTACATACTATCAGATTCTTTAGCTTCCATAATATAATCTTCATGTTTGTTAGCACGATTGGCACCATAGGATTGACGATACTCTTGATAGTGTTCGTCCCATTCCATTCTTGCCTTCTTTCCTTTCTTCTTGATACCCTTCAAAGCAGCAAATGCCTCCCATCTTGTATGTGATTTAGCAGATGGTAACTAATTAAATGATATAAATAATAAAAAAAGAGTTAGTTTCGCTCAGCTTTATGTTTAATTTTCTTTGTAAATTCTTATATGCATACCTCTTTCTCTCTTGGAGTTGGTGTGAGTGAAGCAAAGTCATTTGGTAACAATGCCAATGCACCTTCTTCGATTGCTTTAATTGGCAGACTGAAAAGCTTGGTAACTAACAACTGTACATTATCTCTTGACAAATTCTTTAAATATTCTTCTTCGTTTTCTCTGTTTTTTTATAATAACATTATGTAAATGATTTGATTGTTAATATATATAGATTCTTCTCATTCATTCTTTTCCTTCTTTTTTTTAATCTCTTATTATAACTAACATACTTGAACTCTACTTTATTTATAGATGAATAATCATATGCGGTTAAATTCTTTAGATCGTATTTCAAAGTATCGTCTTTATCTACAAGATGACCAGAGCTATATCTACTGTTCTCTAAAATATCTGATGCATTTACAACACCAGTTGAAGTTGTTGATGTAGACATTGTTTATATCTATATCTATATATATATATATTAAAACTAAAATAAAAATAAAATAAAAAATAATGAAAAACTAGACTAGACAAAAAAAAGCGAATAGTGAGAAATTTTAATAAAAATTAAAAAAAAATATTCAATCGTAAAAAAACGACCGACGAACTTTGTTTAAATCAAATAAAATAAATCGATTGAAAACTATTACTGATTTTATTATTATATATTACAAAATATATACTCAAACTCAATAAGAAATAAATAAAAGAAGCGATCAATAATTTTTGTTTCTAAAATAATTACTTATTCAATATTTTTAAAATTTTGCATTATAGACTCCTCACTAGAATTATTCTCCTAAAATATTTGAGTGTATCTTACAATATTTTCAAAATCAAAGTATATTTCTTTTTTTTTTTTTTTTTAATTGAAACATTTATTACTAAGATTCAACGTTACAAATATTTAAATCTCGATTGACATTTGCACACAAGATAAAAAAAAATTTTTTTTAGCACCTTTTTTTGGGTTATTTTTCACCATTATTTTTTGATTAATTATAAATTTTTTTTTTGAGGACCATCAATAAAATAATATCTAAAATCAACAACATAGGTGATTGAAAATAATATTACGAACAAATAATTAATAGTAACATTTCTAATTTGTAAATAAAATCGAAATTACTTCTTTTTTCATTTTACTTTGGTCAATACATTGTTTAATCGAACCACCAAATCAAATCTCACAATCAAAATCAAATCAATCCATTTTCAAACAATTTTTTAATTTTTTTTTTTATAAAAAAAACAACAAAAACACACAGCATTCTTTTACCATCACTTTAAAAATCTAATAAATTAATTTCAACATATTTTTTTTTGTATTTGTACATATATATATATATATTATATAATTATTATTCCATTTTTTATTTTATTTATCGAAAAGAAAGAATTAGAATAGAAAATGTCAACACAAATAAAGATTCCAGATAAGATTCATGTTTTGACAGAGAATGGAGAGCAACTTCTTCATCGTCTTTATAACAGTAGACAAATATTACAGGGTGCAAAGACCAGACCGTTGTTCTTGAACGACGAAAAGGTTGGTCGTGCCATCAAGAATCTCATGTCAAAGTTTCCGGATTTTCCAGAGTTGGACAAGATCCAGGGTGTTGAACTGCTGACTTCGCGTGCCAAACAATACGTTGAGGACCTCGAGCAGCACTACGAGACACTCGTCGACGTCTGCGACTGGAAGGAAGCGGCATTCGCACTGCTCCAAGAGATTGCAGGAAACACCGTGGCACTGCGTTTCACCTCGTCGATCCAGTTGTCGTCGGCGTTCATCGAGCTCGTTGTCATCTACGGTAAGATCCATATATTGGTATCGATGATTGCCGATCGTCGTGTCGTTCTCGGAGTGTACGCGCGTCTCGTGCAACACTTGCGTTCACAGATCGAGCCAAACTACTCGCGAGTCGTCAAGTGGCTCAACGAATGTGATTTGCCCGTCAAGAAACTACAGGATGAGTTCCGTGTGCTGAACGACTCGATTGGACACGTACTGATGTCACTCGAGCCAACCTATGCCAAGCGAAAACTCATCACACAACTCCGTCGTGACGGTGCACTCAATCTCATCCTCAAGCCCGAGGACATTGCCAGACCCGTACAAGATCAATACAGAATCGACTTGACATACGCATCACGTATGAACCAATGGATACTCTATGGATATCTATTCGCACCAGGTTCACTTACCACACCACAATCGATTGAACTTGTTAAATTTGCATTGTCCGAAGGTTTTAATTTACCCGTTTTCAAAGATATTGTAAGTAGTTTTATAATAACAACAACAAAAATTAAGATATTAATAATAGTTTATTAATTGATCGATTTACATATATATATTTATTTTCATTTCATATTTTAGTCATTCCCAATTCATAATGAATTTAATGGATTGTTTAAGAATTATAAATCAAAGACTATTCATCTTCAGAAACAAAAGAAAGTTATCAAGGAAGCTGCACAGGCATCGACACAAGAGGCACCAAGAAAACACAATGAGAAGAGAATTTATATTAGACAAGAGTTGGAGGCAATGTGGAATCTATTTAGAGACAGACCATGTTTGTTGGCACCGAAAATCAATGTATTGATTGCTGCTCTCTCCATGGCAAAGGATGAGATCTTCTGGTACTTCCGTCACATCGATGCAATCCCACCAGAAAAAGTAAAGAAATTCTACAACAAACAAAACGATATTCGTGAAAGACGTATTTCTTCATTATTCTATTTGATTGATCATCTAGTACAACTTGTTAAAACACACAAAAAGAGTAAGTTTAAACTATTTATTTATAAATACTAAAATCACAATATATAGATAGCTAACTATTAAATTACATTTACTCATTCCCTCTTTATACTTTAAATATATAGTTATTCAAAGTTATTATATTGAATATATTGCAGGTGCGGATACATTGGGATTAAGTAAAGTTTTGAATCCACAGTTGTTACAAAATGCCGGAACAACAGTCGCTCAGACTATCAACACAATTATGAATGAGTTAAAGTCAGTGTCGTTGGAATCATTTAATAGAGGTACCGAGTACAACTTCAATGGTTTGCGTGACAATTGGTGTCGTCTCGAGTATCTTTTGTATTCTAGTTCATGTCCATTGAGAGAGGCAGAGTCCAGCCAGATCTCGAGTCGTCTCAATCTCATCTATATTCACTCGAGAAATGTCGACCAGATCGAGCAACAACTCGAAGAGTTCTCCTCGCTCTCTGGTCTCTGGTCATTCAAAGAGCCATTCGTCGCATCGTTTGACAACACTCTTGTCGAAGGAAACGATCAGCCAACTCACGTAATGAACTACCTCAAGTTACTATCGTTGTTCCCCTCTACAGTGCCAACTCACTTCATGCCAGAGGAGAAAGAACAGATTGGAAAAGAGTGTGCAGAGATTGCCACTGTATTCCTCAATAAGATCTCAACGCGTATCGTCAACATCCTCACTACCTCTGTTGCCACACAGTTCCAAAGCTCAGAGGCACAGTTGGCCGATGTCAACGCAGCATTCCCACTGCTCCAGAAGCGCAAGGATTGGAAACCACCCAAGGACTTTGTCACCCCGGTCGAGCCTGGCTCAGAGTCTTCGTTCCGTGCGCGTGCCAACCTCGAACAACTTCGTTTGAACGAGAAGAACGCCTTCCAATTGTGCAATGCACTCAACGAGTTTATGGATATAACAATCTACGACCACCAATTCGTGCCACGTGAATACTTGCGTGAACGTCTCGGTGCCGCTTTGAAGCAATTTATGCGTCAAACATCGACCCCAACCATCGCCACCGATCCATCGAGCATCATCCGTCCAACTGCATTCGAAACACAACTCAAAGTGTTCCTCGGTGTAATGGTGCTAGTCGAGAACTACATCGATATCGACGTCGGTGGATTGATCCGTGAGACTCTACTCGCCGAGTTCTACGCCAAGGCACTCGGAAAGTGTGGAAGAATCGATTGGTTCCCAGAGGGTGAGATCGAGTACTCCGAAGTCACTCTCCACAACTTTACCAACTACTTTACCGATTTCATTTCAAAGAAAGCTCAGACACCGGGTATTGTTTACTCACCGGGCAAGTTTGGATTCCTCAGTCGTGCCGGACTCCAATTCCGTGCAGAGGAGCACACCGACTACGCCGAAGTCCAATCGTTCGTCAACATGGTCGGTCCCTACGGTGTGAAGCTAGTCGAACGTGAACTACTCCGTTACGTCCTCCAGAACACTCAGTCACTCAAGGAGATACTCACCGCCAACTCGGCACTGCTCGAACAGTACTCCGGTTGTTTCTACAAGACAAACGGTGTCGAACATCTCAAACGTTTCAAACAACAAGATCTCGATAACTTTATCTCGCGTTCCGTCGGTATCGGTAATGCACTACACCTGCGTCAGATGATGCGTCAAGCCGTGCAGGATACCAACAACGCCAGTATTCCATTCATCCAGAAATCCATTGAAAACGCATTCATGGAGTACAACCGTAATACCTTTAGCTTCCCAGAGTTCCTCGGTGTCGACACACTCGCTCTCGATGCCGGTCTAGACGTGGGCACCGCCGACCAATACCTAAAGGTATTCCTCAGAAAGCTGAGTGCAACCGAGGCCGATATCAAGCTCTGGGACTTACTACCAGTGATGTATGCCGTCTGTTTCAACAGTACCTTCTGGAAGGATGCATTCTATCGTACCGCAATCGAAGGACACGCCAACAATGTACATGTATTATCAATCACCATCAGCAGTCTACTCATTGGATTCGGATCGATCAACTACAGTTCCTCTGCATCCGAGGCAGACATTGTTTCACTCCTCACTCGATTCCTCGAGATCTCATCGGTTCAATTGCTCCGTCTCTACAGACAACTCTACCAAAAGTATCTACCAAGTGATCCTGCCTCTGTTATTATATTTTTAGATAAAGTAAATATCATTCATCATTCATATGAAGTTAATTGATCAACTAAATATTAACATCACAATTTTTCTATCAAAATATAGTTTGTTGAAGAATGTCCACTTTTGATCAAAGATAATCTCGAACAATATCTACCATATACTTTTATTAGAAATATGTTCAAGGATATCTATGAAAACAAACCTGCTGAAAGTTCAACAGAACAATTCTAGATATTCTTTAAAATATATACCAACAACAACAACAATAATAATAATAATATTGGAACAAAACAATCTTCAAATTGAAATGTTACATTAACAATATTATTAAAAAAAAAAAAAAAACTTTTACAAAACTAAATAAAACTGTATTAACATTTTCATCATCTATAAACTCACAAAAATGTCTATCTATTTGAAACAATCTGTAGATTTAAAATATTATAGTTTTTTTAAATTTAACTCAAGTCACTTGTTCCCTTCTATCTTAGTTTTACGACAAATTGCCAACAATTTAATTGATGTTCATTAAAATTAAATTAATTCAAAAATATTTACTCACCACACAAAGTTGATTAAACCAATATAATTGATCAAAAAAAAAAAAAAAAACAACATACACCACTATTTAATTTGTTGTTATCTATCTCATTGTATTTTATACTTCATTTAATAATAGTTTTTTTTTAATAATATTATTTAGATTATAGAAATGGACAAGGTTTTAAGTTCATTAAATTTAACCAATGATGATATGATTGGAGTACAAATCAGCTTACTCCTGTTCGTTCCATACTTACTTGGACACTTTCTCTTCCCAAAGTTGACTTTTCAATTTGGTAGTCTTGTTTTGGCATGCATGTATTTTTAGTATATCGATCATCACTTTATGCACTCGTTTAATAACAACTTTATAAAATATTAGGTTGTGGAGGTTTAACTGTCGGATTCTCACTTAATAGTCACTCTTCTTTTGAGGAAAAGATCGCTGATTGTATATTCTCAGTAGTAATTATGCTCCTTGCATTATCTGCATTGCATAACAATTCAAAGTAAGTGGCTGTCTCCTTCCTTAAGCAATCACCAATCAAACAATTGTTAACTAATTAACTAACCAATAATAATATAGGAAACCAATGATGGTAGGATACATCTTACACGGCACCTGGGATATTTTACACCACCATTGGACTGGTCACTTGCATGTTGCTTGGGATATTAAGGTAAACATTTTTTGTTAGGCAAAGGTAAATAACATATCAATATATTAACTGTTCAATTCTTCCTTCTCAAATGATTTTAGACTACTACACCACTTTGGTACCCATTATCATGTTTCACCTACGACTTTTTAGTTGCAGCAATGTATATGGTCACAAGCTACCCTTCATCTGGTGGAAACACTGCCCAAAAGAAAAAGACTCGTTAATAATCTTAAACCTGCAAATAAAAGAGATTTTTGTGAACATGAAGTGGTCATCACCATCAGTTTCAATGCCACTGTACATGTACAATAATAATAAATAATAAAAAAATAAAAATAAAAAAAAAAAGTAAAAAATTGTTGTGTTTTGAAAATCAAAAGGTCATTTTCGGGACCATTTTCTGTCTTAAGTTGACACACTCTTTAATATAAACTAGTGTGGTTACATTTTTTTAATGAATCAAGAATTATGATTAGCCTGGGAAAAATTAAATAAAAATAAAAATAAATTATTTGATAGTGGTGTGGTGATTTTTTAAAATAAATATAAATATATCATTAAGTTCATTTTAGTATATACATTTTTATTTATATATATTTAAGATATATTTATTTTAATAAATAGAATGAAATTAAATCTGTAGTATTTACTATCTAAAAATAATTATATAACTAAACAAAATCTATTTTTTATTTAACTGTATATAAATTGAATTAAAAAAGAAATATCAATAAACTTTAAGTGTGTTTATATATTATTTATTTATTATTTATTTATCAATAACATCAAATCAATCATGAAAGAAACTAATGAAATTGATATCGACTCGAGTGAGGCCGGAGTTGAAACTAATGAAATGGACAGTTGGATGAATGACCCCGATATGATAACAATTGCAATGAAGCCAGTGCCAAGCAAATTCTGGGGATTCTATTGTGGATTCAAAAAACAATATCCACCGTTGTTACGTGATGTCATTTCTGAAGAAGAGTTTAGAGATGTCATAATACAATCACTCAACTACCACAAAGTATCAGGAAAGAGAAAGGCAGGTGTTATCAGTGCCATCATTCTATCTCGTGGTGCCTACAATCCTACAAGACCAATGTAAGTAGAAAAGATAGAAATGTCGACATGAATTTAGTTTCTAACAATCTATCTGTCTATTTGTAGGTTTTATAAAAAAGTTGAAACTTTATTCGATGTAGTTCAAGAACTGAACAACCAGTTCAATCCAAGAAATGTTGGATTTAAAATTGTACAAACCAGTAATAAAGAATGTTTAGTAAGTATTATTTATCTTTAATATTCTTTTTAAAGTTTAAATTAAATTAACTTATTAAATTATAGGTAGAAATTAGATTTAAACCTGTTCATTTGGAATTGGTTGACACTAATCAATATCAACCAAAGGAGAAGGAGTATGACCCATATCCATTAAAAGGAAAGAAATTCTCTAAACTTGTTAATTATTAAATTTCAGACTGTCAGTTGACGATCTGATTAATCTCAATCTTTTAAACCTATAAATAAACTTAATGAGCATGTTATTGGTTTAAGTTTAATTTATGTTCTATTTGCCTTATTTAGACATAATCTTAAAATGTTTAAATCAACGTGTTTATTGGTCACCCTTAATTAATTAAAAAAATACTCTATGTGTGTGCTATTTTTGTTTTAAAATAGTAAAATGATGGTCACCATGATGTTGTTATTTGATGTTATATGATTTCTCCCACTAACATCTAAACTTTGGCAATTGGTTGGCTCATGAATGACTTTGGAGAAATAAATCTAATCTAAAACAAAAACATCTTATCTTTAATTATTATATTAATGTTTAGTTTATACCATTACAGTAATATTACTAGTTTAATTAGTTAATTTCAATCAATACTCAGAATTTTTTTAGAACAAAGGGGCACTGCTTTTCAGTATAGTCCACAAAAAATAGACTAAAAATAGGAAAGTGAAAATAAACTGATTTATAATTAAAAAAAATTGTTTTTTTTTTTTGTTTTTTTTTTTGATTCTACACATTGTTGGTCTAATTTTTTGCATGAATGTTTCGATGTTTTTTAAGGTTTATTGTGAGAATCATTCAAGTTATTAAATATGTCTGTGGTGTCATTGTTTTTCTTTTTTTTTTGCAACCATAAAAAAAATAGATTTCACTAAAAAATGTTTGATGCTAATGTTTTTTAGGGTGGTTTGAGCCACCCTTACCATGTCAGAGGATTCCCTACTTGAACTCAAACATTCATATTCCAGTTGTGTTTTTTGCACACTTAAACACTAAGTTTTAGAGAAGTGCTAAATTTTAGAGTTTTCCTTGTAACCCCACCCATCAATCAGATTGAAGATTGGAATTTTTTGCAGACTTTGTTATAAACAACACTTAAGAGCCCATCTTTTTGTTGTTTGCATCTGCATTTTTTTTAACGACGACAACAACAACAACAAACATGATATTTAAATTAAATAAACTTATGATTATGCTTTGCATCAAATTACTTGTACCTCATTCAACACTTTAATTGGGAATACATTCCAAAAACTCAATCGATTGAGGGTGTCACGCTGCGATTATCATCCTTTCAAAATAAAAATAATTCATTTAAAAAATAATAAAAAATAAAAATAAATCAAAGATTGTTCATTAATTACACTATAATTCATTCTATACATACTTATGTTTCTTCTTTAAGTTGTTTTAATTAAACCCACCAATAGTTTGAGACTTTACAGTTTTATTTGATAGGTAGGTATATAAATTCATATTTGTTTGTTTGTTGGTTTAGTAGTTGGAATATGTTTGACCCACCTTTAATGATTCATTGTTTTAAAAAGTAAACAAAAAAAAAAGTAAATAACAACAACAACAACAACAACAACAAAAAAGTAACGACGACAACAACAACCAGAGTTACATTTGAAAAATCACTTCATGTGATATTTTATTTCAGGTTTTCGATTGGAAAATTCAACATTTGCTTCACTAATAGTTTGCAAATATTATTTCAAACAAAATATATACCACACAAATCATCGACCTCAATCAAAGATGGAATTTGATTGAAAACAATCATTGGGAAATTTATAATATTCATTATTTTGTTTTTTCGACTAGCAATCATGTTGTTGATCAGATGACCAAGTGAAATAGAAACAATCTGTTCACCTTATGGTGCCTGAATATTAAACAAAACATGAATTTCAAGTGTTGTTTTAAATTCATATCGCTACTTATTTTCAACAACCCATTATGGACCGATCGGATTAAAATTCGAGCAAACAAAGAGCTCATTTACTTTTGGAAATTTTGTTTTTTTCATAACAACAAATCCAAAGACAACACAAGCACCACCACCAACAACAGCCAAACTAGACCCACTTTGCAATCTCATTTCAACAAAACCTACACCTCACGCCCACACCACAATCCACCATTTCACATCTCACCCCAACATTTGATCACTAACATCAATAATGTAATGTCGATGATTATTTGGAGTTTTTAAGAATTTGTTTTTTTTTTTTTTTAAAAAGTTTTCCTCTTAAAATTTTAAACAAGTTTTCATGTTTAAACAAGTTTAGTTTGATGTCTATGGCTTTATAAAGCTAAAGATAATTCAAGAGTTCTTATACATATCTATATATATTTATTTATTTCCAGAGTTTTTTTAAATAAAAAAAAATATAAAAAAAAATAATTATTTTTGTTATTCCATAAAAAAAAGTATAAATAATTTTCTAACATATTTTATTTCCATATAATTTTAGGTAAAAGGTAAGCAAATTAATAACAAATAAATAAAATTTTATTTATTGATTTTTTATAAATAATTTGGTTTGTCTTTTTTTTTTTTTTATGTTTTTTATTTTTTTTTTTTTTTTTTTGTAATTTGAATTTCATTAACGTCTTTTTAGTGGATTGGTACAATCAAATCATTATACATGATGAAATAAATGAATGATTACCAAAAAGAATAGATTACTCTTAAAACATAATTATTTTTGTTAAATCTAATTATATCTTATGCTTCTAGAATTCTTCTGCAACTTCAATTTTTGACAAACAGTAAAAGTAGCTATATGTTGTCTCAGCTTGGCTGTTGTCCAGCCAATAAATAAAAGCTAATCATACTCACCTACATATATTAATAGTAAAAATTAAATATTTAAATCTTTCAACCACATCATTTTCATCATAAACATCATCATGAGTGCACAGTCATCAAAATCGTTAGTGATTTTTTAATATACGCATTCATTCACTCTAGAAATACATTAATAAATAAAACAACCCAATTTAAAATCATTCATCTCAATTCATTCTATTTCAGTTGGGAGCGGAGATTATAAATATTTAGTCAACCAATCAAATGTCTATAGGAACAATTATATCCTATAAATCAAATCATCACAGTGTTTTTTTGTTAACATAGATCCCAAATCTCATTTTTTTCATCTCATTCAATTTAATACCATCACTGTGCTCTCAATATACTTGTGAAGCCTGTAGTCCCAATAAGTAAAGCAAGGATTGGAAAGGAAACACCAATTATGTTTGTATAATATTGAAATTTAATTTTAATTTGGAATTGTGGTTATAAGTTGTTTTTTTTAATTATATTTATAATGTGTGTAAATTTATGAATGTATGATTTATTGGTTGTTGCTATAGAAACACACTGTGTGTAAATGTTTTTTTTTCATTTATCGTTGAAATAATCACTTTTAAGACATAATATACCAAAAAACAAAAAAAAAAAAAACAAAAAAAAAAAAATGATAAATTGCAATTACATTTTATCAACACTAACTAGTACTGTTAATCATATGTTTATACAATTAAATGTACATTTTTTACTTTTATATTATTTTGAAATTTGTGGTTTAAGTTGGTTTGTTGTTGTTTAAGATTTTGTTGTTGTCTGAATTCCAAATTTACTCTCACACCCAAATAATACACACAACAGTCAGTCTCACACTCACTCTCTGGTAAATAAATTAATAATATAATTAATTAGCAATACCGTCATCTAATAATCAAAAATCACATCATCATTACTAGTTCACTTGGTCACACACACAGACAAGATTATTTTAAATAAACTCAACTCAGTTATTTCTATATCGGGTCTACTTACTCCCACTACACAAGTCTGCCCAACATTGAAACCAATACCACTACTACTACTAATACTACTCCCCACTCTTACCACACACATTGATGACGATCCATCAATAAAATTTAACATCCATCCATTCACTAATAGATAGGTAATCAACACCCCTTCTTTTACACAATCTATCTCATGCATATTCATACATCTAACAATAATTGGTACATCAAAGATTTAACATCAAAGCAACACCACAGCAAATCAGAATTAGGAAAGAAGAAGAACAAGTGTTATTGCTAATGACCACAACATCCAAAAACACCAGTCATTCAAATACCACTTCTCCCACAACACTTAGCAAAAAGACACTCACTCTTTTCTCACACCAATTTCAAATTATAATTAAATGTTAGAAGTTGGATATCTTATATATATGGAAATTGTTAGCCTGGGTGCTTTGCTATTCATGCTACAAGTTTATATGATACCAAGTTGCTGAGTATTGTTTTTTTTATTTTTTATTCTTCTTATATGTGGTTGTAGATCAATAGATTTAGAAGAGTGTTGTTTGTTGTTGTTGTTGGGATACATTATGAAATGATAGAAAATTCTAACCAAGTGATTTCATTTGTTATCCATATTTCTTCTTTAAATAATTCAGACATTGTGTTTGGTTTTTTCTTTTGTTTAATGTTTGGTTTTGTTAATTCATTAAGTAAAGCTTGTCGGTGATATAATGTCGTCACCCCAACCGCTGACTATTATCTAATTCATTTTTTTTCATTACCACCTACTCCACTTATCCATTCATTTTCAATAGTTACTACAATAAACTTTATAATTGACTGCTTTTTTAATTTATTCTTTGTAGGATCAGATTCATTGGTATCAAATCTAGATTAGAAGGTATGTGTGGATAATGAAATAGTTCTTTGATTTTATATTGGCTGATCTAACCACCAAACACTACTCCTAATCCTTCCACCAACTAATATATAACACCTGACAACAAACTTGCCATTCAATAAATTAAATCAAGAACATACAAAACTACACTTTTTCCTCTCACAACACCAATTTTGTTAATTAAAAAATAACCATAACTTTTCAAAGACTCAATCTCTAAATTAATAATAACAATTACCTATTTATTAATAGAATTTTATCAATAACCAATAATTGTTATGCTATTAAGGATATAAAGATTAATAATTATTTTAAAAGAACTCAATATTTCAACAATTCCCATATATATCATTCTACAACTCAAATCATTCAACCATTAGTAATTCATTAATAATAGTTTTTCATCAAAAAAAAAAAAAAAAGAAACCGACCTTTTAAATAATTATAAATAGCAATAACTTCACCAATTGTATTATCAATTATAAATTTACTATTAACTTAAAAACTGAAATTAAAAGTTCAAATCATATCAATTAATAGTTAGTCAGTATTTCTAGGGAAATAACAAAAAAATCAATCAGAAAAATAATAATAACCAATAATAAACTAATAATAAATAGGATATCTTACTACCATTCATATTATATATTTCAGTTTTGAAGTTCAACCCTAACGAACCAATCAACATCGAAAAGGTTTAAAATAAAAATAACCATTCCATTCGATCTATTTATATCTACCAACCGAAAGTAATAGAATCATCATAACCTAATAATTATTTAATTCCATATTTAGTAATAATCTCTAATTAATCACCATCATCACTATCATCATAATTTAATTAATTAACATCTTTATATATCTGTCAGTTTGGTATATTCAGCTCTTTACCAATAAATTTTTAAACAAATCCACTTTTAACTTTTAAAGCAATTTTATCAATTCCCTAATTTCTCTAAAAAAATTGTTACTATTACTACATACCATCTTTAGATATTTATAATTCTTGCAATCTCAACAGTCACACATTAACAAACTGCTCAATTCTACTCCATCATCCAAATACCAACACACACATAAATTATTATTTTATTTTTTTGGTATATCCAAGCAACCACCAAAGATATTAGATAAAAATAATATATTTATATTCTAACCGACAAACCAGATTATTACAAGTATAATATTTTAGTAAGAGGTGTGATTTATAAATTTTAATAGGGCAACACAGATGCATGGTCAAATTTCCATCTGTAATCTTTTTATTTTATTTTATTTATTTTATTTTAATGTGTTTTTGTCTCTCTATTAATGTCCATGCACAACACTGTACTATAATTACTCATATATCATCGTGTCACCATTGCCAGCAAGATAAATAAATATAACTTCTCCCTTTATGATATAGATGCTTCATATGGGGTAATATGTGGGTTTATTTATAAATTTCAAAAGTACTAATATCACCTCTTCTTACCTCACAATTGTCATATTACTATTGTTGGTGTCTTGTTCCAACCGAATATCAGTGGATCTCATTTTTTTTGTATTGTTGTTTCCTTTTTTTCAAAGTCAACATTTGTAATTCAATTTCAGAAATCGATATGTTTGGTCTGTGTGTTGTTATTGTTGTGTTGTCTTATAACCTAACTTACCCACCACAACCAAACCAAACAAAGAATATTTATTTTTAAATTTTCATTATTTCAGATCGAAGATAAATCATCAATTTTTTTTATCATTTATTATTAGTGATTTAAATCAATCAAATCATATTGCAACCCAGCCAATTTTATTGGTTTGCTGTCAAACTATCATATCATCATAATGGTCCATCGTATTAATGATGCTTGATTGACCCACAACAATTAAGGGGCTCGACAATTTGTCAGGCATAGCAATTCATCACACAATGAGTCCTCTATCCCAAAATTAGTTGAACCAATATTTTCTGACAGTTGAACACTCACCCACCATTATTTTGCCATAAATACCTTTTTTAGCTTTTCTGTTTGAAAAAAACATTTATTAATATCGTTTGATCATCATTCCAACCATGCCACTCTCGCATTATTGTTATCATTTTTTTACAATTTTTTTTGCAATTAATGAAAATTACGTAACTAACAAAAAAAAAAACTTTAATTAAATTAGTATTAGCGATTTTTTGAAAAACAACGAACTTTTGGTTTGCAAAAGGACAGTGAGCCATCAAAATTTTTTATTTTTTCAATTGAAAACAAACAACAAACTTTTTGCATTAGATAAGAAGTTTTTGTTTAAACACACTCACCACTGAAAATATATCAAAAGTGGGGTTATATTTTGTCGGATTGGGGGTGCGAACTGTTTTTTTGACCGGTCATCCAACACAGTTGTAAGGTTTCCCTCTCTCAATTATCAGAGAACAAAACCATAACCAAAATACATCACAACCACACAGAATCACCACTACAACTACACCTCACACCTTCCATTGTCTTTTTTTTGCTAAATTTTAATTTAATTTGATTTTTTAAATTAAAAAGTAAATCTCTGCAACCCCACCTTGCACTCACATTAAATAATTTCACAAAAAAAATATAAAAATTAAATTAAATTAAAAAAAAAATAATGAAAAATCAACCAATGGAACCTAATATAAACGACTTATCAACTAATATTTCCAACAATCTTATTACCACCCCAAATAGTTGTTCAACAACTACCACTTCTACAAATAACAACAACAATAATATCATTATTAATAACTTAATTAATAATAACCCAAATAATAATAATAATAACAACAGTAATATTATTATTACTAATAATAACAATATAAATAGTAATAGTAATAATAATATTAATACCAATAGTTTAAGTTGTAACAGTAGTAGTAATAGTGGTAATAATAATAATAGCAATAACAATAATAGTCATATTCACCATTCGAATCTTCAAGAAGTAAATTCAAATTCAAGTTCTACTTCTGATTTACAAACTGTTCAACAACAACAACAACAATATATACAAAGTCAACAATATTATTTACCTCCTCACTCTGGTTTTGGATTAAGTTTTCAAATTCCAACAACCTCAAATAGTAATCATCACCATCATCATCATCCACAACCAAGTCATCATCAACATCATCACCACCATCAACTTCCAAATCCACAACAACACTATTTTGCAGTACCCAAAAATTCATTTGGCAGACAATCTGGAAGTTTTCCGTATCAACAAATACATCATCAACAACAACAACAACAACAACAAGCTTATTCATATTCACAGCAACAACCCAAACTAAATTTATCATCTTCAAATATTATTATGAATGACATAGAAACAATGGGACCACTGCCAATTCACACCGGAAATTCAAATTCTTCGTCTTCAAGCAATGCCAACAACTCTGTAAATGCAGGTTCTTCAACCAGTGGTGGTGGAACTACCTCCTTCAGTCTGTCGTCGTCATATAATCAGCTCAATATATCGCAAAATATGAACATTCAACAGATTGTCAATGCAAGTTCCTATGGCTACGACGAAGTTCCAGCAACATCTAATCTCTCACAATCATATGAGAATTTTTTCAATAATCTATTCAATGAATCGAAACCTGACAACAACAATAATAATAACAACTCTGCAAGTGGTTCAAACAATAATAATAACAACAACAATAATAATAATAATAATAATAATTCAAACATTGGAGATAGTAACCATCCAACTGTGATCGTCGTATCATCAAATAGTAATAACAATCACTCATCAAATCATTCATCTACAACAACTACAACCAATACTCAAAATCCATTCTCGATGACACCAAGCAGTGATATTTCCTCACCATCACCACCTACAAATTCACATCACTCATCTCCATTACAACAATATTCACCATTGCCATCGCCTTCACACTCCTCTGCCACTCATCATGTGCATGGTCAACATCATTCTTCACCAATGTCTCCACACTCATCATCGTCGCCATCCGATCATCACTATCTCAATACACCATCGACACCATCCGGCCAATCAAAGAAGCTGAAAAGAGAATTTGAACAATTAATACCAAAGGATGAATGGGAAACATATTATCCATCGTCTAAATTATTTTCATTGTTTGATACCAAATCAGAATTGTAAGTACAATCAACCAATCAATTAACAAATTAATTGGATATTAATCTATTTTTTCTTTTTTAATAATGTTAGGACTGGTAAATTTGGATTCAAAGTAAAGAGAACAGATAAGAATATACAATTTTCAGAGTTGGATTCGGCATGGATTTTATATCGACAAAATAGATTCCAAGTAGATTGTGATTTGACTGGTTGCTTAGAGTCGTGGAGCAATACCGATCGTACCAATGTTTTATATGTACAGGATGAGAATAATATTCTTTCAGAGGTAACAGGATTGTATTTCACATTGTATGTTTTGAAATTTTCATCGAGCCAGACCACTCAGATCTCAAACGATGCCAATGACCGTGTGTCCATTCACCAACTCGGTAACACCAGTGGAAAGAAGGATGGTCGTCTGCCAGTGGATCCATGTCCAGTCATCAAGGGAAAGGCCAACTGGAACAAACTCCAGTTTGGATCGGCCACTGCCAACAATGCTCGTCTTCATCCAGACCAGCCAAATCCAAACCAACAGTTTTTCCGTATCGTCGTGACATTGAATGCCGTTATTGACTCTTCCCTCCACACACCAAACCCAGCGTTCCCATTGCCATCTTTTTCATCACCACCATCACCACAATCACAATTCTATCCATTGCAATCAAAGATTTCACCACCAATGATTGTACGTGGTCAGAATCCAGGTCGTTTTTTAAATCACGACAAATCATGCAAACGCGATTCATCTTCATCACCAAACAGCAACAATAACAATAATAATAATAATAACAATGGCAATAATAATAATGGTGGAGGTTATAATAAACCATCAGCACCATCTTCGTCATCGTCATCGTCATCGCATCACAGTAGTGTCAATCACCACAGCCATACTTTAAATCAACATTCCAATGTTTTTCAAGAAATCCCACATATGAATGTCAATTCCCAAACAATTGCTGCAGCACTTGCACAGCAACAACAAACCATTCAAACCATAAACACCACCAATACACTTCAAGTCAATAATAATATTGATACCAACTCTTCAAACACCAGTATAAGATCGTCATCATCATCATTAATTTCATCGTCTTCATCTTCGTCTGGAGACGAACAATCACTCACAACCACCACTACCACCACCACTAACAACAACAATAATAATAATAATTTATTTAATTGGTCGCCCCAAAAATTTCAGGCTTCCTCCTCTGTTAATCCATTTATCACAGCAACACCACAACAACAATTAGCTATCACAGCAAACACCACTGATGTCTCTCAACATCAAACAATCCAATCAGATGTAAATAATAACTTTTTCATGAAACAACAACAACCAACTATAACCATTTCACATGCTTCAGTGCAACAGAACAATCCATTTCAAATCGCCAATCAACAACAACAACAGCCACCACAGCAATACGTTGCTATGGAGGAACCATTCACTCTCAAGACAGAGCCATGGTCAAAACATCCACACACCGACGATATTATCTTTACCAATTCAAAGGTTGGTATCAACACACCAAATCCAACACAAGCATTGAGTGTCAACGGTAATATCTTGGTGACAGGTGAACTGTTCAAACCATCGGATCGTCGTATCAAGACAAACATCAAACGTGACATGTCCAATCACTGGGCCAAGATCGACAAGCTCAAGCTTTACGATTACGATCGTAAAAAGATGGTTGGTTACGATGCGCCGTTCGGTGGAGAAGATTCCAAAGAGAACACTGTACGTGAGACAGGTTTCCTAGCGCAAGAGTTGAAAGAGGTCCTCCCAAATGCCGTAACTGTTGCCGGTGAAGTCAAGCTCCAAGATGGTACTGTCATCCCTAATCTTTTGGTCGTCAATGATCGTATACTCCTCTTAGAGAATATTGGTGCTACCCAGCAAATCGGACGTACTCTCAAAAAAGAGCAGGATCATATCATTGAGATGGACAAAGAGATCAATAGGGTAAAAATTGGTAATTATCCTTATCCCAACTTTACCGCGTGGCCATCTCTTTCTGACCAACAAAATTTTCTATCTTCTTCCCATACCTCTCTAAATTCTTCTCTTTCTTCTCTCTTCCCACCTCTAAATACCTCTCTATCCTCTATTTCCGCTTTGAATTCTTCATCATTATCGATCAACTTGCAGACGGAAAGCGTGAACAACATGTTGTTCTTACCAAAATGCAAGATTTAGTATCGTTTATGCTCTCTGAAGAAGGCAAAAACTCTCGACATGATGATTCGTGTGTTTATTGTAGTTTAATGGGACTTGGACCTGCCTGGACAATGTTTGTATTTGGTTTCTTCATTCCGCTGTTCTGGATGTTTGGATCGTTCTTCCTGTTCTCGCCATCTCGTGTCAAGTGGATCAGTGGTTTGGTCAACTTTATCACAACCATTCTCTACGTTATCACTGCTGTTCTCCTTACTCTGTACCAACCGCAACTCAGTGGTATCATCTTGATTCCAGCGTTCACAGGTATGGGTATCGTGTGTTGTATATTGGTAGGATTCTTTAGACAACGTACTTGGGAGTCAAAGAACAAATACTATCGTGAGCGTATGAAGTTGATGCAAAAGAATGGTTACCAGAACCTCAATGACCACATTGACCAGATCCGTGATACCTACTCCAGTCGTTCCTCCAATATCGACCTGACACCTATCTCTGAAATCAGCACCACCTCTTCACTCTCCAGCGAAGACGAATCAGTTACTTCATCTACAGCCCACCGAAAGTACAGTGACATCGACTCGTTCCGTGAGATTTCTATGAACAACCACAAGACCCTTCAAGAGATACCTTTGCAAAAGATTGTTTCAGACTATGGCAAAAAGTACAACCCAAATCCAAAGCGTTACTCCAAATCATCGGAAATTGAGACACCACTTTCGCCAAAAACTAAAAAGCAAACATATACAACCAGCACAACAACTACTACAACTACAACAAGCACTGAAGAATAGTTTTTTTCACAACTTACCAATAAATTATTTTAATTTATGTACAAAATATATATTTACAAGTTTTAATTTCTTTTCTTTTATTTTCTTTTATTTTATTTTTTTTGAAATTGTTTTTGCTTGGGTATTAAGGAAAATAGGTTGATAAACAAGATTTAATTTGAATATCTTGTTAGATTAATTGAAGTACATTTTAATATATGAAATGTTTATTGTTGAATGTTATATTGCATTTGATTAAATTCATGAAAACAAACAAGACAATTGTCCACGATCGACTATCAACAACCTACCACGTTTCATTGGTTCCATGGAATAATACAAAAATGATAAAAAATGTAAATTAAATGAATCATTTCACTACCATAAAATTTTACACATTTCATATAATATATACTTTTAAATTCCATTGTTTTAACCAGAACTTGATGATTATCACAAAATTATTGGTGATTTTTTTTCTTTATTTTTAAACATTATTTTAACCATCTTTAATATGAATTTTCAACAGCACAAACAGCCTTGGCACCAAATCTATTGTTAAATTCACACTGTGTATCTAAAGTACTATATTGACTCGATGATTGACCGGTGCACTCTAAATAATCGTATGTCGTTGTTACAATAGTTTTATCATCACACAAAGTGATGACACCACTCGAGCAGACACCAGTCGACAGTGTCTGTGCAAAATATGGAGTACCATCGCATGATGAATTGAAATACTCGGTGTGAATGATAGCATTTTGATTGAAATTCACTTCCGCTTGACATGAGTAACTATCGTATCCATTGCATGATCCAACATTAAAGTTGGCAACGTTGTCAGGTGTCGATGAGCAGTCTACATAAAGGTAAGTAGAGATGGTGGCAGTTTGACTCTTGTTGCTACAAGTCACGTAGAGACCATTGTAGCATACACCAGTCTGATAGAAGATCGTTGTAATGATATCACCTCCACATTGATTTTGATTGTATTGCTCAATCACCAGATATTGTTGTTGAGCAGTACAATAAAACTGTACTAAAACTATTAGTGTAATAATGATTCTAAAAATATTCATCTTAATAAAATTTTTTTATATATTTATAAAATCTCTGATATTTTCTTTAAAAAGTAGATATAAACAGTTAGATTTAAAATATAAAAAGTAGTGAGAAATAAAGCAAACAAATATGTTGTTTGTAAAATGACTTTATAGAAAATCAAAAAGGTTATCCTATTTCGTAAACTCGGAACAAAATATCTTTTTTCCTTTTTTCACGATTTTTCATAATAAGATGTTTCCATTATTTTGATCTTAATTTTAAAACAAATGACCATTTAATTGAAAGTATAAAGAATAATAATAAGAGGTTGAAAAAATAGTCTTTTACTTTGTTTTATTAGTTAGAATTAATAACTAACAATTAAATATATTCTTTTTTTTTTTGTTTTGTTTATTGAAAAAAAAAAAAAAAAAAAAAAACCTTATATTATTATTATATTATTTTATATTTTATAATTCTTTTGCTATCAAATCTGTTTTAGTGATTACACCAACCAATTTACCCATTGATGTAACATAGGTAAAACTAAGACCTAGCATTGTGAACAAATGGAATACTTTGTTCATTGGTATTTCATCTGGTATTTGTGAGGGTGCGAAATCCATCAACAAGGCGCTCTCACCACTCTCGATGATGTCACCTAGCATATGAGTTGACCATATAGCTTCACCCCTGTGTGTAGCTGCTCCATCTACTTCCATCTCCAAGCCTATTTCATTATTATTGTTTATATTGTTTATATTGTTATTTTCATTATTATTATTATTATTATCTATATGTCTCTTTCTTAGAGTTGACTCATTGTTATTATTATTATTGTTATCTAAATTATTCATTTCAATTAAACCGTTTCTTTCGTCGTCTTGATTAACAGCTTCAGCTTCATTTTCATCATCTGAATATTTCTCTTTGATGACTTCTGTATTGTAATATTGATCAATCTTTGGATCTGATTCATATGAATTGTCGGCCAATTCAATGTTTTGGTATTCAGTGCTATTGTCATTATCATTGTCGTTGTTGATACTGTCACTAGAAGGTATCAAGAGTTGTTTGTCGTCATCACTATCACTCTCCTCCTGTGATGGTAGTTGTTCAGAGGTGGTTATAATAGATCCAACCTCTCTATGGACACCATCCATGTGTGGTGAGTGTCTGTGTATCTTTTCCAACTCCTCTTCAACTATAATGATATGTGTATCGATTAAATCTCTTAAACTAGATCTTTCTGCCATACCAATTAATACCATATGATCTAATTTATATTAAAATAAAAAATATTAGATTTTGTGATTATTATTAATATTATCAAAAGAATTTACCTTTTGTATCAACAACTGGAATATAAGTATATTTAAACTTTTCAAGATACTCTTTAATCTCTTTAACAGTACTGCTCATAGCCAAGTAATTTATATTGGTTTGCATTATTTGTTTAGCTGTCATTGAATATACTCTGTAATAATGAATTTGATAAGATAATTTATAATAATATTAAAAGAATTTAAATTAAAACATACTTTTCACTTCTAAAACTAGATAGGAATGGTAAACCTTGAATTTTGAGAGCAGTGTCAAATAGTGGTTTGTTGAAAAAGTTACCAACTGCAGATGAGGTGATCGAACAAATCAATACTGGCATCAAAAGTGATAGCTGTCCAGTGAGTTCAAGTACAAAGATGGCTGGTGAGAGTGCTCTTGTTGTTCCAGATACAAGTCCTGCCGATGCAATCACAGCAAAACCTACTACCGATACTTCGGATATCTTGTAGTGCAAGAAGATCTTTCCGAGCAGTCTACCGATGGCTGCACCTGTTACAATGAAAGGTGTGATTGCACCACCAGGAATTGGAATGGTGATGTTGAATGCTGTCAAGAATAGTTTGCATCCGATATAGACGAGCAGATTGTAGACACCATTCCAGAAGGGATCGGTCTTGCCCGCCGGGAACAAGTAGGGAACTGGCTCCTGGTCTGGATGAGCAATGAATTGCTTCATCGCAGCAGAGAATGGAATACGCGCGAGTGGACCTGAAGCGTAGGTGATCGCCGACGAGAGGATGGCAATGGTAACGACCAGACCGATACGCGACTGCTTTAGTAGTGGATAACGCAAACGGAATCTGACGATCTTCTCATAGAGGAATACAAAGAGTGCACCAATCAAACCACAGACAATTCCGATTGCAATGAACAGTGAGATATCGATCAGTGAGTACTTTGATGGCAGATCTTTAGAGTCGACCGTGTACACAGAGAAGGCATAGCTACCTACCAACGGTCTAGTGAGGTAGAAAATGATAGTTGTGGTGGTGGCACAGAGGAATCCTTTCCATAGATTACCAAAGATACAATTGGTCGCTGTGATTTCAATGGCGAACAACAATCCACCGATTGGCGCACCGAAATTGGCGACTACACCAGAGGCCAACGCACAGATAAACATCTGATACTTTACGATCTGATTCTTCTTGATGTTTGAGAATATCTTGAGTTCCATCATTTGGTGTGCCACAATAGCCGAGGCGTGCATGAAAGGACCGGTTCTACCGATGGTCAGACCGGCGGCAGTTGCAGCAATCATTCCTATCAGCTTGGAAAGCAGTGTTTTCCAACCGAGCACTCTCGAGAGATTGATACCCGAGAGAATCGATTTCATCTCTGGAATTCCCGAACCCACTGCATAAGGACTGATAAAGGAGATACAAGACACCGAAATAAAAGAAAGAACCGTACAATAGGTAACATAGATAAGACCGTTGCGCAGACCGTACTCTGGTTTGTCTTCACCCATCAACTGCAGACGTAGAATATTGAGTTTGTTCAATGTTTCATCACATAGCAGACCCATACCGGCAATGATAATACCGAGTAGTGGGATGAACAACAACGTAGAGATACGCTCCTTCTTGAACCAATGTTGGACACGACGTCTGTACGACTTGAAGTCTTTGATCTGATCGATTTCATCACTCTCCATCGTTGGATCCGACTGCAAGTTTGAATACATATCGACCGATTCGAAAACTACATCGTAGTCGGCCATCGATGTCGCTTTATACTCCTTGGTGTCCTTGATTTTTGTTAGCACCTTGTGCATCTTTTTCTTATAATCATTTGATCTAATATTTTGTACTACATTCTAGAATAGAATAAATGGTGGTGTGACACTAAAGTTAAAACAACCATTCATTGTTAACAATAAAAATTAGAAATAAAAACTTACATGTACTCTATTATTAAAGTCATCGGAACCATGTTGAAAAAAGTTTGCAACTCTGTCTCTACGTTCGGAATTAAGTGGATTCAAATCATTGAGATTCAAATTCAACGGATTCAAATTTAGATTCAACGGGTTCAAATTGATATCTCTCAATGCTGAAGGAATTGCATTGAGTGGATTGAATGTCGACATCCTAAAGTCACTCTCTATCTAGCTAGCTTCTATATTACTTTTTTTTATTCAACAAATAATAAAATAAAATAAAAAAATAAAAAAAAATTACTAAATGATTGATTGATTGATTATAATAATATTTATTAGCTCAATTTCAATTGTTGTTTGATGTTTATCTAGATAGTTAGATTGTAAACGTGGTGAAAGAGTGAAATAAGGGGAGGTAGGTAGTGGTGATATGTTATTACTAAATAATTAAAAATAAGAAGATGAAAAAATAAAATAAATAAAAATAAATATAATTATATAATTATTGATTTTTTTATTTTGGTGGCTATTCTTTGTTTTATTAATAACTATTGTTTTGTTAACAAAAATAACGAAGGTTTTTTTCATTTTTGTTTTTTTTTTTTAAACAGTCAGAATCCCCACTTTACACCACCCCACTCAAACACCTTTTTAAAAAAATTGAAGCGACTGAATTGATTAAAAATAAAACAAAAGATTTTTTAGTGATATCAAGACTTGTTTAACTATAAATGATTAAATATTTATAAATGATTACAGATTAATGTATGTTTAATCAATAATAGGAATCATTAAAACAAAACAATATTATTTATTTTGGACTTGTTCAACTATAAATGATCAAATATTAATGTTTATTAATCAATAAAGAGAGGTAACTTTTCATTTAATAAATTAAAAGTAAGTTGGTCCGGCCACTGCAGTCCAAGTACCGGTAATGCTATTAATTAGACTGTTAGCGTTTCCTTGGAATACAAAAGAGAAACCAGTGTTGGTAATGTTTCTGGAACCAACAAATACACTCAGACAATGATTATTATTGGTATCTACTTGTTGGATTTGAGTGATAATTTGGGGAATGACACCGACTGGGTAGGCTTGTGGGAATGCAATTTGATAGGTTACTTCCGATGATATTGGAGTAGAATGGGTAACAGTTCCAACTTGGACACGAGCAATTGTCTTGAAAATAGCATCGAATCTCATTGAGATGTGGGTGTTCCAGGTCAATGGATGGATAGCAATGGTACGTGCAACAATTGGAGTTGCGAAACGGTTGGTAACAATAGTTGTCTTATCGGTGTTACCATTGAAAGTTGGACCGTCGAACCAAGTGGCTCCATCAAGAGTGTAACGAATTCTGTAGCTAGTAACCCATTGATCATAGTTATCGCCACGTCCTTGTGTCTTGACACCGACAAACTCGACTGGTTCTAGGGCACTCAACGAGACCCATTGGTTAGTATCGTTGACTCTGGCACACCAACTGGCAGAAGCAATACCGGCAGTATCATTTCCCTTATTGTAGTCAAGAGTAGAAAATTCAACCTATTTGATCCAAATTATAATAATAATTAAATTTTCAATTATTCCAAACATTAAATAATACTATATGTTATATAACTTACACTGGTTCCTGGTCCCCAGTTAGAACTTGATCTAACATTTAAATTACCATAGGTATTACCACTAATCTCTTGTGACATGTTTATTTATTTGTTTGATGTTTTATTAGTTTAAAAAAATAATATTTGTTTTTAATGAATTATTATGTTTCGAATTTCGATACAAATTATTGGTTTATATAGAAAAAAAAAAAGGTTCTTCACTCCAATCATTTTCAAGTGTATAGAGGAAGACCAAATTTTAATAAATGGTGTAAAACACAGGATAAGAATCTTGACGTTCATAACGGGATTGTAACAGATATATAAAAGAAAAATTAATATCAACTCTAAAATCCCAAATATTTATATTATCATATGATTAAACAAAAGAAACATTGGCCATTTTACAAAGTTACATTATTTAAGCCCTTTATTCAATTTTTGACCCAATGAAAAAAATCTCCCGAAAAAGGATTAGAAAATAAATTGAATAAAGGGCTTAAATAATGTAACTTGTTTAATTCCATTCAATGACAGATGGAAAAAATTAAACACCTTGTAAAATGGCCAATGTTGGTGAAAAATTTGAGGTGGACCAAGTTTGTCTTTTTTTCTGTGAAACCCACTTGAACCAAAATGATCATCCAAGATGATTCTTTAAAAAAAAAAAAAGTAACCATTTCTTACCCGTATCTAAATCAATTGACCTTTGAGATAATAAATACATACCAAGAGATTGATATTCTTGTCTGGAGATCATCCATTTGTACAAAAGAGAGAAAGAGATAGAACTTTGCATTTTAAGTTGAATTTATTATTTTTATTATTATAATTGTTATTATATTACTTGTATTTTCAATGTGTTCATTGATGGTAGTGTTTGTTTAGTCTTAAATAATTCACACGAAATGATAAACTTATAAATATCTCTTTCAAAGAAAACAACTTGTAAACTGTGATGGTATGTATGATGTGATAGAAGCTGTAATTCAGGTTTAAAAAAATAAATTAGTAAATATATATATATATATATATATATATATAAATTATAAACAGTTTGTTTGTATTTACCTCTTTAATGGGAATGGTAAGTGAACCAACATAACCAATCTTCTCGTTGAGAATTGTAGTTGGACTGTGTTGATCACCGGTATAGTCTTTTTCAAGTGTTGGTTGGATATGCAAAATCAAGCTGGTAATGGTAGAGTTGCTAGTGTTTGTTACAACAATATCGATGGTCTGGAATACACCGAGTTCGAATATCTTGAATAAAGCACGATCTTTGAATTCAACGGTCAAAGGATCAACATTTAACTTGTATATCATCTTTGGTGTTAATGTAATACCATTCAATATCAAATTACCATAGGTATGATCAGACTATATTTAAAATAAAAATAATTAGTATGTTTAAATAAAATACCATTTATATTATACTACATACAGATACCCATGTTAATTTAATATTCTTTATAAACATATCTTTATAATATTGAATTAATCTATTTAAATATTCCTATAAAAAAAAGAAAATTAGTTTAATTTTTAGATTTAAAGATTAAAACAAATATTATTATTATTATATAATAGATACTTCATGTTCAGTTAATTTCTTCTTTGGTTTAATATATTGACCTCTTGCTTGTCTAATTTGTGGTAGTGTATCAGGGAATGGTTCTCTCTTCATTGGTACATAGATGTTGATGACTGAAATCGGTGGAAGTTTAAATGTTGTATTGTTGAATGCAATGTCATACTGTGGCAACAAGTTGTTATAGGTCATAGTGAATGCATGTGTTGAACTATTATTTCTTATTTCAAATACTAACAAACAATAATCATTACTTATATCATTATTATTATTATTATTATTATTATTATTATTATTATTATGATTATGATTATGATTATGATTATGATTGATATGATTATTACTATTGTTATCTCTATTATTTAGATCGATTGAATCGAAATGATCTATAAGATTGTGAATGTTATTATTTGTTGATTTACTACTACTATTTTGTTGATTGTTTTGTTGTTTGTAAGTTACAAATGATTCCAATTGCTTCAATGACTTTAAGGAGGTGAATATGATATCAAAGTTTGTTATTTCAGGTCCGGGATGTAGATCCAATTGCAACGGTACAACTATCTTTCTTTGATATAGATGATTGTTGTTGCTACCGCCATTACCAATACTACTATTATTCAATGCATTCTCAATGCTTGAAATAGTACCAAGATTATTAGTACTGCTGCTGCTGCTGTTGTTGTTGACTTGGTTTTGATAGTATGTAATATTTAGTTGGTTACCAGGTGTGTATGGACGTCCGTAGGTTCTCAATGGCAGCGAGAAAGACTGGCCTGGAAGCAGTGGAAGTGCTGATTGAATAATAGAGTCATCCCATTGGAATGCAGGTAGTTCATCTTCTTCATCGAATGTATAGTTCTTTGGAATCACTTTCTTGGCAGACTTTTCCAGATCGGTCAGTGTCAGCTGTATTGAATCAATCGGTAACTCGCCAATGTTCTCAAATATGAAAGGGAACGATTGGTATTCACCGGTGAAGAGCGATACAGTACTTCCAAACGATGGTACCGATACGTTGAGCAGTGGAAGCTTGGGAACAATGGTGATTTTGTTGAGTGTTCGTTCGTCGTCAATGACAACGGGTGCATCCAACTCCACCTTGTAGGCATCACGACGAATCAATTCCTCGTACTCTGGAATTGTGATTGGTTCACCCTGCTGATTGATAGGATGCTCCGACAATAGATTATACGATCTAATATAGACACCTTTGATAATCAATGGACCTGGTTTCAATGCACGACCACTAATGATAATATCCATCTTTTCAGTGAGTGACAATACCTTGAATGACAATGGATAACTCTCAAACGGTACACCTGCAGTTGATAACGATACACTTTGAACTAGTATATCAAAAGCAAACGGATTTGACAATGTCAATAATACATTACATTCACCTTCAACCCATAACATTTGTTTCTTTTGTACTTTTCTAAAAAATAATAAAGATATTAGAATTAATTATATGTATATATATATATATTTGTTTTTTTTAATCTTAACTTACTCTCTTTCATATGGAGAATAAATAAAGAATTTATCTTTTTGTTGATTATTCTCTATATGACGTGAATGTGGAACTAGATAATCTGGGTGTGGTAGTGGTGTGAGTTTGACGAGCATTGGGAATCCCAAGATGTTCATATGAACATTGGTATTGATACTGGTGGAAATGGCACGAGAATGATGAAGTAGATCCGATTGGAAATCGATTTGTTTGGAAACTGGAAGTAATTTGTGTTGTGTTCTGAGCAGATAGATGATGTATTTACAGATGCTCAGAGAATCGAGCAGATTGGAAGCAGTCGAGATCAAATTGAATAAAAGGTATCGTTGGATGATAAACCAACCTTCTTTTCTTCGCTCGGTTGACAGTGGTGGCATTCTCGTTTGCCAAGCCGATGAAGTACGTCCCGATGAATTGACTGTCGCTGCCATGTTGTTGCCTGCGGTGCCTCCACCAAACTTGCTGTTCGATTTGGACGAACCACCGTTGCCACGAGATCGCGAAGACTGCTTCTTTACAGAGGCAGCCTGGTTGGTGATAGTCGACATTGAATAGTTGTAGGTTTTATTCTTTTCATCAAGGAAACTACTGATCTGCAGTGGAAAGAGATCTTCCAATTGGAAGAATTTCGTTGATATCTGTAGCAGATTGTTGATCTTCTCCCAGGATTCCGGTCGTTTGTTATGCAGGAATGCAGCTTCACGAATAAAGAAAGCAAACTTTCGTTTGAATCCCATTGAGTAGTAGGCGAGTGCAATCGAACAGATCGTAGAGATCTTCTCTGGAAGTGGCAGTCCGAACGTCAAATCGTAGACGGCCACCAACAAGTCGGATGCCTCCAACTTTCTCTCCATGGAGATGTGATAGTTTGCCATCTTCATAGTCAGCTCAATCTCGAAGTTCAATGCTTGTTTCTTCTTGTAGCAAGAGAGTGCCTCTGTTGCCATCGTCAGAATCTGTTGATCCTCATACGATTGGCTGTCTGCCACTGATTGTAACTGTGCATTAGGACCAACCGATGTTGGACTAATACTTTGATTCTGTGAATGAAATTCTTGATTCTAAAAGTTTGTTTGTGTGAAAGAGATAGTTAATATTAACAAAGAGAAAATCAAGTTATTGTAAATAAGATGATATTTTACACGTTTAGAAAGAATAGCAGAGATTTGTCCTTCATAAGATGCTGCAATCCATTCATAATCATTATTTGATTTTGATAATTCAATACTTTGATCATAACTAAACGATAATAAAAAAAGAATAGATTGTTAATTTATAATTGAGATATATATATATATATATAATGATTGTGATTATTATTCAACTTACAATTTAATGGCATCTAAAGGTGAACCTGCTAAAAGACAATAGTCACCTTTACACTTGGCAGATCTACCTGGTTTTCTCTTTTTTGCACGTGATACTTCGTCCCAAGACATTACACTTTCGAGTGGTGTCGATATGTATGATTGTGTCGATGCAACGTCAGACTCTGATACCATCTTTTCGAAATGTCTGAGCAGTTGATAGGAAAAGTCAAAGAGTAGTGTCGAGAGGTAGAATAGCAGATGCTTCTTATCACCGGCATTGGGAATCATAACAAACTTGCCACGTTCGAGATCCTGTTGTTCGTCGAGTGGATCGAATGCATAACAGATGGTAGCCACTGCCGAGCGATAAGGTCCGATCGCCTCTTCAAACAACTGCTTCGTAGCAGCGAGATCACGCGATCTCTTACAATCTACCACACCAATCACACCGAATATTCTCTTGTAAATCAATATGTCCTCCCATTCCGATGACTGTGCAGTATTTGGTGATACAAAGTTCAATAACATATGTCCATCTACCCAATTTATCTTTTCAAGTACACCTATTATTTAATTTTTTGATTGATTGATTGATTGATTGATTGTTTATAATAATAATAATATTGTAAAATGATTGTTATTGAATGTAAGTTAGTTTGGTAATTATTATCATATTACTAATATAATCAGATAGTTACGTGATTCTTTTGCATCTCTAGTTATACCAGATAGTTCTATGATACCTAATGTCTTGATGAGACTGGAATACTCTCTAAAACTATCAGTTGATATATCACCGATTGGTAATATTGCAACTTTGATTGCTCTATTTTCAATAAAAGTAGAGTTGATATCCATGCATTAAGCAATAGTTATCAATATTCAAAGAAGTGCTATATTCAAAATATATTGATAAATTTATGATATTAATTAATTAATCAATATTAAAGAACTTCTAGTTTTTTTTAATAAAATCAAAATTTTTTTTTTCTATTTTTTTAGAAAATTTATTTGCAGCCAATAGAGTATTGGTTATTTAATGATGGTAATTTTTAATATAATTAATTAAAAGTAAGTTGGTGTAGCATCAGAGCACCAATCTGACTGGCTTGCGGGAAACAATTTGGTAGGGTTCTTTCGATGATTGTTAGGACACTGGCAAAGTCATTTTTAAATGAACAAAGTTGTCTTAAATAATAAGATATTAGATGAATCTTGTAAACATTTGTCCAAGAAAAAGTTACTATCTATCATTTTTGCAAAGACAGTTACCCCTATCATCCAATGTCATCTGCAGCTCATGTCATCTTGTTTGTTTAGATAATTCACACATATAAATAACAAATATTGCATAATTATTTACAATATAATTTACCCTATATCGTGTTTAACGATTGGTTAAATTTGTTTTATTTTGGAAAAAATTTAGATACATAAAATAGACAATGAAAAAAATGATGAAAATATCGGATTCTTTTGTGTTTTGGTGGGAAAAAAATTTTAGGCAACAAATGTTGGAATGCTGGTATTCTTCTTTGGACTGTCTAGTCATTTTTATATATATCAACCTGGATTGTTGTTGTTGTTGTTGTTTGAATGGTTGGATGATTTTTCTTGTAATTTAATAATTCTTCTTATTCTTCTTCTTATAGATGTACCGAAACATATCTTCAAGCAACGCAATCGGGTTGAGGCTGATATCGAAACGAAGAGAGAGGTTGATGGATAAAGGTAGTCTTTGATTGGGGGAGGTCATTGTTGTTCTTGTTCTTTGGATCTTTGCTATTTACATTTGTATCACTTTTTAAATTATTATTACTATTGTTGTGCTGGAGTTCCGATTTAGAAGTGCTACCGTTTATAAGTGAACTACTTGATTGTGAATGATTGGCGAATGCGTTTGGGTTGTTGTTGTTGTTGTTGTTTGTGTGTTTGTTTTGACTGTTGTTGTTATTGTTGTTATTGTTGTTGTTGTTGGTGGTTGATGTGAGATCCTGTGAAGATACTGAATCTTTCAAAGCGAGATGAATCGAAAGTGTACCTTCCTGCGGTGTGGCAATCGATGGAATCGAAATTGGCAGACTGATTGGATTGTTGATGTGCAAGTGAGATTGAATCTTCTTGTTATAAACTTCAATGCTGTTGGCATATTGAACGTAGGATTCGAGATTGGCACCTACATCGAATGACAGCAATTTAAGTAAATCAAGTTCCATCACATTGATTTCCTTAACTGAAACACCACCAACTTGAGAGTAAAAGTGATTATTATAAAAAATATCTAAAATAATAATTTATAAAAATATATTAATAAAAAATATTTTTTGTTTTTTTTTTTTTTTTTTTTTCTAAATAAATTAACTTACCATCAAGATATTTTGCTGCTACTAAAATACTTGTGATTAAAATTCGATGTATATTATAACTATTTACAATAAAGTTTCTTTTGGTAATTAATCTATCTATATAAATAAGAATGGTGATAAAACATTCTTTTGAACATGGAGAGTATTTAAGGATTCTGGCAATATATAGATCAATGGTAATCATTGGTAATCTCATATTGTCTGGTAAAAATTGTGTATAATTATTTGATAACTAATAAAGTAAATAAAATATAATTGATTGAAATTATTAGTAAATTGTTAATTATTTTTTTTTTCTCTTTACTTACTTGATCACCATAAGCCAATAATTGATTGATACATAATACTAAAGACCTTAGAAGACAATCACTTGAAGTTTCAGGCTTTGAGCTTATGTCATCTAGCTGCATTCTACCCTCCTGAAGAATAGATAGAATGGTTGTTTGTTGACTGGTTGGTGATGGTGGGTATTGAGTAGCCAATTGCTGGGGCTGTTGTTGATTTAAATGACTTCTATTCTCATTATGATAGTTGACTGAATGAGAAAATGAAGATGAACTTGAATCCATTTTTCCAAAAAATTTTTAATATCTATGTATATTATTGGTAAAAAAAAACTAAAAAAAAAAAAGTTAGAATTTTATATTTAATTAATTAATAATAGATATATATAATTTGGACTTGATTAATTACTATTTTAAATTATGATTGTGAAATTTACAAAACTTCAGGTGAATTGGTTTGACAAATATTTGTTTGTTATAGTAATGCTTTGTACGTATTTAGTTTTATATTAAATAAAAGAAAAGACAATCCTATAATTAATTAATAAAATATTTTATATTAGAAAATGGATATTTATGGAAAGTATTTTTTTGATCCAAAAAAAAGTGATGAAAGCAAAACAAAAAAAAACTGACACATCAATTATAGATACAATACTAGCTATCTAATAAATAATTGTTGAAAGGATATGATAGTTAATGGATTTTATATGGCTATATTATTAAAAATAACTGATTGGAAGAGTGTGGTTGGTTTGTTTTTTTTTTTTTATTTCTGGTGATGGTATAATGAAAAAAAAAAAAAAAAGAAGAAATGAGGAAAGAGATTAAAGAATATGATTCAACAAACTAATAAAAATAAAACAAAACAATAATATTAATCGTTGTTGGTTTTTGGATTATTTTTGGTAATATATATCAATTTGGATGATAGTTATGTTTTAACCTAAGTATTGGGTAACTTTGACAACAACAACAACATACTTGGCATCACACAACAAAATTAATAATGGCTATTTATTTCAATATTGATTGATTGATTGAATTGTAGTTGTTGTTTTATTTTTTAAAAATACAATACAAAATAATAGATGATATTATTATAATTAATACTCTACTCAAAATATTTATATTTTAATGATGATGATTACTCTTATTCTTTTAAGAGTAATACTAAACATATAATTATGATGAATATGATAAAGTAGTTGTTTTGATTTTATTAATCACAAATTTTTAATATATAATTTATGATGTTGATGGTTTTTTTTTATTAAAAAATAAAAATAAAATAATCAAAAAATTTAATATTACTGCTAGCTACATGAATATGCCTGAAGTGTAATAACAACAAGATAATCACATATGGTAAGCGGTAGAGAGTTGAGTTGAATTGGAGTTGGTTGTTATATAAATATAAAACCAACAAAAATAATAATTATCACAATTTTATTTGATGATGATACTGAAAAGAAGCATGGTGTGTAGAGGAGGAACATGTATACAAAGTGGTTGTGCATCGGTGTGAGTGTTGGTTGATTGTTGATCAACAACAAAAACAAAAAAAAAAAAAGAAAAAGAAAAAACATACAATCCCTTTTATTTACATTTTAGTAGTGAGTGTTTGTGATGATAGAATGAATCAACAACAATGTAAAAGCTGACCTATTTTTGATATCAGTATCCAACAACAATAACAATAATAACAACAACAACAACGATTGTTGCTAGTAACAAATTCATTTATTTATATAAACTATTGATCGAAAATATAACAACAACAACATCAGAAATAAGTGTAGTAGAAGGAGGAAAATAACAATAATTTGGATTGAGTAGAATTCTATGGTGTGTTTGGTGTGTGATTGTGTGTGTGATTGGAAATTAGAGTAAAAAGTTGTATTTTTATTGTTGTTATTGGTTTTTATTTTTTATGACATTGGTTTCTAATGTTATTACTTTTAATTGATAAATTTGAATGTGTGACCATACATGGTTTTTTTTTTCCAACTGCAATATCAAAAAAAAACACACACAGATACACACACGCACACAATCACATTTAACACTCTTGGTTAAAGAGTGCCTGTTGTTATGATGAGATAGATCTATTACTACTTTATTTCAAATACCCCCACACACCTTTCCATTTAATAACATATACTATTTATATGTGATAGGAAAATGAATTTAAACGACTTTATATTATTATTATTAATATTGCCAATGTCAGTGGACGATTCGAATTATGGTGAAAGAGATATATATAGTTCTGGAAGTTATGAAATGTGTGTGTGTGGGTGTTTTGATGTCAGGGTGTATGTGTGGTTAAAAAATTGTGTGACATTATTAAAATCAATCAATAATTTACATATGTAGTAACATATTAATTTTAAAAAATAAAGATTATAAAAAACAACCACATAAAATCAATTCATTACTGTGGTATTCCTTTAATTATTTTTTTCAGTGTTAACAAATAAAGAACAACAACAACAACACTCCTATATTGTAAAAAAGTATGACTTGGTACACCATAAAACAAAACACACACAACAGATTATATTAATGGTATAGAAAGAAGAGAAACCAATGAAACCACAAAACAGAGATTGGCGTGTCGTTTGGCTCGTTAAATGGTGTTCATATGATTTTATTTTTGGTGTGAAAATACTGATTTTAAAAGTTGAAACGATGTAAAATGTGTTTAGCTTTATCAAATTAAGGCTTGATGTGAATGCTAATGTGTGAGAACGATTATTATTATTAATATTATGGGGTGTGTAGTATATAATATTCTATGATTGAGTTGAATATTTGATACTGCGTTTGTTCCAATGATTGTTTGCTTGAGAATTTCCATATATATCCAAAAGTTGATTGATATCATATCCATTTGATTTTAATAGGATATGGTTTTAAACAAAACAACATCAACCAATTGGGTGAGTGTTGTTGATGCTGATGATCATGATATTTCACCAAACTATCACATTTTCACAATGTTATGATCAATAGGGTGAAAGTAATGTTATTGTTATGTTGTATTTTGAGATGATCCAGCTATCTTATCTCTTGTGGAGTGGTTACATAGCTTGTGGTAGATATAAGTAATTATGATTATGGTGGTGATGATGATGTTGTTGAGCAAAAAATTGCCAAATCATGAACCATCACCAAATAGAATCAATCATGCTTATATACTACCTACCTTGCTTTTGCGCACACACAACAACCACATCCATTAATAAAATAACGATCATCTATCCAACAAATCAGGAAATTAATTTTATTTATAGCATACTGATTGATTGCTATTCTATAAATATAGGTGATGTGTATCTTGAGTGTTCTTTCAAAAAAGGAAAATAAGGAACGAGAGTATCGAACCATTTGAAATATAACTGGTGCAGTTAAAAACATTATAAAATACAATAGATGACATGAAACTTTTGAAGCTCCAATCATTTGATCCATCATCATTGAGATCACCCATTAATTAACTGATGGTTCATATGATGTTATATCAAAATAAGAAAAAAAAAAAAAAAAAAAAAAAAGTGAAAAAAAATAAAAAAAACGAATTGCCATACAAATCATATTCCTGGTTATAAAAGTAATTAATCTAATGTGAAATTGATGATGTAGTTGCTGATCAAATGAATAAAAGTGATGAGATATAATGAAAAAGATGGATTTTGCTAGAGATATTTTGATTGTCCGTTGAAATTATATATAATTTTAGATGCGATGATGGTAAGATGAGTTGTTATTGCTATTTTTGCCTTTAACTAAAATATTGTTACTAAATACTCAAATATTTGATTACATTGCGTAACTGGATGATGAAACTGATCCAGTCTTTTTGTTATGATTATATATCTATTATTATCTATATGTTAAATGTGATATCTATATACATACCAAATCTACACTAAATAAAATGAAACAGTTGGGTCGAACATTAAATTAGAGAGCAGCAAGATTTAAAGAGAAAATAAAAATAGATTATTAATATAACTAAATAGAAATAAAATTATTATTTTTTTACAACAAATAAAGTTGTTTGTGAAATGCATCAAAGATACGAAAAATGTGTAATAAATTGTGGTGGTTGTGTAAGATGAGATTATTTATGATGTTACTGTTGGTGTTATCGATTTTTCAAATACCAGATGACTGGTTATTGTTGTAGTTAACAACAATTCCATGGGAGTCGAGAAGTTATGATAACAACAGTTATTTTTAATAAAGTTGAGTAAAAGTTGATGTTATTTTTTTTTTTCCTTGCATTAATAAAAAAAGAGTTGGACAATATTTTTTTTCTTTTTCATTAACTTTATCAACATTAATACTTTTACTTTTACTATTGGAATTAGAAAAAACGTCTTCGAAGGTATTTTAAATTCGAATGGTGATGAGGATAGGATGCGCCTCAAACAGTCAACAGACTGGTATCCTTATCTGACAAGAAAAAAAACAACGGTCTTATCCCATCATTTTAATCAATGCACTTTGAGGGTGTTGAACATTTCACTTTCAAAATAGAACAATGGGATTTAATGGATGATGATACGGGTGGGATGGGGACTCCATAGGAGTGTGTTGATGATACCAAATGTGTTTGTTGAAATACAAAACAAAACAATAAGTAACTATTAAAGAGTTGGCTTGAGTTCTGTCTCTATATAGAATATATCGATATTAGACAAGGTGGTAGGTGGGTGTTGGATATGGTAGATACCAAAAATATTTAGATTTATTAGTTTAGTTGGCTATAGTATTTTCTTTACCAATTTAGTAATTTATAGTATTTTATAATTATTTTTTTATAAATTCTAGTTTTTGTTTTGTTTTTTAAAAATTTAGGAGTCATAAACATACATTAATGTACAATAATTCTATTTCTATGTAGTAATTAAATAAAGAGTGAGAGCTGAATGTACAGCAAACGCAGAGAGCAGTGACATTTTGCATATGTTTGGTTGTGGCGGTGGGGTTGTTGACTTGATTAGTTAGAGGTTCATCACACATACACATGTTTCATATTCAGTATCAACAACCAGAGATATGAGTGTCAAATGATGGATGGTAAGTGTTGGGTGGGGTGGTGAAAACTTAGGGAAGTGTCAGTATGGTGTGTAAAACGAGTGTGGTGTAAGTTAATTATATTTTATTGTTTTTATTTTTTTTTTTTTTTTTTTTTCTATTTTTTTGAAGCAATTTGATTGAGATGAATATCAAAAAGACTTGGATATATGAACATAATATTATGTTGAAAATGTTGTTGTTTGTCTCGCAATAGAGATTTCAATGTTTGAGTTTGGGCAACGGAATTCCAAAAAAGGTGTTGCTGCCAAAAAACTCTATAAAATAAAGTGGTTATGCCGGGTTGGTGGTGGTGGTGGTTGAATATCATTTTTGATGAATAATACCACAGATATTATTATTATTATATAATATAAAAAATATAATGAAACACACACACCCTTAATAATCCAAAAATGGTTGGACAAAGAATAAACAGTTTTTTTTTTTTACCAAATTTGGCAAAAACTTCATTTGAGCGAAATTAAAATTTATGTTACTGAAGTGTGGGGTTGTTTATTAACGATTTGCTCATTGGTGTGATTTAATATAAAAATTAAAAATTAAATTAATTTTTTGATTAATAATGTTTGCAACTTTGCTAATATCATTGTGGGTTGGTATTCATTTTTTATGATTGGACAAACAAACAACACAACTGCTACCAACAAAAACAACAACCTATTAATTAAAGATATTTTTGTAATGAAAACCGATTTACTAGTATTTTGATTTAGCTATTTGAAGTAATTATTAATTAACTACTTTTATATACAGAAAGAGTAATAGAGATAATGTTTAAGCTGTTTTTGGAAGGTATTGTTATATCAATCATTTTTATAAAAATAATAGTTTTAATAGTAGTAACAGTAGTAAAATAAGATCTTGATTCATTAATTAATGAGTGATAATAGTGCAAAAAGTCGAAGAAAAATGGTAGGTGTTAATAAACAGCCCAAATTTGATTAATTATAAGCATTTTTTGATAGATGATGTTCAAACAACTCTCATTGATTATTTAAAATTTAGTTTGATGTTTGGATTGAATAATATAATCAAGTTAAACATATATAAATAGGATATTGTTATTGAAATCATGATTATATTTGATTACTGCGTACCATACCATTAAGAGAATTATATAAAAAAAGATATCTATTTATATTTCTAAAAAAAACATATTTGGTTCACACAACAAATGAATGAAAATTGAATACTTACATTTAATTGTTTGTTTGTTTGTTTGCTTGGGAATACTAATTGAAAAATAGCGCTATTGTTGTTTTTACAAATTGTTCCAGATATATATAATTTAAAGATAAAAATTATGAATTAAAAATATAAAAATATTTACAATATTATTTATTATATAACTATATATTAAAATAAAGATAAATATATAGAATGTTTTTTTGAAAAAAGCCTTATTTGATCCAGTAGAAACCAGTGTACAATTCTATATTGATTTTAAAAGCAAAAAAATGATTAATTTATTTCAAACAGATAAAAATTATAAAAACAAAGATTAAAATGATAAAAGCAATTCATATAAAAAATCAAAAAATAATGCAAATGGTTGAACCATTCTATATACTTCATTACTTATGTTTACTTAAAAAGGATTTGATTGAGTTGATTTGGTTTGGTCACATGTGAGTTATTGTGTTTCATTTCAATTCATGAACACTTTTTGTTCTTTTATGCAATGATGCGAGCTTTGGATATGATTGACAATGTTACCACATTCAATTGAACAGTTGCGTTGGTTTGTTAAAAAGTTGGTTACCAATATGCAAGTTGTTGCTTATTACAATAACAAACAAACTATATTACAACATTCAAGTAACAACCAAAAAATACCTAACCAAATTTATAAATACCAACATATAAATAGAATAACAACAATTGGTTATATATAAATATATATTGTATTGTATTGTATTGATATAATATTTAGATAATAATAGATTTTTATAGATTTGTTGCAGCATAATGAACAACAAGTATTTTTAAAATTGCGTTGAAAGTGGTGATGTTGGCGATATTCTACCACTACACTTTAAGTTTGTTGTTGATCACAGGGTGCATTGTAAAATTGTAGTGAGTGAGTGGTTGGTCAATGCAATATGAATAGGTGTTAATGCTCTGCTATGTTAACAATAGAAACACAATGATCATTGAGCATGATCTTCTTCTTCTTTGGGTGAATCAGTTGATTGAAATTATAATAAAAAGCAATTTAAAAGTAGAAACAGTGCTATTTAAAACCGAAATGGTTGTATGTAAAAGTGTGGGGGGTAGTGTTACCTTTTAAGTATTTTATAATTTACATATATACATATATACATATAAGTTAACTGTATGATGTTATTACTCGTACTACTACATTTATTTTAAAATAAAGTGTATTTGTGATTGATTAACTCTATAGATGTTAATTATATAATCTCTTCTTTTCATTATATTGTTGTTTGCTTAACTAATAGATTATAAAATATATAACCAAATAATACAAAAAGATATTATAACAATAAATTAATGATGTAACAACGGTAAACTAATTAGTTGAGTGTAGTTTAGTGTGTAAAATAAAATAAAATAAATAAAAAAATAAGAATTAATAAACTACTAGATATTGATTGATTGATTCTATGAAAACAAAACTAAAGTTTAGTAACTAAACTAAAATTATCAAAAGATTGTTGACATTGTTGTAATAAAAATGTGACACATTTCTATAATCATCACATTAATGTAAAATAAACTATGATATGATTGAGATTTTAGTTATGGTCAGTTACTAAGGTCTCAACCAAACCAACAATCAGTGCGCACAACAACAAATTTTGTTTTTTATTTTATTTTTTACACAACATTATAAACGACATTCAGAACATCATCCCACCTCTCTTCCTTCTAATATTGAAAAGTAGGTGTAATTTTAAAAACAATAAAAAAAAACAAAACTAAAAAAATACTATTTAAGTTAACTTGATTGATGATTACTACTATTTAATAAAAATGGCACACTTTTTAATATAAAATAATTAAATTTTAATGAATATCTTGATTATGATCTCGAATACAAAAAAAAGAGAGACAACCACTCTTGAGAATCAAAAACACCAAGTATGAAATGATTCAGTGGGCATGAATTAGTGATCTATATGACTCCTTTGCAAGCCCCGAAAATATTCTCAAAAAAACAGAGAACATCAAAAAATATTAAAAAATAACATAAAAATAACCAAATTTAGAAAATAAAAAAAAAATAAGTTAAAAGTATCTAAAAATTTTGAAAAAGATGTAAAAGAGAGGGTCTCTTCCTCACCAATAATAATAACAAAACCAAAATTTTCTTTACTTACATTACGTTGAGGACTTGATCTTTAATTTTATTTACTAAAAATGTCTAAAATAATAGATTTTAAGAGCTCTTATTTATTAGCAAGGTAAATATAGTTTTGCACTGTTATTAAAATTTTAAGCTTTAAATGTATATAGATATTATTTAAATAAAATGATTTAATGTTAGGCTTCTTATGTTAATTAAATATTATATTATTACCAATCTTTAATTTTATAACTACAATGTTTAACTTTGTAGATTTTATATGTTGTCAAATTTGTAGACTAATTTTTATTTCCAATGTTTGTTGATGTTATTCAATCAGTTTTGGTCTAAAACAATTGATAGTATGTTAAATTTAATTAATAAATCAACAAGAATTACAACGTCATACAAATGATGGACCTCGACCACTGACTATCAATCACAAAAACAACACAAATTTTATATGATTATTCATTTTAATCACGTTGAGTTCATAGTGACTTGATGGTTTGTATATAAATAAATCACACAAAAAACCAAGTTGTAATAATACTAGTATTGATGTTCAAAGGGGGGACCTAATACCAGATGAGTTTGTTTCGTAACCTAGTTTAGTGTGTGGTACTCTTGAGAGCAAACGTTAAAATCGTCATCAGTTTTTTAATAGATTACATCATTAGATAAGCGTGGATTTCGGTCTCTTCAGAAAGTCAATAACCAATGAATTAAAAGGGAAATTAATCCCCTATCAGTTATTTGAGGCTTAGTCACTGATAGAAAAAAGGTGTTTGATTAAAAAGTAATCTTTCCTTTTAGGGGGTGTGAGTGGGGAAACAATAAAATATCTATTTTTTTGAAATAGTGTTGACAATAAAATCATTATAATAACGACAATTGAAAATTCGTCTTTCGAAAATAGCATCAGATCCAAAAACAACAACAAAAAGGGTTGAATCAAGTACTTGATTCACAGTGATGGGGAGGTTTTTGAGTGAACATCATCAAACAACACAACAATTAATATCTATTTTTATTTTTGCAAACGATAAAATTTAAACTTAACTTAAGTTTTGATCATTCTTTCATGTTGGATCATGATCAAGCCAGGTCAATGCCATCAACATCATTCCTAAACTATTTTAGCCCAATACATTAATAAAGTCAACTGAGTTTATTTTACCGCTAACTGTCTAATCTGAATACTAAAAATAATAAGTGGGTTGGGCGTTGTGGTCACCTGATTTGTGGAACTTACATCAAAAAAATGTAATCACGTGATTGAGACTTTATTCTGCCCATTTTCTTTTTTTTTCTTTGTTAATTTTATAACTTTTTTTTTAACCTGTTTACCATTCAGAAATTTCTTTTGTTGTTTCTGTTTATTTATATGATAAAATAGATGAAATTTCATCTATTTTCGAATCAAATCCAGCTGAAAACTATAGCTATACAGAATATAGTTTGTTGGTTAGATTGGTGAGTGAAATTGTGAGTGTCTCTTCGAATCTTGGTCTTCTAGAGAGAATTTCAGAGCCGAGAGTGTTGACTGTGTAGTTGGTATCGGCCATACGAGTGTCTTTGTTCTCTGCGAATACCAAAACAATGTTTTTCATTTGTGCTGTGTTTTCAAAGTTGGTCGATTCCAAGCTGGCTGCCGATGCATCCTGAGAGATAAGCACACGACAATCGTAACTTCCATAGGGACTCTCGGCGTCGAGAGAATCCAGTGATTTGACATGTCTGATTGTATAGCCCCAGTAGTGTCCTGCCTCCTTAACCTGTCGTGGCGACACCAATTTACCTTTCTTATATTTACTGTTGCTATTGTTTTGTTCTCTACTCTTACTGTCCTCTTCCATCTCCAGTGTCACTCTGATTCCTGGCTGTAGTTTCTTGTCGGCCAGAGCTTCCTTTCCGTGGCCGAGTCCAACGTCGATCAGCGATGTTCCAGCTTCCACCTTGTCAGTGACTACACCCTCACGGTAACGTGTCCAACGATTGGTTGTATTGTGATGTGCTGCTTCCATCTTTTTGAGTTTATCAACGAATTTGTAGTCGGGATCGTCGAGGTCAAACAAATGATAACGGATATTTCTCGGTGTTTCAATGTATTCCAGTAGTTTCATGAGTTTGTCAGAGGTGGAATTAGACAGTGCCGATTGGTAGACAATGATCTCGTCGACAGCAAACAACACTACCATTCTCGAGATCATCTCGACGAGATAGGTTGCCATTTCCTCAGAGGTGATGTCATCGAGGATATTGGCGGGAATGGCAATCGATTTGGAGGCGTGCTTTGCAAATATCTTGGGTGCACTACTCTCGAGGATAGACTGTACCTCTTTCTTTTGCTCTTTAATATCCTTTAGTTTCTTTCTAAACTCTTTCTCCTGTAGCTTAATCTCTGCTTCACGACTTTCAAACTCCTCACGCAATCTCTCCAGCTCATCCTTCAACTTTTTGATCTCCTCTGTGGCAGCAGCTGATGCAGCGCCACCACTTGGTTGCTCTTCATGATCGGGTGGAGGTGGTGGTAATCTTTTCAGTTTCTTTTTCTTTGATGATTGATTGTCTACCTTTGATTCGTTATCTTGTTCTGTTTGTTGTTGCTCCTCTACCAATCTCTTTTTATCTTTATATTTACTATAATCTATATTTGTTGTTTGCTCTGTATTTACTGTACTATTATTTGTTGGCACTATAGTTGATTCTTTCTCTTCATTTTCACCTTCAAACATAGATATCATTGAATTGAATCTATTAACTAATTTTTTAAATAATAATTAATTTTAACTTTTTTTTTTCAAAAAATTCAAGAAATTGTTTGATAACTTACTATTCTCTGTATTATGTTTTGTTTCACTCTTTAGATTTGTTGGTTTTTTACCCATTTTCTTCTAATTAATTATCAGTTTACTTAATAAAGGATATAAATATAATTGAGTATTAATTACTCTTCAAAAAAAAAAAAAACGAAATCATCAAAAAAAAAAAAACGAAATCAAAAAAAAATTAAAAAATTAAATAGCAAAATAATAATAATAATACAATCAAATCCTCTATTCTTTGTTAGTTATATCTATGATATCCTATAGGATTCGATAATATTAATTGAATAGTATTTTGTTGTTGTTGTTGTATTAAAGTTATAAAATTATTAAATTTATAAATTTTTTTAATATTTGTTTTTTGATTTTGTTGTTGTCATAGGCTGGTTGGGTTGGTTGGTTAGGTTATTATTATTATAATATTATTTAAAAATGGGTTGATTATGAATTCTTCTTTGAGATATCCGAGTAATCACCTGATGATCTGCTGACGTTTGATGGTTTGAATGATGAGCTGGATTTAGCGGCTGATTGAGCAGCAGCGTTGACATTGCTGGCTGGTGATGGTTGTGGTTGATTGATGAACTTCTCAGTCAACTGACTGATGGTGTTTGATACCAATTTAATACCATTATCAATGTGTGGTCCAACAATTGCTACAATCGATTCGTGGTGCTTATTAGAGATGAATCCTGGCAATATAATAATTGAATATACTAAATCAATGTGTTGTTCATGAGTTAGTATATGTTTGAATCTATGAATAATAATAATAATAAACAAAACAAAGACATACCTGCAATAACAAATAAAGTGTAACCAGAGATATAACATCCCAAGAAAGCAATAACTGCACATACAATCGAGATTTGAATGAAGAACTAAATGATAGAAGGTTACTTTAGCTATTTGATTGATAACTACTTTAGTATAATGATTATTTGTTCATACCTTGATTGGAGAGAGTTGTTTCAACTTGTAAAGTTCATTGATATCCTCGCTAACAGAGTATTTAGCGGCTGTCAAAATATTGATAACTTCATCATATGCTTCATTGGAAATGTCTTTTGGCTATTAATAGTGGTGATTCGATAAGAGAATGTTATAATTAATATTAAATACAGTTTAATCTAATTACTAATTAGATATAATAATAATTAATACATACTTGAACCATTGAAATCAAATTTAAGATTGGTTGTTTGGCAATGATGGTGATGAAAAGGTAGAGTGGTATGGCGGTGAAGATGCTAGTGATCACAGAGAGACTAAAGTTACGAGAGTACCAGAGTAATGCTGATACCGATAGTATAAGGATACCCAAATCGATAGGTCTGTGCCACAGTAATACACTTCTAAGATATTTAATCAAATCTTTATAGTCATTCAAACAATCTTCCAATTGTTTCTTTATAAGTTGTTTTTTAATTAAAGGTGAACTCATCTTATTCTTATCAATTTTAAATCCAATATCTAATATCTAATATCCTTTATCTGTTTATCTATCTATCTATCTATCTCATTAAAATAAAATAAATAAATTAACTAAAAAATGTAGAGAAATTTGTTTTTGAGAATCCACCCACACTTCACAAAAAAACAAAAAAAAAAAAAACACACATCATCATAACAATTGTAATGATTCATTAATATCAATCAGCCCAATAAGCAAAATTCCATGAAAACTCGAACTTAAATGTGTAGAACCAAAAGTAAGAGAAATCAATTCTTTGTTATAAAAGATTTAGATGAATAAAATTAGTTGTTTTTATATTTTATCATTTTTTTCATCAAGTATAACCAAATATGTTCATCACCTTTACAATCAAAAAGGAGCGAAGATTTTTAATTCTTATTCTTAAAAAAATTTTAATTTTTTAAATTTTTTTTCCATTCTCTAAAGAGATTTTTTGTTTGAAGAATCTGAAAATTAATTATAATTACTTGGTGTATTTGTAATTGTAATAATAATAATTATATTGTAAATATGGATATTCAGTTATATAGAGGTTTATTTAAATCAAAAATATTAAGAGAATTGATTTTTGAGCAAATTCATAGGTTATCAGGTGAATATCGAGACAGAGGATTGGAAATATATAAATGGGGTGATTTAGCGTTTTGTCCACAGCAACTCGTTCTATATAATTATGTCGATCAATTGAAATCGACAATCAAATATTTTATTGAAAATAGATACACTTTACAATGTACAATTTTAAACGAGAAGAAAAAAAATAAAACAAAATTCTTTAAAATAGAACAATCATCACCATCATCAAACAGTAATAATAATAATAATAATAACAATAATAACAAAAAAAACAATAAAAACAATAAAAACAACAATAGAAATGGAAATCCAAAGTTTGTTATCTATTACATATTGTATGCATTAAAAACGAGTGCTACTCATGGTAACTTGGATTTAATCATCTATTTACTTTCACAATTCTATGAATTACCAACAACAAAACAACAAAAATCAGAAGAAACAAAGAGTATTACTCCCAAAAGGTAATTATAATAACACATAGTGTAACATTATGATAACAATGATATGGTAATAAATAATAACAATAACCACTTCTATGTAGCATTATAAAATTGGAACAAAAGTATTTAAAGAGTATATTTAACAAAGCTGCAGGCAAAGGATATTTAAATATCTTAAAATACTTGATTGAAACTTATGGAAATCATGATGTAAAGATCACTACGAAATCGATGAATTGCGCTGCGAGCAATGGTCATCTCCAAGTCTTGAAATGGATGTATCAGACTCGCGATTCAACAGCTACCGTTTGTAATCATCTTGGTTTAGATGCGGCCGCTAACAATGGCAAATTGGAAACGGTTCAATTCCTCCTCGAAATGAAGGTTATTCCAAATTTAGCAGCTGAGTATGCTGCAGACAAAGGACATCTCGATATCCTGATCTCGCTAGATCAGTTCAACCATCTCCCCACTACTTCTGTTGCTTTAGATAATGCAGCTACGCGAGGACACATGGAAATTGTACGGTTCCTTCATAGCAGACAAGCGAAATGCACTACAAACGCCATCAACTATGCTGCCTACAATGGACATTATCAAGTGGTTCACTTCCTATTGGAGAATAGAAGTGAAGGATGCACACGAGAAGCAATGGACCTGAGTTCTATGCATGGACATTTGGATATTGTGAAGCTACTTCACGAACGATCGGACAAAGGATGCACAGGGTCAGCCGTAAATCTTGCAGCCGGTAACGGTCATTTCCATGTGGTCCAATTTCTCATTGAAAATCGTACGGAAGGCTGTAGTTTCTATGCTCTTTCTAATGCAATCAGAAATGGTCATCTACCAATGTTTCAGTACCTCGCAGAGAAGACCGCATTTCTCAAAGATGAAGAAGCCGTTGAGCGAGTATATAATATTGCAAAATCACAAGATAAATTGGAAATAGTTGAATTTCTAAAGAATAATTTCACACAATTACAAAGTCGTAATTAATATTGAACAAATTCAAAATAGGAATTCGTTGAAATAAATAAATCATTTAAGTGACTATCATTGCAAAATTTAATGAGACTTTTACTAGAATCATAATAATATTTTGCAAATTAAATCTTAAAAAAAACCCTTTTATTCCACAAACAACACACAAAATGTAAAAAATGAGAACTTTCTTTTTCTCATTTTCCTTCAATTTTCTCTTTTTTTTGACAAAGAGGTTTTTAACATGTTAAGTATGAATGTTTTCTTTTTTTTTTTTTTTTTTGAATCATTTCATTCAAAAGATTTTAAACATATTGATTGACAATCAAATATTGTTAGAATAAAATAAATTATTTAACAAAATCATTATTTTTAAATAGTATAAAGCAAATGAAGATACATTAGCATAATTTTTTTATTTTTGTTCTTTCATTTCAATCAATCATATTATAATATAACTATCACATCAGCAGTACTGAATCAGTAGAAGTAGAAGTAGAAAAGTAGTGAATACAATCAATAAATCAAAATAGATAGAAACAGAGCAATGGAAAGCGATTTATTAACAGAGAACATGGCAGCTTTAATGCAACATTCAAACAATGAAGACGAGGATTTCGGTGATTTAAGAGTCCAAGAGATCGAGATTTTGAAATCAATTTACGATGAAAGTTTAATTCAAGATAATCGTCAATCAAACTTTTACAGAGTAAATATATTGTGTTAATTAAAAGTTTAATTTAAAACAACACATTTGCACATTTTTTTCTGGAAATTAATTTTTAACAAAAATTTACAAAAAAAAACAGATTAAAATCAATGTAAATGTACCAGAAGGATTTGTTTTAAAGACAGCAACATCAACAGGAGGAGCAGAAGCAGAGGTAGAAGCAGCAGAAGCAGAGACAACAGATGAAGAACTATCTAACAATTCCGATTCAACAACTACTACTACAACAAACAATAATAACAGCAGCAGCAGCAGCAACAATGCTGCTTCTCAAGCACAAGAGTATCCAATTGTTTGTTTGCCAACTGTTACTCTTGGTTTTGAGTTACCAAGAGGATACCCTGAAGTTTCACCTATTTTAGTTATTTCTTGTTGTTGTAAGTGATTTAATAATAATAATAATAATAATAATAATGTTCAATTCATTATTAATAATTAATAATCAATTATTATTATTATTTTGTTAAAAACAGGGTTATCACTTGATCAAATGAATTCAATTATTAAAGAGTTGAATTCAATGTGGGAGAGTGGAGAGATGGTTATTTTTAAATATGTAGATTGGATAAAGAACAATTTATTTACTTTCCTCGATATTGAAAAGTCGTTGACTCTTACCGATGTCGATGTCGATTTCGATTCACCACTCGCCGACTATTGTATTTGGGAGTACAACGAAGATTGGACTAGCTTGATGTCGGCATTGCCCATCATCTTGGCACACAACTCCCACGAATCCAAAAAGATCTTCAACGAAACCGTTCATACTTGTCCAATCTGTTTGTGTGACGATGAGGGTGTCAACTTTGATCTGCTGGCGTGCTCCCACTTTACATGCCACGGTTGTACCACACAGATCTGTAAATTGAATATCGATAGCGGTGACATCCGTCAGATCAAGTGTTCTGAACTCAAGTGTGGCCAACCGATCGACCAGAACATTGTCGAGAAGTGTGTCTCTGCCAAAGACTTTGCCACCTACAAATCAACCATTCAAAAGACCAATGGTTTCGTAGAGTGTACCAGATGTAGAGGATGGGCAAAAGTTGAGCCACATACCAGATCAAGTAAGTAGCTAAAACAAAGACAATATTAGATCCACAAATACTAAGATTCTTTTCTATATTTTACTAGCATTCTGTGAGAAATGTTATTATTCAATGTGTATGCTATGCTCCAAGAAGTGGCATCCCGGAACCACCTGTGGTTACGAACCAATAAGTAGGGTAAAAACTTTTGTAAAATATGGAGAGACTATCCAATATAACAGAAATTATAAACCTTGTCCTGGATGTGGTGTTACCATTAACAAGTACGAAGGATGTAAGTAATTTGTTAACAAATCAATGTGCTCAAGCAATATATATTAATCTCAATCAATTAATAGGTAACAAAGTTGTCTGTACGTCTTGTAATAAGATTATTTGTTGGATTTGTTTGAATGTTATCGATGGATATGATCATTTCCAAAAGAAATGTTTATTGTTTGAACTGCCTAGTGGTATGCAAGATATGTTACCTTTAATACGTGTCAACCGTATACATACAAGAGTTACAGGTCGTTCCACTTGTAACCGTTGCAAGGCACAGATTTACAGACACGACAATAATAATCATTTGATTTGCTTCCAATGCAAGTCACAGCAGTGCTTTATTTGTAAATCTTTGATCAAAGGAACCAACCACTTTTCAAACGGTACTTGTCCTCAACACTACGGTGAACCGTTGAAAGATCCCAACATTCCAAAATAAATAAAACTATAATTGTCCTAATACTATTAATAATTATAACTTTATTTGTGTAGATGATAACTCTATACATTGTCCAACTGGACTATCATCATTGATCCTCGATAGCAAAGAATGAGCTTTGAAATTATCTTTGGAACTGATATATCCTATTCCCATAGAATAGGTAGAATGTGCCCAAACCAACTCGATATCCATCTTTCCAGTGTTTCGATCGGTTTGTTTTCTTATTGCAATAACACCAGCTAATCTTTCATCTCCTGAGCCATTATAACTCTGTGTTGAGTATTCTTCTTCTTCCTCTTCTTCTTCCAGTTTCTCTTCTATTTCCTTGTCTTGTTTATCAATATTGGTGGTTCTTTCGAAATGATTACCGAAACAATCTGAATGATTAAGTAATTGATTCTCAAAATAAGATTTAATTGCTAGATCTGCATAATTATTCTGCATTGCTAGACAACATTGCTTCGATGTCATTGATCTCATTATATGTTCACCTACACCAGTACTACTACATGCAACACCAGGTATTGATTTTCCATTCGATTCAAGAAATAGCTCATCCTGAGCCCAGCAACCACTTCCAAACAATGCCGCTTCACCAACTCTTCCTCTGTGTTTCAAAGAAATTCCACCACTTGATACTCCAGATGCTATATGTCCATTTTCATCCACTACAATTGCACCAACAGTATCGTAATATACAGTCTTGTCATCTTGATATTCATCATCATAATAATAGTCTTCATTGTTTTCTTGTTGTTGATCTTTAGTATTTCTATGCATTTCCAATCTGGAGTTATGATTCATATAGGTAATATTTGATTGTTGAGTTATTAGAGGATCACCCAACAGTGAATTCCTATCGTATATCTCAATGTTGTGATTGCTCGCCCATTCCTTGGCACCCTCTGCCACCAACATCATCGGTCTAATTCTTCCCAATGACTTGGTGAGTGATTTCTGTTGTTTTCTCACCAACGCACTTGCCAATTTGATGGGGTTGCAAACACCATTGACAGCACCAACGCCTGCCCACAGACCACCACCACATCTCTTTGCATCATCGGCCTGGCAAACGGTAAGTGACGAATGCTGTACAAAACAAGATGTGCTACCACTGCTACACCTACAATAGTATCTACCATCCATTATACTAGCATCACATTCTACTTGGCCATCTTGATTCAAACTTGAGCCACGACCGGCATTGGTAAGAGGATCATCTTCAAGTTGGCTGATAACCAACTCGCAAATCGATTGAGCATCTTTATATTGATTTGCATTCGAATTAACTTGCTCTACGGTGGTGAGCAACACTCTATCAATCAAAGACTTGTATGTTTTTTCAAGTTTCTTTGAATGATAACCTGCACCTATATGTACGGCAATGAAATATTTCATAATCCAATGGAAAACAAAAAATAAAAAAAAAATTAAATTGTCATCATGATGATTGATTGTCTGCACTGCTTCTTTTCAAAATAATTTAAAACAAATTCATATTTAAATGCATTTAGATTTAATTTTTATTATTATTGGTATAAATATATAATTTTCTATATATTTTTAGATTCTAACTTGTTCGGTCGGAGTAACAAATTATTTCAAAACAAATATATTTCTAAATTAGTTCAATATATAAAGTCCTTAATATTTTTTTTTTTTTGTTTTTTTTGTGGTAGTTGGAAAAATGGTTTACTAATTAAACAATGTTGGGGTTGATGGATGGATTGTTTGCTTATGACATGATTGGTTGATTGATTGATTGATTGATTGTGTTGTGTTGCTGTTTGTTGGGTGTTTTAGTTTTTACTCATCGTTTCTTGGGGCATCATCGGATGATGCTGGTGGTCTGTTATCTCTTTGTGAGTAACCTCCACGGTCACCACCACGGTAGTTGTCACGGTCACCACCTCTGTGTTCGTTGTTAAATCCTCCTCTTCTTTCGTATCCACCGGAACCACCACCTCTTCTCTCACCACCACCCTTCTTGAAGGCGTTGGTCTCTACGGATTCACCGCTTCTCCAGCTGTCCAAACCGTCGACCTTGCTTTCACGTGGTGGTCTGTCTTCAAAGTTTCTTGGACCGTCTCTTTGACCGTCTCTCTGACCATCTCTTTGACCGTCTCTAGAGTATCTGTTTCCACCGAATGGGTTTCCACCTCTGTTGTCGTCGTATTGTCTTCTCTCTCCACCACCACCGTATCCACCTCTGTTGTCTCTGTCACCGTCGTATTGTCTTCTCTCACCACCGTATCCACCTCTGTTGTCGTCATACTGTCTTCTCTCACCACCTTCACGATCGTTGTTGTAGTTGTTGTTTCTTCTGGAGAAGTTGAATGGTGATCCACCTCTGTTGTCTCTGTCGCCATCGTATTGTCTTCTCTCACCACCACCACCGTATCCACCTCTGTTGTCTCTGTCACCGTCGTACTGTCTTCTCTCACCACCGTATCCACCTCTGTTGTCGTATTGTCTTCTCTCACCACCGTAACCACCTCTGTTGTTATCGTATTGTCTTCTCTCACCACCGTCTCTGTCGGTTGATCTTCTCTCTTCTTGGTCGGTGTTTTCTCTGTCTCCACCTTCGACTCCACCCTTTGGTGACTCATTGTCATCACCACCTTGGACTGGTGAATCTCTTGGACGAGCACCTCCAAATGGATCGTTTCTAGAACCACCACCCTGTTGTGGAGAGTCACGTCTCTTCTCACCAGTTGGTGCCTTCTTTGGCTTTGCCTGCATACCCAAAGCTGGGAAATCATCTTCCTCTGGTACTACTGTTTTCCTACAATAAATAAATAAATAACGAAAAAAATAAAAATAACAAACAAGTTAAAATCACAACAACAATAATATAACTCCATTCTTTTCTTTTTAATTTTTTTTTTTTTTATCTTACTTTGGTTGAGAATCAGATGGACCAAATGATGATGATGATGGACCGGATGGTGAGTTGTAACGTTGACGGTATCCACCACCGCTACCACCACCGCTGTAGTTGTCTCTTCCATATCCACCACTGCTACCACCACCTTGTTGCTCCTCATCGTAGGTTGAACGTGGTGCACTTGGTAGACTGCTTGGCTTCTGAGTCATGAAATCATTCAAATTGAGCTTTTGTTTCGACATTTTGCTGCTGTTGTTTTATTATTATCTGTTTAGAATAATCAATAACAAACTAGGTCACTTGACTTTTTAAATAGCAATAATAATAAAAAATAAAAAAAAGTTAAGAAATTTTTTGAAATAAAGATTTTGGGTGTTACCCTATCTCACAATCCTAATAATTTTTTTTGCAAAACAAAAAATAATAACAATTTCAAAAAAAAAACAAAGTAACGTTCAATGCTTGAACTTGTTTTTACCACTTCACATAATATTTATTTTTATAAACTTAAAAGGATAATAATTTTTTTTCAGTATTTTAAGACAAACTTATTATATTATTTAAGAATAAGAAAATCAATTGAAAGTGAGAATAAATCATCTTCTATTATTATATTCCGCAATCCCCAAAATCAAAATATCGTTATAGTAATATGAGGAATATTGACAAATGGCCAAGACATCGAAATAATTTGATCTCCTAAAACTGTTATTTTTTATTTATTTATTATATCTCTTTGATTTGTTACGAATCATAATAAATAATTGATTGTTTGATTGATACACATATAATATTTATTTATAACACATGTCAATATTGAATTAAATGAATAATTAATTATCTTCTATTAATTAAATAACCATGAGATAATTAAAATCGTTAAAGATTTCAAAGATTATTTTGATAAAAAAAAAAAAAATCATTTATCTTTTTAAAAAAAAATTGAAAATTTGAAAAAAAAAAAATACAAAACATCACAAACATAGAACATAACAACTTTTTTAGCATTTATATAAATATATTTTTATTAAAAAAAATACTACTGTTGTTATCAGGTACCTGTTAGTTATTCTACAAATAACAGAGAGATTACCGATTCATTTCATTGAGTAACAACATAGCAATAGAAATAACAACAACATCAAGTTTTAAGTGAACAACAACAACTACAATAGTTAATCGCGATCACTCAACAAAAAAAAAAAAAAAAAAAAAAGATACTTTTTGTCGATTAATATTATTTTAAGATATAATAAAATAATAAGTTAAGTTCCATTAGAGATAGAGCTTTATATATATTTTAATAAAAAGATATATAGATCATCAGATAGATAGGTAGACAGATAAGGTAGACAGATAATAAAGATATACAGATAACAATAATAGTAGGTATCTCATTTCTATTATCATATTTTTTTATTTATACTTTTTTATTTTTAAAATTTTTTTTTGTTTTTTTTTTAATTTGAAGATATTAAGTTAGAGATATGATAAAATAGAGATGTGATGTGTTTGTTGGATAAAAGATAGTGCACAACTATATATATATTTACATACATACTAGATTATATATTATCAATTAAATCATCAAATTTTTGTGTATTTATATAAATTTGTGTTTAATTATAAAATAATGTTATTGGCAACTTACATGTTTACTTTTAATATGAAAATATAATATAAATACAAAGTTTGTTTTTATTGTTATTTTATTTTTTTATTAAAAAGAAAGAAAAACAAACTTTTTATAATATTGTTATTGTTATTATGATTGAGAAATATATAGATATAAAGATATGATATAAAGATGAATAATCAAACTAACTATTATTTTAATTATCACAATTATCCTCAACAACAATACTTTCAACAAAATAAAGGTTATATAAAGGACCCTCGATATTATTATAGCCAACAACAATTACAGCAACAACAACAACAACAACAGATGGCAAATAACTATACACAACCAGATATTAGTGGACCACCAGAAATCTCAGAGTTTGAAATTCAAACTGAATCGATTTTGGGAGATGGTAGTTTTGGTACTGTCTACAAGGGACGTTGTCGTCAAAAGGATGTAGCTGTCAAGGTCATGTTGAAGCAAGTCGACGAAAAGACTCTCAAAGACTTTAGAAAGGAAGTTGCTATTATGAGTAAAATCTTCCATCCAAATATCGTACTTTTCTTAGGGTATGTTATTCTATAGTGTCAAACAATTACCGATAGAATAGTTACTAATATCAAACAAATGAAAACACATAGTGCCTGTACCTCTTTGCCAGGTAAATTGATGATTTGTACAGAGTTGATGAAGGGTAATTTAGAAACATTGCTTTTAGATCCAAATATTAAATTGCCATTGATCACACGTATGAAGATGGCCAAAGATGCAGCATTGGGTGTACTTTGGTTGCATAGTTCAAATCCAGTTTTCATTCACAGAGATTTAAAGGTAAATTTAACAACAACAATATTCATCAAATCGAATCGAATAAGAGTCAACTAAACAAATATTATTTTCTTAACTTTAATATTATCTATAGACATCCAATCTTTTGGTTGATTCAAACTTAACACTTAAAGTATGTGACTTTGGTCTGTCACAAATTAAACAAAGAGGTGAGAATTTAAAGGATGGTCAAGACGGTGCTAAAGGTGTATGTATTTTTAATTAGAGAATCAAATGATCTATTCAAATATTTATATATTAATATGTAAATTATGTTTTTTTTTTTTGATAATTTAGACACCATTGTGGATGGCACCAGAAGTATTGCAAGGTAAACTATTTAATGAAAAGGCAGATGTATATAGTTTTGGATTGGTGCTATGGCAGATCTACACCAGACAAGAGTTGTTCCCAGAGTTTGATAACTTTTATAAATTTGTTGCAGCAATCTGCGAGAAGGTAGTCCGTCCACCCATCCCCGACGACTGCCCAAGAGCATTGAAGCAATTGATTATGAAGTGCTGGGACCCATCGCCAGAGGTGCGTCCAGGCTTCAGTGAGATCGTCTCCACTCTCGAAGGTATCATCATCGATCTCTCGATCCCCGACGAGTATGGTGCCATCATGTGGAAGAATCATTTTAAACACGTCGACGAGGCAACCTGGAAGGATTTCCTCAATGTATTTGCAAACTTTGTCGGACTCACCAACGCTTCCACACCAAGCATGTCCGATCTCCTACAGTTCTCTCCCAACCTCAACGGTTCTACAATCGAACTCAACTTTAAGTGTCTGAAAGCAATCATTGTAAGTCCGCCAAAGGGTGTCGGTGGTCAAGAGGAAGAGGTTGTCAACATGGAGCAATTCGGTAAGGTTTTGGCTTGGTTCGGTAATCTCAAAGATGATGGTTCCCAAATTTTAGATAAAGTATGTTGAATGGTTATATGATTAGTTAAATTAATATTGATATTAATATGCTTTGTTCAAATTTCAATTATAGATAAGACAATTGATGGAGTGTGCATGGTTCCATGGTGATATTTCAACTTCAGAGAGTGAAAATAGATTACACAAGAAGCCAGAAGGTACATTTTTGGTGCGTTTCTCAACAAGTGAGCCAGGTGCCTACACCATCTCAAAGGTTTCAAAGAACGGTGTCATTTCTCATCAGAGAATTCATAGACCAGGTGGTAAATTCCAAGTCAACAATAGTAAATATCTCAGTGTTAAAGATTTGATTTCAGGTGAAGCTCAAGCTTTGGGTATCGCCACTCCATGTCTCGGTTCAAGATTCCTTTCATTAATTTATAAATCACAAATTTCTGGATACATTAATTAAATTCAAAAAAACAAACAACAAACAATCAGCAAACAGCAATCAATCAATCAACAAATCTATCTAATAAGAAACAAACACAATCCCCTACTACGATCAAAGATGTAACATCAACCTTATAAAATCATTAAAAAACAAAAAAAAAAACAAAATTCATAAAAAAAAAAAAAAAAACAAAAAAAAAGACATTAATTATTATACGAGCTAAGTAATAGTATAACGAATAACTAAACAAAGAAAAATAATTTTGAATTAAATAAATACTTTCTTTTAAAACATTAAAAAAAATTAACATTCTCAAAAAAAAACATTGATTATAATACACCTGCAAATTCAACAACAATTTTAGAATTGTAAAAATATCTTGAAAGGAATGTCACACCAATGGTTGTTAAATTTATTTTGATTAAATTAAATTAGTTTTTTGTTTTTTGGTTGTTTAAAAAACGTCAAAAAATCATATGAATCATTGTCATTTTAATTTTGAATATAATTTATTTATTTGTACTATAAAATATTGAGAGAGAGAGATAGAAGATGAGAAGGAAAAGGTTGACTTCAAATAGTTATCTAAAGAAACTATTCATTGTCATCATTTTGTTTAGTTGTTTCAGTACATACTTGCTTACAACATTCATCGGAGGAAAGAAAAACAATATGATGGTTTTGGAAGAGGATGAAGGAGAGTTTCAAAGCAATCTATATCACCAATTGCCCACTATAGTTTATGAATCACCTACAGATATGGAATTGGGTCGTAGCTTTGAAAATAAGATGACACGGATACATGATAGCGGACAAGGTGTCACAGTTCTGTTCATACCTCATTCGCATTGCGATCCAGGTTGGCTCTCTACATTCAACGAGTATTTCGAACAACAGGTAATCGATATTCTAAACAATGTAGTACAGTTACTCGTTCAAGATAGTACAAGAACATTCGTTTGGTCTGAAATGTAATATATGAAAGCTCAATGGCAATAGTTAATATCAACTAGTCTAACATTTTGTTTCTATTTCTCTATCTTTCGTTCAGTTCATATTTTAAAAGATGGTGGGATATTGCTGATGAACTTACAAAAGTAAGAGTTAAACTACTCATTTCCAATGGACAACTGGAGTTTATTGGTGGTGGATGGGTTCAAAACGATGAAGCTGGTAAGTTATTTTGAAATCACTTTATTTATTGGTTGGATTTTGATATTGATTCGATTATTAAAATAATAGTTGCTCAGATGGATGATGTAATCGATCAGATAACAGAAGGTTTGCAATGGTTAAAGAGAACTTTGAATGTTAATGTTGAATACGGTTGGCAAATCGATCCTTTCGGTCATTCTTCACTGACTCCAATGATTTTGTCACGTGCACAATTCAAGGGTATCATTGGTAATCGTATTAATTTGCTTACATTGCAAAGACAGCGGCTGAATCAAGAGATGGATTTCATATGGCAACCGAGTCGTTCGAGTTCCCGACGTATCTTGACACATCTACTCTACGATCACTACAGTTATCCATCTTCCTATCCGTATTTCGGTGATCTGGAAATACGTTGGGAGCAGCGAGAGTTTGTATCGAATCTCTTCTTCAATCTGATCGATGAAATGAGAACAAAACACAAGACCAAAATTCTATTGTTGCCATTCGGTAATGACTTTGCCTATCAAAAGAAGGATGAGTATCTCTTCAACGAACAGCTGATCGATTACATGTTGGCAAGAAAGAGACAAAATGGTGTTGCAGATATTCGATTTGGAACACTGCGTGAATATTTCCAATTGTTTGATAAAGAGATTGTCGACAATCAAATTGGATTGCCATTGTACACTCATGACTACCTGCCTTTGGTCAATGATCTTCATCAACCATGGACTGGATTCTTCACACAGTTCTCACTTTTCAAAAAGCTTGTCCGTGATACTTCTTTGTTGGTAAAGACCGCAGACATGTTCTACAGTATCGCAATGGCAAAGTCATCATCTTCATCATTCTCACAGTCTGATGACGACATTGGACAACTTTATCCCATGATTGAAGAGGCTAGACGATTCGTTGCACTCACCCAACATCATGATGGTGTCACTGGAACCGCTCGTCAGTTTGTAATGATGGACTATAGAGACAGTTTGAACATTGCCAGACAGAATAGTTACCAAGTACTATCTTCAAGTATCGAATATCTAATACATCTTGAAGGAGAAACCGATGAATCGAATCCGTATGAATTTAGAGATCTTTTGGATCTGAATGAAATGCAACCCGATTCCCAAGAATCATTTTCATTGGTTTTTCATAATTCTTTGTCTTGGAAGAAACAACATCACTACACTCTCAGAATCCGATTGAACAACACACAACTCTTGGAGTCCGTTCAAATATTAGACTCAACAATGGAACCACTTTTGATCCAAATTGTACCAATGATGCCAAGTGATATCAAAGAGTTGGATATGCAAAATGATTACATGCTCGTTTTCATTGTTGAAGTTCCTGCATTTGGAATCAACACTTATTTCTTAACATTAGACAGTCAACACAAACAAAATACACCAAAGTTATCAAAGGTATCAGTTTATGAAACTGAAAAAGAATTCCAATCATCCAAACATAGAGCTCTATCAACCAGGTATCTAGATGTTAAATTCCAACCCAATGGATTTTTAAGTTCTTTATCAAAAACAGTAAACAATCAAGCCTATAATGTTTTAGTAAAAGAATCGGTAAGTTTATCAACAATTTAAATATCTTATAGACTTAATTCTAATCCAAGTTGATTTTTATTAGATAAATCAATATAGCACAAACTTTAGTGGTAATTATGTATTTATTCCAGAGAAAAAGATGCCATTCCAATTCTTGGATGAATACAAAATATATGCGGTATCAGGTCCACTGCTCAACCAGGTTACTGTTGCCTCTTATATGAATAATATCAATGTTACTAGTACAATGGTTGTTGTTTATCATCGATTATATAACAGTCCAATTGATTACAAAGCAGAGAAGAAAGGAGTTCCGATGGTCACAGAAGAATCGTTAGAACTTGGTTACAGTCTCTATGGATTCACAAATTTGGAAACGGTTTTCAATTTCCAAACCAATCTAGATAATGATCACAGTAATCTCTACACAGACAATGGACAAGAATCAAGATCTAGAATCAAACCTCAAAATAATAATGACAAGATCAATTTCAATTATTATCCTGTGTTGAATTATGCTCATCTCAAGGACAACGATCTTCAATTCACAGTTTTCACAGAACGAAGTCATGGTGTCGGAAGCAATAATCCAAGTGATCTCGAGATTATGATTCATCGTACAACATTACAAGATGATAGCAAAGGTCTTGAGATTCCTGGTTTCGATTACTCAAGAGTTGATGCTAAGCTTTATCTTTCAATCGATCATCCAAATAGAATGGCTTCATTCGAGAAACAATTAAGTTTACATTATTCAAATGCACCAATGTAAGTTAATAGTATAGTTATGCTTTACATTTGAATAGTTTACTAATAATATTTAATTTTAGAGTATTATCAAAACAATTAAAAAGTAATATATATGAATATTTATCTGAGTATCAATATCAAACATCTTTCTTTAATGGTAAATAATAATTAAATTAAATTAATAAAAATAATAACTAACTTTGACAATTTGCTATTTAGATCGATTACCAAATAATTTACACATACACTCGATTAAACATTTTAATGACTTTAGAAGAAATGGACAAGCATTATTAAATATAAGATTATCTCATTTGATGGCCGATTCACAAGCATCACAATGGAATAATCAACTATCAAATCCAATTTCATTGAATCTCAACAAAATATTCAATAGCGATTATTCAATAACCTATTTAAATCAAACAGATATTGCATTTTTAGAGAGTATGTAAAATTTATCAAAATATATATATCAGCTCAATTTATTAATATGATCATTTATTTAGTTCAAAAAGATTTTAATAGTTTTTATAGAATCGAAGGTAATGTTTCAAAAGGAAACAGTACAACAGGAGAATCAGAGTTTGGTGAAGAAACACCAATCGAAATTTTGAATGTTCACCCTTTCACAGGTTTAGAAGCTGTTGATACTCATGATAGTATCAACTTGAAACCATTGGATATCAAATCCTATCAACTTTCATTAAAATATTCGAGTGATATTTCACAATCAAATCTAAAAGTAATTATCATTATAATAATATCAAATCTATACCAAATAACTAATTCGATCTTTTTTTAAAAAAAAAACAAATATTTTTAGTTTAAAATTGCAAGAATACAACCAATACCATTCGATAATATTTATACACATGACTTTTCAATACATAAAGTTTCGAAATTCCCAATGTTTTTTAATGATGTGTATAGATAGTTGATCAATAAATACTGTTATATTATGTTTTAAAAAAATATCAAAAATGTTTTTTAGAAAAATGTTAATTTATATTTAATTTCATTGAAAATTTAACCTTTATACATTAAAGGATGCCGTCGGAGGATTGGTATAGACCATCTTATGATATTGATATTATATAATTATTATTATTATTATTTATGCATCCTCTTCATCGTCTCTAACCTCCAAAGGGATTCCATCTTCATCTTTTGGTAAATTAAAATATGGATTATCGAGAGATGGTCTAAATTGATAACTATTATAAAAAATAATATTAATAAAAGTTAACTTTTTTCTGTATTGTGTGATGTTAATATTTACCCGGTGGAGCAATAGAAAATAAGAGAAGCCAACAATAATGAAAAATCACCAATCCATGCATAACGGAATGGAAGTGAAGCTCGGAGTAAGGCAAAGAAAATTCTTGTGAAATAAAGATATGAGATGACCATCAAATAAAAGTGTCTAAATAATTTCAATTTTTGCATATTTTGTGCGGCTATAAATATTATTAAAGTTATTGTTAATATTAATGTTTGAATAAATAAAGATTGGATATGTTTTGTGCCTACCTTTATCATCGACTTGAGAAGCATCCTTTAGATGTTTAATCGACCAGATAATTGGAACTATAATAGCAATACAACAAATGATATCTACAACAGTGAAAATATGTCTCCAACTAAGTGAACCGATCGAACCTGGTGCCTCTTCATCAATCATAACCAATGCAATGTTATCTAAAATCTGCAATGGAATGACAACCATAAAGATAGTTTTATCCTTATCAGAGAGGAATGGTTTAATGAATGCCCAACCTGATCCAATCAATGCAATTAAAATAACAAAGAATGATCCTTGAATACTATTTATAAAATTATAATTAATATATATATATATATATATAGATGTTCTCAGAATAGTTAAAGTTTAAACATACCAAGCAAAGATATAATAGGCAATATTCCAACCATGAGCACTACCTGTCTTTTTAATATAATGTTTCTCAATCTATAAAAATAATAATAATAATAGGTTATTAATATTTGATAGCTAAAGATTTGTATAACAAAATAACAACTTACTGATTCGAAAAGCAATGAAATTGCTAAAACAAGTAAATAAGCTGCACATAAATAATGAATCTTGTTGACTCTTTTTCTATAATATTAAAATAATATATTAATATTTATAATACAATCTTTTTTTTTTTTTTTTCTATAAAAGTTGATCTTACCCTTCACCTCTTAAGAATACGAATAACCAAAGTAACAAAATAACAAAGAATGCCATTGCGAATACAAAGTACAACGTTGGTAATGGTGTGTCTCCAATTGATAGATAACTGATTTGTCCATTTGAATCGACATTATATTCCTGTAAGAAAAGCTAATAGATATTATTTAATTAGATACCTGATATTATTTGATTTGATTTGATTTGATTTGATTTGATTTGATTTGATTTGATTTGATTTGATTTGATTTGATTTGATTTGATTTGATTTGATTTGATTTGATTTACTTACATCGAATGATACGGTAGTATCTCTGTTGCAACTTAGGAAATAGAGATTATGATAACCTTCCTTAAAACCAGGTTTAATCTTAAAGTTAAATTCAGTAATGTTTGGATTCTTTGCGCTGTCGTATTGGATAGTGTAGTCAAAGGTTTTGTTGATCATGTCTTGACAGTTTCCAGAGGCAACGGTTGCCTCATCTACAAATGCACTTGCATCGGTCTCACTAATTTGAATGTAAAATCCAACAGAACTCTTTGTCTCATCTGAAATCGGTTGATTATTAATCTATATATATATATATATATAATCGATTTGATGATAATAATATATAAATATTTGAATATATTAATATCTTATACGCTTTCTTCTATGAATGATCATCTATGTAACAGGATTAATCGATTGTGCGAGAGATTCTTACCTTCCAATTTGTAATATTTAGATTCATTACACCACCCATTCCAAAACCAAAAGTTTCAACTAAAAATAATGTTCTTGCATCCTCTTTAACGCTAAGATGGTGAATAAAACCATTGGATAGACATAGTGACGATAGAACCAGTAATGTCACCAACACTATTGAATTATTTGAAAACTTCATATTATTATCTCTCTGTTATTTTATTGCTATTGATTCGATCAATCTACGTAACTATGTATATGATATAATATATCAAAAAAAAGAAAAATGATAATTCTATTTTCTCTCTTCTTCTTCTTCTTTTTGTTTTTTTTTTTTTTCTTTAAATTCTTTGATTCTTAAGATATATTATTATTATTATTTAAATTTGATTTGATTGATTATTTAAATTTATAAACTCTATAAAATACAGTAGTAAATTATTAAATGATATTATGTTATGTTTGTAGATGGATATTATTATTATTATTAAATTATTTTCAAAAAAAGATAATCAAATGTGTTAAAGGTTTTTTTTTTTTTTTTTCAAATTTTAAAATATTTAATAAAAAATATTTATTTATAATTTTTTTTTTCTGTAATCACGATTACATGTTTGCGACGTTAGTAACTGCACGTGTCATCTTAATTAATGATTCATTAATCAATTTATTTTTTTTTGCTTAGATAGTATTTTCATTCATTAGAGTTAATAAGATATCTTTATTCATTGTAAAATGAATAAAGAGATATTAATTAAAATGATATGTACCCCACTTTGATAATGAAATATCTAATTTGATTTACAATTATTTATTAGCTATTTATGATTATTATTTTTATTTATTTATTTATTGTTGTTGAGCATAACCGTTTGCGAATAAATATTGTTTAACTTTTTCTAGTGAACGGTGACGATGTGAAATTGTATTCTTTATAGTTTTATCCATTTCGGCGTAGGTCTCATTGAAACCATCTGGTTGGAAGACAGGATCCCAACCGAAATCACGTGGTCCGCGTGGTGGAACTATAGTACCGTCTGTGCGACCTTCAAAGACGATCGGTTCGCTGTCTGGTCCCTCTGCATAGGCAAAGTTGCAGAGAGCATAACCTGTCTTATCGGTATGGGCTGCCAGCAGATCGTAGAGTCCCTCTGGTGCCAACTTATCGAGGAACCACTTGACATAGGGTCCTGGTAATCCCTTCAATGCATTGAAACACAAACAAGTATCTTCAATCAAAACAGGTCCATTAACTTCCTTTGCTGCTAATCTACATTTTTCTTTTGAAATATCATATGGTTCACCTTGTAACTCTGGTACTATAAATATAAAGGAAAACAAACTTTGTTAATTAAAAAAAAAATAAAATAAAAACAACTATAATACATTACAATCTACTTTCTTTGATTGAAGTGGTAAAGAAGTACCTAGAATTTGAATAACTTCTTCTAACTTTTTAGCATTACCAGTAATAAATGTAATAGTCTTTGTCATGTTTATTATATCTCAAAGTTATATATCTATAATCTAAATAATTAAACTAAATTTGATGAACTCTCTCTAGAGAAATTTATAATAAAAAATTAAATTAAAAATCATTAAAAATCATTAAAAAAAAAGTAGTTTAAAAATCGATCGTTCTATTTTTTTTTCATAGGAATCAAAAATGACGATTGAAGTTTCATTCTCTTTCAATACCAGCAACTTTAAAGTTATTATACAGATCTGATCATCTGTCAAAATATAAATAGTATGAATATTAAATATTAATTTGTTATTTCATTTTAAATTAATTCTATTTTCTTTATTAATAAGATGACCGAAGAAAATAAACCAAAAGCACTTTTCAATTGGAGTAGTGGTAAAGACTCTGCCTTTGCTTTGTATAAAACATTCCAAGAGAATAAGCTAGAGGTTGTTACTCTGTTGACTAGCGTCAGTGAGGAGTTTGAGAGAATCTCAATGCATGGTGTGCGTGTTGCACTTCTCGAGCAGCAGGCACAGAGCATCGGTTTGCCAGTGACCAGAATGATGTTGCCAAAGGATGTGTCGATGGACGGCTATCGTGATATCGTTGGAAACAAAATGAAGGAGATGCAAGAGCTCGGTGTTACCCACTCGATTTTCGGTGATATCTTTTTGGAGGATCTCAGAAAGTACCGTGAGGACCAACTCAACTCGATCGGCATGCAGGCGGTCTTCCCACTCTGGAAGATCGACACCAAACAATTGATCCGTGACTTTATTGACCTCGGATTCAAAACTATTGTCACTTGTGTCAATGGTTCGAAATTGGACAAGAGTTTTGCAGGCAGAATTATCGATCACCAATTTCTCGATGATTTGCCAGAGAGTGTTGACCAATGCGGTGAGAATGGTGAGTTTCATACATTTACTTTCGATGGTCCAATTTTCAAACACCCAATCGAATTTGATATTGGTGAAGTAGTTTCCAAGTCCTACCCTAAACCAAAGTCAACATCCAATACATGTTCCACTGCAATTACAAAGCCATCAACAACAGATTCCACAACAACGGATGCGACAACTACAGATTCCACAACAACAGATTCCACAACTTCCACTACAGATTCAACAACTTGCAAAGTACCAAAGAATGGTGATGAAAAAAGCAATGAAGATTGTAGATGTTGTGATGATTTCAAATATGTATTTTGGTTTTGTGATCTAATTCCAAAAGAAGGTACAAATAAAGAATAAATATAAAATAAAAACATCCATATTAAATTACCTATAATACAATTAAATAATTATTTCAATTTTTAATATATTGATATAAAATGAGAAGGCAACAGATGAATCACCATGATGAGCTGAATAGTTTATCTATTGGTAAAAATAATATCAATTCATTGTAAACTATAACAATAAAGAATAGATGATTGATTTTAACGTTAATTGATTCAACAGTCGTTGATTTACAATGATTGTTAATATTTTTTGTGCTCATTTTGTTGTTGCAATTATTATTTGTTGTAAAAGTGTTGTTCCTATCTTTAGCCATTGCCAACTTGTATCTAAGTTCCCACCTCAAATTGTGACGACTACTTGATGTATTATGCTCTAACAAGTAATGTTTTTCCAACATCATTCCATATTAGACTATTTTTAATCTGGTGGTATAACTAACTATGTTGCCAATTCACAAAGATATATAAAGATTTACATAAGTATTCTATTTTTACTTATTATTATTTACATCATGGCGTACAGTAACATCCATCATTGTTGTTGAAAAAAGAAAAAAAATTAAATTAAATTTGTTTATTTTTATTTTTATTTTTTTTGATTTTTTTCATTTTTTGAATTGAAAACGAATCATCTATCAAATTTATTTTCAGTGTTAATTAATATTAATTAAAATCATTGTTGTTATATTAAATACATAAAGTTTTAACTCAACTCACAATATATATATTATTATTCATTTAACTCTATACATATTAATGAAACAACAGTTTTAAATTACACACTGTAAACAACAAAAAGATGACAACAACTTGTTTTTTTATTATTATTTGTTAACAATTTTTAGATGACAATATTAGATTCATGTTGATCAACACCAATTACAGATAACATTAATAGGTTAGGTTATATAGTGTCTTTTAAGAGTTTCCAAAGCAAAGTACAAATTTAAATTTAATCACCGCATCCGGTACTTTGCATTTCATACGCCTCCTGGGAGACTCGAACTCCCATCACACTCCTATCTCTTTTTAAATCCTATAAATAGGAGGGAGATACTCTATCCAGTTAAGCTAAAGAGGCATTAATACTTATTTGATTTTTGTAATTATTTTTTAAATTGAAAGTTTTTTGAGGTCTGATGATTTAATGAAACTGAACAAACGATAATAAAATATTTATTAGTAAAATTGTTATTTTTGTGTTAGAACATGTAGAATGAGTGAATACATACTGAATAGTAAAAGAATTTATGAGTGACTGTGGTGTACACTTCAGAAAGTCGTACCCCACTTATTTCAGTTTTTACAAATTTGGAATAATAAAAAATGAAAAAAAATGAAAAAAAATTTGAAAAAAAATTTGAAAAAAAATTTGAAAAAAAAATTACATCACATTAACATCTATTTTGATCGATTATACGATAATATATCAAATATTAAAAATTTAAAGCATATCAGGAACAACAAGTTCAGCAAATATGGATAGATTAAAAGATGAACAGAGTTCACAATAAAAGAACTTTAAAAAAGTAAGAATAATATTAAAAAATAACTAAATATTTTGTTTTATTTTTTTGTTTCTTGTTTTGCTTCTTATATTGTATCTTCTTATCTTGTTTCTTGTCTTGTTTCTTATCTTGTTTCTTGTTTTGTTGTTTATCTTGTTTCTTGTTTTGCTTCTTATGTTGTATCTTCTTATCTTGTTTCTTATCTTGCTGTTTATCTTGTTTCTTGTCTTGTTGCTTATCTTGTTTCCTATCTTGCTGTATCTTCCTTTTCATTTGTTTAATTCTCTCTTCTTCTCTTTTAAATCTCCTATAGTCTTCTTCAACTACTTTCTGAAATATGACTGGATGTGTTAGTTTGTTTTGTGAATGTATTTCCAAAAAAGCGATTAAATTATCGTTGAATGTTATGTTCTTAATATCATCACATTTTTGGTTCATAATATCATCTAGTATATTCTTAATGTTGTTGATTTCCAATCTGATGTTTGTTGATTTCCATTTGGCGATTGATATTTCGACTACATATATCACCATCAAAGCACAACTCCAATTCGAATACCTTATCCAAATATTCATCATCTCTTTCTGTAGTATTACAGTCAAGAGTTCTTAATAACTTCTTACTTCTACAAATAGATTCTTTTGTTGTAAATATCGATCCAAACACATGTCAATTTGATTAAATGTCAATCCACCAATACCTTCAAATACTTTGAAAACTTATATATAACTAGTATATTAATTCTAACTTTTTTTTTTTTGTAAATAAATAGGTAAACACACTGAAAACAATAAATCTATTAAGATGTCAAACAGGAGTAGACACAGCAAGGTTATTTCTCTCTCTTTTGATCTGATTATCCAATTGTTTTTGCACCCTTAACATGTGATTTCGTCTAATTCCAGTTTATTATTCGTTTCCCAACAAGGATGTTTGGTTTTCAGATGCTTGCATAGTTTGATAGAGTCACTTTTACTTGACAGTTGTTATGACAACACTGCTTCGAATTTATATCTGCATTCACTTGGAGTGGTTGCTCCCAATGTGACTTTTTCATTTCATTGGGGTGCTTTTCTCTCTTGTGCCTATTTAGTTTGGTCAATTCACCATAAGAATATAAACAATGCTCACACTTGAATTCAACACTATTAACGTGGTATGTATTTATTTTAGAAACTGAACTATTACTATTTAATACTACTACTACTACCACTACTACTACTACTAATACTACTAATATAATTATTTTCATTTTCAATCACTTCGAACAAAATATTTAAGCCATAATCAACCGAAACGTGATCTCTTGGGTTATCATTTATTATTTCAATTTCCTCATCATTGAATACACACTTCTTGTTATCATTTTCTTTGGTAGACTCTGGTTGCTCCAACTTAAACTTAAACATATAGTTTTCCATCTTTTAAAAAAAAAATCATAACTAGAATAATATAATATATTCTGTATACAGGTAACAATTAAAAAAAAAATTAAAAAAAAAAAAAAAAAAAAATTAAAAAAAAAATTGTGGGTGACCACACAACTGCCAAATTTTTTTTGTTTTTCAGTGAGGATGAGAATCTTGCTTGGGGTTCAAAAGTACCTACTACGTTTTTCCAAATATAGGTGCTTTTTTCAATTATTTTTATAAAAAACATGCCAACAATGTGTGAGATAGGGGTTTAAATCATTTTTTTAGACGTACGAGTCCCCGGAGTGGTGTGCACTACAAACGGTTCTTCAAAGTTAAACAGGTTATAATTATTCTTGCCTTTAAATACTTTGGTATCTTCTTTAGTTGACAGCATGAAGTCTAAAAAGAGTCTCTACGCTAGAATTATAATTAGTAGTAGTAGCATTTATGTGATTTCATTTTAGTAAGTCTTAAATATTTGAAAATAAAGATAATCATTTTTTTTCATCATACCTTCTTAAAGTCAAGTTGACACCAAAAGAACAAAAAGTGTTCCAATCTCCAAACAAAAGTAAGATACAACTCTACGGTTTATAGGTCTGGACGAAGAATAGACATAACGTAAATACCCTAATAATTTCAATGAAAAGGTATCATTCCAGATGCGATACAACAGATTCAAAACTTCACATTCGGTGTCATTTTGAATCAAAAAACTGCGCAAAAAAAAAATCAAAAAAATTGTGTGAAGTTCATCAATTAATATTATTGACTTCATTTTTAAGTTGAATATAATAATTATGTTTTTTAATTTTGATTCAATATTGAATGAGTATAAGTATTTTGTTAGTTGCATGTGGATCCTGTTTCATTATTTGGTAAACTTTGTACATGTCAAAACATCACCGTATTCATTTATGGTAGCAACTCCATCTTTACATTCACCAGTTGCACCCAATGCCTTTGAATATTGGAATGATTCTTCAATATAAACAGTTACAATATTGAATTCCAATTTGTTTGAAAAATTAACAATATTATAATAACCATTGATAGAATCTGAATAGAAAGTATTTGATTGTGAACTTTTTAAAAACAAATAAAGATAACGAGATTAGTTAATAATATTACTTTTCTTTTTTAATTAAATTACATACTCTGAACTTAGAGAACCAAAGAAATAACCACCAATTAGTGAATCAGGTGGTGAGATGAAATAGATTCCACCAGCATGTGCCTTTGCAGCATTAAACAATAATTGTGTTTGATTCAAATTAACATAAACTGGTTGATTATAATATTGATTAAGATTCTAATAAAAAAAAAAAGTTTAAAAAATTAATTATTATGAGTTTTATATTTAATCAATATGTTACTAATTATACTTACAATTGCACCACCACTACCAGTTACAATATTATTTTCAATATATGAATAGGTTATATTAACATTTTGTACCACATTTCCATTGATTATATAGAATGCACCCCCATTATTGGCAACACTGTTTCTGATATCGGTGTACTCCACCTCAATGGATCCAGTATCCACAAAGATCGCTCCACCAAATCCATTGGTTTCACTTGCACTGTTACCATAGAGATCACTATTACCAATGTATAGGTATGGAGTGCTACTACCTTGCTTGATAACATAGAATACACCTCCACTAGTGGCCTGGTTATATCTAAAACTTGAAAAGTTTGCATTTGTAAAGGAGTTCGAATAGACAACACCGCCATATACAGTGGCACTGTTGTTGGTGAAAGTACTCTCTTTAATATCGAGTGCTCCAAAAGAGTTGATTACACCACCATTATTTGCAGAGTTTAACGAGAACTCTGAGCTGGTGATGGTTACACTGTAGAGTGATCTAAAGACACCACCGTTATAGGCACTATTACCAGTGAAGAAAGAGTTGACCGCAACAATATTGGAACCGTCGGCAACACCACCAAATGAAGCAACATTCGAATCGAATATAGAATCTATGATATTCAATGAAAAAGCACCACCAATAACACCACCACCTCCATTCTTGACAGCATTTTGTGAAAATGTAGAGTTGAACACCTCAACATTTGAAACATCTGCATAGACAAAACCACCGTTTGTCGATGCTTTACAATTCTGAGCATTAACATTACTGAAAGAGATTTCAGAAAAAAAAGAATTGGAATTTCGATCGAAATTCAAACAACCACCGTTATTAGTTGAAGTACCACCAACAAAATTTAATCCATGGAAACTAATTGTAATTGGTTTGTTTATAGTTAAACTTAAAAATTGATTCTAAACATTGTTTTATTAGTTTATTATTAGATTGTTTGTTTTTTTTTAAAAAAAAGATCTTCTTTAACTTACGGAACCACAATTAAAAGTAGCAACACCATCATAGGAAGTAATATTGAGTGATCCTCCAATTTGAAAGAAACTTGCTGGCAAAGAACCGGGACATGATAAACCTGAATAACTACCACCTGGAATTAATATAGCAAAATTTGAATATGAATTCGAATTACTATTAAATGAACTTAAACATTTAAAGATCGACGGACATTGTCTGATTTAATAAATATAATAGTTAGTATATGTTTATTTTTTAAAAAAAATAAAATAACAATTTACTTACAATGTATTACTGTTCAATTGACAATTTGAATTGGGTTGAACATAACAATTCAAAACATTTGAATCTTGATTTTTTGTTTTAATTTGAAATGTTGTTGTTGGTGTTCCATTTGATTGACAAGTCGTTAAGAGTACTACAATTAAAAACAAATAAAAAGTATTTGAATTCATTTCTTAAATTTCTTTATAGAATAGTTTATTTTCACTCCATTCTTCTTTATTTATAGTTAACTGAGAAGATAACATTGTAGTTTATATCTTTTAACTATCTCTAATATCTTTTTTAAAAAAATAAAGAATGTAAAAAAATGTAGATCAAGTTGATTTTTATGATTTTACTCTTTTCAAAAATTTATAAATTTAATATTAAAAACAAATATATGATAATACATAGATATTTTGATAAAGTTATCGATAAAATCTTTGATATTGCAATATTCATTTAAATCTTATTATTAAATATTTGTAATCAAATATCAGATATTTCTTTGTAAAAGTACAACGAATTCATTCAATATTTAAACTTTAAAATGTAAGAATTGATATTTTATATAGAAATACTTTTGATTTTGTTTTAAATAGTAAGAAATCAAGTGATGTTACTTTTTAAACATCTTATTTTATCTGTTTTTTTTTTTTTATTAATTTTTGAAAAAATTTGATTATATTTCATTGAAAAATGATACAGTGTATTTGATATTTTTTTCATTTTTTTAATGTCTTTTGTTATATAATTTGTTGTTTAAGCATTATGAAAGACAGATGTCAGCATTGTGGTTGTGATAATTCAAGCCATACAACCCTTAGTGTATGTAGTAATAAGAATAAAAACACAAAGAACATTTAACTAAAGCTATCGACGTTTTGTTTATTATTTAGAAATCACCAAATAGTAAATCTTCAATATCACCTGGTGGTAGTCAATGTATAAATCAACAGCAACAACAACAACAACAGCAGCAACAACAGCAACAACAGCAGCAACAACCACCAACAGTAAAATGGAGAAAGATTCTATATGAACAACAAGCATTCCCAGATAACCATACAGACGAAACATTCTTAATAGAACTTATACAAAATGGTAAGTTTATTATCATATCAATTTGTTGTTTAGTTAATTTATTATTAACAATTATTATTATTAATTTATTAGCAAACTTTATAAAATATGATTTCTGGAAGATTGTAATAGATAGTTTTACAGTTACACAACAGATTACATGTGTCATTCTATTCGTGATTGTATTCTTTCATTCACTAAAGCATACACTTACACTTAGATTCTTGGTGAGTCTAGCAATGGTTCTTTTAGTATTAGGATATATAGTTATTATCATTATAGATCCAACCTCTGATTGTAAGTAAATAATAAAAACGATTACGATATCTATTATACTTATTATTATTATTATTATTATTAACAATAAATGATCATAGTTCATTCAATAAAAGATAGTATTTTACATGTTATATTATTATTTGGTACAGTTTACGCATTATCACCGGTGTTAAGAACATTGACAAATTCATTTAGTGATGATACGATATGGGCGCTAACCTTTATTCTACTGCTGGCGCACCTATTCTTTCATGACTATGGTTATACGAATAATGAATCAACGAAATTCTCAGCACCGATATCTCTTAATGCCGCTATATTCGCTTCAGTACTTCTAGGATCTAGATTACCTTCAAACATTCATGTATTTGTTTTGATTACATATTCAATACAAACGTTTGCTCTTTTCCCAATTGCAAGACATCATATAAAGGTATTTAAATTAAACAGCGCATTTACATTTGAACATCAATCAAATCATTCATTAACCTTAATATTAACATAATCAACACCTATTAGCGTCACTCATTAGAATTACATGTAGGATTAACAGTTATATTATGTATAACATGTAGTTTATTACTTTTAGGTATGAGTACATTACTTTCGTTTTTTTACATTGGTATTGTAATGACTATCACATTTATATGTCCATTATGGTTAATATTCATTCAAAAATATAAAAAGTAAGTAATAATAATATTAACAATTACATAATATTATTTAACTCGACAATTTATTAAATCTAATTTAGTGAGATCAATGGTCCATGGGATGAAGCATCAGTTATATCTCAAAGTGGTGGTGAATTTTAATCAAATAAATAGAGATATTTTATTTTACCTATAGAGTTATCTTTCATTTTTTTTCGAGTTACAATCAAATCTCAATTTGTATTTCTTTTCCAAACACCAACAACTATGATAAGACAACTCTATCTTTATCATTTCTATTATTATTGATTTCATTTTTAAGTTGTAATGCCACTCCAAGAGTAGTTTCATCACAAGCACCACCAACCACTTTAAAGTCCATGACAAAAAGGTCTATGGCTAAAATTTCTCAGTCCTCATGATTTTTTTGTTGTTTATCAATTAACTCCATAGATCTTTCCAGGGATATTGCTTTGAAATGAATACACTCTGTTCTCAATATTAATTATTGAAATCACAACCCAATAAATTTTCTTTAATACTAAAAAGAACATGACAGAGAACACAATACCCAAAAAATAAATTAGAGAGGTTGAACCACTTAAATATAAACAAAACTTCCAAAATATGAATGATAACAAGTATGGGTACTTTGAAAAGAAATTTTTTGGGATATTAACATCAGAAGAATAAATTTTGGAAAAATTAAAAATCTTCCAGTTCTTTGTACCTCCAAACGCAATGGAAACCAAAATTCATGAACTCCAATTTAAAGTTATAACCTTAATAGATTTTAAATTATTTTGTTTCCAACCATCCAGAAAAAACCGGTTTTAATTAAAACGCATTCAATTCCTATCAATTGAAGATAAATTGCCCAAAAGATTTCTTTTTTTTTTAAAAAATTTTATTTTTAAATCAACTCTTGATTTTTAGGGATTATTAATCTTTAAAACCAAGGATAGATTCAGGATATTTTTAAACATGTTTCTAATACAAAAGAAATAATCTTTAAATTCTCAGAGTTTCTTTAAGTTCAAAAAATTTTCATTTCTGTTTTTTTGAGAATTCATAAACTTCTAATAGTATCTATTCATTTAATAAAAAATTATGAATAATTCATTATTGTTTTTATTTTCTATTCTTATTGTGAATGTGGTTCATTCGACCACACCAACTTTTAAAATAGATTATGAACCATCACTTAATTTAATAAAAGAATTGTAAATAGAAAATAAAAAATAAAAAAAATATTCCAGTTTAATTAATTTATTATATTTTAGAAATCAAAGTCAATTATATGAATATATTTCATTTGGTTATGAAAAACCAATATACCTCGCAAATATATCTGGAACTCATTATGAGATGGGTTATGTATATGGAGCATTCTTTTCAAATGCAATCTTGGAAACCTATCAAAATTTAATGGACTCTCTTTTACCAAATCGAGAACATCAAGATCTATTTGCTCTGTTCTTGGATTGGCAATTTAAAGATTATCTTTCAAAACAACTTCCATCCGAATATGTTGATGAAATGAATGGAATCAAAGATGGTGCTAATCAAGTAGGTCAAATTCCAGATTCAGATATTTATGTAGCTCGTATAATGGCAATTGCAAATTTACCAGGTGATGTTTTTACAAATATAGAATATTTGCTTGAAAAGTAAGTATTTTAAAAATTATCAAAAGTTAGAATCTATTAAAAATATATCTTACTAATATTCCAAATTTATAGTGAATTTGGTACATTACTAGAATTTGCCTTTAAAAAAGATTGGAAAGATATTATTTCAAGTGAAAAGATCACACAAGTTATGAAATCATTGAAATCCTCAAATTTACAAGGATGGCAATGTTCACATTTTAGTGTATTTGGTAATAGAACTGTTAATGGTGATGTTTTTAATGGTAGAAATCTTGATTGGTTCCCTGATACTGGTATCGCTCAATATAAAGTATTGGTTGTATATCATCCAATAGATCAGAATGGTGTTGCTAAATACTCTCATGTTAGTGTTGGTTTCGCTGGTATGTTGGGTGTACTCACTGGTATAAGTGAGCATGGTATTTTCGTTGCAGAGTCTGGTAGTGATAGTAAACTGGTTACATTTGATGGATTCGCTTGGACTGTTAGATTGAGATACATCATGGAGAACGCTGCAAACATTGAAGAAGCTCTCAATTTATGGGCTGCCACAAACAACACATTCGGTATGAATCATATGATATCATCTGCTTTTGAAGTTGATAGTGTAGAGCATCCAGCATTTGCATTGGAGACAATGAAAGGTTACACTGCATACTTCCCAGATAACGATCCAGCTGAACAATTCTACTATGAAAACACCGATATTCAAATGGGATACCCAATTAAACAGGCAGTCTATAGAACTAATCATGGTTATGACCCATATATTCGTAAGGAGCAAGCATATGCACCAAAACCTACTGACGATACTATGGTAAGATACTTCCTATTCCACGATAATTTCGAGTATTACCAACAAACAAAAACGAATGCTATCGATGATTTGGAAGCAGTAAATATTACTTCTATCTTGGGAACCAAAAATACTACTGATTTCTACAGTTGTGAACGAGCATGGAATGGTGGAAATGTAGTATCAGCCACATTTCATGCACAAACCTCAACAATGTATATTGCCTATGAAGAAGGATTTGGCAGACAGAGAATATGTGCATGTTGTAATGTTTATGTAAAGATAGATTTAGCACTATTTTTGGTAAATCATCATCTCTTAACGCCAAACTTGATACCGTCATAAAAGATAAATAATAAAAAAAATTACAAATACTGGTGGGAGTAATAAAATAACCATATTCCTGATTAAATATTATCTAAATATTTCAAATAAAATATTATTAATATTATTTTTCTTTATTTATTTAAGAAAAGATAGGTTTTAATTTTATAATTGAATAAAAACTAAAAAAATACAAACATAAATAAATATTGGAAAAAATTAATTTTTTATTTTTTTTAAAGTCAAAACAATACTGGCTCTTGCTTGTAACAATAAATCGAAAAAAATAAAAAAACCACACTGATCACATTAACCCCACTAATTTTTAATTTTTACATTTTTTTTAAAATTAATGCGCATGCGAAAGTTGTTGGGAGCCAGTTTTGTTTTGTATTTAGAAAATAAAAATACTAAGAATTGTAATTTTAACTTTAAATATATAAATATAAAATGATTTGTGATAAAATTGACAGACAGAGAAGAAATCTAAAATTGAGAAAGCAAGGATTACTTGCTGGAAATGGAGATTCAACACCCAAGCCAAAGAATCCACCAAAGAAAGAACTTATGATTCCATCCTATATCTATGTATGCGTTTATTGCGATGAAAACAATAAATGGAAAGATCAAAAAGAGTGATCAAAGTGCGATAATTGTTATAGGGAAGCATTAAAGGAAGGCATTGGTAAATTCAAGTGTGAATGAGGTCATTCTTTCAAAGGCTACATTCGTGAGGGAGTTGGATCAATGTGCTATAAATGCCGTAACATTGTGATGCCAAAGACAATCATTCCTACCAGACCTATGAATAGAAGAGGTAAATCGGAAAAGACTCATAGCTGTCAGGTTTGTAATGGTCACACTCCATGTCCACTCAAAGCAAGCATTGGCACCAAAGATGTTGATAAAGGTGAAACAAGAAATCAAAGAAGAAGAAGAAGAAACAGAAAATAATTGAACACCAAAATAGATTTATAGACCAATATGTACAAGAATAAAAGTATAAAGTAAATTTTAGATTTTAAATTTCTTTTTCTCAAAATAGCAAATTTAATGTGATAAATAATGAAAAAGTACAACCGATATGTATTGATTATTACTCTTTAAATATGTTCAATCAATACACATCGGTTGTACATTTCGGTAGTCGAGTTGCGGTGATTGACTTCAATGTCGAAAGAGTCCAAGATATTATCGATATCATCCAACAATCACCAGATCTTGGGATTTTCCAAACTCCAATTCTTATCTTCACAACTGATCCTGTTCATCAAGTTGTTGAATCTGGCAGATACCAAGAATATGCATAACTGCTGACAGCAAATCTCAGGTCAAACACCCTGTCGTTCATATAATAACTAATCTCGGAGATACTTGGAGATTTAGATGGATAAAGGACTGAAAGACTCTGACAATCTGTTAAAGGACCATCTCAAGCTCTCGAGTTAATGAAGATTCGAATCCGCACAAGTATACCTTTCGATATAACAACTCACCCACATCTCTAAAAGAGCAAGACTACATCAAACCAGTCACGTTAAAAACATCAATACAGATGTTGCCAATTCTAGAGATCTCTTGGATATACTCGATGATGAGGATGCACAAGAACTCTACCTCAATACAACGACACAACAGCTGATTGCTGATCAACAACAAACTGTAGACCCAACTCTACATGAATAGAAGACACTAAATAGTATTGTTTAAATAAATAAATAAATTAATTCTTTTGGAAAATAAAAAAATTCTAAATACACCACACTTTCCAATATTTTTAAGGGGTGCTCACATACTTTTGGATATATCTTGTTGGTAAGAATGTATTTACCTTTATTTTTATTTTTTTTATATCCATGGAAATTAAAGTTTTAAGTTTCAAAAATTTATTGAGAGCAGAATGTTGGTTCAAGTGTATTGGGATGAAATAATATTATTGTAAAACAAAACATATGTTAAAAAAAGTGAGGAATATCAAAAAATTTTGATGAAACTCATGATACCTCAAACAAATCACACCTACTCCTATTTACTAAATTTTTCTCGAATAATTTCTTTTTTTGATATAAAAATAGTTTTTATAGTGTTCTACAAAGAAACATTTCTTTATATCAATACAATTGACCTGGTACTTCAATTTGGTAACCCTTTAAATATATATATATAACACTTTTAAAATGATAACCTAACAACAATGACATATAATAATATTAATAAGATAATTATTCTAACTATTCCAACAATTATAATTTCATTGTTGTTGAACTTGTCATTTGAGCTGTTTTAAAAGCATCCCTTCAACACAACTTAATCATAGAAATTAATTATTGATGCCCGTTTAAGACATTTCAACTTAAACTTTTAATAATTATTATCCTTATATAACATTTTAAACATTAAATCCCTTATTTAAGTTGATACTTAAAATCAAAACAAATTTATTTTAATAAATAACCAATTTCAGATTGATAATAAAAACAATCAATTTGTTAGAGATATAATGAGAAATGATGATATGGATGATTAAGATGTGCTAACCTCATTTTTAAAAAAGAGGACACAATATTCATTTGTACTAAAAAAGGGGGTGGGTTAATTAGTCAATTTTCATTGGAATTTAAATATTTAAGTTTTAAATTAAAAATTAATCCCATTCAAATATCTAGAGATACCCCAACCAATAACTAATTCAAGTATAAATTGAACAGAAGCTGAGCTAATTTTATTCATTATTCAATATTAAATATTGATATTATTATTTTAGTCAACTTATATTTTGACAACATTTAATTATTATAGATAAATAAATTTAATATTATAATCATCATGATAGTTAAAACTCTTTTATTTTTGTGTATCGTTCTTACTACGTTACCAAAATCATCAGGCACATCCTTTGGTATAGATGTATCCACTAAAATCAGTGTTGAAGAATTCAAATGCTTACTTAATAATAATTTTATCTCCGTTACAATTCGTTGCTTTGAGTCCACCTATGGAAATCCCTCTGGTATTGTTGAATTAAAAATCAAACCTTAAAACTCTATATTTATTAACTTAATATATTAAATTTTATTTAATTCAAATCACCTCTATTAAAAGGTTTTATTGATCCAAATTGTGGTAATTCCATCTATAATGCTTGGATTGCAGGCTTTACTTGGATTGATGTCTATATGTTTCCATGTCCCAAGTGTGGAAATGCTACAGGACAAGTAAATACATTAGTAAAATACTTGAGTGATACCTTTGGTTACACTACAATGGTGTGGGTAGATGTTGAAGAAAATTATAAACCCCCTTACTATTGGAGTAAAAGTATTTTATTTAATTTATTATTAATTTTAATAAGAGACCAATAATTAACTAATTCATTTTAATTAGCCAACACCACTAAAAATGTAGAATTCTTCTCTGAAATAATAAATGCTCTTGAAGACAATGATATAACTATTGGGGTATATACTTCGAAATACCAATGGACATCGATTATGGGAAAATACACTGGTGGTTCACCCTATCCACTCTGGTATAACCATAATGATACAAAACCAAGCTTCGATGATTTTACTCCATTTGGTGGATGGACCTCTCCTGCAAGTAAACAGTACTTTCTTCAATATTCTATATGTAATGTTGGAGTAGATTTGGATATTAAGTTGTATGTTGAGGAATCCCACAATATCCATGTACATAAGTCTTGTAAAAACAAAAATAAAAAATATATATAACACTTTTAAAATGACAACCAAAAAACAATGAAATAAATAATAAGATAATTATTCTAAACTATTTCCAACAATTATAATTTCATTGTTGTTAAACTTGTCATTTGGTTTTAAAAGCATCTCAACTTTTTCATTTTCAACACAACTTAATCATAGAAATAAATTATTTGATCAAAATAATTACAATTAAACGTTAATAATTATTAACCTTTATAATTTGATTCAAACTGTTAAATATGCGTTTATATAATTTTTTGTTGAGAGGTTTGTGACTTAAACACTATCTATCTATCGACAGACCACATACAACATAATATAGTTTAATACAACAAAACAAACAGCTGCCATTAATTTGTTTCAAATTAACAATTTCAAGGTGAGAGTGAGTGATTGAGTGGTGGGAGGGTATATTAAGTAGAAGATGCTTATAACAATGAATTAATTAATCTGTTTGTTTTGAATATTTAATTAAATTAATAAATCAATCAATCAATTGAGAAACAAAACAAAACAAAACTAAAAACATAATAGATTAGCAAAGCCCCATTAACCAAATAATATATCGTCTTTTATTTATTTATTTATTTATTTTTATCAATATCCAATCACCAATTATTTGCAACATCGCACTCCACTACCAATCCATCAATTCTCTATCAATTCAATATTATTATTACTATTATTTACTTGTAAAATTACAAATACTACTACTCTAACCTTACCCTTACAACAGTAATCATCAATAGCAGAGTATAATTATCAATTATAATTATGTATGTATCTCTACTGCTTGGCTCTACTTTCTTTATTTCTTTCTTCTTTCTTTTACTTTAATATACATTTATTAAAACATCAACAACGTCAACTACACAAAATGCAAATCAGATGATAACAGATCACAAAAGAGGTTTGACAAATCTAAACTTCAATTGAAGTGATGGGTGTGTGAATGCGCGGTCAATCTCACACCACACGCAAACAGGTTAATTAGTGTAATTTCGTCTTCTCTGCATGACGTGTAGACGCGAGACATCGTCACCGGCAACAGGCAGTTCATAACCAATGATAACATCACGATCCCTAATGAACGAAAGATTCTTTTGGTCACTGAGGAATGTGTATATCCTATTTCTGAATATCTCTGCCAGTGCTAAACAAGGTGTTTCAATTCCACTAGCTTTGGATAGCTCTATACGTAGGGTCTGTACGAAATCCCTCTTGTTCAATCTCAAACAGTAGTGTATGGGTGCCATTGAATTATTGAGACAATAGACACCAGTTGAATCAGGTCCAACAGGTCCAGTAGGTTTACAACGAAACAGCAGTATTTCAAACAGTCTCTCAGTTGGAACTGGAATGGGTAATGTAACAAACATAAATGGATCGAATGTTATACTAACCTTCGAACATTGATTACAAACTAATGTACTTTTATATTGACCTTGAAATAAATTTACAACTACCGATTGATTTCTCTTACAATGATTCTCCCATTGTTCATTTGCAACTACTGAATCATCCCTTGTTTCCTTATCATCCTTTTCTTCTATATATGGTTTCTTTATGACTCTACAATAATTATAAATCAATAATTAGTTTAGTTATCGTTGTTGTTGATGTTGTTATTAGTTACTTACTTATTTAAATCTTCATGTAGACCATCTAAAAGGAATGATAATAAATCTTGTGAATCTTGTTGTGATATTCCACTGAATTGTGGAGCATATTTACCAATTGCCCATTTAAGATTCTTTGGTACAACATAAGATGCACCTGACCACATATCTCTCATTAGCTTTCCAAATATCTCTACAATCTGTCCCTTCATACCCAATGGATTAACTTTATTAATATCCGATGTATATCTACCCGATAGAAAATATTCAACAAATGGTATTGTATGTGCTAAACACTAAAGATTGATTAATATTAAAATGAATAATATTAATATTTAGAACTGGAATGTGATAGATATATAAATGTTAAATTAATGACATACCTGAACAGATGAATTCATAAAACAAGTATTTCCAAGATTTGATAACCCACAAACACCTTTATGCATTACAATCTCTTTGCCATTTGAAGTTGTATTTGAATCATTATAGTCGGAATGATCTTGATTTTTATTATTTACACCATTGGTGATTGCCATATTATTGTTACCATTTGAGTGATTATGTGATGCACCATTTGGAGCACTGTTATGATCATTTACAGATGATTTACCACTACCATTACCACCATTACTAGTACCCTTTTCCTTCTTCTTCTATAGGTGTTAAACTATCATCTATTCTAATAAATATGTTTTAATATGTAAATATGATTTAATACTGTCAAATTTATTTAATCTTTATTTTGAAGAAGATGATGATGATTTAGATTGTTCTTCTTTTGGTTCAGTTTGTTTTTTAATTAAATCTCTAACAACTGTTTCAATGAGACGTGTTGCATTATCATATAGTTTGAAATCAATATAGATTGCGATGATTCCTATCTTCTCTGCTTTCACTAAACAACAACCACCGGTTTGGCATTGACCATATATCAAACCTTGTGCCGATTTAATAGGTGTATATTTACAACCGTCGATTACAATTCCATTAACCTTTGCCTTCCAGCTTGCACCTTTCAACATAGAAATCAACTCTGTCAACTCGCCTGGCGATTTATACTTAAAGTTCTCTGTACTAGCTTTAATCTTTGAATCATTTAAATCTATTACACAATAGCTTGTAAAATATCTACCAACCGATAAATCTTTAATAATTTCCTATATATATATATATATAATATTACAATACAATTAAAATATAATTGATTATTACTTATTAATCAACAACATAGTTAAACAAATACAATTGCTAAATCTTATAATAAAACATACATCATAGTTTATTTCTTCCATTTGCCTGTTTTTTTTTACAATTGTAATTTAAAAAATTTAAAATTGGTTTTTCTTTTTTTTTTTTTTTTTATAATTGTATTCTAAATGATTTGAGTTGGAATGGTGTTAAACCAACTTTGGTGTTCAATTTAATTTGAGTGGTTGGTGTGATTGGTTCTTCGAGACCGTTGACCTCTTGAATGTTTTTGATGGACAAGTCCGATACGAAATGGAAGTTGGTATGACCACCGAACGACTCGTAGACTCTGACGATGTATCCGTTGTTGTCTTCGGCGCGTTTGATTGTCTCCAACACTGCAGAGTTACTTCCGGCAACACTGATCAATGTCGGTAGGATCTGGTAGTCGGCATCGACCAACTGACTGTAGAGATTACAATTGACTTGATAACCCTGTGCAACGACGTCACCCTGTTGAAGATTACCCTTGTGTACATAGAGTGAATAGGTAAATTGGTGGCTACCCATGTCGGCATCGGCATCCGGTGCTTTGGGTGCACGCAACAAACTGAGTTTCATTACGCCGGAATGCACGGAATATCCGTATTTACAGTCGTTGAGCAACGCCAATCCAAAGTCGTACTCTGAGAGATCCGCCCACTTGTGTCCGCACACCTCAAACTTGGCGACATCCCAAGAGGTATTGAAATGAGTTGGACGTTGAACATGTCCGAATTGTATGTCGTAGGAAGCGGTGGTTGCGCGAAGAGTCGTTGGGAATTCGACTTTCAGCATCTTGTGAGCTTCGTGCCATTCGATGTTGGTTTCGAAATCGACGCGACTCGTGTTGGCGTACATGATAACACGTTGTTTCAAGGTGGATTGATGTGCGAAATTGGCGTGTTCAAACTCGACGATCACTCTGAGTGGTCCGCTCTCCAAGACACGGCTACTTGTGGCGGGACCAGCCAGTTTCGACTTTTCCTGTGAGTAGATTTCGACGTCCCAAGCGTCCCAGAACAATGGAATGTCGTCGTACAGCACAAATCTATTACCAAACTGACCGGGTACGATAACTTGACGGTTGAGAGCACGGTCGACCAGACTGGAAATAGTTCCGTCTTTCTTGATGGAGAGCGAGATGAATGAGTTGGAGATCTGGTAGTGATCCGAGTTGGATTCGTCGATTTTCACTGTGAGTTGTACGGTTGACAAAACAGCGGATGAACTGAGTGACGATGTCATTGCGGTTGCCGACATCTTGGTGAATCCATAGGCAGGCACCTTGATGAGAGCCAACGATTTACCGGATGACGAGATCTGTGGTGTTGGAATGGTGTTGATTGGCAACTCGATAACCTTTTCAACAGTGAAACCGGTTGGATTGAAAAAGAGGACATCCGTTCCAGTTGCACTGCCAAGCAAACCGAGTGAACCATTCAAATGCTGGATACAATCACTCTCGATCTTCTTGTGGTGTTCCGCAGCATCTTTGTAGACCAATCCAATCGATGATCCCGGAAGAACATCGTGGAACTGATTCAACAAAAGCAACTCCCATTGTTCATTCAAGTTTGGATACTTGAAGGATTCAACGCGATTGGCATCGAGAATCGTAGACACTGCTTCGACGTCGTGCAACAAGAATTCACACTTTCTGTTTCCACGCTTACAATTGGCTTGCGAGGTGTATGTTCCACGATGAAGCTCAAAGTAGAGCTCACCAACCCATGCATTCAGCTTATGAGCATCGACTTGGAGACGCTCGAAAAAGTCGCGTGGCGATCCGAGTGTCACCTTTGGAATTCCATCGGTATTGGGCATCTTTGTCAAACGCTCCAACATCTCAATGGTTGGACCACCACCGCCATCACCATGTCCGTAGACAAGCAAAGAGTTGTTGGCACGCTGAGCATCCTTGTTGTTGGTCATCGAGAGCACGACCTCCTTGACATCGGCAGCGGAATTGTAGGTGTTGGCAGGTGGGAAGTGACAGAGAACTCTGCTGCCATCGATACCCTCCCAGTGGAAAGAGGAATGAGGGAACTTGTTGATATTATTCCAACTTAGTTTCTGTGTAATAAAGTTGGCGATTCCCATGTGACGAATCACCTGTGGCAGTTGACCACTATATCCAAAGGTGTCTGGCAACCAAAACTCTGTGCAATAGGCACCGAATTCCTGCTTGAAAAATCGCTGACCAAAGAGGAACTGACGAATAAAACTCTCACCACTCGGTAGATTACCGTCCATCTCCACCCAGGTTCCACCGGTGGTGACAAACTGTCCGCTCTTTACCTTTTGTTTGATCTTATCGTACAGCTCTGGATAGAGTTGTTTTGTCCATGAATAAAGCTGAGCTTGTGACTGGACGAATTGGTAGTCTGGATAGTAGTCCATATAGAGAATCTGAGTGGCAAACGAACGGGCTGCTTTACGCTTGGTCTCTGCGTATGGCCAGAGCCAGGCGACATCGATATGACAATGTCCGGTGGCGAGCACCGAGTGTTGGCTATCTCCATTTTTCTGACTGAAAAACTCTTTGGCCATCTTTATGCATGGTGCCCAAGTTTCACGAGCATTGATATCGCAGTAGTTAATCATATTATTCGCCACGTACAGTGCTTGATTGCTACGAAGCGATCCCTCTGGAAAATTCTTGGCAATGTCGTAGAGCATCGTAAAGTAGGTATACAACTGATAGCACTCGTTATCAAACACTGCCAACTCACATTTACTCAAAGCAAATGTTTTATCGGGATCGCAAGGATTGATAAGGCCATCCTTTCCAACACCAAACATACCATTACATGCCATTTCAACCTATTAAAATAATTAATATATATGAAATAAGAAAGAAGAGCAACAAAAGAGATAAAATGTGTTACATACCATTAAGTGATATTTCTCATTACCAGATGAATTATTGGTTAATTTAAATTCTATTCTCTTGTCTACCCATGTTCCACCGGTCAAACCTTGAATTGGAACACCATCTCTCCAAATCAATGCTTCGGAATTACTGTTCCAAAGTAAATGTACTTCTTTACCTTTCATTGTTGATGGAACTTCAATGTCCAACTTGAACCAATAAGTTGCCCAACTAGGTCCAAACGATCTACCAACAGTGCATGCTTCATACTTTAGATTCAATGCATCTAAATTTGATAATAAATTAAATAATCAACAAGAGTTTATTAACTAACCAAACAATATATATTGTTTTTAAATTAAAGTAGTAGTATTTTACCTCTATATGGAATACGATCACAACGCTCTGATACCTGTAATTGTACAGCTGATGGTTCAAAATGAGTATAGATACGACCTTTGATGTTTACATCAGTGAAATAGGTATCACTGATAAACTTTTCCACTCTCTCTACAACGATATTTCTTGTTGGAGGTACTGCTGTAGTCATAATAAATATTATATTAAATCAATGAATATTTATTTTTGTACAATCAATTTAATATTGGTGAATGAAAGTTCACACTCACCCCCAAAAACAATTAATAAAATTGATTTTATTTAATTTTATTTTTTATTTTATTAAAATGCATAACCAGATTAGTGATAAATAAAAACACAGAGGATTTTTAAATAGCTTTTTAAAATTGTTTTTTTTATTTAAAATAAATAATTGATGATTGCAGCAAAAACGACAAAGAAAACAGAGAAGCTGAGACTAGCTGAAATCTTAATACCACTGCTTCCGACAGAATTGCATGGAGTTACTTGTGGAGTGTTATCGCAATAACCTGCGGAACATTGCAATGGAATTGGGTTCATTGATACAATTGAACCGAGTTGTGTGTTGAAGAATTTACAGGAGCCACTGTCGGTACATTGAATCGAAGAGGCACCAGTGACACCCACAGCTAAGGCATTTGTCTGCATTGGACAGTTACGGCAACCACATGATACTGATGCGCATTGTGCTGACAATCCATTCAATACACACTGGGAGAATTTACAATTAATATTTGGGGCGTAACGTCCTGGATTGTAGTTCTGTGCGAAAACATTCAATGCGCATTCACTACCTTGACAATTAAAGGAAACACTTGGATACTCACTAAATAGTTGAACTAAAAAATTTAATATTAGATATTGCATAAAATATGTGTTTATCTATTTGTATTTTTTTTTGTTTCGTACCTTGTGAATCGCAAGAATAATATTTTCCTGATCTGAATTGCATAGAGTTTTCACAACCACATGTATTATTTTGAGTACAAACTAATTATAATTATAAATTGAAATTAGAAAAACAGAATTTATAAATTTATATAAAATATCTTTACTTACCGCTACAGTCGATACCAGTCCATGATGGAAGACAATAAGCTTGCACTGAGAAAATATAAATAGATTGTAATAATAAAATTGAAAAAATAATATTCTTGACCATTGTTTTTATTTGTTTGTTTTTTATATATTTGTTACAGCTAGAAAAAATTTATAACTATACTTTTAGATTTTTAAATTTGATTCTATTTCTCTATTTAAAACGTTTTTTAAGTCTTCTCTTTTGTAATGAGGGATTTGTAATGAGGGATTTGTCTTTTTTTGGCAAAACCCAAAAAGCAACTGGTCGTGGTGAGGGAATAAAAAAACTTGTTTTTATTTCTTGACCAGAAGGTAATGAATATCACACAAAACTTTATTATTAGAGAATGTTTTAAATTAAACTATCTAATTGCTTTTAGATCTAATTTTACAAACAATTGAGATTTGATGATTTGATGATTGTTAGAAAAGGTTGAGAATAGAATACAAAAAAAAAAAAAAAACAAACATTAAATAGTTATAATTTATCATTCGAGTGGTCCAACAGACCAAAGTTTGTTTATTATATAAATACATACATAAATAATAGATCATATACTACTTTTTTTTTTTTTTCTCTATTTTTTTTTTTTCCTTTTCTTTTTCGAAGTCGAAAGTTATAAATGAATATCTAATGAGTGAAGACTAACTATCACAACTTGTTTTCTTTTTTTCAACTCCAATCTTGATCATCATCGTCATCCTTTTTCTTTGGTTCATCATCATCCATATCACCTCTTCTTGTAAGATTGTTTGACCAAGCATTGAGTAACTGAGTATCTCCGGAAAAGTTGGAAATTTGGAATGTATCCATCTTGATTATACTCTCTGCAATAACAGAATTTCCTATTGTTTTAATTCTGACCTCTTTAAATTTCATTAGTTGATTAATATTAATAAGTAAGTAAGTAAGTGGAATACGAAATCAACAACATGTGATTGTTCAATGATCATCATTACTACTGATACAATACCATCACCGACTTTAATATCCTTATGAGCATTCTTCTCAGCATCCAACCAGAATTCAAAGTGTCCCTTGACAGCGGGATGTAACGATGGCAGAGAATCATCGTGGAATCCAATTGGCAATGCCTTGCCAGTGGGTGAACCAATTGCCGCGGCCAGCGCACCGTGCTCTACTTTTTCAACTAACTTTGCTTCGACTCTATCTGCAGTGTGTAACACGATTCGAAATAAAAAGTAAATTAGAATCGATATCAATACCTACCAATCTACGAATATGAATAATATACCAAGTTATTTATAAATAACTTACCAAATTTATTTAGGTAACCTTTTGAGATTGCGGTGGCACGTGTCATCTTGGGTGGCACTTCATAACCGTCTGCATTGAAGTTTCTTTTGATAGTGGTATCTACATCGACAACTACAGTAAAGAATCGAGTGGGCAATTGATTATCATGAATCGATGGTTTCGTATTGATAAACATTGAATGCATCTTTATCTTTTTAACGACACCTTCAACAATGAAACCATTTCCTTTACAAATAGCTTCCTTTGTCCAAACTCCACTGTAATTGCTTGATGTTGACATCTTATTTGATTAATTCAACAACTAATATATATATATATATATATTAACACACACACAAATTTAAATTAACTTTTTTGTATTATTTGTAATATCACTTGTGTTTTTTTAATCAACAGATATTTTTTATTGTCATACCAACCCACCACCACCCCACTTGGTAAAAAATAATTTTTAATTAATTTAATTGTTTAATGAATTAAATTTGATCTTCACATTAAAACCAATATTAAATTTATTTACCACTATGGTTTCCTTTTTAGAGTATTTCATTGATTCTCCAACTTAAATTATCTATACAAGATATATCTATTCTATTTTTTAATTTGTAAATATTGATAACTTAAAGAATAATAGTCAGTCAGTTAGTTATGGAAGAAATATCATCGTCCACCTCATCTGCTGAAGATTTGAAACTATTGGGTAATAAATGGTTTGCAGAGAGAAAGTATGAAGATGCTATTCGAGCCTACTCCGAGGGTAGTCTAAAGGATGCGAATGAACCTGCATTCCCTTCGAACACAGCGGCGTGCTACTTTGAACTTGGACAATATGAAAAGTGTATAGAGCAATCAAAGCGTGCAATCGACATCATCGATAGGATAGCATCGAGCGATCCCAAACAGATTAGAAAGAAGAATGTCATTAGAATTGCAAGATCACTCTATCTATGTGCTGTCGTTGGCAACAAGTCGAGATTAACAGAGTATCTGTCGGCGTTACCATCGCTCTATGATGACGATAACGATATCAATGCCATTAGAAAACGATTAGTATCGATTGAAGAACCAACGGCGGAAACAGATCGGTTCCTCACTCATGAGCTTCCACGTATTTCGCCGGCAAGAGAGAACAATGCGATCGAGTACTTTGCAGTGGGACACGATACTGCTACCAGTGCATTGAAAGGCTACTGGGATGAATCAAAGCCTGTTGAACCTACGGAAAAGGATGGTCCATTACCGAGATTGGGTGAGGACCAGAGTGCAAGGCTACTATTTAAACAGCATCCAAAGCTGTCGTTCTTTTTCGGTGGTGTGAGTGACGGTCGTCATGTAATCTATACGTTGGCAGATGCTAGGCGTCAACTCGACGATATCAAAGGTCGTGACGATGTGAAGCTACACATTGTAATGAATGATCTATTACCCACGTGTTTGGCAAGAGATATACTGGTACTTTCAATACTTGCAGATCTTGGCGAAGCGGAATCACTGGAGTCAATCTACACTACCGATAATAAAGATAGATATGGTAAACTGGCAGTATTACTGTACTATATCTATTGTGGTGTCGTCATGCCATCGGATTCATTCGATCTATTGATGACTAGAATCGAGCGACTCATCGAACAAGGCAATACAAAAACATTGCCAGCATGGTTGGCTGTCGTCGACGATCAACAATGGAGTGCATTGGCAAAGGTATTTAGATATTGGCGTAAAGGCAACTCTTGGATCTCACCAAAGGAAATCTTAGAGGCTCACAAGCTGTCAACGTCGATGGATGTCCTCGACGCAGATACGCCGGAAGGAGTAACAAATCCGATAACTGCAATGAAGGATGAAAAGAGCAGGTTGATGAGTCAGCTCTGTGATCCTGCATTCCTTGCGCAAATGGGTCTACCAGAGGATAAGAAAGCAGATTTTATGAAAATGGTCAATAGCGGTGCATTGGATGATATGATGATGGGTGGAACTGCAACTACATTGCCACTAGCAGAGGAAACCGGTTTGCTATACGCTTCGAAAGTACTGCTACCTCCTGTGATCGTCGATAGCGATCAATATCAACAACAACTCGAAAGAATCTATCATACTGCTTGTCAAAAGAAATACGATTACAAAGATTCAATACAATCGGTGACCGAAGGCGTTGCCAATACATGGAAAACAAACATTACGATTACCGACGAGTTTTGGCGTGGTATTGGATGTTATACCTTTGATCCTATATCAGCTGTTTCAAACTTCTACGAAATGAAATGGGTTGGTGAACCATCACAAGACAAACCACGTCTATTTGATTACTTTATCAATGTATTCTATCAAGCTGCTCAAGGTTTGGTTGGATTGTCCAAGCAGAATGCATTGCTAATCGAACCGATTTCTGGAGATCTACATTTGGTGTTGGATGATATAGTAATCAATAAGAATCAACGTATCGCTAAGGGATATGCAAGTGAATTCGATACTATCTACTTGAGTAATGTACCGGATTACACTGGTTACATATCAATCTTTAGCAATATAGTGCTGTCACTCAAACGTGAACAACATTGTTCTGTTGCCTTCAATAGTCTACTTAATCCCGGACTATTTAGAAGTCTGGATGAAGTACTCAACACCTATCTTTTGATACCTTCAAAAGAGTTGCTTGCCAAACATATCGGTGTTGAGCATCGCTTTGGTGATCAGTGGTCAACCTACCAACACTATGGCTATAGTCAAGCTGCCACCTCGCTCGACAACCTCTTGAGTCGTGACGAACTAACGGCATGGCTCACCAAATTGTTTATCTCCATTGCCTTGCCAGCTCCAAATCCACCAATGCAAGCATGTATGGTGAACGCACCCAACAACATTTCGGTATTCTTTTGTCTCGTTAAGCGATTAGTTGATATTGGTTATCCACGTCATTGGCTACAAAGTATCATTGAACAAATAGCCAGTGGTTTCGTCAATTCCTCATCGACTTCAATTCATCCCAAACGTGTAATAGCTGTAACCAATACAACGGAAACAGCTAGACGATTCTCGTTGTGTGCTCTACAGTTAGAGTTTACCAATCAGGCAGCACTCTGGTTAGAGCATTGTGGTTTTCGTATCAGCTCACCGGTGCTACCATTGGCATCATCAATTCAACGTTGGACACTACCACTGACATTTACAGACCATGGTAGAGGCAACAATGAATCTCCTTCATTGATGGTTGTCATTGAGTATCCATCGATTTCCGAAAGTCAACGAATGAAGAAACACAACCCATTCAAACCTGAAATGGATGAAAAGTATCGTTATCAAATCGCTCTTTTACCGACCAAGGAAATAGCACAAATCCTATCGGTCATCGAATTCAGTCAAGAGAAAAGTACAGTTTCGTTCTGGTTGAGTCTTAAGGATATGGATCATCTTATTAATAAGAATTGCGTACTCTCTGTATTCCGTAAAGATCATTGGAAAGCAATATCCGCTCCAATTGTTTTATCATATTCTAAATTTTTACAAATCGTAATCAGACCAAAAAAATAAAAGACAATAACCATTTTATATATAAGAATAAGTGTTAAAGTTAAAACAAAATTTAAAACAGATCACATTTTAATCATTATATATATATATATTGTTTTTTTTGTTTTTTTTTCAACATAACTCTTTTGAATTCACAATCCCACACTCTCTCCGACCAAATCTTATAAATCTTTCAATTTTAAATAAGATAAAAATATTTCTTTTTGATTAATGATCCGAAAAAATGAAAATATTGTTTTAAAGAAAAAGTTTTGTTCTGGTGTCTACCAGATTATATTTTTTAATATTTTAAGTAATTTTTTTGAGATTAATGACTTTAACATTTTTCTAAATATCTTTCAAATTATGGTGCAATTGTGTGGTTTTTTTTATTTTTTATTTTGAATTTTTTTAATTATCTCCAATTTTTTTTAATCCCCGCTGACTTTCAAACAATTAAACACTCAACAATACCAACACATATTGTTTTGTATTATCAATTATTATTGTAATTAATAGAATCGACCGACTTGTTCTATAATTGTTTATTAATTATCTATTGTTTTAATTTTATTTATTTCTCTATAGATAAAATAAAATATATATATATATATTTCTCTATATTTTTTATTTTATTTTTTTGTTAACAAAAAAAACAAAAACAACAAAACAAAGTAATGTTATAGATGTAAAATACATTTTCATATTATTATCAAGATATCCATTAGATTAAATGCCTCAATACACAGATTCAGAGTTTTGGGATAAGTTTGTCATTGCCTATATATCTATACGTTTAATTCTATTAGCATGTATATCAATATTGATAATCCCACAGGTCTACTATGAATACAGAGAGATATATAAGAAAAAACTGAGGCAAATGGGCCCTAAATTTATTACATTAATCGCTCTTACTTTATTTCCAATATGTAAGTAATATATTAAAAGTTGTTTAACAAAATCATTAATCAATATATTATAATCTTTATAATACTAATATATTAATATAGTTAGAATAATTGATCAACTATCATACCTATTTACAATTCCGAGATCTGGTACTGGTTCTTGGGCATGGTTTTTCGGTGTGATCGGAACTTACTTTTTATTTCTGGAGTGGATGTATATCGGTTGTTTTTGGATTCAGCTTATATACACCTATTTCGTATCGGAATCAATCAATCTCAAGAACAGTAGGAGATGTTGGATCACTTGTTTGGTGTTAGCAACACTTTTAGCGTTGTGGGACATTGGTTTGTTGATTGGCGGTATGATCAATCCAGCGTCGGCAGACAAGTTCTATCGTGTCGGTTTCATTGTCACCTTGATTCTGCTTGGTCTCTCCATTCTTGGTCACGGCATCATTTTGGCCTATCACCTAAAGACACAAAAGAGTCGTATTCCAGGACTTGACCATGTAATCAAGCGTATTCTCCAGTTGTCTTGCATTCTTGGCGCCATTATCGTTTTGATTGTCTGCAGAGACATTGTCTGGTCCATCTTTAAACTACCTCACTCATCGCCTTACCGACACATCACCATCTTCCTCACGGCGGTTTGTGAAATTGCACAGAGTCTGGTTGTCATGCTGGCACTGACAGACTCTAGTCTCGCCAACTACTTTGCTTTCAAGAGGGTCTCGCATGAGACAAGAGTTGGCAATATCCAGAACAAAAAGAATGGCTCACCTATCGACAGAGAGTTCAGTAGCAACAGCTCAGTGGTGTCAAGCAGTAGTTCATCGCCTGAGAAGATCAAACATGCTGCAGAAGTTGGCAATCTTGCAAATGAGATCAACTTTGAGATACTCGATTCCGGTACCATTGACAGAGAAGATATAGAAGAAACATAGAGAAAACAAAAAAAAAAGAGCAATTCAACCAACAACATCAGAGTAGCAAACCAACTCTTCTTCTTGTTTTATTCCATTCGTCAATAGCGGTAACCCCAGAGTTGAGCAAATCATACAATGCAAAGTGTGAAAGTTCCAACAAAAACCTCCTTTTCCTTTTTTATATAAAAAAAATGAAAAAACATAGTTGTAAAACAATCTAAAAAAAAAAAAAATTTCAATCAAAACTGATCAACATCAAAAAAAACACCGATACTTTATGGGTGGAGGACATGTTTTTGGAATCGAGATTCACCTATGCAAACACCTGTTATTTTGTTGCTTTTTTCAAATGATGTCAACGTAGACGTATCAATAAAAAAACATAAAAATGTTATTCTTTTAAAATTGAACTTTATTGATAAAAATAAATTATTTTTTTTTTTTTACTTTTCTGATTGAGGGATGAAAGTAACATGTTTTTTTGATTTTTTTTCAGAAGGAGATTTAGTTGTTTTTTTTTGGGGAGATATATCTGATTCACCTCAACTGCATAGATTTGATTTATACAAAAAAAAAAAGACTATCTTTGTGTGGTTGGTTCTTGTATCATTCTTAAATCTAAACAAACAGAGGTTAACACTCTTTTTGATTCGTATTTCATTCATAAATCACTTTATTTACTCCCCAAATTTGGTTTTGGGTAATAAACAATTTGAGATATCGAACCAAAACATACAACCGACGTCCAATTCAACCACTCCTTTGGATATTTAGAACCAAAGACAAATCATGAACAGTATCTTTTGAGGCTCAAGGTAATCGATTTTTATTAATAATATTGTTGTTATTTTTTTTTTCTATTAATTAAAAGGAAACAAAAAAAAAACAAAAAAAAGGATGATCATGATCAATATATAAGTTCATTAGGGTCACCATTTTTTTTTAATTCATTCTAATTATATAACACTTACAACAATTAATAACTCTTTTTTTTTCTTTCACTTTTTTTTATTCATTTTTTTCAAAAAATTTTATCGATCACCATCCAAAATCAACTCGTTTATTATTGGTTGATCTTTAGTTTTATCAAAAAAAAAACCCCAAACACAATTCGAAACAAACCATCACCAAACAAAGCAATTAGACTTTCACCTCGAACCATATTTATTCGCACTATCTCATATCCATTTATAAATAGATTGTCACACTTTTTTCTGAAAAGTTTTATTCCTTTTTTTTCAAACGTTTTGTTTTTTTTACAGATAAAAATATAACTCTAAACCGTCAATCATAGCTTTATTTTTCTAAAAAACTATAACAGTATCTTTTTGAAAAAAATCTAGATTTTCGAATAGTCGCTGTTTTTTTTATTAAAAACCATCCAAAAAACCAGCCCAACTTCAAAAAAATTATTAATAAATTTTTTTGGTTTTTTTTTTTGCTTCATTTTTTGTTAAGCAAATTTCATATTTCACGCTTGTTGTTTCAACTCATCAGGAACATTCACCCCACTTCCACAAAACCTCCATTTACCACAACCACCATTTTTACAATCTGATCAAGAAATTACATATAAACTTTTTTTATCTGTCTGGATCCAAAGTCTTGAGGCTTATTTAAATTGTACTATTTTCTTTTTATATTTTTAATTTTATACCCAACAAAACAAATTTCAAATTATTTGATTGAGACAAAATCAAATCAATAGAATAGCCATCATCACTTTTTGTTTTTAAAAGAAAATTAAATATTTATAAGCTATATAATAGATAATTATATAATATAATAATATTTATTGATTCTATTATTTATTCCTATTTTTATTTTTATAACTAAACAATTGTATAATAGTAGTATAGCTTATTTATTTTTATTTATATATTTTTATTTATATAAATTTATTTAATATATATTTATATATTTTAAAATGGGATCGTATACAACTTCAGATACAGGAGATTATCTGGTGATTGTATTTTTAAGTATTAGAATTTCTGTTTTATTTGTTATATTTTTTTTAAATGCAATCCAAACTGTATTTGAATTTAGATATTTAAGAGCAACAAATAGACCTATAAGTCCTCGTTTCTGTACTTTTTTTTCAATTACATTCTTCCCACTATGTAAGTAAATCACTATCTATTATAAAAGTGGAAAGTTTCTAATTTTTCTTAAAATCTAGTTAGAGGAATCGAACAATTAGCTTATTTATTGGCATATCCAAGATTTGTAGCACCTTCACATGCCTATTTCTTTTCACTTTATGGAACATATTTTATCTTTTCAGAATGGATTTTCATTGGTAAGTAACCACTTGATATATATAAACTCTTTAGTTTTGATTTCTAATTAATCTATTTATTTTCTTTTTAGGATGTTTCTGGACACAATTATTATATACTTTCTTTGTGTCAACTGCTATCATTTTAAAGAATACTAAGCGTGCATGGTATACTGCATGGGGTTTGGCAGTTGTGTTTGGATTTTGGACTGTCATATTGAGTATTCTTTCATGGGCATCACCAGAGTCAATCGTTCATTGGATTACCTATGGTCAATTGGCATGGATTTTGGTCTATGGATTTGCTATTATTTTCAATGGTGTCATTCTTGTGAAATTTATGAAACAACAAGAAAAGCGTATTCCAAAACTTCAAACAACCATCGATAAGACCGTGCGTTTGGCGGCGACCCTTACCATTCTCTGGCTCTCAAGTATTGCTATTATCATTGGTTTCTCAGTAGCCGGTGTACCTGAATCGTCAGACTATTACTATTTCCAGAAATTCTTTATCTTCCTCATCGAAGTGTTCCAGGTGATAGTTGTCATGTTGGCACTCGGTGGTGAGACACCAATCAACTATATTTATTTCCGTCGTGTCAATGAATCGCACTCATCTGGCAGTGGATTGCACACCAAGAACAATAGCGGTGCTGGTGAGAAATACTCGTTTTCGTCACACGTTACCAGTGTTGGTCCACAAGAGGTATCGATGACCACCTTCTCAGTGGCAGCATCACGTGATCTCATGGAATCTGAAACATCATCAAACAACCAACAAGAGCAACCAAGCGCAACCATTCCATCACACATGAAAGACATCGAGTCTGGTTATGGACATAGCTCAACAAATGAACTTTTACACTCTACCGAACAACAAAACAAACAACTCGGCAATGCTCCTACCTCATCAGATTCATCATCATCAACATAATAACTAAGCAATATAATATTAGCTTTAAGAAATATATTTATAAATAGTTTCTTTTGATCATATAATAATAACAGAGGTACACACCACACTCACACATATATAGAATTCAACTGATCAAATTTTTATTTATTTTTGTTGATTTAACGTGTGTGAGATTTAAATCACATACAATCAAATTGTTATGAAAACATATGTATTTAAGAATATATGTAAAAAATGTTGTAAATAATAATTGTATAAATAAATAAAATAATATGATTTATAAAATTAATATATTATCTATTATTATATTGTTATATCTGTTTTTATTTAAAGATGGTAATATATTTTTTTATTAATATTCATTAAAGTTACTTATTTAAATTATGATTAAAAGATTGTTTAGGTGTACCAAGTTATTTTGAAATACCAAAAGAGAATATATATATTTGTAAAACAGGGTACTCTGTAGATTCAGAAGGCAATCGATTTTGTAATGACCATGAAACGTGCGAAGGTGTAGTTTGCCCTGGAAAGAGAACCTGTAAAAACTCGAATGGCTTGCCAGTGTGTCTATTGATCGAGTCAGAGTGTCTACACTGTCAGTCAGATCAAGTGTGCATGTCTATAAAAGGTCAGCTAAAGTGTTTAAAGGGCACCGGAGTTCTAGTAAACATGACTGATTACAAAAGAAAAAAAGAGAATTGCATCAAAGTTGAAGAGAAATATAATTATATAAGAAACACCAGTTGTTTTTTTGTTACATGTCCAAGCTCAATGATATGTGTCTCATTAAGTGGTTCTCCATACTGTGTACCTATAAATAAAATTTAAATAAAACATATATTTTGATTAATTTTTTGTTTGGTTTTTAAAAAAAAAAGCGGGAATTTTAAAGATAAAGACTTCAGTTGATCATAATTTTTAATTATTTGTTAATTTAAAACATTTCATCATGAAGATATTGGTTATAGCAATAATAAAGTAATGAATTCTTAATTATAGAATCAACAAACATTAAAGTCATTTTTAGATGTAAATATCAATCATACATATTTAACCACACTGTGATCGTTTTCAGACCCACAAACCAACCACATCTATATTACATCCGTTTAAATCATTGCACTGTTTAAAAAAAGAAATAAACAACAAATCATTAACTTCATCATCATCAACGTTTCCCACATACTGTTGGTGTCAGTTTAATCATAAAATGTTGATTTTATATTTGTTTATCTTTTAAAAGTGGTGAATTCCAAATTTGTGGTATATATTTAAAAAACTCTTCCCTTAAAAGGAGAGAAAGTTAAGCAGTAATCCCACAACCAAATAAACTTAATCAATTAAAAATAATTAATATATAATTAATAAACAAAATAATCATTTAATTGGTTCAAATAAAAATAAATGGGAGTTTATTATTAAATTAGAGGATAAGCTTAATAAAAAAAGGAAATTTAATGATTGATTTCTTTCTTGAAATATAATATAGATTAATTATTGGATATCATTATCACTCAACTTTTTAGCTAACTGTTTGTTTTAATGATTATATCCAATCTAAAACATGAAAAATATCATATTCTTCAAATCATTCTAAATTTAGAGAATTTTCGCTTTGTTACGCGTTTTGCTTGATAATATTTAATAGGTCAAAAATATTATTATATATTTTGGATGTATAATTATCTCATACTTCATCATGAAAATGGTGATACTCATTACAAACCAACCATCTATAACATCATCAATACTACTATTACAATTGAAAGAGTAATGTTTGACTACTGTTCAACACTGGTGTGAATCCATGAATTGGATATTGGCAATCATTTTTATTCGATTCCAAGCAAATCAATCAAATGTATATATTCACCCAACTACTGTAACCATTTTAAAACAATAGTGGTTAGAGTTAAGAGAAATCAGTGGTTGTCACATTTAGTGGTACATATATATATATATTTAATTAAATTGTGTAATGTAATTGGTAAAGCTTTACCACATTGTTCAAATGATTTTGAACTACTATTATAATCGTAGCGCTCACACGCACATATATAACAACTTTAAATTGAAGGGAAGAAATAAGTTTAAACATTATCAAAAAGAAAAAAAAAACAAACAAACACCAATTTATCATCACAATACGTATCATCCAATGCTAAGTTCAATTTAAATTGTAGTTAATCGTTTATTGAAAATTCAAACTCTTGCCATTATCGACCTGTATCTATATGAATGCATAGTATCAGATTGAATCATCAGATGAAATTCTCTAAAACACTTATGCATTTTTAAAAACTACATATATAAATGACAACACCACCAACAGCAACAGTATTTCATTCTTTAAAAAATTTACCAAGAGTGGCAACATATCTATCTACTATTTTAAATTGATAACGGTTGGAAATTGATTAGTCAACTATTGTGTTCAAGTATATATGTATATTTTTAATAATATATTGGATGTGGTTTATAAATGTGTGTGAGTATCGGTGGTAAGGTGTGTTTGAACGTATTCATCTGATTGGAGGTGTGAAAAAATAAATTTGTTTTTCATAACAGCAAATCTATGATTGGGGGTAGGTATGTAGGATGAGTTGAATTTGATATCAACACACCAACAATAAATACAATGATCATTTGTTATTTATATTATCGATCACCTATTGAAATTCATACCCACCCGACTCATCATGTATCATCCTCACCTGATAACAAGATCAACAATTCACACACCACATTCTGTATACTGTATTTCAAATCACTTAGAAGTTGTTTTTTTTTCTGTTTTTTCTGTTTTTTTTTTAATTCTTTATATATTTAACATACTATTATGTGTTCAATTATATTAACTATAGCTCCAAATGGTCAGGCAAAGTGATGATGAATGTCATTTCAATTATCTTATAATAGACTATTGTGTGAGTGTTTGTGTACCCATATCGGTTGTTTGTCTGATAGGCGTTTTGAAGTGTGATGAGCTTGCACCTATACTTGTTTTATTTGTTGTGTTTGTTTTTATTGTCAATCAATTCACTCTCTGATTATTTTGTTATAATAGATGTTTGTTTGTGTTGAGTGTTTGGGTTATTGTTGATGATTTAAATTAGTTTGCCATTTCAAACAAATACTATTTGTGCCCTATAAAAAAAAAAACTCTACAATCTAACACTTTTTTTTAACCACTTCACATTTTGTACTACTGTTTATTTATTACACCAAGATCAAATTGATAATTTCCATCCATAGAGGAGACAAGTTGCACCAAAATTAAATGAATTTGGAACATATACTATTACATATTAGGGGTAATCATCATACTGTATCCTCTAACTTTTTAAGGGCGTTGCATAAATTTTAACATTGTATGAATGCAAATTCCTTTAAAATAGACCTGAATCTCATAAGTTTAATTCATTATTCAAATTTCTCATTATATAAAGAGAACCAAAAAAAAAACTATATATATTTTTAAATTTGTACATACATTTATATAAATTATTATTTATTTTTATTCTTATTAAAAAAAAACATTTAAAAAACTATAAATATTAAAATACCACTACTACCATTATTACTGTAACACATTCCCGAGCTTTTAAATATTTCTCAATCTTTTCTAATTAATATTACCAAAGCCATTTCGAAATGGCTAAATTAATAATTGTTTATTTACTCTTATTACTGAGTTGCACATTATTTATAAATGGTATGGAAAACTAATTTTTTTACATTTTCCAGGATTGGAAATACTAATTATTTGTTTTTTCTTTTTTTTTTTTCTATTTTTTTTTTTTAGTCCACTCCAACCTGTCCAGCCAGTTGTGACGATCATAATGCTTGTACTGCTGATTCTTGCGACACTGTAAAGGGTTGCTGTGTCAATACTCCAATCACATGTGATGATAAGAATGCTTGTACCTCAGATTCCTGTGATTGCGATAAGGGTTGCGTTTTCACACCAATCTCTTGTAAACCAAAGGATGCCTGTAATATCGCCTCATGTAGTAACTCTACTGGTTGCGTTCAAACACCTATTAGTTGCGATGATGGAAACAAGTGTACTGTAGATTCCTGCGACTGTGAAAAGGGCTGCCAACATACTCCTCTCAGTTGCGATGATAAGAATGCTTGTACCTCAGATTCCTGTGATTGCGATAAGGGTTGTGTTAACACTCCAATTTCATGTAAACCAAAGGATGCCTGCAATATCGCCTCATGTAGCAACTCAACTGGTTGTGTCCAAACACCAATTAGCTGTGATGATGGAAATAGATGTACCAATGATTATTGTGATGCCGTTAAGGGCTGCCAACACACTGATGTTAGTTGTGATGATAAGAATGCCTGTACCTCAGATTCCTGTGACTGCGATAAAGGTTGCGTTAACACTCCAATAACATGCAAACCAAAGGATGCCTGTAATATCGCCTCATGTAGTAACTCTACTGGTTGTGTCCAAACACCAATTAGCTGTGATGATGGAAATAGATGCACCAACGATTTTTGTGATGCCGTTAAGGGCTGCCAACACACTGATATTAGTTGTGATGACAAGAACGCTTGTACCTCAGATTCCTGTGACTGCGATAAGGGTTGCGTTAACACTCCAATCTCTTGCAAACCAAAGGATGCCTGTAATGTAGCCTCATGTAGCAACTCTACTGGTTGTGTCCAAACACCTATCAGTTGTGATGATGGAAATAGATGTACCAATGATTATTGTGATGCTGTTAAGGGCTGCCAACACACTGATGTTAGTTGTGATGATAAGAATGCTTGTACCTCAGACTCCTGCGACTGCGATAAAGGTTGTGCTAACACTCCAATTTCATGTAAACCAAAGGATGCCTGTAATGTAGCCTCATGTAGTAACTCAACTGGTTGTGTCCAAACACCTATCAGCTGTGATGATGGAAATAGATGCACCAACGATTTTTGCGATGCCGTTAAGGGCTGCCAACACACTGATATTAGCTGCGATGACAAGAATGCTTGTACTGCAGATTCCTGTGATTGCGATAAGGGTTGCGTTAACACTCCAATCTCTTGCAAACCAAAGGATGCCTGTAATGTAGCCTCATGTAGCAACTCTACTGGTTGTATCCAAACACCAATTAGCTGTGACGATGGAAACAAATGTACCTCTGACCAATGTGACTCTGTTTTGGGTTGCATCAATAAACCAATTTCATGTCCACCAATAGACGCTTGCAATGTTGGATCATGTAACAATGCAACCGGTTGTATCCAAACACCTATCAATTGTGATGATGGAAATAAATGTACCATTGATTCCTGCGATTGTGTTAAGGGCTGCGTACACATTGATGTTAGCTGTGATGATAAGAACGCTTGTACTGCAGATTCCTGCGACTGCGATAAGGGTTGCGTTAACACTCCAATTACCTGTAAGCCAATCGATGCCTGTAATGTAGCTTCATGTAGTAACTCAACTGGATGTATCCAAACACCAATTAGTTGTGATGACAACAACGCTTGTACTGCAGATTCCTGTGATTGCGATAAGGGTTGCGTTAACACTCCAATCCCATGTAAACCAAAGGATGCCTGTAATGTAGCCTCATGTAGCAACTCTACTGGTTGTATCCAAACACCAATCAACTGCGACGACAACAACAAATGTACTTTCGATACCTGTGACTCTGTTAAGGGCTGCAAGAATACACCAATCAACTGTGATGATAATAATGCCTGCACTGCAGATTCCTGTGATTGCGATAAAGGTTGCGTTAACACTCCAATTTCATGCAAACCAAAGGACGCTTGTAATGTTGCCTCATGTAGTAACTCAACTGGATGTGTCCAAACACCAATTAGTTGTGATGACAACAACGCTTGTACTGCAGATTCCTGCGATTGCGATAAGGGTTGCGTTAACACTCCAATCTCTTGCAAACCAAAGGATGCCTGTAATGTAGCCTCATGTAGCAACTCTACTGGTTGTATCCAAACACCAATCAATTGTGATGATGGAAACAAATGTACTGAAGATTCCTGTGACTGCGATAAGGGTTGTATTCACACTCCAAAGAATTGTGACGATGGAAACAAATGTAAAATCAACACCTGTTGTGTAGACACTGGTGACTGTCAATCCGTGGATGTCAACTGTGATGATAAGAACTCTTGCACACAAGATCTATGCGATAAATCGATTGGCTGTTTCCATCCACCAGTCCAATGCAATGACTACAATGCCTGCACCTTAGATTCATGTAACAACGCAACTGGCTGCGTACACACACCAGTCTCATGTCAACCAAAGGATGCCTGTAATGTTGCCTCATGTAATAATGTAACCGGATGTATCCAAACACCTATCAACTGTGATGATGGTAATGCTTGTACCGCAGATTCCTGCGACTGCGAAAAAGGCTGCGTACACACTCCAATCCCATGTAAACCAAAAGATGCTTGTAGCATTGCCTCATGTAGTAACTCAACTGGTTGTATCCAAACACCTCGCAACTGTGATGATGGAAATAGATGTACTGTAGATTCCTGCGACTGTGATAAGGGTTGTATTCACACTCCTCTCAGTTGCGATGATAAGAATGCTTGTACCTCAGATTCCTGTGATTGCGATAAGGGTTGTGTTAACACTCCAATTTCATGCAAACCAAAGGATGCCTGTAATATAGCTTCATGTAGCAACTCTACTGGTTGTATCCAAACACCAATCAATTGTGATGATGGAAACAGATGTACCAACGATTTTTGCGATGCCGTTAAGGGCTGCCAACATACTCCTCTCAGTTGCGATGACAAGAACGCCTGTACCGCAGATTCCTGTGACTGCGATAAAGGTTGCGTTAACACTCCAATAACATGCAAACCAAAAGATGCTTGTAGCATTGCCTCATGTAGCAACTCTACCGGTTGTATCCAAACACCTCGCAACTGTGATGATGGAAATAGATGTACTGTAGATTCCTGTGACTGCGATAAGGGTTGTATTCACACTCCTCTCAGCTGCGATGACAAGAACGCCTGTACTGCAGATTCCTGCGACTGCGATAAAGGTTGCGTTAACACTCCAATAACATGTCCAAACAAAGACAAGTGTAATGTTGGATCCTGTAAGAACTCAACCGGATGTATCCAAACACCGATTATGTGTGATGACAACAACAAATGTACTGTCGACTCTTGTGATCCAACCAAAGGATGTCAATCGAAACCAATCACATGTCCCAACAAAGACAAGTGTAACATTGGTGTTTGTGACTCTGTAAAGGGCTGCAGTACCACTCCTCTCAAATGTGATGATAATAATCCATGTACTGAAGATTCGTGCGACTGCGATAAGGGTTGCGTTTTCACTCCAATCACCTGTAACGATAACAACGCATGTACCAACGGTGTATGTAACAACTCCACCGGTAAATGTGACTACACTGATGTCTGCTGTGATGACAACAACAAATGTACTACAGACTCCTGTGACAAGAAGAGAGGTTGTCAAAACAATGCAATTACTTGTGGTATGTATATTAATATTAAATAACACTTTTTCTCTGAATACAAACTAATTCTCTACAACTTTAGATGATAACAATAAATGTACATCCGATTCATGTGATAAATCAATTGGTTGTGTTTACAAGAACATCACTTGTTCACCAAAGGACAAATGTTCAGTTGCAAGCTGCGATCCAAGAAAGGGATGTGTTCAATCCGATATCTCTTGTAACGATAACAACGCCTGTACCGCAGATTCCTGTGACTGCGATAAGGGTTGCGTTAACAAACCAGTTCAATGTATTGCCAGTGACAAGTGTCATACTGCCTCCTGCGACAAGTCTAAGGGCTGCCAACAGATCCCAATCAACTGTGACGATGGAAACAACTGTACCATTGATTCGTGTGACTGCAATAGAGGTTGCATTCACACTCCAGTGAGTTGCGGTGACGACGACTGCGATGACAACAACAAGTGTTCGACATCCTCATGCAATCCAAAGACTGGAAAGTGTGAGACCTCCACCTTGAAGTGTGACGATGGCAATGCCAACACCTGTGACTCCTGTGATGCCAAACGTGGCTGTGTATACACACCATGTAACGACAACAACAAATGTACCATTGACACCTGTGGAGCAAACGGTAAATGTGTATTCACTCCAAAGAATTGTGATGATGGTGATCCCAAGACCACCGACAGTTGCGACAAAAACACCGGTCAATGTGTAAACAAATGTTAAACTCAAACCATCATTTATAAATATATATCTTTTCTCAACAAATCAAACCAATCACATTCACCCAATCCAACAATATTTATTTTAAAAATCCAACTTTCAAAGTTGGATATTACATTCTTTTTTTTAATATAATAATAATAACTTTTTTTGTAAATAAATCATAATTTAAAAATATTTATCAATTTATTTTTCAATTGAATTATCAACATGAGGTGGAGACTTGTAAAGTTTTAAAATGGAAATATATATATAAAAAGAAAAAAAAAATAATAGTAATAATAAAGTAGGCTGACTGAAAAAAAATTCTTATGATTGAAGGTTTAAATTATTAAAATGTTAGTTATTTAACATTTCCAAATTTTGTATTTGTGTTGGTTAGAAAAAAATGGAACGGAGGAACTTCATTCCAGAGCAAAAAATGAAAAATTGAAAAAAATTGAAAAAAAATGAAGAGAACAAGTTCCATTATTCTTTTTTACAACTGATTTTTGTTTAAATTAGATAGTATAATTAAAAAAGTCAATAAATAATGCAATCTTTGAGACGTCTTTCAAACTCTATCAACTCTGTAAGCTCTGTATTAAATAGAGCATCCACTTCCACAAGATCAATCTGTTATCTTAACAACAAATCGATTTCTTCATCAACAAATACTACCTCTTTATTTAAACAAACCAAACCTAAATTTGCAATCATCAATTAGAAACTACTGTTGGTAAGTAAATTTATCTACTCTCTTTTTTTTTTTTTTTTTTGTTGGTAAAGTAACTATATATCACTTTTTTTATGACCACCTCTAATAAAATTGATAAAATGGTTATAAATAACGAATGAAATTTCATTTTCAATCATTATTTGTATATATTTGTCAATTTGATTGATTATTTTTCATAACTTAATTTTGTCACTTTTTTTTTTTCTTCGCACCACCATCTACAGCCAAATAAGTAATTTATTTAGTGATGATCAAATTCCAAAAGAATCTCGAGACAATGGAATTTTTTTTTACTTAGTCATCATCATTATTTTGGCATCCTCTTTCATATTCCACACTACTTTTTTTACAAACAAAAAAAACAATTTATTTTTTTATTTTTATTTTATTTTTCAAATTTATTTAATTTTCCTTGTGGTTGTTCATCCACCCTTTTTTATTAGTGAACAAACATTTTTAACATTATCATTTTTATTTTCTCTTTTTTTTAAAAGCAATCATAACTTTGAATTATTAGACATGACTGGTCACTGCCACAAGCACGAACAAATCCGTATTAGAAAGCAAGCTCCAAAGTTCCAAGGACAAGCTGTCGTCAACGGTGAATTCAAGGATATCTCTTTGGATGACTACAAGGGTGAGTATTACAAAAACACAATAATTTAAATTAGCGTATATTTAATAAAATTTGTTTATATTAATATGTTTTTTTTTTTGCAAATTAATTTTAGGTAAATACGTTTACTTCTTCTTCTACCCATTGGATTTCACTTTTGTATGCCCAACTGAAATCATTGCTTTCTCTGAAGCCGCTGAGGAATTCAGAAAGATCGGTTGTGAGATCATTGCCTGTTCAGTAGACTCTGTCTTCTCTCATTTGGCTTGGATCAACACTCCACGTAAGGAAGGTGGTTTGGGTGGTATCAAGTTCCCAATCTTGTCAGACATTACTCACCAAGTCTCCAAAGATTACGGTGTATACATTGAGGAGGACGGTCACACCATCCGTGGTTCATTCATCATCGGAAAGGACGGGTATGTATAAAAAACAAAACAAAACAAAACAAAACTACAATCCAATTGGTTTATAGATATTAATAATTTACACTTTTTTTTTTCCTTTTCCTTTCATTTTTTATCTAATTACAGTTTGGTCAAGCACATCCAATTGAACGACAACCCAGTCGGAAGAAACGTTGAGGAAGCTCTCCGTCTCGTCAAGGGATATATGTACACTGATGTTCACGGTGAGGTTTGCCCAGCCAACTGGAACCCAGACAACAGCAAGACTATGATCCCAGATCCAAAGGGTTCAAAGGCTTACTTCCAATCTGTCAACCAATAAATAAATTAACAGAGAGTTCCACACCTCTTGTTTGTATAAAAAAAAGAACATCTTTCTATTTAAATATAATCTTTCTTTACATAATATAAAATATCTTTACTCCAACAAAAAAAAACATTTAAAATATCATATGCTCATCTGCAGAACAAAGATATAAAAGTCGTACAATGTACAATCGTAAAATGATCACAAAAGTTTATATTTCTGCTAAAAAATGATTTTTTTATCTAACAACATGTGACGCAGCACAAGGTACAGTCGAGTATACTAATTATCCATTGTATACATGCAAGTAAGTAAATAAACTATAAATAGATTTATATTCTAATTTGATTTGTTCAAAAATTAAGGACTGTCGATATGAAATGTGCTCCACCAACAGACACCACAGTTTTATATGTCACTCCTATCAACCAAACTGGTTTTGAATTCAAAACCTACCAAAATATGTCAGACTGAAAAAACAATCTTGTAGTAGGTTCAAACCAATGTGGTATTTGTTACAACCAACAAATGAACATAACATTTCAACAAATAAAAGATCAATGGATTTCGTATCCTTCAACATTGCATTACTATTATGTATTGTTTAATTATTCTTTTAAATAAATAAATAAAATTTATTATTTATAAAAAGTTTATTTATTATAGATTTTCTTCTTTCTTAAAGTTAATTGTTACAAAAGGTTGGTCTCCATATTTATATTTAAACATTTCTTGTCCTTCTTGGAAATTTAGAAACTCTATGATAGTAAAAAGTAATTGTTTATAAAATTAATTTATATTCCAATTTAGTTTAATACATTATACAAATTACCTTTATTACATTCTAAATGTTCACATAACTTTTGAAATATGGATTCATCTTTCCAAAAGAGAGTTGTTTTTGGATGGAATAGTTTTCCATCTATGACTGGAATTTGAGCATGAGGTATATGTACCAAATCGCCATTAGCCTTGATTACATCTCTAGATTTACATTTTTCATAGGGCAACAATTTTGTTAATAAATGAGTTCTTTGTTGATCTGATAATTTATCATTAAATAGAATCTCGAGCTTGGTGCACCCTTCTTTATTGTTATGATGTAAACTTTTGGGAGGAGGAGTTGATGTAACTTTTATTGGATCTTCCATTCTTTTTATTATTATTTATTAATATTTGTTTGGAACACTAATTAAATAATAAAATTTTGTGAACATTAAATTAAAATGGACCCTTTTCAAAAGTTCGGAAAAGGGAAATCTTTTTTTATTTAATTTTTAAATTTGTTAACCCCTCTGTAGCCCAAATCGTTTTTATCCTTTTTTGGATATTAATATTCAATAATTAATTAAAAACAAATAAAAGTTGATGAATTATTTTATAATTTTTATATATTTTCTTTTATTTATAATTATTTGAATACTTTCGAATCTGAAATTTGAGCATTCCAAATCATTTGGTATTGCATACTATATAAAAGTTGAACGAATGGTTGACCAATAAATACGGTAATCCACATGACTACATTTCCAAATCTTGTTTTCTGTAATATTGGAAGTTGTGTAAAATATACAAGACCAACTAAATATTAATTATTATTATTATTATTATTATTAGAGTAAGTAAGATGTTAGAATAGAGAAAACAAATAATAATAAAATAATTTACATACTTTGAAGAATCATTGTTGTAGATAGAATCGGTCTGACGAATTTAAAAGATAAAACCATAACAATTTCATGTAAAAGAGCAGATAGTAAGAAAGTAGAGATGAATGCACCGAATTTGTTCATCTTTACGGTGTGCATAGAGTCGGTATATACATGACGTAGCATCCATTTGTGAACTGGACGATTCCATCTTCTCCACCACATATCAAATGTAGTTGCATTCCACCAATCTTGATAGAATTCTCTATCAGCAAATCTTGTAATCTCAGCAAATATATTTAATAAACAATGGAATACACCATAGAATCTATAGATAATAATAATTAATGTTAATTAAAAATAAATAATGTAATAGCAAAAACCTAATTAATCATTACCCTAACATCCAAAGACTCATAGCTGGTAGTGAAAGTCTAACAACCAATAACATAAATGGTTGACGATCAACATCTTTATATAATGGATTACAGTAACATACTATAACAAAATAAAATGACAATTAATAATTAACAAATAATGGTTGATATAAAAAAATAATAGTAATATGAATATTTACACATTAAATAGAATACAGTGAAAGTACCGATAAAAGCAAGAGTTTCCTTTAGAACATAGGTCCAACGAATGGATGGAGTTCTTGGGAAGTATGGTTCGTATACCAAAGTTGGAGCAACCAAAAAGAATGAGAAATGCTTTAGTGAAACATTGGGAATAAGATCACGTCTGGTGATTGGAGAGTTGTTTTTGCTAGCTTTGACCGATCCTCTCTTTAGCGAGAAGTTAGTATACCAATAGGAGTGATTCTTCATAGTGTAAACACATAGTTGTAATCCAGTACCACCACTAAGAACTAATAATAATAATTATTTAATAATGTTGGAAATTTAATTATTATTTTGTTTTTCTTACTTACTTGGTGATAGGTTATATTGGAATAGAATATCACATGTCACATAGAATGCTGTTATTTGCCATGCAAAGTAGATCACTACCGAGAGCCAAGCTGGAATCTTGTTGTTGACAAAGAGACGAGTGGAAATGTAGGTGACATAACTAAAGAGAACCAATCCAATCCAAACAAAGAATCCTATGTACCACTTGTCGACTAGCCAGTAGAACAAATCAAAGTCCATCGGAGTGCCATACTTGACATAGTGTTCTGCCATCATTGAGAATCCAACCATTACATAGCAAATAGCAATATAATTAAATGTTCCCCATTGAATATTTGCATTCTGTGGTGTACTAATAAATAAAATAAAATAGGTAGAATACATTGTATATAAATATTAATATTATTAAAGGTGTTGTAGTATCGTTTGATGTGTGTATTTCAACTAACGTTAATAAAGATTCTCTTGGTTTTGAAATGGCAGAGAAACGTTCCAGTGATGGTGAATGTGGAGCTTCATCGTTGTTTGTCTCATTGGATTTCGGAGCCGATAGAAAAGAGGAGGATGATGGCGAAGATGATCCAGATGTATGTTGTTGTTGTTGCTGTTGTTGCTGCTGCATTGATTTACTCATCAATTCACTCAACAACTTTGGAGAGGATGATCCAGAATCACCTGAATGTCCTTTATCTTTTTTATTTCTTTTATTTATACTTTGCATCTATTTATCAATATAATATATATATATGATAATATATAAATAAATGTCTTTACAAAAAAAATAAATAAAAAAATTTACAAATTAAAAAAAATGAAATTGAATAAATAGTGTTTGATTTATATATATATATATTTAATGTTTATCTAAATGTATTTATCTGATTGATTGAGTGTCGTTTAACAAATATATTATTTTACAAAAAAATAAAATAAAAATGAGAACCACCCTCATTAGTTTTTATATTGTTTTTTAGGGAATAGGAATTTCATTGAAGTTGATTTAATTTAATTAAAAATTATTTATTTGATTTTTTTTGTTTTTTTTTGATTTGAATAAACAACTGGGTCAAAAAAATTATTTTTTTATATTAATTTTTTTACATTATTGTTTTTTCATTTTAAATAATACTCTTTTTTATTTATTTATTTAATATTATTACTAAAGAACGCGATTGTATATAGTTAGTTAAATAATAGTAATATATTTATATTTATAATAAACCTAATAACTTTTTATTTTTAATTGTTTTTTATTTATTTTAATAGTAATAAATTATCAATATATATATAGTAAATAATAATTCATTTTTGAAACATGTCAAGACAACTTAAACTAGAATTACAACCAGGCAAAAGTTTAGGTGATTTCATTTTGGGTATGACGATATCCGAAGCATTGAATGTAATCAAGCCTGGAAATGTTGCTGTAATCAATAAAGTCGATATTATATTTAATGATGCCGTATGTATTTACTTTAGTTTAGTTTAGTTTAGTTTAGTTTTGCTGATTAGTTGTTTAAACGAATTCAAATTGATATTAATATGATAATTTAATTGAATGTTATGAAATTAAAACGATTATTATATAATTAGGATCCACTAAGTATTGATATTGTACTTAAATTGGTTGACGATGGTGTTTTACTCAGATTTGCACCGTCTTCACAGAGATTGCGAGTGATTGAGATCTTTGATGTTTCAAGACTAGCACTTAGCTATCGTGGATCGATCTTTTCGAGCTCTGACAACATTGCATCGTTTGTAAATATCTATTCAAAGTTTGGACCGTCGTATCCAGGTGATTTCAACGCCAAGAAGAGTGTATATCATCTTCATTACCCTGGATTATCATTTAGTTTTCCAATTCCACCCAAGTTTAACACATTGTACAGTGAAGGAACAGAGTTACCAGTGGAGCTACCCGATGGTTCTACACCTCTAGTTTCAAAGATATTCATATATAGCGGATTACAAATGAAAACACCACTCTCTGTATTACCATCTCAAAATGAAGAGATCATTATTTGTGTAAGTAGTTTGCTATTAAATAATATGTTATAAACATTGATTGGTATTAATTATTATTTATTATTATTATTATTAAATAGCCAAATATAGGAGTTTATTTTAGTAAGAAAAATTGTATATTGACATTCAATTCTACACCACAAGATGTTCTGAGTGAATTGGGACCACCATCAAAAATCTATCACAAGGAGGAGGACAATATGAAGATTCACACCTACCAGGTAGAGATGACACCGGCACCAGATTACTTTTACAACTATTTCCACTTGGGAATAGATGTCCTCTTTGATTCAAAGAGAAATACCGCCAAGAAATATATATTCCATACAAACTTTCCAACTCATTATGAATTTAATTTGTATGTAATTCTTTATTTATACCTAAAAGTTAACTTTTAGTTTACTAACCTTTCTGCTCTCTTATCATTATTAATGATATGATAACTTATATTAGATATTCAAAATGTTCATTTAAGATATTAGATAATAGCAATAACTCCAAGACAATATTTGAGGCACTTAAGCATCTTGCTGAAGGTAAATTCATACCAAACAATACACCACCTCAACAACCAAAGTCATCACCATCCACCACCACCAATGATAATATAAATGCAATTGAAGCAAATAATAGTAATGGAAAACAACAGAATAACAATAACAATAGTAGCAATAGTAATAATAATAGCCAATCACCTCTATCTTCATCACCATCGAGTCTATCTATATTGCCATCATCGTCATCAATGTCGTCGGCTGTTGGAGCATCATCAGAGATTCAAGCACGTCATGATGCAATCATTGATCAATCTATCCAAACAATTCATCCTGATATGAAATGGGAGGAAGTCCAGAATATCTTTGGTAAATCAGGTAAACCAGTTGTCAACAACAGAGGTTCCATTTCAAATCCATTCGGATCCACTTATTTCTATGGTTATCCAGGTATAATATTTGAAGTAAGTTTTATTAATAATAATCATCCAATAATGTTGAACATATTTAACTAATAGTAATAATAATAATTTTTATTAACATCTTTTTTAGATTATGAGAAATCAATATATTTCATCAGTATGTCTTTTCGATGACTCACCAATCTATGTAACCGATTTGATGGGATCAGGTGTAAACAATCATAATCAAAATAATAGTATGATCAGTGGAATGAATAGTCATATCGATAGTATTGAAAATGGTTTTTAATAATAATAATAATATAAATTAAATTGCTTCGTTCTGTACAAATTTTTATAAAAATAAAACACACACATAATCAACATTACATTTTTAAAAAATGATTTTGACTTTTTATTAATTTGTTTTTTATTTTAAAAATATTGTTGTTGTGATGGTAAAAAAAGGTGTGTGTATGATCATCTTTCTCTAACAATTTATTTTTTAAAATTATTATTATTTTTTTAGTGTATTAAACTTTGTTTTAAAAGATAGAATAATAGATTATATATATATTATATATTAATAAAAACTTTAAAAAGAAGGAATGATATGTATTAGAAAACCATCGGATAGTCAGATAAGAGAATATCTGGCACAGAGAAGAGAAACACCTTTCCCCTATACATATATCCACGGTACAAAAGAGTACGATACGAAACCAGAGTTTGAAGCGGATCCAAGATTCGCAAACTACGATATAGATTACTCAAAGATTCATTTGGGTCGCGGCAGAGAATGCTTTGAGCGCGCCGTCGCCGCAATGAAGTCGTGGAAGATGTTCGATGTCGACTGGGTCGATTTCTGTTTCAATGACGTACCTATAGCGGTTGGAAACACAGTGGCAGTTGCATCGAAACAATTTGGATTCTGGGCACTGAATTTCTGTCGCGTTGTATATATGATCGATGGTCCCGACGAAGACGAGTCGGTGATTCGCTTTGGATTTGCCTATGGTACACTAGATCACTTGGAGAAAGGTGAAGAGCGATTCACCATCGAATGGCGACGTGATCCCAACTCTGGCGACGGCGATGTCTTTTACGAACTACTCTCTTTCTCGGAACCACAACACTGGATGACGCAACTCGGTTATCCAATAGCCAGATTCTTCCAAGAGAAATTTAAAGTCGATTCAAGTAACGCAATGCTGAAAGCAGTTGGATCAACTGAAAGAATTAAAAATGTATAGAGAAAAATTAACAAAAAAAAATAAAAATCAATTTTCCACTCAATTTTTTTATTATTATTAAACAAGTATAATGAAAACAATAATAATAATAATGTAAATACAAATAATAATATATGTGAATATAACAACAATAATTGATTGGATTAATTATATACTGTTTATTATTATTATAATTGTTGTTGTTTTTTTGTTGTTTTTTAAATTTGGATTACTATTTTTGTGAAAACAAACTAAAAACTAAATTGTTTATCTTTAACATTATTTTGTAGATGATTGACATTATTCTGTAGGTTAATCTCGTCAATGTTTTGGAAATGTTCTAGTCTTTTACTAAGACTATGGAATATCAATAGTTTTTGAATAAGATTTGGTTCTTTATCGCGTATGTGTAGGAGGACTTTTTTCAGTTCACGTTCGATGGTCAGCAAACTGTCAATTGGAAATTCTGGATGGAAGTCGAGCACTTCAGGAATTAGAAGGTTACGATTATGTTTTCCGGTGTTTTCTTTTACGCTTTTGATGTAGTTGATTTGGTGGATAAAGACAGAGTTGTCTGAACTCTCCATGAATGAACGAAGCACACTTGGTAGTTGCAAATAGTTGTTGGCCAGTCCATTAATAAGTTTGTCGTCTAAATTCTGTCCATACTGGATTAGATCAGGAATTCCAACTAAGAGTTCACGCAAATCTGGGAATGGTTCTTCAATTTTTCCACCGTTTGCAGTTGCCGTGGTGCTGCCAAGTGTTTTGACTGCATCCCAGAAACCTTGGCCATAATCCTTGTAGGAATTCTGATTACCAAAAGCCTCAATTAATTTCTCAATCGACAATTCGGCCGATGACGGAACCACCAAGATTGCCGTCACTATAAAATAAAATACTACTAAAGTATTTCTTTTTTTTTTTAAATTCATAATAAAATATTTATTTATGTATATTATTTTAATTATTATCTATTTATTTTTAATTTTAATTTTAATATGATGATGATGATGATGGATATAGGTATAGAATAATAATATTATTATTTAATAGATAATTTTGAAAATAATAAAACCAACAATATGTTTGTTAATGTATAACAAAAAAAAATAGTGTAAAATAAATAATTTAAATCAATTCATATTTACTCAGATATCTGATGATTATTATTTGTTTTGTTTTTGGATTTGATTGACTGTGATCATCAAAAACTAATAATATCAATCAAATAAGTAAAGTCATATGAATTTGTAAACACATTGTTAAAGAAAAAAAAAAATTAAATAACAAACTTAATAATCATTTGTTGTGTATGAGCAGCTGATGAAGTAAAAGTTGAAAGTAAGAACCAAGGAATTGGATAATCTTATCGCAACGATAACAATGAAGAATAAATATTATTAAATTTTGAAAAATGTGTAGGGTAATAATAATTATTCACCATTGTTTATAGTGCTAGTTCTCTAGTGGTAGTTGATATGATTGTATGTTTGTTTTTGATCCTTAAACCACTAGAGTACAAAAGATGTGAAGTGTGGGGTGTGGTGTTTGAAAAAAAAAAAAAAAAAAAATTATGTGTGTTCAAAACAAATTTAAATTTATTTTACTATTTTTTTTTTTTTTTTTTAATAATAATAATTCATAATAAAAGATATTATTATTTTTTTTTGGTTGTAGTTTTTTTTTTTTTAAAAATAAACTATCTATCTATTTATTTATTTACAATAAAATATATTTATACAGATTTTAACATTTATATTTATATTTATTTATATATGTAAATAATATTTAAATTTTATATTATTTATTATATACTTATATATATTAATAGATATAATAGTATGGGAAGGAAAAAGAGAGCTCATAGATTGAGTATTGATGCAATACAAAACGGTGTTGTTGCTACTGCTGCTAGTGGTGTATCTTTAACATCACCGTTATCTTCCTCTGTTGCTACTCCTAATCGTCCTGCTAGCGATGTTCCAACGACAACAACGACAACAACAACATCCACTACAGCTATACCATCTACACCGTCTACACCGTCTACACCAATAAAACCTACAGCTGCTCCTGTATTTAAAACACCTGGAGTTAAAAGGCATGGAATGAATGGTCATAGTCATAGTCACAATCATAATCATAATCATCATGACAGTTGTATATCACCTCGAAACAAACAAAAGATAACACCTCATAAAGATAATAATCATCATAACAAAGATAGCAATAACAATAATAGTAATAATAATAATAATAATAATTTAAATAATAGGTTTAAGAATATAGCAAATACAGTCTCAGACGAATGTGATCAAGACGAGACAGATAACAACTTACCTTCATTTTCAATCAAGTTGGTAGATTTAAAACTACCAATCTTCAATAACGAATCAGATAACTATAATGAAGTACTTGAACATTCACAATCAGTTAAAGTTATATTACCAGATGAAAACATAAATAATATCAATAATATTTTAAATAATAATAATAATAATAGGTTTAAAAAGACAAATAATAATAATAATAATATAGTTACGAATAATCATCAACAACAACAACATCATCATTTACCGAATGAAAAAGAATATAGTCAGAGATTTAGATATTTAAAAGAGAATCAGAATGAATTACATCAGGCATCGTATAGAGAGGTGGCAGAAGATCGATCAACTGCACCCTTTCAGAAACCAATCAACTTTATCATCTATAAAGAGCGATCCGGTGAAGAGTTGGACGCTGCCATAGAGTATGACATGGATAGTGAAGACGAACAATGGTTGGAAGCATACAACAAGAACTCTGCAACCAACCACACAGAAGATGAATTCGAAATGACAATCGATCGTTTAGAAAAAGAAACTTTTCAATATGTAAGTGTAGTGTTGTTTTGATTTATTTCAATGACCATTCAATTAATTAATTAATATATATATATATATTTATAAAATATCATAGAAACAAGAGACAGGAAGTGATATGTTTCCACATTTCAGTTCGATAGAAGCAGAGGATGTATGTTCAGTGTGCTTCGATGGCACATCAGACGATACCAATCAAATTGTTTATTGTGATGGGTGCGACATTGCAGTACATCAAGAGTGCTATGGTATTCGTTTGATTCCTGAAGGTCATTGGTTTTGTCAGAAATGTGAATCACCTGCCAAAGCAACTATTGTATGTTTAGATAGAAATCAACGACAAACATAACATCTTGATCATTCAATACTAATATAACCAATATATATATATATAATCTTTGATATTCAAGTCCTGTCGTCTTTGTAATATGAAGAACGGTGCATTGAAACAAACGGTCGATGGCGAGTGGGTACATTTAGTGTGTCTCTTGAATATACCGGAAATCAATAGATTGGCAAGTAAGTAATCGAAAACAACAACATTGTTTTATGAATTCACTACTAAACTATTCTGCTTATATTTATTTATAAATCATACAGAGACAGGAGTTGGAAAGGAAAAAGTTGGACCATCACAAATATTTAATCAAATACCAAAGAAGAGATTCAGATTGAAATGCACCGTTTGTAAAAAGAAAGGTGGTGCATGTATCCAGTGTCGTGAGCGAAACTGTGCAGTTGCTTTTCATCCTTATTGCATAAAGAAACAGCAACGAGACAGCTTCCAAGAGAATCCAACTCCACATTTGATCTTTTGTAAAAAACATGTAAACTATCATCGTTATTCACTAATAACATCCATAACAACTGGTACAACAACAAATTACTAATTTACTTTTATAGTTTAAACAATTACATAGAGCAAAAGACTATCAAGAGGAGAAGAAGATCGAAGATGAAAATGACGATTCAATATCAGAGAGTGAGAGTGAAAGTGAATCTAGCAGTAGCAGTGAAGAGAGTTATAGCGAAGAGGAGGAGGAGGAAGAAGATTCAGCTGATGAAAGTGAAGAGGAACATGAGAGTGAAGATGAAGTACAGGTTGAAACACCAAAGAAAAGAGGCAGACCATTCAAGAGTAAAGCATCTCAGCTGAAGCGAATGGAACAATTGGCAACTGCAGCTGCACTAAGTGAACAAGGTATTGTGATAACCCCCAGGAAAAGAGGAAGACCTTTAAAGAATCAAGAAACTAAAGCAATAATCGAGAGACAACTACAGTTACTAAAGACACCAACAAAACAACAACTACAACAACAAGTTCAACTACATACACCAAACAAACAAAAACAAATACAAACTCCAACCAAACAATCAAAGATTGATAAAGTATCACCAGAGAAACCCAACAAGATTCAAACAGAAACAGGTATCACAGCAAAGAAAGCAGGTTTGATTTCACTAAAGAAAGCATTTCTGAGAATTAAACCACCTTCACCTCGATTCTTGCAGGCAGTCTATGAGTATTGGGTCAAGAAGCGTATCAGTCGAAGTGGATTGGCTTTGATCAAGCGATTTCAACCATCTATTATCTACAGTCTACGCTCCACTCTTCACTCTACAGAAGCAGGTCCGAATACACCTTCCGATTTCAATCATTTGCTCATGTTGAGAAAGGATTTGGAAAGAGTCAGAACTATTTTGGAGGTACTCAAGAAACGTGAGAAATTGAAACGTCTCTACTACCAAAACGTGAAACGAATTGTCGATCTCTATGCCATCAGTGACTATCATTACTATCAAACAGTCATTGACTACCTAATTGATATCGATCAATTCCTGCCGTTTGTCGAACCGGTCACCGAGCTACAGGCACCAAACTACTTTAGCGTAATCTCACATCCAATGTGTCTGACCAATATCGAGCAAAAGATAAGACTCTACCAATATGAAACAAGTCAAGAGTTCTTTAAAGATTTATTGTAAGTTAAAACAACAACAATAACAATAGCAACAGTTCAATCATTAATGTTTTACTTTTTCTGTTTTGTTTAGATTGATTTGTTCAAATTCACAGTTATATAATAACTCCAAAACTATTGTATATAAATCATCAAAACTATTGGAGAATATTGTATCGAAACTACAGCAAAACTATGATCCAAATATGTCGAGCGAAACCATTTCGAAATTGATTAACGACATAATCAATCCTACGAATCAGCCAACAGCATCAACAGCCACCACCACCACGACAACCACTACCAACAGCACAACCACAAATGCCAACAAACGAATTAAACTCGACAACACACCCGCTACACCAACTAGTAGCAGAAGCAGCAGGGCCTCTCTCAGATCAAACAGAATCAACTCTACTCCCACACCTGTTGTGCCAACTGTGCAAGCCAAACCCATTCGACCTATTCAATCAATACCTACACCTGCGTCTCCACCATCACCACCAGCTGCACCTGCACCTGCGCCTTCACCTCCAATAACCTCAACTATAACTTCACCTTCTCCAACTTTTAAACCATTTTCACTTAGAAGAAAAGTTCTATCAACCACCGCTGCACAACTTCCACCAATTCCAATGTTACCACCTATAGAAGAGTTAATTGATGTTCCCAAAGCTTTATCGTTCGATCCCATGGATACCAGTGGTGACTCATCCACCCAACCAGTATCTCTTGAGAAAGCAGATGAATGTATTTTGGAAGAAGATTCAACGATCAACACAAAACCAACTTCACCATCGACACCAAAATTTGTTTCACTCGTTCGAAAACTCAGATCACCAAAGCCAAATAGTTCACTGCAGCAGCAACAACAATCACCCCAAGACTTTTCAATGCTTGACGAATCAAATGAGGGTGAGGAAATTACAACTAAAGAGGTGGCAGAAGTGTCGACAACAACACAAGAAGAAGAAGAAGAAGAAGAAGAATCGATCATCGTTGACAAGGAATTGATCGATGAAGAATCTATAATACAAGACGAACCAATACAAGAGGAATTGATCGATGAGGAATCTACTATTCAAGAAGAGCCAACCAATGCACAAGAGGAATCGACCAAAGCTCAACCCAAGGATGAATCACCAACAACCGAAAGCAATAACGGTTCAAAGAAAACAGTACAAAAGCAAGAACTTTTAAAGATTTTGAATATGCTATCAAGGTAAATAACAAAACCAGATAAGATACCAAAAATATATGTATATCTAATAATTTAATTTTACTTTATGCAGTGCTGATTGTAGTAAACAAGGCTTTTTCAAAGTTCGTGGACGTGAATGTGGAATCAGAGACACAGTCAAACATCTTGATCATATCAGCTTGAGAATTAGTAGGGACCACTACAAATCATATGAACAGTTTTTTACAGATGTGCACCATATGTGTGTGAACACTCCTAGAAAGTTTGCGCCCCACGCTAAAAACATTGAATCTGAAGCCACCAAAATAAAATTTCAATACTGTATTGTTTGATTTTACTGTACAAAAAAAAAACATTATTATCCCTTCAACTATAGTTTTATACATTTATAAATTAAAAAGAACAAGTTATGATATTTATTGTGCACAGAATGTATGGTCAAAGTTATTGAAGAGTATCAAGATTGATCGTGTATAAATAAGGCGAGTCTTTTTCACTAATCAATGCCAATATATCCATTTTGGTCGAACATGTACTGGGAAACTGCAAAAAATTGGTACTTCTTGAATATGCTTTGGATTTTGTTTGTACCAATGTCAATAGCTACAATTTCAAAAAAAGAGATTTGGAAGGATACAAAAATAGAGTGAGGATTCAAAGATAAAGACTTGTTGGACATAACCAAGGTTTCCTAAAGTGTATGGGAACTGTTGTTGAGTAAAGCTATTGGTCAACAGTGAGTACTCACCATTTTTGTTATTTAATCTTGATAGAGGCTGTGTTATCATTGTTGGTTTTGGAAAAGAAATAGAAATAGATTTTGTTTGTAAAATTTTTTTTCTTTTGGTCATTGATTTGGAACACAAAGATGTTCTTCATGCACCATGGAGTTTAGGAAAATGCCTCTTCCAGTTCCTCCTACAGCATAAACAACAAATTCTAAAGAAATCTTGTTGGGTTGTTTTTCACAGCCACATAAATGTTAGACAATGTAAAAAGTTTGGTTGTAAGACATTGGTCATTGATTTTTATTTGTTGTTGAAGAATGCTTTAAAACATCCAACAAAATATTTTCAATGGTTTCCAATTTCGAGCTTAGTGAAATGATTTTCATATACATGTAGAAATACAATGATATACATAGCAGAATGATAGAGAATAATGCTATTCCCGATAGTGTGACTCCTCCATATTTAGAATTGAATTTAAGTTGGAATTGACTATTACTGTCAACTGATTGATTATTATTAAAGGTGGTGGTTGAATGATTGTTATTATTAATGTGATCATTGTTGTTATTATTAAAAGGTGATATTGTTGGAGTTGTTAAATAAGTAGGTGTACTCTGTTGTTTTAATGGTGTTAAATTGCTGCTGCTCTCTGCTGCCAATCTCTCTGTAATCGATTGATTAAGATTCGGAGTGGTTGTGACCTGACCAGAGGAACTAACCAGATGCTGACGACTACGCGATCTAGAATGATGTGGCTTTGGTGAATCTGAGGATATTCCTTCTTCATTCAGCAACTTCTTCTCGACAGACTTGTTGAGCTGTTGAGATAATACGAGCTGTGGTTGCTGTGGTGTGTTGGAGGATGACGAAGAAGCAGAACCCGCTGCCGGAGCAGCAGCGGCACTTGTAGAGGCGCCAGAGACAGTCGCGACCGTTGGCTTCTTGAGCTGCAACATCTTTTGGATTTCCTGCTTGGCCAGTTGCACCCATTGACTGAACGATCCTTTCGACTCTTTGATGGTGCCACTCTCGATCTTGCTCTTGAACCAGGTCTTCTTGATGAAACGCACGCAAATCTGAATCGATAGTCGACATGTCTCGGCAGAGGTCTCCACAACGTCCCATTTCGCTTCGATTCTAAAGTGATCGCCATACGGGATATCGAGCATAATGGTATCGGTCTCGATCGAGAGTTTCTTGTTGGTCAGATGATATCGCTGAGTCTCTTGAATCCTGGTCTTATCAGGACCGATCGGAGAATTCACTGGAGCAACATACTCCAACTCTCTGACCGTACCGAAACGCTCTCGATGTGCCCAATTCTTCACTACGATATTAGAATCACCACGCTTGGCATGATAGGTAAACGCGAAATTACATTGATCCGAACACAACGCCCTAAAGAAATTGACTACACTCACATTGAAATTCTCTGAAAGCAATTCTTGAAACTCTGAAACTAAAAATAATAATAATATTTTGAACCTGTTAGTAACCTGTACTACACCTATTAAAATAAAGTAGTCGATTCGATACATACTTGAACTCTCTAATATAGATGATTGTTCATTAGTTGAAAGAAATTGTTCATAATTACCATAGAGCTCATCAAATGGACTCTTTTCTATATGATTATTTTCTTTTACATTATTTATATTATTACTATTACTATTATTACTATTATTAACTATATTATTATTATTACTATTATTGTTGTTGTTGTTGATATGACCGTTTTCCATTTTATTACCATCATTATTTATTATATTTTGTTGTTTTTCGTTCAAATTATTGCTATTATCTTTATTTATATTTATATTATTTTGATCACTGTTACTATTACTACTGCTGCTGCTGCTATTATTATTATTACTGTTATTATCTAAAGTATATTTAAAATCACCATTTTGTTGATCTGTATTATTGATTGACTCTATTGATAACAATAGAGAATCAGAAATAACACTTGATTTCTCGATGATATTTGGTGGTGTCGTTACACCATTGCCACTGGAAGAAGACTCTTCGAATGAATTAATATGATCGTCATCAATATCATCATCTATACTATGTGAAGAGACATCCTCATGCGATTCTCCGGTTACTTCTCTCCAACTATTCATCAAATCATGAAATGTTTTATCTCTAGATACAAATGAAGCAAATACAAACTAAAATTAAAGAAATAGTTGTAATTACTATTATTAATAACTTGATACTTAAGTTTTAAAAAAAAAAAAGAATAATAAATAAGCAAAACTTATGTATACCTTTTGAGATTGAGCAACTATTTCAATAGCAACAGGGAATCTCTTCTTTGCAATGGATGTAATATTTTGTATTTGAATGATCTCTGTCGTCTTGATTCCAAATATCTTTGATTCAAAACATATGTAGTTTGAAAATAAATACAATCTACCATGTAACAGTATCTGTCTATATAATGCCGATGAGTAGTCTGTTGACGTCCGATAATAAAAAAAAAAAGTTGAAAAAATTAAATTAGTTCCCGAACCATCAAAAGAATCAACTGATCAATCAAAGACCCATTTATAAATGAACAACATACCATTGACTAACAACTCTGAAGATGGTAATTTAAACTTTTTAATATACGGATTACTCTTCATTCTACTATCGAGTGTCTTTGAAATGGGTGGCTCTTCATAAACTGTACTACTCTTTTTGCCTGGTAACAACATCTTTGGTGATAGAAATGGTTTCTTTTTATGCTATATTACATATATATATAAATATTTATATTATTATTATTATTATTTTATACAAATTAATATCATTTATAATATTATTATAAAAAAAAATAAAGAAAATATAAATAGCTTGTTGTTTTTTGTTTTTTAGGTTTATTTTATAAACAAAACAAACATATATCAATGATATATGAAACAAAATGATTAATTGTGTTATTACTTTGTTTTTTTTTTTTTTTTTAATTTATTGATTGTTGACCAAATTGGTGATGGGTGTATCAATCATTGAATCATCAATTAAATTGTGTGTTTTGAAATTGTTAATTTTTGACACAAAATGAAAAAAAAAGAAATAAAAATTTAAATATTCAAAATTATGAAATGTTGTTGAGGGTTGATTTTTTTTTTTGATTTTTTTTTTATGTGAAGGTAAGTGGAATGGCAATGAATTTCATTGAAAATCAAACAATTTAATAATCTAAATAATGGGTGTGTTTGATTGTTTGCCTCATTTAGATCCCATACCTTTTCATCAATTTTGTCGGCCTCACTTTGACTTCTATTGCGAACATCTTTTCCTGAGGACTTGTTCATGTCACCAAGATATTCTTTGGATTTTGGACGCTCTTTGCCTCCCGGAGTGGAACACGTTGATGTTGGAATGCCATCATTGCTTGGTGATGACGGTACTGTTGATGACGGTGATATAAATGCTGGCGATTGTATGGTGTATGAAACCGGTGAATTTCCACTATTATTTGAATTCTGATGATTCAACGGTGGACTATTATTGTTATTATTTAAAATACTACCATCATTGTTAAAAGATGACATTATTATTTGTGAATATATGATATATATATACAATTTAGAAACTAATCTTTACTCTATGAACGAAACGACAACTCTTGTAATATTGTTATTATTCCAAGTGTTGGAAATATATATGTTTTGAACTTTCTGTTTTTATAAATAAATAATATAAATATATATTGGATTGAACTACAACTTATTCTACTCTATTCTGTTGTTATTTATAATTAATTAAACATGCTGATAGAGTTGGCGGGCGATGTAAGGTAGTCAGTTGGAAATAAATATTTGTTTAAGATTTTTGATTGCTATTGCTACAAAAATTGAATTGCAAATACAAATGAGATATCTGCAAATTTGTAAAAATGATGCTATTTTAAAGGATTATGTTGAAATAGCTTTGTATCCAAAAATATCTTATAAATATACAACAAATTAAATCTGATTGTTTTTTTAATTTAAAAGTTGCAAAATTTTTATCAAAAAAAAAAATTAAACAATAATTTTAAGATTGGGCGAATAGGGTTAATTCTTTAAAAACAAAGAATGATGGTTATATATAATTATATGACTTTTGGTGAAAGCAAAGCACTATTCTCTAGAATTCAAGAAAGATTGAACTTGCTATGTTTAGTTTTACTATTTAAATTAAACAATTGTTGTTTGATGCTGTTGTGTTGTTTAAAAGATTGTTTACTATTGAAAATTATTTTGTTTTGTTTTGCTGTAATTAAGTGTTTGTTATTTATTCTTCTGTCATAATCAGAAGTAGATGAAGATGGTTGATTGATTTATACACTAACCAGGAACAATTTTTATAGAAAATTTAAAAAAAAAATTAAAAAATTGATTTTTTGATGTTAGTAAAATAATTTTTCAAGATTTTATTTTGATGTTGACAAATGACGATGTCTATTTGAGAATGTACTAAAATGGTTATTATTATTAATTGAAAAACAGAACTATAATATTTATAAATAAAATAAATAAAATAATAGAATATATAAATAAACTTTTGATTAAACAAATTAAATGAACTGTAATTGAACAATTAATGTTTGTGTTAGATGACGATTGAAATGATGATGAAAGAATGGTGATTTATAGATAAATAAAATAAATAATATGTGTTTAAATTAATTGAGTGTGAACAAATATTAAACGTTGATTGGTTTTTGTTTTTATTTTGGTTTTTTTTACTGATTGATCAAAAAGAAAACACAAGTATTGTTGTTGTTAACAATAAAATAAAAATAAAAACATATGTTTAATTTTATATCATAAAACACGATCAAATTTAACAATTATTTTTAATCAATATTATTATTATCACCATTACCAAAATGGAATATATGTTGGTCAGCAATCACACCAACAAGTTGAATAATGATTTAAAAAAAAATTGATTTTTTTTTATTTTTTGTGAAATAGTGCTTTTTTGCATGACAACATGATGTTGCATTGCGACAGCTAGGGTTGTTGTTTTTGCTCGCCAGACTTTAGAGAGAGAATGTTGTCACTACTCAATGATTGATCATCTTTGTTGTTGTTATTGTTATTATTATTTTCGATTGACTCTAACAGTGAATTAGGTGTGGGTTGCAAGGCGACTGCATCGACTCTTATTCCATGTGATTCTATTGCTTGTGCCGTAGTTTTGCCTATGGCAGCTATTCGATGACCAAGTTTCACCGTGGAATGACTCACACCTGATGGACTAAAAAAAACTACCCACTCTGATATTTTTTGTTGTTCAACACACTGCTGCTGTTGTTGATCAAGATCGACATCATTCATATCATTGATGATGATCGATGTTGTTTCGTATACAACCAATTCTTTCAATTTGAAAGCTGGTTCCACTAACATCGATGGTAGTTCATCTCTTCGCAAATTACCACACAAATATAATATCTTCAACGATGTTGTTGTTGACTTTTGAAGATCTTCTTTTACTTGTGGTGATGATGTTGATGAATGATCATATTCTCCTAATTTTTCAACAGCTTTTTCAATTCCATTTTGTTGTTCTCTTTCCTGTCGATCTTGTTGCTGTTCTTGTTTTTGTTGTTGATCTATTATTATTGATGAACCTAATGATCTTGCATTGGTTGCGACAAGATAATTTGAAATTATAGGTAGATTTAACTTTTGGAGTGATTCATTCAAATGATTAAGTGAAGATTCACCAACAAATAGGAATTGTTTATGTTCAACCCATTGTTTTAAAATATTTATATACAAAGATGCTGATGTCTTATTATTATTACTAGTATTATTGAAAAAATCTATAGATTCGACAAGTGTATGAATTGCATTGATACTGGTAACTAATAAACAATCATAATTGTCTACTTCAAATAAAGTATCAATTAATGATTGATGACCACATCTCTTTATATTTAAAACTGTTTGGAATTCAACATTATAACCATTCTCTCTAAACAACTATCTTTAAATTAATTTCATATAGTACACATGTTACATTAGATCTTAAAAAACTTACAACTTGATATGGATCATCATTATTTAATTTAGGATCATTCTTTTTTGATTTTAAAAATTAAGAACTGATTTACTACTATTATTGTTCATATATAAATATTTACATGTATATATAAAAGTGGTACAGATAATTTGTTGTTTTAAAATTTTGATCAAAATAAAGAAAAAAAAAAAGATTTTGTATTTTTGTTTTAATTTTTTTTTTTACAAAGTTTTTATATATTATTAATAAATGTTGATTTATTTATTAAAATGATACTATAATAATATTATATTGTTGTTTCTATATGATTTATGGTTGGGATAGTGAATATTTAGTCGACTTGTTCCATTTGGGAGGCTTCGTTGGAAGACTCTAATGGTGGCATATCCTCAGAGGAGGAGGTGGCGACTTCTTCGGCGGCATCTTGGATTTCGAGACCCAACTTGATCATACGATGGATACGTGAGGTGAATGAGTTTGGATCATCCAAAGAGAAACCAGAGGACAACAAAGAGGTTTCGTACAACAAGTAGACGTAGTCCTTGAAGGTCTTGGCCTTTTCATTGGAACGCTTACGGAGCTCGGCAATGATTGGGTGATCTGGGTTGATTTCCAAAGTCTTCTTGGAGGTCATGTAGGTGGACATGGAGTTGTCACGCAAGGCTTGAGCCTTCATGATACGCTCCATATTGGAGGACCAACCGAATTCACCGGTGACCAAAACACATGGTGATTGGACGATACGGTTGGAAACGACGACCTTCTCAACCTTGTCTCCGAGGACGTCCTTGATCTCCTTGCAGAGCTCTTCGTTGTCTTTCTTGTCGTTTTCGGCCTTTTGCTTCTCCTCTTCGGTTTCCTCGAGCTTCAAACCTTCCTTGGTGATGGAGACGAGCTTCTTACCGTCGAACTCCTTGAGTTGTTGGACGGCGTACTCATCGATTGGGTCAACCATGTAGATGACTTCGAGGGACTTCTTCTTGAGGGCTTCAACGAATGGTGAGTTCTCGACGGTCTTCTTTGATTCACCGGTGATGTAATAGATGTCCTTTTGGTTCTCCTTCATACGGGCAACGTACTCCTTGAGGGTGGCGAAATCGTCACCAGACTTTGAGGTTTGGTAACGGAGCAAGTCGGCCAACTTCTCTCTGTTTTGGGTGTCTTCGTGGATACCGAGCTTCAAGTTCTTGGCAAAGGCTTCGTAGAACTTCTTGTAGTCGTCCTTGTTTTCGGCGATCTCGGCAAACATCTCGAGACACTTCTTGACCAAATTCTTACGGATGACCTTGAGGATCTTGTTTTGTTGGAGGGTCTCACGAGAGATGTTCAATGGGAGATCTTCAGAGTCGACGATACCACGGACAAAGTTGAGGTACTCTGGGATCAACTCTTGACAGTTGTCCATAATGAAAACACGCTTGACGTACAACTTGATGTTGTTGTGCTTCTTCTTTGATTCGAACAAATCGAATGGGGCTCTCTTTGGTACAAAGAGGATCGACTTGAACTCGAGTTGACCTTCGACAGAGAAATGCTTATGGGCCAATGGCTCTTCCCAGTCGTTGGAGATTGACTTGTAGAAAGCAGTGTATTCCTCCTTGGTGACGTCATTTGGATTCTTGGTCCAGATTGGCTTGGTCTTGTTGAGGATCTCGAATTCGTGGGTGGTTTCCTTGACCTTCTTCTTGTCCTTCTTCTCCTCATCCTCTTCGATCTCTTCGATCTTGGCGCTGGATGATTCGTCTTCGGTCTTCTCTTCGGTCTTTGGCTCTTCAACTTCCTTCTCGACCTCCTTGGTGACGTAGAGGGAGATTGGGTATTGGATGAACTCTGAGTGTTTCTTGACCAAATTCTTAATCTTTTGCTCGTCCAAGTAGTCGAGTTGATCTTCCTTCATATGTAAAACAATCTTGGTACCACGACCCAATGGCTCGGTGTGGTCGAGGGCAACGGTGAACTCACCACCGGCAGATGACTCCCAGACGTATTGCTCGTCGTCGTTGTTCTTTGAGTGGACGATGACAGTGTCGGCAACCAAGTAGGCAGAGTAGAAACCAACACCGAATTGACCGATCATAGATACATCGGCAGCACCAGATTGGAGTTGCTCCATGAATGACTTGGTACCAGAGTTGGCAATGGTACCGAGGTTCTTTACCAAATCAGCCTTGGTCATACCAACACCGGAATCAATAATAGTCAAAGTCTTGGCTTCCTTGTTTGGGATGATCTTAATCTCCAACTCTCTCTTTGAGTCCAAAACAGAGACATCGGACAATGATTGATAACGGATCTTATCCAAAGCATCAGAGGCATTGGAAATGAGTTCTCTCAAGAATACTTCCTTATTGGAATAGAAAGTATTGATGATCAAACTCATCAACTGATTAATCTCAGCTTGGAATGTGAATCTAAATACAACAAATACAAAATAAAATTAGTTTTTTATTCAAAAACATCCACAATATTATGTTAAAATATTTTCTTTCTTTATTCTTACCTTTCGACTTCTCCAGACATTTTATATATATTATGTATTTATAATAAAATATTGACAACTATATATTTTGTAGAGTAAATAAATTGTTAGAATACTACTATTAATATTAAAAAAGGAATAAGTTTATCTATTTATTATACATTACCTTAGAAAGATAAAATTAATTATTATTCAAAATTAGAGCAAAATTTTAAAGAACAAAAAACCTTGAGTCAAATCTTTTATAGCTTGATGTAGAACCTATTGAGATTCATGTTCAATAATTTTTTTAAAAAAATTAATTTTTTAGTTTATACATGAAATCTGTCGAATTTTTGATTGGAATTTCATCCTAATTTCACCAAAATTTGCCAAATGAAAATTTACAGAAATTTAATGAAAAAAAAATTTAATTAAAAAAAAAAAACAAAAAGGTCAAAAAAAGTTTTAATTTAATTTTTAATCTAAATTGACAAGTTTAAAATTAGATTTATAACTTGAGATTTCAATTCTTTGATATTACAAACAGTTATTTTAAGAAATATTTTTTAAAAATAATTCTCCCTTTGTGATTAAAGATTTGTGATTTTTTTTTTGTTCAATTGATCAAAGATAGTAATAAAAATGAATAAAGAATTATTTCTGAAGTTATTTAAAAATAAAATATTAAAGATCGATTTCAATGAAATTACAATCAACTTCAATCCGATTGTCAAGAATCTCTCATCAATTAGCGATCCATTGGGAATTATCAAGTGGGTACATCAACGCTTTAAAAAACTCTCCCATTCAAATGGTTTGATGGACGGTGCACTTTCTATAGGTTGTTTGGACTTGATTAAATGGATTCATGAGAAAAATAAATAAATATTTACAGTTCAATCAACCAAGTTTATGCACCCATTCAGCAATTAGTAGAGCAGCCAGAGCCAACAACCTGGAAATGGTGAAATGGATACACGAGAATGGAGTTAAAGGAAGTCCTAGGGAAGCGATAGACTACGCTTGTGAAAACAACAATATCGAGATGGTCAAAAGGTTGAATGAGAATAGAACTGAAGGTGCTTCATTTGTATCGATCGTTCACTCTATTGCCAACAACAATTTCGAAATGTTTCAATATCTATTGGAGAATGTTTTCAACAGAATCATTCATGACGATCGCGATGAATCATTTATCTTTTATTGCAGTAATACCTCACAAGAAGCAATGTCCAATTCTTTCTTCAGTTTGATCAAGCAACATGACTTTACACTAGATTGCTCAGGATCTCATAACTATAGTATTAGTAAAACGTTGGAAATTGCCTCTCAGAAAGGTTGTTTAGATTTGGTCCGTGTGAAGGTGCCTCATTTGTATCGATCGTTCATTCCATTATCAACAACAATTTCGAAATGTTTCAATATCTATTGGAGAATGTTTTTGGCAGAGTCATTCATAAGGATCGCGATGAATCGTTTATCTTTTGCTGCAACAATACCTCGCAGGAATCAATGTCCAATTATTTCTTCGGCTTGATGGAACAACATGACTTTACACAATATTGCTCAGGAACTTATGATATTTCCCAAATTCTGGATATTTCTACCGAGAAAGGTTGTTTAGATTTGGTCCGTAGTTACTTCGAGGTGGGCAAACTTGGTAAAAGTGATATCATCGATATGCCATTATTTTATGCGTTGTTCTATGGCCACTTGAATATCGTAAAATATTTCATCGAGATTCAAAAGGAGAAATGGGATGCCTCACACCTTTCCTATGCACTTGGCCGTGGTAACTTTGGTGTTGCTGACATCTTTTTCGAAAATACAGCAACATCCGAAATCAAAGAAATTGTTATTCCAGACCATATAGATCATACCGAAAATAATGAATTAATGGATCAGTTTTTGGAAAACTATCAATATATCTTTGATTCAATGTAACAATATTAACTATTGTTCATTAAATTAACATATAAATCAACACAAAATACTTATGTTCATCTCTAATTTTATAATATTTCTTTTATAAAACCAAAGTTTATTTTATTTGTGATCGATTGTTTCTAGAAAATAAAACCAACTTTCATTTCATTAAAATCTATCTACAAAGAAAGTATTTGATAAACTAAAAAAAGGAATAAAATCTCATGCCTCATTTTGTCAAGTTTTATTTGTATTTTTTTTTATGAAAAAAAATCCCTTCCTAAAAATATCTCCCTGCACAAATATTAATAAAAAAAATATCAAAGATAATAAGAATAAAGATGAATAAAGAATTGTTTCTAAAGTTATTTAAAAATAAAATATTAAAGATCGATATATTTAAACAAGTTAGTCAATTAAATCAATATCAATCTTATGAATCATATACTTGGAAAGATCTTCAACAAAGATTCGATTTGTTGATCAAGTTTGGCTATATCGATCAGTTTAAACTCTTTCTTAAAAAGTATCAACAGAATCGAGTGAACGAGGTGAATAGTTTTTCAGTGATCTACTACGAGTCGATCAGAGTATCAATTAGATTTGCAAAGTTAGATATAGTTAAAATGCTTTTAGAAGAATTTAAATTCAAGTTAAGTGACTATGTAAAACCAAGTATCATGATGAGACAAGCATCTCTATCTGGAAGTTTGGAGATGTTATTGTTTTTAGATCAACAAAGCTCAATTGATTGGCAACTCAGTGATTATATTGAAGCTTTCAACAAATCACCAATCAATTCAGATCTTGAAGTTGTCAAGTGGCTATATGATAAGTTAAAACCTGTATTAAGAGAAAGTGGAAGCAAAATGCAACTCATTGATAAAGATAGTATATATGAATTGACAGCAAAGAAAGGAAAGACTGATATTTTCAAATGGTTGATGGAGTCTGATTTAAAGATTGATAACTATCAGGATGTAATTCAAGTTGCATGTTCAAATGGAAACATTACATTTCTCAACTATTTAATCGATAATTATTCTAATTTAATCGATTTCAATGAAATTACAATCAACTTCAATGAAATTGCCAAGAATCTCTCATCAATTAGCGATCTATTCGGAATTATCAAGTGGGTACATCAACACTTCAACAAGTTCATATATGCAACTGATTTGATGGATAGTGCATTAAAAATTGGCTGTTTCGATTCGATTAAATGGCTTCATGAGAATCGAACTGAAGGCTTCACTCATGGTGGTATGAAGAGTATATTCAAATGTTCTTTGGAAACATTGAACTGGATCAAAATGAATAGATCCGAAAGGTTTCCAACTGAAGCAGTCGACTATGCTGGTTTTGGATCTTTGGAAAAGTTGAAATGGCTTCACGAGAATTCAACAAATGGTTTCACTGAAAAAGCAATTGAAAATGCAGCATTCGCCAACAAGTTTGATTCAGTTAAATATTTACAGTTCAATCAACCAAGTTTATGCACCCATTCAGCAATTAGTAGAGCAGCCAGAGCCAACAACCTGGAAATGGTGAAATGGATACACGGGAATGGAGTTGAAGGAAAACGAAAAGATACGATCGACTATGCTTGTGAAAACAACAATATCGAGATGGTCAAATGGTTGAATGAGAATACAACCGAAGGTGTCTCATATATATCGATCGTTCATTCCATTATCAACAATAATTTCGAAATGTTTCAATATCTATTGGAGAATGTTTTTGGCAAAATCGTTCATAAGGATCGCGATGAACCATTTATCTTTTGCTGCAACAATACCTCACAAGAAGCAATGTCCAATTATTTCTTCGGTTTGATGGAACAACATTTCTTTACACAATATGCCTCGGGATCTCATTATATTTCTAATATAGTCGAGGTTGCTTCTGAGAAAGGTTGTTTAGATTTGGTCCGTAGTTACTTCGAGGTGGGCAAACTTGGTAAAAGTGATAGCATCGATATGCCATTATTTTATGCAGCTCTCTACAACCACTTGGATATCGTAAAATATTTCATCGAAATTCAAAAGGAGAAATGGGATGCCTCACATCTTTCCTATGCACTTGACATGGGTAACTTTGGTGTGGTTGACTTTTTTTTCGAAAATACACCAACATCCGAATTCAATGAAATTGTTAGTCCAGTTCAAACAGATCATAACGATTCAACTAATCAGTTTTTTGAAAATTATCAGTATATCTTTGGCATAAAGTAAGAATATTAACGCCATTGTACTTTAAATTTGTTAACTGCAGATTTATATAAAAAAACAACTTTTATAAATACACATTATACCTCTTTAATAAACAAACATAATTAATATACTTTTATTATTTAATATATTAGTTTATTGCTTTCAATATCTAAAACTAATGATGGACATCTCCATCTTTCACCAACGAATCCGTCTAAGGAGCTATCCCATATGTTATCTTGAATTGAGTAACGATGATTTCCATATTTAGTACCACCAAGAATATATATGTAGCTATCCAAATATGAAGTACGATATACCATCGATAGATAATAGACATTGGCTTCCAAAGGCTTGAGTTGGGTGACTTTATTGGCAGCGACATCGAACTTAATGAATCGTTTGTCGTGTGAATAGAGGTAGATATTACCTTGACCATCGGTGCAGGCCATATGTGTTTTATCAAACAATTGATCTATTTCATATTTGTTGAGTACATTGTTCGAAGGATCGTATATATAAATCGATTTTTCATTTCTAGAGAATGAATATAACTTTCCTTTGTGGAATATCGTTATGATATGAGGACCTTCAGTTCCGAATGCTTTGAGGTGTCTTTTGAACTTCTGGGTGCTGATGTTGAAGATATCTAATCGCGATTGTTTGTGTCCGTTAACCAAATAGATTTGATCTTGGCCGTCAAAGCACGCCGAGATCCAGTAGCTAGGATTGATGCCTTTCATCAGACCTACTTCACACGATTTCTGTGTTACAGAGTATTTAAAGTATTGATTAGTATTGGAGACACCTCCGAATGCATAGACAGTGTCACCGACTGCGACCATTGAGTTTTGACAACTAATGAATCCAAACTTGGTAATAGTCTTATGGTAGGAAGAGTAGGGGGAAACTGAGATATCAATAACACTTAAACATTGATCTCTGTCGGTAGTGACAAGATAGGTGGTGGGAGATAATGACTTGGCAACTGTTGGAATTTGTTTTCGGAGATCTTCTATTCTTTCCAACTCGGTTTTTTGCTCAATCGATAATTGTATTGAATTTTCAATGACTTTGTTGAGTGTGACATTGTCAAATGGATTAGTAGTTAATCTACATTGGCACACCATTTGTGAAGCAAATATATTTCCAGAAAATTGGGAGTAATGCTTCAATATCGAGTCTAATATCAATGAATCAAAGCTGTCTTGATAGGTTGACAATTGACTTGCCATTTGTTTCTTTTGACTTTCGGAGAAGTCGAATATTGTATCACTATTCTTTCTGACGAATGTGCTTAATGATGTACTTTCACCGACCGATCTAGCAATGTATATCGTTGAATATCGATCAGTTGTATCACTTGATACTGATGGATCCTCAATCGACATATCATTAACTTGTTGTTCAACAATGATTTCATTGTCTACCGATGATCTATTACTACTGTTACTATTACGACTTATATTGATGATATTTACTAGGTTTTTGAGTTCACTAGTATTGTTCTCGATTTGAGATATCATCAAATCTCTTTTTTCAACTAGTTTATTCTTTAGTTTTTTTTCCTCAACCATAAGATATTGATATAGTTTTTCAAAGTGTTGTGATATTTCAGCTTCTGTTGACATTATTTTCTGATAAGAAACCGCCGACTCTCGTATATTTCTCCAAATATCTTTTAATCTTTTATCTATAAAACTATTGCTATTCGAATTATTATTGTTATTATTACTATTGTTATCACTACAACTATTGATATTATTATTTAGACAATTATTTAAACTAAATTTGATATCATCGATATGATCACACTTATGAGAATTTAGACTAAATTGATTGTTATGATGTACCAGACATCTTGAACAAAACAATTTATTGCATTGATAGCAAATTATTTCAAATTCTCTTTGGTGATCTTCACACCCGAAATTTTTAGTACTATTATTACTATCCATTGATAGTATATTTATTGATGATTTTATTTGTTTTTTTTTTTTTTTTTTTTTAAGAAGTATTTTTTGAATCAAAAGAATTTGATTAAAAAAACAATAAACAAATTAATTTATTTTCATGATTAATCTATTTTAATAAAAGATGAATCTTAGCTTATTAGATCCATTTAGAATAGGAGATGTACCAGAGTCAATAGAAGATTATCTAGTGGATCATGTCGAATCAAAAGCAAACTGTTTACAGTTCAATAGAAGAGGTTTACTGTTGGCTGTCGGTAATCAATCCGGTGTTGTAGTAATATGGGATTTCGATACAAAATCAATATCTAAACAATTGAAAGCTCATAAACAATGTGTAAATTCTGTTGGGTAAAACTATCATTTTCTATTATCTTGTTACTTATATATAAGTAAATCGAATACTGATACTAATACTCTTTACTTTATACATTTACTCTTAAACAACAATGTAGATGGACAAGAAACGGTAAAAGAATACTTAGTTGTAGTACCGATGGATCATTGATATTATGGAACCTAATAGATGACTCAATAGAAACAAAGATTGATTTCGAATCACCGGTACTCTTCTCTCAACTTCACCCAAGAAATAGTGATCTGTGTATAGTTTGTCCGGCAGGATCACCACCTCTGCTGATAGAACTGTCGACCAAGAAACAAACAAAGATATGTGCAATGCCAGATCCAAATGAACCAGTTCATAGCAAGACAAAGTCGGTAGAATACAATATGATTGCATCGTTTACAAGAAAAGGAGAGAAGATCGTTGTCGGCGATTGGCGTGGACAGATCACCATTATAGATTCAAAGAGCATGGAAGTGGAACGAACGTTTAAACTGCCGACAGCAGCCGGCGTCAAGGAGTTTCAGTTTAGTAAGAATGGAAAGTATATGTTGATCAACTCGAACGACAAGATCATCAGGCTGTACAGTTTGGAGAATCATACGGTCGTGCGTGACTACCAAGACAATGTAAATAGAATACAATGGAAATCGTGTGGATTCAGTAACAACTCTGAGTATATCATCGCTGGACAACACCACAAAACGATGCACACCATTTTCGTGTGGAATGTCAATGGTGGATTGGTGAAAGATCTGGAGGGTCCGAACGAAGGATTGCATCATCTCTGCTGGCATCCGCTAAGACCTATCATTCTCTCCACTTCGGCGTCGGGTATCATCTACATCTGGTCGATAGTGTACACCGCACGTTGGAGTGACTTTGCACCAGACTTTACAGAGCTGGACGAGAACGAAGAGTACATAGAGCGAGAGGATGAATTCGATGCCGATTTCGAAGATGCCAAAGACAAGAAAGATAGAGAAGCACAAGAGAAACTAAACAAAGAAAAAGAAAAGGAAAAAGAAAAAGATGCAAACTCAATGCAAATCGATAACAAAGATAATAATAAGAATAAGGAAATTGATATAATAGATATTATGACAACAGATAAGATTTCGGAATTCAGTAGCGATGAAGAAGAAGATGTTTATATTTATCCAACAGTACCGGAAAGAGATAACAGTAGTTTCATACATGCAAACACTGTTAATACTCAAAATATAGATAATAATGAAAATATAACAATAAACGAATCATAAATAAAATGTAATACTCTTTCTAATCTTTTGTTTTTTTTTTTATAGTTATTATTACAACAAAAAGAAATAAACTATATATCTTTATATATATGTTTTCTTTTCTTTTTTTTTCTTTTTTCTATTGTTTTTATTATTATCTTTTATCTTTTATCTTTTTTTTTGATGATTAAACAACTCTCCGAGAGAGCAAGTATATATGTTGAGAAAGAAAAAAAAAAAAAAAGATTATGATTATTATATATATATCTTAAAAGTTCTATTTATGATTTCAAATAACAATTATTCTGCTCTTTTTGGATCGGCATAAACAGATGGTATTCCAATGAAATGTTGAAGTGAAACAGAGTAGTATTTGGCTTCTAGTAAACTACAAATTAAAAATTGAATCCAAACGAATACACCAAGTCCGGTGGCGATATGCCAGAGTGCGTGGAGTTGTACACCATAGATGACATATCCATCGACACAAAACTGACGCTCGATAACCCAGCATGCATAACCAACGGCGAATGCAATGAATGCGTAGATGTAGAGGTAGACATCCGGTGACTTTCGGTCGGAGAACACTCCGATGTTCTTACGCTTGATGATGTAGAACGAGTGGAAGATGATGTAGACAACCAATGCACCATACGATACCTGTAAGATCTTTGGCTGGTCACGAATAACAATGATCCAGACAGAGACAATCAAACCGTAGGCAGTGAGGAAGTAGGGCATGGCGTGACGCATCCAAGAGTTTCCAAGAATTCCACCTTGGTATCCACGTTTGTTGGCATCTTCACCAACTGTAACCAAAATATACAACATGATAAGTGAGGTAATGATCATAGGGAGTTCGTCAAACAACTGATTCTGATAGAGGAGGGTGGCGTGGAATGCCGCCGATCCAATACCGACGATGGCAAGTGAGAAGAGTCCGAGATTGAGGCGACCTTTGAGTCCTAGCGATGCCAGAACCTTTAGATGATAGGTATTGTGACCAGAGAACGACGTGCAATTGGTCAGGTACATTCCGTAAAGTGCGTAGAATGTGATCACCAAACTCGACAATGTATTATAGAATTCACAGATATATGGAGACTTTACATAATTTGGTTCGCACCAATCGATCGATGACGTTGGCTTTCCCCAGTAGTAGTTTGCTGTATTCGGTTGAACAGGTGCCAATGTTTCAAACTGTGCGTTTGGGGCACTCATCATATCCAACAATAACATGATTTTAAAATTTTATGTTTTTTTTTTTTGAGATTTTTTTGCAAAAAAAGATTTTTAGGGGTCAAAAAGTTCTTAAATTGGTTGCCTTTGATTTTCTGTGATATTTTGAGAAAATTAACGAACTAAAAGAAATATATTAATAGCAATAATAAATAAATAATAATGTGTATGAACTATAAAAGAAAGTATGATAATGATTCGTAACAATAACTTTTAATAAGATAGACTACTTTTGCTACTCTTACTAATTTAATACTATGTTCTGCAAATAAATAAAATAAAATAAAATAAATTACTGTATCTGTAGATGAACAACAAGAAAAAAAAAAATGAAGGTAGTGATAGTAACAGATCTGTGATATTATATTTATATTATAAAAATGTAATGGTATATAGTGTTGTTACTAATTAGTAAAAAAAACAGCAAATAAAAAAAAGTGAAGCCTTTGGTTATTTTAATGTTTTTTTTGGTTGGTATGAATGTAAAGATAGATAATATAAATATATATTTGGTAAATTTAATAAAAATAATAAAAAAAATTGTTTTTTTTCTTTTATAAAAATAAAAAAGAATTTATTTATTGATTTATTTATTTATTATGAAAAAATGGATGGATTTATAAATACTAAAGAATGGCACTGAAATAAAAGACAGACAACAACAGCACAACACACAAAAAATAAAACAAAAATGCAATAACAATACTGAACGTGTTATAATATTATTATTTTGGAAATATATTAGGAATTAATTGTTTTTTTGCAAAAATTTTAGTTTTTTTTTTGAAGTGGGGGGTATTTCGATTACTTTTGAACAGAGTGTGAGGTGGTGTGGGTGGGGGGATAGTTTATGTGGTGGTAACATTTTCTTTAGAAGGGTAGGAAACACAGAGACTTCATATTTTCAATACTAAAATGTTACCCCTGTAAACTAGCAAATGACAACCTACATAGGTTACTGATAGTGAGAAATGTGATGAAGATTATAAATAATTAAAAACTCTGAAAAAACTATTCTTATATATCAAAGATATTATTATTGTTTTTGTGAAACGGTGTAAGTTGATTAGGTGTGAAAAACTTTAAAATAAAATGTGTTTTTGTTTGATATTTATAACTTACCAATAGGTTTCTATTTTTATTATTTTACTGTTTTTTAAAAGAAAATTAATTATTTTATTTATTATTTATCTATGAAAAGAAATATTAAAAAGTTAAAGATAGATATTTATTTATTATTTTATAAAAATTTGTGTATTTACAATAAAATTCTATAATATTATTTTTTATTTTAATTTTTTTCCAACCTATTTTATAGATCTATTTATTATGTTTTTCACAAAATTAATTATTAAAAAAAGAAAGATTTTATTTTTGAGGGATTCAATAAAAAAAAACTTATGAATTTTGCAAAAAACTCGGGGATCTTGGTCTTTCCTTTTTCAGATCGGGATCTCTTCAAAACCGAGGATTCATAAAAAAAGTTAGAAATGGAATTAGGTGTCAAAAAAAATTAAGATTCTTTTTGGTCAAGCCTCTTAAGATCAACCGAAAAAGAGGGTTTCGAGTCCAAAGACTCCAAAAGTCATTCAATTTAATCGACTACTTTCGGTACATAGATTCATTTAGTTATACTTAATGTTCGGGATTCAGATAGACACCGAACAAAACAATTAATGTATCTTTCTTACCATTCACCATTTAATATTATCATTGATACATATCGAATCGAATCGAAAAGCAATGAAACAAACATCTTTGAAATATTAATCAGAAAGATCTTAAGAACTGAATATCTTTAAATATCGTGAACTGAACTAATACTACGTAGTTTTAATATTAATAAATTTGTGATGTAATAACAAAAAAATTTAGAAGAGTCATTGATTGATGAGTCACTATCTGTTTTTTTTAATGACATACAAAAAATTCATTTCAATTTTTTTTAATTTTTCTAAAAGAATCTATTGTTGAACAGTTCATTTGGACTTGCAATCAACCAAGTCAAGACTGACTTTTTTTTTTTTTTTTTTTAATATTATCTATTTTTATATAATTTCAGTAAAAGCAGTTAGTTCTTTGTAATATAGTTTTTCCTGTTTATATATATATATATATATATTCGATAAGAGAAAAGTAGAAATATCAAAAGATGTTAGACTTTTTAACAGATATACTGTTTAACACTTCAATATTGAATATACCACTGATATATTACCTTTTACTTATAATATTATCATTTGTAAGAACAAATATCTATCAATGAAAATGATATGTTTATTAATTATTAAAATCTATAAAAAATAAAAAAAGGTAATCATGGTCAATCTATTTACTTTTTATCGAAAGTGAAGGACCACTTTGGTTAGCAAATGAAAATGTATACATCGATCCAAAAGATAAGAGTGAAGTGGAGTTTCCATCGATTAAAGATAAAGACAGTCTCTATCTATCATTGATTGTACCTGCTTACAACGAGCAAGACAGATTACCAACGATGTTGGACGAAACACTCAGATATCTCAAACAGAAATCAAAGAAAGATCTCAAATTCTCATATGAAATCATCATCGTCGACGATGGAAGCAAAGACAAGACATCTGAGATCGTCAGTACATACATCCAACGTGAATCAGTCGATAAGATCAGATTGTTAAAGTTGAAAAAGAACAGAGGAAAAGGTGGTGCAATTAAAAGAGTATGTCATTAATGCAAACTTAATATCGAGATATTTCCTCTCAAATCTTGAATTCAAACTAACAACATGCAATGATAATGAATAGGGTATGCTTTGTGCAAGAGGTAAATATTGTTTGATGGTCGATGCAGATGGTGCTACCGATATCAATGATTTCGATCGTGTAGAGGATACAATGAAGCAGATCGAGAAGAAAGGACAAGCTATTGTTTGTGGATCACGTTCACATTTGATCGATAGCGATGTCGTTGCCAAGCGTTCGGCTCTCCGTAATATCTTGATGTATGGATTTCATTTGTTTGTAGAGACACTCTGTGTCAAGGGTATCAAGGATACTCAGTGTGGATTCAAGCTGTTCTCACGTGACACTGTCAAGGTGGTCTTTAGCAACTTGCACATCGAGAGATGGGCATTCGACGTAGAACTCCTCTTTATTGCACAGCAACTCAACATTCCAATCTCAGAGGTAGCCGTCAACTGGACTGAAATCGATGGATCCAAACTAGACCCATTCTCAAGTTCCATTCAAATGGCAAAAGATATTCTTAGAATTAGATTACGTTATCTCTTTAGAATTTGGACATTAAAGAAATAAAAACAAAAAGTAAATACAAATATATATATATAACAATAAGCATACAAATGAACAAATAAAATAAATAAATAAAAGATAGATCTTTAAACATACAAATTATTTATTTATAGTCTTTAGCTTCATATCTTTATCTCTTATTATCATTGGAATTAATCCATTGGCCAGTGCTTGTCTAGATACTTTGTCTTCTGCATCTTTTTTACTGCTACCTTTGCATGTCTCCTTTAACTCGTTATTGAGATAGAGATCACATATGAATTCCGGCTGATGTGGTGGTCCACCTACGTGCTTGGTTTCAAATTTGGTATCTAATTGGAAGTATACCCTACACTTGGAGAGTAGCTCTTCAAAGTCAAACTTTGGATAGACTGAATTAATTAGGATTTGATTGTAAGATTCTGGCAATCCTGTATTCTCATCACTCAAATACTCGATGGCTTCCTTGATGTAGAACTCTTGTTTCATGAGATTGGCATAGATATTCGATTCGAAATCCTTTAGAATTGCGTAGAACTCTGATTTCTTGCTTCTGAGACGACCACGACTCTGAGTGTAAGCGGTGACTGTTGCTGGCGAATCGATTCTAATGACAACGTTACATTCTGGAACATCTAAGCCCTCCTCTAGGACTGCAGTGGCCACGATTACATTGTGTTGTCCACTTCGGAACTTCTCTACGATGTCTTTCTGGCTTGCGGTGGACTGTCCACCTGACTTGGTTGATCCATGTCCAGATACTTTTCCTGGCTTCAAGAATTTGTATCTCTCTTCTTTTGCGCGTGTAGTGAGAACTTTAACCAGTTGCTCTGCAGATTGTCGAGTTTTTACAAACAGTATAGCTTTGAATGCTGGATCTGTCTGATTCTTCTCCTCCAAAATATTCAGTGCAATATCCAGCTTGCATATGTTGGTAGTGTCGTCATCGTCAAACTCCTTAGGAATTGCTCTGAGATCTTCAAACAACCTTTGTTTTTTCTCTTTTGGAATGTTGGTGGCTTCGAATCGATTGATAAGTATTTGTTTGTAGTCTACTGTTGGATGGGCTGCATCCTTTGGATCGTTACCGTATGTTACCAAGTCGTAGCATTTGTTTGCAACGTTCAACAATAGCTGTTCATATTCATTGTCGGTGTTTTCCAACTTTACCAAAAGCTCTTGAATATCTTCGTACTGGTATTCTTTCTTTGTTGGTACCAAACTGGATGCAAAGTGTTTGGTAATGCAATTGATTGCATTAATTAAATATTTTTCTTTAGGATGTTGTTGGAGCTCTACTAGTTGTAATTCCGCAGTATTCCTGTGCTCTTCGATATCGGCTTGAGTCTCGGCATCCGGTGAGATGATACGGCAGCCAGAGATACACGACATCACCTTGAGGGAAATAAAAGTGTCTATCCAGCTGGATTTGCCGGCTGGTGATGCAGTTAGTCCCATGACTTTTGGTTTAACATCATCCTCCATATCTTTATAGTGTTTCTTAAGTAACATGGAAAAGGAATGATCTTTGACGATGTGATGAGCCTCATCAAATACAATGAGTGAATATTGTTCCATTACACCCTTGTTGTCTCTCAGAAGATTGAGGAACAAAGCTGAAATGCTTACCAGAACATCGTGATGATCGTTCAGTTTGGCATCGATCGACATGTCGCCATGCACACCCAATACATTCAGTCCAGTTTGCTCACGTATATATTTCTCCTGTTGAAGAACCAAAGGAATTCTCTCAACAAGAAAGAGAATACGCTTTTTCGGATTCATTTGCTTCATTTTACAGATTACCATTGCTGCAATCTGTGTCTTTCCAAGACCGGTTGGAATGCAACAAATAATGTTATCCTCCATTGCTTTCTTGTAAAAATACTTTTGGTACTCCCTAGGTTGATGCGGAGTAAGTGGAATATCTGCGTCTTTGAAATTTCTTTGGACTGGTGTAGTCACTGCCTCTGGATTGAATCTACCAACACTGTATGCCTTTTGATCGCCACTCAGCTTAATAAGCATCTCATTCTGAAGATAAATGGCAACTGATGCCTTGGTATAAAGTTTAGCTTCAACTGAAACGGTATCCATCCTCTTGAGATGTTCATTGTAAAATGTAAACTCTCCTCCAAACCTTTTGTTCTCTGATTTGACTGTGAGTTTGCCGTCAACGTTGTTACCCAACGACAAACTGCCAAGCAATGCTTCCAAATCTTGTTGATTGAATTGCTCCTCGACCTTCTCATTGGCCTGCTCCTCTTTTTCGTTCTCGGCTCCATCGGGTAACGCCTCACGATTCGCGGTCGGACCTCTGATGTTGTCCTGAAATGCTGAAACGCCGAGAGCAGCTGCTTCTTTCTCTGCCTCTTTCTTGTTTAATTTCGGTGAAGATTTAAAAGAGGCTCCATTGAATGTTACTGTACACTAAGCAAAATATATATTAATGATCCATTTATTTTATCTTTTCACTTTGTTTTTTTTTTTAAAAAACAAACCAACAAACATACCACAAACATTGAACCAACCGGTACAGTATTGTAAACTGGAAGAGCTTGACCTCTGGTGGCTAGCATCTCACCCAAGAGACTTTTTGGATGTCTAAATTCTGCCATTTTTCTATCTTTATATATATCACTCTAAAAAAGTGCAGTAAATATAAATGCTTATACAAGAATGAAACAAAAAAAAAAATGAATGATAAAAATGACATGAAACTATAAAATAAACTTTAATAACTTAAATATTTAAGTTGTTTGAAACTAATAATAAAAAATAAAAAACAAAATAAAAATAAAAAAATCCAACACACTTTTTGATTGATTAAAAAAAAAAAAAAAAAATCCATTTTTGCAAACCACACAAAAAACTGCAGTTACAAAATAACTTAAACAAATAAATAAAATATGATTATAAAGACAATTTTGAGGTTTCGTTCGTTTGTTTTTGATTGTTTTTTTTTAGTTTATGACTGCAAAGAAAAGAGTTTTATTAATATATACTCTAATTGAACATTTAGTTTCTTCCGACCTTCTTTTCGATGGACTTCTTGATGAGGTTGATACGGGCTCTTCTTTGGTTGAGGGTACGCTTGGCCTTCTTGGCGAACTTGGCATTCTTGTAGTTCTTCTTGTCGGCCTTCTTGGCAGATGGGTCCTTTCTGATGGCAGCGTGAGCCTTGGTGTACATGGCTTCCAAATCCTTTGGGGCAACGTTGGCCTTGACGAATTGGGAGTAGTGTCTCTTGTATTCCTTTTCGTATTCAGTTTGGAGGAGCTTCATGTGTTCGGCGACGTGACCACCGAAGATGTACTTCTTCAAGACCTCAGCGTTCAACTTCTTGGTCTCGGCGTTGTAACCAACGAAACGAGTCTTCTTGTGTGGGATGTACATACCACCATCACAGGCACCCTTCAAGACGGCAAAGACCTTGTTACCGGTAGTGGTACGGGCCAAACCGACATCGAGGAAAGCCTTGAATGGACGTGGCTTGTCGTCGACTGGCTTGACGAGGAAGTCATCTCCAGTGATCTTCTCTTGACCCTTGTACAAGTCGTTCAACTTCAATTGAGTCAAAAGACGACGGGCCAACAACAAACCGGTAGCGTAGGCAGCGGCGTAGTTGCTCAAACCGACAGAGACACCGTAACGTGGCAACTCAGTGGAGTAGGCAGAGGCCAAGACGAAATCACCAACAATCTTGGAGTAGATGACTTGGGCAATGACTTTAGTGTTGGTGAAACGGGCAACCAATCTGTACTTTGGTGAGTTGTACTTGTTCTTATCTTGGGTGATGAGACGGTGTCTTTGTTGGTAGTCAGTCTTACCTTCACGTCTACGACGGAATTGGACTTGGTATCTCTTGAAGTAAGACTTGTTCTTGATAACTTTAACGAAACCCTATAATTATTTGATGATAATAGTAGATAATGGATAGTTACATGTTAGATGATATGTTTCGTTTGAATTGCAAATGATACAAAGATTCTTTCCTATCTCACTCTTATCTAAATAATAATATAGAACCAAACGATGATGATGATGATGTTTGATTCGTATATATTATAAATGACCTAATAATGTATCTATTTTTGTGTATCCTGTTGTAATCCATTGCTGAATTGCTAGTATGTAATCTAGATTGATTGAGGATATAGATACTAGGTGGTGGATAGGGTTAAGCTACTTGATTCCTACCATTTTGCAGTCAATGTGTGAGCGATGATCTCTGTCTAAAAAAAAACACTATTAAAACCTAAAGTCAATCAAAGCGAGACTCACGAACGACCTCCAACCACCAAAAATGAAAAATCAAAATTTAATTCGTAAAAATTAAAATTTTTGAAAATCCTTGAACTTCTTCTAAATTTCCAAGCATACAACTCATTATTGTGGTAAATTATTTTGATTTGCATTCTAAATCAAATTTTATTTATTTATTACAATAATTATTTATTTGTTATTATAGTTTTAGTTTTATCTATTTTTATATTAAAAAATGAGTGTAAATGATGATGAATGTATCAGTTGTAAAAGTAGTACTTATGTTAATCCTAATATGAAGTTATTGTCTGCACCATGCGGACATAAATAGTGAGTATTTGAATAACATAGATAATCTTAAAAGGATATACGTTTTCATTTATTAATTGATTAATTGATTGATCGATCGATAGTTGTGAAACATGTGTAGATGCAAACTTTAAGAAGGATCAAGTAATGATTTGTATTGAATGTAAAATACAAATAAGAAGACAGACTTTTATCAATAAATCAGATGATTCATCGGTGGACAAAGAAAACTCTGTTCGGAAAAATGTACTAAAGGTATTTAACAAACGACAAGATAATTTCCCATCACTTTTAGAGTATAACAATTATTTAGAAATGATAGAAGATATAGGTTGGTATTTATAACTAAACTAAAAACAAATTTGACTTTAAAAACTAACTGCAAGTTCTCCAATTTTAATGATTATATAAATAGTGTTTCAATTGTTGGATGGTGGAGATGAAGCTGCATTGGCAAAACAGAGAATGAAAGAATATGAGCGAATGAATCAACAATCGATTGCAGAGAATAAAGCAAAGAAAGAGAATGAGGATAAGAAGGTTGAACAAACGATAGAGAAGGAGCAACAGTTGTTGCTGGAGAAGCGAAATTTCTATAGGATGCAAGACCAGCAGGAACTGGCGGCAAAGCAAGCCGCCACATTGAAGACAATGAACGATCTGGCAGAGGGTAAGATCTCTGCCAAAGATGTTCGTGAGATCGACAAGAAGAACAAAGAGAACGAAGAGAACAAACAACAACAGGAATCATTTGAAGAGGCTGCACGCGCTGCCGCAGCAGCTGCTGCCAAGAGAGCAGAGAGTGCATCATCTATTTTAGGTGATGATATACCAAATACAATGAATAACAATAATAATAACAATAACAATAACAATAAGTTTACATATCAAGTTTCTAAACCAATGGTTGGAGGACCTCAACCTGTAGCACAAGCACAACAGGTAGATGGACAACAAGCACAACAACAGAAAGCATTCTTCTCACTACCTGCACCACTTGAACATTTCAAATACGATGAACTTGCACTCAAGAATCTTATTCCGACACAAGCGCAATCGGATGCAGCTGGATTCAAGCAAATACATATCAAACAACGAGCATTTGAAGAGGCATTCGGTTCAATTTCACTGACGAGAGTAAATTAATCAAAAAATAAATAAACTAGACTAGACTTGACTAGTAGTTATGTAAATATAGTATTTAAATATCAAATCAAATAGTAATGATCAATTGATTTATACTTCAATTTATTTTTTGTTATAAATATATAAAATTTGATTATTTATTTTAAATTAAGTGATGATCTCTAATAAAAGAGTCATCAATTTATACAAACAAACTTTGTTTACAATACTCGCTCACAGTGAAAGTGTTGTACAAGTTTGAACTGTTTATACCGAGTGTCTTTAGTTGTTTTGTTTTTGTTGTTGTTGTTTTTTGAAGATTTTCGCGGGCTATTTCAATCAAAGATATAACGTACATTGATGTAGTTTCGATGAACTCTTGGGTCGGAAGGTGGAGAAGTATCGTGATACTGCCAATGTAGTAGTGGCTCGCGAGATGAATCGTTTTTGGTGGTCCAACCATCACCACATAGCAAGGCTTTGAATTTTTTCATACCTCTAGTGTCGATTGGTTCTCGTTGTAAAATTGTAAACTTTGGATATGCTTGTTTTTTGATGTTGTCTGTTGCCGCCAGTGACGGTTCCATTTGTATTTTTTCGAAAAAAGAGATTTCCTTTTCTTCTTTTCCACCACTATGGAGTGGAGGTGGTGATCGTATGGCAGCCGGTGACGATGGTGGTTGTTGTCTGCTTCTCGGACTTGGTGGCGAGAGCGATGATATCGATGGTGAAGTTTGAACGGAAAATGATTTGTGATTGGTGATTTTGGTGACTGGTGAAGATGGTGATGAAGTTTGCATTGGTGATGGTGTTAGTTGTTGTTGTTGTTGTTGATGATTAGCTGTTGTGTTTGACGATTCATGTTGTTTTAATTGTTGTAGTTGTTGTTTTTGTTGTTTATGTTCAAGTGAATTATTTTCGTTGATTGATTGAAGACTATTTATAATTTGGCGGTTGTATAGGGTTGACATATGGTGATGGCTGGACGACGGTGACGAGGGGTCTATTGGTGAGACATTCTCGGGTGTGCTGTTGTCGCTGGTAGGTGTGCTACGGTGGTGTCTTCCAGCTTGTTGTTGGTAAGTATCTACATTTGACGATTGCAAAACAACAATGGTAGCTGTACTGCCGTTACTCAGAGTTACCTTTTCTTGTTGTTGTTGTTGTGGTTGTTGGTGATGATTATGATGAAGGTGAATGTTATTGTTACTATTATTTAAAGATGATTGGTCGTTGTTATTATTCAATGACTTATTATTATTATTATTGTTATGATGATGATGATGATTATTGTTATGATAGTTATTACTATTATTGTTATTATACTTCTTTTGTGGAGAAGGAGATCTACTATTTTTCTTTGATCTATAATTACCAATATTACTGTTATTATTACTACTACTTTTGTAGAGTGGAGATCGGCTTCTACTTCTGCTGATACTCATGCTTCTGACTCTACTTCTGGATCTGCTGGTGCTACTGGAGCTACTTCTCGACTTTTTGTATTGCTGCTGCAGGTGTCTACTTGGACTTCTGCTTCTGCTGCGGCTTCTACTTCTGGCCTCGTGGTGGTAGCTACCGGTAGCTCTTCTCTTGTTATCTCTGTTGCTACTACGATTGGTAGTGTATCGTTTTTCGCGTCTCGATCTGTTGTATCTGGAGCGAGACGACGATCTACTTCTGCTTCTACTTCTGCTCCAAGCTCTCGATGGACTCTTACTCCAACTTCTACTTCTACTTCTGCTTCTACTTCTCGTGGATCTTCTCGTTGATCTTCTGCCACCATCCCGACTTCTTGAGCGCTTTCTATATGACGATGACGATGACGACGATGACGACGAAGAGTTGTTCTTTGAAAAGTTATTCGATTTAATTTGACTTATATCAATCTCACCCGATTCTACCAGAGGTGGACTATATTATATAATATATTATATGTATAGTTACAAAAGAAAGGAAATAGAGAGCAGTGTAGTCATAGAATCATAGATAAAAGCAGTATAGGTAGTAGTAGTAATAGTAGTAATAATATAGTAACAAAAATGATAAGGATAACTTGTTAGATAAAGTTTATAATACAACATTTTTAGATATTATCGTTCAACATGCATATTGCATTGACGACGATAATGATATATATGGTGAATCGCTTTTTTTTATGTGGGTTTGGTGAAATTTACCTTGGTAGCAGAGATTGTTTTTTAGAGTTGTATTGGATATCATTATGTGTACTCCTGTTCGAGAGCATATCTTATAGCGAATTCAATATCAATTTTGATAAATAACTTTGACTACTTATACTAATTGGACCGAGGTGAGATACAAACTAAATTGTTTCTACCAACCAAACGACAACGTTGTTACTATCTATCGTACGCGTGTATAATGAAATACAGTTGAGTTATGATGATAACACCGTTTGTTGAAAACAAATCAACTGCTAATAATACAAATTAATGATTAAGTAGCTGAGTTTGTGGTGGTGTTGTTATACGACTATTTTTTTTTTTTTATAAATCTCAATCACAACTTTAAAGCTTTTTTTTTTGTTTTTTTTTTCTAAAACTTAAACTTATCTACTACTAAATAACTATTTCTAATTGATTTGGTTGGTTGGTTGATTTGACTGATTGATTATGAAATATAGTGAAAGAAGTAATATAACTAACTAACTAACTAACTAATTATTTTAGAAAATAGAATAGAAAAAGTTATTAATTAGTATAAATATATATAATAAATATATAAATAAACAAAGTATAGGTTGATTATTTTTGCTATATTCTTTTTTTGTTTTTGTTTTTAATTAATTCAATATTATATTATTTTGTTATTTACTTGATGATATAATATTGAATTGAATTGGATTGGATTGTGGTGTTTTGGTTATTATTATTTCCTTTCAAACACTGACAACAACAAAAAACAAAAAAAAAAAAAACAAAAATAATAATTTTAATTCGATTGGTCACCTCTTTTTGTGATTTTGATTTTTTTGTTTGTTTTTAGTTGGGAAGAATTTAAGGATGGTTGGGTTTGAAAGAAAAAGGAATGTGAAATTTTTGACAAAAACCAAGGAATGACCAGTTATTATTCGAGATAAAACAGATTGATATTTTTATTTAAATATATTTATAAAAAAACAAAAGCAAAAAAACAAAAACTGGACAAAAGACTAAACTCTTTTTTTATATTTATATATTTTGCAATCTATTAGAATTAAAATTACTACTACTTTTACTTGACAACGATTATTACTCAGCGTTAAGTTTGTTTGTTTGTTTGTTTGACAGTTTATTATTGTTAGAATTTAATAATAAATTGTGTTATTGTTATTGTTATTATTTTATTTTTATATTATATTAATAGATTTCAAACTATCTTGCTATAAATATAATTTTAAGAAGAGAAAAAAATAAGATAGATAAACTAAACAGCAATTGTTTTTTTTTAAAGTGTATATCATATATTTTTTTGATTTGGGTTGGATTGGAGTTTGGTTATGTTAGGTTTAAATTTATGGAGATCACAACATTTAACTACTGCAAGCTTGTTACCCAAAACAAAACAATAAAAAAAAAGAAAAGAAAATAAAAGAAAACACATTAATTGTTGGAATAATGATGATATTATTAATAATATTGTTATTGATTTTGATATTTGAAAGTGGCAACCAAAAACAACAAAATTAATAATATCATTTGTATAATTAATTACTGCAGGTGCAATGCAAACCTGTTGTATCTGCTGCTGCTGCTACTATTACTAACTTTGTTTGGTTGATGCTCTGTTCTGTTCTGCTGGTGTGTTGAATGTGTTGTGCTTGTTGTTGTTGCTGCTCACACTTTGAAAAACAAAAATAAGCAAAGCAAAAGCAAAAGCAAAGAGAAACTATTATGTGTGTTGCACCACAGGTACAACACCAACATCCACAAACTAAATTTCCGATCGTTTTATGTTTAACCACACACACCTATATATATATGTATTATATTTTATTTGTGGGGTGTTTCTTTCAATCTTTTTGTTTTGCATGATTTTCACATTATTTTATTTAATAATTCTTCTTGTGATGTAATAATATTCATTCGTACTAGTATGATATTGGAAAGAGTGTGGGTTATTGGTTGTGATGTTATATTTACTGCTATTATTAATTAAATTCAACAACACATAACAGCAGAATCCAACAAAAGTAAGCGACGATTGGAGCAATGTTGTTGTTGGTCTATTGTATTCGATATTAATGATAAAAATGTCGAGAGTTGCTGCAGTTTGATATTAATGTAGTAAACAAATAAACAAACAAACAAACAAAACTATGACATACATTAATAAAAATAAGAATTCAATTAATTTCAATAAAAATTTTAAAATCACCTAGAATTAGTGTTTATTATAAACACTATTGTTTTGATGATTTTGGATGTTTGTTGTCCTCTCTCTAACTCTCTCCTCTTTTATCACACCACAATTGACACACACAAACAGCAATAACAATTAACAAAGATTTTAGTTACGAGCGAATGAAATAATACAATATACAAAAACTAATAATCAATATTGAGTTGTTGTTGTTTTTGTTTTGTTGTCGGTGCTGTTACTCTTATCAGCATGATAAACAGCACGTTCAATTGAATTGTGCTTTACTTGGATTAAATTTAGTTGGATTGGATTGGATTGGTTTGAATTGGAAGTGATATTTACTTGGATTTAATTGAAATTAGAAATGAATTGGAAATTGTGAAAATTAAAGATAAAGATAGATAAAAGGATTGATATAAATATATATAGATAGATAGTTTGTTAGATTTAATGATAGATGAATTTGAGTTGAGTGAATGGGTAAACGAAAGGGTGGACATATATAAAAGTGTATTATTTACCTACACTTTTACGACTATAAGTGGTAGTAGTAGTAGTTATTTTATTTTGAATTGTGAGAGTTGTGTGTTTATCTATATGTATGGTGTGTATGAATATAAATCCAAAGCCAATTCAATTCAATTTCCATTCAAATTCTATAATTAAATTAATTTGTTTTTTAATTTTGTTTTTAGTGCTTTGCAAAACAAACAATCCAATTTATTTGTCAATGTTGTTAATTTAATTGATACGATATGATATAGGTATGTCAGGTGTATTTATAATAAAAAGATGAAAGTCAATGCTAATTATATTGTTTTTTATTTTATTTTTATTTAAATAATACGTATTGGAATTAAAAATTTACTTTTTATGTACAATTTTAACTATTTTTTTAATATAATATTTTATTTCTGTGTTATTTGCTAATTTAACAATGTTTTTCTCTTTACTATGATATTTTATTACATATAATTAACTAAATTGTTGATGATTTTTTTTATTATATTTTTAAATAAAAAACAAAAAGGAGAAATAGTTTTTAATTAAAAATTTGATAACAATTTTCAGAATTGGTGTTGTAATAGTTTTTTTGGGTTTACTTGAGATAGATCACTTTTGCAAAAACAAATCGTACTGTGATTAAGTGTTTTGGTGTTTTTTGCAATCAATCACAATAATCTCATTCTCGGAATCCAAGAGACACACACTCAAATGATCACCACAAAAAAAAAAATGTTTGTTTTTTGTTTTTAAAATTTCAGGGTTTTTTTTAACATCTGCATAAATTAATGTGTGGTGTTGTGCTTCTATCAAACTAAAGAAGAAAGATTAGATAATTAAATCAAATCAATCTACATCCTTTTTTTTTTGTTAGCTGTTGTTGTTGTTGTTGTTTTTTTTTTTTTTTTTTGATTGGAATTGGTGATTGATTTGATTATTCAATTATATCTTGTTTAGTTTTATTAACAAAGTTTGTTTGTTTGTTAGTTGGATGCAGCTTTGAAGGTGGGGTTTGCTTGAAGCCAGTCCGATACTCTCTGGGCGATCAGCTCAGAGTGAGAAAGGACAAATGCGTGTGGCACACCGTCTTGAGCGTATTCAATGGCACCTCCCGGATACTCTGATGTCAGGTCATCAAAGAATTGCTTTGGTGTGTAAGGGTCTGACGTTCCGTAGATAAAGAGTAGATCACGTGTGATACGCGACTCAAAAACAGCTCGACACTCTTGGTCGACCTGAACGATGTCTTCGGTCTCTGTGTATGCCATATATAGGATATTAATAGCTGTCCAGTAGCCAAGCTTGTATTTAAGTGCCACTCTCATATCGTCGGTAGGCAGTATTATTCTAAGAATCTGGTTTGTCACGAATGTCGGAACGTAATGTATCACATTGGCCAGCGATGAACGGAATCCATCTTGAATGGCAACCTTTATAAACGGTGACAATCCTTCATATAAATTTCTAAATGTAGGAAACAAATTGATTTGATTCACAAAACTAAACTTTTCAGAATATCTATTTAACATCTAAAAAGTAATACAAATTAAATTGTTAATATAAATTCACATGTTTATAAAAGTTATAATTTCTTACTTTTAGAGAAATATAAGAACCAACGGAATGTCCTATTAAAACAAATTTAATATTATTGCTATTTGATTGATATCTAGTCTGTAGTAGATACTCTAAACACAGTGATTTATGTACTATTTGTTCTTCCACTGAGAATTGATCCTCTATCCTTCCACAGTGACCTATATGTGAAACTAAAGTAATTGGTTTGTTTATTTGATTATCAATGAATGTTTCATGGCGAATTAGCTTGTTAATGATAGATCATTTGAATGACAATGAAAAAACAATTCTTACATCCGATAATGTCATATTTAGCTCCGAGACCGTCGTACAACGATTTCATAAACTCTATATAGAATTCAATGAGACCGGGATTACCAGGAACTATAATTACCTTGATGTCGGAGTCATGATTGGATTTGGTAGATAACATATCGCATTGGTCGAATCCTCTGATTGAATTATGCAATGTTATTCTATCTAAAATTAATTCTACCATCTTTCTTTATTTTTCTTTTAGTTTCTATTTCTACTACTAACTAGCTATAGGAATAAAATTAAAAAAATTAAAAATCGAATATATCAATACAAAATAAATAAACAAGTTAAATGAATAAATATCGCAATAAAATTCAAAGACAGAAATGAAACAAAATAAATCTCAGATAAAAATTGTAAAAATTTGCAAAATTTTTTTCGTTTAGTGCAATCATGCAAAAATTATTAACCAGGATTTTACAATTACACAAATTTAATTCCAAATTAGTGGTTTGGGGTAAAGAAACCTGTTAAATCCCAATTTCAAAAAATGAACTTAATTATATATTTTAAACTTTTTTTTAATTTTATTTTATCTTAAATAAGATTAGTTTTAATATCATTATAAATTATACACATTTTTTAATTTCTCAAAAGAAAATAGATATAAAATGTCATCTTCATTTTCAAGATTGGGTAACTATGTCAAACAAACATATCCAATTTATATTGCAAACAAACCTGTTACAGCTTCAACCAATTACCTAAATGTAATTGATAAATTTACAAATAAGGTAATTAATGCGTTTAAATATTATGATTGATGGATTGTGTATTATTTTATTAACTTTTAATGATGATGATGATGATGATAATATAATCTGTAATCTATAATTTATATTTAGCATGTATCGACTATACCATTTGCAAATAAGGACATGATTAATAAAGCAATAGAGAAATCAGTGGAATGCGCAGCTCCAATGTCAAAGCTGACTTCTTTCCATAGAAAATTGGTATTGTTACAGATTGCAGAGAAGATCTTGAAGAGACAAGAAGAATTTGCAGAGGCAATCGTGGTGGAAGTTGGTAAGCCTTTGGCTGATGCTCGTGCAGAGGTCGGTCGTGCTATCGATACTTTTACGGTAGCCGCCGAAGAATCTGTACGTCACTACGGTGAGACTGCACAGCTCGACATCTCACATCGTAACGCTGGATTTCAATCGATTTCAAAGCGTTTCCCTGTTGGACCAATCTCCATGATTGCGCCATTCAACTTTCCTTTGAATCTATGTGCTCACAAGGTTGCACCAGCGATCGCAGCGGGATGTCCATTCGTCTTGAAACCATCGGATCGTACACCGATCTCTGCTGCACTGCTTGGTGACATCCTCGCACAGACTGATCTTCCCGAGGGTGCATTCTCTATCTTCCCAACCGAGTTGCAAGACGCACCGATTCTTAGTCGCGACGAACGCTTCAAGTTGGTGTCGTTCACCGGAAGTCCAGCAGTCGGTTGGAAAATCAAAGAGGATGCCGGAAGAAAGAAGGTTGTTCTCGAACTCGGAGGTATTGCAGCTTGCATCGTTGATAAAACCATCGATGAGTCAAAGTTGAATCACATTGTTTCGAGAATTCTGTTTGGTGCATTCTACTCGCAGGGTCAGAGTTGTATCAGTGTCCAACGTGTCTACATTCACCAGGATCACTATGCGCGTGTTAAGCAGTTGTTGATCGACGGTGTAAAGCCACTCAATCAGAGACGTGGTGATCCAATGAATCCAAATACCTTCCTTGGTCCTATGATCACAGAGAACGATGCGGTCAGACTTGAAAAGTGGGTGTCATCGGCTGTCACCGATGGTGCCAAGCTTTTGTTTGGAGGTAAGCGTGATGGAAGCATCTTTGATTTGACCATACTCGAAAATCCACCCAAACACTCGGATGTCTCATGCAAAGAGGTGTTTGGACCTGTATTCTACATTGAGCCATTCACCGACTTCAAGGAGGTAGTCGAACGTGTCAACTCCACCGAGTATGGACTTCAAGCCGGTGTATTCACCAACGATATCAACAAGGCATACTATGCATTCAATAACATTGAAGTTGGAGCAGTAGTAATCAATGATATTCCATCTGTTAGAGTTGATTCTCAAGCTGTAAGTTTTATTCTATTATTTCAATATCCATATCTTTCAAAAACTAATTAGCAATTTTTTATTAATAATAAAATACTTAGTATGGTGGAATTAAAGGATCTGGATTGGGAAGAGAAGGAATTAGAAATACCATTGAAGAGTATACTGAATTGAAATTAATGATTCTTAAAGATATTGGAAATATCTAAAAGATTAAATAAATAAATTCTGTTTATTTTTAAATTATATATATTATATTTATTTATTTTCTTTTTTTTTGGATTTTAAATTCTTTTTTACTTATTTCGATTTCGATTTAATCAAAGGTGAAATGAAATGTTTAATCTCTTTGATTGCTTCGTTACCTTTGAATAATAAATAGATTGCCAAAAGATAGACGATGGTTCCAACGACTACCAAGAGATCAAAGGTGAATGGTTTGACGTGATAGAATGACATTGTGACCCTCCATGGTTGGTAGTAGGTGTTTGTTGTGGTCGGATCGACTCTGACCAAATCTCTGTTGACTTCATTCAAATAGTTCTTCATGATTCTCTCGAGACCCTGAAGTAAGGTGATTTCTCCTGATGCCGATGCCGATGTCGACTCGGCGAATGGGTACATTCTGGTGGTCGATGCCAATGACTCCAACCACGATTCCAAGAAGCTGTCGCTGATGTCCAGAGAACCAGACATAATTTCACCAGAGATCTGTTCGTTGTGGTAGATATGTGAGATCAGTGCTTTGGCAACGATCTTGATGTTACGCTTCAATGTAGCGAGTTCGGCAGTCGAGTCGTAGATATTGGCGCGACTCGAGCTGAGTGGACTGGATTTCTGTGAGATTGTGACTGCTGGGATTTTCTTACGCGAGAAAACTTCGTGCTCCCAGAAAATAGTTGGATTGGAAATATTGATTTTCTTTTGTGTGACTTCCAGTTTCGAGTCGAAAGACTGTGCCGCGCTGGTAAACTCGCTGTAAAGTTGACGGGTAGAGGCGTCCTTGGGTGGACGCGAAACATGCAAGAAAAGATCTTCGACTGGCTCACCAATCGAGTCGAGACACAACACGAATTCGATGGATTCCGTTACGATCATCGGTTGTTGATCCAACCATTTTCTGGTGCCTTCGAAATTCAGTGAACTGCCACCACTGAGCAAGAACAGAATATTGTGATTACCTTGATTCTTCACGTTGGCATAGAGACGCGAGAAAAGACGTGACAACTCGAGGAGTGCGACGACACCGGTGGCCGGTTCGTTTCCGGTGGCACCGCGCAAGCCCGGAACCACACCGAACGAATCGTAGTGTGCAACAACCAAGATGGTTGGAGAGACGTAGGATTCGGCTGGTGTTTGTCCACGAAGAATACCGTCGATGTTGGCAATGGGTGGAACTGGCATCGGTGTCGGCGAAGCACCGCTTACGATCAAGCGATAGTCGCTGTCCAAGTAGGAACGATCGAATTCCTCACTCTTTACAAAGTAGAGTGGAACGTTGATGTCGATGGCGCCAAGCTGTTGCAAGTCACCCAGTGATTTGAGATCACGGTGTTTACCGGCGGCCAACAACACAACGATACCGGCAACATCAGCTTCCAACAGCTGTCTAAGCAGAGTCAAGTTGAAATCGCTATCATCAATGACAACCGTTGACTTTGCATAGGCGTCCAATGCCAACTGTGCTCTGTATGCCATCGATGGTGCATTCAAAATCGATCTTACTGGACCAAGTTTTGAATATCCACTTTCGGAATTGGTTGGTTGATCGAATTGTAACATTCTATATGCATCGAATTGTTTTGCTTCAGCAATCATCATCATCATCACGATGACAGCCACCAACATCTTGGTTACAACCATCATTCTATTTGATCTAAACATCGCTACTACTACTACTCTCTAATTTCTAATCTTAATATATATTTATATATTAAAAAAGAAATTGATCAAATTAATTAAGTCTCTTTTTAAATCGGTTAAAATTAAAAAGTGTTTGAAAATGAAAAGGGCTTGTTTGTTCAACAACAATGCTTTTTTTGAAAAATTCATAAAAATTGTAACGTTTTTTTTGATTGTGTTGTTAACACACCCCAATAATAAAAATTAGAAAGACATATATATATTATTTATAATTATTTTATCTAATCTGTTATTAAAATTGATTTTTATTTATTTTTATAGATATATATTTTAATTAATTATATTGTTGTCAAACTATTTATTTAAAAATATCTTTATATTTAAATGATGAATCATAGGTATGGACATGTTAGAAAATCATCTTTGCAGCATACTATTGGTGGTGGGAGTGGTACACCACCCAATATCAATTTGAGTGGTGCAAACAGCAGAGTTTCACCTATTTTAGTTGGTGTTTCTAGTGGTAGTTTGATACCTTCTCTCAATTTAAATCCTGGAAATAGTAATACACAACAACAACAACATTTACAATATCAACAACAAATATCACCTATTGGTTCACCTTTATTAGGACATCAACAGTTATCTTTACAACAACAACAACAGCAACAGCAACAGCATTCAACATTCTCTCTTGTTTCGTCTGGTAGTTCACTACCTACATCATCTTCTTACTCCTCAATGTCAACTTCAACAACTACACCAATATCCGATGTTACTACTAATAATAGTAATAATAATAATAACTCGGTATCTTCGCAACAACAAAACAAACCACCTTTACAACAACAACAACAGCAACAGCAACAACTACAACAAACAACACCTAAAACAAAAGGTGCGAATACAGAGGTATATGGTTTCGTCTACTGGATTACAACGTTCCTTGGTTATATTATCTATTTACTCTGGGCATTCGTACCGGAATATATGTTGTCTGATCTGGGTGTGCATTATTATCCAAGCAAATACTGGGCTATTGCCATTCCGATGTACTTGGTCATCTGTATATTATTTGGTTTCACCGTATATTTCTGTATCAATCTAATCATTACGAAACCATTCGATTCACTCAATACACTACGCGATGAATTCACCCAAACTGAATCAGAGGCAACTGGTCATGTCTATCTGCCACAATCGATTCCACCACTCGAAGACATTCCCATTGACACTGTCAATCGTGTCTTGTATCAATCAAGACCAATGAGAATAAACAACACAACAACAACAACTACTACAACAACTACAACCACAACTACATCGACATCGACATCTACAGCATCATCATCTTTATTAACATCCAATACAAATACACAAGGTAGTACAATAGTAGTTTCACCAATAATTATAAGTAATAATAACAGTAATAATAATAGTTCAATTTATAATGGTAGTGGTGGTAGTTTAACAACATCTCTTTCGACACCTAATAATAATACACCTCTAAGTTTATCTAGTTCCACTATTAATACCAATGTGATTAGTAGTAGTAGCGGTAGCAATGGTACTACAGTGCCAAGACGTAGTAATCCACTGAGTACTTCTACACAATCAACATCGATACTTCTAGGTGGCGGTAACTCACCACCCATTTCATCATCGCCACGCTCTCATTATCTGCCATTGTTAAATCATTTCGCTTTGAACAGCAGTACCGGTAGCACTGGAAGTAGTAACAGTGGTCAGACAACTAACACCAGCAACACCAGCAGCGACACTTCAATCACAGATGATGACGAAACAACCTCACCCAACATCTTTTAATAAAAAAATTTTTATTTTATTATTTTATCAAATAGACAGACCTTTCTTCTGTTTTGTTTTTTGTTTAACCTTAAAAAATGAATATTGTAAAGACATGTCTTGTCTCATTCATTTGCAAAGATAGCAAAAGAAATCTCGATAAAGAAAAATGAGTAAAGAATATGAACACAAAAATAAATGTGTTTGTTATTAAAGATGATGATGACGACTTAAGCACCAAATAGTATCTTTAAATCACAACCTCATCTCCACTACACTGTTTGACCATTAAGGTGATGGATACCATCTCAAACAGTGAAAGCACCCAAAACCAACCAAACCAGTTCAAAAAAAAAAAAAAAAAAACTTTGCAAAACCCACACAGATATTTTTCATTTGATGATGTGTTAGGTCGTTAAAAAATAAAATGATATCATCGCACGAAACTAAAAGGGTTCAACATCACTAAAAACTAGTTAATAAAACGATCTAAAAAAAACTATCTATTTTTTACAATAATAATATAAATATCTTTTAAATCTTTTATACAAAAAAACAAAAATCTCAAGACTTTAACTAGTTTTTTTTTTTTGTTGGTGTCCACTACTACACTTTCATTTGTAAATACTAATATTAAAACTCACTAGATAAAGATAATAAAACAGAATAACAAAAAGATGGCAATCGATTGGGATAATATGTTGGTGTATAGCACCGTAAAAGTTGTAAAGATCAAAGATAGAAAACTTTCTATTTTGCATTTCCTCTTTTTGATTGCTATTTTCGTTTATATCATTATCTATTCAGTCATCGTAAAGAAAGGTTACTTGGAGACTGAAGTACCAATCGGTAGTGTAAGAGCTACTCTTAGAGCTGTATGTTGTTCTTTCAGATAGATAAATACATATTGTTATATTAGCAATTTACTAAAAGATCTAAAATCTTTTTTTTTTTTTTTTTTGATATTTAGCCATCAAATTTCACATATCCCTTACCATATTGTCAAGGACAACCAAATGCTGATCCATCGATCGGATTTTTACCATGTCAATATTGGGATGAGAACTTGGTTACCTATCCTTTGAATGACAAATCAGTTTCAATTTCAACAAGAGTTAGATCATCTGTTCAATCTGCAAACTGTTCATTTGCAAGCCCAAACTGTAGATACCAAGACGATCCAACCAAAGATGAAAACTTCTTTATTGGTGATATCGAAAGATATACTGTAATTTATCATTTTCATTCCATTTTGTTTATTTTATTTTGTCATCTAATAATTTATTTCTTTTACTCTAGATTTATATAGATCATACAATGTATGCTTCAGGATCAAAGATTCAAAAGAATGCTAAATCTTTGAGTGGTAGAATTATTACAGCTGATGATAAATCTGAAACTTTGGATGTATGTATTCAATCTTTATCTTTTTGTTGAAATAATAATTTGATTATTAATAATATTTAATTTAGGATGGAATTTCATCAGTTGGAATTGCTGGCAAACCAGATATCATTGAACTTGGAACTTTATTAAAGTTGGCTGACATTAACTTGGATGATCAATGTATGTTGGATAAAAGAAATTTTCAAAGTTACCATTTTGCTAATTAATTGATTTTTTTGTTCTTGAAAATAATTATATAGCATTGATCGATAATTCCACTACTATTAGATACGACGGTATCAACATATTTTTATTTATTACTTATTCAAATACATTCAGTTATAATTTGAACAAGTATCGTTATACCTATTCAGTCAGCAAGATCGAAAACACCGAATACACAGTTGCAGAGTCTGTCTATACAACCGATGTCGAAAATAGATACATTTTTAAACGTCATGGTATCAGAATTATATTTATTCAAGATGGAGATATCTCTACCTTCCAATTCCAAGCTTTATTGATTACAGTAAGTATTAAAAAAAAAACAAAGCTGTTTATTGTTAAAACCAACTTTTACTAATAAAACTGTTTTTTTATTTTATTTTATTAGTTGGTGTCTGGTCTAGGTCTTTTGGCAATTGCTACAACCATTACCGATCTTTTGGCTATTAAATTGATGCCACACAAGCAAACCTATTCCAACTTTAAATATCAAGAGACCGACAAGATTTCTAATGAGATCTCAATGAACAAACTAGAAACTCAGATTAATAATTTGTAAAAAGTTCGTTTTTAGTTCTTTTCACAAACTATTAATTTTTCTAGATATATATATAATTTTTTTTTTAAAAGTGTTAGCAATCAAATCGTCTAAATTATAAATAAAAAGATTGTTTAATACAAACAAAATATCTTATGTAACATGTTACCAGAGTTCTTTTGATTGTCCTCTCGGTATTTTCTTAAAAAATGTTGTTGGTGGTGTAAGTTGAATTGTTGAAACATGTTGTTCTTCTTCTTCTTCCTCTTCCTCTTCCTCTTTATCTTGATTTACATCAATTGGTTGTTGGACAATGGTTGTGCTGGATGTAGTTTTCTTCATAAAATCCAAAGATGAAAACCTCGGTTTATAAAAATCTACAAATTCATCTTCTTTCTCCAAATTTTCATTCTCTTGACAGTAATTGCCATCTATTTCCATTCTTTTCTTTTTCAAATGACTGACCAATTGATATTCATCGATTTCATTCATTTTACTATAGTCTGCCAAGCCATATTGTCTTTTCTTTAGAACAGAGTTGTCAACTATATTACTACTTTCACTTATCAGATATTTAGTAATATCACCACTGTTTGATGAAATAGATTGGAATAATTGAAAATCCTTTTCATTTAATCTAACCATTTGCCTGCAACTCTCTAATATCCAATTGGGATGAACATAGAATGGACGGTGAATCTTTTTTCTCAGGTTTGGTTTCTGTCGAGCGTGATGTTCCATGTGTTCAACCTTGGTCAGTGATAGGGCAGTTCCAATGATATGTGTGCAAGAAGTCGATTTGTAGTGACTGTGAGTTCCACCGTGACTGAGTACCAATTTCTTCAAATGTATGATCGATATCATATCGGTGTGTCCATCGAAATAGACACGCACCCCATTGAAAATATCGGATTGCAATCCCTCCTTAGCTTGTTCCTCATTGATCAACTGCTCACTGTATTGCACTCTTTGTCGAAACCAATGCATAGTCGACATCTTATCGAAAGGAATTGGCACATCCATATCCTTAATAGATTTCTTCTTTTCTTTTCCATCTTTTTTATTCATACTATTTTGCAATAAAATATTATAATCAGATGATATAAATATCCAAAATTTATTTATTTTGGTTAAAACATCTAAAATAAGAATTGGCAGATCTTCGAATTCCTGGAAATTGATGTTGTTAACAATATTTTTAACAAACACAACAATTTTTTTTTGTGGTGGATTGCTTAAAAAATAAAAAAATCAAAAAAAATTATCCACCCAAAAATTAATAGGAGTTTTTTTTTGATCTGATCAGATTCTTTATTTGTTCTCTGCCATCAGCCACAGATTTCTTTTTATCTATTATTTTATTTTGTGATATCATATCAATAAAGAAGCATGTATATACACCACAGCTGACTCCATCAGTTTGTTTGACAAAGTTTTTCACCATTTCTTCACCACTACAATTCCACACACTTTAGAAAAGTAAGAAAGTACCTACTTCTTAACATTGTCTTTAATAGTGTTGTAGCTTTCGTGATGCAAGCTACAATATAATTTCAACATGTATTGTTTGTCTTCGTTGCTTGTCTTGTTCAACTACCAATATCCAATGATTGATTCCATCCTTATCACACAGTACAGATCCTTTCCGCGACGCAATAGAAACAATAATAGGAATACATACATTCGATACATTCTTTATCTTCTCTTGTGTGTTTGGAGAGTATATCACCGTAGTCCTAATCTTCAGTGTTGCAGTATCTCTCTAGTTTAGCATAGGATCCAGAATGGAGGCTATAGGTTGTTACTTCTTGGGAAAAACAATGACATATTGGGAAACAAGGTCCACTATCCAATTAGATATCATCTGTGGGGAGTCCGATCTCAATGTGGCTATCTCTTTGTCTAGGGTATCATAGTTCGTTTCTGCATTTAGAATTGGTTGCACATCACCATTATCGTCAACCAAAACAACGTCCTTCGTTTTGATATGAATAATGGGGTAGGTATCTTCGACTTCTTCTTTAAAAAAATTGGAACCTCTTTATTAATCTCCATACTAATAGTTTATCGTCTTCTTTTATCATGTAGTGATGCTTAAGTACAAATATGATATGTTTGCAGTAGTCACCAACGTAATACCTATTCGTCTTATACGGTGAACAAGAGCAATATGCATATTGGCACCATTGGACTTTACAACATAATCTTTTTCTCCACCACTAACTGTCTTTGTCTGTGGTTGCCAAAGATAGGACTATGTTAAATGTGATATTTAGTTTATTCTCTTTTGTTGGTTCGCTCTTATCTATTTCAACCTGTATGCCATCATCCCAGCAATCATTCTCAGACTTACACATTTGACAAATTATTACTTTATAATCAAATGAATGAATTTTTTTGAAGTGTGGTTAAACAATAAACAATCTATGACTAATTTTTTTTTTTTTTAATTCCTCTTTTCCAACAAATAACAATTTATTTATACTATTTATATATACTCACCATGTCCGAGCTCTTGAGGGCTCTCCAAATAATAAGAAAGTCAAAAATCAGTGAAGATGATAAGAAAGCATCCAAAGTTGTCCTTGAAAAGGATAAAGATAAAGCAGCATTCATTATTGATGCAGAAGCCGATGGAGAAGATAATCTGAAATCCTACCTTGAAGGGATGATCAAACCTCCCACATCAACAGCTACCACATCATCAGGTATGTAGTAGTAATATCTTCATCACAATACACTATTACCCATCAACCTAAATATCCTTCCGAACTCTCTAACTAACATATTACCTTCTATCACTTCTTTTTCTACCTTTTCATTCTCTTTTTTTCTTTTTATCTTTCACTCACTCTCTCTGTCTCTCTCTCTCTCTTTATAGAAACAAAGATTCTTGCAAAGTTAGACGCATTGGAAATTAAGATTGACGCCAATCGCAAGGAAGTTGATGACATCAAGCTTTCACTTATCCCCAAGAAGAAATCTGTTGCATTCTCTGATATGACCCAAGCCAAATGGGAGACCATAATTGATTTTACTGGTATCGACTTCAAGGAGGAAGTTATTCATGTGAGCCCCGACAAACTTCAACAAGAGGCAATACAACCATTCGTTTGGAATCCCAACCTGAATAAAGTAGATCAAATGGAGCCAGCTCTACAATGGCTTAAAACCAATTTTCCACTTCCTGCATCACTTGAGTATAAAGATGTCCACGACAGAAAGAATCTATTTTTTCTCTCAGAACACCTCTCGTTTCTTCCATTTGCACTGAAGGGTACACCAGACTTTGTAGTTGCTCCTCAAGGGATCAAACACTTTCTGACTCAGCTGTTCTTGGTCTTTGAAATCAAAACCAATGAAACATATAGTGATCCCAAAAGCTCAATACAAGGTTGGTGCCAACTCCTTGCGGCCTCCATTCACACAAGGCAACAACCAGTCATTCACATTCTGACTGACCTGAACAATTGGCAGATATCTTGGTTTGCAGGTCCACTGGTGCTACGTTGTGCTATAACCGAAACAAATGTGGCCAAATACCTGATCAACTACTTATTCTATCATACATACAATATCGATGCAGTTCGCTATAAATGGAAAGAAAAGATGTTTGGTTCCAATATCAAGAATATCTTGGCACCCATCAAATTTACCCCCCCATCCACAACTCATTCTCATGATGTTGCTGATCTTGGCAGTCTTCTCGATCAACTGGAAGAGCAAGATAGTGATGAAGTCTTGATTAACCATCACATCAGAAACTTCTCTAAATATTTTAGTTCTACAAGTCAATCATATATATCTTAGGCAATGTATGAAAAATTATCAATTTTTTTTTTTTAATCAACTATTGGATGAAATAAATAAAATTATGTTTCGTTGTTTGTTTAATTAGTTTATTGAATGTCTGCCACTCCTTTTAATAATGATCTGTAGATTTTACCAGAATTGGTAAGACCTACCTAAAAAGTAAAGCACACTTATTTGATCAACTTTATATTAAATAAATTAACCCATTTATACTTTTGACGTGATTTAACGAATTTATATTTTTATTTTAATTTTATTTTTAGAACAAGCAATTCAAAACTGTTTAATTCCATTCAATGACAGATTGAAAAAATTAAAATTTGATGGTCAACCACTAAAATTTGCTTCTGTTTTTCCATGGAATTATACAACTTGATTCAACCATTCACTTTAAAATTGTTTATTCTCATTAATATATAAACCAATTCAATATTTTAATTATAAAATCATCATCTTAATAAACATAGAGATAGAATAAAATGTAAATAATAGATATAAATTCTACAGATGCTGATACAGGTACTCAATATTGGTTGTGGTCGTCACAGGCAATTGGAACGTGTTGACATCCCTTCACACGATAATGGAGTATGAGTGGATGTACACCAAACCCATTTTATTGAGTAGCAAATCTTTACAAAAAGTATTTGATCAAGATGGAAAAATAATTGGACAAATAGTTCCTTTTAATTCAAGATCAGAGCTTGTAAAAGTTCCAAACAAAGAATTCTATGAAAAAACATCAGGTGCTGTTGGAAGAATATTTATAAAGTAATAATATACCTTGTGAAACCCAAGAGATGCAAAGAAATCTGAAATACGAAAAAAATCATAATATACTTCCTTCTCTATCATCACATTCATTATAGTATCTATAAAGATGACACCTCTTTCATGCACCAATCATATATAATTAGTTATTGATTCATGATTTCTTTTTTTGTTTGTTTTTGGGTAACTGCTTTTTTTTTTTTTTTTTGCCCACCATTTTAATTTTTTTGTTCTCAAAAAAAAATTATGTGAACTTCAGAGATTTTTTAAAAAAATTAAAAACTTTATAAATTTTATTTAATTTAACTTTTTGATTGAATTAATATTTTTATTTACTTTGTTTTATTTAATTTTAATTGTATATAAATAAAAATGAATAATAATAATAAAGTAGAAATTGATAAATCACCATCAGACTATAGAGAATATAGATATGTAAAGTTGGAGAATGGCCTCTCAGTGTTGTTGATTCACGATGAGCAAGAACAACAATCGGCTGCATCTCTATCGGTTGGTGTTGGAAGTTTCCAAAATCCAAAGGAATACGAAGGTTTGGCTCACTTCCTTGAGCACATGTTATTCTTGGGTACAGAGAAATATCCAGTGGAGAAGGAGTTCCTCACTCATATCGAGCAGAACGGTGGCAGCTATAATGGAGTCACTCACTACTACTGTACCTCCTATTACTTCAAGATCAATCAGCAACATCTCGAGCAGGCACTCGATCGGTTCTCATCGTTTTTCATCTCGCCACTCTTCACCAAAGATGCCACACATCGTGAGGTGAACGCTGTCAACTCTGAGTACCAGTCAAACGTACAGAACGATCTTCTACACCGTTTCTACGCTACACTGATGTCGTTTGATGACCATCCGCTTACCATGTTCAACTGTGGTTCACTGGAAACTCTCAATAAAGCCGATCTACACTCAAAGATGGTTGAATTCTACCATAAATACTACTCCGCCAACTTGATGAATCTGGTCATCATCGGTCCACAGTCGTTGGATGAGCTCGAGAAGTTGGCAACCTCTTATTTCTCATCGATCAAGAACAACAATGTGGTATTGCCAGAGATCTGCGAGCTCAGAGTTTCCAAACCGTCGAAATCATTCATTGTTCCAGTGAAAGACAGCAATAGCATCACTATCTCTTGGCCCATTCCAAAGCATATCTCCTACTATAACAACTACAAGAATAACACAGTGTCACTGATCTCTCATATCATTGGACACGAAGCAAGAGGTTCGCTATTTTCATATCTAGAATCACTGGGCTACGCTTATTCTTTGTCGGCTGGAAGTGCGGCATTGGACCAGAACGTCGAATACTTTTCTATCGATATTGCTTTGACTGAGAAGGGACTTGAAAACTACGATGCTATCATCGGACATATCTACAACTACATTGAGCTCATGAAAAAAGTAGATGTTTCCTATCTCTACGATGAGAAACAGCAACTCCAACATTCAAGATGGGCATCCATTGGAAAGTCTGACTTGATGTCCTATGCCAATGCCATCAGTACACTCTTTTGTATCAACTCCATCGAAAGAGGTGACATCCTAAGCTTTGATTACATTTTCGAGTCATTCAACACCAAACAATATCAAGAGATATTAAACTGTTTCAATCTAGATAATGCAATGTAAGTTAAATCAAAGTATAATAATTAGAATTTAATGAAAATCTAATAATAACATTTGATATATATCTTTAGTATCAATCTTTATTCCAAACAATATGAAAAACAAGCGCAATTGGTTCATAAATACTATTGTTTCCAATACTCAAAGGTTGCCATTACAAAGGAAGATATTGAAAAATGGAAATCCGTTGAACCAACTCCAAAGCTGTACATTCCAATTCGTAATCCCTACAGTCCAGAGAATTTCGATATCAAGTCGGAACAAACCAATGTCGTTCAACCATTGGACAAGCTGTTCGATGAGCAAGGAATAACTGTTTTGTTCTCTCCAGACACTCAATTCAATACACCTCTTGCAAACTTTTATTTTAAATTCAACTCGTCGATTGCCACTGCACGTCAACTCACCATGGTCTATCTCCTCAAGAAGTGTGCTAAAATACTGTTGAATGAAGATGTTCGTTATTTCGCTTTGATGAACGGTACCACTTTGAAGTGGGACATCACTCTGACCGGTGTGAGCTATCGTATCAGTGGATTCAACGACAAGATCGCTCCACTCATTCTCGACATCTTTAGTAAGCTCTCGACATTCGACTTGTCAGAGTTCCAATTCCAGCTGGCAGTTGCCAAAGCTCTCAAGAAGAAGAGAAACACCGCTTTCTGCAGTCCAATCGATCACGGACTCAATCAGATCCGTCCATTCCTAAGCAACACAATCTTTGGCACTGCCGAAGATATCCATGTACTGGAATCGGTCGACTACCAAGAGTTTCTCTATTTCGTTCGTCATTACTTCAAGACCATGAACATTCAATCTGTAATCACAGGTAATCTCAGTCGTGAGGAAGTGCTCGACTTTTCAAATCAATTGCCAAAAGTAATGAACGAGAGAAGACCATCTCCAAAGTGTGACATTCTCTATCCACGTCGAGTAGAGCTTACCCAAGGCAAACGTTATCATCTTCGTCAAACCTTTGTTGATGAGAATCAAGTCAATTCCGTGTGTATTGCGTTCTTCCAGGTCGGTAAAGGTTCGGTTGAACTCTATTCGATGGGAATGCTCTACAACCAATTGATCTATAGTAGTTTCTTCAGTGAGTTGCGTACCAAACAGCAGCTTGGATATATCGTTCAGACAGCTTCAGACACTGCACTGGCAACCGTCCATCTACGTGTACAAGTACAATCAGACACCAAAGATCCAGAGTATCTATTTGATCGCATCGATGAGTACATTCAACAAGGATTGAAGGAGGAACTCAACGCTTTAGATGAATCGGAGATCCAAAAGTATGTCACCTCTTTGCAAGAGAAATTACTACAGAAAAAACCAAACAGTAGATTTCAAGCATTGGAATACACTCAAATTACTCAAACATTTGAAGGTGACCAAAAAATAAGTAAGTAAATCAAACTGATAATTTTTTATAAATATTTTATAACAATTTTATTAATTCTTGTTTGTTTTATTTTTTTAAGGACAAAAACAAGTTGATTATCTATCAACTGTTAAGAAGTGTGACGTGTTGGATTTCTTTGAACAATATGTATTGAACAAAGAAAAGAGAAAAATGGTCGTTGTTCAAATCTATGGTAGAGGACATAAAATCAATCCAATTAACGATCCAAATGCTATTGAATTGACTGATCCAGCAGAATTCAAGTCGTCAATTGGTTTATATCCACCATTCTGTTTAACTAAATAAAATGAGATATTTAATAAAGTATATCCATATTATTATTGTTGTTAAAAGATTATTGAATATTGCATTATTATTATTATTGTTGTTGTTATTGTATTATTACATATTAAATTAAATAAAAAGATAGTATAGTGTATGATACATAGGTGTATTAGTTTGAAATATAATCTCTGTTGTCGAATGGAGAGGTAATTGCATTGGGTGAAGAAGACAGTGAAGAGGCATCGGAGTGAGTAGATTCATCAGATAGCTCAGAGTCCGAGTTGTTATATACAAGTGCGTGGTATTGTGGTCCGTTGCTGGAAGACGATTGGTTTATGGATTGTGAGATGTATCGACTCTCTGCCGAGCTGCCTTTGTAACGACGTTTCATCTTTCGCATTCTAAACAGCATCATCATCGTTGGCAGAATCTCGGTGATGAAGAAGTAAGCCAACTCAAACTCCCATCCAAACGCAAACGTTGGTGTCGTCGCAGAGTCTGGGTCGACCGCAGCCACACGAATCGAAAACATCATCACAGACGATCGAATACAGAAGCAAATGGTACAGATCGATCCTACCACTGCTGCTCTAATCGATTCTGGTGGTGCAGGTGCCGATAGCAGACTGGTTTTCGGCGATGGCGAAGACAAACTTCCCAATCGTCTGATTGCAAGGAACAGCAGGATTCCAAACAAAAAGAAACCGAAACCAGCCACTAAAAAGCAACAACTAACGAATCCTTCCGAGATCTGTTCGACTATATTCATTCTGTAGTTGTTTGGTTTCGCCCATACAACCAACACCACGATCCAAGTGACAGTGAGTGACACCAATAAAACATTGAAAATAATGATAAAAGGTCTCCATTTCCTCCAGAAATCTCTAGATGTAACGTATGGTTTTGAGAATCTAGTATATAATTCGATCCAAAATAACAATAAACATCCATATGCTAAAAATAATAAAATAGTTGATATATTATACTATAATTTAATTTGTTAATTTTATAAAGGGCTTATACATAAATAAATAGAAATAGTTATTTACCCATATAATAACTTCTAAATATAAATCTGCGGACATTGAAGGTTGTGCAAAAAAGAAAGCGCTTCTAACTGTTTGTAGTTCGTTTGTTTGTTCGGTTGTAAGTTGATAATCAATGAAAAACGACCAATAGAAAATATAAATAACATACCTAACATAGCAATTGCTATGATGAAATGAAATATGGTCTTTGGTTTAAGGTTCTTTACACCTGACCTTGAATAATAATAAATTCGTATCAATTGAAAGAGTGCCCAAAGAAAGAGGACACCATCAATGAGTCCCAATACATAATTCAAATTGATTGATGCAGACATTGCATCCTCCAATTTATACTTTATCTTTTTTTTTTTGTTTATTTATAAAAAAAAAAAATATAAAAAAATAAATAACTTAATAACTAAAATAATAATAAATCTAAATATATAAATGTGTTTGCTTAAAAAATAAAAAAATGATCAATTAAATCACAAAGGGTGTTAAAAAAGTCATCGGGAACCCTGGGTCTCATAAAACCTGTGGGAATTTTAGAAAAAAAAAAAATTCGAATTTATTTATTTTTTGTTTTAATTTATTTGTTTTGGTAGTCTGGTACTAAAGTATTTTATGATGTTGATATTTCCAAATAAAATCGATTGCGTAAAGATTGCTGGTATTGCAATGGTTGGAATCAGTTGATTCTCATAGCATTCCACCAGTTGTTGGTAGTTGTTCAGTTGTGCTGCTTTGAGGAAAGGTTGAAGTTCCTCTAGCTTACCACTTTTGTTTCGTTTGAGATGTTCGATGACTAATTTGAAAGTTTGAATATTACCATCTCTAAAAGTAATTTGGTTCGATAGAAATTCGGCACCACTGAAAGCTAAACGTCCACTGGTGAGTATGTAATCCATTATTTCAGGTTTGTAGCTGTGTCTGTGTATATTAATGAGTTTAATTGATTTATTGATTGTCAGACGTTTGAAGTAAGCTTTAATCGTTTCAATATTGTTGTTTTCTAATGCTGAACCAATGATTTGGTTAGCATTGGCATGCAGAGGAATATCTGCAAATGTATCGAATAGATAGTCTATTAACTCTGGTTGTCGGAAATCAAAGGCAGCCTTCAGTGACAAAGCATTAATATTGAGAACAGCTGGACGCATTTCATGAATGTATTGAAGTATCTTTATATCTCTACAAATATAAACCAGCGCATTGGTTGATTGATTTCTATCTGGAATGTTTAGTAACAGCTGAATGGTTTCTAAAGGTATATTTTCTCTCAGGGCTGCAAAGAGTAACAATGGTTTGGCCGAAGTCAAGATACCATGATCGATGAGCAATTGCAATACTTGATGATATACGGACAGAACTTGTTTATCGTTATCGCCATGATCGCCAGGGTAGATCTGATTGAAAAATGATGATATAGTTCTTTGATCCAATGCTATTTGACACCTCGAACCAATCAATAGCTTAACAAACTCCAAATAGAAATCTGGAGATAAATTTGTGGTTTTGTTGAGAACCGGTAGAAAGAAGATATAGCCCTTACGGTTGTCAACAATCTTCTTTACAAGCTGTAGGTCGCTTTTTAGGACTGCATGCATAAGTGCTTCATTATAATTCATTGCCAACTTTGGAAAGTTGGTCAACTGTACAAGATAATTTGTCACCAAATGATTGTCTGACTGTATTGCGGTGGCCAATACATGATGAAATCTACATACTATCCTAGGATTTGCAAGAAGCTTTTCAAGTAACTCTACTGATAGAATTGTTGGTGGAATACTATCGACAATGATATTGTTTACTATTCTGAAATCACTCCAATTATCGAGTATAAAATTCACAATTTTTGATGCACCAATAGTTATTGCATTACCTATTCCTGTTTCCCCAAAGTGAACATTAATTGAGCTACCAATCTGTAGCAACAATTTAAAGCATTCCAAATCATCGAATCGTATAACAGAAGTAAATATTTGATGATCGAATGACGGTTGTTGTTTTAAATCTACCATTAAATATTGTATCATCTTTACGCCACCTCCAACAGCTGCAAGCCAATCTAAACTCTGTAGTTTCAAGGTACTGGTGGAATGAATCTTAAAGATATAATTGATGGCGTCAATGGATCCAATGGAAATTGACTTTTGGAGGAATAAGCGCCAATGTCGATCTTGAAAAAGAGAGTATTGATATGCCAGGCCCATAATTGATAGCAATCTATCTTGATTTTCCAAAGTTGCATTCTGTGGCAAATCTGTATGCTCAAGATAGTATTGATTGGTTGCTACATCAGGTTTTGTTGTATTCTCCAGAATCATAGTTACAAACTCTAGCGACAGATTCTTAATGCCTATCTCCAGAGCTTTGGTGAATTGATTCAATGCAAGTTGCTTCGTTGTGCCTTTCCTGTGTAGCTGGAACAGAATGATAGCTAGTGACTTGGTATCATTGCGATTTGCAATGTCCGGGAGTATCGATTGTAGATACGGAACAATCGAAAAGTGGTCGTCTCTATTAACGATATCCACGAGGAACTTGGACACAATGTGATTTCCACTCTTGAAAGACGACAGCAGTAGTGGCGATAGATTGCCCGAGCTTCTCGCCAGATGAAAATCATAGAATAAAGGTGTTTCGAATGTCTCTCTATATTCATTAAGAAAATGAGTCACAATGAAATCACCACAGTCATAGTTGAGTAAATGGTAAAGCGAACCATTTTCAATCAACGCTTTACCAGTTTGAGGAAATCGAAACTGTTTACTATTCGACCTATGTATGTCATAGATCGATTGAAATATCTTATCTCTAATAACTATATTTTGTATAAGATATATAAATTTATTATTATTATAATTATTAGTTATCTCCATTCATAACTCATTGTGTATGTATTGTTTGTTTTTTTTTTCTACGTAAGACGATGATGTTTCAAATAGAAATTTAACATGAATTTATTTTTATTTATTATTTCTTATTTTTCGTAATTTATCATTTTTAATATCGACAATTACGAAATTTCAAAGATTGCGAATTAAATATCTTTTGAGTAACTTATGTTCAACATTTGTGCAAAACCTTTTTTGTTTTTTTTTTTTTATTAAATTTGTAAACACTTCTGTTCAAGTAATTATTACTAAAAAAATATCTGAATATCTGAATCCTATCGAATAGATCTTGATATGTGTCGGTTGTCAAAAAAGATTTTTAGTGGTTTGAAAAATAAAAAAAAACATTTATATTCTTTTTTTTGACACAATTGTAGATTTGATTTATTTTTAGTGCAAGTTGTTATCATGAGAATGGACAGGTCAACAATTTTAAAGTGCTTATTTTTTAATTTTACTTAATTATTTGTAATAATACTAATTGTGTGTGTTTTAGAAGAAGAGAAGTGTAGTAAACAGAAAGTAGAAATACAAGGTTGTTGTGTTGTAAGAGGAAGTCGTTGTGACTTGTAAAGTTAGTTTACTTTTTGGTTTAGCAGTAAGTCTTGTCTTTGTTTTGGTTTGGTTTAGATTGTTTGTTAGTTGTTATATAGATATATATATATATAAATATAGATAGTTAGTTGTTTTTAAGAGAGAATGATAGATGAAGATTTAATATATAATCAAGTATATCAATTCAATCAAGAGAGTATATATAACCAGACATGTAAGAAGAATGCAGATATTATAATCTGTCTGCCGGATGATATGGTCAATTTCAAAGGCATCGTAATGGCAATCTACAGTTATATTCCGGTGGTCGTTTTCATTGTTCTCGCCATATGGTATATTATTCGGAGAACGATCGTTCCAATCTTGGTATTAGCAACACTCGGTTTAACACTACTTCTAAACGAGGCAATACTAAAGAATATTATAAAACAACCAAGACCACCTGGTTCGTGTGCATGCTCGTAAGTTTAGTTTTTATAGAAATCTAAAAATTATTAACTTATAACTAAATAACTAATTCTAACAATGATAATTGATATTAAAAACAAACAAGATATGGTATGCCATCAGGACATTCTATAACATCTACACTCTTGTTGTTTTGGATTATCTTTGAATTCATTCATCCTTTGGACAAGAAGATTCCCATTGCCAAACGATTGATCTACGTAGGATTGGCTCTGATTACTTTTGCAATGGTACCATACAGTAGAGTGTATCTTTTGTATCATACATGGCAACAGGTATTGGTAGGAAGCTGTATTGGCTTTGTTTTCGCGCTACTGGTGTTTCTCTTTTTGCGATTGAAACTAATACATCACCTGCCGAAACGTGAGATATTCTTCCGAACTCGTCTAATAATGAGAAATAACTACCGTGTCATAGAGATCACCACTACGTCGCATACTGAAATCCTGCTCACACCACTGCCTGGCATTGCAGTGAACGACGGTAGCGACAACGACAACAGCGAGGGTAGTAACAACGGTCTGACAATGACAGCAGTATCGGCAGTGGCCACCACCACCAACACAACCATCGAATACACTGAGAACAGAGAAGACGATGAAATGGAAAGAGGTGGTATATTATACATGAGTACAACAGGTAAAACTATCAAATATTTATAAGAAAATCAATCAGTCAAACATACAAACAAACAAACAAACAAACAAACAAGCCTTTCACATTCTTTAATTTAAATTAAAAGAATTTCATTTTATTTATTTAATCTATACGAACCAAACTTTAAACTTATTACTTATTATTCTATTCTATTCTATTCTTTTTAATTTTAATTAGGAACTAACAACAATAATATTAATGTTAAACAAAATGATGATAGCGTATAGTCATTCTTTTTAATTTTTAATAAGAAACCCCAATCAAAACAATGTAATAATAGCGTTAAATATATGTAAATAATAATCAAACCATAGAGATATCAAAATAAACAAACAGAGGGAAAAAGAAACAATGAAAAAATAACTAGATAAAACAAACAAACAGAAAGATTGGCGCGCAACTAATAATAATGTTTTATAATTTTAAATAATAAATATTAAAATTATATTATTATTTATTATTATCTTTAACTACTGGTTGTTGCTGTTGTTGTTGTTGTTGTTGTAGTGGTTGATGAATAGGGTGTCAACACTTTAATTATATTCAATAGCTTGTTGGCGAAATCAACGTTGTTTTGTGATAGGAAAAAGTCAGCAACATGCTTTGATTTCTCGATGAGCAATGACATGAATAGTTTACTACGATCATCTAGGTTGGTTGTCATTTGATTATCACTAAGTTGCTCTAGCACTCCGTTTGAGAGTGCAATGATTATGTCGGCGAATGACTCTGCCAACTGATCGTTTCCAATCATCTCTAGGAGATTAGCTCTGAGTGTCAACTCGCCAGAGTAAGTCGAAGGCGATTGCAAAAATTGAATAAAAGTGGTCATTGGAATCAATGTCTCCAAGCCATCCAAATGCAATTGACAATCGAATGGTGATGCCAATACACCCGTCAATTTAAGATTACTCAATTCCTGTGAGAATGAACTGTTATATGGATCCAAATTCAACTTGCTATTATTAATGTTATTGTTATTATTATTATATCTTCCTTTGCTGTTGTTGTTGTTTTGATGTGGGAACTTCTCGATTGCAATGAGTTTACGCTTGTCAAAGATGTTTTGAATCTTGGTGAGCAGGTAATCGTCTAGTCTACCGGAGGGTGTTGAAAAGAGTAGTGAACACTTTTGATCCAATCCTTTGGATATCTCTCGCCAGTACTCTATCTGTTGACGTGTCGGTGCAACTCGCAAGTCGATTTCAAAGAACGACGGACAGATAAAGAGAGAGTTGGGTTTCAGTTGTGTTACCAATTGGTTGATAAAGGTGACTTGTGCGCTAGAGTATGCTTTAGCAGTGTTGGTTTCGGCAGTTGCCGAGTTTGGCGCGCATATCGGTGCTGCTAGCATCTCATTGAAATGCGAGGGTAACACAATGGAAAAGTCGTTGACACCGAGCTGCTTGTAACTCGTTAGTCTTCCACTCATGGCAACGAGCGACTCTGGCTTTGTGAATAGGAAATCCTTTGGCAGTGTCATAGCGATGTTGATAGTGATACCTCTTGTCTTTGCAAATTCAACCAGTTTCTTTATAAACTGAACGGTATCACTTGGAATGGCGACTGGTTTCGCAATGTTTTCGGTGGAGGTGTCCAGTGTGGCGGTGGTCGAATGATAGTTATCCGGTGAGATAATAAAGTAATTGGAGTCCTTATGTTTCAATTGATCCAAATAGTTCATGTAGACATCGATCGAGGGAACACGCATTGCTTGAGAACTGCTATTGTACCACAATCCCTCCATGATTCCTTTGAATTGGATACGATTCGACTTGATATCCTTGGAGTTCAAAACGAGCAGATCTTCTTCCGCTCCATAGTATTGTTGTACAGCGCTATTTATCGATGTTTTCTTTTGAAGTTTTGTTGCAACAGTCTCCTCCTTAGTGTTATCCTTATCCTTTCCACCTTTTCCTTTCTTGTTGCTGCTATCGGCTGATTCTTTCGAATGAGAATGCATTGAAACTTTGCCCTTCAGATGTTGATGTGTATATTTAGCTTCAACCTTTTCCTTGGAAACGAGATCCTCAAGAACATTGGTACTATTTCCAGTGACCGAGGTAGACGATGGTTTCAAATCCAGCTTCTCAACTTTGATGTCACGTGCGCTGGCAGCAACAATTCGACCACCGACCACGTCGATCGATATACGATTAGATCGCTTCTCCTTCTCTAGTTGCTCGTTATAAGCGGCTTCCTGTGCAGCAATGAACTTTCGCTCGTCTGAACTTATCCACTTGTTATTCTGATTGGAGAAGTAATCCTCCTGGTCGTCGTAGACAATCGTACGCTGAACACTATTCTTCTGGTATCCCAAAATAGTTTCTTTATACTGAATTGCATTGGCTAAATCTCTATCCTTTTGTTGCTGACTTGTACTTGAATTATTACTATTATTGTTGCTGTTGTTGTTGCTGTTATTTGGTGATGACTTTTGGAATAATGGAGTTCCACAGAATTTACATGGACCTTTACCCTCTTGTTCACAAATGATCTTTCCACAATTCAAACAATTGGTTATCAATGAATGTCTAGTGGCTTGACAATCACAAGGATCACCTGCTCTACCTTGTATTTCAATCTCTGAGAATGACTGTATCGACTTTTTCGTTGAGACTGTTGTCTCTCTGTTGTTACGACCACCTTGTTGTTGTTGTTGTTGCTTAGTATTCTTATTATTCTTATTATTGGTTTGATTTGTTTTTGGTTTTTCAACTGGTTTCTATTAATATATATATATTATATAATGTTAGTATGTAATCTATTGTAATTGTATAGATTAGATCAATCACAAAGTTACTACTTACAACTATTCTTCTTGGTAGTGAATTGATTTTCTTTGTAAGTTGTTCAATGAATGTTCTTGTCTTCTTTGTATTTCCAAGAAGATCAACTAAATAGTTATCGATATCACTGTTACTCTCCGCAGCAAAGATATAACGTATGATTTCATCTGGTGGGAAACCCAACATCTTTTGTAACTTTTCTGTAGTCCATCTCTCTAATGATTCCCAAGTTAGAGGTTCATTTACTTGTGCCATTTATTATTATTATTATTGTTATTATTATTGTTATTTTTTTTTATTAATATTAAGTATAATGTTTATGAATAGTGAGTGACTTAACAACAATCAAAGCATTTTAATTAAACTTATTACTAAAAATTAATCTTTTTTTTTTTTTTTTTTTTGTAGAAACTTATGAGATTTTTTTAGTTAGATAGATAAAATTTTATGTTATTTTTAAAGATAAACAAATAATAATGAACAGATTTGCTATGATTGCAATGTTTTGATGTTCTGCATGTACACCATAAACTAAAAAACATTTATTCGATCATATGAACGATCGGTAAGCATGCTAACAATCGTAGCGATAACAGATATCTGTTATAAGCTGTTTACTTTGCCATTTCGAAATGACATTATCGTTGCTTGAAATAATCATGATGATGGTTTGGCAACCAAGGATGAATGCTTTAATTTAGCAACACCTGCAATATGAAAGAATCAGAAATACATGTAATGATAAATTTACATAGCAATTCAAAAGGAATAATAAAATAGTCACAACTTCAATCAACACAAAAGTATCTTTTGTTTTTTTTATTTCTCTTTTCAACAAATAAAATTAAATAAAAAAGAAAAGATAAACATTCGATATTATAAAATAAATAACAATCATTGCCAATGAAGAAACAACAAGAATAATTTTCAATTAATTTGTTAATTTGAAACACGAAATCCCCTCTTTTATTGGTGGCAATTTCATCTATTTTTTTGATGGTGCTTCAAAAAGCAAAAGATACTTTGTATTGACTGAAGTTGGTACTATTTTATAATCAATTTATTTGTAAATATTTTAAAGTATAAAAAGAATATTTATTTAAATAAAAAACAAAAAGTTTTGAAAAAGACTTGAAAATAAAAGTGATCATTCGTTTGTTGAATAGATTCATTAACTTATTAACACCATTCTCCAGGTACAACCAGAAAAGGTTTTCTTGTCCCAATTCAAAAGTTTTACCTGCTCAAATCAAATATATATTAAAAATAAAAAGAATAATAATAATAAATTCTTTTTATTTTTAAAATTAATAAATATCAATCCCGAGATTGAGTTTTGGCTTTTAATAAAATTAAAGAGAGTATAATATTTTTTTTATAATTACAATTTGTTTTATATGTTTTGATTAATTAAATAAATGATTATAATTAAATGACTACTTATTCATTGGTGTTGTCAGTGATTGATTCCATCGATGGCTTTTCGGAAATTAAGATCGGTGATAAAGATTGAACGGAATCTCTTCCGACTATAATATCGGATGTTGGTGATTGTAAAACACTATTATTATTATTGTCTGTTTCTAAAGATTGTGGAGGTGGTGATGGTGGTTGAACCACTGTCTGTTGTTGTTGTTCACTTTTTATGGGTGGTGTTTGTGGTGGTGTCGGTGCTAAAAACTTTTCAAGTTCATCTTTGGAGTCTTCGATTGTGACTTGTTCGATCGATATTGATTCCTGTGGTTGTGATGCCGCAGCGGTCTGTGGAATGATTCCGCTCGTCTTGTAGTCATTGAGTTGTTGCTGTATGGTTTTATCGAGATTCGATCTGATGTTGGCGTCCTCCTGTATCTTTCGCTGCAGCTCTTCGTCTGCTTTCTTGCGTGCGATACGCTCTGCCTCCAACTGGGCGGCACGCTCTTTCATCGCCTTCTCACGCTCGTGTCTATTGTAAGCGGCAGCCAGCTCCTCTTCCATCCTGGCAAGCTCCTGCTTTCTGGCAGCTTCGTAGCGAGTCGACTCTGCCTCTTTTCTCTCGCGCCACTTGTTCATCTCGTTGTCCAAGAAGTTATCAATCTCGATCGACAAGCCAATCTCCAACGACTCGATCTTGCTGATGACCGACTCCATTGTCAGTGTCAAACTCTCCACCATGTTGTTGAGCTCGTCGAGATGACTGAGCTCTGTGTGTGCACGCTTCCACGATTCGGCGTGTGTCATTCCGGTTCTCACGAGAGGACCGATCTTCTTGTCGACTTCCTCGGCACGCTCAGCCAAGATGACACCATTGGTACGCATCTGCTTCAGCTTGATCTCGTAGGTGCGCAGTAGTAGACTACCGTTGTAGAGGTCGACGTCCTGACACGAATCCTTCAGCTGTGCAACCGATGGTAAATGAATTGTCGACTGAGCAACTGTGTTGGTGACAGTACTCGTTACGGTATTGGTAACACTATTCGACAGTGAAGTAACCGTTTGCAACACCACAGGGAAATCTTTCTCAGTAAACTCTTTAATATTGTCGGCTTCCTTTCTAATAGAATCTTTAATCGATTCAGTGACAGCTGCAACCGGTTGAACAACACTTCCTTTAAATACATCTACATAATAGTTATTACCACTACTACTATTGTTACTATTGTTACTATTGTTACTACTATTTACATCTGTTGAATTTGTATTTGCTGCTGTTGTTGTTGTTGTTGTATTGTTATCTGTTATTGGTGTTGTGGTTGTTGTTGTTGTTGTCGCTGTTGATGTGGTTGCGGGGGTAGTTGTATTTGGAGATGCTGCTGAATCTGTAGTTGTTGGTTTTTTTAATAAACTTTCCTTAATTGATCCAGTACTAAAAATAGTAATATAAATATCATATTAATAAACTATCATGCATGATGAACCAGAGATCTACAATTTAATGAACATACGTTTCCTCAAACTTCTTTACAAAAGATTTAAACATTTTTTGTTTGTTGTTGTTTTTTAATTAAAACAAATAACAATAACTAGATTTACCTAATTATTATTAAAGTTTAAGTCACTAAATTAACAATTTATTTATTTATTTATTTATTTATTATCTTTTAGAAACAAAGATGTTTTAATAAAATAAACTTTAAGAACTGAAATGTATGATTCATTCAGATTGTTCATATGAAATATCTATTTTTTTGAATTTTTTTTGAATTTTTTGTGTTTGTTTCTGAGAGCAATCATTTCATTTCACAAACATACTCACATTTTGTACCATTGCTTGTCGGAAAGAAAGTTAAAGAAATAAAATTTTACTTTTTTTTATTTTATTTTATTTTATTGTTAACAAATTTATGTGAAAAACACTTAGAACCAGGTATCCTTTTGATATCTCTTTGATTTCTCGAGTTTGTGTAAATAGTTTTCGGCATCGGCAGCATCGATTGAAAGGTGTTGAGTCAAGATGGTTTTGAGAGTGTTGTGTACGTCCGGTGCCATAGATTTGGCATCACCACAAACGTAGATGTGTCCACCTTTTTCAATGAGTTCCGCTACCTCCTTGGCATTCTCGAGCAATCTGTCTTGAACGTAGACCTTCTTGCTGGTCTCTCTCGAGAAGGCAGTGTACAACTTGATGGCTCCGTCCGCTTCGTATTGCTTGAGCTCCGGACCGTAGAGGAAATCGAGTGACGACGAACGTGAACCAAAATAGAGTTGCATTTCACCGGTGGCATTCTGCTTCAAACGCTCTTGGATGAAAGCGACAAACGGTGCAATACCAGTACCTGGACCGATCATCAAAATTGGAGTCGATGGATCTTCTGGCAATCTGAAATCTGGATTATTGTTGACGTAGATCGAACATTGATCTCCAATGGCCAAACGATCCGACATGTGAGTACTGGCAATACCAACTCTATCAGTTCCATATAATTGATATCTAACAATGGCAACACACAAAGATACTGTCTTATCATTCTTTATCATTAGGAAATATAATGTGGAAATAATAATATTAATATTGAATTTTCTAGAATATTCCATTCTCCAACTTTATTCGAAAAGTAGTACTTACATGAGCCATTGAAGATGCAATTGAATAGTAACGTGGTAATAGCTTACCAAGTGCACCAAGAATATCGTTAACTGGTGGTCTAGCTGAACTGAACATCTTTAAAACATCAACCAAATGATTTACTTCCAAGAATTTATGAAGTGTTTCATTTGTTTTACTTGTCTAAAGAAAATTAAATTATATCATTAGTTTATTATTAATTATAGCTATTTGATTTTGATTTGATACACTTACTCCTTCCTTTAATAATTCAATTAATTTATTCTTTTCCTCTTGATTCTTGGCATGATCTTTGAGGAGGGTGAGGAGTTCTGGTTTCAAATTGTGGAGATCGTAACACTTGGTGAGTGCATGTTCGAGAGTGATCTGTGATGGGTTGGTCGATCCAAGCTTTTCTTGATAGTGTGAAGATGGTGTATTGATTTTGAGTGACGATGCGAGTTTGAGGAGTGCAATCACGGCCTTTACTTCGTCGGACTTGTTGTGAGCCAAGATTGCAAGTGAATCACCTGGAATCCATTTCAATTCAGAGTCACCCAACTCAAACTCCAAGTGGAATGCTTCCTTGTCTCCACCCAGCTTGGTGAGCAATCTCTTTACCAAAAGCTTCGATGAGTATGGAACCTTCTTGTTGTGTTTTCCAGCTTGAGCGGCGAATGACTTGGCAACTTCGTAGAGGTAATCGTCATCGGACTCTTTGAGTTGGAGAGATGGAATCATTGCTACGGTCGAGTTGATCCAACGGTCAAATACGTTCCAATCCTCTTGATCGACTTCAACACGTTGTTGAATACGCTTGGCTCCACATTGCTCAAAGAGTGAATCCATAAGTTTACCGGCTGCACAGTACAATGGGTAGGAACGGTCTCCCAACGCCAAAACACAGAATTGGATGTGTGAGAGATCCAACTTGTTGGCTTCCAAGTAGTCAAAGAATGGACGTGCAGTGGTAGGTGGAACACCATCACCATAGGTCGAGGTGATAATAAGAACCAACTGTTCCTTCTCGAAATTCAACATTTCATATTCCTCCATGTCGACGATACGCACAAAGAGGTTGGCATGCACTCTGAGTTCGTCCTCCAACTTAGAGGCTACTTCGTGTGACAATCCGTATTCGGTACCAACGAGAACCAAGATTGGTGAGGATGCACTGTTTGGACGAACGTAACGCTCCTTCTTACCGACTTCCTGTACTTGGCCAACTGGAGCGTCACTCTCAACGAAACTGAAAGCACCACCATCTTCGGAGGAAACATTTTCCTGTGAGAAGAATTTATAAAGGAAATAGGAAGCACCACCTCCAATAGCCAAAGCCAAAGCTGTTTTTGTTGAAACAATATTTTTAATAACCATTTTGTTTTATTTGTTGTATTTAAAAATAGATTTGTTTTGTTGTTTTAACTGAAAATTCTAATTTACTCTTTGTTATTTATTTATATATAATAGTTTATAATTTATTTGATATTGAGATTACCCGAATAAATAAAGTATTTATAGTTTGGAATAATTTAAAATAACAAAATAAATTAATATTATTATGTAAAAAATATATAAATTTGTAAATCTAATCTTTTGATCAATTGAATTGCAGTTTTTAAAGATTGATGAAATACTAGATATTATTTAGTACTCGATTACTTTTAGAACAAGCAAGTTATAAATAACAAAATCGCACACAAAAACTGATGACTACTTTGTTTTTAGAGTGCTCACTCCAGTGCTAACATCAAAAAAAAGTAATCGTCTTTTTTTTAGGATCATTTTTTTTAAAATAAAATAAAATAAAATAAAATATTTTTTTGGGAGTGCATTCCCAACCTTAAAAATATATTGCAAAATATTTGATAGAGAAGATCAGGATAATAATGTTAAGAATCAATTAGATTGTCAAAATTTATATTATGTTGTTACATATTAATACAATTTTTAATTTTAATTTTATTATTATTTTTTTTTATATGTTTGATTTTGGTAAACCAGCCTCTGCAAGTTGATTATGATTCTCTTGTGAAACAAAAGTGTTGGGTGGTGGACTAAAATTGATTTCTTGATTCTCTTTGACAAAGTTGATGAGTCGATCGATGAAACTACTAATGTTTTCCAAATGGAAGTGGTGTGATCCCTGACATTGAAGTGTTTCCAGGTTTTTGATGCATTCCATTCTCTTCTCCATTACTTCTGGCCAGTTCTTTTTCATTCCGAATTGCTGTGCACTGACGGTTCCCCAAATCAACATGACCGGACAGCTAATAGATTTCAACATGACCAACACTTCGTGTTCTCTCATCGTGAAGATGGACGGACCGACCAAACGAGGATCGTGACGTAGCTTGTACATCTGGTCGCCAGATGGCGAGATTACGGTCTCGATGGAACGCGCCAGCAATCTTCTAGCGGCGTCGTCTGAGATGAACGGATTGTTTGACTTTAGCTTCTCGACGATCGACTCTCTCGAAGGATAGAGGAATGGCTTACGCTTGATCAGCGAGTCACGCGATGCCATGGCGATTTGAATCGCTTGTAGCTGATCCTGCTCTCTCGACATCAAACCGATAAAGTCGAGACACACAATCTTCTCGACCATGTGTGGCACGGTAGCTGCGACAATCGAACCGATTCCGGCACCCATGCTGTGTCCGACGATGGAGAATGTCTTCCAGCCGAGAGCGTCGGCAACGTCTACGACCTGGGTGATGTAGTCGGTGTAGTAGAGATTGCACCATGTTGGTTTATGCGGACTACGTCCATGACCGATAAAGTCTACGCATATCATACGGATGCCACTCGATGCCATCACCGGACCTATCACATCGAACGTATTGGCATTGTCGAGCCAACCGTGCAGTCCAAGCACTTTGAATTTACTGTTATTCGGTCCCCAAGCTTTTGCAGCAATCGTTATACCTGTACCAATAGGAATAGATAACTCCTCTGCTATATTTTCAGCTATCTTTGCTGATACATAATTACTCTGTAAATCCATATTTGATTGATTAAAATAACAATAACTTATCTTTAAAGTATATAACAATAACAACAAAATAAATATAAATTTAGAAAAGTTTACAAAAAATAAAAAAAAATAATAACAAAATTAAATACAATGAAATGTTATGCTTATTAAATAAAATAAATTAATTATCTATAATAGAATGTTATTCTTTGTGTTAATTAAATCCATTAAAATTTCAAAAATAATTTCAAAAAAACGACATTTTTTTACTAAAAAGGAATTAACAGTGTGAAATTTCACTGTTCGACATGATGTTGTCCTTAAAACTTTTGCTATTTTTGCTTGTTGTCTAGTAAAAGTTACAATGATTCATCGATTGTTGTGGGAAAATCAATGATTAACATACCATTCAAAAGATATTTTGTTTAAATTTTTATGTTTTTAAATCAAATGAACTTGAATTTATATTATTGAAATGTTATGATGATTAGAACTATTATAGTTGGATGATATCACCATGGCCCACTAACAAAATAAATTCATTCATTGATTTGATTCTCACAAATAAAAAGACCAACCAATCAAGATACGTCTACGAATACATTTGATAACGATCGCAACTCACAGTTATAATATAGATTCACGAAAAAACAGTTGATCACTGCTAGAGGAAATAAAAGACAATATAAGACGCGTCCTCTAGAAGTTTGATAATAAATATTAGATTCTTAACAACCTATCACCATAGTTAAAGTGGCTACCAATAGATAGAATAATAATTGTCTATCACTATTACTCTTGTACATCAGAGGTCTCTCACTGACTGTACTGGATTAACACTGAGCAGCTTGCAAGATCTTTGCCAAAGAATGATTATACCAACAATATCTTAACTTATTATTAATTGTTAATAAAAACCTTTTTATTTTTTGTATTTCTTACATTCGGGACACTGAGATGAGTAACCACTTGGGAGTGGAGTGTCAGTCGATATAGAAAGCGCACAACCGTTGCAATATTTTGCTCCACATTTACTGCAAGAAGTGAACTATAAAATAAATATATTGAAATAAGTTAGCACTTCATTCCTTTAAATGTTGTACTATTTTATAGAATAATATTTACTTTACACATTTTTATTTATTATTATATTAAAGAAAGACATAAGACCTCCTTATATTTATAAATCTTTTTTTACTGAGTAGAATAAAAATCTTGGTTAGAGGTCGTTAAAATATTTCTTATTGGAATCTCAAAATTTAAAAAATATTAATAACTGTTAATGATTTAATTTTAATAAAGTTTTTTGTTTTGGATGTTTATTTAAAACTAATTGGAGTAACTTAGTTAGCTATCCGTTATTGGATTCTTGATCCCATTGAGAAATATCTTATACTATTATCCAAAACCTGATAGTGAATAGCGCTTAATCTCTGTAGTGTATTATCTTCTCTCTTTTGGAGGAAATCAATCTGTTATTATATTTTTAAATGATTGTTGAAAAAACATTGGTGTTAGGTTAATAAATTCTATTTACCTAGCTAGCTAGATCGATCTATCTATTTAATGCATCTTGATTGATAACTTACTTGACCATCTATATCTCTTGAGTAACCAGTCTTGAGACCATCTACCATCAATGTTAAATCCGATTCGTATTGGAGTAGTCTGAGGAATGTTTCATCGTCGGTGCAATCCGAGTGGTAGAGCAGCAGCAACGAGCAGTTGGCCTGCTCTTTAACGTAGCTCTGACAGAATTGAATAAAGTGGAGTACATCGATATCGCTTGCACCAAAGCTACTGAGTAGATTAAGATTATCGATTACGAACAATGTATGTGAGTTTTGTAGCTTTTTCATTCGTTGTTGATGGTCTTTGACCAGCAATTCAAATAGCTGCTTGAAAAATTGTGATTTATCTGATTTGTTGGTGTTGTTGTTGCTGCTGCTGTTGGCGGGCAGCGGTTGTATTGGAAACGGTTGAAAACCTTTGGAGATAGGATCGAGTGGTGGTTCCTCTTCTATACCGGCTTCTTCGCGTGCCGCTGCAGCGAGTTGCTCGATCCAGCTGTAGCTACTACCGAGACCGTTTATAAAGCTGAAATGACCCTTTTGATTCTCTGTTGTCAAGTTGTAGCCTAGCTTTCTACCGACACTGTGATAGTGGAACAACGATTGATTCAGACCGACCAAACAAACACCCATATCATCACGCTTGCTAACCGATTGTAAAACATCGTGAATAACAAAAGATCCTTCCGCTCCAAGAGTATCGGCAATCAAAATTAACTTTGAACTTGGAACTGCCTTCATTGGAGTACCATCTACATTGTTTCCTCTATACCAATTTAAATGACTAAATAAATCCATCTATATTTTCTTTAGGAATCTATATATCTGTATATCTATATCTATTTATATTAAAGTCGTTTATAATATTGTTTATGAAGAATTGTGTGTGTGATCATGACCTTTTTGAGAAATATTTAAAAAAATCGAAATTTGGTGGTTTTTTCATATGACTTATTTGAAGATGGTGATTACTTTTTTCAAACTATTTTGTAATAGATAGATTTAAAATAATAAATATGTTTACAAATAAATATAAATTAATTAGTTTTATCAGTAGATATAATAATAACAATGTTAGTTTAAATAGAATAATAACAATTGGTACCAGATTGTATAGTAGTAGTAATAGATACGATGCAGATGCAAAATTAAGTAATACAGATATCCTTAGAAAGAAGTTGATCTATCAATCAAAGGAAAGAGGAATGCTAGAGAACGATCTTTTGTTGGGAAGTTTCGCATCTAAATACCTCAATGATTTCGATCACAATAAGCTGGTGGAGTACGACAATATCATTCAACAACCAGATCCCGACATCTATAACTGGGCACTCAATAAACAAGATATTCCAGAGGAATTGAACACCGAAGTGATGAAGTTACTTCAACATCACTGTCAAAATAACCCATTGGGTTATCCAAAAAACTAAAACTATATATGCACAAGAAAATCATAATAAACGATAACCATTCATTAATTCCTTCTCTATTTAGATTCTAATTTTACATTTTATTTATATATTTTTTAATCGGTATTGTTGTTATTATTTATTTCCAAAATTTGAACTTTCTATATTTCCATAACTCTTGTTTCTAGAAAGAATTAAATTAATATAGATTTTAATAAGATTATTAGATTAGAAACAATCATTTCTACAACAACTACAATACTTACAATAGATAAGCACCATGAAGGAAGGCACAACCTACAGTTGTTCCATAAAGAACCCAATTTAATCTAGGATATTTTTTTGAACCAACAAACTTGATCAAACCAATAACGGGTGCAGCTGCCAAAGGCTGCAAAAATTCATAGTTTAGTGTTCTTGGTGGCTTTGCTATGACTTGCTCCTGCATTGCAACAAATTCATTATTCTTTGACATTTCTTTCTCCTGTAAATCTGATTCGATCAGTTAAATAAATATATAAATAATACAAATAATTCTTTGTTTTAATATAAGCAAAAAAATGAAAATAATAATTTAAAAACGAAAACGTTGAAATTGCGAAAGCAATCTGAAAAAAAAAAAATAAAACAGAAATCATTTTTTACTATTTTTAGTAAAAAATTTTGTGGACAATAAGCTTACACTTTTACCTTACTAAAAAAAATAAATAAATTATTTTATTAATAATTGCGATAGATTACTGGTTTGGAGATATCCACCACTTGTAAGTTGTTCGTTCAATATTAAATAGTTACTCATCGTTGAGTTAAATTTGTGTTTGTTTTCTGTTTGTTTGTTATCAAGAAGAATCAATGTCATTTGTTCATTGGTACTGTGATGCTGATTTTGATAGTGAATGTGGGTGAGATGTGCTGGTAGTGTTTCACTGAGAATTGGCTGACGGTAGCCTTGTCCCAGAGTGATTCGTTTGACTTTGTTCAGCCAGCTATCGTTTAATTGTTGATTGAAATCCGCACCGAAAACAAGTGTTTCTACTGTCGCTGGAATACAATCTGGTGCAATCTCCTGGTTGAATCGATCGCCAAATACAATTTGTTTGAGGTGTTTCGGAGGGAGTGTCGATGGTTGTACGTTTTGATTGAAGTTGGCACCAAATGAAATGTACTCCAGTGAGTCTGGAAGTGAACTACCAGCTGGCAGTTGCTCGTTGAATTCATCGGAGAATCTAATGGATTGAAGTTGTTTAGTTGGAAGTTGGCTGGGCAGAATCGGACTGTCGTGAAGTGTCAGTTCTAAAAGATTTGGTGGAAGTGTTTGTTCGATACGGGTAGGTGAGATTTTCAAATATTTGATCGATTTCAGTTGGTGAAGATCGAGGTTATTCGGTGGTTTGTAAATAGATAGATGTGTCACTGTGGTTGGAATGATGGAGGAGTCCAGTTCCTGACTGAAGGATCTTCCAAAAGAAAGGGTGGTTACGCCGCGCGGAATTGCGCCTGGCACCAGTGGTTGGTTGAACATCGATCCAAATTTAATAGTTCTCAGGGTCGATGGCAATACACCAGCCAGTATTGGATGTTGGTAATCTCCTTTGAATGTCAACTTTTCCAGTCCTTCGGGAAGTGATCCAGGAATCAGAGGTTGATCATACATTATGCCAATTTTCAGAGTGCGAAGCGAGGCAGGAAGTGATTTTGGTAGCAACGGTTGATTGAACTGGCAACCCAGTTCCAAAGAGACAAGTGCAGATGGCAAACAATTTGGAAGTAGAGGTTGATTGAACTGTGAGAATGTTGAGTTGTTTCCAAGCTTTAGGTGTGACAGGCTTGCAGGAAGACAGCCAGGTTTCAGCGGTTGATTAAATTCACTCTTGAAAATCAAGTGTTTCATAGTGGAGGGTAAACAGCCAGTTTCAATCGGTTGATTAAACAATTCACCAAATTCGATATGTACAATATTGCTAGGGATGTCGCCTTGTTCCAAAGGCTGATTGAACCACTCACTATTAGCAATGATTCATTTTATAATGATTAGTAAATACACATTTATAAATCTTTAAACATGAACTACTTACCCTAAAAACAAATGAGTAACACTATTTGGAATGTAAAGCTGACTTAAAGATCGATTATAATTATTGGAAATTACTAAATAATTGATATTTTTACTAATTTTGTCTTTTTCACATGAATCTGGAAATTTTTGAATAAGTAAATTGTTTTAAGTGTAATTGATAGTTGGTTGATTGTTCTGATGATTTACCTATATTTGTTATATAATCAAAATAAAGATCACTTTGATTCGGTTCGTCTTCATTGGTTGCCATATATTGAATGATTGGAATCTTTCTCATCATCGATCGATCTATCACATTTCTAAAATGTTTTAGTACTCTCTTTTGTTTCTGTTGTCTTTTGTAGGAGAGTAAACTTGGTAGGTGTCGATCATTCAGAAACAACAATCGATCAACATCGTCATACCAAACCTTACTTGCCAATATCAAGCAAACTCTATCTATATTCGAATCGAGGTATGACAGTATATATTTTATTATTAAGTGTGGTAATTTGTCTAATTCATTCATTTTCTATAAAATAAACATAAATATACTATTAAATAAAACTAAAAATAAGAAACCTCTGTAACTTTAACAAAATAATATTAAAATAATAATATTTTAAAAAAAAAAGAAATAAAAGAAACAAAAAAGTGTCGAGAAAAGAAAGCTTAATAAAGAATTATTAATTATTAGTATGTATATATAAATGTAATATTAATAATTATAGAGGAGTGATTGATAAGAGTGTACACATTGGTGTTGTGAATCACTTCGATTACTTTTTATTTTAATTTATTTGTGTTTTACCCCCATTCAAAAGAAATCGACAACACAATGGCGTGTGTTATTTCAAAAAATTACCACTCAAAGAAATCAAAAAAAAAAAACATTGATTTTTAAGAAAAATCTAACCAGGATTTTTGAAGATTCAGATAAATAAATCTATCTAGAAAAAAATAAATAATTTTTGCACTATCAGGGATGAAATGTAAATTGAATGAATTAATAATTGTTTTTACTCGAAATTTCATTGTTGATCTCACAATCTCATAAAAGTCTTCATTAATTAACTAGAACTCACCAAAATTTCACGATTTTAATAAACACACCTGATGAGGGATCAGATACAAATCCTCCATTGGAATAATGCCTTAATACAATGAATAAATAAGATTGCAATTAAAATAAATCAATATCTATTTGATAATCACTCTCAATAATCAAATGTATAATCATTATCCAGATAATGATGAATACAATTACAATAGAATCAGACCAAGAAATGAAAGAATGTATGTATAAATTTAATAATTAAATAATATAATTAATGAAAAAAAAACTAAATGTTTGTATTTCAAGTAAAAACTATAATAACAAGAGTGACATGAAGATAAATGTTCGAAGTCATGACATGAGGAAACTAGAGAAAATTAAAACAAAAAAGAGACTGCAAGATCGTTATGATTCCGACAAGGCAAATGGAATTGTAAAAACAAACAGATTCACTAAAGCAGGTGCTCAGCTATTTGCATATGAATCTCGTGGGTCTTATCCAATCAGTCAATACCAAAGAATAAGAGAAGAACAAATGTAAGCCAAGTTTAAACTTTAAATACTTATTACTTATAACATCTAATAACAGACTTTGATATCATATTTTAATATTATATTCCAATTAAATTAAAATTAGATTTAGAAGCCTAAGAATTTCAACGCTAGCTTCCTCTTTGAAGCCAGCAGTTTTTGGAACCTTGAAAACAAATTTGGCAGCTAAAATTGCAGATGATATTCAAATATCTTGTACGAAGTTTGGAAATAAGATTGTCACATTAGTAGACATGTATCCATGGAATTTCATTCAGTTGATTATGACATATCTACCTCTTCCCACTTGTGAGAGGATGAATCAAGTATGGGAAAAGTCAGACTACAATTCTTCAGTAGGTAACATCTTTTCGAGTATAGTTTACAATTCAATCAATTTGAGAGAGATGAATTCACTAAAGAGAAAATCAGTTGATCGTCCGATTCCCAATTCCCAATTGCTCCAATTTTTCGAACCATCAACTGGTGATATCAAAGAGATATTCAAATACATTGGTCCAATTGATCGTGAAGAAGCCAAAGCCCGTGTTATTGGTACAAAGTGTAGTTTCAATACAGTTTCCAACTTGGAAGAGTTCAAAGTTGGATTCAATGATTTCTTTACGAGACGAGTGCTCAGAAATGTCACATGGAAATCAGAAGGTTTCAAAGTTGTTGTTACTGGTGGATCGGTTCTTGCTGGTCTCACACGTCTTGGAGCAGACACTGAGAGTTACAAGAGTTATTGGGCTGGTGAACAAGCGATCTCGTATCTCCCGTATGTAATTGGACAAAAGATAAGATCGTATCTTGAGGAATGTAGTGATACTCTTTATCATGTTGCCAATTCCAGATTCAATGGTGTCAGTTGGCAGAGTTCAGATATCGATTTATATCTTGTTTGTGAGGATGAATCGATTGTACCAAATAAAATTGGACAGCTTGTCAAGGAGATCACCGATTGCTTAACTGTAGCTTATAAGCTTTTGAGAACCGAACATTCAATTACGATTCTTCCTGTGTATCCATATAGACCAATCCAAATTGTAACTACACTTCTCAGAGAGATATCAGATCATATTCTCTATTGTGATTTGGATTGTACATCTTTTGTATACGACCCTTCAGCAAACAATATCTTCACACTGGAAAGAGGAAGAAAATCATTGAACAATCGCGTCAATTTGATTTCACCAAATCATGGAAATATGAAACGAGTTCTAAAGTATGCATATCGTGGATTTACATCCGTTTGCTTCGAACTTTGTAAACATTATCCAAGGTGTGAAGATACTCAAGTGGATCGATTAGCGGATCGTCTTTATGATGATATAACCAAAGATAATCCCAATTTTGATGAGTCTGAATTAAACAGATATAGAAGAGATTATGTGGCACTGGAAAACATTCCATTTGGTCCGAGTTTCACAAATATCAATCAACTAGTAGATTGCCTTGAGAGCAGACCCGATATTAAAATACTCAAAGGAATCGATGAGATTGCCAGCGCTCTCAGAATCTCTCCAACCATCTGGAAATTCACCATGCCATCACCCAGTAAGAAGTGTTACCAGTGCAATATATTGATGGAAGATGTCAAGGCTGAGGTTGCAATGTGTATGAAATGTAAAGAAAACAATATATTCAAGTTGAATCAATGGAATTCCATTCAACTCAATGGTGGCAATCAAGCAAAGTATGCAGTTGTAACTGGTGCTAGGAATAAGATTGGTATGCAAACTGCACTCAGATTGTTGCGATCTGGTTACTTTGTGTTGGTGACAACTCGATTCCCATTTAGTGCACTTGCCAACTATCAAAAAGAAGAGGATTATCTGAAATGGATTGATAGACTTCAGATCTATGGCATTGATTTTAGACATCTTCCATCAGTTGACAAATTCATCAAATATATTCTCAGCAAAGTTCCCAGACTTCATATTCTGATCAACAATGCAGCTCAGACCATCAGAAGACCAAGAGCATATTACCAATCTATCCTCAAAGAAGAGAAGCGAATGAAAGCCATTCAGAGTTCAAGTGGTGAATCATTGAAAGGACAAGTCATTTTATCAAAAGAGAACATCAATAATCTATCTTTGATTCCAACATACAACAATAATAATCAAAGTAGTGTTGCTGATTGTTCACAAATGACACAAATCATCGTGAATAAAGAAGATGAAGAATTGATGAATCAGGAATTGTTCCCAGTGGATATGGTCGATGAACATGGCGATCAGCTGGATATGCGAGCTAAAACTACATGGAATAATGAAATTGAAGAAATTTCAATGGAAGAGATGCTTGAAGTTCAACTCATCAATGTAACGGTACCATTTATGTTGATATCCCAATTATCACCAATCATGTCACAACCAAGAAGTTTTTCGCTTAGAAACAACAACAATGATTGGTCATATATTATCAATGTAACATCACAAGAAGGATCATTTAACAAGTCATACCAAAATGGATATCATGTTCACACCAACATGGCAAAAGCATCATTGAATATGATGACACTTTCCACAGCCGATCAATATTTTAAGAAACATATATTCATTTGTTCTGTTGACCCTGGCTGGATCACAAAGATGACAACGAATGCCAAAACCACTGGTGTTGAACCACCACTCTCCTCCAAAGATGGAGCTGCCAGAATTCTTGATCCAATTTACTCACATATCAAAGATCCTGAATTTAAACATGGTGTACTTTATAAACATTTCATTCCGTCAACATGGTAACCATGTTTTGTCTATTATATAAAATATGTAAATAAAATAAATAAACTTTTTCACAATCTGTTTGTTGGTTGTTAATAATATTTCAAAAAGTAATTTATTTATAGAATTAATAAAGATAATAAAAACAACATTATTATTAATTTAAAGTTATTTATATATTGATGGTTCGTATCACTTCTGACAATATATTGATGATTGGTTTGGTTTTGGAATAATTTACATTGATTATGAATACAACTTTGTGATGATAAAATAGGATCTGTACATAGTTGCCTATAACCTGATTGATTGTTTGTGTTAATTACATAAGTTAATTATCTAATATAATATTAAAAATAACATACATTTTGTTTCTTCTGGGCATAATCTAGATGAACATGAGTTTGGATGAAAATTGTAAATGTAGGGACATTTATTCGAGACACATTTCATAAATAGATTGTTGGCCATTTCGCACATTCTACTCATTGCTGCCGATTTTGTATAGCAATACCCAACTGATGATGCTCTATCGCATTTACAAAACTCATAGGGCTGACAATCTTTCTGTGACAAACACAATCTATAGGAAGGTGGTGGAGTTATTTCGCATGTCCCTCTTGTACTATCACTATCATTTAGTTTACACTATTAAAAATGATAAGGAAAATATATTATATATATAAATAAACTAATAGACTATTAGGTTCTATAAATTGCAATTATATACTTACATAATGTCCTTTGGTAGTATCACAGGTTTGAAAAAGAGTGGAGCATGGCGTTCCAACTTCTGGCGAACAACACTTTCCTATCGGATCGGTGGAGTCCGCGCTTTTCGGTAAGCATAAGCTGCCGTTTGAGCATAGTCTGGAAGTGGAGAAGAGAGAACAGTCACCTTCTTCGAGATTTAATTGAATGCATGTCTTGTTTTCACATAGTTCGGTTTGATTGCACTGCAGGTTATAATAACATCCGCCGGGTGGCGTCGAACAAGTTCCATTCTCACAGACCATGTTATACATACAATCCTCATTGTGCGAACACTTTTCACCCCACTGTACGAATCTAGCGACTCGACACACACCAACACTGATGTCCGTTGCATTCATTTCCAAAATACAATATTCACCTTTGGTCTCATCGCAATCGTAATTAACAGTACAATTTGGTTTTTTAACGAAATTTGAACATGTTCCATCTATACATTTCAATGGTTGATAACATCTATTTCCATTTGCATTACTATTTTCAAAGATATAAGAAATATAACATTAATTTAATTTTTAATTCTCTTTGTTGTTATTTCTATGTAAATATTTACATACACATTATTACCGGTATCACATGGACCACCCAAATCTGAACATTGATTGAACAGACATGATATTAATTTAGATGAATTGTTCTTACTGTACGAAGTTATCTTGTGTGACGATGAATATATATTATCACTTGCACTTATGATATTAACTAGAATGAGAATAACAATCAACTTGACTATAAAACTATAATTATCCATATATATAAACAAAATATCTGTTACATCTAAAATAACTAACTAGATTTATTGATTATCTGTATGAACAAATGATCTTTTTAATAAATTTCATATCAAATCAAAGATAGAAAAAGTAATGATATCTAATCTATCAATACACATTTTTTATGTGAGGTGTGTTTATCATTGATTTTGATTTTTGTAAACTAAACACACTATAATAGCAATTATTATTTGTTTCATTTCAAATGAAAAATTTAGATGAAAAAAACAAGAATGTTTTTTTGTTTTTTTCTGCGTTTCTTGAAATTGATAATAAGGTTTTGATCAGATGTACTTTTTTTAATTAGCTTTTGAAGATTTGTATTATTATTATTATTGTTATCTTCCACTGCTATAAATATATATATAAATAAATGGTAATGTAAATTTAATGTTTAGGATAATGTTATAGTTTATTAATGTTTGATTGATTAAAGTCTGCTTTCGAAGACTTAGGTGTTATGCCTGAGATTATTCAGGCCGTAGAAGAATTAGATTGGATTTTACCAACACCAATCCAACAGGATTCAATTCCTTTGATTCTAGGTGGTGGTGATGTTTTAGCTGTATGTATTTTTATATTGTTTTTCTTTATTTTTCTAACTCTGTGAGATTAATATAAATTATAATGATTATTATTATTATTATTATTATTATTATTATTATTATTATTATTATTATTATTATTATTACAGGCTGCAGAAACAGGATCAGGTAAAACAGGTGCTTTCGCATTACCAATTCTCCAGATCACATATGAAACAATAAACAAGAAAGCAGCGGTGCCAATTGAGAGTGCCGAGCAGAGCGATGCAAATGATGAATCGACAGGTGGTGGTGTTCAGCAACTGGCATGGTCGCTAGAGGACAGAGACAAGGATTTGTCGATTGACGGATTGGTCTGCCAGTCGAGAGCTGCCGACTGGTCGGGTGGTCGCGCCACACGTGGTATCTCCAAAGGAAAGTACTACTACGAAGCGACGGTGAGAGACGAAGGACTGTGTCGTGTAGGTTGGGCACTGAAACGTAGCTCTCGTTCCATCGGTACCGACAAGTACAGCTGGGGTTACGGTGGAACCGGAAAGAAGTCACACGAAGGTAAATTCGAAACCTACGGACAACCGTTTGCAAACAACGATGTAATCGGATGTTATATAGATTTGGACGAAGGTTCGATTGGATTCACAAAGAATGGCAACGATTTCGGTGAAGCCTATCATTTGAACACACCAAAGGGTGCAATCTTCTATCCAGCTCTACTTTTAAAGAATGCAGAGATTTCCTTTAGTTTTACAACCATGAAGCATCAGCTGAAAGGATACAAACCAATTGGTGAAGCGGAGCTCGAGAAAGATGCTGCCCCAACAACCACTGCAGCACAATCCAACAACAAAAAAGGTGGAAACAATAACAACAAGAAAGATGGAAACAACAAGAAACAAAAATAATCAAAATGAAAATAATAATAACAATATACCGGAAATGTAAGTTTGTTCAAAATGTTTTCATTTTATTTTCAATATCATTACTGATATTATTCAATTATAGTCGTAAACCATTATCATTAATTATTGAACCAGTTAGAGAGTTGGCCGATCAAACATATAGCGCAATTCTCAATTTTTCGAAATATTTGACAGAGCCAAAGATTGAAGCAGTCTTATGTCTTGGTGGTGAAAAGAATAATAAGGATTTCAGAAAACAGTGTGATATTGTTGTTGGAACACCAGGTATTTTAGAGAAATTAGTAAAAGAGGATCAATTGGATCTATCAGCCATCAGATTCTTTGTATTGGACGAAGCCGATCGTCTTATCAAAGATAATCTACCCATTCTAAACTATATTTACAACAGACTACCAAAGACAGGACTACAAGTACTGCTTTTCTCTGCCACACTTCACTCTGATCAAGTCATTCGTTATGCCGAACAAATCACAAAGAATCCAACTTGGGTAGATCTAAAAGGAAAAGATTTCATACCAGATGTAAATATTAACAACAACAACAATAATAATATTATTATTATTAATATTTTACTAATATCTTTTAAATTATCTATATAGTTAATTACACATTCATATATTAAAGCAGATCCAACTAAATTCGAAGATTGGAAAGATGTAAATCATAGATTTACAACTGATGGAATTCATAATAACGATGTTAAACAATCAGAGACAAAACTAAAGACTGACGAACAAAAGTCACAGGCTGTGAAGCTGCTGAAGCCAAGTTTGCTAGTCAAGTGTATTCGTGCTTTCAAAATGGATCAAGCATTGATTTTCGCTAGAACCAGACTGGATTGTGACAATCTTCATAGATATTTGATAGAGGTTGGCGGTGGTAAGAGTGCACTAGAGAATGAATTCAGCTCGGTTTGTCTGCACGGAGACAAGGGAACAGCGCTGAGAAAAGAGAATCTCGAGAAGTTCAAGTCGGGCGAAGTGAAATACCTAATCTGTACGGATGTGGCATCACGTGGTATCGACGTACAAGGTCTGCCATTTGTCATTAACTATACGCTGCCCGACACCTTTGAAGACTATATCCATCGAGTTGGGCGTGTTGGACGTGCCGACCGCATAGGATTGGCGATATCGATTGTCTCGCCCTACCAAGAGAAGGTTTGGTTCCACACCTGTCGTGACAAAGGACGTGGTTGCTACAACACTAAGCTCACTCAAGACGGTGGATGTTCAGTGTGGTACGATGAGCCCGAGTTGTTCAAGCCAATCGCAGAGACACTGTCGCCAATGGAACTAGATGAAAATTTCAGTTTGGGTGGTGAAGTTGTCAATTTCGGAAAGTTTGCAAAGGAGCGTGCCTCCACCGTGGAATACAAAGCCCACACCGATCAATTGGCACCTCGTGTAATAGAACTAGCAAGACTTGAAGAGAACATACAAATCGATTTCCTATCACTACCAAAAAAGTTAGCAAATTCTAATAAAGCAGTATAAAATAATTATTTCTTTTTTTTAGATTTTAAAACTATTTTTCTTTATTTTTTAACTTTGAAAGATATTTATTGTCAAAATCTTTTGAAGAACAGAAAAAATTTGTGAAAAAGAGCCACAACCACTATCTTTGAAAGATATCAATTAATCCCCCACCTCAAACTTTAACATTTAGGTTTCCAATAACATTAAATTAGATAGCATTTCACACACTTAAATGGGTTGAAATAAAATACAGTGGAAAGTTCTACTAAAATTAAAGTTCTTTAATGATTGATTTGATTCATAAGCAGAACCATTTTATTATTTTATTTTTTTACAGTAAATTACAATTCTTAGTATTATTTATTTCTATATAACTTTAAATATATATAAATATAAAATGATTTGTGATGAAACTGTTGTTGGAGAGTTCATTGTAAGAACTATATTACACTATAGATGTTTGAATTGTTTAAATAAAAGATGGAGTTCCTATGATAACGTTTCGTTGTGTAGTTTATGTAAGGAAGAAGGAACTCTTGTTGAGTCTGGCAAAAGAATGTCGAAAAGTGCAAGATACAGAAGAAACCTAAAATTGAGAAAGCAAGGATTACTTGATGGAAATGGAGTTCCAACACCCAAGCCAAAGAATCCACCAAAGCCAAAGAAAGAACCTGTGATTCCATCCTATATCTATGTATGCGTTCATTGCGATGAAAACAAGAAATGGAAAGATCAAAAAGAGTCATCAAAGTGCGACAATTGTTATAGGGAAGCATTGAAGGAAGGAATTGGTAAATTCAAGTGTGAATGTGGTCATTCTTTCAATGGTTACATTCGTCAGGGAGTTGGATCAATGTGCTATAAATGCAGTAACATTGTGATGCCAGAGACAATCATTCCTACCAGACCTATGAATAGAAGACGTAAATCGAAAAAGACTCATAGCTGTCAGGTTTGTAATGGTCACTCTCCATGTCCTCTCAAAGCAAGCATTGGAACCAAAGCTGTTGAAAAAGGGGAAAACAAGAAATCAAAGAAGAAGAAGAAATAGAAAATAGAAAATAATTGAACATCAAAATAGATTTATAGATCAATATGTACAAGAATAAAAGTATAAAGTAAATTTAATTAGATTTTAAATTTCTTTTTCTCAAAATTGCAAATTTAATGTGATAAAATAATGAAATTCACCAACAAACTTAAGAAACTATTGATCTTAGATTGTCAATTTCAATCTATTATCTTTTGATATATTAACATCTCTAGTTTTGAAATATAAATTATTTTATTTATTTTTAATAAATGAGATTATGCAGCATTTACTGAATGATCATAAACATTTAGTTTTGTTAATACATCAATTGCACTTTGAATTGCTGGATCCAATGATTCATAATAACTCTCCCATCCATGATCACTGATTTCTGGAAGATCATAATTAATTTGCAATTCTGAATCCACCGATCGAATGAATGAATCAATTGGATCAACCAAAGAATCGAGGAGAGTGTCATTGACTGTGACAGTACCATCATCTGCGGTGGTTCCTGTTAAAGATAAATCTTTATCATATTTATCAATAACTTTTCTTAACATTGGGGTGACTCTTTTTACCAATGATAGACCATAGAGACCGGTTCCGAGGATTATTGATGATGATGCTGCTGAACAACCTGCATCTGATAAAACTGAAAACAAACCAGTGATACAATTATCAACTTCTCTCATATCCATATCGGTTAGATTGATTGAGTTATCGGACCAATCTGCTTCGGTAGTTTGGTTGAAAAGTTCATAGTTTTGATTGTCTTTGGTCAAGATGTAGAACAATGGGAATAGTTGATATACTTGACGTCTTGTTGTCTTATCAATAATCCATGGAACAAAGTTTTGGAATGAAATCAACACTTCAGTTGCATCTTTTTTCAACCTGTTTGTTGTTTCTCTGAGGAATTCACCAATCACTGAAAATACTCTCTTCTGATCGAATCCTTCATCATATCTTTTGACAAATAGACCTTCTCCAATGTAAACCAATGATGGATCAAAACTCTCAAGACTCTCCAAATTCTTTCCATTGAAAATTCCATAAGCCAAAATTGCAACATGACAAGCACAGAACATTGAATTTGCAAACTTGATAAAGATGGCATCATCTTGAACAAAGGCAAAATCTGGAATCAATGCAATTGATTCTTTTCCAAATGGTCTGGCAATCACTTGGTAGGCATTATCTGGTGGAATTATTTGATTGTTTGGTGTTTCAAGTGCAAATTTAATGATGATTTCAATTAATCTATTGATTAAGACATCGAATCCACCAAGTTGATTACTGACACGGGTTAACATTGGAAGGAAACTATTTGTTGGTACTTTTTTGATTCGGTTAATAGTTCCAGAGATAGCCTCGGAAATACATCCTCTGGTGATGTGATTGTTGGAGAGGTGCATCATTGAATAGATTGCCAATTGAGTATAGACATAGAGACCCAACAGATCATTTGAAAGAATACCACTTGGTTGGAGTAAATCCAATTTAGTTTTCAATTCATTGAAACGATATGAGTTGAACTCGTCAAGGTTATCGATGTTACTGTTTGCAAGACGAATAGATTCTGTGGCCCATTGTTGAGTTCTCTTGGCATCGGTAAGATAAGTACGAACACTGGTATTGAATGTACCAGCATTATAGATATATGGAAGAATCTTTGGAACCAACTCTTTCAAAGCAATATGATACAACATCATTGTAATTCTGATGAAGACATTACTTTGATTGAGAGTTGACATTCGATCTTCAACGATTCCACCTCTAATTGAAGACTTGTATTGACTATCTTGGTGATAGATTGCTTGCAATAACCAAAGTGGAGAATAAGATTTGAAAAAAGATGAAATCTCTGGGTCTTGAATGATTTCTACCAGGTCGGCATTTAAAACTGGTTTACTGGTCAAACCAAGGGTTGCCAAAGCAAGATCACTTTGGAAATTATTGATAATATCAACAAAATATTGTTCGGCTCTCTCTTTGACAAAATCAGTCTTGGTAATTGGGTCAAAAGTTGACAATGCAAGGAAATCTGGTACTTTCAAAGTTGATGGGTCTATTTTCAAAATATCTGGGAATTGAGTCTTAATCTTATTGGTTCTCCATGCTCCAAAAGTTGAAACAGAGTCTCCTCCTCCTTTTTTTACTGACATCTTTTATTTTATTATATTTGTTAAAGTTAAAATAATAATAAGAATAATTAATAAAAAAGAAACTTATATTGATTGTCGACAAAATTTTATAAATAATAAAATAATTATTTAAATAAAGATATTATTTTTCAGAAATATTGTGTTCTCCACTGTTGTTGGTATGAAATGAACAAAGATTTTGAAAATCACAGTTGTGCGAGATTGATGCAATGTTTTCATGGAATAAAAAAAATCTGCAAAACATTCTTCATAAAAATGGTTAGTTTTTTTGGTGAGCACACAAAATCTATTTATCGTTTGCAAGAACGAAAATTTTTTTTGACAACGAACAAATAATTCGACTAATCATTTTGTTTGCAGATTTTAATCACAAAACGAAACATAATTATTTGTAAGTTGTCAAAAAAAAATTTTGTTTCGTTTTATGATTAAAATCTGCAAACAAGATAGTTTTGTTTTGCTCAAAGAATTATTTGTGCAAACACTGAAAAAAAGAATATTCATTGAAGGTGTTCAATACATCAAAAAAGATTTTTCAAAATAAATAAATTTATTTTTTCCTTTTTTTTAAAAAAGGGTTTGATTTTCTTTGTTTATAAAGGAAATTTTGTCAAGAACAACCTATTATAATTAATTTATTAAGAAAGAATGACATCTTTTATTCAAGATTATAAAACATGGAGAGTTAATTTGATGAAAACAAATGGAAGTGGAGCTGGAAACACAAGTTACATCCCCTCACTTACACCTGCCAACTTTATGTTACGGAGTACTTTCAAAGTGGTTGATGGAGTCAAACAAGATGTGGTAAAAGAAGAATCGGAATCGTATTTCGCCAGAATTCTATTGTATCATTTAAGTGATGATGGTTTGGCAGTGTTGAAGGTTTCAAGACCGACCCTGGATGATGACATTTCCAAAATTCTCCAAAGTGATTCTGGATTTGTAGCTAAGATCACCAAATATGCCAAACTTTGGTTACTTGGTAGTATCTTTCAACAAAAGAGCAATGATAAATCAATTCCGTGTGAAGTGAAAGGAGATGTTGTCCAAGCTGAATTTAAACAGATCCAGTCAGACCCACTTATTTTAAGCCTCAAGATGAGATTGGCATTTTTGGCAATTTGTAGAAAAGCACCAGAGTTCCTTCCATATGCATATCAGGTAGACAGTCTCCAATTGGTCAGCAAAGTAAGAACCTATCTTTTGGATGATACCTATAAAAACAATTGGGTTAGATCCAACTTTGACCGTTTGAAGAGTAAAATGAATGATAATACCGCCAAGGATGATGAAGTTTTCAATGAACTCAAGACCAAATTGGATATTTTGGATCCATCATACAGTCTCTCCAATGAAATAACCAATACCTATTACTCTTCATTATTGGTACTATTTGGATCTATCAGTCTTAAGGACACACCTGCCACCAGACTGCTATTCAAGAGAATGACTCAAGACGCACTTCAAAAGATTGAAGCCAATCCGAAACATGAATGGTATGAAACTGTGGTTTGGGCGAAGAAACAATTTCAAGGAAATATCGCAAGTATGGCAAATCAAATATCACGTGCTATGATGGAGTCTCTATCAGGCTCTCAATGGAGACTTGGAGGTGCGTCTGTCGATAATATTTTGACTTTGGAAAACGCAAGATATATTGGAAAGCTTCAAAAGATCGCAAATGCTTCAGGAGTATCTCTTTCAAGAGAAGCATACGAAAAATTCAAAAACAATAAGAATTTCTTCAGAATGTCTTCTGCAATATTCTTAATGTGTAATGCTGCTGGTATCTATGCTGCTTTCAGATCTTGGGACAAATTAACCACTGTCGAAAAAGTGTTGACTTGGGTCAATGTTGGTTTATCAGGTGTAGATGTTATCACTTCATTGGTAGAGCTTTTCGCTCCATATAAGATTACCGATGGTATTCTTACCAAAAGAAATGTATTCACTTGGATTGGAAGTAAGTTTAAGAAATTAACTCCTTCAAGAGTTACACCATACAGAGCAGCTAATCTGGCCAGAAATACATCCAAATGGTCGAAATACATGAAACCTGTTAAGGTCCTCAGAGCAGTTTCTGTTGTTTTGATCGTAGTATCGATGGGATTCACAATATATGATATCGTAACCGCAGTCAATGATCAAGACTGGGGTATGTTAACACTTTCAGTTGCCGAATTTGCATTGGAACTTGGTCTTTTAATAGCTACTGTCATTACTGGTAAGTTACTATTATTGAATAATTTAATATTTTAGTTAACTAATATTTAATATTTTATCAATACAATATTATTATATCTTTATTAGCAACTGGTAAGTTAGTTTATTTAATCTTTTATCAACTTCTTTTCCAATTTCATTTTATTAATTTGTTGTTTTGTTTTCTTTTTTTTCACAATAGCATGGACAGGACCTATTTGTTTGGCTCTTACCGTTGCATTGGTGGTTGTCGGTGTCATGAAAATGTTTTGGGAAGATATTAAACAATTCTTTGTTAATACCTACAATACTATTCATGATTTCTTTAATGATCTATTCAATGGATCTCCAACCGGGAGATACGTAAGATCTGTTCAATCACAATACCAATTAACAACCGCTGAGTACCTTGCCAAGTGGAAAGAGTTAAACAACGTTAAACCCAATAGTGACGCTGATCAGTTGATCACCGCAATGATGAACATGGCTCGCGCCAATGAAAAATAAAAATAAATATGAAATTCAAAATGTTCCGAAGAGTTTTTCAAAAAAAAAAAAAAAAAAAATTTTTTTTTTTTGAAATGATTTTGATGTTAACAGATTTTTTTAAATTAAACAAAATTAACATATATTTGTTAAACTACAAAAAAACAGATAATTAAATAATGTCAACTGAACAAAAGAAATGGAAGATGGGTGGTGATAAACCAATTAGAGTATACGTAGATGGTTGTTTTGATGTAGGTATTTTCACTAATAATAATGATGTGAGATATTAGATTATTTATTTGATTTTTTTATTATTATTATTATATGTTGTGTTGTATTCTTTTTAGTTGATGCATTTCGGTCATGCCAATGCCATGAGACAAGCAAGAGAGTTGGGTGATATTTTGGTTGTCGGTGTTCACACTGACGCGGAAATCGCTAGAAACAAAGGTCCACCAGTCATGAATGAACAAGAGCGTTATAAGGCTGTACGTGCCTGTAAGTGGGCCGATGAAGTTGCTGAAGGTGCACCATACACTGCCACTGTCGAACTTCTCAAGCAATTAAACTGTGACTTTTGTGTACACGGTGAGGATATCTCTGTCGGTGCCGATGGTAAAGATGTCTACGAAACCATTAAGAACTCTGGAATGTTTAGGTAGGTTGCTTTGATCGATATCTTTTTTTATTTGTTAAAAACAACAAACAACTAGATCTTGTACTTACTTTAATCGATAAATTATAATAATAATAATCATATCAGATATATCAAGAGAACTGAAGGTGTTTCAACTACAGAGTTGGTAGGTCGTATGTTGTTGTTGACAAAGGATCATCTCCAAGGTGTCAACACTGTTTCCAATCCATTGAATGCCGTCAACACCAAAGATCTCCACAGAATCTCACCATACACTAGTTTGTCACACTTTTTACCAACCACCAGAAAGATCGTTCAATTCTCTGAAGGAAAGTCACCAAAGCCAAACGACAAAATCGTCTATATGGATGGTGGTTTCGATGTATTCCATGTAGGTCACACCGAAGCTTTGAGACAAGCCAAGGAATTGGGTGATTTCCTCATTGTCGGTGTTCACGATGATGCCGTCGTCAACGAACAAAAGGGTTCAAACTTCCCCATTATGAATCTTCACGAACGTGTACTTAGTGTATTATCTTGCAGAGTATGTAAAATATAATAATAATCATCATCATCAACCTAAAAAGTAATAATCAATGCTAACAGAGATAAATAATTAAACTATATATATATATATAGTATGTAGATGAAGTAGTTATTGGAGCACCATTCAACGTTACAAAGGAAATGATTGAAGGATTACATATTAATACAGTTGTACACGGTGACGACCCAGTCATCTCTAGAGATGGTTTGGACCCATACAAAGTTCCAAAGGAATTGGGAATCTACAAAGAAATTAAGCACACAGAAGGTCTCACAACCACTGACATCATTCGTAGAATCATCGACAATCGTATTCAATTCGAAGCAAGAAACAAAAAGAAGGAACAAAAAGAAGTTACTTTTATTCAAAACAATTAAACTGATTTGCATTGTCAGTATTACACTCCCAAATCTCCTGCTTTTTTTACAATGACAATAGATACTCTTTAACATATTAAATAAAATTTAATTAACCAATCTGTTAAAGAGTGAGTAATTTATATACAAATTTATTATTATTATTAATTTAAAGTTATTATTGAATTGAACTGGTCATGTTTGGTTTGATATTGGAATTTCCAAGATAATAAATAAGTCTGGCGGCGATTCGAGCCTGTTGAACAGTACCTAAAAAAGTATATTCATCGAGCACCACATCGCTGGGTGTGTGGTATCGTGTGGATAGATAGGTGATAAGTATACGCTGGTAGTATTCGATCGATTGGTTGATAAAATGTTGACCTATAGAAAGTGTAGTAGCTGGTATGCCACTTTGTAAGAATGGAAATTCGTCAGTTCTATACAAAAAGTCGAGATTTGGAAATATATCTTGAGAAACCGTCATATTTTCGTCGGCAGCCGATACATTGAGCACTTGGTCGAGTTGCTTTGAGAATCCAAAACCTAGAGAAACGACATCGGTTGTTTCATTATAAACGTTGGCAGTGTCGAAATTGACCATTGCAACGATACTACTTTGATTGGCGACCACACGTGGAAGATGATTCAAAAAATATTGTGAACCGAGGAATCCATACTCCTCGCCTGTCACACTAATAAAAAGGACAGTACGCTCGAATGTGGCTATCGGTCCCACTTGTGAGAAGGTTGGCGTAGAGGCTATTTTCTGGTATAATCCAAGTGCCGTTGCAACTTCCATCAATATCGAAACACCTGCTGCATTGTCAACTGCTCCATGGAAGATCTGTGTCTTACCACCAACATTAAGAGTTCCAAGATGGTCATGATGAGCCATCATTACTACTACTTCACTTGGATTCTTAGTTCCTACAAATCCACCAATTACCGTTTGACTGTCTTTAACTGTACCATTTATCTATTATGAATATAATTGTTGAAAAAAAGATTAACTTAATCACATTTTCATTTCAAAGATATAATGATTATTAAACATACATTAAAAGTTACAGAATACTTATTCTTTAATTGGATTGGCTGGAATGATTTGGAATTGGCAGCTATTTCCCATTGGGCAAGAGTAGCGCCTGCATCCGCGGCCAATTGAACAGAATTGGGATAGGACAACCAACCTTTAACCTGTAGTGGATTCTTATAAACTGTTTCACTAAGGACAATCTGTTGGATCGCATATTGCTGGACCAATGGATCCCATGGCACAACCTTTAGAGTGGTTGTGTTACTATAGATAAATAATAGACCAGCACATCCATGTTGTCTAGCAAACTCATATTTGACTGTAGCTCTTCCATAATTATTACTGAATGTACTGGGATTATCTGAAAATGCTACAGCTATCTTGTCTTTTACATCGACGTTTTTGTAGTCATTCCAATCGTGCTCTGGTGCTACAATACCATATCCTACAAATACCATTGGAATAGAATCTAAACTGACTGATTCTTGACGAAGTTCGGTGGAAAGTGTATAATTTACAAGAAAAGTGTAATCAGTTGAATCTATCTTGAGCTGTGGGTTTTCCAACTTGAAAGAATAGATTGGAACCTTTTGAATATAGGAATCGTTGTCACCATGCGGTTCCAATCCAATCGTTTGAAATACAGTTTGTACAAAGTCAACGGCCATTTGCTCACCAAGAGTGCCTGGCTCTCTGCCTTGAAAGACATCGGACGACAGTTTGATCGTATTTTCTCTTATTCTATTCGATTTTATATTATCTAATACCCAGAGAGGTAATTTATTATTTTCATAGCTTGTATTTTCATTATTATCATTACCAGCTGAATCTATTGAAAAATAAAAATAGTTAATTTACGAATGTTTTAAAACATAATTTTTAAATTATTAATCTAATTACTTACGATCTAAAGAATTGGAAAGAGAAATTGATAGTAAAATTACAGAGAAAAGCAATGCTAATATTCCAATCACCAGTCCAGATCCTCTCATACACCTTGGTGAATATATATATTGTAACATTGAAGTAGATTGACTATTATTTTCCATTTTAAAAAAAAAAAAAAACTTTAGAATAAATGATAATAATAAAATATTTTGATGATGTGGAAACAACAGACAACAAACAAAACAATTAGATTTTGACCGGTCCAATTATTATGACATTAGAAACAACATCATCCAAAAGTAAAAAAATTAATTATAATATATAATTATTTGGATTGAAATTAATAATACAGTTATTAATTTGATTCAAATTCAGATAACCTTTTGATTTCTAAAATGTATGATGAGTAGTAATATGAATATTTAATTGTGTGCGTGTGTCAATTGAGTGGACGGTCAACAAAAATTTAAATTAAAAAAAGTCCACAAAACTAAAGTGTTGTTACAATGGATTAAGGATATATTAAAATGTTAAACTTGGCTAGACTCCAAGATATTTATTTGATTTTTGAATGGATAGTGTAAATTAAAATGAAATAAATGATGATTGTTGTGAATTCTAAATTGATTAAAATATATATATTCGATTGAGGATCATCAAAATAAAATGTTATTATACATGTGAATTTGTTATTCCAACAATTTTTTATTTTGTTGTTGATCAATGGCAATGTTTTGAGTTTCTTCTTTTTCTTTTTCTTTTGTTTTATTTTTTTTTAAAAAAAAAATCATAGTTATAAATAGAGAGATTAGGAGGTAATTCAACTTGAAAAACATCAGGTTATTAACTATCCATCATCAAATGTACACTGATAAATCTAAACTCCATCTACAAGTGGTGAGTAGCTTCCACTCTTGAGAGTGGTTTGTTATATGTATGTGGAGTGTTGTGTTAGTTGTGGTTATTGTTATTTTTTTCTCCACGTGTGTGTTGTGTTGATAATCGAAATTAGTTAATATATTAATTTGATTGGGTATATATGTATAAATGGTAAGTTCAAAACCAACTATATAATAACCTCTAAAGTATAAATATAAATTGTTTGCTCTCCTTTGTGTTACATTGTTGTTGTTGTTGCTGTTGTTGTTTTAACCAAATATACATAAATTTAATGAGTTTGTAAAAGTGTGATGTTTATGTGATGTGTATATATGTGTGTTAACCATTATTATTGTTATTATTATTATTATTATTATTATTATTATTATTATTATTATTGAAATTGATTGTTGACAATGATGAATACAATATTTGCTATTTATACATAACAACAATAAATATTAATTATGATAATTTTAGAATAAACCTATAGTGTACTCTACTTTAGTATAAATGTTTATTTTTAATATTATAAAGAGTTGTTATTTTGGTCATTTCATCATCATCATCATTGTTATTGTCTATATTTGATATTATATGTATATGACAGTTGCAGGTAAGAGTATCAAAATACTTGACTCAAATAACAAATAGTTTCGATGAATACAAACTTTGGTCTATTTCTCGTTTCTCTAGAAACAAGAGTGTCTAGAAATGATTGTGATTGATCGTTGTCATTGTTTGACTCCTCCAATTCTATCTCTTGAGATCTATTCATCTGTTTTTTTTAAATTTTAAAACCTATAATGAAAATGAAGGAGTTATATTTTACTTAGATGAAACTAAACTCCTTTGTGAAGTGATATTTAACTATATATAAGACAGTTATATGAGTAATACTAATATTAAAGTTCAAAAAATCTGATAATATTTTTTCTTAATTTTTAAAAAATTTTAAATTAAAAATCTTTTTTTTTTTTTTTTGGTTCGATGATGAGATTTATCTGATATTAATTCTCAAGGTATTTGAACAGATAATGTAATACAAGAATATTTATTTTAAATGAATAATTGCATGAAATATAATATGTCTGACCAAATAGAGTTGGGAAAAACCTAAAGAAGTTTAAATTGTTGCGTTGAAAGATATCATAGATTTTTCTTTTATTAGCTATAAATGATTATAAATTCTTTAGATTAAGTTACTATATCAAAGTTATAATGAAAGCACCTTTACATAATAAAAAAAATTGATTTTTGAAAAAAAAAACAAAAAAAAAACAAAAAAATACGATTTGGTCAATGAAAAAAAGTGATCATTTTTTGTAATTTATCTATTTATTATTATTTAAATTTATAACAACAATGGAGACAGAGTTGAATCAACAAGAAATCGATCAAATTAGAAAAGCAACTATTGCTAGACAACAATTGATTGCTGCAACTGAGTTTATGTAGGTCAATCAAAAAACTATCTAGATCAAATATCATTTCGCTCTCTATCTCAAACTAGTGGAACGCGATTTACATATGTCACATACAACTTTATGTTATAAATCATAGTATATCAATGATATTCGATAATATCAAGATATTATCAAAAGAGAGATAGATTATCTAGAAGAAAAACAGTCAAATCGATTGGTTTGGATAAATCAATCAGGGAATCAATCATTAAAATAATATAAAACAGAGATCGATATTACAACTACATTAATATAACAGATGATATGATATATATGTATGATATTAAAACGCGCATGCGATACAAACAAAGAGTAGTTAACATAAAGCAGCAATGGAAAGAAAAGAAAGAGAAGAAGACGATATTTTCATATAATCTTAATATTTGATTATTAATACATTTTTATCGATATCTATCCTATCTATCTATCAATTCAATATAGATACACAGCTAAATACTTAAAGGTTGCAGGTGGTGCACCAGATTACATTAGATATGAAAGATTCCCACATACAATTAGAATTTTCAGAGAGACTGGTTTCGCAATGAACCCAATCGATAAAGTAAACAGAATGAGATCCGGTGAGATTCAATGCATTGGTCCACAGACCGTTGTAGCTAACGAAGGTTTTGAAATTAACCCAAGAAAATATTACTCTGAATGGGATATCGATTACAGACAATTCGCTCAACACTTGAAAGAATTCTCAAATTAAATAACAACAACAACAACCAATAAATTCAACAATAAAATATAAATTATAGAATATAGATCGATAGCATAAACAGATAGATAGATAAAAAACAAACAAAACAAAAACATAAAATAAAACAAACATTGTATTTTCAAGTAAAAATTAAAATATAAATTTAATTATCCTTCTTTTACTTTATTGATTTCATCAACATCATCAACATCATCAACATCAACTTCATCAACATCATTATCATTATCATTATTAACTTCATTTGATGATGATGATAATGATGTTGTTGTTGTTGTTGTTGTTATTTTAGATACATCGAAAAGAGGTGCAACAGCAAATATACCTCTGTTTGCATTGTGATAGAAATCTTTGATGTCCCATTGATGATGAGGGAATATTCGTTTGGCAAGGTCGTAGTGTGTCGGTCCCCAGTGTTTGTAGATCGATTGTGTGTTTACAAGTTGATTGTTGATTCTCAGTTTCAATTGTGGGAATTGCTCGACGCTGATATTGAAAGTCTTGAGTACCCACTGACCAAACTGCAGTTGTAGGTTCTTGTCTTCCCAATTCTGACTACGGTTGTAACGGAACAGCCACGGTAGAAACTCGTGCTCTGGAAACACCGTTTTCAGGTAGCTGAGGTATTGTTCGCGCGTCGGATGGAACCCGTAGCGAATGAAATTGCGCGGTGTCAAACTGTAGAAATCCGATGCCTTTAGTTGATTGTGATCGGCGTACCACATGATGAAGGCAATACGCATGAGATCGTCTTGCATCGTCTTCTTTGGTATCGAGTTGAATCGCCAGGGCAACCAGTCGTACTCGGGAAATAGCTGAACCAACATCTTGTAGATCGATCCGCCATATACGTTCTTCAGTATATTCTTTAATCGATAGGTATTTATATTGTAGTGGTCATTGTCATCAACATCGCGATCGCCACCAACTGGATTCGCATCGTTAATGTCTATATAACTACTGATCTGTTTCCATCCGATCGAGTAGTATCTCTTCAGACACTGTTGATCGTCTACTTTTTCATGTTCTTTGATCAAACCAACTGATCGAACGAATCTCTCAAACAATGAAAATATAACACCATTTTTTCTGTCTATTATTAAATCGATTAGTGTTCAATTAATCGATTATGCTTTGTGTAGATACTAAAGTAGTTGAACTTACAATATTTACGTAATTCTGCATTTGACATGTTATTTATAGATTGTTGTAACTCTTCATTGTTTTGTTCTGTTGGCGATGAATCGGTTGGTATTGTAGGTGGTGTTGTTGTTGTAATGGTGGTGGTATTAGGTATGGATGTTGTTGTTGTCGTCGTTGAAAATGGTCGATATATGTTAAAACTTAAATAAGTATGATGATTAAAACTATTTACATTGTTTGATTGGCTATTAAAAGTATACTGTGTATTATTATTATTATTAGTTATTCCTTTTTGTAAACGATAAGATATGCATTGTTGAATGCTGTTAGTATTACTGTAAATCTTATTTATATTTCTCAATTGATACATGATTACTCAAAAGCATCATCAAACAAACAAACAAACAAACAAAATGATAAGTTTAATTTTTTTTTTTTTTTGGAGTTCGTAAACAAATTAATTTTTTCTTGTGTTTTGAAATTATTTTCAAGATTGATTGTTCAAAGAAATATCACACTATGTAGTCTAAATATCAAACAAATGATTCAAATAATCCGTAGTTGTGTAATTATTAATTTTGTTTTTATTGACAATAATCAATCTAATATAATTTTGAAATACCATAAAATTGTTTGATCGTATTACTTGGAAAAACGACTTGTGTTAGATTTTTTTTTTTTGTCCAAAGGTGGGTTATGTAAAAACTAGTGTGGTTTTTTTACGTCATTGTCTCTTTTTAAATTAAATAAAAATGTATAACTTGCCATAGAATCTAAATCTGGACTAGAGATAAAAAAACAAAAATTTAATTTAGATATTTTTTTATGTTCAAGCACCTCAATAGTGTAATCTAATTTCAAAGATGATCTAAATTAAAAATCATTACATCATCATTATACTAGTTTTTAGATTTTTTTGAATAAAAACAACAGGAGGTCGATATCCACCTTTGAAGATTTTTTGATCCCACTTTAAAAAAATATCTATCAGAATTTTTTAGTATAAATACAGTCTTCGAAGACTGTATCTTGGACTTACATCATTTCCAAAATCAATCCTATTTAAACTCATATACAAAAACTAATTAAAAAATGTTGAAATACATCGTCCTTGCTTTCATAGCTTTGTTTGCTTTTGCCCATGCTGGTAAGTTTTAATGAATTAATAGTTTTTTTTTTTTTTTAAGATTCTAATCTAATTTAAATCTATTAATGTAATTTTATAGCCCCAGCTTTCAGTGTTGGTCAATACAATTGGTTCTCTGATTCTCCATGTTCAGTTCCAGTCATTGTCAACCTTACATATGCCAATGGACAATATTCCTCATCGAGATCCAGTGATAACTCACCATATTTAAGAAATGTTACTGTCAACTCTGATAATACTTTCACCGGTTTGGGAACCCTCTACAAGCCAGGTACTAGTATCATTACTGGTACAACCACCGTCAAGGGTGTCATCAACAACCCATTCAACTTTATGGTTGTCTACAATCCAAGCACCAATCCATACTACGCAGGATCCAACAACTACTACAACCTTGTCTCATGTTCAATGGCAACTGAAGATCACGATTTACATTCTGGTCGTTTCGAAACTATTTAAATAAACAAAATAAATTAAATTAAATAAAATAAAATTAAATTAAATTACAATGATTTTATCTGTTTACTTTTAAATTAAGTAGTTGGGATAGATATATTTTAGTACATAATAATTTATTATTATAATTTATTTGTGTTAGCAAAAGATGAACATCGATAATCATGATTGATTTAATCTTTAAAGAAGATTCTGGCACCACTGAATGAATATTTGAATAATTCAAATTCTTGTTGGAGATTCTTGACCTTCTTGATTGACAATTGATTCTGATCTTCCTTCAATCCTCTAGCGTTGGCCTCTGCCAAGATTCTAGCTTGATCTTCAGTGTATTTCTTTGAGATTCTATCGAACCAGTGGAGTGAGTCGAATTCTCTGTTTTGATCGAGCAACTTGAGAATGTATGCCAAACCAATGGCGAAACCATCGTCAGTGAATTGAAGACTTTCGGCACCGATTGCTTTGGATTTCTTAAAGAGCTTATCCTTGGCATTGATGATGTGGTCTATAAAGTTGATGGTTAAAGGTGGTACGATCGCATAGAAATTACGAAGATGTTGGTTATTCACGTTTCTAAATTCGTTGGCAAACACTGTTACCAACATCTTAAAGTACTCGGTACCCTCGGATACGTTGATCGATAGATTCTCAATGACGTTATCGAGATTCTTTGAGGCATCGAGTGTCTCTGGTGACAATTGATGTTTGGCAACCAACTCCTCGAAACTCGGAATCTTTTTCAAGTCTGGAACAAACTTGATGGCATTGGAAGTGTAGAGAAGACCACCGGATCTTACAAGACGAATGTAACCCATTGCATTACCGATGTAGGTAATGAGAATTCTGAACTGATCCAAGAAACTGAGACCGGCTTCTGTGATACCGAGTTGACGAATATCCTTCTCAAACTCAATGGCCATCTCATAGGGATACATATTTCCAAGTTGCTCTTTGTTCTCTCTAAAGTATTTCAAATTCTTGTAGAGACGTGACTTGATCTGGTCGTCAAACAAGAACTCTGAGAAGATCGAGAACTTTTGTTTCAAATATTGGAATGCAAAATTGACGGTGGTGTTCATGATACCGGCACCGTGAGTACGGATCGAGTTGGCAATGTGTGTGATATTGATGGTGTTGAGTGTCTTGGAGTTGGATGAACGCTGGATGAAAATCTGGTTGTTCAAATTGTAGTTGTAACGCGCAACAAAGATGTGGATGTTTCTCATGATTTCGAGGACGTCCAGACCCTGCTCGAGAGTGGCACCTGGCAGATGTACCTCCAACAAGTTGAGACCGTACTTGTAGAACGCCATGTTTCTCATCTCGGAGTAGGTCTTCCAATCAAAGAGAGCGACTGTGTTGAGATTGTAGAAAGTGGTATCCAAGTAGTGTTCGATTCTCGACTTGATATCGATGGTCTTGTCAAAGAAACGAATCGGCTTCAACTCGAGGAAACGACCAAACTCTTTGATTCCGCTCTTGAATGGATCCTTCTCTGCGACATTCAAGAATGCGTGGATTCTCAAACGAAGATCGGTTTCAATGTCCTTACCCAATGGATTGATAATGTTCTTCTCGACCATATCCTCGAGTTCATCACGGTAACTATCGATAAGAGTTCCTGGATTCTCAACGTGAATTGCCTTCTCCAAGATGGAGACGACATCCTTCATACCGGTCATGGTGTATTGCAAGCTGTTGGCTTGCGATGGGTTGTCGTAGAGATACTGCAGGTAAGTTGGGAAGAGGTCACGTGCCCAGAAGAGCAGCGAGCAATCGCATACACGACGAATCGATGCGTGTATGTCAGAGACGAATTCCAGACGCTTCACATGCAGTCTGAGTTCCTCCATGTCTGGATCCTTCAGGAGATTGGCTTGATAGATGACATTCAAACAGAGTTTGATAATGATTAAACGCTCTGGGGTGACCACTCCAGTCAGCAAGTCAGAGGTAAGAGTCAACGCCATGATAACATCGAGTTCGGTGTCGCTATAGTTTGATTTACCAGTGTAACGAGCACGTACTACATCCAACTTGTTGGTGATGATAGTTGTCAGCTGTTGAGTCATCAATGAGATATGAGCAGAGATCATAGCGGTACGACGATGGAATGTACCCTGAATCGACTTGAGAAGCTCGGCGCATTGGAAGAGACGACGCACATCCGATGGCTTGAGTGGCGCAGTCAAAGACATGTGTAGACCAATCATAGTCTTAAAGAGATGACTGATATGATAGGAGAGCAAGATACCCTGGATAATCTGACCGATACGCGAGAGATTGGCATCCCAAAATCCACCACGGTTATTCAAACTGCCGGATTCCATACGAACCATCCAACGACTGACCTGGAGATAGTAAGACTTTACACGCTGAGCGAATTCCTTGTCGACAATCTTCAAGTATTCTCTACGAGCACCCTGAATATCTGGATTTCCAACGATCTTTATCATTCCTGGCATCAGAGTCGCGATAAAGTCGGCTGGATACCAAATGACATTGTTGTAGATCGAAACCATTGGGACACGCTTTGTCAGCTCCCAGACTTGCTTGAAGAACGACTTGTCGGTGATGTCCTTGAAGATGGAGATATAAAAAGTGTACAATCCAAGCATTCCAGGGAACTTCTCACGTAGATACAACTCTGAGCTATCCATAATCTTGGCAGAGAGCAGACCAAAGATCGATTTGACATTCAGAGAGAACTCGGCTTTCAATTGCTTGTTGTTACGGACGTCAACGACACCCGGGAAATCAAACTCCTGTTGTACACACGACTGGAAGATGTAACCCTCGAGAAGCTGTCCTTTCAACGAGAGCAACAGCTTCTCGAGTTGGAAGAGACGCTCCTCTTCGGCGACACCATACTTTCCGGGCTCGGCACGCACCGACTTTACCATACGCTGGAAACGTCCCCACGACGAGGACAATGCCTGGTTCTGAGTGACCACCTGGTCGAGTGTGATCAACACTGTGAAGAGATCGGCGAGCGAATAGAACACCGTTTGGAGGTGAACGTTCTTGAAGAACTTGGTGAATGCAGTGGTCTGGTTCTGGTAGCAACTGGCGAGCTGCGACACTACATTTCGAGTGATGGCGTAGCAACGATTGACAAAGGCAGACAGGTCGATCATGAATGGCAGCAGACGACCGACCTCCACCTGGACGTCACCCTCCGACGCCTCACCGGTGATCTCACCAAAGACGATCAACGGTTGGTAGAACTTCAACTCGGCGGTCTCCTTGAGAATTCTAATCTGATTGGTGAGTGAAGCGAATACCAACATCACTTTATTGAAGATCTTGTGTTCCGTTTTGATCAACTCGATGATATCTTGCTGTTCATAGGGACGAATGTAAAGACTGACCGGATCGACATTGAGATCCGATGACTCTGACAATGTTTCATCCAATGCCTCTTCGATCTGCCAAATCTGTTGTGCATAATCAACAGCGAATTGATTCAATTTTGTCAATTGTTGTTCTCCAACCAGTTCTAAATAGATAGAGATTCAAACAAATATTGATATTAATACGCTTTTGTTTTTTTTTTTTGTTTTTTTTATATATCTTTATTTGATCAAAATAACATACTTGATGAACCATCTTCAAATGCGTCGAATGTATACTCATCATTGTTGACAAGACTGGTACTAGCAGTATTTGGTGTTGCTGTAGCACTCGACATTTATAATATATAGTCTATATAACAATTTAATAAATAATATAGATTAAACAATCAACTAATCACTTTTTATCTATTTATATTATTATTATTATTATTATTGTGTTATTCTTTAATTATTAAATATCTATAGATTATAATTGTTTAAAAATTATTGTTCTGTTTTCATTTAGAATACTTATCAGCAAGGCACACTAACAATAAACTTTTTGCAAAAAAAAAAAAAAAAAAGATTTTTAAAAATCAAAAAATGCATGGAATAAAATTTTCTGCAGAATTTTCGATATTCATTTATTAATTAAAATATTTATTATGTTATTGAATGATTGAAACAGCTTGTCTTCCCATTTGTCTCCATCTTTTTAAGAATAAATCTTTGTTGTAATATTCTACTTTGCCTGTATGTGGATCGTTTATAATGAATTCATTTTCATTGTAACTTTTTTTTTTAAATAAAAAAAAATCAAAAAAAAAGACTAGTTAGATGATTATTTTAATATTCAATCTTTAACTTAACTTACCCAACTAATAATGCACAATGCTCTGGACTTACCCAATGAATTTCATTCTCGGGTACGTTTACATCGATCCATGTATCGGTGATACTAGGTTTTCTTAATTCCAATGTCATCCATATAATAATAGGATAGTTATATTTATTTAAATGATTTTTCAATATTTCTATATCAGATTCATCATCATCATCATCACTACCACTTGTTGTTTCTGTTTCGAAATGATCCAATCTACTTTTTATATACTCTTCTGATTCATTTAATTTTAATGGATATTTAATATTTGCCAAATCATTACATTTATCTGTTAGATCTATTGCTTTTAATGAATTACTGTTGTTGTTGTTGTTGTTGTTGTCATTACTATTATTAAATTGATTATCGATTAGATGATAAACGGGTTGATGAAACATTCCGAATGATAGTTTCGATGTGGGTAGGCCAACGAATGCCCTATATGGATTGCCACCGACCAATGAGATATGATCCTGACACGGATCTTGTTCTTTTCCTACTTGCTCTGCAAGTACCTCTTTCGAGTATCTATCTTGATCGTTGTCATCACCCTTACAACAATGCTTTAAAAGCATCGAGACAGAGGTCACCTCACAACCAGTCGGGAGCGATGGATATTGATATTGTATATCAACATTAATCAATAGATCTTTTTTAATTTCTTGGTTATTACTACTACCACTACTATTACTATTCATTTATTGTTTGTTGTTTTATTAAAAATCAGATGTCGTTGCATCTTAAAATTAATCTGATCCCACACATTTTGGTTATTAAAATTTTGGAATTAAAAAAAAATCTAATTAAAAAAATCAAATAAAATCAAAAAAATAATAATAATTTATTTTTAAAAAAAAGATAGATATCTTTGTTTGTATTTAGTATACTATTATTTACAAATTGTTTTTTTAACAAAAATAAAGTTATTTTTCCAAAACAATCATTAGGTTTTCTTCTTTGGAATCTTATTCAATCTATTAACCAATAATTTTTAAAATTATCCTTTAAAAGAGAATAAATATTTGGTCCACTTTAACCAACCAAAATTGGTTGGACATAAAATTAATATTGTTGTTAATTTTTTTGGATTTTTTGGTTTTTTTTGGTTGTTTTTTTTTAATTGTTGATTTTTGTTTTTATCAAAGTTTGCGAGGAAATTTCTGTCTTAAATTATCTCATTATTATTTGTGTTATTCTTATTTTATTTTTTGCAGTAATAAAAAAAAACAGACATACAGAAAAGAAAAATATATCAATAAACTACACAGCAGCAGAATAAAACAAATAAAACAAACAAATAAACCAAATAACAAACACACTGTCTAGCAATAATAATAATAGTAATAAATTTATAAATATAACACAACACACAACACACACTCACAATCTATCAACCAACAAACACACCCACTCTTACTCTTATCCAAACAAACCCATATAAACAATAATAATAATAATCCTTCATTCATATTACCTACCACACATCATAATTACCACCACCACCACTAACACCTTTTTTTAAATTGATATATATATATAAACATTTATTTATATTTATTTTATTTTTTTTTCTTTTTTGTTTTTTTTTCTTTTCAAAAACAAATAATTAAAATTTTTTATATATTTTTTATAAAAAAACAAAAAAAAAAACAAAAAACTTTAATTTATTTGAATTTATTGAATTGTCATAATTATCACAGTTATATATTTATATTGTTTTATTATTATCTTGTTATATAGTCTTTCTTTTATTTTTATTACCATCATCATCATCAATCAATCAATTGTTAACTCTTGTTACACCTCTAAAATTTACTTATAACATTAAATTACTTTTTTTTTTTTTAAAACTTAACTGTTAAATAAATACAAATTTCTCCATTATTTATATATTATTATACTACTATCCATCTTTTTCTTCAAATAAATTATTATAAATTTAGTTGTTTATTCAAAAAATATTTTTTTTCAAGTTGAATACTACACATTTCTGATCATTGTTATCTTATATATACAGATATACTATTCTTTTTTTTTCAAATATCAAGTTGTTTATCTAATTAATTATCGTAATCAAATACAAATTTTTTAAAAAAAAAGAAAAGAAAAAAAAAAAAAAGAAAAATCAAAATATAATCAAGAAATCTCAAAATTAATATCATTCATTTTTAATTCATCATATACCTACACATACATACATATATATATATACTTTCAATATTTATTATTAATACTATAGTTATAATCCTTCATTCACAGTAAAAATTCAAAAATCATTTGAATCATATATTTTTTTTTTAATTTTTTTATAAACTACATCTTTACCTTTAATCAGAAGTAACAACATTATCAAATTTATTTATTCTTATTTTATTGTTTTTTTTATTATTTTTTTGCTTTTTTCAAAACATACATCTGTGAATTAGTTTTCGTACAGTGACAGCACCAACATCAACATCAACATCACCAACAACAACATAACAGCAATCTTTTATTTATATACTATTTATAATTTTCAAAAAAGAATTAATTTATTTTTTAGCAAGATAGATAGAAAGACAAACAAACAGCTACATAATAATCGACTTTAATATTTTATATATATCCTCTTCTTCCCTCTTATTAGTTCATCAAATTTCCAAACTAAAGAGTTTGTTGTTGATCAATATCTTACCAATCAATGGAGACAAGCACACTAAGTATGTATTTTTAAAAATATTTATTCCTTTCTTTTTTATCTGAGATGTTAACAACTTTTTTATTTCAGAATCAAATGGCGTTAGTTCACCTTCATTGTCATCATCTGGTACTTATCAACCGCACAACAACACCAACGGTAAATCACTAAACAGCTCTGGCGGATCATACTATTCAGCGCACAAGCAACAGAATGGATATGTCAAAGATTACAATAACAGCAATGCAAGCGGTGGCGCATCGAACGGAGTAAAGACTCACCACCATACTCCGTTGATCAATGCAAACGCCACAGTAGTATTTCCAACATTCAAAAAGAATCCAACAGAGACTTCGCAGTCTCTGCTTAGCAATCAAAGCAACACTTCAGGTCGAAGTGTTGTTCCCTCTTCTTCCATCCAGCAGTCGGCATCAACCTCGGCCAACTCCCTAAAAACATCAACACAACCAACACCAACTACACTGTCAACACCTAATATATCACCTACCACACAGGCCAACTCTGCAGCGTCAACACCAGCACCGACTCCACCTCCCGCTCCAATGCCAACGGCATCTACAGTTCTGTATAAAGCACCGAACTCTACCAATACATCACCCACTTCACTCTCTTCTTCATCTTCAGCAGTAGCCACAAACAATAGTACTACATCACCTCTTAATCTTAATGGAGCGATCAGTCAAAATAATCACTATCACACTGCATTCAATAACAACAATGTACACAATTCAAACAACAACAATAATTATCAAAGCAATGGTTTTACGAATCATAACCATAGTAACAACAATTACCAGAAATATACAAACAACAACAATAGTACAACAAATCCGATAAACTCCTCATGGAGCACTTCCCCACAAATGAAATCATCATCCAACTATCCATCACAGCAAAATATCGATTCTTACGATAGCAACAAACAATCTGATTATCAAATTAGAAGAAATAACAGCAATAATCAATTAAACCGTGGTTATAACCACCCTAAGGCACCACCTGTAGGACCTTCACCTCATCACAATGGATTCAACAGATCAAACAGTGAGAATTTTAAATACAATTCTTCATCAAGATCATCTACTTTCCAAACCAACAATACAAACTACCATAATAATAATAGTAATAACAACAATAGCAACATCAACAGCTATGTGAATAATAATAATAATACTAATAATAATACTACACATAATATTAATACTAATTTCCACAATCATTCGTTGTCTAACAGTGCCAACAATGTTAGTGTTAATAGTCACCATACACCAACTTATAACAGTCATAACAGCGGCTACAATAATAATAACAATACTTCCTATAAACAAGCAAACGGAAATAATAGACATTATCCTCAAAGATCCACTTCCTCTCCATTTATAGAATATAAACCACAACATTCCTATAATAACAACGGTGGCTATCATAATACTAACAAAGCCAACCAAATCGGTCAAGATCATATCAATGACCCTCTCCCACAACAACAAAAGAACAGTGTCATCAATGTTGATTTACAACAACAACAACAACAACAACAACAACAACAACAACAACAGCAGCAACAGCACCATTCATTTGCCCATACAGCACCAGTTCCAATTCCAACAAACTCCACTCAACAACAAAATTCCAACCAAATCATATCACCACAACCTCAACAGGCATTGACTGAACATTCTCGTAATGTTGTTTCTAGTAGTGCCGATGACGATATGAATGTTCTCCTCGATAAACTTCATCTCTACACAAACAAACCCGAATCCCCACTCAACAATGAGCACAGTCTATCATCTCGATTTGAACATGACGAAGACTACTACAATCCCTACGATTCGTATTCCGCTCCAACCACACCCAATCACCACTCTGCTCCAAGTATCAATTGCGATGTGTTCTCTAATGGATTCAGCACCTGGGCACCAAGAAGTAAATCATCGCAATCCGCTCTTCAACAGCAACAATACAATATGGCCGTGCACCAACATCTCATGCACCAACAACAGCTTCAACAGTTCCAATTACAGCAACAACAGCTCCAACAACATCAACAAGGTGGTAACTTGCCAAACATTCCACCAGGTTTTGAAAGTAATAACTATTCAAACTTTATTGATCAACCTCCTTTAGTTAATTCAAAAGGACAACAAATCTTTACAGGTTACCCAATTTCCTACTTTCAGCAATCAAATCAGCAACACTATGAATATACAATCAGCCAACAACAACTATAAATTAACTACTCTAAAGACAAACAAAGCTATCCTATAATCCTGAATTAAATAAAAAACCAATGAATTTAAAAAGGATTCAATTAATTGAACTTTCATATAATAACAAAAACAAAAAAAAAAAAAAAAAAGTTACTACAAAAAAAAAATTACTCCAAAAGTTTTAAATTTTATTTTGAATAAATAATATTAATGATCACCCTCTTCATCCTGATCTTTATTCTTCCAGCCATTATCATCATCCCAAGAAGATGGAGCACCATTTGATTTTCTGGTGGGTGTGAGTGATCCAATTGTATCGGGCATATCCTTCAATATTGGTAGATAGTGTGTCAAAGTATTAATTGGTTTAGCAAAAATAGATGGTAACATTGGTTTTCCTGGAGTCTCTGCAACACCAGAGGCTCTCAAACTTGATCCATTAGTTGATGTGTGTGAAGATCTTGGAGGTGCAGCTGCTGCAAGGTGATCAGGTACATTTGCTGGAGGTGCAACAAAAAGGGGTGGATCCACTGACGGTAAGTAGTTGAATCGAGATGCCGCTGAAACACGGTTTTTGTTCAACTCCAGATGCAATCTAATACTCTGGAATGTTAGCTCGAGTTGTTGACGTCGTTCTGGATTAAGTATAGCAGTATTCGCATCGCTTGTCATGATTTGATCCGAGGGTACGGGAAGTTCCATTTTTATCACCGATGTATTACGATAGTAGATGAATGGCGATGCCAATGATTGCCATCCAATCGAAGTAAACTTATTGCCAGAGATAAATAACTTTTGAATCGACTTGTTATTTCTCAGGCAGTCGGCAAGAAGACATGCACCATGATCGTTCATTTCATTTCCAGTGATGTCCAATGCTGTTATCGATTTGTTATTGTTCAACGATTGAATCAGTGGGTGTAGTGTCTGTCCAAATCCACGGTACGATGCCAATCCTAGCTTGGCCAGCTGCGAATGACGTCCGACAAAGTCGATGATTGCAGCGACCAACGCTGTATCTTCGGCGGGTGTGCTGTTATAACCAATATTTAGTGCGATCATACCACTTACTTTGGCGAGTACATTCATGATATCGATGAGCTGACGACTGTTCAAACTGTTCATCGATAAATCCAATCCACCAATGAAATTACACTCCCCAAGCAAATCGACGAGAACCTGGCTAGAGTTACCGGCGAATCCGTTATTCGATAGATTGAAAGTGAGAGAATGGCGTGATAGCTTTTGATTGGCAACGAACGAAGTCAAGATGGTTCTCAGAGAGTCGCCAAACAATCCACACTCTGACATGTCGAGATATCGCAATGAACGGAAGCAACTCAATGCCTCGGTTGCCAACAGCCTGGCATTTACCAATGTAATCTTATTCTTTGAAATGTCTAAATACTCGATAGCTTCGACCGCTCTGAGAGCAGCTGCCAACATTCCAAAGTTCAACTGGCAGCCAGACAGTCGGAACTCCTTCAACGAATGAGCACCACGAATCTTACACAACCACGATACAAACGCAGAGGTACCAGTGTCTTGGAATCTATTGCCAGAGAACACCAGTGTCTCTAGTGTCAGTGACATTGCAAAGTTTCTCTCGAATGCCTGGAAGATCAGCGCCATTCCTCTCGGTGAGATGTCACACTTTGAGATATCCAAATGCAGCAATGAGTGATTGAATGCTGCAAGACCATCTGCCAAACTAACCACCGATTCATAACTCATCATATTGTTAGAGAGAATCAGTTTTTGGAGTCCACTGGTCAGACCTATATGCTGTAGTGCACTACCAAGTGGTGCATACGATTGCTCTGTTAATAGACCAGAGATATTCAACTCTGAGATCACTGTATTCGTATACATCATCTCTGCAACCGATGAAATAACATTGATATGTGGAACATTTACAATCTTTAAAGATCTAATAAATGTATTATGTCTAAGTGTAATAATAGCTGTAAATAAATTGAAACTAATATAAAAAACATATTAACATATATTAATATTAAAAGGTCAAGTAGTATCTTATTTATATTTCAATTATGCTTACCCAAGTGAACAGGTTGGATCGATACCTGGGATTTGAGCGAGATCCAACTCTGGATAACGAGTTAGGTAGAGTGTTTCAAGATGACGCAAATAGTCGAGTGTTGCCTTTCTCTTAAAGTAATGTGAGTGTGCAACGTATTGTTCGGCAATGCCTTTACCGTCGGCACCGAAATCATGATTGAATTGAATCGGTTGATATCGATTGGCGGGAAGTGTCACTCTCAATCTAAGTTCCGCTGGGAATCCACGCGATATCGTCAAAGTTGTGAATACAATCGATTTGATAATGATGTTCTCTACTTTGCGATCCGGTGATTTAATGTAGAGAGAAGAGAATGGATTATTGCTATTGTTGTCGGCCACCTTGTTATTGTTTGCACCTGGATTGCTGTTGTTATCTTTGTATTTGATCTCTATACACTCTTGTGAGGAGATAGCACCTGCACCTGTAATCGAAGGTTCTGCAATCTCTATGAGATCGTAGTGATGTATCGACTTTGCCAATGTCTTGGCGTATTTTGTCTTTTTTATGATCAGTGATTTATAACGACCGACCACCAATATCCTCTGCTTGAATGTTGTACCATCATCGCTAACACTAACGATACCTTGGAATGCAATCTCCTCACCAAACAATCCACCAATCGGTCCCATTTGTTCAACTATAAAAGCTATAAACACATTCATTCAATCATATTATTAATCAAAGTTTTTAAAATTAATACCAAAGACAATTTAAAAACATAAGAGTAACAAGTATAAATAAATACATACGTTGATCAGCTTCCAACATTTCAATTGGCTGATCAGATTGTTTATCTTTTCCCATTGTTTTTGTTTCTTTCTTTCTCGACTCACTAATCAACTACTCTTTATCTAAAAAAAAAAAACTATAAAATTATATATTTAAAAAAATGAAAACAATATCTTTTTTTTTTAAAAGTTTTTGTAAAAATAAATATTAAATCTTAAAATAATTAATAATAAATAATTAACTGTGTGACAATGGATTGAAATGAATAAACAATCAAGAAATTGTTGACAACCAAAACACCCAACACACAATATCAATTTTCAAATAAAAATTTCAATTTTTTTTTGGCATTAATGACGAGATAACTAGTTCAAACAGAAAAATCAATTAATTAAAAAAAAAAATTCAAATAAAATCATTTATAAATCCTTTTTTCTTTTAAAACAAATAAACTTTATTATTTAATTGTTACTACAGAAAGAAATGGATTGGAATGAATGAATGATTATAAATTGGTTGATATGATTGAAAAAAAAACAAAAAAAAAAACAATTTTTGTTGTATAATATTTGGTTTAATAGTTAGTTTGTTTAACTTCTATTATTTGATTTGATTTGATTAGATTGATAGATATATATAATAAGGGTTTAAAAACAAAGTATAAAAATAAAATAAAATAAAATAAAATCGGTCAATAGAAATAAAATGAGATACAAAAAAAAAAAAAAAGTATAAAAAAGAATAGAGATATATAAAATAAATGAATGAAGTTATTGATAAAAAGATTAATGAATACAGCAGAGGCAGCAGTAAAGCAATTATTATTATAGGTTTACATCAAAATACAACCAGAGTTTTGTTGTTGCTCTGGTTGCTGACTTTTATCGATCTCTTGTAACATCAGTTTAAACACCTCTTCGACATTAACATTGTTCTTTCCAGAGCACTCGCAAAATGCACATTCCCACTTGTTAGCTAGACTCTGTGCTTCCTCTTTACTAATTTGTCTATTTAATACATAAAGATTATCATTATTAATAATGAATTCATTTTCATTTTTTTTGTTTTGTTTTGTTTTTTGTATAATTATCTATCTGATTTATCATACCTTTCACCTTCTAAATCCGATTTATTTCCAACCAAAACCCTTGGGATCTTCTCTGTACCCAAAGCATTCAAAATCTTGTCATTTAAAACTTTTACAACCTCTAATGAAGAGGCAGATGTCACGCTATACACTAAAATATATCCATGTATACCAACTGAATATTGCTTTTGTAAAATCGAATATTCATCCTGTTGTAATTGTGTGATTTTTAAAATGATCAATTGAATCAATCAATCATTATTCATTATTAGTATCAAACCAATAGTAGAGATTGGATGATGAAGGTGTTTGAAACCTTCAAAGAAAATAACAATGAATAATAATAATAATAATAATAATAACATACCTGACCAGCAGTATCTATAATTTCAGTAGAGTATTCACGGCTCCCTAGCTTTATTACTTTCTGAAAGGTATTTTCAATCGTTGGATTATAAGTATCCGGGCAATGCTTATCAACATACTGAATAGTAATAGTTGATTTGCCTATTGGTTTATATTAGTTTGTTTGTTTGTTTTGTTGTATCAATAAAGTAAGTAAATAATTATTGACACACTGTTTATTCGATTATTTTAAACTTACCAACAGCTCTGAAACCCATAACACATATCTTTCTCTTTGTTTGTGGTGCCATTATTGTTTATTGATGTTGTTATATGATGATGTTATATAAATGAAGAAGAAGTAGTAAAAATATAAAACGAAACGAAAATAATAGTAGTTGTTGTTATTTATGTAGATAGATTATTATTTACAAATATTAAATGTATATACAATATATATATTGATGGTTGATAGTGATAGTAGTGATAGTGATAAAATGTATGTATATATTTATAAATAAATATGTTATTCTCGATATCTATCCCTATTTGGTCTTGAGGTCAAGTGTCGAAAAACAAAAAAAAAAAAAACAAAAACAAAAAACAGTAATACCAAAATGTTCAGCAGTTGTTAACAACGTAATAAATTAAAATACTATGTTCCTCTTCTGTTCTGTTGGTTTGTTTTCACCTGCTTTTTTTTTTGTTGCAATACTATATAGTAGTAGTAACAACAGAAATAGAGATTTTAAACGATTAAATTAAATTAAAATTTAATCGTCTTTAAATGTTATTGTTTATTAATATAAAATTATTAAAATTGTGAATTCTATTTAATTAAAGTTAATGTGTTATGTATTTTATGTGTATATAATATATGTGATATGATAATTAATTGATATGATATGATATGATAGGTACTTGTACTACAAATGAGCTGTATGTGAGAATGCCAATATCTATGCAATGGAAAGCAAAAAAAAAAAAACAAAATTAAAAATTAAAATTAAAAAAAATACCAAAAAAAAAATGGTTGAAGATATTAAAATTTAAATGTATTGCTCTGTTTAGACTTGTACAAGTTATTAGTTGTTTTTTAATCATATATAAATATTGATTTCTATGTAAATGAAAAATATATGTTTATCACAATGAGACAAATTTTAAAAGAAAATAAAATGTTATGTTAACTTACAAGTTTGTTAAAAGAAAGAATTCCCTTTTTTTTTTTTTTTAAATATTAATGTTTTTAAGTTATATACGAATAATGTATTGTTATTTCTTTGGCTTGATCAAAAACAAGAATAAAAAGAAAAGAAAAGAAAAAGAAAATTTGTCAATCAACAGTGATCATTTATTGCGGACAAAAGAATAAACAGTCGAATCATTGCAATGATTCCTTCACACAACCTTTTTATTTTATTTTATTTTTTTAATTTTTGAGGTGATCGAAACAAACACCAACGTGCTTATCTGACATCACTAAGCCACAATCTTAACTTGATATTTTTATAAAATTGCCCGAAAAATAAAAATCAATCATCTCGAACAATATAAATTAAAAAAAAAATAAAGAACGAATCATTCATTAAACAGTTTTGTTTTGTTTTTTTTGATTTTTTTTGATTTTATTTTATTAATATCTATCGGACCTGTATCTATCTCTATCCCTATTGTCTCTTTCGTCATATCTATCTCTAGTTCTATCACTAGTTCTATCACCACCCCTATGTTGTTTATCTTTGCTCTTATCATCATCGAATCTACTGCTTCTATCTCTATCATTCTCCCTGTTTCTATTATCTCTGCTATCTCTATCTCTATCTCTGTCTCTGTCTCTGTTATCTCTATCCCTATTGTCTCTATTTCTATCATCATATCTATCTCTATTCCTGTTCCTGTCTCTATCATCATATCTATCTGTTTTCCTGTCTCTATCCCTATTGTCTCTGTTATCTCTGTCATTATATCTATCACCATTTTTATTTCTATCCCTGTCTCTGCTATCTCTATCTCTGTCTCTATTGTCTCTATTGTCTCTATTATCTCTGTTATCTCTATCTCTGTCTCTGTTATCTCTACCCTTGTTACTTCTGTCGTTGTAGTTTTGTCTTTGTTTCTTTGATTCCGGCTGATCGTTATCATCATAAACGTAGTCATATCCTTTTGTTCCAGTTAAAATATGATGTTGAGGATTAACTAAACTACTATTTATTCTTTTACCACCAGATAAGAATTTCTCTATCATATAGATAACCATTGGTTAGTTAGTTAGTTATTTATTGATTGATTTGATATATGATCGATCTGATAATTGATTTGATTAAACTTACTTGCACCATAACCAAACTTTACTTTTGCAATGGACTGACAGAAGTCGACGTGAATTCTTCGCTCGTCGATGAGTGCATTCTCCATCTTTGAGTAGGCAGTCTCGCATTGTTTCTTTGTTTCGTATTCAACGAATGCGTAGCAGAGTGAATCGTTGGTAACGGGGTCTCTGATGACCTCGCAACTTCTGATGTTACCGAACGACGAGAAACACAACTCCAAATCCTCTGAGGAGGTATCGGGATTCAACTTGCAAACAAACAATACATTCTCGGGTGGCTTTATATCGGCATCCGGGAGTACACCCAACATCTCTAGCAATTCACTTCTTCCTCTTGCCGACTTTGCATTCAACTCCTCTTCGATCTCTTCTTTGGTTTTACCTTTTGTATCTTCATCTATATCTTCATCCGCTTCAAATCGATTCTATAAACAACAACAACAACAACAACATAATAATAATAAGTAAATTAATAACAACAACAAAACTTTCCAATTGGATATTTCTTAAAAATTGATACATTACATCATCTGGATCTTTTCTAAAATTAGGTGATCTATCGGGTATCTCTAATGATGGAGGATCAGGGAATGGATCATCTAAAATGATGGTATGCAACATTCTTATATTTTTGAGTGGTCTGTTCTTTGAATCAACAAAAGCATCGTTTATCTTTGCAAGAGTATCCAATCCTTCAACCACCTGTCCAAATATCGTATGTTTATCATCTAGATAATCTATATTAGGTTTAGTTGTTATATAAAACTAAACAAAAAAAAAAAAAAGAATTATTTAAATGTTAATCAATGAATCATGATACGATGGATAATCAATTGTCTACATAACATACTCTTGATGCATTCAAGTTCTTTCCAGCATTTGCCATTGCAACAGTTCCAATATTTGAATGAGTCAATTTCTTTGGATGTATTTCATCTTCGAAATATTTAGCTTCTTCACCAAACAGTTGTCTATTGGAGTATCAGATTATAATTAGTACTTATATACTTTATTTAATGATCGAATCTATTCATACCCATATATACTTTCACCAGCTTTACCAGTGTTTGTAGGATCACCCGTCTCCACTATGAAATCTTTTTGAACGTTATAAAATAGACAACTATTAAAGTATTTTATTTTACATACTATAAAAAACATATATAATATAAAGTAGTAAGTATTGTTATTAGTCACTGATTATTTACTATATTGTAAATTGAAACATACATTTTAAGAAGTTCTTGGTTGCAATAGGACATTCATCTGTGTATAGATCTATAACGATATCACCTAATGTAGTTTCAATAAGCACACTCATACTATTATCTTTATTTATATTATATATTATTTAACTTGATTGTGACTTTCTCATTCTATTAACTCAAAAGAGAATTAAAATTCAAACTTTTTCTTGATCATCACTTTTTTGCATATTTGTTGTTGTGTGAACACACGATCTTTTTTTCACATATTTATTCATTAATTTTAACATTTTAATTTTTCAATCATATAACAATATTCTATATATTAGTTAATTATTTATTTGTTTGTTATTTTATTTTATTTTATTTTCTTTACAAAAGTAGATAGATATTCGAGTGCAGCTCTATGACACCAATTATTCCAACTACTACTACTACTACTACTACTAATAGATGTTGTCAAACCAAATTGTTCTTGTGTTTGTTTTGTTAGTGCCAAAATGACGCGTTCATTTGTTTTTATTTTCTGTAGAGGTAGTTTTTCGTATATTGACCTAGGGTCATGATCGTTGCTCAACATCAATATCGGTCTACCTAGGTTCTCTATGTTTTCGATGCCCCTATTGGCATCGTCATAGTAATCATCGACATTCCTATATCCAAACATTTTCACGGTGGTCAACTGATCGATTTCACGAAGTGATTTCGCTCGTTTGATATCATCAAGTGTTGTACCCACCATCTTTAGTCTTGAATCGAATTTACTGTAGTATTTCACCAATTGTCTGTGCAACACCCGATAATCTATCATCCTATTCTTAAATGTTTTCGTGTAGGAATCGTAACTCTCTCCTAAATCGACAGGATTCGAAATACAAACATGAGCAGTTATAGGTGATTCCTCTTTATATTTATATAAATAATTTAACTATTTTAATATCAATAATAATAATAATAGTTAATAATTAAAGAATAATAATATTAACAACAATAGTAAATTATAACTTACACCAATTGTACCACCTAAATAACTTCCAATATTAAATAATATAGTATTTGGATATTTTTGTTTGATGTAATCGACGGCAATTTCAAAATCATCCGTTCTGCATCCCAAACCAGTGGTGTTGGCTGTAATAGGAATGCCAGAACAACCTCTATTTATAAACACTACCGATCTAAATCCTTTGGTTTCATGTGCATATCGACAGAAATAATTAATATAAGAATCATCGTCTGAACCTCCCAAAAAACTATGATTAAAAATAACAATTGGAGTTTTATCATCACCACCAACTCCGAAATCATACCAATCCAATGCCATTGTTCCACCATCCATTTTATTAACTAAATATTCTCTTTTTGTTATTTTTTTTTTATTAATTATAATTGATAAATTATTTTAAATTATTTTAATTAACTACCTTGTTTTTAATAAACTTTTTCTTTTATATTTTATATAATCAATCATTGTTGTATATGTATTCGATAGAGAGAAAGGACGATCATATGTTGCGTCGTTAGGGACTGTCGGTAACAGTGAACTATGACCATTGTTCAAAATGATGTTATTTTTGACATTGTAAAATGGTCGGAACATTGAAGGACATTGCTCCAATATTTGAATGTTTTCCTTGTTATTTTTAAAATACAAACATACTTCCGACATTGTTTTATAACTATTTAAATCTATTTAAATTAAAAAATAATATTATTTATTTATTTATTTTGTAAATACGACTTGTTTTAAGGTTTCTCAAAAAATATTTATAGAAGAAACCTTTCAACAAGTTCACTACATAGTGGTTATGGTGCTGCTGGTGCTGCTGGTGGTCAGACAATTCAATTGAAACTGAAAATTAAATCAAATAATACTTTATAGGCTGAACTACCGGCAATTACATATTATAGTAAATTCCATTTTCGATTGTTCGCCATAAAACACCAACAACACTTTTTCTAATACGTTCGTTTAAATTGCTGATATTTTGTTGGGTTTGTTTGTCTGTGTGTTTCCATTTTCAGTTAGATTTGACTTCACTTTCAAAAAAGCAGTCGTAGTAATACCATACAATTATGTTAAAATTTGTTGTAGTTTCTCGCCTTTTATGGTCAGTTTATCAAATTAAATATTTGTAGAGTTGTCCAATCAATTGTCAATAGGTATACTTATTTTGAAAATGTTGTTGGTTAATCTTTCTTCTAATTTACAAATACTTGGTATGGTCAACTGCTGACTCTATGAACATATTACTTCTTCCTCTTTTTTTTCCTCTCCCCATGAATTACTTTTAATAAGATAATGGGTGACTAGTTATTTGGTATTAAGAGTAAAGTTTTTTTTTTTTTTTTTTCCAAGTGTGGTAACAAAAGTTATATATGGGAAATTTTTAAAAATAAATACCAGGTTATGATATTAGTAGTTTAAATATGTAAATTTCCAAGTTCGTAAATATAAATATTACTATTGTCTTAATATACTTCGAAATTTAAATTCATGATCTTGTGAAATCTACTTTCTTTTTCCAAAATTCAATCCAATGAATGTCATTTAGTTGATCAAATTTTCCAATTTAAGAAGTATTACTTATAATAATTCATAATAGTAATTATTTCTATATTTTAAATAGCAACATATTCAAGATATTATTTTTATGACAGCCGTTAATAATCTTTATATATCATTAAATCTATCTTTCTTGTTTAATTAATGCATTACAGCTATCTATTCTTAAAATCATTTTTTCATATTCTATTGGTTTGTTACATTTAAAAAGATTCATTTTTTTTATTTATTAATTTTACATTTTACAGATATCATATTTTTGTCAAGTTTTGCAGTTTTGTCGTTGTGATAAATATTCTTTGTTGTCATTATCTTTTTATAAAAGTCGATATGTATTCGACTGCAGCACGGTGACACCAATTCTCCCAACGATTCCTATTGGAAATGAAACCCATGTGTCCACCTCTTTTTGTGAGTGCCATTATAATGTTTTCATTTGACTTAATTTTTTTGAATGGTATCAGTTGGTACGGAGATATTATGTCGTCTTTTGCATTGAACATCAACACTGGTTTCTTTAGTTTCTCCAAATTCTGTGTACATTTATTGGTGTCTTCATAGTAGGCATCGGAATTTTTGTATCCAAACATCTTTACGATCGTCAACTGATCAATTTCGCGAAGTGATTTTGCTCTTTGGATATCCTCAATAGTTGTACCAAACTTTTTCAATCTATCACCATACTTTGTGTAATATTTTACCAACAATTTATGTATTCCACGATAGAAATAGAATGAGTGGAAAGGATTATCTGTAAAAGTATCGGAGCTTGCTCCAACATCAATTGGATATGATATACAGACATATGCAGTAATTGGTGATTTTTCATTATGTTTATATAGATGGTTTAGCTTTTTTTGTTATTCACGTTAATATACGATTTATTTTTATATTCATTATTTTTTACTTACATTCATCATTGATCCAGAACAATGACCAACTAAAAACAATGGTGCACTTGGATATTTTTCTTTAATATGATCAATTATCATCTCTAAATCATCGATCCTACTTCCGGATCCACAGGTATCAGCAGTCACTGGTGTACCTGAACAACCTCTATTCACAAATACCGCCGATCTAAATCCTTTTGTATCGTAAGCATATTTACCAAAGTACTTAATGTACGGTTCATTAGTACCTCCCACCAAGCTATGACTAAAAATAATGATAGGTGTATCATCTTTAAAATTTACACCAAAGTCAAACCAATCCAATGATACAGTTCCACCATCTTTTTTATTTACCAATAGCTCTCTAAAAATTATTTAAATAATTTAGTTAGTTAATCAATTGTTAATTGTTTTTATTTATTAGTTTGTTAATTAATTACCTATCAATTTTTAATTGTAATTTGTTTCTTCTATACATAATAAAGTCAGTCATTGAATATGGATTGGATAATAAGAATGGAGGATCATAGGTTGCTTCATTCGATATAGTAGGTTGTAAGGAATCAACATCATGATTTACAATGATTTCATTTTTTACATTGTAAAATGGCTGGAATAAAGATGGGCATTGCTCCAATCTTTTTATGTTTTCTTTACCATATTTAAAATACAAAGCTATCTCTGACATTTTCTTATAAACTATTTTATCAATAATATAAAATATATATATTTTGTTTTCTTTTATACAATTTTGTTAGATTTCCAGCTAGTGAAATCCATTCTTTTAAATAAAACAAATTTTAAGAACCCATTGAATTTGTGGAATCATAAATTATAAAATATCATTACGTAATTACACACTGAGTCTTTAATAGATTTATTTCATAGCCGATTCATTTCCTTTGGCATTCCAATCGACTCACAATAATCAAATTTACTTAGCAATATTATATTGCTCAGGGTAAAAGTAACACAATCTTAAAAGAAAGCCAGACATAAATTTGTATGAAACAAAATGGTAACAATTTCACTCCACTTTGGAATAGTTTACCTTCTTCATAAACTTCAATTGGGTATAGATAGTAGTGCAGTGCTCTCCTATCACTTCAATGTTATATTCCAATTAAATAACAATGTCGATAGAGTATTGGGATACATAAATTTACAACTTTAAAAGTGTTGGGGGAATATACATACATAATAAAAAGATTTTAAATAAAAAAATCCAACAAAAAAACAAATCATTGGTAATTTTTCACCAAAGTAAAATGTAACACTCCCAATAACACATGTATTATTAATATACGTAATTAAACACACCATATTTATATTTATAATAATAATAATTATTAATTATATTCACCTTATAAAGTAAAATTGTTGTTTTTTTTAAATCAAAAAATCAAGCTTTACACTTTTTTTATTCAATCATCACAATAAGTGTACGATTTATTATAACCAACACACACACACACACTGATCAATTATAATCAATTAAAATTATCAATCTTTAATCTTAAAAATAATGATTTTTAAAAAGAAAAAGATATATTTCTAAGATCTTAGAAATTTTAATGTTCAATTAAGGGATATCTAAAAATTGATTTAAAATTTGTTTGTTTTTTTTGTTATTGATTAAATTAAATTTATCAAATATTCAAACTTAATGTCGAATGTATTTTTGATGTAACAAAATTTTGTTTTGTACAGTATATCATGGTCGTTATGAGTTTATTTACAATGTAAAGAAATAAATATAAATATAAATATAAAAATGTATAAATAAGGTGGTACTATTCTATTATTATTAAATTTTTTTGACAAATGTTGATAAATATTCTAAAGCAGCTTTGTGACACCAATTCTCCCAATTGTTTTTACGTGAAATGAAACCCAAGTGTCCACCTCTTCTTGTAAGAGCTAGAATGATGTTGTCGTTGCTTTTTATTTTGTGTATCGGCAGATTTTGATATGGTGACATTACATCGTCTTTAGAGTTGAAAATCAGCATTGGTTTGTTTAGTTTTTCCATGTGTTGGGTACAGTTGCTTGCATCATCGTAGTATTCTTCTACATTCTTGTATCCAAACATCTTTGTTGTGATTAGCTGATCTATTTCCCTAACTGATTTCGCACGCTTGACATCTTCAATTGTACACCCAAAATTCTTTAACCTATCACCATATTTGCTGTAATGTTTTACCATAAACTTGTGTAATTCGATATAAAAAAAATATTTATGAAATGTAGTGGATGTAAATGAATCGCTACTCATCCCAACATTCACTGGTGGTGAAATACAAACGTATGCTGTTATTGGTGTTTGTCCATCTCTCTTTAATAAATGATTTAACTATTTAGATTGTAGATTGTAAATTAATTAAATTTCAATAGCAGGTTGTTTTATTAATTTCTGTACATACTCCAACCATAGAACCAATACAATGTCCAACACTAAATAGCGGTGCTTTTGGATATTTTTGTTGTATATATTCTAGTGCCATTTCAAAATCATCTATCCTACTCCCTGATCCACCTATATCTGAAGTTATAGGTGTGCCTGAACACCCTCTGTTTATAAACACTACTGATCTAAATCCTTTTGTTTCATATGCATATTTTCCAAGATATTTAATGTATGGTTCATTCGATCCTCCCAATAGACTATGACTAAATATAATTATAGGTGTTTCATCATTAAATCTTACACCAAAATCATACCAATCTAAAGATACTGTTCCACCATCTATTTTATTTACCAATAATTCTCTGTTTTTTTTGTTAAATTTTTTAAAATAACTAAATGTCAATTATCCTGTTTCTATTATTTTATTCTAGTTTGTTTTTTGTTTTTATCTTACCTATTTGATCTTAATTGTATTTTATTTTTTCTAAACATTATATAATTTGTCATTGAATATGGATTGGAGAGAAGAAATGGAGGATCGTAGGTAGCATTATTCGCAACTGTAGGCAGTAACGAATTCTCATCACCATGCAAAATGATTTCATTATTTATATTGTATATGGGCTGGAATAAAGATGGACATTGTTCCAATCTCTTAATATTTTCTTTATTATATTTAAAATACAATGATATTTCCGACATTAATTGAAAGTTAGTTTTGTAGTTGAACTTTTGTTCTAGAAAAAGAAATCCATTAAAATTTTGAAATCATAAATTAATAATAGTTAATATAAAAACTACCAATATAATTACTTAAATCATAAAAATTATTTATTTTCCAATAAAATTAATATTTTAAATCTATGAGCTATGCCAACTGCTATTGAGACTGTATATTTAAATTGTCAACTACACACATCATACATTTAAGAATGACAAATATTTGGTGGAGTCCACGCCTACCATTGTTTTATTCTCAAAATTGTCTAATATTAAAATGTTGAAGATTATAAGAGTTCTAACATATATTTTAAAGAATGTCTCTATGTCATAAAATTTTATGAATTTATAGATAGAGGTATTGGGAGAATATTAAATTTTCTCTTATCAATACAACTCCTATGCCAACAGCATGATAAGCAATAAACTTAATCAAGCACTTTATATGTGCATTAACATTTTGGTATTGTATTTTTAAAAGATTCACGCTTTTTTCACTATTTTAAAAGTTTACTCTTTGGTCCACTCACAACATCCAGCTAGCTTTTAAAAATCTCAAAATTCAAAAAATCTCACACCAATTGTTATCACTTTTTCATAATCAACCCCTTTCCATTCATGATTTGTGTTTGTTTTTAAAAGTAGAACAATAATAAAAAAACAATATTGAAAAACCAAAAACAAAAATTAAATTATTTTATTTTTTTCAGTAACTTTAAAATATCCAACTATTCTCTGTTTGATTAATATTTATTTGTTTGTTCTTTTCAACAACAACAATATACTCATAGTATTATATTGTTTTTTTTTGTATGATAGGATTATTGAGTGTAGATATAATATATACTCATTCAATAACATAATATATTATATTGTTTTGTTTTTTTTTTCTTTATTGTTAATAGTTATTTAATTTTTTTTTCAAAATTGTTTACAATATCAATATCTATTGGATTGTTTAAAAAGGTGTAGGGAATTCTTTTACTATTTTCAGAATGTTTAAAAAACAAACGTCTAAACTACAATAGAATAGCCTATATTTTCATGCAAAAAGTTATCTTTTATAAAATATACAACCCATAGCTTGACATGTCAATTATCTTTTTTAATAGATATCTATATTGAGCAGGTGACCACTTTATTTTTGAACTTAAGCTCGTTTTAAAGACAACTTGAACCTATTTCTTTCAAGTGTTAATTACTTTATTTACGCATCCAGAATGTATTAATAATTATATAAAAAGAAATCTATTAATGGATCATCCAATTCCAACAATATTAAACGATAACAATAAATCAATTTATCAACATACGCACATTATCAATATACATCTAGTCAGTGACTTGGACCAAAAAATGATCTCTTGATTATCCAACAATGGTAAAAACAAAAAAAAAGAATTTAAAGATATCATTTTGATTTAATTAGACATTTTTTTATTATTGTTTATCTAACAAAAACCATTTATCAATACAAGCATATACGTTTGTTAACAGAGACTTACTCCCAATAAACAAATCAAACCAATAATTAATCTAATGAATGTTTAATGTTCAAATATTTTTAAAATGGGCTCAAACAAACCTATATAGATATTTTATTTTAATTTCAAATAATTGAAGAATTTTACTGTGTTTCCTTTAAAATTTTCTATAATTATCTAAAAAATATATATAAAATTATTAATATTGTGTAAAATATATTTAAACTATCCTTCACATTCAAATATATATATTACACAATATTAAATATATTTATATATATATTTGAATGTGAAGGATAATTGCACGATTGTGTTTTACAATATTGTCTTTATTAAAAAAAAAAAAAAAAAAAAAAAAAAAAAAAAAAAAAAATGTTAATAATGCGCGCATTTAGGTATTTATAGTACAAAATTTATATCAAGAATGGGAATCGAACCCATGACCCAAACCGTGTTAAGGTTTTGTGATAAACCAACTACACCATCCTGACTTTACATGTAAAAAAACTTCCAAATATCTTTTTTAGAAATTTTCATATTTTTAAAAATTCCTCACATTTCTGGTCATCGATAAAGTTCTGAAACTTTACTGTTTTTATATATTATTCCTTCTTATTTTATATCGGACAACAAGTACAGGTATAAACTATATTTGGATATAAATACTACAGGTAAATTTTACAAATCTATGATTTAGTTTTGCAAAATCATTATAATCTAACTAATTGATTAGCGTAAATTTGAACAAAAAAGGGTGAGAATCAAACAACCTTTTTATGTAAATCGATCTTGAATGATTTTTCTTAAAATATTCTTTGAATGATAAAAAAATCAAATCTTAAATTTAATTATCAACCAAAAAGAAGAACAAAAAATGATTTGTTATTAAATTTAATTTTGATCAATTTATTTCTATATATATATATTTGTATTTTAATTATATAACAATGAATAACAATAATAGTAGTGTAAATAATAATGATTTATTTAAATCGATTGTATTTTATTTAATAGGTGTACCAATTGGAGAACAAAACAAAATAAAGACACTCCTCAAGAAATGCGGAGGTAGTATTGCTCTTCAGGTTAATAAATCCGTTCATTATCTGATCACCACAACAGAGGAAGTAGAGAAAGCAAGCTACAAGATAAAGGGTGCCACCAAGCTTTGTGATGAAGGTGAACTCCGTCTAGTATCCACCCAATATATCACCGATTGTGTCGAGGCCAATCGACTTCTCTCTGACGACCGCTATCAACTCTACAAAAGTAAAGTACTTCACTCACAAAAATTTAAGTTTTCAAACAGTGGTAGTGGAGGTACTGGAAAAAAAGGTGGTCAATCATCAACTTCCACCAACCAAAAACAACAACAACAACAAAAACAATGTTTTAATATCTTAGAATTATTATCAAATTCTAAAAAGAAATCAACAACAACAACAACAACAACAAGATGAACAATTTGAGATATCTGATAGATCTATCAGATTGTTCATCTCATCAACTTTTACCGATATGAAAGAGGAGCGTGAGTTGTTGGTAGGTCATCTGATGGCAGAGTTACATGCATTCTGTCGTGAACGTCAACTTGACTTTTCATTCGTTGATCTGCGTTGGGGTATCACCAGAGAGCAGACTCAACGACTAAACTCAATCACCACCTGTTTGAACGAGGTGGCTGTCTGTACACATTTCCTGTCTTTGCTTGGTGATCGCTATGGTTGGTGTGAAGGTGAACTCTACGATTCCGCCTTTAAGAGTGCACAGCTGACTCGTCCATGGATGAACAGCTATCACGGACACAGTGTTACCGATCTAGAGATATTACAAGCAACTAAATTCGCACCGACACCAAAATACCATTTCTTCTATGAAAAGGAATCGACACCAACTTCTAAGACCGATCGTAACAATTCTCCTACTCAGAGCAGCAACGATAATTCTCCGGGAGCGCAAGCTAAACTCCATAGTCTTAAATCAAAGATTAAAGATCACAAACTTTTGAATTCAAGCTATGGTGAATCCGATTTGAACAGTTGGATAAAGACTGTCTATAGAGATATAACAGATTCGATTGAATCTCAATATCCATTGTCAGAACAACTACAACATACTCAACAACATCAGTTGGATCTCGATATGAATATCTCTTACTTCAAACAACTTTCAAAAGTATATTTACAGTGTAATATTGCTGCTATCGATAGTTTGAATGAATACGTACAATCCAGCCAATCATCACCGTTGTTGGTAGTCGGTGAGAGTGGTGTAGGTAAATCGACACACATCGGTCACTGGTTAATTAATGAATTGGATAAGCGAGTCGATGTCAATAAGACATTCGTAGTTGCCATAGTGGTTGGATTGTCACCAAAGAGCTATCAGCCATACGAAGTTCTAAAGTCAACATTTGAAATTATCAAAGCTGCCACTGCCAGTCAGGTGCCTATCCCTGACGATCCTGCTCTCCTGAAAGAAGACATTGATTTCTGGTTCAGTGTTGCCACACGTGATAATCGCAAGTTCATTTGGATCATCGATGGTATCGATCGTTTCGAGAAGCCATTCAATCTCGACTCGATCCTACCGCGTCAACTGGCCGGCAGTTCCATCAAGATAATCCTATCCACCACACTCTCCAACCAGACAGAGACAACCAGAATTCTAAACAATCTCTATCGACAAACCATAGCTGTTCCAGTTGTTAAATTCATCAACGCCGATATGAGAAGTGAATTCTCTTCAATGTACCTCTCGGTGGTCGGAAAGAGCCTGGACAACAAACAACTAGAGAAACTTGCCAAGCTCGATCAAACACCTCTGTTCCTATCGATGGTTCTAAATGAATTGATTACCACTGCAACATTTGAGACGATCGACGACAAGTTGAATACTATGCTTAGATGTGTTACTTTGGATCAGTTGTTCCAATCAATTGTCAATCGTTGGAAATCCGATGCACTCTATCCCGACAACCTCGTACAAGACACACTAAGTCTGCTGCATCACAGTAACTTTGGATTGTACGAAGAGGAACTAATGTCAATGCTACAACTGACCAATAGTTCTGGATTCATTTCGGCAGCAAGAGGAATACTCTCGATGGATGGACGTAGTAACTTCCTCGGCTTACACTCACAGCCACTACGTGATGCCGTTCAAAAAAACGTAGTCGTTTCCTCATCGAAATCAAAGTATCTTGGCTTACTATGTAGCTATTTCAACAGTCAAGATTGTCCTGCTTCACCAAAGCGTAGAGTTCAACTGCTACCTCGTTATCTCAAGGCAAACAACGATGCCAAATCTCTAGAGAAGTTCCTACTCAATCTACAATACCTCTCGCTGTTGGTCGGTGAATATGGAAACGCTGGATTGTTAGAACTCTGGCAATTTATTGGTACCGATAAGAAGCAGATTATTCATCTCTACCGAACGGAATTCAGTAGATACACCGCACCTCTACAAGAACAGGCAGAGACCACCAGAGTTCTCGGACTTTTCTTTGAGTATCTTTCGTTCTACGACGATGCATGGACTATCATTGACACTGCCAAAGACTATCACATCCAACTCAACGGTGAAGTCAGTCTCAATGTTCAACTCGACATTGAAACACTCTCAACCATCACATTGAAACAATCTAAACTTGAAACATCAACCTATTTATCTGAGAAAGCATTAGCCATTTCAGAGAATATATTTGTAAGTAATCATAAATAATAATTGGATAGATTAGCAATTAGTAGTAGTAGTAGTAGCTAATAATAAGATTATCATATATATATTAGGGTGCAGATCAATATGGAACTTGTGAATCTTTATTATTGGTTGGTATTGGTTTGAAGAAACAAGCAAACTATGATCAAGCGTTAGAGTACTATGAAAGAGCAACAAAGATTATCCATAGATACTTTGGATACCAAGAGACAGCAACAGTTGGTCCACAGCTATTCAACTCAAAGCTAGCCAATCTCTATTTGAATCTCGGTGATATCTACAGAAAGAAAGCGATATTCGATCGTGCAAGTCAATATTATCAAATGACTTTGACTATTCTCAACAACATCAGAGCGAAAGATGATATCAGTTTCGCTGAACTCTACAAAGATCTCGGTCTAGTGGAGAAGAAGCTTGGTCACTACCAGAAGGCAAGCGAATACTACCTCAAAGCACTCGATATCGTAAAGAAGAACAGCGGTGAAGATCATGCAAACTACGGTCTGTATCTCTGTGATCTCGCCGATACCAAACGTAAAGAGGATCGATTCTCAGAGGCAGAGAAGATCTACAACCAAGCACTCGCCATTCTTATCGCAAAGCTTGGTCAAGACAACATAGAGGTAGCAGAGATCTACAACAATCTTGGATTGATCCGAAAGAAACTCGGTCACTATAAAGATGCAATCGAATTCTACAAGAAAGCATTGACCATCGGTGAGAATGCACTTGGTAAATCACATACCAAAGTTGGTTTCTTTATTCATAATCTTGGTGATTGCTACCGTAAGCTTGGTGACTACAAACAGTGTGAAACTCTCTTCTCGAGATCATTGTCGATCTCACAGAATCACTTTGGATTCGATCATCCAGAGGTAGCAGAGATACTCAACAGCATGGGATTGGTCTATAAGAAACAATCTAAATACCAACTCGCTGAAAAGGAATACAAACGAGCCATCGCTATTGTATCAAAATCATTAGGTTCTGATCATCCTAAACTTGGTATCTACACAAAGTAACTATTATAAATAATGATTATATGTATTATTATTATTGGTTATTAATCTTATACTATTTATAACCAGTAATCTAGCTGATGTGTATCGTAAAACTGGAAAGTTTGATGTAGCTAAATCTATGTATAATGTAAGATGATAAAGTTTTGATTTTTTTGTTTAAAATTAAATTGTATTTTAATGATGTTGTATTTTATTATAATATTATAGAAAGCATTAAATATTATCGAGAAATCACTTGGTAATAAACACTCTGAATACGCAGAGGTGTTGTATGGTCTTGGTTTGTTGAATCTAGGACTACAACAATTTGATAAAGCAATCGAGTATATCGATAGTGCCATAGCTATCACTCGTGCTGACCTTGGCGATAGACATCCAAAGGTTGGAATCTTCTTGAACTCACTCTGTGAAGTCAAGATTGCAAGAGAGAAATCAAATCAACCACAAATAACAATCAATAGCAATGACAATGACAACTATAATAACTACAATAATTACAACAACTACAATAATACTACAAATAATAGTAGTAGTAAATCAATTGTAACACCAACCAAAACAATTGAACCATTCAATATCGAACAAATAAGATCAACTTACGAATTGGCATATAGTATTCTGGTGGAGGATCTTGGTGCTGGACATCCAGAGATTGCTGATATCTGGACGAATCGTGCAGAGTTGGAGTTCCAGTATGGTAGTCACCAACGCTCCAAAGAATATTTCATCAAAGCACTCGATATCATTAAGGAGGTGTTTGGTACTGAGCATGCAAAGTACACTTCAATCTCTGATCGTATCCGTTATTTCACTGGCGATGTCATTGAGACACCTGCACCGACCATCGAAGAAGCACAAGTACCAGAGGTCAGTCTGGAGTCTGCTCACCAACTGGAACTCCAAAAGCAACAAATGCAGAAAAAGTTTGATCCATATGATATCAGCTTGATCATGTCCACCCTGAAAATCACTGAAGATGTAGCCATCAAATTGATGAGACAGGCCAATGGTGATATTGTCAATGCAATTCTAGCCTATAACCCATAATAATAATAATAATAGTTCATTCGAACTATATACTCTATATAATAATAATATAGTGTAATACCTGTATGAAATAAATAAACTATAGTTTTTTTTTTTTTTTATTAAACGCTTGAATGATCGATATAAATTGAATGGAAATAAACAGGATCGGTCAATGGTGTCAAGAAATAAAAGAATCCAATCAATCCTAGTACAAAACTAAATGTAAGAACTAGTGAGATATTCATATATGAATAGGCGTTAGTATGTTTGGTTTAGTGAAGAGATGCAACAGTGCTAGTTACCTTTGGAGTGTGAGTGATCAGAGATGTCTTGGAATCTCGGCAGTCCCATCATATTACAAAAACTATGAACCAAGACACACGATACAATATTACCAGTACGCATGAATATCAGTGCTGAATACATTCCAAACAAACTTGTATAAGCTACCTGTAACACTATATTCATTTTTGATTTGAATTTGATTCGATTCAATTCGATTCGATTCGATTCGATTTTGATTAGTTTAGTTTATGCATTGTTGATGTTCATCATTATTATTATTATTATGTTTATATTAACTTACAACTTGTTACTATTCTATTAATATTATCGGAACGTCTCTTTCTAAGTGGATAGATATGATGGAGATGTGAAAGACCAAAGAGTAATGGTGAGAACAAAATGATGTTGGTTGAACTGAATCCTGCAAAGTAAAGAATCGGACAAATAGAGGAACGATAGACAACCTCTTCAACAATAGGTCCAATTACATAGTTTCTTAGCCAACGCAAGTCAATGTCGCCTAAAGAAATGAATTCATCGACCACACCATAGTCAAGATAAAACATTACCAACGGTCCAAAAAATAGGATCAAAGTTAAAAGAAACGGTAAAATAATACCCCACCCAAATGATTTATTATTAATTCCTACTATCTGTAAGAATATATCTATTTTCTGAATTCACATTTATAATTAATATATATATATATATTGTCATGATGTTTTGTAAAATTGTTGTTTGAAATGATTGCTTACCTGTGGTGAATTAGGAATGATATAATATACAATGGCATATGAAATGATAGAGGTAATAATGACACTCTGTGATCTTCGCTTTATGACTTCAGGATCATCTCTGTCGCCCGATGAAAAAACATACAGACCACCGACAAACAACACAGAGAGTAATGTTGATATACCGATAGCTGTTAGTCCATTCAACTGTGGATATAGCTCAATAGTCATGAAAATTAACTTTTATTAATTAAACAAATAAATATAAAATATTATTATTTTTTGGATATGAATGTTAATGAATAAATATTCTCCAAAATCTGCCCTTTACTTTTTTTGTTAATTTTAATAATAATAAAAAAATAGATCCCCACTCCCAGACCCAAAAAGATTTTTTTATTTTCTTTTATTTTGAAATTTGTCCTGAAACCTTTGCATAAAACAAAAAGACTTTTGTTAAATTCGATCATTTTTATATCTCTATCTATTTTATTATTATTTAAAATATATATAAATCAATTTCAATTAGCAATGATTGAAAATAGAACAACAATAAATGCGATTATTAATTAAATCTGTTACTTTTCTTGTTTTATAATAATGTTTTAGAACATGTTATATATATAGAGAGTAATGTTGGGGTATTCAACATTCATATCATTGATTGATTGTTTATCATTGGGATGTGAGATTTAGATCTAAAGCTCATTTAAAAAACTTTAAAGAATCAAAACAACCACAAACAAACATATAACACTGACACTTTATACAAACAGAACAATCAATAGTAAAAAATGATGTTTTCATTGTGTTAAAAAGAAAGAGAAATAGTAGGTTGAAACAATCAAATTTAATGAAAAAATAAAGTTGTGGTGCCACAACACACACATTTAGTCAATCACAATCATTTTTATATTTTCACCCTCATTTTTGTGTTTAGAAGTGGTGGTTTTTCTGTTTGATATGTTGACATTGATCGAGATTTACCTGACTAATTCTACCATTTCACTTTTAAATATAATGGGTGTCCTTTTTAATTTAAAATTATTTATTTGTAACTTTCACACAACTAACCTTGTTTGAAACAAATAAAACAAATAACACATCAAAAAAAAAAAAAAATTTACTAAACTTCTCCTTTTGACTCAATTCCAACCAGTTTACTTCATTCCACATTAAACTGTTTAAATATTTTATCTATCTTTATCTATCTATATCTATATAACTTCAAATATGTATATAAAATTTTATTTTTTTCCAATATTAATAATATTGACGACTTTTTACAATGTGGCTAGAGCAGATGTGCTTTGGCCAGCCACTTTTTATAGAGAGAGATATTATTTCTCCAATGGATATATGGATGTAAAAAAACAAACTCCAGGCTATGAATATCTACCGAATATTGTGAACAATGAATTAGATCTAATTGGCTATCCAGTTTTGAATGATTCTACAACTCGCCGTTTACCTACCGTTTCAAAATATAGTGACTTTGAATTTATCTGGAACGGAACCGTACCAAGTCCACTCTGTATAATCGAATCCAATTTCACTCTCAGTGAAACCACTGTTCAAGTAACTGCCGAAAAGAATATGTCAACCTATCTCTACCAACAAGCCAATTTCTTTCCACCCGAAGACTTAAGTTGTCAATATGTCAATAGACCAACTTTTTGTTTACAAATTAATACTAATTGGACATTCTCTGTATGTATATAAAATTATTATTTTTTTAACCAAAAATAAATTATTAATTTTAATTTAGGAAACTTCACAAGTTGAGTTTTCAACTGCAGATAATCTCTGGCTATTCCTAGATAATCAATTGATATTTGATAATGGTGGCTATACAAATGGTCAACAACAATATTTTTCACTAGATTTTGAATCAGGTAAATATAGTTGGTCATTCAATGACACACAGGTGCTTTACAGTTTTGATGCATCTCAATTTTATAATGTAAGTTGAAATAATTTTATTTTATTTTATTTTATTTTTTGATATATGTCTTTTTTTTATTTTATAATTTTAACAATATTTTTTTAATTCTAATTAGAAATTAACAAAATTGGATATATATCACTGCAAGTTTATTGTTAATGAAACACTATCATTCTCCATTGTGAATTCGACTGCAACCATTAAACCAACACCTACCCCAACATCCAATCCAACACCTACCCCAACATCAGAGATTGGTGAATGTGATAGATCACCACAACCTTTCAAATGTAAGAAAGGACCAGTGATTGCTGTCGCTATAGTGGGCGCTGCTGTTGCCGCTGCCGCTATTGGTGCAGCTGCCTTCTTCGCCAAGAAAAAGTTTGAGCAGATCAATGTACCATCAGGTAACGCAATGGGCAATGTTCAAAACAACCCATTATTCGTTCACAGTAACTCAACAATCGATAATATAATGTACGAACCAAAAAATTAACAAATGTCAACAAAATAATTTGACTTAATTAAAATAAATTTATTTTTATGATTTACAAACAACAATAATTAATTTATTTTTATTGAAAATCATGTTTCTTTCAAAAATATTATTATTATTTTATTTATTTAGTATTGCCTGTAGATTATTCAAAATTTGACGATTTGTAGAGCGATCAATCATTATATTTTTGTTTTATTCAAACAAATATTTTGTTTAAACCATATGATCAGAATTCTTCTGAACCTATTATTCCAAACATTCCTTTAAAAAATATAAAAGAATCAATTCCAATTTATAATGAAAAAATTGCAACCTATTTAAATTGTCTATTCGAATGCGCACAACGCTGTCGTTGCCTACATCAGTCGTGTGCTCTCACCGATCTGGTCAGAGGTATTGATCGATGCCAGCAACTCACACTGTCCATGGTCCGCAATCCAACTGAAAACCATTCAATCGCACCTCGTCAACCTCTTGTTGTTCTTGGAGAACTCGAATCTTGTACAAAAGAACGAATCTGACATTCCAATCTCAAAGAAAGCAATCAATGAACAATCAACTGATGAAGATGCATTAAAGGTAAGTAGTTACAATTTACAAAGATCAAAATAATCATTTAGTTACTAACTTATTCTATCTTTAATAATAATAATAATAATAATAATAATTTTATACAGAATTAAAAGAGAAATCTATTGGGTATTAAGAAATTAATTCAAAAGTCATTACAAGTCATCAATTTATTCATGATTCTCATACAATTTAACTTTCAACAAATCTTTGAAGGATTGGAAGGGTATGTTTTATAAAACAACAACAACAACAACAACAACAACAACAACAACAACAACAACAACAACAACAAAAACAATATAGTTAGCTATGTATTTGTTTATATTATTAATATACTTATTATCATTTACAACTTACTATTTAGTTTGAGTCATGACGATAAACAAAAGATGTATCAATTTAAATTTAAAGACTATGTTCAAAATCAAATAGATTTGTCACCATCAAAGAATGTACCATCATTATTTGATTGTATCTTGTATGAAGTTATTGAATTCATTGAATATTCAAGTAAGTTGTAAAAAAGTATTTAATTAATCATTCTCAACAGACACAGACCTCGGTGGCACGACGACGCACTCTGACTGATCCGTCCGTTGCACGACCAGGTCAAGATCGACTATTGGACACTGCTCGATCAGTACCGTGAGATCATCGAAGATCAAAACACATCGATCGAATCGAAAGAACCTACATGGCGAACAAACACCGAGCGTGACTATCTCATTTCCATCTTTATCACTCTGATCGAGACCATGTTGAAGTTATTCCCACCACAATCTGTTGAGCGACATGTCTTTAACACCAAGTTAATAACCATTGTTTCAATTTTTTATTTATTTGAAAGTAAGCTTTGTGTATGTTACTCGTTACTAATATATTATTTTTGTTTCAAAAGATATTTTAATAAAAAGACAACATTTTACTTAAGTAAAAATAAAATTGTTTTAAAAAAGAAACAAGAGATGCACTAGTGTTATTTTGCAACTATCAAAAAAATATGATGTGTCTCACATGTATTATTGATATTTATTAAATAATATTGTTTTTTTTTTTGTTTAATGGAGAACCAAATTGATTATTTTTAGATTCTAAGTTCAACAAAGATAGAATCTTGTGATTTATATGATGGTTTTTGTAGATACATAGATATTATGGAAGTCAAGATTAAATGAAAACGTCCAACGATTTGGTATAATTCTTCTTCATCCTCTTTGTTTTGAAGAGTTGGAATGAATTTTTGAATTATCAGGTTTTCATGAATAATATATTGTTCAAAACAATTATCCAATTCTTTATCCATGAAATCAAAACATTCTTGATCAGACCAATTGTTTTGTGTTTTCATAAAATAGAAACTATTCATTCTTACATCTTTTTCTCTAAGTTCCTTTTCATAAGAGAAAATATCATTGTATAGAGCAGCGATTTTTCCTGAATAATCCGATAAACTTTTCCAAAGTGGGTCAAGAAGAATATCAGGGTTTAATCTTTTCATAGTGAATAATACACCTAAAGAAAAAGTTGGTTCCATTCCCATATTTTGTCTTCGAATATTATAATATAAATTCATACTCATATCACCTTCCAATTTCTAAAAAAACCAAAAAAAAATCTATCCTTTAGTAAATTGATATATAAAGTTAAACAAATAAAATTAAATACCTTCATACACTGCCACGGAATTAAATTGTCAAAATAATCAATGAAGGAATTTCTGAAAAGATTCATCAATGGGTGTTGATCTCCAATTCTGATTTCTAGATTCTGATGAATATCAAACAAATTTCTTTCAAGTGGTGTTGGATCATCTTCAAGTTTACCCAATTTAAATATATTGATTGCTCTATTGATTATTTTAATTCCATATTCTGGTTCATTACTATCAATAAGGTCATCAAAAATCTGAGCGAAAATACAGAATTGAGTGCCTAGTACAATAGCTTGATTATCGGCTAAAGACCACATGTTTCTTGCGAAAAATGAGGTTCCTTTAAATGCTGGTCTATATTTTTCACGATTTTCATCATTTAAGATTCCAAATTTTTCCATTTTTTCAAATACTATTTCCATAGGATCATATGGATTCATTGGTAAACTCCAACCCTTTGGAATTTTATCTATTAGTTTTTGTAATGACAACATTTAGAATTCTTTTTTATTTTGGTTTGTTTCTAAACTGAAAAACATACTTCTTTTTATACTCTTTGAATAGTGGAAAATCGTTTTGTATTCTATGGCAATGTTACACAACACAAAATTCTGCTTCTTCCTGTAATTGAAAAATGAAATCCAAATTAAAAATTTAAATCTAATATAACAATTTAACAATATTTGAAAAAAAAAAAATTATTGAACCTGTTACACCTACTAAAGAATGAAATACTCATACCATTTCCACCATATTGAATATATCTCAAGGTAATCTTGATCAGGAGCTCCAAGTAAGTGTTTCAAATTATTAATTAAAATAAAGATAATTAATAAATAGTTTTAATTATCTCCGAAATAAACTTTTTTTTAATAAATATTACTATTATTTAATAATTCAATTAATATTAGATCTGATAATATATTAAGTGTTTCATTCGATTCAATGACATATGGAAAAAATTAAAATTTGGTATCAACCACTAAAATTTTTTTATTTTGCTACTGTTTTTCAATAGAATATATCAAGTGAAACATATTGCTATAAATTTATGTAAAGTTAGTTTTGTTTTTATATGTGAATTTAAATAGATATTAATAGACTTACATTTATATATGCTTTTTTATTTAAATTTGACAAAGTATCATTTTCATAAGTTAAATTTCCTGAGGTTATATTTAAATCTGAAACTCTGTAATATTGTACAATATTTTCAACGAAATCAATTTTATAGGTATTTTTATTACTTTTACAAAGTTTATATTCCCAACTGAAGAACCAACACAACTTCCTACTATACCGCCAACTCAAGTGGATTAGTGTTAACCGGGTTAGTAGCAGCTGCCTATATGATTCAAAAGAAAAAAGGTGTCATCTCAAATCCATTTGGACCTGGAGTAAAGATGGATGGAGTTCATCAGAACCCTATGTTCAAAGAGAACCATATTACTATTAGTAACCAATTATATGACCAGAATCCATAAATTTCAAAAGCCAACAACAATTAAGACATTGTATTTTTTAACAATATTATTATAATAAAAATAAAATTCTTGTATCTTTAGTTTACATTTTAATTATGATAATTTAAATCTAAAGAAATAAAGTAATTCTACCATATTGAAAAATGATTTCTCACCGGTAGTTCTATCCTCCAGTTCGTAAACGTCTTGATCTCTGGTTTTGCTCTGTGTTACAAAGAGGATGTATGGCACTCCTATGATTGTTGCCTCTTTTATACGTCTGGCGAATGTAATGTCCAAACGATCCTCTAAAATGATTTGATTGGTCAGAGATGGCTCCTTTGATAGATAATCGTACAACTCTGTTGCTTTCCTCAAATTCTCTGTTTCCAACTCGGTGGCGTATGGCAAAATGATAAGTTTGTAGGGTGCCACTTGTATAGGCCATACGATTCCGTCCAAATCTTTGTGTGCCTCCACCAAAGCCGCCATCAAACGACTCACTCCAATTCCGTAGCATCCCATCTCCATAGGTACGTCGACACCCTCGGAATTCTTTATATTGGCTTTCAGTGGAACGGAATACTTGGTTCCGAGTCTGAAGATGTGACCGACTTCAATACCACGATTGAACTTCATCAATCCTCTCTCGGCATCGGAAGTACACTCTGGTCGGACACAACGGTCACCTTCCTTCACCTCGCGGAATCTTCCAACGGTAAATGACTGTAAAGACGACGACATCGATGGATAGATCTTTTCAAAGTTGGAATTGTTTTGAATCGACTGGTCAATGAAAACACGAATCGGAGTATTTGGTGATTTCGCAAGCAATGCATCTTTTTGTTTGGAATCGATCGGTTCAAACATAACGATGTTGGAGAAATGTGATTTAGTAGAGTGGAGATTTGGTTGGTCGGAGCTAGATGTCCAGAGTTGGATGATGGTAGTCTCGCCGGCACTGTTTTTGAGCATGGCGAAACTGGCGCGAATCGGTGATTTCTCGGGGTGTGGCTCGCATTCGGCGTCGGCTTTCTCGAGATTGGCGGAATGTCCGCATTTCGAGCAGCTGACAATGGTGTCCTCACCGACATCCGTGATAATTTGGAACTCGTGACTTGTAGATCCACCAATGTTTCCACTGTCGGCTTCGACACACGCGTAGTTGACACCGAGACGCGAGAATATTCGATGATACGCAGTCTTTACGAGATTGTAAGTCTCCTCGGCATCGGCCACCGACTTGTCGAACGAATACATATCTTTCATGAGAAACTCACGACCTCTCAGCAATCCGAATCTCGGTCTTATCTCATCACGATACTTATCACCGATCTGATACAACTTCATTGGTAGATTATTGGTTGCGATTCTCTCGTTTGCAAGCATCGATGTGAAAATCTCCTCATGTGTAGGTGCTAAACAATATTCCTCACCTTTTCTATCTTTAACTTTTATTAACTAAAAAACAAACACAAGTTTTACTTTGATTAATATGATGATTTGTTTGTTATAATATTATATTAGCAGCTAATGATACCTACTTCATCACCTGATGATTCCCATCTACCTGTTTTCTCCCAGAGCTCCTTTGAGAGTAACTTTGGCATTGATAACTTTTGACCACCAATGTTGCTCATCTCCTGATCGATGATCTTGATGAGATTCTCAAGAGCACGATGTGCAAGCGGCAATGTCATGTACATTCCGAGTGATGCTCTTCTAATCATACCAGTCTTTTGCATTAGAAGTTGACTTTTGAGCATGTCTTTGTCTAGTGGTTGATCTCTCTGCATTGGGATGAACAACTTTGATCTGAGTACACGATGTACATAGCTAGTTTGATGTTGCTGCAATTGCTGATGTATAATTGTTTGATTCAAAGTGTTTTGATTGAATTTATTATTGGAATTACTACAGAAACTACGTTGTTGTTGTTGTTGTGCTATAGTTGAATGAACGTGTACTGAACCATTAGAAACCATGGCACAATTGGCTACCACTTCAGTTGAATCAACTACATTTACAGATTTTTGTTGTATTCGAACATTATTATTGTATCTTAATATATTATTACCTAATCTAATAGATGATCTATATAAAGATAACATTTTATCTTTTTTAATCAAAGATATTAATTGGAAGAAATTAAAATAAATCAAAGGAAAAGATCGGTCGTCAGATTAATTTTCATTGTAAAACTTAAAAATGATGTATCAAAAAATGAAAAATTAATTTTAATATTAAATATTTATTGTTATTTATAAATTACTTTTTAATGAACTTGTCGGTTGCTCTTCTGTTTGTTTGGGTGCTGTAGATATGATGAAACTCGGAATATGTACATTGGTTTTATCATAGTTTAATCCTGCAATAAAAAAGTCTCGATATATGAATCTGTAGTATCAGATATCTACATGTTTTTAATGTGGAAAGTATAAATAAGTTTACAATTTATACTTTAAAGAAAGATGTTGTAATTAGAAAATTAATATAATTTAAATATGACATAATTATTTATTTTATTGTTATTTGCGTATGTTAAGGATAACAATTAATTTAGATTAAAGTTTAGGATTTAATTAGATTTGATTACATTTGATAGGGGATGACGATTTAAGGTATAAGGTATTGAATAAAACTACAACATGTTGATGGTGAATAATAACGGAAGCTCCTGTTAAATTTGCTAAACTAACTATATAATAAGATCGATCGCGATGATTGAGATATGATAGAGTTGAAATAGAAAAAAAAATGATCAAATTAATGAATGAGTAACTGAGTGAATGGAATGAAATGAAATTGTATGATAAGGAATGATAAGGAATGCACCATAATAAAGAGGTGCTATGTTGTTGTTTGTCTTGTAGTTATTCGTTGTTTGATTAGTTGGTCGATTGATTGATTAAATGATTGGTTGCTGTAATTGTTTGGCTGATTTGTTTTGTTTTGTTTTGTGACCAAATGATTTCTTTTGATTGATTCCAATTTTAAAAAGAAAAAACAAGTTGGTCACGTCACAACTATATAGTTAGTTTGACAAATGTTGTTTATCTGAATTCAAAGGTTGAGAAACAATTTTGCTTTTCGTGTTTGAGCTCCAATGATTGATACCACTCACTGAGATGATGGTAGTAGTATCCTTTGATGGTACCAGTTGAGCGCTGGTATGAGATGTAGTAGAATCCCTCGTAGGATGCACCCTCTATGCTGCGGACATGATGATCGGGCACCAAGAAATACTCTTTCCAACGCATGAAAATGTAGTCGCTATTGGTGAAATCCGGTTTGAAATCATCTTTGTTAAACTTGTTGATGTACGGATCGAAAGCGGGACTGAACTGCTTCCAGTGTTCCATATCCACCGTTTCGTTGGCATCCCATTTTCTAGTGAGGAATGAATGTTTATCGCCAATAATCTCTGCTTCGAAAAATGTTGTTAAAACAGGATATTTCTTTATTTTTTTTTTTGATGGGAACAATAATAAAGAATGAAAAAATGAATTAGTTATAGATTAAAAATGTCACAGAAATGGTCAAGTCAATCAATCAATCATACCTCTGTTAAACCAGAAATAGTAAGGTATCCAGAGAGTATCGAATTCTTAAAATCGACACTCTTTATGTCGACGTGAACAGGGTACGATGTCTTCTCACTCTTTTGTGAGCCAGTGAACCTGCTACCTGGATACAATGCAAACTGTGAAGTTGTAGAGGAGTCATTATTGACGACGAAGTGTTCCACAGCCAGGATTGAGTGATATTGGAAGTTTGGGTAGTTTCACAAAGGTTACTATCCAAACTATGCAGGTCAATAGATTAAATACTGCTTGAATCCAGTATTATTTCTCTTTTTAAAAAAAAAAAAATTTATATCAAAAAATAAAAAAGTTTGATCTTTCTTTCTATCTTTCTTTCTTTCTCTTTCTATAGGATATCAACTATATTATTATATTGGTTGATTCTTAGTTTGAAAGCTTAAAATGTTACGCTCTATTCTGTTCTGTTATTTTCTTTTTCTTTTCTTTCTGTTTGGCTAAATTCTTCTTTCCCTATATAAGTAAGCTATCTTCTATCTATCTATCTGCAGTACCGACGTTCCTCACTACGAAGTAATATCTGTACTCTACAATGTCAATTAATGTATTAATTAACAAAACTATTGAATACTATTAAATTTGCCCAATCTAAAAAAAATATTCAAAAAAAATTAAAAACAATGTTACTAGACTACTCTCTTTTAACATAAATATTTATAAAGTTGAATTGAATTGAAAAAAAAAGTTTACTTTTTAGTAGTAATCTTAACTTTGAAATATGATAGGACGGTACTACTGTTATTGCTGTTTGATTTGTTGTTCTGTTTTAATTAGTTCTTTGTTATAGTTGTTGTTGCTGTTGTTGTTTTGGTTGTTAATAAACTAACTTGAGATGTTAGATGAGTGAATGAGTGTGTGGTTTTGTGTTGTTGTTGTTGTTGTGTGTGAATTTAAATTTGAATTTATTTGTTGTTTAAATTAATTTAACAACTAAAAAAAAAAAAAAATTAATAAAAAAAAATTTTATTTTTAAATTAAATTAACACACTTTTTTTTTTGATAAATATTGTGTTGTGTTTTGTGGTGGTTGATTTTCAATTTTGGTTTTTTTTTGTTATTTTCAATTTCATGTTTGGTAACGTTGATTTTTTTCTTTTTTCAGTGGGCCAAAAAAAAATAAAATCTTAATAACGTTTTGTCTTTATTTTATTTATTTTTAAAAAAAAATTAAGCCTCTCACTTTAAAATTTCGAAACAAAAAAATTTGAAATTTTGATAGAGTTTTGGTTCTCAACAACACACACCGCACTGTCTTCACTTTCTTCTTTGTCACTCACACAACAACAACACATATATAACAGGTTTGTATCATTTAATTAATTAATTAAAAGAAAAAGGAACAAGAACAAAGAAAACAAAAAAGAAAGAGAACTTCTTATATTTAATCAAGACGCACTTGAAAACAAAAATTGATTATTTATTTATTATTTAATTAATTTTTTGTTTTAATATGATGTTTTTTTAATCATTTGTTTATTGTTTAGTTTTATTTGTTTGTTTTGATATATTTACACTCTTCTAGTAAAGTTATGAATATATCTATTTCTTTTTTTTTTCTTTTTTTTTTTTTTTTTTTAGATTGGAGATTAGATGTAGCCGATATTATTTTAAAACAATTTTAGGGATAAAAATTTTTGACATATAACTTCAACAACTAAAACAACAACAACAACAACAACAACAACTCAACAACAGATTGGATGTGGATTTAAACAAATGATAATTTAGAATAAGAAAGCAATCAGTCAATGTAATCTAGGATTTATATAGGAAGATATTAAACATAGCGGACTATAAGAAAAATAAAAAAAAGATAGAATAGTGTTGGAACTCTGTGAAATTTCCCACTTTTCATTTTTTTGTTTATTTTTAATTTTTGTTTAGGTTAACAAAACCAATAAGATGATAAAACCTTTATAAACAACAAAGTCACTCACCATCACACGGAACAAAAATAACCATATTATAATTATAGCTATCATTACAACTCTATAGTTTTTATTTATAGTTTATTAAATGTTTTATATCACTTGACATTTACATTATTAAATTCAAGAAAGATTATCATCATCATCGCAAGTTTACTTTAAATCATCATCAACAACAAATTACTACTCTTTAATTTGTAAATCAAATCAAGTTCTTTTTCTTTTTTTTTCTTTAATCAAATTTAAAAATTAATATTTATATATTAACATTTTATATTTTTTTTTCTTTTTTTATCATTTTTAGTAAAATGCCATCATTCTCTGCTGAATTGAATACTGAAGCTGGTCTCAAGGCTCTTAACGAGTACTTGGCCGACAAGACTTTCATTGTTGGATTTGTCCCATCATCTGCTGATGTCCAAGCTCTTGGTTTGGTCGGAGCTACCGCCCCATGTGCCACCAAATACCCACATGCCAACAGATGGTTCGTCACCGTCAAGGCCTACACTGCTGAGGAATTCGAAAAGGTTGCTGAAACCGTCACTATCGCCGCCGCTGCTGCCGCCCCAGCCAAGGATGACGACGATGTCGACTTGTTCGGTTCCGACGAAGATGATGAAGAGTACGAGAAGCAATTGGAGGAGCGTAGAAAGGCTGCCCTAGCTTCAAAGAAGCCAAAGGAGAAGGTCATTGCCAAGTCATCTATCATGATGGACGTCAAGCCATGGGATGACACCACCGATATGGGTGAGTTGGAGAAGGCTGTTCGTTCGATCGCCATGGACGGTCTCTTGTGGGGTGCCTCAAAGTTGGTCCCAGTCGGTTACGGTATTAAGAAGCTCTCCATCAACTTGGTTGTTGTTGATGATTTAGTCAGTCTCGATGATCTCACTGAGCAAATCGAGGCCTTTGAAGATTTTGTACAAAGTGTTGACATCACTGCCTTCAACAAGATTTAAACTCGCTTGCCATTTGTTTATTAAAATATTATGAATAAATTTAAAGTTTTAAAAGTTTAAAATCTTTTCTCTAAAATTAGAAATCCCCAAAACAAATAGGTTTATCTTGTCACAATATAATTATTTTCATCATCAGAGCTCTAATCATCTCTGGTTTTAAATTAATAAATTATTGTTGGATGGAATAAGTAAACATTGTTTACTCTAAAGTAAATTGATCAATTAAATATAAATGAAAATGTAGGAAGGAATTTAATTCACCATAGATTTTTATACCCGATTAAAATGAATTTTCTAATACAAGATAGAAAAAGTAAAGTTTGAAACTGGGGAGAAGATGTCGGATGTATTGTATTAAAATAACAATAAATTTGTTGATGTACTAAAAAACCAGGTTACTGTATCTTTATATTTATACCTTAGATGTTGTGTTAGATTTTGTCAACTTTGGTGAAGATTGACTCAACAATGTTGCCCAAAATAAAATTTATATTGATTTTCAATTATTTTTTTTTTTCAACAACACTCAGGTCTCCGAATATCATCAATTGATGAGTGATTTTGAAAGGGTTTTTTTATTTTATTTTTTTTTCTAAACCCTCATTTTTTAAAAATTGTATTCATTATTATAGTAACTCAAAACTCAGATCTTTTTTTTTTTTTTTTAATAAGTGACCTTTTTTTATAATGGTCTGAAAAAAGCCGAAAATCGTATCTAGATTTTTACCAATTTTTATGTCAGAATGTTGAGATAATCAATGAGAAAAGTTCAGCGACTTTTTTTATACTTGATTGATGTCAGCTGTTTTACTATGGTATTTAAAGTGAATCAGTTATAAAAAAAAAACAATTTTTTTTTAATTGTTTTTTTTTTTTAAAAAAGGGTCACCTATCGTGTGGTTTTTTTTCGTTTGGTTTGCAGGAAAAATTCCAAATTTTTTTTGTAGAGGAGTTGCAATTAGGAATCAACCATCATCATCAACAGTGTGGTTACCTTTAGGACGCAAAACTAAATAAGAAAAAGGAGAAGAGGAATTCAATAATCTGAGCTATCAATCAAACATAACATGATCATCCTTCTTTATACACCACATAAATTTAAACCAAATCAATTATAAATTTTTTTCTTTTGCGGCAAAGAACACACATAAGCAAACCAACAGTCATACAATAGTTGTTGTTCTGTTTTAAACTACACAAATTTATTATTATCTTTATATATATACATTGTATTTGTTTATCTTTTTTTAGATATATAAATATTATATTACATCCACCCACACTAATTTAAATTTAACACACATTTAGTTATACAGAGATATAATAATATATAACAAATAGTTAGTGTTTATTTTTGTTATTTGTTTTTTCCATTGATATTATTTCCCACTATTTTTGTTAATAATAATAATAATTTTTTGTGTAGTACAGGATAATAAGTTCATTTGTGTCTTTTTAAAAGTTGTTATAATATTTTGTTGTTGTAGTTGTAACATTTATAAATTATTTATTGTTGTTGTCGTTGTAGTTTTTGTGGCTTAGCAAATAAATAATTTCAATATAATTATAAAATGCCTGTACATAGAAGAAATTTAGAGGATTCTTTGGATGGAGCTTCGATCGAAACAAGCAACACCATCGAATTGAAGGAGCTTTTCAATCACGGACGTTGGAAGAAACCATTCACTTTCCGTCATGTCCTGTTTGCTTTGTATTTACCATTCGGTCTGGCGTTTTGGCCATTCCGTTTGCTGCTCAATGTCGTCGTATTCTCATTGTTACTCATCATGCCAAAGAGTTTCCGTGTGTCTATTCGTCCATTGATCTGCGTAGCAATGGGAATTGTCACCAGAATTCGTGGACGTGAGAACGTCCCACGTCGTGGCGACCCGAACGCAGCCCGTATCGTCGTCTCCAACCACATCTCAGACTTTGATCCATATCCAGTGTTTATGTTTTTGGACTATTTCCACTGTTTGGTTGCCGCACACATCTCAAAGGTGCCAATCATCGGATCGGTCTACCGCAAATTCGATGGAATCTACGTTGACCAAACCGATCGTAACAAGGCACGTCAAGACGTGTTGGACGCACTGGAGCACAGTGACATCCCATTGGTGTTGTATCCAGAGGGTGGATTGACAAGCGGTGATCGTGGAATGATGATGTTCCAAAAGTTTGTCTTTGGACTCGGACACGGTGTCGTCCCAATCGCCATGAAAATAGTCTCACCATGGCCAGTCAATGTAGACTACATCAACAGCAGTTGGTTCAAGAATTTCTTCTGGTGGATTCTCGTACCCTACAATGTATTCGATCTCCACATCCTGCCAGTCCAGAGAATCCAAGAGAACGAAACCGACGCCGACTTTGCCAAGCGTGTACAAACTCTTATTGCCACCGATCTCCAACTCGAAGCAACCAACCATCCATATGCCAAGAAGAAAGAATTAGCAAAGGAATTGTTACAAAATAATAACAAAAAGATTTAAATAATTCAAATCAAAAAGTCACTAAAGTTCAGCAAATGAAAAAAAAAACTCAAAACATCGTTCAACATTCCAATCACTCAATCACACAATCAACCAATCAATCTAAACATTTCACATATGAAACAAATTAGATGGACCAACCATTAAAAACTCGAATGTCCATCTAAAATTATTTATTTTAATTTTTTAAAAATTAAACAAAACCATTATTATATATATATTTTTCAATTCCAAAAAAATAAAAATAATATTTTATTTTAATACTATAAATAGATTGACTTTTTCATTTCCTTATATTAAAAAAAAATGCTATCACCAAGTCTCAAAACTATCTTTAACATTTCACATGGTTTGAATGAAATAAGTATTTGGTCATAAAAAGATAAATAAATATCACTTAATACCGATATTAAATTATATATATATATATAAATTAAGTAGAACACACTTATTATTTCTGTTTAAAATTAAAAAGACTACTAATTTATTTGATATTTAAACAAAATAAAAATAAATATTAAATTAAATATATGTCACCAAACAAATTAATCACCTAAAAAAATAAAAAAAAAAATAAGGTATTTTTTTCTATCCAAGCTAATAAAAAACAAACAAAAACAACTCACAAAACAAAGATTCTTTCCACTTTATATTATTCCGATTAGTAGAGTAACAATTGTGATAAACCTCCCAATACATCCACATCATATATTATTATAACTGGTTTTTTTTTTTGAATAGAGAAAATAGAGAAATTAAAAAAAAAATAGAAAACATAAAAAGAAAGAAACAGATTTTCTGACAGAATATTTTTAAGAAAGATACAACACATTACATCACTTGTCATTTCATCATCTTCACTACACTCACACATCACAAACTTTATAGACATATATATAGCTATTTATTATTCATAAGAGATACATCATCATCATCATCATCATCATAATTATATAAATAAGATAAAAACAAATTGTATCATCTATATATTCTATAGATTTTGTTTAACTCATACAATTCGAAATCTAGAAGTAGTAGTTAGTAGTTAGTAGTCGTAGTAGTAAAGCTAAGTAAAGTAAAGGTATGGAGGATGGAATTATATTGCCTAGCAATCCTGGTGCACACAAATATGTAATGTCTATTAAGATATCTAATGATTTGCTGGATCGAATTGAAAAAGGAAATGCATCAATCAAATTTATATATGGTGATGAGGTATGTTAAGAATAGAATATAATTGAATTGATATGATTATCATCTAATTAAATTATCTATCTATCTATCTATCTATCTCTGTTTATTTATCTTTAGCCAAAGTTAATAGTTGATGGCATTGATTATTCATTTTCGAGTGTTTTGGTAGATTCACATTTGGATTGCTTCATGCAAGACTCTGACAATAGATACTCTGAGATTGGCCCGATCAAGAAGAAGTTGAACATGTCCACAATGATCACTGAGGATGTTCGTAGACGTATCAAAGACTCCTCTCAAAAGGCTGAGATTGAAAAGCGTCACAAACATACTGTACAGGTTTTAGATTTAGGTAGGAGGCAGATCGAATCAATCAATCTTTATTTAAACAAACTTCTGACTAACATAAACAAACAATCTTATATATAGCTGGAAGAAAAGCAAAGACATCACCAGTTGCCAAGTACTCAACACCGTCAGCATCTTCACAGACACTACCATCGAAACCACCGAAACGTTATGCCGGTAACAAGACAATATCAACATCGTCAACTCTTCACTCTGTGATGTCAACGATTGCTTCACAGCAACATGGATTACCAACTAATAGTAATAATAATAGTATTAGCAATAACAATAATAATAGCAATAGTAGTAGTAGTAGTAATGGAAGTTCATTATCACCAATACCATTATCACCAGAGCCACAAGGTTCTTCACCAACGGGCAGTGGCAGTTCAATATCACCAAGAAAGTCGCTGTCTCCACTACCCACCAATACTAACAGCGTTGGTGGTAGTAATAACAACAATAACAACCGTTTTGCATCACCACCTTCATCTATTCCAATACCTGTACCTACAATAACAACTACTTCACCACCATTACCAACGATTCCTTCAATGTTAGGCTCAGAGAAGTCATCGTCATCGTCACGTCATCAACAACAACAACAACAACAATCAAAGAATAATAATAATAATAGTCAATCGAGATCACCACCTATATTACCATCTAATAGTAAGATAACAACATTACCAACATCATCAACAACAACAACCACATCTAATAAACAATCAAGTAAATCACAAACATCATTATCATCAAGAAAATCAACAACAGGTCAACAACAACAACCATCTAGTAAATCTAATAAGTTATATCCTCCAAGCTTGTCGAGTGGAGGCGGAACATCACCACCTGTATCACCACCATCATCACCACAAACCATTTATAATTCAAATAGTAGCAATAGTAAATATAACAGTAGTAGTAGTAGTAGTAGCAGTAGTAATATATCAAAACAACCACTTTTATCAAATCAATCATTACCATGGACAAGAAATGAACAGAAATCAGAGAGTGCCTTGAAATCACCAATACCAACACCCACACCAATCAAACCGATTACATCATCATCATCATCAAAGAATCAAATGGATATAGATGATGACTTATCATCTGGTAGTAGCAGCAGTAGGGTATCACCAATACCACCAGAATTTGATCATCCTTCATCATTACTCAAGAAACCATCGAAACAACCAATTTTACCACCAACACCAACAGCACCAGTATCAACTCAATTAAATGGATTGCCAACCAATAATACAGCCAATGATATAGTTTCAAATAAATCATCATCATCATCATCAACAACAACAACAACAACATCAACATCAACAAACAGTATAAAACAACAACAAAAACAAGAGAAAGAAGCAGAGAAGGAAAGAGAAAGAGAAAGAGAAAGAGAAAGAGAAAAAGAGAGAGAAAAGGAAAAGGAAAGAGAAAAAGAGAGAGAAAGAGAAAGAGAAAGAGAGTTGAAGGAACAACAAAAAGAAAAGGAGAGAGAACAAAGAGAAAGAGAAAGAGAGTTGAAAGAACAACAAAAAGAAAGAGAACAAAGAGAACAAAGAGAAAGAGAAAGAGAGTTGAAGGAGCAACAACAACAACAGCGCGAAAAAGAAAAAGAGAAAGAGAAAGAGCAGAAGGAGAAGGATAGAAAGCTGCGACAACAACAACGTGAGAAAGAGCAGAAAGAAAGAGAAAAGGAGCAACAACTTCAACGTGAGAAGGAGCAGAAAGAAAGAGAAAAGGAGCAACAACTTCAACGCGAGAAGGAGCGTGAGCAAAAGGAACGCGAACAGAAAGATCGTGAGCAAAAACTGAAAGAGCAGAAAGAGCGTGAGCAAAAAGAACAGCTGCAACGCGAGAAAGACAAAGAAAGAGAACAACAATCATTAATTGAAAGAGAAATTTATAATAACAATGGGGGACATAATAGTCAATCTATCCGTAATAATAATAATAATAATCATAGCAATAATAATAATCATAGTAATAATAATAATAATAATGGCGATGAACCAAATTATAATAATATAGTAATAAGTAGTAGTAGCAATACGATGTTTACAATCAACAATGAAAATGACTATCGAACTTTGGTGGAGACATCCCGCAGGAAATACCTACGATACGAACAGATCTATATGTTCATCACTAAGAACATCGAAGACTTTAGGAAACTTCAGAAATCACTCGATGAATGTACCAACGAATCTCAAAAGGTTGAACTGAGAAAGGATATTCAAAATCTATACGATGAACGAGATGAGGTATGTTTTTGTTTTGTTGAAAAATCAAAATAGTTCAAGCAAATTTCAACTAACTTTCAATTATCATAAATCTTTATTGTTATTATTTTATTATTATTATTACAGAAAGTAAAAAAAGAAAAAGTAGAATATAAGAGATTGGAAAATGAAATTAAATCGATAAAGAAGGTTTTAAATGATTATAATCAACAAAAGAATAGCAGTGCTGCTAAACAATGACATGCATGCATTTCATCTAATAATATAATAATAATTAACAATAAAATACTCTTTTTGATTTTTATGACTTTTCAAATAAAATATATATTCACAATACAGTATTTACTCTATAACCAGGATTAATTAAGAAGTTTAATCAATCAATCATGATCGGTTGATTATAATAATAATATTATATTATTTTCAAAAAAAAAAAATCTTTTTTTATTAATTTAATTAATTTTAAATATTTTTATTTTATTTTGAAAAATAATACTTTAATTAAATTAGGAATGAATGATGTTCAAACAAAAACAATCATTTATCACCCACTATAAATAATAAATTTTTTTATTTAATTTTCATTTTCATCGCAATCATTTATTTATTCAAAGATATAGATATAATTAATAAACAATAATAAACAAACAAACAAACAAACAAACAAACAAACAAACAAACAAACAAACAAACAAACAAAAATGTTAAGTAATATCGTTAGAAGTTCATCAAAATTATATAAAACAACTGGTGTTGTTGGTCAAAGATTCCACTCTACAACAAACGAAGATATAAAGTTAAAGACTAGAGTGCCTATCTTCAGACCAAACGAAGCACAGGAACATATCGCACTCGGAAAACTCAAGGAATCCGACCATTCCGTTGCCCTCTACAATTTAGAATTCATCTCAATCGACCACATTGTAAATTTGAACTCAGAACAATTGACCAGACTGGTTGTTATCCCCAAAGGAGGTAAAGTATTAACTTTGATTTAATATCATTTCAAGTGAACTATTAGTATACTAACATATATATATCATTGATACATTAATTTTATAGATAAATTAACAGTTGAAGCTAGAATCGAAAAGTTAGAGAATGAAGTTGCTAGATATAAACAACTATTGGATAGATTGACTCCGGGTGCTTCATCGACTTCATCAAGCCAGTCTACCTCGTCGACCATCTACTCACCACCACCTCAAAAAGATAAATTATAAAGAATAAGCGAAAAATAGTTGTATTGCTTGTATATTAAACATAAAAATAAAATACTTAAAAGATCAAATGTAATTAACAAAACCATTACCAACAGGATTCAAATATAATTAATTATTGATTTTTTTATTATATTTAATTTCTATTATTTTTTTTGTTTTACAATTCTAAATCCCAGATCTATTAAAATCTTCTAGCTAATCCACATTTATATCCATCCAAATTAAAATGATGTATGAACTATGGACTAAAGGATATATAAAAAATTAGTGAATTGATTGAATTTATATGGTAAGATATGTCGCTTGATCAAGTGGATTGTTATATGTGACATTGGTAAAAATTTGAAATGTTTAGTTGAAATATCTTTAAATACCTTATGCATAGATTAAGAATCTTTCTGCAATTACCTAATCTTGGATCTTCAAAGGTACTCACAGTTGGCTATTGGACTTATTTAGACTTACTTATTCTTTCTTCAACCACTATTCTATATTTCTTAATAGAAGGAATATGTACTTCAAACAAGAAGAAAGAGGAGTACTGCAACTTTTCTATGTTGAGGAGTTGGAAGAAACAATCATTGAATGCCTACGTAAGCATGACAAGAAGATCGAAATAGTATCGGATGAAACCACAAAAGTTTTCTACGAGATGAAGAGTATTCAGAAAGTATTGGTTCTAAGTGGTACAAAGAAAGATATTTCACGAACAAAAGGTGACTCTAAACTCAATCGTTAGTATATAAATTTTTTACCATTATTTAATTTGTTAATATTATTATTTATTTTTTTCTTCCAATCTTTTAAAATCAAAACAAAACCACAAGTTGTAAAATCTTTGGTTCCAACAATAACAACAACAACCACAACCACAAAAATGAACTGTATACTCTAATTGATAGATTTATTTAATTAATTTTAAATAGACAAAGTAATAATATTACATTTGTCATGATATATTGTAATCCCATCCAATATCAATAATTCAATAGTTACCAATAAACCTCCATATTTTATCCAATTACCACTACCACAAAATCTATTACACCACAGTTTTAAAATTTCACTAACAACTAATTATTAACCAACCATTTTCCAAAAATTTTAAGTGTATGGCTTGAATGAATTCACTATGTCTATTCACCAATGACTTTTTTTACAAAGAGAAGTTGGATTTTTGAGCCCAAAAGATTGGATAGTTCTTTTTAGAGTAAAGAAATAATCTTTCCACGTATAATTTTAAACAAATTTATAAGTTCTCAATCTTAATTTGTAAAATTTATTAATAATTTCTTTGATTTCTTTAAAAAGAATAAGGTTTGTTCAAGAGTTTATAAAAATAAAAATAATAAATAATTTCACAAACTTGGATTTGAAAAGTAAAGTTTTTAAAAATGATAGAATATCAAGATTTCATTAATAAGAAACTTAAAGATTTTAAGTTTTTAAAGGATAAAATAGAATCCTATTTTGAAACCAGAAATAATCCTTATCATTTTCTTAAAAATGAAAAAGTAAATTATTGGTTAACAAAAAATAAAATAAAAATCAATTACTAATAAAAAAATTGTTTTTATAGTGTAATGATATTACATTGATTCTTTATTATTTATGTAAAGTTTTATCTGGAGTAGAGACTATATCAGATTCACAATTAATAGTCATTCAGATATTTGATGTTTTTGATGGTGTTTTTCAAGAGTATTTGGCTAAAATTGGTGAGACCACAGGTGTACAAGACAAAAAGGTAATCAACTCTATCAACAAAATGAATAAACTATCAGTCTTGAATAGCGATTTTTTTTATTTAACAACTTTAATATGGTTGACCTATATCGATAACTCTGACGTGGTGGTAAATTTAAGTGATTCATTCAGCCAATGGTTCGAAAACAAAACTAAACCTATAAACAACACCTATAGAACATCTTATATCAAAGATTTCTGTGAATCAATTGCAATGCTGGGTGGACTTGATTCAGAAACAATAAGAGATATAAAATATTTTGGAAAATATCTCACAAATCTAATAGAAGTAAGTAGTTATTTTATTTATTCTTAGAAGTTCTAAGTATTAATTTTATTTCTTTTTAAAAAAAAATAAAAAAAATAATAGAACAATCAAGTTGAAGAATCAAAAGAATATTTGATTACTTTTATAAAGAAATACAAAATAACTATATCAAGAGAGATGATAATTATTTTAATTGAGAATATGGTTTTGAAGAGTAAATAAACAATTAATTTTAAAATTGTTTTTTTTTTCCTATATCATTTATTACTATTATTACTACTACTATATCATTATTTTAAATATTATTATTATTATTATTCTGTGGTTTGTGATGGTTTTTTGTGGTGTGATTTCTCGGGTGGTGAAGTTGCGCCAGGATCTTCTGCTTCAAGAGTACCTAGAGCAATTAAAAATTGGTTGGACAGTTCTTTTTCACCACGTTGCAAAAGAGCCAGTGAGATTGCAGAGTAGTGTTGTTTAAGGAATCTCTGAATGACTGGAATCTCATTGTGGTAGGTGGTGTTGATTGCCACCGATGATTCCCAATCGGTGAGATCAGTGTTGGCAAACTGTGCAATGAAATCTCGGACGGTTGGTTTCCAAGCGGCAACTGCGTCATTGAGATTCTGTGGTCCGCGTAAAAATGTTTGATTCGAACCCAAATTGTAAAACATCGTTGAGAATACCTGGAGTGCTTCGAGCGCACTGTCCGAAGGAATCACATTGAAGAGGTTGTGCATGTGTGGTCTAGCAATGGCCGGAGCAAACACCTTTCCAAAAAGCAGACATCCCACAGGTGGAAAAGTTGCACCAGCAGCTTTCTGTGCAAGAGCATTCGAAATTTCAATAGTGGATTTCCTATAGATGGGCGGCACGTAGATCAGTGAATTCCTAACGATCTCCATCGAGGTGTTGAATTCGTGGATGAGTGCTTCCACACCTTGTGGAGTGGACTGTTTGTAGCGCTCGGGATTGTTGATGATATTGGTGATGGCGTGGTCAAACAGGTGTTTCAGATAGGGTGTTGCCATGTGCGAAGAGATTTCCTCGACCAGCTCACTGGCGATTGGCGAGTTGGCAAAGAGTGCACCCATGCTCACTGAGACGTTGGGCATGTCGGCGCGGACCAACTGAAGCAGGAGATCGCTCACCTGTGAGCAACTATCGAGTAGACGCACAAGTGGTGGAATAAAGTTGATGGGTGACGGTGCCGGTGCCGGTGTTGTCACCTGGCCGTTGCTAGAGACCACCGGCATCGGATAGAGTTCTTGCTTACGGATGTCGGACATCGCTGAGAACAATGAAAATGGTGGACTTGCCAAAACCTGAATGATAGGTTGATACTTATTAATGAGGTCTTGATCCAATTCCTGTTGTCGGCGTTGTTCACGCTCATTAACCTCCTGTTGATAGTAATCTTGCTCAGACAAACACCAAGTTCTCAGATTATCAATATATGTCTTTATACCAGCATATTCTTGATAACCATTGCCATTCTGTAACGCGAGTGACTCAAAGTGTTTAACGAGAATATCAATATAATCTGTATGCATACGATTCTAAATGAAATGAAAATCAAAATTTATCAAAATTAGTAAACAACATAGATTATTTACCAATATCAATATAAGATATAATATTCAAAGTAACAACTTACAATTGTATCATTTAAATAAGCAATATATTCAGATCTTACTATTTCGAAATTTGCTTTTGCTTTTGTTTTATCTCTTTCATACTATTATTATTATTATTATTTAAAGTTGAATAAAAAGTAAATTAAGTTAATAACTATATTAACTACTTGGTATTATCTTTGATTTTCTTTCAAACTTACAGTATACAATTTGATAATATCTATTTTCTTTTGTGTTTGTGCGTTTCTTACTTTGCCAATGAGTGTTTCATATTCGGTTGTTGCTTTGTCATATTTCTTTCTGTAGGCTTTTCTCTCGTCGATAACACCAATCAATGTTTGAACAGGTTTAATAAATGAATCCATAACACTAGTTGTGAAGTCTTGTTCAAACCCAGATGTCTTTGAAATTGAAACTGTAAATTGCTCCATTGCTTTAACTATAATAATTATTATGATTCGTTTTCGAAACAACAATGTTAGTAAATTATTCTATCTCTTTATCTTCACAATAGATAGCTAGTGTGATTTAACTTACCGAAACCATTATGAGTTTCATTCTGTTGTTCACTTTGTTGTTGATGATATTGAGTGGCGATCGATGCGGATTTCGACGATGATTGTACAGACTTTTCGTGATCTTTAGAGAATGATTGTGACCAGGCGATATGATTCTTTGCATAGGATTCACCCTTGTCGTGGTAGGACTTTAGTGACTTTACCAAATCGCTCAGTAGCGACTTTATCTCTGTAATGCTCTTCTCCAACGACTTGATCTCCTCCAACTCTACAACACACTCATTATTGACTTCACCAAATGCTGTCTGTTGTGCTGATGAATCTGGACTGATAACTGTAGAATTACTTCTTCTTAGCAATGTTGCAAATCTACTCATTTCCTTATTACCTAAAAATATATATATATTATTTGCTTCTTTTTGTTTTTTGTTGTTTTTGTTTTTGTTTATTTTATTTTTTAATAATAAAATATATTATATAATATTATATTTTATAAGATAAATAGATATTTATATCTATTTTATTTATGTTTATTTATAAAAATACAATCAATATGATAGTGTGTGTGTGTTAGTGTGTTAGTGTGATGATGATATGTTTTTAATAAATGTTATGGGGTACAAAACCTTTAGTCAGGTCCAAAACTAAAAATTACAGCAAACAAAAAAAAAAAAAAAAAAAAAAAATTCTTTTAAATAGATATAAATGTGTGTTTGTTTTTTGTAGATATAATATTTTTTGTCAAAAGAAAATTTTATTGGGTCATGATAAGATCAATCAGGTCCTGAAAGAGAAAAAATATCAATATCAAAATAAAACAACATAAAAATGTAGAAAAAAAAATAAATTTAAATTTAAAAAAAATCAGAATTTTTTGTTATTAACAACAAGATATTCGTTTGTACAATGGTGTTTAGTTTTTTTTTTTATGCTTGGTAAGTTTTTTGCTAAGAGGTGCAAATTAATGGGTATTTGCATAGCAACAATTAATTGTTGGCACCACATTGAAATTTCTTTGCAACCAAAGTTAGTAAATTTTTACATCTTTGATCAAAAAAAATAAAATAATAATTTAAAAAATTATAATACAAAATAAATCGATAGTTTTTGCTAAATAAAGTCTTTTATTTATATACAAATTATAATTGATAAAAAGTTTTTATTAATTAATTGAAGATTTAATAATAATTTTATCTTCTACAGACACATCCATTTGACCAGATACAAATTGGATTAGAATTGCATAAAGAAGGTGATCTATCGTAGTTACGACACTGTATTTGACCTTTTTAAAAAAATTAATAATTTCAAAGATTGATTTTAAACTAATAAAATATAACATACAAAGAACTTCTTCGTTGGCATGGACAACAAACATTATTATACAAAGTAAAAGTATTGTAGCTAACAAAATTTTATTCATTTTTTTTAAATTCTAAATTTTGTAATGTATCACCAAGTGATAAACTATCCTTTTATAATTAACACTTTGCAGTAAAATCTCAATTTACTTGAAACTTGAAAGTATGAATCTTCTAGAAAATAAACCTATAATTCTATCTGGTAATGAGATCTTTTATAAATATAAATTCTAATATTTTAGATCAACCATAAAGTTTTAATTAACTACCTCAAGATATATGAAATGTGGAGCGAAACCATTTGGAATCATATATTAGATTTATATATGATGTTCCAATAGTTTGAATGATTATGGAAATAAATAATTATCGACATTTGTGGAATATTTATTTTAATTTATTTACAAGCTAGTTTATTAAAGTTATAGCACTATTTTGATGATTATTATTATTATTATAAATTAAATATTATTATTATTATTTGGTATGGAAATATAATGGTGTTCATAAAAATATATATAAATATATATAAGTTGTGATGGGTTTATCGGAGGAATATAGATATAGTTTTCAATTGTGGGATTGGATTGGTGGTGAGGATGATTTTCTAAAATAAGATATGTGAAAATAAATGCATATTGTTATTGTTTTGTTGTTGTTTTGTTGTTGTTGTTGTTGTTACGATTTAGCTCTTTCCAGATTTACCAAATAAACTAAATTTACTCTTCTTCTTGGTGTTGACTGGGAATTGCAGTGGTGCTAAAGTTACATCGGAGTGGGAAACCTCTTGTTTAATATTGAATGGCTTGATCGTTACTACAAAGGTTGTGCCACTGACAAGCTCGACGATTGCATCGTACCAACCATCGCCACACTTTACTTTACATTCATCACCGACACGTGGTGGCTGGACGTTGACAACCACCGATTCTACGGGTGGCACCGACTGTTGATTCTCACCTTCGTCCGTGCTGCTACTGCTGCTGAGAATGGAGCGATCCGACGATTGATTCAGTGGCATTGGCTGTGAAGATTTTCTTGGGGCCGATCCGCTTGGCCCAATCGAACCGCTTCCACTGCCAGCTGCCATCATTCCGCCTGCCAAACCAATTCCATTGGCTCCACTTAGGCTGTCTTTTCCACCTATGCTGTCACGTCTCTCTTTCGACGGTAGATACTGAGTGAGTGATGATTTCTGTGAAGATTCTCGCTTCAGTAAAGAAGGTGGCATCTTGTTAGCACCATTGTTATTGTTGTTGTTGTTGTTATTTGCATTTCCAAGCGAGCTGTTGAAACTATTGGATTTCAAACTACCACCACCGCCAAGTGCTTGTGGTTGTCCATTTATCAGTATTCCATTGTTTGAGCCCAGTGAGTTGTGTCCGCTGCCAATGTTAAGTGCACCACCAACCGAGTATTGAGTTGGCGACGATGCATAGACGTTGAGATTTACATTGTTGTCCGAGGGATGTGCTGATACCATGCCAGTCGATTGATGATAGGCATGTAGGTTGTTGTTTGTCGAGAAGTATCCACCCAAGCTCGGATTGCTGCTAAACTCTGGTTTGTCAGAGGATTCGCGTGACAACTTTGGTGGAATTCGCTTTGGTCCTGCAGAGGCACGCGAGACTCCTGCGTGGAGATCGCCAAATGATGAAATCAAGTAGTCGCTTCCACCGTCTTCACCGTCAGAGTCCGAGTCGGATGGCTGGAAGAAATCCGATGCCAAAATATTGGATGTCGATTTGTAGGAGCTCTGTGAGGTGCCGGCAGTTGTCAGAGGTGTCGGCGACGACGATGCTATTTTCATGGGTGGTGAGATCGGTGCCGATGAAGATCGTGCGTGTTTCGAAGGCGAGTCGACACCGAGTAAATCCGTTGTGGAACTATCGTTAATCGATCGGCCAACAGTTCCATTGCTATTATTATTGTTGCTATTTAATATGCTGGGTGGTGGAGGTGGAGTCAGTCCAAGTTTAACCATATACTGATCTCTTTCCTGTACGAGTTGTGCAATCATTTCTTTCATCAGCTTTTTCTCACGCATCGCTCTAATAAAGTGTATCTTTAGCTTTTGAATGGTTTGACTCATCTCCTTCTTCTGAGTTTCCAGCTGGACGACGCGCTCCTTCAGGTCGGATGCCATGTTCTCGTCGTCGTTGTCGTCGACCGGCTGTTGATCCTCGTCGAACGACGACGACACCGAAGCAGTGATATGACGTCCCGAAACTGACACGCGATGTCCTTTCTTGGGATCATCGACGTTCAACATATGCATCTTGATCCACGGGTGTTCCAGCAGCTGTGTTGCAGTGGGTCGCTTGTTGATGTCACGCACAAAGCATGCCAACAGGAAGTTCTTCAACTCTGCAGAGATTCCCGCTGGAAAAGGTGGATGTGGATTGTTCACCATTGCAAACATTGCGGGCATCGTTCCCAAATCCCAGTAGGGTGGATTGCCAGTGAGCAACTCGAGAATGGTACATCCAAGACTCCAAATATCGCATGCAGTGGAACGCGCGTTCATGTCCATCTGAATGACTTCGGGCGCCATCCAAAAGGGTGTACCGACCACCGTCAACTTCCTGTCGAGTGCACTGTAGGTGCACGATCCAAAGTCTGCCAACTTGATGACACCCTCCTTTGTAATCAATATATTATCGCTCTTGATATCACGATGAATGACACCCTTCTCGTGTAGATACTCGAGACCACGAAGCACCTGACATATATACCGACTTAGGAGTGGTTCCTGGAAGTTACCGTATCGTTTGGCAATCTTTGCCAATGAACCACCCTCAATAAACTCCAACGCGAAAAATAGATACTTCGGTGTTTCATGTGATTCTATAAATCTAACTATATTAACATGTTGTAGTGTTTGTAATAATTTAATTTCATGCTATAATAATAATATTATAAATGAATTATTTTTGAATGTTAGTAACATAATCCGATTATTCTTGTGTATATTTATTTAGTCCAATCCTATCCTATCTATTCTAACTATTTAAACACATACTAAAATAGCAGGTAATTGCTTCTCTGATATAATATTCTTTTCAATCTGTTTGATTGCACAGAAATCACCTGTCTCTGTATTTAATGCTTTATATACTTTTCCAAATGCACCTTTTCCTACAGATTCACCAATTTGCTATTGATTTTAAATAGTTTAATTAATAAAATTCCAGTTTCATTTTCAAATGAATTTGATTCAGAAAATAATATTAACTTACATATTTACTAAATGGATCAGATGCAGAAACAGCAGTTGAATCCATTGAATATAATATATTATATAAAGTTTATTGCTGTTGTTGCTGTTTGTTGTTGTTGCTGTTTGTTGTTATTATTATTTCTTTGAATACTTTTTCAAAACCTTTCTCTCTTGAATTGCTACTACTGTACTGTTATAATTTATTTGAAATTGAGTTGAGAGGAGTAGTTGTTGTTGTAAACAAAATTTGAGACTATGAATGAATGTTGTTGTTGTGTACCAAAGCTAATCTCACTCACTCACTCTGAATTATCGAAACAATTGTTTTTGTTTTTATGTAATTTGATTGGATTCCTGTCAATCTATCTATTAATTTATAAATACTGAAGATAAAAATATTAATATTAAATTTATTTTTACAATATATATATATATATTACTACTATTTTATTAAAATTTAAATAAAGTTTTAAAATTTTATATGATATAATTAATAATATTACTGATGTTTTGTTTTTGATTTGATATGTTGAAAGAATGAGAATGGTGTTGTGGATAGGATACCGAAACAAAACTCTAGTATGTGGTGGTCATATCAGCATACGATAGGAACACAAAACACAAAACAGAAAGCAAAACAAAACAAAAACAAAAACAATTAATTAAAAGTTTATTAATAAATATTAATAATTTGAATTTGTGTGACAATGATGGCAATAATTATAAAATTGAATGAAATGAAAATTGTGTGATTATTATTTTATTTTAGTTTAGTTTAGTTTGGTTTAGTTCTCTTGCTGCTGAGTGGGTTGGTTAGTGAGTGAGTGGGCTGCTGACTGAGAGAGTTGTTTTTGATGATGACTTTTTAATGTTATTTTTTTTTTTTTAATTTCATTGATAGTAATGTCCAATAGGATTGCTACTATTGCTATTGCTATTGTGTTGCTATTTCCATGGTAATTATAATTGCTATTGCTATTGTTGTTGTTGTTGTTCTTATTTCTTCTTCTTGTTTCTTATTTCTTGTTTCTTATTTCTTGTTTCTTGTTGTACTATTTTGTGTTTGTGCTTTGTAGTAGATTATAGATGATGTGTAGATGATCGATGAAATTTTAACTACATTCATTATTCAATTCATTCAAGGTAGATAGTTAGAAAAAATAAAAGCACACACTCACTCACCCAAACTCAAATAAAGAATTATATTATTATTATTATTTTATAAACAACAATAACAACAACAACAACTAACAAAAACAACACTTGATTATACTATGCTCTTATTTTCATTTTTCTTAAAAAGTTACCTTTATTATTATTCTGTAATTTAATCTGGAGGTGTTGGCTATAATGAGAAGAGAATTCAATTCCTATTATATAATTCTTTTATGTTATTGAATTGCCCACTCTCTGTGATTTAATATATATGTTATGTTATGATATTTATATTTATATTTATGTGTTAATAATAAATTGATAGATAAAAAAACTCTAATTATTCAGTTTTTTTTTTTTTTTTTTTGGTTTGTCAAAAAATAAAATAAAATTAAAATAAAAACAAGATTGTTGGAGAGAGGTTCCATATGAAATGAATAGGAGAGGCAAACAATTGGGAACACTAAAAAAACAAAAAAAAAACAAAAAAACAAACAAATTTTAGTTTTTGTTTTTATTTTTGGTGGTGTATGATGTGTTGGGGTGGTAATGAATGAAAAACTAAAACTAAAAACAATTTAAAAACCGCAAAATATCTACCTATAAATTAAAAAAACACAGAATATAAACTTTTGAATTTTGTAGAACCACAAATAAGTGGATTACTGATGATTGCTTAATAAATCAATTAATAATTAGATGATTTCTCGATTCGTTATCCAAGTCTTTTTTGAAAAGTTTACTTTTATAGATACTAGTTTGATTTGATTAGTCTACTTTCTTTATTACACTTTTATATCTAAATAAAGTGAGTGATAGAGAAAATAGAACTAACTTTAATATATAGATTCTAACTGCTATTATGAATTAAAAATCTTTTTGTTTTAATTTTAAAAATAAAATAAATAAATAAATAAATAAAATTTGATTAATATGTTATAACTATATTTTATAAATTTTATTTTCTTTCTTTCACTATTATAATTTAATAAACCATATCATTCTATAATTTTATATATAATAAGTAATATTGATACAATTAAATAGATAATAATATAAATAAATTATAAAAATGTTTTTTAAAAACAATAATTAATCAATAAATAAATAAAAAAATATGAGATTATTTGTTGTAATTAATGATAATAATCTCAAGTTCTCTAATCTTTGGGCATATTAATAGAGAATCATGTTTGAATTTATCAAAATATATATTGAAAAATGGGATTGTTTTGTTGCCCTATAATATAAATGAGTTGTTTGATTTGACTAGATAGACTTGACAAAATAATTGCTGACTATTTCTATTGATGTTTAAATGGTTGGTTGTTTAGACATGTCTAATATAATTGCTTTACAGAAATATTACTATTATTATCAATCTTCCTTTTTTAGATACAGATAACACACATATCCTCTCACACTTTCACTCCAATCCCCATCCCCAATCCATCAAAAAAAAAAATAGAAAAACAAAACAAAACAAAAATAAAAAGGTAAACCTTTTCCCACTCACTACACCACTGTATATCTAAAAATAAAGTATAACCATTTATTCCACTCTTTATTTAAACTTCTATTCTACTCATATTTATTTAATATATTTATTATTATGTTTTTGTATTATTATTTTTTTTGATTTACTGGGTATCATCTCCAAATTATTTTTTTATTGTTAATAGCTGATCATAAATAATGATGATTATTATTATTATTGTTGTGGAGATTTATACAAAACACGATATACTAATCTTGAAGTAGATGATATTAAAAGATTATATCGCCCAGGTAAATTTATGAAAGTTTGTATTGTAAAATCTGTATTGATTTTCTATTTTCGAAATAATATTTTTTATAAAAGAAGATAATGGAACAGTTGAAAATAGATATAATAACAATCCATCGAACTTATTGTATTATAATTGAAAGAGAAGTGAAGTATGATTAAGTTCTGAACAAATTAAAAGATACATTACCTATCCAATAATGAAGTTAAACTCTAAATACAAATAATTATATAAAACTTTTCTATTTTTAAACTTAAATGATTTTATTTTTTTGATTTTATTTTATTAAAATTAATCATGGTTTATCAGTTTGAACACTCACCCACACACACAAATAGTTTTATAAAATCAAACCAAATAAGGTTATTGGATTTGATAAAATTTATTAAAAAATAAATGTTTTGAAATTTTTGATTGTAGTTTTACAGTGTGGTTTTTGGTGTGATAGAATAGATAGCCCAGAATTGCAATTATTAATTAACTTAATTTAAATGCTTGCTTGTGACAGTCGTAAATTGATCTGAAGTGTAGTCGCTATTGAAAAAGATATTTACAACTGGGTTCGTATAGAATATACCAGGATGTGTTGAAAGCATCGTCACCAAGTATCGCTCCAGTGTAACTTGTCTGCTATTGACTACCTTGTTTGACGATGGTCTCAATTTCTTTGGTGGCAAAGGCATCAGTGATTTATTTGGTGTTGTATTGATACTACAACTTCTTATCTATTATTTTTAAAATAGATTAATAATTAATAAATAGTTGAGAAGAAATAAATTTGTTATAACTAACTATTACTTACCTTTTTATCCAAGAATAAAAAATTGTTATATCTTCTATGTACTACCCATTCTGAATAACTTGTCTGGACATGTATGTTGTATTCTATGAAAGATGTTATCTTTGAGAAGCTGATGATTGAAACGGTTAGATCCCATGCCGGTCCGGATTTGCAAGATGGCTTCCAACCTTTTTCGTGACTGTACATTGGTGGAGGTATCACCGGTATGATATTGGGATTGTTGTTGTTGCTGTTGGCACTGTTGGTGTTACTGCTGATGATCGTATTGACTATGTTTTGGCGTTGATAGACCAGCTCGTCACTAGACGGCTTCTTCTTGATGGAGAGCTGGATTTTCGGTGGTGGTGTTTGTGGTTGCGCAGGTGGTGGTAGTAGATGAGGAAGCGGTGTTTGAAAATTGGTGAGTAATGCGGTGGTCGATGTTGTGCGGGTCATCTTGGAGCCGCCTCCAACCGGTCTGTCGACGGGCTCCTTTGTGATTTTCAATTGTGAATTTGGAGAGAGTGCTGCTTGCTGTTGTTGCTGTTGGAGAAGCAGCTGTTGTTGATAAAGATAATTGTAGTATTCCGTGCTCGAGTGTGACGATGACACTGATCCAGATTGTGAAGATTTTATAATTGTGGTTGTAGTGGAAGATGGTGTTACAGTTGAATGATGTACGTGTAAATGTGAATTTGAAATTGAATTTAAATGTAAATGTGAGTGTGAGTGTGAATTTGAGTGTGAGTGTGAATTGGTGGTATTTGAAACATTGGAAGAAAGTGATGTGGATGATGTTTGTTCAGCGTCAGAGTCGTCGACCATGGAGGATGTGGTTTCATCTTGATAGCCTGTTGAGAGAATAGATGGGATATAGTGATGTGTATTCGATGCATGGGGTGTTCCAATCGGGGAGAATCGATTGAGGTCACCTTGGAAGGAGAGTCGCAATCCGTTGGAAAGTAGAGCTTCCACTTCATCGCGATCGCCTTGACAAAATTCAATGGCGTCTAAAATAACATGTACCTCTAGGTGACTGAACATCTGAATGAGATACGCTTCATCTTCGTCCCAATCTCGCGGAGGTCGAGGAGTGATGGTTGGCGTTGTGACTATAGTTTCGACCGACTGGAAACTACTGGCACCACACTCGACGACTCGAGAAGGTGCCGATTGATTGAAATTCCTATGATGATGTTCACTTTTCAGTTGGAGTTGAGGCAATGAAATTGAAGTTTTAACATCGATGTTTCCAACAATAGAGTCACCGCAACCACTATTGTCCTTTAAAGGTAGTTGTTGTTCATTCTTTTCCATACAGGAAATAATTACATTTTCATCATCGTCGTCTCCAACAATAAAATCTTGATCCTTTAAAAATTGTTCCTGTAATTGTAATTGTTGTTGTTGTTGCTGTTCAACATTTTGTTCTTCAATATTTTGATTTTTTATTATGTCAATGGAGGGTGAGGAAGGTGAGACTGATGATGATGTGGTATTATAATTTAATGGTGATAAAGTTTTAGGTTGTGAAATGGCTGGTGGTTGCTGATATTTGTCTATTTCTAAATCCATCCTTTTTATTTATATTTTTCACATAATATAATAAAATACAAATAAATTCCAAAAAATATTTATTTTTTAACTTTGTTTTGTAATATCAATCTTCTGTTTTTTTTTCTTTTCTGTTCTACCCAATCAAAGATAGAATATATGATTTCAATTCATTACAACAAATATATAATTAAATTATCTTGTATTATTTTATTTTTTTTTAAAAGAAATCAATAAATAGAAAAAAAGTAATAGGTTGAAAAATATAAATAAAAAAATCTGTTTAGTCAAATGTTGTGTTTGAAAGAGCTGGTAATTATAATATAATATTTAAATTAATTATTGCGCAGTAGGTGATTGATGTGCTGTGCGTCAAAGGATATGAACTATGAACCTATTATAATAAACAATTAAAGTAAAAGTATTTATTGATGTTATTTGGTGTTGTGTTTTTTGATTGTAGATTTTTTTTTTGAAGTTTGTGTGATTAAATAACAGAGGACTACAAAAACAACAAATTAAATACTTTTTTTTTTTTGGTCCAACCAAACCAACACCAGGACTTCTCGAGATTAAAGAAAAAAAACACAAAAAACCAACTTTTGAGAAATGTGGGCATGTTTTTTTATTATAAAAAAATTTCTTACAAAAATAGTAACAAAAAAGTGTGTTGCGTAAACGAAATCCATCAATAAAATCAAAAAGCATCAAAAAACAAAAACACAAGCAAAACCAATCAGTTGATTGATTCCGGATCTTGAAAAAAGATTTTTTTCTTTTTTTCTTTTTTGGTATTGGTAAAAAAAGATTTTATTAATTTAATTTAAATTAATTAATTTAATTTGATTAGATTGATTTTACAAGTAAATAATTTAATTACTCTTTGTTTTTATAAGAATAACCAAATCTTTTAAAATAGTTTAGAAATATTGTTGTGTGTAGTGAGTGCAGAGTGAGGAGAGTTGATGAATAACAAAAAAAAAAAAAAACAAAAGAAAAGAAAAGAAATAAATAAATAAAATTTGGTAAAGGTTATTAAAGATTGATGGATGGCTAGTTGTGATCGATCTATCATTTCTGTCGATAATTGTGTGATGATGATGATGATGATGATGATGGTGTAGTTGTTTGTTCCTAAACAAGTTGTTGTTTTTGTATTAGTGGACCGGTTTCTCGGGATTCTTGCTGTTCTTTCGTGTGTAGACGAAAATAACAATGAAAGCAATGGTCAACGATAGAATTGTGATAACAGTTATTTTTAGTGCATTTCTCTTAATAAATGGTATACAACCTTTTCTATCCATGCCCAAATACAATTCTTCTTTTGCTCTTAAATCACCTAAATCCTCCTCTTCCTATTTCCGATATTGGTAATGACGACACAATTAGTTAGTTTGAAACTTATAAAGTTTAAAATATGAATTAAACAACAGCAATACATACCACATAGTTATCAACATCTTCTCTTACAATGATATTTGCTTCATCGAAACGAATCTTTTTCTTTTCCTTCTTATATTTAACATGATGATCAATATTAAATTAGTTTCAAATCTAGATTAATTAGAAGAGTTGATATACTTACAACACCACCCTTAACTTGGACACCTGTTATACTCTCTAATTCCTTTGTTCTTTCTCTTATGATATTATTGAATGCAACAATTCTAAAAAAAAAAAAAAAAAAAAAGGAATATGTGGTTAAAACAGTGTTGTTTGTTGCTTATTGTTTTATTTGTTGTTGATAGCTTTTATTTTCATTAAACAAATAAGTAAAAGTAGAAGTTTGTTATCTTATGCTTACTTGGGTCTTGCAGTGGTGATAGTACCAGAGTTTTGTGCACTAAACTCTAATTGTTGTACGATCTCTTGTGCCTCTTCCAAGTCACACTCTATCTTATTGATCAATATAATCTTTTCGTCATTGGATACCGAGTGGTTGCTCAATGAATTCAAATTGCAATGAATCGAATCTGCCAACTCGTTGAAATCCTGTTCATAATGTGTGAATACATGATCCATTTCTTTAAACTATAAGATTTTGTTTGTTCGATTCGAGTATAATGACAATACTTGAGCTATGCTAGAATTAATATTATAAATATAATAATATTATAGAGATATATTAAAAATAAAAAAATATGCAAATTATTTTATGATTGGATGTTTTTAAAAAAAAAAAAAAACAAAAAAAACTAGAAAGATATTTAGAACTTTTTTTTTCATGTTCAGTTAGAGCCTCTTTTTATTCAAAGTAATCATCGTGCAAAGTTATTACTATAGTTTAATTATATATAATATTTATATTGATTAACTTTACTTTTGCTCAATAATTTGACCAAAGCTAAGTTGATCATGAACTTGTCTTACAGAGCAGATCAGAGCGAGCACACTCGTTGCCAGTGAACTATTATGTAGAGAGAAGTATGCCTGTTCATTTAAAAGTAGACATTCGAATGATAACATTTTAATAGAGCAACATTGTAGTTGGATATAGAATTAATTTCAACTATTATATATTAATTACCTTGTGTTATTATATATATTATAATATATATAATTATATTGCCCATATTAATATAATAACATATTTTAAAGTAATTTGATTTGTTAATATAACGAATATCAACTCAATGCTAAATAATTTAAATATTTTTCAAAATTAAACAAAACGGAATCTGAATCTTGATCTGAACTATCACTCTCTTTATCAACTGAATTGGTGTGCATGATAAAAGAGTTCAACACCAGAGTCAAGATTAATTAAAAAATAATATCAAATAACATCAAATAAATAAACTTTGTACATTTTTGTATATGAAAGATTGTCTAGTTTTATTGTTTTTATGTTTGTTACTACCAATAATACTTTTTAACACTTTTACAAGTTTGAAAATAATTATAATAGTTTTAAACACTAAAATACAAATTTACTGATGTTATTGTAAGATAAATCTAATTAAATTACAAAGAATAAACCGTTAATAAACAAATAATTAATCTTATTAATTTTAACAGCTTTGTGTTATAAAGGATTATAATCATTTATTATGTTTCCTTCAATAAAAACAATTTAAAGAGATGATAATTTTGTAAGGGATAGTCGTGTATACAATAGGAGATTACGAAAAAACTTACAAATGGAGATAATATTATAATTGTCGATCAGGTATGATACAATTAATTTTATAAAAATTTCAACCAATTTAAATCTGGTATTAATTATTTTAAAATTATTAATATTAATTTAATAAACGAAAATTAACAAATTGATTATAATACTTCCTCAATTATACAAAAACAAAGCAAATAAAACATTTTATTTATATTCTTTATATTAAAAACTATAGAAAATGAAGAAACAATTAATTTTAGTTCTTGTTCTCGCCCTATTATTGAACTCTTTTATCATGCTCTCCAATGCAGATAGTTCTGAAGATGAGACCTCTTCATTCGAAGAGCCCTCTTCAGAAAGTTCAGATGGAGATTCAGATTACGAAGATTTCGAAGATTTCGGAAATTGTTGTACATCAAACACCCGAGAATGTGGTTTTAACTTGATGGATAATAATCCCAATCTAAATTGTTTTGACACCGATGGCTACTATCTTGCTCCCAACTTTATCTATAAATGCGATAAGAAAGGAGGAAGCCCTGTTTTCGAGAGTGAATGTGAAAGCTGTGAGATGAAGAAAGGATTGTTAAGTAGTGTTCGTCATGCTACATGTATGGATTAATTGTTTATAATAAATGGTTATCTTAAAAATTCAAAAGAATTTATTTGTTATTATTTAAAGAAATTCATAATCAATAATAACAACAAAATAAAAAATAATTGGATTTTCAATATCTTTTTTTCAATTTAATAATTTCTCTGTGGGGAATAAAAAATTAACCACGCACACAATGTTTAAAATCAATTCATTCATTTCATTGTGTTTTTATTTTATTTTCTTGTTTTGTTTTCAGAACTGAGAAAGGTTAGAGAATTTCACCGAGATGTATAATAATAATAATAATAATAAAGATAAAGATTACAAAGATAACTATATAGATAAAGGTAGAGGTGGTAATTTGAATTTCAATACAAAGTTTGAAAATACCACTTGGCAAGCTATGAGCGATTCTTACAATTGTAGTGATAGTTTCAGTGAGAGTGTCGCTGGCATTCATCACGATGAAACCATTGAAATCAACAGCCACAATAATAATAATAATAATAATAATGATGATAGAGATGATACAACCGATAAAGATGGAGCAAACACTCCACCTATTGTTACAGATATGTTATGTATGGTTGTACCTGCTGCAACAGAGTTTGCTGATGTAGGTATGCTCATGGAAGACAGTAGTCAACAGCTTTTGGAAGAAGAGATATTGGAATTCAACGAAACGCCTACTCTAAATGATATCATCTCTGCCAATGAATTATTACTATCAACATCATCATCATCGGATATCATATCGTCAAACACCTCACAACACAAACATCTACATCTCAATGATATCTGTCATTGCGGAGACATTGATAGTTTCATAGAGCTAATGACAACGGAAAACCCTTTTATCCTCTCTGGTTTCCGTGAATACACAACAAGATCATTCAAACAATGTACAAGATCAATCTTTAAATTACATAACGATACAGGTTTGTAATAATACTACTATTACTATGCACTCATTTTTTAGTTTATTATTAATATTAATATAATAATGCTGCTGTTTACTATTACCTAGGTAATATATGGACACATTTGATACCAGCTTGTATTTATCTTTATATGGCACTCAATGAGTTGGTCGTTGTACAGGGAAGAAAACAACTAATGTTTACTATGTCAACTTATAAGATGAATCTATTGGCCTACTTGTTCAGTTGTTTTCTATGTTTCTTTGCTTCGTCAGTGTATCATACATACCGGTCATACTCACTGGCGATCTACAAGAAGACATTGATGTTCGATGTCTCATCGATTGGTCTTGTCATCCTTACCAGTGTTAATCTTATCATCTACAGTGAGCTGTACTGCTATCCCAACGTTAGAACACTCTCACTCTGCTCTTTCTTCTTCTTGATTGCAGCAGCACTTTCTCTACTACCAAAGATAATGCGAGAGAAACGATTCTCTTTAAGAACATTGATATTCTCATTCCTTGCACTTCAAGGACTGCTGTCACATCTATTGCGATTGTATTTGGACAGTGTCAACCACCCAGATTTCAAATACTCTTTCATTGAAGATTCAAACTTCCAATGGTTAATCCTGGCCTATCTACTAATGTCAATCGGTTTATCCATAAGACGTGTAAAATTCCCAGAGTTATTATCACCAGGTAAATTTGATATCTTTGTAAGTATACCGAAATATTGTCAAAGGAATTAAATTTTTTTGCTATATAGCATTATATTAACTAAATGTAATCAGTTTTCTAGTCATCAAATATTTCATGTTTTAGTTGTATTTGGCACTTATTTCATTTATAATGCATATGGTCATGGAACAGAGTCCTGTAAACTGTAATATTAATAAAAATTATAAGAAATTTTTTATTTATTTTCAATTAACTCTCTGTAAATTTAAATTGTTTAAAAAAAAAAATCTCCATCTATAATAATAAATATTAATAAGTATTTATGAATATTACTTTAGGTAGTATTTGAATGATTATAATACTTATGCAGGTGGCAATGGAAGGGAATGTTGTATTCCAAGAATAAAAGAATAAAAATGTATCTTATTTTTTCAAATATCATTTTTAATGTTGTAATTGTTTTATTTATTTATATTTTTTAATAGTTTAATATTATTAACCAACTAATGCTGAGTAACCATCGAATGACTTGGAACTCCAACATTCAAGTGTACCAGTTGCATCACCTACTATCAGTTGTGTATGATCTTTACTAACACCAACTGCAGTCACTGGATTCTTGGTGGACAACACTCTGATTTTCGTGAGATTCCATGCATTCCATAGAACAATCTTACCGGACTCCATACCTGTGATCAACAAGTTGGTCACTACACCCTCAATGCCAGATGTGAACACCATACAGTTGATACGATCGTTAGGAATCGGTACACGAGAGATCAAATCACCTTTGGGTGACCAGAGTCTGAGTGCACCGTGGTCACCGGTAATGTTGGTCTCGGCAGAGGCAGTGTAGTTGGTAGTTGGCGATACTTGTACACAGGTTACAGGATTGTCATGTGGTAAGCTCATTACGTAGGAAAGTCTATTGAGATCCCACACGATGCAACTGTGATCTTTGGAACCACTAACAATGACACTGAACTCCTGTGACACTGTTACACAGAGAATCGAATCGGTATGTCCATAGAGCTTAGACCAGAGCGTGAGATTGTCACCACGCTCTTTTCTAGTCATAAAGGTTCCATCGCTGTTAGAACGTTTCCAAACCTTGATAGTACCAGAAGTTCCACCTGTAACAAATAATCTTCCATTCTTTGTAATATCACAACAAATAATATCATCATTGACAACTTCAATCAATGAAATCACCTTTCCAGTATCCAATGAACAGATTCTCAAATTTTGATCCCAATGTCCCCATGACACAAATTTATTTGTATCTGGATAGAATAGAATCTAATTGGCACAAAAAATAAAAATAAAAAGTAAGTAACAATTATTATTATTATTATTAAAATAATATATATTATTTGATAATTACCTTTTGTGATGATAATGGAATTGGTGTATCACTTGAAATACCAATGAAACCAACTGGATTACGAATTGACCACATTGGATATTGATTTAATTTCAATGGGTTGGTGTAGACAGCATCCTGTAGGGTTTTCGATGACTTTCTCCAACTCTTTTGTGGATGTGGTTTGGTGAAGATCTGTTTGGGTGTTTGACCATAGCTGTGAATCTGTGCAATGGTGGCATCTCTTGTGAGCTGATCTTCGATGGTATCAATGTCGACGGCACCCTCGTAGGTCAATGGGAAGAACATATTGAATGCTTTGGCAGCTGCTTCACCCTGTTGTTTGTATCCAAACATCAAGTCGATCCAATTGTTAAGATTCTCAGAGACATACTTGGATTCCAGTGCTTCGAGATGTTTCTTAATGAAGAGACGTGCGTCGCCTTTGGCCCAAGGTGGCAACACGACATCCTCAACACGAATTCCATCTTGCTTGACACCCATATCGAATTGATTGGAGTTTACAAGGAACTCTGGAAGGTAAAAGAATTCTGGGATCAACTCTTTGACGTCGGAGCTAGAGATCGAGGAGGAAAGACGCCACGACTGGCAGATCGAGTGGAATGCACGATCGGGTACGTCGAAACGACCACCTTGGAAATCGATGAAATACGAGGAAAACGGTTGAAGACGAACCAGGAAATGAAGTACCGAACCAATGTTGGAATAGTGAGAACCGTAGTGGTATGGCTTCTCGTTTGTCTCTTGGAGGTAGTTGAACTTCTCAACGAATTTCTTGAGACGCTGTGGATCTTGTGCACCCATTGGCTTGGTGAGATCACGGAATGTCTCGGGATTGTCGAGATCCAACTCCTCAGATTCATAGTCTCTGAGGATGAATGGGAAGATTGGATACTGTGTGAGATCATTGAATGAACGACCCGCCAATGTATTGAGATGCATGAGATACTCAAAGTTTGAGATGAGTCCATGTTGCCATTTCTTGGTGATCGACATCTTGATGATATTTCCTTGTACTTCGGCTGCATAGTCCACACGATTTGGAAGTGGTTTCGACATGATTTGATCGTAGACCAAGTCACGATCGCTTGGCTTATTGAAGGCGAATAGATATGCTTTGTGAGGAACACCACTTCCCAAGAAGATTTCGATAGCACTGTTCTTGAGAACATGACGACGCTTGTGAATCTCAATGATATCCTCATAGGACATGGTAATGTGTTTTCCTGTGGACATTGATGATTTTCTCGATTTCTGAGATCCGCCACTGTTGTTGTTATTGTTACTGCTACTGGCGTTGAGCGAATTAGATTTCTGCGATGAAGATTCACTGAGCAGTTCATCCATAAAGTAGACGTTCAAGTCACCGATTAACAACTCACCGTTACGCTGGAAGAACGGGGAGACATTGGCGCATGGGAATGAACCATTCACTTTCTCACCAATCATAAGATTGTCAAACGATGAGTAGGAATCGTGTGATCCATGAAGATTGTTGGTTGACCAATGTAGATTCTCATCTTTCGAGACACGGCTTATGATTGTATTGGAAGGTGTCTTTGTCAACTCACTTGGAATGGCGAGATGTGTCATTTCCGAACGCTGAGTGATTCGCTTCATTCTGTTACGCATACGATGCGAACCCTCGGTTGGGTCCAGTTTCCACTTGGTGGAAGGAGTAGTTTCCCAGATGGCACGTTCATGGGTAACCTTTTTAATGAGCGCCTTCCACTGATTATGGAAGAATCGTTTCGATTCTCTAGTCTGATAGTAATAGGCAATCGATGATTTCTCGGTCTGAGCTTTCAGTTGCAACAGTGATTCCGTCAACTTTTTGGTGGATTTCGAAATATCGAGATTGTTGGTGATAATCTTTTGCTTATTCTTCTGGGTGTCTAGATACTGCAGTTTCCATTCACGCTTCGATTGATTGTGACGTTCCTCCCACTTTTTATATTCATTCTCGACGTATTGTGCTTGGTAGCGGTAGAGAATCTCGCGGGTGTCGGTAGTCGACCAATTCTGGCAATCGAAAACCTTCTTGAGGAAGTCAGGTCCTGCACCTTGGTAGATCATATACCAAAGTTTTGTGGTGACCTTGTTGAGTGGATCGTCCTCGGGTAGCTGGAGGAAACGCTGGGTGGTATGGAGCAATGCCACCAAGAAGTCTTCTTCTGGCATCAACACACTGATGGGTGACTGCGGGATGGTTGGCAGCGATGCAACCGACACATTGTAGACCGATCCAAGATTTGCGGTATCAATGCCAATCAGCAATGAGAGAGTGAGAATATTGCTATCGGAATACTCGCGCAAAGTCAACAATTGATAGATCAACTTGCCAAGCAATGAGCGGGCAGAGTATTGTGTTGAGAATGGATTCAAATAGTTGTAGTTATACTGAGGAAGTTTCTTATTGGAGAGAGCGATAATAAGAGTAGTAATGAAAGCGTCATTGCTGAAGAGATTCGCTTCTTTGATCCATTCTTGAATGTAGGAATTTTTCTTCTTTTTCGTTTGCTGGTGGCCAGAGGTGTCGTACGAAGAGGAGTCAGAGTCTTCATTGGATTCGTCATTCGAAGAAATGTAGGCAAATTGATAGTGTTCAGCCATTGACAGATCGATAACTGGCGAATCAACAACATGTCCAGTGATTCCGGTGGATTTCGGTGTTGGCGGAGCAGAGTCTGGCGAAGCCGATACAAATGGTTTGGTTGGTGTGCTGCTAGCAGAGAGTATTGAGTTCTTTCCAGAGATGACATTGGATTTCTCTTGGTAGCAAAGAGTGTTGATGGCGAGAATCGAAATCTTTTCAAATTGTGAGACCAGCGATTCCACTGAAACGAATGTATGATTCTCATTGAAGAAAGTAATGACATTCTGCATGACACGTCGCTGTAGGAAACAGATGTATTCATAGTCCATCTTGGTATTCAAATGTATGATAACCAAGATGTCACGAAGTAGATTGGCATCTTGATTCTTGACACCGTAGAGTGCAATCTCATTCAATAGCAAAAGAACGGCTTCCTCCGATTTCCAACTGTCTTCCTTCTGGAATTGGTCAAGGTGACTCGGTGTAGATGATTCGCTGCTGTTGTTGTTGTTGTTGTTGGTATGATTATTTCTATTGAATGCCTGGCTGAAGAGTAAATTCTTTCGCTTCACAAAGTTGCTGGAGAGAATATCGACAAGACGATGGATCAACTCTTGCTCTAACATCAACTGTGAGAATTGGTCATGTACGAAAATGTGGTGAATGATCTTGATGACTATGTGTTGTGCTTCGTAGGTACAGTTGCACAGAATAATCAAAATGGTAACCAAGACACCTGGATACTTTAGTTCCCAATCCTTTGAGATCGATTTAAAGTAGTTTTTGACAGAGATGTCTTGGTTGTATGGTTTACCAAATAGAATACAAAACAAAACTCCAAAGATCTCTTCGGTGAGAGAATACGACAACAACTGGTGACCCAACAAGTGGAATCCCTTCAACTTTTGGAAGTGAATATTAATGGATGGAACCTTTAGGAAAAGATCGATAACCTTGAGGAATAGTATACGAATTGGGATAGATTCATTTACCAACAATCCGAAAATAGATTCCAAACTGCAGATCGAATGGAACTCTTCGATGACCGAGTGGTCGGATCGACTGAGAATGTCGAGCAGTAGTGTCAATATGGAGATACGCATTGATTCGTGAAGTGACGGTGCGAGAGGAGTCGATTGTCCAGAGGAGGGTGGCGATGTCGAGAGTGGGGTCGATACATTTGAGCTATTATTAGTGCCATTACCAGAGTCGATTGAGAATGTCTGACTGTTGTTGATAGCCTGCATCAAGTAGGTATTCGACTTTTTACGACGTGCCTGTCCTGTTGGTTTGCCTTTTGGACTGGTCTCTAACAAGTAGGAAATCAGTAGATTCAAATCGTCGTTGATCTTTGGTGGACGATGTTTGATTGAATCCAAGATGGACATGAGCAATGGGATGATTTCAAGTGGAACATCATCCTCGCGACATATCTTCAAGATGATCTCAAAGGCATCGGCTTGTCGGAATTTGATTATGTTGAAATCATGATTCTCATGCAATCCAGACACCAACTTATCGAGAGATTCAAACAACTTCTTTTGGTCGACAAGTGAAGCACGACGCCATATGTCCCACTCCAATAAAAAGTGTTTCAAAGCCAAAACATTTTGAACTACACCGTTGATGAAATGACTGGAGGTACGAGTGGATTGTACACCTACAAAAGAAAAGAGAATGGAGAGTAGTCCTTCATCCAATGGCCATCTCTTTTTGCGGATGAGATGGCTTACCATTTGATATCCATAGATCTCTTTCATGTCCATCGTATTCTGCTGGTGGTTGGCAACCACCGATTGAAGAAGTCGCAGACTGGATCGTTGGAACTCCTTGTCCTGTGATATCGCCATTAGGTAGATAATGACACTGACACCACCAGTGTCTGCAACTTGATCTTTGATTCCACGCTGACAGATAACGCCTGGAGGCAACGGACTTGGAAGTCCGGTTTGAAGCAGCGATACATAGTTGGCAGAGAGTTGTTGGATGTTGTTGACTTTAACAGGTGCGATGGCACCTCCTACCACACTGGCTATCGTTGACATGGCCGATGTCGACATGATCGATTGAGTCGTATTCATATCCATCGATTGATGATGGTGATGTTCACCACCAAAGGTCGATCGACTATCACGACGAATAAGTCCACGACTGGAACTTGACGACAGCAATGACGATGTGCTGGCAGTCATTGTCATGGAGCGAGACGGATCCGTTCCGCTAGTCATACTATCGCGAATAGATGAAGATCGCTTGAGGAATGACAGACTGTCACTCGATTGCTGTGGTTGTGCAGAGACGTGAGTGATTGCCTCAGACTTGTTATTCATAATGCGATGCGCTTTGGTCACACGTAGACACTTGGCAGAGAGAATCGATAGTATTTTATCGTGCAGCGAATGAAGATGTGCAACGGTTGGTGTATGAAGATGTTCAATCAGAATTGGATGCAATTTAGTGTGTTTGTCCATTGGCGGTTGAATGTTCTCAACCGAAGTGATATCGACTTTCAGTCCACGGTAATGATCCGGTCCCAGCAGGTAGAGATAGAATATCTCCTTGTCCGTTGGAAGATCCTCAAAGATATAGGCATTTCCAAGATGCCAGTTGGTTATGTTATAGAAATCTTTGAATGGGACGGCGGCGTTGGAACCACCGAATCTAACAAACAACGACATCATCTGAGTCTTTGGATAGGTGAATCCAAATTGACTGCGCAAACAGCCATTGACATACATCTTGACGTGTGTCTTTTTCTGAGGAGTACTGGCACCAGGTGTATTCATTCCAGTGTGAGTCAAGCACAAGTGATAGAAAGTATCGGGATGGAAAAAGAATTCCGAAAATGTATGTTGCTCCATAGTGGCACCACTCTGAATGATTCTGTACGACACAATTCCATTGTCCAACAATATCTGAAATTCACAAGTCTTATCCTTGAAACCAACTACCACACCTTCCATACTATATAAAAATATAGGTTGTTTATCTATATAGTTATAGTTAATTAATTAGTTGTGTTGTTGATAATTAAAATGAATATTATATAGATTGTTTGTTATTTGTACTTACTTATTTTCAAAACGGGCGATGAAAATCTAAACCAAAAAGATATACCGAAACCTTTGAGTGGTGGCCAAGTACGTTCTCCATAGCCAGGAATGTCAATGCATTCCAGTGATGACTTTGACATCTCAGCATAGTAGGTTGGGAGGTTATCACGGTTCGATACTTTGACGAGGAGGTTTAGCAAGTCGATTGGGTAGTCTTTGACACGGAGCAGCTGGAAGTATTTGCGGAACTCTTGGAGTGTTAGATTGTGACCGGCCAAACACTGTATGAGTTCGAGTAGTAGTGGTTTCAATTGCTCTTTCTTTCCGCCAAACAAATGAGTACTGTTATTGATCAACAGCGGTTTGAAATAATCGACGATATCAATCAGCAATGACGACAGTGTTTTAGTGTTGAACAACGAACAGTTGGCAAGGAAGATGATTTCCTTGAGGATGTAGCACGATGACTTTGACTCCATCTTTTGAATCTGCTCTTCGGTTCCACCCATCAGTCGGATGATCAGTTTGAAAATCTCGGGATTCTCAATCGTGAGTGAATCACGGCATTGCTGACAATGGAAGTAGCGCTCCTGTGCCAAAGCAAGTGAACTCTTCTCTGGGAGTCGCGAAGTCGAGTGGATCTGTGGAGCACCACTTATTCTCACCTCTGTCGCCAAGTCCAACGATGTATAGGTTGGAATGGGTGGAGGTGTAGTCGATAGAGTCGGACGCTCGAAATCATTGGTATAGGAGCGTCCTCTTCTGACTGGCGACGCCAAAGCATTAGCCATATGAGCATTCACCAACAATGGACTATCAATAGAATCACTACTTCTATCAAGAGAATCTGATAATTGTTGTGTTTGTGGTTGTGGTTGTACAATAATAATCGAATTACCATTGTTATTATTATTGTTGCTGTTGTTGTTGTTGTTATTCTGTTGATTCTTGTTGGCTATTGCAATACTAAAATCTTTTGAGGAGAACGATGAGTTGGTTGGGAAGAAACTGGAGATTGGCGAATAAACAGAGAGGAGAGAACCTTCCTCGAGAGAATGTTGCTCGCATGAAGGTGGCCAACTTCCACTGACCGCCATATTGAGTAAACTGTCACAGAGCGATGCAGAGTAGACTCCCTCCATGTAACCACAGCCACCAAGTGTATTGGAGAGAGTTGAAAACTGAATTTCCTCTCGGAAATACTTTTGATTGTCGGGATTACTCTTCATTACCGCTGAGAGGGTGTCAATCAGCACCTTGAGGAAGAAGAATATCTCATTGTTGGTAGTCTTTGATTTGTACTTGGAGTTGCCACTGCCCGGTCCACCTACGCTACCGCCCACTGCCGATCCATTGCCATTCATCATCATACTATTGGAAGTCATATTACTATTATTATTATTGATATTTACACATCGACTGATTCCATCCAGTATGGAGACACACCAAGTGAATCCACCCGCAGAAATAAATGAACTCTTTGCATTGTAATTCTTATGAAATATATAACACATTGCTGCCAGAATATCTATTATCAAAAAAAAAAAATGTTAGTAAAATGATATACAGAGATAGTTCTGTTTGTTTCCAACAACACCTACTCTTTCTCATGGTTAATACTTTGGAATCAAGAGTAGTTGCTCCTCCATTCGATTGGAGTACTTCAACTAGGTCGGTAATGATTTTCGATTCGATACGAAGATCGCCAATTGCAAGTGTCGAGATTACCTGTAGCGATTGTTGAATGAGATATTCGTCGGGCAGTAGTTTGTAGAGAAGTCGCAATCCACCCGATTCAACAAAGAGCGATTGTATGTGGTTGGACTGTGTGAAGAACTCGAGGAGCAACGACAACAAGCTGATTTCAATTCTGTACAGTACAAACAGTTTGTTGCTGCTGCTCGGAAAGTGACGTCCGGGAATCAGTTGGAGACAGAGTGCCAGCTCCTCGGGACTGCTCTCGAGAACCGGCTCGAAAGGCAGCTGCTGTGGATCCACCAGGTATCTAAAGAGAATCTCGAGCAGTCCCGATTTTCTCAGTGTTTCGCGGTTGATCTTTGACTTGGAGAGCAGTTCCGTCATGTGTTGGCTTACCAACAGCACTGTCGAGGGCATCTTACACTCGAGCAGCGTCACATAGAACTTTATCTCCAGCTCCTTGATCTGATTCTTTGCGAGCATTTCATCCATCATCTCGAGAATCAACTTTCGATTCGACAGGTTGAGATGCTCGAATTGCGAAAAGAATATCTTGAATGGCTCGAGCTTGTGGAACACCCCAATACTATCTTCACTGCTGCCGTTGATCAAGTCAAAGTTGTCTTGTGATCCATTGCTCTGTTGTTCCAGCGAGAGTGTCAAACTCATATAGAATATTCCCTTTATACATTTCAACAACTCTGTTTTCATCTCCTCTGAATTCGTGATTGAAAATACATTGATAAAAATATTGAAAACTTTCAACGATGTCTTGGCTATATTATCTATAAATTAATAATTAGATTCAAATGTTTTAGTTAGTTAATCAATTCAATTTGATTAATCATGTTATGTTACAATAATGACGATGATGATGATGATGATGATCATACTTGGTTGATAAATTGAATCTTGTGGACTATTATTATTGGGGTGATCCAAGTATAATTCTTTTCGGACGGGTACAAAGAGGAGATTGCATGCAACGTTGATTATGTCTAGTTTGTTCTTCAAACTGCCATAGTCTGCGATATAGATGAATGTGTTTAAAAGAATAGAATAACCATTGTTGGCATCGAAATCGTCGTGTAGCAATACCATCAATCTTGAAGAACTCTTTACAGTATATACAATAACCTGTGATAACTCAATGATTGTCGAAACCGGTAGTTTAATTGTCTGTCTTTCTTGTTCACCTAATACATTTAATAGTAACTCAATCAATTTCTTTTAAAATAAAATGATTGTTAATAAATATATTTAAAAAAGATAGGTAATAATAATAATAATAAACTTACTTTATCATGTATTAAACTCATTGAATCTAATGAATGACAACAACTTGACATGATTTGTGCGAATGTTCTTACTAGTTGACTTGGAATGAGTGGTGAGAATGTAGGATCGCCTGATTGGAATGTAAATGTTTCGATTAACATTGAAATCGAGTCAGACGATCGTAAAAACTCTTGTAGATTAACTTTATCCTTCAAAATATTTCCTAAAATCTTTAATATATGATAACTAACATTTACTGTTGGTGATAATTCATTTGTTGATCTTGGAAACTGTTGTTGATGCTGCTGCTGTTGTTGCTGTTGTTGCTGTTGTTGTAAAAGTAATTGCTGTTCAAAACTATTTGTTAATTCTTGATTAAAACTTAATGGATTCTGTTGTTGTTGTTGTTGTTGCTGTTGTTCATTTACAAATATTGGACTTTGTTGTTGTTGTTGCTGCTGCTGTTGCTGTTGCTGTTGTTGTTCAAGTTGAAAAGGTGGTGGAGGTATTGACATGCTACTATTTAATGTTGGTGACCATTGTGATGATGATCGAAAATTGTTTAGTGTATTCAAATCGTTGCCAAGTCCCATTAATGAGGGAGGCAGTGGCGACAAATAGAAAAATGAATTGATACTCTGGAAAGGTGGAATCACAGTTGCTATCTGCTTGTTGTTATTTGAAAATATAGGTGAATAATTATTGTCATATCCATAGTTATTGTAATTGTAGCTGTTGTAATTGTTGTTATTGTTGTAGCTATATGGTGTTGTTGCTGCTGCTGCTGTTGTTGTTATGCTCGCCAGAGTGTAGTTGTTGTTGTTGTTGTTGTTGCTGTTGCTGTTGTTGACGCCAGCGCCAGTCGTGTAACTTCCGGTGGTTGGTGTGACCGATGCCGGCGATGACTGTGAAGAAGATGCCGCTAGTATACGGTGTAATATTACAATGAGTAGTCGACCAAACGAGAGGGGAATACCCTTGGATGTGCCACGCGTCAATATGTCGAGCGCGGCCAGGAGGAGTGGCGCCTCGCCAGCCTGCGAGTTTCCAGAGAGGTATCCAACCAGCTCATTAGTGGAGACACGCTTGCTGTGCAGCACTTGACTGAGCTCCTCGACGAATCGCTTCGATATGTTACGGTTGATGTCCTCCACTGTCATGCCGCCGAGCAGTGTCAACGGTAGCAGCTGGTGTGGCACTTCGTTGTACAGTGAGACAAACACCTTGAGGAACTCGACAAGCGATAGCATTGCATCTTGATGAACAACACTCTGTACATACGATTGCCAGAGAGTGTTGATCACCACCGAACTGTGCATACCGCCACTCATCATTCCGATGCCACCACTACTGTTACCACTACCACCAGTGGCAACTCCATCTTTACTCAATAGATTTCCAGATGATCCAACCGAACTTAAAGATGATACATTCAATAAATTATTACTACTTCCACTTCTTGTATTGCTATTACCACCACCACCAATGCTACCGATATTGCTACTATTATTATTATTGTTGTTGTTGTTGTTGTTACTATTTGAAATATTAAAACCACTTGTTATATTATTATTATTATTATTGCTATTATTTATAGTTGAACTGGTAATATTGTTGTTGCTATTATTATTATTATTATTTCCAAAACTAGTATAACCATAACCAAAACTACTGCTAGTTGGATTGATACTATTATTATTATTGAAATTGAAACTTGACATTTGTTTAACTTTTGCTAATATATTATATATAATATATTATATTGCTATTATAAACATGATCATTAAATATAAATATAAATATATAGATTTTTATAGAAAATAAATAAATTTTAAATAGAGATATATAGATAGATTAGATTATGTGTAAAATATCCAAATATCATAAATTTTTATATTTTCTTTTCTCCTTTCTGTTTTAGGTTTTCTAATTTCTTTTTTTTTTTTTTTTTTTTTTTTTTTTGACAATTTTTAATATTAAAATTAAAAATAAATTTATTTTTAAAAAAATACAATAAAATCAATAAGTAAAAAAAAAAAAAATGAAAAATTATTGGAGAAGTTTTTGAATTGTAGGCACACAAAACAAAGATCTTTAAATTGTTTAATATTCTATAAATAAATAAGTAAGTGAATTATTATTATTATTTATGATTGATTGATATACAAACAAAAAAGATAAAAAAGAAAAAAACAAACTTAAAACTAAACTAAACTTGAAACAGAACTGACTGATTGTTTTTTTATTATAATTTTTAATTGTAATATCACTTTAGGTAGTTTAGGATTCATTGTTTATTTTTTTTTAAAACAAAATAATATCTTTTGTTTTTTTTCTTTAATAAAAAAAAATACAATAGGATGAGCACAGTATTAGACCCATTAAATTTAGCAAAACATGCAAACAATGAAAAAATTGAAAACAAATATCTGTCAATAATTAACGTGTGTTTATCCAAACTTTGATTTATTTTGATTGTTTAATACCCTTGTTTGTTGTTGTTTTCACAACCAAACTTTGTATCATATCACTTCATTGTCGATAATTATTTTGTCAAACAAAACCAAAAACCATATGATGATTGGGTAAAGTGTAAATACTTGAAAAATGGATCATTTATGGTGTAACTCAATAACATTAATTAACAAAGTATTCTTTGTTCTTTTTCAGTCCGTTCATTATTTATTTGTTTGGCTCATAATTAATATTTATATCTTTTTATTAAAATAAAATATAATTTTATTTGGACATTCAACATATAAATCATGTAACGTAACTATCTATCTTCAAACAACAAGTTCAACTTTTTAAAGTCAACTGAACTGATGTTAAAATCGATGCCGACTTTGAGAGTGAAAAAAAAAAAAAATGAAAAAAATCATATGAATAACTGCTGGGTTCGCTCGTTGAATGCACCTCCATACCAAAAAAAATTTTCAAACATTTTTCTTTTATTTTTTTAATTCTTTTTTTTAATTTTTTTTTTTAAGTGAAAAAACCAACAAAATCATTTACTATATTTATTTTATTTTTATTTTTATTCACATAATATATTTATATAATATTAATATATAAGATAAGATGGGTTTAGATATTGTTATGTTCCGTGCCCCAGATAAGGGTGGAAATCCAGATTTGATTCGTTTATCTCAAGAGAGACGTTTCAAGCCAGTCGAGACCGTACAAACCGTCATCGATTTAGATATGAAGCTTAGAGATGGTATGATCATATTATATCAACCAATCAATCAATCAATCAACAGCAACAAAATCAACAACAGGCTTAGATTTATTTGGAATTCTTTCATAAACGATTCGATATAATTATATCAAATTTTAGGAATATTGTCATCATAGATAAACCATCTTTATAAAGATGACTGACAATTACACTATCCATCTCATCTATTTATATTGTATAAGATAATCATCTAAAATAGTGGAGTAGAATAGAGTAGATGAGATAGAATATTATATTATATTCTTAGATAAATACCAATTTGGATAAATAGATTGGATTTTGATTTGATTAGTTTAAATTAGATTATAATAGATCATCTTAATTTGTTACCAAAACATATGTTGTTGATTGGATTGAATATTAAAAAAAAAAAAAAAAAAAAAAAAAAAAGAAATTTTAATTAATCAAAAAACAATTTGTTATTTTTTTATTATAGCTAAATATCGTTTAGATCAAACCAATGCTGAATATACTAAAGTAAATAAAGAATTGGCAATTAAGAAGAAGGCAGGTGAATCAGGTGAGGAAGTCGATAAATTGGTAGCTAGAGCCGCTGAGATCGATAAGAATATCGTTGCTTACAAGTTGGAATGCGCTCAAGCCGAAGACGAGTTGAAGAAGGCTATCAAGCCAATCGGTAATATCGTACACGAGTCTGTACCAGTCTCGAACAACGAAGACAACAACCAGGTCGTCCGTACCTGGGGTGAGCCAAAGACACAGAAGGATCTGTTGCATCACCACGAGCTGCTCGAGATGATCGACGGTTACGACTTGGTGCGTGGAACCAACGTGTCCGGTCACCGTTGCTACTTCTTGAAGGGTGTCGGTGTCGAGTTGAACTTGGCCATCATCAACTACGGTTTGGCGTTCCTCAAGAAGCGTAGCTACACTCACTTGCAGACCCCGTTCTTCATGCGTAAGGAGATCATGGCCGAGACTGCCCAGTTGGAGCAGTTCGACGAGGAACTCTACAAGATTGTCGGTGGTGCACAGGGCGAGGAGAACGAGAAGTACTTGATCGCCACCTCCGAGCAGCCAATCTCTTCGTATCACCGTGGAGAGTGGATCGAGGAGAAGGACTTGCCAAAGATGTACTCTGGTTACTCCACTTGTTTCCGTAAGGAGGCCGGTGCACACGGTCGTGACGTCTGGGGAATCTTCCGTGTACATCAATTCGAGAAGATCGAGCAGTTTGTCATCACCAAGCCCGAGGATTCCTGGGCTATGCACGAGCAGATGATTGCCACCGCCGAGGCATTCTACCAGGAGCTCGGATTGCCATACCAGGTGATCTCGATTGTTTCCGGTGCACTCAATAATGCCGCCGCCAAGAAGTACGATCTCGAAGGTTGGTTCCCAGGTTACAACCAGTACCGTGAGCTCGTCTCCTGCTCCAACTGTACCGACTATCAATCGCGTGATCTCGAGATTCGTTGCGGTATGAAGAAGCAAGGACAACAACAAAAGAAATACGTACACATGTTAAACTCTACTTTGGCTGCCACTACACGTGTCATCTGTTGTATTCTTGAAAACTATCAAACCGAAGGTGGAATCAACGTACCAAAGGTACTTCAACCATACATGGGAGGTGTTGAATTCATCCCATTCGTCAAACCAAAGCCAAAGCAAAAGTAAATCAGAATATATGGTTTAGGTAATATTACAAATATTTACTGAATAAGTAAGAAAATCAATAAATAAATCCAAAATAATAATAATTTAAAAACAAAACAAAACAAAACAATGTTACATTTTTGATAAATAATAATAATAATCGAACATTCATTCACCTTTTATTTAAAAATTTAACAATGTTTTGGATCGTTATATATCTTACAACCAGAGTCTGCATTGAGAGAAGAAGAAGTAATAAAGAGGAATGAAGGTTAGCTATATTGTTATGTTTGATATCAATGAATAATGATGATGATGATAGTTACCAGTTGCAAGTAAAACAATAATAAATATAATTAATAGTACAATACAAATGATCATACCGCAACTGCTGGCATTCTCTTTGAGGATATTCATCTTTGAGTTTGTATGTTGAATTCTGCTGGTTGTTCTATCAACTCCAATTTCGACATCATCCAACAATTGGTTATGTATTTCCTATATAGGTAAAATAAAATATTATTATTAATATTATTCTGTTGTGTGTTCGGTGGTGGTGGTGGTGGACACCAATGATGATTATCATCACCTATTATTAAGTTAACCTACAAGTTCTGTATTCATTGCAGAAGCCATATTCTTTTGTCTCATCAATGAGTTTGAGAGTAAATCTAATGCTTGGTCATGCTCTTGCATGACGGTGTTGTTCTGATTAAAAAGTTGTTGATTATTAAAGTTTTGAGTGAATTCATTGTCCTTGGCTTGCTTTCCCCATGCTCTCTTTGAAGATGCATCTCCCATCAATTCATTTCTATCATTATTATTATTAATGTTATAAACTTAATATTAATATAAAATCTAGATCACATATAATGGTAATGATGATGATGATGATGATTATCTTTTCCTTTTTCCTTACCTTGCAAAGTTATTGTTGGCAGCATTCTCAAATTGATTTGTAAGATTATTCTTTTGAGTTCCGAGTTGTTCGACCATTGCATTTCTTCGCATTTTCTCTTTATCGGTGATTCTAAGGTTACCATATACAAGTGCATCCTTTAGTCTAGCCAAATCATTGCTGAGATTCGACAGTGCTCTTCTGATGTTTGGTGCCGTCTGTTTCTGAACTGCACCCGGATTGTTTCTCTGTTGTACCTCAAAAGATTTAACCTCTGTAACTAATTGCTGTAGTTGTCTAGATGCATTATCATATTCATATTCCCAAGAATCTCCCATTTTTCTATTATAATCTATCTATCTTTCTATCTATCAACAATATTCTTAATCTATTCTTTTCTATCTTTATAAATATATATATATTCTATTGATATTTGTTTGATTGAATGAATCGAACAACTAACTAAACTAACTAACTTAATAATGACTGATAACTGACTGATAATAGAAAAATGAAATTTTGTTTTTTTGTTTTCTTTTTTGCAAATCTAATGAATCTAATCTGATGAAATGAAGAAGAACAACAAGTGAGTGTGGATGTCTGATGAATGATGAATGTTTTATTTGCTTGTATTTGTATAAAAGTGAAATTAAAATAATTAATAATAACTAAATGTAAATAAACATTATAAAAAAAGCCCCCGATATGATTGTTTTTTCCTGATTTTTGAAAAAAAAAAAACAAAAAAATAATTTCGAAAAATCGCATCAAAATTCCAAATTTTTTTTTTAATTAATCACTTTTCTAACAAACATTGACCTCAATTTTATTTTATTTATTTTTTGAGACTGTCATTAATTATTATTCAATGCTTTCATTTTCATTTGGATTCTCTTCATCTCTTTTTTACTCTTTTGTTTACGTTTGATAAAGATGGCGCCACCGATCGCCAATGAGAGTAACACTATTGCACCAACTACTATACCTGCGATCGCACCATTACTCAGTTTCTTCTTTGGTTGGCAAAGCTTTGATGTACCGTCATTATCGACATCGACAAGCACAGAGAAATCGGGATCGATTTGCAAGCTCTCTCCAAACGATGGTGTACGTATTGCCATGTGAATACTGCTGTATTGATAGGTCTGTTTATCACTACTGGCATCATCGGTATCGTGGAGTGTTACAATGGTTGAGCGGTTATCGAGTAGTACGGTGTTGATGAATGTTCCATAGAGACTGTGATCGTCGATATTGAGCTTGATCCACTGTCCATTGTTATTGTGTCCAGATACTCTACTGGAACATGAGTCTGAATCGGTTGAGATCGATGCTTCGAAAACTATATCCATTAGATTATCCATCGCTGAGAATGGATATGCCGAGAGAGATGCCGTGAATTTTATAGAGTATGGTAGGAGCGTTATGTTTTGACCGGCAAATTCAATGGTAGTTCCATCCTTGATGAATAAAAGAGTGGTGTTTACAACGGTAGAATTACTTCCAATCTTTAGTTCAGTGCTGTAGTGATAAGCAATACCATTGTCATTGGACAGGTTTTCAAATTTCCAGTTGGCCGATGTCATGTTGTAACTTTTCAAAACCACTCCAATCGGTGATAGTTCATTGATTTCTACGATACTTATCGAGATATGAGTATCATCTATTTCGATATAGGTTGTGGGAGTTGGTTCAGGAAGAGGAGGTACAATTGGAATAACTTTGGAGGAACAATATGGACCAACCCAATCTTTACTTGTACAAACACAGGTACTATTAACGCAGTTTCCATGAATACAATTTCGAGAGTTACAATCTTTGTTTGGAGTTGCAGTTGGATTTGGAGTCGAAGTTGGATTTGGAGTTGAAGTTGGATTTGGAGATGTGGTTGGTTCGAGCGGTCCGTAGTTTGACATTGGCACTAGTTCAATTGTATTGGAGTAGATATCAGAGAATAGTCTTACACGGAACTTTGCTGATTGTATATGTGTATCACCAATGATGAACGTTGGAAGCGTGATAAGCACACCAGCTCCATATCTTTGGTTTATGTTTATACTCTGGAATAAATCTTGTCCATAGTCAATTTCTCCAATAATTGGTTCTCCAGTTTCATCTGTTCCAAGAGAATTTCCAGAAACGAAAACCGACCCACCAGTTACAGGGAAACTGGTATAGGAGGTCAAAGTAGGATCTGCGTTCAATGTGAATGTTCTTTCGATATAAAAGGTTGAGCCATTGGTCATCATATCTTGCGGAGAGTATCCATTGATTTGAAGTTGATTATCCAAGATACCGTATACAGATATAAAGAAATTTTCAATACCAATACCATATGGCATTTGGAATCTGGCTGTGTAGTTTGAAAAGGTGGTATTATAACTTTTTCGCTCTGTGGCTATTCTAACAGTATCCGGTTGAGATGAAAGGTAAACATATGGGTTGTGTCTGTCAGATAGTCCTAAATTTCCATCGCCATCTTTTGTAGTCATATTGATCTCTACTACTCTCGATCTCACACCAACATCAATTACACTTGGACTTATTGAAAAATATACTAAAGTGGGTGGTGATGTAAATACTTGATCTGGAAATTAAGAATATAAAAAGTTGATTTAGAAAAATGTTTTTTAAAAAAAAATTAATATCGATTTATAACAGTTATAACATACTTGGACAAATTAAATTTATAGTTAATTGATTATCATCTTTACCACCAACAATAGTAGCCAATCGCCAGATTATATTTTGATTTAATCTAACGGATCCTTGATCGTAGAGTTCAATATTGGAGATGAAAAACTTTTGAGTTCTGCAAATCTCCTTAACTTCAAAACTTAACTGATACACTCCAAGATTTTCATCGCCAGATATTCTGTTCTTTTTTTCGATGATAAAGTGTCTTGGTTCCAAATCAAACGAAGAAACTACAGAGATATTTGCATCTCTGAAACCATTTGGGAAATCCTCAATTGTGATATTCCATCCAATAAGCATATTGCCAGAACCACTTAACACAACATTTGTAGTTGGATATGCTAATATCGATGTAACGATAGGTAGTAGCATATCTCCCTCTTTGAACATAATTAGTAAATTATATATTTTGAAGAGATAGATGTAGCGGTACTACTTACTTGATTTAGATATAGTTAAAATCGATGATCTACCAACAACAGTGGCTAAAATTGTATTATTAAACGATGCATATGGTGTGACAATAGTGTATGGCAGTTCACCTGAATTAAATTGTTTTGGAATTCCAAAAGGAATTTCATGCATATTTGTTTCACTATTAAAGATTCCTTGGAATGTTAAAAATTGATTTTGATAGTCTCTGTCAATTAACTCTGAGTCTCCAATCACTAAAATTGGTGTGAAATTTGCAAGAATGTTTGTAAATTGTAAATTTAATACATTTATAAAATTTCCAGTTATATCAATATTCTGGTGTGTGAAATTGATTGAATAAAAATCATCCAAAATAATATTTGCTGTATGAAAATAAATAGTTAATAAAATTGATTTTTTATATTAGTTGTTTGTATTTACTTACGATATATATCCGAAGGTAAAACAGGGAAAGTTTTCAATAGAGAATTTAGGTAGGTACTGGAAAAATAGATTGCATTAACTGCTGATGGACTTGTCTCATCATACACCATTAAATATGCTTTTAATGGGAATGGTTTGTCGAAAGTCGATTTCACTACTATTTCGAATATACCATTATAAAGAGATCCACTGACTAAATTGTAACTTTTGAATACCAATCCAGAGTATTCCATCATTATTATTTTATAATATGATGTAATATTAACTTGTAATATAAAAGTAAAAGAGTTAATTGGAATATAGTTGATCATATGAACTACAACATTTGAATTATTATCTTGTTTTTGGTTTTAAAAATAAAATATTAGAAACTAAAGAATATAAATAGAATAATCAATAACATACAGTTTCTATCTAATGTAAGAACACCTGATTTATCATAGATCCCATTGTTGATATAGTTTGATATCCAAGGACCTTGAGAGAATTTCGATGTATAGAAACTTGTTGACCAAGAGTAAGAAAAGTCGGGATATAACAATTGCCAACCATATGGGAATGTATAACTGAGGTCAAAAGTGTTTTCTTCAAGATAACCATTGTTAAGTTCACCAAAATGAATTTGTAAAGAAAATAGCATCCCCAGAGAATCAACACCTCTAGTTGTAGAAAGTGAACCAGGGATGTCACCTAAATACATATAAAATATGAAAAAAAGTTAATTTAAAGGGTAAAGTCTTTTAAAAAATTTTTTTTAATATATACATACTTGGTGATACTATTGATATGTTTTGAGGATTGGATAAAGTTGAAGTAGTTTTAGAGACAGAATATATTGAAAAAAAGTTTGTGTGATCTATAGCAAGGGTAGAACTTGCCATATATGTTGAGTATGTACCATTTCCTTTGACCAATTTCCATGATTGTTGGATAAAATTTTGACCTATTACATAGGCCAAAACAGAAGACAATCTTGGAGTCTCTATAAAAAGGAGTGATTGATAGTTTTGATAGAGTTGGTCCATTTTAATAGTGGCATTCTCTGGTGGGTAGTGTGTTAATGAAGAAATGATTGTTCCATTATCTTGACCTTCAATTGGGAAAAGTGAATCGAATTCCAAAGTAAATGACTTTGACATATTGAATGTTTGTTGAATATCTACTGATATTGGTGGATTTGAGGTGTAGTCAGTTTTTGGGAATTTTGAGATCGTCAATGTGAATTGATTGTTGATTGGCTTAAGCTGGGCGACTCTACACATATAAACTAATGAAGTACAGACTATTGGAAATGGTTCCATTAGTGGATCAGCTTCCAAAGTGAATGTTAAATACATTGAAAAAGTATAGGGATTATAATATGTCTTGTATCTCTTTAATAATTTTAAATCAAAAGTTGCAGGATCTATAAATTGAAAAGATATTAATTATTTTTCAAAGTTGTTTAAATAATAAATAATATATACCTAAACAATTATAAGTAGAAATACTAAATAGTTGGTTTTCTAAGTAGAAGGAAAACATATTATTTCCAATATTCATTGTGGAATTCAGGAAAAATAACTGTGCTGTAAGTGATGTTGATCCCATTTCGTCGACCGACAAGTCAAAAACGTTTGGACCCGGAGAAAAGTCTAAAGCATTGATTTTCTTGGTATCACTCATAAATATTTGGTACTTTACATCGCATCTAATGTCATTAGGATATATTCTTCTTAGAGCAAAGTAAGGTTGTGATACCTGTGCCTGTCCAACTACACTAGCTGCGTCTGCCACGCCTATTATACAAAGAGTTAGTTTTAATATTGAAATCTTTAGATTTTACTATAATACTAACTATTAAAAGAAATAAAAAGAAAAAAAAATATTAAAAAGTTATTTTTTATCATTTCTTTTATTTCATGTTAAGATATATCTTAATGATTTAAGTGAATGAAAACGAAAATAGTTAACTATTGTGATTGTGCATATTTTGATCGTTTTAAAAAAAAACATGATTTTTAGTTCGTTGAAAGAAACAATTTAAAGTGAATTCTTAACTTGTTTACATAAACAGAAGATGATTTTGTAAAAAAAAATCAAGATTTTTTTGATATTTTTGCAGATCGATGAATAAAAAACCAATGTTATAATCTTGCAAAAAAGGATCTAGATATTTTCGGAATTTTGTTTATTTATTTTCTAAATTAATAATATTTATTTATTTATTAATGATAACAAAAGTAAATGAAATAAAAAGTGTGTTTGAATTTAGTATAATCCTTCACCAAACTATTTTTTTATGATAAAAACTTGTATTTAATAATATTATTATTAGATCAAATATATTCAATCAGTTACAAAATGAAGCATATGGCCCTAGATATGAAAGATTCAAATGGATACAATTAGTTAATTCACCATTTCTATTGATACAATATGATTATTTCGATCTTTTTGTACAACATTGGATCACTGTTGGTTGCAGTAACTACCACTACAAACAAATAAAATTGAAAGATAATCTTAGCATATTTAATGAAGCAATCAAATTCAACCGATTAAACTTTATCAAGTGTTTCGTGAAGCTCAATCTATTGGACCTTTCAAAGTATTCAACAGTAATAGAAACCGCAGTGTCAGAAAGAAAAAAAGAGATTGCAGAATATCTAGTTTCGACAAGCAAATCAGATACTATTTATGATTATTCGCGAGATCTGATTGATGCTTGTAGGTCAAACGATATTGAAACCGTCAAACTATTGTCATATAAGGTTGGCTATCTTTATTACTATGAAGCTAATTCACCGTTGTTTGAAGCTGCTTTTAGCAACAATTTGGAGATTGTAGATTGGTTATTGAACAACAGATTCGATGAAGCCAACTTGTTAGGTAGAACTAGATTGGTTGGCATGGTTGTAAACGAAAATCTATTGCATATACCTGATTGGCTGTTGTCTAAAGGTCATATTGAAGATATAGTCTATCACAATAGAGATCTACATTTGCACTTCCAACCGGGAACATTTCAATGGTTGAAGACAACCAAACTAAAGATAAACTTTTCATCAGAAGATATTGATGAAGGTGCACGTAGTTTGCCACTCGATGACCTAAAGTGGATGTGTGATCACTGTAATGAACAGTTTAGTGGTATGGCAATGTATAATGCGATCACAAACTCCAATTTAGAAGTTGCGAAATGGTTACATGAAAATCATAATGCAGTTGGTTCAGAGGTGGTAGATTATATAACTGTAAATGATGAAAAGAAAACGCTAGAAATGATAAAATGGTTTCATGAAAATAGAACAGATACACTCGGTCTCCATGTTATGGACTCAGCTGCTTCTTCGTCACTAGACATTGTCAAATTCCTTCATTTCAACAGAACTGAAGGATGTACTGAGAGTGCAATGCTTAACGCTCTAAAGGCAGGTCACATAGAAATATTCGAATTTCTCAAAGAGAATAGAACAGAAGGTGCTCCAAACAATCTCATAGAACAACTTTGTGCTGATGGAAATTTGGCGATGATTCAATATCTTCATAAAACTGGAAAAACCAAATGAATATCGAAATTGGTCACAAGCAATCAATAAAGCTGCCGAAAAATCACATTTACATTTGATAAAGTGGATTCATCAGAATACTCTTCATCGTTGCTCAAATGAAGCATTTAAATGGGCATTGTTAAATGGAGATTTTGAAATGGTTCAATATCTCATCAATAACAAACTTTGTTCAAATGATTTAGAGTCGATGGTGATTTCAAGGATAGGTTCTAAATATGGCGACATTCCAACATTGGATTGGTTATTGAAACAAAACATATTTGATCAAGCCAAACTTATTGAATGTGCCAATCAAAATTATGTAGATTTTATAGGTGCATTCTTCAAAGATTATCAAATTGATATAATAGATTATTTTAATATGGACATATTCATAAACATCAACGATTAATTTTAAATAAAAAAAAAACCTTTAATTATTCTATTGCTTTATCGGTTTAGTTTCGAAATCCGAATAAGTAGATTTCTTTCTTTATTTAAATAACATATGGTTGGAAGGATGTCTGGAGTGGACATGATATATATATATATTGATTTGTGGTAAGCAAACTATTCCTACTGGATAATAACTTATGAGTATTACCCAATGATCTATTATGGTAGTTTGATTATCATTATTATATTTTTAAAAAAAGAAAGAAAAAAGATAAATCTGTTTTTTTTTTTTAGATTTTTTTCAAAAAATGGAATAATGAAAGAATGTTTTAATAAGTGGTCAGATAGATTATTAAAAATAAATCACATTCTTTACAATTTATTTATTGTAGTGAATTAATATAGATGAAGTCAGAGTTATTTAAAAATATATTTAATAACATTTTTATTAGATCAAATATTTTCAATCAGTTACAAAATCAATCATATGGTCCTAGATATGAAAGATTCAAATGGATACAATTAGTTAATTCACCGATTCTATTGATACAATATGACTATTTCGATCTTTTTGTACAACATTGGGTCACCGTTGGTTGCAGTAACTATCACTACAAACAAATGAAATTGAAAGACAATTTGGATATATTTAATGAAGCAATCAGATGCAACCGATTAAACTTTATCAAGTGTTTCGTGGAACTCAATTTATTCGACCTTCCAAAGTATTCAGCAGAAGTAATATATATGGCAATGACAGAAAGAAAAAGAGAGATTGCAGATTATCTAGTTTTGACAAGCAAATCAGATTTTATTTGTAACTATTCACCATTGGATCTGATTGATGCTTGCATTTCAAACGATATTGAAACCGTCAAACTATTGTCACCAAAGGTCAACAATGATCATTACTATGAAGCTAATTCACCGTTGTTTCAAGCTGCTTTGAATGGTAATTTGGAGATTTTAGAGTGGCTATTGGACCATAGATTCGATGAAGCCAACTTGTTAGGTAGAACTAGATTGATTGGCATGACTTTTAACGAAGGACAAATTCACGTACCTGATTGGCTACTATCGAAAGGCTACATATTTGATATAGAGTATCAATTTTCAGAACTAAATATAGATTTCACTGTTAACTTGTATCAATGGTTGAGCACAACTAAACTAAATATCATCTTTTCATCACAAGATATTGATTTTGCTGCACAAACATCTTCACTCGATACTATAAAGTGGATCAGTAATCACAGTAAAGAAGAATGTACAGAAATGGCAATGTATAAAGCAATCACGCACACCAATTTCGAAGTTGCCAAATGGTTACACGAAAACTATACAGTTGGTGCATTTGAGATAGATTACATAGTCTCAGAGGATGAGAAGATAGCGCTAGAAATGGTGAAATGGTTTCATGAAAATAGAACAGAGGGATTCAGTAGTAATGTTATGGATTCAGTTGCTTCTATATCGTTGGACATTGTTAAATTCCTTCATTTCAACAGAACTGAAGGATGCTCCGAATTGGCAATGCTTAACGCTATAAAGGCAGGTCACACAGATACATTTGAATTTCTCAAAGAGAATAGAACAGAAGGTGCTCCAAACGATCTCATTGAACAACTTTGTGCTGATGGTAATTTGGCGATGATTCAATATCTTCATAAAACTGGAAAGCCAGATGAATATCAATGGCCTCAAGATGCATTCGAATCGGCTGCTAGAAATTCACATCTCGATTTGATAAAGTGGATTCATCAGAATACTTCTCATCGTTGCTCAAATGAATCGTTTAATTGGGCATTGTTAAATGGAGATTTTGAAATGGTTCAATATCTCATCAATAACAAACTTTGTTCAAATGATTTGGAATCGATAATGATTTCTCATATAAGTTCTCATTATTCCAAAATTGCAGTATCAGACTGGTTATTGAAACAAAATATATTTGATCATGCCAAACTTATTGAATGTGCCAATCAAAATTATGAGGAACTAATAGGCGCATTCTTCAAAGATTATAATATTTTTATTACAGATATTTGAATACTGCGTAATAAAAGTGATCAATTTTCAAAAGTATCGATTATTTTTAAATAAAACATTTCTTGTTTAATCGGTTTAATTTAATATTATTTTATGTTATAAGGATGGAAGAATATCTGGAGTTGATGGACAGAAACCATTGGCAACACCAGTACATTTAGCAGTGATGTAATAGAAGACAGACCACTCTATTGTGTAGATGGTGACTCCGTCTCTGGTAAAGGTTTCTTCTGGTGCACCCGATGCTCGAACATTGATAAGCTTGAGATAGAGGTGTTTACCATCAAAGTAGTATTTGTCAGAGGTAGGAGAGTTACGAACTTGGCTTACGGAATTACCTGCAGTCACATTGACATCATAGATGTCCCACCAGATATATTTAGCCTGAATATCAAATGTGGTTCCAGGTGGATATGGAATGGCCATGAGTACGTGGTGCTTCCAGGGTATCTGAATGATCTTTACCTCCATGTAAGAGGGTGTCTTTCCACCGTTGAAGTAGAGGTACCAACCTAGGTTGGAGCTACTGCTACTCAATACGGAAACACCTGTCAAGCCTGGATTTCTAGTGAATGGAGTTGAGCGACGATCGCTATTTGCCAAACCATTTCCAAAGAGTGATGCAGTTCCTACATAACTCCAATCGGTTCTGTCTTCGTCGTAGTATATGTAGTCGGGTACGTAGATCTCGACGTTGGCTATCTCATTGTTTACGGTCTTGTCGCACAACCACACAGACCACAATGCACTCCAGGTGCAAGTGGAATCGAAATTCCACCAATTGATATGCGAACCAACAATAGTTGGACGTCCACGTTTAGTAGTGGAGCCATCGTGATCAATAAAGTTATAGAATCTTGCGGCACCCGTATCTTGAGCAGTATAGTGTCCGATAATCTGAGAATCTGCAACATTAGAAAAAGAAAAATTCTTGGTTGCTGAAATACCCTGTGGTTTAAAGATATCACTGTGTGTCATCGATACAAGAACACGGTTATCACGCTGAGGATTAGAGCTCTCAGGTATCATAACATAGTTTCTAAATTGAATATTCGAAAGAATAGTCTGTACGTGAGTATCGTAGAATTGGAATCCTTGTCTAAATTGTAATAAATAGATAGATAGTTAGTTGTGTTTAGTTATCATTGTGTTTTCAAATAAAGGTTAACATACCTATCAAAGAGATAGTCGGTTTTGAACATGGATAGAGGGTTTTTCGATTGACCATTCACAATGGCATTTGAGAGTAATGCTTGACCGAATATAGTTGCCGGTCTGTGACAGTCGTGTGATTCCAGACCGACGATTTCAATTCTTTCACCCCAGTGATTGACTCCACTGTTTGAGAGGAATACCTTGGTGTTAGTATATCTCATCCATACGGGAATGTTGTTCACCGATCTAGTATCTCTAAATGTTCTACCGGTGTAGTAGATCAAGTCACCTGTAACAGTGCTATGTGAGAGATTACCACCTACGTAGATGGCACCACCACTTTCAAGCCAAGTATAACCCGATGAATGCGCAGAGTTTCCATCGAACACCAATATTGGTCTACCCGAGGGATTGGATGTATCGTTTCTAAAGTTTCCAATTGGTTTAAATAGATTTGGGAAGCTGAATCCAGCCCATCCACCAGAAGCAGCATTACCAATAAAGGTATTATAGGCATTGGTGATATAGAATCCACCAGCAGCAGAATCGGCAGGTTGTCTCAATTGGTCACTCTCATAGAAGGTTTCACCCTTTTGTGCAGCACCATCGGCTGGTCTACCAATAGTATTGACTCTGGCAGCAAAATTGTAAGAAAGAGTATTGTTTTCCTCTACACCATCCTCTAAATAGTAACAATGTCCAAATGTTTTAAAAGCTACATTTCTGGTAACTGTTACATTGTTGGTTCCCTTTTGGAATTGAATGAAACCAAGTTAGTAAGTAGAACAACTTGGTTTGTTAAATATACAACTTACATGAATAGTATAACAACGGTAGAAACAATCATAGACAGAGCAATCAGAGATAAATGAACGTGAAAGTGTCTTGGCAAGATGGAAATGAAGTGGATATCTTGCTTTGATATTCTTTTGTCCCATTTTCGTAAGCTGAACACCTGAAATCTGTCCTTCTCCCATCATCATGACATGACCTCCAAATTCACTGGCATCACTATCCGATGCACCTTTGAGAACGATACGTCTTGAAATTAGACCAATTTCTGCTTGGTATTCTTGTCCTCCATAGTGAAGATACTTTAATGGCTGTGTGAATTGAACGGTTTTACCCTGAATGGCGGCAATGGTCAGTACTTCATTTTCATCGGCTCTATCATCGTCAAACAGTTGAGTTGTTGTGACGACAACTTGTTGTCCGACCTCCCAGTTGACCGGATCCATCAAGTAGACTACCCTTTCTCCAGGCCATGCACTTGCAGCAAGTTTTGTCCAAGTATTGTGGTACTGTTTTCCATTGATACTCAAGAAACCTTGTGAAGAAACAGCAATTCCTTTGCTACCGAAAAAAGTTCCAATTGTGTCGGTCAGAGTTTTGGCACCGTTGAAAATGATATTGATTTTACCGTTGTAACGACAGAGTGGAGTACCAATAATGAGCTTTCCATTCACCATAATGTCACGAACATTTATTGTCATATCGGCATCCATGAAGATTAACTCACTACCGGCTGGAACAACAATTTTCTGGTAAACAAGGGTTGATGACATGGAGCAAGAGGAAACCAAGACTTTAGTGTTTGCAGGCAATGTAATGGTAGAGGAAGCGGATGGAACTGCACCACCCCAAGTAGCTGGGTCATGCCAATGTTTAAGATCACTTTGTAAGTAGGGACAGGTGGTTCTATCTTGACGATCGAATGCTGCCGAAGGTTTTGGAAGGATAACTAACTCTGAATCTTTGGTTAGAAGATTAGTTGGATTGGCAACAACAGGTGTAGAGGTAATTCTAAATCTTGGATTTCTAATGAAATAAGTAACTGGATAATCTCCGGTAGTATCAGTGCAATTGATTTGAAGTAAAAGTGAAGCATCACCAATATCAAAGGGTGGAGTAAACTGGATGGTTTTCGACACCCATGCGGTTGTGGAGCTCCAGTCACCGAGAATGGTTGATCTAACATGGATTGGGGTGGTATCCAACCATCCGATTCCCTCGGTATCAATTCGGTTTCCAAAGGCAATGGAAACACTCTTGATAGTGTTGTAGGTGCTCTGAGGTGCAGCTAGTAGGAAATCAAAGTCGAATGAATATTGTCTACCTTGTTTTATAGCTGGAGCAGGACTACGTAGAACCAAATTAAAATTATTTGGACCCCAAACTGAAGTAGTGAAATTCATGGCACCGGAAAGACTAACACCATTGGAAACACCACTGGCCATAGTTAGATTAGATTGATCAAACCCCCACTCGGCCATTACACGCCATTGACTATTTACATTCATTGGGACGACAGTTTCGGGATTGGATGTAACGATTGATGGAGAAGATGGAGTAGTTCCGGAAGCAACGGGTTCTCTCCAGGTCGGATCGGATGAGCATTGCACTAACAATGGATTGGTACCAACAGTCAAATAAATAGAATCTGCTGCTGAGACATACAAACTGTTCAGGGTTGGTGTGACTGATTGGTTACAAGTACCAGTTAAATTTCTACCGTTGGTAAAGGTTTCACAGAAACCATCGATCTTAGGTGTACCGTTTGTTTCTAAATTAATATTTCCACTATATACATCCTATAAATAGAAAGTTGAGAGTTAGTAAATGAGTTATTGAATCATATTATTATAGTTGTTTAATATTACATTAAATGAAATGGTGGCAGATTTCAAAGTTAAAATATTAATGGTTGATTGGTTGGCAATGGCAAGTCCATTGATGTTTACACTATTATGACTACAAATCGATAATGAGGAATCGATTTTTGCATTCTCCAAGTTGATTAAAGTGTTTACTTTACTATCAACACATGCATTGATGTTTAAGGATAATGCTTGAATCGATTGTAAATCAATTGAATTTCCTTTTTCAATGTTCAAGGTCAATGAGTTGAATTGGTAGTTGGTTGGAACACGAATATCTATTTTTATAGCAATATCATCAGCATTTAGTGTATATGATACACCAACTGAGATCGCTATAAACATGACAATGAATTTCATTCTACTCTCGGCTGGACTACCACTCTTGACTCCCATTATTAATCCAGTGAATAAAAGCGATATTATTGTGTAGATCGATACAACACCATTTCTATTTGATGAATTTAATTCACCATTAGTGGTTGTTGATTGTCCCTAGATATAATAGACCATTAGAATTGAGTATGATAATGCTATTAGATATTTTAATACTTACATTGCTTGTTGTTGGCGAAATTAAATTTGAAATAGTTATAACATCCTTATTGTTTGTAGAAGAAACAATATCATTAAAGTTTGCTGAACCTTTCAAGAGTGTTAATACAATTGTTGGTTTCAGAATACTATTATCTACAGTGAATACAACTGTCGTCTTTAGATTTTTAGATAAAAATAAATAAGATATTTGAATTCAAGAATTATAAAAGTTTGTTTTTTGGTTACCTCTAAATCCTTTGAGTGAATAGTTAGATCATTAGAAACATTCTCAATGCTTCCTAATAATGATTGTGATAAACAACAACCTATTCCTAAACTAATAACAAATAAAAATACTATATAATATAAAGTGTTCAGTCAGTCTAAAACCTTCACATGTTGAATTAAGATTAACAAAGTAGAGTAGATTCATTATTGATATAGATAGAGCGAGAGCTACTTACCAAATAAATATTTCATTGATTAAGATGATCCTGTAGGATTGGAATTTTAAATAAAATGTGGTGGTCTCATCTTTAAATAGTTATTTCGTTGATATTAATATCAACATGTTTATATATATTTTTAAATGGCTGGTTTCGAAAGATTGCATCATGATCTGGGTAATGAACACCCATATTTTTTTTTCTGTAACTTGGGAAACCATTGAATGAAGAACGGCTTTATTTGAAGATGTTTTTGCAAAAAAAAATCCAAAAAAAAAAAAATAAAGATGCACGCATTTTTATTCTATAATTCATGTGCTCTTCCGAATTAGGACGATTACACGTTTTTTGGGTTTTTTGCAAAAAGATTTTTCATCAAAATGAAACAAACCTTAATACTTGAAGTGCATTCGGAATAATCTCATCTCTTTGAATCCGAGCTAAAGATTTGTGGGTTTGGAGGTTTGGGAGAAAATCTAAAATGATTATTTTTTTATGTGTTTAGTTTTGATTTCAAGTTTTAATATACAAAAAAGTCTGGACGAATGTGTGCCATAGAAATTCTGGGAGAGGATCTGGGATGTGTGGGATCTGGTACATATTTTGTTATTAAATAAAATATCGGGTTATCGGCAAGACATTTTTGAACTAAGAGTTACCTAAACTTCTTGAAAATTAATTATTTTACTTTGAAGAATAAAGGATAAAGAGATATAGAAAAATCAACAAATAAGAATTTTAAAAATAAAATTTTATCAGTTAAAAATAAAATTAAAGGATAAAAATCTTATTTGTTGATTTTTTTTAAAAATAAAATTTTTTTAATGTAGTTTTTTTAAGAATTTTTTGAATTGTCGCAATAACAGTGGTAACTTTGACTGGTTATTGCAACTAAACATATTTGATCAAGCCAAACTTATTGAATATGCAAGTCAAAATTATGGGGAACTTGTAGGTGCATTCTTCAGAGATTATCATATTGATATTTTAGATTATTTTGATATTGATAAAATGTTTGAATAAATTAATAAATATGTATATCAGGTGTAGAATTGGATAAGTTTAGAATGCATTATTTTCATAAATAAATTATATAAATACTCTTTTTTTTTTGGATTTTTATTAAACTAAAATATTAATATTATTGTTGTTTTAATCGGTTGATTTAGATCGTAGTTTTCTGTTAAAGTCATATCCATAAATTACAATGAGAATCGAGTGTGCAATATAAATAGCTAAAAGTATTCCTAAGCTTAGTTCTTGAGCACCAGTTCCTTTTTTACCTAGTTTTTGAATTTGTGCAATGTCTTTATACTGAGAGGCGGTGTAATAAATAAAAAATGAAATTAGATGGATTGAAATTTGATTCAAAGGATTTTATATTTATAGACTTACAATGAAATTGGCACAAAACACACCAGAGATGAATCCAGTGATTAAATTAATATTGCCATTGTGAATATGTATGGTAGCCAACGAGATAAATGATAATGTGAGTAGTTGGAAAGTATAGACAGTGTCCGATAGTGAAATGAGCGCTAAAGTTAAGAGATGGAAAAATAATATTCGATATCCACGGAATGATGTTTTTGTGGTAGTTGCTACTGTGTTTGATTTACTATTATTAAATCTACTACCATTGTTAGTGTAGTTAGTGCTTTCATCTAAATCGTCGTTGCTTCCGGCGCTATCTACACGTCCAAGATTGTTACGCTTGTAGTGAGGTGGTGTGAATACTTCTTTGTCATCGGAATCGACACTGCTATCTCTATCTGAATTTGAGGATGCCGATGATCTCTTTGTCGTTGTCGTTGTTGTTGTCTCTAACGACTTTGATATTCTACTCTTACTCTGATTATTGGCAGTTTCTTCAGCCAACAATACAATATTTCTATATACTTGGAATGAATGGAAATAACTTGTGTTTTAAAATAAACATTGATTGTTATTAGTAAAATACTATAGAGTTTGGTGTCTATTCTAAATCATCTCTCTATCCTTACATATATGAAATCATTATCATTACTAATGATAATATTTCGAAATAACCAAGTGTAATTGGTCCGACCGCTAGATATTGTTGATTGCCAGAGAATATATTTTCAAAGCATGACGATAGCATTCCCAGTGTAAATCTAATGAGTGGATTCTGCTTGATGTCGTATGGCTTGTTGGATCGCGTAGCAGTGACTACCTCGGTTGGCACCAACGACGATGGTAACGACTGGTCGCTAACCGTCGAAAGCAGCAATTCCAATATGATCTTTCCGGTGTCCTCCAGAGAATCTGCATCCAAAATCGAGGGTTGATCTGTTATCTGATGATAGTCGGGATTGTGTCCGTAGAATGCATCAAAATCGGTGATCATGATGGTCGGGACCGACGCCCATGAAAAGGGACCGTCGTCGCTGAGGAAAGGAACCGATAGCAGATGATAACGGTGTGCCTGGTAGAGTAGCGACATTCCAAAGTGTGAACTACCAACTGTCAGTCCACCCTGTTCTGGTAGCACGCGATACGACGCCACTATTGCATGGTCGACAAGCCAACGCGGAGAGAAACGAGTGCGACCTTTATGCTCATACGGATAGGTCTGCAAGATGGGAATACCCGCCAGCCTGTGTCCCACGGCATCGACATTGATAAAATAGGCGAATTGCTTTGGATTCTTTGCTAGACGTGAATGGTCTACAAACGACTTTGATCCGAGTGCACCCGGTTCCTCTTGATCAAAGAAAACAAACATATAAGGTACTTCAAGTTGTTGATCCTGATCCAGTTCCTGTTCCTGTTGCTGTTGCTGTTGTTGTTGTTGTTGTTTTAACTTGAAGAATTGACCTATCAGTTCGATTAGTAAGCTTGTTCCAGCGAGGTTGTCGTGTGCGCCAGCAGTGCGATTCAGTCCCCAGTGGACAGTGTCGTAGTGCGCTCCGATGGCGCGAATCGGATGCGAAATGATCGGTGTGCTGTTTGACCATACGATTATATTGATTCCGGTCCAGGTGGTGGTGGTGATGTTCTTTCCGACGGCATGTCGCTCGGTCCATTCGAATCGGTTCCAAATGATCTGTTCTGGTGGCACACCAAGCTCGACCAGCTCGTCTTTGATGTACTCGCGTGCCAGCGACCTACTCTCCTCATAGACAAATCTTGAGTTTCCTATTTCAATGAGACGTTGAGTGTGTCCGATCACTGTTTCACCTGAAATACCAGTAAAAGAATGAGTGCTATCTGTTGTTGTTGTTGTTGTTGATGAGTCGAATGCACTGCCACTACTCGGTAGTACAGGGAAAGAAGTCCATCTCGTCAGAAAGAACAACGTCACCATACAAATGAGTACATGAATAAACTTAATATCCATGTTCACAAAGTATAGATATATAACTAATATACAATAACTTAACTCTAAAGCAAACACAACAATCTATTAAACTCTAAAGTATATCTATCTATTTTATAAATCTATATAAATATATATTTTTTTTTTTATTGTATGTAATTAAATAATAATTACTTGTGTGTTAAACAGGTTAAATAATATAAATATAAATAGAATTATAATTTTGGTTTAAATGTATAATAAAGTAATATACCCAAAAAAATTAAATGTGTTTTGATGAACTTAAAAAAAAAAACATAAAAAAAAAATTTACTGCAAACATAATAAATCAGTTGATTGAGTTGCCAATTCAGTTATGTATAAGATTTTTTTTTTAATTGTATACTTTGTTTTTCTAATCAATTAGCTCGAACTATATATTATAATTATTATAGTTGTGATCTCTATCTTAAAACGGATAACTTTTATATATGTTGGATTTTCATTAAACAATGATCGATTTTTTTTAATAATTCGCATGCTATGTTATTGATTAACGATTCAAACTGATGGGATTAAAATATTATTTATTTGTTTATTTAAAATTAATTAAATATAGTTTACAGTTAATTATTGTGGTTGTTATTGTTGTTGTTGTTGTTTAGAAAAATAAAATATTGATAACACAAATTAAAATAATTTAAAAAACAATGTTGTAATATTGACGATTGAGTTCAGAGTCACCCTTTCTTTTCGAGATATCTTTCTTTGCACCACTTAGCACCAATGCTTTATGAGTACTCTTCATCTTGTAGAAAACTTTGGTGGTTTCATCCGATACCTTTTCGACCTTCTTGTCACGGTTACGCAGGCATTCGATGATTGCCTCCTCCAACTCGCTCTTCAACACTGAGAAGTTGTAGTACTCCTCGAACTGCTCGTCGGTACTACGAATACGTTCCATTAGACGCGAACCAGCCTTCAAGAAGAGACGCGCCATTACAAAGTCACCTTGATCCGAGATCTTGGCGCAGTGCTGGGTGACCGCCATTCCGAGCAAACTCAGATTGGCACTGGTTTCTGCCTCCTTTGGTTTCTGTGTGGTCAGTTTCTGCGAGGAGATGACACGCAGACAACGCATGCCGTCGAGACGGGTGTATTGAATTTGTGTTTGGAATGGATATTCACGTTGGACATCTTTAGTGACACGAGTACGCAGTCCAAACATAAAAGTGAGGTCGGTCTGCTCGGTGACATTGGAAAACTCCTTCACGATACGACTGAGATTCGCTTTGGAGTCGTAACGAGTGAATTCCAGGTGTGGATGGAGGACGATGCTCAACTCGACATCGGTGGCGACCACTGGATTCTGAGTGAGTTTACGAATCTCTCTTGCCATCTCCAGTGGATGGATAGTGGTGACTGTACCTTTGGTATCTTCGGCGACACGACCAATCACACCGAGATCGATCTCACAACCACTGATACCGAGGATGCTGACCGAGGTCTTATTGTTCTTTGCGTATTGTGTGACCGCTTCGTAGAATGCACGAGCTGGAGCCAATGGAAGATCTTCAATCGCTCCCAATCCGACGTTTGGCATACCGTCGGTACAGATTACCACTTCACCGAGTGGACGCTGTGAAGCAATGGCAGCGGCAATCAAGAGTGATGGACCGAGTGCAGTCGATTGCACTGGCTCCAACGATTTGATTCTCTGCTTGAGTAGAGCGTTGGCTTCTTTGACGGTTGGAAGCGATGCGTATGATTTCATACTGGTTCCCAATCGGATGAGCTCATCGTAGTCATCGAGCTTGTCACCGGCAATAGTGATGGAATCTTCTGCCGATTGACCGTGAATGACAACCTCGTCGGAGAAAGTGATCAGAACGACACGACGATTTGGACATTGAATGACGAGACGGTCCAACATCGTTGGAAGCGATGATTGGACACACTCCAGTCTGGAGATGTAAGATGGACCGGATGGTGCCGATCCTTTGTTTCTGAGATTCTTCCATTCGCTCTGAAGTTGTGGCACCTCAGTGGTGATACCCATCGAACCAGAGACATCAATGCAATAGACAATGATGGATTCTTCCTTTTTGTGCTCGCTGACATTCGGTGCCGACAAGATATACTCAACGGAATCCTTACCTGGAATCTCTTCTTTATCGATTCTGAGATTCTCATTGACTTGCTTGCAGAATTCACACTCCCAATTGTAGGTGTTGGTACCTGTCATCTTGAGATTGGAATAACGATTGAGAATAACATTGCAACCGAAACACTTGATTGCATCACCTGTCATCATTGGAACTGCTGAAGTCAATGAGGACATCGAAGAACACAACACATTGACATCCAACGCTTCTGTAGAAACTTCACCTTCGTGATTTTTCTTTGGTTTTGGTTCTTTGGAAGATTTGCTTCCAAATAATTTACTTAAAAATCCACCACTACCACTAGATGAGCTTGAAGTTGTAGAAGTTGATACAATTGGTTTTAATCCATGAATTGTACATTGTTTTCTATATGAATCTTCAATCTGAAAAAAAAAAAAAAAGAGATTGGAAATTTAATAATTATTAACTTTTTAGATTTTTGGATAATAAATTAACTTACAGTTGGATCATATTCCTCAATGAAATGACCTTGAATGAATTGGATGATGATTGCACTCTTACCGACACCACCGCTACCGATGACAACCACTTTGTACTCCATACGAGAACGTGGGGTGATACGGACGACCTCGAAGAATGCATCTTCGATATTGATTCTGGTTTTGGCCGATGTCTCAATAAAGAGACACTTCAAACGGCGAGCCAACGCTTCACCCTCGCCTCTGCTGACCTGACGATGTGAATCCAAATCGATTTTGTTACCGACGACAATCACTGGGATCGAATCGCTGTCCTTGACACGCTCGAGATGTCTTCGCAGTGGTTCGACCTCCTCGAATGAGTTACGGTTGGTGACATCGTAGACAATGACATAGCAATCACCGGTTCTGACATATTGGTCACGCATCACCGAGTACTCCTCCTGACCTGCTGTGTCCAAGATATCCAACAAACAAGTGGCCGAGTCCAATTTGGAACTGACTTTTCCATACAGCGATGAACTGGCACTGGTATTCTTATAGTCCAATTCCTTCTCGTCGATCCACTCTAATTTCTTTTCATGAGTTGGATCTACTAAAACATAATCTGATACAAATTCCATTTTATTTTTACTTTTGAAATATTATATGTTTGGGAAAAATTAATTAAAAAAAAGTCTGAAAATTATTGATATGTTTTTTAAAAAAAACGTTTGATATTTATATTTCTAAATATATATAAGAAATTATTATTCTTTATATTATAAAAGTTAAAGGTATGATAATAATATAATTAAAAGATTAAAATTATATTATTTGAACTAATTACAAAAGTGTGAGCGATACTAATTTACAAGGTTTATTTTTATTTATAAAAGATAGATAGATATATATAATTTATCTGTTATTCTTATTCTATATTATAAAATAAATTACTCGAGTCTTAAATAAAGTTGAAGATTGAGCAAAAATCCAAAAAAGATAAAAAAAGCAACAAAAATTTCAATGAACTCATTTTTAAGAAATTATTTTGATCAAAAAAATTTTACTTTTGTGGTTTTTTTTTTTGTTTTTGTGTTGATCAACCACTTTATCCACCTAACAGATTTAAAAATCTAAAAACAAAATAAATATGTTCCAATTATAGAGTGAAATAAATATCTGATTATCGTTTATTTTGTTTTGTTACCATAGACATTGATTTAACTGTTTTAAAACCTTTGTTGAACTGTTAAAATCATTTGTGGAATGAAATTTGAGTAAAAAGTAAACAATAACAATAACAGTAACACCTAAACTGTTTTGATATATATTAAAATTCAATATATTTGCAAATCAATTATTATTTTATTTGCTTTTATTAAATTAATTATAGAATGTTGTTTGTTTGTTTGTTATTAATGGTGAATGATCATTTACAATTGTTGGATGTGATTGATTGATTGATTGTTTGAATGGTTGATTGTTGAATGGTTGATTGTGCTGTTATTGTTGAATTTTATACAAAATTGATTATATATATATTAATATTAACCTATCTATTACTTATCTATCTATCTATGTATCTATTCTTGATTCTTGTAGAAACGAACGATCCATTCACAGATAGCAGCAGGCTTTGGATTGTCTTCGATTTCAAAAGTTAACTTGATGACAGCGTTGGCACCACTGGCATTCTCTACCAACTCTTGCAAGGTGAATCTGCATCTGAGATTGCAATCCACTGGCACTGGTGAGAGGAAACGAACTTTATTGAATCCACAATTGATGAAATATTGAATTCCTTCGATATTGGGCATGACTTCCTCTGCAAACATTGGTGCCAACGATAATGTTAAGAATCCATGTGCAATAGTTCTACAATTAATTGTGTATTAAACAGTTCAAATTTAGTTAGGTATGACCGATCAAATACATTAATATATAAATAAATAAATAACACAGGTAACTTACCCACCGAATGGAGAGTCAGCAGCTCGCTTTGGATCAACGTGAATCCATTGGAAATCACCGGTTGCCTCTGCAAAGTCGTTGATACGATCTTGAGTGATCTTGAGGTATTGTGTGACACCGAGATCCTTGCTAACGTAGGTCTTTAATTCGTCGAGACCCTTAAGAGTTCTTGTATTCTTTTGGTTTCTTTGTGTTTGTGCACGAACGACCAACTCTGACAACGATTTGGCAGCAGTGGTATTCGATGCGACAACACCGTCTTCCTCTCTCAAGTGTTGTGAGATCACTTTAATTCTTCTTAGTTGTTGTTTATCCATATCTAATCTAATCTAATCTAATTTAATCTAATTTCCTATTATTAATTAATTAATTAATTATAATAATAAAATGGTTTGGAATGATGATGAAAAGAAAAACAATTTAATATCTCTCTAATAAAACACTATTACAAAAAACATAAATATAAAAAATTTTAATGATGTTTCCATGGTGTGATGATTTGTTTTTGCTGATTGCTAAAAACGTAACGTTTTTTTCAAAAATTTGAAAAATAATGTGTGTGCCAGAATGGGGTTTGAATGAATGTCGATTAATGATTATCATATTAATTATTAACAATTTTATTGATTGAATTATATATTTAAAAGTAATGGCATCATTGGTCAATAAATTGAAACAGGTATTCTCAAGAGGTAGATTATCGGTTGGTGAAGATGTATATTTCGATTCACATCACTATCGTTTCCCAGCTCCTGGGTATGTTATCATTAAATAGGAAAAAAAACAACAATCACATTATGAAACTATCATCTTCATCAATCATAAAACAATAAACAACAGTAGCTACAAAACAAAAATACAAACAAACAATAACAAAAGTAATAATAATAATAGCAACAGCAGCAACGAACTAGTGACAATAAATACAGTGTTGCTAAAACAACAATATTATATGTTGTAAATGCATTCAGAATCAGAATAGATAGTTAGTTTAGTTAGTTAGTTAGATAAAAAGAATATACATTTTCGTTTTGATGATTTGATAGATAGACAGACAAGACAGATCATTAGATTAGATTGGAATTGTATTGTTGATTTGAAATTGATGATAGTTTCAGTTCAGATTTAGTTAGTTAGTTAGTTAGTTAGAAAACAAAAGAAAAAACAACAGTGTTAAATATTAATATTATTGATTTAATGGTATATTTTAGATCACAACCACCACCCGATGTAACACACAAAGTACCATTAAAGACAAGATCGATGACCAAGATCTACAAGTACTTGAAGAAGAGAGGTGAAGTACAACATATGCGTCCAACACCACAGTTTTCAGATATTTCACAGTCCGATGCAGATGTATTGCGTGCACAAGAGTACTACGAGAAGGAACCATACCCAGTGACCAAGCCAATTCCACGTGATCAAATGGTGTTGTTCAACGAGATCAACGGTGGTCACGCATACGACATTCGTAACGTCAACAACTTCCTCACTCATAAATCAGACCTCGAGATCCCAGGTGGTCTCTCTGCAGAGCGTATCGTATTCACCTACCAAGAGTACAACATCGATACATTCGATCATATTCCAAAGAAAGTTGAAAATATCTTTTTAAATTCATTCACTTTCTTTGTTTGATTTATAAATAACATAACATAACATAGCATATCATATCAAATCATTAACAAAACATTCACATACACATAAACAACAAACAACCTAATCCTCATATTACTTTTTTCTAAAAAAAAAAAAGTAGAATTAGAGAAGAATCGATCTCAAAACAAAACAAAACAAAACAAAACAAAACAAAACAAAACCTCAAAATATAAATAAATAATTATAGAATTGTATAACAAAGATAAAGAGCATTTAAAATCAATTAACTGTTTATAAACAAAATAATACAAAAACAAAACAATCTAAAGATACTTTTGAGTGTTCAACCAATTTGTTTACCTCTAACAAGTTCATTGTTGTTATTGTTCAATCTTGAGTTTTTAAGAAGATATAATTTTTTTTTAAGCTTAATTTAAAATATTTCAACACATGTTGGATTCTTCGTTCCTTCACTCCTGACTAATTAATACACAGCAAAAACACAATTCCCAAATAATAATTGTTTTTAAAATATATAATTTTTATTTCTATCTCTTTTTCATATTTTATTTCTTTTTCTTTTATTTCTTTCTTTTATAATTAAAGTAATTTCAACTGATAGAGAGAAGTAAATTAAAAAAAAAAAAAAAAAATTATAAAAAAAAAAAAAGAAATAAATTAAGATCTTGAAAATTTGAAATTATTAATATATTTTTTTTAATTAAATAAATATATTTTTATTTCATTCTTTATTTATATATATATTATTACATAAAAAGAGAATAGTAGAATATATAAATTGTATTTTTATCTATGGTTATATATTATTATTGTTATTTTATCATAAAACAGTTTGTGTAGAAAGTAGACAGACAGATAGATAGGATAGTAGCTGTAGTAGTTTTTAGAGTTATTATATAGTATTGTTATAGCTACAGTTATCGTTTAGGTTGAAACAAACATAAAAAAACAAAGAAAAAGAGAAGAAAAATGGAGAAACCATTATATCTTTCAGATTCAATGGCGAATCTAATTGCAAATCATGTAACTACTCTTGAATTGGACAAGAGTTATACAATCTATAATTACTTGGCTACTCTTAACAATCTTACGAAACAAGCAACCATCTACAAATCAGAGGGTGATCTTGAGAAAGCATATATATATTTACTAAGATTTTGTGTGTAAGTTATATTATAACTAATTATCTACTAAAAACAACTATTGTAAATTGATAAAGGGTTTAACATTGATATCATTGTATATTATAATATATATATTATAGGTTTACACTTGAGAAATTGCCTATTCACCCAGATTATAGTAATCCAAAGTTTGCTGGTTCGAGAGAGAAGCTAAAGAAAGATGCTGTCGATAAACTCTCAGAGTTGGAATCGATGAAAGCCAACTTGACTGGAAGATACAAGAAGCTGCATCAGCATCGCTATAAGGTGGAACAGGAGCGATTGGCTAGAGAGCGTGAGGAGCGAGAGCGACTCGAGAAGATACAGAAGGAGCAGGCCGAGAAGGAGGAAGAGGAGCGCAGACTACAGGCAGAGTTGGCCGAGCAGAAACGATTGGAACAACAGCGAAAGCGTGTCGAAGACCAGAACCAAGAGGAGCGTGATTTGATCAAGCGACGTATCGAGACCGAGAAGAGTCTGCGAAGAAACAGACTGGAGCAACAGGCACTGCTGATTCGTGCCGAAGCGGAACTGGAGGAGCGACGTCAGCGTGAGACAGAGCGACAACTGCAAGCGCAATTCGAGCAGCAACAGCAACAACACAATCCAATAGTGGATATCGTTAGCGATCCAAATTCATTCATCTATCAATCCAATGAGGTGGAAGTGGAGACACCCGATACCAAGTCACCAACTCCCATCATCCCTCTAAATACAGATGATCTACTTAGTTATTTGGAGATCAATGAAAAAGAAAAGAATAACAATAATACGACAACATCAACATCTTCTAATTTCCTTGTTGATCCAACTTTTGCAACTCCACCACAACAACAACAACATGTAAATTCTTCAACAACAACAACCATTCCATCACCAATACCTTCTGCACCAATTGCTGTTTCAGCTAATAATAATAATAATAATGGTGTGAATGACATGTCACAGTATGATAGTAATCATAAGTTTGGATATTTGTCAATGGACCAACTGGAGAAACAACAACAACAATTACATCAACAAAGACAACCAATACAAAGTGTAGCATCACCATTACAACAACAACAACAACCACAACCATTACAACAACAACAAGCTGGTCCATATCATCAATATACTCAATATGCACAAGTTTCACCTGCACCTTTATCTTTACCTTCACCACAACAACAACAACAACAACAACAACCACCTTATTCATTTAATCATCATTTCAATGCACTACCTCAATATCAACCACCTTTTATCAATCAAAACAAGAATCAACCACAACCAACATATCTACGTTCACCACAACAACAACTACCAACTCATCAAATGCTACCACAACCACCACCACAACATCAACATCCACAACAACCACACAGAGTTGGTAATGCCCTACCAAATAATACACAAACATATTTGTCCTTGGCACAACAACAAATGCAACAACAACAACAAAAGAATATTGCAGTTCAAAGTACAAATATGTCACCAGTTGTTCAAACAGCTACAACAGCAGCGGCAGCAGCAACATCGTCACCAAAGCCAAATATCGATTCTTCAGAGGCATCCAAGAAGTATAGTAAGCTGCGTAAGGTAATCATAGGTGCAGAGCTTTTCAATGATTTTATGAAGATGGCAGAGAATAACACTCGTCGTCAGATAGAAACCTGTGGTATTCTCTCGGGAACGCTGAGCAACGATGTATTCAAGGTGACAACGCTCATCATTCCAAAACAAGAGGGTACCACCGATACCTGTAACACTATAGAGGAACACGAACTCTTTGAATATCAACTCGAAAATGATCTGCTAACTCTCGGTTGGATACACACACATCCCACACAAGATTGTTTCCTCTCGGCAGTCGATGTCCACACTCATTGTTCCTATCAATATCTCTTACAGGAGGCTATCGCAGTCGTTATAAGTCCAATGGCAAATCCAAAGTATGTCAAATTAATAATAACAATAATAATTTATTTACCACTTATCCGTAATCATACTAATAATAAATTAATTTTTCTTTTAGCTTTGGAATATTTAGATTGACAGATCCACCTGGAATCCAAACAGTTCAAAAATGTAAATTAAAATCATTCCATCCACATCCACCAGTGAATGGAGTTCCTATATATACAAAAGTGGATCATGTTGAGATCGATTGGAAGAAGCAATATTCTTGTAAAGTTGTGGATTTGAGAAATAAGAAATAAATGATTTAATTAATAAAAATGTTTTATTTCCATTGTTAACTATTATTTTATCAGCAACAGCACAGTATTATTATAATTTAATTGCCATTTAAACACTTTTTTTTTTTTCCCTTCCTTTTTTTGATCAATTTTTAAATTTTTAAATGAATCATTAACTAAGCCCAACACCACTTAATTTAAATAAATAAATTCAAAAAAAGACTTATTGGAAGTGTCTTATTCTTTTGTTTAAAATTTATTTTTTATAAATTTATTTATTTATTTTTTTTAATATATTATTTACCTTTCAAATTCATAATCATGGAAATTGATATTGGTAATAACGGTAGTGAGATTGATGATGCTGACGATGACGATCAAATGCAGATAGAGAAAGAGGAACATGAAATTGAAAGCTTAAATAGAGATATAGTTAGAAATGTATTGTTAAAGAGTAGACAGTATAGAGCGATGCAGACAGAGGGTCATCATCAGCTATTGATGTCAACTCAAAAGATGAACATGGCACAGAAAGCACTCTATTTCAATCATCTACAATCACAGCTATTCAATCAAGGCAATCTACTTCAGTTTGCAACTGACGATGACAACAGTGATATTCATAGTTATTATAGTAATAGCAGCAGTAATAGTAATTCCAATAGATTAAGTAGTATTTTCATTTATAATGAAAACATTCATAATAGTAATAGTAGTAATAACAGTAGTGGTAGTAATGGTGATGATTATATAGATGATGTCGATGATGATGTTCATAACGATACAACTGTTCTCCTCACTGATTCACATGATTATGAAAACTTTGATGATGGAATGGTTGAAGAGAATATGTTCAATGGAAATACAAATGGAAATGGAAATGGAAATGGAAATGTAAATGGTAGTTTCCATATCAACAAGAGTATTGCCATGAGTATGAAGGATTTCGAAGAAGATACTGAGCCTATGGATTTAGGTGGTGGAGATAGTCATAGAGAAGAGGAAGAAGAAGTAAATAATATAAATCTAGTAAATCAACTAAACAAAGTTACCAATGAAGCACTACAAGATAAGATTACTCTCAATGAAACTAGTGTTGAAAATGATGAACCAATTTCAATTTCAAACCCAACACCAATTTCAATTTCAAATCCAATAAATTTGAAATTGGAAAATAATAACAGTAGTAACGATGATCAACATATAAATAAAGAATCAGAAGATCTACTACACCACCAAGATAATAATAATAATTTAGATAGTAGTGGTAGTATTAATAAACCTGTAGAAGAAGTGGAACCAAAGAAAGAAGAAACAAAAAGACAACCACTTTCAATTACTCAATCGAAACCAAGAAGAACAGGAAAGAAACAATGTGATTATTGTGGTGACACTAATCCTCTCTATTGGAGAAATGGTCCGAACGGTTTGAAAACTCTATGTGGAGATTGTGCACCAAAGTGGGCAGATGGAAAAATACATGTGCCATTAAGGTCGGCTAATGATGACGCTGTCGTCAGTCCCTCTGAGGAACCGGTTGATGAAGTTCCACCTCCATCCGAAAAGCCAGCTAGACCAACCAGAAAAACAAACAAACCACCAGCACCAGCAGAGAAACCATCAAAAGCGTCTGCCAAAGCAGTAGCTAAGTCAGCGGCAGCCAGAGCAAGCAAGCCACCTGCACCTGCCAAAGCACCTGCTAAAACAAGAGCTACAAGAAAACAGACCGCTGCTGCTGCTTCTAATGAGATTCCATCTCAGAATGAAACGGGATTGCCTGTTGAACCAACAAGAAAGCGTCCAGGTAGAAAGAAAAAGATGCCGGTAGAGGAAATAGTAGTCGCAGTGGAACCTATTGTAGAGCCAGAGGAGGAAGACGAAGAAAAAGAGGAAGACGAAATAGAACAACAGATCAATATTGTTAAAACAAGAGCTAGAAATTATATAGAGAAAAAAGAGAAGAAAGTAAAGGAAAAGAAAGAGAAGGAAAAGGAAAAGAAGGATAAGGAAAAGGAAAAGGTTGAGGAGAAAGAGAAAGATAAATTAATTGTAAATAATAATATAAAAGCCAAAGTAAATAATAATAGTAATAGTGGTATAAAAGTTAATAATAATAATAATAGTGAAAGTAAAGTAGATCCATTAAGTAAATTTAAATCAGTTTTGAATCAGGTAGCATCAAGTCTAAGAGCTAATAAGGAGAAGCAACAACAACAACAGAAAGAGAAGGAAAGGGAATTGGAGTATGAACAAGCACAGGCAAGCAAAGAGATCAATTCTGACCATTGGACAGAGGAAGAAATCAATAATTTTAATAGTGCGCTTAAATCATCCAGACCAACAGATGTCAACTACTGGCAGAAAGTATCTAATGCAGTTGGAACTAAATCCGCTGAACAATGTCAATTATACCAATCGAATAAATTCTCTACTCCAAGTATGTTGTTTCATATATCAATGTTGAGAAACAAACAAACTAACTAAATAATAATCTTGAAATTATAGATAAAAAGCGAAAGAAGGAGGCAGAGAAAGAGAAAGATCCATCACCATTTAAATTGAATCCAAAATCATTGAATACACTAAAGACTAAAAAGAAACTAAGAGAGTTTATTGAAGAGGTAATAATATAATATTTGTATGATTTCTTTATATTTATATAATGATGTTTATATTAACATAAATTAAAATACAATCACTAGCAAACAAGATCAAAGAAACAGAATTTAATTGATACAACACCATTTAAGAAGATGAATAAGCAGTTTATTACAGATGATAACGACTCATCGATGGAGGATCTGTTCGACTTGAATTCAAATGGTGATAATAATCAAGAGGTTGATATTAATAGTAATAAATCAAATAACAACAACAATAACAACTTAGTAAACAAAGAAGTAGTTGACAATGATTCAGTTACACCACTAAAGCTAAACAAGGATTACTGGGGTAGTTATATCCATAGATTTACCAATCAAGTTGTAAGTATTTCATTTCAACAGGCAAATAATGAGAAATACTAATAAAAAATATTGTAGACAAAAGAAAAGAAACACCAGCTTAAGCATCAAGCATCAACGACATCTACAACAACGACAACATCTACAACATCTACAACACCCAAAAGTGTAAATAGCAAACACCATAGTAAACCAACTAGAGAAGAACAAATTCAATCTTTGATGGTAGTTCAGAAACTGTCTTCGCAATATCAAAAGAAAAAAGAAAAACTTGACAATCCAGACGACGATGATGAAGAGGAAGATGATTACTTTACTGACGAAGAGAATAGCATAGAACAAGCTTTTTAGATAATAAATAAAGTAATTGCTGTTTGTTATATTGTTTATTTTCAATCTACTTCATCTTCTTCATCGTCCATCGATATATATCTTCTAGATTTACTCTTTGATTTCTTTGTAGCACCGTAGTTGAATCTAGAGGTGTAGACCCTCTCGTGTTCACGAATATTGTCGTCATCCTCGAAGTAATGATTCGCTTTTGTATATGTACAGTTGTCACACATTGTTTTGCATGGCTTGGTTTCCTCCCCGAAATACTCCATCAACGATACTCGCCTACATTCAGAGCCAACACAATATGAAGTTACCGTATCGATATTCTCTGTTTTCGATTCCATAATCTTTTGATACTCCTCATGTGATTGAGCAACAATCCCCATTGTAGATATCTTTAACATCTTTCTAATATCATTCTTATTATAATATAATATACAATCACTAAGTTTACCATCTCTTCCCTATAAATATAATTGATTAGTAATTTGAACTGATTATCAGTTGATTATTGTCAGTTAGGTTACATACTGCTCTACCGGTTTGTTGGTAATAAGATTCGATTGAAGATGGAATAGAGTGATGAATTACGAATCTGGTGTCAGGTTTGTCTATTCCCATTCCAAATGCAATGGTGGTGCAGACTATCTTGAATTTACCGGTGATCCAACGCTCCTGAGTGTCTACACGTTGTGCTGCATTCAGACTGGCATGGTAAAAGTCAACGCTCAATCCACGATCGGTAAGATACTCACACAGTGACTCACACTCTGCAATGGTAGAGCAATAGACGATACCAGAAGAGTTCTTATGATTCCTGTTGACAAAGTGATAGATATCGTTGAAACAAAACTCTGGCTCCGTACTCTTCTTTCGCACCTCGTACTTTAGATTCGATCTAATAAAACTACCACGTATATTGATAGTATTGTGCATCGATAGCTGCTGTTTGATATCCAGCTCCACCTTTGGTGTAGCAGTGGCAGTCAATGCAACAATCGGTATATTAGGAAACATCTCTCTAAACTTTGACAGCTTCCTATAGTCCTTTCTAAAATCGTGTCCCCATTCCGATATACAATGTGCTTCATCTATAACCAACCTCTTTAGCTGTGATGTATTATTTAAATGTTCGAGAATATCTATGAACTATAAAACACAAAAACTAGTTAGTTATATATTGGCTTTTATGATGTATTATTTAAACTTTTTACTTACTTCTTGTGTTTTCATACGCTCTGGTGTTACATAGAGTAGTTTATATGGACATCCAGCTGGATCGAGTAGTTCTTTAATGATTTTCTTCTTCTCAGAGACGGGAACTGAACTGTTGAGTGCACACGTTGGTACGCCAAGTTGGAGGAGTTTCGACAGTTGATCAAACATGAGTGCCAATAGCGGTGAAATGACAAGTGTTACTCCAGAGTCTATGATGGCGGGCAACTGGAAACACAGTGATTTACCACCACCAGTTGGAAGACTGACGAAGGTATCACGTCGGTAGAGAACACTATTAATAGCATCGGATTGTAGTGGCCGCAGTCTTTCATTGCCAAACACCAAACGATTGCAACCTTCGACGAATCTATCCCATGGGAATGCTTGGTTGAGTGGCGATTGTTTTGCATTCTCTGGTGTGACAGTTAGTGGTGCATCCTCTAAATCCGGTAGATCCACTTGTGTTGGTATCGATTCTAATAGTTGTTGTCGGTAGTTTATCCACTCTTTGAATCTACGTATTGCATTTTCATCCATTGGTTTATGAACTACTCTCTTTGGTGCTTTTGTAGTTGTTGTAGTTGTTGATATCTTTTTGACTTGTTGCTGTTGTTGTTTCTGATCAATGATGATATCAGATGAAGTATAATCAATGGGTGAATCTATCATAGTCATTTGATTGTTTATCAACCAATTGACATCGTGTGGAATAACACCATCGATGTTTGTCTGATACTCTACATTGTGTTGATCTTGTTCAGATTGTTCATTGATCTTGTTTGATTTCCTTGATTTTCTCTTTACTTTACTACTATGATTATTATCACCAGTCATACTAGGATGCAAAACAACTTCTTCATTCTCAACTGTGATACCACCACTCTTATTGCTACTACTACTACTCTCCAATAACTGTAACTCTAACTCTTTCTCCTTTTTTGTCTTTCTCTTCCTCTTTGGTTTATCAACTATACTATTATTATCATCCTCTTTATCAATGGATTTTGATTTTGATTTTGAAGATAAACTTGGATGATATTCGATGGTATCATTATTATCATTTGTATTTAGAGTGATATTACTATTGTCTTTAACCTGATCGTCATTAAGAGTTGATTGCAATTGTACATTCTTCTTCTTTCTTTTCTTTTTCATCAAGTTTGTCAAGTTGCCATCATCTTGGTTGTCACCAGTCTCGTTAGAGAAACCAGATAATCCTTTTTGTAACAATCCAAGCCTGTTGAGCAATGATAGATTGGCAGTATCGCTCTTTGTAGTTCTCTCTTGTCCAGTTAGTACACTCGTCTTCTTCTTATCTCTATCTAAAACACTCTTTGTTTTGAAAGTTGATTTGTATTCATAATCTGTATCATATGAGGTATTACAGTAAAAGTTTTGTTGTTGTTCTAATGGTCTTCTTTCAATTCGATGATGATTTACAAGAACACTACCCAAAGTATTCAAATGAACAATGGTTCTTGTGAATCTGTAACAATTTAACATTAATATTTAATTAAATATTTATATAGATATATATATATATATGTCAAAAACAAATGTTAAATTGTCATATGACATTCATAGTTTTCAGATTTTAAATTTTGATTCTTTTTTTTTTGTTTTTTAATTATTTACAGATTTTTTAAAAACAAATATTTAAAAATAAAATAATTAACTAGACCTTACTTGTTTAAATCATAAATATTAATTATTAGATTGGTCTTTAGAGAAATCATGATTTCTCTTTTTTTCTAACTATTTATAGATATTAGATTTTATTTTGTGTTAGGAAAAATTATATTTTTTGATCAAAAAAAAAGTTGTCAATGCCAAGAATAACTTTCTTTTTTCACCGAATGGGTTTCCTTACCTGTTTTTTTGTTTTTTTTTTCTATTGGTATTCATGTCAAGATTGTTGTGTTTTTTTTTCTTTTTTTAGATTTATTTTGATTTTGATTGTTGATGGTTCGTTTCCTTACAAAGTTTTTTGCAACAAAAACCCTTGGTGTTCCAAATCAATTCCATTATTTATTTTTATGATGTTGAACAAAAAAAAAACAAATATTTTAGTATTATTACTTGTTATTACTTTGTGTAGTGAAATCGTAGTATCACAATGTCCTCCAAACTATCTTTTTGATTTAGCTAAAGGATGTTATAAATCGGATTCTATCACTTCATTCAAAATTACTCTTGTAAGTATAATAAAAAATTAATATTTAATAAATACAAAATTAAAAAAATAAAAATATTAATTAATTAATTTTATTATTATTATTATTTTTTAGTTTAAAAACTATGCAGCATTAAGAAGAAATTTATCAAAGCTACAACCATCGTTTCCTGGTTTGGAGTTAGTTTCAGATCCAGCTAATCCTGTCACTGTTAATGTTACCAATGGAAATATTCCAATCACATTTTGCAAGGATCATGGTGAAGACCAAGGTTGGCTTGTAAACGACTATCCATGGTCAGGACCATGTATAAATGGTGACTATAACTCCTATAATCTAACTTTCAAAGCAACACAAGCTCAATCATTTTTGTATGTATCTTCCACCTTTTATTATCAATTAGAAAACTAATTTTTTTTTTATTTTTAATTTAATTACTACTATTATTATTTTAGTGGATTCTTCCAATGCTCAAATGGATCAAGAGTATATGCTGGAATGTGGGACAGTCCAACCGCTGGTAGCGAAATCTGTCCTAATGCCAAAGTCCAAAATCAATACGCTATTTACATTGGTGCATTCCAATGTGGAAACTGTAACACCGGTACATGTAACCAGTTAACCAATCGTTGTGAATGCATATCGTCTGCCTACTCTGGAAATTTCTGTGAAACATGTAAGTCCTGAAAAAACAAAACAAACAATTGGTAAAGTCTTGTTAATTAATATATTTTTACATTTCTCAATCAAAAGATACCAATCCATGCACTCCAAATAAATGTGTAGATCCATCAGCAACTTGTGTAGAGTCTTTCGATTCCAATGCGTATAGATGCTTTTGTCCAAGTGGATATGTTTATAATAAAAATACAAGCAAGTGCGATGATGTCAATGAGTGCGACCAAAATCCTACTATATGTGGTACAGGACATTGTCGTAATGAAATTGGTACTTTCACTTGCTATTGTGACCAAGGATATACTTATGATCCACAAACCATGAGCTGTGTCGATACCAACGAATGTCAAGTTAATCCAAACATCTGTGTAGATGTAAATGCCACCTGTGTCAATGACAATCCACCTACTTTCTACACCTGTAACTGCGCCTCTGGATATCAATATATTCAGGCTCAACATGCTTGTGAAGATATCGATGAGTGTAATTCTATTACTCCACCAGTTTGCGGTGAAGCACTATGTGTAAATACTGCTCCAGGATACAAGTGTACTTGTCCAAATGGCTTTAAATTTGATACCGACACAATGAAGTGTGTAGACATCAACGAGTGTGAAGTAACACCAGATATCTGCGGAACTGGAAACAATGCCAAATGTGTAAACGAAATACCTTTCTATGAATGTGTATGTCCATATGGATACTCTTACAACCGCCAAAACAAGACATGTAATGACATCGATGAATGTCAAGACAATCCAACCATTTGTGGAACTGCCAGTTGTAACAATACAAAAGGATCATATGAATGGTAATTATATTATTATATTTCTCTTTTAATTTATTTCTTTTCAATATTAATATTTCAATTCTTAGTTTATGTAATAATGGATTTGAATTTAATAATGATTCTAAGATATGTCAGGATATCAATGAATGTAGAGTATCTCCAACTATTTGTGGAGAAGGTCATTGCCAAAATGATGATGGTTCATATCATTGTACTTGTGACGATGGCTACCAGTTTGAGAATGCCACCAAGAAGTGTCTGGATATCGATGAGTGTACAACATTAGAACCTATTCAAACTTGTGGTAATACCAATACGACTGAGTGTAAGAATATTCCAGGTTCTTTCAAATGTGAATGTGTTATAAAGAATGGTTACAGTTATAACTCTACCGTACAGGAGTGTGAAGATATCGACGAATGTGTTGAAACTCCAACTATTTGCGGAAACGAAGCCAAATGTAATAATTCCATCGGTTCATACGAGTGTACCTGTGAAAATAACTTTAGATACGATTCAGTCAACAAGGTTTGTGTCGATCCAAATGCACCATCAACAACAACTCCATCTTCAACAACCTCAACTCCATCCTCAACTACTTCAACTCCATCCTCAACAACAGATGGTCTAAACGAATCATCGATAATTTCATCACCTAAATATTTATTGCTATCAACTTTAATTATTTTATTATCTTTTATGTAAATTAAATTAAACTAAAAAAATAAATAATAAAACCAATTATTATTGTTGTTATTACCATAATTATTATTATTATTAAATACTATATATTTACAATTTATTTGACTATGATGTGTTTATATTATTTTAAAAATTATTGAAACCAATCCATTGGTCTTAAATCCAATGTATGTGTGAAATTGTCAAATAAGAAACAGTAGCCAGCCAATACAACGTAGCCAATGACTATCATGGTGTATTTGTGACTGAATAGATTGATACCGATAATATACATGACACCACAGAATCCGACTTTCACGAGGAGATGTAGTATATGTTTCTTTGGGAAACTAAACATCAGCTCCAGCTTCCGTAGACTCTTGAAACCGTAGATAATAAAGAGAACGAGTGGCACCAGATAGACCAACGACGTCAGTATCAGTAGCATCGAGATTTCAGCGAGTGTCGGTTTCGTCATGATGTCCTTCACCTGATAGTAGAACACCGCGAAATCGTAGATGACCAACAACACCGTCAGTGCGTACGGAATGATTCGTTCCACGAGATGATAATCAAAGCCAGCCAAACCCTGCGCGAAAACAATGAGGTAGCCATTGACCACCGCCATTTGCAGCAGGTTTATCAGTGTCGGAACGTACCAGGCGACATTGCCCTCCAGGTACGGAAAGATCGTTGCTGTCATAACGATGTTCATCGTCAACCAGAACGCACTGAACACAATGAAATGCTTTGCATAGCTCCTCAAGAGATAGATAATGAAAATGAACAATACCACCACATTGATAATTAACAATATAGATGTAAACGCTGTTGCAACTGTATAACCTTTATCCATTTATATAAACTATATATATCTCTTTATTCTACATCTAATTATTATTAAAGTAAAAAATAATAATAATAATAATATGTCAAGTTTTTTTTACAAAAAATAAAAACCAACTCTCTTTCGACTTTTCTAGATTGGGTGGTATTTTTTTTTTTTTATAGAATTTTGTAAAAACATGCAATCAATTGGGGGTATGAAATGGGCAAATCATCTTAATAAATGATCTTATTCGGTCTAATTTAAACTAGTGGTTTTTTCAGTGAAAACAAAAAAAATATAATAAAAATTATAAAAAAAAAAGACGAAAAGGTGAAGATGGTCAATCATTGATCTACAAAAAAAATAAAAAAAATAATGAAATAAAAAGATAGAGTGAAGTAAGTACTTGTGTGATAATAATAATTTGTTTAGTTAAACATCTGTTAAAATTTGAAAAAAAAATGTATAATTAAATTTTAGTTTAATTAATTTTAATTTATTTTTTTGGAATAACATATTTTAGTGATACTAATATTACTTTTGATAGGAATTATCAAATTAAAAATTTATAAACTATTTAAGCAAATTTATAATCTAAACCTTTTTCAGAAGCTAATTTCTCTTCTCTTTGTATCTTTCTTTGAATTGCAACACTGTATTTAGTCATATCTGGAAGATATATTTTGTTGGCTTCGTTGTAGATGTTGGTGAATGCAGGTCTTTCCCTTAGTCTGAGAAGATAGGCGACCAATGTTGGATAGTCTTTCAATTGTCCGACCAATTCTGCGAGAACCATTTGATAACCCAGGAGAATATCGACAGCTGTGAATTGATCACCAAAGAAATATGGCTTGTCACCAAGATACTTTACGAGGAATGGTGCAATTTCGAAATGCCAAGCATTCAAATTCTTGGTAATCAGGTTCTCGTCTCTCATTGGTGAACCTTTTTCATTGAGGAACTGATAGAACAACTGTGCTAGATTTGGATAGATTTGGCATGGACAATTCAAAAGGAATTGATAGAATTGTCCACGTTCTTTGGCATCTTTCCAGTTAGACAATTTCTTTTCAGTGTCATGCTTCTCCAAGAGATATAAAAAGATTGCTGATGATTCAATCATAGTGAAATCATCTTCTACTTCAATATAAAAAGGAACCTAATAATATATTTTTATTAATTATTTATATTTAATTAATTATTTTAATATATATAGTAATCTTATTATACCTTTCCTTGTGGATGTTTTGCCAAATGAAACTCATCTTTCAAATTATCGAAACCAATAATTTTAACTTGTACTTTTTCACTAATACCCAATTCTCCGATCAAGTTGGCAACAACTGATGATACAAAATATGGCATATGATAAAGAATAGCTGACATTTTTTTAAAATGGTTATTGATTTGTTTAATTAATATTTATATCTTTTATATAAATTTGTATATTTGTTTTGTTTGTTTAATTTAAATTTGATTTGATGAAATTTCATTCTTTTCATTTATCTATTTATATATGATTAGATTTGATGACTTTCTGTTTAAACATGAGTTAACAAGACCAGGTTCATAAACCTTTAGAACTTACACAAAATGTGGGTTACATGTGGTTAATATTTAAATCCTGGTTGAAAAAAAATGATCATACACCCCTCATTGTCAACCCCGAAAAAAAAAAAAATAAAAAACTAAAATGTACATTTTGACTATCTATGTATTCTAAAACTCTTAATAACCGGATTATTACGTAATGTTTATTTTTAAATAAATGAATTAAATTTATTAAATTAATTTAACGATTTACAACAAAAAAAAGAGGGTTTTTTATAGATATTAATAAATTAGTTAATAATACATTTGATTTTAGCTTTGTACTCTTCTTTCAGGCATAACGGACTATTTCTTCAACTAAGTTTCTGTAAATCAACTTTCTTTTATGCTGAACACTCTTGATATACATATTTGAACGTTGATTTGTTGTCATAAGTAGTTATTATACTCATTGTTTATATTTCTATAGTAAAGATGACTCATTGGAACTGTAAGTATTGAACTGTTGAGTATTTATTCCAATTTTGTTTGAAAATAATAATAAAAACAATTGAATTCAGAGAAAAGTTGATATCCAATCAAAATATCTATGAAACAAAATTTTGATTTTTGTGATTAAAACCTCATGATCTAAAGACTTAACTATAGTTATAATTATCTTTTTATTATTATTATTATTACGAATTTAATTAATAATGGATCAACTAAAACTATTACCAGATGTTATTGTTTTTGAAATATTAGATCGAATTAAAGAGAATGTAGATAAAATATCGTTTGTGTTGACCGCCAAAAGGTATTGGATGTTACGTCGGTTTCTAAGATTTACAGTTCCCAGTGTTTTGGAAGATGACGAGCAAATGTTGATTCATCAGATTTTCAATGTAAAGTCACATCTCCGATCATTCGAAGATCAGAGACAGCGTGCTTCGTCATATATCCATTATGTTACTGGAAGGGATCTAAACAAAAAAGAAACAACCAATCCAACCTTTGGCACAAACTACACACATGTTATACTTCATAATGCCAGAAAGGAACAGATCTACTGCAATTCACTACCAGAGTGTTGTGTTCATCTCAATGTCGGTCATCATTATAATATACCTTTTGACCAAGGTATCTTCAAAAACAATCGGCGAATACAATCAATTACGTTTGGCTACTATTTCAATAGACCTTTGCATGTACTCAACCTACCGGTGAATCTAACATATCTTCAACTTGGTGCGTCATTCAATCAGAGAATAGCACCAAACACTCTACCTACCACCCTAAAAACACTGATATTCAAAGATTATCACTCGAAATTAGATTTTCCATTTGAGATTGGTAGTCTTCCTGCGTCGTTGACAACTCTTAAGTTGGCAAGCTACTCACATCCGATCGAAGTTGGCATTCTACCTTTTGGATTGAAGAATTTGGTATTCAGCGATAACTTTAATCATCCATTGACAGGTTCCATTCTTCCTCCTGGCCTGACAACCCTGAAACTAGGTTATAGTTTTCAGTGTCAAGTAGATCTGCCTCAGTCACTTACACGTCTGTCATTGGAGCAATCATTCGGTAGTATTCCTACAATTCCATCGACCCTAAGGAAACTAAGTGTATCTGGTGATATCAATACATCTCTCACAAACTATTGTCATCTCATCGATACTCTTACTATCTATATGGAGCAATTCGACCACCAAAAACTAAGTTGTTTCAAAAGACTATCAAAGCTATACCTGTATAATGTAGAACTATTGGATAGCAGCTTGGATTTCATCGTTCCACCAACAGTGAAAGTTCTGAGTATAGAGGATGGAATAGTTGGCTACAGAATTATCTTACCACCGTCATTAGAGAAACTTACAATCAATGACCCATCGGTTCTGAAATACCAATCGCTACCGTCCACCGTTTACTGTTTCAAATATTATGGAAAGGGAATTTTCGATTTCAGTAAACTTCCAACGACTGTTCAACACCTATCGTTTAGCTGTGAACATTGGCAGCATATTAGGTTTACACCAAATATCAAGAGAATCTCCAGTCGCATTGCACTGATCCGTTCAAGCATGAAGTTTCAAGTAAGAGTGCTCAGTGAGGATACAGTGCTTCTAGTATCGCCAACCGTCAACGGTGGGATTGTTCAATTAGATACATTAGGAGGAACAACGTTGAAATTCAGCCAGTTATTTAGATTTTATTTTAAATCACTTCAAGCTCAATTTTCACTTGAACCAAGGAAATCTTGATAGTTGCAGGTTGCAAATTTAATAAAAGTCTTTTAGAAACTTAAGATTTATAATAAAATATAACTTTGATATTTTAATTTTATAATAATTATCAAAAAATGTAAGATCAACTTTAAGATGGTCTGATTTTAATTAATTTTTTTACAAAAATACTAAACCTTGAAAAATCAACCTTGAAAAATCTGCAAGGTCATGGTCGAAACCACCTTTGCAAGGTTGGAAAAAAGAGATATTTTTAATGAAAAGTCAGACGAGTTAGTCCAATTACAATATATTTTGATTTAATTCAACCTAATTAGAAATTTCTTTAAAAAATTCTGGGTAAAATCAATATTTTATATTTATCACACTTGAAATCTAAAGATTTTTTGAAAAAATTTAACTTTATTAATACAAATATTTAATTTATTACAGATATTATTATATTATATATACATACAAAAATGAATAAATCTATTTTCATTTTATTTTTTATTGGAATGTTATCTGCCTCCACTATTTATGTGGCTGCACAATCAACCACTATCTATATTGATGCGAAATCAACCAATGACTCTTTGAGTTGTGGTACCGATATTACAACACCATGCAACAGTTTGAAATCTGGTATTGCTGCCTACAACAATTTGAAAGTAAATACTCCATTGGTATTGTCTATGAACCAAGGAAACTACGGCAGTCCAAACAATACAGACCTCAATCTCTATGGAATGAATGTTGCATTCCAACAAACTACTGGTGCCATCCAAACCACATTTATCGATTTGTCACAAAACAGTCAATTCATTACTGTTGTCGATCCAGTTGGTGGAGCCGCTCCAACCGTTTCCACCACTACTTCTATCGCTATGAACGGTATCTATGTAGCCAATGGTAATGCTACCAACGGTGGTTTCATTCAGATCTCTACCAACACCAATGTCTCACTTTCAATCGTCAATTGTGAAATCAAATCGCACACTGCTAGCCAGAATGGAGGTGCTATCTATGTCCAATCAGAAGCCAACTACAACAACGTTCAAATCAATATCCAACAATCGCAAATCGGTGCAAACAAAGCTGCTATTGGTGCTTTCATCTTCACTAGTAACAACACTCAATTGTACATCAACGGTACTTCCATCTTTTTGAACAACGCCACTTCCTCGAGTGTCATTGCTCTCACCGGAGGTAATTTCACATTCAACCAAATTACATACAATGGAAACAACATCTTGGCCGGTTCACACTTTGTATTCAACCAAGTCCAAGCAGCATCCTCCGTCTCCCAATCGACTTTCAACGAAAACCAGATGGCCACTCCAAACAAAGGACCAATCAGCTCATTGCTCTCTGCTTCGTTCTCCGTTGTAACTTTCAACAACAATGTATTCACTAACACCTTGAACTTGGATGTAATCTACGCCAACCTTTCACTTGTCAATATCAACTACTGCAACTTCACACTCGGTATTAGTTCTGAATCGATCGTCCACCAAGACACCAGTGCTCTCAGTATCCAGAACTGTCTATTCAGCAACAATACCGTTTCACAATCGGTTGTCTATGGTTACCATTCGAATCAATTGGAAGTTAGCAACTGTACATTCGCCAACAACACCTTTTCGAGCTCAAACGGCTCCTATGAAATCGTTGTAAACCAAGTTCAAACCGTAACAATTAAAAACAATAATTTCGAGAGATCCACAAGTGAGTCCTCTGCTTCGATCGGTTGCACAAGTAGTGCCATCACCGTGATGAACAACACCAACGCATTGGTAGATTGCAGCCAATCGAGCTGTGACATCAGTGGTGACCAAAGTAAATGCCACGAAGACAGCGACAGCTCCAATAATTCCAATAATTTATTCAATTCCAAATCAATCTCTTTAATATTCTCACTTTTTATTTTAGCTATTCTTTATTAAGATTGATTAAATAAATATATAAATAAATAATTTCTTTATTTTGACATTGCGAAGATTACTCTTACTTACTAAATTGATCTATTTTTTTCATTTCTTTTTTTTTATGATTGCTTTACTTCAAATGCCATTCTAAGTAAGCGGAATATCTTTTAAAAGTCTAACAAAAAGTTGAAAGTAGCGTGGTTGTCGTCGTCTTATTATAATTCTAGGGTAATTACAACATAAAAATACAATACTATATCATACAAACATTGAAAAGCAATATAGATAAACAAATAAATAAACAAATAAGCTTTGCTTTTTGTTTGTTATATATTAAATTAAATATGCTATTATTATTATTATTATTATTTTAGTTAAATCTTCTTTGCGATATTCTTTTGAACGTTTATATATGGCATAACGATAGATTTCAATTTCTCGTAGGCAGTTTCTAAAGTATCGTTTTCAATGGCTTCATCAAAGAATCCATCTATATCGAGATAAGTCATCTCTTTCTTTGCTGTTTCCAATCTCTTTTTAATAGTTTCCTCTGTTTCAGATCCACTGTGATATTAAAGTATTAATATGAGTGTGCATACACTTTGATATATGTAGTGTTATGTTTTGTTTTGCTTTGCTTTTACATACCGTCCTCTTATTCTTGTTTCCAATATCTCTAATGAGGGTGGATAGATAAAGATGAATTTACATGGGATATTTGCACGTTTGACCGATTCACAACCTTGAACATCGATCTCCAACAGACAGATCTTACCCTTATCCAAGACGTCTTGCAATGCCTTCTTTGAGGTACCGTAGTAGTTTCCGTGTACGTTGGCACTCTCAATGAACAAACCATTAGCAATGTCCTTCTCGATAGCCTCGACAGTTGTGAAGTGGTAGTTTACACCGTCAACTTCACCTGCTCTTGGTTTTCTGGTAGTATGCGAAACACTGAATCCAAAACTTCCAATGAATTCACTCTTTAACTTTTCTATCACTAAATATAGCAATGAGAATAATAATAATAATAATGTAAGTTTATCATATGATATGATATCTATCTATCTACAAATCAAATTAAGTAATATAACTATTTGTATGTATATATATATATATCTATTTATATTTATCATATCATATCTCATACATGTTCCTTTACCAGCACCGGATGGACCTGCAATAACAATTGGTATTAATTCTACTGTTTCCATTTTATTGTTTTTTTGTCTTTTTTAAAAAAATAAATAAATACTACTATTATTACAATTACTACTAAAATTATATTTAAATAATTTGTTGTTGTTGTTGTTGTTGTTGTTGTTTAACTTATAAATAGTTAATAATAATAATATTGCTATTGTATAAATATAGAAATTTAAACGTTTTAGTGGATATTATTGTAGTGCAGTTTGGTGTAAACAGCAATAATTCAAATTGAGATTTATTATTATTGCTGTTTCATTAATGGATTCTCTCTATTATTAAAACCACACCTTGACAAAAAACGAACAAAAAAAAAAAATAAAAAAGAAATAAAAAAAATCATTCAAATTTTTTACTTTTTTTGAATTTCCTTGTTTTCTGTGTGTTACATTTGCTGCTCCAATTAGTTGTATTAATAAGTTAGAACTGTGTTTTTTTTTTTGTTTTTATTATTTTTATTTTTATTTTTCATTTTCATTTTTAAAAGTTTAAGTTTTTTATTAAACAAAAAATAAAAACAGCAAGGCAGACATAATAAGAAAAGAATAGAATCATAGGAAATATATAGGACCGACATTCATTCATTCATTCACATCAGTAACCATTAATTTTTTATTATACACATTTTTTGTAAAAAATCAATTTCACAAATAATAAATATAATATATATAGATAGATAGATAGATATAATAAATATAACATGTCGAAAGATGTTAAAGTTGTAGTATTGGGACTTAGTTCTGTAGGAAAGAGTTGTTTAGTACATAGGTTCATTTCAAATCAATTCGAACATACTGTTATGGTAAGTTAAGACAATTATCTACTGCTTCATTTCATTGTCATTTCAAAGATTATCTTTTTTCTTAATGTTTTTAATAATAATATTGATTTATCTTTTGAAAAATAATAGACTGTAGGTGGTGCCTATTCAGCTAAAAAAGTTAGTGTAGGAAATAACACAGAAGTTTTATTAGGAATTTGGGATACTGCTGGAACTGGTATGATGTTTTAATTCAAACTTTACTTTAATGTAGAAACTAACCAAATATAAATTTGATTTCGAATCAATAATATAGAACGATATGAAGCGGTAAATAGATCATATTATAGAAGAGCTAGGGCTGCCATTTTATGTTATGATTTGACAAACTCTGCATCATTGGATAAAGTTAATTTTTGGATAGAGGAACTGACTCAGAATGAACCGAATATCGATATTTATATTGTAGGAACAAAATGTAGGTTTTATCTCTTTTCTGTTGTGTTTTCATCATCATCAAAAACAAATAGTAACTAATCTCTCCTAATTTCAATTGGAATCGATAATCAAGTGGATTTAATTAGAGACGGAACGAAACGAGCAATCAGTCAACAGGAAATCGATATTATAGCAGAGAAATTCAATGCAGTGGCCATCTTTGAAACATCTTCGAAAACAGGAGAAGGTGTTCAAGAGCTACTACAATCGATCGCTGATAATTTTTATAGAAAATATCCCAATGAAGTCAATGGTGATCAATCAGGTGTAAATATGTCAAATAATCAAAAGAAATCAACTTGTTGTTAAATAATAATAATAATAATAGTACATTTTCCAAAATCATTTCAACTTTTTAATATAATATAACATAACATAACAAACAATATAATAATACAATAAGTAAAACTTGAGTAGTAACGATAAGTGGAGAGAGTTTTTCTATCCGTTGGATAATTGAAAAAAGTATCATCACCAACTACACTTTACAAATATTTCAATCAATCAAACAAATCAATCAACCAATCATATCATTTTTATTTAAAATTTAAAACAAAACAAAACAAAAACATATAAACTTAAAAGAAGAAGAAGAAAAGTTATACATCTTTTCTTTTCTTTTTTTTTTTACTTTTAATATCCTTACAATCAAAAAATATCGATATGATTTTTCAGATCTTTTTTTTTTTTGTTTCAATAAGTTATTATTTATAAATTTATTATTTAATAAAACAAAAGAAGAGAGAGTAGAGGTAAAGGAGGGTGTAGGTATATGATTATTATCTATATTATATATTAATTATGTTTTGTTATTATCATATGATATTGGGTTGGTTTATGATTTATTTTTTTTTTTTCTTTAAACTTGTGCGGTTGTGGAGTGATGTCCGTTGGATGGTTGTTCAACTTTCTTTTTCTTGTGAGATTCTACGTGGTGTTCGTCGAATTGTTCTTCCTCGGTTGAACCGACCAGTGCAAGTGTCGATGATTTACCACCAGAGATAACCTGTGAAACGTTGTCAAAGTAACCGGTACCGACTTCACGTTGGTGACGAGTGGCAGTGTATCCCATCTTCTCCAGTGAGAACTCCTTCTCTTGGAGCTTGACGTAGGCAGTCATACCCTTTGATACGTATTCGTGTGCCAATTCGAACATCGAGAGATTCAAAGCGTGGAAACCAGCGAGTGTAATAAATTGGAATTTGTAACCGAGCTTACTGAGATCCTGTTGGAAGGTGGCGATCTGCTCCGACGACAAGTGTTGCTTCCAGTGGAACGATGGCGAGCAGTTGTAGGCGAGCAACTTTCCTGGGTATTTAGCGTGGATTCCTTCAGCGAATTTCTTGGCGAGCTCAATGTTTGGAGTGGAAGTTTCCATCCAGAGTAGATCGGCGTATGGGGCGTAGGCGAGGGCACGGTCAATGGCAACTTCGATACCCTTGTTCACCTCAAAGTAACCCTCGATGGTTCTCTTTCCATTCAGGTGCTTCTTGTCTCTTGAGTCAATGTCGGTAGTCAAGAGGTTGGCACCGAGCGAATCGGTTCTGGCAACGATAATGGTTGGGGTACCCATGACGTCGGCAGCCAAACGAGCGGCGGTAAGTGTTCTAATGTGTTGGCTGGTTGGAATACAGACTTTTCCACCCATGTGACCGCACTTCTTCTCAGAGGCGAGCTGGTCCTCCCAGTGGACACCAGAGGCACCGGCTTCAATCATGCTCTTCATGAGCTCAAAGGCGTTCAAAGGACCACCGAAACCGGCTTCAGCATCGGCAACGATTGGAGTTGGCAAGTAGCTGTGTTCCAAGTTTCCTTCGCTCCATTCGATTTGATCACGACGTCTCAGGGCATTGTTGATTCTTCTGACCAGCTCTGGAACACTGTTTACGGCGTACAACGACTGATCTGGATACATCTGACCGGAGGTGTTGTTGTCGGCGGCAGTCTGCCAACCACTCAAATAGATTGACTTTAGTCCGGAGCGAACCATCTGCACGGCTTGGTTACCGGTGAGCGAACCCAATGCCGGAACAAAGCTGTTCTTATCGTTCAACATCTCCCAAAGCTTCTCGGCACCCTTGTGGGCAATGGTGTATTCCTCTCTGAACGATCCACGAAGACGGACGACCTCCTCTGCAGTGTAATCACGTTGGACACCCTTCCATCTTGGATTGGTATCCCACTCCTTCTGCAACAACTTGGCTTCTTCTCTCATTCTATCTTTAATCAACTGAGTATTGTTTTTGCTATCCATTTCCATGACTTTATATATATATGTTAAAAATTAATATTAATATTTAAAAGAAAGATAATTGAATGTACGTATTATTGTTTTATGGTTATTTTTTCGAAATTTAGAAATTACTGGATTTAGGTTGGATTGTTGAAATAATGAAATTTAAATAAATGGATATTTATACAAAAATATTGTTGTGGATGGAAAGAAAATCAAATCCTACTAAAAATTTTATTAAACAAAACAAAAAAAAAAGAAGAGTATACAAGAAACAATAATATTTATCAAATTAATGTAATTTAATAATATAGATTAAATTCTAGACGATTAAAATAATAATCAAATACTTGAAATGATGATGTTGTATATATGTTTGCAATTTTTTTGAATAAAGAAAAAAACATTTTTTGTTATTGAATGGGTTTGGAAAGAGATTATATTGTAGGTAGTCCACTCCACTTCGGTCAAACCACAAAGTTTTACATTAGATTTAGAGGTTGAGTGTAGTAGTAGTAGTTGCTAGTACATTTACTTTGATCATTTGACTGAGAAACAACCAAGCAACTATCCAACAACAATAACAACAACAACCAATACTAATGACAACAACAACTTACCAAATTTGGATTATTTATTAAAAATAATATTTATTTCTTTTAAATAAAATAAAAAATGAATAATAATAATAATAGTAATAAGACAAGATGAATATAGTAAAATTATTGTTTTTATTATTTTACGCTATTGTGTATACAAACTAATAATAAAACAACAACAACTACAAACCAAATGAATTTATATTTGATGCAAATGATTTTAAATTGAATTCAATTATTATTAATAAAATGTAATGAAATGTATTAGTTTTGGTTTTTGATTCTTTCTGAATAAAATTGATGGTACGTGGAGGAGTGAGTAGGTAGTCGAACATTGTTAATGCTGGTTTTGTTATATGATGATATGAATGATAATACAATCTACAAAATAGAAAAACTACATCACCAACACACACACACACACACTAAACTATTTCCCCCACACTGAATCCAACAATACACTGAAAAAAAACACACATTTCACCACCACAAAAACTCACTCTTCATCTCTACCCAATACTATTAGCAATCTACTACTATAACAAAACAAAAATGTTGTTTAATTTCATTTTTTTCATCTCATTTCATTGTATTTGAGCGATACTTAAATTAAACATTCGTGTGTTTTGGGGAGGAATAAGAATAGAGGAGTTTAATATTTGAAAAAGAAAAAAATCAAAATTCCATGTACATTTTATGAGTATTTTTTGTAAAACATATAGAAAAACTACAAAATAATTACTTTTGATAATTTTTATTATCAATTATTTATCAAATTTGTTATTTATTTCTTTCAAAATTCTAAATTTACTTACTTTTATAAAGTTTTTTTAAATGTATGTGTACAAATATTTGAAATTGAAATTGAAATTTATTAGGTAAAAATGATAATAATTAATTATTAATATTATTAATGATAATATATATATAATTTAAATATACAAAAAGATTATTTTATTTGTTTGATTTGGAATTTGAATACAGAGTTAATAAATGGAATTAAAGTTGTTGAGGTCCTCACTATAAATAGAATTCCATTTGAAAAAAAAAACTTGTAAAATGAATGCTTAATTTATGATTAATAGCTTTTTTCAAAGATAAATATCTAAATGTGACATTATATTTCTTCTTTTGGATTGCAATGTCCACACAAAACTTTATTAGATGGTTCAATTTCAGTGTGTTTAACAAAAAAAAACAATGTGTTTTATTTTGAAATTTCGGGCACTTGAAAAAAAATTCAATCATTGATTTACTTTTTTGGGCAAACTGCATAAAATTACATTAATCTACAAGAAACAAAGTAAAAAGGTACTCCTATTACTCTTTAGGACAATATTAATAATTATATAAACTTGATTCAAATTTATTTATTCCGAATATTTTGTGTAGAAAAAAAAAAACAAAAATATTTTAATTTGATTTAATTTTGTTTTTAATAAAGATAAAATCAATCATGGCATGTTATGTTTCATTCTATTTTGTAAAAATAAACGGCAATTTGTAAATTATCAATCCTATCTTTTTTTTGTTTTTCGATTTTGAACCGTGAACCCATGGTGTAATAATCGTTTCAATTAAGTATAGTTCCCACTTGTCTACTTCCTTCTCCATTTTGAAATTGACATCAATTTAAGACTAATTAGTAAATTTAGAATTAAATCTCCATTGGAAATTTGACATTTACCATTATTTTTGAATCAATTCAAAAACAAACTTATTTATTAAAAATTATTTACAATTATTATCATGATTTTTATATCCCCATCATAATAATAATACAGATACAACTTTTGTTCTACAAATAAATATTAATGAATGATTGATTACAAGATATTTCCTTTTTTGATATTATATTTTATTTTATTTTGTTTTGTTTTGTTTTTTTTTTTTAGTTTTTAAATACTTTAATGTTTAAAAAAATTTAACTATTAAGATTACTATCTTTTATTACTTAATTCATTTTTATATTTAATAAATGTAATGAATTTAATGATCATCACCCAATATGAATGACTTTCAAAAAAAAAAAAAAAAAATTAACAAAAAAAAAAAAAAAAAACAAATATTTAAATAAATTAAAGTTCAAACATCAATTGTCTGTGAATTATTTGATTTATTGTTAGAATAATCACAAAATGAATGTGAGGAAACTTCAAGGTAGGTACTTACAAAACAACAAGTGCACTTTTGTTGATCTTCTTCTTTGCAACTAGATTACAATCAAATTTATTATAAATATTTATATAAATATATATATATAATTGATCATAATCACCTTTTTTTTATATTATAATTATAATATAATATTTATATAGAATTCAATGGTCAATTACTCTATAGTTAGATGTAGATTGTTAGATAATTAGTTTATTAGTTAGATAGAAAGAAATCAACATTAGATAGATAGATGATTGAATTTAGCTAATATATATATTAATATATCATTTATAACTATAAACTGTAGGTGAAATCGACAAGACACTAAAGAAGGTGGCAGAAGGTGTTGTAGAATTCGATGCTATTCTGAAAAAGGTGTATGCTGCCACAAGTTCAAATCAAAAAGATAAATATGAAGGTGATCTGAAAAAGGAAATAAAGAAACTACAGCGTTATAGAGATCAAATAAAGAATTGGTTAACAAATAATGAAGTAAAGAATAAATCATCGCTATTGGAATATAGGAAATTAGTTGAACAGGTAAATTTCAATCAATCATCAAAAAAAAAAAAAAAGAATGGAATAATAATAATAATTATACTGATTCATTTCATTACAATTATAATTTATATTTATTGGTTATAATATATAATAATAATCTTTTCAAATTCAATCAATTAATCAATTAATCAATCAAATCAATTAGAAAATGGAACAATTTAAAGCGTGTGAAAAAGAAACAAAGACAAAAGCATACTCTAAAGAAGGATTGGGACAAACACCGAAGGATAACGATGCGAAAATACAGGTTAGATATTGGGCAGGCAAAGCAATCAGTAGTCTAAAGTCGCAGATCGAAAGTTTCGAAACCGATATAGAGAACATACCCGTTAGAAAGAGAAAGACAGAGTCGTCCAAAGTGGAATCCATACAAAAGTATCTGGAACACCACAGATACCATCTGCGTGCACTCGAACTACTAAGACGTGCAATGGAAAACGACAAGATCCCCGCTGAGGAAATAGAAAAGATAAAAGACAGTGTAGAATATTATATCGATAACTATGAGGTAAGATAATACAATATGTTCATTCTATTCTTTCTTTATTCTCAATAGTATATCCGCATCCGGGGGCATTCGCTTCGTGTTTCATTCAATTATTAACCAACTAACTCTACACTATCATATCATTTAATATAATAAACTACAAACAGGATGAAAACAATGAAGAACCAGAAGAAATATATAGTGGATTCAATTTGAAGATATCGACTACCAGTTCGGGAGATGACGACCTGGATCTGTCGATGGACGAGAGCGACGACGATGATATTGGACTTTCGTCGGATTCCGATGAGAATGAGAATGGAGATAGTGGAAATGGTGGAGATGACGAGAGCAGTAGCGGTAGTAATATTGTGACGCCGTCGGCAACTCAATCGTCGTCACCAACGATCGCGCCACTACCAACACCCAGCGCGTCCACTCCGACTGCCACCGCATCGACAACTGCCACCGCCAACAAACCAACAAGCCAGAATCAACCAAATCCATCGCCATCACTGACATCTTCATCATCGTCCACCAACATCAACAATCCCGCCAACAAAATCGAGAGAATCTCGTCGCCACCCGCTGTCAATATTAGTTCGAACAACAACAACCATCCAAATACACAAACTATCTCCTCTTCTTCTTCCAGCACAACTCAGCCACAAAACTCGAGAAATTCAACACCTTCACCAACATTCTCGTCTGTAACTAAATCAAATATCAAAGCTACTCCAGAGTCGTCCACTGCAGGAACCGCCAGCGGAAACAACAGTAAACCCGTTGGTCATCAACCACCACCACAACAACAACAACCAAATCCACAATTGTCAACACCACCACAACAACCACAACCAAATCCACAACAACCATATCCACAACCTAATATTAATTTACCAGGCAATCTGCCCATGGCCCAACGATTGCAGATGCATCAGCAACAAGTCACTGCTGCCGCCCATATACAACAACAGATGGCAGCACAACAACAAGCTGCCGCCGCCGCTCAACAACAACAACAACAGCAACAACAACAACAACAATTTAACATGCGAAACCCAAGAGGTGTTGTACAACAATATCCTTATCAACTTAAAGATGATTTAGATAGTGGTAAGCAAACAGATATTTACTAAATCTAATAACACATTACTAATATTATTATCTATCAGTTAAAGATTCACTTGGACAAATGAATTTATTGAAATCGAATTCTCCTCCACATGGATCATCACCATCGCCACCCGGAATCGGAGGTGAGAGTGCCGATGACATTAAGAATAATGAAACATTTGATACTAGCTCCAATTTGTATCCAGGAACTTTGGCAGAGTTGTCGTCGGCTACGATGTCGAGAATCCAGAATGAGACAAACGGTGGTGTCGGTGTTGGTTTTGTTGGTCACGGCCAGGCCGATCCTTCAGCCACAAAAATGCACTCCTCTCAAAACTACGAGGAGAATCTCTCGATCACTCGTGTCATGATGGAAACCAGCTTCAAGTATGTGCCCGAATACAAGGACTACGAACGTCAACAACCGTACCTGCCCAAGAACCCCAAACAAACTCCTAGTTACTACCCACCCATCCCACTGCCGATCTTTGACCAGCCTGCCATCTTTGAAAAGTTTGAAATCGATCCACTCTTTTTTATCTTTTACTTCAAGCAGGGCACCTATCAGCAGTTCTTGGCGGCACGCGAACTCAAGAAGCAGGGTTGGCGTTACCACAAGAAGTATCTAACATGGTTCCGCAGACACGAAGAGCCAAAGGAAATCACAAACGACTACGAGCAAGGTACCTATGTCTATTTCGATTACGAAACCGGTTGGTGTCAAAGAAAGAAAACTGAATTCACATTTGAATATAGATTCCTCGAGGAATAATTCAAACAAACAAAACATCATCACAATCAAAGTCTAAAGAAAAAATCAAAAAAACAACAACAAAAACCAGATCCATATTAAAACCAACCAAATCAGTCTCTTCGCGTCAACCACCACTTGGCTGTGGGACATTCCACCACCAAAAATAAAAAAATAATAAAACAAAATATTTAAACTCAAATATATATATATATTAATATATGCAAATAATTGATTTATTTATGAAATATTCATGAATTAGACAATAAATAATCAGTTTATTTAGTTGCAAGTCGGTCCAGATCCACCCATATTGCATTTGCATGATAGAACCTGGCCTCTTTCATTTATTGTAGCAATACCATTGTAACATTCACCAGTGACACCGAGTACTTTTGCAACATCGGTTGTATTCTCTTGGAAAATTGTGTAGTAGTAGGATGGAATTGGGTTGGTGACATTCACAATATTATAACTGTAGATTGCTTCGTAATTGAATGTATATGATTGTTCCCTATATTTAAAAGGTTAGAAGTGAAATACTCACAAACTATTAATTGTTATAATATACAATACATACATACTACTCTTTGAATCAATGAAAAGTCCACCTTTTAATGAATCTGGAGGTGTTTGAAAGAATAATCCTCCGGCAATATTCTTGGCACTGTTATACCAAAATGATGATTGATTCAAGTTGATAAATACCGATTGATTATACTTTTGGACAACACTCTTTAAATAAAGTTTGAAGGTTATTGTATAAGTAATGAATTTTATATATATAGTGACACCATTTCATTAAAGTAGATATGACTTACGATTGCACCACCATCACCATGGGCAAAGTTGTTGTAGAAATTAGAGTTTGTTATGATTATCTCTTGTGGAATGTTTCCATTGGCGACATAGATGGCACCTCCATTGTAACCAGAGTTACTATTGAATTCAGTGCTCCTTATATATATGCTACCGAGTCCAGCATTGATTGCACCACCAAATCCAAGACCACCTCCAAACTCTGCCAGATTGCCAGTGAAACTAGAGTCAACGACAATTAAACCACTGCTATTAGGTCGGTCCAAAGAGTACTTGTAGATTGCACCGCCATTCAATGCAGAGTTGTTTAGGAACTGTGAATTCTCAGTGATTATTTGATTTAAACTAAAGATTGCTCCACCTATCTGCGCGTTGTTGCCGCTAAATATAGTGTTACTGATGTAGCTTTTCTCAATAACTGCTATAGCACCACCGTTGTCAGCTGCATCATTATTTGCAAATATCGAATGTTGGACATATAGGAACTGGTTAGAACGGAGTGCTCCACCATCTTGGTAGGCATAGTTATTGGAGAACAATGAGTTGTAAACATAGATCTTATTGGCATCTACTACACCTCCATTGACTCCGGCCTCGTTGAAGTTAAAGTCAGAGTTACTAATATTGACAACTCCATTGAGTGCATAGATGGAGCCACCACTTCCCGTAGAAAATCCGCCATTCAATACAGAGTTTCTTATCTCATTGTAGTTTGCTTCTGAATAGAGAAATCCTCCGGTTTCATTGGCGCTACACACTTTGGAGTGAACATCGTTCAGAATTACACTGGTGTCATATCTCTCTGTTACTATCTCAATACAACCTCCATTTCCAAGAGTTTGACATGAAATAAATGTGATACCATTGAATATCAAATCAATTGGAGTTTCGATTTGTAAACTAATAAATTGATTCTAAAATTTTATAAATGGATTGTTAATATTCTAATAGATATATCTATAATATTCTTTGAAAATTACATACAGAACAATTAAAAGTGACACTATTGATTGAAGTGAATGAGAGAGTTCCACTTATTTGAAGTGCATTCGAAGGTAATACACTTGGACAGGCAGTATCGGTGTAATCGCCACTTGGAATTAATATTTCAAATTTTGAAAATTCTTTGGAATAACTATTAAAATTTTCAATACAATAAACAATTTTCGGACATGATCTAGATATAAAAAGAAAGAATATTAGTATTTAATGTCTTGAAGAAATTTCATAATTCATTTTGATAATTACAAAGAAGTTGCATTTTCAACAACACACTGAGATAATTGTGTATTAATAGTGCATGTAATTAAATCGTTGCTAGATGAAGAAGAAATCGCTATCTTTTTTGAAGATGAAAGATGAATTGTAAATACAAATAATAAAAACAATATTTTATAGCCTGTCATTATTATTACTATTAAACTATGATAAAGAGAATAAAATTTGAAATTTCTATCTCATCTTTTATCTACATAAATAAAAGATCTTATCACAAGGAATCTTTGTAAATATAATAAGATCTAATAATATCTTAAATAATTAGATTTTGTAAAATTTATTTTGTAAAAACAAAATAAAAACAATGGTTAAAGTGTAAATTAATATATTAAACAAAAAAGTATCAAGATTAATAACTTGATTATTACAATGATTTTATTTTTACTTTAAAATAACATTATTTGTATAGTGTTTCGATGTGCTTCTCTAAAATTCTAAAGGATCTACGAGTGTGATAATCACCTTAAAAATGTACAGATTGACAATGAATCATAAATCCATTTGAAGATTTATTAATATTCTTTTGAAGATACTACTATTACTAAATATCCATAATTTAAAATAAAGAAAACAATAATATTTGTTTTTCTATTATTTATTTAAGAGAAGCGAAAATCTAGATTATTATAGTAGCATTGTAAAGGATAGTACAGGATAATGAGGATATCCAATAAGAAAGTTCAATAAGAAAAGTCAAAGTAATTTAAAAACGAAAAAGTGGATGTGACTACTAACCAAAGTTGGTGAGAACTCATGAAGAGCCACAATGATTGAAATACAATTCAATCTAGAGTTATAACAATATTTTTAGACTCTTTTGATTACTGTTTTTTTTTTTTTTTATTAATATTATTTGTACTGTACCGGATATTATTTTTATTTATTTTATATGTATTTTATTTTTATTATTTTATTTTTGGCGAAGATAGACACAAAAAATTTTTTTTATATTTTTTCTTGTTTATTTTTATGAAAAAATCGATAAATCTCGAGTATTTTTGACTCAACCACTCGAATCAATTTTTAGTTTTTTAGGTTCGAAATTTTTGATCATCAAAAATTCCCGTTCTCCATAAAAAAAAAACTAAAAAATATTAAAAAATAAATAAAATGAAATAAAAAAAAAAAAAGGTTTTTGCGTCACCACTATGAAAAGAGGCTTTGATTCTCTTGTAGTTTGTTTTTTTTTGTTAACACATAGTAAGCAGAGATATAGAAAGGAAAGAGAAAACATATTCTACAACAAATAAAAAAATAAAAACAAATATCCTATAAAAACAAACAATCAAATAAACAATTATAAACAAACACACAAATCATAAAACAAAAAAACCTATAATTATTTAGATATCTATATATATATTAAAATCGATCGTTTTTATAATTATATAGCTATCTTTTTAGAAAAAAAAACAAAAAACAAAGTAATTTGGTTTCTCTTTCCTTCTTTCAGAGTTTGCCAATCTTTTTAGTTCGTTCTCTGCTTCTACTTTGACGTCGCATCATAACAACTCAAAACCCGCTCATCATCAGTTACTACTACTCACTTTCTCACTTTTCTCAAAACAACACAAAAACCGATCCACGCTCAACTTTTAATCCTATTTATCTATATAATATTTATAATATAATATATTTATTTAGAGTTAAAGATTAGATTGTCAACATTTCGAGGAGAGATATAGAATTTTAAAATAAATAAACAAAAAAGCATCAACATCATCAACAACAACAACTTCATCCATCACCTCTACATCAAATAAAATCTTAACTTACCCACACACCCACATTCACACATTGAACAAACAAAGCTCAGTGTCTGACACCCCAACAATCTTCATTCATATTTTTAAAAAAAAAAAGTTAAATAACAACAAACCCACAAAAAAAAAAAAAAAGAAAGCTCCTAACTAAACTAACTAAAACAAATAACATTAACAATTATTAAAATCTACTGCTATAGAGTTTAATATTTATTCTTGATTATTTTATTAGTTATAGACAAACATCATTCATTCACCCACAACCAAAACCAATCACAAAAACAACGAATATAATCATCAATAATTATAAAATTCTATAATTAAGTCAGTAGTTTTGTATCGACCTTCAGGTTGTTTTAGCAACTTGATTGAATTCCATTTTCACCAATTATTACTTTAAAGTATTTTTTCAAAAAAAAAAAAAAAACAACTTTATTATAATAATAAAATAACCATATAACAAATAACATAAAATAAAATAACAATACAATCAAATCAATCAAATAATCATAAAATAAATAATAATAATGCCATCATCAAGTACAAAAAATAATATTAGTGGTGACAGTTTGTTCCTAAGTAAAGCAATCAATGAATCCTATCATGTTTTAGCGAAGATCGGTGAAGGTATTTCAGGGTATGTATAAAATGTTTATATTCACTATTCATTTCCATCTGTTATCTTTCTCTCGTCATAGCACCATCAACTTCCAGTTTCACCACCAACAACATCAACGCTCGTTAAAAAACAAAAACCAAAAAACACTCAACTCGTTGAAAATTTTTTGTAAATTAAAATCGCTTTTTTTTTTTTTTTGACAACTTGGAATTTTTGTTTTTTTATTTTTTCACAAAAAATCATTCAAATAATCAAATGATTATTTTCCGATCTTTGTGTGCACGATTTTTTATTTTAAAATCATTTATTTTAAAATAATAATAGTAATTAATAAATTTGGTTTTTTTTTTTAATTTTTAAAAACAAAATAGATCTGTATATCAAGCAATTAAACGTGATACAAATGAAATTGTAGCTTTAAAGAATTTCAAAGCTGGATTGGATAGTGATCGTGCGTCCAAGGAAGAGTGCACTTTGCTCATGCAACTGAAGCATATTCCACATATCACTCCAATCATCGACATCATTTCTACGCCCCACGAGTATAATATTGTATTTCCATATTTCGAACATGACCTCTCTGGACTCCTAAGTGAACATCGTTTCTCAATTCCCCAAGTAAAGTGTTATTTCAAACAATTGCTTCAAGGAATTAATGAGATTCACAAGAGTGGAGTAATGCATCGTGATATCAAAGGTAAATAATAGTTTATTATTAATATGGAAATCCAAAAAATAACTAATTTTTTTTTTATTTAATTTTTTTAGCTGCCAATATTTTAGTGAATAACAAAGGATTTTTATTCATTGGTGATCTTGGTACTGCTACTTCCTATGTGAAAAGATCGGTGTTCTCCAGTCAGGTTGTCACTCTTTGGTATCGTGCACCAGAGTTGTTACTAGGCGCCGTCCACTATGGTCCCGAAGTTGACATGTGGTCCATCGGTTGTGTTTTGATTGAATTGGTTACCTCCAGAAATTTCTTGCCAGGCAATAGCGAGCAACAGCAGATTGAGGCCATCAGTAAACTCTGTGGAACTCCAACTGAATCGGTATGGCCTGGTGTTTCCTCACTGCCAAACTACAGTTGGTTGCAACCAATCAACCAAGTTTACCCAAGTCGCTTGAGAACTGTATTTAAAAAGTATGAATTTGAATTTGATCAACACTGTGATTGTGCACAATTCCCGATTTGTTTTTTACTAAACATTGTTTCTATTTCAAATTGATTCCACCACTATTTTTCAACAAAACAACAGCTTTACAGATGATTTCATTGAGTTACTCGAAGGATTGCTCACTCTTAATCCAAAGAAACGTTGGACAGCTGAACAAGCTCTGCGCTCGCCATTCTTTACAAATGAACCATTACCTTTTGAACCAGAGAAAATGCCTGGATATCAACCAATTCACGTATTGGAAGCAATTCAAAAGAGAATGCAACAAAAGAATACTCAACCAGCTCCACAACCACAACCAGAGAAACAACAACCACAACAACTACAACAAGAGAAACAACAGCCACAACAACAACAACCACAACAAGAGAAACAACAACCACCACAATTACAACAAATTCCACCACTTTTCAAACCAAATCAAATCAATATAAATAACCAAAGTATCCGACTACCAACCAACTCAACACCAACTCTTAGCACCAACAAACCATTACCAACCAACCAACAAAAACCAACTCAATTCCAAAAACCATCTGCCAACGTTAACAAACAATTAACAAACCTGAGTCAAAGCAGTAATAACATTAATATTACCAATAATAACAACGAAATCAAGACAATCAACAACAACGAAATTGCAATTAAGAATGCACCACAACAAACTTTAGCTCAAACAAAACCCACAGTATCAACACCAGCACCAACAACCACCGTCGCCACACCAACTGTTGTTCCAACACCAGCACCAACAACCACCGTCGCCACACCATCTGTTGTTCCACTTGTGAACCAACAACCACCAGTAGTACAACAACAACAAACTACTACAACACCAATAGTATCAGTACAAACACCAGAAGATACCACTCAACTACTATCACCAAACAACAACAACAAAACAAACATGTTGAAGAGATCGCTCGACTTGGTCAATGACATCAGAAATTATTGTACCAGTGACAGCGATGAAAGTGATTATGAAGAGATTGAATGTGATGAGAGTGATTATTTCAGCGATGACGATGACGAAGACGATTTCACTGCCGAAGACGAGAGTGAACTCGAGTTCTACACTATTCGTCAACTTCCAACATTCAGCAACACCGTTGGAATGTTAGCACCAACTCCAACCGATGCCTCTGGCAATCCAATCAATCCTTTCTTACAACCACCAAAGAAGCAAAGAACCACCTCTTCGTTTTCTTCGACTCTCAGCAGAATTGACATTCCAATTCACTAAAGGTGGCAGCCTTTCAACCAAAACAATCAAACAAAAACATACCAATATTTTATTGGATGGCGTCAGTATTTAATTCTATTGATTCCAACCAGTTTTTTCGAAAATAGAGGAAATAAATAATTATTTATACAATGATTTTTATTGGTTTTTTGTTTTTGCCTGCATTGCTTTTATACACAACAAGCACTACCGTTGGCCAACAACCGTTCTTTTATTTATTTCAAAGACATTTGATTTATCATTGTCTTTTGTCGTTGCAGTTGATTCATCTCTCGTCTATATTTCTCTTTGAATTCGATTGCCATTTCAATGGCAGTTCTAAGCTCACCAATTTGGAACGGTTTGGAAATGAACCAATTCATTCCATTATCGAAACAACGCTTCTTGTCGGTTGACATGGTATTGGCTGTCAATCCACAAATAAAAATTGGAAATCGCATTGGCCATATTTTGGCAGTCTCCATTTGCCTGATGGTATAGGAACACCGCAGACCATCGAGTATTGGCATTTGAAAGTCCATGAATATCAAATCGTATTGATGATTCTCTAGGTTCGACAGTACTTCATTTCCATTCGAAGCGACATCTGCTTTGATTCCGAGTTTCTCAAGGAATTTGACAGCAACACGCTGGTTGATAACATTGTCTTCCGCTACCAATACTTTAATTTCGCCGTTGGTATAGATTGTTGATGAATCTGCCACCATAGGATTGGCGTGCTCCTCCATCTCACTTCCAACATTCAGAGGTAGAATGAACCAGAAAGTCGAACCTCCATGCTGATTATTGTATACTCCAATCTCACCACGCATCAACTTGACGAGCTTGGCACAAAGATATAGTCCAAGTCCACTTCCACCATATTTTCTGCTGTCAGATGGGTCCGCCTGTACAAATGCTTCAAAGATTTTCTGGTGTGACTCTGGTGGAACCCCTATTCCGGTGTCTTGCACACGGAAACAAACATTGTATTCGTCGCTCTTGAAAGTGATCTTCTCTGCATCATCCTCTATCAGATCGATGATGATTTTAACAACTCCTTCCGGTGTGAATTTGATTGCATTACCAGTGAGATTCATCAGTACCTGGAGAATACGACCTGTATCTCCAAAGAGAACTGGAGGGACATTGTCCGCCACTTCATATTGCAATCGTAAGTTGTGCTCCTTGGCTTGTGCTGCCAAGACCTGACAGATCTCATGAGCCATATCTTTCACTCTGAATCCAATGTTCTCGACAACCATCTGATTGGCTTCCAGTTTACTGAGATCTAGAATATCATTGACCAAACGCAACAAGATATCACCACAGGACTTGACAGACTTGGCCATTTGCTTCTCTTCGGGTGGTAGTGAAAGAGAATCTCTTAAAAGTGTAGCCATTCCTATCAATCCATTGAGCGGAGTACGAATTTCATGTGACATTGTTGCCAAGAATTCCTGTCTGGCTTGGTATGCCTCGACCGCAGCATCTTTAGCAACCGTCAGTTGAAGATTCTTTGTCTTGGTCTCGCGGTGTGCTTCATCAATAAAATATTGATAGCACAGAGTGAAAGACATCGTAATCAACACCAGTGTAACATCAATAATGAAGTTCATGTGAGATCGAATGGTTATCGTTGGAATACCATCTACATATTCATATCCCAAGAGGTTTGCAATGAAGAACAACAATAGAATGATAAGCACAACGAATGACCACTGAACTGATGCTCTTCTACCAATGACCAAAGCCGATACAATTGGAAGCGTGGACATTAGCAAACGAAGCGTTGACTGATGCCCACCTGTATAATAGGAATTCATTGTCAGCGCAAAACACAAAGTAAAACAAAGCATATGACCTGGATAATGAGTGGATCCAGTCTTTCGCAGAACGAAAAGAGATGATGCAGTCATAGGTAAAGATAGTATTGCCATCATCGCCGGTTCTTTCAGTCCGGAAAGTAAAAAGAATATAATCCAAGATGGAATAAAGCTGACAACAGTGAAACAAAATCCAATACACAGCTTTGCTTTGTAGAGATCTTGTGATTTAATTTGTTTCTCTCCCAAAATAAACCTGCAAACCGAGTTGAAGCTATATTTAAGTCGAGAGTTTTCTTCGTTCTCCTGGTGATTGCTAATCTGTTGTTCGACCCTGGTGTCTTTCGGAATACTATAGGACTTGAAACAAGGTGATGGTAAGTGAATTGCTCCACTCTTTAGGAAATGTGATGAATCTGCTGCCGCTGATAAAGATTGTACTGTAGTCGTAGTGGTTGTCGTAGTGGTTGTCGTTTGGTCAATAATATTAAAATGATTCGTTGAAATATTTGTCGTCGGGTGTGCGTTTAAATTTGATAAAGTTGTAGTGGTCGTAAATGTTTTATGATGTGGTTGTTTATTCATTGGCTGTGGTTGTTGTGGTTGTTGTTGCTGCTGTTGATTTAAATAATTTACATTGTTGTTTTTATTATGAATATTATGAATAACGTGACTGACTTGATTCTTAGGGTTATGAATAATGTCATCTAAAATTGAATTTTGTTGCATTCTTCCATATTGATAATAATCATCTGTTTCATAACAAACTGGAAATAAAATAATAATAATTCATTAGAAAAAATAAGATAGTGTTTTAACCATTTTTAAATAGTTACCATTATTCTTTGAAAGAAAGTAATCGTAGATGGAATTATAGAATATCTTGAAACTTGATTTGATAGAGTTGTATAATTCTGATGATTTCGAGGGCTGTATTGATTTGGTTGGGCATTGCGTTGAGTATTGATATCCAGTCATATCAGAAGGTGAGTTGAATAGATTGATTACATGTGTTGGTTTCGATGGGAGAAATGAAGAGAATGGCGATAGATTGGTTTGTTGAGGTGAAGTAGTCTGAGAACCATAATTTCTTTTATAAGGCATCGTTGGTTTCATTGTTCAACATCAACTTAGTTGGTGTCATAAAACTGTAACTGTTACTACTTTTATTATTAGTGTGTGTAATCTGGTTTTAAAGTTTAACTTTATTAAAAATAATCTATGAATTGACTAAACATTTGAATTTAATAAAGTTATCTAAATTTATTATTTTGTTTTGGTTTAACTTTTGTAGTTTGGTTAGTTATAATTTGGAAGAGTTTAACAATAAGTTTGTTTGTTTGTTTGTTTTTGTTTTTGTTTTTGTTTTGTTTTTTATTTCAAAAATCTATTTAGTCAAGGTTATATTGATCAAAATCTGAATCAACATTGTGATTGAGTGTGTGTGTGTTTAATAAACCACTCAATCTATTAAAAACACCTTAGCTAAAGTGGTCTTTGAAATATAGTACCCACATATATAGTGCAAGTACCACAAATTATCAAAGAAAATTTTGAAATTCATCAGATGACCATTTTTTTTAATCTTTTTGGTGCTTACCTTTTTTAAACTTTTGACAAATGATCAGATTAAAACTGACACAAAAAAGATTGATTAAAATAAATATTGAAAGAAAAAAAAAAGATTTCTAAACTGTTATTATTACTATAGTGATTTTAAAATTATAAAATTTCTATGTATGTTGGGTTGCTGGAAATTAATTATTTATCTTTTTTCTATACTCTTACTTTATTAACTTTTTACTGAAAATTAATTTAATTTTTATTTATTTATTTAGAAAAGTTGTTGTTGTTGTTGGTTATTTTGGAAAAACAATATTATTGTTCAAAATGCAAAAGAGTTTGATAAATCTTAAAAAGAGTGATAGGATAATTAGAAAAAAGAATATAAAAAAATAAACATTAACTAAACCAAGTTAATTTAAATGAATTAAACAAAGCTTGATTAAATTAATTTAGAGAGGTGTGTGTGTGTTTAGTGGTGGTTTTAATTAAAAAAAAATCAATATAATTGGAGTGATAAGTTTTGATTTTAATATGATGATGTTATTTATGCAAAGTAGTACTTTTTTAACAATATAAACTCTTATTGCTATTTAAAACAATAAATAAATAAATTTATTGATTCATTAATTCATACAATCGAATTAAATTGAATTCTGAATTCATTTCATTTCATTAGATTACACAACAATATTATTATTTTTATATAAAAATTTCCATACATTTTTTTTTTTTCAGCACGCACCAAGCAGCTGCTTTGACAAACAAACTGACCTTTATGTCAGTGCAAAAAAAAAAAAATAACATATTTGTTTAATTTTTAAAAAAACTACTACCAAAAATAAAATTAATAAATCCTTTTCCACCAATTGACAATTAAATTTACCAACCAAAAAAGGGGTGAGCACACACGTGTGGTTTTGAAAAAGAAAAACAACAATGTAAGATTATATTACTGTATTGGGTGGGTGCTCTATCGGTGTCTCTATATTTTGATATCAAAATAGTTTAATGCTGATTCATCTATCAATGCTAGTATTATCTTTCTTTGGATCTACCTAAAATAACCTTGTTTTGGACTTTGAACTTGTAGATCAATGTAAAAACAATAATATAGGAACAACAACAACAATAACCAAATAAATAAATATAAAACAATCATAACACCATACCACTTTTGATTATTAATTAGAATTATCTTTTTACATATCTATCATTCATTTATCTCTACTGCTACTACAATCATATAATATAAAAAGCAAACAGTTAATTAACCACACACACCAATATTGCATAATTAATTAAGCTTTATTTTTTATGTGTGTGATAAAAAATTAAGATAATCTTGGTTTTTTCTGCAAAAAAAAATAATAAAAATAAATGGGAATGAATGTTTTTTCAATAGCAATAACAGCAGCATCAGCATAGCATCAATATATCTATCAGTCAGTCATCCATAAATAAATAGATTCAATATCTATCAATCGCCTAAATTTTATTTATTTATTTTAAAAAGAGTCAAAAGATTATTTGATCAGCACATATTATAATATAACCTTTCACAGAGTAACAGACAACAACAACAACAACAACAATAACAACTCAGATAGATAACTAAAGATGGCTTCAAGAAGTTTCGATGATGATAAACGTTTCATTGAGCGTATTGACAAAGTTAGATATAGAATTAAAAAGGGTTTTGTACCTGATATGAATGTATGTTATATTATATCATTTATGTTATCAATCATCAGATCAATTCAAATATAGTGTTTTCGTCAAGATTTAATTAGATGTATAGTTAGAAATGTGTGTTAGAGAGTGTGTATTATCATGTTTGTGTGTTTGTTCAGTACTCATTTTAGTAATAATAGTGATAGTGGTGGTTGTTATGTATCATGGGGTTGAATAAACTTTGTTTTTATTATATACAAACTGCTTCTTCTTTTTAATACTATTATGTAGATAAGATTGACAATATCATATTTTCATTAAATTACTTTATATGTATGAAAAATAGATTTGTAGTAATGAGTTGATATCTACAATCAAAATTGTGTGTTGTTAATTTATTGTTATTTAGCGTAAACACTCAGTTAATCAATGAAATAATTAACATATTAACATTCAATTATATTATTAGGTTGATGGTATGATTTATGTGAATGATAGTATTAAAGATTTGATATTTGAAGAGTTAGAACAACATTGTACACATGGAAGTGGTGGATTTCTTCCAGCGGTTAAACAGATTGCCAATGTAGCCAGTTTGCCTGGAATCGTTGGCCACTCACTTGGTATGCCAGATATTCACAGTGGATATGGATTCTCCATTGGAAATGTAGCTGCTTTTGACACAGAGAATCCGAAATCAATCGTTTCACCCGGTGGTGTAGGTTTCGATATTAATTGCGGTGTTCGTTTGCTCCGTACCAATCTGACAGAGAAAGATATCGATCCCATAAAAGAAACGTTGTGCCAATCGTTGTTTGATCACATTCCAGTCGGTGTGGGATCGAAGGGTGTCATCCCGATGGGTACGAAGGCGCTGGATGCAGCATTGGAACTCGGTTTGGATTGGTCGTTGCGTGAGGGATACGCGTGGGTCGAAGACAAGGAGCATTGCGAGGAGTACGGAAGAATGTTGAATGCCGATCCATCGAAGGTTACGGAGCGTGCAAAGAAGCGTGGACTTCCACAACTCGGAACTCTCGGTGCCGGTAACCATTATCTTGAGGTACAGGTTGTCGATGAGATTTTCAATCCTTCGGCCGCCAAGAAGATGGGTGTCGACCAAATCGGTCAAATTTGTATTATGATTCATTCGGGTAGTCGTGGACTTGGACATCAGGTGGCTACTGACGCGCTCACAGGCATGGAGAAAGCAATGGCAAGAGATAAGATTCAGATCAACGATAAACAACTTGCATGTGCACATATCAATTCACAGGAGGGACAGGATTATCTGGCTGGTATGGCTGCTGCTGCCAATTTCGCTTGGGTTAACAGACAGAGTATGACGTTTTTGGCGAGACAAACCTTTGCCAAAGCATTTAATTCGTCGCCAGACGATCTAGACATGCACGTAATCTATGATGTATCACATAATATCGCGAAATTCGAGGAACACGTTGTTGATGGCAGACCAAAGAAATTGTTGGTTCACAGGAAGGGTGCAACACGTGCATTCCCACCACACCACCCTTTGATTCCAGTAGACTATCAATTCACAGGACAACCGGTATTGATCGGTGGAACTATGGGTACCTCCAGTTATGTACTCACCGGTACAGACATTGGAATGCGTGAAACATTTGGTTCGACATGTCATGGTGCAGGTCGTTCATGCTCAAGAAACAAGTCACGTAATAACCTTTCATATCAAGACGTATTGACAAATCTGAGGGACAAAGGAATCAGTATTAGAATTGCATCTCCAAAATTGATTATGGAGGAAGCACCAGAATCTTACAAAGATGTTACTCAAGTCATTGAAACTTGCCACACCGCCGGTATCTCACAAAAATCATTTAAATTAAGACCAATTGCTGTAATTAAAGGATAAATACTATAATACCAATTGGTATAATAAAAAAATAACATTTTCATTGTATAATTATTAGATGAATATTTTGGAATTATTTGAAATAACTAACGGATTCATCTATTTTAATCTACATGAATAATATTTCTATGATCCTTTTGTTTCAAAAGTGGCTTCAATTATCAAATGCGAACAACTTTGGAAAAAAAAAAAAAACAATTGTTTTATTATTTTATTTGTTAATTTATAATTATTATTTTGTTGGTTGGTTGATCAGTTGTTTGATTGATTTGGTTGTTAGTCAAATGTAGTAAACTCTGACTATTGACTATTTATATTTACATTATTGTTTTTTTCTTTTTTCTTTTTTTAAAAAAAAAAAAGTTTTTGTTATTAAATTTGTTACAATGAAGAAGCTGTAATAACTTCCATTTCTAGTTTTGCTAATATAATTTCAAGTTGGTTCATCGTTTCGATTTGTTCTTTGATATTTCTTTCGTTTACCTCTTGCCACATGTCGTCCTTTTGCTTTATCAGTTGACGGTGAAGACAAGCCAGTTCCTTTTCTAGAGAGATTGGATTGAGGAGTTCACCCGCCGGACAATTCGCTGGTACCTGAGCCAATGAATCTATAAAACCCCTCATGTTGACCATGTTATCCAATACAAACTTGTTCATATCACGCATAAAATCCTCCTTGTATTCGCCGAGCTCCACAAGATTCGCCAGATTCTGAAGTGTTTTCGCAATGAGAATGAGTGAACGTGTTGTCTTTATTCCCGGATGGTCTGGCATCAGCTCAAAGAGCTTCGGTGCCAAAATGGATGGACAGAAAAATCGCAAAAATATGAAACCAGAAACCGCTGTGTAACGGGTGACTTCGTCGGCTGGATATCGAAGGTGTACCTTGGTCTGGATGGCTCGGAACACCTCTCGCAGAGGACCGGGACACTGATCTACGGAACTAAAGATGGCCTGTGTCATCTTCTTGACCCATGACAACAGATTCTTTGAATTCTTCTTGGCGTCTTCGCCTTTTTCCAACTTGGTTGGATCGATCTCGCACGATTTCTTCGATGTGTAAATCTTTTTGATGAGTGGACCAATCGTATTGAGCAAATAGGGCAGTCCAACCAGCTTCATATAGAGATCCAGTGATTTGGTAGCAAGCGAATTGCCTCTGAAAATGATATCGGGATTGTCGGTGGTGTCTATTTCCTGGTCGGTCAGACTCTTCAGCAGATCAACGCATTTATTTGTCTTTTCAAATACACGAATCAGATTGTTGGCAATGGCTTCGCGTTGCTTGGAAATATTGCCAAGTATTTGAATACCAACCATCTTTGGATCCTGTATCAACTCCAATAGTGGAGTGTATGAATCCACCGGCAACACCACCTCCTCAGAGTACTTCAGCTTTAGACGCACGTCACCCAATCGATTCTCTGCTGTCTGACGCGGATACAGACACAGCCATATATCCGATGGTTTCTCAGTGTCGATATGAGACGCCATAACAATTCCCTGGCCCAGAATAACTGGCTCCCAGCCCTCGGTAGGACTGAGATTGCCACCGCCGCCACTTGAACTCAACGAACACGTAGAGGAAGTGTCCGAGAAGGCCGGCGAGTTCATTCCGCTGGCACCACCCGCACTGCCACTTCCGCCACTCGTTGGTGGACTCTGCGAGCCAACACTCGACTGTGATCTTAGCTTCTCTGGTGACTTTGAAATCAAATGATCCAACGACGTGATAGAACGTGATCTCGAATTCTGAGTCAACAATGAATTCTCTGTAAACAGAGGTTTTGGCTCGTAACGCCACAACATGAAATTGATACAATCGATCGACTCTGTCAACTCTCTTGAAACACCTGTATTCAACGCAGTATACCATGAAACACCGTCCTCATCAATGATAATATCACCTTTCTTTGAACGAACTGACCAATTTATATAGGGAGTACCAATTTCAGCTCCACTCTTTTCTCCATTCGAACTTGATGGCATTAAATTTCTACCATATAAAACTGTTATTTAACAAAAAAAATTAATATTATTCAATAATCACACGCAAATTTGTTGAAATGACTTACCTTTCCATGAAATATGACCTGGTATTGATGGATCTGCTAATGAAATAGGTTTGAAATCAATGAGTATTTGCATTTGTGGTACTTTCTTTGATGATGTAGGTGGTTGTAGTGGGAACCATAGTTCTCTTTCCTTTTGATCCTTCAGTGTATTGATTGGAATAATAACCTTTCCTATAAACTCATCGTTTGTGTATTTCTTGTCGTCAATGATCGATACCACCAATTTCTCTGAACTTGAATCTTGTACTTCGCTAGATATTGTTGTTGTTGTTGTTGAAATCAATCAGTTATTTATCCCTTTTTTTGGATTTCAAGTAATCAAGTTTAATTTATAAATTATATACATACAGTGAGAACTCTTCACACCAAAATGGATTTAATTTCTTTGGAATGGTACGTGTACGATGTTTTTGTTTCTCTAGTTGTACTATGCAGTAGGGATCGGTCGTATCTGAAAAGGTCATGAGATTTGGCGATGAAATTTCGGTGAGAAGCGATTGCGCTCTCTTGAATGACTTGTTGTTGTTGTTCTTGGTTTGCTCCTTCTTTCTGAGTCGTGCCTCTGGAAGTCCGCGTGCCTCAAACACTTTTACAATAATATTACAATCACGTGTTTTATGTTGTTTCAAAAAGTTATCGTGTGGCGATGTCGGTGGTGATACAAAACTTGTTGTTTGTCTATTAGTATTGCTACTATTACTACCAACTTCATCTTGTCCAACTACAACTACTACATCTGATAATTGTTGTTGTTGTTGTTGTTGTTGTTGTTCTAAATCAGGTGATGATAATGACGATGGTAATGGTACTGATGGTGATTGCTCTGGTTCTTCTACCAACTCCACTTGATGATCTTTCAAATCGATCAAAGGTTGCTGCTGTAATGTTAAACTATTCATTTATAATCAATCAATTTTGAGTAGTGTAAATAATAATGATATATATATATATATATTTTAATATTATTTTAATTTTATTTTTTAATAACTTACGCAGACATCTTTGTAAATCTATATCATAAATATATATAAAATATAAATATTATTATTAATATTATTATTACTATATATAATAAAAAATCTATAAATATACTAATAAATGGAAATTATTAATAAAATATAAATAAATAACTATTTAAAGAAAATAAAGTGGAAAAAATAAAAATAAAATAGAAATTGATTGTTTGTTGTTGTTGTAGATTTGATGTAATAGTTTAGTGGTTTTGTTTTTTTTTTTTTTTGGTAATATGATGTGTTTGTTTGAATATGTTGTGTTTCAAACTTGTACTTTTTACTATTATTACTATTAATAATGTTAGTTGTTATTGCTAACTATGATGATGATGATGATGTTATTACACAAATAATATCGAAAAACTATTTATTATCTTTTTTTAAAAATATAAAATAATATAGATAGATAAAAGATAATAACTAAAACAATTACTATTATTATTATTTTATTACAAGCAAATTATTATAATTTATATTATTTTTTTTTTATAGAATTCTATAGTTGAAAAAAGTATAGTTTTTTTTTGTTTGGAAACAAGCAAAAATTAATAGTCTTGATATTTTTTTTATTGTTTTTTTTTTTTTTTGTGGGCATCAAAAAATACCAAAAAATAAAAAGTTACATCAATAAAAAAATTAAAAATAAATTGTTGTTTTTCTTTGACTTTGCACCTTTTGCGTTTTTGTTGTGTTTTTCATCAAATTTCTTTTCGTGCGTGAAATGGATAATAATATTTAATCTTAACAAAAAAAAAAATTCGAATTTTTTCCACTACACAATTCTCTGCCCTCACCACCTCTTATTACCTCCTATATAATTTTAGATATTTTATTGTTTGTTGATAATCAAGCCAGCCAGTATTTGCAATGACTATCACAAATTGATTTATTCAACTCTAATAAGCTAACAAGTTGGCTAAAATATCTAATATCTAATTTAATATAACTCTCACTTCTGTTTTGTTATGTTCTGTTATCTTCTGTTCTGTTTCTCTCTTGTTATTATTCTATTCTCTCCTCTTGATATTTTCTTTTACTTATTATAATAATTTAATAAAAATAAAAAATATAAATATCTTTTTGATCGACTAATCAAATCAATCTAATTTTGATTAGTTTAATAAATAATATAATAAAATAAATAAATAAATAAAATGAAATAAATAATAGATATGATAGGATAGCGATTTGTTATAATATAATATAATTATAATTCGATATAAACCAAAAAAAAAAAAGAATTTTAGGTTTTTCTACAACTACACAAATTATTTTAAAATTACAAAATAAATGGAATAGCAAAAGTAAATGGATGATTGATTGATTGATTGATGATGATGGTGATGATGATGTTGTTGTTAATTGTTAAATGTTAAATGTTGTAGTTGTAGTAGTTATTGTGTAATGGAGTGACAGCAGTAGATAGAGTAGTAGCAAAACAGTCGTAGTTCTCAAAAGCAAAAGTTTAAATTCAATTACAATCAAAATCTTTTCTTTTGTTAATAGGATCAATTTGAAACTACTTACTTTTTGTTGTTGTTGTTGTTGTTTGTTGTTAGTGTTGTTGTTGTTGTTGTCGTTTGATTGATTTATAATATTAACTAATTCACCCAACTAACTCACTACTTGATTAACCTTTTTGTAAAAACAAACCAACAAACAAGCAAACAAACAATTATAAATACCACCAATTGCTGCTTATTTTCTAAAAATGTTTATTCCATTTTTTAATATAATATGATAATAAATTATCATCATTTTTTTTTAGTATTAATAAATTTATAAATATATTAATTGTTTGTAGTGAGTGGATGTCAACTATCAAACAGGCATACAGACAGACAACAAACAGACAACTACCTAAAAGAACTTAACTTTTTTTTTTTCTACTTTTCCAATTCAATAAAACAATATATCAAACAATCAAACATATTATCACAACAGAATAACAAAAAGAGATAGGAGTAATTGTTTATCTGGCTACTATTGTTATTTCTAGTTCATCAACACCAATCAAATATCCAATTGAAGTTATGTGGAGTGATTTGGAGCACGACAACACTCGTATCGTTTTAATATGTGAAAATATTTTCAAAAATGTGGGAAAGATTCTATCATTCATAATCTTGTGTTGTGGTGATGTGTGTGTTTGTTAATGATACAACCAGTGTATTTAGATTTAAAAGAGATATAATACTTAATATAATATATTAAATATAAAAGTGAAGTATAGGAAGAATTAAAGTCATTTATTAATGAAAGCCAGTTTTTAAAGTAAAAAATTTTCAAATAAATTTAAAGTGGAACTTAACTCTTTTAGAGTCGTAGACCAACATTATGATTTTGATTTTGATTTTGATTTATATGAAATCTCAAACTCCACTGACCGAGCACAAATAATATTACATATTTTCACATTCTTTTATTATAATTTATTACATCTACCCAAAAAACTAAACAATAATCAACTTTCATTTTATCTAAATTTAGAAAAAAAAAATGGTTTAGATTTTTTATTTCCAATAAATCGATTTTTTGTTGGATCAAAAACAAATTTTTAGATTTGATTTATTCTTCCTTATTCTTTTTCTTTTTTTTGTGGGTGAGCTTGTTAAATCATAGCGTATAAATTTATCATAATCAATGTTAAATCATAATAATAATAATAATATTTGAATATCCAAAATTTACTGTAATAATAAATTTTAGTAGTTTTTTAATTTAACAAATTTTATGTATAAAAAATATTAAATGGAAAACAATGATCTTTGAGAAGTAAGCAATTTGTCAATCATATAATTTGTTTATTACCATTCAAATTGTCGATTATGAATTTGTAAGTGGTTTTTTTTTTTTAAATTTAAAAAAAGTTCGATCTGAAAAATATCGATAAAGTTTGATCAAAGCCTAAAAATAACGAATAGATGTAATCATTCAGTTACTACAATGAAAAAAAAAAAAGGTTTGTTTGACATAAATTTTGTTTATTAAAATCTAGTTCTTTGAGACTAAACAAACAAATAAAAATTGTACAATTTTTAAATAAAAACAAACTTTAAATGTATTATTTGTACAACAACTCTAAATGATAAACATTTAAAATAACTAAATAACTATTAATCTTTGTGTGGATAATATTTATTTATTTTTGTCGACAATTCTCAAATGTTATTATATCAATCATAATTTTACAAAAAATCAAATATATTAAATTAAACAATAACAAGAAAAATAATTAAAGATCAAATTAATGATTAATATTATAAAAAAAAAATTAAAAAAATCAAAAAAAGTTAAGATATTAAAAAAAAATGATAATAAAAAAAAAAAAAATTCAATAATTTTCAAAAAAAATTAATAAAAAAAAGTTTGAAAGGGTTGAAGTTGGTCTTTGTGAGAAAAAAAGCTCATTGTGCCCCTGTTTTTAGTGAGTTTTTTAATTCAAAAATATCAAAGGAGAAAATTCCAAGAATGTTGAAATTTTTAAATATCAAAATTTATTTGGAATTTTTGTCAAACAAAAAGCTATTGTCAATCTTTGTTTAAATTTAAAAGCAAGACCAACACTTTATTTAAATCATCATCTATCAATCATCAAATCAATATTCATCAACACCTTTCTTTTATATATATCTTTAAATAATATAATTATACATTATATTATATTTTCATTGTTATATTAAATATCACTCTAGTTTTAATTTCCCAACTTTAACTTTCTTCTTTTCTTCTTTATATATATAACTTTATAATATATTATATCAAACAAAATGGCTGATATTAACTCTGGTAAGATAAAATAAGATTATAATATTATTAACTCTATAACAACCAAAATCGATATACTAATCTAATAAAAATGTTATCTCTTCTTTTTTTTTATTAATATTTTTTAGTAATTAGAATTAAACCACACCAATACATTCATGTATTAGATAATAATACAAATGTTACTAGAGTTGAAATTGGTCCATTCACTTTTACACGTCAAGATCATGAGAAAGTAGTTGCTGGACCAGAGCCAATGATTATGATTCCATTGAGAAACTACTGTACTATTGCTAACCCAGTAGTTCGTAAGGATGATGGTGCTTTGGTTTTGGATGAATATAATCAAGTAAAGTTGAGACATGGTGATGAGGAAATCAGATTTTCACAAGACCCATTCCCATTGTACCCAGGTGAAAAGTTGGTCGGTAAGGTAACTGCCCTCCAAATCGTTCCACCAATGCGTGCATTGCGTTTGCGTGCCCTCCGTGACTTCACCGACAACAAGGTTCAACGTGTTGCTGGTGACGAATGGTTGTACGAAGGTCCAGGTACCTACCAACCACGTATCGAAGTCCGTATCGAAGAGGAAATCAAGTCGACTATCATCGCTCCAAACCAAGCTCTCAAGTTGCGTGCCAACAAGGCATTCACCGACCGTACCGGTGTCGTCAGAAAGGCTGGTGAGGAATGGTTGATCCGTACTGTCGGTGGCTACCTCCCAGGTGTCGACGAGAAGGTCATCGATACCATCAACGCCTACATCTTGACCGACAAGAAGGCTCTCCACTTGAAGGCTATCAAGTCATTCACCGACGAATCCGGTAAGGCCAGAAAGGCTGGTGAAGAATGGTTAGTCACCTCTGCCGACTCTGAAACTCACATTCCAGACGTATATGAAACCGTTGTTGGTGAAGTCCCAATTACCACCCTCTCCAACCGTCAATACTGCGTTGTCTTGGATCCAATCGGTACCACCGGTAAGCCACAACTCGGACAAAAGGAGTTGCGTAAGGGTGAACTCTCTTTCTTCTTGCGTCCAGGTGAATCATTGGAGCGTGGAATCCAAAACGTCTACGTCTTGAACGAACAAGAAGCTTTGTTGTTGCGTGCCAAGGAAACCTTTACCGAAGGAACCACCAACCATTTGGCCGGTGACCGTTGGATGATTTACGGTCCAACCGACTACGTTCCACCAGTCCAAGTCGATGTCGTCGAGAAGCGTATCTCCATTCCATTGGATGACAACGAAGGTATCTACGTCCGTGACATCAAGTCCGGTAAGGTCACCACCATCTCTGGACGTTCCTACATGTTGAAGCCAAACGAAGAGCTCTGGTCAATGGAACTCGAAAAGACCGTCGAGGAAATCTTGGTCAAGGACAACAACAACCCAGAGTTTGCCGACAACCGTGATAAGACCCGTGTCGTCACCTACCGTGCTCCACACAACTCTGCTGTACAAATTTACGATTATAAAGAGAAGAAGTCTCGTGTTGTCTTTGGTCCAGATTTAGTTATGTTGGGTCCAGACGAACGTTTCACCGTTCTCTCCTTGTCTGGTGAGAAGCCAAAGCGTCCACACATGATCAAGGCTATCGCCCTCTACTTGGGTCCAGATTTCATGACTGATGTTGTCATTGTCGAAACCTCTGACCATGCCAAGCTCTCCTTGAAGCTCTCATACAACTGGCAATTCACCGTCGACAAGACCAAGAAGGAAGATGCCGCCAAGATCTTCCAAGTCCCAGATTTCGTTGGTGACTCTTGCAAGGCTATTGCCTCACGTGTTCGTGGTGCCGTCGCTTCCGTCCCATTCGACGACTTCCACAAGCGTTCCGCTGAAATCATCAGACAAGCCGTCTTTGGTACCCAAGAGAACTTTGCCTTCACCTCTAACAACTTGGTCATCACCAACATTGATATTCAATCTGTAGAGCCAGTCGACCAACGTACTCGTGACTCCCTCCAAAAGTCTGTACAATTGGCCATTGAAATCACCACCAAGTCTCAAGAGGCTGCCGCTCGTCATGAAGCTGAGAAGTTGGAGCAAGGTGCTCGTGGTCGTTTGGAACGTCAAAAGATTAACGATGAGGCTGCAGCTGAGATTGCCAAGAAGGAACTCTTGGAGCTCCAGGCTCAATCTGCTGCCGTCGAGTCCACCGGTCAAGCTACCGCCGAAGCCCAAGCTACAGCTGAGGCTCAAGCCATCACTGCTCAATCCAATGTCGACCAAGCCAGATTGAGAGCTCAAGCCACCAAGATCCGTGCCGAGTCTGAATTGCTCTTGATCAAGCAAAAACGTGAAGCCGAGTTGGCCTACAAGAAGCAACTCGATGATTTGGAACTCCAAAGACAACGTGAACTCTCTACCATCGAAGCCAAGAAGTTCAAGCAATTGGTCGACTCCATCGGTCAAGAGACCCTCAAGTCCATCGCCCAATCTGGTCCAGAGATGCAAGCCAAGTTGCTCCAAGGTTTGGGTCTTTCTTCAGTTATGATCACCGACGGTTCATCACCAATCAATCTTTTCAACACTGCCAATGGTTTAATCGGTGGTGCCCCCAAAGCCAGCAAGAAGTTTTAAACAATCAAATCAAAACTTCTTTACAAAATAGAATAACAACCTGCTAAAATACTAACAAATAATATTAAATTATTATTTGTTTTTATAAATAAATATAAAATAAAATCTTGTAAATTATATATTCACAATCCAACAATTAAATTTCATGATAACTTTATTGTTATATTCTTTTTTTTTTTGGTTTATTTTTAATTAATCAATCTAACTTTTAACATTTATAATCTTAGATTGATTTCCCTTTTAAAGTGAGAAATTTGTGATAAATCAAACATTTGTGTTCGTTCACCTTTGGGATCAAAACAATTATTTTTTTTTTTTGTTATGATTTGTTTCGTATGGATCTTATCTTTCAGTATGAATCTGGTGATGAACGATCATCATCTGATTCAGAGGAAGAAGAGAAATCATGTTCAAAAGTGGTAAAGAAAATAAAGATTGACAAAATTGACAACAACAAAGTAGTGTCTACTGCTGATGAGATCCCAGATTTACCAGATGACTTATTCCCCGAGAGTATCAAAGAAGAGTTGGTATTGGACAATGGAAAGAAACGATTGTTTGAACATGTAGATGGAAACTATCCAACATATGTCTATGTTAAGATTCCTACTAGCGACGATATAAATGCAATGATAGAAGAGGTTGGATCAATTGCAAAAGAACATGATGTATTAGAGGTGGTAGACGATTACCATGTATCGCTTTCAAGAGTATTCACAATGAGGGAACATCATATAGATACATTTACATCTGAAATGACAACTAAACTAAAGAATATTAAAGAGTAACAAAAAAAAAAAAACCATTTATAAGAATAGATCTAGTATCTTTATTAACATTTACTAATCTTATTTCATAGATTTACTATTAATTTCGAAACTATATCTACATTTGTAAACGATGGTCAATCTAGATTGTTTTTCTCAGCCAATGTTTGTAGGAATGTAGATAAATTGAATGATACTATCAAAAAGATTGATCAAGTTCTCAAACAATTTAAATTCCCTGTGTTCTATGAGGTAATGTATTTCAAACTAGTTATTTTGATTCTAACTATTTATATCTAACTATTTATATCTATCTATTTATAGACACCTTTACCTCATCTCTCTGTAAACTGGAAGGCAATAGAACCAACAGATCCTTTAGTGATAAATCCAATTAAAGATATGCCCTTGAAACACTCAACAAAATCAACAATAGTAGATACAATCTATTGGAAGATAGGAAAGTATGAATTTTTTGTAAATCTTAACAAACAATGACCACCAAAAAATAAAAACGAATAATTATATCATCAGATTTAATGTTTCGGCGTGTCATGAAAAATGATCTTGATTCAGATTTAATTTCATTCAATTAATTAAAATGTCTGATAATAATAGTAATAATAGTGATAGTAATAATAATAATAATAATAGTAATAATGAAAATAAAACTACTTCATATCTAGAACAAAAGGTACAAAAATATTTAGATGAAAATCCACAACCTAAATTTGTAAACATGCCAGTGTTTGTTACTAAAGACATGCCTTTGTCTACATTCTTTTTGACGTCGGGTGCTTTGATATCGTTTGGTTTTCTTCTTGGTATAATGCTAGGTACAAGAAAAACTGGTGGTATAAAGACAACTCTGCGTAATGCACCACCAGGTACACTTGCCTATACAGCAAAGGCATTGTTTGGTGGAACTCTTCTATGTTTTGGTACAACAGGTGTTGCTTTATATGCATTAAAGAAATATAATAATATACAGACTGTATGAATCTTATTAACTAAATACTAAATTAGATCTAATCATTCATTAACGATTGTTTCATTCTTTTACTCTATAACTAACTACTACTTTCTTTAAAAAAAAAGGTTGATGAATTTGGAAAGTTTATGAGTTCAAAATTGTTTGGAATCGATCATACAAAGAGGAGAAATCAATTGATATTGGAAGAAGAAAGAATGAAATCTGTTGTTGGTGCCGAAGATCAGAGTAAATATGATAATGTTGATGACGATGAAGATGTTCACGATGTAATTAGTGCAATTTGGAAACCAGAGAATGATATCTCTAGTAGTCAAAAGAAAGAAGAATAAAATAAGATAAAAAAACTTGTTAAATATTATAATAGTAATAACATATTGTTTCTTTTTCATTTTCATTTATTACTATTATTATTATTTCTTGATTGTTTATTATTATTTCATTTTGTTTTCCATTTGTTTCTATTGAGCAGCATCTTCAGCAGCTTCAGATCTTATTGTGTAAATTGTTTAACGATTTCAAGGATTTCAGTGTTTGTTTCAAACAATGGTTTCAATTGGTTGAGATAACGTCTGGCAGTCGATTTGAGATGACCAGAGAGGATCTTGGTGGAGACTGGATCGATGTGTGGATTCTTTAGGAGGGCGTCGAGTGATTTGAACATAGTTGTGAAGAGTGTCTGTTGTTCGGTTTGTGCACTCTTGAGCTTCAATTCCTTCTCCGCAGAGTTCATCGATACTTCGTAGTCCTTGGCGAGTGTGTCGATGATGATATTGGTCTTCTCGATCGAGTTATAGATGATCTCCCACACGTAAGCATCGGTGACGACAACACCATTCTTTGGATCACCAGAGAGCAGCATAGCGATCGGGTCGATCGGTGCCAAGATCTTATAGGTAATGAGCTTATCGACAACGATAACAACATGTTGGTGTGATGACTGCCAGAATTGGAGGGTGCTCTTCAAGCACTCGAAACGGTCTTCATTCGACTTGATAGTGGTCTTGAACAAGGTGACATAACGCTCGATAGCGTAGGTAAGATGAGAGAAACTGGTCGATCCAATATGTAAAATACATTTAGTGACCAATTCGACGACATTGATATTCTCTGGAATGGCAGCGACCTGTTGAATGATATTCTCAATCGGTTCTTTCTGTTTGAATGACAACAGCAATTTGTGTGATTGTGAAACTAAATCTTTTGATTCTTCATCTAGATGATTAATTAAAGGTAGGAAGGATATTAGTAAGTGGATGCTATTGTTTTTGCTATGCTATTTACTACATACTGGTATTGGGATCAATGAATTTGAAATTGGGAGCGATTGCAGTTGGCAGGTAGGAATGGTATTCTGGTGGGAGGATCTGTTTGATTTTATCGAGATAACTAAGACGTACGATCGACTCTAGGAGTTGCACGATGAATTTACGTTGGAGGAGGATGAGCATGTCGTTCTCACCACCGTTCTCACCCAATGCTGCGGTGAGTGGAACACTCCAGTCCGACCAGACCCACTTGAACTCGTAGTTACTGAGATGGTGTGCAAACATCAATGAGAATCTGCTTACTATCTCTGTATCCATTTGATCGATATTCTCATACAACATATTGATTGCGTATGCGAAAACCGGAATGATAGTGGCATGTTGGTCACGGAACAAATCGACAAACATAACAGAGTAGTATATCGATTTAAATGATGAATGTGGTAATTTAAATGCTTCTGCTAATATAGTCTAAATAACATAATATAAATTAATAAATAACACTAATCATTATTCAATATTATCATCATCATTTTCAAACTTACTTCTACTACAATATGATCAATCTCTGTTTGAACTGGTAAAGAGTAGATGAATTTAGCAGCTTCTTTATGACTACCGTTGAAGAAGTAGAGAATATCGACGATATACTCTTCAATAACGTGTCTATCGATTGGTTTCAACTGTCCATCGGTACCATCATCAAATAATCTAAATACTGGGTTTGTATATAATGGATAGTTGAAATTCTAATAATAATAATAATAATAATAATAATAATAATAGTTTGTTCGATTTGTTAGTATACTAAATATAAACAATAATAATGATGATTGTTTATGATAATTACAGAATCTTCAGTTGGTATATTAATTGGAGTTAGAACATGTTGATTAGCTTCGGTGAAATCGAATGACTTGTTGATTTGTATGATTGAATCGCAATTCCAATTGTTTTCCTTTTGTGTTTTGATTTGCTTCATCAATAGCTCTAATCTATCATCATTCTAAAGACAATAACAATAATAACAAATATTAATAAACGATTCGAGTTTAACCATTTTATATGATCTAAATACCTCTGTAAATGATTGGAAGAATTTCTTTTCTGTTACAGATCTACTTGCCAAGTATGTTTCTAATTCCTCTAAAACGGTATCGAGTTGTTGTTGATGAGTTGGTTGAATATATTGTGCAACCTATATATATATAATATTGAATAATTGTTTGTTTATATGATGATTAATAACAATTGTATTAATATAGATTATGTTTATAAACTATTATATATATATAGTTACCCATGGAATTGTTGTCATGACAAGATAAATATAGAAATCAGACTTGGCTTGTGTGAATTGTGGTAGTGTCAAGACTGACATCAATGTCTCGAATACCTCAAAGATTGCAGAGGGTAACAATACATTGGTAGCAATCAAACATGCAATGAAACGTATCAACAACTTGGCAGATGCAAACTTTTGTTTAGCAAGTGCATCATTTAATTCTGTTATTAAATCAATATCAAATAAAAAAAGAGTTAGAAGTTTACACTAGTAATATTATTAATGTATATTAACAGGTATATAATACAACTTACCATCAACCAAAGTACAAACAATCTCTTTACCAAATTCATGATTCTTCAAATTCATCTTTCCGACTATGGTAGCATAGATTGGTGTTTTATAAGGTAATTGTGAAATACTAAAGTGAAGAAAGAAAGAAAGATATAATATATATATAAGTAAAAGATTAAGATTATAAAGTAGATTGTTAATTCGATATATATAAGATTATAATCTTACCATTTGAATAATATATTTTGAATGGTTGAACTGTTCTTTGATAGATCCGGTAGTAATACACCGACCAAACCTTCGATGTTCGAATTGAGTGCAGTTGTCGATTTGTCACCGATACGAACAATCAATGAGGTCAACTTTGATTTGACATCGTCCTCTGGATTGGTTTGCATCGATCTATTTCCACCGCCACTACCACCGCCACCTCCACCACCACTACCTCTTCTGTTTCCACCGCCACCGCCACCACTACCTCTTCTATTGTATTGAGGTGAACTTCCAATATTGAATGACATTTGTTTTGCTTGCTTCTAAGTGAGATAAAGAAAGAGTACTACTTTAAACAACAATCGATTCGATTCTGAGTTGAAACAAACTATCTATAACAGATTCCACACAAACAATACACCACACACAATAAATCTAAATTGTTGTTATTTATTAAAATATTAACCAATTTAGATTAGTTTGTGATTGGTTCGACAAGGGTGTTTCGTATCTATTATTAATTTGATCAAAGTCAATATAAATTTTTAGAATTTTTTTTTTGCAAAATTTTTGAAAACTAACTCCATGAGTCTGATCATCATTATAAGTCACAGTATTACAAGGAAAGGTTACGATTTGAATAAGTTACAGTTTGGAGACATTCTATAATATTAGAATTCTTTGATAAACATTTGTAGAAGCACCCTTGTTGTTTTTTTTACAAGAAGAAGCCAGTTTTTTTTGTAAATTTAAATCTCCTCATTAATGTAATGGTGGAGGTCTTAATCACTGTAATGAATCCTCACACACTATCATCATATAAAATCATTGAAGAAGATTATACCACACCAGTCATAGACACCATCAACATAACAAATATAAAATTACCTGTTTGTGAATCAAATTTTCACACAAATATCCCACTATGAAAAATATTTCTGCCGCCAACATATTTCAAATATATAAATTCGGTTACCAAACTAATATATTTAAGAGCAAACTGCCTTGGAGTAACTGGACATTGGCTAAACAATCAAATCTTTAGTTATTTGAGTCCAAACATAGTAGTTTTAATCTTATAGTTTACATTTCATCGGACTGCTCATCAATCTCATCAAGTTGAGATGGCTTGCCAAAACACCAAGACAAATCGCCGATACAAAGAAATGTGGTTCGTTCTCCTACAGCACAAGCTACGCCATGAACTTGCTCTATCTCCAAATCTGTTTGGCATACTCCACAATGACACCATTCATTTCTGGGTATCGACACCGGAATACCAATCGGGTGGTTCACTCTATCCAAGTGCATTCCGTCGTACCATTGTCGGTTTGATCATCTGCCAACTATTGATGATGGTGTCTTCAATGGCTATAAATTCTTCTAGGTAATCTCGTTGTTATTCCACTGATTGTAACTGTTGTATTTGCCGCCTACTGGGAAGTGTTGTTCCACTACAAGTCAAAGCACGGTGTACTAGATGCCGACCAACAAGATCTCATTCGATTCAATCGCGACCACGATTCCGGAGAATCCAACTCTGGACAATCGATCGACCTTCAAAAATCAAGCATCCAAGAGGATCTTCCACTCAGAATCGACCAAACCGAATTCTTTGACAAGTGTTACTCCTACCAAGATTAAAATGGAACTCAATACCGTCCACCTTACTATTCACCCCTTATGGCAATTAATTTTAATTGTCAACAAGGACCTTCAAGTCCATAACTAAATATATAATAATATATTAAAAAAATAAAAATAAAAAAATAAAAAACAAATAACTAATAAAATGTTTAAATATTTCTTATCAAAATTATTTCTTATTTTTTTATTCTACATTTCTACAAAAAGTATGGAAGTGTTTTACAACTCTATATAGACTATAATCTTTTGATCGATTGAGTAAATCTACCAATGTACTACAACACAACTTATTGACTCTGATTATTCTGATGTTCTTGTTGGACTTAACAAACATCTTTATCTCTGGGCAGTCTGAGATTTGATAGTCCAATGAGAAGGTGTGAACTGATTTATTAGATGCTAGGTTGCTAAATAGCGACTGAATGTTGCAACTTGGCATGATCTTCTTGATTGTATACAGTTTTAATATTTCAACGTTGCAATATTGAGAACCAAGGAATGAAAAGTCATCCATACTATTCTCAGTGATAGAGAGGAATCTGATATTCTTGAATATTAAATTGTTGGTGAAAATAGGAAGATTGAGCATTGCTTTGAAATTGTATTTCAAATCTAACCACTCCACTGCTGAATGCTCTGATTGTTTCTCGAGATGTCCAGCATCTAGATTGTTGAATGTTTGCATTGCCAACTTTTTGATCGATCCAATATTGATGGTGAGTGGCAATGGGAAATCCTCAAAGTAAGTTATCTTGAAACTGGTGATCTTGTTATTGGTCGCCAACGTCTCATTTAGAGATCGAATTGTGGATTCATTTGTTTTCATATCATCAGCGAAATCGAATCTGATATTTAATTTACTCAGATTGGTCATCTGATTGATAAACGAGAAATCCAGGGTGTGCTCCGCTCCAAATTCAAATTGGAGAATTAAAGAGTTGAGATTCTCGAGACTGATCAATGCACGTCGGTATTCTGGGTTGGTAATGAACTGGATTTGGTTATCATCCAAACTAATGACAGCATACCTAAGTGACTTGGCAAGACTCTGGATGGAATATACCCGATATAAAGTGTTGGCTGGATACTCTTCTGGGAAATTAAAGATATACAGTGAGTTGATATTCTCTAGAGACTCTAGATATTCAATGTACTGAGTGAAACTATTACTTCTCTGGAGCTCGGTTGTAGGTACGTTGTAATGCTTGGAATGGGTCATATGATACATGAGTCGGTTGGTTTTGGCTAGATGCGGTCTCAGTTTGTTCAGATATTGGAGTGTAGCGTTGGTCAATCCGCCAATATCCAGAACCAGACTATAGATCATACCGGAATCGAGCAACTCTATTAGACGATCGACTTGGCGGTTGTAGATTGCAATCTGGTCAGCTATATCAGTGGTGATGGTCATCTTAAAAGAGACTATACAGTTGGTAGGATATGGAATTTCGATATCATAGAAATGCAGCTGTCCTTCACCTTCGTTGGCCGGGTGGTATTTCATTCCGGTGTTTCTCACGTGGTTGAGAGTAGACACCATGAAATCAGTACTACCAAAATGAACATCCAAATATGAAGTGTACTTGAAATAGAGACGATCTACAACCACCGACCATCTCTTACATACCAACGCTAGCGTGAGTTTCCAAGTCAGTGGGAAATATAGATTTCTGTTGTTCACACCAACCCAATTCTTAATTGGGATATGCGAACTTTGGAATATATAATTCAATATCTCCTCATGTAAAATAAAAGTTAATTTCATATTTAGTTAATATGGTAACACCGATCTGCGATTTGATCAAATCAATTTAAAAAAAAAAAAAAAAAAAAGAAAAAAAAAAAAATAGGTCCTTGGATTTTATTTGGATAAAAAAATCATGAGCACTAATATGAACTACAGAAAGCCTCTGAGTCTTTCTAACTTCTTTAGCAATTAGATTGGTGCTTGAATCTTTGAGCTATTTCGACCGAAGAATTTAGTTGATTTTCTGATTAGTTTGTGGTATTCTGGTTTATCTAGTTGATTGATGTTGTTGTTTGTTGAATTTGAGAAGGTGAGTGTGCTGACAGGAGTTGAAGGTGAGTTTCCAATAGAGAATTCAGACCTGGTTCAGTTCTATTAAGTTTCGGTAGAGGTCGTTTTTGTTGCCATTTTAAAGAAGTCTTTCACCTGATTCTTAATATTTTATTTTTATTTTTTTTTTATCATATCTTGAAGAATACTCAAATGGATTTTATTTTATTTGTTTATTTGCTAGCGAGGTGGGATGCCGTTGGGAAGTTCCAGGTTTGGTTCCAGATGAGTTTGAAATCGTCTAGCTTCTTCATTTGGATTGATATGCTTTAATGTTCGAGTTGTTTCGACCGAAGTCTTGTTTTGATTTTCTGATTAGTTAGTGGTATTCTAGTTTAGCTAGTTTGTTAAAGTTGTAGGTTGTGTCATAGAAGTTTGCTGTGGAGAATCCATGTTACAATAAATAATAGAAATCAAGATATCTCCTTTTACTCAGCAGGTAATTTGTAATAATCCAGACCTGGTGTAATATAAAGCAATACGTTTCGGTGTAGCTCGTTTTTGTTTGAATGATGAAACATCAACTCCCCCTTTGGTCTAGTGGTGAGGATTTTCGCCTGTCACGCGAAAGGCCCGGGTTCAATTCCCGGAAGGGGAGAAATATTTTTATTGACCTATCAAAAAATCATGTTCCGCCTGCGGTAAGTCTCATTTTGTAAAAATAAAAATAACTGAAAGAAGCCCAAGCCTCTTTGGCCAAGCTGGTCTAACTACGTGCCACCACTTTATACTATTGTTCATCAACACGCAACTACTGTTAGATCTATTCTATCCTAATACTACTCAACTTATTAATTAATAATTTATAACAATACAGTAAAATTACTATTTTTTTACCATCTAGTACCAAACTTAAAGATTAGTATATATCTTTTATATTTTTAATTTATTAAAGTTAAATAATATATTAGGAATAAGTACAAAGTAAGATGTATTCAAATATATAAGTCTTAATTTAAAAAAATAAAAATAAAAAATAAAAAAAAATAAAAAAGAAAAAAAGTTATAAACTCAAACATGACAATTATTTAGTATTGTTTGAAAACAAGATAATTATTTATTTTATTTTATTCTTTAAAAATAATAAATTTAATGAAATATTATATATATATTTATAATGTCTATAACAGAGATACTTAGAAAAAGAATAGTAGATAGTTTCAATAGAGGTGACTCACAAGCACAGATAGGTCGAACTTTTGGAGTTAGTAGAGGAACAGTAGTAAATAGAATCAAAAGATTCGAACAAATAGAATCTTTGAAAGATAGAGTAAGAACAGGTAGACCAAGAATATTCAGTGACAGAATCAGAAGAGCAATAGTCAGATTTTTGTTAATTCGAGAATGTATGACCGTTCCCCAAGTGCAACAATGTATCGAGAGATGATTCAATAGGTTCGTTTCTATTAGCCAGATTCACAGAAAATAATCCATCAACAATTTCTTGTATACAAACCTCTGTCGAAAAAACATGATTTGACACTGGCTGCAATCAAGGCAAGGTTGGCTTTCGCCAAAGAACATCGTCACTGGACAGTGGACCAATGGAAGCACTGTATATTCACCGATGAGTCTACAATCGAATCAAATCCTAAGAATTACTATCAATATGAATGGAACAGACTTGGTTGCAACAGATTCGAAAAAGTTTACAGGATGAGGAGATACCTGCGAAGGAAGTTTAATTTTGGGAGTTGTGTGACACCCGTCGGAACAGGCTATCTTGCTGAAATCGAAGGAACTTGGAAAACCAACAATATATAGAGATTCTCCAAAATCAAAACATCGATTCTATTCAGCTTTATCGTGGAAACGTACGACAATATATTCTAGTTCAAGACAATTGTCCAGTTCATACCGCCAATAATGTGGTCAACTTTATGAGAGCTCGACGTTTAAAAAATCTATTCATACCGGCATACTCACCAGATATTAATATCATCGAGAAACTATGGGGAATAGTTAAAAAGATAGTAAAGAATCACATGTACAGTCACCCTGGCGCGGATATGATGGAGGTGATCTGTGAGATATGGGAGGATATTGACCTACAATTAATTGACCATTTATATGAATCACTTCCAAACCGAATGGATGCTATTATACAGACAAAAGTCAAATGGACCATATATTAAATAAATTATTTTTTTTAAAAATTATTTTTTCTTCAAAACATCAACTGTCACCATTCCGTACTAAATAATTGTCATGTTTGAGTTTATAACTTTTTTTCTTTTTTATTTTTTTTTATTTTTTATTTTTATTTTTTTAAATTAAGACTTATATATTTGAATACATCTTACTTTGTACTTATTCCTAATATATTATTTAACTTTAATCAATTAAAAATATAAAAGATATATACTAATCTTTAAGTTTGGTACTAGATGGTAAAAAAATAGTAATTTTACTGTAATAATAATAATAATAATAATAATAATAACATTTTATTGGCTATATTTCTCACGGCCTGTGTGAGAATGTATATATAATATAAAACACGAACTAGCAGGTTAATATCAATACCTGCAATTTGTTGACTGATCATGAGTCAACAAATCTTTTTTTTGCAAAAAAAAAAAAAAAAAAAAAGCTGGTCCTTTAGTCCTGTGAAATGTTTGGTGATGGTACCCAATACAAGCTGGAAATATCGTCAAGAGAGCAGTCACCTATTACACCAAATCAATCGATGCCAATTACAGTACCACTAGCTTAACTTCACAATAGCTAATTCTTTATCCCATGGAGTCACTGTCGATTGCTCTGCAATAACGAATAAATTTAAATCTGATTGGAATCTTAATCCTTCAAACTAATTGCCACTAGTTTATACAGTTGTTCATCAACACTTAACTACTGTTAGATCAATTCTATCTAAATACAATATTTAGTATATTCAATAATCTGAATAAATTCTATTACTTCGCGTTAAACTCAATGTATTCATTATTGAGAAGATTGACAGCTGAGTAATGAATAACTTAATTTAGAAACAACAGATTTAATTTAATTATTATTTGGATCTCAGGTGATTTCCTTTGAGAAGCAGGTGAAGTTTTAACATACAGGAATTGCACAATCAACTGACTTTGAAAGTTGGTGAAGTGCATCTATAATATCATCATATTGAAATTCATTGTTTTCAGATAAATCTCATTGATTAGTATATTTATTTAATTTTTTAATAATATATTTGAATAAAGGTACAACAATGCAACCAAAACTTCAATATATATCAATCTATTTATTTTAATTTGAACTTTCATTGTTGTGGAAATGCAAGTTGTAAAACGGTTGGATGAATTTGTTGGATTTGTTGGTTGAACGATTGATGTATTGTAGATGATTCTTTCATTTTGTTGATTAGATAGGTTGACATATCGACTGTGTTGACTGGGTCGTGAGACGACACGATCTTGAGGTTAATGTCTACCAAGCTGGTTTCGGGCAATACCAGTCCATCCTCGGAGAAACTGATCAGTGAAAGGTCGATTGGATCGATGTCTGCACGAAGACCAACAACAATGGTGACAATAGGTGAAATGAGCTCGGCTACTTCCGTTCGTTGCACTGCCAGCAAATTGGAGAGTGCAACCGCTGTGAGTTTGCGTGCCTCCGAGGTACCGATCGAATCGATACGGTCGAACCAACCGTCAAAGAAAGGACGATAGGCAACACCGTACTTATCCATAAAAGCAAAGAATCCAAGTGGATTCATCGCAATCAACCGAGCGAATATATTGAAATAGTGAACGATTGCCAGTTCTGTCTCTTGAACTTGATCATTCTCTTCGTCACCACCGCCGCCACCACCGTTGATTCCATTGATAAGACAATTCAACTTGATAAATACCGGTTGTAATAATACTGCTCCCTCCACTGGATACACTTGAAGTACACGATCGATTGGTCGCATTGTTGAGAGCAAACTCTCGTCTTTGATGTCACCGAGTAGCATCAATATGATCTTGACAATCTGCTCACCGTAGATGACAAACAACTGTTTTCCACCGATGAGAATATAGGCATCCAATATCTTTAGTGCCATCTCGTTGTGTTCGAATGTCTTTTGAATGATGGCCAACAAGTTGCCAAACAACTTGAGCAACGGCTCCGAAAATTCTTTGGCTCGCACAATGAGAGCGTGCCACAGCTCGAGAGCGTCTTCAATGAGGTAAATCGATTCCTCCGTATCGGGAGTAGTCGATTGTTCGATCACCGGCAATAGGAATCCATAGAATTCAGTGGCATCGTTATTCAAAGCCTGAAGGAACAACGTCAGATTTCTAACAATGGCACTCTTCAAATGATGTGGAGCTTCACCATTACTCCACATATCAGATACCAATGTCATTATATTATTTCCAAATGGTTTAATCTATTTAACAAAACATTAGTCAACATGATCTTTAAAAACAAATTAAAATCTACAATAAATTAGTTAGTTTACTTACTTTTTCATTTATTTTAATGTAAACAGAACCTAATGTTTCTAATAATTTACATTTGATATCTACATTTGTGACTCTTTTCGATAGATTAAAAATAGATAACAATGTTCTATCTGCGTATGGAACAAAATCTTCTAATTCTGTTTGATAGTCATCGATATCTAAATACATATAGACAATTAAGAAATAGTTAATTAACATTGTTATGATATTTATAATTGATATCAGTAATAATTACATGATCTTAATGACTCTTGTGCTGTTAGTGCAATGACTAAATCATCGTTCGATGTCAACTCCAATACTAGATTGATAATGAATGGTTTCAAGTTGACTGGAATCTTTGGAATCCAATAACCGACCAACCAACAGACACGACGTCTAATGATGTTGTATCGTTTGTCTTGCATCTGTAACTCCTTCATAAAGACATTGGAGAATAGCTGTTCGAAGCTAACATTATCGTAGAGGTCGTAGTATCCAAGACCGACAGTCATGTAGCACGCTTCCTTCAGGAGAATCTGCTCGGTGCTCAGCTGCTGCTGCTGGTTACCGTCGACTGTCATGTGTCCACTCGTCACGTAGTTGAGCATCTCAAGCACCGTCCTCACACCGATCTCGTGAAAGTGTCGCATCAACAGGATGAACAGCGAGTAGGAACACGGTTTCATCTCGTAGGCGTTGGTCTCGGCACCGCTATCGATGTCGTTGATGAATTGCTCGGGATCCTCTTGCCACTGAGCGAGTTCGTCGCCGTTGAGAATCAGGTAGTTCGAGACGAGTGCACGCAGCAACTCACTCAGCACCTCATTACTAAAGAACTGGTGAATCGATTGCTGTGCTTTGATGGTCGGTGTCATCACGGTGGCAATCGAGTGTTTGGCAGCCAAACTCGACATCGGAGTGACTTCATCTTCATTCTCATCGTAGATCATATCGCTTTGATAGCTAGTACAATCGACGACATCCTTCAAGAAAGTAAGCGATTGCACCAAACTCTTCTTGAACACATGAACACCAGCTTTTGCATGATTGAAACTAATAATCTGTTGATTGAAATAGACCAATGATTTCGGTAGGAAATCAATAAAAGATAATGGATTTTGTGTTTGTGTTTTAACCAATATCTAAACAAGTTATTGGATCGTTAGTTTAGAATAAGATATAGGTAATTTAATGATAATGATAATGATAATGTTGTTACCTTTTGATTAACTGTTATTAGTTGATCGTAGTTTTGGGTGAATGGGTGATCCGATGGTAAGAGTTGAATGAGCTCACGGAATAGATGTAGCTGTGGAAGTAGAGTGAATAGTAGATCGAAATGATCGACAATCTCTGGTGTCTCTTGATATTGTGTATAGCCATTGACAATGACACGTCTCAATATCTTCGATACCAATACCAGCAACTCCAATGAATTCAAATGAGTTTGTATAAACATCTCCAATTGCTGCTGTTGTAGCTGTTGACCACTGCTCTTAACACCATCCAACAGCTTTATGAAACCAGACGATCCATCTCTAAAGAATTGACTAAAATATTTAAATAACTGTACAGATACCTATAGAATCAAAGTTATATATTAGAACAAGTTAACAAAACAACAACAACAAATTCAATTTCATCCATTTATAAATGTCCGAAAATAGTGGTTATAACTAACTTACTTGATAATATGATTGTCTATCAGGTTGGAATCTGCGTGATGCCAATTCATTGACCACTGCTTTTATTGTGGTGAGTGCACTCTTTTTGATAGTGTCATTTCCATTCTCATAGAGATTCAACAATGAGTTGAAGAGTGTTGGCCAATGTGCGGGAAAGTCGACTCTTGCAATCTGAGAGATGATGATAGCGAGATGTGCACTGATCTTTGCATTCTGACCTTGATGATCAAACTTTGTCAACAATTCAATAAACTGTGATCTATATACTTCTTTTTCCTGATCGGTTATAATTGAATTGCTATTATTACAATAAAAGATACATAGATAGATAGAGAGAGAGATAGATCAATGCGATGAATGTGGTGGTGTCAGTACACAACATCAAAAAGAAAATGAAATATTACAAAAGCAACATGTAACTACTTACTTTTTCTTTCTCCAAATCGATTGAATATGATTCTTTAATACTATGGTTGCAACGTATTGTACTAGTTGCGAGACATTGTTGTCAAAGAGTAGCGCTATCAGTGCACCTGTGAATCCTTGGACATCGTTTAGCTGTTTGATCTGCTGTTCTGTCACTCTCAATAGTTCGGTGTCTGCCGACAACACATTTGAAAGCAATCCACACAACTGTTCCTTTGTGAAATTCATCTAAGTGAACGATGTAAACTAAAGAAACAAAACAAAATGAAACAAAGATCTTTATTGTATGTTTTTGTTTTTTGTTTAAAACTTTTTTAAAAAAAACCACCACTTTGATTTAACAACACTTTCGTGCAATAAATACTATTCAAAGAAATCATATCTCCACACACTACTATATTGAATTATACTTTACAATCAAACGAACAACAAGTTGACTACAGTTTAGTTTTTATTTTCAAAAAAAAACTAAATCGATCAATAACAAATAACTATACTAAAAAATTCAAATAAAAAAAAAAAGAATATCACTTTAAATGAACTCAAGTTAAAAAATATCAATTATTTTAAATTTGTTGCAATAAATATTCATAACATGTAAGATATCTATATTTTTTGATCAGTTAGTTATATTCAAACTCTTTATTTTGTTTTTATATTTTTTTTTTTAATTTTGATTTTTTTTTTTTAAAAAAAAAACCGAATGATCCAAAAAAAAAATTTTGATATCGTCGTTGCTTTGGTGGAAATTTGTTGTTATTTTTTTTTGTCAATAATCAATTATATAGATAATATTTTAAAATGAACAATAGAATCTTTGTTGCCCGTCTCCCATGGTCTGTTTGCAAGAGTATGTGTTTTACATAAAATGATCATGAATCTCATCACTATTGTCGCACAGAGTCTATAAAAATATGAATATCAACAGTTCAACACAGTAATAATTCAACCACATTCATATTCAGTTTAATTCAACTTCTCCAGTCAATTCGATTCAAGCTGAAAAGATTAAGATAAAAAAATAAGAAATATTCAAAAAAAAAACAACTATACATTTCATGAAATAAATGAACAGTGAAGGTTGTTGAAGCAGCAAAAAATAAAGATAAAAGGAATTGTAATCGATTAAATGACATTGCATTGAACTGTGTTGGATTGGAATGGATTGGATAGGATAGGATTAGATTTGATTATATGTGCATATGACAATAATAATAATAATAATAATAATAATAATAATAATAATAATAATAATAATTAGATAAAGATGACATAAAATCAAAGGAATACAACAACAACAAATACTAATTTAAATAAACCTATGTTATAAATAAACAGTCGCTTTGAGAAATCACTTTGCTAAATACGGTCCAATCTCTGATGGATACGTAGTTTTGGATCGTATCACCAGACGTTCAAAGGGATACGGTTTCGTCACTTTCGCCAGCCAAGAGTCTGCTCAAAACGCCGTCTCTGCTCAACACGAAATCGAAGGAAGACAATTGGTTGTAAACATTGCTTTTGGTAAGTTATAACAATAAACCTTTTCTCATGATAGAATTTAATTAACTAACACTCTTTGTTTAATTAATATAATTAATTCAATCAGATAAAAACGCTGGTTCAACTCAAAAGTCAACTCAAGACGAAGTCGATGCTTAAATAATTTTAAATATATAAAATATAATATGACTAAAAAAAAAACAAAACAAATACATTTAAATTAAACAAAAAAAAACTTTAAACTTTTAAAACTTAAATTTAAAACATTATTATCATTGCAATGCAAATTTGATATATCTGTAATTGAAAAAAGATAATGAATATTCAGATTATTATAATGATGAGAGATTGACTAATTGAAGTTGATTTTAAAATAATAACTTTTAATTAATTAAACTTTAATTTAATTTAAATAAATACAAGAATTTGATACTAGTTTTTTATATATATATATTATTATAATCGCTATATATTATATGTTTATACTTTTTGAAAAGGGTTACCAGTACCTCCTGACTCAGGATCTTTATCGATTTTACCAGTTAACATCTTAGTTTTTATAGGTTAGTTAAGTTTTAAAGTTTAGTATCAACATATACATACACCATGTTGTATTCTCATTAAACAATCACGACCAACCATGATCATCTCTACTTGTTTATGTGGATCTGTTTCGAATTTCGAATTTTCATATTCATTTCTTACACTATCTCTTAAAATGACTTTCCTTTAAGAAGAGTATATATGGTATTAATAAAACTGTATTCAAATATCAACTACTACAACAACAATAACAACAATAGTTATTATAACAATGATATTTACCAAGGTATACCTTGTTCGTTTGTATGAGTGAAATGCCTCAAAGTTCTCATAATCTCTCTATATAATTTAATTGCTTCTCTATTTCCTGTACTAACAATCATCTTTTAACTTTCTTTCTTTCTTTTTTTATCAAGTAGTAGTAATGTTATAGTAATATATATATTATCTAATAATTATGTGTTACAAGTTAAAGATAAATAAATTATTGAGGAAACGAACTTCCATTGCCCTTCAGCAGATATGTTTTTTTTAACACCCCCTTTTTTTTTTTTTTTTTTTTTTTTTTTTGAAATTCAACTGTAACAGTTAAAATAACATAGTATAGAAAGAGGAAGAAGAACCAGTAAATTCAATGATTTAATAACTTAACTTTTAATTAGTTTAATCATAATAAAGATAAAGCACAACTTTCAAAGTTTTAATTTTTTTTAATCATATCGTATGAAACAATAAGTTTTATCACTTTAGTGTTTTTTTTTACGTTTCAATAAATAATTTTCTTATTTATAATATAAATATATATAATATATAATTACTATCATATATAATATAGTAAACATATTTAAAGAAATACAGCTGTAATATAATTAGTATAAAAAAAAGAGTTAGTTACATTCATAATTACTCTACACTTTCACATTGCAAAAAAAAAAGTTTTTTTTCAAATTTTTGTGTCACCATAAAAATTCACACACCAACATGTCAACAGAGGTAACATCAGCAATTGTAACAGATGAATCGACGGATTTATCAAGGAATGAATCTACAACACCAGAGAATCTGGAAGAGACCACAACAACCACAACAACAACTACAACTACTTCATCCACATCCACCACATCAAATAATAATAATTCAACAAATAACAGTCCGGAACTAAATGGAAATGGAACTTGTAATGGAAATGGCAACGATATACATATTGGAAATAATGAATTAAGAAAAGTATTGGATACCGGTACAAATATTTATTGTAAATGGAGAGATCAATATAGTAAGTCTGGCAACTTAAATAGTCGGGATGAATAGATTAGGATTTTGTTTTAATCTAATAATGAAAATAAAATTAGGATTATGTGAAATTATAGAGAAAAAAGAATCGGAAACATTGCCTGGAACCTATGATTATTATGTTCATTACCCGGGATTCAATCGTCGTTTGGACGAGTGGGTGCATGAATCGCGGCTGGATTTTTCGAGGATTGAAAACGAACCGAAAACACACACCACTGCACCGATTGCGGAGATTCAGAATAGCGATGGACAGAGTATCAAGCTGACACGTAATCTCAAGCGGAAACTGAATGAAACCAATCACATACAGAGCAACGACGACACCAAACTCTCAGAGATCGAAAAGGAGCACGAGGAGATCACCAAGGTCAAGAATATCAATGTGATCGAGCTGGGTCGCTACGAGATCGATACGTGGTACTTCTCGCCGTATCCCGAGGAGTTTGCCAAGTGCGAGAAGCTGTTTCTCTGCGAGTTCTGCCTGAAGTATATGAAGAAGAAAAAGACACTGAACAGACACAAGCTGAAGTGCGACCTGCGACATCCGCCTGGCAACGAGATCTATCGGTATGGGAACATCTCGATGTTCGAGGTCGACGGCAAGAAGAACAAGATCTACTGTCAGAATCTGTGCTTGCTCTCCAAGTTGTTTCTCGATCACAAAACACTGTACTACGATGTCGAGCCGTTTCTCTTCTACATCATGACCGAGTGTGATCAACGCGGTTGTCACATGGTTGGCTATTTCTCAAAGGAAAAGGATTCGCCCGATGGCTACAATCTCGCTTGTATATTAACATTACCACCATTTCAACGTAAAGGATTCGGTAAACTTTTAATTTCTTTTTGTAAGTTTAAAAAGTAGTTAATTTCTTAAATTTTCCAGTCATTAATTTAACCAAATGTTACTATTATTATTTAACAAAAAAAATAGCATATGAACTCTCAAAGAAAGAACATAAAGTTGGAACACCTGAAAAACCATTGTCAGATTTAGGTTTACTTAGTTTCAGATCCTATTGGACACAAGTACTCTTGGAGATACTGCGTAAGCACAAGGGTAATCTTTCCATTCTCGATATTTCAAATATGACATCAATTAGAGTAAGTCGAATCTAATTTAATTTAAGATTAACCAGATTTATTTTATTAATTAATTAACAATTTATTTTATTTAAAATAAATAGACTGAAGATATTATAAGTACACTGCAATCGCTCAATTTAATTAGATATTGGAAAGGACAACACATTATCTCTGTTACACCCAAGGCCATAGAAGAACATTTGAAGATTTACTCCAAGCAAACATTGAGAATAGAACCGAAATGTATCCACTGGGCACCGAATCCACCACCATCCAAAAAGAGATAGTTAATCAATCAAAATTGTATAATTTCAAAACTTTGACCACTGTCGTTTAATAATCCAACATCATATAGAAAGGATTTGCCAAACAATAAATAATTTAATTTATTCAGATTGATCCCAACAAGATTTGATATTACATTTAAATAAGCAATAGATTTTCAATATTTTTTTTTTTTTTAATAAATTCTCTTTTTCAAGATTAAATATCAATTCTGATCTATAACTATAAATTTATCAACGGTTCTTTCAATACATTGGTTAATATATATATAAGTTAATATATGAATTAATAATGGATTATTTTGTTTATGAGAACTTTTAAATTAGATCAAAATCAACTAATTTAGTGAACCTGAATTCTAAACTAAAATTTACACATATATGTAATTTTTTATTCCAATTTTTACTTTTTTTTAAAAATTTTTTTTTTTTTTTTTTTTCTTTTGACGAGTCGACCTTAAACAAAAAAAAATGGTTACTCCATTTCATTTGTTTCATAGTAACCACACAAACAAAGATATGACTTAAGTTATCTTCGTTCAGTGATAATAATAATTATCATCTTTTAAAAATGTAAATATCGACTCCACTCATCCAACTTTATCTGTTTTTATTAAATTTATAATTATAATATTATTTTAATGATGATATTTAATTTATTATCTAAAGTAAACTGTTGATAATATACACGAGCTTTTTAACACTGACTAAATAATACTATAATTATAATTTTTTTAAATAATCGCTATTCATTTTATTATAATACAAAAATATAAACTTTACTAACTCTTTGATTGATCTATTTACAGTATAATACATTCTTGTAGGTTAATGACTACTTGTCTACCCACCACTTTAAAACACAAAATATGAATTGACATTCATAAATCTTAAAGGTAAGGATTTATCATTCAAACAAAGATAGAGTTATAGATAATAGATTCTAGATGATGAAACAACCTAATTTTTTCTGACACTTCTAAAGATAGGGCATAGGCCCCCTGACTCAGAATCATGTATCTGACAATCTATTATTTAATAACTCTATTTTTCTCTATTGTTACATTTTTTTATATAAATAACTAACTTTATATTATCTTTTTTTTAATCATCTCTCTAAAGATAGATTTATTTAAACACTTAACTTTAATATTTAAGTTTGTTTTCTATTTTGTCTTTTTGACTAACTACCGATCAACCATACCATATCACCATTATTTATGATCCTATTTTCCCCACATGATATAAGGTTATTATTGGCAGTATTGTTCAAAAGTACAGTCACCTCATTTCTGACGCGCGTCGCACCCATCAGAACTCAAAGCCAGACCACCACCACGTTCCCCACCACCCAGTGTAGTGTGAATTTCTGGTTTTCTTAAACGCAAATAAATCAACTAAAATAAAATATTTTTTGTTATAATCTTCAAAAAACATCAAAATCTTCAAATTCAAAGGTTCTATTTTCACCTAATTTGTATTAAAATGTGCGAATTGCACCAAAAATAATTGATAAAAAACATTAAAATTCTCATTTTTTTTTGTTTTTTTCGAAAAAAGTGTCATAAAATTTGATGTGCATTATCAAAAATTAAAATTTATTTTTATTTTTTTAATAAAAAATATTGTCATTCACACTGTACTGTTGTTCAACACCATTCACTTTAGTTTACATGTTAATGTTTTAAATTATAATATCTAATATTCATTCATTTAAATATATTATACAATTATATAAACATTTTTACATATATTTATAGATATATTATATTATATTTTTATATAATATAATATTTTCATAATACTTCTTTTTATTTTTTGAAAGATGAGTTATAATGATTATAACTATATGGGGTATTATGGACAATCTACAGTTCCGCCACCACCACCACCTCCACAGCCACAACACGAAGATTTGTATGGTCCTACCTATGTAGATCCAAGATATTCATCAACTGTACAACCACAAAATCAACAACAACAAACATCACAATATGATACAAGTAGTTATTATCAACAACAACAACAGCAACAACCACAACAAAATGTAAATGCAGCTTATAATTATCCATATGGATATGGTGGTGATACTAGTAGTAGCAATACAAACACTCATACCACTGCTGCTGCTACCAACGCTACTAATGATCCTTATAATCAATACCAACAATATACTGCCAGTCCAACTACTACTACTGCTGCTGCTACCAATTCTCAGTATGGCTATGATCAGAGCACTACCAGCGATGCCTATTCACATCAACGTCAAAATTCTAGTGGTTATTTAGATCAACAGCAACCAAATAATTCTGTATATTATAATCAACAACAACAACAACAACAACCATCACAACAAACTCGTACAGACTATGATTACACCAACACTCATAATAGTAGCACTGCATCAACTGTTGGAAATTATGATCATTACAATCAACAACAAACAACATACGATGATCATTCGCCTACTAATGCTAATAATAGACACAGTCAAGGTTACCAATATTCTCCTGTCTCGACTGGTTATGACCAGCAACAACAACAACCTGTTCCAATTAGTGTTACTGCTGGAGAATCAAGTGCAATTAACAATAGACATAGTCAAGGTTACCAATATTCCCCTGTCTCAACTGGATATACTGGTTATGATCAACAACAACAACACTCTAGTGCATCTTTGGCTGCTGATGAATCAAGTAAGATAAACAATAGACGTAGTCAAGGTTACCAATATTCTCCTGTCTCAACTGGATATACTGGTTATGATCAACAACAACAACACTCTAGTGCATCCTTGGCTGCTGATGAATCAAGTAAGACAAACAATAGACGTAGTCAGGGATATCAGTATCCACCGACAGCGGGCTATACAAGCTACGAACAACAGCAACAGGAATACCAGAGACAACAAGAGTACGAAGAACAATGGAGAAAATACTATGAACAGCAGAAGCAGTATGAGGAGCAGTGGAGACAGTACTACGAGCAACAAAACCAGGAGATGGAGCGTATCAAACAGCAACAGAAGGAGGAGCAAGACAAGATGCAAGCTCAGCTACAAAAGGAGCGTGAAGAAGTGGAGCGTCTCAAGCGTGAAGCCGCCCAGAAGTACCAGGAGGGTGAGCAAGAGAAGCAGAAGATCATGATCTGGCAGCAAGAGGAGATGAAGCGTCAGATGAATGAGTTGCAACGCGAGAGAGAACTCGCGAGAAAGCACGACGAGGAAGTGAGACGCGCCATCATCGAGGAGCAGAAGCAACAGCAACAAAAGTTGAACGAACAACAAAACATATTGCGTCAGCAACAGGAAGCAATCACCCGCAAACTCCAGGAGGAAGAGCGTGCCCGCCACCAAGCGGAAGCACAGAAAGCCGAGGAGATCAAACGACAGGAAGCACAGCTGCAAAAGAAGAAAGAAGACATCGATTCACTCGTCAAGAAGTTTGACTCCGAGAAGAACCACGAGCGATCACTGGCAGAGTCGCGCAAGTTTGACTTGGCCAAGCAACAAGAGGAGCTTGCCAAGCGCAATGAAGAGATCGCCAAAGAGAGAGAAGCAATCGTCGAGCTCAAAAAGAAACAGGAGCAAGAGAGAAATGCACTCAAGATTGAGTTTGAAAAGAATCGTCAACTCGAGGAGCAGAAGCTGAGGGAGCAGCAGGACGCCATCAAGCGTGAGCAAGAGTTGCTCGATATCCAAAAGAAAGACATCAAGATCCAATCTCAACAGGCAACAATCGACTCGCTCCAGCCAATGAGAGACATGGTTGCAGCGATCAATCTGAACCAAAAGTCGCCACCTACTGGCAATGTAGTTCCTTCCAGTTTGGGTGCCAAGAAGATTCCAACCAAACAGGCACCACTTCCACCACCTGCCGCTGCTGCTACCGCTTCAGCCGGTGGAGTTGTTACTATTACTGCACACAACTCTGCACCAGCCAAGACAACACCAGCACCACCAGCACCAACAGCGACACTGGTACCTCAAACTGCAGTGGTAGTCAATGCAACTGCGCCAAGTGTTTCCGAGGTCGTTGCTGTCACCAAGCCAGTCCCGAGATTCCCACATGTCAATCTCAATGAAGTGGCATCACTCAACGGAAAGCACTACAAGGTGGGCGACGTTGTCAAGATTCAACGTTGCTTCAGAAAGTGGTCGACCAGAAACAAGTTTAGATCGCTTGTCTCTCTAAAGTTGCATGCCAACGACCCAGAGACTGAGAATGCAAAGAAGAGATTCAGAGCTGTAAACGAAGTCTATAGCACTGAAGTTTCCTATTTAAATTCTTTATTAATTTTGCAAAATGTAAGTTGGATCTTCTTCAAACACAAATTATATGATTGAATCAATCAATTAATCAACAACACAATTGTTATTATTATTGTTATAGTTTTATTTTATTCCAATGGAAGTAGAAGCCAAAGTTACCAAGTTATTCAAGTCTGAGGAGATTGGAAAGATTTTCTCAAATCTAAAGAGTTTATTACAACTCAGCAATGACTTCCACCATGAGCTAGAGAAAAGATTAAGTAAATTCCCAATATTAGTTGGTGATGTATTTTTGAAATTTGTATGTTGTCATATATATTATCCAGATTTATATCATTCCATAGAGTAACTAATATTTAAAGTATATCTCTATGATAATAATTAGGCACCAATATTTAAGATCTATGTAGAGTATGTTAATAACTTTGATCAAGTATCACCCAAGTTAAAGGTAATGATGGAAACACCTCAGGGTGCTTCATTCTTTACTGAACAGAAAAAGAAATCAAGATCAAATATGGATATGTAAGTAAAATTTATAATTATCATTTTAATTTATCTTATTTAAAAACTAAAAATTTAATTAATTTGAATTTCTATTTCTCAAAATAATAATAATAACAGTCAAAGTTTATTAATTATGCCAGTTCAACGTATTCCTCGTTATGAGCTATTGCTTAGAGTAAGTTGGATGACATCATCATCAATGATTGATGTGACCATCAGATGGTCAATCAAAATGTTTTCAAATTACAGACTTTAGTGTAATATTTATTAACTTTTTTTCATTACGATAATAATAGGAAATTCTAAGTCATACCCCACAAGACCATACCGAATATAAAAATATAAAGACCGCTCACGAATCAATGAAAGGTATCAATCAATATATAAACGATAGAAAGAAGAATGTTGACAATAGATCCAAACTACTCGAAGTCCAAAAAGAAATCAAAAATGTTCCCGTAAGTACTATCTATCTATCTATATATATATATATATGTAGTGTGTTGTGTTATTTTTTGATTAATTTGGCAAAGTAATGCGAAGTGTTCGTTGATCAATGTAGTGAATCAGCATCATCAAACTTTGCACATTTGCACAAACGATAAAAAATTAATTAATTAATTTGTTTTGTGGTGTGATGCTCGGCCGCCAACAAACTATTATTAATTAATTTCGCCCAATCAAAACAAACCTGATTAATTTTTGGTTTTTGGTTATTTTTTTTTGTAATTTTTATTTTTGTTTGTTCATTATTGGAATGAGCATTGACTAACGATTATTAATAACTTTTCAATCGATTGAAAAATATCAACTTTTTTCATGCGCTCTTCGCAGGAATTGTTGGCATCACATAGATATTTTGTTAGAGAAGTGTCTTGTGTTATCGCCTCGACCAAGAAGAATGAATCTGGAAACTTCTACTTGTTCATCTTTAACGACAGTATTTTGGTAACAAAAAAGACCAGTATTTTCTCTTCTTACAAATATGAATACCTCTTCACCATTCCACTCCTGGGAGATACCGATGTGAAAGATATCGAATCAAAAGGTAAGTTGGCCAACTAAGTAAACTAGCAAACAAACACTCAACATAAAACACTAGATCTATCTGTGTTTTTCAATTGAAATGTTTACAATTTATTTACAATTTATTCACTTCAAATCTAACTTTTTTAATTAAAATGTAAAACAAATCCAATAGATTCAATGGTGAGAGTGGTTTATGGAAATCTTAGTTCCGTTGATGTGGTAATCTATACATTGTGCTTCAGCTCCAAAAAAGATAAAGATGTGTTCCTCTCGGATCTAAAGTCCGAGGTTTCCACAAAGAGTGGTATGATGAGGATTCAATCATCTGCAACACTTGGTCACTAGTTGGTAAAGGACCGTCCAACAACACACAGCTACACAAACTGAAACCAACCACAACCAAACAACCAACCTACCAACAAACAAAAACTTTATAAATTTAGATCTTGTTTTCATGAAAAAACAATAAAAAAAAAAACAATAAAAAATAAAAAATATTTATCAAAAAAATATTACAAAAAAATATGTCAAGTCCATTTGCACATTGACAGATGATTATGTGAAGAGATGGTTATTTTATTTTTGTGTTTAAGAAATCATAAACACACAATAAACCTTTCTTGTCTTGTTTAGGTTTGTTCTATTCTGTTGCAGTGTTTTGTTTGAAAAAATAAATTTATTGCGAAATGTTGATGATGATGTTCACTTCACTCACTTTTTTTTCACAGTTTCATTTAAAATTTATCAGGTGTGTTAAGGTGTGATTTAAAGTGACCACACTACCACAACACAACACACACCTTTTCAAATCAAAAACAAATCAAAATTGAACTAAAAACACCATAAATCAGATATTTGCCAAATTTCATGAAAAATGATGTTTTTTTTAATTAATTAAACTTTTTTTAGTTTTTTTTTTTTTGTGGGATTTGATGATTGTCAGTGCGATCACAGTTTATGAAACGGAGTTTTAATTCTTTCTTTATTTTTTTTTTTTTTTTTACCACCCTCCCACACCCCAGTGTTTGTGTTTTTTGTACAAATTTCATATTTTGATAGGGTATGTTGCAACAATGATGTTTGTGTATTAATATCTTGGTACAAAAAAGACAAAAAGAGGTTCATTTGGTTTAAACGAAATCTGGTGAGGTATCTCCATGAATGAACCAAAGGATCAATCTGATTTTCAGCCTATTGAATTACTTAATAAATTGCTATTAATTCAGCTGATTGCTTTACTGCAAACACAAATTGTTTTTTTTTTTCTGACCCATAGTTTAGTTTTTTAATACAGTTTGATTATAGTAGGTGTTTGACACCAAGCACAACAACACCTGGGTGTTTCATCTTTCAACATACCTGTTTCCACAATAATATTTTTTGTGGAGTATCCTTTTTTGCTGCGGTCAAAAAAAAAAAAAAAAAAAAAGTGTGCACAAGTATGAGGTTTAAAACCAACCAAATTTGGTTGGTGAGATATTGTTTTGTTGACAAAGGGTGGATAATAGATGAACGGATCAATGTGTCCAATATTTGCAACAAAGTGTTGTTTATTTTTTGTTTGTTGTTGTTCTGAATAAAAACCAAACTTTTCTAATCTATTCTATAACTATATTCCAAACAAGATTTCAAATCATTTTTCATTACCAAAATTACTTATATTAAGTAATCAAAAAAAACAAAAAAAATCATATTATACATATTCAAATAATTATTTATTTAATTATTATTTATCAGCATCATTATTTATTTATTGTTTATTCATTATTTAATGTTCCTTATTTAATAAATACAAATTCTATTTCTTTTTCTTTTTCTTTTTTTTTTCAATCAAATTTAATTGGTTAGTTTTAATCTGTATTGCTATTGATTTAGATATTGAAATTAAACACTTCAATCACATTGATCAGTCAATAAAAAAAACAAAAACAAAACAGTAATTCAAGTAAGTATATGTTTAATATGAAAAGAATATTTTGTTTGTCTAGATAAATAGATTTTTACTACATTTGTGTAATAGCTAAAAATGCTACCTATGAGTCTATTTGTGGATATTTGTAATACTATTATTAACTGTGCAACACTTTGTATTTGATGTCTTGCTTGCAATCAAAATCAAAAATGTGCAAAATAAAAAATAAAACAAAAAATGCAGCACTCTCCTCTCTGGACATCTCCCCACATTTTTGTTTATTTCCACACCCACCCCACACATTCACTCACTTATTCACACCCCATCGACCAAGATCAAACATTTAAACAATCAAATTCGATCAATACTCCCCCACACTCACTTGCTAGCCAACTCTTCTTTCTTTTATTGATATTGTTTGACACTTTCGTACTTCTCTGCTGTTCTCTCCTCTTAGATTATTATGATGATGGTCATTTGTCTATCCTTTTGTGGTAAAGAGAGGAAGAGGAAGAAACAGCACCATTCGTAACAGTTAAACACACTGTTTTGGTGTATTTCTAATTAAGTGCAAAAGTGATAAACAATAACTCTATTCATACAAGATATGCGTGATTCCATAGAGATCAATCTTTTTTCTATCATTTTAATACTCTCTACGTTGATGGTTCAAGTAACAAGTTCACCTCGCCAACCACCTTTAATCTTTCATTTATGATCTTTTTGTTTGTTTTTTTCATTTGATCAAACATTTATACTTCTTCAGATATATTAAAAAATGTGTTTTTTGATTAGTTGTTGATCAAAATTATATATTAACTTCATTGTATAGTATACATTTAAATATATATTTATATATATTGGTCTGTTGTTGTTTTTATTTTTGTTACTCTGTTGTTTATATATTTGTTTTTTATAATAATTACAGATATTATTCATTGCGTAAATTATATATGTTTTAATAATTATGTAGGTATTAGATATTACATACATATTAGATTGACAAAATATAGAAGAGATAATTTTTATTTATTTGTTTTTGTTTATCTAAACCTGATAAAATTATTACCACTACCAACTAGTTGACACCTGACTCCACTCACACTCACTCTTCATTTTGATTGATTTCCAAAATCAAACCACTCATTGTTTTATGTGTGAGCATGTGTTTATGTTTGTGTCTGTTTGTTTGTGATGAATGTGTTGAAGACTGTGACTGTGTATATATTGAACTGACTGACTAACTGTGTGTCTGTTTGTGCGTGAGTGTGTGTGTGTGTGTTTTGATGGTAATTGTTTGTTCATATATTTAGAGATATTTTATCAACACAGTGTGTTATAATTATATATTCCCACCCACTTTTATTTATCAAATAAACAAATGTATAGCAGTTCACTGTATGTTCTTCCCCTTTGAAATAATGAATTCAATATTTGTTGTTCAATACATGTCGCAACATTTATATTTATCATGGCATTTGTGTTGTCCAAATCTCATTCAAAAACTGAGATCCTAACAAAAAATCACAGATAAAAGTTACCATCTATGGGAATATTAATTTTAATTAAATTCAATTTCGTGGGAAAATAATTTTCATTCTAATAATGGGTAATGACCATCAATTTTAATTTAATATATGTTGTTGTTGTTGTTGCTGTTTTTGCTGTTGACGTCTTTGACAACACGAATATTTGAATTTATATATTTTCAAACAACAATGTCCACATATTATACACTTGTTACCCTGATCTTCCATCTTCCTGAGTAAATTTTTTGATTCATTGGTTCGATCAAAGAAAGAAAAAAATCTATCCAATCCTCACAACAATAATTAATAAATATTAAATAAACCAGAGGATCACCAAACCAAACAAATAAAAATAAAAAAATAACAATTAAATAATCAACATTGACAATAAAACACCACTACCAACCATCAAACAAACAACCAACCAACAAAAACATTTGAATATCAATTGTAACAATTCAACCATTAATTAGTTGGAAATATAAACTAACTAAATCTAGCTAATTTATAAATCAACATCAAAAAAAATCCTTTTTCAGTTTATTATTGTTTTTTCAAAATTACTAAAAGTAATTTATAATCAACTTGTATTGTATCGTAATTACTGTAAAGTATAACATTCTACTGGTTAGTTTTATATTTTAAAAATTATTGTTTTTACAAACATAAAAAAAAAGTTAATTTTAAATATTTAATATTTCTTTATTGTAATATTAAAAGTTTTTAATATTTATAAATATTCTTTGTTTGTTTAAGTGGAAAGTTTCAATCAAAACTACCACAAATTACAAAAAACACATACCACACTAAAACCTTTGTTTTTTTTTTTCAATATATTGACCTTTGAAATTTCAAAGGGATATCTTCAGTTCCAACCACATTTCTTCGTACCAAAAATATATATTTCGTGGTTGGAATTGCCCACCAGATATAAATTAAATGAACGAGTCCACATCATCGTTAAATAATAGCCACAATATATCAAATTCTTTTAAACAATACAATTTAAAATCAAAAAAAATTGATTGATTTAAATTATAGTTGTTTAAGTATGATTATTTTTGTAACAACATCAACAACAACAATAATAGTCAGTACTTTGAAATTTGTTCTTTAACTAATAATTATTAAATATCACAATTTACTAAAATTAATTAATACTAATAATATTTATTAATAATTTAATTTATTTAGAATTATTTTATTTTGCAAGAAAAAAAAAACCAATCTTGTTTTGTTTTTTTTAATATTTTTTATTTTATTAAAGAATTATAATTATTAGATAGATTTTTAAAATGGCAATTGTATATCAATATACTGCTCCATATTATTGGAGTTCACCACAAAACCAATTCCATCCAGCCACTGCAGTTTCATCTGCTGCCAGTAAATTAACACCAACTTTTCAAGGTGCCACTCCAGAACAAATTGCTGCTTTCCAACAGTATCAACAACAACAATTCATACAACAACAACAGCAACAACAATTCCAACAACAACAACAGCAACAACAACAACAACAACAACAATACCAATTACACCATTCACTATCTTCCAGTTCACTTTCTTCAGACTCTGAAAGTCCAATCCTACCATTAAAGAGACAATTTTCATCCGATGACATCAATTCAAGTTATGGTGATGATAATCTCAATGACCAAGATGAGGACGCCGGAAGTGATATCGATGAAGAATACCTACAAGAGGAACAACTAAAGTCATTCCTCCAGCCTTTTATTAAACAAATTTTAGAAACCAAAGCTTCACACTCAATATTAAATCTGATTTCAGATTGTATAAAAGAATATATTACAGTAAAAACAATGTTATCAAAAGTAAGTTTATAAGTAAACAAATAGATATTTAATTAAATATCAATTTAGCTAATTCTTTTTTTTTTTTTTTTAGATTAAAATTATTTGCAAAGAAAATCAATTAGATTATATTTATCAAACACTTGTACAAACATTTATTAAAGTAGATGGAGATGTTAAAATGGTCAATTTCTTGGTTGACTGTGGCGTAGAGGAGTCTGATTTGGAGTTTGTCAAAGACATCGAACTCACTCAGAACAATATGGAAGTTGTAAAGAAGAAGCGTGAGAGAAAGAGAGAGAGTATCAGCAGAGGTCTGAGATCGCCACCCAACAAGTGGACAAAGGAAGAATCACAGAATCTCATTCGTTTGGTTACAGAGAATGGAGACAAACAATGGAAGAAGATTGCTTCGAAGCTGGGCGGCGGAAAAACCGGTGCTCAATGCGCACAACACTGGAAGCGTGTGCTCAGTCCGGAGATCAAGAAGGGCTCGTGGGACGAAGACGAAGAGCTCCTGCTGTTCCAGTTGGTCGACAAGCACGGTCAGAGCTGGAAGAACGTCGCCATGGAAATTAAGACACGTACTGACATCCAGTGTCGCTACCAATACTTCAAGGCGACCACTTCGCGTCAGACACCGTGGTCCACCACCGAGTTGGAGCTTCTCACCAAAAAGATCGACCAAATCCTATCACACAGCTATGAGGTGACCTCATTCCAGCAGGTCGCCAAACATCTGGCACGTGCCAAAACCACGAAAATTCCACGTACCGCATTGGAATGCAAAATGAAATGGAACGAAATCTGTTCGTTCTACCAACAACAGAATCGTCATATTCCACAACAACAAATCATTCCATTGTACAGATCTGATCAAAATTTTTGAATCAAATAAAACAAAAAAAAAAAAAAAAGAAAAACTATCCAATGTTCATGAATTTCTTACCAGATAAATATATTACATTATTTGTTTACCACTACTTTTTTATTCTATTTCTTCAATAGTTAAAAATAGTAATATTATTGGTATTATTTAATTATTTTCTAATATATTAATTAGATTTCTTATTTGTATAAAACTTCAATAAATATTTGTAAATTGTTGGAAAACTTAAAGGTGTTGTGTGAAAAAATACAAAGAATGAAAATAGACACTACACTTTACAAACATTCAAAAATTCCCGCCTAACTTAACCATTTTTAAACTTATTTATCAAATTTTGATCATTTTTTTTTTTTTTTTTTTTAGAAACACGTAATTTTTTTTTTTTAAACTTTTTTGTGATCATCAAACCAATCTGGGATTCAGTTTTGGGTGTTTAAAGTTAAATTTGATTTGGTTTGATGTTTATAAGGTTGTAAATGATTTAATCAATCATTCAATTTTAGTAATATACAAACAACAATGAATAACATTCCAATGTCAATGTCACAATTGAATGCATCTTCATTGTATAGTCAACATCAACAGCAACAATATCAACAACAATATTACCAACAATCACAACAACAACAGCAACCACAACAACAGTATTACCAACAATCACAACAACAAGTATATGGAGATGAATCAACATCTACTACTCCAAATACATCATCTAGATATTACTATAATGTAACACCATCGCCTGCCACACCATTGTCGGCAGTCGGTAGTCTAGTTATTCCGAGAAGTGTCATCACACCAACTTCACCTTCACCTTCATTGCCACTTCCACAACCACATTCAACAACAACAACAACCAACTTTGGTAATAGTAGTTTAGGAAGTGGTGAATCGCCAATGATGATGATCGATCAACAACCTTATCACATGATTGACCCAACAACTTCACAACACCACCAACAATATCAATTCCAACAAACAACACAACCATTGAATAAACAATCGACAGCTGCAACCACATCGGTCAGTAACAACCTGGCGTCATTCTCCAAGGAGCAGGAATGGCAGTACATCTTTAAGAATGCGGTGAGTATGATCGACGAAAGCATCGCCAATCTCGACACTCTGGTCGACCCTACAAAGACACTCGATAGTACACCGATCACCGGTTACAACTACTTTGAATCTGCTAATCCCGTGTGGAGTACACTTCTGCTCGAGAAACACATTCAATTCCCACAAGAGATTACACAGCGATACCTGACGGCCAACACCAAGACACTGCAAGGCATCTTCCCAGAGATAGGAAAGGCTTGGATCTCCATCGATCAGACACTCTTCCTCTGGGACTATCGCGACGGTATCAACGGTGGTGAACTCATCACCAATCATCTCTCACAGATTATCACCGCATGCGGTCTAGTCGTACCACGTCGCAACGTCTTCAAAGACACCGTTAAATATCTACTAGTCGTTTCCACACACGTAGAGATCTTCCTCTTTGCATTATCATTTCAAAACAATGATGAACAAAAAGTTGAATTAATAACAAGTAACTATCTATCTATCTATCTAATATTTTAATTACAAATTACTAATCATCATTCTATTATTATTATTGTTATTATTATTTTAGCACCACTTGTTATTCCAACAGATTCTGTTATTATCAATGATATAGTTGGTACAGATGAAGGTAGAATCTTTGTAGGTGGTCAAGATGGTAATTTATATGAGATTGTTTATAACGATGGTCAATCATCGTGGTTTAGAACCAGTAAGATCAGTAAGATCAATCATACCACATCGATTTGGAACTCTATCTGGGCAAGTAAGAAAGCAGAGATCATTCAAATCCTCTATGACTCTCAAAGAAGAATGATCTTTACTTTGGATAAGAATTCTGTTATCAATGTAAGTAAAGTTTAACAATTTTATTATAAACAATCTAGATTTAACTAACACAACATTAATATATAAATCTAAATAATAATAATAACAGAGATATTATCTAGGTGCAACAAATAAGAATGCATTGATACATGAACAACCTCTAACACCACTTGCAAGATACAACACTGAATCAAGACTATCGATCATCTCTATCAATCTATCATCACAAGTCGACTATCAACTAATTGCAATCTGTTCGAATGGTGTTCGTTTATATATATCACAAGTAAGTTTAAAATATATTGTTACAATTAGTTTTAGTTTTTAGTTATCGTTATATTTACTTATGTTATGTACGTTATCTTTTTTTAGAATTCTGGTCATCTTAAATATGCTAGAAAACCACCTATTACAGGTACAGAACCACACTACTCATTCTATTGTAATGGTGTGTATTTCGTTGCGATTGAATCGAGTGAGTTGATGGATAAACTCATTGGTACCACTCCGTTCTCGAGAAAGATGATCAAACGTTTGTACGAGGCAGACAATCAAGGATTCATAACAAGCTCCAATGAAGATCCACTCGAGGAACGACCGAATCAAATCAATATCAAAGGCAGAGTGAACGTCATCAAAGAGGACATTGTCAACGTTGCCACCGGAACATCATCTACATCGTCGATCGTCTTTTACAAGGAATTCAAATACGAACACGCTACCATCCCAAGAAGATTCCTTTGTCTCAACTCACTAGGTCTTCATATCATTACAAAACTACGTTACGTCGATCTATTGCGTAATCTTCTATCACTTGGTAATCTAATTGATATAGATGTAAGTTATCAATGGATCTAATTCTAATTCTAATTCTTATCTAATATATATTCTAATCATTGTTTGTTGTTTGTTTGTTTGTTTTTAGACATTCTATAATGAATTTGGTGCAATCTATTCGAATTCATTGTGTATTGCGATATGTTGTGAGACACCACAGAGTGCACCGTTGTTGACAGAGCAATTCTACGGTGCTTTGAGTGCACCCAAGTCGGCATCACAGAGATTGGTCGATCTTGCGATGACCCAATTTAAAAGACGTGCTGGCAAACCATCATATTTGCAGGCGAAAGCTATCTTCTCACAGGATATGGGTACCAGTGTCAATCAATCAGAGATTGTCTATTCGAATGCGCACAACGCTGTCGTTGCCTACATCAGTCGTGTGCTCTCACCGATCTGGTCAGAGGTATTGATCGATGCCAGCAACTCACACTGTCCATGGTCCGCAATCCAACTGAAAACCATTCAATCGCACCTCGTCAACCTCTTGTTGTTCTTGGAGAACTCGAATCTTGTACAAAAGAACGAATCTGACATTCCAATCTCAAAGAAACCAATCAATGAACAATCAACTGATGAAGATGCATTAAAGGTAAGTAGTTACAATTAACAAAACAAAATAATCATTTAGTTACTAACTTATTATTCTATTCTTTAATAATAATAATAATAATAATAATAATAATAATAATAATAATAATAATAATAATATTATACAGAATGAAAAGAGAAATCTATTGGGTATTAAGAAATTAATTCAAAAGTCATTACAAGTCATCAATTTATTCTTGATTCTCTTACAATTTAACTTTCAACAAATCTTTGAAGGAATGGAAGGGTATGTTTTATAAAACAATCAACAACAATATAGTTAGCTATTTATTTGTTCATATTATTAATATACTTATTATCATTTACAACTAACTATTTAGTTTGAGTCATGACGATAAACAAAAGATGTATCAATTTAAATTTAAAGACTATGTTCAAAATCAAACAGATTTGTCACCATCAAAGAATGTACCTTCATTATTGATTGTATCTTGTATGAAGTTATTGAATTCATTGAATATTCAAGTAAGTTGTAAAAAAGTATTTAGTTAACCATTAAAATATAATATAATATTAATAATAGTTTTTACTTGTAGATTGATAATGTAACTAGACAATTAGAATATGAATGTCCAGATATATTTAAAAAGACTGATAAACAATTGATTGTTGCCAAAGACAAGTTGAAGAATGCAATCAGAGATGGAAAGAGTCATTATACCGATCAGCTGGTGAAGGATGCACTTATGATTCTCGATGAGATCTCACCAAAGTTTGATCTCAATGAGATCATTGGATATCTTGTTGCCATCCAGTACTTTGAGTATATAGTGCCATTGGCATTGACATATGCCTCGAGACTAGATCCCAACAACCTCACACAAAACCAAAACAACAAGCAATCGTCCGATCCATCAAAGGCCAACGAAGCAAAGGAGAAAGAAGAACTCAAAAAGAAAGCTCTCTTTGAAATCTTCAAGGTCATCGATTTAATTATCAATGATCAAGATGATTTCGCATCAAAGGAATTCATTGATTATGTTAGTATAGATAATATTTGATAATCATTAATTATCAATATATATTAATTTGTTTATCTTTTTTTCTTTCTTTCTTTTCTTTTCTTTTTATTTTAGATGATCAATCAAATACTAGCAAGTAATGATAGAATCTGTCATGAAATGTTATATAGTTGGTTGTTAACAAATAATTTAGTTGATAAACTATTTGATGTAAGTTTGATTGTGATTTGCTTTTTATTAAAAGATTGACCAATATTAATACCTAAACAACTATTATATATTTAGATTAAATCACCATATATTACAGAGTTTTTATATGAAAACGATATTGAACTTTGTTGGAAGCAATTGGCAAAGAATTCACAGTTTGAAGATGCCGCCAAGATTTTAATTGAAATTGCAGAAAAGTATGTTGAAATGAAATCAATTTAATATTTATTTAATGACTAAAATAACTAATCAATAATAATTATTATCATTCAAAAAAAATAGATCAAAATTATTAGATAAAATTAAATGTTATACCAATTGTGCTTTGGTATTAAGTGAATTAAAAGAAAATGAAATCTATTTATTTGCAAAGAGACAGCTTGTTGTAAGTTTGAAACAATTATCAAAACTACTTGGTTGATTATAAATACTAATCACCCGCCCTTTATTATCTTTATTTAGTTTTGTCAAATTCAGAAAAAGATTGTAAATCAGCTTTCTAATCTTTTGGAAAATAACTCTGTCGCTCCAGAACAAAAGAAGGAAATTAAACAAAGTTTAGATAATTTAAATGATAATATATATGATATTACAACTGTAAGTATTTTTTATAAACATTTCATCAGAAATCATAGTAGTTTATTAATATATATATCGTTTTGTTGAAAATAATAATTATAGCTGTTTACTGAGTATGCTAGAAAATATTTATTACATGAGGAAATGTTGTATTTGGTTCATATTGGTAATCATGATGACCAACAGTTTGTAAAACTGCTCTGGAAGATCATCATTGAGAAGGAAGCACAAGAGCGTTACAGCGATGTCAATCAGCTGGTGGAGGCGTTGAAGACAAAGATCGTCAATATTGGCTACGATCTCTATCCAAATGATAGTACTTTCCCGTTGCAATCGATCGTCAATATCGCTGAGAAGACAGTGTTTGTCTATGGCGAACAGACACAGACCTCGGTGGACGACGCACTCTGGCTGATCCGTCCGTTGCACGACCAGGTCAAGATCGACTATTGGACACTGCTCGATCAGTACCGTGAGATCATCGAGGATCAAAACACATCGATCGAATCGAACGAACCTACATGGCGAACAAACACCGAGCGTGACTATCTCATTTCCATCTTTATCACTCTGATCGAGACCATGTTGAAGTTATTCCCACCACAATCTGTTGAGCGACATGTCTTTAACACCAAGAGAATCAACTACACACTCCGACAACTAAAAGATAAAGTATCTTCACAATTAAAATCAAGAATTGATAATTTAATAAAAATTCTAAATTAATATACTTTTGAAACAAAAATAATATGTTAGTAACGAGTAACATACACAAAGCTTACTTTCAAATAAATAAAAATTGAAAAGACAACATTTTACTTAAGTAAAAATAAAATTATTTTAAAAAAGAAACAGGAGATGCACCAGTGTTATTTTACAACTATCAAAGAAATATACTGTCAGCTATTATGGTTGATATTTATTGTTATTTTTTTGGTAATGGAGAACCAAATTGATTATTTTTTAGATTCTAAGTTCAACAAAGATGGAATCTTGTGATTTATAAGATGGTTTTAGTAGATACAAAGAAATTAAGGAAGTCAACATTAAATGAAAACGTCCAACGATTTTGTAGAATTCTTCTTCATCCTCTTTGTTTTGAAGAGTTGGAATGAATTTTTGAATTATCAGGTTTTCATGAATAAAATATTGTTCAAAACAATTATCCAATTCTTTATCCATGAAATCAAAACATTCTTTATCAGACCAATTGTTTTGTGTTTTCATAAAATAGAAACTATTCATTCTTACATCTTTTTCTCTAAGTTCCTTTTCATAAGAGAATATATCATTGTAAAGAGCAGCGAATTTTCCTGTATAATCCGATAAACTTTTCCAAAGTGGGTCAAGAAGAATATCAGGGTTTAATCTTTTCATGGTGAATATTACACCTAAATAAAAACCTGGTTCTATTCCAATATTGTGTCTTCTAATATTATAATATAAATTCATACTCATATCACCTTCCAATTTCTAAAAAAAACAAAAAACAAAAACAATATCTATCCATTAGTAAATTGATATATAAAGTTAAACAAATAAAATAAATACCTTCATACACTGCCACGGAATTAAATTGTCAAAATAATCAATGAAGGCAATTTCTGAAAAGATTCATCAATGGGTGTTGATCTCCAATTCTGATTTCTAGATTCTGATGAATATCAAACAAATTTCTTTCAAGAGGTGTTGGATCATCTTCAAGTTTACCCAATTTAAATATATTGATTGCTCTATTGATTATTTTAATTCCATATTCTGGTTCATTACTATCAATAAGGTCATCAAAAATCTGAGCGAAAATACAGAATTGAGTACCTAGTACAATAGCTTGATTATCGGCTAAAGACCATATGTTTCTTGCGAAAAATGAGGCTCCTTTAAATGCTGGTCTATATTTTTCACGATTTTCATCATTTATGATTCCAAATTTTTCCATTTTTTCAAATACTATTTCCATAGGATCATATGGATTCATTGGTAAACTCCAACCCTTTGGAATTTTATCTATTAGTTTCTGTAATGACAACATCTAGAATTCTTATTTATTATTGGTTTGTTTCTGAACTGAAAAAAATACTTCTATTTATACTCTTTGAATAGTGAAAAATCTTTTTTTATTCTATGGAAATGTTACACAACTCAAAAAGCTGCATCTTCCTGTAATTGAAAAATGAAATCCAAATTAAAAATTTAAATCTAATGTCAATTATAACAATTTAACAATATTTGAAAAAAAAAAAATTAAATTATTTAGAGCAAATTAACCTGTTACACCTATTAAAGAATGTAATACTCATTACTATCTCCACCATATTAAATATATCTCAAGGTAATCTTGATCAGGAGTTCCACCTAAGTGTTTTGAAATTATTAATTAAGAATAAAGTAAAATTATCTCCGAGATAAACTGTTTTTAATAAATATTACTATTATTTAATCATTCAATACAATTCGATCTGATAATATATTAAGTGGTTTTTTTTTCAAAAAAAACATAAAATATTAAATAGAAGAATCTTCCAATTTTTACTTTTTAAACTTCTTTGTATTAAAAATAACACCTTAAGGACATTAATGTCCTTAATTATTATAAATTAATTTTGTCATTCATGAATCTAAGTGGGTGTTTTGATTTAGTTCTATGAAAATTGTCATGCTTTGGTAATTTTAGTTAATAATTACAAAATTTTTATTTATTTAATTATGTTTAATGAGAAATTAAATACTTAAAGTTATTTATTTAAATATTTTTAATTAAATCATGCTTCAGTCAGCAATATTTTCAAAATTTTCTATTCAATTGAATTTCAAAATAATCCTATTCATGAATTTTTTTTTTAATATTATGAAATATTTCATTTTATAAAATTTTTTTTTATTCTCAAAATGCACACAAAAGCTATGCAAAATTTTTTGGGGGATACACAAATTAGTGCATATAAGTCACAATTCAAAATTTTATTTATTTATTATTATTACATCCTGTTGCACTAAAGAATTCAACACTTCTCCCAAAGTTATGGTACATATTAGTTAAATATGCAATAACCTTCCACAAATTTGTGACTAATTTCCTTTTGATGTGTTAGGCCTTTTTTAAGAACTATAATATCTGATAGTATTCTCCACTTCTTCATTGTAGCGAATACATTCTCGATTATTATTCTTACTTTTTTTATTTTGTTATCCTCTTCTTTATCTTAATGTATTTTTCTTTATTAAATCCACCATCTTTATCGCATTTCTTCTGTAGAGTTACTAACTCTTTAGAAGGTTTAGAAACATCTTGCCCCTTTTTAAATCTTTTTTCTTTTTTTAAGAATCTACTTACACTCAGACAATACTTTAACAAAGTATTGGATCAATTATCGGACTATTGCACAGGTTATTTTCAAGACGTTGTGGATCATAATGAGTTGGAAGAAGGAAGTGTGACAAGTAGATTACTTTTGTATGCTAAGTTGCATGTCAGGTTACTTCAAATCGAAGAGAGATCAATGGATGGTTTGGGGTGAAATTCATTTGGTTTTGAATCATTTCGGCTACATTTCAGGTAATTGGATGTTTGCTTCCTATTGCAACCTTGGCATATTCTATTCGTCTCACCGAGAGTAATCGGGACATTCTGTTCCAAGACGGGATATGATTTCTTGAGGAAATTAATGGACTCTTCATTGTGACAATGAGCTGCCCGGCAATAAACTATCTTTTCATCGCATATGGACACTAAAACCTTGAGCATTAGAGTGGAGTCTGGTGATTGACAAACTGCGTTTCCACCTTGAACTATATTTCCGGTTATCACATCTCTATTAAAACACTTTAACCTTGAATTTGCATCGTTGTCTAAGATTTTCTTTATATTTATCCTGTTCATTTCTTCTTTGTTCAGATCGGATTTTGATTGATTTGATTTGGGTGTTGAAGTTGTAGTTGTGGTTGAGGTTGTTGAAGTTTTTCGAGTTGCAGCTGGAACTGTTAATTGTTGTGCAAAATATTGATTTTGATTGCTGTTTAATAGTTGTAAGAGGCGAGCTATTTATGTTGATCTTTATCACGCAACTGTTGATCTTTATCCTGGATTTGCTTATAACACTCGTCTAGCTTTGACTTAAATTCATTGCTAAAATTTGAAATTACATTTCGAGAATCGTTTACACCCCTATTCAAATGATCAATTTCACCGAGTGGTCCATTGATGATCACATAATTAACTTTTCGGAAGAGTACTGATTATTCTTTCTTTAATCAATTTCATAGGATCTTCAATGCTTTCAGAAGTATGACTAGGTTCAACTTGTAAGCTCATTTGTATAATATTTATAAAGGTAAATATAACAAAAAAAAAAGAAAACGCATAGAACTTGTCAATTGACTTTATATATCATCTCTCTTCGTGTATTTTCTATCCTGGATGAGAATGTGTAGAAAAGTCATGGATATTTCAGTGAACACTCATAGATCAGCCTTTTCATAAATGGATAGTTGATAGAAAATAATCTTAGTGTAATTTTAATTAATTATCTAATAATAAAAATACATCTTGTGAATAGATAACAATATGATCTTGATTTGAAATTGAACATTTGCTGACAGGTGATTGTTTTGGCTGTGAAATGGTACGAACGTATTCACCAATTCTTAAGAAATCATTTGAATTGCCTTAAAATATAAAATCAAATTTTATATTATAAATTGTTATTGTTTATTTGATTCTCTGTTTCAAAAAATTGAAAGAAACTTAATTATCAGATATCATCCTGTAGGGAATAGATATTGACTAGGGACTCCATTGATTAAACTACTTCTTCTATCAAAATTTTATCTCTTTATTTTGTTCTATTAAAATCAAACAATATAAGTTTATCTCTTCAAAATCTTTGAAAAAAAAAAATTTGTGAAATAAACAAAAAATCTTAATCATTCAGTCATTACCTTATTTTCTTTAGCAATTAATTATTTGATTAGATCAGATTAGTTTTGCATAAATATGAATGATAATATAAATAATAATATAGAATTAAATAATGTAAATAGTAATAGTAATACAGATATAACAAGTAGTAATGGAACAGAAAGGAAATATAGAATTGCTATGATATCAGATTTCTTTTATCCTAATATGGGAGGTGTAGAAGAACATCTCTATCAGTTATCACAATGTCTTATAAAGAGAGGAAATAAAGTTATCATTATAACACACAACTATGGTAATAGATTCGGTGTTAGATATGTAACGAACGGTCTTAAAGTTTATTATATACCACAGGCACCATTCTACAATCAATCTTCATTCCCAACACTCTATTTTACATTCCCTCTATTCCGTCAGATTCTATTACGTGAACGTATAGATATAGTACATTGTCATCAAGTAAGTAACAAGTTATTGAAAAAATACATGTATAATTTTAATTCTAATATTCATTTTGTTATTGATGTTTTTAATATTAGGCATTTTCAACATTAGCACATGAAAGTATATTGCATGCAAGAACAATGGGATATAATACATGTTTTACAGATCATTCATTGTTTGGATTTGCAGATGCATCATCGATTCACATGAACAAGTTATTAAAGTTCTCTCTCTCTGATATATCTCATGTTATTTGTGTATCAAATACCAGTAAAGAAAACACTGTATTACGTGCACAACTAGATCCTCATCTCGTATCTGTCATACCAAATGCTGTAGATACAACTCAATTTACACCAGATCCTTCCAAGAGAGATCCAAACAAAAGTACTATATTAAAATCACTAGATTTTACCTCTACTTCTATTAACACTTTAACTTATCAATCATTAAATAATCATATAGTAACTATTGTAATTATGAGTAGACTTGTATATAGAAAAGGTATAGATTTAATCATAGATATCATTCCGAATATCTGTAAGAAGTTCCCGAATGCTCATTTTGTGATTGGTGGTGACGGTCCGAAGCGTGTCTCACTCGAAGAGATGAGAGAGAAGCATCAGCTACACGATCGAGTAGAGCTGCTCGGTAGTGTCAAACACTCGAATGTACGCAATGTGTTGGTGCGTGGCGACGTCTTTCTCAATTCCTCACTGACAGAGGCATTCTGTATTGCCATCGTCGAAGCAGCGAGTTGCGGTCTATACGTGGTCAGTACGAAAGTCGGTGGTGTACCCGAGGTGTTACCACCACACATGATATCGCTGGCGCAACCGAAATCCGAGGATCTCGAAGAGAAACTCACCAATGCCATTCTGCAGTTGAAACACACACCGTTGGAGACTCACGAAGAAGTGAAATCGATGTACGATTGGAACGACGTAGCGAAACGAACTGAGGCAGTCTACGAAGTCATCTCAAAGGCACCGAAAGTTCCGTTCATCGAGAGACTCAGACGTTTCGTTGGATGTGGTCTGTGGGCAGGAAAATTAAATTGTATGGTGGTGGCACTCGACAATCTGCTATGGCGGTGGCTTGAATGGTATATGCCAAGAGAAGATATAGATGAAGCTTTCGATTATCCCTATCAAGCGGAATAAATAAATAAATGATTTTTCAGTTATAACTTTATGTAATTTTGGTTTATTTGAATGATCACTCACTAAATACTCAAAATAGAACAATACAACTATTGATTGTTTTTGAAGCTTTGACTTTAAATTGACCATTTTTATTGTTTCACGACAAAATTTTCTTTGAAACCAAGAAAATTTGTGTGATGAACAAACAGCATCGCTTTCAAAAAAATGTGAAGATATTAATTAATTAAAAATAATATATATTATTTAAAATCACCACCTTTTTTTTTCAATCATTTATTCATAGTTTATTTTTTATCCAATACAATCAAACAAATAAAATGTCAGAAGTATATCAAGAAGAGAGAGAATTAGACAGACTATATTCATTGTTCTGTAGCGCAGATAAGAATCACAGCAATAACTTGGATCTAAATGGTATAGTTTCAAAACTATTTAATTGTTTTTAATATATAGAGAGAGAGTTTATTTATTCCTACCTTCATCTATATAGAGTTCATCCAGCTTTACAAAGATAAATTAGGATTCTCTGAATCAACCATGAAGAGTATGTTCAACGCCTGTGATGCTGATAAGGTAAGAGTCAGACTTTAGTTATCAAAAAAAAAAAAAAATTGTTTATTAAATGAATTATTCATATTGTTTATTATATAATATATGATCAGGATGGTAAAATTGATATAAGAGAGTTTGCTTCATTAATCAGTATCTGTGCAAGTGGTAGCTTAGAACAAAAGTTAGCATTCCTCTTTGCCATTTTCGATGATGATCAAAACGGACAGCTCGATATCGATGAACTCAATAACATTTGTTCGAGCATTATCAACATTGGCAAACACGGTGGTAAATCAGACACAGAGATTCACGAATGTATTTCGCAACTTAAACAAGCCGATATCAATGGTGATGGAAAGGTTTCCATCGATGAATGGATCATTTTCGGAACAAAGAATCCAATCATTCTTTCTTTACTCAGCGGTGTCCACAAATAAACAAACAAACAAACAATCAATCATACTATTGTTAGAATTAACAATTAGAATTTAATTTAAATCAAAATAAATAAACTAATTATCATTCTTACTATATGTTTTATAATAATAATAATGTATTTATTAATTTTTTACGATCGTAACTTTTATTATATTCTCTTGATGGTTTTGGTTTGTTTGTTGGTTTGATTGATTGATTGGTTAATATTAATTATTATTATTATCATATCGATGTTTTAACAAGAAAAGCTAACATTCTCCACATTTTCAATACGAAATTCTCTGCTTCTTCGTCTATCATCTCTTTCAATTGCGATATAATAGTGTGTGGGTCAGATCTCTGCTTCATCAGACTTATAATATGTTCGATAAGGATTGTCTCTTCTGCACCAATGATCTCTGTCAACTTCTTATTGACCCAAGGTTTCAGTTTACTCTCAATGAGCTGCAATTTCTCGATCTCATCCCATTCCATTTTCATATTCAGCAGATCATCCTTATCCAGTGGTATAGTATCGATAATCTTTTGTAATTCTTCTTTTGATCTTTGTTTAACTTGTTGTTGTTGTTGCTGTTGTTGTAATTGTTGTTGTTGCTGTTGTTGTTGTTGTGATTGTCTTAATTGTTGTTGTTGTTGTTGTTGCTGTTGTAATTGTTGTTGTTGTTGTTGCTGTACATTCGATTTCAATAATACTTTAGCATCTATATCGTTGCTGTTGGTATTATCCAATATTTCATTATAATCTAAAAGTATCATTTGTTTCTTATTGACAATCTGTTCGGGTTCTTCGACTTCGTTCGTGTTGAATCCAGTGGCGGTCGATAAACGTGTAGCTTTCTTTGCCGAGAAATCCAATTGAATCTTATTGATGGTTTCCGCTGTCAGTCCAAGACCGCTACCGTTGTTCGACAGTGTCAACTTTCTTCCACCCAATCCAAGGCTAAAAGGTCCGATTACACCATGCTCACCACCGTTGTTACCGACACCACCAGCACCACTGACACCTGTCGAACTACCGCTACTCTCTTTCTCGCGTTCCAACAGTCTCTCTCTCTCCTTTTCCTTTTCTCTTTCTTTCTCCCTCTCTTTCTCTTTGATGTCATCTTCCAACTCCTTCTGTCTTCTCTTGACAGAGTCACGTGCTCTCAAACGCTTTCTCATGTGTTCGTCGTCACTCGAGTATTCCTCCATCTCTTGCTTTCTGATATAGATTTCATTTCGTTCTCTCTCACGTTCTCTCTCCTTGTCACGTTCTCTATCCTTCTCGCTTCTCATCTCTCTTGCCTCCCAATCTCTTTCCTTTTCTCTCAGAGCTCTCTCGTTTCTCTCTCTCTTTCTTGTTTCTCTTTCCTTTTCCTTTTCAATCTCTTTCTCTTTCTCCTTGGCTGCCATCTTTAACTTTTCTTCTTTAGTCATCAATCTTAATTCTAATACTTTATTCTCTTGTATCTATATTTATAAATGAATGAATGAATATGAATTAGTTATATCTATCTATCTATCTATCTATACTATCTATTTATACATACTTCGGGAGGTGGTAATGATTTCTCTTTTTGTCTCTTCTTTTCCTCCAACATTACTTTGTTTTCTTTTACCAATTGTTGTATCGATTCTTTTGTAGTATCATCTTTATCTTTTTCCTCTGTTTGCTGTGTTTCTTTATCTTGTTCATTCTTATTTCTATTTTCAATATATTCATTTAAATACTTTTGTACTTTATCTTCTACCTTTAACTAATAATAATAATAATAATAATAATAATAATAATAATAATAATAATAATAATAATAATAATAATAATAATAAAACATAATATTGTTTTGTTAATAAAAAATATAAATATATTATTATGCTCTATCTATCGATCTATCTATCTAAAATAACCTTACCATTAAATTCTTATCATCAATTTGTAATTCATTTAATAATCTTAGAGCTCTTAATACACCTTCCGGTGAATCGAACTCACAGAATCCAAAACCTTTAAGTTTACCACTGGGATCGGATGCACGGTTCCACTTTACTACCTTTCCACAGAGATCGAGTAACTTTCGAATAAAGTCATCTTCAACGGTCTCTGGTATCTTTCCTACATAGACTGTCGGTGTAATGGTTGCAGATGATGCTGTAGTTGTGGATGACGATGACGACGACAAGTTTGAAGCATTAGCAGCAATCGATGCCGTTGCAGAAACAACTGGAGGTACAATCTTCATCATTGACGATTGATGATTCATCTGTTGCTGTTGCTGTTGTTGTTGTTGATGTTGTTGATGCTGCTGTTGTATATGATGTTTATGTGGTGTCATTTGTTTGTTTCCTAGTACTCCGGGTGGTCCGGGTGGTGTAGGTAACAATGGTGGAATCATCATTGGATGGCCACCGGGGAACCCAGGGAACATTCCGGGTGGTGGTGCCATCATTCCGTGGGGAGGTGGTGGATAGTTTGGAAAAAGATGTGGAGGTGGTGGAAACATCGGTCCTGGCGGAATACCGACACCTGGTGGTGGTGGATACTGATGTCGATGTGTTCCCGGTGGTGGAGGATGATGATGATGATATGAAGGTGGTTGATAAGGATTCATTTTAGATCTACTACTAAATTATATAAATATAACTATATATATAATTATACCTAATATATATATTATCTTCACACTCTACTATTGATCTAAAATTAGATATAAAAATAATATTTATATACTTAATAATTAATCGATCAAATCAATCCTTTTTAGAAATGATCATCAATTTAAAACAAATATTTTGAAAAACTTTTTGAAAAAAAAAAAAATACCAAGGATTTTGATTTGGATTTGGATTTGGATTTGCTGGTAAATAAATCTTAATTAAATAATATCTTGTGTGAATATGAAGAAGGAAAATAATAATAATAATTTATATGAAATTAGTTATATTCATTAAAAAATGAAAAGAAAACATCAGATTAGTAAAAGTTCAAATGATTATGATGATAATGATGAATTGCTACAACTTGCAGTGACACTTGATTATCATGAAAATGGCGAACAACAACAACCACAAACAATTTCTCTCTCGTCAGGCGAATCACTTACGAAAGAACAGCTTCTGTTGAAAGTAATTGATCTGCATCCAGAATATGCTATTGCCTATTACAAGTTGGCATTGCTTCTTAAAAGAGACTATCGGCGATCATCTATCATTCTTCGATCTGGTCGATCAATGACTGTGCAAAAACTATTCATGAAATCAATAGAGTGTGACCCAACTCATTCCAATTCATATCATAAACTTGCAAATACTCTTTCAGGTGATGATGATAATGATAAATCAGTCGGACTTGGTGGAAAATCAATGACTGTGCAGCAACTATACTTGAAGGCAATAGAATGTGATCCAACAAATTCCCGTTCCTACTATAAACTTGCAATTACACTTTCCGATGGTGAAACAATCACACTTAATGATGGACAATCAATGACTGAGCAAAGACTATATTTGAAATCAATCGAATATGATCCGACCAATTCCAATCCATATCATAATCTCGCAACGATACTTTCAGATGGTGAATCAATCACACTTAATGATGGACAATCAATGACTGTGCAACAACTATACTTGAAATCAATAGAATGTGATCCAACAGATTGCAGTTCGTACATCGACCTTGCCAGTACACTTTCCGATGGTGAATCAATCACGCTTAACAATGGACAATCAATGACAGAACGACAACTTTACTTAAAAGCAATAGAATGTGATCCAAACGAATCCGATTCATATTATAACCTCGCAAAAGTACTATCTCGAAACGAATCGATCACACTCCATAATGGACAATCAATGACAAAACAACAACTATACTTAAAGTCAATAGAATTTAGTCCAAATGATTCCGATTCATATATTAACCTCGCCAAAACACTATCTCGACATGAATCTATCACATTTAACGATGGCGAGTCAATAACAAAACAACAATTATTATTGGAGGCAATTGAATGCGACCCAACCAATTCCAAACCATATCATAACATTGCAACGACACTTTTAGATGGTGAATCGATCACACTCCATAATGGACAATCGATGACAAAACAACAACTGTACGTAAAGTCAATAGAATGTGAACCAACCAATTCCAAATCATATTATAACCTTGCAGCGACACTTTCAAGAGGTGAATCAATAACACTTAATAATGGACAATCAATGACAATTCAGCGACTATATTTAAAGGCAATAGAATGTGAACCAACCGATTTCAAACCATATTACAACCTTGCAGCGACACTTTCAAGTGGTAAAACGATCACACTTAACAATGGACAATCAATGACAAATCAACGACTATACTTAAAAGCAATAGAATGTAATCCAACCTACTCCCCATCCTACAATAACCTCGCAACTACACTTACTTTTAAGACATCAATCACTCTGAATAATGGACAATCGATGACAGAGCAACAACTATACTTAAAATCAATAGAATACGATCCAGCTGATCCCGATCCATATTTTAACCTTGCAAATACACTATCTCTATACGAAACAGTCACACTCCACAATGATGTGAAAATGACAAAACAACAACTATTATTGGAATCACTAAGATTGGATGATACACAAGCATCGGTTTTCAAATCTATTGGATTAACTCTTTTGAACAACAAACAAACCATTACACTTCCAAATGGTGAACAGATGTCAAGAAGACAACTAATTCAAAAAGCAAGAGAATAAATAAAAAACTCTTACTATGTATTTACTTTAATTAAAACTAAATGTTGAAACACTTGTAGAGTGTAAATAGAATAAGTTCAAACATGAGCTTTACATAATAAGAGATTTAAAAATGATATGATAATTACAAATTTATTATTATAATAATTAAAAGATGTCAGATTTCTGAGCACCTTTAGGTTCTTTTTGAAGCGATACTTGATAGAGCTCAGCCACCGTCGGTGAATTGAGATCTTTGATGAATGTTTGTATGATTGGTACATAGTTTAAGTTGTATTCGGACCATTGGTATTGTTGCACCTCCGATATCACCTTGTAAAGTAGTGTATACTTTGAGAAATTGATTAGATTGTTTCCAATGATATTAGGATTACCTTCTTCGATAAATGTTAAATCTGTCAAGTATACTCCACTATTATTATTATTATAAATAAATAACAAAATATTAATATTTCTTTTCATTTCATATTTATAATAATAATCAACTTACATATAAGGTACACAGGGTGGATCAGTGTTATGAAGTAACTCTCTATATGTTTTATAGGAAGATTCACAACTCATTTCTTTCTCTAACGACTCCAATGACTCCAAGTATTTCTTACCAACCAGTGCTTTGGTGAATTTCAATCTTAGAAGAGCAGAATTGTTCAAACCACCCAAGAATGCCATTAATGTATTAAAATTCTTTGAGTTCTCTTAGTTTCTATTTAGATTTTAAAAGAAGATAATAATAAGTTAGTTAATTATAAATAGATCTAAAGATAGTTGTTATTATTATTATTTACCTCTGCAATCTTTATGATTCTTTCCATACGTTTAGCACGTGTCTTCACTCTCTCTGGTTCGAGAATGAGTTTTACAACCCAGAGACCAACTTCATTGAATCTATTGATCATCTGAAGAATGGTTGGTGATCTACGTGATGCAATGGCAGGTTTGTTCCAAGCTTGATTCAAAAACTCTGTTTGTCTGATAGTACTGTAGAGCATAAAATCAAAGAGTGTCAGCTGTCTGGCAATCTCTTCGTCGTCAAAGTCGAATATCGATCTAGCATTCTTAATGCCTTTACTCTTGATCTCTGGTTTCTTTCTTGGACTGGATGACATCGGTGATCCTGAAACACCAACACTCACACTATTATGACCATTTGGTTTCTTAATCTTCTTACTCGGCGTTGACGATCTAAGATTATTATTACTACTACTTAAAGATAATGGTGTACCATTACTATTATTAATACTATTATGTAAATTATTACTACTACTATTATTATTATTAATACTATTTGATAAACTATTGCTATTGTTATTGTTATTGCTATTAATTAGTTGTACAGGTCTTGGTGATGTTAATGTACCGTTCGATCTTGTTCTAGCTAGTTCACCTTTGATTCCGCATGTTCTCTTGAGGATACATCCACGAATTTGATTACCGAGCTGTGGGAATGCTTGCATCATGTGAGTATCGACAAAGTCAACCATGAGTTTCGTGGTAGAGAATCCAAAGTCTTCGTAGTGGTGTTCCACCCAGTACTTGATGACGTTGGCAACACGCAGTTGAATCGATTGTTTCTCACGCTCGTCGATATCGGCGTCGTTCGGCACTCTGAATCGCTCAAAGAGCTTGGCGAGAAGCACGTGCGCAGAGGTATACGAAGAGTAGGTCATAAGCAGTGCTTTCATAAACATGAGATCGTGTGTATTCTCAGAGGTGAGACGAATGATCAGCTTGTTGAGAGTACCGGCATCGATAGGTGGATAGGGATCATCGGATGACTTTGTCTTTGAATAAACGATATTCATAGGTGAATCAGGTGGCTCTTCCCAAATATTTACATTGTTTCGCTCATCCAATTGATCACCCAACGCTGCCAACGATGCCAGTGAACTAGTTGAACCAACAGAAGAACTTGGTGATTCGCTAATCTTTGTGTTATTTTGTTGATTAGTTTGTTGATTATTTTGTTGATTTACTTGTTGTTGTTGATTTGATTGTTGTTGTTGATTTGATTGTTGTTGTTGTGATGATGAAGTATGTTGAACTTCAATTACAACACGATCATTTGGTTGAACACCATGTTGTTTCAAAGAGAGTTTGGTATCCAAGTCGTTCTCGGCGTCACCCAGTCTCTTGATGGTGTAGGCACGTTCTCTTCTGAAACCAAGATGATTAGATAATCTCTTGCAAACATCTTCGATAGGATCGTTGAAATCTACAAACACTAAATTCTGTTCTCCATCTTTTCCAAATATATACAATCTGTTTGCATTCTCTTTAAATTCGATTTCCTTCTACAAAAATATTTTTGTATAACATAATGTTAGTTAGTATTGTTATAGATTAACTGCACTGTACTGTATACACTTACATCAAGATCATATGACCAAAGATAACGATTCATATCTAATATCGTAGTACTATCCTTGAATGTCAAGCAATAGTCTTTTACATTGGCTATTCCTTCGTTGAATACCAACATATTGAACAACGATTGAACGGTTGTGTATTGATCAAATTTGAATATAACTTTTCTATCTCCTGGTTTTATAATTACAGTATATTTTCTACATCTTTGTTTAAACTCTAATGTTGTCTATAATAATAATAATAATAATAATAATAATAATATGTTAGTTATCAACTATATACTTTGAATAGTTTGATAAACACTTACTTGATTTTGAAGATGATATGAATCTAAAAGTTGATCTTCATCCATCCAGAAACCATCGTCGTCATCCTCTGAAGGCGTTAGATAGAATCCACATTTGTTTACACTATCAAGTAGACCTGCTCGTAATCCAGTCATTTTGATCGCTCTTGACACCGGTGTATTTGGATCGAATGCAAGCTCGAGGTGGTTACGTCTGGAGTTGGCAGTTGTCACCAAGAAACGAAGATGCAACGACTTTGATTCGAGAATCAGTGTATCGGTGAGCGAAGATAGGTTTCTAAAGATGAGAACCGACTGACTGTTGATGTGATAAGTAGAGAACAACTCATCTTCGTCCAGTAGAATCTCTTGTTGTGATGGATCGACGACGCCGCCCGAACGTTGTAAGAAGATACCATACTGTGAGACATCGATCGATGTGTGGAATTTGAGGTAGAGCTTACGAATGATCGAGCGAATCGAAGTGAATTGCGTTAGCTTCAGGGTGGTGTTGGCTGGGTGTTGATCCTCGGAGAAACAGGGAATGTGAATCTTTACGAATTGGATGCTCAAGACAATCGTCTTGAGTTCGAGTGTCTCCATCTCGTGTAGACCGAGCTCGAGCAGTGTCTTCTCCTTGTGCAGTGGGACGAGCGGATTGTCACGACGGAACAGAGCAAAGCTGTAGTGATGTTCTCCACTCGCTGGCTGTGGTCCGCCATCGGAGATCACATCAGTTGGCTCCCATTCGTCGTTGCTGGTATGCTTTGCTTTTTGCAGACCTTTGTGATGCACCAGATTAGGAATAACCAGAGAAAGTACCTCATCTACAGTTGAACATGGTGAAAATTTAAAGATCTTTTCGATTTTAGATTGTTGTTGTTGATGTTGGAGTTGAAGTTGTTGAAGTTGTTGTGACAAAGGTGATGATGACGATGACGATGAGTTTTGAAGTGGCTGTTGTTGACTAAGAGGTGACGAAGGTGGTGTGTTCTGAGATGAGATTTGTGAAATATTAGGAGTTGATCTCCATAGAAGATTTTTAATTTGTGTACTTTGTGGACGACTTCTCTCACCGGAAGAGTGAAGTTTAGAAGCCGGAGAACCATTTGAGTTGGTAGTGGTGGTTGTAGTGTTGTTATTATGATTTCCACTGTTACTGGAAATGGTTGGTGATGATGGTGCAGATTGAGTTGTATTGTTTATTAAAAATAGCAAGAGTAGTGAGATCTCTGAGGGTATCGATTTCGATGGGATAAAACTGTGGTGAGCTTCATCGACGCTTTGTTCCAGTGGCGATACAACTTCGCTACTACTACTCTCGAGGTGGTGATGGTGGTTACTACTACTGCTGCTGCTGCTGCTAAGTGCAACGTTCAAATCCAACTTTGGAACAGGTGCCAACGTTGTTGGATGAATTGCTGTAGTACTACTACTGTTGAGTTCATTTTCAAAATGGTTGCCTGTTGAAAACTCACTACTGTTACTGAGATTTTCAAACATTGGTGAATTTGGGGTTTGTGGGTGAATATGATTTTGCTGTACAGGTGGTGGTGGTGTTTGTTGTTGTTGTTGCTGTTGTTGATAGAGTCTTGGTGGCAATTGTGGTGGTGTTTGTGGTGGTGTCATCGGTAGTGGTTTAGTTCTGAAATTCTTGAGATGCACTGAAACTGGCTTGGGTGTAGCTTTTCTTGAGGAAACCGATGGACTGCTGACAGAGTTGGTTTCCTGTGCTAGTGAAGGTGAACTTGGTGTCAAAATAGGTGATGATGGTTGTTTAAGTGATGAACTTTGTGAAATTGATGTTGATGCCGATGGTGTTGATGATGCCGATGTTGCTGTTGTTGCCGCCGATGTTACTACGGTTGGTTGTGGTTTGGGTGATGATGGTAGTGCTCTTGTAGGCTTATTACTATTACTACTACTACTATTATTACTATTACTATTAATGTTATTACTTATAGTGTATACAAGACCAGGTGAATTCGGTACGAAACTAAGTTGATTTGCTGCCAATTGTTTATTTAGTTCTCTCTTCCACTCGCTTATAGACATCTTCTCTCGTAGTTCTTGTTCTTCACTATCAACTTTTTCTTGTTGTATGATTTCTTCCTGTGGTAAAGAAATTTCTTTTTCTACAAACTTTGGACTTTCCTCTTTTACCAATTTTTCATTATCAATCAAAGTTGAATGTTGTTGTTGTTGTTGCTGTTGCTGTTTGGTTTTAATATCGTTTTTCCATTTACTGTTGCTATTATTATTATTACTATTATTATTATTGCTATTGTTGTTGTTGCCTCTACTGCTGCTGCTATTGTTGTTTGTAGGTTTTTTATTGCTATTGTTATTATTATTATTATTATTATTATTGTTATTAATATTGTTGTTGGCTTGACGATGACTATTTTTATAATTCTTATTTTGATTTTGATTTTGATTTGGGTTTGAATGTTTAATTTGGATGTCTTCAGAAGCGGTAAAGAAAGAAGTAGTTTCCTCAACTAGTTTACTATTTTGTATTTGTTGTTGTTGTTGTTGCTCTTGTTGTTGAGTTGATACAACAACAGTTGGTGATGCCCCATCCATTTCCTCTTCCTCCTCCTCCTCAGCTTCCTGTTGTTCTTCTTCTTCCTCTTGAGGTTGTTGTTGTTGTTGTATCTCAATAGTGAAATGTTGTTGTTGCTGTTGGTTTATTTGCAAACCACTGGAAGTAGCAACAGCAAACATATCCAAAGAATAACTATTCGTTTCAAATTTAGACATCTGGTGTTGAGGATCGGTAAAAATTTTGTGTGTGTGTGATATGTCTAAAAAAAAATTTTGATTTGATTAGTTTTTTTTATGATTTGTCTGAGTGATTTGTTTTTATTGTGTGGAGATATGATATTGTGTGTGATAAAATCAAATCAAACAAATAACCTTTTTCGATTTTTACACTTTTCAATATTATAATTAAAAATTATTATAAAATGATTTATCTACTTATTTGATTATAACAACTTGGGAGAAATATAAGAATTAACCAATAAAGTGTAAAATAATGATGTGGTATTGTCGTTGTGTTTGTTGTATAAATTGGTGTGTGTAATAAATAACAATATTTGTGTTGTGTCTATTTAACTTTATCTACTTATATGTATATTTGTATGTCAAATATATATTATAAAAATGTGATGTGTTGTTGTTCTATGTTGTTAATCATAAAGGTGATGGTGTAATTTAAAATACATACCCAATCAATGATTGAAAGTTAACTGGCCACACACAAAATAATAAGGATAGTATTTTAAAAATAAATAAGTATCGCTAACTTTATATGGTTTTAGCTCTTGTTCTGTCACTCACTACTACTATATTATTGTAGAATCAAATTTATTATGATTATGTGTTATGTATGATTTGATTGAAACTATTTTTAAAAATAAATAGAAAAAAAAAACTGCTAATTAATTTACAATCTTATGTTTGTTTGTTGATGATCTTGTCAAGTTGTTGTTGTTTGATGTTGCTGATGATGTTATTGTTATAGCTGGCTAGCTGCTGTTGTTATTGTTGTTGTTGTTGTTGTTTATATTGATATAAAATATACAAATATGTAATTGAGAGATTATACTAATATATATTTACTAATGTGGAATATATTTGTGACTATAAATATAATTGATTGGACTATAGTTTTAAAATAACTTTTAAAATTGTTTTGGTATTACAAGTATTATTTTTACAGGGTTATTATTATGATTTATTTTTGGATTGTTTTGACTGTTTGAATGATTTATTTATTTATTTGTTAATCCAAAACAAAACAATTAAGTTTGGTGGATATAACTTTATTTATGATTATCAATTTTTGGTATGATAAAAGAAAAAACAAAACAAAAAGCTTTTTGATTTTATAACAGTCAAAGAAATATCACGATGATAAAAAAAAAGAGGTTTTTGTTGTTTGTTTTTTAGTCAAAAAAAAAAAAAAAAAAAAAAAAAAAAAACTGTTATGGTTTGGTTCTGGATCTAGGATGGGCTTTTTACCCCACACATATTTAAATTTAAGGATTTGATTGATCGCATTAAAAACTATTATTTTTGGAAGCAAAAAAATTTTTTAAAAAAAAACAAAATGGATGAATCGCAGTGCATAAAAAGAATTGAACTGAACTGAACTGATTGTATTTGAATGGGCACAATGAGTTGATTGTGTGTAAACCTTTTTATTGTAAAATATTATTTTCACAGTTTCAAATACATCGATGTTCAAAAATGGTTTTTTTAATTTTATTTTACTTAAAGCTTCAACAACCACCTTGCAGTCTTTGAATTCTTTATCTACTCATATCTCATTATTAATGACTTATTTCAAATTGATTATTCCGAAAACATTTGAAATGTTTTGTTGTTTTTATTGCCTTTTTTGGTATAAAAAAAAAAAAAATTAATATGTTATTTTTATTTGTATTTTGTTAATTATCTCTCGATTGATAAATGGTGGTTGTTTTTTAGTTGACAGCACGTCCAAAGAGTGAGGATGTTTGGTTGAGAATGATATTTTGTTTGAGAGTTGCCTCTTCAGAGTCAGACTCAGAGTCTGGTACGATATGATCGAATTCCTGTACTTGAGCGGAATGTGAAATGATATAGGACGAGCGGATCAAGCTGGTGGTGATGTTTGGCTTGGCCATTTCATTCAGTTCGTTCTTGTCGTTGGAGCTAGAGAGTGGCTTGAACAATGCCGGATCGGCAAATGTATTGTACTGAGTGTTAAGTGCCGCCTTCTCGGAATCTTCGTTATCTTCCTTGTTATCGGCATCGCCTTTGGCGCCGGTGGTGGTGTCAGACATCTCAATGTCATCCTTGAAATTCTCGTATTTCATCGCGTTTCTCTGGTAGTAAACGACCATGCAGAACATTACCACCTGGAAGATTGGCACCGCTGAGTAGGTGATGAAAGCGAGGTAGTCGAATGGCAACTGGAAGATCAAGCTGAGAATCGAGAATACACCACCGAGCGTATCGAGACAGATGAAAATCTTACTGATTCCAACTGCCGATTTCGAACGATAGATGGTGTAGAGCTGAGGGAAGAATCCCAGTGCCATCAGAGTGGTGGAGACGATACACGCGAATATTCCTACTCTCTTTCTGTTCATGTGTCCCATGGCCAAATAGAGGAATCCACCTACCACAACAGACAATATAATCGCAGCAATAAAGATACTTGCTAAACTCATCAATGGTTTCTTCCTTTAAATTGTAATAATAAATAATAAAATTAGTTAACTAACTGTTTTTGTTTTTTTTTTTTCAAGAAAAAAGAAATATATATATACTTTTGATAATGCATAATTTGAAAGAGTAGTGCAAGACAAAAGAATGTGAAAGCAAATATCTGGATGATGAGAGCTATTGTATCTCTTTCAAAGAGTAAATAGGTTCCAAGAAAGATACCACAGATATACCATGATAAAAAACAAAGAGGTGATAGATTATCTGCACTCTTTCTTTTATAATTAAGATGAACTATTTATAATTGGTTTGGAGTAGAATTGAATTATTAATTAATAACCAATTTGTTTTAGAAAAGGATTAATAGATTGATTTGATTTTACTTACTTTGAGGCACTAATTGAATTGACCATAAAATAGCGCCAGCAATTCCAAAGAGATTCGAAACAATTTTATTATCCATTGTTCTAAAACTTGGTTATTTGTTTTTGTTTGAATATTACCAAATAAAAAAATACTAACTAATTAACTAACTAACTAACTACTTTGCGATTAAAGAAATATAAAATAAACACCGTTCAAATATTCAATCACCTGGTAATACTACAAATACCAATGTCCTATAATGTAATGTGTTTTGGGGTGCCAGTCTTTGACTTTAAGTCTTCAGTGTAATGAAGGCTTTGTTAAAAGAAATAAAATAAAATAGTAATTTTAAACAGAAGAAGTTAAAACTACTTGGTTTAATAATAATAATAAAAAGTATAACTAATGAATGGAATGAATATATAAATATTTATATTTATAAGAATTTAAATGTTAAATAAATGATTGAAACTATTTAAAAAAAAAGTAAATGAAATTTCAATAGTTTTTGATAGGGAATGACATAATTTTAATCATCTCCAACTTATGAATGTCAAAAAAAAATTAAAAAAATTAAAAAAAATAAGAAAAAAAAATAAGTAAAAAAATTAAAAAAATTAAAAAAATCATAAACATGATTTGTGTTTCACCTGGTTTGAATCTGTGTTTTTATCCTGATTTATCGCCAAAACCATGCAAATGCTATATTAAATATATTTTTATTGATTTAATGATTTGTTGTGTTACCACTATTATTATTATTATTGTTGTTGTTACTATTACTATTATTACTATTATTACTATTATTATTATGACTATTGATATTGTTACAATTATTATTTTTTTTTAAAATAATAGAACTATTATTATTAATATTTTCAATTGTATCACTATTATTATTATTATTATTATTATCACTATTATTTGAATTGGTAATATTCATTTGTTGTTGTTGTTGTTTAGATGACAATGATGATGATGATGTTGATGATGATTCATTTTCATCCAAATCCCAATCGATTGTTGGTTTAATTATTGTTGTTGGTGTTGTTGATATTGTTGTTGAATTATTATTGGTAGTTGTTTGTTGTTGTTGTTGTTGATGTTGTTTTAATAATAAATTATTCACTGTACTAAAATGTTTGCAACCATAGAAACCTTTGGCGACCGAGAATGGTGAGGGATGTGATGCTGTGAGTATGGTATGTCGTTCAGAGTTGATGAGTGTTGCTTTCTGCTGTGCATGCTTGCCCCACAGCAAGAATATGATTCCCTGACGCTCTCGGTTCAGTGTGGAGATGGCGACGTCGGTGAATGTCTCCCAGCCGCGATTGCTATGCGATTCGGGCGTGCCTTTGCGCACTGTCAGACAGGTGTTGAGCAGCAGCACACCTTGACGCGCCCACTTCTCGAGGTTGCCGTGTCCGACCTGTTTGCAAACACCGAGATCACTCTGGAGTTCGGTGAAGATGTTGTTGATGGCGGCGGGCATCAGTGGCAGTGGACGACGACCGAGCACACCCACCGAGAACGACAGGCCGTTGGCTTGGTCGGTGCCGTGGTATGGATCCTGACCGAGAATCACAACCTTCACCTGACTCAACTCTGTCAGATTGAACGCATGAAATATGTAGTCCACCTGTGGATAGATAATAATGCCACTCTCCTTCTCAGACTCCAAGTAGTCAAACAACGACTTCATATAGGGTTTGTCAAACTCCTTGGAGAGATGCGATTGCCATTGAGGTGAGCGCAACGATTCTTTGATTTGCTCAGTGTAACTCTTTTCTTTTGCAACAGAGGGTGTGATTTGATTGTATTTGATGCTGCCATCTTTGTTTTGTACTTGATGTCTTTTGTTTGTAAAACTACCACTATTATATTGACTGTCGATTGTTTGGCTAATTTGTTGTTGTTGCTGCTGTTGATGATGATGATGACTATTATTATGTTGAGAGTGGTGATGTTGTTGTTGTTGATGTTGTATATTATATAAAGGTTGTTGATTGTGAAAGAATTGATGTAGTTGCTGCTGTTGTTGTTGATGAAGTTGTTGTTGTTGATGTTGCTGTGTATTATTTATGAAAGGAGATTGTTGAAATAGAAATAGACCATCGTGTGACTTTGATTGTAAAGACGAAGAAGAGGAATCAAATGGATTGCTGTTATTCTGTATCAAAGGTAATATCTTTACGATCTCTTCTTGTTTTCTTTTCTTGATGCTATCGCTACTGCTTATGTTACTACTACTGATATTATCACTCATATTGTAGTCTGTATCGATGTATTGCTGTTGTTTATATTGATTCAAATTATTAAAAGAGTAAGAATTTAATGATTGTTGTTGTTGTTGTTGCTGATGCTGCTGCTGTTGATTATATTGTGAATTTTGTACAAAAGTATTGAAACTATGATTGTTGTTATTATTATTGTTGTTGTTCAGATTGAAATAAATAGATTGTTGTAGTTGCTGAGGTGTAGATGCAGGTGTTGTCGACGATGGTTGAAAAATGACCATGACTAGTTTTAGCTTTATATAATATACAAACTATACTATGTCTATTTGGTCAATGTATATAATATCTATGTATTATATATATATATATATATATATTGATTTATATTTATATTGTATATATTAGGATATCATAAATTTGTAAGTGTTTATATATATATATGTATGTATGTTAATGTTTATATGTTTTGTTTAACTTTTCAAATAATTGAAATAAAAATAAAATAAAATTAAAAACAAAAAAAAAGAAATTGAATTTTATTTATTATTTTAAAAAATCGGATGGATGAGGATGTTGGGGTTTTTAATACCAAGAATTTAAAGTTAGTTTAAGTCTCACTGTTGTTTTTATCTTCTGACTAGATATGATTCATTAATCAACAACAAACAAACAAGAAATCAATTAAAAGATTGAGGAAATATACATATTAAAAAAACAGGGTTAAATTTAAAATATACAAAATTGAATTGAATAAAACAACATTATAATATAATGATGGATGTTCATTCAATTTGATTGTGTTTTTTTATGTTAATTTACAGTATACTATCTATTATTATTATCTATTCTTGTTATTTGTTATTGTTGTCGTTGTTGAACGATCAAGAATCAGATTCTTCAATTGACCAACATGTCTTTTTAATGAGAATGGAGGTCATCACCAGGAGAGTATCGTCTTTGATGAAACCATTGCTTTCGAGAACCGATGCTCTGATTGCTTTTCTATCACCCCAGCCCTGACCACCTTTGATTGGAAACGTCGTTCTAAAGTCTTTCTTGACCGACAGTGTCTGATCGCGCTGATTGAAAAACTTTAAATAATACTCGAGTGTCAGACTCTTGCCCTTCGGTATCTGATTGGTATCCAAAAACAAATAGATACTGATGTAACCCTTGCTATCGTTAGAGTCACCGTCCGTATAGAATCCAATGAACCACTGGAATCCACCGATCGTAAACTTTTCCGATTGTATATAACCTTTCTTCTTTAAAATACTATAGTTCTTTACACACCATTCAACTTTCTTACTTGAATCACCTATTATTATTATTATTATAATAACAAATATCAGGTACCATCATTAGTTAGTTAGTAAAGTAATGTCAATCTGTCGCAATACTGTAATAATAACATAACAACAAACATACTTTTCTCATTCATTGATTTCTCCAATTGTTTTATCTTGTCATCTTTATCTTTAAGTAACAATGAAAACTCTTTCTTTAAATTGGTAATTGTATCGGTGTAATGTGATTTCATCAACAAAAGATGATGTGACAATGATTTCTCTATATGTGATTCAAGATCTTTTCTATCAAACTAATAGTAAAAGATAACAAAGTTGTTGTTTATTAATATATATATTAAAATGTATGTAAATAATAACATTGTGATATGGTGTAAGTACTTACAGTTGCATTACAACCAGATTCAAAGAATGGACATTGAATATGGTAGTTTGGACACAAGTTCAGTTTATGTTTTTCAAATTCTTTCTTTATCATCGGTGCATTACATCTATCACATTCTATTTTAATCATATCACATTCATTTAAATGATTCTTAATTTAATTTAAATAGAATAAAACAAAACATTAATGTTTTGTTGTTTGTTTGTTTGTTTGTTTTTACCTGTTTATAGATATTATTAGTAATAAACACTTACGGTTATCTCGTTATGCGTGAAATCAGCGTTACAATGTTGACATTGTACAGGTCGATATGGACATTCTTCATAGTGAGCATCCATCAATCTTCTTCGTATGACACCACACTCCTTACTAAATTTACAATACTCAAAGCTGTGCTCACATATATTCTCGTGTTTGGCAGAGTTCTCCAACGATATAATCTCATTGCAACCCTGTTCATCTACAATCCATCCAACTGATTTCTGATATTTAAAATGATATTTACAAAATACCTATAATATTATAGTGATTATCAAATTAATAATTGATAATAACAATAATATAAGTAATCATCTTATTATTATTATTATTATTATTAATAACATACACTTAAAGTTCTAAGATGTCTCTCTACAAATAAAGATCTTGATAGTTTCTCAACGTTCAATGAACATCTACACTCTGGACACTCTTGTATCTTCTTTAGAGACTGTAGAATGCAATCCATACAAAAGAGATGACCATTCTTACACTGTCTAGGTTTATTTATAATCTGTAGACAAATGCCGCATTGTAGTTCCTTTATTATCTCTTGATCTACAATGACCACTTCAATAGGTACTGTATTCTCTAATTCTGTATATTGAAATCTATCCATGGTCTTCAAAAGAACTCTACTACTATTAAACTACAACTATTATACAAAAATAAAATGGGCAAATTAAAAAAATTAAAAATTAAAATAAATATTTGTTATTATTATAATTATAATTCGATTTAATCTATTAACTATTTAATATGATTCCACTATCTATTCTATTCTATTACAATGAATTTAAATTATAAACAACAAACTATTTTTTTATATTAAATTTTTAATTAAAAATTTTCAACAGACAGTTTTTTTTTAAAAAAAAAATAACAAGATTTTTTAAATTGAAATAATCTTTATAAATCTTATAAAATTAATTAAAGTCTAATGAAAATGACAAAGATGGATAATCATAAACATACTTCAATGTCGAATATTGAAGCATTATAAGAACTGAAATCACCAAGTTCGAATGTTAATATTATAAAAATTACCAGAACATTGAAACACTGTGAACACTCGGAGAAGATCATTAATAGGAAAGTTATAAAGAGTTTCACCTGTGATCAATTCTACCTGAGTAAAGTTACTTTGAAAGAAAGTTGTCAAAGTAGTTGGTGATTGTGATGAATCTACTCTACCTGCGGTACAACTTAAAAATGAATCAATAACAATGTAAATGATAGAAGTTGTATTATTGTTGTTGTTTAGAAAAGAAAGACCAGGTAAAGGTTAACTGAAAAAACATATCATCGCTTTGAAGTATTTTTCTTTTTTATATTTTGGAGATTTCAGAATGACGATCTGTTTTCACAACTATCCACACTACAAAAAATCAAAACTCGTTTGCATTTTTATGTAAAAACGAAATATCTTTAAAGTTTGATATCTAGATAGTTATCTCATTAAAAGAACATTTTTTGTTTGTTTTTGGTGGGTCAATTTGGGTAAAAACAGAATTTTTTTGTTCAATATTTTTTTGATGTGAGGTGCTGGTTTGTTTTGAAATCATGATTTTACTCCTAAAAACATTGTTCCTTTGTTGGAGATAACTATCTAGATCTTTAAGTTTGATATTTCTTTTTTAAAATTCTTATTTGATTGTGATCTGCAAAATATTATCATTTGATATTTTTTTCAAAATAAAAATAAAAATAATGACAATTAAAAAGATTATTATTTACTTATTAATGTTGATTCTTGTTAAACAATGTGAAGGTATGTAATATATTTAAGAAAATTGAAATTTACAGAGTATTTAAATTTAATAATAATATATTTCACAATTTTTTAGGACAGGCAAGACTTACAGATGTAACAGTAGATAAGGTGAATACCAACTCTGTTCAGATGTCATATGGTTGTTTTGATGCGGTTAACCCCAGGTACAGTTTTACTTATCCAAATGGAACCCCAGTTACTGTTGATCCCTCATGTATAACCTCAACTACTTGTCTTATTGTGGGATTAGTGCCAGCTACTCAATATTCTATTGATGTTTGTTGTTATGACGATGGTTCATATTGTCAATTCGGTATACTGAGAATTCCGTTTGTTACTTACGCCGAGATATCGTTACCACAGATTACATTCAATTCTATTTTAAAAAATGGAGTGAATATGTCAATTTTTACTCCGGGTGGCATTCCTGATCCTCCTACAACCTACAAAATATATGCCAATGGAACTGCTCTCTCAGTTTTAAACTCTTATTCTTCCTTTGTAGTTAATACTCTACAACCATCGACTGGATATTTTATTGAAGTTCAAGCATTAAATGATAACGACCAAAGGAAATCTAGTTTTTATGCAGTTACATATGGCAATCCAGAAGTTGCAATTTCTTTATTAAATTCTACTCTGAACTCAATGGCTGTGTCATATTTATCAACAGGAGCTATTGTTGGAATGTTAACTAATTATACTGTAAAGTATAATAATATTGGTGTTCCTGGATGTATAAATATATATAATACTCAATGTATTATAAGTAATTTATCTTATAAAACAAATTATTCAATCAACGTAATATCTTACAATCAAATTAATTTTGCAAGTGGAGTCCAAACATTTTCAACTCAAGCTTACCCTGCAATCTCAAACTTAACATTATCATTAGTCAACAAAACAACTACAACCATTACCGTACAATATGATTCATTGAATGGATTTCCGGGTCAAACATTATATTTCGTTGATGTTCATGGTGTTCTTAAGTGTCCAAGTTCAAAAGATAAAATATGTTTTGCAAGAAATTTACAACCTGGATTTCTCTATAATTTCCTTGTAAATGCATCAAATGACGGAAATAGTATTTCTGTTAATGACAACTTTTCAACTTTTTATCAAATATCAGGTCTATATTTTGCTTCAAATCAAAGTACAACCTCAAAAATCTTAATTGTTTATAATTCATTTTCTGGAATTCCAGGTGAATCATATTATACTACCAAAGTTAATGTAGGTTAATAACTCTAAAGCATAAACCAAATTGTTTTGTTAATCCTCTTTTTTTCAAAATAGGGAACACCATATCCAGTATGCCTAAATGTAAAAACTATTTCTTGTGAAATTATGAATCTTCAAAGTGCTACTAAATATAAGATAGAAGTTTTTGCAACCAATGATGGAACTACAATATCAATTTCAAAAGATATTTATACTTTGAACGGAGTTATTATATCTGATATCAATGCAACAGTAATCACAACAAAAACAATGTCTCTTTCATTTGGATCATATTTTGGGGTTATTGGTCTATCGAAATTTACAGTCACTATCAACAATACAGTAATTCCAAGTTGCTCTCAGATTTCAACAATAACTTGTGATTTAGCAAATTTAACACCTGGAACTGCATATGAAATCAAAGTATCAGTTTTAAATGATGGAACATCAAATGAGATGACAAAAATATTCAATACATATTCAATAGTTTCAATCCCAATCATTACAGTTCATCAACAATTAAATCAAACTCTATTGATTAAATATTCAACAAGTGGAGGTGTTCCTGGAAATTCACTTTATACAACATCAATCAATGGTTCAGATATTTCTGGTTGTGTTAAAAATAGTTCGCTTCAATGTCTATTCAATCCTTATCAATTAGGATATATATATTCAATAACAGTGCTGGTTGAGAATGATGGATATAGTCATAAATCGTTTTTCGATTTAAAAATTTATGATTGTGAGTTTCTTTATTAATAATAAGTAGAATGTTTCATTATTAACTTTTTATATAATAGATCCAACAGCAGTTAATATTATAAATATTGTTCCAACATCCAGAAATATTTCAATTGAATGGACAGAGAGTCAAGAAGGTGTTCCTAACAAGTCAATATATCAAGCATCGCTTTCAAATGGAGATGGAGTTAATTTCCATGTATTTTGTAATAATATAACGAATATATTGAAATGTAGTTTCCCAAATCTCATTCAAAACACAACATATTCATTGAGAGTATCTGTTTTGAATACTAATTTCGATGCAGTTAACACAACAATTAAAGTTAAAACATTAAATGGTATGTATAATTTAATTAAATATTTCTTTTTTCCAATCTAATTAATTTATTTATATTTAATAAAGATGGAAATGAATATTGTAGCAAATCAGGAAGCATGGAATGTAATGGTAATGGTATTTGTTCAAATGGGAATTGTAATTGTTTAACAGGATGGATTGGTCAATATTGTGAGATACCAAATAATTTAGATAATAATAATCCACCTATCATACTTCCAAATCCAATATCACCAGGAGTGATTATCGAAGAGAAAGGAATCACTTATTCATTTTCAATTAGCGAAATCAAAGAAATCGATTCAACTTTATCAACAATTAAAAGGTTGAATATTTCATCTTTACAATGGAATTTAACAAAGAGTAATGATAGAAATATAAGTACTTCAATCAATTTAATGGTAACAGAGAGATCATGGCATTATTCAGTTTCAATTGAAAATCAATATTTCCAATCAATCAACATATCATTCTACCAATATTTATCATTACCAGGAGTTACACAAAATGATTATTATGAATATCAATATGCAGGTAAAACCTATTCAATCAAACTTGGATCATTCAAATATACTTTAAATATTTCAGAATGGGATTTCCAATCAAGATTGAATACTTTGGAGGTATCAAGTATGATTACAACACCAATCGGTGGAAGTTGTAATCCTCAAATGAATATATCTCTCATTAATTCCGGTGATATCAATTTATTTGACATTGGAGATGGAAATGGTAATTCTGTTTTTGGAAGATTGATCAACATAGTATTATTGGATGATATTCCGAGATCAATTTCACACCGAACAATTGAAAACATTGCCAATCAAAGTGTATCAATTGTTTCCATGATTCCGTATTTCGAATCAACTCTGTTTGTCGATCCTGATTTCTCAAATTTAATCACTGTCAATGGTAAAGTATCTTGCCCTTCTAGTAAAGATAACAAATGGAAGATCATTGTAGGTGTTGTTGTCGGAGGTACTGTTGGTATAGCCTTAATTGCTGGTTCTTCATATTATTTTTATAAAAAGAAAATAATGCAAAAAGAAAACAAAAAATTGCAAAACAAATTAAATAATATGAAATAAAAAAATAAAATTAATATTCTTTTTTATTTTATTGCAACAACAACATTAAGGATCCTGTAAATAATAATATTTAAAATAGACTATTCTTATTATTGTGCAAAAAATACTTTCAAAATTATTGAAAATATCAAGGTAAAAAAGAGATTTTGAAGGATACAAAGATAGAGAGGATTGATAGATGAAAACCTGTTGGACATAACTATTATCTTCAAAAGTATATGGGAACTATCGTTGAGTCAAGTTATTGGTCAACAATGAATATTCACCAATGGTTAAATGAGTACTCGATATATCACTCTAGACATAGTAGGTTTTTATGTTGATATAATATTGTCCTAGAGCATTATACATACATTTCATTTCATTGAGACAGATGTTAGAACTTAAAGTTATGTGAGATCAAAGATAGTTAGTTGCTTCGATAGAATGTTGTTAAAGTAACAGCTCTTCTTTTTTTTTAATATTATAAATTATATTTGTTTTTATTATTATTTTTTAGAATACATAACCGAATTCTTTGGTTTGTGGAATTGATTGGATCTCGTGGAGTACTGCGTAGATACGACGTGAGGTCTTGAGTCCACCGGTTGAAAAGAGAGTGAGTGCCTCTTCACGAAGACGTGGTGCGTGTACCTTTACGTAGGTATCGAGGGTCTCTTGAGAGACAACAAAGTATTGCATGACGTACTCTTCAGTGGCTGGGTCACTTGGTTGAGTCAACTTGTGAATGACACCCTTCTTGAACAATGTACCATTTTCCAACGAAACAATCTCACTGACATGCTTCTGAATGTATGTATCCCATTTCTCTGCAATCTCTTTATTTACAACTGCTGTAACTTCATAAATAATTTGATTAACAGTTGGTGTTGAGTTGGTAGTTGCCATTATATTATTATTATTATTCTTATTCTTATTTTTAATTAATTCAAAGTTAAGATCACACACCCAATTGCAATCATTTTAAAATAATCAAAATTGAATAAATTTAATTTAACATTTTTAAAATAAAAATAAAAATAAAATAAAATAAATGGTGTGGGTCAAAACAATCTGTCCAAATCAAAAGGAACTTTCAAGTTCAAAAAAGATATTTTTGGACAAAAAAAAAAAAAATCTAAAATGAGTGAAAAAAGATTAGTTTAGTTTTTAAATGTTTAACGTTAAGGATATCCTTTACTTTATTTGTTTGTTTGTTTGTTTTAAATTTATTTAACACCCATCATTCTGAATGTATAGATTCCAAATGGTGGAGTTTGACCTGGTGTAAGTGTTGGCAGCTTAATGTTTATACCTTGACCATTGCTGTTCATGTTCCAACTGACCAAGATCGAGTTATTGTTTGGTCCGATCAATTCGATGGTGGCCGATGTCGATGCAACCGGTGCCTTTAGCTCGAGAACTCCAGAGTCTGGCCATACAAACGATATAGCATAGACGTAGCCGGTTTGAGTGTTGGTGGTGTACCAGATCAACTCGTCGGCAGTGTCGTTCTGTGCACGCCAGAAAGTACTATCGTAGATCGCTTCACCGTTGACACCCAACCACTCACCAATCTCAATGAGACGCTCCTGCATAACGATGGGAATGACACCATCGGCAGTTGGTCCGACATCCAACAAGAAATTACCGCCACAACTAACAGTGGAAACCATTGCTTGAAGAAGAGCAGTTGTAGATTGATACTCTTGTAATGGTTCGTTTTCATTGTATCCCCATGAAGTTCCTAAAAATTATTAATAGAAATAAATGTAAATAAGTATTTAACAATTGTAATAATATTATAGACAATACTAACCGATGGTATAACAGTTTTCCCATTTATGACCAATTAACTTTCCTGGATTGAATCTATCGTATGGTGTCCAGTAACCACCGTTCTTTGATCTACAATCGCTTCCCCAACGATCGTTTGTAACGACTGTATTCTTTACTGAACTGTTGGTGTACAGCCATGAGAGGAACAATGTCGAATCCCAATAGGCTGAGGTTTGTTCCCAATCTCCATCAGACCAAACTATAGTAGTTGTAAACTAAAAGTTAGTATAATTATTTATTTTGTACAAAATCAACACAGAAATACATACTTAAATCTGGTTCATATTTATTAACAATATCTACCAATTGTGGGAATAATACTTCACTAACGTACTCTTTTTGAGTTGGTGGATTACCAGTTGATTTATCTTGTAAATATGTTGGATTAAACCATTCTAAAAATAAAAAAATAAAAAAGATAATTAATATTTATTAATAATAATATTTAATAATAATAATAGTTTACCGAATAAAGAATGATATAATCCCATATGTAAACCAGCATATTTAACAGCAGCAGTCAAATCACCAACCAAATCTCTGTGTGGACCAACATCAACACTATTCCAAGACCATGATTGCTCCGATTTCCAATTGGTGAAGCCTTCATGATGCTTACTAGTGAAAACTACATACTTTGCACCCGATGCTTTGAAAATAGCAGCCCATTGTTGTGGGTCAAACAAATCAGCTTTAAACATTGGTGCAAATTGCTAAATGGTTAATTAATATATTAATATTTATATTTTTTTATAATAATAATTTAATATACATACTTGATAGGTGAAATCTGGACCGAATGTCTTGTTATGATAAGCTTGAGTTGCTCCTCCGTCGGTATCCTTTGGATAGGTCAACGAATACCAATACCATTCTGCAGATGGGAATACTGATGTAGCAAAAGCAGGTACACTGTATACACCCCTATTTATTTAATATTAAAAAATTATTAGAATCATCTCTTTTATATCTTTTATAAGATTTAACTTACCAATGAATAAATATACCAAATTTAGATTGATCATACTAATTATAAAATTGATAAACAAAAAAATGTAAGTACAAAAATAACTTTTTTCCAAAACTGTTTTTTTTGCAAACTTACCCAACTTGGTAATGGTCTACTATTTACACTTGGCCAATTTGGTTGATAGGTTTGCGAATTACATATGACAAAAATTGTTACAAAAAATAGAAGAATTTGTAAATTCCTCATGATTGATTATATATATATTTATTTAAATGTAAAGATAAAAAAAAAAAGATATAGATAATCGGATAGATAAAAAAGAAAGAATTTTTTTAATAAAAATAAAAAGTTTGTTAATCTAAATAAAACTAACTCTAACTTTTGTATCAATTTATTTTGAATTGTCTGATAGGGAACTTGATTGATTAAATAATTCAATTCAATTCAAATTAAATTGATACAAAAGATTAAGATTAGTATGTGTGTGTGTGTTTGTTTTTATTTCATTATTTGACTACATGATTCAATACAATTGCTAAATAATCCTTTAACACATATACTACTAATAGTATTTTGATCGTTTGATTGGTGTGGGTAATTTAAATAAAAATTGCAAAAACAACACATATATTAAAAAAAGTAATAAAAATTTGAAACCATCTCATATTTTATCTGCCCATTTTTAATAAAAATAAACTAATTTCAGATTGAGACTTACGTTTTTTTTTTTAGAAAAAAAAGTAAACATTACTTTTATTTGATTTGATAATGATTGTAAAAGTCTGTATTCCAATTAAATTCATTCTTTAACTTATGAATTATTTGTGGTAGAAATGGCTACCTTTGGTCATTTCTTTATTTTGATTGGTCAGAACTGATCATCACCAACAATGATGTGATTTTTCAATAAAAGGAAATAAACTTGTACAAGTTTATTAATTTAGTTTAAGTTTTATAAAATTCTTTAAAAAGTTTATTAATTTAGTTTAAGTTTGTTTGCCAATAAAATGAAAGGATTAATTGGTTAATTCTTTTCCTTACCATTTTCAAAGTAATAAAGATTGAAAAACATTTTTTTTTGATAGAATATATAAAAATAAATCAATTTTATTACTACAAATTACATGTTAACATTGAAATTCGAATATCTTTTTAAATATTTGGTATCAACTTTGATAAAGTAGATAAGAATAGGGGAACTAGTTTGTTGTGTAATCGTTTTTGATTATTTGATTTAAAACAGAGTGTCATGAGGAGTGTTTTCTCATTGATCAAGATCTCCAGTAGAAACAACGGACCATTTTCAATCTCTTGAGCATAGTAATACAATTTGGTTACACCTGCAACACTACCGAATGCCAAACACATAATTCCTTTGCTAGTCAGTAGTTTCTCCATTTCATTTGTATCTATTAGTTTCTCTAATTGTATATCGAATCTATGACTATATACATATAGTTATATAAAGAATATCATTAATATTTACAACTAATAATAAATAATAAACATAATTAACTGTTTGTTGTAATTTTTTAAATTTACTTACCCTTCTTCAAAGTTTAACCAATTCTCTTGGAAATCCTCTGGTTGTATCTCTGTTTGTGATTCCAATGTAAAGTTATCAACTATTTGTTGTGATGATGTTTCGAATTCAAGTAAAAGATCTGGTGTTTGTGATTGCTGTGGTTGTTGTGATTGATGTTTCATTGTTGGTGATGATGGAATTGAAGTCGATAGTGGTGATAATATAAGTGCTACAGATGTTGGTGGTTTGATATAAGAAGATGATGGTTTACCATAGATAATAGATAGAGTATTGAATTCATCGAATATCTTATCCTAATTATAATTTAAACAAAAGATTAGACAATAATAATAATATTATTATTAAAGAATTGCTATAACTTACTCTATATTCTAAAATTTCATCTTCTACAAATATACTGCTTTCATTCTTGTCGATCTTGGTATTGATTATCTTTGTTGCTTTGTCAATATCGTATAATAAAAGTCTGTAGTAGTAAAGACATTGATCTCTTAGTGCTGGATCGCAATCTATCGATGAGCAAGCTTTGAACAGTCTGAGTAGAATAGGATAGATCTCACCACTTGTTTTTTGATTGGCAAAGAGACGAGTACAAGTAGTAAGTAGCTGTATCTTTACATTGGTGGCGAGTGATGATTTGAATTTGTTGGGTGTCGTTGAATGATCATCCAAGAATTTCTCTATAATATATACAATGTTGGTATTACCATCACCACTATTGATGTTACCATGATAACGACTATCATCTTGATACTCTGCAAGCATCCAAAGCAACGATTCAATAGCATCGGAATCGTTTAGAACCAAAAGCTTGTCGGTAACAAGCGGTAATACCTTGGCAGCCGACTCTGGATAGACACGAAGATAGTCTTTCAAAGCAACCACACAAAAAGCAACAACCGTATCCAACCGATCGGAATAAAGAAACTCTAACAACACATCCAATACACTCTCTGACTTTTCCTCCAACGAACAACCAATTGATACAATTGTATCTATAACTTCTTTTAAGAATGATATATCATTATTATTATTATTACTATTATCTACTATTGTAGAAGAATCATTATTATTATTATTACTACTATTATTATTATTGTTATTGCTATTATAATTATAAGTATATACATATTCACTCAATTCAGAGAGAATATCATTTACAGTGGTATGATTTACGAGATCTTTTAGTATTTTAACTTTCAACGATTTGATGTAGAGTGGATCTTTGTTTAGACAATAGAAGTAACGATAGTCTGGTTGAAACAATGTCGGTGCTCTACTGATGATCAAGTAGATATGTGATAGCACTGCATAGCTGATTTCATAAGAGTCAAACGTACTGCATTCCATCAATGTAATCAAAGGATCTTTCAATCTACCAAACACTTGTTCATGTATATTACTATCATTCTCTGTTATCTTTAAGAACAGCTTTACAATCGATAATACCAATGAACTATTTGAATATTTTAACTTGTCATCAAAGAAGTTCTACAACATTTATTCAAAAGCAAAGACAACAACATTAGTAAATATATTCGATATTTTAATATTAGTTAAAACACCATGTTTACTTACAAGAAAATCATATATTTCATCTTCATTAATAAGATTATAACGTTGAATTGTATTTACTATTGCGGTCTGACCCCATTCGTTTGCCTCTTTGAACTTTGCCATTAGATGTCTTGTGACCTGTTGTGATACCTGCCAGTTTGGACGAATCTCATCGAGTGTGTATAGAGTATTGACTATTACCTGTGGGTCTTGATCCATTATCATACCATAGACCTTTGGTATCAAATCGCCAAAAGTAGAGTCTCTCTGGTCTTCGGGTGTCACATGATACAGCTTCGCAAGACCGATCAAACCAGTCTTTCTAACATATGCAGAGGGATCACCAAGTGATTTCATAACACATTTAAATGAATATTCAAATGTTGTTTGTGAACTATAAAGTTAAACGAAATTGTTGTTTTCATTAGTCAATATTTTTGTTTGTTTGTTTGTTTATTAAATGTTTAACAATATACTTAAACTTACTCAAATGAACATAAACTTCTTAATGCTAAACCTCTAACCATTGGATTTGAATCTTGAAAGTCAAGCTTTATTAAAAGTAATAAGTAAATTTAGAATGTAATTGAATAAAGTTAAATAAACATTCAGTACTTACACATAATGTATTTATTACTAAGAGTAATAGTGAGTCGTTGTCACCGTGTACTGCATAGTGACATATGTAGAGGTATACTAATTTCTTGATGATTAGATCGGTTGTGTTGACAACCATGATGATATCGGGGAACAACGGAGAGACATCGATACCCATTGTCATATAATATATAATACGTTGTAATGAAGATCTTATCTTCTCTCCATCTCTTTCATTCGATGCATTCTTTAGTAGATATCTTAACTCTGCAATCTCTCCTTTCTTCAAATCTGAAAAGTAATTATTGTTGTTTTGATTATTTTGATTGTTTGATTCTGCTGCTGATGCTGATCCTATTTGTCTATTATTATTATTATTAGGAGAAGTATTTGTAGTGGTTCTACCACTTATATCTATTCTTACACCTCCACTATTATCTCTATATGGTTGATAAGGTGTATTGTTTGACATTTACACCTGTTGTTGTTGTTATTGCTGTTATTGTTATTGTACCAACAACATAAATATCAAATTTTTTATAAACAAAAAGCACAATTTAACAATTTACTAAATTTATTTCTGTTTTTCAAGAGAATAAATCAGTTCAAATGAATGGTTATCATTATGAAGAATATTTGTAAAAGTAGTTGCTATGCTATTCTCCAACCAGCAAAGTGACTAATAGAAATATGATAAATCTACATCACCACCAAATAAGCCACTATTCATGGAGTTACAAAGATAGCCACCTGGATAATCTGATGGAAGGGAATTGATATAAATAGTGAACTAAAATATTAATAACAACAACAACTCATATTCATCTATTAAATCAACTAATTATTACATATAAATAATTACATCTAATACTTGTTCTTCTAATTAAATTATACTCTTTATTAATTTTACAATTATATTATAATAAACTTATCTTAATTTATATATTCACATTGCTCTGCATAATTATCTCTTCATCTAGAACCTATCAACGTAAGTGTTATATACTCAATATCTCTATATATATATATATATATAATACGATAGTAGCACCAATATTAAAATATATTCTTATCGGTAACAAGAGACAACACCTTGGCGGCTGACTCTGAATCATTAAAAGCAATCATCTTTCATTCGATGCATTCTTTAGTAGATATCTTAACTCTGTAATCTCTCATTTCTTCAAATCTGAAAAGTAATTACTATTGTTTTTAATTATTTTTATTGTAGTTCTACCACTAATATATAGGTGTATTGTTTGACACTAACACTGTAGATATTCTTATTTTATCAACAATAAATAATAAATAAAATACAGACAAAATGATATCTAAGAAAGGTTGATCTATTTGAAATGTCTAATTTATTTTATTAACTTTATTTAAAAAAAAAAAAAAAAAAAAAAAAATTTTAATCTCCAAGGTTGGCGTGATATTCCTGTTGATCTGGAGAAAAGGTAGAGTTTGCTGGAGGAGTAGTATCCATTGGCTCCGCAGTTGCTGGAGAGGAGTAGTAATTATAGTGAGCGTCGGATGCCTGAGTTTGGTATAGTTGAGTGCTATGGATATCATCACAGAAGAACTGAGGATCAAGAACTTGGTTACACTCGTCGAAGAAGGAGGTTTGAGCATTTAATGTTCTTTGGTTATTTGTTGTTGTGGTTGTTGTTGTGGTTGTTGTTGTGGTTGTTGTTGATGATGTTATTGTATCAGCAGGAGCTGGGGTTGTTGGTCTGGTTCGGCATTGAGGGCAGTGGATAATCGATTGGTCAGGGACTCCCTCACCAAGAGGGAAACCGTTACCATCATGATAACCGAGACGGGGTAACTTAAATTTGATATCATGAGTTTGATAGACATATCCAGAGAAGACTGGAATAAAAGAAAATTGTGGCGTTATACCCAACATTTGATCTTGTTCTATGTTTGTTGAATATCTACATTTCCGACAAGTTATTTTCACTTCCATTGCTGTGCTGTTACTATCTCCCGTCTTGAAACGATCGCCATACGTCTTTAGAACTACAGTATTTTGTAGAAGAAGACCTAGTAAATGAAGCCTCTTTGAAAGAAGATCGTTCACTCTCTCTAAAAAGTTGTCAAATTCTGCTATTTGTTTCAAATTCAGAGAGAAATTGGTCGGATTGCATCTTTCCAATTTTCGTTCGAGTCTTTGGAAATACTTTTTCTCTTCTGTATACGGATCTTGAACTCGCTCTTGGTTTTTCTGTTTCTTTGGTGTAATGTGGTTCAAGAAGTAATGGCAAAATTCACACCATCCCTCCATCTGATGATATTGATTTCGATCTGGTTGGTGACAGATGGGTTTAATATATATGACTTTTGGATTCAGTAAATCAATAGTGTTGTTTATGATTCTGTGACCTCCACTGACTATGCTGCCACAAGCAGACTTCTCCAGTGTTTCAGAATTGATTTCATATGCAGAAATCGTAAAATTAAAGGTGCCGGTGGTAAGCCCTTTGACTAAGGAATGAATCAAGGTGATGGTATGCTGACGGGGGCCATTGTATTGAAAATCGAAACTTTCATTGGATATCTTGATACCACAGTCTAAAGCTAAATTACCTCTAATAGCCTTTCCTTCCGGCAAGTCACTGACAATGAATAGAAAAGCAACCTTTCCATTGGGGATTAGTTTCAATCCTTGGGTGATCACCTTGAGGGTTGCATTGGAGGGAAACTTGACTACATCATTGACAGATTGGAATGTTGTCGGTGTTGTTGGTGTTGTTGGTGTTGTTGGTGTTGTTATTGTTGTTGTTGGTGTTGTTGGTGTTGTCGGTGAAGCTTCAGTCTTTTGAGATTTGTTGGGCTCAGGTTCTTTGTCTGTTTCTTGCTTTCTCTTACCAGGAGGAAATGGAGGTGTAACTTCAGTCATTTCATTATAATACAATTGATTTGAAGTATTGGAGTGATCTTCATTCTGTTGACTTGTTGAAGTGTCATTATTAATATAACACAATTGATTATTATCAAAATTTGAAGTTTGGTTTGGATCAGGCTGCGATGATTGTGAAGGGGCTACCGGCAAACAGTTAATAGGTTCGGAATTCGAAAGATCGTATTGGTGACCATCACGTTGTTTGAATCTATCAAATTGAAATTGATTATTAGCATCAGAGGTGGAATCTATTTCATTGATGCTATCATTATTATTATTATTATTATTATTATTATTATTATTATTATTAATACCATCAGAGGTGGAATTTATTTCATTGATATTATCATTATTAACACTAATACCAACAAAGGCAGAATCTATTCCATTGTTGTTATCGAGGTGGTTGATATCATTATTGACACTATTACCACCATCAACGTCGCTCTGTGGTTGATTCAGGAGTTTTTGAAACTCGAAGGCTTCGTCAATTTGAGACATAGTCTGATGTGCCTCGTTCGTTGTCAAAAGAAAAAAAGGTTTTAAAAATATATATATATTAAAATCTATATCTATATAATTATTTATTTATATTAAAGAAATAAATTATGTATGATAAGCAATGTGAAGAATTGAACATATCTATTAATATTAAGAAAAAACTTAAAATTATCGATTTTTTGATGGGGGTTGTGCTACCACTCACCAAAAATGATAAATGGATCATCAAATGGATTTTTTTTATTTTTTAACAAGCAAAGTTTTTTTCCATTTCCGAGTCGGCACGATAAAACAGCCTTTAGTCACCTGTTTTCTTTGATTAGTTATAAAATTGAATTTATTTAAAATTGAAAATGGGTTTTTGGATAGATATTTGTTGAAATTTGGATTGATTTTGAAATGATACTTACACCCAATCAGATATTTCTCTGATTTTAGAGATTTTTGACGATTTGAAAAAGCTCAAAACTTTTTAATGCTTGTTCAAGTTCAATATTTAAAGTCTCGATGAAACATAACCAATAGGAAGCAGAATTAATACCTTTGAATGGTGCTATCAAATTCATACCTCGTTCATAATTATACTAACTTTTTTCATATGAAACTTTTTTCTAATATTAACATAATATTTATAATAATATAATTGATTTTTTTTTATTTTTTTTTTGCTTTTTAATGATTAATTTTAAACTAGTTTGTAAGATATTAGATATTCGAATGACTCGAGTATCGGATAAATAGAAAACGGGTTGGGTGAGAACGGTCCACGATGAATATAATCTCCAAATTAAACTATCATGGTATCTTTATAAATAAAATAAGTTATACATACAGGTGATTGAGAATAAAGTATGTGTAGAGAATATTGATGAGTATATTGTTTATATCATAGATATCTTCTACCACCATGAAATCATCCAGAGTTCAAGTGTCTGAATAATATTCTAAAGTTCCTTTCTAATATTTATATCTTTATCTGATTGATATAGTTTCTAATAAAAAATAATAAAAAAAATATCAAATCTACTGATCGATTACTCTAACTACCTAATCTTAAATATCCTTCTCTAGAATAATTGATATCTAGGTATTACAAGTTTAAATGATGACTATAAAGACTAGTTGTTTTGAAAGTTTGTAAACTATTATATCAATTGGTAATCAACTAAATTTTTAATTAAAAATTCAATTTTTTAACAAATAACCTAAAAGTTAAAGTTTTTTTAGATATTTTACAAAGTTGTATTGGGTGTCTATGAAAACTTATTTGTTGAAAAAAGTCAATCAAGAGTTCTACTCATATGATACAGGTAATGATGTGGGTGTAAATGATCATCAAATCACCTTTTATATTTTATTTATTTATTTTAATTGTTTCTTTTTTTCTTTTCTCATTAATTCTTGAGCGATATGAAGTGGTTGTGGTAGATAGTTTCTCTTTACACTGTTGCAATTAATACAGAAAAATAGAACAATAGTTGTTAGTGGGTTGTTTGATAGATATTTAAAAAGATTCGAAAAATCATGATTAACTTACAAAATAGTGAAATATACTGGTAAAAGACAAATAACTACGGTAACAATCACCGCTAAATAGAAAGCTGGCTGTGTGAGAAGGTTTACGAAAACCATATAGTAGTAGAGGTTACCAAACATCGATGCGAGGAAACTGTATGCTATTTGGAAGACAAAAAAGAATGCAATCGAGACCCAAGTAGCCCAGTGTTGAACACGATTCCAAGAGTTGACAGTCAATATCAACATCAGTTGAATCATCAATGTCAAAGCAAACAAAGATGCTGCCGCCTGTGACCACAATCCACCTATCTTTCCATTGGATCCTGTCGGTCCATCATCGAAAACACTGGACATCACATAATATATTACAACGGAGCAATAGATTCCATGTAATATCCATGTTGAAAATATTTTCCAATTAAACTATTTTAAATTAATATTATTGTTATTTAAGAAATTCTTTATAAATAAAATAAACTATATTTAACTATACATACATTATCACCTTTTTGAGTTTCTTTAAATAGAATTGGATATTTCTTTAAGAATTTCGGGTGGATATCTCTGTCGGTGACTGCATAAACAATGATTGGGAATGAAGTATAGAGAATGTTGATGAGGATATTGTTGATTTCATCGATGTAGGTCTGTCCTGAGAATTGTGTGTCAATGTTGAACCAGAGTTGCAGTAAAACGGTGGCTATATTCTTCCAGAAGGAGAAACAAAGCAGTGTTGACAGACGTTTGAAGTTATAACGACCGTGCACCAGAAGTAGACGTTCGAGGAAGCAGAACTGTGAGATTGCATAGTCCGATGCGAGTACTGCTTGTCTACCTTCGAATCCACTGATACCGATACCGACATGAGCAATCTGTATCATACTGACATCGTTTGCACCGTCACCAATAGCGAGAGTAACACTGCTAGTTCTATCCTTGACGATACGTACTACCTCACTCTTTTGGAACGGTGTAACACGGCAACATACAACGGAATTGACATTTTTAGACAGCCGGTAGAATGCATCCTCCACCTCTTTATCCTGGAACATAAACACCATTGTTGGACCATCGATAACAATAGCGTTTTTCTTCTCAACATTGCTGTTCTCATCGGCACCAACGCCAACACTTTCCAATTCCTGGAGATATTGGTTAATTTTAGCAAGAAGTAGATCCTTGTTGTTTTCATTAAGAATCATGAGGTCTTTGGAATCCAGTAGATTACAAGATATTCCAATGTTGATGGCAGTCTCTTGTTTGTCACCGGTCAACATCCAAATCTTGATTCCAGCTTTCGAGAGTGTTTTAATTGTCTCTGGAACGTGTTCTTGTAGTCTATCTTCAATTCCAACGACACCAAGGAAATGCCAACTCTTCTCAATCTCCAGAGATACCTCTGAGATTCTTTGACTACGATTGTTAAGTAAGAGATTGGCTTCTTTCATTCGTTGTGACCATGGACCGTACTCCTCAGCGGTAACAATTCTCTTGGCAACGCAAAGAGTTCTCAAACCCTGACAGGAGAACGAGTGGAGATTATCTTGATTCAGCTTCACCATTGGCATGCTGGAATCGGGTGCCAACTGCGATAGAATAGCAGAGTCGGCACCTTTGCAATAGAGAATGATATCATCGGTATTATAGTTCTTTACAATAACAGACATTCTCTTTCTATCACTTGAAAACTCTAGAACATTCAACAACTTGTACTCTCTTTCCTCACCCAATACACTGATACCCAAATGAGCAGGTGTTCTAGTATGAAATTTAACACCTGCACTTGAAGCTTCCTTTACCAATGCAATTTCATCTGGTGAAGATGATGAATATTTAACTAATAACAATACTATTAATATCTATTTCTTATCTGACTTTTAATATTATTAGTTTATACATACTTTTACCTTGATCATCAACAGATTCTGGAATTACAGTATGGCAAATAGCAAGACCTAAAAAGAAATCTAAACTATCTGGATCATTTAAATCAATCTTTGGAACTATTGTTTGTTCATTTGAACTAACTGGTGCTTTTGATTTTGAAAGATCTGTCATTCCAATTGAATTACTACTCATCTATAATTTAAATATTATTGAAATATATAAAGTTAGTTAGTCAATGAATATATATTCAACTTTTATACATATAATAAATATTACATACAAGTTTATCATTACCAAAATCTTCTTCTTCTTCATTTTTGAAACTTGTTGAAATTAAATTTGTATTAATATGATCATGATTTGTTGTTGGTTTTGAAGAAGTGGAACTAATTTCTAATGATTGATGATCTCCTTCGCTTGGTCCGTAGATTACACCATTGACACTGCAACGTTTGAATTCCATTTGATTTCTGGTAAGTGTTCCTGTCTTGTCAGAGAAGATATACTCAACTTGACCTAACTCTTCGTTGAGATTGGATGTTCTGGCTTTTGCAAATGTCTTTGTTTCCTCGTGATACATATGCTTGTCTTTGTTGATCGATACCAACTGGAGTACACGTGCCAACTCCAAAGAAACATACAACGAGAATGGAGCGATAGTTGCAAACAGTACAACATACGTAAAGAATCCTTTGAGTGTCTCCAGCGAGTAGTTGGTACTGAGATCCAGATACCACTGACCGGCACCTCTCTCCTTCTGATAATAAGTGAAACCAAGCAGTGAACATAGCAAACATAAGATAAACTCAATGGTGAATGCGAATATCAAGATGTAATTTACGGTGGAATCCATTCTGCTACGCTTCGACGGTGTCTCCTTGGTGTTCAACATGTATTTGGTTTGATGGCCGGTGTATGTCACCACGCCATAGATCACCTTGGTATTCATGAGAACGGTTCCACGAATTAGCAATTGATCGAGACTCAAGGAATAAGGTTGGTTATTGATGGACATCCGACCGTTGAACGAAGTCAGACTGACTGAGGGTGCTTCATACTCTAGGATTGCACGGAAATTTGAGAAATCTACAGAGTTTTGCAAGTGGTTGGTCTCCATGAGTGATTGTTTTGACTTTAGACTGGTTTCACCATCGAGATTCGAAGTCTCTATGAAGCACATGCCTGGCGACATCTCACCGCTACTCGAAAGCAGCACTAAATCCGCTGGGAATTGCTCGGCATTTCTAACGACCACAATATCTCCAACCATCAAATTCATCCATAGCTCTTGTGTTTCAACACCTTTTCTAATGACATTTGCTTTTCTATTATTTATTTCTTTATCTGATTGATAACGTTTCTAATAACAATCAAATATAATAGTTAGATTCAATTCAATTCCAATATTTATTTTGTATTCAGAATCAAATCAATTGATTGTGATTGATTGATTGATTGATTGATGAACTATACTTACGAAATCTTCATAGGCTTCTTTAGCAGCATTGATACCAATTACCAAGACCAAACCAAATATACTTCCACCAGGTTTATTTGGTGATACATCTGTAAATGAAATGATAACTATAAAGAGGAAATAGAAATTGGCTATTCTGGTAAACTATGTTTTTTGAGATATATAAATTGGTTAATTGTCAATTTAATAATAAAAAAAATGATCACTTTGCGAATTAAAATTTTTGGCCACTTAAAAACTTTAAGTTTTTATATATCTCGATGGTCGATGCATTACAATGATCAGGTTATAGGGTGCATATTGGTGTGTGTTTGTGTGTGTTGTGTAATTAATGAATGAACACTTACTTGTTGAAAAAGGTTTTTAGGTAAAAAAGTCAATAGAGTATATTTAGAAGTAGCGATATAGTTATTGACATAAGGGCTCTTGGTTGGTGGTTGTTCTTCATCGATGATAACTCTTCTTTCTCTAGTATCAGGCTTTTTACTGAATAACTTTTTAATTTTATCCATATTTAACCAAAAACTAGCTTATAGTACTGTTGTTGTTGTTTTAGTATACTATTTTTGTTTTTGTACTATATAAAAAGTGCTATTACTAATCTGTCTGTGTCTGTGTTGTGATAATAATATTAAAATACTGTTACAAAAAAGAAAATTACAATAATAATAATACAATATAAATTAAAATACATATAAAATAGATTTATGATTTTGTTTGACAACGTAGGTGTGTCAAAACTACTTGACTCTGATTGATTTACAGACTGAGACAAACAAGACAACTAAACTCCTATCCTATCAAGTTCCATCATTAACAACAACAAAGGAGTGTTTATTCCTCTTTTGCAAATGGTCATCTGAGGTATTCAACGTAATCTCAAATACTAAATCTCTTGAAAATGAACACCATTGGTATTTTCCTATGAACGTTTAAAAAGTATTTGCATTCTATAATCATCATCAACTGTGTGTGTTTGGTGGTGGTGGTTTGTTTCGATAATTATAAATAAATAATTTGATTGAGAGGTGTTGTTTGTTTTTTTTGTTTTCATTTTTCGTTGTTCCTTTACTTAAAAAACACTCATACACCACCCATACAAAACAAACTCTTTTTTTCACCTGAGTACTTGATCAGAGGTTTGGTTGAGAATTTCATCTCGATTGTTGGGTGATTATATTTTTACCATATATATATTGTGAAAATATAAAAATAAATCTCAATTCCAAAAAAAAAAAAAAAATTCAAAAAAAAACATGTCAAAATCCCTCTTATGATTTATCAAAATAGATAGTTTTTTTTTAGAATTTTAAAAATAAATATTTTAATTTACCATCAAAAACTGTTTGCTTTTTGGTGGACAACACAGTTTATTTATAATTCTACACAATGGTTTTCTCCTTTCTTATTGATTCTTTTTTTTTTTTTTTTGCTTTCTGATTTCGGACACGCACGGTTTTTTAGCAAATCAACAAAACAGATATTTTTAGTTTCATCGACCAATCACATACTTATTTTCGTTGTTAACAATCACTCGCATTATCATAATTAAAAATATTTATTACCAAAAGAATAGTTTCAAAATAATTGTCATTGCCTCAGATTGGTAATTGTTTTACATCATTATCATCTAGTTTGTTTAGCTATTACATGTACTCTATTTCAACAAGTAATTTACACATCATAGCATATTCATATGAAATCATCTTTGAAAAACATTGTTTAAAGATACATAGTCTTTCTTTTTTTTTTTTATTGTTAATAGTTAATAGTAATAATACCTTTATCACTATTGTAATCAACTGATTTGTGTTATTTTTCTTTGTTGTGTTTAATATAGAGTTTTCGCAATGCTCCAATGGTATTACAACAAAGATGAAGGGGGAATAGGGTTGTTAATCAATCAATCAATTGATTGACTAGTTGATTGTTTAAATGATTAGATGATTAAAGAATATAGTTGATTATTTGATTTTCTTCATTTCGTAAATGAAATAACCAAAGAATTCACCGATTGTAGTAACTTTGATTTCATCCCAGTTCTCACGTGTTATATATTGACGACGGAAATGAGGCTGGCCAAATGAAATATAGATAAAGACACCACCGACCTTCAATATACGAACTACTTCATCTACTTCTTGCTTTACGTCCGACAAAACATTCTCTGCTGGACTCCACACATCTGCACCACTAAAAAACGTATCCATAGTGGCCTTATCCAAAACTACATCGAACGATTCATTTTCAAATGCTTTCATATCTCTAATATCCATTTCTAACCCTGTATACGATGTATTAATAATAAATAACCATGTTCTTTTATATCAATCTAAAAACAAACAATCTATCTTTCTATCTATATCCTATTTACATTTCATATTAACTTTATCTTTTGATTTCTCAGACATTGATTTAATTACATTGGAAGAGTAATCTACATTTGTTATGTGATGATAGCCGTCGTCGTACATGTCATCGCCAAGTGTACTGTTTCCACATCCCAACATCAGAATCGACATATTCTTGTCGGGAATGACTTTACTGAAGTAAGGCTGTAGATCCTTGTATGTTTTTAACCAATCATATGTAGTATCAGACTCTCTGATGATTGATTTGATCAAATAGTCAATAAATATTAATATTTATAAAATAAACAAAAAAAAGAGAGAAAGAAAGCTTAAAAGCTAGATAGATTTTAGAGAAAAAGCTATTATAATATTTATTTATAAAGATCTTTTTTTCGTTATGTTGTGAGATGTATATTCAAATATTACTTTTGGTAACGCTCCTCCCAATATTCATGTGTTCTATATACTCGTACATCTTTTGGTACGTCTTTAGATGACATCTTTTCTTATAATCCTTAATGAATACAATAATACAAACAAATAGTAAATAAAAAATAATCAAACTAGTTGTTTTTTTTTTTAAAACGAAAGGTCGTGTCCTTCCAAATCTTTTGATAACTTTTTTATTTTATTTTGGTGGTTTGATATTTGGTTGATGGCGAACACTCAACTCAAGTCTAGGTGGTTTTTTTTTCAATGATTCTTCTCATTTAAAAATTTAGTTAACTTTAAAATGTCAATTAAGATTATATTAAACTAGGTTCTTTATTTACTCTTTTTTATTTGTTTTGTTTTTAAATATCTAAAATATCTTTATAACATAGTTATAAATATCAAATTCGAGTTTACAAAAAAAAAAAAAAAAAAAATTAAATAATGAGCGATTATCATCATTGTCATCAACATGGATGATGACACTTACAATCATTGTTTTTTTTTTCATCATCACAAGTGAGTGGACTTGTTTGACACCAAAGTACAAATCAGTCAAAACAACAAGAGGAATTGAAGTGTAGAAATAATCCGTTCGTTTTTGAAAGAATCTCTATAGAAACACCCTCTAAATTTTACGATCAATCGAATTTATTGGGTAGAGAATCAGCTGATTTTGTTTTGTTTTTTTTTTTTGGTTCTTGATTATTTACTTAATCGATAAAGGAGGTGAAAGTGTGTGTGGGGTAAATGAAATTGCTGAAAAATTCGTTTCATTGTTTTTGGTTAAATACCTGATTGATTTGATTTTAAATGAGTTGCATGCACATGTGAGTTGTGCAACAACACCTGACTCTACTCTAAAAGAACAACAACAAGAGTGTTGTTTGTTTTTATTATTTTCTTCTCACTTGACTTTTATCCCAAATTGAATAAAATTTGTTTATAGATGAATAAGCAACAACCATAAAAAGAACAACCATAATCGCATCAATCAACCTAATCATTCCTTTAACAAACAAAAACACACACACACATATATATATATATAAAAATACAAACAAACAGATTATAATAATAAGATCTGATTTTACATATTGTCTTTTTTTTTTTTATTTTAATAGTTGTGTTTAAACAAACATTTACTTTTAAGTTCAAGTTCAGTTCATCACTACTTTACTCGCAATAATATTTATAATCACTCAAAATATATATATTGATTTAGTATAAATATATATTTATACACTATTTGTTATCTATTTATTTTGTTTAATAATTGTATGTCTCACCATCTTACATTCGTTTATTCATTGGATAGTCGTTTTTTATTAAAGGAAGTTGAAGATACCTAACATTTATTTATATTTACTATAGTATTTATTACAATAGTTCTATTCTATTATATTATATTGTATACGATTCTTATATTATCTTTTTCATTCTTCATTCTTCATTCTTCTTTTAATTATTATTTCTAATTCTCTCTTTTTTTTTTATTTATTTTTTCTTATAATATAAAAATTAATATAACAATATAACAAAACTAATATGATGATGAACAAGATTAAAGCTGCATTGTGTTTCACGGGTGGAAAAGATTGTACACTGGCGTTACACCGTGTCAGCACCAAGTATAATGTGGCGATGCTCGTGACGTTTGCGCCACGCTCAGCACAGCCGTTCCGTGCACATCCGCTGCATCTCATACAGCTGCAAGCCGAAGCACTCGATATTCCGCATCGTGTACTTCTTGTCGACGGTCCCGACTATCTGGGCAGCTACCGCAAGCTGATCCGACAGCTTCGCGAGGAGTGCGGCATCGAAGCGCTCGTCACCGGTGACATCCTCGACGTTTGCAACAACTTTATGGGTCGCGCCGTCGAGACGACCGGAGTGGAACTGGTGCGACCACTCTTCCAGCAGCCACGCCAAGAGATTCTCGACGACTGCTGGAGTCTGGGATTCGATATTCTCATAACATGCGTCAACAACTCCAAGTTTGACACTGGATTCGACGCGTCACGACTCATGGTCGGACACCGACTGACCAACGAACTACTGAATCAGGTGCGCGACTACAACACCAAACAAAAATCGATTGGCGAAGTCGATTTGGCCGGTGAATTTGGTGAATTCCACACAATGATCATCGACTCACCACTCTTTAGACAGAAAATATCTTACGAAGCTGAACCCGTTGTAGACGGCGACTTTACATATTTAAATTTTAAAAGTACAATGTTATTAGATAAATACGATTGTTAAAAAAAATAAAAATAAAATAAAATTAAATAAATATAATATAATATAAAATATTTTATTTTATTTTTAAAGATTTAAATAAAATAAAAAATAATATAATAAAACGAAAAAAGATATAAAAATGAAAAAATAATATCTATAAAAATATATTTTTAAATAATTTAATTTGTCAAATTAATTTGCATTCTGACCATCCAATTATAGTAAATAAATTGATTGCGTTTAATTCCAGAACTGAAATTTATGCACTGGAATGAGCACGCTATGAACATTTTTTTTTACAATTTTGGAAATTTAATTAATTTTTTTTGTTTTTTTGATGTGGAACATTCTAAACCATCATTATAAAAATGAATAAAATTTGTACCCAGAGATTTATCAACAGTTTAATAATAAATAATAAAAATAGTTATCTAATAAATTCTATAACTAGAAATCAAAACAATTTAAATTGTTTAAATAATATTAGTTTCAATCATAAGAAATACTTTTCGACAACAGCAACAGTAAACAAAATGGCAACCACAGATAGCAAATTCATTACTATTCCAGCGACACACATTCAATTCCGTCGTCCAGAGTCTGCCTTTAGAAACACCATTTCAAAGGACGGTCCTTTCACCCCAGAGGCAGGTAGATACCACTTGTATATCTCATCGGCATGTCCATGGTCCGATAGAACCGCATTGGTTAGAAAGTTAAAGGGTTTGGAAGATGTCATTGGACTCTCCGTCACCGATTGGTTCCTTGGTAGTGAAGGTTGGCATTTCTCAGAGCGTCAGGACTGCATTCCAGACAACATCAACCACTTCACCCACGTGAAACAACTCTACCTTGCAACCGACCCACAATACGCTGGTCGTATTACCGTTCCAGTTCTCTGGGACAAGAAAACCTCGCAGGTCGTCAACAACGAATCTTCAGAGATCATTCGTATGTTCAACAGCCAATTCCAAGACGTCTGCAAGAATCCACAATTGGATCTCTGTCCAAGTGATCTCGTCAAGGAAATTGACGAACTCAACAGCTATGTCTATGATAACGTCAACAACGGTGTCTACAAATGTGGATTTGCACCATCCCAAGAAGCCTGTAAGTAAAATACATATATCTACATTAATTAATTGTTTAAATTTTTATTAATTAATTTTCCATATTTTATAGATGATATGAACTTTAAGAATTTATTCGAAGCATTGGACAAACTTGAAGAAAGACTATCAAAGTCTAGATATCTTGTTGGTAATAGATTTTCAGAGGCAGATATCCGTTTGTTTGTTACATTGATTAGATTCGATCCAGTGTACTTTGGACACTTCAAGTGTAACAAACGTCAAATCAAAGACTACCCAGCATTGTGTGGATATGTCTGTGATATCTATCAGATGCCACCAGTAAAATCAACCGTTAACATCTTCCATATCAAACACCACTACTACGAGTCTCACAGACAAATCAACCCAACCGGTATCGTACCAGACGGACCACTTTTGGATTACTTAGAGCAACCACACACTGAACGTGCCAAACTCTAAAAAACTAATCATCAATCATTAATCATTAATCAATTGAGAAGTTAAAACTCAAGATATGATAATTAAATTCTAATTAATTAATCTAATCTAAAATATTTAAATTTTTTTTTTTGTGTTTTTTTTTTAGCAAAAGTTTTTTTTTTTTTTATTTTGTTTTTTTTTTTGGGATGAAACCACAAGATTTGAGATTTTGGGTGGTCCTCACCCCATTTATTTTTTTTAGATTAATCTATTTTTTCTATTTTTTTTTTTTTTCACTCTATCCACTAAAACACACTAAAACGATCAAAATCTAATCACATATATTATAACCCAATTTTGTAACATACTTTATTGTAATAACACAAAATTCAACTTAACTGTTTAGTTCAAAATTTAAATATTTAAATCGGATTGTATTAAAAGTAGTTAGTAGCAATCAATCAATCTTAATTAAATCATTTGTCAGTAAGTACCAACAATCAAATTTGTTAAAAAATGACACAAAATAGAGTAATATCAAATAAATAAATAAACTTATTGAAGTTTATAGCAATTCAATAATACTATATAATATGTATACATATTTTTAATTAATTAATAAATTTAGAATAAATGTAAATAGTATGGTAATTTTATATTTAGATTGTACAATTTTTATTTTTTTATTTTTTTGTATCTGAAAATAATTATATATATTTCCCAATAACAAATACCAATCAAATGTAGAATTAAGATAGATCAATTAAAAATCAGTTCATCAATTATAATTTAAATATTATATTATATTATTATTAGATGATTTCGAAAATAAAGTCAAGTTTGATCACACTCTATCGCTCTCACCTCCCACACACACCATCTTGAATAATAGTGAAATTGGTTATTAAATTAATGAATTTGATATTTATTGTTGATCTAATAGGTAATAGTAGAATAAGTAACTAACTAACTGCATTTTACCAATCTTTTAGCATAGTAGTGCATTCATATATAATAGCATTGTATTTTTATCGATCAACACCAGAATTTAGTAAAATCAAATCAAACAGAGTAAAACAAACATCAAAATAGATAGAGAATAGTGGAAATAACAACACATCTTATCTTCATCATCTTTAACATCATCTTCGATATCAATTTCAAATTCCCCCACCCAAACAGAAAAGTAATCAAAGATATTCTTACAAACATCCTTATTATCTAGCCACCCAACAACATTTATCATCAACACCAAAATCAACAATTCCAACATCATCATTAATCAACCACCAACCTTAATCATCAACAGAAAATAGTATATATATAACAATCAAAACAAACACAATATTTTTTTATATAACATATACAAAAAAAGACAAGTAAGAAAGTGTGTTATTAGTGTATTTGTGTGTGTAAGTGAAATAGTGTGTGTTAGATTTACTTTACTGAAAACAGTGTGAGGGTGCGTGTTTGTTATTGATCAATAACAAAAGTGAGAGAATTAATAACAATAGTAGGAGTAGTAGTAGGTGAATAATAATTTTAGTTGATTGGAAAATAGTGGCAGCAAAGAGAATTATTGATTTGGTAATATAAATAAATTTGGTTGGTGTTATCAATATCAATAAAATAATAATAATAAAAATATGGCGTTAAGAAAGAAAAGACTACTTCCACATCAAAGAAGGAAGAAACAAAACATTAGAGACAATCACCAATCCTTGATTGAAAATCAACAACTACAAGCTAAAATGAGACTAAAGAAGAAACAACAACAAAAGATACAACAACAACAACAGCAAAAGGAAGACGATGAAATAGGAATGTTTGGTGTAGAATTAAGTAAGCTAATGGAGTTACAAGGAGAGGATTCTGGCGATGTTCCAATGTTGTTGACTGTGGTGTTGGACAAGATCGTCGAGTTGGAAGGATTGGAAACAGAGGGAATCTTTAGAATCAATGGGAATATGCGTGAGGTGGACGCGATTGCATCGGAGGGATTCGATCCGGACGATGAGGACAGCCAGCGTTACAGTGTCCACACATGGGCATCGCTGCTGAAGAAGTGGATACGCGAACTACCGACACCTCTCATTCCCCGACAGCTCTACAAGCGATTCACAGAGTGCGAGTCGCCACTCGAGATGAAGCTGCTACTCGACGAGGTGGAGTGTCCGACGACGCTGGCGGTGATCGATACACTCGGAATGTTCTTTGGTCGCTTGCTGCAGCCGGACAGTGTCGCCAAGACCAAGATGGACATTGACAACATCGCCAAAGTCTTGACACCAACACTGTTCCCACTGGCCACCGGCAACAACTCAAAACTCGATTTACTCAGTGTAATGAATCAACAAAAGAATGAAACCAACGCGATCACACTGCTATTAATGTACTATAAAGAAAAACAATCAGAAGAACAACAACTTCAACAACAACAACAACAACAGCACCAACAAGAACTAGAAAGTCAACTACACATCCCAGTATCAAGTATTCAACTTGATCAACAATCAAACAAACAAGATGATTTATTTGTAAATAATTATGAACAAACTACAACTGCAATAGATTCTATTTAAATTGATATATATAAAATCAATATCCATAATAATAATAATAATAATAATAATAATAATAAAGCATATTTTACATAATATATTATTTTATATTTACAAATTACTTTACTTTTATTTATTTGTTGTTATTGTTTGTTTTATCTTATTACCATTATTATTAATATCTAGCAGGTAAATCTGAAGTTGAAATGATTGTCGGTACTCTTCTCTTTGATCTACTGCTACTTCCTTTCTTTTGTTCTTCTGTAATGTTTGTGTTGGCGTTTGTTGATTGTGTAGTTGAGGTTGTACTTGAAGATAGACTAAGATTGTTGTTATTGTTGTTGTTATGGATATTGCTCCTCTCTTTAAGAATTTGATATGCTTCTGCTGTTGCGTATGGTTGTTTCGATATGGGATCGATATATTTAGCTGGTTGACCGGTGATGACACACGTTTGCTTAGGTGATTGGCGACAATCATGACGCGACGGTATCGACGAATGTTTCAAACACTCGGGGAAGTTCGAGTCATCGGTGAATGTAACCGTTGAAACTATCTTGTTCTTCATCTGGTTGATTTTGCCACTGTTCTTATTCCGGTTGGTATTGACTACGCTGCTCTTGTAGATGACTCTCGGTCCTGTGTAAGCCTGCTTCTTTATCTGATGACTCTTCTTCTTCTCCTCTTCACGCTGCATCATGGTGTTCAGTGATTCAATATTGATTTGCTCCGTTAGCTTCGCTTCCTCCAACAGCTCCTCCTGGGTCAGTTCGTCGTTCTTCTTTCCGGCGAGTGAAGCGGCACGATGTTTCTTGGCAGCGGCCGACCGTATTGCTTTCTGTTTATTCGCCTCTTGTAGCTGCTCATTACTCTTCTCGAGGAATGCAATAACCGATGTTCTCATCACCTTCTTTACTGGTATGGAGGAACCTGTTGTTGTAGTTGTAGTTGTAGTAGTTGTTGTTGAATCTATATCTTCATTGTTGCCAACATTTGTTGTTGCTCTATTCTTTCTCTTCCTACTCAGTGGTGTAGATGCTTGTTTCTTCTCATTTCTTCCTTGTTCGCTTGCTCTTTCAATTGTCTTTAAGAAACTAGCTTGTTTATCTTCATCTTCTTCGTCTTCTCCTTGCTCTTCATCATCTTCCTCAACCTCATCTTCTTCATCTTCATCACCATCTTCATCAGCTTGTTTCTGTTTCTTTTTCTTTGTAATTGATTTCACTGCTTTTGAAGTTGCTCCACCTTTCTTCTTCTTTGAAGGATCAACATATCCTTTTGTTCCTTTCTATATTAAACAACAACAACAGCAACAACAACAATATTAATATATATTTTTATTATATTAACACTATTCATTATATTTCATTAATAATAACATACTTTTGGTTGTTTTTTCTCTCTTCTCTTATCGATTTCAATATCATCTTCATTCTCTGATGATAATTCATCTTCCAATTCATCTGAACTGATATCATCGTCATCTTCAACAGCATCTTCACCTTCCTTTGGTTCCTCTTCTTCATAATCAGGATCATCTTGTTCATCTTCATCTTGTGCCGCCAACAAAGGTGCCCAAAACTCTGCATCCGCTTTGATCTCTTCCTCCGTCAGAGGTGTAATTCTTTTTCCTCTAGTTGATCTCGCTGGTTTATTTAATGACATATCTAACAAACTATCTTTATCTAATATATATATATAATCTTCTATAGTTTAGATATATAACTATATAAAAAGATATATGCTTGCAAGGTGTTCACACTTTAACAAATCTTTTAATTTTTTTAATTGAATTCATTTCATAAATCTTTTTTTTTTTTTTTTTTTTTTAAGAAGACTTTAACTAAATTAATCATTTCAAGTTTTATTATCAATCAAGCAATCAATCAATCAAAAGTGTTTTGTATTTATTGATCGATTGAATCAATTTGTGTGTGTTACTGTCATTTTTCAGTATTCATTCATTTCATTTACAGCCATTTAGATATTTCTTTTTATATATATATTTTATATTTTTGTATACTTTGAAAAGTTATTCATTTTGTGTGTGCATGGATTTAGGATTGATTCCACTAGAGGGTCTTGATGACCAAGAGTTACAGATAGTTGCAATCAATAGGATTGCTGCTCACTTTTCAAATGTAGACAGTCTTGCAACCGTTAGTAATCATAAACAATCATTAATACAACAGAAAAAGACAATAGAAGCTCAAATCAAAAATGAAGTAAATGTATGTTTATCGATGATGATAAGTAACAATATGTTGATAAGTTGGGAATACTAATAATAGTAATTAATTAATAGGGAGAATTAGATAAATCAAAGAAAGGTTTGGAAACATTACATAGATCATTCGGTAGAATCGAAAAGATGAGTACTAGCTTTGGATCGACTGTTCAGTTGTGCAAGGAGACTTCAAGTTTGATCGGGTACTACCCATTGATCAAAAAAGTGAATACCGTGCGTAGCAATCTTATGGCTATCTTGAAGGAGGTAGATCGACTACTGACAATCCCAGAGAAAGCAGCAGAGATTGAATCGCTGATGGAGAACGACATCAACATTCTCGTGGTACACAAGAAGATCCGTGAGTTGGAGCGACTCCACAAGAACGCTCTGAAGCAATTCGAGTCGAACTACGAAGAGTTGGAAGCGATCCGTGAGATGTTCTCGTCGGTGCCACTGCTAAGCGATCGTTTCGAATCGAAAATATGGAATATCGTTTCCAACTCGATCAAGATTGCACAGCAGGCACCGGCAGTGCTCGTCAAAGTCGCACAGATCATCGAGCGTGAGAAACTCTACGAAGAGCAGCTACTGGAGAAGTTGAAGCAGACTGCTCTGCTCGCGAGCGAGGGAATCGAAGACGACCACCAGAACAACGGTGGCTATGGTGATACGTTTATCAAGGTGCTGCACGAGTCGATTGCATCGAGATTCGAACCGCTCTTTCTCACCTGTCACAAAGACCTTGTCGCAACACTCAAAGAGGTCAACGCGATGGTCGACGAGCTCAACGTCATCATGGATCAAGTATCGGAATGCTACCCGCCAAGCTACGACATGTTCAACTTCTTTGTCAAGCAATATCACAGTAAGTTCTACTCACTATTCGAGTCATTCTCCAACCTCATTGAGATCGGTGTGAAAACAAGCAGTCAAGAACCTGCACATATTCTAATGTTAAGTAAGTATTATTGATTACTTTTATATAGATATTTATAATACTAATCAATCATATTATTGCAACTAGTTGAATGGGTAATGAAAGAATATCCAATACAATTGGGTAGACTTGGTATACAAGATATGTCACCACCATTGTTAGATGCACTGGATCCTATTATCAATATCTATAAGATACATATACAAGGTTTGATGAAAGACTGGTGTGACAATATCATTACAAACGACAATCAAACTCGTCCGGATGTAGTTGAAGGTCAATACTCTACATTCGCACCAGTACATCTCTTTGAAAGTGTAAATACACAGCTAGATGTTGCACATGCAACTAAATGTCAAAAAGTATGTTTATTATTTACTTGTTACATTTATTAATAATTTACTTACTAACTTACACTTATCTTTTATCGTATCTCTTGTTATTAGTTGGTTGTAGGTGTAATGGAAGAGGTAATCAATGCATTGCTATACTTCCAGACCAACTATGTAAAGTTACTACAGGAACGTAATCACGAGATAAAGTTTGAGAATGTAATTGCAAGTGTTAATAATAATTCGAGATCCTATGATTTCACACAGTCTCTTCAGGATAAGGTGTCGAACATCTTGGATACAGAGTATATGTCTAGTCTCGACTTTGATCCGGTACTCGATGGTTTCTTGGGTGTTGCAAGAGTCGGTACAATGTCGTTGGCCAGCGTCATCTTTAGAGATCTCGAAGACACCATCAAGAAGTTCTACACACCTCTTTGGTACACCGAAGATTTGATGCAACCCATTATCAATACACTCGAAGATTACTTTACAAACGATATTCAACGTTATATTCTAGAGAATTACATGAAGAGATTATCTTTATTATGTTTAGATACTTTAATTGAATAGTATGTATAATAATAATAATATCAAAAAAAAACAACAGACAACCAAACAAACAAATATACTAATATTATTATTATTATTTCTATAAAGTATTCTAATTCAATTAATTACAGGAAAGAATCAATTCAATGAGAATACATATCAGAGAATGAGTGACGATTGCGACAAGATATTGGATTTCTTTAAGAAATATCTAAGACTTTCAGTTGCCACCGGTAGAGTACAAGTTATTGAAGATTTCAAACAGATTATAACTTGGTAAGTTTGTTGTTGTTGGTTTACTATATAGTAAAATCATGATTATTAATTAAACAATAATAATAATTATTATAGTGATCCTGGAATGATACCAATTTATTTTAGATCGATTATTAACCATCATAAGGATATCAATGATCGTGTGATTGAACTTGTATTACTACAGAGAGTAGATCTGACAAAGAATCAACTGAATGAAACACTACTGGAAATCAAAAATACTATATCTGCAATCAATACCGATCCAAATAATCCACCTACTGGTATTTTCTCAAAGATGAACATCTACAACAGAGGTTGGTTCGGAAGATAGATAGATAGAAATAACTGTAAATGTAGATGTATAAATAAATTATTTCCATTAATGAAAATACATTGTATTTCTTTTTTTTAATCATTTTAATTATATTGTATTTATCCTTCTTCATGAATTGGAGATAATATGCAGACAAAAATGCAAGGCAATTTGCAATTTAAAAGTAAAAAAAATAAAAATAAAATAAAATCAGTTTTTTTATAAAAAAAAAAACGATTAATTCGTTGAGTTTACGTAATGAATAAATGAATCAGTTTTGTTTTTAAATTTGTCTATCCCTATCTCATCTATATTATTGTTTCAATATATAATATCATTTATTATATATATAGTTAAATAATAAGTAATTAAACTTGTTTTTTTTTGTAATTTAAAAAAAACATAGAATCAAAATACTAAACACACTTTAAAAATTGATCAGTGGTATATTTCACTACTACTATTACAAATATTTTCATTGTAATCAATAATAATACCTGTTTTAGTATTCATATATATAAAAGTGATCATAATTATACAATTACAAATTATAATAATATTAATATAGTAATACAAATCAATACAATGTTATCTTATTTAAATAAATCTTCTTTAACATTAAAGGTAATTATCATTTATTAGATTATTAAACATGTTTATACAATCAATATATCTAACTTGTTTTAATCTTAAAGAATTTGACATTGGTAAACTCAATTGGATCATCAACTGGTCTATTAAGAACTTTCAGTGCTTCATCTTTGAATTTGCAACAATATCAGCAACAGCAACAAAGATCAGGTGGATACAGACAATCATATAATAATAACAATAATTTCAATAATTACAATAATAATAGCAACTATAATAACAATAACAATGGTAATGGTAGAAATTTCCGTCCATCCTTTAAAAGAAATCAAGAGAATAACAATTCACAACAGAACGAACCAAGAAATGTCAGTTTTTCAAGAAAAGATATTAATTCAGATGCAACATCATCATCATCATCATCATTTGAGTACATAGAAAACAGACCACAGAAACAACAGCAATCAGATTTCTCTATGCCAACCGAAAAGATCGATTGGTCATTGGAGAATATGCAACCGATCGTCAAGGATCTCTACAAGGCCAACGAGAAGGTCGCTCAAATGACACCGGAGGAGTGTAGCAACTTCCTCAATGAACACAACGTCACTGTAAAATCAAAGGATTCACCAGCACCGAATCCAGTACTCGCTTTCGAAGACATGCAATTCGCACCATCCATCACCAACATCCTAAAGGTGAACTACGAGAAGCCAACTCCCATCCAATCGATCGGTTGGCCAGTAGCACTGTCCGGTCGTGACATGATCGGTATCTCTCAGACCGGATCAGGTAAGACCATCTCTTTCTTTTTGCCAGCGATTCAACACATTTTGTCACAACCACGTCAGACCGGTCCATATCTCGGTCCACAGGTTCTGATTATCGCACCGACTCGTGAGTTGTCCGTACAGATCTCGCACGAAGCACAGCCATACTTGAAGGCTGCACGTCTCAACTCGGTTGTTATGTTTGGTGGAGAGTCGAAATCACATCAGATTCGTGATTTGAAACGTTGTCCACAAGTGGTTATCGGTACTCCAGGTCGTATTATCGATATCATGAAGGAGGGTTATCTCAACTTGAAGCGTGTGTCGTTCTTTGTGTTGGACGAAGCCGATCGTATGTTGGAAATGGGTTTCGAAGATCAGATTCGTGCTATCTTTGAGAATATCAGACCCGATCGTCAAGTGCTCTACTGGACCGCCACTTGGCCACGCAAGGTTCAAACACTTGCCCACGAATTCATTGTCAATCCAGTCAAGGTACAAGTCGGATCGACCGAACTAACAGCCAATCCAAACATCAAACAGAATTTCATTGTCGTCGATTCAGAAAAGGACAAGGTGAATGCACTCGTTGACACTCTCGAAAAGATCTTCAACGAGCGTCCCGAAGCAAAGGTCATCATTTTCACCATGACCAAGGGCGGTGCCGACAAACTGGCAGAGCACATCGGACAGATTGGAAATGCACGTATCGAATCGATTCACGGTGACAAACAGCAATCGAGACGTATCGCAATTATCAACGGATTCAAGAATAACTTTATCGATATTTTGGTGGCGACCGATGTGGCGTCGCGTGGACTCGACATCAGAACCATCACCGATGTCATCAACTTTTCAATGCCAACACAAATCGAATCGTATGTCCATCGTATTGGACGTACTGCACGTGCCGGTGCCACCGGAGAATCACATACCATCATTTCAAAGTCATCATTGAACGACATCAATTTGATTCCCGACTTGATCGAACTCATGACTGGTGCCAACCAAGAAGTACCACCAGTAATCAGCGCATTAGCACCAAAGAGACATTACAACAACAATAACAACAATAATTATAACAATAATCGTAGAGGAAATAACAACAGAGGTGGATATAACAATAACTTTAGAAACAAAAACAGTCAGAGAAATGGTCCAGTTTCTTTTAAAAAGAGAGCTGAATAAATTAAATTTACTGTGGTATTTGATTCCATCCAATTGGATATAATATATCAACAAAAGTTCACTTATTTATTTAACTTTTAATAAATTATAACTTTTTTTTTTTATAAACAAAACAAACAACATAGTATTGTTGTTCTTTTTATATTTTATGTTGTTTGTTCATTTTGAGTTAGATGTTATCATAATGATATATTTCACCTGCAAATAAATATATTAATAAAAAAAAATAAAAACAAAATCAGTAGATCAAAACTTATTGAAGATCATTCTAATTTATTTTCATTATTGTTCTTTTTTTCAATGAAAAGTCGAGTATCATCATTAACGACATTATCAACATCATCATGTTTGTTGTTGTTATTGTCGATTCTATTTACTTTTACTATCGATTTAGTTGAATCAAGAGTTAGATGCACTAGTTATCTGCGTTTGAACGATACCACCAAACTTTTAGATTTACCAACCGATAACGAACTCTTTGATCAAATCATACTACCTACATCAAGATACAACAATAAGCAACAACTGAATCATCATTTCCAACAAATCAAACACGACAATCATAAACCAATTGATGACAAACATTCATTACTCTATTTATTAAACACTCCATTATTACCAAACACTTTATACTCTATAAGAATATCTCATACTGCAGTAGTAAGTTTATTAAACAATGAAACGTAATGAAATCAAATCAATTTCTTTATTAATCATTCATTGATTTATCAATAACTTATTATTATGTTTTATTTAGAGTCCTGCAGACTTCACAATTAGATTCCACCCAAATCATAATTTCGTTAAATCAAGCGGTCAACAAGATCAACCTAAAACAGGTCGTGATCTATTGAATACAGAAATATTTAAATTTAGAACAAATGATAATGGTTTTCCTGATGTAAGTAATATAACAGTACTGTAATATTGATCAGAATTTGGCTACAATACTGATTCATTCATTTTCCCACTGAAATGTAGCTCTTACTTGATAAACAATGTATAGTTGTTGTAATTGAATCATTTAATACAGGTATAACACCAGCACATATCAACAACGATAAGAACAGATTAGTTAGTTTCAATTTGATTCTAGAGACAGAATCTATAGGTGTTCCACCAGAGATACCAAGAATGGTTAGCATCATCATTGTCAGTATATTATTTATGGCATTTTTCATTGTTAGATTACTATTCCCAAGAATGAAAGGATTTCAACTCTTAGTATAAATAAACAAAACAAGAATAGAACAAATAATATTAAAAAAACCTAAAGTATTTATTATATACTCTTTCGGAATGATTTCGATCTTCTCAACATTGGTCGATTAGAGCCAGGTGATAGAGTAATCGTATCATCTATTGTAGTCGATTCCATTTGTACTGTAATGGAGTTAATATTATTATTATTATCGTTACTATAGTTATCATCGTCTTGGTAGCTATTATAATTATTTTCATAATTATATTCGTATTCGTTTGATGGTGGTGTTGTTGTATAACTATTATCGGTACTACTACTATTATCACTATTATTATTATTAGAATAGTAATTAATTGTAGTTGTAGTTGTTGTGATTATTGTTGGTGGAGGTGGTGGTAATGTAACTATTGGGGGTGGTGGTGGTACTATCGGACCATAGGCAACCTCGTTAGCAACCGACTCTTTAGCCATGTAGCTATTGGAGTGCATTGGAATGAGAGGTGGTGTATGTGCAGCATTGTCGTAGAGAATATGAATTTTACCATAGAGTATACCAGAGTTCAATCCATACTTGGTGATTCTCGTTTTGAAACTATAGGGTTCACTGTTGAACCCGAGTGCAAGTGGTACTGTCGCATGACCGATCAATCTTTTCTTTAGTTTTCTTTCTTTTTTCGACTTTGACTCGTTCTCGTCAAAGATGGTGATGAACAGATGCTGATGTTCGAGGAATGTCTTTTTCTGAATGATTGGAACTATCGGTGCTATGTTGCCCCACAGCGGATTGGAGTTGTGGTAGACGACCGATGTCGACACTGGTTCCTCCACGTAGGAGCAAGCATTGAACACCAAGTACGGAGATGGTGGATGATCTTTGTTGTCTTTATCTTTATCTTTATCCTTTTCTTTATCTTTTTCGTCGATCTTTGATTTCTTTCCAACTAGATTCTCTGCTTTCAAGTCGTAAAAGTAGATGCGAAGTTGGCGGATTAAAGATTGTGGAACTGGTAAGCATGGTCGTTGAATGTAGGCGCTCAATAATGAATAAACGGGAATGTGATCGGATGTCGAGATATCGGGTGCACTGCTATAGGAGACCGGTGAAATTGGCTGTGTATAGGGCAGTGATTTCCAGAGGATTCTATCACACCAGCTTGGAACACGTTGTTTCTCCTCGGTGTAAACACCCTTTTGTCCACGCTCCAATTTGTACGTTGGCATAAACTGAATCGATGCCTCTTTGAATCCGAGGAATACACGCTCCATCTTTTTCTGTACGGCCAATTGATCTTTAGTCAGAATCTTGGCAATATTGTTCTTCTTGACGAGATTCAACACCTCCTCACGGAACAGATCAACACGATAGTTGAAATCACCCATCCATATAACATGGTGGAATTGATTCAACACATCGCTCGACTTGTTTCCAAGATTCAGTCCCTTGACAATGTCACGGTAGTTGCGGTTGCGTTGCTCCGACTTTTCTTGATGCGCAGCGAAATGCGAGCTGATAAAGCAGAAACTAGTCTCGAGGAATTGGAAAGAGATGGCAGTTGCCCCTTTGTTTCCATAGATTCCACCGATTCCTGTTGCCTCTGAATCCTTTTCGATATGATTGATCTTATAGTAATGTTCTTTTCTCACAAAGAGAATCAGCCTCATCTTGACCAGACTAATCGATTCCAATCGCACATAGTCACTACCGATGTGTGTCGCCAACATTGAAAACCAATGCTCCTCACAACGATCGTCGTCGGAATGCTCACGTTTCGGTAGTGGATCATAGTGACACTCTTGAACACCAATAGCATAGAGATCGATTTGCTGTTTTCTATCGCCAGTCGTACTGTTGCCAGCGGGAATCCAAGTATGAAGTTGATCTGCACGTGGCTGTGCATCACCGACATTCCAGGTGCTAACAAATATATTGATTGTATCAAAGAGTGTCTGTTCTTCACGATCGGGCAGCGCAGTTGCACCGCTTCTGGCCAACCACAGCAACTCATAGAAACACTCACGTCTCTCTGTATTAATAAAACTGACACCGAATTCCTTCTTTCCGTTCTTTCTACTGAATGAAATCAACTTATTCTCGTTCTTAACCTTGGTGATTCTATCGAACTCATCTATTCCATATTTCTTTATCTTTGATTTCTTATGTTTTTGTTTCTTTGACATTCTAATAATAAATACAATTTGAAAGATGTTAGCAAAATAATAATAATATCACACACACTCTCTCCATCTAATATTAAATCATACTTTATAATTTGTATTGATTTCTCTTTTAGATTTACTAACAATGTTCGTACTTTGTTGTTCTTCTTCAAGGCTACGATGAATTCGAATTGGAAATCCAATACATTCTTCTTCAATGCCTTATAGTAGTGCTCTAAATCCTTTAGATTCTTTGGATCTGCTGCACCCGATGTTGCAACCGAACTTGCTCTTGTTCTTTGTAGAATATTCATTTTGTTCGGTTGTTGTTAGTTGTTATTATTATTGTTATTATTATTTTTAATAAATAGATAGTAGAATTATTACAAAAAGAAAATGATTAAAAATAGAATACAATCAAAAAAAATAGATGATAGAAAATATATAAATTTATATATTAATATTATTGTACATTGAAGTTTAGCTTTAAGTTGTTGTTATGTTATTGTTTGTAATGTTATGTTAAGTTTGTTGTTTGTTTGTTGTTTAGTTGTTGTTGTTGTTGATGTTACAATTGTTTGTTTTCGATGTTACAAATTAATACAACGTTATTTAAAATAGAAATATAAACAATGAGAACAAGATGACTGTCAGATATGACAGATATTTGCTTGTTGTTGTTGTTTAGTTGTTTTGGTGGTGTTTAGTTTTTGTGTAGTTTGCAAACTAAACTTTAAAGTCAGATCTAAATTAAGTAATAGTTTTTTATTATTATTAGTTTTTTATTCTTATTGTTATTGATATATGTATCTTAATTAGGTAGTAGTACTGTTTATTATTGTTGTTTTTTTTTAATTTTTGATTTTTTTTTTTGTGAGTAGATAGATCTAAACAAACATATGTTGTTTTATCTTATCTATCAATATTTATTATTATTTATATAAAAATAAGAGAGTAGGAGTGATTCAAATAAAGAGGCAATGTTTTTTAAATCGCCGGATCAGATTTCCCCCAGCTGATTAACTGTAACAATGAGAATGTAAAAAAAATAGCCACCTTGTATACCCCCAAAAACAACAAAAAAAAACGATAATCTTTGATTAAATCGAATTATCAAAGTAAAGATTTTATTGTTATTTTTGTAATAGGAGAATCAAATAATTAATGATTTGTTTTGCTATCCTATAATCTCAATCTTAAATTTTGAAAGAGATATTATTTTGTAATTTTAATTATTATTTTTAGAATCATTGATTTTGAAATATCTTTTAAGTCTAGACTTGTACTTTGAAGTCTTACTAAAAAATAATTAAAAATTAAAATAATTATTAATAATATTATATATTAATATATTTTTGGATAATTTGATTCTTTCAAAATATAAATAAAAATAAAATTGATATTAAAAGAAAATTAAAAGTCAGGTTATTTTATTATTAGTATTTTTTAATCAATGTTTTAAATAATCATGTTGAGATGATTTTATGTATCTGGTAGGGGTATTTTGATATTGTGTTGTCAAACCTTTAAAGAGATATCTGATATCGAAGTATTTATTTCTGTCTTTATTTAATTTATTTTTGTGTATTCTGTGGGGTTATATTCGTTTGAATTTAAACAGATAACAGTAGTAAAAGTCAGACAAAAACTCACCACTAATATTAAAAATTGAATTGAACAACACACCACACACTCACTTACACACTTTATTACCAATTAAATAAAAATTTCAAACTATCCAATTCCATACAAATACATACAAGAATATCTACCAAAGAACAACTCAACTCACGACATAATTATTTACCACCACCACAAAAACAGAACCAACAATTGTCAACATTCTAAAATTTTGTTTATTTATTAAATATTTTTTTATTTATTAGATATCATTAAAAAACGAACTTTATATATTATATTATTATAAAATTACTACCTTAATAATATTCAAATTAATATAATATAAAATATTTCTTTATTAATTTATATCTTTTAAAATTTTGATATAATTTATTATTTTTGGTTATTTTTTTTAAATTAAAAAAAAAAATCTCTAAATTTCCTTTTATATTTTTAATTAAAAATTTATTTCCATTCAAACATCACTTAATTATTATTATTATTATTATTCTCTCTTTCTTTTTATTTGTTTTTTTCTAATAGTATAGAAATATTTTGATAAAAAGTTAAAAAATGGATACTTATTATTCAACAAATAATAAAAAGAGTCATACTTTATCTTCAATTCCTTACACTCAAGTTTCAACAAATGAATCAACTGAAAATGAAAATATTTATGATAAATCATCAAATATCAACAATGCTATAAACAACTATAAATATTATAATGTTGGTGAAGGATTGTACAGTCAATTAGATAAAGAAACAATTGCAACAATTACAGTAGCTTCCTCTTGGGGATATTTCTTATGTTTTATTCATTTAGTAAGAACTTATTTTAATTTAGTTAATTTAACTTCATTTCTAATTTCAAATTATTCCTTTTTAAAATAGATAATTGGAGTGTTTTTATTCTTTTTAGCTGGAATTGACGATTATTTCTATTTAATATGTATAGCATTTGTTGCACATACCTTTAGTGTTTGTTTAGGTATCTTCTCAGTTTCAAGAAAGAATGTTTTATTAATTGTCAACGTAAGATTGTTATTTTTTTAAAAACATTTGATTTTAAAATAATAATATTATTTTTAAAAACAATAGTATACTATATATTCAGTTGTAATTTTAGCAATTACAATTTCAATTTTCATTATTTCAACCATTGTCTCCAACTATTGGTACCAATGGTGGATCATTCTTGGAGTGTTCTTCTTTTTAAATGTCCAAATCATTGGAATCAAATATTTATTCAGTTTGGCAATGAATCTCAAGGGTTTGCAAACCAAAGAGATGGAGAATGCAGGAAGAATGTACCCAACTGTAAATACCATTCCAGTACAGACAGTATCACAACCACAACAACTCTATGTTCCACAACCAGCTCAATACTACTATGTTGGATTCCCACAACAACCACAACAAATGAATATGAACCCACAATACTATCAGCCACCAGTCACATCCCAATATGCCTACACTTATCCACAAGGTACTGAATATAACAATTTATATTCATCTGTTCAAAATGTTTAGATAAATTAAATAACTTCAATTATCTTATTGGATTTGAAAATAAATGAACTATTTTTAAAAACAAAAATTAATTATCCTATTTTATTTATTTTTCCAATCCTTATCAGATATTAAAACTCTTAATCCTTTGTTTCTGTGTTGTAGATTTTTTAGTTTATTTTAATATAAATATAATATTTATAAAAAAAATATATCCTAAATTCTGAATAGTACAAAATTTCTAAGATTCACCATACAGTTTAAAGGTTAAAGAATATATAAAATTTTATTTGTTTATTGTAAGATTGCTTTCATTTCTTGAACTGATTTTTGAATCTCTTCGATATGTTCCTTGAAAGCAGTGTTGATATCAATGAATTTACCTTGTTCGTTAAAGACACCACGATGGAACAATAGTTTTGGTCTGGTCTCAGTGAGTTTCATTTGGATTGGACTCTTTCCTGAGAGAATGTTGCTCAATTGTGTATTTACACCGACACCGCCACCGTAACCATAGGAAACAACCAAACTATATTTTTAATAGTTATTAATATTTTAAATTTTAAATACAAAAGTTTAATAATATTTATACATACCAAGCTTTTCCTTGCCACTCGGTAATTAAATAATCAATGGCATTCTTTAAAATGGCTGGATAACCATGGTTGTACTCCGGAGTAACAAAAACGAAACCATCGAATGAGGCAATCTTTGCTTGCCATTTCTTGGCGATTTCAGTTGTGTAGTTTCCTCCGATGGCCATTGGTGGGAGTACTTCATCGTAGTATGGCAAGTTCCACTCGACCAAATCAATTACTTCAACTTGGAACTCCTTTTTCAAACCTGATACTTCAACGAACCACTAATTATGACATAATTGTAAGTTTCTCTGGATACAACTCAAAAAATAAAAGTACTTGAGAGATAGATATTTACGTTTGAAATTTCGAATCCTAAACGAACAGTACGTCCAGAACCTACGATAACTGCAATTTTCTTTTGTGCTACAGCGTCCATTTTGATTGTTATAAATTAGATTTTAATTAATATTTAAAAAGATTATAAAGATGTATTATTAATTGTTTGTATTTTAGTTAAATGATTGTTGATTTGTTTTTTTTTTGATGAAAAACTATGGTTTGGTATAAACTATTTATAATTATTTAGTTCAGGTTCTCAAGAGCAGGGTTATTGTCTAGAATCGTTTATTTTGTGTATAGAAAGTGGGGTTACAACATTTTAAAATAGTTTTTACAAAAAAAAAAAAAAGGTAAAAAATCGTGGGGCTAATCTCTTATTAATCATGTGAAGTTGCAAGGCTGATCATTTATTTTAAAAAATGGTGTCATTATAATCATTTTTCTTTTTTGTTTGCAAAAAGTCAAATTCTATATTTTTAGATAAGTGAACAATGTTCTGATATTCTAGCGCATATTTTTTTGATTCTGATATCGAAATGCATGAAAAGGGTGTGGGTCTTTGAAAGGTTGCAAAAACACTTGAGACTTGGATCATTGATTCCGGAGTATGATGTTAATTTGAACATTTATTTATTTAATGTTTCACTCCAAGTTATCGGGGTTTTTACCCATGTATGGTATATTTGCATTTGAAGATCTTCAATGTGTAATTACACATTGATTAATTTTCTTAAGAATTACTCAACTTTTAATAAATGACCTATGAATTAAACAACCTTTAAAACTTTACAACTAATCTCTATCTAAAATCATCATAATGTTTACTACTTTCAAAAAATAACAACATCAATAATTAGTTAACTAAACTATTGTAATCATATGATTCTTTTTAATTAAATTAAATTAATTTTAACTTAATCTTGTAAATATTATGTCAACTATAGATTAAAGTATAAAAAGGATTTATTTCTTTAAAAGTCAACCAATAACACAATAGATTAATTGTGTGTTAAATGAGATAATTATAAAAGATTAAAAACTACTTTGAAGTATCATCACATTTTGTGTTTAAAAACTTGAGTTTCTGATAAAATTACAACTTTTAATCATCTAATATATCAACGAATAAATACTAGATCGTCACACACATATTGATATCTATTTATTATTATAAAAGGATATTATTATTTATTTTGGATCACACCATTCCTTTCATTTAGTGCTTTATTAATTGATTAAAAAAAAAAAAACTCCAATCTTATTTTTTTTTTTTGTTTTTAATTTTATTTTTTAAAAGATGAATTATATTCTTCAATTAGTCCATCTGCATATTTATTCTGAAGATATAGGTTCTTTGATTCTGATGATTTATTGTTAAAAATTTAATTTAATTTAACTAACTTATTCTGTTTTGCCTTTCCATTTTTTTTTCTCTCATAAATCCCCATAAACTCATAACATGAAATCATTTGTACATAGTTTCACATTTGAAAAACAAACAAATAAAGAGATGACAAATAACACAGAAAACAATGATAGTAATAGCAATAACAATGGCAATAGCAATGATGGGGATATTGATAAAGATTTTTCCCTTGTCAATCTTCAACACCAAATATGATTACAATTAGAGTAAATCCATATGAACAACAAATTGTGGTGCTCCAAAATACAATTGAACAACTCAACAAGCGAATTATTAAAGAGATGGAGGAAAAAGAGGAGATACTCAAGAAAGTTCATACAGAACGCCAGGAGGTAAAGAAGCTCAATCAGGAGTTGAAAATTAAACAAGAAGATATAGATACGTTAAAGCAAACAGTAGCCGATCAAAAGAAGAAAATTGAAGCTTTGGAGAAACAAGTTATGGATTTGAAGAGTACATTCACTCATAGATTCGAATTACTCGAGGTTAACCAAAAGAAATACTCAGAAGACAATCGACATCTCAGAGCAAAAGTTGAAGCTTTAGAAGACTTAATTGAGATTCAAAATCAAGAGAATGAAGAAGTTAGAGTCAGCAATGTTGCAAATATATCAACTTTTAATCAACTAATATATCAACGAATAAATAATAGATTCTCACAGACCACTCTATGTGAACCTAACAACTGGTATGGGCGACACTAATTTGGTGAAAAGGCTATTAAAAATAAGATAAACAGTCAACAGCCTTATCGTGATTACATGTTGTGAGTGATTCAATAAATATATATTTATTTTTTAATTTAATTGATGAATGCTAATTTAGTAATGCTTTAAAGTTGGTGTAATCAGTGACCTGTGAGAACTCTTCATAATCAATTATTATTATTGATTGTTTAAGGAATTGTGAGAATTTTTATTATTTACATTAATTAAAGTAGATTGTCACACACATATTGATATCTATTTATTGTTAATATTATATAAAAGGATATTATTTATTTTCGAGATCACACCATACCTTAAGTGGCAATGGTAAGACAGAAATCTTAAACTAAATGAATTAGAGTTTTTTTTTTTTTTTTTTTATTAATTAAAATTTTAATATTTAATCATTAAAAAAAGAATAGTACAAATATACTATGCTTTTTATTCATTGAATGATAGTATTTTTATTTATTCATTAATCATTATACAAAGAATAAGAAGTAAAGTTGAAGTAGTATATAAATATAATCTTACACGATGTGGTTATCATTTGAAAGATTATCATATTTCTTTGATGATTACTTATATTTACCTTTTATATTTGTATCTTCATTCTCTGTTTTATATTTATTCGTTGTAAATACATTTTTCACTGTCAAATTAAATATACCTTTTTTAAATAATAATAGTAGTAGTCTATCATCGAACGACACAACGGACATCAAAGACATCAATATCGAAAACATCTTTAATAACAACTACAGAAATACATTCAATAATCATAATAGTAACAAATATAAAAAGAATAAACATATCAATAGTAGCAACAGTCATAATAATAATAATAATAATAATAATAATAACAATAATAATAATAACAGTAAAAAAAGTACAAATGAAACAATATATGATAGCAATAAAAAGTTAATACAATCTTTACACAATAGTAATAATAATAATAATAGTAAGAAATCGATTCAAAAGAAAAAGAGAAATAATACTATTTTTGCAGATTTAATAAGTACTAGCAGCAGTAGTAGCAGTAGTAGTAGTGATAATGGTATCGGTATCGATGAATCAAATAGAGTCACTGATGACGATATAGATTTTGAAAGTTTCTACCGGATGGGTGAAAGACACAAGAGTCATTCAGCTGGAACACTTAGAAGTGGTAGTATGAGTAGTGGTACTGCAAATGGTCATAAATCACCATCAACTATATTAAAACAACAACAACAACAACAACAACAACAACAACAACAACAACAACAACAACAACAACAACAACAACAACAACAACAACAACAACAACAACAAAGAGTAAATGTAAATAATAGAATAAATGTACAGACAACACCTAGTTCATCACCATCGTCATTATCATTATCATTAAAACTAGATAATCACAATCAAAATCAACAATCACCTAAACCTCAGCATTCTCAACAACAACAACAACAACAATCTTCAACATCATCAACAACAACAACAACAACAACATCACAAAATGATATATCAAATATTTTACAATCCAATTTAAACAAAGGAAAAAAATATAATATTTCATTTGAACAACTCCCTCCTACTCTGAGAAACAGTGGAGAGCAAACCGATACTGTCGACGTTCGTGTAAAGTCACCCGCTAGCTCTGTGGACTTGAATAATCTTGATATGAATTTGAAGTCGTCGATGGGTGGTGTTGGTGCTGCTTCTGGTCTGGCAACGAGTACAAACAGTCTGAGCATGTCGTCTCCATCGCTAAGAAAGACAGTGTTGCTCAACGAGGAGATCATTTACCTCTTTTGGAATCGTTCCATTCACAATACCATCAAGGGAATAGAGACGGGTGCACTCCTCTGTGGCAAAGACGAAAAGACACACTTTATCATCACAGAGCTACTGTTTCCCAATCAGGTGGGTCGTGACGACAGCTTTGATTGTGTGAACGACGAGCAGATTCTCAGCTACCAATTGGAACGAAATCTGATTACTCTCGGCTGGATTCACACACATCCCACACAGACTGTGTTCCTGTCGTCGGTGGACATCCACAACCAATATGCCTATCAAACGCAACTCAAAGAATCGATTGCAATCGTCGTCAGTCCAAAGCCAACACCCAACTACGATGTCTACTCCATTCGTGCAGAGGGAATGGAGGTAATTGGCCGATGTAAACTGAGAGGATTTCATCCACACGACAATCCAGAGAGAATCTATGGCTCTGCAAAACATGTCCAAGTTATCAAACAGGAGATCAACAATCATAATATAAATATCAGTAATAACAATCAATCATCTCAATCTCTTCAGTCTCCACAATCTCAACAACAACAACAACAATCAAAACAACATCAACAAGAGCAACAACAACAGCAAGATCAATCTTTAATTATTACAATTAAAGATTTCCGTTCATCTAGTTATTTAAATAGCTATACAGATCTTACATCTATTCAATTTTCTAGAACTTCCAACATGTAGATAAATCATCAACCAATATATACCAATTTTAAATAATAAATATATTATTATTTTATAATTCCTTTAGGGTGGATTAATAAGATATGATTAAACTTTTATTTCATTAATCTTGGTGGTTGTTTGGATTGGATTGGATTGCTATTTACAATATGATTTAGATTTCATTAATCTTGACTGTGGTTGTGTTCTTGACTCTGTCGAATTTCTCAAGAGATTGCTCAATGAAATCTGCTGCATCCTTGCTCCCATTGGCCTTGTTAATTTCAATGGCAACTTCCAATGCTCTCACCTTGTAGGAGCTGTTTCTATAGATATCTTTGAGTGCATCAAGTAGCATTGGCTCCGTCATGTCATTCAATTTAATTTGTCTGCCACATCCCATCTCCTCGGTTCTCTTGGCCCAGTAGGGTTGGTCAAAATACATCCAGGTGACAATCGATGGCACACCCGATCGCAATGCAGCTGCGGTCGATCCAACACCTCCATGATGGATAATAACAGAACACTTCTGGAAGAGCAATCCATGGTCGATATTATCGGCAAAGATAATATCTTCTTCGTCTTTCATATCTTTCATGACGGACCAACCCTTAAGGAAGATACAACGAAGATGGAGTCTTTTAATGACAGATTTTACAATCTGAACAACTTTTGCCCCGTATGGGTTTGGCATACTTCCAAGACCGAATACAACAGGTGGTTCACCAGCTTCCAAGAATTTGGCAACTTTTTCTGGCATTGGCGAGGTGTTTTCTGTTGAAGGGAACATGAAACCGGGCAAACATATATTATCGGACCATTCAGAAGGTCTCTTTTCAGATTTTAAAATCTTCTCATGGAAAGCCATAATAACTGGTTGATCAGTATGTTCCATCATTTGTTGAGCAATCGATTTTGGAAGTGGACCAAGTTGTAAAAAATTCTTTCTCCAAACTGCAACTCTATCTGCTTCCCTTTATTTTATTTATTTTTCTGTAAGAAATAAACAACATATAAGTTACTCTATTCAAATTTACTTACTGTTTATAACAAACTTTTGCTATCATTTTATAGGTCATTTTGTTTAAAAATTTAAAATAGAAATTCTTATCTGTCAAGAACATATGTGGGAATGCACCTGTACCCATGGTAGGAAGCAACCACAATGGAATAAATGGAATGCCTAGTTTCTCATTGATGCTAAACGCTTCAGTATATGCCAAAGCAGAAGGTAAAATTAGATCCATTCCTTCGCATGCATAATAAAAAGACTCAAAGCGACCGGGTGTATTCATGTCCAAATTCTTTTTCTCCTTGAGAAGAGCTTCCAACGATAAAGAATTCATCCATTTTCTACCTTCTTCTGTTTCATCAAATAGTGATGCGCAAGAATCTCCTATAATCTCGAAATATTCAAGATCATATTTATCGACTACATATTTTACTCTTTCCTCTGTAGCTATTCTTACTTGATGACCTCTCTTTTTGAGTTCTTGACCTAAAAATTTCGAAAAGGTTAGATTTTTCAAACAAATTTATTTCTATTGGTAATGATGAAATAATAATTAAATATTTACCCAAAACACACGATGGTTGAATATCACCTCTTGTTCCAATAGAGATAAATACAATTTTCATTTTTTTTTCTATTTTTTTTATAGGATAAAACTGTATTGTTGTTTCAATAATTAAATTGTTTAGATTAACTTCAATGTATTTTTAGGATTAATTAATATTTTTTAAAAATTAATATATCTATTTGTATATGTAGTAGAAATTAAAATTAACATTTTGTACATTGTTGTTTTAAAACCCGTATATGAATATACATCTTACAAATACTTACATCTAAATATCAGTAGTCACACTCCAAAGTTATGGGGTTAAAATTTGATCAAAACAAAACCAAATTGTACTATCAATATTTATCTTAATATATCTGACTTTGAGATAAAAGATATTTATTACGATGTGTGTAGTGTTGTTTAATATTTATATAGTTATAATAAAGAATTTTTTTTTAAGAGGTTGAGGATAAGTATTAGATTTCAAAGAGGTATTCTAATTTTGTAGTTTTATCAAACAAAAGAATGTAGAATCATTTAAATTCATTTCAAACAAACTAAGTGTTATCTCTATTTATATTGTTGTTTTAATAAAGATATTTGGCATTAAATTATTAAAAAAACAATTTTTATTGATGGAGCATTGATGTTAATTTTATGTAAAAGATTCATCCAATTAGTTATAAATTTGTAATTCATATAGTTTACTTACTATCAATCAAATTACAGCAAAAACTATACATTGTTTAGATATTTATTGTTGTTGATGGTATCCACAACACAGATTGGTATGGGTGAATTATTATTCTTTGTGTTTTTTTTTTTCATGAGGTTTCTATGTTTGAAAAACAGTGGTGGTTGTGGTTTTATAGGTTTTTTGAATTTGATTATTGGCAATATTAATATGTGGTAGTTACTTGTAGTTACATATTGTGTTTGTGTGTTACTAGTAGATTGTTCGAATTTTATATTTAAAAATGGAAATAATAAAATTTTATACAACCACTACTACACATATTATTTTTCATTCATCTTTATTTAAATTCATTCTAAATGTTTCTATTTTAATATTAATTTGATATAGTTTCAGTATAGGATTCCGCAAAAATAATATATTACTAATGAATACATAGAGAACTTTGGAAAAAAATCTTAATTTTCACTAATACATTCAGATTTTATGTGGGAATAAATTACTTGGTAGAAACAAAAAAGGTAAAAAAGGATGGTTTTCGTATGATTATACAAACAATGATGAGCTATTTATAAAGAACTCTTTGAATTTATTTATTAATTTAACTCAATGCGCCAATAAATAAAATTACAATATATATTCATAATCATAAAGGCTTAATATGGAAATATTGTTAGTGAGTGTGACCCAGGTTATATTTTTCGAATACGAAATTTATAACAGATTAATAAAAATTTATGAAATTATTGTTTGCCATTGGCAAATAAAAATAATAATAACAATAGTAGTAAATAACAACAAATAAAAATAAATAAATAAATATAAATAAAAGTTTAGTTTGTTTTTTTTGTTTTTTATAGTGTTTTCATATTTACTAAACTCTTGACTAATCTGTTGATCTTTTTCTTTTGCATACTTGGTGAGTGTGCACCTTGATTTCCATTGTTGTTGGCAGCAAGTGTTGGTTTTGGATCATATCGTCCTTCCCAACACTTCTCAATGAGCTTCTGTATTGAAATTACCAATACTTGATTCTGTGCTTTAGATTGAGGGAAAAATGTCCATCTCTTTCCACCGATTCCAATTTCTACAAGTGTAAAGAAATGTTTATCTGTTGATATATAAAAAAAATTGGTAAGTAAATCAAATTGATAATTTTAGATACTGGTTATGAAATGATTGTATTTTTAGTAAAACTTAATGATAATAATGATTTATGATCACATGGGATAATTTTTTTTTGTTGTTATTTCCAATGTTGTCATATTAAAAAAAAACATATAATATTATAAATTTGGTGGTGAAAAATAAAAAATGATAGATCTTGATATAGATTATGTGTGGTTGAATTATAAATACTAACCTGTTGAAATACTACTGTGTACCAATACTGTATCTAGTGGAACACTTAGAATCAATCGATAAACACTACCCTTCTGCTTGGCAAACAAAAAGATATCATTAAATAAAAAGAAAAATCCTTTTTTAAACTTCAATGTTGATTTCTTCTCAGAGTTTTCATTGTATCCCTCCACCATCTGTAAATTTCCTTCATTTAACAAATGTCTCTTTGATAATTGCAAATTCTATAGATATAAAAATTTAATAAGTAAGATTATCTTTTATAATCAATTAAATAAATTTAGTTAATTACCTCTGCTCCTTTTAAAGATTGAATGATTTGCATTGTTCTTTGCCATGTTTCGTTTTCCATTTTCTCCTTATTAATTATATTTACTATTTGTTCTATTTTTGCAACTGCCGAAATCAATTGACCATAATCAAGATGATCATTTGGAGTAGCTTTTAATAATTCCTATTATCAAATTATTAATAAATGTATAAAATAAAAATAATATGTATCAAATTCTATATTTACTCTTAATAATAAAGGATATTTGCAAATTCTTTGTACTGGTTTAATTAAAAATGAATGTAAATTCATACCTCTTAATTCTGGTTTCGAAATGATATCCTATAATAATAAAATTAATATTTTTTTAAATAAATGGATAGATATAACAATGGCAATGATTACACTTACGGAGATAAAACTTTCAATTTGAGGTAACTTTGTTAAATTTGATAAACTTTCAAGTGATTTTTGATGATAATTACAATATACAGAATAGACATCTAATGAATCAGACTATTTTTAAATATTTAAATAATGATTAACTAATTAGTAAAAGATAAATACAATAGTAAAAATTAAATCTGATTTACCATTAAACAAAAAACTTCACCAATTGTTGAAGATGAATTTATCATTTTACTATACAACTCTTTGTTTACTTCAAATATTTGTTCGATATTTGAGAAAACACTGGCACACTCCTCGGTGGAGATTAACTTTAGGTCATCTCTGAGAGGTCTGTAGAATACTGTGATGATAGTCTCGAGATCATTGATATAGTCTAGCTCGGTCGATATGATCTCCTTGATGAGGAAGGTTCGTTGGTCCGATGCCAGTGAAGTCGATGTCGCTGTCGATTTGGGTGATGGTGAAGCTGAGAGTGGTGTTTTCGGTGAGAGAATGGTTGAGCTGTTAGCTCCGTTCTTTCCGCTGTTGGAGTTGGTCGGTGAGAGTATCATTGTTTCCGGTGGCGTTGGGAAAGCATCGATAATCTCATTGAAAATTGACAGAGAACCGGATCCACTGAACGATCTTCGCTTTCCACTGCCACTGCTACTATTACTACTGATTGTATTGTTGATATTATTACTGCTGCTGTTGTTGTTGCAATATTGATGATTGTTGTTTGTTGTGGTGCTTGTTGATGCTTCATCTGCGTTGTTGGTGTTGCCACGTGGCGATTGAAATTGCTCACACGGCGAAGCACTTGCTTCAATGAGGTTTGGTGTTGACAACATGAGACAAGGCGAGGAGGTGGAAGTTGAGTTGGAAACTGGTGAGCCAGAGAGTGTAGTAAGAGGTGTAATTGAAGTAAGAGCATTGCTATTGTGTAGCATATTACTATCGTATAAATTATTCGTGTTGATATCCTTTTCTTCATTGTCAATGTTGTTTTGATTGTTGTCGTTGCCATTTCTGTTGTTGTATACCGATGCCAAAGCTGTAGTATCAGCGAGCAGTTGATCCAACAAATTAATTGAAACAGTGTTATCGTCTCCACTTGCACTGCTATTGGATGACAATCGTTTTGAATAATCTATAATTCCATTGTTTTCATGCTTTACTGTTATTGTTATAAATGGTTTGTCACTACTACTATGATGTTCATGTTTGTTGCTGCTGTTGCTGTTATTATTATTGGTGGTTGTGTTATTATTGGATAAAGATTTAAAACTATCAAATGAAGTTGATGTAGATTTGACTATGGATGTTAAACTGGTGGAATTTGTCATGTTGGAGGTTGACATTGAGCCGGTGGTTGGAATGGTTGGGGTGGATGATGATGGTGATGGTGGAGATGTTGGTGTAATCGATCGCTTCGAATGAACCATTGAAAATCTTGACTTTGCATCACTGCGTGGCGTTGAATTGGGTGGCGAGGTTGTTGCTGTTGCACTCTTGGTGTTGATACTATCGATGATGGAACGAATCGAATGGATCGCTGGCTCGGTATCGACCAGACCTCTAGGTGATGCTGGCATCGAAGAAACCGAGGACGGCGAAGACATGTCAATATTGAGTGTAGATGGTAATTTACCATTTATAACATTATGAGTGTATAATTGATTAGTATTATTATTCTGTTGCTGTTGTTGACTGCTGTTTGGCCTGTATGGTGGAATTGGTAAGATTGAATCTGGCGTTGGCATATCGATGACGTGTAATTTCGCATTGCAACGGAAACAAAACTTTGAATTTGGTCTGCCCAGATAGTTGCACTGCCAACAACGATCACCAAGCTCATTGTGACAAAGATGGCATGCTTTATTATATTTAGGTGTTTCGCCAAGACACACCTTGCAGAGAATCAAACCCTCCATCTTATTTGAACTATTTGCTTGGTGCCTTTTAAATTATTATGAAAATTAATATTAATTAAATTTAAATGTCTTGAAATAAATTATTGAACAAAATAAAACAAAATGGAAATTTGAAATTGTGATTGTGATTGTTATTAAAATTTATTTATAGATATAAAACAACTAATAGGTTTAATTGTTATTGATATTGAATTTATTAAAGATGGCTTGATATGGTTGTTCGTATTGTTGTGATCGTAGTTATTTATAATTGTAGAGTATAATAGATATATCATATACAAACAACAACAACAACAACTTGACTATTTAATTAATTTTTGTTATTATATGATACATCTACCTTAACTTCTACCAAATCTACCTTGTTCAAATATAAATTAAATTTAATATAATTTTAAAAAAATAATAATTATTATATTTAAAATTATAAATTATTTATTATTGTTATTAATAAATATAATATATAATATCTTTACTCAATCACCTAAACAATAAATAACCCCATTCTTTTTCTGATTGGATTGATATGTTTCCAAAGAGATATGAGATTTTCAAAACAAACAAACAAAACAAACCAACAAACATATAACAACTACATAAAGCAAATCAATCAATCAATCAAACATGAATAACAAAAAAACATATTATTTATATATACTAAGTTTTGAGTGATGTTGTAATGATGTATTATTGTGGGTAATTAAATTGAATGATTAATTTATTGATTGATTTATATAACAACAGCAGGATAATGGTGTTGTTTTTATATATTTTTTAAAATATATATATTTTGTGTGTGAGTGTGTGGGTGAAGTGTTAAAGTGGTAGCACATGGATGAAAGTGGATTGTGCAAATAAATAATCATAATTTAATTGTAGAGTAACAAGCTAGCTTTTCCAAACTTGTTTACTACCAAATATTCATGCTATATCCAATCTAATTCTATAAAAATATATTCATATACACTTTTAAACAAGCTTGTTTTGATTGTCTGATTCTGATTATAGTAAGCAATATAGTGGGTAGTAATGCTATCTGTGTGGCTAGCAATAATTGTAGCAGTCGACAAATCAAATTGTGATTAAAAATGAATTACTGTTGTCATTGTTATTGTAGTTATTGTTAAGATGTATAAATCAAATTGATTGGTCTGTTAATGCTATGGATATATAACATGTTGATTACTGATAACTGATTACTGAATGCTAAATGTTTGATTGATAGATTTATTAATGATTAACTGATTGCTTCGGTTTAAACAAACATTACATTTTTTATATATTGACTTGTAAAGAGTTGAGTAATTAGACAATTACTGACGACTCTTCTCCTCTTTCTCTGTTTGTTCTCACTATTACTATATCTATCTAAATATACACTCTCTTGTTTGTCTGTTGATTATTTATACTATATGAAATCCTTTCTATTTATAACTTTTTTTTTTGTTTTTGCAATTTTCTATTTTTGTACTTTTTTTTTACTACTTTATTTTTTGAAATTTACTAACTTTTTTTATTATTATTTGTTTACTTTGTTTTATTATATATTTCTTTATGTGTTTTGATAAGATTAAAAAAAGTGTTAAATTGTTGAAATGATTCTGAAAATAAACAAAAATAAAAAAAACTGAAATGATTTTCAATGATTGGCTGTTGTTTATTCAAACCTAAACAAAGAAAATTTGCAATTATTTATTTTTTTTTGATAATGGGTTTTTTATCTGAATATCTAAATTAAATCGGGATCAAGTGCAAAAAAATGAATGAAGTCAAAAAAGATATTTTACTTTACTTTGTGATTATGAAACAGAAAATAAAAAACAAAAAAAGTAAAATAAAAATAAATCAGATGAACATTCATTTTTGTCGATAATAAAAGAATCGAAATACAATAAGTATGACCGATGATGACTAGCACCACACATTATTATTTCACTATTATTACTAAACATATTATCTATTTATACATACAACAAATTCTCAAAGACTTGCAGTGCTGTTATTCGCTGAGCTGCAAGTGTCGATGCTGTCAATGTAGTCATATATATAATTCTATCTTCTCTTACTAAAACCTGTAAACTTTACTTATTTTGCTTTTTATTTTACTTCAATATAATCTCTTTTTTTTTAGTTATTTCTGCTCTTATTATAATTATTTTTTTATTAAAGCAAAAGTTTGAATTGATAATCAATCAAATCAAATAAAATCAATTAAATTAATAAATAATGAATAAATAAATAAATGAATGTATATAAATATATGTAATAAATAAAAAACACTAAATGGAGATGCTGTTGTCAATGTTACACACTCAATTCTCAATAGTCAAATCATCCACCAGAAATAAAAACAAAACACCAAACTAAATAAAATAAAACAAAACAAACATTAATTTTGCTTTGACATTCAACTTGTCTTTTAAAGAAGTAATCAGTGTGTTAACACAATCAAATCAACACTCACTATCTCTTTTTCCCATGCAAATAAAATAGTTTGGTCTAGTTACTATATATATAATTTTTAATAATCACAAATTCATAATAATAATAATAATAATAATAATAATAATAATAATAGTGAACAAGTTCATGTGCGATTTGTTGCCTGCCTGTTACACTTTCCCACTCTCATCACTTTCTTCAGGAACTTTATTATATAGTGTGTAGTGTGTATGTGATGTGTTGTGGTTAATGAGGTGTGTGTATTTTGTTGCAATGTAATTTTGTTTGCGTGTGTTAAAAGAAATATAAATATGTTTTTAATATTAAATATGTATTTAATATTAATTTTTATATAAATTGACAATAAAAAAAACAAAAACTTTGCCTTCACAATTTCAAAGAACGTTCATTTTATTGTAATTACTTGGTTAGAAGCAAACTTTTAAAAATGTTCATTTAATACATTTATTATAGTAAAGTTTTAAAAAACAAACAGCAATCAAAGCAGAATATAAGGTTGAATATGTTTGAACAAGAAAAGAAATCAAGAATCTTATTTTCTTTTAATTAATTCACATCTATTTTAATTAAATTATTTTTCTTATCACTTGCAACAATACTAGTTAAAATAATAAGGGTATTTATTAATAACTGTTATTAATAAATATCGGAAATCAATGAGAAGAGGTTACGAGAGCTCTTGTAGCTGTCAGAAAGCAAACAACTTCATCAAATCTTAATTCTCAATGAAAACAACAAGAAATGATTAGTTAAGTAAAATATCAAATGTTAAATAATCAGATAACTGACACTTTATGCGCACATAAAGCTTACTAGGTGAAAAAATACTTGTACCGTCAAATGTCAAGTTGGTATAGTTACAGAGAGAAATAATTGGAACTTTTGGCCAAGCTCTCATGTTTTTTCTGTCAAACCAACAAAAAAATGATATAGGATAAAAAATCAAAAAATCAAAAAATGATTTTTTCTTCATCAAAGCCCGGTTAGCTCAGTCGGTAGAGCGCACGGCTCTTAACCGTGTGGTCGTGGGTTCGAGCCCCACATTGGGCGGTCTCTTTTCTGTTGGATTTCCCTTAATGCGCGCATACAGGAAAATACTTTCTTTTGGACAACCCTTTTCAGCAAGCTAGTTCCATTTTTCATTATGCTATTTGTATAAAACGAAGTAATGTAGACCTAAAACCCATTATAAAGGCTACACCTTTGGATATTTAAAAAAATAAAATAAAAAAAACACTCTAAATAAAGTAATATCCTTTTTTTTTAACAAAACACAATCAAAAAAGATATTAATTTATTATAAAAATAAACAAAAAGGATTCATTTGTTCATATGTTCTGCTATGTAAATAAAAAAGATATTTTCTTTTGATTATTTTTTTAAAGTAGAAGTAGTTGGGTTGATGTATTTTAAAAATGATTAACAATGTTTTAAAAAACTGGTATTCCAGTGTCAATACTTTATAAAACTTTAATAGAAACAATTGATTTTAGACTTTAATCAATTGTTTAATTAAAATACTTTTTTAATATTTGTGAGCTTAACAGTTCTAAATTTGTAAAACTTATCTTTAGTGTAACTAGTAGTACTAACTACCTTACAGATGAAATTTTGGAACGTATTCATTTAAATGATTACAACTTTTATTTATCATTTTGATGAGATGAAATATTTATATTTGGTTTTTTTTACAAAAGATTTTAATCTGTTATAATAGTATTACCTCTTAATCTATTTTTTATTTAATTTGATTCAAATTAATTTTTATTTTAATACAAATTTATTGATTTCTAATAACTAAATTAAACATCTTTGGTTTTTAATAATATATACTTTTAATAAAATATAAATCAAATATAAAAAAAAGGAATTATTAAAGTTTTAATATAAATTTATTAATATCTATCTATCGATCTATCCAACTATGATCTATCTAAACTATTTGTCTTCTGGTAAGAGATCTAGAGTTATAAGGGTCCAACATGATTAGATTGAATATCTTCGATGGTAGTCCAGTGTATGCGCAGATTGGGAATATTAAAATCAACAAAAAGATGACGAGTGCAATCAATCCAAAGTGTGTAGAACCAACTTGACCGCTTCGGTCTTTGGCAATCTTGAATGAATCTCCAATAGTACCATTCATACGAGTGTATTCGAATTCCAACAGGTTGGGTGTCAGTCGTATGAGCGAGTAACCAGCGGAATTCTCACGGTGAGCAGTCCATTCCGGACGATCGAGCCATGGATCTTGGTCTGCACCTGCTGTTCCTGCCAACACATGAATAGTACCCTTTCCAGAGGTGTAAAGCGATGGATTACTATCGATAATATCACCATCGTAGACAGCAAACGAACGTTCGTAACAGTGGTCGTGTCCAGAGATGGCGAGATCGACCTGCGCTTCGTGGAGCAGCTGCTCCATTGCCGCACGGAACTTCAAGTCACTTCCATCGTGACCTTTCGATGAACTGTACATTGGCGAGTGGAATACAACGATCAACCAAGGATATTGGTGTCTCATTGTGTTGGCGCGATCCAACTGCTTTTTGAACCATTCGTACTGCAGACTTCCCGCTTCATAGGGGTCGTACGACGACAACATGATGACATAGGCATGAGTATACTCGAAACTGTAGAACAAGTTGCGCTGAGTGCTAACTAGATACTCGCCAGAGGTAACGTTTTTCGTAAGCGATGTTATCGGGGTTGGGTAGACAAGCGGCATTGGATAACGATTGACAAAAGCGTTGATACCGCCAGGCTTGACATCCCAATTGCCTGGAACCACCATGAATGGCTTTGAACTGGTGACAGGCTCGACAAGATCACCGAAAACATCCCATTTCGTTTCCTCCAGTCCATAGGAGAGATCACCGGCATGCAGCACGAGATTGACATCGTCTTCGGCGGCAAGTGCACGAATGTTTGGCACGATGTTACCGGTGGTTCCAGAGTCTGCGAAAGCGGCAAACACAACGGGTTGCTCGCGATTCGGTGCAGTTCTAAACGATCGCCATTTACTCCAACTGGTGGCGTCTGCAGTCGGAACAAAGTTACCTCCGACACGGTAGCAGTAGCCTACTCCACTGCTAAGATGCTGCAGTTTAACGGAATGCAAATAACCTTTGTATGGATAATAGGTCTTGGTTGTGCCCATTGTCATTTTTATATCTGTATTTCTTTTCTTTTTCTCTGCTTTACTGTTACTCTTGCTATTACTCTTACTATGACTTGCTGATGATGATGATGGGGAAGAGGATGATGAGGATGATGATTTACTATCATCTTCATCATCACTATCAGTATCCCACATACAATCACCAATATAATAATAGACTACAGGTTGAGTTATCTCATCTTTTGTAATCCAATTGACAAGCATATCATTTGCATTGTATGTGAGTGCTAAATTGATTTGTCGTGGTGCTATATCTTTTGTAGTTGTTACATCGTTTGAATTTGAATCTACTATTGATATCAATAAACTATTCAAAATGAAAAATAAAACTAATATTATATTTAAATTTTTATTATAAAATATATTCATTATTAACTATATATATCTTTATCTAATCTAATCTAAACTATTAAACTATTTTTTTATACAATTATTGTTACATCAAACACATATTTGTTTAACTAATGAATGAAAATAAATATGAAATAATCTATAAATTTATATGTAATTTTACAATTTTAAAAATGATAATGATATATAATGAATGTATTAACAGCAAATAGAAAACTAAATTATTTATAGTTTTAGTTTTTTGCTAAATTAAGATAAGAAGTTGAGGAGTCAGTCGGTTTATCAAAAAAAAAAAAAAAAAAGGAAATGAAAAAAAAAAAAAAAAAAAAAAAATATATTCTGGCGAGATGAATCACAGATAAAGAGAGTTGTAATATTTGATTTAGTGTGTTAAGTGTGTAGTATTTGATTGATAAGTGCGTGTTAGGTGAAGTAAGTTTTTGATTGATGTGTGTGTGTGTGTGTGTGTGTGTATCACTTATCTCATAAATAAAAATAAATAAAAACGATTAATTTATTGTTAATTTTTTTTGTTATTTTACAAAACCTTTTTAAAAAAAAATGATTGCAATCACTGTCAATTTACTTTCTTCTATTTTTTTTGTATTAAAGTATTCATTTTGAATTAAACAGAAATGGTTCTAAACTCACAATTGTGAAGTTAACTTGTTTTGATTTGAAATAAATAAAAAAAACAAAAAAAAACATATTAAAGTAACGTTAATTGCAAATAATAATATCATAATTATTTGTTAAAACTAATTAATTCTCTACATAATTAATGAACATATTTAAACTATTATCTATAATTCTCTAAAGTATAGTTACTTTTGTTGGCTCAATTATGTTTGTTGTTTACATTGTTGTTGGATCTACAGGAAGTCCACTGATGGCAAGCGCTATGATGATTGAGTTGTAGATGGCCAGTGATCTCTAGAAATGAAATTTGGACAATACCGACAGTAGTGTATCAAATTTATCATCTATAGATATATTTTGTCTGTTACAAACACCCCACAAAATATGTATCTAAAAATTTTTTAAATTTATTTCCAGAAATATTAGAATCAACTGATATTAATCAACAAAACGATCAGTGTGATCAGCCATCTTCTCTTAATGACACACCAGTTGTCACCCACATATGCATCATATCCCGTTAGTAAGTGAAATTATTAGATTCTCACCAAGTAGAAATGTAACAAAAAAGTTTTCATACGAGTTTGTGTACTCATATGAAAACTTTTATCACCATGAATAAATAAATTTAATTTATCTGTTTTTTTTTAATTATTATAAATAAAAATGTTTCTAAAGATATTTACAATTTCTAAGTATTTTTTTTTTTTTTTTTA